AAATATTATAATAGATTTTATTATATAATTACTAATTTCTAAGAACTCTATAATAGACTATAAATATAAATTAATATTAGTAGTAGTAGATAGATTTCTAAAAGCTACTAAGTTTAAACTTTTTTAATATAGCTATACTCTAAAGTAGCTTGCTTAAGTATTTCTAGATAAGACTATTTAATACTATAGTATTTCTAAATTAATTATAAGTAATAGAGATAAGCTCTTTACTTTAAATTTCTAGACTATATTTATAGTAGAAATTAAAAAAAACAAAAAAACTATTAATAGCTTATTATTTATAGATAGATAGATAAATAGAATAAGTAAACTAAATAATAAAGATAAATCTCTATATCTACTATAACTAGTAGTAAAATAACTAGGTTTTACTCTTACTTATAGTATAAATCAATTAAAATAATAAACTATTAGAAGTAATAAGTATAATACTATTTCTTATAAATTATAAAAGATATTTAGATCTTTTTATATAAAGTCTTAATAGTAATATCTAAATAGAATTAGTAATAAATCTAGTATAGTTACTAAAGAAAGTATATTAGAAATTACTTAAAAATATTACTAGAGCTTAGTTAATATTATAAGCAATTTTATATATTAATAAAAAAAATAGCACTTCTACTAAAGAAATAAAATAAAGTATATCTTTTTATAGAGAATCTATGCATAAAAAAACTAATAAAGAAACTAGATAAGGTTAATATTAGACTATTTTTTATTTTAAAGAAAATTAGCCTAGTTAACTATTAACTTAAGCTACTTAAAAATATAAAAATATACTTTATATTCTATATCTCTTTATTAGAACTAGCTAACGCTAGCATACTAATCTAAAAGAACTTCTATTACTAAAATAATAGTAATAATAAATAGAAAGTTAAGAAAATAATAAAATATTAAGAAACTAGACTAGATAAAGAATTTCTAGTTAAATAGTTAGAATACCTAGACTCTAAAAATATATAAGAACCTATTATAAACTTTATAAACTACTAATAGCTCTTATTCTAGTTTTTTTAAAAAAAGTAAAATCTAGATTACTTTCTAGAATAGATAGTATAAAAGCACTCTAGTTAAGAGCTAGAGAACTAGGTATTAGGCTATCCTCTAACTAAGCAATATCTTAGTTAATACTTTTAATAGCTTTAAAAGCCTTAAGATTATTAATATACTAGCTTACTTTGTTTACCTACTGCTTTTTATAATGCTATAATAATTTCTTTTATTTTTAAATATAATTTTTCTTTATATATATAGCTAGAATAGCCTAGAAAGTAGCAGACTTAGCTTTATCTACTTCTACCTTTTACTAATCTAGATAAATTATTTTTTAATTAATTTTATTAAAGTTTAGAATTAGAACTTCTACTAGAACGTACTTCTACTTACTAATATAATAGCAGTTTTTAAACTTCTTTTTTAATAAGAATATCTAATAGTTTAAACTTTTTTTTATATAATACTAGTATAATACTATTACTAGTTAACTAATATAATTAATATAGTTACTTATAAAATAATAATATATAGTACTTCTAGAAACTATAGAGTTAGTTTATAAAGATATAAAACTTAAAAAAAAAGAATAGTATTATAAACCTTAGAAACAGTATAGTAGAAGATAAATAAAAGAATTAATAATACTTAAGAATAACTAAAGGTCTTTAAAAAAGTAAGTATTAAAGAAACTAATAATAACGCAACTTTTTATATTTTAAAGCCTTAGTAGAATGCTACTATAGAATAAGTTATATACTATTCTTAGAAATTCTATAATATTTTAAACGTTCTAAGATTAGAATAAGAGTAGAATAGTAGAATAAGTATAGAATACTATACTTACTTAAGTATATAGTTAGTAAAAATATAACTTTTATAGTGCGTATTAAACTTAAGTATTAATAATATAATATTAGATTTTAACCTAACTTTTAAGCTAGATAGTCTACTCTATACTACTTATTATTACTTTTACTTTTAAAATAGATAGATTATATCTATACTTTTTATTATAAACTTTTTTCTAGGTTCTTTAATAGTATTTATTTCTAAGAACTAATTAAATAGTACTTATAAGCTTTTCTTAAAGTATAACCTTAATATAAATCTATACTTATTAAAATTATAGGTATTATTATCTAGAATACTATACTTAGCTTTAGTATTTTTTATAAGCTAGAACTAACTATAGATAACCTTAATATTTTTATAGAAAGCTTACTTATAGTTATACTTTTAATTAAACTTAACTATAAGCTTAAAGCAATGCTTAATAAATATACTAGCCTAGTTTTTGCTAATAAGTAGTTAGTAGTGCTTAGCTAGCAAAGAGTTAGCTATATCTTCTATATTAGTAAGCTAAAGTAGGTATTCTTGCTTATCTAGCTTTAATATATGCTAAATAATTACTTTTTCTTAGTACTTATTAGCTTTATTAAGTTAAGCGTGCAATTCTGTTATAGAAGAGTTCTAGCAAGTTGCGTACTAAGCATATTTTAAGAAATATTATAAGCTATTATAGCTTATTGCTAGAAAAGTTTTGCGTTATATTTAATAGCCTAGATAGCAAGCTATAAGTCTGCTTTATTTAAAAGCTTTTTTATATTATTATATTAAGGCATTGCAAGTTATATAAAGTTAAGTAAGGTCTTAGCAAAAGTAGTTAGCTTGCCTAGGTAATTAGCTTGCCTGTAAGGTATGTTACTCTATCTAATTATTATAACTATAAAGCTACTAGCCTCTACTAGTAAAGAGGTTTACTTTAGTACCTAGAACTATATAAAATAAATCTACTATATATCTACTAAAATAAGACTTTAAAAGCTACTAGAAGTAGTTACTCTTATAATAGATTAGTATAAGAAAACGCTTTAATAGATACTATAGGCGTGCTGTTGGTCGCCTCCAGGTTGGCGTGCACCACACTCTTTCGGGCAATGTGAAAGCACCGGCAAGCAGTGTTGATGGCCACCTTGACTAAGAATCGAGCTCTCGCACGGGTTTACCACTGACATTGAGCATCTGGCAGTATCGTGAGCGATTCATCTGGCACGAAACTTATGCGCGGTAAATGGTCAGTGTACACTGTGGCCAAGGTTTGACGAAACCTGGTCATAAAGGCGGCATCTGAAGCCTCGCCAATGTGGATAGGTATATTTGAAGAAGACATGGTGTGAAACCAGGGTCTTTCGTCAAAGAGCGGGTTTTAGACAGTGTCATCGCTGATGCTAGTGTTGGCAGGAACGGCCGGAGAAGGAGCCCCTTCCGCGGCAGCGTTACTCCGTAACCGTTGATTTTTCTCGACCAGAGCTTCTAGGGACCTTTCTGCATCAGCGACATGGTTTCCCAATCTATTCTCAGACAGGAGTGTACGGTTGACTTATCTTGACCTGCCGATCATGTGGTGGGTACACGCATCCGTCCTGGAGACCACCATCGCGGCAGATGGAATATTACTGCCCCCTTGTGCACTTCACCTTTCGTGAATGACATCTTCGGCAACTGTGAAGATCAGACGTGTGGCCCCTGACCCTTTCATGAGTGAGAGTGTTGCTCACGCCACAGATTTGCCTCGCCTCTGCGTTTGCTCATGCGTTGACATAGCGACAGAGGTTGTAATTCGCTGAACGTCCCTGTGGACCTCGATTGTAGACACGCGAGGGGGCGAGCGCAACTCGACAGACTTTTAGCTTACATAGTTCTATCAATGGCTATTGGTTATCCTTAGCGGAGAACTAATGCGGTGTGGTGCCACCCCCACTTCATGCCAAGCGATCCTGCATCTTTTATGCTAGCCGACGATGGCTGAGAGGACTTACGATAACCGAGGGACTTTGACTTTCGGACATTCGACGCAGCCTATCGCATACAGACGTCTGACTTGAACAAGTGTCAAGTAGCCAACACCCGCCTGTAGCAGTTCGTTGTGCCTGACGAGCCGGACGACACAGTGTGCACAACAGTCTGCTTGACTGACCCGACTTCGTTAGCAGGCCACACGCCTCAACACCTGTCTTCGGGACGTACTGACCTGCATCGATCGCACGTAAAGTGAGTCGATGCCAGCAGACCTTGCCAAGGTCATCTCAAGTGTGCAAACGTCTATGGTAAAGGTGCAACGGGCTCTCAGCCTCACGGCAGTCGAGGCGCTAGCATTTTCCAGACTAACGCCAAAGCATCCTTAGGAGCCTGCAAGAATGCTCAATGCTGTCAGCAACGAGCTTAAGACCGAGCTCAAGAACACCGGCGATACCGTGTGCACGATCGCTACCATCGTACGGCGGGTAATGGGAGCCAGAGCGGGCACAAAGAGGAGGGCTCGGGTCGTGGTTGACGCAAAACACAGAGATGGTAGAATGGGCCAAGGAACACGGACAGGTAGCGCCGAGAGCCACGCTGCGATCGTGACGAAAGGCACGAGGCTAGCGTGCGCAGCGAACACACAAGTTCTAAAGTGTTTCTCTATGTGGACCAGATGCAGGGTGATAGTCGGTGGCCATGCTGCCGACGATGCTAAGCGATCTATGGCGTCGGCACGATGGGATACAATGATTCAGGTGTAGGGAAAATGATAAGACAAATGAAAAGTGGTGGTTTGCCAAACAGTTAAGCTATGGGTATGATTAGTTTTAGCCAGAAACGTGAGCATGGACGAGTGGAGCACATGATGATAGCGGGCTCGTGATAACCGGAAATCAGAGTTACGTCATTCGCTACACTATGCTATTGGTTCGATTTCGAGGCACAGCTTCTCAACACTCATTTATTGTTGGAGACGAGCCGCAGTCTCAACTTGATCCTCAGACTTGAGACATACCTACCGAGTAAATGTAGGGTTGTTAAGATGACTACAAGACAGGCGGGACTGCCAAGTGATAAAGTCTTGCCGTGTTGCATATGCAGTGTAACCAGGACACGTTGCTAGCTTTTAGGTATATATAGTAAGAAGATTCAACTTACGAACTTGGTTTTTGATTTGCACTTCTAAAACATTTTGTGTACGATTCTTCTGTTGCTTATACAACCTGATACTGCCACCTTCACAGTACAAATCTGTCTGCATTTGGCGCCTACTGTGGCTATTTTAACGGGACAAGAAACAATGAACAGCACACTGACGTTATCACCTAAGCCAACAGGGCCGCACGCAAGGTTCTCAGGCCGATACCAGTATGCCTCCCTAGCAGGCAAATCGAGGACGATAAGGCTACTCAAGATCTGTGACGGGAAAAATTATACCTTGGAAGGCCAAAATGACATCGAGCGCAACCAATGTGAGCAAGATTGCTGTCAAGACATTGGCTCGAATACGCCGAGACTCGAATTGCACGAAACAGACCTGGACACTGCTCCTGCATATGAGGCTGTCTCATATGCTTGGGGTAGCGCGGCTTCAATGCAGAAGGTAGTGTGTAACTCTGGGGTGTTGCAAATTACACAGAGCTGTTTCAATCTTCTACGCACACTGCGCACAAGGGATCAGTTTAGCCCTCTTAGAAAAACCTCGCGTCGCCACGGACAGAAGAATGAGTACGCAAACAAAATCGGGTTCTATTGGATCGATGCCATCTGTATTGACCAATCCTCTCTACAAGAGCGCAGCCAGCAAGTCGCCATAATGGCTGCCATCTACCAAAAGGCCGATCAGGTGGTTGTCTGGCCGGAGTACCATGGAACGACGTTCATGATAGAAGCAATCCTGGCATCTGGATTCCACCATAGATGTAAGTTTATCAAGATTGTACTCAAGCTGGCGGCTAATTATATTGATTCAGTGAGCGAAGAGCAGGTTTGTCATCTACGTAGCTTGATTGAAAGACCGTACTTTACACGGATGTGGCCACTGCAAGAAATCGCACTGGCTAGATCGTGCTGCATACTGATCAGTGCAAACGAAGAACTCAATATCAGAAGTGTTCTCCTACTGCCGTGTGAAGGATGGAGATCCCAAGACGACTGGCCGCTGAGGTCACGTGCTGCGGCTGTCAGGAGCCAGTACGAACGGGTTATCTTCTTGCATCGACAGCTAGTAACAATTTTCCAATCTCAATCCTATGATTCGAAAATTGCTACACGACTGTCTTTGCATCGACAGTTACTGACGTTTACCCATTTTCACCCCAATGGCTGGACGAATGCTGAGCAATCACCTCTTCTTTTTCAGCTTGCAGGCGATAATCAACCCGAGGCTCCAAAATCCGCTGAACAACGGAGCGATTCTCATTTGGTATCTACAACCCTGCTCAGCGCCCGAAGTTTACAAGCGACTGAGCCAAGAGACAAAGTGTTCGCTCTCCACGGCCTACTCGAATAGTTAAACGCACCCTTCAGAGCTCCAGATTACAGAAAGTCCATCGAGGAGGTTTATGTGGACACGACTGAAGCCGCAATGTCATTTGACGGTAGCCTTCGCATCTTGGGCGGTCTCACCGGGAGCTCAAATTTCAACTTACCCAGCTGGAGTCCTGATTGGTCGGATCATCAACACATCACCGAGGTAGCAGAATGGCAGTACTACGAAGCTGCTGGGCAAAGTGAATGTTAGATTGATATCGAGAGACGAGAACTTTCCGTTTCTGGGTCTGTCGTTGACCTTGTACACTAAGAGCACCTTATTTTCCCCTCTGCATCGTTCCTGTACGAAGGCAACAATCTGACCGAAACACTCTTGAATAGTTTTGAAAGCCCTGGTAGCATACCAGTCCACCAGCATGATGCACTCCTTGAAAGACTATCCCTAGACATCTGGATGTCTCTTGAGAACTTGGGCTTCGACTCGTTTCCGTACGGTATGATGATACAGGGTTTTCTGGCAGGAATGAAAAAAAAAATTACCGGACAAAAACACCCAAGGTGGAGCTTCTACAATTTGATAGGCAATACAAGAAAGAACCCAGATTCAGAAAAGGTGCCGCATGAGCTCTGGCCCGCCTTACATGCAGGTTTGTGTCGAAGACTCGATCGTAAGAAGCTCTTCCAAACACAACACGGGCGTCTAGGCATAGCATCACCGGAGGTCAAGATCGGAGATTCGATTATCCTCCTCCGAGGATGCAACCTGCCTATGGTTGCTCGTCCGGATGGCGAAAAATGGAGGCTGATAGCTCCTTCACACATACCACAAGATGGGATTATGGAGGGAGACCTGTGGGAGACAGCTCCCTTGCGTCTATTTGTATTTCTATAAGCCAATCAGGCTGCTTTTGATCACATAAACTTTTCTAAAAGGCAGCAAAGCCACGATCACCTGGTAACGTTCCCAGAAATGTGAACGGTTCTGAGTACCAGTGCTCGGCAACCCTGTGATTGAACTCTTGTCAACCTGCTTAGTTCGAGGTAGCTCACGCAGTAGGCGCAGCGGTATTGGTGGAAAGGAAAGACTTCCAGTGTCCTGAATCATTTCACCTCAATCTGCCGCTCAGCTTGCAGCTCGAACTTGTCGATCCCTGGTAGGTTCGTGAATGAGTAACTATGAACATGTACATGCTTATATCAACGACCGAGGCAGCTCGCGATTGCAAATATGAATGACCCCTGATCTTCTTAATCGACGTATCACTAGAGCCCTCTACTCTACCCTCGCCTCAACGCCAACTCGCGTCTTTCCCCACGTAAAATCGTCCAACTTGTACAAAGTGTAGAATTGAACAACGAAGTTTACAAACGGAATGAAATAACTGTACATCATTGATCCAATACACAGCTGTACGGCATCAAGGACCGAAGTCGACGCCAAGATGGCGACTAGTAAGTCCCAGGCATTTCGATATCTCCCGAGGAAAAACAGCCAGAGCTTGGTCTGCCTGTCAAGTTTGACTGTGAGTGTAGGGTTAGATATAGGCACACTGTCATGTGCAGCTGGAAACCACTCACAATAGAACCTCACGAAAAAGAGAGCTGGGTTCACCACCCAGTGCAACAACGAAGTGAATACAGCCAACCTCTCCATCCAACCAGTTTTCCTGCGGCTTATGAGTAGGCTATCGCTTGTAAGTGGGCCTAGCGTCCACCTGCGGCGTTGACTCAGGAAGACGGAAAGGGTTTGCGGCGCAGTAGTATACGCTCGGGCACGGTGACACACACGTGTCTGGACGTCGGCGTTCTCAGAGAGAACCAAACACACGTGATCTCTATCCTCACTCATCATCGATCTAATCGTTCTAAACAAGCCGTCGGATGGCTTGGGATAGTATCCAAACTTTTGCAGGATGTCGTCGCCGCACGTGGACTCCAGGACGCGCAGGAGCTGACAACACCCAGGAAGGCATGTCACCCTGCCGCTGGTGAGGTTTTGGCGCAGTCGACGACGGTACTGACCAACCGTGTACTCGGCGTTCTGGTAGAGATAGGAAATGCTGAATTGCCCCATGGCTATGGGATCTGCTCGGATGTGACCAGTCACCCCAACAATCTTTTCGTCCTCCCTCACAGTCTGGATCAGATTGGAGACGCATTCTAGGTCGAACCTAGTATCGGCATCTATGCCAATAGCATAGTCGATTGACCGAATGGATGCCTTCTCGAGGAAATCAGAGAGTTCCGCGAAAAGCCTAGGCGACATCATAGCGAGCGGAGGCTTTGAATCGCGGTGGTTGAACTTGTGGAAAAATGAGCGTGCAAGTACGATTCCGTCTCGTTTCCCTCGGTTTTCGTTCTTGATGATGCAGATGATCGGAACCCCTCGAAATTCTCCTTTGATGATCTCAGCGTCCATGGGTACGCCATCCCAAGCTGTGTATGCCTGAGACATGGGAACGCTTGAGGGACGCTCGATGATGTCGTCCTTCAGATGTGCCGCTGCTGTCTTGGTCATACCTTTACTACTGGCTCTCCCATCGCAGACTACAAGGATGGCCTTTTTGTGGGCGTCCACCATTTTTTGCTCGGCCAAGGATCTCAGTGAGGTCATGATCTCTTGATACGTTTCGTTGTAACAGCAAAGTAGGTAGACGAAGTTCTCCGGTATTGCTGGAATCTTCGGGTTCGGTGGATGCAATCGTCGCACAAGGTAGGAGACGATGATGATGGTAATCTCGATGATATCTACCAACGGCCGGATCATCACCAGTGGAAACAGATACCAGAAGAACCGAGTGTAGTCCTGGAACATATACGCCATGGAGAGACTGGATCAGGGTAGTCAGCAACGACGAAATGACACATGGAGTAATGAAAGGTCATGCCACTCACTTTGCTAAGCCCAGGAGTGAACACGCCACATATTTTTCGAATTTCAGCCGCCTTAGATCTACGGATGGTAGATGCTCAAAGACGGTACGCAAAGTTTTCGAGGTTGTCGCGAGTGAATGTGGCTGGAACATGATGGGCGCGTTCGTGAGCTCGATCGCGGTGTGAATACTGGGTGCTTTGGTATCGAAACTCTTCATTTTGAAGATAGAGTGGCCTTCCGCTTAGGAGAACCGGTGCTATTTGGGAAATGAGAGTTGATCCAGAAGACGCCGCCCACGTTCCTAGTGCAGCAAAAGCTCAAATGTGCACAATTCGGCAATGTTTAGGAAAGTAATCGGTACAGATACTTGCACTTGTCTGTAGATTGATGACCGAAGCTGATCATAGTTATAGACCGTGGATGTTATTCCCAGAATAGAGCACAGTTGGGTGGTAGCTTCACGCGGCTGGTCATCACTACTACTTCCGGTTAACCAATGCACAAATGTTTCAGCTTGCAATAGTCTGCAGATACTAAGTGAAAGCGCTTTTTATAACAAGGCCGGAGCTAATCCCAGGGAATCATCAATATCCGGCCCTATCGTATCAGTACGCAAGTGCATTATGCTACCCCATGGGTATGTCTCAGAAAGCGGGTTGCAGGTAGCCGCGTATATACTCACATTGCTCCACCTAGAGTAATCGAACTTTTTTCCCGACATCGTGCTTGTTCTTTTGCTACTGGTTCTCTGCGTTGTTGGTCTCGAGGATCTTCTTTCTCTATGGTTTCCAGAACATACCCAATACGTCAAAGCGCAGCTGATGCTTTGCTTATCCACGAGCCTGATGAAATTACTACTATCGGAGTGATTGGAGTAGGCTATGTCGGGGAACACCTTATGGAGGCTTTCTCCTCCTCATTTCGGGTTATTGGCTACGACGTGTCGGCTTCACGCATAGACAGTCTACGCTTAAAGCATATCGAATCCGACAATATGAAGTTCTCCAACGACGAGACTGAGCTCAAGAATGCATCTCACTTTCTGGTCTGCGTTCCGACGACTTTGGGTCTGCACGGCGACGTTGATTCTTCGCATGTTCGAAACGCGATAAGCATGCTCCGTCGATATGTGAGCGATGGATCTATTGTAGTGATCGAGAGTACCGTTGCGGTGGGTATGACCAGGAAGCTTCTTGGACCGTTGGCTAGATCCCGTGGTATCTTCGCTGGGATGTCACCAGAGGTGAGAGAGAATTTGAAAAGCTCCGAGATGACAAATCCTGACATCCATACAGAGAATCGACCCTGGAAGAGTAGAACCACCCCCTAAATCGATTCCCAAGGTTGTTTCGGGACTTGACGATATTGTCCCAGGGTCTTTAGGAGCGATTCAGCGATTGTATGGGACCGTCTTCGATACCGTGGTGCCAGTCCGCAAACCCGAAGTAGCAGAGATGTCGAAACTTTACGAAAACTGCCAAAGAACAATCGCTATAGCTTACGCCAATGAAATGGCAGACGCCTGCTATGGGCTGGATATCGATCCTTTTGAGGTAGCCCATACAGCGGCCACCAAGCCATTTGGATATCTGCCAATGTACCCCTCACTGGGCATCGGAGGACATTGCATTCCAGTCAACCCAATCTACTTCATGTCAACCTGCAACTTGCCACTGCTCCAACAGGCCCACCAACGGATGATGACACGGCCTTCTCGCATCGCCAGCCAGCTCCTCACCCTGATACTGGAGGAAACCCACCGAAAGAAGGATGCAACTCACCGACCCAGCCTTCTTGTGGCTGGCGTCGGCTTCAAAGCTGGCCAGTCAGATTTGTCTAACTCACCGGGCCTGCAACTCCTCAACTTTATGCGTCACTCGGGCGAATTGGATCTAATGTTTTGCGATCCTTTAGTTAGCCAGAGTGCGATACCTGATGTACCGAGACTAGAAGAAAGTTGTTGGAAACAAGAAGTCTTGGGGACTTTTGACGCCATTGTGGTGGCAGTGAGACAGCCTTCTCTAGATTATAACGTTTTGACAGATCTGGCAGACGTGCGTGTTGAGATCTGGCAACAATGACAGCGGGTAGTTATTCGGAGACGACGCTATTATCTCAAAGCCAAGTCTTAGGGCATAGGAATTGAGAACTGCTTTTGGGAAATGCGATATCAGCTAGTGTTAGTAGGTATCCGTGCATTTCTCAAAGCGTCGTATGCTCTAGACCGCTTTTGAATGCATGTAGCCTCAATGACCAATGTGGATACACTTCAGCACTCTATCTCAATCACAATGTTCACATAGTCGCTGGTTTCTATACGTACTATACTTTGCCTCGGCGCCCAAATCGTTGCTCGGGAGCCTCGGACCCTAGACTATCCCAGAACGTCATTCCAAACCGGATAGTGTCTTTTCGATGTATAACAGCGGGCCTTCTGTGGCACACTAACGCATAATTCAATCTGTTACATAGCCGTACGTAGGATTGCCACGTAAGCACAGATATCGCGTGATGGATATTTTCCCCTGTACGCGAATCCTCTATCCAACAGATATAGTATAATAGCTGTTAGATGTATCCGCTATTTACTAAGCCAGATAAGGAAAGTAACTAGTTCTAAAATAAGGGAGGCTGTTCCGCAGGATGCCGCTGGACACTAAACTAGATCAGGAAAGTAACTAACTGCAAATCAAAAGGCTTACCTTAATCTAGAAGTAAGGATTCGAGGGAACTATACTTTAACAGGTGGATACTGTTTTAAGAGGACTAGGACTACAGAATTGCTAAGAAGACTCGAGTGTAGCTGATTCTGGCGTATATCCCACATAAGTGCACGGCGCATGGCTATAACCAGTTCATGCTCGACGAAGCTCGCGAGCACGGATGTAGTCTGGTCAAGTGGGCATATGCGTAGGAGACGCGGTAGGAAGTCTGGTCTCGGAGTCCTTCTCTAGGGGCACCATTCATGAACCAGCTGCCTGAAGGTACGACGTAGGGTAATCGAGGGTTTCTCCCAACAAAACCTTCGTCAAAATCGATTAAGGGAAAGGAGGCGCGATAACAGTACGCAGTAACGGAGTGACATATTCTTGAGATAGTCAAAATGGTTCACACAGCTTCTTTGTCACAGGCTCGTGGATTGGATTCCACGCTGAGCTCATCTTCAACACAATCTTCTGGTCCATAGCCTCGTCCGATGACTCCCAACCCGGCAGGGCGATAGCGTGACTGTGGTGAGCGGCAGTTAGGCTGGTGCCGTTGTGCCTGATGCCTTAGTTGATGGCATATTAAGGCTCCCTATTGGAGACGTGGGCTAGGAAGGGGAATGACTTTGTCTACGTGTCTACGTTACATCTAATCAAGGATCTCTTTAGTAAACAAGGAAGGAACGAAGGAGGTTGGCTCGGATACTTTCACTCTTCAATGCCGCCCCGTTATGACCTTGCAATACGTGTTTGGCGTGCTTCTCGGTGGCACTTGATCTTGAATTTCAAAGCAAAACAAGGCCGTTCGAGTTATCCAGGTCAGTATTTCTCCACCAGCTTAATCAAAGACCATACAGTAGGCAGTGCCTAAGGCTTAACTGCTGTGCTATAAAACCAGAGTGCAGACCCAGTAGAGAGACATCAAAGCAGAAGAAACCCCGACCCACACACCTTGAATCTTGAATACTTTACGTTACAACAGTCAAACCAAATATGAAATTCCTTTTACTCATCCCAACCTTACTCAGCATGGCTGCTGCAGGCATAGTGCCTAAATCCGAGAGTTCAGTGAATACGTTGCAAACACGCCAAGTACATGCACCTCTGAACTTGATTTCTCAACGCTAACATATGGTCGCTTTAGTGTCAACTCGAGCAGTGTTGTACGCAGGGCTGCGATGCACAGAACTGCGCCATAGCGTGTCAGGCATCCGGATTCAGCGTTGGTGCTTGTAGATGTGGTACCGATGGATGCGCAGCAAATGTCTGTGCATGCCGATGCTTCTGAGCCGCTGGCTTTGAGCGATTTGTTGGGCTGATAAGTTGTCGATTAAACCTTTTGGTGGGATAAGCTATGTAAGGCGTATTAGCAGACAGGAGGAAACTACACTCCAAACTCAATTTACTGGTACGCTGCGTGGGAAGGGTATGTACACAGCTCAAGAAAATCTGCACTCGTCGAATAGACATCATTGATTGAACCAACTAGTTCCTCACTCTCCGCTTCCATTGCTAAAAGTAATAAGTAAGGTGTCCTAGAGACCTCTATTCCTACTTGCCTCGGGGTGTCAACTTCAGCCATGCATCAAGGGCGGTATCGCCGAGGTCTATCTTGAACTGCCCCCAAGATGTTCTCTTGTCCAGTCCACTCGTTGTGATCTCCCAATGTAACCATGACGCCCCATTTTTTCATAAAGTCAGGAAAGGGCAGGTAAGTGTCACCACTATGAGTTCCAGGTCGTTGGGCCAAGGACATCTTAATAGACTGTTGTGGGTGAGCTGCGACTACTGTTCTCCAAGAATTTACAGTGGCAGGGATGGACAAAAAGAAACGTGAGAGACTTAGCGTTCGAGTCTCTTCGGCAGCACGTTACACTGTTCGAGTCGAAGTTGCGCTCTAATAGTCTTACCCCAAATGACTCCTGGAATTTCAGCCCTTGTGTTTGGAATCCGGCAAGCGCCTTTCATCAGTAGCTGCGCAGCCGATACGAAGTACACAGCCCTGCAAAGAATTGGTCGATGCTCATACTGACTTATCTCTGCGGGCGGTATCTCTGCTATCAACTAGTCAAGTTACGCAGTTGGCCAGGCAGAGAAGCGATCTTGCCGATCAGGCTCTTCCGCATGATCATGCGGAACTTCAAGAGTGCCTTGTATGTGTTTAGTCTCCCAAGCTTGCAACCTCTAATTCGCGATATTGTTGTGCTTGGCCTGGACTAACTACGGCCTTGCGCTCGGTAAGCCAAGGCCTCCACTCACACGAGTGTGGCGCGCTTAGACCAGTGTTCACTTGTCAACTTACTCAGTGTGCTCTCATCGCATGCCTGGTCGCATCGCTCATGTCATGATTAGTTCCAAGTAGCAGTGTTTACAGTAAAGGTCGCCGCGTTGTGTGCACTGATTCATTTGCTCGTTGCTATGGGCATCGCAACGCAACGCAGCAGCTTACTGCCCTGTCACAGACGCATAAAAATCCTACTGCAGTTTGCTCTCTTTTGCCTTGTTATTTGTATATGAGACAGCGAACAGTTTGTCGTTAGCCTCCAAGCTATTAAACGGAGCAATTTGGAACTCGTATACGGGCTATTAGTGGTGCTACTTGTCTTGGCAGAACCCTACAACGCTGCTGGGGCAGTCTTGTGTTCACGTGGGAAGCGGTATTTGTAGCAGTGTTCGATGAGACGAGGAAGAGTGCGGTTATCTTCAATGTTCTTACTCCCTATGTCGTAAGCTAGTACAACAGGCACGCCCTTACAGCAACAACCGAAGTCGTTGCAAACATCGCTAGCGGTGTTACCAGGTTACCATACGCGAAACTGCTTGACCTGTAAGGTCGTACCCAAGGCCTCACTCTGATGATGGCTTTGACGGTGCTCGGCACCATTATGATGGCGTCATGCGTTAGCGTCGAAATGTACTGCGCTGCCCAAGTGTTTTACTACGTTGGATACTATGGGATCCAGTTCAGCTTGGTCATATTCATCTCGGACTCAGTACCCATCCAGAATCGGGCGCTACTCTTCGGTGTTGTTTGGTCTCCCTCGTTGGTTTCAATCTGGGCGTATGGGCCCACTGCTGATCGTATCTTGAGCAACGTGGGCTTTTAGTGGGGCTTTGGAATCTGGAGTATCATCTGCTCCATCGCCTGTGCGCCCGTCCTATTTTTCATGTTCAAGTTTCAGAGGAGAGCGAGAGCAATGGGATTAATAACCCGGCCCAAGATGAGCGGTGGACGCATGCAGTCTACCCTCTTCTACATCAAAGAATTTGATGTTATCGGGCTCACTATACTCGCAACTGGGCTGAGTCTGTTATACCTATCTTTCAGCATCTATTCCTATCACGACGAAGGCTGGCAGTCGCCAATGGTCCTCATGGTCGTCGCACAGGGGCACACACCAGCACTTCTTGCGGTCGAGTCTGTCATACTTGACGTTGGAAAAAGCGCAGGATCGGCAATCGGGACTGCTATCTGGACCGACATGTTCCCAAAGAAATTAGCCAACTACTTGCCGAGTAGTGACATTTCCAGGCTAAACGATATACACGGAAGTATCAATGTTCAGTCCTCTTACCCTGTCGGAAGCCTAGCCCGCAATGCTATTGAGCACGCATATCTCGATACACAAAGGACAATTTTTTATTTCTGCTGCAGCTCTGTTAGTTATAACCTGGGCTTCGGTGCTTTTCTGGAAGGATATTGATGTTAGGAAGTTGAGCAAAGTTTAATTTTGAACTTCAGTCTTGTCTAAGTGGTTAAATCGTGGTTCTCAGTATAGAAAAAACATCTACTGAGATGAGCCTCGCTGACCACATCTGGACATCGGCATTCATTGCTGGCCCGCTCACGTAGCAACTCTCGATCTGTCGCAAGGTCGACGCAGTCGATTGCGCTGTTGGCATTCCTGGTTTTCTTTTTGAATTCGACAATAGCATCCCCAGCCTTGATAGCAGTGAGCACCAATCCAAGACGCAACAACTTAGTCGTACATCCTCGAGATAGTCTATATTATCGCCGTTGAAAAAGCTAACGAAACGTGAAACGCAGAATCTCGAGTTGTTGCTGCGTCGCCTCCCCATCCATTAAGCCCTGAACGTAGGCTTCACCTATCACTTGGAATTCCTCCCCAATGGGACGTATCACCAGCGGCGTGCTGCAGCCAAAAACAATAGCAATCAGATCACCGGGCCGTGTGTGATGCATTGGCTCGTCCGCGAACATATTGTCCGGCGCCCAACCCATATATCCATTTAATGTCAACATGAATCGTCTCTTCTTGACACTGCGCTCAACGCATGCGTAAGCCTCTGTATAATCATACTCGTTCGCGCCTTCAGGTATCTCATCGTCGAAGAAATCGCCAAAAGCCCATTCGCCAAGTGGGAACTCAGCAATGGATTTCCGAAACCCTTCCCACCGAAACCAGTATCCTTCTTGGCTAGCAAGCCATGTCCAATGCTTCTGCCAGAATTGGCGTCCTGCTCGAGCGAAGTTGGCAGGCAAGTGGAGAACTGCTAGATGTCTTTGGCCCGGCTTCTTTCCAAAGCGCACTCGGTCCATTAGTAAGGTACGGACTAGAGCTTCCCTTGTTTGAGCAAAGTCGCCATAAACACTGTGCCAAGAACTTGTGATCGAAGTAGTGTCCGGATCCCATTGAAAATACCCTGCGGCTGCTGCCGAAAGACCTGTGATCTCGTCTACAATGAACCCATTGCATTCCAGTACACGGTCATTTGTACTGAAGGCGAACTCTGACTTTAAGGGACCACTGGCTTGGTATGGAATCAGTGGCTCATCGTTGTCGGATGGTGGAAACAGATAAGTCGGTCCCCAGAGTCGGTGCTCTACTCTGCAATACCGGATCCTGCCCTCCCAGAACCAGTCTGCAGCCCACGAGGGGCATCCTGACGGACCCCATGGGTTGCCTTCGCGCAAAGGATCGAGACTTTGACCGTCTTCCATGAAAGCCCTCGCTGTTGCGGCGAAAACCTCTGCATGTGTCGCGCTGTAGTCTGGTCGCAATCTTGCAGCAACCGTGGGAGGAAATAGCCCCAGAAGCGCGTACACTTTGTCTCTCTCGTCCTTGCATTTGCCAGCGTTTGAGAGATCCAATAGTCGCCCAAAGGCATGCTGAGAACGTCTGCTGAGTGGCATGCTACCGAGCGTGGCAAGGTCTTGGTATACAAGATGCAGGCTGCTTGTTTTCCAAGCGGGATATCCTCTACCATGAACATCGTTTACTAAACACCGGTCCTTAACAAGCCACAGGTGCTCTTGGAGTGTCACAACCCCCTCGCAGAATGTGGGCCAAGGAATAGACGAACCTCCACACCAGACCCAGACTGAAGCGCCGCCCATGACTATCTCTTGGACTATCCATAGTCGATACCAATAGGATCGATCCATAATATCGTGGAGACCGAGCCATCCTGTGCTACCGAGGAAGTTTGGGTCGACTCGAAGACTACGCTCAAGTTCTTGCTCGCGTCCAGCTTTCCTGAATTCCGCTATATCGCGCAAGAGTTGAAGCCCAGCCTGACTGTTGAATCTAGCTATACCAAGCCAGGCTTCCACGGTCCATGCAGATCTATAGATGTCGCTCATACGCTGCACTTCGTTGGCTTGTTCTTCTCGGTCCAGCTGATTGATGCACAATGCATCTACCCAGAGGAGAAACTTCCCACAGAACAGGCCATCTCTACGATATTGGCGTAACGCGGCGTCAAGATTCTCTGTGACATCCACAGCGTTGCCATTCACGATTATCATCCGGCTGTTACCACGGTTGCCCCATACGTAACTGAGGCACGCGAAATCGCCCCATGCGAATCTGTGAAGATGACGGCCAGGCTGATGACTATTAATCCGCCAAATAGCTTCCAATTGGGGAGTATTGTGTCTCTTGACCCATTTGTCTCTCACGTTGACGTTACGCAGTATGCTGACTCTCTCTGGACCCTCGAGATCATCACCCGAGTGCTCGATATTAAACCTAGCGTAGTGGGCAGATAACTCACACAGGGAGTACGAGTCAAGCTGACATTCGACGATTGCATCATCATCGCGTGGGATGATGCGGATCAGTCGAATATCCTGGAGTTGCGCATTGAGAGGCTGCCAGAGTGGGTAGCGCTGCTTATCATCGGGCTCCATCACAATCAGTGAATAATAGATGTGACTAGCTTTCGGAAGCGCACGTCATAAGACCTCGGAGATTGGATAGATTGGATGTGGATTGCTGGTAAGTTGAAAAGCTGAAGTGCTGGAGATGGGTATGTTGCGAGGATTGGAAGCCTGGAGGTGCCCCGCAATTACTCCGTCCGTAACTCAATTCGCAGATTCAAATGATGCGCCAAATGCCCTTAATGCGCACCAACAAACTTAAGGCCATCGAGCTAAATATAGTAGCTGTCAATAAAACATAATCTATCGTCTCCGACTTCAAATCTGATCTGCTCCCAAGATCTGCTGGGCAGCGAGCCGACTGAGATATCGTTTCTTGCGTCCGTTTGAGACAGCATGAAATGATTCCCCAAGTCAATTCTTGCCATCTGGTTTCGTGAGCTACATCATGTTTCGCATGTGGCGTGTGGACTATCGCTACGTCATGTTTTGGCCCCCACCAACACCATCACTTCGCTTGCTGCCTAGTTGGGATTGACCCTCGATCTCCTGAGCTTCCGATACTAGGACCAACAACTGCCCACATCAGCTCCTCGATCCAAGTCCACGGTTTACCGTATGCACTATCGATCTCGCAGCTGCCGCTTCCGCGAAACATGCAGCGACCAACATGGAGAGGAGCCCCGGATGTGAGCCTCATCGATCATCAGATTGCGCATCCCGACTGCGATGCCGCTCAGCTACAAGAAGCGCTGGAAAGAGGGTTTGGCCCTAACACTTGGTGGCAAAAAGCTCTGATCGAAGAGAGTGATCCTGATCTTGAGCGCTCAAGCCGATTTCCTGGTCATATCTCGTGGCGGAATGTCAACACACCTCTTCACAGATTTTCATCAGCAAGGAAACTAGACGCGGTTCGTGTTCTCCTCAAATATGGCGCGCAGATAGAGTTACGAAACGCTATGGGGCGAACGGCACTGCACGAGGCCGTTTTGTGGGATCGTTCTGAGGTAGTCATGTTACTCGCTGAGAACGGAGCCGATGCAAATACGGTCAGTGAACCTGCATCGTTCGAAGCTTACGAGACTTCTCGATTGTGGTTTGCTGGACGATTGCCTCTTTATGAAGCCATTTACAATTCGAATCTCGAGATCATCGTCACGCTGATAACAGCCGGTGCAGATTTCCACCACACATCTGAAAGCGGCTGGACGATCTTTGACCTTGCTATCCTGCACAGGGATAGGTCGATTATCACGCTGCTTCTCAAACATGGAGCCCAAACATCACAGTGTGCTCCCAGTGAGACTGCATCAGAAGAGTTGTGAGAATCTGCACGGTTGCTGTTGGCACATGTAGCTCGCTTTCCATCTGATAAGTGTAAGACAGCATACTCACACGTCGTAAACCAACCAGAATTCATCACCGCCTGTGAAGACCTATCCGTCTACCAGCACCCTTTGGACGTTTTTCTGGAATTGCTTTCTCAGGCAGCGGAATGGCCTAATCCGGAGAGTTTTCAAGCAGCTCCGGTCTGCGTTGGCTGTGCTAAGGCTCTAGAACAGGCGTCTCCCGAGAAGCAAGGTCCGTTCGAAGTCCATCCAAACATGCGATCTCTGGCTCAAACGAAGGATGAATGCAGTCTGTGTGCGATCTTCGGCGACGCGTTCGAAGTAGGCTCCAACGCCAGTGCTCTATTGCGCACGGATGGTGATGATGACGATGAAGCTGAAGACAGTCGCCCTGTATCAGTGACAGTGGTGATTGGGAAGTTTGGTCGTCACTTAACTGTGTCCTGCGGGATACACGAAAAGAAACTGGACCTGTACCCAATGTCTGGTGAGTAGTCCATCTCGTATCGCGTGTCCTGTCTGAAGCAACGTGAGAGCAAACTGAACCAAGACACACTCAGAATGTTTTATCTCCAACCATCAGAAATACCCTGATGATCAAGTTCTCGGGACTGCATCACCGCGAGCGTTCGAATTGGCACGCTCATGGCTCAGAAATTGCCAGCACAATCATCCGTGCTGCAAACGTGGGCTAGATGTGGATTCTGCCCTCCCGACTCGCATCATCAACGTTGGGGATACATTAAACCCGCCGTTCCTTCACCAGAGCAACGGCGAGTGCGCTCCTTACGTGGCTCTTTCATACTGCTGGGGCAGTAGCGGGAACTTTAGAACAACAAAGGAGTCTTTGCTAAATAACTCAAAAGAGATACCCTTACAAGCACTACCTGCAACTTTACGAGATGCGGTCATCGTCACAAGAGAGCTGGGTGTTCGCTACCTCTGGATCGACGCAATTTGCATTGTACAAGACGACGCGGAAGATTGGAACAGGGAAGCGGCTCAAATGCAGAGCGTATACTTGAATGCTGCTGTCACATTATCAGCGATGGCTTCTGATGATGCCTCGGGAGGGCTCTTCCGCTCCCGAGGACCCCGTTTCGTGAGTCCTGTTCATCTACCACTGCATTTCCCTCCCAGGGACCGACCCTCATGGGGACAAAGGCCACCCAAGTTATATTGGTTCGTACTGCCCGCCCAGGCATCGATAAACCAGTTCAAGCCCGGTCCTGTCAGCTCTCGAGCTCGGACGCTCCAGGAACAGCATCTAAATCAACGGATCATTCACTTTGACCCAGAGATGATGTTTTGGGAGTGTCTGAGCTCGCATGGCTCTGAGTTGGACCCTGAGGGTCAAAATCACGCACACTCGAGCGTTCCGGGAGGTACACGTAAGCAAAAGCGCCTCCTACAAGGCTGCCCATATGCCCGAGATCTGGAGATCTACGGCCGAGATACTGATAGCGAGCACGCCAAGGCTACTGCTGTGAAAGACCGCCTCTCCGGATACCTCTACGAACAGTGGCAAGATCTAGTATCTGAATACTCTTCCAGAAGTTTGACTAACCTCACAGATAAGATCCCGGCATTTTTGGGCTTGAGTAGGACTCTGGAAGCTCGGTTGCAGGACGAGTTCATCGCTGGGATATGGAAGGAAAATTTTTGGTGCACTGTCAAACCGGGGGTAGCATCGAGAAATCCTCACTATCCGTCTTGGACGTGGGTCTCAGTTGATGGCAAAGTCCAATATAGGTGCAAATCTCTCAAGGGGATCAGCTGGGAGCCTTCCAAGATGGCGATGGACATTCATACATCTGGTCCCTCTCAGAATCGTGTGACTGGAAACGTCAGACTGAAGAGCACTCTGCGCAGATTCCCCGCACATTTTCGCTTTGGGCTGTACAGATCTTTGAATGGGTATGAATTAGCATCGCATGCTTTGAATCTTTTATACAGTCGCACTGATGATGATGCAACCAAGCGAGTCGCCAAGAGCTTTTTTGACCTATCCGATCATAATGCGAAAGAGCAAAAGGAGGACAAGAGGCTAGTTGAGGAAGGCTTTCGAGATGTACGAAGCTCGTTCCAGGAATCAGAAGATTCTGCGAACGACTGGGAAGGCGCCGGAACCGACATACACTGCGTGGTAATTGCCCGCATCCCCAAAGGACCGCCAGTTTCCACTGGGAAAGGTGCTCGTTGCTACGCCGGCCATCCGTTCCCACATGGGAGACCCGCATCGGTCATTTGCATCTGTCTTACACGTGTCGGTGATGGACAGCCCGAAGCCGGGCTGACAGGAGATGTGTACCGTCGAATAGGTCTTTGCGAGTTCTGGGACCGACTAAGATTCTGGGATGGCGCCATGAAGGATGAGTGGGTTACCATCATCTGATCCCGTCAAAAGATCGAACAAACGTTTGAAGCTGACCGAGGATGTCTACGCTAGGCTGCGGTGAAGACTGCCTTCCAGGGTAGTGCATGCGACGAGGCTTAGCGGATGCTAGTCACATCGAGCATTCTGCTCTGGCACAACAAGAACTTGCGGACAGTGATCGTCATGTGAATGCACGTGCAGAGAGTGATCTGTTGGATGTTTGGATGATGAAATTTCTGGGTTGGAGGAGATCTTCTTCGTGGAGGTGTCCAGTGCGAGGTGATAAAGTGGGACTAAGACGTTCAAGGCCGACCCAGCGCAGATCCTTGTACGCCGTACTGAACAGGCAGCTACCTTCCAACTTACTTTGCATGGAGCATGGCGAGGACTATCTTGTCCGTGCGAAATACATCACCGCACCTCGCCCTCAGTCATTACGGCAGGGTGCCGAAAACTCCCATTTCTTGCATTAGCCTCGAAACCACGTGGGCGTTCGCCGACCGATCGCCTTTCATGCAAGGGACGGCTCAAGATGAAGAAAGATGCTGATTGGTTTTGACGAGAGCCACTAACCTGTAGCTCCAACTTAATTGCAAACCTTTAGCGGGACTCACCAACCGCCACCTAGCTCGAAAACGGGATCGACACACTTCCCCGACCCGCCACTGCAGCGCAGTCCCCCATCTCTTGCATCCAACAAATCGGACTCTGACCAGACAGTGGACTAGCTACCAGAGTTGGCCAATTCGTGACCCTGATGCAGACCATGCCTTAGTTGCATACCCAGACAGTCCACCCTGCTATACACCTGCCGATTGTCTGATGTGCGTGATTCAGTCTGCGTGATTCAGTCAACTCGAGGAAGGTTCGGCATCCGCCATGCTAGTAACTGCCATAGTAAGGATTGGCGAGCCGCGTCTTGGATCTCTGGTGATCGTCAACAACAATGGATACCAATCAGATCCGCAATAAACCCTGTGGGACCCTTCAGATCCTTTTCCCAGTTGCTTGTTTCTGGGTCCTTCGTTTGACCATCTCACACCATGAAGGTCGCTCTTAGTCTACTCGTTCTTTCCACCGCTACCTGTGGCGCTCTTGCACAGAGTTCAGCGCCATCAACTGGCTTAGACGCACTTCCCCCATGTGCAGTACGTGAGATAGTGAGCCATAGATATCAAGCTGACCATACCAGTTGACCTGCCTGATCACAGAAGTCTCCCGTTCGCCGTGTCAGTTGACTGACTTCAGCTGTACCTGCACCAATGCGCAAGTCTTGGGCGGCGTTGAAGCATGCGTCCTACAATCATGCAGTGTCAAAGAAGGCCTCACAACGAAGAATATCACCTCGACGATATGCAACGCACAGATCCGCGACAAAGGCGGCAGACTCAAAGCCATCAACATCGCGCTCGCCGTTCTTTCTAATATATCCGTAATTATACGGCTCGCCACAAAGGCCGCTGGCCACAATCCAAGCTACGGCTTTGGCCTCGACGATGTGTGTCTCATGGTGGCCACGTATGTGGGCATGAGCAACGCTATCGTCATCGATCGTTGCACTATACCATCTGGCCTTGGTCGAGACATCTGGACACTGGAATTTCAGACCATTACCAACTTCGTGCGATACTTCTACGTCGTGGAGATTCTCTACTTCGTTGAGCTCCCGTTTCTCAAGCTGTCCCTGCTTTTCTTCTACCTGCGCATATTCCCTGGGTCGAAGGTCAAACAACTGCTCTGGGGGACGATAGCGTTCAACGTTGCGTTTGGCATTGCCTTTGTCATTGCGGGAATCTTCCAGTGCAGACCCATATCGCACTACTGGACGTACTGGGATGGTGTTGATACAGGCGGCAAGTGTTTCAACATCAACGCCCTCGCATGGGCGAACGCTGCGATCAGCATCGCAGTGGACCTGTGGATGCTGGCCATTCCGCTTTTTCAAGTTGCTAAACTCAACATGGCTCGCAAAAAGAAGATTGCAGTATCTATGATGTTTCTAGTCGGTACATTGTACGTCCCGACGCCCTATCAACCTTCATAGCTAACAACACAACAGCGTGACAATTGTTTCAATCCTGCGGCTTAGCTCCCTCGTCTCCTTTGCGAATTCCGTGAACCCGACCTGGGACCAATGGGACGTAACGCACTGGTCGATAGTCGAGATCAATGTCGGCATCATCTGTGCCTGCATGCCTACATTCCGTAGCCTGCTTGCTGGCGTGCTTCCGAAGGTGTTCGGCTCGTCAGTCGGCTCGTCTTATCAGCGCCAAACAGACAACAGGGCTCGGACGCCATTGAGCCCACTAGCAGATGCCAAAGCCAAAGCCTCAGTGCGTCTCCGCGAAAGCTTCAGCACAAAGGGTAACTCTACGAGTTACGCGGATTCAAGTATGTCGCGCACCAAGACTCAAGACGACGAAGTTGAGCTGGTGCACTTTGACGCGATGAATCGAGAGCGAGGAAACAACCCCTGTTGAGCGCTTGCACTCAGTGATTCTGTAGGCTGCAGAGACCTATCATATCGTAATACAAGTCATCTTGCCAGAACTTCTCCGAAAATCCCAACTTCCAGCGCATTGAGCCCAGGTTCAGCTTCTCGACTTTGGATTCAGCACTAAATGAGCGAGGTGCGTTTTTGCGAGCTGTATTCGAAGATAGCGCGACACATGTCTGTGGCGAATGCGAGGCCCAGGGGAAGGAACTGCGAGTTGACCCTAAGTTCATGCAGTTTTCACATGCATTTATTGTTCCAGCTTACGGATATGCAGCTCAATTCAAGCATAGCGATATCACCACCGCCGGGGTTGACCGCAACTAACCTCGTACCTGCGCGATCTCCCTGCGTCGTCCCATTTGGCGTCTGAACCGACACCTAGTTGAAGGTAGCAGTCTCAGAGTCAGTGCATGCGCACGCTACTGGGATGCTGCTTGCTAGTCTCGAAGAGCTTGTGACAGAGGCACTGTGATTGGGTGCTATCTGGAGATCGGCAAGCAATGCCGAAGTCTGTTGTCTGTCAAGTGTCCACGACTCAGTATGATGAACTTTGATTTCTCCATCACTCTGGTCATCTGCTTGAGCACATCTCCAGGCTCATCGAAGACGTTGGAACACATTGCGTACCGAGGTAATGCTTCACATGGGGTCGTCATGCCTGACCCGAGTCTCGGTTAAGCACGAAAGGCTCTAGACTTATCAGGGGTGCCTGGCAAGCGGCACATCACGCGCACGAGCGTTGAACGTAGTTGGCCGAGCGCCCTCTGACGGCTTTCTCAAACAAGATTTGTTTCGTCTCCGCATGTCGTTGTCAGAACTCAGGCACACAGCCACGCAGCTGGATCCTTTGACGTACCGACGAGCACTGCATCCCATGACATTCGATGTCGATTGAATCTTATTCCACCGCTCGAACATGCGCAGAGCGGAGGAGAATCGCGGAAAACAACAGCAGAATGTCATCAAGAGCGTGCCGCTGCGTCCGTCTTCTTTCTGGGTCAAACACATCACGTCTCGAGTGCGCTGCCTCAAGTTGCCTCAGGTCCATGCCTCAGATGCTGTGTATGATCCTCTGTATGACCTCGCGCGCATGAGGCTCGACCCCGTACTTTCAGCGCGAGTGCGTGTATAAAGCATTGCTGCCTGAAGGCTAAAACTAAACATCAGCACACTTGCGACTGTTTCTGCCTCTTCTCTTCTATTTACCCAATTACTAAATTCCTCTGCTGGTCCAGAAACACCTTATTTGCGTCATTATGAAGTTCATCACTCTGTTCGGTTTCGCGGCAACTGCATCTGCGGCAGCAATCACAAGTCGGCAGAACGGGAATGGCGCAGTTCAGAAAGGCGCACAAACACTTGTGCTGAAAGAAGTCGGCGGCATCCCAGGCAATGAGTGCTTGACCTTCCGCAACAATGGTAATACTCCTGGTCTACTGATCCTACCGCGGCTGACCATCGTAGGCGAAATCGTGGACGCAGCATGTGTAAACACAGCAGCAGACCGCCAGCTTACCCCGTCCACTATCGGGGGTGCAGATGTGCTCGCGGTACAGCGATCGTTCTCAAATGGCTTCCGGCCAGACCTTGTCAACACACAGGCGTGCGTTGGCTTCAACGGAACACATTTCAAGGCGCTCGACTGCGCAGACAACAACTTGGACCCTGTCAGCTTTCAGAATGGTCAGCTGGTCAGCGCAAGTGGCGCATGTCAAAGCGGGCATGACGGTGCCGCTCAGATTACTGTCGACCCCGCTGGGCAGAACTGTGCGCAATTGACGAGCAGGAGGGTCCAGCCTACAGCTCCGTGAGCTCTGGTCCTGTAATGCGTAATGGGGTAGGCAATATGAAGAGTGTCCCGTGCACGGAATGTCTCCGTAATATCAAACAGGTTAATACAATGTATTAATGCTTCTTAATGCTTCTGAATCTCGTCATTCTGCAAGTCTTACAACTCGTCACACCTCGGTACTACCAGTATCCTTAGTCTCCATATTAAACGACGTATTATTCTCCTTCTTCAGTTCAATCGCCCTCTGCAGCGGCACGAGCACAAACGCCAGTAGCCCAACGCCCATGACCACAAACCACACGGCCCTCAAGGCGCCTGCATACACGCTGATCACCTGCTCCAACGTCTCCGAGCTGGCAATCTCGCTCAGCCGCTCACCACCTGCAGCAAACGCGTATGCGGCACCGTTCCGCAGCGACGCCTGGAGGCCTTCGTCCTGCACGAGATGCACGCGGGCGTTGATCTGCCCGTTGAACACGATGCCGCCCATAGTCACGCCCCAGACGAAGCCGAAGGAGCGGATGAACGAGTAGGTGGCGGTGGCGGTGGCAACGTCCTCTTCTTTGAGTGGTGCCAGCGTGCTCGGAAGGGCTGCTGTGTAGATCATTGCGATGCCTGCAGAGGGAATGATCTGGAGGCCTATCCACGCAGCGTGCGAGGATTCGCCGTCGAGTGTCGCGAGAAGCCCTGCGCCGGTGGCTACGAGCGCCGTGCCGGCGTAGTGCAGGGGAATGTACTGGCCCCATTTCGACAACGCCCAGCCCGAGAAGCCTGCGAATGGAATGATGGCCAGCGCGAAAGGTAGGTAGTAGACGCCAGACATGAGTGGTGACACAAGCTTGACACCCTGGAAGTAGATCGGCAGGAAGAAAGAGATCGTGTACAGGACGACCGAGCTGAGGAATACGAGTGCAAAGCCGGTGATGGAGGTTCGATTTGTGAAGAGGTGTGACGGAGTGCTGGGATTCGCGCTGTAGGACTGCTGCACGTGGTACAGGACCCAGCCCAGTATACCGAGCACAAGGGGGAGGATGACGCGCCATGAAGACCAGGGATGCTCTACGCCGCCGGTGATGAGCGCATAGAAGATGGAGATGGTGGACGGAATGAAGATGAGAGCGCCAAGATAGTCAACGCGCGCAAGAGCATGTGCCCAGGTCGGGCTGCGCACGTAATTGACCTTCAACAGGAGGATGAGGACAATAGCTCCAACGACGGAGATGGGTACGTTGAGGTAGAAGATCCACCGCCAGTTGCTCTCTGCCATCGTGCCTCCGATAACTGGACCGATTGTCGAACCGATCCCAGCTGTCGAGAGGACTGCAGTGAGATACGGTCCGCGATAGCGCGGGGGTACAAGATCGCAGATGATGATGTCTGACAGCACGTAGAGTCCAGCTGCTCCTGTGCCTTGTACGGTGCGGCCGGCAATCAGCATGGCAGGGCTTGACGCACCGCCGGACACTCCACTGCCCAGAGTGAACAGCGCAATAGCGACGAGAAAGGGATTGCGTCGGCCGAAGATATTCGCAAGTTGGCCGTATAGTGGCTGCGGCGCAGTAGACGCGAAGATGAAGCACTGCGCGATCCAGACATACAGGCCGTCATTACCGCCGCCGATTGCGCCTGTGATTGTAGGGAGCGACGTTGTGATGATTGTGCCATCGAGTGCCGACAAGAATGAAAACAGACACAGGACCGCGAATATGCACCACAGCGACCAGGTGTGTTTGAACGGCGCTGAATCCTCTTGTGTGCCTTGGTTTGCGAGTTTCTCGTTGACATCGTGGGTGGAAACATGAGCTGATTCTTCGTCTTTCCCCGTGCTGTCGATCGTGGAGAAAGAAAGGTTAGCCATTATCGTTGCAAACGCGAAGCAACGTTCGCTAGAAGAGAAGATTTGACGAGATGTGGAAAAGATGCGGAGGGTGATAGGTTTAGATGCGTGTGAATGAGCTCATGACACTAGCGAACCGCTGCCTGACACTTTTAAGACTTCTTTGTTTAGAACGGCATGCATAGATAAGACAACTGCGGCACGGCAGGATCGGCAGTGTGCTGACCGGAACGATGCCTTGTGCGAGCTTCCCGCTGCGCCGGTCCCGCTGATTATACAGACTCAGCACGGTCGACCTGTTCGGGGACCGAGCGTTTTGATGGAGACGGTGAGGGGCATTTTCGGTGCTTACGGTGGCGCAATACCCCACGACGCTAGCAAGTTCAAACAAGACAGCGCATGAACGCTCATTGATGCATTTGTATTCACTATTTATGATTCCCATATGCAGAAACGGGCGCTAATGTCATATCGACGCCCAGCTGCCTAGGCAACTGCGACTGCGCCTGACCAGTCGCTGCTGCATCTGACTTAGAAGTACCTGCCGGATGTCATGCCGAGCAGGCCCCAAAGGGCAACCACGCCCTGGTACGTCTGCGACGATCAGTATGTCACGTACGAAAGTGCAAGCAGACTTACTCAGCAGGTTCAGGACCCAGTAGGCGATGCCTCCGGTTAATGTGAAGACGCAGAGGTCTAGAGCCGTTAGCAAGATCGTAGCGCAAATCAAGGCAGACCTACAATCATCGAGACAGAACTTTTTGGACAGTTTCAAGTTCGTGCCGAGGCGAAAAGCGAGACAAAGACGTCCCAACACGACGAGTACAACTCCGGTGACCCACGCCTCATCGACCAGCGTTGAAGGATTGTCGAAGTTCGGAGGCGCACCCGACGGATTGGCCGCCAGAGGGACCTTGGTGAGATCGAGAGGAGCAGTCTGAGGCGCAGTCATATTGTGCAATAGGAGATCAAGGCTGCGGACGAGAAGTAAGTGGACGGACAGCAGAAATATACAGCGAAATTCCTCGAGACACGCGCAGACACCAAACATTACACCATATCGTCATGGTGGTCAGTATGCAGCCGGGAATCTGCAGTCAGGCCAGCCATTGACCGCCGGACCGAGCTGACTGCTAGCGCGCTGTTAAACCCCGAAGCAGGGGTGGCGTGCAGGGTGCGGGCTAGCGTACAGGGGTCCCCTGCCCATCATGTCTCGCGAAGCCTTGACCAAAATGGATTGTATGTGCGACTTGACGGGATGAGCTCTGATCCGCCGAAGATGATTATTATAGCATGGCAGTTTCGGGATAGAGACAACGGCAGATAAGATACGGCTGCCTGTACGAATGCTTATAAACACCTTCAGCGCCAGCCAAAACGCCGTACATAACGCCATAAGCTCTGAGCTGCAATACTGCAAACCTTCTTTCATCTTCACTTGTAGATTTCAAGATGCTTTCTCTCCTACTTTCGAGCCACGAAGCCCTCTGGACTCTTGCATTGGGGGGCTCTCTCATTCCCTGTGCGGTTCTCCTGTCTTCTGTCCGGAAACATGGACTCGTAGGTCTTACCGTACTGTACAGATTCGGAGCTGATTAGATTGCCAGACGGCAGCATTACTCCATCCTTACAATGCAATAAAGAACTGGCTTACCTCTTGGCTGTTCCTCGTCGACGCTCCAAGACTGATCCAAGAGGGATACGAAAAGGTATGTCAAGATCGACCTTTGTACTCGCCATCTAACAGTCGTTCAGGCACAAGGGCGATCTTATACCGTTGACAGTCCGGATGTTCGCTACCACCTGGTCACGGATCCCAAGTTGATCGACGAGATTGACCGTGCCCCTAACGATGTCCTGTCTCTGCAAGCTGCCGCGAAAGTCGTAAGTCGAATGAGTCCACAATCCATGCACGATGCTGATCAAGTGCTACAGCTACTCCGTCCAGAGCACTCAATGCACAAGTTCAGCTGGTTCGAGAAGAGAGGCATCGACAACACACCCCTGCCCAAGACTGTGCGCACTCTGCTGCGAAAGGAGCTGCCCTCCATTCTGCCCAAGACCCGAGTCATCAACTCCAAGATCATGGAGACAATGTTGAGCGGGCCCGGAAAGCAGCCCCATATCTCTCAAGTGGTTCGCGAATGTGTTGCACAGACCTGCGCTATTGGCTTCTTCGGCGAAGAGCTCGGTATGTTGTTCCCAAATGTGGCTTTGAACATTCGCTTACGAGTTTCTAGCCAACGACAAAGAATTCATGAAGGCCGCTGAGGACTTCATCGACAGGACAGTCTATATTGCAGAGGCAGCCCGGATTCTGCCGGGCTTCTTTGGAAGGCTGGTTGTTAAGTTTTTGGAGTCTTATTTCTCATCTCAACATGTCCTCTTCAACGCGCTCGAGGCTGTTGCGCAGCGTAGAATCGAAGAGCACGCTTTGGGAGCCCAAGGTCACGCCATTCCTGAACACGTAAGTCTGACACGCGATCCGCTCAAAGAAAGTTGCTAACGCCTCTTCCTCAATTAGAAGGACTGTATTCAGTACATTATGGAACTCACGATGGACTCCAAGCCTTCGCAATGTATACTTACCGGACCATGGGCAGCTGGCAGAATCACCCACGAACTGATGGCTCTCTGGTTTGGCGCCGTTCACACCATGGCCATGGTAACGACCTTCGCCATCAGGGATGCCTCGATGAATCCAGAGTATCTTGATGTTCTGCGAAGCGAGCTCGAAAGCCCAGCCTACGAGCAATGGGAGGCCACCGGTGCCGGCATGCCATTCCTGGACAGCTTTCTGAAGGAATCTGCGCGTCTGAACCCTCTCGACAATGGTGAGTTTTGCTGAATGCATGGCTGAGTGGATTACTAACATCTGTAGTGAGCACTCGCCGCAAGGCTTTACAGCCGATGACATTATCCGATGGCACACACGCAAAAGCTGGAGAATGGTTCGCGACACCTCTTGCGGCTATGCTGAAAGACGCCGGAAACTGGGCTGAACCCCTAGAGTTTCACGGTTTCCGTCACGTCGCTCCTGAACATCTGGCAACCCTCGAGAACAACAGCCAGTTCTCGAGTCCTGAGCCGGAGAAGGCAGCCCTGCTTACCGACGTCTCGAAATGGCAGACATGGGGTACTGGTCGCATGGCATGGTAAGCTCGCATATGCTCTCGCATCTCATCGCTAGTGCTGACTTCACAATACAGCCCCGGTCGATTCTTCGCAACTGCTGGCATCAAGCAGATCTTCGGTCTGGTCATTACCAAGTACGATGTGGACATTCTGGACAGGTGCGCGCCGCGCAAGTACAGCTGGCGGACGTGCAACGTGCCTCGCTCAGACCTGCCCATCGTGCTCCAGCCGCGTGCGTCTGCGACATGATCGGTGGTTCTGTTCGCATGCACCTGTTTCCTTCGCTCGTTCGGGAGCCGGCTCAGTAATAGTCCGGTCGGTATCGCATCGTATATACCTCTCGCTTGGCTTTGTCTGTAAAATGCGCAAATCTATTCGTTCCTGCTATGATCAACACAATGCTTGCAATCGCCGTCTTCTCTGTGCCAGTCGTCACCCTCCACTGATTTGTGGGCCCCGATCGAAGATTTCATTTTTGGAAGCAGTCGTGATGGCTCGGGAAGCAAGCAGAGGTTGAGCTGATGATAGTCGCCGTGGCGGACGCCGAAAAGAGCGGGTCGGGCGTCGGGCGTGCGGGTGGCTGGCAAACGGCGATCGCCTGCGGGTGTGCTCCGTGCCGCAGCTGCCTAAGTCAGGCCCAAAGCGGCCTAGCGCTGTCAGCAAGAGCTGCGCCGTGTTGGTGGCACAGTCGTGCCTGCGCAAGGGCTCGCACACTTAAAACCCCCGCGGTTCTGCACCCCTTACTTCCAGCAGCTTCGGAGCATCATCCCACTTCGTCTCTTCATCCGCGGCATCTTATATCTTTGGCCCCCATCAAGCTCATCCAACACCTCATTTCGGGTCTCCTCAATCAGCAACTCGCAACCATGTTTGAGCACTTTGCGTATCGGCACATTCCTCCCTTCTGCTCGCCAGCATCTGGACTGTTGGTGGCTTCATGTCCTTTACCCACGGCCCCGAGGAGGCCATTCTCACCTACGGCCTCGACAAGCACATTGCCTCAAACAAGGCGTCGTGGCCCTTGATCAGGATCGAAGGCTCGCGCGTCACCACCATTGGCCTGGCTATCTGGGGTATCTACTTGGGCGGTCATCTGGAGGCCATGGACATCTTGCTCGCCTGCATTGGTTGGATGGCAGTCATCGACGGCGTTGTCTGCTCCAAGGATGGAAAGTCGGGAGCTGCGAAGTCGCGCGCGACTCTGAGGATGGATTGGCACGACACATGTAGGATACTCCCATGTCGACCTTCACCATTGCTGTCACGCAGCGACAAACGGGTATCCTGTTCGTCATCGCACCGACACTTTGGGCATCTAAGGTGGCTATCCTTGCACTCTACATCCGCATCTTCGGCACCATCACCTGGCTTCGACGGACATGCTGGATCTGGATGGTGTGCATGGCGCTCTTCTACGGCTTGAACATCGTGGCCGCTGGAGCGTACTGCGTCCCTAGGAGCGGCGAGAAGTGGGGAGGCGACTCGTTTGCTCGCTGCTCCTCGTCGGCATGGCTGCACGTAGTGGTTGGTGTGTTCTCAGTCGTTGCGGATCTGATCATCTTGATCCTGCCATTTCCCGTGGTCATGAAGCTGCGCATCTCCACGACGAAGAAGATCACCCTCGGCATCGTATTCGGCACTGGTATCATGTAAGTTCGACCTGAATCTATCGCCAGCAGCAACTGACCAATCCACAGCCTGGTCGTACTGAGTGTAGTCTCACTGTGGTTGAGAGTCATCATCTTTCAAGGACATGACTCGACCTGGAACGCAACCCTTCTTGAGATAGTCAGGTACGTCGCCTTACTCCGACTTCATACCTCGCACGTCACTAACAACATTCAGCGTCATCGAGATCTTCGGCACCATTGCCGTCGCCTGTGCGCCTGCCATGTCAGCTTTCTGGCTCAAGATTGTCGTCAAGACCTCACTGTGGAGCAAACTCAAATCCTCGTCGGTCATTTCATATCTCCAATCTCGGGTGCTGCCTTCAAAGTCTCGTGTCCACGAGGACCCTTCTTTTGTTGGCCCTCGTGTTGCATCATCACAGCAGTCAGGCTCGCCAGCTCAGTCAGAGAAGAACTCTCGATACATCATCAAGCAGACCTCGTACGATGTTGTCGACGACGAAGCTTCTCTTGTGCCGGGGCCAAATCAGTCCCTGGTATGAGAATGTCGTTTCCCTGGAGAGTCAATTGACACCGCATGTTTCTGATTAATTGTTTTGTTTTATGAGATACCACGAACCATTGTTCGAGCACACTTGGGAGATACTAGCACATACGTTAGGACGGAGATTAGCAGAATTCAAAGCTTCAAACCTTACTTCTTGCGCATTAGAAATTGTACGTGAGCTACACATGACGGCTCCAATCAACAAAACCGGGAAAAATGAGCCTACCCACTAAATGTGGAGGTCAGACTGCTTACACGTGGATTGCGACCCTGGAATGCATAGGTTGTGCAGCTGTTAGCAGAGGATTAGAAAGGTTGCATCGAGACAGGGATTTGCAGAGCTGCGTGTAGGGTCTCGCCCAGGACACCTTCATTATCCCCGGAGCGTACAATACCAGTGACAGTAGTGAGACTACTGGATGGCGAGTGACTTGGCTTCTGCAGGGGTCTGCCTCGAAAAAGATAAGCTATCGTTTGGCGCGTGTTCTGGTAGGCCACACAGGTCATGGGGCTGGAAACAGACAGACTGATCCCCACAGACTGCCAACAGTTCTGAACAGCCTACTCGCTTAGGTGAGAATCAGTAACCCGATACAGCGATACCGCCGGTGCTTAAGCAGGTCGAATGCCAGCCCAGCCTTACATCGTGCCTGGTCGGAGTATTGTTCGCTGGTGCGATCGAGCAGCCGATATGTCTGAGACTTCTCTCCCTGCTGTCAGCTTATGAAGTGATATTGAATGAGCTGTAAACCTACAGCTGGATTAAATCACATATTTTGACGGTCTACATACTCGTATGGGGTCAACGCCGACAGCTAAGCGCCGGTTCTAAAATATCCTCACTGCCGGCTTTCGTACAACCGAAGACTTGAGCTATCAGACAGAGCTTATGCTCTCCAAAACACTGATTAGTGTTCTATTTTGTACCAGGGAAAGTGGTTGGACAAAACAGTCGTACATCCAGACGAATTACAAGAGATACCGAACGAACACCACCCAGGCCGTGATGATGATCGAAGTAAGAAGCCCAAGCCCGGCATAGGTGACACTTTTGAAATGCTCCCGTTTGGTCAAGGGATCGGAGGTTGGGTCTTCGATCTCCTGCTCGCGAGCTTCACGCTGCTTGAGCGTCATCGTCATGCCTTTCCCGAGAAGTCTGTAGTCGACAGTGATGTATGCAAGTCCTAGCAAAAACGCTAATGATTTGACACCGATCGCGAATGAAAGAACACGTGTGTAAGCATTGCCCTCGGTATCTACACAGTTATGATTAGTGTTGGTAAGCAAGGTTGCATAAAATAGACTCACCATCTTGGAGCACGCCAAACACGATGTCGACAATGGTGGATCCGGAGTTGTTGAAAGCACGCCAGACGCCAAACGCTGTTCCAAGCTTGTTTTGGTCGGCAACCAACAGCGGAATGCATATCTGTAGAGGCATGCTGTTGATGACACCCGCTAAGCTACTGAAGACGAGGGCAACAAGTGGATGGATGTCCGCCCAGCCGAGCAGGCTGCAGGCAATGATCCACAGTACCGGAGCAAGCGCAACGTAGTGGAAGCGATGCCCGTAGCGATCTATGCAGAAGCCTAGAACCGGGGAAAGGACTATCGGAAGGATGTTTTGCGCGCTTGACAGGTAGCCTGCAACTGCCTCGGTGAAGTCGCGCATGCGTATGATGTCTGCGGAGCTTGTGTTGAAGCCGCCTGCCGCACCGGACTGCAGCAGTTGCGTCATTGGAAGCATCCAAAAAGCCCACGGTAATTTAAGAATAGACTCAAAGGACAAGGCTTTCGTGGGCAGGCCCCGCGCCAAGGCTTTGGCTCGCGCTGTTGTCAAGCGATGGCCCACTGGCACGACGAATCGCTCGAAGAGGATATACGCGATGGCGACACAGAAGCTGAATGCACAGAACACGACTGATATCCAGAAGGTCCAGACATATGAGCCAGTGCTGTCGCGGATGGGTATAGCGACCATTCCTCCCTGTTGGTCTTAGCAACGAAAAGAAGCTGGGAATGGAGGACTTACAACAAGATCCACTGTTCGAGATACAGCACTCTCCAATCCAAATGCTAGAGCCAGACCACCGGCACCAAACCAGTGGTAGAAGAACTTCTGTGTCGCTGAGTCCAGTACCGCAATACCAAAGCCCATGATGATGTGCCCACCAGCGAGAAGCCTCCACAGCCCAAGGTTGACAGCTATGCCGGCGAGAATCGAGCCAACAAGCACGATACCCGTGCAACAGAGGACAATGATATTTGGACCGAAGTAGTCAAGCAGAATACCGCCAATGATTGGCCAGATTGAATTGACGATAGCATCTGAGGAGCTGATGACGCCGAACTGCGTGTTGGTGATGCCAAGTTCATTTCGCAAAGTGTTCTTGAGTGGTCCAAGACTGGCGCCGGTCCAGGTATGACCTATGGGGAGCGAGACGACACAGATCAGGGCAAGAATCTTGTACTTCCAGGGGATCTTGTAAGCTGCAGAGTTGAAGTCAAGCCGCGCGTGGTCGGGAGAAGTTTCGGAGAGTTGAGAACCCCGAACATCATCCGACTGCTGGATCTCGACAGGATCAACACTGATGCCCGTCTTGTCGAGCTGCCCTTTTTCTGTATCGGAAGTCATCTGGAGAGGGCTGAAGGTTAGTGGAAAGGAGCTAAGTGGTTGAAGGGAGATGATCTAGATAAGATCCCATCTTATCAATCGGACGGTCGAACTTGTTCAGACATCGTGATTGACGCCCAGTTCTTCTTGGCTTTGCAGACATTTACGCCAAGATCGTCTGGAAATGATCGAAATGGCTGTTTTATGGAGCCGGCTTGGTTCCGCGTCGTATTCAGAGCATAGTAACTCGTCCAAGAGGGTTTGCCTGATCAGCTAGTCGTTTTGTCTTATCAGATCCGCAGTCGAAGACGAAGAGGTCTTAGAAGCATCGATTTCGTTGAGGCCAAGAGGAGCCAAGAGGCTCCAGCAGAAGACTACCGCCAGGTCGTACACTCGGCAGAGCAGCGAACAAGCGATCACCAAGCTCTCTAAGCGCGGTCTGTATGAAATATCCCACTCTTGTCCTTCCTTCAGTTTTGTGAGGGGTGAAAGAAAGGCGGAAGCAATTATAATCGACTTCTCGGAAGCAGGATCGAAGAGCTGGTATACACGATAAACATCGCACGCCCTGGCAATCATCAATATGCAGTCGATCCATCATCGGAACTGGTCATCGCATTGGAAGCAAACGCCGAAGGTGCCGGTCGGCCCTGCGAAGTCGCTCGTTGGCCGATTGTGGAGGCCGGGTGGCAAGACTGACTCCGAAAGCCTGGGATGGAGAAGTCAACGTATCCGAAGTGTGCGCAGTGGTCGGCGCGTCCACACGCTCGATGGACGCGTCTGGCAGGTATTGAGGGGTGAAAGTACGAGGTGTCGGAGGGAAGGTGCACGGGCCAGTGCCACTGCCGAACTCGGCTGATGACGATGCCGCGTTCTTCAGCCGACATCACCAATCTCTCCTAACAGCTTCAACATGGTTGACTGCAAGCCAACGAGCCCAGACCACGTTGCAGTTTCACTCGCCTATGATAACGTACTTGCCTGATACCATTCAGCGGCTGATCTTGCTTTGAAGCTCCCCTAAGCTCTGAGTCGAAATTGAAAAGCAGTTTCAATCTTTCACATCTCGAGTTGTCGCTTCGCAGATGGAGTTCGATGCTGGCGATGCAGAAGAGCCACAAAGCACGAACTAGTCATGACACAGTAGTCATCTCCAGCAGACCTTTGGGACTGTTTATACGAATATTGTCGGCATCTGACCAGATATAGCGAGTTCCATGGCATATCAACCACGCAGATGCTAGGCCTGACCTAAAGCCGAGTAGTGTCGCGGTCTATTACCCCAGAGTCAGTTTCAAGGCTCGCCGCATCAATCTCTTGAGTTTGCTCTTGCTTCAGCCCTACCTTCTCATCGGCAATCCACCACGCCCCAACGACGACCTCGAGAGGTCCTGAGCGACGGCTGACGGTTTTGTTATCGTGTTTACAGTATACTCCGGAAATATACGAGGTGTGCCGTCAAGAAGAAGAGGGGGACATTGAAACAGTACGCATGGTCGTCAGGATTTAGTACGGGATTTGGTCCTTTTACTAGATGAGGACATGCAGACTGCTCGTAGACTGCACTCGGGATGTTTATCCAACCAGTCGAGACTCGGAAAGCTGCACAATTGCCATCCTGCCTTTTAGCAATGACCGGCTTCGGTCAACCACGAGACGGCTGACAAAACTCACCGTTGGCGACAACTCACTTACATGAGTAAGAAATGCTAATGTGCGGCATTCTCCAGACGTGCGCGTTCATTGGTCGTAATCTAGGGATCGTGGAGTTTGTGGCGGTGACAATGCTGACTGACCATTACGAACAGCACAGGCCACCCGCTTTTGTAGAGCCTGTGTAGATCCAGGCACAAGGCTGTCGAGTAATCTTGAGGTTATAAGCAACATTACTGTTGTCGAGGAATTTACCATTCGCATGTCAGAACGGCTAAGTTGAGCTGTCAGCCATGCATTCCAAACTCAGTCTCGTCTTTGCAGCTCTCTTATCCACAATCCTTGCCGGTCCAACAGTCGTTCGAGCTCCCAAGCCGCAGGTTAAGTTGCCTCTTCCGGCCTACACCGTTGCGCAGCTGCCCAAAAGTCCCAGCTGGCTCGAAAATGTTGCAGTTCGAAGCAATGGTGACCTGCTGGTGACACAGTTCAACCCCGCGCCTGTCCTATACACGGCGAAGGACCCGGCATCGGGTAAAGCGACTCTGGAGACCGTGTACGAGTTTACGACCATCACCAAGATCCTCGGCATCATTGAAACACTGCCAGACACTTTTGTCATCGTCGGCGGCAACGCAACAGCGAATGCAACCGGGTTCGCTGGCACCTTTTCTGCGTGGGAAGTAAAGTTTTCGAAGAGCGTAGCGCGGACCAAGAAGATTGCCGACATTCCAGACTCCATGTTCCTCAATGGTGTTGTCAGTCTGCCGGACGCTCCGCACGTAGTCTTGATCGCAGACAGCCAATTCGGACTGCTGTTTAGGCTGGACACCAAGAGCGGAAAACACGAGATTATCGCCGATCGGCCACAGTTCAAGTCGGACGCCCAGCGCTTCAACCAGACAGTGGGTTTCGGGATCAACGGAGTTAAGATCAGAGACGGGTATCTGTACTGCTCCAACTCCGATCTCATCAACATATACCGCGTGCCAATTACCAAAGACGGCTACATTGCGCAGGGCGGCAAGGCCCCGGTTGAGCTGTACGCGGACCTCAATCCCGTGACGACTTTTCTGGACGACTTCGAAATCGGCAAAGATGGAACGCTGTGGGTTGTCACAAATAGCGCCAACACAGTCGTCGCAGTATCGCCGAAAGACCGCAAGCCCCGGGTGGTGGTAGGTGCGAAAGACCAGTTGACGGTTGCGGGCGGAACGGGCGCAGCCTTCGGGCGCACGGCCCAGGACAAACACGTGCTTTATGTCAGTACGACAGGAGGGCTAGCGGCGCCGATCAACGGAACTATAGTGGAGCCTGGCAAAGTAGAAGGCATCGATACGCGAGGATGCTGATTGGGACGCCAGGGCAACCCTCGGGTGTGCTGCAGGGTACTCTGGTGTTGGTCTGTGTTTGGTCGCTCTCAAGTGCTACTCTGTAGTCTGGAATGCGTCAGTGACGTCATCGTCTGTATCAACTTTGGTAGTACCTTTAGCCAGTTGTGCCTTGACTTGCGATATCCGACTGATCTATCGGCGCTGTCAGTAGAAGAAGGATTGGTGTGCATGAGCACGTCGGCCCTATAGCGATAAGCTGGCAGCGTTTGATGACAACGGCAGGCTGTATGCTCGTGCCAAGGTTGCAGAGATGAAGGTATTGTTCGAAGATACTGTGTGTCGGTATGGTATCGCGCTTATTAGTCGTTTCTGATTCATGTATCCTGTATCATGACCCCTACCCAACAAATCGTTCACCGCCACTGCTGAGCCAGCACAGCGTGCATTTCAACCAACCCGCCGCATAGAGGAATAACAGCGGCTGTTCCGGCCAGAGGCTATCCACTATGGTCAGCCCATTTGTTGGGTGTTGGAACTTGGCCCGAAGAAGCGCCTTCTCGCTTTCGGGCTTTTGAGGTAACTCCTAACAAAGCGACGAAACCCGATGCTTTTCGGTCGCGCTAGTGCAGGCTGAACACGAAGACATTCGGCCATGAAAGTATGTCCTGTACTTATTAGAGGCTGTCCGAAGGTCTAAATCCGCACACATCCACAGCTCACAAACTCAACATCCAATATGAAGGTCCTTCTTACAGGTTGCTCCGGCTTCATCGGCAGCCACACCCTTGAGTTTCTGCTCCAAAAAGGGTATGTCAATTCGCACCTTGAATATGTCTCGCTGACAGTATAGCCACAATGTCGTGATTACAGTCCGCAGCGACGCCAAGGGGAAGCAGTCTCTGGACAGCCACCCCAGCTACGCCAGTAACCTCTCGTACACTGTCGTTCCCGACATGACCATCTCGGGAGCTTTCAACGATGCCGTTCAGTCGTCGCCGGAATTTGATGCTGTGATCCACATGGCCAGCCCTTTCACTTTCGACGTCAAGGACTTCAAGCGTGACACGATTGATCCTGCCGTTGAGGGCACCACCGAGATCCTCAGGGCCATCAAGGGCTTTGCACCGTCGGTCAAGCGAGTTGTCGTCACTTCTTCTTTCGCTGCGGTCATGAACCTCACGTCCAGTATCACCACGTACACCGCAGAGAACTGGAACCCCATCACCGAAGAGGCTGCCCTTTCCAACAGCGCAATGGCGTATATCGGCAGTAAAACATTCGCCGAGCGCGCAGCATGGGACTTCGTGAAGAACGAGAAGCCCAACTTCACACTCGCGACCATCAACCCGTGCATGGTTTTCGGTCCCGTGACCTACCAACTCCGCTCGCTGGATGCCGTCAACACCTCCAACGCCGTGTTCAGGGACATGATCGTCGGAAAGATGAAGGAGAGCATACCGGAGAACGCGTTCCAGTGGGTCGACGTCCGCGACGTTGCGTTTGCTCACGTCAGGGCCATGGAAGTGCCCGAGGCTGGTGGACAGCGCTTCCTCACCGCTGCAGGGGCGTACAGCAATGCGAAGATTGCGGAGATTATTAGGGAAAACTTCCCAGAGCTGCGCGACGAGATTGCCGAGCAGCCAGCGTCGGAACCTTCATCGGGGTTCACCATTGACTGCACGCCAGCTAAGGAGCTTCTGGGGATCACATTCAAGACTCTGGAGGAATCGACTGTCGAAGCAGTCAAGACCCTGCTGGCTGTCAAGGCTTAGAGACTCGATGTGTCTCGCCGATGGCCAGTGCTGGTTCGCTTATCAGGGTTTTAGATTTGTAGGATAGAACAAGAATACCAAGACGTGAAACTGTTTGCAGAGTTCTGAACTAAGGCGGCGGTCGAACCAAAGTAAGGCTCGGGCTGATATCCGGTAGGGTAGTAGATACCCCGCATTGTTGAACGATAGCCTAGTCAGCCTTGTACGACTTGCCCTGCACCTCGCTGACCGCCATCTACACTGAAGCGGGCCTCGTTTATGATTTGTGGAGTCGTTGCGCTCGAAGTCCATCGCCAAGCGGTATCCACACAATACAAACATCTCGTGTAAAGGTCCTGACGATAGAGCAAACAACTGTCATGGTCCGGGACGCCAGCTGCTAGTTCGAATTTCTCCGCATTCAGGCCCTTTGGTGCCATGCCCTTCTTGGTTCTCCACCGCTTCGAACAAAGCTCGAAGCTCGGATGCGCCGCAGGCTCACGTGCTAGCGACTGCACCCTTAATGCTTCAGGGCTGTCCTCGCCCTCGCAGTGGACTCTGGATGCCCACGATCGTTCTGCGAAGACACGCGCCCGAGCTTGGTCGCCGTGCGCGACGCATATCTGAAACGCGTCGTAGTATAGTCGGGCGTTCAGAACTCCTGCACATTGCTCGAATTCATCACTCAGGACCTTAAGGAGCGACTGGCAGGCTCTCAGACTCTGGCCGGGCTTGAGTGACATACAAAATGCGTCCCCGATGGCGTCATCCAAAGTCTTAATGCGCATGCGACGGGCGTTGCTGGCTTGGAGATCGGCAGCAGAGCAGGAGCATCTCGCGCAGTCGCATTCGAAACCAAAGGCTTCCTTGAGTTGTTTGCGCCGCAAATCAGATGTGTTGCCCCCGTCATAGGATATTGTGATCTCGTCCCCTGCCGCAATCGGTCGGGTCGCGTGTATGGTCTCTTTCTTGAGCAAGCTGTTCCAGCTGTGGTGACTGTTGGAGATGCAGCTATGATTAATGAGACAGATGGTAGGATACACGGCACCGATGGGTGAGTCCGCACCACACGGCAGGGCATTCGTCTTGAATGTGTTGGAGAACGGGAACTTTCCGGGAAAGTTGTTGTGGAGGGACAGAAATTGTCGTTGCGACGTCTTCGACAGCGCTTTCAGCTTCGCTGCGATGTTTCGCTCCAGGTCCACGGAAGAAAGGTTCAAGCTCGTAAAGATCGGCTCTTCGCAGAGTATTCGAGTTCCACTGGCTATGTCAACACATGCGACAAGGCCTCTTCCTTTTCCGGGAATGTCCTTCACTTCGAAGAGCGAGGTGGGGTCTCTAACGGAGGTATCGATACCGCTGTGTGCTTCAGGCTCGTCTGGCTGTTTGCAAGGTCAACAAACTCCAACTACAAGAGACATCTCTTACGTACCTGTTCGTACGACCGGATAGATTCGTCGACTGCAGCCCAGTCGTACTCGCCATACACATCAAATAGCTCGTCCCAATACTGGATTCGAGAGCCAAAGTGGGAATCTGCGATAGATCGAACGGTTCTGATGTAGCGTTCCACGCCGGTCGCCGCGGTATTAGGCCCTGTGATCTTTGAGCTGAATCGCAGAAACTTGTGACCCTCAAAGGGAAGTGTGGGATGTTCGCCCGCCTTGAAGAGGATGTAGTTTGGCTTGATCTCGACCTGGGTGTCGTCCTCGTACCGGCGTTTGATGGAGTCGATGAATTGCTCCCACTTGCGTCTATCGGCAGCGTCTTTGGAAAGGCGTGGGACCATATCGAAGCCAGCATCGGCGCCCATGGCTGCGTTCTGATTCCACGAGAATGGAGGTGAGACAGTTGATACTGCGGGGTCAGCAAATATTTACCTAACAATCATGTTGTGGAACGTCGGTGTACTTAGCAAACACCAACTGTGGAAGGTTATGGATTTGAGATCACGTGACATAGCATTGCACGGTGATAGCTCAAACCGAATGTCCTGAGCTCTAGCAACTGAGTGTCCTGAAACGAGACTCTCCCATTCTGGCGGTGCTTTGACCCATTGTATTTCGGCGGCAAATCGTCGAAGCTGCTTTCAACTAGACGTCACCTCTCACTGAAGGATGGTTTTATCGGTGGAAATTGGCCAAAATTGTCCTCTGTAATCATTGTAGCGCGTTGGGGAGCCCAACTTCCTCAAAGTGTTGACGGAAGAGATGAAGCGGGAAGCGGGGATCATCCAACCTCGGCTGAACCATTCGACACCAAAACACCACGCTCCACAATCCAGATAGATCCCTCCCGCTTGAAACCCACATCCACGTCAAAGTAAGCTTTCGCCCGAAGCTTATGCGTGCTTGATGCCCCGTCGTTATCTCAGATGCCGTGTGCTTGCACTAGGGCTGACAAGGCTGTCTAGACGCACAGTCAGCTGACGATGATCGGACGGCGCAGTATTTATTCGGCGTCGCTCGCAGTAGAGAAAAGAGCCTCCACGCTCCCAAAATGCCTTTGCTTGCGCAGGAACATGTTCGTATCCCGAACAAAGACATTCTGTCGTGGATGTATGACGAGCCGCAGTTCGATCACAGCGTGCCGGTGGGTTTCCATTTTGGGTGTCGGGTATGCTTTAGCTGATTTGGGAAGATCTACATAGATGCCTACGATGCGTCGAACTCGATTTCCGCAGAGCAGGCGAATATACTGATTCGACAGCTGATTGCCGGATTTCGACAAGCTGGTGTCCGAGAAGGCGATACCGTGCTTGTGCACGCTTTCAACAGCATCTACTATCCTGTTATTGTGCTTGGTATCATAGGCTGCGGAGCGATTTACACGGGGTCAAACCCTGCGTACACGCCCTACGAGGTAGATTTTATCCGAACGTGATTCTAGACTGAGACTGATGTGAAGGGACAGCTCGACCACGCATTTCGAAGCTGCGCACCTAGGCTCGTCATCTGCGACCCTGAGGTCATGAACGACGGACTTACTGCTGCAGCCCAAGGCAATGGAGTGTCTCTGTCCAGCATCCTCATTTTCGATACCTCTTCCGTCAAATCCCTTCGCACGACCTCGCAGCGAGTGCTTGAAGGCTTCGCATCCTGGCGCAGCCTGCTCAACCAGGGCGAGGCAAATTGGGTACGGTTCGACGACGAAGCCACAAGCCGAAGGACAGTCGCAGGTCTCTTCTTCTCGAGTGGCACAACCGGTTTACCCAAGCTCACTAAACTCTCGCACTACAATCTCATCGCGCAACACACGCTCGCGTTTGAAAAATTTCCGCGTCCGTACATATTGAAGAGACTCATTGCTCTGCCTATAGTCCATGCTGCGACCGCACCGTCGACGCACGTCTCTCCGTTGAGGTCAGGGCATCCGCAGGTCATTATGCGTCGGTACGATCCAGGGACGTTTCTGGAGATGTGCGCACAGCACGATATCACGGACCTGACGCTTGTGCCGCCGCAAGTCATATCGCTGCTCGCACATGCTATGCCTGATGCCAAGAAGAGAGAGCTGTTGAGGAGTATTCGTCTGGCATACGGAGGCGCCGCACCGCTCGATGCAGTCACTCAGTCGCGCTTCCAGGCCCTGTTATCTGCTGGCAGTCCGTTTACGCAAGTCATGGGCATGACCGAGACTTCCTGCTTCGCCTCCCCTCCTGCCGTATCCGGAGGATGACGACACCGGGTCTGTCGGACGCTTCCTGCCGAATATGGATGTGAAGCTGCTCGATGACGTCGGCAATGAATTGCAGGATTACAGTCAGCCCGGCGAGCTGGCGATTCGCGGGCCAACGGTCACAGAGGGGTACGTCGGTGTGCCGAGAGAACGCGACTTTGACGTCGATGGGTATCTGCGGACAGGCGATGTCTTGTATCAAGACAAGAAGAGTAAGCTGTGGTATATCGTTGACCGCAAGAAGGAGATGATCAAAGTCCGCGGTTTTCAGGTCGCGCCGAAAGAGCTCGAGGGCGTGCTGCTCGAACACGCAGGTATTGCCGATGCGGCGGTCATTGGCGTGAAAGGAAAAGACGGAAGTGAGATGCCGAGGGCGTACGTGGTCAAGAAGGATGTTACATTAAGCGAGACGGATGTGCAGGCTTGGATTAAGGAGAAGCTCGCGCGATACAAGTGGTTGGCTGGTGGCGTACAGTTCGTGGAGAGCATACCGAAGAGTCCAAGTGGAAAGATCCTGAAGAGGTTGTTGAGGGAAAGCGTTGAGAAGGGGCGCAAGTCGAAGCTGTGACATAAAGAAGAGATGAACTCTCTCTGCTTATCGAATAGACTAGAGTTGTCACCAAACTGTGTGTTTCGATTAATTCAGCAGCACCTTCGTCTTTGGTGTGAAGACTAGTCTTGTTCGAGCTCATCTTCTTCGAGCTCATCTTGTTCGAGCTCACCTTGTTCGAGCTCATCTTGTTCGAGCTCATCCTGCATATCATACCAGGTCGATTCGCTGGACCGGAAATATACAGCTTCGATACGATCCCATCCGTGATCTTCATGCAAGTGCCCCAGTAAGAACTTGCACATGAAACAGTACCTAAGGTTGTGACATGTGCGACACCTGAAACAAGGACCGTATATACCCTGAACGTAGTAAGACATGGTATAAGATCACCAAGATGCGAATGTACCTACGAAAAAGCAGCTACCACACCAATAACTACGGTGTTGTTGGCCTTCAAGATAATTCACGGCCAGCTCAGTGTTGAGTGCAGTGCGTGTTGATTCAGACAATCTTTTGATCATCCTCTTGTTTCCGTGGAAGACGGCAACAGCGGAAGGCGTCCAATTACCTTGTAACTCAGGGACGATCACGTTCTCGCAGGACCATCCTCCAGCAACTAGCGCCTCCACAATATGTGCATCTCCTTTCCTGCAAGCCCAGTGGAGCGGACTCCAGCCTTTCTTCTGATGAAGGGGCTGCACATACCCCTCAAGGACCGCTCTCAGGATGGCGGTGGAGCCGCTAGAAGCAGCATAGCATACTAAGTCGTCGCCCTTAGCATCTACTGATGTTGGATCAAGTCCTCGGCTAGCAACGTATTCATACGTGTCTGGACATCCACTCCTTGCCGCGATATGAAGTGGGGTTCGATCGTGATCATCTGCAAGGTGCAGACTCGTTGGGTTGTTCTGCACACAGATCTGAAGAAGGTCCGTCGAGCCTTTGAGAGCAAGTTCATTCGCGATAGTGCCAACCAGTGGTGACAGACCCCCCGAGGCATTATAAAGGTTTTCTTCCAAAAGAGCTCTTACCACATCGAATTGACAACTGGTCAACGCTATAGTCAGTGGGGTAAATCCATTTCTATTCGGGATCACCAAATCCACCTGCTTGGCAGGTAAGAGCTGAACAACCTCAAGATGGCCAAAGAGAGCCGCAAGATGTATGGGCATGTCGCCATCATCGGTGCGAACATTCAAGCGACCTGCACACCTCTCAAGTAGGAACTTTACAATGTCAGGATCCCCTTGCATAGCTGCCAGGTGAAGAAGCGTTTCGCCATGGTTTGTGGTAGCAGTCACCATATCTGGACCTTTCTCGACAAGCAGTGTTACCAGCTCAGGACTGCCATACCTCGCTGCAAGATGAAGAGGAGTCCAGCCGTCGTTGTCAGTAGCCGACCATTCTGCGCCATGCTCAAGCAGTAATTCCGTGACATCAACATTGTTGTGTCTCGCCGCGATATGGAGTGGGTTCCGGCCGTCGTTGTTAACTGCTGCAATGTCTGTGCCTCTATCGAGTAGTAGCTTGACCACCTGGGGCTGATCTCGGCTTGCAGCAACACCAAGGAGACTATCGCCGTCGGTAGTAACTTTTGTAATATCCGCCCCCTTGTCAAGCAAAAGTTTGAAGACTCTAAGATAACCCCGATCTGCGGCCACATGGATGAGCGGCCATCCCCGATCACCCTTACGAAAGCCTGCGTCAATCTTGAGCAGATTCTCGATTGCCCCAAGATCGGAATTCTCTAGTGACAAGTCGGGTGGTGTCTGCTCGCTGTCATTTGTGTTGGGCCAGACAGCTCCATGACTAAGGAGCAATTCCACTATACCTATCTGCGTTCTCCCTCCACAAAACGCGAAGATCAGTGGTGACCACCCATCCTCATCGCGAACATCTGGATTTGCACTGTGTTTAAGCAGCAACTGAACAACTTCAACGTGACCATCCCTTGATGCTATACAAAGCGGTGTTCGACCATGATCATCTGTATGGTCAGGATGGGCACCGTACTCAAGCAAGGCCTCGATAGCTTTCAGATGACCGTGCTGTGATGCCAGGAAGAGCGGGGTCCGTCCCTCTACGTCTTTACTGCAAGGGTGTGCCCCCTGCTCGAGCAGAATCTTGATGATCATGTCTCTCCCCTGGCATGCAGCAACTGCAAGCGGAGATCTATACTCCCCATCTGGCGGATCAGCGTCTGCACCCTTCTCTAGCAGAAACTTTACTTTTGCTTGTTGACCTCCGTATGCAGCAGCTGCAAGCGCGGAACCAAACTCTCCAACATGCGCCTTCAAATCTGCACCGTTCTCCAGCAGTAGCTCAACGATGTGCTCGTCCACTTGTCTTAAAGCTATCCCAAGGACAGATCCGTATGGTTCACACTTCGCGTTGGCATTCGCTCTGTTGATGAGTAAGAACCTTGCCATCATGTAGTCTCTCTCATAGACAGCCCTTTGTAAGGGTGTGTATCCATGATCTTGCTCTCTTGCCTCTATGTCGGCACCGTTCAAGAGCAACCACTCAACGACCATTTCAAGGTCAAAGTAAGATGCCAAACCAAGAATAGTGGCAAATCTTGGAGGATGATCAGAGAGTCTTGGGCGGTAACGGAACAATATGCGGCAGATGCCAGATGAAGGGTCAGACACCTGTATTGCAAGATCGATTGAATCTGAATCTTCTTTGCTTATCTGGGCTTTGCGGAAATGATGACCCCAGCTCTGTGCTGCGTAGGAAACGAAACCTTTGACCGTAGTTCTGGTATCGAGATCATGGTATGTTTCTTCCACGCATTCGAGGTGATCCTTGAAAAGGACAAGGTACCGCATACAGAGTTGCGCAAGCTCTTTATGTGCTTGACACGCAATAATAGAGTGCTTCCAACACAAGTCTGCAGTAGCAGCTGCCGACACGGATGGTTCCGCAAGCAGAAATTCCCTAGCAGTTTGATGCAGAAAGTAGATCTTGCCCTTGTACACTGATACGAAGAGTCCACACCAGGATCTCAGAGTTGTCAAAAAGTTCTCCTCTGACTCGAGATCAATATCGCTCAGTTCCCGAGTAGCCGGTCCTACGTTGAGGGCTACGTTCATCTCGGCCAAAGAAAGTGGACGTTTTGCAGCGAGGATGATAGCCAGTACTTTGCGCACAACTGTTTAATCCTTCGACTTGCTCAAGATTTTGTTGTACGCAGCATCGACATCCTTTGGAAGTGCTTGTATAGCCGAAAGTACACCTTTTTCGGTTTTCTTGACTGTTTCTGATCGTAGAAATTCAAACATGAGATAAACCCAGAGGTACGTACGATGTGGAATGGCAAGTAGCTGTTTCGATAAGGCTTTCTTGATCTGTTCCTCCCAGGCTTTTTCCTTGGCTAGTTCGTCCACCCTGTGTTTGATGACAAGGTTGACCTCATGACTGATCCTCTCTGACTCGTCTTCTCCGGGGATACGAATGCTCGAAGCACTGTCGAACAAGGATTGAAATTTGGAAAGGATCTGATCATATGGACGGGTGGTTAGAAGGAACTTGAGTTTACCACTCTTGGCTTTGGTCCTACGAGATTGCCTTTCTATGTTGCACAATAACTCGTTCAACTCTGGCCCAACACATTCATCAAGGGCGTCTATCACGATGATGACAGGTCCGGCTTGAGGGTCGTTAAGAGCATCCGCTAAGATCTCCCAGAGCGACTCTCGCGAGTTGATGAGGCTTTTTCCGTTCTTGCCAAAATTTTCCATAGCATGTTCGATCAAAGTAGGTTTCTGGCAGAACAGCTGGTGCAGTAAAGCACAGAGGGCTTGACGGACTGTGGTCTGGTCTGGCTCTTTGAAGAAGAAGTAACAGATTGTTGATGTCTGCGGTAACACACTGTTGACGAGGAACTTTGCAAGTACTGATTTGCCACATCCGGGGTCTGCAGATATCAAGAGAAGTCCGGAGTCTTGCTTAGTCCAGGTACAGAAGTTGTCGTGCTCAAGGACCCAATGACATGTGCCCTCAACGCGATTTTCTACCCTAGTTTTGTATGATTCGTACGTCGCGTCCCTATCACTCTCGGCCAGGCGGAACAGATGTAGACATTCGCTTCGTTTTTCAGCCTCCTCTTTAGCCTTCTCGGCCTCTTGTTTAGTCTTTTCTTCGGCCTCTCTTCTTTTGTCTGCATCTTGCATGACCTTCAGTTGTTGCTGGGATATTTGTTTGTGTTCATCTGCGGTGTCTCTGAGATCTTGTATGAAAATCAGTCTTTACGCTATCCATCAAATGACAGCAATCGTACTGACCAGATACAAGGTTACCCAATCGCTTCTCGGCCTCGATCTTGTTAGGGTGGATCCGACGAAGAAGATCTCTTGCGTATACCGCGGCTGCCATAGCTGCATAGCCCTGCCAGACCTTGTTCTTATGGGTATCGGAGTAGTCGCAAACTCCACGAATGACAAGACACGGAAAGTTGTTCATCAGCCCCGCCGCCTCCATCTCAAAGCAGAGTACGTCTTTGTCTTTGGCCAGCTGGTCTCGGAGTTCGGCATTCTTCATCAGTTGGTTGGCTGAAGCAATTAAACCGTAGTGGATAGCTGGATCGTCATCATCCTCGTCCCGCTCCTGCCGCAAGATCAGGTCTGCAGAGTCGCTACTGCAGACATTTGCACAAGCATCCTCAGTGTCATTGGGATGTACCACATTGGGCTTATACAATCGGTCGCTGGCATGATCCGGTCTCCCGTACTTCTTCAATCTACGCTTATTCGCCAGGACTTCTTTGATGGCCATCGGCCTCGTACCGCGCGCGGAGGTCAGCCACTGCAGTTCGGACGACAGTGGGCGGCTGATTGAGGTAGCCAGTTGTCACGAACTTCTGGCCCTGGACGGTCTTGCCGAAATCGTAATGGAAGACGCCACCCATCCCATTGTGAGGTGTGCTCACAACAACATCACCAAGGCGAATATCGTGTTTTGAGCTTGGTGCTCCCCCTCCAATCCCGACCATCAAACCAATCCTAACGTTGGGAAAGCTGTGGAGCATATCCTTTGCAACACTTGCGGCGGAAACAATGCCGTATTCCCCGGCAGGTAGCACGGCGATAACGACAAAATGTTTGCCTATCGTGCCCAGAGTGTAGCTGTTGGAGTCATTGGCTGCTGTAAACTCAGGTGGGTCGTGTTCTTCATCGAGAAATTGCCGAGCTGCAACGTGTTCAGTTGAGATTGCGCATATCCAGCCTACCGTGTAGGCATTAGGGTCAGACATGGTGCATGGCTCTGCGACGGGGGCCGTTCAGATCCTGGGTAGCGAGAATGCGCATTCGCTGGAAAGACTCGCTCGAAATGATGGGAGACGGTAACGAAGTGTGAGGGACATGATGGGTAAGAAGGCTGCACGGGGTCAGCCTGATGGCTCGATGCCAACATCACGACCCACATGTTAGCGATTGACTGCAGTGAGACTTGGCCCTGCCAGGAAATGCGCCACATCTGATTGCAACACACCAATGAGCGGGTCGGGATGAGACGTCGGTTAATCCTCATGCTAGCAGGCTGAGCTCTCCTAAGGTTCCCGGCTCGTACCATGCCCCGACACTAAGCTGGACATCGTAAAGGAAAGACGGAAACACATAAGGAAATCGGCCTCGATAAGACATGCCAGTAGGGGTTGTCGTCGTGGTGTGGACAACGGGAGGTCCCACTAGCGCGCGCGGCTAGCACAGTCACGTGCCGTCGCGATCCGTCTGTGCGTCGCTCCACTTCTCCTTCCCAGCCTCCCGACACAACACCATCACCTCCCATCGCCCACGACAACCCTCATCACGAATCCCGCATCTTTGCGCATCATCAACACTTGTTTCCCGCCACCGCCCGCTGCTCGCACCTCACCCACTCCGCCTGCCGGTAGCCTGTCTCGGTACACCATCCTTGCGGACCTCACAAGGCCTCAAAGCGCAGTGCACGACGCTCGTCGGTTCCTGCGCGGCGAGGGGTGATACCCCGGCAGACATTGGCAGCCTGGACGGTGGGGCTAGCAGCTCGCGGGGCGACCTTCACTTCGTTGCTGCCGCGCACATCGTCACCCTCCGCAGTCAGCCTCGGTCCACCATCCTTGCGAACCTCACAAGGCCTCAAAGCGCAGTGCACGACGCTCGTCGGCTCCTGCGTGGCGAGGGGTGATACCCCGGCTGGCGTGGTCTGGTGTCGGTGGCTAAGCTGCATACGGTCGAGTCAGAGCTGCTCCTGCGACGCACAAAGCTCGGGTGGGCGGGTTCCCTTGCTGTCACTTGACTTATTGCAAGGGGGATATTTGTGAGTAGTTTGTAGTTAGCCAATATGACCTACGATGTCCGCAAAGGCGGCATTCCCGCATTGGCTTATCCTCGCACCGATCCTGCATTACCTGTGTCGTTGTCTCTCATCATCAAGTGCCACGATCATCGCGCGCAGGTCACGCTGTGTCTGCAATCTGCCGTGCCCGTCCAGGGCTCCGACCAGACTGTGATTCTACAGTATGACGCCGACAATATCGTCCCGGGCGCGATCTCTGTCGGTCCTGCAGCCATTCCCCTGCCGCAAGACCGTCTCGACGCCCTCGCACGCGCCGGCAACCCTCAAATGCGCACACTGTCGTTGAAGCTGAAGAAGACGTGTCCTGTCTGGCTGCAGTCTACACCTCTCACCCCACGTCCTGGCAGCGAGGCGCCCTTTCACCAGCTCGCGAAGCTCGCCCGGGCTACCGAGGTCGAGATCCTCTTCGACAACAATTGGCTGCATCGTGGAGTTACTGCTGGCTTCCAGCGTCTGGTTGGGCATCCTGAGGAGCTCACCGGCTTTCCAGTCGATCAACATTACAGGCAACAACAGTACAAGCTGGTCGATTGGCGGGCGTTCAACATCGCAGATACCAGAGATGTCACTGCGACTGTCGAGGGTGAGCTGCCGCCTGCGTATGCTGAAGGGAGCAACAAGCGGCCTAGACACGGTAGGCTTTGCTTTCAACGATAACTGATCAACGACTGACCGCTGTAGTCGCGACGCCAACACCATCTTCTCCACCGCCGAAGCGAGTCCTACTCTCGCCATTTGCAGGAGTACACGCAAGTCCGACCGAACGAGACAGCACGAGTCCCACACCCCCAAACTCCACAATACCAAGCCCACACTTCTCGCCGCTCGCCGCGCTGCACTCAGTACCACACACACCGATTGCAGACGCGGTAGCATCGCCCACCGCGCCATCCTCCGACATCCACACCGCCGTCGAGAACGCACTCACCGCCCTCCTACCTTCCCTCCTCCCGACCATCCTCCAGCGCCTCCTCACCAGCACGCCCTCTCCCACGCCCTCCCTCTCAAGCCAAACCTCGCACGCCGCGCCCCCGCCACGCCTGACCGCCCTCGGCGTCTCCCTCCACGACCGCCTCGCCGGCGAGCTCTCCTCCGAAGTTGCTTACATTTACAACCACACGCTGAGCCACGCAAACTTCCTGCGCAGCGTGGCGGACGACCAGTTCGCGGCGATGCTGGAGGAGGAGCGACTGGCGCTGGAGCGGGTTGCCGAGGAGAACTTTCAAGAGTTCAAGGAGAGGTGTGAGGGGGCTGCGGAGGATGTGGAGGAGAGGGTTGGCTGGCGGATTGAGGAGCTTGGGGAGGGGCTGGGAGAGAGGCTGGAAAAAGAGAAAGAGGAGCTGATGAAGGGGAGAGAGGAGTTAAGGCTTGCAAAGGAGGAGTTGAGGAGGGATGTAGAAGAGATGCGCAGGGACAAGCGGGAGCTGAGGAGAGAAACTGCGGAGCTAAGACGGGAGAAGAAGAAGCTGAGGAAAGAGAGAAAAGAGTTCGAGATTGAGAGGCGGGAAGCTATGGAGAGCCGACCTGCTCAGCCGGGCAGAAGCGTAGAGAGCGTGCCGCCGTGAAGTGAGTTCTATACCCGCCCAGTCCTGTTTACGCCGTCTACGCAGTCCTGTAGTCAGAAACCATATCGAAGACATCGTCTTACCGAGCACGTCTCCAATCCACCCTCCACCCACGCAGATCCTAATACGCAGTCTTGTCCTCGTTCCAATCTTCCACATATGGTGGCATCTTCGGTGTACACTCCCAATCCATACTCCCGCAGCCCTGATATCCAGGTCGGATGTTCGCCTGGCACTTCGGACACGCCATGACCGGGCATCCAGGACACTGGAGCAGATAAGGCCAGCCGACGGTGCACTGTGGACACTTGGCTCGGTTTAGATCTTTAGACCACCAGCCGCCGTGTTTACAGGTGCGCCGCTGGGACGTGGAATGATGGGGTGTATGTGTAGAGTACTGCTTGTTCCGGCGATTCGGCTCGGCGGCTTGTCCTGTTGCTGCTTGTTGCTGTCGGCGAAGTTCTTCTGTGGCCTCGCGCCGACGTTGTGCAGTCGCCCGTTCCGTCACATCTGCTCGTGTCTCTGCGTCTGCCCGTCTTTCCTGCTGTGCGTGTCTCTCTCTCTCAGCCTTTCTCTCCTGCTGTGCCTGCCTGCCTTTCTCTGCCTCTCTTTCTTGCTGCGCCAGTCTTACCCGCTCTCGTTGCCTTTCCTGCTGTGCTCGTCGTTCCTGTCTCTGTTTCTCTGCCTGTCTTTCCTTCTCTGCCCGCCTTTCTTCCTCTGCTCGCCTTTCTTCCTCTGCTCGCCTTTCCTCTTCTGCCTTTCTTTTCTCTTCTGCCTTCTTTTCTCTTCTGCCTTTCTTTCCTTTTCTGCGCGCTCCCGTTGTTGTCTTTGCCGAGTTTGTAACGTCGCCCGCAGCTTTGCAATCTTCATGTCGTCCATTAAATTCGCCGCGTTGAAATCAGCTCTTAATGACTCAAACCACTCTTGCTTCACCCTCAAATCCTCTCTTTTCCCCTCCATTTGACGTATTTTCACAGCAAGCTCGGTCACCTTCTTCTGCCTTGAAAACGACCACAACCGCGGACTCCGGTCCGACGCACGAAAACCCTCAACCGCCTCAGCTGCAAGGATATCCTTCATGGAATGAATCGCCGACTTGAGGCTATTTATCTCTTCGCTGATCTGGAGGATTGTCTTATCGAACGCAGCGCTACTCAAGTGCCATTGCGCGGTGCGCTTCTCTTTGGCCTGCTGCAGCACGAGAATCTGGGCTGCCTCGTTGGCGACACCGGTGCGGGGAGCTGAGGCATGCGGTGCTCTTCTATTCAGAGAGGGGTAGAGGATATCGTACTCGCGCCGCGCGGTCTCGTCTTTTAGTGTCTCATAGGCTCGGACAAGCTTCTGTGTCAGCACCTAAGCATGTTGCTGGTTGGTGTAATTACATACCTGTTGAAAGGCCTGCGTAGCATCTGGATTGGGGTTGTGATCTGGGTGCACGATCAGCGCCAGTCGCTTGTAAGCCTTAACGATCATGTCCCGCGTGGCAGTCTGATGAATCTCAAGGATCGCGTAGTAGTCTTCTATAACCGTGGAGGGCGCCATGATTTACACAAGGCTGTTAGGGGTACTGAGTTGAGAGGATTTTGTGGTGAGATGCGTTCCATCGACATTGGGACAAGTGCGCTGAGCCTTTAACAGAACGGGTTTCTCTTTCACTTACTCTTGCACACATTTCGACCCCTTGCCAGAAAGTTCTGATTCCTGGAATTGCTGCCTTAAGCTCGGCCCACAAACCGTTTGTTTGTTGTTCAAATATCTTCATTCCTTGTCTCTTGATCCAACACCATGTCCGTTTGGTCCACACATACCAGCGCCTTCGCAATGGTGTCGAAAGCGAAGGTATGTTCTACGCCCTCCTTTCCACTCTGTGCAAACACTGACAATCAAAGGCATACCCATCGTCCAAGCGCACCCCGTTTGTTCCTAAGAGTGCAACGTCCTCTGCCTCCAAACGCCTCAAATCTGATGGCACGGTGTCGTCTCCCTACGTTATCGACTCCGACAGCGATGGCGAAATCGTCGGCCCCGGTGCTCCTGCACTGCGAGCAGATCGTACAAAGCCCAGCGGTATTGTGCAAGCAAACGACTCGGACAGTTCAGACGACAAGCCGCTCATCACGCGTCTGATAGAATGGAAGATCGCCAGGAAGGCTGGTCTTGGTGCTGGTGGAGTTACTGAAGAAGTTTCAGCTGACAGCTCGGACGATGAGCCGCTCGCCACGCGTCTGCCAAAGTGGAAGGCCGCTGAAAAGTCTGGTTTTGCTAGCACTGCTAGAGTTCATCGAGAAGATGGGTTTGTCAGCTTGAATGACAGGCCGCTCATTGTGCGTTCCACGGGATCGAAATTCCCAGTCGAAATAACAGCTGCTGAGAGAAAGAATACCGACGCTACTAAGATCTCTGCCGTATCAGCTCTAAGCCTTCATTCCTCGTTGCCAATTCGCTCACCGCGCGAAACTGAAAGTCTAGTACCTGTGGCTCCAGCCACGCCATCATCCAGAGGTCTAACTTACGGAAAGCGAATTGATTTGACGCCAACCTTCGAATCTCTTCAGTCCGTCGCAAAGTCGTCTCTCCACCAACGAGTACCGAAACCTGACCGAGTGTTGACGAGTTTGAGCCTGTTAAACGTGAACAAGCTCGTTTTCTTCCAAAGTTAAGGCTGTAAAGAAGGCAAATTGCGCGAAGGTGAAGCAAACGGCCAGTGCAAACAAGCGGAAGAGAAGCCCAGCGCAGACTTTCCAGCAAGATTGCAAGGATTCAGCCGCGGTTGGTGTTGACTTGACAGATGATGAAAGCGATGGCACTTTGGTGGACGTTTCTATTGACGATTTCGCTTCTCCCGCGGCGGCCAAGAAGCTGAGACGAGACAACGAGGTAAGTGACTGACTTGTAGCGTGAGCCCAGCTGACAGGTGAAACAGTCCGAGCATACACTCGAACGGCGCCCCGCTTCCAACACCATCTCTAAAGGCTCAAAGCTCCGCGTCAACCGTACTGCTCGTGCTACCCCAGCCAGCGATGTTGCCAAAGGAAAGATTTCCCTTGCTGACAGGCTCTTTCCAAACCCCGCTTCTCCACCTCCATCGTCCAGACGTCTCCAGAACAAGCCGGATCGTGAGTCTATCTTGTTGAGAAGCTTCAAAACACAGTGGTGGTCAGGCGGTCTTTCGCTTATCTCCGCTATCCGAGCTATCAACTATGGACTAGACCCGCAAGCTCCGAACTTCGACGAAGAAGAGGGAACGCGCATACTCGAGACTTTGTCGGCGCAGGGCATGTTAGCCATTAGAAACGGTGTTGTATACCATAACGATCAAGCCCCAGAAGCTAAGCCTGCGCTGGCCAAGACGTATCTCAGCCCAACTCAGCAGCTGGCGCGCGATATACGGCATGCACATGTCGAGCCATACCGATCGCCACATGGAAAGGTTTCTGAGATGAGATTCCAAAAGCTGGACACGCTGTTGTATTCGTTGGTCAAGATGAAGGAGGCATTATTCAAGAACGGTAGAGCAGAAACGATGCAAAGATGCTCTGAGGTCCTCAACGAATGGATGCCTGAGGATCATGAGTTTAGTTCGAAGGAGATAGGTGCTGCTTTTGCTTACCTGGCGAATCGTGGCAAGATCAAGCTGGAGAAGGATGTTGTTCGTTTGGTTTCTCTAGATTGAGCGACGGTTGTGCTGAGGTTGTAGTCGGCGTGGTAAAGGCCGCCAGTCGGTCTTGTTGAGAATGTCTCACATCGGTGCGTTTTGATAGTCAAGGACCGAGCGAAGAGACCAAGTGTAGTGTTCCGCAAATCAAACTTCTACGCCGCCTTCAGACACTGTTCTATGTCATGCCTACTTGCATTTGGTATCGATTCTCGAGTCGACGGTCGTACAAACCTTCCAATACCGCCCCTCAGCTATCGCGGAACCTTCGATACGCTCGGTAAAGCACTCTATCGAACGCCATTGCTGCATCGACAGCTCGCTCTTTTACACTTTCGTCACGCGGCTGAATATGCTGAGGTCGAAGCTGTGGATTTGAGTGATAATGCTGAAGTGGCGGGTATTGCGGGGGCTGCAAGTACTGTTGCGAATGTGGAGGCTGCAGATACAACGGAGGCGGTCGGTAGACTTGAGGCTGAGAATGGAATTGGGGCTGTTGATAGAATTGAGCACTTGGAAACTGCTGATAGGGTAGGAGATGAGGCTGTGGATAGTGCTGGAGATGTAAGGGTTGCTGCGCTGGAGAAGGGGATGGTGGCTCGCGTTTCTGCGACAGTTGTTGTTGCTGGAGAAACTGGTCGTACTCAGAATTTAGACGTTCCTTCTGCACTTCTTCAACCTTGGACGGGTCTGCTATTGTCAAGCTGGTGTCAGGCACCGAAGCAGCGTATGCGTAGGTCGCCGAGTCCGACCAGCTGTCCCAACTGTCTTCGTCCACCATACTCCCCTCCTTCCAGTGGTCCTTCGACTCCCACAAGAAGTCGTCTTCTGCCGGGACGTTGGTATCATTCTCGGGGCACAGTGTCAATACCCGTGCTGATTGACGACTCGCAGGATCCAACCGCGACGGACATATCGACCATCCTGCATTGTTCTGAAACGTTCTGCCCATCTCCAGCAACACATCAAGACTGAACCATACTGTGCACCTTCGTCCATCACTCGACAACTTCGCCGTGATGCCGTCTTCGAGGGTGCGCCCCGATTCTCCGTAATCCACGCACACAGATCTGCATTGTGCTACAGACACCGTAGACGAGTCGGCCGCTACTCGAAGCTCGATCAGACCCTTCGAGTTGCTGCAGATGGTGCGGATGTTAATGAGTACTGACTTGGTGCCATCAGACATCGTCGTAGCGGGCACACTGCACTGAGCGAAAGGCGTGGAGAAGTTTCGTCCTCGTTTTTCTCTCTTCCAACGCTTCGCTCGTGGTACCGTCCGCTTGACAAGTCGCAGGGTCAGGCCAACAAGAGCGACCGAGCATAGGCAGAACCATTGATGGCATGCCCGCAGCACTTCAACAGCAAGCCGTCCGCGGGAGACGCTGTAATCGACTTCGATGCTATTGCTCTCGCAACACAGACCAGCCAAAGAGTAAATCTTGTCGTGGTAGTCGCGGCATTGCTTTTCGCGGCACTCCTGCAGCAGGAGCATAAGACTCTCGCCCCTGAAGAGTCTCCATCGCGTCGGGTCAACTCTGCTGCCTTCGATGCGGGGACGGCTCTTGAACCCTTCCCAGGAATCCACCATCTGAGCCACATCGGCGAACCCCAGCGCAGCATGGCCGGCCATGAGTGTAAGAGAAGGGGCGAGGGCAACCTCTTGCGTGATCCAGGCGCGGCCCCAGTACGGCGAAGAGAGCAGCTTCTCCACTCCGCGACGGCTCGGGTGTCTTTTCTCTAGCAGAGCTGTGATATGACGATCATTCCCGAGCCACGATACCACTTCGCGCGCGTTTCGAAAGATGTCTCCCATTCTCTGGACCTGGTCGTTCTTCTCCTTCTCGTCTGACTGGTTTATGCACAGTGCATCGATCCAGAGCCACCGAGGATTGTTTTTGCGCGTGATGGTAGCATCGAGAAAGTCCCAGAGGTTCTTTTGGACGTCCTTGAAAACGCGGCCATTGATCTCGATACCAGCATCGTGCTTCGCGTCGCCCCACACGTACGACAGGCAGGTATACTCTTCGTAGACTTTGGCGGTGCGCATGTCGCAGCAGATACGGCCATCCTGTGATCTGTCGTGTCTGATTCGCACGAGACGAATCGAGTTGGGCCGTCCGTCCAGAAGCGGGTGAGAGAACTCGTCGTCCTGTTCAGATTGCTCCATAGTGAGGAGATCGGCGGTAGGATCGTGCTGACGTGCAGGCCGAGGCTCCCTATAAGACCTCGCTGCGGCTGAGCCTCGCTGACCACATCTGGACATCGGCATTCATTGCTGACACGGACCGATTGGCGCGCTTCAGCCTCGTAGGCGTTGTTACAGAAGTGTTCATGCTGGTCGCGAAATGCAGTGTTGCTTGGTGAGAAAGGAATCAGACATTCGCATTAGATACCGCAGCATCCGTGTTGGTGCGGCGTAGAAAGCGTGTGCTGAGTATCGAAACGGGTGGTGTTGGGACGAGCGGTGGACCCACTTTGGCCGACGATGCGGGGCACCTGCACCACGTAGATTATGTTGGCAGCCTCAGTCTCAATACAGGCACTCATACTCATATCATGCAGAGATGCAACATGAATCTGGACCTTGAGGACCGTCTGGATGATTGAACGAGTGAATTCGGCGTGCTTGCCCAGCCTCGGGCGCTCATGCCTCCTCAGCCTTGTGCGCTCAGCCACCGTCGCTGCCTCAACAGGATAACAACACTTCCACAAGGCATAACGATGGGACTGTCCGAGATGAATGCTTGTGCTTACCGCTGGTGATGGCCTGCCTGCCCGTTGTCAGAACCACGATGGTCGCGAGACACTTTGATCTCATCGGTCATTGTCTCTTACAACATCTGACCCTCTTCACAGCTGGCAATTGCTCTCGCCATACGCGCCTTCCTGCAAGTTCTACAGACCATCGACGTCACGCGATCGCATTAAAACTCTGAACCGGTGAGGCTGTGTCACTACCTGTGGGCATGTGTGCGGTGACAAACATCAACTGTTTCATCCCAGGATCATCTGGCAGAGTAGTTCTGAGTAACTGCAGATGTCATTCATGAAGTCTATCAACTTCGCAGCCTGACTGGCGTTCTTCAAGTTCAGCCCTGTCATTGGAGCCACGCTGGCACCGCCCTTTGAAACAAGTCCCGCGAGAAGACAGCGAAGCTGTTTGTGCTTACCTCCTGCTTCCAGACGCACCCGTATTGAGGCTCTCACCGCTGCTCCGACACACTGGTCTTGCGGTCGGTGAGCTGATGCTGGTACCCGTGTAGCACAGCACGAGTGGCACCCGCAAACAAGCTGGTGTTCATTTCCCGATCATCTAAAGTCAAGCATCGAACTCGTTTCAAGCTCTCGTCCAAGCCTTGCTGACAAAATCAACGCTGCTGAACGCGACTCAACCGCCTGAACCTTCATCGACAGTACCCATCAAGTAAAGGTTCGTTTGGATGTTTTTTAGTCGCTCAACAGCTGTACTAAATCTGCCAGCCACGCATCAAGACGCCATGCCAGCCTCCGAAGATTCTACATCCCCTCGATCTTCAATAGAACCCGAGTGCCCGTCATCATGGCGCAAAGCAGCCTGCGAAGGCAACCATCAGGTCCGCAAAGACATCGAGGAGATCACACGACACGCAGCCATGAAGGCGAGGCGAGGGTCTACCAGCGAGGAGTATATGCGGAGGCTGATAGCCGAAGTCGAGGTTGAGCTGGGGCTTCGTCGAGACTGACAGGCAGTTGATGTGACGAGTGGTGAGGCGGGGCGCGCGATATAGACGGCGTTTGCGAGGGATGTAGGACTGCGACAGTCGCATCAAAATTCAGATCGATTGTTACTGTCGCTCACCGTTGCAAACCGTTGCGTGATGTGCATGCTGTTGTTGAGACCATCGTGAACCGTGCCCGGCGAGGAAATCGCGTGGATCGGCGCTAACCGAAGCGAGGGCGCTAACCGAAGCGAGGGCGCTAGCGTGGCTCAGACCATCACCGCTCCACCGACAGCAAAAACTTCAACCCTCCGTATCTCCACAACCACAACAGCTGCGGACAAACTGAAAATACAAAAAGAATCAGCCCGACGAGGGGCTCGAACCCTCAACCTTGAGATTAAGAGTCTCACGCGCTACCGATTGTGCCAGCCGGGCTTGTTGCTGATTGATGAAGGAAGGAGAGAGTGATACCATTATATTCTCAGCAACGTGACTCGATGCCAGCTTGTTACGACTCACCGTGAACAAAGCGCGGAAGGATACCTTGGTCGCTGTCGGGCGATGATGTGCGACTGGCGACGTCGATACCTTGCTGCCTTGCTGCTATAGCTTACAGGTCTCGACCTTCACTCCAGTTGACTGTTGACTGTCCTGACAGCCAAATACTCTACAATTCAGACTCCCCTACATGGCCAAAAGCGCCAATCAGGTGAGACCACGCACTGTTGTGTACTTCAGTTCAACATCGGACGAGCTCTGCGACATCCTGAGACCTAGGAGATCACGAAAAGGAGAGTGTTTGTCAGCGCCTACATTGTCCCCAATGATTGAGGCGGTGAACTTTGACCGGAACAGTGGTCTGTCTGCGAACAAAGAAACCTCCATCTGTGCAGCGCGGCGGCTTTGTGCGCACCCCGTGCCTTTCACCATGGCAAAACATGGCAAGACAATGAGGCATTCACCGTGAGCGGACACCATGGCTCGTGACTGTGCGGAGGTGAATGCTACACATGTGGTGCTCATCTGACTCCCATCAACAACCTCTTCTCTTCTCCTACTCACATATTCGATCGCATCATGACAAAATCACCAGTACCCGCGAACTCCATGGAGACTGCTCTGTTGGCTTCGCACGCGCTGATAGCTGCACCAACAAAGCTTCGAGAACGACCGCAAACCCCGCCACCGACCTGCGACTCGTTTTCGTCTTGCGCGACAGAGATATCACCGCGAGCCCCAGTCACGCCAACATCACGTCGACCATTGACACCGACAACACCATGCGCGCCGCGGAAATGGTCGTTCTTCGAGCCCTCGACGCCACAGAAGCGTACGCGCAGAACACCCTCAACTGCAGACAGCTCGCCTGGCACACCATCCAGGCCCCGTCGCAATCGCAGGAAGACAGTCATGCCCCTGGACAAAACAATCTGCATCCCCATGTGCATCCTCAGAGCGCAGAAAGACGACACAAGCGCGCTGCTGAGACCTGCACCGAGGCCGAGCGATCAGGTGAGGAGGCTGGTGGACTTGAGTGTTGGGAAGACAATTGAGAAGCTGCGCGCGCCTGGAGCGACTGGCATTTTGGATGCGGCTGTTCAGACGCCATGGAGCCAACGCGGAGGAGCAACGACTGGCTCACCGACAAAGCCGGCACGTAGAGTGAAGAAGACTTAGGCGGCGGACTTGATGCGCAAGTGAGGGCGCTGCGAGATTAGCATAGAATATAACATAATCTCAAGCAGTATCAAGCGATGCTACGTCTTGATAAGTGTGATCAGCCACCTTGTCTCCCAGATCTCAGCTGCGGTGTTCGGCGTTTCAGTCTTGATGGCTCTCTGCTCGATCTCGACCTGCAGGCCTAGATATTTTGGGTCACTTCCGGACCGATATGTTAATAGAACATGGGGTACCACTCTGTTTTCACTCAACTCAATTTCGAGTTCAGAGTGAATGGCGCTTGAATACCCGCACAACCACTATCCTGAGTATCCGAACATCTCCGGTGGCCTCCTGTTCATGTCAATCATTACTGGCTTCATTCACGATACTTCGAGCTCATTCAAGCGGGTGGTGTCCCGCCGGCTCCGGATACAGATCCGCCATCCCGCCTGGTCCCCGTGAATCCCAGGCCGTCAATGGCGCCGAGATCCACAGTGGTGATCTCCGCGGACAATCTACCAATACAAGATCATTGAACGCCGCATTGAGCCGACAATCTGCCGCAATCCCAGTCATGCTACTTCTGGCTCTGCTCCAGCTTCCTGCGCATCTCCCACTATCAAGCGACAGCGTATCCATGTTCTGCACCCAAGGCGATGATCGGCTTGGCGAACAGGCTGCTGTCCAGGTTACCGGGATTGAGAAGGCCCTACCTCGGCGTGCCTGTCTACGCGATTCTGGATATGTGCGGAATCGTGGGATCGCAGCTGGGTACCTAAGCAGAAGTGGGGGCTGTTCGAGGCTCTGCGGTTGCAATGTGACCGTTTCTGGGCCTCGAGCAGGTTGGCGGTGATTCTTCGGGCAATCAAAGGTGAGCGGCTGAAGCGACATGGGTTGCGATCGATGTGGGGGGCGCTGTCAGGATTGTCAAAGCTTGGAAGGTTTCCTACAGGATCAGTGTAGGATGATCTCTAAGAGGTACCATCGAGCAAGATCCACTGTAGGAGCGTTCTCAAGTCTGACGTTGTCCACATCCGCGATCCAGATAAGGTGGCCGACTGTTGAATTCATCGACGCGCTTCGTATCTAACATGTGAGATACGATTTGCCAGTCATGGAGCCTTGTGAGGTTCGGTAAGCAATTGGAGGTGAATGCACCACAGTCCGTCTAGATAGATCGAGGGCAGGCGTTCAGTATAACACGAATCAGATACTAGAAAGACAGATATACACGTACTGATAACAACGCAACCCTCGACCGATTTGAGTGTTGATCGCGATGTTGAAAATAATTGCAACCAACTTACGCGTGAAGCCATACTCACAGGCGTATATAGAGGAGAGAAGACAGAGTGTCGTCCGGTTTGATGACACAAACGTCAGGTCAATCCACTGCTGTACTCCACACAGCATGTCGTCCAAATTTCCGTTGGCGTGCTGTGGAATATGGTTTGTCGTTGCAGCAATCAAGACTGCTGTATCGTTCGTCTCATTTCTTTTCCGCTCCGATCCCTTCACTTCGTTATTCGTGTCGTGTTGCTGCCTGGAAGGGTCCCACCTGCAGCCTGGAAAGGTCCCACCTGCAGCCTTGCGGCAGTCGCACACGCGACACGTGACCGCACCTTCCCAACTACTTGAGCAGCTCAACCGACTCACACTCTCCACCAATCGCAACTATCATCGCCCAGCATGTCGATCGTAGTTCCTCAAGTCCTCCAGCCAGACGCCGCCGACTCCGCGGGCGATGCTATCATTCAAGGTCTTGCTCCGCTCCTGAGTCAGTCTGCTTACGCTTGCGGAGGCTCTGTTGCTGTGAAAGAACGCCTCAACGTGAACGAGGAAGGCACTCCACCAGTCACCATCCGATGGGACGACACCGAACAGATCAAGAAGCTCGTTCTGCCGGCCGATGATATTTCCACCGTCCAAGGCCTCGTCAAGTCCACCCAGCCTGCGAGCTTCGGTCTGAATGGTAAGGATGTGATCGATGAGTCTTACAGGAAGGCCTCCAAGCTCGATCCAACTACCTTTTCGACAAACTTCTGTCCGTACGAAGTTGGCATCATCGATTCCATCAGCCAAGCTCTGTTGCCACTGCCAAACAACAAGTCCCAGGGCATCCGTGCAGAGCTGTACAAACTGAATGTAAGACTGCAGACGAACAACTTGTTTTCGATCTTAACTCCTCCAGGTCTATGAAGGACCTTCTGGCATGTTCAAGCCCCACCTCGACACCCCGCGTTCCGACCTTCACTTCGGCTCGCTGGTGGTCTGTCTCCCCTCCGCACACCAAGGCGGCCAGCTTGTCGTTCGCCACCAGGGTCTCTCTACCACATTCGACTGGTCTAAGGACAGTTCGAACCTTCAGTGGGCCGCTTTCTACAGCGACTGCGAACATGAAGTGTCTCAAGTCACGTCCGGCTACCGTCTCACCCTGACGTACAACCTCTTTCTTCGTCGCAGTGTTGGCCATAACGCTGGCACCAACGCCGTGGACGCATCTCAGCTGCCTGTCTACAAGGAGGTGCAGGCTGCCCTTGCCAACCCATCTTTCTTTCCCAATGGTAGGCTCGTATGACCGAAGTGGAGTGCGACGCTGACCCAACCACAGGAGGTCTTCTTGGAAAGTACTGCAGCCACGCCTATGCCCATGCTACTAAAGAAGGCGCTAGTGCACTGCCGGCCGCTCTGAAGGGCTCAGACATGGTCGCGTACGAGATCTTCAAGTCGCTGGGGGTTCCAGTCGCCATCCGTCCGGAACTTGACATCAAGGGCAAGTTTTACGTCTATGACGACGAAAGCGAAGATGCTGCCTACCTGTCACACAGTGTCATCGGAAAGGAGCTGATGGGCAGCAGCGGCGGTGGTTATGAAGACTGCAGCATGAAGGAGAGGTTCGAAGGCTTTCCTCACGACTTGCTCAAAGTCAAGTGGTTGAACACGCCCGTCGCCGATTCGCGCAACTTCCAGTACAGCTACCTTGTCGTAAGTTTCGCCACCCTGTTTACTTACATCGACTGACACTTCCAGTATGGTAACCAGGCCGAGATTGACTGGGCGTACAGTCACTGCGTGCTGCTCATGGAGATCCCGCCTTATCCGGAGCGGACGAAGGTTGGCCGAACAATCCTGGAGTGATATCTACCACTGACAGCTTGCAGGTCGTCAAGAAGCAAGTCCAAGTTGTTGAGGACTCCCACACCGCCTGAGCTGGCAGTCTAAGCCACTGCCGTTGGTATGCCTTCACCAACCAGGACATGGATACTGCACTGCCAACTTCTGACCCCTCGCTGTCTTCCCATATGTTGGTAGCGCTTCGTTGGGAAGTTGATACGCCGATCCTGTTGGATCCACCGCACCCGTAACAGTTACAATGAAATGGTTCCCCTACAAATTCTTCATACCTTCGTCTCTGATTGAAACCACGAAAGTTTATCCTAACAGCAGGCCTCCGTGGTTGCATGACAGCTGAAGCACCTGAAAGCCTCGCGTCGCTTTGTAAGAGCGAATAGCCAACTTCGCAGCATGTATCTGCAACCCTACATTGTGTTAACCAGGTAAGGGAAGCCCTTCATGGCTGGCCTTAACGAAAACTTACCTTTGACTGGACACACCAACGCGGAGAGCTTCCGGCGTGCATGAATCGTAGGACCATACCAATCAAACACGGCATCGTCGCTCGACTATAGCTGTCCGACCTCACGTCGCCAAGTTCGTCGAATGTGCTACCCGGGAGGCTCTGCAAAGACCCTGAACCCCCATCACCATGACGTCCGCCTGCCACAACATGCACGTCGCTTGGCAGTCACACCACCATCACCGACTCTCCCAACAGGGTCAAGTCACGCCTCATTGTGCGGGAGCCCGTTCTATTAGACAAGGGTTCGGACTCGGTTCCGGTGTTGTGGTGCCGTGTTTGAACGCAGGCTCCCAGCCCCACTCGTACGACCATGGACGAAAATCACGCAGCGGACTGGAAAGCGTATATCGACTGCTTCATCCTGATGTATCGCAACACGGGCAGCGTGCTTGCAGAAGGAGGGTCCAAGACCTAATGCACGAGTCATGCCGTGTAGAGACATACCAACGCCTCACCGCTACTTCAGCAAGGCCAGATTATTGCACACTTGAAACCCAGCTCTTGCGCACCGCATGCCGAGCGAAACGGAACTGCCGTACCCTTGGTGACCGCCACAGTCGCTTCTCGAGGAGCATGGTAGCGCGCTACGGAGGCCCACTTAACGATAATGACCCCGGATCCTTGAACGTTCAAGGTTCCCGTCCGTGCCTGTTGCAGCCTGCTCAAACGGCTAGATCTACTTCCCGGCGCCATGCTTACACCAAGCATCTCAATCCTCGTCTCTCACGCCGTGCTAATGGACCAGGACTGTATGCAAATCTTATTGTATTGGCCAGTCTGCCTGGACGGGAATGTTGAGATGCGACTGTTGCCGCGGGTTTGCTGCTGGGCGGTTGTTGTCTGCATCCTGCCATGCAGTCAGTAGCGGGCCGGCCCTTGGTGCCATATTACCGGTCAAGGCCGGAGGCGTATAGCTCGCATGATCGCGATGCCCTGAGTGGTCCGAAATCTCCGATTGGGCCAGCCATCGTCCCAACCGGGGGTGCTTCCGCGGGCCAGAGCAGGTACATCCGGGCGCTACAGCCCCTCTCCAATCCGGAGGCAGCCCGTCAGCCCGACCGAACAAGTCACTGATGGGAGTTGGTGTCGCAGTCATCCCACGCCGGCCAGCCAATATGTCACCCGGCCCACAAGCCCTCAGTGTCACATTGCGGGAAGCATCATCATGCCAAAGTCTATTGCAGATCCCGGTGCGTGCGACTTGGCTGGCACCAGCCTGCCAAACGAACGCCCCAAAGCCTCGTTGGCCGGTCCGATCGAGGATCCCCGAACTGCTGTTCAAGCTCAAAGCTCCATGCAATGCTGTGTTGCCACTCCGGCAGCACTATGGACTTCCACATGCGTAGCGAAGAGCCATAGCGCAGCATATATGCCTCCGGTTCCTGAGGCCTTTCATCAACCAGCACTCAACTCACCATGAACTACGCACACGTGACCACTCTCCCCTTTCTGCTCGACTCCTCCCACCTCACCCCTGAGGAGCTGGCCGAGCGAAACTCGAATCCGGCCCTCTTCGCAGCAAGACGATATGGTCAGCCAGAGCACATTTTCCGCGAGGCCGGTCAGTATGTCTTGCGTGTAGGCGACTGAGCTGACACCATCTAGCTGAGCGGCATGAGAATGGATCGCTGCAGGGTGTGCGTCCGGCCTTCTTAGCAGCCTACTCCCACTCACACAGCACACCTCGACCCGTAGGGGAGTCTTCGGGGACCTCTCAGAGACAGCAGCCTGCGCAGATGCTCGCCACGCGGACACGCCCCTCCAGCACGTCGCCCCCCTCTCACCACTCAAGTCCTGGTTCTGCAACTACAGCGACCTACTTCTCGACCGTCCTCTCGCAGCCCAGTCCTGCCAGTCCAACGCCGGGAGATCTACGGGCCAGCCGACCGGATGCCACGCGTCCAGAACAAGGCGACCAGAGGACGTAGCGCTGTTGATGTGATGAAAGTTGCGAAAATTCAATCGGGCGATATTAATCTTGGAGTTCTGGTCATGTCTGGAGGAGACCATGTGTCCCAGTTGACATATTTCATGTAGTAAACTTGGAAAATCTATATCAACATCTCTGCATATTGGACTTGCGATTGTGTTCGACGTGCTCCATGTTGCTGCGCCCGCTTGACCAGCCGCATGCTTAGCTGCTGTATACGGGACAGTCTGTTCGCCATGACCGCAATTTCCAGTTCCAGGTATTCGAAAAGGGTGCTTCTGTGTTGGGAGAGAGTTCATCACCGCGGTTGAAGATCTAGCAGCCCAACCGCTAGCGCGATGTAATGACTTGCTCATCACGCCATCTTAGGGCGTAAATAATCTCGGGCTGAACGTTGTAGATTCCACGGGAAAGGTTCAATATTCGTGGTGCAATTTCAACGGCTGAGTTCGTGAAAGCAGTACATCGCCCGTATACGAGCCGTTTCGATGTTACGAGTTTGCTGGGGTCAAGGAATCTGCGCCGGGTCTGTCGGTAGAGCCCAAGATGTGCACAATGCCGCCGAATCACAAACGCACGCACGTCGGCGGAGAAGGGTCCGTAACGTACCTAAGCACACGACAAGGCGCCAGGACGATTCTGCCGGCTGCAAAGTGCTCTTTGCATAACTCGGCTGCGCTGAGGCTACAGTACCCGTGAATATGTGACGGGGCTGTTGGCATGTCGTTTCGAGACATGTTGATACTCAGAGTGGTCGCAAAGCCGACAGTTTGTCTGATTACATCCCAACACGAACGGGAGTTCACCTGACGTGATTGGCCGGGCGACCGAATTGGTCCGCGGGGCGTTGAACCCGAGATGGAGGTCTTGACAGCCGCAGCGGGAGGGAGACGTTGTTAGAGTCTGAGATAGCCAATCAGAACCCGGCACGTGAATGGACCATGTCGCTATGAAACTCTGCAATGTGACACAGGCCGGTGAAACACGCTAACGCATAATCTCATCTTGGTCGCTGATCCAGAGAAACAAGTGCCGCGCCCGCAAGGTGGAAGGGGAGGTATATTGGGGAGAAGCCAGGATGTATTATACATAAAATGAGGTGCAGCTGTGTTGGTGAAACTGCGGGTTGAGACCGGGCGACAGGAACCACGGGGAGGTCGGAGCGCAGTATTCCGTTCCTATCATGTCGTTAGGGAATGATAGCAGGTTGACATCATTCTGCATATCTTGCCTCTCAGCTCTTATAATAGTCCGCACCAAACCATGTCCAACCAGCCACTTGGCTGGATGTAGCATTGTGAAACAAGCATCAATACTCTTGTTTGGACTTTTTCTTGTCGGGTTTGTATACGCTTGAATGGAGGTAGTTAGCCTTCGGTCTTTGGCTTATTGGCTGCAGTCAAGATGGTATGCATCCTACAAAAGCGCCAGGTGGCTGTTTGAACGTGCCTGGGTTTCAGTACCGGTACAATGGATAAGAGCTAAGCCCTTCACAGTTCGTTAAAGGTTTGGCTGTCTCACCAGATGGGAATTCAAGCCCAGGCTTGTCGATACATGCATATTATTATTTCAGTCTATGATTCGTTGAGGCGAGACAAGTATCACTTGTGTGAAAGACTTGCGTTTATACCAATGTCATCGAGACTATCAACTCATTGTAATTCCAGCATTTCGGACGTATGATGCAGCCTTGAGGCCGTGACCGGAGCTACTCTTGAGATTTTGTCTGCGTAGCTTTTACAGAGACTTGGCAATATCTCAGGTGCATTTCGCAGTCTTGTGTCAGGTCGTCGCACCCGCCGTTGCGCCGCACGGCGATCGCATGCCTCTCCTAGAGTTTGGCGGATATGAGATGTACCGTATGTTCGTGACTGCGATGATTGTACAAAGCGTGGTAGGTCAGCCGAAACGTGTGCTCGGGCAGAGATATCTGTGTCAGGGAGCTGAACGTGGTTCTGGTGTTCGGTTTGATGAGAGATCATCAGTATCTCGCTTTACTGCCGAGAATGACAAGCTTGGGTCCTTTCTGAGTAAAGATGGGTCTGATGGACTGCGAGCTTCGAATTTGATTCTTGTCAGCACATCCGACTTCAGGTATTGGGACTGCGCACCTGCGAACAACTCGAAGACGCAACGCAATAGCAGCGTGGGCAAAAATGCGAGGTCTACTGAACAGCAGTGCCGTGGACGACGACAGGTGCAACTGCGCTGGCAAGGCAGGTTGGCAAGTCTTCGGCACTGTTCCTTTCTGGCGGGGAAGTTGCGGTCAATGCTTGAGCACCGAGATACATAAGCAGCGCATTTGCTCATCGATATCATCGTTCCGCTCAGCCCAGTTTGACTGAAGCTCAAATACCGACAATTTGGCGTCCCATAACGACGCTGAATGCCTCCGCAGTGTTGTCTGATGGATGTTTACACGATCCACACTTCCTAGTGATTTGATAAAATTATCAAGTACCTCATACAGGGACAATGGGTTGCGCGATTCTGAGAGCCTTCAATCTCGCCTTGACTCATGCTGCTAGATGATAGAGAGAGGCGTCCGTCATCGCACAACGAGGCTTACACCTCCCGTTTGCTGAATAGCTCTGTATGGCACACGCACCTTGCTCCCTTCGCGCTTTCTCAACAATCACCCTCTGAACCTCACTTGATCGTTGACGTAGTTCGCAAAACCATCAAGCATCATGTCGGCAGCAGACCTTTTCGAGGATGCGGCGCTGTAAAGGAATTCGACCGTGGCGAAGCACGAAGTTCCAGCGCTCAAAGGACGGTAAGACGCACTTAGGTCGCTCTTGGTTGACTCCTACCGGATTCGAAGCAGCCTAAAAGCACTCCCCTTAGAATGTATCGACATCCTACCGATGAAGGGGGACACTGGCGGCTTGTCAAACTACCCAATCTGCATGGGCGTGCCCCATCTCCAGTTCGAGAGCAAACAACTCCGCCAGGAGCACCTCATTCGTAAGCGCGAACACAACGACCAGCTTCGAACGATCAAGACATCTGATAGTCTGTAGAAAAAGAACAATCGATGAAGGAGTTCTCACAGACAAGCACGGTCAACAGCGAGACTTCCGTGCTGTCTTTGAACAGCACGCCGTGGTTCCGCTGCAGGGCCAGGTGGAACAACACCTGACCGGAAAAGAGCCGAGCCAGAAGCTTCGTGGTGCTCTGCCCAAGTCCTGTTCGACTAGGCCAACAAGAGGTTGGAATAGGCCAACAAGAGGTCGGGTGCGGCGAACAGAAGTACAAATGAGGCCGATGAGAGAGCAAAGATTATCAGTGCATCTCGCCAGCGCCTTGGAGATGCTGCAGCTGTCCATTATGCAATCACCTGAAACTGCATGCAGGAGGACCGGTGACCTAGAAACAAGAAACACCGAGCAATCTGAGCGGCTGCGTACAATCGCGGACCTCCAATACGAGCTGGCACAGACGAAGGAGGATTTGACCAAGCATAAGCTCAAGCTTGATGAATGGTACAAGTGTGATAAGAAGTGAGCCGAAACAATTTCCGAGCACGAAGCGATGATCCTAGAGTATGCCTAACACATGGAAGATTCGGAGACATCTTCGAGTCGCTCACGTAGCAGCTCTCGATCTGTCGCAAGGGTGACGCAGTCGACCGCGCTGTTGGCATCCTGGTTTCGTTTCGAATTTGATAATAGTATTCCCAGCCTTGATAGCAGTGAGTACCGATCCACTTTCAGCCTTCGTTGGCAGTCATTTACTGAGTTTCCACGTGACTCGCAGGACATCAATAAGCCACGAGAAGATATGACAACATGCGTGAGCCTAAAAGGAGACGATTGCGACAGTCAAATCCGACACAGTCGAGCATTTGCGGCGTTGGCTTCACGTTGATTAGCAGGGCAGACTGACTCCAGCGGGCCAAACTCGGCGGTGGGCGCCAAGCCAGATGTCAGCAGTGTGCATGCCTTGGAAACGGCACATGCCAATGAGATCACCGAGAAACATAGCTCATGCCAGGACGTACCTGACGGAGAATCTCAAACTTGTCCCAATCGGCAATAGCGAGGTCCCACTGCGGCCGCTACTTCCTCCCTGCGCCTCGATTGACGTTGTTCGATCATATAAAATGTCAGCAGCTTGCAGTCGTCGTCAACGTGCTGTCTTGGCAGTTCTTGTCGAATTTGCTAGATGATGATGATACAGCACGGTCGGTGAATTGACGTAGACTATAAAGAGGTCGTCAAGGCTTCTGCAGCAGCTCCCTCATCACCTACCAGCAACATCATGAACACCATCCAACGCAGCCTGGCCGTTCTCAGCGCGACAGCTCTTGCTGTCACAGCGCAAAACTTATCTTTTGGGGCGGATAACTTCTACCGCAGCGATGCTGTCACGCTCCAACCCATCACTTTCCCGAATCAGTTTCACATGACAGTCGCGGGCAATCTTTTCATCCCCAACAACTTCTCTCGTACTGCGAACGCGTCCGCAATCGTGGTCGGCCATCCGATGGGCGCGGTCAAGGAGCAGAGCGCCAACCTGTATGCAACGAAATTGGCTGAGCAGGGCTTCGTAACGATTGCACTCGATGTCTCGTTCTGGGGCGGCAGCGAGGGCGAGCCTCGTAACGCTGTCCTGCCTGACGTCTATGCGGAGTCTTTCAGTGCGGCAGTTGACTATCTAGGCACGCTAGACTTTATTGACAGAGAGCGCATCGGTGCTCTTGGCGTCTGTGGCAGCGGCAGCTTTGTTATCAGCGCGGCAAAGATCGATTCGCGGATTGCCAGTGTTGCTACTGTAAGCATGTACGACATGGGTGCCGCCAATCGAGACGGACTGAGGAATGCAGTCACTGCAGAGCAGCGGAAGAGGACCGTCGCTGCTGCCTCTCAGCAGCGCTGGGTTGAGGCTGAAGGTGGCGAGACTGTATACATCGGTGGCACTGTCCACGAGCTCACCAATGAGACGGACGCTGTCGGGCGTGAGTTCTTCGACTTCTACCGCACCCCTCGCGGCGAGTTCACGCCTGAGGGAACGACAGAGAACCTGACGACGCACCCGACCATGTCCAGCAACGTCAGATTCCACAACTTCTATCCGTTCAGCAATATCGAGGATATCTCACCTCGACCCATGCTCTTCATCTCCGGTGACCAGGCACACTCACGCGAGTTCAGCGAGGACGCATATGCGCAGGCTGGTGAGCCTAAGGAGTTGGTGTGGGTGCCGGGTGCCGGTCACGTCGACCTCTACGACCGAGTCGACCTCATCCCGTTCGATAAGCTCACGTCTTTCTTCCAGGCGAGTCTTGGTGGTGTCAACGGTAACGCGAGTGTGGTGTAAACAGGACTTGATGTACGACGTAGGATGTACAGTAGCCGTAGAAAGCATTAGATCGAACTATAGAGAATTGAGAAGCATACGTGAGAGAACGTCCATGATCGTTGTTCGAGGTGTGATGTTGTCATGTGCAGGAAGGCAGGAGCGCTGCGGATGACGTAACTGACTCCCTCTTCCAAAGTGACGAACCTCACACTCACTCAATGCGCAACAGGAACAGGTATCGTAGAGTTTTCCAGCACCGTGGAGTCTCCGTCCGCATCAGCCACAGTCCGGCCGGTTGAACCGATTTAAGTGGGTCTGTGTGGCGTAGCAGCGACGAATGCATCGTCATGCCGCGTAACAACCATTGCGATTGTCCTTTCTGGTGATTAAAATTGTGCCGAAGTTAAAGAGATGACGCGGCGGGAGATCGTAGGGGCTCGCATTGCAGTGACGCACACGGCAGTATATATGCCGCGCACCGCATCGTAGTGGACAGCTCATCACAAGCATCTAAGAACCAGTCAGAAGGACCTTCAACCTTTTCCAACCAAACGAACACAAACCTCATCGTACGATACCGTCAGTTTCGAAGTCGCAATGGGTCTCCTCCACAAACTCGGAGATAAGGTGCTGCACAAGGACTCCAAGCACAACAATCACAACCTACACACTTCCCCGCACGGCGGGTTCCAGCACCAGCCTCCGCCGTTCCATCAGGGCGGCGGACACCATCACGGTGCGAATCATGGTGGACACCACGGCGGAATGGGCGGCGGACACCACGGCCAGCAGCATCACGGAGGAATGGGCGGGCCGGGTTTTCACGGCGGCGGTCCTGGAGGTCACCACGGAGGCGGACCCATGGGAGGACACGGAGGTCATCATGCAGGCGGGCCCATGGGAGGGCATGGAGGCCATGGAGGGCATGGAGGACATGGAGGTCACCACGGAGGTCACCACGGAGGAGGACCGATGGGAGGCCACGGAGGCCACCACGGCGGAGGAATGCACGAAGGCCCGGGAAGGAGATGGTAGATCTGCGATAATCCGCTTTGCTGATGATACCCACTAGACGTTAATCCCACACCACTGCAACTGTTCCAACGTGCTCGCAATGTCCACCTATAGTCTGTGACATATCTCTCACGGGTGCAGCTGCACGAATCCCGATCGAGCCTTAGAAGACGCGAAGATGGCCTCCTTCGATGTAATCCAGCCAGAGCCTCAGGCTGATGAGTTTAATGATGACAAGCATCAGTCAGACGATGCTTGGTCTTTTCGGAACTTTTGACTTCGACGCTAGTCCTAATCCGAAGCGCCACCACGGCCTAGCCAATCGATCGCCTTTCGACGTCCCCCCCTTTGCGGCACGCCGTGTCTATAACAGGCGCGGCAGAGCAGAGTAGAGCCCGCGGGCAACAACTAGGTAGTACAGCGCGTCTCACATTTTTCTCCATCTCCTTCCTGTCGCTCCTTCGTCTCAGCCAGTCTCTATCGTCAACTCCATCATCCACAATGACCTCAACATTCGTTCTCGCGTCCCTCCTCGGGCTTGCCGCCGCGCAGTCCTCAGTCCTCTCCATTCCCTTCTTCATCTTCGACCCGCAGGCCATCGAGGCGTCGATTGTGTCCGCGAACCCGTCTGCGACGACCATGGCGCTCGCGTGTCCGACCGGCACCGATTCGAACGACTGCGGCCTGTTTCCTCAGATGACGCTCATCTACGGTCCCTCGACCTACCACCTGGATATGGGCGTGGGCGACGCGGCTGCGTTTACAGGCAGCGCGGACTGTGCGCTCGGCGCGACGGTGACGTGCACCGAGTTTGCGACGGGCAGCGAGGCGAACTTTCCGGGTCGCAGCACGGAGACTTATGCCCCTTCGGATATCCTCACGCTGCCTGTAACGGTAACAGGCGGTGCTGAGAAGCTTGGGAGCGCTCAGGCCAGTGCAACGGAGAGTGCGAGTGCAAGTAGCAGCACGGGCGGCAGCGCGACATCTGGAAGTGCTGCGAGCGCGTCCACTGCGAGCGTCACGCAGATCGTCGGCACAAACAGCGCCTCTGCCAGTGCGTCTGCGAGTGCCAGCCGCACTCAATCCGCCGCTGCGACTCCCTCCCCGGACGCAGGTGCTGCGATTTCCATCTCCGCGGGTGGACTAGTCGGCGCTGTCGTGTGTGCGGTCGGCGTGCTCTTGTAGTCAGGCTCAGCGAGATGGAGGTCCAGTAATACCATAATACGAATCTAGACGTGAAGGTTATCACAAGTTCCAGCTTCCATCATGCTGGGTTCCCAGCACGTCATCGCTTAGACCTCCCTCGCCATGCCTCAACATCGCAAGACGTGCTTAACTGCCGAGCCTATCGCCTATCACGGCTCGCTGATGCACGAAATATGCATCATCCGGTCGCTTGCCTCCTTCGCCATCGCGGGCTTGGCATGATCTTTTGCGGCATCTTAGACGCCGCCACTTCTGCGTCGGTACTGAGCCGGCACTGAGTAAATGAGTCGTGTATCTCGTCGGATGCATACCCTGAGGCTGGGCGGCATTGCAATAAGGTGGATGTATTGCGCGATGAGCACTGCCGGTTTTCGCAGAAAATTCGAAGATATAAGAAACGTGCTGGCCGTGCTCCGTAAGATCAGTGACAGGCTTTATCATGGCACCTCCCACCGAGACAACGATCCCCCGAGACAAGTGGTGGAAGTTGAAGTGGTTCTCCGACGATGACAGTGCTGAAGACCGCAAGTTCGTCTCCAAAATCGATCTGCTGATAGTTCCGTACTCGGTCCTGGCCTACTGGGTCAAGTACATTGACCAGTCGAACCTGAACAATGCCTACGTTGCCGGCATGAAGGAGGATCTAGGATTTCGGGGCAACGAACTCGTACAGCTGCAGACGCTGTACACTCTCGGCTCGGTGCTGGGTCAAATTCCCTTCCTGTTAGTCACTCCACGCATCCCACGACTGAACTGACATCCGCAGCTTCATCATGACCTATGTTCCGGTACATTGGCTGATCCCCGGCTGCGACATCGCCTGGGGCATCTTCACCCTCCTGCAATACCGGGTCACTGGGTACGCGGAGCTGGCGGCGTATCGCTTCATGATCGGTTTTCTCGAGGCCGCGTTCTTCCCGGCAATGCACTACGTTTTTGGCTCCTGGTATCGCGGTCATGAGATCGCTCGTCGAGGCGGCATCTTCTATACGGGACTCGGTCTTGGAACCTTGACTGCGGGTCTGATCCAAGCTGGAGCGTCTCAGCGCCTTGAGGGCGTTCATGGTATGTCTGCAACCGTAATCGTGGAACATGCTGACATGTCCAGGCCTCGAAGGATGGCGTTGGATGTACATCATCTGCGCCATAATCACCATCCCCGTTGGTCTCCTTGGCTATTTCGTCCTCCCCGGCACCATCGAGCAGCCTAACCGCTGGTGCATCAACGACCACGACATTGCAGTTGGCAGAGCACGCCTCGAGAAGCACGGCCATGTCACCAAAGGCAAGATGAAGTTCGGCCACATCAAGAAGACGCTCCTCGGCTTCCGTTTCTGGATGGTTGTTGCCACAGATGTCCTCTTCTGGAACGCCGGCATCCACAAGAGCACCGCTACCTTTCTGCTCTGGATCAAGAGCATCGCGCCAGGCAGATTCAGTGTCCCGAAGATCAACGAGCTGGGGACAATAGCGCCTGCGTTAGGTATTGGGTACACCCTGTTTGCCTGCTTTGCATCAGACATGTATCTCGGACCCGCCTGGGCCATCACGATGTGCTCTGTCTTCAACGCTGTCGGCTTGATCATCTTGACGATTTGGACGGTCCCGGAAGGTGCGCTGTGGTTTGGGTTTGCCACGATGTACTGGTCCAACGCACTGTCCAGCGTCTTCCACGGCTGGGTCAACAATCTGCTGCGCGACAGTCCCGAGGAGCGGAGTTTCACACTCGTGCTCATCAATCTACTCTCACAGTCGTCAACTGCCTGGACACCGCTGCTGACTTTCCCTACTGTGGAGGCTCCCCGCTACCGCAAGGGCTTCTCCTTTTGTCTCGGCTGCGCGATCGCGTTGATCGCGTTTACGTGGGCCATGCACTACTACCTGAAGCGCGACGCGAGACAAGAGAAGTTGCCGGTGGATGTGGAAACAGATAGTGTTCGTGCAGAGAGCACCGAGCAGGATGTCAAGGTGCCGAATGCTGGTGTGTCTGACGAAGGGGTTTTATCAGCAACGGACAGGAAGGTCTAGAAATCTTTTGGGGGTTTGGCTTACAAGGTGGATCCAGCAGGCGAGAATTGAGCGTAGACAACTCTGTTCCTCTTCTTCCTAAAGTTGTCGCAAATGTTCCAAACATTTCATTCGCCCGGCTCACCCTTGATCTTTGTAGTCGACATTCACTCTCTAGATCCTTGATGTCAACCGTGTTTCAACACTGCCATACTCCTTGATGATCCGCAACAGCACAAGAGGATCCCATCGTCACTGGGAATCAGTGCACTTATCTCGACGCCAACATGCGATAGCTGTTCGAAGCCTCGCCCTCTCAATCAGTGAAGCAATCGGAAGGAAACATTACCGCAAACCTGGAAAAACGCATCAGCTGAAGTCAAAAGTAAGAAGTGATACTCGGAGTCCGAATCCACCACGTCAGACCCCAGAAACAATCGGTCATCCCGCATCCGGCCGCGACGAGGAGGAGGCAGAGGACGACGAAGAGAAGAAAAATAAGTGAACAACCAACCCACCCCAACCAGGCTCAAAACGAGGGAACAAGAAAAGTTTAGCCAGAGTCCGAGCGCAACCGTCATCACACCGCCGCTGGACATCTACGCAGAGCGCAAAGATGGTAAGATGTTCGTATCTGTAATATCCAGAAGAGGGTGAAGAACAGGAGCGGGGTAGTGGAGAGCTTCGATTTGTGCTCCTTAGCTCGGCGGAGGGGATGGGGCAGCTGCGCGAATTCTTGGGGCGTGGCTTCCGCTTTCTCGTGGATGTGCCGTGAGTGTGATGTCGCAATCGTACGAGCTCTGCAGGCTCGGCAGGAAGGAGCTTTTGCACGCCATCAGTCATTTCGGTTTTTGGTGCATAACGGGGCTATGGGATAGAGGCGCGTAGCAGATGCGAAGCAAGATGGCTTTCGTGCAGGAGTTGGGAGGCGTTGGATTGGGTTGGTTCACTTGCAAGAGTGAAGATCGCTACGGCGAATATAGGGAGAAATTCACGTTTTATTTAAGAGCTGAGAGCGCAAGCTATATCGAATACTTTCTCTGTTCTTTATCTTGCCTAATCTCGCCAAACCATCTGCTCTATAGCACCTGGTTCCTGCTGCGTCCTCTTAAGTAAATCGAAACTCTAGTAAGAGTTCCAGGCGTCTGCATTAGTGCCCTGAGTCTTCTCGGTTCCACGCTTGTAGGAGTTCCAAGCATCAGCATCAGTTCCCTCAGTCTTCTCAGTACCACGCTTGTACGAGTTCCAGGCGTCAGCGTCAGTACCCTCAGTCTTGTCAGTGCCACGCTTGTAGGAGTTCCAGGCATCAGCATCAGTGCCTTCAGTCTTCTCAGTGCCACGCTTGTAGGAATTCCATGCGTCAGCATCGGTGCCCTCAGTCTTCTCAGTACCGCGCTTGTAGGAGTTCCAGGCGTCAGCGTCAGTACCTTCAGTCTTCTCAGTGCCACGCTTGTATGAGTTCCAGGCATCAGCATCAGTTCCCTGAGTACCTCGTTTATAAGAGTTCCAAGCGTCAGCATCAGTACCCTCGGTCTTCTCAGTGCCTCGTTTATAAGAGTTCCAGGCATCAGCGTCAGTACCCTCGGTGCCGCGCTTGTACGAGTTCCACGCGTCAGCATCGGTTCCCTCAGTGCCACGTGTTTCGATTCCAATGACGGGCTTGGGTAGGCCTGTCACATCTATCAGTATCAACGGTCTATTGTGAAGGGTCAAGATGCCCTTGGAGGTCTCACCATTTGGCAGGGCCGAAACGACTACCGCAAGGGGCAAGATTGCCGTGAGGATGGATTGAGAACGCATAGTTGTATCGGTGGTGGGGAGAGGTCTGGAAGAAGACTGTTGTAGAGACTGGTTGTATGAGATGCGTAGAAGCTGTCTGTGTTGGATGTTCGTTATGGAGAGGCGATGAGTGCTCTTTTATAGTAGAGATCCAGTCTTTGATCCATGCAGCTTGGAATCGATTGGTCGTATCATTGCCCACGGAGCTTCGTTGCATCCCAATCATTCAGAGGATGTTCCAAAGGATCTAGTTACTGCCGGCTTGGTGCCCAACTTGGCAGCTCCTCAAGCAAGATCAAGCTTTTGTGTCACCATGGGCTTATCTGCATGAGTGTCTCCGTGTTTGAGTGATACGTTTCTCGTCCCTTATACCATAAAAGTCACTAGCGAGAACGGCTTCCTCTCAAACACGACTGCATCAAAGTGGTACGCGGGTCAGTGGACTGGGGTCTTCGCCCTCACCTTCTGTGTTAGGTAAGCGCTTACTGTGAGCATCACGTGCTTATTCTCAGTAGAAACCTCCAATACCTAAAGATGCTAAGCATGCAATGCGTATAAATGACGCTTCATCCTATACAGAAAGCGAGCGCTTAGATCCCTGTTTGCTGGCTCGCCTGAACATGCAGATATGGACAATTGTTTGGGCCCGTAACTTCATGTAAGACAATGATAGGTTAGATCAGCCCGACATACCACCGTTGTTACATTTCAACCATCACTCAGATGTTCCCGTGTCATAGCGCAGCACTGACTGCAATAAACGTTTGGGATGCCTAAGTGACTCAAACTTCCCTCTCGTTCACTCCCCGACCTTTCTGTGTCAACACACCTTTCCTCTCCGCATTCAACATGAGCTCTCAAACTCTATATACCAGAATGTCAGATGACACCACTGATTGCGAGACAGAGAACCTGATGTGGGAGAAGGAACGACATGTTGCTCCCAGATCTTGGATGCAACGCAGAGGATCTCTAATCCACCTTAGCTGCCTGTATTTCTTCATCGTAGTCCTTCTGGGATACATTGGTGCTACCAACCTCAAGTCCACCCCGCTGAGAGATCCTTCTCTTGGTGACAAATGGAGTAAGTCCAGTCCATGTATCGCTCAAAGATGAAGCTAATAGTAGTTAAGCTCCTGTCCGGGATGTTGTCGATTACGTGCCGTACGAATTCCACGCGTTTGAGGACAATGGCGAGTACGCTGGCTACCCAGACGACACTAAAGATCAGATGTGGCAAGACCTGTTTAGCTGTAAGACACACTTTGACTATCCTTCACTCCTGTTTGCTCACAGCTGTCTGCAGTTGGGATGATTCGCATTTCGGAAGAGGAGTCCAAGAATCTTGTCCAACCTACTTTCCAAATCCCCAATACCGATGAGTATCTTATCGAGCTCGAAGTCTTCCATCAACTACACTGCCTCAACCAACTTCGACAAGCGTTCTATCCCGAGCGCTGGCCGCATCTGTGGCAGTACACACCAGAAGGGAAAATCGACTACGCCGGTCGACAGTACGGCCATTGGGGTATGTCATTATCTTTTTGAATTGTTGGGTGTTCGAGGCGTGTTCTGGATAAGCTGCTAAATCATTTGTAGAGCATTGCATCGAATCGATCAGACAATCGCTCATCTGCCACAGCGATGTCACGCCAATCACGATTCACTACAACGCCACGGCTGTCCCTAAATCTGGTGGAGACTTCAAAATCGAACATACCTGCCGCAATTTTGACGCATTGAGCGACTGGGCGAGAGGCAGGACGTTAGGCCTTCTGGGTGACAAGGTAAAGGGGCTGTTAGATGATTAGTTCCATTATTGGTGCTTGTAAATATGTGCGGACCCTCTTCCTTTGGTACTTTACACGCTGGCAGTTACGTGCCAAGTACCTGAGATCTCTAAATAGCTAGAAAGTCTGTATGCCTAGATGTAGAGAAGGCTTAGTCTACATGTAGGAAAGGCTTAGTCTATATGCAGGAAAGGCTTAGTCTACATGCAGGCAAGGGGACGGGCTGGGCCGTCCCTTCCCCCTTATCTATAGCGTTACAGTAGACTAGACTACAACAGCCACTTAAAGAAGACAGTGTACTACTAGCCCTCTGCCTCTAACTAACCTCTATTGACACTTACATGCATGCGCGTACGATCAGGATAATACCTGATCGCCTAAGACGCACTGCAACGACAACATCGCAGCCCCACTTCGCATGTTCGAGCACCGGTTAAAACCACCCGCATGCTGGATCTCGTACTAAGCATTCGTCTTCCCGCAATGGATCGCTTGGCAAGGCTTCTAAACCTTGTCGGGGCGATGTGCAAGGATGTACGCACTGACCGGTTGCACCAAGCGCCGCAGTCATCCTCTTATTAAGGCGGCCACCATTACTGTACTTGCCCAAAAGGGCAACCAGCTCGCTACATGCCCCGGCATACTTCTCTCTGTGCTCTTTGCTTGGTTCGTTATGCTTCAACAATTCTGATTGCATTCTATGCAAAGGCAATGTAGAGTGCGCAGCGGATTTATTGTAATGCAGAGTTGTGGGGAGTTTTGGGAGCTGCATCCGTTGACCATGCTTAATTGGAGCTGAGTAGCGTACGAGAAGCGAGAGGAAGATGTAAGGAGAAGGACCAGGTCTGATACCGCTGGTTAGCGCCATAGAAGAGAATGTGTGCTGAGCAAGATGTATATTCGCTAGGCCACCAGCTGTTTCATTAGACGTGTACGCAACGCGAACCAGATGCAGATTATCCATCGTGGAAGTCTAGTGTCCTGCAAGTACACGTCCTCATGATATTGCGATCGATGCGTCTTCACTACCAATTTCCTCTTTCCTTGCTAAGCAAGTCATCTCGCATCCCGCTTATGCTGTTCAAAAGCTTTCTGATCGGTGACCGGGAAGCCTTTCACGCGCTGCGACATCCTCTCCAGCGCCTGCCTAACCTCGTCTGATAGCACGTCTGAGTACACATAAGGCTTAGGGCTTGTAGTCAGAGCCTTGGTGACGTCGACGGTGGGGAAATTATCGATGGCCTCCTTCAGCCTCGCTTGCTTCGCCTGCAACTCTGTGAACGTGCGTTCAAACTCCGCGTCGCTGTCCTCTTCTTCGGCAGCCACCTCGGGAGTGTCCTTGCCCATGTCGTTGATAGCCGCGTCCAGGCCCTCCGCCTCCATCTCGGCGTCGGCTTGTCGTTCCTGGATGATACTGGCGATAGAAACCAAGTTGGATGTTATATCGAACAGACCGTGAAGCTGACCTGCAAGGTCCTTCAGCTGCGACGCCTGATCCACCAAACCCTGTATTTCACCCTCTTCCGGGGCGAGCGCAGCAAAGTTGTCTTCGAGACGGTCAATCAGGTCCTGAATCTCCTTGGCGGGGCCTTCACTGCCGCTGGGCTGGTTGTCAATCGAGGGTTGTACAAACTCCGATAGATTCAGCACGATCTCTGCACGCTCATAGTGCAAATCGTGTCGAGCCATTTCGTCGTTCTCGCGCTTGGCTCGTGCGATCTTGACTTGAACCTCGGAGACGAGTGCGTCAAAGTTCGCGCGGTAACAAGACTGCTTGATAATCCAGTCTTGTGCCGCCAACCACACGTTTGGGAGTTGTTTGTGGGCTGAGTTGTTGGTGCGACCATTTGAAAAGTGACTGAAGCCGCCGCCATTGTGAATGTGGCCCTCAGTCAGCTTAGTGAGGCCGATCTCTGCCACCTCTGCCTGGTCTACTTTCCAGATCAAGGCAACGACCTCCTGCTCGACGCCGTACTTTGGCTTCTGGGTCTTGCCGTGTCCAATCTTTGGGCCAAAATGACTGAAGAGGGTATCCAACAGGTTCAGAATGTAGTTAGAGCTTATGTGACGCTTGTGGGCGCTCAGGCGCTTGATGGGCTCTTTGGCATACCCAACTTCGACAAGTGGAATTGAAGTGGCTTGTCCATATCTCCGTCGTCAACCTTAGACAGGCGGTCGCGCAAGGCTGTGACGAAGGCCTTTGTTTCGATGACGTGCGCCTCGGAGTATCTCCACTCCACCTTGGCCGGTTCGTTCTCCGTCTTCGCCTTCTGTCTAGTCGCGCTTGAATCGGTATCGGAGGCATCGAAGCCTGAAATTGATGACGGTATCTCGGTCTCAATTTTTCCCTTGCTCTTGACTGCGTCGGAGACTATGGGCACAGCATCTGTCGAGACAGGCACTTCGACGACACGCCACATGTATTTGGCGAAATCGACTTTGTTCGCCCAAGACGCATCGAATTCGGTGCCCACAGAGCTCTTCCACGCGTCCAGCTCGCACATAGTCTCGCGGTCGAACGGCAACACATCGATATCTCTAGTCTCGGCGGGATCGTCAACCTGTGAGCACGCTTTCATGTACTTCTCCATGTAGACGAGCATCTGCAGAAGCTCGTTTGGCGACGGCGACATGCCGTTTTTGTCGACTAGAGACTGGTGATAGATGCAAGGCTGGCGCTTCGACTGCTCGCGAATTTTTGCCAGTTCCTGTGCAAGGCGCCGATCAAGGCGCTTGTCTGTGGATAGGTTGCCGCACATGATTGATTTGATCAGGGTATCGTCCATCGACAAAAGTACGCCGAACATAGCCTGAAAGGCCCACGTCTCGTCTGGACTCATCCCGTTCTCGGCTCCGAGGCGGGCATCGATATCACCCTTGACAAGTGCTTTGGCTAATCCTCTGCGTCCATGAGTATGGTGAAGATCCTCCCACGCCAGCTTCACCTTTGCCAAGTCGTCGAGAGCAAAGTCGGTGAGGAGCGGGGCAGCGTGGAGAGCAGAGGGCGGCGCGATAAGCTGCAGTTGCTTGGTTGCTCGATCGAATGCGGCAACGAACGCGTCCTCGTCGTCGATGTTCTCGTGGAAATCGCTCTCATACTCAGTCTCGTGCGTTTGCATCACCTGGCTGTAGTCTGCCGCGCTCAACTTCAGCTTCTGTGCGCGTTTTGTGGCGAGCTGCTTGGCACTCCAAAACTTCGGATCGGCTGCGAGTTCAGCAGAGCTGGCAGCTGCAGTAGCCATGGTGAGGGCAGTGATGTTGGGAAAAGAAATTTGGAGGAAGATTTGGTGCGAGAAGTGATAATGACTTTGTGTGGGGTGAGGACCTAAGCTACCTTCACTCACCCAACTCAGCGCCATAAACAAGTGCAAACACACTCCCACACGCCCGGTACCTTGGATAGCGGTTTGTATTCAAGTATAAAGACCTCGATAAGTTGACCATTGCGGATGTGAAGCTGTCTCCTTTGCTGCTCGACGCTGAATGCAGTTGATTCTGTGCTATCCAAGCTGTACAGGAAGTGTAAACTTTCAGACAAGCCGCAGGCGGGAGTGATTCAAGTTACCGATGCGATACTGTGTCGAGATTGTGAATTCAGGTATCTGCGAGATCTCAGGCGTATGCATGCTCGAAGCTGAAATTGCCGGAGTGCGTCAACGCGATACGTTCTGCACTGTGTCAGCTGACAGTCTTGAGATATGTATCCACGTCTCACCCAACGACATACCTCAAAGCAACCCCCAAACCGCAACCATCACAGCGACTCCAACCCCGACCCACGCCCCTCCGACCCTTGTTGCCGCACTCTTCGCCTCCACCTTCCCCGGCACCACACACACCACACTGGTCCAACTCTCGCTCCCCTCCAATCCCGCCACAATCCATGGCATAGCCTGACTCTTATACTTACCATACCATGTGAACTTAGTTGGATCACTACGATCACTCTCATCAGCCGCAAACCCACTGATCCCAAAGAGACCAAAACTACTGTACCCCTGCGGCGGCTGATCTGGCCCGGGGACGCGATCGCGGGCACACGTCGTATTCGACACGTCGATGCCGGAATACGCAGCTGGAGGTGTTAGCCGCCATAGCACCAGTAAGACAAGGGGAAACATACTCGAAAGCCCTTTCCCTAGAGGGTCGCCACACGCTTCCTTCAATGCGTCTAGCCCGGGCGGACTCGGACACCGCTTCGCCGCCATGTCGCCCGCTCTGACGACCACACTACTGCGTATGAAATCCACGCATGAGGCGCTCAGTGCGCCTGCGCAGTCGCCGTTGTTACCTGTCAGCGCCGGCAGCAGCGCAGTCATGAGGAACACGCATGCGTAGGCACTCGTGTCGGGAGGCACGCTGAGAAAGCCAGTGATACTATGGTCTGCGGTGGTTGCGGAGCGCGTGTCGTTGAGCGTGGAGGTGAGGTACCATGGCGTCGATGCGTTGCGGACGATGACCTGGGCGGAGGAGTTTACAGGTGCTGCGATGTCGTAACGGGTGGTGCCGCAGGTGGTGTTTGAATTGCTGCTGCTGTTGTTGTTGTTGGTCTGAGCGAGGGTGGAAGTCGCGAGGGCCGCGAGGGCGAGGAAGGCGTGCTGCAGCATTGTGGTGTGATGTGATGTCTGATGGAAGGGACTGCCAGGCCGTTGGGCTGGCCGGGAATTAATAGGATTCAAAACGAATTAGGCATCCAGCACGCGACGTTGTTTGGAGGATCGACGAGGTGCCTTATGGTTATTCCTGTTCATCGTGGCTATGCATAGGTGCATTGAATGCCCGGGCCGATACCTACGAATGAAGTGTTGTGGCTAAACACTCAATGTAAGGCGCGCTGCGGAGCACGTTGAAACCGAACAGCCCTGTGACGTAGGGTGCTTGCCTGATCTGCGCCATAGTCATACCACTTAATTTCCCTAGACGATTGTTTTGTAGAAGGCAGTCGGACCTATTTTACACGAAATGCAAGAGCTCGTAGGCTAATAGACGACCACACGCAATCGAACAACGTTAACATCTACTATCCTTAGGACTCTGATCAGCTTGGTGCTAGCATTGAAGGCAATCGCGGTGATCTCTTGGACAGTTACTTGTCTCGCATTGTGAAGAAAAGTCCATCGCAAGGACATGTTGGATAGACAGTAATCATAGTCATCGCTGTAGCGACTGCTCTCCAAGCGAGACAATCGAGGTGAACAAGTCACGAAGGGCAGAGGAAGGCGCGCAACGCATTCCTTTCAACAAAAGGCTATGATATGTTCGTTGATACATCTGCTCTATCTGCTCTGCACGCCATGTTGCTGGTATCCATCCGTATTACTTCTGCCTTCCGGTCCTCAATCGTTCTCTCTCCCTCTCTTCCACACACACACACACACACATACGCACACACACAGCACCTCCACCCTCAAACCCACACCCCCACACACCCAAAATCCCACAACCCCAACGCCTCGCCCGCTAAAAATCACAAGCCCGAAAAACAACATACTCCCCTGCTCTCCATCTCTCTTTCTCATCGATTCACACACAGCCTAATACCTCATCCTCCCCAGCAGCGAAAAACACCACGCCGCCTCGCGCTCACTCTTCATCTGAACCATGAACACCCTCGCCCGGGCGCCATTCACACCGCCCGTGCTCGCGACGCGCCCGACCTCGCCGTGCTCGTCGACCGTGTCCTCCCACACGCTGACCGCGATGCCGCTGCGCGCAACCCTTTCAAAACACGTCTCGGATAGTGTCACGTCGAGCAGCACGTGCGCGTCGCCCTTGGCAGTAACTAAAATGCGGCGCTCGGGGGAGGCGTGGGGCTGGCCGGGGGAGCGCTGGAGGGCGGGCGTGGAGGTGGGCGTTGGGAGCAGGATGGTGAGGCGGGCGGAGCCGAGGTCGCGCCATTTCTTGAGGGACTCGCGTTCGTAGAGGCGGCACTTTGTGTTTGTGATGCCGGCGGGGGGCGCGGTGGGCGGGTTGGCGCTGTCGGCGCTGTCGAGCGACGAGAGCGAGCGCGAGCCGAGGGTCGAGTCGCGGACGCTGAACATGCCGCCGCGGCCGAAGGAGAAGCGGGAGAGGGCCGTGCGCATCGCGGTGCCCATGGTGCCGACCGAGGAGGAGGTCGCGGCGGAGATGGAGGCCGCGCGCGTGCTGGATTTGCGGTAGCTGCTGCGCCGGCCGAGGGAGCCTCCAAACAGCCCGGTTCCGGTCGAGGTGTTCGTGCGTGCCTCGTTGCGGCGGTCCATAGCCTCTGCCCAGCTGGACTGCCCGTACGGTCCGCGTGCGTTCTGCAGGGCGATGTAGGTCGGGTTGTTGATGCGGGATTGGTTGATCAGGGCGTACAGCTGTGCGCACTCACTGGCATTGCGGCTGCGCAGCATGATGTTGTCACCAGTGGTGATACGCGAGTCGGGGGTCGGCGGCGAGCGGATGGAGATGTCGATGGCGGTCGACTTGCGCAGGGGGACCAGGGGGGTAAGCTCGACCGCAATAAGGGGAGCACGTCCGCCGGGTTGTATAATTTCATCGCCATCAGACACCAGCGGCTGCGAGTGCGCCGCCGTGAGTTCAAACACCTCAATCTTTCCAGGCGTGACCACGATGCTGCACTCGTCCGGGTGCAGGCTGTCCCACCGGCCGGCGTCCGACCAGCAGAAGATGGACGCGATTGCTTTGGCGGCCTTGGCGGAGGCTGGGACGGCGCGGTACGGCTGGTTCGACGCGGACTGCGACGGGGTGACCTCTTCGGGCAGGTCGTAGATGGAGGCCGGCGGGGAGACCTTTTGGAAGTCGGAATCCTTTCCGGCTGACGACGGACGCGTGGCGTAGCTGCGGGTGCGCACTGGTCCGGTGTAGTTGAGCGGCATCAGCGGCGTCGGGACGTCGTCGTCGAGTTCGTCGTCGGAAGAATCCGAGGTCAGGCTGGCGGAGTCGCTGATGTCCTCCGACACGACATCCTCCTCGCTCTCGCTGTCCGACTCGGTACACGTCGACGGCTCGTACTCGTGCTTGAGGGGCGAGGACGACCGTCGCTTTGTCTTCCACCCTGGCAGTGCCGGCGTGAGCGTGGGCGTCTTGGACCCCTTCAGCGTGACGGGGGTGGCTGGACTCGGTGATCGGTGGGGTGGTGGAGGGGGCGGCACGTCTTCTGGCGACGTCACCGGCTCTGCGGCAGCCTCTCGCAGGGGCGTCGAGGGCTGGCTCGACTTTCGCAGTCGGGGAATGGCCGGCAGCTCCATCGACGGCGTCGACGAGACTCTGCGGTGTGTTGACGGTCGCGGGGGGGAGCCCGGCGGCGAGATCGACTCTCCCTCAGACTCGCTCTCGGACTCCTCCTCGCCGCCCTCAGTCGGCATCCACACGCTGAAGTTCTTCCCGCGGCGCTTCGTCGACTTGCGGCGCGGCTCCTTGTCGAGCTTGGGCTGCGCTTTGACAAACTCAATAGGGTCGTCGAGGGTGATTTGGCGCGAGGGCCGCTGTGCTGAGACAGGCGATGCTGTCACCGCGCGTGAGAGGCGCTTTGCCTTTGTGCGCTTCAGTCCGGAGGATGCAGTGCCGTCGGAGCGCGCGTCGTCGAAGCTGCCTCGCGGTGTTCTGTCCAGGTCCTCACTCCGCCTCGTGCGCTGCAGTCCTAGTGGCGTCTCTGGATCGGGCGGGGAGGCGGTGTCACGGCGAAGGGAGTCGCTGGGTGGCGTAATTGGTGACACCGTGCGCGAATGCCTATCAGGCGCGTCGTAGTTCCAGACCTTTGAGACTTCGGTGTGCTGTTCGCCGAGAGGAATCTCAATCTCGTGCGGACTGGGAGTCCGGCTCTTGACGCGGGTTGAGGTTGTTTCCATGGATCGCAGCGAAGAGCCGTGGCTGCTGGCAGGTCTGGGTATCTGTCCAGGCACCATCTGGTCGCGCTTGATTTCGGAGATGGGCGGGGGAATGGGCGTCAGTCCGAGCATCTGCACCCACTCAAACCCAGCCTGCTCGTCGTCGGCTGTGAGGGACATGACCTCGCTCCATGCATGTCCGTCCGCCTGGGCGCCTCGGATCATCACAATAATCTCGCCCTTCATGTCGCCGTTGCGGGCGGAGATGCGGCTTTGCTGGACGGGCGGGAGCAGCAGCCAGCGTCCGGTGGAGTCGACTTCACATAGCAGAACGTCTCCTCCCGGTCCTGCGCCCGGCGCGTTGTCGCGGAGCAGAAGCTCGACGCGGCAGCTCAGCTCTTGGCCGCTGGAGTGGTACAGGTACATGTCGAAGTAGTCTCGAGCTCTCACGCAGCGGTGTGCATCGAGGCGTACGCCAGCTAGTGGGGCGAGACTTCTGGGATCACGGGCGCGGGTGGCGTCGATATTCGCGGCGGCCTCGTCTTCGAGTCGGGCCTGCTCGTCGTTCGATCTCTTTCTCGCGGCTGTGACGAGGTCTTGGAAGGTCGCCGATATTGAGTCTGCGCGTTCGGACGGCTTGACATGGTTGATGCCCTGGCCGGTTAGCGTGATATCGATTATAATGAAGAAGACTCACCCTCAATGTCTTTGCCAGATACTTTAGTCGTACCAACGGCCGCTTCAGCATGTATGCCACGTCGACACGCTCGCCGTCTCCATTCACAACATACCCCTCGGCATTGCGTGGCATGCCCTCGTCCCACGGCGCGCCGTCTTCAGGACCGGTCACAACTCTCGCTGGTTTGAAAGGATCGTCATCGGCAGGGGCCAGGCTGATGACTACATCTTGAAATCCGAGCCGCCAGGCGCTGATGTAGTCGCCGTACACGCGTTGTGCGTTCTGCGCCCAGGAGAGGAGATTCTCGGCGTCGTCCAAGGGCACGCGCTTGTGCAGGTTCTTCATTCTCTCAAGACAAACGCCCATGTCCATGATAGGCTTCGTGACCTCGCTGGGGTCGCCCTTGGCAGAGCGCGAGAAGAGGCCGACGGCGACGGCGGAGTCGGTCTTGGACAGCACGCAACTCAACAAGACGGGGATGACGCCGTCGACGATGGTGCGCAGCTCGCGCATATATTTTGCCTCGTCGGTGGCGAATTCGTTCATGATGTCGGGGATCGTGGCGGTGGCCAGACGGCTCCTGTTGGTGCGGATGCTGCGCGCGGACACGATGCTCTTCGCGGCCTTGGGCATGGACAGTACTGATATCAAGTCTGCGTGGCTGGCGAGCCTGTTCTTCCTGGTGCTCCTGCGGCTGACGATTGTGGATGTCTCGTACTGGGAGCCGACCTCGGACGCAGTCATGGTGCTGTTGCTGAAGATGGAGTCACTGAACTCTGAGCCGGCGACGCCTGAGGCGGGGGCTTGGCTGGGCGGCTCAGTGACGGACGCGATAGTCGATAGGCGTTTGCCTCTCGTTGGGAGGTGGCGCTGGACGGAGAGCGGACGCGGCTTGAGCGAGATCTGGTCAAAGTCGACGGAGGCTGCGTCGACGGAGGAGGAGGGCGCAGAGGAGGCAACAGACACAGCTCTGGGGTCGACTCTCGGGTCGTCGGATCTCACGTCATCTTCCTGGGCGAGCTCATCAGTCGACATGCTCTCACGCAGCGGCGAGGACATGGAGCGGCTCTTGGAGCGCAGGTGCTGGCTTCGTCGTGCGCCGCGGCGCTTCAATGTGGGTGTTGCGGAGAGCGGCGTCTCTGGCTCTTCCTTCCCGGCCTTCTCGGGCTCAGGCACGGGGGTGGCGGTGTCGTCGGAGATGGCAGATGTGTTTTCTGACGCAACGCTCGTGTCGATCTTCAGCTCGCGAGACGCCCTCCGCTGCTCGTGGCTGCGACGCCTGCGTCTGCGCCGGCTTCCTCCCCCGCTGCTGCCACTGCTTCGCGGCCTCTCTTCTGCTGGCTCGGGTGTTGGCTCGGGTGTTGGTTCGCGTGTTGGTTCGCGTGCCGGTTCTACCACTTCTTTTACTTCAGGCGCCGGCTCGAATGCTTCCTTCTCGTCTCTACTCTCAGTAGAGGCCGTGGCAAACGACGACTCGGTCCTCATCGTCGACGAGAAATCAGTCCTCATGGTCGACGACAAATCCATCGTCGACACCGACTCCTGCGCCGACTCCTTCGACCGCCGTCTGCGGCGCGGGGGGCGTCCTAGGTCTGCGTCCTGCATCTGCTGCGTGCGGTCGAGCCAGGCGTCGAGTCGGTTGGCGAACTCTTTGTTGTTCGGCGGCGACAGCACTCGTGGCTGCTGCGCGCGCATCTCCCGCATGACCTCCTCCTTCTCCATGTCGATGGTGTTGGTACGCGTCCTGCGGTGGCGGCGGACGCTCTCTCTCAAGCCCTCATCGTCGGTCCCCGGCTGGCTCTTCGGGCGCCGCCGTCGTCGTCTCTCGCGCAGGTCGTCTGCCCGCGGCGAGGCAATCTTCGGGCTCGCGGCGACGCTCGACTCTTCATACTCGACCGTGATGAGGTTGGCGAGGTCGGCCAGGTCGGGGACGGGCTCGGACTTGCGGGCTGGTCTGTGCACGGTCTTTTCTCTGCGCTGCTTGGGCGACTCGGGCTCCAATATGACCTCGACGCCGGCGTGGTCGGCGCTCCCCCCGCTGCTGACCGGGCGCTCGTCATTGCCGTCGCTCTTGGAGCTGGTGGGCTTCGACGGGCGGCGCTGGCGGGGCTTCTTCTGGCCGGTGCTCTTGCCGATGTAGTTGGTGAGGGTGTGCAGCTGGGGCTGCGGGGTCTTTTGCGGCGACTGCGGTATCTTGGGCGACGGCGGTATCTTGGGGGTCTGCGGTGTGGTCGGCGTCTTCGGGGTCTGCGGCGTCGTCGGCGTCTTTGGCTGCTCCTCGGGCGGCCTGTCCCTCTTCACGATGCGCGACGGGCGCACCCAGGCGTTGGGGATGGTCTTGGGCGGCGGGCGGCCGTCGGGCTTCGGCGGCGACGTCTTCGCGCGCCAGTGCGAGTCGCTGACCACGCGCTTCTTGGGGGCGACGGCGCTCAGCACGTCCTCGTCGAGCTCGTTGTGGACGGGCGTCTTCTTGTCGCCCTTGTCGCTCTTCGCGGGGCTCTTGTCTGGGACTTTGTCGGCCGACTTGGCGGGGGCGTGGGCGGGCTTCCAGTTCGGTTTCTCAGCCAGGGCCTTGGGCGTCGACGGCTTTGCGGGCTCACCCTCTGCGGCGCCCTCGGTGGCGGCATCAACAGCAGCATCGCCGCCGTCCTGCTGCCAGCGCTTGATCTTGTCGCGCACGTTGGCGGGCTTGTTGATGCCGATGGCCTTTGCAAAGTCGTTGCCGTTCATCGTGTCCGCCTTCTTCTTGCCGGGCGCCCCATGTTTCCTCGGCTCCGCGTCAGTCGGCAGCGGCGAGGAGGGCATGGGCGCATAGCCCTGCTGCGAGTGCCGGTGGTGCCGTGGGCGTGGGCGGGCAGGCCGTGGCGGCGTCGAGTCTCGGTGGGCCGCGGGGTGTGCGGTCTGCTCGCTGCTGGGCTCCCCGCTGGGGGTCAGTCGCTGCCGTGGGCGTGTCTCGCGGTCTGCAGTCAGACCGGAGGCTGGTGGCACAATTCAAGGATCGGGTGCTGATGCATGTGCGTGCTGGCGTCCAATCGCGGCGCCCGGCCCACGCACAACAAACAAGGCATTGCGCGGCGAAAAGAGCCGTCACGCTAGAGTCAACCTCACGGGATCTGCATCCACGCTCGCTTCGATCCATGCATCGATCATCAATCTCGGTAGGTATCAATCATGGAGAGGGTAGGTAATGATGAAACTTTGTTTTGAACTCCAGCATCACGTCAGGCGGCAGACCCCAGGGTTCGAGGAGATCGACTACAAGGCATCAGGGTTCGACTACAGCTGTCATGCCAGGTCGACTGCAGCCGCCATGCCAGGCTCGACATGCAATCCCTGATCCTTGCGTCAGTATTAGAAACCAGCTAAAAGAAGCAACCACGACGGACTAATCTGGAAGTCACCAAGGTAACCACAGCCTGGCCAGGAAGGTACCTGTAAACACCCGAAGCAGCTGGGCCCGACCGTTATAGCCTTGACTATAGTGAACTACGGCACCACATCTGCGGGAGGGTGTCGATACACCATGCTAAGCCCAGAGCGGTCGAGCAACGGACCGTCTCGACGTCGTCACCAAAAGCCATCCTCTTTCTCCAAGTCCAGCGCACTATCACCATCAATTTACGCACAACGCGTCTTTTAATGCCTCAAGAAATAGTATTACAGTTGCTCGCAAACCCATCACCACACCATCACGCCTGAAACAGCCCCAGCCCAACAAACGCCATCACAGCAGCAGCCACAACGAGCCCCCCAACCCCCTCCCACCCCCTCCGCCCCTCCGCCGCAACCCACGTATCAACCACGCAAACCAGCACCCACGACGACAGCAAAACCCCCATCTCCCTTGTCTTCCCCTCCGCGTAGAACCACAACAGCGTCGACGCAGCAGCCACATCGCGGATACCCAGGAACACCATCGATTTGCGGTTGATGTCATGGCCTTCTGGGGTCGTGGGCTCGACGCCGAGGGCGCCTGCGGCGGTTGTTGGTGAGATTAGGGCGAGGGTGCCGAGCGCGAAGACGGCGGTTGTGAGGCCCAGGCCTACGTGGCGCCATGTTGAGGGGCTCAGTAAGCTGTTGGGGAAGGGCATGGTGATGTGGATTTGGAGGGTGAATCAGAACGTTCGCTGGAAACTTGGATGTGTAGAGGAGTTAAGGTGATGGCGATAGGCACTTGGCTGCGTGGATGTTCCTGCGGGGCGGGAGCTTTCTATGCAAATGCAAAGAGGAATTATTCCGCTGTTTACAAAGAAACGTAGTAGCCCTTACTAAGCTCAATTGCACACAGCCAGGACCAGCGAGGATACAGACAACATCCTCTGTTTTCTTCGGAGATGCAAGGATGTCCGAGGTTCTCCGCTAGCTCCGGTCAAGCAGATCCGGTGCAGGCTGGGAGCGCTAATGTGGGTGCTCTAGTTCCTACACAGTAAGCTTCCTTTTCTTCCACATCAACTACACGACTCTTTTCGATTTATCTACTTAATCTGCTAGCATCACACGATTACTCTATTGTGGGCTTCTGTAACGCAGATCATCAATCAAGCAGTGCCTAGTTATAACATCGTAGGTAGGGACCACGTGAGATTAATAAACCGATTAGTGAACTTACTATAATCACCATCAACATCGCTGTCAACACGACAAGTCCTGATCCTCTCCACCAAGAGAATGTCTTGATACATCGACGCCCAGAGATACTAAAGTAATCATGCTTGGAGGTGAACGCAGGCCTTTTACAGATGCGAAGAACACCTAAGCTTGCAGTGTTTACGATTGATATATAATGTCGACACCAATGGCGCCTTCTGCTCACCACAAGCGTGAAATCCTCGATTTCTCAAGACTTCATTAACACACCACCAGCAGGCGTACCAGCAGCGCCCCCATCAGTACAGCAAAGCGTCCCCACAACCACTATCCACTTCACCCAGTCCATCGCCAGACCAAAACCACCCACCATGCCCCCCTTCAAAAACGTCCTCCTCATCGGCGTACGCCCCCCCTCCCCCTCTCTCCCCTCAAAACCCCCACCTAACCCCCCCAGGCCTCCGGCAACCTCGGCACCGCCCTCCTCACCGCCCTCCTCCCCTCCCAATACCGCGTCACAGTCCTCACCCGGCACACCTCCACCTCCACCTTCCCCCCCTCCGTCCTTGTCATAAAAGCCGACTACACCTCCCTCCCCTCCCTCGCCGCCGCCATGCGCCACCAAAGACGTCGTAATAAGCACCATCGGCGGCGCCATCGTTGGCGACCAAAACCGATTCATCGACGCCGCGCTCGCCGCGGGCGTGACACGGTTCATACCGAGTGAATTCGGGCCCGACACGCTGCAACCCGGTGTGCACGAGGTGATTCCCTCGCTGCCGGCGAAGCTGAGCACGGTGCAGTATCTCCGGACGAAAGAGGGGGCGTTGGAGTGGACGAGCGTTATTACCGGGGTGTGGCTGGACTGGGCGCTGACGAGCGGGCTGTTCGCGTTTGATGTCCAGAACAAGGTGGCAAGGGTTGTGGATCGTGGGGCCACGGCGTTTACGGGCACGCTGCTGGCGAAGGTCGCAAAAGCGGTGCTGGCGATCCTGGACCGGCCGCAGGAGACGCGGAATCGGTATGTGTACATCTCGTCCTTCACCACGACGCAGAACGAGGTGCTGGCGGCGTTTGAGCGCGTCGACGGCCGGAAATGGAGCGTGGTGCACGAGAACTCAGAAGATATTCTAGCTACGGGCCGCAAAATGGTGCAGCAGGGGGATTACGGCGGCACGATGCATTTGGTGCGGTACATTGTAACAAACAAAGCGGGACTGGGACTGTCGCCGCGGGAGAAGCTGTGGGATGAGAGGCTGGGGCTGGAAGAGGATGATTTGGAGCAGATGGTTCGGGATATCTACAGTGGGAGGTAGGAGGTACGGAGGTGCTGGCGTGGGGTCTGGGGGATTGCGGGGATGGCGGGGATGGCGGCGGTGAGGTGGGGGATGGGTTCGCTCCAGGAGCCGAGAGAGATCTATCGAGGGGGCCAGAAGGGTGGGGGATCCAGCCCAATCAGCGCTTCAAATCGAGAGGTGTTAGTCAACTGCGTAGACTACAACACACCAAAACCAAAGAACAAGGAGCCCATCACAGCATGCATTAAAACAGCACACGCCTGATGCTGTCACAGAGAAGTATCTGAAACAGAGGAGTATCTGAGATATCTTGTATTGCATTCTTAATGGTTTGCTGCTGTCTTTTTCCCTCTCTCCAAGTCTGATAAGCCATCTCCAGCACACGAGACATACACTGCCTCTTCCCCATCACCGCCGCGTTCCGTGCCGACCCTGAGCGTCTCTGTCCCCAACACAAACAGTCATATACCTCCATCACGCATCTTCCTGCACGCTTTCCTCTCTCATCCCAACCACCCCGTGTCAAGCATCTCCACCGCATCCTATGCCCTACAGCACCGCAACCACAACCCTCCTCAATCATACCCCTCCCCCTCCCCCTCCCCCTCCCCCTCCCACACCTCACCCTCTCTCCCCTCCCAAAACGCCCTCTCCAACCTTCCAAACACCTCCTCCAGCGCCGCGACCTCCGTCCCCCCCTGAACAGCGCGCTCAATCGCGTCCCTGACACCGCGCATGCGCTCCGCAATCGCAGCCTTGTACTCGAGTTCGAGCGTGCGGCGGGCTGTCGCGAACGAGGCCGCGCCGGCGGTGTCGCTCGCGGCGGACTGGTTCGGCGCCGGTGTGTCTGCAGTGGTCTGGGGCGGTGTGTCTGCGGCGGCTGTGTGCGGCGGTGTGTGTGCTGACCTCTCTGCGACCTGGGCGCTGACGAAGGACAGTTCTGCCGCGGTGAGCTGCAGCAGGTCGCGCACGAGCGGAGTCGCGGTGTCCAGCGCGTCGTCCCAGTGGTGCGGGGCGGAGTCCGGGTCGGAGAGGTCCTGGACGGCGGCGGTGCGCAGGGCGTAGAGGTGTGTGAGGGCCGCTGTGCGGTCTTGCGCGGGGAGGGTGGCGAGGCGGTCGGCGACGCTGTGGAGGAAGGCGAGTCTCTCCTTGTCCATGGCGGGATAGTGGGGGTCCTTCATCACGGCGGGCGCGCGATATAGCACCTGCTGGAGACTACAGCAGGATTGTAGAAGTCAACATAACATCGCCACTACATATCCCAAGCCTAACCCACACTCACTGCCCCGCCAAGCACGCGCGTCCCCAGTTTCCAGCAAGTAAGCTACTGCTCCGCATTTTCGCCTTGCGACTGTGGTGTCGTATGTCGTGTGTGTTCGGGTCATGCCGGCACGCTTCGGAACCTCTCGGCGCGACTCCATGTTCGCGCTAGAAACGCCGCTAGAACATGTCACCCGGCCGGTAGGGAGCAAGCGAGCGCGCGGAAGCTGACATGTCGCTCGATTACTTTTCTAGAGGGGTGAGATGAGTGGCTGCGGAGGATGAAGAGCGGGGATACTGGTTTGTTCGATTACTTTTCTAGGCTTCGGCGAGTGGCCCGACTTCTGTGCTTTAGCTGGCTTGCGATTGGTCTTACAATGCCTACAATTGCGCCTTTACCTTCGCCTCCACCCTCAGCGCTGCGTCAATGGCGGACATGGCGTGCACCAGCCGCTCGTCCTGCAGCCTGGGCGCAACGACCTGCACGCACAGCGGCGACCCCACGTACACCTCGCGGTCGACCTCGTTCCCTATTCGATTAGCTGCGTCTTGATGGGGGCCGGGAGACTTACATAGCGCGCGGTTCACCTTGTCCCAGCTGCCCAGCACCTTTCCGCTGACCTCGCCCGCCTTGTCTGCGTGCGTGAAAGTCCGCACGGGGATGGTCCCTGCGGAGTAGTCGAGCAGCACGAACGAACTCGTGTAGTTGGCGCCGTTGTAGCGGTCCGGGGCCGGGACGGGGTGCGGGGCGACGGGGCAGATGAAGGCGTCGATTTCGCCGGCCGGATGCCTCCACATCTGCAGACACTCTTTGCGGAGCTTCTCGCGCTTGCCGTGGAGGGCTTGGAGCTTGTCGAACGGCACCATCTTCCCACGTCTCACGCGGGTGGACAGCCACGGGGAGAGCGGCTCTTCCCCGGCGTCGAGCAGGTCGAATATGGCGTTGCCGCCTTCGACGTTGAACATAGCGTTGGCGAGGGCTGAGCATTGGGCGAACTGCGCTGCGATGTCCATCTCGACGACCTCGATGCCGGCCTTCTGCAGCTTCGATTTTGCTTCATCTAGAAGTCGGGCGATCGGGGGGAGTGGCTCGATCACGCCGTCTCGCCTGACAATACCGATTCGCAGCTTCTTGCCCGGCAACGGCGTCCACGGCAGTGGCACAGCGTCAGGATCGTACGCCCACGGCTTCTGGTCAGACACGGCCTGGAAGAACAGATCCATGTCGCGCATGGAGTGCCCCATCGGGCCTGCGCTGCCTGTGAGCCCGACCTTGGTCATACCCGGGAGCGCGCCAGCCTCGACATGAGAAAGGGGAATGCGGTCGGCGCTGGGCTTGACGCCATACAAGTTGCCGCACATGGAGGGCACACGGATCGAGCCGCCGATGTCTGTGCCAACACCGAGCACCGAGCCGCGCATGGCGAGCAGCGCGCCCTCGCCGCCGGAGCTGCCGCCGGCCGTGATGGCAGTGCTGATGGGGTTGATGGTGCGGCCGAAGACGTTGTTGTGCGAGTCGAAGGCCATGAGCGTCTGCGGGACGTTGGTCTTGCAGTAGAGGACTGCGCCGGCGCTGAGCAGCAGGTCGACGAGGACCGAGTTCTCGGTGGCGGGCTTAAAGGACAGCGCGGCCAGGCCAAGGGACGAGTCGTATCCACGGACATTGAACATGTCTTTCAGTGATATGGGCACGCCGTGGAGCAGGCCGAGGGGCTTGTTAGTAGTGAGATGCGCGTCCAGCTCGGCTGCTCTCTTCAGTGCATCGTCGAAGAAGATCTCGGTCAGGCAGTTGGTCAGTTGGTGTGCAATTGCGGCTCTCTAAACAGTCAGCCATGAAGACAATCGTCTGATGAGATGTTACCTTGCAGAACGCCGTCGTGACGTCCACACACGACAGCTTCTTCTCTCTGATAGCCCGAGCCAGCGCAGTGGCATCGTACTTCTCAGTAATGTCCAGCTCTTTCGCCGTCAGCAGGCCGCACGCGCGAGGAACGCCGAGGTAGCTGGTGACGTTTGAAGGTGGTAGCTGCGACAGCCGCCATTGGGCCGGAATGCGGGCAAACTGCTGGTCCTTCTTCTGCCAGGACACGGACTGCCACTTGGGAGTTGGGTTCGCCATGTTGATGATGGTGGTGAGCGAGCGAGCCGACTGTGGAGTTGCTGCCCCAGCCTGTAAGCCGAGGTTTGGCAGCTTGAGGGGTAGGAGCGACCACGCTACGAAGTAGACACTGCTTACGGGGGCGCATCATTGCTGGACTGGGCTGCACTGTACGCAGACGAGGCCTACAGAGGGTCTACATGTCTACATGGTGGGACTGCTTATGTCTTACAGACGGCCAGGGTCGGATATGTGCTCATCCTGCCGGATGCAGGCGGATACTTAGCCGGACGGGCCTGAGTCAGCGGAAAAGCATAAAGTCAGACTCGCTCGACCCGGTCGCCTGTCACGTCCAGCTGCCCTGCATCCACGCACCGCGTCACATGCTTTCGCGACGCTGACATCTCGAGATGCTGTCGCTGCAGCCCGCGACGCGCGCTAGGCCGCCCCCCTAGTCCCAATCGCGCTAGCCGTCCCCAGGTCCCAGATTTTTGCGACCCACACCGCGACCCCTTTCGCTGCGGCCAGTTGTCACTCCCACCGACCATCCCTCACGGCCTCCCTACGGCCTCATCACGGCCTCCTTGCCCTCCACCGCAGCCATGGCCTTCAATGCTTCCGCCGCCGCCGCGCACCCGTACTACCCGCTCGGAGTCGAGATCGCGGGCTACCTGGCCAACGAGTGGAACACGTTCGAGCTGGTCAGCATGTTCGCGGCGGGGTGCGCCGTCATCTTCAGCGTCACGTATGCGATCCTGATGAAGACGCGGCCGACCGCCAGCACCTCGGACGTGAGCATCATGATGTGGTTCGTGCTGTGCGGCTTCATCCACAGCTTCTTCGAGGGCTACTTTGCCTACAACTTCCGCACCATGGGCGCCATGCAGGACCTGTTTGGCCAGCTGTGGAAGGAGTACGCCCTGAGCGACTCGCGCTACCTGACCCAGGACGCGTTTGTGCTGTGCATGGAGACGGTGACGGCGGTGCGTATGCCCTGCGTGGTGTTGAGTCGTGCTGACGTCGCCAGGCCTTCTGGGGCCCCCTGTCCTTTCTCACCGCGTACCTGATTGCCGTCGACCACCCGCTGCGCTACTCGCTGCAGCTGATTGTCTCGCTGGGCCAGTTCTACGGCGACGTGCTGTACTACGCCACCTCGCTGTTCGACCACTACATCCTGGATGTGGCCTACACGCGCCCGGAGGCCGCCTACTACTGGGGCTACTTTGTGCTGATGAACGCCTTCTGGATCGTCATCCCGGGGTACCTGATGTACCAGAGCGTCGACGCCACCGTGCGCGCCTTCCGCGCCGTCAACGACGCCTCCAAGCTGCTGCTCAAGGCCGAGCAGATGGGCTACTACAAGAAGAAGGCGTAGGTGACGGGGTGGTGTTAGACGTAGACGTAGACGCAGGGAGGGATGATCGTAATGAGATGACGCCGATGAGGTCAGACCGAACCCTGTCGCGTCGATCCGCTACCGGCGCATCGGCAGATATATTAACCTTATATAATCCCCCGAGCAATTACACAATCCCTCCAATCCTCCACAGCCGTCCACAATCCTCCACCACAACCACCCACCACAACCACTCATCATGCGCCCCGCCCTCCTCACAACCACCCTCGCCGCCCTCACCACCGCCCACAGCACCCACAATGCCCCCAACAATGCCCACAACACCACCCTCCCCCTCTCCCTGCAAATGGCCCACTCCATAATCCACCGCCGCGACGGCATCTACACGCCCGGCGCCGACTCCTCCGGCCCCCTGCAAGCCGGCATCGTACAAAAAGCCTTCACCCAACTACTAACCCACTACGCCACCCACCCCTCCGCGCCCCAGCTCTCCTCCTACATAACCGCGAGCGCAGACTCGCTCCTCCCCCTCTTCAGCACGCCCGTCACGAACCGCAACTTCTCCATGGACCGCTTCAGCCCCGCGCTGACGTACCTGCGTCTCGCGACCTCCACAAACGACACGCGGTACGACACCGCGCTGGGCGTGCTAAAGCACAGTCTCGACGCGAACGACCGCGCCCCCGACGGCGCGCTGTGGTACTACGTCTACCCCTCGTGGGCGTACCTCGACGGCATGTACTCGCTGGGCCCGTTTGCGGCGGCGTACACGCGGCGCCACGACCCGGGGAATGCATCGGCGTGGGCGGATCTGGGGCGCCAGTTTGGGCTGCTGGCGGAGCACTGCACGGTTTTGGCTGGCGAGGAGGGGGAGGGGATGTTGGTGCATGGGTACGATGCGCGGGGGACGGCGGTGTGGGCGGGCGAGAGGGGGCAGAGTCCGCATGTGTGGGGGCGGAGTCTGGGGTGGTATGTGCTGGGGCTGTTGGAGACGCTGGTGGAGCTCGACGAAGGAGGTTGTGACGAAGGAGGCCCCGACAAAGGAGGCTCTGACGAAGGAAGCTCTGGTGTGCTCGCCGCCGAGGCGCAGACGCTGCGAGACGAACTAGCCGCGCGATTCTGCAGCATCATGGCCGCCGTAGTAATCGCCGCCGACCCCACAACCGGCGCCTGGCCCCTCCTCCCCTCCTCCCCCCACACCCCAGAAAACTACCTCGAATCCAGCGGCACCGCCATGTTCACCTGGGCCCTCCTCGCCGGCGTGCGCCGCGGCTACCTCAGTGACCAGAGCTACGTCGCCGCAGCGACGCGCGCGTACTCCTACCTAGTGGGCACGTTTGTGCGGAACGCCGGGAACGGGACGCTGGGCTGGGGCGGGACCGTGGGCGTGTGTAGTCTGAATAGCTCGGCGAGTTATGGGTACTACACGGGGCGGCCTTTGGTGGCGGACAGTGTGCTGGGGAGTGCGGCGTTTGTGGGGGCGAGTTTGGAGGTGGAGATGCTGGGGTGAAGGGCCGGGAGGGGGGGGGGAGTGGGCGGTGCTTCTGAGCGTCTGTGATCGCCGTGTTGGCAGGAAAGTGTGCAGACGAGGTGGATGGCGCTGGTTCTGCTGTATTGTATTCCTATAAGAGCTAGTCTGGGCCAGAGATGGCGGTGATGATGCTGGATAATGGTACCCACTGCCTGAGCAGACGCCATGGGCGGACAACGTCCCCGTGATAGGCCACCCTCTCGTATGGAGATGCTCGGCATCGTCACCAAAGGAATGGTCCTAGCCACGGCCCCTCATGCCAGTCCATCGCATCATCCGCACACCCCCACCGGAAACTCTCCCGGTAGCACAGCTCGGACGTCCTTCACCCACGACCCTATCAGGACGGCAGCACTCGCACATTCTGAGCTTCCAAAAACACAGCACAATACCTAGCATTTTGGGATTTAACCGAGTGCCCCCCTGCAATCTTGCGTGCTGATCGTCTGCCACATTCCGCGCTGAGACACGGCCGGTATGATCCGCAGCGGGTGAGCCCGCAGACATGTGGACCGGGAACCACTTCGGCGGTATCGCGAAATTCTTGCTGATGGACTGCGAAGGGAGACGGAGCGCTCCCCGTCCTGTGACGCTGCATTCCCGCGGCCCTCTTGCACGGCTATAGGTCATGTCTCAGGTGTCGGTGGTTGTATCGCCGGGGCGTGTATAAAGATGTAATCGGATGCTGTTGGGCATCAGCACACTGACCCAGGCTTCTCGTCTTCTTACCCTCTTTGAACCTTCTTGAATCCATCATGCACTTCACACTCGCTACCGTGCTCGCGCTGGCATCTGCGCCCATTGCCATGGCCCAGATGGGGTCTGGCACCCTCGGCCCGGTCCCTACGCCCGCGGTGCCCACGCCCGCTGTGCCCACGCCCGCTGTGCCCACGCCCACCTATCCGACGACTCAGATCCTGCCTGTCCCGGGCTGGAACTCGACGACCGACAGTTTCAACACGCTGGCCGCTCTGTACGCGAAAAGCGCCACTGAGCTGTCCGCGCAGGTGTTCAACATTGGTAGGCCCTCCCAATTCGAACTCGAATCTTCTGACCTCCCTAGCCCAGAAGAACATCGCGCTCAGCGGTTCCGGCACCATAGCGTACAGCTACGACATCCAGGCGGACCTGGCCGCAGCTCTCGCCACCGTGAACAACCTCTTCTGGAGCACCGCGTACGAGGGCGAGGAGAGGGTGTGCGCGATTGTGCGATCGATTAACGAGCAGAACGTTGGCACCGTGCGCGGCAACCTGCTTATTGCGTTAGTCTCCGCCGTCTCCCTCCAGTGGATACTGACGACTATACAGCATCACCGCCGAAGCCCAGGCCGTCATCCGCATCGCCATCACGCTCGGCAACACCGTCGCCGCGGTGCAGAGCCGTGAGTCGCCTTGCCCCCTCCTTACCTCGACTAACACCCCTAGAAATCCGCGAGTTCACCAACGCCGAGAAGACCGTCCTTGCGACCCTGATCCGCGCCATTGCCACTGCCGCAGTAGCGAGCACCGGGCCCCTCGCGAAGCTCAACGCTGGGTTGACTGCAACCGGTAACACAGCGCTGAACGAGGCGATCGACAGTCTGCAAGTGGCGGTCGCAGGACTGCAGGCGGCGGCGACGATCAACTGGACGTTCGAGTAGAGCGGAGGGGCTTTTGTCGGCCCAATGCTTACGTGGTTTATTTCGATGGGGTTGTGGGGGTATTGATAGATATTGGCAGATTACTTTCTTACTCTCATTAAGGATGTTGTTTCATACTCTTCCCTTGCTCTTAAACGCTATTACCTTGCATGGTGTAAGATTGAGCGATAATACAGACCACTGACGTCTCTTAGTTGGCGCAGACGTGTAGTTCCGTCTCGTCTGACGTGTTTCATAAGTACTTTTTGGTTGTTGGTCTCAACGAAGTTACCCTCTGATGCATCTACCTTTTGCATACCGAGACGCTCACAGGGAAAGGTGCTAGTTATGCGAATCTTACGCTTTTCTGCGACCACGTTCAGAAACTACAGGTGAGATCGATGTCACAGCAATCCGGCAACTTTCGGCAACTAGAGATCGTTGCAAACCGTTCCCGTACTGGAGGCGGGGTGGTTCTTGGCCGTTGCTTTGAATCAGATGTTAGAACAGGTATCAGCTGTCAGATGCGAAGTCAAAAACGCGAGCTGTCCAAGTGTCAGCTGTCAAGACATCGCCCCGCAACTGGTCCCTGGCCTAGCGCCGGCAGCCTTGGCCGCCGATTTCCACAAGCTTGAGTCGCAGCCGAGGCTGAAACAAGCGTGGCGGCGGGAAGTGTGGGGAAGGACCCTGCGTGGCGTTAGCCAAACGTCGATATACATGCTGCTCGCCGCGCAGCACTGTGCCTCCTACACCACCATGTCGCTCCCTACTGAGCCCATCTCGCCCACGGCAGCACCCTTGCCCGCTTTACCAAAAGAAGACCCCCTCACGCCTGCACAATGGCGCACGCTCCTCGCCATCGCCGACGCCTGCATTCCTGCCCTCAAACCGGTGTCGATCGCATCTAGCACCGATCTCGCCGTCGCTGACACCGAGTACGCAACCGCACTATCAACGCTGAGCGGGCTCATCCCTGCCTCTGAACCCAATGCTTCCGCGGCGGCCCGAAAATACCTCGAGGACAGCGCGTCGGCAAACCCGCAGTTTCGCGAGGAGCTGTGGCGCGTGTTCGCGCTGTACATGCCAGCTTCGTCGCGGCGCCAATTAGTCACCGTGCTCAACGTGCTGGACACGCGGGCCGGAGCGCTGGCGCTGACAGGGTCATTCACACCGATCAGCGAACAGTCGGTGCTGGCACGCGAGGACGTGATACGGGGCTGGAAGACGGCGCGTTTGGGAGCGCTGAGAAGCCTGCATCGCTCGCTTACGGTGCTGTCAAGGCAGACGTGGATCAAGGTGTCGGAGGCGCTGCCAAGGGTGCTGGGCGTGCCGCGCGTGCCGGTGGGGATGCGGCCAGGCAAGGGATACGAGTATGAGTTCATTCAACTCCCGCCCGGGCCGAAACCGGAGGTCATCGAGACGGACGTCGTGATTGTCGGGTCAGGCTGTGGAGGCGCGGTGTGTGCGAAGAATCTCGCTGAGGCAGGCCACCGCGTGCTGGTTGTCGAGAAGGGACATCACTGGGCGCCAGAGCAGCTGCCGATGAGCGAGCGCGAGGGCTGGAATCACCTCTTCATGAACGGGGCGTTCATCAGCTCAGACGACATGAGCACGTCAATTGTCGCGGGCCAGGCGTGGGGCGGCGGCGGCACAGTGAACTGGAGTGCCAGTCTGCAAACCCAGGGGTACGTCCGGCGGGAGTGGGCGGCGACAGGGCTGCCGTTCTTCACGAGCAAGGAGTTCCAGGACAGCCTCGACCGGGTCTGCGACAGGATGGGCGTGAGTGACAAGCACATCGATCACAACCGCGCCAATGCGATGCTGCTCGAGGGCGCGAGGAAGCTGGGCTACAGCCACAAGGCCGTGCCGCAGAACACGGGCGGCGCGCAGCATCGCTGTGGACACTGCACGTTTGGCTGCGGCTCGTGCGAGAAGCAGGGCCCTGTTGTGTCCTATCTCCCAGACGCGGCGCGAGCAGGAGCGAAGTTCATCGAGGGCCTGCATGTCGAGAGAATCATCTTCAAGACCGTCGCCGGGAAGAAGGCCGCCACCGGTGTCGTCGGCTCCTGGGTCTCGCGCGACATCCACGGCGGCGTCGCTGGCGAACCGACCACACGCCGCCCTGTCATCATCAAGGCCAAGCGCGTGATAGTGTCCGCAGGAACCATGCAGAGCCCCCTACTTCTCCTCCGCTCCGGCCTCAAAAACCCCCAGATCGGACGCAACCTGCGCGTGCACCCCGTGACAATGCTCGGCTCTGTCCACGACACCGAGGTCAACCCCTGGGACGGCGCCATCCTGACCTCCGTCGTCAGCGAGTACGAGAACCTCGACGGCCACGGCCACGGCGCCAAGCTCGAAGTCACCAACATGCTGCCCTCGGCGTGGCTCATCTGGCTCGACTGGACCGGCGGCCTGGCCTACAAGCTCGACGCCGCGCGCCTCAAGCACATGGCCGGCTACATCGCCATCTGCAAGGACGCCGGGGCAGGGCGCGTGTACCCCGACCCAACAGACGGACGCGCGCGCTTCTCGTACACGCCCACTGCCAAAGACAAGGCGCACCTCATGCAGGGCATACTCGCGCTGGCACGCATCCAGTATGTCGAGGGCGCGCGCGAGATCTTCACCACGACACCGGGGATGCGCGTGTTCAAGCGTGAAGCCGAGGACAGCGGTGAGGGCGTCAATGACCCCGCGTTTCAGGCGTGGCTGGGCGAGGTGGAGAGGAAAGGATTCCCAACGCCAGAGAGCGCGTTTGTGTCGGCGCACCAGATGGGCACGTGTCGGATGAGCTCCGCGGAGAAGGGGGGCGTTGTGGATCCAACGGGCAAGGTGTGGGGAACTGAGGGGCTGTATGTTGCAGATGCGAGCGTGTTTCCGAGTGCCAGCGGGGTGAATCCCATGGTGACGAACATGGCGATTTCGGATTGGATTTCGCGGGGCGTTGCAGAGGGGCTGGCGGGGCGGGCGATGCTGTAGATGTGTTTGCTGCTGATGCTGTAGATAAGTGTTGTGCTGTTGTTGCTGACGACAAAGATGACAAAGCTCACCCAAAATTGGCAACCACGATGCTCCGTTCTAGCGACCTGCATGACAGCGCATTTGACGCAGGGCGCTGCAGAATGCACGCACGAGGGACTTTCATTGGCCAGCATGCACGTGACAAAATGATGTCATAGCCTGTCCTCACCACCACATCTCGCAACACCAAGATCGGCATGCCGTGCTGCGGGCATGGCGGCCGGACCAACCGCTGCGAGCGGGCGGTGGCCGTCGCCGCTGCTATTTAAGGGAGGCGCCGCAGCGCGAGCAGGTTTGGGCCTTCCTGCGATGACAATACAGATATAAGGCCGCCTGAGAACACTCCTGCTACCCCTCCACACCATGATGCCCCTCGACGGCCCGTTCGGCCACACCAGAATGCCGCAGCGCGCGGGCAGCATCTCGCACGGCTTCGGCTTCAGCGGCGCGGCTGCTAACGGCGGCACCGAGTTCATGTCGACGCTGCCCCCGCCCAAGGGCGATCTCGACGAGTGGGACCGCACGCGGCCGTGGAACCAGCAGCCGGGCGCCAGCGCGCCGCTCGTGTTCAAGGACGCCATGTCGGTGCGCGAGGAGGTGTTTGGCGAGCAGGGCGTGCCGCTGGAGGCCGAGTTCGACGACGACGACGCCCGCAGCTGGCACTGGGTCGTGTACGCGTCGGTCGGTACGTCGTCTGCGTCGCCGCCCAAGGCCCTGCTCGCCCGCAGCGACTCGGGCAACACGCCCGCCGACGACGCCCGCCGCGCCTCGGCCACGGCCACGCGCCTCCCCGTCGGCACCATCCGCCTGATCCCCCCGCCCCACGGCCCCAACAAGTACGCCGCCGACCCGCACCCGGACGCCGACACGCCCGCCGCCCTGGCCGCCGCCCACCCCGCCGAGCCGTACGTCAAGCTGGGCCGCCTGGCCGTGCTGGCGCCCTACCGCAAGCTCAACCTGTCCAAGCTGCTGGTGAATGCCGTGCTCGACTTCGCCGCCCAGCAGCCCGACGCCATCTACGTCCCGCCGTCGCCCACCACGCGCGAGCTGGCCGCCCTGCAGGGCCCGGGCGCCGCCCGCCCGCTGTCGTGGCAGGGCCTCGTCATGATCCACGCCCAGGCCCCGCTGAAGCACATGTGGGAGAAGCACGGCTTCCGCGAGGAGCTGCGGACCGACGCCGGCGCCGTGGAGATTGCCGCCGAGCCGCACTGGATCGAGGAGGGCATTGAGCACGTCGGCATGTGGAAGCGGCTGAAGATTGCCCCGGGCAGGTTGTAGAGCTGTGCATGTTGAATCTTACGTCCTGCTCACACTGTCTAGCACGCGGCTGCAGCGCGAGGTGCACGCGGCGCTGGAGAAGGGGCCGGCCAAGTTCCCTATTGGCGCGGTGCGGGCCGACGAGCCTGTTATTTAGCATTTCTTTGTTGGCGTTGGCGTATACCCCACGATCAGCGCTAGACGGCATCTTGGTCTACTGTGTAGACTGGCTATGGTCTCTAGACTGGCTATGGTCTCTTCAGCTAGATTGGCTCATCACTAGACGCTGCATTAGCACATCCAAACTCAGTCATTGCACTTCGTTCCTTCGTTTTCTCATGATTTGATATTAACAGGTAGAAGGTCGTCGACAGGGCGACATGGTAGAAGCTGACAAGGGAAAAAGGACAAGTACAGGCAGACTGCTTATCCAGCCAGACAGGACGACGATGCCGTCTCACACCCGCGGCTTCCCTCCCGCCAGCTCCGCCGCCTGGCTGTCCAACTCGTACCGGTACTTCACCGCGCCCGCGCCCGCCATCTCCGGCACCGCGTTCGGCACCTCGTGCCTGGTGCTTGGCTCCAGCTCGCCGTGCGAGTACGTCGGCGGCGCGCGGCTCTCGTCCTTGACCGCCGCGGCCGCGGGCCGCCGCCGACGCAGCCAGAAGAAGAGGCCTATGACGCCCGCAATGGCGATGACACCGATAACCACGGGCGCGGCGATGGCGGCCACGGGGACAGAGGCGCCGCCTAAATTGCTTGCTGGTGCCGCGCTGGTGGCCGAGCTGCTTGCCGAAGCCGCGTTGCTCGAGGAGGCCGCGCCGGTGGTCGAGGGCGCGGGCGTGATCAGCGAGTTCAAGGCAGATGAGGCAGTGCTGGCTCCCTGGTCTGGTCGCTGTTAGCCGGGCCATCTCTCTCCCACGCTCTGGGGGACGTACACCACGACAGCTCGGTGCTGCGCGCGCAGTAGCTATCGAACACATCAATCGCGGCCGTGACCTCCGGCAGCGCCGCCGTCACACTCGCCGTCCGCGTCGTCGTCGCCTGCGCCAGGCAAAACTCCTGCACCGCCGTCGACAGCACGCTCGAGATATGTCTGCCGCCGCGTTAGCATCTCTTCCCACGCTCCACATACAGCAACGCACGAGGACTGGTCAATGCAGAAACAGCTGAAGCTCGTCAGCTGCTGCGCGTCTCCGCACCCGGACGCCTGCGCGCGCACAATCGCGCTGACCCGGTTCTCTGCGCACGGCGCCAGCGCAGAGTAGCCCGCGATCTCGTTGATGTAGATGGACGTCTTGACCGCCGCGGCGGAGGCGGCTAGCAGCGCCAGCCCAGGGGCGAGGGGGGACAGCCGCATCGTGGAGTGTCTGGCCTGTTGCTCGTGCGGAGGAGCAGCTCAAGATGGGGCCCGCGTGCTTAAGGGTGCGTTCGGTGCCCGACGCTGGTCAGGCCCCCCGTGGCATATTGAGCGGGGGTTGCGCGCGCAGGGGTCAGGCTATCTGTGCTGTTTTCTCCGAATCGAGACGTGGTCAAACGTGTGGGGGATTCGACGGCGTCCACTCACGGCGCCCGAACGCAGCGACGCGGAGGATGCCGGGGCCTTGCAGTACACCCATGAGTGTTCCAGGGTGTCTGTGTCCGATAATAGCAGCGCGAGACGCACTCCCCTGCGTTGAACAACCACCGCGAGACGACGGCTGGCCACACGGCTAGCTGGATCCAGGATCGTCGCCGTCGAATGGCGCGGGAGCTGCCGTTGAACGGGCGGGCGGCGGCCGTGCACTGTACCTGCTCGCGCCCACTCGCTGGCGACATTCAGCATTCACATCTCTAGATATAAATGTCTCGTGGATTCGCAAACAGGACCATGTAGCCGCAGGTGTCCTGCAGCATTCCTGCACCCCCGATCCCAGACACCCTGCAGCTGTCCCCTGCGCACCGCCGTCATGCCTGTACGCTGCAATTCAGCCTATTTCTGGACCCGTGCGTGTGGTTGGCTGCGTCGGGCCTTTTGGTTGCGGGCCGGTGCTGGGTGGTGGCCTTAGGGCTTACGGTTGTGTTACCTGCTTGGAGCAGGGATTTTCGAGATTTGCGAATTGTTTCTTGGTTTGTTGGGTAGTTTGGTGATGCGGTGGCGTGGTGGTGCTCGAGTTGTGCGGTTGCGGCAATTGAAGGTCTGCTCTTGTGGTCGCCTTTCGTGGTGTTCTCGTTTTGCTGGTCTTTTGGTGTTCTTGTTTTCGTGTTCCTTTGGTATCCTTTTGGTCCGTTTCTTGCTTGCTTTCCGGTACTCCTCAGTCTTCCCTTCAGTCTTATCTCTCAATCTTCCCCTCTAATTACCAATTCCCATCTTATCTTATCATCCCCTCCTTAGTCGTCTCTCCTGGGTTTTCTTCAGTCTTGTCTCGTCACCTAAGTTTTCTTCGATCTTGTCTCGTGATTTCTCTTCCAGTCTTTCGAGGAGACATCTCGAGAATTCTGGAATGCAACTTTGGAAAATAGAACAACGGGGGAATGATAATCCACACAGATCCCGAGGTCTAAACGACGACGCACTTCTAGCTCCGACATCATACCCCTCATACGCAGAAACTCCGATGAATATGCGGTACCCCACGTTTACGCAGCCAATCGGATCGCAACAGCACTAGGGTAAATGCTGCATAATTATGCGGGGCCCAAGCTCAGCAGTCGTGCTCTGTCAGATGTCGTGTATTTAGATGTCTGGGTGTTGGATCTCTTCCTGTTTTCCAAATCAATCCGTTCTCTCAAAATGACGGCCGCTATCCCCCACCTCCGCAAGACCAAGACGTCGAGCCAACTCATCGTCAATGGCAAGCCGTTCCTCATGCTCAGCGCCGAGCTGCACAACTCCACGCTCAGCTCTGCCAAATACATGGCCGACGACAAAATCTGGCAGAACATGCGCGACACCCACATCAACACCCTGCTCGGGTCGGTCTCGTGGGAGCAGATCGAGCCCGAGGAGGGCAAGTTCGACTTTGCGAATCTCGACGCCGTCATCACAGCCGCCCGCGAGCACAACATGAAGCTCGTGCTGCTGTGGTTTGGCAGCTTCAAGAACGCCCTCTCCACATACGTCCCGGCGTGGGTCAAGAAGGACGTCAAGCGATTCCCCCGCGTGCACGTCATCGAGGCAGGGAACCGGAAGCGCACGCTCGAGCTCATCAGCCCGTTTTCGGAGAACGGCTGGACGGCGGACGCAAAGGCGTTCGGCACGCTGATGGCGCACTTGAAGGAGTTCGACACAGATAGCACCGTCGTGATGGTGCAGGTTGAGAACGAGACGGGGCTGCTGGGCGACTCCCGCGACCGGTCTAAGATCGCGGAGAAGAAGTACAGTGAAGCAGTGCCCCAGGATGTGATCCAGCATCTGAAGACGCACGCACACCTCCACCCCGAGTTCACCTCGCGCTTCCCGGAGATCAGCTCCGTCAGCGCCGGCGCGACCTGGAAGGAGGTCTTCGGCGCAAAGGACGAGGTCAACGCCGAGGAGATGTTCATGGCCAACGCCTTCTCCAGATACATCGAACACGTCGCCGCCGCAGGCAAGGCCGCGTATCCCATCCCGCTGTACGCCAACGTGTGGCTCAACTTCGACAACCCAGACGACCTCGACCAGTCCATCGAGGCGGTCGTCGGCGGCGGCGCCAAAGCCGGTATCTATCCCTCGGGCGGGCCCTGTCCGCACACCACAGACGTGTACAAGTTCAACGCGCCCAGCCTCGACTTCATCTCGCCGGACCTGTATTTCCACGACTACGAGCAGACGTGCATCAACTACCGCCACAACAACCAGCCGCTATTCATCCCGGAGCAGCGTCGTGACGAGTACGGTGTCAGGAGAGTGTGGCTCGCGTACGGCACGTATCTGGCGCTCGGGTGCTCGCCGTTCGGTATCGACTCGCTGCCCGCTGCCGAGTCGCCCGCCACAAAGCACTACAAGCTGATCCACTCGCTGCGCCACCAGATCCTCGAGGCGCAGGCAGAGCGGCCCGAGGACATGTTCGGCTTCTTCTTCGACGACGCGCAGAAACCCGGCGAGAAGCCGTGGACCAAGGACATCGCCGGGTACACAGTCATTGTGGAGCGCGCGTTTGTGTTCGGCAAGGCCGGGCCCGGGGCAGGCATCGTCATCCACCAGGGCGACGGCAAGTTCCTGTGCGCCGGGTGGGGCTTCAACCTCTCCTTCAAGAGCACGAGCCCGAAGTCGACGTTCACAGGCATTCTGCACGCGGAGGAGAAGGAGATTGATGCCGAGACGGGCGCGCTGAGCACGCTGAAGATCCTCGGCGGCGACGAGACGAGGAGCGGCGAATTTCTGATCATGCCGAACGAGGATCCTGACTACGGCGGCTTCCCCATCGCAGTCACCATCCCCGCGCGGACGTGCATTGCTGAGTGTTGGGCGTACAGTTTGGAAGAGACAGAGGAGGATTTCTAGCGAATTAATAGATACAAACATCGGAGAAAGGCGTAGTCGCCGGACGTAGATCTAGATTTTGCAATTTCGCCAGTAGGCGGTCCAGATTCACACTCGCCTGCAACGTGCGCCCGTGAGACCCAGTCCGCAACTCATCAAGAAGAGCGCTGCCGATGTCGCGGATCTTGGGAATAACGCTGTGGCCATTCGCGTCGAACACCTCCGTGGGCATGTGGTAGAGGATGTCGAGCAGCTCGTCCACTACGTGGTGCCGTTCTTCAACAATTGCATGTGGCGTGATCAACAACCCTTCTGTCTTTGCGATCGAGTTCATCAGCTCTAGCAAGTTCGATCGGATGTGGAGCTGCGTGATCTTCAGATTGACGGTCTGCACGTTGAAGCCGAAGTCGCTGCTGACGTGGTTCCCCTTCCAGCTTAACTCAGGCGGCAGGTTGTCGGCTATGCGGTGCACGCGCTCGATGTGCGCTTGCAGATTGTCCATGGTCTGTGTCGGGATAGCCTGGCTGGATTGCCAGACCATGAACAGCCGCGAGAGCGCGTTCAGCCCTGGCACGTACGAGTTTTCAGTGCCGATATGACCAGGCGACGACACGCCGTCCAGCTGGACATCCGATATCTCCAACGGCATCAGCGTGCTCGTCTGGTCGTGCGCCTGGCGGATGAAGAGCAGCTGTCGCCCGTACATGTCGCTTGTGCAGAGCCCGGCGTAGATAAGCCAGTACAAGCGTTTCAGGATCTCGGCATCTGCAAAGCACACGCTGTCCATCGACTGGTGGATCAGGAACTTGACGCTCATCGCGGCCTCGGCGATCAGCCGATGCGACTCCGGCGAGTCTATGCCGTGCTCGTGGTGCAGCGCACTGCCGAAGTTGTACATGGCAACGCTGCGCTCGACGGTGATTACGGCGCTGGGGCTCCACACCCCGAGGCGCTCCGCAAAGTCCAGACACGACTCAACCGTTACGTTACCGTAGAGATGCCGTCTCCGGCGCAGACTCGCCACTGTCGCCGCGCAGAATGACGCAACCAGAAGCAGAAACGAGGGTGGAGCACTGTCGGGTATGGCCAGATACTCCTGCAGTCGGAGCATGAACCGATCTTGGTGCAGTATCGGCGCGACCGGGTGAATCCAGCCAAACCAGTCGGCAATTAGCTGGTGAATGATCGGAGGTGGTGCGAGGTCTTCCAAGCCAAGTGCGCCACTCCTGTCCAGCTCCTCTCGCAGGGCCTGCACGTATCGATTCTTTGGGCCACGCTTTTTCCTCGGCTGAACATTTGTGCAGTGAATATCTAGTTCAGAGCAGGTAGAGCAGCGGGATTGTCCCTCAGGCACGACGCACTGTGGATGTCAGTACTCACATGCGGCTGTCTCTTCATGATATAACGATGTATTCACCGAGTACAGTCAATCCTGGCACCACCGACGACTCACTTTGACCTTCCTGGCACGACATGCATCGCATGCCGCTGTGTTGCGTTGGCGAGTCATTTCATCCGATATTATTCCAGACTTCGAGTGATGAAGGAAGCATGCTTTCCCGGATGGAGATTCGGAAAAATGATGCAGCAACGCTAGCCTGTCTCATTCTAGTGCAGACCTTCTCCGCAGCAGACATCCCCAGATCTTCACCCCATGGCACAGTCGGCCGAAGTAATGCCATTATGTAGTGTCCCCATATATATATCCCACGAGGGACGTTTGTGATCATCACCTTCCTAACTCGTTCATCTTCGCCTACTACACCATGGACAAGAAAGATATTGAGATTGAGCACCTCGAGAACGATGCTGTCGCTTTCCAGCCACGCGAAGATGAGCGGCCCTGGTACAAGCAACCCGAGCTGCGGAAGCTGTACTTGATGATGCCGTTTCTGTTCCTCGGCTCGACGACCCTGGGCTACGACGGCAGTCTGCTCAACGGACTGCAGACAATGCCCGCGTGGCAAGCATGTAGGTTCGCCACCAACCAGCTCAACAACCACTGACAGTGTAGTCTTCGACCACCCCACTGGCTCGCGGCTCGGACTGCTGGGCGCGTTCCCCGGCTTTGGAGGCTTCGCTGTCTTGTTGTTCACCCCCTACATCGCCGATATCCTCGGCCGCCGCATGGGCACCGCGATTGGCTGCGTGCTCGTCATCGTCGGCTCCATCATCCAGGCCTTCCCACAAGCCGGCAACCCAGACGCCATGTTCCTTGCCGGCAGGTTCATCATGGGCATGGGCAGCAACGTCTCGAACGCGACGTGTCCGCTGCTCATCACTGAGGTATCTCACCCGCGCCACCGCGGCCGAGTAACGACCATCTATAACACGCTGTGGTACCTCGGCTCTATCATCGCCGCGTGGACAACATACGGCACCCTCACCCACATCACCTCAGACCTGTCCTGGAGACTGCCGATCGGACTGCAGTGTGCCATGCCCGGTATCCAGCTGATCTTCGTGTACCTGCTCCCTGAGAGCCCGCGCTGGTTGATCAGCAAGGACAAGCACGAGGCGGCGAAGAAGGTTCTTACCAAGTACCACGGCAACGGCGAGGACAGCGACTTTGTCAACTGGGAGTTCAACGAGATCAGCCAGACGCTGAAGGCGGAGAAGGCCGCGAGTGCTTCCAGCGGCTGGTACGAGCTCGTCCGGACGCCGGGAAACAGGAAGAGATGTCTCCTCATCATCCTGACCGCCATCTTCTCGCAGTGCTCCGGAAACGGCCTCGTCAGCTACTACCTCGCCGCCGTGCTGCAGACCATCGGCTTCACCAACGGCTCCGACCAGGCCCTGATCAACGGCGGCCTGACAATCTGGTGCTTCATCGTCTCCCTCGGCTGCGCGTTCCTCGTCGACCGCATCGGCCGCCGCACGCTCTTCCTCAGCGCCGGCGTCGGCATGCTCATCGCATTCAGCATCTGGACGGCGTGCAGTGCCCTGTACGCGCAGACGGGCAACTCGAGCGCGGGCTCTGCCGTGCTGGCGATGATCTTCCTCTTCTACGGCGCGGCGGGTATCGCGTGGCCGGGGCTGACTGTCTCGTACACGGTCGAGATCCTGCCCTTCAACATCCGCGCCAAGGGCCTCACGCTCTGCTTCGTGTTCACGTCGCTCTCAGGCATTTTCAACCAGTACGTGAACCCGATCGGCATTGAGGCGCTGGGATGGAAGTTCTACCTCGTGTATGTGGTGGTGCTGGTGCTGGAGTGTCTGGCGATCTACTTCCTGTTTGTGGAGACCAGGGGTCCGGTAAGTACTTCCACCGCACGTGTGAATGCAGCTAACTGTGGTAGACACTCGAGGAAATTGCCATTCTCTTCGACGGCGACAACGCGAATGTGGCCGGTGCGAATGTGGTTCTTGGTGCAGATGGCCAGTTGAAGCCCGCAAAGGAGGGTGATTGCTAGGTTTCTGATATGATTGCATCCGGATAAATGACGTAGATGAACGTTTTGACGACAGTCCATGGTGATTTAGAGCAAATTCCTGGCCCTCCATGCGTGATCTGTTGATGAGACCTGACACCAGATGGCTGCGGATTGGTGAACGGCGAATGTTCCGTTGAGCCAGAACCAGAGTATCTGACAACCCGAGTCTGCGTCCATGTTGCGAACACATCCCAGGAAACAATCCCCATCTCGCAACCCTACCAAGGAATCGCCTCCGGCCCACGCTCCATCCTCTCCACCCCACTCCTCCTCGCCTCAACCCTCTCCTCCACCTCCCCATACCCCCGTCCCTGGCCCCACCGCCTCCTCACCCTCCCCACCGCAAACCTCCCAACCCCCCACACCGTCGCCGCGAAAATTGTCCCCGCAATCCCCGTCGGCGCCAGCACAAACCCCGCGCCGCTCACAAACGTCCCGAACACGCCCGCCCCCACCGTCGCCACCAGCGACCCAATCGCGACGTACTTGGCCCACCGCACGGCGCGCCAGAACACGAAGATTAGGCTGGAGCGCAGCACGCGCAGGGCGGCGCGCGTGCGGCGCGAGGACACGGCGCCCGGGGCTGCGGTCTTGGGGTCGTAGAGGTAGCGCAGGTTCTGCTTTGTGGTGGCCAGGGCGCTGCGCGAGTGTGCGTCTATTGCGGCGTCGTGCTGGTCTGGGGACGTGGGCGCCATTGTGGTGTGTGGTGTGGAGAGAGAATTGGAGAGGTGAGGTTGGGATTGGACAGTGCGGTGACGTCATGGTGCGATGTCGCGACGGCTAGATGCGGCGTGGACGGGGGAGGTAGTTCGGGCGCGCCCTATGAGTACTGGGACTCCATCTGGCGCTGGGGATATAAGAATGGCGGATTCAAGGCTTGGGAATAAGCAGACGTAGCATTGAGCTGCCAGCCCCCGGATTCCTATAACTGTCCCTCCAATATTCACACAGCACCACCAGGTCTCGCCCCAACAACACCCGCAACCATGTCCTCCTACTGGATCAAAACAGAAGACTGGCACACCGCCGGCGAACCCTTCCGCATCGTCTCCACCCTACCCCCCGACACCCTCCCCTCCTCCCCCACCGTCGCCCTCCGCCGCCAAGCCATCCTCTCCACCCCCCACCACCCCCTCGACACCCTGCGCCGCCAACTCTGCCACGAGCCCCGCGGCCACGCCGACATGTACGGCGGCTTCCTGACGCCCCCCGACGACGCAGGCGCGCACTTCGGCGTGCTGTTCTGGCACGCCGACGGCTTCTCGACCGCGTGCGGCCACGGCACCATTGCGCTGGGGTACTGGGCGGTGAGCACGGGGGTGGTCAAGGCGGCGGGCGACGGGGTCGTGGATGTCGTGGTCGACGTGCCGAGCGGGCGGGTAGTAGCGCGGGTAGGCGTCCAGGGGGGCCGGCCGGTGCACGCGGACTTTGTGAACGTGGCGAGCTACGTGCTGGCACGGGGGTTGGGGGTTGAGATCCAGGGCGGGCGAGTCGAGGTGGATCTGGCGTTTGCGGGCGCGGTGTATGCGACGCTAGACGCGGCGCAGGTCGGGCTGCGGGTGCAGCCGGGGAATGCGAATCGGTTTGTTGAGTTGGGCAGGGAGGTCAAGAAGGCTCTGGGGCAGCGGGCGCACTATGGCGATTATGATTGCTATGGGGTGATATTCTACCACGAGGATGATGCGGGTGCGGATCCGGTAAGGCAGACGAACGTCACGGTCTTCGCGGACGGCCAGATTGACCGCTCGCCGTGCGGGTCGGGGACGGGTGCGAGGCTGGCGGTGCTGCTGGCGGAGGGGCGGCTGGGGGCTGGGCGGTCGAAGCTGATACACGGCTCGATTGTGGGGTCGACGTTCGAGGGCGATATCGTGTCAGAGGAGACGAGTCCGATTGAGGGCGGTGCTCCAGCGTGCATACCGCGAGTGCGAGGCTACGCGAATCTGGTTGGACGGATGGAGTTTTTCATCGATCCAGAGGACCCGGTGCTGCCGTTTACACTACGGTGAATTCTTGGATCAATAAAAGCCTGCCGTGTTTTTAAATTTTTATCAAATTGACTTCAATTAAAAGGCTTTTGCAGCAGCACCCAAAACAGCCGGCCAGCCTCCAATCGCACTAAACGCCCATTGATACGTCTTCGCATGTACAACATACACCCCCCCAAGCAGCATGTTCGCCGCACTAAACGCCAGGCTCGTCTCGGTCGCCCATTTCATCGCCAACTTCGTCTTCGTCTCGTCCAGCCCAAGCTCCATCATGAGCTCTAGCGTGTGTCCCGATGTCGGGATCTTGACGATCTGAGTAACGGCCGGCGAATTGAGGAAGTTGTACACCACAACAATCTCGCTGGCGTTGCCCCAGCACGACATCCAGCCGCCCCACTCGCTCGTGGATACGTTGATGGTGCCCTTGTGCTCCTTTGTCGTGGCGTTGGCGAAGAAGGGCCCGCTGAGGGTGAAGTCGATGCACACAGACGGGCCCGGGCCGGAGTCGAACACGCTCAGCGACGTCAGGCCGACTTCGCCAACGCGGCCGTCGTTGATTGTGGGTGAGACTTCGAAGGGGCGCTTGCCGTCGCTCTGGGTTGTTAGCTTGTTTGGGGAGTCTCGGTGCGTCTTACGGGTGTGTTCTTGGTGATGCCTGCAAACGTAGGCCACCATGAGTTCTTGCCCTCCGGAATTGTGAAACGGACGTCGGTGATGGTCATGGTCACCCCCGGGGGGAGGGTGGCGATTTTGAGGACTTGGCTGATGGAACCGCGCGGCATTTCGAATCTATGATACTGGATTTATCTTGAGATCTTGAAGATTATATAGACCAACTGAGAAATTGTATAGATCCAACATGAGCATCATCTTCGTTGATCCAATCACGGGATGACCGCAGGATACGAGCATTTATTGCCGATCAATCTCAGGCACCATGTTCAGGAGGTTTCGTGGCTTGCTCCGCGAGACCGATTGCAGCTGAGCGGTTGCGGTCGCGTGAAATACCCATGTCGTCGCTGTCGTATCAGAGGTCTAGAACGGTGTCCGGTTTTGTCACCTCGCTAGCGGCGGCCCGCTGCCGGCCCGAACCATTGACAGCTCTCTCCTTCACCTCACATTCCGGACCACCACCGCATTCGGATGTCGTGCTCTTGCCTATCAGCATGTAATACTGCGCTGGTGCAGAATTATGCATTCTACGCCTATTCACTCCAACCTCAAGGGTCCTTTTGCGCACTATTCGACGCACGTTCCTCGGTGGCTGATCTAGTCCGGGGTCTCTCAGCTGCGCTCGCTAGCACCAGCACAGATTGCTCCTTTCGTACACTTGACGCCCGATATGGATTCAGACTTCGGCGTATGCGAGGTCGCTGCTCAGGGACATGATATGCCGGAGGTATTTAGCTGAACAACATCGCTCGCATCTGTCACCATCTTCATCATCATTCCTCACCATGGTCTACGAACCGAAAACCACCCACCCCAACGGCCTCCGTCTGCTTGCACTCGATGGCGGCGGCGTCCGTGGCATCGTCGCGCTCGTGCTGCTCGAAGAGGTCATGAAGCGCGTGCAGAAGCGCAAGGGCCTGGCAGAGGTGCCGCTGCCCGCCGACTACTTCGAGCTCGCAGCCGGCACCAGCACGGGCGGCATCATCGGCATCATGCTGTTCCGGCTGCGCATGTCCGTTGCGGACACCATCACGCAGTACTTCAAGATTGGTGAGGAAGTCTTCAGCCCGAAAGTGTACGGGTGGAACATTGGCAAGGTGCTGCCCGTGAGCGTGGCGTCGTTTATCAACAACAGCAAGAACGTCGTGCAGGACAGCCGCTTCGACGACGCCTCGCTGAAGAAAGCCATCAACGACGTCGTCGGCAAGTTTGGCCTCGACGAGAACGACATGGAGAAGAAGGGCGACGCACCACTGCACCACCCCCTGGCCGCGCGGGCGTAAGTCGACCCATCTCTTTCTCCCCTGCACCATTCTTCATTGGCAGCCCATTCCTATTTTCCCCGGCAAACCATCATCTCTTCCCCACTGACAACCCATCATCTCTTCCCCCATCATCTCTCCCCACTGACAACCCAGCTTCTGCTGCACCACCGCCCAAAACAAATGCGAATCCGTGCTCCTGCGCACCTACGACCCCACGCCCATGGACAAACAGCACTACAAGCCCTCCGCGACCTCCAAAATCATGGCCGCGAACCCGCACCACGTAACCATCAGCCTCGCCGCGCGCGCCACCTCCGCGGCCCCCACCTTCTTCCCGGAAGTGCACTTCCCGCCCACCCCGAAGCCCTCGCGCCAGGGCCTCACCTTCTGGGACGGCGGCCTGCTCAACAACAACCCCATCGACCAACTCTGGTACGCGCGCTACGAACTCACCCCGCACGCCTCCCCGCCCCCGCGCATCGCCAGCGTGCTCAGCCTGGGCACCGGGTATATCCCCGCCGAGTCACCCGGGGCCGCGTGGTTCCATCTCAGCGGCGTGGTCTCGTCGGTGATGGACTTCAGCACGAACACGAACGCCAAGGCCAAGGACTTTACGCGGCACGTCGAGCGGCTGCGGTTCCGCGCCGAGCACGGGCGCACGCTGTATGTAAGGCTGAATCCGAGGCTGGAGGCGAAGATTGGGTTGGCGGATTATACGCGCATGGAGGAGTTGAGGGGGATTACGAAGGGGTATTTGGCGGAGGCGGGGAGTCAGGAGTGGGTCGAGAAGGCGGTTTGTGGGGTGTGTTGTGAGGGGTGTGAGGGGTGTAAATAAAATATATATTAGAGAGGGGGAGAGGTTTTCGTGTGACTGAAGACGTGAGACGGGGAGTGTAGATATAGGAATGTAGATAGGAGTGTAAACAAGATATTGATAAACGATAGCTTTTCCACTACAACGCCACGCGAAATATTACCCTACTCCGGCGAGCACAGATCCAGAATCATCGCAGATCTATCGAGTACCAGAGATCTCAGCAATATGCTCACAGCAAGTGGTGCCAACACCAGAATGAACGGGACAGGGAATGGAACGCAGATCAAGGCCGTGGTCTCGTCAAATATTGCTTTCGTTACGGTGGGCGGAGTGGTGCGTAGGGTGCGTCATTAATGATGGTCGTCGGTCATATGGGGGTCAGTCGGGTTGTGCAGGCGTGTTCGTTTCCTTCACTCGTCCGGTCAGTCATCGACTCGTCCGGTCACTCGGTCACTCCTCACTTCTCACGTCCCTCATCCACTCGCTCGTCCGCTCGTCCACTCACTCGCTCACTTCGTTCGCTCCCTCGCTCCCTCGCTACCTCCTCTTCTTCTGCAGCCCAAACGCGCCCCGGAACCCCCGCTGCTGCTCCTGCGACCGCCGCTTGCGATCGCGACTCGCCGGCTTCTTCTCCAGCAGCGCCCGCGCGCGCGGGTCCACCCTGAACAGGCGGCACCGGCACGACTCATCCGGCTCCAGCCCGCAGTTAAACAGCATCCTAAGAATCTGCAGGGCGTCGTCGCGCGGGTTGCCGGTCGGCAGATCGAAGCGGTCGTAGGTGTAGAAGCCAGGCGAGGTGGAGTCGAGCAGGGCGCGGACGTGGGAGAAGCGCTCCTTGGGGGCGACAGCGGACGCGTTGGGGTCGGCCTTGTGCTCGAGCAGGCGGCGCACGCCGTCGACGTAGCGCGTGCGGCAGGCGAGCTGCAGGGGCGTCTCGCCGTTGCGGCCCACGGGGGCGTCGACGCTGCGCAGCTGGCTCGTCAGCACGGCGATGATGGGCGCGTGCTTGGCGGCGTAGGCGTGCTCGAACGGGCCCGGGCCGACGCCGCGCACGGCGACGACCAGCGCGCCGGCGCCCACCAGCAGCTCGACCATGGCCTGGTTGCGGCGCTGCACGGCGTAGCACAGCGGGGTGCTGGAGCCCGAGTGCGGCACGTTGCGGCCCCAGTAGCGGCCGACGCGCGGGATGCAGGCGTGCTCGAGGAAGTGCGGCGACGTCTCGAGGTTGGCGCCGAGGTGCACCAGCACCTGGGCGAAGTCGGTGTGGTTGTTGGCCGCGGCCCACAGCAGCGCGGTGCTGCCGTGGTGGGCGATGTTGGTGCGCAGCAGCGGCTGCCACAGCACGTGGCGCAGGTGGCGCGTCGAGCACACCAGGCGGCTGATGTCCGTCTGGTCGAGGAACGACTCGGCGAGCAGCAGCAGCAGCTCCGTGGGCAGCGCGAGCAGCCCGACGCGCGCCATGGTGGTGTTGTGGTGAGCGAGGCGGGCGGGGGTTGGCATCTCCCTCGACCCGGCAACCCTCGCCTCGACCCGGCCTCGGAACCGTCAGCAGCCAGAAGCGGACGGCACCTGCCCATTCCGTGCCCTGTTTGTTTATCGAGGCCCACTGTGCGAGTGCCAGGCTGCTGACGCCTGTGTCTCGGCAGCAGCCGTGGCATCGCTGATTGCCCGCCGTGTTTGCCGGCTGAGCGGAATAGCTGAGCCGAATAACAGCTGAGCTTACGACAGTTGGATTTACGCTTGTCACACGTTGGATCTATCAACACCCGTCGCCTGAATCACATCGACACCGTGTCCACACGCTTGCCGCTGAGATACGAGGCGGTGATGGCGCAACCTCGCGGCCCACTTGTCGCGTGCGCTGGCCGGTCTAGGTCGAGTACCTGCATGCTATCAGTCGACTTGGCAGCAGGATACTGGCAGACTAGCGAGGTTGTGTTGGAAATCATGGCGATGCATTCCACCTTCTCCAACACGACGCGACCATCAAGATGACGGCAGCGCGCAGACTCATGAGAACCACGAGCAACGCAAGACACGTGAAGTGCCCATAATTCGATACTACAAACGATACCTCTCACGTAGTATCGATAAGTCGACAATCACACACCCCAGCACCCCGGCCAGGGCACCTCTGCTAGCTCTTATCGATAAAGCTCTCACCACCACACCTCCACCACCACCCGCCAAAATGTACCACCTCGCGAAATCCCTCTACCTGCACGCCACCAGCAAAGAAGGTATGTCTCCCCCCCCCTTTCTCCCTAACCCTCACCTAACCACCCCAGAATACTCCATTTTGCTCCTCGGCCTCGACAACGCCGGCAAAACCACCCTCCTGCGGCAGATAACCTCCCTCTACACCCCGTCCGCCGCAGCCCCGAACCTGAAAACCGTGCCCACGGTTGGCCAAAACACAGTCACCCTCGCCTTACCCCCGCCACACCCCCCGATATACCTCAAGCTGTGGGACGTCGGCGGCCAGCAAGCTCTGCGTGGGCTGTGGACGAGCTACTACGCCGCCGCGCACGCCATCGTGTTCGTGGTCGACAGCTCCGACGTCGGCAGCGCCTCTGTATCCTCGATGGGCGCCGCGGGGGGTCTGGCGGCCGCGGACGCAGGGCGGCTGGACGAGTGCGCGGCGGTCCTAGAGGGTATTCTGGGTGCCGAGGAGGCCGGCGGGGTGCCCGTGCTGGTGCTGGCGAATAAGCAGGATCGCGAGGACTGCGTCGAGGTTGTGAGGGTTAAGGAGGGGTTTGTGCGCAGGGTGTTTGAGGGCGGGAGTGGCGGGGGCGTGAGGGATAGTAGGGTGTTGCCGTGCAGTGCGCTGACGGGGGCGGGCGTGCAGGAGGCGGTGGAGTGGGTTGTGGCGCGGGTAAGGGGGAATCGGGAGGGAAGGCCGCCGGTTATGCGGTAGGGTGAGGAAATGATGGGGGGGAGGGGGGGGGTGGATACTGGTGCAACTCAACGAGCCATATATGTAGCGCCTGATTAGAGATATCTGTACGTGGGTCTGATTCTCGTAACTTTCACAGACCAGCAGCTTCAATCTCGCACGACAGAACCGTCCAAACTCACATCCATCAAGACTCGTACATTCAGCCAGACCACACAGAACGCTATTCAACTATCCCACAGCCACAACAGGTATCAGCCCAACCCAAATCCCCACCGACCGCTCCATCCAACTCCCCTAAACAAATTCAACACAATTACCCCTTTCTTGACTACCACGCATCAATCATGAAATTCGCCTCCTCACTCTCAACATCCATAACCTTCCTTGCACTCTCACTCCCACTGACCGGCAACATCTCCAACCCCTCCTTCTTAAACTTCTCAGGCACATCCTCGCTATCCAACAACCCCACCTGAAACAACACACTCGCCTGATCCCAATACACGCGCTCGGACCAGATCTTCCCCGCGCGAATCCCCACAATACTGACGACTACGATCTCGACTTTCTGGTTCGTCGGCGCCACGTCGGGTAAGATCCATGGCATGGTGCACGTGTGCTTGAATTGCACGTACAGCTCGTCGACGAGCTGGTCGGCGCCCACGGTGCGCGAGATCAGGCGGATGTGCAGGGACGGCGGGGCGGACGGGAGGAAGAAGTCGGCGTAGAAGCGTTGTAACTCCGGGCGCCCGTGGCCGCCGGTCATGGTGGGGGTGAAGTTTACGCTGGGGAGGGGGTGCGTGGTGTATGTGTCCATGAGCTTTGCGACGTTGTGGTCGCGGTATTTTTCTGGGCCGTTAGCATCGCTGTTCTAATCGTAGGGTGGAGGGGTGATCAGGGGCGCTCACGCTCCACATTATCCTCCCACGGCCGCTCGATGTCGACCTCCGCGCTGAACCCGCGCCGCACCACGCTCAGGCTGCGGCTCCACGCCACCGCGTCCGCGACCGCGTCGTACTGCTCCAGATCGTGCTCCGCGAACCCCGGGTCCACGCCCTCGTACGTGTACGCTGGGTACTGCATTTTGTTCAGCAGCCCGCCGGCGCCGATGCCCGGGGTCACGCGCTTGGTGATGGTCTTGCGGCGGGCCTGGATGCCGAGGACTTCGGGGCGGCGGACGATGCCGATGGTCTCCTCATCGCCGCTGCCCTGGGCGAGGTGCACGAGGACGCGGAAGCTGGCGGTGAAGCGGCGGCGCGGGTCCGGGATGGTGGTCGGGTAGTAGGCGACGAGCGAGCACAGCTTGGAGGTGGCGGTCTTGGGCTCGTTGAAGACGTCGAGGCAGATGGCGGCGGCCTCGCCAAAGGCTGTGCTCGTCAGTTAGAGCGCGAGTGGGCGGCGGGGGCGCGCACCCACGACGGCGTAGCGCTCGCCGATCCCCATGCCGTCGCCCAGCTGGTGCAGCGTCTTGACGTACGCCTTGCCGTCCTTGCCCAGCGGCACGTACTTGACCACGAAGCCCTCGTCGCGCCACGCCCGCAGCGTCTCCAGGTCGAACTCCTCGTCTTCGGCCGTGACGTACAGCGTCGGCGTGCTCTGCTTGAACGACAGCCACCCGTTACGGTCCGCGAGGAACTGCTGTGCCATGGTGCCGTGGAGTCGTTAGTCGTGAGCCGTGAGTCGTGAGCCGTGAGCCGTCTAAGTCGCAATCCGTTCGTCGCAAACTTTCCGTCTCTTACAATCTCCCAAGTCCAGCCGTCTAAACCCTTGTATCGTCGCTATATCTCGTCGCGAAGTCGCGCAATCGCAGCGCACAACGACGCAGTCAAAAGGCCCAGGCGCAATCGCAGTCACCCAGCGGGGTCGTGGAGAACGCAACCGAGGCGCATGGCCGCGAGGCTGAGGCGCACCACCACGCGATGGGTCTGACGTCGTGGCCGCACTGCCAGGTTCCGAACCGAACCCCACATGACGGGCCCGCTTTGTCACATGCTATGGTGGGGCGCGGATTGGCGCGGACTGGCGCGGCTGAACGGCTTGCGATAGGTAGTTGAAGCTTGATTTGTCCCTGTCGAGTACAGAGTACATAAGATGAGTCCCTACGTGAGAAGACACACTATGTCGCGAGACAGGTTGGAAGGTGAGAGCTCCGACGCCTCTGGTCTTTGGATTTGTAGAACTGTTGTTCACTCTTAAAGCTGATGTAAAGATCTATATAGTCATGTGATAGGTCACGTGACTAGTAGGTGTCGGCATTCAACATCGTCAACGCTGTCTAAGAATTTTCTAGCAGTTTACCCCTGTCTATTTTTGAACGACGATGCGTAACTTGCGCTTTCTGCGTTATAAGATCGCGTCCTTGGGCAGGAACTGTTTCTCGGTTTGCAGCATGGTCATTGTCAGCCTTGTCCCGCCAGTACGGCGCAGGCGGGCTGCGCTTTCTGCCCTGGGTGTATAAGATGCAGCCTGCTCCATCAACGAGAGACCCAGTATTCGTCTCACCTCTATCTTATCAAATGTTAGTTTGAACTAGCAAGAAGCCCAGAAGCTACAATTTCCACGCCCTACGCGAGCGAGCCGCCGTGCGCCGTTGATTCCGTCAGCCTGCTTCGAGGCTGCCTGGATTCCGTCTACCGCTCGCACATACGGGCACATACACAGCCAGATGCGGCTGCTATATACTACAGGTGATGGGAGTCTTGAGTGGACCGAAGACTTCGCTAGGAACAAGATCCCACCGTACGCGATCCTCTCACACACCTGGGGGGCGCAGGAAATGACATTTGACGATCTGAAAGACATCGAAAATGCACAAAGCAAGGAGGGATTTCGGAAGATTCGCTTCTGCGCGCAACAAGTCAAGCGTGATGGTCTGGACTACTTCTGGATTGACACCTGCTGCATTAACAAGGCAAACTACACAGAACTGTCAAAAGCAATCAACTCTATGTTCCGATGGTACCAGAACGCTGAAAAGTGTTATGTCTTCCTTTCGGACGTCGGAAACGATACCTTGGAAGGAGATGGGGAGTCGGTGTTCAGGCAGAGCAGGTGGTTCACACGAGGCTGGACGCTTCAGGAACTACTGGCTCCTCGCTCCGTCGAGTTCTTCTCGAAAGAGGGAGCGCGACTAGGGGACAAGGAGTCTCTTCAGCACACCTTACACGAGGTCACAGGAATTCCTATCGAAGCTCTGTTAGGGAGCGACTTGTCCAAGTTTGACATTGCTAGACGGTTTTCCTGGGCAGCAAAACGGCAGACGACAGAGGAGGAAGATGGAGCTTATTGTCTATTCGGCATTTTCGACGTCCACCTACCGCTAATTTATGGCGAACGCAAAGAGAACGCACTGGAGCGACTGAGAAGTGCGGCTGACCTGAAATACAATGGCCGCAGCCATGAACGAGAAAAAAGGCTCAGCAAGATCTGCAGCTGGCTCTCGGCGCCTGATCAGTCCATCAACTACCGCGAAGCTCTCAAGAAGCGGCAGGCTGAGACCGGGCTATGGCTACTAGAAAGCGCAAAATTTATCGAATGGAAGGAGAGTGCAGCATCGCAACTGTGGCTATACGGGATCCCAGGGTGTGGAAAGACAGTCCTAAGCTCTACCATCATCGAGCATCTGATGCAGGTCTGCCTTGATGACACTAGCGCAGTAATAGCGTACTTCTTCTTCGACTTTAACGACAAGCAGAAACAGAACCCAGAGCTGATGCTGCGCTCGCTGTTCTGCCAGCTCCTGCAGCCTTTCGTCGCAATACCCAATAGCGTCGACGCGTTCTTCTCATCCAGCGACAATGGACAGCGACAGCCATCATTGGATATGCTGCTGGAGGCCACGTCTCAGGTGATGCAACAGCTCACGCACGTCTACATCGTTCTTGATGCGCTCGACGAATGTACACAACGCCAAGAACTGATGGACATGCTTGAGACGGTGGCTGGGTGGCAGCTCGACAATGTGCATCTGCTCATGACCAGCCGGAAAGAGCGGGACATCGAGAGCTCTTTAGAGGGATACCTCAAGGAAGAAGACATTATTTGTCTTCAAGGGGATTTAGTGGATGGGGATATACGGCGATACGTTCAACAAAGGCTGTCTAACGACAAGACTTTGGCAAAATGGAACAAGGACGCTGCTGTAAGGCAAGAGATTAAGGTTGCACTAATGCGCGGAGCTCATGGGATGTATGCGCCCATTCATTCCTTCGCAAATTCAAAGCTAACAAGAGCAAAGGTTCCGATGGGCTGCATGCCAGCTTGACACGGTAGCAAACTGTCGGAATCGAGCGGCGCTGCGCAAGTCACTCGCCACTTTACCAGAAACTCTAGACGAGACGTATGACCGTATCCTTTGCGCAATTAGCAGGAGAGACTGCGATTACGCAAAGCGCATCCTGCAGTGGCTGACGTTCTCTACGCGGCCAATGTTAGTAGACGAGATTGCAGAAGTTGTTGCTATCGACGTGGCGCGCGACCCAGCGTTTGACCACGATGAAGTGCTAGAGGATCCGCTAGAAGCACTGAACATATGCTCGAGTCTGGTCACAATTTCAACAATCCAGACCCGAGGATTGGGTCATGCCGAACAGGTTATCGCTCTGGCACACTATTCTGTTCAGGAATACCTTGTCTCAGACAGAATCAAACAAGGCCCTGCGAATCAATACAGGATGCATGAAGCCGAATGTCACGGTGTAATGATGGATGGTTGTTTAAGGTATCTACTACAATTACAGCGACCATTGTCGGAAGAAGCCATTCATACGTTGGCGCTGGCACGGTATGCGGCAGAGTCTTGGAGCAGTCATCTTGGAAAAACAGGAGAGGATACGGAAAGATTGATTCAGCCAGCCATGGATCTTATGTCGACAGAAAACCCTGCATATCTCACCTGGATCCAGTTGTATGATCCGGACAGTCCTTGGTTGCAACCAGATTTGCGCAAAGGTCGAGGGAGCGTAGCGGCACCGCTTTACTACGCAGCGCTCTTAGGCCTGAATGCGATTACGAAGCTGTTGCTGGACCAAGGCGCTAAGGTCAATACACAAGGCGGACGCTACGGTAACGCACTCCATGCAGCTTCACTCAAAGGTCACAAGCAGATAGTCCGGATGCTGCTCACCGCAGGCGCTGACATCGATGCACAGAGTGAAGATTACGGCAACTCACTCCAAGCAGCTTCATATGAAGGTCACGAGCTGATAGTCAAGATGCTGCTCGAAGAGAGGGCAGACGTTAACGCGCGAGGTGGAAAATACGGTAATGCGCTCCAGTCAGCTTCGGCTGCAGGTCACCAGGCAATAGTACAGCTGCTTCTTGATAAAGGTGCTGATGTCAACAAGCAGGGCGGTCTCTATAGCAACGCTCTCAACGCGGCTGCATCTGAGAGCCATGAAGCTATTGTTGAGCTCCTAATCAAGAACAGCGCTGACGCCTCACGATACGATAGCCAGGGAAAAAATGTCTTGCATCATGCTACCAACAGCGCGTACTGTAGCCTCAGTCTTGTCAAGGTTCTGCTCTCACAAGGCGTTCCGGCAGACACGGCCGACATCGAGAACATGACTCCACTCCATTACAGCGTCAAGTTCGGCCACAAATCCATAGTAGAACTGCTTGTTGACAGTGGTCTGCCCATTGATGTCGGTGTCTATCGAAAGCCGCGGTCTCGAAACACTTTGGACACCGACACCCCCTACCGATCATCGGTTCCAGAGTCCGAGTCACACGTCTCATGCGCTTCAGCTGGTCTGACACCTTTACACTTCGCGGCCTTGACTGGCGATTCAGTTATGACCAAGTTCCTCCTGGAGCGTGGCGCTGATCCGAACGCTCTCTCCGGATACAACGAATCCCCAATGCATCTCACGTTACGTAAGACCCTTAATGGACCAAAGTATGACGACGACTGGACCAAATCTTACTGGAGGGTAGAAAGCTTGTCGGAATTGTCGGAATTCGAAGAAGACGACACTGATGCGATTGATGCGGACATAGCAAGGCATCGCCAAGGCGTGCTTGATGCGATGCTCGCAGACGCTAGAACCAGTCTGATGATCAGAGATTATCAGCATGAGTACCCTTTGCATTGCATCGAGTATGGGCAGTTTGGAAGTGTACAGACGCTCAATAAACTAGTGTCGAGAGGAGCAAATCCGTTTGAAAGGAACTTGAAGCAGCAGAACGCACTGCACCTTGCCAGCCGAGCGGGCGATCACGATGCAGTCGCTGTTCTACTTTCCCTGGGAGTTGAACCTGCCTTGACAGATATTGAGGGACTCAATGCTCTTCACCACGCCGCGCGGAGTGGAAAGGTTGAAACAATCACTGTCCTTCTGGAAACAACTGTGGCAACAAGGCCAATCCTAATGTTGTCGAAGGACGCTATGGGTAGGAACCTACTTCATCACCTGCTGTCTACGACTTCTAGGGTTCGTCACGAAACAATACGTTTGCTGCTCGACAAGGGGGTAGATGGTTTAGAGCTGGATGCATCTGGCAACTCACCGTTGGCGTGCTACCTAAAACGACACCAGTTTGAACCAAACATTGACATCTGCCAACAATTGCTTTCGGTCAAAGGAAGCTATTTGTTTGTCGACAGGAAAGGGCAAAACCTAGGACACTTATGCACTTGGAGCTCGAACTGCAGTGTTCGAGTTTTGGAGACCCTGAGGGAACACGGTGTTGATCTGACGCAGAAAGACTTACAAAGCAGAACAGTATTGCACTGTGCTGCGATAAAGGGCTCCCTCACTAAAGAATCTTTGCATTATCTTCTCCATGTAGTCGGCATCGAGATAAATGCAGAAGATGGGTCTGGAAGAACAGCGCTGCAGCTTGCAGCAGAAATGGCATCAAAAGATTACCACCCACAGATCTTTGATCGTGGGCGCTGGGACAGAAGCAGGAGGCTTTTGTCGGAATCAGGTGTCAGTAAAGCAGCATATAGAGCCATAGAGAGCTAGACGTAGCAATTCTCAAGGACGCAACGTGATAGTGCAGAAATGCAAGTTCCAGGCCTTGGTTCTGTGGATGTTTGTGTAACGTGCTGGCTGTGCAAGGACTCCATTGATCTCCTGCTGCAGGCCGGCAAGCAAGCAATGACAGATGTCACTGTCTGTGCAGACCGTCTCGAGCTATGCGTTTAGCTGAGGCCAGCCAACTATGCGTTTTGGTGGCTCTTATACAGCGGGGATTAGTGCAGTAAAGACAGCCAATGTCATGCGCCACATCTTACAAGACTGCTTCATAGGACAGGTCAGGTCACCGATCCAATTCGGGCCCAGACGGGCCACACTGGCCCGGCATGGCCCTAACTAGGGCGGGGGAGCGTAGTATTTAGCCTGGCTCCCCATCTATCGCTACAAGGTAGCGATCAGTCTCGCCTTGAGACGAAATACTTTCTGATACCTTCCTCGCATACCTTCCTGCCCAGTGCCCCCGACTGTGACGTCTGACAATAGTCTTCATAAACTGCCTCCAACCATAAGGTCTGGCAATGGTCTCTTTATAGACTACTCTTTTTCTAGAGTCTCTAACATTTAGTAAGAATCTTGAACTTATGAAAAGACAGGGGTATTAGTTGTCAGGCCTCAGCTATAGCCACTGCGGCAAGCAAAAGAATTACGACTCACACCCCAGAACCCCCTTCCCCCCGTCCCCAAACACGTCGCTACCCCCCACCATCACTCCCCCCGAAACCGCACCTCCCTCGCCACCCCATCAAACCCACACGCCCCAAACTTCCACCACTCTGCCTTAACCCTCCCACACACACTACCCAGCACCCAAACCACGGGCGCCGGCAGCGGGGGGAAAACATGCATCCCGCCCTCGAACGCGCGGTCGTGGTTACTCAGAAACACAGGCAGCACGGTGCGTTTGCGCATGCCGCCCATGACCGTCTTCGCCTCGCGCGCGAACATGGCCTGGAGATCGAGCGCGGCGCCGAAGCGGCGCAGGGCGAGGAGGGTGGGGATCTCGTCGTGCAGGTGCGCTGTGAGGGGGGGGATGAAGGCGTCCATGAGCGCGGTGTTGCGGGCGGCGGAGAAGCGCGTGGTGCCTGCGAGACACGTGTTGAGCCAGGCGCCCCAGGCGGCAAAGGGGGCTTCGAAGGCGCGGTGGCCGGCGATGTTGTCCTGCATGAGTGTTGTCTCGCCCGTGAGTTTCTGCAGCTCGGGGAAGAAGATGGATTCCTCGCCGTCGTGGTGCAGCGTCAGACCGGTGTGTGTGGCCAGGCTGAAGGAGAGGAAGTTGGTGTGTTCGGAGGCGGGGACGTGCGGGGACTGGATGTAGATGCAGTTCAGGGCGCGGATGACGCAGTTGTGCACCAGGGCCATTTCGGTCGCGGCGTGGGTGAATTGGTCTTGGTCCTCGGTTGAGGTTTGGGAGTCGGGGGTGGTGATGAGGGGGATGGGGCCGGACTGCCAGGAGAAGGTGGGGGGGTCGCTGATGGCAGAGGCGGTGACTGTGTGGCCCATCTTGGATACCTTCGGGGTCGACGGGGGGGAGGCGACGGTGGTGGCCATGGTTGCGCTTGACGTTGGTTGTGAGTGTCTAGAGGTCTTATATTCACTCAAGCATTCAGCTTTCCAGCTGAAGCCATATCTCGGCTGCGACCATACATCAACCTGATACGGCAAGTACAATCACAAGCGTATCTCGCCTTGTAAATGAAGCGCGCTGTCGTACGCAAGGTCACTGCTCGAATAAACAGCGAACAAACAGCGAACGGACGTCCAATCATATGCCACGCTATTCCGGGAATGCTTATGTTGCTGAGGTCTAACACGTTGGTAAGCGAGATCTGGCCGCAAGTGGATGCGCTTGCCGACAACGCCATGGTATAGGGCTGAGATTCAGCTGCCCAGGCGCAGGCCTTTGAATGCTGATGGCCAGGGATCGGCAAGTCCAACGACATCTGGGTTGGCGAAGAGGGGCATGTGGTTGTATCGCGTCCTTTGTGGAGTTCGATTCTGGGCGTGTTAACAGCGGACAAGGATCCTGACTTTTAACTTACAGGTAGATAAGACTCTCTAGTCTGAATATAATTGTACACTGCAAGACCCACTGCACTACACTACATCTACAAAACTCAATCCAAACATGGGCCAGATGGTATCAATGATATTATGTGCTAACTTTTACTTGAGGAGCTTCTCGAGCTCAGCGGCAATCGCGTCACCAACCTGTGATGTCGTCGACGAGCCGCCAATATCTTTTGTGCGGATGTTGTTGTCGATGGCGATCTTAGTCGCCTCGTCGATCTTCGCCGCGTACTCGGGCAGGCACAGCGAGTACTTGAACATCATGCTCATCGACAGAATGGTCGCGACCGGGTTGACGATGCCCTGGCCGGCGATGTCGGGTGCGGAGCCTGGTCATGTTAGCATTGCATGGTTACACACCTTTCAATACTCACCGTGAATGGGCTCGTAGATGCCGTTCAGCAGCGTCTTGCCGTCGGGAATGCCGCCCAGACTGGCACTGGGCAGCAGACCCAGGCTGCCGGGGATGACGCTGGCCTCGTCGGAGATGATGTCGCCGAACAGGTTGCTGGTGACTACAACACCGTTCAGCGCGCGCGGGTTCTTGATCATGAGCATGGCCGCCGAGTCAATCAGGTGGGTGCCGGACTTCAGGTGCGGGTACTCCTCCTTCATGATGCGCTCGAACGTCTTGCGCCACAGCCGCGATGTCGCGAGCACGTTGGCCTTGTCCAGACTCCACACGGGGACAGGCGGCTCCTCCACAGACGCGAGGTTGCCGGCCAGGCGCACGACGCGCTCAATCTCCTCGACGCTGTAGGGCTCCGTGTCCATGGCCTTGCCATCGCCCTCGTCCTCTTTCCGGTCGCCAAAGTAGATGCCGCCGGTCAGCTCGCGGATGATGTTGAAGTTGACGCCGCGCACGTTGTCGGCCTTGAGCGGCGACTGCTCGACGAGCGAGTCCGAGGCAAAGAAGCAGGGGCGCAGGTTACCGAATGTGCCGAGCTCCTTGCGCAGCCTCAGGATGCCCTGCTCAGGGCGGACCTTGCCGGTGCCCCATTTCTATCCGTGTCAGCATGTGGAGGTGATGAGCCGTGGGCCGCCTACCGGGCCGCCGACAGCACCGAGGATGATGGCATGGGCCTTCTTCGCGGCCTCGAGCGTCTCGTCGGTCAGGGGGTTGTTGTGGGCGTCGATTGAGCACTGCGTCGTAAGCGAATGATGCGCGTCATCGCGTGCCACTTACACCACCGAACAGGTGCTCCTGGAAATTGAAGGACACGTCCGTGTGCTTCTCGATGACCTTCAGGACCTGCGCGAGTTAGCGGCGTTTGCACTGCCATTGTGCGCGTCGTACCTTGATCCCCTCTGCAATAACCTGGTGGAATGTGAGCTCCGCATCCAGAAAGCGCGAGTAGTGCTGTTACCTCAGGTCCGACACCGTCACCTGGATGCGATTAGCGGGTGCTGTGGTCATTAACAGGCTACTTACCACCAAGTACTACAATGTTGAAGGAAGGCATTATTGTGTCGTGCAATTGCTGAAGTGTGAGTGAGTCTGAATGTTTTCGAGCTTTAGCTTGTCGCGGGGCTACGTAGATTCCCCGCCTCCGACATCGCAGGCACCACCGCGTCCATTCGGCTTAATGCAATGGCTGTTTTCTCCGATGTCGCGTCCCTACCATCTCTTGTGGACGTGTGCGACCGTTGTGGTGCGTGTAATGGATTGCAATGAATTGATGTTGTCTGAGGCTCTGAGCGAATGGGAGCTGACGTCATCGAGGACACAGAACACTCTCACTACTGCACCTCTGCTCTCGTCCAACACTGTACATGTGAGCACGAATTGTTTGCACCCGTCTGGCCTGCACGAGGCAGACTATACAGCCACGGTGATAGTCGTTTGTGATGGTCACACTGTGCGTCGACAATATCATACTTAAACAACTGTCTTGACGCCAACATGTCGCCGTACTATTGGACCTCACCCAAACAGTCATGCACTTTGCCATATCTCTTCTCGCTTTGCCAATCGGTATCTGCGTAGCAGAACCAATGTTCGTGATACACTCTACACATCCTACGCCTACTCCTCCAGCTACAGTCACAGACGGCGAACAGGTGTGGATGTTCGATGTCGCATCCAGTGAGAGACTGACCGACTACAGCTTGCGGAATGGGAAAGCTCCTACACGTCATCATTGGAAAGCGCTTGGTCTTCGTACATAAGCGCTGAACCAGCGAAGCATATACACGCGGCGCTCATGATCTTGGATTACGCGGTCACGGCGACCGAAGGGGAGATACAGTCCTGGGCTACAGCGGACAAAGAGGAGACGACCTTCGTCACAGATACTCCTGCGTGGTTCTCGGAGTTGCCAAAGGATGTGCAGAGCATCAAGCTAGAAGAAGGAAGGGTGCTCGCAGCGCTGATGGCTGGCAAGGAAGCAATAGCACCGCAGAAGACAGCAATGGCGCCGCGAGAGACAGCGAGGGCTGCGCTTGGCGTGTTGGCGGGCGTCGCTGTCGCAGCAGCGGTGATGTAAGATTTCGTATGTCCTTCGACGGGCGTGCTGGCTGATGTTAATCCCTAATTGGTAGCTGGCCTTCAACGACCATCAATGCACAACTCCGCGTCTTGCACAAGTTTACATGCGTAGAGACGTAGCGGAAATGATGATGGACAACACCTCCTCTTCTGCAACGCGATGGCGCGAATGGCAGCGCGCAAGTCCGCGTGGCCTTGCGTTGGGTTGGAATACAACGTCCGCAGACTGGACCCTGTGCTGTTACCTTCCCTATGCGTCGCCCTGATGAGCTGTGTTTTGTGTACAGCTTCCTATCTTCGACGAGGCGGTACCTTTTCTCCCGACCTCGTACTGCAACCGTTTCAAGGCCGACCGCGTTATCGCAGATCGCAGCGATCACGGGGTGCGCTTTCTCCGGATTCCCCAAGGTTGAGTTGAGTTCGGCTGGAGACGTTGCCATGACGCAGGTTCAGCTACCGGGCTCGTCTTATCGTCGCACTCGACGGGAGTGCGTTCAGTGATCGACGAAATTCTGATATCACTGGCTTGCAAGCTGTCAAGGGCGAAAGGTTAGCCGACCCCGATCCGACGTTGAGCAGGCTTGCTGCAAGCGGCCGCAGTGAACCGTCTGGGGTCAGCGCTACGCGGAATCACTCCGCAGAGGCAAATCGCAACGACGACCAGGCAAATCGTAACGACGTCCAGACAGCGGACGTCTGCAAGCATGCTGGAGCTGGATTGCATTCGCAGCACTCGTGCAGTTCCGACAGCTCGTTTGCGGGGATCTGACAGATCCTTCTAGGGCCCTTGCGTGGCCCAGTATTCGCCATGCGCAAGGATTGCGATCGCGTTGAGGATCGAATGATAGCCCTCGATATTCGATAATATCGAGTAAACCGCTGGCATGCGGCGGCGGCGGCCGTGCATACGTTTGGGCGCCGCATGTGACGCTGGCCCAGCCACGCTCAGCCCCTTCTGGCAGTACAGGTGAGGCCGCGAAGATTTGCCGCTCGCGTGGCTATTCTTTCCCAGGCCGTGCGTCTGGCGTCTGTCGCTGCACGCACCAGTAGACGCTCAAGACGCCTCGCCTTGAGTTCATACAGACCCTGGCGGGCAGAAGCGTGCCCCGCCCGTTGCAGCCTCGAGGCACGCTCGCGCCAGTTGCTTCACGCTCGTCAATGTCGATGCCCGCGGCATGGCAATGTGGAAGCGGTTGAACGCGGTGCGCGTCATGGCAGCAATTGAGTTTCGCTTGACAGCATCGCTGCGAGCGTCCGACGTCGTGAGGCGGGATGGGTCCCGAGGAAAACTGGAGTTCGAGCTCATTGTGTGTATGCGCTGTGATTGGTCATAGATAGGGAAGGCTGCTAGCAACGCCCTCACCGTTAGACGTTGGAGACGCGAAGGAGCGCTGCAGCGAGCGCAAGAAAGCTGGGGATCTGTGAAGCGGAGGCACAGCAGAGCACGTCTCTGCGCACACTGAGTTGAATGCTCATGTGGTTGCTGCTGCTGTTCGTCGAGAGCGAAGTTGGACTGCTTACAACGAGAAATGAATAACTGGCCGACTGTGGCCGCGATAGCGCGGCCGAGCAAAGCGACAGGGATGTTCCCTCTCGTAGTTCCACCCATGCTGGGTCGGTGATTATGACCAGAAGCCACTTAATTCACTGCTGTCCCCAGAGCCTCACGCCCCAGATATCGCCTGCTCTCCACACCGCACGCGACATTTTTCGAACACCACTCACTTCACCAGACCATGCGCCGTTGAGCAGACCGGAGAACCGAGTTCGTGGCCAAGCGTTGCGTCTGCTGTACCACCGTCTCCCGTACTCTTATCGCGCCTCTACGTCAGCTACCAATTGACGTGCCCCGTCCGCGCTCTTAATACCAAACAAGCCCCAGGTCGACATTGTACCGCGCTGCTATCGGCAGTGATTGCTGCGTTCGCTGCGACTGCTCGCACCGATCCTCCCTCTGCACGCGAGCACTCCAGGGTCCTTCACCGCCAGATTCGGCCCTTATCAGTTGCATTCCTTCGAAGAACCCTCGACGCGACCACCGTATAAGCACTCGAGTGCCTCTCGCCGAATCCACCACCACCATGGCGACCCAGTTCTCGACCGCAACCGCCATCCCCTCGCACGCTGCGCCCTACCAGCACCATGCGTACAGGAAGTCGACGCAGTACTCGCCCACGGGCACGCCCATGAATATTTCGCCCACCTCGCCTCGCGACACCAACAACCTGTTGAAATACCACCAGTCCATCCGCCCGACCAAGCAGGCCCTCGGCATCCCTGCAGCGCTCCGACGGACAGAGCGCCCCTCCAAACAGTCTCCACCCAAGTACGACTCGGCCTGTGCGTCGCCCAACGGAGGCTGGGCTGTCAACGGCGGCTTCCCGAGCAGCAACGACGGCGCGAGCACGCCGGTCTCGCAGGTCAACAACGAGGACATGCATAGCATCTACAACGAGCAGCCCATGTCGCCCATTGCCGGCCCTATTACGCGCAACCACTGGCAGGTACGTTAATCCCTTTTTCTTAGATGCCGGCATTAGCCTGCGGTCGCGTGCCCAAGTTCGTTGGTGGTGGCTCTTACGTACAGCGCTCGGGGTGGATCCTAGCGCTGTATTGGATCTGGCCAGTCCCGCTGGATGCGCCGACCGCCCGATCGTGTCGCCAGACCTGCACCCAGCAACATGTGGTTGCACGTGCAGACCGCCTGTTGACAGGGTGTGAGTTGACATGTCGCCGTCGGTCGGAGCGGCGAGTCCGGTCCAGTCAGCGTCGACAAATTCTCATCTCACGATGCGCGTTTGTCGGTGTTCGCTCGGTCGCTACTCTACCCCACGCTAGAGCAACCGCCGCAGGGTCGTCTTACTGCACCTCGGTTCCACAAAAACTGGGGCTGGTCATATTGTCAATTCTTCAAGACGTTCCAGACCAATCGTACTGACCATTTTTTTAGGCCGATGGATCCACTCCAGTGTGCTCAGCGCCAACATGTCACGCACCCTTTGGTCTGTTCAACCGCCGCCATCACTGCAGAAAGTGCGGCGGTGTGTTCTGTGCGCAGGACTCGTCCAAGCAGGTCCGTCTTGATGAGCTTGCCCGCTTCCATCCGGAGGGCGAGTGGCACCGCGCTTGTGACCGCTGCCACAGCTCATTCCGCGAGTGGGAGCACCTCCGCCTCAGCCGCAGTAACAGCGAGAGCTCCAGCAACAGCGGTGCCGGTGCGCTGCCCGTCCAGGCACCCGTCGCTGCAAAGCGCCCCGAGGCCCGCGTCGGCAGCCTGGCACAGAGCTTCCAGGGCGCCTGGAACTGGAGCACCTTCTAGATTTCGTACACAGCTCAGACTCAGCACACTGATGGCGGGTCTCTGATCCATCTCTTTCCGATTCGATGATATCCGGACGACTCGTACACGGTACACAGTACCCGACCGTCCACCTCTTCACCTGCATAACAGCATTACATCGGCGTCCTGCATTTACCACAGCATTTGTGACGGGTGGCCTTCTGCACTCATGCGCTTAGCGTTTCCTAGTCGTGGCAGTGGCCCATAGACGGTCGATTGACCGGAGACGAGTGAGGCAGTCGAATGACTGGCGTTTCTTAATTGTCGGTGTCTTTAAGAGCTTATTTGGCTCTGGCGTTCGCTTAGGATATGGCCCACGGCGTAGATTGCACGGCCGTCATGGTCGATAATGGCGTAATGGTTTATGAATGAGAACAATGTCCAAATCGATGTCCACGTGTGTGATGAGTACTGTGATGGTAGCGTGATGGTGAGGTGAGGCACAGGCCGAGCAGGCTGAGTGCCACATCAGCGGCAAGAACAACAGAACTGAGAAGGCACAGCCAGCATATGTAATGCAGCGAGTCGATGACGAGCGTGGAGCCAGCGCAGATGGTGCAACACTGAGTTGTCCGCAGTCGGGCAGGCCGAGCGCTGATTGGCCGGCTGTCTCCGAACCCTGATGTCGCGATCCAAAATTTTGTGGCGCGTTCGCAGTATAGCACTGACGCACCAGCCTGCAGTCACGCTTTGGTACCGGCGTCCTGGGTTTTTGAGTCTGTCTTCCCTGCAATCGCATACGCTCACCGGCACCACCATACGCTCCTTGTTGCCCAGAGTCTTCGGGGGCACGCTCGCTGTCCCCGCGGGAGTCCTCAGACCGTCGAGACGGCTGTTTGCGACTATGGCCGAGACAGCCCCGGCACAGAGAAACGGAATGGCGACGTCGAACGGGAAAAAGACTAAACTGCATGGACGGGCGTTCTACGAGAGCATTGGCAGCCCAAAGCTCATCCTGGCGCCCATGGTCGAGCAGTCCGAGTTCGTATGTGCCATGACATCTTCTCTCTTACTCCACTGACACCGGCATAGGCTTGGCGACTGCTCTCGCGCTCCTTCCTCCCAGAATCCCAGAAGAAGGACCTGCTGGCGTACTCGCCCATGTTCCACTCGAGGATGTTCGGCGAGAAACCAAACTACCGCGACGCCCACTTCCAGCCGCTCAAGTCGACGATCCCCTCGCCGCCCGACTCGTACCATGTCTCACAGCTGCCGGACTCGGAGAGACACCTTGATGGAAACCCCGCATTCGACCGACCGCTCACCGTGCAGTTCTGCTCGAACGACCCGGACGACCTGCTCACGGCCGCGAAACACGTTGCGCCGTTCTGCGATGCGGTGGATCTGAATCTGGGCTGTCCGCAGGGCATTGCGAAGCGGGGCAAATACGGCGCGTTTCTGCAGGAGGACCAGGCCTTGATTGCGCGGATGATCAGGAAGTGCCACGAGGAGCTGGACGTGCCCATCACAGCGAAGATGCGCGTGCTCGAGACAAAAGAGAAGACGCTGGAGTACGCAAAGACGCTGTTGGATGCCGGTGCAAGTTTCATCACAGTACACGGCCGGCGGAGAGAACAGAAGGGACACAACACTGGCCTGGCAGACTGGACGTTCATCCGCTACCCTCCGCGAAAATCTGCCCAAGGAGACGGTCATCTTCGCGAACGGCAACATCCTGCAGCATGACGACATCAAGGCGTGTCTGGACGCTACAGGCGCAGACGGCGTTATGAGTGCTGAAGGCAACCTCTACGACCCGACCATCTTCGCAGAACCACCCCCAGTAGGTGCGGAGGGGCGCGAGTACTGGCGTGGAAAAGACGGCAAGGGCGGATACAGAATGGATGCGGTATTCCGACGATACCTCGACATCATCCACCGACACGCGCTCGGCCAGGAACCTCCCACTCGAAAGCCGCTGTGGATGCCCGGCGACGCAGAGGAGCCAGAAGTCGAGGCCGAGGTCGAGGCCGAAGAAGAAGGCCCGCCCAGGAAGAAGCAAAAGCAGACACCCGCGCCCGCCGCCAAGAAGCCCGCCGACAAAAAGGGCACCAAGCTGACCAACCCCAACCTAACCGCCATGCAAGCCCACCTCTTCCACCTCCTGCGCCCGCTCGTCTCGCAACACCACAACGTCCGCGACGCCCTCGCCCGCTCGCGCACCGGCGACATCGCCGCCTTCGAGCACGTCCTCGCGCTCACCGAAGCCGCCGTGAAAGAAGGCATCAGCGCCTACGAAGCCGCCCACGCCACCGGCACCGCTCCTGCGCCGGCCCCCGCGCCCCCGCTCGAGAACCTCGACCCCTACGAGTCCTCCCTCGCCACCGTCGCGCGCTGCAAGCGGCCCTACTGGGTGTGCCAGGCGTACGTGCGGCCGCTGCCCAAAGAGGCGATTGAGAAGGGCAGCATGAGTCTCAGCAAGAAGGAGAAGCGGAGGCTGGAGATGGAGGCCGAGGAGGCGAAGAAGGTGGGGCTTGCGCCGGGGGGACGGGTGCAGCAGGAGAGTGTGGTGGATGGGGAAGTGAAGAGCAGCGAGCGTTTGGAGGAGAGTGAGCGCAGAGATGGGAAGAGTGAAGGCGTGGTTGAGGAGCCGAAGGAGGGGGTTGTGTGTGGGTAGTGGGAAGTGTGAGAGTTGAGATATACCCAATTTAGATTTCATATGCAGTCCAGCAGAGCGCGGAGTGTGGTGCTGACTGTGGTCTACCGTCCGACCGGCCACTCGACACTGTGTAGGATCCAAACCATGTTTATTATGGCCATTGAGCCTCCGGATACTACTAAATAACTTCTTGTTAGCACACAGATTCGAACAAGAAAGCGCACTACTAGTCGAACGTGCATGGCAGTATACCTTTCCTCGAGCTTATCGCGTAGGCCAAGCTCATCGAATCTCCCGTTCTAGTTCCCCTTCACCTTCACCTCCTTCAGCTCGGTCTAGTCTTTTTTTTTCAACTTTACCTTTCCCTTCACCTTCCCTTCCCTTCCCTTTCAGGCGCACGCCCCACCTTACCTCTGTTTCCTCCAACCCCCCACTGCTTCACCACAACCACTCTTCCGCATCACTTCTCATCACTTCTCAAAAACCTTCACACCATGACGCGCTCAGAGAAAAAGAAAGCCAAAGCCCGCCGCGCCTTCAACGCCCACCAATCCGCTCCGCCCAGAACTCCACGCGCAGGTCCCGTCCCCATTGCGCAGGCACGGCTCCGAGCGCGATACACAGCAATCAAAAACGAACACAAGAAACGCATGAGACGCCTCTGCACGGCCATCCTGGGCACCAACCTCCACTTCCGCGGCCACATCTGGATTCCAACGGCAGAGAAAGCAGCACAGCCCGACGCCGCACGGCTGGGCGACATCCAGCGGGATCTGGACAGCGGCACGGCAGCCGTGTTCTGGGCCGACGGGTCGGAGTGGAACGGCGTGCTGGGCGGCGCGGTGGCGTGGCACGCGGCCGGGGGCGCGCAGGCCGTGTACTACAAGCTGGGGCGCAGCACGCGGGGCTCGGCGTCCGATGCGGAGTTGTTTGCGATTGCGGCTGCGGTGGCGAAGGGCAGGCAGCGCGTTGAGGAGGGCGGTGAGGTGCGGCTGGTGCGTGTGTACTCGGACGCGCAGACGCTGTTGGAGTCGCTGCGTGATGGTGAGCCGATGGTGTTTGGGCCGTTGGACGAGAGCTACTTTCCGCTCAGGGCGCTGTATGAGGATACGGACTGGCTGGTTGCGAAGGGCGTGGGGGTGGAGCTGGTCTGGGTGAAGGGGCACCGGGGCAGTGAGGGGAATAAGATCGCGGACGCGGCTGCGAGCAGAGCAGTGCAGGAGCAGTATACGGCTGATGAATCAGCGGGACGCGGTGATGAGAAGGACTTGGAGATTCCGGAGTTCTGGAAGCAACTTGGACCTGACTGGGCTGCAGAGTGGCTGTATCGCCAGCGGTTTCATGAGCTGCGCGAGGCGTTCACACCCAAGGACCGTCGTGTAGTTGCAGATCCGGAACTGCTCGAGTGCCTCAAGGCCTTGGAGTCTCTTCCTCGTAACCCGTATGTCGGATACGAGAACGACGCCGGGGGGGATATGGACGGCCTGATCTACCCAGCGGACAACGCGGGTTTGTATGACGCTTCGAATCAGTACGGCGATGCAGCTGCTGGCCTCGAGATGACTTCTCAAGGTCAGGATATCCAAGACGCCCCCTATGACGGATACAACATGTCCTACACATCACTAGGTCAGGATACGAGTGACTGGGGTGACTACGACGGCTCCCTCCCCACTACAAAGGCCAGCGCGAGTGGCACCGAGCCGAGTATCCACGAAGTGCAGGCATCCGTTGCCACGAACTTAGATGGCGGCGACGGCTCAGGGGCGGACAGGCCTTCGGATCTGGTCGAGACTCAGCCGCGTCAAAGGACTGCCGCTGACGTCCAAGCCGATATCTTGAAACTGTTGGCAGATATAGGTGTGAATCTGGCGCCTGGACAGGAACCATCAAGACCTTGATGATGTGGAGGAGGCACGAGCATGGACTTCATCGCTCCAGTTGTTTTTGAACAATGTCCGTTCTTGCACAATGATCATCAGCTGCAACAGCAACTGACGTTCCAGTAGCAGATTGTCGTGGGTTTGATAGACCGTATCCTGTCCCTAAGAAGATATTCAGTAGACTTGTAACGTCTGCAGGAAATAAGTTGGACACCGTCAGTTTCTGTCATCTGTGCTCCGTTTGCCATAGTCACGAGCTGTTTCTGCTCCATTCTCACTTCACCGCCTTAGCAACGAGACTGCAACCCTCTACGACTCCACGTAACTTACCATATCACCTCAACTGTGACCATGCAACTCACTTTGATCGCTGTCGCCATCTGGCTCTGCACGACTGCGCGCGCTCTCGACATCAATGGAGACACCCTCGACCAGACTAACCGAAGCATCAGATTCAGCCGTGACGGCACAGTCCACGCGTTCTTCGACGACGACTCCGCGAGCGATGATGACTGGCAGAAGTTCACTCACAAGGGCGGCGCCTTGGTATACACAATGAAACACACTTACACGCACCAGCTGACCCACCGCAGATGTGCGCTCTCAACGGCGACGACGAAGCAGCCGGCGTGCTGATGGGCGACACGCGCACCCCGCCCTCTGCCGCAAGCCCATGGACCGGCGATCTGAAGCAGCAGCTCGCGGCCTGGAAGTGGACTGAGATCGACCCGTCGAGCTACTCGTGCAAAATGGACGAGCACTGGAAGATCCCCGCAGCTATGAAGGCGCTCGGGCTGAACGGCAAACCGCAGTCTGAGGGTGGAGATAACGTGTGCCACCGCGTCGAGCATTGGGATCCGAGTCTCACGGTCGACGGACAGCGTGTTCCGGCGATTAATCAATGGTACAACGTCGAGGGCACGGAATACCAGGTACCCCCTCTCACCCTCTCCATCCTCTCAGCTGACTCCCCAGGCCACCCAAGCACACTTCGAATTTGGCGTCAACACCGCCGGCGGCGCGCTCTACGGCTTCTTCCTCGAGTCCGCGCCCCACGCCGCCAGCGCGCTCTGGCACGCCCACCGCCGCCCTGCCGACCCAGCGAAACTGCCCCGTCTGCGCGCCTTCTCCGACATCCTGTGGGCGTACTGGGCGCGCGCCAACCCTGACGTCACCAACATCCGGTTCTTCTTCATGCTGGGTATCAGCAACGACGAGACCAACCAACTCATCGCGCGGTGTCTGCACAACGCGGGGAAAGAGTTGAGCGAATGGCCTGGAGTGGAGTTTGGGGCGGACACAGAGGAAGGACATGCGCTGATTGGGAGTCCAAATGGGGCGGCGTTTGCGTATTTTTTGCTGCAGAGGAAGGGAGTGCTGGGCAGAAAGAGGGTGGAAAGAGTGACGGTGTTTAGGGCAGAGACGGAGGATGAAGTGATGTTTGTGGATCCCTGTTTGGTATTTCACGTTGGGGATGTGAAGGTGGGTGAGGAGAGGGGGCAATCTGCTGTCAGTTCTAAGCTCTGAGGGGAGGGTGTGACTGGAGGGTGTCATGAGCGTGGAGCAAGTATTGGCCTTGTGCATTCTGAGATACCACGGTCTACTCTTCGACAGTTCGTAGCTTTAACCAACTGTCCTGTCAGAGTCCTGAAAGGCGTGCTCGTCAGTGGTGATCAACAGTGACGTCATTCGCAGTGCGCAAAGTCGGGTTGTGACAGCTACAATCCCGTGTTGCTGCAAGCTCAACGAGAACGATGTTGTTGAGTGTTGAGTGTCAGGTGTAAGAATTGTTAGAAGTGGAGAGGACTAAGGCAGGGCCCCGCTAATCGACCAATCGCAACCGACCCGCCAAGCCTCCTGTTCACGCCACCTGCCACTTCGACGTGCCTCACGTCACGCTGCAAACACGTCTATATCACACTCTTGCCACACCAGAATCGCTGCCTTTGGAACCTCACATTTCTACCGTTGCATCCATGCCCTGCATCTGTAGCTCTCGACACATCAGCTCGCATCCTTGCGCTTCCCCACAAATGGTTCCCCGCGTTTCGGCAAAGCGGGGCCACCTTTCCCAGCACTCGCGCAAGATATCCGTCGGCATCAACCCGGGAGCGGCTGTGGAGAGCGCGGACGGCCCGCGCGACCACCTCGACGGCCTGCCAGATGAGCTGCTGCTCCAGATCTTCGAGATGCTGGGCCGCATGTCGAAGCGCGACCTGTGTAACGTGTCGCGGCTGAACATGCGCTACCACCGCCTGAGTGACGCCGTGCTGTACAAGAGCATCCTCTTCGAGACCCCAGATCTGCATCTCACGTTCAGCGAGTCGCTTGGGCGGCGGCCTCGCCGTGGCTCGGCGATCTTTGAAGTGAAATTAGCGTATCCTTCAGCTGCGCTGGAGCAGCTGGCGCTGGATGCCCCGTTGCGCCATCACTATGATCCCTCGCATTCGCTGTCGCGCATGTCGAATCTTGAGAAGCTAGACATATCGCTGCCAGATAAGCTGTTGCATGGGATTGGGTGTTTGTTCAACGGGCCGTTCGACCTCGCCTGTCTCAAGACGTGCAGTTTGTTTTATCAGTGTGCAGATGACGGGTATTGGGACCTCCGCGAGAACATTCACATCTTCGCACATCCGGAGTTGGAGAGTCTGACTATCCGGAGAGCGAAATTGGACGACAGAGGCTTCGACTCTCTCGAGCGCCCGCATGAGACTGCCCTGAAGAAGCTGCACTTGATCGAATGCGACATCAACGACGACACGCTATCAGATGTGCTTGAGTTTCCCATAGGCCTGGAGGAGTTCGTCATGACACAGCTGGAGGACCCGGAGCCCGACTTAGAGGAGAGCTCCGACAGTTTCAGCGACTACATTATTGCGCTCGGCTCACAGACCCATTCACTCAAAAGCATCACAATCGACTTCCCGACGCTAGGCTGCCGCAAAACGCTACGAATGAGGGAGTTTGAAGCGCTGAAAGAGCTGCGCATGAACTGGGACTACCAGCTCTTCGGCAAGTCGTCGAAGAAGCCGCGGCTGCACTCCGTTGGTTTGCCACCCGCGCTGGAAGTGTTGGAGTTCTTCAACGAGCTGGGCAAGGATGAAGAGGTCACGGATTTACTACTGGCGATGCTGCAGAACAAAAGCGTTGTCGCACGGACGCTAAAGAGAATGATTGTCGTTGAGGGAAACGACAAGGTGCTGCGGGAAGTGAAGAGCATTTGCAAGGAACAGGGGCTGCCATTAGACATCATCGGGGAACTAGACGATAGCGGAGATGAAAGTGACAACGAAGACGAAGACATAGACACGGACATGGACAGCGACGCGGAAGACTCGGACTAGACTAGAAATACGAGATACGTAGACTGGGTTGCACTACTATCTAGTGCCATCCCCTGTAATCACAAGCCCGCCTCCCTGGCGCGTGACCATCATTGCAGAGTGCCTCCTAGCGGCACACACGCATGCCAAACAAGCTCACACAAGCACCCTTGGCTCCCGAACCTTTAATCAACGTCTCCGCAATACACGGCTAAGAAGACGTTATCGCCCTCGTAACTGGCGCAATACATCGTGAACTGCCTATTCGGGCTAGTCTGGCCATGGGTCCCCGCCAAGTGCTGTGTGACTGATAAGCATAGACAAGCTTTTCGCGCAGTTAATATATCGTCGGGGCTAGTGATTTGGTCGTATCTAGTGAGTAGCAAGCCGCTGCTTCTTGGGTTTGGTGTTGTGACACAGACTTGCTTGTACGCGCTGGACTGCGGCGTGAAGGCGACGTCTTAAGGAAGCGAGAAGACCCAAGACACAACAGCATCGCTCTTGAAGCCGGCATCGCTCTACTAGCAGTGACAACGAGCATTCATAACATCGTTGTAACGATTGGAGTTGGTCGTGTCGACCGGCGGCTAACGTCCCGAACAGGAAGGCACGACCCAGGACCCACTTGGACCCAGTACTTATACATTGCAGTCGGCGATGCTGGAGACTTCGACAAGGACTGAACAGCCATTCGGGCCTGCCGACTGTCACTGTTGAACCTGGAAAGGATTGGACGCGCGCAATACCCATCGTTCGCACGCTTCTTCACGGCCAATTGATTGTATCGCCATGTACGCTTTACTCGATTGACCTTGTTGGCCGCTGTTAGTATACACCAAGTATCAACACAAGCTCGATGGAACTGTACGATTAGGAAGGTATCATGGAAACCGGCATTCGACCATCGCAAGCTCGAATGAGCTCATGTGAAGATGAAAGATACCTAACAGTATAAAGGTCAGTCGCATCTTCACCCAATACTCACCACCACAACACAAACCTTCTTACCATCCAACCTCAAGACCACAGTCTCCACTCAACATGAAGTTCTCCATCGCCTTCCTTACCGCCGCCATCGCTGGCTCGGCCCTGGCCCGTCCCTCTACCCTCGCTGCGCGCGTCCAGTCTCGCGCTGATGGCACCCGCCGCCACAAGACCCAGCCCCTGGTCAAGGTCGGCAGCAACTTCAAGGAGAACGCCAAGTTCGTCGAGGGCATCGACAACACGACCGCGCACGTCGAGTACTCCTCCAACTGGTCCGGCGCTGTGCTCGAACAGCCCTCGTCCGGCTACTTCAAGTCAGCCACCGGCCGCTTCACCGTGCCTACCCCCAAGCACGTTGGCTCCGCCGGCACCGAGTCCTCATCCGCTTGGGTCGGCATCGACGGCGACTCGTGCGCCAGCGGCCTGCTGCAGGCGGGCATCGACTTCACCGTGACCAGCTCCGGCGCCGTGTCGTACGACGCATGGTACGAGTGGTACCCCGACTACGCGTACGACTTCTCCAACTTCGCCGTCAGCGCCGGCAACGTTATCCAGGTCGACATCACCGCTACGTCGACTACCAAGGGCACTGTCAAGCTCACCAATGTCAGCACGGGCAAGAGCGTCAGCCAGACGTTAAGTGCGCCAAGCGGATCGGTTCTGTGCCGTCAGAACGCCGAGTGGATTGTTGAGGACTTCGAGTCCAACGGCAGTCTGGTTGCGCTCAGCAACTTCGGCACTGTGGTCTTTTCTCAGGCCAGCGCTGCGCTTAGCACGGGCGGAACCGACTCCCTGAGCGGTGCTACCATCATCGACCTCAAGCAGGGCAGCACCGTCTACACAGACGTCGCCATCAACAGCGGCTCTCAGGTCACTGTCAAGTACGTCTGAACGGAAGCTATCCGGAAGAGGAGCTCGGGTCAAAGTCCCGCGAGATCGAGGTACCATTCGCTGCGCTATCTTGGGCCACGGAGTAGGAGTATTTCTAAGTGAATTTATCAGCTTTCAACATTGATAACTCTTCTGATAATTGATGTGACTTCACCAAGGACGTTGAACGCGCGCCCCTCTAACCTGTATAGCGTCAGGCAAACCGTCTTCCACGAATCACACAGCGCTTCGTGCACCTCGCTTACTTACAAGACTAGTGCAATACCAGCTTTCAGCCTCGCGAGCTGCCTCACCACCAAATAGGAACGAGGTAGTCTGGCAGCCAAGACCGACTCAGGCGTCCAACCAAGACAACCTGTTCGTTCATATGGCCTGACTCGCCCGCTGCTCTACGCGATCCACAGTCCTAGTCGACCAGTGAACTCAACACCATGCGTTTCATCATCGAAGCCGTTGTCACACTCGTTTTCCTTACCATCACCCCGCAAGCCCAGCTCACCACCGTGATCCCGTGCTGCCGAGTTGCTGCAGGCGACGTCCCGGAAGACACGCGCCAATCATGGTGTGACATCCAGACAACCACATGTATCGATCTCTGCGGCGGTCAGAACTACATCTTCCAGAGCGACAACACATGCGACTATGTAAGCGCCCTGCCGCTGTCCAGCAACGTCTCTGACACGCACAGAACTCGCTCGAGTACGGCTGCAAGTGCGCCAATGGCACCGACCTGACTACCAGTATGGAAGTGTACCAGCAGACCGTCCGCGGCCAGATGTGCGCCTTCTGGTACGAAGAGTGTATCACCGCGACCAAATCGCGCGACGGAACGATCGACTTAGAGGAGCAATCCAACTGCGAGAAGGCCCGCGATATTCACTGCCCAACTCAGATCGTAGACCAGAGCTCCCGGTATCCAGTGTATACCTCACCATCAGACTCGGGCTCGCAAAAGTCAGGCCTCTCTTCAGGCGTGATTGCCGGGATAGTTGTCGGCATTGTCGGTGCGATGGTGATCGGGGCTGCAGCTTGGTGGTTCTGCAGGCGTCGACGAGCGAGCAACGCGTCGCTTGAGGGAGCTTCAGCTTCAGCCAACTTCTCGGTCTATCACCAGAAGCAGCTGGACACGAGGTCTATGTCAGAGTCTTCAATGGGGCCAGAGTTTGGTGCTAAGAAACCGCTTGACGATGGCGCATCGTGGGTCTCGCACTCGAAGGCGGCCTCGATCCGTTCGTCTATCGATCTGCCACCATCATATGACGACAAGACGGCTTCAGAAAAGCCCGGTGCACCGCTCGCCAAGAAGAACTGAAGCACTGAAGGTGACACTGTCACTGGGAAACTGCAGCAGGTGAAAATGGAGAGGCTATGAGTAGGACGTACAGTGGTTGGGCGGCGAAAAGAACGATCTGATCGAGATGTAGCGGAGATCGTCCACAGGGATTTCTGAGTATAAAGTTATTACCGGGATACTTTGTCGTTTATCGTACGTCACTTATCACTGATGAGTTTTTCAGAACTGTCGCTCTCTTCCTGTAGTTCAATTATTATGTTGTACAAAGTACGTGACGATTCGAGCTGATAAAGTGATCGTCCTTCAGAGTTGCAGCACTCCACGACCAGTACAGGGCTGACAGAACACCTCTTCTGCCTGTCTCCGGTTATTGCGATCCATCCAAATCTCCCTGTATCTTCCCACACCGTCGCACTTCGTGCATCGTCTGTATTGTGGCGTGTCGGATCGTCGTCTGTGCTCGCGAGATGTCGGCGGGTTCTGAGCTGCTCCATGACCACGTCTACCGGAATCCCAGTGGCGCATAGGCCCTCCATTTGGCATTCGGAGATGATCCGCTGTGTGCCTTGGCTCGACCGCGCTGTACGGTGGAGGCGGATCAGCGAGTGACTGAGCATGTGGTCGGTAGACTGCTGGTTGAGCCGGTTCATGGCGGCGGTCTGGCACCTCGACAGGTCTTTGAGCATAGAATGGAGCATGCGGTCGTTTATGAACACCTTGCGGAGGTTGCGGATTGTCGAGCGAACGAGCACGTGGCCGATGCGTGTCAGGGAGATTCTACAAATGTCAGCATATTTGAGGCTGTCGTTTGGAATGTCATACAAGAAACTGAGGACGTTGAGGGGAGTCCATTCGCGGCGATTCAGGACCATCCTTTGGACTCCCTTGAACTGGACAGTCTGTGACTGCCGATATAGCGCGGCGGCGTGGATGCGGCACTGAAAGTTGTGGAACATCTGATTGCTGGTTAAGGGGCTGATTGTTGGATACCAGCGGAGTCCGGGCTTCGGAAGTAGATTTCCTTCGTGAAGCCAAATTTATTGGAGGTGCAGGATTCGAGTCTGGCTTCGGCGTCTGCACAGGTTCGACCGGACTTCGTGCCAGCGATGATCTTGAAGATGTAGAGGAAGACCTACTCAAGGAGGCTTGGTGGCCCCCTTGATCTTCATGATCTTCAGATCCTCCCGCTTGTATGACATTGATCCGTGGGTTCTGCCTTTCCAAATCATCGTCTGTGTTCGAGTCCAGCTCCTCAATTCTGCCCGATTCGTAAGCACCCCTCTCTTCAGCCTCTTCTCGTTGCCTGTCTGCCTCTTTCAATGCGTCAATCAGCTTCGACACCGGATCGATAGCGTTGCGTATGTATCTCAGAATTGTCGGAGGTGCACCTGCCGCCAAAGCAGCCCGTGTCACAGCGACACCCTTGCGACCTCGCCAGCTCCCCGGTTCCGAGCTGAGAACGAGGACCTTCTTTAAAACCAGTCTCAGCACATGCGACGAAGTCTGCAGAAGGGCTACGTTCTTTCGCCGCTTCCCGTCATCAATCTGGGTTGAGGTTTTGGAAGCTTCAATCGCAGCCAACTGCGCATCCCGAATGTCGTACTGGCGCAGAAGGCTCTGTAGATCCTTATCCCGCGTCTCGAAAGCGAGGTCCTTGATCTCGCCGTAGTCGTCCATCAGCCAGGCGCCTGCCTCCAGCAGCATCTCAGCGATCGCCCAGTCGCCATGTCCGACAGCCTGGTAGAGCGCATTGACATGCTGTTTACTAGTTGCGAAGACATCTGCACGGTGCTTTAGCAAGACACGGGTGATAGCTTTCTTGCTCCCGATAGTAGCGGCAATGAGCGGCGTGCCATATCTTCCTCCCGACTTGCTAGGGCTCGCCCCGTACTGAAGCAAGAACTCAACCATTTCTTCATTGCCCTTGACAACCGCGGCCTGCAAAGGCGTGCCGTATTTTCTGCAATGCCCATCAATGTCGGCCTGGTCGTAAAGCAACTCCTTCAATCTTGGCAGGTCCCCGGACAGTACAGTGGCACACACCTCGTCTCCAACGAGCGCGTAGTTGATTTTCATGGTTTGAGCCAGAGCGGCTTCTTCCTGTGTCCAGTCTTGAGACTCAACGCTGGATATACTCGACAAACCAGAACCGCGCACGAATGATTCTGGCCGCCAGGGATGCCACAACCTCTCCGTACCATCCTGCCACACATATGTCAATGCAGAAACAGATCGGACGTGTCCAGTCGTCAGCTGTATATCTACCGCTACTCGGCGACGTTCGAAAAGCGGACTCGCGTTGACGTTGGTATATCGTTCCCCATCCTTGTCATCCTTATCGCGGGCAGTTGCTCGTCCTCGGTGGAGAGTTCGGCGATCGGAACAGAAGACTAGATCGCAGTACCTCAACGCTTCTTCCGTGAGTCCCATAAGCAAGAACCCTGTAACTTTACCAGGGACTTCGTCACTGATAGAACGAAGCTGTCTCGAGTCTCTGTTCGCGAGTATGGCTCTTGTAGATGATGCCTGCTGGATGGCAGCGAATTCGCATGTAGATGGTCGCCAGACATCGAATCCCTGCAAAACAGCTGGTGTCATGATCTCCGCAGCGTGCTTTATTGATACATTTGCTCTCGCCCAGTCTTGAGGCGATGGAACCAGCCGCCTCTGGTGCATTGGAGAATACACCCCTTTGATCGAGTGAGCAGCGAAGCCACGCACGGCGCTCGGAAACATCAACCGGCCGTAGACAAATAAATTGAACCTGCCCAATGTTGGGTCAATCGACCTCACTTCTTGCATAGAGAATCGATTGGAACCTGCGAGGACGTAGGAGGGTACAAAACTAGCCTTTGGCAGAGGATCGCAATCTTTGAGCTCGATGGGTGGCGGCCGTAGAGGCTCCGGGGCCAGAATGGGCTGATCATCGATGTCGACAGCCTCAAACTCTGGTTCTGTAGGTAGCGGTCGTCTGTCGTTGTGCAAGCCTGAGAATCTCTCCGTACGACTGAACGACTGATTCGACTCCTTTTGCTCTGGCTGTGCTGCAAAGGCCACCTGTTTCACTGGCTGAGGGGCATCTTTTTCATTCTGTGGCCGTTCGCGAAATGCAGAGCGTAGAGGCTTATTGGAGTTCTCTACGGTACTGGTCTCGGTCGCGGCCACTTCAGGCTTTGTAGATTCAGCCGTATTGTCGTTCGGGCTAGGGTTTTCATTCATGGTTGTGGCTTCTACAGGCATGGAGTCTGCTTGTATGTTGAGTTCTGCGTTGTCTATTGAGACGAGCTCGTCCTGTAAGTCGGGCATGTGAGCATTGCCAGTGTTTCCAAATGGAAGGACGCCGACTTCTTCGAAGAACTGAGCAGTCACCGTCTCCTCAGATTCGTCACTACTGTTGTCCTTGCCATAGCTCTTCTGCAGCATATCCTGCAGCATTGTCCCAGTGAGTGTTTCTGACATCTTTGGTGGGACGCCTTCGTGACTTGGCTCGGTACAAGCAAAACAGAAAAAGCGATGCTCACTTTGTGCGTCTGATATCGATGCCAATACTTGCGAGACCGTCGGGCGGGAAGCAGGTTGTGCTTCCAACATCTCTTGAATCCATGTCAAGGGCTCGAGGTCCGAGGCAGTTGACGTCTGACACAACTCATCGATCCACGCCGCCGTAGCCAACTGGTTCAAATGGTATGGTCCGTACTTGGTGCCGTGCTCTAAGTAAAATCTTTCCATGTTCTCCAGCGTACGATCGTGCAGAATCGTGACCATCTCCAAGAACACACACCCCATTGACCATATATCACTTGGCTTTCCGTGAGGCTAAATGATGTCAGTATACACCGTGTAACAAGCATTGCGACAACTCACATCATACACATAAATCTCAGGTGCGACATACTTGGGCGTGAAAGCACGAACAGGCCCCGTGGAATTGCTTCGACTGGACTCTCCATGGGCTTTTGCAGTGCCAAAATCGGTAAGATACACCTCATTCCCCTTCACGAGAATGTTGTGCGGCTTTATGTCTTTGTGTTGGATGTTGTTCGAGTGGAGGTATTCAAGGGCTTTTGTCAGACATCCAAAGAATGTTCGAATGCACTGCTGGCGAGCGTTTCGATCCGAATGCCTGCTCAATGGTTGCTGCAGGTAATTCCTGAGATGCCCATCAGCCACAGGTCGCATAATTATCGCAACGTAAGTGGGATCGGTGTAGGAGGAGACCAGCTTCACAAGATGTCGGTGCGACGCTTTTTTGAGTATTTCGAGCTCATTGAGAAAAACATTCAGGGCCCTCTGGTCTGCGAGCGCCGATTTGCCACGATGGATACGCTTTCTGGCGAAATGTTTCAAGGTCATTGGGCCAAAAACGTGATCTACCATACTAGTCCCGCCTTCGCCCAGAGGCTGGATCGATGAGAAGTATCCGTCGGCGACGACTGGGAAGCTAAGATGAGATCCGCCGTCCTTTTCCAGGTGTGCAAGATCCGGATTGGAGAGAACGAACTTCTGTAACTTCAAGAATCGAGACCGCCTCTCGCCCTTGATCGCATTTGGTAGATTGCCGGCGCTGTATGGCAGAGACGCATCAGTCATCTTGAGTGCAACAAAGGAGTCCATCAGCTCTTGGCAGCCCAACACGCGCAAGATGCAGAATGTCCTGGGCCGCAGAGCCCAGTCAACTTGACCAAATAGCTGTAGCAGTTCACCAACGCGGGCAAACATGCCGTCGCGGACTACAGGCATCATATCGGGTTCATCGTCCGGCAAACCAAGTCTCTTCAGGTGGGTGTCGAGCTCTGCTTTGGTAAGGTGCTGGGCCATGTGGAACAGCCGACCAAGTCCGTCATTCTTCCGGCCTCGATGGCCCCGTTTGTGTCGCGGTGCACTATTTGACTGTTGAGCATAGCGATACTCGTTCCGTCCTTGGGTGTTGTCCGAGAAGTAGTCTTCGACCGAAGGCACTTCATAGGGTTGCGCGTTGTCGTCCATCGCTTCGACAAGGCTGCTCAACACTGTCGGACATGTGTGTTGTTGCAATCATCGGGGATTTGCTGGTATGAAAGTACTTCATCAGGCTGAGGGTGGGCTGTATCGGATAAGGCTGAGACCGTGTTGGCTCGTCATGTGTTGTGACCCCTCCCTGATTGGGAGGCTGAGTGAGCCTAAAGTCTGAGGCGCCAGGCAGAAGCCTCACCATGCATCGCTCGGGAAGGGCGCAGTTGCATGAACTTGCACACCTGGTGACCTCATGTTACCTTTTGAAGGGTGTATCGACAGCCAAGTAGCTTGGGGTGGGCGTACAGACGAATCTGACAAATCAGCCGTGGCTCGCAGCGTGCGAAAGACTCGACGAGATCAAGTCTTCTCGTGAGGATCTGGGTGTTAGCGAGGGCGCAGCAAACCTAGCCTCACGGCGACAACCGCAGTCACATCGCGGACAACGCCACAAGCAGGCGCAGAAAAGGGAAGAGTGCTGAATCAAAACTCTGAAAGCGCGGCTGGCGCGACAGTCTGCAGGAGCATAGGCGTGAAAGCAGCTCTATCAAATCAACAGAGTAGGAGCGATGCTGGAGTGTGACGACATCGCACCCAAGCCCTCAACCCTGATGACTGCCATCCAGCCGCTATCACATACACCACCTACATCACCTACTTTCTCTAAGCATCTTTTGCGAAGAGGACTGATGCGCAGCATGAGATGGTTGAAAGTCTGTCGGCTTGTGTTCTACTCAGAGTTCGAAGTAAGAGATGCAGCAATCTGACCAATAGAAACGTCTGTATTTCCAAAGCTTCCTGCAGTGCACAACCCCTCCAGTCACGTCAGCACACACTGTGTGAAGTTAATTCTCCACATGTACCTCAGCTTGTTCTTGATCTTATAAGTTCTCGAAGAGATATAGGGTGTAGAAACACCTTCTGCACCTTCTTGCAAGATTGGTCTACTTTCCCGGCCTTTCCTGCGTACGTTGTAAACGACATCATCATACCACCAGTCAGCGCGCGGACTTGGTCCACAGTGCTTTGATACGTGCAGACTATGCGGACACACTTTCAAGAGTTTGGGAAGAGCAGGAAAAGTTGAATCGGAAAGAAGGATTTCGAGAGGCAGGCTTTTTGCAGAACCTGGCTGTCTTAAAAGGCATTTAGAATCATCTCGTTCGATCGACTCTCAGCACAGGCAGATGCGGTAAAGCAGAACGAGAGCTTTACTGTACTTGGTAGAAATCAGCTGGTATCGTGAGCTTCTTTACCTAACAATGATACACCACTGTCTACAAACGGACTCAGGCGTCCTGTCAGCCATCAGAGCGGCCCTTGGCACTGACCGTAAGACTGACGAACCCACAGCAGCGCCACAATGAGTCTTCAATGCATTTGAACACCGATATCATGTTGCGCAGATTTTGGGCGAGTGAGCATTCGATACTGGGATCTGATTCACGTCAGGGCGGATCTTAACGACACACTCTCCCTGTCTCTCATTGCAGGTTTGAATTTATCAACCTTCTATACGGGATTCGTCACAATACACAGCAGCATCTGATCTGGGGTGCTGCTATTTCAAGTGGCAGAAGTATGATCCGGAATGTCTTGCAGGTTTCAAGTGACACATCGCTTCTGCCAGTGCAATTTACTATCATCTGACCAGGTCCTAAAGCACTGCCCCATAGTACTTATTCCTGGTTGAGGTAGAATCCAGCTACTCACTAATTAGCGAGAAGTAAGCACAGCTCGTTCTTTTAGGAAGGCTCACTGAAACGGAGAGCCTCACAACTGACATCGACTGCTCAGAAAAGTAGCTGGTTCATACACTCTAACGCCTCGCTGCTGATTTGCAATGGAGCTGGAATAGTCTGAAGATATGGAAGACGCAACAAGTGCTGTGTTGGGAGACTATAGTACTTCCTGTCTGGAAATTCGGATGTCAATTCTGCCGTCTAATGCAGTTTTCTGTATACATATTGGCTCTATACGATCTGGCTGAGACAATAAGCCAGCGGCGTAAGTAATCTGCTCAGAGTAAGATAGGATCTCTTGGGTGTTCAGACTTCTCAGCTGCACGTGTGGCTGCGACCCTCTCTCAGCCGCACACGTGATCATAGCCCAATCGCATGCAGCGGGACGTAAACGGAACCGAACTTCCACGACCAAACCGTCTATTTTGCGCGAACTAATCACTAACTGAGCCACTGCAGCTATCCAATGAGCTATTCAGCTCAGTGGCTGTGAAGGCTGTGAAAGTCAACCTTCTTCTATTCTAAGAACATCACTGAGATGGAAGACCTCAAAATGACTATAAAGACATGAAGGAGCCTACTTCAATAATCATCATCACAACAAGCCTCAACATCACTACACTTCAAACTAGCTTCGCATACCTATTCAACTCATTCCATCCACTTCAATTCCAACCACATTCATCACTCAATATGCAGTTCTTCACTTCCGCCATCGCCATTGCCATCATTGGCCTCACTTCAGCCGTACCTATCGATACCAACAGTGGTTGCCCCAGCACCGGACCTGAGCCTTCCAACATCATCCGCCCAGCGGTCACTTCTCAGTACGAAGTCTCCACGGGCGCGGTGCACTACGACGTGACATCCGGCAAAATCTTCAAAGACGGCAAGACAACCGATATTACCACTCTCCTCACCTTTGAGGTCCCAGCCGAGTCGGCTGGCAAGATCTGCACCTTCCATTTCGACCTTGATAGCAGCGCAACCGTCTCCGGCTCCGCGCAGTTTGATGTGTTTACATCCCTGGCTCCGGCCGAGGCCGACAGTTCTTCCTGGCCTTCGGGTAACTTGAGGGACCAGTACGTCGGGCGTATGGCTGCGACTGTGGGCGGTTCGGCGACTTGGGTTCCGGGCTTCCCGACTTTCGGCCAGAGCTTCCTCTGCCCGGCTGGACAGACTTTTGGCGGCGAGTTGGTGGGTACAGGCGACGCTGATGTTATCGAGTGGTTGGCTGGGTCTACCGGCCCTTACATCATGTACTAGTCTAGCGGGCGATGCTTGAGCTTTTGCGAGGGGTTTTGGTGTGCTTTGAACTTAGAATGATCTGGCTTTGGTAGTTCTGGCGTTGGCTCCGTTCTCGAGTTTGGTGCAATTTGTTCAGTAATGTTTTCATAATTAATTCACCAGTTCTAGAAGTTCTTCTCATACGATGAACGCTTCAATACTCGCGAATTCCACTGCCAGCCTCATGCTCCCCTCCAGCCTAGCTTCCTCAGTACTCGATGCCGCCTTGACGTACGCGTAAGCTGTGAATGACCAGTATCCAGGAGAGCGACCTGCTCTGGTCCTACATTCTCGCACCGAACGTCGCCGCCGTCCTCTTCCCCGTCATCCTCAGTCTTGTCCAGCCAGATGAGTCTGTCCCGCAATTGCTGACACTTGTGATCATCTTGCCCATAAACCTTCTCGAAGCCCGAGAGCAATTTTCCGCACCACGCTCTTGCATCTTCCTTGTGACCCATCTGTTCAGATAGTCTATGAAGGCTCCAAATAGTCCTGAGAGCTGGTAAGCGAGTATAGATTCCTTTTGGTCCCTGTGCGTTTTTGTGCCCGTTTAGTGCCCGCAAATACGTTTCTTTTGCCTTTTCTAGGTTTCCTTGTGCCCTGTAGAGGTCGCCTAGGCCCTCGAATAAACCTAGTATAAGGTCGTGATTTTCCCCTACCCTCTTTTGAAACTCAGGTATTATCTGAACAAACATCCCTTCCGCCTCATCTAGCTTTCCCCGCTCGAGGTAGAGCATACTTAAATGAGCGACCGTCTCTAGCGTTGTAATACTATCTTCCCCTAGCGTCTTCTTATACCCCTCTAGCACCTGCAAAAATGTCTCCTCTGCTTTATCGAGCTTTTCTTGACGAGCGTAGGTATGGGCTAAATTGCTGACCACGACTTGCTGGAGCAAAAAAGCCCCTGGTGTCTTTTTGAACCCCTCTAGCACCTGCAAGAATATCTCCTCGGCCTTATCGAGCCTGTCCTGCCTTCGGTACAGGTTGGCTAAGTTGTTCATTACGATGAGGGTCTCCAGATGATCTGCCGTATACATCTCCATAGAGCCATCTAGTGATTGTGTGTACATTGCCTCCGCTTTCTCAAAGTTCCCTTGTTCTTCGTAGAGCATTCCTAGGCCGTTAAATAAGCGCAACATGGAGGAACGATCTGCCACGACGTCCCTTTTTGTGAAGCCTTCCAGCGCTTGTGTGTACATCAACTCTGCCGTTTCAAAATTGGACTGTTCGCGATAGAGACTACCCAGACTGCAGACTGCGACCAGTAATGTGTCCTCATCGTCAGCGTTTGCGCGAGACTCAACCCCGCCTCTTGGAATCCTCGAGATCTCTCTCACTACCTTCTTCGCACACCGTTCAGCGTGTGGAAGAAGCCGCGCTTGAGACTCCCAGTACTGCTTCTCGCCGTCAGATGGCAGTGCCCAGCCGACGAGCCCAATTGCTAGCCGCGAAAACACGATCAGCTGACCGTCGTCTTGGATGTGTAGTGCCCACTGGTGCACTACCGGGTGCGTTGAGTAGCCCGTCTCATCTCCAGCTGCCACTAGAGAGTAGCTTCGGAGCGTCCTGATAGCCTCTATAAACGCAGTTTCGCTGCAAGCGATGTCTCCAAGCCATGCCACCATTAGCCTGGAAGCTTTAAAGCGTGCTGCCTTTCGCTCCGCGGATGCAGTCGGTGGGTGCCGCGATACATTAGCCAGCATCCCATACCACAAGTCCGTGTTGTTCAGATGCGCCCACAATAGCAACAGATTCGCAGCTGCCTCATTACTATGTCGGAGAGCTGTGTAGGACATCATCCAGGTGGTTGCCACACTACCATTTGCGTAACTCCGTAGCGGGATATCTCCGCCATCACGCGATTTCATCAGCTCCCGCCACTGCTCTTTGTACAAACGAGTGTAAGTATTGAAACTCGTGCCTGTCTCATTCATGTACGCTGCGGCCTGTGTCAAAGCCAGAGGTAGCCCATCGAGCAGCTCTAGTAACTCATCTCCCTCTCGGGGAACGCTTCTACCGTACCATGTCTTGAAGATGGCTTGAGCTTGTTCTTTGTCTACTGTTCTCACCTCCCAACCCTCTCCGAGCTGGCCCAGCTGGGGAAGACGGGTTGTGATCAGTACCGATCCATGGTCAGCCTCGGGTAGATAGTCTTGCACATCGTACGCCTCTAGATCTTCACACCGTCGATGGTCCCGATCCACGTTGTCAATTATCAGCAGCCAGTCGCTATTTTCCGGCACGCTCAACCATGCTAGCACGTCTCTCACTACCATGTCGATGTCGCTGCCCTGGGTAGCGGCAGAAAGCCTGCTAGTCTCGGGAATCTGGCCTTCCGGGATACGGCTTGTAAATGCTGCAAAGCTCTGCTTGAGGTTACTTTCGCTGCTCCCATCCAACCACAGCACCGAAGTAAAGCGGTTCTGGTGTCTCCGAGCGAAGTTGGCTGCAAGCTGTGTCTTGCCCGCGCCACCCAGTCCGTGGGCCGCAAGCAATCGCCGTTGCTTTACGTTGTCTTGCGGTAGTAGTACTCGCTCTAGTGCTTCCGTGTCTCGCGGTCGCTCTGCAAACTTTCCCACAGGCACATTCTTCAGGCTGAAGGGGACGTGGTACGTAGCTTTGCTCGCCACTGCAGCTTTCACGACCTCTGGCGCGGGTACAAGTGACAAGATGTCTTTTGCACATGCTGCTGCAGTCGCGGCAGCATACGGCTGCCACGCCTTGTTCTTGTGCGAATCGGCGTAGTCGCAGATGCCTCGCACTACAAGGCACGAAAAGTCGTTCATTAGGCCTGCCGCTTCCATCTCAAAGCATAGCACGCCGCCAAGCTCTTTGCTCAGTCGATCTCGCGTTAGCCCGTCCTTGATCACCTGGTTGCCAGATGCTATTGTGCCGTAGTGGATTGTCACTTCCTCGTCCGACTCTCGAGCCATACGGGGCAGGATCTGGTCCTCGCTGCACAGCTCACACGTCGCTCCGCCGTCATGTTGATACGTTCCCTTGTACAGAACGTCAGACCCAGCTTTCTCGCGAGTGAAGTTTGGGATCTTGTCGAAGGCTGCTAGATGAGTTGAAAAAGAATCGCGGCCTTGGGTGCCCTGATAGCGGCGTGCCCTCAGCTGAGTGACAGCGTGAAGCAGCGCCTTCGGTGGCGCGTTCATGGACCCGGTCCGCGTCAGTTGTCCGTCCTTTCCTGTCTTGCCAAAGTCATATTGCACCACTCCGCTATGCTGTAGCACCGGTTGGCTGACCACGACGTCTCCCAGTCGCACGTCTGCTGCACTTGGAACTCCGCCACCGATGCCCACCATCAGCCCGAGGCGAATTGACGGGAACGTAGATGCAAGATGTCCTGCACTGAACGCAGCAGGGCCGATTCCCATTCGGCCGGCCTGTAAGCATGCCAGAACGACGTTGTGGTTACCTATGCGGCCCAGCGTGTACTGGGTCGAATGATGGCCGTCATGTTCTTCGTCGAGCATCACCTGCGCTGCGGCTAGCTCGACAGGCAGCGCGCATATCCATCCCACAGTGTATTCCGTCGCATCAAGGCGACGCCGAGTCATGGGTAGCAGGGCGGCCTGTGTGCGGTGGTCGTAGTTGACGTATCACGTGCACGCTAAGTCAACGGCCACGTGCGCGGGGCTGAGCTGAGGGGTTCTGGACGTATGGCGTCAAGAGCATCGACCTACAACCAGCTGGCGTGCACACGTAAAAGCAAAGGATCGTCAAAAACAACAAGCTTGTAAGTGTGATGAAGTGAGCGGGGCAAGCAAAGGGATTTGATGATGACAACATGGGGCTGGGCTGCGAGAGCAACGCAGCAGACAAGGCTCGCTTACTTGCAGGACATGCAGCTTTGCCAGCGCGAGCATGACTGGGGCGGTGCAGGCTGATTACGTGCAGCCCAGCCGCTCCGTCACAGTGCTCGCTGGTGAACGGTGCACGGTCTGGAGACGTCTGTTGACGCATTCTTGATGTATTTCACTCTCAGTTCCCAAATCTAAACTCTATCCTATCTAATGTGCAGGAACGACGCATAGGTCCTCTCAGCGTCTGTCCCCAGTATTGACTCGAAATTACTTAAATTTTTCCAACGTGCACACTGGCTCTGACTCCAGGTATGGCCGAGGCAAATCGCCTTCAAACCCCTCGCGCTCGTCGTGGATCATTTGAGGATCAACATGGTTCCATCCTTAGAATTTACCAAACCCTTGAGTCGCTGATTCTGTACGTGTGTCGGTCTCGTCGTGCATGTGATCTGTCTCGCTCAAGCTGACTAACTGAACTCGACAAACTCAAACGCTCAGGGCTGGCCAGAGGCTCATCGAAAACTGCCCTGGGCGGAAGAGGGTCGAAATCTAGAGTAGATTCAGGAAGATTTGCAGAACTTCAACAACCTTTGCCAGTACATTGAAGACTGTGGAACGAGCAGCCAGAGCCGAAAAGCGCCATAGACTATGGCAGCAGCGATGATAGCCCAGATTGAACTTAAGATCCAAACATCTAGCTCTGTTCCTTCGTTGACAATGTCTCCCAAGGAATTGTGGAAGTCGATGAGTTTGTGGGAGATCCAGGTGAGGGATACAGCTGAGTAGATACAACCGAGTGTGACGCAGCGGATACCGAGCAATAGTAGGCCGAGAACACACAAACTGCAGTTAAAGGCTATGTTGTAGACAATATTGATCATGTCGTACCTGTCATGGTAGAGACCGCTAGACAGAAAGGACGCCATTGTCAGTGCCATCGTCCGAAATCCAGACCCACGTGTGGCTGGACCGACGCGAAAGCATGATACAAGAAAGGAGAAGAAGTACAGAAGGAACAGAACTCTTGCTGGCGGGAGGAAGCCTTGAATGGCAGAGGACGCTGAGTTTCGAACAGATACCCAGCGGGCGAAGAGAAACGATTTTAGATCAATCCAGCACTTATGAGAGCAGTCCGTGAGGGACATAACTTCGTCGGGTTCGGGACTGGGTTGCTGATTCTGTGTTTGAAATATTGTTGTTCAAGTGTCGAAGGGATATTCTGTTGCTGCAGAAGTTGCTGAGATGAAGCCGCTAATGTTGGGACCAGCACGCAGTCGTAGCTATATAATAGTACGTAGTGTGATCATCAAACATGAAATTTGTCATCGCTGGTTATGAAAGGAGGAAACCTTTCGCATCCAAAGATGAAAGGGCGAGGCACGGGATGACTGTGGTGAAGACTCGTGAACAAAGAGAAACCACGACAAACGAACGAAGAAAGTCACTGACACGTGAGACTGAATGATCAAGTTAAGTTATCACAAACACCAACTTGAGTTTCCAAGAATGGGAGCAAGATTGGAGAGTGAACATGGCCAACAGGACAAAGAGCGAGCAGTTTGTCATCAAAAACAAGATTGCTCTCTCTTACCAGTGCCGCAAATGATCTACAGGAAAGCTACTGTTCCAGGACCTCAAACGTTTTGTCTCTAGAACATCGTGGTGACCTACACGCCCTTCAGTTATCCAAGAAACGTGCCACGCGAGAAGAAAAATCCAAACCACCCGCCCATCAAGCTTCTTTATGTACTGCCACGAAAAAAAAACCTGGGAGATCTGAACAAGCCAGACGACATTGATGAGGACGAGACTCGAACTCGCGCCACTTTCGTGACCAGGAAGCTCTGTTGAGCAATGCTAAGGAGGGACCTTAACCTGGCGCCATAACCAACTCGGCCACCTCACCGTGTAGATTTGATGGCGGCTTTGAGGCCTAATGATAATTTAAGCCTGGTAAAACGTCAAAAATATACAGGTCGACTCATTCACAGCTTCATGAAAAGACTGTTAGTGGAGACCAACCGTGCAAAATTTGCAGTTCGGCCGAGATGGAGCGAGTAATAGACACAAATGTTACTACCCTGTTGCGTACATCTTAATGTGTCTCATACCTAAGACAATACAATGTGAAACAAGAAGTCATTGTCCACATCAATATTTAGGCGACCACCAAGCCATGTCCAGATAGCAGCAGAGACACAGAGTCTGAGAGCGATCATCATCTGTGGTGACCTCAACCTCGCTATGTGAGCAGCAACTAGTTATCAATCACCTCAATCAAGCAAGACATCCCGACACAATCGTCGGAGGCGATTGACACAGTTTGCTTGAACCCCCATTGTCCGGTAGGTTGGTCACGATTTGCCAACAAACTTCTTTTCACGAGTCGGCCGAGTCGACGGTATAACAGCACACTTATCTTAACTTGATCCTTATACTCAACCTATAATCGGAGGGTCTCCAGGCAGAGATATATGTTTTCGTCTGTATACGAGTCAACGAGCAGCTTTACAACCTGACTATAGCCCATTTATATACAGAGATATGGGTGAACGGAGATTACAGGACCAGATTAGCACCTATCTCCACCACCATAACTGTTCCAATCGCGCGCAATAGTCGTGAAGGGATGACCAGACCACTCCTGGTGAACGGTACTAACCTGGGCTCGGATAGAAGCATGTATACTTCTCCTTCGCTGTGCTATAAGAGCCACTCACAAAAGATCCATCATCAGACCATTCCATCAAGAATGTCTAGGCCAAGCGAGAACAAGAAAGTCGAGAGCACATAAAATCGGGCACATGGCTTCTTCACTCCAATACACAGTGCATAACACATCGAGTGTGGAAGATCACGTTGCGAATCTACTGCACAATACAAAAGTTCGTTCTTCGCCGCCTGCGTTGTGCATGAACGTCTTGATGTCACTGTGCGGACACGGACACATACAGCGAGCTCACTTCTATGATTTTATGATTTTATTGATAAAGCATGAAAATAGGGGTATATCGCGAAAAATTCACAAAACAGGCTAAGGCCCTCTGCCTATGGCACAAAAGTCGTTACGTACGTGTTGTAGCAAAGTATATTCTAAGGATATTAATCTACACTTACGCATCGTGAATTGCGTGCGACAATTTCTAAGAGCTTTAGAAACGCGATGGATTGCGCAAGCTATGTGCGTATGCCTGCAAAATTGACTTAACAATTGCGAGTGCAGCTGTCTACAACTATGGGTTTGATATATTAGGTGGCTCTGTGGGAGTTCGAAATTTTTTCGAGTCCCTGAACCATATTTAACCCGCAATACCATGGAAGACCTGTAACTCTGAGGGTCTTCCCATAGTAGGAGCAGACCATGAACTAGTTGGTGTTCTATGCCGTTCACAATAAGAGCATTCTTACTGTTTGCAGCTGGAGTCCTATTATCTTAATTATCCTTATTATCCCTATCGCACTCATTATACTTATTATCCTCTGAGTGGTTGAATATTTAACCTAGAACAAAATGTTGCTCCTATTTGACTCTAACGGCATCTACACTATCACCCTTGCTGCACCAGCGACACACATTGATCTGGTGCCAGTGCTGTTTACATACCAACTTCGCAGCCTTATGCCTTTAATCCAGGTGGTATTGGACACACCAGGACACATCAACGAGCCGTTGCTACGCGCAATATGCGGCATTAACCACCTTTCTTAAGCCACCGATAGAATGGTCACCTTGACCTTGAACGAATTGCTGGGCCTAGTCTGGTTTGGTTGGGAGGTGGTACGGGCTCGCACACCTGCTCTCACTACACAGGAGAGAGTGAGTGTAAACCGGCAAATTTGAATTATTCGAGACAAGATTACCACAGGCGGCGGGGCAGTTGGGCCTAAGTATAATCAGCTGGTGAACAAGGCATGCGTGGAGTGGCTCAGGTTGCTGCTTATATAAGAGGTGGGGGGAAAGGCGTCTGGTATATTAAGCTTGAAAGGCAGCGCTTAGTGATTTGGTCCTTGGGATCATGGGTATGAGGTTCTGGGCGTTTGGTGGATCTGCAGTGTGACTGGGTTGACTTGGTTGGTAGATAACTGTAATGTGTCAATGTGAACGTGTTTGAAGCTGCCAAACGGCTGCCTAAGACGTGGTGCTTGATCGTTGTGGTGTTGCAATTGGTGTCGTCACTGTCGCTATCGGTCGCTCAGCAATATCGGCTGCCGCTAGTGTACTTGGCAAAATTCGTCTCAAAATCCAGGGGGGGGGGGGGGGGGGGGTTCACGAAATCGGAACACAAAATTCGACCCAGGGTGGATTAGGCCCCGGGCCGCTCACTTCTATATAAGCTCACAAAAAGCTTCCATTTATATAATAAACCACTACACATCGACCACTTCTCACACCATTTCAGGAAGTATCTCGACACCTGCCTCAGAACAATGGCTGCATCCAACCTCCCTCCTTGGCGGTCCCCAGAAGAGTTCGTCAACTCGCCCTCGCCGCCACCTCTCTCGTCCCCGTCAACGCCAGCAGAATCGTCGATACCCGTCCTATTAACAGTACAAGATATCCGAGAATACATCGAAAATGTCACCCAAGCCCCACTAGACGAATACAAGCGCGGCATACTCTCTTTTATGGCTTTCCACGCACGGGTTGTCGTCGCCAAGAACGACCATATTTATGAGTTCTCGAGCGATACACCTGTTGATGAGTTGACTTTGAGCGAGATAGAGCGCCAGTGGGGCCAGTTCTTGGTAGCTGTAGAGGGCCTGAGACCAGGACCGTTGTTTGCTGAGTTCAGGACCCTGAGAGCGCAGATACGGGAGCTTGAGGACCGCTTGAATGAGTACGAGGATGTGACACCAAGCCGCGATCATAGGTTTGAGCATCCATCCTTTGATGACTTTGAGGATGACGACACGTTCGATGAGCATAATGAATCTGACGTCGAACATCATCGGGATGGAGCATCTGAAGAGGGAGACCCTTTGGCCCATGCAGGGGTTGCTGACGATTTCGATGATATGCGCGAGATTTCTGAGAACATCTCAGCTGATCAAACCGAATGGGGTAGCGAGCCTAGTGTTCGAGATAACTGGGCCGATGTCGGGCTTGATGAAGATGTTGCACCTGAAGTTCAAGACGATTGGGCTGATAGATCTGAAGGCGGGGCTGATGCGGGGATTACTGAAGATTTCCCTGGCTTCGGCCAGGTTGACGACGAGGATAGAGCCCCTGGAGTTCCAGGGCCTGATGAAGATGCTATATCGGACCGGACTGGCGCATAGTCTGTCAACTCTCTGCTGTGATCGAGAATCCTAGGTCAGAGATGAAAACTGGCGGGCCAGAATCTTAGCATTATACCTTCACGACTGGTGCGGAAGGCGACTTTTGATGTATCAAAGAGAAGGAGGGAAATATACGTATAACCGACGAACTTCCACCTTACCATTTATAACTTCGATAGTATCTGAGCGCTCACTGTGGGTCTTGCTGTAATCTTCAATCCTTTTAGATTTCCTTCATCTCGCCACTTGCCAATATGTTCCAAGAATGAAACAGTTCCCTCCGCCCACACTACGCCCCTAGCTTGTTTTGCTTTCTCCTCCAAATTCTCTGAGCTTGCCTGCCCATGACCGTTAAAATAGCCAGGTGTGCACCCAGCGAGAGACGAAAAGAACGGTGCTCTTTTGACAATTTCTGCACTGTGCTGCTCTTCGGCCTCCCTGGTCACCTCGATAATGGCGCGTTTCCCTTTACCAACGCGCTTCTCGGCCTCTGTGATCCAGAAAACCACATGACGAGCAATGAGACCCAACATGAAAACATTATTTCCAGTAATGGTCCCTTGTGATGTACCGGAGAAGAACAAGTTGGGGAAGCCGTTGGTCGTGTAGCCGTGCAGTGTGGCAGCGCCTTTCTTACGCCATTTCTCGTCTAAAGACAGCCCTTGTCGTCCAAGCACTTCAATACCCACCCGGCCAGCTGGGCTTCCGCCGTTGCGCTCACCCGCGACGGAGTAGCCTGTACTGAAGATTATGACGTCAACCCGGTATTCCTGGCCAGCGACGACAAGGCCTCGTTCCGTGGCGTGAGACGGACCTTGTCCATCTGTGTCTACTAGGTGTACGTTTGGCTTGTTGAATGCTTGTAGATACTCATCGCTGAATGTGGGGCGTTTGCACCAGGAAGGATACCAAGGCTTCAACTTTTCTGCTGTCTGAGAATCTTTAACAATGTCATCCACACGATGCCGCACAGCCTCCATGTGGGGTAGATCCAGAGCGTGGAACCATGTTGCCCGTCGCTCCTCTTCTTCAACTGTAGGGTTGACAACACCGTGCACAGGTGATCCCATTACTGCAGAGTATGCCGGCATGTCTGTCCAACCGTCGTTCACCAGGTTCTTTTGGCCTGGAAGAACAGCATTCGTCATGTGTCTGTTCAAATTGATCTGCCTCTCAAACTGCCATCCCTTCTTACCCCCAACAGTACGTTTGAACTCTTCGATATCGGTGGTCTGCTGATTACGTGGCTTGACGTATGCCGGCGTCCGCTGCACAACGTAAAGTTCTTTTGCGTATCTGGCTAACGTGGGAATCGCACCTACCGCTGTCGCGGCTGTACCAACAATGGCCACTCTCTTATCACGTAAGTTGCTCAGTGTCTGATCATCCTGCGAACCACCAGTGACTCTATAGTCGAAGCGAGAGGTATGGAAGATATCGCCGTTGTAGGACAGAAGACCAGGAATTTTGGGTACCTGCGGTTTGGCGAGGACTCCAGCAGCAAGATAGACGTACTGGGACTTGACCTGGTACTTGATCGGATGTGTACCAGGGCCACGCCTCTCGATAAAAGAGATTTTCCAAAGCTCTTGAATGTCATCCCACACCACTCGCTCGACGTCGGAACGAAACAGTGTCTTATCTTCAAGTTTCCAGTGTTTCGCAATTTGTTCTGCATACCTCCGAATCTCAGCAGCAGGAGCGTACTTTTGACTTGGTACGTAACCTGTCCCCTCTAGTAGCGGCAGGTAGCAGTAGCTCTCCAGGTCGCAGTGTAGTCCGGGGTATCGGTGCCAGTACCAGGTGCCACCAAAGCCGCCAGCTGCATCCACAATGCGAATCTCGTCTGCTGTCGCAACGCCAGACTCGATCAAACGCACCGCATAAACAAGTCCCCCGAAACCAGCACCTAGAATGAAGAACCGGACCTTATCGTTGTTGCGAATCGGTGATGGTCTGGCGTTGAGTGCTGCGTGATCGGCCCACGGATCATCAAGGAGAGCCCGCAGTCGGTCGTCGCTGGACTCATTGAGAGGCAAGAACTGGGCAGCGCCCTCAGATCTCAAACGTTTGTTGGCTTCCTCAGCGTACTTTCGTCGCACCTTCCCAAGCTCCTCAGGATCGACTTCGGAAACAGGATTTCGTGGAGATGAGGCCGGCATTGGATAGAGAGTCACCACTGATTTGTTTAGCTCGCTTTTTCTCAAGTTATCTAGCTCTTATCTATGTGAGTGTTGCAGCTAAGTGGCTGATACTGATGTTAGCTAACGACATCGAGCTGACAAAACACGCCATAGCCAGGTCCACAATACGCCATCTCGGCAATCACGCAAGCCGCAGTATGCATGGCTCATATAACATCAAGTCCGGTATCGCATACTGAATGTCAATCCGCAAATATCTTACAAATTACTACATCGGGCTTGCCCCAGCTCAGCTTGAAATCTCGATAAAAGTGCCCCAGCTCAGCATACGAATTGCGATCGCGCATTCGTGGAGTTCTTTGCTTTACGTGAAACATTTCACGATAGAATTATCTTGCAGACAAAACAGCAGAGCCTGCCGAGATGCAGGCATAGCTTGTGTTTCGTCTGGACAGCACTTCACCTACTCACTCCCGTTTACGGACCCCTCAGAGCCTTCTTCATCAACTTCTATCTCTACTTCATTCATCTGTTGAAACGCTCGTGCTGCCATATCTCTTGTACGATCATTGTGTCGACCGTCTCCTGTAGCATGTCTGAACACATCTTTCCACAAGTTCCACCTCTGCCTGCTCCACGGCTCCCAGTAGTGGACAGCGTTTTCTTTCTTCATACACTCAACATAAACGTGGCGACATTCGACTGGCCAAATCACCCACTGAGCAGCAGCAACGATGTCAAGATCAGGAATCTTGCGGTCATTCTCGCCCGTTGCCACAATATTCTGGAGGGCGGTGAAGGGTGCACCGTAAATTAAGCCATCGGCAGTGACGCGGGCCATAGCAGATTGAAGATTCTGCCAGCGCGTGCAAGACTCGGGGATATGAGTGTAAGGACCAGCATCTGCTCGAATGCGTCAGTATGCTGATTAGTCTTGACCTTACACCAAAACAGCAAAGAACCAGGCGGATTGTGATGACTTACCATCGCGCTCTCTGCGCAACTTGTCTGCAAGACCTATCCAGTTCTTGCCGAACGCCCAAAATTCTGTCTCAACTACTTCGCCATTCTCATCAGGCCGTGTCTCCGGCGCCATCCATCGGGGAAGACATCTTAGTTCCTCCAACAGGCCGATTAATCGATCTTGACCTCCGCTGTGAGGATAGAACGCCGTGCACACCTTACACCACCATCGAATAACCTCTTGTGCCAACGCACTTGCGTTCGGCGGGTAGAGATCCATCCAGTCATCTGACTCTAGAGCTTCGGTGGTCATGTGATGACTTGCAGCGTAGTCATTGAGCTTCTGGAGGCGTCGTGATGTCTCGGCTCGAAGTAAAGAGTCAATTGCTTGCGCCGCTTGGAGAGGGGTCTGTGTGCCGTCCAACAGGGCTGCTAGAGGGGCTTTCCAGAGAAGGTCTTCTTCGTCATCGCAGTCTTCGTAGAGGTGGGGATTAAGGGCAGGTAACGTGCTATCATCAGAGGCCATTTTTTGACTTTGCGTCTCAGTGAATGGAGAGGAGCATACAGACAGCTGAAGTGCTGACACGATCGTTATACAAGAGTGGGCGGTTGTGCACTAGCCCTTTTGCGTTAGACCGGGAAATAGTGACAACATATATAGAAGTCGTGTCGGCCTTCGGACTTCAAAAAGCCATCGTGGAAACAAGCCTGATCGAGGGCAAGAATTTCATACGGAGTTGGTATCTCCCGACTTTGAGATGAAGTGACGGATCCTGCGGTGTGCTTATTGACATCTGACAATGTCCATACCTAGGGGGGTATTGCGAGATCAGACAGGTCCACTGACCGGACTGTCAGAATTTAGATAACGGTTACCGACAAGGATCGAATTCTGCATATTCTAAACGGCGATCCGGACCGGGCATTACATTACTCATCCAGCGCCTATATCCAGCATGAACCATGATGACATTGTGCATGTTCTTGCGTTGGACTGGAAAAGACTTGCAGTGGTCGGTAATTCAAAGTGTACCATCTCACAGTCCGCAATATCCTTCATACCGGAGGTCCGAGCTACTATCTCGGTATTGGGGACTATGGTGTGGATAAAGACTTGAACGTTCTTCGCAAAACAGAACAAACCTGCATTTACTATCACTACCTACATCTTCCGAACCTACACCACCGAAGATGCACTATCCATCAGTCGTCGTTGTTGTTTTTGCAGCATGCACGCTGGCTGCTCCGGCTCCAATTGCATTCTCTGCAGACAGTCCAGCTGTAAGTTCACAGTTTTTCTTCTTAATACAATCATCATGAATCTAAAATCGCGGCTGAGAGATTAACTTCTAATCAAACATACAGGCTTCATCGCTAGAGGCTCGCGATGACACCGTTACATGCTCGCCCAAATCGAACAAATCCGACACGAAGAAGTTCAAAGTCGATGTCTCGTACGCCAAGAGTCAAGCCAGCAAAGCTGCACTGATTACGGGCATCTCTGGAGACCCACATAACTATGGAGGAGGTGACAATATTGAATGGGGAGTCAGGGAATGTGATGTCAAAGATGCCCCTCTTTGGGAGTACCCGGTATTCTGGCAGGGGTCCAAGGGTCGTTCCGGACAGCTCGAGTGGGATAAGGACCTCAAGACTTCGAAGCAGAAGATGAAGACTCCTTTGAGGGTTGTGTATGTGAACCAGAATGGTGGCGCAAAGTACTGCGGCATCATGACCCACAGTGAGGTTACCGATGAGTATCAGGGCAAAGACTTCTTCCAGCGCTGCGATTGAGTCTGGTCAATTTTTTTGGGATCAGTGAGATCTGTATTTGTAATGTTACGCTCAGTACTAGATGAAATTCTCAATATCACTTTCAGCTTCGTGCGGTAGTCTAGTGAAAGGGTAGAAGAGTGTCGCTCGAAAGCTCTGAGTGACGTAGGTTATTCGTCTTTGTAAAGCTGCAACAAGCTTGCATTGATTTATCGGCCTAGGACAGGAGTCTTGGTAGAGAAGTAACAGACTGTTAGTCATTGACAGAGAGATGAGCGGGAGTATCTGTCATATCTGAATGAAGGAGACCTGTTTGTTCATGATAAATCCGGAAGACCATGTTTCACAATGCGCCACTCGAGTGAAAGCTCAGTGCTACAAGGATTTTTATCGAGAATGCGAGGTCACTTTCACTCATTAGGTATATGTGTCAAGATTGCACATTGTCTAATCGTCCATAATCCATCGAGTTCAACTGCCCAAAGTCGTTGTTCTCAGTCGCCTTTCAAGATTCACGCTAGAGATAACATACACATGTAATATGTGTCAAAACTGTTTAAGAAGCGTACTTCTGAAGACTTGGTAACTTGTGGTAGTGGATGCACGAAACGTTTAGCCCTGGTAATATAGAATATAATTCTTCGCGCTTGGAACGGTATCATGATGTGCCCGTCTGTATGCCATGTTAAATCTCGTTCTTCAGGCGGCTTGCCTTTCATCTCCCGTGCTGTTATATGAACACAGTAGTTCTAGCAACCATGATCTCGCTATACAGGTACAACACGCATTGAGACCCTCCTCCAGTACATGGTGGTAAGCTTTCACAGCTTCGAAGTACCTTTCGTCTTTCGTTTCCCACCCCTCCTCCTCTTCTTTCTCTTCATTTCGGATACAGCATCGAGATTGGAGTCTCCGAGTATCGATGTCTGAATAAGCAGCATTTGTCGGGGTGCATGCTTGCGGGTCAGTTTGCGGACCAGGACGACTTGCCACTTTGCAGCACCGTCATAGTGCGACTTGCTTGGTGAGGTTGAATGAGATGAAAGCCTGATCAAGCAAGTCTTGCAAGCAACTGCGCCGCCTTCGGGGCATTGCATGACAAATTGCTTGACGACGAGATCGCAAAAGTCGCACGTGTTCGCCCCTTCTATTCGAGTCCACCCCAGGTCAATCAGGTCTCCTTCACGACTGGGCGTAGTCCCAGCTACGCATGATGTAGATGAGACATACTCTGAATGCTTCATACACGCATGATCCTTCGCCATAGAGACCCTCGTCAATCGTTCTTGGAGAGCCTGCTGTCGTGAGAACTCCTTCTGCGCAGCTCTGAGCTTTCTTATTGCTTCTTGTTGCTCCCGGAGTCTACGTGCCTCTTCCATGGCCTGTTTCTCGGCTTCACGCTTCCGAGATGCAGCGGCTTTTCTCGCTGCCTTTCGTTCAGCTCTTGCTCTCGCGAGCTCCTCCTTCCTCCTTTGTTCCTCCCGCTTCTCCTTCCGCATCTGTTCTCGAAAACGCATTCGTGCAAGCTCTGACTCTGCTTCTCTCCGTAATGCTTCCTCGTATTCTTCGATTTCCTGTTGACGCAGTCTTGCCTCAGCAGCTCGTTGCTGTTCAACTCTTGCTCGTTCGGCAGCCTCGCGAGATCTCTTCTTAGCTAATTGCCCTTTAGCCTGTCGCAAGCGCTCCCTGGCCATTGCTTCCTGCGCCGCCTGCTGCCTCTCTGCAGCTTTTCGCGATCGCTCCTCTGCCTCTCTCTCTTTCTGTTCCCAGTATTGCCTCTGGGCACGAGCGGCTTCCTCGTCTCGACGAGCTTGCTCACGAACAGCCTCCTCGGCCCTTCGTTGTTTTTCTGCCTCAGCAGCAGCTCTCTCATCTTTTCGTCTTTGTCGCCGATCTCGCTCGGCCTGTCGCTTCTGCTGTTGTCGCTGTTGCCTTGCCTCCGCTGCACGCCTTTGCTCTTCTTCATAATGTTCGCGACGTTCTTCTTCGCGTTTGCGATAATCTTCCTCCTCATCCCATTCGGCAATTGCTTCGCGATAGACCTCCCATTCAAACCGAACTTCGTCGTACATATCGTCATAACTAGCGCGCTCGTCTCTGTCGACGAGTGTATCGTACGCTTGGCGGGCCTAATAGCAGTAAGTAAGCTGCAATCGCGATATGTAGAGTCCCTACGCACCTGGCGAAATTCTTGCGCGTCTATAGTGTGCCCTGGTGCCTTTTTGTCGGGATGGTGTTCAAGTGCAAGCTTGCGAAATGCTCTTTTAATCTCACTAGCAGTGGCATACTGATCTATCCCAAGGTCGAAGTAGTAATCGGGAATCTGCGGACGATCCGGCATTGGTGCTGCCATGCTGACGACGACTGTTGAGAAGCTGAGTTCGGCTTGAGTTGAAAATGCGAGGCGTTACCTTTAGTGAGAGAAGAAAAGGTCTTGGCGATCGTCCCCGGGCGGTGAGGTGAGATCAGTGGTGAAGTGAGGGCGGGGAAACCCGTGCAGTTAGCTCGACAGTAGCTCAACGTCGCGACAGTCCCTCCCAGACAATCTAGGTGAGATTAAGGCATAGCTGGAGTCTCGCCTGATGTAGTTTGGGAACGCCGTAGTCCTGGAGATCAGATTGGATCCTCTCATGAAGATGGGAACGTCTTCTTTTGCCTATGAGTGCCTTTCAGAGATAGCTGATAGCAGCCGTTCTCTTGTGCACGTGGCAAATCATGTAACAAACTCGTAGAGGACTTGGATTGTAAGCACACGAAAGGCGCTGTTCGTTCTGCACCTGCTTAACACATCAGTCCACTAAATAGTCGCGAAAATATGACTGAGTATAAGAGGAATTCCTAGCTTCCTGACAAGTGATTCGTTTTGGATCTTCGAAGATTGCAACTCATCTAGTCTCTTGGTGCAGCGTTGTGGATAGAAGCAATTGTAATTGAGATGATGTGACGCCACATGTTTCCTCACCAAACTGGCTGACACGCTTCCAAGTCTGGCAAGGCAGATAGAAGTACGAGGGACGCGAGAGCACCATACTCTTACGGTTATTGATGCGAGTACTCGGCTTGAGAATGGCTTACCGATTCCCAAAGTCAAGTCTGAAATGGGCCACTACGTCACAAAAGACCCCTAGAGACACGGAAAAAAAACACTACTACAAGTACCATGTCTGTCTGCGGGAGGTGAAGCCAACCGAGGTGTTGGCCATTGGCCATGGTATGAGCTGGCTGGAATCGATTGGTATGAAGAATCTTGCCAGCTGTTTCCTTTTTCGGACGTACACAGCGTTTGATCTCTGCTCTAACCCGGTCTCAGGATTCCGTATCCATCTTCGGTATGTCGGAACTCCAGATAAACCTACGCAGTCAACCCACTGCCAGATCCACAAGCATCTCAGCGTCAATCGAAGTATCAGACGAAACTTTCGAAGAGTTTGTGAGCGACTCTGACTGAAGCTGAAGAGAGAGACTGGAATGATGGTAACTAGACCTAACCGGAGAAGATTGACAAAGTTGATATTGCCATGTCTTATGTTCCATGTCTGTACCGCTACACGCGCTTGGATCTGGGCTGAACGATGGTTGCGCAGCCGTGTCTTGGTACTGGAATCTAAAGCGTCAGATTGTCCGTTCATGTTTCTTGTGGTCCTAGTGGAATTTATTTCGTTTGATCATGGCCAGTGAACAATGACTGCATTCGTGGACTTTCTGCAGCTGACCGGCAGACCATACGCGAGAGGGTGTCCAATTACACATTGAACAGCAGTCGCAGGCTCGTATACCCTGCTAGATCCGGAAATATGAATGCCACCGCTCATTTTAAGGGTTTCTGCGCGAGTGTTGCTGCCGTCGTACTGGTACGCTCGCCCGATCCGAAATACTGCACTGCACTGCACTAACGCACGCCGAGCAGACTCACACTCTGGCCTCACCCTCCGCTTCCTACCATCTCCAAGCGCGATTTCCTCCACCAACGACACCAATGTGTAGGGGCATGACACAATTTCAGGCTTGGGTGGAATCCGATGATGGCCAACTCAGCCGATGTCTTGCAACACAACCACGTTCATATCCATCCTCAGCCATTTCGCGATAATACCTCCATCGCCGTGATCGTCGAGACTGTTGCCAGAGAACAACTACCACAAAAATGTCGAGAATGCACAGTGTACATGATCTCAATCTGGTACCATCGACTCATCGAATGCGTTCGGAGCGATATTACGCCGTGATTGGGACGCCTCGCGAGCGTAAGACCCGTCGCAAGCGAGCTGCAGCGTTTGCTGTCATTCAGATGTCGAGATGTCGACTCCGCACTGACGGAAACCGTACTCTGGCACTATAGATATGATGCAGTCAGCATTACAACGTGATGCTTGAGTCTCAGCGCGTATCTCGGCGTTGGTGAAGAGCTACAAGGCTGAAGATTTGTCCGCACTAGGACCCGATCGCTGGTGATGTCCTTACACACTCATGCCATGCGCACCAGGAGCAGGCTATCTTTGTGTGTCCATGAAGCCTTGCGCATGGGCCGTGCCCCATTGAAAGTGGTTGTTGACTTGATCGTCGCGAAGTCTACGTCGTACACAACTGTAACAACATTTTACACCTTCATCCAGGGTCGAACGTAGAATATGCGGACCTGTACACCTATCATACCGAGATAGTTAAATGCAAGCGTGGAACTGACCGTGCGGGTTGGGTAGCTTGAAGGCGTTGCTCCGATATCCTCTTCTCCGGCGCGGTCTTATCTGAAGTCACAGGAAGAGGATGGATGATGCGACGCAGGTGCTGATTTGTCCGTAAATGTGCCTTTGGCTCTGTTCGTGGCGTGCGCGCTGTTAACCCCGCACGCGCAAGCAAGGTTTCTTCGTCCGACTGTAAAAGTGTGATGCTCGCCTCATCACAACACCGAACGCGAGACCGCGCGGTAACGTCTTTCGGTTGTTTTGTGGGTCGCTACGTTTGTGATTGGCTGTGTTCCCCTTGCACCGCGGGCACTCGGTGAACCACTTGTGAACGATGCGGCTTAGCGCCGAATGCTGACAATGCAAGATTGTCAACCAGCATCACCATCCTTGTCCTCGCTCTTTCGCTAATCCACCTCAACTATACATTTATATAGGAGCCGAGAATGAATGAATCCAAAATAAAAAATCACAACTCATCTGCACAGCAACACATCCTCCACACCAAAACAATACTCACTCGCATCTTAAACAAGACTTCCATCATCTAGTTAAGACAGCACAGAAACCCACACAAAACCCAAACAACAGCAATGTCGAAAGCAATTCTCATCACTGGTGCCACTGGCAAGCAAGGTGGCTCGACCATCAATGCTTTGCTCAAAGCGAACGCCGACTTCGACATCATTGCGCTTACTCGTAATGCCCAATCAGCATCCGCACAGAAGCTCAAGGCAAAGTCGACACGGATCAAGATCATCACTGGAAACCTTGACGACGTCGAGGATGTTTTCACAAAAGCCAAGCAAGCTGCCAATGCCCCGATCTGGGGCGTCTTCAGTGTACAGGTATGTCTTCTAGTTTGTTCCTCAAAGCACAACTCACTGACTTTTCAAGCTCGCAATGGGAGATGGTGCAACTGTTGTAACGGAAGAGGCGCAGGGCAAGGCTTTGATCGACGCAGCTATCAAGCACGGCGTCACGCACTTCGTATACTCATCCGTGGACCGAGGTGCCAACACAGACAGCGATCCAACAAATGTCCCGCATTTCGCCAGCAAGCACCGGATCGAGCAGCATCTCTTCCAGTCGGCAGAGGGAAAGATGAGCTGGACCGTTCTTCGCCCTGTTGCCTTTTACGAGAACCTGATTCCCGGATTCTTCGGCAAGATTTTCACCACAAGCTGGATCATGCACATCAAGAAAAACCAGAAACTGCAGCTTATCGCGACCAGCGACATTGGGTTCTTCGCTGCTGAAGCTTTCCTGAAGCCGGAGGAGTTCAAGAACCAGAAGCTCTCGATCGCAGGTGATGAGCTGACATACGATGAGTTCAAGGCCATCTTCAAGCAGAAGACAGGCCAGCAATTGCCCACTACCTTCAGGTTCCTCGCTGCTGGTGTTCATATGATGGTCAAGGACCTGGGATTGATGTTCAAGTGGTTCGGCGAGGTCGGATACGCGGCTGACGTGCAGGCGGCAAGGGCGAGAAACCCGAACATGAAGGATTTCACTACATGGCTGAAGGAGGAGAGTGAGTTCAAGACTCTTTGAGGTTGAATTTGACGACTGAGCGATGTTTTGTGTTTGCGGAGTTTAATATCCACCATAGATTTCTGTACTTAATCAATGGCACTACAATGTTTTACAGAAAAGGATCTCACATTGAATGTAGTTAAAGCAGATTTCACCGCCTGTTCCACTACTAGCTTAACTTGGTGTATGGATGCGTATACTCTTGCGGAGCACGTGGTGAGAGGACATCACGTGATCAATATCATCTCAGCATACTAGTATCGATACATGTTCGATACGCTATGCATGTGTGCATGCTTTCTACCGTCAACTCAATTCTCTGATTTAGTTTCCTGTCATGAAAGGTTTCAGCAAGGTTGAGCACCAACTTCGGGTGCAGATCGTTTCCCGATTTGATCTACTACATCATCGATATCCGTAGCGTATTGTCAACTACAACGACAGCTTTAGATGGTGTATAATCCTTTCCATGGTAATCATTTACAATCTGGTCTGAGAGTCTGCGGCGAATGTCCACTCTGCATGCCTTCCACTGATCAATTATCTCGATATCACCATGCCAGCACAGTTACTGTCCTACTGGAACATCAAGACACCCATTGATAATGCATGGCACCCCCAGATCGGCCAATGCCCGACCCCCTACACCAAAAACCTACCGCAAATACTACAGCGCACAGATCTCGAAGCTACACTTGTGGATGCCGCGCCCTACATTGCCGGGATCGGCGCGCTTCGACACGCGTCCCAGGCTTTCGACTTCGGCTTCACCGTATCAGCAAACATATTCAAGAACGCCAGGACTTTGAATGCACTGCACGGATCTACGCTCCTTTTCATCCCATTGGTCTTGTCTCTACAAGCTGCTGGCATCGAATACAGGAATCTCATCCCGCGGTGGAGCACTGTTCGAGAGCGTCATAGGGACGAGGAAGAAGTCCGACGGCATGTTGACGTGGGTGCGTATCTGGGTGCTCTTACCTGGGCCGGACGAATGATCATGAGGGTGGGGGTTCGGTACTGGGCGCCGATAGATGTCGTCCTGGGTGGCGCGGTGGCTGATATGCTGCACCGGGAGTACATGCGGACGCACGACTTTTGATACATCGACAGGAAACACACTCCCATCGCAGAGAGAAATAGGAGTTGGGTTAGGACAATTGCATCGCCAGTAAAATACAAGTGCTGATAATGTCAACGCCACAAAACTTGTTCGGCTGAGGGAACAACAGGGTTCAAAAGCATGACAAGGCGCAGAAAGTCGGCTTGGAAATGTGGCTGCGGCAACAGCGTCGAAGAATTTGAGATGGTAGGCTGGCGAAGCCGCAGAGAAGCGACCGAACACGAAAAGAGCGTAGTGGCTCCAAGATAGCTGTCTTGACGAACTCTAAGTTTGTTTCATCGGTCTCGTGCGTGGCAGTCGCTCAATTTGTCACTAAGTCCACACTTCGAGGAGCTGTCTGTAGTTGCGATTTGAGAGCTCATACGCTATATCTCTCTTTCATGGTGTGCGTATGCATCTGGCTATAGCTCAGGCAGGAGGCTCGCGAACGTACATACAGTTGCTGAGGAGCTGCAATGTGGTCGCACGTGGAAGAACAACGGATGGAAGATAAAAACTTATTCAGTCGCAGGACATGTCAATGGCGTCCAGGTTGCTGCATGTTGAGAACGCACGTTGACGTTTAGGTTGTATTAAAAGCCTGACTGCTAAGAGGCTGGGCATGCTTAGGTCACGCGCTAGCTGGCTGGACCCCTTAATGGCGGACCTCGCCATCCTTCCGCGACGGACTTCCCATCGTCATTCGTCTATCGGGAACACAACGATAACGCCTCTAAACGGACTTGTTTTCTCTTGCGACGCCTGTAACGCCTCTAACGTCGTTTGCCGTTTGCCCGTTCGCTACGCGGCCGTTTGCCCTTGTGATACAGCGCCACAACGCTGAGATGAAATGCGAGTCTTCCTGCCAGAAAAATATGCAGACATGGCTCCGAAGGGGCATTCGATGTTCAGAACAAGATGACTGAATGTCTCAGACAATCTCCACTGTGATCCTCCTGGCCGTTGCCAAGTCATTCATTGTCTATCTCAGTAGGAGCGGCGATACAACTACGGCAGTACTCGTTCTTGTTCAGTTGTTGCGAATTGCTTTCCTCAAGTCTGCCCGGTTCGGCAGCCGAATGTCTTCAAAGTCATGACTTGAGTGCAGCAACGGCGAACTTGGACCAGCTGCGCGGGTTCACACGCAGACTCGGCCACTACACCCAGTGCCACAATGCGACGCGTCCGCCTTTTAACCTCTGCTCCCTTCGCCACGCGGCTTCGTACGCAGCAGCCCCACGCGCGCGGCGCCTCAAACGAGCTACAGCGTCGGGATGTTTCAAATCCGGTGCAGCCCTATCCTGACAGCTGTCAACGCACAGTGCACCTGCGTAACATTCTCGACTCGTGTGACAAGACAGCGGCTGTCAGTATCACGTATACACTCGGCTGCATCACGTATACCCTTCGCTGCACCATGTACACCTCCACTGCATCATGCCTATGACCCATTACGACAGCACCGGCATCTTTGCGCCGACGCATACGCTTCACGATGTTTCTGGTTGTGTTTCTGCGTCCTCGGCGCTAATTGGATCGCAGTTCTGCCGAGCGATTTCCTTTGTCTGAAAAAGCGACATTGACTTGACTGTCTTGGCGTTTAAAAACGCAACCGCCAGGAGTCGGCCCAGCCGTCATTAGATAGGACGTTGTCGATCAAGCACGCCTCAGGAAGTCCCCGAAAAAACAGATCAACTGGAGTTCCTATCGCGAAGTCGAGGCCTTCGGGGAGCCGCACTGACAAGCGAGCACGGCCAGCCAATGAATCGTGCCTCCACGACTCGAGCACGGGTACCCTAGTCACGCCCATTTGCTCGTATGTCGGAGATCTGCCTCCTAACGAGGACGCATGAGGCCTTTCCCATGGCCTGCACTCAACAGCTGGACCGCCCCGGCGGCCCACAGTACGTCAATTTAGGTGTCCATGCACATTGAAGCCCAGGCATGTTTCAAACACTTCGCTGATAGCCGCACTGTCTCTCCTCAGGATGCATATTATGAGTGCAGGTGCGCGGCTATCGTCATCATCTCAGCCAGGCGTTCGTTGACTTTTCCCTCTTTTCATTTTTCTTCACGTTGCCGCTGGTTCGGGTTCCATTCTCCTTTATGGGTGCTGTACAGATTCATTACAATTAGAACAGCAAACCTACACTCTTTAAACTCGCAATTATGTTTCTTTCCGTAGACCGTGCTTCGTACTTCCAGGACCCCGAGAGCAACCGCCGCCGCACAGTATGGCCTTCCGCGCACGGAGATGCCGTTCAGATGAGCACACCATGGCACCTAACGCTCGAAGCGGCCGCCGAGACCAACCAGCGAATCACAAGTGTCTTTGATACCGAGGGTCGTGCGGCACGCATGAGTGCCATGGTGGATTCGTCGCTGTTCCCGCCTCCACTACAAGATCGCAATAGACACTCGGCGTGGGTTGGCAAGAGTGCACAAAGGCAGACATGGCTTGCACCCGTAGCTGGAGCTGACTTGAAGGACCGTGTATGGTCTGGCGAATTCGATGTTGAGAGGAGGCCATCGTTCCAGTCGCGCTCATCAAACCGATGGAGCGGCGAGGTTGATCTGGACGATTTTGAGAAAGATGCCAAGAAGGAGCCATACCCTGTCGACTGGGAGGAGGGTGATGTTGAGAACCCCCTCAACCTCAGCAAGGGACGCAAGTGGTTTAATGCCATGATGCTCGCGTTCGCATGCTTCATGGTGTCGATCGCGTCGTCCGGCTTCTCGCAAGGTACTGAGCAGCTGAAGACTGAGTTCGGCATCTCGCAGACAACCGCCCTCCTCACCACCTCGACATTCGTCCTCGGCTTCGCAGTCGGCGCCCTTATCCTCTCCCCACTCAGCGAAGTCTACGGCCGCCGCGACCTCTACATCATCACATTTGGCGCCTTCGTCGCCTTCAGCGGCATCGTTGGCTTCTCCTCCTCCATGACCGTTGTCATCGTTCTCCGTTTCTTCGGCGGCCTCGCAGGTTCCTTCACGCAAGCCGTCGCCCCCGCTGTCGTCGCTGATATGTTCAACGCCCAGGATCGTGGGCTCGTCATGTCCATCTTCACGCTCGCGGGCCTCGTAGGTCAGAATCTCGGCCCGATCATCTGCGGCTTCCTTGTCAAGGCCTACGGCTGGCGCGCAATCGCCATCCTCATCATCGGCGCCTCGGGACCTACCTGGGTCGTCCTCACCCTCACGTTCCCGGAGACCTACGCTCCGGTCCTCCTGCAACGTCGCGCCGAGGCCCTCACCGCGGAGACCGGTAAGCTGCACCAGGTCGCCGGTCTGACACCGAAGCCCATCGCGCAGCAACTCCGCGTCGGCGCCCTCCGACCCTGGATCATGCTGATCTACGAACCCATCGTCACGCTCCTCTCCCTCTTCCTGTCCGTCGTCCACGGCACTCTCTTCCTGCTTTTCGCCGCCTACCCAATCGTGTTCCAACAAACCCGCGGCTGGGAGCAGGGCATCGCGTCGCTGCCCTTCCTCGCCATCATCGTCGGCATCATGCTGTCGCTCGTGTACGTCGCGCTGGTCGACCAGAAGCGCTACGCCAAAGTCGTTGCGCAGTACGACGGCAACGCGCCGCCCGAGGCGCGTCTTCCGCCTGCGATGCTCGGCGCGGCTGCGCTGCCCATCGGGTTGTTCTGGTTTGCGTGGACCAATGCGCCGGAGATGCCGTTTATGATTTGCGTGTCCGCGGGTGCGCTGTTCGGGTTCGGAATGGTGCTGTTGTACATGTCGCTGACCAACTACATTGTTGATGCGTATCTGGGGTATGCTGCGTCGGCGCTGGCGGCCAGCACGGTGTTGAGGAGTATTGCTGGCGCGGCGTTTCCGCTGTTCACAGGAAAGCTGTATTCGAGTCTGGGCATCCACTGGGCGAGTAGCGTGCCGGGTTTCCTAGCGCTGGTGTTCATCCCGTGTCTGTTTGCGTTCTATAAGTGGGGTGATAAGTTGAGGGGGATGACGAGGTTCGGTGCTGAGGCTGCCAACATGGCCGGTAAATAGACGGTTAGAATTTAGAGCTTCACAGTACATATCCTCATCGCTTGATCTTCTTTGTGACCCAGGAAAAGAACACACCATTACGCGAGAGAGACTTGTAAAGATGCACAAGATTTCGATAAACTCACAGTATTCTCTATATGCTGTACATTGTCCACAAACAGCTATCGGTTCGAGTTTCAGATGCCGCTCAAGAAATCCCCTTTCCTTCATGGCGATGTCAAGTTCGCCCACGATGTCACATTCGACCACGACGTCGCATTCGCCCACGACACATTCCTACCACCACTAATCCCCATGAATCCCTCCAGTCCCTGGGCGTCAACTCCGGCCAGGTCACCACCCGAATGCCCGTAAGGATCCATCAAGTCGTGCGGCCACCAGCACTTGAACTTGCGTTCAAAGCCTGCGTCCTTGGGGTAAAATTTGTCGAACACCTTTTCACACGAGAACTCGACGTTGTCTTTCATGACCGGGTTTGGACAGTAACAGTTCTCAAAGCGAGACTGCTTCTTCTCATCGTCGGATTCTGTTTCATAGTACGGCTGGCAGTGACCAGGCTCCAAGGTGAAGTCCACATCGCCCGTGTGCTTGCAGCCGAGGTTCTTCATGACTCCGTAGGTGAGCCTGACTTGTGTGTCTTCCTTCTTGCGACCCTGGTACACGGTGAGGAGAACTTTGTAGCGCATCTGGAGGTCGGGTCGATCGCCTCGGTCGTTGGCGTAAATCAAGCTCATGGCCCTTTCTGAGTCTGAAGTGTCCTTCCAAAGGTGACCTGCCTTGTCTCCGTTGGGGTCTTTCAACACCCACTCGATCGAAGAGGTCTTGTACTCCATAACTTGCGTGAATTCGATAGTCCATCGGCTCTCTCGAGTCCACGGTGCAGGCGGCGGAGGCGGGTCGTCGTTGGCGGGGCTGAATGGCATGCGCCAAGTGCAATAACCGCCGCGCTTCTGAATGGCTGTGTCGCCTGGGTCGTACCACTTGTTGATACCGTCATCGCAGCTGACATCGGTGGCAGTGAGCTGAGGTGAGCTGCACTGTCGGGCACAGTCATCAGAGATCTGCCAGGACTTGCCATCTGCCCGGGCATTGGTCTTCCACTTCACCCAGCACCATTCACTGCAGTGATCGACAGGCTTCGAGATGAGAAACTCGATCTCCGAGTCCAGTGCATTCAGAGAGTCCGTAACGCTTGTGTGCAGCACGTAGCCCATTCTGTAGTCCGGAGTGCGGGTAGGGGCCCCAATATCGCAGGAGATGTTGAAGCCGAGGAATTGGTTCCAGCACTGACCCTCGCCAGCCTTGCAGCCATGCTCGTCCCACAAAGTCCAGGACAAGGTCGCGTTGGCAGGGTTTCGCTGGATACCATGCTCTACCAACGCGGTCCACTTGCCATGCGGGTCGATCGTATGGCCTGCATTGCAGGTCGGCGTGGGCGCATACGACATGGTGAGACTCGGGATCGCTGTGATGGTCATCGTGGTGCTCGGAAGTGACAATACCGTAGTGAAGGGAATTGCGGGCTCTCCACTGAAGAAGTTGGTTGGATTCACCGTGGGGCAGGCAGCGGGTTTGCATGGGCCTCGCTTGCAATAAGGGGCACTGTCTGCACCATAGCACAAAGCTGACAAGCAGAACTTGGCGCAAACCACGGCATCGGAACCATCTGGTTTGCAGGACTCCTTGATACAAGTTGCGAAGACAAGATCGCAAGTTGGGCAGTTTGGAGCGCCAGTAGGTGTCGCCCAGACGCTTGACGTGGATGTCGATGATACTAGTGAAGTCGAGGACGTGATACTCGCAAACGTTGCTGTCAATGATATGCTGGAGGAGTTGGAGGTCTGCGTAGGAATCGACGTGGATATCGAAGAGTTGGAAGGTACCTCGTTGTTCCCCTCGTCGTCATCGAGTGAGAGTGGAGCTCGAGTACAGGCAGGAGCCTCAGAAGAGGTTGGCTGCTCATTGTCTCCCTCATCATCATCCAGCGAGAGTGGAGCGCGGGTGCAAGACGGGCCTGGGGTTGATGTCGGATGCTCGTTGTCGCCTTCATCGTTATCCAACACGAGCGGAGTACGGCTGCAGGCTGGGCCATCAGTCGTAGGGGACGGTTGCTCGTTGTCACCTTCGTCGTTGAGAAGATCGAGCGGTGCGCGAGTGCACACCGGACCTTCACTGCTGGAGCTGCTGGTGATACTCGAGCTTGTGGTTGTACTTGTAAAACCGACGAGACCACAGCCAGAAAAAGTAGCCTCGAAAGAGACGCAGGCAGACGTCACGGTCTCTGTCATAGTAAAGCTGATCGATGCAATGGTAGTAGGCTCCACCTTGAGGTTTTCGAAGCACGAAACGATACGCTCGGTGACAGTCGTCTTGTCTTTCTCTTCGCATTCCGGCTTTGGCGTTTGCTTGGGCTTAGGATTGGGTCCCGTCCTTGGGCCACAGCCTCCGGGTCGGGTACATTTAGGTCCACCGCAAATCTCGGGTGGACACCAGTCACAGCCGCCCTCGACATTGCAGTAACCGTCGCAGCCAAGAATACCGCAACCCTCCTCGCCCCAATTATCATCATCGTTTACCGGTGGAGGTGGTGGAGGAGTGACATCCGGTGGATTGTTGTCATTGGGAGGCGTTGGATTGATGGGAGGCGTCGGAGTGGCCTTTGGACACCCACCAACGAGTTTGCAAGGGTCAGGGCCAAAGAGTCCGCCAGGAAGGATAATGGGCAACGGGATATTCAAGTCCACATCTCCGCAATCACCGCCGATCGGCAGTCCCATCCATCCACATCCTGCTCAAAGTTAGCCGAGTTCCAACGTGGACCGAGTCCAAGCTGTAGCTTACCGCATCCAAAAAGCTTGCACTTTTTGTCCTTCTTCTTCTTCTTTTCCTCCTCCTTTTCACCTCTCGTACACTTCTTGCGGAGACAAGGGCACATTGGCCTTTTGAGGGTGACGAGAGTCAGAACGTACCACGCCGCACACTCCTTCTTGCAATCTTTCGGAACGCAACCTTTGTCTTTGTCTGGGAGGCCCCACCACCAAGCAGCAAACCACAGCAGATCTTTTCCGCTTGACGGAATTTCATCTGGATGCTGATCCGGAGGGACGCAGAGCGGCCTGCACCATTCCAACATAAAGCATTCCCGGGGACAGAGATCTGGTTTGAACTCGATAGGCCTTGGCCAACAGTCTACGCACCACTGGTTCTGCAAACATTCTGGAGGAGGATATTCAGGAAGCTCTGGGATAGTCTTGCTCGCAAGCCCATCGCACCACGGAGATTCGCGGCACTTAGGACAAAGGTCGCCAAACAAGCCGGTCGGTATAGGTGTCGCTGATGTACTGGATGTACTTGAGAGCGATGATGGAGTTGTTGAGGTCGTCGACGTCTGTTCTGAGGCTGACGAAGACCCTCCGATACTTGAACTTGCTGGCTGTGATGAGGTTGAAGACACTTGCGAAGTCAGCGCACCGCTCCCAGACTGCGACGGTGAACTCAGCCCAGAGGACGTTGAGTCTAGGGAAGTCGAGCCTCCTGTTGGTGCAGCAGAGGAAGATTCGGCGCTAGTCGGGGCGAAGTCCGATGTTGACACTGGCGCTGAAGACGCTGCGAGAGAGGATTGCATAGACGACTGTACGCCTGAGGTGGAATATGATGCCGATGTCGACCCTGCAGGTGATGACGTTCCAGATTCTGTCGACCAGGGAGCCGATGAGAGTGAAGCGAGCGAGGTCTGTGAAGGATCGACTACGCTTGAGACTTCGGAATATGTAGACGTTGACCCAACAGACGATGCAACTGATGAAGCTGTCGACGAATCTTGAGATGACCATGCTGCAGATGAGCTTGGAACAGATGATGCCGCGGACGAGAAAGCATTGGTCGATGATAGCGATGCTGACGGCTCTGTGGTGAGTGAGCCGGTGGAAGAGACACTTGGGATTACTGTTGTAGCTCCATCAGACGATTGAAATCCGGACGTGAATGAGGATGTGGGTACATCTGTCGATGTCTGCACAGCTTCAGATGACTGAACCCCGGATGCGAGCGACGAGGTATATTGAGATGCCGTGGACATATCTTGCGACGACTGAACAGTCTGCGAGATTGAAGACGCTGGTGAAGACCATGGAGCAGACTCTGACACAGCAGTGCTTGGAGATATGATCTCGGCTGTTGAAGTGCTTGGAGATATGATCTCGGCTGTTGAAGTGCTTGGAGATATGATCTCGGCTGTTGAGGATGCGATCTGTGATGACTGCGCTGATGTCCAAGCCGAGGAAGCATCCGAAGACCACGGTGTAGTCTCTGATGCAGCTGAAGAGCCGATGGAAGAAACGACCTGTGACGATTGCGCCGGCGGCGGTAAAGAAGTCTCGGACGACCATGTCACAGAGCCGGACACAGAAGAGACGACTGGCGTCGATGACGATAAATCAGGTGTCGAAGATATAGGTGCCGAAGCCGATGGCTCAGGTGTCCACGATGCCGGCGCCGATGATGCAGGCACCGAAGGAGCAACCGAAACACCAGGAGCAGAAGGCACAGGCACAGCGGAGCTTGACTGAGGAGCCCCAGGGCCGCCTGGGCCGCCACCACAGGAAGCATAGTCGATAGCCCACAGCGCCGTACCGCCGAGACAGCGGTCATTGGCGAGCTCCGTCTTCAGTCCTAGAGTCTCTTTGTCGTCGTATCCAACCCACTGGCCGTCGAAGATGATCTGCTTGACACCTGCGCCATCCTTGATGATCTCAGGCTGCAGATTCTTCTGGCCGATGAGGCGCTGAATTTCGCACTGCGAAAGTATGCCTGCGAGCTCGGTGCATTCGCCAGCCTGAGAGGGTCCGTTCCATGTGCATCCGAGGTGTGTGCAGCCCGCGTCAGCGAGGGTGTATCCACGGCCATAGTTGGCAACGCCAAGATTGACCTTTGCGGGAGTCACATCGTTGAACCAGAGGAGGTCGAGAGCGGTGTCAATCTCCTTGAGATCGGTGTGCGGCTTGATGAGAGGACCGAGGCCAGGAATCGATGCATCCCAAGGCTATTATATGTCAGTAGAGGGGTTGGATTGCTGTAGTTAGACACTTACACCATGAAGATCATAGGCGAGGATGTTAAGGAAGTCCACATTTGACTCGAGCGACTTGGGGTCAAGGTTCTTCAAATACTCATACTGTGCTGGCACGACGACTGACAGACCGCGAGAACCAAGAGCTGCACGCAACTCCTTCATGAGATCAATCTGGTTCTGCTTGTCAATGGCTGGATTGCCACCACGAGTCTCAGCACCCGGCCACTCCCAGTCAATATCAATACCCTGGAAGCTCCACTTGTCGAGGAACTTGGAGAGTGAGGCAATGAAGGCGTCGCGGTTGGTCTTGCTGCTGGCCATTTGAGACCAAGTGTAGCGCGTGGCACCAGCGTCAGAGAACTCCCATCCGCCTGGATACTGTCAGTATGTTCAAGTGAGCTGAATCGAAAGACTTACCAATGCCAATCCACTTCTGGGACCCATCCTTGAGAGCGAAGAAGTCTGCGTACAGCTTCTCGTCATCGGGGTGCATAGGTGAAACCGCGAATGTCACTGGGTCGATTGTAGCAAAAGAGAAGATCAGGTGCGTCAAGCCGGTAGTGTCAATGTTGGCAGGCCAGACCTTGTCACAAGGTCGGCGACGAGTGTTCCTACATCACGTCAACAACGAACGATGACCTGTGAGCTCGATGTACTTACCAACCCTCGTAGTAGGCAATCTTTCGCGAAGCCGTACCGCTACCTGTTCCACAAGAAGGTTGCGCGAGTGACTTCACAGTACCGCACTTGCCAAAGCCCTTCTGACACGGAGTGCTCTGACCAGACGCAGTCTCATCACGACAGAACGCCTCGCTTGCGCCGCAGAACCCAAAGTGCGAGCAGCAGACGTTAAGCGGGCAGGCCTGTCCACCGTTCTTACTGTTCACACCACATGGAGCCTTGGCATCGCAAGTGGCTACGCAAGACTCCTTGCAATGCTCGTCGCGGTAGCCGCATTGTCCTAGCGTTTTCAATGATACAGCGTAGTGAGATAGTAGAAGAAGTACGTACCTTGAGAGTTGCAGCAGCTACCGTCGGGGCAGGGGTTGGCGGCGCTACACTGGAGGTTGGTACCACCAAAGGCCTTGACGCTGCCGTCGGTCTGGCTGCGGATGTACTGCTCCTCGATGTCGAGTACAGGAAGCACACCGTCGAGGTTGTGGCGCGGGGCACCGAAGAGAGCGAGATCAGAATCGCCGGCAGAAGGTGAGCTGCAAGCAGCCAGCCCTATGAAGGCGGAGGCGATGAAGGACAGCCGCATGATGTGCACATGCACTGTCAGCGGAAAAAACTGCGAGTGCGCGCACTACTCTGAGGAATGCGGGTGAGCTCAGCCGTATGCGGTTGGTGGTGAGAAGGAGAGCAAGCTGAGCGAGGTGGAATGAACTTCTAAGCGCGGCGGACCCTGCAAAAGTGGGGCAGTGGGTTTAGTGAAGGTCGGGTGTGAGGATGCACTGCCCTGAGGGGATTGATGACGCTAGGGCTCAGATATCCCCGATGTCGGGATAGCTTCACCTAAACTATGCCATGCTCGAGGTTTGTATAAACGGGTGCTCAAACTCGTACCCTCAAGCGGTGACAAGGCATGAGGTACAATGCGTAAACGCTTTCCTAGAACGGACAGACGCACAGTGTACGACCCCTTCGCATTGCGGAAGGTCAGTCATCCTGAGAATTCCAAGACATATGAGTCCGGCCTGAGCAAACGTAATCACATGCTCTGACCTATTCCAGACAGGTCTACGTAGCTCACTGGTTTGTCTCGTCGCAGAAGCTTGCAATCCCGACAGAACCTGACAAGACATGCTCGATCATTACAGTTTCAAGTTTCAATAATGAACAATGCACTGATAAATGGATCAACTATCACCCCAGCTCTTGCATTGTGCATCGAGTGAGTACTCGCGAAGATCAAACACAGGTGAAGATCGTACGCCGAGAACCCTAATCAACTGTTTGTCGCCGATAAACAAGATGCAACGACTCATAAGAGACGTGAAGTCACCCCACCTGCCGCAAGATCATCGCACTAGACCGCGCTAGTAGCACCGGATAGCTCCTGCCATTCGACACTGGGAGATATCACCGTCCATAGTGACGTCTAGTACTAACATCGCGACATCCACGTATTGCGGTACGATTCTCGAGTCGCAGACTACGTACCCACCATCAACCTCAAGCCCCCAGCCCATCCATCTCAACATACACCCTCATCTCCTTCTCCACCATAACCCCATACAACCGCCCCAACTCCTCATCCCCGAACACCTCTCCCGCCTCCCCAAAAGCCAGCATCACGAAATCCTTACACCACGGCAGCGCCTTCAGTCCGCGGTAGAACGTCTCCCGGACCCGTTCACGCGCTTCCTCAACCCCTATCTCGAACTTATTCTTCTTTCCATCCCTGCGTGGTCGCTTATCCGGCCGCAGACGCTGTTCGGCGCGAAACCGCTCGAGTTCGAAACGCAGATACATCTCCCACAGCGCTGGGCAGTGGGCGCCCGCGGCGTCGGGGTGAGTAGCCCGCTTGTACAGCGCGCGGCGGGAGTGGTGTGTTGAGCCTGCGACTTCGCCTTTCAGGCTCTCGTGGTGGATCGCGAAAGCCCAGGTTGTGACGCTCGAGCTCGACGAGGTATTAAGGACGCGCAGCATGTTACCGCGCAGGCGGTCGTCGATGGAAAAGCGCGCCTCGTTTGCGGCGTACACGGAGAGGAGGATCGTGTTGTCGGGGAATGTGGCGATGAGGGGCTCGAGAGCGTCACGGAGGAGCGCGGGTTTTACGATGGAGGTGTGGGTGACGTGGTAGGCGAGCAGACGAGCTATGGCCTGGGCGTGGGTTTCTGCGGGGACCGAGGAGGTGAGCTTGTGCGATGCGAACCAGGCGGTGAGGTTGCTGTGGGCTACCAGAGCGGCGCTTATAGTGCTTTTACCGGATAGGTAGGCGAGCAGTGCAAGGTGATTAGCGTTTAGGACTGCGTGTGCGTAGTTCTGGCTCAGAAGCCCCTCTTCGAGTGAGGCTTGGAACGCGGCACGAGCTGTCTCAATGGAGGCAGATGCAGACTGCTCAGAGAATGACCCGCCATGGTATTGCACCAACCGCCGGAGAGCCTCCACCTTGTCGTCGTCTTGTAATGCCTGCCAAACGTAGCTCTCCAAAAGTTCGAGGCGATCTACGGAGGCAGATTTGATGTTGAGTGCGGCAGAAAAGATTTGAACCGCCTTTGTAGAGTTACTGCGCTGCCCTTCAGCAGTCCCGTACATGTTGTAGAGTCGGACGCTGGAGGGTCGTTCTTTGAGCAGTCGTTTTGCGCTTTTAGTAACGTCTGAAGGAAAGTGCCTTGACTCGAAAGCTAGCAGGTACTCACCAACGCACTCGCTGTCTGGAATATTTGTGACCAATAACTTCAGGGTGGTCCTGACGAACTCCGGACTGAGCCTGGAGCTGTCGAGTGAGAATGTCTGTTGCACCAACAGATCCCTTGTCATCCGGAATCTGGCGATTGGGTTTTGACAGTATCGTGAGAGTGCTTCCTCGTATTGAAGACTTTCCGATCCCATCTCTGCTGCAGTCTCAAAGGAAGAAGTCCTGCTTTGCAAGAACGAATCGGTCCTCCAAGGGCCAATTTCACTCTGCTGAATCATTGCAGGAAGCCCGCAGAAGCACAAGAATGCATCAATCTGTGTATCCGCCGAGAGCTCAGGAAAGTCACCGACATAATCCTTCAGATCAGAGAAGAAGACTGTGTGGAATGGGTCATCTTCGCCCACCTCATCTGTGGAGCGGCCAGGATACCGAAGTTTGTTGATGGAGTCAAGCTCACGTTTTCGAAAGTCCTCGAGTGAAGACCTTGAAGCAGATGTATCGAGCGTGATAGAACACACCGGCGGCACTGCATCGTCAATCGATGTATGTCTCCAGCCTTTGCAATCTGTCTCGCCAATACGAGGTGCCTCGCTCTCCCAAAACTCTTCGAATTGCTTTGACTTTTCAGCGGCAAGGTTCTGGGGAGCCAGCAGGCTGAACTCGAGTACGGCTTGCCAGATGGCCAATGCAAGCTCCTGGTACCCAGCTTGCTGGATCATCGTTGTGAGACGCACAATGAGATGCAGCCTAGCTTCTGCTGTAGCTGTCTGATCTCCCGAGTTCACCGATCGCAGTGCCTCGAGAGCATTTGAGAAGACAGCGCGACATTCTTCATACTTGAACCTCGAGAATGTCGATTGAACGAAGTCGATATATCTGGACCACAGTTTTACACTGTGAGGATATCGCTTGAGCACATCTTGCCAATTCCCTGCCACTTTCGCATCATCCCAATGTCTCTGCGCTTCATGTAAGAGTCCGGATTGGAGTTCGATCTGATTCGTTATGTTGTCGCCGATCTTGCGCAAAGCTTCTTCGTATGTTGAGATGCGCACATCAGCAAGGTTTTGTCGATCGGCCGCTGAGAGCTCAGAGATCGCCCGATCCAGCTTCATCATCGATTCCTGATGTTCGACGAGGTCCAGCCAAGCCTGCAGGTTTCCTGGATCATCTCGAGTCTCTCGAATGAGCCTGGAATTCTTCTGCGTAATTTCAGAGCTGGCGATTGCAGCCTCCGTGTCTGACTCGTAGTAGGTATCCGCGTCGTCAACTTTATTGGGGTCCGGCTTTTCGTCAATGCCACGATAGTCTGCGCGTGGCGCATCATCCTCGCTGTCACTGCCAGGAGTTCGCTTCCGTTTGCCGGTGCCTGACAGCGCAATGAAGTCACGACTTGCGTCGGCATAGTGGTCCTCTGCAATCTTAATAAGCCGCAGAGTACGGTTGCTGTCTCTTGCTGCGGACTTGTCGGTGAGCATCCGCTTTTGACGCCGACGTACAAGAGGTAAGATGTAGATTTTCTTTTCAGTCGAGTATTCGCGGTCGATCTTCTGGCCGGGCAGCCCAAGCACATTGCCGAAGCCACTGCGTCGATAGCTTGGTATGTCGTAGCGGTTCAGCGTCCCGTACTTGACGATGTCGAGATCCCCGCGGCGGTCGCTGAAATAGGCCCTTTTCGAAGATGCATCTCGGTCATGCTCCCGCTGTTCGCGTGGCGGTGTTCTCCTTCGATCCTCCCGCGGCTTCTCCCTCGATGAACTGTGTTTTCTATGCTCCTTCTCTTCGCGGCGAGATTCAACCGACAGAGGCTGCTCGGGTACCTTGGGCTTCGGCCGGAAGCTGGCAAACTTTGGAGCGCTGGAGCTCATGCTGGCACTGCACCGCGCTGAGGGCTGAGGGTTGCCGTAGATGCACCGCTCAGATGATGTTGGCGAGAGGATGGGAACGTGGTCGCCAAGACATTACTCCGGTGATTTCAAGGCTCACGATTCCGTATTATCGACGGCTGCATTGGCCTGTTTATCCAGCATTGTGTTGGCAGTGGAGGTTGCTACACGTCACGTGTCGATAGATGCCTGGCTGCGCTATTGGTGTTAGTGGCGCACCGTAAAATGTTCGGCGTCTGTGCGGCCCAGTGAAATCTTGGCCGATGCATGGATCTTCATGGCGTAGAGAAATTTTGGGCTTTGCGACGCAGACCAACCAGCCCGCCACGACAATAATCCACGCCGTCCTGCTGCGTCCGATGGCTGTTGGGATCCCGCATATCTCCTCATAAGCCCGTAGAAGAACCAATCACCACAAAATGGCGACAGCGCTCCAGAAGCAGCTTGCAGCCATCGCGGCTACGAGCACCCACCAGCTCGACCTTAAGGCACAAAAGTCGGCGCACGGCAAGTCGCTGCTGTTCGAATCCAAGGTCGCCGGGTCGCAATCTTTCGAAAACCTCTATCTCATATGCCATGACGGCTTTCGGGAGCTATGCGCGCTCGATGCCCGCTTCCGCCAATTCGCGGGCAACCTATTTAGCGAGCAGAGCAAAGAGGAGGACCGCCTGCAGATGACCGATGCCGAGAACAAGAAGCTGAACACAGTTTTGGAGGCCTTCATTACATTAGTCGGCCCGCGCCTGCTGCTGAAGCCCGCCCAGAAGGCTCTGGAGTGGCTTGTGCGAAGATTCAAGTACGTGCCATAGAAGCTCTGGCTGCGCGCAATCGCTGCGAGAGCATTAATACTGCGACTTCTGGAAACAACAGCTGACAACTGCATAGAGCGCACGAGTACAACACCGAGACCCTCGTCTTCACATACCTTCCCTACCACCAGACACCGCAGTTCGTGGCGCTGCTCTCGATCCTCCCCGCGCAGCCGCGACATGCGCTGCGTTTCCTCTTCCCGTACATCCAAGCAAAGACGAACCCGCCGCGACAGACGATTGTGTATACCGCAATCAACACCCCCGAGTTCTTCAACGCCTTCCAGTCGTACACCGTCCGCGTACTTGCAGCCGGCCACGAGTCGACACACCTGCTCAACTTCTGGGCGACCGTCACATATCAGGCGATCCATGGCATTTTCAACAGCGGCACATCTGGGAGGAGGGAGATCCAAGCGCAGAAGACGGAGGAGGTGTTGCTTCGCATCGTCCCGGTGCTGAACAGCGCCATGCGGGCTGTAAATGGGCCAGAGGTCGTTGTTGCCTGCTACCTGATCATACACGCTCTCGCAACGAACGCCCAGGTTGGAGATAAGGTACTGGACTCCCTGATGGAGGCTATGGTCATGGCACAGGGCCCCGACTCGCTAGACCAGTGCATACTGGTGCTGGCTACACTTGCTGAGCAGCGCTCGAGCGCACAGCTGTCAAATGCGGTCACAAAGAGGCTTTTGAGAATACCGCAGCTGTCGAGCTCGCTGACAGCCGCCGCGGCGCAATGCTCTGTTGGACGTCTTGCGCTCGGCTGCGCTCTGGGCGCCCTGAGCAGTTCCAGTCGCTCAGATGAGAAGCGTGCTCTGTTCACAGAGATTACCGAGTCGAAACTCCTCACCGCACCGCAAACACACATCGTGCTATCGACACTCCTGCGGTCTATAAGCGACAGCGCGTCCGGCTCAGAAGAGCACGGTCAGCTTCTCGAGCTCGCCGCGAAGCTCTCCGAGGATCGCCTTTTGGCCCCCAAGCTGCAGATTGCCGCCAAGGAGAACGACATCGATCTGGAGTCTCTTGGCCTTTCCATTGATCAGACCATCGAGGATGTACAGGCAATCTCGTTCGAGTCGGACGACGAAGAGATGGCCGATGCCGACGAAACCACCGTCCCATCAACAATACCGGTCCCGAGCTTCAAGGCCAGCAGTTTCCTGGCTCTGACCGCCTCGAAAGACTTCAACGCTGTCGCAGCCGCATTCGAGCAAGCAGTGTCATCGAACCAGACGGCACGGTTCCTGGCGTCTCCTGACCTTGAGCAGAAAGACGCCGACAAATCGAACGTGTACCTTACATTCTTGATCCGCATATGGTCAACATCGCGATCTGCTCCCGTCCGGATCGCCGCTCTCCGCGCTGCCGCATCCACCATTAAGCGCACCGCAGCAGTTGTAGACTTCCAGAACGTCGTCCCCTATCTTCTCCATGCGCTCTGCGACACCTCATCCATTGTGCGCCGATCTGCTGCGGCGTGCGTTGCCGCGCTTTCCAAGCGAACAGTCTCCAAGACACCGAAGACTTGGGGCGCTGAGCTGTATGGGAAGGGTGCTGGAACTGTCGCGGAGCTGAAGGCCGACGATGCTGCCGTTTTCCTGACCTCTGTACTCAGCCCTGTGCTCGAAGAATGCGTGATGGACTCGAAGTTCGTAATCCCAGGTGTCAGAGATGCTCTGGAAGGATCTCAATCAACAAAGTCCAAGCAAGCCGTCAAGGCGCCGGTCCGTACGTCTGTCCTCAGCTTTTTGGGTAGCCACGTAGCCGCCAGCCCTCTCCTGAAATTCAGGATCAACGTGCTGCCGGTGTTCAACTTCTCAGGCAAAGTCTCCGCCAGCGTCCGTGGCGATACGATCGTTCCACTTGTGCAGGAGTGGTGCACACTTGCAGCATCGCAGGTCGCTACAAGGTGCGCAGATGAGCAAGTCTCGGTCGAGGATGCAGACAAGGGACACCTCAACGCTCTGGTCGTCAGGGAAGCCAAGAGCACACAGCTGCTGGGTGAAGTCATTGCAGGATCCCTCAACAAGGAGCGTGTTGCGTTGATCGGTGCTGCTTTTGACCAAATCAATGCGTTCTGGCCCTCCCTCAAGGGCGATGCCAGGCTTGCACTGGCCCCGACTCTGCTGGACCTGTCACTGAAGGAGAGCATCGAGCCTTTTGACCAGCTTTGCCGCGAGCGCGCCCTCGAGACTCTGCGCAATGTCAAGCTCGACTCTGCTACACTCATCACTTTCCTCGACAGCGTCCCTTCAGCACTGCAAATGCCTGAGGGACCACCCACCAAGAAGAGGAGACGGACCAGCCGCAACGAGATGGCACGAGTGGATGTCTCATCCGCAGACGAGTTGCAACGTCTGCTGAGACGCCTCACCCTGGTTCTGGAGTTGATCGAAGGCTCCAACCCCGGGTCGCACCCCGAGCTGTTCAGGAGTCTGTTCAACGTCTTCGGTGACCTACAGCCACTCAAGCAGCAGTCTGGTTCCGAGCTGGTCTACCTTCAGAGCATGATCCTCGGCGCACTGACACCCATGGTCAACTTCTTCAAGGAGCACCCCGAGACAACAGAATATCAGTCAGCAGTCCGAGCCGACCTGCTTATCGATGCCATCCGACACTCCACAAGCCCACAGGTCCAGAACAGCGCGCTCTTGCTGATCTCCAACCTCGCGACATGGGTCCCGGATCTGATCCTCCACAATCTGATGCCGATTTTCACATTCATCGGTTCGACTCTGCTCCGCCAGCAGGACGACTACTCAGCCCAGGTTGTCGACAAGACGATCTCGCGTGTTGTGCCGCAATTGGCCGCGTCGCTGCGCGCAAAGCACAAGAACTTCCTGACTGGTGTGTCAGACTTGTTGCTGAGCTTTACTGCCGCCTTCGAGCACATTCCCCTGCACCGAAGACTCAAGCTGTTCTCGGAACTTGCCCGCACGCTTGGTCCTGAGGATTCTCTGTCTGCGATCATCGCCCTCCTTGCGGACCGGTACCACAACACCAAGACGCAGCGCAGGTTCTCGACCGAGCTGCTGCTTGTCTTCGACCCCATCCACACATTCGATGCCATCAAGGGCTATCTCGACCTTGTAGCGGATGCTGCTGGGCCGAAGCGCAAGGTCTCGGATACATTGTTCGGCTTGAACGAGAAGAAGCCCGCTGAAGTCGAGTCCGCTATTCAGAACCTGTTGGTGTGCCTCGCAGACCTCGCAGCTGATGAGAGACTTCGCGCACACGTCACCAGGGCGTTCCGTCGCAAGTCTGACAACAGCAAACCTCGCGATGTCTTCGCCAGCATTGTTGAGGTCACAATCCAGATCTCGAAGCAGGTCGCATCCACGCCCAAGCTCTACGAGGGCTGCAGTCGCGTCCTGGCGCGGGCCCTGGACTTACTCCCGTCTGCTGAGCTTGTCAAGTCGGCCGAGCTGCTGCTCGCCAAGGCCGATGCCCAAGTGCAGGTCGCCGCGATCAAGTCTGTTCAGGTACGAGCTGGTTCGGTCGTTCAGAACGACAGGCAGTCAGTCGAGGCACTGGTCGCGTTCTTGCCTAGCGTCGAGAACATCCTACAGCAGTCAAAGTCTCTCGACGCCAAAATCATCTCCGTCAGCTGTATCGACAGCATCGTGGAGCGGTTCGGCAAGAAGGATACTTCTGCCGTCGCTTCAGTCGCACAGACCATTGCTGGCCCGCAGTCGCTGAAGCACAGCGACGACAGGCTCCGTGTCCTTTCCCTGCTGTGTCTTACCTCAATCGTGGATGTGCTGGAGGACGAGTTCATCTCCATCCTGCCATCTGTGCTGCCGATCGCGTTCGACTACCTCTCCAAGGCTATTGACGAGGAGAATGCCGGACTGCACAACGCTGTCTACACCCTCATCTCAGACATCGTCGAGCGACTCGGATACGTGTTCTCGCGGGAGTACCTCGAGACAGCTCTGCGGTTATCGCACAGATCCGCTGCTGCTGATCTCGAGGATGCCTGCGACGAGAGCCGCCGTGGTTTCTACCAGAGTGTCTCCGAGCACCTCAGCGCACAGGAGGTCTTTGCTGCCATTCAATCCACATGGCCGCACGCCGTTTCTCAAGGCTTTGACGCCTCGCTGGAACACCTCGAGTTGCTCCGCTCCGCCGTTGATGTTCAGACCAAGGCCAAGCTTATCAAGTCCAGCTCAACGCTGTTCAATCTGGTTCTCTCCAGCTTCAACCTGCGAACAGCGATTGGCTTGCAGAAGGACGCAGAATACGATGAGGAAGAGGTTGAGCAACTCGAGAACACTCTCGTCGAGTCGGTGGTCGCCATGGTACTGAAGCTCAACGACGCTACGTTCCGCCCCTTCTTCGTCCAGCTCGTCGACCAGGAAGGCCCTGTCAGTGCACAGCCGGAGCGCGCCATCACATTCTACCGTTTCCTCGCCGCCTTCTTCGACAAGTTCAAGGTATGTCCTCGTCACTCCATCACATCTACACAGCTAACATCACCAGTCCATCGTCACAACCTACTCCAGCTACATCATCGAACACGTTGCGAGCTTGCTCGGCCAGCTGATCAGGGAAGACGCAAACCCCACCCTCCGCAGCGCCGTCCTCGCCTCGCTCCAGAAAACCTTCCAACACGACCAGGACGGCTTCTGGCAAGCCCCCTCGCACTACAGCGCCATCATGGCGCCCCTGCTCAAACACCTCACCCTCCCCATCCAGGACACCGTCACAACCGACGTCATCCCCACCATCACCGAGCTCGCGGCTGCCTCCGCCTCGTCGCTCGACAACCACCGCGAGATGAACGCCGTGCTGCTCAAGTCCATGCGCGCCGAGGAAGCGCACACGCGCCTCGCAACCGTGCTGTGCGAGCAGAGCCTGACCAAGCGGCTGGGCGAGGAGTGGCTGGGCCTGTTGCCCGAGATGCTGCCGTTTATCAGCGAGTTGCGGGAGGACGACGACGAGCTGGTGGAGCGCGAGACGCAGAGGTGGATTTCGTCTGTGGAGGAGATTCTGGGCGAGGATTTGGAGGGGATGCTGCAGTAAGGCGGTAGTGTTGCTGTGAAAAGCGGTTGTGTTGATGCATTTTCTGGCGTAGATAGTGCGGTGGGTATATTCCCAATTTCAGATGTTTTTATACAAGATGTTGTGTGACTTTGTGACTGTGCATAGCGGTATGTAAAAGGACCGGTAGCGGCTGCAGAGGTGACGGAAAGCGCGTGCGCTAGGTAGGTTAGCGTTTGTCGTCTTGCTTTATCTTCAGCGCACATATCCCACAATTGATCGGCTGAATCTCGTCTGCGTCAATTCCCGAGTCTGTTTGTGTGTATTGATGTCGACCCCTCATCCGTTAGTCATCAATGCCATTGTTTATCCCTTTGCATCTTGGCCGACATTTTCATCACAAGTCTCCCGTCTTATTCTAGATCCCCTCTCGTCAAACATCTTATGGACTCTCATCGAACAGCCATTGTGAGCCATTGGCAATCAACTCTCTCGTCACAGCTTCAATTCAACCAGAGTGTGGCATGCTCTGTCTGTCTCAGACTCCAATATTTTCTCAGTCCCTTTTAACCTTACGCCATGTGTCATTTCATTGTAACTACCCACTGTTTCCCTGAATCTCGCGGTTCAATGCAGTGCTTCCATGCACAACACCAGCGTCACCGCTGTACTCTTGTCCGCACTCGCCACTCCCCATCGTTATGATTCGGCTGAGCCTCGCTTCTGCTCCCGTCTGACGATACCTCCGTCATCTCTCTCTGCATCCGCATCCTGATCTTTCCAACCGTCAGCACTTCGTCGTGCTGTGTCAGCGGCTCTTCGCCTGATCGTGGGCGCCGCGCCACTAGGTCTCTGACGAATGCAAGCGCCGTCTGTATGGCGCGCAGAAGAGGGTACAGAGTCGGCACCGTGCCGCACACGACCAGGAGGAAGAGCTCGGCGGTGACCCACGCGAAGATGTCGTACGTCGCCCACGTCTGGTCGGTGCGGTTACCAAGCTCAGCCAGGTACTGGGTCTTGATGCCCGAGCAGATCGAGGTGAGGATGTTCAGGCCGAAGACGATGCACAGCTGGATGCGCTGCAGCATGCTGATACGCAGCCGCGAGAAGATGCTGAGCGGGATGATGGCGAGGCTGGCATCGGCGAAGGTAAAGAACGCTGGCAGTGTGAGAATCGGTAGCGAGACACTCAGGGCTGACTTACCGCCAGTGAAGATGCCAAAGCCCGCCATGACCTCGGGATCCATGCACGTTCCCTCCACCCGCAGGTCCCACAGACGGCTCGGCGGACTGCACTGCAGGAACGTGAGCAGCGAGCACGCGACGGCGACACAGCTCGTCAGCACGACAGTCACCGTCCAGATGTAGATGCGCTGCCACTTCCAGCCGCCGTCGCGCATGATGTGCAGGAGCAGCGCGGAGATGGAGATCTTGCCGGACGCGACGCCAATGATGCCGAAGATCTGCGACGACCAATTCAGCAGAATCACGCGTGTGAGGTTGTCCACGCCGCGCTCCTGGACATCCCAGATGTGCATGCAGCCGCCGCGGTTCGCGTACAGCGTCAGCACCGTGGACCAGCCCACGAAGCACGCCTCGGGTCGTCAGCTTTGTCGCACCAAACAGCCGCGCACATACCCAGGTCGTCCCCATGAAGATGTCGTCCCAGCCGATCTGCGCCCGGCGCGCGCGGAAGTAAAAGCGCAGAATCACCGTCGCCAGCGACAGCGCGGTCAGCACCCACATCATGACGATGAGGGCGGGCCCGCGGTCGGGAACCGGGCCATCCCGTTGACTAACGCGGTTCATCGTCTCCACTGCCAAACCTCAGCCGGCAGCCATGAGTCAAGTGGTGTGGAGGGTGAGTGAGCGCTCGCGGCGCGCTGGGTCTGCCTGGCTTTTACCGCTGGGCTGCGACACGAGGCCGACCCGCCGTGACGGTTCATCACGAGCATCGTCGCCTTGTTTGGTCCGGATGGCTGCACCCGCGAGCCACAGGTGTTGGGTCAGCAACGGCTCGCACCGCCCAAACCATCCGCGTGCAGGCGCCGCCTTGCTCATTGGAGCGATAGCACGCATGGGGCCTCCCGCGTGCTATTCCAGGGCCTCCCCTCGTCGCCCCGCCGCACCCGAGCTCCTGGCCTGTGTGACACTTTGCGCAACCTCCAAGATGACGTCGCAACCCGATCCCTACGCGCTGCTTGCGCAGCTGCAGCTCCTCGCCGCGGATCCCAAATCCTTCTTCGCCGACGATGCCCAGAAACGCGCGTTCCAGACGCTGGCCCGCCAGGCCGCCGCCGCAGTCGAGGAGCCCTTCGAAACCATGCAGCGCCTGGTGTACGGCGTGAGTGCCGCCTGCGCCGCTGCTCCACGGACTGACACGCACAGCCGCTCCCGCTGGTGACGGCGCGCATAGCACAGGACCGGGGCATCTTCCGCGCGCTTGCGGACAGCGACGGCGGAGCACAGCTCGATGATATCGCGAAAACCACGGGCCTGCCCGCGGGCGTCCTCGAGTCGCTCCTCGACTACCTCTGCACGCAGGACATGGCCGCCGCCGCGCCCGGGGGCCTCTACACCGCCACGCCGCTGACCCACATGCTGCTGGCGCCCCTCTTCGCCGACGCCGTCACCCACTTGTGCGTCCCCCCTCCCCGCCCACACATGTATACACAGTGCTAACCCCGCAGCCACGACAACTGCGCCCCCGCCTTCCTCGCCCTAAACCAGGTCCTCAGCACCCCCGGCGCCAACAAAACAGCCTTCCAAACAGGCCACCACACGCCCGACGACTTCTACACGTGGATGGAAACGCACCCCGTGCAGCAAGGCGCGTTCCACCGGTTCATGGAAGCCCAGTTTGCCAGTCTGCCGTCGTGGCTGGACGTTGTGCCGTTCGCGGAGGTGGTGGCGGGCGCGGGGGAGGAGGAGGTTGTGTTTGTTGATGTGGGGGGCGGGAACGGATCGCAGTGCGCGGCGCTGCGGCGCGCGGTGCCGGAGCTGCGCGGGCGGATGATTCTGCAGGATCGCAAGGCGGTGCTGGGGAGTGCGCTTGAGGTGCCGGGGGTGGAGAAGATGGAGCATGATTTTATGAGGGAGCAGCCTGTGCGCGGTAAGATTCACCCTTTCATTCCATCGCCCTTGATCACTCCCGGGTTTCACGTTTGATATCGCGAGTGAGATCACGTTTGATATCACGAGAGATCACCCGTTGATAAACCCGTTGATGAACCAAACTTACAACCCCCGCAGACGCACGCGCCTACTACCTCCGCCAGATCCTGCACAACCACCCGGACGACACCTGCATCCACATTCTGCAGATGCACCTCCCCGCGCTGCTGAACCCGGCGAGTCGTCTGTACATCGACGACAAGGTGCTTCCGGATGTGAAGGCCGGTGCCTCTGCTTCTGATCCCCCTGGCCCCTCTGTCTCCAGCCCCTCTAGCTCAGGCAATGGTACTGGCTTAAACTCTGCATCTGCCTCCGCCTCTGCCTCCGCCTCCAGCACCGAATACACCGCCGCCCTCAGCCTAGCGATGAAAGCCATGTTCGACGCGCAGGAGCGGCGCGAGTCCCACTGGCGCTGGCTGGTGGACCAGGCGGGGATGGAGGTTGTGGAGATACGGCGGTTTAGCGAGTTTTTTGATAGTGTGATTGTGTTGAAGAGGAGAGTCCAGGATCAGTGGCGGTAGACAATCCTTGAATATATGACGCGGAAGGAGCAGTGTGGGTGCAAGGAGCAGTGTGGAATGAATAGGTGATTCGATGCTATTCGACTTTTAAACTCCGCACCGCGCAATGCCAGCGCCGATTTTGTGTTCAGGAAAGAGATGCACGTGTGCGTGTATTGTCTTTCAAACCCCCGCACTCTCCACATCCGCCTGCTCCCCCCCAACCAGCGCCTCGAGCCTATCCACCACACTGCCCTTCCCCTTCTCCTCCCCCCGCTCCACCTCCGCCCTCAACGGACTCCCCGGCGCCCTAGGACTCCCCCCCTCGACCTTTGGCCGAAACGGCACCGGCGTCCCCGGCCTTGACGCCAGAAACTACTTCTTATTAGCTAATTCTTCCAAATCGCCTCGCGGTCATGGACCCATACCGAGCTAGCCGCACTCAGCAGCGCGACGAGACTCGCCTGCACGACGTCGTGGTGCACACCCACGCCCCACACCTTCTCGGTGCCCCCCGCGACAACACAGCCGATGTATGTCGCCGCCTTGGCGTCCTTGTTGGACCCGATCGTGTGCTCCGTGTAGTCGACGACGTCGAGCTCGATGCCGAGACCGCGCAGGGCGTCGGCGAGCGAGGAAATCGCGCCGTTGCCGCGCCCCGAGATCGCGTGCTCGGTGCCGTCGATGTCCAGCACGCCGCGGAACACGCGGCGCAGGTTGCTCGTCTTGTGTGTTTTGCCGGGCGCGGGGGGCTCGGGGGTCGCGCTGCGGTCGGCGCGGATGTCGTAGTCGATGAGGGCGAAGCGCGGGTTGCGGCGGAGGTGGTACGCGTCCTCGAACAGCGTTGTGATCTCTGTCGGCAGCAGCTCGCGGCCCAGTTTGTCCGTCTCGCGCTGCACGATCTTGCTGAAGGCGATTTGCAGGCCGCGCGGCAGGTCGAGTTCCAGCTGTCGCTGGATGATCCAGGCCACGCCGCCTTTGCCCGATTGCGAGTTGACGCGGATGATGGCTTCGTAGGTGCGGCCGATGTCCTGGGGGTCGAGGGGGAGGTAGGGGATCTGCCAGGGGGAGTCGCTTGTGGCGCCCTCTTGCTTGCGCTTCTGGAAGCCCTTTTTGATGGCGTCCTGGTGGGAGCCGGAGAAGGCGCAGACGACCAGCTGGCCGCCGTAGGGGGCGCGCGGGTGGATGGGGATCTTGTTACACGTCTCGACCATGTCGATGATAGACTTGAGGTCGGAGAAGTCGATGTTGGGGTGGATGCCCTGGGTGTACAGGTTCAGGCCCAGGGTCACGAGGTCGACGTTGCCGGTGCGCTCGCCGTTGCCGAACAGCGTGCCCTCGACGCGGTCGGCGCCGGCCATCTGCGCGAGCTCGGCGGCGGCCACGGCGCAGCCGCGGTCGTTGTGCGGGTGCAGCGACACGGAGACCTTCTCGCGCTCGGAGATGTTGCGGCAGAAGAACTCGATCTGGTCGGCGTACACGTTGGGCGTGGCGACCTCGACAGTCGCGGGCAGGTTGAAGATGATGGGGTCCTCGGCGGTGGGCTCCCAGGCGGCCTTGACGGCCTCGCACACCTGCAGGGCAAACTCGGGCTTCGAGTCGGAGAAGCACTCGGGCGAGAACTCGTAGTTCCAGCGGGTGCCGGCCTGGGCCGGGTCGTCCTTTGTGATGGAGCGGGCGTACTTGGTGCACTCGACGGCGAGGGCGAGGGTGTCGGCGTCCTCCATGTTGAAGACAATCTGCTGGAAGCAGGGGCTCGTGGCGAGGTACAGGTGCAGGATGGCCTTCTTGGCGCCCTTGAGCGAGTCGACGGTGCGGCGGATCAGCTCCTTGCGGCACGGCGACAGCACCTGCAGCCACACGTCGTCGGGCACGATGCCGGGCGTCTGCACGAGGCGCTGTGTGAAGTCGAAGTCGGTCTGCGACGCCGACGGGAACGAGACCTCGATCTCCTTGTAGCCGAGCCGTGTGAGCATCTGGAAGTACATCCACTTCTGCTCGCCGTCCTGCGGGCGTCAGTATGTGCTGCAGCAGAGACAAATGCGACAGACCATGGGGTCGACCAGGCTCTGGTTGCCGTCGCGCAGGTCCGTCGACAGCCATCGCGGCGGCTTCTCAATCGTCTTGCTGGGCCATTGGCGGTCGGGCAGGTTCAGCGGCTTGAAGGCCTTGTATTTCTTCCACGGCTCCGCGAGCATCGGCATCTTGCTATTATTTATTCACGGCCAATTGGCGTGGTGGTACAATGGGTAAATCGGTAAATCTCAGTCACAGCGAAGTAACTGGTAGCGAGTTATAGGTTTAGGGGTATATGCAAAGGGCCAAAGGGTATATTCGAAAAAGGTGGTGAAGAGTCACGCGTGATTCATCGCAAGAAATTGTCGTGCGAGGTAAAGCCGCCGACATGCGCGCAGCTATGACGATGCGGGGCGCGCGAATTTCACAGAATGCGGGGCGCTGCGACATCGGCGCGCGCGAATCGGTCGTACGATTCGCGATGAATTGAAGTCGACTGTGACTGGTCGGTGCGATTGTAACTGGTCGGCAGCGACTGACTGATTTGCAAGGACTGTAAGTGATTTACGACGACTGTGACTGGTCAACGACACTGTGACTCGTTGACCGCATTCTCTCGTTGGTGTACTGTGGCTGCATTCTCTATTGACATACCGTAACAACTCCATATTTTATAGCGGGACCAGCCCGGCTACAGCAGCGGCACTCTCAACCCGCAGCAGTCGACCTCGTTCCCTCTGATCTCGACGCGGCGCGCAAAATACAAGCTGCCAAACTCCTGCACGTACGCGCGGTCCGCCTCGCTCCACGTGTCCAGCCCCATGCGCCCGAGGTCGTCGCGGTCGATCCACAGCGCGTCGCCCTCGTCGTTGTCGTCGTGCTCGTGCTCGCTCTCCACCAGCTGCGACAGCACCTTGATGGTGAGGGATGACTGCCGGTGGAAGTAGGCGATGACGGCGGTCTCGACCGAGTCCTCGTAGGCTGCGATGTCGCCGACGAGCTCGCGGTCGAGATCGCGCTCGGCCGTGGTGTAGGCGTCGCGCTCGCCTGCGCTGGCCCACCACATGAAGCCCTGGTAGGCGAGGCGCGACCATGTGGTGGGCTCGACGGCGGAATCATCGTAGGCCTCGTTAAAGTCGTCGTCGGCGCGCTTGGCGTCGATCTCGTCGTGGGAGATCAGCGGCGCCGCGTCGTCGTTCTGCTCGTCTTCGTCGTGGAACGTCTCGGTGGCCTGCTGGCGGTGCTTCCACAGCTCGCGGTGCAGCACCTTGAACCGCGCCACGTCGCGCTGGCTGGCTTTGATCACGTCGCCCGCGCTGGTGCGCAGCTTCGGCCAGTGCCGCTGTTCGGCCTTGTCGCTGTGCGGTATCTCGACGATGATGTCGTATAGCTGCGGCTTGGTCGCGATGATCTCGTCCGTCGTGCAGGCGACCCAGCCCTCCGCCGCCGTCTGTCCCGGCGTGTGGCCGCCCTTGGGGTTGCGCAGCTGCTCAAGATACGGGATGTCGTGCACGCCGATGGAGAACAGCGACGGCAGCCGCAGCAGGTCCTCCGTGCCCGGCGCAAGATGCTCGGCGTCGCGCGGGGAGATGCTCGAGAGCACCGACAGATTGTACACTGGCTCGTTAGCACCGCCGCGCAACACAACGCATCGACTCACCAAACTCGCACGTCGCCCTCACCGGCGGACTCCCCACAAACAGAATCCTCTTCCGCAGCAACGCCGCCTGCTGCAACCGGAACACCAGCGGCCCAAACAGCTCCAGGTACTGCAGAATCGCCAGCGCCGGGTGGTACTCCGGCAGCCTCTCATCGTCCGTGGGCACCTTGGTCGCCGTCGAAATCGCGCGGTCCCGAGTCACCCCCTTCCCGTCCTGCCGGTCCACCGCCCCCGTCTGGTCCGCCCAGAACTCCTCCAGCGCCGCGGTCGACTCCTCGCTCGCCAGCGCCGCGGCCAGCGCCTCCAGCCGCCCGGCCAGCAGCCACCCGCGCCCCAGCCGCCCGGCCTGGCCCTCGCGCCGCACCAATATCCCGACAGACACAAAGTTCGCGTGTCGCTCTGCCTCGCTGCCGGCGCCGCGCGCGAATGCGCTCAGGCCCGCAAAGCCCGCATGTGTGAAGTACACCAGGTCGCTTTCCAGCGCGTGGAGCCCGGACGGAAGGGCCTTGTACTCGACGCCATCGAGGTCGGTGGTGGCAGCGGCGGTGCGCTTCCAGGCGATGGTGTAGCTGCGGCAGTCAGCGGTGCAAGGGGCGCCGGGGTTCAGCCCACGCACCCGATTTTCTGGTCGAACTTGATCAGGAACAGGGCCTCGACGTGCGGGGCGTCGCTGGCGCCCGCGTCGTCGTCGGTTGCGCTCGAGTGCGGCGAGCCCGACATGTTGGCGTGGGAGCCGTGGTGCGTGGTGCGCGCGCTGGGAGAGTAGGTATGCGCTAGGATGAGGCAGGTGGAGCCGAGCAGGCCGATCCACCCGGGCGCTCGCATCACTTATGGCACGTGACAGAGGTGGCCATCACACAGCAGTCAATTCCCACGAGAAGACCCTGACTCTAGGTAGCAGAATCAAGAATCCAAATCGGGGCAGTGACAGGTACCGTGTGTCTATGTGGGCCCTCGGTGCCGGTCAAATACCACCAACTCAAATACCCACGATGCTTTTTCTCACTCGGTGACACAGAACCGCGTTTCGCATCTGGCGGACTGCGCCTGGCCTCTGCCCTGTGCGGTCGTTGCTACGCGTTACCACATACGGGACTTCCAACGGCACTTCGTACGCGATACCGCTGTGAGCTAGTGCAGCCGCTGCGTACTGTACATGGAGTCATGGACCTCGGTCCACCGCGACGCGACCGCCGAGGCAGCTCAGTATCTCGCGGAGTAGCGCATTGAGTGAAGCACCATAACACATCTCTCACATCACGAATTGAGGACTTCACATATCGAAGACTGCACATCGCACCCACACCACTCACACCCATCCCTAATCCTAGACATCCCCCCCCCCCCGACACCACCATGCCCCCCTCCGCCTCCGCAACCGCCGACGCCCACCTCCCCTCCTTCCCCTCCCTCTTCCGCCTGGACTCCAAAGTCGCCCTCGTAACCGGCGGCACGCGCGGCCTAGGTCTGCACGCCGCCTCCGGACTCCTGCAAGCCGGCTGCTCCCTCGTAATCGTGACCTCACGCAAAGCAGACGCCTGCGCCGACGCCGCCGCCGCGCTCAACGCGCTGCCCAACCTAGCGCCCGGCGCGCGTGCGGTCGGGATCGCGGCGGACTGCTCGCGGGTCGCGGATATCGAGCGGTTGGTTGGGGAGGTGCGGAAGTACACGTCGCATATAGATATTTTGTGCGCCAATGCGGGGGCCACGTGGGGAAGTAGATTCGAGGACGTGGATGAGAAGAACGGGTGGGATAAGGTTGTAGATTTGAATGTCAAGGGGGTGTTTTTCACGATCCAGAAGTACTTCCCCCCCCTCCCCCCTCTCTCTTCGTCACCACTAACACCCCCAGATTCACACCCCTCCTCACCGCCCGCGCCACCGCAGCAGACCCCTCACGCATCATAATCACCGCCTCCGTCGCCGGCCTCGGCGTCGGCAGCACCGGCGCCATGGGCGCATACTCCTACTCGGCCTCGAAAGCCGCCGTCCTCCATCTCGCTCGCAACCTGGCCGTTGAACTCGGGCCCCGCAATGTCCTGGTCAACAGCATCGCGCCCGGGTTTTTCATGAGCCGCATGGCGGCGGGGATGATGGCGGCGCAAGGGGGGGAGGAGGCGCTGGGGAAGCAGAGTCCGAATGGCAGGACGGGGAGGCCGGAGGATGTAGCGGGGGCGGTGGTGTTTTTGGCGAGTAGGGCCGGGGGGCATGTTAATGGGGGGACGGTGGTGTTGGATGGGGGGAGGATGTTGGCGGCGGGGGGGTTGGAGAGGGAGGAGAGGTTGGAGAAGTTGTAGGGGGAGGTGGTCTGGGTGATGGCGTTTCGATGGATGGTGGAGGGTGGATGGAGATGGAGTGCTTCTGCTGTTGCACTGGAACGCGGAGGTCTGGCTCGGTGCCTACATGCAAGATGCTGTCTGCATGTCAGTGCAGGTGCGCTACTATCACTCTAGATCCCGAACTCGTGTCTGATCACCTACACACAACTACATCCATCGCGTTGGAGGATGCACGGCGGACTAAGAAAATGAGCCAAATACACTACACGACAGCAAAGTATAGGGAATCGTTGCAAAATCTATAAAATGCTTTCTCACCTACACTGTACACAATACTTGATAAATTGTAGCTTCTAGCAGTATAAGAGCTACAAGTTTGACGTTGAGGGTAGTTGGCTTGAAGGTCGCTCACCTGCTGTTCTTTCCGGAACGTGGGAGATCACATATAGATATCTGGGAAAGCGCGCTGTTGTTGCTCCAGAGGGTGGTGTTGGTCAGTGCCTACTTGCAAGATGCTGTGTGGATGTCTGTAGGCGTGGTGCTATCACTCCAGATCTTCAACTCATGTCTCAGTACCTACACGCGAGTGATGTATGGATGTCTTGAAAGCGCTGTTACTCCTGAACGGGGTGCTATTGCGCAGTCCCTACTTGCAAGATGCTGCATGGATGTCTGTATAGGCGTGCTGCTGTCACTCAGATCTTGAACCTATGTTTTGGAACCTACACGCGAGATGATGGTGTTACTCCAGAGGGTGGTGTTGTTGGCCAATGCCTACTTGCAAGCTGTTGCAGCGTGCAGCCATCACTCCAGATCTCTAGCTTATGTGTCAGTACCTACACGCGAGACGATGTATGGATGTGTTGAAAGCGCTGTTGCTACTCCTGAGCACGTCGACACAACCAGATAGTATCTCGCACTGCCGGGACTCCGGGTCTACTGGCAGAAAGCTGCCTGGCTGTCCGTGTATGCAATCTCGCTCCTAGTACCTGCATGCGGAATGCTCTTGGGCATCTATATTGGGCTCCTGCACCTAGGTATGCTCACTTCACGCCCTGCCAAGCCCCTGCAGCTATAGTGGAGGGTAGAACTGCATGTTTCATGCATGGCAGGCGGGGCGGCTGGGATTAATCAAAAGAGGCAACTTGAAACTGTGATCGAGCACGTCTGCAGTCAGACGTGATAGGCACGCAATCTTACATGTTCGGAGGGCTAAGTACTTACAAGGCTAAATACTTACCCACCCATCTGCAGGCAGGAGATTTAGCGACCATTAATAGGCGTTGTCCCACTCGCAGATCACTTCGGGCACTCTCGATTGGATTCGTTGGCAAAGTTGCCATGCCCGGTGAGGTCGAGTTAAGGTTGTCGACGCCTCACGTCGGCATCGCACCGCCAGAGTGGAAGACAACGTGTCTCAGTGTTGTACCATGACACGGCGACTCGTGGCAGGCGCGGACTCACGTGCGACGGCTTACTCGCGCGGCCGCAACAGGAAAGCGTCTGGAACGCGCGTGGAAGCCGCAGCTATGCCGCGCTCCGGCGGGCTCACCGCTCGACGCGGAAGTTTCCTGAACAGCACAAGCGTTGCTGGTGGCGGCTCAAGGCGCTGCGGTTCGAGTGCTGGGCGCCACCGGCGTCACGGCTGGTCTTCATTTCGGACATTCCGCAGGTCCGCCCGCACACCGGCCTCGCAGCGCTCGCACCATCGGGCTGGTTGGGGACAGGCTCTCGTCACCTCGTGGCGACCTGATGCACCGTGCAGATCTGCGGCGCGGCGAGAGGGCACGGCGGCGAATGACGGGCGCAGGAGCGCGGTCCTCGGCGGCGCCTTATCGGAGGGCTGCAAGACGCCCCGTTCGAGCTGGCGGCCGGTGCGCCAAGCGCCGCAGCGGAGTGGGAGATGGCCAAACACCAGGCCCTCCCTGGACGAGTTCTGCAAAATCCCATCGCATCGGCTGCAGCCCGGGCGCGGGTCGGCAGCTTCCGCCCACGCAATCAGGTGAGCGATGCCGATCGCCAGCCGTGTCGCTGGCGGTCGTGTCGTGCAGCGGCGGGCACAGCGTCGAATCAATAGTTGACGGCAGCGTCGGCTGCGCTGTGAAGCGAGCGCCGCAGCGACAGGCCACGACACGCGCCGGCGGGCATCAACGCGTGGACATGTCAGACCATTCGCGCTGATCTATCGTATCTGCACGGACAGATCGCATTCACGCAACCGACGTTACAGACGTCTAGTCGCAGCGCCCCGGGGTGCTCCTGCTGATCGCGCTGCCTCTGCGGCCTGCCTCTGCCGCGCGTGGCAGCCAGGACGCCTGGGACCGGCGACGTCTGAAAAGGGCTGCGTCCCGCGACTCTCGGCTGCTGTGCGAGCCAAGGGTCGAGCAGGCCAGGCGGTCTAGAGCCTCGACGGCGCCGGCAGTTGCGTTCTGCGTCGACCTGGCCGGCGGGCACCTCGGCACCCTCACGCCCGGCAGCAGCGCAGCAGGGCGTGCGGGCGCAGGAGCAGGAGCAGGAGCAGGAGCATCGTCGCCCGAGAGCGCAATTCTGCGCGGTGTTTGCCGCTGCGGTGGGGCTCCCGGGCGGGTGTGGACACGCGTTGCGGCGCTGCAACGTGGGGAAGCACGTTTCCAGTGCCACACCAGGCAGTGCCACACCACACCTGCCACACCTGCCACGCCAGATGGTGGCGCAGATGCAGGGGTCGGCGGCCACAACGCAATCTGGCTGGCTGGACGGCCCTCCGCTCGCCAGCCAACGGTGCCCGAACTCGCGTGGGCCCTACCGGAGATGAGCAAGTGTCCGCCGTTTGGCGAGTATCCTGAGATCCCCATCGCACCCTGCTGCAAAAAGGGTCGCCCGCCGGCAGCGACGCCGCACTGCAGTGTTTGAGCGGCAGTCGGCCGCAGTGCGCCGAGCAGCTCGCAGGCCGCAGGCCGCAGGCGACTGCCACTGACTGCGCAGTCGTGCCCGCGAGGGCTCACTGGCCTGTCGTATTCGGCACCGCTCCACCATGACAGAGGCTGCTGCCCTTGCTCATGACGAGAAGCGACCGCCTTGCGTCTGGCCCGCCGCCGACTAGACCTCGTGCTGCGCTTCTAGCCGTGTGCTCTCGCCCCGGCCACGAGAAACCTGCGACTTGCAGCGTAGCGTGCGGCCACCCGTCACCACGTTCCCTGACAGCTTGTGATTTGGCAGTCCCACGAACGCCCGTGGCCGTCATTCGGCCAGCGAGCCATCCTGAATGGGCAGTCGTTGACGACTGACCCAGAGCCGAGAAACGTTCCTGTAACGTTTCTACTAGCACTTCGGATCAACTTCCGGACGCCCACCACATCATGAGACTGCTCGCTTGCATTCGCATCACCACCTGGAGCCGCACCTGGGCAGGCTGTCCGTACCCGCGTCTGACAACCCGTGAACCATGTAGTACGGGCCTGACAGCCAGCGATTGCCCGACTGACGGGGCGATCACTTGTGCAATGCCTGGGGCGCTACCTACCCGCCAGGATTTATCCGCCGGTGGCAGTACCGGACGCTGCGTGCATGGGCAGTACTTATTTCATTTCGACAAGTCTAACTGAAAATTTTCTACCCCAGTACCGTGCATGCCGGAGGCGCTTTCACCGTGAACGGGGACGTTGGTTCCTTACCCAAACGAGCTGCGACCGCAAAGTGACACGTGCCGCGGTACAGGCAAGCCAGTGTGCATTACTCGAGCACTGTCCCGCCGCTGATAGGTAAGGTGGCGGCTAGGCCTATGCTTGTATGGTCTTACAGAGTGCTAATCCCTCTCTACACCTCGGAACTTGGTTCACAGCGCAACGTCACTGCTCGCTTCACACACGGTCCCTGCCCTCCACTGTCAGTGACCTCCTAGCGGCTCATCACCGGAGGCTGTCCGCCCTCTCGCATCCACTCGGGCCCCTGCCATCAAACAGACTATCACTCATTCCAGCCAGCCGCGGGCAGTCGTCTCGCGACTCGCACCCTGCTCCGCTAGATTTGCTTCTCTCGTCTTTCTTCGGCGGCGCTTTCCGAGGCTGCTTGGCTCAGCCTGAACTTGCCCAGCGACACAGAGCACCCGACTCAGGCGCGCTCCAGCGATTCTGAAAGCTTCTACTGGTAGTACTGCAAGACGGGAGCTCCCATTCCAGTCTAGCAGCCCACTCCTGTCAGCCCAGCCATTCCTCACCTCAGTCCGTCACACCCTCCCTCCAGGTCTGGCCACCGCCATGGACTAAGCAGTCTGCTTCCATTGGTCGTCTCCTTTACATCGCCCTCCCGCTGTGCCCACCCTGTTGGGTTTTGGTCCCGACTTTGTCGTGTTCGGCTGCTTCCGAGAAGCAGTGTGCTCCCCCACAGCAGAATTATCTTGCCTGGACGCCCCGGGCCCTTTCGCCGTGGCCTGATTTTCTCTTCAACATAGTTCTCACCGACACACGTGGGTACGCCGCTCGTCTACGCCATGCACCAGTCGCCGCCAGGCTCGTCTGGAGGATCTCCACAGGCTATGATTCCGCCGGCCAACCCGTTTGCTCACATGCCGTCGTCTATCCGCACCACAACCTTGACCGCCCCGTCCATGGCCCAGGGCGAAGCAAGGTCTCCCGGCTACGCTGCAAACTCCTATTCTCACTCGGCAGCGTCCAGCACGGCCTCTGGCAGTCTGCCCGAGATGCAAAGCCATGACACGCCGAGCTTCGGCATCTCGTCGTCGCAGATCTCGTCGGCCAACTTGAATGCTCAGAAGCGAGCGTACCGGCAGCGGAGGAAGGATCCGTCGTGCGACGCCTGCCGGGAGCGGAAAGTCAAGGTAAGCCAACTGGAGTGGCGTGCTGCGAGAGGGAGCTGAGTGCGCGGGGGTAGGAGTCTTGACGTCGTTGTGCGTTGTTGCGACAGTGATCGACTTCTCTCGCTGTGACATTACAGGGACGCTGTGCGTGCCGTTGCTGCTTCGACTCGTCGCCGTCCGGATGCTGACTGTTCTCACAGTGCGACGCCACAGAAACATCGGCATGCTCCGAGTGCTCAAGCAGAAACCACAAATGCCAGTTCACAAAGGAGACAAATAGGCGCATGTCCTCGATCAAGTGAGCGCGCCGCCTCGGTCGTGGTGCCGCATGCTGATCCCTCTCAGACAAGTCCAGGACCTCCAGAGCCAGATCGCCGAGCTGACACAAGTAAACTCACAGCTGCGCACCAAGTCGCTGCCCAAGGAAGATGTCCTCTCAGAGCGCGCAGAACCCAAACGCCGGCTGTCAGACCCCTTCGGACCTCCTGCACTGCGGCACAAGCTCGCCGCGCCCGCCATGCGCGACTTCGACCATGTGCGACGGAATATCCAAACCTACTCCCAGGGCATCTTCGACACGCCGCACGTCCGCGCCAGCACCCCGCTCGAGGACGGCTCCGCTCTCCCGGACATCCCGCCACGGGCAGACTTTGCGCATCTCTCCCGGTCGTATCTGAACCACGTGCACTACTGGTACCCCGCGCTGCACTGGCCGACGTTCACGCAGCAGGTCGACGAGGTGTACACGGCGCGCAGCTTCCACGGCATGACGCGCGAGTGGATCGGCCTGTTCTTCGCGGTCCTGGCGTGCGGCTGCTTGGAGAAGACGGGGTCGTCTGGCCCGTCGAATAGAGGGGTGCCGTACTTTGACATCGCCGCGCAGGCACTGACGCCCTGGCCGCAGGACCTGACCATGGCGCATGCGCAGGTGGCGTTGCTGTTGAGCATATTCGCTGCGGAGAGCAATATGCGGGCTGTGGGGTCGCTGTGGCTGTCGAATGCGGTGAGGATCGCACAGGAGCTAGGCTTCAACACGGAGACAGATTCGTGGCCTGTTGTCGATGGCGAGATACGGCGCAGGCTGTGGTGGGCGATCTACTCGCGAGACAGGTATGTGTTTGCTATGGTTCACGGGACATGACTGACGCTCGCAGAACAACCTCCTTTGAAGCGAACAAGCCCATGCTCATCAATGACCACGACTGCGACGTCGCCCTCCCCTCGCCCGCCGACGACCGCTACATCCAACCCCAGGGCTTCTTCCGGACGCACGCCAACACCGCGCCCTTCACCGGTTCCCTCGCCGTAATACAAATCGCCCGCATGTACGCGCCACTGTACCAAGCGATGAAGACCAGCACCATGAGCCCTCAGACTCTGCAAAGCTTCGATCTCCAATTCCGCTCGCGCCTCCAGCAACTGCCAGAAGCATACCAGCCGCTCTCGACCGCCCCGCTCGAAACCGCCGCCCTCCCGCCCCTCTTCGCCCTCCTCTCCGCCCAGTTCCACCTCCACAGACGCAACCTCTCGCCCGCATGCCACACCGCCGAGCGCCGCGAGGCCCTGCACCAATGCGCCGCCACCGCCCAGGAGACGGCAAAGTACATCTCGCGCGCGCTGCACTCGCCGCCGAAGCCCGACCTCGACAAGCCGTGGCCCGCGCGCGTCGCGCCCCTCGCCTCCAACGCCGCCTGTCTGCACCTCTGGCGCTGCATCCTGCTGCTGTGCTTCCGCGGCGACTACGACGCCGCGCTCATGTGCACGCACATGCTCAGCGCCGTCGGGCCCGCGCGCCCCCTTGGCGCCGCGTGCGGCGCCCACCTCGTCTTCGCCCTGGAGCGCCTGGTCGAGCGCTCGCGCACCGTGCACCGCGCGCCCGTCCTCGAGCACGACGAGGAGCTGCTCGCGTACGTCAGCGGCGACCTGCAGGGCGCGGACGGGTGGGCGTGGACGGGCGCCGAGCTGGGTCCCGCGCCCGCAGCCGCAGCAGCAGCGCGCCGCGGCCAGGACCAGCCCATGCGCGACGTGCCGCCGGAGTGGGAGGGCTGGGGCGCGGTCGAGCGGCTGGTGCGCGTGCTGGTCGACGAGGCGCGGCCGCGGTCCGCTCAGCCCACGCCGTACTATCCGCCGCCGCACAACCCCGTCAAGCGCGTGCAGCTGGGCCCGAACGACCTGTCGCCGCCCAAGCCCGCGCCGCTGCCCAGCCCCGCGCCGTCCAACGCGAGCCGCATCAGCATCGCGAATATCATCTAATCCAAAACGGCGTCTGGACCACACGGGGGGGGGGGGGGGGGGTCCCACACGGGTGTCTGCGCAGCACGACACACGGCTACGGTTCCCTATGTTGCAGAACATGACCTGTCACGATTCGTCTCGATTCGACCTTAGCGTTTCCTTTTAGTCTCCATCATGTGTTTCCTTGCAAACTGGCGGGTTTTGTGCATTTCCATCGGCGGGGGGTGGGGGGGTTAATCGGGTCGGCGCTGCTCAGCGCGGACATGGTACAGTACGGTACTTGCGGTACGCGGCATGGCATCAGCGCGGCACAGCATGGGGGAGGTTACGGCCGGGAGCGTCTGCGGGTAATGCTGGGACGTCGTACACGTGGGCTTGGATTTTACTGCAGTAATACACACACACTCACATACACTCACTCACATACACTTGCGTCTCGACGTCATCAAGTCAGCCCTGGTGGACGCGGATGGTCAGTGTGGTCTGGATGGGCCTGTGTCCTGGTGAGGCTCTCTGCTGACGTATGCTACGGTAGGCCCGCGCCGCCATCTCGCCTGCAGGCTGCCGGCATTCAGCTCAGCGAGATCGCCCAATGGCGCCGTCTCACGCCCACTCCGACGGGGCTGGTGTGAGGGGTTCGCTGCAGCGACTCTGCAAACACTGCAGAGAGTTTGGTGCTCAGCTGAAGCCCGTTCGTGCCAGCGGTGTGCTGTCTGTACGCCGTGCAGCAGCGTGTAGACTGGCCGCATCGAGGGCCAGCACGGCGCGTTCCTGGCCCAGGCGCGCGGCCCCGCGGTGACGGAGCTAGCGCCGCCGCTCAACGTAAACAGGATCAAGCTTCTGGCTGATGCTTGGCCGCCCCACCATGACGATCGCTCAGCGCGCGACAGTCCATGGGGCGCTGCGGCGTCGCGCTCGCATTCGTTGGCACGGCGACGCAGCGCAGAGCAGGCGGCGAGCTCGATGCGCGTGCTGATCGCCGTGACACGTAGCAGCAGCCGGTACGAGCCGGGCGCGCGGTGGTTCTGCAGCTGTGGTGGCAGAGTGGGGTAGCTGCATCACCGCGGGACGCAGTGGTGCAGGATAAAAGTACGAGGCCCGCGGGGCTAAATGCCGCAACCTGTTTCCTGCAGCTTGATTCTCTCCCTTCTTCTTCTTCTTCTTCTCCTTCTCTCCTGACTGCCAATTGCAACCGCAGCCATGGTGCACGTCAACCGCGTTTCGACCGACCGCGAGATCGAGGCCATCAAGGCGCAGTACGCGAACATTGACACGATTCCGCTCACCGAGGAGGAGGAGCAGGATGACTTCACGGCCACGGTGTACGGCAGCAAGTACGCCGGCGAGGACCTGCCCCGCCACGAGATGCCGGAGCGCGAGATGCCGGCGGCGGTGGCGCATCGTATGATCAAGGACGACCTCACGCTCGACGGCACGCCGACGCTCAATCTGGCGTCCTTCGTCACCACGTACATGGAGAAGGAGGCCGAGGAGCTCATGGTGTAGGCCTCCCCTTGACGCCCTGTGATAGTGCTGACCCGCCAGTGACGCCTTCTCCAAGAACTTCATCGACTACGAAGAGTACCCTGTCAGCGCCGATATCCAAAACCGTACGTGCGCGAATGAGTCGGGATGACAGTGCTGAGGTGATGCAGGATGCGTGTCTATGATTGCCCGGCTGTTCAATGCGCCGGCCCACGACGATGCGAACACGATTGGCACCTCGACTATCGGTTCCTCGGAAGCCATCATGGTGGGTGGTGTGCATGAACGAGACGAGCGGAAGCTGACTGAAACAGCTGGCTGTCCTCGCCATGAAGAAGCTCTGGCAGAAGAAGCGCAAGGCCGAGGGCAAGTCGACCGAGAATCCCAACCTGATCATGAACTCGGCCGTGCAGGTCTGCTGGGAGGTTAGTATTATGCACTTTGCCCAGACCCTGCTGATTCCTGTAGAAAGCATGCAGGTACTTCGACGTCGAGGAGAAGTACGTCTACTGCTCCAAGGACCGCTACGTGATCGACCCCACCGAGGCCGTGGACCTCGTCGACGAGAACACCATCGGCATCTGCACCATCCTGGGAACCACCTACACTGGCGAGTACGAGGACACCAAGACGATCAACGACCTGCTCGTCGAGCGCAACATCGACTGCAACATCCACGTCGACGCCGCGTCGGGCGGCTTCGTCGCGCCCTTTGTCAACCCCAGCCTGCTGTGGGACTTCCGCCTGGAGAAGGTGACCTCGATCAACGTGTCGGGCCACAAGTACGGGCTCGTGTACCCCGGCGTGGGCTGGGTGGTGTGGCGCGACCCCGCGTACCTGCCCAAGGAGCTGATCTTCAACATCAACTACCTGGGCGCGGACCAGGCGTCGTTCACGCTCAACTTCTCGCGCGGCGCGTCGCAGATCATCGGCCAGTACTACCAGCTCATCCGCCTTGGCAAGCGCGGATACAGGCGCATCATGCTCAACCTGACCCGCATCGCCGACTACCTCGCCGCCAACCTCGAGAACCTGGGCTTCATCATCCTGAGCCAGCGCAAGGGCGAGGGCCTGCCGCTGGTCGCGTGCCGGCTGGACGAGGATCTCGGCAAGCAGTACGACGAGTTCGCCGTGTGAGTATACTCTAGTCACCGAACCGCCAGTCCCCATGCTAACCCCACCAGCGCCCACCAGCTGCGCGAGCGCGGCTGGGTCGTCCCCGCCTACACCATGGCCCCACACTCGGAGAAAATGAAGCTAATGCGCGTCGTCGTGCGCGAAGACTTCACCAAGTCGCGCTGCGACGCGCTGATCGCGGACTTCAAGCTCGCGTTGCAGACACTGGACGCGCTCGACGCGAAGAAGATCGCCGAGCACAAGGAGTACGTCCACATATTACCGTATTACTGTACTGTTCTGGCGGAGACTAACGCGCCCAGTCACCAGTTCGCGATGCGCCGCCGCACGACGCTGCACCAGCCCGTGGTCAAGGTCAGCACGAAGGATTTGTATGGCGATGAGGAGCATAGTTTGCAGGGGAAGCATGATAAGACGCATGCTGTGTGCTGAGGGGATGGCGAGGTGTGCGGTGCCGCACGAAGTAATGACGCAAATGACAAACGCAATCACGCTCCAAAGCGATCGGCAGTGACACTGTGCTCCCTGCCCGTCACGTGATGCAGATGCCTGGCGCACCGCCTCCACACACCCACCCTACGCCTTTAGGCATCCATACACGTGCCGCACGTGTCCCCCTTCTGCCTCCCATCCCACCCCCCTCCCACTCCCCCTATAAAACCCTCCCTCCCCTCGCCCCCCCTTTGATCTGCATCTTCTCTCTGCCACCCGGCTTAGATCACGATGTAGTATCTGTTCTTCCCAGCGTAACACCTGAGGATCCGGTGCTATCGGCACCCATCCAGCAACCCCTACCGGTTCTTACCCTATGGGTTGGCTGTTACTCTTATTTTTGTCTCGAGTCTGCGGCGGTCACTGTGCTTGCGCACACTGCTGTGGAAGGTGCCCTTCTTATTGCACTATCTGGAAGCGGCGCGGGTTTTTCGTTGGAGGGGTCGCTCTGGGGCGGCTTTTCTGAAGAAGAGCGGGTGTGGATGTGTGGTGGGTGGGGGCGTTAATGGGAGGCCTGTGGCGTAGTGCGCGGGTTGCTGGGTGTGATGGACTGGCGGTCTATGTTTTCCAAGATCGGAATGAGCTTCGATATTGGCATTGAATGATGGAGAGATTGGTGGTGTGATTGCTTCGTTCTGTTCTCTCTGATTGGCGCTGGGACCCCGGGAGGGTGCGCGAATTTCAGGAGCGTGACTTCTTTTATCGCGAAAGAGAGCCTGGGTATGCTTTCCACCTCGTTGCCTTTGTATCATCGAGCATCGAAATCTGACAACTGTCGGTAGCCTTGCGAGTGTCATTATCGTGAGGCAACTGCAGTGCTATGCCTGTTTTACATCAGTGAGCTATACAGTATCAAACAACACGACCCTTCCTTCCTCAAATGCCCAGACATGCTGAACTGGTTGATGAAAAAAAGATGTGCTTACGTTGACAAATCAATGTCAACAAAATGAGCACGTCAGCAGCCCAAGCACCGTACCTGCGTACTGCATTCCACCAGATGGTGCACCGACTGGCTCGGTCGATTCGTCGACTCCTGCCAGCTAGGAGACGATATACCCCAGCAAAGCGCACCCAGCTGGTCTCCGGTAAAGGTCTCCGCAAAGCCGAGCCGGACAGGATCTGAAGCGGCTCACACTCCTCGAAATGCGGCCGAGACAGAGACGCGGTCGGTAATACAACCCACCGACGCCCTCCCCCCCGGACAGCCACCAGTATCAGCAGCCCTGAGGAATGCAGGAAGCGACCTACTGGCTCACACGCTCGTGAGAGCGCGGCCAGAGAAGTCGCCTCCGCTCTCCTCACAACCATCAATCCATTCGGGGAGCGACCTATGCAACCAGCTGAGTGTACTTGCCGAAGATGTAGGATTGAAGCGCTCGCTGACGGGGTCCTCGTGGCTGCCAGCCGAGAACGAGGGCAAACCACAGGCCCATGTTTGGTCCAGACCTCCAGCCTCGACAGTCAATGCCGTGAGAATCTCGACATTCAGACCCGCTTACCCAGGCTGGAAAGTGCGACCGAGGGGAAAGGATTAGGAAAGGAAGGTTCGGTCACACTCCCGTTGCGGACAGCGAGCGCTTCAGTAAAACAAAGGAAGGAAAGTTGGGGAGCTGAGGACGGTCGTGAGTGGTGGTACTTGCCAGGAAGCAAGTTGAAGGTGAGAAGTGAGCGGCGGCAAGTTTGAGTAGAGAGTGAGTCGACGCCAAGCCGCTACGGCAGGCGTGACACGCCCTCACGTGCCTGCCGGGTCCGATTGCTTTCACTCATGCGCCAATCAGCTTAGACAAACACTGTGCCGTAATACATATAAATCTATGCATCATATTTCTACTTGCAAGCCTGTCAGCAAGCCAGTAAGAGCCGTAATATGTTGGTCAAAAGCTCAGCATATGGCACCTTGCCTTACGCATCTTCAGTGACGATGTAGTATACATGACAATTCATCCCCGATGTCGTATAGGTTTCTGTTATTGCGACAGATGCGGTTTTCTCCGATACCGCCAGCCAGTACGTCATTGAGACAAACGCACTGCTACAAACGCACTGCTACAAACGCGTGTGACATACCCGAGTGATAGAATAGGCGATTGCGCCTGGCTATTAGGCGCCCTTCGACACCTTTCACGGCATGCTTGCACGTGTAAAGCATCTAAAGCTTAGCTATTTGACTTTCGAAGAAGACACGCGTCTCAGTACGAGATCCATGGCAGCACTAAATAGTTTCATCGGCGAACAAAACGGTCTAACACATGTAGCCATCCCCGCCCTGCAAGTCACAGATTCAGATTCCCTATCCGCTCAAGAACAGGACAGGAAGCACCCTAGAATATCCATGTCTTCCTTTCGAGCAGATTCCAAGCTGCGCACCATCAACATTCACGCAGGAGCTTGCGAGGCAACATGTAGGACGATCCTTGCAGGCGAGGAAATCATCACAGCTCTAAACCTAGAGTTTATACCAAACGACCAAGCGTATGAACGGCCTCTCCTAGACTATTCGTGGAGCTTCCTTTCCTTTCCATTATTGCCGCATCTTACTCAACTTCGACTAATCGGGATAAACCTCCAGACCAACTACGTCTCCGGGACAGAAAGGAAAGTCCAAATCGCGTTTTCAAATCTCAGCAAATTCGAGGTCATACTTTGCGAAAACGAAGACTGTCTTTTCAAGTTCCTCACTCAGAAATGTATTCTCAATCTACGAATGTTTGTCTACGTTATGGGGAGAAGGCAGTGCTCGGCTGCTGAGCATCTCCTCGATTCTACCTACGCCAACGACATTGGTACCGTGAGCGCCCTGCTGTCGGGCCTTCGTGGTCTTGAGAAGCTTGGGCTTGTGTTCCCTGGTAACATGGAGCGGGACCGTATTGAACAGGTTCTCGAGGACATCGTTGATGAAGACATTGTGAGGAGCTTCGCTTCGTCACTGCAGAAGCTCTACGTTGGCGTTGACTTGGACAGGGTGAGCAGTACACGTTTATTTGATATGTGGGACCAAATCGCCAGATTATACCCGTCATTGCACGACCCGGAAGTGTTTGCCGAGTCTGAATACTGGAATGACCTATTCGAAGATGAGAATGATGCGCTGCGAGGGTACGGTCAGTGGCAGGATTCGGAAACTATGGGAACAAACTATTGGCCAGAGACTTTTCCAAAGGCGCTGTGAAATTTGAAGCAAGCATACGACGCTCTGTTGTGGACTTCATGTGTGGGCTCCTCATGCGACGGTGATGTTCACCAATGTGGTCAGATTAGTCGGCAAGATGCATGGCTTCTGATTGGCTCGATCGCCGCTGGAAGTCGTACCTTCCGTGTAATGACATCGAAGCCTAAGGCATACAGAAGATTTTGCTGCAACGCGCACACGACAAGCCTCCAGATACCTCGAACAACATGTCTCAGCCGACTATCAGCATCGTGGGTGCAGGTATTGGCGGACTCACACTCGGGCGCTGCCTCCTACAGCGCGGCATTCGCGCTGTCCTCTATGAGAAGGCATCTTCCGGTCCCCGTCACAGCTACGCCATCACACTACAGTCCTCATCATACCGACCGTTACTGAAAGCATTGAACATCGACGAGAGTACGTTCAAGAGTCGTGTGGCTGTTGATGCCGGTATCGGCGGCTCCGGCAACATCAACACCGAAGGGTACGGCTATCGCAACCTCGACTCGGCATCATTTCGAGCGAATCGAAAGAAGTTTGAGGAGCTGCTGAAAGAAGGACTTGATGTAAAATGGGAGCATGCTCTGCAAGATGTGGAGCAGAAGCCAGGCGATCGGCTTGTCCTGAACTTCAATAACGGGCAATCAGTCCCGACTGATGTTGTCGTCGATGTTGAAGGACCCCACTCTGTTATCCGCAAGCAATTCCTGTCATCAGTAAACCCAGACGTCCTGCCATTCGTGGCATTCAACGGCAGACGAAAAATACCCCGGAAGACGTTTGATGAACTTTACGCTTCGGCATTCACCGGCACAACGGTCCTGGAGACTAGACAGGACGGCACAGTACTAAATATTGGGATCAACGACGCTACTCAGGACGAAGTAAGTATCGGCTGGATCTACTCTCGTCCTGCACAAGGGTCATCAGACACACTGTACAAGCCCAACCGGCCCAATGCTGCTGCCAAGGACATTCCAGAGGAGTTCTTTGCCGAAGTTGGAGCGCTGAAAGATTTGGCACATCCGTTTGCTGATGTATTCGATGCTGCCAAGCTGCGCAATGAGAGGATATTGTATTGGCTGATGCGCAGCATTGCCGTGCCTACGAAGGAGCTTCAAACATTAGGAGAACAGGGGGTCTGGCTAATGGGTGATGCCGTACATGCGGAGCAGATTATCGGTGGCGGGGGAGCTAATGGGGCGATCGAAGACGGTGTGAGCCTTGCCGAGTGGATTGCGGACAAGGGCACAGAAGACGTTGCAAGCTGGTACGATCAGAGGGCTGGAGATTGGCGTCAAGGGCAAGAGGAGAGCCGCGCATGTATTGATGGCATACATGGAGAGCAAGACATCGACAAGAAACCACAACAACACTTGTAATGCAGTAAGACCTTGTTTTCTACTATAGTATACGACAGGCAACGCAAAATCCGCATGGGCCAGGCGTTCTCCTCAGGCAGCTCTTCCAGAACCCGTGCCTTCCTTTTAACGCGTTGAGGACCTGCCTCCCCTCCTTGCTTTACCTGAGCTCATGCGATTGGGAAAGAAGGTCGGTCTGCCACGCCATCCATTCCAGTACCACTTCTCGCCTTTATTGTACCAATTTACCATCGCGTCTGTTACAACAACGCCTTTCGCGATTTCCACATTGCTCTCGCGGACCTTGCGAATCATATACAATTTAGACTGTGATAGCGGCATGACTGAGTATCCAGCCGTCACGCTGTCTGTGATGGTACGTCGAAGGAAAGCGGTGAAATGGGACTTGCTCGGAACGTCGTTGATTCCCATGTGTCTCAGGAAACCTGGGAAGCCATTGACCTCGCTGATCTCGCGGATGCGCTGAGCCATTGCCGCAGGGACTCCCATGGGTGGCGCACCGTGGCTGTCGAACAGTGCCTCGCGAAGATCAGTCAACGACTTACCCACGGGACGGGCAGAGGAGCTGAATAATTTGAGGAACATGAGCAAGCGGTAGGATGTTGTTGACGCTTCGAACGTCTTGGCCAGTCGGTACTCGGATATGGCAGAGGGCTCTAGGTATGCAAGCTCGGCCATGTCGGCACCTTGAGAGTCGAGCATCCAGACCACGTTGCGAAGAATGGCCTCCTTGATAATCTGGAAGATAAGAGGCTGGGTGAGCCCATCATCCGAGATCAACGCAGCGACTAAGAGGTGACCGAGATCAGGAAACTCCTTTTTGGTGTGGGGGCCTTTTAGGAAACGAGCAACCATCTTGTTCGCAGCCTTGATGATGGCAGCATTCTCCGTAGCAAGACACAGCAACAAATGGAAACAAGCAAAGTAAGCTTCCACAGCCTTCTCTGAAGCGTGGCTCAGAGTGCTGCGCTTGTCGACGTGCCGGGAGACCTTCTCGGCATCTGATGAAAATTGAACCACGACATTATTCATGAGGTAGTACAAAACTTCAATCCCATCAGGCTCGTTGCTGCGCATTTTTGCAGAGCTGTGTATGCTGCGCAGGCACATAGCTGTATTCACCCTCACCCCGTTCCAGTGACGTCTGCTGAGGGGCAGCGGTAGCCACTTTTCGAACTTCACACCCTGAACGCTCTGTCGTACATCGTGCTGGAAGAACGCTTCTTGACTCAACAAGTCGAACTCGGATCTCAAGCTAGGCTTGTTGCCGCCTGTAATCGAGATTCCAATCCCGAGCTTTGCATCCATGTACGATTTCTTGAAAAAGAAACACTGCAACTCCCGAGTACGAATAAAGTCGTACGAGTTGACCGTGCGTTTCACAAAGGGGATCGCGTCTGCAAGCGCCATGACATCATTCGTCTGCATCTCCTCCAACATAAGGAGTACGACCTCGTCGGGCAGCGCCAGCAACTTCGAGACTGTCGCTGGCGGCGCCCTCAACGCTTTTCTCGGAACATCGGGAGAAGGAGTAGCTTTCCAGCCAGGTTCGTATCCACAGCTATCGCAGAAATAATCATGTGCTTGGAATCCCCTAAATCGAGAGTATCGTGGTGCACTCAGCCGTTCGCGTCGAAAGTCCAGCAAATTCACTGCTCCTCCACCATGGTCCTGCTCAAGCGATTCGCTTGTGAAGAAACTCAACAATTGGATGAGAATGCCCTTCAGGGTGTATGCTGGTGTCCAGCCCTCAGCTGTGTTCAGAATGCTGGCGCAGATGTAATCTCCGAAGATGTTGGGGTGGACGATATCGCTCTGGATGGTGACCGTTGGAGCACGGAGTGGATAGTCGTTACCAAACTCAATAAAGAGGTGCAACGGACCATATGCTTCGGTCGAGAGAATGAGGCAGGCTTGGTGAAAGTCCTGCTCATTAACATGCAGGTGGATGCTGGGGTACGGGTTCTGCTGTATTTCGGCGATGTCGTTCATAAGTCGACGATGTAAAGCGCTAGGTGCCATCGCTCCGTTCGAGGCTGCCATGCCGACAACGCGTGGCAGAAATGTTGGACGAGAAGGTTTTGGATGCTGCGCGGATCGAGGAAGCGATATCTCTATCGACTTCTTGATGCCTCATCATACAGCAAGATTCCATCATCTTTATACCCTCCGTGAATCAGCGCTCTCAGCTGAACTCGTCTTCTGGCGCCCTTCATTGTTGTCTCTAGTAAGCCTTCGTGAGGGCTCTGCGCCCATGAAGATTTAGGCAGCTAATCAGGAAAGGCGGAGTCCCGTGCGTCTCTGCCCTTTCCAATCTGAGTCTCAACTCACACAGCAAGGCGCAGCATTAACTAGCTCTGAACGCACGTCTCACGTCTCACGTGAGGCTGAGAGCGAAGACACATAGCCTCTGCATTTGTAAGATGGAGATTTCCGTGAAAGTCTGGAGGACGACGAAGCAGCGCTGGGGTGCGGGACACTCGCCAACGCTAACCTCGGACCACCCCGCAGCTCTCGCTGTTTCGACTGTTGGCTTGCCCAAAATTTGTCCGTGATCACTAACCCCTAAGACACGCGTCGAAGCTTTACGTTCACAACTATGCCTTGTATAGAAGTTCGTTTGGCAATGAGATACATGTTCGGGCTGCGATGAGGCTTGGACCACCTTGGCCGGGGAAATTTTCCAGCGGCTCGGTGCAAGTTATGACCCCCGGCCCATTTCTCCTTATCACAAACTCTTTTCCCAAGGATCGCACATCGGCTGCAAAGGGATTCCCCAGGTTTGTTTCAATGGATGGTGGGTAGCATGACGTCTCGACTGACTGCAGTGACCGATAACTCCACCCATTCAATGTTAGGGAATGTATAGTTCATGTCGTGTCTCGAATCAGAGCGGGAGCGAACGTTACAAACCTTATCGAGCCCGGCCAAGGCTCTTGGAATCTTCGAGGCATAATGACTGGCCAATGATATCGCTGCGCACACCTCTCCGCATGCGCGCATCCTCCCGCAGTCCGTCTGAAACCGTGCGCCGGCGTTCATGCTCCTTTGAAAGTTTCAAGTATGCCATTGCGCCGGGCATATGCTTTCGGAGCCCTCGGGAGCTCGATGGGGATCTCTGTCGGTGGCATTGTAGATTATTGATCTGCTGCCCGCATGCCATGAGCAAGCACATGGACCCTTTAGAGATTGCATTATAAGTGTCCTTTGAGAACCACGACAGAACTCCTCAGATTTGTTTCAATCTGCTATGTGAGCTGCACTATCCAACATCGTTCTCGTTTGTCATCTACTCGTCTTTCACCTCTTTTTTTCTCGTTGTTCTTCCCATATTAGACATAGATCTAGAGCTATGTCATTCCTAGACGACAGCATGTATCCACGCAACGAGCTGGCCTCGCCACCACTCGCTCAGCCGCTCCGAAAGCCGAGCCTTGTGCCTTCAGTTGAAGACCGCGAAGAGGATTTCGAGCCATTCGCTCGCTCAACCTCAGGCCTCAGTGGCCATTCCTCAGGCCTCAGTGCCCATTCGTCCACAGCGACGATCCGCCGGAAACACGAGTCATACAACCTGTCCGGCAGCATTTTCCTTGTGACAGCCTCCGGCAAAACACTTAACCTCCCTGTACCTTCAGATAGTCCAAATGATCCTCTGAACTGGAGTCGCTGGAAGACGGCTGGTGCCATCGCTGCAATAGCATGGTACTCTATCGTTTCACTTACCGTGGTGCAAGCGGCGAGTATGGTATACCATGGCATCTTAGTCGAGTTTGAAAATCAGGTACGCATTCACAACCAATGACTCGAGTATCGATTGACCAACACCTTCTAGAATCTATATCCATGGACGATGGAGACGCTTTCGACAGCTCCTACTCTGTTCATGGGGTTCGGTGCATTGCTTTGGGTGCCACTGTCCCTAGGCATGGGACGACGTCCGGTATTCCTAATTGCGTCGTTGATGATGTCGCTCGCGACGATTGGTGCTGGCCACTCTGCGAATTTCTCCCAGCTTCTTACCTGCTTATGCTTCCTTGGTTTGGGCGAGGGTTTCTCGCTGACATGCGTATGTTGCCGTGTTCTTGGCTGGTCGATCGCGTACTGACAACAATAGGCCCTCCTCCTGATGATAGAGATGACCTTCATTCACCAACGTCCCAGAGCCATTGCTCTTCTCTGGTCGCTTGCTGGATTCGCAGGCACCGCCGGGTTGGCGCTGGTCCCGTACATCTCATCGCACGGAGAGGACTGGCGTCAGTTCTACCACTACTGGTCCATTCCCATGCTCATTTCCTTTATTCTCATTTTTTTCCTGTTTCCCGAGACCTACTTCAAACGGCCTACGGTAGCCTTCGATGGACTGATCTTGTTGCAAACTGCCACTGAGAAGCTCACGGTGTACAAAGACGAGGATGCCGACTCGAACATCTACCGCGATCTTCCCGATCTGCCTTGCGGGCCGCGCACGGGATTCAACGGTATTCGCGACCGTCTTGGACTGTGCAGATCACCGTTCGCGTCATGGACCGCTGTGTGGCACTGTTACTACCAGATGGCATTCTGCGCTGTCAACCCACTCATTGCCTGGGTTTTCATTGCGTCGTCTTTCAATTTTGCTGGCATGCTTTTCATTGGCGCTACCTACGCTCAGATCTTACGAGCTCCACCTTACAGTCTGTCCTCATCACTGATTGTGAACGTCAACATCTGCTCTGGTATTGGCGCTCTCTTTGCTTTCCCGCTGGGTGGCATGCTTATTTCCAAGATTCTCAGTCGTCTTGCCAGACGCAACAAAGGCGTGCGCGAGGCTGAGCATTTTTTGATTGCCTATATTCTCCCTGTCCTCACTGGCGCTCTAAGCACCTTCATCTACGGCTTTGCTGTTCAACGCAAACTTCACTTTGCTTTCTTTTATCTCGCATACGGACTCAATGGCTTCTCTTGGACGACTCTGTCTATCAGCAACACCATGTGGGTCACTGAAGCCTTTCCACGGTGGGCTGCTCCGGCAATTAGTGTCTTGGGTGGTGGCTGCTATATCCTCAGCTTCGCGATGAGCTTCGCGTTAGTACCGTGGATTTCGGCTCATGGATACAAGCTGGTAGGTATTGAACTTGCGGCGCTCCAAATTCTAGGGGGGTTGGTTGCCGTACCAATCGCATTTTGGGGCAAGAATGCTCGGCAGGCTATTCATGGCAAGTGGGCTGATGAACGAGCTGGTGCGCTCCGGCCTTTGTAGAGCATGGATTGATTGGGTTCGGTCTTGTATATTTCAAAAGTATTCTATGATATCACTTCACGTTTGGTCTTCAACCCTTCTGTGCGCTTCTGTTCTTTACCCATCAGCATTGCCAACGGGCCCTTGGGCACATCCTCACGGTCCAGGAACAGCTCCACCATCCTCAGTCCAGTTCCATCTGAAAGTTCCTTATTCGCCAGAACCTCCTCGAGCTCGCCCCATGTCCTCGCTTGGGCAGTGAACGAGCCATCTTTAGCACCGAAGAAGCTCGGTGCACCGAGATATCTCCACGCTGCAACATCATTGTACGACTCTTTGAGCCCATGGATAGCCCTTTCAATCGTATATCCGTCGTTGTTCAGCACTACAATAATGACATCGAGGTTGTGCCGTATCATTGTTGAAATCTCCTGTACTGTCATCTGCAGACTGCCGTCTCCAATGAATAGTATCGTCCTGCCGCTCTTCGTCTCGCTTTGCGGAGCGCCATTCTCCTGCGATTGCATCTGCCGCAGAGCCAATGCTGCTCCCTGTGCGGCCGGCAGCATGTATCCTATCGATAACCAAGTCACAGGTGCAAAGACACGAACGTTTGGTGGTGTGCGCATTTCGCGTACACCGTAGCCAGATGTACCGGTCTCACCCATAACAATGTCGCCGGGACGGAGAAAGGGAGCGAAGAGATCCCAGAGTTTAGAATGTGAGATGACTTCGTCTTTTGCTGTGTTCGTAAAGGATGTAGTCTGCGGCTTGTTCCATGTGAGACATTCCAGGTCTGATGGTGAGTACTTTGCGATCTTGGCTGTGTCGAGTTTTGCGCAGAGCTGGGAAACGGCCAATCTCGCGGGAATATCGCGAACTATCTTGCCTCCAATTTCAATTTCTGTATCTGAGAAAACGATGCTGACTTCTGGTTTAGGCTTTGCTGTTAATGCATAGGAGTTTGTCGTGCTGAAATGCGGACCAAAAACTAGGACCAAGTCTGACTGATTGAAGAAGTCTTGTGTCTGAGCGTCATCGAACATTCCTTTGTATGCGCCCTGGAAGTTGGGAATGCTTTCGTTTATGAGGCCTCTGCCGTACGAGGTCGTCCAAATGGGCCATTGAGTGGCTTCGGCGATTGACTGAACGTCCTTGGAAATGTTAAGTGCTCTGCATTCACCATCGAACAGGATGACCGGGTGCTTGGCGGCGTACAGCTTATCAAGTACCTGATTGATAGCGTTGCTCACTGCTGCCGAATCGAGTGGCTCTGGAAGCTCAATTCGATCTTGCAATCTCGCTGCCCGAACTGGTGCACCTACCAGGTCGACTGGAACTTCGATGTATACTGGGCGGCTGTGTATCAAGCATTGTTGCAGTACTCGATCAATCTCCTGGGGCGCAACCAGGGGATCCCTCAGACTGGTTTGAGCCACTGTGATGTGCGCGTGCATCTGGCCGAATCTACGAAAGTTGCCGTCGTTGAAAGTGTGATGAACCGTGACTCGTCCGTCTTGCGTTGCCCTGTCCGGTGTTCCGACAATGTGTACAACCGGCGCACGCTCGGCATAAGCACCCGCGATCGCATTGATAGCTGACAGCTCGCCGACCCCAAAGGTGGTAACCAGAGCGCCAATGCCTCGAATTCTGCTGTAGCCATCCGCAGCATAACCTGCATTCAATTCGTTGGCGTTGCCAACCCAGAGCAAGCCTGAAGGCTCGACATAATCAAGCAAGTCAAGATTGAAGTCACCTGTGATTTGAGTTAGCAACAAGATGTCATACAACGGGATATATCTTACCTGGCACTCCATGAACAGCACTAGCGCCTAATTGGTTCAAGCGCGTGAACAGGTACTCAGCAAGTTTGATTGTTTCTGGCATTGTGAAAGAGGTCTTGGCAGGAGAGATGCTTGAGCAGGGAACAAAGTCACATTTATACCACCCGCTCTGGTCTTGAACGATCTGTCGTGAACTGGCGTGAAGGGCGACAAGGTGGGGTTCGGCTCAAGGTGAACGGCAAAGTGCGGTTACCGAGTGTGGAGAACTAGTCCGACGCTCTTTCGGGTAAGCGCAGTTTTACCCCACTGTACCTTCAGTGTTGTTTGCAGCGACATCGTGAAAGACTTGACAGAAGTCGCTGGGTTCCTGGCGCTATCCACTCATGAAAGCATGGAGGAAGTCCCTGCAGCCACCACCTGAAACGCACCCGAGGACGCCTGCACGTGGGCCCCACTCTTTCCGCAAGTGCCGGCTTGCAACTACTTTTAGCTACAACTATACTACATACAGGCACAAGGATAGCAGTCACTTAGTCGTACATACCTCGACCGCTACCCCAACAAAAGAGCTCAGACTACGTTGAAAGGAACAGCGCAATCAAAGTCAGCTAGTAGGTATCTCTTACGTTGTTGAAACAGCAACCGCGATCAGTCGTTCCCTCGGCGAGCGAGTTAGTTCGATGGAATTTATACCATGTCATGTTTAGTGATCCCCAGTACAAAATGCGCGACTTGTTTCTCGGTAGTTGTCTCATGCTTCCCTGTGCATATCCTTTCGCGAGGTCTAACGCCATGCAGCCAGGGGCATATCGGCTGCAAGATAGGATTTAAACCCTGCCCTGTTGGCACTTTACCTTTCAGTTCTCGTATGTTCTCACTGCGCTAAGCTCATAGCCTGTTGAAACTACAAAAGCAAGTAACTATTCTTGCAGCGCATAACGTGCCAACTCAGCATACAGTGAACTACCGTTCACTAGACGAATGACAATTGACACATGCTTACTTGGGTCTGCTCCAGCCGACCAGATGGTCCGATTACCCGCAACTGTCACACGTTGCGTGCAGCATTAAAAACCTTCCCATCAGTCAGTCATCTTACCAACAATCAGGCAGCATTCAGATTGACGTGGTCTTGCTTCATCACGAGCTTCGCAACGACAGCCGGGCCGCCATAGATTATACATGCCGGCTGCAGAATGTCGCCCCGGCGTTCCGGACCAATTTATGGAAGGTTAGATTTCCATCGCGCTCGATCCTTTCCAAATTATGTTCGCTCATACAGCCATATCTATTGCTAGCCCTTTAAAAATAGCAAGGACGTCACTGTACCACATAGGCTACATAAGATCTCGATGTCTCGCAGCCGGATGAATCAATCGGTACTCATGCCCGGCCCTTTTAGCATGGATCTTGGGCTTTTCGCTCTTGCATCTCCGGGCGTCGGAAGGCTTGGCCAGGGTCGCGAGGAAGTCTGGGCCATCGGGTGATTATTTGCGGGTGAAAGCGACTTCAGGGCTACGAAGACATATTGCGGGGCATGGAAAGCAGGAAGTCTACAATTAATCGCAAGTAAGGCTCCACTCTTGCCTAATTGATGTGCGGTTTCCTTCGTTACTCTATCACCGCGATTGCGCGGGCCTACCTAAGAAGGCTATATATCACCTGGCCCAACTTCAATCTTTACTCCTTCTCCATCGTCGTTAATACTCTGTTTGCTTTGCTACAGAAACTTTGCTTTCGCTTGGTCATCTTCGAATCATCTTGTTGCTTCAGGAGGAAGCAATTGAATCCGCAATGGAGAGGTCAAAGGTCTAGAAAGCGTCACCCTGACACTAAGAACATCACATGACATTCGAGCGCATTCGATATCCAAGGTGTACTGCTGTGATAAGGATGACAAACGCTCGGTAGAGCTACTTTGGCAAAGAGTACCTCGAACCATCCCCATGACCATAAAACATCATGGTAGAGGATATTCTTAGATCACGACGCCGCAAGACGCTCCACTGGTCTTATCCTTTTTCGACAGAACTGGTTCTCTAGACTGCCTTGACGGCAGCGTAGTCCCTTGGCATAGCTGTGGCGAGTATGTATAATGGCCAGGCGAGTAGGTGGTTCCATTTTGCTTTGCCCTGAAGGCTTTGCAAGGTACATAGAGCCGCCCGATGCGCCCACTTCCAGACTGCTGGCATTGGTGACCGCCACAATACAATGCTCCAATACATGACGAGTAGAAGAGCTGTTTCATTTCCTTTGGCGAGAACGTCAAGGAATTGGGGTTTGAGCGTCAGTGGCCAGTAGTAGTAGTGATCAAAGCGCCGCGGCCAGGCTGCACAGTAATCGACCCAGGCGCAAAGCCCCTTGTAAGCTTCTTGACAGAACCTTGTGCTTTGCTCCTCGTTTGAGTCATTGTCGACTTCAATTGCCATATCTGCAATTGCGCAGCCTAACGATTGTAGACTCGCCTGTAGAGCTGGGTCTGGTGGCACCTCGATCCCAGTGGTGCGCTTGACGATGAGCTGCCAGAAATTGGAATTTTTGAAGTGTCTCACAGCGTCTCTGCCAATCACGCTGTTCCATCGAAACACCTCTAAAGTATTGACGATGTTGAATTCTGACTTGGCGCAATTCGTCTGCGCAGTAAGCTCAAACACGAGCACAAAGACTTGGAAAGCGACGACAGCAAGCCAGTTGTGTTCCGTGGTCACAGGGGTAATAAGTCGAAAGAGCTCCGAAGCATGGACATGGTGCTTGTAGGCTGAGATAGGGTCTCTGGAGTCAGGCTGACCGGGTTGTCGCGGCTGGAGGGACGTAAGACTGAAAATACAGTGATAAAGGTACGGACTACTCTTTGCTTCGGTACTGAGAGCGGTTGCCCACAAGCTGCTTTCTGCTGTAGTGAACCAGGACTGATCGAGTACGGCTTTTGCAAGCCAGAAAAAGGTGCTCTCGGTTGATGGCTGATGAACATATGACCTACAAAGTTTTAATACGATGTCAAATCCGAAAACATACGACGTCGTCAAACAGATAAGAGGGTGCAAACATACCCAGTGCCACAACCAGACGCTGTTGGCCAGTAGTCTTTTATTGGTGTCAAGCTTCTCGTCTCTTGGCGAGATGAGTGGTACACTGGACCAACTGGACGCATTGAAAGGTCTTTCCTAGATAGGCCATGATAGGATATGATGCGCTGGTATTCGCATGTTTCATTCCTTCGGTTGCAATTGCCGCACGAGGGAGCTTGCATGTTGCACTTACGGTCCATCAGTAATAACTCTTCACTTAAGGATGAGCTAGCATTATTGTACGCACCTTTACCTTCCTTCGTTTGCATCGCGTACAGCCATTTCGAGATTTGTGGTGGAAGCTGCGCAGACCTTGCTTTTTCCTCGACATTATTGGGTGGCTCTTCTGTCTTTACCCCGTGCAACAAGCAGTAAGACCTCGTTACCAATCGCGCTTGCTGTTATACGAGCTTCAAACTGGCATCATACATCCTTTTGAACACGGCGTTCCGACAATGCTTACTGCTGTATCTATATCCTCGGCTTCTCCGATGCTGACATGCTGAGGAATTTGGCATAAGAAGCTGACTGTGTCTCGCCGCAGACAGGGGGCATACGAGCAACGTGATTCCGGTTATGTAGCTGCGCCATGAGCAATGATATCAGCATCCTTCACACTCGGTCTCTGCTTATGGGGTGATGTAGGAGGTATCTTCTACGCACGTATTTCCTTTTACTTGCAATCTTGACATAGATTGCGCTCAACGGAGAACGACATTATATCTGTTTCCAACGTTGTATGTCCAGGGGGCAGCGATCCGAAGACTGATTGTTTTCCAATCTTCTTGATTCCCCATGACCCGACGGTTGAGATGTACTCTCACTACTACCTTAGGTAATCCCTGTGTGTACGTGCTAACATGATATCCTCCCAAGTAGCAGCATGACTATTTGGGTAGAGGGACAGCTGTTCACTTCCGATGTCAGATCCGCTTTACATGGCTTTTCCGTACGCGAAGAAGAACTTAATGAGGCCAATGGTGCGCTTGTAAATCGCTTGTTTGCGATTGGCTTACGTTGACGCCCACAGTCTCAGCGACTAGCGCGCGTATTCTCCCCGCAATCGCTATCGCTATCGCTATCAACTTTCCCGAGTGATGGCTACCTAGACAAGCGTTAGTCAGATCTCAACCGTCGGCTTCTTGCTTTGATACTTGCCTTGCGACCTTTACGTACTCTTCGACTTACTTGCATTCAACCTCCATCTTCCGTCATAATTCACCAACAAAATGTCGCGAGAAGATGAACAACAAATGACACCGGACGAATCCCAAGAAGGATTAACGCAGGAGCAACGATACCACAAAAGCAAGCTAGGGTTAATTCGCGATACTGGCGACGAGCCGATGAACGGGTCCATCGTCACCAAGCAGCCCGTGCCTAAGGAACAAGATTCCCTCAAGGAAAAGACACCACTGCAGGCAATCTCACAGGGGGTCTGCTTGCCCGGCATCCCTCTCTTCTCGGCACACGACAAGCAGCGCGCATGGATATTGAACCACATGGCAGGAGCATTTCGTGTCTTCGCTCGGAAAGGATTCACCGAGGGTATGAGCGGTCACATCAGTGTCCGAGATCCAGCGGATGAGCACGCCTTTTGGACGAATCCACTGGGAAAACACTTTGCTCTTCTCGAGCCGTCCGATATGATATTAGTCAACTACGATGGAAAGCCGATTGGAGGTAACACAAGTCGACCAGCGAACGCAGCTGGCTTCTTGATACACTCAGCAGTGCATAAGGCGAGACCCGATGTCAATGCTGCGTGTCATACCCACAGCAAAGCGGGCAAAGCATGGAGTACCTTTGCAAAGCCGCTTGAGATGATTAATCAAGACGTGACTTACTTTTATGGTGATGCTCAGGCTGTATATACAGAGTTCGGAGGTGTTGTATTCAGTGAAGAAGAAGGTCAACGTCTAGCGGCTGCTCTGGGACCGAAGGGCAAGGGCATGATCCTGCGGAACCATGGTCTTCTGGTAAGTGCTTTATAGTGCCTGTGTTTGCAACAAGGAGCCACTGAATCTGACCTTATCAGACTGTAGGAGGAACCGTCGATGAAGCTGCATATCTATACACACTGATGGAGCGATCCTGTGAGGTCCAACTTATGGTCGAAGCTGCAGCAGCCAACGGCGTTCCTAAAGTGTACGTTGATGACGAGGCAGCAGCCTACACTTTCAAGATGGGAAGCGACCCCGAGAGTCTCTACTGGGAATTTCAGCCTGATTTGGAATACGAACAAGTACACAGCAATGGTGCTTTCGAGGTATGAGACATCCTTGTCGCTACAGCGGAGGTAGATATACATGCATATTACTTGAATAGGTCCCATCCCAAGCTATTCTTTTGATGCCGTGCGTGCGCATGGCAGTTGTCTCGATTTCAAATTGTAATTTGACCTGAGCTCATTGTTGGATCATGTGACGTTGTATTCCTGGAGGCCAAGGGTTTCCAAGCGCTCGAGATTGTGCGCCTGAGTCTTGCAGCCAAGCCACCATCTCCCCGCCGCTCTTGCAGCAAAGCAACTTCATCGCCTCAGACCTGACTCGACCCGCCCCAACTCACCACAGCAGTCTAGACTGCAGGCTGTGCATTTGCTCCCCGGCCGTGGATTACACTTCAAGCACCGACACTACTGTATGCCTAGGTAGTTTCGGAACCAGCCGCAATGAGATGAATCCAGCTACCTATCCTCCAGTGGCCGACAACGCCGCAGCTCACAAACGGCGCGTTCGCATGTTTCATCTCCTCAGGCTAAGGATGTCAAATGATGACATATTGCGATCAACCCCAACTTATGCTATAGCGCAACGCCAGGACGGGTAGAGAGCATCGATTGCGCGTTTTTCGATGGTCCGAGCGACCCTCATCTAGGCTAAAGAGTAACGCATTTCCAAGGCTTCGACAAGCATTGCAGACCTCGTGCATCATGTCGCTCCAGTCAAGTGCATTTCGGTGACAACTTTCTGCGTTCAACGGTGCGGCAGTTCGCCATGTGGGGCACGACCTGTCACCCTTGCGCTCAAAATCCTTCCCGGTAGATCGTGAAAGGGAGATCTGGCACAGGATCAGCGTACCGGTCCGAAAGGAAACACATCGCATAAGCCTCCCTGATCAGCTAGGCGAAGCTCTTGCAAGAAGCACAAGGAAGGGCTCTGTGCAAGGTGCGCGCTTGCTTCTCTGCGCCCAGACCCGAGATGTTTGTAGCCAAGGCCGCCATCTCACAATAGGAGAACTATGGCCACCAATCTGCATCTCGTTTCACCACCCGGACGAGGAATTTCCCGTCAGTTCTACAGATCAACCCTAGCATCTCCGAGGTCACGCTTGGTCTTTTGCTCCTCAAGCAAAGACTATGACGCGCCCAAGGCGGTTGTGCGTATGCATAGAAAAATGAACACTCTTGGCGGAGACGGCATTCACGACAGCTGCCTTTCAAGTGTAGTGCTTGCCTTGGCGCCTTACCGCTGCGATGCGTCGCGGAGTGTTGAGCTGCGCAAGGAGGTGCATCGACTCGTGGACTTTATAAGAAGGTCTGCTCGCAACATTTGAAAATCCTTTCCTTCTCCATCAACCCCAAGATTTTCCAATCATGTTTGTATCGTCACTAGCTGTCTTCGCTGCGCTTGCGCCTTCGATCTTTGGATGCCCACAGCACTCAAACAACAAACGATCATACCTGCAAGGGCGCCAGGACAACCCTGCCCAGAACCCCAACGTCAACACAACCCAAAACGTGTGGGCATACGAGGTACACCGAAGATTTCAAACTTATGAAGAAATCGTCGCTGATCTTGTTCATAGGCATCCTTCAACTGGGGAAAGTTGAGCCCTGACTACCGTCTTTGTCAAACTGGGACCCAGCAGTCGCCCATCGCCCTATCTCTCGGCAATGGACTCGCACTCAACCATGTCCCAACTTTCAACTACAGTGGCGCAGTGGCCGGTAACTTCTTCAACTGGGGATATGGGCCAGCGTTCACCCTCGCCCACAACGGAGACTGGACATCACACCCCAGCTTCACATACGACAACGTGACCCTCTACCTCAAGGGCTGGCACATCCACGCCCCAGCCGATCACTCGGTTGGAGGCGACCGCAGCAAGGCCGAGATGCATTTCGTCCACGTCGATGCCGAGGGCCATGAGGGCGCTGTCCTCGCTTTCCGCCTGGATCCTGGTAATTTCAATAACACGTTCCTCGAACAGCTCCCTCCGATGATCGGATTTGATGAGATGCAAGTGCAACAATCGATTGAAATGAACGTTACCCTTGCTCTGGATTCTGTGCAGTACTTCAACGAGTTCTGGACGTACCAAGGCAGTTTGACGAGCCCGCCGTGTCACGAGGGTATCAGATGGTTTGTCGCTAGGCAGATCATGTTCACTGGTGTGGAGCAGATGCAAGCGATTTTGGGTGCCAGCACTTACTCTGCAAGAGCAGAGCAAGAAGTTTGGCAGCATCGCATCAATGAGTAGTTCGGGTATGGGAGCAGATTTGACAATAAGTACACGGAAGACGCTAACGAGACATGATATCTACGTGTATGGATTGGGCATGGGGAGACGTTGTATATGTGTATTTCTCTACGTACGTATATGTTTGTAGTTAATCAAGCGCATCCAAGACTCAAAGTGCAACGGATCAACAAACAACATTGAAGAGTGACGTGTCTTATCAATCGACGTTCGGAGCGTGCAGCAACAGGCACGAAACCTCTCCACATGGAGCAAAGATGCTCAATGCATCTCAACAACACAGTACGTCATACGCGCATCAGCCCCGCAGACTGTACTTACACCAGCATCATTAAACATCGACGGCAAACTCTAAACACATCGTAGTTGTTTCCAGACTTTTGAATCCAGCTCGATATGACTTATCCTGCTCCCACACAATTAGCGACTAGCGATTTGTTTAAGCTCAATGAACACACAATCTTAGGTATAGTCTACGTCCCGGATCGTAGTCAAAAACCAAACTAATAGCATGAAAAAGTGACGGGAGGCGCCGGTGCCGTTGGCACTGTCGTCGGCAAAACAATCCTAGAGAGTGGTGGCGACGTCGTTTTCCTCGACTTAATGCCTCAAATGCCAGAAGACAAATGGCGTAGGTTCCTACTCAAACCCTCACGCTCACTACTCACTCAGACTCCAGTCGATGTCCTAGCATCAGCAGCAATAGGCAAAACAGAAGTACGCTACCACCAACTCGATGTCCAAAATGAAGACAATATCACAGCCGTCATGGACCACATCCGCACAGATTCACGCCACCCGATCCGCGGCCTCGTCACCTGCGCCGCCATTTCCGGCGAAAGCGATGCAGGCGCCTATCCAGAAGCAATCTTCCGCCGCATCCTCGACGTAAACACGACAGGCACCTTCCTTGTCGCGCGTGCCGCAGCCAACGAAATGCACCGCGCCAACGTTACAGGAAGCATCGTACTAATCGCCAGCATCAGCGGCCACGGCAGCAACCGCGGGATTAACAGCGCCGCTTACAACATCTCCAAATCCGCTGTGCACCAAATGGCTCGCTCGTTGGCTGCCGAGTGGGGGCATCCGCAGAATACGTTCCCGGGTAGCACGGTCACAGCGACGAATCAAAACCCCAGTACTGAGCCTAGGAGGGAGTATCCGCCGATTCGCGTCAACACGCTGAGTCCGGGGCATATTGATACGCCGCTGAGCGAGGGCGCAAGGCTGAGGGGCCTGACAGATGCGTGGGCGGGGCAGAATATGCTGGGGCGGATTAGCCAGCCTGAGGAGTTTAGGGCTCCGGTGTTATTTCTGCTGAGCGAGGGGAGCAGCTACATGACAGGCGCGGTGAGTTGCTAAGATATGGGAGTTGTTTAGAGACTGATGTGTGGGATAGGATCTCAGAGTGGATGGCGGCCACTGTGCGTGGTAGTTTGGGGTGCAAGGTGAACTCCTGGACGGGTCTCGGAGTATCTGTCGCGGAGGCCACTCGGCCGACGTAATTAGATGCATTTTCGAAGTGCGGGGCTCCAGATAGGAGACCTCGTGGGTAATCTATTTCTGCAGGTTCCCCGGAATTTCTGTTTCGAGTGACTGTTTTCGGATTAGTTTACAGGGTGCGCCAGGCACACTCGTGGTTGCTTGATCGTCATACTGGACGAGGGCTTCACCTCGATATCATCTAAATCGCGGTTTATCAGCACGTGGATATGATTTGACCGCGTTCAATGCGCCGAGATGTTGCGGTTATGTGATGAGCAATCGATCATGTGTCAGGCGTCAATCAGATCGACCACGACGTATATATAGTCTTTCCTCGAGACCGAGTTCTAGCTCTTTGCAAAGCAGACCAGGTTTTCAGCGATTCTTACCATATCAGACTTGACTGACGCTTGCAATGAAGTTTTCGAGGATCGTTGCCGTCGCAGTTGCAGCATGGAGTGCCTCCGCAATGCCTGCAAAGCGACAAAGCGCTCCTCGCCCAATGGAAAATCTTGGTCGGGGAGTAGTCGTTACTCGATCCAGCCCAAACTCTACCTTCATCAGCTGGCGCCTCCTGGGACTCGATGTCGATAACATCGGCTTCAACGTGTATCGCTCCGCCAACGGCGGCAGCGCCACTCGTCTTAACGCCGAGGTCCTCACCAAGGGCACCAACTACATCGACTCGACTGCTGATCTTGCAATACCCAACCGCTATTGGGTCCGCTCTGTGATCGATGGCAAAGAGCAATCGCCCGCCAGCGGCAGCTTCACACTACCCGCCAACACTGTCCAAGAGCCTCTCGTACGTGTGCCACTCCGCGCTGGTGCTCCTATCAAGTATGTCTGGGTGGGCGACTTCAACGCCGACGGGGAATACGACTACCTCATTGACCGACACGGCGTGCAGCAGGGTCTCGAGGCCTACCGCCGAGACGGGAAGTTTCTGTGGAAAGTATCCATGGGCCCGAACAGCGAAAACCAGAACAACATTGAGCCTGGATCCTCGGGCATTGACGTTGGCCACTGGGATGGAGTCACAGTGTACGATCTTGATGGTGATGGTATAGCGGAGGTTATCGTGCGCATTGCGAATGGTGTTGTGTTTGGAGACGGAACGACGTTCAGCGCGGGCGCGAATAACGATGAGCAGTTCATTGCAGTGCTGGATGGGCAGACGGGGGCGCTGCGCGCAACGGCCAAGATCCGAAACGATTACATCCAACATGGGCCTTTTGCAGCGCGACTAGGTGTCGGCTTTTTGGATGGAAAGCAGCCGCACATTGTCGCGTTCATGAAGAACCGACAGGATGACAAGAAGTTCAACCGGAATCTGGCTGCGTGGACGTTTGACGGCTCGAAGGTCACCGAGAAGTGGGTGTACGACGATCAGAATGCTGGGAGCGGGTCCGACGGACATAATACCCGTATTATCGATGTGGATGGAGACGGCAAGGATGAAGTAGGGGAGATCATGTTTACGTTGAACGGGGATGGCACGCTCAAGTACGACATGACCACCTCAGGGATCGGCCATGGGGACCGCTGGCAGATTGCGAAGATGGACCCCGATCGCCCCGGTCTGCAGGGTTATGGTGTCCAGCAGAACAATCCCAGCAAGCTCTGGGAGTACTACTACGACGCCAGGGATGGCAAGGTGTTGTGGAAGCATTATGGCCCCGAAGTAGCCGACATTGGACGTGGGTTGATCGGTGACATCGACCCAAACCACCCCGGCATGGAGTCCTGGAGCGCAGGAGGCTCGGGGCTTTACAACGCGCCTAGTGAAACTAAGCTCGAGGAAGACACCAAACTATCTCCGTGGGCACACCTGTCGCTGTGGTGGGACGGCGACGATACCGTTGAACTCTACAACGACGGCAAACTTGAAAAGTGGAATCCAGCGAAACCGACCACGTCCAACAGTCTGCCCCGACTCTTCCGTATCGACAAGTACGGCGCCATCAACCCCGGTGATCCAAACCCAGGCTTCCTCGGTGATATCTTTGGCGACTGGCGTGAAGAGGTCATTACGACCAACGCGGCGTACGATCAGCTTATCATCTTCACTACCGATCAGCCCACGGAGCGCCGTTTGTATACGCTGGCACATAATCCGGCTTATCGTAATGGGATGACGTTGAAGGGGTATCTCCAAAACGCACATGTGGATTACTATATTGGCAGTGGCATGAAGACGCCGCCGAGGCCAAATATCCGGTATGTCGGAACGTGATGGGGGAAGTCAAGTTTGAGTCTAAATCCATTGGTTATCTTAAAGAAGATTTTGTGTGCAGCATCTCATGCTTTTGCCTGGATTTCAACAAGCCCAGGCATCTCATAGCCTACAGGTAATCTGAGAAGCTCGAGCTTACTAGGCTCATCTTAATGAAATGAAGCAAAGCGGACTTTGAGAAATGGCCTTGTACGACCCTGAAACTGTGGGCTTCGACTCGGGTATATTGACAACACTCGAGGTCCCACTACTTCCCAAGTGGTTCTGAGCGAGAAAAGAGGGTCTTGGTGAGCTTAAAAATTCGATATCCGCTCATTGAACTTAACCTGCGTTACTGCCGAAACTTACATTTCGACATTGTTGCCCATATCCTGACTACCATGGCAGTTGCAGGGGTGTCGAGAGCTTCTCTGCAGGACCTAGCACAGCCTCGGCTGTCCCAATATCACTTGCAAAGTTAGCTTCACCGATAGAAAAATGCCCGAAAACAACTCACCGTGGTCCGCGAGGTGCCCAGTACTCCCCAGTCTTGCTGATGTCGAAAGTTTCGACCCACTCCACAAGTGACTTCGCCGCGACTTCAGGGGTCACTGCGCCACCGTCGTCCCAGAACTTGTCGAACCCAACTCCCTTGGTCATCTCCGTCCTCATGAAGCCCGGGTGGACGACTGCTATCGCGACGCCTCTATCCTTCAAATCCAAGCTTAACAGCTTCGCTGACATGTTGAGCGCAGTCTTGCTAGCATGGTGTCCGTAATTGCCGCCGCCCTCCTTCTCGTGTCTGAGTCCAATACTGCCGCTTTCTGAAGACACGAAAATGATCTTCGAGTTCTTGCCCAGCAGCTCGTTGTTCTCGTTGGCTAGCGTGGTGACAAGTATCGTTGGTCCAATGGCGCAGGTCCGATACATGCGCTCCTGAGCCTCGAAAGACGGTTCTTTGAGACTCTCAGTTGCGAAGTAGCCGGCCGTAATGATTATGGTATCCAAGCTAGAGACTTTCTTGTTGCGGAGATACTGGATAATCTTGCTGCCTGCATCGGGCGAGGCGATGTCGATATCAGGGATGTATGCGAAATCCTTGGCTATCAAATGTTAGGTGTGAATGGCGTACTTGTGGAGTCTTAAACGCACGGTTGGCAGGAGTATTGGTCGACCTTGCTGTAGCGTACACATTATTGCTCGCATCGGACGCATACAGCTCCGCCAGACTGGCACCAAGACCGCGGGTCGCGCCTACAAGCAAAATATTAGGCATATCGGCTTCAGAGTGATGTGAGCTCCTGGCAAGATTGACGGCAGATGTGAACAGACGCGCGGAGTAAGGACAGCAAGGATGGCGTGGTGATGACGTCGTTGGTAACATTACGTGCTTGTGAATGTACTTATCGATAAGCCGTAGAGATAGACAGCAACAGTCTGTCGTCTGAACCCTTTGATTGAATATCGATCATTATGTTTTCGATCAATCCACACTTTCCGCGTTGAGAAGGTTCTGTCGGCTCGTCATTGGCTCTGCACGCCATCTGACAAGACCAGGTTCCTCCGCTTGCGCTGAGCCGGTGCTTCCTGTTTCTCTCAAAACCTCCTTGTCCATAGCGTCCACAATGTTGCGATAACGAGTGCGCGTCTCACCCCCAAATTCAGCCAGGTCTGGCACCGTCCACTGATCATAAAGCCGTCCATGCGTGTTGGCAGGCACATAACGGCCGTGGGAGCGGAGGAACAGAAAACAAAGATAGCAGAGCCATTTCGATGTTCCGATGACTCGTGGTTGACGGAAGACTGATTCTGGAGATCCGATATTTGTCTCAGTGATGTGAGACGATTGGTGCAGAAGATCGTAGTGAACGGCCAGTTGGACCTCTGCGTGTACGTGACAGCTGGTTGCCCAGGTCTCATATCCGATTGCGGTCGGCACACTACTGTACGGTGTCAAGAAATGCATTTGTAGCTTGCTCTGGAACAAAGGAGCGTATGTTTGGCTTGTCGCCACGAGTGAGGCGGCGATGCGCCAGTACGCAGCGATCTTTTCGATTTGTCGCAGGCATTTGATAGCTGATCCAACTTTTGCTGTGGGTGTCGTACTGGGACTATCTTCTAGGCGTCGTGCAAATTCTGCGACATCCTTAGACCTGCAAAGATGCCAACTCGCCTTGATGAGCTGTTTGAGGGATTCTGACTCAACAGGCGATCCTGCTTCCGACGCCTCGAATGCTTCATAGAATGGTGCTAGATTCCGCAGGTGGTTCTCCACCGACCGTCGTGATGAAGCCTCCCTTTTAGTATACAGAAACTGGACGCGATGCAAAAGATTCGCGAAATCTTGCCATAGCGGCTTCTTGTGTTGCTTGGAGAGGAATTTCGGCTTTTCCCATTTACTGGAGCGAAGTCGGGCGAGCAGTCGACGATAATGCAACTTCACGATTCGATCGAACAACTCGTCAATCCGCGTGGACTCGTCAACCTCGTGGGTCCTCAAGGTCAGACTATCGGCTATCTGTTGCAACGAGGTCTTCACCTCGCCACTCAAGGCCAGATCTAATGCTGCGAATCGTACGGTGAGCCCAATTGGTTGGACATGTTCTTCCAGACACACAGCAGCCACGCTCTGCGCACCTTCCTCAATAGCAGCTAGAAAGGCGAAGTCGTCTGCGAGTTGCTGCTCAACCTGTAGCGGCAACATATAGCCTTCTGGCTTTTCGGATTCTTTCAAGGGGAAGGTTTGCGGATCAATAGGGACCGCATTTGTGCGCTTTTCAAGTTCCAAAAGATGCTGGCGAAACGTCTCCTCGGGAAGGGGGAGCCATATCGAGTCACCTGGATTTGCGGTGCGGGTTTCGAGTCTCAACATACGGGAATGCGTATACGTAAGGAGAGACAAGAATTCAGTCTCCTTGCACTCATGCTAGCCACCTCGCTTAAAAACACGCTACTTTGTCCCATAGGGTAGGCGACAATAACTATTGTATCCAAGACAGAACAGCTACGCTATTCCATTACAAGACATAAAAGGTGTCTCGCAGATGCTGGCTAGCAGTGTTCTACATATGCGAACGGCAAGAAAGCTCATTACCAGCGTTACCTACTCATCTCTTCGAAAAGAGCGAGCGTGTTGTGCGTGTCACTCTCGATTCCACCAGCCCTGGCAAAGTCGCTCTCGCTCTGGCTCTGGCTCTTGCTTTCTTTTTCGCCGTTCTCTTCCTCGACTTGCCCTTCTTCTGCGACCTCGAATTCTCTTGAACTTGAACATGGCTTTGCGGATTTGCCTGTGCGACTGAAGCACTTGGGCTCGAGCTGATAATAACGGATCCAGTAGCTACGTTTTGCGTTCGTGAGGATGGAGCCGCGTCTATTGTTCGACGTCGAGTAAGGGTTCCCTGCGCCCGCAGCCACTCCGCTCCTTCTGCGAGTGTATCGTCCATGTCCTCTGTGTCCGCACTGAGGTCGGATACTTCATCATCCCCGTCCAGTGTGCTAACAGATGAATCATCTTCCTCAACTGAAACCTTGCGCTTCGACTTCTTGCTTCGAAGAGTGGGCACATCTATGTCCTCGAACATGCTTGCGCCCGTCCGAGGCAGAGCAGTGTCGAAAGGATGCCCATGAACGGCTGGCAGATAATCTTCGTCGACGTCCCCATCTTCGTCGCACGGGACATAGGTGGTCTTCTGAGCGATATAACATTTGCGGAACTTGTGGACTTTGTCTCGCTTGATCGCCTCTTCGCGGCGAAGGGCTGCGCGCTTACTCTCTTAACTTTGATCAGTCGCCATATGGAATATTGTGGTCAAACCCCAACTCACCAGCTTCCTCATTCGAGAGGGTCACAGCTACCTGACGCTCATTCGCGACCTCAATACAGGCGTCACAATAGAAGTCCAGCTCAACTGTCGGCAATGCTGACTTCTTGCGCTTTTGGGATGCCTTCACCCTGGCCACATGGCTGCAGTTGGGCGCGCACCGTTCGTCTGGCTCCAGTGTTGAGATCAAATGTCCACAGTCAAGGACGTGATAGAACTGCGAGAACTGGCATTGGTCGTTCTCCGCGCTGGGTCTCACAATGGGGTACGCGATCACCTCACGGACTGGGAGGCTATCGCGCATTGAGGTAGTCGGGCTGTACTCGTTGAGACGATGGTATCTGCTAAGCAAGGCCAAGGTGATGAAGCGATGGAGAAGTGTATTTATCAGTTGAAAGCAGTGACGGCAAGGTGGAAGGAAGGTGGAGGTGCGGAAGCGTTGGGATGAGGAAGGACGTGTTCAAACCCCGCGGCAGAGGTGAAAGGGAAACAAACTGCTTCACCTCATCGCGAGAGCGCCCAAATGTTCATCATCTGAGCAAACCCAAGACGGCCGCAGAGGCAAACATGCACGTTGGCCTGCAGATCATCGGAGCTCAAAGTGAGTTTTGGGCTGCACTTGCATTGTATGAGGGTCGATTCACCCTTCGACACCAGGTACATATTGACAGACATGCTCACGCTGAGGTTGATGAAGGTGATGGTTAAGAGAGGTCAAGCGCGGCTGGGCCGCCCCAGGCGCGCTGCAGGGTCTCCACCGGCGCCGATGTCATTGACGCATCAAAAAAGTTGGGCGCGCCGCACGCCACACGTCGCACGCTGCCATCGCACATTGAGAACATCGCGCCCCAATGCCCACTGCAGGCTTAGAAACTCGTTCTCCAGCGTCATTCATTTGATTGCCCGCCACATTGGCTTCTAAAATCTCCGCCAGCGGGCGCATCACGACCGTCACGACCCGTCGCTCCTTCCACTTCTTGCGCACCGCTCCAGCGCTCCACACGTTGCGAACAGCTGCCACGCTGCACTCGGCGCCATCGCATAGGCCAAACATACCTGCACGTGATTACCGAACCTTCACGTCGACCGCCAGCAGCTCGTCGGTCACTGACCTCCTTGAGTCTCTACAAAAACTTGCTCAGTCCAACGCTGAGGCGCATACGAGCAGGCAGCCGGACACGTCCTCCCACGTGCGCACGTCTCCGCACCTCAGCAAGCGGACTACCGACTCCTTCACCAGACCGGTACGGACGCGCAGGGAACGGCCTGTGCTCCTCGATAGCATCGTCACCGAATTGGTTGCAGAGACGAGGGCTGTTCCGCACGAGGGCCGCTTGTTCGCCGGCGGCATGTCCTCGAGCATTGAGTTCATCACTACCCCCACAGCCGACACGCCGGGCACGACCATAATTCTGCGCACCCAGACTAGCAACCACTATGTCTTCGGAAGCCAGGCCGAGGGCATCCAGCGCGCCCTCGTGCAGCAAGGCACGCGACTGCTGAAAGTCAAGGACTTCTTTCTCTCTGGCAGGACTGAGTGGAGCAATGTGGGTGGCATGGCCGGCATGATGCTGACCATGACCGATGCCACCTCGACCTCGTACGCCCAGAACATGATCACTTGGGAGAAGTCGAAAGAGCGCGGTCGCGTCTCCGACCCGCCGGTCAAGCCTCAGTTCAACATCTATGGCCCACCCAATCTCAAGCACATGTTCGGCACTTGTCGTCGCTTCATCTTCCGCAAAGGTGTGCCGATCGTTGCCACCGAGTACACAGACAAGAATCTGGCCAAGGGCAGCGACGGTGCCCCTCTGCCTGTGTTTGAAGACGACTTCCTTCAGGTCTGGGCGCTGCCCGTCACTCCGCTCCGCAATCAGACAGATTCCGAACATGACGCAGAGCTGGAGGCCGAGATCCAGCGCTGGGAGAAGACCGGTAACACGTTTGAAGACCACCAGGTTGTGGACAACGAAACACGAGAAGAGCGCCAGGCACGCCACGATCGCATTCGAAGCGCCACCGTCAAACACATGTTCGATTCTAGCTGGAGCTTCGATACTCTTGTCGAACGCCACATCTCCGAGGTAGAAATGCCAACAGGTCTGTTCGTGCGCAATCCTGATGGCCACGGCTACAGACCGTATACCGGGCCCAAGCCGGGTGGTACAGAGCCTCTTCCTGACATCATGGTCTGGACCCGTACACCCTGGCCTGGGGCAAAGATCATGTCTCTGCCGCCAACGAGACCTGCCCCCGAATCCATATCATACATTGTACGCACTTATCCTGCTCGCGGTTCTTTCGATGTCAAACGTGCGAAAGAGCTTGGTGTTAAACCAGGGCCAGACTTCGGCAAGCTCAGCAGCGGCCAGTCTGTACAGAACGCAGCCGGTGAAACGGTCACTCCGGAGCAGGTTCTTGGTCCAGATAGGCCTGGCCAGGGATTTGCTCTGCTTGACATCCCATCCATTGAATATCTCGAGGCTGCTGTTCAGCGTGATGAATTCAAGTCGCCCGTTTTGATGAAGGGCATTGAGGCCTTCATCTGGACGCTTGGACCAGGCGTCGCTGGTCATCCTGTCTTGAACGACTTCATGGCCAAGTTTGACAACATCAAGCACATCATCTCTTCTGCCGATGTCACCCCCAACCGCCTAGCCTTCGACTCTGTGGCTGGCCAGACCACAAGACTAGCTCAGGTTGACCCTGTTCGATATCAAATACCTCAATACGACCTAACAAGTCTCCCGCAGAAGAAACTTGTGGAATCGGATCAGATGCAGCAAACGATAGACTTGCCCAAGAACGCTATCTTCGCTGACAGAGGTCTTTCTGCCACGCTCATGCCAAAGTTCGACCTGAAGCCCGAGACAAGGCAAACTCCCTTTGACTCGGAAGCAGCCAAGAAAGAAACAGCTGCAGAGGTGCTGGAGCTCGCCAGCGCGGCGCAGAAGGCCGTCAAGGACTCACAAGCGAGCTTTGAGTCATGGCGGGCTCTCCTGTCTCATCCAGACACCGAGATCACCACACTCGGCACAGGCTCAGCGCTACCCTCAAAGTACCGCAACGTGTCGGCAACACTTGTTCGTGTTCCAGGAGTAGGTAATTACCTTTTTGATGCCGGCGAAAACACTATGGGCCAGCTGCAGAGAGTGTTCACACCAGAGGAGCTCACTCAGATCCTAAAGGAGCTGCGCGTGATCTGGATCAGTCATCTTCACGCAGACCATCACCTAGGTACCGCATCAGTGATCAAAGCCTGGTACCGCATCAGGCATAACAGCGTACCCAATTCCTCGCTTCCCAACGCTACAACAGCTGCCAGCGATGTCGACAACTTTGGCCTTTCTATCATCTCCCACGACGGTATGCTCCAGTGGTTGAAGGAGTACTCCTCCATCGAGGATTTCGGCTACTCTCGCATTCTCCCCCTGGAGATCTCCCCCGCAACGCTCGGAACCTGCGGCTCGGACCTTTCTATAAACGGCAAATCGACATCAAGAGACCGTGTTATCAAGCGGCAAGACTACCAAACACTCTTTGGGCTTGCAGACATCCAATCCGTCCGCGTAGCGCATTGTCACGGATCCATGGCCGTCAGCATGACCTTCCCGCAATCCTCCCCGGACCGCGACGTTAAACCTCTAAAAGTATCCTACTCAGGTGACTGCCGTCCTTCGCGGCCGTTCTCGACGATCGGCAAGGACACAACCGTCCTCATTCACGAGGCAACCTTCGACGACGAACTCTCAGGCGACGCGCGCGCAAAGAAGCACTCGACGACGTCCGAAGCGCTCGGCGTCGGCGCGCGCATGGACGCCAAAGCCGTTGTGCTGACGCACTTCAGCCAGCGGTACCAGAAGATCCCCGTCCTGCAGACCGTCCAGGACGGCGACTCGCCCTCAGCCGAGGACGATGCCCTCGCAGCGCCCGAGGACGCAGAGCCCGAGACAGACGAGGTAGACCCCACCACCGACTCGACGGCACAGAACAGCGACATCCGACCCCCGCCCGCAGTCCCGCAGCCGACCCTCGTTCACCAGTCGAGCTCGCTGGCAGAAAACGGGCGCGTGATCAAAGTCCAGAGCAAGGACATGAAGGTCGCGATCGCGTTTGACTACATGCGCGTCAAGCTGCGCGACATCATCGAGCTGGAGAAGTACAACGAGGCGCTCAACGAGCTGCTGGTCAAGGAAGTCGCGGACGAAGAGGGTGAGGCGAAAGGGGACGAGAAGGGAAAAGAGGTCAATGCGAATGGCAAGCGGATGAGCGAGGATGACGCGGAGGGAAAGGGCAAGGGGAAGAAGCAGAAGAAGAAGTCAAAGGGGACGGAGAAGAACAAGAGTCAAAGGAACAATTAAGTTCAAGGTTGTGATGAAAAAGAAGAAGTAGAAGAAGAAGAAGGAAAGGGATTTCCATCAACGCGATTTTCGCGCAGCTTTACCTGCGGGTCACCGAATTATGAGATGTGGTGTAGAGCGTGCAGTGACTGGGTCATCAATTGTGACATGGATTTGTCCACGACTCACCACGAGACCCGTCAAAGCTACCAACGCGTGATGCCCAGACTTCATAGTGACATTTGAGACTCGTCGCAGCAAAACCGCTGAGCGCGAGATTCTGGCGTCTGGTGTTCGTGTCGATATGCCTCGCCACCTCACGATACAAGTAAACTTGATGACCAGTGTCGTGCTAGCTTGTCTAGCACATCATACAGATTTCCACATGACGATCATGTACCGCGACCACCTCCCATGCCCCCTGGACGACGTTGCGTCGTGCTCACAACATGCCTGATTCAGTGAATTCGCACTTCTGCGACGTGCACATCGAAATGTCAATCACGATGTCTGTATGGCGGGCAAAACGAGCCGCCACGCTCAGAGCACGAGGCGGACTCATGGCCAGCCCGGGCGAACCAGCAGTGCAACGCGATGAAACCGTGCGCGTGATGCAAGGTCCCGTGGCCGTACTACTAGGCTGCAGTTCTACAAAGTGACATGTAGTGTCATGACCGTGTGATCGGGAGCGCACCAAGAGGGGCTCAGAATGCTCAGGGCGCCCAGGAGCCCACTTTGACGAATCAGGTGGAGACCGCACAACGACCGACGGCAAGTCATGCAACAGGCTAGATAGCCTCGTTCAATAGCAGCTTTCGGCGGACGGCGCAGTGCAATTGCACCGCGAAAAGAATGGTGGTGGCAGCCTCAATGGCGTGGGCATCCGTGCCACCCAGGCAGCTTGCGTAGCCACAGACTGCTTGCCCAGAAAACAAAAGTGGCCTGACAGCTTTTTCCTGGAACATGGTAATATCTGGCGATATAATGACTAGGGCCATCGCCGAAGGTGGTGGGATCCTTGCATGTGTAAGTGTACCACGGTGCCGTTGCATGAATACCAATCTCCCTGGACACGAGTCAGCCGAATACCACGTCAGAACAAGGAAATGAGAACCAGCGTTGCGCTGGCTGGTAACGCGTCCTTGCGTGCGAAAGAATGTGCACCAAGCCCGACTGGCGGTCTGCCATTGAGTCAGTCTTGGTTAAAGCAGCGGATGCTGCGGACGGTCTTGGTGCGCAGTCGTGATCGTGCAAATAAGCGTGTGCTACATTTGCAGTCAGCGAAAAAGCACAAGACACAAGGGCGCTGCGCGTATGTGACCGAAATGTACGCAGCCGCTGTCAGCCACGGCGTTGATGGCAGGCGTGCCCCAGGGGTCCGGAGACGACCGGCTATGTTTCGTCTCCACTTCGAGGGATCTGCATTAGCGGGGGATGGGCGATCAGCCAGTTGGAGGCAATACAGGGCGGTCGGACAGACACGCATGTGGCTGAGACCTCATCGATTAAGAAAGGTGCCCCTGGAGATGGCAAGATTGGAGCTGGAGAAACAGCAAAACTCAGGTTGCTCAGGGCTAGAAGATTGCCACAGCAGCCATGCGTAATGGCGAGACACAAAAGCTGCAGGCTTGAACGGTTCGATTACATTTCGTACAGCGTGCGATCGCTTTCGGTGCGATGTTTATTACTCTCACGATATTGCATCCCCCGCGTTGGACCTGATCGCCGTCCAGAGAACGGCAGACGTAGCACCATTGTGGTGGGCCCCGCTTCTGCAATGTGATGAGATGTGATGGATCGTTGACAGCTCGCAGCGGATCATTGGAGATTGGCGAACAAAAGCATGCGTCGATCATAGTTCCGCCGAACTGGTTGGGTTGCTTGCTTCTTACTCGATGACAGCAGCGCCATGTTCAGGTCGCCGGCAGGCACAGGGCGCACCGCATGGGTCGAACGCCTGGTATGCTGCTTTGATCGAAATGAACTTGTGGAGTCGTCGCGAGGCTTCAGTGCATGAGGCCACCAATCAGGCTGCAGTGAGGTATTGCTGAGGGGAAGAGTGATAATGTGAGGCGAAGAGGATCGTGAACCCTGTAAGAAGGGGCGACGACTAGTACCTCTCCCAACGACGCAGCACCGAGGCAAGAGCACAGGTAGCCCCGAAGAAGCCGTCGTCTATAGAGAAATGATGCAATGAAGCCTCGGAAGTGTCTATAGTACTAGAATCGTCTATGGTACATTTGCTGCCCAATCGCACAGCCCAATCATGTCGTCTCGTGCCGTCATATCATCAACAACCCCACAAACCCTGGCGTCCATGGTTCACGCCTCTAAGCTTGGGCACAAGCGAAGGAATGTCTATTGCCACCCAATGTCGGGCGTGCAGACGTTGAAGACCTTCCTAACTCTCTTGTTGCAAGGTTCGAGACCACCGGACGCTGCAGCTGAGCATGGACATACCGGTGACTTGCTGCATGCCGCTATGCCCAGTCTCCACAATACCATCATCCTCCCCGTTTCGCCACTCATTATCGTAGACTCCATAGACTGACCAGCGCCTGCGCAGGCCTGTCAATGCCTGCATTACCAAATCCGCCGTAAAACCTGAATCCAAAAATCCAGATATGCCTTTTTCCCCTCGCCAGCGCCTGTGACATAAACAAAGGATCCACCCATTCCATGTCCCAGAGAAACAGGTGCAGATACCATCCCTTGGCATGCATGATCCGAAGTGGAGAAAGAGACAAAACAAAGCGGTAAGAAGAAGCGGTGGTGCGGTGCGAATCGAGAGCGAATCCGCGGATGCAAATACAATTGACACAGGAAAAGCCATATGCAGAGAGCCGCCCGGTACAGTGTCCACCGCCATAGCGGCACCCATCAATGTCTAAGAAAGCAGAAAAGGAAAAGGAAAAAAACGGAATGATGCATACTCAGTACATGTACAGAAGAAAGGGAATAGACCCGGAGATGGAGCGTCGAACCACACAGTCAGAGAATTAGATGGATACGAAGTCGTGCGTGTAAACTGTGAAGCTCGCAAAAGGTGGCAGTGGTTAAGCCGCTGGCACACTGCAGTCGCTCTGTAAAGTGTGGTGTGTTAACGTCTGCGCACATTCGCGGTGGGGCGCTGTGCAGAGGAGCCGGCGCCCACTTCCTCGAGCAAGTCGAGACATGAAGTCAACACTATTGGCAATTAGCAACGCGCAGGACGTGGGGAACGTAGCACTCACTTGCAATGATCTCCTCCTCCCACACGCCCATCTGATAGTCGACCAGACCGTGCTTCTCCATGTTATCGCAGTTCTTCACGAGCTGCGTGCCCATCTTCTCGAGTGTGTCATAGTCGATGAGCGTTTGCGGCGGCTGTGGTCGCTGGCCCGTGCTGATCATTTCCTGTGTCATGGTCTTCTGCTTCTGGAGCGTCGAGAGCCAGCAGGTGTTGAACTCTTCCCATAGCTTGAGGCGCTGGGCGTAGTGGGTCTCGTCGTCGCGCACTAGGCCTATAGTCAATTCAGCTATTCGTTCAGCCCGGAGCTCGCGAGGAAACTTACCCAGTGTCTCGGCCCAATGCAGCAGCCACTCTGACAGGCGGTGTAGCTGCGCGCCAGCTTCGTTGATGCGCCCGTCGTGCACGTACTGGAATGTCTTCTTCAGCTCGCTCTGGTAGTTGTTGTAGAAGTCGTCGTATTCGTTGCCGCTGCCGTGCTGCTCGCTATAGCTGCCCGGCTGCGAGTAGCCGGCCTGAGCGGTGGCCTGGTGGTTGTCTGACATGCCGCCGGCGGTGTATGCGGGCGCGAGCGGTTCTCGTCCGACCGGGGCTTGCTGCGCTGTATATCCTAGCGAGGGGTACTGGGAAGGGACGTTTTGCGTTGCAATGGCGGCTGCAGGCGCGCTCGTGGGACCACCCTCGCCGGCCACATTGTAGTATTGCGGTTGTGCGACCCCAAAGCCGGTGCTCAGGACCTCTATTGCCGAGTCCCTGTTTTGTTGGTACGGTTCCACAGGCTCATACTGTGACGACCCTGTCGCAGAGCCCTGCGCGCCAGGCACGCTGTACATGACGTTCTGGCCATAGGGCGAGTATTGCTGCTGCGCTGCACGCTGCTGCTGCGGTTGCTGGTCTGGGCTGTAGCCCTGCGCGCCGTAGGACACGCCCGAGGATTGAATCGACGAGCCGACAAACTGTGAGCCTTCCCCGTAAGCGTAGCCGTAACTCTGCGAGCTGGGGCGGCTGCCGGAGGACGGGGCAGAAGTGGGCGGGGCAGGAGCAGTCAAGGGCGCCTGCCTGAAGCGATCGGATGCGCTTACCACGGGATATGAGTTCTGCGGTGGGAGCAGCGTGCCTTGCTGGCTCGCGTAACCTGAGGGGTTTTGCCGCGGCCGACGGTCATTGTCCATCCCACCCAGCCGGCCTTTGAGCTGCAGACTGAAGGGCGGTTCGAGTGCCCGGTACCCTAAGGGCGAGACTGGTGGCGTCGCGTAGTTGGCCAGCTTGCAGACCTAGAGTAAGACTGCGAAGGGACGCAAGAGTCGAGACAAGAAGGGCGCGGAATGGAGCGAGTGTCTTGAAGGTGACGACAGTAAGAGCTATGCTCAATTGGAAGGTTGTGCGAGAGGTACCAAAGGTCAAGACGGGACGGAGTGAGAGAATTGGGGGTTGATGGGGTGGTGACGTCCGAATTGAATCGAATTGGATGGGCCAGAATGGTCGCAGCTACAGGCGCAGATGGATGATATACACACAATCCCGGCGCGTCGACAGGCCCGCCAATGGAGCCCGATGATGCAAAAAAAGTAGCTGCGGGCAGAAGCCTCACTGACGCGCGTGATGTGCCCGGGGTATCCTCGTACGGCTGCGACGAGGATCTGTGGCAGTGAGACTGGCAAAACCCGGAATGCTTGGTCCCGATGTGGAAATGTTGGAGAAGAAACGAGCCTGAATGTGGGCCAGCTAGACACGTAGCCACTAAATGACAGGAAATAGTCCGGCAAAAGCAAGCGTGGAGAACCTTGCGGGCGGTGGATTCTGGTGGTGAGGCACGGCGAGCGTGCGTGTTTGAAGGGCAGTCCTTGCACGCAATTGAGTTTTCAACGAGTCGGAAAGATAGCGAAGCGCTCTAGCAGATCGGCTCAAACAGCTTAAACGTCTGCAGCCGGCGGTAGCTTAACGGCTCTAACGCGTGCTGGGGTGCTCTTCACGATACCTGTACAGGCAGTGTCTTGGACAGCTACCCGGGCACTAGGTGGCGCAGTGCAATTGCAGGAGGGAAGTGAAGCGGTTGGCCCGAGACCAGACGGAAAAGTGCGACAATGGCTAGATTGGGGCTCGCTGCTCGCTCAAAGAGGAAGACAGACGGCGTGGTCGGTTCTCAAATGAAAGTGGTGACGGCACGGCGGCCAGCGTCACGAGCTGCTCGCAGTGGTTTGACGAGGAGCTCGACGTCGGCTCGCGGCTGCGCAGAGCAGGCGTCCGGCAGAGGCCCAAGCTGGGGCAGGGCGAGAACAGAGTGGGGGGATGTGCTTCCGTGCTGGGGTAGCTGCGAGGCGCGGTGCTGGGTGAAGTGAGGGCGCAGAGCCACCTTGAGCGCTGCAGACGTGCAGACGTGCAGGCTCAGAGCATCGACACCGAATGTGCGAAGCGAAAAGCAACTCGCCCACGCGCCACCGGCGAAACAGAAAGTAAATACAGGGCCGGGGTGTCTCTGAGCTAGAGAGGCACCAGCAGCGCAGCAGGCCGCGCTGAGAGCCCGCTTTGAATTGGAAGAGTGGGTGTGGCTGCGCCGAGTGGGCGCACGCTGGCGAGTAAGGAGGCGTGCTCAACGAGCTGGCCACGGTGGACAGCGTACCTCGAAATCTCCGTCTCCGATTTCCGAGATGGCTATGTCCTGCCCTGGACGAGCTTGGGCGGGGCTAGCAGGCTCGCAGCCACCCCTGCAAGCCATGGTTACAGATCGCCCTGGTGGATCTGCGCCTGGGCTGCCAGTGCTGCAGGGCACCAGCGCGCCTGCTGGAGGAGTCGCGTTGGGAGCAGCATGCCCACCACACGCTGTCAACCAGACTGCGCTGGACGCTCGGCATTGCGCGACGGCTGGCCTTTGTTCATGCGCCGGTCTGGTTCGCTGCCCCCTCCCCCCTCGACCCTGCGCGGCTCCACCGCGGCCACACTGTCGCCGTGTTGCTGGGTCTGGGAACACCTCCTGCAAACACGCTTGGCGTCGACGCGTGAGCCTCGCCCGCGAGCAGCAGCGAGGCCCAGCAGCCCAGCAAGGCCCAGCAGAGGCCCAGCAGAGACCCAGCAGAGGCCCAATGCGCGCTGCCAGCATGCCCGGCGCTGTAGCAGTAGCGTTTCATGCACGAGAGGGTCAGGCTGCGAACGCACGGCTGATTCGTTTCTCTGTGCCAAATCATCAAACCGCAGTCGAACCTCTGCAGCATCAGCGCTGCTTGCTGCTTTGCGGTTCCCAGACTGGTGTCGCGGCTGGGCCTGCGCGTGCACTGTGCGCACGACCACAGTCATTTGCTCTACCAGACGTGCTCAGGGGCGGTTATTTCGAGCAGCGTCCATCCTCGAACAGGACATTGCTCCCTATGCGGGCGCCCGCCGTTCGGCAGCGTGTCCAGGATTGCCGCATCTGGGCGATCATCCACTCGCTCCAGCCTCACTTGTCGATCACTCAGCAAGTCCTCTTTCTCCGCACCTCAAGCACTGAAGTCCGCGTTGCCGCGCGCGACCGAGAGTTCGTCAGCAACGTCTCGCAGGAGCCGAGTTGCAGGGCCATGCAGTAGAGCAGCAGCAGGCCAAGCGAGCCGTCGGAGCTTCCGTCCTGGTTGTCTCACTGGCTCCTGTCTGCAAGCTGCTGTCATCTCTCCAACCTCAGCGCTCAGATCAGCCTGCGTCGCCAGCTTCGACACATGACAATTCGTTTGCCGGCGCGGAGAACAGCACTGTCGTCACTCTCACGGTCTCACCGTAGCACGACTCGTGGCCCTGCCTCTGTCTCTTGCACCGGCTGTGCTCTGCCGCGCTCACCGTTCTTTGCTCACGTGCCAGTACTGTAACCTTTACATCTCCATTGTACGGTGTGTTCTTTTACTGCAAGCACACACAAACGACCGCTAAATGAAACAAGCGTCGTTCGAGGTACCCGGTCTGCGTACAGGCATCTTGCGGCCGAGGTGCGTCACTTGTTCTCAACGGCGATCATCTGGCGACCCTGGCGACCCTGGCCCCCGAATGTATCACGATGCGTTGTGGAAATGACACAGGGTCACGGCGAACATGCTTCGAGAAGGTTTCATTTTGTTCGAGAAGCACACATTGACCACTCTTCATGGCTTGCAACCGTATTGCCGACCCCCAGCCCTATCGGCTTGCGAGTCAGATTGACTATCGCAATTACAAACAATCATGTCCTGGAGCACATCAGCTCACGAGGCGAGGCTGGTTCCGCGCTTGCCCGCATCAGGCTGCAATGCGTCACTAGCCCGCTTCTACTGAACAAATCGTCTTCGCCGTTGAGGCTGTTTCCGCCCTACCCGCTGCCGTTGACGAGATGCATCCAAGCGAAATCCTCACGAGTAAGATCGATCAGAATGACGACAAGCGTCGCGGCGTGCAGCAATACGGAATCTCTCCAATTGGCGGAATTGCAGAACTTACCCACACTCGTTACGTCTCCGTCAAATGCACTCACGATGCTTGCCACTGCGAAGTACCGCGTAGACCGCCTGTAGGATCGATCGCCGGTATCGTGTTCGCTTATGCCCGTCAGGTGAGGTCCATGTCTTCGGCCGATGTCCCGTCAAATTTCGCACCCATTTCGGAGGACTGACGCTTGGATCAACGCGAATTCAGCCAGCCAGTGATGTACTTCGGTCGACATCCAACCCAAGGTCAGCTGCACGACAAAGGGGAAGTTACACGCAAATAGCACATGAAGGAGCATTGTCATGCAAGCATTTTCTCATCAATCTGCTTGTCAGCCACCTCCATTTTGCGACACGGAGCATCGCCGAGCTTCAGGCAGCTCAAGCTCTGGGGCTATGTCATCCAGCAGACCCTGTCCATCCTGATGCATAGTGCCAACTGGATCCGAGGTGTCAAAAAGATGTCCGCCGGGTACCAACGGGGTTGCTGTACCACATTCCAGGAATTGGGTTCTTACACGTTCACAACATATCATGAAACGTCTCCACGAGCTGTTTCGACACCCATCCCAGCAGCCAGTACCTTGCGACAATGGGAGGGACACAAACGGTTACTTGTCACACAACAGCCGTCAGCGTTTCAGTCAGTGCCCATCCCAGTACAGATGGTTCTTCCGAGCATGCAACACAAGCATTTGTATTGGCTGTCATGGACACGTGGCGAGAGGTTTCGATGAAGACCTTACTGCCGCGTATGAGAACTTTCTGTCATGCAGACCGCAGCCGGAAATGTTTCTTCTCTGCTCATCATCACGCGACACTGGGTGTCAGTTACAGCACAGTGTAGAGTTTGACAGGCCAACTCGGGGCGCCTGTGACAGTAAATCTTTGAGAGTGATCTCGCCAGTGGGCAATTTCCACTTGCGCAAAACCTGCATACATTTTTAACATGATCTTACAGTACTTTGCCTGGTGTGCTGGCTGTGCGCCATGCGTGCTATCTACATGATCCATCTTACATTCAACTCCGTACAATGCCAACAAGTTCGAAGATATACATGATGTACAAGAAGATGCAACCTCAACGCTTGACCCAGGTAGGCATCTTGCGCGCCTTGAGGTGACCAGGCTTCTTTCTCTCTACCTTTCTCGGGTCACGAGTGACACAGCCGGCTGTGAACAAGTTAGCAATTGCATTACACGCATTGATGGCCCGGAGGTCTGCATGGAAAGTCTACGTGGACTTGCGTTTTGGCGATGCAGACACGACAGCAGACAAAGCCAGAAAAATTGAAGCGCAAGGCGTAAAAAGGGCCAGGGAGAACAGTCACTCGACTTACCTCGTCGCAGAGCTGGTTTCAGCGCTGGCTCATGCACCAACAGCGCTTTCGCCACAGCCAGTGTCATGGCTTCTGCCTGACCAGTCGATCCACCACCTTTCACTAGCCCGAACAAGTTGTACTTGTCGAGTCGCCCGCTAGCCTTCAGCGCCCACACAGCGCTCTCACGGTCGTGCAGGCGCCCAAAGTACTCGGTGAGGGATTGGCCGTTGATCAACACCTCACCCTCTCCTTCCACGAGCCATGCCACCGCAGAGGATGTCTTCCTCCGCCCAACACCTTTCGCCCTACCCAAATCGTCGATGACACCAGGCTCCGGTTTGACATCGCCGGGCTGGTTTGGCTTCTTGTAGCGCTGCATAGCCTCAACCACTTCCTGAGGCATCAGCTGCGGGTGGATGCAGTTCAGCCTGCGCAGAATGTGCATCATCTTGTGGAAGCGCTGGGTCTTGACAGGCTCATTGGTCATGATGCGGTACTGGTCGACAGTCTTCCACGCAACGTTGGGTGCTTCGGCCTTCGGTATTGTGGGCAGGGTGGCAACTGTGCGAAGAAGGGCAGACAGCGAGAGGAAGTCGTCGGTGAAAGTAGGCTTCGCGCTGAAGTAAGATGGCGACGCAGGCACAACGCGCAGTTTCCGCAGGAGGGCCGCGCTCTTGTCCTTTCCATCGCCGTTTCCATCGTCCTCCTTTCCATCTCTAGCCTCGAAGTCGAATGGCTGTGCTGCTACAAAGGGCTCTTGGGTCTGGGTCTCGACTTCGGCGGGCCTCGATACGGTCGTAGAGATGCATCGTGATGTCGGAAGTTGGAGGCTGCGCTGTGCGGCTCGCGCGCATTGTGTCCGTGGCTGGCTCCCGAACGCGCCGGGAGCCCTCGAGAGGCATTGCGCAAGCGTCCTGCACACCATTGTGCCGTGTAGTCGAACCGAGATGTGCGTGGGTGCTGCTACCGGACAGCAGAAGTTGGCGATGGCCTGCACGCTGCTGCTCCAAAATCTAAGCCAAGATTGGGCCTTGCTGCCGCTAGGCCGCTGCGGTTTTAGCGAGAAAGCGAAAACCATCTTACCCCCACTTCGACCCAAACAACCTTTTTTCTTCCCTCCAACGCCTCTCCTTCTCTTGATTGTACAGTTCCGCCCACGGTATACCAGCAATCATGTCTTTCGGAAAGATTTACAGCTACAGCGTAAGTGGTTTGCCCTGCCCGCGCTGCCGTACCACTGTTCGCGCGGGGACCAGCACTTGAACTTGACTGACAGCCCCTCAGGGTAACCCGCGCACCACCTCCCTCCTTGCGGTCGCAAAGGAGAACGGTCTCGACATCGAGTTTGTCGACACCGAGCCCGCCAAGGGCGTCTCTGAGCAGTACCTGAAGCTCAACAAGCTCGGAAAGGTCCCCACCTTCGAGGGTGCCGATGGCTTCGTTCTCTCCGAGACCATTGCCATCGCTGTCTACCGTAAGTACCCCGCATGCCCTCCCCATGGCGTAATATGATGTGCGAATGTCATTCATTCAGTTATCCCTGTCTGAAAACTACTGTTGAAAAAAGTAAACTCCTGATCTACGTTGGCGGCCATTGTGCAATTTTCACCACCATTCCATGGTGACTCAGTCGCTGACCGCCTCCAGTCGCTTCCCAGAACGAGAAGACCAGCCTCCTTGGCAAGACCAAGCAGGACTACGCCACCATCCTCCGCTGGATGTCCTTCGTCAACACTGAGGTCCTCACTCCCCTCGGTGGTTGGTTCCGCCCCATCGTCGGCCGTGACCCCTACAACAAGAAGAACGTCGACGACGCACAGAAGGCTGCCACCAAGGCCGTCCACGTCCTCGAGGAGCACCTTCTTACCCACACCTACCTCGTCGGTGAGCGTCTGACTCTTGCCGATCTGTTCGCCACCAGCATCATTGCCCGTGGCTTCCAGTACTTCTTCGACAAGGCGTGGAGGTCCGAGAACCCCAACGTCACTCGCTGGTACGAGACCGTCTACAACACCCCCAGCTACTCGGCTGTTGCTGGCAAGCTCGAGTTCATCGAGGAGGCCATCAAGAACCAGCCCCCCAAGAAGGAGGCTGCCCCCAAGGCTGAGAAGCCCAAGGCTGCCCCCAAGCCCAAGGCCGCTGAGCCTGAGGAGGAGGACGAGGCCCCCGCTGCCCCCAAGGCCAAGCACCCTCTTGAGGCCCTTGGTCGCCCCACCTTCGTCCTTGACGACTGGAAGCGCAAGTACTCCAACGAGGAGACCCGCGAGGTTGCCCTTCCCTGGTTCTGGGAGAACGTCAACTTCGAGGAGTACTCGCTCTGGACCGTTGACTACAAGTACAACGACGAGCTTACCCTCACCTTCATGACCTCCAACTTGATTGGTGGTTTCTTCGCCCGTCTTGAGGCTTCCCGCAAGTACATCTTCGGCTGCACATCCGTCTACGGCGAGTCCAATAACTCCATCATCAAGGGTGCTTTCCTTGTCCGTGGCCAGGAGGCTCTCCCTGCTTTCGAGGTCGCTCCCGACGTCGAGTCCTACGAGTTCTCCAAGCTTGACCCCACCAATGCTGAGCACCGCAAGTTTGTCGAGGACCAGTGGTCCTGGGACAAGCCCATTGAGGTTGACGGCAAGTCCTACGAGTGGGCCGACGGCAAGGTCTTCAAGTAGATACCTTGCTAGTTTGCGGTGTGCGTTTCGTTAATGATGCGGATGATTTACGACCTGGAACCGGAGGGTATGAGGGATGGGTATAGTTGATCGAAAAGACTGCTATGACCCGAACATAAAAGCCAAAAAGCACATGTTCAAAACGTCCAAACTAGGTCTCTTTGCAATAACGTGATGGTTTTCATATGGTGCTCGCGTCAGTGTCTGGTCAACTTACTCCTGTGGTTCGATGTACTGCTATTGTCAACAACTCTCAGCAGTTCATCTCATACGTCAATCTTGTTCTCAACCTAAGGCTTAGCGTGCAGGTGTCAACCCGAACAACTGACTCACTGGGCTTTGAGGGACTCAAGAGGCCGACTTCTCGTTAGCCTAGTGACAACGAGTATGTAAGCATGCAATAGAATGCGCCGTCCGCCGCACAGTCATCACCAATGCATCAATAGCACAAAGACGCGGTCAGATGCACCGATCGTGCACACGCTACGACGTGCTGTGCATTGGTTCCCGCATTGTTCGGCAGCTTGGCGTGGTGTCTGCGGCTGCTCTTGTCCTCAACGTTGGCAATCTCAGCAAGGCAACAAGATCAGCATGTCGCCGATACCCCAGACCTCAGCCCTATCTGCCCGCAACGACGACATACCTCTAGGCGCCCCGAGGGTCTGGAATCGTCGAGGGCTCGATCTGTCCTCGAGCGCTCGAGAGTTGGTTTGTGGCGCAAACTACCCCACAAAGCGCTCATGCACTGATTGGCCAACCTGAGCAGCCGCAGTCACGGCTTCGTTGGCGCAACCAGCAACGGCGCAGGAAGAGACGGGAAACAAGGGCGCGACTTCTGCGGCCCTCCGTCCTTCGAGTCTTCTTCAACTTTTTGCTTTCGCACTTGCGATCAGACGTCACTGGATCGGCGGGGAACCACACAGTAATCCACCCATCGCGCACCCTCGCGCAACACTTGTTAAGCCTTTCTGCTTTCGCACACCGAGAGTGCGCCGCAGGAGCGCCGCTGTCGTGGGAGCGTAAGAGCCGCATTTTGAGCTGAGTTCTGAGGCTGAGTTGGAAGAAGAAAGAGCTTGGATCATCTTCATCGACTCGACCTCAACTCAGGGTCCGGCTAGCTGCGATAGGGCTGTGGATCGAGGGCACTGTGTGCGACGTCGACGTCGATCAAGGGCGTTCGGGGTTGCGCGGCAATACTCGATCGCGGGGAGACACCTGGCTTGCACGGCCGTCGACACGGTCGTTTGCATTTACAGTTCTGGCCTGGCAGTGGTCAGTGAGGTAGTTTAAAGGCAGCGGCAAGGCCTGGTAATCGATCGGTCACAACAGCAAAGGATTCCACGGTGATTTTCTGCTACACCACTGCGACATTTGGATCACCGCGCTTCGATTGTGGGGCGTGTCAGGTGTGGCTGAGACAGTCTTGGTATTCGCTCTGACTCGAAATCAACACCAACACGCGCGAGAGTCGATCAAAAGTGGTAAAGGCAAGAGAGAGTCGCCGAGGGAATGAAGGACAATGATGGACACAGGGAGGTTCGACGATCATCTGGCCACAGTAATGAACCGGCTATTCAGGTTATCTGTCTGGGTGCTGGAGGCGGTCCAACCGAGGACAACGTAACCGGCTTTCTTGTACGTTCAACAGCCACTAAGTGGTCTAAGAACTCGGTCCTGGCTGTCGATGCTGGTTCACACCTCGCGTCCATCACTCGAATTCTCGAACGACACTTTCCGCTTGTCTCAGAGCTGCAGCCCTCGTCTCCGCCGAAAGTGGATAGCATTCATGGCGGTGGAGCTCTACTCCACGATGTCGGAACATCGCCAACAACCGGACATATGAATATGTCGGATGATGACTCCGGGGTTGAAACGCCATTTTCGGAGAGCGACATGCCATTCGAGATCACGACGCTGTTGGAGGGAGCGTTTGCTGGCTTACCCTTCCCAAATGCGAGTGCTAGAGCAAACGCGCTGCACGTCGTGAGAGAGCATATCTCAACGTATCTCATTACACATCCACATCTGGACCACTTGTCTGGTTTTGTCATCAACACCGCGGCTTTCCACAACACATCGCGTCCAAAGAGGTTAGCAGCCTTGCCATTTACAGTTCACGCCATTAAGACGCATATCTTTAACAACATCATCTGGCCCAACCTGACAGATGAAGACGGGGGAGTCGGTCTCGTTTCATTCCAACGACTCGCTGAAGGCGGTAACATCGCTCTGGGCCAGGGCAAAGGACGAGGCTACATTGAGGTCTGCGATGGCCTGGGCGTGAAAGGGTTCAAGGTCAGTCACGGTCACTGTATGCAAGGTCCAGGGCATGTGCACCGTGGTTCGAACGCAGAAGTTCAGGAAACACCAGGGTTGCAGCACACATCTGCGCCTGTACACCAAGGGGAAACCCGAGAGGGACGTGCACATAGCTTCTCGATGCCGGTACCGCACAGTCAGCCAGGAACTCCAGGGTTGGCCTCGCTCGGCGCTGAGCAGGGCCGAAGATCAAGTCATGCCGCCTCGAACAACATACCGGCTGATCAGTGTGTCGTGGATTCATCGGCATTCTTCATACGCGCCGAATCCACAATAACCACACCAACAAAGGAGATCCTCATCTTCGGGGATGTCGAGCCAGATTCATTATCCCTTTCACCTCGCACAGGATACATCTGGGCTGAAGCAGCCCCAAAGATCGCCGCTGGTATTCTCACTGGGATTTTCATTGAATGCAGCTATACCGATTCCCAGGCGGATGCTGTGTTATTCGGACATCTCGCACCACGACACTTGCTTGCTGAACTTAAAAACCTTGCCGACGTGGTTAAAGTTGCACGTAAAGAGTATGAACAGGCGCGCGAGGCAGCGCGTCAGGGCCGCAAGCGCAAACGCATGAGCCGCGACCTGCTCGAAGGGCCTATCAAGTCTCGCACCTGGCACGCGGGTGTAAAAGGCGTCGACACGCCACTCTCAAGCACATACGGACCATATCACGTCGACGACGATCTAATGACGGACTTCAGTAATACACCCACGGGAACGCACACACCTAATCACCACCATCTGGCACCCAAGACTGAAGGCCCGCCGCAGAACCCGCAGGCCTCACACCCTTCGGCGCCCCCAGAGCTGAAGCTAAACAGCGTCAGCGCGGAGCATAACCGCGCGCTGGTCTCGGCGGCATTTGAGCCGCCGCTCAAGGGGCTCAAAGTCGTCGTCATACACGTCAAGGACACGTGCGAAGACGGTCCGCTCGTGGGCGACACCATCCTCCGACAGTTACAAGAAGGTGAGGCAAAACTCAAAGAAGAGGGCAAGGCGTTGGGGTGTAGTTTTGAGGTTTGTAAAGGCGGCGACGCTTATTGGTTTTGAGAGACTGGAATCGTTTTACGGGATCGGGTGATGCTTGATGATTGGTCTGCTTTACACTTACGATGGGTTGGGGGGGCGTGTGTATACGAGATACGATTTTGTATGTTTTCGTGGCTTAGAACTGGCGAGATGGAGGGGCGCTGGTGATGACTGTCATTATATCTTATATCCTATGTCGTAATGTAGTGATATGTTGGGTCGTGTTTTGCGAAGGTTTGTTGTACAGGTATGCGGAATGGAAATTCAAAGCGATTATTAGAGAAGCCTCATTGACATTTCATGATGTGATTCGGCCTAATCGATGCGTTGCCTTTCTTCCTCCTCCGCGTCATGTTCTGTGTTGTCCTTGTTGGACCCGCGGAATGGTCTCGCGCTCTGCCCAGGAGCATGGCAGTGGCTCGACGGTTCATAGTCAAATGGATTCTCTGGAGCACCCTGGTTCTTGATCCGTTTTCAAAGATCGTAGGCCTCCGCAAGGCTTTGTTCTTGGGGCCGAGTATCCAGTGGTGGACTCCTGAGATCCGCGTGTGCTTTGGTGAGGTATGATCCGACAAGCGGAGAGAACACAGTCGACTTCAAGGAAAAGTGCCTCCCTTATAAAACATCACATCTTAACTCGAGCATCCTTCACTTGACAATAGCATCCACCTCTTTTGCGTCCACGAACCACGCATGCTGCCCGCGCCCATGCAGCCTAGCAGTCGCTCGCGGCATCCCCTCTGCATCGACGGTTCTACTCTCCTCACTCAACACCCCTTCCAACGCGCAGCTCGCTTTGTTCTTCAGACACGCACCCCATGCCAGACTCGGTCTTGCAAACGCGCCCAAGCAATGCGCCGCAGTCGGTCCCTGTCTGACCGCCAGATAGACGGTTTCTGTAGGCCTGCTCACTTCTCGCAAGCTCGCTGTGCTCTGGGCGCCCGGGCGCGCCATGCTCAGTCTGAGCGACTTGTTCGACGTGTGGAACCGCGAGCTAGGATGGGGGATATCTGATCTGACGATCTCGGTCTGCCTTGCCGGCGTCCCGTCAAAACTGTGGCTGCGTGTGGATATCGCCACCTCGGCGCCAGACTGCTGTACCGACCGTGTGTGGATCCTGATACGCCCTGTGGCGCTCAGATACTCGCTGCCATCGAGGAGCCCTTCTCTTGAGAATGTGTATGCGCCATGCTCAATGGCGCCAGTTGTCACGGAGTCGACTGTTGAGTAGACGCCTACAAATTTGCTTGGGAGAGTGTTGTAAGGGTACTCTTCGAACTCAAGAACGAAGAGGTTTGTGGAAGGCGCTGTGAAGCCAAGACGAGCAAGGTACGGGGTGAGCAGTGCATCCATTGGAGCGACCCGCTTTTGAAGCCGATTTCGGGGTTTTTCATGCACTTTTGGCGGTTTGGACAGTTTGGCGTTGTCTTGATAGCCTCCAACAATGAGATGCTCGTTTGCTACTCGCTTGCGTCGCGATACTGATCGCTTCATCATGTGTTGCGTGTTGCGTGTTGCAGCTTTTCTCTGGAAGGGCTGCTGTCTCTTTCTAAAACGATCGTGGTCGCCGACTGCGCGGGTAAGAGGAGAGCAAAGGTCCCTAGAGCTGCCCAGGAGGAGTTACAGCCTCGTTTATCCGATGATGTTATCGACCTTACAACTGTCAACGTTTCATGATACGGAATTCGTCAAGACATGCAGGAACGTCTTCGAGGCTGCAGTCGTCATTGGCGACTCGTGCGTCATGCAATGTTGCTAAGCCACACACCTAGCCGTTTGAGGGTGCCCCATCAGCACTATGGACGTTAGTGAGCACGGCTATCGTAGTGACAACACAATCGTCCGTTTTGTTGATAAAGCTCTCCTCGAGGGGTACGTTGTCCAACGCTTGGTCGTTACTTCTAGTTTTTCCAATGTGCATTGACCAACGACACACGCGAGCTACAATCACAGCCACAACAAGAGCATGGCACAGCAGCTGGTATGAACGGAGCTCAATACTCGACTCAACAAGCGCCTCGGAAATAGGCATGTATCAACATCCCATTCTGGTGACAGCCACTGGTTTACGCGTGCTCAAACCTACTTTTCTTCAACGAAAGGGTTTGTTCGCGCCTACAGTTGGCGTAGAGCTCTTTCGCATCATTATTTCGGGGATGCTGATCGTGTATTTTGTATTATTTTCCTCCGGTGCACTACATTTTTGACACATCGGGATGCTCTCGTGGCTTCTCCGGTAGTAGGATATCCTCTCCACTCCACGCCCTCTCATCCCGACGCATCTGGTCTTCCATCATCCGGTTCCTTCCGTCGTACACCTCAAGATCTTCCTCGATGCTCTCTTCTCTGAACGTGCTGACTTCAATATCTGTCTTCCTCTGTATTCCTCCCCCACTCCGACCCTGTAATTCAACAAAAGGGTGATTCTCGTTGCCAGGATCAGTGTGCTTCACTTTTGTGGGTTCCTTGGTGGCGCCGTAGCCGGATTTTGACAAGTAGTTTGATGAAACGAATTCGAAGAGGAACCTCAAGTAAGGGAGAGAGGCGCAAGTGATGCCAACATGAGACTCGACAATGATAATGAGCACTCCTGGTGGACCGTATCGCATCCATTCTCGGGTACTGTACATCGTGATGAGGAGGGAAAGACGCGCGAACGAGAGACCGAGGTTACTGAAATTGTTTAGCGGTGGATCCGACAATAGAAGCAGTGGAAAGGACGTACACAAGACCGACGGAGAAAGCAAGTATCAACTCAAGTCGTGACCTGAACGGTAGCTTGAGCTTGTACAAGTAGTGTGCAGGCCAGATGTACACAATGATATCGAAAGAACTGTTCAATGCCAGGATGGCGTAATCCTGATTACGCGGGCTGTTGCAAAAAGCATTTTCAATCGTCTTGTTCCAGTAGGCGTTGATGGGCCTGCACTGGAGCAGCGTGGTCAGTCCAGCCCATAACGCATAGGCGAGCTGCAGTCCACAAAGACCCCAGCAGAGCCAACGGTTGGTTTGGGACGGAAACAGCTTAAGATACGTGAACAAGATGGAGATGCGAATCAGACTGTAGCACATGGGGAACATGGAGAACAGTGCCAAGCTGAGTCGTCCGATCGGGTATTCGTTCTTCACTGGAACATCTTCCAGGTCCAAAGCGTAGCCTAACTCATATAGTCGCCATACCATTGCGGTCATGGATATCGAGAAACATGTTGCAATGGCGAGAACGACATCATCCTGTGAATGTCAGTCTTGGATCCAGGCGACAGACAAGTTGGCGTGCCTAGGCGCGGTCGGAGAGGCACGGCGTCTGGGGTTTGGTGGGACAGGGTGCTCACAAAGGTGCTGATCTTCTTCACATAGCGATTCGACAAACGCAGTGTAAAGCATATGATCGCCACGCACAACGTGGTGATCTCTACCCCGTAGAACAGACCATAATTCGGTGCCATGCTGAAGATATGTGTCAAGGGACGGTGGCATAGACCCGCCAATTCATCCACGGTTGAGGCTTTCGGGGTCAGTAAGCAATTAAGAAGAGTGTCAAAACCCCCCCAGCATGTCCCTTACGGCCCGTCAATCCATAACCATATTGATACTCTAGCCTGTGGCTCACCGCGAATCGCAGACACATCATCCTTGCATTCAAACGCCCGGCAGTACTTCGCTGCAGGATGACGATCATCCTAATTGCGAATGCACGACCACGTACGAGCTTTTGTCCAGACTCCAGGCTCTCATAAGAATCCTCCCGACCTGCCCCCTTCGTGCCTTGTTTATCAAACCCTTCAGTGCAATTTCTTCTTCACCACGGCCTCACGCCACCATTCGCCTGTCCTCCCCCGCCAGAGACCCACTTAAAGGCCTATCTCTGATTTCCCCCGACATTACGGATTCCTGAAGGATTTTATCAACTACAAGTGCGAAGTGTGGGAAATTCCGACCCAATGGAAAGCGCGGCAGTGGCGGACATGTACCGGCAGGTGAGGCACGAGGGACGAGCCATGATGGATCGGAAGGCGCGGTCCGACTATGGACACTAAAAGGCGCCATGAGCAACCCGCGCGCTCTGTTCAATGCTTGACCACACAAGGACCGATACGTTTCATGTTGATGCACAGAAGTCAATGCGAATGCGATTTCGCAATGGCAGACAGGTGTGCTGTCGCTTATCTTACCTATCGGATCTCCTCACGGTTACGCAACTCAGCCGCACCAACGCAACATCCTCTCCAACAGTGTTGTGGAAGTACCTTTCCCCGCAGCTGAGCTCGTCAGCCTTCTCACGAAATGACGGAAAGTGCGGTTTGTGCTGCCAAAGATAGAGCATTGTTGCATGGGCTTCTCGTAAATTGGACTCGTGGACCGTTGACTAACCAGCCGCAAGCGTCCATGTAGCGTTGTGCACGGCGCACCACAATGCACCGCCAACCGGAGTCTGGCATCACAGCGTCACCTTCCTTCGTGTCTGAGGTCGACTAGATTTCGACTTTCCGAGATTTTCACGGCTGACGGTTCGCCACAGCTTAGCTGACCTGTCATGCGTGTGAGATATATTGATAGTGTGGTCGCCGTTGATTTGTGCTGCACCCTTCTACAGTCAATCTAAGGATTGTCTGAAAATCTTGGCTTGAAATCGATCTCCTTGAGCTCTCTCACAAACAAGATGAAGGTCACACAGACGTTGGGAGCTTTGCTCTCGACTGCACTGATCGCCAGTGCGGCTCCTGTTGCCCAAGATTGTACCTCCGAGGCTGACTACGATGTCATCGTTGTTGGCTCCGGACCTGCTGGTCTCATCGTTGCCGATCGCATGAGCGAGGCTGGCAAGAAGACCCTCCTCCTTGAGCAGGGAGGTGCGTCGTACTACGTTACTGGTGGTCGTGAGCGTCCCGGCTGGTTGAATGGGAGCGAGCTCAGTCGTGTTGATGTCCCCGGTCTCTACAAGGTACGCTTTGCAACATCGACCCCGCTCCAAGCTAGAACTAACGTTAGTAGACGATCTTCTCGGTGCCTGGTAACTTGACATGCGCGTCAGACGTGGTCAACGCCTTCCAAGGCTGCACAGTCGGTGGTAATACCGCCATTAATGCTGGTCTGTTCTTCCAGCCGCCGGCATCCGACTGGGATCTGTATTTCCCCGAGGGATGGAAGAACTCGGACATGCTAAGCGCGATTGCGAAGGTTCATGCCAAGCAGCCTTCTACTGACACGCCGTCGGCTGATGGTAAACGCTATTTGCAGTCTGGTTACGATGCTGCGAAGGAGTGGCTCGTTGATAGCGCTCACTACTCACATGTTGGTCTCAACAACGGTTGGGAAAACCACCAAAAGACCAAGGTCTTTGGCCACCCCATCTACAACTACGAGGGCGGTCAGAGGAGTGGTCCCGTCAAGACTTACCTCCAGTCTGCGCTTAAGCGTCCCAACTTCCACTTCCAGACCGGAACCAAGGTTATTCGCGTTATCCGCAATGGAAAGACCGCGACGGGCGTTGAGGTCCAGGTTAAGGGCTCCAACACTACCTCCATCATCAACATTGCTTCGAGCGGCCGCGTCATCCTCTCTGGTGGTGCTCTTCTCAGCCCTCAGGTCCTTATGTGGTCTGGTATCGGCGAGCCAGCTACTCTCAGCAACCTCTCTGCAGCTGGCCAGCTCACTCTCCCCGCCAGCCAGTGGATCAACAACACCGCTGTTGGTGACAAGGTCTTCGACAACCCCAACACGTTTATTGAGCTTTTCTCTAAGTCCATCTCCTCCTACACCCAGAGCTACACCGATCCTATCCCTGCTGACCGCGATCTCTACCTGAAGTCGCGCTCTGGTCCCTACTCTTTCGGCTCGCAAACAAGTGCTTTCTGGGACTTCATTAAGCAGGGCGATGATCTCGTTGGCTGCCAGGGCACCATCGACTCATCCGGCGCAAACGACTTCACAGAGAACGGTACCATCACCTTGAACGTGTACGGAACCTCTGGTCTGCGATCATTCGGCCGTGTGGGTCTCGACGAGAAGGGTATCGCGACACCTTCGTCTGGTTTCTTTTACTCGGACAAGCGTGATGCACAGGCTGTTGGTCAGTTCATCTACGACATTTTCCAGAAGCTTCCCAAGACCTTGAGCCCGTTGAACATCGCTGGCAACTCAACCCTTGAGGAGATCACTACCTGGATCAGCACGCCCTCTGACTACACTCTTGGCAACGTTCAGCACTGGTCTTCCAGCTGCAGATTCGAGACTTGCGTTGATGTGAACGCCCAGGTCCTTGGTACTGACAACATCCACGTTGTTGATGCTTCGATCAGCGCGCCTCTGTCAACTAACCCTGTCCTGGGTACTATGATCATCGCAGAGCGCGCTGTCGAGAAGATCCTTGCGTTATAAGGAGAAGTGGGAAGATAACGAGTAATTATGTCTATGTTCAGTGACGATAATGGACCAGAAACTTAATGTATAAAAAATCAAGTATGACTGTTTATAAACTGTTCTAGCCTCGCCTCAAGATGCACTCCCACGTGCCACCGCGCGCTAAACCATCTCATACACCTCTGGAGCATTGCGAATTCTTCATTCGATACTAACTGCTCGTCACATATTCTGGATGTCTCCAAGACGGCTATCCCGGCTCTCAATATGCAACACAGCGCCGCGAACGGCAGCTTTGCCACATCGTCCTCGTTTTCCAGCTTCCCTAGCGAAACCTTCACCATATCCCATGCCATACGCCTTGCGTACCTTAGCGCCAGATTTGCTTTCTCGATGTGTTTACGAAGCTCGTCCGAGTATGGCAGTCCTGCTAGGTAGAGCACTTGAGCTTCCTGGAGCAAGAGGTGCGAGCAGAAACCCAGCCCTATCGCGTCGCAATGTACCCAAGAAGAAGGCCGCATATCTTCCATGAGCATTCTGATGTAACCCGACGTTTGCATATCGACGGCGTCGTAGCTTTCGTAAGGCTGTGTTGTGCGTCTACGAGCATTTACGTAATCGAGAGCCTTGCCGGTGCCAAGGGCAACGACAGTGCGGAAGTGAACCTTCGTACAAGGTGATGGGACATGTGTTGGCATGATGGGCGGGTGGTACTGAGTGAATTCCACATTGCAAATGGGATCGCTCGGTGGTATAGTGAGTGTGAAAGATGGCGACGGCGACGTGACGAAAAGTATGCTGAGATCAGTGTGAGATGACACCGATGATTGTAAAAAGAAGGAAATGCATACCGGTCGAGCATAATCAGAGAGGCTTTTAGCCACTCTGTTGTCTCTAGCGTCGATATGTCATCAATAGCCGTGGCACCGTGTTCAAGTATAGTTAGTATTGCCTTGCAGCTTAATATCGTCTGGAAAGCTTGTGTTCCCATGCCATGACCAACTTCATACACTGCTATTGATAGCCCTAGTTGCAATGCTTCTATATCTGCGTCATGTTTTGTCTGCAACAAGGCAAGAACCTGTTTTAGAACTCGGTAAAGCTGGCAGTCGGAAGGGTGCTCAGCGTGTTTACGGATGTTTTGGGTAACGAGCCACACACTCAGAGCTAGCGCTGGGTATCTAGTTAAAATAACCTCCGTACCTTGATCAAGAGTACAGTCGTAGACTGTCGGAGACCAGTGTCGGATAGATCGGCCATAATCCTCAACGATGGAGGTCAGATTGATATCAGCCAATTTTAGGATGTCGACCACATAATCTGAGAGCTTGGAGGATGCGTTTATATCGGACGATGCCTTCAAGCTTGTTGTCACATAGTGCACAAGTTTCCAAGCTCCGAGACAAGAAAGAAGTGGTGCGCCTGACTGTGAACGCAAGATCAAAGGCTCGGAGGTTGTGCTTGGAACAGGCGGGGATGGGGAGTAGTCGCAGCTGAAACCTTTACTATCTCTCTCGTCAGGACAGCTGCCACATAGTGTTGGGGCTGATAAACTTACGCAGCACACCTTAGGCAGCTTGGCACTGTACGATCACAAGCTTGTTTCCGCGCCCTGCAGTATCCGCACACATTCGGTGCTTTTTGAGTGACTGGGATAAGACTCGGGAGTGCACTCATTGGGTTTGTAGGATAGGTATCGGCCGTTGCATGCACACGCGCGCCTTGTTCAGCAGATGCCGTATTTATAAGGTACGATGCCGAAATTTGCCATGCCGCGCACGAGAATAGCTTACCCATCAATGCCGCTGGACACGAGGCTTTCGATGGGCTCGCTAAGATGCCGTTCGAACAATGCCACGGCCATAAATCAAGGACCGCCTGAGGGATTCTTTGATGACAGAGGCGCTATACTATATGAATGTCAGCAAGATCTGCAATCCAGTTTCTGTGAAGTATCATTGGCTAACACACTGCTCCAGCGAAGTTCACTAATCTGCTTTGCAACGGCTAGGTGCAGCAGAAGCAAACAGCTCATAAATCAAGTCTGTCAAGCGAGGACTCCTGACGTGACTGGACATGATCCGTGGCGCAAGATCATCCGACTAACTTGGTTGTTTGACTCAGGAACCCTGGTTTTGCTTGGTTGACGTACGCCTTCATGGCACGCCGGGTTGATACATGATGCCGGTGCGGCTTGTTACATGGTGCCGTCGCGGCAAGCCAGAGCCTCAAAAAGAACGCCACGCTGCTCCAGAATGGCCAACTTACATCGAATACTCATGAGCTAAAACTCGAACGAGATAGTGTCTTGTAAAAATAACGCACATGAATGCGCCCTATCGCCACGGCTTGACAAGCCGACATGATAGGAGTACACTAGGGATGATCAGTAGCATCGCTTAGCGAAAATATAGTCACGTGAGCCCATGTGGCCTGGCATGTGCGCCTGAGACAGATACCTAACTAGGAACTGAGGCTGATAGGACCCACTCTATCAAACAAGTACTCTAAGCAGTCAAGCAGGATGTGTCGCTTGAATTACTTGGTGTACGGACACTTCTAGATCAATTTGCTTGATTCGATGTTACAAATCAACTCTGGGAGGCACCAAGGTAGATATGCTGATTAAGCCAGCTTGCTTATTGAAAATTGTGAGCCGAACAAGTGACTGAAATGGACATCATACATCACATTTATGTAGACCTCGCGTACGCTCACTCTGTCACCCTGCGCGGTCTAGAAGCGTGCGTCTGAGTTGTTGGCCGAAGGACTTGGAGTTGGAAGGATTAGCATGGCGGAGAGAACTATCCACTATTCGCTCGCTTCGACTATTTGCAAGGAATATTGACAAGCAGTACGAGTCAACAGCTGTTACTGCACTGCTTGTAGTTGCTCGTGCGTTCTCTGGGTCACCCATCGGTGTAGCTCAACCCGTCGGTGAGATCTATCATGTATGCACCCGTCGGCGAAGCCGAAGCACATGCAATAGAATGTCCTGAGCAGCAGCACTCGTCAGCGGCTGAAAAGGATTGCTTACGTGGCGTTCGTTATTTGGAATGACTCCGACTCGCCGTCCGAGTAGCCTTTTGGTTGTTTCGAAGGATCGAAGTCTTCTTTGGCACCGCCAATGGGTTTCCAAATCAGGACTGGATGCCTGCATCTAAGCGCAACTGCACCAGCAAGGAAGCTTTCTATCAATGATACTGATCTCTCGTGTCTAGCTTTGCAGCTGCATTAAAAGCAACACGACCGCTCCTGGGTGCAGTACATACACAGCACATACATACCGGTAGTACGTCCAGCAGCTTCTATTAGGCTATCCGGTATTGCTGATATAACTACATAGGAAGCAGATCGTAACGGTCTCGTTGTCCCTGGTTTGTCAGAAACGTCTATCATCCATCCTTGGATATTCAACCGCACCCCAGATTGCCAAGCCGGCCGATTGTTAAACCGACTTCGGGTGTATCCACTGTGAAAGCAACAGATTTATGCTAGGTGTGGCGATTCGACTGCCATCAGAGAAAAGACGTCTATTTCAGAAGACATGCGCCTCCGGGACCTACACAATATGTGCATTGGTAATCTAAAAAGTACATATCGTGCTACGAAACTCGAATGCTAAGTAATGCGAGATTAATATTGAGGAGAAAGTATAGGCACGTCGCTCGCTAGTCGCTGGAGAAACCTGACAAACCCTCATCGTCGAAGTAGTGGGTGTAATGTCCTTGCGCCTCGAAGTCTTCGTCGATGACAATACCAGCAAGCGCTCTTAACTCTTTTGCCTGTAGAGCTTTGCCAAAGCCGATAGAGAGTTGCATGTCCGGCTCTTCAAGAGTTTGATACGTCCAGGTGTAGTCGATGTCCTCAATGCTATGAGGCTCTTCTATGGCTCCGGCACGGCAAGCGACCTTCATCAACTCAACAGCGAACACTGACTCCTTCGCATCCTCTTCCTCGGATTCGAGTTCTGCAGAATCGCGGCGCTGGGGCACAGGTAGCCGGATCTGGTGGCCAGAACTCTCAGCTGCCGAGCCGTCCTTCGTATACGTTCGGCAGTACGAAACATTTTTGAGCTTCTGGATACCAGTGACAAAATATAGTGGCTGACGCTGCAGACCGGATCTGCGAAGGAAACTTTGGGCTTCAGTGTCGCGGCGAAGCGCCTCAAAGGCGGCAGACGGATCGGTGAGTGAAGCGAGAGTGGATTCCTCAGCATTCAGTACCACGACGTTGCCAACGGATGGGTCTGCCTTGCCGAGGCTAGAGATGAAGCGGCCTTCTTCATCGCGTAAGATGGTGTCCTCGTAGCGAGGTTGTGTGGTGGGCTTGTTGTAGGCTGGCTTGACTGTTGGCTTGAAGGAGATTGAATCAGAGCTCAGAGGATCGGTGAGCAGCTGCCCGAGAGCGAAAGAGCTCGAAGGAAGAGGGGCTGGTAGAATGAGAACCTTAGACATGTTGCTTGAAGAAGTTTCAGGCTGAATTGACAATGCGGAGAGGGACTTCCGGGACGAGCCCTTTATGCTCAATCACATCTCTGAGCCCGGCAACCATTCCGAGAAAGATCCATGGACTGATCTCACATCGAGCCGAAAAGCTTCTGAAAAGCCTCAGCACATGAATGTCGAGCCATGCTCGTGTGACGACATGCCGTATGCAACCGAGGTGTCGATGTGGAGGCGGGATTGCGTCGAATTACGTTGGGCTCCGCACTTTCCTGCATGAAGCTGGGAGTCCAGTCGTGGTTCGCTCGGCTGTTGTCGGTCGGAAGGACTAAAGCTCTGGTTGCTGTTCGCTGTTAAAGGTAATGGGTACCTGACGATCCCGAATAATCCCGCATCGGCTGAGCCTTTGCCGGATTGGTTGAAAAGGGACCCGTACAGATGCACAACGGAGACATGTTGGTCATCTCAGGAGAGTCGGTGAGTGCACTCTCGTTCGATTTAGGGCTTTCCGGCGACAGTTTGCCCGATTGCCGCAACGCATGCAAGAAGTTGAGGGGTTTCAAAGTCGTTGTCGAGTGGTCGTGTGAGCACTGGAAAAGCTCTGGCTCCGGAGGCTCTGACGACCTGGCGGTATGGAACGTAAGATGCTCGTACTTGCGCGACGTGCAGTATACAATGTGCAGTTTGCAATCCATACGCATCGGCACCAGTGCCGGCGTCTTCTCTTGGTGAGTGACATGCACACAAAGTCTGGCCGCTTCACCGCAACCCACAATCTGTTCGATTGCAGTCACACGTCGTAGGCGGCCAACTGCATGCTCGCCCAACCGAACAGGAAGACTGTCCATGGCACTCTCTTGTGGCTTTTGAACGCTATGTCCGCAGTTTGTTGTGCATAGAAAGTCCAGTGGTCGTGAGTGGTGACCACTTGGCAGACAGGGAAGTGGCGTTGCATTATGTGGCTGACGGCATGCGACCAGGCATTTGAAATACGCTTTCTATACGCACTCGCACATGCCGTCACGTATCGGCGCGGGTTCCTGAGCTACAGAGCCCCTGTTTCCTGATGGAAACATAGCCCCTTCTTGATGGATCGCCGACCGTCTGTGGCTGGCGCTGCGTTCGGCAGTGCCGGAAAGACACTGCCACAGCGGAAGACACACGTTCCTTGGATACCGGTATGCTGACGCCGTAGCCAACACACATACATGCCAGAGGTACACCCGTGCGACCATGGCAGGAATGGTAGCCGAAAGTCACGGTCCGCGCCAGAACGCGCTGGCAGACATACAATTCGCATCGATCCTCGACGACGATGACCTCACGCCCGTCGAATCCGGTGACGAGACGGAACAGGAGCAGAGGCTGGAGCTGGAGACGGTCCAGTCGGCCATTGGGGTCAGCATAGGACAACAACAGACGCGTCTGACATCGCCGAAGACGCCCGCTGCTGAGAAGGCCGCTGCGTTGGACGACATTGAGGGCGGCGCGCTCTTCGATGGCTGGGAACAGCATGCGACTGCTGTAATAGACGCTCGATCACGACACCATGTATCCTCTCCAGGCGATGCTATTAGGAGTCGTGCAAAGACTGAGGAGCAGATCAAGTACGGGTCCAGCCCAGATGAGGCTCTCGAGCGCCTGCCTTCTCCGTGGCGCGCGGGCCCCAAAACCTTCCAGGATCGCATGAGCGATCACCGCGCCTCGCTGCGCCAGCACCTCAACAACGGTCGGCGAAGAGCGTCGTCGAGCGGATCAATGGCCGACACAGTACGGAAATACGTGCCGTTCAACCTGCCAAAGGCTCCAAAACACCTGCAATTCTCGCTACCATCCTTTTCAGCCCTGACACTGGACCAAGAGCGCGGGAAACCCAGGCCAGGCACAAGCTCGCGACCCAGACAAATAGAAGCTGCAAGCTCTGGCGGCATACCTCAGCACGATGGCAATTCCGAATCAACTATTGGCCGCCGCAGGAGTCTGAGTTCACCACAGCAGGCCAGCACGGCGCCGCTGACCCAAGGTGAGCTCGAGATTGACAGCGTATCTACTCTTATTCCGAGAGGCACTCCTCGCGTATCGCACGATCGACCTGCGCCTAGGCTTCGCAGGTCAAACTCAGACGGCTCTATGCTACTCTATCGGTCCAAGTCTATTGCTTCCTCCCTTGGCGACGACTCTCGATTTGAGAGTGTGTCCGAGATGGTCAACAGCAGATTCAAAGCTATCAAAGACAGTTTCCAAGACTCTAACTTCAAGCTTCCAAGTCCTTCGTTATCGAACTTCAACTTTTCACACAGAGACGAGATATCCAGAAGCCGTAATGGTAGCATACCACCTCGGAGCCGAACAGTCGACGAACCTTCCATACAACGATTCAGTCTTCGCCCCAGTCCATCGACATTTCCGCGAAATGGCTCGTCCGTATCCCTTAGAGCAATGCGACCATTCAAGGACGGCGGCTCAGAGGCCGACACCCACCCTAACTTTACAAGGGCGCTCGAAGAATTGGAAGGTGACCTTGTAGTCCTTGGCGGATACCGTGGCTCTATCTTGCGTTCTGCAGAACCCCCGAACCGCCAGCTGTGGGTGCCCATCAAGGTCGGTCTCAATTTGCGGAAGGTAGATCTGGAGGTGCCGTTCGATGAGGGCGCAGACGAGAGAATGGAGCAAACCATTATACCTGACGGCATGTTGACACACATTGGACCCGTCGACATCTCAAAACGCCTTCTCAAACGGCTACGAGCATCTGAGAATTTCAAGAACGGGAAACTCAGAGTCCACAATTATGGCTATGATTGGCGGTTGTCGCCGCACTTCCTCTCCCAGCGACTCATGAAATTCCTGGAATCTCTTCCGTGCAACCAAGCAAACGTTCCTCCTGAGAAGAGAGGTGCTATTGTAATTGCACACTCGCTGGGCGGTCTGATCACCCGCCACGCTATCAATGAGCGACCGAATCTTGTCTCAGGCGTAGTTTATGCGGGTGTACCGCAGAACTGTGTGAATATTCTTGGTCCCTTCCGAAACGGCGATGACGTTTTACTCTCATCTCGCGTGCTGACTGCGCAGGTGAACTTTAGTATCCGCACCTCCTTTGCTTTGCTGCCTCTCGATGGAAAATGCTTCTTCAACAAACAAACCAAAGAAGAATATCCTGTCGATTTCTTTGACATCAACACTTGGATCGAAGGCCGCTTGTCGCCCTGCATTGCCCCACCTTTGCCACGTCCGGAGCTGCCTAAAGACAGTAGCTTCAGCGTGAGTGGTGTCTTAAGCGCTATGTCGCAGGCGCTACCGACGTTTCCGGGTCGAAAAGGGAGCATGTCACGAGGCAACGGCGAGACAAGCAACAGCGCTGTAGATACCGTGGGACAAAAAGTTGCCGAGGGCAATGCTGAAGTGGCAGGTGGTGGAGTAGAGCCACAGATGATGGCAGGACGGCGGATGTCGCGCTCCACGTATACGACAAACGACCCGAATCCCGCGACAGCGGTCACGATATCGCGTGAAGATGCCATCAAGTACCTCACTCGAGTCCTCGCAGAAACCAAGCGATTCAAGGAAGCGCTAGCCCACGAGCCCAGACACACGGAAGCCAATGCGTACCCGCCGATCGCTCTCATGTACGGAAAATCTACACCGACGGTGTACGGTGCCAAAGTCGAGTCTCGAGAAGCGATCGCCAGAGCCGATGTCTACGATGAGTTGGCATTCGCGAGCGGAGACGGTGTTGTACTTGCGCGCGCAGCCATGGTACCCGCAGGATACTCAGTCGCCAAAGGTGGCGCCGTATCGAGCGACCGTGGACACGTCACTTTGCTAGGAGATCTCGAGGGGGTCGGCCGTTGTTTGCGTGCTGTTATCAAGGCGCGGCGGGCTGGAGTTGGTCTAGGTGCGAAGGAGAAGAACGGCGCGGATAAAGTTAAATCCCGGGGCCTAGGCATTCAAGAGCCGCAGGTCGTCGCGTAGAGTTGTACGGAGTGCGCAATTTCAAGAGGACTTTCTGATATTCCGCAGCGAGCGATAGGATGAGAGGATCATTATGGCCATGAAAACCACACGTGACACGCTGACTGATGACTTGTCGTACCATTAGTATAGACATAGAAATATATAGAAAATAATGTTAGAGTCATTAATCTTCATGAGCCAACCACCCAAGGTCACAAACTGCCTGAGTCGAAAGCGGATGTGGTCATCGCCAAAGTGACTAGTATACTTGTGAGGTAGGACAATATTTTCATTATTATTTATAGGTCTGGTACGATAGTTTCAGTACTAGTATCGAGGTACATTAGCAGACACTATTCTGAACGTCCTCTCCTCAGTTCGCGCAATTCTGAGACTTAGCAGCAGCCAAGTTCTTCTGGTTCTGCTGGGTGCCACCCTGCACCTCGGTGACCAGCATCTGCAGCGTAGTCGCATCGGTGGCGTTCCCGTTGAGTTTCAAGACCTGGCTTATCTCAAGAGTCTGGGCCATAGCAACAGTGGCCAGGCCAGCAGAAGCGGGGCTGTTGATTTGCTGAGCGAGCTTCTGGTTGTTGGCACGGATGTTGACGCCCTTCTGCTGGATGTCGAGGACGGAGATCTGCATCGCTTGGAATGTTGTTGCCTGCGCAGTGCCGGCTTGAGACATCTTCTGGAGGGATTGAACACTATGATGAGATGTCAGTGGGTGCTCTGCATTCAGTGTCGGGTATGGAACGTGATTCATTGACACCGTAGTGTATGTCAATGTCATCTGAAAGCAGTGCGGGTAGGATGATACGATGTGTAGAACGGGTCAGTGGGGCTTGCATACCCGATAAGTTCCTTAGCCTGGATATCTAGGTTCTTCTGGATTCCTTGCTGGAGCTGTGTCTGAGTCTGGCTGCAGCTGCCTGCGGCAGTAGTAGAATTAGCTGCCGCAGAAACGCTACCAGGAAACTTGCTGGCCTCCTGAGCCGGAGCAGCCAGAACGGCAGCGACAAGATACAAGATGGCGAAGCTCTTCATATTTGTAAATGTGTCTGCTTGTAAGGACTAGAACGGTGACTGAAGTTGGAAAGCCGAGTAAAACAAATGTAAGAGTAGAGATGAAAGGAGCCCAGCCCAGCTGAGTAGAGATTAATTCTCGAATTAAGTAAACGAAGTGAATTGCAATGTGATGAGTTGAGGCAGAGAGAACCGCGGAGCTCTCTTAGACTACTTGTACTCAGCATGTTCTGTCAGCAAATAAAAGGCCGAACCAAACCTTCAGGTACGATAAAACTTCGAGGTGCGGCAGATCATGCTCCTTCGTTTTGAAGCCGTTAAATGTCTAGGTACAGCCGATTAAGCTTTCAGCTATGGCACTATGGAGTCTTGAGTGCGGGAGATCAGACTGCCGGGTACTATGGAATCGAGCCGAGCTATGAAACTCCGGGGAACTGGTTCAAACATATTTGAAGTGAGCTCACAGGCGCCGTTCGGCGGTACTGTCATACGTTGGGCTTGATACATGACACTCACGCGGCGCATGTCGTTGCAAGCCAGAACTCAAGAGCGAACACCTTGACGTCTTAGGTGGAGCGGATTTTGTACAAATACCTGTGGACTAGTATGTGATGAATACCGGGCTTAGGCTGTCGCCAGAGATCGTAGCAAAGAAGTCAGTCAGAGGCGCAAATCCATGCGCTTGCCTGGAATAGTAGGGATTAAACCCACCAAAGTAACTGCTAGGCTTACTAAAGTAATCGTTCCTGCCTGTAGATGCGCAAGCAGGTAAGAAAGATACATTGTCGTGGTACCTTCCTGGCTCGACCCAGTGCAAGCAACGCATGACTAGCCAGGTAGGTGGCTCTTTTGCCTCTTGCTCGACTGTCGTTACGTGTCAAACTCACTGCATGCTCCAGGAAGCATCAACTGCCAGTGTCATCGTCTGCACTGCGGCCAGGTGCAACGTCGGCGCTTATCTGTACCGCCGTTTGAAATGCGCTCTTGCTGGGGTCGGTGATTGGTCCTCATTTTGATTGTATCTTGCCGAACCCTGGCTCGGCAACAACAACCTGGCGAGCCTCTTGCGTCACCGACTGTGAACACAGCCTGCAACTTCCTCACACTGTCAATGATCGACTACAGGGCTTACTATCGCCGGGTTCCCTGATTTCCTGCGTGCGCTGGTCGCCCAGCGTCTTCTGCATCATCACATATCTATCGCCGCCCAGCTGGACTGAAACCTCACGTCTCATACCTCACAACTTTTCTTGAGATTTCGTTCTCTGTACATTGCATGCACCGCTGTTGTACATCTCGCTTTCAGGATGCGCTGTTCCCCTAGCACCGGCTGGGCTGGCCAGTACCTATGCGCTGCGCTTCTTCTCTCCACTGAAATCCCTCTCGTAACAGGGCTTCACCACATGGCTGTCAAAGCACCTCGCAAGCTAAACAAACGAAAGTTGGACATCACTCCACTGCTAGTCACGAACAATTGTATGGAAGACATATGGCCAGGAATCTCAACCCAGTCCGGGAATGGACCCGAACTCAATGGCTTCAAGCTCTCGCCTGGAGAGACCAAAAACCAGACGGTGTCGGAGGATTGGCAGGGTCGAGTATGGGGCAGGGCGAACTGTAGCTTCAATGATGATGGGAGTGGACCTGCCAACGGGCAAGGCAAAGCTTGCTATTCAGGCGACTGCAACGGTGTCCTGGACTGCAAGGTCGGGGTAAGATCACATCGATATGCCTCCATTGATTGAAGATGACTGACCTCGCGACAGGGTGACGTTCCTGTTTCGCTTGCCGAGTTCACATTGGACGCGGGCGACGGTCACACCTACTATGATATTTCCTTAGTCGATGGCTACAATCTACCCATAGCAATGGTACTCCAGCCCCTCGAAAACGTCACGCTAGATGACATTCCACCGAACCTGACAAATCCTTCCTGTCAAGGTACCTCCGGTCTCCTGGAACCGCAAGGCTACGATCCATACCCCGATCACCCAAGTTTTCTCAGGACGAACACTTCATACCCTCTCCCTTGGGAAGGACAAGTCGACCAAAAGAAGATCTCTCGATGGTGCCCCTGGGATCTACAGCAGACTCCTCCTGATAAGCCTGGTGATGGCGTCTACCCGTATCCTGACGATAACATCCAGCGACCGTCCTTCAATCCCTGCTTCTCAGCCTGTGCCAAAAACAACAGACCCGAGGACTGCTGCACTGGGGAGTACAACTCCGCTAGCAAGTGTCGCCCTGGTGATTATTCGAAGAACGTCAAGGAAGTCTGTCCAGACGCGTACAGTTTTGGTAAGTCTCTTCTACTACGGGACTTGTACCAACCTGCTGACTTGAACAAGCATTCGACGATCAAACTTCGACATTCATCATCCCCTCGGGCGCCGGTTTTGAAGTGGTATTCTGTCCAGGCGCACGCTCGACGAACATTTTGGATACAAGTATGGCTGAGATGCAGCAGCTTTCACAGCAAGGAAAAGTCGACCACCAGAAAGTCAAGATGATGATGGAGAGGAGGCAGGAGATGTTCAGGAGAGATTATGAAGCGCCAGGCCTCTTTTCCAACTGGTTCTCATTTTAAGGATCGTCCTCCTATTAATGTCGACAAAGCCAAATATGGCTTGTGTTATTCGTACGGTTGCATAGTTCTATACCCTTTTGGTTTTGCTCATAATGCAAGGTGCTCGCTGTTGCTATTATTGATGTGCAGGCAAATTCTTCAAGTACTTTGACGGATCTCATTCCCGTGTAGCAAGGTGACCATCAAGGTCTCATTCCACTTTTGGGGACGATACGTATGTTCCAGCCGCAACAACGTTTGGAGTCTTACACGATGGAGACGGAGCGTAGTGACGGCGGTACCGTCGGGATCGTTGCGACCGTCACACAGACCAGTTGCTTCACACGTTTGTGAGTCAACTGGTATGGTAAGTCTCAACGACGTCAAAAGTATGCAGGCAACATGCTCCTTCGAGAAGCTGGCGAGTGTTGAGCGTACAGGTCGGAAATACGAGCACCCACCCCCGCGTGGGTGCCGGCTCAATCGGCAGCTTTGCCCTACTACCTGCGACCTCTAATCACAACGTTTTCGGTTTCAACGAACCAACTTGTACCGGAGGCCCCAACCCCGCTCCTGTAATGATATTGTCACCGTCCGCTTGTGAAGCATGGTGCCTGAGCAGCTGACCACTACGGGCTTGAGCCAATTGTTCCGAGGCAACTTGGCACGCTAGCCCAAATGCACACGGAGGATGTCCTCCGTGCACCTTTCCGTCCACTATCAGAGGGCTACGAACCGTTTCATAGACCTTAACATGGCCTTCATGTTCCGACCGAACTTCTGCCGTACCTGTGTCGCCTAAGAGCCGGTAAAAATATATAGAGAGAAGACCCTTTCTTTACTTTATAGTAAGAAGGCGCTTCTGCCTATAATCTACCCCGCAAATCGGCTGAACCAGCGACTATATGATCTTTGGTGAAGCGACGACGGACATTTGAAGCTCTACAACATGGCGAAAGCTCAAGCACTGTCTGTTCACCGTCTCTCCGCCGGTTGGACATTCAAGCAAGCAGACGACACCGCTGAAGATGCCTGGCTCTCGGTCAAGACGGTCCCGACGAACGTTCACTTGGATCTGATCGAGCACGGAAAGTGAGCGAACCAATTGGAAATCACGTTCCGAAGAAACATAGCTCACATGGCAATCAGAATCCCGGATCCTTTCTTAGGCTTCAATGAACTGAAGGCAGAATGGGTTGCAGACCAAGCCTGGACTTACAAGGTCAAGCTTCCCGAAGTCGAGGAAGCCAAGCAAGGCACTGTTCATGTGCTGGCATTTGACGGACTCGACACCTTTGCAACGGTCAAACTCAATGGCAAAACCATCCTCGAGAGTGATAACATGTTCATCCCGCACCGTCTGGACGTTACGGAGGCATTGAAGCCACAGGTGGAAAACTTTCTCGAAATTGACTTCAAGTCCGCCAGACTGGAAGCAATCAAGATCCGTGAGGCTCACCCAGAACATACATGGGTGGGCTTTAATGGTGATATGTCACGACTTGCGGTCAGGAAAGCACAGTATCACTGGGGCTGGGATTGGGGTCCAATTCTGAACACTTGTGGTCCGTGGCGCGAAGTGCGGCTCGAAACTTACCAAGTTCGTCTAGAGGATGTTAGAGTTGACTACAAACTGGACGACAGCCTGAAGTCGGTGCAAGGCACGATCTCGGCGGTCGTTGAGGGCTCTTCGGCGAGGAGTGTGACTTTTAAGGTTCACGACGGCGATAGACAGGTCTTCAAAGAGAGTGCAAGCGTCGATAATGGCGTGGCTAAGGTTGAGTTCCATGTCAACAACCCTAAGCTTTGGTATCCCCACGGCTACGGCGAACAACCATTATACACAGTCACGGCAACAGTTTCAACAGACGAAGTCGACCTACATTCGATCACACGCCGGACCGGCTTCCGAAAGGGTGAGCTAGTCCAAGAGCCTGACAAGATTGGGAAAACATTCTTTTTCCGCATCAATGGCATTGATGTCTTCTGTGGTGGTTCGGACTGGATTCCAGCAGACAATTTTACACCGCGAATTACCGAAGACAAGTATCGCAAGTGGTTGGAGATGATGGTTGACGGTTACCAGATCATGATAAGAGTCTGGGGTGGAGGGATTTGGGAAGAAGACATCTTTTACGAACTCTGTGATGAGCTCGGAATCCTGGTTTGGCAAGACTTCATGTTCGGTTGCGGCAACTATCCTGCATTTCCTGAAATCCTGAAGTCGATCAAGGAAGAGTGTATTGCCAACGTAGCCCGATTGAGACACCATCCCTCGCTCGTCATATATGCCGGCAACAACGAGGACTACCAGGTCCAGGAGTCGTTTGGTCTGACATACAATTACGAGGACAAGGACCCAGAGAGTTGGCTCAAGACCGACTTCCCTGCTAGGTATATCTACGAGAAGGTAAGTGAGCACCGCTGCATCTATCGTATGTCAATTCTAATCAGCTGCGATCAGATCCTGCCTGAAGCTGTGGCTGCCGAAAGCCCACACGTACCATACCACCCAGGTTCACCATGGGGCGATGGTTTAAAAACCTCAAACACCACAGTTGGCGATATGCACCAGTGGAACGTCTGGCACGGTACGCAGGAGAAGTATCAGATCTTTGATACACTCGGCGGCCGTTTCAATAGCGAGTTCGGCATGGAGGCTTTCCCCCACATCGATACCATCAGATACTATTGCACCGACCCTACACAGCTGTATCCTCAGAGCCACATGATAGACTTTCACAACAAAGCAGACGGCCATGAACGACGGATCGCGACTTACCTGGTAGAGAACTTCCGTACCAAAACGGACCTTGAGGTGATCCACCCGTGGATAGTGTATTCATCCACAGTCGTGCTGACCAGTCATAGGCATTTATCCACTTGACCCAGCTATCCCAAGCTGAGGCACTGATGTTCGGCTATCGAGGCTGGAGGCGACAATGGGGTCAGGAGCGTTTCTGTGGAGGTGCTCTCGTGTGGCAGCTCAACGACTGTTGGCCAGTGACCTCGTGGTCCATCGTTGACTACTTTCAGCGAAAGAAGCCTGCATACTATGCTATGCGTCGTGTACTTGCCCCTATCGCTGTCGCCGTCAAGCGTGCACATTTCGATTGGAGCGTTGTGCATGCACGAGTGCCACCGAAGAGCGACTTCGAGCTATGGGTTTCGTGCCAGAAGCAGGAGGAGGTGAAGGCAACAGTTGAGCTGAGGTTCATCAGCGTCAAGACCGGCAAGGAGATCAAGGACAAGATCGTCAAGAAAGACATCACTTTGACCCAGAACGGCACAACGGATGTGTTATCCGGCACAATCGATAACGTAAACGAGGAGCCCCACGTGCTCGCGGCGCGTATATGGGTCGATGGTGAGATCGTATCGAGAGATGTGGATTGGCCGCAGCCGCTGAAGTACCTTGACTTCGAAGACCGTGGCCTGGAGGTCATTCCCCAGGGAAGTACGATCTTAATAAAGGCTGACAAGCCTACAAAGGGCCTTGTCTTCGAGGAAAGGTCGGGTGTGTTGGTTCACGACAGCGCAATCGACGTGGTTCCCGGGGATGAACAAACCATCAAGGTCCGAGGGCTGGGTAAACAGGATGAATCGTTGAAGTGGAGGTACCTTGGCCAGGAATGAGTTCAGGCTGCAACATGAGGGGAACAAGTTAAAATGCTGCACGTGGATTCGGAAGCAGCGATGATTATGCGTACAAAATTCAGTGGTTAAATCACAGCTTTACATGCTCGAATCCTATTGAAGGAAATGCTTGAGCGTCGTCTCAACGAAGCAGGTCGCTAAGGACTGGGCGTTGCAGATATCTGGCGGTGGTAATACGCACTCCACCAACAACGAGAAAGTTATCCGTCTTTTGGCACATGTGCAGGCAGAATCGTGTGCTTCGGCGACGATCCTGCATCATCATCACATCGACAACGGCGTGTCCGCATCCGCGACCGCATAATCTGACAGATGTCATATGTCGATCAAGTATAGTTTGCGATGTGAAACTCGACCTGAGGTTTTGTTTGGGCTGCTCAAGCAATTTCCAGTGTGCAATGCGTTGCTAGTTAACGCTGTCCGCAAGGCAGTTCGGTGGTGTCGATGCGCCCGGATCCGACTTGTGGCGAGTGATCAGACCAGATGTTTGCCGTGTGAGCATTGGTACAACTCCACCAATCATGCAATTCTACGTTGCTGCACCCCAGCTTTGCACACCCCTTCGGACGCCAGCACGCGGAGCTATTGGTTGCCAGTGGATCTTGGGCAAGCGTTGTACCGGACTCCTGCGGGAGGACTGGGAATGGGGTGCAGATGTACCGAAAGCCGCCGACATCGCATTGCCCGAGGCATCTGATGATGACGGCCAACAATCTCTCGCCATCGCCATTCGATCGCTGACGGTCCAATAAATATGGCAATATGATCTGACACGATATTTGACGTGCATTTGTTGCCGCGCTAGTCCCCAGCGTCCCAAACCACCTTAACAAGCTTGAAGGGCGACCCTCAATCTCGCTTGGCCTCCGCTTTCTCTTTCCGTCCATCCGTCTCCACACATCGCCCGAGTGTGATATTGCGGGGGCGAATGGTAAACGTTATGTGAAAACCATCCTGAGCACTGTCGCTAATCAAAGTGCGCAGAGAGGTACTGACCAAGAAATGAGCGGCAGGCGGAACGCAAATTGTCGATACGACTGTGGAGCCTAACTTTACGCCCATACAGTAGTGTTTGCTGCATATCCTTGGCCACTCACTACAATCTCGTGCCGCTGTCTCCGATATAACGACCTAGATCCTGTCTTTTGGGGCCGCTTGCAGTCAACTTGAACCTGCGTTAGGTACCATTACATACACTGGTCTTTGATCCCGGTTCGTCTTTCTGCACTGCGCACCTACCGACACCCCTTCTGAGCAGGCTGCTTCACTGATTTCCTTCAATCCTTGCACATGAAGTGCGGCGCGGGAGTGCTGTAGTATGTTTCATACGTTCCAGTCCGCTGCGGGGCAGCGACAATCTGCTGGCGAGGTTGACCTTGCGGGGAAACCAACGCGTTCGACCGGCTCACGACGAATATCGACAAGCAACGCGTGCGTCGAGTGTAGACGGCGCAAGATTCGCTGTGATGGAATGCAGCCATGTGGGCAGTGCCAGTGGTACCAGCATCCAGAAGTAAGTCCTGGACCGAGGTGCCCTGCAGACGTGGGCACGGGATCGCCCCATGCTAACATGAACGAAGGCATGTAACTACTCGAAACCCGCACAGCGAGTTGTACCTAGTCGCAAGTTCGTATTGAACAACTGGGACATGGTCAGAATTGCACTGACAACCGACAGACTGGTCGATAAACTGTCGGGCAACATTGAGTTGTATAGGAATGTCTTGATAAAGCTAGTAGGACACACCCAACTTGACCAATTATCCAACCTATCTCGGGAAGAACTCCTGCAGATCGCTCTGGCTTCGCCGGATGTTAATCAAAGAACTTCGCCGTCCATAGCGAATGCGCGAGCCATGTCGGAGGTCCACACCGGTTCGGACGGTGCTGACAGCCTTGAAGCGCTCGAGCAAGCACCTCCAGAAGATCCATATTGGGACGAAGCGCGGAAACACCAAATTCGAGTTCAAGGAATATCCGATGATGTCAACGGCCTTTCCATGTCTGTAGACAGGCTGTCGTCGTATGTTGGAATCTCATCGATTACGGCAGCGCTCAAGGTCATCGTCCGTTGCGCACCGCAAGCACGACCGCTGCTCACACATAGTAACCAAGCAGAAACTGCAGTACCCAGCAGAGCGAATTCCCCGCCACCCGAGCTCTCTAACAACCACCCACACGCATTGCCTTCGCAAACACAGGGAGAAGGCCTCATCGAAAGCTATTTCGACCGATGCCATCCCTTCTTTCCTCTGATCGACGAACGGAAATTCTGGGCCACCTATCTCCACGGAAATCGAACGGATTCGCAATGGCTAGCACTCCTAAACATCGTTTTCGCTGTAGGCTCACTAGCATCGTCAACAGCTGATAATCAAGCACACTACACCTACTTCAACCGATCTCGAAAGCACATGTCGCTTGACTCTTTCGGCAGTGGCAATATTGAGGTGTTACAAGCTCTAGCCATCATGAGTGGCTACTACATGCACTATCTCAATCGACCGAACGAAGCACATTCACTTATGGGCGGGACGCTGCGCATGGCGACATCTTTAGGCCTGCATCGTGAATATTCCGAGCGCAATGAGACGAGCAGGCATCTGGCACCACCCGAAGAGGAAGAGGAGGCCATTTCACCCGAAATGAGGCGACGTATGTGGTGGAGCTTATTTTGTCTCGACGCCTGGGCATCGACAACTACCGGCAGACCATCATTGGGCAGGATGGGACCATCAATTACTGTCATGAAGCCTGGCACAGCCGCCAATGCTGTGGGTATCTCGTACTGAACTGGATAGAGTCTTTATTGACGCTAAAGCAGGTGCCGACCATCATCATGCCAAACAGCCCGCAATACATGGACCAGCTCAAGCTGCTCCCCCTAACCCATGCCTCCACATTCTGTGCTATTGCTACAAAAATCCAAGATCGCTTGGTTGAGTCGCCGCTTCTCCCAAATGCTGAGACAGCCGCGTACGATGCCCAGGTCTTGAAGTGGTACGATGAGCTTCCGTCGGTGTTGTCTAATTATGATGAGCAATGCCCGGATTTTCTGCATCGAGTACGGCTGGTCATGAGATGGCGCTTCCACAATATTCGGATTGTGTTACACCGCCCAGTACTACTGACAACAGCTCTTCGAAGATGTGCGTTCGCTACTCTGACTGCAGAGGAGAAGATTGCAGTGGAAAGGTGCCGTGCAGTTGCAAGCAATACCATCGACGAGATCAGCAGGGATTGCCTGCTTGATCTGATTTCTGGGTGGAATGCGGTCTGGTTCTGCTACCAAGCCTGCATGGTTCCACTGGTATCGCTGTTCGGTGATGCGAGCCAACCAGAAGAGATCAAGAAATGGATGGCCAGTATCGAGACAGCTCTGGGTTTCTTTGAACGCATCAAAGACTGGAGCATAGCAGCGAAAAGAAGTGCAGATGCTGTTGCTCGGTTGTATGCAGCATACAAAGCTCAAAAGGCAACGCCTCAGCCGTCCATCCCACCGACTCCGCAGATGCAGATGCAGCAGACGTACAACATGCCGGACAACTACCCGCAACTTAACATGATGCCCTCCACACTCGATCCAAGCCAAAATCCCTTCGACTACAACGCTGTTGGGATGCAAAATTGGCCTACCACGAACGTGAACGACCCGAATTATTTGAACTACTTTTGGGATGATATGATGTGGGACACAAATTTACCCGATATGCAAGACACGCCATACGGCACAGGCAATGGTTTTGATTTTCCCGGCACAGCGCAGGACTCGGGCATGGATGGGGCGTACTGGATGCATGGTAATTGAGCAAGAAAATTCTGGTATGAAGAGCAGGACTTCGTTAGACGGTCGCTTTAATCTCTACGTAAGATACCCTAAAGTTGCATCTTAGATATTCATGAAGGACGCTGAAACTTATACTCGGTCGTCCAGCTAATCTGTAAAAACTGCTTTTTCAAAGCCTGACTGCACTCTTGTCACTTATTTCGTACTGCGGTAAGCGCTGTAATGGTGAGCTACTCCGCGGACTTTCAGTTTTTCTTCTTCAATGCTCCTCCATCGACCGTGATCTCCTGACCAGTCACGAAACCAGCTTCAATCAGGTACAGACACGCGTCAATAACATCCTTCGGCCTACCCGCGCGGTTCGTCGGGTGATCACTGACATCCTTCTCAAGGATCTGCTCCTCCCAATTCGTGCCCGCCTCGTCACCGGCCCTACACTCATGCGCAACCTTGATCCGGCCTGGCGCAACCAAGTTCACCCGGATGCCCAGAGCCCCGAGGCTGATCGCCATCGAATGCATCAAGCCCAGCAAGCCCGACTTGCTCGACGCGTAACCCTCCTGATTCGCGTCCGACTGGTGCGCGCGGAAACTGCCAATGTGAATGATGCACGGCCCAGCGCCTTGCGTCTTGTGCGCGCCCTGCTCGCGGTCGTGGGCCCGCGCCTTCATGTACGGGATGCATGCTTGGCTCATTGCGAACGGGCCGCTCAGATTGGTCTCCATGTAGGCCTGCCATTGCTCCCACGTGTCTTTGTTTTCCATCGTCTCACCGTTCTTCCATTGCGGTGCTGCAATGCCGCCGTTGTTGACGAGCACGTCGATGCGGTTGTCGAAGAAGGTCTCGGTTGCGGTGGCGACTTTCGTGCGGATGTCTTCCACGTCGCGTAGATTGCAGAGAGCAGAGTTCAATTTTTTCTCATCGTGGTACTGTTTCAGATGTACCTTTGTCGTGTAAGTGAGCTCTTCCTCGTCGATGTCAAAGATGAACACGTGATGGCCAGCTTCGAGGAACATTCGAGCCATGGCGCGTCCAATCCCGCGGGCTCCGCCGCTAACGATGATGTTCTTTGGTGGCGCTTGGAATGCCATAATTGATGATGGTTGTTTCTATACACTTGAATCTGGGGTGTGGACAGAGATAATACATTCGTGTGCCACGCAGTATTTGGTGCGTACACCTGACGTCATGCCTTTGCTTCTCAACACATTCAGCAGTCACGATAAGGAAAGTAAAGGCCCTGATACGGGTTAAGCATTAAGGTCTGGCTTAAGGCTTTGATAGTGATTAGACTACTGCTGATGTTATACCCTGTCACGTCTGATCCCTCATCATTCATTCACCAAGCTAATATACAACACTGCGTCAGGTTGCACAAAAACGGTACACAAAGACGAGTCCATTAAACATAGTTATTTACAACATACCACTTTTTCAATTGTTATGTTGAAAACCCTTGAGCTCGTTGCCTTATATTTCATTAGCTGAACTTGTCTTTGAACTTGTCTGAGGTCATTGCAGTGAACTATGTTGGAGTCTGACTGGACCATCAACTAAACCGACATACCTCCCAATCAGACGAATTGGTATAATTCGCATCCTGATAAAAGCTCTTTATCCGACTCCAGAACTATTGCTAAGCAAATCCTGTGTACGCTGCAAGGACGTCGCCTAGCTAACATGCATAGATTGGCAATTTATGCCCTGGCGTAGTCCTTGCTCACCTCTGTCTGCCCATCTCACCTAATTTCTAACCTTAGGAAACCTCAAGGAAAACCTCTGGGCGGGTTGCGAGCGCTTTCTGATATGGATATCACTGCATGGTGGTCACAGCACCACGACCTGCATTCATACACAAAATCATGGAACATTGTTGTACTCTGCATGAGCTTCCACACATCAACAACCAAATTCAACAAGAATGTCTCGGCACTCCTCCCAGCCCACGCCCCCAATAAACCCCGTGTCACGCTTCCAGAACGCCCTTACCTCGCCGCCTCCCTTCTTCAGCCCCGCAAAACCCACACTCCACACTGCCCGACTCCGCAACATCAAACACCGCCAACATGCACTTTACCTTCGCCGCCGTTCTCGGTCTCTGCAGCGCCACCGCGCTGGCCGCGCACACTCTCGACACCCGTGCGGATCGCAAAACGAATCTCTACGTCTGCACAGAGAAGGCGTGGGCTGGCACGTGCAAGAATGTCGAGCTGACAATCGGGAAGTGCTATAATATGGGGAAGGCGTTTGACAAGAATGTGTCGAGTGCGGGGCCGGATGACGGGACGTTTTGCACGCTGTATTCGTGAGTGGCTGAGGCTGTTGGTAGGAGTGCTGCGCTGATTGTTTGATAGAGAGCAGGGCTGTCGTGGGAAGGCGATCCCATTTACGAACCCGGGGATTGGCAACTTCGACAAGTATCAGTTTGATAATGAGTTGAGTAGTGTGCGGTGCGATCTCATTTGGGGCTGGCCGAAGAAGAGTGGGTGAGCGATGTGCTGATTTATCTTGGGGGCGTGAGATTTGTTTTGTCAATGTCGGAATCACGCAGGAGGTTTCAAGATCAAGTGAACGTTACGAAATAGATTCATCCAAGCCTTTTGGTAGCCAGTGTGAGCTCCGGTGCCCCTAACGCCGATCCCATCCCAGAGTACAGGTATATGTCCATGCATCATAAATCAAACAACATCGTATCAAGACTCTATTTCGCGCGCTCGTAAACACCAACGACCATGGCGTGGTCACGCTCGAAGGGCTCGAGGGTAAGCTGCTCCTTGGGCTTGATGCCCATCTCCCTCAGCTTGGCGACTTCCTGAGCGAAGACAGCCTCGGGGGCAGCAGTCGAGTCGATACAGTTGGCCTTGATGGAGATGACGATACCACCGCCAACCTTCAGGAAGAGACCGGCGTTGAGACCGACGATACGGGCCTGATCGGGCTGAGCAACATCGGCGAAGATGCAGTCGACCATGCCGACGAGCATACGGTACTTGAGGGGGTGACGGGCATCCTCAACGATGGGGATGACGTTTGTGCGGTGGGTGGCCATGTTGATCAGATCACGGCCGGAGCGGTGGGAGAACTCGACAGCGAAAACAGTTCCCTCGGGGCCGACGATATCAGCAACGTGGGAGACGGAGGTACCAGAAGCAGCACCGAGGTACAGGACCTTGGAGCCAGGGCCCATGTAGATGTTGTCGACACCACCGAGGATACCAGCAGCCAACTTGGAACGGAAGGGGTTCCAGACGCGGTACTCAACAGCGGAAGGAGCGGTCTCCTCGCCATCGGCCTTCTCAGCACCGACGCTGATGCGCTTCTCGCCGTAGACGCTCTCGCCGGGAGTCAAGTTCTTGGTGACGAGGAGATCCTCCTTGCCGCGGGCAACAAAAACACCGGCGTGACGATGGGGCTCAACAACGACCTTGCTGCAGGCTGTTAGTGGCTATCACCTCGAGCTTCTGATGTTGAACTTACGCTCCGCCACGGGCTCCGCCGCGAGCACCACCACGTCCACCGCGAGCACCGCCACGAGGGCCGCCGCGACCACCTCCACGGCCTCCACGGTCGCCGCCGAAGCCACCACGGCCTCCGCCACGGCCTCCGCCAAAGCCACCGCGACCACCACGGTCACCGCCGCCACGTCCGCCACGAGGAGTGAAGCCTCCACGGCCACCACGGTCACCGCCGCCACGTCCGCCTCTGCATTATGTTAGTTCTTTGTCAAGGAGTTGTGATCAAAATCTGCAGATGCAGTACGCAGCAGGTTGGCATGCGCAGGTATTTTCTCGAGCAGCTGCTGCAATATAGCAGCTGCCTTTCGAAAAACTAGCTGCGCAGCCCAGCTGCAGCGCAATGGCAGGTATGCTCGACCTTAACATGGATGGAGTCGTACCTGGGTGTGAATGCCATTGCTGATTATGGTATGAAGAAAAAAAGTGTCGAGTTGTAGCTGTGCGACGGTGCAGACAATGCGATGGAAGCTGCAAAGTTCAGACTTCGAGAATTTCTCTGCGAGCTCACGGCGCTAATGCCAAAATTCGATAGCGCCAAGCGCACATCCCTGCGCGAGGTGGTCCGCGCGCTCGCTTCGGAGTCCGCACTTGCGATTTTGCTCGTCGACACACTTCGAACTGCCTGACAATCGTTCGTCGACTAACAACACAGGACCTCATCGCCCGCCAAAATGGTGAGTTGCCGCCCGCCGTCGCACTGCTCACAGGAGAGCTGCTGCGTATATCGAATGCGAAATTAATTGCTGCCGCAGGTTCGTTACGGAGCATCCCACCTCGAGAACGCAAAGAGCGCCCGCGCTCGCGGCTCCTACCTCCGTGTTTCTTTCAAGAACACCCGCGAGACCGCCCAGGCCATCAACGGATGGAAGCTCGACCGCGCTCTGACCTACCTCGGTAACGTCCTGGAGCACAAGGAGGCCGTTCCCATGAGGCGTTACGCCGGCAGCACTGGACGCACCGCCCAGGGTGAGTGACCCTCTATCTCGCACGCACGAACGCACGACTGGCACTGGACGCATGGAAGCAGTGGAAGAGGAGGAATGCGCTGGCTATTGGATTGCACTGCGTTGCGATTTTGCCGACTGAAATTTCCATGGGCAATGGCTGACTCCCGCAGGCAAGGCTTTCGGTGTCTCCAAGGCCCGCTGGCCCGTAAAGTCCGCCGAGATCCTTCTCGGTCTCCTCAAGAACGCTGAGGCCAACGCCGACACCAAGGGTCTCGACACCGCCAACTTGATTGTCAAGCACATCCAGGTCAACCAGGCCCCTAAGCAGCGCAGGCGCACTTACCGCGCTCACGGTCGCGTACGTACCAGTACTTCACACGCACAGCTCTGGTCCTAACAGCGCATAGATCAACCCTTACATGTCCAACCCCTCCCACATCGAGCTTATCCTCATCGAGGGTTCCGAGGTTGTCCAGAAGTCCACCGAGTCCGTTGAGCGCCGATTGAACTCGAGGCAGCGTGGCCGTGAGGTCCGCAAGGCCATCACCTCTGCGTAAGCAGTTCGAGACGAGGTGTTGAAGTTCAGCGAGGACAAAAGGACAAGGCATGGGCAGGGTCTAGGAGTCAATGAGCGATGAATTATAGGGTCTTTCATACTCACTCATCATGTGTGCATGATTGGGAATTCGATTTCTCCGGTGTCTGGTCGATAACAAACAGGGCTACGGCCTGATTCCCAAACTCAGCGCTTTCTCTGCATGTGTCGTGCACTGTCATTGCATGCTCACGACCGCCCTAGCGCTTAATGCAATGTATTACGAACCTTCAATCGCAACTCCACATTTGAGAGCCAAAACTAAGCCGTACAACCTGGGTTTGACGTCGAACGGCCATCGTCACTGCTAACAGCATATCCCCCATGAAATTTCCAGTTGGCTGTAGCGCTAGTCCCCAGTAAGCACTAGCGTGTTATCGACCCAGGTTTGCATGCTTCTCTAACACTCCCGATACTTCACGACCTCATCGAATTGGCTTTGCGTAGTGCGTATGCTCCGTGAATATCGTATGATCTTGGTATTCGGACCTCCCCCCTGGCTCGAGCAAGGCTGCTATCTTGTTCTTCGGCGCCTGCCAAGTTTTGGGATCAATACCATCATGACGCAAGCCCAGCATACCCATGTGCACCGCCGCATCTTGACTTTGTTGTGAATGGACTATATATCCGACTTACCCTCGCGCCCACCTGCAATCGCTACTGGGCTTTCCTTGTATATATCTACGTGACTTCCACTAATTTGTGCTCCAAGTTGAACACAAGAATGTCATCCCTCCAACATCTACTCAGTGCAGTAGCACTTGGCCTTCTCGCCACCACACAAGCACAAGACAGCAAGAGAGGGTTTGCCTTTATAGGAGATACCCATGCACCAGACAACAGACTTCTATCATCCAACAACAGCCCACTAGCGTGGTATTACAACTGGAGTCCCTACCCAAATGGCGACCTCATACCGACAGGCTCACTCGAATTCGTACCCATGATCCACGGCATCGATGCGACACAAGATAGCAGAACAGAACAAGTAATCGGTGGTCTCGACCAATCAAGCACACACCTCCTCTCCTTCAACGAACCAGACGGCACAACCGGTAGCGGCGGGACAAGCATAGACCCCGAAGACGCAGCACGCGCCTACATCGACTACGTCGTGCCCTTCCGTAACGGCACCCGAGGCGGCCGCAACTGGAAGATCAGCCACCCCTCCACCACCGGCTCCCCCAACGGCCTGGAGTGGCTCCGCTCCTTCAACTCCTCGTGCTACGACATCGACCCTGAGAACGGCTGCCCCGCGGACTTCGTCGCCGTGCACTGGTACGGCAACTTCGACGGGCTCGCGGCTTGGGTAGGCACGTTGAATGAGTTCTACAACGTCAACTCGACTAGGGATGCGAACCTCACGCTTTGGGTTACGGAGATGGGGCTGCCGCAGCAGTCGGCCGATGAGACAGTGGCTATGATGAACCAGACGCTTCCGTACCTCGATGGGCTCGACTATGTTGAGCGGTACTCCTGGTTCGGTGCGTTTAGAACCGACGACGCCAATGAGTGGACTGGAGACGGTGTGGCGTTGTTCGATGACGATGGCGGTCTTACAGAGCTTGGTGCTCTATATATGGGCCAAGGGTTCCAGGAAGGGCAGAAGGGTGAGGGCGCAGATTCGGGTGCGGGTCTGATCAGTGTCAACCTCGCGGCTGTGATTGCGATGGGGTTGGTCAGTGTTGTCATGATTACCATGTAGATTTCTTTACCCTGCATTTGAGCGTTAGATTGCAGATACCCATGATTATGTAAACAATATTTACACTCTATCTGAGAGAGTCTCGCTTGCTTCAGGTGGTGAGACTGTACAGTGTCGGCGCCGCCTCGGTTGCACAGTGACTGAGAACACAGCTCATCGTCAGTTTCCAGCCATGTTATGCGTTAGAGGAGAGGGAGAGTGGAATACATTCAGCTCGTACCGAACGTGTGACGATACATGTAGATATCTGCAACGCATATCGAACATGTCGCAATCCTCCCTGGGGGATGTGACATCTCAGTGATGGCAGAGCTGAATTCATTCGTTGGAGATGTCTACGAGGTTCAGACGGGTCTTTGCACTTGGGTCTGCAGTATCAAAGGCGGATATCATCAGCCGTCGCTATAGAAAAGATAGTGGCGTGTTTGGGTAAGCGTAGAAGCGTATGGAGCACTATTAGTGTAATGACTGTCGTCTTGCAAGCAAACAGCAAGCGCAAGATGTCAGCTTGTCAGGTCAAGCAATGCATGAACGTCAGGAAGGCAAGTATTACAGCGCATGATTTGGCATTGAATTCATGAGAAGAAGATCACCACACCTATTGCAGTCTGTCGGAAAAGAAAATCCACGTAGAAAGGAGAAGTAAGATATTCGAAAGAACAGCAAATGATGAAATGTGAAACCCAAAAGAGAAACTGTCCGCAGGGAGTCAGTGACCAAGACTCGGCCAACCGCCTCACAACCACAGAGAGGAGAAGCTGATACTTCCCCGCGGCCCGTTTCCAACAGTAGGGCCCCACCATCCGTTCTCCCTGGGCTCGTACAACATCTCGACATCGATTTTCTCACTCGCATTGTGCCCATAGCCCACATCCTCAGCCAGGAACACTTCACACTGACCATCGTACTTGAAGAAGATAGCATTAGGCTCTGTGGCAGCGACGCCACAGCAGGCCGTTGCGTTGGTGATCTCGCTCCAGTCAGAGCGGATGATGGTCAGGTTCTTGCTGTACCAGTCGTCTGCGAGCCTGTACAGCGGGTAGTCGTTGTAGGAGTTTACGACGTTGTCTGTGGCGCATGCGGCGTAGACTGAGGTCGTTGATGATGGGTATTCAGTGGTTGTGGTCTACAAGAGGTTAGCTGAGTAAACAAGGGCAGATAAAGTGAAGATGGAGACTTACGGTTTCGGTGTTGGTGCTTGTCTCGGTGTACAATGAGCGGATTTCCAGACCGGAGGCCATCGAGAAGGTGTATGCAGACTCTGTGGGCGAGATCTTGGTAGTCACGGTTGTTGTAGTGGTTTCGGTCGTCACGTACTTTGTGCGAGTGTATGTTGAGGGTACTACGTAGGATTTAGAGGTAGAGGTGCCTGAGTCGTAGATGTTGACCATGGTGACTAAGCAATCGACTTTTGAGACTTGATCAGAAGGTTTGGTATACCCTGCACTGCTCTGAGCTTCACCACCAATGGGTGCAGCCTCTAGGCTATCGAAAAGTTTGGGCTGTGAAAGATCGAGGGGAATGGCCCATGGCTCGGATCCCTCGTCCTGCCAGTAGGTATCTTCGACGCTCCAGTTCTCCCGATCAGCCCAATCGTCCACGTGCTGTGTGGCCTCTGGATGAATAGCCGCAACTGGGGTGAATCCGTATGGTGTAGGCACGATGGTTGTTGAAAGCACGGACGTTGTGATGGTGGAGGTCGAAGAAACAACTTCGGTGGTTGTGATGTAATTGGTCCAAGTGTACGTATCAGTATAGATTGTCTTGGTCAAGTTGTTAGGTGCGGTTTCGATTTCCGTGTATGTGGATGTAGCTGAGACGCTCGTAGTGAATGGCTTTGGTGTCAAGACTTCCGTTTTGGTCCTGTACGCGTACGAGGTGCTCGTGAAGTAATTAGTGGGAGCACCCCAAGGAGGCGCGGAGGCTCCATAGGTTGTCAAGCACCGAGAGACTGAGGAGACTGCTGCGGGCGAATTTCCTGGCCAAAGGCGAGAGTCAGACATCATTGTGCTGAAGCCAGCTGCTGCCGCCATTGTCGTGTTCATCGCCATTGGTCTCATTTTGAATTGAGCTTCCTGTCTTTTGAGGGAGGTAGTTTGTAGATTCTGCTGTTTATCTGATCTGGGTTCGCAGACGATCTTATAGTTTCGTATCCTTGCAAAATAGTTGCTGCCAATTTCCTCACAGCCACAAAGCCTTCGATAGATGAGCACAGTGTCACGTACTCCTGGAATGCAAGACTTGAAGCAAGGTTGATGGTACAAAAGAGAATTCGATATCGCCAGGGAACAAAGCGACTGCCTATGCAAGTAAGTACAGGCGAAGAAGGCATCTGTGTTTCTCGGAAAGGCAGCCGTAACTATGCGGGGTCAACACGTCTATGGAAAGCTTGGCTTGGTGATACAGAAGCGTGTGAAAATCTCCTTGAAAAGCCGAATGCTAGGGCATATCCAATATGTCAGCTTACAAAGTTCGTATTTTGAAATGACAAGTATGTCAGTGACGTTTATTCGCACACGCTGCCATGTTGTTGTGCTATACTTAGCTCCGTGGGAATGCATGGCGGAAAGGGCAGCTCAGGTGAGGGGTAAAAAGCTTTTGTTCACAAGCTCTGTGTAAGCCGAGGCTTGAGCGAAGATGAGGTGCAACGTCATATTCTTCCAGGAATTCAATGCAAACATCACGTAGATGAAGAAAGGTTGTTTGTGATGGACAACACACCAAAGACGCGCGAATTCGGATGCTTTCCGAGAAACATGCAGGGACCGAGAAGCGATCCAATCATCAACCGTACGTACCTACGCTAAGAATGGCCCACCTGGATTCGTATCCCTTGTTAGATTCGACGTGACTTCTCTCGTGTCAGGTGTATCACACTGATGTATGCCAAGCAACATGGTTTCGAAACCAACGGTGGCGTTCGACATATCGAGCATCCTCTGAGGTAGGTGTCCAGGAGTACGGACTGATCACATAAAACATGTCTACCGAGAAACCTCCAATAGACTCCAAAAGAAACAACAATACCGAGAAGGGATTCCAAGTCGCTGCTGCTAGTGAACGACAGTTTGCGGTATAGACGCATTTGTCCGCGGAAGTGCGAGCTGAATCAAACAAGACTCTATATAACAGACTGCCAGGCATTCCCAGCAAACTAGCATCGATCACATCAGGGCGCACTGCGACGACGTTAAAAGAACTCGATGCTGACCAGGCACCAGACAGATGTCGTGACGAGTTGGCGGACGCTAAGAATTGTGGGAGTATCAAGGGCAAAGGAGCGATGAGAATGTTGAATCTGCAAGAATCATTGATGTGTGATCTAGGGTATATTGCTCATCGGGTGTCACCGTTCACTCCTGCCGCGCATCACACCCTCCGTACAAGAAGTACGCTATGCTCATGATTCCAAAACGCCGACGCTATGCGATGTGTATGCCCGAACTTTTCTGCAGGCTCGTACGACCTATGAGCTCGACTTAGTTAATAGGAACCCGACGTTGCTCTCGTTCTGCTTGAGCACTTCAAGGAAGACATCGTCGTCCACTGCAACAGCCAGCTCCTCCTCTTCGACTCCACCCTTAGCATCTGCACGGATATGCTTAGTGTCGATGTGTCGATACTCCATCAGCATCCGCAGCTTGGGTATCTTCGCTTTACGCCTGCTTTCGATCTCGGCTTCTTGCTCCTCAATATCGACTTCACTGGCTTTTCTGAGGCCAGGGAGAAGCGGCTTGTCATCGTCGCTATCTTCATCTTCTGCGATCCCAACAGGCTCTTCTGGCTTGGCCTCTAGGGTACCCGTGCAATCACACGTGCAGCCGAGCAAGTCGTGCGTCTGGCATGTCTCGCGTTCATCAAGACGAAACAGATCGCGCAGCTCATCTCGGGAGAAGGACGAGGCAGACTGCTTGTTGTCGACGACCGCATTGGCCAGCCCCATCTTCATGACTTGGCGCTGATAGATCTTCTCGTCGAGGCCACCTTGAACGAGGAACCTGTAAACCTTGCAAGGCAACTTTTGACCGTCGCGATGGATACGGGCCATGGCTTGCAGATCAGTGGCGGGGTTCCAGTCGATGTCGAAAAGCACGATGCGTGATGCGCCGATGAGATTCAAACCTACACCACTAGACTTGGCCGAGAGCAGGAAGGCAAAATTTGCAGCCTTGGGAGTCTTGTTGAACCGCTCCACGAGGCCTTGTCGTTTGTTCGCAGGCGTGCTCCCGTCCATGCGCATGTAGGTGTATGATAGAGAGTTCAGAAGGCGTTCAATCATGTCGAGCGTCATTGTGTAATTCGAGACAATGACAATTTTCTCTTCCGTGGTGGTGTAGATCCGATGCACTAGGCTGTCTAGCAGACGTAGCTTGGTACTGGAAGCGTGCGAGTTCAATATTTGCGGCGGTATCAGTGGGAGAATGGATGCTATCGTCTCCGACTCTTTCCCTTCCGTGTCTTTCTTTGACTTCAGCAGCGAAGGACTATTGCATACTTTCTTCAAGATTGTGATGAGCTGCAAGGCCATTTCCATGTTGCCATAAGCTGCGGTGAACAGTGGTGAAGAAAGAACGCTGCGATACGCCTCGGCTTGGGCCTTTGTTGGACGGCAAAAAACGATGTGCTCCGTCTTGGGTGGAAGATACTTCGACAGTACGTCCGCAGTACGGCGGATCATGAACTTGCTGGTCAACGACACTAATTCCTGCCATCGTGCCTCGCCCTTTTCTAGCTCCGACTCACTTGCATCTGGCTGACGGCTGCGAACGATTGGAGCTTCGAATGCTCGCTTGAACGCAGATCGCTGACCAAGGAGTCCAGGGTTGACGAAGTCGATCGCAGTGTAGAATTCACCTAGATCGTTTTGCAGCGGTGTGCCTGACAGAATGATGCGCCTTTCGGTATTGAGCGACTGGATTGCCTGCATAGACTTGTTGTTCGCGGTCTTCAGACGGTGACCCTCGTCTGCAATGACGATGTCGACACCTGCACCCCTCTTGAGCTCTTCTTGCATAGTCCTGAGCATCTCATATCCGATGATCAAAACATTGTAGGCTTTACCCATTGTGAAGTTAGCAATCTTCTTGTTCTTCGCATCGGCAACATAAACGCCAATCCTCTCGTTGCCGAGCCATTTTCGAAATTCGCGCTTCCAGTTATCGACCAGTCCAGCGGGGCATACAATGAGAGCCTTTGTAATAGCGGGTCCACTGTCGTGGATAGGATTCTGCTTCAGCAAGGTCCATATCAAGGCGATGGTCTGCAGAGTCTTCCCAAGGCCCATCTCGTCAGCCATGATGGCACCTTCACCCTCGCTGCGCATGCCCATTACACACTCGTACAAAAACTTTACACCTTCTCTTTGGTGGTCTCTCAAGTGCTTACTCAGAACCGGATCAACGACAACGTCTACGACTTGTTTTCCTTTGGGTATGGTGGTCGGCGGCTTCATGACTAGCGCGTTCGGTGCGTTCGGGTCGTGGCGAGGTGTTGGTATTGACGTGTTGCGCTGTGGAAGCACAGTATTTGACAACAGTGGGGTCTTGAATTGCTGTGTCCTGTTCGAAGACGGAGCGTATTCAGGAACAACGCTCTTAGTGCTGCTTGAAGACTCGGTCCTCTTCACCTTGGACTTGCTCGCAGGAAGTGGTTTACCCACAGGCAAAGGCTTGTACCCAGGCTCTACCCGTTTTGTTGTCTGCTCGACCGGTGTTGCTGCTGCCTTCCCCATGAACATGCGGCCAGACAGATAGTCTTTTTTCTGAATAACATCATCGATTTCCAGCTCCTTCCCGCCAATCGACAACTGGGAGCCGGGAAGAAGTGGCCGATTGCACGCCCCCTTGCCCATTTCCTTGCCTGAATCGCTATCCGTGAGCACCCCGACGCCGTTCACCACCGCCAGTACGCCGTCACCGTCCCATGTTTTGTTCTTCTTGGTGGTGAACTTTCGCCACAGTACAGTGTAGTAGCTGGCATTGCTTTCGACTGGGGGTGTTTGAGGCGGCGTGGGATTATGTATGTCGATCAACGGCTTTCGGATTGCTGGTGCGGCGCGCACCAGAGGCTCATCATCGTCAGACTCGGAGAGACGTCTTTTCTTTGCCGGTGGCGGGCCGTTGAGATTGTTGAGTCTCCCAGCGACTGAGAGGGGCCTGAACGGCTTGTATGGCTTCATTGGGTGTGACAATTGCAAAATTGCAGCATCGCAAAGCTGTGAGAGGATCAGGTTCAGTGGCAAGGCAGTCGCGAACCTGACAGGCGCCATCGACAATTTAGGGATAGCGCCAACGCGTTCGCACGTGAGCACGAGCTAACACTTTCCTCATTATTATCTAGCAGACAAGAGAGGACGTCGACTCACTGACATCGTGCCAAGTTCTCCACACCTCTACCTGTCACGTTGTCATGCGGATGCGCTTCCAGATTGGCATGAGCTGTCATTGTTTGATGTTGTCTCAGCATGCAACAGATGCGGAAAAGCCGCTTGGGTATGGTATCAAGGCACTCTGACAGTGGAACAACGTGACAAACACAATAATAACGGATCTGCCCGTGGTAAGAATAGTCGCCCAAGTTTAGGTATGAACTACAATCTTCAAAAGTCTCGTTCCTAAATATCCAAACAGCCAGAGCAGACCTCAGAGGAACACATCGGATTGTTGTACTGAACACATCTTCAAAACATCCAGTTTGCATGACGTGGCCCACCCGGTTTCACACCAATGAACTGCTCTGCAGATACGAAGATACTAGATCGACGCTAACAAGCTTGGTGCCTGTACAGGCAGCCCGGATCGATACGTGCAATATCTCTGAGACCCAACGACCAGGTTGACGTTCTAACGCCTTCTATTTGCAGTGCATTGGGAAGACAGGTTGTCGTATAAGAATCGGGCTCCTGCAGACAGATGCAGACTCACTATCATCAAACTGCAAACTGCAAACCACAAGCAGTCCTCATCGAGTCACAATCTCAAGCAAATCTTAAAGAACAGAGTCGATCAACATCATTCCATCACACCTCCGCCATGAAGTTCACAGCCCTTCTCTTCGCGCTCACCACACTCTCCGCCACGGCGTGGGCATCCTCTCCAAAGGTCAACAGCGAACCGCGTCTCGCCATGTCCAGAGCTAGAGTCTCATCGAAACTCGCCAGAGCGCCTGTGGAGCCAGCGGTGGAAGACCACGTTGCACTCAACTATCTTTCAAACGCCATCCGTGATGCTTCCACGCTCGTGGTCAAAACGAAGAACAGTGCGCGCGGCATGAGCGGACGCATGGCACGCACGTCCGCGGCAGGTCGGGCACAGCGTCGGTCTGCGGAAGTGCCGGCGCAAACGAATGTCAAACGAGTTGAGAGGACGGGTGGTATGGGCAGAGTGCAGCCATATATGCCGAGATCGGCTCAAGCGCAAAACCCACAGCAGGAGCAGGCAAAACAACCCAAGGGACAGCAAAAACAGGCCAAGGGTCAACAAAAACAGGCCAAGGGGCAGCAGAAGCAGAAGCAAAGCAACAGCAACAGCAGCAATGGGGCTGTGTAGAACCCAAGGTGTTGACAGCAAGTGGTGAACAATCGAAAATGTTGCTGGTGTGACTGTCTATCTGACAAATTATTCTATTATATGTACATACCTAAAGTCAATGGAACAATCTTGAGCAGCCGGTCCATATTTGGCATTTCTTGCGTCCATCCTCACGCCCCTACTTTGCTTACTAGGCAGCAGCAAAAAAGTATCCCTCTAGCATTTGAACTCCTTTTCAAGAGGCGCATCCACCAATACTGTCTTCCCTCCTAGCCTTCGGAAGGAGAACTCATACTTGGAAACGTGCAGTAGGCCAGTATCTGATTGCAGTATTGGAGTGCGACCTCAGGCTGCTCGAAACACTTTTCTGCTGAATGGAAGCAATGATCAGTAATGATGTATTCCATAAACGCCGAAGAGGCGTAAGATTGACATGGTCTTGGAAACGTGGTATCGATTAAAGGATGTGTCGAATAGATGCTCTTGGTGTCAACGGTGTTGGGAAAGCCACCAGGAGCCTTTGAAGTGGCAAAGATGATGCTAGGTCTGAAGAGCCCAACGAAGTCACAACCATGCTCACTATGCCTTGCAGCGTAATGGACTGGTAACTCATTTGCATTACGTACACAGTCTAATCATCGAGGGCAGAATATCGCCGTGTCAGACCCTTAGCTCGAAGTCAGCGCTCGCTGGACGTTCAGTCTCCTGTCTAGCGGCAACTGGGAAGTGCTCTGCTGATACGTTTGCCGTAACAAAAATTGGATCATCTGGCATGAACTGATATCTGATCTTGTAACAAGGCACCCCGACAGTGGTGTGTTCATGATATCTGCAGGACTTGTCGAGGTCTAGCGGATCTTGCATGTCGGTCGATTTGGCGGACGAGGTGATAAAAGGAGCTGCAGCTGTGAGGAGATCGAGTTGGAACGCGATCAGGAAATCCTTCAGCCGGTTCTTTTCAAAACCATGGGGTCCCTTTGAATGTAGACACAGGTCCTGTGCGAATCTTCGTAATGACGAGCCTTCTTCGGTCATGGAGTAAATGGTCGCAATCTGGCTTGCTGTGAAGCGGCATTGCCCTTTGAGAGCACGGAACTCGAGTATATTCTCCATGAGAGCGTCAACTATAGCGTCCTGAAAGTCTGTAGCTTCTAGGTGCCTTGCCACTTTGTACAAATGCAGACACCTTGTGAGTTCTGCGATATTAGGCTCCCTCGTGAACATCAGGCCTGTGTACAGAAACTTCGCATAGACAATAAAATCCTCGACTGCAACGTCTGGAAGGTTGATTGGCTTTTCGGCGGCTGCACCTTGCAGAGCTATTGCGATGGCCAAGTGATTGGAGCTGCTACGTAGAACATGGCTGTGCAGCATGAAGGTCTTGCGGTCAGGCTTAATTCCGACGTGAATGGTGATTATGGTCGAGAAATCACTGCTAGTGTCAGCAGTGTAACATTAAGCTTTTCCATATGCTTACCTTGGTCCAGTCGATGCAGAACGACGCACCTTCCGTGGGGGCTCAGGCGACGCAGAAGTTTTGGAGTCAATCATGATTGCGGGGCTTGAGCTTGCGCTTGGTCTCTGTATCGCCAGACGCCACTGAGACATTGTCCGCGGCCGATGTGACATGTCGGTGCTGAGGCTGTGAGTAACTGCGAGGCGAGCTGTCTCGGTGGCGTGGACGGTCAGGGCGCGCGTGAGGACGTGAGGGGCAACTACAATGTCTAGGCAGAAGTAAAGGAAGGCACATCTGTGTGCGAGCTAAGCATGGGCACGAGGAAGATTTAGCAAGAGGGTGCGCAGATGATAGAATGTCATTATTCCCGGGCCTGCATCCTGAACGCCGATGAATGCATATATGAGTCGAGCTAGTCTTGCGCAGCACTTGAGAACTCGGCCTTGTAGAACTATGAACGAGGTCAGCATGCAGGTGGCAGCGCGCGGGCTTGCTTGCACCAGGGTGCCAGACCTCGAGGAAGGCGGCACTCACCTCTTTGACGTCCTTCGCCAGCTTTGTGTCCCTCAGTTTCGTCTCGGGTATCTTCCAGTTATTCACGCCCCACCACCATCTGCGTATCTTTGCACCAACGCTCTTCCCGCTGAACGCGGCTGACCTATTCCAATGCCGCCAGCCGCTCAGAATGAGTGTCCATACCACGCCCTGCGCAAAGCACATGAGAACCTTGTTCAGTCAGTACAATAGCAAGAAGCGTGCTCTATGATTTCGCGCACCTGATCGCGCAGTGTGATCCATGCCACGCCCTGCCACGACTCTGCCTTCTCGATGCTCTTGAGGTAGCTCTGCTCGAACCGAAGGTCTGGGAGTGGGGGCATTGTCTGCTTGCGCGGCACCGGATTCAGAGCACTAATTGGAATCTCATCTTCGTCCACATCTGAGTCGATGTCAGCGTCCTTGTCGAGCGTCACAGGCTGCTTCCCGGACGCGGCGGTCGATGGGTTCAGGTCATGGCGCGGCGAGGGATTGCGCTTGATGGAGCCGAACTGCAGTGTCGATGCGAGCTCGGTGACGCCGGGTTCCGTCATATTGTAGTGCTACGAGATGCGCTGATGCTTGCCAATGGCAGCTGTGGTGATGCCTCGGGAGCACATCTCCACGTCTTGGCGTCTTTGACGTCGACAGCCCTGTCTTAGAGGCTAGCGGCGGCGGGACCCTAGAAGTCGTGGACCCCACGCAAGCTCACATCAACCCCGGACACCCTGAGCCACCACACCGCCCATTCCTTACCTCACACACACGCCAAAATGGGGAACCAGCCGTCTGCGATTCTCGACAACATAGCCTCCGGCTCGAACTGTACGTGCCGAAGCAGCGAGCGCCACTGCTCGTGCAGTTTGCGGGGCTGAAAACAACTGCTGACACACCACAGTCGACCGCGAGGAGGTGGACAGACTGAGAAAGAGGTTTATGAAGCTTGACAAGGTGGAACACGATCCGAATAACCTACATCCATGCATCAGTACGGCTAATGCCTCGCAGGACAACTCAGGCACCATCGAGCGCGACGAGTTCCTAGCCCTGCCCCAGATCTCTTCGAACCCCCTCGCAACACGAATGATCGCCATCTTCGACGAGGATGGTGGCGGCGATGTCGACTTTCAGGAGTTCGTCTCTGGACTCTCGGCGTTCAGCAGCAAAGGCAATAAGGAAGAGAAGCTGCGCTTCGCTTTCCGTGTGTACGACATCGACCGTGACGGCTTCATCAGCAACGGCGAGCTCTTTATTGTGCTCAAGATGATGGTTGGCAGCAATCTGAAGGATCAGCAATTACAGCAGGTACGCTACACAGCATAGGAGCTTGAAGCACGCAAACACCCACTAACCCCTATCGCAGATTGTTGACAAGACCATCATGGAAGCTGACCTGGACCGCGATGGCAAGATCAGCTTCGAAGAGTTCACAAAGATGGTTGAGAACACAGACGTTTCTATGAGCATGACCCTGGACCAGTTCTAAGCCGATTTCCTAATCACGAATGAGATGGCATACTGGGCATACTACCCCCGGCGAGGCGTTTGTGGTGTTACAAGCCTACTTGGACGGCTTTGAAGATTTCTGAATCCATCAATACAAGATGAAATTTGCGGGCTCTGACGATGATCCGCACGTCGCACACTGACCTGGCTTGCAGTGACACGCGTGTTGATACTTAACGACAGCAAGCTTAGGCGGGAAGACACCGGAACGACACAATAAGTGGACAGATCTGATCCATCGCCTTCAAGGAGTCAGCTGCACGCAGGCGCAGAAGCCGAACAGGCAAGGATTAACCACCCGCAACGTTGAATAAGCTTGGAGAAGCAATTGGACGCATTTGGTCGGCACCGGGCCGCAACATGCTGTCTTCACCCGTGTTGCATGTACGAAGTTTCTATCATGAATACACACGTTCCCTCATTGGCATCCAAAGTTGTTTGTTTGCTGGTTTGTTTGATGAGTTTCGGCCGGCCTTCACCGTCCTCTATGCCTCCCGTCTGCAGTTGACCAACACTAGAGCCGAAAACATCGAAATACCTCAATGCCAGAACTAAGGCAGCAGTTTCGTGGTTAGTGGTTTGGCAGGCTGCGATGTTGCAAGATTGGTAGCAAACTTAGTGCTTCTCTACTGTACATAAGGTCACATAGCTCCCTTTCGTGCAGACGTACTGTACTCTCAGGAAGCAACAATTGGCAAGGAACTGATTGACACACACCCAGTCGTCTTCCTAGTTATTCAAATTCCGCACTGCCACAGCATCGGTTCAAAGCCAGTCTCGCTCAATTTGTTTCCATCATCATTGAACGCCGCTTTCCATCACACGAATTTTCTTCGGCTAGAAAATCTCCAAGTCCTCGATTCCGCGGCGGTTACTCAAGTAAAGATATCTCAGCCTTGGCCTATTCTTCTCGTCATGGCAGATAACTCTCGTCGATCTCAACTGTCGAGTCGAACCATCCAAATTAACTTGGTTCAAGCCAAGGTCCACCAGCAGGAATTGGAGTCGTGTATCAAATCGAATTTCGACAATTCCTTCGAGTATTCATCCTTACGAACATGGTTCAAGGATGCGTTGATCGAAAAAATACCCGAGCCACTCCTACAGTTCCTAGGGGCTTCCCAGTGGTATCCCGGACGTGTCCTTGTTGGATATGTCAAGTCAAAAGAAGGAGGACGCCTCTGGGCCTGCGTGTTGAGAGAATCTTCAACCAGAGAAGGTGCACAAGTGCAGTATTTCTTGGATACCAATTCCGGTTACAAACGCTACCAGCTTACGAAAGATGGTCTAAACATCCAATACCAACCTTGGGTTCTAGGGCCGACACATGATACAGAAAAGTTCAAGCGCGACATGAGGTCCCTCATCATTCAGGCTTTGCTTCTGGGCGACCGCTTCGATGCGTCAGTTGTACCTCCGAATCTCAACTCCCAGCCATACAAAGCGGTTCTCGCTCTGTTCCAACAGATCAGTGCCAACTTAAAGAAGAGGTCACCGAAGGAAAGTTCTATCGGCAATGTGAAGAGAATTAGAGTATTCAACAAACCAATTTCTTTATGGCGATCTCCTTCCAAGTCTCCAGCTCGATCTCCATCTCAGTCATCTCCAACGTCAGCAGATGGCTCACCCAATCCTACACCTACGCCTCAGACACTACTTCGAGAGAAGCGACGAGTGGGTAAAGATGTCGCTCCAACAAGTGTTGCTAAGAAGCCACGGCTGGATAACTTCAACGTATGTTAAGTTACTCTCACATTGTGGCGTACACTGACTGACCCCGCACAGGTGATCGATCTTCTCAAAACTCAGAAAGCTTCAGAAGAAGATGAACTGCGGACCCTTAAGGCTCAGCTTGAGGAGAAGGAGCTTAGCGTCGTGAGGCTCACTGATGCCGCGAGATCAGCAGCAGAAGAGAAGAACAAAGTTCGAGAGAAGCTCGAGATCCTCACAGTGAGTGCATCGCATCGTCAGGTCAAGCCATGGAGTTCTCACTAACAGCTCAGAACGAGAACACTCGACTCATAGACCGAAACAAGGCGCTCGAAGATCAGAACACAGCAATCAAGACTCGAGACTCGATCCTCAAAGCTGACATAGAGGCGCTCAAATCTCATCAAGAGCGTGAGGAAAAGCACAAACAAGCCTACGTCCGACAAAACGAGACATACCGAGCTGCGATCAGCCTCCACCGCAAAGACAAATTTGTTCTCATCCAAGCACCCATGAAGCAACTTATGAAAGAGGAGGGACTCAGCGAAGAGAAAGCAAAAGAGAGGGCTGAAGTTTGGTACGAAGACAGGTATGAGGTTGCTATCGAGCCGCTGCTGCTAGCTGCCCAGCAGGATGCAGTGGAGACTGTCGGAGGTTTGAGTTGAGGAGAGCTAGTCACGACTTTGTCTAGTCTAGACAACTTGCCTGCGGGTCTTGACTAAGTAAGTCTGTAGTCAATCAACCCGTCTAAACTCACGTTGGCCATTACTTTGTATCTTGGTTGCTCAATGTTTTCTTCATGTAAGGAAATTCTGAGCTACAAGTGTATACCACAACGTCTCCTCTTTTGAAGCACAAGATCAGTGAGTACTAAGGCCAACTACATTATCGTCGTCGGAGCAGGGAGGGAGCATCGACGCTCTATCCAAAATGTGTGTCAACATAATCCCGACTAGGCAAGTCAGATGTTGCGCGTAGAGTAGGTGCAAAAACAAGATCACCAATGCACCACAAACTAGCAAAAATAAAATTACATACAACAGTGGGGATTCCCCAGTGGTCACCCACCTGAGTACTAATCCACCGGTACGTTGCTTAAATAGGGCTGAGCGAACGGGAAGCCTTGTTTTCAACGTCCTATGGTCGTATGTGGCAATTAGGTGAAACAACACAATCTAAGTACCAGTAATCTACTATCCCACGGGCGCTTTTTTTACCTTCGCATCGGTCTTTTCACAGCAGATGCTGGATACATGCTCTATATTACGACCAACGAATCAGAAAACCGAACATCCGGCGTTGGCTTCGAGGAGCTCTTGACTTAAAGGACCCACCAGGATCGGCGGAGGGAGGGAAGTCGTCCTGGGGTTCGCCGAGAAGGCCGGACCGGTATTTTCAAGAAGATGTGTAGGCGACGCAAGGTATTCTTGAGAAGAATTCACATGTCAACGTCATTGTTAGCAGAAGCAAATCTCTGAGCAATCTGTTCTCAGTAAGCGGACGGCTCGGAGGACGGAAAGTTCAAAGATCCAGGGTCCGGATGTCTCGCCACGCTGTGCTGATCTGCCCGACGCGACCGATCCTCTTGGCTCTCCTGACAATTATCGATACCCGCTGCCTTCCTTTGCGCGCAATCTTACGGTACTTTTCATAGCAGCACCTTTCCGCTGCTTTTCGCTCCTTACCATCCTCTGCATCTGCGGGCGCTGTGTCTACTCGTGCTTTCCTTTGCCACCGCCTCCTACACGCGTGCCGTGGCACCGATCCCTTTCTCGCATCGATTCGCGCCCCGCCAGGCCACAACAGCCCTCGCAATTCGCGACATCGCAAGCTTCTGGGCTCCCAGTACGTCGAGCGCATGTCTACCACCACCACGATGCCAGCCCTCAGCCTTCCGACCATTCCGACCGCTGAGGTGCAGGCACACAACAACGAGAAGTCCTGCTACGTAACGATTGGCACGAAGGTGTATGATGTTACAGACTTCCTCGATGGCCACCCCGGTGGTGGCGAGCTTATTCTCGAATATGGCGGCAAGGATATCACCGACATTCTGAAGGACGAGATCTCTCACGCCCACTCGGATTCCGCCTACGAAATCTTAGACGAGTGCTTGATCGGTTTCGTTGCTGGCGAGGAGATCATGGACGCTGTCACCAAGAGCAGCAAGCCATACGAGATTGTCCCCCTTCCCCCGTCGGAGGTGGGAAAGATCGAGCTGAAGGGCATGGATCAGAACCAGAAGCCGGTCTATGCTGCCACAGGCATGTCAACCGCCGAAGATCTGTCTCGCGAGACCGATCCCAACCAAGACTACAAGCAGCATAAGTTTCTCGATCTCAACAAGCCTTTGTTGATGCAAGTCTGGAACGGTGGCTTTGAGAAGGACTTCTATCTTCAGCAAGTCCACCGACCGCGCCACTACAAGGGCGGTGACTCAGCTCCCCTGTTTGGCAACTTTTTGGAGCCTCTGAGCAAGACCCCATGGTGGGTAATTCCGACACTCTGGTGGCCCACGATCACGGCCGTGACCTACATTGCTGCTCAAGGCGACCTGAGTTATCCAGCCCTTGTTGCCTACTGGGGATTCGGACTTGCTTTCTGGACTATCATCGAATACGTACTACATCGTTGCCTGTTCCATCTTGACGAGTAAGTGTACACCTAGGTATGGTGGCTTCCGAAAGCAAAGACTAACATTGATAGTCACCTTCCCAACAACCGCGTCGCTATTACCTTACATTTCCTCCTTCACGGCATCCACCACTACCTCCCTATGGACAAGTACAGGCTTGTGATGCCTCCCACGCTGTTCATTGCGCTTGCGGCACCCTTCTGGAAGTTTGCGCATGCCGTGTTGTTCCACAACTGGTATGCTGCGACCGCTGCGTACTGTGGCGGTGTCTTTGGGTACACGCTTTATGACATGACCCACTATTTCCTCCACCACCAGAAGCTTCCTCCTTGGTATCAGGAGCTCAAGAAGTACCATCTGAAGCACCACTTTGCCGATTACGAGAACGGCTTCGGCGTTACCAGCCGCTTCTGGGACTGGGTGTTTGGCACTGAGCTGGAGATGGGCCCGTCGAAGGTCATCAAGACAACCTAATGTGAAACTGAGTAGACGTGGTTGAAGGCATGATTGTATAGACAGCTTTGGGTTGGCGTTGTGGTTTTGTAAGTGTACTCATGACACGACAGGCGATACGTTCCTAAACTGAGCTGGTTGTATTTCACGATCGGATATGTTATTAGTAATATTAATGTGCGTATAAGCGCACGACATTCGTTCATAATCGTCGCTATTCGGATTTCATTAGTCTTGGTGAATGCGTTTTTCACGTGCGCGTGGCTGCCTTGGCTGCCTGTTTGCTCAGGTGCTGTTTCCAGGTTTTGCCGCCACTAGCGCAAACAGTCTCGACGCCAACTCAAATACTTTCCAGCCTTTCCCCCTGCACCTCACCACTGATTGCAGGTTCTGCACGCGCCAACAAGTACAATCCACCCGCAACAAGGCTTCATACGGTCAATTGTCGCTGATAAGATTGCTTGGAGTATTAGTTGCTACCCGCTACGTTCAGTCGGCAATATAATATCTCAGCCTGAAGGCTTACCGCAACTACTTCTTACCACGCATTACGCCTGCACCGTGACTGCGCCCGCACTGCCGACCGACTCAACTTATCGAGCGCTAGGACCCAACAACTATCAACATGGCTTCACGCCCTATGGACGTCGATGCACTCCTCGAGGAGGCCGCCCGCGACGCCGAAAAAACATTAGAGCGAAAGGCCGATGAGGTCAAGGACGAACGACATGGCGACCGCCGTGACCGGAACAGTGACCGTCGCGACCGCAGTAGGGATCGCGGTGATCGCCGAGGCGACAGGCGTAGGAGTCGCGAGCGAGATCATCGCCGCCGTGATGACAGCCGCCCACGTTCCAGTAGAGGTGACGATGACAGATACCCACGCAGCGGCTCGCGCGACCGATACCGCGGAGGACGAAGGGACCGAGGCGGCGATTACTACAGCGGTGGAGGTCGTGCCCGCTCGCGTTCTCCACGCGGCGACAGGCCACGTCGTGAGAGGGAGCGATCAGGCGAACGCCGTGCTGGTGAGGAGCGCAAAGGAGGCCGTCGTGAGAAGACCGCTACCCCCCGAAGCCACGGAAGACGATCGTGACAAGCGTACTATCTTCGTGCAGCAGATCTCCCAGCGTGCCGAGACCCGTCATCTCCGTTCCTTCTTCGAGGTCATCGGACCTGTCGTCGAAGCCCAGATTGTCAAGGACCGAGTCACCGGCCGCTCAAAAGGGTAAGTCAGATGGCATATGAAGAGATGTGAGCATACTGACCGGTGACTAGCGTTGGTTACGTTGAGTTTAAGGATGAAGATTCTGTCCCCAAGGCTCTCGAGCTGACAGGACAGAAACTGAAAGGCGTTCCCATTATCGCACAGCTCACTGAGGCTGAGAAGAACCGCGCTGCCCGGCCATCGGAAGGAGGCGCAGCACCAGGCGCCAACGGCGCCCCGTTCCACCGCCTATACGTTGGCAACATCCATTTCAGCGTGACGGAGAAAGATCTTCAAGAAATTTTTGAGCCCTATGGTGAGCTTGAGCAGGTCATTCTTCAGCGTGATGAATTGAATCCTGGACGATCCAAGGGGTACGGATTCGTACAGTAAGACGCTCATTTCCGGCTTGTACCTACAGACGCTAACTGCAACCTGATTTGTGGATCCCAGTAACGCAAAGGACGCGCTGGCTGAGATGAACGGATTTGAGCTGGCGGGTCGGCAGATCCGGGTCGGGCTCGGCAACGACAAGTTCACGCCAGAGTCGACTGCCACTTTGCTACGCACTTTCAATCAGCAGGCACAGAGCTACCAAGGTTCTGCGTTCAGTGGTGCTGGCGGACGTGGTGCCTACGCTGGCGGCTCTGGAGGCGTATTCGATCGTGCGCATAGCAAGGACGATCGCGGGGTCAGCGGCGCTTCTGCTCTGGACGATACTGATGTTGCTGGCGTAAATTTCAAGACATACGACCGATCGAAGCTGATGGACGCATTAGCTCGCCGCGACCCTACAGAGGCAGCAAAGCCGGGGGCTGCCCAGATCATTAACAAGCCTCGCGCTCCTGTCATTGATAAACCAATGGCATCAAAGTGCATCAAAATCGAGAACGCGTTCGACCCCGATGAGTAAGGCAAATCTACCCCTTCACATAGATTTTAAGCTAACAATCGGAACAGGGAGCAAAAGGCCTGGGGCAATAACTGGGTTAAAGAGCTGGAGGGTGAGGTCAAGACTGAATGCGTCAAGAAGTACGGCAACGTCGTTCACATCGCTGTCGATCCGAACACCGATGGTGACATCTACGTGAAATTCGACTCGGTGTCTGGTGGAGAGAAAGCTCTCCAGGGTCTCAACGGTCGCAGTTTCAATCACCGCACGATCATGGCCTCGTACGTCGTTGACAAGATCTACAACTCACTTTGGGGTGCTGCTGCGAGCAGGTTTTAGCAAAGGCAACTCGACTGCAAAGGTACGTTCTCATCTTTCTGACTGCTTGAGCATGAAGGAGATTGGTTTGGGTTTACTCTTTTTGTGATTTTTGTGGGATCTTGGAGCATGGGTTGGAGTTGTATGGACTGGGGCGAGACTTCACTTTGAGTACAGATTCGTACGAACCTGGACATAGCGGCCAACACTGGAGATTGTTTTTGATTTCAAGTAAAAGCTGGAATCCACAGGAGGACGGGAAAGGCGCTACAGATAGCGTCCTGTGAACGAGCACAACTTGCTTAAGTTCACTTGAAGCGCTTTCTCGAGGACCATGGTAGGCTCACGGTATGCCAATGGCGACCAAGCTACTAATGGTACATAGGACTAGTTTGTGATTTGCACGCGTAATAATTCACAGATACAGTAGTCACTGCTCTCGCCGCCCTATGTCGATGCTGCTGGACGAACCTTTAGGCATAAACCATTTACATGGTGTCCTTCGAAACTCATGGTTTGACCTTTCCCCCATCTCTTCAACAGGCCTTGACTGATTGCTGTGTCGAGGTACACCATCGCTACATGCTGTCACGGTTGGCAGTTCTCCCGAAAGCAGCAGATATTCACCACTCGCAAAACCATGCACTGATGTAGCGTGTCCTGTATGTTGAGGCTAAATGTCTGCACGTAGATCCCGAGGTCGGTCCTGGATGCGCGATCGTACCATCGTCTAGCTGAGTAGATCCGGGATAGTGACGTTGATCTCTTACAAGTTGTAGCGTCCCCTGCACAGCATAGTGACAGCCTCCACTTCCGGATCATAACTCTGATTGGACACTGCCTAGATGTTTTGCATACGCTTCGCATCTACTCTGATAGTGCAAGACCAGCGCGGGATCCACTGTTTGCTACCGCATCTTCCCGTCGACATGCAAGAAACTCTATAATAGTATAGTATCACGCGACTGATCGACTGTCATTTACATGACGTTAATGCTTTTCTTATGCGCTCATGATGAGCCTTGCTACCGTTATACGATGACGTCCTGTAGATGTCAAACGACATGACGCTGTCATATAGTCTCTAGTGGATCTACGGTAACTTTTTGTTAACTCAAAATCGCAGCTTGCGAATAAGTACCTCGCATCTCGACAAGCAATTATCTTACAGCCCGATAACATATTTCATTCCCTTACTCTATCAACTTCGATCCTTTACGATGTCTCAGAACCCCGCCAGCGTGTCTAATCAGGGCGAATTTTCTGGCCATGTCAAACCCAGTGAGCCACTCATGACAGGTGGGGTAAGTCATTAATTCCAAGTTTGATGATGGCCTCGAGGAGTCTTTGGTGACGTATTTATGAAGATGTGCTCAACCGCCTTTGTTGGAAGCTGTTGGACTTGCAAGTACGGCCTGAACTGACACCCTGCAGCACCAGCCCGGAAAGAAGTTTTCAGAAGCCGACCATGCGCCTGAATTCCATAGCAAGACTCTTCCAGCTGGCACAGCTCCGAGGGCCAATACATACACCCCTAACCCCGATCTTAACAACCAGAAGACTTTCACTAGCGCTTCATCAACGCTTGTCGGAGCCGACTCACAATCCGTGCATACTGGTCTCGGACACCCAGGTCAGGGTCAGTCAAGCTCTGAGCTCCGCGACAATTCGAAGCACAGCGGCGGCAGTGGCGGGCTTGCTGGATTGAAGGAAACTTATGAGCAGGGCGACATTGCAGAGCTGAAGGACGACCCTACACATGCCAAACAAAGGAACTTGAAGGAGGATGCGGCCGGCACACGGGGTAACACCGGTGGTCTTGCAGCGCAGGAGATGGAGCCTGAGCAGGCTAGGTAAACCTTTTAGCACATCACGATGCTTACTGTCACCGTGACAGGCTTGCTAGCATTACAAATAAGACCACATAATTCACGCGTCAGCTCGTCTTGGTTGGTTGGTTGTGCTCCATTCTCTGGTAGCCCTTCATTTGGACATGTTTGTGCGGATGATGCTCCAATATGATATGAGGCGTTTACCATCGCACCGGTACTGGCAAAGCCAACTACCAAACAAGGACAATTGAGCTGCCGTGATATCACAGGAATCCGGGGTCTCTTCTCTGATGGTCAAACGAGGCCCATAAACTTAAGGTTTGATGCCATCCTCATTCCCATCACTTGCCAGTACGGCGACCAGCTGTCAGTTTCTTACCAATCTGAAGAGCTTGACGCGTCCATGTTTGTTTTGGCTCAAAGATATTAGGTTCCGGGCGCGATCGCGGCGCGTCGTGCCAGTTGCGCGCCTTTCACCTCTGGCTCCAGGGACCCAAGTAGCAAAAACTTATCTTCTAGTGGCTCATCTACTCGCTTGAAAAGAGTACACCTTGGCGCGACGACGGCGCATCCCACCTTGCCGACGGTCTCACAGTACTGTGACTGTCGCTCCCACTGCTATTCTATCCATCAGTATCCCAAAGCTGACTCACTTTTTCCAGCACGCCCTCGCGTAATTTCCCGGCTTCGGCGCGCAAACTTACAGCTTCCACGCGCAAGAAGACACAAGAACATTTCCACACTGGCGTAAATCGACGACAAGTGCAAAATGGAATGTTTGCTTGATTTTCGCGGCCACAAGCATGCAGACACCTCTAGTCTTGACTACGAGGGATATGTACTGCAGGAAGAGCCGCCCAGCGCCTGCGACATATTCGAGATGTCAGGTCTAGCAAGCGCCGACGGGCTTCGCAACTATCTCAAGGAACGCCTTCAACCACACCACATCATCGACGAGTATGGAGACGAGTGCACCATCTCTGAGATTTCCACGGGTCATCTCCCCGTACTACAAACGAAGATGTGGTCTAGAGCCACTTGCAATCGCTCACCAACGAAGTCAATAGCCGGATACCCTTCTGCAGCGCAAGTCCTCGTCGCGAATCACGTTGCGAAGATCTCACAGCTTCTTGAAGGTATGTAGCTTGTTCAACTTCTTCACAGAGTTTTGAACTGACTTTGCTTAGAGGACCACGTCTTCGTTTTGAGTAATACCACTCTCAACACTTGCCAATACATGAAAGGCCTCCAACCCACCTCAGCGCGTACCTGCCAGTCACAGAGTGTCAGACTCGAGCCTCTTGTCCATTGGGGCACACTCACACCAGGCACCGAGTCACGCTCCATATTCTCTTTCCATCGTGACGGTGAGCTCATGCAACAACCCGAGTACATGGTGCTTGTGAGGAGATTGGTCGGCGCAGTGGCACCAACTTATTGCCTGGACTGTTTGGACTACCTCCGGAGTAAGTGCACCGAAGCTCTCGAAGCCACGAGACAGCTTCAATACGCCGTACAAAAGCCTGAAGATAGCGAGTTGAGGAAAGAGTTTCGTCTGGAATTGCGACTGAAGCTCAAGGACTATGGTTCTACTTCAGGTTGCGTCGACATGTTAAACTTGGGTGCGGTGGGGACCCAGAACAAGTCACCAGAGACGACAGAATTGTACGATGGCTTCGGAAAAGTAAGTAAAGACTTCAAATTGACTTGCGGACGAGTAAGCTGAGAAACGTGTAGACATTGCCTCAGCTCGATGGTGCTCCAGACTCTTCTGAGAACGATTCACGCCATTGTGCTTCTAGCAAGAGTCAGACATCTAATACAATATGGTTAAGCTCCGACAGCGAAGAATACGGAGAAAACCACAACCCATCTGCCACAGTGGGAGTGGCTAAGAGTAAGCATGGCTCGCAGATTATCGACTTGATCACTCCTCCACGCGCTAAAGAACGCACATTCGGCCTAGAACTTGATACCAATGCCAGATTTCCCTTAGTTCAATTAAGGAGGTCACCGCGTAACCTTAAGACAGATGTACCGGCCAAGACTTATCTCTCACCAGTGCGGCCCATGAAGCCTCTGAAGGCAGTGTCGAAAAGAAAGGGGCTGGCAGAGACGACCAAGAAGCACAAGGTTGTTGATCCACTTCAGCAAACAAACAAGCCAAAGAAGCCATGCAACAAAGTACTTAAAGAACGACAATCAAATCCTAATGTTCAAGTCGGCACAACGACTGTACTTCAACAGATTCTCAAACCAGATTCGACGGTCCACTCTATCTCGCCTCTCCAAGTCATCGTATACTTCGCAAAACGAGCTGCCAACACAGAGGTGCCTGACGGTGTTGCTACTTTGACATACGAAGCCTTCCAGGTCACGAGTCCAGTGGCTACTGCAAAGATTTGCTGCTGTAATAAGCCTGCGGGCCATGGTACCTCCAAGAAGAAGGGCGCACCCCAGATCGCAGAGTGCAACAACCTCAACTGTCGATTCCGATGGTATCATTATGCCTGCCTAAACCTATCAGACAAAGGCAAGGCTCGGTTCGGTACGTTGCTCTGCCAATACTGTCGCGGCGAGGAGGAGCTTGCCGAGCAAGGCAAGAGAGCAGGCTGGAGTATGGAGAAGCTGGTAGACTTCAAGATGCCATGGACTAAGCAGGACATCGACGCTGAGATGCCTGGTCTGGGCGGACATGCTCCTTTGGTTCATCCATACGGCTTAGGCATATCTGTCGACAATGAGCCTGAGCACCAGATCGATCCTGAGAGGCTAGGTGCGCTTGGTGCACTTGAAGAGCTTGGATATGCACAGTCGCACCCTCATATGCTGGAGGAAGCATATATTTACCCTGATACGTATGCTGACCAGAGAGCGGAGCTTGTTGACTACGAGGGAGACGAGGAATGGTGGTACGAAACGCGCCCGGCCGAGAATGACTACAGCGATGTTGAAGATATGCTCGACGTTGAGACAGAGACAGAAGAGGAGTTACAGGATGATTGAAGCGTGGGCCTAACGACCAGCTGATGTTGTTGCACGTACCACGACCTGGTTCTCTAGTGTGGTCATGCCATCTAAGTGGTTTTGATGTACGGGAGTGTAAGATACGAGAAAGTTGGATGCTACGTGTCATTACAAGGAACGACAGGTCAAGTAACCGTCAACGCCCTGCCGAACGTAGCCGTTGCCTAAAAAATTCACGAGATGTTTTCGATGCTGTACATTACAAGGCGCCTCAAATGACCAAAGTACGTGAGGATCACTGCTGATCCACTTGAGGATCATGATCGTGAACGCCCACAGTCTACTCAAGCTTGCTGTCCTTGCAACCCTTGGGTGCATTGACAGGGTTGCACCTAGCAACTCTTCCATCCTTCAGCTGCGCAACGTAGTCCCAACCCCACCTCGCACTCATGCCCCAAGACGGAAAATCCGTGCTAACGATGTGCGCTCCTGATGCGAACGCCGAGTCGCGCATCTCAGTAGTCTTGTTCAGCACAGTATCGAGTGGTACATCGCTCCTCGTCCTCACGATGTAGCCTTTCTTCACGAGCCGTTGAATCTCAGCTGTGTTGTTACCGCGCGGCTCGTTGTACTTGATGACCGCACCATCGGACGAGCCTTCGAGCGAGTTGGTGAAGACAGTACGGTTTTGAAGAGACTCGTGGCCTCCAGATTTGTACAGTTCGCGTGGAGAATTGGGGTCAGTTGGCTTCGGATCGTTGTCGAAGAAGAACATGAAGCGGCCGCGGGCAGCGCTAAGCAGAGGCCAACCCTTCTGCAAAACACTCTGCTCAAGCGTTAAGTTACCCTGACGCACATCGTCTGGACGGATGAGCTGCTTCTTAGGGAACACAGACAGAATCTCGGCGTCGACGTTTAGAAGGCGCGGCAGCGTCCAGTTTGTAGCTTCGCCGGGGCAGACACCGCCGAGTACGCAGGCTGGCGCATCGGTCTTGAGCTCGAGATCGATGATGATTGGAACATGGTTCTTGTTTGCATCTGACCAGGTCTTGAGCTGCGTTAGACAGTCGATAAAAGTGTGGCACACAGAGTCAGGATCGAAATCTGTGACGTGGAAGACCTTGATACCAGGTTTTTGCAGCACAGATCCATCAAAAGGAGTGGTGGCGTTCGTAAGATTGGAAAGCGTCCAGATCACTGGAGGATAGTAAAGACCGCCTTTCTCATCAGAATGAAGATCAAGCTCGAACGAGCGTACCGCCTGATGCTCTAGCTGGTTGGGTAGCGTAGAGTGCGAGTAGTAGTAGTCCTCCGGAGAAGGCACATATTTCTCGAAAACAGCACGTTCTGCAAGCGAGACCTCGCGATGGTAGGAGTTGTGTGTTCCAATGACCTGAATGTGGTTCATTCGGACATCGGAGTTGGTCGCCTTGCTTGCGGCAAGAACACTCTCTGAACGCTGTCAGTTCCGATATTGCGAAGTGGCTCCATTATCCATACGTGCAATGAGCATGTAGCTCGTGAAACCCTGGTGTAGTCAGCTCGACATGCCATCACAAATTCATTGCAAGATGATGGATACCGATTGACCAAACATCCTGCCTGTTTTATTCGAATCGTGCGGGGAGGATGAAATCGCTCAACGAAGCACTCGAACAAGCAGCAAGAGGCTCGTCCTATGTATGATCCCACCCTTGTTCAAGCATGCTTTCTATTCCGTGTACTAGAGCTGGAAGGGCGAAGCTGTTCACGCATGCCTCGGAAGCTAGTGAACACATGCGCGCTAACGGCCATGCTATTGGCCATTGCACTGATGCCTTCGATACCAGTACCTCGCAGAGCCTGCTTTCTCAAGATAACTGCCGCATAAGCCTCACCACGTGGGATCTTACGACATTATACGCGGGTAGCAAATTTCCGAAGTTTTGATGTGGTGATTAATAGTGATGTCTGCTACTGAGAAAAGCGGGGTAACTCGCTAACTACACACAGTATGGCAGGGGTATGTAAGTAATCAATGTGGATCCCCAAATATTCTTCTTCTAGCAACACCTCTCTGTAAGTACCTAACAGGTAAGCGTGTAATACTAGATCGTAAGGTGCTAAGAAGGAAGCTGAAATACTTTGTATACACCTGTAAGTCACTTTTCATTATCACCTAGCTTCTGTGAAGTCTTGAATCTACATAGAATATTTGTTACTGCTACACCGTGGTCTGACATGTCGAGGCAACCCTTTAGGTTCTGTTTATTGTGAACATTACCAACGAATAATGACACATCGCGCCTATTATTGTTCTCGTAATCCCGACATAGACAGCTGCCTGGTCAGTATCAATTACATGACTGATGGAGGCCTTCAAGACAAACAAATGAATGTCTTTATGTGGCAAAAGCTAACCAAACAAGTGTTCAGCTTTCATGAGAAGCCCGAATGCTACCAGTCATAACGCTTCCCATATCTTTGAAGGAACTGGCCAACCTCACTATCTCGCTGTCCCTCAAGGATTTCCAAGATCCCCTGCGCGCTCGTCTCTGAGCTGTCACATCCTTCCATGGTCTTTCTCCACTCTTGGTCCCCACTGATATTTGTTGCGACGAATCCAGGGCAGTAGCTCCAGACCTTGAAGCCTTCATCCTTCATCTCCTGGTACTGATACGCAGTGAGCATGTTGAGTGCAGACTTGGTCATACGGTATCCAGGTACGCGAATGCCGTTTTGCCCAGAGGCGCACAGAGATATGCTACCGACACTGGAAGAGACGTTGATGATCTTGGGATCCTTGGATCGTCTCAAAAGAGGGATCAGAGCTGCACTCAGGATGGTGGGGCCGAAAACATTGGTTTCAAACTGAGCGCGTAGATTTTCGCGCGAAGGCCATTGGCTTTCGTACGCTTCCTTGCTTATTCCAGCGTTGTTGATAAGAACATCTAGTCGGCCGAACTCTTGTTCTACATGATGCACTGCGGTATGGATTGATGTGTCGTCATCTGCGTCAAGTTGGACAAGACTAGCTGTACCCTTGGGGTTTCTGTCCTGGATCTGCTGAAGAGCGGTTTTGCCTTTTGTCGCGTTGCGCGATCCGATGAGGACGTGGTTTTTGGAAGATACGGAAGCAAGCAACTTTGCGGTGTCAAAGCCAATTCCACTATTGGCACCTGAGCATACTAAGCTTGTGTTTTGGACAAGGATGGATTCCAACGCACCTGTAATAAGGATGACCTGGCGTTCTGCAGGAAACGAACCCATGGTGGGGTTTCGATAAATTATAGGAGTGTGAAAAGGATGTAAGTCAATGGTGTTGATGAGTCTGATCGTAGGAGAGATGGTACCTGGCTTTATACGTGTTTCAGTGGCTTGCTTACAACCCAGCGAGCATATTGTGTGCCCATGGCAGTAAAGTATTCTGGACATTTCGGACTTGAAAGGCCTTAAGTCCGGTATTGTTCAACAGTCGGGCGAAGGGCATTGGTGATGTCTCGAAGCTCGGTGAGCTGCTTCGGGTATCGCGCGGATTATTGTGGCTTTTTGGCAATGTAAGACGTTGCTTGGACTGGTTCATTGTCTATGGGGCTAAGGCCCTGTCAATTTACCAAGAACAAGGTTGGGGATCCCACCACGAAAGCCCCTCAATGTTTAGCTAGATATGCACCCAGGTTCGTCCAACCAGTCACTTAGCAAAACGCAGCATCAGGCAAGATCAGAAGTCTTATAAGAATTCTTCCTTGTTAAGGTATCTGCTGTTAGAGCGATTATCTAATGGTAGCTCTGTGCCTCATTGGATGCAAGAAATATGGTTCAGATTCTGCAAAGCTCGTAAGTGGCTGGTCGGACGTGCATGGGTGGTGCACGTAGATTGCACATGAGTAGATCTGAAGATACGCCATCCTGCAAACCAGACCACAGGCAGGTAAAACAATGTGTTACACCTGTTCAGCATGAATTTTCTGCGTGGACACAGCATTTACTTGAGCAACAGGGTATTATATCTAGTCCCTCAAACTCCAATGAGACCTACTAGCATGGGCGAAGCATACACCACTGTGTCAAACTATGACAACTCCAATGGCAATTCGTGAATCTTCTTCAAATGAGATACCTAAGCTCTGGTCTCAGCGTCCACCTTTTCCATCTTGACTGAACTGTGATCGAAGCCGCCGATCTTCTCGGGGTCGATGATACCCTGCTCAGCACGGCGGGAGTTGCCGAAGTCGACCTTGGTCTTCCAAGCCGGAATTCCCTCCATGAACATTTCCTCGATATCTTCAAGTGATTTACCGGCTGTCTCAGGGAACAAGAAGAAGGTATGGATTGCCATGGCTGCACAGAAGATAGCGAAGATGAGGTAGACCTTCCACTGAATGTTGACAAAAGCAGGAGGCACGAAGTAGGATAGAGCGAAGTTCTGTAGAGACGGTCAGTCTGTTGTCCTAGCGCATGTGGTGCTGATATTTCTTGACTTACGAAGATCCAATTCGCGGAAGTGGTGAGAGCGATGGCCTTACCGCGGACTCGCAGCGGAAAAATTTCTGGAGGATAAACCCAACTCGCGGGACCCCAGGTAGGCGCGTACGAGGCGACGAAGAGGTATGTGCAGGCGATGACAGCTTTAGCAGGAGCACCTTCAATTTGCCACGACTGCTCGGCGATGTTGTTGAGACCGCCCGGAGGAGCAGGACGGCCATAGCTGGCCATGAGACCGGCATTCGCAAATAGCCAGGTCATCATGAGAAGAGCGCCAATGACGAACATAGGTCGACGACCCCAGCGGTCCATCCAGATGAGAGCAGGAATGGTCATCAGCACGTTGATGATATATTGGATAGACGATGCAATCAAGCCAATGTTACCAGTAAGTCCAGCCATACCGAACACGTATGTGACTAATGGTTGTCAGTTGAGTCTGGAACAATAGACTTTGATACTTACTGTAATACATCATAACGTTCATTCCCGTAAGCTGAGACCAGACCTGTGTAAAGATTCCAATATGAAGGCGGTTGAGCATGTTAGGCTTGAAGAGCTCCTTGACGGATACATCAGCGTTTTGCCTCTCAAATTCGATCATCTGTTTAATTTCGGCCATCTCGAGAGAAACAAAAGGCGAGTTGGGATCGCCATGGCCGTGGACGAGGGTGAGAACCTGATGACATTCTTCCCAACGATCCTTGCGTGCCAGCCAGCGAGGACTCTCAGGGAGAAATAGGAGGCCAATGGCGAGAATGATAGCCGGAATCATCTGGAGCGCCCAGGGTACCCTGAATGCCTTTGCACCAGTCAAAAACGTGCAGCCGTAGGAGATGTAGTACATGATAAGGATCCCCCACGTAATTGCCCACTGCTGCGAGCCCACCACTCTCCCGCGTTTGGAGGGCGGAGCCAGCTCGGTAACGTATACGGGGACCTGCGCACTGCAGATGCCCACGCTGATACCGTTGATGAACCGACCAGCGATGAGCATACCAATATTCTGAGCACCACATGAGATAATGGAACCAATAATCCAGACAAGGCAACCGATCTGAATGGCGCGACGACGACCGAGCTTGTCGGTCAGGTAGCCGGAGATGAGTGCACCAATGAAGGAGCCACCTGGCATAGCGGCAGTGATACCGCCCTGGACGTTGGGCTTAGGGCCAGAGCAACTCTCATTTGGGTCCCCAGAGAACTCAGGGCCACGAGGGCCCTGGTTGAAGTAGCAGCGGTATTGTTGCGTAGGTAGACTTCGTTGTGTTAGTGAAAATTTGGACAAAACGAACAAGGGACAATTCGTACATAGCGCTCATGGAAGAGATATCAAAACCAAACAAACCACCACCAATAACCGCAATGGCGGTAATGCCATAGATGTTGCCAATTTGATACATCTTGGCTGATGTTTGATCGTTCTTGAGTTGAAAGGTGCAAAGGATGCAGTGACCAGACTGATGGGCGGAAAAGTGGACTTATATGCTCTTTCACTCGTCTTCTTTATGGAGACCCGCAAAGAGCCTCCACATGTGGACCAAGGTCAGGAGAGTAACGGGCATATGGACAGTCTGCTCATCGGGAGAGAGCTGCTACACTTCCTGCTACGGTCTAGCCTCCGAAATGGTATGTTGTAATTGGTGAACGATGGTGGAGCTTAGTGGCGGTAGACTGAGAGAATAAGCTCTGACACGGCCGGGGTCAAGTGATGCTTGTTATGCGAGTCGTGAGAGGGACGGCTACTGAGTCGATGACACGGCAGCTGGGCAGCGAGCCACAAAAAACGGTTTTGATACGACTGGAGACTGCAGCCAGGTACAGCCATTTAGTAAACTGCAGTGTCAGGCGAGCAGAGAGTATTATCTCAAAACAATTTTTTGAATGGGTTCTAAATGAGATGTTTAGTTATAGCTGTACAGTTTAGTAGCTGCGAAAGGAATGAGTCAAGTCCTAAACATGCGGTTGGCCGTGCTTGGATGCAGTACTCAACCTTCCACGACCTTCACTCCTGCACGTCTGCAAATCCCCAATCCCCAGACACCCACATTTCGCTCCCCTCTCTCCCCAAGTCAAAGAATTTTCACCCCAATTTCGCTCCGCTGGAGACTTCCCCACTGGGGGACGTCACGTATCGACAGAGAAATTCGAGTTGTCAAGCTTCGACCAACCAAATTATGCGCCGCTGACGTCGGCCCACTTCTCTGAAATATCCCATGCATCAATATCGCGTTAGCGCAAAAACGCCTCCCGTTTGCCCAAAAGCTTGGTCCTGTCGAGTACCGACGATCGAGTCCTGTTACGTTTTGACACGAGATGGTGAGCGACTGTTCTCGCTGAGGAGTGCGGACGGTCCGAAGGATTGTTGCCTCTCTCACAGGCCAGCTGACTCTGAGGGCCTCTAAAGCAACCCCAGACTCGCACGCAGTGGTGAGATTCTGGAGAAGGTGATCCGTCGATACGAGTTCCATCTGCCGATAGTGTCTACACCGAGAATTGCGAGACGCGACCGGATGAAGAAACAGGCTTTACGGACGCTTGGGCCGATATCATTTATCCAGAAGGATCGGAGTAGGTCGGGCAACAACATGCAAGAGCCGAAGGTCGTGGCGGGAAAAGCGAGAAGACACATGCCCGCCCAGGTGAGCAAACCTTGTCTTATTCAACATTTCCCCGGACTGGAGACTCCATCTTAATGTGCACAGCATAGTGTCGCTCAACGACCCCAACATCCCAACAGAATGCTCGTTCTCCAGCTTTTACTCCAGAAGTTGGGATGAGGAGATAAGGATTTGTGCGGGTATATTGCCTGATTGGGACTTCTGGTGCCGATCGACGTCAGCCGCATGAACATGTCACTAATGTCCGCACCAACACGCGAGCCTCACGCCTTGTTCCCGAATTCCGAGAATACCCTGGGACGCCTTGCAACTGTGCTGGGCCAGGGAGAGCTGTGCATAGCTTCATATGACCAGCATCCCTTTGTGGTATTCGCCAGAGCCTCAGACGTCATTGGCGTTGGACGTGCTAAGCTCGCCTGGCACACATCTGACCGAGCACGGAAAAAGACACAGGTTGCTTGATGGACAATTATGTTGTCAGCTGAACAATGATCCCTTTGCCCCAGCACCAGGTCGAGGACCGTGCTCATGAGGTGAGCACACTGAGCGCTCATAGCTATCAGAAACTTACGTTCTAGGCTCCACGGAGTATTCTAACAGGTCTTCTACCGGATCTGCCTTACCCTACCCATCCCTAGCCCTCGTAATCCTTCACATGGAGACCCAATAGAGCGCCCATGTCCAAACAAGACCAGACCAAGCTCATCTCCACTCCGACATCCGCAGTGCCGCAAGCCGTGCCGGCGGCGCAGAGCCGCACTTACGGCTGACGCGATCTGAAGCGGAAGCGCAGCCGATGCACGAGTCGAGCTTGGGGAAATCTTGCCTAGTGAGCTCGACAAGTTGCAGTTAGATCCTTTACGCTGCTGTGAATACAGCATGAACAGTATGTAAGTCTTTCAGGTATTTCAGACAAAGTTAAGCAGAGGTTCGGGAGTTGACAAGCAGAGACGAGACTGCAGCTTCTCTCGTTATGAAGTCTACTCCTAGGCACGCCTGATCAGCCACTTGACACTTTTGTAGGATCCGAACCATCTTTATCGCCGCCAATAAGCCGCAGAAGTATGACTGAATACCTCCAGTCAAGTAGTTCTTTGGCGAATATGCCATCGATCTTATGCCGTATTCTCTGGCGAACATGCCATCGATCCCATATCGAATCATCACTGGAAACAGTAGTATCTTGACTTCCTCCAGCAACAACAAGGGCCAATATACCGACCGACAGCTCCCGCAGTAATCGCGCTCTCCTGGACAACCACGACCCTCTTGGGGAATTGATCTGCGCTCGATGCAACAAGCACCGGCGCAACGAAGGTGTTCTCCCTGACAGGGAAACCTGTCAGAAATACCATGCCATGGACGAAGAGCTGTACAAGAAACGCGCCGGTCGAAACCAGACTCCATGTCACTGCTGTAACGAACCGGCGAAACGACGATCAGTATGATTCCTTCCCTGCTCTCGGCAAGCAAGCTTGCCGACAGTGCTACCAATACCACCTCAAGCACAAGGAGTGGCCATCCCCCACAATACTCAAGCGACGGTATCGACTTCGAGCTCACTACGTACCCGAGAAGGACGGAGTCAAGGGCCCTTGCTACAACTGCAAGACGCCATTCGACCACTACTCCCAGTGGTGGTATGATGTACGGTTAATGGCATGCAATGTATGCACTCTATATAGGAGAGAGCACGAGATACAGCCATCAGAGCTTCAGTTAGAAAAGCGTAAAGCCCGCGTTAATCAGTCCCCCTGCTAGCACTGTGGAGCAGCCTACGTAGTAGGCAAACACAAACTTATCCCTAGACTAGAGGGGGTGGTAGGATGCCTAATCTACCACAAATACTATCTTGAAAACGGGCGTTAGCCTAGCGCTACAGCCATGGCGAGACACCAGGGCTGGGCAGACGGCAACTGATACTGCCACCACTGCGATGCTCTATACGTCAAGGGCAGTCACAAGAGGGTAGGCGAATCAGCTACTATGACGTGTGGTGCATGCAGGCAGTACTTCCGCAACAACAAAAAGTTTCCCCCGGACGAAGTGCTCGAACAACGCCGAGCGAGGGCTGAGCGCAGAGCCAAGAAGGCGTGAGGTGCTCTCCCTCTCTAAACTGATTCGCATTTCACCGCAGATATAGAAGGATATACCACCAAGACCATACAAGATATCTCGTATAGCAATATGAAGCTTCTCCTACCGAAGGAACATCTCTATAACACATGCAGAACTCGATTTGTGTTGGTAAACGGCAAAATGTGTGCATCTGGTCCACCTTACAACTGACCAACTGTGATGGCGTCTGGATAGCTGCGTACGCCTAACACAACAATGCAACCCTGAGCCATTGAAAAAGCCCGGGATAGAAGGTTTTGCGCAAGAAAGGCAAAGCCCAGTTTGTGGTGGAGCAGCGAAAAGCCTGGTCCGGCTATCAGCACATTCCCCCACATCTCGTGTACGTACCATCGCTGCATATTTGTCACGGGGCGGGTCACGCTGTGTTATGAGGATCTTCAACTGTTTGAGAAACTAATTGCTTTCGATCCTCTGATCTCTCGAAGGGCTCTACACAGTCTGGCTCGCTCAGGAAAGCCGTCAAACCCGAGCCCCTTGCGACGGCTTCTGACATTTAGGCGCACTACCACGTGCATGGTGTTTCTGTAAACTCCCATCTAGAGCACGTTTGCCACTGGCCACAATTGGTATGTTCGGACGGCTGTTGCGCGAAACAGTACTTCTTGTTTGGTTGGTTCGTCCAGTAAATATGTGCCCTTTGCTTACTTCCATCTATGCACATCTCCTTGACAAACGAAAGGCCTGCGTTTGTACAGCCACTATCTCTGAATCCAATGTTATGGTAATGATTATCGTCGGTTATGAGGACTCCAGTTCGAACCGGCAAGAAAACGGTGACGGTCTGCTGAAACAGTATCTTGGTGGCTGCTGCTTCGTTTGCTACAAGTAACACCAAAGGAATAAGATTGAAGCTGAGGTGCATTTTGACAGTAGCTGGTTGAGAATTGATTAAATCCCTCCAATGGACGAAGGGGAATAATACTTACTCGCGATTGGAAGTTTCCAAGACACGATAGTACTCAAAGATCAATTGTATGATTGTACTTGAAAAAAGAGATGAATATTCTTCTCTTTATACTGAGTGTTTCGCAGTTGCCAGTAGTTAGACTGGGCACTCTATCTGTTCGAAATAACCGGACGTTGGGTTAGGTGTTCAATAACTCGTATTATCTCATTAGTGCTTACTATACTTTGTGGTGTGGTCAATCCGGTCACGCATGAGCCCACATCAACTGGCTGTACCTAAGAGGTGCGATGAGTGAGAAGACTGTGAATGCTTGGGCCTGTGTTAAAAGCAATCGACTGCGGCTTGTGATCAGGTATCGATCCTCTCTGATTGCTGTGCGTGGGGCGCAACAGGATACGCAGGTGGGAGTCGACTTTGGATGGCAGCGAAAACGGTTGCTGCATGGTGGTACGCGCCGCAGCAGGGTGCCGTATTGCCAGCGGAGGCTCATATAATGCGTGGAACATGCCCGGATGGGTAGTCGACAAGTGGGTGGGAAAGCCCGCAACGAATGAAAGGCGGGGCAGCCAAGTAATGCCCAGGAAGTGCTATAAATTGAGGAGATTTGTGGAAGGCGGTGCCAATGGATGCGTGGCAGTGTTGCCAAGTCTGTGTTTGGCTGCGTCTCCGCTCCAGGCAAGGAAAGTGGTTCCTCTACGTAGAGTTTTAGCTACCAAACAAGCTTCTTCAGCGAGTACCCGATCTGCTCCAGGTAACCCGTACTCTTTTTCGCATCTGCAAGACTGATGATATCCTTCTCCTCGATCTGTAGAACTCGGCCTTCAGAAGCGCTACTATCGGTCTCGGGACCCGGTGCCACTTTCTTCGCTTTGTTAGCCACTCTGACTACCTCCTCGCAAATCTCTCTCACGACGTCAACCTCGTTCTCTACTTTCTCGCCTTCGCTTGGCACACTGCTGCGCGGCGGCAGAGCCTTGAAAGCTAGGAACCTCCCTTCCTCGGACTTTGTTTTCTTTTCGTCCCTCTTCTGCTCATCGTTTGCAGCGCCGGAGTCCAGCGCTCTTGTATTTCGCCTAATGAGCTCACTCTCTGCGTCTGCCCTGAACCTGATTACAAACCCAACGTTTTTCTCGGCATCCGTGTGTCGCTGCGCAAGGGTACTGGTGATGTATACGCCGCGTATCAAGCCCTGGACGTTTTCAAGCGCAATGTGCTCGAATTCGCTAACCTTCTCTGTTCCCCAGTCCAATCGGCAGAAGTACAGTGCTTTCCCAGTAAGGAGGAGAACCGCTTCTTCGAACGTGCTTGTCTTGACGTGGTTCGCGGAGGTAGGCACGCTGAGAGTCCAACCGTGGAGTAGATCCTCGTCTTCGTCTTCGATGACCCGCGCAGCGCAACGCTCAATGGCTGCTTGTCGGACTTTGCGCACGTCAACGAAATAGTCTGAAGACTTCATGTCGGCTTCAAATTCAGCGAAGATAGTGTCTGTTGCTCGGCCGAGAAGGTAGTCGATGACTGCTTGTGCGAAATAGTCATTGACGATGTTATTGTAGTAGCGCGTCAACGTTAAACCGAAGTCCGTAAGTGCGCCGGTGATCTGTCGTTTGCGAGTACGAGTAAAGTCACCTTTGAGCGCTGCAGTGCCAGCATATTGACGACTGATGTTATCGCCATTGTCGGCCCAAAGCGTATTGAACCAGGACGTGGAGGGATCGTTTTGTAAGTCAATAGTGTAGTTGCCCACTGACAGTTGCTGTTCTAGGGCCCCACGAGCAGTCGCGCTCTGTACGACGTTAGTGCGGTCGAGACAATCCATGCAGTTCGTGCGTAGGATGCCAGATTGTTTGTGTGCAATCGAATCGTCGGAGATTTCTGTCCAACCAGTCGAGTCGAGATATGGGGCAAGAGAGTCCATGAGCTTGGAGACGTTCTCAAAGTGCATGCCGCGGCAGACGTTGTGAAAGTCGAACCACTCAAAGCCGAGTCGCTTTCCCTTGCCGTCAATGCCACCATGCTCATTGAGATTTTTGGCATGCTGCTCGTACAGTTCACCAATCTTAGCCTCTGTGCCGTGCTTGTCTATGAGCGAGGCGACGTAAACCTCGCTGTAGCGGGCGGCTAAATCATGAAAGTGACGCCTGAATGCTTGCCCGTTGGTCTCGAAAGAGCCCCATGTGCTGACTTGTGGCTTCAGGCTGTATGGGGATTGCGAGAAGTACAGTGGAATTGAGCCGCGAAGTTGTGTGAAAGAGTAAATCTTATCTTGTGACGTATTCCAAGTTGGCACAGAGAGCATCTGTTCAGTCTCGACGGTGTTTGCTGTACACCCCTCGTCGTCCGTTCCACGGCGGAGATAACGCAGACCAGCACGCTTGATTGAACGTCGAGAGATTAGCGTGAGTAAAAAGTCCTTTCCCTCTGCAAGGTCCGCTGCCATATCTTCCTTGGAAGACTCAGATGGTGCAGCTCCTTCCTCGTGCCACGACTGTAATTGTATATCGTCTGGCGTGGCGTCCGAATCTATAACTAAGCTGTCTGATTTGCCGTCGGCGATCTTAATTGTAAATGGACGTTGTCCGACGAACCCCTGGATGACGGGAAGAACAAAGGAATGTTGCCCAGCTTCTATAAAAGGTGCAATAATGTGCTGGTTCCAGAAGAACTGAGACGAGTTAGCAGAAAAGTGCAGCTCAGATAAATTCAACTAACCAAAGGATCGTACTGCTTGAATAACGGTACGTTGGTATTCACTGATTGATCGGCAATCCCATGTGACAAGTCATAGTCGTACGAGTAGAAAAAATTCCCGGACGAGAAGTACATCTTGGTGGTTTGAAGCACGCGCGGTAACAGGGCTATCGTAGTCGCGTCTTTGTCTCCTTCCAAAGCCTTTGGTATATCTTCCGGCTTGACTGTGTCTGGCGTTGTCCTCTCGTCACTCGGCAGCTCGTGTGATTGCGATGGGTCCGCCTCTTCTGTAGGGCCCGTAGAATCCACGTTCTTGGGGACATTCTTCGCAGCAAGATCTTCCTCTGAGCTCAGACCCTGAGTTCGCCTGCTGTCTGCGCTCCAGCCCGTGCGTGAGAACCACTTGTTGGCAAACCTTCCATACACACCCTTCTTCTGCATGACATCTTCTGCGACACTGGATCTCTTGTCCGCGGGACCTCTCTGGCCTGTGATCGGATCTTTCACCTCGATAGGAGAATGCGGCGTGTCTTCGACGAGCGAATCGGTGACACTGGGGGCATCATCCTCGCTTTCGCTGTCTGTATCATCTTCCCCCACTCCTCGTGTCTTGCTGTGTCGGTGCAGGCGTTCGCGTGTGGATGTTATGGCTTTGTCCGCCTCAGACTGGGACGCAAGAGGGATGAGAGTAACGTCTGTGATCTTGTAGATTGGCTTGCCGCGCACTTGTGCGACTTGTTCTCGGCCGCATATCGATATCAGGAAGACTGAGGTAGCTACTTTGAGCAATCCTTATTGGCGTCAGCGACATCCGATACACGTGCTCCGGACGCGCATACTGACCTAAAACGCCATGCGACTCGAAAGATGATGCCGTAATATCATCGATGTCGTTGTTCCTAAGCAATGGCCCTATGTTGCCCTTGTAGTCGATCTTTATAGCCTGCTGATGCTGCGCATGAGGAGGAGAGCGGGGCTGGAGCACGAGCCCATCAACAGCAGCGAAAATCAAGAGCTTCCTGGCTAGGGGCATATTTCCGAATTTGCGATTTGCGCTTTGCGCGAAACCTGTGGTTGCTAGCACTTCATTGACAGACCAGAGTAGGCGTCTGCCAGCACTGCCGTGGTCGGCGGACCGATGTCTGAATGACGTAGTCATGCCACCCCACCACTACCATCGTCTCAGCCTTGCCCACCACCTTACATACGGGTGCGACATCGCTCTTATCTGTTATGAGCCTCCAGAATACACCCCTCCATTATGTTCTCAGGTGTCCCTGGGGATTCTCTGAGAAACCCTATCCGTCACGTCGCATTGATACCCCAGCCTCAACGCAAGGCCGGCTATGCGTGTGACTAGACCAGGATGTTGCAGGAGGTTGCCTGAGCGCTCAGTGAGGACACGAAGACGAGCGAGCCTCTTACTCTTAATCTACAGAGTTGATCTCGTATCATTCGCGAAAATTACGAAATGCTGTATTCCACAGTACCGCTGTTGAAAGCCCAAAACTTTCGGGTCATGCACCTGCAAGCAGGAGTCGCTGATGACCCCATACGCTTTTCTCTCCAGCTTACAGCATGCGATGCTGACCCTCAAATCGATTATGAAGCTCTTTCTTACACCTGGGGAGATTTGGCAGACACACGGGAAATCTCTTGCGGCGGTGCCGAGGTCGGTACCTCGCATTTGATGGTAACAACCAATTGTTACAGCGCCCTCAATAGCCTTCGAATGCCTGATAAACCGCGAACGCTCTGGATCGATGCGATTTGTATCAACCAAGACGACTTTGACGAGCGTGAAGCTCAAGTGGCAATGATGCGGTCAATTTACAGCGGCGCAACTCAAGTGGTGGTGTATCTTGGAGATAGCAGTGATGACAGCGACTCTATTATGCGCTATATTGAGGACCAGTACGAGCCTGTCGAATACCCAAGACGAAAAACTTTTACAAGACTGAGTGAGGAGGTCTGGTGCAGCTTCTCCTCTCGCGCTTGGTTCAATCGAACTTGGGTCTTGCAAGAGCTATTCAGCGCATACAAAGTAGAAGTGCGCTGCGGACAAAAGTCAATTTCCTGGAAAGCACTGGCGGACTACTATGCGAGATGGTATTCGGGAGCGCTTCGCAACAACCTTCGTGTACCTCCTGCGTACGAAGTCGTACAATTCATGGCATGGGTCCGAAAACGCAGGAACGAAGAGATGGGACCCAGGCTCCTCGAGCTGCTCATGAGAACCCGGTGGTGTACAAGCTCCGATCCCAGAGACAAGCTCTACGGTATACTCTCTATGCTTGGCGCCGATGACAGCATAACCTTCCTCCATCCCAATTATCGTCGCTCCGCAAATAAGCTATACACCGATCTAGCACTCTATCTCTATGAAACAATAGGTTCCGAGATGTTCAGAAGGGCATCAAAGTATGCTTCTGGTAATGGTCTAGACTCCCTACCAAGTTGGGTCCCTGATTGGACCTGCGCTGGAGTGTTTGGCGTCGAAAGCTCAAGTATAAATACCGGCTCAGGAAGGGACTCAGCTAAATTGAGAGCCGGGGGTCCGTTCATTGCTGGGGCAGAAATAAGTGGGTGCCCACCTGTGCAAGGGGCCGCATTTCGACAGCTCAGCGTCAAAGGAAAGCTTGTTGACTCCTTGAAAATCGTCTCAGATGAATGCGACCTGGACAAGAATGTATTTCCACTTGCTCAATGGTGCAAAATCGCGCGGAGATTCAGTTCTGCGAAAGAGTTTGAGAAACTGCTCGTGTACGATCATGTCATATATCGTGACGTCCTAAAAAAAGCCCTGAAAATAGTCCTTAACTGGCAGAAGGATGGATCCAACAGCACGCTCACCGAGCTGTTCACTAAACGACGATTGCCGCCCAGCTACCTCCGGCAGATTCTCCAGATGCTGAAGTGCTGCGACAGACGCAAACTTGGTGTCTTGCACAATGGCTTACTAGCATTGGTTCCTGTGTTCGCCAAACCTGACGATCTCGTGTATTTACTACCTGGTGCATCTGTACCTTTTCTATTCAGAAAGCAGGATGATCACGTTGTATTTATTGGCGAATGCTTTGTGCAAGGCATCATGTCTGGAGAAGCCTGGGACGAGAAAAGTACGCAGTCGCTGGAAACATTGATAGTTGAATAAGCCTCAAATTATTCATGTCTACGTCCAGCCGCAACGAGGTCGATTTTGGTTGCTGGAAGAGGATTTGAGTGTCAGGCTGTTCGTTGGTCGCATCATCTACTGCTTTCCGCCTCGGAGTGCAATGCAGTTGTTGAGGTCTTGCAATTCGATGCTTTTATCCAATACCTGATCTGCAGAGCTTTCCTGCTGTGTAAGCAGTTAGATAAACAGTGCAAGCCACAGATGACCTCGCTGCTGTAGGACAGGCGTGGGTTCGAGAGCTGCGTACGAATGGCAACATTGACGTACTCACCACCCCACCATTTCTCCGTGAAGAAGCTACTAGTGGTTTATGTATTGGACGAACGGGGAGAAGGAGGCGGGGGGTGGTTGATGGGGTTGAGTTAGAGTATTGCATGAGTCTAATTGAGCTTTCCTCGCGAAATCGACGTCAATATCCGCTGTGTAGTGTATGTAAGTCGGGCCTGCGGGCTCCTGGAAAGGTTGGCCCCTACTCGCACTTTCTCACGTGTTAATATGCCTGGGCGCAGTGGAGATGGATCTTATTCAGCCCAAGTCGAATCAAACCTGTAAGTCTTTTTCGAAGTTCGTTTCACAAACCCCTCCATTCGTTTGGCTTTATACTCACTTCTAAATGTGATTTCAACTTACGTGAGTGCGCGTGTGATTTGTTTGAGGTGCTTTTACCCTCATTATCTTGCATATGCAGGGTGTCGAGTTAAGCGAAAAACTACATGCTACATCGGGCCTAGCTTTCAATCATGCAGATGCGAGAAATGTGGTAGCCCTGCAGCAGGCAACGAACACTCTTTGTTTCTACCGGCGCGACACCTACTCGAACGGGCAAGTATCTGGACATACAGCCGCAGATGGTCCACACCTGCTGTTGAACATGCATCCTACTTGCCACGTGGGCGCGCCGTTGCCACGTCCTGCGGCGGACTCGGCGAAAACCCTGACGCCTCAACACCAAAGAAGTGGTTGTAAAAAGTGTTCGCGATACTACTCCTGGAAGGTAGCTTGCGGTATTTAGGGTAATTTTCTCCGCTGGCTTCCATTCCTGCAATGTTCTTATCCGGAGAGGATCCACTTTTGCAAACACGACATGACGTGGAGGCAAAAAGCCCCGCAAAGGTAGGAATAGTGTGCGTACAAAGCCCGAACGGTCTGCACAGCAGTCGAAGACTTCTGAAATCCTGAACATCTGCGCAAATACATACACAATGTCGACTCAGACCACTCTTGAGCTCAGTCAGACATTGGGCGAGCGACGCCGCTCCTTCATCGTCACCGGTCAAGACGAGCAAACCCCAATATCCACACCAAAGGCAGCAAGCATCTCAGCGCGATCATCATACTTCCCAGATCTACCAGGTGGACCGGGAGCAAGCAAAAAAGTTGGCTTCTCAGATCTGCCTCCAACAAGCACGTTCGCAACCACCCCCGCCGGCACCCAAACACCTGCCGGCGCATCGACGCCAGGATGGACTACTCCCGGTGCCCAAACGCCTGGTAACGGTTGGACAAGTCCCACAGGTCCAGCGACGCCTGGCTGGGCGACGCCCAAGTCTTCGCAGATGCGGCCGTTGATGTTCCCCGAGACAGCATATCCAGACATCGGCTCGATGCAGACATGGCAGGGCGTGCTGATCCTGTGCATCACGTGCGGTGCACAACTAATGGACAATGTCTTCATGACGGCTGTGAACTTGTCGCTACCGGAAGTGCAGGCGGAGTTTGGCGTCAGCGCGGGCGATCTACAGTGGCTGCTGAGCGCGTACACGCTCACGTTCGGTGGCTTCTTGCTGTTTTCCGGTGTTCTGGCAGATAGGTACGGTCGCCGCTTTATCTTCAGCGCGGGCATGATATGGCTCTCGATTTGGACGCTGGCAAATGGGTTTGCGACGTCGTTTATCCAGATTGCTATCTTTCGTGCGTTGCAGGGCATAGGCGCGGCGATGACGGTGCCCTCTGCGATCGGTATCATCAGCTCGTATTTTGTGGCTAGCGAAAGGACGGTCGCGCTGACGTTCTTTGGCGCAAGCGGTGCAATCGGGTTCTGTGCTGGCCTGCTGTTTGGCGGCTTCGTAACGGAAGCATTGGGCTGGCGTTACATCTTCCGTATTGCGGTCGCAGCCACAGCCCCACTGGGTCTGTTGGGGTGCTTTTATCTTCCCAAGGACCGTCGCGAAGGTAGCGCAAAACCGAGCCTGGACTTCCTTGGTGCTGCTCTCTCGACTTCTGGCCTCATTTTGCTCTCGTTCGTGCTCTCCAGTGGCGGCGAGTATGGCTGGAACAAAGCCTTCATCATCGCTCTACTTGTGATTTCTGTCATCATGCTCGGAGTCTTCACGTACGTCGAGAAGAAGGTGCGGAACCCTATCATGCCGATGTCACTTTGGAAGATCCAGAACTTTGCGCCCCTGTGGATTACAGGCTTCGTGGTCTACGGCGCGTACCAAACTGTTGTCTACTATATCGTATTACAAGCACAAGAAGTCGCAAAGCTCTCAGCCGGCGCGACTGCATTGCGCTTTCTACCCATGGGCGCGGCTGGTTTCCTGACTAACATGGTCCTCGCAAAGTGGATGAGATACATGGACTTCCGGTATCTGATGACAGTTGGCATAGTGACGACCATGATAGCTCCCGTACCTGCTAGTCTGATGCCAGCCGATGATCCCAATTTGTAAGTCAACCTCACCATCAGCCACTACATTCCACTGACGGTGTCGACAGTTGGCGCTACATCATGCCAACTTCCATCATGGTGGTCGTTGGAGTAAGCATCTGCTACATCTGTATAACGAACATCATGCTCGAGTCTGTTCCGACAAACGTGAAGTCTCTGTGCGGCGGGCTTGTCAACACCGCTTTCCAGATCGGGTCAGGCGTCAGCCTCGCTCTCGCTGCGGCTGTGGTCAATGCAGTTGACATCAAGAAGGGCCATACGGTGGCTACGCAGTATCAGACAGGTCTCTATTGCTGCATTGGGCTTGGATTGTTGGGGCTTCTCGTGTCGTTGGGCGGCATGAGAGGGCCGAAGAAGCAGAGTGTGAACACTCAGACTTTTTGACTGCTCTACACGAACATCAGTCTAGGGACATTGATGCAGAATCCGGTGGTTTGTTAACTGGGGTGATTAGCGCTTCTATAACCACCTAAAAGAGACAAATTTTGTTTGACCTAAATCGAACCGAACCTATGAGTTCCGTGTCAAAGTCTGAATCACGACCCCTTCCACTCCTTTGGCTTTACACACACGGCTCCCAAGTCTTGCCACTGCAATGATAGTGTGACCACAATCAAAGTCTGCCAAGAATGAATAGCATACTTCTGACTGTCGGTACCATCTGAACATGGTACTAATCGCTTTCGAAAGTTCAGCGTTATTCGTTATGTCAATGCAGCAAGTGTCTACCCAGAGATACCGAAGGTTGTGGCTTGCGGCCTGCCTCCCACAAGCCTGGACCTTCGTGTAACCAGTTCTGGTCCTTTCTGTACCTCCTACAATGTCTCTATACGTGACTTCGGTGTGACTTGGGCCCCACGTGTGCGAGAGGATGGCGTATGCACACTCTCACGATCGGTACACTTCTCACCTGCTGATACCTCACTAGGTGCGGGGCAAGCGGGGTCAGGCTGAGAATCTCGCGACAGAGCCTCTAGTGTGGTTCTAATCATTCAATCCGAGGTTTCCACAGCCCTGTTGCGGGCAAATGGATGTTGGGTGTTTTCCATGTCAGACTATTCGACGAATAATCATTGCAGATCCAGATCCGCGCAATGGTGCAGAACAACTCATCCAGCCGCATCTCACCTTCCGTACGTCTTTCACATGGACAACAACCGGTGTGTGCTGTCTATAATATGCCTGTTGTTGCTGCGACGATCAGCAGCTCAACTGCATCCACAAACACCTCGAACCAAGACCTCCTGCTACACAACAGACCCGAGACAGCGACATGGATAAAGGAAAGTGCACCGTACAAACCCCGCAGCCATGCAACTGCAAACAATACACGCCGTCGCCCACTGAAAACTTCTGCGAATGTGGCCACCATAGAGATTATCATGTCGACGCAAATTAAGACGGAGAAGGGAAGTCAGAGCCTTGCAATGAGTGTAAGTGAAATTGCGGACACTGGCATAGGACTGATCATCTCAAGGCTATTCCGCAGTCGGCTCTTCGGCGTGGAACTATTGTGAAGGAGTGCTGAGACGGAGCTTATTTTCGCTGGCGCTACACTCGCTTTGAAATGTTGCTGGAAGCTGGAGTATGTATGCATGTTAGCTAGCTAGCCCTGCGTGACGGTCTTTCCCTAGTGAAGGAGTGTCTAGGAAATAAACATTGCCAGCCCCAACCTAGATGTCTCGTACATGGTCTCCGCGCGAACTAGATCATCTGTTGCTCGCGAGTGCTGCAGTGACTTTGCCTCCACCCCAGACTCTGATTCATACTCATCTCGTCAGGGTGTCAAGGTGCAATCAGGCTACAGCTGCTCTACAATAGTCGCTCCCGCCGGCACAATGTTCAGTATCAGGAAGATCGTCTTGGTGTAGCGACTGCGTCCAGTTCATTGTTCTGTCTTACATGATCTGTTTCCGTGAATGGTTGTTTAAGAGGTTTGCTGCGAAGGTGGATCCTCTGAAGTAATCTTAAGTTAGCGAGAGCTGAACTTTGCTAGAGGGAATTTGGACTAGCGTTTAGGGTAATCTGTGGGGCAACAAGATAACCACCCTTGCTGGATCGCGGAGTACGGAAGGGGCTGGAAATCGAAATTGCCAACATCCAGCTCCGAGTCTGTGCCTTGCCTCGTCGTTCGACTACATCGAAATTTGTCCACCATTGAGGTTTCAATTACTTGCATTGCTAATTGCAATCCTGTATCCTGAGTGTGGTATTTGCGGGCGATCGTTCAACAGCTGGCAGGCATGTCATCAGCATATGGATGCCACCGGTCACGGCTACGAATGCGAGACGTGCGTCCACGAGTTCTATACCTACGACAGTGCGTGCGATCACATGTACGAGTACGACCATTGGCGCAAACAGTTCGAATGTGAAGGCTGTTCTTCCAGCTTCGACACCCGCGCTGAAGCGAAGAGACACATGCAGCAAGAAGACCATTGGCGGACCTACCGATGCCAATCCTGCGACAGAGGCTTCGAGAATGAGAACAACCTGCGACAAGTGAGTCATTCCAGGTGACGCCCAGCGCGAACGCCCATTGATATCGCATAGCATCTAAATAGTAACACCCACCGCGGCACCGACATCACCTGCCCATTCTGCAAACGAAGCTTTGCAACCGCAACGGGCGTAGCTCATCATCTTGAAGCTGGCTCATGTCGGAATGCCCGCTCGCTAAACCGCGACACCATCTTGACTGAGATCTGGCGCCGCGATCCCTCCCACCTCATCACCAAGAAACTCCTCACCTACCACTCCGAGCCTTCACTGACTGCCACCTCTGCATCGTGGAATCCCTACATTGGCAAGTACGAATGCTACCTCTGCCACAAGGCCTTCAGCGAACTACATAGCTTAAACAGCCATGTCAACTCACCTGCCCACAAGGATAACGTGTATCACTGCCCAGGCCAGACGTGCCGTAAGGAGTTCCGTGCACTTGCTGCGCTGTTCAATCATCTCGAGAGCGAGACTTGTGGGGCTGTGAGGTTTGATGCTGTGCAGAGGAACGTTGGGGGCATTTTGAGCGGCCAGAGGAGGATTTGTCTTGTCTGAGCTATTGATATTAGAAAGCGAGCAGAATCATGTGGACAGGGTGGTCGTTAAAAGCAGTAGAGCTCTGATATCTGTGAGATGAAGTATTTGGTAATAGTACTTATTGCAAGTATACAAGATGAACTTTATACGCTTTACAGTAACACTAAGTCTGTGTCTTAGACTACCTGAGCAGCCATTTTAAGCCCCCCGCCAAGTGGCCACACAGTATGTGGAAGGGAGCAGTATATACTACGCACGCCATATTGTTATAAATGTGATACTGTAAGACGAGAATCGCAGAAAGTGCACGGAGACACACTGTACCCCACTTCATTGGGCTTGCAGAGCCGGCAAAGTTGACGTGGTAGAGCGGCTTCTCGCCGAGGGTTGTACGGGTGTCATGAAATGTCACTATTCCTGACTTCCCCAATAATTGGACTTCCTGGGCTACCACTGTGTTCCACGGCAATCATAGATTACTAGACAGCCTGTTCGCACATCAGCAGACTGCTTTAAGTGAATCGACGAAACAATCACCTCCAGAGGCGGTATCACATCTCGGGACAATGTGTGACGGCTGTTAATAGTGAACGATTGGTCAAGAGATCAAGAAAGCAATAAGAAGATAAGACTAGTGATCCTGTGCAATTGCAGCTATCTGATAATACTGATAGCCCCGCTATTATGTTGCAAGATAAACGACGGACTGAGGACACAAGCTAAGTACACTACACGACAGTGAAGTAGGGAACATATCAAAAAATAGACAGAACGTCTTTTCACCGGCAACGTATATAACACTTAAGTAAATTCTAGCGTTTAGTATTATAATAGCTACAAGCTCTATGGTAATGTTATTCAGCTTGAAGGTCACTTGTCCACCGTGAGAGCCCGGGTTGCGAAATGGATCGAGCACGGTCAAAGCCAGAACGCCAAAGAGAGAGCCAGACGCGTCGACTAACGTGATCCCATCAGTAGCATAGTTATTCCCTAACACGAAATTGGATATGCTCGCACTGATTGGATAAACGAGTACAAATTTCAGCGACACGTTCCCTTTTTTACCCGCGCCGCTGCGCTGCATATATACTCACACCACTCGCCTGCGGCGGACTTCTCCACCATCCACCGGGCTCTCGCCCCTACCTACTTAGCTCAACTAAACCTGCCTCGGCGGCTATAGGTAGCATTTTCAAAGCTTTGGCGGCTTTTTGCTTAGTTTTCTGCCTTTGGGCGCGATTTCCAGGTGGCAACCGCCTGAAGTTTGGGCTTAGGCCCTGGTATCGTACCAGTAAGCCTTGTTTCCCACGTAGCGGCACTCGAAGTCAACTCTTGAACCTTGCGCTTCTGTTTGCGCAGAGATCGCCGAAGAATAGGCACATCTTTCCAAGTGCCCCACTTTGCTTCATCGTCAAATCCAAACTCAGCGAAAAGCATGTCCATTCGGCCGCCAATGCCGTCAAAGGCGCTCTTCTCGGTAGGCTCGCACAGGGAAGCAATGCTGTGTCGAATGTGCTGACTCTCGCAGTGAATAGTAGCCCACATGGTGCTGTACTCGTGCACCACCACGCTGCGGTAGATCTTGTCGCACATGACGCCAAAGTAATTGCGCCACATGGTGGTGTACTTGGGGCTGTTGGCGACCTTCTGGATGTCGGCAACGTTGCCCGAGCCCCACAAGAACGTGGTGAGAGCGGTCTTGCTGTACAACTCTCGAATCCAGATTGCTGACCTCACTTCACCAGAGATGAAACAAAGTGGGTTTTGGATTGATGCCAAGATGTTGGCGTGGGTGACAAACGTATTTGCGTCCATCTGGCACTGCGGAGGATTCATTCTCGTTAACCCCCAGTGGTTATATCTGCGGGACCACTCCTCCCCTTCCGCCGTGTTGATCTTCTCGGCCTTCTTGAGGGCAGCGTTGTTGCGGTGGTCGAGGTAGGTACGCTGCCACTGTTCGTCTAACTGCCTTAACGCCTGTCGAAACACATCTTCGTGTGCGCGACGTTGATCGGCTTCTGCTTGCGTCTCGGCGTCTGGTGGTGCAATCTCATGGTAGCGAGCCATAAGAGTGTAATTGTTTTTGAGGGTTTGAATCTTGATGCTGTAGGCCTTTCCGAGCACAGCCTTGCGAAGCCACGACTTCGGTCCAAACTTGTTTGTCCTCTCCGCAGATATCATTTTGTCAATCTTTGATTCGGTCAAGCCATGTGAAATTTGAGAGCTTGCATCCGGGTTGATGGTGAGGTGGTGCACTTCGATGACACGTAACAGATTCTGGACATCTCGTTGAACTACCTGTACTCGAGTACGATGTATCGGAGAGTAGCGGTGCTGACTCCAGGCCGGGTGAATTCTGTAGCAGTGATGGAGTTGAACAGAGTCCCTCCAAACCTCGCTGCCTTCTGCTTAACAATGTTGTATGTAGTATGTATCTTAGCATACTTTGTCCGAACTCGTTCGCGGCGGTTCTGGTGCTGTAGAAGCTGGGGGTCGTCTGGTGCAAGATTGAGGTGCACAACACCTAGGTCATACGCTGCATCTACGTGTGCATCTTCCGGCAACGTATTGCTGACAGGGGGACGAATCTTGACGCGGAACCACGAGGCTGCGGGTTGGTTCAGAGACAGTCGAAGGAGGTCCGCTTCGTCAAGGTCTTGGCGGCATTCTGGGCAGGGGTAGTTGCTCCAGTTATCAAGTGTTCCTAAGACTAGTCCATATTGAAGATGTCACTCGGATGCGCCTTCGCGCAGGCAGAGAGTGAAAGCGATGTCCCGCACTTGGCGAGCACTTCGTCTGTCCACAGTTATGAGCGATTGTTGTAGATACCGTGACTTGATATCACTTACCTCTAGGAACTTGGGGCCGTCACTGTCCATTAAGCACAGCGGACATGTCAGTCTCTCCCCGGTGGGATCGACTGTAATGTAACGAAAGTCGCACGGCGGCTTAAGGAACTCTGCTCGACACCTAACTGCTGGACACACACGAATCTTTGGCCGAAGTGGGTCGTGGGGAGCGGTTCCTTCGAAGTACGCCCTTGCACATCTGTCATGGCACATGTGTCGGCAGTGCCCATCTACGACCTTCTCGTCCGGGCAGATTTGTTGGTTGCAGTAGTTGCAGAGCTGATCGCCGGTATTGGGGTGTGAATAGAGTAAGGCATTACAGGTGTTAATTCTGCAGACGCCGCGCAGTGCTGTCATGAAGCGGAAAGGTGGGTGTGGGTAATTGTGTTGGCAACAGCAAACCAACAGGCTCCCGAGTACCTAGGTATCTGGTAGCCAACCCTGTTTGGTATAGCGTGGTTACACATACGCAATACTGCCTGAATATTTCTCTTAGCAGATGTTACGTCTTCTTAAATTTCTGATCAAACGGCGGATAAGACCCTAAGCTAATTACCAACTTCCAGAACACTCAACTTGTAGCTATTATGATACCTAAAGGTAGGATTTGGTTAAGAGTTACCCATATTGTAGGTAAACGAGTATTCTATATGGTTTTTTAGTGTTTTCCCTACTTTACTGTCGTGTGATGTACTTGGCTTGTATTCTCAGTTCGCCGGTTATTCTGCAACGTGAGAGACGTCTCAAAGTGCCAGCAACTAGCGCCAATGTTCACCTTAATCAATCGCACTGAGAGAGAGTGCGCGGGACACCTTCTTTCTACCTCTGGACTGGAGTAATGAACTCAAGCCAAGCTGCACGCTTGAACTCGGCATTGATTACAGTACGACAATCGCATCTCGCTTCAGTCCAATCCTTACCTTGTCATAATCCAAACATACGAATTCCACTTGGTCTTTCTAATGCGCCAAAAATGTCTTCAGATGCTGCTGGTTTCGGCGGCTCCGGCGATGTACCAGGTATCATTGATTGTCTAGAAACAAATTGCCATGCATTCTCGCTATATTGGATCATTCGTCTATTACGGACACTCGGGGTTAACATACGCCCACTTTCTGACCATCTGTGGAGGGAGAATAGAGTCTGGAGCGATGCAGTCATTGAAATACCTAGCACAGGTTGCCCCCTTCTCCCGGTCCATCCACTACGTAAACCACTACCGCCCTCGCCCGCCCCCCGGCTCCACAAACCCCTCCGGCCCAAAAAGCCTCGTCCGCCGCCCAAAACACACTTTATCCCACCCCGGCGCCGGCGGCGGCGTATCCCTGAACACCTCCAGTTTGGCACTGAGCGCGGGCGTCGGCGGCGGAGAACTATACACCGAGGACGAAGAAGGCGTTGGACTCGCGGTAGGCATTTGCTCGCGCGCTTGCACGTTTGGTTGCGGCTGAGGCGTCGAAGCCGAGACAGAAGTCGACTGCTTGTGTGCGGGTCTGTGAGGTGGCGCGGGAGCGCGCCGCGGCGTGCTGGTCGAGTAGTGTGCGAGGATGTCGTCGATGGCGGCGTCCAGGCGGCGCGAGAGCTTCTCCTGCTCGAGGGCGCGCAGCTCGGCGTCGGAGATTGTGTGGGTTGATTTCGAGGGGGCGTGGGCCGGGTGGCAGGATGTGAAGAGCGAGCGCGAGTCCTCGGGGGAGAGAATGGGGTGCGAGATTTGCGCTTTGCTGATCTTGGGGAGCGGCGCAGGTTGTGAGTTGCGCCGCGAGAGCGAAAAGTAGCGGCTGATGCGTCTGGTGAGTCGTGCCATGGTGTTTGGAAGTTTAATCTCAACACTGATGTGTCTGGTGCGGAGGAAGAAGAAATGTGCAGTGTTGGGTGGAGATTGCGCGGATTCGTAGTCGGGGTGCGCGTCTTGAGTTGTCTGCTTCTTTTTAATGTTTCCAGGCTCCATGCGGACTATTACGCAGTCGGACGTCCGCGGAGTCACGTTTGCGTGGTGTCTGTGTGAAGTCCGTGTCTCAGGCCCGCAGTTCCGTTGTGACGCTGCGATGCTGGCCCCCAAAACATCAGCGGACATCCGCACAGATTGCGCTTGAAACATCATCGCGCGATGCAAGAACATGGGAACCTGGGTTTGGACTCTGACTTGATACGCGTCAACGTGAAGTTTCGTAGTCTAGTTGAAGGTTTGTGGAGTACCAGTAAAATTGTACGGCAAGATCGTCGCTCATATATCTACAACACCATCTTGAACGATGGGGCTCTGTCGTCGTCGGTGTATCCCTCAAACTGCGCGTATTTACCAAGAACTTTGTCACGATTAAGCTTTGCGACCCATGCAACGTTTGCGGCGATCAAGACCCACGCAGCACATAGCAGCCCCAGCATGATCTGGTGACTCTTGTGAAAGTTTGGCCCTTCACTCTTCGGATACACGAAACTGGCCACAAAGCCTCCTGAGTTTGCAATAGCCAGCTGCAGGGCAGTGGTCGTGGCCCGTTTGTAGTGTCCAGCAGAGTTGTTGGAGTTCCAGGAGAGGATGCAGGGCACAGAGGCGTACATGCCGGTGGCCATCATAAACGTCATGCCGTACTGGACTTTTGGATTCGTGGTCACGCTGATCACTGCATAGCCGATGATGGCGATAGGCAGAGTGACAAGCATGACCGGTCCGCGGAGCGCGATGCGGTCAGACACGAAGGCCGCGACAACAGTGAAGGCTGCCGCGACGGCATATGGGATGACGGTCCAGAGCTGCGCTTGGTTGGGATCGGTCGAGAATCCGCCCTTCACAATCGTTGGAAGGAAGAGGCCGAAGGAGTAAAGACCGCATAGAATGCAAAAGTATGCTGTCGCGCTCAGCCAGACTTGGAGATTGAAGACGCCACGGCGAACTTCGGCCCACGAGAAAGATTCGTGTACTGCAGACGTATTCAATCGAATGCGGGAGCACTGTTTCTCGGATACGGAAAGAAAGCCGGCGGATTCGATAGAGTTGGGTAGGAAGATGGCGGACGACACGCCAACGAGAAAGGTAAGGATACCCTCGATGATAAATATCCACTGTGAACGACGTTAGAGACAGGACATAATCGAAAACGAACACCACTTACTCTCCAGCCTTCAAGACCACCTGCAGGCCCGATAGCATTGAGGCCCCGCGCAAGCAGACCGCCAAACGCACCAGACAGCGACGCAGCGGTATAGAAGATACCAATCCTTAGCGCAAGCTCAGTGCGCTTGTAGAAGTGCGAAAGGTACAAAACCTGACAGAAAGTTAGACCTGAACTACGCAACTGAGCACACCCAACTCACCATGCCCGGCAACAGCCCACCCTCCGCAATTCCCAACAGCGCTCGCACCGCCACGAACGACGAAAACCCCGTCACGAACCCCAGACACATGGTCAGAATGCCCCAGACAGCCGTCAAAGCTACACCACATTAGCTGCATCACTCCAAGCAGTGGACTCAGCGTACCAGGCAGCCACACCCGCGGTGACACCTTCTTCAGCACCAAGTTACTCGGCAGCTCACTGGACTTTCATCAGCACTGTTCGTGTCCGGGGCGCGCGCTTACTCACCTCGCGATGTACGTCGCGTAAAACACACACAACCCGATTGCGTACTGGCTGTCGTCCATCCCGAGATCCTTCTCCAAGCCCAGAATCTTCGCGTTACCGACATTCGTGCGGTCGATGAAAGAGCACAGGAAGAGGAGTGCGAGGATGGGCAGGATGCTGTTGCGGGTTAGCTTGTGAGGTCACGTAGAAGATTTAGTAGAGAGAGAAGATAGAGAGGCGGCAGAGGGGTTAGTGAGGACGAGGAGTTGAGTGTGGCGACGGGGATCGTGAGGAGGGGAGTGGCGTACTGGATATCCAAGCGCCACAACAGCGTCTTCACCTCCGCGGGATCGAGGGCGTCGAGGCGCTGCTCGGCGTTCTCGGTTTTCTCGTCCATGGGTTTGTCGTCTGTGGGGTGCATGGTGGAGCGCAGTGAACGCCGTGAACGTAGCGGATGCCGCGACCGTCGTGAGCGTGCTGAATACCGTAAACGTCGTGAGCGTCGTGAACGTCGTGGAACGCAGCACACAGCAAATCCGGCGAGACAGTGACACAATCGACCGATGGGCCCTCGAACACAACCCGCCGTATCGCCTCCCACACCGCACACCAGCACCCTTTATACTCCACACACTCACACTCCCCGCAGCCGCACACCGTCACCCCGCCCTCGCACCCGCGGCACGCCCGGCGCCCACCCGCCCCAGCACCGACACCCCAAACAGCAAAGACCGACGCCCGTAGGCGCTTCTTCTGGCCCCGACCCAGGGTGTGCAGCTACTGCACGTGTGCCCATTGCACGCCGCTACCTCCAACACCTGCCCAACCGTTGGCTACTTGTACAGTAACCCTGTCGCCTGAGTGCGCCAACCGGCGCCCGCTAGCGATCGGCGCTGCACGATCCGGAGTAAGCATGCAAGCGGCGCCAGGTAAGCATGCACGGTCCGAGGTAAGCAGCGGAAGCTTTGCTGGGCGGGCACGGCGGGCTGAGCTTGTTGGGTGGGGGGCACGAGGGCTAGGCTGGATTGGGCGGTAGGGGTGGGGGATGGGGTACAATAGGTTGGATGGATGGAGTTAGGGTGGGGATGGGGTTTGTGGGGCAGAGGTGTTGCGGTGGGCTGCGGTGGAGGGCAGATGTGCGGGTTAGGCGAAAGTAGGTATGTGTGTGGACGGTGGAATATGCATGGTCTGGGAATATAATATGTACAGTGTTGGAAATGCTAGTGGTGTGTACGCTACAAACTAACGGTGTGCCTACGCACCCTCGATCCGAACCTCGTCTTCCATGTTCTTCAGGTCGTCGGCGACCTTGAACTCCGCGTCGGTCTTCTCCCGCACCTGCTCGACCGTCACCCCGTCCGCGACCTCCGTGAGCGTCAACCCCCCATTCACCCGATCAACCTCAAACACACACAAGTCGGTGATGATGGTGCTCACGCACCGCGCGCCCGTCAACGGCAGCGCGCACTGCTGCACGATCTTGCTGCTGCCGTCCTTGGCCACGTGCTCGGTCGCAACCACGACCTTGGTCTGCTCGGGGTTGGACACGAGATCCATGGCGCCGCCCATGCCCTTGAACACCTTGCCGGGGACCATGTAGTTGGCCAGGTCGCCTGCGGCGCTGACCTGCAGCGCGCCGAGGATCGAGACGTCGACGTGGCCGCCGCGGATCATGCCGAAGGACTCGCTGCTGTCGAAGGTGGAGGCGCCGGGGAGCAGGGTGACGGTCTGCTTGCCGGCGTTGACGATGTCGGCGTCGACTTCTTCCTCGGTGGGGTGGGGTCCCATGCCCAGGATGCCGTTCTCGCTCTGCAGCCACACCTTGACGCCGTCGGGGATGTAGGATGCGGCGTCGGTGGGGATGCCGACGCCCAGGTTGACGTAGTAGCCTGCCTTGAGCTCTTTTGCGGCGCGCTTAGCGATGCGAGCGCGGTGGCCGCCAGCGGGTTTGCCAGAGGCTGAGGGGTCGCGCAGCTTCTTGATCTCGATGCTGTTCGGGACTGTAGCCGGGACGATGCGGTCGACAAAGATGCCGGGGAGGTCGATCTCGCCGGCGTCAAAGGTACCAATTGGGACGATGTGTTCAGCTTCGACGATAGTGAGGCGCGCAGCCTTGGCCATGATGGGTCCAAACGCTTTTGTTGTGTATCTGCATGTTGACGTTAGGAACTGCGGTTGGAAGTGATTCAATATACGCACCGGAATACGCAGTTGCCTGCCTCGTCGACTTTGTGTGCCCTGATGATCGCCACGTCGCCGGGAAGAGCAGTCTCCATCAAGTACTTCTTGCCATTGAACTCGCGCACTTCTCTCTTTGTACCATATCCGATAGCCTTGCCTTCTTTGTCGAACTTTGCTGGGATCTGGCCGTCCTGCAGTAATGTGTTCACAGCAGTAGGTGTGTAGAAAGCTGGAATTCCAGCACCGGCTGACCTGATGCGCTCCGCCAATGTGCCCTGTGGGCAAAGTTCGATCTCAATACCACCACTCAGATACTGCTTCTCAAGAGCTTTGTTGTTGCCTAAGAAGCTAATGATCAACTTGTCGACCTGCCCGTTCTTCGTAAGATGGGCAAGCCCGCCAACTTCCTCAATACCAGCGTTGTTGGACACAGCAGTCAACGAATGTAACGATTCCGGGCCACGCTTTTTCAGAGCTTGGATAAGAGTCTCTGCAATGCCGCAGAGTCCAAAGCCTGCGCTGAGTACTGTGGAACCAGACTGGACATCGGCGACGGCTTCATCGGCGCTGGCCCATAGCTTCGACTTCGAGCGATCAACAGTCGGCGCCTTGTCTGCCACCGCGCTGATGCTCCTTATCTGTTTTGTGAAGCGCCAGTGTGGTGGTGCTATGCGCGCGGCGCGCAATTGTGAAGGAAGTGGGCGGCGGGCGCATAATCGCGCGGGGAGGGCAGCAAGGAGCCGGTACGACGAGGGCAGTGTATCCATGTTGGTGGTGATGTGTTGTTGCGCAGGAAAATCAGACAGCAGTACTATTTACGAGCTTCGCGACCTCGGGCGACTCGGGCGAGAGCGGGAAGACTTGTGAATCCACTCCAGAACAAGAGCCGTCCGACGCGCAGAGAGCTCCATCGGCAACACGATGACGCGATGCAGGGTAAGAGCTTCCAGGGACATCGGCTCCAGAAGTATTCCCGAGGCGGAGACCGGCGAGTCTCCCGCATTGGCGAAGAGGGGCACTAGAGCTTAGTCACGCGCAGTCCGGCAAAGCTCCTGTTGCAACGCCGAAGCCACTCCGAGCCTGAGCCTCGCACATTGGGTAGAAGTACTTCCGACGTGAGATGATGTGCCTGTTCGGTGATTGAAGTCCGGGCGAATCTGAGGCTCTGCTGTCTACCACCCCACCCAAACTTCAATTGCAACATGTCCTGAACAAAACAGCTTTCGAAGCCCTCAATTGCAAGGAAAGTTGAAATCCGGGAGATTCATCATGTCGTTCCACATGTACGAGTTCTCGTCGTTCCAGATGTCAAGCTGGGGCGTTGCGAAGAAATCGAGATTCGTCACCGTCTCGTTGACCTCGTTGTAGGACATGGCGGAGAACGGGAGCGGGTCGCCGAAGCCTGAGATGGACTCCAGAGAGGGAAACGGCTGTGTTCCATCTGCAAGGTTTGGTGATAGACCCAGATTATGCTGCAGTCCCTGTACTGCGTATGCTTGTGAAGGCATTGCTGCTGGCGCATTCAAGGCCTCCAGGCTTGGCGATTGCTTGACAAGAACGCGCAGGAATCGACCGTACACAACAGATGCGCCGTTGCGGTGACTCGGAGTGCTTCCGATCCGCTCCAAGACTGCGGCTGTCTCTTGGATAAGTTTACAAACGCTAGGTGCGAGATTCTGGTTGCTGCGTTTTCCAGATGTTGGCTGGCTTAGGGCCAGTGCGATACTTGCAGCAAAGCAGATCATCGTGACAGTGTTATTCGGCATGGATGTGAGGCTCGATTCGCCTTGGATAGCGGCTCGCATAACGTTCAAAGCCGAGGACACTGCAGAGACCCGGAATGACCGTTTTACCTCTGGCGGTGCGCTGGGGTGGTTCAGCAGCATGCTGTACGTTGACAGCCGAGTATGAGTGACGAGAATCTCAACATAAGGTGGCAATGTCTTGTGCTCAAAGTCGCCGATGACTGATGTCCATTTGTGGAGCCACTTGTCGAAGAAATCATCGATGGCCCCTTCAATCTCATGCGCCACTTTGAGACCGACATCGATAACGCGGTAGCTGTCGCACCTCGCTCTCACATTGGCGAACAAATCATCGAGATCTCTGCGAAGAGCAGCCATGGACACCAATGGACCATCCTCTCGAACCGATTCCAGACTGGATGGCCAATAATCGCAATGCTGGAGCAGCGGTGTCTTTGGAACACAATAGCTGCGGCCGCGGGCTAGACACACACCCCGCTCCAGGACAAACAGTGCAAGCCAAGTTCTCTCCCTCCGGCGCAGTAGCCTCTTTCCCCATGAAGAATTGGCATCGACATCCTCAAGGCCGTCCATGGCTAGAGCTTTGCCTGCGTCGAGACAGTCCCCTCTCGGGATCTGTCTTACCAGGTCTGCATCGAACGTCGAAGATGGGGTAATCACTTTATCCAGAGACAGATCTAGGGCGATCGAAACCGCCGTGGCCAAGTAGAGGCTTGTATCATCATCTGTAGCATGCTTTCCAGGCGGCAGCCAAGGAATGCTGACCATGAACCCGAGAACGATCTCAACCGATCTGAACTTCTTTACGATGACTTGCTCTGCCAAGTATCTCCGGTGAATGAGTAATCGCTTGGCTAGGGAAGCAGTCTCGGGCAGGAAGATCGCGGTGAAAGCTAGAAGAGTAGTGAACAGAAACGATGAGCGATTCCGAACGAACTCCAATGTATGCACCTCAGGATCAAGTCCCCAGCGAGTGTGCGCCAGTTTCTTATGGAAACTGTTGTCGTTAGCAACCAGAAGTGCAATGCAGATATAAACGTACTATGCAATAAGTGTGGCTGCCTCCTCTTTGGTCACCAGTCCAATATCGATGGGGTCGTAACCTGGTCCTTGATCCAGATTGGCTTTCATCGGCAAGAAAAATTGATGCACATCCAGAAAAGCACTGTGTTCACTACCATTCATTTTACTGCCAGGGGTCGAAACGGCATTTTCTAAGCTGTGTGGCGACGTTATACGCAGATCTAGCAAGGGTCAGTGTTTTAGATCGGACATGGTTGCGGGATGTTTACCAGATGCACGAGCAAGTAACTGCAGGGGATTCTCGACATCCTCAACAGCAAGGTGGTCGTCACCAGAACCTGCCGTAGCTCTTTCGGAACGTGGAAGGCTTGCCGGAGGCTTCATATCTCCAGAGTCAGATGCAAATAGGTCGGTGATGTTATTCTGTCCCAGAGAAGGAGAAGGAGGGCTGTCCTCATCTTTCGTGTCGTTGAGCAATTCCTGCAGCTGTTCTAACGTACGCCTGTGAGAGGGCGCATCAGACTTGCGCTTCTTGATTGCCTCTTCAACCTGGAAGATAGCTTTTTCGAGGCCAGATCGTTTGCTGGTAAAGTGAGTACGGTATCCAGGTTGGTGGTGCTAACCTTACTTTTTTACACCCTTCTGCCTGCCAATATGGAACTCGGGAATCACACATTCTGTTCCAAGATGCGTGCATCTTTCGCAATTTGGCGCCCCCTCATCACGCCTGCACTTGATTTTGCTCTTCCTGCAGTTCAAGCACGCTTCTCCAGTCAGGATAGCACGACGACAAACAACGCATACGTACCCGCTTGCTTGCTGTTCATGCCTCGACCGCAGTGCGACTACCCCCGTCTGTTGGCATGCGACACCGGGGCGATGTTCGTGATTGCGTTGCGTGCTCAGTAATTGGTTGGGCTGGTGTTGTGCGACCTAAGGACCAAAATCAAAGTTGTTACGGTCTGACTCGGGTATGATTAATGGTGGCACTCGCTTCTGGTGCTCGAAGGTTTGTTAGATATCGATTGTTTGCACAGTAAGTCAGTGGATGCTTGCAAATGTGAGGAGAAACACGCTCCGGCAGCTGTCTCGATCATGGAGTGCATGACGCTAGCGAAGACCCTGGTCACAAGTTGCAGCCGAGACTGAGGCTTCCCCTCCCTGCACGGCTCCGAGACCATGGCAGAGGCTCGGGGCTCTAGACCAGGCGAGTCTCGGAGCTTTAGCCCAGGGCGACCGAGTCTGTCAGAATGGGAAAAATAATTGTGGTATCAGATCTAAATAATGCGCGTAGAGCACCCCACCAATCGCACAAGTTCAATTACATGATGGACATACACAGGTCGTCATCCCCTACAGCTTGGGTGTGCTATCGGTCTGCTTCAAGCGAACAAGTCCCTACACAAGATTAGCATGGGCGTCGATACTGTCGTTGGTGGGTACGGACCTCTTGTACGCAGCTGGCTATGAGAGTGCCGTTGCGAGTGTACATTCGCTGGAACACAAGGCCGCGTCCATCACCGGCCCAGGTTGTTTCCATCTCGGTGAAGATCCACTCGTCTGCCCTGAAGTGTCGGGGATTATGGAAGTAGATGGTGTGGTCAAGACTGACCATCATGCCAATCTCCGGGGTGTCATCCTCCTTGAAGCTCGCGCCGTTCCTGACCATCTGTATGCGCTTGATGTCAGTCGCATCAAGGTATTTCTGGCGCTTCAGTTCTGCATCGTCCATGGCGAGCAGCTTCTTGAGGACGTCCTCGTCGACACTGGCCTTGGACTGGCTCTTGCGGTGTTGTGAGTATCGCCAGAGTTTGTGGACACGGGCGATGGTTCCGATGAAGTAGCTGTCTGACATGTACGCAATGGCGGACAGGTGTGCTTCGTGTCCGCCCTCGGGGGAGATGGTGCCGCGTGCTTTCATCCACTGCCTGCATTTCTTGGTATGAGGAAATGGGGAGGCATCTAGTTGAAATCAGTGTTGTGTATAGTGTGTTGTGGGGAAGGTAGTCACCATTCAGTATGTCCAATCGCTGGCTCTGAAAAGGGCCGGTGTCGTTACCGCCACGCGTCTCCAAGTCGTCCATGCCCTCCTCTGGGTCTGGCACGTCTGGCATAGGATGTGTGTGCTCGACCATCTTCTCTCCTCCACTGTTCATCCGGACAAAGCTCATGGTCGTTGTGAAGATGACCTTGCCCCGTTGGCGCGCCTGGACAGTCCTTGTCGCAAACGACTTGCCTGAGCGCACTCGCTCGACATGGTAGATGATGGGGATTTCGGCGTTTCCAGCCAGCACGAAGTAGCAGTGCATAGAGTGGACAGTGAAGTCGGACGGCACCGTCTTCTGGCCGGCAGCGAGACACTGGGCGATGGCAGCACCGCCAAAGATGCCTCTGGCACCCGGCGGATGCCACATGGGCCGGGTATTAGTGAACAGATCCGGGTCGATGTCGGTCAGCTCGGTCAGCTCCAGGACATTCTCGATCAGGGACAGGTCCCCGTTGACGGGCGGCGGACGGATGAGGGTCGCCATGGTGTGTGAGTGTGGAGGGAAGGGAACAGGAGGAGCTTGTGAAGAAGAATAATAACCACAGCGTGTGAGGTTCTGCAGGGGGTCACGGTGCATTCATGTGTAGAGAAAGTGTGACACGGGGTTGTCCATTATCCTCGAGCCGAGGCATAGATAGCTGCACCGAACGGACGTGTTGCCGCAGAAAGCCCGGCGTCGCAGCGACATGTGGACGCGCCGGTGCGAGCAAGACGCTCTGGCCGCGGTGGATGTCGCACTGCAAGAGACGTGCCAGAGGTGCTGCGGGTGCGACGGTTGCAGGCGCGTTGCAGGCGCATAGCCAGGCGGCGTCCTGATGCGTGCGAGACGCGGTGCAAGGCTCGGTGGTGGCAGCAGGGCTGGCCAACGGCGATCGGGCGAGCGCCCTAGCCGAGTTCAGCGGCAGGACGTCATCCGGGCGGTCCTTGGTCGGGCGTCTTGTGCCTGAATTGCTGCAGTGTGCGCGTGGAGCTGGCGCACTCTCCCGAACATCTTCATCCACCGCCCCGCCGTCACTGAGGCTGCTCCCGCCGCGCAGAGCCCGCAGAGCCCGCGCATCCCGCCCAGACACGCGCAACGACGACTGGCATGTCGCGAGCCGCCGCCACCCGCCCCGTTGCTCCTTGATTTTGGCGCACCATGGCCGACCACCCCGAGCTGCAGGCGCGGCTCCAGGAGCTGGACCACGAGCTGGAGGAGGGCGACATCACGCAGAAAGGGTGCGTAGCCGACAGCCGCGCCCACCGCTTCCCCACACCAATTTCCACGGCGTCGTCACGGCGGCCGTCGCGCTGCAGCTCACCCGCCGATCCGCGCTAACGCCCCGCACAGCTACGAGAAGCGCAAGACGGTGCTGCTGTCGCAGTTCCTGGGCCCGGACTATGCCGCGCAGCTGCAGAACGACCTGCGCGACAGCCCGGCGCAGAGCGAGCACTCGGGGTCGCGCCACGCCTCGCTGGCCGCCCTCTCTGGCCCGCCGTCTGGCCCGCCGTCTGGCCCCCCGTCCGCCTTCGACCCGCGCGCGAGCATCGCCTCGAGCAACTTCGAGTATGCGCCCTCGGCCACCACCGCCACGGGCGCGTCGCAGTACATGGCCTACCCGCCCAGCCAGGTCGGCCGCTTCCAGGAGAAGCAGCTGGGCCTGCGCACCGCGTCGCTGCAGCGCGCCCCGTCGCAGGGCAGCGAGACCTTCATCCCGCGCCCGCAGACGCCCGAGTACAACTACTCGCGCGAGGGCACCATGATGGGCTCCAACTATGCCTTCAACCCGGACACCCAGCCGCAGGCCTACGACGGCGGCTTCGGCTCGCCGGGCGAGATCAGCCGCCGCAGCACCATGCTCGACGTCAACCAGGGCTACTTCTCCGACTTCACCGGCCAGCAGATGCAGGACCAAGCCGACGCCTACGGCGGCCCCAACCGCTACTCGTCGGGCGACGCCTTCTCGCCGACCGCCGCCATCCCGCCGCCCATGATGCACCCGAGCGACCTGCCGCACGGCGCCATCATCCAGACCATGATGCCGCTCGAGCCGCGCGACCTGCCCTTCGACGTCTACGACCCGCACAACCCGAACACCCAGATGGCCAAGTTCGACAACATCGGCGCGGTGCTGCGCCACCGTGGACGCACGCAGCCGCGGCAGACAGCCTTCTGGGTCCTCGATTCCAAGGGGAAGGAGACCGCCTCCATCTCCTGGGAAAAGGTGGCGAGCCGAGCGGAGAAGGTCGCAAAGGTCATACGCGACAAGAGCAACCTGTACCGGGGCGACAGGGTTGCGCTGGTCTACCGAGACACCGAGATTATCGAGTTCGTCGTCGCTCTGCTCGGCTGCTTCATCGCTGGCGTTGTCGCAGTCCCCATCAACAGCGTGGACGACTACCAGAAGCTCATCTTGCTCCTCACGACCACGCAGGCGCATCTTGCGCTGACCACAGACAACAACCTCAAGGCCTTCCACCGCGACATCAGCCAAAACCGTCTTAAGTGGCCGAGCGGCGTTGAATGGTGGAAGACCAACGAGTTTGGCAGCTATCACCCCAAGAAGCATGACGACACGCCAGCACTGCAAGTCCCAGAGGTGGCGTATATTGAGTTTTCACGCGCCCCGACTGGTGACCTGCGTGGTGTCGTCCTCAGTCATCGCACCATCATGCATCAGATGGCCTGCGTCAGCGCCATCGTTTCGACCATTCCCACAGGGCGCGAGACCGCCGACACGTTCAGCGGCAATCTACGAGACAAGGATGGCAAATTCATTGCGCCACCTCCACGATCGTCGCCGACCGAAGTCATTCTCAGCTACCTGGATCCGCGCGAAAGCGCAGGCATGATCTTGGGTGTTTTATATGCTGTGTACGGCGGACATACCACAGTCTGGTTAGAACCGCCAACGATGGATACCCCTGGACTATACGCACACCTCATTACCAAGTACAAGGCGACCATCTTGGTTGCAGACTATCCAGGCCTGAAGCGAGCTGCGTACAACTACCAGCAAGACCCAATGGCCACGCGTAATTACAAGAAGAATGCCGATCCCAACTTTGGATCGGTAAAGATATGCCTCATCGACACGCTTACAGTTGATTGCGAGTTCCACGACATTTTGGGAGATCGTTGGTTCAGACCGTTACGCAACCCACGTGGAAAGGAATTGATCGCGCCCATGCTTTGCCTACCGGAGCACGGCGGCATGATAGTCTCGGTCCGCGATTGGTTAGGCGGAGAAGAGCGCATGGGCTGCACCTTGAGCATCGAGGAAGAAGACGAAGAAGACGATGCGAAGGAGCTGGAGAACAACACTAATGGCTACTCAAGTCTGATTGGCGGCGGTACCACGAGCAAGAAGGCAAAGCAAAAGAAGAGTCGCAACGAGCTGTTGGAGATCCTGTTGGACAAAGAAGCGCTCAAGATGAACGAGATTGTGGTGGTAGCTATAGGTGAGGAAGCAAGCAAGCGCGCAAACGAACCAGGCACGATGCGAGTGGGAGCTTTTGGATACCCCATCCCAGACGCTACTCTTGCCGTTGTAGACCCAGAGACCAATCTGCTCTGCTCTCCGTACAGCGTTGGAGAGATCTGGGTCGACTCGCCGTCGCTCTCTGGAGGGTTTTGGCAGCTCCAGAAGCACACCGAAACCATCTTCCATGCTCGTCCATATCGATTTGTCGAAGGGAGCCCGACACCGCAGCTTCTTGAGCTGGAGTTTCTCCGCACCGGACTACTTGGCTGCGTGGTCGAAGGCAAGATCTTCGTACTCGGTCTCTACGAAGACAGGATTCGCCAAAGAGTTGAGTGGGTCGAGCACGGAGTGCTGGAAGCGGAACATCGCTACTTCTTCGTGCAGCATCTAGTCACGAGCATCATGAAGTCGGTACCGAAGATCTACGACTGCTCGGCTTTTGACTCATATGTCAACGGCGAATATCTACCGATCATCCTGATCGAAACGCAGGCTGCGTCGACAGCACCGACAAATCCGGGCGGGCCACCGCAGCAGCTTGATGTCCCTTTCCTGGATTCGTTGTCAGAGCGTTGCATGGAAGTACTCTATCAGGAACACCACCTGCGAGTATACTGCGTTATGATCACAGCACCAAACACCCTGCCTCGAGTCATCAAGAACGGCAGGCGGGAGATCGGTAACATGCTCTGCCGTCGAGAATTCGACAATGGCTCGCTTCCTTGCGTTCACGTCAAGTTTGGCGTAGAACGATCCGTGCAGAACATCTCTTTGGGCGATGATCCTGCGGGCGGAATGTGGTCCTTTGAAGCTTCCATGGCTCGACAGCAGTACCTGATGCTGCAGGACAAGCAATACTCGGGAGTTGATCATCGCGAAGTTGTCATTGACGACCGCACATCAACCCCGCTCAATCAGTTTTCGAACATTCATGATCTTATGCAATGGCGCGTATCGCGCCAGGCAGAGGATCTTGCCTACTGCACTATCGATGGCAGGGGCAAGGAGGGCAAGGGCGTCAACTGGAAGAAATTCGACCAAAAGGTTGCCAGTGTCGCTATTTACCTCAAGAATAAGGTCAAGGTTCAGGCGGGCGATCACCTTCTGCTGATGTACACACATTCCGAGGACTTTGTTTACGCCATCCACGCCTGTTTCGTCCTAGGTGCCGTCGCTATCCCAATGGCACCCATCGACCAAAACCGGCTCAATGAAGATGCACCTGCCTTGCTGCACATTGTTTCGGATTTCAAGATCAAGGCCATTCTCGTCAACGTCGACGTGGATCATCTCATGAAGGTCAAGCAGGTATCACAACATCTCAAGCAGTCTGCGGCTATCCTCAAGGTCAACATACCTCACATGTACAATACTACGAAGCCAAGTAAGCAGTCAAGTGGCTGTCGTGACTTGGGCCTGACCATCCGGCCGGCTTGGGTCCAAGACGGATATCCTGTTCTTGTCTGGACGTACTGGACTCCGGACCAACGGCGCATCGCTGTTCAATTGGGCCACAGCAACATCATGGCCCTCTGCAAAGTCCAGAAAGAGACATGTCAGATGACCAGCTCCAAGCCTGTCCTGGGATGTGTGAGAAGCACTATTGGTCTGGGTTTCATCCACACTTGCATCATGGGCATCTTCTTGGCTGCACCTACGTACCTTGTATCACCAGTCGACTTTGCACAGAACCCGAACTTGCTGTTCCAGACTATGGCTAGATATAAGATCAAGGACGCATATGCGACAAGTCAGATGTTGGATCACGCCATAGCACGAGGAGCGGGCAAGACAATGCATCTCCATGAGCTGAAGAACCTGATGATTGCGACTGACGGTCGACCCCGCGTCGATGTTTGTAAGTATTATAAAAGGGGTGTACGACTCTTGCTGACTCAACTGCAGACCAACGGTGCCGCGTGCATTTCTCCCCCGCGAACCTCGACCGCACAGCCATCAACACAGTGTACTCACACGTGCTGAACCCAATGGTTGCCTCCCGGTCATACATGTGCATCGAGCCCATCGAACTTCATCTCGATGTGAACGCTCTGCGACGTGGTCTGATCATGCCTGTAGATCCAGACATCGAGTCAAATGCGCTACAAGTACAAGATTCCGGTATGGTACCCGTGAGTACGCAAATCAGCATCGTCAATCCAGAAACCAACCATCTCTGCCTGGTCGGAGAATATGGTGAGATCTGGGTGCAATCTGAGGCCAATGCACACAGCTTCTATGGCTCGAAGGAGCGTCTGGATGCAGAACGCTTCAACGGGAGAACTGTCGACGGGGATCCAAACGTCAGATACGTGCGTACTGGAGATCTGGGCTTCTTGCATAACGTCACAAGACCTATCGGCCCTGGAGGAGCACCTGTCGATATGCAGGTTCTCTTCGTACTAGGCAGCATTGGCGACACATTCGACGTCAATGGCTTGAACCACTTTAGTATGGACATCGAGTCATCGGTGGAACGCTGCCACCGGAACATCGTCCCGCAAGGCTGCGCCGTGTTCCAAGCGGGAGGGTTGGTTGTGGTTGTTGTGGAGATTTTCCGCCGCAACTTCCTCGCATCTATGGTGCCTGTCATCGTCAACGCCGTGCTCAACGAGCACCAGCTGGTCATCGACATTGTCGCCTTCGTTCAAAAGGGTGACTTCCACCGCTCACGTCTCGGCGAGAAACAGAGAGGCAAGATCCTCGCAGGATGGGTCACTCGCAAGATGCGCACCATCGCCCAATACAGCATCCGCGATCCCAACGGCTCTGAAATGCAGCAGATGATCAGCGAAGAGCCAGGCCGAGCAAGCACCTCGACCTTTATGAGAGGTCCGCCAAGCACTAAGGGCTCCCTGCGCGCAAGCAGTACACTGGGCCTTACAGCACAGGCACAGCTGAACAGCATGCACCTCTCACATCGCGCTTCGATGCACGAGCTCAATCAGCAAGGTCAGCAGTACGCGCAAGGTGGCGGCCAGATGTCCGCACAGGGGCAACAAGACTACGGCGATTACCTCCCGCGACAGAGCATCTCGGAACTAGACAACCGGACACAGTCACTGTCTCTCGACCCAAACCACCCCGGCCTGCCCTTTGACGAGGGGGACAGAAACGAGCGGACACCCACCGACCTCCGCCGCGACTTCCTCCCAGCCCCAGCCCAGCAGCAGCACTCAATGGACTACTCGCCCATTGACCCCGCCGGCGCCGGTGTCTTCGACAGCCCCATCGACGGCCACCAACACCAGTACGAACCCCAGCAATACGAACCCCAACAATACGCACCCCAGCAGTACGAGCCCCAGCAGTACCAGCAGTACGAGCCCCCACAACACAACTCTCAGCCCCTCCCCGCCATCCTCCGCGTCGGCACCGCGCAGTCAGACGACCACGCCCAGCAACAACAACAACACCCCCCCGCGCAGCAGTTCCAGCTGCACAACCCCGAGCCCGAGCGCCACGACTCGAGCGACGATGAAGGGTACAACGGCCGCGCGGGTGGCTTGCGCGTCGCGAATAGGGACTCCACGGCGAGCAACGACTCGTGGACAAGGGAAGCGCTGGCGCAGATGGACTTTGCCGGGACGGCGGGCGCGGGTATTGCGAAGTAGACACGGCGCGTGGAGCAGCGGCGCGGAGTGCAGCAGAGTGCAGCAGCGCGTGGAGTAGAGCAGTGTGGAGGGTCGTGTAGGGAGTAGTGTTGCGCAGGAAGCAGGGTCACGCACGAAGTACTCTCACACAGAGCAGTCTCACACAGAGCACACACACCAACACCCCCATAGACACATCCCCAACCGCAGGCGCGGTACGTACTGTATAGGTAGACGCAGATAGACCGCCAATACAACCCGCCAATACACTTCCCACCACCCAAGCCTGGCCAAGAGTTGCCGCGTTCCCGTGCCGTGCGCGCGGGCGCTTCAATCTCGCGTGTTTGCTCCCTCTGTGTGCGCACTGTGTGTGCACTGTGTGCGCGGCGAGTGTGCGCCGGGCGTGCGCGCGCGCGGATGGAATTCAGGAGGTGGGGGGGAGGAAGTGCTTGTTTGGGGGGGAGGGTGGAGATGGGATGGGGGTTGGGGGTTGTATGTCTACATGCCTACCTGCTGCAATACTACTACACAGCCTACACAGCCTACACAATACCCACAGCACTCCCACTCCCGCCAGCCGCCGCAATCGCAATAGCCGTTACGCTACTGCGCATGTATAGTCGCAGTCTTGCACCCACACCCTCGTCCCAGCCGCTTTTCTGCCTGGTAGCAGACACGTCGCAGCCCCTCAAACGGACCGACACCTGGTCTGGATTGTGCTGGTGGGTGCATTGGCTGCTGTGCTGTGCGAGGCTGCACGCGAGGGAGGTCTCTGCGTTGGGTGTGCACGGGGGTGTTGTTTGCATTGCATGGTGGGTTGCACGGGGGTTTGCACGGGTTGTTTGCACAGAGGGGGGGGGGGGGGGGGGGGGGGGGGGGGGGGTTGCGTCTTGGATGGGGGATTGGGAGTCTGGGACGGGGAATTGGGGTGGCATAGGATAGGCGTGGGCGGTTGGCGAGGGAGAAGCGAGGCTGGTCGTGCGAGCGCTACCTCGTGGCACCGCCAACATCCGTCGAGTCCGCTGTCCAGCACGGTGTACGGAGTACGCTGCTGCAACAGCACACAGTGCCTAGGTACATGAGTACATACCTACCATTTCCCGGCGCCACTCGTCTCAACACCTAGTCTCACACCACACTACGCATCCACGGCAACGTAGGTAGCCGCGCAGCTATCTAAGTACACAGCAAAACCCAATATTGCCTGCGTGATCACCGCATGGATGCGCGGTTTTGATGCCAGAGTTGCTGCGCAACAGTATCGTGGACTTGGGAGCCAACCAGCATCCTCCCAGCGGCGATATCGAAACGTTTCATGTTTATCGGCAGCGAGCGGCGGCGCTGGATCGGGGCTAGCAGGGCCTGTTTTTGTGCTGGGCTAGCTGGGTAAGGTAAGCGCGCAAGGCGAAGCGTTTCATTAAGCTTTTCTGACGGGCGCACGGACGCGGACGGTCAGGACGGTGGTAGCTTCTCGAACGCAGTCACGGGTAGGCGGCTGGAGGTTCTTGGAGGGAGATGTACCGTAGGCGCCTGTGCGACAGCGGGCGTCCTTGCGTGCATCGTGATTGCTGGCTCGGCGGCGCGCTGCCGAGAGCTTGTGTGTCAACGGACGAGCGAAACCTCGGCTCCGAGCAGAGCCTGCGTGTGAGTATTGCCAATGGGACTGCTGCCACGAAGGATCGTGAAGTGGGCTCGCGCGAGCGAGTCGCGGTGTTGCTCGATCAATATACTACAATCACACGTGAAATTGGCCATGTCCACAGGTCGAGTGATGAGTTCATGCACGCGCCCGCATCGGGAAGAGGCTGTTTCGGCATTTGCACACAAACGGGCGCCTGTCACGATAGACGAGCACGACGCGAAATGCGGGTGGCCGGTTGTTTTGCGTGTGGACAGCGGTTCCGTCAGCGAAACACGGCGTTTTCATGCGCACCCGGCGAACGACCGGCAGGCAAAAAACGCATCAGGATTCAATATTCCTGCCGCTATTGGGTGTTTGACGGCTATCTGGGGAATGCCTGGGCGCGCGTGGCGGGCTTCGTGCAGTTTTCAAGGGCGCGTCGCGTGGCGCAGGCGTGAGCAGGAGCGTCATGGCTCCTGTCTGTCATTTCTCGACGTCGACGGCGGCCACTCAGCGCCGGACAAACGACGTTCAGGCAACCCCCGTATCCGCCTGACAGCGGACACTCGAGTCCGCGTCGAATCGCAAGGCCGCTCAGCAGCGGAAGGACAGCTGCCAGACGCTGATAGTGGAGATTGGCAGGGTGTGCGGATTCTGCACCGGAGTAGAGGAGATTGCAAGATGAGGGCAGGGGCGGCGCATCGGAGGGCTGCTGGGCAAGATCACGAGTTTGGCGATGTGCGCAGGCATCATGACGGAGCGCTGTTCCAGACGCCCGGAGTCTGCGCACAGAATGGGATGAGCAGCTGGGTTTTTCCGCGTGGGAGTCTTGGGTCCCTCGGGTTCATCTGTCCATGCTGCTGATGCAATTTCAGGGATCATGGCGCTGCGGTGGAGAGACACCGTGACTGCGACGGCGATGCACGGGGGCAGCTGAGCCGCGCTGGCAACTGGCACAGGTGTGACCGAATCACTGTCGTGACGGCGGGCTCACGATCGTGTCGTTGGCTGCTGCGATGGCGCCAGACCAGCAGCGCGCTCAAGACGGAGCTCGGCAGCACCGCCAGCGTCAAGCGCATTGGCGGCCTGGCCCGCTCGCTGGCCTCGTTGGCCACTCGAAAGACGGTGAGCTGAGCCTCTGCAGGGATCTCATCCTGGCCGTTTCGACGGGCCTGCCAGGCACGGCGCTCGACTGGTTGGCCGTCGCCCCCTGCTTCCGCTGGCTGTTTCACGCCGTGCGATAATTCGAGTGGGCCCAGCGCTCCATTGGCTGGCCCTCGCTCATAGACTCAAGACCGGCCCTCGTCGCCCACAAGTTCGTGCTGTCCCCTCGACCAGCTCTTCACGCCGCGGATCTTTTCCCTGTTGTCCTAGATTTCATTCGTTTCTGGACAGTCCTGTTTGCTCCCTCGTTACGGCAGCAGTGTACATACAATCGTTTTTCTCTCGCCTGATCCACGACCCATTCAACGCCACACGTCACTCACTGCCACCCCACCCCGCCCATTCACTGCGGCTTATTATCGACTGCAAGCTCCCACTCTGCACCGCTACTCTTCACGCCCACGCTCACTGACATTCGATTCCTTGGAAGACGTCATCTTCAACACCTCGACAGTGCTGTGCATTGTTTAGACTTTCGTCCTTGTGCATTCACTCTAAGCCCGCAACACTGTTCAAGACACTGTGATGCATTCACGGTGACCAGCACTTCACTTTATCCCACAGCCAACCTCGAGCGCGTTTCGACTTCGTTCACGCACATCGCTTCTTGGGATAGAGCTATAGCAGCCCGCACACTTCTACCTTGCACATCTTCTCGCACCAGGCCGTGCAACCGTTTGACTCTTATGTCACAATACGCCCACTTCGACAGCCACCTTCATTCTCCGCATTCGCATTCGCATTCCGCTGCGCATAAGGCCCTGGCGACCCTGATCAACAACAAACAATCCATCCGAGACATTGCGCAAATGTCTGACCTCGCCGTCTCCCCGGTGGAGCAGCCGGTCATCAACACATCACTTGAGCGCCGTCATTTCCTGGAAGGCTGGAACGCGGCCGACTTCGATGGCCTCAAGTACTCGTACGGCCTGACCGGTGTCGACCAGGATGGCAACTTCTTGTGGGTCGACACCTTCCTGTACATGCTGGTGGGCATGTCGATAATACTGTTGGGCCTGCGCATCGCTAACATGTGGTGGCGCCACAACCGCCATCTGACCGTTATGGGCAACCCATCGCGCCAGGCGTACTGGGCCACTAACCAGACCTCGTGGTGGCCCTGGCTCAACCGCCACCTCCTGCAGGCGCCGCTGTGGAAGAACAGGCACAACGCGCAGTTCCAGATTAGCAGCGCCATTGACAACGGAACACTCCCAGGAAGATGGCACACCATCATGCTTGTGATTTACGTCGGCCTCAACATCGCATGGTGCGTCGCGCTGCCGTACAGCGTCCTCGACCACAAGGAGACCATTGCCTCGCTGCGTGGACGCAGTGGAACTCTGGCCGCCCTCAACCTAATCCCCACAGTCCTCTTCGCGCTCCGCAACAACCCCCTCATCACCCTCCTCCAGGTCTCGTACGACGACTTCAACCTCTTCCACCGCTGGGCCGCTCGCATCACCATCCTGGAGGCCATCGTCCACACCATCGCCTGGATGTACAACACCGCTGACGGCGGCGGCTGGCAGGCAGTCTCCAACGGTCTCGCTCACGAGGGCTCCTACGGCTGGGGAATGGTCGGCACTATCGCGTTCACCATCATCGGCATCCAGGCGTGGTCGCCCTTCCGCCACGCCTTCTACGAGACCTTCCTCTCCATCCACCGCCTGATGGTCATCGTCGCCCTCGTCGGTCTGTGGAAGCACCTCGAGCTCCACTCCCTGCCGCAGGTGCCGTGGATGTGGCTCATCTTCATCTTCTGGGGCGGCGAGTGGTTCTGCCGCCTCCTGTCCATGACCTACTACGGGCTCTCGCTTAAGCAGCGCTCGCGCGTCTCCGTCGAGGCCATGCCCGGCGAGGCCGTCCGCGTCACCATCGACATGGTCCGCGAGTGGAACCCCCGTCCCGGCTGCCACGTGCACATCTGGGTGCCCGCGCTCGCCGGCCTGCACAGCCACCCCTTCTCCGTCGCGTGGGCGCCGACCCTCACCGCCGACTCCAAGGAAATGACGCTCCCGATCCTCGAGGGCGCCGCGCAGTTCACCCCCGGCAAGCAGCAGAAGTCGAAGCAGATCTCGCTCATCTGCCGCGCGCGCACAGGCCTGACGCGCAAGATGTACGAGCGCGCGTGCAAATCCCCCAACGAGACCTTCTCCACCTGGGGCTTCATCGAGGGCCCCTATGGCGGCCACCACAGCCTCGACTCCTACGGCACCCTCGTCCTGTTTGCCGGCGGCGTCGGCATCACCCACCAGGTCATGTACCTCAAGCACCTGATCAACGGGTTCCACCGCGGCACGACCGCCACCCAGCGCATCGTGCTGATCTGGACCGTCCCGGACAGCGAGTGCCTGGAGTGGGTGCGCCCGTGGATGGACGAGATCCTGCGCATGCCGGGCCGCAAGCAAGTCCTGCGCATCAAGCTGTTCATCTCGCGGCCCAAGGGGCGCGTGGAGAGCAGCAGCGACACGGTGAAGATGTTCGCGGGCCGCCCGAAGATGGACACACTGATGGAGGAGGAGGTGCGAGCGCGCGTGGGCGCGATGGCGGTGACGGTGTGCGCGTCGGGCGGGATGGCGGACGGCGTGCGCAAGGCGGTGCGGCCGTGGATGACCGAGGGCTGCGTCGACTTCATCGAGGAGGCTTTCACGTACTAGCCGTTCTGCCTCGTTGCTGCGCCGTCGTGCCGCTGTTGTATATACCCAAACCCCCCGCGATATAATCACTACCTCTCTCTCACTTACTCACACACACCTTTCTTCTTCTCGTCCGTGGCGTCGTCCCAAAGGGCCCGCTTTCTTCGCTTCTTGTATGTATTTGTTCCTAATCACTTACTGTTTTCGCACTTCATGTCTCTCCTTGATTCTTTCCGTTTTGCATGAGCGCAGCATAGCATGAGCGAGGCGAGCGTAGCGAGCGTAGCGAGCGCAGCGAGCGTTGCAAGTGCAGCGAGCGTTGCAAGCATCGTACGAAGCGAGCATCGTATGAAGCATCACATGACGCATCGTACGAAGCACCGCACGAAGCCACGCCGTCTCCCTCGCCGTCCCATTCCGTTTCTTTCCCGTCTCGAGCCGTGGTGGTAGAAGGGGGCAGTAGTGCAGTAGATACCCGGCCAGCGCGTGTCTGGCAGTCCGTAGAAGGGTCGAATAAGCAAAAGTTCAGTAACCGTCGCACCAACATGAGTGAAGAAGAGTACTGTGAGAGATGGAGACGTGGGTGAGATGTTTACCGACGGCAGCATTGTAGTTATAATCATGTGTAATGCATCCCCCCTTCCCCACAAACAAAGACACAACAAAGCAACGCCTAAAATAGCAGCTCCAGACGCCCCGCGTCGCCGTTGGCAGAAACCTCGAGCTGCGTGCTTGCGTGGAGTGTGGTGTGTGGTGTGCAGCATGCCTGTCGTCGTTCGAGCAGCCCAGGGCGGCTCGCGAAACGCGTGCGCAGGAGCGGATCGGGGCGCTGGTAGGTTCGCGTAGTCGGAGTATTGCAGTGCAGTGCATGTCATCAGACCTCAGACCTCGCACCTCGCGGCATGCTTACTGAGCACAAGCAAGAGAACGCTAGATACATTCTGCATGGGTTTTGGTAGAGATAACGCGGCGTTAGACGCCGCGGCGTGCAGTGCAGTGCACCATACACTACACACCACACACCACAGCATGCCATCCAACGAGCGATCGGGCGCGGCTCCAGTGCAGACAGTCGGTGTAAAGCGACAGTTGCATGTCGAGGCTGGAGGCTTGTTGGGTGTAGGCAGTGTGTGGTGTCTGGTGTCTGGTGTCTGGTATCTAGTATTCAGTATCCAGCATCCAGCATCCAGCATCCAGCATCCAGCATCCAGCATCCAGCATCCAGCATCCAGCATCCAGCATCCAGCATCCAGCATCCAGCATCCAGCATCCAGCATCCAGCATCCAGCATCCAGCATCCAGCATCCAGCATCCAGCATCCAGCATCCAGCATCCAGCATCCAGTATCCAGTCTCCCGCCACCATGTATCCAGCACCCAGCACCCAGCACCCAGCACCCAAGCCCCTCCACACCTCAATCCAATCCAGCCCAGTCTCGTGGGATACGTGTCTATTATGTAGAGCCAGTGACCTACCCCTACCCCTACCCCACCCCTCGTAGCACGTATATATGTATGCATGCATGTATGTATGTGTATGTATGCATGTCCATATAAGTGCATGTACATGTCCCAGCCCACACCCGCGCAGCGGGACCCTAGGTCGCGATACATTTGCGGTGCTGCGGCGTGCTTGTCCAGCACACTGGGGTGGCGTTTGGTATTGCGTTAGTAGTCCATTAGTAGTCCATTAGTAGTCCATTAGTAGTCCATTAGTAGTCCATTAGTATCCTACTGGCATTCCGTCGGTACTCCATTGTGTATCTAGTCCCGGGATATGCACAGTGTGTATAACAGCGGAGGATGCGTGCACGGGTGACTGTAAGTCTGGTCTGGTGTCTAGCTGGTAGTTTATATTCACTGGGACCCCGGCGTTCTCGAGGCCGTGCAGAATACAGTGTTGTTGGCCGTGGAGCAGCGGGTTGGGAGTTGTTGGGCGCAGTGAGTGGAGTGTCTATCCTGGCTCTCGCCTTGATGCGCAGCATACACCCTGGTATCCATCTCGGCGACGTAGTATTCACCTTCTCGACTAGTTGGTAGACGTTGTGATATCCATCCACTTAATATATATCTCAGTATTCATACCGATGCCTGTCTCAGTACTATCCCATGCTATGCTAAATACACCTAACCACACCGCTCACGGCACCAGCGCATCACGACGACGCAGACGCAGACGCCGACGCCTCGCCCTCGGCGTCTGGAGCGCGCTCCTTGCCCTTGGCGCCGGGACCCGTCGCGGTATCTGCGTTCTCGCCCGGCAGCGCAGCGTCCATGAAATCTCGGCTCAGCGTCTGCGTAGCGTTGCGGTGGAGGACCGGTTTCTCGCCCGTGGGCTGTTGACTCGCAGCCTGTTCACTCGCGCCGTCGTCCTGCTTCGCCTCGCCCTCCTCTTGCTTTGCGTCGCCCTGCTTCTCCTCCTCGGCCCTCCGCCGCTCCTCCTCGCGCCGCTCCGCCTCCTCGCTCGCGGCAACCCGGGCAAGCCGCTCGCGCTCCTCCTGTGCAAACACCATACGCTCGCCGATCCCCGGCCACAGACTGGCCACGAACAGCGCCACGCCGCGCTCAACGCCCCGCACGCCCTCGCGCGCCCACCCCATGACATCGGGACGCTGCTGCTGCAGGAGCCGTCGCGCGGCCTCCTCGGGCGTGAGATTCACATTCGCATTGCGGCGGGGCTCGGGAGCTCCGGGAGCCTCGGGGGCCTCGGCGCCGGCATTCGGCAGCAGCCCCTCGAAGTAGCGTCGGGCGAGTGCAAAGTGGCGCTCGAAGACGCCGAGCTGGGCGACGTAAACGACCAGGGCGATGCTGCTGAGCATCAGCGGGCGGTACCAGCCGCTGCCGCCGGCGAAGATGTAGACGAAGACGGCGAGTTTGAAGATGAGCCAGAGGTGGGCGGCGACGTTGCCGACGCGGTCGTTTTCGGCGGCGGCGGGGTTGGCGGCGGCGTTTTCGGCGCGCTCGTTGCGGTTCTGGATGATGTTTTGGATGACGCGCTGGGCGGCGGCTGGGTCGAGGCCTTCGGGTTGGGCGGGCTGGGGTTGCACAGGTTGCGTGGGGGTAGGTGTGAGGCCGCCGAGCTGGTTGTGCAGATTCTGCGAGCTGTGGGCGATTTGCTGGCCGAGGCTGGCGATGAGTTGGCGGTTTTGGTTGTACTGGTCGATGAATGCCTGGGACGACAGGGTCGAGGCGAACGGAGCGGTCGTGTAGGTGCCCTGCTGGTCGAAGAGAACGCCGACCGGCCCCTGAGGGCTGGACAGGAGGAACAGCTCTTGAGGCGCGTCGGCAGGAAGGGTCCGTGTCGCGGCTGCTGCTGTGGCAATCAAGGGATCAGATGATGTCGCCGCGCCCGCCTCTCGTGCATCCAGGGCCCTGCTAAATTCATTCGCCTGCCTCCTCACCTCGCCCGTGGCCTGTCGCAGTGCGATGACGTCCATGTTGAGCTGCATGGCGGGGTCGGAGAGGCCGCTCTCGACCATGTTGAGGCTGTATGTGATGGTCCGCAGGTGCTCGCGAATGCGCTCGGCGCGCCAGCTGGGAAACGCGGCCATGTTGGACGCAAGCGCGGCCTCTTCAATGGCAGACGGGGCAAGCAGGGTCCGGACGTTGTCCACCTCCCGAGCGGCCTCCTGCAGTGTTCCGCGAAGCCTCGGCAGAAGCCAGGTCAAGGGCACGCTCACTCCACCGGGCGCTGGTGAGCCAAAGGCGCGCGGCGGGACGGCGAAAGCTTGTGGGAAGGGCACAGGGCGTGGCAGGCCTGGCTGTCCCGGACGCAGGGGTATGTTCGCGGTGACGTCTTCGATTGTGACGGACCAGCGGGCGCCATTGGGGCCAGTACCCTCGTGCCGCACTGCCCTGCCGTTTGGAGGCGGTGGAGCGCCATCTGCCGGCGCAGGTTGCGGGGCTCCATCAGCTGGCGGCGCTGTAGCTGGCGTGCCTGGGATGCCTGGAGCGCCTGGAGTGCCTGGAGCGCGGGCTAGGGCTTGGGCGATCTGCTGCTGTACCTGGGGCGGCAGCGGCATGGCGCCCAGCGGTCCCAGCGGGGTGCGCGGCGGCTGGACATGGTGGTGGTGGTGGACGTGCGGGTGGGCGTGGTGGTGGTGGTGCGGCTGCGGGACTGCGCGGAACGGGTTCGTCTGCAGCGGCGGGCCGGCGGGGGCTGGCGGCGTGCGGTAGGGATTCGGCGGGAGCGTGGCTGCGCGCGCGGCGGTCGAGGTAGCGGGCTGCGGCAGCTCGCGCAGCACCAGGTGCAGGCTCTGGTCCTGGGACTCGCGGAGCTGGACGGGGTTAGCTGGGACAGGCGGCATATGCTTGGCCACGCACGTTCTCAGCGCCGAAGACGGTCTCCAGCGAGTCGGCGTCATTGGCGACGACCTTGCCGCGGTAGATCAGGCGCATGCGCTCGGGACCGGGCTTGGAGGGCACGGCGTCCTGGATGCGGAGGCGCAGCTCGCGGACCGTGGTCGAGGCGGGCAGCTGGGGCAGATGCAGGCCGCCCTCGATCTCGCTGGACGGCGACAGCACCTTGAGGTTGACGGTCGAGCCGGCGGCCGAGGCGTCTGCCATGTCGTCGGCCATGTCGGGCGCTGGGTGCGGAGTGGTGGTGCGGATGCGGTTGGGATACGTTGCAGTCGGTGGTCAGCGCCGTGTGGCCATAACCGGCAGGTCGGTGGAGGCAGAGAGCAGTGAGGCCGGCACGGCAGCGCAGACACGGCGAGGACACGCAGCGCAGTCGCAGTGAAGGCCAGCAGAGCACCGCAATCGCCGTCAGTGCACGCTGGAAGCTCCACACGCGACGTGAGGCCAGCCGGCGCACCTCCGAGGCCGCCGACGTCATCCTGATTGGCCGGAAAACATGCTGCTCCCGCGCGTCATCGTCTGGTGCCACCACGCACAGCAATTGACTGACTTTCAGTCGCTGTCGCCGTCGCTGTCGCTGTCGCCATGGCCTCGCCCTGCGCCCGCCAGCTCCTGCGCGCCCCGATGCGCCGGCCCGCCTGCCCGTCCGCCTTCGCCCGCACCCCGCGCACACCGCCGTCGCGCACCTTCTCGTCGTCGCGCCCGCTGCACGAGCAGCAGCAAAAAGAGTCGTTCCGCGGGCGGCTGGGCGCAGCCCTCGGCAAGACCAAGATCAAGTGGGAGCCCATCCCGATTGCTCTCGGCGTCGGCTTTCTGGGCGCCTTCCAGCTGTACCGCATCCAGCGCCGCGAGAAGCACACCCAGGCCGAGCAAGATGTCGACCAGCAGGTCGACCAGCAGGGCCGCCCCGCCCCGCGCGAGCGCATCCGCCCCAGCGGCCCGTGGACCGTGCAGGTCATGTCGACGCTGCCGCTGAAGGCCCTGTCGCGCCTCTGGGGCCGCTTCAACGAGGTCGACATCCCGTACTACCTGCGCGTGCCGGGCTTCAAGCTGTACTCGTTCATCTTCGGCGTCAAGTGCGTGTCTTGAGATATCTCGCGATACATAGCTAACCTCCGCAGCCTCGACGAGGTCGCCGAGCCCGATCTCCACGTCTACCCCAACCTCGCCGCCTTCTTCTACCGCAAGCTCAAGCCCGGCGCGCGCCCGCTCGACCCCAACCCCAACGCCGTGCTGTCCCCCGCCGACGGCAAAGTCATCCAGTTCGGCACCATCGAGCACGGCGAAGTCGAGCAAGTCAAAGGCGTAACCTACAGCCTGGACGCATTGTTGGGTTCCTCGCGGCCCTCGCCCGAAGTCCGCTCAGAGCACGCCCACACCCCGCCCGAGCACCCCGACGCCGTCCGCGCCGACCAGGAATTCGCCCGCGTCAACGGCATCTCCTACACCCTGCCGAACCTGTTCTCCGGGCCTGCCCACAAGGACGGCGAACCCGCACAGCCGCCCACCGACCAGTCGACGCCCGCGCGCCCCGCCTCCGAAGCCGCCGTCCGCGCCGAACTCGCCGCCGCCCCAAACACCCCCTGGTGGTCCCCCTCCCACCCCGCCCCCTCCGCCCTGTACTACATCGTCATCTACCTCGCACCCGGCGACTACCACCGCTTCCACTCCCCCGTGCCGTGGATCGTGTCCTCGCGCCGCCACTTCGCCGGCGAACTATACTCCGTATCACCCTACCTCCAACGCACACTCCCCGGCCTCTTCACGCTCAACGAGCGCGTCGTGCTCCTCGGCCGCTGGCGCTGGGGCTTCTTCAGCTACACGCCCGTGGGCGCGACGAACGTGGGCAGTATCAAGATCGCGTTCGACAAGGAACTGCGCACCAACAGCCTCACGACCGACACCGCGGCCGACCGCGCCGCCGCTGCCGCCAAGGCGCGCGGCGAGACCTACACGGGCTTCTCCGAGGCGAGCTACCGCGCCGGTGTGCTGGGGGGGAGAGCGCTGCAGAGGGGAGAGGAGATGGGCGGGTTCCAGCTCGGCAGCACCATTGTGCTGGTTTTCGAGGCGCCGAAGGGCGAAAGGCCGAGTCTGGATCAGGGGTTCAGGGGCGGCAAGGAGGAGCGGAAGGGTGGGTTTGAGTGGTGTGTGGAGCAGGGGGGGAAGGTCAAGGTCGGCGAGGCGCTGGGGTTTGTAAGGGAGGAGTAAAGAAGGTGAGGTTGGGTGTTTGTGATCTTGTTGTGTATGATAGCGAGCATCTGGTCTTCTTGTACATGTTGGATGCAAAGTTCGAGGTTTCATGCCCCGGCTGTCGTTGGCGACGGCATCGCAGTAACGACCGTGTAACCCTCCAGGCCCGCAGCACCGTGGCCGGAAACCCACACTCCCCCGTCACAATCACAATCACAGCGCACACGTGATGAGTCAGCATACATTGGGTATCAAAAGCCACCAACCCCCTTCCAGACCGCTCCCGTACTCTGCGTCCACGAACACGCTGTGACATCTAAAACACATACAACCCCCTCATATTCCAAATCGCCTCATCGATCATCCCGGGCGTCCACTCAGCACCCGTAAGCTGCGCCGCAATACCCTCTCTCTTATCCCTGCTCAGCACCAAGAACCTTTCAATCAAATCTCCATCAATCGTGCTTTTCACGGGCGCAAAGTAGCCGCGGAACGCCAGGTGGTCGCGGCCGGACAGCGGCGCGTCGTCGGCGCGCAGCTGCAGCTCGAGCTGCTGGAACATTTTGTGCTGGCGGCGCGACTCGAAGGGGATGAGTGCGCCGAGGGTGCCCTGCAGGCCGGCCCAGAAGATGACGCGGTTGCCGCCGGAGAGGAGGACGGTGCGCTGCAGCGCGATGGGCATGTCGTTGGCGAAGAAGTGGGTTACGAGGTCCAGGCGGTTGGGGGTGCCGCCGAGGTAGGACTTGTCGACGAGCAGGTCGGAGCCGTCGGGGGACTCGTCCGAGGACTCGGAGACTTTGGGCGGGCAGCGGACGACCCAGATGTTGCCGAACTTGTCGCCGCCGACGGTGGTGTCGTAGTCGAGCATCTCGGTGGCGGTGGTGTGGCGCGCGACGGTGTCGTCGACAAAGGGGATCAGGCGGTTGGGGTGGACCTGGTCTTTGTGCACGACGTAGGTGACCGACTCGGACGCGTCCGAGACGACGAGGCGGCTGCCCTGCGTCTTGACGTCTGTCACGCGGTTGCTCACGCAGTCGGTGGCCTGCGCTTTCCGCAGAAGCGACCGCATGCCGCAGTCGTACAGGCACAGGTGGCGCCCGACACCGGCAATGAGCTTGCCCTTGAAAGCAAGGAGCGCCAGCGGGGGCTCGCTCACTTCTGTCTCGTGGAACAGCTCGAGCTCGCGGCCTGTCGGGGAGATCTTGTAGATCTGGATCGAAGCGCCGGAGAACTTGTAGGTGGGTGTGAAAGTCAGGTCCCTGGCAGTGCCGACGGCCAGGAAGGCGTCCTCGCCGCGGCTGTCGAAGTAGACCAAGGCCAGACTGACGAGCGATACGTTTGCGGGTATGTCCACAGTAAACGCAACGTTCTTCTCGGTCACGGGGTCCACGACCTGAATGCATGATGCCCAACGGCCCTGCACTCGTGAGTAGCCGAAGTCAACCGCCGAGAGCTCTCCGTCAGCTGCCTCGCCATCGACCTCCATCTCGCCATCCACGCCGTTCTCGACCTTGACACCGTTCTCCTTCTTGACCTTGGCAGCCTCGATGAGATTCTGCCTCGTCGCATCGTTGAGGGTGTTGTTCTCGCTCTGGATGACGTAGAAGAGGCCCTGGTCGTGCTGGCCAACCATCTTCCTCGGGGTGTATTTCAGAGGGATCGACTCGTAAGTTGTGTTGTCCGTCAAGTCGTTGAAGGTGAAGATTCTGCAAGGTCAGCGCAGGTCTCAAGCAATATCGAAGCATCGGGAAATGTGACTGGTTTCAGTAGGAACAATTGGAATATTGATGTTTGGCCCACACGGTTGTTAAGGGGTATGAGTATCATCACTGCAGTTACAGAAGGGAAAAGATATTGTACATACCGAAGTTCGGCGGCGCTCACGCAGATGATGCCCTTGAACTGTGTGCCCTCGAAGTTCCAGGCGGACTTGAAGGGGATGTAGTTCAAAGGCGTCAACTGCAGAACGCCAGTCCGGGGGTGGGTGTAGCCGAGCCAGGGCCGCGACGTCATTGCGATGATGGCAGGCTCGTCGGCGACAGTGACTTTGGCAAACTTGATCGGCTCCGGGCCGAGGAAACGCCTTCGGGTATCTCCAATGTCACCAGTCATCTCCTCCAGCACAGATCGAATGTAGACACCACTCCGCAGACCGATGTGGAGGTACTGGCTGTAGCCTCGCGGAGACTTGTCGGACATCATGTTGATGGTCAGATCACTCGGTGGCGATGTCAGTGCCTGGACGGAGATGCTTCGCAGGATGTTGCCCTCCATGTCGGGGCTCAGATTGAAGATCCTCACGGTCTGGTCGCTGCAGCCGACGGCCATGAAGAAAGCGCGCACGCTCCCCTCAGGCACATCGGGCATGGTCAGACAGTTGATGGTGCTGTCGAGAGCGATTTCCTCCTCGGCCATGGCAAGCGAGCCGTCCGAGTCGCACTCAAAGTACAGGATCTGGCCGGACGAGAGCGCAATAGCAACTTGACGGTTGTTGGTGGCGCATGCAACAATAGTCCTGTGTGCGGGTGGCTGCCAGTCCGTCAGACTAGCGTGTGTGGCATTCGCATCGTCATTGGGAAACGAGATGCCCTGGATGTGGCGGATACCCTTGGGGTGGATCTGGATGATGCAGTCTTCTCCAAACTGCTGCACACCCAGTGTGTTTGTGTCAGGCAAGAAGCCGGTGTTGGCCGCCTCCTCGACATCTTCGCCAATCTTCAGGACCAGCGTCCTGCTGTGCAGACACATGACGATGAGCGTGTCGGTCTCATCGTCTGAGGTTAATTTTGTGGTCCAGACATCGGAGGCGTTTTGCGGTAGCGGTGACTCGATGAGATCGAGGACTTCCAGGGCGTTCCTCGTGGTGCGGAATGTGCTGCGCGCACCAGCGCCGTTGATGGTGTAGATCTGGGGCGCGTCCTCGAGCGCTGGGTTGGCCACCTCCATGCCCATGATGGGGTTCAGGCTGGGGATGGTCTCGACTGGTGTCAGGTTGGTCAGGGCTCGGGGGGTGAAGAACGGAGGCGCATAGGCGGCATCTGGGTCGGAGGGGAACTGGCTGCTGTCAAAGAGTGGGTCGTCGGTCTCCTCGCCGAGGGATTCGAGCTCGTAGAGGATCCTGTCGCCAGATTCGCACGCGGCGTAGACGAATCCTGCCCTCAAGATGCAGAGGCTGGTCACAATCGGGATTGTGTCGAAATATTTAATCTTGATCTTCTCTACTGCACCGTCTTTTGACTCGACAGTAAGCTTGAATAGGTCGCCGTCGTCAGTCTGCAGGAGGTAGAAAAAGTCACCGCCCTTGAGCGAGTAGAGTGTGCCGGCCACGATGGTTCGCTTGCGGTTCGGGTCTTCGGTCGGGCCCTCGCGGCGCGGAATGGCCAAGCGGTGGACGCTCGACTTGGTGTTGAAGATGCGTCGGTATGTGACGCTGTCCTCGCCGCACACCAGGACTCCGCTGGGCGCGTTGGGCCCTCCTGGCACGCGGAAGAGCATGTTCGCAGTGCGGTCCACCGGCTCGGCCCACTTTCGCACAATGTGGTTCAGACCGAGATCAAGCTCGTAGTAAACCAGCTCTTTCTTAATCTCGTTGTACGCAGCGTCTGTGGGATCGGCCTCGGAGGCCGAGTAGTCGATCTCGAGGGTGGCGAACATGGGGTTGTCGTAGCCGACGTCCAGGCCGACCAGGCAGAAGACCAGGGTCTGTGGCTTGTGGGCCTCGAGCGGCGAGGATATGGCGATGTCGGTCTGGCCGCTGCGGGTGAGGATGTAGACGAGCTTGTTCTTCTCCGTCGACGCGACCATGATGGCGCGCCCTTTCGGGTCGGCCGCCAGGTACTCGCCGGGCACGACACGCCGTATTCCAGACTTGCCGTACGTCTCGAAGTGCACCGTCTTGAAGGCGTGCTCCTCGGACATGTACTCGTACGTGACCAGGCGCCCCGAGTCGGTGGTGATGACAATGTGGTCTGTTTCGTCAGCGCGGTTCTCAGTCTCCACGTCCAGTGCGCCACGGGTTTGGGGCTGCTTCGAAATCACTAAACGGGCTACAGCGGGGAGCAAGACAACATACCCTTGGTGCCGCCCGCAACGCGGAACTTGGCAATGCGGCGCACAATGCCGAAGACGTCCTGCGAGTAGATCTCGTGGAAGCCCTTCTGCCGCCGCGAGACCTCGAGCAGGGACAGGCGCGAGCCGTTCGCTGTGAGGATCTGCTGCTTGCCGTTGCCGAGGAAGTCGCCGGAAATGGCGTCTTGCGTCGCCGACGGCTGCTTGACCGTCAGCGCGTACAGCGACATGGAGGAGAAGGTCGTCATGATGGCGGGCGGGCGCTGGCCCAGGCTCTGCGCGACGCGTCGGCGGGGGGAGAAGGAAGCGCGGGGATGCGGCCGTCACAATGGCAATGCGACCAAACACAAATGACGCCGGGAACAGGAAAGAAAAGCGCGACCGACGGGAGAGTGGGACGGAGCTGGTGGTCGAAAGTTTCGAGTTTACGCTGCCGGCCCAAGCTCTGTCGGCGTTGGCTTGCGGCCTGCCGACGCCCCACAGCACGCCCCACAAAAAAAGTGAGAAGGCCGCTGCAGCACATGGCAGGCAGCGTCAATCCCTAGACCAGACACACACAGGCCAGACACATCCCAGCCACGATGAAGCGCAAGGTTGGCGCTCTCGAGAAGATTGAGGCGGACCATGCCGCGCTCCGCTTCAAGATCAAGCGCGACCCGCAGAGCTACCGCGACGACTTCAGCAACCAGTTCCAGCAGTACGAGACGCTGCGCGACCTGTTCCTGCAGAACCCGTCGACCCAGGGCACCGGCCTGGCCGACCTCAAGGACCTGGTCGAGTTCGTCTCGCACGTCGCCGACCTGTACCCCGACCTCACCGCCCAGTTCCCCGCCGACCTGCAGCAGATCCTGCTGCAGCACCACGAGGTGCTCGAGTACGAGCTGCGCGACAAGATCGTCGGCAGCCTGTGTCTGCTGCGCAACAAGGACGTCATCGACTCGGTGGCCCTGCTCAACACCCTCTTCCCCGTACTGATTGCGACTCCCAGCAAGTCGCTGCGCCAGCTCATCTTCACCAAGATCCTGTCCGACCTGCGCTCCGCCAACGTCAAGACCACCAACCACAAGCTCAACCGCACCATCCAGACCGTGCTCTACAACCTGCTCGAGTCCGACAAGGAGTCGCCCAAGGGCATCTGGGCCGTCAAGATCACCCGCGAGCTGTGGAAGAAGCAGATATGGACCGACGCCCGCGCCGTCGAGGTCATGCGTCTGGCTGCGCTGAGCGAGAACGAGAAGGTCATTGCCGGCGGCGTGCGCTTCTTCCTCGGCGGCGACAAGGAGCGCGAGGAGGCCGCCGACGAGAGCAGTGACGAGGAGAACATCGACATCGCCAAGATGCGGCATCAGGCTGGCATCAACAAGAAGACCAAGAAGAAGGCCCGCGACCTGCGCAAGGCCGCCGCCACCGTCAAGCGCAAGGAGAAGAAGAAGGCGTCGCCGCACATGCTCAACTTCTCTGCACTGCACCTGCTGCACGACCCCCAGGGCTTCGCCGAGAGCCTGTTCGCCAAGCACGTCCAGAACACAAAGGCAAAGCTGCAGCTCGAGACGAAGCTGCTGGTCCTGCAGCTGGTCTCGCGTCTGGTCGGTCTGCACAAGCTGACCGTTCTGTCGCTGTACTCGTACTTCCTCAAGCACCTCACCCCCCGACAAGCCTCCGTCACCAGCTACCTCGCCTGTCTCGCCCAGGCAACCCACAACTACGTCCCCCCAGACGTGCTCGAGCCGCTCGTCCAGAAGATCGCCAACGAATTCGTCTCCGAAGCTTCAGCTGCCGAGGTCGCAGCCGCCGGTCTGAATGCCATCCGCGAGATCTGCGTCCGCCAGCCGCTCGCAATGACCGACACCCTGCTGCAGGATCTGGTCATGGTACGTTGTTACTCTCCTGATTCTACCCCTCGACTAACATCCCCAGTACCGCAAATCCAAGGACAAGGGCACCATGATGGCCGCCAAGGGCCTGCTCTCGCTGTACCGCGAAGTCGGCGCCGACCTGCTGCACAAGCGCGACCGCGGCAAGGACGCCAGCATGGGCATCCGCTCGGGCGCCATCAAAGAGCAGCGCTACGGCGAGGAAGCCGCGGGCGGCATCGACGGCATCGAGCTGCTGGGCGCCTGGAAGGAGGAGGAGCGCCGCAAGAAGCGCATCGAAGCGGGCCTCGACCCCGACGGCACCGACGGCGACTCGCAGCTCGACGAGGCCGAGGACTGGAAGAAGTGGGAGCTCGAGAGCGACAGCGACAGCGACGAGGAGGGCTGGATCAACGTCGAGAGCGACGGCGAAGATATCAACATCAGCGACTCCGAGGACGAGGACAAGGGCAAGCCCAAGGCGAAGAAAGCGAAGCTCGACGCCCCTGCGTCCACAGACGCAGCAACTCCAGCACCCGCCCCCACCCCCGCCGAAGCCGCCGCCGCCACAGCCGCCCAGATCCAAAAACTCCTCACCACCACCATCCTGACCCCCGCCGACCTCAAACAGCTCAAAGAACTCCAAGCCTCGACCGCCATAAACGCCCACCTGCCCTCCCACAAACGCGCCGCACTCCTCGCCGCCCGCCACGCCGACGAAGCCATCACCGCCTCGACCATCGAAGCCGCGGCCTCATTGGGCAAGAAGAACACGCGCGAGGAGAAGATCGCCATGGCCAAGGCGGACCGCGAGACGAACCACCAGAGCACGACGGCGAAGCGCAAGATGAAGAAGGAGAGCGAGGGCAAGAGCACGACGAATGCGGAGAAGGCGCGGAAGAAGAACTTTTTGATGACGCTGGGGAAAGCCAAGAGTAAGAATAAGAGGAGTTTGGGCGATGTGAAGAAGACGATGCAGGGGCATGTGGATCGGAAGAAGAGGGGCGGGAAGAGGGGGAATAAGGGGAATTAGGGGGGGAGTGTGTGTGTGAGGTGTTTGAGATGTTGAGGGGGGGAGATACCCAAATAGATACGTTGAACTTGTGGATGAGACTTGGTGTGCGTGTTGTGAAGGCTAATATGTTCTGCATTCGAGGCGCCTTGTTTGCAATACTGTGCTGTTCTCCACGACGGGGCTGTGTCGCAGTGAAGTGCTAGCCGCTGTTCGACCTTACTCTGACCTGACCCTCGCCGGCGCCATCCTTGTCCTGCCATCCATCCCCATCGCGGGCAGAGACACCGTCCGCGCAACCCGGTCCACGGTACTCGGGACATCGCGTCTCAGCAGAGGAGACGAGACGCAAGCACCGTCGGACCGCACGCGCGTAATGCCATGCGAGTCGACACTGGCAGCTCCGTGACTTTCACCAGCCGCCTCAGCCTGCCCGCCCTCTCGTACCTCGTATCTCGCCAGCGCCACCACACTCCCCACCGGCGTCCCCACCCCGTCCTCTCCGTCCTCACTATCCCCTCCACTCTCCCCATCCACAACACCCCCAGCCCCCGCCCCATAAACATCCGCAACACCGACCCCCGACCCATCCCGCCAAAGCACCCCATCCGCCGCCAACAGCCTTCTCATCTCTTCATCCCTCTCCCTCCTCTTCACCTCGACCTCCGCTTCTGCCAGCCCACGACGCCCATCCACCACCGCAAGCCTCTGCTTACCCCCGCCCGCACCACACGCGTCCCCCTGCTGCCGCTGCGCCGCCTTCCGCGACTGCCCCGCCTCGAACTCCAGCCAGTCCGCAAGATGCTGGCCCTGCACCGACGCCAGCAGTCCGATTTCCGCGCGCAACGCGTGGGCGTCTGTGGAGTGGGGGTATGCACGTAGCAGGGCGTTGAGGAGGGAGACTTGTTCGACGAGGGGGCCGAGGTGGAAGTGCGGGTCGGGGAGGATGATGGGTGTCGGGTGTTGGAGTGGTGGATTCCCCGTGGGGTCTGCGGGGCGCGCTGGTGGACGCCAGTATTCTTGGACGTATTGGGCTGCTTTCTTGCGGAGCTGGTCTTCGTTTAGGGGTAGCGGTGGCGGAGGCTGAGCGTATGGGCGAGGTTGGGGAGCGAAGTGTTGGATTGTAGGGAGTGCGGGAGAGGTAGTTGTCCCAGCCTTCGAGCTCGGAGTCAGGTGCTGAGTGGGTAACGAAAATCGCATCTGTATCTTGGGGAGCAATCGGATTTGCTCTCTCGTGCGCGGAGCTGACTTGTCAACCTTCGAGATCATAGCCGAGTGCTGAGCGGAGGCTGGAAATCGCATCTGGACTGGGTCGGGCAATCGAAGTCGCTCACGCGTGCGCTGAACTGAGTCTTTGCGATGCACGCTGCTACTTAGCAGACCGGTGACCATGCTCCTGTTCGTCGGCTTCGGCGTAAGAGCAGTTCGCGGTGCTTCGGAGGTGTATGGCCTGCTGTCCCTATCATGGAACTCATGGGATTCAGTCCTACTCCGCTTGTTCTTCCCTTTAGCTGTTGCTCTGGGCGAGTCCTCTGTGAAGACGATAGGATTCTGAGAACTGCCAAGTGCACCAGTTTCGTGCAAGGTCGCTACGACTGATTGATCTGAAGATCTGATTGACTGGTGTGATGAATGATCAAGAGTGGAGTGTGAAGTTACTCTAGACCTCTTCGGCGTAACTGGAGAAGTGAGAGTAGGCTCATCCATCTTGCTACTCAACTTCGACAGGGCTGTGCTATCTGCTGCTTTGGAAGGATTTCGTGAGACGGCTGTTCGAATCTTGAGAGGCTTCAGAATGGTCTCTGGCGTACCGCTGGCTCTAGTTTCTCTCCGTCTAGTAGGTATTTGGGGGAGATTGGCAGACAAGTCGGCCTCTGCACTGCTTCGCCGCGTAGTCACCATGGTGTGTCGTTCTTGCTGACCTTGTTAGCACCTTGTCACTACATGGGTGCATTCACCCACTGAATGTGAGTCCGAAGAAGACAATTATAGCAAGAGTGTTCGGATTTCGTGTTCGTGTTGGTAGTCTCAGTGGTGGCTGGGTTTCGCAGATCGACTGGCAAGTTCTTCCTATGAATGCGAGCGGTGAGGTGAAGACCAGCGTGAATAGAGACATGTCAACACAGAAGCCTCACAAACATCGATACTGCCTGGAAGACTTTGGAAGGTGCAATCGCTTCAGGAAGGCGCAACTCGCCCTTCTGGTCGACTCATCCACTGCCCTTGGGAAGGTGCGTCTGGTAGTTGCAGACTGCGAGATGAGCACAAAGATTGCAGAGGTTCGTAATGATTGGAAATCCACACTGCAATGTCTATAGACATCGTTGTCACACACTAAGAAACGCTCGTAGCTTCGCCAGCTCTTCGCTATCGTTCACTTCATCGACAACGCGATCAATTGCTCCGTCGTCCCACGCATATCCGTGCCAAAGAAAGACCCCAGCATCTCGCATGATTCGGACTCCTTCTTCGCTACCCCGGAGTTCCGGTATGAGGCCGGCCAAGCTGGTCCAAAAGGCCTCTCGAAGCTGCGGAGCGTTGGCATAGTAGACGAAGTTGGGCGGCTGTGAGTCTTGTGATGGCCTTTGCAGCCTTCCCAGAAGATGCTCTAGACCATACAAGCACGTTCCAAAAGGGAGCCATTCGGCTTCCGCCCAGTCGACAAGCCCCGTGATCTGCCAGGTCTCCTCGTTCACCAGGATGTTCGACGGTATCAGATCGCCGTGATTGAGAACGACCGGGTAATCAAGGATCTTGCGAAGCTTATCCAGCGTAGCCCTAGCCCTCTCTCTTAGCCACTGATCCGGGAGTTTCTCGGATAGTTCTTCGAGCTTTTGGACGATGCGCGATCCTACTTTGCCTCTGCATTGCGAAAGAAACGTCTGCTCTTCTGTAGCAAGTGGTTCGGGTCGCAGAACGCTGTCTCTTCGCCTCCGGCTTTCGCGGACCGGCCAGCTCTGGGCGATGATATTTGCGAGGTTGATGATGAGGGTCTTCTGTTTATCTCGTAGCTCGGCTCTCGTCGACGGGAGACAAGCCTGGAGGCGAGAGAATGGGACGCCTTCCAACGTGTTCATCTCATATGCTTTTAGATACCCAGGTAGGCATACTTTGGCTGCTCGAACCACAGGGGCAAGCGATGGGTGCGCCCTTCTCGCCGCTGCAGCCGTATCGAGGTCAAGGGAGTGTTGTGCTGCTCGAATCTGGACGATGAGCTGATTATTAGTCTCCGATAGGGCATCGCTCTTATCTTTGATAACGCCAACGGTAGCACTTCGTCGTGGTGACAGAATGAGCGTGAAGCTGCAATGGCCCTGGTGTCCGAATTCTTTCACATGATAGCCCTCGTACGTCGCTTGTACAGCCTCGAGACATCTCGCCCTGTCTGCTTGCAGCCCTATGTACTTCCAGAGCTCGATCTGAGGAGATTTCATCCTGATCTTACTCTAATCCAGACTTCTCAGTCCTAAGGAGACACCGCGATGCCGCCGCCGAGCCGCCATATTGTCTGTAAGCCACCTCGTGTGGCATCGCATGCAAAGCCTATCTTCCAAGGCACATGACCTCAGCTTTCAAGTATCGAGGGTGTGTTGTAGTCGTGTGTGGTTCGCTGGCCGCTCGCCGTATTATGGGAAGGATGCAAGGCGGGCACGGAAGAGCCAGGTCAGGGCCTGTCAAATCATGCATAATGCGCGTCAGAACACTAATGCATGCAGCCGCAAACGGCATCAACACAGCGATCACGTCAGGAAGGTAAGATCTCTTGTCAGGCATTATTACATAACATTTTAGCACGACTTCTATGTGTCGTGTCGCCTGCACGGCAGAGTAACTACAAAACGCCTCGTAAACATATGCATACACTAAAGCCAGTTCAGTCGTAGGGTGGTATCAATAAATCTCGTCGAGCCCAGAACTCTCCTCCACAACGCGCAAATAGCAAATCGGCTTCCGTCTTTTACCACAAAGCAAGGACGGCGAAAGCAGCAGCGCCGAGGCCGAAGAACGACTGGCTGTTGAGCGCAGGTGCAGCATTGACAGTGTTCTGTGCCGGGTTGGGGATTGTGCCTGATGCACCGGCGCCGAGTGTGGGTGTTGATCCAGGTGCTCCAGATGCCGCGCCTGATCCGGAGGGTGATGCAGATCCGCTGCCACTGCCACCAGAGCCAGAAGATTGACCGGGGCTGAGGTTTTCGGAAGCTTGAGCAGCGAGCGCGCTGAAAGCTTGCATGGTCTTTTCGCCGGAAGCAGGACTGCACGTGTGTTAATTCTGATCGGTCGGGGAATGCGGTGTGATTGTATACTTACGCATTAATGGCTCCAACCATACCACCCTGGCAGTGCTTGGCCTGTGAGCAGTAGAACCAGATGGGCTTGCTGTCGGGAACACGGATGGTGTATGTCAGGAGCTGGGATGTCGAGTTGGCAGCAGCCGTGGTAGGCATGAAACCCGAGAAGAAAGCATCTGTCTTGTTCGCCATAATGTTCTGGATGGGTACACATGGGTTGTCAAAGGTCGACTGGACTACGGAGTGGTTCTGTTCAACATTAGACAATTTTACCATAGTCGTATACTGCTTGAACATACCTTTGGGTGGAACTGGAACTGGACCATGTCTCCGGCATTTGCCTGGATGTTGTTGGGGAAGAACGCAAGCGACCCGTTCGGCCCTCCGACCTGGATCGTGTGTGTGACGAGGCTACCACCCGATGGTGTCGAAGTCGATGATGAAGGCGCAGGCCCTGTAGAGTTTGCCATCGAGGCAGGAGTCTCTGAGGCTGCGATAGATTGTGATGATGCTGATTGTGCTGTCGCGAAGCCAACCAGGGCGGATACGAGGAAAGCTTTTGAGAAGTACATAGCGGCGATGTTGACCTCGAGTAGATTTTCAGGTGAATTATTACTATGCGAATACGTGAGGGAGTGGTGTAGGCGACTAGCGCTCTGAAAGCTGGACTAGCCAGATATTAAGAATTGAAGAGACCGTAAAGGTGAGTTGAAGGAAAAGAGGAGAAGGAGACGCAGCGACAGACGTGGAGCAGGACAGATGTGGAGCTGAGAAGTGAGCCTGAGGAGTGGAAATAGTTCCTTTAAGGCATTGAGAACGGGCACGGAACGCTCGCTGCTTGCGTTTTGCTTAGGCGTCGCTGCAGCGGTTAGTAGCTATTCCGACACATGGAGGGATGTCTGCGACGCGCTGGAAGCCGTTCGTGCTTCAGCCTCTTGCACCCCGGCCTTTGAGGCTCACGGTACGCAACAACAAAATCGTCAACGAGGGCACTGCACAGCTTGCGAACACGAAACAAAGTCTCATGGCATTTTGACAGTTGTCTCTTCAGCACTGACTGAAAATTTTGTTGTGCTGTCGATGTGCAACAACTGTTTGTACGTGATCGAGATGTTATCGCGAGGTTGGGTTTTCGTGGTGTGGAGGCTGCGAAGCACTCCATGTTCCAGGCTTGTTTGAGCACGCTCCTAGCCGAGCAACATCGACATCTGGGCGCCGGCAGACTCAGAACCGTTCATAGGCGTTGCTCGGAAGACCTTAGGTAATTAAAAGGTACACAGTGCCAAGGTGTCATGCCGGATGTATTGACCTGGCGCAGCTGGTCTTGCGCAGCTGGCATAGGCAACTACCGATGCCAATGTACGGTATCCAAACGAGATTCAAGAGACTATGAAGCCCTTAGTCTGTGCTCCTGTATCTAGTTCATGCTGCCTTCTTCTTGGTCATGCGCTCTTCCCAGGTTCTCCAGCGAATTGAGACTCTCATGTGTCCTGTCCAATCTGCGATACATTGTCCACGTGCTTGCCCGCCTTGGTGTAACAACGGAAAAATTTCGACGTGCGAATCTTTAATTTCGAGACGTGAATGTGATTGACACTTGACAGCGGCTCACCGCCATCTGGAAAGACTTTGATGTCTGTCTGTCGTACACGCCAATCGGAAGTCGCGTTCGATGCAGTGTAGACCCGAGCAGGCATGGATTTCATATTGTCGCAATGGGCGCGCATGCCTCCTAATTCTCTGCATGACGTGGCTCAGAAATCCAATACTAGCTGCGGTGCAAGCTTCTCCAAATCTTCGACCTGCAAAAAGCCATCTGAAAAGCCATCCTTTCTGGCAGACCTGGCGCGCTCATGCTTTGCCCGAGCAAGTGCCTCCCGTACAAAGATCTCCATGTAGCGGCCTGTCAGAGTCATTGCGCCTTTTTGTATTTGCGTGTTGGGGTCTTCGAAGTTTTCATGTAAAAGCCGCGCGAGCAGTGGGGCTGGGATTGGATGTGCTGTGGTCAAGGGCTCGACAGTCCTGGCGGGTACCGGTGCTGGTACATCTTCCATCAGGTCGTCGCTAAGAGCGTCGAATTCGTCTTCTTCTTCTTGCGCATCCTCTTCGTCAGATGATATGACTGTTGCTGCTGGTTGGAAGCCAGCCTTGGTGGTGGTAGCGCCGGGCTTCTTCGACGCGCCTGTCGCGCGTGACGCGGTCGCTGTCGATGCTTTCGTGCCCGATTTCACCGGACGAGGAGGCTTGAACTGGGGCCCCTTGCGCGTTGAGCCATTTGCACTTGCATTCTTGGGAGGCATGGTGAGGTTGAGGTTGAATTTGGGTTGAAGTGGTGGGTCTTGTCAGCGCATTGGTGGAGCTGCTGAACAGTATTGACACGACCAACGCGTAAACACGCAACCGACGTCATACATAGCCCAAACATCGCAGCGAGCGCAATGCTCGAATTACAACCCCAACTTGAGTGCTTGCACGCCTTGGTTGCGGAATTAACAATGTCACTAAGCGTACCGTTGTTCCACTTCGACACAGCAGTATGACGTCCTTCATTGCTTAGGCATTCCATCTATGAGTGGCATGATGCAGGTACGTCAAGGACCGAGACTAAATTGAGTGCATAATCCTTATTAAACGCACCCGAGGCGGAGCAGCCAACGCGGGCACTGCCTCCACGACCAAACATTTAAATGATCACATGCTAGGGCAGCGGGTCGGTAACGCACATTGGCCCTTAATTAGCAATCGCGAGTACCTATCTTTGCGCAGAAGGATTGCTACCCCCGGATGCTGCATTTAGCACACATTTAATCCACATCTGCGTGCTGCTGCAGGGAACGGCGCCCCCAGTCAAGCTTTGTGACCAAAGCGCCGGCTTTCTCAGGAACGTATCTTCATCGAATCATGCGGGCTGTCCCGTCACGTAATTACCGCACAACAATCCATTAGCAGCGTTTGTGGCAGACGACATCGAACGCAAATGCTTAGATGCACGATCGTGGACGCTTGTGGCGTAAACGGGCGTTGGCGACCAGTTTCAATAAGACGTTGGATGTGGTATCTATACATGAGCTCATCCAATCGATGCGCATTCAGAAGACGCAGTTGCCCCCAGTCTGCAGAGCCCATACAGCACAGCTCGGGGTACGTTGTTGCACTGCAGCGCGCATCCAAAGATTCATTTCCAAAGGGTCCTGACGTGCGTTATGCCGTACTGTGTGTTACCCTCAACGTCGCACGAACAAAGCAGCTGAGGATCGAGATTGAAGGAAAAACCAAACGTTTCCATTGTGCTCCGATTGGTTTCGTCGCAACCAGGCGCGCTACGACCGCTATCAAAGCATTGCGGTTTGAGGGTAAAGTCAACAATCGATACTTACCCCGGCTAGTTTACAATTGAGAACGTTAGCTCAGCTACCGCGAGTACGTGGTAATGGCGACGATGCACCGTGGATGATACCGACTTCCTGTTTGAGCATATCAATGGCACATAGTGTGGTGGTCACCTTGGTTGCCGTGCTGCCTGGTCGAGGCCTTAGAGGGAGGCCTTGAGATCGTACTTGCAACGGTGCAAAATGAGCAGTCATCCGCCTGCAGGTCCCTCGCAACCGCAAGATCACTTGATGGTGACGCATGTGGAGACGTGACCTTCCTCAATACAGAGCCAGGCGCTCCCTGTGGTAACGCTGTGGCATCACAGAGCGGCAGGACGCTCGGCCGGGTCGTATTTGTGTGCGCATCTTCGGTTCGATGCCGGATTGACAGTTGTGTGCAACGCAGGCAATCTGGAGAAACTGATCACGGAGGACGACAGCGCCCCACCATGTCGTGTGAGGCTGGTGATGCTGGGCGCGACAGGATGATGGCTTTGTGGTGTCTATCGGGGAATTGGAGGGCAGACAAGATCAACAAAAGCACGGCCGCCGCTGTCAGATCCAGGAACCTCTAGACCATATGGGCGAACACGAGTAATTGGAGTCCAGCCAGGGCAATCCTCGCAACCATTGGCGGGGTATGAGGAATGGGCACGCCGAGTTTAGTCTTAGAGCTAGCATGCACGACCAAACGGCTCCAGGAGTGTTGCGTGGCTCTGGAGAGTCAGGCAGCGCTCGTAGTCGGGCGATCAGCTGCTTGCGGCGCTTGGTGGGACTGGAGGCGCTCGCTGGACGGTACAGAGATCGGTTTCTTTCGTCGATTGGAGAGCCTAACCCCGACCCCGACGGTGGTCAGCGGCGATGCAGCGCATGCGGCGTCCATGGAAGGCTGAGTGGGGTGAAATGCAATTCGACGCCCGTTTTAGCGTGAGGCTGCTGAGGCAGACGAGCACTGCGCCCGCGACGCCCATCGCTGAGACGGCTGGGGGGGTGTCCGACGAGCGGAGCGCGGGCACTTGGCTTCTGTCGGCGCCCGTACCCCAGCAAGCCACATACAAAGACAGACAAGGGCGGCCGCGCATAGCCCATCCTGTGCATGTCTCCAAAGCGAAAGGCGCGTGATGGAAACACACCCCTGCTCGCCGGTTTCCCAAAGCGGTTGCACTTCTCGTCGCTCGAACCAGACCGTCTTCATGTAGTCTATATATCGCAAAGTGGTTGCGCTACCGGCAGACTCCTCAGCGTCGGTCCTGCCTCTTGTGATTCATTCTTGCTCTTCTGCGGCGTGTCCCACCGAGACTTTTGACCAGCAGTCTGCCCTTACCACCTTGCGTGCATATCATCGATACATCACCACTCCGCTCCCCAGCCAAACTCTTACAGGCCTCGTGTCTTCGAGCAAGGTAGCCGCCGTCTGGCCATCCGATTCTGATAGGAGCCGAGTCACGCACAGATAACGCTTTCGGCCACAGTCGAGCGCTATAGGTTGCACAAACCGTCTATCATCCATATCTAGCGAATCCCAAACCTAGGGATTCACCTCAGGAATTCGCGGGTCCCCACACCGACCAAACAAACAACTCGCGTCGTCACACCCTTGGGTTCATCTATATTTCTTAAAGACCCTGTCATGCCTCACTCTGTCAACAATTCCACTTCGACTGGGCCTAAGATGTCGCGGCCTTCATCCACCTCCACCTACTCGGCGTCGAATGCGAATGCTTTCCCCAAGCAGGCTGGTGCCACCACCCTTCTTGCGCCCGAGTCCAACGACGCTCCAGCACTCACATCGCCATCGCAGCTTTCCTTCACATCGTCACCACGATCAGTCCTCGACGCACCTGCATTCGACGATTCAAGACTAAGGCCTGCTGCATCAGCCGGCGCTAACATCGCGCGTCCTTACTCTCGGCAGCGAGCTCAGTACTACGAGGAGCAGTTCTCGTACAAGGAAGGGACCAGCTCGAACGCTCGCGACCGTGTTACCAAAGATGCACCGATTGTTGCAGAGCTGAGGACGAATGTCATCGTATGTTGCTAATCTCCATGACGCTCCACTATTTATGCATGCTAATCGGTGCCCAGATCAAGGACGAATATACCCTTGTCACCGACCTCTCGCACCATCTCTCGACCCGTTATCAGAAGCCGGAGACATCGATCATGATAACAGTCAACCACTCAGCGTGTCTGCTGCTTGGTGGCTCTTTCGAGCCTACTTACATTCTCACCATCAATGCGCTCCCCGTGCAGCTGCAGCCAACACTCAACAAGCGCAACGCTGCCTTGATCCAGAACTTCATGACGGAATCGATCGGTGTTCCAATCGATCGTGGCATCGTCAAGTTCGCTGCCATTCAGGAGGATGCTTTCGCCATGAACGGCATGACTATCCTGGGCGAGATTGAGAACCTCGAGCGCACTCAAGCTGAGGAGACAGGCGTGAAGCGGGCTGTGACCAAGAGCTCCCGCCGGTCTGGCGTCTCCAAGGCAAAGAGTAGCATCACGCTTTCTCGCAAGACTTCCAAGGCTAACACCAAGGGAAGAACAGTCACCCCTCCGCTTCCTAGCCCTGGTCCACTCGATTCCGGAATAGCTGTAAACGAAAAGGGCCTCCCCGAGACTCCCGTTGCACAGCCTGCAAGCAAAGGCATCAACCACAAGCAGTCTGAGCCGATCATGTCCAAGTTCGGCAAGAAACCCAGCACCAACCTTATCCCACCACCTATTCCTGAGAGCAAGACAGCGAAGCACTCTGTGCCAAAGCGTAAGAGTCTGCTGAACATCTTCCGCCGATAGGTGGCTCACGATCATTACTACAACGCAGCATGAAGTGCGACATGGATTCTCACAACATTGTTTTTCATTGTGTACATTTCGCGAGCAGCATCTGGTTTACCAAAAGTCATGACTCGTCGAGGGCACGGAGGTGCGCCACGGCGCTGAAGTCGCCATCGACTTAGGTCGGATCGTAACACAATCTTACACATCGTGCGCCTTTTCTGGTGCACTACTCACTATTCTGTCGGGCTCCGCATACGAGGGCTCACAGTGGCATGGTACACTGTCGCAGTGTGCGAAAATGGCATCATGGGCGTTTTGGGACAGTCAGTGCATTGGGGCGACGGGACGCCACTTAGGCACTTCGCGGATGGATCTACATCTCTTCATTATACCCATATCAGCATTCGTTTTCAATCGAGGTCGATTATCCTCGCCACATAGAAAATATTCAAATTAATGAACCACACTGCACAAGATTTCTACCTGTCCTCTGCCACGTAACGCCTCTCGACCCTCGAAGCCAAATACCCTGCATGGCTCTAGACCGTCCTGCCCTTCGTGAAGCATCAAGACAACACATCAACCCCTTCATGTCTATCGTCAGCCTGTTCGCGAACTCCGGTCTGCACCCCGTCGAGTGGCGTGTCTCGACGACCAGGGATGTCCCCAGTGAAGGCCGACACCTTATCAACAGCACGCACGCGCACGTCCAGACGACCCACTAGCAGATCGTGGAGAGCTGAAAAACGTAGCGACAGACGGTCTGGGCTGGAGCAAACTTCCCACCATCCATGCATGGCTGAGCTAGTGGAACGGGAGAGCGTCCTTCAGACCGCTGCTCCGGATCTAGCGGCTAACAGACCAAGTGTAGTTTAAGCGCGGTAACACGCTCGTTGGGCCTTTGCGGACGTGTAGGGCTGGTTCCAGGTCCCAGCCAAGCACGAAGACTCTGCTTTTTCTATGCGTGCGGGGCGGTGAGGCGTTGTTTCATTGCTGTGCACGACGCGCTGTTGAGCGCAGCGGTGCAGGCGACGATGAGCCGGCTTCGCTGTGGGAAGTGGGTGTGTGTCTATCGCGCACTGTGCTTGTGGTCGGGGGTCCGCATGCCTAAGCGACGCCTCGCCTGCAATATCACAGGATGTGCTAATGTCAGGTTCCCATGCTCCCTGCTGCGCTCGGATGCCGTGTTATCTGGTGTATCTTTGCGAAAACCGACAAATGAACCTCCACACCATAATCTCGCAGGTAGGTAAGCACTAGATGAGGCCTCTCGTAGATATGCCCAACACACCTCACACCCAACAAAACATTCGCGCAACTTGCCGCAAAAGCAACGCGCGCAAAACAAAACCAACTGGCAGCAGAGCCTCATTCTTATGTTCCCCGAGACACTCACCCTTGGGAGTCAGGATATCTCCGAGCCTGGATCGTGATGCGTGTGAATCCCTACGCGGCAAAGAAGTCGCCGACACCCTCGCTCGCCGCACACCCATGCCTGCCATGAAACTCAAAAGCAGATCCCGCTGATCACCACAAGGTCCACGCCGGAACGTAAGGCACCGCGCCTCGCGCTCCGGTCAAAGACTTCACTTCCATTCAAGACCTGGGCGGTGTGCGCGGCGCCCCACGGCACATCGCGGCGAATGGCATCAGCTGCGAGGCGTGCGCCATGTGTGTGAGCTGCGCGAAGGTCTGTGTTGGTTTTTCACGATGCATCGCAGATCGCAATTGGGTTTGCGACAGGGCTGATCATCTGCGCTAGCTGAGCTGGGGTGCGTCAGGGTCTTTACACTGACGTAAGCAGAGGGGAACAAGACTGCCGCGATTGTTTCGGTGATCAGCATTCAACAGCTTCATTTACAGTTTGGGGGTATGCGCTTCAGAGAGGTGGCTTGGGATAAAATGAGGGCCCGTTCGGTGGCGAGCAGGTTGAGGCTCTTTTGCGTGCGATCGTCGGATTTGCTAATGTGCAAGATACCTACTTCGACGTCACTGGAGATGGCGAGTCAGTGTGGTGTCGTGAACAAGGAACATACTTTAGTGGCGGAATGGCATGGACGTGGGTGATGCAAGAGGCATACAACTGAGGTCTTGGCCATACTCAGTTAGGTATTGTAAGGTATTGTAAGCTAATGTGGAATATGGACTACCCGAGTCGGATTCTGAATTGAGATTGCTGCTGCATCACTTCATGTTCTTTTGCGTCTGTAATTAACATGCATTCACAGTCTTTGTGTCTGTATGACTTCATTGTTTGTTGATACCATATGAGGTTGCCTGACCTACCGAAATTTCGCTAATGTGTAATTCGCACCTTCGAATGTCCAGCATTCTGGCTCCCTTGATCTTGATCTCCTTGCGCTTGAATGGCCAGCATTCTTACTCCCTTCACTTAGGCCTTCTTGCAATCAACATACACACCGTGGGGCCCAACGCGCAGCGCCAGGATGCCGTTCACCGCACAGTCATTGACAACTGCAGCTTTCACGAGGCGTAACTTTTTGTCCAACACAAACTTAACTTCCGAACCGTCCTGGCCGGTGAGCTCAACAAGCAACTCGAGAAGCGATTCTTTGTTCACTTCAATAAGCCGCTGAGCTTCGTCTCGCAGGTCAGAGGTAAGCGATTTGGTGAGGGTATACTTATCGGCGCGGACCTTGCGTTCAGTCTGCCAATCGATATTCGAAACGTCGCCGTAGCGGTCCAGGATAGTCTCCAATTCGTTCTGATACATCACGAGCCAATCGGAGAGCGGTCCCCATGGAACAATGGCCTTCTTACCTTCAAGACGATCGAGAAGGTCTACTTCCTTGAACCAATCGTTGACCTTGTTCTTATTCCAGCGGCGATGGAGTTCAGTGAGGCGGAAGGCAAGCCCAAGCTCGGAAATCAGTTGCTTAGCCAGTGCCTCACCCGTGAGATCATGGTTGGGCAGAGCTGGTTGGCGTAGAATGTCATCTGAAGCGTTGAAGTCCTGGAAAAAGGCGTCTAGTGAGAACGATGGGGTTTTGGCACGGGGCTGACGAACTCGGGCAGCTGGAGCTTGGGGCTGGACTTCAATCGCAGGTTCTTGTTGAGTTTGCTGAGCTTCAGCAGTGATGAAGTTCTGCAGCGTGTCAGGTGGGTTCACGTCTGCCACGTCGATAACCATTGCATCTGAGAGGTCATGGTCATACTGAACTGAAGGGATTGAGTCACCAAGTAGATCGAAGGCATCATCGTCTACCAGTTGATTACCGTAATTCGAACCGCTGAAGTCCGCTTCCTGAGTAGCCTCTTGAATAGATGGGCCGGAATCAGTCCAACTGTAGTCAGCCTGTAGTCCATTAGCTGGTGATCCGAGGTTACAGTAGAAGTTGGGATCAATCAACTCATAGTCTGGAAGCATATCTTGACTCATACCTTGGCTTGGATCCACGGGATAAGTCAGGAAAGGCTCCATAAAGAGCTCTGGCTGTGGGTTCTGGTAAGTCACTGGCATCCGGCCGGGCAACTGAAGAGATTCTAGGTTATAGAGCTCCTTAGTTTGATGCTGCAGTCGGCGTCTTTGCTCACAGACTTCCAGGGGCGACGGTTCGTAGATAGCTGGATCCGCAAGAAGGTAATTAAGGGTCACTCGCGGATTGCGCTGCTGCTGCCATTGTTGTTCGAATTGCCATTGCTGGTGCTGATCGTGCTCTTGCTGCTGCAGAGCCAACTGGAACTGCTGCTGTTCGGTAATGTGCAAGTTCGCCATGCGCTGGTCCAGCGTGTAACGCATGTGCATTGCATTGGCAGTTTCCGCCTGACGTTGGTTTCGCAATTTCTCTGAGCAGACGTTGCAGGATTTCCATACCCTGTCCTTGCGAGTAAAGCTTTCCTCGGGCAGTGGGCGCCTACATTGAGAGCAAGGCTTGTGGAACGGAGTGGGGATGAGATTGCGGCTCATTTTGAAGTCTGTAGAGAGTAGCAGTAAAAGTAGAGATAATGCCGGAATCGATATCCGGTATACAGTCAGTTCGTTCTTAGTGAGTTAATTGTGCTCGGTGTGGTGGTTGTTTCTGCGGATTAGAAGGTTCAGCTGGTAATGCACGGGTTTTATCCATGTCTTCCTCGGAAGATCGTGAGCACTGTGAATGCAAATATAGTTGTGAAATCTACGTAGTTCATGATGGTTTCCCTATGCTGAGCTGGCATTATGTAAAAATTCCCTTTGTCTTGGTCCACGAAACGATGCCTCACGCGTGTCTGTGATCCACATTGTGAGCACCATGGTAAATGCCGGAGTAGTTGGCCCGGAAATGCGATCAATGATCGTAAACATCGATCACCGCGAGCGTACAATGCGAAGTACAGAGAGGAACCCAGTTTCACCTGTAGGAGTACCAGACGGCGACAAGGAGCTTACACAGTTGCGATAAACCAGAGTGAAGGCAGCGAAGACAGAACCGTACGGCGAAAGCGATGCCACGTGGGTCTGTTCAGTGGACATACTGCCATGCCTTGTTGATGTCATGCCTCAGCTCAGTTTCCATCCAGGATTCTCGCTAATGCAGCTCCTAGGGACACGAGGGCCGGGAAGTGTATCCTCCAGAAAGATCATCATCCACGTTCCTGGCTCCTTATACACACTGCGCTTCTTCTGCAACGTCTTTGCCCACTGCTTCTCCTTCAACGAAACCTCTGCATACGGCTGCTGAATTAACCTGCTAAGTGTCTTCCAGTCAAAAGTTGTCAAATCGCCAATATCGAGAGGAATGGATCCGTTACTTTGGGGCATCGGCTTGGATGCCTTCGCAACGAATTGTGGATGGCGGAGATCGAATCCATCGAGTACATCATGATAGTCACCGTTATCCAGTTCGTGGGCGCGCTTTTGGAGATATTCTTCAGCCTTGGTGAAAAAGCACTGCTTCGCATCGCGGTAGGTCCTGCTGTCCATGTCTAACATCTCGTGTGGATAAAATCCAAGTTCGGCCTTGCATCCGCTCGACAGCATGATGTTGAAGTAAAAATTCGTCTCCATGATCAGCGTCTGCGAGGTGATCACGCGGTAATTTGACATCTTGGCATTGTGCTTCAGCGCATGACTGCGGAACGGAATACGATATTTGATCGAATCGCCCCAGCGAGCCCGGTAGTCAGTCCAGGACATGATCGGCTTGTGTGGACCATTTCCGTCCTGCAGATCCCACTGTGCGCTTGTGAGGTCTAGAACAACCTTTGAACCGCACTTCAGCGTGATTTCGTAGACGCCTTTGGTATTGCCGTGCTCATCTTGATCAGGATACAGTTGATCGTGGCGTCTCGTCTCGAAACCGAATGTACCTTGGGCATGTACAATGCGGGTGGCTTTATAGGTAGGATAGTGTACGACCTCCTTAATATCAGTCTGAACATCATTTACCACGCCTGTGAGGATTGTTAGCCATAGTTGAAGCTACTTATAATCCTGTTTTACCTTGAAAGAGGGCTTTCACTGCAGCATGCATGACCACAAATGCCCAGATAGAGCTGCGGTCGGTCAGAAGCGCATGTTTTGCATCGTCGTCGAAGATACTGAACGAATCGGCTGGGAAATGTATCAGCCAGCCACCAGCATAGTCCCTGCCGTCGGTATGGCCTCCTGGAGCTGTTGCAACACCTGCACCATCGGTGACTTCAACAGCAAAAAGCCCGTGGTCTTGATCACGCTTGATGCACACGTTCTTCATGTCGTATGTCCAAGTGTTCTCCATAAACAGGTAAAAGAGCGACTGTACGATTGCTCCAGCTCTGACGGCGCGTTCCATGATGGGTTGCGTGATGCGAAGAGCGTTCATGTGTACCTTGAGGTGCTCAATCTCATCCTTCTTCCGGCAGTCGATGTCGCAGTAGAAGCGCGCTTTGACGATAGTTCCATCTGGGTTTGTCTCAGCGCAATGACCGCAGTAGTTAACGGTATCTTCTTTGCAGACATGACAAGGTTGCCAAGTCATGCTGGGCGTGGGATGTAGGAAGGTGGAGAAGTGATGCAGTGAGAGAGGTGAGAAAGCTCAAGCTTGAGAAAATTTAGCAAACGGCCTGTCAGCCACGTGACGAGACGAACTAGCCCACGAGTGAAAGTGAAAGCGAGTATTCATTTTCCAAATTTCGTGCCTCCAAAGGCCATATCGGAAACCAGACGCTCTCCTCTGTTCTAAGGCAGCATAAGAGCGCATGGCAGATCTAAGTATTGAGGCGACATCTTCAGTATGATTCTTTGGGATGAAGAAAGGGCACTGTTGAACCGTCGCAACTTGATGTAGGTGAAAGGGTCGAGATCATGCAAACACGTTTCCAATCTTGCAAGGTGTGATTCTGCTGCTACTGACATCAGGTCATCATATCGTAGTCGCGGTCTCTCTCCCGTGATACCACAAGAATTCAAATTTGGCAAGGATGCAGATGTGTCAGAACGACGCGATGGATGACGTTGTGAACGATCTCAGGTGGCTCGTGCTCGTTGCTGGGGGCAGGGATGACTCGCTTAAGTTTGTTGACTGCGGCTTCTTTCTGAACTTCGTGAACACACTTGGTGCTACACAACCTGCAGCTAATTAAACATTTTGCATCGAGCGACTGCGCGTACCTCTATAATAGGACTATCAGCGTAAATACCGTCATACTGGCGCGCCTCAACGAATCCCCCATCCAAAAGATGGATCCTCCTTCTTTGCCGGCCTCGCCCTCCAAACAGGCAATGTCGCCCAGCATGCCATCCTCTCCCGAGCGACGCGCAAGGCCTGCGTTCGGCGGCTCGGTGTTGCTCTCGCCTACAACTACACGATCTGGCTCGCGCTCTGGGTCGCCACTACGAGATGGCTCTCCGCTGCGATCATCACATCGACGAACCGACTCTGACGTATCGGTCCACGGACTGGCCACCATGTTCGAGACTCTCGAGGTTAAGGACCCTAGAGAAGCCAGGGACAGGTACATGGCGCTACTTGCCAAAGAAAAAGCCAAGTTTGAAAAGATCGAAATGGACTACAACATGTCTGCAGGACGGAAAGAGATGCGCATCGAAGAGCTAAGGAACGAGCTCAAGGACGTGAAGGAAGAACTGGAGCTAGCAGTGTCGAGAGATGCATTCGAGAAAGAGCGCAAAGCACACAAGGCGAATGTGGCCAAGTGGGAGAAGGTCTTCAAGGAGCGTGAAGAAGCGTGGAAAGTGTCCAACGCTAAGCTGGTACGCCAAGTTTCAGTGGTCTAATGGTGCCTTACTGATAATCTGTAGAGCGAGTTGGATTATAACAACAAGCACCTCGAGGCTAAGAACCGCGAATACAAGAAGCGATATATGGAGAAGGACAAGGAACTTCTGAGAAAGTCTGGCCAAGTGCCAACTCTCCAGGCTAAGATCCAGGGACTGGAGCGCAACATGAAACGAGCCGAGTCTGATGTCAAGTTCAAGACGGAGGAGGCCGCGAAGTACCAGAGCCAGCTGTACAACGTGGAAGTCGAGCTGGAGGGCCTTACAGAACGTCTCGGAGAAGAGATTCAAACATTGAAGGACCGTCTGAAGCTGGTCGAGAGCGAGCGTGATGCGCTCAAGACAAGTCTGAAGGAAGAGGAAGTTCTGCGCATTGCCACAGAGGGACAGCTCGCGCTCCCTGCGGCTACCCACGACGAAGAAAACGAGTTCAGGTCGCCAGTTCGCTCCCCCCGCAAGCCCCTTGCTCTTCAACGCGACGACGAAGACAAGGAAAACCAGTCGCCGAGGAAGTCTGCAGTTGACCTCCGCTTCTTGCAGCAGGAGCTGGCGGCGGAGAGACACAACCGTGCTCGCGCCGAGGATCAGATTGAGTTCATGAAAATGGAGTGCCAGTTCCAGTGCTGCTCTTGCCGCATTGCTGAGAACAAGAGCAAGGCTTACATTCACGACAATAGCTATGCAGCACAGATGGAGGCTATTAAAGCTTCTGTGCCTGCTTTGACTCCTCCAGCAAGCAACCATGGTGACGATGCGATGGACATTGTCAAGGACGACGCCAAGCGACCGTTCACACCGCCGTTGGAGGAGCAGACTTCCGAAGCCACTGTCGTACTTCACCCCCAAGACATTGAGCCTGAGGGCGTCATCGCCTTCTCACCTACGACCGGCACGTTCAAGTCTATTCCTTCTCCATTGAAGGCCCTGCCAAAACGTTCTCTTTCTCGCCAGTCCGCTAGAGCATCGTCTCGTTCAACCACGCGCTACTCAGATGTTCGCAGCGAGCTTCCCCCTCTGAAAGCAGCTTTCGAGTATGAACCCGAGTCAGCAGTGTCTCATGTTGATGTGGAGGAGAGTAGGAACGCAGATATTGCCATTCACGAAGACGAGAGCGACGATGATATGGAGCCACCAATGCCAGCTGCGGCAGGACCTGGCACACCATACTTCACCAAGACCACCACAACGACAATTCCTATCGCTTTCTCACCAGCAACACCAGCCCCGCGACCCGGCAAGCAGCTGATGAGCCCTTTCACAATTGGTCACGGCGCAGTCAATGGCCGCACACCAGTTCTAGGTGAGCTGCAGCTGAACAACGTGCCGTTTGACCGCGAAGCTGCACTGCAGGCCATTCGCGAACGACGGGGTAGAGCCCGAAGCATGGCTGAAGGCACCGGTACACCGATGAAGCAGATGCTCGATAAGGAGAGGCGAGACATCAGTGCGCCGGTCTCTAGGATTGGCCGGACATGAGTTTCGACGTCGGGACTTGGAGCATTTGGAGCATGACTACTTTCTGGATGATGACTTTTTACGTTGTTTAGCTTTACGACTTGCTGAGCGGCATTGCACGGCGTTTTGATTTGCTGCTCTGCCTCAGCGGTCTCAAAAATGGCGTTTGGGGATCCCTCGCATTGGATAGGCTCGGCTGGGTAGATACCACGGTTGGGCTGCTGGAGTTTGCATAGTATAAATGATGTGTCGATGTTTAATGCCTTTTCCTGCAAGACCAATCGCTATGCACGATGAAACCGACTAAGCTTACTAACGACATGCTTGTGGTGTTGTTACGGGTGGTTTGGGGGTGACGGTGCTCGCACGGACGCTCGCTTGAACAGCCAATGAGAACCACGGCCAGCTCCACCTAGCCAACATGAAATTCGCACCTTAGCCTCTCTGTGTGTGATTTCGACTCGACAACTAACCACCAGCCCTCCGTCCTTCCACATCAGCAACCGCAATCATGTCTGACAACGGCGAAATCGAGGTCGAGAGCCAGGCTGCCTACCCTGTGCTCCCCAAGGAGGTCACCGAGGAGATTGGCAGCATCAAGCTGTTCAACAAGGTTTGTATTGGCACATCGGCGGCGCATTGCTGCACGCAGAACGCAGGCTGACAGCGCGCAGTGGTCCTACGAGGAGGTCGAGGTCCGCGACATCTCGCTCACGTACGTTTCATAATCGCATCCCCGTCCGTCCGCGCGCACATCGAATACTACACACGCTGCTTGCATACCGTATACTTTGGCAACCGGGGAATGGGAGATAGCTTTGCTGCGAAGTCCATCGGCTAACTGATGCTCCAGCGACTACATCCAGATCCGCTCGCCTGTCTACACATCGCACTCTGCTGGCCGATATGCCGTCAAGCGATTCAGGAAGGCCCAGTGCCCCATCATTGAGCGTCTTACCAACTCGCTCATGATGAACGGCCGCAACAACGGAAAGAAGCTCATGGCTGTCCGCATCGTTGCCCACGCTTTCGAGATCGTACGTTTGTCATTGCGGGAGACTGGACCGAGGAGGAACGTACGGTGCTAACGCCAGCAGATCCACATCATGACCGACCAGAACCCCCTCCAGGTCGCCGTTGATGCCATCGTCAACTGCGGTCCCCGCGAAGACTCCACCCGTATCGGTTCCGCTGGTACCGTCCGTCGCCAGGCTGTCGATGTCTCGCCCCTCCGCCGTGTCAACCAGGCTATCGCCCTCCTGACCATCGGTGCCCGTGAGGCCGCTTTCCGCAACGTCAAGACCATTGCCGAGTGCCTTGCTGAGGAGCTGATCAACGCCGCCAAGGGATCCTCCAACTCGTACGCCATCAAGAAGAAGGACGAGCTCGAGCGTGTCGCCAAGTCTAACCGATAAACGGTTCAGGGCTATGGTGTACTTGCGGGTGTCTGGGAGGAGTTTTTTATCCTGGCATGGTTCTATGGTACGGGGGATCTGATGCATTGTCAACGGTTCTCTAGGCGAATAAACACCTTTCATGGTTGCATGATCAAAATGGACAATTCGATATCACTTCATCGGACCTCTTTTGGGTGTTGTGTTGAATGTGAAGGGTGTGCTTGGGACGAAAGACAGGACTGAGGTCGCCGCGCCGTATATTCAGGCTAAAAATGCCGGCTTCAAGTAGACGACATGTAATGAGATGATGAATCCAGACATGTTCTATGTACTCCCCCTCCCCTCACGATGTAAATCACTATGTCGATCTTACAGCCTTAACAGGCTTTGTCCTCTGTGGACTTGCTACTAAAGTTCCTTTATTGAAGTTCAGTGGCCGGTTTGTACAATTGATTCGTATCTCATGATTCTATATGCGTGTGTATCTTGCTTTTAAGCCTATAGGCCTTCGGATTTCAGAATCCACCCCTCGCCCGCACAGCCCTCTCTAGCATCGACCCAAAATCCTCAAACCCCACATGCCCCTCATGCTCGTCACCATACTTTTCTGCTTCCGCGTGCGCCTGCTGCAAAAGCTCCTGGTCAACTTTGACCAACCAGCCTTGACTCGTTATCACGATCTTCACCCCGTCTGCCCCCAGCTGCGCTAGTAGCCCACTCGCCCTCACGAGTCTCTCAAGCCACAGCTGATCCTTCCCTTCTTTCCACGCAATATCCACCAAGTTCACGGCGCCCCTCGCTTCGACCTCCTCTCTGACGATGTCCACAACCCGTTCCCTCCTCTCAGCCTCCTCGTCAGCCTCCCTCTCCCTCTCTCTCTTCTGCTCTTCTCTCTCCTTCTTCTCACGCTCCACAATCTCCGCCTCAGCCGCCGCCCTGCGTGCCTTCTCCGCTGCAAGCGCAGCCTCGCGCTCTTCCTTGCCCTCCGCCTCCTGCAGACGGCGCAGCTCAGCCTCCTGCCGATGAAACTCGTGGTATGCGCGCCGCTGGTCTTTGCGAGCGAGTGATTTGGCTTTCTTAGCGCCGACAGCGCGATTCCCGGGGGTCGCGCGCGGGCGCTCGTTGAAGTTTGCGGGGCCGGCTTCGCCTTCTGCTGGGCCAAAGTCGGCGGGTTGTTGGGGCGGTGGCTGGTCGGCGGGGCCGGGCTGCATGACAGGTGCCTCGTCTTCGTCTTCGATTTGCGGTTGGAAGGCGTCGCGGTTCTGTTGTATCGGAGCTTCGGGGGGTGCATCTTCTGTGTCGTGCGGGGCTACTCGCTGCGTCTCGTGTGCTTGATCGTGGATTTCATCCTGGTCTATGCTGCCTGTGTTATGTCCCGGCTGCTGTGTGTTGTACCATTCCGCGATTTGTGGGGCATAATAGAGCGTTCCGCAGAGGATTGCGGTATGGATGAGATCTTGTAAAATTGGCGTGCCCGGCTTTGTAAAAGGTAGAAGGAAATTTAGAAGAGTGATTGGGAGAGACAGAATAGCACCCATGATATCGTGGGGCTTCTGCCCTTCGACTACTTTGCGGGTATGCTGAGGACGTCCCAAGGGATGCAATGAGATCTACTGCATAGCCCAAGCGTAGAGCTGTGGTGACTACGAGTGTGCGTGGTTGCGCAAGTGTCGCGAGAGGTACAATAACCGATGATGCAGCGGTCGCTGTAGGGCTGAGCCAAACCGTTTCTTCTCTAGCGTATCATCCCACACAGATCACAATACATCCAATGCCTACCACAGTCAGCGTTACTGCTCAATGGCAGTGAATACACTAAGACGCTATTGGTGCTTCGTCTGATCGCATCATTACTTTGCGGCCGTCTGACAGATCGGCTTGTCAGAATCACGACTGAACCTCCTGCTTTTTCCACCACTTCGCCGGACAGGTGGTATTACACGAATAGCATGTCCCGTCCACAGCATGCCGCGCCGTTGCACTGACACGCGCCCTATCCAAGCGAGGTTTTGCACAACGCGGCTGAATCGCCTAACATCTCTTCGACCTGATATTCGCCAACGTTTGCCTAATGCGTACAAGCCTCCTTATCTACTTGAACCCAGCTCCCTGGACGCATGATCGATCAGCGCTTCCGGAAGCCAGTCGTCGCACTGAGGTTAGTATGCAGAATCCCAAACTCTGGCTAGAATTTGTAGATTCTGGTCGAAAACTTTGGTGGCTAAACCACGCATGCGTCCAAGGGACCTGGGCAGTTTGTTCATCTCGCGGTCACAAATGATACCACAGGGGAGCCGTGATAAAGACATCACCAAGCAGCTTACGCCATCAGCTGTCATCATACTTAGACACTGCTGAAAGTAGAGGAACTCTCGCGTCCACGACTCACATTCCCGAAGATGCGGTCCCCAGATCGCCAGGAGATGTCGTCCTACACGGCTCGCTAAAAATTGCAAGGGCAAGCGACTACACGTGCACTAGAATGCGCCGCCTCCCGTCTTGGACAGACAAGAGTCGTTGTACGTATGCTATGGCAGTGATCGGAACAGTCTTCAACACGGCCTGGAATCACATCTGCTTGGCAGGGTTGCAGCCATTGCGTTAGTGTCTAAGATGGCGTACTTAGGTTGACGTCCATATCCGACAAGCTGCCCTACTACATCTTTACATTGACCAGCTACGTATGACATACTATCCTACTCATCCCCGTACTCCCTGTATGATACCCTAGCATTGCAACGCAGCTGTACGATTTCGACCTCCCTTGCCGACAAGCCAAGTGGCGAACCAACTCGGACCTATCCCTACTCCCACTGACTACTTTGTCGTACGACAATGGTTTCCTGGCCAAACGATGTTGGATTTGATACAGCCTACGAAGAGCGCGAGCCAATCACACTAGAAGTCAAGGGTAACATTCCGCGTTACGCCGGTGGCGTCTTGTACCGAACAGGGCCGCTGGGCTACAAAGCGAAATCCAAGACTGGGAAAGAGTTTGCTGCAAAGCACTGGTTCGACGGGTTCTCCTCAGTCCATCGATTTCAAATTGACTTTTCTGACACACCCGGGCCACCGCACATTACTTACAGATCTCGACGTACCGTAGACGAGTATCTTGAACATGTCCGCCAAACTGGGAAAGGCGAAGGTCTCACATTTGCTTCGAAACGAGACCCATGTGAGAGCTATTTTAAGAAGGTTATGGCCATTTTCATGCCACCGGGGCGCGATAATAAGAACGTGGGCGTGACGCTTTCGATCAATATGCCTGGGGGTAACCAGATCAAGGACTCGGAGAAAATGTCCATTAATGGTCACACCAACGGCGTCCAGACCCTCCATGCAAAGAGCGACCATCACATGGTGAAGAAGATAGACCCCGAAACTTTAGAACCGCTAGGTGTCGCCGTTCAAGAATCTTTGCATCCGGACCTGAAAGGACCCATTTCCGCTGCTCATGCCAAATCTGATCCCAGGACAGGCGATATCTTCAACTTCAACCTCGAATTTGGCAGGAAGTCTACCTATCGCATTTTTAGAACATCATCATCTTCTGGCGAAACAGACATTCTTGCTACCTTTACGGGCGTACCGACATACATCCACTCGCTCTTTCTGACCGAGAACTATGTAGTCTTGTGCCTTTGGGGCAGCCGTTTTACTTGGGCAGGTACCTCACTTCTATATCACCAGAACATGGTCCAGGCTATTGCACCTTTCGATTCTAAATCCAAGGCAACCTGGTACGTCATCGATCGCAAGCAGAATCGCGGCCTCGTAGCCACATACGAGAGCTCTCAATTCTTCGCCTTCCATTCTGTCAATGCTTGGGAAGAACCATCACCCGACGATTCATCTCGAACAGACATCATCACGGAGCTCGCGGTGTTTGAAAATACAGACGTTATCCATCGCTTCTACTACGACAACCTCCTGTCCTCGAAATCTAGCACAGACTCGGCATATACAGGGACGAAGCGCAGCTCATGTCTACCCATGCATGCCCAGTTCCGACTCCCAGGAATCACAGCCAACGTCCATACTTCAACACCGAGAAAGGCAGAGCGACTTTTTCTAGCAGACAAATCGATCTCCATCGAACTTCCCACTATCAATCCCTCCTACTTGACTCGCCGGCACAGGTACACATATGGCGCCACTGATCGTTTGAAGTCCTCATTCATGGACGGTATTGCCAAATTTGACAACACGACACAAACCTCGATTTTCTGGGAGTGCGAAGGTCATACACCTGGCGAACCTATTTTTATCGCAGACCCGAACGGCAAAGCCGAGGACGACGGCGTACTGTTGACGGTCGTGCTGGATGGCTTCGTGGAGAGGAGTTACCTTTTAGTCCTCAACGCTAGAGATCTGATGGAGTTAGGGCGAGCTGAGGTGCCGGGGCCAGTAGCGTTCGGGTTTCACGGGGCGTTCAAGGCAGACGGGACAAAGTACGCGGGAGATATTTGATAGCCTCAACTGAAGAAGATTTTGAAAAGGAGTTGCCCACAAGCTGCATTTAGTCTGTATGATTCATACTCGATCTCAGTTCCAAACGTTTCCGGAGGGATAGCGAAATGAATTTTCGGAAGGAGTGGTTGGGAAGAAGGTGCGGGGCAAACCCCGGCGCGTCTCGCTTCGCGTTGCGGCTGGTTCTCACAATCAGACCAAGAACCTCGTACACCCACCAAGACACAATGCCGTGAGAAAAGGTCGGTGCAAATGGCACCCGACTGGGGATGAGTCAGCAACTGACATGCCACTTACAAAAAATGTTGCTCGGTAACCACCAGCCCTCGCCAAACACGTCCGATGGAAGTCTGCAGTTGTAATGCACCTTGACTGCAACAGAATCCAGGACGCCCCACCGTTCAGCGACATGGACACACCATACGTTCCACTTAGCCTGGCTCGGCGGGAAATTCGAATCCTCGAGTTGACTCCCGGAAACTACGCTGACGATCTCGTCATTGTCCTTCACATCGAAAGCTTACACCAGAAGCTTCCGGAGTATTACGCATTATCGTACGCATGGGGCAAACTACCATCACTTCAGAAGGCATTGGTCGACGGTAGGGCGATGGCTATTGGTTTGAATCTTGACTGCGCCCTTCGCCATATTCGTTGCACCCTCACTCAACCAATCCGGATGTGGGTTGATGCTTTGTGCATCGATCAGTACAATATAGACGAAAGAAATTCACAGGTCCTGCTGATGAAGGAAATTTACTCTTCGGCCGAGCGCGTTCTCATATATCTGGGCCCAGAGCATGCCGATAGTGCAGCCGCTACAACGTACATACGGAGAAATGAAGTTCCTCGGTCAAAGGAGGAGTACTTTTCCCTTCTAGACTGCGTTGAGTCGATTTGCCAGCGTCCATGGTTTGGAAGGGTTTGGGTCGCTCAAGAACTGGCTCTATCTCGGCAAGACCCGACGGTGTACCTAGGTACAACAACAATCCCTTGGTCACAATTGTACGACTACTTCGTGAATCTAGATCAAGCACCACGTGATCTAGACGGTCATCCAAGAATCACCTCTTTCATGGAGGTCATGTATCGGGTGAGGAGACTAGGGCGGGTTCGGGTTGTACGGACGACAAGTCTAAACCTACAAATCTTTCGCTCCGCGCCTGCTCTAGCGACCGATGAAAGAGACAAAGTATTTGGCCTGCTTGGCATATGCGCTTTCACACCCAATCAGATGAGGCTTGTTCCAGACTACACTAAATCAACATCACGCGTATTTGCTGAGGCAACAGTCTCTATGCTGCAAGAAGGCGGCAATCTGCCATACGGGCTGTTGCCGTTACAGCCTCCAAGCCTTCTTCGAGAGGGATGTCTCTATCAACGTCTCCCTGATCTGCCAACGTGGGCTCTGGATCTAAACATATCCTCACAAGCTGCACAGCTGCATGGCCAAAACGGTCCATATTGGCTGATTCCTAATCGCGCCGTTCACCCTGGATTGCTTCTTTCAAGTACCGACCACATACCAAATCGAGTGCAGGTCTGCAAGGATTTCAAGCGCCTCACTACCTTCGGCGTACACTTGGGGACTGTTGTAGCGACACATTCGTCAGTCATTAACGACGATGGATACAGAGGCTTTCAGAAACGCGCCACCGCATTGCGCAGCATCTACAATGTATACATGAAGCCGCGCCAGATCTCTGCATACTCGCTACTCCAAGCTCTTACTGTGGATTTTAAATCGCCCGTTCTTGACTCGAACATATCGGAAAATTTTCCAGACTTGTTCGAACAACTTCTGAGCTCTCAAGCGGATATCACCTTTCCTTCTCCTTTCTTCGATATCCTTGTGGCGATGTCAAACCACGAGACATGCCTCCTGTTCTTCACTGATAATAATCACGTCGGTATCACAAACCATCACGATCTGGATAATGGTGTTCGTGAGGGCGATGAAGTCGTGGGTCTACTTGGTATCAACTTTCCATTCGTTCTTCGATCGCTTCCAGGAGGACTGGAGATCAGTTCGACATACAACATGATCAACATTGCGCACGTAGCAGATCACCAGTGGGAGCATGACTTCTTAAAGGATGCTAGACCAGGTGCGCAATGGTCAGACTTCCAGGCTAATGGACTGAAAGAATACACAATAGTATAACCCATCGGAGTTCCCAATACGGCGGCTGTAAATCAAGGCGTTCTCGAGCTTACTGCTTTGTACACTGAGCGATCTATATCATTATTACTGTTAAATGGTATGCTATAATCAAATCATTCTGTTGCTGCGCTGCCCCCAGCCTTCATCTCCACAGTATCGTGGTCCGTCTTTTGATCGTCAGACATCCATGGTTCTGAGTCGCCGAGTCGGTCAGCTGTCAGCCCAGCAGAGCCGGGATTGCGCATTCCAGCTTCGAGTTGTCGTGTGTAACTGACTTGTCGCAAGCGCTCAGCCTCTCTTGGGGTGAGATGCAGCTGTGTCCACGTCAGCTATACATTTAGGCAATCAAAAACTGGTTGACTTACATAAACCTCAACACCAATCGCATGTAACGAGAATGCAAGCCACAGCGCCATACCAAAATTCAAGCCCAGTGCTGCGCCTGCATTAGCAGCAGAGGTACCGTCCATATCCGCAAGAACTGCGGACACCTGGTCGGGATTGCTGCCATCTGCATATGATGCACAAGCAGGGTATTCAGACAAGAAGTTGTCATTGTCATCACCAATCGCGAAAGCAATCTTCGCACAGGGCCAAACAACGTGGTGACCTTTGCCCGATAAGATCAGCGCTGCGATGATCATAATGAATCGGTTTGTGATAATCGAGCCAGCCTACAGACGTCAGTAAATGCATCCAACATCGTGTATGATAGTGAGAACTCACGTAGAACCAGCCCCTGAGCATCCAAGCACGATGTTGCTCGATTTGTAACCTCTTGACATTGATGATAGACAAGACGAAGCAGACGAGCACACCGATGCCCACAAAGCCGATCCAGACTTGTATATCTATGCCCCCACCAAATGCCATATGGGCAATCATGAGGGCACCGACAAGGCTCACAACGTATAGCAGGACAGCTAGGTATCCCGATATACGGTGAATGAGAATCCACTTATGACGGATGAACGGTGTGAACTGCACACAGACGAGAAGGCTGGCAGGCATGATGCCAGCGAGATGAAGAATGATTCCGACCTTATCGCGGGTAAACGTTTGGTAATAGTAGCACTCTCCAGGCGCAGCAGAGTTTCCTCCTTGGGGATTTTCGGGGCAAAAGTGTCCACTGAAGTTGATGTACATGAAGCGTGCTAGCGCGAAGCCGAAGAGTGCGCCAGCGAAGATGAAGTATAGGACGAAGTTATAGGCTTTGCTGAAGCCGAGTGGGTTGTAGACCTTGCGGGCCCAGGCATTGAAGCCATTCTTTGCAGGACGGGTGGGCGCGACCATGGTGATGAATTGCCGGGACCAAGACTTGTTCGAGTTGCGATGATGAAGTGAAAAGGGCAGGTCGCTCGTTCGACTCTAGCAGATAGTGGGTGTTGAGGAATGTTTGAGTCGTTGTTTCATCCCCTGTGTTCCCTCAAGTATCTTATAGACATCTCTCATCGACTTTCATCACAGCCTCGAAAAGATGCACCAGCAATCAGCGCAACGCTAACCTACAATGGGGTTCCATTGTTTGCGCTGCCTTGAGATCAACATGGGTTTCAAAACTATGCAGAGGGGGCAGTGTCCGGTCAATTCGTTATACCGACGCGGCGTGCGTTATCGCAAATGAGCTATAGATGGCCCGCTTGGTTGAGCTCTGAAAACAACCAACAAACTGAAGGCTGGAGCATGACCCGTACAGTACGGCCGCAACGCGGGAGGAACCCAGCGCAGATCTGCTGCGGCACGAAGCGCAGCGCAGCGAGTCTCATACCGTCCTTATCGATTATTGGGCACAATGTGAGATCGCAGTCGCAGATGCAAGGCGTGGCTGGTTTGTGCATAGTCGTGTACGTCACCCGCGTCCACCTGCCTGGCGCATCATGCACCCAAAGCGGCTAGCCTCATCGGCTAACCTTGCTCAAACAATGAGAAAAAGATGGGGCCTTACCCTTTTCATTCGCCAGCACGAAGCACGAAGCACGGGTTGCTTATCCTGCAAGTGCTCATTGCTCTACCTACCAACAAGTCTGACGTTGTGAACCACTGCGCCTCAGATGCGGCTACGGGCCTAATCTGACAAGACAGGTGTTAAAACACGATGGACTCCCCAATGCGGAGGATTATGCGCCGTTAGCATTCTTGCGAGGGCTGAACAAGCAATATCTGTGACGATGGTCGGTGTGCCAGGTCGATCCAAGGGTTGTGTGACGTGTAGGCAGAGGAAGAAGGGCGTACGTTTAACCCACCTTTGACATTCGTCTTGACATGACTGTTGTCTACTGATTTAGTCACTAACAGAGTCGCAGTGTGACCTGAAACGTCCTTCTTGTAGTCAATGCCTTGAACGCAACATCAGGTGTGGAGGCTACGACCTGGGCCGAGTCTTTATCACCAGTAAGTATGAGTCCACGCCACAGGCCAGTGTGCGGCCCGCCAAATGTAAAAATCCCGCGAAAGATATGGTGGTCGTCACAGCCTCTACATACCATGTGATGCCTCAGTCTCTCGCACAAACTGCCTTCCGTGCAAAAGGCATGGAAGCCGCCTTTGATCTGTTTCCTACACACCAATGCACACGAGCAGCCCTCCAGTTTGCAGGCCAATTTTCTACGCTTCTCCCGACTCTGAGTATGCAAGATGAGGCGCTTCGTCAGATGATTTTCGCCGTTGGCTTAGTGACGCTCGGGAAAGGATCCAATGACCAGATGGTTCTTCGCAAAGGCCGGATGATGTATGGGAAAGCACTCCAGGAGCTGGGAACATCACTGCAAAATCCCCAACAACGGGCAATCGAGGCTTTGCTCGCTACCACCAGGTTGATGGGTCTCTACGAGATCTTGTACGGTGCTGACGGGGAAAGCTCGACGCAGGCTCGGAACTGGATGAGCCATGCCCAGGGGGAGATTGCTCTGATTGTATCGAGAGGTCCTGAAGCCTTCACCACAGACACTGCGCATCTCATGTTTACACTTGCTCGATACAACTGCGTAAGTTGCTGCTACGGCTTATGTGTTCCATTCTTGCTGACCATGTGATAGGCTATCACCGGAATACGGTCTCGTAGACCGGTTGTATTCAATGAGAAACGGTGGAAGACAGTTCCTTGGCAAGGAAGAACAAAGTCTGCCAACGATGGCATCATCGACATCCTCTTGGATATCCCTGCTCTCCTTGCAGATCTCGACTACTTGGATCACATGTTACCCGACGACCAGCGCTTTGAAGAACTCAAGAACAAAACTACCACGAACTGTTGGGCAGTTCATCGCGAACTCCAGGCATGGGTTGTAGAAAACTCACATGAAGTCTATACACCTAACCTAGAGGCACCAGTCCCTATTGAGTTTCCTAGTCTGGGCGTGGCGACGCTCTCTGTACGCTACTGGGCGACAGCAACTATTCTCTACCAGTCTCTCGAACGTGCCTTACGCTACTCAGCAGGTCAAACGCTCCCGCCACATCTTGAACGCCCACGTGGTCGAGTGTACGCCCGCTTCATCGTGCGTTCTGTATCCTGGCTCTTCAAGAGGGATCATGGGGTGGCTGGTCCCTCGACTGTGTTGTTCCCGCTCGGCATAGCCTTGATGTACCTAAGGCAAAGCGAGTTACCGGATCCAGAATACATGGATCTGGTATTCGCTAAATGGGACGACCCTGACTGGCCTCGGTCGGTGAAAGACTTCTTGAGAAGCATGAGCAGAGCTATTAATTTACCAACCCGGACAATCTCGGAGAACCCAGTCACATGTTCAACGAGCGAGCTGAGACCAGTGTACGACATAGATGGTAATGCTCTCAGTGGTCCGCGTCTTAATCCATCACGATTCAAGTCAAAACAAGTAGACATTATACATTTGAATGGGTATTCCAAGGACTCAACACGAGCAACAAACGCCAACGCTATGCAACAACACGTATCACCGGCAGCTACCAGTACGAGAACTATACCTTAGTCAACCTCGATTAACCCAGGCCCAAATATCGCCGCCTCCGCCATCTTATCCGCACCCGCAAATTCATCCGCTCCCATCGTGACCGCCGCAATAGTCAACCCGTTCATGAGAAAGTCGTCATACGGGAATGGTGCTTCAAAGAACACCTTGTCGCCATCCATCTTGACGTTTTCGAACTTCTGCACAATCGGCTGGTTCTGGCCGTTCAAATACGTCAGCCGCATATCGTTCGTGTCGAACATCCCGGCATCTTTCATGTTGAACGAGAACTTGATGTTTTGGTTCTCAGCCGGAATCGTTTTCGTTTCAACAGTCAGCGGCTTGAACCTCTTCAACGGAATGCTACCGATGTTTGGACAAGAACCTTCGACAACAAAATCCTGGATGGCAGTGAATGCGAAATCGCGGGTGGCTGTTGTGAGGAAGGGCTGAGATGATGGCCGCTTCTTTTGCATTAACCGGAAGAATCCTTCTTGCTCGGCTTCATTGCCAACGACAGATGTGACGGCGCGCACAAGCCCATCGTCCTGGTTTTTGGCGAAAATCTGGTTTACGTCTTGGAGAGTACCCAGGACGACGTCGGTGAAAGTGCCAGCTAGTGCAATGGCGGATTGAAAGTCCGTCACTGGAACTGTCGAGATATCATTAGACTAGGTATGGGTGATATGTGTAGTAAATGACTTACAGTTGTACTTGCATGGCTGTATTTTCTCTTGGTTGAAGTGCTCAAGTGCGCCGTTTGCATTGAGTACATGCAATTCTTCTTGGTTGACAATGGCATTCAACGAGTCAAGCATGTAGTCGTGGCCCATCCCCAGATCGTATCCCGAGACTTTGTTTGTGACGTTATAGATCAACTCTGTGAAGAAGGCTACTTCGAAAAGCTCGTTCAGCGCGATCAACTTGAGGTTGGTGACACCCTCCGCACTGAGCGCAGGTGGCGGTGGGCCGTTTGGTAAGGTACCATGTGCCCCATCCTGGATTGTGATTTCGCCTTCTCGGCTAGGGGTTGGGAATCCATTGGGAAGCGGAAAGTAGTTGCCATCTGGTGAAAGACCAGATTGTCGCTTGCCTGTAGGTGCTGCTGAGGTGAAGCTGGTAACAAGTGCAGCTGCGTAGAGTATACTAGTATACATCATGGCTGGTGTGTATATTGGTTAATGATATCAAGTGACTTATTGAACTCATAAAGCCTGGCAAACAAGCCTCTTGACAGGTGTCGGGGCACATATATACTAGGCATACTATCGTCTCGGCATCGTCGCGCTTCCGGCTGGCGGTAGTGGCACAGCCAGTCTGCACTACTCAAAGCATTCTCGTCTTCTACCGTCTCACATCCAGCCATTAGGTCCATCTTTTGTTGCTGGCTTATCGGAGTAACTGTGCGCACTACATCGACGGATGGTGCGGCAGCCGGAGGCCTAGTTGGTGCAGAGAGGGTTCCGCACAGCCAAGCTTCAGACACAAGAGGCTGAGCCATAATAAGAAGACCAGAATGCTAATTGTAGAATGCTTGGCATTTATCATTGGCAGATCGTTTGGGAACCATCAATTCAGAAAGCTTGTTTTGCTAGTTTTGAAGCTTAAGTGACACCCTCGGAGACGTCAATCCAGGGTCCGTAACAGGAACCGTGTCACAAATCCAGCTTCGGGCAGGACGAGTGGACGCGGGCTCCCCACTTCCGAGGAACATACCCGGTCTCATGTTTCTTTGAGTACCTCGAGTCCTGAGTGTAGAAAGCATTGTTTGGAACAGGTGTGTGGGAACCAAAGGTCCCTTCTCGAATTGGCGCGAAACGCTTCATCGATCTTCGAGACATTCTTAGCCTCAGCGCCGTAGCTGCGCATCTGTTTTGAACTAAAGATAACATCGCTCGTCTTCCAATAACAACTTCCAAATCGTGCTTCTAGAGGAGCTCTCACACCTGGTAAACGGTTTTTCCTATGGAAGGCAATACAATTTTCGAGAATACCATTGTTAGCACCACACCCTTGTGCAAGCAAAGATCCACAGGAGAGTCCAGAACCTGTTCCTGGTAGTCTGAGGTATAGACAGCCAGTACGCAATCTGGATAAGACGAGTGGTCCGACAGGGAGGGACGGCTGATGACAAACGTGAGTGATCGAGAGAAAAGAGCGATAGTCTCGGACCGACTTTTCCCACGCTAGCGAATGAAGCGCGTTTCGACGCGTCTGCACCATCGTCCTCGTCATTGCTTCACGCACATTTGAAGATTGAGTACGCTTGCACTTCGCAGTAGCGTGTCTCCCTCTTGCAATAGCGTTCAAATTTCCGTCTTGTGGTTTCGATTTGCTGGGACGCTGCGATTCACAGAAGTGAGCGAGCATGGCTTTGGAGAGACGTACCATGTTCAGGACCGTCTGAAAGATCACGCGTAAGGAGAAGCCTGCTCAACAAGCACAACATCCGCCCAGCATGGTCCGTCCAAACCTGGTTTCCAATCTTGCGACTCTGAACACACATGCCTGGTTCTCCAGAAGCCGGACACTTTGCGGAAGCCAGAAAGCTTGGTCGCAATTCGAATCGACGGACCTTGTACGGAAGTATAGACCTACAGCCACGATGCACCGGGAGATATGGCCCACAGGAAGAGAAGGTGTTGCTCACCAGCGGTTGCCGATGTTACGAGAGCTCCATCTGTTCATCCAGCTCGTCATGCTTGTGAACGCTTCCCCATATCTGGCCAGCAGGCGTATAGAGTGATGCTCTTGTCTAACATTCACCCCTACTAGCTAAACTTAAACAAATATAAGTAATAACCTTACTATTCTCTAAGTTGCAGATAGCTCTAATAATTATAGAGCAGGGTCCTAAGCTAGGAAACTCTTAACTTAAGTGCAACTTTGCATAGATTATAGACATACTTAAAGAATAGCTTAGTGTTCTAATTAACTTATTATAAGTAATAAAACAACCTAATGTCTAAGATTCTACTTAACTATAGCATCTTTTGCAGAAAGCTTTGTTATTGCCTATAACATACGCATTATGTCTTTAGCACTGTTAAGTGCAGAGGCAATATGCCCAAGGCGTTTGATACAATGCAGGAACGCCATATCGTTTGACAAGCTTTGCTCTGCTGCAGATCTGCTGCAGATCTGCAGGGTGCTTGATCATGAAAGCTCAGTATCGACGGCGAGCAACAACTGGCCTCGTCCGATACTCTTGTAGTAGCCTCTGAATCAAAAGATAACTTACAATCTGCTCTCATTTTGCAGCAACCATGTTACAGAGTAAGCCTCTTTGGACGCATTGTTGTTCTGCAACTCACAACTGTGTAGAGTCTATGGATTTGCTCCGACGGCCTACTGGCATATCGACTTTTAACTTATAGAGTAGCTCTCTTAGTTGCCTACTTGCTGATCGCCACTGGAGGCACTGCGTGTAGTTTCAGCCGTCTGGGGAGCGTCGGCACGACTTGAGAGCAATCTCTCACGATTGACCAGCAACACACCATACTCTAATTATACACGGAAGGACGCAGATAAACCTACTCGTTGTGAAAATGCATGAATTACTAATTCGAAACGTAAGTCATGGCTGAACGTCGGCTTGCAGCTCTATCTCTTTGTTCCGAGCTCTCGGGTGCAATACTCACCTTGTATGCACACTTACTCTTTCACAGCATCGCAACAACAAAGAGAACTCTCTAGACTCGCTTACCACATCTGTCAATTGGATACAAATGCCGGGTATGCACTGACACTTTGCACGTGAAGGGATTCACTGACCCAAGATATCACATCGAACACAAGCTTGGGTTGAGCACCGACCAAGGGCTAAGACGTCCTTCCTTTTCGATGGTTGCGCAGATACGATAATGACCAGGATACGCGAAGAAGGTGCGTCGTCCTCGTGGTTGTGTTAGCGGTGATCGATCGTGCCTTGATCGGTGTGGACAGGAAGTCCGGGTGAACTTGAGTGGATGACAGGCTTCTAGAAGCCCTGCCGAACCGTCTCTAGTGCCATGCGCTACAATACATGCTAGATCGGTGTGGCGGTGGTCAGAAGCCCATCGCGAACCCGTGCACAGCCTTACACGTACGATCGCACGGTGCGTTGACGGATGACCAGCCAGGACACCCCACGACGATGGCTCTGGCGCTTCAGCTTGAAGGTCAATGGAGGAAAGTTAGTGACAGATGTAAGCACTTCCCCAACCCAACGTTGTCTGGGCGATTCAGGCTTCCAAGATCTGCAGAATCCAGGTCCTTATGCACTTCAATGGTTACCTCAAGACGTTGCAAACGGTGCCTAGGGTGTGAGAGTTGGTGTGTAGGGCGCCGCTGACAACAACAGATTTAGAACACTTGGGCATCCATCTTCATGGGATGTTGGGGTAGAGAGGCGTAGTGCTTGCTGCCGCTACCCATCTGGAGTGGTTGGTCCTATTCTGAGACCGAACAACTATCTCGAGCCGGCATGCGAGACCACCTTTTCCTCACCCACTACTATTCGAAATGAACAGAACGGCATGTTACATGTCTCCTCAGCTTAGTACACCATGTCAATCCCGTTCTTGCAGAATCGTACGACGCCACAAACAATGGATTTGCGGAGGAAATATCGCATATGTCGATCTGGACCTGCATGGGGCGCAGACGCGGCTATGCCGAACGTCCTTCGTCCTCTACCGCGATTGCAGGTTGAATGCGCCCTGACCAAACCTACCTAGGGAGAATGCTGGCATTGATAGTTTCCCACCGTCCAGCTTCAAGATACCAAGTTATACACAGAGAATAAGATGGCAAGAAATAGATGGACATGCATGAACGAAGTTAAATAAGGTGTTAGGGAAAAAGAATGCCATAAAATGTCGTCTGCATAAGGTAAATACTGGTCGTTGTAGAAATTCGTCGTGCGTGGACGATAAGTCATCGTGCGCCAGGATTGAATGTCAGACCATGAAATTGTGCGTAAGAGCTGCATCTATGGGGCGATTTTCAATTTGTGTCACCATAAGTACCTAGAACAGATGCACGCATCCTTGTCTCCCGTTGGATGTAACCTCGCTTTCAAACGTCACAAAAGTGAGGCATTGACACCGATTTTACCAAGTCTGAACCTTGTCTGACTGGGTATGTCAGAAAAGAGAACGCAAGGTTCAATCTCCTGAGAGCCTCACCGGGAATAACTGTCACTGACTTTGATTGCAGAAGGTGTGTGTGTTCGCTTCGTTTGCCCATACTGTTGTTCGATCTTGGCAGTCTTCTCGTAGGCCAATAGATACAAAGCTGAGATTCACGTCCCCAGGGGACTAGTCAATGGACCCATCAATCATGGGTTCCTTCGTAACGATCTATCGAGCTGTCGAACTCATCGTCAAAGTCTCCAAGCGACGGAGATGAACTCACATTCGGAACGAGTCAGGACAAGCGACCTTTTCTTGGTGATGGATACGGGTGTTTCAACTTGGCTGACTGCATGGCCAAGAGCGTCGTATGATCTGCAGAGACGCGACCTGAACAAGCGCATGGCGTGTACAAGACGCTCGACATCCGAACAATGGAGTCTATTGATGAGCGGAATTCCCCACAAGTGCAGCCAACCTTGTGGGGGATTTCGCAAAGCTTCCACGAAAAGCATGCCAATGCATGGTGACGCTTGCAGTTGCGCCACGTACTGCGCCGTTAACAATTACGCCGCCAATGATGTTCCTGGACAATCGAGAGGAGCTGGCGCGGTTTCATTGTCCTGTGCGCATACATGGCTGGCACCTGGACAGGGCCCTGGGCAGAGACCATCTTGCAGATGAAATAAGGCATCAAGGAGAACGGCGCAAAAGAACTGGATCCTTCTCGGCAAACCCAGCTCGGGGCCAAAATGCATGCATCACAACTGGAATGCTTTCACAATGGAATTTCTCCTGACCCCAATCAGTGCGCCTTCGAATCGCCTCCCGACTTACTAGTATACGTCGGCGTCCCCAGTGAGATTGAGCATCGCCAAGTCCTCACCGTCGAGGCGTGTTGGCCACATGTTCACTCTGTCCTGATCGCCAAGCACTTCACATCCAGATACCTAGCCACACCCTGTCAGCGTGCTGCAGGCATCGCCAATCCCGCACGGGGATGGCGGCTAATCGAGCCCGTCGTATCGCTCAATAGCCGAGATAAGATCCACTAGCCAACAGATCGTGCGTTCTGCAGGTCTTCGAAATCAGTAAGGCCCGCCTGCAGGCGTAAAAGGCGCGTTGGCCCGTTGACCACTCGTATCCAATACCGGGTGTGGGGCGTGATTTTAGACACGTGATTAGGTAGTGGATTCGACACATGGAATCTTGGTTGTGAGTAAGCACGCTACCCTATAGCGGACCAGAGACGAACGCATGTCGACAGCTGGCCAAGACTACCTCACCGAGCCGTGTGATGCATGTTGACGGCACGGCGAATGCCCGATGTCTCATCAGCCCAACGAAATAATCGTTCTGTAGATAACATGTTCGACTGGAATGTGTTCTGGAAAGTATGTCTATTGAATGTTGAAGATGTAGGTATGCTGCATGTCAACGTCCGCTGTACAAATTTGCGTATCGCTGCTCGAAACACAGGCTTCCCCAACGCCGAATCAGATCCCTAAGGAAAAGCGTGGAGACAAATAAGAGAGCCTATAACATGGAACGTTCCACATATGTCGGCCATGGTGATTGCTGCTTCTTCAGCTTCTCCTTCTCGTGATGTTGCCTCAGTTTGTCTCGAAGTCGCCTGATGAGCTTCTTCTCCTTCGGCCCAAGAATTTCCTTTAGCTCTTCTAAAGAGTACTTGCGGTTTTTCCCCTTACGACCGCCGCGATGCAAATGTGTCCAATAATGGTCGCGCAGGTTGTCACCACGCGAGAATTCGGAAGTTTTGCATTCAGGGACCTTACATTTGAATTGCCTCTCAGGGGAATGTTTGGATCTGAAGTGCCGTCGAAGATGCTCTGGGCGAACGAAGGATCCTTTGCATCCTGGCTCAGCACAAACATACCCTCGTGTGACTGAGTGTTGGATGTTGCCGACGGAGACAGTCCATTTGTCGATATGAGGGCGCGGAGATTCAGTCTTCATCTTGGACGACTGGCTGTAATTTGATCCTTCCTCGTCTGTATCTGAATCCTCGTCGGACGAATCTTCTCTCCCATTCCTTCTGGCATCAGAAGGAGAAACCCCGTTGTCAGCGATCATCATTGTTTGGATGGTCTCTGACATTGGGTAATTGCTATGTGGAGAATACGGATGAGGCAGGAGAGCAATGTTACTGGTATGCGCAAGGTCAGGAGCCATACTTGGGGAAGCATAGTCATCGTATGGGCTAGGTATCCAAGATTGTGTGGCGAATGGCTGAGTATCCCAGAGCTCACTCTCCGCGAATTGATGCGCCCAAATCCCACCGTTGTTTACCCAGTTCGGATGACTTGTGGAGCGACATCGAAGTGGTCGAGGTTGTTCTAGAAGCTGGTACGCAGGCAGTTGCAGCTGTTCGGGATAGGGTGGAGAATAGAAGCCATCTGATGAAGGTGTTGCGATGCCTTGAGAAGGGCTCATGGACATTCTCGACGATTCCGGACTTGTAGAGTCGGGCATGTCCATCATGAGCCAGGGGTCTAGAGTGTCGTTCGCTACTCTAGTCACTGGAAAATTCAGAATTTCCTCGGGCACAGTGTTGAAGTATGGGTTTCCGTCAAATGACTGCTGGCTAGAATCTGGTGTACTTGGATTGTTTGACGCAGAGCGAAACGGCAACTCCATCATGCTCGAGTAGGAACTATGGCCGTAAAGGGCAGATTTTGGCTGCCTCATTGCGTAAACGGGGGCTGTCGGGCCGATTAGATGTGCAGTGGATGTTGAGATTGACTGTACGTACCAAGACGTTTTGTATGTGAAGGGTATCGAGATGAGAGGAGAAGATCGAGATGAGCAAGAAGCTATATCGAGTAATTCTGTGATGGTTGAACAGTGCTGATTGACCGGTGGGGAGGCAAGCCATTATATGAAGGCTAGCACTGACTACAAATCCGGCCCTCCTGGGTTGTGGTTGGGCCAAGTATGATAGACTGCCCCAGTCGTTGATCGGTGAACACACCACAGGTTTGAGTCCCAGAGGCTCGGTACCTGACTATCCTGCATTTGAGCCTGCATACCGCACGCACACGGCCGTTCCGTTATGCTATGAGCTTAAGAGACAATGAGCTGAGCGGGACGAACTGGCAAGGGTACTCTGTGTGCTCTAGTGCGGCGTAGTCGCGTCTGAGACCGGCTTTGTTCGATATTGCGGGAAACAGCGATCATGCTGTTCACAATGATGCTTGGCGTTCCGACAACAGATCGTTCGCCGACGTGATTGGAGCTGCAGCTGTGCCTTCGTAGGAACCCACAGTTGTGATGTTAATCAGTACTCACGAGAGTAGCAGCAAGTGGAACCATCTGCTACCTTCACCTGAGAAGACCTGGCCGTGTCCTGACTGGCTACGGCGACTCCCTGGCCAGAATCTGTTAGAGCTTGGCATGTAGACTATTATCGTGCTCGCAACGTCTGTGCACGTGGGGAATTCATTGATGGCTGCCGCGAATCTTGTAGAATCCGCTATCAATGTGACGAGGCCTGTTTGATGGCGCTAGTGGCCTTGACAGGACCACGACGACATGGGTTGTATACATGCTAACGCCGGGAATGCGTCTGTGCCCCACATGGACCAAGATAGCAGCATTGAGTCTAGTACCTAGTCCTGCTGCAGCGGCAGCCCTGCATAGGTTGGCATTTTGAAAAAGGCCGTGCATACCTGATTCCTTTGTTGTTGCTGCGGACACCCCGTTTCACCAGCGTACAGTCCTTGACCCAACTACGATGTATTCTTTTGAACATACCGGTAGACGACAAAAATACTCCTAAACACCCAATACACGGTATCAGCCAGTGTTCTTGGTCTCCGATGAGCATGGAAGTTAGACTGTGATACTTCCAAGGTTGGCTGCTTCGCCATGCTACTATGTGGCGCAGGGAGGAGAGCAAAAATATAGACCAATGAGAGAGCCCAGTATCTTTGAAATTGGTGTTTCCGTTGCCTGCTGGAATTTCGAATGAACGTGTGCGTTTGCGCAAAGGGAGTTCGGCGCAAACAACATGGCGATCAAAAGAGCGACTTGAACTGCTGATCCCGTCGTCATTTGCATATTGATCTGCAAGGAGATTGTTATGTTGTAGACAAGAATACTTCCGGGCACTTACGCCCCATGATGGTGGGCGCAGAGATCGGGTCGTCTATCAGACCCGCTGACGCGCGGAGGCCCGATCGATTCAATTCCAGATTCGAACGATTTGGCAATGGCCTTTGAGTGTTCCGATTACCTAGTGAGAAATGCGTTATGTTCGCGATACGCACGTGTTGATCAGACTCCGGCCAAGGGCAATCCGGCGTGCAGATGTGGGATAGCAGCAGCCATCGAGGACAGGATCGCGAGGCTACCTATGAACGAGAAGCTTGAGCGAAGCACTGATATTCGTCAAGAATCCATATACACGCGTGCCACGAACATCAGGCATGCCCCCCGATTGGCGAGGTGAAAAAGATCAGACCTCAAACTTCGCTCTTGAAGATTGGTGAGACGATGAAGGCATCAAACCAAATCGGGGGTGAACTGCGCCGTTGCAATCGGTGGACGGTCTGATCGTGGATGACTCAACATTGGTTGTCAAATGAGGGTGAAGCTAAGTGACAGGGTGGGACGGATATGCGGCTCGTTGTCTGCATAGAGGCGCGGGTGCACCGTTGTTAGCGGGCACACCTGAGCGCAGGAATCGATAATCACGTGCGTGGGCTGACGATGGATGAAATCCACGAAATGATCGGGCATCAAGACCAGATAAACACCGTGTAGATCTCAGCTCCATTGCAACCCCGCCTAAAGTTGAGGTAGGAATGAGGGGCCACTGCATGCATAGATATTGCTGCAAGTGCATACGAACCTCAAACCATGGTCAGTTGAGGACCTGTCATCCAGTCATGGATAGATATGGCTGTTCAGTCGTGAGTCCTGCTCTCGAGGGCTCAGCTCGACCCCAAAAAGCTGCGACTCGCGCAGATCATCGACGGCGTTGCTGAACAGTGCGTCCATGATTAGTGTACGCGCAATCTTCCTTGTTGTACAACTGACCAGGCTGTCGGGTTCCTTGCGACCTGCTCAAAAGTGACAGGTATGCAGTCCTAGTAGCTTTAGCTTCAAAGAATCGCTACCTGTGAATCTTAATCAACTTTCGCTACATCCGAATGATGTCGTGAATTAGATGTGATGTTTGCGCCATCAGACCCCTGCTTCTTATCGCGCCAACGTCGCGCTTGCAATCCTTCCTCCAAGAGGTCGCCGACTGGCAATTAATCCGAGTGGCTGGAGGCACGCATCGCCGAACTCCCCGCATCGTCGTTGCATCACTACCCGCCACAACGCTTCTGGTCCAAAACACGCGAGCAGTGCATGGCCGGAAATCTTCCGTGCTTATATCACAGTGTTCGTAATCAAAAGTCCAGGGGCCACTACTGTAGATGTTACTAGTTCAATCTTAAGGCACAACTTCACAGCGCTCGTTAATTCGTAGAGAAGAGCAGCAGTCTCAACTTGATTCTTGGACTTGTTGTCCCAGCTACGGGACCCTCGAGTACGTGCTACTACCTATTCTGACACCTTGATAATGACGTGACTCAAACGCTTGACGACCGCACAGTGTGTCTGCATTATGAGTTGGCACATGCCTTCAGAGGTTCAAACCTGAGAGCTTCAGCTTTCGTTACACTAACATTGGAAGAGCGTCTCGTGAGCATTGGGGTTGTGTCGTTCTAGAGCGCGAACGGAAAGACCGCAGCGTTTGGGTTGCTGGGCGCGTTTCTTGGCAGCATGGGACCTTGCCTATTTGGGGCCTTGCTGGTTTTCAGCCTTTTACCCTAAGTTCCGCTTTTTTCGATCGCTCTCATCCCGTTGAAGAGTGGGCCTACTAAGCTGAGTACGGAGCGCCTAGGATAGCGTAGCAAGCCCTAATAATGTGATATCTTGGGGTACCGTAGCCGACCATTACACCTTCGGTAAAAGACTGCAAGGTTGAAGTTCTGCGATCAAGCGCTGAGATGCACTGTTCTGTGCTTCGCGCGTGTCATGATGACGGGACAAAAGCTGGGAAGTCTACTATGCTCCACGATTACTATTATACGTCTGGCATGCAAGAATGCTGGCGTTGAAAACCAGTTACAGGCTTATCGATGACGAACGAGCGTGCTTCCTGGAGGGTCCCATGAGCATCCTGTTGTTGAGGTATCTCTACCCCGTCCAGCAAGGTCCGTTGTAACCACGTTGGCAAAAGGAAGTGTATCGACAGATCGAGGTCCGGCTTAAGGATACCGTCCGCAAAGAATAATTGCTTGGACCATTACTGCGACATTGCTTAAGGCTGAGCATGAGGCTGCCACTTACCAGTGTCCAGGGGTAGCGCTTCTGGCGATACTGGGTAGACCGCGTTCGTGAAGCCAGCAAACGGCACCAACAATCTTCGCTTCTTGATACTGGTTTCTGTCTGCACCGTTGATCGTTACAATACTCCCTGCAGGCATGTTCGACATTACGTGATCGGGCGCTGAGGTTGTGTGGAGCTGTGCTGTCTCGCCATATCTTCAGCGCAACTCGTACCGGAGCAATGTACACGTACACGCATGCCACGATGGTAGTGCCCGCCCTGGTGTGATGGAGTGATCCACGACAAATCACCATCTTCCTCTTCCTCGCCCATGCCAGTTGCCGTCCGGTCCTCCAGCACTAACGCCGCCTCCTCTTCCTCTACCGTGGCCGGGCTCACGCTCCGGTGGTGCTTCACCCCGCCTCCATTCACCAGATGGAACACCTCCACTTGGTCTCCTATCGTCGTATGGTCTCCTGTCGTCGTATCTTCCTCCTCTACCACCACGTCCGAAAGCGAAATCACCACGTCCGCCGTACGCGCCAGGCGGGCCTCTTCCTGGTGCAGACACGGGCGGTGGAGCTGCTGGAACGCTGCCATCAGGCAATGGTGGGAGAATTGCGCATGTCACGTAGTCTCCGATCAGATATTTGGCATCGCTCAAAGTCTTGTCTGGATCCCCATTCAATTGCTTTAGCGCATCAGCGATCGTTGCTCCGTCGCCATCACCCATGTCGCCATCCTCGTTCGTCGTACGTGCGCCAATTATGACCGATCCAATGTCTCTAGTGATGTAACGCCCTTGCGCGCCGGGCCTGTTTGAGCCTTGGATGTCAGGGTAAACCAGCCGAAAGGCAATTCGTGAACCCGCGTATGGCTGTGGTAGCAAATTGGGCATGGCTCCCAGAAAGAGACCACACAGCTCGCGCAATGTACAGCTTTGCCATGTGTATATTTGGAGGTGAGTGGGCAAGCGTGGGAGTGTTGGATCGAACTCATCGAGCCTGAGCTGCACGTCAACATCTGGCTTCGTTGCACGGCTACTTTACGCACCTGTGGTAAGATCCTTGTTTATAAAACAGTCTTAACAAGAATGGGGTCGTAGCCTCCCTGTCGATGTGGGTAGCCATCTTGACGTACTGATTTTGTGTATGAGAGCTGGTGAAGGCGCGTCATGCTGGGTTGAGCTCCCCACTAGCGCGGTCTTGGCGCGTCGCCAGATTCTTGATCTGTTTCTTGAGCTCAATGTAAGAAAAACCTACACGCACGATGGACTTCGCGAAGTTGATGTCAGCGCAGATCAACAAAGGGAAGCAAAGTGCTTCGCCTGCCGCTTCTGGCGAAAAGAAGTACCTCAAACGTAGCGAAGTCGAAGCGCAAAGACGCGCCACGTACCGGGCGGAACAAGAGGCCGAAGAGAAGGCGCGTGAGGAAAGGTTACAAAACAAACGGAAAGCAGATGAAGATGAGGCGGCGAGAGAAACCGAAAGGCAAGAGAAGCGCAGACGACTTGCAGAAGAATCTCGGCGCATAAGAGAGGAGGAAGAAGAGGCAGAAGAAAGGAAGAGAAGAAAACGACTGGGGCTGCCCGACCTGCCACCTAAGAACCAAGTTGGCGAGGACAGTACAGCAGTGCCAGAGGAGGAGGATATAACCGAAGAGACTCTGATCGAGAAATTGCGAGCCTCGAACGAACCCGCGCGGCTGTTTGGCGAGACACACAAACAACGGTTGAAGCGGTACAAGAAGCGCATAGGTGCGGAAAGCCTGGCAGCGATCATGACAGACGGCCCAATACCCACCACTCTGCAGCTGGTGCCAGAGAAAGACATGAAGGTTGAGGTTCATGTACCGAAGGAAGCCGAAGCACGGAAATTCCTTTTCAGACAGCTTGCGAGCTACTTTACAATGGTTTTAAAGGAATGGGACGTCACGTTGGCCCGGCGAGATGGAGATGTGAAGGAGAGCTACCAGGGCAAGCAAGCATATGCTGCAATGGTGCAAGCACGGGAAAACATGCGACCTCTGTTCAAGAAATTAGAGAAGTTCGATCTTCCAGACAGCATTGTCCTGCCTGTTGTGCAAATTGTACACGCGGCGCAAGAGCGACGCTACGTCGATGCGAACGATGGTTATCTCAGACTCAGTATCGGCAATGCCGCATGGCCGATCGGTGTTACCATGGTTGGTATCCACGAGCGCAGCGCACGCGAGAAGCTGCACGAGAATGAGAACTCCGCACATATTCTGAGTGATGAGAGCACGAGGAAATACCTGCAAAGCATCAAGAGGTGTTTGAGCTTCGTACAGACCAGGTGGCCTCCTACGGACCAGATGCAGCTGATGGGGTAGATCACCTTGATTGGAGCAAACTGGAACTGGAATGGACGAAGAGAAATATGTCGAATGCCGAGGAAACGATAGCGCATCAATCCTACAGCAATATTTACGTACAGCGCGGACTCGGTATGTGAGGCTTTCGCAACGAGCCAAACTATTTCCCCCGTCAACGCATAAACCTAATCCCTCTTGGCCGAGTCTCTTGTGGTGGTCCGCTCGCCATACAAAACTCTAGAAAGGCACCGGGTCTTCATGGGTTTTTGGGAGTCGCGCAGATCTGGATAATCTATTCTGTTATTCATTGATCTTTCACATACGACCATAGGACGTTGAAAACAAGGCTTCCCGTTCGCTCAGCCCTATTTAAGCAACGTACCGGCGGATTAGTACTCAGGTGGGTGACCACTGGGGAATCCCCGCTGTTGTATGTATGAGATTTATTTTTGCTGTTCTGCGGAGATCGATGGAGGGTGGCTGGTGATGCAAGTCATTTAAAACCTATCGCACCTGCCCCTTCTCGTGCGACTGCCCCAGTTGATAGACAGTGTGACTTTTTAGTAGAGCTCGGCAACCAACTAACAAAGAAGTCGAGCGCTGACATCAGTTTGAGGCAATCATGCCTTCATGAGCATTGCACATCTCGTTACGCATTGGTATCAATCCATGGCATTTGAACAAAACGACTGTTTTGCTCAGGATTATAAGAGGTCTTTCCGCCCCCAGGTGCTAAGTTTCAGCCTTGTCGAACACATCTTGGCATGTGGTGATGGTACAACATGCCAGCCTGCCCTTCATCCCTTATAAAGAGAATCGTTGCTCTTCTCTTCGCACTGTTGCCATTCTCGGTAATAGTTTGCAAGGCGATCGAGTATTTGAAAGTCCTAAAACATCTACTTATTGTATCGTTCGCCTCATCAAATCGACGACATGAATCGCAAGGCTGTGCCTAGAGCACATGGGCAGACTGAGCTACCGTTTGTTCACCCACCCCAATTCTGTTTTGACTTCGCTAACCTAAGTAGAAATTGGAGTTCGAATGCTCGGCTGTTAGACGTTGAACCAGTGGGGAGGAAAGAGACTTCACCTCAACCACAGAACTCGAGATTACGGGACTTCACAAGACACGTCCGTCTCTCAATGCCGAGTAATATTATCGGCAAAGCTCTACCTTGGCAGTCGCCTTTAGAGCAACGCAAAGTGGCTTTATACAAGAGTCGACGTATGGCAGCTCTGAACAGCTTGCTCCATGTGATACCTTTAGCAGGAGCGATTGTCTTGTTATTCTTTCACTGGACGAAGTACTGGGTAGGTGGGGCTCTCGCTAACGTCACGACGCTGCAATTTGCAGCTAAGGCCCACGAGCTTTTCATGCAAGCCTCACTCCTAGACATCCTTTGCTATATCGTCCGAGCCCAAGCACTTGGAGGTTACCTTCCACTTGGTGCGCTTACAGCAGCGGCTCAAGCACCCCAACTATCATATCTGTGGTCGTTGAACTTCATTTCGGCTATCTGCACTCCGGGGTATAGTGCGTGGCGCAAACTCACGTTTTCTCTGTCGATATTGACGCTGCTCCTTATGACTGCAGTCGTTGGCCCGTCCTCGGCGATCTTGCTGATACCTCGACCAAACATGCCGCACACCAACAGTGTCACGATCCGGTACCTGAAGACTTCTGAGGCAACTCTATTTCCTGATCACTTGAACAATACACATTACCTCGACTTGTAGGCCATCACTGATCCAGCCCGGAACAAGTAAGCTAACGATCGTGATAGTGCAAGACAGGCCGAGACTCAAGGTGCCATCCCGATGGGCACTGAACATTCTTCCAATGGTCTAGAGTCTCGATCTACTAGCCTATTGGTGACCGACTTGGATCCTACTCGCCCCGATAATGGGGACGTCTTACGAGTTGGTCTGCAACTGGATGTTTTAGAACCCCAAACCAAGTTGCACATCGCTAATTGGTCTATCGGGGCCTTGCCGACGGTATTGAGCACACTGCAGCTACGAAATCACAGCTCAATACCCAATGTTGTCAATGCTGATTACAGAGACTTAATGTCTGCCAACGCAAACTGGACTCTTCAGACCACACAGCCTGTGGTTATGGTAGCTTGTACAACCTCATTCAACACAACCGGGGAAATTGCTTACTACCGGACCGACGGGTTGAGATACATCCTCACCGAAGCAGACGATCTGTACGCAGAACTCCGATCCGACAAGTCTAAAGACCGTTCATCTCTTTGGATACCAATGCCGCAGGATTCAACGTCAGTACTTGGACTGTTCCAGACACGAACGGTACTGAAAAAAGAGTATTATCATGTTTGTACTGTGTCGCCTTTCTGGTGGACGGCTACAACATCACTGACTCCCGGCAAGTCAGGAATTCTTGCGCAAACTGACTGGCCTGAGAGGAGAGAGGTCATGGAAAACAAAACCTTAAGACCAATTACTATTGATCCTGAGGGAATTCCCTCAATGGGTACAATAGACATCAATACATGGTCGCAAGCCCATGAACAGAGAAAGACCGTGCTAGCACTCTTCCTATCTGCACTTTCACAACTTCCCGGTCAGAACAATGCCGAGGTGAAAGACGACACCGATGAATTGGGCGGCTATATCGATCCAGATGATGAACTTGGTTTGGGCGAAAGCAACATCGACATTGCTGATAACGGTATCCCGGAAGATCTCTACACAGGATACAGTCAATCGGAAGTGGGCGACACCACGTCTTCTATGTCTTTCAGGGTCGATGCATTCATTTATGGTCTCGGCTACGGTTCGACTCAGGTCTTGTTTGGCGTTTCAACCGCAGTCATGATCACCTACTGTCTAATCACACTCCTTTACCTCACATATATCAACATCACAGGCCATACATCGTTGGCATGGAACTCAGCCACGGAGCTTATCATGCTTGCACTCCAGTCTAAGGACCCAGGCGACTTGGGACATATATCGGTTGGTATTGACTCAATGGAAACGTTCCGCAGGAGTGTTGGCATCAGAGTCAATACTGTCATTGTCGGCGACACGGAGGCACCGAAGCCACGGTTGGAGCTAGTCTTTGAGCATGACACGAGCAATGATGATAGGGTGTTGACGAAGGTTGAACGGAACAAGGCTTACTGAGACGGGTTCATCTCGGTTTCTGTAGCGCTGTCCCGAGTCCGGACCTGCACCCCATATAACGGTAGTCTTGGTCGACCGATAATCTTGATAGCACTCTTTTCATGAGTGGTTTACTTAGCAGTTAGCGCTGTGGCAGGCATGGTGTCACTTGCTTCGAATCTTCATGCGGCTTTTTCTTTGCACCTAACCGCAATTTTCAAAGTAACATTTCGTCGACCGTCCGAATGTTTATCTTAGTCCATTTCCCACCAACCGTCGCTGCAACATCCTCGTAGGGGGTTTCGACAACTTCTTCAATCCAATGCTTGAAGTCTCTTAGATTCAGTTTCACCTTTGTAAGGCTGTAGATAATTATCTTCCAGCCAAGCATGACTTCCATCGACAACACCGAAATTGAATGCGACCCTTGTTCGCGCTCCGGTTTGCCGCTAAAGAATGTGGAAGATTGCCATGCATCAGGACCAAGGTTCCTGCTTTCACATTGAGTTATTTGAACTCATACGCGTCGTACGCATCTTTCTTTGAAGTCGGAAGGTCAACGATATCCACCGCATCAGCATACACTGGCGCTGGAAAATTGACAAACTCCGCTTGTCCGGTGTCGTTTCTTCGACAGCGTCGCGTAATAGGCGTGGTATTCTGATAGTCCTCCCGAACCATCAGCTGCCTTCGTGTTTCTAAGCGGTTAATCAAGCTAATCCCATCTGGCTCATTCGAAGAGATTGAATTATTGCGCTGTATGCAACCCCATGATTCTGCACCTACACAGTATTACCGTCCGTACCGCGCACCCCAGGGTACTTGATTGATGTGAGACATCGTGTATACAACATATCACGTCTTAATTTTGAATCAGTGTGATATGCCCGCAACAAAGTATCAGCTTTGCAGCACGTCAAGGCTGACATAATGTCTGGAGTCTGTTAGAGGCCTGCTATGTTAGAGCTAGAGGCAGGAGCAGGCCTGTACCTTCCCTCGCGCACGAACATTAACACCTAGCACTAACACCTAGGCCGCAGGTACATACACCTGCCTGCAGATACAACTACCTGCAGAGGGTGCCTCTATAGGTATGCAGGCCTGCTGCACCTTTCTATCTAGGTTGCAGCCTTCTGGCGTGCACCTCTATAGCGTGAGAGATAAAGTAAGAAATGCTAAGAGATTGGAACACTAACCCCGTGACATTGTTTAGACCTGATAGAGATTGGACAGAGCAGCAGCTTGACATTGTGTCACCCCTGACATAGCAGCAGCCCTAACAGCGTGTCACCTTAACATTAAGGCAGCTCTGACATAGCAGCAGACCCTGACATACTTTTATCTATAATAGAGCTGTGCCACTCTATTAAGACTTGACATATTGTCTACACCATTTCACTCCTCTGACAGCATGTCCTACCTCAATCAAGTACCCTAGGGTGCGCGCTATGGGTGGCAACAAAATGCAGGCGTCACCGCGAACTCACCCGAGGAGAGAAGGTAACAGAACAGCACAACAATTGGCAAAAAGAACTCGGATACATACAACAGCGGGGATTCCCCAGTGGTCACCCACCTGAGTACTAATCCGCCGGTACGTTGCTTAAATAGGGCTGAGCGAACGGGAAGCCTTGTTTTCAACGTCCTATGGTCGTATGTGGAAATGAGGACGAGCAGTATAATCTATATTCCTACTCCATGAAAAATATTGATCTTTTCCTGCGAAGCGCTCACGTCACATGGTCACAGACTTATCGTGTGACTATCAGATACACCACAAGATTGTACAGTGCACAAATTGTATATATTTGATGCTGTTCTCACCACTGCCTATGAGGGATCAGAGGTCTTAGGTACGCAATCATAGTGGCACATGCAATGATACATGAGACCAGCCAATAGCACAGCCGCTCAAACCCAGGTTTGGGTTAGACTCGGTCATATACTACAAACTCATGATTAAGCCAAACTCCAGATATCCTATGGTTCACTACATGGAGGTGTTGAATGTTACATGCAGCTTAATTCAGTCCCGCTATGACGAATATTATCTTGGGTAAACTCCTCGAGATAACAAAGCTGAAGTGGGCATCTTCAACTCAAAAGCCATACTCTGAGGGGCAAGAACATCATTTCCACCGTTTCTATCATTGGCACTATTAGCACCGTTGGCACCGTTGGCATCGTTATTATTGTTTTGGTTGTTGAGCATCAAGGCCAGGAGAATCGGACGTTCGAGTGAAGCAGTCAACAGGGAGCGAATCTAACGATGCGCATCATGAGTATGACCACGCATACGACAGCTGTGAGCAAATTGCAAATTGCAAATTGCAAATCGAAAGGCCAATTTTTGAGACGACCTTCAAGTTAGCGATCACGTACGGAACGACTGGATGTTCACTGCACTCTGGCGCTTAGCCAGTTTCGGCTAGAAAGCGGGCGAACATTTATGTGCACACAAACACCAACAACGCCAAACATCTTCAGGCTGCCGCGTGAGACTTTGTTCAGCCAGTCTGCAATTACGCCTGGCAAGAGCCATGCCGACATAAGCAACGGCCTCTATGGCCCAACCCTCTTGTGATCATTGACCCCTTCTGGGCGGCCGACCCCAACTATGAGGCTGGCCCTACTGCACGACTGCCTCTTTGTGACGGCTGACCTCTTTAGTTATCATTCTGCTGATACGTCGCTGATGGAACTTATCATGGCCATTGCCTCGTTATAGATTCCCCTAATGATGTCATGAATCGTATTGTATCAGGCGTCGAAGATGACGGCAGTGCCACAGCCTTCTTCTGGCTTTGCTTGCATAGTGGCGCTGACTTCGTTGCTCCTGTTCCCCGATATTCATCCATCCTGATGAGCATAGCGAATCAGAGCAGCTCAAATGCGAGCCGACCAATGAGGACTCGTGCTTTACTAACTGTTGTTTAGTGACGAAAGAGCCCGGAAATACATGGACCTTTTGGAGCAGTCGATGAGTCTATCGGAAATTGAAAGGATGCCTCACGACACCTGTCTACCTATCTTAAGGCAGACGAATGCTCTTACGCACATCGAAAAACGAAACGCTACCTTTTGTACCCCTTACTAGATCTGACCTTCTGGAAGACCTTTAATGCAAGTTGTGAATCGCAAAAAAGTTAGGTCAGGGTGTGGTACCTGCAAGTCAGTTTCCCTCCACACCCGAGCAGTCCCGGTAGATAGCTAATCTGTTGTTAGAGCTCGGAAGGTGAAATGCGACGAGCTCAAACCCGTGTGCAGGCGGTGCCAATCGGCTTGCAGGGTGTGCGAGGGTTATGGTGTTTGGGGGGGTGGAGGCAACGGGTATGCGGAGCGATATGGCAAGCATGCATCGCTGCTGCATCGTCAACCCCGATATGCACAGTTTCGATTGAATGATGAAGAGCAAGGACATCTGGAATGGTTCCATCACCGCCTTGTGCAGGACATGAGCGGTCGTTTCGCAGAAGGCTTTTGGACAGCCCTGGTTGTACCCGCCTTGGTACAAGAACCTGTAATTGCACATGCTGCGATCGCCCTCAGCTTAGCCCACAAGGATGCTGTCATGTCAGGAGACTGCCCAGAACAGGACAATGAGCTTTTTGTAGTGTCGCATTACAACAAGTCCTTGAGGCATCTTCAATCTGCCATTGGGTTGGGCGGCAAGACAGCAGCCGTCATCGCATTGATCTCATGTCTCCTATACACTTTACTTGAACGACTGAGAGGCCGAATTGAGCAAGCCGAAATGCATCTTCAAAGCGGACTGCGACTCTTGAAGGATGTCAACCAGCATATGTGTGTTAACGCGTCCGGAACCACTTTGCTGAAGCGAAGCACAGCTATCGATGCTGGTCAAGTCAGAATTCTGCAAGCTTTCGCGTCACTTCATCTTGAATCGCAACTTCTCGGAATATGTTCGCCGGGAATAGACTTGCTGGTACAATCTGGGTTGGAAGACGTGCCGTCACAGGCATTTGAATCCACCGATGAAGCGAAAAATTCTTTGGACAAGCTTATTCACGCAATCCTGATTATATCACGGCGGTTTTCTGGCATAGCCCCAGTTGCCAGTCACCACCGGCTCAGCGTGCCTGAAATTCAGGGTCAGGTGCTGGGCTTACTTGGAGCCTGGTTGAGGACCTACAAAGCTACAATCATCCGTGAGACGAGCAAAGATCGCCAATCCGCGTACGAAGCACTCCTCAGCCATCACGAAATGGCCTTCATCATGTGTGGTCACATCGGTTGCACATCGGAATCCGGGTATATGTCGTATACTTCAAACTTTGTCGCCATCCTGGAGAATTCCGTGAACCTCTGGCGTTCGTTACCAGCACTATCTCCAAGTCAAAGAACCATCACTGAAGACAATTTGCTTACTCCTTTGTTCTTCACGGCTCTCAAATGCCGTGTCCGCCGCATTCGCTTCCAAGCCACCAGGTTACTTGACGTCATTCCTGGTAGTCAAGGGGGCCGGAGCTCCAGAAGTATTTCTATAATCGCTACAAAAGTCATTGAACTAGAGCAAGGGGATGGTTTCAAAGACGAGTGTGACTTTGCTTTGACCGAAATCCCTGTTCTTAGTGAACTGGACAGCCTCATTCCTTCGACCACAAACTTGATCCGCGAAGTACGAGTCGGGTCCTGCGATGAATCGCCCGATTTGTTAGTCCTTCGTTGCGAGCAATGGGGAAATGACCATGAATTGAAGACCTTCTACCATCACGTTAGGAAACCGAGACAGCCGTAGCCAACTTCAGTACCCCAGTAGCGTGGGCACACAATATGTTGCGATGCTTAGCTCGTGTGGCCTTGAAGAGCTTCCTGGGTCCACGCCCAAAGTCTTTCTCCAAGTTCTTTATCCTTCGACAACTCGCTACCTTTGCCCAAGATGCCAACGGGCTCGTAGTACCTGCCGCTCTGGACCCCATCAGCCGTGATGGCCCAAAGCCCGCTCTTTACGCCCTCCTCCAAGCTCACACCTAGCCGTGGTGCAACCTCTCTGGCGAGATATTCAATTTCGGGTCCGCCACCCTGCGCGCCTTTTGTGAAAAGCTGAGTTCTCACATCCCCGGGGTGAATAGCCACAGAAAGGAATGAGGGGTAGCGCTCTGCGATCTCCCGGGCGTATATTACGTTGGCAAGCTTTGACTGAGTGTAACGCGTTACTCCTGAAAGCTCCAGCTGGGCAGATTTCAAGGTCGAAAACGCAATGCCTCCCGGTGGTAGCTTGTAAGCATGGCCTCGAGAGCTTACCGATACCACTCTAGGCTTCGTCAAGGAGGCCTCGGCGGCTTTGAAGAGAAGCGGAGTCAACATGTCGAATAACAATGCGTGTCCGACGTGGTTGGTGCCAAATGCTACCTCATACCCTTTAGATGTGACGCCTGGAGTTCCTCCCATCTGGATCATGTATTAGCCCCATTTCATCAAAGAGAGCGACAGTGACAGCCACTTACGATTCCCGCATTAAGCATCAAAATATCAAGCTTTGCCACTGCAGCAAGTAAAGTATTTGCAGCCGCCTTGATCGATGCGAAAGACGCCAAGTCAATCTGAACGAATCTCACATCAACGGTTGGTCTTGCTGCCTGAATATCCCGAACAGCCTCTTGAGCTGATGAAACCGTTCGAGCTGCGACCCAGATCTGGGCGGGATTGTGCATGGCTAGCTCGAGGGCAGTTTGCTTTCCGATGCCACTGTTCGCACCAGTGATCAGTATGATCTTCCCGGAAAGCGATGGTATATCCACAGATGGATTGAAAGCATGAGGGGAGCTAGGTTGGAGCTGGTCTAGACCTTCCATTGTGGCGTTAGTTATTGTAGGGGTCGTGTAGAGCAGTAGCTGAAATGTTGGAAGCAGTTGAACATGGCGTTAAATGGAATGGCTTTATAGGTGGCCTGTGGCCAGACAGTGATGTCAATAGGCCGGCAATAAGATCAGAGATGGCATGATTGAGTCACAGCTTGAATGTACAAACGCTGCGGCCGAGTGTGGTGAGAACAAGTGTGAACCTATGAAGTCCGAGCTGTCCAATCGCGGTCAAGACTCACCATCAAGGGTAAAATCTCACCACGAAGAATCCCGTCGGAAGAGATGCATTATTTCGTCCGTGAACTAGGGAATTCCAAATGATCGAGCACGGCAGACGTTAGCACAGGTCGGAATTAAATACAGGTGCTTCAAGTCAACATGGTCCATATGCTTTTCTGGAAGTAGGCGTTTCGCGTTTATCAAAGTCGTGACTTACTCTATACTATTTACTTGCTTTCTGCTATTGCCTTGTTATTAAGCGCACAATAGTTGCACGTAGCACGTTCACCAGCCTGTGCACGTCGTTGCATTGACTAGAAGAGATCTTTTATGCGAGCTCTATTCCCTCAAAGGTCTTCTGAATGTTCTAGCACCAAGCATGATATGAAACTTCGTGCTACATGCAGTTGTGTCCGACATTTCAATGTATTGGAGTATCTTCCCGTTTCCAATCGCCGGCGGTCCAGCCTTGGTTTGAAACCATCACTCGCTCGGTTCCTTGCCCATGTTCTCATCAATTTCCGTGTTGCTTGCGGTAGCATGCTGCGACACGCGGAAAACATCGTTGAGCAACCACTCCTCCACAACACTCCACTTGGTGTTCTGCTGGCAGTGAACACCCAGCAGGCCGCACTTTTCTATCGCCATTCTCGCCCCCGGGATGTTGTTGAACGTGTTCAGATCCGCGTGGTTCAAGCGAGTCTTGCTCGGGTTGCTGTCGTACCACCCGTGTTTCTTGTCGTCCTGGCCGGAGTAGCTGTGGAAGTTGTGGATGACACCGAATTGGGGGAACGGGTTGAAGACTTTTGCTTCTATTTTGCAAGAATTAGTATGCTGTTCTGTAGTTTGATTGAGCACGGGGATGTCTTACTGAAACTCTTGCCAAGCACGGGTTTCACAGTGGTGTCTTTCATGCTCTCCGGGTTCAAAAGCCTGCGTCTGCAGTGCCCGACCGCGTAGGAGTCCTGTATGATATGGAACATGATACCGATTGCCCTTCGTTCGATGATCACTTTGTTGTAGCTCGGCGTGCCGCCCAGGATCAGTTTACGCAGCGTATCCGAGCCCTTTGGCGAATTGAACTTTTGGAAGAACGCTCCAAGCTGCGTGGTCGCGATTTGATCGTCGGCGCGGATTCCCTGCCCGGTCGACAGACAGTACATGGTCCTCATCCACGCCATGATCTCGTTCCGTGTCGCTTCGGGATGTTCGCCTTTGCCCTTGCCCATGGCATGCAAGGCCTGCAGGTCGCCGAAATGCGAGCGCCAGATAATGTTGTCGTGTTTGAAAGTTTTGACTCTGACCAGGAAGTCCGAGCCCCATTTAGCACCCCAGGCAAAAGACCCGTTGTTTGTTTTGCGGTCGTTGAATAAGGAGCATGCAGGATCGTCGTTCCAGAACACACCACGCATGACCTCCCATACATCAGGTATGCCAATGGAAAGGCTCCCTTTGCCGACGACCTTATCGTATGAGGTTGATGCGTTGACTTCTTTTGGTAGGACACCATGTGCATACAACGCCGCTAGTGTTAAGTTCTCGTGGATAGGCTCACCAATGTTTTGGCCTTTACCAGCAGCGATTTTGAAGAAGGGTTGATTCCGGTCTTCCCAAGACTCTTGAGTGCCATCTGGGAGCGTCACGGGCGGTGGGGGGTTCCAAGTCGTGTCTCGCAGATAAAGCGAGACCACAGGGTTTTTGTGTCCCCAATATTCCTCCAAAGATTGGTCGATAGGGACGAACTCCTCTTGCGTATCGACAGAAACCTTGAAAATCGTCAGCAATGTCGTATGAAGATGTGATGAAGTGGCATGCCCAAAGCTGGTGATCATCATCATCGTTTCCCATAGGCCAAACGATTGCCGTGGATAAGCCCACTTCTTCCTGCTTATCTTCGTTCGTTTCGAGGTTCTGAAGAAGGGCAGTATCAAATGGATGATCAGCCGTAACGACGCGCGCCTGTGATGGTTAGTACTTCTCGAAGCACACGAGTCAGGAAAAGTGCACAGCCAACGCACTTTCACATCGAGAATCGATTCTTGCGGACTCATCGAGATCCACAGCACAAGCTCATGTCCTTCGAGTCCGAAGTCAAAGAACACAAATGCCGAGCCGTTACTCGGCTCCGTTGCTTTGAGCACGAACGCATCGAATGTCTTGCCGTTCTGGTCTGCATCAGGAGAGATCTTAGTGCCTTCCTCACACCCGCGGAAAATAGATTGAGACTTTGAGGATCGTCCGAGAGTGAGGTCTGACTGGTTGGCACAATGCACAGTCACCGTGTTCCGGGTAGCGTTCTCCATTTTGCGTACGAAGTGCCAAACAATAGCGATGGTCTCGACTGAATTACAGGTTGCTGATCAAGAGAGGAATTGTGCTACTCCTGGTCCGCGTGAATTTAGAGAGATCCAGAGACCAGGTAACCGATTTATATATCGTAGCAGAGCCCATGTAGGCAGCAGAAGAGCAGCTACATCACCTGGATCTGGTCACTGTCGCAGTGCCGTCATTCATAGTCTTGGCTCCGCCAGCCACAACTTTTCATGCAAAGTGTTCAGCTCGCTGTGTGAGCGCGGTGGCGAGATCTGTAATGAGAGTCGGCTCATGTATGGTCGAGCAGTGGGATAATGTACTCATTCAGCTCACTGTTGTCACTTGCTCTGCCGCCACAGAGTGTGGATTTGTATCGCAGAAGACGAAAACCGGGGTTGCGAGAGGGGAACCTCTAATTCATGCTAACCTATTAGCAAAGCGCTTACCTAGGTATTCAGCCGAGGCCATTGGAGTTACGCTAGCACTTCACTACCGCCACCAATACTGTATGCGTCTTAGTCTGACTGCTTCAGATACCTACAAACGTAATCGTGTTGCCGACTAGAGGAGGTTAAGTACAGTATTGCAGTTGGAATGCCGATCAGTAACTTGTGGAGAGCTGATATGCAGCTACGAGAGAGGAGGGAGCTGAGTATGGGGCGCATCGGGGACTGCTGTACAGGCGCCGCCTGAGTTTGTGCATAGCTGAGGATGCCTTGTTGCTTTAAGAATGCTGAAGCCTGTAAATGGGATCTAGGAGGAGGGTAGCACGGCTGTGGTAGTTGCAAGCGCCCGGTTCAACCTCAGAGCAACGTCCTATTCTGTAGGCAACCCGCAAGCAGTACCTCAAACTGGCTGATCGGACCGGGGAACTTGTTATAGTCGTATGTGGAAGATTTGGCCAACAGCACATACTATATCCCTACTTTTTCTGAACATCAAATCTTCGCGTAACGTTCAATGTTGATAATCGGATGTTAGTCATCTACAACATAACTAGCAGGTGCAATATAAGATGACATGACATACGGGTCGTATACATACAACGCAGCTCTTGCTACTGTCTAATTTACACTCTATCGTCACACGTATGTTCCCTCTACGCTGAGTCACCGCCAACGAGCAAAATGACGCTACCGAGCTGGCGCTTCATATCTTCTCGCTCGACGTCGTGCGTGTCCTCGACCTCACCCCAGGCCTGGATCTGCCACCTGACCTCCAAGCTCGCGGCCGACGCAGCTTCCTCGATGCCAAAGGTCTTCTTCGCGTTGGGCTGTGGCGAGCTCGTAAGACCCTCGGCCCACTCGTGCAGGAGGCGCGAGGCGATCAAGACGCTCTTGCTGGCCAGCACGGCGCGCTCGAGCCCGGCGAGTTCGTAGGCAGGCAGGGCCGAGATCCAGCTGCGGATGACGTCTTTTGTGTTGTCGGGCTGCTCGATGGGCATGATGCTGTCGGCGTCGAGGATGGGCTTGATCTGCACGCCGGGCCACACATGGGTGGTCAGGTAGGTGATGATGCCAGTTGCAACCTCCTCTTGCAGCTCGCGCAGGGTCTTGCCGTTCTGCTTTACGTCATTCATGACTTTGGCGGGCGCCCAGCAGAGCAGTGTGTCGGTGGAGAGGTAGCGGTCGCACAGCTGTAGAATGGAGTCGCGGATACGCCCGTCGCCCTTGATGTCGGCCTGGGCGATGTCGTTGGCGCGTGCAGCGAGCGAGGTCATGGGGATGTAGTGCGTCTTGAGGGCCTGCTGGGCGCTGACGAGCATGTCCCACTCGAGGGCGATGGCGGTCGCAAGCTGGTGCTTGGACAGAGGAACGGTGAGTGTCTCCTTGTCGGGGCCGCGGACCGGGCGTTGGTCGAGGAAGACCTGGAAGCCGCCGTTGGTCTCCTTGACGGTGACGTCGGTCCAGAAGCGCTTCTTCAGGGCGCTGGCAGGCTTCGCGGCACTAGCACGATTGCTCCTGGCCTGCTGGATCATCTCGGCCTGGCGCTGCTTGCGCGCCACGCGCTCACGCGCATCCGACGCAGCGGACGTGGGCGACTCGGGCGGAGGGCCCGGCACCGAGGGGTGTGGCAGCGGCGTGGCACATCGCGTGGCAGATGTGTGCAGGCACTGGTAGAGGGCGCCTGCGCGGCGGGGGGCGGAAAGGCGCACTGCTGCGAGGGCGGGCCGCAGCGACTGCATGGTGGACGTGTGCGGTGACGGTGACGCGAGGCCGGCAGCGGCGCAACTTTTCTGGCCTCAGCGCACGCCCCACCGTTCCGTTCACCCCCAGACTCTCCGCACTCTCCCGCCGTCTAGCTGCCGCGCCGCGCACCAATCCTTGCCCGCCAGACCGCCGCTGCCTGCTGACCATGCGCCGCCCTCTCCGCCTCGCCGGTCCGCTTGTGTCACGCCCTCTCCACTGACTGTCGTGCTGCTGCGCATCGCGCCCCGCTGGTGCCCCCCGCCCCTCCCAGCTCCCCCGTGTGCCTTCCATGCTGGCTCTGTGATGAATCACGGGGCTCTCTCGACGGCTGCTGCAAATGCGACTGCGCCCCCGCCGAAGCCCATTCGCTTCGTGACCAACCACGATGGGCCCTACGCGAAGCGCCGCAGGATCAACTCGGCCTGTCTGACCTGTCGCCGCAAGAAGACGCGCTGCTCTGGTGCGCCCTCTGCCATTGCCCTTCCACGCTGCCACTGACACTCCACAGGCGAGCGGCCTGTGTGCGGCACATGCGCCCAGAACAAGCACGAGTGCGCCGGCTATGGCGACGACACGGCCGCAGAGCCCGGCCGCGACTCCAAGAAGACTGCCCGCCGCGAGAGCGTCGTCTCCACTGCCAGCGCGACTGCCCGCAAAAGCGAGGCTCCGGTCGACCCTGCCGAGTCCAGTCGACCGCGCCTGCCACACCTGGCCTCGTCCAACGTGTCGCAGCTCTCAGACTCCTCCGTCAACCTTGGCGCGCTGAAGCAGGAGGACCAGGACGAGGATGGCCTCCTCAGTCTCAACACGCGCAATCGGATGCCCTACTTTCGCTACTTCGGGCCCACCGCCATCATGCCCGGCTTCAGGCAGATGGTCGTCAAGGTCAGAGGCCAACGCCACGGGAGCAATCAAACCACGTCCGATCAGCATGGAGTCGACTCTTCGCCCGCGGAACCCCACGGCTCGCCCACAGGCGCCGAAGCTCGCACACCGCTCGAGATACCCGTCTACGACAACTCTGACATGTCGCCCAGTCCACTCATCACCCACTTGTGCAAAGTCTTCTTTGTGAATCTGGGCTGCTGCTTTCCTTTTCTGCAGCACGAGCGCTTCATGCGAGATCTCGAGGAGAAGCAGGTCGACGCCATCCTCGTCGACGCAGTGTGCGCCTTGGCCGCCAGGTTTTCCACCCATCCTATGTTGGCTCGAGGGGGGACTCAGCAGAAAGAAGGCTCTGAGAAAAAGACCAAGACTTATCACCCTGAAGCCGGCCAGGCTTTTGCCCAACGAGCTAAGTCAAACATTCCAGACGCTTTCCCCTGTCCAAACGTTGCCGTGGTGCAGGCAGCGCTACTTTTGGCCTACGATGAGTTCGGAGGTGGTCGCGATAGTGGTCTGTGGATGTACCTCGGTATCGCTATCCGAATGGCTCAAGATCTCGGCATGCAGACTTTGGAAGGCTTGAAGTACGAAGGCCGAAATGGAATCACCCCCAAGCTCGTCAAAACAGACACGAATACCGTTAGTGCGCCCGCATTGCACCATTCTACTTCGCAACAGAGTCGAGAAATGACATCTGATGAACAGGAGCGAAGAGCAGTCGAGCGCGAGCGTTTAGACACATTCTGGTCCATCTTCTTTCTTGACCGTGTCATTTCCTCAGGTACAGGTCGTCCAGTTACCATCCGTGATCGGGACATCGAGATCAGCTTCCCTTCTCTTGACGAAGTGGACACAGGCTCCGGATGGCCATTGCCCTTTCCCGCCCTGATTCGCATAATTCACCTTTATGGGAGGGTAACGGACCTACTGAATAGAGTCAGGGACGTCTCGGACATTACGAGAGATCTTCAAAAGCAGCTGGATGCGCTAGAAAACCGCTTGACGGAGATCTATCAGAATCTCTCTCCCAAGCTCCACTTCAATGCCGTCAACTTCCAACAATACGTCAAGTTCAATCAAGGGACCAACTTTCTGCTACTTCATTGTTGGTTCCACACTTTGATAGTTTTGCTGCACCAGCCGACATTGTTGAAGCCTTTCGAGGGAAGTCCGCAATCTCTCTCCGCTAACAGCAGGGAGCTTTCAATGTCTTCAGCAAAGACGATTGCCGACATCTTGTCTTTCACTGAGCTAATCGATACAAAGACAGGGGTGTGCAATCCCTTCACAAGGTTCGTTTCCTCTCCTCTGGCACTTTGCGAGATTCTTACACACATGTAGTCAACCGATATATATAGCCGCGTGCGCCTTTCTTCAAGAGTCTGCAATGCACTCGGCATCGTCTCAGCCCCAGTCTCGACCACAATCGCGACCTGCATCCCCCGGACCACGGAGCGAGCAGAGGGCCCCGCTTACACAACTGAACCTAGACAAGAGCATGTCAAATGGAGATAGATCGAATCATCTGCAGGATCGCGAGCAAAAACAGGCTGCCAAGCATACACTGCTGGCCTCGGCAGCAAATCAGAACTATCAGCGCTGCCATCGTGCACTAAAGTCAATTGAGACGTATTGGGAAGGCGTCAAATACATCATTACTGTATTGGATCAGAAAGCAAAGGGTATTGACAATCCGCTGCTATACACAAGAGAAGAAATGGAGAGCGCTCTAGAAGTACCTCGCCCGGAGCCATCATTCTCAAGCCCAGGATGGCGGAGGAAGCTGAGTTGGGGAACGTACTTAACAGCGCAAACGCCAGACGGCGACATGGCGAACATGCCTGCAGCGATCAGACAGGGTGCCAGGACGCCAACAATACCTGGCTCACCGATGGGACATTCAAGTCAAGGTTCGTCGACTTCGTCTACTAAAGTTCGCCACTAACGTGCTCGTAGCCATCGGATGGTCGCTCACTGGCACGATGAACTCTCCATCTACAAACGTCGCTGTCATGTATCCGTCTGAGACTGGCACTGGACGCGATGCAAAGTCAGGGCCGCCGAAACGTGTACCCACTAGTACCCAGCCGTCCATCGCCTCGCTCATATCCAACACTCCGATCAAGTTCGAAGCGCCGCAGCCGCCTATGCCATCCCCATCCCTCTACCCACCTTTCGACCCCGCGTCGATGCCCCCACCTCCGGCAAACAACTCGTACGGCATTATACCTGCGCCCGACCCTGCGCTAGTCTCCGACGCCGATCTTCTGTTGAACCTCCACTCTCCCTTTAATAACGCATCACCAGGTCAAGGGCCTCTACAAAATACTACGTCCTACGTTCGATCTGCATCCATGCAGAATAATCAAGGTCGTCAGGTGCCCAGCGAGTTTTCTCCAACATTTGGCCTGTATCCCACACCGTCAGACAACGTGTTTGGCGACATGGTCATCGACACCCAGGACGTCGACATGTCCGTGCTAGGCGCCGACATGATGCCGTGGGATCTAGAGTATCTGCCCCACGACATGCTCTACTTTGGTGACGGCACATTTGGCACCAATGATATGGGTGGTGCACAGTGAGATGGGGTTAGGATCAAAGGATCCATGTACAAATGTCAAATCAGATGCTAGCGCGGCGTTCCGGTTATGGAGACTTTAGCTGCCAGCGCATTTACAGGCGAGCTACGTAAGGTTTACGCAAATGATACCACGTTCTGTCTTTTGGGTGAATCGTCGCTCTTGAGCGATATCGCGTACCATGCAAACAAGCCTGACACTTCGAAGTGCTTGGCCAGGACACAAAGACGATCGCATGAGGTAAGGGAACGTCATTGAGATCTTCTCCACAGCCAGATATCTACTCTCTTTTCCTTGTCTACGATCATGACCCGCATCGTTCCGACTACGCGACATCGTATTCTCGCACGAAATCCGGTGTAAACCATGCCAGGACGAAGAATGCGCAAGTATCATGCCATCTATCAGGATCCGTGCGAACCCGACGGACCCACCGGGAGCCTCATGCCGATCCTGATGGTGGCGGGAGCGCGACCACGCACGAGTGCACAATCGATGCGTTCACTGGCCAACGACGAACAACATTCTGCATGGCGCTTAGGATCAAGCACGATCCCCTGTTGTTGAGGCACAAGAAGACACCAAGAAGAAAAGAAGCATTCTTACAGCCCTGCGTATGCAGGTTGATGTCATCGTGGAGTGCAGATAAGACGTGCGCGTGCCTACGTAGGCGCCAAGTGCGATTTGCGTTTTCTCGCGACTTCAACAAAACTCTTTGCGGTTGGTCTGCGAAGGGACAATTATCGGCCAGACTACGGCAAGGCGAATGGTCCCTGGCCGTATTGAAAAGGTTTCGGTCCACCCTCGACGTCATGCCGCACCGCATGCATCATTCGTCTGGTCTTGCCGGGCGGACCGCAAGATAAGTGGGGCTGTGCGAAGATGAGGAAGGTGAAGAAGGGGTGGCGAAAGAGAAAAGACGTTACAATCCTGAGAATGTTTGCGACAAAACAGTCTCATGATGTTCTTCCGAGTAGTGCAGGATATTCATAGGAAATCTATTTCTTCTGGTGGCGTCTCCGAGGGTTGGTGGTTGCCGTCGCTGGCCGGGTGCTTGGATCGGTCGCCCCACCAGGCGACACCCCTGTTGAGATCCCGCAGAGCCTCACCTTATTCTAGCCTTGCAGGCGATACACGCTTAGGTGTCACTGTTACAGGTGTAGGAAGAATTTTCGGCCTATCACATCTCTTATTTCGTCGGAAAGTCTCGAACACCGACATCCGATTGAGAGTTCCAAAACTTCGCAATGACGTCGATGCCGATATTCATCACTGCATGCTTAGCACAGCTTGCGCTCACCTGTCGGTAGCGTTACGGTCAGATTATATGTGGACCTGATAACGGTGTTGAGATCCACACTGACCGCTAACAGCAGCATGCCAAACAGGACAGTGTGCCTTGGAGGCCGAGTATCAGCCTGCTGGCGATGAACAAAAGGCGCATAGCTCCCCATCTTCTCCGCATAGACAAGCCTCAACACTTCCTCAACCGTCAACAATATGTCAGGCTACTACGGTCCTTCGTTCTCCAGACCGGCTTCGAGGCCTGGCTCGCTGGCTGCGTCGAGGGCCAACTCAATGATCCAGTCCCGAAACAATTCTTTCGTAGCATCCAGAAACAACTCCTTCACTGCAGCAAGCACACCCGTCACACCACGGGCTCGCTCAACCGCCGCCACCACACCGCAAGCCTATCTGTCCAGAACCAACAGCAAGGATGATGACGAAGCCTATACTCCAGACCACAACTCAGAGGTTCTTCGCAATGAAAAGGGCGAGCTCATGATCGGGAGGGTCGTCGGTGGAAAGCACGTCAGTGAAGAGAACAACGACATCGATGCGGACTGCGGTCCCATAAAGACTGTCGACATTGATATGCCCCTGACTCTCACCGAGACAGTCAAGCACAACGACAAGGAGTACATTGTCCTCACCTTCGCGACCGGCGACAAGGAGAACCCATTCAACTGGAATCCCTGGTACAAGCGTTCCATCACAACCCTCCTGAATCTGATGACGCTGTTTATCGGTCTTGCGACAACAGCCTACTCTTCAGGTATCAACAGTATGTGTGAGGAGTTCAATGTCGGCAGTATTCAGGGCCAGTGGGGTCTGTTTACCTTCAACATGGCTTGTGCTGTTGCGCCCATGGTCCTCGCTCCCTTCTGCGAACTTGTTGGTCGTAAAATCGTTTACGCGTCCGCCTACCTCTGCTTCTCCCTACTGTTCATCGGTCTTGCGCTGGCTCCCAACATCAACACGATCATCGGTCTGCGTCTCCTGCTCGGTTTGTTTGGCTGCGTCGGCACCATCCTCGTCGGCGGCACATTCGACGACATGTACCCAGCCCACAAGCGTGGCCGCCCGATGGCCATGTTCAGTTTCGTAGCCATCTTCGGCACCGTCTCCGCGCCTATCTACGCCGGGTTCATTGACCAGGCCATTGGCTGGCGCTGGATTGAAGGTGTCCAGGGCATTGGTAACGTGCCACTGCTCATCGCCATCTTCTTCTTCTTCCCTGAGACCCGTGGCGGCGTCTGCCTCCACAAGCGCGCCCTTGCCCTCCGCAAAGCCACAGGCGACGACCGCTACGTCGCCGAAGACGACATCTACACGCCCGATGTCAAATCCATGCTCAAAGCCTCCTCCGTCAAAGCGATCCGCATGCTCGTCACCGAGCCCGTCGTCTTCGCCTTCGGCCTGTGGATCGCCTTCTGCTGGGCCGTGGTCTTCCTGTTCCTCTCCGTCATCCCCATCACCTTCACCGAGAAGCGCGGCTGGAACGAAGGCGTCGCCGGCCTGCCCTACATCTCCCTCGCCATCGGCACCTTCCTCGGCTGGGCCGCACACCACCTGCAGATGCGCAAATACAACGCCCTGCAAGCCGACCCCACCGTGCAAGTCGTCCCCGAGCACCGCCTCTACGGCGCCATGTTCGGCGCCGTCTGGCTCCCCATCGGCCTGTTCATCTACAGCTTCACGCAGTACGGCTACGTGCACTGGATCGCGCCCGTCATCGGCCTGGCGCCCATCGCCTTCGGTATCTTCTTCGTCTTCGAGAGCACGTACTCGTACACGGCGGATTGCTACGGCGAGTCGTCGTCGTCGGCGATCGCGGGGCAGGGACTGATGCGTAATACGCTGGGCGCCGTGACGCCGTTGTTCGCGAGTGCGTTTTTCCACAACGTCGGGAGTCAGTACGCAGGTTTGATTCTGGCGCTGTTTGGCACGCTGTTGAGTCTGATTCCGTTTGTCATGTTCAAGTATGGACATCAGTTGCGCGCGAGGAGTAAGCTGGCGCAAGACTTTGGCGGCAAGTGAGGGCTTTAGGGACATTGCAAAGCTTGTATTATTTATTATCGGTGGTCCTGTTGGAAAATACCATTGTAATATCACCATATCCATTGTTCTTCGAAACGAGCTTCCCACTTGGTATTTGTCTTGAGTCTTGTTAACATCATCTTTTCCACCCTTGGAGATACATTGAACTTTACTCCGGTAATGAAGTGCAGTTTTGTGAGGTTCCTTTATTTGTGGAGGAGTGAGACCCGTCACGTGAGCGGGCCGGACCACCTGACCCCGCCTGCCTCCTCAGGGTGTTGGTTCTTGTCTTACAACTAACGGGCCTTACATCGTGGAGACCTTTTCATATCGTGCATCATCGACTCATCGCGCACAATGGCTGGACTGGATTTCCGACGCTCTTGTCAAAAGTGGTCAACGAAGGATTGGATGGGTCAGCACTTGCAGGGGTCTGCGCTGCCGTCTGTCAGATACATCAGCCCTCGGCCTTCCACGCTGTGAGATCTTACTTTCTAGGATCATTGTTTCTCGTTGGGTCCTACTACATTGGGCTCACATCGTCGATCCGTTCGCAGCGCGCAGATTGCGGAATGATCACTCAGGAGGACTGTCATACCTTCACTGAAATTTCGCACTGTAACATCTGACTCGCATAAAAGTCTACAACTCCTGGCTATAATCATCTTGCAATCTTGCTATGGACGAGTCGTTGTCGACTTCGGCGCCAGATGTGTCGCCGTATACACCTATCGATCAGCCAAGCGAAGAGATTCGACTGCTCACACTGGAGGCAGGTGCGTTCGATGACGAACTGGTAATCAATTTGCGCATGAAGCGGTTGGACAAAAAACGGCCAGCGTACGAAGCCCTATCGTATGTTTGGGGAAAGGAAGTATCTCCGCATCGAGCAGTGCTCAATGGTAGATACGTTACCATTGGTCGTAATCTGGATTGTGCTCTCCGTCACTTGCGTCAGATCAACACAGAACTATTTCCCGGGGAGACATTTTTGTTCTGGGTCGACGCGTTATGCATCAACCAGGCTGATTTTGTCGAAAGGGCCAAGCAAGTCCAACTCATGGACAAGATCTATGCATCTGCGAAAGACGTATCAATATGGTTAGGACCTGAGCGTCAGGATGATTTGTTCCTTTTGAACAGCATCGGGAGACAAAGGGTCCCACAAGAAATTGACGATGTCCTTGTACTTCTCAAAGCACTCAAACGACTCTGTCGCCGGCCATGGTTTGGTCGACTCTGGATAGCTCAAGAATTAGCGCTATCCGATAATCCGAAGCTTCTTCTTGGGCATCGATTCATACGCTGGCACCGATTCTTCCGCTTTGTCGACAAAATCTTCTACAAAGCGGACCTGGTCGTAGAGGGATATTCTGTCGAATGGCCATATCAAGCATGCTTCTATTTCACAAATGCCGCATCGCGAGTCATGAGACTCCATCTTATTAAAAACAATGCACGCGGTACTCTTACGGAACAGCTTGGAGAGACTTCACCACTCCTGGCATCTGATCCCCGTGATAAGGTTTTTGGGCTTCTCAGCATCTGTCGCTTCTCGTCTCACCGAGAGACTATCAAAGCTGACTACACGAAGACAGTCTCAGAGGTGTTTGCTGAAGCTACATTCAGCATGTTGCAAGAAGGCAAACGTCCCGGATATGCTTGGTTCCAGCTGCAGCCTGTCCTCCAACGTGGTGTCGCGCCTGCGAAACTCCCTACCAGGGCTCCTGATTTACCAACGTGGGCGCTCGATTTTACCATCGGATGTCAGTACTCTAATTGCCGGAAAGACCTGCAGTACATATGTAAACCATCTATACTCATACCGTCACGTTGGAGGTACTTCATTGATGGAACAAAAGTTTCGAAGCTACCACCCCCCTTCAAGAGGTCTTCTGATCCAGCCGAGCTCTCAACTTTTGGAAAGTTCATAGGCACTATCTACCAGACGACGGGCGACTTGTTCGATTCGAAGGGTTTCGATACCCTCTCGCCAGTCGTACTCAATGTTGCTTTCCACGATATCATCAAGCCCCGCAACATCTCAGCGAGATCGTTTTTACAAGCGTTAGTCATTGATCGCGATCTCCCTACCGAAAACTATGCTGAATTTGAGGATCTTCTTTCCGTGCAATTACACAAGCATGACGCCCCGCTCTGGCCTACCTGGCCAGCTACCTACACGCTCAACCAGTATCTTGTTCACAAAGACCAGGTCGTCTTCGTCACGGCAGAGAAACATGTTGGAATGGCGTACCACCCAGAGTTTGGAGACGGGATTCGCCCAGGCGATATTGTCGTTGGGCTGTTTGGGATCAACTACCCTGTCATCCTCCGAGCAGTCGAACAGGGACATGGGGGAAGGCCCTTGTATAACATGATTAATACGGCACATGTAGCGCACCATAAGTGGGGCCATGATTTCGTGGAAAATGCGCCTCCTAAGGCGAGGTGGCGGGACTTTAGGGAGTTTGGACTGGAAGAGTACACTATTATATGACAGGTTCGTTTTCCCGCTCAGACGGAGGTTGTCGAGATATGTGGGAATGCCGAACGAGCGCTTTACTTCCAAGCAACGAAAATGATACCCTGGTCTGTCGTTCAGTCCTGACAAGAGAATGCTACTTATACGACAACAGTTAGGCTTAATGCTTCTCTTGCAACAACCGGAGATCGGTTACATGAGGTGACATCTCATCTTTGTTGCTCCTTGTGGTAAGGAGTGTGCGATTGCTAGCCACTCAGAACGAATTCGCAGTCAGGCTCAAGCAGCAAAAGTAAGACAAGTTGAGGGGTATCTCAATTAAAGTTATATCAATCTGAGCGATCGTCTGAAAGACAACTACAGATCACACGATCCTCCCCATATGTCGTAGCGCTAGTGTGCCTTGCATCCACATGCCAAAAACACACACCCGCGTTTTCGAGAGTTCTCAGCAAATCTAGATCTTCTCGACCTCAAGGATGTTGCCGCGGGCATCGGTGGCAACCTTCTTCTTGGCGAGCGACGCCTTGCGGGGGTTGGGGCTGTTGAAGATATCATCGATTTCCTGCTCGTCGTTAGTACTGAAATCTGCCAGCTGTGGAGAGTGGATGGAACTTACCTCGAGCGTCCTCTTCTTGGTCTCTGGAATGAACACGTAGACAACCGCGGCCTGAATGGGGCACCAGATGGCGAAGACAATGTACAGCTTCCATCTGATGTTCTTGAGCGCGATGGGGTACGCGAACTGGTTGATCATCATGGCGACGGTGAGAGACAAGTTGGAGAAAGCCATGCCCTTGGCGCGGATCTCGAAAGACAGGACCTCGACGGGGTACAGAGCCTGGAGGGGCGTGATACCGAAGGCGTAGATGGCGTTGAAGATGAAGATGAAGGCGATGAAGGCGTTGCTAGCAGCGTCGGCATGGGTCTTCTCCTGCATGGCAACGGCGATAATGGCTGCGGCCCAGATGAAACTGATGCTGCCAAAGGTACCGATCATCATGGGACGACGACCAAGCCTGTCAACAAAGAAGGCACCGGTGACAGCCTATTGCCGGTTAGTGTTGGTTTCTCGCACTGTGGGACTGAATACTTACGAAGGTCAGTTGCATGCAAGACTTGCCCAAGTTGATGTTCATCTTCTTCAGCTGCTCGGTGACACCAGCGGATTCCAGCACACCATCGAGGAAGTAGTCGACCGCACCGTTGCCGGCCCACTGACTGAAGACAGTAACGCAGACGTTGCAAGCAAGACGGTAGCGGGAAGCGCGGTGCTTGAATAGCGCACTGTAGTCCCACCAGCGCTTATCGGCACCATCCAAGTTCAGGTACTCCTCGTACTCGTTGATCTGCATGTTGACCCAGACGCTGTCCTCCTTTCCGAGACCATGGTACTTGGCGAGGACCTTCTTAGCTTCGGCGTGTTTGCCGCGAGCGTAGAGCCAGCGGGGAGACTCAGGAAGGAACCAAGCGAGGATAAGAACCATCGCGGGGAAGAGGATCTGCATCCAGACGGGGACGATCCAGCTCATGTTGCCGGAAAGGCCGACGGAGCCACGAGTGACACCGGCGGCGAGAAGAGAACCAACGAACCTGTAATCGAGTCAGATGTTTTCTGTAGAGAAACAAGCGGCTGTTTCACTTACCAGAAAGTGTTGTAGAGACCAGTGATGATACCGCGGTGAGCTGGGTGAGCGGTTTCGATGACGTGAAGGGGTCCGGCAGTAGTAAGAATCGGCACACCGAAACCAAGCAACAGACGACCACCCATGAACTGGCCAACAGCGCTGCCACCGGGCTTTGTGGTGGCCTGGATGATAACACCTGCGGCGGCAATAGCACCACCGATCATCATTCCATATCTGCGGCCCCAGGTATCGCAAGCAGGTCCGATGAAAGGAAGAGCGCAGACACCGCCAATCTGGTACATGGAAGTAACGATACCAGCCCAAGCACCGGTACTCTCGACTCCGTAGTACTCCTTGAAAGTGGAGTTTGTGAGGAGGGAGTTGAACATGGATCCGTCGAAACCGTTGCAAGTGGAGCACATGAAGCCGACCAAAGCACAGACGTAGAGGACAAACGCGTGCCAGGTGACGAGGGAAACGGGCTCCTTGGCCAGTGCCTCTAGGAGTGCTTCGGATCCAGTAATGACCTTGACTTCAGCAATGCCGCTCTTGAGGTCCTACATGACTGTCAGCTTGATGTAATGAGGCCTTGATACTAGGCTACCTACGCCATTCTCTGAGTTGGTCTGGTGGATAACCTCGTTGGTATATTCCTTGTTGTCAGCCATTGTAGCGGTGTTGCTTGGGGTGAGAGCAGCTGCTGATGGATGCAAGATGTGCGACTTCGACGAGCTATAAAACATCTGCGACTACTACAGGCTCTTGGTCTACAGGGTAGGGGCCCCGGCCTTTGGGCCCGCAATATCCGGGTAAACGCTCCATCTCAAAGCTGCTGTATCGGAGGTTGGTTCTAGATACCGTGCCCTGGTAGGATGGGGACCGGAGAACACCACTCCGCTGCCGCATTGGGTAAGGCGCGACTGGGCGCTACAGCAGCCTCAACCGTTCGAGTGGACACGCCGCTCCATTGCAGGGTAACGAAAACGCGGGGACAAGCGACTCAACTCCGCAACGCCTTCTCGATAAGGACTGTGACCTGTACAAGCATGATCGTGCAAGCGCCACGACACATGAGCCCCAATCGGTCTTGCAGATACAACGATACCCTAACGAAATCGTGCGGGGACCGCCCCATGGAGAGCCGGCCTCTTCTAACCACTAGAACGGGGTCGAGCGGGCCGTGTCAATTTTGACAAGGTTGGAACAGTCCAATTAGGGTCGCGTTCTTTTCGCGACAGTGCTGGCTAGCCGTTCTTGCATACCTATGTTCGGCAACATGTATCACGCAGGTCAGCAGCCCGACGATCAAGTGTTATTCAGAGCTGGTCTGGCCTTCAAAGCAAAGACTTGCGAACGGGTGACAACTGCGCTGCTCACTTGTTTGTATAGGTGGAACGACATCTGAGAATAGGTGAGAGTTTCATCGTACATTCGGGGTGGAGCGAATTATCCGCGAATGGTTTTGGAGGTCCGCACTAGCGCTGCGATGCAATGCAAGGGCGAAAACAAACGCCATGCGGGGTTAGACCGCGCTTCAATGGTCGGCTCGGACTCTGACATATGCAGCAAAATAGGATGGGGAAATCTGACAACCTTCCATGTGCTTGAGTGGAACTTAGCATAAGGAAGACGGGTAGCGAAAGCGTGACTGCCGAACCTCGCACATTGAGATGCGCGGGCGCTAGATTCCACACCCTCGAATGGGCAAACGCATCGTATGTTTCATGTGTCTCGATCACGGAATTCGACACTTTGTCAACCGCGTGCGACGGGAGTGGGCACATGGCATGACATGCATGTGTCATTGTCGATTCTGCTCACTCCGCTTCGTTCTAGTCGGTGTTGTGTGGCGGATTCTCGACAAATATTCATTGATCTTTTTCGTATCATCACCCGTCTGCTGACGGGGTGACGGGCCGTGGTCTAGCCACGCGCTGTATGCCTTATTTTGTGGTCGGTCCTGTGAGTGCATACACAACATTATCGAGACGGGTCCTCTAAAATGCGTCCCGGGAAGAGAATTCTCGCCAACACAAGCTTTACCAAGCCACGTTCCTACTTACAGGCTCTGCCAGGCGAGGACGGGAGCATCTCCTGGAGTCAGCCGCCTCGCTGCAGGTTTTGTTGTTCATTTCGGATCAGCCACCCGTCTGGCAGCCTTAACAACTGAAGTAGTCCCGGAGACCTAATTCTTGCCACAGACGGAAAGGTAAGATCGACTACGCCTTCACCTCACCAAAACATATCAAATACTCCAGTGCGAGTTGGACCTTTCGCCTCCTGACTCTACTAGCAAGTGTGATCTGCTACCTAAGCTGACAATACAATGAAAGACAGCGTGTGGAGAAGTCCACATGACGAGATACATCCACAGCTGACTGGTCAGAATGCATAGGTAGCGGGCGCTTTCTCGATCTGTGACACCGAAAATCGACCGCACTCCAACCACAGTCTTCACCGCCTCCACCAATCGTTTGTCGGCTGTATCGCTGGCAACACACCGTTTCCGTCAACCAATCCCATAGGAAGGCGACCCGTCATGCATTGGGTGTCAATACCTTCAGATATTGACTTCCAGTACGACACTATTCGAAACGCACATCTGCAGATACTATTTGTCTCAGTTTTGATGCTCGCCCTTCGTTAAAATGAGCTCTATGGTTGTAGCAACCTTCTCTTTGTCAGAAGGCAAGAATGTCCACCACACTAGAGGGTACATGGATCATTCCCACTGTTATACTCTGTGTGACACGCAGGTCTTTCCAAGCCTTCTTATTGGAATAAGTGAGTGTTGCAATAGAGTGATTGAGCATAGTCACTAGCAGTTTGGACACCCTGCAACTTGCTCACCACAGTACAGTAGCTGATTGATTCGAGCCCGGACGCATATATATGGAACCGAGCCTTTTGATCTTCCTCAGACAACTCTCCAGCTTGCGTCTCTCCTTCGAGAAAGTTCCCTGCAGCTTTGAAAAGACAATCCTATTGCGGCCGAGATTAGGTCTTCGGAATCTCCACTGCGCAAACAACGTCCAACCCAAAGGCGTTTGGGAACACGTCTCTCCAGATAAACTTTCGCCTCCATAAGCCAAAAATCGCTCAACATCGGTGCGTGCAGCAATCAGTACCTGCCATACTTACCCGGACAAAGAACCAGACGCTATCTTGTGACACATATCGCACTCAGACTCATATGATCATGTCCCTTCCTTAACTAGTTTGGATAAGCAATGTCTGTTTCACTGGAGTCAAGAAAAAATTACGAGAATGATACGCAAGAAACATTCGCTATCATATTGATTTGTTGGTAGATATGTCTGGCTGCTCTGTGTAGGCCACAACGAGTCGCGCCTAATTGATCCTTCCAGGACATGACAACATCCCAGTAATGCTTGGAATGACACCCCATGGAAAATGGAGATACCGTACGTTCTAGTCCTGCCATAACTTCACCAGCACCTTTAGAACAGCAAGTTGACTCCATCCGTTCTATAGTTACGCCGCCTCCACAACCGAAAAGCGTTCGCATTCAAAGTCAACGCCTGCCGTTCGAGAGCCTCCAAGTCCTCCTCGATCGCATCAGACACGTCTGCACGACCCAATAAATTCGCTTCAAGCCACTCCGTACGCTTCGCTACGATAGATGCTTTCAATGATGGTGGAAGCGGTAGTCCAGACCTTGATTGATTTCTCGGTGTCGGAGGATTGATATCTGCGGCACGCTGACGAAGGTTTCTCCGCGGAATGTTGAAGTTTGGCAAGGATCGTTTGCGAGTTTGGTCCGTCTGTGTGGCTTTGCTTTGCCCACTGATTTTACGACGTGTTCGGGTTCGCATGCTTGTAGTTGGATAATCTGAATGCGCTGGGTGGCTTACTGGAACGTGGACCTTCAGGTGGACGAGCAGCGACATTTGGGGAGCACGAAAGTAGATTGGAAACTTTATTGACAGGACAGTTGCAGGTACTTTTAGTACAAAACAGTTGCAGACAAAGAGATCTGGGTCGGCATTGTTAAGAGTAAATCCACCTTGTCATCTGCTTTGTTCGAAGAAAACACGCATACGCGATTGGCAAACATCTACCCATCAGCAAGCGCACAAGAACATTTCATGCATGGAATAGCATCTGCTACGTTTGTATAGTCGTTGGCGATGTGTGCAAACCCAGGAAATCATGCGATGGACTGAATAATGTAGATATATACCATGACAACAATGAACAAGTCATTCTATTGGTCAATTCTGTTCTATCATCCTATAGGACATCAAATAAAAATGTAGCCAGTCATAGGCCTTTGACACATTTCTGTTCCATGGGTGAGGAGAGTCTGCACATTCTTACAAGCACCGATACATAGGCGTAGGGGACTCCAAAGATGCTCCACCAAGAAAGACTTTGGTGTCAACTGTAAAGGATTCCTGACTGATTTGTGTGATAAAGGACGGATCATGAACATCACATTGGTAATAATGTATTAGGCACGATCCATCGCCTGCCACCGCTTCCCTACAGGAACTTGATTGATACTCTTCACCTCCTTGTGAACACGAGCTTTCACCAACAAGTTCGGCCCTCTTCTCCAAGAGAGGTTCGGACCCTTTTCACTCACCTTCAAAACCTCTTCTCTTTTCACACCACTCGCCACCAATATTCTCTTATAATCGCTGTTCCGCATCTCAGACCCTGCAATAGAGATACTACTTCCCGTCAACTTGTACACAATGATTGGCAAGCGCAAGCGCAGCGACTCGCGATCCGACACACCCAATGCAGAAACCATTGATTTTACTGCGTTCCCCCAGAAACGACAAAAGAAACACGACCTATCCACCGAACCCATATACACCATCGCGCAAGTCCTCGCGTTCAAGACTGAAGTTAGGAAAATCAGAGACTGGACTAGTTCAACCATCGCCCAAAAGCACATCCAAATAATCTACTGGTCCGACGTCGAAGGCTTGAGCAAAGCTGAGTGTTGCAAACGGTATCCAAATAGAAACGGCAACCCCAGCTCGTTAACGACTATCTTCCAAGTGTACAACAAGTGGGCGCCACAATTCTATGCCGAGAAGGGCGTTGCGTATGTACCACTGAGCAAGCGTACTGCAGCTCGTGGGGCAGTCGAGCGTCCTCCAATGCAGAGGAAAAAGCGCGCCCGAACAACCAAAAGTTCAGACATAGACCTCGAATTGGAAAAGGCTTTTGCAACACTCCCCAAGTACGCACTATCAGCGTCAACGCTGACTGAAACGTCTGCAGCATGCTCGTGTCCAGCATCGCCTTCCGACCTCTCCGCCTATTCCCGAATCAATAACGTAGTACAATTCCTCAGCAAGCCCGACATCGACACCGACACTCTCCCCTCAGGCCCTCCCATCCCCCTCGCAACCCTGCTCAAACACTGCACTGCCCTGCGCGCACCACTCCTCGCAAACCCACTGATTGACGCTATCTACCACGGCCCCGAAGTCAGCGCAGACACCGTCTGCCGCTTCGCCGCATGCATCTCCCCCACGCTGTGTTCGCGCCTACCGCCCACGGTAACGACGCCCTACGGCGTGTTCGAGCAAGCCTGGAACACCTCCGAGCTAGAAGACCTTTACGTCTTCGCCGGGAGCGTGGGCGCGTGGGGCGTGTGCGATCTAGTGCTCGACCGGTGGAGCGAAGAGCTCCGGCGGCCGGAGGCGCGGCAGGTGCTGAACGAGTGGGGTGACGTTGAGGCGTTCGATGTGCTTGGATTCGGTCCTGAGTTCATGAGTTTCTTGCAGGCGAACGATGGGAAGGGGTTTGCGTTCTTTGGGAGTGTGCTTGTGGGTGCTGGACAGGAGGGGTGGGATAGGATGGGGGCTGTGGGGTTGGCGGGTTGGTGCCGGGAGACCAAGGAGGCGCTTGTGGAGATGGTGAGGGAGGGAAGGGTGGTTGATTTGCGGAACGCATCGCGGGACGCGGTTTGTAAAGCTTTTCACCACCGGGGTTGGGTCACGGCAGCGCCTACACGTCCGACACACGATCAGCGGCCGTCCTGTTTCAACGTGGACGAGAACGTGCTGCAGCTCACCATCCCAGACTTCCCCGCCGTCCCCTCACAGGACATCAGCGACGACCTCACAGACTTCATAACATGCAAGACCGACCGCCTTCGCCAACACAGGAACGATTACCTTCTCAATCGTATGCAATACACAAATCCCAAATTCAACGCCATCCACAATACGCCAGAGATCTGTGCTGAGAAGCTTCGACTGGTCCGAGAGAAACTGACACTTTTCGAGGACGAGGGTATCGAACTGAGTGATGAAGAGGCAGCGAGAGCCCTGGTCCGGTTGAGCGTTCTGAGCGTGGGAGAGGAAGGGGAGGATGAGTGCAAATACGAGAGACTGTGAGAGTGAAGAAGTTTTGCATTGTATGCGCCTTAGGAACTCGATTGCCGCAAACAAATGGTTAATGACAGAAAGATGGGCAAGCGGCTCATGAAGGCTCTAACGGAGCTCAGCTCGGTTTGCCCTATCGGACGCGTGTTTGTTGCCAGCTTTATTAAAAATGTCGAACTTTGGTATCTACTCACTACAATACAATGCTTACAGCAACAGACACCAACATGTGTTCTGCAACCGTAACTTAGTCTTGCTCTCTTCTCGGCACGTTTTTCCATGCCACTGTCTACAGTTCTTTCTTCAAAAAGTGCTCTGGTCTATGATCGGTCTCGTAGTCCACATGTACGTACGCCCTCTCAACATCAGGCAGGCTCTCAAGCTTAATCTGTAGTTCCTCGGCAATATCGTGTGTTGCGCGCAGCGAGCTCTCAGGATCCATAACCACGTCGACTTCGACAATGAGGCGAGGGCCAGAGTGGTAGGCGCGCACAGTGTCAATCTGGCGGATTGCAGGAGAGTGTGTCATGGCTGTGAACACGAGTCAGAGTTGGATGTCAAGTCAAGAGCACTGAAGACTTACAGATGTAGGTGATGTGCTGGAGCATGTTCGTGTCTGCCGTGACACCAATCAAGAGCTGGAACTCGCTGTACGCCGTCCGACTCCACAGGAAGATAATCAGAACAGAGAGAAGCATAGCACCCATGGGGTCAATCCACCACTTCAGCTTCGCGCCGCCCACGCTGGTCAAGATACCAAAGCCGTTGATGAACAAATCGTTCCTGTGGTCTTCCCACAAGATACGAACCTGACTGTATTTGTTGCGGATTGCCCAGCAGTACAAGAACAGACTAAATTTTGTCGCGAAAGCGATCGCAACCGCGATCACAGAGGGCAAGAAGAAGTCGTTTGTGTCACCGCCGGTGTGCTCGGCAATGGTGCGAATAGCCTCAACAATAATAACAACGGAAACGGTGATCATGAGCGCGCAGAAAGAGAGGTTGCCGGCGGTCTCGATGCGTGCTTTCCCCGAAGGAAATTTGCGCGCGTCGACGCGCGACACGGCGCGGGCGCACATGATCAGCGTCAAGTTGGACAGCGGGTCGAAGAGCGAGTCGGCCATAGTCGTGAAGAGCGAAAGCGACTTGGAGCTGATAGCTGCGTAGAGCTGCAACACCGCGAGGATGACGTTGGCCACGAACGATCCGATGACAGCAATCTTGTACTTGAGGTGGTTCGCGTCGCCCTCCTCCTTTGCGGCACGTCGATGGTCGTCAACAGGCTTAAGGAGCCGTTCAATATTCTCGTTCTGCGCCTCGTAGAACTCCTCCAACTTTTTGGCATTGCGAGCCTTCAGGTTCAAGCTTATAGGACCACAACCGTCGCGCTTGCGCGAGCTGTTCGCTCGGATTTGGGCGAGCTCATTCTCAGGCTTGATCGCCGAGGCGAGTTGATATGGATCGTTGTCGGGCGTGTATTGAGGAAGCGACTGCGATTCGACGTCGCTGGAGCTGTCAGCACGGCTCAGCACATGGCTGGGACGTGCGACTGGGTCATGCTCGTGGGTGGACGCGGTTTCGACGGCTGTGCTGTTGCCATTAAACTTGTGAAGAGCACTTTCAGATACGTTGGCTTGTGCCGAACTGGGGGCGGCGTGAAAGTGGGGGCTTGCTGTACGTTCCACGCGATCGGGGTGTTTGTGGAAAGGATGTGGTTTCATCGAGATAGCATGGTGGAGATCTGGTTCCGACGACATGGCGACGTTTGACGCTGTAAGCCACTCAGGGTGCTTGAAACGAGATGTGAAGGAGGAACAGCTTCAAGGGAGGATGCTGTTTTCCAGATGAAGGAGGGGCAGGCAAGAAAAGAAACAGGTGCATCGCTGGCATGTACAGTAATAAGATCGACGCCGTCCGACCCAAGAGATCACCACGTGGGGAAGATCATGGCAGGGAAAGTGTAAGCGCGCGGACTGTACGCCGCGTCGCCGCGCCGCCACTTCCAAGGAACGCGCGTGTCTGATCGCAGTGAGTAGCGCCAGGTTACAAAGGATTTGGCCGACGCCTCGTAAGCTTTGTCTGGCAAGTGTAAAGTGCCTCGGCGCATACACAGTACTTGAAGACGCAGGCAAATAGGGCCACTATCGATGAGCTATGCAACCCGGTGCGCTCCTCGGTATGATCCTTTGCATGTTGATGATGCAGCTGCTTCAAGCATTACAAGCGGTCTCATCTGCTTCTGTCCTGGTGACATTGCGACACTCTCTTTCCAGAATCGCTCCTGCCACCATCCGGTCAGCACCACGGAGCCAAGCCCGCACCTGCATAATTAGCGCCATCTGATAATTCATCTTGGCGCCGCTCATCATCTCCCAGATCGAATATTCGCTTGGGTCTCAAGGTAACGTAATTATTTCATTATGTGTGCACGTAGTGGCAGTGACGTTCGAAAACGTTATTTGGATTAAACACCACTACAAGGGGATAGCCTGCCGAACCAAGCTGGTATGAACGCCGTGCGAATGAACCTGATCAATGAATTGGGATATCTACTCTCCTGACGAGCAGTCTACTGCTTCGTCTTACAAGACTTGTGGTGCTACATGACATTTGCGGAGATGTGCGAGGCGTGACGATGTGAAGGCGAAGGCGAAGGTGAGGGCGTATGGTGTCGTGATTCTGTGCCGGGGATTGGGGCGGGGATCGAACTCGCGGGGGATCGGATGGGGTTGTGTCTATGGACCGCGATAGCGGGCGAGAAAAAACGCGGCGTGGCGTTGTCTGACCAACGATCTCAGCCCAAGAAGTCGGCTCTACAAGGCACGAGGGTGGTGACGGTAATCTCATCGCCGAGCCAACGCTCCAAAGACTGTACCGGATAAACCTGGGGTGGCTCGGTATAATATCAGTGGCTAGAGTCAACTCGTGATCATGGACATCCATGCGTTTGGAGAAGGGGGTCAAACCCAGCCCTACAAGCCTAGCCAAAAGCTCAATGAGTGATCATCTAGCAATGCGACTCAGCCCCATTTCGAGCCCGGATTTGTAGGGCATGGGAAAGGGCGTTGGGATCTCAAGCCATGACGCCTGTGTTGCCGCCTGTTGCAGGGTGGTCAGACAGAGAACGGATAGAACATTGCGGGATGTGTCGGAGATGACCACATGTGATGAAGTGCGATGTACCATCAGGGTTCAAGGACGTGTTATAACATACCAACTTGACGCTTGATCTGTTCGCGAGCCCATCGAGCGGTATCACGTGTGCGCCCGCTGAAGTCCTGGTTTGCGCGAGTCTCCCTTGCCATAGCAGTAAGGAAATCATGTCGGAAGTAATCTCGGATCTCGCCGTTCTGGAAAGCATCTGCAAGGTCACTGTGGACAGTCAGTCACAGTCTGTGAATGTGTGGGATATTCATCCACTTACCCAACGACACCACACGCGGATCTGAGAAGGGCCTCAGTCCTGTTGGGGTCTGATTGAATCGTGCGCAGCAGGTCGAAGATAGAGTCAAGGAAGGGAATAAGAAGGTTATTCTTGTTGCTCGCCTTCATTGCGTTAATGGCACCGTCCCATGAGTCAAGAATGCCTTCCCTCAACGACGTGATGTAATCAATCATCTCGTAGTTGTTCTCAGTGGTCAACGTGACTTGACCAGCTTGCTGAAGGACTTGAGCAACGACAGTCAAGTAGGTCTCGAAAGCACCATGAATGGCATGGGCAATGTCGCCGAAGCATTGCAGGATAGCAGGCTTGAGCTGATTGCCAAGCGCCGGGCTCTGTTGACAGTCGTTAGCAAAGGCGCAATTCAGACTAGGTTCAGTATGGCTTACTCGGAGGTTGTTCAGCAGAGAGTTCATGAAAGCATCACAGTACGGCTGAACCTTGTCGCCTAGCGAGCGTGTGATGTCAGAAACGAGTCCGATAGCGACGGAACACAGAGCAGGCTCCTCCTGGTTGTTCAAGGCGTTGTACAAGTAAGGAGAAAATGCGTCCATGTACTTCTGGAAATCATCATCAAGCGCAGTGGCGATCGATGCAATCGCAGCAAAGACTGTGTCAGGAACGCTTGACTTCGGGGGAAGAGACGACAGAGTTCCAAGCAGAATCTGCATAACGCGGTCTGCCTGAGGCCTGATATCGCCTTCCAGACGCTGGACGATCGACATGACAACACTGGCTAAGCTGGTCTGCATCTCCTCGAGGGTCAGCTTGTCTTCGACGCTGACGACCTGTGACTGGAGGTTGATCGACTTTTCCAAACGCTCAAGAATAACGTTGGAAAGCTCGTTGACCAGGGGAACACTATCAGTGGCAGCGTTTGTCACGAAAGAGTTGAGCACCTCATATGCTGCAGTCCTCAGCTGGTTGTCGGCGTCAGCCCTTTCAGTGACCTGCAAAAGGTGCTGTACGCTCTGGGCAAAGTGAGCGGAGAGGGGGTTGCTCTGGCATCCGGGTTCTCCAGCAAACCTATCTGCAAGGTTCATGAGAGACCAACAGCAAGAGGCAGCCATCTTGGGGTTACTAGACAGACCATTGAAAAGCGCCCCGATCAGGGGAGGCAGGTGCTGCTGTGCATCGAGAGCGCCCGGCACAGCCTCGCAAATGCGTCCCAAAGCATAGGCTGCCGAATCCTTAACGTGGATGTTCTGGTCGTCCATCATGCCAATGAGAGTGGGCAAGGCTTGCTTAACGATGGGATCCAAGACATGTTCCTCGGGTCCTTCCATGATTGCACCAAAGGCGGAAACGGATGCATCTCTGTAGTGCCAATCTTCCGAGCGGATGTGCTTCTCAATGAAAGCAAGGACCGGGGGCATAACAGCACTGCCGACGCACTGCGCCCACAGCTGCAGACACTGGTAAGCAGCACGTGACACGTTGTACTCGTTGTCATCAGCATCCTCGTCCTGCTTGGCCAGAAGCTCAAGGAGAACTGGGACAACCTCTTGTGTGGCAACACGGGCGAAATTGAAGTATTCACGCATCTCGGTGGAACCCTCGGCCTGAGCTTGCGTGTTGTCGTCTTCGATCGCAATTTCTTCCTCGCACACTGTGCACCAGAATTCAACGGCGAGCTTGGCAACGTCCTCTTCATCACTCTTCATGCCCTGGATGGTGAGACCAAACAGAGCCTTCTCCATGTAGAAGCGCATCTTGTCGTAGTAAAGACCCATGATGCGGTTGAGGCATCCATACGATCCTTGCTGGATGCGTGTGTCGTCCGCCTGTGTAGCCTCACAGATGACCTGCATGATGTAGTTGCGCTCGCCCTCGTTCTCGAAGTTCGATCGCACAAATTCGATCGAGTCGCTGAGAGCTTGGATAGCCGCGATTCGGACATCGCCGTTAGTCTCCTCCTTGCGGGCACCCTGCACGACAGCGGTCAGGATTGCATTGGAGTGGTGTGCCAGCGCCTCCCGAAGGTCGACGTCGTCGGTGTCGCAGATGTACCCGATGGTGGTCAGCGAGGCCTGCTTCTGGCTATCGTTGCCCTGGCCGACGTTCTCGACGAGGGTTTGCATGAGCTCTGGCCATTGATTGCGGGGTATTTCGATTGCGGCGATGGAGGCAATAAGCTGGGCGACGGTGGTACCGACTTGCTTGTTCGGGGTCGTCAGCGTGCGGAGAGCCAGCTGCTTAACCTCCTGCTTGATCTGCGGGTTCAGGGCGATCCACCGTTCCTGCACCTGACGTAATCTGGCGTATTCGCGGGCTGTGAACGCGTTCTTCAGTGCCAGGGCGGCAGCTGTTCGAATGTGTGCTTGAGCGGCTTCATCCGCAAGCTGCCCACCGAGGATCTGGAGGTATTGGGACTATCGAGAGACACAGTCGTTAGTGGCTATGTTTGAGTGAGAGCGCATGCAGCCTTCTCGCTGCGTGGGGCACTTACGAAGTCAGAGTCGGCGGCCTGGGACAGCTGCTGCTCGGCGTTCTGGCGAGTCGTCGCATCTTTTTGGCTGTTAGTAGGCCTTACAAGGCCTGCGTGCAGCACGCGAAAGGCGACATACCCGGAGACAATGTCCCCTCCAACACCTGGTTGATATCCATGATTGCAGGAGGGTGCTTCAAGGACTCAAAGAGGGGTATCGAGCGGCGAGACAACTAAAAGAGCCGCAGTGGCGGTAGGTGTGCGAGGTGGTGCGGCGAATAGGGTAAGGCCTGCAAAAGTTGCGGTGGGCGCTCGTGTAGAGAGGGAATTTGTGAAGCGAAAGAGGTCGAGGTTGCCAGGCCGATCTATTCACGTGTTTGGCTGCGCGGTAGTTTTCGTTCTGACGGATTGTGCCCCACTACGGCGCCGGTCGACGAGGCAAAGGAGTAATTAGAAGCTAGTGCGAGCGAAAACAACAAACAAAGCCGGCGAGCGTTGTGAAATGTGAAAGACAGAAACTTCTGGAAAGTTTGCATCCTAGGCGCAGACAGGCACCTGCGCTCATCAGTCTGTCCGGAAGGCAGCGCCAACGCCCGATGGCCGCCCGGCAACCACATTGGTTCGCTTGGGCGCCTTCTCCAGGTCTGCGTTTCCCCGCGGCTGCCTTGACCCTGCGCCGGACGGTCCCTCTCAGGACGAGGCAGTCGGACGAGGGTTCGAGCGATCTGCTGCATTGCTCGCGCCTGCGTCAGTTCAGACTGAAGTCGCCGTTTTGCTGGCTAGACATTGTCGTCTGATGCCCCTGATCCACAGCGTTGGACGCGTGGCGTGGCTGCCGCAATGCCAACCATGGTTCTGTGATTGGGCAATAAGCGCCTCGCATCATCACCATTGTCCAACCCTGAAAGATTCGAAGTTTATACGCAGAAAGGAAACTCGGTGGTATCAATGAAAAATGAACATGTGAATGCTATAGGAGAACCCGTAGGCGTATGTACAATTAACGACACGCGACAACGCCAGCTATGCAAATACGCTTAGCTTTCAATCCGTGCTGCTGGCGACTGCCAAGACAGTAACGTTGGATGACTTACGCTGTCTAAGATACTCATGTCCTGCCTCGTCGAGGATCGTTGGCCTCTTCCTTCCTCCAGTCGCGCATTTCCTTTGTGCCCAAGCTCCCCAAACCTCCTTCGCCTCTCCTCTCCCAGCCGCCTAGTCTGACAACTAACCCTGTGGCGTTGTCTGCACCTTCGCTGCCAGACGACGTCTCAACCGCAAAGCTGGTGAGGTCTCGGGCGGCCTGATCAGGAGTCTTCGCTTCCTTCACGATATCAACGATCTCTTGATCAGACAGATGGCCACAGACACCGTCAGAGCACAGTACCATAAAGGAGTACTCGGCGGGTGAGAGCTCAACCCGACGAATTTCAGGCTCGGCAGACACGCCAATGCGCTTTGATGACATGTCGCCGAACGCTCTGGTGTTGGCCAAACCAGAGATGCGCTCTTCACCGAATGAATCGGTCACAAAAGCGGCGGCGAATCGGCGCAGACGTGTCGCTTCTTCGGGGAGTGATGGGTGATGGTTGGAAGTGAGCGGCACAGCAAGTCCAGTCGCAGTATTGCAGAGCAGGATTCTCGTGTCGCCAACATGTGCAGTGAGTAGCGAAGAAGGCGATGATGGGTGCCAGAACGGCGAGGGCGTGGGAGTAGAGATCAGAGCGACGCTGCATGTGCTGCCACCTTTGAAGCGGTTTGTACCGCCGATATTCTGGCCTGCGCGTGAGGGTTTGCCGAGGATGTCGTCGTCGTTGATAGCCTTATCTGCACGAACAGGATCTTCCTCCTTCTTGCCTACTTGCGCAGCTACAAAGTCGTAGTCGGCTTTGAGGAAGGCGTACTCTAGTACTGTCTCGATTCCCACTCCCTCGATGGTCTCGTCAGATATCCTAGAGCTTGACGAATGGTGCTTCGTGACAGCGTCCTTCTCATGAGGGTGTCCTCTGCCGCCAGCCGCCATGGAAAAATGCTCGGGCTTGAAACGACGAAAATAGCCTCCGACGAGCTCTTTCCAGTTCTTCACAAGCTCTCGCTCCATCTCTTCAGCCTTACGTATGCTGTCCGACTGTGGTATTGGTGGATCGCCGGGTATAGACCCATCTCGTTGCTTGCCAGGCAGATCACGTCGATCTCTGCCGTTGGGCGGCTGCATCTTCTCTATGCCGGGCGGCGTGTGTGTCTGGATAGCCTCCAGGCTCTCCTCGTCTTTTTTCTGTCGGCTTTTTGGAGCAGTGGCTGGATCCTGCATGCTGCCAGGGAGCGAGGGACCAGCCCGGTTCAAGCTACTCTGCAGCTCAAATTGCTGCGACGCCTTCTCGAGGTAATCGTGCAATTGCTCCTGCAAAAAGCCAGAGCAAATGGCACCACCATGTCCATCGAATACGCCAAAGTAGAAGACTTGCGGGTCTCCACTGGCGCTGTCGGCCGGTGTGACCTCGTTCGCAGCCCCGCCCTTCCTCGTGAGGGACATGGGGCGCCGTTTGGCGAATGCAGGCACCTCAATGGTGCCAGCTTGGAAGGCATCTTCGTTGTATGGCCGCGAGCCTCGCGACAACGAGACGCCGAAATGGTGCTTTGCGCTCTTCAGCGGTATTCGCACCACTGTCATGTCGCGGTTCGCGCCCACGACAGCAGCCGGTGAGCGACTGTCTCCTTTCGATTCATGGGGAGTGCTCTTGTCGCGCGGGAGCTTGTGGCTGAATCGAGGCCCTGAGTCTGGGTGCAGCGAGGACGAGGGGATGTGGGTGACGAAGTACTCGTGGAAGCAGCGTCTAGAGAGGCAGACGTGGGCGGGCGGGCCTATCGTGGCGGGGATGCGTGGGGCGCGATTGCACGCGAGGCAGGCGATGGGAGGCCTTCCAGTGGCTGTAGAAAGGCGGACTGACGGTTTCCACATGCTGTCCCTGGCGGCAAAGGACGCATTGTGTGTAGTAAAGGCAATTATGTCATGGTAGGGGATGGGGCTTGGGGCTGACCTGGCTGAGCTGCGGCCAGTCGTTCCGGGTCCCTGAAGAAGCCCCACAACTTCGGATCCTGCACTCGCCTCCGCCAGACGTGCACGTAGCAATCTCAGACCACAACTTCCGGCCGTTGTCTTCCCGACGCACAGATGCTGGATGGAACAGTCGCAGATCGTAAACATTAACATATCTTCTAAGTAGGCAAATGAGTGCCAGCCTACATAACCGGGGTATATACCAAAACGCCCTCCGCAACAGACATTATATGTTCATTATACGCAGCCTCGTCCCTACATTCGAGTCGCCTCGAACGCCTAGATGTACCGCCTTCCCTGAGGCTGCGGCATGGGACTCCCTCTCCCGTTGACCATCTGCACGTTGATCACCTTCTGTACGCTCGCCTGGCCCATTGTCACCGTCGGGCTCCAAGGATCTTCACCCCTCCGACCATCATATACATTCTCCCTGCCCCACTTATCATCCTTGCTTGTTCTCATTTCACCGTTATCGTTACCGTTGACATAGCTCTTGTTTGTCGTAACGGTCGTCAGTGCGATGACGCTGTCGGTGTCAGAGTCCCTTGGTCTGGACGACTTCGATGTGTGAGATGACCCTGGGAAAGAAGCTTTGCGGTCCTTGTATGAAGACACACGTTCCTGTGTGTCTGAAGCAATCTTGCGAATGAGTGGGCGTAACACGGCGATGGAAGCAGCGATGATGCCAGTCCCAGGTTCGGCGGTAGCCCAAATCGTGGCTTTGACTGCATTGGCTGTAACGTGTCAGTACACCCATATCGCAACAGAGAGTGATAAAGACAACATACGGTGAAGAACAGGACTACGTGTGAATAGAAGGCCTTTGAGATACACCATACGAAGGATGCTCGATACACTTCCAATAGCGCCTAGGCCCATGACGATACTGACGCTGATCTTAGATCGGCGATCGATATCACTGTCAAGAAGGATGGCGATGGGGATGAGAACGAACGTCCAGTCCGCTATAACATTGATAACACCGTAAATATAGCCAGTGGCCAGGATCAAAGCGGATGGAAGGCATTTCTCGGAACCGGCAAGGCTATCCGCCAATTTGAGAGGATCTCCGCACACGAAGATAGTAATGAAGGTATAAAATAGGCCATACGTCGCACTGACTCCGAGAATGGTGTGGAAAATGACGGTCTGCCAGCGCTTGGTGAGGACACGGAGGAAGAAGAGTCCCAGAGAGATCTTCAGTAGTGTAGTCGTAAGTATGTAAAAGACCTCACTCAATTGAACAAACTGTTTCAGTTAGTGGCATGTAAAGCAAATTTCTCTCTTGGGCGGCGTACGACTAGGCTTCGGTAGCGAGCTTCTGCGGTAAAGAGCATGCCTTGGCTACTTCGCATGATAATCGTCAAGATGAAGGCGCAATATGTAGTGAATAGAAGCTACTTAGGTCAGTTTAAGCATCTCAAAAGCGTCTATAGGCTTACCAAAGTAGCGACCATAGCCACATCGTCCCAGCCTGGGGACTTTGTGATGCGAAATCGAACCCATAGTCGGAGCCCTACAGCCAGCCATGCTGAGATGACAAGCGAGATGGACGTGGCAAAGATTATATTGCCGAGAGTAATTAGTTCTTGAATCTGAGCCTTCGAGGCCATATTGTGAATTACCACGTAGGGTGGGGACTAAACAGAGGATCGGACGGTTATGATAGAACGAGATGATGCTGGCATTAAGAGCAGGTTGCAGGGACGGGTAGGCGCCGGAGAGACGACAGCCGGCGGACGTCGTCGCACGTGTGGTAGAGGATGCTGAACTCTATTCCCAGTGTGGCAGTCTGTTCGGCAGTGCCTATTGGCCAGGCTGTTCTTCAGTAACCCAGGTGGTTGCGCATGGACAACCCAGACGTTTAATGTCTAACGACACAACTAAAGTGGGCTATACTCCGGCATGCCGCCCTTGAGAACCCTGAGTTACGTGACAGTCCCAGTGCCATGAGATCGCTCAAACAACCTTCCGGAAATACGCTGTCTACCAGCGAGTGGGAAGGCAGGTTGCGTTGTCATGTCTCATGCAGAACAATACAGCGTGTGGAGCTGTCCAGTAGCAGTGCTGAGCTTTAATCTAGGCTAAAAGGCAGTGACATTCCTCGAAGCATACGATGGCATGCTTCTTTTTGAACATTGCAGTCGGACACTCACAACCCGATGAAGCCTTCGGGAAATGTGTCTTCATCGCGATGGGTTAGAGTACACTCGTGACGAGGTCTGACAAGACAACGTTTGTCAATTGACATGCGTCTCTACCCTCCAAAGCGGCACTGGAACCGTGGATGACTTGCGCATTCGAAGGCCTTCATGTTTCGCCATGGATTCGAGGTGTCGTACCTAGACGTTTCAAGAACCCGCGAAGAAGCCCTGGCCTCAAACGGGGCCCACTAATTCTTGACACACGTTTGGTCGATCTTGAAGTCGGAGGATCCGACAAATAGTGTGACTGAGGCGTAAACTGCAGTTCAAACATGATACATGTTCTAGGCGTGATGATGGTGTGGATTCGACCTAAGACAGACTAGCGCATTGCTTAGTCACTAGTGTTGTCGGCAATTTTTCTTTCCTACGACCCGGGCAGCTCACAACGTCCTTCATCAACAACCACCGTTGAACCAGAACAAAGCACAGCAGATCTGCTACGCACACAGCTGCATCAAAGTCGAGCAGCTCAATTGCAGGTGTATCGCTGCACTTTTATGGTCACTGTCAATGCGTTTCTGCAATCAACTAACCTAGTATTTTACTTCTCGCTGAGGATTTGAACACGGGCATTTTGCGACTGGCAAACACATAAGGTAAGCCCAACTTTTACTCTCATCCCCCATCTCCTGATGAAAAGCAACAAATCTATATATCACAGACCTGTTCCAAATACATTATGTGGACAACGATTGTAACATCTCCTGACTCCTACTCTTTACGGACATTCATACGATCTCGCTCCTCAAAATGCACACACTGACGTACGTGTCCCAGATTTTCAGCTCTCGATCGTCGCATGTATCGCACCTTCACTGCGATGCATCACGATGCTCAAGTCTGTAGTTTAAGATCGGTATTGGCACCACAATGCATTATTCAAATTCTCAACAAAGGCAGCACCTCTAGGTGCTGCTTGTCCTTTGAACCCTCTTTATGACCTTTGCCCAACCTCGACCTCGAGACGTAGTGCACGTCGCCTCTTTGTTCGGATCTATTTCGGGCAGGGCGCCCTAGTGATGAAAGAGCGTTGTCTGTCCGCAGATATGTATTTCGCACATTGCGTCCCTGTTTGTGAATTGTCAGAAAGGTTTCCAAATCTACACCCGTCCCCGGACAGCAGCCGACTAATCAGAGAATCCTACAACACCCTGTGCAACAGATTCACCTGTTCCGCGTAAGCAACTGCTCACCAAGTACACATTCGTTGCAAAAATCACAATGTCTGATCAGGGTGCTGGCCGGTCCACATCTCGACGCAACAGCACTGTCTCTCTGGGCTTAGTGGGTGTCCCACATGTGGTAGAGCCAATACAGACTGTGGACGAATTCATTTTCGACTTCGATCCCGCCGTCGCTGGACTAGACACTGATTTCAACGCACGTATTGATGCCTTATGTGCAGCTGGCCTGCCTGATGGACAGGCGCTACAAGAACTGCAGACCACATCGGACTCTACCCTAAACACAGGTTTAGAGCCATCCGGATCATTTGAACCATATGATCTGACGGATTACAGCTCATTTCCTGAGCAGCAAAGTTTCATGTACCCTGAGCCCCAGGACTACTTCATGGCTCACGAAGCACCATATTTCAGCAGCGGCTATGGTTCCCTAGATCCAACGTTGGACTTCTACAACACTATGGGCCTAACTGCGATACCTGGAAATAACACGTTCATTGAGGATGAAAATAGTCAAGCTGCGTTACAACCTTATGAGCAGACAGATTACATCCCCGGCGACAATAGCTCATGCAACAACACATCAGTACAATTCGCAACCTATCCCCCCGAGGAGCTACAGGTAGCCACGACGAACTCAGTCTTTTCAGCTGAACCGATTCCATCGCCAGTCGGCAAACCTGACACGCAATATGAAACAGACTCGGGCTCCGACGACGAGTATCGCAACACTAAAGTGAAGACGACGAAGGCAACGAAGGCATCCAAGCGAGCGACTCAAAAGAAAAGGGATTCTGTAAGCTCTGCTAGCACTTCCGCAACTCCCGCTGAACCTGCAAAATATCTACCCGGAGAGAAGCCAAAGAAGGTTGACACCAAGCCTTGGATCCGCACCAACGCCAACACAGAAGGAGACACACGTACCTCAAAGATTAATAACTGGAAAAATAAGTACGGGTATAAGCCATTGCCGCTCGGCACGTGGAGCTTCGGCAAGCACACATTTACGTACACACAATATGAGAATGTTGACTTTCTTACCGAGGCGCCCATGTCTACCCGCAAGATCAGCGATTACATATTCAAATATCCGAGCGACGATGATAAACGCCTTATTCTTTGGATTCAAAAGATGCCTGCTGACCAGGGGCGACGCTATGGCTCAAAACAGCATTCAAAGTGCGCCTTCAGAGACTGTCCCATGCAGCGGTATGTTGAGGGCACCATCAGCACCGGTGAGTATCGCGTCGCCTTTGATGAGAAGCACCACACATATGGGGATCGCGTAGATCCTTATGACTGTACAGCCTATGCTCATCTTTACTGCATGGAACAATTCCTGGACTTTGAGCGAGTGTGCCAAGAGGCTGACGTGCGTATTGACACACGTCTCGATATGCCACTCGAGCCCAATGGTAGAGCAGCATTCTCCATGGTCGATGTGCCTGCTCGACACGAGATAGGACGCTTCCTCAAGGCGGCTTCACAGGGCAAGCTGCGCCAATCACAGCACTGGTACAATTATCCCCTCCATGCTGACTACAAGCGTGACGAACAGAAGCCCCACGAGTGCACGCTCACCTACTTGGCGCACTGTATGTATGAGGCCCATCAGGACGACTCACATAAGAGGCAGGCCGCGCTCCGTCGTGTGACTGTTTCGCAGCGACGAGTCCATCTGGGTGACTTGGAGATGAGCGTGGCTGATAAGCGCATCATGCTCGACGTTTATGGCGGTAAGAAAAAGGCTCGAAATGCTAAGCTTGAAGACCACTATGACGAGCGCATTCTTTACCACATCACCCGGGCCGAACAGGAAGCCAAAGCTTTCCTAGAGGGCAAGCGCCGCAAGAAGACATCTGCGAAAAAGAGCAAGAAGCGCAAGATTGGTGAGGGCGATGACACTGATGAAGAGGAGGAATTCACTTGCTCCACTCAATCGCGCGGGACGCGAACGACTCGACAGAAGAAGCAGCGAGTCAACTACGCAGAGTCGCCAGTCATGCAGCAGTATGCGCAGGCATCATACGCGCAGCCCCGGCCTGTTCAGCCGGCCTCAACCCTCGAGCAACAAGTTCAGCATCTTCAGACCCACGTTGCGACAAACTTCAGTCCCCCCCCAAAGCCAGCACCGACCCAACCCCCCATCGATCCCATGCTCGCGCTCGATTTCCCCTTTAGCCCCTATACCGTCCCTGCAACCCCCAAGTTCGACATCTCGGACTTCCCTACCTGCGAAGATGACCTGCCCAGCGACAATCTCGAGAAGGTACTGGCCCTCGAGCGACGACAGTCGTTTGCAGCAGAGCTCGGCCCGACAAGTATCCTGAAGAGCCCTGCATATGCACGCACGCCTCGATCAGTGACATTTGCGCGACGAGTGGGCTTTGAGGCTCAGCCAGTGAGTGCCAGCAAGGTTTACCGTGTGGATGACCCGCCGACCTACATGTCTGGGCGGCGGAGTGCGCGGCTGGCTAAGAAATAGAAAGACGACTGGTCGTCTTGATGAACTTGTTCGTTTAATTGTAGCGTTTTATTCCTGTAGCGTTTCGGTTTTGTAGCGTTGTTGAATTCATAGAGTGGTTGACATTGCACGATGGAATTCGAAGTAATGATGATGTAAAATTTTGAGCTTCAGCAGCTGTCTGCGATACTCTGTGATCCTCGCGGAAACTTGATCATGCAAGCCACAACGTCTGTACACTCGCAGTTCTCCATTTTACTCCACACTTCGACTAGATTGTTTTCCAGCCTAAGTAGTGAAGAACGTGGCGACATGCTTACAGATGCTCACACGAGAAGAGAGGTCGGCAATATACTCGGTTGGTGCCGAGGTAGGGACCAAGAAAGTCTCCACTTCCCTGCAGAAATGCGCTGTCACCGCATGTTGTATAGAGTATCGTCTGTACAGTACAGATCCAGATCTGCCAGTTCCTCAGGGTCTGAAGGGTCACAGGCCGAGCTATGTTTCACCGCCTTGTTTCGGATGTCTGCAGAACTGGCCCTCACGACGATCTTAGACGCTCGGGGAGACTGTTCTCGATGCCGTGGGGCCACTGTTCTACCCTGACCGACAGAACGGCGTGTGTGAGTTGTTCGAAGGAGCGCAGCAGTAGACCCAGGTACTAGCTGTGGCTGGGATGGTTTGTCAAAATTGGCGGCAGCTAACAACGCTAGTGTGCCCGTTTGGGTTACCCTGAGCAACGCCTGTTTACAGTACACCGCTGAATTGAAGAGGCTGGCCTGCTCTGTGCACCATGGTGCTCTGTGCTTCCCAGCCAGCGCATAGATGTCCCGCGGTTCGCCCAAATAATGGCAGACGGTATCCCTGATCCATTCCACATTTTTGAACGTTCATTGAACCCTGAGTGACACCCGCCCGTTGCTGCTTGCATATGCTGTCGTACAACGGATCCAACCAGCAACATCGATCATGACGACACTTGACGAGCTTCGAGACCACGGCGTCGCGTCCTTTGCGACTCACGAGGACCGGCAATTTGGGGAACCTTTGTCGCCGGGCACTATGTTCGGGGGTGACACCTCGTTCAACTCTGACCTCGCCATGTCGATGAATGGCGACGACGCGTCACCTATGGAGAGTGAACGCGACGAACGAGACTTCGGCGATGAATTGCTGCAGCCATACCAGAGCTCATACACATCACGCAAAGGGCATTCACGGCGTCAGTCTGCTACGACAAATTACAGCTTCGTATCTGCTATGCCATCCGAGGCTGGCTCCATGTCCTCCAAACCCGTTGCCGCCGGCAACCTGCCCATTGACACACGATACGCCCCACGAGCGGAGCGACCGCGATTCCGAAATCCCGAATCAGTACGCGCGATGCAGATGTCGTCGCCTGCGCCAATGTCGCCCTACGAGAGTAACCGAGAGAGGATGAAGAACACATACGGCCTCGCCACACCAGGCAGGACTGGGCGGTGTGAGACACCTGTGTCGAGACACTCTGGCTCTCGCAGGGGAAGCATCAGGAGTCATCACAGCCCTAAGCCTCAACCAGCACCGCAACAAGCGCCTCTTGTGCTGCTCCACGTCACAATACTGCCCATGCAGCTACCATTCTCCCACGACCACATGGCACGGCTTATGCCCCAGTGGCTCGCGGAGAACTTCAGGCTGCTTGAGGAGAAGCTTCAGGACATCATTCTTATGCGAAGAGGTCTCCTCATCCCGCATCCCAGAGATGAGTATGAGCTGCTTGAGGAGCGCATTCTGGAGAGCCTGGAGCTCAAGACACCGCGCCTTCTCAAGTGTGGACACTTTGTGTCACCAGATGAAGACACAGAGGACGGCGATTCCGCAATTGGTGCTGACGACGCTGCCAACCGCATGAGTGGAGCCACTGGGTCTAATGATCACGAGGGCATACATTCAAGGCGAGACTCTGCCATGTGCTTCGACTGCCATCGCGAGCTCAAGAAGCCAGGTCAGGGTGTGGGTGCCGGTACACGACGCTTCGACATCAGAATCTACGCCGCCAATGGCCTCATGCGCTCTGAAGCCTGGACAGCAGCTTGGACCGAGATGGAGCGTTGCGATGTTGAAATCACACCCTGGATTCCCGAAGAGGTTCGCAAAACTCTTGAGAAGAGGGTTCTTGAGGAGCAGGAGGCGGACAAGCGCAAGGCAGCATACAACGCTGAGCTCCAGCGCAAGATCCAGGAGGATGCTGTTCGGCAACAGAAGCTGGCTGCTGAGGCCATCGCAAAGAAGAGGCAAGACGAAGAGGAGCTTCAGAGGAGCTTCGAGGCTGCCACTGCCGCTCTGCAAAGGAGTATTGAGGAGAGTGCAGCGGACAAGGTCAGCTTTGAGGAGACTCTGGAGCAGAAACTTGAGGAAGCCAAGGAGGCAATCCGCTTCGAGGTTGAATCACAAGCCATGATGGAGTCAAACTCTGTCGCTGAACGTTTTCGTGCGATGGAGGAGTCCCTGAGACAATACCAATACCTGTCTTGTCCCCAGTCTCCGCTACCACCATCACAAGCATCCTCGCGCTCTCGAGCGTCGACTTACGACATCGACCTGCGCAGCGTGTCTCGCGGCCGCCGCGGGTACACCTCTACCCGACCGCACGCGGCCCAAATCCCACTCAGCACCCTGCTGAAGAACTACGTCTTGGTCCAGCTGGCCGACCCCAAGAACTGGGCCATCGTACTGTTGACTGTCGCCGTGGGTCTGATGTCGATGAACATGGGCAGCCAACAGCCCACCACGCCGCTGATCAGCGACGTGCTCTCGGTCGACATGTACTCCGCGTCCGCCGTAACAGCAACAACCACCGCGTTCTCCACCCTCACCGTCACCGAGATCCAGATGGCGAGCAGCATCTACCCAACACCCTCCTACTACTCGTCTTCGTACGCCACACCCTCTTCCTCCGTGGCCCCATCCGCCCTCCCCACCATCATCGCCCCCTCCACCGACATCATCGCGGACCCGCACGAAGCCCCCGTCTTCGAATCCTCCTCGACCGTCGACGACGAGCCCCTGCGCCGCGACTCGGAGACCTCGGAAGCGGACCCGGAGGAAACCGTCGTCGCCGAGGACCCCGTCGTCGAGGACCTGACCGAGCCCGCCAACATGGACGCCAACCTGTTCCAGCACACGTCGGAGCTGCTGGGCGCCGTGCACGAGGACGACATCGTCATGGAAGACCCCGTCACCCCGCAGGCCGAGGACTCGGCGTCCGAGACAGAGAGCATTGCGGATTCGGAGTCCGGCAGCGTCGCGATCGAGTCCGATGACGAGATGGAGGTTTGTCCGATTGAGTACGTGCTCGACTCGGACTCGGACACGTGCAGTTTGGACGGGAGGTAGAGTGGCTTCTGCCTGCTGGGAGAGGAGAGCAGAGCGCCGGCCTGAGAGCGGGCCTGGTTTTTTTTTACATTTTCTTCTTCTCTCAAAAAACGAATTCTGACGATCTTTATGACTGCCGTTATGGCGTATTGGGCGCTGCATTGCTGCGTTTGAGCGAGCATTTTGAGCGCGAGGAGTTCTATGGGGTTTTATCTTCCACTGCTGTTTGTGGAGTGTTTAGCATTAGCATGTCGATGGTGCAATGTCGTCTATAGTTTACTTACCATTGCATATATTGCCGCTCGTTACGATGCGTTTGTTCAATGATCACAAATCTCGCTCGCTCTTCAACTCGGACGCTTATCTTCGATGTGTTCAGCGACAAATCTGCTAAGCAAAGTCGATGCAGTAATTTCGCGATCTGCCGAGTCTTTCTCTCGTGACAAACTTCCCGCTGCGTTTGGTCACAATGCTTGAGGACCCCTAAGTGTGAACTCGTGTACAGATGGGATGATTTGACTGCATATCTACATTGTTGTACATATTCTACACACCTAACCAATCACCACTACGCCGTCCTATCACTATGCACCTCGACCTCCTCCTCCTTCTTCGCCGTCTCATACCGCTTTCCACGGAACGCGTACACGCCCCAGTTACTGCACGTCACATCATGCGGATCCAGGTCATTCAGATCCCACCTCAGACTCCTGAACAGGTTCTCGCCTGGGGTCAACAGCATATCCATTTCATTCCCGTACCGCGTCGTCAGGTGGTCGACGTCCTGCTGCACATCCCACGGCGAGTAGCCGGTAGCGATAATGGGGACCTTGGTCTCGAGCAGTAGCGGGATGGTCTCCTCCCACTCGTGCATGGACGCGGCGTTGCCGAAGCCCGGGTGGAAGACGACGAAGCAGTCGAAGTAGGGATCGTAGGGGTAGAAGTAGCCGGTCTTGTGGATGTTTTCGTAGCTCTCGACGAACGTGCTGATTTTCATGGCGTTGGAGATGCGGTCTTCGATGACGGCGCCGAAGGGGTTGAGGGGCGTGCGCTCGGGCAAGGGCAGCTCTTTTTCGCGGTTCGCCATGGCTTCGGGGCCGATGAAGTGCAGCGAGAATTGCACGCGGTGGAAGAGGTAGGCTAGCTGCATCCAGGTCTCGCGTGGCAGCGAGGATTCGGCACGGGCGCCGAGGATGAAGAGACGGACTGAGGGAGGCGCGATACGGGCGTTTTTCCACGAGTCGCCGCCACCGGTTCGCGGGGGGTGCAGAGTGTGTCGCAGAGCTTTGAAACCGTCAGTACGCCAAAACTAGCTAAGTGTTCATTCCGACTTACCGCTGAAGCTCTTGAGTCCCTCCGGGGTCATTCTCCCACCCTTGCGGATGTTGTAAGGACTCAATTCATTGATGACACTGGCAATAGTCATGGGATAGGTGAGAAGCTTCGTAGCTTGTCGCATCTCTCGGTCCTTGTTAAGCGCATCGAAGTCTCGCGTGTACAGATAGGTATCCCAGCTCGTCATGTTCACAAGGATCTCCTCCATCTGGGGCTCAGCGAACTGAAACTCCTTGAAGAACCTACCACTGCGCAGATCGTGGTCGTCCTCGTTTGACTGGCGCAACACATCACAGACCTCCAAGTGTGCCTCGTAGTCATCCGCCCAATGTTCCTCGCAACAGTAAACCGGTACTCCGCAGTCCGGGCATTCGAAGTCGACGTGAGCTGGTGGGGCACCTGTTTCCGAGGACTTGCGAGCCTCGAGGTCCATAGAGTTCTTTGCAGCGCGAGTCGGCTTGTGATCTGGATGCGGGCAGTACGCATGCTGACGCATAAAAGCCGCTCTCTTGCGGATTTGCGGGATGGGCGAGTTCGTAAATGAGTTGAAGAGGTTGTCCTCAGTCAACACCAGCGTCCGTTTGATACCCTCGGGGTCGATGTACTCGTACGGCTCGAACGGCTTTTCGAAGCTGCGGTGGGGTGTGGTCGAGAGCGCTCTTCGAGGAGTCGCCAGCTTCGACTGTGCTGGACTTTTGGTGGAGTGTTTTCGCTGCGATGTGACATTCTGGGCAAAGGGCCGGAACGCTTGGGCAGGTCGCAGCTGGGTGCGCGAGCTCTTGACAGCAGACAAGCACCGCGTGCAGGTATATGAGGGCCTCATCTTGATCAATTGGCCTCTGACCGTGGAGCAGTGGCAGCTACAGCGCGACACATAGCATGATGATCCGTCGCTGAAAGCTACTAGCGTCGGTACCTCGAGTCACCGACAATGTCACGTGTATCGGTCATCTTTCGTGGTCTGTCGACTTTACGATATCTACAGTAACCAAATCGTGTATGTAAGAGCCACATCATCAATTGAATCAGGTGTGCAATTGATGATCTGGCCGAGGTTGCATGTGTTGTTCTTGATCGGTCAGTTCGATAGAGACTCCATGTATATTATGATCCTCCTATACATCTAAAGATTCTAAACCATGTCCTGCCGGATACCGGGACTTCGTGATCTTCCAGAGCCTCCGGAAGGCCGGAAATTTTCAAAGCATCTTATCGTTTGGTGCGCACTGCAACGAACTTCCGAACGAAGAAAGAGTGACAGGGGGGGCCTGCACGTCAGCTGCATGAAGCGAACGGCGCTAAGAATAGCAACGAACACAGCCGGGACGGTTCGATGCACAGCTGCAGGAATGCGGCCCTGAGTTAGGTGGATTGGCCCGAGGAATTCTCAGCCTCACCGATTAGGTCTGCTCTACAAACATGCAGTAGTGGATATGGCAATGAAGGCTGCGGGCAAGTCTAATTGACTGATGGACGGTGTTCGAGTGACACCATCTCACAAGGCTGGAGCTGTACACTAAGGATCAGCGACGGCGGTACCTGGTACCCGCAATGCGTAGTAGTCTTGCCCCAACCCAGAGATGGACCAAGAGGTTCGTGTCTGCAGCCAACTCTGGCGGGTGTCTGTCTCTGCTGCAGTCGCTGCTAGACTGGGCCAAGGATAAGCTGAAGAAGTGGCATCAGTGTAGGTCGAGGCGTGGTCGAGCAATATAACTCGTGCATGATCCTTTGCGTCTAGCTGGTGTCCGTCAGGCACTGCCACCGCCGCGCACTGTCAGCAGTGCACCGGTGTCTAGCGGGGGTCTCTAGCCCGCGTTCACAGCGTGTGACGGGCTGGTCTGCTCGATTCGCTGGCTGCTCTGCAGGTGCGGCTGCCGGCTGAGAAGCTTGACTCTTGCTTGAGCAGCGCGCGCGTCCACATCACAACAATGTCTCACGAGTCCGGATAGAAGCGTCTTGCATTGGAGCCTGCTGCATCGGTGTCCGCTGATCGCCTGTTATTCTTAGCGGAGGCCATTGCCGTGCCTCGCCCCGCATCCCCATCGTGCAGCTTCGCGGCATAGCTCCAAGCTGCCACCCGCGCGACCACGATGCCCAAACCTTGGTTCAAGTCGAACAAGTCGCACACGTCTGTCGACAATTCGTCTGGGCAACCGTCTCCGGTGCCTTCTGGTAAGTGCGCGGTTGGAGATCCAATAGTCTTGGGAGCTCGTGCGGCTGACAGCACGCGCTGGCACAGTGAACAACGAGTTCCAGAGTGTCAACGGGCAGCCGGCCCAGCTTGGACAGCAACCCCCGCAGCAGCCGCCTCTCGGTATCGCCCAGCAGCAGCAGCAGTACAGAACGTCGCAACCGCAGTCGTACCCCCAGCGCACCACCAGCACGAGCCACAGCCACCGCCTGAGCGCGCACGACCAGCTGCAAGGCTACCAGCAGCCCGCCGGCCCTCCCGACCCCTCGCCCGCCTTCGATCCAGCTCGCCCGAGCGCGCAGCAGCTGCCCGCCCCCGTGTACGCGCAGGAGCCGCCCAAGAAGTCGCGCCTCAGCCGCATCGCCGCTGGACTGACTGGCCACAAGGACGACGACCCCGCGAAGCAGGCGAGCAAGAGCTCGGTGGGCCGCCGCCAGTCGACGAGAGGCAGAGAGAGCCGCCCGCCCGAGTACCACCCGCAGGACGCGCCGCGCCTGGACACGCCGTCGCAGCAATACCACCAGCGCCACGGCTCCCAGCAGCAGCTGCCCACCTCGGTCGAGCAAGACGAAGGCAGCCCGGGCCTCGACCCCTTCCTCCAGCAGAACCCGAGCACGCCGGAGGTCCCCCCGAAAGACATCCAGTACCAGCAGCATCCGCCGCAGTTTGCGCCAAACTCGCACCAGCCTCAGTACAGTCGGCCGCAGCTCGACAGGGTAAGCACCGAAGGTAGCTACCAGAAGCAGAGCGGGGTAGAGCACTACAGCCCCAACCAACACCAAGGCCCGCAGCAACCACAACCGCAGCAGAACCAGCAATACCAGGACTACCAGCCGCCTGCGCAGCAGTCTCAGAATCCAGACACATACCAGTCCTTTGCCCCGCCTGCCGCACCAAGCCCGCGACTCGGCAACGTCCAGCTGCACGGTCAAGACATCGCACAGCAGCAGCGCAATTACTATCAATACCAGCAACCGCAAGCCCCTCAGCAAGCACCTCAGCAAGCTGCCCAGCAGGCTCCCCAGCAAGCTCAGTCGCAGTCACCGCAGGACGGCCACACCCAGGGCAACCAGTATCAGCAACAGTTTGCGCCCCGACCCCAATCTCAGCCACAGCAAGCCCAAGAGTATCGTCAGCAGCAGGGTCACCCTACTGGGACCGTATCACTGCACCAGCCCGAGCTGCAGCATCCTCAAGCGACTCGTGGTGTGCCGCAGATAGCTCAGCAGGGCCAGCCGGTCGACTCGCAGCACCTGCAACAATTGCGTCCACCGTCTTCTCAACAGCAGCCAGCCCCACCATCACCGCTGCAGCATCAGTACCAACCATACGACCAACAGCAGAGCCAGCAGTCACAGGGTTCGGATTCGCCAAGCTCGAAAATCTCGGCCCTGAATCAAAGCCAAGACAACATGGCACCTAGCAGCCAAAGCAATGGCAGAGTACGCAAGGTGGCTGATGGAGGCCAACAGCAGTCCACAACTTCATCGAGAGAGTCGTCGCTTCTACAACAACCTACACCACAAGGTCAGCCACAAGGACAGACACCTGTGTCGCCAGGCGTCGCGACATTTGGAGCTAATGTTGTACCTACAGCTTCGCAAGGTCAGCCCTACCGAGGCGACAAACAGGGTGGGGAGACAGGCCGTGCGACACCTCCAACACGATTGGCCCTCGCCGACATGACTGAAGAAGACTATGAGAGGATAACAAAAGAGCACGATGTTCTACGTAGGTCTGCGTGTGCGAGTAAGATAGAATTTTGGCTGACTCAAACAAGGCGAGAAATACCAGAAAGTGAAAAGGTACTTCTTCGAGCAGCAGAGTCAGGTACATCAACTGCAGAACACTCTGGCAAACCAACGTCTTTCCTTGTCACGCACATCGTGGGACGACAGCGAGTACTCAACCCGCTTCAACAGACTTGATGGACTAATAGCACAGCTTTCCTTCTCGATTCGAAAGGACTGGAAGTCAATTCCGCCATGGCTGCACCCGGTAGTCAACAAGAATGCAGTAGAGATAGGCAAGCAGGAAATGACTGCCGTTGGCCGTGCCTTCATGTCACATTGGCTAGTGGAGAATATTTTTGAGAAATACTTTCATCCAGACCTAGAACCTGGCTTCTCAACCCAGCTCCGGATGATCCAACTCAATATCCGCAAGTTCGCGCCCTCGTGTCATTCTTCAGAGGACGAGGATTCGCTAGCTGCTAAGATGATCAACTGGCGGCTAGCGACGCTTGAGGGCCTGGCAGACCTGCTCAGAGCACCCCAGGCGGAAACAAACCGCCAGAAACTTACGGAAACACTCAACGAAAAGCTTATCGCATCGCTACAGATGTTTTTGAACGATCCCGCCCCGCCCGATCTTGCTGGTGGCGTACCGATGATCGTCGAGCTGGCTGTCAGCATCGCTCAACATCTACCCCTAGAAAGTCGAGAAGTCCATATCGAGTATTTCCCGCCAGGCCATGGTATTGTGTCTGAACACATGAAGATGGAGTCCGGCATTCCACCCTTGACAAGCCCAATTGCCGAGCTAGAAGACGATCGGGTTTCATTGAAGAGCGTGGCTTCTAGGTTGGACGACAACGCCTCCGTTGGTGATCAAGACCTGCAGTTTCAACAAGCTTCTCAGAACGTGAAGGAAGATAAAAAGCGTGGCTTCTTTGGTGGACTGAAGAAACCGACGACTGCACCGGCAGTGCTTGGTAAACGCGAGTCATCATTAGGTCAAGGTGGCAGCCAGCAGAGTCTCACAGGACCGCCTGGAAACTCTATCGGACCAAAAGATGAGCCCCCTCCACCCCGCGTTCGCTTGGCTGTGGGTGTAGCTGTGCAGATCAGAGGCAAGAGCGTCTTGATCAAGGCACCTGTTTACAGCACTTGAACGAGCTACTACGTTGGATATAAGCACTATTTGGAGTCGATTTTCTTGGTTCTTCTCCGTCGACAGGGTGTGTAGAGGATGGAATCCTGGGAAGGCATCATAGCTATATTTGAAGCGTCCAAGCCTGGAAGGCATCGTTGTATTTAGCGAGCGTTGGATTTGATGATGGACTGCAACACCGATACCCTCGCTGCTTCTACGGTTGAGCAAAGCATAGCAATAATGATGGTATTTCCCTGTCCACTAGTGCGAATCCGGGTGCATTGAGCTGTCTTTCTTAGTGAACGTCTTTCGGACCGCCTGACGCTCTGATTGGTCAGATTCTAGCCCGCCCGTTGTTTACGTCTGTCAACACCATGTTCTGGCACTGAAACACACAGCCTTGCTAAATCACAAACATGGAAGACCTGGAAATCTCATCGCTGTATAAAGGTACAGCGTTGAGTTGAAATGTGCTTGAGAATTGCGCTGACACGCTCCAGCGACATCTGTATCCGTACCCTCGCCGAGCGCAACACACGCCGCATGCCTTTCGAACGGCCGCCTACAAATACGCTGCCTCGTCACATTTGAAATACAAAGAAGTATCGGCCTCCCGGCCTCCTTCGACACCAAGACCGCGCGCCTCGCGTGGTCGCCAGCTACTACTCCCCACACCGCCTACTCTGCGTCGTCGTCGTCGCGGCGCCCACCCCGCTCGGCCTCAAACCGCGTCCTCATATACGACGACACCACAACGCGCGTATACGACTTGCGCGACGATAGGTGGAATGCTGTCGTCAATAATGGCTCCGGCGGCATGGGCAGAAATGTGCACGTCGAGTTCGGCGCAAACGAGGAGGAGATCGTTGCGTGGAGCGACTTCGGTGCGTGTGCCAAAGTGTGGTGTTTGAGGTCCGGACGAGCTATTGAGATTAGGGATCCAAAGTTCCCTGGGAAAGAGGGCAAGGGGTGGGGATACCGCGTTGTCAGTCGCGATAATGGAAGAGGAGGGGTTATGGCCATGTTGTGTCGCTCGTCGGGCATGGATGTGCTCATGCTGCTTGCGCCGCGCACGTATGCGCTCATCAGCCGTGTCGAGCTGCCGACGATTGATGCGGCTGGGCTGAAGTGGAGTCGCGATGGTCGCTGGATCGCGGTCTGGGATGCGACGTCGACGGGGTACAACCTGTACATCTTCACCGCGGACGGGCATCTATACCGCACGATTACACGAGAACCTTCGACTGATGCTAGGGAGTGGACTGTAGAAGGATTGGGTATTAAGAGCGTGGAGTGGGTGCCTGGCACAGAATGGCTGGCAGTCGGCGGCTGGGATCGGAGGGTGCGCATTCTGTCGACACGGACGTTTGCTCCTGTTGTGTTTCTGGACCACACTGCCAGCATAGACGTGCCTGGTGCTCCAGTTTACTCTGAGAAAGTCGACGGACAAGGGCACAGGACGTATACGATCACACCACAGCCCGTTACGCCGCCGAAAGCTCCGCTGGAAAAGAACGAGACGACCCTGATGAAACAGGGCATCAGTCTGCTTGCATTCAACAGCGATGGCACATTATGCGCCACAAGAGACGATTCAACACCAAGCACAGTATGGATATGGGATCTTCGGAGTCTGCAACCTCGAATGATCCTGATTCAGTACGCGCCGGTCAAGTCATTACACTGGCACCACGACAATCCTGGACTCCTACTCATCCAGACGACTCACGATTCGCCTACATTATACCTGTATCAAGCTTCCAACCTTTCCGCTTCAACATCTGCTTCTACGTCTGCATCAGCGCCACCTCCCGCCATCCTCGACCTTTCTTCCCATATCAACAAGCCAGCGAGCACTCTACCAGCAAGATGGACAACATCCTGGCTCTCCACACCGACTGACAAGAAACCTGCCCTCACACTCGCACACCAAGCAGGCTACGTTTTCAGCTGGCCTTTTGGCAAAGACGTCATCTTGCGTTTCAGCACCCCGGACGGTAGCGAGGCCAGCGATGACAGTCTGTACGACATACTGACCGGCCGTACACCGGTGCCAAGGCTTCCAGACAGCGATGAACCAGACATGGACGACAGCATGCTGGCGGAACAGCAGCTCGTCGCCGAGGACTCAGAGTACATGATGAGCTTTGACGACACATTCCGGGGCAAGTCGGTGGAGCATGAGGCTCGCAGTCAGCGAGGCAGAAGCGTGTTGGACGACGATAGTGGCCTGGACGAGATATTTTGAAACAACAATATTTCACAACACCCGTACAATTTTAATATACCACCGCACATCTCGTCGGCTTACACAGACCCTCATCCCTCCAATCACCTCCTCTCCCAATCCCGCCCCCAATATCCCAAACCCCCCTTCACCGACTCATCACCCTCCGGCCACCTGAGCCCGCACGACTCAGCCTCGCCACCCCCCGACTACCCAACACAGCAACTCGCCCAAAAACCATCGAAAACCCCTTGGAAAAGGGCCGCAAACTCACCCTCCCAACTTGCCCCAACGGGCAAACTGCACTTCCCGCGTCGAACACGGGTGGCGTAAGAAGGCCCGTCTTGCAGCGCAGCAGCGCACTCCCTCCAGCGAAAAGGCGAGCGCCGCGCCGAACTCGACCGCACCCGCCGCGGCCTGCAAACCTGCCCGAAGCAGCAGTTCGCGCTGCCGTCGATCGCGGCGCGCTAGCGCTTCACGCAATGCCGCGTAGCCGGTTTTGCTGCCGCGGCGCGGTGTGGGGCGGGGGGTTGCTAGCGCCGACGGTGTTGCGCGCAGCGCTACGTCATGGGCCGTCGTGTAACGGCGAGGAAACAGGAAACTGGCTATGCGGGGACGCAGCTGTGACAGACATATAGCGGGCGGGAGCTAGTGGTGTTCAGCTCATACATATTCGCGACTCGTTGGATCTGCTACTGTATTCATTGTTGGAGCCTGAATCGCTGAGCTGCGCTTATACACACTCCCACCTGTACGCAAACCGATACCGATACCGATACGCACCAACACCAGCCCGCAATGGCCGACGCGCAGGAAAAGCCCCAGGAGCAGCCCAAGGGCGGCGACCACATCCCCTCCACCACGCAGGAAGAGGAGGTCGACGAGCAGCCCAAGGGCCTGCTGAGCAAAGTCGGCGACCCCCTCGGTACGTCTAATCACCACTCGCATTCCGCATCGACACACACACACACGCTAACGCCTCCGCAGGAAACGTCCTAGGCACTGTTCTGCGCCCCATCGGCGCGCCCCTCGAGAAGGGCCTCACCGGGCCCCTGGGCAACGCCGTCGGTGGCGCCACACGGCCGGCGCTTGGCCCGTTGATGGGCGAGAAGCACGAGCGCAGCGAGCTGCTGGGCGGCGAGAACAAGGACAGCTATGAGAGCAAGCCGGAGAGTATTGCAGGCAAGGAGCAGACGGGGCAGAACCCGCTGGGCCTGGACCAGACAGGGCGGTGGGGGTTCGCGGATGACGACAAATAGATGCTGAGACGGGAGAACGAGAGCATGATATTACGATTGAATGTAACGCAATGAATTATCAAACGAGAGGCTATCATTGATCACCCCATCATCGGCTGTGACGTCTCGCATCAGCCTTGCGCACCTACTCAGCGCCTCGTAGGACCGTCGTGAGTACGTCAGAGCTAGCCAAAGAAAGTCGCAAAAGAACCGAAAACTGAAACAAACTTTTCACGAAGAGGCATGCCTCGAAACCACCAGCTGCAGCGTAGAGCCTCCATCGATGTCAGGTGTAAGTAGCTTGACGTTCAGACAACCTGTGAGCGTAAGTGATAAATTTCAAACCGGGGCTTGGAAGTCATACCAAAGGGCTGCATGCTACATTTCGGACTCCAGCACGGGGATGCTCTTGGGGTCGATTACCTCCGACGTATGGGCCTGGAACACAACCTTGTCGATTACCTTGCCAAACTTGTGTCCGATCAGAGTGAAGTGACCGGCCTTCTTGAACCCGTATTCGCCCAGATAGCCTGTCGCCCATTCAATATCTTCGTTGCCTCGCTCATAATAACGGAGGTCCATAAGAATGGTCTTGACAAGCCGAGTCTTTCCGCTCCTGAGATACTGGAAGTTGTTGACGTATTCGTAACCGCCTTTCTTGTTGTATCCAGGGTGGCTGATATGCATCAGCTGGTCGAGCAGACACTGACCGACACCTTGTCTAACATATCCAGGATGGATGTAGAGGGCTAGCTCGAAGGTAAATCGATACAAACTGGAACGGCCAGCGTGTTCTTCGAGATGAGTGAAGCCGACGATGGTCTCCTCCACAAAGCCTTTCTGTTGGTTACGCTGGTAACGTTGGCTGCGTTTAGCTACTGCAACAAGGCAAGGCAGACCCTCTTGCACAATTTCGTCAATCCAGGTGCTAATCTGTGACTTGGTTCGTTCCTCGAGTTCGGGTGCGTGTATTGTGTTCTTCACGTAATAGTTGTAGATAGTCTACATTTCGATTAGCCAGAGCTCTGTCGAAGAACGTGTTGTCCGAGGACTTACCATGATGCCGCCCACGTCAGCAGGCTGAACAGGGCGAATATACATATTGGCTTTTGGCTTCAAACGCATGTCCGGTACTTGAGGTGCTTCATACACGGGCGCAGCCACTGGCCGGTTTCGCCTTTCTTCCTGGCGGCGTTTTGCGATCTTCTTCTGCTCATCCAGCCTTGCTAGACGGTCTTCCGTGGACATCATAGCGAAAGGATGGTGCAGTTCGTTTTCGGCGTTATCTAGATCAATGAATGCATCTGGATTCGCCAAAGCAGTCATGAAACAGTGGCCAGGATGTTTATCTTCCCATCGGTCCCAGTATGGTGGATCTATCGTGATGTCGATATTACTCAAAGGAGCAGGCGCGCGCTGGGGAAACTCATGCCAAAACTTGCGTAGAGCGGTGTCGTCAACGGAATCATGAAGCCAGTAACGCGGCACTAGGTCTTTGTTCAGGCACTTACCGTCGGCTTGTTTTATGCCCGCAAATTCTGGCGTGTTGATGCTCATGACGTTGGTGCAATTCCGGCTAATACCATCCGCCCACTTCTCGATGACATCCTCGAAGTGGCGAGCGGTGTAGCCTTTGCGAGCGGCCCATTCTTCTGGTGGTGGGAGCCAGGTTCCGTTCCAGGCCATCAACTTCTTTACATCGTAAGTGGGATCACCATCGCTATCAGACCTGCAAGGCGCTCCGCCGTCACTGTCGCTGCTGTGGGTTGACAATCTCTTTGGAATATCACGCGACTTGAGCCAGACATGTTTCCCTCTTGGTGGTGCTGACCAACGTTGATTATCCCACTGTGGGCTTGACCAAGTTGGGTCAGGCTTTCCCCAGCCTTTGATCGACTCAGGCTTTCCCCGGCCCTTGCGCGACCCAGACTTTCCTCGGCCTTTGAATGGCTTTGACGATCCTGAGAGCTTTTCGGCTGTCCTTGCCGGTGTGGGTGGGGCACCACCTTCGGCGACAACCTTATCGCTACTTTGTGTAAGAAAGACAACAGGACTAGTAGAGAGCAGAGAGTGGCTTACGAATGAGTTGAAGACTGAACAGGCTGAGCAGCCCGAGACTCGGTCGACGTTGGCGGAGTTTGCTGCACACTAGGTGTCGGTGGTGTGGTGCCTTTGCGCAGGTGTGGTGGAATCGACGGAATCGAAGGCTGTGCAGTCGTGAGAAGATGCGGTGGAATTGATGGAGCTGGATGCTGTGCAGCCACGCGAAGATGTGGTGGAACTGACGGAGTCGTATGCTGTGCCGCCACGCGAAGGTGCGGTGGAATCGACGGACCTGCAGTCATCGTTGAGCCTGAAGCCTGTGCAGTCATCGCTGCTGGCTCGCGTTCGCCGCGAATTTTCTTCTTCTTCTTGTTCGCACGAGGCTTCTTGGTGTTGTGGTCGTGGGGTTGTGGTGCAGAAGTAGGGCTGGCAGCCTGTGTGTGGTGGTGAGGTGATCCTCGGCCACGTGCCTTGTATTTGCGTCCACGTCGCTTCGCCAGCTATTGTGAGTCAGTGCATGTGATGAAGAAACGACAAGGATGGGTGATCAAGAGAAAGAAACAGGAACTTTCTAACTACAACCAAGGAAGCGGTGTGGGGCCGGGCAAACAGGCAACGAGGCGCTGGACCTCACTTTCACCTACTTTTCCGCTGCTAAAATCTTCCTGCTGTTGCCAAGTCAATGGGTCGTTGACCTCAGCATACTTTGGGGGAGAACCCATGGCTGTGTCGAGTGTTGTTGAGTTAGCCGGAGGCATATCGACAGGAGCGCAGGTTGTCAAGTGAGCCATGACGGGCAGGTACGAACGTCGTCACCCGAACGAGGGTCTCGGGACAAGAGAAGGAGACAACCGTAGAGATATAATCATGCAGAGTATGCGGTTTAAGAGAGATTAAAGGTCGAACGAGGAAGTTCAACAGTGACTGAGTGAGTGCGTTTGAGCCCAGCTCGCAGTAAGAGAAACTCGGCGCAGCCTTACGCAATATCATGTGCCCTGCAGTGAGACCCTAGATTTTTACTTGGGACAAAAGACTGAGTAAGATGCCAGGCTGTGAAAACCGATGTCAAGAGACTCATGTTTGCCAAAAGTACTGGCCATCTAGGAGGGACATTTGTTTGACGACCACTGACTTTCCTGCGCTCTACACAGACATCCTAATATCCCTACAGCAGTAAACCTTGGAAAATCTGACTCGGAAGCCTCATGGTTGGAACTCAGACTCGATTAAGATTGGTAGTATCCGTCAGTGTCCAATGGGGAGCCACGAAAACATGTATTTTTCGACGACCAGGACCCGTATATTGAGGGACTGTATTTCGGCTCCAAATCTGAGAGTCATTCGGCAGAAATGGAAAATAATATGCTAGACAGCATAATGCCCCGAACTATGCCTCGAGGCTGTCAAGGCAACATTTGCCGAGGGGCAGCTCCACCCGACCCTCACAGTTTGGTGCTGCGTGCCTTGAAGGCAACAAACGAAGACATCGAAACAAACAGAGCAAGATGTTGTCAATTTTGCGAAAAGCGCGACTGAAGGACAAGGAGATGCGAATTTTGATGCTGTAGGTACTGAATAGTAATGATCGTGCTTCTTGGGACTGACCGCATGAGGGGTCTGGATAACGCAGGCAAGACGACGATTGTAAAGAAGATTATGAACGAAGATGTCAACAGCGTCAGCCCTACCTTAGGCTTCATAATTAAGACGATTGAATATGAAGGGTACGTCAGCGCACTCACAATCGAAGATTGCAATGCTGACAACGAAGATACAAACTAAACATATGTATCGCACCTGCATGATCCTGGCTGAGCATCGACTGACTTCTCAGGGGATGTCGGCGGCCAGAAGACGCTACGCACGTACTGGAAGAACTATTTTGAGAAGACAGACACGCTCATTTGGGTAGTCGATGCCACGGACCGTGAGCGAGTAGGCGATTGTCGGCATGAGCTGGCAGGGCTGTTGCTCGAGGAGGTGCGTAAGCAAGGCGTGTCGATCCAAACAAACTAACAGCAGCAGCGACTATCTGGCGCGAGCCTGCTAGTGTTCAAGAACAAGAGCGACGTTCCCGGCGCCATGAGCGAGGACGAGGTGCGCGAGGTGGGTGACGTTGGCTTGGGACGGGTTGCTAGGCCAATGACACTGACGGTACGCAGGGACTCGGGCTCGACGCCATCAGAACACACAAGTGGACTATCATGAGCTGCAGCGCCATGACAGGGCAGAACCTGCAGGAGGGGCTTCAGTGGGTGGTACAGGATGCGAAATCTCGACTTTTTCTTTTTTAGGAGGCGGTGTTTGTCTTCTTTGATCTTGACCAGCGACGGCATCAGAATGGCATTGTCAGGTGGGATCTTGTTCTCGGCCGTCTCACGGTAGTACGGTACAGTAGCCTACCAAAAAGCAGCAGCAAAAAGACAAAGTAGTACACGTAGCAAGATCCTCTACTGTGCTTGGATTGGACGTACCGCATGGGTGCAAGGGGCGCTGGTAGTCGCGAGCTGAATGCGGGTACCGTAGGACATAGGCAGCGCGCCCAACAGCTTCGAGTGTGGAGAACGGCTTGGTGGTGCAAGTGTAAACAAACATCGGCTGGTGTCCATATCAATATCAACCACCTACCTGCGTGTCCTTGTGCGCTCCCTTGCCCCGCAGCCGACTCGAGCAGATCCGTGTTTCAGCGCCGTCGAAACATCTGGGGAGAGACTGACAGGGCGCTCAGGCCAAGACCAAGCATGCACCGAGCCCTCGAAGCAATTTACCGACTGTCTAGCTTCGCTCCCGTCCTAGACCGCCTGACTGCTGAGCAGCTTCATTCTTGACGTGTTGCTGTCTTGCAATTGCAAGACGTGTTTTACGTGTGTTTGTTTATTTAGGGGTTGTCGACCGTCGAGCGGCCGTCCACCAGCATGTCCGAGGAAATCGATCCGCAGGAGTTTCAGCAACGCATCCGGCAGCTGGGCGAGCAGCGTGACCAGCAGGATGCAGCGAGAGCCAAGAAGCTGGAGGACGATTTAATGGCAAGCCGCAGCGAGCGGTTAGCGCGTCGAGCTGGTGGGTGCAGTTCCTTTCCGCCCAGAACTCCACTGATGTCTTAAAACAGACCGCGCGCGATCCATCTCGCCCGACAAGCCCCAGTCGCTGTACCGCTCTTCCGTGCACACGCCGCAGCAGGTGCAGGAGCAAGCCGCCAGCACCCCTACGCCCGCCATGAGCCCGCCGCAGCACGACGACGCGTCTGCGCGCGAGGAGTCGCTGCAGCAATTGACCAGCGCCCCGGCGCCCGACGACGGCGATCCGCAGAAGCCGACGAGTGCAGCAGCATTGGGCCGCTCGGGCACGCTCTCGTGGAAGCAGCGCCCGCAGTCTGGCAGCACCCGCAGGCCCCTGTCCGTCGCCAGGCCGAGCTCGCGGGACGCCTCTGCCCCGGCCTCGCCCGAACGCCCGCTGTCGAGGACCCAGATTGCAGCATCGCTGGGTGCGAAAGACCCGACCTACTTTCGCCAGACGGCAGACCGCGGCGTGGGCTCGGCGGCATACAGGAAGAACGAGGACGACAATGCTTCCGATGCCGGCTCCATAAGCAAGAGACAGCTGCCGGGCATGTCTCGTGACTCGACCATCTCGAGAGAGTCGACGGCATCCCTGAAGGCGCCCGAGTTGGCCAGCCCGCCAAGCGAGAGCACGCCCTCGAGCCGGCCTACGTCGAGGGGCGGCTCTACGCGAGGCAGCACCGCAATGAGCAACCGCTTTTCTACGGCCACATCCACAAAAGAGCCCGAGCTGGCGAGCCTGCCGACCGAAAGCACGCCCTCGAGCCGGCCTACGTCGAGGGGCGGCTCCACACGAGGCAGCATTGCCATGAGCAACCGCTTCTCCGCTGCGACGTCCATGTCAGGAGGCGAGCTGGACACAGCATCGATACGGTCGCCCCTTCCAACACTCGAGTCGCAGAAGTTTGCCCCGCCTTCAGAACAAGGGGCTACAGGAGAAAGTGGGGACAGTGCAGGGGCAGCACGCGAACCTTTCATGTCACCGACGCAAGGGAGGATATCGCCAGAGCGTGAGCGGTCTACGTCTCCAACAAAGGGCATGGGCAGTTTCGTGTTGAGCGCAAGCATGAAGCGCGGCGACAGCGTCAGCAAGAGATGGAGCACTCAGACGCCTCCAACACCGAGCAGGCAGGGCTCAAGCTTGAGCAACCGAAGTAGTGCCATGTCTGGGTTTGGCACCTTGTCCAAGCTTGAACGGCCGACAAGTCTGAGCAGAGAGCAGTCTGCTGACGACCCTCCCTCTCGCCCACAGTCGAGCTCCAGTAACACCACTATGAGAGGCCTTGGTATCGACGTTGCACCCAAAGACGAGTTTGTGAGGCCTGCAATACCGAATCGTCACAGCCGCAGCAAGTCGGTGCATTCCACGTTCAGCAACAGGGATAGTGGCGAGGACGGAGATCGTCCCTCCACTCCGTCCAAGCGCTGGAGTCCAAGCAAGTCAAGCTGGCTTGAGAATGCCTTGAACAAGCCAGAATCGCCGAAACTGATGGCTCCAGCGTCCCCCTCACAACCAGCGTGGATGGCTGAGCTCAGTCGTGCAAAGCAACAGCGTGGAAGCGTCGACCTTGGTAAAGGCAGTCCGATAATGACCCCCTTTGGTGAAAAGTTGGAATCGCGGCCAGCATCACCGCTCAAAGAGGTTCACCTCAGACCAGTGGGACTTCGTAAGACACTTGATTCGCCCAAGCTAGATTCTCCTAAACTGGACTCACCACCTAAACTGGACTCCCTCAAAAAGGAGCCTGCTAAATTGGAGTCTACGAAAAAGATGTCTGCCAAACTCCATTCTCCTGAACTGGAGCCCACTAAGCTTCAGTCTCCTAAACTGGAATCCCCTAATCTGGAGTCTCCTACATTGGATGCTCTCAAACTGGACCATTCGAAATTTGACCCGTTCGGAAAGGAGGAGCCCAAGCTATCGCAGATATCGCCGTTACAAGCGCCAGTCGCTGAACCAAGACCCTCATCACCCCTGAAAGAAGAGATCAAGCCATCAGACAAGACGGGGGACGTCGAAGAGCCCGAACACATCGAAAAGGCTGCACCTGTCGAGGTTGAATCTACACAGCCCGAAGCCAAAAAGGCCGAGCCAGAAACTCCAATGACACCAGTGGACGCTCCTGAAAAAGACAAAGAGGTAGCGGCATCACCAGCTCCAACGAAGTCAGTTTTGTCGCGCTTCCCGCCCGCTGTCAACGCGAAGCCGAATACGCCGCCTAAGAAGGATTTTCGTGCGGGTCTGAAGTCGCGGCAAGCGGCTCAAGCGGAGAGCCCGAAGTCTCAGAGTGCAGCGCAGTCAGAACTTCAGAACGTGTTTGGCAAGTTGAGAAAGGCAGAGACGAAGAACTTCGTCGCACCCGATGTCTTTAAAGCCAATATCGTGGGTGGTAAGAACGCTTTGAACATCACAGGTGGTCCCAAGCCTACTGTGCGTCGCGACGAGTTCCGAGAGAGCCTGAAAGAGAAGAGATCGTCCATGCTAGACAAAGCTCAGGAGGAAGGTTCGACGCTCAAACGATCAGAGAGCATATCGAAGCCTGCTGAGATACCAGAGGCCATTGCGATACGAGGAAGACTTGATCGATCAAAGAGCATATCAAAGTTCCCCATCGCACCCAAAGAAGAAGAGAAGAAGCCTGTCCCAGAAGCGCTAGCAAGGAAGAAGAGTTTGCGAGGAATCGAGCGACCTAACCTTGACATGAAGGATGACAAGCCCGCGTCGCCAGCTCCACTCTTTGCACAGAAGTTTCCCCCTAAGGAAGAGGAGAAGAAGCCTGTCCCAGAAGCGCTAGCCAGGAGGAAGAGTTTGCGTGGAATCGAGCGACCTAAACTTGACACCAAGGACGATAAGCCCGCGTCGCCAGCTCCGCTTTTTGCGCAAAAGGACAACAGCAAACCCAACAAATTAGCAGGTCGGTTCAACCCTGCGTTAGCTGGGATGTTAGCTCGAGGTCCTCCCATGGCAACAGAGAAGTCAACTTCAAGTGTTGGTGGATCATCGCCCTCAAGGCCTGCTCAGGACGAACCATCAGGGCCCGCTCCTGAGTTGACGCACATGACCAAAGGGCGCGCGCGTGGACCAAAGAGGAGAAACCAGGGAGCTAAGAAGTCGACCCCGGAACCAGAGAAGGCCCCCGAGAAGGTGAATGCCACCATCGCTGCTGCCCCCTTGATCAAGCCCCGCCAAGTCCTTCCCAGCTCTGAACCACCCAAGGCTAACGGAACGGCAGAGGAGCTCTCTGCCAGAGAGCCCATAGTCGAGACACCCGTAAAATCAGTCGAGCCACGCAAGCCCTTTGCAAGGTTCGACAAGGCACCGACCCCCATAGTAGCTAAGAAGCCGTCGTCGATTGAACTGAATAGGAGAGTCTCCGGAACGCCAAACACCCCAAAGCAGTCACCCAGACCAGATTCTATTGGGGAATTCAGAGCCGAGAGCCCTGTAATCCCGGTCGAGCCACGCAAGGTTTCGGCGAAGTCTGACAAGGCGCCAACCCCGGTAGTAGCTAAGAAGCCGTCGTCGATCGAGCTGAATAGGAGAGTCTCTGGCACGCCAATCACTTCACAGCAGTCACCTAGGCCAGATTCCATTGGGACGCCAAAGACGGCATCACCAGCTGTGCCGAAGAAGTCTGAGAGGATATCGTCTGGGTCTTACAGCATTGCATCGCAGTCACCTAGACCAGAGTCTATTGAGACACCAAAGACAGCATCGCCGGTCGTGCCGAAGAAATCCGAGAGGATATCGTCTGGATCTTACAGCGTTGCACAACAGTCACCCAAGCCGGAGTCGATAACATCACCTTCCGTTTCATCGCTGAAATCGTCAAAGGCCGAGTCAAAGCCCGCGTCACCATCGCCACCCACTTCGTTCTCATCCTCGAGGTTCTCGAGGCCGTTACCTACACCTCCTCCTAAAGAGTCACTAAAGCCTGCTGCGCTGAGGGAGACTCCTACTCCCAATGCTGAGGTATCTCCAGTCAAGAATGATGATCACTCACCGCAGAAGTCAGGCTTTTCCTCTGTCAGGGCCGCAACGGCTTTGTGGGGTCAACAATCGGCGCCTTCGTCACCGGCAGTACCCAGGACAAAGTCCCCAATCAAGCTTCCCACTCAGGCAGACGAGAAAGCTGCGATGAAGGTTGCTGGTCTTGTTCGATCTCCCGAATCAGAGACTGCCCCTAAGCCTGAGGCCCTGGCCCGCCCTGAATCCCTTGGCTCGAAACCTCTTCCACCCGCGCCTCTGCAGCCGAAGTCTAAACCAGCAGGCCTCGGCTTCAAGCTAAGCGGATTTGGCAGTTTTGGAAGCAGTGCAGCATCTCGCTCACGAGACCCGAGCCCACGATTCTCCAAAGACCTCCCAATGTCACCGCCCAGGAGCGCGGATAAGCCACAGCCGGACACTCCCAAGTCAGCCCGTGCACCAGTTGCACCCAAGCATGACGGGATGTTTTCCGAATTCTTTGATGAGGCTCCTATGACTGAGGGACAGCTGCCTGAAACTATCGACGCAGTGCAAGTGCTTCACTCGCCACCGTTCGATCTCGGGCCAGCCGGGAAAATACGAACTCAGAAGCAAGAGATTCATGAAATCACAGGAGATGGCAAGATGCTTTCGATTGCATCGCACGAACAGCACATACTCTTCCAAGACTCTATGTACATCTGTACACATGTGTACATCAACTCAAAGGGCGTTAAGAGCACCGATGTCTACTTGTGGGCAGGAAATGGAGTAGCAGAATCGAATATCGAGGATGCGCAACTGTTTGCACGAAACCATGCAAGGCAAAACCAGGCGAAGCTACTTACTCTTCGTCAAGGCAACGAGCCACCTAATTTCTTCGATGCTCTTGGAGGCATTGTCGTCACCAGGCGCGGGTCCAACCCGGCGTCGAAACAGTTTATGCTTTGCGGCCGTCGTCACCTTGGACACCTTGCCTTCGACGAAGTTGACTTCTCATTGAACAGCTTCTGCTCCGCTTTTGTCTACCTCATTTCTACCGAAGCTGGCAAGGTATACCTTTGGAAGGGTCGTGGTTGCTCCGCCGAGGAGCTGTCTGGCGCAAGACTCATGGGTATGGATCTCGCACCTACAGGGGACTTCCAGGAAATCGATGAAGGCTCTGAGCCACAACACCTCATCAACATCTTCCCCCCGCCGACGCACAAAGGACCCGCTATCCCCCGCTCGGCTGACCACTGGCGTTACAAGGCAACATCGGACCGCTACCGCGCACGGCTGTACAAGATAGACCAGCAACAAGAGGTCTCAGGAGGATGGGGACAAAGCCTGCAGGTGGGTTCCTTCTTCGCGAACCTGCGCCGCGGCTCGTTTGCGCAGACGCTTTCTCCCACTTCCACTGGCGCACACGCTGAACACGGCCCACAGACGCCCATCACCCCTAAGAGCCCACTGCCGCCGGGAATCACGACAAAGGTTGTGGAGATTATGCCCTTCTGCCAGCGCGATCTGGAGCCTGAGTACATCTACGTCCTTGATGCGTTCTTCGAGATGTACATGTAAGTACAACCGCTCTTCAAATGCTGCAATAGATCCTAACATCTCTCTAGTATCGTCGGCGCTCTAGCACGCAGTCAGGCTCCTGCGTTCTCTACAGCCTTGATGCTCGCGCAGGAGTACGGCATCCTGGCCGTCTCAGAAGAAGACCGCCCTTTCATGCCTGTCACCACAATTGTTCTCGAAGGCGTGCCACGCGATATGAAGGCAGTCTTCAGACACTGGAACGACGCAGTCATTCCCACTGGCGAGCTCATGAGCGGCAGCTTCAAGCGCCGCAAGAGCTTGAGGATCGTTGGCCTCGAGAAGGCCATCCAGGGGACAAGGGGGTAGACGAGCTAGGAACGTAGTGCGTTGTGTGATATTGAACGGCAGTGTCTCTTCCTGTGTATATATACCTTAAGCTTTAGTGTCCTTGACGGACAAGCCTGTTGGCAGTCCGATCCGGTGCATTTCAAGCTCCCATGGAGCGCACCAAATCTCGAAAGCAATTTAATGCAAATCCAACATTCCATTCCACCATCCAAATTCGCCATCCGAATTAACACGAGCACACACACATACACAACATAAGCCTCAACCTCTGTAATGAAGTGAACAAGATGGTATTCGCAAACACAAAGCCTAAAAAGTCAGACAGACCATCCCGGTCTCCCAGGCCCTACCCAATAACGCCTTCCCATGCACAAACTCCGCTCCTCAAAGATCAAACCCCCTACATCTTCGAAACCTTCTCCTCCAGCGCCTCCAGCGCCGTCACGCCCCCGCTCAGCACGTTCCGCGCGCTGGCGTGCTGGTGCTGCCACCGTGTGCGTGCCATGTCCATGGCGGCGCCTTCTTTGCTGGCTACGACGTAGGTGTAGGAGAATGCGCAGACTGGGGGGGTTGTTAGCGTTGGGCATTGGAAAGGACATGGAACGGGGATGGAGATTGGGGGCGGGGGAGGCGTACCCATGAAGCCGGCGAAGGCGGGGAGGAAGGACTTGGGTGTTGCTGGCATTTTGGTTGTGGGTGATGTGTTGGGTTTGGTGTTTAGTGTTGGTTGTTTGCTTTGGTGCTCGAGACTGAGTGTTGGGCCAAACAGTAGTGTTGCTTTGGTTGCTGGATTGGGAGGCAGAAGGTGTAGCTTGTAGTGCAACTGGTAATGTGGCTGGTATAGAAGTAGGCTTGAGTGCTTATTGATAGATGCTTGAGTGAATGGCGACAGTAACACAGAAACACCACCAGCTTATATCCATCTCGCACCATGACTCCCACGGCGCCCGCCGCCGCCGCATCCAACACTCCCATCATCGGTAGCGTGATACCCTCCCCCTCAGCACCACAGCACGCCCGACCTCTCAGCCCTGCGGACCGCAACCAAACGGCCGCACGGAATCGAACGAGCAACCTAATTTACAAAACCCCTGATTGGCTAGCACAAGGCCGTGAGCGCTCCTTCGCTCGCTCCCGGTACTTGGGTCACACGATGTCGGGACTGGAGAAGGCTGTGGTGGCGAGAGATGAGCGCTGGGTTGCGCGCGGGGTGGTGTGAGAACTGCGGGTCGTACGACAAACGTCAATTTTCGGTTCGCTGCCGGGACGGGCAGGGTTGTGAACAGGCCTGCCGAACGCGATTTTGACAACTTGCTCGATCTTGGGGATTGTTATGACGGCGTTGCTGCAATGATTTTTCTCTCTTTTGGGCGCGTGTTGCATTGGGCTCTTGGTTTGCAGCCTGGTGCTGGTGATGAGGTCGGGTGGTCACGGCATGGGGAAGTACACGGTCAGTCCTAAATCGCACACGGCCGTCGCAATATTGGAAAGTCATTACAGGACGATTTCACCTTGGACACACATCGATTTGGGGTTGTGGTGGTTCAGTTGCGGGAGGTCGAGTATGTGTGGATAGCGAAAGACTCAGCTAAGTTTAGACCTCAACGCACAGGCATCTCCCAGTAAAGCGGTCGATCACCCGTAAGGACCAACGGAACATCAACACCAGTGCTCCATATATCTTTTAGTTTCTGGAGAACGGAAATAGAGTGCGTTGGACGACAATCTCGCCTTGTTCGTATCGCAGGGACGACTCTACACGGAAGGTCGATACTTATCTCTCCTACGTGTCAGCCTCAGCTCTGCACAGAGGCGCCGCGGCCCTGGTTCCATTAACTCTAGCCTCCAGCTGCAGCGCTATCGCACGCCAACAAGTCTCAACCGCCCCTTCCGGACATAAACCATACTCGATAAGGGCAGGGTCGACGCAGGTACCATTGTTTTCTTCCTTAGGCGGTCTCGAATTCAGCTGTAGATATGCTGATATGCAACCCATGAGCTCGGCGTGAGCGATTGCAGACTTTCTCTTCAATCTTCTGTTCCTCGTACGCAAAGTCTGCGAGAAGATCGCATACTCATTTCGCGCGCTGCTATTGATATACACTCCGTCTAATCGATAATTACTACACAACCACGACCATGCGTGCAACAACCATAACCTCGCTCCTGGCAGCCCTCACCCTCAGCACCGCCCAACAAATCAACATTGACGCCGCCCTGGACGCTCCCATCCCAAACCTCGCCATCGACCCGCTCGCCGCACCTCCAGCCGTCACCTACGATGCGAGCAGCGCAACCTCCTCCATCGCCGCCGCCGCCGCCGCCGGCTCACCACCAACCATCCTAAAGCGCCAGGACAACAGCACCTGCACGCCGCGCGCCCGCGGCGCCGGCCCCGTGCCCTCCCCCGACACCTCCATGTCCTTCCTGGCGTACCAGCCCTTCACCGACGCGGCCAAGAACGCGCCCGTGCCCGCCAACTACACCGCGGCCTTCACCAACCTGCACGCGTCGACAACCGCAAAGTCGTATCTGGGCGTCGTCGAGCTGTCGTCCTACGACCCTGCGAACTGCACCGCGCGCTGCGACGAGCAGACCGGCTGCACAGCCGTCAATCTGTTCTTCGAGCGCACGCCGACTGTGAATCTGGGGCCTGCGTGCACGAATCCCGCGTCTAGCACTGTTATCAGGTGCACGTTCTGGGGCGACGCGGTCACGAAGACGAATACGGTCAACTCGGGGTATACGGATAATGGGTTCGTGGTTGCGATTGCGGGGAGTAATGGGTATAATAAGGGGCAGGCGGCGCAGGATGCGAAGAGCGGGGGCGCGCGGGTGGAGGTTGCGGCGCTGCTGTTGGGTGCTGTGGGGCTGGTGATGGTGGTTGTGTTCTAGGGGATTCAGAGTGGGTGGTAGGAGAAGGCCTGTGAGGGCCTGCTTTGGCCGTTTACGACTGTTTAGATTTCATGGTTCTGGGTCAGGAGATTAAGGTAATACATTCTCTGTTAGAGACGCTGTGAGACAGGGTGATGGCGTTGTGGATTTGCGAGGGTCTTGATCTGGGATCGTGAGTGGACGTCAGGATTAGATCTTGGTGAACCCCTTCATATCTCTATGGTTTGGCAATAGACGAGTCCCTTCTCGGCATGCAAGGGCCACGGAACCGCTGTGGTTACGAATCACGAAATCATTACCATAATATCGCGTGTGGCTGTGCTAGTTTCCTCAGAGTGTACGGCCGGTTTGTGGTTCGGTTCGGGTCGGGGATGAACTATACAAGATCTATCATCACCATTACCTAGTCGTTACAGACAACCAGACACATTCAGACGTAGAGCACGAAGTAGTAGACCACAACAATCAAGAGGCACAGTGTAATGGGATTTTGAGATCCATTCAGTTATCAATTAGACCGGCGTTGTGTGTGTTCGCAATCACAACGCCGATCCAATCTATATATACACAATGAAGTGAAGACCTAAACACCGGCCTATAATCCAAGCTCAGCGCGCCCACAACAGGCCGTCCGAGCACCCAAACAAAGAAAAAGGAGAAGAGACAGACGCCAGAGTTCCAGCGGCCCACAATAGGCGCAGCTTGGTATATGGGGGACAAAAGGAATCGTACAGTCATACAGGCAGTCTAGAAGTGAAGGTGGTGGTCTCGCTGTAGACCGAGATGAGGCTGACAAGATCGCTAAGTGGCACAAGAAGATTGAGAATGAATACGCAACGCGAGCTAGAAAGTGTCAGGCTATTCAGCAGTCGAGCATCGAGGTAATCGCAGCTATTCTTTGGAATGCGGGTTCCATCGCGGCCATCTTCTTCTCCAGACGTTCCGAGAGCATGGCCTCGTCGGCAACTACTAGGGTGAAGCGGCTGGGCTTCTCGGGGGCGGTGAAGGCAGTCTCAAGGGGGGCGAACGAGGCAGCAGAGGGAGCGGGCGAGGAGCGGTACAAATCGTACTCGTCATCGACATCCTCCTCCTCGATAGCGGCCATGGTAGACTGCTGGGTCTGAGCTGGGCGCTCAATGACAGGGTACTCAGGCTTGAGCTCCTCCTCAGAGGAGGCCTCATCCTCGGCAGCGAAGATGGTGCTGTGGCCCTTGCCGGACATGGCAGAGATATCGAGCGGGTTGGCAGGGCCCTCGGGGAGCTCAGTGACAGCAAAGACGCGGGGCTGGTAGCCGTTGAAGCCATTGATGTTCCAGTTAGCGTTGTTGGTGTTGTTGTTGATGTTGAGCATGGAGAAGTCAAGCTGGGTCTCAGGAACCATGGTCATGCCGGCCTGGACGTTCTCGGGTTGCGAGAACTGGAAGGGGGCAGGGGCTGGCGCCGGGGCGGAGACGACGGGAGTCGAGCTCGAGGGCATGGATGCCAGGGGAGCTTGCGACGAGATGGCCTCCTCCTGGACGAGCTCCTCAAGGAAGGGACCGAACGCCTTGTGCCTAAGCAGACGCTCGATGAATGCGCGCGAGCGAGCGTTCTCCTCCATCAGGGCACGGTTCTGGCTGCGGAGCTCATTGGCCTCCTGGACCTTGACTGCGACCTCGCCTTCGAGCTGGCCGATGTATTCTGTAGCATATCAGCATTGATCCGACGGTGACATGGCAATAAGACTTACCCTTCCTTCGCGAGCGGAATGCGCGAGCAGAAACCTTGTTACGGAGCTGGCGGCGCTCCTTGCTGCTGAGCTTCTTGCCCTCTTCCGAGGCAAGCAGACGCTCGTCTTCGTCCATGTCGTCTTCGTCCTTCTTGGCACGGATGATGTGGGGGAGGACGTTGCCATTGGCGTCTTGCGAAGCCAGAGCAGCGTTCTGGCTGTCTGCGCGAATCTGCGCGACCACACGCTGGATGGTCTCCTCTGTGCGGGCGTCGCTCAAGGGGCTGGACGTCTTGCGGCTGCTCTGTGCGGGCGAGGCACGCTGCTGCTGCTGCTGTGCTTGTAGCTGGGCCTGCTGCCTCTGGTGCGCGAGCTGCTGCTGTTGGCGTTGCTGCTGCGCAGCCTGCTGGGCCTGCTGGTGCGCGGCCTGCTGTGCCTTTGCAAGAGCAGCCTGCTGCTGGTGCATTCCAGGGTACAGCCTGACAGCAGGGACCTCCTCTTGCTGGATGGCGCTGGGGTCGACGAAGTCGTCCTGTTCGGTGCTGAAGGGCATGTATGTGTTTTGCGCATAGTCGAGGCCCATGTTGATGTCCATGCCAGCGCCGTTCCACCCATCCATCATGGAATCGCCGCCCATCATGTCCAGCCCCGAGGACGAGAAGATGGGATAGCCGGTGTTGAAGCCGGCGTTCAGGCCTGCGATGGAGCCAGTGGGGATGCCGGTCTGCTGCTTGAACCGCTCATACTCGTGGCTCGGCTTCGCGGCCTCTTGCAGATCCTCGTCAATGGTGGTGCTGGTGGGGCTGGCGATGTTGGAGACAGAGCTGGACTCGCGCTTGAGGCCGGGCTGGGTGGGTGACGGCAGCTGGCTGAAGTCGAAGAACTCCTGGTCGGGGTCCTGGCACTGATTGATATGAGGGTTAAAGGCAGGTGCCATAATCATCGCGGGTTGGACGGCAGTAGCCATGGTTGCGTATCAGGAGGGTCCTGGGATGCTGTGGTAGTGCCTCGAGGCAGGCAGAGACGGTCTTTGGGGTGCAGTGTTCGGACGAACCAAGGCGGTTAGTAGGCTTCAGAGGAACGCGCGTCCCGATCTTGCCGAGTGTGGCTGAGCCGGTGCGCTGGACTCGCGTCGGTTGGTCCTGGGCTGGAAAGTAGGCACGGAGACGGGATGCGGCAATGGTATACTGTGTAGAGGGAGCGAGTGTTGAGTTCTGATAGATGTGAAGTATTGGGAGCGAAGGGAATGGGGACGATCAAGGAGAGGGCCGCAGCGGTCTTTTGCTGGGGCCGTGAGGCGTTTCAGGGAGGGCAGTGCTGAATCGCACTATTTCTGGACTAGACAAGCCTATCCCCGGCCAAGTTGAGTTTTCAGTCGATCCCTTCCTCCCCAGCCCGGCCCACCGGTCAGCCTGTGGATACGGCCAGCTTACCAGGCCAAATGTCATCGCGCGACGGTAATCTTTCGTGCTTTGTTGACAGCTTGCAGCGTCTCCACTCCACGACTTGCTTCTGTGCTTCTGCAACTTGAACGAGTAAGATGCGAGTCGCGGCAACAGCAGCAGGCATCGCAGTCTGACAGCCATGGTTTTCAAGGCACTTGCAAAGACACCAAGGCCTGGCATTACGACACCTCGCACGCGGTGGCTGCAGAGCCCCGACTCCGATGGTTTACGGACGAACCATAGGTCCTCCAAGGTGGCTGTGTCGACCCATCGGCAGTATGGCTGCGAAGCCAGTCTGATTCGCCAATAATCTTGCATTAGTGTACCGGCGCAAGGTGACCTCTTTCGAGACATGCCACCACCCAAACCAGAAGATGCCTTCGGGACCTCTTTCCGGACATCACGTTACTTCACAAGCTACCTGACCTTGGAACTTGGCAACGGCACAAACAAGACACCACTCACGTGTTACACGTGTGCAGTACCAAAGATGATTTCCACAGACTCTCCGGGTCTTGGGCCGAAAGCATTCATGCACATCTTGCAGCTCCAAACCAAGATTGTTGTTGCTCGGAGCCGGAGCGGAGCACATGCCGTCATATTTCCTGCTCTTCCGTAGCTGATCCGCAGTAAAACCTAATTCTTACATGCTTCTCCGGCTCATGGTGACACTTCGCTGACTGCCGTAGATCCGGGTGAGGAAGGACCTCCAAAACATAGACTTAGTGCCCAACGCTTCGCAGGAAGCTGCTCTCGACGACCACGATTGGAATGATGGCATTGCATCAACTGCCGCCAGCCTAGACGTATTGTATTTTTCTAAACGTGTGTGACCTAAGCGCCGATTGCTCTCAAGGTCTGAGCGAACGCTGATGGCCTCTCGATCCGATTCCACGGCAATTGTGAAACGCGCGAATTTCATGGCGCTGGGACGTCAGAGCTGTCACTGCACAGTACCGCTGCGGCACCTACCGTGCATTCTCCGACCAACGAACGCTGGACCATTCGCCGCCGCTCTGCGCCATTGCCTAATCCAGTATCTCAGGGGAGAAACCCGTGATACCGACCTATATGCCTTCAGTATGCACGTTTCGCAGTCGGAAAGCGCCTGTTATGCTCGGAACTACCCAGCCATACGTTTGGACCGATAGGGTCTTCGTCGCTATGAAGATCTTCAGGCTAAGGACTTGTTCGGTCTTATTGTTTGATTTACGCACAGATTCAAGTCCGCTTCCTTGGGATATGGCCGAAAGTGGCACTATTCCTGGCCGCTACAGGCTTATACCTGCGCAGTCATTCTACTGCGCCTGACTGCACACATAAGCAAAGCTTCCAGCTTGTTCAGCAACCTGGTCGATAGTGCCGGCCAGGCCCCCGGCCAATCTGGTCTGATGATCCAAACCTATTCTGCAGAATGATATGAGATAGGTCGCAGTATCCAGCAGCATCACAGTGGACTGAGCTGCGGCCAGTTCTCACACCCAATGAAGTCGTTGGCATACAGCAATTACAAGGCAAGCTACCTAACCACGTCTTTCCTATACAATGATCAATCACATACTTCATCCCCCCAACCAACCCACCGCTCAACTCAGTGTCCACTCATTAGACATCGTCGATCCACATCCAATCCACTTTACTAGCAACGTACCCTTCACCCAACTCACATCCTTCGCCGAACCCTGTCTTACTCCATACCAACTTCAGCCGAACAGGGTTTTTATTACTCGAGTCTCGACCTGAGAAACGACCGGGACACTTGCCTAGCATATAACACCGCCTCACACATAGGTACAAGCCACCGTACAACGAAGCGGACTAGCATGAGGTCTACAAGCAGCTGGACCGCCGTTGCTAGTCGGCATCCATCACGGCGCCCCGTGGGAGTCGCACCAACAGCGTTCGAGCAAGGGCACACGATGCATACGCAAGACAGCGAATCCAAATCTCCATTCCTCGTCAGGAGGCCTTCCAATCAACCCAGCTAGCGGACCACCTCCCGCAGGGTCTGAACTCCCGCGGCACCGCGCCGACATCCTGTAGTCACTTCATTTCATTTCCGCTTAGCACAACTCCGCCCCGTGCAGTGCAGAGTGCCACAACGGCGGCACCGCCAGGACCGCAGCGCAGCAGCGGCGCAGCCTCACGAAAAAATAATTGCCTGGCTGCGTCGCATCAGCCTCGACAAGGCATCCATTCCCAACGGCGTGGGTGCCGAAAATCCCCCAGCTGGCGCGCAGCGAGCGTGTTTCGGGGCTTCCAGAACACATGCGCGCGCCGCGCAAACGGGCGTGCGCTAGAGCGAGTTGGGATGTATCGGGCTGTGGCGCGCGCGCCGCGGCGCGCCCCGAGCATGTAAAGCATCAATTTCAGATGCAGTGTTGAGACGCTTTTCCTGCCGTACGCGTCAGACACAGGGTGGGGCGGCGAGATCGGTGTTCGCATGTACTGTTGTGCGTAAACGCTTTAAGCATTGCCAAGGGGTTGTGCGAGGGTTGTGCGAGCGAGCGGTACAGTTTACATTGTTGTACATGAGATTTGACGCGACGACGACGGGCTACAGATGTACAATGCGTGTGTGGCTTGCCGCGAGCCACGAGGCCTATAGCGTTGCCATGCATGTATGCGATGCGCCTTTGCATCGAGCTGACGAGTCCCCCAGTCTACCATTGTCTAGGCTCAGCATCAGTGCCGCTGTCTAGGAAACCGTGAATGTCTTCCTCTGCCGGCTCTAAGTCGGGTCTGCTCTGCTCAGGGGCTCTCTGCTCAGAAGCTCTCTGCACAATAGACGGTGCCCACTGAGCCCCAATCGGTTGGCCTGAAGCCTTTGGCTCTGGCTGCATCCCAATCGCCGTCTGCTCCTCTTGTGCTCCCGTCAGGTCGTTCCTCATCGTGAAGCTGTCATTGTTACGCTCTTCGTTCGACCCGACGCCTAGATCTTCTGCGACTGCCAGAAAATACTTTTGATCTTGGTAGGCGCCCGTAACGCCGCCATTCGCCACGCCCTCACCACGCTGCACATCGCGCACAACAAGGCGCGCGCGATCGACATCGCCGGCAGCAACCAAGGCTTTGATAACGGCGGTAAGCGCACGAAAGCCCGGGTGATTACCAGCTTTGGACATGCGTGTGAGCACGCTCATCATCCTGCCTACTTCGCCATGTTGGGCATATCCTTCGATGGCGCGGTCGAAGAGGATTTTGTCTGTAGATTCGTCATGAGTCTCGAAGATTTGTTGGAGCAACGAGTCGACTGCTGCAATAGCTGGTGGCGTTTGTTGGAAGTAAAATGTGATGATTGACGTATAGGCATGTGCGCTGGGCGACAACTTGCGACTTCGCATATGTTCGATGAGTGCGCGCACAGCCTCGAGACTCTCGTATTGCTTCAGCAGGCGGTCGATGGCTGTGGAGTAGATCCGTTTCTCTAATTTCATACCACCAGCCTCAAGCTCTTCAAACACTCGGATAAGATGTTTTGCTCGTTCCGCATCAGTCAAGTCACCGAGTGTGCCGTTTTCAAAAGCTGCTGTAATCAGCATAGTGTGTGTGGCCATGTCCGCTTCTATCCCGTTCAGTTCCATCTGTTTCAGTATCTTGAAAGCTGTGGCGGAGTCTCCTGCGCTAAGATACATCTGTATCAAGATATTGAATGTGCGCGTGTCTGGCCTGACACCGAAGTGTGTTGCCCACTTCATAATCTTCTGCACATAATCAACACGCTTCCGTTGATGTATCGTTGACAGTTGAACAAGTCCTGAGATAGCACCGTTGATCACCGCCACAGATGGTTTTGTGCAATCGTTGATCCTGGGCTGTTTCTTGGAGGCCTTTGATTTTGACGGAGCGGCGATCTCTGCTGACTGCCACCTTCTGCCCATGTCCTCGAGAGTTTGAAGACCGAGATTGATTTGACGAAAAGACATCAGACCGTGTACACGTGTCGTCCAGGCATGATCATCCGGCTCCATTCCTGCGCTCTGCATGCGCTGCCACATGGCGTTAAAGCCGTCAAGATCCTTTGCTTTTGCGCAACCGTCCAGCATTGCAACCCAAGTTCGCATCTCAGGATTGACTCCATTTGCGATCATATGATTCCATACTTCGACAGAGCGTGGGGCTTTGTGAAGGATCAGATACCCGGAGAGGAACGCGTCGTAGATTTTAGGCGGAATTGAAGTCTTTCCGTCTTTTGTATAGTCCCTTGAGATACGTCTCCAGTGGCGATCAAGCGATGCAGGTGAGCCCTTGACCATTAGCAACTTCCCAATGGTCTTGAGGTTGAAAACCTCCAGATCAGCCATACTTTCCTCGGCGGATACAGGGACGGTTGCTGCGGCGGACTTATTGGCGGTGGCTGAGAGTCGTCCCAGAGTGCCCAAAGCCCTCGCAGGCGCTGCGTCAATCTCCCTTGTAACCTCAACCTGCACATCTTCAGGGAGAGTTTGGAACACTCTTGAGAATGCTGCATGTTTATTTACCGAGGATACCCTTGCGCCCGATAGAACACGGACAAGAAGTTCCAGGAAAGGTGCTGCCTGAGGGCGCAGCGACTCACTCGCGATTATGGCGTCGGTCAGGTTGAACAAGTAGATCGCACAGAATCCGAGAGCTGGACTACCAATAGCTTTTGGATGAAACTCTTGCAAACGGTGACTGAAGTCGTTCGACTCAAAGACGAAAGGAATGGCATCAATGGCGGGCAGGTTCCACTCTGTGCTTATAGCCTCTAACGGATCATTGCCTGGTCCTTTGCACTGGAAGAACAATCGCCACAGAGAGATCAGCTCGGAGAGCAGGGTCGGTAAGTCCCGTTGCGGAGTTGTACTGACGCCGTTGGCAGCGAGCATTACTTGATGTGTTAGAGGTTCAATCGCATCTTTGACCCATAAGCCCGCGGGTGCGATGCCGAGCTGCTCGTATTTCAAGAGAGCGGCCGTGGGAGTGACTGTTGGCTCTCCCTGTCCGTCACAGAATTCCTTTATGACTTGGGCCAGGATATTGGGGAAGAAATACTGTCTGTCAATCTGTTGGATGTCTGTCGTGGAGGGCTTCTTGAGGGCTTCGCAATCAGCCGAAGTGTATGTCCTCTCGAATAATTCCCAGGCGCCTTTCAGTCCCCCAGTCCGTAAACGGCTGCGAATGCGTACAGTGTAGTTAATTTCTTTCTCCTCAGCGCCGTCGGCCCTGTTTGCATCTTGAACCCCCGGCGCATCGACATGACCGTCGCGTAAGTGCTTTGAGTATCTTCCTAAAGATCGTGATCCATTTCTAGCGGGTGCTGTCTGATCACGGTCGAAAAGACTGTAAGAAGATGGCTGGTCGCTCTTGGGTGCGACGCCCGCGTCCTCCGGCTGTGCCTGGGCTTCAGTTTGTTCGGTGCTGTGTTGTGGCCGTTGTTCGCGCAGCGATATGAAGGTAGCTCTCGATTGCCATTGAGAGTGCTGAGCAGCGATGCGACGAGGTTGCAGGTGCGCTCTGCACTGGCGACAGATGTTCGCGCTCAGCATAGCAAGCGATTGACTGCGAGGAAGGAAAGAAAGCTAGCAGCCGAATTAGTCGGGAGAACTGGCATCAAGGCTGCTACTCACAGTACTGTACAGTCTACCAAGCACACATTACGATTGTACACACCGCAAAGCCTCAGATTGATACTGTGCGCTACTGCTTGACGTGAAGCGTGTAGATGAGCGTGGAGCTTTCCGCATCTCCAAAATCCACACGCCAGCCCGAAAAGGAAAGCTCCGGCGACGATGCCGGGGCCTAATGACGTATCACGTGTGTCGAGCGACGAGAACGACTCGCTGCCTCCGACGCGTCTTCAACATTGCAAAAGCTCAAAAAGTGGACTATAAATCCTACGCATGACCACTGCGCACTTGTAGTACGCTGCCATCGTTCTTTGCGTTGTCTGCGTGCCACCTCTGACCAGAGTCGGCTACCGATATCATGACAACCCATGTCCCCAGAGCGTTCTACTCGCAGGAGGAACTCGACAAGCTTTACCCAAACGAGCTGCAATTGCAACTTGTTCAAATCGTGAGATAAAAGATTGAGCGGATCTGAGCTACTCTTACCATCCCACAGCTTCTACGCCATGGCGAACGAACTCCAGTGTCACCGCGTTTCCAGAATGTACGCCAACTCTGTCCCAATGCTGCACAACGAGACGCTGACGTTCACTCTATTAGACTGGCCTACAGCCATGTATGTCAACTGAATAAGATCCTGAGCAAAGTGTAATAACAGCGTCAGATTGGCCGTACTGTAATGCTGCACGGCAACTGTCCAGCGTCATCATGAGTACCAAGGACTTCTCCCAGTGGGATCATCTCAAGTATCGCAGGCGAATCGAAACTTTCGGAGTTGATGATGGGCCAGGTACATTAAGGCCACTCAGCATATAATATCATGCTAATCTACGACAGATATCGCTTCAGGACCGAATAATGAATTCGATGCCGTCTGCCAACCAGGAGAGCTCACCGACAAAGGTCGCCAAACGACCCTAGCTTTGGGTCAACGACTTCGTCATCTTTATGTTGACCAGCTTTCTTTCATGCCAAAGCTTATTGCTGACAGCGATATGATCTATCTGCGGGCTACGCCTATACCAAGAGCCCTCGAATCTGTCCAACAAGCGTTCTGGGGTTTCTATCCACCGTCTGCACGAACGGCTGACTTCCCTCCTCCCACTATCATTACTAGGAGTCCTGCTGACGAGACTCTTTTCCCCAACGATGCCAGCTGCAGACGGTTCGGCCAGCTCAGCCGTGCGTTCGCGCAGCGAGCCGCTGAACGATGGAACGACACCGACGACATGCAGTACCTATCAAAGTTGTTCTCAAAGTATATGCCCGACCAGGCTAAAGTAGCTGTGGACTCTCGACCAAGGCTTTCCGGTGTCATGGATACACTCAACGCCACAGATGCCCATGGCCCTGCGACCAAACTACCCAAAGAATTCTACGATCCCAAAGCGCGCGCCATCATTGACAAGATTGCAGTAGAGGAATGGTTCAAGGGCTACACCGAGTCGACCGAATACCGCATGCTCGGCATTGGTGCTCTCCTAGGCGACATTACATCTCGTATGGCCGGTAGTGTGGAACAGAATGGCCGCGACGGGCTTCTTGAGATCGGCGGTAGTAATGGCGCACTAGGCCGTGGCCGAGGAGGAGAGACGAATACCAAACTCGCTCTCTCTGGCTGTCACGACACTACACTCGCTGCAGCCCTGGCCTCTCTTGGTGCATTTGATGACGAGAAATGGCCGCCATTCACAAGTCACATCGCCTTTGAGCTCTTTAAAGCGAAAACCACGCCGTCTCGACCCGCAACACCTACGCTGAATCAGAACGCCCCACCAAAAGCGCAGAGCTGGTGGTCTTCCCTCTTCGGTAGCACGAACCTCACGACTACCTCCGGTGCTCCTCAGCAGAATGGCATTGCACGCAAGCCTCTTTCTGAGATGACTTCTGCGCAGCGCGAGGAAATCCAGGGCTTTTACGTTCGCATCCGCTATAACGACAAGGTCATGCAAGTTCCGGCCTGCAACGCTCCAGGGAAACATCTCGAAGGCGACACAACCTTCTGCACACTTGAGGCGTTCAAGGGTGTGGTTGATAAGATCACGCCTCCGAACTGGAAGGTAGCATGTAGCTCGAGACTCGATGCCCCAGCGTTTCCAGAGAAGGTTGAGCTTGCTGGATACGAGTAGATGATTGGCCCTGAAAGCTATACAGTGTATGTTTTACTTCGTAGACTACATAGACATATCGATTGTATCGTCACTGATCAAAAGCACATGGCAAGGCGCTGTGAACTGGGTTCTGATCAAATACTTCAATTATACTTTATCTGGTGGCATGTCTAACGTATGGCATATTGCCTGACGAGCAAAGCCGCCATCGCCGATCTTCGAGAGCCAAGTGCCACGTAATAATTACATGTTTGCTTTTTCGACTATTTCCAATATTACGGACTGTACAGCATCGGATGTTTACTCCTACCATGGCGAAGAAATGCTTAAGACTAGTAAGTTTTGTTGGAAAAACATGAGCAGGAAGATCGTCGACAAACGCTCCGTCAATAGAGCTTCGTCTGAGCAGTTAGGATGACCTACAAAAACCGTTGCTGTCATAATCTGCCACCCAACCTTATCGTACCGCAAAGCGTTTCATGCAGGAAGGAGGGACGACCGCATGGATTCTCGACACGTTTAGCAGATCGTGCGCCAGCCATCGGCGCCACTTCTGCTCGATCAACGCACATCGGGATCACGAAACAATGCAGCAGTCCAGTCCCGCGTGCGCGGCTAGGGCAACTGCTGGTGACGGCCGGATGTGACATGTGTCGCGAGAGGCCCCGCGGTAATGCCAGGCGCACCTTGCGAGGTTGACATGCAGTCCACCAGCGAGGCAGCAACAAACACACTATCCACGGCATATGTTGTTGCCGTCAGCCAAACGTGTGAAAAGTTTCCTAGCTGCCTCGTATGGGCGGGTGAGCGGGTGACACACTTGGTACGTCGCACCAGCAGTGGAGTGTGCGTTACAGTGCCTGACAGAACGTGACAAAGGCCCGAGCACCATCCAATTTTCCGCATCGAGAGCCGTGATCAAATAAGGTCATCTTCACTGAAGAGGTTGCAGCTGTCAGGATGGATTCGGTATTGCTGCTCATCATTCATGCCCCGGCTGAGTCTCAATAAGTCCCAATACCATGGCCACGGTTTGCAGGTGATTTTGAGTCTGGTGCCCAGTCATCGAATGATCAACGTCTTGGTCTCATGAAAGCCTTTCATGCCAATGCCGTTCGTATGACGCGTTGGGTGGACGGAAGCGTCGTTTTGAGAGTGCTACACCGCGTCACCTTACTCTGCTCGTGAAGATAGTCACACACAAACGGTCATATTCCGGCACTACGGCTCGGTACATGACGAGTGGGGTGTCCTACCCTCAACACTTGCTGAGGGTGATGCTGATTACGAATTTATTGGCCTCCTATATTGTAGGCAGGTCGACTTCGGCAAGACGGTTGTTGTGTATGAGGCTTGACGCAGGGGCAAGGAGGCATAAACCAGTCAGAACAGACTCAACAGCTGATTCTCAGCTGTATCGCCACTCTTGTCAATATTCGTGTGGGGCTTGTGCAATGTCTCGGTGAAAGGGTCCATGATAGACAGTTGCTCAGCCGGATGATTGCCGATTCGTCCTGAATGTGGCATCAGCATCTCCACGGCGATTTGCCGGGCATTTGGTCGAACTTTACAGGCTCTAGCTAGGAAGAGCAAGAGTGATGCAACCTGCCACAGCGGACAAGCGTCGAGCCTCCTGCTGGTCTGATACAGCCACATTCTCACCGCGTTACTTCCCCGCATCACCTGCTCTTGCCTGACCAGAGTCTTATCGTATCGAAAGGAAGAGGCGTACTGCATTCTTGGTCAATGTCTAGAAGCCGCACACCACGCCAAAAGCGGACGTCGCATCCACACTGTTAAGGTTTGACGTCCACGTTAACGCTTCCTCGACAGGAACGAGGCGAAGCAACCAGCTTCTAGAAAACTTGACGTGAAACCTTTCAGAAGTGACAGCAGGGCGAGATGCAAGGCGACGTTCCCCGTCATCCGAAGTTGGAGGTCAAAGATGCACGGGCTGCATAAACGGAGAGTCGCTGCCGGACGGCAAGATACAGTCCTACACAAAACTGAAACGACGGCAGTGCCTGTACGTGCCGCTCGTTGGTGCATCCAGGCCGCGTTCAGACGTTGGCTGAGGAAGCGCGCTGGCGTAGGGTGGTCTGACGGGTGGAGGACTAGCACGCCAGCAGAGCTGAGAGCTGTACCTGCATCCTCGCCGGACACCTTCGGACGATGCGGCAAAGAAGATGCGAGAGTTCCCATCTGGCTGCGCTTGGTATGCAGCCTAACGCGGTGTGTCGTGTTGGGTGATGTTGCTCTGACGCGCCAATCGAAACCCTGTTTGTCTGAACGGGAAGGCGCTGATCATCAAACGGTCCGCGCACGCACATCAACCGCTCATCCTCGAGCTTCCATCCCGACTTCTCTCTGCCGCATCGACACTTCCATTGACCACATGCTGGCCGTCAAGTTTCGAGGCAACCAGATGACACCTATACAGAAGCAGCATAGTCGTGCCTGCTATGGGCATTGCAAGGTTGCAGTCTGTGTACCAGTGGCGGCGCCTGTGACACAGCTCTCCGCCATGGCGCTGCAGTTCACGCGTCTTCTCCCTGTACTGAATGCTCCCTTCAGGTCGCACAGGGTTCACCCCTCCCAAAAATGAGGGACACAGTTGGTCGGATGCTGCCGATTTGCTATTTACCCTCCCTTGCTGCTCTTCGTCTTGGGTTGCGCCTGAGCTGATTCTTGCCTACTCTCTTTTCCAGAGGCCCAGTCCATGTGCATGTTTCCATCCTGCTTCATCAGTTCCCGGCATCGAATCGCTCCCTGGCAGGTGTACTCTCTCCGTTCGCTTAAGTGACATCTGATTGACCTGTCCCGCACCCTCGGTAATCAGCTGTCTTTCACTCCTTCTACCGTCCTTCCCCACACCCTCGTTCAAATAAGAAAGAGGTGGAGCCTGATAGACATACCCTTCCTTCACTTGTTACTCGTCGACTGTGGCTTGCGTCTGCCGAGGATCATCTTACAGCTTTCCCACGACGGTCAGAAACATCCACATTCCCTCGAGGGCCAACCAGACAACATTTGATTAGCTTGTCCCCTTCCTGGGCTTGAGCACATCACCACTGACAAGCCCACCACAACATGGGCAGGATGGCGCCCATTTGGACACGAACACTCGACGGCAAGGCAAGCAACACTGATGCGCTCGGGATCACATACGTTGTCGTTGCCATTGTGTACACAATCGCCTTAGCATGTGAACTTACACTTCTCTATCGGCGAAGAGATGCTTTCTGCATACAGATACGGAATATCAAGATCGTCTTTGCCGCGGTGTCGATGCTCCATGTCTACCTCACACTCGTCTTGCTGGCGTATCCGTGGAACGGACTGTATCCATGCTCAGCAGAGTTCTGGGTAATGTCCGTCTTTTTACCATCAGGCATGGCTTTCTTTCAAGGTAAGTTTCAACTAACTTATCTTCTACATATGCGCTAACTCTCTCAGCTTGCAATGCTAGGGTCCTCACAGCGTATGAGAGTCAGCGTCGGATGACGCGCAACTTTCTCGAGGGTGCTCGTCGGGAGCGGATTTCATATACGCCTGCAGGGCTGCTTAGGGCGTGGAAGAATCTCGATGCGGCGTGTAAAGTTTACGTACTCACCGTCTTGGGCTTGATTATCTCGGTATGCTACTGGTTCCGCTCGCCTCGTCAAACGGAAGCTAATCTTCGCAGTTTGTCCCCACCATCACCCTCTACTTTGGCTCACGGCGGTTCCATGCGTCTTATGGCTTCTTTGGCACAGCAGCTGGGTTTATGGAGTGCCGCAAAGGATTCGAATGGCAAGTGGTAAACACGCCTCTTGGCTGATCAATCACTAACTCGAATGTAGGATCCCGTCCATCTTCGTACAGCTTTTCTGGACAGCACTCGTTGGGCCCTGGATTCTTTGGAAGATTCGCCGCATTCAAGATGTCCACTCCTGGGCGTGGCAGACCAGGCTTGCCATCATTGCAGGGTTTGTACCGTCTTGAACGCAATCAGGATCAAACACTGACGTGAACTGCAGCCTACCTGGAACACCACTGTGGATTGCGTTCTCATACTCCAATGCGCCTCAGGTCGCTAAGATCAGAGACTACTTTGCGCCAGCTGGATGGTTTATCCCATCTCTTATCGTGTGCCAGCAGGTCCTCATCCTCATACCACTCGCCGATGCCTTCAAGTCGAGTCCTCGCCAGAGGCCCATGTCGACAACGACGGAGACTGCTTCGTTAACATCCACCATTTCACAAACATCTCAAAAGTCAGCGCAAGAGTTGTTCCGCGAACTGAAACCCAAAGCCTCAATGCAGGCCCTGGAGCTTAGCATTGAGCAGAACATCGAGCCTCTTATTGTCTGGGCTGCGACCAAGGAGTTTACAGCCGAGAACGCAATTTTCCTGCGTGAAGTTCGCAATTGGCGAAGGAAATGGTCATCTCTGAAAGTTGTTTCGACATCTCAACGTCGCCAAATGTTCAACGAAGCCTCTCTCATCTACTTCACCCTCATCAACCCTTTCACCGCTGAGATTCCCATCAACATCGAATACAAGATCTTCAAGGTTCTGCAGAACCTATTTGCTGGCATGGAATACGACCCTTACATGCCTCGCAGCAATACTCCAGACGAACAAAGGTCGCCCATCATCCGCGAGAACGTCATTTGCCCGTGGGAAGAAACTCTGAGCCGCCCGGCCAGTATTCTGTCCAACGTCACTTCGTCATCCTCGGCCAGCACCGGCAACATTATCCCAAGCGAGTTCAACGAAGACATCTTCGATGCAGCATACGAGAGTATCAAATATCTGGTTTTCACAAACACATGGCCGCGTTTTGTAGACGCCGAAATGGCCAGCAAGGCGTCATCACCGTAGATGCAGGATATCGCGAGAGAGACGAGAGACGAGAATTAGAGTATCAGTAACATGAGCCGATGAGCTGACGAGCCGACGACACATTCTGGGCATCTCCATGCTCGCTCGACGGGCACCGCGCGATACCCCCGATGGCCTGTCTGGCACACGTCATCGGCTAATACAGCACTACACGGTCCCGGGATAGACACGGAAGACGAGACATTGTATTTGCGGCTTAGGGGAAGTGTGTATATGCGCGCCGCATTTTGGCGGGATGGAGCTTTGCGGGAGGAAAACTATACCCTAATGACACACTTCGCTTTCCTTTCACGTTACCGTCCCTGCGTACACACAGACTCATCTCGATTGCGATCTCACACCCGTGCCGCACGTCCTTCACCGCTACGCCGCCTCAGCAAAACCAACCCCCGGCTCTCGCACTCAAGCCAGGAAGCGCTGTCCGGAAGATTGACCTGCTGCTGTGCCGTCCGGCACCTGGATCTGCAACGCATGACGTCGCGGGCCCGTTGGCGTGGTTCGGGTGTTCCAGGGCTGAGGCAAACATTGCGGAGTCGTGTCACGCGTTGCAAACAGAACTGAGTCGAGGCAAACAAGGCTGGAGCTAGGCAAGCATAGCCGGGTTGAGACAAAGGTTGCTGGCGTGAGGCAAACACTGCTGGGTCCAGGCAGATATCGCAGGCTGCGGCGGACTGGGCGGGTGTGGCGCAGGAGGAGGGAATCGCGGAAGCGGTGTGCTGTGCCGCTGTTTCAAGCAGCATGATAATGGTGGTGATGGATATCGATCGATGCTGTGTTGGCGGGCGAAAGGAGGCGCGGATACGAGGTGGATCTGCTTGAGCGATGGGGGAGAAGATTAGGGAGTTGCATCGGGCGATCGATACAGTAGGGATGCTATGTACTTGAATATAGATCAAGTGTTCGGTGCGTAACGTTATGCGTCAGTCAGGCATGGATCACGTTCGGTGTCGTCTGTCTTCTCGTTGTGAACTGGAGACTATCCTCATCGTTTGATGCACACCAACATTGAACAGCGTTGTTGGCAATGGAGACAATCAATCTATGTTTTGAATGTTTGTATTACTATGTCTGAAGCGATGTCGCCTCACTCGTCCTCATGGCTATTTGCCGTCCCTAGTCTTGAATAACGAAAGAAGTAACTGGCGGGATCCCCACATGATGAATCGCAAATGGCGAGAGTGATGAAAGTAATTACGAGAAAGCGCAGAATCGAAATATGGAACCAAAACTCGATGGCATAGGTCGACTGAGTCTGGAAGAGTTGGCTGCTGAAAAATGACAGAGAGCGAATGTCGGCGAGAGTGGAGCTGCACTGCTGGCTGTATTCGAGCGTGATGGAGTACCTCGGTCGCAGAGAAAGTAGCCACGTTTTGCGTGCATTTGCACACATTGCCTGGTGTTGCGACTCATCTACTGAGTCTTCTTCGACAGCTTCCTGGGCAGCCCCTGGGCTCGCCTCGCCGCCCTGTCGCCCTCAGCAAGCCACGAAGCCGCCTTCTTCATCTGCACCACGTTGATGATCTGCTTTGCCAGCATGATGGGCGCGCTGATGATCATGCAGATCCACGGCACAGTCGAGTCCATCTTGTTCGCACGCGCCGCCTCCATAGCGCCAGCAGAGAATGGCGACGCGAAGAACATGCTGGGCTTGGGCGCAGCGGGTGTTCCTGGGTTGAGCGAAGAGGGATTGGAGGAGTCGGCGAAAAGCGTGGGGCTCAGGTATGGCGAGGAGAAGGACAGCAGATACAGCGCGATGAAGAAGGTCTCGTTGAGAGCGCAGAAGGTGAAGAGGACCCACTATGTCAAGTTAGCATGTGAGTTCAATGCAATTGACTAGCACACAAGTGAGAAGTGCATACTTTGTTGGTGTAGTACTGCCTCAAGATCCAGCTCCGACTTGCGGACACGTCCTTGTGGCTCTGCGAGCTTCCGCCCATGCTCAGCGTCGCGTACATGTGCATGTAGTGGCTGGCCAGATCGAGCGAGATAAGGCCCTGGAATATGATGCTCCAGCGAGGGAAGGCTTGTGCAAGAAACACGAGCAAACAGGATGTGGTGCAACGATCGGTGACCATGTCCAGCACAGCGCCGAACTTGGTGCTCTGTTCATAGTAGCGGGCTGCGTAGCCGTCGAGCGCGTCTAGGAGACATGATACACTGTAGAGTGCTGTACATGTGCGCGGGTGGAGGGGCATATAGTAGAGAGAAGTAAGGGCGAGAAAGACGCGGGCGTAGCCTAGAACCTGTCAGCATGCTCTGTCGCTGGTGTTTGACGCTGTGGAGGAACCAACCGATCAAGTTCGGGACGAACAAGAAAATGTTCTCCTCATCTTCTTCCTCGCCGGCTGTGCGCACAGCGGCGCCGTTGCTGTTCATGGGCTGCTGTGAAGAGGCCATTGTGGTGTGGTGCCGCGTGCTGGCAATCTCACTTTCGCTGCGCAGAAAGTGCTGATAAGATAACGGAGCTCTAGCTCGCCAGGGTTGTTGACAGGGGGCCTCGGTGGTGATCGCGGGGTCGCGGTGCGAAGGCTGGACGCGCTGATAAGAGTGCAGGTAGTGGGGGAGAGAGTGGCGTGCGAGGCAGGAGTGAAATACACGTAGAGAAGTGGCCTTGAAATTGGCTTCGAGAAACAGTTTCGTCCGCCCGCGAGATCCGGCTGTGCGGCTAGGCTCGAAAGGGGGCCGTTCTTGGCATGGACCTCCGCTGCTATTACGTGTCTTGCTCACTTGATGCCAGAGCTGACGACAGCCTTGCGCTCTGTTTGCAGCGATGAAATGAGATGTGAACTTTGTACATTGATCGTCGTACGACTACTGCCCCTGCTACTACCAAGCCGCTACCTAGCGTCCGCCTCGCTTGGCCTAGAGCTTCCTCTTGCCATGTACTGCCTTCTGTGTCTTCGCTTTGATATGCGCATTCTTCTCCTTTGACTTGGCTGTAGTCAAGCCTCGGTCTGCCTTTCCTTTCTTCCACTGCTTGCCTTCTATGCGGTCGTCCTTTGCCTCCAGCTTCTTCTTGTCCTTGTGACTGAGTTTCTGCTTCTTCTTGACTGAGCCACCTGTGGCGTTGTTGAGCGCTTGGGCACCCTTTTCTCTCTCTGCCGCCTTCTCCTTCTCTGTCTCGAACCACGTGCGTTTTGGTCTCGAGTTAATCTCGTCTTCATGTCTGATCATGTTCTCGCCGCGCTTGAGGTCACGCTCAGTTATGCTCAGCACACGCTCCTCCTTCTCTTCCTTAAGAACCTCCTCGATCTCATCTTCGAGGTCTTTGATCTTCTTGATCCACTTGTCCGCTTCTTCAGCCGGAACTTGTCGGCTGACGACCTTTGCTCCTTGATCGCGGCTGGTCTTGACTGCTTGCTTCACGACCTTACGATCAGGCTCAGCAGCAAGTGTGCACGCGCGACCACTGCGTCCAGCACGAGCGGTACGACCAACACGATGGAGGTAGATTTCGTGACTCTGCGGTGCTTCATAGTTGATGACTGTTGCGACATTCTTGATATCGAGACCACGAGACGCGACATCGGTGGCGAGTAGGTGAGTTGACGCTCCGGAACGGAAGGCCTCCACGGATTGGATACGCTGCATCATTGTCAGTAATTGTGTGTGAAATCTCGGACTTCGACCATACCTGTTCCTGGCTCATGTTACCGTGCAATTCGCTCGCCTTCAATCCGCACAACGCGAATACGATGCGGACTCTGTGCGCTTCCTTCTTTTGCCTAAAGAAGATGATAACGCGCTCAGTGTAGACCTTGTCGCAAAGATACATAAGGTACGCAAGACGCCTATCCTCCTTGCCTAACCTCAGACGAATGAATTCCTGAGTAAGACCAGCAACAGTCTGCTTCTTTGCATCAACCATCAAACGCACAGGCTTGTCCATACCAACGCGCACGAGCTTGTCGACTGAGCTGGTCATGGTAGCGGAGAACAGCATTGTTTGCCTTGACTTGGGAATAGTTGTGAGAATCTCGTTCAACTGGCTCTCGAATCCCTCTTCAAGCATACGATCGGCCTCATCAAGAACCAGAATCTCGAGGTGCTCGACTTGGAAAGAGGCCGAGTTTGTCATGTGATCGATGAAACGACCCGGTGTTGCAATGACTACATCTGGTCTGGTCTTCAGGACAGCTTCCTGGTCGCGCATGGAGAAACCACCGACCATCTGCGCAAATGTGATATCCGTAAAGGAGGCCAGTTTGGTCGCAACGTTGAAACACTGAACAGCCAACTCACGAGTGGGCATGAGAATGGCAACGCGAGTGGTGGGTACCTTCTTCGGTCTGTAGAGGAGACGTTCGAGAATGGGTATGAGGAAGGCAGCTGTTTTACCGGAACCAGTTTCGGCGCCTCCGACCAGATCCCTACCGGCGACAGCGATGGGAATAGTCTTCACTTGAATTGGTGTTGGCTCCGTGAAGCCTATAGCGGCGAGACCTCGCAAGATGGGCCGAGATAACGACATAGACTGGAAAGATCCTGTGACCTTCGCGCCCTTCTTGCCCTTCTTGACCGGGACGTCCTCCTCTGGCGCGAAGAAAGCTGCGGCCTTCTTCGCTTCTTCTGCGTCTTCCTTATCGCTCATGTCTTCGTCTTCCGACTGTGCTACGTCTTCTGGGTGTACGACTTCTGAGGCGACAGACTCAGCATCTGAATCATCGCCGGACTCCCCAGCCTCATCTTCGTCGGCAGAGCCGGCTTCATTATCCTCTTCCTCGTCTTCCTCGTCTTCCGCCTCCGACTCGGTGTCGCTGCCAGCACCCATGCCGAAGGCGTCGTCTGCCAAGAGTTCGTCGTCGTCTCCAAACCCTGTGAAATCACCCTCGTCTTCTGGGTCAGACTCGTTTGCTTCTTCCTCCTTCCTCTTTGAAGCGTTCTTCTTCTTGTTGCGCCGTCTCTCGATGATCTCATCGACATCTACAGCCGTCGAAGTCCTTGCGGCGGCTTCCTGCTTCTCAGCGCTCAAACCCCAACCATCGAAGTCCTCCACGACACCAGTATCAATATCGCCGACCGCAAATTCGAAGTCCGAGTCAATGTCGTCGTTTCCGTCGACATCCTCCCCAGGTTTGATCATCTCGGGCTCGTCCTCCTCGGGTTCTGGGCTCGCCTGCTTCCCTTTCTTGCCCTTCTTTTTCTCTTTCTTGGCCTTCTTGGAACCTACTCCCTTTGGCAGCACGTTCAGATCTGGGTCCTCGGTGTATTTGCGTTTTTGGCCTTTGCCAGCCAGTTTTGCGACCTCGAGGTCTTCGGCGCCGCCATCGTCGGAAACGACGTCATCGTCGTCGATCGTAAAAACGAAATCGTCGTCTTTGGGCGCCATACTTTGGTGGGACTTTGAGTGAAGCTACTGAACAGCGCAAGACTTCGAGATCACGCCCGAAACCAATCTTCGAAATGTATGGCAGAAAAAAAGTTAGCGTGGGCGGTGAGCTGACACCCCTGTTCGGAGCGGAGACTACACGACAGAGTATCGACGGTTATCAACAGCCGACATGAACAGTAAGTACCTGAATAACCGAACATGTCCAATAGGACTTGATTAGTTGCGCCATTGGCGTATGGCTGTGCGGTCCAGCATTGGAGCCTTGTTGCGGGCCTCATTGCAGCCTACGCGCTTCTGCCTGATTTCTACTTGCACAGATGTAAGATCATTCGCTCAGCCTGATCGGTATCAACGATATATAGCTGCACCATGGCCAGGTTGAGATGACACCATCGGCCTCCAGCTATTGTAATTATACATAAACATTAAGTCCAGTGCAAGCTCTTGACAAGCTTGAGAACACCGTCAAACACTAAATCCCAACATGGCCAAGGTTCCAGCACCAACACGAGTCCTTCGCTCTCAAACCAAGACCCTTGCACCCACACAACACATACCAACAATCACATCAAGCACCAGCCGCAGAACGCATAAGATAACGAAACGACGGCCCCGTCTGGACCCCTGGTATCCCAAGCGCAAGACCAACAAGAACCCCAAACCTCGTCCTCCACCTGCTTCACACTTCACATGCCGGATATGTATCTCGCATCTCCCCAGAGCAGACTTTATCCGATGGGCGCCCAAAAAGAGGTTTTACGAACTAGAATTAGACGCGCCGCGGCCCTGCATCCCACATCTCGCGCGGAACCCGTCGCGCCCCCGCATCGACCCGGTGTGCAAGACGTGCGTGGGCGCGTTCATGGCTGCGCGTCTGGATACGCACGGCGCGCGGCGCGTGAGTGTAGGCTGCATCGAGCCCGGGTGCGAGACGCCTTGGCCGTGGGAGCTGGTGATGGCATACTTTCCGGCAGAGAAGCTGGAAGAATACAATCTAGCTACGTTTGAGCACTGGCGTACCGACACGAGTCTGTTTACGTGTGTGTCGCCCAGTTGTGACTTCACAGGGCTTTTGGATCTGTCGGCGCCGGGGTATCCGCACGTGGAGTGCAATGCGTGTGCGTTCCGCGCCTGCGCGTCGTGCTGTGTGCCCTGGCATGTGGACCAGACTTGTGCGGAAGTCAGCGCTGCTGCTGTCACTGCGCAGATGAGCGACCCGGAGAAGGAAACGCTGCAGCTTATGCAGTCTAGAGACGGTAAGCGTTGTCCGAATTGCCAGCTTGTGATTGAGAAGGATGGCGGCTGTCCTTGTATGTTTTGTCCTGGCTGCAAGAAGAGCTTCAATTGGAGCACGGCGGCGAGTGCGGTGCCGGGCAGGACGAAAGCTTTGCCAGTAGTGGTCGGGCAGGAATTCTGGCAGATCCCTGCTTCTATGGTGTGTGAGGCCGACGGTGGGAAGAAATCGACGGAGCCAGAAACTTATGATGCATGGCAGCTCAATGACGCGACTTTCTTTCTTTTGCCTGACGAGGATCACGCAGATCTATAAGTGCACAATATGGACTACAGTCGATCAGAATCTCAGCGAGTTTAACGTCCGAATTACTAGTTTTGGCCCAGGTGAATTACATGGTTTTGTAATAGATGAGCAACCTTGCCTCTACTATAAGTATGCAAATAGCGAGAGCTTAGGACCTGAAATATATTTGAATGCTGCTTCTGTCAGCTCGTGAACACTCAATGCCAAGTTGATAATCCTGCGATTTTGGTGAGATGGTGATAGTGGCAAGTAAGCCACGTGGATTCCTAGTGAATAGGAAGTTACGATGTCCATACTCACTTCATGATATTGCTCAGGTCGTGTAGAGGAGACCGCTCACTTGGATTGCACTTCGGGGTCTTAATCAAATGCCTCCAATTAGCATGGGTTGATGAAAACAGAAGCTCAGGACTTGCTGGCAACTACGACATATAGCCCGATTGCATGCTACCTAGGTAGCTCTCCTCCCAAATGCACTAGTCTCTACCAAGGATCACGGCATCTTACACCTCACTAGGTGTCAATTGTTTCGTCAGCACTATTCATGAACACCTTGTTAGATAACCCTCTGTCCGATTACAACCTAAGCTATCTCTAGAAATTTTACTAGGTACGGTAGAGAGGGAGAGGGGGCCGCTAATGTTAGAGTCAGTGATAGCCGCTAGCGGCGTGCCTGTGCATGCTAAACCTCGGCCGAGCAGCTCTGACCGGCTCGGATCCTCGACTGCAGCCGAGCACATCAGTAGGTCGGCTGAAGTCCAGGAAAGCATCCGGGACCTCTAAGTCTGCTTGCTTCTGAAGAAATGGTTATCAATTTCGTTTTTGATCTACTGTGACCCTTTGAGTACATCGGCTGATCCGTTATCGATAGACATCATACGATCAGAGTCTTTGGTACGTATATATGACGCTTCATTGCATATCTTCTCTTCATGTTGACGTCCTTCGTCTCTTCTCCCAACCTCTCTTTCCACGATCTCAGGCTTCGCCCATAGCTCTCACTCCGAACATGGACACATCCCAGTCCAAGCCTTTACGATGGCGAAAGCTTGCGTTATGGTCTACACTATCATGTGTAGTAGCTCTTGCCTTCGTTGGATCTTATCTGCATAAAAAACCCAAGAGAGGGAGCTCGGACTTCAACATCGATCCCCATTTCGATCTTCCCAAACCTCCTACCGACTTACCGTACTCGCGGACCAACAATATCATATGCATGGTCGCCATGACTGCTACTGGTCTCATCGCTGTTCTTCTTGGTGCCCGAGACGCTCGAAGAACGCGAACATTACTACCTCTGGTACTACCCCTCAGCGGAGCCATGATTGCATTCCCAGAAACCTTCATTGATGTTCTGGGGTGTATATACTATCCATGGACAGACAAAAACGCCTCGTTCCACATCCTGGGTCGTGAGATGCCGCCCTGGATCCCCATCTGGTTTGGCTATGGGGCGTTGATGCAAACGCTCTTACAGCTCTTGCACCAAAAGTCGACCACTAGGACGTTATGGTGGTTCCTAGGGTTCATGATGCTGTCGGATCTTGTTGTCGAAGAGATCCTCCTCCCTATGGGTGTCTATCACTACTATGGAAACCAGCCCTTGATCGTGTTGAATATGTTTCCCTGGTGGTGGATGGCTCCCAATTCTGTCGGAGTATTTCTGGCAACTGCCCTTGCCTACCGTTTGCGTAACGTTCTGACTGGTTGGAGATCGCTTGCTGTGCTCTTTCTCACACCAATGTCCGTAGGTGGGATCTACGGATTTATTGCCTTTCCGGCTTGGGTTGCGGTCAATGGTGATTGGGGATGGTTTGTGACCGACGTGTTAGGCTGTCTGACACTACTCTTTGGGGTTATTGCCTTTTGTGGAGTCTTGGAACTGGTTCTCGGAAGGAATCCATTCTACCTAGAAGGAGATGGGGAGCAGGCAAAGGTACTGCCGGCTTCTCCCGAAAGCCTTGACCCGTTCCAAGATATCCCTTGAGGGATTGCGACTCACCAGAGATCTACGCGCATCTATCATTGCACGGTATAGGACCTAAGACCATGAGTAATGCGATTTTGGGTGTGTTACCTGTGACTGGTGTTGATGATCCACAGTGCGGGAGGCGACATTCGATTTTGCGGAGCCCCGAGGCTCCAAACGGTGGTGGATTATTGTTTGTGACTGTTCACTTTATATACACGATTCCAATTCAACCATCACAAAACGCATCGTTCCCTGCTGTGAGTCGCCGCTCATCAGTAGCCGCTGAAGTCAAATTTGTATGCTACCACACGTTTCCCGCCTCTTTCCTTTTCGCCTGGACATGCATGTTGCTGAAAGAGAACGCCCCCAAAACTGAAATTAGATCGGAAACTGATCGGGTAATGCGGTATCGAAGAACAAGTGGAATGACTGCGTCGAGCTCGACATGATTACGGACAAACCTTTTTGTATTTGTAAAGGTGGCACGAAACTGCTGCCATTTTTACCTTTTTTTGTTGCTTTTGCTGCACAACCAACGTAAAGCGTAACGCTGGATTGTGTGGAGGCGGCAATAACGGCCATGTCCGCGCATTGACTGACAACACGTGTTCGTCGGCTACAATCGCGAGTTCGTCATGGCGTTGGTCTGAGTATTTTGGGATGTGCAATGAAGCGCAACCGTAACTGGAAAAGGGTACTGTCAGATGACCCGTATCCTCAATGTGCGAGCATGATAGGGGAGGAGGGATATCGAACATGTGCGAGCTTAGCTGAAAGGAAGCTTATGCTGCCACTGGCGGGGATGCTCCGTTCGTGGCATGCTCGGACTGTTGACGCTTCGCTGCTGCAAGTTGGCTGTCCTATATTAGCACAATTGTCAGCATGAGAGTTTAAATGACTCCCGAGCCGCTAGATTGCGTCTCGGAAAGTTGGTGTTTCGTGTTCTACGCACGTCAAGCCCTGTCTCGGCAAAGTGGCGCTTAGCAGCCTTGGTCGCGTCCCTCTTCTTCTCTTTCTTGGGGGCTTTCTGCGGTCGTGTTTCGCCTTCACTGAACAGATCATCGGGAAGTTGGTAGCTAAGCTATTAGTGACCGATTTATGATCATAGATGTGGCTTCTTACTTGCGCGTGTGGACTACACGAACAGACATGGTCTTGTCATCGTAGCCATTGTTGGTTGTGACAATATTCCTAAAATCGCTCACAGGATAAGATATGTCGAGCGACTTGGTGCCATCTACACTTCATGTCAGTTGCGACTCAATGTTATGGGGCAAAGATGCAAGTACCTGGCTTCAGCTTGAGACCGACATAGAATGTCGTGGTATACATGATGCCTGATGGTGGTTCTTCGCCCGACGCCACAGTAGGAACCTCTGATGCTGGAATCTGGTGATCAGTGTTTCCTTGGATGATCTTGTCTGCCTCCTCTTCGTTCTCGTATCGGTGGACTCGGCTGATTCCCTTCATCCAGGGTCGCGCAATGTCAATGCCACACTGACCATCTTCAATGTTCTTGCACAACAGACGAAACTTGGATTGAACCAGACCAGAGAACGTAGAGTGCGCTTTCTCGGTGCGACTTGCCGCAACAACACTCAGGTAGTACTTGTGGTCCTTGGTGAAAAAGGTATGCTTGTTGAACAAGTCTTTCCATTGCTTTTTGCCCTCAAGGACCCCGCTCCCGCTGTTGATGAGCTGATCAGCCCTTTCGAACTCTTCCCTCATGACATCCAACGTTGAATGCATGATGGTATGTGTAGCACACATGGACGGGAACGCAGGCGTGATGATGGGCATCAAATGAGCCCGATCTCCGGGGTACTGTGTCGGATTCCACACTCGAAGATTCAGTGTGCCTTCCTCGATGTTCTTCAGCATGACAGGTCGTGGAAACGGCCATTTGCCCATTAACCTGAAGAACTTGGTGAGGATGGTGGCACCGCAAGCCATGGGATATAGCTGGCAGATGCGAGCAACCATGATAGCCCAGGCAATACCTCCTGGAAATCCAAATACAGCTCCGTATATGCCTCTTTGATTACTCCAGAGCTTCACCGCGCGCAAGGCATGTCGGAAGCTTTTGATCTGGGGTATCGACTGCATGAGCTCTAGCGTGACACGAGTGCCGTTCACACTGCGCATCGCTGTGTCATCAAGACCACGCAGCATGTTCTTATCCACACCCTCCAAGTCCTTCGGAATCTGCGTCATGGAGGGAAGTGAAACGAAGAGAAGATCGATGCTGACGCCTGAGTATTCCATCTTGATGAGCGGGACGAAAGCTTCAGGGACGGGGTTCATCTCGGTGATGAGTTTCTCGTCAGACATGCCTCTGAAGATGGTTTCGAAGTGATCGAAGTAGTCGTTGAGTGAGACTGATTTCGGCGCAACGATAAGTGTATCGATATCAGAGGCTGAGGCTAGCTGTCAGCTTCGCTTCTATGGGAGAAGTACTATGTATACTTACAAGGTCCGTGGACGCCAAGCGCGTAACTGCCAAAGCAGAAGATCTTCCCGCTCATGGTATCGATGGTCGATTGCGGCAGGCCTTTCAGCTTACCAACATGCTGGCAGAACTTGTTGACGACCTCTTGCATGTGCCGAAGCACGCGCACGCTATTCCGAATCAGCTGATTGCTCTAGGAGCATTGCAGGCTTTCCATACCGCGTGTCGGAACCTTCGGGGCTCTCAAAGACGTTCTGCCTCTTGAGCTCCTCGACGAGCTCGTCGTTCAGCTTTAGGTCGGCCGGCGATGGCTGCTGCGTCGAGATGGGCGCCGTAACGCCCCATTGTCTGGGCTGTGTTTCCGCCATGTCGGCGACTGGGTGGTGCTGCGAAGGAAGGGCGTTCTCGAAGCGCACTCGCGGCGGCGGGCTGGGCGCAAAGAAGATGGCAGCTGGCAGAAGCTACGTAATTGAAGGAGTGGGCGCTAGCGGCGTGATCCTGCGATGTTAGTACTGACGGTATGAGCGCTCCCACATGTCGACGCGACCTTTGGGTCTATGTGCAGCAAAAGGACGTAGTGAGGTTCGATGCTGCTTCTGTCTTTGGCGCAACCATCAGGCGCCAAGCTTGCACGCGCCACAACGCCTCACCGCGGTCACAACGCGTCCATGATGCCTGCAACACCATCATCACCGACTCAAGGCACATCATGGCGTTCAAACTTCCAGCGCATCTTACTTATAAGGCTGCAATTGCACTACTTCCGCCACCCAGCATCACGCCTCCGATTGAAGCTGTGCGTGCTGTTCACGACAAGAACTTCAAGAGGTGGCCGCCTCACATCAATCTGATCTATCCATTTCTTACATCACCACTGGAAATCTCTAACGGCAATGCACCTCGCCTGAATCAAACCATACAATCACGACTCGAGAGAGCCACCTCTAACATCAAAGCGTTTCAAGTTTCACTCAATGCTGACCCACCTGGCATGTTCACACACAGCAAGACAAGCAAAACTGTATGGCTTGGACCCACTCCTGATGAGAATGTCAAGCAGCTGCAGGCCGCATTGCAAGCCGAATTTGCTGAATGCGACAGCGACCATCGGGCATTCACACCTCATCTTTCTGTTGGCCAGGCACGGACTGACCAAGAAGCCGAGCAGCTCAGCAAAGAGATCAGTGAAGGCATCTCTAGTTTTTGCCAACCCCAAGACGGTGCGGCTACGAGTTTACGCTGGCTTGTTGATAAGGTCTATGTTATTGAACGGACAGGCTTCCATGGCAGATTTAAGGTTGTCGGCTCAGTGGACTTGACACAAGAACAACAAGCGTCTTGAATTTGCACACTACAGATAGGCGTCCAATGCCCAAGCAATCTTAGTTGTCCGCGAAGAACTGCTTCAGGTTCTCGTCGAGCCATTTGACGTCTTCAGTGCTTTGACCGGGGCCTGGATTTGTTAGCTTTGAGCGTACGCCCTTTGTGACGAACTCTTGCACTTACCGCCAGCCCAGTGGCCCCAAATGCTAGGGAACACCTTCAACGTCCCGATTCCAGGCCGCATGGCCTCGACCTCCAATTCCGAATCTTCCGGTGGGAAATAAAGATCTGTCTTCCCCGGCAGCACCAGTGCCCTAGCCTTGATACCTTGCATGGCCTTGGCCCAGTCGCCGTTGTATGGCTCCTGCTGCGAGCAATCACCGGCCTGCCAGGTATGCGCCATGGTAAGCATATTTTCTGGGTCCTTGGCTAGAGCCCATGCTTCCCAGAAGTTCACAAGAAAGTCATCCAGATTCTTGTATCCAAGTGAGGGCGCCGTCTCGTACAACTTCTCACGGTAAAATGCCTGCGAGAAGCCCCACCCAGCATACACACGGCCTAACGCCTTCAGTCCGATCTTTGTGTTCTCATCAGAAAACCCGGTGTACGACTTCAACCGCGCCCCTTGCGCATCTGCCGTGTCAACGTCCGCCTTTGCTACACCCGCTGAGCTCGTTCCTTTCGCGGCATACAGTGCGCTCTTGACACCTTCAAGGAACACCTGGTTATGCAGGCTTGTTTTCGCGCTTCCACAGAATGGTATGCCAAGATCCATGAAGTCCGGATATTGCGTCATCCATTGATACGTCTGCCCTGCACCCATGCTCCACCCAAGTACAGCGCGCGCATGCTTGACGCCGAGGTGCTTAGTGATGAGCTCGTACTGCGCACGCACATTGTCGTAGAAGAGAACCTCGGGGAAAGGTCGTAGATTGGGCGTGTTTGATGGCGATGAGGACTGAGAATTGCCGAAGAGCGCGGGAATGATTATGTAGTATTTGGATGGATCGAGGGTCTTGTCCGAGCCCGTAAGCCATAGGTTGTCTGCTATCACTATGCCGGGGTCAGTCGCATATTCGAAGAAAGGGCAAGGACAATACACACAACCGGAGTACCATGTTGGATAGACAATGGCAGGTAGGGAAGGGTCACCCAGGGTCTTGTATGCGATAAACGCATCAGGAATCTCCCCACCAGACTTCAGCTTGAAGTTCCCAAGCTTGTACGTCTCGTAGTCAGCCATGATCAATGCCGGAGATGAGAACCTTTGCCAATGGGCCTGTTATATTGATCACTCGAGTAGTCTTGTTGCAATGCGTTGCTGGTCTTATCGTGCGAGATTGTGTCACAATATTCGACAGAAGAAGTACCTAAACTGCAGGTTAAGGTTGACAGTGATGGCCGGCAGAGCAATCTCCGAAGTTGGCGCAAACAAGACCGATGTATATGTATGCGAGTATATCTAGATAGGCTAATTGACAAATGCCTGCTTCTGCTATCTTGGAACCGCCTTTAGTCTCCTGACCGTTCATCAAGCTGACTGATAGCTCCATAGCTTTGGTGGGGTAAAGATAGCTTAAGCTGCGGCGGGGTACCAACGCTGGTATCCGCCTGACGCGTACCTTCGGCTACATCATGATACCGGTCCTAAGCGTGCTGCAATCCTAGGCATGAAAGGAAAATTCACAAGTGGCGCGCGTTTTTGTCGGAGATACTTGCAAGGCCGCTTCTTAGAGCCATGCCGATGAAGATTGATACCTCATGACGTAGGATTGGCTTGTAGCTTGAAATGGTGTAGAGCGTGTGTGTGTTCCGCGGCTCGGAATTGTGTCCGCCGTGAGTTTCCGCCCTGCTAATGCCTCCATCTATCCTCCCCTAAGGCCGCTGAATAAGTATGAATCGCGTCATCACGTATAAGAGACTTAGCCGCCACATAGCAGTACCCAGAAATCGTCACTTTCGCACCAGCTCGCCCATCATGTCTGCTAAAGACTACGACGCTGCCAACACGAAGTACGACGCGGAAAAGGAGATCAAGCGCAACCCGCATGGCGATTTCAAAGCCGTCGAAGCCTCGCGCCCAGCTTTTGACCAAGCCACATCATTCCACTACACACAGACACCCAAACCAGACTGGAAGACTGGCTCAGGCGCAAATGATGGCTCCAATTCTTCGAAGGAACACCGCTCAATCGACCCTTACGAAGAAGGTCGCCCCGTAGTACACAATTACAAGCTGTTGATCAGCGCTGTTATTCCGCGACCCATTGGCTTCACGAGCACAATTAGTGCAGATGGAAAGAGCACGAATCTTGCGCCGTTCAGCTACTTCAACATGGTGAATCACGACCCACCGATTTTCGTCTTGGGTTTCGCAGGAGGAATGGACCGGGCAAAAGACACGCTGAAGAACCTGCTTGAGACCAAGGAAGCAGTCATCAACATCATTAGCGAGGAATACGTCGAGGCTGCGAATTTCACGTCGATCAACGCACCGGAGGGCGTGTCAGAGTGGTCCTTTTCTGGACTGACGCCGGAGAAGAGTAAGGTTGTCAGACCGGATAGAGTCAAGGAGGCTGTATTCAGCGTCGAGGTGAAGCTAGTGGAGACGCGGGAGTGGACGAGCAAGAGCCCCAGTACACCAGGCAAGAAGACCGGCGTTACAGCTCTGCTCGAAGGCGTCAACTTCTGGGTGCGCGAGGATGCGATTGATGAGCAGGGTGTGCTTATTGATCCAGCGGTGTCGAAGCCGATTAGCAGGCTAGGTGGCATTACATATGCGAGGACGACGCAGGCATTCGAGCTCCCAAGGCCGGATTACGGCGAGATCACCAAGGATCCGGAGGTCGAGAAGTTGGTGCAGCCAAAGGGAAAGGGCCAAGAGTAGGTATCGACCTCAACAATTGACCGAGGATTCTGACTTGTCCAAGCTCGCGGGGCAAGCTGTGAGAGGTGTGTCGATTGCGCTGTGTACTTAGACATGATATTCTATACAACGTTAGATGCAAAACAAGAAGATTATGTCGCAACGTACCTCTGTCTCCTTTAAACGTTCACTAGATATACAGATCCTCAAGGAAAGACCCTCGCTGGCACATGGAATGTGACTCGCCGCCGCAAAGGAACCGTGCAACATGGCTTCAACGTCTTGTCACACAGCAACAGTAGATCATGCATGGCTGTAGCGATACCAACATTTGCACATGGAAATACAGACATCTGTAGAGCTCCAGCAGATAGCAGACACGTCGACACTGTACTGCATCGCGAGTGTGGAGATGCAGCCGAACTCCGCAGACCGCAGCTCCATTTGTGTCTTGCACGCCAATCGGACAGCGACCGTTCTGCGCAAGTCAGCGACCGCGCAGCACGCAATACGGCTCGAGCAGTCGAACGGTCGGCAAGCGCAGCGGGCATCATCGCTGCTGCAGCCTCAGATAAGGACCCTGGGCCCTGTGCAAATGCGGCGCTCCAAAACCGGAGATGAAAGCGTCAATAAGGCTTTCGCACGACTTCCCATCCTTCGCTGGACCCTCAGCCTCCTTACGGGAAAACAACAACAGCTCAAGCAGGCGGGCGGAGAAATGGGCGCTCGCTAACCCACCACACCTTACCGCAAGTTTCTTAGATCTGCTGTCGCAATGCACCGAGGTGGGCCTTGTCCCGGCAGTGGTGCGCCTAGAGCCCAACGCGCACCTCCATCACCAGACTCGTGTGCCGCGTCCGACATCGAGACGCATCTAAAAAACGAAGCCGTCTGCAATGAATATTACACCGACATCTCCAGTCTAGCACTCAACTTTGTGCCTTGTCCGTTTGTCTCCAGTTGCCCTAGCATTGGCAAGTCGAAAAAGAAGAGGAAGAAGATGGACTCGAGTGCGGGGCCGAGGCGGTTCTCCACAAGCGGCGAGGAAAGAGTTGGATTGTTGTCCGAGGCCAGGAAGTTGAGCCAGCAGTACGGCACCCTGCCCGATGCGAGTGAGTTGGAAAGGCTCGTCAGCCCCAATGGAACAGTCGAGTTGCATACGACTGCAGGCACAGAGGCCAGGATCTTGTTCAAGAGCAGTATCCCGCTGATGCTCACGTACTTGCTACAGTACAACTTCAGCCTGGTGACAATCTTCGTGGTGGGCCACATTGGGACGGACGAACTGGGTGCCGTGAGTCTGGCCAGCATGACAGCCAACATCACGGGATTGGCGGTGTATGAAGGGTTGGCGACGAGCCTAGACACGCTGTGCGCGCAGGCGTATGGGAGTGGGAGGAAGACACTAGTGGGCCTGCACCTGCAGCGCATGTGTATGTTCATGTTGCTGGTGACCGTCCCTATTGGAGCCCTCTGGTTGACCTCGGGATGGATTCTCGCAGCTCTGGTTCCTGAGAAAGAGTTGGCACATCTTGCGGGGAAGTACTTGTCGCTCCTCCTCTTAGGCGCCCCGGGCTACGCCATCTTTGAAGCTGGTAAACGCTTCACGCAAGCCCAAGGCCTCTTCAATGCCTCTCTTTTTGTGCTCCTCATTGCAACACCCATCAATATCGTCCTCAACTACGTCTTCGTCTTCGTGCTGGACTGGGATCTGACTGGCGCAGCCCTCGCAACTGTTGTATCCAACAACCTCCTTCCCTTGTTGCTCTGGGTCTACGTCTACTTCATCAATCCCTCGTCGCTCGAATGCTGGGGCGGCTTTTCGAAGGCCGCCTTTTCAAACTGGGGCCCGATGGCCAAACTTGCCGTTCCCGGTATCGTCATGGTTGAGACGGAATGGCTGGCATTTGACATCCTGACGTTCTCATCTTCCTATCTTTCCACTGCGCATCTCGCCGCGCAGAGCATCGTCATGACCATGGCTGTATCGATCTACCACATCCCCTTCGCCGTCGGCGTCGCCGTCTCCACACGCCTGGGCAACCTGATTGGCGCCGGCAGCCTCAGGGCAGCGCGGATAGCAACGAAATGCTACATCCTGACCTTCCTCGCCATCGGCATTATCGACTGTATTGTCCTCGCGGCCTGCAAGAATGTGCTGCCCAAGGCTTTCACCACAGACCCCGAGGTCCGGGAAATTGTCTCCACGGTCTTGCCACTGCTAGCAGTCTTCCAGTTCTGCGACTCGACGACGGCGCTGGTCAACGCGCTGTTGCGGGGCTTGGGCAAGCAGGCGATTGGCGGTTGGTGTAATCTTTTCGTGTACTACGTTATCGCGGTGCCCTTGGCGCTGGCGTTGTGTTTTCCCGCCGACTGGAAATTGCTGGGCTTGTGGACGGGATGTGCAGTAGGAAGCAGCTGTATTAGCATTACAGAAGGCATATACATCAAGTTCTACAATTGGGAGCATGCGATTGAAGAGGCTAGGGGAAGGGAGGAGTAAGGGAGTTTCTTTTGTTGTGGGACATCGAGGGTTGGTTAGTTTAAGTCCGCTTGAGGTCGCAAGAGGGGTCATTAGTAATGTGTACTCGAACGCATAGCGAGCGACGATTTCTACGTAATAGAAGACTTTCCAGAGATCGTGTCAGATTGCATCGCACGTCCGACCAGCCGCTTCCCAAAATGCAACACTAGACAAGAAGGATGATAGACCTTATGAGATCTCTTTCTTTGGCATGCGTGCGCTCGAACGGGGTCATATGTCAGCAGTTCTCAGCTTGTTAGTTACGATTAAAATAATCAGGATCCTACAAAAGTGTCCAGTGGCTGTAGCCTTCGACGTTGAAAGCTGAGTATGGCGAGTCGGCGCGTCACAACTGCCCATCACTACGAGCACGCAATAATAACGCAATGAGGCAATCTAATGGTATTCACGTTCAAGAAAAACAAATATACGTCTTGAAGCGCACAGGAATTTGGTGACGAGACCGTGTGGCCCTGAGCGTGAGGAGGAGGCAGAAACGTGGCAAGAGGGTAGACCGTAGACAGAGCAGGGGGTGTAAAACGGAAGCGCAGACAGCGTGCGAACAGCATCCGCGCGTGGTCATGGGCCCTGCTACATTTTGTGGCTTGAAGTCGTGCGCCAAGATGTACTTCGTATAAACGTATGGTGAAGACAAAAAGCAACGTAGGTGTCGAATCCGTCGATGTGCATTAGCTCAAAATCTACTGTAAGTTTCGCCGGATGTCAAAGCGTGGTGGATACTCGACGACCTATAGTTGCCAACGAGATTGATTGAGCTTCCCAAAAAGCACATGTACTGTGTAAACGATGCGCTTGGGTTCGGGATGAGCTGTAAGACATAAGCAAAGGATCATGTGTCAGATTCTTTACAGCGCAGGACATCGGATTTGTGGTGATTCATGTTTCGTTTTTTGATTTGGTGGTCTGGATCAGCTATATCCGGATAGCCGACCTCACGGTACCTGATCTAAAATCGATGTTCTTGTCAAACGTGACAGCCGCCGATATCTATGCGTAGATAGGATGGTCACTCTGTCGGCAAGAATATTGTCAGCTCCAGCTCTTACAGCTAGTATCGGTGGGCCTGATCTGTAGGATGATTACATTTGATAGAGTAGGTCAAGATGCAGTAGCACACGGGGATAATGTAGGTAGGAGGTGGCTGGGGACCGGGGTGTAGGCTGCTATGGCATCTTCAAGCGACCAGTCCGCAGGCCTGCATGAGAATGCGAGGCGTGGTGGAGCTGATGAGAGTTGAGTGGTCGGTATCTCCGTGAGCTTTGACCTGCAGATGCTGCAACTTCCCGGTCCCTGATCGCAGCGCTAGTATAGACGCGGCCTAGTGATGTAACCGCTCTTCAACGTCAATCCATCGCTCACGTTCCACAACCTCAATCATCTGCAACTTCACGCACGTCCCCTCTTCATCTCAACATCGTACGCCTCTTGGGAATGCTGAAACGAAGGCGGACGAGGGGTCCCGAACGGTCAGGCGCATCGGTTATGCGGATCACTCACTCACGCGCCGGAAGAGGTGGAGATGGCTTTCAACAAATGTGGATCGTTAATCATTACCTCATACATTACGTGCATACATGCAAACAAACTATAGTACAGGAATAACGTTGCCTAGGCAAATGCAGTACGATCAAGAAAATGCAAGCCAAAGAACCTCCGACAAACCGAAATGATGGGATTTTGTACAACAGCGGCCGGGACGATCAGTCACTTGCGAAGCAAAGGACTGACAATCAGCCCTGAGGTGATTTGCCACGGCCTCTCAAAGGCGGCTGCGGATCTTGCGCTCCTTGCGAGTGACGTGCGCCCTGTCGCTGTCACTGTCCAGGGAGTACTCGTCTCCGCATGCTTTCTTGTAGGCTTTCTCGAGGAACTCAATATGCTTCGCGTCATCGGCGTACTTGATCATCTCCACAAAGGGCAATCTGGGGTTGCGGCCATCCTTCTTACCAGGAATACGGATGTGTGTAGTCCCGTGCTGCCAGTAGTTGTCGCGACGGTCGAAGACCTTGGTGCAGTTGTCGACTCTGCACTCATGCTCCTTGACACCGAGATGGATCCGTTGGTGTCGCTTGAGATGTTCTGGCCTCTTGAACCTGCTGGTACAATCGGCATACTCGCAATATTTCCACTCGACGGTGGGGCCACCGATAGGCTCCCGCTTGCCAGTGTGAGGGTTGAGCTCGTACCCTTCGACGTCGATGTGGCCGTCATGCGAACGGCTGAAGACAAGCTGGGACTTGGACTTTGAGTTTCGCCTCTTAGTGATGCCATTACGCTGGCGCTCCTTCTTGACAGTCTTACCACCCTTGGGCGAAACGTAGATTGACCGCGTGAACTTCTCCTCTGTCTCGGAGGACTCAAGCTCTTGCTTGACTTGGACCTCCTGTGGCGAAGGAGGGAGTGTCATGGGCGCGTTGTCATGGGGAGATGCTGCAAACGACATTGGCGCGTTGTCAAAAACTTCTGTCTCCATGAATGGGCTTCGGTCGTTGTCCTCGACGAAGCCGTAGTCTTCGTCACCGACCAAGGCGTCGGCCGGAGCGATAGTCTGACCCACCATTGCGTGAGGGCTTGGTACCTGTGTTTGCCAGAACGACTGCTGTCCAGTCATCCCATAGTCCAGCTCAGCATGGTCAGGAGCAGTGGAGAAACTCCAGTTGGCGCTGGACGACGGTGGTGTAAGACTGTCGGACCCAGAGAAGGAGCTCATTTGAGACGGGAGATACCCCGCATCCGAGGAGATGGTATCCTGCATCCGGAGAGGCATTTCGATGCTGCTGGAAGGCATAGCCCAGTCGTTACAGAAGGATTCCGTGCTTGACGTCTTCATCGGGATTCCCACAGTCCCTAACGGCAGGGCATGGCGGAGTCCCGACATTGGTTGGAAGTTACTGAACGGGCTGACATGCCAGCTCGCCTCCGAGAACGGACTTCGTTCCGAGGTGGGCGTAGGTACCGAATACTCAGAAGCTGACAGCGACACGATAGAGCCCCTTCGCTCGTCTAGCCCGCTGTAAGGCGAGGGAGGGGTCAAGAATCCTGTATATGGACCAAATCCTGGAGACATTTGTGGTGTATCGCGCGATACTCCCCGACGGTATCTTCCAGTTCCGGAGTTCATCATGGTGCTTCAGAGGCTATACTTTGTCAGTCAAACCCCGTGCCGACGAAGCAAGATATCATACTTGTAGTGCGAGACTGTTGTTGAGAGAGAGGTCGATGAAATCTTGTGGTCTCTGTAGATGATTGCTTTGATAAGAAGATGGGAGTTCGAGCGGATTTATGAATCAGGGTCCAGGGTAGCGAGACCGAGATCATACGGCGGCGGAAATGCGGGAACTTCTCACTAACGTCTGTGGTACATTTACACAAGCTAGAGGAGGTCGCGAACGTTGTGGAGGCAGGGCTTTGGAATGGCGTGTAGTCTTGCCTCAACCGTACCGATGGAATTTTAGGTGAACAACACTGAGGAAGCTTTAGACCGGATTGTGGTACGACTGCAAGGGGCCTGGGCTCGATTTCAGGCACATTAGCCGTAAAACCAACCTCAGATCGGCTGGTGTAGGTGCACGACAGTCCTACGACGGGAGCGGTAGATATGCAGTATGCATGTACACAGACAGGCAGCCTTGCAGACAGCTAAACGTGCTCATGGGTACTGCGATAGGCGTCCTGGGCTTGTAGCGCGCTGTAACCTGACAGACTGGCAAGCGCCTCTCGTTGGGATGGAACCTCAGGACCCTACCATGGGGAATGCGCCATTGACAAGACGTCAGCTCGCTTCGGATTCCATTATCATCAGCACACCTACACTGGGGGCCACAAGCCTCAGAAGACCCGCGTAAAACTACGCTTTCGAACCTCAATACTGTCTTATGGGCTTTACGTCTGCTGTTACGCGAATCGTCTGGCGGAAGCTGTAAGCCCATCCGCCCAGGAATGTCTCTAGTGACCTGCGCTCCTGCGCTGGCCAGATCTGGATTAGTTGGTGGAGAAACGACAATGTTGTACAACGAAACCCGCCCCGATCAGGTCGATCTTTCTGGCCGAAGTCTCGCGGTGATGTCGAGACGAAGTACATCGGACTTGCTAGATGGCACCACAATACCCCTCATCGGTATAAGTGTCACGGTGTAAATTCTGACTGGCTGATCGCTACACGATGCTTCTCTAATATCATGCTGCCGATACATGCCCAAACTCACACCTTGGCTTTCTTGAAAACAGTCACATCAGAGCTATTGAGACCATTTGACCGGCTATTGTTGGTTGTTTTCTGCAAAAGAAGCGATGGGCATGCGAATGCTGGGGACGTTGTGTTACACGACGTCAGAGACGGCAGAGCAACTAGGCCCACCAGAACTAATCGTTGCAAAATCTTTGGGCTAAACAAGCCACTTGCCGCAGCTGTGTCATAGGCTGCTTCAGAATCTGCAACTCCTGCGCTGCATTGCAGAGAGTCTGTAGCCTAAACAGGTGAGTGATGGTCAGTTCCATCTGCGGACCAACACACTCCGCCGTCTGCAGTCTCGGCAGTAGCAGGGCTGAACGTTGCCCAGAAGAATTCGTTCGAGATGTTGTCTTTAGTCAAGACATAACTCAAACGGGCAATTATCATTGGTCTCCGTCAATTTTAGCGGTGCATTGTTGCCATCCACAAAATATCAAGATCCAAGTCCGGTAGCTGATCACGGCAGGCTACTGGATCTTACGGCACCTTGCATATCTCCGAAAAAGCCAGATTTGAGGGACTACGGGTATCAGCCAAAGTTTATCGCTCGAACGGCATAGCCTGCTCTAAGTTATGCATAGCAGGGGGTAAATCCAGCGATACGCTCAACATCCGCTGATGTGGATCATCAATATTGGTGTCTGTGCGACGAGCGTTGCCATCTTTCCAGGCTATACTTCTCGCGCTACCCAAATCCCAACGGTACGAACGACCCCACAGCCAGTATGACGTGCATGACAACGCATGGAAAGCACTGGTCAGCCCGACTACAGCACCACGTCAGGTTGGATGCCAAGATTCAGCATTGGTCAAAAGTCTCCATCTGCGAGTCTGTGTAACCTGTCCTGATGCCGAAAGAGGAGAGCTTGCGCAAAAGAGCAGGCTTTCTAGACACCTCCTACCATTTCCGACCAGGAGCAGGAAGATGACCCGGATCAGTGAGGCTTCAGTTCTTGGTCTACGGATAAGATCCTGCGGGTTCAAGTGCATTGATACACGCAGTTTCGCTCGTGGTCAGGACGAACTTCACCAGTGACGCATGCCAGACTCGCCGAGAGACCTAGCCGCGGACATTATCCGAATCAACGTCGATACGAGTCTCACATTCGCACAGGATGTATGCGAGCTCGTTTCGAGTTTTCCTGATAGACATGAAGTCAACACGTAAGACGCAATCGCGGGACTCTGGGCAGCTACCCCGGTACATGCAGGGTGAGCTAGCGCGAAGACTTCCCCTGCCAGGGCTACCTCCAGACTTCGTCGTCGCGTCGGCTCCGCGCGTCTCAGAAAGGGGCGCTTCTCCAAACACTCGCGCGTATACTGAACAAATCACTTCCGGATATAACACAGCATGAGAAAACTGCGTGATTGGGTCCATTTGCCTCCAACCTCGCTTGAGACGTTCTTCATTCCAGTCGTTCCATGTGAGGTACGGATGAACTGATGGCCTCTGCCGCCTCGGAGCATTGGCATGCATGCAATCAAGAAGACAGTGCAACGAAGTCCGGTTTCCAGTCAGTTTTTAGATCTCAATGACCCGAAATCTTAACAGAATCCTTCCTGCGGTGGCATGATGTTCTCTAGGCGGCATGCTCCGTGACCCGCATTACTGCCATTCTCACTTAGACATGCTGCCTCTGAGGATAGCAAAGATCGTCAGGCAGAGTGTCTGCGACGCAACCCAGCTGCTCTTTCCTATTGTTCAATGCTGTACAAATGATATGCGCGACATAGCATGCATGCATTGCAGTAAGGGCAACCGGCGAACAGTGCGTTCGCATCAACGGCTTCACACGCAAGCCAAGGTACCATGTACCTCCATTGCCTAACCTATTACCTTCATTTGTGCAACGATCGGCGGCAGTGGTGAGGGGATGAATGGGTCTCGGCTTCTCAATGCCCAGGTGGATCAATTGGCAACTTGGAGATCCGCCGTTGAGAGTGGTATGTGCGTTCCGTGGAGCTACCGCAGGTACCTGACACATCAGCTACTAGCCTCGCATGCGACAGCTAGTGGGGACACGATGCTGTCGTTACGCTGCGGGCCGCTCCAACTCAGGGTGTGCTCGGCCCCCCGAACATATGCGAAGTGACAGGACTTCGTCGCCGCTCTCAGACCACCGCCAAACGGATTCCCCGGTATCCCAGTTTTCTCAGTCTTTCGCTCTCGCACTTTTCATTCGGGTCTAGATACATTCCTCGCTTGGTCTACCATGAGGGTGACCTGCCTATACCCCACTCAGCATTCTTCTCAACGGCAAGCACATGAAGCTGGTGAAGCCTCATGTCATACACGAGATAGATCGATCATCAAGCCAGAAGGCCAAGAGTAGCCGATGACGATCGATCTCTCCGTCTCCAACACGGCGTCACTCACGGGAACTCAGAGCATGTCTTGCGCCAACCTGCAGCTCTGAACGTTCAAACAACCCTTGGTCCAGACATCTAGCTAGCCATTGAAATTCACGTCTTTAATGCCTAGCTATGAGCGGGCCCTGGCGAAGTCGACATACTAGGACCATTTAGACCCTGCGGAACGACCACGAGGAGCTCGAGCCGATATCCCCTACCTGAATCGTCAGCATGGCATATGGGAAATCCACCACTTGCCCATGTTCGTCATTTTAGGTTCCGGAGTTGCGTCCGAAAATGCATGAGGAAAAGCCGTTAACTGTGCAACCAACCTCATGAGGAAGGCCCGATTACACCAGCTGAGCGGCTCGTGATGGGCCAGGCAATGCGGTCTTCTGCTTTGAGGACGTTTTGGCAGATTTCATGAGACCCTTGACCTATCAAGAGTGATGCATCATGTCCACGGTCTCTCAAACGACGTTTCCCCAGCCATGTGACGTAGCGAGCCTCACGGCTATGCACGACATACTTGCTTTGTGCTCTGGTAGGAAAGGGCACATGCTGAGATGCCATCATAGGCGCTTTACCAACACACACATGGTTTGGTCGGTACCTCTGGTTCAAGTTGAAAGACATCGACAGACTGTGGCGGACCGGTCAGCTCGTTACGACGATCGGTCGTTCAACATTAGCAAACTTCTTACGCCTCTCAGCACTCGAACAACAGTCCCTTCCGAGAATATCCCCATCCGGTTGATACGATTTTGCGGATCTTCCCGCCGTGTCCTACGGTATTGTCCTCGAGGTTTCTCCGGACCGAATCAGGCTCTACAACTCCACTTACGCCGCTACTCACGCATTCTGTTAATGCGGTGCAACTATTTGTATCTATCAACATGGATGTTGCCTCTCGTTGGTTTCGAACGCAGCTTCAACTGCCGAGGCCCAGTTCTAACAAGCTGACTTCTCTTCTGAAGAATGTTTCACGTTAAAAAAATAAACATCCATCCGAAAGACGACCTGATCGGAACGGGCCTGCGGGACTTCCGGTGGAAGTCAATTGTAAATTGTGAGAGGGATGGGTTGCACCGTCCACATGGTGAAAATTCGGTACCTTGCGCCTCAACATAGAATCACTGACATCTGTCATTTTCCATTCAGTGACAGCGGGATCGTTCACGTCTACTTGATCCCAAGCTCTAGGGGTACGGTTTGTCAGAATGATGCACGGCTAGTGTCCCAACTCAAAGTTTGTGTACCACCACTCAATTTCGTAACGTCACCGCAATAGCACAGACTCAATTGGCTCCGCGGCCAGCCCTCTGTCGTATCCTATCACTAGCCATGTGCACGTCCTGAGTACCATCATGTCCGGCAGAAGTTGCGGGACTTAGATTACGCACATTCATACCAGGGCTTTTGGCTCACTAATTCTAGTATGCTTTGCATGAATTGCATACTCCAGTACACCGATCGCGCACAACTAGCTGTGCCGTCTGTGGCTTTGCATGACAACCCCGCTTTTCTAGCTACTCGCCTGTTGATCTACTAGTAACCAATTGTCACGTCTTTAGCAATCCAGCGAATTCCACACACCGATGATAATGGGGGGAGACGGCAGCAGATCCGTAATCATGAGCCAAAGTCTAGGTATCAGCAAACTTGGCAGATGCTAGTCGTTTTGGAATGTTGAATTGCACAACATGATCATTTGCATCTGACCGTTAGTCAGAGGTTCCTATCAAAGCCGTGGACAATCTTCTTACCTTAGCTGTGGATCTACACCATTCATGCATGTTGTACAATTAGATACCGTACAGAAGAGCCAAGTCGATATCATCATGGGTCATATCGGACCGTGTACATTTCCATCAATCGGAAGGTGATGTTAGTTTCATTCATGCGTGAGAAAAGCAAACTATGTTGATGAACAAAGTATCGGGTCCGGCCAAACTTTGGAAATGCCTCCTCGTATTCGTGTTGAGTTGGCGCCGCCTGTGCATTTCACCGTGCACGTCCGGGTGGAACGGATGCATATATTATATCATACACTGGAGGATTTGTATCATCTATGACTGCAACACTAGACCTTGACACGAATGTGTACAGTCGAGACGGGTCTGGAATGGTAAAGTTGAGACGGGATATGCTGTGAAAGCAAACACAGAAATGATGAACACAAGATGGCACTTAAGGTTGCCGGAATATGGTACGATATTCTGGTAGACCAAACTGCGGCACACGTCTACAGTCGCACATAAGCGCTCGGTATTGCTCAACAACGCACACAGAGGACCGCGCCGGATAGGCCGGATGATGGTCGGCACGAAAGGCAGACAAATTTTCATTGGAAACAATCAAGTCTCTAAGAGCGATTCCCGCTCCTACGCCTCTTTTTGAGCACGTCTAGGCCGTATCTTTTACAGAAGCAAGACTCTATGATGCTAGATGTAAACACATTCCCGATATTTCCCATGACATACTGTTCAAATTTTGCAGATTACCTAGCTTAAGTGTAGGTGTATCCAAAGGGCATACCAGACTTCATGATCATCTTGACCGGCTACTCCCAAAGAGAGTATGAGTCATTCTATTGAGAGAAGTGGTCACAGATTCACGCTCAAATCTGTGCCTATTCCCGTGGGGCCTGTGTGGATATGTGACTTGACAAGGAAAGATACTATGTCCTCATTCAAGTTTTCTTGCGACCCAGAAGACTGGGCGGTATGTGTTCTGTAGCATGCTTCTAGGATTCGAAATATATCCTGTCTCCGGAGTGCTAGTTTCTTGCCTCTCGATCTTGAGCCCCATGTGCTCAACCAAAGCCATGACTTCGTCATTTGTCAGCTCTATCGAGCCGGGATCGCCAATTCCCGCATCATGAACGTGAGTATGTTCATACTCCTCCTCGGTATCGGTAGCTCTGCCTGGTCCTCGAGGTGCTTGATGCCAAAGTAAGGGCCCAAGATTGACCCAAATACCACCTGGTTTAAGGCAGTTGCGAACAGTTTCAATGTATCGCATTATGTTGGGTGCCGTGTCGATGAAGAAAACAGTAGCAACGACGTCGAACGTGCCTTCATGATCTGGTGAGCTGTATAGAACACAGAAGTCCCCTGTGGCCATGCTCATCCTTTCGTCCACAGGAACTTTTGAGCTTTGCCCCGTTGCCAGGATAGTACCTGGGTGTATATCTGGAACTGAGAATGTCTGGAACTGATCGCTACGTGAGAGATGATTCGAGCAGCCGAGTGCGAAAGGAGCGATAGTGAACTGGTCGGCCTTCTTAATGTGGTTTAGGACCAGAGAGCTTGCCATCAGTTCATGGTATGAGATCTCATTTCCTTCAACACTGAAGCCAGCTTGGCAGATGTCGAAGACAGAACGACCCAGTCCTGCGCCGGGTACTAAGACTCTCAAGTCTGATCTCTCCAGCCCAGGTGTGGATATCAGTCTGGTTTTATACTCTGCATCCAAGGCCTTTAACACGGGCCCGAAGCATCTCTCTCTTTCCACATTTCCAGCAGCACTCCAGTCTCGGTAAAATTGATTGATACAGCTCCTTGCTTTGTCCATGTCACTCTGTGTCGTATGTACGTCCAAGTGATCCATGACTATTGAGTAGATCTGATACTCATCACGAGCATATTTTTCAGGCACGATTGACGCCACCCAATTACTGTCGATCGTTGGAGCAATGAATCCCTTAAAACCGGCCATGAATATAGCTTCAGCAAGCTCAGCATTTTTGTCGATGAGGTCGTCCATTTTATTAAAAGAGTCTAGAACCGAGAATGGTGGCTTTGATAGCAGCGTCCAGTGTTCTTGAGGTAAGGAGTAAAATGCTTGTCGTCGAACATGCGTGCCATTGAAGTGCGCTAGACGTCGGTATGACCTGTGACAGATTGGCCCTGATGATACAAGTTGAATGACGAACTACCTACCGGAATGAATCCAGCACTGAAAGCAGATGTTTCTTTTCATCCGGATCTGAGAGGGGGTCGAAGTCTCCTTCCCATTCTGTTGTCTCCATCTTGGGACACATATCTTGACGTATGATACACGAGATTGGAACCACGTTAAGAACTCGGAACGAGTTAGAATTGTTGTTGTTCTTGGATCCTATGCGGGTCCAAAATTGCGTAGGAGAATTGAAAGCGTGGGATAGATATCTCGGTACGTGTCCGTGCGTCAGGTGGGGTGAATCAAGCTCACCCACACCAGCAACGCGACACACTCACACAACACAATGACTACCACGGTAGCCAACAGTGACGCATCGCACACGCCTATCGAGATCTCGGTACCCCTCCCCAAAGCTCCACGAACAGACATCAATCTCCGGCTCCACGATAACGGGCCAAACATCACGCTCTTCCTCACCACATCCACTCCTGATGCAGCGGCTTCAGTACCTCTAGGATCGCTGGTGTATGCTATGCCAAATGTACGTGCACGCGAACCTTGCTGCTGCTGCGTTCTAGCCAAGGCTGACGTCGTACTACAGAGAGCTATACCGAGCCAGCCTCTTAGCACACCACTCTTCACGCACAGCGCAACCATCGACTTCACGACACGGCTCTCGAAGGTACTCGCGCGCAGAACTGGCAAGCCAATCTACGTTAGCAGCTCGATGAGTTTCGCGAATGCCGGCATGGGAGGTACCGTCGAGGAGGAGATGGAAGGTTTCAGACGTGTCGTTGAAACCGTCATGGGAGCACTAGACAAGAAGGACGAAACGATGAAGTGAATAGAAGAGCGAGAAACGTGACAGACGTCAACATAAGCTGGGAAACTCTATGAAGGATGGTCATCCCACCTGTGCCACCCAATGACACCAATAAAAGAGCAGCAGGCGCCTCCGCTCCTCTTACGTGCGACGACAATTATCTAGGAAAATTCGCAAGGAAACCTCACCGTCGAAGGCCATTTGAAGCCCGGAACAAATTTCGACAAAGAAAGCACGTGTTGCAAGGGCATAAACCAGTTATAGAGTCAAAGACACGACGCATTCCTCGAGACGTTTGGTATTGGACGACTAGCTATTCGATCTTCTGCACACTCGAGCCTGTGGCTTTGCCTTTCCTATAACATGAGGCCAGTGTCTTGTTGCTACATGGACGCTTTACATTCCTTCAAGACGCTCCTTGGCGGACTGCTTCGCCTCCTCAGAACTGTTGGGGTTGTTGATGGTAGCCTTGAGACCACCAGCGACGTTGTTAGGGTTCTTGTCACTATCGTCCTTGCCAGCAGAGGCGAAGTCGCCAGAATCGAGAACCTATGGAGGTCAATGTCCATTCTCAGCAAGACGACCACAAACTTACCTCGCGGCTATGCTGCTTGGACTCTTCAGAGGTGTTTGGGTTGTTGATGTTTGCCTTGTGGCCACCGGCAATCTGAGCGTCTGTAGGCATGTTGGTGGATCTGTGCTTGGGGGGTATTAAGAAGCTAAAAGGTCTGACACAGTTGACAGTGGAGCTGAAGAGTTGTTGATTGATGATGGATACAAGAGGAAGGAAAGCTGGATACTTATAGACTTTTGGGCATCTCAAAGTGTCTCTTCTTGCAGCTCGTCATCTTTTACGACTACGTCAATGATCGAGGCTTCTCGACAATCGGCAGCCCATGGTCAAGCGCAATCCAGCGATCAATTTGCTTTGCCGTCTCCACAGTCTCATGAGGCCTGCGCGTTGACAAAGGCAGGCAATTTTGCTAGCCCGTTGTAGCAGATGGAGAGATCACTACAATTCGACCCTGTCCTGGCTACCGAAGGTTATCTAAGCATCGGTGTAGACAAGAACCAATTGCAATGACTGAACACGAGAAATTCGAATACCACGCACAGATAGACGGTTGGACAACAGGGTTCCCTGTGCCTAGCAGTTTGGTACGCTATGTCGATCCATTCAGACGTCAAGATCACACTAAATTCTGCATACGTGGGTTCGAGGTATGAGGATGTATCTGGCATGGCCTTCAAGGCTCGAATGCGTGGGACTACTCGGAGAGTATGCGCGCTCAAAGGACTAGCCCAGTCAATCACTGTATTTGCTCCATGCCTCAGCAGGATTGTCGCGAAGCGGAGATTGCACAGTCGTTGGGGTGCACAATAATACCTATGATGTCACATCAAGTCAATAATCGTGACTTCGTGACAACGTGTTACGCGTCTAGCGCGACGGGCAGCTCGGTGCCAAAGATTACCCCTCGATTCCCTGAGTTTGTCAATTCGGCGAGGATCCGTGCACCAAAGAGTGTCTGGTACCTATGCTATCCGATGATGAAATTGGGAATTTTGAAACGTCATGACATTTTGCAATGAGCCATCCCTTGCACATTCGCAATGAGCCACTGCACTGAGCATCGTTGACGTTCTTTTACATCTACAATTCAGAAAAACTTGGTCGTCTCAAATCTATCAGTCACATATGCGCCGTCTCACGGCGACCGCATAACGGGCGATAAGTAGCCTATTACGTTCGTGACACGTTTACAAAATGGCCAGACCGAGTGACAAAGCAATGGAACACAGTGCCCTCTACATCTGTGGATTTACGATCAAGGCGGCAAGAAGTTGATTATGAAGTCGTTTGATTACAAAGTCGTGGCTCTTGAGAGCTTGGTCTATTCGCTGAGTTGCGTGGGTATCTTTTAATTCTAACGTTCCTCTTAGAAAGTGCTGTCGCCAGGCAAAAGCCGTGTTGTGCCGTGCCATGACACTTCCACCATCTCACTCATACATGATGACTCGTCCGCCAAGTACACATCCTCGACCACCTCATTTTAGGCGGCGACGCTCGAGCCGGAACTCTGCCGTGCGAGCCAATAGCTCAAGCACGACGTTCCAGGCGTGCATCCAGCCGACTAGAACCGCCCTTCCGCCCTTTCCATCCTCCACTATGCAGACCAGAGTCCTAGGGCTAAACTGTGTTGAACCATGAAGTACCTCTTGCAGAGCACCTAAACAGGGTGTTGTCTCAAGGGTAAATTCACTGCTACGAGTCCTAGTTTAGAAGATCCCACGCCTCTAGCTGGCTGTCAGAGTCATCATCGTTTGAGTGGTGTTTATACGGCAAGCGTTTGCCGCCATAAGCGTCACGGGTGTAAGCCGCGCGAAATATGTTGAGTAGAGTGACTGTGTCGCTGGAAGCAGACACAAGGCAACAGGCTCGGATCCGCAATGGGTGTAGTCATTATGTGTAACTTCGTACTGATTTCGATGGCAACAGGTGATTGAGAGGAGAGAGTAAATGATGAAGGGGAGATGTGCTCTGAAAACGTGAAAGGGAAACCATCATGGATATCCAAAGTCATCGTAGCCATCGAAAAGGTCTGTTACCACCTTCATCATTGGTTCAAAGAGACTCGCTTCGTCCCCCGGCTCACCGCCGAAGACACGAAGCTGGTGAGACTCTACTGCTTTTGCTCTCTCCTGCTCGAATCGAAGTCGATTCTGCCATGAGAAATATGTTTGGTGCCAGTGGTCTGCGGAGACGTTTGCGATGGGCGCATGCGATGGCTGATAAGAAGATATAACTGTGGACTGCGAAGAAAGGGTATCGATCGAATTACTCCGGAAATGCTGAACGGTTTGATCTGTGTTGTTGCCATCACGATGGCGAGGACGACTCCTTGTGCGTTTTCTGTTGTGTCGTTTCCCCATGTTGAAATGTGTTGTGATTTTTTTTTTGGTTATTCAGAGGTAACAGAGAGATGAAAAGCAACAAAAGGCAACGAAAAGTCGCCCCGCAAAGCGAAGACTCCTGATAGTGGAGTGATGAACAGGAGACAGCCTCAGCCTATATATACGGGTGGACACGGAAGACGCAATCGCCTTGCGATGCCAGATCATGCCGACAACAGTCAGGAGCCTGCAGTGACTCAGACGCCATGATGGCGCAAGACAGGAAATGCTGGCATGACAGATCCGCTTGCGGCCCGTGTCGATGTGTGATTCGTCAGAATGGAGATCGTGTGGCGAAGCCCGACATCGCTCCCCGGGGAGTCAGAACATCAACACCAGCCCAATGTCGCTTTCAACAAAATTATCTTTGCTTCGACTCACAGCGATGACAACTATGCCCTCGCGACAGAAGGGCGCATTATCAAGATGTTGATATAGCAATATCGACACCCGTAGTGAAGCCCTTTCTGCGCATCCTCAGGGCGGTGGTGCACGGGTCATTGACTGTTGACTAATTTCAACCCAAACATCAGAACACGTCAATTCAGGCTTCACCTCCAATTATCAGGGTTCCTAGTACCTGCATTGTGTGATGACAACATACCTCAGGGGCTGTCTCAAGGTTCATACTCGAGGATCGGACGAAATGCTGCCCAACCAGGTCATAATCTGTCGAGAAATCGTTACACCGTACTGTTTGACACCTACATGAGCTGTCAAGCCAGCACCAGTGGTCAACTTTGGCCGAGCGACACCTGATCGCCCGGGTGACTGCCTCTAGGAAGCTCCACTCTGATCACAGCCCCTGGTCACGACCAAGAAACAAGAAGGCACGTGGTGGCTGCCGCCTTGACAGGGCGCCCGAGGCGGTCAAACACCAGTTCATGCAGGTTTTTTAGGGCCATGCCTGAAGTCTTTTGGGATGATGTCCGATTCAACACAAGGCTGCCATTCCTTCGACGCGCTAGCACATGCTGTCGGGTCACGCTTGTACGTGCTCACGTGCTCAAGCTATTCAAGGCTTTTGCGCAGCTGCCTACTGTTCAGCATGATCACATGAAACAGGCATCTTCTGTCATCCTTCAGCCTAATGCAAGCTCAAGCAGACGTCATCATAGAAGTCGGAGGTTGATTGTGTTGTTTCGCCGACATTTCTCACTCGGCTCTCCACCATGTCTACCCGGACCTATTTTGGCAACGAGCGACCACTCTCAACAGTCGAAAACAAGTCGAAACGCGTAAGCTGGATCATTGTATGCTACGCAGAACGTCATATATATCAGCAAACCCCGCATCAGGCACGTAATTGCCGGCTTTAAGTACTTGGCTGCACCCATGGGGCTGTGCCATATACCGACTGCTGGGAGGAGTGGCTGGTTAAGTAGAGATTATTCTTCCACTTCTGTCTCTATATCAATCATCCTTTGCAATTCTACCATCATCCCTGTGAGGTTTCCTCGTTCGATTCACAATGATACTTGGACTCAGAGCAGTTCTGCTAGCTTTAGGTAACTACAGACAGAATGAAATACCGCTCACAATAGCTCACAGCTCCCACAGCAGTAAAGACAGTATCCGCACAATATGGGCCTGGTGGACGATACGGCCCAGGCGGGTCGAGCAGTAACAGCGACGGTAGCGACGCTAACGGAGCGTTCGGCAGTAGACAGGGCGGCCCATCACAGTCATTCGTAAGCAGCCGACAGAAAGTGCTCATCGCACACGGCGTCCTAGCTTCACTGGCCTTCGTTATCCTTTTCCCTGTTGGTAGCATCCTTATTCGTCTTGGCTCCTTCCGCGGTGCATGGCTCATCCACGGCCTTTTCCAGGTCTTCGCATATCTGGTATACACTGCAGCGGTTGGGATCGGTATCTGGCTGGCCCAACAAGCCCCTGCTGAAGTTGGCCTCCTTGACAGCTACCATCCTATCATAGGCCTTTTCCTATTCGCGACATTGATCTTCCAGCCCATCATGGGGTATGTCCACCACTTGAAATACAAGAAATACCAGCGCCGCACGCTTTGGTCCTACGGACACTTGTGGCTTGGGAGAGTCGCCATCACGCTGGGCATGATCAATGGAGGACTGGGTCTGCTTCTTGCATACGACGCACCATTGGGGTTTGCACCTAGTCAAGGCCAGGTTATTGCTTACGGGATTATTGCTGCCATCATGTGGCTGCTCTATGTCACTGCAGCCGTTATAGGGGAGCGAAGGAGATCAATCGCTGGGCGGAAAATAGACGATGAGACCGGGAAAACAGTAGACCGTGAGAGTTCCTCAGCTGGTTCGCTGGGTCCCCACAAAGAGCGCTATGGGTGAGTCTGTAACCGCGGTTATTATTTCGGCCATGCTGACTAAGGACAGCCATCGTTACGATTGAGTGGGTGCAAGGACTGTACCTAAGCATTCCCAACGAGCTTTTTGCGGGCTTGAACGACATAGCGCAGCAGAGGGAACTGTCTACAATTCGCTCGGATATTGATATGCGACACTGATCATTAGCGGTTGCCGCACTCCCCATATCTGTTCGTGCATATTGCGAAAATGTACGTTGGTCACGCTGAGGTGAAGTGGGTATATGCAATGCCTATTTAGGGCATTCGGTCGTATTTGGAGCACTGGGTCGGGCATAGACTTCTTTGGCTTGAGCTATACATGCAATGATACAGAAACGTGCTTCAAAGCGGTGTTGTACATTGAAGGATTGGCGAACACGCAGCAAAATTTTCTGACCCCTATCGACAATTCGAGTTGGTATAGGCGTGTGCACTCCGGACCCTTCAGAAGTTCAGACCATGCACGGTGAGAACGTGGAGAATTGAGGATATTCGGCCAATCGTTTTGAGCAAAACGCTTCACGCTAACCCCCACAAAGAATACAGATTGAGTCTTGGCTGCCTCTTTCGATATCTAGTCTGTGCGCGAATGTAGCCGCCGCATTGCGAGATGTTCTAGCCGCGTTGCAATATGTTCTGGCCTCGTTGCAAGATGTTCTGGCCGCATTGCATGCTAAAGGAATGCCGATTTCGCGAAGATGTATTTTGTTCCTCTATATGTGAGTCTACATCATCATTCCTATCGACCAAACAGACAACCAATACAGGCCGTAATGGCAAAACCCAAGCTGTCCTTACAAGTCCCAGTTGATCACACCATTTCGATCAACTCCACAGAAGGCACATCCGACCCACTTCTCCACGGACAGGTTTCATTCAACAACATACCACAACAATGCGATATTCACATCGCTCTTGCCAGAGTTGGGCGACTGAGTTCAAAAAAAGAAACGAGGCATGAGGCAGCATCTACAAGCATCCTGAGCGAGCTTGGTTTCATGAAGGAACAGAACAGGGAACACTTCGACTACGAGACTGCAGAGAAGCTCTGTGGTTGCTTGATAAGCCCACCGAAAGAGCTATCTGAATCAAAGACAGTTAAATGTAACTTTGGATTACAAGTTCCTTCATACCTTCCTGCAACGACATCGCTGCCATCGGTCGATATCTCATACGCCATCTTTGCAACATGCATTCTGCCGAATGGCAAAGTCTTGCAAACGAAACAGAACATACACATCGAACGCGTCGACCGCGGGATCATTCACCTGGAAACATCTCGGAAAGTGTCTTTCCCAGAGACATCCTTTGCCGTCCGAGTCAAGTTCAACACGCCCGACTTTGGCACCAAGGACGTCGCCATCCCAACCACATTGCAGCTCGAAGGTCTCCAGCTGCCATCGAACGATTCCACACGCGCCACAGAAACACGATGGCTAGTTCCACGAGAGATCAAGTGGGAATTGGAAGAGACTGCCGTTATCGTCACTGGCTTTCCAGATGCTACAGGCCACATCCCAATGTCGACCGCTCAGCGTGTCCTCAAGAAATGCAAACTCGCATCTGGCGGAAAGAAACTCAAGCCGAAGTACCCTTTCACGCGAACCGGAGACTCGCATGCTCACATGGGCCCAGATGGCACGAGCATGGAGGTCCCATTCACAGTAACGGCGCCCAAGAACATTTCGCTCGGCGACAGCACCGCGCTGTCCGTAGCTGGCGGCCACGTCATGCACACCGTACTCTCCTGTGATACGCCCCACATGCCTCAGAAGAGATTCGCCGTGTATCTGGAATACAAACTGCACGTCTGGCTGCGCATCGGAGAAGACGTCTTCGACCAGGCCTCCGGAGACCTGGTAAACCGGAAGATGGACGAGATGGCGTACACAGTTGTTTGTCCGCTTACGGCCCAGCAATGCGCAGATATCACATCGACAGATTCTGACGAGGAACCCGCACCCATAGTACCGCCGCTGTATGATGGCGTGTGGGAGCAGCCGCCACCGGGATACATGCCGAATAGCTGAGCACGCCGGGAAGCTGCCAGAGTGGTCTCGACATCTTGAAAAATGTCTGAGAGCTTTGGCAGGGTTGAGCATAGTTGAACCCGATCGACGCCTCGTTGCGAAAATGAGGTGGAGATCCATACTGAGGCACATCCGCTACGGCAGTACCCGAAAAGGTGCTGTCGGCGACTGCTGATTACGGAGTGGCGAAAGTACGCCGAGAAGGAACGGAAGTTGAAGAGGTCTGACGGCGTGGCCCACTGCCAACTTGCCTCGTACCGGGTTGCGCTTTCCAGCCATCCGCACGACGCAGGGGAAGTCAGTAGGGCCTCAGATGGGAGTCGCCGAGTTCTAGTGGAGAGGCAATCAAGATGTAGTCATTAAAATCGTAAGAATTACACATCGCTAAGAGCACATCATACCTCGCCCTCACTTCCCGAAACTTGCTTTGCACTACCTGACCTTCTTATCGCCAATGGGTTTGAGACCATACCATCCAATAACACCCATCCCCAAGAACGCACTCAAACAGCTGAATACCAATGCCACGATACCGCGTGCTGTGAAACCCGCCGGAAGCGCACCCGGACTCTCATTTTGGCCCTGTAGATCCAGTAAATCGACAGTATTGCCAGCCGCATTGCCAGCCACCGGTACGTTTCCTGCTTTGCACGTGTCCCAGTGGTCCTGCGGGATCTTGCCCTCGAGCTGTATCTGGATGGCGAGCGGCGCTTCGATCATCGTGATGGCAAGGCCTGAGGCCATGTGCCACTCCAGGTGGCAGTGCTAGTATGGTTAGTCTCAATACAGCATCGGTGTGGGCGCTAGACTTACGAAGAGCCAGATTCCGGGGTTGTTGGACTGGAAGCGCAGCACAATGTGTCCATTGGGTCTCACGAGCACGGTATCTCTTCGCATCGGCGTTGTTGCAAACGCGGTTTGGGTGGCGTTGTTCGGGTCGAATGCGCCTGCTTCTTCCTCTGAGCGGCCGACAACTTGGAATGCGTGTCCGTGCAAATGGAAGGGGTGCTTTCCGGGGTCATCGTTGTTCAGGATGATCTCTACCACTTGATTTTGGGCGAGTACGAAGGGGTTGGTGTCATGGCCGTAGATGACGGGGTTGGTCGCGTTGGCCCCTGTAGACAGGGCAGTGTACAGAGTTGGCACTTTGGGAGCGACATAGGTAATGTCGTTGAAGAACGCGTAGTTCGCGCCGTCGTTGAGGTTATCCATCTTCATATCAAGAGTGATTGACTGGTCGACGTTGGAGTAGATGCCTTCTTTGTCGTAGGGCACTAGGTTGAAGTCGTCAAACTGGGCGTCGAACGAGTCGATCAGTTTGGCTTCAGGCTTTACCTTGCTGTCATCGTAGACGAGCCATCCTGTAACATTAGGATTCAGACCGTCTGGAACAACATCGAAGAGATCCTAGCAGCAACGTTAATAAAGAAAAACGTGCATTAACTATCTGACGTACCTCGTCCATCGAGCCAACAAATGCAAAGTTTGAGTTGGTGTCGTTCTTTGCAGTTATCAAAACGCTGTAGCGCTGAGCAGCAGTGATGTAAAGCATTTCCGCATCCATAGGCTCGGTATAAATGCCATCGACTTCAACGACGCGCATGGTGTGATCCTCGAACCAAACATACTGTGCCGCGAAAGCGCCAATATTCACCATTCGGAACATGTATGTCTTTCCAGGCTCAAACTTGACAGGAAGGTTCTGCGTATCGTTGACCAATGCGGCCTGAGGAACAGGCTCCGCTCCAGACGGATTAGCAATGCTAATGAAGCCCGACATCAGTCTTGGCATGGACTCATGATACCAATCCGAAAAGGTGAGAACGACCTCCTCATCGTATTGATCCTTGAAGGGACTCTCGGGATCTTTCACGATCAGCGGCCCACGAAGGCCATCTGGGTACTGGCCGCGCACGTGACTGTGGTACCAATACGTGCCGGGCTGGTCAACCGTAAAGTTGTATGTGAAGGATAACCCAGGAAGGATACCGCATTGAGTGACAGCAACAGGACCATCCATGTGCGTCGATCCGTTCATGTACAGCCCATGGAAATGTAGGCTTGCACTCTCGTTACCCAGCGAGTTCTTGACATTGACGATGACCTGGTCGCCTTTGGTTGCGACGATAGGAGGAATTGGCCACTGTCCGTTGATGCCGATGACCGGACGGGTGTACTGGCCGTCCGGATTAGCATATGTCCATGCTACGTCGAAGTCATATGTGACAGTAGCGGCAAGAGTTGCTGAGATGAGAAGGGAAAGTGAAAGGAGGAAGCTCGACAAAGAGATGGCCATGGTGAAGCTGTAGAGACTTCTACTGAGACCGAGAAAGGAAGAGGACGTGGGACCTGAGACTGCAGGTGTAAAACAGCAACCAGCGATAAAGCTTGTTGTCGGAATCACAGATCAAAGCTGATCAGGTGAAATTGATAAGATACCACCACACTGACCGCAGACGGCGCGATCTGATAAGCCCGTGCCGTCGAAAAAAAGCCTGCGCTCGCTACACATGAAATCTCGACCTGCCTGTATGATCATTAGACTGTCACATTTATCAGATCATCTGGATATAATCCCGTTTCGCAAGCCACCATGGAGCGGGGCTGCCTCGCGATTTGCGCTTCGGCTTCGCACCATAGGAATCGACACGAACATTGTCACACTACTCAACGCCGGAGGGCCATTTCCGGCGTCGTAGCTGGTCTTTGATTCGTCAGAACACAAGCGGTTCGTCGTAGCGCAAAATGTGTACAGATTTATCGGCCCATCTGATAATCTGGACCTCGATCGCTACGGATCAAGGCTAGTCGAACGGGGCAGCTGGTGCTTGATTGGATTTGGCGTTCTTGGCAAGGCGCAGATCGTGAAATGCAAGTGCGGGAATTTGGCTGTTTTGCGGAGTCGACGGCTTCAGGTTGAACTCAAACTTGCTGCCCAAGTGGTCAAGATTAGCGAAGTGCGGCAATAATGCTCTTGATCAGGGCCGAACCCGGACTGATGCAACGGCTGGCGTGACCTGATAGATTTGAGCACCGAGCGCTTCCTTCCCGTCTGATCAGATTAGATATTTCTTCTCTCAGAGGTATCTCTGTTGTTTATCTGATCATCTCAACACCATCCAGTAAGCAAGTTCTTCGCAGCGTCAAGATGCCGAACGTCTTTGCTGTGCCAGGTACGCCGAATCGAGTTTCTCCTCGTCGTCCGCAAGGATCGACTGCGTCGGAATCCCTACTGACTCCAAGTAAAGTCTTTTTCATCTGCTTCAGAGAGTCTCTGGAGTGCAGCATCATTGTTTCGGTGCTCTTAGCATTCCTGAAGCAAACGCTCGGACCTGAGCACGATGCTGCCATTCGCAAGAGGCTTGTTCGTCAGGTCTGGGTCGGTGTAGGTCTGGGTGTCTTGATCTGTTTGATCATCTGTGCTGGTGTTATCGGAACCTGTTCGTGTCCCTCCTTCTCATGTCCGACGTAGCTGACAGCATCAAAGTCTACACCGCAGGCAAGAATGCTTTCGAGGCTGCCGAAAACATCTGGGAGGGCGTCTTCGCCCTGATTGCCAGTATCATCATCACCATCATGGGCGCTGCGCTGCTCCGTGTCAGTAAACTTCAGGACAAATGGAGGACCAAGATCCGAAAGGTCTTGGACAAGGACACCAAGCCCGCTGGCGGCCGGTTCAAGAGATGGTCCGAGAAATACGCCATGTTCATCCTGCCCTTCATCACCGTTCTTCGAGAAGGTATCGAAGCCGTCCTGTTCATTGCAGGCGTCGGTATCGGTCTGCCTGCGACGTCAATCCCCCTCGCAGCCATCTGCGGCCTCGGTGCAGGATGTCTCATTGGCTTCCTGATCTACAAGGGCGGCAACAAGACATCTCTGCAGATCTTCTTGGTGGTTTCAACATGCTTCTTGTACCTTGTGGCTGCAGGCCTGTTCTCCAAGGGAGTCTGGAACCTGGAGCAGGATGCGTGGGTCAAGATTGCAGGTGAGGGCGCTGCCGAGGCAGGTGCTGGCCCAGGCAGCTACGATATCAGGAAGAGCGTGTGGCACGTCAACGTAAGTTGTGCTCCATCCTGTGCATATCCTCACACTTGCTAATGAAAATTTAGTTTGGCTCGCCCCTCGAGAACGGCTCCGGCGGTTGGGGTATCTTCAACTCGCTGTTTGGATGGCAGAACAGCGCTACCTACGGCTCCGTGATCTCGTACAACCTATACTGGGTCGCCGTTATCGTTGGGTTTGTGTACCTGGGGTTGAAGGAGCGTAAGGAAATTGCCGCCGATACACCAGATGACTTGAGCGAGTCATCGAGCGGACACACAGAGTTTGCGGGGAAGAAGACCGCAGAAGGGCACGTTGTGGAGTCTAACGTGACAGAGATCCGTGCATAGGGCAGTTGGGGCCTTGCATGCTGTCGTGAGACGATGCAAGGATGATGGTACATTTGTAACTTCTTCACAATTTGTCAACACAACTCATCCGCACTCTATCCACTGCAACGCGCTGTACTGTGTGCGTCGTGGTGCACTATTATTACTCGCTCAGCCGCAATACTCCCTTCAACGTCAGCGAATCGAAAAGTGGGTCGTCTCTCCTTTGTGAGCAAGGACCGAAACGCTTCAGCAACGCGCAATCTCCAGAGGTCCACAGCCTCCGCTCGCAATGGCCAGGAATCAGAATATTCGAGGCCTTTACGATCTCCTCCGCTATCTATCGTGATCGGCCTAGCGATAATGTGATTGCGCCGCTTGTCAACGTCAAAAAACGCCTGCTGGGCGGATCCGAGTTACGATGAGCTCAGGCTCCCGGCACTATGTATTCGCCAATACGATCGGTCACGTCGTAAGCCGCGAGATGAGTTGTGGCTGTGGCAGGATTGTGCAATGCTAGGTGTATAAGACAGGGTGCGCTGTTTATTGCTATCGAGACCTTCTGCGTTTGACATTGACTTTTCTCCGCAATCCCACTCTACATATCTCCCAACAATCACTCTTTCGTCGACATCACCACCGTTTCAGTCAACCACACACTCGCTATCATGAAGTTCACACTCGTCGCCGCCGCTCTCGCTGCCACCACCGCCGCAGACTTTGTCGTTATCACAGCACTCCCCACCCCTACCGACCTCTCCCAGCTCCTCAATGTACGCTCTACGCCTAAGTGCCCTCCCCTTTATCTAACAGAACCCCAGATCAAGTCCTACGTCTCCTCACTCGCGAACTATGTCACAGAAGAGCTCGCCTCCATCACCGCCTCCGCAAACCCCAGCCTGATCTCAGAGAAGGCCAAGATCCAGTCTGAGCTCGCGTCCTTCGCCGCCACAGCGTCATACTCGATTCCCTCGGGCGTCACTGCGCTCGACGGCCTCGAGACCTTCACCACTGTGCCTGAGTGGTACAGTGCGCTGCCTAGCGACATCAAGAGCTACTACGACAGGAACAACAAGGTTGTTGAGAGCATCTTGTTCGAGGCCGCGGGCGTCAACCAGACTGCCACTGCCACAGGAAGTGCGGGTGCGAGCGGCACAAGCTCAGGGACCACTGCGAGCCAGACTGGCGCGGCGAACAAGGTTGCTGTGATGGGCGCCGGTATGGCGGCGGCGTTCCTTGGTGTCATTGCCTTGTAGACTCTTTTCTGATCGCAAGTTAATTCAGAGTTGAGGAGAGGAACGACAACCTAAGGCTAGCATGTAGTTCATTTGATTCTTCCGAGATACCTTAGACCGTTTTCAGTGCAATAGATCACTGTCCAGCTTCTGCTACAACTTCTCACTCTGCGCGTCGCTGTCCCAGTAGTAACTCCACATATCAATGCCCCGAAAGTCGTCTGCATACTTCTTACCCTTGACCTCTCCACCCGCACCCGCACACACAATGAGGGGCAGGAAGTGCTCGGCGCCACCTCTGGGATGCATGGTATACGAGCTTGGCCAGTTCCTCCAGCCGTCAAACTTCTTCTCCCTCTCCTTCACGTCGTCTGTTGTAGCAGCGTCGCTCACCGCATTGCTCCACTCGATGTTCGCCTGCTTGAAGTCGGGCTTAGACGATGCGCCAGAGAACATGAGGCGCAGGTTGTGGAAGGTAGCGAATCCTGAGCCGATGATTGCAATGTTCTGCGCGCGCAGAGAGGATAAGGCGCGCCCAATTGCGAAGGACTGCGATGGTGATTCGGACGCGAGGACGCTGACTTGGACGATTGGCACGGTGGCTTTGGGGTCGATGAGCATCATGGGGATGAAGACGCCGTGGTCCCATTCTGGCTGCTGGTTAGCTACTATGCATGGTGAGCAAAAGTGGGAGCAGACACGCACCACGCTCCGAGTCTTGCACGCTGTCGATGCCCGCTTCTTTCAGCACCCTGTGTACCTCGCCTGCGACCTCTGGGCTTCCGGGCGCATTGTGCTTGAGCTTGTACGCTTCGTCTGGGAACCCATAGTAATCATACAAGAGCTCGTGTCTTGCACCACTTGAGATGTGCACCTTGTTCGTCGACCAGTGTGCCGTAACTAACACAATAGCCTTCGGCGCATCTGGCGTACCGAGCTTAAGGATCTCAGGAACCTTGGTCTGTAGCGACTTTGTAATCTCGGCGTGTGAAGGGTCGCCGAGGACGGGCATAGGACCGCCGCCATGAGAGATGGAGAGCACGGGTGCAATGCGCGTCATGTTGCCGCTATAAGAGGATATGGGGAATTGCTGGATGCCTGCGAGGGGATTGAAGGTTGTATTCTCTGCAGATGCTACAGCTGTTCGTGGTACGATGCCAAAGGTTGCTATAGAAAGCAGTTTTCGGCTGAGGTTCATGTTCTAAAGTGCAAGACGTAGAAGAGTTCAAGTTTCAGCTCTCCCGGCAGAAGAGAAGCCATCGCGAATGCTGACAATCAATCTACTGTGTAGCCCCGAACCCGCGAGAAGCATGTGGTGGTTTAGTAACGATGGTTTGACAGTGCGGAAACTCGCCGCTGCACTCCTCGGCCCTCCGGGACCAGCGTTATCCGATCACATGAGCACGCGACGCGCGAACAGCACTCAATGTCACACATATGTGCTGACTGTGCGTGGACCTGGAAAGCTTTATTGAATCTACAGTATGACAGGGCTAAGTAGTCAATGTGTCACAAGACTTCGCAGCAGCTAGCTGTCAACAAAACATGACCTATAGATGTATACAAAATATTTCAGCTTTAATGTTAGCACTTTATTGTTTAGTCTAGTGTGCTTTACTATTACTTGCGGAGAGGTGCTGCTAGAAGAAGAATATTGAAGGATCTACATTGATTACTTACCCCTGCTATACTGTAAGCATATCACTTCATACTGCACCTGGGCGCCTGCAACGAGCTTCTCGGCACAACTGAAGGATCCAGTGCGAGCTCTCTACATATCATTGTTCGCCTCATCGCAAATATATCAACAAACAACACGAATTACAGCTGTCGCAGCACCCTACTTATTCCCGGTTCTGCGCAAGGCTTGTCGGCAACGCCAAGGGGCGGTGTGATGATTTAAACAACAGGCGTCCAACGCGAGGCTGTGCTTAGGCTCCTTACCCATGCCCAAGGCTGTTTCTATCCACAACAGTCACATTATCGGCGAGCACCCTTCATAGCGGCTGGCCGAATCGGATGTACCGGCATCCAATGAGTAGCTTCAGTGTAGGAACACAGCAATTGGAAGGAAGACGGACGCCTTAGGCAAAGCTCCAGTTGGTGGCCTAGCGCAGGTACCTACACCACCTGGCGAGATCCTTGTTTGCAGGGCTGTGTATACGCTACATGTGTGGCACGATAAGCTAACAGAGGTCATGTGAGTGGGCTACACTGGGTAAACGGCGCCCAAAGGTGTACTAGCAAAGTTGAGGCTTTAAACCTCCCGTGGTTGCCTGACCGAGGCCTGGGTCAATACGAATAAAGGCGGGTCTATGTATAGATGGATAGAAACAGGTATGACTGGGACTCTGTATATATTGACTTGGAGTCTCGGTATGTAGAACTAAGAACAGCAACTTCAAAATACTCTCATCAAACCATCTTCCAGAATCTCAGAATCCAGCCCAATCAGAGTCCTCATTATGCAGTTCACAAGCTTCCTCACACTGGCTCTTGCCTCCGTCGCTGCTGCTGCTCCCGACTTTGCGATTGGCACGCCAACCTTGATTACCCCAAAGGACAGATCTGAACTCGCGGCCCTGACAAAGGCGCTCTATGAAGCCGCATCGTCATACCAGGCCTCCCTGACAGCACAGCCAGAATGGTCGTCGGCCTTCTCCGCGCTGAAAGAATTCCAGACAACAGCGACAATGAGCGTCCCTTCGGACGTCACAGCCACTGACAAGATCTTGACTTTCGCAACCACACCAGACTGGTAAGTCCATTTCCTTTGTTCCGATATTGCATCTAACAGTCAGACAGGTTCCATGCTATGCCCACCGATCTCCAGAAATACCTTGAGAACAACATGAAGAATGGGGAAGAGCTCATTGCGAGTGTTGTCAAGAAGACAACAGGCGACGCCGCCCGACCCCTTGGCATGGGAATCTACATCAGCGGAGCAGTTGCTGCTCTTGTAGGAGGTGTCGCGGCCGTGCTGTAGTTGACGAGCGATTTGAAGAGTCTATTATAGTTGAACGAGAGGCGTTTGAAGTATTGATACCCTGCTTTAGCTGCTTCCACAATACAATGTTACTTTTGCAACAATATAAGCAAATGGTCCAAGGACGTGTGAATGATTGTATTCTGATTTACTATATTTTCGAAGTGGTATGCAAGTGACGCCAAGTGGTATTGTTCGTATCCAAAAATCCATTCTTATAGTGCGCCGCCCAATGCAGGGTATGTGGTGGATATGCCTAAACATAACGCCCTTTCATGCTTCGTAAAGCTCCGATTCAGGAGCTGACATGCCAAAGATCCGCGTAGCGTCCCACACCAACAGTGTGTTGTAGTGTCTATTGGCCTTTCCCAGTCCTCTCCTCGTACGCCTGCCATCCTGCTTGCCTGTAGCGTTGCGCCTCGGCCTTGCGGTCAGAAGCACGTACGATGCCGCGGCCGACAATGATGATGTCGCAACCCGACTCGAAGATCAGCTTCCGTGGAGTGTTGTACTGCTGGCCGAGGCTGTCTCCAAGCTTCGCGCCTTCCTGACCGGGCGGCGGCAGCTGACACCCAGGTGTCATGGTGATGAAGTTATCGTCTGGTTCGGTGTTCAAGCTGCGCTGTGCAATAAAGCCCATGACGAATTCGCGATGAGAGCGTGCAATGTCGACACTAGCTTGGCGGTACTCTGGGGTCATGAGATGTCCGACGGAGCTCATCTCGGCGAGCAGGAGGAGGGAGCGCAGGAAGGGGGGCTCGCCCAGACGCACGAGCTGTTTGACTGTGTCAAGATCGAAGGCTTCGCCACATGCATTCAGCGCCTCTGGCCTCGGTGAAATGCTTTCAGTGCGTGTGGAGATGGTGGTGCTGACGCTGACAACACTCTGCTTCCTGTCCGTGGGCTTGATGCTGAGCCGCCTCTCCCCGTCGTCCATCAGCATAGGCGACTCCAGAGCACCGTCCATAGGTGGGACCTCGTCATCTTCATCTTCATCCTCATCACCGTCCTCGCTGGCTCCGTTGAGCTTGATTTTGGAAGCGGCAGTGATCTCGGTGTGCACGCCAGTGTTGTACTTTGCAATGGTCGACTCGGCGGCTTTCTCGAGGGCGGTAACGATGGCAGGGCCGGAGATGACGTGGGCGTTGGTGATTTCTGCCCACAGTGCAATGCGGTGGTGGCCTGAGGTATACTGCTTCTGCACGGTTTCTGCCAGCGATGTTAGACATGTCCAAAACTGACCAAAGTCGGAGCAATTGGTGCGCTCGCAGGGAAAAGAAACGTACCGCCGATGTCGGCGAACTTGCGGTCCTCAAAGATGAGGAAGGATTTCCTCTTCGCAATGTCCCTCAGCGCTGTGGCAGTCCGGTCTGTCCAGTCGCTGACAATGTCGCAGTGCGTCTTGAGCAGGCAAATGGTGTCACCGACGTCTTCGGCGAGCTGGATCAGTTCGGCGGAGGTCGCGACGTCTGCAGAAAGACAAAGATTTGTCTGCTTGACTGACATCAGTCGCAGCAGATATGAAGCCAGGGGGCCGGTGGTGGGAAGTCCGGCGCGCGCGCCATATGTGCTGGTGAGGGTGGGATGCGAAGACATTGTGTGTGAGTTGTGAGTTGTGAATTGCGCGGAGGGAATTGCGCGGGGTGGGCTGCACGTGAATTCAATGGGAATGGCAGATACAAAACCCACGCTTCACAGACGACAGATGGGGTTGTTTTGAGAAACGGGGCAGGGTTGTGTTCCGGCGGATGACGCGCGCAGGAGATAATTTGCTGCTCGACGTGGGCTGTCCAAGGCTGTTATACGACGCGGACCCTTGCGAGGATCAGAGGGGCAGAGGAAAGCGCGACCGAGGACGAGGCCACAGGATCGGCAGTTGCAGTGCTAAATCAAGAGTAAAGGCAGGAGCGGCTGAGCGGAGGGCTGTGAGCGAGGTTTCACAAGCGCGCGAGGCACTGAAATTGCCGCAGCCCGCTTGTGCCTGGCGTGATGGCGGGCCGTAGATCACCACTGCGTCTGCATTCCACCGTTTTCGGGTGTCTGAGGAGCCCATCGCGAAACCTCCGCCAAATGCGCGCTGCGGTGCGCGAGACCCAACGCTGGCCGGCGTCCTTTTTGTGACCTGCGGCTGCGGCCTGCTGTGGACAATGAGGCTGATGCAGGCATTGTGCGCCAGGGCCTGTGTCTCGGTCGAAATGGCGCCGCGCGCTGGGACCGCTTCACGCTCACCTGGCGCAGGGTCGCTTCTACTCGACTTCTCGAGCATGTCAGCTGAACTCTACCCCTCTGCCCTGCATGGCCGTTCAAGCAAAGCTGGGATTTGCTGTAAGGTAGACCGATGCAATCGCCATTGTTTGCCTCCTGACACGACTCAGAGTCCTCTGCTCCTCGATACGAAGCTGTGTGCTGTACCTCTTCTACATGACACCACAATAGTGCCGTTAGGCAGGCCGCTCCCGCTCAGCACTCAGACACCCACTTTCCTTGGCTCGATGCTTGATTCGCTCGCTGTTCTGTCTTGGACGCGCAACTAGAGCAGGATACAAGAGTCGTTTGCAGAGGTTGCCTATCTGGCACTTACTCGTAGGAATCGTACCACTCCAATGTGAGCCTCGCTACCACTGGCTGATGTCGGTGGCCAGAGCCGAGATGCAGATCAGTTCCACTGCGCTGGGACCGGATCGTTGTCGGTTAACATGCCGTTACCGCTCCGGTCTGCTCGACAAACGCATCTGGACTTCATTTGAACTCCGACTAATTAATGACACCGAGACTGCTGTCGTATATTCCAGACTACTCGGTCTGCGATTACTGTCACTGCTCGAGAAGAACGAGCTCACCGTAGTTCTAGGCAGTCTTCGGTCCTTGTTCTGGGACGGTCTACACCCTCCTGCCACATTCGCTCGCTCGGCGAGACTTGTCTCTCACCGTCGATACCCAGGGTTTCACGTTCAATCTATGAGAGTTCACACACAGAGCCGGTACCAACAATGGTCAGCAGCGTTTGCTCGCCTCATGAATCACTCCCACAGTGGATGTTACTGTCCAAGGATAATGTTACATAGAATCCGTACACTGCCGCGGTCGGAAAAGGCGTACTCAAGCAGGTTGATCTACGATCTCTGCAGTTGTTGGCTGCCTATCCAAAAGTACCAGCGGTCAGACTTCACCAACTCGATACCCTAGTTCTGCAACGTGTGGATGCCATCAGGTCTGACTCTGTGCGTACAGCACGTCCTGCGTTGACCGCAATTTTCACATCTGAACTTAGCAATAAAGGATAGTATATGCATGGTGCTGACGTTGCAGTATAAACAGTACACTACCGTGTAAGGACACAAGCCAAGTATCTAGCACGCAACAGCAAAGTAGGGAAAATGTAAGAGAACTGTAGATACTTTTGCCTACAATGTATGTAATGATTAACCAAACTTCAGCTTTAGGTAATATGATAGCTACAAGTTCTGCGTTAGTTAATTAGCTAAAGGTTACTTATCCGTCGTTTCCGCTACAAATGAGAGGCTGAATATTGGAAAGCAAACGATCTCGTCCCTGCTGAGGGGTCTGTGTAATTGCGATCTTGCAGTCACCATGCACCTAGGCTTTCAGGCTAGCTGCCAGCTTCACCTCTCTTTCACGCCGAGTTCAGTCTGAGGTAGAGTCTAGTTTCGTCCTCACTAATCTTCCTCGTTTGCAACCACTACTTCTCTTCTCCACCACACACTCTCAACCGCGAATCAACTGCCGGCCGCCAACATGCCTCCAAAGAAGGATGCGACCACGCCTGACAACAGTATCGTGGGCTATGACAACAAGGAGACCAGGATCCTCGCCGCTGCCTTCGTGTCTTCCATCGGACCCGACAAAGTCAGTCTTTCCCTGCGGTTCGCCGCTGCCGTTGCAGGCAGCTGTGCACATAGGCTGAGGAGCTCGCTAACAAGATACAGTATGACTTTCCGCTCTTCGCCAAGCTCACCGGGTTCACGGAGGGCACGCTGAAGAAGTTCTGGCCTCCTATCAAGAGGAAGGTCGCGGACGAGCATCTCAACTTCGGCGTGTTCCTTGGCGGTGGCTCTGCCGCAGCCGCAGCTCCAACCAAGGCCGTTGCAGGCAAGAAGCGCAAGGCTACTAATGCAGACGCCGATGCTGATGCCGAGCTTGACAACGCTTCTTCTGCTGATCCCGTTGACAGCAAGGTGTCTCAGGGCAAGGCGAAGAGGGCCCCGGCCAAGAACAAGCGCACCAAGAAGGTCAAGACTGAAGAGGTTGAGGAAGCTGAAGTCAAAGAGGAGGATAACTCTGCTGCGGGTGGAGACGGCCTGGGTGAGTTTGTCTTCGAGAAGAACGTGGTGGCCTGGTTGGAGAATGCTGACGGCTCAGCAGATGTAGTCTAAGCACTGCCTTCCAAGCGTATCACTGACATAGCTTTGGATAGACTTGGGAGACATCTTACTCCCAGGTGTGTTCTTACTTCGTTGTCTCGCTTTTACCGCTGATTTCGCGCAACATCTCTATATCTCTAGTAGAAGCGAGATGGCTCTCACGGCAAAGCACTGGTATGGGTTATGAGCTGAGCTTGGTGCTCTCTGCTTCAAGAGGATTTGCATAGCCTTTGGTAGGGTTCCAGACAATACATCAGTCTCAATACTCACTGAGTTTTCAGCATCGTGCAAACCAACCTGTGATCCTAAGGTACTGACACTTTCTAGGCTCGAAAGTGGCCTAGCGCCAAACCATTTATGAGGGCGTTCTACTAGACCTGCCCTGCATACTTGCCACACGACATCAGACACCGAACATCGCGAAAGAGCTCAATTATTCTGTCGTTCGTCCAATGCGATGGGGTTCGACTGGGAATATCGACCTACCGACCATGACTCGCAGGCGCTCGATTCGACCGGACAGACCTTGCCAATACGCCAGCCTTACCACCAACACCTCTATTATCGCATCGCCAAGGCCGCATTGTAAACCGAGCTTCCGCTTTTGAGATGACTCTGCACGCGGAACTTCTTCCGGGAGGTCCGGTAGCATTGCCTTGCTCTTCTGTCTCCATGATTTGAGACCGCAACGAATTGACACCCAGACACGCACGACAACTCTGCGCCCGGAACATCGGTCAAAGACTTTGTGTACCTGACACTATCGACGCTTGCTTCGGCACATGGCCATCGTTATCCAGGATAGTGGAACTACCGCTGATAACCTGTGGGGTGGCAGGCTGGGCGTTCTCGGCATCGTCATGTTCTTCGAACAATCCCATCGACCTTCCTAACTGAGCAAGGAGCTCTACACAAAAAGTGCAGGGACAGGCTTATCAACAGCAGCTATAGAGCGTATAAGAGCTGGGGATGGGTCAATTGGGAGAGTTCGTCGGTCCCTTCTCGCTCTCGCCCTGAACATGCAGCTCCTCACTTCTGTCGCCGCTGCTGCGGTCCTCGCAAGCACCGTCTCTGCCGCCAACTTCACCGGCGATGTCTTGAATGGTGTCCCGGTAATCCACGACTTAATCCTCGCGGACGTGCCCGCGCAGAAGATCTCCAGGTACTACCTGCGTGTCGGCGAGCTCAATGGCGGCCACCCCGTCCACATCCCCGTGATGGTCGCACGCGGCACCCCCGAAAGCCTGGAGACGGGCAAGACGCTGTCGCTCTCGGCCGCGATCCACGGCGACGAGCTGAACCCCGTGCGCGTCGTGCAGCGCATCTTCGAGCAGCTGGAGGGCGAGGTGGCTACCCTAAACGGCACCGGTACGTGACCCCAGCCCGTCACGACACGCAATCTAACAGCACAGTCATCGGCCTCCCCACCGTCAACCCCATGGGCATCTACCTCAACCAGCGCAACTACTTCACCGCGTCGGCCTCGGGCTCGCTCACAAACGTCAACCGCGTGTTCCCCGGCACCGCGCCCGCGCTCGGCGGCTCCGGGCCCGACATCCTCGCCTTCAACATCTGGAACCAGCTGTGGGCCAACGCGTCCGCCGTCGACGTCGGCATCGACCTGCACACGCCGTCGTCGGGCGGCGAGACGAGCCTGTGGTGCTACGCCGACTGGCGCGCGCCGTACGTCGAGCGCCTCAGCAAGCTGCTGCAGCCGGACACGCTCAAGGTCGACGTCGGCGAGCCCGGCAGCATCGAGACCACGTTTGTCGACTACGGGGTGCCGAGTCTGACGGTCGAGATGGGGCAGGCGAAAGTGTGGAATACTTCGCTGATCGACCGCACCGTGGATTTTGTGAACCGCGTCATGCGCGACCTGCACATTGCGCCGGGCAACGGCACCGTCGAGCCCGACCTCTCGCGCGTGTACATCGCCAACACGTTCCACGACACGTACACGCAGTACGGGGGGTTCGTGGAGCGGCTGGTCGCCGTCGACGAGCCGGTGACCAAGGGCCAGCCCATCGCCCATGTGCGCAACGCGTTCGGGGATATCCTGGAGACGCTTGTGTCGCCGGCCGACGGCCGCATGTTCCAGAGCCCCCGCGACCCGTCGTGCGAGCCGGGCAGCAGCGTCGGGCAAATTGCGTACAACTCGACGGACCCGGAGTGTGCGGATGGGTGTATTCTGAGCGGGCCGGCGGGGTCGCGGAGGCGGTAGGAGGGATTGTAGTGTAGAGGATTAATCCGGCAGTAGCCGCTATGTAATGTATGCATCTCGTCTATGAACGTCGCGTCTATATCGTACACCCGCCATTATACACCCCAACTCATGCAGTATGGTACTCACACCCTCCACGACCGCCACCCCTCCTCAGCCCACACCCCGCTCTTCCCGCCCTCCTTCCTCACCACGCGCACATCGCCAATCCGCTGGAACCGATCGACCGCCTTACACATATCCACCACACTCAGCGCAGCGCCCATAACCGCAGTAAGGGCCTCCATCTCAACGCCCGTGGCGCCGGCGCACGCGACCTCGCACTCGACTTGCACGCCGCCGTGGGCCATATCATCTGGGGACTTGCTCGCGGCAGACTGCTCTTCTGCACCGAACGTCCGCAGCTCCACCCCGACCCCGCTCAGCGCAATGGGATGGCACAGCGGCACGATCTCGGGACACTTCTTCGCGGCCATGATGCCCGCGATGCGCGACACGCCCAGCACGTCGCCCTTTTTCAGCGCGTTGGCGCGGATTAGTGATAAGGGGGTTGGGTTCGAGAAGTACACGGTGCCGACGGCGATGGCGCGGCGCGAGGTGCTGGGTTTGTGGGTTATGTGGACCATGTGGGCGGAGCCGGTGGGGGTGAGGTGGGGGAGGTGCGGGGAGGGGGTGGGAGGCGGGTCTGAGGGTGTGTCTGGGGGGGTTGTGTCCGAGGGCGCTGGGTCTGAGGGAGGTTTGGGTGTGGTGGAGGCCGGGGAGCGGGCGTCGGTCGCGTAGCCGCGGCGCAGCTCGAGCCTGCGAGCTTTGTGCTGCATCGCGTTGCGCCTGTCCGCCTGCACAGCCGTTATGTTGCCCGCCTGCCGCGGCTCCACGCCCTCCACACCAGACACCGCGCTGCGCACTCGCCGCACGACCCCCTTCTCGCCGTCCAACGCCCCGTCTCTCAACGCCGCGGAAGCCACACCACTCTGCTCCCTCGCCCGTGCGGCTTCGCCCCTGCGCAGCGCCGCCAGCCCGCGCCGCGCCTCCCGGTTAGGCTCGTCCTGGGGCTCGTCCTGGGGCTCGTCCTGCTGCGCGCCCGGCAGAGACAGACCCGACATGCGCATCTGCGAGAGCAGGCTGGGCGCGCGCGGATCGTAGGGCTCCATGTGGGCGTAGCGCGTGGTGAACGGGTCGGGGGGCAGTTGGCGGGCGGCGTGGATGGCGGCTTCGCTGCCCCAGCCGAGTTTCGCGGCGTGCAGGTTGTGGGCGACGGTCTCCGGGTCGTCGGAGGGCAGGGGGTCTTCGTAGGACTGGGGGGTTGTGTGGTCGGGCGTGGAGACGGCGGGTTGGGGACTCGGCTCGTCACTGACAGAGGCTGCTGCTTGAGAACTTGCAGGCGTCGCGACCGCGTCTCCCAATGTCTGCGGCTCGCCCTCTCTCCCACCCTCAGTCCTCTCCGTCATCTCCTCCTCCTCCTCCCCCTCAACCGGCATCCGCACGCCCCTCCGCTCCGCAAACAACTCATTCCACTTGCGCGCCAGCCTCCTCTTCCTCTCCGCCCCCTCCGCCGCCTCCCTCGCCTCCTTCTCCGCCTCCCCCTCAACCACCTCCCCAAACACACCCGTCTTGGCCTGATACCTCCCAACCAGCGCGGTCAGATACGTGCGGTACAGCGACAGCCGCCACTCGCGGCGCTGCGCATCGTCGTGTTTCCCCTCGAGCGCGGCCTCGGGCTGCAGACTAAACGGCAGATCGTCGAGCGGCGGGTGGAACGCGCGCAGGCGGGCGCGCATGGCGCGGATCTGGGCGCGCAGCGAGGCGAGGCCGCGCGTCAGGTCGATGGTCAGGTCGTCGTCGATCTTGAGGCGGTTGTTGGGCATGCGGGGGCGCAGCGAGCGGGGGTTGAAGAGCGGCGGGGCGGTTCTGGACGGCGGGGTTTGGGCGGCCTTGAGCTGGGCCAGTTGGACGGCGAGCGCGGAGCGTTTCTGCAAGAGGGCTTCTTTCTGCGCGCGGATCGCGGCGAGGGTCTGCGTGGGCGAGGCGTCTTCGCCAGGGGTCTGGCGCGCGATGTAGGTTTGGATTACGGCGATGTTTTTTTGGAGTTGGGCTATCAGCTCTTTGCACTCGGCCTTTTCCGCGCGGAGCTCCTGGCACCTAGCGGCGAATCGTTCTTGAGCTTTCTTCATGTGCTGTAGTCTCGTGTTCAACGCCTTGTTCTTCTGGGTAGGCAAGAGCTCGCGATCCGCTTGAGCATCCATGTATAGTGCATGCCAGTCGAGGCTCTGGGCAGCCGCGAGACTTTCCTGCAGATGGGCAAGTCGCGAGGCGAGTGCTTCTGGCGTGAGGCTCTCGTATGCGGGGGCCTCGTCTTCGTTGGACGTGGTCGTCTGCAGGTCGCGGAGCAGTTGTGACGACTGCAAGACCTGTTCCGTTCTTCGTGAGATCTCGGGCTTTGCCTGCTTCTGTTTCCACTGGGAGTTCGTTCTTGCTGTGTCGAGAGAGGCTTGATCGTTCGGCTCTGCGTCCTGGGGTTGATGACTATACTCACCAGACGCCACTGCCGCTCCACTACGAGTACTCGTAGAAAAAGCCCTGATCTCGCCAAGCGTCGTCCCCAGAAGAGGGTTCAGATAGGGACTCCTCGCCAGCAAGCCCTTAGCCGTCGGCACAGTAGAAGCCGCGCGCCGGCGCTGGTCTACACACAGTCAGCAGCGAACATCACACGCGACGACAAAACAACTGATGGCACGGGGGGTATAAGATTTCGTATATAGCCTCAGGATCTATGTCGCGCGCAGACAGCGAACGAGGAAACAAGATGCCCAAAACGCCGGTTATGCAACGCCGTTATGCAACGCCGGCTGTGCAACGCCACCACACCCGCCGTGGTATCGTGAGCCCATCCAGCCGTGAGAACAAAAGGGAAGACATTCACCCACCAATCAAGATCATGGGCCGGTTCTGCATGGCCGCGAGGTCGCCCATGTCGGCGTGCTTTTCGGCCTTGCGCTTCACGGCCTGCCCGATGACGGCGAGGAGCTCGCGCTCGCGCGGGCCCCAGCCCAGGACGGTCGCGTCGCTGGGGCGCCCGGCCGCGCGGTCCATTTCAACCTGCTTTATGCGCTCGAATGCGGCGTCGTCGATGGGCGCGTTGTTGTTGTCCTTGCGCAGGAGGTCGCGCAGAGACACTTCGTCGTTGCCGTGCAGACACACTTTCAGGTTGCCGTCGCTGGTGATGCGCAGGCGGTTGCAGGTGTTGCAGAAGTCGTTGGTCATGCTGGAGATGAAGCCGACTTTGCCCACAAAACCCGGCACCTGGTACGTCTTGCTCGTGTCGTTCTTGTGGCCCTGGATGCGCGCCATGGCCGGGTACTTTGTGTGGATGATGTCGACCATCTCCTGGAAGCTGATCATCTTGTTCTCGCTCCACTTGTTGCCGCCGAAGGGCATGTACTCGATGAAGCGCACCTCGATGTCTTTCTCGCGGCCCATCTCGACAAAGGGCAGGATCTCGCGCTCGTTCAGGCCGCGCATGACGACGCAGTTGACCTTGAGCTTGACGTTGGCGCCCAGCTTGTTCATCTCGAGGATGCGGTCGATGGACTTCATGACGGCATCGAAGCCCTTCCGCCGCGTCATGATCTGAAACTGGAACGGGTCGAGTGTGTCCAGGCTGAGGTTGATGCCGGTCAGGCCCGACTCGACCATGGCGTCCAGCTTGCGGTGCAGCGAGATGCCGTTTGTGGTGAGGGCGAGTTCGCGGAGGCCTTTCGGGCGCAGGCTGCCGATCTGCTGCATCAGCGGGACGATGTCGCGGCGCACGGTGGGCTCGCCGCCCGTCAGGCGGATCTTGGTGACGCCCTGCGATACGAAGAGCGAGGAGAGGTAGAAGATCTCGGGCGTGGTGAGCATGGTCGCGGGCGGCGACAGCGGAATGCCCTCTGTGTGGTGTTAGACAACACTCCATCTCTCGTGCACGCGGGGCTCACCTTCGGGCATGCAGTACAGACACCGCAGGTTGCAGCGCTCGGTGATGCTGATCCGCAGGTAGTCATGCTGGCGCTGGAAGTTGTCCGTGAGAAAGTCGGAGAACGGCTTTGTCTGGTCCACCGCGCGGATGCGCTCTTGTGCCAGCTGCCGCGACTGCGACACAGGCGGGACACCAGTGATATCTCGCACCGCCGCGGCCGTCGCCACCCCGCGCATCTGCAGCGCGCGCAGCGCCGCCGGGCCGCGGCTGGTCCCGAGTCTAACCATGGGCGCCATGAGGGAGAGTCGAGGTCGGTCGAGCGTCGTCGCACATTGGTCACGGGCGCACGCAGCTCTATAACACTGTGCGGCGGAGGGCGACGATGACTGAACGACGAGTTTCCGCGCGCTAGCACGCCCGCCCGAGGATCCTCGCTGGCGCACCAATGCCAATGGGTTAGTCAGAACATGTAAGTGGGGGAGGGGCGGCGCGATGTCAGCGGCGAGCAGCGCGGCCCTGAGTAATCCGTGATAATCCATGCGACGTCGCGCCGCGGCTCCATTGGCGCATCCCATCCTGTGCGCAGTACACGCTGGCCGCCGCCCTGCACCACGAACCCGTCTCCGCGCCGCCGTCCCACCTCCGCCTAGCGCAGTCCTCCGCCGCATGTCCGCGCCGTGCCCGGAACTGCGCGCCCGCGTAGCCGTGGTCACGGGCTTATCGCAACTTGCCGCATTGGGCAACTTTGCGGTCCAAGTGTCGATTGCGGTCGACTTCCGGGCGGCCTCCGCTCGCTTTTGCGTCGCTGAAACCGCTGCCGAGCTTTCACCTAGCCATGGACGACCGAGTTTGTGGGTTGATTTATCAAACACAGCATTAGGCAAGAGGGAGAATTGTCTTGTTAGGGTTCTCTTTTATTAGAGTATATGTGCTCACTCGACCCGAGTCACTAAGTAACAACTAGCTGCCCGTACCTGCGTGCAGTATCCATCCATCTACAAGCACCTCCCTCTATACTACAAGCACCTTCCTCAATACTACAAGCACCTCCCTCTATACTACAAGCACCTCCCAACCAACCCCCCAAACCCCCTCCTCCCCCGCTCCGTCCCAAACACAAGCCTAACTCTATACCGCCTTCGCGGCGTCCACCCCTCCTCTGCCACGCACCGCCTCACCTCCCTCCCCAGCACGCCGCCGCCCTCCCCCCTAACCTGCCTCATAACGCGCTCGTGCACCAGCGCCTCAAACGCCGCCTTGCCGCGCCCGCTCGCGAACTTAAGACGCGCGCAGTGCCGGAGTGTGATGCGCAGGCGCCGTGTGCCGGTTGCCCGTACACACTCCGGAGTGTTGGTCAAAGGCGCAGGAGATTCCACAGGGCTGCGCAGCAGGTGGGCGTGCCACTTGCAGCAGCTCGCACACGTGGGGCGTAGACAGGGTGTTTCCCGGGTGATTGTGTTCTTGGATTTGCCGGCTACGCGGGCGAAGGGGCCGCCGTACTGGAAGCGGGAGACTTTGACTTTGCAGTGGCGGGGAGCGGGGGAGCGGTTTGAGGTGTCTGCGTTTTGCGTCGAGACGGGTGTGGGATTGGGTTTCGGCGGCTGTTCTGGGTTCGGGCGCTGTGGTGATGCGATCTTGCTTTGCGGCGCTGGCGCGCAGGCGTTCCAGAGTTCTCTCCTGAATGTGAGCTTGAGCGGACAGTCTTCGGTCTCGGGCAGTGGCTGATCGAACATGTTGGCGATCATTTCTGTGGCCTTGGTCTTGCTCGCACGTTCTGGACGTCGTTGCGACATCTTGATGGGAACGCTCTTACAGCGTTCCAACTTGCGTTTGCTGCTTATTTGTTCGTGGCCGCCTGGCTTGTATACCATCGTCTCATCGTGTCGGTACAGCACTCAGACACCTGCCCGTGCATGTTTGCTTGAACAGTGTCAAAGGACTTTGCAAACATCAACAACATTGTGAATACATCGACGTTTCCTTTGTTCGTGTGAGTGATCTTTGTTCGCCACGGCGCAGGTCATTGTTAGTATGACCTGAGAAAGAACATGAGATGGAATAATGAAAGTCTATTCAAGGGGAAGTGAGATACGCAGTCTAACAACGCCGTTATGCAATACGCTAAATCACTGCTGCTATTCGTAGCACTGGTTCCACAAGCCGCCGCCCCTGGAGAAGCTTTGGCTTTCTACAAACTTACTCAACGTGCATCTACCATGCTTGTCCGCGTTGCAGAACTCCAAAGGCTGGACGCGGTCGTTGACGATGACGCGAACGAACTCTTCTTCTGCGCCGCTGCACTGCAGCTTTTCAACGTACAGCCTAGAGGCAAAAGGCACGGTCCACGCGGCAGAATAGCCATGAGTCTCCTCAGTGCCCTGCACAGTCGTGTTTGAGAGCGGCTTCGTCTGGTTGTAGAGACCCAGAGCAGCCAGGACACCGCTGATGTCGTTGTCGTGGCTGAAGTCGGCGTACACCTTGCGATCTAGGGGGAAGGTTGCAGGGTCGGAGTCGAGCGTGCGATTCGTGTTTGTGTTGTCCTCGACGGGCTTGTTCTGGAGCCTGGCTAGCAGCTCGTTCACGTAGCCGACGCCCTGGGTAGCACCAAGAGGGTTTCCAACACTGAAACCGTAGAATTTGCCTAGGGTCTGGAAGTAATCGTACTGGTGCCACTCCTTCTCGGTGAACAGGTGACAGAACGGAGACACTTTAGCGGAAGGGCGCACAAGTGTGTCGAATGGGCACATGTCCATCAGGTAGACAATGAAGGTTTCGCTCAGGTTGGTGCCCAGCTTGGAGTTGACGCGCTTCTGGATAGGGGGAACGAATTTGGATGCCCACAGGGCCTGCGCTCTGTAGCCAATGCCGTGGCTGGGGCCGCTTTCGAAGGCAGGACAGACATCGTGAGAGAGCGTGTTGTTCCATTCAGTGCCCTCTGGGATGATGAGGTCGACCTTCTTAGGCTCTATGTCCAGCGACTGTGCGATGCCTGCGAGCCACTTCTCGGCAGACTCGATGACACGGTGCTGGCCGCCAGCACGCACGAAAGGGGTGTGCTCTTCCACAAGTTTCTGGTAGCGGCGGAAGAAGTGGGCGCCCGAGTTCACCATCTCCTGCCGTCCAGTGTCTGTCAACTCATCTGCGCCTAGGTTATACGTGTAGTGCTTCAGGAAAGCAAACTCGTCGGGAAATGCGGTGCTCTGGTTCTGGATCTCGGCGATCAACAAGGCGTAGGCTAGCGATTTGCCCGCTGTAGGATCGCGGCCGCCGTGGCGGGAGAGGACGTTTGCGAAGGTGGCATGGCAGCCCTTGGGAGGCTCGACGCTGATCTCGGACGGCACCGAGTACCACAGCGAGTACTGGCCCCAGAAGTGGGTTGTCTTGGGGCTGCAGCGGTAGCCTTCGTTGACCGTATCGCAAGACTTGTTCGTCGACACAAACAGGGAGCTGGGGGTCAGCATCAGGCGGAGAGACAATACAGGGGGTTGTGTACCTGAAGAGGCCATAGAGCGCGAACACGCAGCCGGCGATGCACAGGACCAGCCCGAGGATCGTGAAGCGCGAACGCTCCTGGTACCGCCGCTTGAGCTCGGGGTACGACTCGTCCTCGCTCACTGGCAGCGGCGCGTAGCTGTGTGTGCGATTGCCGCGCATCCTGTTCCATGCGCCGGTCATCATACTGATCGTGACAGGACGAGGCTGCACAGCTCGGGGCGACAACACTACGAGCTCTGTCGGTGACGTAAGCGCTGGGGCGGAGCGTCGAGATGAGGTGTGGAGGGCCGATAGGGCTGAGAGTCAATGCCTCAGTCAGGACGGAGGCTGCGGTCGAGACGGCGTCTTTCACGGCAGCCGCTCGGCAATGTTTCAACGTCGAACGCCATGACTGTCCACCACGGTGCGTATCGTGAGGTTCGCAGGGTCCTCTCTTCCGGGCCTAGCGGGTCGCATCAGAAAGCTTGATTGCTAGCGATTGTGGGGTCGTCCTGGACGTGTCATTTCATCAGTCATGTATCAACGAGATACGCGCTTGACGCTCGTTCCGGGCTGGAGATACCCTTTATAGTCCCTCACCAGCTACAACGGCCCCGGCAGTCGCGCCCCGGCCTGCCGAGCTCCAGCCAGCCATGTGCATAGCGCCAACTGCTTCCGACAGTCCGTTGCGCCAGAGCATCGAGCTGGCTCCTCGTTGGCTGCTTCCCCATCTTTTGACATAGCGGCACTGCTTATCACTCTGATCATAGCCGACCTGAGAACAAGCATTGACAAGCCTTTATCGCTCCAATTCCTGTTGGACATACCACATGTGGGATGGCGACGTCAGCCGCTGACCAGTTGACGGAATCGGGCCTGTTCCGCACCTCCTCTTAATGCCTCCAAATGTCCTGGCAATAAACGAGATCGTGTGTTGCTCCAGGCCCTGTCTCCGTGCATACAACGACGTGCCACGCCGCTGCTGGACACTCCACCATCACCACACTCATCATGGGATCCGTCCATCGCACCGATGACGAGCTCCAGCTTCAAGCTCTTGGCCACAAGGGTGAGCTGCAGCGCAACTTCTCTCTCCTCTCCATGCTGGGTCTTGCCTTTGCCATCCTCAATTCCTGGACCGCCCTCTCGTCCTCGCTCTCGCTTGCTCTCCCGAGCGGTGGCTCCACCTCAGTCATCTGGGGCTTGTTGACCGCTGGTATCTGCAACTTGGCCCTGGCTGCGTCGCTCGCAGAGTTCCTCTCAGCCTATCCCACAGCCGGCGGACAGTAAGTCCTTGGAGTCTTCTTGAAACTGCCATCCACTGACAACACAGATACCACTGGGTTGCCGTCATCACACCGAAGAGGTGGGTGCCGATCGCATCCTGGATCACCGGCTGGATTAACGTCTCGGGATGGATTGCTCTGACCACTTCTGGAGGTCTCTTGGCCTCTCAGCTCATCGTTGGTATCGTCTCCATGTTCCATCCTGACTTTGCCATCAAACCCTGGCAGCAGTACCTGATCTACGTGGCCTGGACACTCATTGCGTTTTTCATAAATGCTTTCCTCAATAGGCTGCTTCCTTACCTCAACCGGGGCGCTTTCATGTGGTCTATCGGCGGCTTCGTCATCATCTGCATCACAGTACTGGCCTGCTCGTCGCCAAACTACGCATCCCCCGAGTTCGTCTTCACCGAATTCATGAACACTACTGGTTGGCCCGATGGTATCTCCTGGCTTCTTGGATTGCTGCAGGGCGGCTTCGGCATCACTGGATATGATGCGTATGCACCTCACGATTCTATTAATGATAACTGCTAACCCCTTAATAGCGTTGCTCATATGATCGAGGAAATTCCGAATGCTAGTGTAGAAGGACCCAAAATCATGATCTACTGTGTCTGCATCGGCACAGTTACAGGTTTCATCTTTCTCATGATCCTGCTGTTTGTGTCAGGTGGCGACGCGACCGCCATCATCGAGTCGACATCCGGCCCCCTGGTCTACATTATCAACACCGCGACGGGCAACCGCGCTGGAGCTGTTTGCCTGCTGATGTTCCCTCTGATTTGCATCCTCTTCGCGGAGATCGCAATCATGACGACCTCTTCTCGGATGTCGTATGCATTTGCTAGAGACGGTGGCCTCCCAGCTTCCAAGTTCTTCAAGAAGGTGGACAAACGGCTGGATGTGCCCCTGAACTCCCTAATGTTGTCCGCTGGTTTGACGCTGTTATTTGGACTTCTTATGATCGGCTCCAGCAGCGCGTTCAACGCCTTGATTTCTGCTTCCGTCGTTGCTCTTGGTGTGAGCTACGCCATCCCAGTAGCCATCAACGTTTGCCGTGGAAGGAAGATGCTCCCAGCAAGACCCTTTACCATGCCCAACTGGCTTGGTTGGGCAGCCAACCTGCTTGGTCTGGCATATGCGATTGTAACAACCGTGCTATTTGTCTTCCCCCCGGAGCTGCCTGTGACTGCCACCAATATGAGTAAGTCAACTCCCTTGCACCAGAATATTTCGCTAACAGTGACAGATTACTGTATTGTCGCTTTCGGAATCATTCTCCTAATCAGCACAATCCAATGGATCGTCGATGGCAGGAAGAACTTCACCGGACCGAGAGCCGACATGAGCTTGGAGATTCTCGAAGCCATGAAGACCAACGAGCCGCCTGCGCCAGATTACATCGACCCCAAGCTGGCCGCCGAAGTCGGTAAATAATGAACGGGGCTATTCGTATAGTTGAGTAGTGCAGTATATACATCCAAGACAGTTCCACCTTGCAGCAAACATATGAGACGGCACCACATTCACTGTTACAACATCACGACTGGCGTCTGCCTGGCCTTCACTTCTGATTTCACTAGCGCGACGACAATAGCGCGGAGACAATAACAAGGCGTGTCACCTCGCTCTACTGTCGTTACGTCGGAGCGACTCACTCCACTCACTCTACTTCACACTACCCACTCTACTTCACACTACTCATATTCAACTTTACTACCACAATCGTACTGTATTCCTGACATCATGTCGTTCAGATTGTTCCGCTGGCCATGGAGCCACTCTCCCCATCGCAAAGGCACGAGTGGTGAAAAGACTGAAGAGCGCAACAAGTCCACTCCCGAACGCGATCAAGACCGCAAGCAAACACCAACCAACGAACCAGCACGCGACTACGCTGCAGACATCGTCATCGAACAGTCTACCAGCGACAACCCTCTCCCCGAAGGCTACATCGGCACCTTCGAAGGCATCCACTACACCCCCCCGCCGACCCCCCAGCCCTGCAGCCCGGGCACCCATCTCCACAAGCTCATCTGCAACCACCACATCACCACCCGCACTCCCTCACCCTGCGGCCTAAACTGCCACACCCCGACCCCCACACACCCCGCCTTCGCCTGCACCGCATGCCAGCACACCGTCACAACGACCCTCGCCTCGCTCCCCGCCGCCGCCGCCACATCCCTCCAGCACGCCCGACACACCCCCGCGCTGTATGCCGCCCTCGCGGTCGAGCTGGTCGCGGTGCACTCGCAGATGACGGCGAATATCGCACAGACGATCGTGCACTTGCAGGGCGGGTACGCGCGCGCGGCGCAGCGCGCTGCTGGGCCGGCGCCGTGTGTCCCGCTCGTGGAGTTTGTGGCGGGGATGAAGCGCGAGGAGGTGCGTGGGGACGCGGTCCGGGATGTGGGTGTGAAGACTGAGAAGGTGGAGAAGGCGGAGAAGACAGAGATGCCTAAGACCGAGATACCCGCGAAGACTGAGAAGCCCGCGAAGACTGAGAAGCCCACGAAGCCCGAGACACCTGAGAAGACTGGGACACCTGAGATGCCCATGCAGTCCTCAAAGCACCGGAAGCCCGAGCACTCCCCAACGCCCGCGGAGTCCTCGCAGCCCAGCAAGCGCCGCCGCTCGACCTCACCAGAAGTCCTCGAGACCGCCGGCGCAGACTGGGCCGGCGCAGCCCGCAAGCGCTCGCGCACCCACGCATCCCCGCCTCCCAAGCGCAAAAGCGCTGGCGAACCGCCCGCGGCGGGCGCGGCGAAGAAGCGCAGGACCGACGGCGCTGAGGCGCGCGAGTCTGTATGCACCCGCAAGCGCAAGGCGGGTGATGGGGGTGGCGATGAGGAATGGAGTAGGGCGAAGCGGGTGGCGGCGCAGAATGGGGCGTTGCATGGTGGAGCGTGGCGGGCTCCGTGTTTCGAGGGGAGGAAGCGGGGGAGGGAGGAGGGGAGGGAGGAGGGAGGTGGAGAGAAGCGGCGGCGTAGTTGGTAGGGGGTGTGTTGGGCTGCTGTTGGGGTGTGGATTCGGAGCTGGAGTTGGGGGTGGGCATGGCTGAAGGCCTCCGCAGTCCGTCTGCTCTTCGCCCACCCTCCAACCGCGTTGATTTCTCCGGCCTGATCCTGTTCCAAAACAAGGTATATATTTGATTAGCTGTAATGCCTTAGAGGAGGCAGGGAACTCAATCATTTTACTCAATTACTTTGTTCCATTTCAGCTGATCAATTCAGTTATTCGTAATCCCCAATCAACAACACCAGCTTACCCCCATATATACTACATGATGCCCGCCAGCCCCAGACAAAGAAGACATGAAACCTAACACTGAAGCTAACTATTGCTCATTTAGCATCATATGTGTTAAGCACGATATGAAGTCTCCGCCCTGGACCACGTGGAGGTAGAGCAAATCCCAGGGCTGATTTTTTACCCAGGTTGACTCCTGTTTGCGTGAGGAATGATGGTCAGGATTCACCTCCTGCGCCTCTTGGGCGTCGGTTCTGGCCCTGATTCGGATTCTGGTTGGTGAGGTGGCGCCGAAATGATGTCGTCGAAGAGGGAGTTCCCGAAATCAGCGTTTTCCGGTCTAAGTCCAGCTGCTATCAGATTCCAGATCTCGGGTCTGATGCCATGCCGGTTGGTACTGCCTGGAGCAAGCAAACGGACACCATTCGCGGCCGTGGTCGCAGCCACAGTGGCAGAGGAGCCGACGCCGTGTGAAGCCGCCGAAGCAGGCGTTCCAGAGGGCTCTTGTCCAGAAGCAGCAGTCCTTCTGCCACGGCGACGTCGGCGACGTCGGCGAGGAGGGGGGGAGGAAGCTTGTGGTGACGGAGGAGGGGGAGCTTCGTTCCTTGTAGGACTGGCTTCAGGCGAGGGCCTCGTGTCCTGCGAGATGGAGGTGGCCTCGCCCTCAGCTACCCGCGGCTGTTGGTCTTGAGGCACGGCCGGCCTTAGAGGCAGTGGTGGATGAACAGCTGGCGCATTCGGGGTGGTGGCAGCGGCTTCATCAAGCCGCAGGCTGAGCTCTGCAGTACCCCCAAAGATTGGGTCTTCTTCAGAATCATCAGCTCGCCAAAGGTCGGAGTGCTTCGAGGGGGTAGACATTGTAGTTGTTATGTAGGTAGGTAGGCTAGGAAATACCCAGGTAAGAACAGGAAGGTTTGGAGAATGGTAGAACGAGAAAAAATTGAACAGTTAAGTGTGCGCTTAATTTACGCTATTGCTTTCACGGTGAGAGTGAAGCCATGCGTCACAATTGCGTTCAGTCTTTGACGTTTGCCAATTAACCGGTTACCTCTCACATGGCGATCCACGATACTAACCTGCCTGATGCCATTGAGCACAACAAGGCCGTCTGATCTTCACCTACCCTCACGGGGCTTCGCTTTCCCAGTATCAACATTACCAGGACAACCTCGCACAAGGTCTTTAGGAATAACCTCTTTCACCATGTGCGACACGTTTACGCCCTCACCAACACCCCTCGCTGCAGACATCCACAGAATGGTGAAACAAAATAGACATAGAGCGATACAGTCAATGCACATAGCGTTGGTTAGCAAGTTCGTCAAGGATAGTTGGAAGACGAGTCCAGTTGGAACGAGTAGACGGCTGGCGGTAGGAGAAACATAACTTAGCGTCAAGGATGCTAGAGGATCCTCTGAAAGGCCTGACAGTAACATCCAGTGTGATGATACGGAGTAGTTGACATGTGTAGTCAGCAGGGAGTGTGATTTCACTATGTAACTCGCACCAATGTCCGCCTCAGCACTGTACACAATCAGCTATTGAGGACATTCGTTCAATCGTGATTTGAAGCCTCAGCTATCTTTCGAATTGCACCTCTTGACAAATCCAGCCAGAGTCATTGGTCATGCGTGTCTTGCATGAGGACCAAAAACTCGACTGCGGTTGACACGAAAGCAAATAAAAAAGCAAAGAATACAAAAAAAGCAAAAAGAACCGTATCTCTCCGACGGGGAATCGAACCCCGGCCTCCTGCGAATCGTCCTATGGATGACAAGCAGAAATACTGACCACTATACTATCGAAGATATCCAACTTTGAGCTGGGAAGAGATGTGATCGATGGAGGAAGGAGCGGTTGCAATGGTAATATCCCTATTTGAAAACCACTCTACTCACGTCTTTAGCGAAAGAGTGATAATGCTGCAGATGCAGGGATAGTAGTGATATGTCATTGAATTGATACAAATGGGCTGCATCCTACTTTTGCGCGCAGTTGCCCAAAGCCAACTGGCACAAATGCAAATCCCAACTCGACAATGCAATTATATCACTACACGTCGCGAGTTCTTTCTGCAAGAAATTCGGCAGTCCCTGATCATCACAATGATTTCTGTTGCTAAGCCTCTTTCAACAGCTAAATCTGGTATTGCATGCTCGTTGCACCTTTCCACGACAGAGGCTCCCCATCTGCAGCTGCTGATAATTAGATGCGCTTGGCGAGCGATCGTGGCGGTGCATATGGGCTCCACGTGCGACGTTGACGGATCAGCCGCACCTGCAGAGCGGTGATCATCATCCTGGGGGCTGGAGCGGAGCAGGGCAAAGCAACGTAGAGCGATCCTCATGACGAATGACAGAGAGAATAGATGCCTCTAATCTGTCTTCCTCGTGTTGATGCATGGTGGTGAACTATCGTTCGGTCCTAGATGAATAGCTGGAAAATGAGTGAGCCAATCTCACGTCCAAAGAGCCATGTTATCCTTGCAATACAGTTCACAGGTCGCTTGAAACGGCCCGTCCAGCGGCCAGTCAGAGCCACGCGTCGCTGTGTGCACCAAGAGCCAACATCACCCGCAAAAGCTCATTCCGGAGTTGGGGAACATTGGAAGTGGCGTCAGCACTGCACCTTTCGCTCCTTGTTGGATGCTACAAGTAAGATGCGGCGCAGAAGTCAGCCGCTACACCACAGCGCTCGCGAACGGCCTTGGCTAGTGTTCGACAAGCTGATGCCCGTGATGAGCCCTGCGCCAAATTGGCTCGGGGGCAAGCTGATGATGAGGGTTCTGTCGAGGTCTTGCCTCGAACACAAGAGAACGAAAGATAGTCACCGACGCTCCACAACACCATCAATACAGATCGCGGATAGCTGCTGGCCTAATAGTGGCGCATCGACCTGCCACACACGATTGGGTCGTTTGGCCAGGGTTGCAATCGTCCTTCAGGACGACTCGTGGCTGAGCCCGAAGCAGGCTGTCCTCCGCCTCAGCGAAGTACGAAGACATTGGCCGCCGGCGCCCTTGGTCCCAACCTCACTCAGCCCTCTGACTGTTTCTTCCTCATTCCACTTTGCTTCAAGTCTGCAACTGCTGGAGTTTGTCTGCTTGTAGAAGTAGAATCTGCGACGAGTCGACGCACCCACCATCGCCCAGCGCACACACACCTGCCTCGGCCGCTAGCCTTACCCACCACGAACCGAACCGCTCCGCCGCGCTGAGGACCCGCCCGCAGTATTGGACCGATCAAGGACGACAAGGTGCAATCTTCCGTCTGCAGCGCAGAGAGCAGGCGGATCCCGCCTTCTTCGTAGACGTAGACACTCGTTCACTTGCTTTTCGTCTTGTCTTTCGAGCCACTCATTGCGACGTGGTGTTGGCATCGTGTTGGCTTTTCCAAGGTCATCGTCAGGCGCACCACACCTGAGTCGCGAACCGGCTACCAACCCCGCCGCCGCCTCAGGCGCGTTGCGATCACGAAATGCCCTCTGGTCAGGGCGACTACATCAACATCCCCGATGGAAAAGCTGGCGACCATGAGCGAGTGCCGTGGTACTGGCGTTTCATAGCCATGACTGCCTCCTGGATGGTTTTAGGCGGGTAAGTCGCGTCGCGCAATCGACGATTGGGAAGAGGCTGACCGACAACAGCTACTTAATATTGCCAGGCTTGTATGCCAAGAATGCAGAGCTGAGATTCAGTACTGCTGTGCTGTCTGTCTTCGTGGTCGCGCTTCTGACAGCGGGGGTACTCATTCACTGCGCTGTTGTGCTTCGCTTGTCGCAATGACGAGTTTCAGGCAGAGAATGTCTTTGTGTAGGTGCTCTGTGCCAACAATCGTCACCACCACTGACCAGTCTCCAGACCAGCGCTTGCCTCATCCATTTTTGGCCTTGTCGTCATTCTCTACAACTTCCTCGCCACGAATAGCTATGATTGGAGCACCGCCGCAACGAGTGCTACCGTCCTCAGCGGTTTTGCGACAGTCTTGTATGGAGGCTTGCTCTGGTGGAAACGACGTATCATTGCGAGAAGGCGCAAATCAGCCTCACAACGATCGAACTTATACTCAGAACAGTCGTTCTACACAAATTACATTCCAAACATGTACCCGACCGCTATTCGTACGGAATCGCAACCACCACCGCCGCTCCCCGGCAACGACGACGATCCCGTCAACCAACAGATGCGACTGTTGATGCTGCGAGACGCTAGACCAAGCCCCGATGCAAACAGCTCGACGTTCAGGATAGATCTTCCCGAGGATACAGAGCAGCGGGAACGACATGAAAGAAGCCAGGAGCTAGTTGGAACACCACAGCAATCGCATACACCATGGACTCGAGATCGCGCAAATAGTAGGCCAGATAGTCTGGGTGAGAATCAAGCCTGGCGGCAATTGCAGGATCGGGGTCGACCACAACACCGCCCTTCGAGTAGCGATCTACGTAGCAACCATTCGAGAGGACTGAGTAGAGAGGAACGAAGACGCGAAATCGAGCTCGGTCAAGTCTAAATGGTGAGAATACGCACATTCTGTGCGACGGCGTTTCAATATTGGTGTTCCTGGAGTTGGTATTGCCAAACTCGGCATGCCCTGCGGGTTCGGCGCCTGTGGGTTTAATCTGATTTGAAGACGTGTATGTTACGACGATTGTCGATGCTGGAGATGATATCCTGCGCGCTTCGGCGCGCTGTAGTACTACCTTACCATCCAAATACAACAATTAGCCGCTTGACATTGGTGATCCTACAAAGGACCTCATGGACTTGGTGTCAACATTCTCATCATCATCATCATTTGAAAAGTGCTCAATTTGTCGCACTAACGTCGACATGCGAGTAGGCAAAGGGAAATCCCAACCAATAACGCAGTGAACCGAGTAAGGAAATCTTCATATCTTCGTTGTCGGGCGAAGGCCAGCCTTCTAGTCTTATACCTTAATGGCGAACTGCTTCAGGTATTCGTAATGCTCCACGTTCTCATCAACGGTTTCGCGAATGAATCTAGCGCCTTCTTCGCCGTACTTTTCCTTCCATGCTGCATCATCTTGATCTTTCGTTGTTTGCGCTTTCTTCTGTATCTTGGTTAGTCATATGATAAAGTGTGCTATGGACATCAGAGAGACGTACGTGAGTCCTGGCTCGCAGCTCAGTGCTGTCGATAGCATCCTCGTGGAAGCCCTTCCATTTCTCGAACTCTCTCTTAGCGAGCGTTTGGTCCTCTTCGGTATCCCAAACCAGCATCTCAGGCTTATAGTCGATGCCCGTGGTCTTGCAGACGGCCTCGATCATACCAGAAGGGTTGTCAAGCAGCTCATCAGCATCGACAACGCAGATCTCCACGCCGTGCGAGCTACCATTGGTGCCGTTGGTCTCACCTGCCTGACCGGCAGACTTAGGACCAACCAGACCTTCCTTGCGAAGGTAGTCAAACAGCTCGCGCAGTTCAGAGTAACCGGCCTCGTCTTTGCGGAGATAATCCCAACCAGTCAACTTATCCAGAGGAGGAAGCGTGCAGCGGTGATAGCTTGGAATGCTATACTTCGGATGGCGGATGAGAAAGATGAAGTGGTACGTCGCAAGAAGATCTCTAGGAAGAACGGTCGGGTTACCCTCTTCGGCCTTCGTGTCGTATGGGTAAGGTTCGCCAGGGCGATCTTCGCGTGTCTGTACGGGCGAGAGTTCGGTGGTATTTGTTCCAACGCCGCGGCGGTAGTTGGACATCGATGGGCAGACCGTCGTGGGCCTCGGCTTTCCCTGAGGGGGAATCCAGTATTGTGCCATATCTTTGATAAAGGCACGCTTGCCCTACGTACTTTTAGCAACCAGTCCACGAATCTGTAATCGTTGGCTCAACAACACAATAAGCTGTGTTCCGAAAGCCACAAAATTTTGTAATGTACTCTGAAGAGGCAGATCGTTGTGTGGCCGATTGAAGCCTTAAAGAGGGTGCCAACGATTGGTGCTCAAAGAGCGAAGGGGGTAGATTTACCTCGGCGTTGTCCTTTGCGATCCTGTCGAATATTGACCGGTATGTGCTGCTGGCGTAGCCACTGTCCTGTCTCTCCTGCTCATTTTCGGAGCCCTCATAGCGGTAACCAAGACGCTCCGGTCCGAAGTAGTATGCGTCGCCAAACGGCTCGTGTACGCATTTTAGGTCCTTGCGGGTCATGAAGACCTACTCGTTGTTAGAAGTCTCCAGTCGAGAAAAGGATGAATGCACGTACCCGCTCAAATGCCGTAGAGCAAGCCCTGGGGTGGGTAGCGCAGAAGATGGGCTTCTGCGACTGCATCGTGCTGTGCTTGAAAATAATACACAACAAAGAGTCTGTATTCCAAGGCTCTCACAAAATCCTCGACGAAGGTGGATGAAGGTGAACGAAGTTCAGGTATGTTCCAAACTGAACGCGCAAATGCTTCGAGAAAAGAAGGGCTCCGATGATCTCTTATGGGAACCGAGGCGTGCAAGCGGGTTAAGGTACTAGACGTAAGCAAATCCACAATTATCGTTGAGCAGACCCTTCAACACGGATACTCGTCAAGTTGGTGAGCTAGTGGACCTAGATCAGATCCTGGGGGTCAATCAAAGGCAACGGACGAAAGCAAAAGCGGGTGGAACGACCGTTGTCCAGTACCAAGTGCTCGTGGCGTATGGCGACCAAGCAGCTGTCCCTGATTGTCTCGGCGCATCGTGGAAAGCTGCGGGTTTGCCGCAAACAAGTCCTTTGCCGAAACTCTTACAGCCGTGTTTGGCGATGGGGTTGCACTTGCGCTGATGTCACCGGCCTCGGTGGGGCAATAGCGCGGGCCTAGCGCAGGCACTCGCGTTGCTGTCAGCGACAAACCGACGGGCAGTCGCTGAACATCCATTTGTTTGAGCAATCAGTGGCAAGACTAGAATATGCATCCTTGATGGTGTGCAGTGGCACAAGCACGTCAGAATTGGGCTGAATGACGCTTCCCGAGACTTCTGTGATAGGACAGTCTTCGCTGCCATCCTCGAAGAACTCTTCTTTACGATCGACCACTTTGTAATTGCTTCTTCCACGACGGACATGAACAGAATACACGACAACGCGCATACCACTTATAGCGATCGAGTATCAACCTGCGAAGCGCAGTGCTCGCACTAGCTGTGCTGTTCAAACTATACAGGATAGGGAGGACGGGCAAAAGGATGGCTTGATCGCGCAAGATGAACAAACAAGAGTCTGGGATAACTGCAGGGAACGGAATGCACCGAGAGAGAAGCACAAGTAATTCGAAACATCACAGGCTTGTTTGGGTGGCTTCGAAGGATTTCGATATTCAACGTCTCGTGTTCTCGAGCGATGGATGGATGCATCGACCTCGGCAACCTACTCCAGTTTGGCGTCCTTACATTGGGCTGTCACGCGGCGAAGTCTTCTTCTAGTTGGACTTGCAGAAAGATACTGTAAAGTGGCATACGTTCCTGAGGTATCCCCCAAGGACCAAGCCTTTTGATACTCACATACAAGAAGTCAGATCCGCCCTGTTGCTTCTTCCTGAGTTACTCATGAACAGCAGAATATACCTGGTATACAAAGCCCAAGCTGTGCGATGGCCAAAGATTTTCTATTGGGAGACAAAGGGTAAGGTCTCCGCTAACAACAAAGAAATTCGCGAGCTGGCTGGGGCCATGGAAGTTTGTCTTTAACTTATTGATGAGAAACAGAATGCTATCTCACGGTACGAGTGCCGATTAAAGATAGGTGAGGATGATACTGGAAAGCTGCAACCGCAATCTTCTCAGTTATTGCGTATGACCAGCTACTTATGATAATGGTTTTGTTCGACTGGAGACCCTGGAAACCTCGAACAAGTCCTGGCGCGATGCGCGATACACAAATGAATCGGAATCTCGCTCCATCTGACATCGGTCGGATCAGGATTGGTTCATTGATGAAAGACTCATCATATGCCAATGTCTTGTACACTTTCAACGCGCGATAATTGTTGCTATAGTACTATGCGGCCAAATACACTCCTCTATCTGCGACATAATTTGACGCGAGGCGTCCTCGACTTCTTCTTTAGCTATGATAGTGTGTGCCCTTGCCTCCTCCTTACTGGAAGTTCCTACTTCGCCAAGCGCCAATGTCTAGCAACGAGATAATCACGCCGTTGCTCGTTCCTCCGACACGTTTGACGACCTCAGATTTATCTCTTTCTCCAAGAAGACACGCTGCTCCGTCTTGCTCTTCCCTATGTCTACGAAGAAGTACAGCCAGGCACAACTTGCTACGCTGAGTGAGAACAAGAAGTAGAATGGGCTGCTGTTGTTGCCCGTCCTATCAATGATGGCGCTGCTAACAAGCGGGCCAATAAAGGCACTTGTTTTGCCAATGATAGAGAAAAGACTGAAAAATAGAAACTCTTTGCCCTGTGGTGTTACCTCACTTATCATCGTTTGGGAATAACTGTACCATGGACAGACTAGAAGCCCATAGAATGTCTGGTAGGCCCATACCTCCCACCTTTGGTGAAACCCAAAGGTCTGAGACCAGATACCTATCAGACCCCATCCATCAAGGAGGACAATACTGACAGCAATAGCCATAAACATGGTTTTAGTCGAGAGTTGGTAGTGCTTCTGGATGCGCCAAAAAGCACCAATTCCAATTGCCTGTGCAGCAATACCAACAATAAGAAGGTACGTTAGTTGAAGACTGTTGAACGCGACGATCTCGTTCTGAAGTGTGCCGATAACAGTAACCGTAGTGTTGAGACTGTCGCCGAGGAGGAAGTACCCAATCAAGTAGGCTAAGCTCTGTCGTAGCTGCCAAATCTGAGCAAGGGCATAGTTTAACTGTTTGATGCCCGCTAACACAACATTGGTCTGTGGAATTTGGCCTGGTCGTCTCTTCTCGAACGCAAACCACGGGATAGCGCATAGTACCCAGACTCCAGTCGCGAAAGCTATGAGGACCGAGAGCCCCCAATTATTGTTCTCTGCACTATCGTTGACGCGGAGACCGAACATAATGCCAACGATGACTGCCAGAATGAACACCTCAACAACTGATTGGACATAGAAGGCAGTATTTGAGATCTCGTTCCTCTTCATCATGTCCGCGAATTCGTACTCGTCGCGGGTGATAGTGCCTTCAGCCAGCTGCTTAGCCTTCGTAAGTATGTCCTTAGTGTTCCTTGCTAAACCGGGGAACGCGGCCGTCCAGAAAGTGATGGTCGTTTGGTATGCAATCAGCCCGACGATATATCTAAAAGAGTGTGTCAGTGTGAACTGCAAATTTCCTCTGATCGTTACTCACAAGCCTGCGCCGATCTGCCAGTCTTCTTGAGTATGAACGCCCAACCAGCCAAATCCTATCCCGAAAGCGACAATGGAAAGACCAATGAGGATGTTGGGTCTCCATGTTCCGAAATCGGCAAAAGAGCCAAGTAAGAGAAAAACAAGGATCTGAATGGCAAAACTAATTCCGTTGCACAGCAAGACAATACTGTTGACTGTGCGAGTTCTGCCTAGGAAATGCAGCATTTCTGCATCTCCGGATGCTGCGTACACGAGGTTTTGAAATGCGGTAGGAGCGAAATTGAACAGGGTGAGCCCATTGTCGCCAACATAGTAGCTAATTGTTCAGTCAGAAAAGGTTTCACGAATATATGCAGTCGATGCAACGACTCGTACTAAGTTTCACTTACCAGTAATATGCCCAAAGCTCCTTCTTCGTAGTTTCGTACTTGTCGTCGATCTCGTCCGTTGTCTCCAGGATCTCCCCGGGGGAAATATCTACCGCACCCTCTGTGGTCTTCTTGGTCAATGCACTGAGGGGTGCGAAACTCGGATCGTTTGCCGCCATGACAATGCTCAAGTGGTCACAATTCACTGCAAGCTATAGGCTCCGAGAATCTCGGGAATGGGCATGTTATTTAAGTCATGGCACCGACTAGCAACACCCAAAGTCAATTCCTAATCGCGCTTCATATATGCCAGCCAATGAACATCGAGGTAACTCAGGCTTATCAGGAGTGTCTGGTCTGAACTGAGATAGTTAGGTATGGTTATGGCAAGGCACGTGATCGGAACTCACGGATATCGGCCCGCATCATGAAGAGAAGTCCCGGATAATAGATACGGCCTGCATTAGGTAGATGTGTCAGGCACCTCCTAGGAACCTTGGAATTGTGCTCGGCCTTCCTGGTTGGTTTCTCAGAAGTCATAAAAACGCCCTGACTATTCATACCAGCTAGGTAGTATCATGGAGGCAAAGCGACACATCATCATCATTGGAGCTGGGTCAGTAACATTACAAGTCCTACATACATATTCAGGCGTCGCTGACCGTCATAGCGTTTCTGGAATTCTTCTAGGTAGGTGTGTCATGGCGCCAGTTTCAAAGACAAGAAATCCGAGGACTGACTTTGTTCATCTTTTTAGCGCATCATTTTGAGAAGTACTTATCACACGCCTACACGTTTAAGGTTGTAGAGAAGAACCATGATGTTGGAGGCACGTGGCTGGAAAACACATACCCAGGTATGGCAAAGATGATTGTTGTGTGAAGAGATGACTGAATTCTCTCAGGATGCGCCTGTGATGTTCCAAGTGACATCTACCAGTACTCTTTTGCACCAACAAAGGGCTGGTCCAAAATGTTCGTGCTCGATCTCCTTCAGCTTCAGAGTAACTGGACACGAACTGATCTAAGCTACTGCGAGCAGATTTGCACCATCTGGTGAAATACAGAATTACCTCTCGCAGGTTGTCCATCATTTCAATCTAAGGAGTCATATCGAATTCGAGACCTCAGTGGAAAGATGTGTCTGGGTTGAGCAAGAGAGCACGTGGTTGGTTGACACCAAACGAAGTGGAATACTGGAAACGGGTAGAAAGGCTGATATCCTGATCAACGCTGCGGGGATCCTTAACCATTTCCAGTATCCTGATATTCCCGGATTAGAAAGCTACAGAGGTCACCTCATGCATACAGCAGACTGGGATCACTCAGTCAGTTTGGCAGGAAAAAACGTCAGCATTATCGGAGCAGGAGCCAGCGCTGTGCAGGTTGTACCACAGATCCAACCTCTAGTCAAGAGTCTGTCGGTTTACATCCGGACACCATCCTGGATAACGAAGCTGCCAGACAGCTTCCGAGAAACCGAGGACAGCTCCAAGAGCCCCGCAGATGGCTACTTGCAACGTTGTAAGGAGCTCGAAAGTTATTACAACAAGCTTTTTCCTGTTTTCCACCGCGATTCAACAACGCAGGTACAGGAGCGTCGGGAAATGGCCATATGGATGGAGAAATGTATCACAGATCCTATGCTGCGTAAGAAGCTCATACCCAACTACGAGTTAGGATGCCGCAGAATCAGTCCCGGGGAACCGTTCTTACGTGCTCTACAAGAGCCGAATGTGAAGTGTATATTCACTCCAATTGAGGCGTGCAAGCCAAACGGCCTAGAGACCGAGGAAGGAATTGAGACATCCGATGTTATCATCGCCGCTACAGGATTCAACACCACGTTTCGACCGCGATTCCCGCTGCTGGGACAGAATGGAGTTGACCTCAAGGAGCTATGGAAGGATGATCCGGCATCATACATGGGCCTCGGATGTGCAGGTTTTCCAAATTACTTGTCCATGCTTGGCCCTAATTGTCCTGTTGCGAACGGCAGTCTGATTGGTATGACGGGATTTCTTTTTCAGAGTTCTCCATCGTTTGGCTAACAGATAACGCAGGGAGTCTCGAGGCGACGGCGGATTTTATCGTTCGCCTCCTCAAACGAGTCGATAGCTTCGGCGTTGCTACATTTGCACCCGACAAAGGAGCACAAGATGACTTCAATATGCAGGTTGACGATTTTATGAAAGGTGCTGTTTGGACCGGAAATTGCACAAGTTGGTGTAAGTCTCCCGCTTCTTTTGTTGTAATCTTACACTATCAACTTTCGCAAAAATATATGACGCATTGTACTGACTCGATTAGACAAACAAGGTCAGACCGGAAGAATAACGGCCGTCTGGCCAGGAAGTAGTCTCCACTACCGAGAAGTACTCAGTCAGGACCGCTGGGAAGACTGGAAATGGACTTACCCTGGCGGTCGATACAAAGTATGGGGTAAGGGAGATTCCACTGTGGAGAAGGAGGATGGTGATCACAGTCATTACCTCGAGCATGGGCCATTATTGTCAAACCTCTCCTTGGCTGGACCTAAATTGGTTGGTCATCCGATGGTCACTAACAGGGACTGGTCAAATAAGGGGTTTATCGATGATTTCAACTATCAAGCGAGTGACAAGGCCGCGAACGGAATTGAGGATACTTGATCGATTGATTAGACTATACCTATGTACTTGCTCACAATCTTTTTTGACGGTTTTATGATCACCATCTTTCTGAAAAAAAAATCTTACATTTCTGTTATGAATCTCTCTTTGCCTTCTTCTTTCAGAAACCCTCGTTTCATCACAAATCACTTGGAGAAATCTTTCATAAGCCGTCATAGCTGTCTGTTTGAAGCTCGTGGAGTCAATCGGCTCAAAGGGTGGACTAGATATGATCCCACGCATCTATAGATCACAATTTGGAAAGAATAAGGCTCGCGATGACAACCTGTATTTCATCGTCAAGTCAAATACAATTAGGCCCAAACTAATCATAATCAAAGGCAAAGATGCACCATCATAGCAGCGCTTTTTCTTGTGGCGTGAATTCGCGCCGCGCCGGTCCCCCACGGCTCCCATCGCCATGAAATGCACTTTGCTGATCCTTGTAATCCATTCTGAACCGCCATTTCTTCTTCAAGTCCGCTGGGAGCCTCCGCTCGAATCCCTGCACTACATATTTCCCTAAAGTTGGCAAGAATTTGAACGCGCTGCCGGAAAAGTAGAATTAGTACGTGTCAAGAATTGAGTGCGTGCGAAGTGAGACAGTACTTACTGGCCGCTTCCAGCTGTTGCAAGAAAGAGATTTGAGTGGTCTGGGTGGTAGTCGATGATAAAATCGCCAGAGGGCGTGTCGTTATACCAGCACACAGCAACGCGGTCGAAGCGGCGGTCTGCAAGAGACGGAAGAATTGTTTTCAAACCCGAGCGCAACCGTGAGATACCGTCCGGGGGCGCAAAATCGGTGCGCTTGCTTCGGATGGCTGTTGGTGGGAACGAAAGGTCGTTCTGGCCGGTACTTCGAGTATGAGTATAACCCCAGCCATGGACGGCGATCTTCAGCACTCGAGCTTCGGGGTGGGGTGGGAAGCAGAACCATCCGGAGTCATAGTCTATGTAGAGCGGCAGGTTCTTATATGTATCCATCTCCGCTTCTGACAGATTGATAAATGCTAGGACCTGCGCGGTGGAGATTGTTGAGTTATACATCGGAGCAAGCATTGTCGACCAAGCGCCAGCAGAGAGAACAAAGTAGTCCCCTTGTATCTCATGACCACCCTCCGTTTCTGCAGCAACGATCTTATTTGTTGTCTTGTCCTTTTTGAAAGCAACAACGGTACCTTTTCTACCGCAGATGAATGACACGCCACCCTCAATGCACTCGTTACGAAGTGTAGTGATCGCCTTTTGAGCGTCAGCCCAACCAGAGCTACTGTTGCTGTATCCGGATAGGTTCGAGTGAACTGTATCACCATACAGAATTGGAAATTCGGTCTTGATAGCTTCTTGGTTTATCATTGGCTTCCAAGGGTGATGGAGACCGTCGAGAGCATCTGTGCATTTCTTGAGGTGCGTCCGCCCGTACGCCTTGCTTGCAATGAAAGCATTTGGGCCATGGTGGAAGATTCCGCGGAACTTTGGATGAGTATGCCAGACATCGAATGCTTCTTTTGCAAGCTTAGCATACACTGGATCTCGATAGTCGAATCGAATTACGCGTGAGATGTCGACACTGGAGCCATCCGGTACCTGGACTCCTATCAGCTCTAGCCCAGCTGTCCCAGAACAAGACTTACTGGAGGCACATGTCGATCCAGGATTGTGATATTCTTATATCCTTTGCCAATTAACTCCAGTGCTGTTGATAAGCCAAACACGCCGGCGCCCACTATGATCACAGAGCTGTTCGTGTCCATCGCGTTTTTCGATGATACCTAGATACCGCTAGCCCGGAAGACAATGGATGATCTTTATATTGAGAACAGTGTCCTAGACGAGACGTTTTTGGGATAAGCCCAGTGCGAAGATCGCATCTTGAGAGCAAGACGCCCAGGCGCTACCAGAACGCTGCCCAGGTGGGTTGAGGCGGGAACGGAAGCGGAACCCGGATTCCTTGCCGGCGCTAAGCGTCATGGCCTAACATCTTCCACGTTATCTATCTGACGGAATGTAAATGGACGCGATTGCAGCACCTCTTCAGAAACGAAGTACACATACATCATGGCCATCATATGGCCTGAGCAGTACACTCTGCCCAGCTCTACCTATGTCCCGAACAGTATCTTGCCAGTCCTAATATATCGGGGAGTTCTACCAGTTCCCGTGAATTCGGAACTGGCAAAGCATCTATGTGAGAGAAACGGCTGGGAAAAACGCGTGAGTTTTTAAACGCAAAAAGATCGTACCCAAACAATACGCTCAACACCAGTTAGGGCGAATGGGGGGAGATTAAAATACCTCATTTTCACCCTAATACTCATGAATGCTACGGTACGGACTCCAGTGGCGCGGGATCGGTTTCTCAACCAATCTAAATTGCACAGCTATCACTCGAGGAAGTTCGCGTTTAGCTCTTGGGCGAGCAAAGGAGGATGAGGGCACCGATGGCGTTGAAGTCGATATCAGTGTGGGGGATGTGATCGTAATCCCAGCGGGTGTTTCGCACCGGTCGCTCAGATCTGAAGGCGGTTTCAGATATATTGGTGTATATCCCGAGGTCAGTCAGCGATTGAAGGCTGGATTTGAGGGGAGGTTACGATTGACTCTGTGTAGGCAGCTCCGCGCTGGCGAAATAATCATTGCGAAGGCGATGAATCCATGGCTGCATTATCCGAGGAAATTAACAACGTGCCAATACCCGATTCTGACCCAGTATTTGGCACCAACGGTCCTTTGAGTCAGATTTGGAAGTCCAGACGAGCCGCAGGCCGCGCGAGGATATGAGCTTCTGATAGAATTGCTAGAATTGAGTCGGTAAAAGTAGAGAAGGTACGAACAAGGCCAAGTTACCTCACATGTCCCTCTCAATGACTGTAATAGTGCAAATGATCGGGCTCGTGATTTAAAAGGAAGTAGTTGAACGTGGATCCGCCGGACAGGGGCGTATCCCCATAAGACCGAACAGCAATGTCATCCAGTCTGGAGTGAACCGTCATGCCAGCGGCTGTATTCGGACTTGGATGACCAGATTCCTGGCCATCGGTGAGAGTCGATGACTCCCTCAAATCCGGCCTTACGCTGCGCATTACATAGTCAGGCTCTGCGTCAAATGCGTACCCTGAGTTTGGCTTGGTAGAAGTTGAAGCGTACTCGAAGAGCTTCCACATCAATAGCAAGTCTTCTTCCGCAAGATATACTTGATTGTTTGCGTCGGGTGGGGCTGCACCATCGTACTCTTCTTCCACGTAGTTCAAATTTGAACGGTATGGGATACGCGCTTCTAGTTGTTCTAGAAGAGAGACCTCATATGTGTTAGCTTGTACGTACATTCGCGGAAGCACGTCAAATACATACAGCAATCTGCATTCGCGGCCACTCCATTGAGAGTCTTTTAACAAAGTCAAAGCATTTGTCAAATTTCTGCTTCGCGGATGCAGCTACCGTCGGATACTGGCTTCTGGTATGTTCCAAATGGACTGACGCCGCAATTGCGACCAGATGACCGAGAAAGGGGTCATGGAGCATCAGTTCGGCTTCGTTCATGTGATTGAGAAGCCTGAACACCCAATTAGCATGGATCAAAGAGAACTCATAAGACTTTTGTAAGAAAGTCAGTGGGATTTTGTGTTTGAGGCGTGCAGTTTTGACGTGGATAATGAAAGGGTGGTTTCTGCATAGGGTTCAGTATGTCGACACAGAATGTTCGAGTTGTACTGACAAGATGCAGTTTACCGCAGACAAAGTCATGTGAAACCGCAGCCAAATGACAAAGTAGCTTGTCAATCGTGGTTCTTCCAACACACGGGCAGGCGAACCCACACATGTTAGAGTGTGTCCTGCAGTCTCGCACCCTAGATCATATCTTAGATTCTTTCACCCGAGAAGAGAAACATACTCACTTGTCTCGATGTCTAGAAGTTTCGTCAAGATTGCAGCCCGGGGCGAATCGTGTCTCCAGAGAGGAATGTCGGTGCTCAAAGGGGGCTGGGCGATGTAGTCGATGATGCACTCCCATATCCGAATCGTTTGTATTTGTAGACAAGCGACACTCTGTGGTGGGAGTGGAATATCTGAATCTACAGATTCTAACGAAACATCAGACTCTGCAGTCTGAGGAGAACCATCGGGGTGACAAGGACCGCTCTGGATGACAGGGAGTTCGAAGACGGCAGTCGGGGTCGATGGGTTCTTCGTATTTCCCCCAAGAAGCATTCTGTCGAGCATAAACAGTGACCATATGATCTCCTGTCTCCGAGCTCGATCGGCGAGCTCCAGGCCATCAAGAGAATCAACGCGGAGCATGTCACGGGCTTGTGCGACTCGCAAACCAATGGCAACCTGGGCTCGTGCTCTCTCAAGCTTCCCGTCTAGTTTCGTTAATATGCCTTGGCTATTATAAGAGGTCTCATAAACTTACCACCTGAGTCCACCTGTGCCTGAAGACAAAGCGCCTGGAAATAAACATCATCAATCTCAAACTCACAGTATGCCATGGTGATAAGATTCCATGCGAGCTGTGTCAGATTAGCTATACATCTCGTTCTTACAGACGTATCTTTGAAAAACGGATGCCGGGACGAGCGTAAGCTAAGAGCCAACATGGCATACAGGATCATTGGGGCTATGGGATCACTTTCCCCGGGTTCGAGGGATTGAGAATTGGCCAAAATGGGACACGGCTGATTGCAGAAGTTGGAAAAGTAGAGCGCGATCCCTTCTGCTATGACTGTGTCTGGTAATTGCGCATCCTGTATGCTAACAACAATCAGCGGACTGCGATACGATCGTGGTGGTCGGCAACAGCCCTTACCCGGGGTAAAGAGAGTGTGGCACAGTAGGGAGTGAGATTGGTGAAAGTTGGATGACAGGTTCCTGTGAGAATCTCGCCGTCTGATGTTCATCATCCTGGCCCTGATGGGTGGGAGACTTGGCTGGCGCAGAGTGTCTTTGAACGCTAAGAGATGTCAGCCTGATAGTAAGATGCTCCATAAGGAAGGCGTACTCGATCACCGCAGCAAGATTTTTCAGCATGTCTTCAATCGCGTTAAGACGCTCTGACTAAGAATGAATGAGTATTTTAAGAGGAACCTGGTGGCATGCATGACTGTACATTGTCGGTGCCAACCGCTTGAGGAGCGCCGCTGGTGTCATTGTGAGGCTCGGTGGACCTCTCGCGAGTTCGATGATGAGCGGCATAGACACATTTTTGTCGTAAACGCACACAACACGAACAATCAGGTCTCTCTCCTGTACATTTCGACTTCTTCCGACTGCACTTTTGTTAGTCATCAGCAGAACTGATGAGACTAAAACCTCGGTGCGCACGGACCGGCAATTCTCGCAAGCTTGTCTTGCACGCTTGTTCGTAGAATACGGAAAGCGTTGGCTGCGTCGTTGGTTCTCCGCCATTTACAGGATGGATGTACGTATGGGAATTCGATGGTTTGCGAAAGGCACGCGACCCCAACTAGCGTCTGGGAGCCGTCCACCTGGGCACCCCAGATTGGAACTGAATCCGGGCTGTAACGTGACACTGTATCTCACCCTCACCTGCGTAACGTGCTGATAAGAGCCGAATCAGGGTTCAGATTAGTCTGATTGCAAATCGTGTCCAGAAGTAATAACCGACTGAACAGCAGGATTGATCAACAGTCAACCGGATCATGTGACCGGACTATCCATCACGTGAGCGGCTTGTAGCCGACTGACCTTTGCCGGGTTCGATAACATGTCGTGAAAGAATATAGGCATGGGAGATTACTGGTCAGCTATCTGGCCTTTAATTCACAGTCGCAGCTTGTTTGAGTCGCTCCACCATCCACCATGAGCAAGTATCTTTGGAATTTCTTCGGCTTCAGAGACTCAGCACCGCCAAACACTACTTCGCGCAGTCTACCGTCGTCATGGTATAGGTCCGACGCTATCTATCAGCTGGAAAGGCGGGCCATATTCTCTAAGAGATGGATCATGGTTACACACAAGCACAGGTTCCCCACTACCGGAGATTATATTCAATTTGAAGAAGCAGGTTTCCGCTTCTTTCTCTGCCGAGATCGAGATGGCGATATCAATGGGTTCCATAACATCTGTCGGCATCGAGCTTTCCCTGTCGTCATGGAACCTCAAGGACGAGCGAAAATACTGTCCTGCAAATACCACGGGTGGTCCTACGGACTGAAAGGTAATCTGGCAAAGGCGCCTGGCTATGAAGAGATGGAAGGTTTCGACAAAACGCAAAATGGACTTTTTCGAGTGAATGTTCATGTCGATCATAAAGGCTTTGTGTGGGTGAACATGGATGTTTCAAATGACTTGGCATGGGAAGATGACTTTGAGGGGGTTGACACACAGCCTCGCATGGATGCATTTGACTTTGACGATTACCGATTCGATCACACTTGGAACATGGATGGCGACTTCAATTGGAAAGCATTGGCTGATAACTACAATGAATGTTATCATTGTCCGACCGCTCACCCGGACGTGGCCGGCATCACAGATCTGAAGCTTTACGCTGTCAATACGGAAGGGGGGCACATTCAGCACTTCACTAATGCAGATAATATCGCCATGGATGAGGGACAGCGAGTTCGCAGCACGTATTATTTCCCAAATGCGTGCATGACCATCACGTAAGTGGACAAACAAGCCCTCAGAAACACCGTCCGAGTGGGCTGACCCGAGTTAGACCTTTCTTCTTTTACATGATGAGATGCGTACCCACATCGCCTAATCATTGCTCAATGGAGTACGAAGTATATCGGCATAAGGATGCTTCTGATGCGGAGTTTGAAGCCATCGACTCCATGTACAAACGAGTCTTGAATGAAGATAAGTGGCTTTGCCTCAATACACAAAAAAACTATGACGCTGGTGTATATGTCAGTGGAGAGATGCACACAAGAATGGAAAAGGGACCCTTGTTTGTTCAGCAGACCGTTCGCAACCTTGTCCGACAGCACCATGAACAGGAGAAGACGCTGGGGCGCGAGATATGGCCTGCCCGACAGGTTTTGCCGGAGTTAGCAACAGGGGTACACGAAGATGAAATTTTCGCGTGCAACTTGACTTGTCCATCTGACAAGCTCGAGTGGTAGAGAAGGATAGTTGCACATTACGATGTCCCAAAAGTATTTAGAGGAGGCTGATACTACTGGAAAATCCCAAAGTCCAACCCACGTCGGTGGCAGCGTCCTTAAGACTGAAGTAAACGATGTCGCAGACCGATATACTCTTTCTATAGAAAATCATTGCTATGTGGGATTTCGACACATCGCCCTATGCACCACAGTGCAAAATCGTGTAAAAAGCATTATACTCCGGTGGTTCTTACACAGAAGAAAGGTCCTGTCAAGTGAAATGCACTGCAAAGCCATGTAAGATGTCCGCATTTCCGGTAAATCACCCATAATGCGATGTAAAAAAACCGATGCGGTGTTTGTGTTACAGCTAAAGTTCAGTTTTGGTTAAGAAAAAACGCTGCATTTGGACCTCAGTGCTAAGCACATTTGAAACTTACAAAAGGTCGTGCTAAACAGACCTATTCACGGGCAGGCAGGGCTCACTCAAATCTTGCTTGCCGGTTACATCGTGTATTTTCACTGGAACCTCTTGTGGGAAATATAGCTCATGCATCGAAGATCCTCGTTGAGCAAAGAATACACTTCTCCTGATGTATGATAAGGATCATGCTGCTATAAGACACGTTCAAACAGCTACTTGACACATTTGTAGGATGCATGCCATGGTGTCGCGGCGGATAAGCCGCAGAACTACAACTGAATCACTCCGTTCAAGCGTGACGAAGACACAGGAAAACCCGCGTTGAGGCTATTAGGTAATACTATATTTTACCAAGTGACTAGTCGGATGTAAATGCCTAGGTGGGTGCAGTAGAGCATGCACTGTTTTTTATACTGTGGGCGTGCAGCGAGTTGAGATCCATTGCACGTTGCCACATGTGCGGCTCCAGGCTGCCTTGGGCAGACGTTCTTCTCCGATTAGCGTACGACCTTATAAAGGTGCGCTCTGCTGTTCGCTAGCATAACTTGCCAAGTCTGGCCGTTTGCCTAGTTATTGTGTACCTTCATCTTCAACCCCACACTCTCTCCTCTTCACTCGACCACCGCAAGCATCTTCTCGGACTCCATTCATCGCAATTATGGCCATTTCGGAAGCAATGCCCCATGAGAAGAAGTATCTTGAGGCGCTGGCCTACAAGGACGTGGATATGGGAATGTGCGTTGTGGCAGGGAAGGAGAACCTCCAGTGAGTACTTTCGCCGGACAGCAAGCTCATGCGACCCCATCTAACGCGGTAGTCTAGGGACCCTACTCTTACTCATTACTGGGTTATCAAGAACTGCATTCTCGTCGCCTGCGGCCTCGACAGCTGGGAGGATGCAGATTACTATACGTTGATGTTGCCAAGCAAGCTTACATGACAACTCTGCACGACGCTACGGTAAGGAACGACAAAGAATATCTCGGCCATCTCGCGAAATTGAGAGAAGACCTCGACCAACTTGCAGAGTTCAGATTGGAAGACGTCATGGGCGTGACACAGGGGGGAGAGGGCGATGAGGTGCAGGAAACCCTTTGGGGTGGCCTGGAGCTGTCTGATTCCGAAGATGAAGATATGTCTGACTTTGGCTCCGAAGATGAGGAAGCAGAGGTCGCGGTCGAGGTCGCGGTCGAGGACGAGGTCAAGGATAAGGTCGAGGTCGCGGTGGACGACGACCCATGGGTTATTGTCGAAACACCGGCCACTCCCCGTGGTTGGAGGAAGCAAGACCAATCGTTCGTAGTTCTGTTCCAACTTAAAGCTATACAATAACATGCGCGGGAGAAAGACAATTGCAAGTTGTTGCCAACCCTCAAATTGTAGCACGAGACTCTGCGTTTCCACATTTTAACAGCACGCCCGCCTTCGAAACATATGCTAGGGTTGGAAAATGATCTCGAGGCGTCTCTAAATCAGATCTGCAGGCTCGCGTGTTGGAAAAGCTCTGCCTGATATGCGGCTGCGTGAGGCTGCGTGCAAGGCTGCGCTTTCCCTTCAGCTGAGCGCTTAGCGCCAAAGCCTAATGGCGGTGTGCTGCCTGGAACAAAGCCACAAGCCTTTCAATATCTGCGGCCTGCTTGTAATGGTCTAAGCCTTGCATATTGATTCCGATTGTTGGTGGTTCGCTGTTCGCTGTTCGCGATTCGTGTATTCACACTTTACACAGAGGTTGAGGCTGAAGTCAAGAGGAGGTGCGGCTCAGCCGCCTCGCACTCGACTTCGGTCCTTCTTATGGGAGTGAGTGTGTTTCGCAATACCTATAAGTTACCTGAAGCCATCTTGGTGTTCCTTTGATTGCCCTAAGCACACAATAATTTCCTTGTTTGTACTTGGATACTCCAAAATGCTTTTCGTACCCTTTGCCCTCTTCAGCCTTGTCGCAAGTACAGGTGTAATCTTTATTCCAAAATTCAAACCCAATACTCCTGCCATTCGTCCTCCGAGCCCTCCAAAAGTAGATTATAAGCCCAATACAAACAAACCGGCTCCACAGGTACCTGCAAAGCCAGCACCCGCGCAGGAGCAAGTTCAAGCGAATAATGTTGGCGGACTGAACAATAAATTGAAGAAGGCGGAAGACATCGCTGGTTTGATCGACATCGGGAAAGACATCGCGCAGGCAATATTGGGGACGACACAGTCGACGACGGTGAAAGGTGAGCGAAGGGGTTGAAAAGCCACACGTACGATCACTGATCAAAGGTCAGCATCGTCTACGGCGACTATCAACGCGACTGCATTCGCTCCTTGCAACAGCTATGCGTCTATCCTAGCATCCTGTGCATCTGCTACAACCAGCTTCTACGACCTCGATTACGAGCAGCAGGCGTCGTGTGCATGCTACCAATCAAGCACCAATACCGCAGCATGCCAGGCCGTACCAACACTGGACACGAGCTACGACGACTATGAATACGAATGCTACGACTTCTTCGATAGCAATGGGTATGTGATGATTGCCCAAGCTATGAACGACTCGCTCCAACTTCCCGGGCCGATGTTGTGCAATTGGGCGCCTGCGGAGTTCTCGATGCCGTCGACTCTACCTGCGAAGACCGTGAGCTGTGCGGCAGCTTCGCCAACATCGACAGCATCGGCTTCTGCGCAGGAAACTGGTAACAATGGAGCTGCACAGCTGCTGACAACCTTTGATCAAGGGGTATTCGTAAGTGCATTGCAACGGTGCGTGCGAAGAACATTGCTGACAAGTGCAAGGTGATATCCGCGGTCACTGTGGCGGCGTTTTCATGGGTCTTGTTTGACTAGCCTCGGAGTCGCTATGTTTTGTGAAGTCGAATATTGCAAGCTGTGAATTAGGTAGCATGCGTACTCTTGTGGTTCAACTCAGTGTCCCTGTCATAGTTGATCAACGAATTGCTGTTCATCTTCCGCCCATGAACTCAGGCTTGAAGGCCTTGACACCACCCGCCTTCATCAGCTCCCTCAATGCCATAGTAGCATACTGGCTGCTGCCCAGCTGCAACTTGACCACAACCGCGATTTTCTTCTCGTCCAGCTCCTCACCCTCCTCCATTGTAACATCTCCAGTCTGCCTCTCGCCCTCCTTCGCTCCACCCCTCGCTTTCTTGATCTTGTCGAAATCTGTCTCGACGAACTGCTGATCCGGCTTGGTGTAACTGTGCACCTCGAATTCCAGCGGCTGCAGCGGCTGCGCCAGGAACTTCCTGTACCCGCCGCTCAGGCTGACTTCGCGCCACGCGCGGCGCATGTTGTGCGGGTCCAGACCGCCGCCGCGCTCGCTGCCCATGAACTCTTTGTAAAATTCGCCGATAGAGTTTTTGGGGTACTCGACGTCAAAGCCAGGCTGAGGCAAGACGACGTCGTAGATTGTGTACAAGCCGCTTTCGGCTTCAGCTTTGGTGAGGGAGCGCGCGCGTTCGAAGTCGTCGTTGACTGCGTTGGCGTTCTCGGTGCCAGAGGGGTTGATGATGAACTCGCCGTCTTGGTCGATGGTGGTTTTGACAGTAGAGGAAGAGTCGCCGGTCTTGTCGAGATGCTCGCCGACGAGTACCAAATCACCTTCTACGACCTTGTCGCCATATGTAGTCCATCGTTTGCCTGCTACTGCGTTCCAGACGAGCGATTGGTAGGCGTGAACATACATGAGGCGCAGAGTGCGAGGAATAGTCATCAAAGCGCCCTGCCAGTCTGTCTTGCGGTCGTGCTTTCCAGAATGGGAGTTGCGGGAGCCGAGATGTTGGATTATGTTTCGTTCCGCGGTGAACTTGCGGGGGAGAAGTTCCAAGGCAGCAGGGCCCTTGCCTTCAGTCTTCCAGACGTGGAGGGCTTTGGCACGGTTGCGGTCATCTTGGGATACGAGGATGCTGGAGTCACCTGTACCTTCTGCTGCAGCGAGTGCTACCTCGCTGTAGTTTAATAGATCATCGACAGCGCCTTGCAGATCATCTTTCAGCATCTTGCGCCCGACTTGGTCTGTGCTAGCTGCGAAAGAGCCAAAACGCTGCAGACCGTAATAATTGATGAAGCCTTTCTCAGAGAAGTCCCTGATAGCTTTACCGACAACGTCATTGGCGAAAACCTGCCTTTGCACGTCGTTCATGCCGTCTTCGTTCTGGAATTTGCAGTCTCGAAGTGTGATCGTGAACTCATTACCCTTCAAGTCACCCAACTTCAAATCGTTCGTACGATACTCAAAGTCACCAACCGCAGCATTGAACAGCGACCTGTTGAACCCGGCAATGCGTTCGGCAGTCTGGCGCTTCACGCACAGTCGCTGAACGGTACAAGCGCGCCTGTCCTTGGTTCCTGCAAAAGCGAACGCTTTCGCGCCGCTGTTGAGCTTGCTTCCCAAAAAACCAACGACCTCCATTGTGTCCTTGTTCTCTTTGTACAGCGAGAAATGGAGGTAGTCTCCACCCAGCTCTTCCCACGCAAGCTGGCCGCCCCTGTGCTTGCTCTGATCCCCATTGGCCTTGTCTCCTCTCCCGCCTTTGCTTTTGCGCTCCGCTGGAGGGTTGGCCTTGATCCGAATCGATTGATCGTTTTCCATAGACGTTTCGAGGAGGTTTGGAAACAGGCGACGGAGGGATTTGTGCGCGTTGGTGCGCGTCTCTTTGTCAAGGATCGGTGCCGATGTAACTGCTTTGAAGCTCCTCGCTTTCGCAGCTTCGCGGTTCCGTATGCTCTGCACGAGTGCGATAATCTGGTTTGTTATGTCTTCCCCGAATATCGAGTGGAGTAGCTTGGTATCATCGTCCGAGATCTGCTCGTTGTCAGTAAATCAACCAAGCTTGACATTTGTGTGACGTGTACCTCTTCCTTGACCTCCTTCTTCGGCGCCGCAGCAATGGCAAATGTCTCCTCACCACCGTTTGTCCCTGCTGCTGTGGCAGGCTTTTCAGCTTCCGCAGGCTTTTCTTCCGCAGGCTTCTCTTCCTTTGGCACGACAGGCGCGTTACTGTCCTCCACAATCGCAATCTTCTCCTCCGGCCTGATCTTCTCAGCATCCGCTGGCGCTTCAGTCCTCACGTCCCTCTTCTTCTTCTCGACCTGCGTGCTCTTCAAATGCAGCACCTGTCCGTCAAGTCCGATCTCGTTGACCAAGAAATCAGTGTATCTCTGCTTCAGTATGCCTGTGAAGCCCAAGTTATCGGGGCAGACGTATTCTGTAATTCCGGCGCGAGCTTCTCTTTCGTAGTCCGTTTCAATCTGCGATGGCGCATTTAGTGCTGAGCCTGGCGTGGCCTGCGGTGTTGCAGCGGCGGAGGGAGTGTGGGTGGTGCTCTGGTCGAGACGCGCGCGCTTTGCGGGTCGCGCATCGTTTTCACGGTCGTCTGACATGGTTCAACGTGTAGGACAGCGAGATGTGAGGGTTTGGGGGGCAGGCGTACATTTTCGAGGGAATATGGCTGGCAAGTTTTAGCGGGGAAGTTTTCGCGCGTTCTCGGCTAGGCTTTCCCCTCGATCTGCAGAGGATTCATCACCACATTACTGTATCGGCAAACATTTTGAATTGGATATGAATAAGTTCAGAACTCAGATCAATTTAGATCATCTATGTATATACTAACACAAAACTCCAGCCCAGGGTATAAGATATGCTCAGCTATCCATCGCTCTCAAGAAACGGTAAAGTACACAAACAAGTCATCTATGCTTCGCAAAGAATGCCCACTGTAGTGGGAAAGAATCGAAACTACTCAAACAAACTCAACTTCAGAACCCGTCTACGGCTGCGCAAAGATAGCGAGCGTAGCGCAGAAGTTGCTGCGGTTATCGGCGTCCTTGAGAAGACCCTGACCATTGGAAGTGATCATGTTGACAGAGGCCTTGGATGACAGACCGAACCAGTTGACGTTGGTCGAGTTGCTGATCTCGTTGATGTGTTCCTGGCAGTTCTGGCCAACGACACACTTCTGGTCGTAGTTGCTGAAGAATGAGTATGTACCCGCGCCATAGCTCCAGATGCTGGAGCTGTCGATGACACGAACAGCCCAAGCAGATGTCAGGCCTTCAGAGAAATCAGGATCGAAGTACTTGTCGTTCTTGGTGAACGGGACATTGGCGTTGGGGTTGGGCTGGTAGTAGGGAGTCTCGGTCTGGATGGCGCCGTACCAGATGTCCTTAGCACCCTGGAAGTGGTACTGCGACATCTGAGAGTGCTCGGAAGCGGTGCCGACAAGCCAAACGGGACCCTGGGACTCGACGATCATACCACGACCGTTGTAAATGTCGATCTGGCCGTGGTCGGCCTGGTCAAGCTCGTGGTCAGCAGTCCACAGCCAGACATTCTCGAAGTAGCCGTTGGAAGACTTGGTAATGTGGAGCTGCATGAAAGAGCCAATGCATGCGGGGTTGGCGTCGTGGGTGGCGTTGGGGTTCTTTGCGCAGTTCGAAGACTGGAGCTTCGTGCCTTCGTAGCCGCCAACGCGGAAGTGAACATCCCAGAGGCCAGCCTGGCCAGCTTCGGCGTTGATGTTCCATTCCATCAAGATACCACCGGGAGCAGGGCCCTGGGTGCCGATGATGGCGTCGTTCATCTCGAAAGATCCCTTGTCACCAGACTTGGCGCCGATCTGGAAACCAGGCTTGGGGTCATCCATGTTGCCGAAGAACTCGCCGGTGATGAAGAACATGGGGTAAACCTCACCCTGAATCTTGACGTTCTTCTCGGCAGGGACAACGATGGTCTTGGTGATGAGGTAGGCGCCGTGGTCAACGTAGAGGATCTCGCCATCCTGAAGTCCGTCAATAGCAGCCTGGATAGCGGCAGTGTCATCAGTAGAGCCATCGCCCTTGGCGCCCTTGGACTTGAGGCTGATGAATTTGGAGACATCGACCTCACCGTACTGGGGCTTGCTGCGCTCAAACCAGCCGTTCTCGCCTTGCAGAACCGCAGGCTTCGACGGTCCGCCGTTGATGTCACCCTGGACACGGCCCTGGCCGGATCCAGCAGCCATGGCGTTACCTTGAGCCCAGGCCTCGACCTTGACGCCACCCTTGACGAGAACATTGCCAGAAGCGCCAACAACAGCCGACTCGCAGCCAGAGAAATCAACGTTCTCAAGGACGAGGGTACCGCCAGTGGTAGGGATACTGTCTTGAGTGAAGGAAGTGTTGACACCGACGGGAGTGTTGACGAGCTTGCTGTCAAGCATGAGGACAGAGCCGACAGTCTGGTTGGTAGGGCTGTTGGCCATGTCGAGACCAACCTTGCAGTTGTTGATGAAGATGCTCTTCATGGTCCAGAGCCAGTTCCAGTTCATGTAGATAGCGGTACCGCAGTCGTTGAAGGTCATGTTGCGGGTGGTGAACTGCTGCGAGCCGAGGAAAGCACCGACGCCGCCGCCGTTGAAGGTGAGATCGGTCATGAAACCGCCGGAACCATTGTCCTGGAAGATGCCCTTCTGGTCCTTTCCAGCCTCGCCCTTAGCCATCTCAAAGCGGATGTTCTGAAGGGAGGTGGCCTGGGAGACTTGCCAGTGGATACCAGCGGTCGCCTTGGCGGCAGTGATGTCAATGACAAAGTTACGAATCTGACGGTAGAAGTTGTTTTGGTTGGTGTACCAGTTAGCACCGTTGCCTCCGGGGATGTAGGGATCAGCGTCAATGACAGCCATACCCTCGAAGGCGGCAGTAGCTTTGATGGTGGGGAGATTGTTGATGTCGCCAACAAACTGAGTGTAGTAGTACTGAATGATCGGGGCGCTAACAGCGTAGGTACCAGGGGGGAAGTAGACGATAGCGGGAGTGGTTGTAGAAGAGTCACAGCCCTCACCACAGCGGTCACCATCGGCGACAGCCTTGTTGATGGCCTCGGTGTCATCTGTGGTACCATCGCCAACGGCGCCGTACTCTTTGACGTTGCGGAAGATTTTGTAGCTGTCCTTGTTGGGGTTGTACGGCGCAACGCCCTGACGCTTGACATCAGCGAACCAGTACCCAGATGCTGCGACCGGCGCAGGTGCTTGTGGTGCTGGTGCCGCGATGGGGGCGGCTGTGGAAGGAGCGGCGGTGATGAGGACGCGCAGCGCTAAGAGAAGCGCACCAGCGCTGAAAGCCACCATGATGGCTATGAAGATTTTGCTTTTATGTGATTTGAAAGGTCGATGTGAGCGCGAAGGCTATGGGGTTTTTCGTCAGTTGACCGGCAACAGACTTGTGGTAGAGAAGGTGGGCAAAAGTATGTAGAGTTGCACAGCAACAGATGTAGTAGAAGAGAAGAGTATGGAAAGAATGTTCTTCAATAAAAGAGTGATGAAGAACAACAATGAAAAATGGAAGGGAAGCAACACAATGCTGCGAGCTGACAACGAGCCTGCGTAAAGAGGTGAAGAGGGAGCGGTGACATTGTATAAGTACGCGGTGTGAACGTAGGGACTTACAATAGCAACGTTAACGTCGCGCCAATCAAGTTCGGCAGAGCTCCTTGTTTCAAGTTTCGAATAGACGGGTCGACTTCCTCGCTCTGCGGTGCTCGACTCATTATGCCCAGCCGATAATGCCCACTTTATACCTGCTTCCGCGGTGTGATACCACCGCTTTGCTGTCGCCTCCTCATCATAGTTCCGCGTAGCTTCTAATTGAAATGCCTCCTCGTCACTGTCGTCAATCTCATGATAATGAGACCCGGTGGCCATGTTTGTGAGCCGTATGCCTTGCCGTAAGGGGCTCGGAGGCAAAGCTAGGAATGCGACCTTGTGCGACCGCACGCCACTGTGAAAATTGCCCCAGGGTCTTTGCTAGCAGGGAACACAAGACCTGTCTGTTCGAACTTCACCTTCGCGCGTGAAACAGCAGGCTGTCGAGAGCCAGTAAGTGAACGCGATGTGCTGGAGATGGCAATCCTGTGCCTGGCGCGACAGGGGTCTGGTTGGGCCAGCAGCCACAACCGGACCAAGCCTGAAACAGAAAGAGCGTTTCGAATTTTCCGCGCGGAGCCATCTACTGGCTGCGAGTTGCCGTATGCAAATAGCTTTGCTGCCAGCGCTTCAGCGGTGAATCTGTGAACACTGGTCGCCAGCCAAGGGCCATTTCGTACGGCAACGGGCCGCGGGAGATCGTGCTGGGATGCACTGCGAATCGCCGCTGTAGCAAGGCGCCTGCAAGTCTCACTTGGTCGCATCAGATGCACCAAGATCTCCACGGCTGTGGCTTCACGTTTAGCACATCACTTGAGTCTTGCGCACTGCTCAGCAGACTTGTGATTTCGCGGTTGTGCGTTGAAGCACTCGTAAGGCTGCCTTGTACGACATGTGAATGAGGTTGCGTGTCTCTCCACGTTGTGCACAAAAGAAGCAAGACCCCTGAAGCCGTTGAGATTTGAGGATTCAGATGTACCAATCGGTGCTTGACGAAGATGTTGAGGTTAAGTGCAAACCAAACATGTTTCACGGATCTGGCTGTCAAGATCGCCTCTTTCAAGCATAGCGCATCTGCATAAATTTGAGGAAGCTGGACCGCACAGATCTTTCATGCCTAAACGACGTCTTTATCTGCGCTCTGCCCAATCATAACAAGGAACCGCCAGGTACGAGACTTGATATCGCTCTTGTATTGCCGGGTTGGAGGTCGACCAGCATCCTTCGCGGCTAAATCCAGTGGCTCGAGCGACGTGTCGCAGCAATCAGGCACCGACCGGATGAAGTCTGTCGGTTCCCTGTGATATACATCGAACAACCTATCGGAGCAGGTGATATTCCTGTACTGTGGGGTCGATCTACGTGTCGCTTTGCATCCCACAGCTCCTGGTGTGACTAGTCGAGCCGCCTACCAGAAGCGCTTTGATTCCTGCTCCACCTGCAGTCGGATCTTGTAGCTGCCAGTAGTGTTCTGCTCGTGTTGCATCGTGCGTATTACAGTGGCCAGGCGTTCGATGCCTTCAACCAACGCATCCTCTTCTTCCCACTATAGTCTTGTAAGTGATAGACAGCGCACAAGACTAGCAACACTTACTGCAAAGCAGACGCGGATGTCGTTCTTGAAAGACGTACGTGGATGGCCATTGTCACCGGGAATCTGGGTTCGTGAGTAAAAGAACCACACTGGCGGAGTATACACTTACTTCAAAGAGCTCGCCCTAAACATGTGTTACTATCAGTTGTTCCCATGACCGTGGCTCTGCTTGTACGTACCTGTGCAACAACTATATTCTCATCCTCTCTAGCACGGTCCACAAAAACACCACACTCCATGCCATCCGGTAAGGTGAGCCAAATGAAGTAACCACCGACGATACTACGATGCGTTTGGGGCAGCCGAACGCCAAGCGGAACCAGCAGGTCGTTGATAGCTTTGATCATTGAGCGATAACGGTTGCCATATGCCGGCTGCAGTTGCTCGTATACATGGCGTTGAAGTTGGCCATTTTCCATAGCTTCAGCTAGGATGTTGGAAACAAACTGACTAGGGTTACCACCGGAACGAGTTGATCCCCTAGTACAACGTCAGTCGTGATGGTCAGTGTGGCTGAGACGATTGACCAGCCCTAGCGGTGATCAGACTCAGCTCGGATTGAGCTGCCGGGCCTCGCATTCGATGGACGAGGATTATGCGAGATGCGAAAAACTGAAGCCTGACTACAGTCTCGCTCCAGCGTGACATGACTACATCGAAAGGAGTTCTGACTTACACTTCTGCAACACCTGAGACAAACTTTGGTGTACCTTCGCACCAGCCGCACCTCAACCCGGGACTAGAGATCTTCGAAAAGCTCATATTCGAGACTGCGTTACCGAAGCCATCGGCGCCTTCTCTTTCAGCACCCCCATCAAGCGTGCGATCGATGTCTACGATTCTAGGCAAATGGGATTGCTCCACAGACAATGTCTCGGACTCAGAGGTGATCTTCGATGGCCATTGCAGGAAGTCGTATACATCATCCGTAATGACGAGAGCATCGTACTCTCGTGCCAATTCTAACAGCTCCGTGCGTCGCCTCAAGCTCATGGTTTTCGACGAAGGATTGGAAAACGTCGGTACGCAATAAATCACGTGTTTGTACACTTTGGCCCAAGGCCGTGACACCGGTTTGTGCTTCTGATGGCACAGTCAGCAAGCCATTCGAGTTGAACAACATTGCCGAGGCCAGGCATCGGAAAAAGGTTGTGAAAGGAGAGTTCATGGTCATAGCACATTCATTACCCGTGATCGACACTTACCGGTTGCACGACACCTGGGCTGAGCGCCTCCTCTTCAACCTTCTTAATCTCATTTCTGAAGTAATCAATATCTATGCCTTCCTCATCTTCAGGTACAGCACGAAACTTGTCGTGAAATCCAGCGTCCTGTACGATGCGGAAGGACAGGTGGTATGCCGGCGCCACGAACCATACTCGCCTAGTATAAGATGGGTCAGTGAACACGTTCAAGAGAACCGCGAGGTTCTGCGAAGCTCCTCCGGAGATTGCAATTCGATCATCAGTAATAGGTTCCTGGGGCTTATAGAAAGTCGTCAGCCACGACGCGAGGTGGTTGCGTAAGCGCCCGTCTCCATGATCTGGTCCATACTCTAGGGCTGGGAACGCCACAGAGTTGTTAGTGAGTACTTTATGGGCGGATCTGTCAAGCAGTTGCGTCGGCAACAGGGAGTGGTTAGGCCATCTGTACGGTGGTCGTTAGCATAGGACAGTGCCGATATTGTGGGCCGCGTAATATTGCAAGAGGGTCTAATAGCACGGGGCAGGGTAGATGCACTGGACAAGTGCAGTGTGGAGTGGAGCTGACGTGCCCTCTCAGAAGGTTGATTAGCTTCTTCTTGCTGGTGGCCGACCCGGCGATATTGTGCGGCGAGAAGGCTGTCATGTTGCCAGGGACAGCAGTGCTCGGAGCCTTGGAAGATTGATGCCTGTCGATTACTGGATGGGCGTCGCACCGACTTGCTGGTGGACGGGTCAACAGCCGATTACCGGGCGTTGTGGCTGGTGCGCAACGCTGTGTCGGGCGCCCACAGTGAGAATGAGATGAGGGGTGCGCTGCCACCGGGCGCGGTTTCAGCCGTCCAGCTTATATGAGACGAGATGAGATGAGAACTTGCTATGTTGCCAAAACCCTTTACATATGCGATAGCGACTCCGGCGTGTAGTGCTTGCGCCCTGTCAATTGACAGACAGGCCGTTTAGACCGAAAGCGTATACGTCACTTCGCATCAGTTGGCCCATGCTCTGTCGTGCTTGTTGGACGAGGCCATGTGTATAAAAAGTAACAGTGGCACGACGGCGGAGCCCTGCACTCGTACAAAAAAATATTGAATGCGCGTGTTTGCTGACTGTTGCTAAATCCTGCACGCAGTCGCCGACGTTCGCTGCGTTTGACAGAACGTGTTGAATCAGACCCAGGTGCCAGTCGAAATGCCGCAGACACGACCGCGCTCGTGGGGCTGCGATGACCCTTGCGGGGCTCATTCAATCGCGTGCTGTAGCGAGGCGCAGGTCCCAGAGAGGCGGCCCATGGCCGCCCGGGAAGATCGTCGAGAGCAGGCTAAAAAGCAGCCGCAAAGGGTCCAACGAATACGAAGTCGAAAAGCTGAGCATCAAGCCAATCGAGGGTTAGCTGAGACCAAAGTCGACATGCGTCAGGGCACCTGCACACGTTGTGGCGAAGAGAAAGGCCAGCCATGCCCTAGCGCACTCCGAACGGGCTATGACGAAGTTTTGGCCCGTTTGCGACACCGCCCACCGGATCTGCAACGGCATTGCGAGAGCAAATATAGCATTGTTAGGCCCTGCTTTAGTCTGGCGGCTCTTCTTCCCAGTACATGTGTCCGCGGCGGCCGCGCAGCCCTGCATAGAGCCTTGTTTGCTGTCTACGTAGCCTACATGCGCTCGTATAGCATACTGTAGTAATTCCACACGCCCACGTAGCCGTCACCGTACCCCTCCGCCTGTCCCAGCCCACTGGTGCCCTCAATAATGGGTGACAAGAAGAAGTCGAGCCACCGGCTCTCGAGCCTGTTCTCCCTGGGCAGCTCGTCGGAGCCCCCTCAGCAGAGCCAGTCTGCGGCTTCGTCGGAATCCAGCGGCCGCCTCACCAAAGTCAAGAACCGCATCTCCTCGGCGGCATCCACGTCGACACAGCAGTCTGCCACGCACCTCACAGCGCCCGAATACCCGCCTCCGCCGCCGCCGCACCGCCGCCCGTCGCCTCCCGACCAGCTGACGATCCAGCCTGTGGGCCCGCCAGCATTCGAGCCCCTCGAGCCCCCTCCACTCCTCGATGCCCCGTCGCGCAGCTCGTCCCCTGGCGGCGTTGGCAGCCGGCCCGGGACACCCAACCTGGAAGTGGGCAACGAGGGGAAGCTGAAGAAGCTGAGGCGGAAGAGCGGGCTCTTTGGAGGGAACAACAGCAGCTTGACCGACGTCAGCCGCAGTGCTGCGAATGACAATCCGCTTGCGTGGATCATTGGGCACAAGGGCAAGGTGCCGTACAATCTGACGATGCTGTTGAACGGCGAGAAGGTGCGTTGCGCTCCAGGGCTGCTGTTCGCGCTAGCTCCACGTGGAAAACACTAATGTGGGCGCACAGGTTCCTGAACTCTGGGACAACGATGGAGATACCCTGGTGTACCTCTTCCCGCGCAACTCGGGCAAGGGGCCGTCTTTCCGCATCGACTCGTCGGTGTACGCAGCCTCGCAGCTGCTCACCCGCCTCGTACACGGATCGCTGTACAGCGACGACGTCGCCGCCGAGGTCCCCTCTCAATCCTCGGCCACTGGCGTGACGGAATCCAGCCAGGAGCAGTCGCGCTCTGCGTCTCCGGACCCGGACCAGAGCCAGATTGACGGCTCCGACGGCTCCAAGGGCTCGAGAGCGCTCAGTGATGCGACCGACGATGACCACACCGAGAAGCACATGTACATGCCAATCGCGCTGAGCTCCGACGACGCCGTCACTCCACGGGAGCCTCGCCTCAGTCAGAAGGACATCGACACTTTGGTGACGTACCGCAACTTCTTCGCCTTCTTGATCGGCCAGTCGCTCGTCGCTACGACCGGACATTCGGACATCTTCGACATCTTTCTGCGCATCGCTGACATTCTTACGCACTATGCGTTTTCCAATGTCGATGGATCCACGTTTGGCGAGGTGGCTGCCTCAAGCTTCGACAGCTACGTAGACGAGCTTAACATGGCAGATGTCAGGCAAAGTCGTGAGAAGACAATCGAAGCACTTGTGCTCGGCGAGAGGATGCGCTCTATGAACTTGTATACCGAGGGCTTTGTACATGCGATTGGCAAGTACGACGACGTTAAAGGACTGCAGTCGCCCAAGTGGGAAATGGTCAGCCCAAAGACAGGTACCCGCATGGCTCGAGCAGCGCTGGACTTGGACAATCGCGAAGCCAACATCAACCACAAGCTCAGCAATTTCGAGTTTGCCGCTATCTTCTCCGGTATCATGAACAGTGCTATGGCCGACGAGGGAAAGACAATCAGCTTCAAGAGATGGAGGTCTGCTTTTATGAGCACTCGAGGCTGGATGATGGATTACTACAAGCACAAGTACGGCTCGTGGCTGCCAAAGGCGCGAAACAAGAAGAACAACCTAACAACCAACGGCCTGAATCGACTGGTCTTGCGGGACATGTACCGCGACGTGTCGAGTCTGTACGACCTGCTTGTCGACCGGACCAACCTGACGAACAGAACGGCCGACGGCTTCATCGTAGAGGACGAAGGGATGGGCTTCGTCGCTATCAACGCCCGCGCCATGCGCAAAGCGCTCAGCGAGTACGATCGTAGCACGCCGCCCGTGCAGCCACCTATACCATTCGACCTGCCGATGTACCCCACCCTACATGGTCTGAGACCAGACTATCCTACTGGAGACGAGAAGAAAGACGCGAAAGCGCGTGGCAAGAAGCTGAAGAGCGACGACATCGCCAAGATGCTGCAAAACGCCACTAACGCAGATGCACGACAACTGACACCTTTCTTGGAGTCTTTCATTGCATTTGAGAAGAAGCATGCTTCTGGTTCAACCATGGATGAGCTACGCGAACTCCGAAGCGGACAATGGCTGTTCATCTACGCGGTCATTCAGTCGTTACCCATGTTGGTAGTTGACGCTCCTGGAGTACGGTTCACCGAAGGAGTTGAGTACTTCCTGTGCGAGGTTCCACGCAGCGGCGTACCTTGGGTCCGTGAAGACACTACAAGAGCACGAACATGGTTTGGTGTGCAAGGTGGCGCTCAAGTCGTCAGTTTGCCGACCGATATTGTCGAGCACGGCGTCGAGGGCGTCTTCCGACGTTCGCATTGCTGGAAGAGGGCGCAAGAGTGGGCTGCCAACGACACTCTTCTCAACGCAGCTATGCAGGAACTCAACGGGGCCGCTGCACCTCTGCCTCCGCCGCCTGGCATGCTTGATCCATCTTCGGCTCAATTGCGGCCCCGATCTCAGAGCCCTCAAGACCAGAGCAAGCGCAACAGCGTCATGAACCTTGGACTCGAGGCTTTACCTCTACCACCTGGCATTGCACCACCTACCGCTTCCCCCGTCAACCGACCACAGTCAAGCAGTGACCCCAGTAGAACGTTCGATGCCATACTTGGAACACCACCGCCCAACCCCAAGGACAAGAAGAAAAAGAAATGATCGACTGATTGACACGAAGTTTACGGTCAGAACAGTGAAAAGTGTTTGGCTCTGATTTTCTTACGATTTATTGCATCTGCTTGCATCTACCACATATGTGGCACTGTTTTTAGACGTTCAGCGACATCGCACGCGTGGGCTTCATAATACACGCATCGACTCGGATAGGAAAGCATAATACCAAAATACATGTTTAATTTAGCAGCATAGCAGCGGGTTTGGCATAGCGACTTAATGAAATTCTGTTTCCACATGGTTGTACTATGTATGTACCTACCGTGTTCGCTCCTCGGGATCGCTTGCCCTTTCAAGCTCACCGCCGACATCGCCGACATGTCTAGTCGGGTTGATCTGCGGATATTTGTCGGACGCGATAGACACACGCGCCCGCCAACTCGCACTCATACTTTCGCAGGCTAAACGAAGCTGCCTTATTTCGTGTAACTGCTCGCAGCCATGACCTCCTCTTTGCCCGGCACGCGCGATCTCCCGAGCTCCCAGTACGACCTGACCACCTACTGGGGCCGCGTGCAGCATGCTGCTACCATTTCAGATCCGAGGTGAGATAGCTGCGCAGCGATTGTTCTGATGTTGAACATGGGGGAGTGGTGAGTCCACGACCTTTAGCTACTTTTTTTATCATGCAATTGCTTCTCTCTGTACGCACCAGTCATGTTATGACTGTTTAGCACCTCCAGACCACACCACTGACCGCATATTGTATTCAGAACCCTTCTCACATCCTCAACCGGGCTCGAGAATGCCAAACAGCTCGTCACCGCGTATAAGACGGGCAAGACCCAGGAGATGACGCCTGAGCTGTGGAATGCGAAGAAGATCATCGACTCGACAATACACCCTGGTATGCGCAACGGAAACTGAAGGCAGCGGATCGAAGGCTGACAGCAAGCCAGACACGGGCGAGCCGGTTCTCCTGCCGTTCCGCATGTCGTGTTTCGTACTATCCAACTTGGTCGTCACAGGTGGCATGCTCACACCCAATCTCACGGTACGCAGTACATCAATGGAGACAGGGTGCGAGAGCTAAGCAACAGCAGACAGCAGGAACACTCGGCTGGCAGGTGGCTAACCAGTCGCTCAACGTTGCCATCAACTACTCCAACGCGAACAAGGCCACGCCGCTCTCCACTGCAACAATCGCCAAATCATACTTCCTCGCTGTTAGCGCTTCGTGCGGTGTCGCATACGGGCTGAATGCTACGGTCCCACGTCTGAAGAGTCTCTCACCCAATGCAAAGCTCATCGCGGGCCGCCTCGTTCCCTTCGCCGCTGTCGCCTTTGCTGGTGTACTGAACGTCTTCTTGATGCGCGGCGAAGAAATCAAGCACGGCATACCCATCTTCCCCGTCTTGACCGAAGAAGAAAAGAAGCGCGTGGAGACAGGAGATTTGGAGGTCAAGCCCCTTGGCAAGAGCAAGAAGGCCGCTACGATTGCAGTAGGAGAGACGGCTGTCAGTCGTGTGCTCAATGCGACACCAATCATGGTTCTGCCACCGCTGATCTTGGTCAAGCTGCAAAAGACGGAATGGCTGAAGCAGAGGCCGAGGATGACTACGCCGATCAACTTGGGGCTGATTTTCGCGACAAGCATTTTCGCGCTGCCGCTGGCTCTGGGTGCATTCCCGCAGAGAGAGAGCGTGAGTGCGACCTCATTGGAGCCAGAATTTCACGCACGGGGTGGCAAAGACGGCAAGGTTGAATTCAACCGTGGAATCTGAGCATAGGGCTTTCGCACTAGAAGTTTCAGAACACCGGTACTGGGGCAAGTAGTTGCGGCAAGATCAAGCGGGTATCATGTTCTATAAAGCTCATGTCGAGGTATCTCAGAAGAAATGGGCCTTGCCCAGCTGCGGCGAAGCGAGACCACCGATTGGTCAGAGGGGTTCGAGGGCACGAAGGAAGCAACGGGTGCCAGCAGACGTGAATAGATCAGAACAGATAGGCTGCAGAGTGTTTTAAGCACCGGCAGCTACAGCAATCTAAGCTGGACAAGCATGGATCTAATTTGCTTCTGCGACTCGTGAGGGTTGGCACTTGGCCGCTGTCAATGTGGCCTTTCACTCACGATAGAGCCAGCGTGTCATGAAGCTCCGGCGATCATTTAAGCTACACCTCGCCGAAACACGTTGTCCCTCACGCTGCATGTGCCACGGTCTTGCACACCTCACCGCTCTATTTCTGTTTCGCCATCTGGGATAGATTCCCCTTTCAATTTTCTTTGACGTTCAGCATCTGAGTCTCCTGCTAGCGTTCGATACCCATCTCCCCGCGCAGCTCGCGGCATCCCACCGCAGCTCTTTTTGCCTCCACCGCCCTCTCACACCTCCCGCTTTTCCACACAACATGGCGCCTCCAGGACGCCGGCGCAACAGCCTCTCCCCAGCCGCGATGTTACTTGGGCTCCTCTTCCTCTTCTCGTCAACCGCCTCCGCCGCCTCAGCGGTTCTGGGCGTCGACCTGGGCACCGAGTACATCAAAGCTGCCCTTGTCAAGCCCGGTGTTCCTCTCGAAATTGTCCTGACCAAAGACTCGCGTCGCAAAGAAACCTCCGCCGTCGCATTTAAGCCTGCCAAGAGCGGCGCTCTTCCCCAAGGCTCCTTCCCCGAGCGCTTCTACGGCGCCGACGCCATTGCGCTTCAGGCTCGCTTCCCAGGCGACGTATACCCAAACTTGAAGCATCTCTTGGGTGTCTCGAGCGACAGCGATGCGGCCAAGATCTACAATGGAAGGTACCCAGCGATCGAGGTCACCGGCACAGAGGGTCGAAAGACTGTTAGCTTCAAGAGCAGCATCTTCTCCGCTGAGGAGGAGCAGAACTTCTCCATCGAGGAGATCCTCGGCATGGTCCTCAAGAACGTGCGTGAGAACGCAAAGGCACTGGCTGGTACCGGTCATGACGTCCAGGATGTCGTCTTCACCGTTCCCCCGTTCTACACTGTCGCTGAGAGGCGCGCGCTCGAGGTCTCCGCGAAGCTGGCAGGCCTGAAGGTTCTCGGCGTTGTCAGTGATGGTGTCGCCGTCGGTATCAACTACGCCACCAGCCGAACGTTCCCTACCATCAACGGCAAGAAGCCGGGCAAGGCAGAGGTCAACCTCGTGTTCGATATGGGTGCTGGATCTACGTCTGCGACCATTCTGCAATTCCAGGGCAGGACTGTCAAAGACGTCGGCAAGCGTAACAAGACCATTCAGGAAGTTAATGTCCTCGGAACTAGCTGGGACAGGACACTCGGTGGTGATGCACTGAACTCGCTCATCGTCGACGATATTGTCAACACCTTCCTTGAACTGCCGGCCGCGAAGAGCGCCTCCATCACCGCTGAGAAGGTCAGCAGCCACGGTCGCACCGCTGCGAAGCTCTTCAAGGAGGCCGAGAAGATTCGACAGGTTCTCAGCGCCAATCAGGCCACACAAGCTTCTTTCGAATCTTTCTTTGAGGATATTGACCTCAAGTACAAGCTCGATCGCACAAAGTTCGAGCAGCTCGCGTCTGAATTCTCTGCTCGTGTTGACATTCCCATCAAGAACGCTTTGGAAGCTGCCGGTTTGACAGTCGAGGACATCGACTCTGTCATTGTTCACGGTGGTGCCACTCGCACACCGTTTGTGCAGGCTCGCCTGGAGGCTCTTGCTGGAAAGGACAAAATCAGGGCCAACGTCAACTCTGATGAGGCTGCTGTTTTCGGTGCTGCTTTCAAAGCGGCTGGCCTGAGCCCCTCTTTCCGTGTCAAGGAGATCCGCGACTCGGATACCCAGGGTTACAGCCACGGCATTGAGTACAAGCACAACCTCAAGACTAAGGACCAGAGAATCTTCACTTCCAGCACCAAGCTTGGCGCCACCAAGGACCTGCCATTCAACATGATGGGCGAGTTCGAGTTCACCGTCTACCAGAATGTCCCGGGAGCCAATGGCAAGGACGCCAAGGAACCTACCCTTCTGTTCAAGAGTCTCAATCTGACAAGCACCGTTACCAAGCTGATCGACACCGACGGTTGCGAACGCGACTCCTTCAACAACTACGTCCAGGTCAGACTCAGCCCTATCACCGGCACACCAGAGGTCACGTCCGCCTGGGTCACCTGCGAGGCGACCGATGAGAGCAAGGGCGGCATCGTTGATGGTGTCAAGAACCTGTTCGGAATGGGCGGTAAGAAGGACCAGGAGGCTTTGAAGGATGGCGAGAGCTCTTCTGCATCAGCCTCTTCATCTTCCTCTGCGACGAAGTCGTCCAAGGGCTCCAAGTCCTCGTCCGCCGCGGCTGCTGAGGCCTCTGACGATGGAAAGCCCAAGAAGAAGACTCTCAAGTCTGTCATTACCTACGATGTCAAGCAGCTTGGTTACGAGAAGCATGCCCGCAAGGACTTCAAGAAGATGGAGGACAGGTAGGTCTAGCTCGCGCTGAACACTCTTTCTTGATGCTAACTCCTGCAGGCTCGCTGCTTTCGATACCTCTGACAAGGCTCGCCGTGTCCGCGAGGAAGCCCTCAACTCGCTTGAAGCGTACACTTACCGTGCGCGTGACTACTTCGAGGACGACGATTTCGTCGCTGTCACGACCAAGGACGTCCTCACCGAACTCGAGAGCAAACTGGATGCTGCCTCTGAGTGGGTCTACTCTGAGGGCTCCAACGCTGACGAGAAGAGTCTTCGTGCCAAGCTCAAGGAGCTTGAAACCGTCGTGAACCCGATCCTTCGTCGCAGGCGCCAGTCCTGGAAGCGACCCGCTGCTATCACTGACCTTGAGGAGACAATCGGCGGCATGAAGGAAGTCGTTGAGCTCGTCGACAACCAGATCGCTGAGCGAGCCGCCTACGTCATCAAGAGTGCCGAAGCAGCATCATCTTCTTCCGCCTCGCCCTCTCCGTCTCCCTCAGTCGACCCACTTGACGATCTCGAGGAAGACGACCTTGAGGCCGCACCCTCAGCATCCGCAACTCCCGAGATCGAAGAGGTCCCTGAGATCTACACTGCGGAGGACCGCACAAAAATCGAGGAAGTCACCGATAAGGCAAGGAAGTGGCTCAAGGAGACTAGCGCCAAGCAGGAAAAGCTCAAGGGCCACGAAGAGCCTGTTCTGACTGTTGAGGAGCTTACGGCTTACAAGAAGGAGCTCGACGATGTTGTTGTCGAGATGATGATGAAGAAGATGAAGCACTTCAAGCCGCCCAAGCCCAAGGCAACAACCAAGCCCAAGTCCAAGAAAGACAAGAAGAAGAAGAGCAAGACTGCTGCGAAGCCCACCGAGACTCCGATTGCCGCCAAGGACGCTGAGGCCGAGACTGAGCAGCCCGACCCTCAGGCCCAGGCCGAACAGCAGCGCGAGGAGATCAAGAACGACGGGCCGAACGTGGCGTCTCACGGCGGCCGCGGCCCGACTGAGGAGGAGCTGAGAGAAGCGCTGGAGAAGGCGGGCGTCGAGTACGACCCGGAGAAGTACAAGCAGTTCGTCGGCGAGGATAAACACGATGAGCTGTGAGAGACAAATGTCCGTAGAATATGATCTTGCACATGTACATTGAGCGAATAGAACCGAGATGTAGGGATCTGGCTGCACGCGACACAATGTCCACGAGTGATGTATTCCACCATCACGACATTTATATGGGTGCACCGTGGCCCATCGAGATCATCGACCCATGACCAGGCGTCTAGGCACCAAACATGTAACCGCATCCGTCTGCTCTTCAAGCACAGACATTTGTTGTTGATATTACTCTTTGAGTTGACCGACAAGTTTGATACAACGATAAATCGGCACAACACAATCGCTCCGTTTCAGTACTCAGCAAGGCAGAAGAGAAGAAGTGTCACACAGAACAGGTGGTGACGGGTATCAAAGTGACACCGTATCTTCCAAAACACATATCCAATGTCCGCCAGATTTTAGATTACAGAGACAGGCAAGGCAAACCGCGACGTCGGCAGAAGATCACTCGTCGCCGACGCAACGGAGTTCTTTCCACGGGAGAACGAACATACAATGTTCACAAGGCGCTTTCGGTGGCTTCACAAAACCACAGTGTTGTCAAGCAGGTGGCATAGCCGCAGTGGAGATGTGCAATCCTGCGCCCATAGAAACGCCATTGAAATTCCCGTTTTGCCTTTGAGATGTCGCGCACCGCATCAGATTCCTCTTTACTTTCTTTACAGAGGATACAGAGGAGGAGGCGCAATCCTCAGCCAGCCGCACACCCAGCTATAGTTCGAGAGCAGCGATCTCGGGCCGGAGAAGACGCACAAGTACAGCGGCACATGTCGATGTCAGAAGCGCGTTTCGGTGCCCGAGCAGCATGAAACAGATTATGTGGAGGTGAGCAGTGGCAGAAGTGGTGAATTTGATTTCGGTTTTGAGTCGAGCACTCACACAACCACATCATGTCAGCGTTTTGTAGAGTAGTAAGTTGTGGAGAAAGAGGACGTGGACGAAGCAGTGGTGGGAAGTGACTCAGAGCAGAATATCAGTGTGGTAGAAACAGCCGTCTGGCATGTGGCTTTGTTGTAAACATTTCCCGAGGGTTGCTTGTGGGATTTGAGGGTCTTCTCTGGTCATCGGGTGAGTAAGACGACTTTCTGGAGAGAAACACATACGGCGTCTGCGCTCATACTTTTGTAGACGGGGGCGACGAGGCGGAGGGAGACATTCCTCCAAGGCAGGCCCTTTTGAGTGGCTACTGCCAGTTCGATTTCGAAGTAGACACGGTGAGTTCCACGGCGACCAGTATGCATAGTCTTGGTTGATTCCATCTCTCAAGTTGGTGGCAAAGCAGAAGAAGAGCAACATGGTCTTCAGGTTTGTACCTTTCGAATACGATCCATGTTGTCTTCCACCGTGCCTCGCATGCAAGTGGTGTATCATCATCACAGCCCCTTTCGAGACACTCTTCGATATAAACAACTACATTTAGAGCATGCGAGGCTTCAAACACAGCAGAGAGACGGCAGCATCAAGTGTTTTTCCCAGTTTCATTTCGCCCACAGAGAACATCCACGTCGCAGTCTTTTGCTTTAGTGCTCATGATAGGACGGTTGCAACATTGGTTTAATGAATGTTACAAGCAAAGTCTCCGCGCCAGGTGACATCAGAGACTCTTTCATAGCGAAGATTTTCGAGTTTTCAAAGAGAGGAGGAGCATCACTTGGTCGAGAAGACATTTCGATTTCAACAAGTCGCAGCGGTGGCGACCGGAAGCCATGCCATCTTGGTGGATGCATTTTTCGCCTTCTCCGAGCACATGATCGAGCTCCGAGGTGATTTGAGAGAAGCCAGATATAGTATATGTGCTCCCAATTTTGTTTACGTAGAACTATGCCGTGTGTTGTTGCAGGGTCATGGAGGATTTCTGGGAGATGGATGTCGGGCAGCGAGCCCGCAACACATCGGAAGCGTATTCGTAAATTTCTAATACCCCAGTATTTGTTTTCGGAGTTCATGGCTTCGCCTGTGCCCAGATTTGGTGCAAGATAGTACAGAGAATCAACGTGACTTTCGTGTAATGCATCTCTCTCTCGGAGATGCAAAGCCATAAGGAACGAGCTCGGTATCTTAAAGACACAAGGATCGTAAAGTAGAATGATTCGAGGATGGCACAGAAACCCGGCAGCAACATGCCGATTTCCCACTCTTTTTTTTCAAGACACGCAGACATTCACGCCGTCTTTGGTGTTTTCAATCACACCACGCCCAGTCATATCCTGTGATTGGGATATTTTCGAGGAGAATAAGTAGAAAGAGAGCAGGAAACCAGACAACAACATAAGAACACTTGTGTGCCCTTTCTCGGAGACACAAAGACATGAAAGCATGCATGCCTGGTGTTTTGGTTCACATGCGCTGAGAATCTTGTACATTCCGAGAGGCTTTAGAGGCAGAGAGGTATAGATATAGTAAGCAGGAAGGAGCAGGGCAGAAACATCGAGTTGTCCTCAAAGCAGTTGCACACCAAGCCATGTGAACCAGTGTACTTCTTTTTCGTTCTGGCGCTATGCCTAGCATCATGCGAGATTGAGAGATCCGGATGATGACAAGCAGCTCTAGAAGTTGTTGAGAAACAGGGGGTAACAACAGCATTTCAAGTCCTCACTTTCGTTCTTCAACGCACAGAGTAGCCGGTCCGCGTTTCCAGCCAGCCTCTTTGCGTGCATCATACAGACTGGAATATTCGGAGGCATAACAGTGACTTGATGGCTTTTGAGAAGCAAGGGGCAGCAACAACACATCGCTCATATTTGCGTCTCTTTTCGAGGCGCAGAGACATGATGAGTCTTTTCGAGGACTTTAGTCAAACACGCGCATCGCCTCATCCAGAGTGAATTGTTTAGAAGAGAGGTGCCTTTGTAGTTCTGAAGAAGCAAGCAGAAGCAGCAGCATACTGTCTTGGAATCGTTCTTTCGTCGAAACACAGAGACATGGGGGTTTTGACCGATGGTTTCAGTCAAACACATGCAGCCAATATCTCCCACAGACCGCATAACTCAGGAGCACATGAGCAGCTTCCAAGTCCATGGAAAGCTAGCAGCAACGCCCTCACATCGGACAGTTGATCATCTCTTTTTCGCCGGGCAAAAACATCAAACACTCGACGTCGTACCCCGTCATGATCAAATCGCAGCTGGTATTTCGTCCAGACCAAGCCATTCAGAGCCGTAGGAGCAGATTCAAAAACCCAGGCAGCCAGACCGCGACATGGTTGTGGAAAGCGCTTGTTTCTCGCGCCGCAGAGACATTGGCATTTGGTGAGTGCTATTTCAGTCAGACAACACGCTGGTGCTCATACAGACCGACGCAATGCGTTGGGGTCGACGCAGGTTCACGGGCACCGGGCAGCAGGACACCATCATCCAGCCCATCATCAGTTCTTTTCTCGCTCCACAGAGACATGTAGTGAAACGTTGTGTCTTTTCCGCAGCGCAGCGCAGGGCCATCAGTCTGCGCTGCAGCTCGCCGGCAGCCCCTTCGCATCCAGACTTTTGTTTTCTGATTGCTTTCAAAACCGCCAGGCAACAGGACGCCCAACATGCGGCGTCGCGAGTTTACATTTCTCGCCCCAGGAGACATACAGTGACCTTCCGCGTTTTTCCGCAGTGCAGGGCAGGGCAGGGCAGGGACATTCAACTTGTTCAGCGAGTGTTGCGGGCAGGGCTGACCATGGGCCATCTGTAGGCATGTTTCGAGGTCCATTCAAGCGGCACCGTGTTTTTCTTCGTGGGATCCAGAGACTGGGAGCAGGTGTGGAAGCAGATGGGGGAACATGTATGGGAGGAATGGTGAATGTGGGTTCGAGAACTGAAGTAGAGGACGGCCGCACGACAGACGCACATAAGCGGTGAATACGGTTTTCCTTCGTACATGGTCTGCGGTGTGAATTTCAAGTCCCATACATCTGCAATTCGGCGTTTTCTATGCAGAGGGCAAGACAGAGTGTGGTGGGCCGGGACGCTCCCACGAGCAGGCCATGGACTGGCTGTCTGCTATTTTCAGAAGGCAGAGGAGAGAGAGGAGTGAGCGTGTGTGGAAAGTCACAGAGGCGGACACAGGCTTTATACACCGACGCCCTGCAGGCGTTTGTCACTCAGCATCACCACGTGAGCCAGCCAGCGCAATCACAGTGCTCGTGCAAACGCACGCGCGCTCATTACATCATTCTCATATGTGGGTATCACTATCCAACGCCGCCCCTCCCTTGCCCCCTCACCCGTCGTCGATTCACCCCTGAACGCCATCGAACCCGCTAATCTCGACACAGATCTCCGCGCCATGCAGCCTGCGGAAGCGCGTCCGCGCATCCCCGTTGCGGTCCACGCTCAGCTCGTCCGGGTACATGCGCACGAGGCGACTAACCTCGTGCTTGGGGATGCGCATGATGCACACGATCTTGACGTCGGGTGGTTCTCGCCTCGGCTTAGAATCGCGCTCGTGTTCTCGCTCGCGGTCCTCGCGGCGCCGTTCGCGGTGCCCGCCGGCGGCGGCGGGGTGCGTGGGGGTGTGGTGCGCGGGGGCGTCTTGCAGGGTCTCGCGCAGGCTGAGGCACAGCGACTCGATGCCGAGTTCGCGCTCGAAGCGGAGGAAGGTGGCGAGGATGTGGTGGTTTGGCTGGGCGGGGTGCGGGGCAGGGGCGGGGGGCTGCGGGTGGTGGTGGGGAACGGCGGCGGCGAAGGCGGCGAAGGGGATGGCGGGGGGCGGTGGTGGAGGGGGCGGGACGTGGTGCTGGGGGTCGGCGTCGGCGGCAGCGGGCGGCGCGGGGTGGTGCTGGCCTGCGTGGGCGGCGGCGGGCACGATGACGGGCGGCCCGGCGGCGGCGGCAGGGTGGGTCAGGTGCTGGACCTGCTGCTGCAGGGCTTGGACTTGCTGGCCGAGGGCGTTCTGCACGGCCTGGACGTGCATGGCCATGGCGGGCGGCAGGGCGGGCAGGGCGACGATGGCGTTGGCCGCCGGCACGACACCCAGGGTCGACAGCAGGCGCGGGGTGCCCGGGTTGCCGCAGCGCATGAAGATGCACAGGTGCTTCAGGGCGGGCAGGTCGGCGCGCAGGCTGCGGTCGGGGCTCTTGCTGCCCAGGTAGGCGGTCCACAGGCGCAGGTCCTTCTCGCGCACGCGCAGGTAGACGCTGTGCATGGCCTTGGCGTGCGGCGAGGCGACGACGCGGAAGACGTTGCAGTCGCTCGGGTGGGTGAACAGGAACTTGTTGGCTGTGTACAGCACGGGGGCGGCCTCGGCGTGCAGCTGCTTGCTCGCGCGCAGCAGGGCCACGGCGACGCGGTGCTCCATGGGCGCATGGTGCGGCCACCAGAACGGGTAGGGCGAGGACAGGGCGAAGCCGTAGACGCGGTCGCGCAGCTCGCGGGGCAGCGACAGCAGCAGTGAGAAGGCGGGGTCGGCGGGCGGCTGGCTGGCGGGCGCGCTGGGCACCGACGGCTGGCGGGGGCGCGTCGGCGTGAGGGCGACGTGTGTGGGCGCGTCGAGCATGGTCGTGTCGGACGAGTCGCTGCTGGTCGACGGCGAGCGCGTGCGCGGCGTCGACGTGCGGGAGGCCATGGCGGTGGACGGACGGCGGGCGGCGGCGGGCGGCGGGCTGTGGCGTGCCGGCGAGGGTGCGTGGGAATTGATGCGAGTGACGGGTGCTGCGGCGCGGGCGTCTGCTCGAGGGCGTCTGGAGGCGGGCGGTGGCTCACGGGCGCAGGCAACGAGCGCAGGCAGCGAGCGTGGTTCTGCAGCACACAGGCAGCCGGCGTCTTCAGCCCTACTCCCGCTTCTCGCTGACAGACGGCGCCCCGCGGGTTCGTCCGAGCTTGGCTGGTAGCCGACCCGCCTGCTGCGAACCACTCAACGGCCGCAAGAGACATAGCAGAGATGCGCCAGCAACGTTCCGTGTCACGTCTTCAATTGCATACATGTGGTCAGCTGCTTGTTGCTCGCTGTCTTCGCATGCAGACCACAGCACACATGTTCGGATAGCGCTGCACAGGATATCATATAGTATGGGTGACGCCTGTCACAGGCCGTGCATCTGCCAGGGTCTCCACGCAGAACAGCCCACTCTGTCTACCTACTCCATGGCCGTGCCCTGCTTGCGCGCCTTCTCCCGCCGCTCCACCGTCTGCTTCTTCGCGTCGTCGACCCACTTCCCGTACGCGCCGTCGCCCTGCTCCAGCTTGGCCTGCACCACGCCCTTGAGCAGCTCGCCCACGAACCCGACAAAGTTGTGGCGCCGCAGCGAGTTCTCCCACAGCCACTTGGCGCGGATGTCCTCCTGCTCCTCCAGCCCGTCCTCGTCGCCAAACTCGCGCGCCCGGATCCGCAGGTCGCGCACGCACGCCATCAGGTTGAACCGGATCTCGTTGGACGGGTAGCGCGCGATGCGCCGCTGCAGCACCGACACAATCTTCGCGGGGAACTCCTGCGTCGTGCACGCCCCGTGCGAGATGGGCGCCGGCTGCAGCCCGTCGAGCTCGTACAGCGTGTTGTTGATCGACGTGTAGCTGTGGCGTGTTAGCGGTGCGGCTCAGCGGCACAGGCGCGCGGGGGCACGCACGCAATGAAGTGGTAGACGTCGTCGTCGGCCGTCGCCGTGCGCTGCGTCTCGTCCACAAAGGGCGACGAGCGCGCAAACGAGTTGTGTGTCTCGCGGATCAGATCCGAGTTCGACAACGTCTCTCCGCGCAGCTGTCCCGTGTCAGCCCAGCACCTCGCCCACAGCAGCTCCGCGCACCTCGGGCGGGAACTCGCCCGCAAACTCCTTGAATTCCTTCAGCTCCTTGCCGATGTCGATCTCGCCCTCCTTGTTCAGCAGCACCGAGATCAGCGCCTGGGTGCCGCACGCGTTCTGGATCGTCTGCGCCGCGAAGAAAAGGTTATTCGCCGCCTCGTGGTCAAACGTGCCATCCTTGGGCACGTCCGTCGCCTTCTCGCCCGTGGGGTACTTGAACAGGAAGATGACGCCGTAGATGTCGCCCAGCGCCCGCAGGTCGTCGGCGTCGAGCGTCATGAGCTCCGCGAACTGCACATCCTTAACCCCGAGCTTCTCGATGAGGTATGTGAAGACTCCCTGCCCGCGTTAGCTTCTGTGGTGGAGTGAGACTGCGACGCGCCCTACCGCGTCCGACTCGATTGTGTTCCAGCCTCCCGACATGGTTGCTGGCGTGTGTTCGGCGGTGACGTGAGCGCGAATGTTTGCTGGCCGTTTACCTTGACGGTGGAGGAGCGCTAAATGCGAGCTGCGATTAGTCAGTTCCGAGTCTCGGAACCACAAGCGGGGACTCGGAACACGCCTCGGCACGAATACATCACTAACCATGTCACAACGAACATCGAGCACCAGTCTGGGTGGTACATCCATGTAACGGTCGACATCTTTGTTCTTCAGATTATCCCCCTTTTCATCACTCCTACGCTCAAGTGTTATAGCTCCACTCGTCCCACTCGCTCCGCCACTGCACCGGCTCCAGCGCGCCCTCAAACTCCAGCACCTGCCCGAGCTTACACTCTGAGAACGTTACGGGTGGCTGCTCCTGCTCGTAGAACGCATCGAACCGCCCGTCCATTGCATCCTTCAAGCTCCCCACATCTCCCGCCGGATGCAGCGTCTCCCACGGCCGTGTGCACACCCGACCCTTGCAGCGCTTCAGCGTGAGCAGCAGCGCGTCGAGGCGCGCCGCGAGTTTCGCCACGGACCAGTCGTTGATTGTAGCATCGGTGGCGTAAAGGTTGGTGAGTTGGTAGGGGTCGGTCTGCTATAATCAGTTCTGGTGGTCAGAAACTTGAGGGGGATGGACGTACAGCCATGTCGTACAGCTCGTGGTCATTGGTGCACCACACCGCGTACGCGAGATCGTAGTCTTCGCCGATGACGCGCACGTGCTTGAATGTGTTGTTGGGGTAGTGTGTAAGCCCGAGGAACGTGTTGCTCTCGACGAGGTAATCGCCCCAGAACTCGATGTTGACGTGCTCGCTCTTGGTGTTCTGCGCCAGCAGCTCGCGCGTCACGGGGATGGGCTCGCCGTCGAAGTCGTCGCGCAGCGGGATCCCCGCGAGCGAGAAGAGCGTGGGGACGATGTCGGTGTGGGACGAGGGAATGGATTGAACGGCGCCCTTGGGCACGCCGGGGCCGCGGATGAAGAAGGGGATGTTGACGTCTTCTTCGATGTTGCAGCTCTTGCCGGGCGGGAGGCGGTGCTGGCCGATGTGGTAGCCGTTGTCGGTTGTGTAGATTAGGTAGGTGTTGTTGAGGACTTCTGGGTTCGCCGACAGGCGGTCGATGATTGAGTCAATGAGCTCGTCGACAGAGGCGAGCGACTGGAGTCGCTTGCGGTACCAGTCGTCGTTGAAGTCAATTTCCGTCTGGTTCAGCTGCCGAATGGTCTTGAAATACGATGCTGTGCCGGTCTAGAACTCATTGTTAACACCAAACTCAAACAACTGAACGTCGAACCTACAGTGTTGGGGTTGAAGTTTGGTGTGCGCGGTATCGTCGCATTCTGGAAGAGATGCTCATGCCTCTTCGCAGGCACAGGCGCATTAAACCTCGGAGCTCCCCCTCCAGTGATAGTCTCCGAGTGAGGAGCAATGGGCGCGACACCGAGAAAGAACGGTCGGTCCGACGCTTTGATGGCGTCGTCGAGGAAGCCGACAGCAGCGGCTGAGATCAGGTCCGTTGAGTATTCGCCAGGGTAGTTCTTCGCTGGATCATGGTTTCTTGACATGGTGGCGTTGTAGAAGATATATGTGCCGGGATCGATCAAGACTGAGACGTCAGAGAGGTTTGTAGATACACACTACAAGACTCACAGTCGGATCCGTTCCAGCCGTTGATACGTGGGCTGTTGTAAGTGCTGAGTGAGTGACCTTGTCAATTAGCGTCGTCCACACTCCGAGATACAATGTCTTTCATACCGTTCATCATCTTGCCTGTGTAGTATGTGTTGTATCCCGCGTTCTGCAGCCAGACTGGCAGATAGTCATCGTTAAAGCCCTCCTCAATAAACCTTGGATATCCACCTAGCGAACATCAGAACTGAACATCATTACGACGATTATTTTTTAACCCACCATAAGGAGCAGAGACATCTGTGACATTGGTGTTATGCGCCGCCTTTCCAGTCAACAAAGACACACGCGATGGACAGCACAAAGCAACCGTGCAGAAGTGCTTCTTGAACCACGTTCCCTCCTGCGCAAAGTGCTTTTGAACAGACGGTTGGTAGTCGATCGAGTTCAGATGCAAGTCCTGGTCATCCGTCATAATAAAAATGAAATTCGGCTTCGTGACATTGCGGACCGCGCCTGCGACAGCAGCCGCGCCTGCTGACGCGAACAACAACGCCTGGCTGGGTGTCATGTTTAGGGTCTCGGAGATTTATGGACCAATTGCTAGACTACCAACAGGCATCACAGGCTCTTATACTCCTCATCTTGACTTTAGGTCTTCTTGCGATCGTGAGGATAAGGTGCCAACTACCGGACCCGCTTTTTGTTGCGCGAGCGTGGATTGCCATGGCGTGCTCGGATTTCAGCCAGTTGAACATCGACGGTAGAGCGTAGACAGTGACGCGATATGAATGTGTGGAGATCCCGACACTCAAAAGATCAAGATTGACGGGGGAAAAAATTCTGTAGGCTGGTAAATGCATGCGATACCGGACGATGAACGCACGTCGCTCACAGAGCCGATGTCTTCTTGCTTCTGTGCCTCGCATTTGTCTATGATCCTGAGCCAATATCATTCTACCTTTGTACCTACCTTGTGGTATACGATCCCGAATTCATGCTGCACTATTATCTGAGAAGTTGAAGTCCTGAAAAGGCCTTTGGACTTCAAAAGAACCGCGGCAATTCATCGTTGTGACAAAGCTTCCAGTGATCTTACACGTCACGCCGTTATTGATCAAGGCACGAGACCAGGCATCATGTTCTGATTCAGAGGTAGTTGCTACCTTGACGCAACATCGAAAACATCACGCCTGGTCGTGGAGCGGTTCTCCATGGACAGCGCCTGAACATGACGTTGCTGTAGGCCTGAGTACAGCTCTTGTAGTAGATTATTCCGTCTCCAGATTCTCGACTCGATCGGAGGATGCTGTCAGAGCTCGGAGGGACGGCGATGGGAAGAGCATGCGATAGCCTGAGTTGCGATATCCATGCTTGGAGATGGGTTGAACGGCATCGAAGCTCGGGCGGTGAGTCTCGAGGTCGACGTTTTGTATACGGTAGATTTGATGTCTGAAAACGTTTGTAGTGAGCGCGTCTGACTATTCAAAAAGTCTTGTCTTTGAACATGCTTCTACCGGAAAGAAGCTCCATCTCAGCAGCCTGCACCTCAGCAGCCTGCACCGCGGCGACGGATTTCCGACCTGAACTCGGATGACCTGTTGACCCCTTCGCTGTGGCAAGAAGTCTCCTGAGACTTTTCGAAAAACAGCGCTATGCTGATCTGATTGAGTTGCTTCCAGGTGCTGGTGCGGCTCCGAACGCAAGTCTTTTCGTATTGCTATTGTTAGCACACCTAGTGATCGGTGCTGAGTAGTACGGCCATAGGTGGTCTTCTCACACTAGCTCCAATGGAACCCAGCAATCCTCTACATACACGAGGAGATCAACATGAAGTCCGACGAACCGACAATGGTAAGGCCTCTTCGTGATGTTATCTCGGAGCTTTGGCCGAACCTACTCTTTTGACGAGGCGACCGCTGCACTGTCCAGGTGGTACCATTCTGTTGTTCCAGGGCCTCCACAAGAACACAAGCCACGGCCTACCGAAGCAATGGCTTGACGATCTGATCCGACATTAGAGTTTGAGAATTCATGGCACCACTTCCCGTCTCCTCGAAGTTCTCAGCCGCGGACGGTTGTCCTTAGTGCATTTTCGAGACAAGGTTGACGGCTGGGACGTTGTACCAAGAAGCTGGATCTACAGTGAACACGGAAGGTTACCCACCCCGCGTACTCAAGACAACGGGATTGGTGAAGCACGGCGCAGCGTCGTACGATAATGAGCGTGGTGACATTCCGCGATAGCTCGTTGGTGAACCAAGTGAGCCAAGATAGAGCAAAGGGCTGTTGTGTGCAGTGTTAGCCGCGCAATGTACAAAGTAGGGTTCAATGCGCCGTACAACGTTAGCTCTGGCGCTGTGTCGGGGCTCGGGCTTGTGATTACATGATGCTCTTTCGTACTTGATGCGGTGAACTCGGAGACTCTCATGGATAGGTCGGCAAATAAGTTGACGATCATTAACGGGCAGCTTGAGATGGTCGCACACCGAGCCGGCGTGACTTGCAAGGGTGAGCGACAAACTTGCGCATATGCTCGTCCCGCATTTGGATCAGTTTCGGGCATCTACTTGTGCGGGATAACAGATGCGGTCTAGGTATACGGCACTGTAGGGCGTTATGATCGACAGATCGGCTCGGACGAGTAGCGATGTTGTGGAGAACAGTGACTTCGCGTTCGCTTTGTGGTCAGACTTTTCGATCTTGCTCGACGGACATTGTCCAGAATGCTGGGTTCGCTGCATGCGAATCGAAAGAGTCGGACCGATCGCGTCGTCGCGTGAATGCAACTACCGTACAGTAGTGTAAAGGAACCTTCCGTGCCGACGCGTTGGAGAGACCTCCGACGAGAGAACACGTGGGCGACGTCACATACCAAGCGAATCGCTCGTGAAGCCTCGTGTACGGTGTATATGCCGTACCCAAGCAGAAGGGAAAGGCTGTAGCCGTGAGGCTAGGAGTTCACATCCGATCGCTTCTGAGTGGTGGTTGTTGCACGGTGGCGTATGCGGCTCTTTTGGTGTTAACCATACCTTGCGCCCGGTAGGCCTCGGGCAAATGCTGCCATGATTGGTTAAAACTCCGTAACTCCACGATGCAGAGGTTTCGCAGTAAGTTGTACCAGGTCTTCATGAGAGTAGTTGCAGCCGTAGAAGCTTGAACATGGCTGGAAGAGCGGCCGGGGCCTATTACAGCACTTTCTAACCAGCTCATAACGCTTCCTTGACAGCTGTTCATTACCTGGGCATGTCGCTTGATTGCGAGCGAATTAGCATAATAAGAAATTAGGCGAGATGGCGGCCGGCTAAGAGGGGGTGGAGCGCGAGCGCGGACGGGAATCGCCAGTGCCTGCGAGAGGGCGGCGGAACCTCGAGTTTGGGTGGTGGCCCTTGCTGTGACTCGCTTCCGCACATGCAGGGCATCCCTGTCGTGGTCAAGACTAGTCGGGAACGTTTTTAGTGTGATTCTAGCGCGATGAAGGTCATCGGCCCAGAGCCACATTCGAAGGCCGTCATGACCGAGAGGTGCCGAGAGACTTAACAGCCCAATAGCCGACTTCAGCTAAAGAAATGTGACAGCATTGCTTGCCGAGTAGCCTTTGATGTGGGTTCAAACTCTAAGAGTATTTTCACAAAAGGTACATTATGGAACCAGTCATACCGCAGCGAATGCCCCCCGCCGGAAGCACTCCCGTTTAGCCAACAGGCTGCACCGCGCTGTGGTTTTGTGCATGTGAGTGGCGTTTGCACAAGGATAATGAACCGAGTCATCTTCTAGAGCACTTTCTGTCGCAGCATACAGCCTGTAGAAGAGCCTTGGGGGACGCCTTCCTGTCAACCTCAGGCGAGACGGCTCTGACCGGTCGAGATCTAAACCGCTGCCCCTGTGGCTGTGTCTACCACCATCGACCGTCCGTCGCAATCACCACACCAAAGCGGTAGGGCGGGGAGAAGCTAACACATGATTACTGTCGATCATACAACTGGTTGCACGCGAAGATCCAACCACCGTTCCAGCACCTGGTGTTCGGAACTGATCGATGACATCAAGCTCTTCTGCGCGTAATTCGCGTAATGCGTTTAGCGTACGTTTGGCGCGTGTCGAACCGGTGCTGGGATGTTTCTTGTAACGCCTACTCAGTAAGCTGGGAGTAATTCATGCCATTGTGCGCATGATCACAGAGCAATCAATCATTGTACGTAAAAGTCTGGAATGCATGGAGTCTGGGGTTTAGAGTGAGGTATCTTTTAAAGGTATTGATTGGCTGGTTCTTTTGGGCTGACAAATTTTCCATCAGACCACGACATTGTCGCAAAGAAATCTGGGAATCGTCTGCCGAGTCCAACAGGGCCAAGCCATGATTGTGGCTGCCTAACGTCCCGTCGCTTGAAAGTTATTAGATCCATAGCCAGGGTTCAAGACTAAATGGTGGCCACGATGCTCCGCTTGCTATTAAACAATGTGCGAACGGACGTCTTGGGACCAAAATGAACGGCGCCGTTAACAATGCAGTCGTGAATCGTGAAAGTTCGTCAAACGCGCGTGCGTGCATAAGCCGCTCCTGTTCCTTTGTGCCATGCCGCTCGAAAATGTTTCCAACTCTTTCTAGCTTAGCCTGGTACAAATGGACACCGTCCTCGTGAGGACATGCTGCGAAAGTGTGAATTCGCGCTAAAACATCCAGTTCGGCCGTTACCCCGATGAATTGTGCCGAGACCAGCTAAGTGGCTGCTGCTACAGGCCGCGACACGTCGCCAGATCGCCGTGATAGGGCGTGCAAAATCGTATAGGATGTGATTGCTAGATCCGACATGGGCTTGCCGTTGCAGACATGGAAGTTATCTCCTTAGCGAGTTGATTTAGAAGACGCTACATGCTTCCAGCGTCGCTGTATTGGGAGGGGACTTGCGTGACTGGAATCGGGTGGTGTGCATATCCGGCCACGGACGCTGTACTGGTGGGCGGCTGAGAAGCAAGCCTGGAGTTCCTGGGATTTCGTTCAGTCTGCTTGCGTTTACGTCCAGATAGGTGTAGCCACGAACCCGCTGGTATATCCAGACATTCCATAATTACTATATGCATGCTCTGGAGGCGCCGCATATGGCGGGAGTAGCACGTTGGCAGGTGAGCCCAACGGAGACGCATAGTTGCTTGATGCATAACTGCTCGATGGATAGCTACTGGTGACGTAGGTACTCGAGCCATACGCATCCGCCGATGTTCGCGGAACGTCGAGGAACGGCGAAGTTGGTGTGGAAGACATTCCAGGCGGCAAGAATCCTAGAGGCGAAGGCGCAAAAGCTGGGCTGAGACTGTGAGTCTGGCCGTAACTGCCGTATTGGGCGATCTGGTTCTCGAGATCCAAGTTGATCGATTCCAGGGCGTAGGACGGTTGCTGCACAGGAGAGACGGCAGAAATGTGTTGCCGCGTCCATTCTCTCCTAGTTTTATACGAGGAAACTACGTCGATGGGATATTGTACTAGATATGACATGGTTTGAATCCTCGAGTCGTATCTTGGATCCTGATACCCCTGAACGACGGTGACAATTTCCTCTAGAGGAAGAAGGGAAAGGTCGGATACGAAGACTGAAGCCATATCCGGAAACATTGGTTCCAAAGCTAGGGCAGTCGCGTAAAAATGAGCCAAAACGCACAGGACGTTGACGTCTCCTCGCTTGGCAGAAAGAAGGGAGATTGGTACCCAGAAGAGCCATTTGCGAAGTGCGTAAAGCTGGTTGAACTGCTCTTCTGGCGTCTGGGCTTGATTGGATGCTCGTAATCGGTCAAGGTAGCCTTTGAGTTGATCGACCCATTTCGTCTCCTGGTCGTTGCGGCTGAGGTACGGTTGCATGCGATGCAGGGAGTTGTGGATATCGGCGAGCGTATTCAATTGTTGTGTGCGTGCTTCTTGCGAGACCGGCGTGCTGACTGGGTTCATAAAGTGCCTGTCCGGCATTGGAGTGTGCTCTGCGATGTAATCTGCAAAGAGCGACTCGTGCTTCCACGGCTGCATGGACTGAATGACGGTCTTTGTGCCAGCAACTAGTGAAGCCCAGCCTCTCCAGTCAGTTGCTTGCCAGGCGAGTAGAAGAGACGAAGCTAGAACCGCATCCGAATTCATCTTAGTGAAGCTCGAGATACCATCGTGCAGGCCCTTAAGCGCAATGCTTGCATGGTGGAAAGCAAGATTCCGTGTCTCGGTGGATTGTGAGATCCAGGCAAGGTGAGAGGCGGAGAAAGCGAGTATGGAGTGCATGACGAATGCATGCGAAGCTGCAATGCTCAAGAATCTGCAAACGGTCAGCTAACGAAATCTCTAGTTGGCAGAGTGGCATGGAGCACTCACTTGGGCATCATGTCAGCCCACAGTGTCATCTTGGAGGTTCTATTTCGGAACATCTCGTTGGTGATGGACGAGAGGTGGTGAATCAAGCGAAGGTCGGTCTTTGCATAAGCTTGCCATTGAGGTTGGGGGTAGATTCGGAGCTCTGGGAAGGGAAACTCGCCAGTCTGCCTCCACAGCTCGATAGTGGCCTCGATCTCCGGAGTCCAGAGAAGGTTGGGTTGCTGAGGAGCTTGCGGAGACTCGGGCATCATGGCAGTGGGGCTGTCCATGTAGTCGCAACGCACCTGGTGCTTGGTGCAATTACGGCTGCAAGTGTGTCAATGTTTGAAGAAGCTTGAAGAAGCTCGAGAACCTACCATTGCGGGAACGTCTCATCACAGCGAATGTGCCTCCTCTTGCAGGTCTTGCAGCCCTTTCGGGACTTGGTGTGACTGCGCCTTGAGGGGCCACCGCCTGGTCCGGCCATTGGATGAGTTGGTAGTTCGAAGTCTTTGAGCGAATGTGAGAAGTGGAGCGCGCAGCGTCCTCGAAAGATTTCGCGTTCGAGAGTGATGGCGTTGGGGTTGTAGAATCCGGTGTTTCTCCGAGTACTGGAAGTGGGGAGGGGTGGTGTTGGCGGGGGCTGAGTATATGCGGGCTGCGAGCACTGGTAGGCGAATTGATGAAGCGAGAGTAATGTGGTCGTAGACCGGTGACAGGGTGGTGTTCTGGAGGCTGAAGGCCGGAACAGTTTGGTGATATATACCGCAAGGTGCAGATGGGGAGCTTAGACAAATCTAGGGCTGAGAAGTATTGACGCAGACCAGCAAGGTCCCGGCGGAGGTGCGACAGGACGAAGTGACAGCGGAGAAAGGTCAAGGTATGCAACGTGCCCCCTGCAGGTCTGCCGGCCCATACCTCCTTGGGACAAAGACGACCTGGGCGGAAGCAGCAGCGCTAGAATAGCTAGAGCTCGGTTCCAAAGATCCCTGGGACGTCAAAACGGAGCCAACCATAGTTAGAGGGTGATAGCGTCCACACAAATAGCAGTGACGCCACGAGCGGCGGAAGGGGACCTCTGTGGCAGCCGGTAGAGACGGCGTGACGGGAGAGGCTAGTGAAGCGTGCGGGAGCTACAGCCAGGAAAGACTGATTCACCGCTGGCCGGTGCTCGAAGCACATGCTCTAACATAGCCCCCAGTGTAACTCCTGTAACGATTAAGCTCTTTTCGGAACCCTGAACTCTTCCTGTTCGAGCAGCGGTGCCCAGTATGGCGCACGATGTGCTGCTGTCCCTGAGCAGCAAGGTGCTTCAGGAATGAACCCCTGCTGAGTGAGCAGCATGGCAAGCCCGGGCCGCGCAGTGAACGTCTTTGCCCGCCGCCGTCGGCCGACTACTGGGGGGTGACCCTTCTTTGGGCACCCCCGGCCGTCAGGATGGGTGGACGGTTTGGCGGCGTCGTTGGGCGTGCAGATGGCAGGGCCCCGGGTGCACACACAGTGGGTGCCTTTGCCGACAAACAGCAAAGACCATCCACCAGCGCGCATAGCGGAGGCCCTAATTCAGCGAACCGCTACCGCCCAAGACTCACGGACCGTGCGACGCAGTGGAGGTGATCGGCCTCGGCAGCGTGCGAGAAAGTGGCATGAGTTGGGAAACAAAGACGATTGGGTCAGGCGAATCAGCTGCTGGCAGAGTGGGCATTCGCGAATCGCCACTCGAGAAGAGCCACTCGCAATAGTGTCGCATATAGTGCAGGTAGAGTTGCAGCGAGTACTTCATTCAATTCACTGCTCACTCCGGGGTGAACGAATCAGACGAAAGGAGGATGCAGCAAAGTTGATGGCGCTAGTACGCAACGCCGCTTAGACTGGTGAAAGTGCTAGGTCCTGGGTTTATTTTTGGCCGTCTGTGCGCTCTGCTTGCCCGCTTCTCCCCATGTCACCAGACAGCTGCTTGCCTCCGCCCGGCTTCACGCCATGTTGCCCTTGGAGCAGTGATGATGGTGTTCTGCACTGGCCGACGTGACAATGCTACTCGAACCCGCCTTGCCGATCTGTCACGCTGCGCTGATGCCTCCAGTTTGCAACTGCTTTCGGCTGGTACAAATCCAGGCGTCCAAATTGGCAGTACCAGAAGGATTCGCTAGACTGGGTATTCAGCTCGCAGACTGCTGTGTACATCACAGTACATCTTCATCCACCGCGACTTCTGCCTGTGGCATTGCCTGCCATCACAAGGCTGCAAGTATAAGCGAGCCGCTGCAGTGGATCTGCACATTTGCAAAACGTGCTGTGCGACACGGTGCCTTCGGTACACAATGCTGCGAGAGCCCTCCCGTTGCAAGGCTGTTGAGCTCTGCACCGCTACAATGACGCTGTTCTCGTGTATCGGAGTCGCCTATACTCAGTGGAGCAGTGAGCAGCAACACGAGGTCAGGTATGCCGTACTTAGAACGAGGCGCTGACGGCCAATATTCACCGATTCTATAGAAAGACCGAGGCTCCTGTAGCCTGCAATGACATGGCAGATGCGTGAGAGCAAGCGCAGGCGACAGAATATGTAGGCTAGTGACGAGTGAGGTTATCCGATACACTATTCTTAGGAATAGACTCTATTAAGCATGTTACCTGCGTCGGCGTACGTCAAGGATGTCCCATGCTGCATCTAGGGTTGAGCTAGGTTGCGAGAAACCTCTCCATTCCTTGCGTCTGATCTTGCATTTTGCTGACAGCCAACGTTGCAAAGGCAACCCAACTGAGCAGCACCGCAATATACGCATACATAATCGCACGCAAGCCACTTAGTTGCCATCAATATTCAGTCCTCAGGATGTATCCAATCCATCGCTTTAAATAAGTGCGACACTGTTCGACACCGCCAGCGCGGCGAGCTGCCTCTTTCGGGCTGGTGCCAGGCTACACAGCACACAAGTCCTCACACGATCTTTCCACTGACCATACGTATTTCGCGTAGACATTTTATTCCGATCTTCTGCATACCTACTCAGGTCCAAGATACAATCGTGTCCTGTGCCTGCCCGCTCCGCTCCTCGAACTCGTTCCGTGAAACACCACGCCGGCTGCCGAGGCGAATTTGGTAATGCGTTACCTATGGCTTAGAGCAAAGCTGCTCCCACTCCCCACAGCGCGCACAGCGATCACCACTGAAAACTCTGAGAGGCGCTATTAGTCAAGCTCGGTCATCCCGCTGCGCTGCAGGGCGCATCTGCTGCCAGCGTACCTTGCCAGATCTCCAAGTGAACAGGAGCTGACTGATTCTGAGTGGTGTCCAACGGTGAACACCATAGCTCGCGGTATATTTTTAGTCGGTCCTGTCACGTCCCTCGCGTGGTCCAGAACATGGATGTTCCCTCCATCATCATGAACCACAACAGGTCTGTGAGCTGCTCGGGGGAAGGGGCAGGAATGTTCTCTGCAGCCTGCTGCAGCATTGCAACACTGAACACCGTGTTGCCGCCATGCGCAGAATCATTACCTGCATGGCTCACGTGGTGCTGAACATGGATGATCCCGCGCCGCCAGTCATGAGCCGCTTGAGCCGCATGACACAGGTAATGTCTTAGTAAGATTTCACCGAGGTCTACATGAATTCGTAACGATACAAGAGATGAAGAACATCTCGTCTTAGCTTCCACATCGATCATTTTCATCGTACATCGTTTAGGTGCTGCAGAGGGAGTTGCGGTCAATGTCTGTCAAGAGTCAAGACGCCCTGGGTGCGCCTCGCCTCCGGTTCGAGCAGGTCCATCCTCGGCTGTTTTTGCGATCGAGGCGGCGACCTCCGCCTTTCTGAAATTTGCGAAATTCGACAAAGAGAATCACATTGCGATCCTCGACCTGCAGAACCCTCTCATGTCCAAAGAGAGGGTCACAGAACCAAGAGTTGTAACGACCTGCAATTATCGTACGACCGCCATCGAGATTTGGTTCCCGGGCATGTGGCAGATCCAGACGACAGGCCGAGAACACCGGCAAGATCAACAGCCGTTCGCTGATCGCGCAGTTTGGTACATCTCATCGCTACCGATCGGATAAGTTCTCCATTTCCTAAACTGGCATGCGACAAAACAACCACAACATATGCGTGCCAGAATACAGCTAGCCAAGTCTCCTTCTACCCGAGTTTAGAATCCAGAAACAGGGTCTGCGAGACACTCGCAAGCATGTCTGCATTTCTCGCAAGCATGACTTCATAGTGCCATGAACAAAGCTCCACAGAACCTTGCAGCCCGCCTACCGCGGTAGTCCCTGCAGCGTCGGCGGCGTGAAATCTATCACGCCGCTGGAACCGCCTAGTCGGGCCCCGCGCATGCCGAGCCGGGCAAGCCGCACCCTCATGTTGCTGGAAAATGGACCAGTTGCGACCTATAATTTCTAAAGATAATGCACTTCAGCTGATCTGAAGCTACTCTTTATGAAATCTAGACAACGCTCTGACCTTTCTCGGACTTTTCATCCAAGACAGCCTGTGCAGACTCCCTCCGAGTGCCTCCGTAGAACAAGGTGTCGTCCTATGAGTGTAACAACCTGAGAGTCGTTCCAGCTCCTTCCGTTCACCGCCTGTCCATAGAACGCTTCCTTTGACCATGGGCTTGTTTCACGAAATTGGGAACAGCTGTGTATACTACCGACTGATGTGCGGTGAGCGTCGTCGCCGAAGGAGAAGGCATTTGAGCGTGGTAACGGCCAATTGGAAAAAATCGCAGTTCTACGTACAGCTATACTAGGGCTACGGATAATGGTGCGTGATGTCGCACCCAACAATGAGAGAAACGCCGGTGAATGACTGCTGCACGCAAGCCAACCTCGTGAGCATGATATGGTCTGTTCGAAGTGGCTGAGAAGCCCGCCTATGTAGCAAAACGTCGCTGGAAATGTCTATGGATGCCGGACCCTCCCGTTATCATTCGTAAATTCTCATTGCTCGTTTCTCCTGCTTGCACTACTTGCAGTACTAGTTCCGCCCAGTTGCCCTGATATTGGTATCCTTCTCTTCCTCTAACTATGAATCATTGATCCAACGCCGGCTCACATATGGAGTAATACAGTGTACATCTGTTCGACTGTGTAGTCGAGAAGAGGACCTGCTAAGTTGATGGAAATGTACATGCCCTGGACTAGGCGCTGTACAGCTCGCGGAAGGTGGCTTGCTGATCGCCAGGAAGACCATTGAGGAAGCTGTCAAAATCAGAGATCATAGTCTTGTACTGTTGGATGATCTATATGCAGTGTCAGTGCTGCCAGCGGTTGCAGGCTCGATACTACTCACCTGCTTGAAGGTCTCGCGGCACTGCTGGCGCGATGGTCCCGTTACAAAGTTCCGGTCAGCGGAGGCCATCAGACTGAAGAACTCAAGAAGAGACTGCTCCATAGCACCGGGATTCGCCAAGACAATCTGCATAAACCCCGTGAGGGCATGACCCTTCTCGTCGTTCCAGGTGACCTTGCTGATGGCTCGCAAGAAAGCCGGCGCAATCTGTGCAAGATGCACTGAGAGGTACTGAGCGCAGCCTATCCCTAGTCGGCCGAGTGCAATCGCAGCATTCTCGTTGAGCGATTCAGGCACCTTGTTGTCAAAAAGAATTGTCCCGATCTTCTGAAGCAATCTCTCGGCGTACGGCTGCATCCCTTCTTTCTGCTGCATCGCAATCTCTCCAACCGACCAGCAAGCATTGTTAATGACCGAGTATCCGGACTCATCGTGACCGATATGAGCGGGAGATACCTCAAGCTGGACGATGAGAATCTCCAGAATAGCAGGCAGGCAAGGCTGCAGCTGCTCAAAAACGCAGATAGCACAATCGCCAAGCAAAGCATAGGCTGATTGTCTTACATCATTGTTCGAGTCGCTCATGCAAATGGCTAGGAGCTGGAAGAAGTTGGGAGATCCTGCAACCAATTGAGCGCTATCCTGCGCGGGCAAAGCTTGAATCATTGCGCTCAGAAGGTCCACGGCAGTGATGAGGAAGTCCTTGTCAGGTTCCTCGAGATTCGGGTTCTCGGTAGCCATCTGACTTTCCTGGAGATTTCGGTGAATGATGCCGATACATCTCGCAAAGATCCCGCCTGCATATTGGGAGAACTTGTGGTCAAGCGCAGTCGCAACGTATGAGAGACATTCGAGCAGAGGTATGACCTCTCTTGAGTGATCTGAGACCTTACTCCAGCGTTGAAGAAGTGCCGGCATGAGCATGGCGACGAGGTCGTCTTGTGCAAGTGCCGGCCCAACGTGTTCGGCAAGTGTCTGAACACAGTCGTATAGGATGTACATATTCTTGTCCTTGTACATGGCAAAACACTGGATGAACTGTCGGACAATAACAGGGCAGTATTCAGCAAGTTGAGTGTTGGCTTTCTCTTCGAGGTGAGCGAAAGCTGATGCAGCAGCTTCTTGCACACCCTTGTTGCTGTCAAGCATCTTCTTCAAAATGCCGTCCATGACAGGCTCGAAGTACTGCTGCTTTCCGGCTTGATCGAGGCGTGCTGCCCATCCAGAGTACCGCCCGAGAGTCCAACATGTGATCTTCCGGACGACAGGCTTTGGATCTTGCAGAAGCGTAATGAGATAGGGTGTCAGCATGGGCAAGTGGGGTTGCACCACGTGCATACAGCCGTCGGCGATAGCACCGAGAGCAAGGACTGCAGACTCTCTGTTGGGCCACTCAGCATGATTGAGGTTGCTTGTGAGATACGGCAACGTAGCCTCAAAAACAGCCTCGTGGAAAACTCCAGCAAGCACATCTAACGCTGCGGCAGAGCATTTTCGCAGATTCCACGCATCCTCTGGGTCTCCAAACGAATCGTCGTCATCGAAATCTTCTATCTCACCATCGCTGAGGTCATCGTCGCCTGTGTCCGTGGGTTGGCCATTGGTGGGGACGGCCTCGCCGTTGGCGTTGGTCGTCATCCGCCCTGACTTGCTCGACGCAAAACTTGGACGGATGTCCTGTTCTCGATCATCGACGTTGTAATCCTCCTCTTCACCCTCGAGACGCAAGACATCGTCCTCACTATAAATCATGCTCTCCAAGAGTACAGGCACGATCTTGGCCAGATAAGGACCAAGATGGTCGCGCATTCTCTCATCCTCCGCGACACAGAGCCAGAACTCAGCGGCGTCCAAAGCCAGCTCCTCATCATCTTTGCTACGCTGTTGTGTTACCATATAGTCGACCAGTCCACTCATGTGGGGCAACATTTTCTCGGGTGCAATGTCTGCGACATGCACAAAAGCGCGACAGACTTGTTTCCTGACATCCTCGCTGGAATCGCTTGCGATGGAGAACAGTTGTTGCATCAAGGGGTCGATGTTGGAGAGAACGACCTGGAGTTTGTCTGGGATAAAAATGTTGATCGCCGCTATCGCATCAGCGCGCACTCGGGGGATTGGGCTCGTGGTGAGCTCCAATAGCTTGGGGAAGACGAAGCTCAACGGCCGCTGGCCTTGATACTCCTTGTCTAGCGCTCTTCGGTGATCTTCGCAGATCTTCAACAAAGCGCTCATACCGCCTTCTTGCGCCTGGACGGAGACATTTCCATTTGAGTTGCTGATGATATTGATCAGGTCTGAAAGGATTTGAGGCCAGCCCATAATGCCGCCCTGGCGCACGACCTCAGTGATGACATTGCCGGCGTACAGACGCATCTGTTTGTTCGAGTCTTGCAGCCCCACCATGATGATCTCCTTTATGTAGCTCTTGGTAGTCTCATCCATGGTTTTCAATGATGCTTTGACATCGTTCTTCAGCATAATCGCTGCAGATGCACGGGCCTGGAGGTACAGGGTGGCATCCATATCAACGCCTGACGGAGGCTGGTTGCGTGAGAATAAATATGCTAGATACTTGTCGAAATCAGGCGAAGCACGGGCTGTCCGCAGCATCTGCAAGGCGCCAAAGTCAGCGCAACCGCTCAACGCAAAGGTGCAGGTGGGGTCAACGAACGATTTCGGCATTCTTGCGTGCAGTCACATCGGGACCGAGTGAGTCCTTCAGGCACTGCGCCAGCTGCTGTAATGTCTGGTCCTCAGGTTGCCACGACATTGTGGGAGGCAATCTGATGTGCGCTTTGGAGGCGGGTTGAACTCTGTTGCGCTATGCGGGTTCTGTGTGCCCCGTCGAATGGGCGAGATACTGCGATTCGAGGGCGCGGGCGATAAGAGGGTTGGGTGTACGTGGTGGCGCGTAAAGCTGGTTCTGCTGGAGCAGCATGGTTAGCTCTTGCAGGGCGCATACCGAGAGCGACTGGTAGAATTGGTGGAGGGGCATGAGGACGTACCAGCTCCTGAGGTTGGTGCGTTCTACAAGGCCACAATCATTTTGAGGTCTTACAATGGTCGAGTGGTCTAGGAAATTTTGGCGTGCGTTGCGGTTGCAAGTTTGCTAGTAGTTGACGTGGGTACGGCAGAGTGCAGCGAAGGAGGGGCACGGAGAGGCAGGCCCTGGGGCTATTGTGCGCGGTGAGAACGCAACAGTAGGAACGGGGCTACGGTGCGACAAACGCGCAGGTGAGGACGGAGCGGCGAGGTGAGATTTGAGGCGACGACGAGTGGCTTCTTCTGCAGCTGTATGCCCTACGGAGAACAGACGTAGAAATGTCACCGAATTCAGTGCGCGGCCCACCTCCCTGATTGGATTAGGTGAACCCGCAACCAGCTTCCAAACATGTGCTGCTCAGCAACACACCACTCGCTGCACCTCGACAGTCACAGCAAGGTCCGGCCACCTCGGAACAAGCATGCATGTATAGTAGCGTTGCGCAGCGTACCGCTCATCGAGCAGCGATGACAGATTTGACGTGTAGCAGATTGCACGTTGCACTGCGCCTGCACTGTTACCTAGGTATGCTCCAGTCGAATGTGTGACTTCATGCAAACCCTTAACTCCAGGTCGTCTCTTCCCTTCTCTCGACGTACGCAAGCACCCTCTGACTCTGAACAGTTGTTTCCCCGTGTGATGTCACTTTGCAGATTCTCCTTGCTGAGTTCGCAATCGGTGCATGGGTGGTTTCATCGAGAAAGATTGAATGCATCGAACCGTACGGTGAAGCACCAAGTGCTCTTTCTCTCTCTGGTGTACACATCCATACACCCACATCAAAGATCGAGCCTCGTGACACGAAAGTGGTCTGCCCCTTTAACATCATTGTAACTGGGACGGCACTTCTTACTTGCGCTTATACCATCTCATGGGTGCCCAACGGTTCTTGCGAATGTGCATGGTGAAGGCTTCTATCAAACGAGAGCTCGCCCCAGACCGCGTTCAAGTTAGATTGTTGAGCTATTCAGCTGCTCGTCTACACTGTTCTAGTGCTGTAATAGATGTGCTTATGTATAGACTCAGAAACATGCCTCGCCGTTGCTTCGGTCGAATTCGTCGAGTGCGTAGCCTTCGCACCGACAGCAGGCTCGCGAAGTATCACCGGGCACGCTGTCCACTGCGAGCTGCAAGTGACCAGTCTAGCTGTGCTCAGCCTACCAACCCTTGTTACGAGGTTGCATGTAAAAGCAACAGAGTCTCCACAACCGCCGTCGCTTTTCGGTCCTGGAATGTGTCACGGCTTTGCAGATGCCAGTCGAAGGTCCTATGCGACCCAGATGGATGACTTCTCGCACTACCGCTTCGTTGTGACACAAACGACTGCGCTACTTTGTACCAGTACTTCGCCCGAAATCTTCGACTCACGACAGTCCAGGCAGGTTCTTCCACTGTTTACTACATTCGTCCGGCCTGCAAAACGAACACGATCCAGAACTCAAAAGGTTGACGTTGAGAGAGACGGTGGAGTGACGTTGTATTGGGCGTGCAGAGTGAGTGGCTCAACCAACCATACAAGCTACTATACTAGATGACTGCACCCTTTACAATACTTTAGGACATCTTCCTGTATGCTATGCAATCGAAGTCTTACATTCCGCAAAAAAAAACCCAAGCACGTGCTTATGGATTATGTTTCTGTCCATGTGCGGCATCGACCTATGCATACATGGTTTGCTGAGAGGGTGTTTCAGTCGACGTTCGGTCACCGTTCCAGCGACTTTGACACCCTCAAGCCGACTCTCGATGTAAGCAGAATTCTTCGGGGCCTTCTGTGTCTGGCATGAATGCCGGTAAAGATTGACTGGCCCACACCGTGTCGGACTCGAAGACAACGATGCAGCAGCGATGGTCCCTGGCCAATCTGAATGCGGCACGCACCATAAGCGCCAGAAGCCATGCGAGAATCAGATTCGAGGTTTCGCATCACACACAGGCAGCGTGATGTGAATGGCTGCAGTTGGTGTGTGGTCTTTGCAGGCAGTTGCTATTTCCTTGGTGTTTGGGAGGCACCCAAGGCTTCTACCCAGATCAATCGGAAGAGCAAAGCCGAGAACCTTCATATATCTACTCGCGCGAGCATGCACGGACATGTCCGTAGTCCCCGCTGCTAATTTCTGTAACAGCGCTCTAACGGAACATCTATTGTTAGATCGCACTCCACGGCGACTCTGCGAAGTCGTGTTTCAGGCTGTGTTGTTTGTGGCGGACGAATTGCAGCCTCGAAGGCACAAGTTGAGCCTCCCGCGCGTCTATATTCGCGTTTGCAGCTGGGCAGAACGTGGCACAAGTCCAATCTCGTACTGCAAGGTGCATTGCAGGTGCCTTGCACAATGCAGGAGCAACGCGCGTTCAGTAAGGTGCACCAAATTATCAATAGTGTTCGCGTTGTCTCCTGAAGTGCAGTACCTAGGTAGAGCTGGTAGCCGGTCTGGATCGGGTCCAGCTGGAAGTGACCGGTTGCAGCGCCTGATACACTCGTTGACGGGCTAGGCGGACGCTCTCTCACAGCTTCAGTGCACCCTCGCTTCCTCTATCCTGCACTGCTGCAATTTGTCGATCGCTGGCGGCTCGGATTACCCGGCAGCGTTGCGGATCTTTCAGGCCTTACGCCAGGACACCTCGTTGGCGGAGGTGGCAAAGCAGGCAGGACCAGGACCAGCCAAGCGGACAAGTCTCACGCAGTGGCTGTTCACGACTAGCTACCACACCCAACACTCACCGGATCGCCCGTCTTCTCTTCTGCAACGCCGTCGCATTCCTCCCCCCGGCGACTGCACCCAGCATCGCCCTTTGTATCGCTATCTCGTCGCCGGCGACTCCCGCGAATCTACTTGCGTCACCAACCACTCCCGATCCCCGCCGCTGGATCGACGCGCCATCACCACGGGCACCCTCACCAGTTCTACGAGCACCGCTGCGCCTGCTGGCAGCGCCTTGCCCACTTTCTGCTCTGCTGCTGCCGAACAGCACCGGCTGCAGACCCCCCGTGCGCCGCCATGATGCCGCAAGATCCGCTGCAGGCCGTCCTGCCACCCACAACGCTCTCGCGGTCGTACCTGCCTGTCGAGCATGCCTCGTCCGCCACCGCCACCATGTTCGCCCAGGCTTCGCACGCTCTGCACACGTCGTCCAATGGCGCTGTGCGAGGGTCACGCTACAACAACAACAATAACGGCCTGGGCTCGACCGCGAAGGGTGTTATGATCGGTGTGTTCTCGGTTCTGGGCGCTGCAGGCTTCTGTTTCCTCGTCTTCACCATTGTCTACTACTTCCGCTACACGCAACAAGGTCGTGTGTTCCTTGACCGCATGACACGACCTGGCGAATACGATGACGAGCAGCAGTTCGCCAAGGAGGAGGCTGAAGCGCTTGAAGAGATGGACGACCTGCAGAGAACCGAGTATCTGCGAGCGAAATGTAAGACGCGGTCTACTTGTTGCTAGTGTAGCAAGAGTTGTACACTGACATTTACTAGCTTTCGTTCAAGTCAACCCGCCCGAGTCTGTGCAGACCGACATCTCCTTATCGCAATTCCTCGCAATACAAGAGAAGGGCGTCTCAGCTTGGGAATTTGAGCCAGAACTCGAAATCGCCAACTGTTTCGTCGAAGGTCGGACCGAGATCGAGTTCTTTGACTCGGAGTGCAGCGTCCAAAGCAATTTACCGATACCGAAGCAGAACGAAGTATACTACTGGGAAGCCAAGATATACGAAAAGCCGGAGAACACAAGCATTGCAATTGGCGTCACGACAAAGCCTTATCCGCTATTCAGGTTACCAGGTGTGTATTTGCGCAAACAACAGCCAGGCCACATTGACTGATCAACGTGCAGGTTACCACAAGTCTTCCATCTCCTACGGATCGAACGGCAATCGACGCCACAACCAACCCTTCAAACCTTCTGCGTACGGACCGGCATATGTTCAAGGAGATGTCATTGGAGTAGGATACAGGCCTCGCACTGGAACGATTTTCTTCACCCGCAATGGCAAAAAACTTGACGACGTTGCCCACGGTCTCAAGACCCAAAACTTCTTCCCCACAGTCGGAGCCCAGGGACCTTGTCAGGTGCACGTCAACTTCGGACAGATGGGATTCGTGTTCATTGAAGCAAACGTAAAGAAATGGGGCCTTGCCCCGCAGACGGGCAGCCTGGCTCCCCCTCCACCGTACGGGAGCGAACAAGGGTCGATTCTCCTGGACTCTGGTCGCGAAGGCATCAGGGAAGGCATGGCTGGCAACTATATTTCTGCAGGTTATGGACATGCGAGATCCAGTAGCCAGCAAGTGCGTCTCGGACGTAACCAACCCACAAGCCCTGGCCCTCAGCGCAGTCCCACTGACATCTCCCTGGCAGCTTTCAGCCTCGTGGACTCCAACGAAGACATTGGCGAAGGGACCAGCGCAGAAGCCAGCAACGCACACGAGCTGGCGCACGAAGCTGCACGCGGACTGGGATTCCTTCAGCCTGGAGAGCTTCCACCCGAATACACCAGCCCTGTTGGATCACCAAACCTTGAAGCTGGCCGACACATGCGTGATTACTGGGAAGAACGGGAACAAACTCCTCTTTTGCAGAATCAGCAACACGAGCCGGAGTCTGAGCGGCCTCTTCCCAGCTATGACAGTGCGGTCGCCAACGCGCCACACATCCGACAGCCCACAATTCGGGTGCGAAGTGCTACTGAAACCTCTCGCACACCCCGTGGAGGCCGTCGCTGAGCCTCTGTCATCACAGTATTTTTCAATTACACTGTTTCCTGTTTTCATGGATCTAACTATACCCCATCTCTTAGCATATCTCCTCTCGATCAGGTACGAGAGACTTCGCAATGTACATATGGGGTTCGTCTTTTGAAGCTACGACTTTGGCTCGAGCTGTTGGCGTTGGAAGCAAGCGAGCATTGCTGCGCTGTTGCACGGTTGTCATTGGGACTTGATCGGCAGGGTCGGAGATCGCTCCTCACAGTAGTCGCGTTATCATGGTGTTCTGGGCTAGATGGCGTTGTGGATCTCATAAAGAGCGATAGCCTATTTGACAATACACGTATTCCTATGTCTGCACAAAGGCTTTCAGTTTACCAAGTACGTGACAATGAGATGATATGTCTCGACGGATAAATTGCGAAGCTCGACACATGGATCTGGCGGCTCCGCACTCAAAGATCGTCGCGGGATTGTTCTTGTCTCGTACAGCATTTACTTCGTAAAAAGCAAAAGCGCATCCAGCTCAAGGTCTGCAGATGCAGCAGCAGATCGAGCGAGGCAGGAGACCGGTCTACATTATGCGATACACGCAAGTACACGCAATTAAGCTATGTTCCACCTTCACGTGCAGTAGCACCCGTGGGAGTTGATATCACATCTTATCAACGCGTGGATGATAGCGGCGAGGCTGTTCACGGCGAAATTTTCTCGAGAGAGTGCACAGATTATGTCATCCCAGGCTAACCACTCTTTGCACTAGCAGCGTCTCAACCTTCTTCACGGTCGACAGCTCCATTGAATCGTCCAATCAAGGCTCACAGTGCCAGGAACACAAGTGCATTGTCGCTTAATTCCACCAGTGACCAACGGTGCCCAGCAGCCTAGGCGGCCTCGTGCTCGTCAAGAGCAAGCCATTGCACTAGCAAAGAGTACCTAGCATCCCGCTTACAGACCGCGGGACCCTCATATGAAGAACTGTCATCGCTTCCCATTGTCTTCCATCCTTCCCGACCCTACTCACTTTACGTGTCCTTCTCGAAAGTACGACACAACATCCAAGATGCAGTCATACAGCAGACAACGGCCTGATCAAGGTATTTACTAGCAGTGCATGAGACCGGTGTTCGCTGTCCGTCGCTCTGGACTTCTCCCTTCTTGGGTGGATGTATGGAGCGATGACAGGGTTCTGAGAAATACGGTCGGAACTTGATCAGGTTAACGCCTGCGAAAGGACTTCATGCTTTGCGCCCCGTCTTGGAGGCTGCTACTGACTAGCATAGGGCTTGCTGCGTGCGGTTATACATCGAGTAAGACTTGAGCACACGATATCTCTTGAGCAGACGTATTTTGATTACCACTGTTCAAAGAACATTCTTCAAAGAAAACATGTCAACTTTTCATGATAACGAGAAGGGCGCGCACGTTCCTGCTTCGCCATTGCATGATGCTGCCTCGCCAACTAGCTCGATCTCTCTCGACAAAGATATAGCTATTGGTCTGGTCGGCGAGCATTCCCGGGAGATTGATCCGATTGTGGAAGCCAGGGTGCTCAGAAAGATTGACGTGTGGCTGATTCCTGCAATGGTTGTGGGTGTGTATTCCCAGAATTCTGCGCGCAAATCTCCATTGACTTCTAGTTAAGGCTACGGATTGGTGTATTACGACAAGGCCATCCTTGGATCTGCTGTACTGTTCGGTATGACCAAAGATCTGTCCTTGACTGTTGTCAATACGCAGACCACACCGCCTACGACCAACACCCAGCGTCTCAGCTGGGCAACGTCCATGTTCTACTTTGGTATGCTGGCAGGCTTGTATCCCATGACTTTTGCGCTGCAGAGGTTCAATATTGGCAGGATCCTCGGTGGCGTGGTCATTTTCTGGGCGGGTATTTGCATGCTCACTGCAGCTGTAACGACACACCAGGGTTTGTATGCCCAGCGATTCTTCCTGGGCTTCGTGGAGAGCATCATCCCCACAGGCTTCATGTGCATTGTCAGTGGATACTATACACAGGAAGAACAAGCATTGAGACAGTCATGGTATGTTCTGTACCAGCCACAGCCCCATACCTCCCCGACTAACATATCCACAGGTGGTTCGCTTCCACCGGGTTGTTCACCATTATTGGTGGCGCGCTCAACTATGGATTTGCCCAAATCACTGGCGGCGCCCTGCGTGCGTGGCAATACATCTACCTTCTTGCGGGTTGTCTTACCTTTCTCTTTGGCATCTGGTGCTTCTTCATTCCAAATTCACCTGCCACCGCATGGTTTCTCACGCCTGCAGAGCGGATTGTCGCAGTGGAGCGTCTTCGGAAAGGCCAGACCGGTGTGCGATGCCAGAAGATCAAGATGTCCCAGCTTCGCGAAGCCTTCTTCGACCTGAAACTTTGGCTTGTCTTCATTCTTATGGCATCTGCATACACTGTCAATGGCGCAGTTTCCGGCTTCGGTCCCCTGATCGTCAGTACTTTCGGCTGGTCAACTCTTCAGTCCATCCTCTGGCAGTTCCCTCTAGGCGCGCTCTGCCTCGTCGTGATCCTGCTCTGTGGCTACCTCTCCAGCAAAATCCCGAACATCCGCCTCATTCTCCTTATCGTCAACTGCCTCCCCGTCATTGCAGGCTGCGCCATGATCTGGAAGAGCAAATGGACATACCATGCCGCTACGCCTGTTGCAGGGTATTCCATCATCGGCACGTTCGGCGCCGTGGTCAGTCAGACCATAGTCATTGGCATGTCGAATGTCGCGGGCGCCACAAAAAAGAGCGCCATGGCTGCAGCGATCTTCGTAGCATATTGCGTCGGCAACATCGTGGGGCCGCAGCTCATCAAGAGCCAGACCAAGGCGCAGCATTACCCAGAACTATGGTCTGGGCTGATCATCTGTTACTGTATTACAATTGTTGCGGCTGTGGCGCTGTATGTGCTGCTCAGGAGGGAGAATCAGAAAAGGGAGGGATTGTCTGTGGATGAGGAAGAGAGGGACAAGCTTGCGTTTATGGATCTGACGGATAAGGAGAACAGGTACTTCAAGTATGTGTTGTAGGGCTTACTAGGTTGTAGAGGACTATGGGGCGATGTTGTGGGAGATGAAAAGGACTGTCAGTGAGTGGACGGGTTCTACGATGTCGGAGGGCTTGAACAAGACGTAGTAGAGTATCAGCATGGTGTGGTGTGGTGTCATGACGAATTAAAAAGGTGTAAATTGCAGGGTCTATCTGTCTCTGTGAACGGACTATTACGCTGCGTGTGATGAGCCTGAGACCTCACTTTGACCGGCATCTCGCCGCTCGGTAGGTATGGGAAATGTGCAGCTTAACTCTGGCATCACTCTGCAGACAACACTGTTGTTCTGCAATAGCTCACTAATCTACAGAGCTTGCGCGCATTCACTTCGACGTGCATCGGACCTCAAAAACAGCGTGAGCCTGGGGATACGACCGAGCTAGGGCATGCAAGGGCGTTCGATGACGTGCCGAGCGGCCCGGCGCCGCAAGCCTCGTATTCTGGCACGATGCTTGGAGCGATTCAGGCACCAGACTTTCTACTATCAACATTTGCCCGAACTCTCTGTGGCTATTTTCGGTGTCTTTCATGATGTTTATCTCCGCGATGATGGCCCACTTATCGCTTCAGCCTCCTCCGTGATGCGGTCCACAGATTGCCTGTCCCACAAGGCGTTACCTTGGCTGCGGGAAAGCGGCAGTCTCCTCCAATATGGAAGGGACGGTCGCAGACAAGGCAAGCAGCGCAAATGTGGATAACGCAGTCAGCGTGGATACTCGGCTGTACCCCTGCAGCTTCGCACTGCCTCTTTCGCTAACATGCTCTGCTGTTTGCTCAGCGAAGAGCACGCGACCACCTTCAACACCACGCTGCCTACGACGAGACGCCTGCAAGGACTTCCGATGCGACACGGGTCACACGATCAAGAAGCATGCTGAGACTCAGGCTGGCGAAGCCTACGAGCTTGCCGCATACGTGTAACAGAATCGCATTGCTGCTTTTGCTGACGGTTGTATGCACAAACTTGTATCGTCGACTGGTCTACGGTATGATAAGGCATGCTTTCGGTGCCGTGCACTGCTTACACGCCATAGACAATGCCGATCCGTACCATTGCAACAAACTGCTCCACCAAGGTCAATTCCTCGACTCGCCCGATCGTAATCCCGAACGTAGACCCTTCCAGAACTGGCAAGTGCCGGGCTGCCTCTTACACGACTACACGACGTCCGACATCGCCGACTGCAACGAAGACGGTCAAGTTCTGTTCGTCGGCGACACAACAGTGCGACAGGTCTTCTGGGCTGTAGCAAAGAAGCTGGATAGTGGCTGGGTTGATGACCGTCGACAAGAGCTGGACAAGCATGAGGACTTGCACTTAGAGGTCGGCCGCGCGAGGTTGAGCTTTATGTGGGATCCGTGGCTGAACAGCACAGGGTTCAGAGGAGAACTCAAGGCGTACATGGACAGGAATAGACCGGAGAACAGCGTACAGGAGAAGAGCTTGCACCCGAGCGATGGCAAGAGGAGATCGGTGCTGCTGTTTATTGGTGGAGGATTGTGGCATGCTCGACATCTAGGTGACGAGTACCTTCCAGCCTTCAACCATGTGGTGGACCGTGTGGCAGCAGTTATGTCTACCGCACACGATCGCCTTACCTCACCCGCGAATATACGAGCCCACGGAAAAGACGGTGTCGATGATCAGATCTTCTTTGCGCCAGTTCCAGATCCAATAATTGACCGACTGAGTCCATCGCGGGAGATCATCACGCAAAACAAGATCTGGGCTATGAACGACCACCTACAACTGTGGTCTAATCGCGGCCTCAACGTACCGTGGTCGTACCGAGACATGACAGCAAATTGGCCTGAGATGGTTGGCGGCAGCGGCCTGCATGTGACAGAGCGTATTGCATCTCAGATGGCGAACGTCGTACTCAACTATCGTTGTAACGCAAAGGCAGTGCAAAACGGAGGCCAACCACTCGGCAGGACCTGTTGCAGTGCTTACAGAGAGGCGAATTGGGTACAGATCATCGCTATCGTAGTGTTTGTACCTCTGGTCGCTTTTTCAGCCTTCAGTCGTCTCTTTCGCGGTCCGGATAAAAAGTCAACGGTCGTCTCACTTACCGATGCGATTTCCATGCTCATGCTTGCCGCAATCTATTGCTTCATTGCGGATAGAACCCACGTCTTCGACAAAATCCATAAGGAGTTCGCTAACATCGACTTCCGGGTAATGCTAGGCGTTGCTATCCTGCTTTGTCTTCTCAGCATCCAGAGCGTCCCACTCCCCGTGACCAAGAGTAGGAAACGCTCGCCAGAAAAGGCAACTCGATCATCATCGTTTCTACTGCGGGAGCAGTCCGATGAGTTCAAGGGCTGGATGCAAATCTATGTCCTGGTGTACGCGTATACAGGCGCTTTCAATACAATGGACTTCTTCAAGGTGTTCCGTGTCTTCATTGCACTCTACCTCTTGCTGTCTGGCTATGGCCACGCAATGTATTTCCTGCGGACCAACGACTTTTCTCTCTACCGCGTCATGGGCGTTGTATTGCGCCTTAATACGCTACCGGTATTTCTTGCGTTTGCACTGGATAGGCCATACTCTTCTTATCACTTCGCACCGCTGGTAACGTTCTGGTTCCTTATCGTATTCTTAACACTGAGAATCGGCCAACACTGGAACCACCGCTTGGAACTGCTAGCCGCTAAAGTGGCAATCGCAGCACTGTTTACAACAATGCTTATTCACGCGCAGGGCGTTATCGATGTGTTGGCATCTTTGCTCAACATCGTCTTCCAAGCAGACATTGACGTGGGTGAACTCCGCTTCAACCTCGGTATCGACAATTACGTCGTCTTCGTCGGAATAATGATTGCAGCAATTCACGTCAGCGTGCGTTCGATACTACGTACGCCATATCGGCAGTTAGGCATCGCTGGCTTTGTTGTGAAGCAATACTTTGTCTTACATCAGCTCCTGCTTGTTGCGTTTGCTATCACTGCCGTTCCAGCATTCTGGCTCCTCATGCAGCAAGTGAGGACCAAAGTCGACTATGTCTGGTGGATGCCGTACATTGCTTGGCTTCCCGCCCTTTCCTTCGTGGTCCTTCGCAACGCTACTCATTCGCTGCGGGAACGGTACTGCGCGTCGTTTGCTTGGCTCGGCCGCATATCCCTTGAGCTTTATCTGCTCTCGCAACATATCTGGCTTGCTGGAGATGGTCAAGGTGTTCTGCGTATTGGGTTTCGATATGGCAGCGGAACGTTACTGGGCGACAAATGGCGCGATTTGGTGGTCTTAAGCCCGATCTTCGTCTGGCTCGCGTGGAAGGTACACGGCGCCACCAAAACGGTTACTGCTTGGTTACTATTTGGACAAGGTGCGATGAGAGACTCAGAGCAAGATGGAAGACCTACGAATGGAGATGTAATGGAACTGCCCGGATGGCACCGGCCTGAGGGCAACAACACAAATGATTCAGAAAGTCGGCGCCATACCCAGCAAGTCGAGCGCAAGAAGCTCTTCTTTAGAGTGGGTGGCGTCGCTGTGGCCATCTGGCTCGTCAATCTTGTAGGTCTCTTGAGGCATGGTCTTCGCAGCTCCACTAATCATCCCAGACATATCCATGAGACAGGACATACAGTGTCTGACCCGTATCTGCTCGAGCAGCTAACCGATCCATGGAGGCTCGGTAACTACGTGTTCGATCTAGTTGCGTACAGGAAACAATGTACAATTTACAATTGTCGCTTGGACAATATGGATCCTGACGTGTGCCAAACTGTCATGCATTTCGTTCAAAGCCCAACGCTCAGTGCTGTCCGGGTGTGAAGAGGCATCCAGCCTTAGCACGTTTCAGATGCCAAAACCGTGATCAACGTGTGAAGGGCCAAAGTCGCTGATCCCCATTCGGCGAGGCACACATGCGGAGTCCGTATTCGTATCAACCGTGGGCTGGACTTGGACGCGTCATCCCACGCTGCATCACAATCACCACCTCTCCGCAAACAGCCACCAACTCCACTAGTTGTGATGCGAAGCACGGCTTTGATCTCGAAGCAATCAAGCAACAAAATCTGTACTCTTTTTTAAACTTCCAAGGATTAGAATTGATGTCCTGAATTAATTCTGGGGTAAACCTCGCTCCTGTTCCTCGGGAACGGGTTTATTTGCAATCCGACACAGCCACGCCGAGCTATCCGCGTCGACCACATGCTCGCAAGCAATGCGTAGCAAGCACAGTTACGCGTACCTGTCACTAAGGAACGCTCTTTTGACAGAAAAAGTGGGTGCCTCCGCCTTGGATGGTTTGGCGATCTTGGTCCACGTGTCTTGCGATGTTTCCGAGTGAGGTGACCAATGATGTAGGATCTGCGTGTGGTGCGCGGCCAATCAGAATGCCGCGAGCGTCACAATCAGACCGCGTCGGGAGTCACGTTGCACGGAACGTCAGACAAAGGTTGGCATGTCATAGAAGGTTGGCGCACGCAGGGTTCTTCAAAATCGGACGGGCTGCATGTTTGAAGGCAGTTTTATCACTGGGGTTGCCCGACAATCGTTTGCCGTGTGACCTTGCCTATTTCCGTGCGCGCGGATATCGAATTCAAGGCTGCCAACTGTTGCGCCCGCTACTGCATCGTAAGCCCGAAGGTGACCACGATTGGAACCGCCAACAAGACGGCTTCCGGACGTCCCGCACTTAAACGAGCGTCAGCACCTCAGACGTGAGAGCCGTTTTTGTGTCCTCATACTCCACTTGCGACTACTGTCTGCTCATTTCCATCGACTTGGTCGACTTTCCATCTCCGACAGTGACAAACATCACGCCACTATAATCATGTACCTAGAAAAAAGAGACAACATGGGGTTCAAGATGGCCCCCGCCCTCATCATCTTCCTCGTCATCCTAGGCGCTGGAGGGCTGGTCGTCTGCGCTTTCGCAATGATGCGTTTCTGGGGTGGCGATGACGCACAAGATACCAGCTATTTGAATCGGTCCGTGGAACAAGATCGGTACATGAAGGAGGTGCGAGACAGAACATGGGGCAAGCTGCCACGTTACTACGTCCAGGGACAGCAATCGAGTCGAAGCCAACTTGCGACTGGGGGACAGAGCGTGAGGTATGTTGGTGTTGGTTAGAGTGCCGCGTTCCTGAGTAGTTGACTGACACTTCGCAGCGCAAGTAACACGACGTACGGTTGAATCTACAGTTGATGAACAATGAAGGCCGTTGTTCGAAGGAATGTATCAGAACTGTCGTACAGACAAACCACAAAATTCGGGGTCCGCATCGAGGCGTTGGCGATTTGTATGACATGTTTAGTCTTGGAAAGCGCGAGTATGGTCTAAGAATGATGCCAGTCGATACAAAGGTATCGCTTGGGGCCCGAAGAGCATACGATGGCTCATGGCTACAGATCGATATCTGCGATGCCTACGACAGGTTGCGTTCGCCCGGAGGTGGGGCATGCCTAATGTTGATTCTCTTCTATAGTCAACTTTTTGCTTCAATAGGTAGTTGGTTCCATGGGCAGATGCTTGGGCGATCGAGAGCCAGAGCCCGCAAGCTCTCAAGGTCAGTGCCGACCACAGCCAATGGCCAGGCGATCCACTCCCAATTGTTGGGTCCAATTACTACTGCTGCTGTTACCACAAGGTTAGCAGCTGAATCATCAAGCCACCATAGCCCCCTTCCTACTTCTGCATGCATAATTCCATAGTGAGCCATGAGTACCCAAGCCTCGATGCACAGTTGCTCAAGCAGCCTTGTGAACGGCAGAGAGCACTGGACTGCGAAGTGAAACACTGATGTCCAATCGAAGGACGGCCCATTAGATGATTGACCCGAAGGGATGGAGTCAACCAAGCTCCAAACGATCTTGAATGATTGGATAAGACCCTGCCAGCCCTGCCGGAGTGTATCGAAATAGTCCTCATAGTTTCGATGAGGGTTTGACCACATTGACTCCAAGCTCCTCAGTCGTTTCTCCTCATCGCGATGTGCAATCGAGACTGGAATTGCTTCGGACCACGTCTCGCGTTGCACCACAAATCTAAGGGGACCATCCTGCAGCTTGCTCCAGCCGGGCACCAGTATCACTTGTACTCCTCGCATAGTTCGTAGACCGCGGCAAATGACGTGCGCAGCCTCTGTGACAATCACTTCTTTTTCTCTGTAGGTGGAACGACGCCACACGACAAGGTTTCGACATTCGTTCCTAGCTTGAAAGGTGTTGTATAAGCTAATCGCTGTAGAAAAGGCGAACAGAGCTTCAACATTGTCGCCTGAGATCTTTCGAATTTCAGTCATGTAGCGACTTAGACCCATGTTGAGCCCCATCGCCGCCAGGTTTTGGTAGCCTTCCTTCGCATCTGCAGATTCTAAAGTAGTCGATATCTGCAGAGCTGTGATGGCCAATACCCCATGAACGACGAAATCGTGCTTCAATGCCAGGTCTGGTATTGCTACGCACCATGCTTGTTGGGGCTCCAAGCCAAAACTCATTGTTTTAACGGTGTTGCTCACAAAGTGCTGAAGGAGTCTACCAGCATGAGACCGGATAGATGTAGGAAGTCGGTTCAGTATGCCTTGTTGCAAAAGTGCATTTGTGAAGTGAGGTTCCGTCGGTGATTGTGGTAGAGGAACATGTTGCTGTTGCAGGATCTGGCAACGACTTGCGGGTCCTGGCGCCGCATCAGGAACACGCAGGCTACAAGAGTAGTTGCGTCTTTGACAATTCTGACAGCCACCTTGAGCTTCGTCACACTACTTGAGCTTGTTAGTGCTCAATCTGAACAACATCCCCTGAGCAGACGCGTGTGAGCACTCAAGACGAGCGCAGGGCGCCATACCTTGATCCTCCTTTGTCTGCAATTTGTACACCCAGATTTAGATTTCCGGTGGAAACGGCGCGCACGCATTGCGATCGGGTATGTAGCCTCGATGTTCGAAGCCACAATGTTGTTTTCGGTCGATGACAATTCCAGAGCAGAGCGAATGACTGGCAAGCGACCCACTTCATGTTTGGCCAAAGCTTCATCAGCAACAGGAAGCGGCGCGCCAGCCACCAGTCTGTCGGGCTCCTGCGTCATCATCGTGTAGGATTGATCTTCGAATGGATGCTTCAGTGGCTTGGTGTCCTCCAGTTACCTAGTTCACGATCCACTTTCGATAGGCTTTCGTTTCCCGTTCACTAGTTCCGCCCAAAGTGGGGTAGACTTTGATTGCAACGTTCGGCCCCCAATCACAGTATTGGTTGCACGGGTCTGCGGTGAGCTGTAGTGCTACATGCACGCAGGTACAAATACGATTGCAATCGCCGCTACCGCGATTGCTCTGTGTTCACAATAGTACTTCGATCTGGTCAGCCCGATGTATCGAGGAATCGCTTTCTTGGGTCTTGCCCTCAGCGCGGGTGCACAGCAAAACGCGTCGAGCATCCTCAACGTTGATCCTCCGCAGGAGCCATTTCCATACGCATTCCCGCCTCAAGATGCAGCAGGCACATCGGCCTTGTTTCCAATGCCCGCCTGTGTAGGCATCACGCTTGAAGAAGCAACGATCGATCAGCTGTCTAATTACATGAGCAATGGGTTACTTACTTCCGCGCAACTGCTTCGATGCTACCTCTCGAGAGTGCAGCAAGTTGATGAGTACATCAATTCTATCATCGAACTCAATCCAGACGCCGAAGAGATTGCCACTGCATTAGACGCAGAACGGGCTGATGGTCATGTGCGTGGGCCGCTGCATGGAATACCGTTCATCGTCAAGGATAATATCGCGACTAAGGATCTAATGGAGACGACTTGTGGGAGCTGGACGCTATTGGGAAGCGTGGTGCCAAGGGATGCTCACGTAGTCGCGAGGCTACGAGAGGCGGGCGCACTTCTGATGGGCAAAGCGACGCTATCAGAGTGGGCTGACATGCGGTCAAATAACTACTCCGAAGGATACTCACCAAGAGGAGGCCAAGCAAGAAGTGCCTACAACCTCACATTGAACCCCGGTGGAAGCAGTTCGGGAAGCGCGGCGGCTGTAGCAGCGAACATCGTATCATTCGCGCTGGGCACAGAAACAGATGGAAGCGTCATCAGTCCAGCAGAACGAAACGCACTGGTCGGAGTCAAGCCAACGGTAGGCTTGACATCGCGAGCTGGTGTGGTTCCTGAGAGTGTTCATCAAGACAGTGTTGGCACTTTCGGCAGAACCGTTCGCGACGCTGCATACGCTTTCGATGCAATCTACGGCATCGATCCAAGGGATAATTATACTTTAGCTCAAAATGGCAATACCCCATCAGGTGGCTATCTGCAATATTTAACGAATAAGTCGGCTCTGAAAAATGCGACCTTCGGTGTCCCGTGGGAGACCTTCTGGATATACGCAGACGAGCAGCAGCGAGAACAACTCCTTTCCGTCATATCAGCAATCAAGGCTGCAGGTGCTACAATAATTAATAACACGGAGATACCTAATCGAGAGCTAACCGTCTCACCTGATGGCTGGAACTGGGATTTTGGAACTACGCGCGGCTATCCAAATGAATCTGAGTACACAGTCGTGAAAGTGGACTTCTACAACAACATTAAAACCTATCTCTCCGAGCTAGAGAACACAAATATACGCTCGTTGGAGGATATAGTGGCCTACAACTATGCTAACGACGGCACTGAGGGTGGGAACCCGTGGCCACAAGGCATTCCAGCCTTCTACTCTGGCCAAGACGGCTTCTTAGCGTCTTTGGAAACGAAGGGTGTTATGGATGAGACATACTATCAAGCACTCGCATTCACGCAAAAAGCTACGCGAGAAGACGGTATTGATGCAGCTCTCGCGAACAATGGGCGACCGGTCGACGTGCTACTGGTCCCGTCGAATGTTGGACAGACGTATCAGCTCGCGGCTCAGGCTGGATACCCCGTCGTCACGATCCCGGCTGGCGTACACGCGCGTTCAGCTATGCCGTTTGGGTTGTCGTTGATGGGTACTGCCTGGAGTGAAGCGACTCTGCTGAAGTGGGCCAGTGCAATCGAGGATCTGCAGCTAAGTATCGAGGGATTGCCCAAGAGGACATTGCCGAAGTGGCATGCGTACAAGGAAAGGAACATACCAGTCCCATTTTCTGATCCTTAGGCGAGACCCTGTTTTTCGGGTGTCACCGAAAGAGTACGCATGTCTGCTGCTGATGGAGGCACGTGCAAGATTGTCTATCCTCAGGCTATGCACAAATCTAGCGCAATTCCAGATACTTGAAATCGCCCGCATGTATCGCCTCGCCATCCATGATTCCATGTATGTAAGCGTCTCCAAGTACGGTGTAGTATCCATCATGCGGCCTTAATATGATGGGGACTCTGCCCCCTGTCATGACAGCTACACAATCTCCAGGCAAACAGTTCTTGGGGATCCAGCCCATAAGGCCTTTCTCGGTGATGCAAAACGTCCGGCCCTTGCTCACGGAGGCAATGCTATCAGTAACACTACGGAGCTGGTAATCGCTGGTTTGGTACGTTGTGCGCGACCCTCTGAACCACTCTTCCCAACTCTCGAAGCACTGGTAAGAGGACAAGCGACGCTTGCTGATATGGCTGCGACGGTCTATCGCATTAGTCTCATATCCACCGCACATGGTGAGCCAGAAGGCTTCCTTCCGTGTCTGGTATCGGCCATCGTAGGGCTTGTCCTCGACTGGCTCAGCGATCTCATACATATCATCCAGTATCTCATTACAGTATGAGCGTGTCTTGCGATATGAGCCCAGACGCCTCGGTGACATAGTCACTATGCTATCAGTCAAAATACCCTTGATATAGAGAACACCTGGTTTGGCTTCGAAGTCGGCAGCTTTGCTTAGACAGGCATTGTATCTATAGAGATTACGAAACCTCTCTGTCCAGTCACTGCTATACTCCTTGCCTAGCTCCACTGTCCAGTCGGGAACAAATGTCGGTACGTTCAGATTGCGTGACTGGTTCGGAGCTACATGGCTGAGAATATCGAGGCGGCCAGTGCGCTCAATGAGCGCTATCGCAATTTGCTCGTACACTTGTTCCACAGGCAGATTATAATTGGCCTTCAGGAGGCCTGCGTATCGCTCTGCTGCCAAAGCCAAGATGCCGTACACTTTGTCGCGAGGGTCGGTGGCCTGCCGTACTCGGAGAAAACCAAGACTGTATGAGAAGTCCTGCTCGGCGTAAGACTGTTTCACCAAGCTCAGAGCAAGCGCTGGCTGTAGCGAATCTCCTATCCTGAACAGGAAGTCCGAGCTTAGCTGCATGTCACAGCAATCGATGCTTTTGACGTGGCGGCGGAAATGGTCCAGACACCGGAAAAGCACATCACCATCGAGAACATGCTGTCCACACTGAAAGATGGATGATTTGGCAAGGATCCATTCTTGTGCAGTCCAAATACGTGTCCACCAGGATCTCGTCAACAGCGAACGGACAGACATCGCCGTCTGTTCGACATTACGCTCTGTTCGATGCAACGTTAGATGTTCGCTGGGATTATGCCCAAACTCTTCAAGAAAACTGAAAGCGAGCGCTGCATCAGAACGCGGCTCGCCCAGCCACACAATGACATTTGAGGCTCTGGAGTATATGTCGTTCATTCGCGAGACCTGATGAGACCGCTCCAGGACGTTGTGTTGGTCGATGCAGATAGCGTCAATCCAGAGTACGCGGACTTGATCTGCATATCGAAGAGCTCTTAGAATTGAGAGAAGGTTTGCCGTCACTGCAAAGTGCGTTCCTTCTAGATTGATGGACCGATCAAGCAAAGGCTCTCCCCATGCGTAGGATAGAGCTTCATAGTTTGTGTTTCGAGCCCCTGCAAGCAACGATGTGACGCTGAAATGGCAAGCAATAATACTCCGTCGATCCGATGAAGGAGAGAGATGCAGCAGCCTGATTTGGTAGTTGGATTTATCCAGTGCAGTATATTGCATAATGAAGCTGAAGGCATCATCATTGGTGTGTCCAAGGAAGGTGGGGTAGGGAAGCGAAGTCATCCCACGCTATTCTAGTCTCGAAAGGCAACGGAAAGACCCCACATGACTAACGACTCACAAACCTACTTCAACCGAAGCCTGTCCTACCTGTTACTTGCTCTCTCTTGCTCTTTCTTGCTGACGTGTAAATAGACGTTTAGAGAATGTTATCTATAATTAGTAATAAGCTTAAATTATAGTAAAGCAATAACGTACTAGCAGAGATCCAAAGGGAAGAGATAATCACAAGGTTAAAGAGCACTAGGGAGGTTAAACTTTAACTATAGTATAAAGTAATTTAAACTATATTTAGTGTTAGATTACCTAGTTAGCTAGAGCGCTCTGCTACACAACTATTATCTTCAAGCCGTCCACCGTGCTTGGTATCCAACAAGCTCTTCCCACCTAGTGCTAGCATTAGTCTTACTTTAAGCTTTCTCCCACACGTTATTCTTATGCCGCTTAGACTACCACCCTTCCTGCCTCCGCTCCTGTTTGGCTTCCTTCCAAGACCGCTTGTCCTCCTGCTCTAGCTAAGTCTACTCTTATTCTTCCTTCTGCATATCCTGCTGCTTCTGCTCGTCTTGCTGCTCTGCTCGTCTTGCTTCTGCTCGTCTTGCTGCTTCTGCTCGTCTTGCTGCTTCTGCTCGTCTTGCTGCTTCTGCTCGTCTTGCTGCTTCTGCTCGTCTTGCTGCTTCTGCTCGTCTTGCTGCTTCTGCTCGTCTTGCTGCTTCTGCTCGTCTTGCTGCTTCTGCTCGTCTTGCTGCTTCTGCTCGTCTTGCTGCTTCTGCTCGTCTTGCTGCTTCTGCTCGTCTTGCTTCTTCTGCTCGTCTTGCTTCTTCTGCTCGTCTTGCTTCTTCTGCTCATCTTGTTTCTTCTGCTCCTCGTCTTGCTTCTTCTGCTCATCTTGTTTCTTCTGCTCCTCGTCTTGCTTCTTCTGCTCATCTTGTTTCTTCTGCTCCTCGTCCTTCTTCTTCTGCTCCTCTTCCTTCTTCCTCTGCTCCTCGTCCTTCTTATCGTCTTTCCCATCCTTCTTATCATTGTTGTTGTTGTTGACCTCGATTTTCACCTTGATCTCGACAGCGATCTGGACACTCAATTCCACATCGTTCGCCCTGATTTCAGCATTTTTTCTTTCCTCGAGAGCTGCGTCCATTGCGGCGCGCATAGCAGCGGCAGGATCCTCCTCAATCTTTGTATACGTAGGTCTCGCGTCGTAGAGCACGGCGGCGACCGTCTGTGTCGCGAGTGCTTCAGCCGGAACAGTCGCATTTGCAGCCTCGGTAGCACCAGGTTGGGCGACACCTTTAGTAGCAGTGAGGGTGCGGGGATTGTAGACTGTAAGATTGTCAGAGGTGCGGCTGAAGCTTTGGGTGCGTACATACCCATTACAGTCTCAGTTTCCTGCTTGCCCCGGTTCGCTACGATAAGTTCTTGTTTGAAGATCTTGGCATCGACCTTCCTTCTCTCTCGGCCCCCGTTATCAGCTCGAGCCTCGAGCTCAATGCTGACTATGATCTGTTGTACGACCAAGATAACGGTACTCCTATCCGGCTTCTCTTGCGCAAAAGCCACTGCACGTAAGACATTGTCCATCTCATTGGCGGCAGCGTTAGCCTGCTGATCAATGAGAAGTACTTGGTTGACTTGTTGGAGTATGAGCTCCTGCGCATTCAACTCCTCTGCCTTCTTACGGCCCCCGTCATCACCGTTCTTGTCGTTACCGTTCTTGTCGTTACCGTTCTTGTTGTCACCGTTGATATCAATCTCAACGGCGAGAACTTGGTCAACCGTAACTTGCGTGATCTCTTGACGGGCTCTAGAATCGAGAGCAACGAAAGCAGAGGTCATGCCGGAAGCTGAGTCTACACAGACATCGGCTTGCGGCAGTGCAGCTTGGGAGCTGAGGTCTCGAAGAGCATGAAGGCTCGTGATAGGCTTGCTAGCTATAACAAGTGTTAGTAACAGTGGACGTTCAGAGAATACTGGTTTGGGTACCTGCGAGGCCGGCTGCGAGCAGCATAGTGGCAACAAATCTAGTAGACATTGTGAATAGGAAGTATGATTATGTTGGTGACTGTCAAAGTGCTGGATTTAAGATAGACTCTGGAAAACGTCACAGACGTTTGGTCGAGGAAGAATGGGATTGAAAGAGTGACTCGAACTTAGAATCAAAGAGTGTGGATGCTCGTGAATCGGTCAATGGTGGTTCCCCCAACTTTATATGCATACAACTACCTCTTGCCTGCAGACACCGGTCAATCGCTCCGAACGGTTCCAAAAAACTGTCATTCGTCCTACTATCCCATACAAGAGGCGCAGACACTTGCCTGAGGCTTGCGGCTGTCGATCATCCGGGCGTACGCCAAGAAGATTTATCTTGGTGCCCGAAATTGCAGGAATCGTGACTCAGGTATACCTGCGTGACACTGTATTTATGCCAAGAGATTATCATATGCGACCATCATATTGCTCTTCATGGCTGGGTGCGAGACGGTACTGAAACGTGGAAGCAACGGCCTGCGACCGAGAGCTGATATTGCATGCAACTCCGGGGAGAATGAAGCACAATCCGAAGTGCCGCCAGTCCAACAGAAGCCCTGCTGCTGCTGTCACGAAAATGTAGCCCTTGAGTTGCCCAAAGTGAATGGGCCAGCACGGATGGGCTGGGGAAGGGCGGGGGACGTCCGACCGCTGATCATCCACTTGGCACAACACAGAACCAGGTAAGAACAATAATCCATTATCTTATCAGGACTCTTTCTTGTTAGAGCCTACTTCAACAGAGTTATTCAGCTTTAGCTCTGCGGCTTACTGGCTGCAGAACTGCCAAGTGGCTGGTCGGAACCGCCTGGTTACAGTGCACATCGTTCGCCTTCAAACTGGAGTGAAATAGATCATGAGGCAGAGAACATGACGAAATAAAGAGGACGAACAAGTTCATTCAGCCAGCAGGACCTTGTGCGCAGTGTCGTGTTTGCGTGATTGTGCTTTGTGGAAACTGCGCGTCATCGTGTCTGCAATGCGGAAGTGGGGCAATTGTTGTCAGAAATTCACTCGCCGCCCACGCTATCTGACAGGCCGACCATCTTCAGTGTGAAACACTTCTGAGCCGCCACAACTCGACTGTTGCTGTGCTGCCGCCAATCGCTCAATTGAGCGTTCGTCTACGAAATGCACGAAGTTGTCACCCTCCAGTTCGGGTCGCAGAGCAACTATCTCGGCACCCATTTCTGGAACACGCAGGTAAACTCTCTCACGTGTTCGTTTGGGCGGCAGCCCCATTGGGCCATCTGAAATCCTTAGGCCCCTCTCTCGTTCGTTATGATGCATGCTTGTGGGGAGGCCGCGTACTCACGTTGCTTCGTCATCGTTGTTTACGAGGTCATCTCGCTCACCATTAGATATTCGTAGAACCCGCACGCAACTACTGTACAGGTTCTGATTTATCACAGGAGTCCTACTTCACCTATCCGCCTGAGCCTGAATCAGCTGTCAATCATGACATCCACTTTCGAGCTGGAATCGCCCCAGATGGCTCCGACACGTTTACTCCGAGAGCGCTTATTTATGACCTCAAAGGTGCATTCGGGAGCATGAGAAAAACGAACGCTCTCTACGAAGCCGAAGATGACAGAAACATATTAGATCAGACAGGAGTATGGTCGTCTAAACCCATCGTGCAGCGAGCAGACCCAATACCACAGTCCACCTACCAACAACATCTCGATGCAGGCCTAGAACCGCCTCAGCTGCGGACCTCGACGGTGAAATACTGGTCCGATTACAGCCGAGTTTACTACCACCCAAAGTCGATCGTCCAGCTCTCCGAGTTCGATGTGAACGACAAGCTCATGCCTTTCGAGAGCTGGGACGTCGGCATGGACCTCTTTGAAAAGCTTGAAAGGGAGGTGGACTTAGTTGATAGAGATCTCAGGCCCTTCGTCGAAGAGTGTGATGGTCTACAGGGCCTTCAGATCATGACCGGCGTTGATGATGCCTGGGGTGGATGGGCATCTGGTTGGATTGAGCGGCTGAGGGATGAGTATGGAAAGCTCAGCATCTGGACTTGGGGCCTAGGGGACCAAGGTGCAAACACAACAGTTCCGAGGGTAAGGTGTCACTACATCTTGGCTCGAGAATTTCTTTTAATAGACAACAGGAGAGACGCTTGCAGCAGATTGTCAACTCATCACGATCACTCCAGCCCCTCGCGGAACAGTCTTCGGTATACATACCATTGTCCAATCGACCAGCTAAGCTCCCAAAGTATCTTTCCTTTGATGCAACTTCGCCATGGCACGTGAGTGCTTTGCAAGCCGTTGGCATGGAAAGCATGACGATATCTTCCCGTTTGAAGGACTCGAATGGCAGACATGGAACCCTACAAGATGTGGAAGATACCATCAACAGCACCGGAAGACGAAGGATTGCCAAGTTTGGGATGAGCATTGCCGATCCAAATGTCTTGTCTGAAAATGCCAAAGACGCACTCGGGGCGGCTGGGAAAGACAAATCGGCCCTCTTGGAACATCAGAGCAGGAGCGATAATCAAATGAGCAGTTTCGATATTGACGCATTCTCCAAAGACTACAAGCTTGCCTTTATCAAAGAGCGGAAAAGAGAGCACATCTTCGCGAGAGCCGAAGCGTATCGCGGAGCGTGGCAGATGTCAGACGATTCAGGCCGCAGCCCTCGGGACAGATTTGGTGACGGACCGGCAGTCGAAAGGTACGTTCACTTGAGAACTAACTTCTGCTCAGCTTCGCCGCATGGCGGTCTGCTGTGACGAGCAGCTCGGCATCTGCCGCTATCTATCGAATCGTATACAGCAGACACTAACGACTTCTAGATACACCACGCCGCTGCTGTTCCCGTTATTGGACAGTTACCCATCTATTTTCGATGTGGGATCTGGGCATACCGAGAACCTCGCTGTTCACGCTGGACTTACCACTAGCACAGCTGTCGCGGAGCAAGTGCGAGCAATCGAGCAGATCGTGAAGCGACTGGTAGCAGTCGAAGAAAGAGAAGCTCTTTGCAACGGCCTGCAGGTGATCGCGGAGGAATACGATGAAGGATGGGACGGTGATTTCACCGACAGCGATGACGATGACTGAGTAAAGCTGCTGTTACCCCGGCTTAAGCATCATTACGAAATCATGACTTGTGCAGCCTGGCATCAATCTTTCCTCTTTGTCCATCCTGCGCTGTCAACGACACGAGGTGGCTTGCCATTGTCGGCCAATCTCACCCAATGTCTAACCTTGCAGGCACACCAACCCCGGCCAGTCCATGCACGATCACACGCTATCGATAGCGGGCACACACCAAAGCGGTGCTCCAATACTTCGTACACGGCATTGCATCATGATGCAGTGACGTGAGCAAGGCTCACGAACCGAAGCTTTCGAGGGCTTTGCCCTGCGCGAGCAAACACTCAAAAAGGCACTTGAAGGGCTAAATGCAAAGACACATTGATGATCTTGGCGGCCGGCATCGAGACTACAGAATCACACCTGCATTGTCAACGGATATGAAGGCACGTCACGATGATCATCATTGTCCTCTTAGGTCAATTGGTGGTCATGACGATCTGGATATCCTGAGGTTCCCAAATCAAGCCATCAAACCACAGTCCATGATGCGCTTGCATCACAACATCTGGGGCTCTCGAAGTTTCCGAGATAATCTTTTTCTACAACGTGATTGGTGGATGCAGAAAAAGACTATCGTTGCCTAGGCTATAAGCGCAGCCTTTGAGTTCACGTCTCACAAGAGCTCGCTTATCCTCCATGGCGAGAGGGGCACTCACGCGATACGATCAACCTGTCTAGAGAACGGCGCCGGAAGCTTGTGCAGGTCCCGCGCAGGAACACCAGGTCCCAACGTACCGACGCGCGTTCAAAGCTCGCACTGCACAACAATAAATCGCACACTATCATTGGTTGCTCTTTGTTGCTGCTGGTGTTCTCATACTGTCGTAGACGGTGGTAAGAAATGCAGGCGGTTGAGTGGGCGGCCGTATTCACGCCCAACCTCCTGCTGAGAGCCGGCCACAATACTGCATGGCGCAGGACCTCCCGAACTTTCGATATTAATGCCTGCCAGCGATCGGTTGGGTTGGGTCGTGGCTTGCACCGCAGACAACGGTTTCCCGCCATGCATCTAAGCAGCGCTGCTGCCCCGCCATCGCGATAGCAACCAGCCGGCCGCACACCTTGCTGCTGGGAGCCACAACGGCGTTCCAGAATTCAGAGTGACGCATCATCGGTGGGAGGCTGACTTGAGGCTTTGCTCACAAACTCAATCGGTCTGAAGGTGCTTACAGTCAGGTTTCAATTATTCGCATCTGGCGGAGCGTCCGGAGTCTCGCGATCAATCAAGCGCAGATAGCGCAATAGATTCTGCTCACGAGATCGGCCTCATGGGTGCTGCTATTGATAGACACCAAGCTTTTTGAGGCTGGTGATTATCCTCGGTCCAGCAACGGCAGGACACGCCCAGACAGGCGATCGCAACTTTGGCTGTGGTTACATCATAGTCTGGCTCCTAGACGGCGCTGATACGGGCACTTACTGATAGTGCCCTAGACTACCTAATTAGCTCGGGAGAAGGAATGGGTTCCAACGTCCCCACCGAAAATCAATATCAGCGACCACGGCGCGAGTCTCCTTCGCAGGATGATTACGAGAAGGCAAGCGACCGTTCCATGGTGCAGAGCACAATGTGCGTGCAATCTATGAGCCTGTTGTTATGCAGGACCGTCAGCATGAGCGGTATGGTGGTATTCGCTTGATGGCTTACACACTGTCAACAAATCCCAGTAGGCACCAGCATCCCCTGTATGTGGCGTATGTGTCGATATCTGCTGCTGTGATGATTGGCCTGGCCACAACTTGGTTTTACGAGCTGTTAGGGCAATTGCGTCCCGCGCTCGGCTGCATTGTGCTTGCCACATCGAGCGAGTGTGCTCTCACCTACATACCACGAGACCCACATTTACGAGGACTTGCCGTCTTGAGGCAGATACAGGTCACTACCGCCATCACCAGTCCAAAAGACCGTCAGGAAACGATGTCGGAGTCTTCTCCACAATGCTGGCTAGCGTATGCAACCTTAATCGTCGTTCGAGCTGCATGGAAGGCTGGGGAGTGTTTAGTGGCTCTCCCAGAAGACGCATATTAATCGACTTCCCCTCTCACCCTCGTCTTGTTACCCATCAGCCATAAAGGTTTGTCAGTTGCAACTCGCTCGCTACGGTTGCAAACTACTCTCGTTCTACTAGTGCCTCATTCGTTCGAGCACTCGATCAATCGTCACTGGAAACAGGATGAAGGTCACCACCACGTTCTTGGCCCTCGTGGGCGCAGCTGCCGCTGCCCCATTCGCTGAGTACAAGGATGACTATGGCTACTCTGCCTCCACCCCCGTGAGTACTGCAACTGGCATGCGGTAGACGCAAGATGTTGACCAGTGTAGGATTACAAGCCTTCGTCTTCGGATAAGCACTACACTCCCGGGCCGACTTACTCTGAAACCTACCCGACCAAGTCCAAGGATGAGTATAAGCCCTCTTCGAGTGTGAAGAGCTACCCGGTCTACACTCCGGAGCCTACCTACTCTGAGTCCTACCCGACCAAGTCTAAGGATGAGCATGAGTATGAGCCCTCTTCGAGCGTGAAGAGCTACCCGGTCTACACCCCTAAGCCTACCTCTGAGGACGAGTACCCGCCATGGAAGCCATCCACGACGCCTTACTCTTCGTACTCGCCCCCCAAGTCTTCCGACTACTACGCTCCTCCCCCTCCTAAGTCTTCCGACTACTATGCGCCTCCACCGCCAAAGTCCTCCGACTACTACGCTCCCCCTCCCCCTAAGTCGTCGGATTACTATGCTCCCCCCCCACCTAAGCCCACCACGGCTTATCCTGTTCCCCCGAAGAGCAGCGACTACTACGCCCCCCCACCACCTAAGTCTTCTGACTACTATGCGCCCCCGCCGCCAAAGTCCTCCGACTACTACGCTCCCCCTCCCCCTAAGTCGTCGGATTACTACGCTCCCCCGCCGCCTAAGCCCACAACTTATCACTACCCCCCTGCTCCTAGCTCTTCAAAGCACTATCCCATTCCCTCTACTTCTGAGTACCATCCGGTCCCTCCCTATTCGACTGGTCATGTTCCCCCGAAGCCGTCAACGACTCCCTGCCCTGAGTCTTCAACATACTACGCTCCACCCCCACCTAAGCCCACCACAGCTTATCCTGTTCCCCCCAAGAGCAGCGACTACCACCCTCTGCCACCACCTAAGCCTTCGACTGTCTACCACAACACCACTACCCCTTGCCCTTCGGAGACCAAGACTCCCCCGCCACCCAAGCCTACCACGCTGTACCCCACCAGCAAGCCAGCGCCTCCTCCGGAGACTCACCCGACTCCTGCGCCTAGCAGCAAGCCTGCGCCTCCGCCTAGCAGCAAGCCCGCACCTCCGCCTGAGACTCACCCAACTCCTGCGCCTAGCAGCAAGCCTGCACCCCCACCCGAGACTCACCCGGCACCGCCTGCTTCGACACCTGTCGCACCCAGCAGCAAGCCCGCACCGCCTCCTGCACCTCCTGCCTCGACACCTGTCGCACCGCCCCCTGCACCGCCTGCTTCGACACCTGTCGCGCCCAGCAGCAAGCCCGCACCGCCTCCTGCACCTCCTGCCTCGACACCTGTCGCGCCCAGCAGCAAGCCCGCACCGCCTCCTGCACCTCCTGCCTCGACACCTGTCGCGCCCAGCAGCAAGCCCGCACCGCCTCCTGCACCTCCTGCCTCGACATCTGTCGCACCGCCCCCTGCACCGCCTGCGTCGACACCTGTCGCACCGCCCCCGGCACCGCCTGCTTCGACTCCCGCGCCCAGCGCGACCACACCAGCGCCAGTCCCCTCAAGCCCTGCGGCTACCACTTCTGCGCCCCCACAGTTCACCGGCGCCGCAGCCTCCAACAAGGCCTTCGGCGCTTTCGTCGCTGGCGCTGTTGCTTTCGCCATCATGGCATAATCTCGCGATTGCTTCTATGCACTCCTAATATTCATGACTCTCCTTTGAAACACTCTACCGGTAACGACCCGTATAATGACAACGTCACGTATAGAATGGGTTATGTACAGACACTCTCCTTACACACAAGGCTTCTCTTCTTGGGGCATGGTCAAGCCATGAAATATCATTAGTTACGCGGCTGTCATGGGGGGACAGTTGGCAACCAGGCTTGTAAGTTAGGAGGTGCTGGGCGATAGTAATGTCTTTGCTCGAAGTTGTAGTCTACATAGTAATGCTAGCCACTCTCCGAGGTATTCGTGTCGAAATGTCTTGTGCATCATGATCCCCTCGTGCATCATGCCGGTTAGCCGAACACACCCTGCATCGTACGTACACTAATCATGTATCCCTGCAAGGCCCTACGGATGATATCATAGAAGTAGTAGGTTGGTCTCATATGTCTAAGACTATGAAAGCTACGCGTGTCTGTTAACCAACTCGTTGTTTATTACCTCAGCAAGACACCCACAGTTCATTCCCCGCACCTTACGAGTCGTATCATCAATTTTCGTTAAGTATCATTCATACGTTATAGACGGACGAACACACAGCAGGAGCGATGCACAAGTCATATCCCGCCCCTACATCAGGATCGCGTTCGAAACTTATATCAGCAAACTTGAAAGAGATATTCAACGGTCCCGGCATCTCCCACCCACAGAAAAACTTCACTGCACAGCTCCACAACGCAGAACATCGATCGAACATGTCTCACAATAGTGGCATTGATTCTAACACGAACTCTGGATTTCTGGTCTCATCTGGCGTAACAGGGGAGCAATCTGAGATAAAGCAAATGGCAACCAACCGGGACCACGAGCATAACTCTTCAAAGGGGCTCCAGTTGAGTCCGGTGAGGCCTCGTAAGCCTGAGTCTCAAGTCCTTGAAAAGTGACAGCAAGTTCATGCAGGCCAAGTACCACAAAGACCAAGCAAATGAGAAGCGCTATGGTCAAGGGGGGGCTGGAGTCTTCGATCAAGAAATGGCGACCGGACAACATGGTCGCACTTATGGACGCGCCTAAGCTTGAGGACTTTGGGACGCAAAGGATGCCGTAAATAAGCATGTGAAAGAGTACAGAATAGGATTAGAGGATAGCAATGCGCAGTAAAGGGAGATGACGTTGTGAATGGATGCTTGCAAGTTGTCATGAGATATGCGTGATATGGTTGCGCACGCAGCCAAAGAAGCATCAAATTTCAGTACTGCAGAAACAACTGATTGAGGGTTGTAATACGTGTGGGGGCACTGGGTACAACTTTGGAAGGGAATCCAACCATGTACGCGCAATCATAGGAGGAAGGCCTTGATACCGCATCTAAAGCCATGGCTTATGTTCTTCTCTCTGAGAGACAGCAATCCAGACGAAGGATCCCGAGCACCAGATCAACTCTGACGAGTCCCGGGAGCTAATTAGGTACACAACAAACTTCCCGATCGTGCCAGCACAAGACGCACTCTATTGGAGACTGGCCCGAAGCCATGTGTTGTGGGAATAAAAGTGTCGTTCCTTTAAGGATTCACGTTGTTGGTTTGCGCTCAGGTGATATTGCAGCAAACAGAGAAATGCTCCCGACTTTAGGTACCAAGGTAATCTGCGCTGTGGCTAAATCTATTACCTGAAGGGCTCTGCTCTGCCCCTTTTTGTTACAATTATGATGTTCTCACCATCGCACATCCTCCGCAAAATCCCGCATCTCCACTCGCCGAGCGACCCCGATTTCCGAATCTTCCCCATTTCGCCACACACCAATCATCAAGTTTGCAGTTTCGATGCACAAATTAGAGCAACATCGACCAAAAGCTGTGATGGATTTTGTGTTTTCGTCTTGGCAGCACGCTAATGCAGTAGGAACGCCCGCGAAGCTGCTCGGCGATTGCTCGGGTTGGACTTTGTTGGGTGGTCATGTACGAGTATATAGTTCATTAACATCCTTCGATAAGGTGTGGCTGCAGTACACAAGCATCCCAAGCATTTCAAGCATTCGAAACATCTACTTTACATTACGTCACTCATTACCACTCTGCTCATCGTCACTACTTCAATCAACATCGAGAACCTAATACTAAAGCCACTTATCGTCAATCATGTCGACCCCATCGTCTTCTTCCTCTCGTAGCTCCTCCATCACATTGCCTACCCAGCAAACTCGCCAGCCCGACCAACAGAAGCACGCACATGGCCTCATGGCAACCCTCAAGAAGCCCTTCCAGGGCTGGTCGAAGGATCTCCTTCGCGCACGCGACGATGACGACGACGATTACAACTTTGCGAGCGGCATGCGTCGCGGCGCTCACTTATACTACGAGCCTGAGAAGGACGCCTAGGGAGTGGTCCTGAAGCATGCGACACCAACGGCGGATCCCGCGAGCCAGATCGCGATGATTGCTGCCAAATCATGTGAACCACCCGGGGTGATATGAAGGGATGCAGATGCAATGGATCCATGTCTATACCGGGGACCTGCAGCGGAACTTGAAGAGGAGAGATTGTCTTCTAAGCATGCATAAGCGATATCAGGGCTGTCAAGTTTGGAGTTCCTGTTTTTATACCCATTTGATTAGCAACGACGGTTTCTGCGCTCAATTTGCATTACTGCAGGCAGGCACATTTGACCTCTGACCAGTCACTACTTCTGTAGGATCCAACTCATTCTTGTCAAGGCCAACCAGCTGCGCAACTATAACTGAACAGTTCAATCCAAAGAAGGTCAACATTCTCTGAGCATGACCTGACAGTGATAACAGAAGAACTTCAACGTTTGAAGGTGTTGTGTATACAACGTTGATCGTAATCAGCATTTTCACCCTAATGCTTGAATTTGAGTAGGTATCCTTTCCTGTTGTGCTGAAGTTCTGCATACGTGTGATCACTAAACATGTCAAGGAAGCAGATTCATAACATCGAGCTCATATGAGCACGTTAGCATCGGCGCAAGAACACGACTAGTACTTGCATTCTCAATCTGGACGTACTCTCTTGCTAGCTGCCGCGACAACTCCTGTACGAGCAGAATGCCGGTGGGAACATTGCCGTAGGTAGCGAGTTAACGCGGCATGACCTGACAAGCCAGTCGCGACCGAGGTTTTCCTTTCTTGAGTGTATGTGATTATCTGACGATGTCACGTGAGTCCATCTTTGGAAAACTTGGCCGTGGCTGACATTGCAGATCGATGAGTGACTGTCAACATGTAGATCCTTGATATCGGCGCTCTGTGTGGTCACCGTGTTTCTGTTTACACCCTCTTCGAACATGGTGTCGTATCCATGTATGTTAGGGTTTCGGTGCCTCTTTCAACTTAGGTACCTAGATACTTTCTACGCAAATGGCTCCCGTCACTCCTGGAATCAGGCGTCCAGGGCTGAGTTATTTCCGACAGGCCGTTGGATCCAATAGAAGACTTGTCCCTGCGTCAAGACCATGGGTCAGAAACAAGAACAAATCTGGCGATACTTTGCCAAGCGTCCCAGTCCTTAACAAGGCGCGACTACGCTGCTTTCGCGTAGAATTCCGCCAACCTCCAGGCATTGTCAGCCACCAATGGCCTGTGCGGCTCAACTTGTCTGCAAGATGCGCTGGACAGCCGTGCGCCGCTCGCCTAACAGCCAGACATGTAAGTCGCGATTTCCCCTTTCGCGGGCTGCTTGAGCAACCTCTCGCCCTCACTCAAAGAGCTCTCCTCTCTCGAATCGAACACAGCATATCCCGTCTCCTCCAAAGCCCCACAAAAAAGTCCAGCAATGTCTCTACTTTTCTCAGCAACCCTCCTTGCGACTGTCGCCTCAGCTCAGTTGACGACGTCCATTTGGCTACCTGGTGCTGCGAATGCAAATCAGAGTTTCGTTGGTTCCGTTGTCGCACAGCAAGATGATCGCACCACCCTGTCACTGGCCTTCAACGGAGGTGCCATCGAGTCCGAGTACTACGGGCAAGGACCCGACATTGTGACCGTAGGAGGCACTACTTATGTCGCTTACGAGGCAAGTGCGACCGACGAGGAAAGCGACTTTACGGTGACCGTAGCCCTTGCATGCACGCGGGAGAATGGCGACGCAGTCCCAACCTGCACCGCTACCACGCGAGGTGACGGACCCGAGAACAGCATCCTAGCATCCGACAGCGACTCTCCACAGACCACTATGACTATGAGCGGCGACGAACAGTACTACTTGAACAACTTCAAGCTCGTTATCACAGCCGGAACGGAGAAGCTCAGTGCTTCGGCAGCCGCTACACCTACCGGAAGCACAGCCCAATCGACCGGTACACAGTCGACAGTAGGATCAATAGTATCTAGCGGAGCAAGTTCTCAGGTTGTCCAGGCCACAGGTGCAGCAGTCCCAATGCGTTCGATGGCACCTGTCTTGGCAGGGATGGGCGCAGCAGCAGCCTTCTTTGTTTGATACCGACACAGCAGACGTTTGTTACCATATGCTATGTATAAGCTTGCGTTCATCTGTAGTGCTTCATGATTTACTCGAGCACGCTACGTATAGTCTTAATTCTTCAACATGTACTATCTCTGGGCACCGACTGGACGTTGTGCAGATTCCAAGGTTTACTCTTTCGCTAGACTGCTCAGTGACCGTTTATCTGTCACGCATGAGCCGACCTGTCAATGTCTTGTCCTGTTCCCTAATCGCGCTACGTCTCTTGCTTTAATGCATAACGCTCTTGTTTCCAACCTAGAAACTTCTCTCAACATAGACCTGCAGAATTTCTTCACTGTAGACCCGCAAGTTATTCTTAACACAGATTTCAACACCATGAAGGCGGGCCTGACCTGTAACATGACTAAGTATAGCATTAGGCAAAATTAACCAATCATCTCACAACGGTTCTTTCTTATTAAAGTGTATGCGCTTGACCACGGTTCTCTTGTCGTTATTCTGCAGCTTATTGGCTACAGTTACGTTGGTTCGGATTCTACAAAAGTGTCGAGGTGCTAGTTAGATGTGCTGGAGTGTAGTACATCAGCCATTCCAGAACATACCCAACAACACGTTGATTCTCTAGCATCATGCACGAACATCGTTATGTCACTCACCATTTCCTCACAATGACTACCCTCACAGATACTTAAGATCGCCAAACTCTCTCCGTTTAAACCTTCCAGAGTATACCCAGCACAACCATACCAAACATGCATCTCTACGGCACCAAGTACCGCTCTGGACGACAGCATCCCGTTGAAACAGGCATCTTGATGAAGATTCCAGATGGAAATATGCTCACACTGACAGCTCTTGTAGCCCCGGTCTCGATGACTGGCTTTCCTACCTTTCGCGCTGACGAACTCCATGCATTGGAAGAAACTGTCTGTTTCCACATCGAAGCAGAGAAGATCCCGCAAGATATTCGGTGCTCGTGCTTACAAGGTGGGCGGTTCTGCTTACTTGCAGAGCACTGGCTGCTCGAATATGGCCCTGGCAGCCCCTTCTGGCTGGATCAGAATGGTGAGCCACGAGTTGGATCGCTGATACGCTATACTGGCCTCAAGAAGGGTGGCAAGAGCGCTGTAATTGGTGATTTCGAGGAGCGTATCTGTTGTGTTGAAGGGCTTATGAAGGTCGAAGGAAAGGACGCTGGTTCCAGCGTTGTGACAGGCTGAATGCGCGCTGTCTGGTCGAACAGAATTTCCTAGGCCGCTGTAGACTTGTGATAGTATGCGATTGTACTTGCTCGCGATTTTTAAATATGTCAGCAATCAAATCAACAATGACTTTATACGTCATATGGAATACTTGTAGCAAAGTACACTGTGTGCATGCGAAGAACCTTTTGCACAGTGCCTGGAGCATGATGTAATTATCCTATGTGGACAGCATTCATTTCATATGATTAAAAAGATGCGCATTGCAGTTAGTACGCTGTGGAATCAATACTGCATAGCTCCATTCGCAGTGCCTGTCGTACGGTGTATCCATCCCTGTCGACAGCGTTTATTACGGCGCCCGGGCACGTTCAACTTCATACACTTTTGTAGGATCCAACCCATGTTAATCACTGCCAGTGAGCCACAAAAGTAACACTAATTAACTCCACCCAAGTACAGTCTAACAAGATAGCGCATCCATAAATATTGATTCATACCAAGAGGAAGAAAAGAGAGGAGAAGGTTCAATTTATTTCATAGCGATGATGCTTCTCCATATGTATCTAAGATACCTTCCGGGTATCCTCCCTGACCGTCATGAGTAATGAGAGACATAATCAATGCACATGCAACTGCAAGCCTTCTTCCCCTGCGTCATTCCAAAGTGTCGAGCCGCAGGGCACATGTGCCCGCAGTTCGTGTCACCGCCAATACCGCGAGTGACAAATGCAAAAAGTTACTGGTACTTGGGTGCCTTGTGCGACCACCTGACCTCGAAAAAAATGAAGGGACCATGCCCAAAGTGTGTGAGCGAGTGAATCGAAAGAAGAAAGGATATGTGGTAGAAAGAAGTTGCGCAACGAGACTCATGCCAGCATCTAGCTGAACATATTGCAGTCCATTTCCTTGATTGGGTATTCACCGTCGCTCTCGACTACACCGCAAGGCTCACTCCAGCCGATCTCGAAGGTGTCAGATTCGGGGACGTTCATCTTAGCGTTTGGAGCGCATGCAGCGTCGACAGTGTAGTAGGAGACGATCATGGAAGGTGCAGAGTCCCAGGCGCAGGCATCGGCGCGCTTCTTGAATGCATCGCGGCGCACCATACGGACAGCCTTACGTTCAATCAATGCACGCTTCTGTTTCGGGCAACCCTCGGGTGCAATGCACTCGCAATTGGCACGCTTGGCTACGGTGTCGACCTTACACTTGTGTTGATCAACTACCTTGTACTTGAAAGACTGGTGGCGATGAGGGGTCCAGCGGCTGGGGCGTCCAGACCACTCATTGTCAGTCTCCTCATCGCTAGAGTCGTGATCACTGTTGTAGTCCTCCTCGTCAGAAGAGTCAGTGTTGTCAGCATCATCCTCAGGGGGAGCTTCGTAGGAAGGCTCCTCGCTTGACTCTTCGTCGGAGTTCTGATAATCAGGCTGCGCTGGCGAAGCAGATGCAGAAGGGGAAGAAGGACGACCAGCAGGACGCGATGGAGTCGGTGCAGGTACTGCCGAGTACTGCTCGTCGCTGTCAGGCTGAGTCGGCTGGTATGCTGAGCTGTCAGGCTGAGTGGGCTTGGTCGCGGAGACAGAAGGTGCGGCAGGATTGGTGGGTGTTGTGGTGTTGCCGGAACCCTCTCCAATCTGTACAGCAGCGCAGTTCATGAATGACTCGTGTTCCCCTGTACAATAGTTAGCGCTATTCATACTGTTGTAAAGTTGGTGTATACGTACGGTTCAACCAGATCCAGGCGAAGAGAGCCTTGCCTTCAGGCATGCCAGTGGGGACCTTGAAGTCAAAGGTCTGTACCTCAGGCGATCCGTCCTCACCACGAAGGGGGCAGTTGCCGTTGTAGGAAGCTGCGACCTTCCAGGTCTCGCCGCGATCGGTGGAAAAGCCAACCTGGCAAGACCCACCGTAGTGAGTACCACCAGGCGCGTCGGCAGTGTAAGTGTGATCAGAGAGCTGGAAGTAGGCATCCTGACCTGGCTGCCATGTCACTTGAGCTTCCTCGGTGTCGAAGAGGTCAAGGTGACCACGACAAACACCAGGACTTGGGGCAGTGGGCTGGCCCTCGCTATCGCAGCAACCGAGAGGGAAATTGAGCTCAGGATCGACGGAAGAATCGGTGGAAGCCTTGTTGGCCTCTTTTGCTGCACCTAGAGCTCCAGGGTACCAGAGAGACATGTGTGCTTGAGCTGCGCCAGCCAGGGCGAGCAGAGAGATTGCGTTCGTGTACATCGTGGGTATGTCGTCAAAGTTACGATTCGTAGGATATTTTATGCGTTTCCAGTGGAAGACTGGAAAGAGCTTAAGTAGAGCAAATCTTAATGATCGTTGTGCGGTGGTGATTGCACGGCTTGGTCAGTTGACACTGTTGAATCGTGAACACTGTTCGTGGAGTCCGGAAATGGTCCTGAAGTAGCAACAAGGGCACTCAGAAAGAAGAAAGGGATAAAAGAAGAAAGACGGTCCTGCGCTTTCGATCACGAAAAGAGTGAATGTAGAAGGAATGTCGACGAAGGCTTGCTTGTCACGAGAGAGGGTGTGTCACTGAGAGTGATGCCACTTCCACAACAGGCGGAATCTGGCTTCTTAAGCCGCCTCCAGATGAGTTTTGATCATCTACCAAGGCGCCCGGTGGACTGACTTGCGTTTCCGCTCCGGTAGGATGAGATTCGCGCCTGGGAGCCGTTGTGCGACCCGCATGCCGTATTCTTGGCGGGGGGGAATGTTTCCCCTGACAGATCTTAGCCAATGCGATCTCGCGTTTACATTTTGCCTGCAGGACAGCAATGTTTCACCGTGGCGGCTCGAGGAGGTCTTACCCGAGAGCGTTGGTCTGGTTAGGACTTCGCCAGCCAAGCACGGAAGAAACATCAACGCGCCGTGTTTCACACGATTCCGTACATGGATTAGCGCGGCGCTTCCCTGCTTGGGAGACGACATAGCGGGGCCTGTCTTTGATTTTGCAGCAGATGTGCAAGAATGTGCAGAGTGTGGATATGAGGGCCGTGTAACGAGCAGAAAGACCGATGTCGTCCCTGACTATCGCTGCCCTTTGCGATCTTCCGGTTGTGGCTGTGGCGCGACGTCCTTCGAACAAAGTGCCGGGCGGCACCTTATCGATTATGTGATTCGCTTAAATGTTTCCCACGTGCATCAACTATCCCTGCCCAGCCAACCTTGTCCCCACACCGTCATCCTTCGAGGCTGCTGATCCTCGAAAGCCCAAAGACCTGCCATGTTGGTCTCAGTGTGCATCGACGTGATGGTCGCACACTCTCATTTGTCTCTCCCATGACACGAAACCCCACAGCTGCTGACATCTTGATGGCGGAACTACCACCCCTGAATTTGCAGACGACAGATATCCGTTCCGAACTCCGGGCGACTGCAGCATGTTCACCCACAAAGTAGGTACCGCACCAGTGCACCCACGCCCGACAAGCCACTTGGCACTTTGTAGGATTCAACTCACACTTACCAAAGCCAATGATTAGCACAATTAGAACCGAATGACTCCGTTCGAGCGCGTAGAAGAAAACTCGTGACGAGATTATTACATGATCCTTATTGTCTGATGCTACGTTTTGCAAAGTGGCTGGCCGGACATGCCTGGGTGCAGTATATCTATGCAGGGGCGTGCAAACGAGCATGTGGAGAAGAACACCTCACCACACGGTCTTTTTCCTGGTCGCGGATGTGTATGGCCGCAGCAAGGCGCGTAAGATCCTCCCTCCGCGACTAATGCAGCAGGATACGAAGGCCCGTTCCCAACGCCGGCCTTGAAGCAGCCTGGAAACGTCGACCTTCTTGGCCTGTGCCGGTCTTCCTTGGGAAGCGCCCTTTGCCGCAGCCCTCAAGCCCAGAGCAGTCCGTTGACTCATTGTGAATGCATCGAAGCGCGATCGTGGCCAGATGGTCGCGAGCACTCCCTTGACATGACCAGTGGTTCAAAGCCAATGCATGTTCACTGTCATCTCATTTCTCTGCTAGCTTTTTTTATTACGCCCATTTTGCTGCTGTTCATTTCTGTCAGACGCTTTTGAGATGAAGCCTGGCCCTCGCATTTCAAGCTAGCCATCCACGAGCGCAAACCGTCGAACTCAAAGACACGCTGAAGCAGGTGGTCACACTTGCCAAGGGTGCTACCGCCTTAAGTTTCACTGGCCCCAGTGTGCATCCTCTCGATTGGGTTCGCCCACTGGCGGTAGAGATGGCGGCTCGCCTAGTTCTGTGACAAGCGACGTTACCCTTGTCATTGCTCCCCCACAAGATCATCGTCCTTCATTTCAATTCTGTAGAACGTTGGTTTGTAGTCTAGATTCCAGTGTGATTGAAAATTGTTTCTGGGAGAGCATGCATTGCAAAACAACACATGAATGCAGGTCAAACCTGGACTTACGAGCGGTGCAGCCAGCACACCAGGATCAGAGCGGAAGTACTTCGTACAGTGGCCTTCTGCGAATCGGATCATGTTTAGGGACACCATGATGCACGTCCAAGGATCCTGTAGGCACGACTTTAATGTGCTGTCGACCTGGACTGGTAATGAGAATATCATTCGTTCATACCCGCATTTGATGAGACCGCCATCCTGACCGGGCCGCGGTACCAGAAAGCAGTGCTGGACGTGGCGGCCACAAATGAGGTAGGCTGCGCTTTGGCCAGCGTAAGTGTCCCATTTTGAAGCGTTTGTATTTGAAAATAATCAAACAAGCATGTTCAGCACTGTTACGGAGCAGCTCCTATCTCATCACAGCTGTTGAATGTATAAATTCGCGACAAGTCTCAGGCACACTGACAACGACTGCTGTTTACAGTCGTTTTCTTGTCAACTAGCACGGACAGAACAAAGGGCGATAGGTAACTTTCGGTCATCATCTGCGGCATGCTCAAAGTTCCTCCAAAAAAGAGTCTTCTTTGTACATATGAAATGATTGTGTGCATTGCCTACCACTCACACAACGCTCATAGACAACACAGAATAGTACTTTTGCAATATATAAGTACGCTGTGAAGCAACTGTACCACGAGGCAAGCGTACTGTGATCAACAACTTTTTTCTAGTAGAAAGTCTCAGCCAGTGGGTCCATCATCATCTCGGTTCTGTCCAGTCAAGATGTAGCAGAAGGACAAACTGGTATCCATAGCCTGAGAGCCAGTGCGATACTGTACCAGCTATGACAAGGTCAAGCGTCCAACATAGCATTATCCATAGCATGGCCTATGGTGAGCTTGTACCTCTTCAGATCTGCTAAAGGCACACTGACCTTCCAATTTACTAAAGGTCCACACAGAACCTGGCAGAAGCTGTCAGGTTAGGGGGCTATCGCATTGCTACTGTCACAGTTCTGTCAGATTACAATCGTTGGAATCAAATGAGAAGCGCTACACAACCTTATGGATGACATGGGGTGGTCCGCAATACATAAGGGTATTATTCTCGTTGCGTTCATTTGGTAAGGATTCTTGTCTACATTCCAAAAGACGTAAATTGTGTTCAAACCAGACCAAATCCTATCTGTATCGTTGTATTCTCCGTACATTCGCGCTGAGACCGACCTCAAAGTTTAGGAAGTGCAGGCAATAAACTGTCAATTCATGCTGGCATCTCATACCACTTAGTGAACACCTCCGGGGTATGGCTGCATCTGATCGAAGATACGAAAACAGTCTCCAACATAACCGTACTTGGGCTCGGTCAGCTCAGCCTTGAGGTACGCTTCTAGATAGCAGGCGTTGACATGGAAGCCGAAAGGACCCAAAGAGTCTCGCAGACCCTTGACGCCATCGATAGTAATCATCTCGTCTTTGCGCGCTAGGTCGACAATCCATGGAAGGTCTGAGAAGTCGAAGATGCCCGCGTTCTTGAAATCCCACTCTGTAACCCTACCGGCTAGATACTTCCATGTAGTGGGCCAGTGAATGTCGTTCTCACGGCGGAAGTCAGAGCGGCCGAAGAAGTAGACGGTGGCGTAGGTGGGATCTTGCAAGAGCGGCGCGCTGCCGGAGAGGTTGATCGAGAACCGAACGCGAGGGTCTAGGGTGCTAAGTGTTGTCGCAGTTGAGCCGCCGATACCATGACCGACAATGCTGTAAGACTCCGAGTCGAACGCAGCGCTGAACTTGATGGAAGGGAACTGACGCTGCAGAAGATTGACGTCGCCGAGCTCCTGCAACACGAACTTGATGTTCTGAATGCGCGCATCAACGGTCTTCGTCACCATCTCATCCCAGACCTTGAGGTCCTTGAATGGATCGAGGCTGGCTGAGCCGTTGTTGGCGGGAACATCAGGATGGTCGATGATTGCTACAGCCTGGCCGTTTGCGCTCATGAACCGGGCTAATGTGCTGTACAAGAAGCGGCTAGTACCAACTTGAGGTTCCAGGAACACTAGCGGAACCTTAGAAGCATCAATGGTCTTACTACTGCCACAGCAAGCCTTGTACTTCATCTTGTCGAAGACACTGTCGCTCGTGTTTCCAAAGAACTGCGCATCGGACTCGCGCGCAGTGCCAGCTGGCATGTACAGCTTGTCGCACTCGGACGAACAGTCTGCCTTGTGCACTGGCATGAAGAGGCTCACCTCCAGCTCTTGGTTTGCAGCATTGATAAGTGGGAAGTTGGCAACGGCAGTCGTGTAAACATGCGCATCATTTGGACCAGGGATGTAGACGGCGTGAAGGGGCTCGAAGAGCATAATTATCGCAAAACACGCGGTGAGAATGCCTGCGAGAAGACCCATGACTGCTAGCTGCGCAAAGAGGCGTTTGTGATAATGGAAGGTAGAAGCCGTCGTGAACGATGGTGGTCGAGAAGTCGACCACTGTGTTGGTGGCTGTGCGAGTTTTATAGTAAGCGGGTGCGCTTTCGCACAGAGCTAGTACGTCGAAATACCTGGAATGTGAGATAATTCTTGGCACGTGCAGAGTGAAGTGAAGGCGGCTTCATATCGACGGGTTGGGATAATGAACTCATGCGGCACCTAATACTCTAAAACTCTCCTTCCAAGACGCGGTGACGGAGTGTTCAAATGAGCTCGCACCTCCCAGTATCACACGTGGACGTAGCACGGTGGCCAGATGTCGCAGAGGACTACTCACACTAATGTATCACAGGTCACATCCGCAGAGTTCAAATAGGCGGTAAGCGATGAAAGTTCTTGGCTACCCGACCAAACTGCGTCCTCTTCTGGGGTCCCATTCTCGACGAAAGGGAATATTGAGGGGCATTCAGAAAACTACCAGGGCAGGCTTGAAGTCCAGTCCAGCCCGGTATGTCCCCTAGTGCTTCGCTACCAGGCAGAGTTGGCAACAAACAAGTATCCGATAGCAAGTGATCCAAGCTGAGCTCTGTGATATGTAGCATTTGTGAGCGTTGCCCTAGTCCATTTACCATCAAGTTGCTGTTTGTTAGCCAACCCTACCTAGGAACTATCAGGACGTTCACAGGCTTCTTTCCGACTTTTCTAGATCAGAGCAAATACTGATGACCTTCACGGCCTTTGATCATAAGGACGGTAGTCTGGTGGTAAACTATCGCTGACGAAGGGCCGATGACTTGCAAACGATGGCAGAAAGGCAGCGTTGGTGCCATGAAGGAGGTGAAAGTGGTCGGAAATTTAGCGCGTGGTCTGTGCGCAAGGCTCATGTCGTCACGCTCAATGCAAGCCTGACGAACAAAGTCGCGTGAGTGCGACACGTCTTAGTCGATGCGAACCGGGCCGCACACTAAAGGCTCAATGATAATTTGAAGGCGAGCCCGTTTCGCCAGCGAACACACACGCAAGGCCGCAGTACTTGGATGCTTTTAGATCATGGGGTTTTCCTCCTTTGCTGACAAAGAGGCAGTCCTACCCGCTCTTGTCCAAAGCTAGACGTTGTGGCACGCGGGTAGCTCGGCTATCGGCGTGGAGACAGGATCAAAACACTACATAAGCGGGCACGACCTCTTCTTGCGTCACGAGGCACACAGGCTCACAGTACGACAGGCAACTTCGTTTCAGTTAAAAAAAATAAACGGAGATTTGTAAAGAGTATGGACTTGAATTGTATTGATCGACCGCTGGTCGATGTTGTGCGCCTTAGTTTGTTGTTCTGAAGAGGATCATGTTTGAGCTGGCCGGCAAGTCAAGTCTGCCTCGCGGTCAACCCACATACGTGCGTCGTACGCACGCTATGCCTCTTGAGATAGCCCCGACTACGCGCCGCCGACTCCTTCGTCTCATCATTGGATGGTGTGGATGCATTCTTATGCGAATTGCCTCATCTGGACAGGAAATGAGGGGCCTGCGTATCAAAACACTCGCAAGACGTAGAGTCCGTTGGATACTTTGCTAAGGCGTGCAGTGTACGCTCCCCCTGCGCGACACGGTCCTCTTGGCGGCAGAATTGTTGTTGCCTTGAAGTTGTTCAGACGCTTATCAACCTCCGAAACTGACACTTCTTCTACTCCATCCCAACACACCCTCTTCTCTTGCAGACTACAGCAACCATGGAGCAAACCGATTCTACGACCATTGAGCGCCCTCTCCGCCTTCTGACGTACGTGGCTACGGCCATCACAATCCCTCTGAACATTGCTACAACTATTCTGGCACTGGAGCAGAGACCTTATTACTGGTCCCGCAGGCGACATGTCTCCGCCTTCTGCTTTGCCTTCATTCCCTTGGCGATGACCGTCGCTGCGACTTCGGTCAGTCTGAGGTACATGAAGACGAACGGCAAAAGTCCCCGTGCTTTGCAATTCAAGGTCCTCGATCTTGTTGCGGCTATTACATATCTCGCTGTCCTGATCCCCTGCTGGGCAGTTGAGCCGCATAAGTTTGAGGCTGTCGGTTTCGGGGTCCTTATTGGTTACACAACCGCACCCATGATCGTGAACATGTAAGTCGGACTAGTTACACACCTGTTACGTGGCTCACACAGGCAGGTTCCTCCACATCTACTTCACAGTAAACGATCTTCCCTGGAAGACAATCTTCTCGTCCGTCGGTCTCAAACGGAAGCCAACTTGCCAGCAGTGCCCTAACTGCCAGGCGAAGTTCGTCCCTCACACAACTGAGACTACGAGCAAGGGCTACAGCCTTCTTCGTGGCGAGGATTATCTCGATGTTGAGGCCGATCCAATCCAGTACCGAGACTCGGAAGACTTCTTGGGTGAGGGTGCCGAGCGCGCCGAGCAGCCTGAGGCCGGCGCAGTTGAGGAGAGTGGCAAAGGCAAAGATATGGTCTAGATTGAAGGCTTGAATCATATAACTACGGTACACACGCAACGGATTTCACAAACGGAAGCACATGGAGCAGTAGAGAAAGTGGGCTACGAGACCTAGATGGCTGGCTACAACAGAGGTCCTTGGAGCAGAGATTGGAGATGTGTGTGAGTTCACGAATGGTTAGAGGACTACAGAATGTCTTAAGATAGAAGCAAGACTGCCCGAGCGGTTTCAGATACGTCTGGCAATACTATACAAGTTCAAACTGAGAATGCTCAGATTCAACTGTCGAGCTTCGGCGAAGAGGCGGGTCGTCAACTCTATTTGGCCAGAGACCTGGTGTTGATGGTCGCTACGGCTGCCGGTAATGTGAGGAGGATGCAAGCCATCCAAAAAGCAGTTGTAGAGATAACTACAAGACGTGCTCTTTTGACACCCTTGACTGATTATTCGCCGACCGTGGTCATATCGCCAGCATCAACAACCGTCTCATCGCCCTTGAAGACCTTCTTGCCCTCGCAGTATCCAATAACAGCCGTCTGCCACAACTCGAGACCCTTCCTGGTCGCAACTTCACGGTCCCAACCTCGAATCTCCTGGACGAGCTTCCGTCTCTCGTGTACGTCCAGGTCGGTCAGTTTCTTCAATTCCGTCCTTGTCGAGAAAATGATCGTATCAGTGTTGGGTAGGCGTCGGAAGACTTGATGCTCGCGGCGCACGATGATGTGCTGTGGAAGAAGCGACGAGAGATTACCCGGAAAGAAATCCTTGGCCTCTTGGATGAAGATGAGATGTGATAGAGGGCGGGAGTCTGGTTGTGTCTGGATGTAGAGTGTGCTGCGGGCGAGGGTGTCAACAAGCGGGACGATCGGAAGGATGTCTGGAATATCTGTGAAGAGTCAATGCATGTCCTTTTTCTGAAAAGAAGCACAGCGTAAAGAGTAACGCACCATCCCATTGATAAATGTCCTGGTCTTGCATGTGTGAGAGTGGCTTGCCGATGAAATCGCGCATGCGCCAGCCAGCCGGGGCAAGAGTCGCACTTGCTTGACTACGCGTCATTGATTAGTTCTTTACTTGATCGTGTGCCCGGTTATACTCACAGGTAGTACTGCTGTGTAAATTCTCCCTTTGTCAGAATGTTGAAGTCCTCCATCGCAAGCCTCGCACACAATTCTAGTGGGTGGCAATCAAACGGACGGACCAGAGACCACTCTTCTTTGGTGATCTCGTTATGAACATGCTTGCGCCGGTTGACGGTCTTGATGCTGAAGCTTTCGGGGTATCTAGAAACCAGAGACTTGACAACCTCCTGCAATAGCTCATCGCACGCATTTTCACCGTCACGAGTGACTTGTATGCATTCGATATTCTTCTTGACGAGGAGGTATTCTCGGGCCGCATGCATGTCTTTGTATGTGCTCCCCACAGTCAGCCACTTCTTCTGACCAACCTTATGCAATCCCGACGACTTGTACCTGGCTGATGGCCTTCTGTTGAGTGAGGGCGCCAGAGTAGTCTGCTTCACCTCAACTGGTGTGATTGCAAATGGAATGTCGGGAAAATCAGAACCATCGCCACAGTCATCCTGAGTGAAAGCCGGAAGGCGAGAGATGCGTTGTTGCTCAGCGAAGAAGGCGCGGATCTCAGGGTCTGGCAAGTCGCTCGCTTCTACATCCGTTATGTTCACACGTGGGGCTCGCGACAGACGCGCAAGCTGACGTGCAGGGCTCTTTTGTGGTGCTGGAACAGGAAAAGCGGTGACGCGCCTTTGGTGCCCGCGCTGGGGGCTACGATTCCGCAGGTATGCCGGCAGAATAACGAATCGCTCAGATTCTGGGCCAAGGGCGCCTTTGTAGAAGTAGAGGCGTACTGCAACAGAGGCGAGCCAGGCGCAGTAAGCGCAGAACAGAGCAGCAAGGACGATAAGGATGTATATGGGCGCCGGGTCTGGCTCACGGTACGAGTGATTCTCCATGGTCGTAGTGTGGAGGTGGGTAAAGGCAGGTTCAACGTGTAAGACGGTGTCTTCAGTAGGGTGGGGCTGTGTTGTAAGTGAATGGGAGCCTGTGGCGGCACTGTGCAATCGCAAGTGAAATACTTCAATGTTTTTCGTTCGATACAAATTGAATGGCTGAACGGTCGATGTGCCTTACTACTTACTAACCGTCCTACAGAGATGAAAAACCTACTGGTCTTGGGACAGTGCATACTCTAGCTCGAGTCGTATGGTAAGAGTACAAGAAAGAGAGAGGTATGATAGGAAGGATAATATTGAATTGACTACAAAAGCATCGTGGAATTAGGGTATCGAAATGGAGAAGTTGGTTACTGCCAGCTTGAAACATGGCAAGCTAGTAACACGCAAAACAAAAGCCGAAGGGTCCGATCAAATTCAAGCAGGTGACTGATGTTGTACTAGAGCATCAATCTTCGTGTACAGCTCGTTGGGATCCTCGAAAATGTACCACAGCTCTTTTGGCACATGCTTGAACGCTTTCTCGAAACGCTCCGGGCTGTTCTTGTTGCCCTCGTCCATCTCTGCTACACCGGTAACCTTGCGGATATATATGGCACCGATCCATTTCGGGAACTTCTTGTACGCTTCGCCATAAGCCTCTGGGTCGGACTGTGTGGAGTCACCGATCAAGATGAACTTGCGTTTCGGGAACCACTCGTGCACCTTCTCTATGCGGTCGACTTTGTAGGCCTCGGTACCTTGCGTTAGATTGGCTAAGAAGCCAGCAAGATTCATCCAAGACGCGTCGCGCAGCAGCATGGTTCCTGCAGGATAATAGGTTTCGCGAAATTGGCGCAGAAAAGGATAGAGGTTGTAAGGTGATGCAGAGAGGTACCAGAAAGGCGGGTTGTCGAGCTTCTGAACAATATGCTTGTAAAGCTCTGGCATACCCTTGATCGGTTCTGGTTCTTCCGCAAACGTCGTCTTCAAGATACCAACAGGTGAGGATGTCAGTGTCTTCTTGATAGTGTCGTCTACATCAGAGAGCACGGCCCATCCCTTGTTCTTCGCGAACGTTGTCTTGAGAGGTGTTGCGGTTGCACCGATGGCCTTCGACGTGATTGTTTCTCCATCTTTGTAGCCTGAACCAGGGATTGCGAGCTCGTCTGTGCTGATGCCATCACGCCCACTGGGTCCAAGTCTGACTTTCATGCCCTGGAGGTCGATGTTGACAGCGTGTGCAGGAAGAATGGCATCCAAGAATGGCTCCAATCTCAGCGCTATGGTCTTCTTCGCCTCTTCATCGTCGGCTAGGCCGATCTTCTCACTGACCCAAGCTACAACCTCAGACAAATCCTTCCCACTATGCCTGACGAAATAGGCTGCAACAAACTCGGCCTTCCACCTGCCCAAGCGATTTTGGTAGGCTGTGTTGTCGAGGAGCCATACGTAATCAGTATCATCGTTGGCTTCGGAAAAGAAGGGGTTGTTGCGCCCCAGATAAGAGGACAGGTTATCCTTCAAAGAGAACTGGAATCGGTTCGCGAGTTTAGGCATGTCAGCTTCGAATTCAGAGAAGTGTCCAGCATTGCGAGTGATGCGGTCCTCTTCACTTTCTTGAAAGCGCTGCCTGGCTTGGCCTGCCATGGCTTTTGCTGGCTCATGTGCCATTGCGGAGGGTGCTGATGATGCTTCTGAGGTACTGTTTGGCGGCTGAGAACGACGGGTGCCTGATGGGAGGCGAGGTCAGAGGGCAGAATGTTTTGCACGAGACTGAAGGCGCCTTGAGGGGCGCCATGTAAATAAGGAAGCTGCAGCCATCCCAGTTCGTCACACTTGGTGGCAGGTGCATGCAGGTGACGTCGTGACGTCGAGGCAGGCGCAGGTCGGGCTGTGGGGCTGCAGGCGGAGACGATCATTGATCACCGCTGCGGCACTGCCGAGAAGCGAGATCGAATCAGAGCTGGCAACAAACAAGTACCTATTCGATGGCGACCAGACCAAGCTGGGCTCTGTGGAGCGTCCACGGGCCTTCTGCCAGTCCGTTCGCCGCCCAATATTTATTTTCAGTCAACTCTAGATCGAATGGTGGTGTTGGTTATGCAGCTTCTTGCCTGTTGCCCTCAGGTTTCAATGTTGCTCTTATGATTTTATCTTTGGCTGCCTTAGAATCATTGTCAAACCCAGAATATGTTTGCAAAGCCATGTAGACGGAGTTTGAGGCTTGCACTTCAGCCTGTGTGAAACCCGAAATGCGTTAAGTGCTTCATGCGTACCACTCGCCTTCTACAGTTGACGCACATTTGCAGCACTCCATCAAGCAAGTTCACGTCGTATCAGCCATGTCCCATGGTACTGACTTGGCCAAGATGCCCAAAGTCGACAGGCTCGTGGTTAGTGGAGCCAAGAGAGTGTACATGTAGTGTCACGTACTTTGATCGCCTCTCCGAGATGAAGCGTGCCGCATCACCTGCTCGCAACGCAAGCCTCTCGCTTTGGAGGTATAGCCTGGCGCAGCAGACATATAACATTAGTAAAACTTTGAGGTCTTTGACAGATCGTCATCCATTAGTCCTCAGAAGAAAGATGTGCTGTAGTTCTGTACCGCGTCAGGGGCCCACTGCAAATTCGCTTGAGGACCTGCGTTTAGGACTGGGGTTAGGGACTTGCATCTGACCTTTGCTGCATCATAAGCAGCTTGTCATGTGTCCGCAGTCTCGAGCTCCACTCATTCGAGACTAAAAAGTCCCTGCATCACATCAACGGAAGTGCGGGTGCCTCCATGTGTAAGGTGGGGAACAGCCTGGGACCGACTGCAAGCACGGTTGCAGCTCACATTCGCTCAGCACATGGGCTCAATCTTTGCAGGGTTACAAACATATAAGTACAAGGCCGCGAATTGCCATGCTAGCAAGAGGAACAGCCCTTGAAGTGTTGACAGCCTCCTCGTCCTAGCACTGTGTGAATCGATGGACAATGAGCGTTTGCGTTGCACGTCATGGCCCCTTCCAAGCTCTTCGCCCAGCCCGGCTGGCCGACACGTACTCGCGGGACGCGGTGTTCCTTCTAGGCTCCCGTGACACACATGCCGCGCAGACTATGCTGCGAAAAAGGCTGCTTGCCACATGTAGTACGCGGCGGTTGACGTTGTTGCCGGCGTTCGTATGCTTGGCTGGAGGCGCAGCAGCTTTATAGAAGTGTCCGTGCAAGTAACGAGCACCGCGCACCGCTGGCCGCCTTACCGCCCAATGCTTCGAGTCTCACGAAGCTAAACCTGCCTCTTACCACGATCGCGAGACACACCAGGCCTCAAAGAACCCCGGTTGCTAGTAACGTCAAAGCTCTGTTTGTTGATCCCGCCGACAAACATCACGGAGCTTCGAGTGCCCCACTAGACCCCCGTCGCTATGGCTCTCAAAAAGCGCCTGGGCAGCTTGATGCGCAAGAGGTCCAGTGAGTCGGCCAGATGTTACTCGTGCGCGACACTGTACTGAGCGCGCACAGCACAGGATGTTCCAACCGACAGCGATGCTGACACACCTGATGCGAACGCCGCCCGTGGCGTGGTGAGTCGCGCAGAGTTGCGCCGCGGTTCACTGGGCTGATACAGATACAGAGGTTGTTTTGTGAATCTGGCGCGGCCAACTCGGTATGCTGCCATTATATGCGCCCCCGTCACAGCCATGTGCTAACTGCTGTCAGGGCGAAGAAGTCCTCCACCTCCCAACCATCGTCGATGCTGCCGAGTCCAGTCCTTCCGCCGCCGCCGCCGCTGCCGCACAGATTCGCAAGTTTCTCTCCAAGGAGAATTACACGCGCCCGCATGTTCAGTACAATGCGATCATGCTCATACGCATCTTGGCCGACAATCCGGGCCCGTCCTTCACCAAGAATCTCGACAAGAACTTTGCGGATACAGTGAAGTATCTGCTGCGAAATGGAACAGACCCAAGTGTTGCGCAGATCCTTAGGGAGACACTGGAAGCATTGGAGCGCGAGAAGGCGTTTGACACCAATTTGAACACCGTGTTCGCCATGTGGAGGAAAGAGAAAGGCCTGATGGCGAACGCGGCCAAGCAGCTCGGCTCTCGCAAGCTTGATGCGCCGGGCTGGAGTAGTGGTCAGCAATTCCAGGGCGGCTTCAGCTCAGGACGGAGCCATTCGCGCTCACGCGGGCTGCCTTCGCCTGTGGAGCTTGCAGGACGTATCGAAGAAGCCCGTACATCTGCTAAGCTACTTCTTCAGCTCGTGCAGTCCACACCCCCAAACGAGCTGATTGGCAACGATCTGGTCAAGGAGTTTGCAGAGAGGTGCACATCAGCCCAGCGTAGCATACAAGGCTACATTGCCAGCGACAACCCAAGTCCTGACGACGACACGATGCTCACGCTCATAGAGACAAATGAGCAACTCTCTCTCGCCGCATCGAAGCATCAGCGTGCTGTTCTCCAGGCTCGTCGCACTATCGGAACCTCTCCATCGCCTCCCGCTCAACAAACACCTCCAATTCTACCTCCGGTCAACAAAGGTCCATCAAACTCATACGAACCACCTGCGCCATCTCAGCATAACAACGTGCAATCGCCTATGGACTCCATGCCGCGAGACCCGTATGACCCGTTGCCAAACGTGGCTCCGTATGGCGCACCACCCGCTCAAGCACCGGCAACCCAGAACCCCAACACTAGCAGTCTCCCTACGTCGCTTCAAGCGGCCCCAAACAGGCAAACTTCCATGCCTGAACAGCAAGAAGAGAACCCCTTTGCTGACCACTACACATCGACCTTCGCACTACCTCCAAACCCCCGATCGAATGGCCATGGTGGATCTCCTGACTCATATCACCCAGGCTATCAGTCAACGCCGTCCTACATGCATCGCCAGGAGAGCTCTGCGAATAATCTGACAATGCACGGCGCAGCTATTCCAGAGGAGGATGCAGGTCAGCGCCAACAGACACCAGAGCACAATGTGACTCGGCCATTGCAACACGACGTATCTCCAATCGCAGAGCGCAATACGGTCACGTACAGATACTGAGGTGATGTTTACTTATGTTGGTTATTACCAATCAGGTCACGCCGACGTGCCGACGGACCAGATCCGGACGTGATGTGGGGGACCCTGCACCCTGCCCGGCGTCAGAAGGTAGTCGGCGGACGTGTTTCTCGTACAAGACTGCGCCGTTCCATCTGTTTTATACTCGCCAGAGCTTGATGCACAACAGACGTTCGAATTTGGTGGGCTAGATACCTCTTTGTTTTATTGCATGTTTACATTCGTATAGCCTGGTGAATAGTAATACTCCGCATGCAGGTGTTGCAGGGCCAAGCATGTGACCTCATCATAACCCCACGCCTTATGCAATGCGTCGCGTTACCAGCACGTAGCACGCAACATGCACGTCTATTGCAACAGGAATCTCACCATGCAGGGCCCGCTCATGCTCACGCTCTTGACTGACAGGTTGAGCCTCGCAAAACCCCCCACCGATGTGGAAGGCGAGACCGGCACCAACCCCACTAAACTGAGGCGGAATCGACCGCGGCCTAGCGCCGAAGAATTATAGATCCGTCATGTACGGGTCTTTGACTAGGTATATACACTACCTCTGCCTACCCGTCCGCCCGCGTCGAGACCTGAAGACTCCCTCATGGCCTCCATTGCCCGCCGCAGCATTCCATGGCTCGCTCGCTCCCACAATGCGTCGACACGGTGATTATCGGTACGGAAACAACGGAACGGAGGAACTTCAAGAGAACGGCTGCTGATTAATTCAAGGCAATGGCCCCTCGGCTCTGATCCTATCGTACATCCTGCACGGCCATCTTCCTCACTATGTAGGGGGCCACTATGACAACATTCTCAGCGCGAAGCTGTCCAAGGACCCAAATCTGCTACACCTAACTTCGGATCTGTATGCGCACTTCCTCTCCTCGCTACGCTACTCGACGCAAGCATTGCCTGTCAATACGCTCCTGGACACGCTCATCCGGCCAAACGCAGACACAGAGATCAACCCAAAGTCGTGTATCGAATGGCGCTACGAGCCCGAGAAAGCCGTATCTCATGTCGCTATAGGAGATACTGAGCAAGTAGGCGGACAATGGGCAGATAATCCGGTCTCTGCGAGCGCCGACATTGGCACACTGAGCTATGCTGAACAGCTCTCGCTTCCAGGCTACTCTTATGCCGAGCACATGGGGAAAGTCGAGAGGGAGGGCGAGTGCGACTTTGTGCGCCCATCGAGGACCGAGTTCGCTGACTACCTGCGAAATTACCCTGGGGCGGTGGGAATCTCAGATTCGATCTTCTCCGGCACTAAGGTCGATGATGTGCACCGCGTTTCAGACGGATTCTTCATTGGGTCGCTCGGCATACACTGTAAACACCTGGTACTTGCTTCCGGTATCTTCACAGTCAACATACCCCCTCCTCCGCTTCTGGCGCCCATCGCTGAGCTGCAGTCGAGCAATGCGCCATTGCTTGTTGTTGGATCTGGATTCTCCGCAGCAGACATTATCATATCTGCATCGCCTGCCCGCAAAGTTATCCACATCTATCAATGGGCTCCGGACAAGCGACCATCACCACTCCGGGGCTGCCACCACTCAGCGTACCCAGAATACGCGACTGTATATCGACAGATGAAACTTGCTGCCATAGCATCAACTAAGAGTCGCGCCGCACGAGCGCCTCTTTCACGCCGCAAATCAACCAACAACCCTTTTGTCAGCCAACGCGATTGGGCGTTGTACGAGGGGCTCCCGAACGCTGAGATCATTGCTGTCTCTGCTGTATCCTCGGGCATAGTAATCGTAACGATTCGCCTTGCAACCGGCGAATCCAAGACATTTGAGGTCGGTGGCCTGGAGTACGTCGTCGGCCGCCGCGGCACAATAGATTTTCTTTCCTCCCCTTTGCAGGCCGAGATCCTGTCCCCCATTCCCCTAAGCTCAACAACCTCGAATCAGATATCCGGCCGCTCGCTCCGCGCGAAGGCAGAATGCTCCCTTGAAGTTGCCCCAAATGTCTTCATCACCGGCAGTCTGACCGGCGACTCTCTCATCCGACACGCAGTAGGCGGTTGCGTGTTCGCTGCGGGAAGGATCTTGGGCGCCATTCCACCTACCTTTCCGCCCGATTCTTCTATCGCAACCGTGCTTAGTCGCGCAAGCTCGACACCGCGCTCAGCAAGTCCAACGTCTGACGGCAAGAGTGAGTCGACAGGATCAAGCCCTGTATCTCGCGCAGCCAAGTCGGGTCTCACAACGCCTGGAGAACTGACTAATGGGCATGCGGATTTGCATCTTGATAGACGGAAATTAGTTAGGAGTGTGGAGGTTGCCGCGGCTTCAAACCGCCTCTGGGTGGACTCTGGATGGTGGGCTGGGGGTTTGGGGCCTCGAGGATCAGATATTTAGTAGATTTTCGGTATACCAAATCCACAACTAAGAATCCTTTCAGCATGGCCTCGATAGCACAGTCGTACTAATACCAAGGCTAGAAGCCAGGGGAAGTTGTACAAAGCGCGTTCGTGTGGGAGTAGAATCTTCGTCGAATGTTGGGTAGCTGGTGCTATCTTTTTTATCACTACGGCAGCTGTCATACCACTATGCATGAGGCACATTGATTTAATGGTCTTTTTTTCTCAACTCTGCAGAATCCAACACAGTCTCATTGCAGCAAACAAACTGCAGGACCAAGACTGAGTTACATAATTCACACACACACACACATATACACACGCTCTAATGATAAAGAGTTTTGTGTCTTGCCCCGTGGCTGACCAGCGGCTGGTCGGACGTGCCAGGCCTGGTTGCAGTACATCGTCGTGCACGTTGATAAGGTGAAGTAAGCATCAAGGTAGCGAGCTCTCACGTCGCAGGGACCAAGGATACCCAGCCATGAGCCATCATGGAAGAGACAAGTATGGAAGATACCAAGAAACTTCATGGAACATTTTTTTGCCCACAACATAGGTAACACTCAAAAAGATGTTGGCTTTGAGTATTACAGGTTCTGTGTTAAAGTTGGTTAGCTTGAAGGTCACTTATCCGCCGCTTTCCCTGGAACGCGAGTGGCGAGGTGGACGATCATCGGTAGTAGCAGCGGCCGTTGCAGGTTGAGAAATCTCGGTGTTAAGCGGTGCGCCACTCAGGTGTCGACGCACCTTCGGACGCGCGGACAACAGTGCAGTTTCCGCGTCGATGGCACGGCTTTAGCAGCAGCAACAAGTGATTAGCACGCGAAAAGCCTCACGTCAGCAGGATCAGTCATCAGCGTCAGCCAAGTTAAGGTCACTTTACTATTTTCAACCTCTAAGATGCGTCAGCAAAAGCCTCTGGCCTATACTCGTCTAGCGACCTGCTGTTCCGTCTTCCAGGCCTCCCGCGCCGCACAAACGCAGTTGTTCCCTCGGCCGGTTCGTGCGATGGCTACGTCCGATACAGCTACGGTGAGGAAGTCGTGATGGAGTGCGTATGGCGCATAAGTATATTACTACAAACAGCCGCAAAAAATGGTACACAATGATTATTCATCTTCACAGTGTATAGGAAGATTCTGGCTGTCCCTGAATTGTTTTTATCTCAAGGCAAAGACACTGTCGCCTCTTACCTGTTTATTGATTTACAACAATCGCGCAAACTCGATAGCATCCAAAAAAAAGAGACTATTCCGCTTTCAGAATCTCCCCGCAGGCTCCTTACTCAGCTCTCCATCAGCAGTTGCAGAGCTCTCTGCCTCCCCTCAGTGGAGACCCTCCGGCATTCCGGCTACTGGGTCGCGTGAGGTCGCGAAGACGCATACCGGTATCGAGAGTTTGGGTCATATGCCAGATATATCCGACACATCAGATCCGCCCGCTGTTGTACCTCCGAGCTCTGACCAAGCGGCATTATATACAGCCGACGCGTACGGTCGTTACTATGCGCCTGAGGGCAACGTATATGCCCAAGGAGGATATGCGACCCCAACCCAGGCATTCACACAGGACTCGCCTTTGACGTACCCAGCCCAGAGCCCACAGCAACCGCAACAGGGAGCTCCTGGCTATTACAGCTTCGATCCTTACGCGCCGGCAGGCTGGAACTGGGGGCAGTCGGAGTTCGCACAGTCGCTGGCACCTTATGAGCCACAAGGAGAGCTGATACAAGAGCTTCATGACCGCAAGGATCCTGTCGAAGATTTTAGCTGCCCGTTTCCTGGCCTCGTAACTCCATTGGCTCCACCGCCGCTACCACTACCGCAAAGACCGGCCAATTCTCCAAAGATGAAGCGCAAACCAGATGCCGAGCAGACGGCTAGTCAACAGGGCGCGAACGAGCACCGGAATCCCCCAAAACGTCGCGCGATGTCACGCGCTTCGTCCACGGCTTCGCAGAGTCCTGCGCCCACCATCCTTGCTGATGCCAAGGCATCGCCAATTGCGGCCTCAGCGAACCAATCAAGCGGACAAAGCAATGGCGAGGCACATCGGCGCAAGAACGCCGGCAAAGGCACTGGCCCGCAGGGTCGAGAAATCGATGTCTCAGAATCACGAAGAGTTGTAGAGTCGTCCGTCAGCAGCAACATGCTGCCGGCGGGGAGAGTGTTCCCAATACAGATTGGTTCGGCACTGTTTAGACTCTCCGGCGCTTCGATATGTTCAGATGGTAAGCATCATGTTATGGAACAATTGCAAGCGGACTGAGGCTGACACTCCAAGAGCACCCTCATACTTTTCGCACTTCTTCAGCGAACAACTACATAACAATGCTAGCCGTGCCAGTGATGTGAGGACGCTGTATATTGACCGTGATCCCGAAACGTTCCGCGAAATAGCCCTCCACCTCCAGGGCTACCACATCGTCCCACGCGATGGCGAGCACTTCGTCAAGCTCTTTGCAGATGCGCAGTTCTACTCACGTACGTAAGCCTCCGCATCTTTCGTCGCACAGGCACTGACATTACGCAGTTCCACGCCTTACAAAGCAGCTCTTCAAATCCGACATTTTCATCTCCATTGGCAACACACCGTTTCGGATTCCGCGTGATTCCTTTTCTGCTCCCGGTGACTCGCCCAACTATTTCTCCCTTGGCTTCGCGCAATGGTTCAGCACACCATCAGAGGTCTTCCCTGGGCTTGACCGCAGTGCTCTCTTGCGTCCACCATCTATCAGTCCGCCCTCTGTGCCAAACAAGAGCGGTGAGATATTTGCGGACTTGATGAGGATGCTACAAGGCTACAAAGTGGAAATCAGGAATGCGACACATAGAGCAAACTTGCTGAGAGACGCCAGATACTTTCATCTAAAAGGGTTAGAGCAGCAACTTGTACCTTGCGAGAAGAGCTATAACCTTAAGAGAAGGCAGAATGAGGTCCTGATGAGGCTGGAGGACATACGGCAATCCGGGATCTCGTTCACACCAGAAACTGCGCCCAGCAACTCAGACCCATCGATCTTTATACCAGGAGACGTATCGTACGCGCGTCCATATACAGACGATGCTACATCCAACAACGTTCTCATCCTTGAGACGAGCTCTAGCGAATCAGCAACACTCCACCTAACTCCATCGTTCGCTGCGACTTCCAACTCTCTTGATGGATACATCACATTCCACGGCGACACGCTCCGCCGCATCACTTCTCTTCTACGAATCATCGCATCGAAAATGGGCCTCCCATCAACCCAATCTCTAAGCCTGACGCAAACAGAGCCTAACAACCCGCTCATCACCCCTGTGGCCCCAGAAGTCAGCGAGACATGCATCAGCGTGCGCATCGATAGCGACTGTGCTCTGATCATCAATGGCCAAGAAACAGACGTTGGAACCGATACCAGCACCTTCCTGTCTACGATCAATACAGGAGAAATGGACTGTGTCGTGCGGCGCGCACACTGGCGCATCAGAGTAGAGCCTGTTGGCGATGCAGAGGATCTGCAGATGCAGGCCATTCTCGAGGGCGTGAAGGTTGAAGCTTTCACGAAGGAGAGGTTCAGGAATGCGACGAGGGGCTTCTTGGGTGCCGCATAAAGATTTTTTTGTATCTGAAGAGTATTTAGCGTTGGCGCTAGGTTTAGAATCTGTCGGCATCTGTATAAATATATGTGTTGTTATGCGATTCTGATACGATCCAGTCTTTCACGTTCCAGGATCAATGGCGGACTGAGGATATGGGCCAAGTATTCCAGCACGCAACAGCGACGTAGGGGAGATACAAGAAGAATCTATACGACACATTTTTGCCTATGATATAGTCAAGGATCAATTAGAATTTAGCTTTGAGTATTGTGATAGCTGTAAGTATCGTTAAATTGGTGAAGAAAAGTCTATTATCTTAGGGTATATATCTAATCGCCCGTCTAGTTAATACATCTAAGCCTTGCTGTAAATATCAGCATCAAAGTTCGTTGGGAACCTCTCCCTGCCCTCCGCATCAGCACGCACCCACACCGCAACGCTCGTGCCGGGGCACTTGAACAGCCCATAACCCTCCTGATCGATTTCGACCTCGCCCTGCTCCCAACCCAGAATGTCTGTCCACTTCTCTCCAGCATGCATCTCGCCAACCGCCATCCTGATCTGACCCGGCCCCGCATTGCTCATTACACACGCCAGCCCAGCCTTCCTATCCCACGTCCCGCGACGAACAAAGCCAATGCAGTTTGCCTCGTCGCGATACTCCTCCTGCGCGCCGTATGCGTACAGCTTGCGCGCGAGCACCAGATCCGCGAGTTTCCCGCCGCACGACGGGTCCGCGGCGTGCTCGCCCTGCAACCCGTACAGATCGCCGTAGAAGGGGCATGGGTAGCCCTCCTGCCTGAGCAGAATGAGCGAGTACGCCAGGGGCTTGAAGAAGCCCTCGACAGGCGTCTCGACGGTCTGGCCGGGCTGCGTGTCGTGGTTCGTAACGACGGTAACGGCGCTGGTAGGGTTCAGCGCAACGAGGGTGTTATCAAAGACCTTCCTGAGATCGGCATCGGGCGTCTTGGACAGCTGCGAGAAGTTGTTAAGCAGCGGCGAGTCGTAGAGGGAGAACTTGTGGTGCATATCCTCCAGCCAGTCGCACATGAGCTGTGCGTCGCCGGACCAGAATTCGCCGACGATGAAGATGTCGTTGCCGCACTCGTCGCGCAGGTTGTCGACCCATTCGTTGGTGAAGCGCTCTGAGAAGTGCTGCACTGCGTCCAGACGGAAGCCCTTGAGCCCAACTTCTTTGGTAATCCATACGCCCCAGTTCTTCACGTCGGCTTGGACTTCGGGGTGCGAGTAGTCGATATCGGCAAACATCATGTAGTCGGCGTTGCCGCCTTCTGAATCGACTGATGCGCTCCAGCCCTTGTTATCGCCGAGAATCTTGTATACGGCTTTCTTCTCGTTGGCTTGGTTGTAGTCTGTGCCACTGAAGTGCTCCCAGTGGTACTTCTGAGAAGAGTATTTGTCACCTCGGCCGGGGAAGTCGAATCCTAGCCAACCTTCGATCTCGTATGGCTCTGACGCATCCTTGGTGCGGTCGTTGTTGTCGACTTCAACCACGCGGCATTTCTCGGTATTGTCTGCTCCGGCCTTGTGGTTCAGAACAGCATCCCAGAACAACCCGATTCCATTCTCTTTCGCGACCTTGCTAAGCTCAAGCAAATCTTCTTTGGGGCCCCATTTTGTGCTCTTTCCACCCTTCTGGTCGAACTCGCCAAGGTCATACAAGTCGTAGATGTCGTAGCCGTTTCCTTCCGGGGAGGCAGCCTTGCAGCCCGGAGGAAGCCAAATGTTGTCGACGCCCACTGCCTTTAGCTTGGGAACCTCGGCAATGAGGCGTTTCCAGTGCTTCTGGTCAGCAGGGACATTCCATTCGAACCCCTGGAAGAGGGTGTAGTTGTCCGGTGTTGGTTGCTGTTCTGTTTTGCTCGTTAGTTACAGCCATTTACTTAAGACATGCGATCGTACCGTCGGAACCCATGTTGTATACAAGACGATTTCACTTCAATGATTTAGAAGAGTCCTCAATGTCCAGCTCTGGAAAACGCGGATGCCGCCCTATTTGAAGGAGCCAGCCAGCTACAAGTTCTGTAGTTCATCTTTACGTAGTGGCGTCGCTCTGGGCGAACAGTAAACAGTAGCCCAACAACCCCTGTGAACACAACAGGTTTATCTACCGGCTTCCCTGCAGCAAGAGCCGCGAAAGCAGGTCCTCCATACAAAAGTGTGGTGGGATGTTGCGGTCTGGATGCTCTTAGGTTAAGCGCGGCTCAACAAAACGCGGCCGCTGACGTCAGGCCGCAGGAAAGCCCAGAAAGGCTTGTGGAGCAAATTGCCGAACATATTTGCATGAACATAGGTAAACAAGAAACATCTAAGAACGAAGTAATTGATCAGGTAGAACATGTGTACTGTTTTTAACCCAAGGTATGTCTGGTGAAATCATGATCAGTATTGGCATTATTTGACACAGCGATGATTGAACACAACCTACAGCTTCAATGATGAAGATATTCACTTTGCTTTTCGGTGCTGATATCTCGTAGACCTATCACATTGAGAGCAGCATCCCACGCTAGCGCTTGCCCGCATGCTGCCACGACAAGTGCAAGAAGCCTGCACACGCGATGAGAAGCCACTGTGGCCTGATACCTATCACATTACAATCTCGCTGCGACGCTGATAGACCTTTGTTGCAGTATCTTACTTCCTTCTGTTACTTGACGTCACTTTGCGAGACAGGTCGGAGCAGTTCGAGACTCTTGATTAGCAGTAGGTCCTACCTAGGTGAGATTCTTCTTTTCACACATCTGGTTGGCATGATGGCATACAATAGGCTTTTGATGTTACCAAGGCTCCTGAAGTGCGCCGCAATTCTCTCCACAGGTAAGTAGCCAATCGAATACTGATCGAATTGAGGATTTCCCTCTTGGTCAAATTGGCATATCCTTTATCGTTCCCTTGACTTCAAACCCTCTCCTAGAGTCACTTTAAGGGCGACCATTATGGCTAGGTATTGACGAATTGTACGTAGTCCATTTTCGAGGCAACATAAAATGCGGGGTGGAGCACTCTCCGCAGGACCCACACCCCTAGTCTCGATGATCAACCATCTATAGTCCCTGCTTTACATCCTACATGGCGTTTATTTGGGCCGTTCGTTAGGGAAAACCTAGGAGACGTGATAACGACACATGTAGTTATTGTCCAGTGCTTTAGTACATTTCTTGTGTCTACCCTTCTAGTGTTGTACGTCTGCCGCGAAGGCCGCAATCATCGACAGTACCGGCAAGGATTCATGGACGTTGAGTAGCAGCACAGCACGGACTGCCGGTAGGTCTGTCTGGATCTGTACATGGATTTTCTGAACCTGGGGCCGTCATACCTGGGATGATACATTTCAATCGCGTCCTCCGTCATTCGAATAAAGTTCAGTTGTGAGGTGTTAGATGAAGGGCGGTGCAAGTATGGGTGCGTCCAGCTTCCGAAGTCCATCGATATCGAAGAGATGCATGTTGTCTGCGGAACACGAAGAGTCTAACTTCAATTGGCCCTGCACTTTGAAAGATCCAGCCTTTGTTGACGAATAGCCGTGGTCTCCATAGGAATTTTGCGAAGTGATTCCAGTACGAAGAAGAGCCTATTAACTAGTGGACGACTCTGTGGTCGACGTTTGCTGTAATCAACATATCCGAACTGAAATCTGATGGAAACCGCGAGGCTGTAACGTTAGGGGAGAACTGCTCACAGGACCTGTGACTCCAAACTATGGCTCCAAGTTCAAACATTCCTTACGCTTTTTGTAAATGGTGTCTGTTGACGTTGGTTGCAAGGGTTCATCTCTGCGCGTAGGCAGAGGGGCAGTCACAGACTAGCCTGAAAGAGGTTAGCATCCAACACCCTCCAGATCATTCCAAGGTTCATCTCCATCGCGATAGCAATTACGATCGGAAGCGAGCTTTCACTTACACCCCAAAAATTTCGTTGCATTTGGTTATCGCTTTTCTGGAACCAAGAACTCTTCGAGTATTCCGCGGGTCATTCCACTCACGGCGATACCTTCACCAAAAAGTACAACAACCCTGGAAGCGCCCAGGCAACACGCACGTGACGGCTCATTTGTTTTACATGAGGGCAGGCAACTTCCTCGTCACCTTCGCTTCTCGGCCTCCCATAATCTCACATTTGTCCAAGCACATGTCCGCAAATAAACACGTAAAGCTATCTAGCATGGCGCATTCACATCAATCTACCGGATCAGCCATCGTCCGCTTCTATGATCCAGATGTTCGGGCGAAAGACACACGCGGTCGCACGCAAGAGCAGATTCTGGCGTGGGATGACAGCCACCTTGAGCACAGCCACAACTACATCCAGGTGTTGTTTCCACTTCCCGAGGGTTCACCATTCAACTGGTCGGCGCCGGTCATCGACCTCGAGACGATGAGAGCCTTCCGTACCAGGAGTGAGCTGAGACAACAGCTGGGCCGCAGCTTCGAGCGCATGCTCACATTCTACGGCTTCACGGCCTCGACCAGTGCAGAACCCGAGAACGAAAAGGCGGAGGATATTGAGAGCCAAAAGCAGACGTCTGCTGAACCCGCCAAGGAAGGCACTCAAGACACAGAAACTTCCACTACAGCAACCCCGACTGTTGAAGCGGTGCCTCCCCAGTCTACTATACAAGCGTCTCCACCTGGTTACTTGGTTGTACGAGGCGACAACTGGCGCAGAGCTTCGCGCAACTGGTGTGTCCGATTCGACCACAACCACCTGCGTATCACCCGCATACTCCGCTGTCTCCGGGTGCTGGGTCTGCAGAAAGAGAGCGATGCATTCTTCGCCGCCTTGAAGCGCGTGTACGAAGATCCAGCTGTTAGTATCGGCGCTCGCTCGTTGGACTTCTGGACGCGCGCTGCCGAGCGTCCCCTGTATCTTCCACCAGACGACATGGAGGACGAGTGCGAGTGGTTGAAGGTTTGGGAGAAAGAACAAAGGAAAGAAAAGTAGCTCTTCTGTTGCACCGCTCGCGTTGGGGAGACGAACCAGAGGGAAGAGGGCGCAACCACCAGAGAACGGGCTGAGACTCACCTGCACGGCTCGGCGTGGGGCTCGTCTTGGGAAGCTAGCCTTTACGAAATTTAGAAGCATCAGCATCAGCATCTGAGCGAATACACATCCAGAGTAATGACAGTAGCAAAAAACATCCATTGTTCAAATTCCTGCAGCTGGCTCAATCGCCGTGCATTGCCGTATGATAAATACACCAGCATCTCCCTCTCCCTCTTTTCTCTCGAGCACTCTCTAAAACTCGGAGATGGTGTCTCCCCTCCTCTTGCCGCGGAGGTTCCACTTGCCCTGCACCCCATTAGCACCCGCCTCGTCTCCACTCCATGCCTCCTACTCACATCTGTGATGTAGCCGAAGTAGCCCAGTGTCGCAGGGACAACGACGACATACATGGTGGTCAGGAACGCAGTGCGCTTCGTCCAGCGGAAGTACTTGTGGCGGTTCACAACCATGTCTGCGGCTCGTTAGCCCTCGCTCCATCCCTCAGCTCCCAGTCCACCGCTTCACAGCTCTCGGTCCACGGTAAGGCGCGAGTCGGACGGGAGCGCTGCGCAGGTGTGCGGGCGACGTACTGTTCCATTTTATGATCGCGGGATCCTTGTGGAGGGCTGTTCTTGTGTTAGCCATTGCCCGCCATTGAGCGCTCGGCGCAGCTTCTCGGGGGCGGGTTAGGCGTGCCTTCGTGTCCGCCGGCCATGTTGACGGTTGTGGGGGTGTTTCGCGCGGCTTGCGGGGTGGGACTAGGGTGGTGAGGGCGCGAGGGCGTGGTGTTGAAGCTGTGATGTCGGCGCGCGGAGGTGCTGGGCTTGGCAGCGAATGGGAAGACTGGGGATGTCAGCCTTGCGCTGATGGAGGCACTCAATACCACAACGCACATTATGTTAGGCTCGCATTATGCACACCGTGGACTATCTGCTGTGGCGTTTGCTCCTACTCATGGTTGTTCACAATCAACTCATGAGAGCCATATGTGCTTCTGTGAATCTAAAAGCACTAATTCGACACAACCTTTTTCAAGAGCTTTGTGTCGACGAACTTTGTTGTATGGGTACAGCAAGGCTGCATATGTCAAAGTAGGTACTTACCTTCACAATAGTGCAAGCAAATGTGCTTAAGGCGCTCAAAACAGGCTTTACATTAGACAGCGTACTTCAAGTCGCCATTTCGCTTTACATGCTGTTTGGAGCTCTTCGGCCACATCTTTGTCGTGTCAGACGTAAGCGCGATAGCTGCATGCTCACCTTTGCATTACGATGTTCCCTTTCGAGTGTGCCAGAGGCTGTCAGGCCACCAAAACCAATCACTGCGTGTCGGCGCTTGTGAGAAGCCGCGGTACTTTGAACGTGCCGCAACGCCGCCGACAAAGGCGGCCCGTTTTCGTCGACGAAGAGATATAAACACTGTCAGACCTCAGCGCTGGCATTACATCCTCAAGGCTTTTCTCAGTTGAATAACGATACCGCCACAATACAAAGCCTGTCGACAGCATGTCCAATCAGCAAGGCGCAAAGATCACCGTCTACTGGTATGTTTCACGTGAAGCATCCCAACGCACTGGCTAACGACGACTACTCAGGCTCGAGAAGTCCCGCGCGCAGCGCATCATCTGGCTCCTTGAAGAGCTCAAACTCGAGTATGACATCCAAGTCTTCAAGCGCAACAAGGACGGTCGCGCGGGCCCCGAATTGAAGAAATTCCACCCTCTTGGACGTTCGCCCACGATTGGAATCACACCTGCTGGGTCCGATAAACAGGTGCGTAGATCCATCTCTGCAATGGCAACGAGCGCATCGGCTGACCCGTCTAGATCATCGTCACCGAGAGCGAGACGGTCTCCGACTACATCTGCGACCACTTCGGCCCGCAGCTCATCCCGCAGCGCTACCCAGCAGGCCAGGAAGGCCAACTCGGCGCCGAGACCGAGCAATGGATGCGCCACAAGTTCCTGATGGACTACGCCGAAGGCTCCTTCATCACGCCCCTGCTCGTCTCGCTCATCACCTCCACCATCCGCTCCGCCGCCGTGCCGTTCTTCCTGCGCCCCATCACCAACGGCATCGCAAACAAGGTCGACGCTTCCTACACTAACCCCGAGATCACCAACCACCTCGACTTCCTCGAGGGGTACCTCAAGTCGAGTCCCAGCCAGGGCCAGTTCTTCTGCTCCGACAGCCTGACTAGCGCGGATATCATGGTGCATTTTGTGCTCGAGAGCGCTATAAAGAAGAAGGCGCTGAACGAGACGTCGTACCCCACGCTGTACAAGTACGTGCGCAGACTGCAGGAGACGGACTCGTATAAGCGTGCTGGACAGAGTGTGGAGAAGGCGAGCGGAGAGAAGTATGTCCCGTTCTCTGAATCTTGAGATTGGTTGAGTGTAGAACCAGCGGCGTGAAAGAAGTTTGTGATTTTTCTTTGATACCTATGCTCTCATCGTAATGACAGTTTTTCGGGAAATGGTCAGTTGGTATGTAGTAATGTCTGGGCCTGCACCAGAATATAATATACTAATGCTCAACATGATGCTGTCTTTACGGATGTGTGCACTGTTGCGGCGAAGCGTGAGAAACGAGGTGTAACGGGAGACCTCAGTGAACATTCCTTACAACCGTTTCCCACTGTACAGTGCATTGAGGAATACAAAGTAACACTGGCTCTCCTTTCTTGCAGAATTCTGGATAGCACGTGAAAACTACACGTGTGTCACCCGTTTCGTCAATGTGTTTGATGACGTGTTTTAGATGGCCCTCGCGCGTGAATATCTCCGATCTCTCGTAGTCTGGAAGCTCTTCTCGTGGAAGCAGAAAGCACTATTACTTCGCACGGGGCGTGGGCAGGCTGCTCGGCTTTCGAATCAAACATTGGGCCATGCCGTTGCGACCGACCCCTCTTCGGGTGTCTCGCGTACTGATCGAGAAAGCATGTATGGATCTTGTTCGAAGTGTGGTCTTTCCTGAACATGTCACGAATATGCATGTGTGCATGTTCGGCTTGATCTTTCCTGTCCCCGAAGCGATCACAGATGACGAATTCGCCAGCAGTGCCTTGGTCCCAGGTTCCGAGTAGCTGGGACTGACACTATTACTTTAGAGTGTGGACGCTGTTGAGATCGACCAGAGCCCGCTTTTTCGAGTAAGCACGGGTGCATTTGACGATGTGTCGTAAACCTGATAGTACGTTACTACACCTCCGACCAGCCACTGAGCTCGATTGTAGGATGTAGCTCACCCTGATCGCAGATCGAGAACTGCAGAATTGCAATCGACTTACTCCATTGAAGCGAGCACATACGCTCCAACAGAAAAGTCCTGACAGGATTGTTGAAGCTGCGTTTCGCCAAGTGACGAGTCAGATGTGCCTGGCAGTACAAGGGCGCTTGAGTGGAGTCACTCAGAGCCATACATGAGCTGGTTATTTGACGTAAGACGCAGCTCGATTGTAGGATGCAACCCACCCTGATCGCGGATCAAGAACTGTACAATTGCAATCGACTTACTCCATTCAAGTCCTGGAAAGATTGTTAAAGTTGAGTTTCACCAAGTAACGGGTGCTTGAGTGGAGTCACTCAGAGGCATACATGAGCCAGGTATTTGACGCGAGACGCAGATTAGATCATTAAGGCTCCGTCTATTGTGCAGCTAATCTCATCAAACCGTACTGTTACAAGTGCCACATCGGGCGGGCTGAACGTACAAGTAGCTAAGCGGCAAAATAAAACGCAAACACATGAACAGAAAATGGGAATATATCCATGCCAGCCAGATGCAAAAAAGAAAGACTTTTTCCGTGCACTACAAAGTCTCCCTCTAAAGACCCAATGTCGTGGCTGTCTTGGTATCATCGCTCCACCACCTCTTCGCACTCCAACACCTCATTTTGCTCGACGATTTACTGTGTCTTAGCGATCTCGACGCCACCTGTGGCACCAAGGGCCTTCTTGATGTCGCCTTATTTGGTCAGTATTGGAGCTACTCGTGGTGGAATGGTGTTGAGAACTTACCGTAGATGGCGAACTGACCAGCGGTCAGGGTACCGACCATGAAAAGACGGGCACCGATACCGCTGTAAGAGCCACGGAGACCGAGCTCCTTGGCGATCTTGATCAGACGGCTGGTGGTGCCCTCACCGGGCTCGCCCTTGGTCTTGTTGATCTTGGACAGCATGGTGTCAGCGGGCTGGGAGATGATGGCGGCGGCGAAACCGGCGATGAGACCGGAGCCGAGGTTGTAGACGGTCTGCATGCCGTTGGAGGTCTTGCTCTTGTCGACGACGGTGTAGACGGCCTCGTTGACCTTCTCGAAGACGACGAACTTGGCGCAGGTGTAGGGGATCCTGTTCACGTGTCAGCTGGCTCCGGATTAGCCGAAGCATGGGACTTACTGCTTGAACAGGATGGGGCCGAATCCAGAGTAGAAAGCGCCAACACCCTCGGTCTTGAGGATCTTGCCGAAGCCACCAATCAGGCCGTTGGCGAACTTGGGGTCGGAGACGAGACGGATACGGGTGGCCTCAAGAGGGCAGAGGGCGATGTCAGCGATGAACTCAGCGCAGGCGGCGGCACCGAGGTAGACGGCGGTGCGGTTGTTGGAGGCAGCCTCGTAACCGAAGGTGTTGATGGCCTGCTGCTTGAAGAACTCGTATCCACCGAACTTGAAGGCACCCTGGAGGAAGTAACCGGCGGCGGTGGGACCGAAGCCGGTCCAGACGGCGCCAGCACCCTCGTTGGCGATGACCTTGCGGAAGCCACCGATGAGGCCGTTGTTGTAGGTCGCGGGGTCGAGCTGGATGCGGGTCTTGACGCTGCAGGGCTGTTAGCAGGGCTCGCACGTCATGCGCCGGAAAAACTGCAACGCAGCCATTGGCGCGCATCAGTGCCATTGGGCGGCGGAGGACGTACACATCGACGGGGGTCAGGGCACCGTGGGTGACGGAGCAGCAGACAGCGCCGGCGAAAGCGAAGCGCGAGTACAGCGCAAGACCGGTGGGCGCGTCAGGCGCGGGCATGGCAGCAAGCTTCGCCTTGGCGGCGTCGACGGTGCTGGAGCCGGTGGCAGTGGGGGGAGGAGCGGTGGACATTGTGAAGGACGATGAACCGACGACAGAGGGTTGAGTGGAGAGTGGTGTAGGTGGTGTTGATGGGTGAATTCAAGCCTCAAAAGGTTTTGCTGGAGAGATGCAGCCGCACTGCTTGGCGGGCTCCATTGCCCGACCTCTTCCGGCCAACCAACGGCATTGGCCTTATCGAATCCCGATTCTCCTGCTTTTCCCTCGGGCGAATCACGTCACTCTGCATTAGGGCGTGCACGCTCAACAACATCCTTAATCGCGCAGCTCTATGTATCATAAGGATTTCGCGCTGCTGTTCTGAATCCCGGTTGCCGTTCCGTTCTGTTTCGCGCCACGCAGCTCGAGCATCGTAGAGAGACCAACCACGATGGCAGCCTCTCGACAACAATTGCATTACTTCAGAGGATCGGATAGCACGGAACGCAGTATGATAAGAGCTGGAACAGATGGTCTTCATTGCACGCGGCACCCTAACTCTGCTTGGCCCTCTGCGTGTTTCTGGCCATCAACAATATGCTCTCCCGACGAGGCCCGTACTTTCTAGCAAGCCCAGCTTCGTCGTCGTCGCTCGACTCTGCGTCTTCAAGCACACCCAATACATCATCGTACGCCCGATACTGGCTCTTCGCTGCGTCCAGCATATCTTCGAGATAGCTCTCGATTATGCCCATCCGCTCGAGCATCTTTTCAGCCTCCCGCCGTGCATTGAAGATGTCAGTAATCGTCCCAGATACATACGTCTTGATGTCAGCTGTTGCCAGTTCGACTGATGCTGACGGATGATGATCCTCGAGGGAGAAACCAGCCTCTTCTGCCCTGGATAACAAACTGGCACTCATACTGGCTAGACCACTTGCGTTGTGTTGAACGACCTGAATATGTGCATCCAATTCGGGTACCTGTTGTTGGAGGATTCGCTGCAGCTGGCCATCCGCCTGATCGCAGGCTCTAGTTTGATCCTGCTTGAGTTGACGGTCTCCCAGGCTCTTGTGAGCGGCCCACTTCTGTGCTGCTTGCAACTCAGTCAGTTCCTGTAGTTCCTTCAGTTTGATCTGCGTCAGCCCTCGACGCATTGCCTTGATCTTGTCGATGACCTTTCTGACAACGGTATCCCGCATCTTCCGTTCAAACGCCTGAATCTTCATCGTCAACCGCTCGATCTCAGCTATGTTATGTTCCAGTTTTGCTACGCTCAACGATCGAGCCAATCCTGACAGCTTGTCTGCGTTTACAGTTTGCGATCTCGATTTTACCTCGTCGATAAGCGCCTCCATTGTAAGCAGCTTCAGCTCATCGTCCATATCTGGTATCGCAATTCGAACATTGGCCCACAGCATCACCAAGATGTCAAAACTCGATTGCCTGTGGAACTCTGCGATCTCTGGTCTCAGCGCCGTCAATGCTTGCAATAGCTCAGCTGAGGACTCTTCAAGTTCTTGCCTACCGTCAGTGCCATGGTCACAGCTCCTGAGAAGGCTGCCGCGTCTTTCAACGGCCAGTCTGAGCATAACTCTTGAATTTTCGCCCTCTCTCAGCGTTGAACTAACGCGTCTGTTCCACGACAAAAGGACGTTCCTCATATCTTCGTATGACTCTTCTTTGTCTCTTTGAAGGTCTTTGTCGCGAAAGACAGCAAGGAGGTCTTCAGACACCTCGTCTCGTGGTCCACGACCTTCGCGTATGCGTTGAAGGATGTCGGTGTCCAAGGTCTGGCTATCGGCGCCCTCACAACAGCCATGGTTTTGCGTTTTGCTGGCTTGTTCTGTATGACTATTGCTTGAAAGAGGCCTACTATCATCTTCTGAAGCTTTATCGAATCGAGCTTGTGCCTCATCGCAGATTTGGTCGAGCCAGGACTTACAGCTCAATAGGTCTCCCACTGGTGCCCACTTTCGTATAGTTCTATCTTGACACGTTAATTCGAGGCTGGCAGTATCAACCTCGCCATCACTTTCTGGATCTGAGTCTTCCAGACGCTGTCGAATGAGCTCTTTGCTTATGTGTTGCGTGCGCCTTCTGGACATGCCTAGCCTGTGCATGCTTTGTACTGATAGACGTGCGACATGAAGATTTAGGGAGTAGCTTAGCCGCCATTGCGTTACATATCAAGTACAATTCTGACAGCTCAATCTGGAGTGCTACAACATTGAAGCCTCTGGCTTCACGTTAGCCGTGATTTGTTGCAGACCCGGCACATGTGTGACCGTTGCACGAACTAGTCTAATCAAATTGTGATGTTCGTCAGCAGGTTTTGGATACGCGATTTCCACCGTTTGTCTGATATACACATCCATGCAGTAGATCCACATCAACGGTTCACGACCATGTTCGGCTAGGGTTGCTTGCACGACAGGGGTCACGCGCATGTCATCCAGACTCGTAGTACGGGCAGATAGAGCGACTGGCGAGTCAGTACTAACACCTGAGCTCCTATCAATTCTGAGAGCTCGCGTGCTCACAGCCTGTTAGCGGTGATTTTCAGACACCATACGCCGCTGCCAGAACCTGCACGGGTGGAGTTGCGGTGTGGGTCACAGATGGCTCTTTCGGGGAAACGACTTGGGGCACACCACTTAGCCTGTCCAATCACGAGCATTGCTACAAATTGCTATCGACCATCTCACGACACGACATCCACGACGCAGTTTCGCGACAGCAGAAGCGCCGTCTGCACATACTAAGCACGGCAACAGTACTGCATCGAGAAGAGGGGAAGGTCCCCGCGATGGGTCTTGACGCGTGACCTTGCGATCCAGAGTCCAGACCCTGCCTGCGCACGAGGCAAGTGCTCAATTTTAACCCAAGCAGCCGCTTCTTAAGTCTCCCACTGCGAACTTTCAACAAACCTAAACCACACCTCCTTTTTAGCCTGCAGCTGTGCCCGGGAAGCTCGTTGCTGCTCTTAATGTCATTGATTCAGCATGTCACGCAGCAAGAGGGTACTGACCGAGAGGAGGCGCTCGTGGACCTGTTCTTGTCGCCGGTAGACCGGCTGGAGAACCGAGAGCAAGCATCGGAACGTCGGCTCTCTATACAAAGCCAATACTCCAACGCAGGCTTCTTGTTTGCAGGCAAATCGGTCAGGCGTGTTATCAGCTACGATGCGCTTCACAGGCCGCTGGAACCAGCTGCAGGAGACACTGACGGCGGTGTGACACAGTACACTGTGTCAACCTTTAAACGAGCCGGTATGTACCCGGAAGGTGTCACACGACCACTTTACTAAGATCTACACAGCGCAAGTCTTTGCAGTCGTCCTGGCCTGCTGGTTTGCCAGCGGCATCGTCTTCGGTTTTGCAGCGCTCAAGCCGATCCTGGTCAAGGAAGGCGTCTTCAGAGACCTTTGCACGCAAGAAGAGCTCGACGAGGATGTCGAGGTCTGCTACGAGCAAGGTCTGCGCCTCAATCTTTCCTTCTCACTTGCATCCACCACAGCCAATGTATCTGCTCTTCTCGTTGGAACGATGCTTGATCGTTATGGTCCAAAAGTTTGCTATCTTATTGGTTCGGCTTGCCTTGCTGCTGGCAGCATCATAATGAGCATCGCCTTCCAGACCGCCGCATATGACGGCTACACAATTGGAAACTTCTTCCTCGCGCTTGGAGGCACATTCGTGTTCTTGCCGTCTTTCCAGATTGCTAATGCGTTCCCCAAGTACGGCGGCACCATCGTGGCGCTCGTCACTGGTGCTTTTGATGCGTCTGCAGCTGTCTATCTGTTCTACAGACTTGCATATGAGGCGACTGACGGGGCCTTCAAGCCTCACAAGTTCTTCCTTTTCTACCTCATTGTCCCAGTAGCAATTGTCATTGCGCAGCTGACTTTCTTGCCGACCGAGAACTACAAGACTGCGCCTCAGCTGGAGCTGAAGATCCAGCGTGCTGCAGGGAACCAGCGAGACGTTCACACTTCGGATGAGGACCTCGCCGATGATGAGATTTGGAGGCGCAGGAAGGCTCGCAGCGCCCGCCGCCGCAAGCGCCTGAGCAAGCTAGACGAGCTCGTCGGTGATGAGATTACGCGCAAGAAGCAGGAAGAGAAGCACGAGCAGCATCTCGAAGCGTCGGGAGTCTGGGGTGCTCTGCACAACAAGACTGCCGCCGAGCAGATGCTCACGCCGTGGTTCACGCTGCTAGCTCTTCTTACCGTTGTGCAGATGGTCCGTATGAACTACTTCATCGCCTCCATTCGCGATCAGTACACATACATGTTGGACTCTGTTGACCTTGCTGCTCGCGTCAACGACTTCTTCGACTGGGCGCTTCCCCTTGGTGGTGTACTTAGCACACCCTTCCTCGGCATGCTCCTCGACAACGTCAGCACGCCCGGCGTGCTCCTCCTCATCGTCATCATTGCCACTGCGATTGGTATCGTTGGCTCCATCGGCACGCTCTGGGCCGGCTACACCAACGTCCTCCTCTTCGTCGTGATGCGCCCGCTGTACTACTCCGCCATGTCCGACTACGCCACCAAGGTCTTTGGCTTCGCGACCTTTGGCCGCGTCTACGGCACCATCATCTGCTTCTCCGGCATGGTCAACCTGTCGCAGACCGGCATCGACGCGCTCAACAAGACGACCTTTGGCGGCAACCCGATCCCGGTCAACGCGTTCCTCGCGGGCCTCACCTTTGTCATTGGCTCCACCCTTGTGGTTTATGTCGCTGTGCAGATGTACCGCATGCGCCGTAAGCTCGACCAGGAGGATGCCATGACCGTCACCAACACGGACGTTGGCAGCATCATGGAGAGCCTGCTCGAGGAGGACGAGCCGCGTGATTACGGCAGCGTGGCGCCCGCCCGTAGCCACAGGGATTACGAGCAGCCTGCCCGCGTCTCGCGCGAGTACGTCTAGCAGCCTTAAGGGGGTAGACGCGTGTTGTTTCTGTTCCTTACCTTTCTTTAACGATTCAGCGATGTCAGACGCCCCCTAATTCCGCACGTCCTGTGTTTTTTCAAAAGCGTGTAATTATGTAGCCCTCTCCTTCCAGCCTCTGTTTTTTCTTGCAAGCCCGGCGTCTGCCGTTCCAGCACGCATCCCGCATCATGAGCGTCTTTTGCATTGCATGAGCATAGCGAGTCCCTTACGACGTGTATGTCTGTATGTATGTCTTGTAGCTTGATAGCGATTTGAATGGCATGTTTCTGAGACACCCTGAGTCAGTGTGAGTATGCATCTGTGAGGCGTCGGAGTGATTGGATACAATGCGACGGAGACGTTGACACGGAATAGAAACGGCACCACGGAATACTTCACGGCACGCAGGACCACAGCACGGCACATCACACGCAGCAGAGCAGAATCCTGTTTTGACTTTTTTTTGCATTCTACGGAATTCTACGGATCTACCATAACAACAAAGTCCCTAAACCAGACTATACTAGAAAAAACACTGCTCCCCAACCAACCACCTCCCTCCCTACACAACCGTCTGCGTCACAGTCTGCGTCTCCGTCACCGTACTCGGCTCCACCGCCTGCGTGACGGTAACCGTCACCGCCTCGCCCTCGCCATACCCATTCGACGCCCTGACCGCCCTGGTCCACCTGACCCCCTCAACCACCTCCTCGCGCCGCCCGTCCGTCACAGCCCCGACATTCACCGGCCGGCTGAACAACTCGCACACGCCGACCTCCAGCACGTGCGTGCACGACGCACACGATGTCTGCCGCTGCACCGAGACCGCGAAGCCGCGGCACACGGGCTCGTGGGCGCATTCCTCGGCACACGCGGCCGCGCTGTAGGTGCGTGTCAGGCGGCGCTTGTACGGCAGCTGGGTGGTGGAGGCGTTGGCGTTGGACCACAGAAGCGTATAGGGCGCGGGGACGGGCTGGTCGAGGGCGAGCGAGGAGTATGCGGGCGAGGACTCGAAGGCGGACAGCGTGGCGTCGAGGTCTGGCGGGGACTCCGGGACGGGGTTCATGTTCTCGTCGTAGTCGGAGTATTCGTCTGTGTCCGAGTCGGAGGCGGGGTAGGAGGGGACAGGCGGGAGGGAGGCGGAGGGCGAGGGCGAGGAGGAGGCGGGGGGAGACGGGGCCGCGGAGGAAGCCGAGGAGGAGGCGGCGGCGGCGGCAACGGCGCGCATTGCGCGGCGGAGCGGGATGAGGGTGGGGAGGTTGGGCGGGGCGTCGGGGACGGCAGCGCGGAGGGGCTCGAGGAAGGGGGCCAGGGCGGGGTTCGCGAGGGGCTTTGCGCGGTCGTGGGGCGCGGTGACGGGCTTGCCGACGCCGCCGGGGCCGCCGGGCGGGAAGTCGGGCTTCCAGGAGGCCTCGGGGGAGCCGGGCCGCGGCGGGACGGTCTGGCTGGCGGTGGGCGCCTGGATGGGCCCCGTTTCGCCCGCAATGGGCCCGTCTTCGATGCCGCCGAAGTTCATCAGCGGCGCGTAGGGGAAGCCGGGGCCGTAACTCCTGTCGTGGCCGCTGAGATCCACGCCGCCGCCGCTGAGCTTCGTGCCGCGGGGGACGTTCTCGGGGGCCACTCGGGTGGGGGCGGGGGCTGCGGCGGCGAGGCCGGCCAGGGCCAGGAGGAAGACGAGCTTCATGGTGGTGGTGGTGGAGCGGTGGTGGTGTAGTTGGGTGACTACAATGGTGCCGACGGGGAGAGTCGGGGACTGGTGGTGGGCGGTGTGTGGTGGGCGGTGGTGTGGTAGGCTGGTGGCTACAGTTGTGCTGGACAAGTCAGGGGCTGGTACCGTTGGTGGGTGGTAGGCTGGCTCCTACAATTGCACTGGACAAGCCGGAGACAGTAACCGGTATTGGTATGTGATAGGCCGGTGGCTACAATTGTGCAGTGCTGTATCAGGCACGACTAGTGCAGGAACCTAGTTGGTGACAAGGGCAGACTGGAGACCACAGGAGTTGCTGATGACTGAAGAAGACTCTTACACAGACTCTTACAGAGGGAGGCAGCCGGTCCTTATATAGATTTTCCACGCAGGCCGCTGGATCCGTGATCCAGGTACGCAACATCTGAACCAGTTGCGGAGGTATTGGATTGGAAAAGTCAGTCTGTAAAAATCACTTCGAGCTTACCGTGGAACGTCACCCAGTCTGTCCAACCTCCAGAGAGGGAGACCCGCACGATAACGGCTCACTGGCTGTGGGAGGCTACCATGCAGGGTCCTTCCTCAATGGCGATCGCCCCAACACACCATCGGGAGCCCTTTAGTTCTTGGTTCAGGATCCAGTGTGACTCTTCGTTCCATCCCACGGTGCCTCGGGGGCGCCCCCTCTTTTCGAATCCACATTCTGAACCCAACATCGAACATGCACAAGACACTGACTAATGTAAGAATGAAGCTTCCATTATCATTGAACGTGTATGGGGGGTGGGGGGTATGTAGCAACCTCTGTCCTCTCGCTTCGCCTCCTAGCACCCAACACAACCAACCACGAGAGACCCAGCCCTGACCCAACCCGACCAAACCACCTCGCGCCTCGCCCACGGCGCCTCTTGCCCCATCTGCGCCCACACTCCCACTCCCCACTTGCCCCGCACCCGCGAACCATACTTCGCACCCCTGACCCATCCTATCGTCGTAATTACACTCTTCTCAAAAACTTTTCCTGGCACGCGCGTATGGCTCATGCATGCGGTATTACCGGAAGCGGGAGGTGCAGCGGCCCATGACCTCGCCCTGGCAGACGAGCTCGGCGTTGAACTCGGAGCCGTCGAGGGTGAGGTAGATATCGAAGTAGACGCGGTAGAAGGTGCCTTGCGGGGTGTCCATGCGCTCAAAGTCTTTTTCGAGATTCTTGCGCGAGAGATCCGAGGTGAGGGTGACGACCTCCTTGATGCCTGGGTGTGTTAGTGAGGGCCGTGTTTGGGGGTTTTATAAAACTTACGCGGGTCTTTGGTGTACTCGGGGCACACGTCGTCGTCGCAGGCGTACAGTATGTCCTCGTACATGAGTGTGGCGCCGGGGGCAACCTGTCGGAAGAAGGAGACCTTGACGGGCTCGCCGATCTTGACGCGCTGGCCCTTTTGCACGAAGATCTGTCGTGTGTACTTGCATCGGTCCTTGCCGTCGAGCGAGGGCACGCGGTACTGCTCCGGGTGGTGGCCCTCCTTGAACGGCTGCAGCGTAGCCATGAGGTAGTGACGACGCGCGACACGGTGTGTGACGATCCTCTCTGTGATGCCGGCAGTGACGGCGCCCTTGACAATGGCAGCCACAGAGTCCATGGGGCGGACGACCTTGGACTGGAACTGAGGCGGGACGTGCAGCTTGATCTGCTGGAAGAGGTATTCGGACGCGCCGAAACCACCAACTACAAGAACATTCTGTAACGAGCGGTTCTGGGCCTGGATGGCGATGATCTGGTTGCGCACAAGCTCCAGGATGCGGTTGACGACGGGCTCGAAGCACTGCAGAATCTCCTCGTTTGTAAATGTCATGTATCCCTCCTCAATGCCAGCCTCGGGGAACTCAGCCTCGATGCCGACGTCGACGGCCCACTTCTGGCCGTTGTTCCGGAAATCGGCCTTTATCCTGTTCTCAAAGTCCATGATGCACTTGGCGTAGACCTTGCCGGCGGTCTTGGAACCGTCGGGCAGCTTCATCTTTCGGATCTTGGCACGCAGGATGTTGCTGAAGTTGCGGTTGAGGGCTGTGGAACCGCACGAGTCGCCGGATCCGGCTGTGCACTCGGCGACGGAGAAGGGCTGCTCCTCCTCGACCTCGTAGGCGATCAAATCGACGGTACCTCCACCGCAATCAACAATCAGCACGGCGTCGTGCATCTTGAGGTTGAGCAGGCCGGTCTTGGAGCAGAACATGGCGGCGGCCTCGGGCTCGGTGATGAGGGTCAGGCGGTTGTCGTTCTCGTCGCGCAGGAAGCCGGCCTGGATGGCGGCGGCGCGGGTGGCGGCCTTGCCGGCGTCGTTCCAGATGGCGGGGACGGTCAGGTAGTAGCGGATGTTGCGCTCCTCGCGGTTGAAGACCTCGCCCAGGGTCTTCTGCAGCTGGTTGCGCATGGCCTGGCGCAGGTGGAACAGGTAGTCGGCGGCGACATCGATCTCGGACTTGCCCGGGGGCAGCGGGGGCAGGTTGATGGGGTCGATGTAGGTGTTGCCGGACAGCATCAGCTGCAGCTTGAACCACTCGACCTTTTGCACGCCGGGCTTGGGGTAGCCGGTGGGGGCGAGGGCGTCGGCGATGTCGGGGCCCCAGCCGACGACCTTCTGGTACTGGTCGTAGTAGAGGACGGTGGGGATCTGCATGAGTTAGAGGGGGGGGGTGGCAGGCGGAGTGGTCGATGAGTCTCACCTTCTGCTTGGTCTGGTTGCCGGCGCCCGGCCACTCGGTGATGATGTCCTCCTTGGCCTCGGTGTTGGTCGCAAAGGCAAAGGCGACGCCGGAGAAGGTGGTGCCCTGGGGGAGTTAGCTGGGCGAGCTGTCAGCGGATACGGAGCATGGGCGTACAAAGTCGATGCCGACAATCAGCTGGGCCTTGGAGCGCCCCTCGCCGGCGACCTCAGCCATGCCCGGGCGGTTGTAGACGGCGGGCGGGCCGTGCTGGGCGGGCACCGGCGGCGGAGCGCCATAGCCGGCGCCGTACTGGCCCGGCGGGGGCTGGGGCGGGTAGCCCGGCGGGCCCTGCTGCGGCGGGTAGCCCACGGGCTGCTGCTGGTGCGGCGGGTAGCCAGGCGCGGCGGTGTTGATGGGCGGCAGCGGGCTGGTCGGGCGGCCGTGCTGCTGCTGCTGCTGGGGCGCGAGGCCGCCCTGCTGCGGGGCAAAGGTGTACGAGGGCGGGCGGCCCAGGCCGTTGGGCGGGTTCATGGGGAGCGACGAGCTGCTCGAGTTGCTGGCCTGCGGCGACAGCGACGTCGGGCGGTTCTGGCCGGTCGGGGTGCTGCCTCCGGGCGCGGGCTGGGTCGGCTGGTGCGAGGAGCTCTTGCGTTTCGACCCGACTAGGTTCTTGAAGCGGGCATTCATGGAGTTCATCAGGCAAGGGGAGGTGGAGGAGAGGCGGGGGGCGCCACGAGGAGCTGCGCTGACGGCCGCCCAGAAACTGGCGAGCTGGCGAGCAGGCGAGCTGGCGAGGCTGAACGTGTGAGGGCGCGGGGCGCAGTCGTGCAGGAGTGCTGGCTGGTCCGCACTGCGCAAAGAATCAACGCCGCACACTGCGCGCGGGCTGGAGATGGTACCTGGAGCGGAGCCCACGCTGGACGGGACGCGCCCCGGGTCATTCTTTCACCGGCTGCTCCAGCGCTCCCCGACCACGCCGCGAGCGGCCAGCGGCCAGCGATTGCTGCCCCGCCACCTGTCAAACGTCCCGCGCCTGGGCCGCCAGAGCCAGCGCCCGCCCCTCACACCTCATCTATGCGCCCACTTCATCTATGCTGCAGCAGTGTGCCCGATAAGACGGGCACCTCCCGCCAGCAGTGCGGCTGCACACTGCACACTGCACACTGCACTGCGCTCTGTACACACCGCCCGCCGCGCCATTGGGCGCCGATGCTCACCTCAGCTGCACTAGACACGGCGGGATCCTCAGCCCAGCGCGCCCACAGCTGCTCAAGCGAGCGCACCGCACCCAGCACGTGGTCGCAATCGGTGCTGCTGCTGTTGCTGCTGTTGCTGCTTTTGCTGCTTTTGCTGCTTTTGCTGGCGCCCGACTTCTTTGTCCTACCCTGTCTTGCCCACCCTCCCCTGTCCTGCCCTGCCAACTTGCGTGACGCTTCAGGCTGCTGCTCCGTCCTGCGTAAGGCTGAGTGTAGCTATATCGAGACGCCAGTGGTGGGGCGCACCCAGGCTAGTGAGCACCGCAGCGCCCTGGACGAGCGCACCGCACCGCACCGCAGTCCTGGAGAACTTCGAGTCCAGGAGAACTTCGCAGTCTACTGAGGGTGCAGGACTCATGGCCCTGGACAGCCTTGTCGCAGCGTCACCGCTCCGTCTCCACCACACCGTGCCGTGGCTGTGTCTGCCCGTGCCCTTCTTGTCGCGTACTTCGTACAGGCGCCCAGCGGCCTCGTCATCGCCCCCATGCACGCTCAATTCCGCCTTGTTCCCCGCTGCACGATTCCTGGAGGAAGGTGTGTGCGGGAGGTAGTGCACTGCTGCTGACACTCGTCATTGCTTCCTCTTCGGGAAGTAAAATTGTGCATTGCGTCGACACCTGGTTATTGAGGTGTGTACTGTAGTCAATCAAGGTGGGTACTGTAGTCCATCGAGGTCCTGCAGTACTTCACAACGTCAATTGATCGTGCCTAGCCAAGACAGCATCCATTTCACATTGGCACTCACTTCATGGACCCACGACACGGCACTCACTGCATCGACTCACTGACAACCTGCGATTAAGCTTATAGATTCAAGTCACCACGCAGCAGCGTGCTTTTATACAGATATCGTCGAAGAATGCAAGCATAGCCCCAGCCCTTGGGACCCAAACACACCCACCCATCCTCAGTCCCGGTAAACGCCATCGCTGATGAAAATTTTAAATGCCCCGTGTCGTGCTGTCTGACTGTCTGGCTGTCGGACTATCTGACTGTCTGCTCACGTAGTCCTGCGAACACTCGCGGGCCGCAGCAACAAACAATCCGGCCGGCACCCGGGATACACGCCCAGGCAGGGGAACAGCCGTAGCGATGCCTATCGCACTCCGGCCGCGCCTGGCATGCGCCGGTCGAGCTCCATGGCCCGGCCCTCGTCCTTGTCCGTGTTCTTCAGACGCGCCAGAATCACCGTCAGCGTCTTCTTCTCGCGCCCGTCGTTCTCCAGCACGTGGATGAGATCGCGCATCTGGATCTTCTCGCCGATATCAGTCGTCTCAATGTGCGCTCCGTAGCTGCGCTTCTTGGCCCGCAGCCCCGCTTCGACAGCGATGGCAGCTGGGGTAGCTGCGCCGCTGCTGCCTGTGCCTGTGGGCTGTCGGGCGGGTGTCGAGGCGCCAGATGCAGCGCCGCCGCCGCCGCCGCCGCCTCCACCACCGCCTCCTGTCATCCAAGAGTACTTCTTCTTTCTTCCGCCACCTAGAGCCAGGGCCGCGGTTTCGTTGGCCTTGCGGTGCAGGACGTCTTCTGTCTGCCCGGCCTTGTTCATTGCGTCTCGCTGCTTCTTGGTGATCTTCTCGGGTATGGGAAGAGGCGCTATATCAGCTGCATCAGCTGCTGCCGCGGATTTGCCAAGCTGGCGTTGCTGGCGTCTGCGGATTCGCTCCTTCTCAAATTTCTCATCCTCAAGTACACGCCTCTTCAAGGCTTCCGCGACGTGGTTGACGTTTTGGAGAGTAGGTTGTGGTGTAGGAGGCGCCTCGCTGGGTGGAGTAGGCAGTCGTGCGCTATTTGGCAGACCTGTCGTCGTTAGTTTGCGATCACAAATCAGCGGCTCGTTGGACTCACCTTTATTGGCAGTCGTCGTGGGGCTCGCAGCATTCTCAGGTGCCTCCCACGGCGTCTTTAGAATATTCGTAGGTGCAGCCATCTTTGGTTCGGCATCTGGCTCCCTTACAGCAATGTCGAGCATCTCGGGTGGAATAAGTCCGTGCGACGTGTTCTGTCGGCCCTGACTGAGGGCAAACGAGTCCTCGACGATTGTGCGTATGCGCTCTTCAGCTGCCAGAGATAGTAATGACAAGATCTCAACGAGCGGAGCATTTTGGTTGAGCAAACTGGCAGCCTCGAGACCCACAACTTGCTCGCCGTTTGCGCCGTTCTGCGCCGTTCGCGTGATGTCGCGCGGGGTCTTGTCGGGGATCTTGTCGAACAGACCATCGACGTTGACCTGGATGCCGTTCTCATACGCGCGCCGGGCCATGCGGTGGCGGAGCACGTTGGCATCGCAGAAGGGGTCCGTCAGACACTGCTGGGCGGACTCGTTCAGGATACGGGCAGCCTGTTCGTGCTTCCTCAGTAGTTCCGCCTCGTGCTGCTCCTGCGTCATGGACTGGCTCAGCGAGCCGGTGCCCTGGAACGCGCCGTGGCTGGCTTGCCCACTCCAGTTGTTGAAGCTTCCGTGAGGCGAGAGGGTAGAGCCCGTGCCCTGCGAGTTGAACGACGTCCCGTAGCCGCTGCGGTTTCCATAGCTGTGCAGCAGGTTGTCCTCCTCGGCGCGCAGATCGATGCCGGAGCCGGTGAGCACGTCGCTAATATTGTTAACATCCAGGTCGCGCGCGTTCGCCTTCTCCAGCTCAGCGTTGTCCGTGGCCTTGCTGTAGGGCACCTTTGGCGGCGGCATAGAGCTCGGCGGCGGGGGCTGCGGCGGCATGTTATTCGGGTGCTGGTACGGCTGCGGCTGGTGGAACGGCGGGGGCTGCGCGGAGGCGGGCGACTGTGGCAGGGACAGATAGCCCGTGTTCTGCGGCGACGAGGCGTACGGCGACATGGGATACGACGGGGCGGCAAAGGGCGACTGGTAGGGCGCGGGCGACGGCGGGTTCGGCGACAGGCGCTGGCGCTTTGCGGGCGGGATGCCGCTGCCCATGGTTGGCGACATGGCGTTCGGCGACTGGCTGTACGACGGCGGCGAGAAGGGGCGCGGCGGGTGCTGGTTGAGGTTCTGGGTCTGCACCGGCGGCGGGTGCTGCCCGTACGACTGCGGGTACTGGTTGTAGTTCTGCGCCATCGTGGGCGGCTTTTCCCCGGAGGGAGTGCGCGACGCGGTTACCGGCGTGTCATCAACGAGCGTGGCGGCAGAAGGCGCGGAGGGCGATGCGCGGGGCGGGAGCGGTGGGGGCGCGTCGCTGCAAGTGTTTCGGTGGGCGATGGTCGCGACAGAGGCAAGCAGACGAGTGACGCCTGCGCTTGGGCGCCTTGGCACGCCGCGCGACAAAGAGCACCCGCGCCGCGACCCGCGACACCACGACCGCCGCGCTGGCCACCGCACCACACTGCCGTCCATCGCCCCGCCGCCATCTCCTGCGCCTCCTGCTGCGACGACTGTCATCCACTGATGGCATTGCCTTGAAAACTCGCTTTCACCGGCACCACGCCCTATCGACTGTAGCTTTAACTATAGACACCGCAGACACGTAGAATGGCGTCCAAGAGGAAGCACGCGGCGATGGAGCCCGAGGATGTTGAGCCCATAGATCCAGCCGACGAGCTGATGTTTCTGTGCCTCGGGGGCGGCAACGAGGTCGGCCGCTCCTGCCACATCCTCCAGTACAAGGGCAAGACCGTCATGGTGCGCACGCCGTCGCCAGAAATGCTCGCAGCACGCTGACTGCCCTAGCTCGACGCCGGCATGCACCCTGCATACGAGGGCCTCTCCGCCATGCCCTTCTACGATGACTTTGATCTCAGCACAGTAGACGTGCTTCTAATCTCACAGTATGTATCCACAACACCCTTAGATCTAGCAGCGAGATGGGTGGGCCAGGCGCATCACTGCAGTCGTACATGCATGGAGGACTGTTTTGGGACCAACATCTTGTATATCAGAAACAATGGAATATCATTTGCATCATCCAGCTCGACTCCGGTGATGTGCCTCCCCACCCTGGCCCATGTACATAGCTGCCCGATCTCCCCCTCATCGCGCCTCGACAGCAGTACTCGCACCTTGCTAACACCTGCCAGTTTCCACGTCGACCATGCCGCTTCGTTACCGTACGTCCTGGCCAAGACCAACTTCAAGGGCCGAGTCTTCATGACACATCCTACCAAGGCCATCTACAAGTGGCTCATTCAGGACTCTGTCCGTGTCGGCAACATGTCGAGCTCGTCAGAGACTAAGATTCAGATGTACACCGAGCAAGACCACCTGAACACCTTCCCCATGATCGAGTCCATTGACTTTTACACCACACACACTGTCTCTGGCATACGCATCACTCCTTACCCTGCTGGCCATGTTCTTGGAGCCGCCATGTTCCTGCTTGAGATTGCCGGGCTGAAGATTCTGTTCACGGGAGACTACTCGCGAGAAGACGACCGTCACTTGGTCTCTGCTTCAGTCCCAAAGGAGGTCAAGATCGACGTTCTCATCACCGAGTCGACATTCGGTATCTCCACACACACCCCGCGCGTTGAGCGCGAGACACAACTGATGAAGGCCATCACCGACATCCTGAATCGTGGCGGCAGAGCGTTGCTTCCCGTATTCGCCCTTGGACGAGCTCAAGAGCTGTTGCTCATTCTGGACGAGTACTGGGGTAAGCATCCGCAGTACCAGAAGGTCCCGATCTACTACAACTCCAGTCTGGCCCGTCGATGTATGCAGGTCTACCAAACATACGTTGGCGCTATGAACGACAACATCAAGCGCCTTACCAAACAGCGATTCGCTGAGGCTGAGGCTGAGGGCGACGTGGGTCGTCGTGGAGCCTGGGATCTCCGCTTCGTACGTTCCTTGAAGAATTTGGAGCGCTTCGATGACATGAGCCCGTCTGTCATGTTGGCTTCGCCGGGTATGATGCAGTCCGGCACGTCTCGCGAGCTTCTCGAGCGATGGGCCCCAGATCCGAGGAACGGCGTCATCATAACAGGTTACTCGGTCGAGGGCACCATGGCGAAGCAGATTGTGCACGAGCCTGAGCAGATCCCAGCAATCATGACAAGAGCAGCGAACAACAATCGCCGTGTAGGCCAGAAGGAGAACGAGCAGATCATGATCCCTAGACGTTGCACGGTGCAGGAGTACAGTTTTGCTGCTCACGTCGATGGCAAGGAGAACATGGAGTTTGTGCAAGAGGTTGCGGCACCTGTTGTTGTAAGTTCGACATGTTTATCGCTACGCGCGGGTAAAAGTATGCTTGACTGACTGTTTCCTAGATCCTTGTTCACGGTGAGAAGGGTAACATGACCCGCCTGAAGTCCAAACTCCTCGGATTCAACGCGCACAAGACAGTACCCACAAAGATCTACTCGCCAGCCAACTGCGAAGAACTACGAATCCCTTTCAAGACCGACAAGATCGCCAAAGTCGTTGGGTCGCTTGCTGCTATCCAGCCACCTTTACCTCGCGCCTCGAAAACACCCGACGGAGACGGTGAGCCTGAACAGTCTAACGAAAACAACGACAGCTCGGCTTTCATAAGTGGTGTCTTAATTCAAAACGACTTCAAGATATCACTCATGGCGCCCGAAGACCTAAAGGAATACGCCGGTCTCACAACGACCACGATCGTATGCCGCCAGCACCTCACACTGTCCGCTGCGGGGTCTGACCTGATCCGCTGGGCGCTCGAGGGTACATTCGGCGCTATCAAGGAGACAGAAATCACCGACGAAGCCGTCGATGGCAAAGAAGCAAACGGCAACGGCATGAAAGAAGACGCCGACGAGGAAGTCAGCCGCACAAGCGTGCAGTTTACAGTCATGGAATGCGTCAACGTTCTCGTCAAACCCGGCGGCCATGTTGAAGTCTCATGGGAAGGCAACGTGATCAACGACGGCATCGCCGACGCCGTGCTTGCCGTTCTGTTCACTGTCGAAAGCTCACCTGCTGCCGTCCGCCGTAAGTCATCTCCCTCTCCATCACAAAGAGAATGCCAGCTAACACCACCGCAGAATCCTCCCGCCAACACTCACACTCGCATGGCCACCCCGAGAAGCCCAAGGCCACTAAACACCACCCCCACGCCACAACAGACCCGACCACGCGCCTTGCGCGCCTGCTGCTCTTCCTCGAAGCGCAATTCGGCGAGGACGCCGTAAATCCGATCCCCTACCCGCGCTCCTCTGCCGCCAACCCGGCAAACAACACAAACGGCACTGACGTCAAGGATGTGCCCGCCGAAATCAGCGCGGAAGACAAAGCGGAGCTCAAGCGCCTGCACAACATGGGCATTCCCGTCCCCGGCATCGAGATCAAGTTCGACCGGTTCACGGCGAAGGTGTGGCTTGAGGATCTGGATGTCGAGTGTGGGAATAATGCGCTTAAGGCGAGGGTCAAGGCGGTGGTGGAGAGGGGTGTTGAGACGGTTAGTGGGCTGTGGCGATGAGAGCAGTGGTGAGCTTTGGATGGCAGATTGGTTGCGTGCAGCTTCACACAGCACATTGATATTCGACATTTTAATCCGAGACAGCTCGTAGCTATCTATTTTGCAATCCGACGATGAAATTCACACCGTCAATGTCAATCTCTTCAATACATACGTGAACATTACATATGCCGTGGCTGCACGCGTACCTGACCGCACCAGGCCAGTCATGATGCAAGGACCGATCTACGTCCACCGATAATGCACCGCATCGTGCGTTACCCCCACACATGATGTGATGCCTGCCCCTCCAGTTTTTAGGTTTGAAACGCGGCGCGACTAGCACCGCAGGAACACGGTTCCGCCCAATGGTGCCTGTGCTGCTCCGTGTCACACTGTTGGGGCTGGGTTGTGCAACGGGCGCGACAGAACAAGAGATGCAAGTAAGGAGCCACGTAGAGAGAACAAGAAGAGGGATAGACATTGAAATAGCAAGATCGAGAACACCCACACAGAAACCTGAACACGGACAACCCCGTCGCTGTGCAGTGTGGACGGCAACCAATGCCCCAGCACCTACCCCGACATCTGCAGCTGCAGCTGCATGCACCACCCCAGCCATCCAGGCACCACGGCCGTCGTGCAGCGCGCTACCACCATGTCCGCAGTCGCTGCTGCTTGTGCGCCGCGCCTCCCTGGTTTCTGCTCCGAGTGCAGCGGCGCTCCATTCTCGCGTTGTGCTGAGCGACGGATCCGGCAGACGGCAACGGCGAGACCCAGGTGTACATACATACACCGCGTCAGCGCCGTGGTTCTGATCAGCGTGGATTAACAGGTTGAATTATCAGCTGGCTTGGTTATTGGGTTCTTGTCTACAGCACAGCACAGCAGGTCTAGCAGCACACGGTCTACAGTCGCTCGTTCAGTATGGAGGTACCTACACCCACCCTACTCTCCGGCGCAAGCACCCGTGGACTACGGAGCCATACTCACGCGCCCCCGCAGCACACACCGCAGCTCGTATGTCCCGCCCCAGAGATGGCGCAGCACCCACGCCGTCCGCACACGCCGCCCACGGCTTCCCCAGACGCAGCGGTCAAGCCGCCCGCGTACACGCCGTATCTGGACTCCCCGCCGCCGTCGCACCACGGCTCGCCCATGGAATCGCCGCGGTCACAGCAGCAGCAGCGAGGCCTCGTGTTCCAGTTCTGCGATCCGGACTGCCAGGTCCTTGGACCGCGCCGGCCGTCGTTCTCCTCCACGTGCTCCGAAGACGGCGACGACGACGACGACCAAGACTACGGCGATAGAGATGCAGACGCAGACGCCCCAGCGCATCTCCCCCCCGGCACCCGCGAGCCGCCGCCCGCATACTCCGCCCTCCCGCCCCCGCACGCGCGCTGTCCAGACGCACGGTACCCGGCGGCCTGGGATATCGATGCCGAAGCAGCGCTGGAGCGCATCTTGGCCGACGACGTGCAGTTCGTGGTTGAGCGGACGGTGGCGATGGGGGTCGTGGTTGCGGTTTTGGTGCTCGGGGGGTTGGTTGTGGGGGTTGGTGTTTTTCGGAGTTGAAGGGTTGGAGGGGGATATGTCTTCAGGAGGAGGGGGGGATTCTTGGAGAGGCTGTATAGTCAAAAGGCAAGAAATGGGGTGATTGTGGAAGGAAGGAGGGCGTGCGGTTGGATACCTGAGACGCTGTATGGTTAGGTGATATGACTACTTGGGGGGAGGAGTGGTGTTTTGGATATGGGATGGGGACGTGTTGGATAGCATGTTTGTTTACGATACCTCTACAGCGACAATTTACAGCTTTACTTCACGCGTCTCGCCATGTTCACCTCCCTCCTTCTTTCTCCTTCGAATCCTGATCCTCTATAAACCAGGTTCCGGACTCAATTACACCACCCCTCGACCGCGCTCGCGACCACGCTAGCACCCCGCACCCGTCGGCATCAACCCCGCCGCCGCCATCATTCCTCACCAGCCTCGCGGCATCTCGCTCAGCACCAGTCTACCGTGCGCATCAACGCGAACAGGTTTCCGGACTAGCTCGCCAGCGCGGCAATCCGCGTCGCGGATTTCAAATGCGGTGCATTGTCCGCGGAAAAGGATTACACTGACAAACAAGCTCCGCATCCAACGCTTGCCTAGGCGCCGCTACCAGCGACGAGCCGCGAGCCGTTTCGAGACTACGCGGTGCGTGCAGATTGCCCGAGGTGTGGATTCTGCGGGGTCTACGTCTTGATAACCAAGGGGATTGGGGTGGAGGTGCAGGCTGGTAGGGAAAGGCTGGTATGTGTTGTGGAAAGCGAATGCGGGTTGTACGCTCGACGTTGGTGCAGTCGGGGTGTGTAAGCGTGAAGGATTTCGGCTGCATCTCTAGCGCGGACAACTAGCTACTGTACTATTCGGGGGACGGCCACTCTGCTTCGAGAGGTCCGCATCCGTTAGTGTCCGCGGGAACTACTCCAGCGAGACGGCGGAACCAGACGCGTGCCTGATGCAGACAAGACAGCGCGAGGCGCTGGTGCAAGACGCCCGAGCTATGTATGATGACACGGCTCCGCGGTCACGGTGACGAAACAGCACAATGCGTACGGGACGCATGCCGCAGCAGCCACTGTTTAATACTCGAGCAAGCCTGAGCACTCCCTCTCCCCTGCCTCTCGTGCGCACCACCCGACGCGGAAATGCCACACCAACTCCCCTGGCGCACACGCGTCACTGACCACCCTGGCTCGACCCCCGCCGCCATCGCCGCCGAGCCGGACTGGGCCGCGCTGCACGCGCACGACCACCGCATCGGCTTCCGCAGCAAGCACGGCGACCGGTTCCCGGGGCTGACGCACGGCGGCGACGAGCACGGGGAGGACGCGGGGGAGCTTTCCGGCGCGGCGAAGGCGGAGTACGAGAAGCTGAAGGAGAAGGCAGCGACGGGCGAGTTGGTGAATTGGAGGGATTTGGTCGAGGGCGAGCGGGACTTGAGTCTGAAGCAGCCCGGAAATAGGAGTGAGGGGTGGAGGTATGTGTTGGAGTTTACGGAGGATTGGGTGAGGGATGGGGAGGAGTGGCCTGCGAATGTGCAGAAGCGGCGGCAGGAAGAGGAGAAGCGGGTGAAAGAGCGGGGAGAGAAGGGTAAGAGTACGGATGGGAAAGAGGAGGAAGCGGAGAAGAGTCCGAATTCGAAAGGCGAGGATGAAGGAAATCAAGACGAAGAGAAGTGGAAGCGCGAAACTGGCCAGGATGGCAAGCACCACGATGCCTACGCAGCCAAAGCAGGCTCTGACTCGGGGTACTCCAGCGAAGGATCCCAACCCCACAAGACAGAATACGAAGAGCTGCGAGAACGCTACTCGCCCCAAGAAATCGCTCTCCTGCGAGCGCTCCAGCACGAAAAAGACTACATCACGACTCTCGAGCAAAACGACGGGAAGCGCAAGAGCCCGCAACACAACAACCTCACGACCGTCTCCATCGACGAGGCAGACCAGTTCTCGCCCGACAATTGGCTGCCCCGCTCGTCAGACTTAATTCGTTTGACGGGCAAGCACCCCCTGAATGCAGAAGCACATCTCACGCATCTCTTCGAAGCGGGCCTCATCACGCCGACGGAGCTGCATTACGTCCGCAACCACGGCGCTGTGCCGCGGCTGATGTGGGAGTTCCACGAACTGGATGTCGAGAACGGGGCGCTTGTGCTTTCCATGGACGACCTAAAGAGCAATTTCGACGCGATCAACATCCCTGTCGCGCTGGCGTGTGACGGAAATCGGCGCAAGGAACTGAACTTGGTTAAGAAGTCGAAGGGCTTCAATTGGGGCGCTGGCGCGGTCAGCTGTGCGTACTGGAAAGGACCGCTGCTGAGAGACGTGCTACTCGCGGCGGGAGTGGAGCACGAGACGTCCGGCGGGAAGCGGTACTGGGTCAACTTCGAGGGCGCGGATGAGCCGAGCGAGGGCAAGTATGCGACGTGCATTCCGTTTGATTACGCGATGGACCCGACGAACGATGTGATACTGGCGTACGAGATGAACGACACTCCGCTGCCTCCAGACCACGGGTATCCTGTTCGACTGATGATTCCGGGGTACGTCGGTGGGCGTTGTGTCAAGTGGCTCAAGCGCATCTGGATCTCGGAGAAGGAGAACGAGTCCTACTACCACATCTGGGACAACCGCGTACTGCCGTCTTTTGTCACAGAGAAGGACGGCGCGTTTGCAGAGACCTTGTTCAGCCACCCCAGCACAGCCTGCAACGAGCAGAACCTCAACTCGGTCATCGTCAAGCCGGCGCAGGGCGAGAAGATTCCACTTGCGTCCGCGAAGAAGGGCGAGACATATCGCATAGAGGGGTACGCGTACGACGGCGGAGGCCACGAAGTCCAGCGAGTCGAGGTCTCACTCGACGACGGAGAGACGTGGCTGTACTGCATTAGAAAGTTCCCCGACGCGCCGGTCCGCCACGGCAAGAAATTCTGGACGTGGCTGCACTGGCACGTCGACGTCGACTTTGCGCATCTCCTGCAGGCGAAGAGCATCACCGTGCGTTGCTTCAATGTGTTCAAGAACACGCAGCCTCAGCACGGGAATTGGAATATCATGGGCATGATGAACAACGGCTGGTACGTTGTCAAGCCGTTTGTTGTTCAGGACGATGACTCCGAGACTCCTTCCATCCTGTACAGGCACCCTGTCGAGCCAGGGACAGGTGATGGCGGCTGGATGAAGCCCAGTACTGAGAACCAAATTGCTACTGCCAAGCAGGAGGCTGGCGCGCCGTCGAAGCAGTTCACGAGGGAAGAGATTGAGAAGCATGCTACAGAGAACGATTGCTGGATTGTAGTCGACAACAAGGTCTACGATGCGACGAGCGTGTTGGAATGGCACCCGGGAGGCAAGGCGGCGGTGATGAGCCATGCTGGGAAGGTGCATGCCGAGACGAGCAATGAGTTTGAGAGCATTCACGATGGATATGCTTATCAAAAGCTCAAAGGCAAGTCAATCAACAGGAAAGACCAACATACACTGACTATTCGTAGAATGCATTCTCGGCACAGTCACCGACAAGGCTGCAGCGTTCATCAAGCAGAGCGCGGAGGCAGCGGCAAAAGAGAAAGCCCAATCATCACAAGACTCAGACAAGATTACGCTACAAAAGCACAGATGGGTCCCAGTAAAGTTGCTCGACCGCAAGTCCATCTCAGACGACACGCGAGCCTACACGTTCCAGCTCCCTGACGGCAAACCCGACCTCGGCCTCGGAACGTGCCAGCACGTCCAATTAGGCTTCCACATGAAAGACCGCATGCTAATCCGCTCTTACACGCCGACCAAGCCTCTCCTCCCCGACGCCCAGGCAAGCGACGACAAAACCCAATCGTTCCGCGACGGCAACGGCACCTTCGAGCTCACCGTCAAAACCTACTTCCCCACGTCTGAGCAGCCCGGCGGCGCCATGTCCAACATCCTCGACTGCATGCCGCTCGGCGAGTCGATCGAGATCCGCGGCCCGACCGGGGAGATTGAGTACAATGGCAACGGCGCCTTCACCATCTCAGGCAAGCAGTATACCTTCACCCGCATCAATCTCGTGCTCGGCGGCAGCGGCATCACGCCCGGCTACGCGCTACTGGCGCGCGCGATGCTTTCTGCAGATGACAAGACACAGATACGCGTCGTTGATGCTAATAAGAGCGAGAAGGATATCCTGCTCAAGGAGGCGCTGGATGGGTTCGAGAAGGAGAGTAAAGGTAGGCTGAAGATCACGCATGTCCTGAGCCATCCATCAGATGACTGGAAGGGCAAGAAGGGGCATGTGGATGCCGGTATTATGAGAGAGGCGCTGTTTGGGCCTGGCGAGGAGACGGGGGTTTTCTTGTGCGGCCCGCCGGCTATGGTTCAGAAGGCTGCGTTGCCGGCGTTGAGGGAGTGGGGGTTCAAGGAGGAGGAGAATGTGTTTGGGTTCTAGATGTCATGGAATGCATGTTGTTGTCCATGTTCAGCGGTCTTGCCTTTACCATCACTCCACTTGCCTGCCCTCTGCCGCCTCACTGACAAAACGAGAAGCAACGAATAAGCCCGCCCTCTCTCACCAGCGTGGAACACCAACTCACATCCGCTCCCCAACTCACTCCTCCACGACAGACACACCATTACTACCACAATGCCCACAGCCACGGCCACCCACCCCCGACCAGGCCTCGACATCCACCGCCGCCTCTTCCCCCCGACACCTCCTCCAACGCCACCACCCACCAGCCCCCCACCCCTCCCCCTCTCGACCCTTCGCATGCCCTCCCTCAGCGACATCCCCGAAGAGCGCACGCCGCGCACAACCTCTACCTCAGCCATGAAATCCCACGACGGCGCCTTCTCCGACACCGAAGCCCCGCGCCCGCGCTTCTCCGCCCTCAGACCCGGGTTCCGCGACGCCCCGCCCTTCGCCACATGGGCGCGCCGCTGCTGGCCCGACGTGCTGACGCAGCTCTTGTGCCTGCTGGTCGCGGAGCTGGTGTACCTGTTCGGCGCGCCGCTGATGCCGCGGGTGTTTCCGCTGTACGCGGGGGTCGAGCGGAGTGCGTGGGGGATTGCGCATGGGAGGGCCAGGCAGGCGGAGTATGTGAATACGCTGGTCAGCGCGGTGGTGTCGTTTGCGGTGCCGGCGGGGGTTATGGGCGCGGTGGGGCTGTGGCGGGTGAGAGCATTTTGGGAGAGCAATGCCGCGGTATGTTCGCCTGCGCTGCGTCGAGTGGTTGAGCGGTGTGGACTGATGATCACAGATGATGGGGCTGGGGTATGCGCTTGCGACGGCGACGCTGTTCCAGTCGTTCATCAAGTGGTTCGTGGGCGGCTTGCGGCCGCACTTCCTCGATGTGTGTCGTCCGCGCATTCCGCCGCATGTCAGTGGTGTCGGCGCGCCCGGCAACGCTATCTAGTACACGGCGGCTGTGTGCACCGGCGATGCAAAGGCGGTCAAAGAAGCGCAGATGTCGTTTCCCAGCGGGCACTCGAGCGCGGCGTTCGCGGGCTTTGGGTTTCTCGCGCTGTACCTCAACTCGAAACTGAATGTCGTCGGGCGGAAACCTGATCACGCCCGCGAGACTTTGGAGTCCGGGGACGAGGAGCGAAGTTCGGAGCGAGATGGGCGGGAGACAAGACACTGTAAATTGCTCGTGTGGGCGCTGCCGTGGTTGGTTGCGCTGCTGATCGCGGCGAGTAAGGTGCGCGATGGCTGGCATCATCCTGTCGATGTGCTGTTTGGTGCTATTGTGGGGACGTTGTTTGCGCATATGGCGTACCACTGTGTATTCAGGGGTGTGTATGACGGGAGGGTGAATCATTTGCCGCGGCACTGAGGAAGTGAGAGGTCAGTGAGGGGGGTATTGGACAGTCTGTATTCTTATCACGGGAATGCATTGGGTCAAGTGTTGCGTGTATGTGTTCCTTGTGGTTTACATTATTGTCTATACCGATCTTGTCACCCTTTTAGGTAGCTTTGATATCGGCCTATACTTGAAAGGTGCTCTCCATCGAACCCTCCCCTATCCACTTCTCGATGGCACCAGGCAGGTCGGTATCGTGGATTGCCATGTTCGCGAAGATTTTGAAGAGGCTGCCGGCGACTTCAAGTGTGATGATAGGTACTGGGGTAAGTTGGGTATTGGCCGATGATCTCCAAAAAAGCGACGCGGTTTGCCTTGACCTCGTTCAACACGTAGCCAGGGAAAGCGAACAGGCTTGGGAAGGTTGGTGCCCTTAATAGCGATCTGGCGTTCCTTGTGGAAAGCCTCGACTTCTTCATCTGATCGCGCAGCGACGGCGTCGTCCCTCTTGTAGAAGGACTTCTCGAATCTGGGCATGGTCTTAGGATCTGCTATCTGTCAGTCGAAGCCTTCATGCGAATCTTGAACGTACGTACTCTACTGCTGCTGCTTGAGACTAGAGCCAAGCTGGCCCATGCAATCGCCGCCACTGGTCGGCAAAAAGACGTTGAAGCAACTGGAAAAAAGAGCGATTTATCTTTGCAATAAGCTTAACCTGCATGTCTTTTTGCATTTTAGCCAATCGCAGTGGAGCTTTTGGTCCTGATACAAGACACCCATGGTCAACGGCTTTAAGCTTGGAGAGTTACTGTCAGCAACTATATAGGCACTGTGTCGATACCAATGTATTTACTAACATCGTGGACCTTTCATAGAAGGCGCAATCTAAAAACATACGCTGTTAGTCCATGCGAATTTTGACGCTACATAACCCAATTGCAACCTCTTTAATTTCCGCTCCTATCTCTAGCTAGCTTAGAGAATTGCACACCTAGAAAGACTAGTATTTCTACTAGGAAAGACTAATATTTCTAGCACTTAGATATAGTGCCTCTATACATTGTTCACCGACCATACCCTGGAGCTCTAGCAAGTGCGCAGAACGCTTCTGGCAAACTTGCACACTACTCTTGCTTAGTAATGCCTCGGATCTGCAACCTCAAGCATGATTCCTGGGTTCTACGTGTTTCCGGACGAATACCGGCTGGTCTGAGTTACGTCCGGTTGCGCCCGGCTAATTCCCCTCACAACTGACCCCACAAGATGCCCATGCAGTATATAAGTGGTGGGTTTGAAATGCACTTTGTTTACTAACTCGCATTTTCCACATATTCCACACTTTGGCGAGCAACGCTAAATCCAAGTACTAAAGCACAATGTCGAATCAGAAGAGAATCGGACTGATCGGATTGTCAGCCAAAGGGTAAGTGCATGTCGTCCACTAAGAGCACATCCTGATTGTAGCTCTAGCTCCTGGGCATCTCGATCCCATCTACCTTATCTTCAATCGACATCACTCTACAAAATCACTGCTCTTCAAAACAGCTCGAAGGCATCTGCTGAAGCTGCCGCGAAAGAATACTCTTTGAATGATGTAGCAAGATACGCAGAGCCCTCTGACATTGCTTCCGATTCCAACGTCGACATTGTAGCTGTTAGCGTCAATGTTCCCGAGCACTACGCCCTTACCAAGCCTGCTCTGGAAGCAGGTAAGGATGTGTTCGTCGAGTGGCCGCTGGCTCGAAATCTTGCTGAGGCCGAGGAGCTCACTCAATTGGCGAAAGAGAAGGGTGTCAGGACCATGATCGGCTTGCAGGCACGCCATAATCCATCTGTCATCAAGGCTAAAGAGATTGTGGAATCTGGAAAGCTCGGCAAGATCTTGATGAGTACCATGTATGGACATGGTGTGATCTTTGGCCCTACCGTACATGAGGGTTTTCTGTACGGTCTGCCGGTTGAGGCAGGCGCGAACTTGCTCACTGTACCTCTCGGCCATGCAATCGACGCGCTGTGCTACGTTCTGGGTGAGATGAAGAGTATCACAGCCACCCTCGCAAATCTTCTGCCTGAGCTCGACCTACTCGGCAAAGATGGCAAGCCAGCAGGCAAGGTCAAGAAGACCGCACACGATCACGTCAGCGTTACCGGAGAGCTGATCGATGGCGGTGGTGTTGTGAACGTCACATATGCTGGTGGATCCTCGCGTAGCAATCGCGATTTCATCTGGGAGATCGTGGGAACGGAAGGTACACTTGTACTTGAAGGCCCTAAGATGGGTGGGCATGTTCAGATGTTCCAGCCCACGATCAAGCTCGCAATGTCCACATCATCAGACAAGGGAGAACATCTTGAATCTGTCGAGGTTGAACAGGCAGCCGACTTTTCGTTCAACGTGGGTAAGGCATGGGATGCCTGGGCCGGTGTTGGGCTTGACAAAGGTCACAGCGTCACGACGTTCGAAGACGCCCTTTTGAGGCATAAGATGATCGATGCCATATACAGAAGTGCGGAAACAGGTGCAAAGCAGAACTATGTATAGGTATAGTAGTGTAGGATAAACGGCGGACTGCCTCGGGATGTGAGCCAAGAATTCCACGCAACAGCAAAGTAGGGAACTGCAAGAACACTCCATAGAATACTGTTTTGCCTGTAATATCAGCAACGTTTGAACAGGGTTTATCTTTAAGTATTATCATAGCTACAAGTTCTGTAGTGAAGTTAGTTGTCGTGAAGGTCGCTTATTCGCTGTAACCTAAGAGGTTTTGGTCGCCATCCTTACGCTAGCCTATCTTGTCACTAGAGTCTTCTCTACCTTTCTGTTACGTTATGAATCGCCGTGCAGGAAGTTTTAGTCAAGCTCTTTGTGTTCGCGCTGGCCCTTGTGATGTCAGAGTGCTGCGCACGATGCCTTGCAGTGCCTTCTTTGAGATATCTAAACCTTGCGGTTGAGCAGCTGAGCAGCGATGGATGTCGTCATATTCTTCAAAAGTCTGCCCTCCATATGTTAGATTCCACGATGTCTCTTTCAAATCCCCGGAATATTGACAAAGCTTGGAGCGCGAAGCTTTCAACCGCTAATTATTCGATATCCACTCCTCCCAAGCCAGTACTTGGAGGACCCACTTGCTCCGCGGAGTTCTGAATATCCATAAGGGCTTTGTGTAGTCGCTTCCATCCTACCGTCAGTGTCTTCTTACCCAGGCCTCGCATAACTGCCAAGAATGTCGAACCAAGGATTGGCACATTCATCAGAGCCCACAACTCCACGGTCATCCAAAGAAGAGACGGAAACTGAGGCATGGATACCGACGCATGGAAGCGGGCTTGTAACCGGAGAAACACTGGCACCAGCGGCCACAAATAAGACCATCCAGTTTACACCAAACGATCCAGAGAACCCTTTCAATTGGCCTGCGGCGAAGAAATATCGGGCCTGTATTCTTGCTTGCGCTATGACTTTCATTGTCCAGATCAACGGGACAATGATGACCAGCGCCGCTGAACAGATCAATGAAAGCTTCCACGTCAGTGACGAGGTTTTCCCACACTCATACTGGCCTGTGTTGAGTTGGAACCTGGGTGGTGCCGCTGCGCCCCTTGTGGGTTTGCCCCTGATGGAAAACTTTGGCGTACGGTACACGTATCTGGGGATCTATGCTATACTGATCATCTTCATCATACCGCAAGCTGTAGCTCAGAGTTTTGCCACTCTGATTGTTGTTCGTATCATCACAGGATCGTGCACAGCAACATTAGCGAACATTACTTCCGGCATTGTCAGCGATGTATGGTATGCTGGTCTCACAAAGAGTTTCTTCACATCAATGTACATCTTTGCGCTCCTGTCCGGGCTAAGCATGGGCCCCGTTTTCGGTAGTTTGGTCGTTCAGTACACTACCTGGCGTTGGTATGGCGATCTCTCTCGTACCATTGAGTATCTGAATGTCCCACTAACAACAAAATAGGATCTTCATCGGCCAGATCATCATTTACTCTGCTCTACTCCCAATTATTTTTTTATGCCTCCCTGAGGTCCGTCCTGACGTTATTCTGCACCAACGTGCTTCCAAGATCCGGCGCGAAACTGGTCTCGCCGTCCGTACCGCGCAAGAGAAGACGAAGACCAGTGTTTCTGAAATTCTCACTGAGACTCTCATTCGTCCCACACGGCTCTTGTTCACCGAAGGCGTGCTCATCAGTTTGGGCATGTGGTCAGCCTTTGTCATCGGGATCGCATTCATGTTCACGCAGAGCATCATGCAAGTCTATTCAGGCCTGTATGGGTGGACATTTTTCGGAACAGGGATGGTGCAGAGCGCAATCGTGGTCGGAGAGCTGGCAGGTGTGTTCGCACAGTTAATGCAGGACAGGGTTTACTTCGCCTCTGCGAAACGGAACACCGAGAATCCTGGTCACCCACTTCCGGAAGCAAGGCTGTATCTCAGTATCCCGGCATCATTTATTGGACTTACTGGGGGCTTGTTCTTTTTCGCTTGGACCAGCTTCTCGACCATACCATGGATCGTGCCTTCGATCGCGCTAGGCTTTGTTGGATTCGGCATGTTCCTATGTACCACTGCTTTGACGACATACATTGTCGATGCGTACGCAAAGTATGCTGCTAGCGCAGTTGCTGGCGTGGCTTTTCTAGAGAACTTCATGGCCGCGTTCTTGCCACTAGCTACGCAGAGTATGTATCGATCACTTGGCTTCAATTGGGCGAGCAGTCTTCTAGGCTTTATTGCATTGATACTTAGCTGTATACCTGTGGTCTTGATCAGGTACGGGAGAAAGCTCAGGGAAAAAAGTCCTTTCATGGAGGTAGCTGGTCACAATAAAGACTGATCATGGATTTCACTACGTGACTATGACTAGTAGATCGAGAAATGGGGATACTAGTAACGCGTGATCATGGCGATTGATTGAACGAACTTTGATCACCAGCAGTAGGAAAGATTTAAGGTATACAGGAAAGCAAAACATGTCTTTGAAGACAAGTGCCCTGCTGTTGTTTCCAAGTTCCTTACTCCAATCGTTCCATGATGGTCACTCGGGTTGGCAAAGCTGTAGATTGTTCACTCACATCGTCACCATGTCTACCGCCTTGCGGGCGATAACGTGCGGAGTAGTTCAAATGTAATCGCTACTGATTAGTAAAACGATGTTGCGAGGAGCAGTTTTATGGGCTTGGAGAGTTACTATCAGCAACTGAAATTGTGATTGTGTTCGTTAGAGAGATGGAGCTTCGCCCTTACATCTCAGTCTTTATGGTCGTAAACTACTTGGTATCATATGTCTCCTTCATGCGCTTAAACCTTGCGCTCAACAGTGTGCTCCTGGCCTTGAACCTTGGCATCGGAGTTCTCCATCTCGATGGTAGCAGCCTTTTCGCCCGACTGGTCAAGAACCTCGGAAAGACCACCCGATCCGGCGGTAAGAGCGGCACCCTTACGACCAATGATATACCAGGGCAGATTGAACATCTCGTCGAGAGCCTCCAAACTGCGTCCAGACGTCTCGGGAAGGAAGAACCAGACCCAGACAAGACCAATAGCGGTGACGCAGCTAAAGAACATCATGGTGCCACCAGTGGTCATGGACAAGAACATGAGCGGGACAGCCTTGGAGTTTCCATACTGGTTGACGAAATGGAAGGTCATGGCGAAGGATCCGCCCAAGGCTCGTAGACGGAGCGGGTAAATCTCGGAGTTGATCAGATACTGGATCGAGTTCCAACCAAGAGCCCATCCAAAACCGCTGAAGTATATCATGACAATAGCACCCATAGCAGCGTGCTTCTGGCTCGAGGTCTGGGGCACAGTCTTATCGGAGATCTTGTTGTCGACCAGGAGGAAGATAGCCATGTACAGCATCGCGAAAAACTGGATAGTGATACCGGTGGAGAGAGAGCGTTTGCGGCCGATAAAGTCGATGAGAAAGAAAGCGCAGAGCAGAGATGATACGAGCCTGATCGATGTTAGTTTCTCCTTTTGGGGTAAGTTTTGGTCGGGGGGGGGGGGGGGGGGGGGGGGGGGTGAAGGTGAGGACGACGACAAGTGCTAGGGCTAGGGCTACGAGGGCTAGGGCTACGAACTTGACTACTCCGAAGACTGCCGTAGCAAATAACTTCTCGTTTTGACCAGTTGTACCCATCATGGCAAAGTACTGCCGCGTTCATTAGCTAAATTTCTCGTTTTTGGGAAGAAAACGTACCTGGGGCGCGTAAATCGTAATAGAATTGGCACCCGACCACTGTCCCAGTAGCTGTGACATGACAGAGAGCTGAAGGCGATAAAGATTGGCCTTGTTGGAAAACATTTCTCTGATAGGGCCAAGCCAGGATGTGCCCATTGTAGCCTCACGTTCGCGGTTAAGCTGATCGTTGATGTCGATGATCTCGGTCTGGATGTATGGGTGATCATCAGGCAGCTGGCGGAGCTGGGAGAGATTCTTGAGCGCCTCCTCGTGACGGCCGACCTTGATGAGCCATCGAGGGCTCTCTTTGGCTCCGAAGGAAAGAAGAAAGATGATACCAGCAAACATCAAGTGCATGCTGTTGGGTACGAGCCACTGTGTGTCGGTCTTACTCGAGATGTGGATTGAGGAACCCCATGAGGCGAAGTATGCCAGCATGATTCCAAGGTAGACCGAGCCGGAGAAAGCGCACACACAAAGACCACGGATGGCTCGAGGAGCAGTCTCAGCCAGGTATGTAGGTGCAACAACAGTAGTCTGGCCGATGCCAACACCGGCAATAAAGCGCCCAGCGTAAACCATACCGATGCTTCCAGTCGCGCTACTGGCAAGGAAGATGGAGATGCCGATGACCCAAATAAGGCAGAGCTGTCGTGTCGCCCAGAGACGACCAATCCGATCCGTAACAACGAAAGCAACTAGAGCACCGAGAATGGAGCCCATCTGTACCATGGAGGTGATGTTTGACAGAAGCTCAGCCTTCTCGTGCGCAGACTTGTTGTGATCCTCGAGACCGAATTTCTTCTGGAAGGGCACCAGCTCAGCGGTGGTACCAATAAGGCCTTCATCGATACCACGGGCAGCGCCCATCAAACCAAACACTGTGCAAGCTTAGAAGGATAACCCGATCAGTCTTTCGAAGGAACTTACCAAGCACACCATACCATAGACGCCAATTGAGTGACTCCTTCGGAGTATCTTTCAAGTTCTCCTTCCATGGGTTCTGTAGCTTGAAAGGCATCTTGAACAGACTGTTGAGGTTCAGTGCAATAGTTGAGCGAACCACAGGCTGAGTAGTCGATACAATCGGCCAGACAGGAAGCGGATGAAAGTGGTCTCAAATGGGAGGCGGCTGCTTCTTATATCGTGAGCCAGACTGTGGGGTGCTAATGCGGAGACATCTCAACTGTGTGGGCGGCAGTTGGCTTTCCCCAGCCAGACCCTGGTCCAAGTAGCGAGATACCCCATCAGTCCGATGTGGGTCTTCTCCAGAAACCCATTTCAACCGCTCGTCGGCCTCCCCAGAGCCCTAGTATACGCTAAACTGGGTAGTCTGTCCGATACGGTAGCGCAAGCATGTTTCTATGGAAGGTCTTCCTGTGCGCGGCCGTCAACACTGGCTCAAGCGCGTATCTCGAAAAAGACGCGGCGGGAGTTATGGAATGGCGCTGACGAGAACATAGCGTCCGTAACTTTTTCGTAACGATCGTTACGGGTGCACATGGTGGCGGCCGGCCTATAAGACGCACATGAGGCTTACAAGATTTACGTCTGCGTGCGAGATGATCAGACGCCGCTGAGCAAAAGCCGACACTTGAGTGGCCGCATGTAACCTTGTCGTCGGAGGGTGCTGCGAACAAGGTTACATGCCTAGCCGCTGCCAGTGCGTGGCGTGGTGCTTCGCATCCTTGGGCGGGGAAGCTTTTCTTGACTCGTAGAGCTTAGCATCGGAGTGCCCACCCAATGACAATGAATCGACCCTGTCCTCTCAACATCGGTGGTGGGTCGACGCACCACGCTACTGGATAATTACACCCTGCATAAACCCCGATCGTTTCTGATGCGGCGGTTCTAGCCAGAGATTGCCAATGTGCGCGTGGGGAGGGACCCCCGACAATCTACCGCGGAGCTACCGTCATGAACGGGAGGCCCAGCCCCATACCCATCCCCTCGTCACGAGGTAGGTCCGACGTAAGCTCACAGAAAGTGTACGCAGTAGGAACTCCGATCCTAATTTTCGGCTACAAACGTGACCTCGGCGCAGTTGGCGAAATCAGGATGCATGCGGCTCTAACTCATTGAGCATCCGCGTTCAGGGCTGCCGGCGACCATAAGCGGTATCCCGTCCTTCAGGCGCTTCCCCGTATCGGGGTCCTCGACTTCGTCTTAAAAGAAGACACGGTCGGTACCAGACACCCGATCGACCCCAACGACACGCTTGTACTGGGAGTCTATCCGCTCTGTACGAATTCGCAATGCTCATGAATAGGGCTGGTTTGATGGCGACTGTATGTGGTCCGCGGAGTTCGTAACGTGTCCTGCGAACCCACGGCCGGAGACGACAATGGCGATAGCGGAGGCTTTGGGTCCACTCATCGGCACCATGACACTCTCCAGTGCCTTGGCCATGCTTAACAAGCGCCCAGTCGCCAGGACTCTTCTCTCCTCCTTGCAAAGCTTTGTAAATCTTGCCCCAAGCTAGTGATGGCGCCATATCCACAATCAAGGGCCTCCATTTTCCCACTGGGTTGCCACAAGCATCTATGAGTTCGGGGTTGCCTCTCCTCACCGATAGAGCGGGCTGGGATCGTATGAAGGCGAGACTCATCGTGCGCGCGTCTCGTGCAGCAAGCATCATCTATGCAGACGTGCTTGACTTATACCATACTATTTCCAACTTTTCTACTATGATACTGAGCGCTGCAATCATGGGAAGGCGAAGCCACTGTGCCCATCGACTTGGGCAACTGCTGATCCATGGATATTGCTCGGCACAACGTCGGAGTCGCGGCTAGGTACTGATGCGAGGCATGTAACTAGGCATGAGTACATATGTACCTAGGAATCCATCTGCTGTGCCCAGACGTTAGTGTTCGTACAAAGCATCAGGCCATCTCAGACCGCTCACCTTCCGTAAGTATCCACACCACGGAGGTCAGCTTTCACCAAGCAATTAGCGGCGATGACTGCATTATCTTTCAATACCTAGGTCCTACGTTCTTGAACGAGAAGATGCTCAACAAATAATCTCACATCGTCTGCATGAGCGCTGGAGGCCATTGAGTTGAAAGTCGACCACGGTAGCGTGGAAAAATCTCGGGTCCGTGCTGGTATGTATATCAGAGTCTACCTAGTTTTGTAACAATGAAGGTTGCTGGTATAACGACAAACTGTTGTGGATTACTACCTACCACGACAAGGGATTGAATGAATAGTTTCTATATACGAACAAGATACGAGCTTAGGTGACATGATTACATGACCCTGCTGACCAGAGCTAGGTCGTATTAAGCCACGCACTTGAGCCGAGGTGTACGCGTCCGCGATTCCGGTTTTCTTGAAACTTCGTCTTTGGCACAATGATGCATTAATTATCAATCGCACTCATCAGGCAGCATATACGATTCTCTTCAATTGCTTTGGCCGACCTCTGGAAAGTATTACTCCGCCTCTTACCGTGACGTGCCATGTCTGTGCCACTAAGCCTTTCTGAGCGCGAAATGCGAAATTCGAATGCGAAAGGTTCGAAAAGCGATGCCTGATCGCGAGCTGATTTGTATGGCTTCATGTTGCGTAGTAAGAGGCATTTAATCCTGCGTCGATTCCCTACGCATCCACAGGCACTGTACCGACTCTCATCTTACAGCAATCTGCTAGTTCTGAAATGGCAAGCACCTTACAAGCTGCTGCTTTTCTATCTGGTGTCATTTCACATCTGTTGCTCTTTTCGCGTGGTGAATGGGATCGACATGCTCCGAAAGTTCTGTTTGCTTACATTCTGCTAAGTATCTCCATCCTCATCGCTCTTGTCACAAGTGTCAATTGCTCCCTTGGACAATGTCTTCTTGACACATGTCTAATCTGCTCTGCTCTGGCCAGTGGCATCTTCACGTCCATACCTTGTTATCGCCTTCTGTTCCATCCTTTACGATCTTTCCCTGGGCCACTAGCTGCGCGCGTATCCTCTTTCTGGGCCTTTCGGGAGCAATGGCCAAAACTGAGGTTATACGTTAAGATTCGGGAGATTCATGATCAGTACGGCGACTTCGTGCGTATACGTACGAGCATGTGCAACAGTTAGCATGGCAGCTGCTGATCTATCTACAGGGCCTAGGGAGGTGTCCATATGCCACCCAGATGCAATTAACGACGTCCACGGGCCACGAAACAAAATTCGCAAAGGCGAGTTCTACGATCAGATTCATCCTGCACATAATCTACAGTTCACTCGCGACTCAAATCAGCATAAGCATCGGCGCAGATATTGGGACAAGGCGTTTCAAACCAGTGGTAAGTACCATCGATGTGTTATCATAGCTCATGGCTGACGCCTTTTTCAGCCCTTCAACAGTATTCACCGCGCATTTCGAAGCACTACAGGCGGTTTCTGAGCATCTTCTCTCATAATGCTACTTCCAATGTTTCTGTCGACGCCAGCAAGCTCCTCTTAGACCTTTTCTTCGATGTGGTGTCAGACTTGACATTTGGGGAGTCTTTCGACACATTGACGACAGGCAAACGGAACCCGATCATCGAGGAATTCTTACAAAATCAGAAAATCCTAGGTTTTGTTATATTAAATATGTGGGTTTTCCACTTGATCAGAAGCATACCCATGGTCGCAACACGTATTCTCTACATGACGCAATGGTATGCGAGCGCTGTACTCAAACGGAAAGAGGTACGTAGGAGGTCGTCACGCAAGCGTCAGTGGTATGCGAATGCTTTGAAGGAGAGAAGAAAGGTACATTGACTTCCCATGGGCAATTTGAACTAACTCCAGAAGAAGAAAAATATTTCGCCAGATCTCTACACACATCTATCGCAATCTGATTCGTTCGAAGTCAATAGCGTTCATGAGGCTCAGCTTGCAGTCATTGCTGGTGCCGACACTAACGCCATCACTGTTTCTAATGTCTTTTTTCTCCTCTGTCGACACCCAGAATATCAACACATACTCTTCGAAGAAATATCTGGACTACCTTCTCACGAGGATATAATCGAAGATAGCCACTTGTTGAATAAACCTATCATATTGGGTATCATCAACGAAACCTTAAGGCTCTACCCACCAGTGCCTGGGGGTCTTCAGCGCGTGACGCCACCAGAAGGCGCAATTATCGCTGGTCGTTACATACCTGGCGATACAATAGTCTCAACCCCTACCTATGCGCTCCACCGAGGTATGGCCATCCTCTGCTCGGTTTGTTGATATGCTCATTTCAACAGATCCTCGTGCATTCATCCGACCCAACGAATTTGTGCCTGAACGATGGACTTCCCAACCGGATCTTGTCGTTCGTAGGGATGCATTTGTTCCCTTTTCCTATGGCACTTACAACTGCGCTGGGAAGCCTTTGGCGATGATGCAGCTGCGCATGGTCATTGCCATGGTCGTAAGAAAGTTCGAGCTTTCGTTTGCGCCTGGCAAAAAGCGGGAGTGCGAACGCTTCATCGAGGATCAGGCCGACTGCTTTACACTGCACCTTCATCCTCTACCACTTCTGCTGAAGGAAAGAACCCACTGACTTTGACCCGCAAATATTCTTCCACTTTTAAGTAAGCTGCATCCACTTTATCCTAGTCATGCACAAACTACGTGCTTATAGCCCATACCTGCCAGAATAGGTAATCGTAGCTCACCTACACATGCGGGCAGTTGCACTTCTCTCCTTCAATCCTGCCGCTTCAATTTATTCAATGTCTTGTCTCTTGGAACCCGATTTACACCCCATCTCCAAACACAGCCCTTTCGCACCACATTTGACAGCAAAGTCAGCATCTTAAATAACACATTTACGGAAGTAGTAGTCTCCCGATCGTACACTAAGTACCGTGTGTATTCGACATTTCACTTGCGCTCAAGCTCGTCGTTTGCCTCCAATCTCACTTCGACGAACGCTGCACCTCTCACCTTCACTTTGTACGAATCGGTCCAAGCTCGATACAAGATTTTTACCCTTGCCTCGATCTGCTTATCGTCGCCAGGATCGTTCTGCGATATCCTTACTCTGTTCCTACCACGCACAACTTGCTTCGTGTCTCTAGCTATATTGATCGCCGCCATGCCACCCAGAAAGCAGAAGGCCATTGCGCCGAGAGAGCATGTCTACAAGCCTATTCGACCACGAAAATCGCAATTCGTCGCGCCGCCCCCGGAACCGATAGCAAAGAGTCTCACACTCAAGCTCAAGCTGAATTCGAACGCTCACAAGATTCCTCAATCGCCTGTTCCAACGTCGCCTGTAGAAGATGGTGCAAAGGAGAACGGGTTCCAACATGGCATACAATCCGGGATGAATGAACAGGGCATGAGGCGTGGTGAAAGGCAGAGAACGAAGTTGTATCAGCCTGACATGGTGTTTGGGAGTGAGATGGACAACCTCATCACATCGTCTGCTACAGAGGGCAAGATGGACGACATGGATGCAGAGCATACCTTGGTCAGCTCTCCAAGTAAGCGCAACACAGAAAACATAATTGAAAGCATCATAGCTAATAGGAAGCAGCTACTGTCATCAGCATGCATGCGCCTGCACGCTTCGACTCGCCCGCGACCATTCAGTGCACTAACTCTCCGCCACCACGCTATACCGGCCCTGTGTCCCAAGACGTCTACGATATCCTCAGTACACTCCAGGCCTCGACTAAGATTCAGGTAGACTTGCCAAATATAATGGCCTCAGACAACTCCGATATAGCTAAACCCTACACCGCCGCCCTCCTGGTCGAACTCTATGTTCAGTGTTACAACAATCAACTTTGGCACTTCTGCGACCTTGTTGCTGACACATGGATCCGTGCGCTACAGACTGCGAACAGGGACACACAGAAGAGCAAGAATGTACAAGATCACTTGTGGAGGAAGAATGTGGCTCTAGAGAGGGCGTTTGCGGAACAGAAAAAGGGCTTCAAACAAGATGTATTCGAGTTTGGACTGGACATCGAAGATCCTGACATGGCTGATGACGTTGCAGAAATCAGACCTCAGCAGTTGCGTGCCCTGTATGCACAGACTGGCCCAAAGTGCGGAGCTAGGTTGCTATGGGCTGATGCCATGGCACTATGTGGAAAGAAGATGGAGCACGAGATTGTGAGGCAACCAGAGGCTTGGCCGGCAGAATCTTTCTTCGAGGTCATGTGCACCAGCTTGCGTATGGTTGGCAGAAACCTTACGCTCAAGATTGAGGAGACGTACGAGGGTGCATGGTGCAGGTATCATGAGCACTCGAAGCATGGACAGCCATGTTACCGCAAAGAGGCTTGGATGCAAAAAGAAGCCTGTCCAGAAGAAGAAGAGTATGCCGGTAATGCGACAGAGACAGAGGCGATTAGGAGCACGAGCAAGAGTGAGAAGCGAGCTGCGGCCGTCCGTGGGAACGAGCACGGCGATGCAAAGCGTGTCCGGTTCGATGCTAGTAGTGCTGAGGTAGAGGTCATTGATTTTGGTGACATTGATGCTGAGGGAGAATCGGAAGAGGACAGCTAGTAACGCATGAAGAGAAAAGCCAACACCTGCTAGCGAGCGTTACGATTACTCACTGTGCGCAACCCATTACAGTTGCGTCTAGGCTCGCTTTAGTTCAGTTAGATTACAGAATGCTCAAAACACATATTACATACAAAGACATTTCATTCGTGAGTCATAGAATCTGAAAATAGAACAGCAGTCCATCTCATCAAAATCGGGTCTCTCCGCTACGCCGAAGACGCTGTAAGGTATGGACATTAATGCTTGAAGGCCGCGGGGAACCGGATCTCTCTTGCCGTACGTGTTCAGACCACGAGTAGCGCGGAGCAGACGCGACAGTGGTGTTGTCGTCAACGGCTGTCTCGGCTTCAGAGGTGTTTGGACTGATGCTGAGTGTGTGCGCTCGCATCGGGTAAAGCCCGTCGAAAAGACCATAGTGACTTCCCACTCCGAGAATGTCAGTAGGCAGCCTTTGTCTTAGATTTCCTTCCTCGTGCTGTGGGGTCCGTATCGTGTAAGTCGCGTCAATAGACGTCCCCACAGGAACCGTGACGTGGGAATTTCTTGCTTGTGCGGCCCATTCTGCAAACTCAGTGCACTTTGCCCGCACCCAGATGACTTTCTCTTCCTCAGTCAAAGCACCCAGATTTGTCGAATCTCTGGCTAATGTTGCGAGAAAGTGTGCGGCTGTAGTACTTGGTAGAGGGGATTCAAAAAAGCGACCAGACTCTTGACTTGGCTGCCCCTGCATTGTCTCTTGCTGAATGAACTCCTCTGGTGTGACGGTGATAGGTTCACAATTGGTGTTCAGCATTCCCTCTCTTGAATTCCCTGTTTTAACAGGGTGTTTACCCAAACGATTGGAAGAAATTTTGGACGGTTTGGTAATGCCAAACCTGCGACTCAAATTTGCTCGATGGAGTGCAGGGAATCGCAAACCTAGATTCTCCTTGAGATGTGCAATATATCTCCCTGTATGAATCCCGTATCTTTGGGTGTTACCTGGCTGTACTGAGAGGGCCGTGGGCGATCCTACTAGTACTTGAGGTTGCAGGATAGTATCTTCCGCAATATGGCCAAAAGAATCAACCGCTCCAGGGTCGTCAAGCGAGGTAACATGGTAGGATTGCTGACGAGACGGAACAGCTGGTGTCGGTAGCTCAGCAATACCCGCTAGGACTGGAGAGAGTGCTGCAACAGCCGTGGCTGATCGAATCATGTTGATCAGTGAGTATCGAACATGGACCGCCGTAGGATTTGGTGGAACGGAATCAACGGAAAGCAAGGAGAGTTGAGTTTGATTGCGGCCCCCAAATGTAAGCCATTTCTCTCTGCATCTTTCACACCTAACGTGAGTGGTACCATTGGGGCTACGGGAGATGTTGATTTGAACTCTTGCGGAGCTGTGGTGGTGGTGGCACTTCGAGCAGTTACCGTGTACATCCAGAGTCCAAAGTCCAGGTGGGAGCGGCGAGTATGCATCGCTACTATATGACGAAGAAGATTCGCGTCGGGACCGGCTGCTGGATCTCATTGAGGCAAGAGGCTTCGGGACGACATCTGACCTGGCCATGCTGGTGGCAAATCAGCCTGATCCGGTGGTCTGCTCAAGATTGTTGGTCGAGATAGCGATGTACGTGCTGACAACCAATCAGGTGTATTGCTCGAAGCGGTGAGGAACTGACCTGGTATATGTGCGCCACAACAGGCTGAACAAGAAAAGGACAAGGCTTTGCGCTGAGGCAGCGAAGGCGCAGCCGTGCGAGCACCGAGAAATATAAGCCCATGCGGCTCTGCTGCGTGAACACAGTAACACATTTGCGTGTGCATGAATTCGATATCGATGGAAGCGTTGTAAGTCCGCAGTCACTTGTTGGGGCTGTATTAGTGGCGAAGTGCATGTCGACGAGCTTCGCCTCCACCATTTGACGATGGTGGCACTGAAGGCGGAAGGCCTGACACGAGCCTCACAAAAATCAAAGAAACTTTGCTTGAACAGGCACAATACGATTTTGAGTAGACAGAGTACTTATACTGAACTCATCTCGAGTTCAGCAAACGTGGTGAAGTAACCATTATGTATTTGTCTTGCCTGGTCAAAACGCACAGGAAACGACACAAATTGGAAGTAGAAGCATGTGCGTATCAGAGCTACGTCACAGGTGTCACAAACAGAAGTTGTTCAGGGGCCAGGCAGACACACTGCGGTGCCGACCGCAGCAGGCAAGATGCACCGCCGCCCAAGATTCAGGATTTTTGCAATACGCCTCACACTTCGAAGTTGGGATATGAAGCTCTTTCCATCAACGTTGTGTCGGGCTGATTGACTGCAATGGGCGCAACACCGTGAGCTTTTGAGTACATACCAATGCATGCATGTCGAGAGTGAACGATTCCTTGTTTCTTGCATTGATGCTTATGTTCTGTTATCAAAATGCGCGCTTACGGCAGTGCTCAGTGTAATTGAACCAAAGCATGTCCACCCTCGATAAAACATATAGCCAGTATACAATCTGGGCGTCGGAGGAAGATTCAAGCAACACCTCTACGACTCCCAAAAGTCGCCAGCCAACCACCTATTAACCATCTCAAGGGATGCCTCAGGCTGGTCATAGGGGACCATATGACCACCGGCGTGGAGCCTTAAGAAGGTGAAGTTGCCACTCGACTTGACTTCACCAACCTTCTTGCCATCACCGTCAATTTTGAAGTCCTTCATCTCGGCCTTCTTGTACTCCTTCTGACCAGGCCACTCAAGAGCCTCAGTCCAGGCCTTATTACCAAGCCAGTTGCAAATATAGTCGGCATCTCCGGCATAGACGAGGACGGGGATCTCTTTGAGAATACCGGGAACCACGCGGTGGAAAGGCTTCATCCAATCGCCACCAAGGAGGAAGTTGCGGTTGATATCAAAGTTGCAGGACTCGTAGTTGCTGACCTCAGCTCCGACGGCCTTCATGACCTCCTTCTTGTTGAGGAACCCTTGTATCCAGTCAAGCTCGTCATAGCAAAGGCTATTGCTGCCACAAGGCTTGCGGACATCGTAGACGTTCTGACCAGTACGCTGGTAAGGGCCAATCATGGCATTGTTGCAGTAGATAGAAGCAGGCACACAGCTCCAGACAGACTCGGAGTTGTAGCAATTCTCGATCAGACTGAGGCAGCGCGGAAGAGCATTATCCATAGACTTGCAAGCGCTCTCGTCCAAAACGGCGGGCCAGCCACCCTCGCCACAGGCCATGGGACGGTATTCAGGGTACTGAGTGAGACCGTCTGTAAGACCATTGCCGATCAAAACAGACTGGAGGTTGATATTACGCTTCTTGTGGGACAAGATCTCTGAGGCAAAGACTGGGATGTAGTGACCAGCGTACGACTCGCCCGAAATGTGGAAGCTCTGCTCCGAGTACTCAGGGAACTGCTTGAAGAAGAGAGTGAGCAAGGCGTAAACGTCCTTGCCGGCGGCAACTGTGTTGCTGACAGAGCCACCGGAGTATGAGTAACCAACGTTGACAGGCTGGTCGAGGAAGATGACGGATGCGTTGCTATTCCACGAATAGTCATTGTGCTTAATCTTCTGGTCCTTGGTGATGGAGGCGGGACCAAGCTCCATGAAGAGGCCTGTCAAGCTCGAGCATCCAGGTCCGCCGTTGAGCCAGAGCACCACGGGGTCGTTCTTGGGGTCGTTACGCGACTCGAAGAACCCTGAGAGACAATTAGCGATTGTGGCAAATGGGTGTCCATCAAGGTACTACTTACAATAGAACAGGTGCTTGTCCTCCTCATCGTCGTCAAGGTAGCCGCTGTACTGCTTGACCTTGTCGACACCGAGAACGCTTGGGTCGACGTGCTTTGCACGCAGGCTGTAGTTCTCGAGCTTGCCATCAACTTCGCGCTCCTTCTCCCCATTCTCGTTCTCAACCCAGATGCTTTGAACGTCGGCACCCTTGACGACGTAGTCCCACTCAGAGTCGTGCTTGCGGGTGTGTGGTTTGGGGTTAGAGAAGAAGGCGGCCTTCTCCATTTGCTCGGGGAACATCATGGCAACCTCATCCCAGATAGCGCGTGCTTCTCCGGTGAGCGACTTGAGACTCTCCTCGAGATTATGCAGTGGCTTTGTCCACGAGCTGGTGTCAAAGCCCTTGAAAGACTCGGGGGCCTTGAGCACCTGCTGCTGCGGGATTGTAGCGGATGCTGCTCCAAAGAGCAGTGCCGAGGTAGCTACCTTCATGGCGGCGTACAACGGAGCTTCCGGAGCTCACGATGGCTTAGTGGTAGGCAAGAGATGACCAATGAACCGAATCAACGGAAATCAAGTATGGGGAAATGGAAGTAGGTTAGACAATGGGTGGGGAGGATGAGGTACGAGAGATGGAGAACGGAGTGATGGGAGCTCGGTGACCAGGCAGCCTCCAGCCACCTCAATGACGAAGCTTGGCTTATCAGCTGGCGGGCTAGTCCGAGCGCGGACAGCTCACGAGGCCGAACCATTAGCGTTTCATGATGGACCGGCGGTTATGGAAGCTCTCCCGAACGCCTCACTGTTGCACATCGAGGCATCCTCGTCGAGCATGTGATGCCGGAGCTTGGAGCTTGGAGCTTGGAGCTTGCATTCCTGCTGCAGCGTCCCGTCCCTTGCCCGTGAAGCCTGAGATTTGGGGCGTTCCTGCATGATTGCCTAAACGGGCTTAGCGCATCTCTCTCAGGATGAGCCAGAACGATGTCATACATCCCCGCGCTACCAGCTGCGCAACTTTTATATCGGCGCCTCAACACCATCGTGCACCTCCAAAAGTAGTGAACAAAAGCGCACAAGATGCCTATCAATCAGCCGTCAAATCAAATTAAGCTAACCAACGTTTCGTTGGTGCGCATGAAGAAGGGTCAGCAAATTCTCTCACCAAAACTTTTTCTGCGCGTGCAGTCGCTGACACTGTGCAGGCAAGAAGCGGTTCGAAATCGCATGCTACAAGAACAAGGTCCTCGAGTGGCGCAATAAGATCGAAAAAGATCTCTCCAATGTCCTCCAGATCGAGAACGTCTTTCTCAACGTGAGCAAGGGCCAGGCGGCGCCAAAGGCCGACCTTGACAAGGCGTTTGGCAAGAAGCCCATGGAAGAGATTATCCTCGAGATACTAGACCATGGTGAATTACAGGTCGGAGAGAAGGAGCGTGGTGCCGAACTCGAGCGGACGAAGAACGAAGTCATCGACATCGTCGCCGGCAAGCTGGTCGACCCCAGGACAAAGCGAGTCTACACCACAGGCATGATCGAGAAGGCGTTGGATCAGTTGAGTTCGCAAGCACAGGCGCAACAACAGGAACATAAGGCGGGGACCGAGACGCCAGACGGCGAAGAGAAGGCCAAGGCCACAGCACTGCCCAAATGGAGTGGGATTGTCACCACGAAATCTGCTAAATCGCAGGCTCTATTCGCCATGAAGGCTCTTATTGCCCATCAGCCAATCCCAGTTGCACGGATGCAGATGAAGCTGCGGGTTAGCTGCCCCACCTCGGTGCTTAAGCAGGCCGTGAAAAGCGCACCGAAGGCACAAACAGACGGTGAGGAGAAGTCGGCTACCGGGACAGTCAAGGACACAATACTGGCATTTATGGAGAGGATTGAGAGCCAGGACACCATGGGCGCCGAGTGGGAGGCTGTCGGTCTAGTCGAGCCTGGCGCGTTCAAGAGCCTGAACGAGTTTATCGAGAGCCAGACAAAAGGAAGGGGAAATGTTGAGGTCATGGAGATGGCTGTCGGTGCTGATGATTGAGTGGTGACACGTCAAGAGGCGTGCTTCGCGCATATGCTGTCAGTCGCCTCATCTGCATTGTGCCTGAACGCCCGAAAACCCTCATCCCCAGGGCATCGAATCAAACCCAGCTTCATCTGGGCGCGTAGGTCTGCCTGTTTTCCATCTACCGGCCCGATCCGCTCACTACAGCACCCAACGAGGATGACCGACCCGGACACAGGGCTTTCCGGCAGTCCTGGGCCGCCGGACAGGAATCGGGCCTCGACATCCTTCGCATAGTCGGATCTCAAGATCAGCGTCAGTCGGAAATCTCACGGACTATTGGTGGCATCACACTGCGATACGCGAGGTAGGCAAATACTTCCAATACACGGCATCTCAACATGCACTTTCTCTGCAGTTACTTCCATTTCCTTGTGCTTGCATGCTTAATGAGCGATTTTCGATACAGAAAGGGATTTCTCAACTCTGAAAAGGATATCTCACCGTTGTGCGTCTTCCATGCGCTGGCGCCAGTTATCTGCTAGTTGGCGAATAACATTCGAGCCCGCATGCATGATCAGCCCCTGCTCACCACGTCACTCCAGCAACTCCGCGACTTCATCACGGTACCTCGTGGTCGCCTGAGTTCCCGAATCTTCCAGTGCAGTTAGTCTGTTGAGACCTTCTGCGGCATCGCGATGTCTCACGTTGACGTTGTCTAGTCTTCGCGGGTTATTCCAAGTCCGACTGCATGTTCAAAGTAATGTCTTCCAAATCTGCATCGATCGTGAGAACAGCGGCAACTGTTGCTAATGCTCTCTCACAAACTCCATATCGATCATCTACACATTGTTCACTACTTCTCATCCAGCCTATCATCTTCACACTCGGAGTTTAATGCAAAGTGCGTTGTCCCCTCAACACACGGCATCTTAAATATTGTCCGTCCATTGGAATCTTACCCCCTCCCCCGCATTTCGTGATTGTGGGCATTAGCGCCCTGTGCAGCTCCTCATCGGGTGCGTGGGCGCGTGGCGTGGTTGCATACCGCTATGCAGGGCCAGCGAGACGGCCATGTTGGATCCCTGTGGTAGACAATGGAAGGTCAAGGCGAGGAAGAGGATACTCATATAAGCCTTACTAGTGGCACCGTCGAAGGGTAGGCTTAGGCCTTTGTCTTCACTACCATTCTGACCTCTCCAGGGAAGGTCCGCTGCTGTCCTCAAATTTGTCCTGTACGGCTTTAGGTGCACTATAAGTCACTCTCAGCGACCATGGCTGCCATCCTCGCGCCACCACCGCGGACACCAAGTCCAATAGTCCGCATTCGAGCACAGTCATTTTCCTACGACTCACCATCATCAATCGTCAGACTTAATGCATCGACCCCTATTGAAGAATCCCCGTTCTCCAAATCAACCGGGAGCATCAATGTAGCAAAGACAGTGCCTCAACACCATGTTCTGCTCCCACTCAGGACTAAAATGAGCGAGGAGTCGCTATCGGACTCTTCAAGCGCTATGTCAATTTCTCCAGCAAGCTCGCCTACTAAATCTGAACACGATATACCACTGGATGAATTACCAGAGGGTAACCTGCTGGGCTTGTTCGAATACGCCCAGGCTCCTTGCCGTGCGGATGCACTTAATTCTCACCCACCAAGGCCTGTCTCGCCACCGTGTTCGCAGTCCCCGGCAAAGAGACCCCGTCTCGCCCCGCCGCCCATAGCTCTCCCGTCACATACTGAGGCACTATCAGACATGGGGCCGATCTCCCCGTTTGCATTCCAGGATCCTAGTTCTACTATGACTTCGCCCTGGCTGGTGCGTGCTGTCCTGGACCTTCACGATGTCTATCGATTGTCCTGGATGGACATTAGTGATGTTATGGCGAGGATGTATGGGACACGAACAGGAAGCGCTGAAATTCTTGACATCTTGAGCGGCAACGGAAGGGTGAAGAGAATGTGGTGGAACTGAATCCGACAACAGAAGCTCCCCCAAAGATGACTGATTTGCTATGCGGTATCATGGCGGCTGCGGTCAATTCGTCTGCAGGTTTTCCTATTTCTCTCTGTTTTGCATTTTCTGGCACCCACAAATGGCGTTATAACTCACGACTTGACGATAGGAGGGATATAGGGACTTTCTTCAGTCAAGGCATCATGCATTACGACTCACGACTCATGATTATGATATCATGAACAGGTGCCTGTGTTGTACTATGTAGAGTACTCGAAATTCAATTGTATCTGATGCTACGTACATGCCCGTACTCCACTCACGACTTGTCCCTGAACACACTCCTGACCAAGACAAAAAGTGGGCGAAATGGCCATGCTCGTTTGAACTATAAAAACGGAAATGCAGTGGAATCACACACATGGATTCGCGCATGATGCACCTCGGTAACAGCTGTCATGCCTTGAGTGGTTGCGGATGCGAGGCAGTAGCCGCTCCCAAAAACGGGTGCAGTAGTGGGAAAAAAAAAGAACGAGGCTTCCTAGTCTCAAACATGCACATGATCATTGCTATTGGGCGGAGGCAGTCATGTCAGCGGATAAGCTGAAATTTGAGAATCGTTGGTATAATTTTTAGTAAGGCTGTATTTTTCAACCTTGAAACCCTTGCTTCGTCGCCATCCATCATCGAAAGCCGCGTGGGGTGCATGTTCAAGCCAATGAATGCCATAAAACACCATAGGTGCACCACCCATTTCGTAAAGCCATGATACACCACACCAGCCCGTTGCTGACTCCAGTCTGGGAGCATACAACATTTACTTCTTCTTGGAGACACCGACAGTGCGACCACGGCGACCAGTGGTCTTGGAGTGCTGACCGCGGACGCGGAGGCCCCAGTAGTGACGGAGACCACGGTGAGCGCGGATCTTCTTGAGGCGCTCGAGATCGTCACGGAGCTTGGAGTCGACACCGTTGGCGAGAACCTGAGTGTCCTTGCCATCGACAATGTCGCGCTGCCTGTTGAGGAACCAGGTGGGGATCTTGTCTGTTGACGGTCAGATGCGAATATCGAGGTTAGTGCGGTGGAACGTACACTGCAGAGGGTTCTGGATGATGGTGACAATGCGCTCAAGCTCCTCAGAGGTGAGGTCACCAGCACGCTTGCTCAGATCAACATCGGCCTTCTTGCAGACCAAGTTGGAGTAGCGGCGACCGACACCCTTTATCTTGGTCAAGGCGTACATGACCTTCTGCTTTCCATCGACGTTTGTGTTCAACAAACGGATGATGTACTGGAAGCTGTGGCAAGTCAGCATTGCTGTTCGCACACGCATTATAGTCAAGGTCTGCAATCGTCGAGCTTCTCGCAGGCCTAAGCCCGCTGAGTCCGCCGCGCCGATGCAGGAACCTCTCCCGTTTCCAGACAGTATGCTAATCCTCCACTATCATGTCTTGTTTGTTGCCCGCGTAGATCGGTGTCGTTGTCCTCCTCTTTCAGCATGCTGTCGCGGATCGTGGAGGGGCCTTGCTTCGGAACGACAGGCTCAGGTGGGCGCAGGGGGGATTGCGAGTGCGTGCGACGATGGCATCGTTGTCCGTTCAATGCAACGTGTTGCTGGGGACGTACTTAGACTTCTCTCCGGAGACGAGCGCTATGCGAAAGTCAGCGTGTCTATTCGATGAAATCTGCATGCGACGTGCAAATCTACAATTTCAGACATGCGGGTATGCCAGAGGCATCCAGTGCATGAATAACAATCGCATCGCTTTGCAATCTGGCAGGGTAATTACTTACACATGATGGCGGTTTGTCAAAGGGCTGTTGGTTAGTTTTCGCTCTGCTCTCGAAATCGATGTGGAAAGCGCAACTTGTGGGATCGCTTCGTCTAGCGCTACACGTGACTGCTCAAACGGCTCTGACCAATCCATTAGTGGTATTGCGCTAGCCACGATGGGACTGCACTAGCATTTGGATTCTACTTCATACGCTCTTGCAAAGTCCGATCATGTGGTGCACTGAGAAGCACAAGATACGAGACGTGTGATGAAGCACCGCTACACGATTCAAGGCGAAAGTTTGGAGCACAATGAGGTTGTCGTTCAACTACTAGCAAGGTTCTGTGAATACCTGCTTTGAAAACCCACCACTTGCTTGAAATTCTTATTGAAAGGAGACACAAATCTCGCCTCCCAACGCGATTTCACAGCACATCAATGTTTTCGAGAACTAGCCATTACAGGGATCTGAAGTTGTCACATCACACGATAGGAACAATGGAATGATAAGGTCTACATATTTCCTACTACGGCCAGAGTCACTACTGTCTTGAAGACGGGTTAGAAATTCTACTTGAACAGAATCTGCCTCGAATAAATGTTTCTTGTAGTGGGACAAGCCTCCACGATATCTGCAAGGTATGCGAGCAGGACAAGCTTTTGACAACCTGTCGTCACTGATCATTTTTGTGGTTGGATTGTGTTTGCGACCATGGAGGCTTAAGCGATAGAGTTGTGCAGTAACAGGAGTCACGAGAATTAATATACAGTATGTCGGGGGTAAGTAGTCAATGTGTCACAAGACTTCGCAGCAGCCAGCTGTCAACAAAACATAGCCTATGGAGGTATACAAAACATTTCAGCTTTGATGTTAGCACCTTATTGTTTAGTCTAGTGTGCTTCACTGTTACTTGCGGAGAGGTGCTGCTAGAAGTAGAATATTTAAGGATCTACGTTGATTACTTACCCCTGCCATACTGTAAGCAATGGTTGTGGTAGCTGTCGAACGTAATCATAACAAGAAACTCCAAATCTCCCAAAAAAATCATAATATCATTGCTAACACCGGACGCCTATTATCTGCGTGAAAGCCCACACCAACAGTTCGATCGAGCGGTTGCTCAGCTACTCGATATCCACCTTCTTAATCTCAATGAACCCCTCATCCTCTTTTCTGACCTCAATCTTCAATACACCATCCTCTAGTTTAGCAGTGATGCTATCGGCATCGACATGTGCCGGATTAGCCCTGCTACCCAACCTAATTTTCCTTTCGAAAGGTCCAGCCTTTCTCTCGTTCATTGCCAGCGTCTTCAAGAGGTCTTCATCTCCAGGGCGATAAATGACACCTGCGACAGAAAGCTCTGACTTTTCGGCGTCCCAGTTGACGCCAACGTCTTCCTTCTTTGCTCCAGGAAGCGAGACGTGAATAATGTAGGACAAGGGCGTGTCGAAGATGTCTGCTTCCGGGCTGAAGTCTTCATTGTCCCTAGGAGCAGTGTCCTTGTTCCTGTTCGAAGGCTGCTCGGCTACAAAGGCATCAAAAAACGGTGCAAAGAGAGAGGCAGGGTTGAAGTCGGCTCCACTGAGAGGGCCATCAAAGCCCCAAGGTCCGCGTCCTCCAAATCTGCCGGGATGATGGTGACCACGAGGCCCGCGGCAGTGGGGGCCACCGTAAGAGCCCTCGTGAGGTGGAGGTGGGCCATGATGAAAGCTGCGATGGCCGAGACCAGGCCCTTCATGAGGAGGACCGTGGTGACCATGACGGCCGTAGTGACCTGGTCCACCATGGTGAGGACCAAAACCGCCTCGGCCTCCAAATCCGTGACGGCCACCGCGGCCACCGCAGTGGCCATGGCGTCTGCGTCCGCAACGACGGCCTCCCTCGCTATCAGAGCCGGAGCCAGCAGGTCCTTGTTCGTTGCCCTTATCGTCGTCGTTGTCCTCAACGTTGTTGTCGTTGTTGTTGTCACCTTTCTCGCCGTTCCTCTCTCCGTCATGGTCGTTACGAGGACCATGTTCAGCGTGGTGGGATTGTGGGCCATGCCCTCCTGGTGGACCGCGGTGAGGCAGTCCTCCGGGAGGACCAAAAAGCTGCTGGCTCCATCCCCAAGGATCGAAGGGGGGTGGACGTTGACCTTCGTGGTCTTCGCCGTGCTCGTTGTCGTTGCTGCGGTCCTGACGGTTTCGACCGAAGAAGGGGTGGTTGTTTCCTTGCTGCTCGACACTGGCAAGGAAGTCCCAGAAGGGCGCAGTGTTGTTCATATAATTGAAAGAAGCCATGATGGTAATTGGTGATGAAAGAAAGAATCATCCCAACCCAACTGTTAAGGCACTTATACAAATTCATATCGCCAGGCATCAGGATTCACGTGTCCGCGTACGTATGTTAGCCATACTCGCCACAGCTGATACACGCGCCTCTTTGCGTCACAGACCAATAGCATAACTTTTTGAGGGACCCCGCGAAACACACAGAACTTAGGAGAAGAGTCATAGCAGATAGGCGTCGCTGCCGCGTCTTGTGGACGTGTCTAGCCTCCCAGGTGTAGGCATAAGGTGGTTGCGCGGCCTCCAACCGTTCCAAATAGGTAAAGCTCAAGGCAATGTCGGTATCTATATGAGCCGATGTGGCGCATGAAGCGTCAGTTGTGGCGAAGAAAACATCGAGACGATGACTTTTCTTCGGAGGCTTGAAGCACTGTGATGCCGACGAGTGGGTCACTCCTGCCTTCAGACTGATGCGTCGAGTGGAGTTCTAGGACCGCCAAGCTGTTCATGGCCTGCCTGATGATGAACCCTGATGGTTTGTTTCCCCGCGCTGCTGTTTGCGTCGAAGTGTGCCCATGCTGCAGGAATGACGCCATCATGCATCAAAAGGCATCAGTCGGCATCAGGTGTACAACTGGACTCATGAGTAAGTCTGTCATTTGTAGAACGTATAGAAGCTGCTTGTGAACACAAAGAATGTTGAATGCGTCCTTGGCTCTTGAGTTCTGTCGTTGTGGAGATGCGATCTGCAAGCCACTGCATTGCTTGCTCCATGGCCCCTTTGCGTCTTAAAAGTAATGTACATCACCTAATGCAAGGCTGAGCTGAAGTAAGAGTGTTGGATGCAGTGGCGAGATGTCTCTCGCCTAGCTAGCGCAAGTGGGGTAGAGGGGCAGCTTCCTCATGACGGCCAGAATATACACAACAATTGCTTCGTCGAAACTTCAGCACTAATTCACTAACACTTCACCTCCAATTTCAGACCCAACACCATAATTGTGCCATAACACTGCCACGACACATCTCATTGACCACTTCCACAATGCCTGCCATTCCCACTTCCACCTCCGTCAGCGAGTCTGCCGTCATCGACGCACCCTTCAGCGACGTCTGGCACCTGATCAAGCTCCAGGACTTCAGCAAGTTTTGGTCGAAGCTTGAGAAAAGCGAATTTGTCAAGGGCGCCTCTCCCGAGACCGACGTCGTTCAATGGACATTCAAGGATGGCCAATCCCTCGAGGTCAAGCAAGAGGAACACTCCGTATGTTTTTTCGCAATTTTCAGCGAGAACCGGGCTTACCATATATTCTAGAGCATTGACCACTACATCACCTACTCTGTCATCTCTGCTAAGCCCGAGCTGAGCTATACCTCTGTCGTTTCGACCATTCGCGCATACCCTGTCACTTCTGGAAAGCACGAGGGTCAGACCTTCATCACCTGGACCGGCAACTTCTCTTCAGATGCTGATGCCAGTACGTATAGAACCTGCCTTACACAGGTGACATATACTGACGAAATGTAGGCGTCATTCAGGATGCCAAGTTCAAGCGTCGCGAGGCTCTTGACGACCTCGCTAAGGCCGCCTCGAAGAAATAGATCACGCGAAGCATTCGAGGATCGAAGAACGAAGGACACAGCGAGTTTGATGCTCAGTAGTAAGGATGAAAATATATTAAGGATAAGCAAAGTTGTCTTCTTATGAGCACACCAAAGTTGGAGATCGTCCAATCTGTCGCCGAGCCTGTCTAACAACCCTCCCAATGGTCATGAGCCACTTTCTGCATTTCGCGTGTCGTTCTCTGAACTACCAATGGCGTGCTTTGTAGCACAGGATGCTACTGAATGGACCATAATTCGTTCACAGACCTTTCCGTATTTTTCAACAAGCTTGAGGACTCTGCTTCACCTGCGTTACTTATCTTGCGTCCCCGTGGCGACACAACGCAGGGATCGCATTCGTCCTGCTCAATGCAACTCATGGGCAAGCTAAAGTCACACCGCTGTTGGTAATAACGTGGCATCGTGATAGCTGGGGAGATTGCTGATTTAGATGTGTCTGTGACAGTTGACAATAGTCGAGGTGTGGATTCGTTCGTTTCCTGTCTTGAACGGGGGAAAGATGGCCCTGCAGCTATCCTCTGCTGATAGATCACCAGGTGCTGCGAATGAGTAGGATTAATGATGGCGCAGATGAGTTGCGATATCATGTCCCTCTGTAGCTTCCAGCCATGTGTCTCGAACTCCAGCTCCTATGCTTTGAATGCATCGGAGCTGTACATGTTGGTTCAGCAGGATTCTCGACTATGTTGATGGGGCAGGGGAACTCTGAGGCCGATTGCTCCTGCTGGCGGAGGATCTGGTCTTGGCTCTCTCGCTCGCCACCTGCGTCACTCGATAGTTCGATGGCCTCGCCGGGTTCCGTAATAAACTCGGCAAAGGTGGGTTTGTCTGTAATTGACCCCTCGTTTCTACTTTGGTTTGAGCCAAAATGAGTGTTGGTGGACGTTGATTCATTAGTCCGCTTCGAGCTTCCGTTTGACCGCGAGGTGGAGGACCGTATGGATTTCGTGATTGTATCAGCTGTTGCAAATATACGCCTGAGAAACGGGCGAAGAGTTGCTAAACATCCTGCTATGATACTTGCGCCACATTCGATTGTGGACCAAATCGCAATATTCGTGGCGTTCCAGAAAAAATCATCAATCTGAGTTAGACCATCGACGTACTGAAAACGAATAATAGAGCAGATACAGGCGCTTGCAGCGAGGCACAGGATGAAACCAGCTGAGATCTTCGATTTCCGGTCCATGTTTGCGTTCCAGAGGACCACAACCGGTAATAAAACAAATACGAGGTCGGTAAGTGTAGAGAATACAGCTGTTATTCAGTCCGTTAGCGAAGTTCTCGGGCTAGCAGATGCGGACATATTTACCTGACTGATACGCCATGAACCGGTCAAGCACTCGCGGGGTGCATTGGTTTTTCAACTGTTGCAATACGTATCGATCGACGTTGGGACCACAGCGGAAGACGACGTAAAAGAAGGACGCGACCGATGATACCACATTGACACCAATCGTCACATATATGAGCATGAGGTGCCAGGATGCGACCACGATGCGCATGAAGAAGATGCCAATCGAGATCTTGACGGTCATCATTGCCACAAGGTAAGTCGATTCGCTTACAACAACCCACTTCCTCAATCAGCCCAGTCATTTCATGTATTAGCCTTGCTTACTTTTGTAAGATCCTGTAACTTTTCTAGGCTTGTGATATGCGTGCCTCCACCGTTGCCGTCAAGGTACAACTGAGATCCCGAGAAGAGGGTGAAGATCATCTGCACTCTTGTCAGCTACAAAACGAGCTCTGCCAGGCAATCTCACACCAGCCAAGACCATACTCGCATCGTCCCAGCCGAAGTTTGCGATGATCCAGGTGCGAGTCCATACTCGAAGAAGGATAAAAAACCACGCAAGTGCCAGGAACGCGACCGTCAATCTCTGTGATTGTTCGCCTGCTCGAGCGACTTCATCGGTACCATGCACCATGTTGAGATCATAGGGTGTCGAATGTGAAGTTACACGCCACGTGCTGTCAGCGAAGGGGTCGTGACAAACGCCAGTGTGAGATGCAATGAGTGGTAGCAGATATGTAACGAATGGAGTCGATGTTGGGCGTTCAGCTGAACAGCGAACCTTTGGTACTCTAGCTACATATCGGATGCAGCTCGATTATATGAGCAACGTTCCACAGCACCAGCCTTGACGCCACGTTAGACAGGGTAGGTGTACAAGGTATGACAGACTGGGTGACGAAACGTGTTCATCGGTCTGGATAAAGCAAGACCGCCGATGGAGCGGAGCAACCCCTTCGATGGACTCGAGATGCACTCTTGGAGCTGAGAGCTGAGAACACTGGTGTTGAGTCCCCGGAGCGGGGCTTGCAGACCGTCACCTAGCATTAAGGTTCCTGCACAGTATCTGCTCCGGGGCGCCGGCATCCGTCTTCCCCGCGAATACACCCTTCGATCTAAGGTCCGGCACGCTGAGGAGCCGTGCTAACGATGATAAAGTTCGAATAGAACCACGCACCCGGAAATTACCAAAAGCAAATACAGGCAACGGCTGGCGTCCTGTCATCTGTGCAACCAACAACGGATAGATCTGGTGGCGTACGTTGTTGGAACCGAGGCGGCCGCAAAAATGGGCATTCTAATTGGCGCTGTTGATTTGCAAACCCCCAAACAGGTCGTGACATCAGATGCGGGCGAAGAAGAGTGACATGTAGGAAAGCGCAAATGGACGTCAACCAATCTCCACTGCACGGACCAATCGTCTTGTCGACATCCTCTTGCACTGTTCCGGCCCGAACTTTCACTCTCACGACGAAAAAGCACGGAAGCCATGATCGCAGGCCAGTAAGAGTTAAGGCCTGGGCGCAGCTAAGGACTTGGAGAGCTGCAGGATTGTGCAAGGGTTTACTTTCCCACCGACTTTTACTTGTCGTCCACCCAATCAGTAACGACAAATCAGCCGCCCAGTACTACACCTGTTTCGACTCAATTTACAGCGCCACGATACTGCAAGCTTGAGACGTGCCCGCCGACTATCAGGCCGAAGTGTGCATCCAGCGCCAAGACCAGATGCTCGTTCAGCCACCATTCACTTCACAACCATTTTCGCAAGAAGTCGTGAAAGACCCTGGAGCCTAAAATCTGCGCTCGCTTTCCCTGCAATCCCAAGCCACTATCATCCGTCTGGTCCCAACGATTACACGGCATTTTCGTTGATCACGGCGAACCGAGGACATGCCACCCTCGACAAGAAGACGAACACAGCATCACATGCCGCCTCCTCCAGCGGACTTCTCCGGTAGCGACGATGACGTAGACGAAGAAGAGCTGGATCCATCCGAGGAAGATATCGACGACATGGGAGATGACATGGCAGCAATGGAGGGAGAGGAAGACTTGGACGAAGAGGAAGGACTCGGTAAGTCTTTCCTTTCACTCACCCTGGCTTCTTTTGTATCACGTTACGAGATGTTCAAACCATCCAATTTCCCGACTTGACGTGTCTTGAGCTCATACAATCACAAACACTTGTGTTGCTCAGCCACTCGCCTTCTGGGCGCTTGTCAGGTTGTACAAGCTTTCTTCCAGAAGACGACCATTGGTCGACCTTAAGCGCTCTGTCATCTATAGACTTTACTAACACTTCCAAGCATCACCAGGTGGTCCAGATACACCCCTCCCAAACCTCGAACCACCACCCTCCTATCTGCGTGAGATCAGCACGCTAGCATCCTGGACAGTGTCTTCTTCAAAACCTGGCTGCTCCATCCCTCAACTTCGTCATCCCTCCCCTTCGCTCTTCTGGCAGTCGGACGGTCCACAGCCGCACTACCTGAACATACATTTTTTCAAGCTTGTTCGTATCGTCGGTCTGCGTCTATATCTTGACTTCGAGCAAGATGAGTCCTACACGCCAACACGCATCATCTTCCTCGCCGGCTCCGGAATGAACGATCTCCAAGAATGGGGCGAGATGCGCCTAGAATCGCCTCGCGGCTGGATATGGGCCGACTTTAGCAACGTGGGCGACGCCTCAGACGACTCTTCTGCCGAAGAAGAGGACAGCGAAGACGACGAGGCATTCCAGGCGCGCATGCTCCGCGGCCTACACCGTCCACGCAACCGCACAACATCCGAACACCGCTCCAGCGACAGCGAAAACATGCCACTCCCGCCCCAACGCCAACGCGTACCCAGCAACTTCCCCACACATCTCGATACTCCCCAACAGCTCTTCGACACCCCCGCCACCGCGCCCCAGCTCTCTCAACATCGGACCCCGCATTTTACGCCACATTTTACGCCCCAAGCTGCTCATGAGACGCCCACGCTCCCGCGTCCAGCGCCCCGTCTCCCCTTCGGTAGTCTCAGCCCCAACGCTGCACCGCCGCACGCCCGCGCTGCACGACGCCCCAAGATGCCGGTGCTGAGAGCGCACCTAGTGCAGATAAAGATCCTCGAGAACCACCAGAACGGAAAGGATACGCATCTGCGCGGGCTGCAGATCTTTGCGCGGAACGACGAAGGCGATAGGAGTGCCGTGAGGGGCACGAAGGTGCATGCAAGTGATGCGGTGACGGGGGCTGATTTGGGCGGCGTGGGGACGATGAGGACGGGGCAAGGACGCGTGCAGAGGGAGGAGGTGCTGGAGTTGGGCGGGTTGAATGGGGCTTTTGATCTTCGGTGATGGCATAACGACTGAGTGCCTAGCGACAGATGATGACCATAACGACTATTTAAGATACGTAGCATAGCTTCGCGCACGGCGTTTGGATCGTTACGGTTGAAGACTAAGAATTCTGTATTGCTCAAACGCCACCACTATTTTCCCCTTTCCTTGTTGGCACAACTTTTATTTACAGTCCTGAGAAAATTCGCATTGACGCACCTCTATGCAGCACAAACGCCTTGCATATCGGTCTATTCGAAAGAAGGAAATGGTATAAGCCTCATTAACACACCTCTCGAAGCAAATTCACCCTGTCTGGGTTGTATTTCTGTCTTGCCTTGGCTTCAGGGCATCAGGTAGTATGCCTAGAACACACCCTTGCCCTCATTCTTGTCGAGGGTGTTATTGAGATCCTTTGGCTCAGGCTCCTTCTCTGTCTTACGCTCAGGATGCTCGTCATCGGAGAAATCGTTCAGACTTTCTACGCTTTGAGCCTGCTTGTTCTTGTTCTTATTCCTGTTCCTCTTTTTCTTGGAAGGTGTGTCGGCTGGTGTGCTGGCGACATCGTTCTCACCCTGTTCGCGCTCAGCGTTCACTTCATCGGCGTTCTGCTGTGCCTTTTTCTCCAGCTTATCATTCGTCTCCTTGGCTTGCTGCTGCGCTTTGTTCTTGACCTCGTTGGCCTTGTTTAAAGCATCCTTCGCAATCTCCTTCGCCTTTTCGGTTGCATTTCCGACGCTGTTAGCGCCTTCTTGCAGGAGCTCGTTGGCCTTTCGCTCAATGTTTCGGACGGATTCTTGGTTCGATGGGCTTAGACTCGAACGAAAGTTCTTAGCGTCACCGTTGACGCCCTTACGTCCACGGACGGAGCCGTTCTTGGCACTGCTATCCCTGCCCTCCTCGCTAATAGACTCAATCTCACGCTCCACACCGTGCATAGCGTCACCAGCAGCCTTCGAGATGGGTGTGTGCTTGGACTGATGCTTAGTCTTGGGATTCGTGCGGCGAAAGTAGGATTTGACGAAGAAGCGCATAAAAAGACCAGTGAGAGGGGCGAGGTAAATCAGGTTGAGGTAGATGGCGAAAGCCTGACCAGAGGTGTCAACACAGGGAACGTGCTGGTACTCGGTGCGGTAGACAACCCTGTCCACGGTATGGATGGTGTGGAGGAGGCGCTGAACAGGGTTCTCGTGTGCAGCGACCGCAGTAGGGAGGTGCGATTGATGGGCAGGGATGATGGACGAGCCTGGTACAGGAATATTCTCCGCAAGTCCCTCGTCGCCAGCTGCGCGGTAGATGAGCTTCCACAGGAAAGCGAGAGCCGGGCCAGTTGCAGCTGGCAAGGCAGCGCTAGCTGATTCGGTCACCGATGAAACGGCAGAAGAGACAGTAGACGCGATCGAGGAAGGCTGCACACTGGAGGTGACCTGCTCAGCAATCTTGTGTGCGACGGAAACCGGGACGGTGTACGAGACGAAGAGATGAAGAGCAGCGAAGCTGGCGCCAACGAGAAACTGGGTTATCTGCATTGTGGTGAGGGTGCGCTTGACGAAGTTGGGCACGCGGTAGCCGAGGGCGGACAGAGTGTAGTATGTGTACTGAAGAGCAGTTAGTCGCTGTCGTCTTTGTTTTCATGCTGGATTGAATTGAAATACGTACCATCATGGCGTGGATTCCAGAGTTGATCTGAACGAACATCCAGATAGGCGGAGACATGTAGCGCATGCCAGCCCACATGGACAGCATAGCACCGGCATGATGGTATTTCTGGAGAGTCGTGCTACGCTTTCCCTTGGCCAGAATGATGGCAGTGTCGAGGACTTCGTAGAACTTAGAGAGGTAGAAAAACCATCCCCAGAAAGCGAGACCCTCGTTCCACATCCTGCCAACGTCGGTGGTGTCGGGGAGACCGTTTGCACCCACGTGGATGTTGGTGTTCCTGCTGCCCCATGTGTTCGTATCCGCGTTGTATGTGACGGCGTCTCCAAGGCCTCGAGGGCCGTGGATCTTGCAGAGCGCATCGACAGTGCCGACGATGGAGTGCGGCTCGCGCCAGTTGGGGAACGAAGACTTCAGGCCGCTGAACATGGCGACGCACGTGACGGCGGAGTAGACGGCGAGAAAGACATTGTGCGCGATGACGAATGCCTTGAACCAGCCGTGGCTAGCGATCCGCCACGGCTTGTTGCCGTGCTGGCGATTGTACCAGTTGAGGTAGGTGACGGTGACGGCGTAGACGGCGGCGATGGTCAGCGGGACCTTGGGGTGCAGCGCCTTCTCGAAGAGATCTTGCGGGATCTGGAAGGGGTTCGCGAGCGTCGGTTCGCCGCTGTACGGATTCGTCATGGGCGGCGGCGCGACATCTGGGGGAAACTTGAAGACGGACCAGGCAGGAACCTCTCCGGGGAAGAGAGACGGGCCTGCGCCAGACATGGTGACGTCGCTGCCTGCTTCTCAGTCGGCTGGGCTATGTGCGCGGGCGGGCAGACTGGATGCGCCGGGGCAATTGGGGATGCGACGCGTAAGAATGGCGGTGCAAGGTGGTTGGGATAGCGAGCGCAACGATGGTGCTCGGTGATGACGTCGCTGGTACTGAGCTCAGTGCGCGTGTACAAAGGACCGTGGAATGGCAGCGAAGGTTTGCTGCACTCGAGCGCCGCCAATGGCTAGCCGTTGGCGCTTGCTGTCAAGACTCTGGTCTGGATACGCACGTCGTGCTTCCTTGTTGAGTGCGTGCTTCCGTGTTGCGTGCAGATGCGTCGTTGCCCGTCAAGTCACGCAGAGCAGAACAGCCAACAGCGGCTGCTCGCAGCTATCTATACTCGACGCGCAGACTTCCGTTTTTCGGACTTGCGGCTCAATCGAGAAGGCGAGGGCTCTTGCCCGAATCTTGGTGATGGGATTCCGACTCCCATGACAGGCTAGCAAACTTTTAGAGCGCCCTCACGTCGCCCTCCAATCGCAGCACGCTGGCTGCCTCGGCAGGACAGGCCCAGATGTTTTTGCAGAGCCCGCCTAGGACTGTGGGTGCCAATGTTCCCCAGAGCGAGCCACAGCCTCGCAAGACTAGCAGAATCGGGTGCATTTCTGGATAGTTCTGTGCCTGAGGTTGCGAGCAGCAATTCTAGCGATCCGCCCGCGCATCCCGTCGAATCATTCTGACAGGGGTGCGTGTACCCTGAATGTATGTACACCAAGCGCACACGTTGTCACGTAACAGCAAGCACGTTCTAGGAGAATACTTTCGCGTGATTGTGACATTTGTGGAAATATATAACGCTGAGAGACTAGAACTTAGGCTTGCTGCTCAATGGAATCGGCGGCGGCTCCCCAGAAGAATTAGAAGTCAACCCTGCCTTCTTGGCTGGCGGTGGCGGTGGAGGCTTCTTGCCCAGGCCTCCTGGAGCGGGTGGTTGTGATGCTCCTGATGTATTTGCGCCCCCCGCCAGGCTATTGACCCTGCCTGCAATGCCATACTTCTGATTAAGTCCGTTTGCTGCTCGCCAGCCAGATGCCGCTTGCTCGCCGTGCCGCTGTTGGAAGTTGTTGGCTGTCGATGCTGCGCTCTTCAGGTCTGAACCAGATATCTGGGATGGATCGTTTCGCAGATTGCTTGCTGTCCTAAGAGCAGCTTGCTTGTCTGCCCATGACGTTCCTGTGCTTGGTGCCGTCTCTGACGCTGGGGACGCGCTCATCTTCGCGAACCTGCTCTGCAACTCGTTAAGCTGAGGACCGTTGCCAGCTGAGGCAGGTGGAGATACTGGCGCTGCTGCAGACGAGCTCGAGGCCTGACGTGCCGGCGGAGGGGGTGCTACTGTGCGCTGACGAGGTGGTACGGGCGGAGAAGCATTGCGGTCAATCCCAAAACCTGGCACCGTTACTCCAGCCTGACCCAGACGATTCAGAGCTCCCTGATTCAGAGTCTGGGCTGCCGGTTGTATAGCTTCCCCATACGACGGAGGAGCAGGCGGTGTGTATTCATCAACGTTCTCTGTCTGGCGCGGAGGCAGTCTTGGTGGGAGACCAGGTGGCTTCGCCCTCGGTGCCGGTGCCGGTGGAGGGGTAGCAGCATTCGGTCTGAATGCTGGCGGCTTCGGCAGATGCGTTGTACTGAGCCCTGTCGTGTCTGGTCTGTAGGGACCTTGCGGTTTTGACTCTTGTGCTGCTCTTCTCTGTGCTTCTTCCTTTTCCTGCAAACGCTGCCTTGCCGAGCCTGGCGGTGCAGCACCAACTCCACCGGCGACCGGTGATGCTCCGGGGACTCGTTTCGGTGGGGGCGCAAAAGATGAAGGGTCTTTCAAGGTCGACAACGGTGCAGACTGGTGTTCGCGAGCAGCTTCGGCGTGGGAGTCTTTACCCTGCGCCTTGCCTACCCATCCTTTCTACTGCAGTGAGTGCCCAACCCACGAAGATGAAGCCGCAGACCTACCACTTGGCCGAGCTTTGAGTCGCTCGTACCGCCTGAACCGCCTGCTTTGCTCTTCTCCGGGTGCCAGCCATTCTTTGCGAGGTTCTTGAAGCGATCAGCCATGATGGCGCAGGACGTGTGATGTTTAACATGGTAGAAGCGCGGATCTTACGGCCGATAGCGTATTGCCGCGAATGACGTTGCCAAGGGCCAATTATTGCCGAGCCGACGCTGCAACTCGATGACAGAACAGCCTCAGGCCTTGCGCCGCATATTGATGTGTACTCGACTTGACACCTCGTAGGATTCTGGCATTTCCATTGAAAGTGCCTCGCCAAGTGATGTCGCTTGAGGCCGTTAACAGCCCTTCACCAGCAACACCCGAAGCGCTATGATGCTGCATGCTTACCTGGGGTTAGAGAATGCGAGTAAGAGCAGCCATGAGTTATCTTATGAGAGAACTAAGGCTCCCAGAGATCTAGTGAAAACAACGTGTTTCAGAGTACTGATTGCACTTTGCTTATTGGTGAGGAGTGATATCATTGCCTCTAAGAAAACGGAGCCCGACAAGTAGCTGCAGCCATGGCATACTTGAGCCTGTCAAGAACGGTTCGGCTTTTCGGCGCAATAGCTCCTTCATGTAGAAATACAAGATCGGCAATGCCGTCTGCTGTGTGTTTACTTTGCATGTACATTGCACATACAACTGAAGAAGCCCCAGACCATCCGCCATGACCATGCATAGCAGCGACTTTGCTCGTACAAATGCTCAAGGCTACCGGCTGTTCTTCGTTGGTGCAGAGTGTGGATCTACAGCTAGTGCCAAATATAGCTTCATCTTGGCAGGTGGGGTCGGCTGTGTCTACGGACTCGACCATCAGCCCAGCCTTTCAGCGGAGGGAAGCCAATTAACGTGTCAGCAGCATGCGGCAGCTTCAACCAGCGTACCGGATATGCCTGCGCCTCTTTTCAGCTGGAGCTCGTTCAAAGGCTGGCCTCCCGCCTCCTCGTTCTTTCACGAAGCTTGCACATTGAGGAATCTCGGCTTTCGCATCTGCCGTCTTATATTCATGCCCGGTTGTCAAGCAATTCACTGCGTCTGTGTTGGGTCTCGCGTCATCAAATCTTAGATGTTCCAAGTCGGAATACCAAGAGGTGGTGTGTAAACTCCGTCACTCGGCCCCGCATTCACTGTCACTGGAGGATCAGCGACGAAATCAAGCCCGCCCTTGGTGGAAGGTCAATTCCCAGCAATACCGACATTTTCGAGAGCCAAGAGACCTATCAAGTGTTTGTGCGCCCCTCCATATCAGCTGAGTTCTGACATCGCACCGCGTTTCCTTTCATACAAAGACGCCTCTCGTCAGCGCATCTCAGGCCGGGGTGGGGGAATCTAAGCCCCAATGGCTTATCACCGGATTGGACGGAAAGATGACCACCGCGACCCGCCCTATTCAACGCCGAAAGATGATGAAGACGATGACTCCAAGGAAAGTTCGACCTCCTTTGTGAGCAAACAACCTGAGGAGACGCCTATCACCTACCCCCCGGAGGTCCCTGCGAAACCCACTGATACACCCATCTCGAGCAGCTACTCTCCGACAATGCCTGAAAAGGGATCAGATTATGATACTGACAGATTGACCCGGTCTCCTACTGCGCGCCCGACGGGGCCCCCTTGGCAGACGGATGATAACTACCACCAAAGCAGTCGCTTTGAAACATATTCATCGTCCCAAATAGCATACGAAGGGAATAGCGGTTTTCAAACTACTTCCGCAACAACGACATCGACACGATCGGTCCACAGTGTATCATCATCATCGCCTCCAAATGAGAATACTTCTGAACTGCAGAATCACGGAGCAGACAACGGTCCTAACCGAGGACCGATATACGCTGCTGCTGCCATCGCACCCGTAGTGGTCATTGTCATAGGAATCCTTGTATTTTGCTGTTTGCGTAGGCGAAGACGGCAGAGGCAAGCAGTTGCCGAACATGGACACGTCGAAGAGATGAAGATGCGGCCGAAACCCGTCGCTTTACCCTACTTGGCACCCATAACGCCCCCTTCTCCTCCTCCAGCAGTGTTACCCCAGTACTCCCCATCAACGCCATCGTCCAGCCATCCCCCAACTGCAAGCTCATCACAACCCATAATCCTGGGACCGATTCCTTCTGGCAACAACGGTGCATACTTGACCGGCATGGACACATCCGACCTTATATCTATGACCTCCGCAGGCGGCATCAGCAGACAGGGCACCGTAGTGGATCGAGACCCGTTCGCGGACGGAAGAAGCCTAGAAGAAGCACCGCCACCGTATCGGCCCAGCAGTCTTCCTCCTGTGAGCATCGCGTCTACTTCTCGAAACAACAGCGTTCGAATAACCGACCCTGCGCGCATGACTACACGAACACAAGTTTTCGAACGCTCGCCTTTCGACGATCCTGAGGACGACAACATATCAGAAGTCTCAGGACCGACATTTGGGCGAAATACTGATGCAATGTCCAATGTCTCCGAACTCTCATACCAGGTCGACCCCGTTGTCGGCAGGTCGCCATTCTGATAAGCGTTCGTTCTGGACTATGTTTTCCCAACTTAATGTATATACCTGAGCTAGTTGTCTCTCGTCGACGAATTTTGTGACCTAGAGCAAGCATGCGTATCGGTGTTGAGGTGTTTGTTTGACTGGAAAACGGCAGTTGGTGTAAAGGATGAAATTATTCACAATTACCTAGTCCGAATATGAGTCCATGACGAAATAAGGCGTTCTGGCTCCGAGGACCGCACAATCGGCTCGGCTGACCACGCAGAATACAACGTGTCCAAAAGACAGGGCCTTTTGAACTGCCAAGATCACCAACTCTGGCAGGAGTCTTCTTTGATGAGTCGTGGACCAAACACACCCTGGGTACATCTCCCGTCGTACACCGCACGACGTGCCCGCATGGTAGTATTGCCTCTGCCGAAACAATATAATAATCGCCCTCCCACAGTCAAGGGAGGGCCAACCTTGCATATGAGATAGCGACATGTAGCCGGTAACGCTAGGGTACCAAAAGTATGATCATCTCACATGCCATGCCAGGGATAGCGTTGACAAGGCCAGAGCCGATCCGGCCATTGTCTCACGAACACCCGCTTGTGCGTCGTTGTGCCAGCAACCACAGATAGTATTGTTTGATAGCGTTTGGGCGTTGCGGGAGTGCCTGCGTGCTGCTTGACCATGACGAGGTGATATTGTGGGATCTTCGGCCAATATGAGCGCGGTTGCATGGACCAGGCTGTGTACAGTTAGGGGCGGAAGGGGAAATGTGGCAGACGCTGAGATTGCCACGCCTACAGTAGGGCATTTCTCCGCTGGTGAATTCATGCACACGGCACAAGGCTCTAGCAGGCGTCTTTTCCAGGAACAGGACAAGTGACCCCGCATGGCGGGCGTTCAAAAGGCACGGTGTCGGACACACGGCCGTGCGGTCCACCATCGAACATTGCTTATGGGTTGCTTGAACTGGTGCTTGGCAGAGTGGTCGTCTGTCGGCCACTCCTATTCGCTGCATGCTCAACGTTTACGATGGGCCTGCGGCCGGCTCAGGAGTGCAGCTCAGGAGTTCGCACGAGAGACGGCCGCAGGACCGCTTGACTGGCCCACGACTGTTCTGGCAGCGAGAGTTGAATGGTTCCATCCCTAGCGCGGTTGCAAATCTGGGCGGACCTCAGCGCGACCTGTCGAACCCAGCAATCGTCGTTCCGCCACGCATCTTTTCAGCCATAATGTTCCGTGCCGTCTGCGCTCTAGCACAGCGTGGTACGTTTGGCGCAGCCTCCTAGCTCTCATTCGCTCTATTGGTCCGCATTTGTTGGCGGAAGTCGTCGCTCGCATGCTCATCCATCCGTCAGGCGTGAATTGGCATCAGACCTTCTCCATGTCTCCCTGCCAATGCTACCGATAATGAGCGCTCCCTCGCTATATTCCCACGAGCATGCCTGCGCCCCGTCGCGGCTCGGTTCCTGATTGTCTTCCGCCCACACTTTAGGGCTCAGGCGACGCATTCCTGCGCTGCTGCTCGTTGCTCCGGGGCACGACCGGTACAATTCGTTATCCCATCATTACTGCCAATCTGCAGCCATTCTTCTGCTGCTTCACCTCGGCCCCACTGCTTCTTCGCCTAATAGCATCTGCAAGAAAACCTTACCGTCATTCCTCGCCAACCGTGTCCGAGCTTGCAACCGTTCCTGGCTTGCAGACCTCTCTTCTGCCCTGAAGCTGCCGTGACGCCCCTCCGAGGTACCTGCATCAACGGTACCACAGCACTAACACATCTCTGATCCAGCCTGGGTGAGCGTCACTCAAGGTGGCATAGCTTCAACGCTCATCCTGCTTGCGCTTGCACTCGACTGCTACCAGGCTGTAAGAGATTTTGCCATAGCATCGCTGCCCTCAGCACCGCCGACCCCTCGACCGCATCGAATTCCGTCGACACCGACCGTCCCATACAGTAGCTATATGGTCTTGTAGGGCAGGAACAACTGTGTCACGGGGTTGCTATGAGTCTCGATCAGCATATGTTTGGGTACGGATCTCTCCTTCACTGGTTGTTCATGTGTCCCCTCTCTTGACGACATGGGTCCTTCATCCTGACGCTGTTGGGCTGGTGCCACGGAAGCTCACGATGCACTGCACGAGCCGTTGGTGCCTGCTCTGCCTGCTGCCGTGGTGAGATTTGCAATGCTGTTGCCCCAATCGTTCTTTGGTCTACGCCGAGGGGCAGGCAGCATCGCGCTAGGATGTCATCCAGAGCTCTAGGGCATCGACCCATCAGCCCCATCACAACTGCATTCCAGCGAACCTTGCTCATAGCATAGTCGATGCTCAGCTGCTGTCTTGATGCTTCTCGTCCAAGATCATTTTCCTGCTCTGTCTACTCGGCTCGTTTTGCATTTCACATTGTTTCAGCGCTAACGGGTCGTGTGCTAGATCGACGGATTGGCATCTCCTTCCCAGTCCTTCCTCCACACCCAAGTCGGCAACTTTTCCCAACTCGACACCACTCAAGACACCCAAGACGGAGGGGGCTGCTCACCAGACTCACTTCCTGGACGCCTGGGCAACGCCTCGAGTCAATGGGCAACACACCCCGGCACAGACGCCTTCGTACTTGCTGTCGACACCGAGCGACCGGTCATCAAGCTTATACAGCTTGAAGGTCCGCACTCCCGAAGATCCAGAGTTCCATGTAAACTATCTCGCTCCTGCCAATCTTCCTCTGCCCCCTGTCGAACCTCAACGAAGACTGTCGTCATCGCCAGACCCGAACTCGCTAAAGAGGATTGGGCTAAACCGGGAAGGGCAGCGACCATTATCTGGTCCCGTCAAGATGGACTTCTCGCAGATGCAGACGCCGCCTCCAACAAGAGATGCTACATCGAGAAGGAATTTGCAACAGAGTGTGGGCAATCAGAGTGGAACACCAGCCACTGTAATACGAAGGACATCCCTCCAGCCGGTGCCAACGTCAGATGGCATGTTCAATCAGACGTTTGGATACGCAGATGGAGTACCTTTCTCTCCAAGTATGATGCCCTTCGCGAATGCGGAACCGATGTCAGCACCACCAATGCCGCAACAAAGGCTGTTTTGGGATATGACCGATAACAGTCACATGGATGTGGATATGTCTGGAGCGTTAGATCCGTTCGGGCCTACACCAAATAAGCTTCAAGGAAATCTGAGCTGGCAGACCTTTCACACCCCGGTCGCTGAGCAGATGCAAGCTCAATTCCAGTCACAAAACAGTCTTTCGTCTGCAGAGCCCATGGCATCCTTTGGAGCCAGCACAGTAGGGGAAAGTCGAAGCTCGCAACCTGCCTCGTTTGTATCCACAACTACTGGTGTCGACCCAAGTATGCTATTCAGCTTCACATCTCCTGATGATGTAACGGCCTCGTTTGGTAACTTGCCTCAGCCAGCTGCCTTCAATCCGGACAGACAGCCGTATGAGACTCAAATGCTAGACTCGAAACGTGAGAAGGAGAAGGCGAAGAAGTCAAGGAGCTTACACTCCCGCAGCAACACCAATTCCTCTTCCGGTTCTGTCGAGGAAAACAGGCCTAGCCTACAACGCAGCAACACCGATAGTGGCTTTCAAAGGGCTCGACCAACAATGTCAGAGCGAAGATCTTCAGCCGACACCAGCGCAGCTCATCACATCCCACGCCGCTCGTCACCACTGAAGCGCGCGAACAGTGGCGCCCTCAAAGTGATTCCAGAGGTTATGCGAAGGCCGCGCACTCGATTGATTATTGACGAGACTGGCCGAGCTCGTACGGAGACTGTCCCTGCCGACGAGGATGAGGCTACGCCTAGAGAGACACGGAGGACGTCTCAGACTTCTATGAGACACCAGTACCCAGCTCTATGGGAGGAAGGTGACACTGAGTCGGATTCAGACGATCCGCAACCCATCTTGAGCCGTAATACCTCGTTCAGCATACCACAACCACAGCGCCGTGTGTCAAAGCATGCAAGAACCGAGAGCAGCGAGTTGGCGAAACCCAATACCTTTAAGATGGCTCGGCCTGTCTCAAGAACTACTTCGAGAGCCTCATCCGGTGCCTTTGACAAGGCATCTTTCGACTCCGTAAGGACTACAAGGCCGTCAAGTCAGAATGCTTCACGTAGAATAAGCATGGTCGACGCCCCTACTGCCTCTACCTTCAATAGCCAGGCGATCAGCCATGACGTGCTGCCTGACTCGCCAGGTGATGCTTTGGGTGCCTTGAAAAAGGTAGTGGGTAGTCGTCAGGCAAGAATCGGTAAGATACATGGACTGCACGTACCCGTCACTGAGACTGATCGGATAGAACGCGCCTCGCAAAATACTCTTCAAGCACATAACCATCGATGGGCGCAAGCCTCTACCGACTCTGGTACCGCATCCACGCCTCATGGCCACGGTCGCTATGACCCTTTCAACAATACCTTCAGTGGCTCACCCAGCACCGAAGGACTCACTACGCCATCAACGGATCGTAGCAGTCTCTCTACCGAAAGCACACGATGTGTTTGCCATGGCACAGACGAGGTCCAACCCATGGTGCAGTGTGAAAGCTGCGAGAAATGGTTGCATATGAGCTGCCTTGGGATGAGACCAAGTAGCCTCCCTACCGTCTATATATGTGTGTTCTGCACAGGCCAGACGCCGCTCGCAAGAGGGGCCCGCGTCAGAGGTTCGATTCCTTTTGACTCGCCGCTCACTCACAAGTCACTCTTCCGCCGTTAAACCCATCACAATACACCACGCCGCACAAACGCCTTTTGTCTGGCAGCCTCGTGCACAACCTTCCATACAATCCCACACAGAGGGTCGCTCGCTCTCCGGGTCGATGCCTTTCCCCAGAAACCAACACAACACAACTACCATCTCGAAATCTGCATACTCGGCGTCCACGGCTCCTTTCGTGCATACACCATTAATACAGCACCCGTGATGAGCAAAGCATCGAACCCGATCTACCAGCATGTTGCATCATATATTGCGCATTTCGACTTTGCATGACCACGGCTAATTCTCAATCCACCTTTTCAATATTTACGCACAGCACGTTTTTTTCTCCGCCGGCCGGAGCTTTGCCATATGTTCTTTCTTCGGCGGCCGATTAGGTACTGATACCAATCTGTCTCTTCGATGCGGATCATGGCTTGATGAACCTTTTTGACGCTTTTCACGATATTGCATGCGAGGAAGAAGGGGACTAAATTGACGGCTGTACATGAAAAGAGAGAAGGTTGTAACCTAAATAATTCTGTACATACATATTGGGCATGGTCTAATTTAAAGCCATTCGACAAGACAAGCACCTGTGATCTCGGTAATGATGTTGTGCACGCAGCGAAAGTCGTTCCGGAACGGCCGTAGCAAGAATGCGCACCATGGTTGAGTCTTTCGACAGGTCTTCGGTCCTTATCTAAGTGGTGGCATGAGGTCTCATGAGCAGATGGGTGTGGGCTTAAACAGCTCCCAACCACAGTATTCACAACCCAGCTCTGTATGTTCTACAACAATCGCGTTCAATCATGGCAATCGTTTCACCTTCAGTGTTGCGTCAATATTCGAGTGGCGTACTCAAATATCATTATTCGATTTCCATTTCTCGGCTATTCTTCCCCTGCACGGCTACACCTGCTCTAACTAGCGTGACCGCCCCTCGTCCCTTTTCGAGTCCTACACTCAATACTTTTGCACTCAGTCAACGTCACCATAGATTATACACAATGTCTGCAAAGGGAAACTACGAATTGCTCTGCCTCGAGAACCCTCTCCTGGATATCCAGGGTGTCGGGTAAGTTGATCGAAGTTGCTGCAATGCATGGTGCTCGAATGTGGGGTAGAGTACCTCCATGGAACTTTTCTGACTTCATTTCAGTGATGAGAAGCTCCTCGAGAAGTACGGCCTCAAAGCCAACGACGCCATCCTCGCCGATCCTGAGAAGCATATGGGTCTTTTCGAGGACCTGATTCAAAACTACAAGGCTGTCCTCATCGCTGGAGGTGCTGCGCAAAACACCGCCCGCGGTGCCCAGTACATTCTCCCCTCCGAGTCTGTCCTCTACATCGGCTGTGTCGGTAAGGACAAGTACGGCGAGACACTTGAGGGCATTTGCAAGGAGGCTGGTGTCAAGACAGAGTATCTCTACGATGAGAAGACCCCAACCGGTCGATGCGGTGTCGTTATCACTGGCCACAACCGTTCGCTCTGCACAGATCTTGCTGCGGCCAACAACTACAAGTTGGAGCACTTGAAGCAGGAGAACATCTGGAAGCAGGTCGAGAACGCGAAGGTGTACTACGTTGGTGGCTTCCACTTGACTGTCTGTGTGCCTGCTATCAAGGCCCTGGCCGAGGAAGCTGCTGCGAAGAACAAGGTAAGCTCTGTATACGAGGCAAAAGGTGCACGTGAGCTAACGCGCTTCAGCCCTTCATCCTCAACCTCTCTGCACCTTTCATCGCGCAATTCTTCAAAGACCCGCTCGATGAGATCCTTCCCTATGTCGATATCCTCATCGGCAACGAGACAGAGGCTGCCGCCTTCGCTGAGTCGCACAACCTTGACACCAAAGATGTCAAGAAGATCGCCGAGGCTATCGCCAATGGCCCCAAGAAGAACAACCAGAGGCCCAGGACTGTCGTGTTCACACAGGGTACCGATCCCACAATCGCTGTCACCGCACAGGAGGGTGGTCAGGTCGACGTGAAGGAAGTTTCCGTCCACGCCATCAGCGAGGACAAGATCTACGACACCAACGGCGCTGGGTAAGTTCTCGCACTCCACCGCACTCTAAGTATGGCTCTCCTAACGCACTCGCAGTGATGCCTTCGCTGGCGGTTTCGTTGCCGGTATCGTCAAGGGCGAGAACCTTGAGAAGGCTATCGACATGGGTCAATGGCTTGCCAAGCTCTCTATCCAGGAGCTTGGCCCCTCGTTCCCCCAGCCCAAGCAGGCATACTCTAGCTAAGCGCAGCCATCAGCAATGATTGAGCGTGAATGCTCGTGTATTTCAACAATCTGCGAGAGCATGCACCAGATTACGGTCATGCGTATCGAGCCCTGCTTGGCTTCCGAGTGAGGGTGAACCGTCCAAGCATTTGTTTTGGCGTACGTGGATCGGGTGAGGCAATTCAACAGCCGCAAAAAATATACCCAAATTAGCATGCAATGATAGTCATGAATGAAAATACAGGAAGAAGGGACACTAGAATCTCGACCTCAGTGGGTGTGATGCTGAATCAGTGTGACGTAGTTGGCATACCACCTCGTTCTTTTGCAACTCGCAAAAAAAGAAATCGGCTCGCAATTGTTTGCGATGAACCAAACACAAGCAAGTCCAAAAAGATGCGATGTCCGCAGGGCTCGAACCTACAACCTTTGGCGAGTTTCAGCGTGAACCGAAAACCAACGCGCTACCATTGCGCCAGGACACCTTATCAGATGTTTGATGTTGATCGCTCAAACTCGATCTCTTATATTTCTGGTGTGCGTTTCTCAGGTACTGTATCGAAATACTCTGATGCGATATTGGCCCAGCAGTGCGTCTTGTCCAAGCCTATAAGTAAGCGCGAGGTTTTGTGAGTGTAGCGTTGTTAAACAAGAACAGACCGAACAGCAGCAGCAGTGCTCGAAGAAAGCATCAAGACCTCTTAAAGACACCGAGCTCACTAGTGTCCACGAGTAGAAAACTCTCACAAGACTCTCATTGCGTCGTTCGCAGAATTTCGGCATCTTCGTTTCATCTGGAGGTTCCACACTGTAAGATGCGTATTATCGCTACTAAAGCTAGAACAGGACCTTGACAATAGTTGGACCTTGACAATAGTTGGACCTTGACAATAGTTGCTGCTGACTCACGTAAGAGGGCCATCATTGTAACGAAGACATATGCAATAGGATGTTTCAGACAGTAAGGTATATTGAAACTATTGAAATGGGTGTCAATGCAAAGGGAATGCCCCTAAGTCTTCCAGCGTGAATGTCGATCTTGAAATGTTGAAGAAGGATATTCAGCCTCCATGGAGCAATATCGGCCACCAGACCCTTTGAGCATGTCATCTACATGATCGACATGCACAGTTCTAGCGAAGTTCAAACACCCAATGCATGTTTTAGTCCTTTGGCTCTCCATACAAACACAACCAAACTTCGAGCGCGCATACCTACTACGTCTACACCTTTCGAGGGACTGTAGGCCAGATTTCTAAAACGTGTGCACGCAGCGCAAAAACCTAGTGGACGAACCATGGCCTAATGTCCTCGCCGCACGATCTGCAGTCATACCGACATTCTACCTTATAATCATGCTGCAGTATTCAGTGCTCATATGGAGCACGACGAAACGCACGCGCTCAAGATCTGGGGCCGACTAAGTGCGTGGCTTGTGCCATATCCCCAGCGGAATAGTGTATGATGCGCATAGGTCTGGTCCGATGACGTGAGCGAGGCAAGGACAGAATGGTACAGTGACACCATGATTGCTGTGCCGACTTTGTCATCGAGCAGTACCATAAACAACTGTTTGTAGTCAAAGAGGTGCCGAACCTAGAGTGAATGGCTGGTGAAGTATGTAGGCATGATTCGTACAAGATAAAGACATCAAGCGGCACTCTGCTTTCGTCTGCACTGAGATGATTGGCGCTGGTTTCGGGGATTTCTGTACCGACAACTAGCATTACGACGCTTATCGCGGATACTTTGTTTATCTGACCCTATTATGGGCTCGGATGGAGCGGTGTGGCGCCGCAGGGGCTGGCAGATTCCAATGTTGCTTCCAGGGCTCTGAGTACAATGTCACATTCACTCAATGAATGAACCGGCCGCCGTTTGGAATTACATCGTAAGCCGTCATAGGGTGTCAAGTGCCGTTGATATCCTGCTATCGACAGTATGGCTCAAAATTTCGCGGTGACGCCTATTGTGGTGACATTTCAAGTCAACGTTCGCTTTCCAGAGTCGAAAAGGAGGTTTAATCTTTCGGGCAAGCACTTCTGGCGATTGCGCCCCTGCAAACGTGTCACTTCGTGTACTACTCCTCTATTAGTCATGGTATCTTCAAGATCGTTGCGATTGTCCAAATTACTCAAGCAGCAACCTGAATCGCAATGACCATCAGAACCGTGATCAAGCCGTAATGAATGCCGCTCAAGTGTAGAATTGCGCAATGACGGGTTCCTTCGCCAAGGATCAACGTCGTGGGCTTCCAAGATATGCCGGGAGACGTCGCGAAGTTATCCAAATACAGGGATGGCGCAACGGCACGTGCCATAAGAGCTATGTGCCCGTTGAGCAACAAGCGTCTTTTAGCTTGTGAGTGATGCACGCAAGTCGTGGAAGCTCTCAACCTGTTGTGCTTTGGCCGGGCTTCAGTAGCAACATTGAATCCTGATGCTTTAATATTCCTTGTAGTCATACTGTGAGGTTTGTGTACGAGTGTGGCCGTAACAGGCACCACCGTGGTAGGCTTTCCCTCATTTGATTTCTGTCATAAACTTCCTCTCTATTCCCGTATTCCAGCCTTGTACCGGAGATACGTTGGAGCTAAGGATTATCCCTGTCAACTTGGGTACGGGGCTTCCCGTTCCACATTACTCGTGTGCACCGGTCTTGAGCGTCGAGAAGTCGAAAAGATTTTCCACTAGGTCAGTCTAGTTCGCCAGTTGTCGTAGTAAGGATTCCAGCATTTTGCTACTAGATTAACAAGAATTGCACAACTGATTGTTTAAAGCTCAACATTGTGAAGCCACACCCGGCATTGATAGCTTCCTCATCAGTGTAAGTACATAGCAACAACAATTCACTTGTGATACCTTCATGATTAGTAATCAATGATATAATAGAGTACATGCCTAAGTAACTTGAGAGTTGGCCGACAGCTAACGCGCGGGCCCCGAATATGCAGATCCCTGAAGACTCGATCAATGTGCAAGACACATCAAGCCTGATGGCATAATGCACGAATACGCCACACGCCCGCATTTTCGGAATTTACACCTCGTATTCGTTTCCAGGGCTCTGAAGGAGCGATTTGCATCTATAGCATCGTCATGCAGTGGCTGATGCTGCACTGTGTAATCTTCTAGACCCTAACGACCATTCTCGATGTCCTACATGAAACACTTACGACGGTGGACGCCCACCATGCCACTCTGCACCCACCGATCGGACCAGGATAGGGTATCGTTAAGCGAGAGTCGGCGCCTTTGCAACACTAGGCTCTCGCCAAACCTGTCTGTTACCCTCTACCATCGGCTTAATTCAGACTGTTCAGGGCTGGTCCCCTTGGTCAGGGCGATTGAGGTCTAGGCGGGGCTTAACAGGTGAGGGTTTGTAGACATGTTCAGTCGCTGTCATGAAGTTGGCATTGCAAAGGAGTGTGAACAGATGTGAAGGATTAAGCCTATGCATGCCTACTAGCGTGGCTAGCTACCCGCAGACCGTTAGAGAAAGCCCCTTCCTGTTTCGGTGGTGCGGTGTCTGCCGGGGCCGCGATGCACGTGGAAGTGACGAAACCTCGGTGAAATAATGTAGAGTTGGGCAGCATGCAGCCGCCACTAGGCCCTTGAAGCACCACTGTCTATGCGCAGCTTCTGATTTTTTTCGCATTGGCTCACCAATTTGCAATCGGAGACTTACATGCTACTCTGCTGGTGAACGACAAACAAGACATGACTAACTCTACCATCATCATGGCCGGCTTTCGCACATTGGCGCACGATTTAGTGCTTGCCAGCAGGTGAAAGGAGTCTTCATATTCATGACATGGGTGCTTGGGACCACGTTTGAACTCATGACCCACTTTCCGCCTGCATGCCAGGGTACCTATTAGCCCCAGGAGTAACTCTCGTCTGCGTTAAGATCCCACAGGGTACCTTGGCTTCGCTTGCCTAACAGTTCGAGGTTTTCGTTTACCACACTTGATGTCGGAATGTCACACATGGATGCTCTGACACCACATATCGACCGTATATACGCTCGAGACGGTGGCCTAAACACGCCCCTAGATGTTCAGCTCAGTTGGCCTAAAGCCAACCACGTAAATCCAGAGGATCGGGGTTGGAGCGCGTCAATTGTGTTGCTTATATCCTTGGGAATCACACTCCTTGTGTATATTGCACGCATGTGGGCACGATTAAGCCTAGGTAAAAATGCCGGACTAGATGATACTCTGATGAGTATTGCGATCTTACCGCTATTGGCCCTCACAATATCAGTCGTTCTAGGTAAGCACATTGCCCCATGTGATTTTACCGAACTAACATCGAAGTTAGCCATGAGGATATATGGCTTCCAGTGGCACGTATGGGACCAAACGAAGAAGACATTGGTCACTGTTCGAGAAGTAGGCTTTTGGGTGAGCATTTTCTTGGGCACAGGCTGACGCAGGTCCAGGTCAAAATGGCAATTGAGATCAGCTACATGATCTGTACGACTTTAATAAAGGTCTCGATTCTGTTCTTCTACCGGCGAATAACTGCTTCGCTTACCATCACTTTTGTTTATTGGGTCTGGGGATCCATTGTGTTTTGCCTTCTATACGGTATCACCTTCATATTCCTCATCGCTTTCACTTGCAACCCGACGGAGGGCTTTTTTTACCTTTTCGACAGCGCTTGGAGGTCCCAGCATGAAGTAACTTGTCGCGACGAAGGTGTCATCATTGTGGCCGTTGCTGCTATTAGTACCTTTCAGGACTTCGTCATCGCTCTGCTTCCTGTTTTCCTCATTTGGAAACTGCAGATTCCCAGAACTCAGAAGCTAGCTTTATGCGGTTTATTCGGTCTGGGTCTCGTGTAAGTGGTCGCCCTGAATATAACGGGTCATAGCTGATATACACAGCACTTGTGTTTGTGGTATCATGCGCACGTATTACGCAGCATACGTGTACTACTACAGTATGTGCCGCATCTACATCTGCCTCCAGCTGCTAAATACCGATAGCTTACGATACCACCTGGTACGCTTATTATGGCTATATCTGGACAGCTCTTGAAGCCGATTTAGCAGTGATATGTGCATCTGCGCCTGCACTTAAAATATTCTTCCGTCGGTATTTCACCTCGACGACCAGCTACACAAAGTCGGGAATCAGCAAAGGTCACATTCCGATGCCGACGGCAACGACAGTAAAATCGACACGTAGCAAGGAGTCGCCATTTTCCGCATCTCGAATCGCAGCCAATATAACCTACGATGAAGAAGTGCCGATGCACTGTATCAAAGTCAGTCAGGGGCTGGACGTTTGCATTGATGAGAGGGACGACGTTTCGCAAAAGAGCTTTGCAAGCACGAAGAACTTCACTTCATCGTCCCTGCCGGAAGAGAGTGCATGGCATGGGTCAAGCCAGTGGGCCCAAGGCTGTCACACTGTTTGTACAGCTCTGCAGCCGTCGACTCGGGGAGGCTCTCAGACAGGAACTCGGGAGCGAGATATTGAGATTGGAGCAGCAATATAACCTCTTATTCCGAAAGTCACCGATTCGAATACCAGATGATGCCTCCAATCTTCCAATGAGAATAAAAGAAGTCACTGCCCCAACTCAGGTTTACTAGATGCTTTCAGCCTGCTTAAACGTTGGTGCCATCGACATCAATTCCAGCGACTTACCTTCGTCGGCTGGCAACATGCACTGACATGCCAGGTTCTTAATGTATCCTCCGTTTATCTGCTTGCAGCGTTTTGATTCAAGTATACATACAGAATAGTCCTCCTAGGATGTATACCCATCGCATGGAATGGTACAAAACGGCGGCATTATTAACATTACACTACGGATAGAAGAGGACGAGTATACTCGGCTTTGGTCTCCATGAAAGGGTTTTTATTTTATATCTGCCTTGGTAATATGGCTCAACGATACTGTGGTCTCTAGATCCTTATGAGCTATTGTACTCATCGTCAAATACAATGCAAACTTTTGCGCAGGTGTAGTGTGGCGGCAGTTGCCAAAGAGCTTTCCGTCGGCAAGCGGCCTCGCTCATGCCTTCTGATTCGCCAATGCCGGCTTCCCAAGCTTGTAGCTCGAGCTCCACGTGCGGGGAAGATCACTCAACCACGACATTTGAGTTGATTCACATGGTATTCTTCTCTACGAACAACGCAAGTACGTATGCTGCTTGTGGTGTCTTGTCATAAATTCATTTACATTGCAGATTGTAAGATCGGAATACGTTGGTAAGAGTCTCTACAAGAACCTCGTGGTCCTCGGTTCAGCCCTATGTAGCTTGTGGCACCCGCACACATCGATGAATTCTTTCTAACATACAGATCACAGTCAGACAGGTGAATCTGTCTTCTCAAGTACCTGAAGTCTCGTACAAATCAGACAAAATGCCACAGCTCCTCAAGCTTGCATCCGCGCAAGCCCGCACACTCGAGACCACTCAAGATACCCTCCGCGCGCTCGAAGTCACCACAAAACGTGCCGCAGCTGAGGACGTCGATATCATCCTCTTCCCAGAGGCTTACTTGGGAGGCTACCCACGCACCTGCAGCTTCGGAGCTGCTGTCGGAGCACGCGCGCCCGAAGGGCGCGAGCAGTTTTTGGCGTATTTCCATGATGCTGTAGATATGGGTGACACACCAGCTGGCGCAGGTCAAGATTGGGTAGAAAAGAAGCTCGAGCTGCCTCGTGGCAAGAAATACCGAGGTGACGGTGTACGGGAAGAGCTGGAGCGCATTGCGCGCGAGACGGGTGTCTTTGTTGTCACGGGCCTCGTTGAGCGATGCGCGGGCACACTGTATTGTGGAGCTGTTTTTGTATGCCCCAAGCTTGGTGTGCTGGGTAAAAGACGTAAAGTCATGCCTACTGGCTCAGAACGCTTGGTCTGGGGTCAGGGCTCAGCATCGACACTACGGGCTATCACCACGGAAATCAAAGGTGTTAAACTGTGCATCGGATCAGCGATATGCTGGGAGAATTATATGCCTCTTCTACGACAGAGTTTGTATAGCCAGAACGTCAACCTCTGGTTCGCGCCCACTGCAGACGCCCGGGATACCTGGGAATCGCTTGTCCGCACTATAGGCTGCGAAGGACGCTGTTTCGTTGTGACCGCAAATCAGTGCGTTAAGCGAAAGCATCTGCCGAGCTGGATAAAAGGAGGGAAGACAATGCAGCACAGCCAGAGCGCACCAACACCGCCTGAAGCACCCAAGACGATCGGCGGGCGAAGAAAGAGTACTATCGTTTTCACGGAAGAGAAGAACGAAATTTGTCTTCCTGTACGATCCAACAATGAGCACCAAGTGGTCAATGGCGAATCGGCGATCGAGTCTGGTTCATCGCCTCTCCGCAACGAGGTCGAGCAGCCACCGGCTCCTGAGCAATTCACAACGAACCAGGCCGCGCCTTCATCGTCCGATGATGAAGATTATGTTTCCAGAGGAGGGTCGTGTATCATTTCGCCGCTAGGCGAAGTTATCGCTGGCCCTGTCTGGGAGAAGGAAGACGAGTTGCTCATCACGGTTGTGGACTTTGAGGATTGTGAGAGGGGTCGCTTGGACTTTGATTCTGCAGGGAGCTACTCAAGGTCAGATAGCTTCAAGCTGTTGGTCGAGGGACTGGATCTTAATCCGCCACCACAGTAGGAGGGATGTATATCAAGCAATACCATGTTGGTAAAGGACGGTGCATGATCATGCCACTTGTTCGATTCACCTATTTATTCTGTTCGCATTCTTCATATCCTTACAGTTCGGTGTCATTTGGTCTGCAAGGTGGGCGGAAGTGCCAGTCATCGTAGACAAGCCGCGCTAGCATCGTCATCTGTGAGTGCACAGCTATCTTTGCCAACCTAATTAATTGGTTCGAAGATGCTGTCGTACTCCATATTAGAAGCTCTGCTCCTTTCCTTACTTTAGAGGCGTTTTAACCTTATTTGTAACGTCTCCTTAGAGATGTTGCTCGAGTTAGGCGGATATTCTTTGCAGGGAGATGGCGTAAGTAGTCCGGGGTCAGACGATCAAGCTGCACAAAAATCGTAACAATACTGGGCCTTGGGGTAAAGCTGGGCTTGGAAAGTGTCCGCATTCGCAGATCTTATTTTCCCAACTCATGTCGAATCCACTTTCATGATCACTCATCATCGCACCCCAACCTCCGCAAGCACCCTGCTAATCCAATATTGATGGCCACGCACTACGATTGTCGGGTCGTTTCACTGTAGCATGGGTGGCTACATACATGTCCGCATTGATGACCTCCCAAGCGGGCAAGCCACAACGGTAGCACGATCAGGTCGTATTCAATTAATACACCGCTAGCACTGATGAGAACAGTCAAGACTTACCTTGGTGCGCCAGGGGTTTTTAGTCGCTACTTGTCTTTTGTGGTGTGCAAACTCGCTTCTGCTCCGGGGCATTTCATCGCAAAGCGCACCGTCACCGTGGAAATACAAAAAGGTATCTATAAGAAGTGGGCTGATCGTACTCACAAATAATACAACCCTTCCTTCCGCGGGATCGTTGAAGCTAACTGTGCCCCCGCTCGTCGCAGCCATATTGCAAGCAGGTGGTGGCTGAGACGAAGTTGGGGAGGGAGATCTATACGAGATTGACGCCATTGCTTTTATGTGTGATTAATAACGTGGAAGGTAACAACATCACGGCAGTTCGATTAGCAGGTCTGCAAGATGGATTGGACACCTGTAGTGTACAGAACCAGGTATGCTTTTTGAGGGACCATACACAGACGTCTCTCTAAGACGCTTGATTACGATGATATTCACGCGCTGATCTTGACGGTACCACCTTATATGCTCGCTGTGAACAAATCTTTTTGGATACGTGGAATGCCGACAGAACCGGCGAGCGCTTCTGGCGCATGATATTGCAGCTCTGTATTGATGTCTTTGCCTTTGTACTGTATAGCAAGTTCGATGCCTCGCTCACCCAATGCACTCGCTGCATCAATGTGGCAATCAATACGGTTACTGGTGAGGCGTGAGTATGAGCGTGGTATCGGCGTAAGTTTTGGGTTTCTGAAGTCGTGAATTTCCAACGTGAAAACGGAAGTTGCCAATCTTGCTTGCACAATGTCGTCCTCTCTTGCTGTGATGTACGTAAGGTGGCTGGTGACTGAGTTTCGGAGTCCGGGTGCCTCGAACCTTCCACGTCCGACTGTCCGAACGCGGCTAGCGCGGGTTGACCCACTTTGCGCGTCGCGATCACCGTCATCCAGCGTGTGTCAACCTCCTCCTTCCACCCAGCACATCACGTTAACAGATCATTTCGCGCCTGTACTTGACTCCGGCATATTTAATACTATCATTTGACCAGATCTGGAACTTCTCCCTCGCTGGTTCGCGTTGTGAGCCTTGATTCGGCGTTGTCGCAGTAGCGTGACTCGGAAGATAATCGAAGTGTCTTGTGCACATATAATGCACTTCACAGAGATCACATCTCCATACTTGTACAACATATATAACAGTCGCTTAACTTTATCCGAAGCCTACCAGACGGACGCTTCACTCAACTCGAAAGCTTCACTTACCTGGCCGCCACAAAAGGCAACAACGCTACGCTAGCATACGCCACCTTTGATATCAACATCGAAAGGCTACAAAACCATGGATTTCTCAAACAACGCATTCCGTGTTCCTCCAAAAGTTTCCGAGGACACAATGTCACACGCAAATCTGGTCATGGCGTGTCAATGGGGGTGGTCAAGCACACCTGACTCAGAACAGGTACAGTCTACCGATCTGACCGCGTCACAATCTACGTTGAACACGCCCTTCAACAATATCCGAAGCAAACGATTCGCGCCGTGCCAAGGCCGACTTTACCACCAGCTCCTATGCTCCCATCGTATCCGAACGGACTTAGTTGAAGACTGTGGTGGCAACTGCGTCGAGCCTTTTGGAAAACCCTTGGCTACTGCATTCGTCTGCAATGAATGCATCCAGAAGGAGGCTATCGACATTTGGGAACAGCGAAAGGCGCAGCATGGAGCTTCTTATCCACCGATCGATCGAATGTCGAAAGAGCAATACGACGTGTTCTTTGAAGAGCGCCGGACTCTCGAGACCGAGTTTGCGCGAGAGCACAAGCTCTACGAGTTAGAGCTCAAGGCCAACATGCGACCTAGCAACGTCTGTTCCGCACAAGAAGCGAGTAAGGATGAAACCGAGTTCGCATCCAAACTAGACTCTCTTTCATTAGCGATGATGGCGTCTGGTGATGGAGCAGCTCAACCTCAGTTTGTGCAGTCTCGCGATCGGTCGAGTATACCGAGCGACGCTTCCGAGCAGCTGCACTGGACTTTAAGCACCCTTGCACTGGATCGTGGCGCATGTGGCATCGAATATTCGACAACACAGTCTCCAAATGGTGTGCCATCCTTGCGACAAGTGAATGAGGAAGAACTATGGCGAAAGCCGCGGGAGTAAGCGGGTGAAGTTCAGGACCAATACGAGGACAACCACGACCGCAAGACCGGCGCATGGCCGACTTTGTAGACGATGAGGTTTGTTAGCGACATGCATAAATCTGGAGTTTAGCGGCATTTGATGGTGTTGAATCTGCGTCAGTACGCAAGAATGGAATCCTTACTTTGGGGTAATCGTTTTCTGTCTTCACGTTGCACACATACTCGTGCTTGTGTGGTGGGGTCTTCAAAAACGATTTAAACCGGAGTACAAACGCATGTCCTCATAGTCTTCCACATACTGCCAGAGAGGTGTACAACTGGGTCTCGTGATGTTGGCAAGTAAGGTGTGCAGTGGCATGTGTGGGGTTCACGCATAGCACTGAACAGATCCCTCACACATACATAAAATTCCCAACAACAGGGGAAAGTGCTAATTCTTTAGGTTTGCGTTGCCAGCTCTGGAGTTGCAGCCTGTCCATCGACAGCGGTTAAGTAATGCCGAATATCTGGGCGCGGCAATCATGGTCAAGTCGGTGAGCTCCCTAGCATCTCGCACCGAAAACCTGACTATCGGTGCAAATGCGGATGGGCAGGGTCGTCGATCTGTCTGGGCACCTAACTCTATTGGTTCAATACACATGCTTATCGGGCCCATTAGTGGGGTTGAAATTGCGGAGGTAACATGCACGTGTATATAAGTCTGTAGTCAACGGGGGTGTTTATTACTACGTCCATGTCTTCCTGAAAACTTATGATGGTTTCCCATATATTCTCTACCTTAACACTCGCAATTCTCGCAACCCGGACAAGCGCTGCGTGTGCGCCTGATGTTCCTGAAGGGTTTCTCGCCAATTTCGAGGTGCTCCACCATACTGCAATTTCCAAGGCCTTCGAGGGCATTGAAAAGCTTCTGCGGGAGCCCTATGATGGGAATGCTACAAGAGATGGGCTAAGTTTCGCGATTGTCCATGCCTCCTCGCCCACACCCGTATACACCTTCAATGCTGGTGCTCTGAAGTTCAACGAAACGTCTCTGTATCAATCTAATGCAACCGAAAACACTGTTACCAGCGACTCGATATTACGCGTCGCATCTGTCACCAAAAATGTCGTCATGACCAGTGCTTTATTTCTCTCCCAGCTTTCCAATCACACCATCACCCTGGATACACCGGTTCGACAACTTCTGCCATCGTTCCACCTACCGTCCCTCGACTGGTCAGATGGCGGCAGCGAAATAACGCTAGGCATGCTGGCAAGCCACACAAGTGGCGTTACGAGAGAGAGCTTTAGCACCGATTTCAACCAGGTGTTGAGCACTGGAAAAGCCACAGCCAGCCACGTGGGAGACTTGTGGGCAGCTCAGACTGTTCAGAGCGTGATTGGGATGGCCGGAAGGACGGCGTTAATGTATAAGCCCGGGGAGAGATCTGCATACTCAAATGCGGGGATTGGAATCCTGGGAGCTGCTATAGCATCATACTACAACGAGATCGCAAGCATGAATCTGACTTGGAGTCAGTTAGCCACTCAGGAGCTGTTGCAACCTCTCAATATGACGAACAGCTTCCTTGGACCCATCCCTGACAGTATGATCCCCTTCATCTCGGTACCTGGAGGGGACAACTGGGCCGATCTTGTGGTCGGAGAGGGATATAACCCGGCAGCGGGAATGTGGGTACGTGTTTGCCGAAAAACTGCAACTCGACAATACTGACACACAACAGAGCTCAGCGAATGATCTCTCTAAATATATTCATGGCGTCTGGTTGCAACAGTCTCCCACACTTATCTCGTCCTCGGACCGACGCCGTGCGTTGAAGCCAGTATACACCCTGCAAGACGGTAAGCAGCAGGTCGGGCCCGGGTGGGAGATCGGTCTCCGCACGTATAATGTAAGTTCCCACGAAGGCGACCCCACAAGCAAGACCTACAGCATCTACGGAAAGTCAGGTGGCGGAGGCGGCTGGCGGTCCTGGATCGATGTCGTTCCCAACCTAGGCTACGGGCTTGTAATTCTGAGTCAGACTGCGGGACTTCAAGATTATGAGACACTATACCCAGCGAGTCTGTATGGCGATGTCCAAGATATACTCATCCCTGCTTTTGCGGAAGCACTCGCCGCGGAAGTGGAGAAGAAATATGCTGGTGCGTATGGAAGTGGCCAGGATGCCGGCATCATTACAGATGTGGTAAGTATCAACGTTACAAACTCGACAACGTATGCGAGACTTGAGGTTGAAGATCAGATCCTGTACATGCGAGAACTAGTGGTCAATGGCAGTAGTGCCTTGGAAGCCATTGATAGATTGAGTTGGCCTGAGGACAGCGTGGGGGCGCCATACTTCTCTAGACCATCTGGTGTGGTGCTCGACCCTGCTGGTGGAGCGAGCGAGAATGCGGATTTTGGTGACGGTGCGCAGGTGTTCAGTATGAAGGCCGCTGGAGAGGAACAGTGCAACTGGTTTGACTACGCTGGGTGAGTAACTTGAGTTCAAGGACTGACTTGTATAGCAGTTACTGATGATTTGCAGATACAAAGATCAGAATGGGTGGCCTCTGACCAAACTTGTGCTTGTTGAAAATCCGGATGGTATTGCGCTGCATTATCCACCATTTGACATCGTGGTCAAGAAATCCTGACGCTGGCCTCAGTAGAATTGCTACCATATCGTAATCGAATTGATCTAAAGCCAATCTGCTAGCCTGCTTGCAAGTTATTGGCCAATATGACTGTGAGACTGCATTCTGGACAAATGCGACGGTAACAAATTTCTCGAATACGTTAGGTCAATGTATCGGAAACAATATGCAAGAATCAGCTACGGAGTTCGCTAGAGCACTCGTAGACCATTAAGGATATAAGCCAGGTCCAGTAGATGACCAGATCTCGTAGTGCGGGAGTAGAGCCGGCCATCAAGACTGTATAATTCCATGTTCGTTCTGCACTGCTATATGAGTGAAATACTACTTACGCTCGTGATTCATTCAAAACCCTTTGTCGACCGAAGCCGCTCTGATTACTGGTGGGACTCTCCACGGCCTTTGCAGGATGTGGTACATGTCGATTGTATAGGTGCGAGCGTTCGTTGAACTGACGGCCGGCTTCTTACGCATAGGTCCCGTACACATCTAATTTTTCGTCATGGTGATCAGGTACATGTGGTGTTGGTGAGCACAAGGCTGATGGGCTCGGCCAAGATTCAGAGGCCTAGCACCGGATGCGGCTTAGCTGTTTTATGCTAGTGGCACCCACGGCTAAGCGAGGGGATTTTGATCATGGTCGCAACTTCCCACTTGACTACGATACTAACCACCATCAAAGTCAGTCGCCATGGGTCGTGTCATCCGCAACCAGCGTAAGGGTCGCGGCTCTATCTTCACGGCCAACACCCGCCTGAACAAGGCCCCCGCCCAGTTCCGCACGCTCGATTTCGTACGTCTCCGAACCGCGCGCAGCCGCCGCAAAAGTCGATACACGCAGGAATGGAAAGGCTAATGGCAGACAGTCTGAGCGCAATGGATACATCCGCGGTGTAGTCAAGGAGATTGTCCACGACAGCGGTCGTGGTGAGTACAGCGGCGCGACGTGCGAAATTCCTTTCTGACGAATTTGCAGGCGCTCCTCTGGCTAAGGTCACCTTCCGCAACCCGTACAAGTTCAAGCACAACACGGAGACCTTCATTGCCAACGAGGGCATGTACACTGGCCAGGTCAGTGTCCCCGCAAAGTACGAGAAGTGACGGGCTCGTAGACTAACATACAGCAGTTCATCTATGCCGGAAAGCACGCCGCTCTCACCATCGGCAACATCCTGCCCCTCCACTCCGTCCCCGAGGGTACCGTCCTGACCAACGTCGAGGACAAGAACGGTGACCGTGGTGCGCTCGGCCGTACCTCCGGTAACTACGTTACCGTCATTGGCCACAACCCCGATGAGGGCAAGACCCGTGTCAAGCTCCCCTCCGGTGCCAAGAAGGTCCTCCCCAGCTCCTGCCGTGGTATGGTTGGTATCGTCGCCGGTGGTGGACGTACCGACAAGCCCCTCCTGAAGGCCTCGCGTGCCAAGCACAAGGTCAGTGATCATACCCAAAGCGCGCTGAGCGTGTCGCTAACGTTATTTAGTTCGCTGCCAAGCGTAACAGCTGGCCCAGGACTCGTGGTGTTGCCATGAACCCCGTCGATCACCCCCACGGTGGTGGTAACCACCAGCATATCGGAAAGGCCTCGACCATCTCGCGCTACGCCGTTGCCGGTCAGAAGGCTGGTCTCATCGCCGCCAGGAGGACAGGTCTGCTCCGCGGTACCCAGAAGACCAAGGATTAAATGGTTTTTTGATAAGGTGGCGTCGGTTTCCTGGATCAATGACGATGATGCGCTCGGTTGTTCTCTCATACCATACACCAACATGCGGGTGGCCGGGCGTTATGATACTTCTCCGGTCAGGCTTCTCAGAAAGCCTACATGCATGATAGGCTATAGGGAATGTGATACCGAAAAATGCATTGGACTGTACTTTTGGCAATGTGAACAAGAATTCTTCATCCTTCGACTCCTCGGTGTTTTGTGCATGCATACTGTGTGGATGCCCATTTGCGCCTCAGCTCTCAAGCCCTTCGTGCCTTGCGATTGCAAATAAGGCACAAAGGTTGTCCTATTTCATCATCTCCAAGCCTATCCGGCTTGACGATGCATGATTCCCTAGAGTCCGCTCATTACCGTATCCCCGTCCTCACCGATTCCCACTTCTGTATCATCACCTTCCTCTTCCCACTGACTAGGGTAGTCCATATCAAGCACTCGATAGTGCTTCCCGTCCTTAGCCAGTACAACCACAACTCTCCTTCCTTTCCGTCCATTCACAACAAGTCTGTCCGGCGTGAACCGTCCTCCGCGCTCAAAGACATGGATCGTGTATTGCTGCACGACCGCAGGTGTGAGCTTCGTGAGAACGCGACCGGATGCTGCGGGCGCACTACCCTTCGGTAGGAGATGTTGTGTGTTCTCGGCTGCTGAGAGCGTATGATATGTCAGCGCTGGGGATTTGTTCTGCGGAGTTGTGTTGTAGGGGATGCGCAGAATCCTGTGGCCCAGGATGTCGTCAGTGTCGTTGGACCGCTTGGGCGATGTGCAGTTCATGAGCACGAGCAGAGCGGCGTCGTCGGCAAACTTGGCGTCTAGGATCGAAGTTCCGGGTGGGAAGGACAGGTTGGCGATACTGTGGCTGTGTAGGTCCCTCGGCAGAGTTGTTATGCTGGATGAATGAGTGAGGCGGTGGATGTCGAGTGTCACTGGCGAGGAGGTAGAGGCGATGGCGATGTAGGTCGAAATCCCCGTCGAGCCCTGTGCTTGTGATGGTGTGACTTGCTGCTCGGGTTTGAATTAGAAGTCCCCTGGTGGAGAGTGGTATAGGGGTCAGGACATACCTCGTGAACCATCCTCATGTCTGCGATAACATCTCCCTCCGCATCTTGCAGAGTTTCCAGGATAATACCGCTATCCATTTGGATACCACTTTCTTGCCATTTGCTGACCTGCCTCAATAGTCCTGTCGTACCTCTCGCCATGTGACCCAATACATTCTCCAAGCACAGTGCCTCAGGTCTCCATCTCGCCCCATCCTCAAAGACACTGATGGCTTTTTTCGTGTCCTCGTAGCTCGCTCGCTCTCTCGCTTTGTCCCCTGCTTCTAACATGACGTCTGGCATCAGATACGGGTGCAGGCTGCTCTGCTGCAGTCCATGCCTGACGTATTCCAACACCAGGTTAATATCTACACCTGAGTCTCGGCTTTCCATCTCGGCTCGGCTTTCGCTATCAGGCTCCGTGGTTTCGAAGTCTATGACAAAGCGCATCCATCTGCTGAAGGCAGCGAATTGTCTCTTCTCGTCTGCGACATAAACCAACACAGTATGGGCCAGCAGCCGCATGTTTTTCAAAGTCTCCAAAAGGGACGTAAACTCAGTTGCTGGGTTGCTGAAGATCCAGTCCGTGTCATGATACATCGCCAGACCGCGGAGGCGAGAGATGACGATTGCTGCGCGATCAAGCGCTGGAATGAGATTTTCGTGCACAAGCGCTTGTAGTGTTGCCAACGATGAGGTGACGGTGTTGTCCCATCGCTTGTGTCCCTGTTCAGACAGCTCGTCAACGAGCCACTCTCGAATAAGGGGTGGGCACGCGCCCGTGCAAGCTAGATGAAAGAGACTTGTGGTCAAATCGCCTTGACTCTTCTCTTCGAGTGTTTCTGATATGTTCATCATGAACTTTGCAGGAAGGTCTGTGGCATGCTTGTAAAATGTACGGATACGTTGCAGACATTGCGTAATGTAAAGAAGAAGGTTCTGAAGTTGTGAGGTCTTTGATGCGATGAGGTGGAGGTAAATTCCTGCGCTGGGAATGAAGTTGAGTGTAAGTGGAACAAAGCTAATGTTCTTTGTTTGCGAGCTTGGTGTAGTAGTTCGCATAAGAAGCCCATGGCTGCAGGCGTATGGATGACTTGCGTGAATCAAGGGCGCGCTATGTATGTCCCAATGTGAAGGTAGGCTCACAGTGACCGTCTCTACCGAATCGTAGATGGAGGGATGGATCGTTCCGCGCTCAGAGCAACGTATGAACATATCCACCGAGTTGTAGTCCTTTAGATGATGTGAGTGCAAAAGCGCATCAACTTCGGCCTGCGATCCAAAGGCGCCGGAATCTGTCTGAGAAAGCCTCATGAATGGCAACATAGGTGGCAAAGGGATTGCGGGCAATTTTGGCAACAGCGTCTCAACGTCCACGACAGCCAGTTGGTCCGGCAGATCGGGTGCGCAGTCCAAAGCCTGCAAATCAGGTTGTCTCTGGAGAAAATCTTCAACATCTGTACCGTCTTTTGCATCGTCCCAGGTGTCTGTCGAGAGATCAAAACCTCGCACCACCTTCTTCGTCCTGGCTTTGACAGTGTCGACGTCGATGAAATTTAATCCCCAGCCAATGCACTTCACCCTTCCCCCACCCCCATTACCATTTTCTGAAGCGCTTTCAGGTAGACCAAGATCCTTCAAGCCAACCTTTCCCGTCTCGCTGCTGACTAGGTCGGTCTTGCCGTCGCTCCAGCTGACCGCGATGCTTTTGCCATTGAACTCCCATTTGATTGTATCCACGACCAGACCCTCACTCTTTCTTTTCAGGCCAAAAGCCCGCTGTCCATTGATACGGTACACATCCAGGTTCTCTTCCGTGGTAACAACAGCGACCAAGTCCATAGTTGGGCAATACGCGATGAGGTGGGGGTGGATTGGGTGAAGCAGGATCTTCTCCGCCTGCTGAAGCAATGTAGGCGCGTCTGAAGACTCCATGATGGGCTTTGGTGGCCCTCGGGCCGGTGCGAGAGTATTATGGTAGAGTGAGTGTGGAAGATGAGTGGAAGGTGTTTGAGATGTACTAGCGTCAAATGGGGCTAGTGCCAACGCGTGGTCACTCAAGAAGCTATTGTTCTTGACAGCAGTTCTGTTGTGGACACAGGTAATGTAATCCAAGTAAAAGAAAGAACACCACAAAATTGACTATTGCATTACTGCGCGAAACGGCGTTGAAGTCCCTTTGTGCTCGTGCTTCCTATTTTTGGCGTTTGGACATATAGTAATCACGCTGGTAAATGTTCAGCACACGACAAACATGACCCGCCCTACAAGCGCAACTGTAATACCGAAGATCAATTAGAGCTGCAATAAGACAGGCTGAACTGTCACATAGGCGCTGTCGTGCGTCTGGTAATGTGGTTGCAAGTGGTAGGCCGGTAATCGCGAATCAGCATGGAAGTAGCTGATGCGCTCATTACATTCGTTCAATTCCGCTCTTGTCTATGCCTTTTCAGCCGCCCGTCCAGACTCCTCTGATACCCTCGCATCGCACTACGTTCACACAATCTCGTATACATCGGTGGTGGATTTGACATCCTTGGTGAAGCCAATTTCTTGGTTCATGGAGAGAAGGGTAACATTCGAAACCTGAAGACGAGATCAGCAAACATTTCACAGAGCTGCTAAGGACTGAACTTACATCAACGTCGACAAATGGTGTGCTCTTGTTGAATCTTACACGCATAGGGAAGAACTCAGAATCGCTGCCAGCCTGTGCTTCGAACTCAAAACTGCCTGAGCTGTTGCTCTCATCGACAGCACCAATGTTCCATTCAAGACTGTCACCGCTGACCTCGTACACAGCATCGAAGGAACCAACATTAGGCTCGTCGGTCTCATAGGGAATCGTGACTGTGACGTCCTTCAGTGGGTCGCTGCCAGTAAGCTCATACTCAACAGTGATGTTGAATGTACTGCCCGACTCCTCGACCCAAACGCGGAAAGTGATCGGTGGGTCCGAGACATCATCAGGCCGGGGTGCAAGCTTCCACTTCATGACGCCAATACCCATGTTTGAGGGAAAGCCCTTCGTGGTATCTGCAAGCTGAATGACCTTGTCATTCTTGAATACAGCCTTGTCGACCTTGGGATGTGTCATTAGTTGAGCACCTCTTGTGTCGCCAGTCTGTAGGTCAAGCTTGACTTGTGTGAGGGAAGCGTCAGAGATCTTAAGCTGCATCTCACCCTTGACTTCGAAGGACTTGAGCAGACCCTCGCGATCGAGTCGTGCGGAGATGGTCTCATTGGTAGTGATGTGAATGGCTTCGCGATCGGTAGATGTAGACTGGCGGGCGCTAGCGGGGGCAACAGCGGTGGGCGCTGAAGTCTTGGGCGCAACGAGGGGCTCGCTCTCGGGTGGCAGGTCGCCAGCGATTTGGTCGAATGCGCTGTTCGTCTTGTTCTTTTTGCCGAGCTGCATGCCCTTCTTCCCCAGTGCGAGCGGCTTGGCTGGTGCCTTCTTTGATGCTTCGTAGCTGTCGTATGTATCTGGCACCGTCTGCGTGGGCGCGCTGGGTGTGAATGCAGGATACGAAGACTGGCGGCCCATGCCCATACCGCCTCCCATACCGCCTCCCATACCTCCAGCTCCAGCGCGCTGAGACCTTGACATTTCCTTGCGCTGCATCTCCAGCTGCTTAGCCCTACGCTTGCGTTCCTCGGAAGCCTCGAGCTCCTTGTTCCTTGCGATGATCTCCTGGATGCGCTCCTCGTGCGACTCCATGTCCAAGAATGTCTTGATCTGGCTCATGGTGAGATTCTCCCTGTATCCCAACGTGACGATCTCATCGAAGGCGGTGAGGAGCTCAAATGAGTTTCTCAAAATCTCGCGCTCGTCAAGGGACTTGCATGTTGACGAGACAACCTGGGCGAAAAGGTGTAGCGAGTTGATGTCCTGCAAGATATTGGATTGCAGGTTGGTGATCAGTACCATGTACAGCTCATCCAGAGGCTGGTATACGTAGCGCACGTTGTCCTGCTCACAAGTGGTATGCTGGGTGTTGCTGTCGGCGAGCTTGGGGAACGAGGCGAGTAAGGCTTCAATGCGAGAGCGCTGCATCTCACGGAACTGGCGCGAGAGGACGGCTTTGCCGCCTCGTGTGCATATCGACGCGGCGAGGACCACCTATGCAGGTCAGCTTGCTGTTGACAGATAGCCCGTAAGGGCACGCTGGATGTTGTACCATTGTCGTGAGCTTTCAATTGGCAAGCGTTGAGGCGGTACCCTTCCGTAATGAGCTGTTTTTCTGGCAGTAGGACGTTGCGAGCTCCGAGGTCGTCGCGGTCGTGTTCGGGGTTGGAGGATGGAGGGGGGTGTTGACCAAGTGGAATTTACAAAACCACGAAACGTCCAGGTGCGACTCGGGGGGTAGGAAGAGGCTAGGAGTCTACAAGAGTATGGCGCCAGATAGTTGTAGCGCACGGCTGAGATTACAACCAGACAGCTCTATCTCAGGCACTACCTCACGTCGCAACACTGAACACCTGGAAGTTCAATGTGGAGCATCACGTGCCTTCGTTGAAAGTCGGGGCCTGCGCTAGTGCACCTTGCGCAGCACTTAAGCAGCTCCTCCCTTGCCCGCATCTCGACCATCTAATCGTCGCCACACAGGTCCTTACGCGGTATTCAAGCCACACTTCGTTAATAGTGGTTATATACGCCTGTCTCTCGAGGTACGGGTGTGTTCTTGCGACTCGAAAAGCTCTGCCGCTGTACCTTGACCCGCAGATTACTTACTCTCCTGGCCTTGGCGCGTCCGTCCCTCCTACGCTTCACTCTTTGTCTTCACTCCACCCTTTCTCTCGACCCCACCCCGGTATCCCTTCCGTACGCGCGAACCTGTATCTCCCCGACGCGATGCACTCATAATCTCCGTGCCGAACATTCAACCCAGACAACACAGCTTACAATCACGCACCCGCCACCTTCTCACACGCGGTCTCGACGCGCTCGAATCGATTACACACCGAGGTGATTACTTCACCGTGCATCGCAGCCAGATTGTTATTCTGCTTAACGTAGCTATGACTACTACTGCACAAGCTGTCCCAGCCCTTGAGGTCTCTGCACCAGACGACAATATGGATGTGCTGTCCGACACAGGCTTCGATTTCGGCGATGGCGACATTGATCTCGATCTGGATACTGCACCCTCGGTACAGGATGACGATATGTCACTTAACGACGTGGCGACAGATGATGTTGTCGATATGGAAGAGCCGCCTGCTGATCAAGACGATTTCATGGTTGACCATGGCGACCTGATTGAGGAAGACGATACATACAACGACAGCGGCGCTACCGCATCAGCAGCAGTGTCACAGACTATAGATCAGGGCGCAGATACTTTCGAAGCAGATATGCTTGCGCCACCAGATGAAGATCTGATCGACTATTCGGACGATGAGGCACAACAGCAGGTCAAGATGCACAGCCCTTCGGTGCATGATGATGAAGAATTGCAAGCTTCCTACGATGCTGAGATTGCACCTGTGCCCGTCAACGACCAAAATCAGGATGACAAGGCGCAGGGACATGCGCAGCCAGTCGAGTCCACTGAGAATTTCCATCGTGAAGCACCAATTCAAGAAGATGCCGTCGCGGAGAGCTTTGAAACAACAGAGACGAATCCTGAGTATCAACCAGTGGATGCAGAGTTGTCGCACGAAGCCAATGAGGATAATCATGTGCATGTCGACGACGGTGGTGTCCCGCTTCCAACAGATGAACAGTCGTACTCACACTCTGATAATGCCATCGCTGAACAGCAAGAAATCACTGAACAGCAAGAAGGACTGCAACAAAATGCAACCGATGGTAGTGGGAGTACCCATCAACTCGTCCAGCAGATCGAGCTGCGACCAGTGACCGTGAATTACGCAGGCAACGAACTGTGGCTTTTCAAAGGGCATGATCTCGAGGAAAGCGGTGATTTCCTGCTTGAAGATATGTCCGTCGCTAAGTCTAGCATGTCGGATCTTTTTCAAGCTTGCAGATTGTCCCTCGGTGACGATGTTTCCGGCGAACACGAGATAGGCTTTCGATTCGACCATTTGCACAACCTAGAGCTCTATGAAGACAACACTGCATGTGTAGCTGTGTCTCTAGAGCGCTTGGTTGATCTGTATCACACGTTACAGGCACAGGATGACAACGAGGACCCTGAGTGTTTTTACGTCACTTTGCAGTTCCGTCCACGATTTGCCACACTGCTCGCTGACGTAGCGCAATATGCTGAGCAGGGTAGTGGTTACTCGGCCTTGGACGCTGCGGTGGCAGCCGGCGAGACGCACTTCTCGAATGTGTTCTCCAGTGCATCGACCGAGCATGAACACGTAGAGTGGGACGACGAAGAAAATGAAGACGAAGATGCAAGCTCGCCTGATTCTGATCACAGCACTGCACCAGAGCGAGTGGAGGCTATTGGACAGAATGAACAGCCTCATAATGAAGCAGAGGATGAACAAGAAGAACATGAAGACGACTCCAGTCAAGAGCAGCAACAGGGCGTCGACTTGAAAGATGCGTGGCATGAGACCCCTGGCACTCAGGATGATGAATCTTTTCTTGCACAAGAGAGTGCTGACTTCGATCCTCCGAAGAGCTCAGCCCCCGAAGTATCCAACGAAGACGTAGAGACAGCACCCGACTCTGCACCTGCAACAGCCGAACGAGACGGGTCTGAACCACTGGATAAGAGGACCCCCGATCAGATTGCGCACGATAAGCAGGAGGCAGACGACTTTGTTGACTACAGTGATGATGAAGATGATCAAGAGACCAAGTCCGTGCCAGCGGAAGAGCCCTCTCCGTCCTCGTCTACCGTGCAAGGAGACGAACCTACAGATACTCAAGAGCCGAGTCCCGTTCTTGAGCGCGACAGCCAGGATGATGCAAACGCTGCTGGGGCCTTCTTCGATGGGAATGACGACGACACCACTCTGCTTGCTCAAACACAATATGGTGATGATTCAAACCACTATGCCTTCCAAGATTACACAGAGACATACGAGCAAGGTGATCTCTTCCAGGACTATCAAGCAGATGGTACTGGAGGGGATCTATTTGATGCCAACGATGCCGGGAACGGCAACGCTAACCAAGACTTCTCCGATTACAACTTCCAGGGCTTGGATGGAGAAGTCAACTTAGGTTTTGACGAGCAGCCACTGGACGAAGCCGATCACGACGATCATGGTAACGAGACCTTCGAGACTATTGAGGATGTCTCACATGCCGATGCTCTTCTAGACCTCGACAATGCTCCTGAGTGGGCGATCGACACTGACCCGGCTCCAAACTCTACAGGGGAGAATGTGGTCCTTTTGCATGATGACGACACCATTCATGGTGACGATGAGGGTAGCACGGTTGGACAGCTTGCGACCGAAACGTCGCCGACTGGAGCCCTTGCATTGATCTCGTCAAATGACAACGAACTATCTTCCCCGCAAGGACAAAAGAGGTCGATTGACGAGATCGGCGATGGGGCTGATGATACTGTTCACTCTGCGGGTATGATCTCACGCTCATCGTGCAAGAGACGTTCCAATGCTAACATCTGCTTGCCAGATGCCAAAAGACCAAGAGTTTGAAACCCGCCACTCTCGAAGTTTTTCGAACGCCTTTCGACTACTAATACTTAGCTCTCCCTTTCACGACCATTTGCTATCTTACTCGGATGAGGCTCAGCAATGACAATCTCTTGGCCCGTGCGAACTACTGGCACAGTCTAATGTCGAGATTGAGTCCGAGTTCGTTTCTACAACATCTACTAACAATCTACTAACCACAGTCCTGCTATATAGAAATACTCGGCGTCTCGTTGCTTCTTTCGATGAGCCTTGCGAGGATCGCACCGCAGCAAGGTATGTCCGTCTGTATTCGCAACTGTTTCCCCGGATCACCCTATACATGCAATATCAAACAAATCAACAATTCATGGCGGAGGGACACTAGTGCGCACACAGGGCATTCTGGGGTTGAGGCGTTTGGGTTGGCATGGGAGATAGCGATGAGATACCCCAGATTCGAACAGAGACGGCTTCTATCGGGCGCTTCGCTGTCGCAATGCACATTGCAGGACGACCAGGACGCATGCTTGGCCGCAAAGACACTTGGAAGATGAGCTGTGTCACTCGCGAAAGCAGTAGGATTTACATCGACTGTGGGTCGGCAAAGATCTATTTCAGGCGTCTTTCGCAAGGTTCGTGTTATGCTGACGTCGTCCGGATGTTGCGATTGGATGTTTCGTATTTTAAGCATCAGCTTCAGCAACTACTTCGTTTACGAGCCTCGATCTGTGCTCTTGTGTATTGAACATGTGCGTTCGTGTTGTCCAAGTATGGTCACTGTGACTAAGCGGTGTTGTCCAGCATGCAGCCGAAGCGTGACTGCCGATGCTTCGATGTACAATAGCTGCATCTCGTGTCGAGAATGGATGGTCTGCGGGAGTGCGCGGATGCCGAAATGCTTGCACTGGGGTTACGCGTCTGGCTTGGAATAGCAGATGGCCCAAGGTTCCACGAATGCAGGGGCGCTCTCCTTAGCGTTGTAGCGTTCCAGCGATCTAGGCTGCTCAGCCTCAAGCCAGCACAGGGAGTCGGGGATGGCGTGTGATGATGAGACGGTACCTGAACGACAACGCCACCATTGCACACTTGTTGGATCCAGCCCATCCGTCAGTCAATAACCAGCACTGTCTGCGCGCGCCATTGCTCGTGCCCCATCCCCTCCCCTCGCTTTTGCTCTTGCTGGTGTAGACAGCGCCACAGTCGCTACTCACTGCGCATTGCACCCAATCCCTGGCCCACTCCCTTTGTCGCTGCAGGTGACGACGCACCCGGCGCCCCACAAGTGCTCCTGCCTCGTTCTCCCTCGCTCGGCGGCGTTTGGTGAAACGCGCATCGCTTCCAAGACCCTGCCTGCCGCGAACGTCGACACATCCTCGCGCTGCCGACCCGGCCTCCGTGCAGCATCGTGCCGAAGCTACGTCGCAACGCAGAGCTCAAGTGCTGAGTTCTGTTGAGCTGGACCGCCAACACAACTCCCACGATACGCAGCGCTTGCAATCGGTCCACAACCACACCACATCGCTGCCGCTTGTCGCGCTACGTGCAGCAGTCGGACGGCGCATCTGAGCGCGCATCTACATACATACACGTGCATCAACATCTGCTCGGCTAGCCAGTAGTCGCTTTGCGGTGTCATGATGGAAGACAAGTACGCTGCAGCGCATCACGACCCCCAGACCGCCTGCTAACCCTCGCCCCAGATACATCGGCCTGTGCCTCGCAGTCTCGTCGTCGCTTGCCATTGGCGCCAGTTTCGTCATCACAAAGAAGGGCCTCAATGCGTCCATGGAAAAGCATGGCTTCGACGGCGACGGCTACTCATACTTGCGCAACTCGACATGGTGGGCCGGCATCATCACCATGGTCCTCGGCGAGATCTTCAACTTCGCAGCGTACGCTTTTGCGCCCGCGATCCTGGTCACCCCACTCGGCGCGCTGAGTGTGCTCATTGGCGCTGTGCTTGGCAGCTATTTCCTCGATGAGCAGCTGGGCCTCTTGGGCAAAATTGGCTGTGCAATCTGTTTGATCGGGAGTGTCATCATCGTGCTGCATGCGCCGCCGGACAAGGAGGTCTCGTCCGTCGACGAGATCTTGAACCTGGCTCTCCAACCTGGTACGTTTCTTGCACCAACCATTGTCTTTGCGGCGAGACACTGACTTGCACCCCAGGCTTTCTCATTTACTGCCTCTTCGTCGCCATCTTCTCCGTCTTCATGATCTACAAGATCGCCCCCAAGTACGGCCGCAAGAACCCGCTAATTTACCTCTCCATCTGCTCCACAACTGGCTCTGTCTCCATTATGTTCATCAAGGCCTTCGGCATTGCGCTCAAGATGACTTTTGCCGGAAACAACCAGTTCACCCACCCGTCGACCTACGTCTTCGTCATCATGATTGTAGGCTGCATTCTCACGCAAATGAACTACTTCAACAAGGCCCTCAGCCAGTTCTCGACCAACATGTATGTCCCTCTCTTCCCCCACTCAAACATATCCTAACCTTACTCAGTGTCAACCCGCTTTACTACGTGACCTTCACAACCTGCACCCTCATCGCTTCATGCCTCCTCTTCCAAGGCTTCAATACAGCTTCCGCTGTGAACACACTCTCGCTCTTGTGCGGCTTCCTCATCATCTTTTCCGGTGTCTACCTGCTCAATCTCTCGCGCGAAGATTCCAGCGGCACAAGTACCCACGGCAACTCGCTATCCGATGGCATTCCCAGTGACGCTATCAGCGGCTTCCCGACACGCCGCAGTATGCAGGCCCGTAGGAGCCAGGAGATGTACCTGCAGAGCAACGGTAGCGGGTCACGGAGGACCAGCGGCACAGGCGAAGGCGCGGGGCTGATGCATGATTACGACGTCGAGAACCAGTTCGAGTTGGGAGATCTGGCGGACAGTGACGACGAAGAGGGTGCGAAGAAGGGCAAGAGTTTCGACGAAGATGGTCGGCTGGGCGGGCGCGCCAGCTCAGGGAGCAACATGCGCAGCCTGAGAGTCCAGAGGGAGAGCATCCAGCCCAAGCGCACAAGTAGTCCGCGATAGACGCACGATACGCATGACAACATTTGGCAATAGAGTAACGGCATTGCCGCAGAGGGTGGCTTGCGGCGTTTGTATAGAGCAGTGGATGGATTCCGTATGCCTGGCGCTGCGGTGGCCGGCGTTCAGGACAGGACATTTGTGCATTTCCTTTGGTATTTGGCATCTTGCATCGATGGTCACGACGTTGTATTTATGTTCTGGCGTGCACGAACTTGGTATACCCATGGGACGGGACGGGCTTGCGTTTGGGATCATATCTATATCTATATCTGTATGCAACCGCTCCGTCTGCACCGTTTCTCGCGAACGTACAACGACATCACTGGGTGTCCCTCCTACCAATGATTCACTTTGTGTACGTATTCTTGAATAAGCTGAGCGGACTCCAGTGGGTATGGGCTAAGAAGTAGTAGTTTCTCTCCCCAGATTCGTTCAAGACTGCGGCAAGTGTAAAAATACCGCGCTGCTTGGGTCTTGTGTAGTGTTTGCACGTATCAGCTTGAAGAAAGGTGTTTTGCTCTCAAACATGTATCTATTCCTCAATATTGCTATGCAGCAACTCAAAATCAAATCGTGGTATCCAACGTGAACGCTTCAATCTTCGCCTATCCAAAGCAACCGCATGATAAACCTTCTCCAAACATAGTGGAAGGTGCTCTTACATAAAGTCGATGCGACTTAAATGTGTGAAATGTAAACTTGGCCGTAAATGCAATGTGGTACATCAACCTCGAAATGTATGCTGCGCAAAATTCATGCCACTGGTTGTGTACTAAAAGAGTTTGGTTCGTACTTTCGGTCTCGAGAACTGTGGTTTAGACGACAGCGTCTCCAAGGTAGGAGAAGTCGTCCATGAGCATATCGAGCTGACTTGTCGAGCTCTCGCGCTGAACGCCGATGCGCTTAGGTCGCAGTGTAACCTCGCTTTGGATGGTCTCTTTGCTCCTCGTCTCGTTCTCGGGTAAACTGTAACCTTGAAAACCCAACCCAAAGCATGCAGCCTGTCGCCTCGGCATAGTTTCAGCGTGCTGGATATCCAAGTTGAACAGATCGGAGCTGAATGAGAGTACAGAGAGGCGGAGAGTGTCGAGATCAAGCTGTGGAGGTGTCGAGATGCGGTTGTCAGTAAGCTCCTGCTCTTCTTCTTCTTCATCAACTTCGGTAATCGTGGTAGTTTGTTGAGCCTTTGCAAAGGCATGTTCAGCGTAAGAGTAGCGCATCGACTGACGCAGAGGTGAACCAGCGTCGCTTGAAACACTTGTCGCAGAGCTGAAAGCTGGCGACATTATTCCTTCTTCGTCTGAGGTCGCGTAGCTGTCGAAGCTGCTCCACGTTGAGAAATGACTGCGCTCTTTCTTAGAAATCTGCGCTATTGGTTCTTCCTCGTCTTCATATGCTTGCAGGATAGCGTCTGTAACTGCATCTTCTGGCTCCACCGCTTCCGTTAGCGTCGACTCTTTTGACGAAGCTGCATTGCATGCAAATAGTGGTGCTGGAGTCAAGTATCGAGGGAGAGTTGGCAGGTCCTTTTCTAAAGCGGTGTCTTGTAGAGTCGAGCTGTGGCATCCTCCATAGCTTGATGAAGGACGCTTGTCCGTAGCTAGTGGTGATAGAGATAGGCAAGGCCTTTGAAGCACAGGTGCAGGCTTGAAAAATTGAACTTCTCGTGCTTGCTGAACCTCACTGTCAAACTCGTGTTGGAACCTTGGTGAGGACACCCAAGGATCGTTCGCGTACAGACTGCGCTTTGTGCGTCTAGTATCTGCTGAGTTGGCTCGGTGGCGGCCAGGCTCAATGTCGAACTCGTCTAATCCAACGGTCGATGGTACACAGGATCGGCGACGTTGCACAGGTGTCTCGTTCGCTGGCAACTCTGCGATGAATGGCTTCATATCCGCAACAACTCTCACAGGGTGCGACGTGAGTGGCGAGAAGTTCTTGGTGATTGTAGGGATCGAGAATGGTTGCGGAATAGTCCTCTGAGGCCGGGAGAAGTTCACGGGCGAATGAGATGGAGTATGTTGAACTGTAGGTAACACGCCATCTGCCGTTGTACTGATGAGTACAGGAGCACTGATTTGCATCTCTCTAACATCAGATGAGCTTCGTGATCTTGATCGAGCTCGCTTCGAAGCGAACTTCTCCTTCAGGTCTTTAAAGTCTGTGAAAAGAGGTGTCGATGGAAGTAGCGGAGACGCAGAAGCACTCCGAGCATGTCGCGTCACATTTGGTGAGAGGAACTGATCCGATGGAGGGTAAGTGGCAGATTTTGGTGTCCATGGAGAAGGTAGGGGCAAAGTGTAAGCTTCACGATGCGAGCTACGAGGCCCGGGTGAGGGTAATGGTTTGCTCGGAGGGACTGGTGTCAGGTACCTGTCTTTGGGGTTACGTGTAAACGCCGAAGCATCTTCAGTAGACATGCTGTGATTTCGTCCCTCGAAAGGGATCTCCAGTACGTTGAGGGCTTGCCCAGGTAGTAAAGGACACAACGTGGTGGAAGGCTGTGACGGGTTGTGGCATTCCTTGTCGCCGTCGACTTCATACTATTTTGGATGAGTATGGTTCGTGAGAATGAAAAAAATGTACTTACGTAATACCAGTATGTGCCACCCATCTTCAACGGACCGTCTCGCTTTGGCGATAGCATGTCGAGGTCACCGTCGCAGAAGATGTCAGAAAATGTAAAGCAACCTTTCCAGATGCTGCGCCCACCCCGGGTATCAAGGTGAAGGCTGTAGCGCCTAGAGAAGTTATCCCAGGATCCGAGCAAGATTACACTACGAAGTGCAGTCGGACATTGACTGAAGATGGTTATAAGCTGCAAAGGTCTGGCAACGGCATAGAGGGGTACACGTACAAAAGAAATGTATGCAGCGTGGTATCGTCCATGGTCATAAACGCGGCGCAGCTAAGCCGCTCCCAGTAAGAAGGATGGAATGTGAAGCGTGTAGGCGTCTAATTGCTGGCGTGCTGCATGTACAAGGTATCAAAAATAGTACGCCATGAGAAATGGTGTGTTGGACTGCAGCGGCCACCTCGACTCTTGGGCTAGATCGGAAGATTAACCTGCCGTCAGAACGAAGACACTTGCTGATTGGAAGATATGCCGTAATGTTTGGCTCCAAGATGAAACGAGTTCTTATGCGCCGAGGTGTGCTTGCGGCGAGGCTCACCGGGGCTGATGCAGGCCTGAGGCTTGAGACGGACCGACAGCTTGATCAAGTGATTCGAGTCCCACACAAGTAAGCGCAGATATGCAGCCGGGCAGAAAAGACACTGTAAGTTCGACTTCCAGTTGGTAGTTGTGATGTGCTCGTTCCGTATTGGTCGAGTTAGCGCCAGTTGGTGATGGGAACAAGATGGGTGGATTCCAGTCTGAGCGCTTAATGACGACGTCCGAATCGTTGGATAGGTACTACTTGAAACACAGTGTCTGATGGGGTCCAAAAGTCTTGTATGCTGTTTGAGCGAGGAAAAGATCAAAAGCTGCAATCAAAGCTGAGAAGTAGCTGTCAAATAGGGCTAAGGGAACTAAACATGGCAGGGACCGAACGAACGGCAGCCATAGCGGCTGCCATACTAGCGAGTGGAAAGAACAAACTTCTTGGACAGGGCCACTCATGAGACGCGCCAGCGTGCACGCCTGTAACCAAGCTTCTGTCGCAATGAGCTATCGTTGGTGGCGAACGGCGGCCGGTGGGGAATTCGTTTGATGTCCCTCATTTCCAGTACCGTCAAATATGTTACCATGACTTGAGGAACTCCTCCAACCAGGTACTACGGGCTTTAAGGGGGATCAATCGGATCCCGCAAGCGGTCTCGCTGTCAGCTGCGCATCATGATTATCATGCCGTCGCAACGTCCCATCGTCTCGGGTGCATCTCAGAGGATCGAATCAACAGGGTTGTTCGCTTCGCCGGAAGCTGAGCAGATCTCATTTGGTGGTATCTCCTGCTGTTGTTGGCCAGCAATGTGCGTGCCGCGATTCAAATTCGCGCGCGTTACCTGTAGCGCTTGTCCGAATATGGCACGGCTCAGGAGTGTGATCCACTCACATCAGCACAGCCGTCCTCGAGGGGCCTAGCGTCCCGCCGACCATACATGACAAAACCCAGCCGCTGCATCGCTGCTCGTGCACGCATGCACAACCAAGATGGTAAGCATAGAATCTATCGGGGAAACAGTACTTAACTGTAGCCTCGTGAGAACCGCGATTTTGCGGAGACGAACACAAACAGCGTTCACGCAGTTTTTGGGTTGATCTAAGGAACTGAAACCGTCGGTCTCCGCCACGCTTCAAACATATTGCGGCTGACATATGTAGCGCCAAGTTCTGCAGCCTCAAGCGCTGAAGGCGGCACCGTGCAGATCCAGTGCGCTGACATGTCCGCCTATTAAACTTTGATCAGCTGGAGTGCCTTGCGAGACAGCACTGCCATGTTTTTGGTGTGTTGTATCTTGGAACAAGCGTCTGTCATGCGTGTATCGATGACGGTGGTGCATTGATCAGGGAAGCGTCAAATAATAATCGTCGTTTTCTCGGGTTCCAGCATCCACCCAGGTGGTGGATCTTTCCAGCCTTGTCTGATCTTCGGCAGGGAGTTCTCGGCAGTCGGCTCGGGAGAAGGTTTGTCGATACTCCAACAGAGTCAGAAACCATCGGTCTCGATCAATTGTCCACGCGTTGACGAAAACGTGCCACGCTAGTGATACTAGAGCTGGCTACACCCGTCCGGCACGAGATGCATGCTTGTCAACATGGGCAGTGGGGAACCAGCAGATGACACCACCAAATTGATCACGAGGCTGCATGACAACAAGCGTTTTTCAATACATGCAAGTGGATGTTACACAATGACATTGTAGTGGTTGCGAGAGTGCATCAGCCCATACATGCTCGCAGTTGACGCAGTAAGCAAGTCTAGGTTTGCTCATTGAAAGCTGGTTCCCAAGATCCCTGGCTTTCGGTCCTCCAAATCAAGGATCATCTGACCGAATAAACCGTTGGCCCATGAGAACCACTGCCTCGTCCAATCACTTTGATTGAAGGTGTTAATGCTCTCATGTATCAAGCCCAGTCCATCGGTGCTACTGACGATCTGCCTCAACTCCGTCGTGATCTCATCGTCGTCCTCACTCGTCAGGATACGGACAATAGATGCCATTGGCCATGCCATGCCCGGGCCCTGATGCGGCCCACCAATGGCGTTAATGACAGGTCCGCGCATATAGTACGGGTTCGTGGCGCTCAAGATAGCGCTGCGTGTATTTGTATACGTCTGCTCGTCGATGCGGTAGCCAAAGAAGGGAGCAGATAGTAACGAAGGAATATTGGCATCATCCATGATGGCAGTAGAACCAAAGCCGTCGACCTCGAAGGCATATATCTTGCCGTGGGTAGGGTGATTCACGGTACCGTAAGTCTCAACGGCGTCGTGAACTGAATTCGATAGGCTGGACATTTGCTCAGCTACAGATGCCGAGCTCCCAACGTTCAACTTGCTCATAATCTCAGAAGCAGAGGACAAGTAAGCACTGAACATCATGTTTGCAGGAATGAACAGCTGGAATAGTGTCGAGTCGTCGCTCGGCCGAAAGCCGCTTCTGATGAGACCGGTGCCGTTGGCGACAGGATTACCAATACCATCATTTGCGAATGTTTCCGTTGCACGTGGTGTGAGGCGCTGAAATGTATATGCGCTCTCCAAGACTTCTCCCTCTGGTCCGTAGGTAGGCATCGACATATCATGTGCCACTTTCAGGATCGCTTCGACAGCTGGGATCCATTGGAATTTGCCAAAAAACTCATAGTCGCCGGTGGCTCTGTAGTAGTCCGTAGATATTTGCAGGAATGCGCCCAATGAGTCAAGTTCGTACTTGCATTCGAAGACTGACTGGTTGGCGTAGGTTGGGAAGACCGTGTCCTCGCTTGCAGCATCATTCAACGTTGGTCCAATCCCACTCTCCACAGGTGGCTGAAAAGCATTGCAGTATGGAGATGTGAGGAGGTAGCGAGCCTGTAGATTAATGACACCGCGATATAGACTCGCAATTGAGTTCGGGTCGCTGCTAGCGTTCAAGAGTGGTAGATAGCTTTGCAGCTGATTCGACGAATCACGAAGCCACATTGCGTTGAGATCGCCCGTAATGATAAATGTAAGTTCTTCTTCGGCATTGTTTGCTGCAAAACCTTTCCATCGAATCGCAGTATCAAGAGTGTTTGGGTAGGCGTTCTGGAACAATCGATACAGATCCGGATCTCTAATGACGCCCTCGAAACGAGTAATAGTATCTTCCAGTCCCTGGCTCTTAAATGTTCTGCATTCTTCTACAGGACGTTGATAGGCAAGCTGGTACCGCCCGGAGCTTAAAGGTTCGTGGCTCTCTTTCGCGTAATCGATGTATTCTGGACACTGTGCTGTTATCAAGGTCGGCAAAAAGCAAACGGCCCTGAGCAGATTGAGATACAGCATTGCAAGGGACAACATGAAGCAAGGTGAACTTAGGAAGCTTGATGTGTAAGACCAGACGAAACTTACATTCGGTCACATATATCCTACCATATCGCAGAGGTATCCAATGGTCGCGTGTCCAACGTCGATCCAATATGGTACGTCGCTCTACCCCGCTGTTGATCCACGAACGGGAGATCTATCGGATGTAACATGAACACTGGTGAAGCTCTTCGGCAACATACTACCAGCTATCGACGTCATTGCGGTTGTTGGTTTCTCGAGATTGTCAGCAGACACAGGCTTGAATGCGAGAAGATCTTCAAATCGAGAAGGTACTAGATCCCAAGACAGTCTGCTATAGGCTGTGTGTCCTTGCACCCATGTGTGTGAGGAAAGACGCACTGTCAAATGACCGAGAAACTGAGGGTGTGGATCGCAACATCTCCGGTTCGATTGCGGGGTGGCTACAGGCCATCCTTGGTTTCGGCATCACCCAATTCGGTTACTCGACAGCACACCATCTTTGTGGCCGAAAGAATTGACCGCATGCCCCCACCCGCATTTAAGCGTTGTAGACATGGAGCCATGACGATGAGAGTTGAAGCTTTTCAAGCGGTGTGTGGCGCTCGCTCGGGCCGACTTACGACATTCACGCTAAAGGACCCAGCACAACGCCCAGACAGCGTCACATCGTATTACCATTCGAAGCCATGACCTGGCTTCTCAGCAAAGGCATGTGCGGAATCTTTCTTGGGGCCAGTCTCCTGCTCGCCAGAGCTCTATTGCGACACTGTTCAGTACAATCTTGCATAAGGGGGTGATAAAGAAATGAGAGTTCTTACAGCAGCAGCGATATGCGCGACGTTCATACTCACACACTTACATACATTGAGAGATCACATCTACGTTGTGTGTAGTTGGTACTGGCTGCGTTCATCATTCACCAATCACAGCACAATGCTTGCTCTTCACTCGCACGACCTCATCAACACATTGTTTACTAAACCAGGTAGTTGTTTGCCAACAAAGTTTGAACAGTGCCCCCCCATGAATATTATAAAAAACTGAAATCTGGGCAAAGAGACTCAAATCACTAACCCAACCAGACCGTGATACACTTTGAAACCAAACGGCCACATTTCTTCGGGCAGAGTCAATAGTATCAGATCCAAAGTGGTAATGGCTAACCGCGACGACTTTCAGAAGCAGCTGGCTGCTCTTGTTGCTGATGCTAAAGCAAATAACCTACATTTTGGCGATATCCTGCCAGACAGCCTAAAAGAGCACATTCACGGGCGAGCGCGAGAGTACATCAAGGAGCTTGAAGCCCGTGAGAAGGTGTTGCAGGCCGACAAGGACGCCATGACGAAGGAACTGTACAAGAAGCAAGCGGAAATCGATAATCTTCCTGCAGAGCACGAGGCCCGGAAGGTCGATTTGCAACAAGCCGAACGCCAAATTGCTCTCCACAAAGAAATGTCTGTGAATCTTACACAGCGTGTGGACCGTTACCGGCGTCAGCTCGACGACATCGTAGACCAAAAGCAAGCTGATGTCGCTAACGCTGAGAAGATCGAGTTCTTGAAAACTCAGACGAAGGACCAGCAAGCTATCATCAAAAAGCTCATGGAAGACAACCGTAAGTCTGAAGCAATGTTTGAAATACTACGCGAGGCCGATGCAAAGGCTCTAGAACGCAAGGACGAACAACTAGCGAAGAAAGACATCGAACTGGGTGAGAAGAACGTTTTACTTGCCGAACTCCGTCAGATCGCCTATGATGCAGAAACACATGTCGATTCCTCTCCAGATGACTCTTGCGAGCTGCTGGAGGAAAACATTGTCCTAATGTCACAAAACGTTTCTCTATCAGACGACAACGAAGCTTGGAAGGAACAATACAGCATCGTCAAGGTTCAACTCATTGAACTCACGGAACTCTACGAACGTGCTGAAGTACACCAGCGTAACAGAGCCAAGCTCTTTGCTGCTGCTGTATCTGAGATAAAGACGCTGAGTCGCTTCTATAAGGCTGCCTTCAGTGTTTTGAATGACTTTGCCAACGATTTCAACGCAGCAAAGGCGAGCGTTCCGTCGCCAATTGATGTTGAAAGTCGGCTTCACGCAGCGCATGATGCTCTGGCTGGCTATGCTAGTATTAGGAAAGTTGTTCGGGCGGACACTGATAGGCCCAGCAACGATGAGGAGGAAGTCACACTTTGCAAAGAGCTGGACTCATTGGGTACATCAGCCGCAGACTCTATGATCAGCATCGAAGTACTCAGCACTGGTCTTTGGCGCTTTCTTGCCCAGCTGTCTGATGACCCGAAGCTATTGTCACAGCTAAACAGTGTTTTGTGTGAGTCAATTCCATCACACATCGATATCTGTAGCTGTGATTGATTTACGTACAGATGTGAACTCCGCCAGGGGTGATTGTGCGTCGAGTTGAATATGACCTTACCTTGGGCAGGCACCCGGGCAGGTCTCCATTCATTGATAGCGAGTAAAAGGTAAGCCAGATCGATTTTTGGGTAATTTTTAATTCAAGAACAAGTGTCAATCGTCCATTTTGCTGTGTCGTTACCTATGTAATTATAAACAAATGCTTCGAACGTTGTCACCATTGTCAGTAGTTATGGCGTGCAAAATATGTGCTAAATCTACCACTTCCAGAACCTCAATACATCACAATCGGCCGCCTCTTGATGCATCATAAATGACGTTACCATACGGGGGTGGTGATATCGGAGGAGCTTCAGGCTACTGGTCCCACGTTGCGATTCCGCTGTCAATGTACGTGGACAAAGCCATTCTCAGTACTTTTCCATGTCGTTGGGAATACAGCGTCTGCAGCCAGTTGCAAGAGAGTCTACTAAGATTCACCGTGCTCTAGGCTTCCTGCTGGGTGCTAATACGGATATCTTGATCACACTTTGTACAGTGACAGGCGACACCGAATGTATTGTAGTCCAGGAGCTATCTATTATATGGTTCGCAGTATTTCCTTATGTTAGAGCTAGAAGATGGTATTCAGGTCTTTCTGTTAGTCAGTCAGCCTTTGCATGATGCCGAGAAGTCAATGTTCCCAAGGTCGCGAAGACAGAGGGTCCCGTACTGCTAAAGGCAGACTTTCTAAGAAAAATGAGCAACTTGAAGTCATCCGAATGAGGTATAATATGATTCCTCCCCGAAGGTTTGTGCTTTTTGAACTTACTTCGAGACCAATCCCTGAGGTTGACCTCGGAACGCCTGAATCGGGAGTCCAGGGACGCACACCAGCATGCTGAGTGGTCGGCCATCCGGACTGGCCGTACGCTGATCTTTGTGGGCCAAAATTCATGTCGGATGCATGAACACGTCAAACCCAACGTTGTTCTACAAGATCACACCATGTTAGAGGCATGTGAGAAGACTATCACGTGTGAAGATGGCGAGACGAAGGAGCCAATCAGAGGGTTCACGCTCAGACCTCACTAGACGCGGTCCCTCAAACCGCAACTGCGTGAGAAAGCTCCCATCGCACATCAATCTGCCGAGTCGCACTTCGCAACTGCGCTCTTGAAAACCCTCCGGGCGTTGCGCGCACATTTGCGCCGGCCCTCTCCGTGCAACAGCTCCCTAGCAGCGGCCCACCAGTCTGACCTCACCGCTGGTCGCAGCTTCCATTTCCCCAGACCCCAGCGGTACCTCGAACCACCCCACCTTCGCGCTCACATCGACCGCCGCCATGTCGGGCGCCGTCGCGACAGCGCGGCCTACCCAGGCTCTACGCGTGCGCCGCGAATCCCAGCGGCCGGGTGTTGCGCGCGTCGTCACCAAGTCAAACAATATTGAGGATGAGAGCACGAAGCCAGAGCCTAAACTCTACGGTATGCACTAATCCTCACGACCGCAGTGCGCGGGCACGCGGCTAACAACATGTGCAGTGTATACGCAAGAAGCTATTCTGGCACGGCACCGCGACAAGCTGCCCTCAATGCGCGTCTACCTCTTTCCGAACCACTTTCGCATCAACGACTCCCAAGAGACGCTGACCTATGCCTCACCCATGAGGGAGATCCTCAATGCCCTGCGCAAGAAGGAGCTTCCTCATAACATGCTTGAAGAGCTCTACGCCAATGGCACGCCGTTCTACGACGGCTGCCTGATCGTCGAAGTCCACAACTACCGCAACAATACCGCCAAACCCAAGGACACTGGCAACGGCGTAGGCGATGGCAACAAGACAGCCTTCTCGATCCACGTCAATAATAATTTCATCACCCCATCACCCTACGGAACGCATCCGAGTAGCAAGCCTGAGCCTAAGACCAATGGCGCTGCGGCACAGGCCAAAGAGGCCGGCGACAAAGAGGATAAGGAAAACATGCCCGCACCTAGCACGAACGGCGCGTCACAGAAAGTTCCCGCAAGCGGACCAAAAGTCACGACTGTGGTGTTGTTTCCCTCTACGCAGGCTCAGTTGGCCGACATGTCAATACTTGCCACTACGCCAGCCACGGACACCGCTGCTCTCAAAAGAATACAGGCAGCCGGACGCGGCGCAGGGATGCCGCCCACTCCGCTGACTGCCGTACCGCCCACACCTACCTTTCCTGGAGGGCCCAGCCCAAAACGCCAGAAGATGATGATAGATGATAGCAATGTGCACGAGTTTGAGGCCGAACTACTCAATGCAACCTGCCCAAAGCTGTACCTGGAACCTACCAAGAGCTTCGCAGAATCCGTCGCTCTGATCGATGCCATGACCCACCCAAATAACAATAACCCACCGCCAGAACGTAAGGCTCGTAAGAGAACCACGGCCGAGCTTGCAGCCGACGAAGCGGATGCGCAGAATCTTCAAAGCTTCATGCTTGCTGGAGATGAGCAGCAGGCGACCCTCAACAATACCACTGCTGGTGGCGATGAGGGTGCCGTACGCGCTGCAGCAAACACTGGGTCTTTCGCACGATTCAAAACTCTCGCCAGTATCAAGGCCAATCATGAAGAGGCTGACCGCCGCAAGAAGGAAGAGGACGCCCGTCAAGCGCAGGCGAAAAGGCAGGCACAGTTGGAGTCAGAAGCACAGAAGCGGAGGGACATGGAGGCCAATCGCCAACAAGCCGAGGTTCAGGAGCAGCGACAGCAGCTGTTGGCACGTCAACAAGCACAGCAGCAGATGTTACAGCAGAACCAAATGCAGCAGAACCAGATGCAGCAGAACCAAATGCAGCAAAACCAGATGCAGCAGAATCAAATGCAGCAGAACCAGATGCAGCAAAACCAGATGCAGCAAAACCAGATGCAGCAGAACGAAGCTCTCCGAGCTGCACAGGCGGCCCAGATGTCAAGCGCTGCCGCAGCTCAAATCTCGCAAACGCCGCAATCTGCCACACAGAATCAGTTTTCGCCCAGTGTGCGCCAGAATACACCCATGGCAGCGGCAGCAGCCTCGCCTCGTGTTGGTGGCCAATCAAGTCATCCCATGGGAGGTACCCCTATGGTTGCGACGGCTTCGAATCATGCTATCGCCAGCCCTGCTCGACCCCCATCGTCCATCTCGCATCACCCGATGGCACGCACTGCTAGTCAGCAACAGGGTTCTATGAGCCGCACCAACACACCCCAGATGATGCAAGGCACACCTGTCATGAATTCTGCTATGCCCAACCGCAACATGACGCCTACACCACGCATGAACCAAGGCAGCCCTTCCCTACAGGTGCAAGGTGCAACGCCAATCATGATGCAGACGCCCCAGTCTCAGAATATGACCCCTGAGCAAATGCAAGCGATGCAAGCGCAGCAGAATCAGCAGAGAATGCAGCAGCTACGTCTGCAACAATTGCAGAATCAGCAACAGTTGAATGGCATGTCTCCTGGCGGTCAGAATTTGCAGCAATTGGCCATGCAAAAAGCGCAGATGCATGTACAGTCCCAGGGTATACCTAACGGGCAGAACCCGCAGATCTATCAACAACGCCTTGCGCAGGGTTATTTCCAGCAGCTCAAACAAGCTCAGGCAGCACAAGCCCAGCAGCAGAACCAACAGCAGAACATGAATCACATGTCGCCTCAGCCCCCCCAGAACACCATGTCCACCCAGCAAGCTTCGAATAATATGACGAACATGAGCGTGGCACAGTTACGAAGCCAGTACCAGCAGCGTAAGCAGCACTTGCTGGCAACATTTGGTCAGCAGGTGCCGCAGCAACATGTTCAACAGATGCATCAACTCGAGCAACTCATCCGCAACAAAGAACAAGCTCAGCTTCAAGCACAACAACAAATGGGTCAAAACCAGATGAATATGAACCAGGGTATGCAAGGTCAAGTTCCAGCCGGTCAAAATCCTATGCAGATGCAACAGTATCAGCAAGCTTTGTTTCAGCAGCGTGCTCAAGCACAGCGCAACGACCAGCTCATGCGCATGCGTCAACAAGCCATGCAACAAGGTGGCCAGATGCCCCAGGGCATGATGAACAACATGCAGAGCATGGGCATGAACAACATGCAAGGCATGAACATGGGCAATATGCAAGGCATGAATATGCAGAATGTTCAGAACATGCAGGGCATGCAGGGCATGAACTTGGGACAAATGAGCCAGCAGCAAGTGCAGCAAATGATGATGATGCGCCAGGCGCAGGCACAGCAACAGCAACAGCAGCGTATGCAGCAGCAGGGCGACATGAATTGGAATGGCGTGTAGAAGTCCCCACTGGAGCTGCGCAAGTCTTCATTGGACAACACTGAAGACCTCCGGGGTTTGCCAGAACGTTTGAACCTTAGCACTTTGGCCTTCTGGGACCGATGCAATTCTCCTTCGAAGATGACTCAACATCTCTGGAAGCGCACTGTTGTGCTCGGAGAGGCTAGGTGAGAATTGGTCCGGGTGATTGTTATTGCGTGGACAGCACCGAGGAGAATCTCGAGAACCTGGATCAGCAACAACTGTATCTGAAGCCGCGTCATGTTGTTCCATGATGAAATATTTCTATGCTTTACAATGGCGTTGTTGGGATGCATTAGGCGTGTTCTAGGTTGGGAAAAGTCCAGGATACCCCCCGATATTTTTTGTGAGTGTGGAGTTTGGACTGGAAAATGCATGTTGATGGTGCGTATCAAATGTAGCGTTATGACTACTGATCATCTTTTATGATAATATGACCATGCTCTTGACCCAATGCTTGTGGGACCGAACATTCTGACATGTGCGATGTGTCTCTGAGTGGACAATTACTCTGGCTTTAAATTCGTTCTCCTTTCTATGTACTCCGTTCACTCACTCGATCGCCTTGGGCCCTTCAATATATTTTCATACCCGCCCCCCCCCCCCCCCCCCTCCGAAACTCGTGAATCCTAAAACAAAGGCGCATTCACATCAGAATCCTGCCACCAGTGATCTACTTCGCATTCACACTCCACAGACACCCACATACATTCCCAGACACTCCCACCCGTAACGTACCGTATCACTAATACTTCGGCACTGCCACCAAATCTCGAACCTGTCGCAGCTTGACTACAATCTACCAAGTACAACCACAGCTACATACCGAAATGGCCTGGCGCTGCTGTCGCTGTATGTACCACAACCGCGGTCCAAGCGACTTGAACGCGCCATGTCAGAATCTACTCCATTATCCACCGTGCAAACATGGTGCATGCGAGCAGTGCGCCCTGTTTATTGCAAATCCACATGCGTTTGGGGCTGAGTACAAGCATCTCAGAGAGTGCAGGAAGCAGGAGCGGAAGGAACGAGGAGAATTAGGCTGCAGGGTCATGTAAGTTGAGCGATCGGTCGCGAAGGATGCTTTGATGCACATGGCTACAACCTGCAGTCATGGAGCGGGAAAGTGTGAGTGTTAACCTCTATACGATGTTTACATGAATGATATTGTTATGAGATAGCAACTTCATGCACGTTTTTCTTCATTTTAGCCAACGCCCCACTGTTAACGTTTTCATCGTCTCCAATGTAATGACGAGGGTAAGTTTTGATGTTCGAAGATAGATGTGGTAGCTTCCCCATTCAGCACTAGCGCCTTTTGGGTGCTCGAAAGGTGCAGGAAGGAACGCTCGGTTGCTAGCCAATCACGTCAACTTTGACCGCCAAGCGCCACTGTCCAAATTGACCGCAGAGCCAGGTCAACTTCGACTGCTGTTCTGACCTGTTCAAACCACTCCGACAACACAACCGACAAAATGGCTCCCTCAGCAACCGGAGGCAAGAAGCAGAAGAAGAAGTGGTCCAAGGGCAAGGGTACGTGACCGCCGCACTCAGCATCGCACTCGCATCGCACCTACACACCGCGCACAAACGACCTGCAACATCCAACACCGCGCACACCACGAAGACTCTGAGGATGGAAGCTGACCTCTCACAGTCAAGGACAAGGCCCAGCACGCTGTTGTCTTCGACAAGAACGTCACCGACAGGCTCAACAAGGATGTCCAGTCCTACCGTCTGATCACCGTTGCCACCCTCGTCGATCGTCTCAAGATCAACGGTTCGCTCGCCAGGAAAGCCCTCAAGGACCTTGAGGCCAACGGCCAGATCAAGAAGGTTGTCAGCCACTCGAAGTTGACCGTCTACAGTGCGTTACCCCGCCCGAGCTGACAGGCCTTGCGCCTCGGCTGGAGACCCGATGAACAAGTAGCTAACGTCTCGTAGCCCGCGCTGTCGGTGATGCCGAGTAAATCCATCTCCTAGCGAACACGAAGTAGACGCGACCATCGGTGCTCTTTTCAGCTTTTCAACGACATTCCTCTTTCCCAGTTTCCAATCGGCGTCATCACGAACGGGTCTTCGCGGACAATAGGGCATGAAAGGAGGACAGGCGGAGGTACAGCACCGCGCCTGTAGGCCGTGTCGGTTATGTATTGAATGAAAAAAGATATCCGAACTGAATGGTTTCCGCAATCGGATGTGCTTGTGATACGCGCCATTGATATTGACCTTGGTAGCAGCGATGGGCGCTCAAGTGGGATTGATCATGGACCCGCCCTCGATGCTCTTGCTTGCTGTGCGACATATTCTACACTGTAGATATGTACTGTAAGACCACCTGCCGGGCATGTCGACCTATTCTGTCAAACAGCTGGGTCTACGTGGTGTTGTCACCAGGTGGTGATGAGGCTCCCCAACGCTCGAGCTGACTCGACGTCTTTATGTTGGTGGCTAAACGAGCATGATGCCTTGTCATATGGTTGTGATTGAATATACGTAAGTTCCAGCTAACGTCTCTACTCTCAATTCAATGTACAAGTTTTCGGCGCTGTTGTCAGGCATTGTTCGGGTATAGGCATGGACAAGATCGCGGTATGCTTGAACATGGGTATGAAATACTCGCCTTCTGTCCAACCTTACTCGTACTTCCTGACCGGCCTGCTCTTCTCAGCTTGCTCACAAAGCGGCCTCTCAGGCAGAAGCTTCTCCCAACCCTGTGGCCTCTTCACAGTTCCCACCTTGAAGTACGGCTTCCCCTTTGCTCCACTGAACAATGCATGCCAGCTCTCCAGCCCTTGCACCATCTGCTGCTTCGCCACCCTTAAGTCCTGCGCGTGCCTGTTCTTGATCTCGCCTTTGCTCAACTCCTTCCTCTGCTTCGCCTTTTCTATGACCTCAGCGGTCGCACCCTCTTTCTTCTCTGGATCTATAGGGACAAACATGCGCTCTACGCCGCGCAGATCTGGAACCGCGTCCTCGATAAAGCACCCCGTGAGGAACGCGCGCGCGGCGTCGCGGCCTGCAAAGAAGTGGTAGCTCCCACCGGGTCCGTATGTCTGTGGCGAGCTGGAGACATCGTAGATGGTGCCGTTGAGCGCAAGGTAGATGGGTTTCTGTGGGTCGCTGCCGTCGTACTGGAGCAGCTCGATGTCGGTCAGCGAGATCTGTCCTCTCTGTGTGTAGGTGTCAGCGACTTCCGGTAGCGTGCGGAACGAAGTCAGGGCGTACGACGAGGTTCTTCCACTCTCGCATCCGCGTCCACTTCGCGTTGTAGCCCCAGGTCATGCTCTCCCCGCTCGTGCTCAGATACGACAGCCCCGCGCTAAGTATTGCCAGTCCACCGAGTACACGCAGAACGTCCAGGAGTGAAAAGCCGTTAGATGTCCTGGCTGCTTGGTCATTGACTGCGGCCTTTAGCTCCTTCTTGGCCTCAGAGGTCGACGCGGGCGCGCGGGGGATATGAACCGTGTCTTCATGGCTTCCGGTGGATGTGGAGGCTGTTGCAGAGGAGCCGGTTGGTTTGCGGTAGCGGGCTGGTGTCGCCATTCTGTCGAATAGCAATGTAGCGGGCGTAACAGTCAACTATGGGATTTGCTTGTGAGTTGTGTAACTGCGACGGTTAGTAATGGATTGCTCCAGATGCACGTTCAAGCACCGCTGGAGATTACATGCCTGAAGAGAACCGGAACTCGATTGCAAGAGAGCGTTCAGGAGAAGGGTGCAAGCATTAAAAGACCACGTCTTCACTGGCACACCGAGAGGGTGGAAACCGGTCCGAGCTAGCGGAGATAAATTGCGTTCGAGCTTGGAGCTGTGAGAGACCACTTTCGGTACAAGAGCGGCAGTGACGCGGATCATCCGGACTCAGGGAACACTGATTGGTCAAACGGGGCTGCTACTAGATCAGCCACATCCACACTGAATGGAGGGTTGGGTGCGAATTCCAGTATCGTGACCATGTATTTGCATTCGTTATGCAAGTCTACTTAATTACGTATACAAGCGTCGTGTTGGAGTTCGACTCACGAGCTACCATCTTCTCAATGTTCTACTTTGTTGTCCTTAACGAAACACTCCAGCCCTCTTGTTTGCGTGAGGACTCGTGTCGGTCGGACCTAATCGTGTATGTGTACAAGAAACTATCGCTCTATTGTGAAGCTCCATCGTTTGTAGCTACAATTTCCACCTGAGCTTCCCGGTCACCTTTGGGGAACACCTTCTTGAGTCCTGCCTGGAAGACACCAACATTGTAGTCAATGATGGCTTTCTTCTCGGCAGGACTGTCATCGCCCATGATGCAAACAAGGGCAAGGTACCTGAGCGTGTCAGTAAGTTGCACAGCCAGCACAGGGTCGTGTTTGAAAAACCCACTTGTTCAGTTCTCGCAGATACAAATATCTGGCACCCTTTCGCTCCATAGTGATCAGGCTCTCGGCGTCTCCGTTGCCTTTCTCGAGTAGCTCCTCTTCCGGTGTCTGGTCGTCACGTTCGTAGCCATAGATCTCAGCCACATCGACGACAACATCGATGTAGTCCGAGCAAATCTCGTAATTGCCTATGTCGGTAGGCGTGGTATCTGTGGCCACGTAGATCTTGCTCATGATGTCGAAAAGATACGCTTTCTCGATGTTACAGGCGGCGCAGAGATTGTTGAGCAGCGCTTCGAGTGTTGGTAGTTGCGGTATAAGCTTCTGAATGACTTTGCTGAAGCCTTCGAAGATGGAGTGGTCGTAGATACTGGTCTGATAAAATGATATAGGTGCTTGCTCGTAGCCGTTGTCGCTAAGTTCGTCTTGCACTCTCTGGATGATATCGCGAAACGTGTCGCCTCGGAAGTCGTCTGATAAGCCGTCGACTTTGTGTACGAAGACCTCAATATTGATGTTGGGGTACGAGTGCTGCAAGTTGAGAATGGTCATGTTAAGTCTGGCGATGGCGTCAAGATACTCGTCTTGCGCATCAATGACCCAGATCAGTGCGCCAATCTCGTCGAAGATATTGTCTGTATCAAACGCTGGGTCGAAGTAGTCCAGGTGACCAGGTAGATCCCACACTTGGAAGTCCATAAACGAGCTGTTAGATCTGGTCAGTATATGGATAGGTCCCAATCACATCGGCACCCACTGCATCGACTCCTTCTTGATTCTATAAGTGGTTTCGAGAAACAGCGTTTCGCTTGGAGGCAGCTTGTGAAAGACTACGTTGGCTATAGACGACTTGCCGCTCCTAAGGCTCGAGGTCAGTCATGCACATCAACCGTTGGTGATCGTGCTTACCTCCTCTGTCCCATGAGGAGTAGCCTAGGTTTGCCATCTCTTCCTTTGCTATTCGGAACTCGCCCTGTATGGTATTGTTGATTGAAGTCGACTGGCGGCTGGTCGGCGCTCGGTAGGTCCTGCAGGAAACGTTCCATGGTCAACTGTGCTCCTGGTTTCAAACTCGAAGCTTGCACGACTGATTGGACGGACGGCCGTCGCGCTTCGTCATCCTCGTAAATCTGCCCAAGACCTTCTGCAGAGAATGCAGAAACCTGCCGGCTAGGACGGCGACTCATCATGTGTAGTAGTACAGGGTATAATGCTAGAAACAACGACTGAAAAGAGATGAAAGAACTTGAAAGCACTGGGCAGTAGAGCGCATGTGGTGTCTGGTCTTCTTCTCTTTCACCTGCCTGGCATGCCGCGTTGTCGCGTGCAGGTCTCTTCCTGGCTTCGGTGCCGGCCCGTAGAAATGGAAGATGACGTGTATAATGGTAAGAACACCAGCCACCACCAACGCAGGGACTGTGCAGGGAGAAGTCGCGGTGAAGACGAGAAAACAATAAGGTAACGGAGCAATCAGCGCTCGTCGTGTGGTACTACAAGAGTGACACGCGTAGGCAGGCACCCTTCGTACTAGTACAGAAGCCCTGGCACTCAAGGCATGGCAGCGCCGCAGCGGTAGGGCTGAGGAAGGAGCGAGCGCTGGCGTGCGGCTGTAGGTAAAGAAACGTGGACGGCTCAGCGCGATGATACACGATATGAGCAGAAGGAAATCTATCTCGAAGATGACGCAACAGGGTAGGGCAGCAGAGGGGAAAGAATGCAGTGAGCGCTCACCTCCATCGTTGGGCTCCGGTGCAATAGGCGATATGGCAATTGTAATGGCTCTTTTTCTTTGCGCGCACGGTCAGCGCAGCGGTGTACGATATGCGTCGCTAGGCTTCTGGACGTCGTCTTCGATTCAAACGATGACAGAGGACCGGCGGGAGCGTTAAGGTTGCAGGGATGTTCCTTCCCAATCTCCGCGCGCTGACTGGCTTGTTGGGCAACTGCAGCTGCTCTGTGATCAGGAAGAAGCACGCGGCGCCGCGGGATCGAAGTGCTGGTCCGAGATGATGACCGAGTAGGTCGTTCGCGTCGTCCACACAGCGTCGCACGGATACGGGTGTCACTCTGGGCTGAAAGCCGTACGCTTGGTACGCTTGCGTTGCGGGCAGCTCGCAAGGCCTTTCGCTTACACACCTAGGCGAGGATCTTCAGGCACCTTTACTGCTCATCACCATCGCCAAAATCAGGTTTCGTCCACCACGTTCCGGCGTGGCTCCCCTTTCCTCCGGTGCCAAAGCCTCTATCTCGGGCCGGGCGGTTGCTGTCCTCGGCCACGACTGACACAAAATCTTACAGCTCCTTCGTACGCTAGTCAAAACTCGCTCGGCTGCCTCCCGCGGCCCCCGGAAGTCACAGCATTCGCGCGTCAAATCGACATCGAAACTCATACACCCTCTCGTGGGTTTGTGTGACGAGAGCGTTCCTATGTGCAATGTAGCTGCGACAATGGCCGGCCAATGGAGCACTCTTCAATTCAGCACGACATGGATATGACCGCGTTCAACAGTACCATGGCAACTCTGAGAGCCTCAACACGAGGACTCAAGATCATTCTACAGCACTGCGCAGATTACAAGGATAATATAACTCAAATATACCCTTGTAACACCATAGAAAGAGTCACCCTGTCAGCACTTGATATATTGTCAGATTCTTACTCGCAATGCGAGCCGCCAGATGTCTATGGACGTAGGAGGCGTCTATTTCCTAGCTCGTTTCGTGTACCCGAGATCTGAACTAATATTCAGTCGTTCGCGAAGCCCCAGACATGTACATCTTCGGGCGACTCAACATGACTGATCAGAGCAGGACTCTGGTTTTGATCTTGATGTGACACATATTGGACATAGTTCCGATTTACTCCGAAGGCAAAAGCATTATCGAACCTGGATCTGCTGCTTCCTGGCCAGAACTATTGAAAAACTTACCTGATCACTTCAGAAATTGATAAATACTGCTTTTCTTGAGTATTTGCCAGATTCGATCACCCATACTTGTCGATGCTGTAAATGATAAAGCGTGCAGGGTCAACGGGGCCGATATGCACAGAGCACTTTCGAAGACATACTAGCAGCAGTAAAAGTATATAAAGAATAACCCCGCTTTTTTAATGGCTGGAGATATATAGTAGTTGCCCTACGGGAGCGCTGTCTGCTGATCATATGCTAATATGGTACTCTATATGGCGCAGACTTCAGCTTCGAAATTCGTTGCATGGAAACATGCACGTCCTGGCCCAGGACTTCCCTCTCAGTTTCAAATTCTAGCTGCGACTGGGCTATTATAGTGGTCTAAGATCCGCATAACGGACTACAAACCCACAAACAAGCATCAAAATTCATGATACAAGTATCAACACGTTCAGCTCAAGTATATCACTTCCTTTTATTACCACGGACCGGGGTTTGCGGCTTCGTGGGTCTCTTGTTTCAGCTACTGGTTTTGCTTTTTCGAGGATATCCTACGAATAAAAAGAAACAAAGCTCATCCCTGCCGCCGAAGCCGATATTTGAGGTCAACACGGTGTACGCATGCTGTTTTTCTTACAGCGTACCCATATAGGTCTCATCTGTCGTTCTTGTTCTGTTGTCCATTGTATCAATTTCCAACAAGGCGACCCTGGTATTCTTACCTGACAAGTAGTCCGAGCTGTTGTAGTCTCTCCTCATGTCGTTCCTTGCGCATAAGGGGTGCTGCTGATGTACGTTAAGTCTGCAGTCGTCTAAGAAAGACCCCAGCGTGCTGTACTTGAAACACCACCTTATCAACACCCTAAGTAGCTAGCAAAAGTTTAAGCTCTATGAACCTTGATAAGAGACGAACGCCTAAACTTCGGAAGACCAAGGTACGTTAGAAGACTCATCTCTATAGAGATTTTGCTTTCACATGGTATACGAGACCAAGAATTGTGGCACTGCTTGTACTAGCCGCTTCTCATTTGATCGAAGTAAGAGAATAGGCTCGTTAGAGTACGGATACTGCACCATCCGAGGCCTCTGGACGGCAGCAGACGGCAGCCGAGCGGACACTTCGAGAGAAGCTGGGCGGGCAGGTCGATAGGAGCTGGGCACAGCTGCGGACCATTAGAGGATTAGCCGACGGAGCATCGGAGGGTCAGCGTAGTCGCTCTAGTCCACACACACGCTTGTGCTTGGAGCTGAAGGAGTATAAGAACGATGATCCTTTACCTATGATATTAGCATTCCAATCGATGAGACTGCCCTACTTCTCTTCGTTGCCACAATGTCTGACGCCCTCACACCTCGCTCCTGGGCACCGCCTATATTCGAGCTGTCGACCGCTGAGAACGATGGCGCAAGTTGTTCTGCTATCTGCACAGGTGAAATACACTCATGTATCGTGTAGACCAAGGACCAGAGATACGACGTCCGCAAGACGCTGGCCTATGTCACGGAAGACCTGAACAACGTGAACAAGTACGCCTCCTCGCCATACATATGCCACCCACCTAATTACCTTCAGCGTCTTCATGCTATACTGGATCACGACCACGACCGGCGAGAAATTCCACCTCACCACCAACGCCGGCCTGCGCGGCTCAAAAATGCTGGGCTCATTCCTCTCTCTCAACGACCTCCAGACGCGCACCACCCGCGGCGCCTCCATCATTGAAGGCGGCTCCGGCAACAAAGACCACCTAGAGCTGCGCAGCGCCACACAAACTGTTATCGCCCCCGAGGACGGCGACAAGTGGACCGGCACGCAGCACACTCTCGAGATGCAGGGCGTTAAGCTGGAAACCACACTCCGCCCCACCGGCCAGCACTTCTACTACGGCGGCAGCGGCTGCATCCAACTGACGACGCGCGGGCCCGACCCAGACTACTCCACCACCCTGCCGGGCTGGTCGTGGTACTGGACGAACCCGACCACGCGGATCGCAGGCACCCTCGCCATCGACGGCACACGCTATGAGATCGACCCGGAGCAGTCGTACAGCATCTTCGAGCGGCAGTGGGGTAACTTCCATATCGGCAAGGGCTACTACGCACTCTGGTTCTGGCTGTCTACGGGCGAGGTGCTGATATCGTGGAATATGGAGCCCAGCATTGACGGCGTGTCCGAGGTGAAATTTGCAAGCGTGTGGCATCCAAATGGGCTGCACGAGACGATCCCCGTGGGCCCCAACAGCCGTGCCTCCAACGTCATCACGAGCGAGAAAACCGGGTTGAAGTATTTCAAGGACTACTTTTTGGATCTGCCGGCCAGGAATGCGAGCTTCAGCTTCACCAAGTGGTTTGAGCAGGATGAGCTTAATCCGGCGCTGCCGGAACAGATGGGTAAATACATTACGATTGCGGAGTCGTATGGTGAGGGGACCGGTGTGTGGGATGGGAAGGAGATTACCGTGCAGGGGCATGTGGAGCAGTTGTCGACGTTGAGGGATTAGGCAGGGATAAGTGAGGATGTGCTGCTATACGGGCCTGCGGACGTTGCAGCTTTGCACCATTGCGTGGAGGCGTGGACGCGTGTGGAAGATTGCAGGGGGGTGGTTGCTGAGTAGCACCGAAAGCGCTCGCTGTAACGAATAGCTGTAGGATTCATCTTTTGGATTTCGTACCCGAGCTGGACAGCAGCACTTGTGATGTGTGCAAGATTCCTGGATGCAGTGGACTGGGCGTGTCAGCACGGTGGGTGTGGAACCAATCGAACAACTACAACCGTTTTTGCTCTTCCTATGTACTTCTCGTACTGTAATCGAGTTCTGCGCTAATATCAGTTGTAGGATTGCAGTCTTGAATTATCACCGAGTTGTTGGCTCCACAATCTGTCAGAATAGCAGAGATGTAAGGTGTTCTCAGGGCTATGCTGCACAATATCTTCCGATAATCCGACTTCTTTTCTTGCACTGAACCGATTGAAGATCAACATAACCGACATCGAGCATGACGCGGCTACTCGCGACAATACTTCGGTAAATGCACTGGAGGACCCAGGTGTATGACATGCTTGCGTAGACCTTGGACGGCCAGCTGTTACAGACTGGAGCTGTAAGGTCAAATCCAGAGTACGCAATACTGGCTCACTGTGTGCGAAGACTGCAAAATGGGACTGCAATCTACGGGGCCTATAGTATCGTAAGATATAGTCGTTCTTCGCATCGTTGACGCGTGGACAGTATTCATCAGGTTTGCTACAGTTAGGAACTCGACGTGCAATGCATTACCTTGTGTTCGGTGAAGGCTATCCCATAGCTTGATTCGGCTCGTTCACCGGTAGTTGATAAGCCGTTGGCAACCTTTTAGCATGCAAATCACACGGTGATTGAGATGAAAGCCTGCTCTTCCTACCTAATTCACGAACGTTCGGTACACACTTCTAATTTAATGTTAGAAACAGTACCAAAAACTCCATTGCCGAACGTCTAGGGAGGGTTGGTCAGATTTTAGTCGACTGCAGTCATGGAGGCTCCAAGGCCCGCACGAATATAGAATAGGTAGCAGCGTCTAGTTCTATGAGGTAGCCATGCAAATCATGACGTCACACATCATCAGTCTCGGCGCAAAGCTTATCCTCTCCGCGCCACAACTGTGGCAGCGAATCACAGCACGTACATTTCTGCGGCTCGGGAGCTCATCTCGCCCCGAGGTCCCGACGAGCCACCGCTCGTTCTAACGGACTTTTCGTGGGTAAGGGGGGTGTTAAAACCGGGCGTAGGGTTGTTTTCTACGGCGAGATTCGCCGTTGCCGTTATATAGGGATGTGTAGACTCCTGGTGGACGAAGCGATAACTCCTTTTCGGGTTTCTGTCATGACATAGAGACAGGACACTAAGTGCACAGCAGAGGTGTATCTGGAACTCTCCATCAAGTCAATTTTACCACAGTTTTGCATGAGGCTGCAACTTTCTGCTTCTAAACATACACCTGCTGCACACAGTCAGAATGGATAGAGCTCGCCGCACAACATCGCGCCGCTCATCCAGGTCAAGATCAAGACCGAACAGCCCTCCACTACACCGCTTACTCTCCAACCACCATCCGGACGACCATTCGGTCTACCACCACGAAGACGGCGAAGGCGTGCATGTCAGGAACGACGCGTCGTCACTCCACAGAACCGAGACCCAGCGACGAGATGTAGAACGCTCGTCTGACAGCAGTGCAAACAGTGCACACAGTGCAAGCAGTACAAAAGAGAAGGAAAATCATGACGAGACCGAGCATGAGGAAGAGACGACGTACGAGGAGATCCGTGGCGGTATTCCGTACGAGCACGATGTTGAAGCCGGGAAACCCGAGCTAGAGAAGAAGAAGAGCAACCGCAGTGTCAAGGATCCGAATCTGGTGAGTTCAACGCACCATGTGCTCCTCGATAAGTACGACAATACTGATAGCTCCAGGTGACCTGGGATGCACCCGATGATCCCGCAAACCCCAAGAACTGGTCCATGAAGCGCAAGTGGGCGGCCACGCTCATCGTGTCATGCTTCACGCTCGTCTCGCCAATCTCGTCGTCCATGATCGCGCCGGCCCTGACGTCCATAAGTGCGGAATTTGGCATCACGAATGAAGTTGAGGCTCAGCTGACACTCAGCATCTTCGTGCTTGCGTACGCTATCGGTCCGCTATTCTTAGGCCCGCTATCTGAGATCTACGGCCGCGTTATTGTTCTGCAGTTGTCTAATCTATTCTACCTGGCGTGGAACTTGGGGTGCGGGTTTGCGCAGACATCGGGGCAGCTTATGGCGTTCCGCTTCCTGAGTGGTTTGGGAGGTTCAGCGCCGCTGGCCATTGGTGGTGTGAGTCCTTTATCTCTCTCCATAATGGTGTGTATATGCTAACACTTCCCAGGGTGTCCTCAGTGACTGCTTCCACGCCGAGCAGCGTGGCAAGGCCATCTCCATCTACTCGCTCGCGCCTCTGCTTGGTCCAGCGATTGGTCCCATTGCCGGCGGCTTCATCAGCCAAAACACGACCTGGCGCTGGTGCTTCTACGCAACAACGATTTTCACCGCCATCGTGCAGTGTTTCGGCGTCTTCTTCCTCCAAGAAACCTACGCGCCTAAACTCCTCGCTTGGAAGCGCGACAAGCTGATCAAAGAGACCGGTAACACGGCCCTACACACAGAATTCGACAGCCCAGACCGCACTCTCGCTACCACATTGAAAATTGCAATGCAACGCCCCTTCATCCTGCTCGGCACCCAACCCATCTTGCAGGTCCTCGCGTGCTACATGGCGTATCTGTATGGGCTGATGTACCTGATGCTGTCGACCTTCCCGCGCCTCTGGACGGGTACATACCACATGAGCACGGGGATCGCCTCGTTGAACTTCATCTCCATGGGCGTGGGGTTCTTCCTGGGCACACAGATCACGGCGCCGCTGAACGACATGCTTTATCGTCGGCTGAAGCGCGGCAACAATGGTGTCGGCAGGCCCGAGTTCCGAGTTCCTATCATGGTGCCTGCGTCGCTACTGGTCCCCGCGGGACTATTTTGGTACGGGTGGAGTGCACAGGCGGGCGTGCACTGGATTTTGCCAAACATTGGTGCAGCGCTGTTCTGCGGTGGAGTAATTATCGGGTTTCAGTGCATTCAAACGTATCTTGTGGATAGCTATACGCGGTACGCTGCCAGCGCCATTGCGGCTGCTACGGTATTGAGGTCGCTCGCTGGGTTTGGATTCCCGCTGTTTGCGCCGGCGATGTATAATGCCTTGGACTACGGATGGGGAAATAGCTTGTTAGCTTTCATTGCATTGGGTCTCGGTGTACCGGCCCCACTGCTGTTGTGGACGTTTGGAGAGGGCTTGAGGGCGAAGAGTCAGTTCGCTGCTGGGTAAGTAGTAGCGAGTTATATACCAGCTCTATATTTACCGAGAACCTTTTTGGAGGCTATAGAATGCTTTCGTTCAGCTACCTGAACGCTCAAGCCCATACAACGCTTCAAATTGAGCGGGTGTTGTACGTGTGAAGGCTTAATAAGGCTGTCAAGTACTCCTGGTACCGGTACATAGGTAGGTATGACCTGTCGGCCTCACCCCTGCAACACACTTTCCCATCACCCCGCAGCTTTATTCATACTATAATTTTATATTAGAAAACACTACAGAGGTCCTCTATACCTAACTTACCTAGGCGTGTAGCAAAATGTGAGGGAAAAGCGAGCGGAGCCTCAAATCGCCGCATCGTCTGATTTCTTAAGTAACGAAGTCTTATATCTGAAGTCTCGACCACAAAGACGTAGTATGGGTGCCGTGATTTCTGGCACATACTTGTGTTTCTGCACCACCATCGTGACGGGCTGATTCGACTGAGTGATGGCTGCGGGATGATCTGGAAGTCTTTGGGTGTTCGTGTTGTGGAGAGCTAGTGGAGCAGCTAGGATTGTAGTGAGGCCTATCGAAACAGAAATGGCGGCTGAGAGCATCATGGTGATATTGGTGTGTTGCTGCGAATCTCGCTAGGAGGGACGGAGAAGTAAACCTAGGTCAGAGCCAGGAAAGATGCTTGTGTGGCCGGAATCCTGCCGAAGAATGGCCATTGCCTGGCAAGGGCGCTCTAGAGTCCTATTGGAGGTCCAGACCTACTGCATTGGTTGATGTCATTGGTCCTAAAACATGCGTGACAAGGCTCTTGTGTTCCACACTGAATACTTGAGACTTGTCACGCGGAGACACTCTGGGACCAACACCTAAGTAATGCTGATTGATTCTCATGGAATACAATCCCTAGCGTCTGCCGACAACCTTGGAACCGTCAAGTATATGTAGATCATATTGTCAATGAGAATTCGAACAGAAAAATATACGCGATACCTAGCAGCGTTCACAAGTCATGCAGCCGGCATGGCAGCCCAAGGGTGTTAACCGACGGGTGTAAATGACGATGACTGGAATGTGGCACTTGAACGGTGAACAAAATGACCAATGTGTGTAACATTACAAACTTCTATCCCAACCAGAAATAATGTATCGCTATCCATTTGTAGTATGTGCTGTTTAGTCTCGTTCTGAAGTCCTTCATGTTTACGGAAAGTAGTGGAAAGTAGTGGGGGCTAAGTTGCCAGATACTTTCATTGAAGATGAGCTGTGAAGGTGCCGTTCCGTCGGAGCTGGTGTCCTTTTTCATGAATGAGGCATCTCTCCTGCTAATACATGAAAGTACTCTCAGATGGATATTTTGTAGAAGCTAGCGGAGCTACCGAAAGTATAGGGCGGCATATACTTTGGTTCGCGTCGATATATTAAAGTTGTTCGAAACTGATATTTTGTCAATAGCCTCCCGACTTAGACTACATGGTCTTACAGCAACAGGCTTAGTGATATGTTTCCGCCCCCTCCTATCAACACTACGTCTCCCGTCCGTATTCAGCTCTTCGAGCTCAATATTGATCATTGGTAGTAGCTCTGTATGCTCTGGTGCTGACGGATTGGTAATTTCAGTGCGAAAGAGCTTGGTAAACATTTCAAAAGTGGCCATTGCGATAACACAGCAAGTATGCAAACCCACCAAGTAGGTACTGCAAAATGTCGCAAGACATTACTTACTCTCATATACTCCCTTCAGCATCACGTAGAGGACCCTGCATTCCTGCGTCATTGGAGCCACGGACTCCTGCCCTTGCCATGAAATGCTGTCTATTATGGTGCAAGTTTGTAGCGCTATGTGATGGACAGGTTGAATGGGCGTTCACGGTGATCTCGGGAGCCTCGTCACACCGACTCTTTGATGCCACTCGATCTGTAACACAGTAAACTGGATGCTAGTACAGGAAGTTTGTTTGTCTATACCCTGCTCCCACTAAGCTTAACGCGATATAGCAACTCGCTTATCGGAGGATGCAGAGAAGGAACGCGCCACCCGCTACGATTCACCCTGCATGTCAACTCAGGACATGTATACGTGCAAGGTCACCAAATCCATCGCGATGTCGTTCGCAAATCTTCCCTCGAGTAAGCACCACTGGAGGGCTTGCTGTCCGGATCCAAGGTTCATTTTGCCTCGAAGGTAACATCTAAATCCTACGATTCTGTCTTTGGGTAATGCTGAGTCGAAGATGACGCTGGTTTTCTGGTGCAGAAGCTAGCTTATGCAGACTGTAGCCATAGCCTTCGTAGAGAAAAATGTACCCATGACGATGCTCGCTGATAAGACGACAGCGAGGCGGGTCACGTACTATAGTGCCCCACGATTTGGACAGCTTCACATAGAGAATTTCTTACACCTTAGTTGCGATAAGATTATTTGGGTCGGGTTACTGATGCCGCAAGGACTGCAAACATTGATGGTCGAGTTCTGGGCCTGTCCTTGCAACAATTGATGAAAAAAATCTACCTCATCTATCATTAGCTGCGTTTGCTAACGTTAATCGGATTTGCCATTGTTGTTTCAAAAGTGCTCCATGAATAGAGTACAGCATTATCATGGAGGGAATGCGGAGAAAACTGAGTTCCTTGATGATAATTGTTGTCAAGCAAGTGAGCTGTGGGCTTCCGAGAAAGCACACGTGGCTCGCGAGTTGGATGCCCGAATCCACTACTTGCAAATGACAAGGCGACCGATTATCAACAACAAGAAGGTCTAATGGATCGTTCTCTCAGGTTAGAGTCTTCGGGATCGAAAGAAGAAGGGTTTAAGGCCAAGAGCTTGCTGGAGATGTGGGAACGCTTCCATCTTTGGAGCTGAGCTCCTGCAGCCCTCGTGTCCACTATCTCCTTACATTCCAGGGTACTCGGCCCGCTGCAAGTACATTAGGGCAGATTTGTAATGAACGATGCATGCCTTGGTAGCAAATAGCTTCTAGCATGGGAGGTACATCCAATCCAGATTTCGTCATGGTCATAGTACGCCGTCACATGCATTGGCATCGCAATCTCCTACTGCATTTCGTACAGTGCTGTGGGTCGTGGCTGAAGAAGATGGTACTGGTACAAGCTACCTGCGATCGTCTGGTCGCTCCATCTTGTTCGGGATGTTTCTTCCCGGGATTAGCGGATAGTGATATCCCAATACAGCTAGGTACTCAATGAGCAAACTTTGACTAAACCCTTACATTTTCCCACTTGGACTATGTATACAGAGAGAACCCGAATTCTTCTACTGAAGGGTAGACACACGTCTTTATGGAACTTTGAGTACCCAAGGATACTATAATACCCATCTTGGCGTGGGACGAAGTCAACACTGTGACCAGTACACGTATGTCCAACATTGCTATTTCCGTGTCACTAATGTCACACAGTACGGAAGCTGAACCACAGATCACCCTATTGTTGTCATTACGAGCATCTGCAAGACATCAGGCAGCCCCAAGAACAGGTTGACAGCTCACCTCAGACCTGTATACCAGCTAATGGCGCCTCATTATTGATCCGACCGAACGTAGAGTTCTCGCGCTAGGGATTTGACTGAGGTTACCCTGGTAGTATGACCTGCGTTGAGCTGGGAGAAGCGAAGCCGACGCACTGAAAGTCCGACGAGTCCACGCAGATATAACTTCGAGGCCGGCATGGATTCAAATACAACTCCTCTCAACGTCCAGACCAACTTCCTAGGTCTACCTCATCTCTAATCCACAACATACAATTCATGGATATCCTCGGGCCACAGATACATCTTCTTAGTGGTTTACGAAAAGAAACACCACGCGAGCCATGACCTCGTGGCAGTGCTTGAAAACACCAGAAACAACCGAATGACTATCCGCTATTGATCTGGTGGTGTCATCTGGAGACCACATGAGCTCTTCGGTGCGACTCGGGCACCAGGACGAGGCTGCACTTACCTTCTTCCCTTGAACGACCTCGAAGCACCTAAGCCGAAGCACGTCAGCTAGGAACAGCTGTCTTGCTTCCATATGCACGTAAGAAAACCCACATCTTATGCCAATATTGTGGCGCATTCACCGCCTGTCGGTCGGTACCTAGGGTCAGTCGCATAGCGTATTTGACACATACGGCTGACTCTTGTCAGTGTTACCGCAAAGCGACACTGCATACCTTGCAATGCGCGTGCCCTGGGCCCCGTTCCGCTGACAAGCGCGTGTTATGGCGCAAGCATATTCATCCTGTTGACTTCATGCAGACCAATCACACCTGCCGTTACGGACACATGTAATACTCCCAATAGCATGGACTGGAAGCATCTTCGTGCAGAAATCGCTCTTTCCAGCTGCGATACACAACTCCACACAGACGAGGATCGGCGTGTCATCCATTCGGTTCACCAACGTTAGCACAATTCTCTGGAGGCCTTGAAGTCAGTCTTTACGGGATCGTGTGGCGCGCCTTCCAGACTGTTCTTCTTGCGCAGCAGATTGGCTCGCTAACGGGTGGTGATGTTGGGGACAGCGGCTCCCCTCAAAAGCTCCGACACGCCACATCTCAACAACAAGGATCTACACGCGATGCTTATCCTAATCTGGTATAGTCATGGGCATTGTTCCGTTTTTCGATGAGCTTTATTCGACGACCCTTCTGCTGACCGATAGCAGCATGCTCACCACGTCCTCGGGCAGCGTTTTGACGTATTGACAGCTCGGACTACTGTGTGTAACCCACCAACAGCAACGATCCTCGTCAGCAGCTGCATCACTCCTTACCTCCCACACGGGCTGAGACAGCTGCAGCGAGTGTCATTTCGACACTATGCTGTGTCCGATCATAAGGACTGCCGTCGTGACTTGAAATGTTTAGCTTGGCAACTAACACCCAGTTGTGTGCCGAAAGTCTAAGCCTCACGACCACTCAAAGACATGGATTTTGAGTAGACCAAGAGAAAGCTTCATGTGGCACAGGAGCTGCCCAGACTAGAATCCTCTCGTGCCGTGTGCCGTGTGCCGTTTGCCTGCGGCTCGTCTTATCCATGACGAGACGGGATATACGCCTAGGAGCTACCACCCTGTCGACAGGGGCGTCAAGAGGAGGTATGGCTGCCGTTAGTGTCAGCTCTCCACACCATCCAGCGGCGCCATGATAGTCCACTGATCATCGCTGGGCTTTCGCGAGGAAGACAAGGCAGGCGACCGAGGATAGCATATAGTGCCTGTTGTCCCACGTACAACACAAGGTTCGGGTCGTTTCACAACTTCGATTCTCATACGTGAAAATCGTAGCATTCGCTTCTCCAAGTGCCTAAGGCACTGTCAGCTGTACTCGTACTCTCTTTCGCCAACACTTCAATTTCATAATGCTCACGACAGTGGCCAAAGCAACTGCCCTCCTGGCACTTGTGCCCGCGGTATCATCTTGGACACTACCACGCGTGTCAAGCAACAATGCACTTTCTCATCTAGAAGTTCCATGGAAAGAGAGAGGTCTTTACTCTGGATCGGCAGCAAGGAGCGTAGCTAGAAGAGATGGCTATCAAACAGGTTGTAATCACGGACCAGCAGCGAGGTCATGCTGGAAGGACAAATACAATGTTGACACTGATATGGACCTTGAATGGCCTACAACCGGAGTAGTAAGGAGGGTGAGTTGCGGAACGCGATCGAGACGTAGGTTACTCACACTCATTTCTACAGTATCACCTTGAAATTACGAATGTCACGATGGCACCAGATGGTTTTGAGCGACCCATGTCGGTCTTCAATGGCCAGTACCCAGGACCAGTATGTGCAAAGTATAAATCTCAAGACGATGGGATTAACAAGATTAGACTATTGAGGCTGATTGGGGAGACGAGATTGAGGTCACTGTGACCAATTATCTCGAGAATAATGGCACTGGAGTTCATTGGCATGGATTGCGACAACTTGGTTCAAACGAAATGGATGGAACGAATGGTCTGACCGAATGCCCAATTGTACCAGGGGCCACCAAAGTCTACCGGTTCAAAGCAACGCAGTATGGCACATCGGTAAGTCGGTTGCTTTATAAATGCTCTCGATTGCTAATCGAGCGCAGTGGTACCATTCGCATTACTCTGTCCAGTATGGAGATGGTCTAGTCGGCCCCATCGTCATCCATGGCCCTGCAACAGGCGATTATGACATCGATCTTGGAGTTCTGCCGTTCAGTGACTGGTTTCACTCGACAATCTTTACAGTCAATCATGCAACTCTTCACGCAAAGGGCCCGCCGACTGCAGACAATCTTCTGATCAACGGATCTATGACTTCATCTGTAGGAGGCCAGTATGCAGTCACGACCTTGACACCAGGAAAAACCCATCGGCTTCGTCTCGTAAACATGGGTATCAACAACTGGGTCCACGTCGGAATCGACAATCACCCTTTCACGGTCATTGCGGCAGACTTCATTCCTATTGAGCCTTTTGAGGCGACCTCGCTGAATATCGCTGTTGGTGAGTTTACCCCGGGGGTTCATCTCCACGTGCAGGTGGCGCATATGCGGCGCACTCCAATCGTGAATCTCAAAACACACTAGTAACGTTTCACTGACCCGCCATCTGGTTAACAGGACAACGGTACGACATCATAATCAACGCGACCCAGCCAGTCGGTAACTACTGGCTTCGTGTCGGCACCGGAGGACGTTGTGACGGCCCGAACGCAAATTCCGCCAACATCGGTAGCATCATTCGCTATGCAGGCGCCGAAGATGCCAATCCCGAGTCCACAGCTGCCGCACCTCTACCCGCTGGGTGCTATGATGAGCCCATTGTCCCTTACGTCAAAACACATGTCCCACAAGACGTTCCCGAGGAGTTGAAACTAATTTTCACTGATACTGGTGGTTTCAATAGCAGTGATCTCGTTCAGTGGAAGGTTAATGATGTGCCTATGCTGATTGATTTCGATAAGCCTACTCTACAGACCGTGTTTGAAGGCTTCACAGGCAATCAGACTTGGGGCAAGACCGAAAACGTGTTCGAAGTTGGCGACAAGGGGCATGCAGTAAGTCAACCCCACTTTGAGTGGAGCGTGTATCTAATAAAATATAGTGGCAATATTGGGTTATCCAGCAAGACAATGTAACCGCACCCCCAGTTCCTCACCCAATCCATCTGCATGGTCACGACTTCTTCGTCTTGGCCCAGAAGGCAAATGCTGTCTGGAACGGCGACATATCCACTCTAAATATGGACAACCCGATCCGACGTGATACAGCCACACTCCCTGCGGGAGGTTATCTAGTGCTCGCATTCGAGTCCGACAACCCTGGTGCATGGCTGGCAAGTTCTAACATTGATTGTTTCACGGTATTCTTGCTAATTCGATATGTTAGATGCACTGCCACATCCCGTTCCACATCTCTGGCGGCCTTGGCGTGCAGTTCATCGAGAGAAAAGAAGAGATCTTAAAGAGTATCGGCAATCTCGGTGACATGCAACAGGGCTGCGCAGACTGGCAGAAGTACCATGCTGAGAATTGGCCCAATGGCATTCTGATTGAGGGGGACTCTGGGCTTTAGAGCGTCAGATAAGTGCTTTGTCATGCTTTGGCTAAGATCTTACCTCACCTTGTGTACATTATCGTTCAGAAAGCACTAATGTCTAAATGTCTAAACGGAATTAATGTTCATCATGTATCTCAAAAAGATTACCAAGTAGCTCCTTCATTCGTGACTCTTTGGAGAATCACAATCAACATGAAGGATTGATTCCGTCCCTCCAGCCCCTATGTGACTCTCATTCTTCCAATTCTGCCTCCGATCTCATCCGTTGCAGATCTTTCTTACCGAATTCAGATGTGGCTTGCAGCTAATAAGGTCTGGTCTTTCTAGAATCAAGACCGACAGCCGAGAAGGAGAGTCGCGGTTGCCATGCACTCAAAGCGTAATTTCCTGCATAACCTTCTGCTAGCATGGTTTTATAGAAATCTTTCAGCCTTTTTGCCCTTCCTGGACGTTGGAGGATGTAGTGATAGTGACAGCATGCAATCCTCACAGCCAACTGCACTACTGACCTGACAGATCATGTAGTACCCTCCGGAGGTCATGCCACAAAAGTCGCAACGCGCTGTTCCAACTTTCCTCTGCCAGCCAATATCGACGAATTTCCATTGATAAGACGCTCCCTGTGTTGATCGACGTTGCTGGCATATTCGTCATGTACCTCGCGTACATGCTGTTCAGCCAATGCGACCCTGGTTTTCTGTAATTTTATGACGTGCGTTCGTTGCTTTTTAATAGCGCACAGAAAACTGGATTGGGGTTGAGCCTGGGGTATTCCGAGCCTCTCTGCCAAATTAGGGAACCGCATCTCTTCCCATTTCCGTTGCTCCTCTACTCGTTGTTGGACCTCTTTCGCTACTTTCGCTAAGAGAGCCGCTGTTTTACTTTCCGCAAGTACTTTCTTCGCAGCTTCCTCGTCAGCTAGTCTCTGCGCCGCCAGACGATTTTTCGCTTTGCGAGCCTGCTCCTGCCGAGCACGTTCAAGCACCGCTGCAGCACGTGCCTCAGCTTCGATCTCTTTGCCCCGTCTTAAGCGCTCTTTTGCAGCTCTCGCAAACTCTGCACGTGCTCGTTCAGCAGTCTGTCGAGAGAGTTCTTCAGCTAGACGCTCCTTCTCCGCTCTGACACGCTCTCGTTCTTTGCACTTCTCTTGCTCCCGACATCTCCGCTCAATGTTTTGGCGATACAAGGCCCACTGATACTGTATATCCTGGTAACAAAGATCATATTTGGCGCGTTTGGAATTATCAGACAGACTTTCATATGCTTCTTGTATCTCCAGTGTCGTCAATACCGGGATAACGTCTCTGATCATGGACGGAGGTGAGACTTACCCGTCGAAACTCCGCAGCATCTTTTGATTGCCCAGGCGCGATCTTATCTGGGTGATAGACGAGCACTAGCCTTCGATACGACTGTTTGATTTGAGCTGCTGTAGCATTACGTGGAATTTTCAAGTTAAAGTAATGATCTGCCACTCTTGGTTCTACAGGCGCATTCTCTGCCATGGTTGAGACCGTGATGTTCACAGAAGCGAAAGGGAGTCTGTGGTAAGGTTCCTTTTGATGACCCGCCCTAAGACAAAGTGAAATGGGTCACACCATAAGGCGCTGTTGGTGAAAGGATGCGAAGCAGGAACGCATCAGCAAAGCAAACACTGTTGAGTAATCTCCGGATATCTCCGAGCATGATAGTAACAGACAGAAGATTCTTAGATAGCTCGCTAGCATTTTAGATGATGCGCAAATTCTGAGCTCGTGAAGCAAAGTCGAACGCCGACGCCTGTAAGACATCTTCTCATTGTGTCGCTGCCCCCCGAGATTCTTCCCCTTTCGATTACCGTTCTCAGAGCTTTCTTTTCTTACTGAAGCGGGGCCTTTCTCTCTCTTCGCCATCTGCTTCTAGTTTGGCAAACAGATTGTTCAACAAGGAGAACAGTCGCTCTGGATCTTCGTTACCAAAGCCTGATTTGCGCTTTAGGTCTTTTGCCCTCCGAATCTTGAGCTCTGAATCAACCGCTTCCACTGTAATAAGCACTACGTCCTTTAAGACTTCGTCCTTTGTCTCTCCGCGAATCTGCATAATATCTTGGATGAACTTTTCTGCAGCTTCTGTCTCTTTTTGCTGGCGCGCAAGAGTTTCCTCGACGCGTTTCCTATTATCTTCTGCTTGCGAGCGTTCGATAGCTTCGCACCACTGCTGTTCATTCTCGCGCTCTTCCATCTGACGCTCTCTAGCCTCATTTGCAGCGTCTTCGCGTGCCTTCTTTGCCACCTTCTGCATTCTTTCATCGGCCGCTTTTGTTATCTGTTGCAGTCGGTCTTCGGCAATCTTACGTTTTTCCGCAGCTGCCCGTTCCAGAACCCTCTGCTCTCGTGCAGCAGCCTCATCTTCCTTCTTCTGACGAAGGCGCTGCTTTTCAGCAAATGCTTTTGCTTGCTTTCGTAGCTCTTCCTCTTCCTCTCGTTCTTCGCGTTCGGCATCAGCTTGTTTCTGAGCTTCTTGCTCTTGTCTGATGCGTTCTTCGTTGGCCCGCTTCTGAGATGCCTTTTGTTGCGCTATCTTCTCCCGCCACCTTCGATTCGACTCAGCTTTCGCACGCTTCTTGTCCTCCTCTGCAAGGCGTCTCTTTTCCTGGGCTTCTTCATGTTGCTGCCATTTTCCCAAAGCGATATCGTAGTCGACCCATTGCTGCCGTACATATTGAAAGGTGGCGTCGTACAGGAACCTCTTGATCGGATCGCTGAGTACCTCGTAGGCTGCGGTAACCTATTGACTTGGTCAGGCTCACTTCGCCAGCTAATACCTGTTGGATTACACGAACTCTTTTGAACTTCGCATCACTGGCGCCTGTAGGATTTTTGTCAGGGTGATGCTTGAGTGATAGTCGTAAATAGGCTTTCCGAATCTCAGCAGGAGCTGACACTTTGCAGTTTCCAAGCTCGAGATCATGGTAGTAGTCTGCCTGGAGCGGCTCGTAGGGCTTTTGTGGACTCATGGAAAATTGTAGTGAGTGTACTGGTAGCTTTTGCAGATGTTTGTGTATAACTGAATCTGATAGATGCGATCTGCAATTGTGATGTAGGTTGCAAGATTAGAAGTAGTGGGGGAAAACTTATAGAATCTCCAGAATCAAAACCCTAGCTTAGTACCTGGTAAGATGCGTGGGTAAAGGCAGAAGTAAAATAGAAGGGTGAGAGTAGCTTAGCATTTCCTAGACGTAGTTGCAAGGTGAGAGAGCCCTAGTAAGTCTAATATCAACTCCTAGTCCAAATATTTGTGTATTCACCTTTACCCTTGAAGTGGATGTGTACCAAATTGGCTTCGGTTGCCAATGTCTACTCCGTGCTGTTGCATCGTTACAGCGTAGCTAAGGACACTTTGCTCCCAATCCTTCAACATGGTAGCTCTATCCGCACCTCCAAGAATTTGATCAACAGTCTTAGCTAGCTCCATAGCATCCATTGCTGCTTGGCTTGTACTAGCTGCTGTGTGCGGCCTGAAGCCTGCGAGAGCATCGCCAATAACCAGGACACGATTGTCGCTCGACAACACAGCGGCGGGACTGATGACGTCGGTGATAGCCTGTATGAAAGGAACCTCGGTCTTATTAACCAGTTCTGCAAATTGGGGTGGAAGGATGTCTCGTGCAATTTCCTTCTGTCGCTTCCAGACATCCTTTTGAATACCTCCTGGAGGCAGCGTGATGTGGTGTCTCTTGCCGTTCTTGTCCGTCATGAGCTCGACGTGCTCGGGCGACTCTTCTTTGTAGTTGAAATACCACACCCAGTTCAACAAACGCTTGCCTGGCTCGATAATGCCATTGCGTCCCGGTATGGCGTATGCGAGAATTTGGACACCCTCCGTGTGGAAGAAGGGAAACTTTTCAACAAACACATCAGTTGCCGATTGCGAGACTTGGTCTTCTGGAACTGTGCCTCGCCATGCTACATAACCCGCATACTTTCTCTGCACTTTGGGGTCGATGTATTTGCGAACAGACGAACTAGGCCCGTCTGCGCCAATCAACATGTCCGCATTGAAGGTGACATCGTCGCCTGTTGAGGTTCTGGCCGTAATTGACAACGATGTGGCATCACTGAAATCGATTCCAGTGACCTGATGACCATAATCATATGTGGATGTCCCCTCGTGTGGTTGCGGTTCCGGCACTTGCGCATATTCTGACTCAACTCCATCAAAGTTTGCCCTCAGAAGGTGGTACAGCAGATCCCAGCTCGTCATATGTTGCTCTTTATCCTCACGATCGATAACATTTCCAGTCCTATCGAGGTATAGTCGTTGGTGGCTAGTGACAGCGAGAGGCGTCTTCGTCCTGTCGTGTTTACGGAAGAACTCTTGTACATGACCGCCAGCGACCACGCCAGCACCTTGATCGTGCAGTAGTGGCGTAGGATTCCGTTCGAGTATGCGGATGTTCAGATCCTTTCGTAGATGTTTCAGCGCAACGCCAGCAAAGAGCCCGCCTAGTGAGCCGCCGACGATGACGATGTTCTTGGGCTTTGCAGTTGTCATTTGGCAGCATCAAAGTTTGGTCTGCTGTGACAAGTGACGGCGCGGATGGCCACGAGACTTGTAGGCCATAGACCCGAATTTCAGTTGTCATCATCATTACTGCTCGAGAAGGGCAGGTGGCAGGGGTGCCACAACGATCCAGAGTGGATTTGTGGGTGACGTCATCTTGCACCCAAAACTCCCAGACGCGTCGACGCGGACAGAATTCAGGCACGTCTACGTACGGGTCCGACGACTGGAATAAGTTTCATACAAATATCCGCTGTCAATAGATATTCAAGGACGTTAGCTACGCTTGTGGAACCAGATGAGCTCGTCCTTCATCTCATCGCACAGCGGTATGCCGAAGCTCTGTACTGTTGCGCTGTCGATCTTAAACTCAGCCTTCATCTTTCGCGTAGTGTTTTCCAGAACATCTCTGAACTCGACGACGAACTTGTCGCCTGAAAGATGATCAAAGCGAAGATCAAAGGCCGTACATCTGTCCCTGCACTTAGCCTCCAAGCTCCCCTTGTTATGCGAAAGGATTATTGTGCGATAGCCAGCATTGAAATACTCGCCAGCAATATCTTCAAGCGGTACAAGAAGTGGTTCTGTCCAATCGGGTGGCAACAGGTCTGGATCTTCTTCTGCTTCTTCTCGCTCCCCATCCTCGTGGCACTTGCGCCAGTACGCAGGCCAATCTGTACGCTCCTCCTGAGGAACCCGAAGCACCTCGTCCACCAATTGATGGAACAGAATCTGATGGACGTAGAACGCATCGTTTGAGTTGCCAAACACGACGATGCCCCAATTGTGCCCCGGCAAGAATCGCATCAGAGCCCTGAATCCACCAAAGGAGCCATCGTGACCGAATATCATATGGCCGCGGTATGATTCAGCAATTAGCCCTAGCGCATATACGCTATGACCGTACAGTGGAAGCGCATCGTTGCCTTCGAACGGAACGATAATCCGCCCTTTGACCATCTCGTTGTGCGCACCCGCTGACAGGGGACCAGACCGCTGGAGAAGCGCCCGCACCCACTTTGCATAGTCGCCGGCGCTGCTGAAGACACATCCTGCACCCTGGCCTTCTGGCTGCGCGTACGATGGCATTGCGAGGTACGTTTCCTTTTCCTGGACCCAGCGGTGACCCATCGCCAGGTGAGCCTGCGCGTTTCCAGCTTCCACGCCTGTGACATCGTGATAGGTGTTTGACATGCCGAGCGGCTCCCAAAGCCTTTTACGAATGAATTCGCTGTATGCTATACCGGTGACTGTCTCGATCAGGTGTGTAGCTACAGTGAACATGATGTTGCTGTATTGGTAGTCACAGCGAAGTGGTTTGTTGAACGGTAGATTCCTCAGATTGCGCGTTATAGACTTTGCATTATCTGGCTCAGCAGCGCTCTGGCCGTGGAGCGCATTGTCGTGGCCGGGGTCACCTGTTCGATGACTGAGGATGTCCTCGATGGTGACATTGGCGGTGCGGTATGGATCCGGGAGAACGAAGTCATCAGGCAGAATTTGGGAGACTGGCGTTCGCCATTGCACATCTGGATACGAATCATCGTCGACGAGCAGTGCGATGCATGCTGCTGTGAAAGACTTAGAGGTGCTTGCGCAGTCGAACAGCGTGTCCTCTGTACAAGCGCCTCCATCGAGCCTAGCGACTCCGTAATACTGCGAGCACTTTAGCTTACTTCGGGAACCCTCAGGTAGTATTGGATACTTTTGCCTGGATTTCGTCTCCTTGTACAATAGCTACACCGAGCCCGGGTACGTGCCACTCGTAGATAAGTCTTCGAACGTTCGCGTCAAATGCAGCGTTTGTGTGGGCCATGGGTTCTGAGACGCAATATCTTTAGGATTTCAACCAAACACGTTGACAACGAGCTCAATTTTGAAGATCTGGTTTCATTGAAGACGCGTGCGTATGATGCGCGGGTTATGTAAAACTACGATGACGCTGCATGTCTGACTAAGACCTGAAAGCAGCTGCCACCTAAAATGGCGTTCCGATATGTAATTTGGACATGACGCTAAAGTAACATGGAAAGTAGAACGCACAATCTTGGCTCACAGCAAGGATTACTCAAGCTCCAACAGTCACGCCGTTGGGCATCTCGAGGCCGATTGGTAACCCGGCAATGAACGGTGCAAGGAACTTCTCGCCCCTGACCTGCGTCAACTTCTCCTCGACATCCTTGTACATATCGTACGCGTTCATCTCCTCAATCGTGAGCTTCTTCTTCTCGTCTTCAACCTGGTACGACGGGCACTTGTCCTTGTTCGCGGAGAACCCGATGCGCTCGTTGATGTTGTAAGCAGCCTTTGCAGCCGCCGCCTGCACACGAGTGGCACGCGGTAAGCGCACCTTCTCATAGACTTCGAGGGCCTCGCGAACGTCGCCTTGGAAGTACGACTTGTTGAAGATGATACCGATGGCGGCGGCGTCCTCGATCGCCATGCAGGCACCTTGACTCTGGTGAGGCATCATCTGTGCGTGTTAGTCAAGGTAAACCAAACAAGTTTAAGGCACTTACCGGGTGGCCTGCATCGCCCAACAAGCAAACGTTGCCTTTCTGGAGATACGGGTATGGGTCGTGGACCCACAGCCTCCACGGCTGAACCTCAACACCAATTGCCAAGTGCGCCTTAACCTGTGCATCCAGCTCCGGGTAGGGCGCAAGCAACTCTTCGACTGGTCGATCATCAGCCCCCCAGGCTTGTGTTGTGTAATCGCCCTTCTCTCGCGGGAAGAAGCAGTAGTATGAGAGCAGTTTGCCGCCGTTGCAAGGCGATAGAACGATCTTATCCCACTTCCCTTCTTGGCCGCCCCAGTACTCTAGAGCAGCATTCTGTGAGTAGTCTACGAGACCGAGTTTGACTGCTTGCTCGGTGCTGACGTTTGCGTGCAGGCAACTTGAGTCAGCGGGGCGCTTTGCTGGGTGCACCCCGAGAATGCCACGCACAGCGGAGCCGATACCGTCCGCACCGATGAGTAGGTCGTGCTTGACCTGTACGCCGTTCTTGAATGTGACTGTGCCTGCCTTGAGATCGATATCTTGACACTAAATTATGTTAGTGGCGTAACGAGGTATAGTAGATATATCACTTACAGCGTGGTTTACGAGCAGCTTTGCTGGTATCCCCTCTCCTTCCTCTTGCAGCGCACAGTCCTTCAACATCTTGTGCATGTACTGTCGGTGGAACATGTTATACGCGTATCCCCACTTCTCCTCGTAATCATCGAGGTCGAATGTGGATACCGGCTCGCCCGTCTTCCAGTCACGGTTGATGAGCTTCTTCAGTGCCACAGGGTCGCCCTTCTCAATATCAACACCCCACTCGTGCAGCCATCTTGTGCCGTTTGCTGCGCATGAAACCGATGCACCGACCTCACCGGCGAAATCATGCTTTTCGTAGATGGTGACTTCGTGTCCAGCGCGGCGAAGAGCGATAGCAACGGATATTCCTCCAATACCGCCACCGATCACACCGACATTGAGTTGTCGCCAGCCTTGTGCCATAACGTCTGCTCTTGCTTAGTGATGATGACGTATCACTGATTTGAGGATCGAGTCCGAGGATGGGTTGGTCGCGGGCTGCAAGGCTTGAAGTTTACAATCAATAGATGAGTGATGATGGCCGCATGAAGGCTGCGCCAGGCCTTCTACATATACATCACGGCGCAGCATGCATTCTCGCGCGGATCTGCGTTATCGTAGGAGCGCCGTCAACCTCATCGATGATCCGCAGCGTATCGGAGAACAATGCGACGAGCCTGTGACTGCGGATAACGACCCGTTCGCGCATTTTGCTACAAAGGCCTGCAAGCTGATTGGGATGCCGAGCATGATTGTGCAGGGTTGTGTATCCGCACTGGCGGGGGGGGAGGGCAACGGAGGCAGCGGAAGATACATCGGATGAGAATTACACTAGCGTAACAGCTGCTTCCGTCGGAAGGTGCGATTGCCGCCCGAACATACCCGCCGAATCTTACAGTCGCACTCACACACTACAGACTACCTACACGAACACGACATTTCTTATTTTTCAAACCGTAGTTGCTCAAATCGGCAGAGTCGCATTCGCAGGCAGACAAGGGCCTCTTTCCTGCTCGATGCGTGCGGTTGCATTGACGATCAGGTTCGCCAGGGGACTCGTTCCACACTTCAACCCAAGGACGAAAGCTTGACTATGCTGTCGAGGTGTTAGCCGATTCCACAAACACCGGTTGTAGCCGAATACTCACAACATCTGCCAAGAACGGAGCTGTATGCGTGTGATCCATTGGGTAGTTCGTATCCACGACAGCCTTCCCGAGCAACTTCTGCGCTTGTGCGGCGTAGGCTCCATGCTGAACGAAGAACACATTGGACGCTGGACCGCCGAGTTCGATTGTAGCCAACCTGTTTTGGTCAGCAAGAAGACACGGAGAGGAAAACATTGCTACTGACTCGCTGTAGTAAGCGAAGACCGGCGACCTGTACGTGTAGCTGCCCGACTCCCAGACATTTGTCGGCAGCTGCTCAGCAATGACTATACCTGCAGCTCCCAGGTCGAGATACTTCTGCGCCGCTGCCTTCACGTATGTAGGAAACGTCTGCACAATCTCGGTGGTGTTGCTGTCAAGCGAGGTCAGAAGAATCAAAGCCGCCGGTACGTGTTTACTCACTTGAAATCCACAGTGCAGGTCTCATTACCTTCACCGGGACAACTCGGTCGGCCCTTGTCCCCAGTCGTGCTCGTGGATCCGTTCTTCGGAGCCCCCGCATCGTTGATCCCGAACTCAATGACCACCCAGTCGCCTGGCTGCAGGCCCTGAGCAATGCGCTCGAAGCGGCCTTCGCGCGTGAACTACATCATGTGAGCGATGCTGATTCTTCACCGGCAAAAAGTCAGGTTCACATACCGACCGTGCAGAACGTCCTGCAAACGCAGAGTTGTTGACCAACGCTCGATCACCCAACGAGTACTTCAAGTACTGGCCCCAACCCTGAGTGCCGTTTTTGCCTCCGTCCGGAGCCGTGGTCGAATCGCCTGCGAGCCACACCGTCGGTACTTTGGCCGCGACAACACAGAGTGTGCTGAGCAGGCACGCGACGGTCGACTGGAGCTTCATGGTGGGCGTCTGGTGGCTGCTACCTTGGATGATTGAAACGTGAAACCCGTGTACCTGGTTGGCAGTGCTGAGTGGCGCCCTGCCAAGTGATCAGTATTTGTACTCATGCATCTTCCCGCTAGGCGAAAAGGCCGTTTAATTACTCCGCAGTGTGGAAATCAAGTGCGAATGCTTGATGCGGAGCCCCGCAAAGCTCGGGGTTGCGGATCGTCTGCGGCTCGGGCTAACACAGGCCGAGTTGCATCAGATCTTCCGTCTTGACAATTTTAAGAAAACACGCTTAAAACTTGGGGTTGATCGCAGGTTGAATTTTGTTCTATTTAAGGGGCTACTGACTATGGTTTCGCGGAAGTGTAGCACTTGTGGGTATATTGTTGACAAAGGGAAAAAAGAAAAAGAAAACTGAAGGACCTCTGCTCCAGAACACGCCTGCGAGAGAATCAGGAATCGTAGCGGTATCGCGGTGCACTTGTTTTACAGAAACCTGTCATCGTACGTCTATGTTTGAACAACGATGCGTCAGATACTCTGGATGCTGGATCACCCGCTACCGCTCGTAAAGCTCCAACAGGGACGTAACGTCAGTAGAACGCTTAGCCGGCAGCCCTATCTGATCCGGACCCTTATCCTATTGCCGCATACCAAACTCGACGTCGGTCTTGCGACCGGGCTTGATGTTGGGGTCGTACCAGGTAAGGCAGACGGCGAGGGTGGCAATCATCATAAGACAGTCGTAGATGTAAAGGGGCCACTCGTGTTGGAGCAGGTAAGCCTCCTGGATCATTATTAGTGGATGTCGTAGTTGCATGAAAGGAGGAAATCTTACCTTACCCATGGCGTATTCGACCACACGGCACATGTTACGGATGGTGATGAACGCGCTTGCAGCATACAGGAAGCGCACCATCTTCTGCCATGGGATGTCGGAGGATGCAGCCGTGGGTCTGGACTCCAGTCTGCGGTGCCACTTTCCTGCCACAATGACAAAGAAGAGGAACATCAGGATCTGGAGGATCAGACCGCCGAGAATGATGTTCTCGCCTCTCTTGACGCCGTCCTTGTCTTTGGCCTGCACCAGCATGCCAGCACCGCCACTCTGGATGAAGAAACAAAGGATGTCTCCGGTGACGAAGATCTTCGTGACCCAATTGGCGCGTACGATCGAGTAGGATGCGGAGTCAGTGCGCATGATCAAGCGTCCGAGAATCATGTAGATCGAGGCGGCGAAGAGGATGGGGGCGATGAGGATGAGAATAGACTGGATGATGTAAGGCGTCTTAGTGATGGTATCGTTGTGAGCTGCTGCTCGCGCGGCATAACCGATGGTCTCGAACTACGGACGTCAGTGCAAGCTTTCAAAGACTGTGGCGTCACATACCAAGGCACCGATGACAAAAGGTATGCAGAACCATGTGCGGTTTTTGACAAGCCTGAAGACGTGGGCGCATGTCAACAGTGCAAAGACAACGGCGGCGATTGCTCCACCGGCAATGGACGGTGTGTATGGCCAGAGAACATATTCCGGCTTGGTTGTGTCCGCCATGACCCTGAAGAGTGCTTTAAGGTTAAAGCTTGGTGCTGTAAGCCCTGGCTTGGGTAATGTCTTGTCCTTCCTAGGTTGGTTCGTGTTTGGTCGACAGCGGGGAGAAAGTCCAACTTGTAGGGATGATGGTGAAGAGGAGTTGATGGTGGTTCAGTGTCGAAGGAGAGAGGCCTTATGTATAGCAGAAGACGGTCGCGTATAGACTGATACGCCCGTATCGACCTCTCCGACGAACATCCCAAAATCTGGACCCTTCACGCATTGCCGTACTGGAGAAACAAGCCTTACGGGTGCTGTCGTATGTTTCGACACTCTGATTGGTCACCGTACTCGCTTGCGTACACGTAACCAGCAACAAAACAGGGGTCTACCAAAGTGAAAACAGTTGCGGAACCTCACCGCAGGAACGCTTTGTCGTACGAAATATGCTCATTAACACTTTGAGGCACCGTACTTGCTGTTTCAAATTTCGTCACGGATTCTATCGCGACATGTGCTGTTGTGCTGTAAGTACAAGCTGCTACAACCTAACATTGGTACCAATTAGTACCTCAGCTTCATGTCTGAGAGCGGTCCTAACTTACAAGCGCTGATCATACGCAGCTACTGTTACGGTTTTAGACATTCTCGCAAGCATCTCCAGAACTGTGATAGCTCCCGGGATATCAACACCCTCCCCAGCACCAAGGTCCTCCTGCAGGTCGGTGTGTTCGATTACAGGCTGCACTGCGCCACTGCCCTTGTCTCGAAATCGAAATGTGGTTTGATAATTCTAGCAATGAGCTCTTCATCCCGGAGTGTGGATGTTGTGAGGGTCTCGTAGCTGCTCCTTAGGCCACTCCAACCAGCCACTCCACTCACTCGGTACCAGCGCTTCTGCGACCCGAAGTATCTGCTCCGCGACACCTGCCAAGTACCAGTAGCGGACACTACTCTTCTGCAGCAACACTGCATAGTGCGCATAGATAATCAGTGAACCTGGTTGCCGTTCCGCAAGCAATTCGACATATCGATCGCTGACAAAGTGGATCCAGATCTTGAGGAGTGCGTCAGAAGGTGGTTCATGTGACTTCTCTGCCGCCGCAAAAGTCAAGACCAGGATATGAATCGCGTAGCCATAGGCGTCTACAATGTCCGGGGGGTAGAGCTGGTGCACCACCTCAGCAAATTTACATAGCTGCACAAGCTCGGTGTTCTCTGGTGGCTCTTGTGTGAGCCAGTCGACGCCTTGCACGTCCTTGGGTATTAACTTTCCCAAGATGGAAGCTTTCATAATGTTGTAAAAGCTAGAAACCATTGGTCGAACCTTCCTGGTCACGGTAAAGTTGGTAAGGAGCGAATTAAAGGCGTGATCCACGTTATGACTAGGGTCCACTGAGCTTGCACAGGAGTAAGGGAACAGAATCGCTGCGAAAATGAGGACACCTTTGAAGTTGCTCTCGTCAATGTCGCGGACGGTGGTCTGGAAGTTTACGAGAGCAGCATCATAGTGTCTGCCTCCTAAGAGAGCGTACTCAAGGTTATCCAGGCCAGGTCCAGAGATCCGGCCGAGGTGAAGTGCAGCTAGAGCGAGCAGCACGTGGAGAAGAAAAGGATACTCGAAAGCAGTCTGTGGAACGGCTGTGGCGTAGACTTCATGAGCTTCCGAGTCCGCGCCAAGGGTCAGGGCGGTGACAGTCGTGTAGTGATGCAACAAACGTAACTGGGGTAGATTAAGCACTGTAAGGTCTTGGGTTGGTGTGAAAGATAGATTCGGCAAAGCCGGGTCGAATACCCCTCCTTCTGTTGATGAGGGTGTGTATGTTGCAGGGACGGGTAATGGCGACCCTGTGGATCCCTCACGACTCTTTGAAGGTCGATACTCGCATGACGTGCCTTGCTTCACGCAATTTGCGCAGTCCGGCTGCTGTTCATCGCACTGTGATGGTCAGCTCCGCCGATCCGGAAGTGATGGTATCAACGCCTTCGCACCTTGACATGACGGGCTTTGCAAGGAAGACAGCCGTTCCTTGACTTTTTGTGTGGCTTGCGTGTCTTAACCCTCTCCATTGTGGCGTTGTCACAGGATAGTCATGTTGCTTTCTCGATTTGACGACTGCAATCGAGGTCTGGTTCCAGCGTTCCAAAGAGACGCCGGTGCCGACGCTAGTCAGTCGTTGTTGCCGATCCGGAAAGCCGAATTTCTACCGAAGGGGAGGACCTTCTTTGCGGAGCTGGATAATGATGTTATCAACCATGTTCGGGTTTGAGGCTTGGAGCGCTATGAACTTTAACATAAGAGAACAAATTTTATTTGAAGTTGCTTCTCAGGATATGCATCACACGGCAGCGCGATGTCTTGCATTTGAACACTCATGGAGTCCAAATCGCATGTACATACGAAGTAGAGTGACACTTATGCAAACTTGTTTCAATCAACACACTTCTCAAAGAACTGCTCTTTTCACTGGTGTGACATTTGCTCCGCATCACGAGCGGGCTAACAGGGTGCTCAACAGTCGTCTACAGTACAAGAGTGGACGCCCCCCTCCTGAAAGCCTTAGTATCTACCTCGCGCCGCCATGTGCATTCACTTTCGCCCCAACACCAAAAAGCCCACTACCCACAACACACATCTACAACTTCGACGACAGCTTCCCGCTCTGCTTCGCAGTAAACGTCGCGATAAGATCCATCAACGCCGGACTCAGCACATCATACGACACCAGCCCCTCCTTCGCGAACTTCGCACGCACCTCGTCCATCCCCGCAGGATCAAACCCTTGCTCGATGATACTCGACACGAACGCCGCGAACTGCGGCTCCTGCCACCCAGCCGAGTCGCTGAGCTCCGTGTGCACAAAGTCGAGGCCCTTGAAGGGGTGGTCGGCCACGATGCGGCCGAACAGGTGCACACCGCATTCCTTGCAGGCGTTGCGCTGGATCGCGGCGCTGGGGTCGATGATGTGGAGTTTGTGGGCGTTGGCGGTGACGCTGACCTTGTCGGCGGGGAGCACGCCGATCAGGGCGAACAGCGCGCCGCGCGGCTTCCAGCACTTGGAGCAGCCGCAGGCGTGGTTGTGGGCGACGTTGGAGCCGAGCGTGACCTCGACCTTGTTGGACGCGCAGTGGCAGTACAGCTTGCCGCCGGCTTTGTTGGCGTCGCCCTTCTTGATGCCGGAGTCAACTGCTGGGTGGAGCGAGGGGGCCATTGTGAGTGAGAACGGAAGGTAGTTGCTGATAGTCTTCAGGTTATTTTTCAGGGTGAGCGAGAGCGAATTCATGGTGGCTCGATGGCAGCTGCGATGCAGCAATATATACGCCTGCGGTTCCGCATGCCGAGTTGCGTTACGCTCCCCTCACCGTACGGTATCCACCTGAGGACTACGGAGCCAATGATACACAGGAAGAGGCGAGAGATTGAGCTGGGTGTATGGCGTAATACCCTGCGTGGACCCGTTCCAAGCGGACCGAGAAGGTTGTAGGATCGATAAGTGTGTTTCGATTCCTCATTCGGACAAAAGAACCCCGCGTTTGACGCGGAGCCGCCTTGCGGGCACGGGTAGTCATCACGACTTACGCGCCTCAATTTACGGAAGCAGGTATATTCATCGAAGGCGACTCTGAGGCCGAAAAATAAGTCTTTGCTTCCATCACGATTCTCCGGCTGTCAGAATGCGTGATTATCATCGGTCGCAAAGCCGGGGTTTGCATTGAGCAGATCTACGCTGGCGCTACGGATGAAGAGCCGATCGCCTGCAGCAAGCACCGCGACCCCACAAACGTCTCGCGAAATATATCTTTGCAGAACGTTGCTTGGTGCAATGAAGAGTAAATCTGTCTGATCGCAGCGAGCTGATCTTCACCGACATCAATCTATGTACCTTCGGTGGATGCCCAACTGGATGAGCTTGATCGTAATCAATAGCACCAGATCTATAAAGTAAATCAAGAGCAAACGGATTGAAAAGGTACGGGCAGTAAAAGGAGTATTATTGCGTAAGGGGGTATCAAAGTGGGTATAAAGCTCGAACGGGAGCAGGAGTCTAAGTCAACAAACAAGGAAAAAAGGGAAGCCCGAAAGCAGCCTCATTTACAGAGAACCCGCGCGCCTTGAACAGTCGTCCAGACGACGACACGAATAACGCCGAGCCCTGCGTAAACCTACTCTGCCGCCTGGCCTAGCGATGCCAGCAGGCTCCTGTACGCGCGTGCCTTGCTCCCCACATTCCGGGCCTCCTCAGCATCCATGTGACTCGCGATCTTGAACGCCTCTACGACCGCCACAAGCGGCGCCTCTTCACGGCCATTAAACGGCACAGAGTCCACAAATTGCTGTAGCGAGATAGACCCCAGCTGCACGCGCGCCAGCACAATGTAATCAAAGTCAGCCACGTCAGCCGCGACGCGCGCAACGAGGTTCCAGTCCGCAGGGCTGAGAGAGCTGCGGCGCACCATGATTTGTTCCTTGTGCGCGAGGGCCGTGAACGCTTTCATGACCGCGGGTTTGGTGGTTGAGTCAGGTGAGCAGGTTTCGAGAATGTCGAGGAAGCGGTGTAGTGAGGCGGTGCCGACGAATATGTGGCGTTGCTTATACTGCAGCTCGGACTCGATTTGAGCGGGTGCGCTCGCGACGTCGCCGGTGGCGCGCGGTGTGGGTGTCGTGGAGGCGAATCCTGGGGTCTGGGAGCGTTGGGTGCTACTGGGCTGGGAGAAGCTCGGGCGTATGGGAAGGTTCAGAGAGAGCATGCGCCGGTGTCTGCGAGTGGGCAGCGGCGTTTTCGGGCCTGCTGTGTTGGATTTGAATTCGAGCAATCCTCCGTTGAGTCTGCTTCGCGCTCGAAGCGTCGCGGTTGACGGCTTTCGTATGGTAGTCGACGTAGAGTCCATCGAATAGTTCGACCACCGCTTGTTTGTAATAGGTCCTTCGAGCAGATCAGTGCTATTTACTAGGGTATCATTTGGGCTGCCAAGGCCCTCATCCTGTGCGCCTTCTGTTGCATCAGTTTGAGTACGAATTTGCGGGTAAGGCGAATGTTTCGCCTCTGCATGTGTGGCATCAGAACCTGCAGAATCGATGTCGGAAAGCGGTAGTGTGTAGTAAGAGTCGCTCGTTGACACTCGTTCTCGTCTCAGTAGGTGCTGGTGCCTCGCTGGCCTAGAAAGGCGCTCGTGCGCACTGCCTCCACGTGCGTATGACGGCCTGGCACTCTCCAAAAAAGGTGAAATTGGTGACGCGAGCTGGGGACTTGTGTCAAGGGACACCACTCTTCTTTGGCGCTTTCCTTGTCGTCCTGGAGTGTCAGAGTCTTGTACGCCTTCAGAAAAAGCAGGGGTGAGGACGTCCCGAGGAATGGACCAAGGTGCCGACTCAGACCAACTCAGCTTCAGGGATGCACTGACCCCGGGGGTGTCGTATGATCCAAATCCACTTGGTCGAAGGGAGCTGTCAATATTTTGCGACGCAGCCAGGAAGCTTGCTGACGGTACCTCGATCGCCACCTGCTCGTGCAGCAGACTCCGCCCTCTCGCCGTAGATTTAGCCATCCAGTGACTCTTCGCATGAGACCAAGTCTGTTTAGCTGGCGGACTTCGCTGTAGGGGGTGCGCGAAACGGAACTGCGTCGCAGTGGTAGACGGCGCGCGGCGCCTATGACTCTTTATCTGGTCCGACCGACGAAGTAGTTCGATGGCGATAGTGCGGCGAGCTATGGCTGGCTTCTGCAAGATCATCGTGAGCCATAGCATGTAGATGTGGAGTTTGACCGTGTGCAGGCAAGTGGCGAGGGTGACGAGCAGCGTCAACAATCGGTTGTCGCGTGACATGGTAACAGACTAGTATCTTTCACCGTGAAACTTCGAATTGTTTAGAGGATCGAGACGTCGCCCATGGAATAATAGCGCAACGTGCGCAGCCACCATGTGAACAACATTATGGTGTAGAAACTATGGATGAGTATCATGGTTCGTCAGTAGACACCCTGGGTAACGTACCGCGGCCCGCGATACGACAGATTGCAAAGGATTGCTCAGAAAATTGTTTTGTTTGAGGATACTGACTGGCCGGGCAAGGCTCCCGTGTGGAATGTTAACGTTGACACGTGGTGGCTTCACCTAAGAGACGTAGGAATGTGCTGCTTGAACGAACAAGGAAGGGTCCATGGGGCAACCATCTACGACCCTCGGGTCTCCTATCCAACAGTGATGCGGACGAGGGCACGTCGCTCAACACACAAAGGTGTTATTAATCCGTGGTCCATCACCCACCTCTTCCACGCCCTGTGCCTCTGGTCATCCGTACGCTATGAGGAATGAAGTGCAGTGCTGACATGCTGGAGGCCAACTTGTCGACAGGATCAGCACTCAGCGTGGCTGAGTTCTGCACCGCTTGATGGCCTCGTCCTTGGGGATGGCTGAAGCCTCCACGGCCTCGCAGCTTAACGTGTGAGGATCTGCGTTCCCGCTGCTGCTGGCTGTCTACCTGTTCTGTTTCGTCGGGCTGAACCACGTCCATGGCCTCAGCAGTAGCACCAGCAGAAGACTGCGCTCTCGGCTCTGAGGGCATGGAATTCATCGTGCTTGATCTTCTGCGGTGAGTTTGCCGCAACATGCTGTTTCTGCGGTCGATGCCGTCATTGATGATGAAGAAGTCATAGTTCTTGGGGAACTGGTGCTTGTCAATGCAATGCATGCGACGCTTGGGGGCCGTGCTGCACAGACGTTCACAGGTTGAGACGAGACAGGCGTACTGCAAGCCAGTCAGCTCCTTGTTACTGCTGGTGCGAGCTATGTCGAGGACAGTGTGGCGACACGCGGTTGCCTCTCCTCGGCCCGGGAGCATGGACACGTGCAAAGTCGATGGACCTACCGTCTGCTCACCCCGCTCTCTTCTAGCAGCATTGAAGGGGTCATGGTTCTCTGCGATGTGCAGATGCAGAATGTGCTCGTCGGGGAAGTTCTTCTGGCACTCGGAGCACCTGTTCATGTGGGTCTTCTGGTAGTGCACGTCATACTCCTCAAAGGACGCAAAGGCAACGGGCTCGTGCGGGGGCAGAAGGCACTTCATGACGGCTGGCGGTGCAGAGGCAGCAGACTCGGAGTCCAGGTGCACCAGCTTGACATCAGCAGACTGCTCGCGCGAGAAGGTGCTGGGATCTTCTGTAGACGACGACGAGTCGCGGTGTGAGCGTTTGACTCCCATCACGTGCGGACAGAGGCTGTCCAGAGGGACAGAGGCTGCCCGGGGAGGCTACGAAAGAGGGCAGTACCTGTCAGGGCGTCCCTCAGACGCAGCGCCAGCGCGATGTGCGGACGGTGAAGGCTGCGAGGCGTGCTGCGGGACGAGCAAGTGGGGCTCTGTGAACCCTGGCCGGACCGCACCCAACGACTTCTCGACTTCTCGACTTCTCGACTCACAGGCTCCCGAAGATCGCACCGCCCTCGCCGCCCGCTCCGCCGCGCGCTCGCCGCCGCCGCCCTCCCGCTCGCTGCCTGTCCGCGCACCAGGGCACACCACGGCCTCTCAATGGAACACGCCCGCCACTGCGCCCGCCAACCCGTGCTCCGTGCCTTCGTCTGACCTCCCGGCCGACCGTGGGGTCACCTACGCATTCCGTCGGCGCATCCAGGACGGCATGGCCGCCCCCGCTGCCACCGCTGAGCAGCTCGACAGGTGCGCCCACCCGGCGCAGAGCCCGCACGGTGCTGACAGCAGACAGGCGCGTCACGGCCATCGCGCAGGAACTGGCCCAGCGCGCCGAGCGCCAGGCCTCGTGTGCAGAGCTCGCCGCCGTGCTGCAAGAGTGCGCCGTCCCGTGACCGCCCGCGACGTTTGCTGACGACGACAGGTACCGCGCCGCCTGCGACGCCCTGACCTTTGCCGATTTTGAACACGCCGCCGCCGCCGACGTCGAGCAGAAGCTGTGGGCCGCCCATCTGCGCGTCAACACCGTCTTCCGCCAGGAGCATCGCATTGTGCGTGGCCCCCCCGCCCGCAGTGCGCCGGCTAACCCAGCACAGCTCCGCCGCTCCAAGGACCATGTCGTCGAGATCCGCAAGTTCCAGAAGCACTACCTGCACTTCATCAAGGCCAGCCAGCGCTACTACCGCCAGTACATCCTCAACCTCGACGCCCACGTCGACGGCATCCCGGAGCTGCGCAAGATCGCCCAGAAGTGGAAGGACGACGGTATGCCGCCCGCTCCCGACATGCACCACGCCTGCTCACACGCCCCAGCTTCCAAGACTCCGCCGCGCCCGCGCATTCCCGCCGCCCTCCGAAACACCGTCTTCCAGTCGTGCCACCAGACGCTGATCCACCTCGGCGACCTCTCCCGCTACCGCGAAACCGAGCTCGTCGACAAGGACAAAGAGCGCAACTGGGGCCCGGCAAAAGGCTACTACGACCTCGCCGCCGAAATCTACCCCGACTCGGGCCACGCGCACAACCAGCTGGCCGTCGTCTCGCGCGAAGATGGCGACCACTTCCGCTCCGTGTACCACCTCTACCGCTCGCTCGCGTGCAAGCTGCCCTACCCGCAGGCCAAGTCCAACCTGGAGACCGAGTTCAAGCGCATCATCGCGGCCTGGGAGAAGGGCCAGCTGATCAACAACCACAAATCCGCCGACGGCAACACGGGCCGCGCGCTCGTGGCCTGGTTTGTGAGACTGCACAGCAAGATCTACAAAGGCGAGGAGTTTGCCGCGCACGACGAGCTGGAAGGAGAAGTGCTCAGCCACCTCGCCATCGAGCTGAAGGAACGCCCTCTAGACTCGATCCTGCCCAAGATCATACTCATCAATCTTGCAGCCGAGTACTTCGCCACCGTACAGATGCAGACCGCGAACCCGCCCGAGCACATCATGCGCACATATTTCTACTTCCTCCGACTGAACGTCAAGACCTTCTTCATCCTACTGCAGGTACTGCAGCCCGAGCTCGAGCGTCTCTCCGAGGCCGACGAAGGCACTCACCAAAACGGCGACAACGCACGACAGCTGTCCGATAAGATCACCGCCGTTGCCCGCCGCATCCTCCCCGGCCTTCGTCTCTACAGCACCTGGTTCGCGCGCTATTGGCAGGTACTCAACGCTAACATCGCCGACACCCTGACTACCGTCGATGTGCAGGAGCTTTGGAAGGCGTACGCCGCGACTTTGACTCTCTTGACCTCGAGCTTCCCGGTCGACCAGCTGCCAAAGGAGAATTACATGCTGGAAGAAGACACCGATACGCTTGGCTTCCAGCCACTGATGTCACCCGACACCATCAAGGTGTGGTACAATGGCGAGGCTCTGAAGTCAAAGTGGACAGACGTCGAGCGAAATCATCCCAATGTGGAGATGCTCATGCGCATCAAGGACTTGCTGATTGACGGACTGCTCCTGACACAGAACGCAGAGGCGCCTTTAGACCTGGCTGGTACTCGCTTCATCTACCGCGAAGCCGGCCTTCCATCCGAGCTGCTTGCAAGCCCCAACACCCGCGCAGACGGCTCACCTGTCCTCTCACCACGAACTGTAGAAATGCCGCTGTTCCCTCCAAGCGCGCCCATTCCTGACGACCAGAAGTCGTTCAGTGTTGCGCCATCCGAGTCTGCATCCACCACCGTTGCTAAGGACACGGCAATGCGCTCAATGGTCGATGATCTAGTTGGCGCTGATGATGGTTTGGACCCCCTGCCCGAGGAAGATGAGGACATGCCGCCAACACCCCCTGAACAGACTTTCGAGGACACGGCAGTGGTCAACGATAACACTTATGCCCCTGCGCCGTTCTCCATCAGCGACCTGGTGAACTCTGTCAAGAACTACAAGCCCTTGTCTCCTTCTCCAGGTGCTGCTTTGCTCTCAGCTTCGATGCAAAGGTCGGGCTCCACTTCATCGATGCGCGGGCCTGTGCACTTGCCCTCCCTCCCTGACGGTCAGTGGAATCAGAATTCGATCTGGTCTACAGGTGTGCACGGCTCGCCCAATCCCTCCTCGCCAGCGATGATGAACGGAAATGGATTTGGGTCTCGATCACCGATGAACGGCGTCGCCTCGGGCTTCCCGGGCCACGTCCGCACTGGATCTGCCACGTCGCAACTGAGCACCGACGCCACGACTCCGACAGCTGCCAGGGCTTCCCGGCCCATTAGTGGTGGGCTTGGAAACGGCGCGACTTGGGGAAACCCAAATCTGAGCACCGGTACTTGGGGGTCGTTCTCTGGCAGCAGCTACAATGGCTTCCAGAACAGCTATGCCCAGAATGTGCATATGGCTAGCCCCTTGATGTTCAGCTCCTACCAGGACAAGGCTCAGAGCTCCTGGGGTCGCACACCTCCGAACGGCCAGGGCGGTTGATCGAAGTGACCGGTGGCCTTGATTGGCTGCTTGTTATCGTTTTTCCGTCAACGACCATGTACTGACGCCATTACCCGCCACCTTCGAGGGCTCTGTGGGCACCTGTACGTTCGAGCGACCCTGTGGAATTGACTCTAGTCAACGCCGTCTGCCTGATGCACGCCAGACGTGATACTTCACTCGGGCCTGGTGACGCCTCAGTAGCCCTTTGAAGGATATTGCGACATTGGCACTACTGTCCTTTCACATTGCTTTAATCAACAACGGCGTGGGCTATCATTGCCGGCCATTATCGAGGCACATCGGCATGGCATTGCTTGAGATATTACTTTCGAGGTTCTTGGAACCCTGCACCTGTATTCATCGGTCCTTGGTTGGCACGGTTGGATGGCATGCAGCTTTTTATGCTTTGATGTTATAGTCAACACGACTTGGAGTTCTGCGACCATGTTTACTGGGACCCACCTGCATTGTGATGTGCCTACCCGTTTCGTGCGTGAAGAGAAAGCCACCGAGCTCAACGCTTACACAGAAGCAACGTCAAAACGCTACCTCAGCGCCTGTCCTGGTCATCGGTACCTGTCAAGAGTGGATGCGGTAAGCGAAGATAACAGCTGCAGCTGCTGTGCCCTGGGGTTTCCCGATTGACTCGGAGACGCATGTTGTTACACAAGGGCGTTGCGGGGAAACAGTCGTCTCCCTCAGGGCAACTGCCGTCTCGTCAACAGGGTCTACGAGACATGATAGATCGCTAGGCTGCACACAGCGCAGGAATGGAGTCTCAGGCGGCCACGAGTGCGCAGCGAGTGCTACAGCGAATGCGACAAGCGCGGGTGAGACTGACCAGGCTGTTTGACAGAGGAACAAAGCACCGCCGTCCAGCCTCAAGGAGCGAAGATCGGCGCATACACGACAGCATGTTGAGCGGCGTTCACTTCCCCAGACATCGGGTGGTCGCATTCGGGCTAGCGTCGCGTGGCGGGCCGAGGTGAGCCTCACTAGCAGCTCAGCTGTGAGCACGACCAGTGACGTTGAGGCCAGGCAAACAACCACGCAATCCATAACGAACACACTGTCCTTTCCGAACTTCCGCCACGCAACGTCTTCTCGCACCGCACTGGCGTAGTTTCAACCACAACCCTTCCAAAAGAAGGGTGTCGCGACCAACCCGCATTCCCCACCATGGCGGACGAAGTCGACATCGCGGCGTTGGCTGAAGACCAGCAGCTTGCGCTGCAGCAATTCACCGCCGTCACGGATCAAGAGCTGAAAGACGCCGTCCCGCTGCTCCAGCGATGCCAGTGGAATGTGCAGATCGCCATCGCGCGCTTCTTCGACGGCGAGCCGGCCGAGGACCCCGTCGCCGCTGCTGCTGCCGCTGCTGCTGCCGCTGCCGCCGCCGCGCCGCCTGCAGACACCCGCCGGGCAGAGAACCTCATGAATGGCTTCGGAAGCCCGCGGTCATCCACAAGCGGGCGGCGGGTGCGCGTTGAGCCAGCGCCGCGCGTGGTCCCGCAGCCCGAGAGCCAGGTCAACACGCAGGCCCCGCTCGTCTTCACACTGCTCTGGGCGCCCGTCAGCCTGCTCTACTCGGTGATAGCGCGCTACTTCCGCTTCATGGGCTATCTGTTCCCCTTTGTCCCGCGCGCCTGGGGCCGCCTGACCGCAAGCAACATCCGCCAGCCGCCGTCGCAGCGCAGCGCAGGGCGCCGGCCACTGAACCCGCGCGACACGGCTGCGCGCTTCATCCGCGAGTTCGAGGAGGAGTACGGGCCCAACGACCTCCCCTTCCACGACGGCGGCTACGCCTCCGCCTTCGACGTCGCCAAGAAGGACCTCAAATTCCTCCTCGTCGTGCTCGTCTCCCCCGAGCACGACCTCACCCGCCCCTTCATCCGCGACACCCTGCTCCACCCCTCCGTCGTCGCCTTCCTGCGCGATCCCGCAAACAACATGCTCTTGTGGGCTGGCAGCGTTACCGACGCCGAAGCCTACGCCGTCAGCTCCGCGCTCAACTGCACCAAATTCCCCTTCAGCGGGCTCATCGTCCACACCCCCTCCGTCAGCGCCAGCGCCATGGGCATCGCCGCCCGCCTCGCCGGCCCCCTGGCCCCGGCCCCCTACCTCGCCAAACTGCGCACCGCCATGGCCGCCCACGCCACAGCCCTGTCCCGCGTCCGCGCCCAGCGCGCCGAACAGAGCGCCACCCGCAACATCCGCGAGCAGCAAGACTCCGCCTACGAGCGCAGCCTGGCCACGGACCGCGCCCGCAAGCGCCAAGCACAGGAAGCCGCCGCTGCCGCCGCCGCCGCCGAACAAGCCGCCCGCGCCGCGCAAGACGCCGCCGAGCAACACGCGCGCAAGCTCCTCCAGTGGCGCAAGTGGCGCGCCGCACGCCTGCGCCCGGAGCCCCCCGCCGACGACAAAGAGGCGGTGCGCATCTCGCTGCGGCTCCCCAGTGCGGAGCGCGTGGTACGCCGCTTCGACGGCGCCGCGGGCATCGAGGAGCTGTATGCCTATGTCGAGTGCCACGATCTCGTGGCGCCGGGAGACGCAGACGCAGACGCAGACGCTGTCGATGCGCCCCCCGCCGACTTCGAGCACGTGTACGCGTTCCGCCTCGTCTCGCCGCTGCCGCGCGCGGTGCTGGATCTCGGTGCGGGCGGGACGGTGCGCGAGCGCGTTGGCCGCAGCGGGAATCTGATTGTGGAGCGGGTGGGCGGGGAGGACGAGAGTGAGGACGAGGACGAGGAGGGGTAGGCGGGTACCCGCTGACTGAAGAAAGAGAGGGGGTTCTGACGATAGGAAATTGGGCTGGAGAGGGGGTAATTGGAGACGATGCATTGTGGCGTTTGGTCTGCTGTCTTAGCGTGGGGGACTGGGTGTGCTTCTGCTTCTGCTTCTGCGCCTGCTTCTGCTTTGTCGGTCATGTACTGCTGCAGCACGGCAGGAACGGCGTCTAGTGGGCGAGAGTACATGGGCGAGAGTTACCGGGCAAGAGTGATAGGCAAGAGTACTAGGCAAAAGTACTAGGCGAGAGTTACTAGGCAAGAGTACTAGCAAGAGTATTAAGCAAGAGTACTGGGAAGAGTACTGAACAATCTCCATAGACAACTGTGTCCTTAGAACCGACAGGAAGTGGCCGTGAATGTGAAGCATTATTGATAGCGTATGGATGTGCTCTACTCTACTCTCGTCTGGTCTACTTATTCCCAACACCGCCGCCGTGCATCAACATCGCACCAACGTCTCTGGTCTCCCCGCTGCCGTCCCCGAATCAGCAATACAACACGCGCTCTACATTTATTTCTCCTGTCCGTTCCAGGCATTTTCAGACCCTTGTTTGTTCGTATTCCCCTTGTTTGTTCGCATTCCCGAACTTCACACAAACGCAAGTCAATCATCGGCACGTCATCATGTCTAGTTCTTGCTGACGCGTCCCGCGCGGACCAGGTCCTGGAACGCCGATTCCAGCCCCCGCTTGACCTCGCGGTAGCTCACGATGAGCACGTTTTGCTCGTCGCGGCTCGTCAGCATGATTTTCTCGTCGGCGCCGGCGTCCAGCTTGTTCAGGCAGTCGAGCACGTGCGCCAGGTCGGTGACGGGGTGGCCGTTCGCGTCGACCTGGTGGAAGACATAGTCGCGGAAGAGCTTGAGATAATATCGCTCGCCTGTCTCTGCCCATCCCGACGACGGATTGGCGGTGGCGCTGCCGGGCACGTGCTGGGAGGCGTCAAGCTCCGGACGCTCGTTGATCATGTTGAGCTTGATGAGCAAGCGGGCGATGCGACTCGACTCCAGCTCGCGGCCAAGAGTATTGGTAAGCGTGTCCTGTGCGTGGAGCTCCGAGTCGAAGACTGACGCAAACTGGTCGGCAATGCCACCCAGGAAAGTGTCGATGTCCTTCAGCACGACCGGAGAGGAGGGCGAGGCAGCGGCACCTGTTTGGGGTTGCGGGCTGAGGAGATACTGAATGCATTCTTTCAATCGACCGGTGTAGCTTCTTGACACATAGTCCATGGACTTTTGCATGTTCACATGAGCTGTCGGGTTGTTGTTAGCTATGCACAAAATCAGTCGGCCCAGCTGGAGAAGGTCATCGGCTTGGGCCTCGGCTATCGGCCGCACGTTTTCGAATTGCACCACGTCCATGATGCCGCACGCATTGAGTCGTATGCGGTTCTTGGAGGTCAGGAGTATCTTCGACGGGGTAATCAGCCTTGCAGCCAGACCTGCACCATGTATCGCTTTGAGGGCTGAGCCGATCTGGACGAGGTAGCCCCACAGCGTCTGTTCTGAGACGTGTGATGATGCTGCCTGCCTGCCGTGGTAACGTGGCACCGGCTTGAAATGCTCGTCTGCGAGCGATTTGGCGTTTGGGTGGTAGTCGGACACCATGATCAACGAGCTGTCGCCGAAGGCTCTGGTGGTGAAGGCTTCGTGGGTTGTGACGACGCTGCCGTTCAAAATCCTCTTCCAGGGCTGGAAAGAACGCATTGCGGTTTCGTTGGTCAGGCGAAAGTTCTCGAGACGGCGCAAGGCATACGTCTTGCCATCCTTGCTGGAAACGGCCTTGTAGATCCAGCTCGCATAGCCAAAGGGAGCGTTGTTTCTTTGTGGAGACGTGTCGAGGCAGAAGAGAGAGTGGTACTGCTCGATGTGGGGGAGGGAGCCGTTGGAGAGGATCTGACGGGCGATCTCGGATTTTTTCTGCAGGTCTTCCCGGAGACTGTCAGGAATGAAGAAATCGTGGGCGGTGCGCTGGTATGCGAGCAGCCCGGTGGGCTGGGGGCCCACTGGCCAGTAGAGGTGGTACGCGGGCGAGGCTTGGAAGGCATTCGCGTTCTGGTAATAGGAGGCACTGGCGAGGCCAGAGGGGTCCTGGGCGTAGGGGTTGATGGCTGGGGTGGAGGCGGAGATGGCAGCGATGCCGGGAGAGGGGTTGAAGGGGTCGTAGCTGAGGGAGGAGGCAGGATCGACCTGGGGGATAGTAAGTAGGGTCACGTGGAGAGGCGCTGGAAGCGAATGGATTGGGTGCTGGATTGGGTGCTCTTGTCTGTAGTAGAGTGGTCGTGGACGTACCTCAAACGACTGCGGCACAAAGTCGTGAAAGTCCTGGGCCTGCCACTCGGTCGAGGGCTCCTTGGTGTGCAGGCTGGGGGTGCTTACGGCTGCGACAGTCAGCATGGAGGCGGCGGGCAGGCAGGGCAGGCAGGGCAGTCAAGGCTGCGGGCGCACGTACTGGAGCGCTGCGACTTGGGGGTGAAGACGGCGGCGCTGGCGGCCTTGGGCGAGATGGCGGCGCTGCGGGCGGCGGGGGTGGCCTGGCCATTGGTGGCGGGCTGCAGCGGGGTGAAGGCGGGCGAGTCGACGTTGAAGCGCTTCTTGGGGTTCTCGGCGGCGGGCAGCTTCGCGTGGTCGTGGATGTACGGGCACGTGTTCTCGTAGCGGCAGTGGCCGTAGATGGTCACGTTGCGGCAGAAGGTGTTCTTGGCCTCGCGACCCTTGGGGCGCGGAGACGGCACGCCCCGTCGCGAGTCGCCCGAGGGAGCGCCAAAGGCCGTTGCCATTGATCGCGGGGCGGCGGCGGCGGCGGCGGGCGCGTGTGCGGTGAGGGCAGGCGGGGGCAGGGCGGCGGCGTCACTCCATCGGGCGGCCGTCTTGCTCGGCTTGGGGCGGCGCGAGCTGCGCGCGGGCTTCGGGGCGGGCGCGGGGGCAGACGAGCTCGAGGGGCCGGCGGCTCTCGCATGTGGCGCGGGCGCGCGGGCGGGCGCAGGAGGGAGCGCTGGGTGCGACACAGCGCCGGGCTGCGGCGGCGGCTGAATGGTGGGCAGCGGTCCCTCGCTGGGCAGAGGTCCTGCGCGCGTCAGAGAGTCGGTGCAGCAGCGGGGGCCTCTCCAGCGACGGCGGGCCGGGTGCAGAGAGAGGCGACGTGACGGCGGCGGATAGCTGCTGGATGCCGCGGAGCCCTGCATGGCCTTGGCGCCCCGCTTTTCTCATTATCAACATGATGGTACTCTGCCCACCCCTCTCTCATTGTCTATACTATACTACACTCACGGCAGCGACACGTCCCCGTCTTCGCGGTACACCACCCACCACCCCGGGTCTTCGATCAGCAGATACGCCCGGGGCAGCAGGTACCCGATGCCGACCGACACGAAGTCCTCCTCTTCGTGTATCGAGACCAGGTCGAGCGACATCCAGCCGCGCGGATCACCAGTCTCAGGGGGCTGGTCTATCTGCACCACGCTGTCGACGTCTATCTCGTCAACACGGAGGCATGCCATGAACCGCGCCGATCCATCGTCTCTCTCTGCACCTGACGCAATCCATTGCTGAAATTTCCTGCCGTCCGTGTCAGCAACACAATCTCGACCATGCCCGACTGCTTGGAGTGCTTACGTTCGTATTTCATCAATCTGCATGCCCTCGTACCCTGGATCCTCCTGCACAGACCAGTCGAGATGGCTGAAGCAATCGCTCAGCTCTTCCCTCGCCAGCTTCGCCTGCACCATCGTCTTGAAGTACTCCATGAACAGCCTCCACTTGTCGTCCGACTTGTATGTGCACCGAAAGATAACGAAGCCCCACTTGGATCCTGGCTCACCCTCCAAGCGATTGCGGATGCTTTCGTTGGCCGTGCAAAATGTAGCCATGGTGCGGGTATGGCAATGGCTGAAGTGCGAATAGATGAATATCGAAGACGAGAAATTCAATAATGTAGGCTGGGTTTAAATGATACCAGGTGAGATCCGAAGGTAAAGTCAAAAGGGATCTAAGGACTGCTGCATTGCGGCACAGTCAAATGTGGCCCAGCGCTGTCGCAGACCTGTCTGTTCGGACTCCGATCTGCTCGTCCCCACAGCCCATGCTTCCTTTCATCCTCAGCTCTGATTGGCCCATGTTGTCCGACCAATGAAACTGCAGCTCCGCATGTTCCACACTCCTTCTTCATGACACCGGTACGGCGCAGCAGACACTCGAGCAACTCGAGCAGTGTGCTTCTCGTCTCCTTTGCCTTGAGCTCTATTTGTCCTTTACACCTTACAATCATACCGTAAGCATGGAAAAGTGCAAGGCTTACTCCAAAGTCAAAGTCGCGCACCACTGCGTCTATAAGGCGCATCTGCTACTCGAGTTTAAAAATCGACAATTGGTGAAATCACAGGGTTTCTGGGCTCTAACAGACTGCGCCGTACTCAGGAGCGACAAGTCCGAACACTGGTCACAACCTGGCCGGCGGCATCCGTGAGAAACAACATGCAGCTCCTCCAGACCTTCGACAGGCCATCTGTTTCCCTATCATAAAACTGCTTTAAAATCATCCATCCCTTGAGCAGTGTAGTTCTAAAATCACACCATTTCCTTTGCTATCACCGCTTGTTTATACTAGGCCGGTCCTGGTAGCTGCAGCGACATACCACAATGCGTTATTTTTCAATTTAGGTTTTTGCTCTTCTCTTCAATTACTTAGACGTCATCCACGCTCTCGCGGTACCATCTGCTCGGTAAGTCGACATTTATCCCTCAACTCACCCCTGCTAACAGAGGGGAAATAGTAAAGTACAAGCCGTGGATCATTGGCCACATTCGTTATACAGTGATGATCTTCCTGGGGGTCACGTCGCTTTGGAAGTCAGGGCTAAATCGACGCCCGCGAAACCACTGCCAAACAAGGCGAAGCCTACGAAACCCGGAAGTGTACCAACAAAGCCGGAACCCACTCCATCAGTAGTTAAGCCCTCGCCAAACATCGGTCTATCGAGATCATCGAGTCCGTCAACGGCACCAACTACCAAGCCTCTACCTTTCGTCAAAGAACCGCGTCCCACAAAAGCCTACAATATATGCAATCTTCCTGCGTTTGACTGTGACACCGAAGTCGAGGATTATGTCGACGCACTTGGAGAACGCAGCATCGATGGCATCAACGACTCGATAGCCAAAGAGCTTGACAAGCGGTCGTCGCCACGGACATACTCGGTTGTAGTTGGCGGTGGTACCCCGACCATGATGATGACATCCTTACCCTATCCTCTTGAAGCGAAACTGTTTCCAGCTGGCAGTCCCAAAGTCATCCTCGATTTTGCCACTGACAATGTGCGCGACGCCAATTTCAAGAAGTTTACTACTGTTCCATCCCGTACCAAGCCCAGCACGTACATTGTGGAGCACATTGTGGAGGTATGTACCGGAATACGACAGCATCATTCTTCATGCGCTGATTTTTCAAGCTTCAAAGCATTATGTTGTTCATCAAGGCCGCCATCCGGGCTAAGAAGGTGAAGGGTGTGAAGACGCTTTCTAAGCATGTAGATATCAACTTCTTCACCAAGCATTGGAACACAGACAATGTACAGGTGCAACAGAAGATCTCGAGTCGTCCCACACCCTTCACAGGCTATAGTCCCAAGGACCCCCTCTCTTCGCTTAACGACCTCGTCTTCGAAGCTATGGGCTCCAAGAGTAATACCGCCGATTTCGTTCTCTGTGAACAGGGCGTCAACTCGATAAAGGCAAAGCTATGGGCCCACGTAAGTCCTAATGACAAGGATAAATGGCAGAGCGTTGCAAAAGATGCAGCGGACGGTTCCATTCCGTCGAATATGCATCTGGCTGGTTTGCGATCTGTGAGTGACAAGCTTCTTTTCAAACGTCAGCAAATCTAAACAGAACCAGGTCCTAGGTGTCCACAACTACATGAACGACCCTGATGTGGAACAGAGGCTCCAGGACACGGTCAAAAACATAAAAACCGAATTTGGCAACTTTAAGGCTATCACCGGAGAAGACGTAACAGACGTTAAGGGCAAAGCAGTTGATTTACCCGCGCTATGGGTTGAATTCATGACTGCACAGCTCCAGAAAGTCACAGAGAGTGGCACCAAGTGGATTATCGAGCAGGCCGATTTCGCAACTCCTAAATACAAGGCGCACTTGGTCGACCTACAGACAGCCATGAAACGTATCACCGACGAGGAAGCACTCAAAGATGACACAAAACGCCAAGCAGCAATCGACGCGAGAACAGAAGAGTCAAACAAACTCATCAAACAACTTCCCGACGACAAGAACGCCTTGTCTCAAGCCAAGACTGCACTAGACACAGCAGAACAAGCCGCAAACGCAGCCACCGCCGCTCTGAAAAGCGCTACGCCCGCAACCAAACCAGCGCTACAGGATGACAAAAAGAAGAAGCTCCGCGCATATCGTGACGCCAAGCAGACTTACTACCAAGCACTTGTCACAAAGGGCAGGCGGGAGAGAGACATCATCAAGCTCAGACGAGCCGAACTGACCTCTCTCATCAAAGACATCGAGGCAGACATCCAACAAATGACTGACTATCGCGCGGCGGCAGTCGCAATGAAGACCCCGAAGGCCGAGTGAGACGGCTTGATGCCCACTACCCCGTCTTGTAGTCTCTATGGTCGCCCACTGGATCATGGGGCATACGCAGCTTTGCTACATCAATATTCTGTCACCCAGGGTCGTCTGACCGGCCATTTGGTGGAACGCAGCATCAGGCAGAACGGAACGAGAATCTTAGGAGGTCCCTTTGATATTGAATTGTAAGCGCTTCATTGGAGTTATTCAGTAGTAGGTCTGCGACTTCTCAGCTGCAGTAACGACGGGTTGGATCCTACAAATGTAGCAAGTGGCTGGTCGGGTGTACCTAGTCGCAGTACACAATCCACCTTACATCGTAGCACTAGATATCAATGTGCATGCATCGTATAGTCGGTCCAGATCAATGATCTTATGGAAGCAATACTAAACAGAGTGTACGCGCTACAACGGAGTGATTCAGTGCTAGTTTCGCGGCTCAGTGACTACGAGATTCAATCCTACAAAAGTACCAGGTAATGCTCCGATCCGATAATACCTCACTTCAGTAACATCAGGCTAGCTTCTCTCTATCCTTACTCCTTGCCAACCCCACCTCTTCAATCCGCCGTATCAGCTTTTCCGCAAGCAACACATCGCCCACAGCACTCTGCCCCAGCACCACCCGACTAGTCTCCAAAAACCGCTGCCTGAAAACCCCCCACAGTAGCTCGTCCGCAGCCTCCGCGCCCCCCGGCCGGGGATAAAACGGATCATTCCCCCAGAACGCCGCACACGCCTGCTCGATCCCCGCCGCGTCCATGGCCAGCGCGCGGCAGCAGTCGAAGTCGAGCACCCACATGCCGTGCGCGCCCAGCACGTCCGAGACGAATGCCGGCGGTGCCGACGCGCGCGGCGGCGCGAGCACGAATTCGACGTCGGCGGCGTCGATCTGCGCGCCCCAGTGCAGTAGCGCGAGCGCGTCTGCCATGGCTTCTGCGTACGCGCCGGTGTCGAGGCGCAGGGCCTCCATCTGGTTGATGTGGAGCGGCACGTTGCGCAGGCTGAAGCCCTTGAAGCGCGAGTTGGAGGGGCCGGCTTGTCGGCGGCGGCGGCCGAGGTAGGGGCGGATGAGGCAGGAGGCGTCGTCGGGGTTGGTCTTGACGAAGTGTGCGAGCGGGGCGTTGTCGGGGCAGAAGAGGTCTACGATCTTGTCGCTGATGGGGCGGGGGACTGGGGGGATGCGTTCTGAGATGAGTGCTCTGCACGCTGATAGACCGGCGGGGAACTGGTGGAGGTGTGAGTGCCACCAGACGTCGGTTGGCTCTACTAGTTGATGGCATTGCGGCACTGATGTTGAGATGTGGTATTGGGCGGCAATCTGGACGACGCGGAGATGCATGTTGTAGTCTTTGGTGACTGATCGGCCTGGGCCGCCGTCCTCACGCTTTACGGCGTGTGCTTCATCGCTGTCTTCGAGAGCCCAGACAGTGCCGCAGAAGCCTTTTCCGATGCAGCGGTACTGGAGTGCGGTGTCTGACATGTTGTAGAATTGTTAGTTGATGTGGAATTGAGAAGTGTTTCAGTTCAAAAGATCAGTGAGACTCAACTAAAATTACAAAATGTTACAAAACGTAACCATGGTTCGGGGTCGCACTGCCCCATAAGTAGTGACTGGAAGTGATTGAGTGGTTCGCTTCCCGTCTCAACCACTGTCTCATTGATATCAAAATGCTACACAGCATATACATCATGAGTAAGTAACAGCTGTGGTAGTTTCGTCAACTTAAAAGATTACCATCCTCCCTCAAGACATCCAACCATCCCGAATAATCAAGCAACGACTACCTCCTCGCTATCAAACACGACTACGCAGTCCACCAGCAGATTGTTCAGGGTCTTCCACCAACACAAGACACCAACACAGCACACCATGCCTCTCCAACTCCTAAACTGGCTCCTCACGCTCAGCGAGGAAATCCACATGCGCCTCATCTACCCAGCACCACGCCAGCGACCGCGCAGACACATCATCAACAGGCTCGCCGCTCTTGCGTTCCGGGACCCCCTGAACCCGTGAGTCAGCCACGACCCAACACCTCCGCGTCGCCGTGAGCCCCCGTTCCGAACCGAACCAAGGACGGCAGCTAGGCGGCGGAAGAAACTGTTTGCTGGGATAGCATAGGGGGGCTGGGTGGCGGGGAGCGAGGTGCTGGGCGAGCGGCAAGCAGGCGCCGGGAGATCGCGGGGGCTGGGAGATGGCGGGAGCATGCAGCGGTGCGGCGCAGTGGAGGGGCAGAGCGGCGCGGTGTGATTGCGTGCCGTTGTTTTTAAGTTAGGGGTGCATGTTTCTTGGGTCTAAGGACTGCGGTGCCAGGGTTTTGGCACGTGTTGTAGAGCAAATCGGATTTGTTAACGGACTCCAGCACGGCTTATCCCCAGCAACAGTCTACATGGTCATGTCGTGGAGTCAACGATGCTGCATCTCGTACCGTGCGTACTATGGTGGACTACGGCGGTGCCGGGTCAAGCATGTGAGATATCAGATACGAGAGATACGCCATTCCATCTACCATCATCCCACTGGAGCGTGCTATCAAGTGGAACCTGGGCATTCTCGAAGTGCGGAGGAATTAACAGACACATGACCCAAGATGTGCTGAGTGCAGCTGACACACAACGGGAGGGTGTATATGCATGTCTTGAATGTGCGAAAAATCCGCGTTTAGCATGAGACACGCATACCAAAATACGAGCGATGGGGAACGAGCAGACCATCAGCCTCGCTAAGATGCCTGCAACGGCGCTGGTGCCGCTGGTGCCGCTGGACCTTCTTCGGCCGATCGCACTGCAGTCAGAACAAACGTCATACGGCAATGGATGCACATCGCGGCCAAAAGCGGAAAAGATAAGGATATGTAGGTCAAATGGAGAAGACGGCAATATTGCTTTCCGTATTACACAACTAATCGGCACAACCCGCGATATGCTCAAAAGCGACTACGACCATCGGACCACTGAAGCCAGCCATGTGAGTCCAGCAACGAAACGCGCGTGGACGGACTAAGCTAGATACGAGACAAGGGAACACAAGAGAGGGCGATAATGACAGAAACCCGCGCCGAATGATGGAATTTGCTTGCAGGAGAGTGAGGAGAGATAAGAAATATTTCGGATTTCGATCGGGACCACCGGTAAAGTCGATAAGAAAGAAAGCAATAGAGAAAGGAAATGTCGAGATGGAGCATTATGTCCTTCGCCTAGGATCCCTTTTCCACGCTTCTTTCTCTACTGGTTGTAAATGCTCGCTAAGACAGGAAAGGACAAATCCGTCGTAACCAGAAAACGGAACTTGAGCCAACGGTCAACTCGTAAATGCTGTGTGCTCCGATTCCCAAGTGCTGAGGCTGGAAGGTATTCGCCAAGACGCCAGTCCAAGAAGTGGATGCATAATCATTAGAAGAAATGTGTATGAGGTTTGGACGCCTCGTGGACTTCCATCTCCTGGGCGTTGTGTTAGTGCAAGTGAAAATAGTCTGTGCGGGGGTACATACCATTTTGAAAGAGTTGAGCTCCTCCTTAATTTGCTGCGCAAGCATGGGCGTAAGCCTGTTGCAAGTCGCAATGTCTCCACGGCGGTCGTAATCGTGAGGCGACCATGCATCGTGGAATTGGATACGTGGACTGAAAGAAATATTCCTGGAACCGCCTGCTGGTGTGACTGGAAGGCTTCTCGTGCTTCCATTCGTGATCTTCGGGGGTTTCGTGAAGTAGTCGTCGCTGTTGGCCTTGCCCTTCTCGTGAGTCGGGGTGATCGGTGCGTTGAGCGCGAATGTTGGATTCGGTCCGTCGAGAGGCCGCATGGTGGGTGACCCAGAGTCTGAGTTGGTTCCGTTGCCTGCGGATTGTTAGTCATGCTGTTTTGGATCGTGAGACCGGTCTAAACTTACGCTTCAGGATGCCCTTCTTCATATTCGAAAGAATCTCAGCACGCTCGTTCTCCCCACCAACAATCGTCTTCCTTGCAATGTCGTTGGCTAATGTACCATCGGCATTGACAATTTCTGCAGTATGGCCGGCATCGATCGAGTTGCGCTCGAGCCTGGGGTATCCGGTCCCACCACGGGTTTGCTCATGGGGCTTCGCGTTGACGTTGACCTTCTGTCGTTCTGCTTCGACCGACACCATCGAAACCTGGCCAACACTGGGCCTTGCAATGGGCCCATCAGCAGCCGGCACACCGATAACAGACTTCGGTCGAAAGAGCCCCTTGATGGATCTGGTGCCCTTCTTCATCCCACTACCCATCTTTCGGAGCATCACCGACGCAGAGGAAGCAGCTGACTGGATGGACAGGTTGTCGTTTGAGCCCATTCCACCTTGACCAGAGTAGATACCGGCACCGATGCCAGCAGCTTCCTGCTTGGCAATGATGGCAGCCTGTTCCGCATCCTCGTCGGTCTGGTATTTGTCTTTCCTCAGTCTCGCACGTTCAGCTGCAACAGCATTCTCCGCAGAAGCACGTCGCAGCTCAGCAGCGCTGCCGAAAGAGAAGGCCCTCCTCAGACGCGACTTCATTCCCTTATCCTTCTCGTTAACGGCCGCGAGATGTTTCATGGCTTCGCTGCCAATCTGCTTGTTCGCTGCGGATTCGGCTGGGGAGATGGGTTGTGACAAAGGAGATGGTGCCGTCCGACGGGCAGGCTCTACGGTCTTCGCAGCAGCGTTGGCGGGTGTTGATGCTGCCGCGGCTCCGTTGGCTACTGTTTTCGACGTACTCGACTGAATGCTGCCGACGCTGCCTTGCCTTTGATGGCTGTGGCTCGACGCCGGCCGACTGCCAGGACGACCAGAGTTAGACCCAGGTCGCCCTGTGCCTTGGGCTGAGGTTTGCACTGGGGCAGTCCCAGCAAGAGAAGGGGCGGGAACCTGGCCGTTGCCTTCTACGCCAGCAAAGCTACGACGCCTGTAACGCTTCGCAGAATCTTGCGTGCCAACCTGAACGAGCGTGTTATCTGCACTGTTGGCCCGGTTGTGGCCGGGTCTGCCGGTCGGCGTCACATCGCTTTCAGCAGCCGATGGCTCGTGAGTCGAGTTTGTGGGCGTGCTGGCTATCGATGAGCGCTTGGTCGCCGTCGGTGTGGAGCCACCGGTCGATATGCTAGCAGACGAGTCCGTTCTTGCAGCAGCTCGCCTGTAGCGGCCGGGCGAGGCTTTCACCGGGGCTTCGTCGAAGGACAAGGAGAGGTCGGGGATTGTGGAGGACAGGGTGATGCCAGTGAAGTCCCCAATTGGCTTGATCTCGTTGTCGTCTTTCGAGGCTTGCGCTAGCGAGCGACTAGAAGAGCCGGACGTCGACACTGTGGAGTCGGATGAAGAGGAGGGGTGGGTCGGGTGGCCAAGCCGGGCTTGCTGTCGAGCAGGAGGTTGCTGCTGCGCGGCCTGGGTGTTCGGCGACGGCGCAGCGCGGTTGTCCTGCCGCAGCTGGGGCGTGGCGGAGAAGGCATAGGGTGCTATCGGAGCCGATGTGCCCCTGTACCCTGTGCCGCCCTGCTGGCCACTGAAGTTTCGCTGCATGGGCTGGCGTTGCTGGTGGGGCTGCGACGGCGCATTTTGGAAGGTGTCGGGGGAATATGGCATTGTAATGGGGGAGGTCGACTGGGAGATGGGCGCAAGTACCTGAGCCATAGGGAGCGTGCTGCAACGCGGCTGTCGAGGCTCGGTCGAGTCGGCGGGTGGTGCGGGCGGGCGGTGCTGGCGGGCGGGCGGCGGACACGGCGACCTAAGCAGACGGGCTGGAACCTACAGCTGGGAAGCGTTAGCAGCGGTGCTCGGGTCATGTGACGCGTGTGTTTGATGGACGATGGAAACGGACGCAGCAGGCACGGGCGCGGGCCGGCGGGCGGCTCAGAGTGAAGGGAGGGCGAGACGGGCTCGGGCAACAGCAGCGGGCTCGGGCGGCAGGACAGGCAGGCAGCGGGCAGCTGGAGAGCAGTACCTAAGACAAAGGAGAGCGAGCGCGGAGAAACAGAGAAGAGAAGGCGAGGCGGGCGGGCGGGCGCGGAGAGGCTGTCGTGGGTCGACGGAGATGGCAGCGTGTACCAGGCCTCCCGAGACGGTGTTCAAGTGTGCATTGGACGGTCACTCGAGTCGTGGGCGCGGCGAACGACGGACGGGTCAAGCAAGCAGAAAGGAAAAATATGCAGAGAGGCTGCGGCAGCGGGTGAGGGTTGGAAGTTGGGTGAGTTCAGGAGGTGTTGCGCTAGCGGTGCGCTTCGCGTCCGTGCAGGGTCAATGACCGTCCTCACGCCAGCATATTATTTGCCCACGGCCGCTGCACAGCGGCCACGGTACGCGCAGTGGGCCAGCGCTGCCATGCGCTCGCCCGCCCACGACGGTTGCTGTGCTCGCGTCTGCTGGGCGCGCCGGCCGCACGCCCTCTGTCAGCCCTGGCGAGGGGCGCGAGGTGCGAGGTGCGAGGTGCGAGGTGCCAGGCGTGAGTCTCGCGGTACAAGGGTACGAGGCTGCTCCCTCGGCGCGCTGCCAGCGTCTGCACTTGTCTGCACTCGTCTGCACTCGTCTGCACTCGTCTGCAATCGTGCCGATCGCCTAGCATCGTCGACGGTGTAGGTGGGCTGCCCGTCCGTGGCCTCTTGGAACAGCGACCCGCCACGCCAGCGGCGCACACTATGCGTGCAGCGTCCTGCCAGGAGCCCCTCGTCGCCGGCCCTGGCCTATAGCGTGCTCGAGCGCGCTGTGGTTGCGCTGCGCGAGCACCATCCCTACACCTCCGTCCGCACCGCTGCCTCCATCGCTGCCGTGAGCTGCAGCGGCCAGGTTTTTGCTGTTGCACTGCAGCCAGGGTCTTCACGCCAGAGCCTCGTCTCACTGCCGTGCGGAGCGCTGCCCGGCGCGAACAGCAGACGTTCACGCTGCGCAGTGCGCTCGTCCTCCGTTCTCGCGCATTCCGGGCGGCGAGCATGCGTTTGCGTCGCCCAGAATTAGCTGCCCCGGAAGCAGCCTTGGCCCACTCAAGCTCCCAGCGCCCGGCGCTCCTGACATCAGCCATTGATTCTGCGCGCTTCTTACGTTCATCTGATCCTCGGTGCACGTTTACCGTGCCATTGACTGCGTGACGCCAATGAAGCCTGCCAAAAATACTCTGCTCGACCCCTTTAGTCTCGTCCAATACGAGTGGGATCCAGTAAACAGTTATGAGGACAGCCTCTCACGACGGCGAGCTGCCACTTGGCCAATTGCCTCAATGCAGGCCGCGTCGAGGGGCTCCACTACGCAGCATCCACGCGGCTGAGCGTTTGCAGCAGATGCTGCTGAGCGGCGAGCGCTGCGGTGGAGAGCTGCAGGCCGCGTGAAAGCTCTCGCAGCTCCAACCGCGGCCCAGGGATTGCGACAGGGGTGCGGCCGCTGCCGTGCCTGCGATAAGGACTCGAACTACGCTTGAGCATCGAGCCGTGAATGCAGTCCTCACCGACCTGTCTGTACCCCGCTTCGTTGACAGGGCGGCTGCCTTTTTTCATTGTTCAATCTGAGGGTGATATATCCTCATCGCGGCTCGCGCTCCCGGCATGCATGCAGGCATCGAGCCAGCCCTCATGACACGGCATAATCAGGGTCTTGCACCGAGATCGCTGCACGTCTTACAGGCTCGTCAACTGATCGCGGTCAGTAAATGTTCCGCGTCTGGCGGGGATAAACAATGCGGCGCTCGCTAACGCGTGGGGAAGCCGCCCGCGCCCAGGGAGATGAGTTCGCGTTTGATGTGCACTCGTTGTCATCTTGTTAGATTGTGAGCCTCGACTACTCATACAACATTTGACGAGGAGCTGGGTACTATCTTGTGGCCTGATCCTGACAATCACAGGCCGTGGATGCGTGCTGTCGATGTTGCACCATGCTGCAAGACTGACCAGGATGACGCGAGTTCCACCGCGACTACCACGGCTAATTTTGGGTAAGTCGCCACTACCCAGCACGCTCCTGCCGCTTTTGGTGGCACTGAGAAAAATTGTTGTTCGCCTCATCTTTGCTGCATGTCCACGGTACGCCAGGCCTTCGAGTCCTGACTTCACAGCACTCTCATTCCACGCGGCAGCACCTGTCACAAGCGTCTCCCATGTTGCTGTCACTTGTTCTTCAATTGGGTCCTTCTGTTCAGAATTAGGTTTTCGCGTACCCAGATAGTCGGGACGCGTTGAACTGGATAGTGCAATTGTGTGCATGCTCCGAAGAACCGAACTCAATGTATCGAGCCATCGGCACTTTCATTCCGCCGTCCACATGTCAAACTGTAAGAGAAGGGCTGGTCTGGTAACTGGTTATACTCTCGTTAGTCCTGAGCGTGGGTAATTGTCATATGCGTTGCGTCCATCTACTGCCAACGGTGAACACTAGCCCTGGACACCGAATCAGATTGCTCGCTGAGCCGTACCCAGGAACAGTCTGGGCTCATGGTTTCAGGAAACCGAACGTCGTACTTAAGCTGTCCTGCCGCGGAGAGCAATTGGCTCGAATGCGCCAGCTTTGCCAGATTGCAGCTGGTCTTCTCCGCCAGGTCGGGCCACACGACTAACGGCGTCACAAAGCTTTACCGTGCTGACTACGCACTATGTTGCGACGTGACTTGACGCGTCCCTCTACCAACTCACTACAGATACAGAAAGAGCCGGACGCATATGGCTCCCCACCTGGCTTCGCACGAGACTCTCCCGCATTGGGAAATGCACGATACTGTGATAGCTACCCCACTTCAGATTCCTCACTATCCTCCGCGTTTCTACAACCGCTCGTCAAAGCATGTCCTGTTGTCTTTGTGGGGCACTTGCTGCCATTGACCGATCTCAATCGCGATCTCTCGCTCAACAATTCAGAACTCATCCGCACGCTTGTTGTCAGCCGATGACCCCACCAGCAAGTCCGTCTCGGAGTGAACCAATCGTCATGATTCCTTCTCCAAAAGCCACGTAACAAGCAAGCCTGTTCAACGTTGCGTGCTGCTGCGATTGGCAAATAAAGTGCCGACTCTACCCAAATGCAGCCAATCTGAGGGTTGCAACTTGAAAAATCCATCGCTGAGGCTCCAGACCTGATCGACAGGCCCTTGGTCTAGCAACCGCCACCTGCGGGATCTCGAGAAACAAGCGCAGTTGGTTCCGTGGGCCTGGAATGATCGCATACGCGGAGCTTCTCCGTACCACAAATGTCGTTCAGTGTCTTCGCTCATCCGTGACTACTGCAGCTCATCCGGTCGTTGGCGTTTCAAACTTCCCAACGTCGACGCCGGCTCCCAAATCGGATGGGTAGAGGCTTCTGCAAAATCTGCTCACCAATTACAGACACATGGTGAGCTGACGCCTCAGTAAACTAGCCACAGTCCGAGGAAGACATCGTTCCTCGCGTGAAGTCATTGTTTCTCGCTAGCAAAGGTTCAAAGATTCACAGATTCGGAACACCGGCAACTTAGAGTAAATCAAAATCACCTAGAAACGGTTTTTCTCATTGGCACGATTGCAGCAAGCCGTATGGCGTTGCATTGAGACTGGCCTGTCCACAAACGTCCAGGACGTTGCAGGAACCCCACCAAACCCCGCCAAACATCAAGCTGCGATCGAGCAGACTCCGGGGAATCTCGTCCCTGACGCATCCTGCCGCTTACTCTCAGTCACGCAGCGTTCCTGCACCGAGCGCGATGCCAGCTCATCGCCAATCGCCTATCTCAATCTCCCCCTCCCTCCCTTCCATCCTCCACTCTTCTCGGTCCAACAACAGTCGCACGCTGACGTCACGCCTGCTCCGGCGCACGCCACGTAAGCCGTCCGTCAGTCTGAACTAGAGATCTGAGTTGCACACAGGTACCCGGACCCACAAATCTCACTTACTGGACTTTGGTACGACCGTTTCATATCAAAAACGGTCAGCGATCGACCGTGGATGTGGATGGAGACGGCCGTGGAGTCGCAATCTCCCATCCTCGTATCGTCGATCAAACGTCGTGTAGCCGTGGAGTCGTGTTCGAGGGATGGCATCCTGCAATGACGCCATGTTGTCGATTGTCATTTGAAGTCGCGTGCCATTGCTGCACGTAAGGGAGTGCAGTTGCCCGGTGACAAAAATGACAAGACTTGCACTGCAATGTGTACAATGCTTTGTGACCGCCCCGCATTGCGATCTTGCCCCTTCCTTTCCGTCCTTGCCTCCAGGTAGGAACCGAGTGCAAAAAAGCGATGTCCGCAGGGCTCGAACCTACAACCTTTGGCGAGTTTCAGCGCGAACCGAAAACCAACGCGCTACCATTGCGCCAGGACACCAGATAAAGAGATGTTGATAAGAGAAAGTCAATTTTTATTATATATATTTGACTTGTAATCCAGGATCCGTACAATTGATGTCTAGGGCATGCACTTACTGCTATGAGTCGTATTTCGTTTCATTCATTCACTCTGCAGGCATACTGAGCTTTCGTGTGAATTTTCACCCAAAATGGACGGCACGTGACCCACAGCCAGCAAACCTCAGTCCGCACCAACGAGCCCAACATCGACGCTGAAGAGCTCAAAAATCTACATGGCATTACACACAAGGCACATGCAAACCAACGATGTCAAAAAAATACCCTTCCAGCAGTCGGGTCCATTGTTTGTGATCCGCACCACAAGTTCAGCCACGATCCCAATTCGGCAAAAAGAAGGCTTGCATCGGCCGGGAATCGAACCCGGGGCTAGCCGAAACTGGGCCTGAAAGGCTTGGCAACGGCTAATTTTACCACTAAACCACCGATGCGGTTGTTTGATGAAGGATATGGTGTTGGTAACATTTATATCGCCGGTTCAATTCCACGTCCATCCTCATGTTTGGTCATTACGCTGGGCCCCTGTATGCCGCTCCATTCAAGTGAGACCGCTGATGTGGGGAGTGTGGGGCATTCGGGGCATGCGGTGGGTCTATACGAGGGTGGAGCTAGCTACAAAGGGCCATGTGGTATCACTGCGCTTCTGTTCGTTGTTGGATATTTGTGAAGGCTTCGGTTGGAGACAAAGAAGTCATGGCAATGTAATCCATATTCGTAATTGTCGTATTACGAAAGGTATGTAAAGACTGTGGGTTGCTTTGTGTTGAGTGGCCGGGCCATTCGACAAGTCTGGTGAGCGAGAAGTGTAAGGATGAAGAGTGATCAAGAGAGACACGTACAAAACGACAGATCACCTATTGCAGTTGCAGAGTAAGACTACAGATATTTTCAAACGACGGATGCCCACGCCTTTGATAAGACTAAACCAGCACAATGTCCGCCCATTGCTCGCCAGCCGTTCGCATATCCTCAATCGCTTCTCCATCCATTATCCCATGTACGTAAGCGTCACCTACAACCTGATAAGTTTTGTTTCCACATTCACGTAATACTATGGGAACAGTCCCGCCAGCCAGCACAGAGATAGCATCACCCACCTGACAGGTGTTCGGACACCAAGCCAAACGACCTTTCTTAGTGACTGCAAATCTACGGCCTCCCCTCAAGACTCGGTGGGGCAAAAACACGCTACGTATCTCTGCATCGTTACGCGGAGCAGGCCCGTCAAGAAGTTCTAGCTCCCATGCTGCCCATCTCTCGAAAGAGGAGCAGTCCGTCGTAGTGGGAGCTGGGATGCGGCGGTAGAAAGGACGATCTCCACGGTTCTGGTCGATATAGAGCTCCATGGTTCCGCACATTGCAGCCCAAAATAACATGACCCGTTCATTGTCTGTTGTGCTTCTTTTGCGAGAGAATTCAACCCCTGCTAATCCGAGAACTTCCTTCATATACGCCGCTCGTGAGAGCCTGCTGGGAACCGATGCCAACGAGTGGACAGAATCTACCACAAGACCTTTGAGACAGATGCTTCCGGGTGATACACTGACCAAGTGAGCAACCTCGCTACTGCAAGCGTTGTAAAGGTGTAGGTGACTCAGCCAGTTCAGCCAGTCACTGTAGGTCAGATCTTCAGACGGAACTGTCCAGTCGGGGACATATGAAGGCAGGACAAGATTGCGCTCTCCGTCGAGCGGAAGATGACTCAATACATCGAGGCTGCCTGTCTGTTTGATCATAGCCAAAGTGCTAGACTCAAAGGCCTCTTCTGTTGATGCGAAGTAGTCTGCGACCACGATGTCTTGGTACTGATTATTGGCCAGACCAAGCACGCCATAGACCATGTCGCGTGGGTTAGTCGCTCTACGAGTAGCTCTGAATTGGCTGATGACGTACGGCAAGGATACATCGTGCATGAGTAGCCGAATGTAATCCATAGCATCGAATCCGAAGAAGAGATTGTGCAGGTATCCAACCTCAACGTCACTCTTGTGGAGCTGCAGGCAACATGGAAGATGATGGAAGTGCATTCGCCAGTTATGAATAGCTTGTCGGGCAAGCTGTCCGCAGAGAAGGTGTGGGCCGTATTGGAAGATCACTTTCTGTGACAGGATCCATTCCTGTACAGTCCACATGCGCGACCACCATGTATTCGCCAGGAAGGATTTCAAGCCGTTCTGTATGTTTGGTGAGGATGCGTGATGACCATCTACACGCGCATGGGGCGTCAACGTATCCAGCAGGTGGAGTTGATCATCCTGACCCAATTGAGCCAGATATCTCATCGCTAGCTCACAATCGTTGCTGGGGCAAACTCCCAGCCAAACTATCGTACTCGAGGCTTTTTGGTAGATACGACGCATCAACGCAACCTGATATTTTCGCTCAAGTAAGTCTTCCTGATTGATGCAGAGTGCGTCAATCCATACAACTCTGTCATCTGACACATGCCGCAGGTGTAACAGTGCCTCGTACAAATTTGCAGTCACTCTCATAGGTCTTCCGGCAACTTGAATGGGCGTGTGATGTATGTCTAAGCCCCACACGTAAGACAGTGCTTCGTAGTGAGGAGTATGTTCCGACACATCACTGTCCAAATACTCGGCACTAAGTTCGCAACGGATAGGATCAACATGATGCAAGGCTGGCTCGATTCGAAGCAGTCGAAATGCTTTTTTCTCTATGTCTAGGTCGTGGTATATCGATTGTGACACTGCCAGGTCAGTCATATTGGAGTCCGCCGTCTTGGGGTGAGGTGGGCCTGGTGTATGATCAGTTTGTGGGCATAGAGGGCTACATAACCTGAAACCACTCACATCTACTCTGGGTGTTATTCCAGAACAAGAGCACCTCTGAGCTGTTCAATACTTGGCCAGGCGTATTTTCTGGCTTACCGGCTGCATTTGGATGATCAGACCAATAGAAACGATCACAGCCTCGCATGATTGACTCAATGGCGCGCCAGGCTGAGTCCTTCACGCACAAGAACCAATCAGGTAACAGCACATCTTAGGTGGCACCCTCCTGTATAACCAGGCAGCAGCGAATGTGGCTATGTGCACCATTTATCATGCGTGACGACGTGAAAAGCAGGTTGTGTTCCAGCCCTGTTAACCACATGCTGCTGCATGTGTGATCTTTGAGATAGAGACTTTTTATCGTAAGTCACCTGAGACTATCGACGCAATTGTGCTCGACACCTGTAATCCAGCTACTACTTTCCATTCTCCGATTACCTAGTAGTCTCCGTCCCGTTCTATAATGCATAAGGTTGTCAGTAAAAACCACTTCGAGCTCGTCGTCCTTGATGGTGCAAATCTACATATGCCCCTCACAAATGTGCAATAAGCCACACCACATCTCTTACATACGTTTAATCCAGAACCTTAAAAGTGCCTAGATATATGAGTGCACGGTGAAATAGTTATTCACATGCGAGGGGGTATCGAGCACATGATGAAGGGAACCTAGCAATATCTCAGTGACCTTCGACCACAGTACTTCAACTGCGACGAATATCCTAAATCACTCGTCCTTCGAAAAAAACCCAACATCACCGCTCGTCCTCCCCAGCTCTACCAATCGCTCCCTCATCCTCAGCGCCCTCTCCCTCACCCCGTCATCCAACCCACTGAAGTCGTCCTCCTTCGCCCACTCCCCCACACCATGCTGCAACACATTCCTCGCCCTATCGCTCCCCGCCTTGACCGTCCCGATGCTCCCATGCAGCGTCAACCTCTCCTTCCCACAGTCATACACCCCCCTATGCAGAATATTATTGTTGTAAAACACCACTTGCCCTGGCTCCAACCTGACCGTAACCTGCCCCGGCAACCTCTCTGCATACGGCTCTGCACTCCTCTCCTCCTCCGTGCGCGCCCGCCGATGACTCCCCGGCACGACTACTAGACTGCTGTCTTCGTACAGCGCCAAGTTCCACTGCGCGTGGTGCCCCGGCTTCTGCAACCTCTCTACCTCTTCCTCCGGAGTCGCACTCGCAGGGACATCATCTCTATGCCACCTTAGCTCGAAATTCCGCTCCGGCCGCACAAGCATGTTGTACAGCTCCATAGTCAGGTCCTCCTCTTCGCACTCCAGCAGCGCAGCAACATACTTCAGCAGCTCGGCGTCGAAGTAGCTCTGCGCGAACAAATCGTGCCAGGGATTCGACGGATGCAGGAGGTGCTGCACGCCCCAGATACCGTTAGAGGGGTCCTGGGGCCAGGGAGGGAATTGCTTGGGGAGAGTGCGGATGAACGGCCATCTGCCGGTGCGGGCGGAGGTGCAGAGGTCGGCTGCTGCGGTGCGGAGGGCCGCGAGGTCGAAGGTGGGGAAGAGGGTTGTTGGGAGGATTACGAAGCCGTCTTTTTCCAGGGCTTCACGGGCGGCTGTGTAGGGTGAGGTTGTGAAGGTGGTTATGTTGGGTGGTGTTGGGGCCATGATTGTTGGAGTAACCACGTTGGTGATTTTTGGGTGGATAGTGTCGACGGTCGATTTGTAGTTATACACAAACACCAGGAGGACAAGACGAATGTTTTACTTGAGTGTTCAATTGTAAACGTGTTGATGAAAGCTTACCTACCCCGCAGCGTAGTTTCACCCCACTTCTGATATCGTCGATCTCCAGTCTATTGAAACCAAGTGAAAACATCGGGTCTGCAAACTATGGCCATCTTTCTATCAAGCGATCAGCGAGTACCAGAGTCCACGTATTGCAACGGCATATATACTCATGTGGGTTCCGGCTAATCTCTCTGAGACTCCGGAAGACCAGACCACGACATCGGTTATCCAGCAACAATCATGTGTTAGGCACGAAGACTCAAGCTACACGAATCAGCGTGATGCACTTATGCAGTTCATGTCGTTGAAGTATACTTTGTGCTACATTCGCACCACGGCTATTCGCGGCTACATACCTTTGGATGCACTCCCGAACTGCTCACACCACAGCTACCACACCTCTAGTCAATCGAATTGCGTCCATCAAAACAACATTTGGTCTACAAGAGTAGAGCAGAAAAACATCACCTCTTGCCCATTATGCATTGCCAGTCATGTCATAAGCCACCACTAGCCGCGCCTGGCAGCGGCTAATTATCCTGCCAAACCACCAGTGGAGAACATGGCTGCCAAGAGCTCTGATTTCGTAAACGACACAATTCCCTACTTGTTCTCAGACGTAGCGACATGCATGGTTCGCAGGAAGTTTTTGCATTACTTTCATTTTGCGAAATGCCTGCGTGGAGTGTTTAGTCCATTCACTGTGAGAGTACGGTAGATCTTCAGCTTTACTGACGACACGACGCATGGAAACCTCATCACTTTCCACGCCCCCATTTCAAATACAACATCATGGCAGAGTGGCGCATTAGCGAAGAATTTCCATTGCGGGAAATGGACGGCTTGGACCACGAGCGCTGCGCTGCGCTCCACAATTACGTTGTTGAATTAGGGTGGGCTCAGCGCGGGCTGACACTCGACACCCTCGACAAACGCACATGGTGGCAATGCTATGGCGGTGATGCAGCTCTTGCAAATACAGCTGAACGTCTCAATACCTCTGTGGTGTCTTTCCTCAAAGTGGCTTGGCATGGATTTGCAATGGATTCGGCCTCAAAGCCTCACCTTTTCCATCGGTACCTGGGGGCCTTGAGCTCGCCAGAACAACTCTGGCGAGCCATGGATTATGCCGAATGCGAAGAAGATTCTGACAAACCCTGCTATGTTTTGCTGTACATGGCGAATGGGGCACTGGGCGCAACTCACCCATTGGGACTTGTTTTGCATCAAGTTGAAGCCACAGCTATGCAGCACATGTCCATACGTGACACCGAAATCACCATGAATGGCCGGCAACTGTGGCTACCTCTTGAGGTTGTCCTTGATAGCTTAGTTGATATGATTGAGCAAGGCAAGATTCTAGCCGTTGATGCGACTTACGATGGGGAGCAAGAGCGCACAGAGCCGTGGATCATGCCTTCATACACGGAGCGAGACCTTGAAGAGTCCCTCCAAGCTTTTCAGCAGCTGGTAGACGCGATCCACGACAGAATGCCATCTCAACCGCAGAACGTCGAACAAGGTCTGCTGGAGATGGTGACAGCCGGGAACCCGGATGTCCTGCCCGCAAACAGCTTCGCACATCGATTTCTCGCCCAGTGTCCGCGACCTGGCTTTACTCACATCGCCCCTGGCTTGAGCATCGCCCAAAACCAGCCTTTTGCCCCGGCGTCAGGGCAAGCGCACGCCAACAGCCTCTTCCCACTTCTTCTCCTCGCAAGCACATCACCTGCCCACCAAGAATTCCGACGCGCACCGTGGGGAGAGCAAGTGCGAGACTCGCCTTTTGCGCGCGACTTCAACAACATCTCATCGTACCCAGCCGGTCTCTACCTCAGCGAAAGCGATCCCCACGGGCCCCGTCCTTTCGAGGATGGCTGTAAACTTGTTCTTCCATTCACACTTGGGTCCAACGCATTTGCGCGCACCAGCGACGGCGCGTTGATCGGCGAGCATGTGCGACGGGAAGGAGATGAGACTGCTGAGATTGAACCAAAGAGTGCGGACCTATACCAATTGGGTTACAACCATTTCATTGCGGCGCATGATGTACAGCTCAAGTATGTGCTAGGAAAATGGCTGGAGATGATTGAAGAGGGGAAGTGGGAGGTCGACGAGTATGGCGTTGTAGGAGGCGTAGAGAAATGGAGGGAGGCGGATACGGAGGAAGGTTGGGCTGAATATCAGTTGTCAATGAGTTGGTAATTTGGAGTATAGTTCAAAGATCACGCAATCGCCATCTACGCTCCTTCTCTCATTCAGCTAACCCTCTCAATCGTGGGGCCGGCCGCTTCCCTTCTCCCCACGAGCTCAGCACTCGTCTGGCTGTTCTGCGCATCGCTCAGCGCCTTGACGATGTCGCTCTCCGCCTTCTCTCTCACCATGCGTCGGAGGCTGTTGATCAGGAACCCAGAGAAGATGTCCACGCTCCACTCATCCGGCAGCAGCGCCAGCACCTCGCCGATATCGAACCAGCCGCCGAATCTCTCGAGCAGCTCGCCTGTCCGTTCGATGCGCTGCGACAGATCCTCAATGTTTAGGAACTCCTGGAGCAGGAAATTGAAGAGTCGGCTCTGTTCAGCGCGCGGGGGTAGTTCTGACTGCGGTACAGGCAGTGTTCCGGATGTAGTTGGGCGAAAAATCGAGCTGTATCCGTACAAACAGTAGCTGATCGCTGTGCCAAAGTCGCCCAGACCGTGCGTCAGCAGTCTCAGCGCTTCCTGGTGCTGCTCTTGACGCCCATGTAGGATAATCATCTCCGGCACCAGCTCGTTTTCATAGGGTGCGAGGCGCGCCAGTATCGAGCCGACATCGTAAGAGGATGTGGCGGGCTGGTTGGAGCCGAGAAGTTGGAGCAGACGCAGGCGTGCCTGCCACCATTCTGCTGGAATGGCATTGTCGGTTATGAATTGGTGGTATGTGGGCTTTGGGGGAATGAGAATACGGTAGGTTTCGTAAGTCTGCGAAAGGGTGGCGCGGGAGGAAGGGTTGGACTCGAGCTCGTGGATTACTGTGTCAAGGTAAAACGCGATGAGTTCGTTGACGTAGCGTGTGTGCTGTTGATAGTTAGCGACTGCAACAACCCAGAAAAGGAAAGACTGCATACCTTCTTGCCGAAGACGAGGTATTCCAAGTACTCCTTGACAGCACCTGGAGCCCTCTCTTTCAGTAGTTCGACGGCGCGTGTAGGTTCGAATTTGACTCGGCTGTGGTCGTCTGCGAAAATCTGTACACCAAGCTTTGGGTTGCGGTTCGCTAGCCATGCGCCGTATTCCTCGACTAGCGACTGGTCTCTTATGCGTGAAAGATACCTGCGAAGCTCATTCTCGCCGTCCACGAAAGCACCGCCCGCGTCTTCCTCTCCATCAATGATACGTTTCCATGTAGCTAGCACTTTCGAAGCCTTGACCGAGGCCTTGCAATTGCTTTGATAAAGCCTGCTAAGCACATAGAGCCGCTTAAATTGCTCAAGCAACTCTACAGCCCGATCGAAACACTCCACCTCCTTATCGACAAGGTCGTGAAGCTCGGCTCGGAACGTGCCTGGACTTGAACTGCCGTTTGGACTGCCTTGATCTAGTAGCAGCAGGATATGCAACAATGCAGCGTCGACGGTGCTGAAGACGAACGGATCGCTGGTGACGCTTGCCATGCCTTTCCGTCTCTTCCAGAACTGAAGATATCTTTTGACAAAATGAAGCAGATTGTCGCCGAATGGGCCTTTGACATCTGTCGGTATTGTGGAGAGATCGTTTTGTTGCAAAAACTGCTCGATAACTGTCGTGATGCCTCCGGATACCTGGATACCTTCGCTTCCCTGAACAACTTCCTGGCTCAAGACCGGCAACATCGACAAAACTATCCTGGGGTCTACCTCACCTTCGATGAGGGCTTGTTCGGTGATCCGCTTTTCGTTTTCGAATATGAGAATGTTGGTCTTTGTGCGAAGAACGACGTCCATGAACAGAAGCACTGATGCTTTTTGACGAATGTAAATAAGACTGAGATACTCCGATTCATTACGAGGGTCTTGCCCTCGTATATCGCCAAGTACTCTTTCAACAGGATTGCGATTCGGCTGTATCGTTTTCCCATCTTCTGCAAACTGGACTTGCTCCAGGCGAGAATCTAATCGCGTCACAAGCGGGTTTCGAACAGCCCACCATATCTGGTTGCCAGCCCACACCACGTTGCGGGATCTGAGTTTGGACAAACGCTTTGTGAACTCAAGGTCTGCTTGCTCTTGAGCTGTTGCAGGGGCCTTCGTCGCCTCCGCTGATCCCGAGCCCCTGGTAGAGGGCAGCTGTAGCCGCTGTACGGTAAGTTTGGTCCCGATCTCGGGAAGAACAAGATCGTAGTGCTGAACGACAGTGCGCATGCTCAACGGCTCAGCGATATGCGTGCTGTCTCCTCCCACTGACAAGCCTAGACAATCAAGATTCAGCCAAGCTTTGGTGTCTTCACCTTCCACATCCCATCTTTGAACTTCAATACCGTACTCTAGCTTATCCGCAGGCCCTCGGTGAACTGCTGCAAGCACATAGCCTTCCTCGGCATCCATATCAGGGCCCATGGACGATGTCAAGTCTATGCCCGAGCCATCGACGATGATTGCGTCTGGATAGCTGCTAAATTGGATGCTTCCCCTGCACATATCACCGTCCAAGTTGACGAACATGCCGACACCTTGTTCAGACGGTGTGGTGCCAACGGTGAGAAGGAATTCGTTAGGATTCGGTGAGGCAATGTGCGGTCGAAGGGGAATGAATGCTGGCGGCTTCGGAACTTCCTGTACCTCAACTTGAGGTGCTCCTGCACTCGGCGGAGGTGGGAGAGGTTTGTCAGTAGCCGTACCTTCAGCAGGATCTCCCTCGGATTGCTTCGTGGGAGATCGGGCAGGTGAGTGACCTGGAGCTGGCGAAGCAGTCCGAGACAGGGACTCAGGCACATCGAACCCGTAGCGTTGTGCTGGAGGCCGAGGGCTTGCAGTACGAGAAGACGGGCCGCTGCCTATCCCCATGATGTTGAGACTCGCACTTCGGTTGTGACCTTTGTGGCCGGCCTGACCTGGCTGTGTGCTTGCTGATGACCCGCTTCTCGAGGGAGCTTGAGGCACGGTTGCAATGGTCTCAGCAGCGCCGCCCACGTCGCCTGCATCTGGGTCTAAGGAGGAGATTGGAAACAAGCCAACTTTCTGCTGGTGCATGACATCCAGCAAGGCATACGAGTGACTGTCTGCGGCGCAAGAGAAGGTCTCTCGTCTAACAGAGACTAGACATCCACCATACTCGATCGTCTTGACTGATCTCGGCTGTGAGTTTTCGGTGATCTGGACCAGTCGAAGCCTCTTCTTCAGGCCAATTACTACTACTACGCCGCCATCGTCCCCCTCTTCCTCATTCAGATCTACGCCTCCGACCCAGAGGCATGATATGGGTTTGAAAGTGGAGTCTGGGCTTAGCTCCGGCAGCGAGTAGATGGACAGGGTGTTATTGCAGAGCACGCAGGCTTTGTAGATGTTGGGGAGGATGAGGATTTGCTGCACGCCGGGGCCGTTGGTGCCGTTGTGTGGAGGCTCGAGTCTGGAGGCGATGATAGCAGTGGGCTCGGCGGTAGGGTCATTTGCTTCAGGCGGCAGGAGCACAAAGTGGAGGATCTCGGCGGCGGAGGTGCCCACGTAGAGATTGCCGTCTAGGGCAGGTCAGCTCGCTCGAGGCATTCATGGCGGTACACGGCGCAGCAGCACGTACCCCACACTTCGACACAGGTGATGCGCGCGTCTGGGTGCTCGCCGTCAGCGGACAACTGTAGGCCTGCGACAAGCTTGCGGAGGACGAAAGGCCCGTCCTGCGGCGGCGGACGGGCGAGCCCTTGCGGGATGGGAGCTGCATGTGCCATTGTTCGGGAGCATCGCACGCGCCATGCTGGCTAGGGGCGCGCAGCGGAGGCCATGTTCGTGTTCCTGGCCGTTGGTGTAGCTCCGAGGGGACAGGGTGCAAGCTCACGCGTGGACCAATCGGGGTGGACCCTGCCACGCGCGTCTCCCAGCATGTGGCTACGAGTACCGGACCACGACGCATGGAATGAGACTGCGCATATACGCAAGGGCGTTCTGGTAGATACAGGACACCTACGACTGCACATCTGCGACGCCGATCACGAGCAGCCATGGAAGGCGGCCTGGACGTTGAGGCGCACGCGGCGCAAGAGGAGGAACCGAAGCACGCAGGCGGAGACGCAGAGACCGAGGAGGGCAACAAGTTCCAAAAGGCTATTGGGGCGTGGAGGAGTACGGTCATATACATACTATGAAAGCTAGAAGGGGCTGCTAACAAGCCTCAGATATCGACCTTACTGCCCTCGTTCCACAACTCGACACGGTAGCCTCAGACCTCGTCGCATACCAGCGGGACACTCTCACGCAGCGCAAAGAGCTAGCGCAAAAGACCAAGGATTTCAGGAAGCTGGACGACGAGAGCAAGCTCAGCGACATCAAAGCGCTCCTGAAGTGTAAGTCGACTGCGGTGGTAACTGTTTGCCAGCCAGCTAAGTGCACCTCCAGCGTACCAGAATTTCATCGACCTCATATCGAACCAGTCCAAGACTGTCCAGGCCTCTTTCTTCCAACTGTACTCCCCGCTCTCGGAGGCGCCCGACCCATACCCGCTTCTCGAAGCCTCTGTCGACTCCCTCGTAACCGCCGAAGAGGTTGTGCCCAAGCTCTCTGCTGAGAACGAGCGGCTACAGAAGACAGTCGCAAGCCTGACATCACAGCTGGAAGAGTCGGAGAAGAAGCTTGAGGAGGAACGAACAGTCCGCAAGACCCTTGAAGATAGCCGCGACAGCAAGATCAAGGAAGTCGAGGCCTCATGGTCTGCAGTACTAGACGAGAAGAAGGACAACTGGGAGGCAAAGGAGAAAAGTCTCGAGGAGAAGGTTGAGAGCCAGGACCGGCTGCTGAAAGAGCTCAAGGCCAACTACGAAGTCTCCCAAAGACTTGGCAGTGGAGAGGAGGCTGCAGGACAGACCAGCGGCGCCACAGCTGCAGAACTTGAGATTGTCAGCTCGGAATTGGAAAGGACAAGCCATCGCCTGGCTGAAATCGAAGCGCGAAACGAACAATTGCGTTTGGAGCTTGCGCAGTCTGCCTCTGCACCGGCCCAGCACGTTGCTGTGGAAGATGATCCATCGTTCTTGCGCCTACGCTCTGAGAACTCGTCGTTGCTGCGAAAGCTCGAAAATGCCCGGTTTGAGAAGGACTCCGAGCGCACACGTCTCGAGACCGGCTCTCGCAATCTAGAACGCGAGATCAAATCCCTCAAGAGCGAGAAGGAAGCTTTGCGGGAGAAAGTGCAGAAATGGAGCGACTACGATAACGTGAAACAAGAGTTGGAGGTACTTAAGGTAAGACAAGACAGCCGCAATTCCTTCCTTCGAACTGTACTGATCAATCCAGTCAATCGAGTTTGCAACAGGCGACGATGACGACGAAGCAACTGAGGTTGCGTTGTCCCAAAATGGCGCTACCAGCAAAGGAAAGGGCGAGACGTTGGAGCAGCTTCTGCTTGCGCGCAACAAAAAGATCAGCAATGAGCTGACGGTCTTGCGTGTGTCTCACAACGATTTGCAAAGCAGATTAGAGGCCCTGCAAGAAGAGCTTTCAGAAACCAATGCGGAGCTTGAAAAGTCGAAAGCGCTCAACGAGACATTAGAAGCTGATCTCGAGAATGTGCAGCAGGAGGCCTCCAATGCTTTTGACCCCTCTGGTAGGTCGGTGGCGGGGACATATGTATCCCGTTACCCACAGTCGTCATTCGCAGGGACACGACGCGGTAGGGCAACCTCGCCTACGTCCTCTATCATCTCCGGATTTGACAACTCTTCACAAAACACCCTCGCATCGTTGCGTGCTGGCGAGCAGGTGGGTGGAGGGTCAGGCATCCTGCCAATGGTCACGGCGCAACGTGACCGCTTCAAGAAGCGCAACTCAGAGCTTGAGACTGAGCTACAAAAGTCGCACTCGACCATCTCCACATTACGGTCTGAGATCGGTTCGCTCCAGAAGGACAACCTTGACCTGTACGAGAAGACGCGTTATGTGTCATCCTACAACGCACACAACAGAGGACCTGCAACCTCTGCATCATCGTACGGAGCCAATCCGAATCCATCAACCGTTCAAATTGGCGATAATGCGACCGATCGGTATCGCTCCGCCTACGAGTCGAATCTATCTCCCTTTGCTGCCTTCCGAGGCAGGGAGTCCGCCCGTGCGATGAAGCGTATGCATGTGTTCGAGCGCATAGTACTGCGAGTTACAAAGTTTGTTCTGGCGACTAGAACCAGTCGAAATATATTCGCAGCATACCTGTTAGGTATGCATTTCATGGTGTTTTGGATGCTCTTTTCGACGGCTGGAGCAGGAAGCACGGTTGGTACTGCGGCCAGCGCAGCAGCAGGACCTATTGATGTTGGGCCTGGTGATCTATGGCACAAAGACACGGCTAGTGATGGGACCACGTAGATTTCGTAGTACACTTCCCTCGTGGGCGTGAGCCTAGTTTTGTAAGCGTTGAGCATCATCAAGCGAGCCTTGACACTATTGCAATATTACTGACGCACGCAATCCTACCGCAATGCCTCAATCTCTTCTTCCAGTTCTATAATTCTAACAGCTCATGCGTGAACGCCGTTGGACGGGGTCTTGGCGTTTACACAGTGAACCATCCAAATTTGGAAGCGAGGAGGTCGACCCGCGCTCGAAAGTTCATCACAACGCCAAGACCATCAACAACTTGCTTCACCTTACTCAACGCGCTTTTGACAAATACGAAAGCCACCTCACTTAACCGTTACTCTCACACAATGCAGCGTCGTATGGTGAGTGCCAATGCAACTACGTCCCTTTGCAGTTCAATCGCTCATACCCCTACAGCTCACCAAAGAGGAGGAAGCCGCGGCGGGCGGCGAGGATATGGAAGTTCGTCGTGAAGACCAAGAAAAGATCAACAAATTCAGTTCTCTGCATCAGAAAGAGACATTGTTAGAAGAAGAGCTCCAGGCGAAGATCGTAAGTGCACCCCGCCCTACTACCCGTCTCCGCAACTCGACGGTTGCATCCACCACGGCAAGACATCAAGAATCTTCATATTTCACCACACAGACAAACCACTTCTAAGAAAAAGCCTGCTAACACCCAACAGAAGGAGAAGGAAGATCTTGAAGAGATCTCGACAGAACTCGAACTTGTAGACGAGGAGGAGAAAGTCCCGTAAGTCAGCCTTTCATTATCACACGAGCGAAACTGCACAGATGATGCTAATGCCTCTTAGATACAAGGTTGGTGACTGCTTCGTCTCGTTGCCACAGCCACAGGTTCTGGAGCTCCTCGAAAGCTCAACACAGACCATTGACGAAGAGGTGGAAGCGTTGAAGTCAAAGCTTGAGTCCGTCCAGGAAGATATGGGAGAGCTAAAAAAGGTCTTGTATGGCCGCTTTGGGCGGAGCATCAACCTCGAGACTTAAGCACGACAATTCCTTAGCGTTGACCGCATGCAATGGCAAGAATTTATCGTCGTGGATCACAACCGTTTCTGATAGATGGAGTTGCCTTTGCCGTCGGAGTTGATCTCGGACTCGGAATGACGCTCACACCGCAGCCACGCCCATTCGCATGCAATTTGAGTCACAGCATCAACTCAATGAGCTTTCGACGAATTGTATCCATCTGAGGCTCTTGCAGCGCGTCGGCAAGTGGGTCGACGCCCTACAGAACCGACTTTTCCGATGCATATGCGGTCGTCATTTATCCCCGCGTTATGCAGCTAGCTCCGGCGCCTCTCAATATGACCCATTTCACACAACAGTCTTTGCGCCTCGGAAGTATATATGATTACGCGGGGTCAGCCCCTACTCCCGAACATCTAACTTCTTACCTTGCGTCCGTCTTGCCATGGTCGTCCCTTTCGGATACAATTGTTGCCGACCTTGAACGTCATCACCCTTGACAATGGAGTCCGCAGATTTAGAGCGGACTTATTCCCGCGATCAACAGCAACAGCGGCTGAACGATGGCTATCACGTCACAACGCCGGTGGCGCTCGTGAGAAGCACGACCTCACGCAGCGTGAGGAGCGTGAGAAGCGCTCGAAGTCAGCAAAGTCGGAAGGGTCACTGTATGCATGTCTCGAAAATTGCTGTGACTAGCGAACAAATCGCTAACCCAGCCTCCCTAGATGCAGAAGGGTCTCGTACGGATCGATTGAGAAACCTCGAGAAAGAGGTAGACTCAGCGTCTGATTTTGAGAAAGCCGATGCAGACGGAATCGAGGAGGTTGTGGTTCCGCCTCCGTCAAGCACGGCTTCAAGAGCAGGCTCCCATTCAGATGAATCCAACGCTTCTCATGGAGAGCCCAAGAAAATCATTCGGTTCAAGGATGGTGACCCTGAAAACCCTGACAATTGGCGACAGGTACAGATGACGCGTCTACATCGAATTCCAGATGCTGACAGCTGGCAGGTCAAGAAACTATACGCACTTTTTGTGGCCATCATGAGTGGTGAGTATTGCTCGTGCTTCTGCGTACACTATCTGACTTCTGGAAAGTGATGAACAGCACAATTGGCTCCTCGTATGATAACTTCTAACACGTCGCCTGATAATAAACTGACAGCATCCAGACTACCCGCTGGTGCGACAGGACCCATCTCACAGCATTTTGGGGAAACGAACGAATACAAGCTCATCCTACCTACCTCAATGTATCTCGTTGGTTATGTCTGTGGACCTATGTAAGCAATAATTTCGATATCTATGGTTTAAATAGAGCCACCTGACACTAGGATAGGATCTGGGGGCCGCTTTCGGAGTCGTACGGTCGCAAACTCGTGATGATGATATCGTTCGCCATATTCACTGTCTTCTCCATCACCTCAGCTGTGTCGCCAAACTTCGCGGCCCTCGTCATTTTCAGATTGCTTGTTGGTATTGGTGGCAGCTGTGCGATAAGTGTTGTTGGCGGGATTTGCGCAGATATTTACCACGACCCGAAAAGTCGAGGGAGGAGCATGGCAGGCTTCATGGCTGCGACAACCTTTGGGCCAATCCTCGGACCGCCGATCTCCGGCTATATCTCAGTCGTCTCGTGGGCTTGGGGGTTCTGGGTAGGAGCCATTCTAGCGGGTGTCACCTGGCCGCTGTTTATCTTCCTGCCTGAGACGTATGGTCCAGTGATTTTGAAGCACCGTGCGCAGAGAATGCGCAAGGAGACAGGCGACGAGAGCATCATCGCTCCCATTGAACTGGAAAAGACGGATTTCAACCACATTGTCACCGTGATTCTGACGAGACCTATACGCATGCTGTGCTTCGAGCCGTTGGTGCTATTCACCTGCTTGTACTTGAGCTACGCATGTACGTTTCTGTTAGTATTCTCTCGACATGATCACTGACTGACTCAACAGACGCCATCTTCTACATCTACCTCCAATCCTACCCCATCATCTTCACCGGCATCTACGGCTTCACGCCCGGCGAACAGGGCCTGACCTTCCTCCCCATCGGCGTCGGTGCCCTGATCTCCGCTTGTTTCTATCTCACCTGGGACTGGTACCTGGCGCGCGCGCAACGACTCAACAAGCCGTGGAGCCGCAACGAGGAAATGGTCCGCTTGCCGCTGGCGTGCATCGCGGGGCCCTTCTTCGTCATCTCGAGTTTCTGGCTCGGCTGGTCCGCCCGGGCCGATGTGCACTGGATGGTGCCGACCTGCGCCGGGGTCATGTTTGGCATGGGGTATCTGTGTCTGTTCATGGCGCTGCTGAACTACCTCGTCGACGCGTACGAGGTGTTTGCCGCGAGCGCTATGGCCGCGGCGTCGCTCTCGCGGTCGTCGTTCGGCGCGGTGCTGCCGTTTGCGACTAGGCCGATGTACAGGGCGTTGGGTGTCGCGTGGGCGACGAGCTTGTTGGGGTTCCTGGCTGTCGCGCTGTGCGTGGTGCCGTTTGTGTTTTTGAAGTTCGGAGGCCGCATGAGGGAGCGCTCGAAGTTCTGCCAGTATCTGCGGATGAAGAAGTTGGAGGAGGCGGAGGCGTTGCGGGAGGAGCGCGAGGGTGCGAAGGAGCCGGATGTCAGGGTGGGTCCGGATGAGGTGAAGGGGAAAGAGGGGGTGTAGAGAATAGTGTAGAAGTAAGTCGGTTCTGTGAGAATGTGCTGCTACCTTGTGACGTGAGCTCTCACCACACAGCTTCATCACTCAGCACCGTACATTTTAGCTTCACCTACAAGCTTCACCAACAAGCTTCACCAACAAGCTTCACCGCTCCCCTATCTCACAATACAGCCAGTCTTTCTCCCACTCTCAACACTCCACCTCGACGCCAGTTCCTCACCTCAACATGCTGCTGAAGCACCCCTTCTCCCACCCAAAACGCACCACCCTCCTCGCCCTCTTCGCCCTCCTCGCCCTCTTCGCCCTCCTCATCCTCCTCACCGCCCTTGCCCCCCAGAAACCAAGCCTCCACACTCCCACCCACACTCCCACCCCCCGCCTCCTCAAAGCAACAACCCCCTACCCCTCCGCACCGCACCTCTACACGCGCGCCCTGGCCCTCCACGAAACCCAGAACAAAGCGTGCGGGTACGAGACGCGCGTGCAGCGCGCACCGATCACGCGGGGCGGCGCGGGGGTGTTTGAGTTCCTCGCGGGGATTATTCGGGGGGAGTTGGAGAAAGGAGACATGGGTGGGGGTGGAGGTGGGGGCGTGGAGTGGATATTGTACGTGCTGCTGTGGTCTTTCTTTTTTCCCTGGTTGCTCGTAGTTCTAGATAGGGAGGATTGGGGGTGTTGCAGGCAAGCACGCAAGCAAGCAAGCAAGCAAAGAAGGAAGCAAGGAAGAGAGGAAAGAAGGAAAGAACGAAGGAGCACACAGCCCTAACACCCCGCAGCTACCACGCCCCAACCCTGCTCCCCCGCGCCTCCACATGCATCGACACGCTCCTCCCGCCCGCCCCCGCAGCCGCAGACGGCGACACTCACGAAGCGCTGAAGCAGCTCCTCTTCATCGTCCCCTCGCCGCCGCCCTCGCCCGAGCACGAGCACGAGCACGAGCACGAACCAGACCACACCACCACCCCCTCCCTCCCCTTCTTCTGGCTACGCGTCGCACCGCTAACACTGCGCATACTCGCCGCCGCAACGAGCGCGGTGCACGAGCGAGATTCCCACAGGTATGGTGGCGCTGCGGCTGCGTCTGCGGCGGAGGAGGAGGACGTGGTGGCCGTGGCGCTGTATGGGGTTCTTGCGAAACGCAAGGCGACAGGTGCGGCGGGGGAGGCGGTGGTGCAGCCGCCGGGGTGGTATGGGCTTTTTGAGGACGGGGGTGCTGCGGTCGCTGGGCGGGAGGGGGCGTTGTTTGAGTATCCGGGGTCTGGGGGCGCGTTTGCGGTGCTGAGGAGATTGGGGGCGCTGGTTGAGCGGGTCGAGCAGGAGCAGGGAGGTGCTAGCGGGGGGGTTGGGGTGTTCGAGGAGACTGTGGGGGCGTGGTGGGTGCGTGTGATGGAAGAGCGGAAAGCAGGGAGATACTGAGGGACGGTCGCAGACTCTCACGGACGTGTCTGGACGGGGTAAGGGATCGTGGATTCGTGCGCCGTACGCCAAAAGTCAACTGGTATCATCCAACCCAACCGTAGCCCACTCCCAAAAGCAAACCGCGCTGTCCAAACCACGGCCTTCTCAGCTCGTGTCCATCGCCTCCCCGTCTTTCACCACTGCACTCCCTCGCCCCCGCCCCCGCCCCAGCGCTTCGACAATACTCTCCAGCCCCCGCACCTCCTCGGCGCGCACGCGACCACCCTCCACGGCGCCCTCCACGCCCTCTTTCGTGTCCACGCCGCGCCGCTCCAGGATGCGCTTGCTCTGCGACTCGAGGTAGGCCTTGCGCTCGCGCGACGCGTCGTCGGCGTCAGCGGGCGCGCTGGACGGCAGCGCAGTGCTGGCGAGGTGCGGGCGCAGATTGGCCAGCAGCTGGCGCAGGTACGGCAGCTGGGAGGTTGTGAAGGAGGAGTGTGTTGTGAGGGGCGTGGCGGGGGCGGTGTTGGGAGCAGCGGAGGAGAGCGGGGCGATGCCGAGGTTCTGGCTCGCGGGGGTGTGGGTGAGGAAGGCGAAGGAGGCGGCGGGGGGTGCAGGGTCGGGGGTGGTGCTTTCGCGCTTCAGCGGGGCGGCGGAGTGGAGGAGGGCGTTGAGCTGGGCGAGGTGGGCGGCGTTGCGCTGCTTCTCGGCCAGCAGGGCGGCGTGCAGCTTCTGGGTCTCGAGCAGCTTGCGGCGCAGGGTGTAGAGTTTCTCGGGGGTCCAGCGCTTGCCGTCGACGGCGGCTTTGGTGGTGTCGAGGCCGCTGTAGTGCCCGAGGCGCACCCAGTTGGCCAGCTCCTCCTCGCCGCGCGGCAGGCACAGCACGTTGCGCAGCGTCCAGATCTCCAGCTTGTCGAAGTTCTTGTCGACGGCGTTTTCCATCAGCGTCTCGAGCTTGAGCACGCCCTCCTCGATCTCGAGTGCGGCGTCGGGAAACACATCCTCGCCGTCTTCGTCTTTCTCGGGGCTGCGCTTTTCCGCTGCGTAGCGGTCTGCGAAGCCGAGGAGGTGCGGCGGCGCGCCCGATATGCCCGTCTCGAAGGTGTCGGTGCAGCGGTACAGCACTTCGTTGACGGCGTTGATTATGTCGTCGATGAGACTCTACACACTGTCAGCCTGGAGCATGCACCCGCGTGGATTAGCGCACGATTGGCGGCCAGGAGAAGTGCTCCGTCAGCAGCATGTTCTCCTGCTGTTGTGAATTCGCCATTTTGCCTGCCGTTGCTGCGTGCGCTGCGCTGTGTCGCGTTGTTTGCGACGCGCCCTCTGTTTACCCTGGCCGCCGTCTTACTGGTCAACGGTTGCTGGCGCGGCCCCACTTGGGTTGCCCAATCCGGGGCGCTGGTAGCCAGTGAAGGATGACGTGCATGCGCATTCCCGTGTCGTAACGTGGCGTGTGGCTCGAGGCAAGGAGCATTTGCTGCCTGCTGCTACCTGGCAGGGCATGAGGTGAGCGTGTGAGACTGAGCGACAATATTGTTGTAGAAGAACCAGCTGCTGTCTGTGGATAAGGATCCAATCCTTTAAGCGTGTTATGATTGGCGATATAATACGTAGTCACTACGCCCGCACTCTAGCTACGCTCCCAGCATCAAATACGAAATCTGTGCTAGGAAACTGAATTATACACCCAATGATCCGCATCTCACCAGCCGTCATGCGAGCCTGGGGCGTCTAGCACTGGCTCTATCCTCACCGACACGGTCCTCGCCATCCTCACCACTCTTCATCACTCTCGGTACCATGCACAGGTAGTGGTATATCTTTTGTTCAAACAAAGGAAAAGCAACGCCTGTAAAGCAAAGAGCTCTGTATCCACTGCTCTGCCGTCCGGGCCACCCACGCGGACTGGGAAAATAATTCGGTAACCAAAAATCAAAAATAACACTGACTTGAACGCCCGACCCTGATAGGATAGGACCGAGGCCCACAATGCGTCATGTCGCTGTCGTAAATGCAGTATATGGGAAGTGAATGCCGGGCTGCCTGTCTATTGGAAGACTCAGCCAGCATATGCCGATGTCGAAGTGTCCATACTCGTCCACCGGAGACGCGGCACGACGCCTACTAGTACGCTCGTGTGTTCTCTTGCCGGTCCCGCTGGTACCGGCGCTCTTCTTCTTGTCGCCTTGCCTTCTTTTCTCTCTCTAGCCGGATCTTGTGTGCTTCTGTGCCGTCGTCCATAAGCGACTCCTTGAACCAAGGGTGTTGTAGTGCTTCCTTGGCGGTGATGCGCTTCTTGGGATCGTACACGAATATCCGTCTTAGGAGGTCAAGGAACTGTTTGTTGAAATCGGTGTGGCCCGGTATTGTTTCCTACACATGTCAGCAGAGCTAGGAGTACCGATAGGGAAGACATACATGGAGCTTCTTCATCGCCTTTACATATTTCTTCGACGCCTTGTTGATCTCGTTGTTTGGGTAGTCCAGCTTGTAGTTCTTGAAGTATCGTGCGGCACTAAGACTGTCAGTGGTGTTGATTGTTTCACTATGCATGACTTACGAATTGGCTGAGTTGCGAGAGGTTGTGCGGTCCTGCTTGTAGACCGCTCTGACGATGTCTCGATCAATCTTGCCACCACACACGGCCTCCATCATAGCCAGATGCTCGAGGTTATCGTGCGTCTGGAAGAGGGCATCGCCAGTGAAGAATTCGACGAGAATGCACCCTATGCTCCAGATGTCGCAAGGGAAACTCCAACCAAGGTTGAGAATGATCTCCGGTGCACGGTAGTGCCGTGTGGAGACAACCGAAGAGTGGTACTCATCATTGAAGGTCGCCGATCCAAAGTCGATAAGTCGAATCTCCGGGTCGAGGAGGACCTTGCGATGTCTTGCCGTGCGGTTGACCGTTGTGGACGACGACGGTACTGTGCGGTTGTAGGTAAACGTCTGATAGGCATTCTGTACCAAGAGAATGTTCTCTGGCTTGAGATCGGTGTGGATGAGGTTCAGGTCGTGCAGGAAGGCGACACTTGTAAAAAGCTGCTTTGCAAACTTCTGTATGTGTGAACTTGGGAAAGGAACAAAGCTGTTGCTCTTGAGGAAGTCGAAGACGCTCTGCCCATACAGATCTGTGACAATGCAGATGTGGTTGCGGAAGTCGAAGCAGTCGCGCAGGTGGATGCATCGGTTGACGTTGTGCTTGTCGTTGGAGGCCAGTGTCGACAGTACGCGCAACTCGATGCGACTAGCATCTCGGTATTTCGGTACTGAGCGAATGACCTTGATGGCGCACTTGGTGCCCTTTCTCCTGTCCCAGGCTTCGACGACTTTGCCGAAGGTTCCCTGGCCTAGGAGTTTTAGGATCTGGTCTGCGCAGTTGTTAGCGGTGTTGACGTAGAGGCTGTACTGGATACATACATCGCTCTGTGAGGTCGGCTTCTGGCACGACGACATAGTGGCCGTCCTCATCGTCGACCTTTTGATCCTTGTAGTTGGACTTCTATACGCAGTTAGTACACAAGCTAGGGATGTCGAACACGGGACACTTACATCTGCAACGACTTGGACGTAGACATCCTTTGCCTTGATGACCGGGTTGGGCGGTGGCTGATATAGGGCAAAAGGGTCGCGATCGTCCAGGTCTCGTCTCTTCGCCTGCTTAGCCTCGTCCTGGGCGGCCGCGCGTGTGCGCTTCCTCTTCTGGCCGACGGCAGTGTTTTCGAGCGGCGAGATGTGGTGGCTGCTGCTGGCCTGCGAGCCGAGCGAGGTGGCAGCGGTGGTGTTGAGGGCCGAGGTGGTGCGGTCGGTGGAGATGGAGTGGTTGGGCGAGTCGTAGTAGGGCGTCTGGGTGGTCGAGTACGACGTGTGCTGGTTGTAGACGGGGTCGTAGGCGGTGGTGCCGGTCGTCGTCTTGCGCTTCTTGTCGGTGTGGCGGGCGGAGCCGTTCGTGGCGGTCCGCTGCAGCGCAGGCTGGCGGGGGGCGGCAGGCTCGTCCTCGTCGTCATCATCGATGACTATGATCTCCTTGGGCAGGCCGTTCTTGTAAAAGTCGGCCCAGTTCGTCTGGCGGCGGTGCTGCTCGTCGGCGTCGCTGGCCACAGACGGCGCGCCCATGTCGGCGGCAGCGATGGGCGGCAGCTGCGGGTGTCGGCCGTGGGCGCTCGCGGTGCGGCGGACGTCTGGGGCAGGATTCGAGGCGCCGCTAGTGTAGCCGGCGTACATGGAATTGCCTATTCGAGCGGAGCCGTTCGCGATTTGGTTGGCATTGGGCAGGCCGGCCGGGTATGTCTGGTGGTGAGGATAGAATTGATGATGGGGCGGGAGTGTGGCCGTGGCCGTCGACGGCGTCGACATGGCGGAGGTGCTGCTCGGCGCCGTGGGCCTGGCGGCGAACCGCTGCGCTCGCCGGGACGACGAGACGGGCGGCGCTATCGCTCGCCGGCAGCGCGAGTGCTGCTGGCTGGGGCGGGCGGGCGCGGGCGCAGTCGCAGTGCAGGGCGCGGCCCCGGGGCTGTCGTCGCAGGCTCGAGGGCTCGCTGGTCGCACGCAGAGCCGGTCGTGACGGCGGCCGGGCGAGCTGGGCTGGCGGTTGCTCGCTGCAGACGCGGGCGGGCAGAGGGCGTGCGGGACGGTGTGCAGGCGACACGGGCAGGACTGGTGCTCAGGAAGGGCGCGGTTCTCGTGCCAGAGCGGGTGAGCACGTCGTTGGCAGAGGCGAGGTTTCCGCCGGCCGTCACTTTGGTCGGGTCAGTGCTTGCAGCGCCTTGGGGCGTCATTCGTTCGAACGCGAAGAAGCGCGCCAAAATCCAGCCCGGCCACTCACCCACGCTCGCTTTTTCCGCGCACCACACGCACGCTCTTTCACGCTGCTAGGCCTGCGCCAGAGTGAGGCACCGCCGCCGCTCCGCTCCAGCAGGCCGGCCGTCCATAGTACTGTTGCTGGCCTGCTGGCCTGCTGCCCGGCTGCCGTGAGCACTGCACTGCAAGGCGGCCGTTGCGTCCTCATTAATATCGGTGCCGGCCTGATTGAGAGCAGCAGGACCGCACCTGCTCCTGCCCTTTCCGCCGGCACCTCAACGCAGCACGCTGCCCCACCAGTTGCGAGCCGTACTGTGCACTGCTGCCGTAGCTGCTGCCGTAGCTGGTGCACTGTGTGCACACTTGGCCTGCTTCTCCACTTCGTCAGGATGCTTGCGCCAGGACTGTGATGCCCGGGTCGCTAGCTCCTCGGCCATCGCCACTGCGCTCCACACTCCACCCCCCATCCTCGACCAAGTACATCAACTGTACCCATCTGCGCGGCAACAGTACATCTTGCTACCATGTCCGGCGGCAGTCAGTCAGTCTTCTTGTCACGTCACTTCACCGTGCAGGTCCAGGTCAGGCGGCACGCTCGATTCGGCACTTCCAGTGGCTGGTCTGATGCATGGACCACCCCCATCAGCTTGATGTCGCAGGTCGACTCAAAGTCAAGACCTTCACACGCGCAATGTTCAGGAGTAGAGAGGCATGTAGCACACAGATTGCCGCCTGTAGCGCCCGTTGCCATGTGCGATGGTCACGTGTGTAATTTGCTCTTAGTCATCGCTGATTCAGTGAGGTGGTTGGCTGTGAAGATAATCCTCCTGAGCTTCGCACAACGTTTAGAATGCGAAGCCAGGGAGTCCTGCCGCGCTTTGACCTTTTTTCATCACTTTGCCAATGGGCGCTTCTTGCGGCCGCGTGCAGTTCGCTCGGCTGTCGACATCACGGCCGCGTACAGCAGCTCGGCGGACTGTTCGTTGCCTATCGCATCCATCTCCACCAATGACGTTATTCCCAGCTCCTGCCACCACAATCCTGCACGATCCACAAACTTGGGTGAGCTTGGCAAACACATGTCTTTGGGATTGCGAGTAGAGTGCTTGGAGTGAGCTTCCAGAAGACTTCTGCATGCGTGGGTTTACATTAGCTAGCGCGTATATGGAAGGTGAATAATGACCGATTGCATCCAGATAAAAACACACATAGGCCTCCAGTGATAATGCTGTTACGCACGCTCAAGCAAATAACTAAATCAGACAGCCAGCCCAGCCCAGTATTCCTAACCCTCAATTTATGCTCCGTGTCGATTACAAGCCGAAAAAATGGACTGTCATAAATCGTAAGTCATCGACCATCCGTCGCAAGCGCAGGTGCCAAGCAAAGACAAAACTCAAGGAGTCAAGGGCGTGGGAGGAACGTCCAGCGTAAGAAAGAAGTCCTCTACCAGCCGACCAACACGATCGATGATGGCGTCAACGTCGGCATTGGTGATGTTATACGAAGGAGATATGATGATGTGATCGCCATCCACACCGTCTACTGTGCCTGACCCAGGGTAAACGTGGATTTCGTATGGAGGAGCCAGACCTATTGGGCTGTAAGTATATTTTCAGCACATGTATCCGTCGAACCAACCTTTGTGGTAAATCTTCCAGTTCACCATCATAGCTGCGGGAAATGGCTCCATGGTCTGCTTGTCTTTGACGAACTCAATCTGCTTAGTCAGCGCCGTGATTTCGAGAGGTATGTCTGTCTACACTTACTCCCCAGAACAGGCCTGCCCCCCGGATGTCAGCAACATTTGGATGTCTACCCAGGCGCTTCTTCAGTAGCTTGGATAGTCTAGCTCCCTTCTCTTTGACGTTTTGCAGCAGGTTCTCTTCTTGAATAATCTTCTGCACTTCAAGACCAGCAGCACAAGCGAGAGGATAGTTTTGAAAGGTGTGACCGTGGCTGAACGCGCCTGAGCCCGGGCCAAACTCGAAAGCATCGCTCACTTTAGAGTTGATGAGCATCGCCGAGATCTGCTGAAAGCCACCGGCGAGACCTTTGCCAGTCGTCTGGATGTCTGGTGCAACGCCTTCTTTTTGCCAGGCGTGGGTGATTCCGGTCCGGCCCATTCCACACATGACCTCGTCGAAGATGAGTAGCACTCCATACCGATCGCAGACTTCTCTCATGGCTGCGAGGTAGCCATGCTCAGCTGAAACGCAACCAAGTGCCTACAACTCAAGTCAGTATGAGAGATTCTCCATCCTTTCCTATCATACTGAATTGGAGCGTTCTTTGACATGCTCAATGTCACTTGCAAAGTGCTTGAGATGACCTGAACTGGGACGTTTGAACTTACGGCGCCGACGACTGGCTCACATATAAACGCAGCCACATTCTTAGGACCCATCTCTACAATCTTCTGTTCCAGCTCGTTCTTAAGGCGTGTAACGTACTCAGCCGCCGTCTCTCCCGTTTTGAGGTTGCGAAATGAGTAGCATGGCGAAATGTGTTTTGTATTGTGAGGTAGAGCATGTTCGTACAGCTCTCGTCGGGCTTTGTGAAAGCCCATGTCAAGAGCACCGAGGGTAGCACCATGATACGAACGGTATCTGGCAATGAAAAATTTGCGTGTTGGCTCTGGGTTTGCCTTTTCTGTGGCGTGATACTGTAATGCAACCTTGTACGCTGCCTCATTGGCCTCCGTTCCTTGCGTCAATGTCAGCATATCCCACGGAAAACCGTCCCCTAACTTACCCGAAGAATAGAAAACAGCTTTAGTCATCTTCCCATCCGTTGTGTTGACCAGGAAGCGTGCAAATTCCTCTGTAACTTTTGTGTCGAACATCATCGAAGATATGTATGGCATGCCGTTGTCGAGAGTATTCATCATAGCCTGCTTGACGCGGGTATTGTTGTGTCCGATGCAGGTCACAGCAGCGCCTCCGGAAGCGTCAAGCACGTTCCAGCCGTTCTCGAAGTGAAGCATCTGTGCTGAGGCACTCTTGATTCGATAGGGCGTGCTTCTGACACTGCGATTGAAGAGGTATGATCGAGTTGGTGCTGTGGTTGGCTTTGAACTGCGACGGGCCATGACTCGCTGCGGTTTGCGTATGGCGGAAGGTGACATGGTAGCAGATGGCATTTTGAGAAGCACAGGTAGAGAGTGTAGCGTAAGTGAGTGGTCGGCCGCTGACAATGCGTATGCGTTCAAGCCCTATATAGCTTTCGAAATTGATGTGAACGAAACGGATGGGTGGTGGAGAGAGGGGCGTATTGCCTGTTTTATACGGTACAGTGACCAAGTGATGAAGCGAGAGTGCTGTAATCGAGCAGGTGCCATGTGAGAAGACGCCTTTCTATAAACACGAGAGGCCTACCAAACTTTGGCTTTCGGCACCCCGAGTTTTCCTCTTCGGGCCGTTCGTAGCGTGCGGATCTGTAGCCTCGTGCTCTGGACCACAGTTCTGTTGCGGAGGCGCAGTTCAATTCACGCGAGACTTGCTAATTAGAACAGTTGCGGTGAGGGAATGAGGCAAACACCATTTAGTCAGCCTCAGGGTGTTAGCTGACTTGGGGCACAGCCAGGGAATCCAATCGGATCTGTTGATCCCAGGGATTTCCACTTTGGATTATGTTGGTACACATGTTTGAGTCGTTCAATTGGAATATGTGGACCTTGAATACAGCGGCACAGGTGCCGGATCCACGGGCTGCAAGCCACCACATGTGGTGCAATGCACGTAAGTGAATTTACAGTTAGTGGCTACGGCTGCATGTAAGTTTCGGCTGGGATTGATCGGAGTATATTTGCACGTTCGTCATCCTTGTTCTCGTTCTCCAATGCAAATCGTTCTGGATGAAGACTGGGCCAATAGCCTAGGGCTGACCCCAGCAACCTGGGTTTGCTGCATCCTTTGCGACATGGATGCATGGTGACTCGTAAAGGCGGTTGTTGTAGCTTTCGACTTGGGCACTGGTTCCTGAGTCGTTCGAGCCATCCCCGGCCGAGGTGTTTTGTGTAACATACATTTCGGAGCCTTGCAGTTGAACACCGGATCGTGCGCAGATGCCAGGTGACCTGATACGGTTGACACGGACTGACCGCCTGTTGGCGAACCGTCACGGCACGGAGTCGACCATGAGCAGCTAGTGCTTGCGTTGGCATCCTCTCGAGGTTGACCTTCTCTTTAGCAGCATGCTCGTAGTCACTAATGCTGCTAGAGGTGACAAAGAACCACTAGAGTGGGGGGACGAAAACGGAGTGCACTCATTTTGGAAAAACGAGCCCCGAGTGTCTCATGTCACTTTCCTTAAGCCTCTGATCATACGCAGGGATGCCTTGAAATGACAGGAGGCTTGCTCGCCGCGGCCATGCAGAGCGATGAATTGGCTGGTCACGGACTGTCCGGTGGTGTAACAATCAATGCTGACTGGCTACCGGTGAACGTGCAACCACTTTCAAGAGCGCTGGTCTGGAGAATTGAATACGAATATGACGTTCGAGCCCACATGGCATCGTCCTTGGCCCGTCCGATGTGAGGACAAGGCCAATTATTAGCAAAGCCATGGATCGCCCTGGAGCCTGAACAAGGGTAGGTGAAAGCACGGGTCGATGGCGCGACGTGGCTGCATGACTACGGCCGAGGACGTCAAGATAGCCGCGTTGCAGCAGAGCACGATCATTGGAGGCGGTGAACAAGGGCGTTCCCCAAGATTGAACGATGATGAACGCGGTTGACGACTTGCCGTGCCGAAAGTTGATCGCTCGGCCCGTGGGGTTGGCTTGGCATCCGAGGCCGACGTCCAAAGTTCTTCCCCAAAGCCCCACGTCGCAACTTCCCGCCAAGCACTGAAACTCCCCACATCGACAAACTACAGGTAGCACCGCGGTAGCACCTGCACCGCTGCACGTACTCTGAGCCAACTGCGGCATAGCACAGGGTGAGCAGCAAGCCAGCCGTGTTTGCACGCCAATTGACCTGCGTTGACTGACCTCCGCAGGGTGAACCTCGAACATCGCTCGCCATGAACCCCCGCATAGAGGAAGTCAGCGAGTCTGACAGCGACCCCTCGGAGATGGACATCGATGACATGAACGAGCTGCTTGCCGCGCGCCAAGTCGACCAGGTCATCTCTGCGCGCAACGTGCCCGCCTCCGCCCCCCATCAGGACCCACAGGAGATGCTCCGTCCCCAAGGGCCAAATGTCAAGACTTCGGCAGACCGCGAGAAGTCGAAACACTATCAATGCTTGTACCCCGTGTACTTTGATAAGTCGAGATCAAGGGCAGAGGGGCGACGTGTTGGACAAGAGCTGGCGGTCGAAAATCCACTGGCGCGAGAGATGGCCGATGCTGCGGCAAGCCTGGGACTGATGACCGTCTTCGAGCCAGACAAGATACACCCCAAAGATTGGGCGAATCCCGGAAGGGTGCGAGTCTTGCTGAAGAAAGACGGCAAACTGACCGATCCGGACATCAACAACAAGCACCACCTCTACATCCTGATCGCACAATACCTGAGGCAGCACCCCACACAGAGGAATACGCCGTTCCGGTTGCCCATTCAAGGTATGCCTATGCCCAAGGAAATGCCAGAGCCTGCCGTTCCCAGGGGTTGGAAGCTGAACAAGATCTTGCCACTCCACTCCCCTGCCATTACGGGAGGTGGCGTTTCGGACAACTTCCTACAGGATATGATGGCAGAGATGCAGGGCCAGATTGGAGGTGCTGAAAGTGGCGCCAGCAGTGGCACTGAAAGTAAAAAGAAGAAGGACAAGAAGAAGAAATGATGAAACGTGAAGCAAGACTCATACCGACACCAGAGAACCACAAATCAGCACAGTATGGTCCTGTAGTGGTCACACCATGGTACACGGATTAGGTGCACTGCACTGGACATTGCAGACTGGACCATCACCCCAAATCACGGCATATGGCACAAGATGCGCCCTGCCAAGGGGCGACGACGCTGGAGAGGAGCATTTATCATACAATTCAACCCAACATCGCCGCACATGGCTCAAATCTATCATATTGCCTCAACCCCGTTTTGTGATCAATTTGCGACTTTCACCACATCATGCTTGAGGGACATCACTTGAGCCTCTAGAGCCGCGAAAGCTGCGTGTAGACGTCTGAAGCTTTAAGTTTGTCAGCCGCATTTTTCACGTGAGTGGTCATCTGCTTCTGGTTCTTCTGGAGCTGACAAAAACGAAGGACGGCATGCTGCATGTCTCACACATTCAGTTCAATTCGTTTCCCAGCATTATGGATCCGCCGCGCTTGTCGCGTCTGACGACTGCCTGCAAGCCACCAATATCGATCACACGCTGCACATACTCGCCAGTCACTTACGTGCAGATGAATTCACCACGTGGCATTAGCGTCTATTCCCGACTCCGCGACGTTACGCACATGAAGAGCTGACTGCTCGTTGATCAAGATCTTCAAGTTTGTAGTTTGATTAGGATTCCGGCCCGAGTGTCAAGACCTACGGTCCACGATCGCTGCGGCCCACTCGCCTCAAGAAACCGACCCTGGGCCCCGCTAAACGAAGATCCTCTCGACACTGGGTTTTCATTCGGCGATCACTTTCTCGTCTCGAGCGTGTACTTCGCTCTGATTGAACAGTTACTTCCTCGACTTCCCGTGTGGTCATAGCTGTGCCGCACATGAGCCACGCTCAAGCATGGGTATGGAGGTCTTTGCCTCTACAAGGGCAAGAGTATTGAGCCCAATACCCGCACAATACCTATATCGGTGAGGTGTCAGCATCGAAAGCAAGGGAGCAGGACGACATCCTTGCACAAGCGCAAGGCGGACGAAATCGCCACCGGAGAAGCGCAAACCCAACACTGGACCATGGCTCGGGGCGTCGCCCTGGATAGTCACGCTTCGGGCAGTCCGAAACGATTTTTCCAGCTGATCAGGGTTGTCTCTGGCGGCGTACCTGCCAAGCACCTCCTCGGAGACGAGATGAACCGAAATTCCTGCTCTGAGGCAGTGAGGAGGTGACAGTCGCTTAGCAGCGGTGCACAATAACGGCGCCGCATGCTCCAGAGCACGTCGAAAGCCTCGCTTGCCTCTCTGGCGTCACATCCCGCCTTCTTGTGCCCAATGCTGCATGTCAACTGCCGTCGTCCGGCTGTGTGGTAGCTCGACAACGTACGCTGATCGTGATTGCTTTTGGCACCCAGACGATCTATCACATTACATTGGCAATCTCGTAGCTCCCATTCGCTATTCCCAAGCGCTGCAGTATCACCGGCATCAATACTCAAGTCCACGTGTGCGGCGCAGCCTCGCACTTTGATATTGCAAGACCGAGGTGATGCGGACTACATTCGGTCCATCGGTTTGCCAGCATCGTGGCCTGATACTGCAAGTGCATGTGATACTTGTGGGACCACACCGTGCACTATCCACCAACGGCATTGACTCCGGCCCTGCACGTCAGCTTCCACTGCAGCTTGCGTCGTCGCACGACATATGAGCAGCAAGCGATCCGCACATTTCACCTGCATCGTCCTTGTAGCCGAGCAAAACAGCCGAGAATGGCGTTATGTATCGAGCCAGATGGCCAGCTCTCGTCACACAGCACATGGCAAAAAGCAGATGAGCAAAAAGGGTATGGTTACTAACCACATCGTGAACTAGGCGGCACTAAGATCCCGTGGAGCGCTACTATCGGGAGCGCTACAAGTCAGAATATCGGCATGCCGAAGAGTAAGGATACCTACCTACCTACCTAGGAAGAGTATGTATGTAGTGAGAACGGAAATGCAGCAATCGGTCCTTCTTCACCGTCAATTCATTGCGTCTGCCTGTTCTTTTTTGCCAACGGGTAATCCCGTTGCAGGGTCAGCATACCAACAACTCATGCTTACATGCAACACACCGGTAAATCGAGATAAATAGACTGCATTCAATTACTAGTACTACGTCCCGTCCCTTATCTGCTCGTGTCTCTTGCTTCATCTTCTTGCCGTGCATCACATGCAAGCCGGCTCAATGCGCCGGTCCAATGAGCAGAACAAGGCTTCCGGTACAGTTGCTTAGGCTGTTACGCCCGCCTGCTGCGCGAAACCAAGACGGGGCGAGCCCGTGGAGACGTCGTGAATAACGTACTTGCTCTTGAGGAAGATGTCGCCGAAGATGTTGAAGCCGACGCCGTCGTTAGTCTGGATGCCGCCGAAGCAGGTGCTGGAGCCGGTAGAGATGGGGGCGTAGTTGATGAACTTGCCGGGAACGGTCTGGGCAACACCGCCGACGGTGATGGAGAAACTGGGCAGAGTAGCAGAGCAGGGGAACACATAGCCGCCTTGTGTGTTGTCAACCTTGGCGCCGGTAACCTTGGACCAGTAGGCCTTTGCGATGGCAGCGTCGACGTAGATCAGAGTGGTACCGGTGTCGACGATACCGGCAATGCTAGTCTTGACGGCAGCGGCAGTGCCGACGGAGTATCCGGTCGCGCTGAAACCCCAGAAGCCGTCACTGTTGTCGACGTTGACGTAAGTAATGGCACCAGTGTACTTGGCAGAGTCGATGAAGCCAAAGTCGTAGGTTCCGGCAGCGTGGTACTTCAGGTTAACAGCAAAGAGCTGCTTTGCAAGCGAGGACTTGACAGTGTCGAACCAGGTGCTCTGGGGAGTCGGCGAGACAGTGTTGATCGAGCTGAAGGCAAGACCAAGAAGACCATCAGTGTCACGGTCCTGGGAGAACGTGGAAGAGACAGAGGTGGCAGCCTCGACGGCCTGGGAAGTGGCAGTCACACCGCCAACGGTGACCTTATCAGCGTAGACCTTGCCCGACGCACCGGAGCCATCAGCGTAGCCGATCTTCCATGTGTAGCCGCTCTTGACCTTGGAAGCATCGACCTTGTAGTAGTCGTGGCCGGTAAGCTGAGTGGAAGCCTGGAGGGAAGAAAAGACCCAGCTGTGCAATCATTAGCATAGACCGAGATCAAGGCGTACCTGATCCAACTTACAGATCAGAAGATCCAGTGTCAAAGTCGAGGTTGACAGTGGTGGTACCGATGGTAACAGGGCTGAGGTAGGACGAGTCGTAGTCGTCGCTGGGGTTGGCAGGCTCAGTGCCAGAAGCCAAAGCAGTAACAGCCTTATTGAAGTCAGTATTTGCCCTCTTGCTATACTGTGATGTAGACATACATTGGCACGTGTGTCGGCGGCAGCCTGGATGTGCTCAGGGACAGCCTTGCCATACTTGCGAAGGGTCTTCGCAATCTGGCCAGGACCGTTCTTCAGGTGGATGTTGTGCTTGACCTGCTGCAGAGAGAACGCATCGCGCTTCTGCACAGGGTTCGCAGCGACAGCGCTGGTCAGGGCAAGAGCCGCTGTGAGGTAGGTGAAGGAAGGCATGTTCGATAAACGGATGAGAGACCGGAACGAGTTATTCAAGCGAAAGAATAGTTGATCGAAGTGATGCCAACGAAGCCTGCTGGAGGATGAGTTCCAAGAGATGGGAACATACTTGGCTTTATAACAAGCATTGCTGTAGTCGCGGCAAGAAGCACTGGTGTGGTCTACCACGCACAGCCATCATCTATGCCGAGCATGGTACACCACTGCCATGTGGGGCTGTAGACCCTCGCAATTAGATTACGCGACCACTCCCAGCTTGGCAGGTATCTTGGTATCTGGGGTTTGAATGCTTGACTTCTCAACACAACCTTCTCTTCTTGGCTGCGCTCCGGGCATGCTCAAGCCTAGCACATGATGCTAGTTTTGGCCGCTACCCTCGAAGGACAACTTTGCGACAGATGTTGATGGTCTTGCGCGACTGAAGGCCCGATGGTAGTAGTTGACATGCCTGATTAAGCGCTGGTTCCTGAACAAAGGGTTAGTTTTGACGATCCTATGTAATGGCGTAGTCGGTGGCAGCCGGCAACTTCTTCTCTGTCTGATACAAGACGGGAAGGTGTTGGGCTGTCGACCTCCCATTGGAACACGGACAGATGAAGGGGCGCGTGCACATGACCACTGAAGAGATGGAAGGGGCCATTTTCACCGGCTCCGGGGCACGGAAGATAAGCTATGCCAACCACTCAAGCATTCAGATCAAAAGTCAAGCCTTGCGACTTCACCCTTGGCGTGACGCACCACGGCTTCCCACAGCCACAGCCGCTGATCTAAAACCGACCAGCGTTCAAACCGTGAGTGTGGGAATCACAGTGGATTGGACAGATCCTTTCTGTTTCATTTAGTGTCGACACGGCCCGCACGGCTCTAGTGGAGCTCAGCGGGCAATGTCATGCAAAGACCGTGATTGCGACATGAGACGGCATTGATTTTGATGATGACGAGTCCTCTGCTGGCAGGTCCAGGGAACTCATGGATGCAGCATCTACTGGGCGCTGTCGCAGATTGGCAATGCATGTGCTGGCGCGTAGCAGGGCATCTACAACGTAAATGGATCTTCGCCGTACCTGAGTCTAGCTCTTGAAATTACGCCTTGTTGTGGCAGCGGCCGTAGCTCTTTCAGGGAGGTGGCAAGGCTTGCAGGAGCAACGTCTTTCGTCCCCCAGGTCATAAGTGCCGAGACGTCGAGATCGCCTCAACGCACTAGATCCTGATACCTAACTAAGCGGGCACTAACAAGCTCAGCAAGCCAATCATGGTCGTTTGAAGAGATGAAATGACACTGACGAATTCGACGTTCGCCCAAACATATGCTATGATTCACTAGTACTTCTAACCTGCCTTTCTGGCCTTAGTCTCGTTACCGATTTTATGTCAACCCCGGCTACATATATTGACGCGAACTCTCAAATAGGAGGGTATCAAGCAATTGTATCAAGCTTTCTCGGAGCTTAACTTGCACTGTAATGCAGCGTCGATGGCATGATGGGCGTAGCCAAGCGATGATGTGCTTATCTTCGAAAGCTTCGCGATTCCTGCCGCAATCCATGTCGCCTTTCCTCCGCTGTGCCGAATCTAACACTAGCTTACGGTATATCCCAGTTCCTTCACGCGACAACGACGAACCCAGCCATTCAGCGTGCAGAGGAACGCCAATATACTCCAAGACGCTGGCACCCAAGAAGGGTGTGAGCCGACGAGGTCAGATGCTGGAGGGTACCCCCTAAACTAGATCGACGTGGTTGATCACCTCTTGAAGTCTGCAGTGATTGGGCCTTCTTTGACGGAAAGGCCGACGGCCATAGATGATCTGATCAACAATACTGATCGACGCTAAGCAATCTACTCCGCTGTATCCGTGCTACCTTTCACAGCGCCTTCGAGTTGCTTGAGAGCGGCGCGATAAGCCTTCTTCTTGCCATCGCCTATGACATCCTTCTCCTTCCAGTCCATGCGAATAACCTTTTTATCGCCTCTTCTGATGTTCTCGCCTGCAGCGATCTGCTTCCAGAACCAGGCGGCTTCAGTCTTGGAGAATAGTGTCAACGCCTGTCCTGACTTGCCCGCACGCGCAGTGCGTCCAACACGATGGACGTAGCTTGTGATACTGGTGGGCATGTCGTAGTTGATGACGTGTGTAATACTAGGGATATCGAGTCCTCGCGACGCAGCATCAGAGGCTATCAGTATTTTGACATCTCCGGTCGTGAAGGATCTTAACAGCCTCCGAGCTGCATCTGCTGTCGAGGCGCGAGTCATGGTCTTCATGTACTTCTTAAACGATGGCTCTAGCTCGGAAAGAAGATGTGATAGTCGAGAAGCGCTCTCGGTGCTCTTCGTGAAGATCAGTACTCGGCTAATGTGACCTGCGATCGACGCATGGTCATGTTTAGGCTCGTCACCAGAAGACGAATCAGAGTCTGAGTCCGAGCCTGAGGGATCCGGATTGTTGGAAGACTCAACTCCAGCGAAAACATAGTTGAGCATAGCATGCAGCAAGTGCAATGGTTTGTTGGCACCGTCATTGACAGGCGCTGCATACTCGTCAAGTGTTGAAGGAAGCTCGAACAAGTTCTCCTCACTCTGGAGGGGCCGGTCTTCCGTATTCTCATCCTGCACAACAACGAGCTTCGGACGTCTTAGCTTTAGCGTTCCGAGTTTGGTAAGATCTTTTTCCATCGTAGCACTAAGAACGATTTTGGTGAGCTGCCTACGAGCAGGCAGGGCAAGGGACCACATAGAGCCGTTCTCACGTTCTCTGAGCCGCTCCTGAGCAGTCATGAAATCCGGCGGTGTGTCGCTGTGCAGCGCGTTCATCAGCATGCTTGCCCAACCTTGAAAGTTCTGATTGAGCAGCTGATCTGCTTCATCAATGACAAGCCATCGCACAGACTTCAGAAGAAAGCCGGTTGTGTGTTCGATGTGCTCGACGAGCCGCCCGGGAGTGCAAATAAGGATATCAACACCAGAATCATAACGGGGAATATGGTCTTGAGGCATGCTCATAAGATCCTCAAGTATGCCGCTCTTCTCAACAAACCCAGTTTCCAGCTGCTGGGATGCTTCTGCATGCAGTTGCTTGGCTTTAATTGGGTTGTACTGGGCTCTCATCTTGACCAGGTCCTTTTGCTCAGTCGCCAGCGGTACACTACCCAGTGCGGTGCCCACTTTTATCTTTGTCCCAGCGCACAGCTCTTCGGCAACCTGGAGAGCCTGGTTGACGAGCTGCCGGCTGGGAACAACAACTACGGCGGATAGCATTGGAGCCGCTTGGTCTTTCAGAGCCTCGATTATTGGCAGAAGATACGCCATAGTCTTGCCTGAACCCGTCTTTGCAGAAACGCAGATGTCGCCCAGATGCTGCTCGAAGCCGTTGTGAAGCATGGGCAGCAATGCAGTCTGCACAGCAAGCGCATTCTTGAACCCTAATTTCTCCAGTCTTTTGACATAGTATGGCTGTGTGCCGAGCTCTTCGAAAGGTGTGGTTTTGGAGGCATCGACCGTAATAGGCTGGGCGAGCCATGAGGGCAGGGTAGAGAAAGATGGCGCGAACTCAGGTTCAGGAACGAGCGCTGGCTGCGGCATAGGCTCGAGATCTTAAAGTATTGTCAGATTCTGGGCATCGTGTGGCTCAATAGTGCTCTTACCGTGGAGCTCTTCTTCAGGCTCTTCAGTATCTGCCTCCTGTTGGTCTTTCCTAAGTTCTGCCAACTTTGAAGCCTTCTCGAACTTCGAGAAAACAGCCTTGTGTTTCTTGGAAACTTCTTCATCTTGCCCATCTTGGTCTTCAATCACTTCACTCTTCCTCTTTTTCGATTTCTTGATCGCCTTTGGTGGCCCAGGGGTTACGTCCTCCATGACAACATCCTCCTGAGCATCTGTTGGTGCTGCGACACCTTCTACGGCCTTGGTGTTCTTCTTCGATTTCTTTTCTTTCTTTGGCGCAGCAACTTCGGCGGGAAGCCCAATAGGCGCATGCACGGGCACAGGCGAGGATGCAGGCGCAGACGAATGTTCTGCAGTCGCCGGGGTTGGTGGTACGAAGCGCCTGAAAAGAGGTGCCGGCATTGTGTGGGTTGGACGCAGTTGGTGTATTCAAGTCGCCCTCGGCTTGCATAGAAATTCTGAGCAGAGCCAAAAAGATCGCGGAGCTTGCGCCGCCAAACGCCGATCACCAACGACGCGCTGGCACATGCTTTCGCGCTGCGACAGCCTCCAGGGTCCACCAGCACAGCACCGTCATTGCAATGCGCAGAACTTGACATGTCTGTATCTAGTGACCGTTGTAGAAGGACTTGTCCTCGTACACCGTCAACATGCCCTACAACATTGCGTACGCTCCGCCGGTCCCTGTCATGAGCGCCCACAGCTAATGGAGTGCAGCATGGTCAGCGACAACTTCTACCCTCAGCCCGGTATGAGCGGTGCCTAGAGCTCTTGTATCTTCTTCTCATGGAATATAGGAGGTGTAGAAAGTCACATGTACCAATTGTCTACTGTAAGCAGCCTACTGCTTTAAATATCGCTCCGCTGATCATACCCAGAAACTCATCGACCGCGGCCACAAAGTTATAGTCATCACACACGCGTATGCTGGCCGAACAGGTGTACGGTACCTCACCAATGGGCTAAAGGTCTACTACGTGCCCTTCTTCATCATCTACCGCGAGACTGCCTTCCCTACCGTCTTCTCCTTCTTCCCGGTGTTTCGCAACATTGTCATCCGCGAACGGATCGAGATCGTACACGGCCATGCCAGCCTCAGCAGTCTGTGTCATGAAGCTATTCTGCACGCTAGAACCATGGGGTTGAGGACCGTCTTCACAGACCACAGTCTTTTCGGCTTTGCTGATGCCGGAACCATCCTCACGAACAAGCTTCTAAAATTCACTCTAAGCGATGTCGACCATGTGATAGGCGTCAGTCATACTTGGTACGTGAATTGTCTATAGATTTGAGTAACTCTGGCTGATCATCGACAGCAAGGAGAACACTGTCCTCAGAGCGTCTTTAGACCCCTCTATGGTCTCGGTCATACCGAATGCCGTTGTTGCGGACAACTTCAGGCCCCTCTCGCAAGACTCGCAAGATTCGAAGCGCCGAACGGCACCCGGCCCTCGACAGCCTCTGGGGCCTGATGATATTATCACAATAGTCGTAATCTCTCGATTGTACTATAACAAGGGCACCGACCTACTCGTGGCGTCCATACCCCGTATCATTGCCGCGAACCCCAACGTTCGCTTCATCATCGCTGGGAATGGGCCTAAAGCCATCGACCTTGAGCAGATGATTGAACGAAATGTGTTGCAAGAAAAGGTTCTCATGATGGGTCCAGTGCGCCACGAAGAGGTGCGAGACGTCATGGTCAAAGGCCACATCTACCTACATCCGTCACTCATGGAGGCCTTTGGCACAGTCATCGTTGAGGCCGCGTCGTGTGGTCTGTACGTAGTATGCACTCGGGTCGGTGGCATTCCCGAAGTACTCCCTACACACATGACCGAGTTTGCGGCCCCTGAAGAAGACGACATCGTGGCAGCGACTGGACGCGCCATTGCAAAATTACGTGAGGGCAAGGTCAGGACAGACTTGTTCCACAACCAAGTCAAACAGATGTATTCCTGGACGGATGTTGCACAACGAACAGAGAGAGTGTATGATGGCATCAGTGGCGTCATACGGCATGACGAGTTCTACCAGGGTGCAGGAGCTGCAGGAGTATGGAGTGCCACACGTGGTCGGTCTGGCGTACAAAGCTTTGCGCTGATCGAGCGCCTGAAGAGGTACTATGGCTGCGGTATATGGGCTGGAAAACTATTCTGCTTGTGCGTCATTGTCGATTATCTGCTTTATGTCCTCCTTGAGCTGTTCGCACCGCGATCCAGGATCGACATCTGCAAAGACTGGCCTAAGAAGGTGCTCAAGGAAACGAAGGAGAAAGACCTCGATACTAGAGATAACGGCGGCCTCTCGAGGAAGAAAAGCAGCCGGTATCGTCGTGAGAAAAGAGATGATCGAGATGTTATCTGATAGCGTTTCAAGCTATGAATCGAATCATTCCACAACCAGACTCTCCACATGTTCGTGCAACGCCCTCAAGTTTTCTCATCCATTCGATTGCATTGTGCCCGATTTCAAGATTGGAGGATCTGCCAGCGCGTTCACAATTCAGCCGGCCATGTGCACGGCACCCGGCACGCAATAAAACAAACTTGCTTGTCTACTTTATTGGCACCATACAGTCTTCGAATCATTGACCTGATGCCTTTATCCAAGCAATGCCGTTCTTCCAGACGCTTTCCAAGCCCTGCCAACGGCGACTCCGCGGCGCCTAGGCCATATGGTTGCGGACATTTGCCGTCTTCTCATTGGCGATTTGGTCTGGAGCTGGAATGAGTGTTGATTGGCTGCATGCCAATACTCAACAAACATGGTTAATTTACCATCTTTCCAGAATATCAGAACGTCTATTTCAAGAGATTAAGGAGCACTAGAATTTCCGCCTTCCCGTTGTTGGCAGGAAGGAAACATAGGTTCAGTGGGCATTGTCCTGGAAACTTGGTTGTGCAACGTGGTTGGCAGGTGTGACGGGCGGCTCTGCGGAATGGCGGGGGAGGAGGGTGGGAAGGGCTCACTTGACTCGCGAATGCGTGAGGGGCCGAGGGCGGTTGTTTGCTTGGGCTGGCGACAGCAGACTTGGAGGGTGGTTTGCGTGTGCGTCTGCATGCGTGCATACCTATCCGTCTCCACACAGTTCGTGCAACGTAATGGAGCGGAGGTGGTCGTACGCGTCTCTGTAAGATGCGATGAGACGTGCAGGGCGAAGCTTCTTTACAAAGCGTCGCTCTCATCAGCGAACGCCCCATCCTGGCCGTAAAACATCGCCAGCCTCCCGGAAACAACGCTGCCGGTTCTGCTGTTCCGTCAGCAGCCTCTTTGCTGTCTCCATCAACAAAAGCCCCAAAATAGCCCAATCAGTCGCTGGGCGGGGCCGTCAAGCGGGCACTATTCTCCTTTGCGATAGTTCATCAATCTAGCGAGCCGCCGACCAGGCCTGCGTTGTGTGTTTCAAGCGCTCTCAGCCTATCGACCATGCCACCTATTCTTGTACCCCTGCGCGTGGGGCATCGCTTCGATCGGCGAGTGGGACAGGCGGCTGTAGAAAACGTCTCGAGCAATTATCTACGCGCTGGACTGTCGTGTGCGTGGCAGACAGGACAAGCCGTATATAGGGAACCAGCGGGTCGTGATGGAGTGACTTGTTCTTCACTCGCCTTGCAAACAAACATCTTCACTGCTGTTGATACCCTTTGCTTATTCGTGCGATTCTATTCTGGTTGTCTGTTGGAGCATCTTACATCGTGCTTTCTGACGACAGCGCCTCACGGGACCGATCCATACCGAAAGACCTGGGATTACCCACCGTTTTATTTTCAGAAGAGGCTTTCTTTGCCCAGCACTTTGGCATCAGCGGCTTGAAGTATATTACTTTGGGCTTCCACGATACCTGGTATTCATCACATCACTACCAACTCTACCATACCGCACTCCAATCCTCGACAATGCTCTTCACAAACGCCCTCTCTCTCGTCCTGGCCCTTGCGCCTGCCACCCTCTTGGCCGCTCCCACAAAGACCATCGACTCGATAGTCCACATCATCCCAAGAAATGGCATCTCACCTCGCATGGTAGACCAGATGGACAAGGCTAGCTCAACATGTGACCTCTCCAACGCAGCTCTCCCCTCTGGTACGTTCTCCCACCCCACTATCCAGTATCCCACCATCTAACACCCCACAGAAGCATCCGGCCTCCCAGCTGTCGGCGCTGGCCTGAAGCTGTCACACATCGCCATCGGCCGCGGCGTGCAGAACTACACATGCGCCACCGCCGCCGCAAGCGAGACACCCAAAGCCGTGGGCGCCGTTGCCTCTCTTTTCAACGCAACCTGCGACGGCGTACGCGCCCCCGCAGTCCTCGCCTCAGTGACCAAGATCGCGCTCGACTACGCCATCCCCACCAGCAAGCTCGCCGATGCCCGCCTCTCGGGCCACCACGAGTTCACCGAGAAAGGCATCCCGTTCTTCAAGCTGCAGACCGACAAGGTCGACTTCGGCTCTGTCCACGTCAACGCTACGGCGAAGGCGCCCGCGCCCAAGGATGCGAGTCTCGGACCCAACGGTCTGGGGAGCGTGGCCTGGCTCAAGCTGGTGCACCTCGACGGCGACTACAAGGAGGTGTACCGGGTGAACACGGCGGGGGGTGTTGCGCCCAAGACGTGCGAGGGCGTGCAGGGCGGGTTCAGCGTCGATTACGCGGCCGAGTACTGGTTCTACGCGTAAGCGGCGGGACGCGTGTGGGTGTGTTCTGTACAAAGCATTGCTGGCGTTCATGGGTGTTTTAGGATTCCGAAATTTGTAATTGGGGAGTGTCTGGTGTAGATGTCGCGCTATACCCATACCGTAATGGTAGTCGGATCCAATATAAGATGTTTCAAAACTAGCTTGCGTCTCAATATGACTTGAATGGTGCTGTACCTAACTATGGTTTACGTTGGAAAGAGTAAGTTGGTAGCAGAATGCTTTTCATTGTATATATGTCGACGATGTCTGTTTGTACATGTATATACGTACCTCAGACCTATGTGCGTCTGTAAAGAATCCCTGGTGGAGCATGGAGCCTTTGGGTCCCCGTGTATCGGTTTGAATAGAGTGCCGAGGTGCCACTCTTAGTATTCGACAATCTTTAGCCTCTGCCTCAACGTCTCTGGTAAGTCCTCCATCTTGACCAAACCCATGCCGACCAGATCTCCCCAAACAAACATGGCCCTGTCCTGAGCATACGCTAGGTAGTCAAACTCCTCATCGTCCTGTGATTTGAACAGATCAGCATCCTGGTCCAGCTCCGGTTTGTCCTCGTCTATTGGCTCCGATTCCTTGGTACTCACGGCCGGGGTCTTCTCTTCTTCCTTTTCTGCTTCAATCTCGACGTCAGTGGTCGCTCCGTCGAGGGCTGTGGCGGCAGGGCCGTCGCTGGCGCCGTTTTCGACGGCATCGAAGTCTGGCAGACCAGGAACATGGGCTTGTACGATGCCCCAGGCGACCCACATAGCAGAGCATGCAACACGCCAGAGTTTCGTTTCAGCCATGAGGCGATGGGCTTCTTCTTCGGTGTTGCGCTCCGCTTGAGCTTCCTGTTCTTGGTAGGATTGGCCTGGAGGTGCACGTGAGTCTAACATAAATGCTGAGATACTGCTGGGTGCAGCGGTAGCTGCAAGAGCTGTGGTGCTTGCAGATGTAGGGAGGGGGCCAAGGTGAGGTGTAGGTGGGTTTGATGAGGCTCCTCCGGGGGTTTTCAGACCGGGAGTGTGCATGAGGTACGCTCGGATGAACCGGTGCTGTTCCTCGGAGGTTGGATAGTAGTTACTGGCACACGCCCACGGGTAATCGGGGTCGTGATAGTTGTAGCACCATTCAGTCTGTTCACGTTAGTACATTGCGCATCAGTGACAGGATGATGAACAAGGGTAGATGAAAGCATGTCTCACAAAGTGATTCGCAAATTCCAGACCAGGAACGTTCGCGTTCGAGTACTCGAAGTCGATGACTACCAGCTGTTTGTGCTGGTTCGCCGGAAGGAGAAGGGGGGATTCTCCCTCAGGCATCATGCGGAGGATGTTGCCGTATTGCGTCTGTTGTGCTGCCGTTAGCCGAGACCTACTTAAACACTGGATTCGACTCACATCGTTGTGCGCAAAGACCATACGCTCGTTGATCTTCTCCAGTCCACCGTACTGCTCCTCGAGCCATTTCCTGTATTTCTCGATCATCTGTCTGAAAATAGGCCACTCGACACCGCAGATCAGGCCTCGCTTCCTCCAGCGATCGGAGGCAGTTGTGATCGGCGCGTCCCCATTTTCAAGGATTTGTTGATCCAGCCAGGTAACAACCTGCTCGCAGCGGTCCACCCACTTGTCCCAATTCTGCCAGACAAATGGACCGGCTTCCCTTTCCGATTTTAGTAGCTCGATGCCCTCATGGAGCTCTCGCATACGCTTGGCGATTTGCTTGGAGGTCTCTGCAACCCGCAATTCCTTGAACGTGAGTGGTTTGGCATGGAAGAACTCCTCAAATCGACCGTTCTTGAAAGTACCGAGCATGCGAGGACCAATACGCTTACGCCCAAGACGCTGTAAAATCTGGAGCTCAGATTCACGGTCGATGAGATGATCCACCTGGGGGCCATAGATGCGAAGAAGTAATTTACTATGATATATGTCAGTCAACACATATCAGGATGTCGGTGCAACATACGGTGGTGGGTTCTTTGGCATCGGTGCACCATCCGTACGCTCTTCCTTCGGCTTGATGTTCTTTGGGGGAGAAACAACATAGACAGCGTTTGTCAAAGCACCGCTCAGTCTCTGAACATCGACTTCGTCATGCTGCTCCATTGCTACTCTTCGCCAACCCTTCAGCTTCAGAGTGTGTGCCAAGCGGAGGATCTCGTATCTGAACGTCGTCCAGGCTTCTTTCTCCTTTCGTCTCCGTCTCTCCGTGTCTTCGTTTTCGGGTTCATGGTCAGCGTCATCGATGCTGTAAGCCATAGTTTTTGAGTTGTCGAGCACGACGTCGCAGCTGGGAACTAATGTGTCAATGGAATCGAAGTAATCCGAATCAACCGAAACAGCAGAGTGACGCTTGAGGCCTGTTGACATCCGGCGTACATGATTGATCTTTCTCTTCGCATCGGCGGGGGTGATGTTCAGCGTCTTTTCTAGTATACTGGTGAGCTGATCCAAAGCTACAGATCCATCGGAAGAGTCGGAGTCGCTTCTGCCTCGAGAAGTTTGCTGAGCTTCAGTCTGGTCTTTAGAGACTTCCTGAGACTCGTCGACCTGTCGGGCGTTCTTTGCAGCCTTGCGTTTTGCTTTGCGTGATGCCCGCCTGGTGCGCTCTGATTTCAGCCAACTCTGTACATGCTTGACCAATCTTTCATGCGTATGGGCATGATGATGTGCATCATTTGAGCTCTCCGAAAGAAGAGATGTGAGCGATGGGTTTCCATCTTTCGGTTCTCCGCTCTGGCTTTGCGGCTTGAATGAGCCCATAGACTCAATTGAGGGTCTACCAGATAGTCGCTTGCCACTAATACTTGCAGGATAGTGTCTAGACGGTCTGTCAAGGTCGAGGTAATCCTTCTGCTCAAGTTCTTTTTGCTTGGCGATCATGAGAGGTGAGATGCCTTCATCAGGAAACGATACAACTGTGAAGGTAGAATAAGCGAACGTTCATGTTGTTGCATTGGTGGGGTTATGGTGCGACGGGCTTGAGCTTCTATTGTCTGTTCTTCACGTCTTTGCCATCAATGTGCCCTTTCGCTTGTGACACTCTTGGGCCCCCTGCCATTTCAACAAGACCAAGCTGCAGTTGGGCGTGCAGTACAACTTGCGCCAACAATGGAGGGGCAGAGCGATAATTCAATGCGAACACAGGACAGCAGTACAGAGAACTTCATGCGACAAAGATAGGTGCATGGGTGTGACAGGTGTTACCAGGTGTGGCTTGAGAACGAACCTTTGGTAGACGCGCGGGGTGACGCGCTCCCCTCCACGGTGTTGCTTCGACGTACCTCCGAGCTCTCTGGCTGCTCATTGGAGGGTGCCATGACTGTCGGGACTGATTCGCACCAATGACGCCGGGTAAGGTGAGCTGGACTGTCCTTCGAGGATTACAAACACTCGAGTGCAGAAGTGAGAGTAAAGGATCGTCGTTTGTAGTGTGCGTAGGAACGGAGCTGGTTGGGGTGGACAGGTCGCTATCGATTGTTGTGGACTAGAAGGCCCACGTGCCAAAACCAGCTGGGCTCGGAGTGCGACCGCTTTTGAGACAGGTGTGAGAAAATTTGGGGGGATGAGTGGCTTCAAGATTCTCAAAGCACTCGAGCTGTTTATTTGCATGACATGTTGCTTCAAGAACGTGGTTAACTTGATTTGCATGTGGTTGCCTCCTCGTACGCGTGCGGCTTTGCAAAGATTCAGGGTCATGCGAGAGTCTTGGCGATCTACGTCAGGGCTAGCAAAGCTCCAACGAATGGCAGCAAAGCAGTGACGCAGAAGGTCAAGGTTAGTCTCAAGATTGTTACGGAGCTGCTTGCGAGGCGTATACCTGCTTACGACTTTGAAGTGTTTATACAATTGATCTTGGCTAATTCAAGCTTCCTATCGACAAGCTGGCTACGTAGGCCGCATACCTGAACTCCGCGCTACGGTGGCAAGGATAATATTGAACAATGAGTGTTCATAGGATGATATACAGATGGTTCAGCAGAGAACCCAAGTGATAAAATGAAGATAAAGTACGGCGATCAGTTTACGCAGCCCACTCGACCGTTTCCAAGGCAAGCATTACAAGCAGCAAAGTGCTTGGCAAGATAAAGACCACATAGCTCTGGAAGAGGATGTTGGACATAGCGCCCATGTAGACATTGTTGATCTGGCAGATCTGCGCCAGTTGGAGTGCAGTGGGCGCACCACTGAGGAGGAAGCATACGATAATGAAGATCGGATCGTCGACGATGCTGACAGGTACGTATTTGGCGATGAGAGCCAGGATCGGGGCCATAGCGAGAGTCGGAATCAGCATGCGGCTGATTAGCGATGCGATGACGAGCTTCTTCTCGACCTTTGGATCCTCTAAAGAATGCTGATCTTGCTTGGGCAAAGTGTTGCGGGCCAAGTTGGCACCCAGGACAACCAGAATGAGGGGAACAGCAACCTGACCGCTCTGGTTGACAGCGCGAGTTAGAGACGTGTTGATGAAAGTTCCGGGACTGAAGAACAGATGTTGCAATTGTGGCACTGAAGCAACAATGATTGCTGCCAACATTGCCCAGAGTGGCGGGTTCATAAATGCCCAGACACCCTTAGCAAATCTTCCGAGGAATGAAGACACTGCAGAGAGAGTTCGCTGCAACCATTTGGGGAGTGACTCAAAGATCGAGCGTCCAGCGCGCGAAAGAGAGTTCGAGATGGACTTTCCAGTGCGTTGAACTCCCGCTTTGACTCGCTTCGGCCAGCCCTTGGGGCCTTTAGGGATGGCATTCTTTTTGAGCGAGGCAAGCGCATTGTCGCCATTGACGTGGCCGTTTGCGTTGCCATTGGTCCTGCCATGGAAATCGCCTTCACCAGCAACTGCGACATTGCCGTTTGTGGGTGTTGCGAAGCTGGCCGACGCTAGGATATCTCCACGGTCTTCGATAGAATCGGTGTCACTGGTTTCAGCAGAAGTGGCGTAACTGGTGACGTTGCCGGACTCGTAGTCCGAGTGTGAATCGTCTAGCAGACGTTGTGCCTCCTCTTCGCTGTACTCTCCACTCTCGAGGGAGTCGATGGTTCCACCGTCCTCCTTTTTGTACGTATCCGCCGGGGCTAGAAGAACGTTGAAGCCCCATGTCCATCGAACCAATTGTCCAAGCTGCTGGAAGATAAGTAGGTAGAGAATACCGCGGGCGCCGACCTCGTTGTCGTTGTCACCGGGCATCCTGTCCCAGTGCAAGCCCGAAATAGTTTTCGAGAGCGAGATGACGAGGGAGATGGGCAGAGAGTTCGAGTTTCCGAAGACCTGAAAAACTTAGTCGCAGGTTGCGTTGTGTCTTTGATTGTGACGTACCGCCATTGCAGTGACGAAGTTGGACTGTCTCTTCTTGAAGCCGAAGAGCTTTCCAACGACAATCGCCGCGAGGTAAGAGATGAGCGTCTGGATAACAAAGATGATGGGGATCACGGCGAGGTCGCCCAGCTTCTCAGCAGTCAGCTGTGACGCGAGCTTGGTAAAGACTGCAGGGCAAGGTCAGCACTGCGGGCGCCGGGGCTGGCTTCGGATGCGCAGCCACGCGTTGAGCTGGCGCACTCACTCAGGCAGGGCGTGAAGAGCTGGGTGTTGAGGTTGGCCAGGAACTTCTGACTCTCTGCATCGAATTGGCCCATTCGGGCGATGATGTATCCAGGCGCACTCACGCACACGACCTCCATCACAGCCTCAAAGACGAGCAGCGTGAGGTTGGCAAAGTCGGGGTGCGAGCTGTGCGCCTTCTTCTTGAAGACTTCGACGAAGCCGCCATTGTTGCCGTAGTCGAACGATTGCGAGGCCATGGAGACGAGGGCATTGGGATTGGCAGCGAGGTCACGCAGGCGCAAGGCCTGGGGACTCGTGAAGAAAGGCATGCAGAAGTGCGATTGGGTAGGTGCGACGGACGGAGGGTGGGTGGGTGATGGCCGTGTACTTGAGGCACACTGCGCCTTGGTCTTGTTGCAGATGGGCGATCGACGTCACAGCAACGGAGAGAGCGGATCGCACCGCGGAAGCGTCAGGCAAGGGCAACTTTAAGAGAGCACTATCTATTGCTATCAATTGCGCGGCGGTTGAGACGCAGCCCGCCGCATCGTGCGCGACGTGGACAGCGCCAGCGCCCAAAGGCACCACGCAGCAGCCAAGCTACTGCGCCTGGGCACAGCTGTTGGTGCTGAGTCGGTCGATGGCGCGTACCGAACCTGCTTCGCGCCCCCCGAGCTGGACGGCGTGCAGCAGGATTGGGAGAACCCACAGGCGCGCAGAGCTAGAGGCGCTCCGGTGCTTGTTCGCGAGCGCACCCACACGGCGCGGCAGGTTCTGGGCCACATCAAGAATCCCATGCCACATATGCATCGCGCGGTGCCGTCATCAGCGCCGACCGCGCGCTGACTGATGGGCGCAGGACGGGCGCAGGACGGGCGCAGGACGGGCGCAGGACGGGCGCAGGACGGGCGCGCCCACGGGCTTCGACTGCCAGGCCTTCCCTGCGGCGCCCTGCGTCCTTTTACTGCACTCTGCGCGCCGGCGAGCACATGCTGGCGATCGCCGCATCGCGCTGCGGCGGCCATCTCGCCCACTGTGTCTTGCTGGGCTGGCCGCATTGGTTGCGACATGGTCATCAAAGAAGCCGACGATGTTCCAGCACGACAGGCCTGTCAGCAGCCCGCCCGACAAAGCAGGAACTGATGCCTGAGCAAGCACCTCGCAATTTTGCAAACCCTGAGATTTCCTGCCGTGCAACTCGTCTCCTTGCCATTTGCCCTTTGCCATTTGCCATGGTCACTGTGCGCTCTGCATCCTGAATTACCCAGACGCTCTGCATACGTCACTGGCCCCCGACCCTCCTACAATCCCGGTCGCGCCGCACCGCCACCCATGCGTGGGGCCCGTCACGTCTGGTCGACCTCATAACATCCTCGCTACGTCGCTCTCCGCTCTCTGTCGAGGCATCGTCACCTGATAGCTGTCCGCTCGCTTGTCTATTACTACTGACCGCCTGCGGTTCTCTGCTGCTTTCCCTGCCCTCCCCGACTCTGCAGGAGCAGGCTGCAAGCATATTTACGACTGCCACACTCCCGCCTCCGCAATGACCGACTCCGCGGCATCGACCCCAGAGGGCGAGCTCAGCGACACGCCCTTCGACAGCCCCTCGCCGTCCTCTCCTCCTTTCCCCTCGAGCCCGTCCTCTAGCATCCCCTCGTCTCTCAATGTCTCCGACCGCCCCGCTGCACGTTCCAGCGTCACTACCGGCGCCACCGCCAACATGACGCCCTCGTCCACCCCGCTGGGCAATATCAATGCTGCCAGAAATCCTCGCGGCAACGCTCCTACCATCTCCAGCCGAGGCAGTGGCCTCAATGTCTCGCAGGACATTCTGGCGCGGATACAAGCAGTGCATCTTGGTCGACAGGGTGCCCCGCCGACTGCGGCGGCAGGCCAAGGAAACCTGCCCCAGAGCCCAGGGCCGTCCGTCGGGCCGCCAAACAACATGTCACCACGAGGGCCGATGATGGCTGGTGGCGTCCCGGTCAACTTCCGTGGCATGCCCGGAGGAAAGCCACCTCTGCCTAGCTTTGCATCCGCACCTGCCATCCCTGGCCGCTCCGGTGCTGCACCAAAGTCTATGCTCGAGAGACGCGGTGCACCGAAGCTCGGTGGTCTGCCTGGCGCAGCATCGCCTGCAGGTGCTCCTGTGAAGAAGAATCGTCCAGTCATGACCCTCTCCCAGATGAACGGAGGCGCTCCAGACGAAAAGCCTAAGAAGCAGGAAACCGCATTGGAAAAGTATTCGGATTTTATTGACACCAAGACTGGTAGTCTTAAGTTTGCAGGCAAGGCTGTCCTGAATCCGGACGGCGTCCAATTTGCGAATGGCACATCTTTCAGCATCTCCTTAGACGAAGTCGACACGCTTGACGAGCTCGGCAAGGGAAACTACGGCACAGTATACAAAGTCCGACACGCAAGACCGCGCATGAGGAAGCCAGGTCAAGGCCTTGCAGGAAACAAGGCTGCACCAGGCTCTCCTTCGCGAAAGGACTTTAGCGAAGAGCCTAGCCCGACAACGGCGAAGCCTTCCGGAGGTACCGGTATTATCATGGCTATGAAGGAGGTCAGGCTGGAACTTGACGACTCGAAATTCGCCGCAATAATCATGGAGTTGGATGTCCTGCACCGTTGTGTGTCACCCTACATTGTCGACTTTTACGGCGCTTTCTTCCAAGAAGGAGCTGTGTACATCTGCATGGAGTTCATGGATGGTGGATCGATAGACAAATTGTATGGCGATGGCGTTCCGGAGAACGTCCTGCGTAAGATCACTTTGGCAACGACCATGGGCCTGAAGTCGCTGAAAGACGAACACAACATCATTCACCGCGACGTAAAACCTACAAACATTCTCATGAACACGAGAGGCCAGATCAAGATCTGCGATTTCGGTGTCAGTGGTAACTTGGTTGCGAGTATCGCGAAAACCAACATTGGTTGCCAGAGCTACATGGCCCCAGAACGAATCTCATCGGGTGGTGTTGCACAGGCCGGCGCCAACCCTGGAGGCGGCACCTACAGCGTCCAGAGTGACATCTGGAGTCTGGGTCTGACCATCATTGAATGCGCGCTCGGCCGTTATCCATACCCACCAGAGACATACAATAACATCTTCAGCCAGCTTAGCGTAAGTCTATTGTATCTTATTAACTTGTGGCAACCAGTTACTCATTGATTACAGGCAATTGTAGATGGCGAACCCCCGGATCTGCCCGAAGAAGGCTATAGCGAAGTCGCTCGTAACTTTGTTCGTGGCTGTCTGAACAAGATCCCCAAGATGCGACCAACCTACGCTGATCTCCTCGGCCATGCGTGGCTTGCACCTTTGATAAAACCAGAGACCATCACCGAAGAAGACGAGGACGAGGTGGCAGCCGCGGAGGCAGATGATGGCAGCGTGGCCGCTGGTGACAAGGGCCCTGCTGAACCAACTGAAGACGTTGTAGACAAGGAGGTCGCAGACTGGGTGAAGGACGCAATTGACAAGCGCAAGAGAGGAGTGCTCGGCAAGGCCCCCAAGCCTGCGTTACACGCTGCGCCACTGGATGCCGTGTCGAGTCCTTCGCAAGACGGTGCGAATGGTCTCGACGCTGCAGGTGCAGCCGAGGCGCCGACCACGTGAGACCATCCACGGTCTGCAGCAGCCACTTGCATTCACTAAACCTGGTAACTCGTGAGGTTGCGACTGTACCAGTTGTAAATCTGGAGTTTTGGATTTTTTGGTTAGGTGCTGTGTACTGGCACTGGCGCATACCCGTGGGAAACGCTCTGGCATGGCTGTTGGAGCATTGGGCAACAACAAAGATACACCTAACTGACATGCATGTACAATTCGCCACTATGTATTTTACTCGGTGACATTTCACATGTATAATTTGAAGAGCGCTACGACTAGTCGAGCAGCCGTTAAGGTGACGTATGCCAGACGCGTGAATCCCCGCCAAGGTGTGATGTGGCTCATGCTGTGGCGCTATGAATGAACACGGTGGTCGCAACCCTACGTCTATTGTCCAGCGCCTTTGAGACAGCACACCTTCCTTACCTGCCATGCTCCGATTTTGAGACAGCCTCTCTCTCCACGACACATGCGCCTGGCTTGCGACTAAACACCTTTCCTTTGCTGTCGCTCTCTTTGCACCATTCATTCGTGAGACGCATTCAAAATGTCTGGGACAGACTACAACTACGATGAGCAGGTCCGTTCGCGCACCCACTTGAACAAGCAGCGCCGCTAAACTTCTGCAGGGCCAATTCTTCCCCTACTTCATCCTTACAGTCACGACTCTAGTCACCGTCCCTGCTACAATCTCTTTCTTCAGACCGAGCAAAGGTGAGTGTCCTCGCCCACGCTTTCACCCTACGTCCACCTTCTGACACGTATGCAGAGCTCGAGAATACAGGAACCACAATACAATCCGACTTCGCGCCCGAGCATGCCGACCTCATCCAAGGCCAGCGTAAGAAACAGAAGCGCGCGGAGAGGAAGACGAAGCGCGGAGTTCTCATGTTGGGCGGGTGGTCGCTGAATGCGCTCATGATATACCTGATCTGGGTTACAGCACGGACAGTCACCAAGATATGGGATCCCTATGAGGTCCTCGGTGTTTCCAGGGTATGTGTACCTTTGAACTGATAAAGCAGATGAACTCGTCATTGACAACAAGCGCAGAATGCGGACGAGAAGGCGATCAAGAAGCACTATCGTAGGCTATCGATCACGCTGCACCCTGACAAAGCCCGCGAGGACCTAGCGAACAACATCACCACACAGTCAATCAACGATCATTGGGTCGACGTTACCAAAGCGTACAAAGCTCTTACCGACGAGGAGATTCGCAACAACTACATTCAATATGGCCACCCCGACGGCAAGCAGAGTTTCAGCATCGGTATCGCTCTTCCACAGTGGTTGGTTACAGAAGGCTCTGGCAAATATGTACTGCTCGTCTACGCAGTCCTACTCGGTGTTATTCTGCCATACATGGTCGGCAAGTGGTGGTACGGGACCCAGAAGCTGACCAAGGAAAAGGTGCTCATTGCGAGCGCCGGCAAGGTCTTCCGTGAATACGACAACGAGCAGGGAGAAACAGGTGTCATTGGAGCCTTGAGCACAGGAGAGGAGTTCAACGAGGTTTTCACAGGCCACAAAGCAGAGAACGGTCTCTCTAAATTGGAGCAGAAGGTCCTTGGCGACGAAGAATCCGTTGTTGCACAGGTACTCACTAAGAAGGACCGTCAGAAGCTGGACGACCTGGAGGACAGCCGAAGACGCAAGGTCCTGACTCTATTGTGGGCGTATCTCGGCCGCGTCGAGCTCGAAGACGAAACTCTGAACGACGAAAAATTCGAGGTCGCTCCTATCGCCCTCCGCCTGAATGAAGCCTACACATCGATAGCACTCGCGTACGGCAGCACAAAGGCCGTCATTTCCGCATACCACACTTCACAGAACCTTATTCAGGCTCTGCGACCCGGTGCTTCTCCCCTGGAACAACTGCCACACGTTACTCCCGCCATCGCGAACGCAGCCGAAGCCGAACACGCATCGACTCATCTGTCTATCCAAGAATTCATGAAGGTGCCAGAGGGCCAGCGCAGGGCGCGTATCGGTGGCCTTCTGTCTCAAGAGCAATACAGCACAGCCATGTCGGTCGCCTCTCGGATACCCGTCCTCACCGTCGAGAAGGCATTTTTCAAGGTTGTCGGCGAGCGTTTCGTGACCCCCAGCAGTCTGGTGCAATTCGTTCTCAAGGGTCGCTTTATCCCGTCTGGCGCTTCCGATATCCCCGACGTCAATCCCAAGGACCTGCTCGACATTGACCCAGAGGAAGGCGATGTCGCCGCAATCACCGGCCGCAAGAATGACCGTACCGACGAGAAGCCGATCCAGCCCCCTCTTGCCCATGCCCCGTACTATGCTCGCGATCACGCGCCGAGATACCACGTCTTCCTTGCCGACAGTAAGCAAGGCCGTATCGCAGTCCCACCTTTCACATTCTCTACATTCGACAAGCCCATTCTGGACGAGAGTGGTAACCCGACCTACAATGTACAAACCTTGAAGATGCAATTTGGTGCACCACCTCAGGCTGGCAGCTACACTTTTGTCATGCACATGATCTGCGATAGCTACGTCGGCATGGACACAAAGATGGAAGTCACACTAGTCGTCGAGGATGCTAGCAAGGCCGAACAGGTCGAGGAGGAGGATGAGATTAGCGAACCTGATGAGGGTATGTCTAAAAGTACCACGCGAGTTTGCAACACGACTAACAAGACTCCAGACACAATCGCCGGCCAGATGCGCGCCCTCAAGGGTGGAGAAGCACCGAAGAAGAAGAAGCGTGACGATGACTCGAGCGGCAGTGATACAGAAGGCGACGTTGAGAGCGAGAGCGAGACCGACACTGACACCGACACGGACGACGAGTAGTGTAAATTGGGTTGGAAAATCCTGCAATGCCAACACATGGCTTTTTGAAGGAGCGAAGTCGGATGCACTTACTCGGAATCCCAGCGATTACTCTGCGTCTTTCCCAGAGCTGTTGAAGAGACCGACAGTGTTGCAGCTGAGTCGGCGATTATACCCTGGGGGACTGAGTAGACAAGGGGGTGGCAGATGGCGAGTTTGACGATGGCATTTCACGGCGTTCTTATCACGTACATATGTTCGTGTCGGTAGTTGCATTGTTCTGTTACGATTAGCCTAGGATGAGGATCAGAGGCGTAAATATGATAAATCTTCCTTCTTCAGTCTCCCTCATCGTTTCACTTCGCGTGCTCTGTAAGAATGCTGACACAGTCGCATCTCCGTGTCCAGGTAGTGCGCTTTGGCGTGTTGGCGCCCAAAGTCGTTCGTCTTCCCTGTCTGTAGTCTAAACTCACTGCAGTCTCTGTCGCGCAAGCCGTGTCGCAAGCCGTCTTCTGCCACTCTGGCCTTGAATATGCAGAAAAACTCAGATCTCTCCGAGCAATCCAGTCTTTCCATCTCCACTAGAGACTCAACCACCAAGTTCATTGCTCGCACCAGCCCATGTCGCCCAAGCAATCCCCTTCTCGCCCCTCTTCTCCCGCCACCGATTCGTCGCCCGAAATAGCTCCCAGCAACCCGCCAGCATCACCCTCCACTTCCTCAGAAACTCAGGCGTCACCTCCCACCCCGACGGATCCCACGGGTCCGTCCACACAACAATACCACCCCGACTGCACATGTCCAAGCAGCACTGGGCGTCGTCCAGCAACCCCGCGGCGTCTAGCAGGATCATGTTGTTCCGCAGCGTGGCGTCGGGCAGCAGATCCAGCCACGGGTGGTGCGGCACGGAGCGCTGGATGTGCGTGGGCTGCAGGGGCGCGGGCAGGCCGTCGCGTTGGGGGTGGTAGGTGTACGGGATTGAGAAGGGGGACAGGGCGTCATCGTGCATTTCACTTGCGGTCAGGCCCAGGACTTCGATGTTCACGACGAGAGCGCGGTAGACGTTGAGTTGCGTGAGGCCGAGGAGGATGTCTGTGCGGGGGGAGCGGGCGTTGTAGGCTGTGCGTGCGGCGTTTTCTAGGAGGGAGAGCAGCTGGATGGATGTGTTTGCGTTGGGGCCGATGATCTGGATGTCTTTGAAGCAGTGGGCGGATGCGAGTCTTGCCAGTAATGCCTCGTTGGCGCGGTCCTTGCAGGGGTCCTCTGAGGGTGGTGATATGCTGGGCTTGCCTTTGGATATGCGAAGACGCTCTCCTGCAGTCACCTCAGTATCATACTGGGGGAGTGTGAAAGACACTGTACGCACGTTGTGCTCTCTGGTTGATTCGGTTTTGACGTCGCCGTCGCTCAATCGCGGTTCCCGTGGTTGCCCAGTCTACTTGCGGCACAATGAGAGCTTTTCCAGACATTCTGATAATGCCAATCTACGCATGGCACAACACGATCACTCTAGACTATGCGCATACCCAGATGAAAGAAACTCCCTACAAGACCGTCTCGGCCAACAATGAGGCCGGATTTGGCTCGAGCTCGGAGCTACCCCTTAACACCGAGCTGCTCCGCCACCATCTTCCAAACACCATACTCGAGTAAAGCCGAGTACCTAAAGATTCTACTATCATGGCTCACGTCTCTAGTTCAGCGGCCCAGTCTACTCTAGCCGCCGGCACCGCCCTCGACTGTGCCCAATACTACACCCACCACCCCTCCTCCCTCATTGAGCAACCGCAGCCAAATCAGGCAACAGCTTGGTCGCAAGTTAGTTGCGAGTCCATCGCCGAAAGATTCAGCGTGGACATCGAGCACCTGCTACGCTGGAACCCGAGTCTGAGCCGCAGCGCCTGCGTGCTGCAGCCCGGCGTCAAGTACTGCGTGGTGCAGATCGAGCAGTCGGAGAAACGTAGGCACATCCCTCGCGCTCGCCATCTTGCATGTATTGAAACACACAGCGAGCACAACGTCGCTGGGAGACGAGTCTGGTGATCCGCCGATTTGCACGTTCGACCCGAAGAAGGGCGAGTACGTGTGCCCGGAGCCTCCGATTTGTAGGTTTGATCCGAAGAAGGGGGAGTACGTATGTCCGGAGAGCACGCCTACTGGAGGAGCTGGTCCAGTGGGAGATGAGGATAACTCTGAGTTGAAGTGAGCTTCGCGTGGGTAATGTTTGCTCAGAGTAGTGTTGAAGGACTTCATTGAAAGCATTCACTATTCAAGTCTATCAAGTATTTTTGAAATAAGATGCCAGGATCAACACCATCTGGTCTCTGTAGACATTATTTATTTATTTATTTGTATGTCCTATAATAGGATACTCACCCGATAAGTATTTTAAGACCCCTGCGATGCGACCGCAAGCAGATGATGCAGCCATACCACGCGATAGACATAGACCAGGCTGAGAGCTACATGTCCTTCTGTCAGAGCAGTAGCTCTCAGGCTTGCGGCAGCGTCCTCCAAAATCCACGACTACTCCATACATAAATATCGTTACATGAATGCCATCATATCCTTAGGTGCCGTTGTCACCGCATTCGCTCATCTGACCTCGATCCCATTCGTCGGAGAGCTGGAAAGTTGGAAGAAACGCGTTTCAGCAGCAGCAGCAGCAGCAGCAGCAGCAGCAGCAGCAGCAGCAGCAGCATTAAGTTGCAGAGTCCGCCTCAGCACTGACCTTGTCGGAGCGCTGCACAGTGCCTGAGAATCGACCCGTTCCACCGGGCAACAGACCATCAAACTCCACTGCATGCGCAGCTCCTGCATCGTCCCAACCAACCCGAAGATTCCACCCGGCGTCTAGCGCAGCTAATTCGCGCAAATCAACTTCTTGCACGATCTCCCCAAGATACTGCCACTTGGAACTCATCATCGAAGGCGAGAGCGCGTTGTGGCGCTTCGTGAACACCGCATTGCGCAGAGCAGCCAATGCACCGTTTCCTACTTCGACCGCGGTTTGGTCCACAGCAAGGGCGATATGGGGTAGCTTTGCGTAGCCACATGAAACAAATGAGATCGATTCCAAGCAAGTAGTACGATCGGCGTCAGCCTGAGAAAAATTCGAGCCGAAGTCGGAGAGATTGGTGCCAGGGGAAATTTGGTCGATGATGTCCATCCAAGATCCCGTGCGAGGTCGCGCCTGGAGGATAGAATCGGTGTCGCCGGTGGAGTCATCTGTAAGGCCAGCAGCTGGTGCATTCTGGTTCGCCACGATGGCTTGTAGGAGAGTGACTTGATGTGCAAGATGATTGAGCTGCATCAACATCTGAGCTTGTTGAGACTGCTGTACTAGACTCAGTGGTGCATTGACTTGCGGTTGATGTAAAGCCAACGCCTGTGCGTTCTGCATTTGATGTTGCAGTTGACCTAGTATAGCTTGGAAATGCTGATGTTGCTGCACAGCGGGAGCGTTGGCCTGGATCTGCTGAACTTGAGCAACTAAAATCTGGAGATGATTGTTCAGTGCTTGGCCGTTACCAAGGATTTGGTTTGCAGCAGGTGGGTTGGCGGCGACATTATTGTTGGCATTTGCCATCAAAGCCCCTGCCATCGGCTGCACTGCGCCAGCAAATGGTGCAGGCGCAATATTAGCAGCTTGCGCGTTGCCAGTAGTTTGGAGTAACGCTGTCAGGGAAACGGACTCCAGATTCAATCGCTTCAGAGCGCTTCCATCGTGAATTTTGACAAATTGCAAGAGGGCTGATGGAGTGACCCAGCAATTGCGAAGAGTAAGCTCTTCCAAATGCTGAAAGCGTAATAGGAACCGTTGAAGTATGTTTGCATCTTGTACCGTAGCTGTTTCTAGTGGCGGAAGCGTCAGATCTGCTTGCATGCGAGCTCTCAGCGGTAATATAGGGGCTGGCATCAGGAGCTTGTTCCTCGCATGGGATCCTTCCGCGTGTTCTCCACTCGCAGTGTATCCGATCGTTAGCTTTGTAATTCTCGATCGTGGAGCCACCTGTGCTTCCAGAAGTTTACGAAAAGTGTCGACGTGACCAGTTGGATCCACCCTTGGTGCTGCGACAAAGCCAGCTTCGTCCTTCTCCACTGTTCTCCAGCCCGGTATGACCATCAGAGTAACATTTTCCAAGCAAGGCAATGCTTCCCAGAAGTCAGTACGATTGAGCATTGAGACGTAGCGGTCTGACAAGCTAGAGATGTTAAGGGTGTGTATTGCTGCGAAAGTGGTCTGATTATCGATAATGGAAAGCATGTAGGAAGACATGAATGCGCGTTGAGCCCATTCGGTTTCAAGAAGCCACTCCTTCTGAGCGTTAGATAATTTTGCGGGTACAACGGGGCTCAGAATCTGCGCAGCGTCGTTGTGATGTGATGTTGTACTGGTGAAGAGCACCCCGACATTGGCAGAAGGCGAAGCCAAGACATGATGATCGCGCATCTCAGAATCACCCTTGGAGTGTGGAAGGGAAGAGTCGGTGGCGTCGTGCGGTAGTGCTTCATATGGGATATTGGCGTCCAAGAATGGTAGACTCGGCTGAGTCGTGGCCATCATTTTAGCTTCTTGAGCTTCAGTCCAAGGCCGTGTGCCTTCAAATCGAAATAGTGAGGCAAGACGGATATCTTCTCCTGCGCTAGCATGCATAGATTCAATGTGATTCCACAGCTCACGCTGGGCTTGCGTACGGCGATCTGGGATATGCTGACGAGATCCGAAAATACTTGGTGATGTTTGCAGAATACGAGCGCGAATAGACCGATCGGGGCCATTCAGCCATCCAAGGCCACTATCGACAGACAGGGCGAGTTCCTTGACCTTGGTGAGTTCTGAGAAGGCAGTCTTCATTCGCGGTGTTTCGTCAGCTGCAAACTCGAGACCGGCGACAGCTTCAAATCTTCGATATTCTTCAAAAGGCCATTCATAGTTTCCCCAGAAGCTGGTCTTTTCTTCTGTAACCGGCTTGAGAGGAGGGGCAGAGAGCGAGTCCTCGCTCACCACAAAGCTCATGCCATACCTAAGAATGTGTCGGCCGAAACCGCGGAAGACGTCAAGACCGTGACCATTGTAGACTTCGTCGCCGTTAGCGTTCTTCCAACAATATTCTGGTCTGCTAATCTTGGCACGCTTCTTGCCCTTGCGATCAGCCTTTGGTTCTTGCCCAAGCATACCGTATATCTCGGTGTTGAAGGGCACAACGACTGTCTTGAACGCAGCTTGAGAGGTGTACTCATTCAACTCACGGCTCACCAGCCGGAGAGCTTTGATGTCATCACGGTTGAGATACTCGATGATGTGCTCTACAAGCTCCACGGGAAGTTGCCAAAAGGGGCGTCCATTACAGGGTCCAGCTGTGAGCTGTGAAGTTGGCGCATCTGGAGCCTGCCCACGAAGTTCGTATCTGTTCTGCGTAACTGCCTGTGGCCGTTCATTGGGTGTATTGGCTGCGGGCGCCTTCCGGTTCACGTTCAGTATAGAATAATGCGCCGGTAGCCGTGCTTTGTTGCGGAAGTCGGGCCAAATGTCATTTGCATTATGATCTGGCTCTGTAGTACGGTAGAGCAACGCGGTGACCGCTCCGTGTTTTTTCAAGACATTTGATAAGTCATCCTGATCTTCACGTTCAGACTTATCCCTTGCTCTTTTTGACGATCCGCTCACTGTGTGGTGCGACTGGTCAGAATCTTCCGGGAATAGTGATCTGAATTGCTTGTATATGCTGGTAGCGTGCTCGGAGTCGTAGTTGTCAAAAGATTCATTCATTTGTACGTAAGCTTCAAAGCTCGTCTGGGTTTCTGGTGACCTGGACGTCCCCGAGAACGAAGTGAGAGTGTTTGGTCTCATGCGCGCATGCAGTAGTGAACTGCTCGCGTTGTTGCGAAGCAAGTTGTCTTCCAGTAGGTCGTGTTCCAAAGCGATAGAGAGGTCGGTCTCGTGTTGAGACAGTGCAGGCGCACCCTCAACACCAGAGCTGGCTCTCATGGGAGAGAGATTTCGGCGGGAAGGAGACCCAACAGCTGAGTCTATTCCCCTCCTTGAAAGAGCCCTCACAGAGGACTGACCGAGTCGTGTTCGATGATGGTTGCGTGCGGACAGATCAGGTTGAGACGCGATATTCTGGTTTGCGGTAGTAGAGTCTTCGGCAGTCGCGTATGTAACGGAGGACGTATACGCAGGACCTGAGTCGATAGTGTGTGGGGAAGAGAGTACTGGGCGGGTTCTTGTACTACGGCGGCGGATTGGTTGGGGCCGCTAGTTCGTCAGTCTTCGGTACTGTAAGTGGAAGTGAGGTGAACGGCAGTTGAGGGTCGTCCGTTACTGGTCGTTGAGAAGCAGTAACGTGTGCGGTGGACCCTGGGTTTTACACGTACCTGATTTGACCCGTTTGCTGCTGCCTCGCGTTCGCTCTCACCGCCGGGTTCACGATCACGGTGACTCCTCAGCGTCCTGAGCCGAGCGTTAACTTGCTCTTGTAACGCGGGAGGTTTTTCGTTCCTGTCCATATCGAATCCTGCAGGTTGGGGGTCGTCGCGTCAATAGCCCGTACGGTAGTCTCTGCGACGCGTGTCTCGGCTGGTCAAACAATGGAACGGTGTGGCGGGTATGCCAATGACTAGATTCCAGAGATATGGAGCGATCTGGCTCCGATAAGTACTGGCTGGGAAGCAGGACCTGTCATCGATCTCATTAATCTGGTGAGCGTGAACTTGAAGGTACAGGCGAGTCGCGATTTCCCAAGCTCCGCAAGCTTCCCCACCCGGGCGCTAGATCTGCCGCTAGTGCTGCGGGAGCTGCGCCGTGCCACTTAACTTGGCCCCAATTCAAGGCTGCTTGAATACCTATGCACGGTTTTCCTGCCTCAAATATGCAGGTTCTTCTTGCTGTATCTTGCCGACATTCTTAGCTTGTCTGGTGGCTTTGGTCTTCACAACGTGAACCCACTAGCGTGTACCCTTTCCGTTTGCTGTCAGGTAATGCCATGTGCGCCATCATAATACTTGGCAAACGACGTCAATGTCGCAAGGATATTGTCCGGAGCAACGGTAATCCATTTCTTAATGCAATCAGCACGTCTTGAAGGACAGAGCGTGATATTGAATGTACAGCGTTATTGATGTGGGTCCGGCAGCGCTGATCTCCAGGCAGCAACTTTGTTACTTTAGAAGCTCGACGCTGGTCACCAGCAATTAACACTTTCTCCTTCGACACACTCAACCTCACACGAAATCAATTCAATATAACAGCAACTATGTCTACTCTGATGGCAATACCGCGAGAATTGAGAGAAGAGATCATTCGCTATCTCACCCTGCCAGGAACAGTTTACACGTCCAGTGCCCAGGCGAACACGCAAGCACTTCATCAGCCTGGTTCTAGAAAGTCGGAGGAGACATACATCGATACGAGAATCTTTCTCCCTTCACGTCCGCCAGCGAATATCTTGTCCACATGTAAACAGCTGCGACAGGAAAGCCTGGAGCATCATGCCCACTGGCTCAACTCTTCTGCAGCATTCGAGATTGCCGACTCTAACGTCGGACCAGCCAACAGCACGAAGATCGCGGAACGATCTGGTACAGAGTTTGACGAAGCGGCTGAACGAGCTGGTGATGATGGTGTGACTCTTCGCTTCACCCTGGAGGTCCAGAGGGGACTGCGTGGTCCGTTCGGCTTTTTTGTACCTGTCCGCAAAGAACTGTCGCCTCGCTTCTCAGCGCTACTGCCCCTTATGAAGTCCGCACGCAGGCTGAAGATTGTCGTTATTCCGGGCTTCGACTGGTGGAGCGGAGGGCCAAAGACCTCGCCATTGGAACAGTGGAGGCAACGGAAGGCCCTTCTCAAGCGTGCCAATGCCTACCAAGTCGGCCACACCGAACAGCCCACCCAGGCCGAAGCCATCGAAACCGGCGAGCCCTCTCAGCCGAGATTAGACGCCGTGTCTGTTGCTATCGGGAAACTCCTGGATCAGCTGCCAGCGGTTGAAGAGCTGAAACTCGATGTTCTCATCGCGACGGGCGACCTATTCAGATGGGACTTGCCAGACGCAAAGTGGGAGAATATTCAGCCTTGGCTAGACAGCCCTATCAGCATGAGCGGGGGCGGGCAACTGATCAAGGTCTCGAGAACGCTAATGACCATCTGGCATAAACCAGAGACCGAGGTCGCAAGTTGCCAGCCGTTCTATGTACAGAAAGAGAACCGCAGCGATATTTCGGGCAACAAGTGGCTTGTCAAAAGGGAAGCTGGCCTGCGCGCTGTAAGTGGAGTACGACATTTGACACTTTGTAACTTCTACTAACTGAAAATAAGCCCTTGTTTGAGCATATTGCGCACCTGACTGTTTACGAGCTACCTGAGATCAGTGTCAATGAAGTCTTTGAGCGTATTGACCCGTAACGCCTTCGGCAGAATGCCGTAAAGCGAATCAGTCTTTCTCCAATGACATATAGTCCATTTATGGAAATACCCCGTCTACCTAATCTAATGTCGGAGAAACTAGACCTTCAATGGGATCGCGTCTGTGTGTCATTAAGCTCTTAATCAAGCATCGGGCAATTGTTTCAGACATGTGGGGCAGCCCTGCCACTTCGAACCATTACCTCGGAACACCAACCCTACGAGCCCACAACATAGAAGATACCGTGCGCACCTTGTCACCTATCAAACGAACCTTGATGCTAACGGGAAGCACCAGATCTGGCCATGGACCAACGCCGGCTACGTAGTGTTTCCCCGAAATCACTATGTTACGCAATGACCAAACTCAGTAGTGAAGGCTGCGTCCAACTACCTACTCGTATGTACAATCTCTAGCTTCCGAGTTCCATATTAGATGGTGATTGAGGAAGTCATCTGGAGAGAGAGACTTGCCGAAAACAATCAGGGGTTGTTTCCATGTACATCGAGACCGTTGCCGGGATGTATCCACTTTGATTTCCCCGAGAGCACGTTGTCATTACTCCTCTTTTCATTTCCTTTAGTGGCCTGTAGACGGCAACATGAAGATGTACTTAAAGTACCACAAGCTTTCCCAAGCCTTCCCAACTCACACTCTGTCTCATCCATTCATTCATTCATTCATTCAACCTACAGTCACATCCTTCCCAACCTCACCAATATGAAGTTCTCCACAATCTTTGCTTTTGCCAGCACTGCTGCCTTTGCCGTCGCAGCACCGGCTTCTGTCGTCTCCAAGCGCGCCGACTACTGTGGTCAGTGGGACAACCAGATTCAGGGACCCTACACCATCTACAACAACCTCTGGGGACGCGACGCGGCCACCTCTGGCAGCCAGTGCACTGGTGTTGATGGACTCAGCGGCAGCACCCTCAAGTGGCACACTAAGTGGTCATGGGCTGGCGGGTAAGAAAGGTCGCAACAGTGTTCTATGTGTAGTGTTAATTATTTCCAGTGCCGGACACGTAAAGTCATACGCCAACGTCGTGACTAAGATTAGCCAAAAGTCACTCTCCTCCATCAAGTCGCTGCGCTCAGTCTGGACCTGGAGCTACAGCGGCTCCAACCTCATCGCCAACGTCTCTTACGATCTGTTCACTGGCAAGACCGCCACCGGTACCCAGGAGTACGAGGTCATGATCTGGATGGCCGCTCTTGGCGGCGCCGGCCCGATCTCGACCACCGGCAAGCCTATTGCTACCCCCACGATCGGAGGCAAGCAGTACAACTTGTACAAGGGCCCTAACGGCCAGATGACTGTCTTCTCGTTCGTTGCCGTGTCCCAGATCAAGAGCTTCAACGGCGACCTCAACGAGTTCCTCGTCTACCTCCGTAACAGCCAGGGCCTGCCCAGCACCCAGATTCTTCAGTCTGTTGGTGCCGGAACTGAGCCTTTCTCTGGTTCCAACGCTGTCATGACAACCACTGCCTTCTCCATGACCCAGCAGTAGAGGATTTGTGGGACAGATATGATGGTGGAATTTGCAAATTGTCGGAAGTCGTATTTCGATGTTCAGTAACTCTCCATCAAAAGTGGTGTTTCGATTCCAAGTACATACTTTACCCTTACAGCGTGGATACGCTACGCTGTCAGCTATGAGAATACATTTTTCCGCCCTTCGCAATCAGCATCAATGTAGCCTAACCATGAAAGATCATATATGTGAGATGAGTGGCAAAACCACTAAAGACTATTCGGAGATTAAGGCCCATTCGAAGTGATGCTAATTGTGTCCGGGGGATGACGTCATTGGACCTTCGCGAGTTCAATCTGGCGAGCGAGACTGGCGTACCTAAACGTTTGCGCGTTCAGAATCAGACCCAACATCGTCTCGTACGGATTTCTTCTCCGGAACGTAACCTTCAGCTCCGACATGTTCAATACCTACTTTGCGCACGACCAGAAATCCCAAGGGCAAGGCAATGCCCCACCATGCCATAATGAGACCGGCTGAAACGATGGGTGCAGTTCTGGTAGAGCTGATACCGCTTGCGATGCACTGTCCAGCAGCTTCTACACCTCTCGCGACGCTTGTGTACCTGACCACCTCCGCTGGCTTCTTAGCAAGGAAGCTCATCAGCCAGTAACCGTAATTGTATGTCAACGCAAACTCCACCTGCTGGAACACGTATAGGGCCCAGCCTTCACCGAACTGTCTGTCTGCCCAGTCAAGTGCCGGCTTGTTCCTTTGATACTTTTGTTGGATAACGATGGCCCATATCCATATTCCACCACTCAACGCCATCATGCCAAGGAAGCCAAAGCGAGCTCGCTGGTTTATTGACAAGCGTTTCCAGTCCAGGAATGATCCCATGATGCCTGTAGCAACGACTTGAGCGAGCGCTGTTACAAGCGAAGCAAGAGCTCGAGATCTGACTGAGAAGTATAGCGACATGTAAGATCCGATGTAAGGTAGCGACCATGTAACGTAGCAAAAGTAGGGAACCCTAGAGAGTCAGGGATAACACAAATGACCTTTTTCGGATAACTCACAGAAGCAACATTTCCTTTCGAAGCAGTAATTTTAATGTTTCCTTTATCTCGACCTTGGCTGGGACCTTGGGAATGGCCTTGACTTTGGTACCGTTCTTACGCTGAACCTTATCAGGGTTAGACAGTAGCAGCGCAACGGCCGGGCCCAGACATTCTAGAACCTTGAGTCAGATTTGTATCTTCAGAAGCAGGAGGAGGTTTGTGCTTACGGAGCACGACAAACACGATGTAAGTTTTCCAGTTCAGTTTGCCAAGACTCCTTCCACTGTAGTTGAACGCAAGATTGATCGCGCCTCCCAAGATTGCGCCGCTATTACGGTACGCGAGCCAGTACGCAAGGTATCTACCGCGGCTCTCAGGTGGTGGGTAGCTTAGCATGATTGCGCCCTCCGCCGCCCAGAAGAAGCCAGCGGTGATGCCGCACGCAGCAGAGCCAAGGTAAATGAACCATTGCGTGCCGTATCTGTTGTTTTGGTACAGCGCAGCAGAGTAGAGAGCATATCCGGTAGTCCCTATTGCCATTGTGTGTCGTAGACCGATATGGTTGATGAGTACGGATCCGCTCAAGCAGGTAAATGTCATGAGAGTGAAGAGAACTGCATTTCCGGCCCTTTATTGGTAAGTTCACTTTCAGTCTTGACAGAAGTTGAGATGCCTACATTACTAGGTATGGTGTTTGCTGACCACCCGCTCCGACAGACTGCATCGCATTCCATAGTCCAGGCGCAGCAAATGCGCAGAGACCCACTACAGTGGCTTGGAAGAAAACACCTCTGTACCAAAGATATGGGCCAGCATCTTCGATCGAAAGACTAGCTGTCTGCTGTTGCTTTTCAGTAACGGAGAGGCGCTTGATAGCTTCTGCCATAATGAATCAAGGCCACTCGAGGACGCCTCAGAACAGAGGCTAGGTAGGACTCGGGGCAGTTTGAAGCTGCCGGAAAGGTAACAAGATACTGCACAATGCATACCTGCTCTCTTCTTCAATGTTGAATATCGATACCTGGATTGACGCTACACATGACGTGCTTTAAAGGATTTCTGGGTGATCAGGAAAGCCAATGTAGCTCCGATCATCGCTGTTATCTTAATTGGCTAACGAAACTAGAACTTCGACAAGAAACTGGAGTAAGGGGAAACTGACGGCAATAGATCAGCATCTCTGCACGTGGCTTATGGATCCTGGCCAATTCACTGGTTAGTGCTCCACGCTATACTCGTTTAAGCAATTTTTGAATGCTTGTTCCGATCAAGCTTTCAAGAGTGGGACGGCTATGCATCACATCATCACAGCCTAGCATTGCGTTTCATCTCGCATCGAGGGTTGCTGCCTATCAGACGTGTCTAGTCCATTGTTGGTCAATCTTGCGCAACACCATCGGCTGTCGGAAAAAGAGAGGCGTTATTCATCGGGTCGGCAAATATTCAACACTGAGCACCCTTCGCATAGGGATTCTGCATATCGAATTCGCCCTGCACATGTCATCTTGCACTTCGCTACTTCTCCCTCGAAAATAACTGCGTTGCTTGAGAGTTTCCACGATGGCTGTATCGCTTGAGAACTTCGAAGTTGTTCGAATCAGTGGACAGCAACAGACCTCGTCATTTGGTTACATTGAAGACTATCCTTTTCCGTTGGCATTGCAGACACGAAGAGGATGGAAGCCAAGCCTAGAAGAAGCAGTATCGCATCTAGAGTCGATAAGCGCAACAGGAGCGGTTTTTGACCTGGTAAAACGACACGGTGGGGCTGTCTTGATTCGAGGGCTTCCAATCGAGAACGCAGAGGGCTATAGTCGTATTGCCCATGCCTTCGGACTCGAACCTCATGAAGAAGTCGGACGTCCACCTATCCGCACTGTTCTCGCAAAAAACGTAAAGACCGCGAACGAAGGCCCGCCGGAACTACCGATCTGGCCACACAATGAGTACGGGTGGTCGACGCATAACCCTGCATGGCTGACCTTCTCTTGTCTCCAAGTGCCCGAAACCGGTGGCGCGACACCAGTCATATCGAGCATCGGCCTCGCCCGCAAGCTCAAATCGTTGGCACCCGGCTTTTACCAGCAACTGCTAGAGAAAGGAGTGCGATACATTTACAGATATGGTCGACAGCAAGTGACCTCAACGACCGGTGCGAGTGTCTTCGCTGCATACGGCCAGTACATTGCAGAAGGAGACAGTGAAGCCACAATACGCCAGAAAATCGAAACTGAGGTCAAGCGCCACAGCAGCTTGTTCCAATGGCATGACGACGGTAGTCTGAGCGTGACACACATCGTGCCCATCATCCGCCAGCATGTCTCTACGGGCCTGACAACTTGGTTCGGCAACCTGACTTCCGCGTACGGTCGCTCGCGCCACCATGGCGCAACGGAACCCCCGTTCCGTGGAGACGATGGCTCGTATCATCCGCTACCAACATATGGAGATGGCTCGCCCATCGCGACTGCCGAATTGGAACTCGCGCTGAATCTTGCAGAGAAGCTACAGGTCGATTTGCATTGGCAGAAGGGTGATATCGTACTTATTGACAACTATGTTGTTATGCATTCAAGGAAGCCTTGGGTCGGGGACAGGGTGGTTCTTGCAGCGCTGTGGGATCAAGAGGGCAGGATTGCAGATCTTGCGGAAGGAGAACGGCTACACGAGTGGAAAGAATCTCTTGATCAAAAGAGTGTGGACATCAGTACGCCTTGAAATCCGAAGGCTCCTATAGCATACACGCTGTAGCGATACACATACGAATGCGATACCAAACGGTTTCGTTTATCTTCACCATAGCTCCTCCTCTCAAAGAATTCCTGGCAATACGGAAATCAAGCAACAGGTATCAAGCACTGCTGACGAGTATACTTCTGACGGACGATAGCCACAACTTCAACTTCGACGGGCGGGTGCATCAGTACCTTTCTGCAATCAGGGATCATGATCCTACACAATGCCCCAGCCATGACGCTATAATCATGACAAAATAAGCAACCACTGTACTAACGAATTCGGGGTAAGAAGAACTCATCGATGTAGCAGTATCTTTCTCGATATAATGTGATCTTTAATTTTCTCTCCGCACTGGTTTATAACTTAGTATGAAACGAACGACGAATTCTACATGCGACGTGATTCTGGTGCAAGGTCGGCGGTTTTTGTATCTGAGAGCAATGAGAAGCGAGAAAGGAATTTTGTAAAACATCAGTGAGTAACTTCTAGCGGGTTGAGAACCTAAGTCAAGGTTCCGATATCTTTCGTATTTGTTCAAACAATCAACGATTGCGAGCGTCCTTTGTTTGTGACAAACGAAGGAGGCTTCTTCTGCGTATATAAAACCCCCACTTTCCAATTCCAACAATCCAGTAAGACAACTAACATGAGCAGCTTAGGATCGAGAGACTATACACCGGCTCATCTGAGCCTGGTGGGCCACTCTGATGTTCCAGCTGGCCAGTCTTGCCAGTCAACTGATGCATCAACCCCAGAAGAGTTAGTTCGTCAACGTCTGACAGACATCCCTAGGCTATCCCAGCAAGTCGAGTTGAGCCCGGAGCCAATTCCCAGCGCAGTTCTAGACTCAGCCTCTGATGCCTCGACCATAACGTCAACCACTGACCACCCTGACATGAATACCTTGCACAACTCTTTCGCAGCAGCAGCAGCTCGTCGTGCATGTGCACGTGCGCGCGAACAAGAACAGGACGATGTTCAAGCTAATGGCTCACAAAGCTATACTGCTCATGATCAACGTTCAACTCAGCTTGGTGACGACTCGGAGTCTGTTCGATCCTCAATCCACGACACTCCGGCACGATACTATTCTCCACTCGAAGTTGAGACTGCAAGCAGTCGCAATATTCAGAATGTAGCAACACACGACCACGACCTCCAGGGTGAAACTCCTGGGCAAATTCATCAGGGCCCAGCTTCTCCCTCTAACCCTATGGCACCATGCCTGCCGCAGTTCTACAGCAGTGCAGCACCAGAGCAGGCATCCGTGCTTGAAGATATCTTACAAGACTACCTTGAAAATGACTCAGAGCCATCGGACACCGGAGCTACTGTAAGCGCACCCTCTGATATTACCACTTATGATTACTTACCATCTTCACCGATTCTTCATGCCCGATCTCGTGGCAACCGTCGCGTGCACATACCGCAACCGGACTTCCAAGCTATGCCTAGCTATCCATCGAGACTTGCCCCACAGACTATGCATGCAGAGCATGATTCAGAAGGACTGCCGCCTCGCCCTGAGCCTGGTGCAACCACAACTATAGATCGTTTCCAACGACGTTTTAGGAGCGTATTTAGTCGCAGCAACCCGGCCGTCGACGAAGGTATGGAGCTGAGCACGCTCTCTCGCGCATCAGTGAGCTATCCAAGGCTTTTCAGAGATGGTGAAGCAGCTGCGATGCGGACCCAGGAGCAGGAGCAACAGCGTGAAAACGATGGTCTGCAGATCGAGACGCAGCAGACTCAGCAGCAGCACGTCTCTATCTGGATTTGGCTGGGCTTCGTTCTCGGAGGACTTGCCATGTTCGTGTTGATATATTCCTTGGTGACTTGGTACGGACGTTGAAGTGATGGAGAAAGGATGGCTCAAAGCGAGGTGTCTGGCATTCAGGTCGATGAACTCAATGATCAATATGCATAGTCTGGGTACTTTCTTTTGTTTCGCGCTTACTTCAACTACACCGTAGCGATGTTATGGCGATTGAAATCCAATGTCAGCATCTCCTCTACCAACATGTTAAGAAAGAGGTACATGCTACCGTCTTCGGATTATTGTGAGTATCTGCTCAATCAAATGCCGAATATGGAACAAGTCTTGACGTGGTCGACTCTCCGTTCGCGTGGCTGCGTTCGAAAATTTTAAAGCATACCTACCTGGGCACCTACTTTAATGCTCATAAATGAAATGTTCGGAATGTATCTAGTTTGGCGCAGGATCAGACTACCAGAAAGGTCCACAGGCGAGCAAGCTCCTTTATTAGTTAGAGGACTTATTTGCTGCACATGAGCACGTCCGATCGGCCAGTTGGCACTTTAGTGGAAGGATCCAACCCACCTTTATCGCGACCGATAGGCTACAAAATTGCAACTAGATTACTCCATTCATCTTAGAAAGAGAGCGCCCTCTTGGTTGTTGCTGTATCTTGCCAAGTGGCAGATTGGATATGCCTGAGTGCAGTAGGATATAAACAAGCTGTTGAGGCGAGGGGTAAGAGGGTAAGGCATTGTTGACCTAACCGCGAATAGAAGCTATACCTAGCTTAGTGGTGATATCATCGTCATAACTATAGACTACCCTGGTGGGTACATCAGGGCCTTTTGTACCCACCTAGTACATTAACTAATACTTCCCATGTGGGAGTTTCCGTGGCTTCCCGTGGCCTTCCGCTCTACGGAACGGGTACGTCTTGGACGACCCGCACATATCAGTCACCATTAGGTATATGCGATTCCGATGCTGCGCTGCATAACAGCTGCTTACAGTCTTCGGAGAAATTTAAGCTCACAGACGCATGATCAGGGTTCGTTCAATCTGCAGAGTTAAAACATTCCCCCTTAAGTTCTGAATCCCCGTCAGGATACGCCACGCTGGCACTACCCTGACATGAAACCCCCAGCGCTTTCGTCAGAGGTCCGATAACAGTGGAGCATGAAGTGATCGTCTTTATGGCGGACGTGGATGCGTGCAGGTTCCGGTACTAAATCCTGGAGTATAAGAAGCTCGACGTTTTTGAGAGAAAAACAACAAACCATCTCACTGTGATTCTCTGTCTACATTAGCAGAACTCTCATAGACTAGTGGATACCCGCTGCTGATTATTCCCTACCTGTAAACTTTCACTTTTCCTTGGCTCCGTTTCATCTACTAAATCAGAAAGGCTGCACTCGCGTCCTCCCGTTATCTGACCATGGCTCTCCCACCGGAGGCCGGCCTCGAGTTCGTCGGCAGTGATAACCTCCACAATGATATCTATCCTGCGATCGATGTCGCCAAATCCAGCCACCTTCAACAGCCTGGAAAAGTCGTCTTGATCACCGGAGCGGGCCGCGGCATCGGACGAGCCATGGCGATTCAATACGCGCTTGCAAATGTCAGTACCATCGTGCTCACCGCACGAACCGGGAGCGAACTTGATGAGGTGGAAGCTCGTATCAAAGAATCAAACCCGAAAGTGACCGTGAGGAAAGAGGTGTTCAGCGTAACAGACGGCCACGCGATCAAAGAACTTGCGCAGCGAATCGAACAAGACTTTGGACGTCTTGATATCTTGATAAACAACGCGGGTCTCACTCATGCCTGGGAGCCGATTCTTGACACAGACCCGGAAGTTTACTGGCAGGTGCTAGAAGTCAATCTTCACGGACCACTCCTTACCACTCATGCCTTTTTGCCTCTGCTAGTCAAGACCGCGGAAGCACACTCTACGCACGTCAACCTCATCAACATCACGTCGCTTGGAGCTATCACAGTCGTGCCGGGCGGTAGCTCGTACGGAATTTCTAAGCTCGGCCTGCAGAAGTTGAGCGAGTTCGTTGGGGTGGAGTACGGTGCAAAGGGAGTTAACGTGACCGGCATACACCCTGGGGGTGTTGCTACAAAACTGTCAGACGGAATTAGCCAAGTCCAACACCGTGAGTTACATGTGGCCGGCAGTGGCATAGGAGAATACGCTGACTCATGCAGTTGTGACCGAAACGACTGAGCTTTGTGGTGGATTCGTTGTATGGCTGAGTAACCAAGACCGAGCGTGGTTGAATGGGAGGTATGTTCAAGAACACACGGCATTGGAATCATGAGAATTGACAATTTTGCAGGTATCTTAGTGCCACGTGGGACGTAGAAGCCTTGGAAAATATGAAGGAGGAGATCGTCAAAGGGGATAAGCTGAAGGTCAAGATGGTCATCTGAAGTATTCAATGAGGACGATTGTGACATCTTAGTCTCATCACAGTGGCGCCTCTGGAGATTATGTCCCGAAGAGTAAGACATTGGTACAAGTGATGACGAGAAGTTGGCGTATGGAAGTGTTGTACAGAGTTCGTCGCTGTGTAAGAATTACAATACCTGCCAAGCTATAGCTTATCAATCATCATACATACGCACGGTTAGGTCGAGGTTACAGTCATGTAACAAGAAAGAGTTCTCTGGGATTCAATCAGACACTAAGATAACAACATGACCCTGCGTACAGGATTTACTGCGCCATAACACCCTCCCAACCTCGGTCATATCCATGATCTCCTCGGAACAATTATCCTGGACTCGCTGACTTCGTATCTCGACATCCAATAACAGCTATCAGTGCTCATGGCTCATACGCCTTAGGCACGTAGTTCAACTCACTCACACTCCCCTCCTCCGTCCCACCGGTCTTCCGTGCTTGCCTCGCGGCATACTTGTCCGCGCACCAACACACGAAACTGAGCACCATACTGGCACCCAACAACAGAAATGTAATCAGAGTACCGTAAAGTGCGAACCGGCTCTCGCGACAGAGGGCACCGAAGTTGCTGTTGCCCATGTTTGCCGGCAGCGACATGTCCTGCTTCAATGGCGACGAGTGCTGGTAATTGCATGCCCAGGTCTGAATGGTGTCGACCTCGGGGGCCTGGCGGTTGAGGATGTGTGCCCAGATTGTTGTGATGAGGGTCAAGAGGAGGGAAGGGAGAGTTGTCGCGAGGCTGAGCGCTGCACGAAGAGTGTGCTTTTGGTTCAGCTGCAGCTATTGACTGTTAGCTGATTGTTTCTACAGCTTTGTGTTTGACCTGTTGGAGGTGACTTACGCTAGGGAGGAAAGAAGCAATAAGGAAGGCGCTGGAGAGTACGAGTGCGATCACCGATGATGCGATGAGAGCTTTTGTTCCGTGGGTGTCGAAGTGTTGCGGCCACATAGGGAGCCACCAAGGATTGGAGGTTTGTTGCTTGTTGAATACATCGAGTGTGTGCGCGCTAGTACCGAGAATTGTGATGCTGAAAATGATAACAAGAGATGTGATAACCGTCTGAGCAAGGTGGAGGGGCGCCGGGTTGATCTTCATTGTGCTGGCGTTACAAGATGATCTTTTTGCGGCAGTCGGTGTGAATTTGTAGTTGAACAACGGGAACTGGTGAATATGAAAACGCAAAGGATGAGTGTGTAGCAATAGTCTGTACAGAAATGCCTGACCCTTGAAACAAATGAAGGACGAGAAATAGGAGCTGTCTTTGTGTGCCTGAATATTAGTGATTTGAGGGGGGTTGACCATGCTTTAAACGAAGTGGTTGCAGTCATTGTTTCAAGCCAATCAGTACCCCATGCGGATATGTCAAGTCCCAAAATAGCGATAAATGATGTCCATCTGCGTTACCGCTCACCCAAAATCGAGGCTCTGCGGTTGGCGATGCAGTTCGAACTCGTCAGCGCGTAGGCGCATGTCGGCACCAAGCAGGAAGCTTATGAGTTCAGATTGCAGCCGATAATGCCAAAAGGGGCCATTTAGCAGCATTGACTCTGGGGGGTCTAAAGAAAAGCATGTGATTCGTCCATGGGGTAGTTTGTGTGCTGTAGTTAAGCACCATGGCTGTCGTGTCGCTCCGCTTGTAGCGCAGGCTAGAATGAATCTGGTTGCCGACATAAAGAGCGCTCGGGGTGTCAACCAATGAAAGTAAATAGACGCTTGCCTGCGAGCGCTGTCGATCTTCTGAAACAATACTGTGCATGGACAGCGCTTCGGGGGCTGTAAGCAAGGATGCAAAGCTCAGCGCTTAAGGATAGTGGGCTCTGGTTGACGCTGCGTTACGATTGGCTAGTCGAGTCGCACCAAAAAGCCTACCCCATCTACCTACATTCGGCTCATCTATAAGCGAAACGCTTCTGATAATTGAGAGAAGAGGAGATACTGTTCAGGCATAAAAGTATCAATCGAACTTGGAAGTTGCGTTGAAATGTCTATACATGTCAGTTACGCCATCCAGATGCTGCAAAGCTCGCGCTCCAACGCAAAAGTGAACATGAAAGTCAAGCTTAGCCGAACGCCCGTGTTGCTGCCCTTGGACGGCGGGGTGCTGCGAACATATGCAGCTTCTATAGTTGACCAGTTATTCCGCCACCATTCCCGCCGAACCATCGCCGTCTTCCAGATCCCTGCGGCACGGGTGCCTTACCCTTCTTCGCCGCCTGCAGGGGGTGTTCCTTCTCCCATTTCTCATCAGCCTTGAAAGCGGATATGGCGTTCTCGAGGTTATAATTCGCTTGCTCGAGGTAAAGAACCGCGACATCATACCTACACAATAGTCAGCGCTTATTCCTCTTTGGCGGTGCACGAAATGCACAACGTAGGACATACTCAGCGACTTTACACCCTACCATGAACTTTCTCAACTTGGTTTTCTTGATCTCCTCCTCCTCGCCTTCCAACGGCCGAGGACTGAGACTAACCCCGCCCTTGTAATATTCTCCTGGTATCAATATGGTCCTCCGCGCCGCTAACAGATGGTCTGCAAACATCTTGTTTGTCCGCCGCAAGACGTCTGGAGGCACGCCGTAAGCGAGCGACAACGATGCTATCGAGTCGTTGTTCTGGTCGACGAAGTGCAGGACATCAGGCGCATTCTCTATGCTCGCAGGTTTCTCTGGTGGCGGCTGTAGGGCATTGTGCGCTGTGTATGCCGGCAGCTCATCGTCTACTTGCTCGTTGGGATGTGGCGTGTAGGTAGGAGGATCGCGTAGGCCTTGCGCTGGCAGCGGAGAAGGACCGGTTGATATCTGGCAGTACGGACAGTAATTGGCGAATCGAGGGTTGTCAGTCAAGCAGCGAGCGCAAATGGCACGCCCGCAGCAATCGAGCCGACGCTCGTATTGCGACGGCTTCTCTGTCTTTTCATCGTAGGTTGGAGGAATAGACGACAGCAATGTTGCGCAGGTACAGCATGCTTCAGACGAGCTGTATTCCCTCATGATGGAATAGAATACTTGACAATAGGAAGTCTAGCATTTGTGAAGGTGCCGGGAGGCAAAGGCGCTCTTGAGAGATAGCACGTCATGACTAAGGATGCGGGAGCACGTGAGTATGGCGATAGTGTGGCAAATACCTAGCTGAATGTCGTTTGTATGTCACATGTACGATGCACGAGTATGATTGCTCTTGTTACCAGTTTGCCTATCATTAGATATGGTGGTGGTGGTGGTGATGTTCAGGGCCGAGGGATACGATGATTAGGCCTAAGGCTCCACCGCGGAAAGCCCTCCACGCTCAGACCACGCCAAGGCCACTTGCTAACCGAGCGTCAAATTGATGTCGCGAACTTTTCAACCGCCGGCCACGCTCGTCTTTCTCTACCCCATCCGCATCCTTACGAGGTATGATATGACTATTCCATTGAGTGCCCTTCAGAGAGCCAGGGGAAGCAATCGCGCCCGTCCGAAAGGATAGGCCTGACACTGCTCCCCTCTGCGACAAGAGCTGAAGAACCCTCCAAAGCTGCTGGCTGAGGGCACTCTCCATGCTCTGGCATCTGGAGGCTAACCACAATTTCTGCACAGATACCTCAGTCGCCCCTCGCCATTGAGAATCTTCGATAAACCGCCAAAATGGTCAAGACCTCCGTCCTCAACGATGCGCTCAACGCCATCAACAACGCCGAGAAGGCCGGCAAGCGCCAGGTCATGATCCGCCCTGCCTCCAAGGTCATCGTCAAGTTCTTGACCGTCATGCAGCGTCACGGTACGTCGAATTCCTCTTGTTGCGCATACATCTGGTTCTTCAAACCCTCTCCGGGCTGATAACTTCCCAATGATCCTGTCTTCTCTACGGTCTTTGGGCTTTAAGTGTCCGGTATATCAACTGCGGAGAACTTACACATCCTCGGAACCCTTCCATGATGTCCGATGTTTAATTTTGCGCTACATATCAAGTTTTCACGAGACTAATGTTCGTGCCAGGCTACATCGGCGAGTTCGAGGAGGTCGATGACCACCGCAATGGCAAGATCGTCATCCAGCTCAACGGCCGCATCAACAAGACTGGTGTCATCTCCCCCCGTTACAACGTCCAGCTCCGTGACTTGGAGAAGTGGGTTGTCAAGCTCCTTCCTTCTCGTCAATTCGGTTACATCATCCTGACTACCTCCGCCGGTATCATGGACCACGAGGAGGCTCGCCGCAAGCACGTTGCTGGCAAGATCCTCGGCTTCTTCTACTAGACTAGTTTTGGTGTGCGCGATGTTGAGGGATGCATATACCCGGGCTTAGCTACGCATGAGAACTGTTTGGCTAGGAATCCATCACGGCCATGCTAAACGACGAAATGACCAAAAGTTCATGTTAGTCGAAAGACGCTGCCAATCGGGCGATTGTGATGTTGTTCTTTACTTGACTGAAGTGGTGAAATAATTTCCGTGTTCTCTCTTGAAACACCGTGCCAGTTGAGTGTGTTTCCGTTGACGGGCTGGCGCGCATCATGCTCCTTTTGTAGGATCACTGAGAGTTGGGACCGAGCTGATGTGCCTACTTGGGGGCAGGTATCCAGTGTAGCACGTGCCAGGCCAAGTTCAGCGCGCAGGTTTAATGGCCGTTACAACAAGTCCAGGCGCAGTGTTGTCGATCAACAGGGTTCAGACTCCCAACGAAGCGTCACTGGGGGAGCGAGTGCAAGGCTGTGCTGCAAACTGGGAGCGATGGCGCAGGTGCGGCACATCCAACCCAGTGCTAGAGCGGGTGACGCTCAGGTTGTGATAGGCCCAGAACACGGGCAACCATAAGCTATCTACGTCAGGGGTTGGATGGGAGCCCCGCCCGCTACTGAACGAGTGCAAGCTGGTAATGTAGAACAGACAAAAGAACAGCACCTCGCTTCGACTGGAGATCCAGCGACGCTTCCGTGCTTCTCGTCGTGCAAACATATCGAGACAGCTCCACACTGTCTACCCCTCCATCCTCCACATTTTTTCAGGCCGTGCTTCTTGGCCGGCAACGGGCGCCCGCTGTGCCCAATCACAGCCGTCATGGAAGGGTGAGTGCTTCTGCTCCGCGTGCTGTGCGACGGTGGGGGATGCGCACATGTCAGCGCCCGGCTGCGACTGACGTTCTCATATAGACACAAGCGCTCGAAGTCGCAGAGCGTCAAACATATGCTGAGTAAAGTGACCTCGAAGACGGAAGGAACGTCCACGCCCGCGGAAGGCAGCACCACGCACACAGCCAACAACTCGCCGCCCAACTCGTCGCAAGCTTCGCTCAGCTCGCCAGTGGGTCACCAGCGCAGTGTCTCCCAAAAGCTGCGCCCAAACGTGCCTCCCGTCATGTCGAATGCAGGCGGCCCTAGTGAGGGCAGCAGCAGCAGCCAGCATCTCGCGTCTCCATCCTCGCCTACAACCAAAGGTGGATCGATTGAGCAGTCGGTCAAGTTGTTCCGTGTCTTTGAGTCGCTGCGCAATGGCGACACGACAGCCATCTCGAGGGCCATCCGCGAGCAGTCGTCACCGGGCGACAACGAAGGAGGCAGGACTTCGCTCTCGCTGCCCAATGCGCGCACTGAGGGCACGTCGATCCTACACCTCGCCATACAGTGCGCTGAGATACCTGTCATTGAGTTCGTTCTGTCCAACGCGACCGACGCGCCCGAATCGCCCATCGATATCAACGGCCGCGATCGTGACGGCAACACGCCTCTCCACCTGGCGGCTACCTTGGGTCGCGCCCCAGTGGTCCGGCTTCTACTCGACCGACCGGGCATCAACGATTCCATCACCAACTACAGCGGCCAGACGCCTTTGGACCTTGCCCGCACACCAGATATCTTCCAGCAGCTGCAGCTGACCCGATCCATCTTCATCGATACCAACGTGAAGAAAATACAGCAGTTGGTGATTGCTGGGGACTTGGATACTCTTGAGTCAGTTCTACAAGATGCGCGCATCCAGAGCACACTCGATGTTAACGGCGGAGAGTTTGCAACGGACCCGACTGTCATCGAAGCTGGTGGCACTCTTCTGCACCAGGCAGCAAAGAACAAAGATGTGAAACTTGCTCAGCTGCTGCTGCTGAACGGCGCAGACCCTTTCCGTCGCGACCGCAAGGGCAAGCTCCCGCAGGACTACACCAAGGACGACCGGACGCGTGCTATTTTGAAGCGATCGCCGGCTGCTGCGGCTGCCCAGCGAGGCATTCAAGAGAAGACGATTCTCGCTGGTCAAGCGCAACCTGGAGCTCCCTCTGACGGTGGCATGGGCTCCAAGGAGTCGCGTGAGATGAAGGGTTACCTTAAGAAGTGGACCAACTACACAAGCGGCTACAAGCTGCGATGGTTCGTGCTGGAGGATGGTGTTCTCAGCTACTATAAACATCAAGGTACGCCTCTAATACCCATAATTCCACCTTTGAGCTAACGTTCGCAGACGACACCGGCTCTGCGTGCCGTGGTGCCATCAATATGCGCATTGGCAAACTCTACATGGACCCACAAGATAAGCAGCGTTTTGAGATCCAGGGCAAATCCTCAGTCAAATATCACCTGAAGGCCAACCACCAAGTTGAGGCAAAGCGTTGGTACTGGGCTCTTAATAACGCGATCCAATGGGCAAAGGATGAGGCTCGGGAAGAAGAGAAGCGCGCGACACAGGATCAGGAGGCGCTCAAGCAGGCCAAGGTCGAGTTGCTTTCTAAGGAGGGCGACTCTGCAAGCCTTCATAGCTCCCGCATGGCAGGATCCCGAAGCTCGCATAACCTTGGCGTACCGCTCGCTAACCTCGATACAACTTCACGCTCTGCTGTCTCATATACGGAAGACCCTGGAAGCGCATATGAGCCCAGTCTAGGTGCACACGAGCTAGGAAGATATACCAGCCATCCAGGTGCACCTACTGTCGACGACGATGATGATGACGACTTCCACGACGATGACAGCAGCCATGAGGTGAAGCCGCACAACAAAGATGCCTTCAACATCACCGCTCAATCTGCGAAGTTGCAGCTCGACTTGTTAACATCAGTATCTGCGGCGTTGCAAGCCGAGAAAGCGAAAAACCCTAATATGCAAATCGCCGACCCTTCGATGACACAAGCACTGACCTCCTATGAATCTGCGATTGGAAATCTCAAGGGATTGATCGGAGACCTTCTGCGTATATCAAGAGATCGCGACGCCTACTGGCAGTATCGTCTCGATCGTGAGGCCAACGTGCGTCGCATGTGGGAGGACAGTATGGCCAAGGTTGCACGGGAACAAGAAGAACTGGAACAAAAGATTGGAGAGTCAGAAGAGAAGCGGCGCAAGACGAAGAAGGCGTTGCGAGAGGTGCTTGAGGACTATGAAGGCCCAGGAACTGCCGCCCAGGATGACGAGTTTGTCGAGGCGCCTGAGAATGAAGCCCAGCAAGAGGACTTGGCTCGGGCGAAGCCTGAACTGTCCGGCCAAATCAAAAGAAAAGCCACACTTGCCGACCTCGCAGCAGACTTTTCGGACGACGAGTCCGAGGCCGATGAAGAATTCTTCGATGCTGTTGGTGCTGGTGAGGTCGAAGTTGTAGAGATGCCTGGTGTGAACCAGAGCCAGAACGAAGCCAGGAAGCCCTCTGAGCTTCCCGCAGATGGCACTACCGATGACGTCTTTGAGCAGAAGCATGCGGTGGTTGCCACAGGGTTCAAGGGCTACGAAGATGGGCCGCGACAGAAGCTTGCTATGGATGCTGATGACCGGCCTAAGATCTCTCTTTGGGTGAGTCGATCAAGTGCGTTACTTGTCGTCAACTGCTAACGCCATACAGAGTATTCTTAAGTCCATGATTGGTAAGGACATGACAAAGATGACTTTACCAGTCTCGTTCAACGAGCCCACTTCTCTGCTGCAACGTTGCGCCGAAGATATGGAGTACACCGACCTTTTAGATGTTGCCGCTGAGCGTGAAGACTCTAGCGAGCGGATGCTCTATGTTGCGGCTTTTGCTGCTTCAGAGTATGCTTCGACTATCGGCCGTGTTGCAAAACCCTTCAACCCTCTCCTGGGCGAAACGTTCGAGTACGCCAGGCCTGACAAGGGCTTCCGTTTCTTCATCGAACAAGTCAGCCACCACCCGCCAATTGGCGCGGCTTATGCTGAAGCAGCCAAATGGGACTATTATGGCGAGTCTGCTGTCAAGTCAAAGTTCTATGGTAAATCTTTTGATATCAATCCGCTTGGTACCTGGTTCTTGCGCCTTCGTCCTACTTCAATGGGTGGGAAGGAGGAGTTATACACGTGGAAGAAAGTAACATCTTCGGTTATTGGTATCATGACGGGTAATCCTGTGGTTGATAACTATGGACCCATGGAGGTCAAGAATTGGAATACCGGTGAAGTGTGCATACTGAACTTCAAAGCACGAGGCTGGAAAGCCTCGTCTGCCTACCAAGCGGTCGGTAAAGTTCTTGGCGCAGACGGCCGTGTCCGCTGGTCAATTGGTGGCCGCTGGAACGATAAGATCTATGCACGCTTCACTCCCGGCTTTGAGGACGCAGACATCGACAAGGGTGGTAAGGAGGGCAAGCATGACGACAACAAAGCTTTCCTCGTCTGGCAAGCACACGAGCGTCCTACTGGCATTCCGTTCAACCTCACACCCTTCGTCGTCACGCTCAACGACCCCAACGAGAAGCTCGTGCCCATTATTGCGCCGACCGATACACGTCTCCGTCCTGATCAGCGTGCGATGGAGGATGGGGAGTACGACTTCGCAGCGACAGAGAAGAATCGTGTTGAAGAGAAACAGAGAGCGACTCGCAAACAGAGGGAAGAACATGGCGAGGATTTTGTGCCGAAGTGGTTCGCCAAGTCTAGAGATGCTACGACTGGTGAAGAATTCTGGGAGTTCAACCACGAATACTGGAAGACCAGAGACAAGGTCGCCAAGGGCGAGACGACCTGGAGCCAACACGGATTGGAGGATATCTTCTAGACGCATTGGCTCGAGGGAACCAGGTATTGCAAGACGACATGGTCGAGTGTTGGATGTACAAAGACCACTTTGGATCATGCACACATTCTCTCTTCCTTTAGAACTAGTAACAAAGAGGTTCAATAAGCGTGTTGTAATGTGTCCGACGGCCATCTTCTTGTTCAGTCGAGTTTAATTGATTATCGTGCGGAGGAGTGAGTTTACATTACGGCGACCAAAGGATGTATTCTCTTGATGTCAGGAGTCTGCGAGGTGATAGGTTCGTAAGGGTATGTGAGCGTAAGGAGAGTGAGTGGTAGCTGCGGGCGACTAGATCATCACGCGCTGAATGTACACCGAGATGGAGAGTCTAACAAGGGACGATCGGCGAATGGGCATAGGTACTACACACATACACGTCCGCTCAGCTACTCAGCAGTTGTGTTAGATCTGAACCATGTTCATGGTAGTTAACAGCCTGTAGATCTACGACTGAACAACTCCGTTTAAGCGTGAATGTTCTGACAAGCAATCGCCTATTTGGAGTTTGCCCCTTGTTATCTGGTGCTGCAGTTTGTCAAGTGGCTGTTCACACATGCCTGCGCGCGGTATAAGTCATTATTTCATGATATTATTTTGTGTATGAACTCGTATGTACAAACACCCAACTAGGCCAGTCAGAAACTCAAACTGAACCCATTATTGCCCGCAGGCTTTCCTCAGCAGCTGCATCAATTTAATCGCAGCCTTACAATTAATCTCCATCGAATCGAACAACGCTTACTTCAGCTGACCGCGCACAGCACCAGGAACAAAGCTGGCAGTGTGTGTGTCAGTGAAGAAGCTGGCCGGATCGGCAACAATCTCGCGGACGTGGAAGTCATCACCAGTGTCAGTGCCGTTGACGAGGATGCCGGTCTTGAACGGCCCGGTCAGGCAGCCGGTGGAAATGCGGCGCGCGTCGGGACCCTGGGGGTTGGGGAATGCGATGCGAGGGGGTCCTGCGCGGCCCTTGGGCGCCTCGTGGATATGTGTTGAGGTCAGGGCCATGGAGCGGTACTCGCCAGTTACGCCTGAGAGAGTGATGTTCTGCGGCACGTGTTAGGGTAGAGCTGAGATCATGTAATGGGAAGACATACGTAGCAAATGGTGTTGTCAGCGACGTTGATGCCATACTTGAAAAGGCCCTTTGCGCCGGGCTGGCCGGGTGCGGGGATTTGAGTTGTGTTGATGACCTGGTCGGGTGTGGCCATAACGATGTATGTGGCATCGAAGTAGAAGAGCTTCTCGTTCTTCTTCCAGTCGTCATCCTTCTGGTTGTACTTGTTGTCGATATCCTTCTTGCAGTCCTTGATATAAGACTTCCTGTCGGGGTAGTTCTTGTGGGGCTCAGCAGTAGGAGCTGCGACGGCAAGAGCCGCGGTCAGAAGAGTAAGAAGAGCGGGTGCGGAGAAATGCATTTTGAGCGTGTGATGTGCAGTGAAGGTAATGTTGTGGAGGGGAGTTGCAGTTGATACGCTTACACCTGGAGGTGCTGTGGCTCTTCTTTATATGACTACGGATACCCTCCGCGTGTTCCATAAGATTGAAAGGTACCCGGAAACATTCTGCCATTACGTCGGCGGTGCACCGCGGAGTGGCTTAGATGAAAATCGTAAAGTCTTGGTGCGGGTTTCTAGTGCCTTAGGAAGATACCATGTCTGAGCAGCCAAGATTCCCATAATGATTTGTATTGAGGCTCACAGTGACGAGGAGCAATTAGCACTCCAGAACGGCGATTTCCACATGGAAGGGCCCAATGGAAATGAGGTGGTTCTTGGACAATGGCCTATTGTCGCGCTGCCCAGATGGACGATCTCCATACCTGCATGCGAAGCCAACGGGAGGATGTTAGGGACCGAGTCGTGCTGCTCCATCAAATGACATCGATCCATCGTTGGCCACAAACTGAATAGTTTGGCCATAGCTGCAGGCGGACTATGCCTCCTAAGTGATAGGACTGATGAGCTTGTGTTGCTCGGAGCCGTGATCGCCGCCCAAGATATCGCCTAGATAACTTAGTCCGGATGGTCTACTTTCCGTAGTGTCTGCTCCCAAAAGCGTGAAGCCCCAGCTCAGATCGAGTCTAGATTAGGACAAGCCTAAGAGCAACAATACCAAAATTGGGCTCGACGTGCTCGACTCAGTGGCTGCACGGGCGGAACTGGGGCGGAGAGCCAGTGGCCTTGCTCGGATCTTCTTGGCAAGGCAGTGTCCGGAGGTATTCCCTGTGCTGGGCGCATGTCACAAGAGATGTCAAAGCCACAAGCGCGGGAAAGCTTGGCTGTGCCAGACTTCTGCCGACTTCACGGTTGGGAGCAGACTTTCACTCGACCTGCAGAGACCGAAAGCAAACGGTCTCGAATGAGGTGGGGAGCGCCAAGACCGGAAACATCGGTACTTGGGGTACTTGGGTACCTACTCATCGTCGACAGTGGACACCAAGCCGTGAACCATGACATCACCACATCTAGTCAGCCAAGACCTCCACAAATGGCAAATGGTCTGTTTTCGTAAATCACAATATTGAGCTGCAAAGCAAAAGTTAGGTTCCAAGTTGAGTTCGCATTTTGCAGACCTGGACTCACGATTTTTTGGAGACTCGAGGACAGGTATTTGATGGTTGCAGAGCTGCAATTGGTAAGCAAGCGCAATATATTCCGATCTCATATTCAATGGATGGCTCGCTGAGATTTAAAAACTCTTGTTCGCGGTAGTCTGACTGATTTAATTTGGAGCTTGACATGCTTTGTGCAAGAGTGACAGGGAAGAGGTCAGCCAGCTCGCTTTGCTAAACTTCGAGCTTCGCAATTCGATATCCATCGTCACCTCTGGGGCATCGTCTTCGCGATTTCTCTCCTCGTCAACAGTAAGGCTACAGGTACAACACATCTCTTTGGCGAATCCGCAAATAAAAGCGGCGATCCTGTCGTCCTCACTGTCGCATGTGCACCGGATGCGCTACAATGAATGTCGCAGTCACGGATTTTTTCTGATACCTTACATAGACCATCACACATCTGATAAGCCGCTTAGCAAGATGCAGCATCAGGTAACAGGGCCCTTTCTTGATATGACAAATGGAGTTATTTATTTACATTTCTGTGAATATTGGCTGCAATAAGCGGATTAGATCCTACAGAAGTGCTAATTGGCTAGTCGTTCTGGGTACATTAAAGCCTCTACATAGCCTACAACTTCGCGTGACTCACGAACCAAGTGCCGTTGTTAGTGTCGAGCGTGATGTTGTTCTGCACCACCTTGCCAAACTTCAAGCTTCCGCTTTCCACAACACCTCCGCCCACAGGACGCTGGAGCTTGTTCTCGCCAGCGAGGACAGTGAAGTTGCCAATGGGAATCTCCCATCCGTTCCTCGTGGTGATGCTCGGAAGTCCGAAGAAGTTTGCGTCGACTTTATCGTGGGTGAAATGCAGTTCGAAGTATCCACGGTAGTACAAGTCCTGCCATTGGAGCTCGTCATTCGCATTTTGTAGCCACGTAGAGTAGTTGTTCGCGGTGGCAAGGGTGATGTTCTGGCCGTATGGACAAGGGGAGGTGACAGCACTGCCAGCAAACTCAACGCCGATAGAACCTTCTCCAGTACTCTTGTCATATTCTTTCTCATCTAGCCAGACAAGATCGCTGACCCACGAAGCGTGGCTATCACCGGCAAGGAATATGTTATTGTTGATGTTGTTGCTGTACAGGTGGTTGAGAGTGCGGTTCTTGTTCGCTAGATAACCACCCCAGGCATCGTAGTTCTCCGGGTTGGCATCGCCGTTAGCCGCTGACTGGTTTATACGCGAGAAAACAATCTGAGATCCTATAACTCGCCATGTTGCCCCACGTTCGGCCGATTCTGAGAGGCTTCTGTAGAACCAGTTCTCTTGGCGAGAGCCCATAAGAGATCGGCCAGCGTCGTTTGAGATTTCATGGATGTAGTCGGTGTTCCAGTACAGATCAGTGATACTGCGGTCGTAATTGCGTGTGTCTAGCATGGTCAAATCGACCAGCTTACCAATAGAAAATGACCGCCAAATTCTCAAGTTGTCGTCCATATCTACCTGTCGTATCGGCATCCACTCGAAGTACGCACGGACGGCATTCATCTTGCGTTGGTCCACAGAAACACCGACACCGTCCTTGATGAAGCTATCCTCTGTGTTGTTCAACTCAGCCTAGCGGAATCAGTAAAGCTGCATCAGTTACGTAGATAAAGTTAGCCCAGTACTTACCATGCCATCACGGTACGTGTTGTCTGCTACTTCGTGGTCATCCCACACTGGGATCCAAGGAAACTGCTGGTGGCTTTCGACCAAATCCAAGTCCGTACGATATGTAGCCAGGCGTTTGCGATAGTCATACAATGTGAAAATCTCGCGGTCGGGTAGTGGAATACGACCCATGCTGTTGCCCCAGCCATAATACCCGTTTTCATACTCATAGATATAGTCTCCAAGGAAGACTATGTAGTCGACTGAGTCCTGCAGGTATCTGGATTAGCGAACATTCGGCGTGCGATGGGTCGGCGAAACAAACCTTGCGTGCAACATTGCCATATGCGTTGAAGAAACCGAATGGGTAGTTTGCACAGCTGAAGACTGCAAGACTGACTTTGGTGACATCATCGTCGGCATTTGGTGTCGTTTTTGTTCGTCCGAGTGGGCTCCGGTTGTTCGAATTACAGACATTAAACTGGTAGTAGTACGTGGTGTACGGCTTCAAGTTTGTTGCTTCAACCTGTAGCGTTGTCAGTAATCTGAGGATCCGCACTTCTTGCACAACGTATCTTACCTTGATCGTGAAATCTACGTCTGAACTGGTGTAGACCTTCCCAGAATCAACCGTGCTGGTGAGACTCTTGTCTGTCGCAACCCTGTACTCGACACAAACAGGCGATTTTGACACATGTACGTACTTTTCGTTATCATGGTCAAATAATGGAGCGTATCCGGTAACCGTCAAGTTCGATTCCGAGTTATCGCTCTGCGGCGCCACTCGAGTCCATAGGATCACACTGTTAGGGTAAGGATCACCAGAAGCGACGCCATGGGTAAAGTTAAGGGTTGCAGTATCGTAAGCCGATAGGGGATCATTTCTCTTGACGACCCTATGTATCGAAACTCCCAGTGCAGGGTGATGTTCCGACGGTGAACGATAATTCAGGTTCTTCGACCAACTGGCACTGGCGATTGACGCCCATGGTAGGAACGATATAAGTTGGAGCTTCATAGTGAAGATTGACTTCAGAAACGAGGACTGTGATCGATCCAGCCTAAGGTAGAGGTACCGACATGCTGGACCTTTTGTAATCCAACCAGAATCGCATAATCTCCAAAACCTTGGAGCCACACAGGCTGTTTCCCAGTCTGTTATCCCGCATTGACTGCGTCATTTCTACAGGAACGGCAGCACTGAGGGGCATCAGGCAAGAGAATGCCAATCAGGCTCCTTGGCTGCAGCATGCTACAACACAATCAACAGTGAGCCGCGCCGGTAAAGTCATACCAGGGTGACAGCTGTACCAAATGGAAACGATAACGTCTTTGCCGGTCCATCATCGGAGATGCCTTACGTTTGATTTGCTGCTCGCGAAGACCTTTGTTCGGCTACGGCTCGAATGCGCATGGTCGCTGCGGGGGTCGCGAGTCCAAGAAGAACGTGTGCAGCACGGCCTGGCCTGATTGGTTGATGTCATGTCAATGGAGAGCGTTGACTTTAGTTCGCAAGCAAAGCTTGACAAAGCTTTCGCAAGAGAGGAAGGTGCGATAGATGCACAAGCTTGAGGTCACTCACTTTGAGGCACAGTGAACTGCATTGATGTTTTTTGACATCGTGTTCCTTGGTTAGAGCCGGAAAACGCTCGTGCGTTATCGATAAGAGCTGTCAAATTACATCATCGATCCTATACGGGACACATGAGTAATGGCGGAGTAGGCCACAGCCCGCCCCTTCGTTGATTTCGCGATATCGTTGAAAACAGTTTGTCCCGCACAAATGGGGACTTCCAGCAAACACATTATCACATTGACATTATCACCTAATTCCATTATGGCTAGGATAGCGCACTTGGCATAATCGGCTTCTTCGAATTGATTCCTTTGTTCAGAGAACAAAAGCGACGACTAGCCATGCAGAACGAGAAAGGGGAATCGCTACAAGATGCTGCTGGTACGCTAGCAGCGTATGAGCTGAGACAATTATGGTGTAGAGAGTATCGTCAGCACATGCGTCGAGCGAATAGATAACTCAACAATACGCCTCAGCGGGCGCCACGACCAGGCCACATCGCCTAACAAAAGCGGTACATAAAGAGCGGATTGCGGAGAGTGTTTTTTGAAGGCTACGAAGTACTCATCGTGGCAGGGGTCTTGCAAACGGTTCACTAATTCGCGTCATCTTGTTGCACACATTGAGACGCAAGTTCTCAAACATCACACATCCGCCAGCTACTCCAGCCTACGGGATAAAATGCCGTATCCCAGGATCGCGGTTATAGGCGCAGGTCCAGGAGGATGTATGTTGGCACGACTTCTACACCAGTCTTCAATACCGTGCACCATCTTCGAAGGCGAAGCCTCAGTCAATTACCGTTCCCAAGGTGGAAGCCTTGACCTTCGGAAAGCAACAGGACTTGCAGCCGTCAAAGCTGCTGGGCTCTGGGAGCAATTCCTACAATATGCGCGCTATGACGGCGAGAGTCTTCTGTTGACAGATAAGAGCTTGACGACATGGATGCGGAGAAGCCCCGGGACCAAGGACAAACCCAACAGCTTACAGGAGGCACCTGAAATCGATCGCGCGGTGTTGAGAAAGATGCTAGTCGAGAGTATACCGGCAGATTGCGTGAGGTGGGGTTGGAAACTTGCATCCGTACGAGAGACTGCATTGGCTGGGCTGGAGCTCTCATTTACCAATGGCGAAAGACTGTCCGGGTTCGATCTGGTTGTTGGCGCGGATGGTGCTTGGAGTAAGACAAGAACATTCCTCTCACAAGACAAACCACATTATTCTGGACTGGGCGGGTGGGCCATGCAGATATCGAATGCAAAGGAGATCGCACCACAAGCATACGCATTTGTCAATCGCGGCAGTGTGTTTGCGTACAGTGATGGAAAGAGCTTGTTGGGCCAGCAACTTGGTGACGGGACTCTCGATGCGTCTCACTATGGGCGGTATCCTGAGGACTTTACCACTCATTGTGGCTTTGATGCGGGAGATTTAGAAGCTGTCAGACACTTCTTGTTGGAAGAGTTGGAAGGCTGGTCACCTGAGCTCAAGAACTTGGTAGAATCGGCCAACGAGGCTCCTGTCTGGCGGAACCTATACGAATTGCCCGTCGGCTGGACTTGGCCGCACAAGAAAGGCGTGACGCTCCTCGGCGATGCTGCTCATCTAATGACGCCCTTCGCTGGCATTGGGGTCAACTCAGCATTCTACGACGCAATGGAGCTTGCGAAGCAGATATCCACGTTCACTAAATGTCAAAAGCCCGCCGATTTGGATTATTATATCAAACAGTACGAAACAGCCATGTTTGATCACGCACATCCAGCTCAAGCGCTCACTGAGGGCTCGAAAATTGATATGCTACTCACACCCGGTGCACCACGAACTACGATAGAGAAGTGGATCCTGAGGCGCGTAAAAGGGGAGACCCCATCTTGGGTCCACCCAATCGTGACAGCGGTGGTATACACAGGTTACTGGGTATACAAACGGTTTGTCTGAGTCTACGTTCAGGACAAATTCTCGCAGCGTGCCGAAACCTTCTATCCGGACGAGCATCCGAACATGAGATGATATATTCATTGGTTAGGTTCTTCCCACATGAGAAAGTAGACACCATACTTTCCTTCCACTCGGGACACCAACCTACTGACCGGCGAATCGTGAAAACCAACGCCTCACCATCTCAGCTCCGACAATGCAAACGCACCACACTCTCTATACACATCCCGCTAACATCCAGCGATCCCTCAGAACATCTTCGGGTACTGCTTCGCATCCTGCTGCTCCTTTAACCACCCCACACGGTTCTCTGCATATACCTCCGCCAACGGCACCGCCTCCTCCCTGGCCTGCTTGTCATCAAGGGTCCCTGCACGCACGACTTTCGCATCGGGCGCCATGTCCCCCTCGCGCCACAGCGGGGACCCGCATTCGGGACAGAAGACAAAGGTGACGACGCGGCCAGACTCGGCTTTTGTCGAGTACGACTTTGTTTTGCCCGAGGACGTGAAGAAGTCGTTGCTGATGACAATATTGGTGGTGTAAACGGAGCCGGAAGACTTTTGGCATTGGTTGCAGTGGCAGAGGGCCTGAAGAGTCAGTGGACTGGCGTGAGAATGTGTGCTATGCGTGTGTACCTTGTTAAGGGGGCCGCCTTCGATCTCGTAGGTGACTTTGCCGCAGAGGCAGGATCCTGTGCTCTTCGACATGTTTGAATTTGATAGTAAGCTGGAATAGGTCGCAGATTCAAGTTGTTCAACCGAAGAACTGGGTTCCATTGTGCTGGATCAGCGGCTTAGCGGCTTTATACACTACTCGAGCCGGTAAGTGTGTAGCCGAAGAGGCATCACGCCTCGCTGTCAACATCCAAAGTGACAATGTCAATTCCAGATCTTCATCATACATTTGTCAAGATCTACAGCCTATCAACGAGCTTCCACTGCGGCGACCCTAGGGCCTAGCCACAGTCCCGGGTGTGAGGGGTCATGACGTCTAGCGTCGATGCTTGTCCGGGGCATGCTCATTGGTTCTGGCTCTTTGTTCGGCCATTATCATAGAGCCGCAAGAACTATGACTTGCAGACAATCTTTACATATTCCTTGACATCCGTCAAAAGAGTCTCCAATCTTCCCAACGATGCGAAGTGTCCTCCCTTTCTCGTGCCTCCTGAAGAGAACCATATCGCACGGCTGGGTAGCCCAAGTCTCTGGAACGGGACAAATCTCGCGCTGGAAGTATGAGTATTCACTCGGTTTGTTTGCCTGCTCCGTCTTAAATTACTGTTGGTAGGTGTAGATGGTAGTCGGAAAGCAGTCAGCGAGCCAGTACAGTGTAACGTTGGCGGGAACAGCATCGAGGGAAGGTGTCGTGTTCCGGCCACAATGGCTTCGCGACAACATAATCACAACAGAAGGGTTGGGGCTGCGACCAAGGTATCTAGTCGCGATATCTAATCAATTTCACATATTTCCCACGTCTCTTATCCAGTCTATCGACTTGACGATAGACAAACAGCCATTTTACAATTTTCAGCGTTCCGGGAGGCAGGAGCCGAATTTCTTCCAGTTCTACCCATCGGCGAAGTGGGATGCAGTAACGTTGCAGAAACTCTTCGACATGACACCTATCCCGCGATTAGGTAGCTTTGCAGCCCCAGAACCTAGAAAATTGATTTGTATCTTAAATTAAAGCCCTCGCTAGATTACATCTAACGCACTCGCTTTCAAGGATGGATTTTGTCGCAGTAGAGTAATAAAGTAGACAAGGCCTGCTTCATGTTCGAGCTTAGCGCTCTGTCATTTCGAATGGCAGAAAGCCGTGCGCTGTAAGCATACGGTTCTTGCATACTGCTTGCCTCATCTGCCTTGACTAGCAAGGCGCATTGACTACTGCGGTACAAGAGCTAACGCTGCCTCAAGAGGAGCTACCGAGTCATTGCAGCCTTGTCCTTACGTGCTGCGAATACGGTTTGTGCTCCAAAGTGTTGACCCCAGGGCCCAGGCCGCAGAGTGTCCTTGCCAAATTGGTGGATCCGCTGGCAACAATTACATCATAGCCAATTCAGAGGACCATTGAGACCGACCGAGGACGTTTGCGCGGCTAAACTTCGTTTGACATGCATGGAGAAGTGCTGCTTGGATCTCGACCCCCGAAATTTTTGGCTCGAAATTGCACTAGTCGATGAGGCAAAAGCTAGTGGCGAAATGAATAGGATTGCACCAATACTTCTTTCTAGGCATGAGGGAGATTCGAACAGAATAGGGGTAGGTAGGATAGACAGGTCAGAGGCAAAAACTTGGGTATATTGACAGAATCGTAACAATGTACAAGAAGCTCACGGATCGTCGCGCGAGCAAAATTTCTACAGGCAAACGCGGGCGTCTACACCAAGAGCGCCGTTGTTGTACAAAACCTTCTCGACTTATGCTTATTTGCTTCGGGTACTGACAAAGCTGGCTCTCCTGGCCTCGAGAACAGCATCCTCGTGAGTTGGGGGACCTTCGTAGTTGGCCTTTCCCCAGACAAAGTACCAGACAGTTGAGAGGAGAATGACGGCAGCCAGGACGACGGAGGCGTAGTTCATCGAGACAGGAGTGACAGGGAGGTAGGTTGGCATGCAGAAGAGGGGAGTCGCAAGTGCGGACCAGGCTGCAAAATTCGTCAGTGATAGAAAAAGGGCTCGAGAAAGGCGGACGTACCAATAGCAACAACATTGCAGAACATGCCCAGTTTGCCGAGGTAGAACTGTCCCTCAACAACCTGCTTGCGACCACCAAGCACGGAGCACAAGATTGGTGCAGCGTAGCTGAGTGTTAGGCAAATCACACCCACGCCGGAAAAGGCGTTGAATGCAGCGGCGGCACCAAAGTAGATAAGACCAAGCGCAAGCTGAACAACCATGCTCATCATCATAGCGTTGACTGGAACATCGAACTTGGCGTTGACAACTCTCCACATCTTGTAGCCGGGGATACCGCCATCGCGAGCGAAGGCGTAGATGGCGCGGGACGAGGCAGTTGTGCAGCCGATACCGCAGAACAGTCCAAGGACCATGAGCGGCAGCAGCAACCCGATGGCGCCACCCGGAGAGCCTATAGCATCTACGATGATGGCGGGGGTCGGCTGACCAGATAGGAGGCCAGCTAGGTAAGCCTGATCGGGCATGACGAAAACAAGGGGGATGAGGAAGATGAGGCCACAGATGGTGTTTAGGATGATGGTGCCGACCATGGCCTTAGGAACCTGGGTCGCAGGGTGACGGACCTCTTCGCACATACTACATACTAGTCAGCACTTGGACAATTACTAGTTTGAAATTACCATGTCTTGCCGAAGCATGTGTCGCAATGGAAGAGTAGAGTCGCTTGGGTGGTACGACAAAGTTGCTGTGGGAAGGCTGCGCTCTGGAAAACTGCATGGGATAAAGGGCTTGGGCAAGGGCAAAACTGCATGTCGCTCTGGCAGAAGTAAAGGGCATGCTCACGAGACAATCATTCCGGTCGAGGAGGTTGCGTAGGCTGCGTGGAGAAGTCCGACCATGAACGACCATCCAGGGATCCATCCGGAGTTGGAGGTGTCGAGGGTGGTGAAAACGTAATCGGCGCTGTGGCGACCGTTCTTCGCAATGGCAAGCACGCACACAACAATGGCGAGGACACCGGCAAGAGTCCAAAAGATGGCAAAGGTCTACGCTTGGTAAGTAACACGTTCGCAAAGGTATGGAGGAAATCTCACATCAAGCCATGGGAGCCACTTGTTGGAGGTGACACAGACAATGTTACACAGAAGGGTAACGGCAAGGAAGAGCAGGTAGACCTGCCACGTTGTGCCTGCAAAGATGCCATTTCCATCTGCGTCGGTGAAGACGTTGATACATGCCACGTAGAAGAGAGCAGTAGCAAAGTTGACGGAAAGAGTAATCGTTATGTTACCAACGACGAAGCACCATCCACAAATCCACGAGGCGATCTTCCGGTAAGAGGGAGCAGCCAACATGAAAGTCTGGTAGTAAACACCGCCGCTGGTAGGGTAGACACTGGTAATTTCTCCTAGGGAAGCTGCAACGCAGAGGATGATCAGAGAGACAGCGAGCCATCCCCAAATAATGGTAACGGGGCCACCGTTAACCACAGGGTAGTAAAGCGTCGTAGCCAGTCCGTAGGGAATCGAGGCGAGAACAAAGGACATAAAGGCAACCTGGAGGGTCGACCTGGAGCGCACAAGTTCGGACTTGTAGCCCATGGCGGCGAGAACATCATCAGAGTCGTTCAGAGCACCCTCGGACGGCGCCTTGCCAAGGCTGACCTTCCTCCCCTTCTCGGAAGCGCGAGGGACAACGTCATTCTCGGCGGCATAAGCATCTGACTGCGTGCCATAGGCGTAGACGGGAGTAGCCATGATGGCAGTGTAGAAATGATATCCTGAGGCTGGCCGTGGAATGGGAGGGTCCTTTGGTGTTGTCGTGGAAGGCTCTGCGGCTACCGAACGGGGGCCCACGCGAGCTTTGAAGGGCTGCAGATGGACGTCAGGCCCGCGGCTGGCCCAGCTCCCTGCTAGCTTTGTGCGGGCAGGCAATGTTGCATGTGCACGCGAATCTCACTTGGGAGCCCGCCTCCGCCGTTAGCGCGTGTCGGCAGTAGGAGGGGCCTGACTGCTGCTAGGATGGTGCGCCGAAATCACCACCGAGCTGGGGCGGAAGGTCACCCGCTGTTAGCCACTCGACTTGTCCGTAGGGCTTCTGGAAGTGGAACAGAAAGCGTAAAATTTTCCTGCCGTCAATGCCGATTCATGTCCTGCTCAGACGCAGATTTCTGATTTGCATTGCTCACGTCGCAGGGCATGGCCGGCCGTGCACGACCATGAAAGACGGCGCATCGAGTGGGAGAAAAGCCTCAAGGGGAGCGTGGAGTGGTTGCTGGGCGCCGGTCGCTATCGACGTCGTATTCGAGCTGTAGCCAATGGGCTTTGCCGAGATGGCTGACCCGGCTGGTGGGCGCTCTCTTGGGGGCTTGCATGCTCGGCTCAAATCGTCGCAAACGTCGCAAAGATCCTGCCTGGCCGTCGTGCGCATCAGGGTCCCCCGATAGCATGTGATAGGCTGCGATAGACGAGGGATCGCGGCGAGCGCAGCTGGGCGAGTAAAGGGGGATTGTTTGACGATTGCTGCAAGGTGTGCACTGAGGAGGCCTTGTTCATGTCTCTCGTCGCTTGATTGTTCTTTCCTCGACGTTCATGAGAGCCGAGTATGGACAACGCGCACGCCCTACGATGGCGTCTGCAATCCACTCCAGAGAGCCATAAACACGAGCCAGAGCCCACTCTGCGAGACAAAGAGCTACCGCCCAGTGATCCACCATCCCTCGTGCAATTGTTTTAGTGCCGTGCTCCACCAGCTACGTCATCAGTATGCATTTCGAAATCGTCGCACTCGAAGCTCAACATCAGCCCCTGTTTGATACCCTCGACCTTCCCCTGGACACGACCTACACGCTCACGCGATATACAACAACATCAACTCGCGACGAATTGCACTCTCGCATTCGCAATGCGGATGTCATTATTGTTACAACCGTGAAGCTCGACGCTGAAACGCTCAGCCACCATGTCACGCCGCGATTGCGTTACGTTATTGTCTCCGCAACTGGCACGGACGGCGTCGACCTCCATTCTTGCAAGGCTCGAGCGATCCATGTGTGCAACTGCCCAGGGGCGAATCTGGAGACAGTGTCCGAGCACGCTATCAGCCTCTACTTTGCAGCAAGACGCAGGACGGTTTTGCTAGATCAGGTTACGCGTCGTCAGCCCAGTGAATGGAAGCAGAGGGGTAGTGTCAACACGTATCTGCGACTGCCGGATAGCCAGCCACCGTTGTCTTGCGGAGATGAAGTTCTCGGAATTGTGGGCTATGGAGGGATTGGTACGTGCTATCTGCCCCCACGACGGAACGAGGATTGACCGTGCTCTTAGGGAAACGTATCGCGGCCATCGGAAGCGCTCTGGGGATGAAGGTACTCGTGGCAGCTCGTAGACCCTCCGCTGACCCCTCACTTGGACATGCGCGGGATGCGCTTCCAGCACCGAATGCGGAAGATGCGCGTGTGCCATTCGACGAAGTCCTCCGACAAGCCACAGTCCTCGTTCTGTCCCTGCCACGAACTCCACAAACACTGAATCTCCTGTCTACGGCGCAATTCGACATGATGCACCCATATGCAGTTTTAATCAACGTCGCCAGAGGTGGCATTGTGGATGAAGCAGCACTCGTGCAGGCTTTGCGATCACAGCGCCTTGCTGGCTACGCCACTGATGTATATCAGACAGAGCCGGCTGGAGGCTCAGACGATACACCTCTTCTTGCGGAGGATGCTACAGACTTGAACATTACTTTGAGTCCACATCTGGCATGGTTTTCCCAGAGGACGATCAAGAATCTAGGCGACATTCTGAAAGCTACAGTAGAGGCTGCACTCAAGGGTGAGACTATAAATGTAATCGCCTGATATCAACGAATAGATAAGGGACGCCCTTTTTGCGGCCACGCAAAATTGTGCATGTTGTGCAATACTACATTTCTAAATAAACGTAGTGACCCCAACAGAGTTGTTCGAATTCTTATCTCACCGCTCGAAGCGAGAGTCCGTGGCGAATGTTTCTAAAGCTCCGTTCGGCTCAAATCGGTGCCATCAAGTGGATGGTTTCATCCCCGGCTCGTACCTTGCTTTTTCGTTCCCACCCTCGTCGTTCTGTCTCGTTCTGCTCTATTTTGTTGACGAACTTGCTCCCAATAATGCATTATTGATTGCTTGTGTCCCCTACATGACACTGAGGACTGATCCGCAAGCTGCATTCTTCGCCAGCGGCACGGCGCGCACAGCTTGGCTTACCTTCCCGCCTGTCTTGTCGATAAACGTTCCGCGGCATCCCGGTGGCCTGGTTTTTGATGCACCTCTGACGATCTCCCAGCAACGGGTGTGGCACGGCCAAGGACCCCACACTCTGGAAACTCAAGATGACGTACCGCCCAGTAGCTGGCAGACAGACAAGCGCCGCCCTGCATGCAAGGCGCCACAGCTCCTACAGTACATAGTACAAACTTTAGCCTTTGTTGCTGCGACAACCATTTTCTGCCCTCTCCGACTATCCGAGATCGAACCATAGCTGTAAAGAAAGTTGGTCTAACGTTCCGTCTGGGTGTGACTGCTCAAGATGTACAACTGCAAAATGATCGTCTTTGATTTGATACGATATTTGACTCAATACTCAGGAGCCAGCTGAACTAATAGATATACCACAATGTGCATGCCGAATATCGTTACAAGAGCCTAGGTAGTATCTATCTCACTGCTAGATATAAGGCTACCACTACCTAGATATCCGCGACAATGGCATGAACCATTGCATATGCAGCATGACGGTGCAACAAGACAGCGACTCTTTCAATTACAAACAGTTGGAGCTGCAGTCCCCAAGCGTAGTTCTTAACAATCATGGATCGAAATAGCGCAACACGTTCAAGCTTTCGGGTCCGGCACCGGCGTGGATTTCTAGATGGTACAACACCTTTGCTTTGTACGATTGAAAGGTTGTGATCACGTTCAAGATGCCCTCGTTTTCGTCAGCGTCAATATCACACCCAAGATCTTCTTCGTGGTTGGAATACCACTGTGGGCGTCTTCGGATTCCATCCGGATGCCAAAAGGTTTAGGCATCGGTTTCATCGCCTTTCCAGTGGCGTCGTAGACTCTACACAGCTCCCATTTCTAGTCTGTCATATGGTTTCTGACTCTACTGGTCCTGATTATCAGTTGTGCGTTTGCGGTGCTGGATGCCGTCATTACAATGATCCTGGATGCTTACCCGCACCTCAAGAGGTTTTGGGCTGTCACTGAATCTGCGATCATCTATTACCTGATCTCACCGCCGTGTTGAGCCGAGCTTGCATATCGAGGTACCATCTACTGGACAGAATGAATGCTTGGATGAAACCGTCGTATTCGTTGTTTGGGTGAAACGCTCAACGTAATGGTAACCACTGTAAGCCAGTCTGCATGAGTTTACCATTTTCAATGTTGCTTTCTCCGGCTTGATACTTGGGGTTGTGTTGGGCCACGATGTGAGCCTCTGAGGGCGGTACATGCCTTGATTTGGTACGTTCACTCCTTGTATGACTGCTTCACTATACTTACATTGCGAGGGCATCTGAGCAGGCAGCTCCTAGATCTTGGGCAAAGACACCCATTTCCAATCGCATGTGGTGGCTTACTATTTCATAAGTGCCTTTTACCCCGTGCGCCAGTGCTCGCATAAGGGCTACGAATTAGATTATACTCGTGTGATGGTCACCACTGCTATAATACAACCTCTCCACACCTGGTTATGAAACTAAAATTCATGTTCCGAGATTTCTACAGCTCCGCTGTCGTAAGCCTCCCACTTGCACACGTCAGTATCGCTATCACTTCCGTCTCGTCTATAGTCCCTTGCTACCAAACGCTCTCGTCTTGTTGGAAGCGGTCAGAAGGGGTTGCTCTGACGGTACTTCTGCTCGAAAGCATGGTCCCTAGTGGAAGCGTACACGGAGACTGGACGCAGTACGAGCGAAAAGTCGTCAACGAGGGCAGAAACACATATAAGGCCGGCAGAGATTGACTGGATGATAGATGCACGTTGTCACAGAAATGCGACAGAACTAAGCACCGGTTTGAGGCAGCATGCAAGATACTGCGCATGGAAGATACTGGATCCCGCTATAACCGACCATGGCTTTGGAGTCTCAAACAAGTAGCAGCACGGTGGTCTGACCCTAGGCAGCTAACAAAATTCTCAATAGTATGCATGTCCTCGCCGTCAGCAGGCAATCACGAGTGGGGCTGAATCGAGGTGCTTGGTTGGGCTCTCATAATCGGGCTGCAACAATCGTCGACGATGCTTACTCTGAATGCGCCTTGTTGTTTGAGATGAGACCTGGAGCGTAGTTGCAGACCGGTCGAAAGGCCATCAAAGGCCCGCAACGCTCCAATGTGATGTTGCTGCGCTGTACACGACTGAGCGACCAGTCTGGCAGGTGGGGGCACTAAGACTATTTCGGGTAGGCGGGCATGACGTAGCGAGGGCCGCATCCTGACACCGGAATCTTCTGGTTGCTGCCAGGTTCTTCGGCCGGTGGAACTGCGGAAGGCACCACCACGTTCGAGACAAGGCAGGAACACTCGTGATGCTGCTGGCCTTCAATGGTTACTTCTCGCGACAGGACCTTGCAAGTATATAACAATCGAGCATCTCCTAGCTCCAGTCCCATCATCAGAATTCACAAAGATTACAACCACAGCCCACTTGCATAGTGCTCAAGACATTACTCACTAGAGATTCACACCACTCGATACCCCGCTGGCTTATACGCCATACAACCAAGGCTCTAGCCGCACACCACAATGACTTCTTTCGACGCCTACACAGACCGCGCCGCAAAAGCTCTGGGAGACAGCTTCGAGCTGGCCAAGGACTATGCGCACTCACAGCTCACCCCACTTCATCTTGCGGTCTCGCTAATAGATCCGCCAAAAGATCAAGCCAACCAGGTCGACATACCACCACCACCGCTGTTCAAACAAGTCATTGAACGCGCCAATGGCGATGCACAACTCTTCGAACGCGCTCTCAAGAAGGCCCTGGTACGATTACCAAGCCAGGACCCTCCGCCAGAGCGCACGTCGCCCTCACCGAAGATGGCGGAGATCCTCCGAAAAGCAGAAGAGCTCAGTCGAACACAGAAGGACAGCTTCATTGCCGTCGACCATCTCATCCAGTCGCTCTGCAAAGATGCTTCGATCCAACGATGTCTCGCCGACGCGAATGTTCCGAATGCGAAGCAAATTGACAACGCCATCCAGGCGCTACGAGGCACCAAGCGAGTCGATTCAAAGACGGCTGATGCGGAGCAGGATAATGAGAACTTGAAGAAGTTTACCATCGACATGACTGCTATGGCACGGGAAGGAAAGATCGACCCAGTCATTGGCCGTGAAGAAGAGATTCGACGAGTCATCCGCATTCTGTCACGACGAACAAAGAACAACCCTGTTCTGATCGGAGAGCCTGGTGTCGGTAAGACTACAGTCGTTGAGGGTCTTGCCCGCCGTATCGTCGACGCAGATGTGCCCGCCAATCTTGCAGCCTGCAAGTTGCTCTCCCTGGATGTTGGTGCTCTCGTTGCTGGCAGCAAGTACCGCGGAGAATTCGAAGAGCGTATGAAGGGCGTCTTGAAGGAGATTGAAGAGTCCAAGGAGATGATAGTATTGTTCGTGGACGAAATACATCTGCTTATGGGTGCTGGTTCTTCTGGCGAAGGTGGCATGGACGCTGCCAACTTGCTCAAGCCTATGCTCGCCCGTGGACAGCTGCACTGTATTGGTGCAACCACCCTTGCCGAATACCGCAAGTACATCGAGAAGGATCAAGCTTTCGAACGTCGTTTCCAGCAGGTCCTGGTCAAGGAGCCTTCGGTTCCAGAGACCATCTCCATTCTGCGTGGTCTGAAGGAGAAGTACGAGACTCATCACGGTGTCACCATCATGGACGGCGCCATTGTCGCTGCTGCCACGCTCGCTGCTCGCTATCTGACACAACGTCGCCTTCCAGACTCTGCCGTCGATCTAGTTGATGAGGCAGCAGCAGCTGTGCGTGTCACTCGAGAGTCACAGCCCGAAGCACTCGATAACCTTGAACGCCGCCACCGTCAACTACAGATCGAGATTCATGCTCTCTCTCGTGAGAAGGATGAGGCATCGATCCAGCGTCTCAAGGAAGCTCGCGCCGAGGCGGCCAACATTGAAGAAGATCTCAAGCCTCTCCGCGACATGTATGAGCGCGAGAAGGGCCGCAGCCGCGAGATTCAGGACCAGAAGGTCAAGCTTGATGGTCTCAAGAACAAGCTTGCTGAGGCTGACCGAATGCGCGACATTCAGACTGCTTCAGACTTGAAGTACTACGCCATTCCTGATGTTGAGAGTCGTATTACGGAGCTCGAGAAACAGAAGGCCCAAGCAGACGCCGAGATGTGGGCTCACAAGGATGGTGACGGCCATGCTTTGCTCAGCGACTCTGTCGGGCCCGATCAGATCAACGAGATTGTCGCTCGGTGGACAGGCATTCCTGTCACTCGGCTCAGGACAACTGAGAAGGAGAAGCTACTTCATATGGAGCGTCACCTCAATACTACAGTTGTCGGACAGAAGGAGGCTGTCACTGCAGTTTCCAACGCCATTCGTCTGCAGCGTTCCGGTCTTGCCAACCCCAATCAACCACCTAGTTTCCTCTTCTGTGGTCCGTCTGGTACCGGTAAGACATTACTCACTAAGGCTCTTGCCGAGTTCCTCTTCGACGACCCAAAGTCGATGATCCGTTTCGACATGTCTGAGTACCAGGAGCGACATTCCCTTAGCCGAATGATTGGCGCGCCTCCTGGCTACGTTGGTCATGATGCTGGAGGTCAGCTTACCGAGGCCCTCCGACGCAAGCCTTTCTCAATTCTGCTCTTTGATGAGGTTGAGAAGGCTGCCAAGGAGGTTCTGACTGTACTCTTACAGCTTATGGATGACGGACGTATCACCGACGGGCAAGGTCGCGTCATCGATGCGAAGAACTGCATTGTCGTCATGACCTCTAACTTGGGTGCCGAGCACCTTGCTCGCCCGAACAATCCCGATGGTAGGATCGACCCCACCACTAGGGAGCTGGTCATGGGCGCATTGCGAAGCTGGTTTCTTCCCGAGTTCCTCAACCGTATTTCCAGCATCGTCATCTTTAATCGTCTTACTAAGAGAGAGATCCGCAAGATTGTCGATGTGCGTATGGGAGAAATCCAGAAGCGACTTTCGTCCAACGGGCGGAATGTCCGCATCGCCTTGTCACCGGAAGTCAGCGATTATCTTGGTTCGGCTGGTTACTCGCCTGCCTATGGTGCACGCCCGTTGGCCCGCCTTATTGAGAAGGAAGTTCTCAACCGACTTGCGGTGCTCATCTTGCGTGGCGCCGTTAAGGATGGAGAAGTTGCACGTGTTGAATTGGACGATGGACACATTGTCGTCGTGCCTAATCATACTGACAGCGAAGAGGATTCGGAGATGTACGACGAGTCTGACGCTGTAGCTGAACTGGAAGACGAGGATGGCGGCATGGACCTTTACGACTAGATGTCGCCTACGGTTGGATGTCACAACAGAGGTGTGGCTTGATAGAATCACGATTGACGAAAGCCGGTAAAGCATAGGTGTTACGGCGTATGGGAGTACATGTTTGGATTAGACTTGCACCTGTTTCACAAGGTGCGATTCATGTGTAGTTTGAAGAGTATATAGTACCGCATTGACCAACTGGGCTTTTAGTATAGTTATTCAATCCAAGATGGATAAAACCAAACTTGATTGCCAGCCTGCCTTCCATGACTGTGGTCGAAACACGATCGTCGAAAGCCGTTGCTGTCATGGATATCTCGGCACTCTTCGAAAGATGCATATGTTGCTGCCTGTGAATATAGAAAAGTCACCACAAACATATTCCGTTATGTTTCTCAGCACTTTCGAGCTCTGATGTAGAACACAAACACGTATACTTAAAGGAACCCGCTGTTTAGACTCCTGGTGTCATGGAGTTTGTGCCTTTCTGATAGCTATTGTGTGGCACGCGTTTTGAGTACGCCTTGAGATCGCAGTGGTGGTGGAACACACTTGTTCGCTTATGCGGTGCTGTACATCAAGGGAGGTGGTGTACATTGTGGTGTTCGCTTGCTAGCTAGCTCAGAGAATCTGGGTTTCAGAAGGGTTTGCGACATGAACATGATGTGTGCTTTTATTTGCTCATTTGGTCTGTCTATGTCTCCTGGCCTAGGCGTCCTTGTTTTGGGCAGATTGGAGCTCAAGGGTATTGTCTCCAATGCTGGTTGTTACAGCCTCGGTCGGGGTTACATTGGCCGACGACGTCTCCCTCTTCCTCTTTTTGACTTTGAATCGTCGCGAAGCGGCTCGTGCTCTCTGTCCGTCCATGAAAGCCTCTCTAGATAGTGTCAGCCACCAAGCGCAAGGCTGAATCTACTGGAAGATGTACCTCGACCCTTGTTTTGCTAACCCATCGGCGGCATCATTGCCCACATCGTCCGAGTGCCCCTTGACCCAAAAGAATCTTGTTTCTGCACCCAGCTGTGTCCGGTCTCTTATTGTTTCCTGAAGCTCATGGAGGAGACGCTCGTCCTCCTTATGAAGGCCTTTGGCTTTGCTCCAGCTTTCTCGCAGCCATCTGCGATGCCAATCGGTGGCCCCTTGAATAGCATGCAACGAGTCGCTGCGAATAAGTACATTCTTATGCGCTGGTACTTTTTCCAGTGCGATTTTGACGGCCATGATCTCAGCACGTTGATTGGTCTGCCTGCCAGGCCCTAATGGCTCACCGTAGTTCCTTTGAAGGTGTAAGACACATTTCGATACTTCCCAGGTCTGAGCGCGACCAACCTTGGATCATCAGGGCCAAATCACACACCTACACCAGCAGCGGCATTTTTTTTGCCTGGGTTTAGCCCGCTGCCATCGGTATCGATAACGATGTATCTGGAAGTGTCAATTTCCATGAATGCAATGCAGCCACTACCAAGATAGCGATATGTAGGGTGACAAGTCGCGTGTTAAGCACGCGACGCGACGCGACGTGACCTACTGCAGATGCTTGTAAAACGCCAAGCCAGATCGTTGTCTAAGCATGCCACCTGAATGGCTCAAATATATCGGTTGTCAAAGCTAAGTGCGATATTTCATATTACTCTATCAAGCCTGTAACCTAGCCTCGCTGTGCAAATCTTGCTTGTCGAAGTATACCAGGCTCACAGCTCGCCAAATTTCCTTGAACTCATGCATCGCGACGCCACACGATCGAAACCCAGTTACCCCTCTTATCATTAGTAAGCAGGAACTCGACAGAAGGTAAATGAGTCATGGATTCCCACCATCTCCTCAACCTCTCAGCTTGCCACTCATCCCACGTCCATCCAGTGCGTTCCTTTATTATCTTATCAATTTCAATGTCAGGGCCTAGATCGAAGCTGCAGCAAACGATATTACCATCCACCCGAAGGTCCTGGATCATCTTTGGAAGACCTTCGAAATAATTCGGGACCCACCCCTCAATGCCACCTCGACGTTCAAGCCAGCGACGGTCGGTAAGCAGATCGTTTGCGAAATATACATCCATAGCGGCTTGATAAGCACTGTCTTCAAGAACGACTTTGAAGATCTCTGTGGTTTCCGCCAAAATCGGGGCGCCATCCAGAACAAGGTTAAAGCAGTTCGCTGGCATACCCAGTGCAGAGAGCGATGTCGCCTCTACGACCCACGAAGTTACTTCATCAGTAATCCAGCCTCTTACAAGCCGCCAGGAATCGGGTACGCTTCGGTCGGGACTAGCACTGGGGAAAACACTTTTCCAAAGGTTGGCATGCCTACGAATGCGAAGTTTCGGGTTTTCTCTGCAGTAGGGGATCAACCCTCGCGCATGGCTTTCGGGGAATGCAACAGCAGCTTGGGCCTCTACGAGTTCAATGTCTCGTAGAAGATTGCGTGATGCAAACGAGTTCGAGCCCAGCCACTTGATTGCCAACGAGGTGGCGGAGAAGGCGTAGTCCTCGCTTGGCATTGTGAAATAATGTCGGCTCCAGTCTTCTTCAGGGTAAAATGTTTTCTTTATCCGTTCGGCATCCTCTCGATCTAGCACAGACCAGGACTTAGGAATAGATCCTACAAAATCTGCGTCGACGAGGCTAGCTCTTGCAACTTCAGCGTCCGTAAGAGTAGCCCAGTCGGGATGCTTTGAAAGAAGTGTAAAGAGAAGATCCACGAAGTCTCGAAAGATGGATTGCGGCTGACCATAAGATATTGGGTAATGATCTTCGAAAATGGGCTGCTCGCTTATGTCATCGTAGTTCAAGAGTTCCGCAAATCCGTCCAGAACAGGCCGAAAGTAAGGAAACTCGCTTGCAACTTGATGCTTGACGTCTTCTGTTAAGAGAGAAGGGCCGACCATGCATATCTTGACCCACTTTGTTCGCAGAATCCTGTTTACCGCTGCATGCAACACACCTGCGTCATGACTGGATTCCGGTGTGCAATAGCTTCGGAAGGTGACTTTGTTTTTCTGCATGGGGAGTCCTTCCATCTCTTGATTCATTCTGCGACAAACGCGCATGAGTCGGACGTCTATCCTGCCACCGTCGCTAGCTTGGACAAGCTTGTTGTCGTCTGCGTCGTACACGTAGCCACCATAGACTGTAATGTACTCGTCATAGATCATGTCTCGGAGCTCTCGTGGTAATGTGAATATTCGACATTGTAGTTGAAGATGGTTGGGTTTTGGCGTTGATGGGTGGAGGGCGGCCGAACTGGAGATACCCTCACTTGTCAAAGAACTATTGGTGGACATTCTGTATGGATCAGACAGTGATTGCAACGGAGAATGGTGGGAGTGTTCTCTCCATTTATTAGTTTTCACCTGGCTGGAATCATCCGTTCATGGTTCAGACCCGAGTACTACTGGGTCTGACTCACGTGTGAACCAAGTTTTCGATCTGTTTTAGTTTGCGGGAGGGCACCGCTTTTTATGATTTTATTGATAAAGCACGAAAAACAGGGGTATATCGCGAAAAATCTCACAAAACAGGCCAAAGCCCTCTGCCTGTGGCACAAATGTCGTTACGTACTTGTTGCAGCAAAGTATATTCCAAGGATCTAAGAGTAGAGTTAGCAACAGTTATCAGATAATTACAGGGACTGACACCAACACTCACGCATCGTGAATCACGTGCGGTTCCAAGAGCTTCAGGGACGCGACCTCATCTCAACGTCAGCAAAGGTATCAGCGTCGTTATCCTGATCTTTACTCACGTATTGCGCGACCCTTGTGCGTATGACTGTGCTAGTGTAACTAGTGGCAGGTTGAATCTTTCTGGGTGTATAACTAACAGGTTGACTCAATTCAACGATCGCGAGTGCAGCTGCCCACAACCATGGATTCGATATATCTATGAATGGATTAGTACATTCAATCGACCATTGTATTGCTATTACTGACTGGGTGGCCCTGTGGGAGTTCTGAGGTTCGATTAGGACCAACAATTTTTGTTTCCGGAAGAACTGACTGAAAATTTTTCGAGTCCCTGAACCATATTCAACCCGCGATACCATGGAAGACCTGTGACTCCGAGCCCTTGATGAAGCGTTAGTCAACCGATTCAAGTACGTTGGTGTCTGCTTGACTTACAGTTCCCATGGTAAGAGCAGACCACGAGCCAGTCCTGTTCGGATGTCAGTCGACCAGCCATGAAATACCTATTTCGGCACAACTGGACGAGACTTACGTGTTCCATGCCGTTCACAATAAGAGCTGCCTCCCTTGAGTGTCAGTATTGAGTTGATTTGAAACCAGATGGCGAGATGTTACGCATCGCCAACGTCCTCTGTAGGTCTTCGAACCCGACTGGAAGCCGGCATGGCTAGATCTCCGACCAATGTGTCGTCTGAGGCGACGACTCTTCGTCTTCCTGACAGACGTCGATCAACTCGTCTCTTAGCCGCTCGACGGGCGCCATACCAAGGTTCCAATACAAGTAAGGGAGAAGGTGTCGCCCCAGATACTACAGTGCAGTCATCTCAAACGGGCTTGGAGCCACCACACTACCCATCTGGGAGCTTGCAACCAACGCAATCGTCACAGGAGCAAGCAAGCTCATCTCCTGTGTCTTCCAGCTCGCAGCCCAAAGGTCCGCTTTCCGACACAGCAAAGACTACAAGCAAGAAACGCGGTCGCCCACGTCTTGGTGACTTATCAAACGTGAAGAAGGCGCGCCATGATACTAGTATAGTAGCCTGGTTCGTACGTGAGGGAGCTTCACATCCCGCGAAACAGACCCTTCCGACGGTCACTGAACAATGTAATGCCTCGCCAGATGAGGAGGAGGAGTGGCATGATGTCGAGGAGGAAGCTTGAAGATTGGCGCCTGCGTTCGACGCTTCGCAACCAGCTCACATAGCTCAACATGTGCTAGAAGCTCCACATAAAAACCTCTCAATAGGCCACACAAATGTAAAATGGTGCTGCTGTACTTGTGAAAAGGGTAGGCAGATCGCGCGACTGGCTCGACTGCAGCCCTTCTAGTAGCCGTGCATCCATTGTCCCATGTTGAATGCCGTTCATCTTGTTTGACGAAGATTTTTTCCGTAACGATCTGATGGAGACATTCTGGACACGACAGATCCGCGATTTATGTGCTTCGGGATAATCAATCTCAGCGACAGGACGTGAGAGACCGCGCAACCGAGTTTGATGTATCGAATGGAGGCGTCTAGCTGAACTGTAGACATGCTCTTCGTCGTCTGGATATCGCTGCACTTTAAGTAGTTGCATCCAGCATACAGTCGTATTCAAGTCGCCGGTTCATGATCCTCCATACAGTAGTCAAGTAGGCGCATCAAGGTGGCTCAGTTTCGGTTCACTGCTGTGATCAAGTACTCAAGCTCCGAACTCTTGCGCTGCAGTATCGCTTCGTGTTCGCTTTTGCAGATGATCCGTTTGTCGAGGGAGGATTGCGCTCATGATGATATGCCAGGGGGAAGATTCCCCTCAAGGAACGGAGTAAGTCTTAGATAGCGCCGGGGACTAGCTCCGTTAGCGTCCTCATCAAAGTCTCCTCGTTTTCCAGCGGCACTTCTTATCCACCTCATTGAAGGAGGGAACATTTGCATCATTCGATATGGGCGGGCATTGACCTTTCGATAACCAGTACTATTGATAAGAGTTTCACAGTGCTGCGGTGACCTTTAGGGTACCAGTCTCCGCCTACATGATTTCCCCATCCAACGGACACGAAAGACCAGGTTGTCTGTAAACTTCCCAGCTAACACGCGCTCGCAGGGTGTTGGGATAGTGTACGGCTAACACGTACAGTTAGACGTCTACACAACATGCGAAAACACTGTTCCGACAAATAGAGTTTGTATACCATAGTGGTGTAGAAGTCAAGTTTGCGTCCAACCGCGGCCTGGTTGACAACCAGTCCACGACCCGCATTAGCCAGTACAGATGCAACACCTCTTCTAATTTGAGAGCAAATCTGATGCCAGAGTCGCTCATACGCATTATGCAGTCCAGTCACGCTAGTTCAAGTCTGTAATCAACGGGCCCTACGTAGCGTTAGCAGCTATATCCCACATTTACATTCACCAGCTTACCATGTACACCACATTCCTGTATCTGATCTTCCAAAGCCCATCGCGCTTGACCCACGAATCTTGGTACTGCGCAAACGCATACAGTGTGTCCGAGTCATCCTCTATTCCAGCCGCGCCCACCGTAGCGTTTGGGCGCAGAAAGTGCGTCGCTTGGAAGTACGTCGCGCTCACGGCAGTGTTCTTGTCACAGATACGGATCCGCTGAGTGCCGAGGAGATGTTGGGTCCCAGGAAATTGAGCGAGGGAGGCGGAGAGTGTGGTTTTGATGGCTTCGACACCGGTCAGGACTCCCAATGGGGCTGAGTAGTCGGCTGTCGCGTCTGCAGTGAAGACATCGGGCAGCGATTCGAAGGAACGACCGTCAATGATTATAGCATACTGGGAGAGTGTTTGGCGAATGTCTTCGATGTCAGCCACATCATTAGTGATCTTCTGGCGTGGAAAGTACGACGTGAGTTGTGAGACGGGTACTGGGCTGGGCGAATATTGAGCGCACGATCTTGAGGTGGCAGCCTGAGCAATGGCGAATAGCAGTGATGCTGCTACAAAGATCCTCATGATCGAAGATGTTGTTCTAGTGACGTCGCTTTCGCTTTCAGAGCACACACTGGGAAGCACCTTGCACTCGGGACACTAACGAAATTGAATCAGAAATTGGGAGTGAGGCTCGATCGGAAAGTGCGGGGAGCGATATTTGTAGAATTCAAAAAGCCAAAGAGGAAGGTTGGATGAAGCGGCAGGCAGCATCCCTGTCTGCGCTGGTGCCCGAGACAACATGCGAGCCGTTCTCCACAATCAGGCAAGCCATTCTCAATTCATCCGCACGAGGCCACCCAAGGTCGCACAAGCCGTCAACGGCGTCGTGGTACTGTTGAGGTTGAATGTGGATGAGACCGCTGGTATTTCTGATGGCCAATTCTTACCTAGCTATCTACCCAATTGTGACTCGTTGTGTTCCGTCACACACTCTCCAGCATATCAGAGTCTAGATGAAATGCCGATCGACAGATATATTTGTATCTTTCGCATTGATGATTTGCTTAGGCATACAGTACATATGGCTCGTCGATGAACGCGCTCACTTTGATACATAAGCGTTAGGCAAACGTCATTGCCTCGATCGCCAACCTTCTTGGTAGCTCGCCGAGCTCGACATATCGGTATATAGTGGACTGTCCAACTGTGCGGACGATTGCCCTTCCCTCTATATCTCGCAATCCACGCAAGAAGGTAACAAGATCCTTTGTGTGGCAGCAGATATGCTTATCTATGTACCTGTACAGAATGTTGTCGAAGTACGCTGAATTCGAGCGAAGGACGCTCACGTGTATGAAGAATGGTACTGGGCGAGAAAGCTAGATGATTACCCCCTCGGATGAATCGTACGTGTACTCGTCGACGTCGTTCAAAATCCGGAGTCAATTTCCTGCGCCTCGCCGTCCTCGGTGGTGTACCCTTGATCGTTGTCGTGTTCATCGTCACTATACTGCTGTTCGAAAAACACTCGTTTTTGTTCCTCTGAGCTCTCGTCGTCGCTACTCAGCTCATAGTCTGTATCTGAATCGACAGAACTCGGTCGATTTGTGACGCGCTTCCAGGCCCTTTTACCGGCTGTGTCGTCGTCTTTGACAGTCGCTGATATGACCTCGCGCTCTAAGCCTACATAAACAGTGATAAGTCTGCCATCAAGTCTTGGATGCGGCAGCTTCCGTTTGACAGTAGGTATCGTAAGAGCCACTCGGGAATGTACTTCGGCGCATCGTTCAGAAAGCGTGATTGCTTTGTCAAATCATTGTCCTCCCGCTCAGACATGGCTGATGACTTATTTCGCAGTTGATGCGAATGAACTAGGCTTGGGGCTTTGCAATTGCGGAGCGGCGCCAATTCTATGGTCAAGGCGCACGAAGGAAGCTGTGAAAGAGAGCACACTAGGATTTCGTCACTAGTGACACACTTCACTACTGTGCAAACGAGATGCTATAAACGCCATCGCATTAACTGCTGTCAATCCACGTGCTTTTACAATCTAGATGAAACAGCACGCAGCCTCTACCCTCAAGGCTTCTCAAACAATGTACCTAGAAGTACACAGGTCATTCCGGCTCATGATACTCCTTATCAACCGCACGCAAAGTATCAGCAACAGACCGTCTCCCCACGCGATTCCTCCTAACCGCATTGGCGAGCTCACGCAAATCGTCCTTGAACTCGCTCTCGTATTTCACAGCCTTCGACAGCTTTCTGTAGCTCCACGTCGACAGCGCCAACATCGCGACCAGACACCGATGGTTGCTTCCCTTCTCGCTGTTCTTGTATATTGTCTCGCCGAAGCACTCGGGTTGCGCGTTGCACCTGGCCATCTTCTCAATCGCGGCTCTGAACACGAAGTTGCAGAACCGCGTGTCCTCGAGCTCGCGGGCGAGGACGTAGCAGGCGCACCAGTGGTGCCAGAACGCCTCGTCATGGGCTTCGCTCCCGCTGCTGAGGAAGGGCATCGAAAAATTTCCTTCGCAGGTTGAGAAGCTGGCGTAGGTGCGGAAGAGGATTGAATCGATGTGGAAGAGAACCAGGGTTTTGCCGTCGAGAATCTCGGGGTTCCAGTGGGGGATAAGGTACTTGGAAGTGCTAAGAAAGACTGCATGAATGTAGAAGGTGACACCGTCTTTGACAATGATCCGCATGGGTTCCGACTCGGTGCTGGATGCGTGTTAGCAACTGGAAGGTTGCAAATGCAAGAATTTGATGATGGGCGACTTACAAGTGATATTCGCTTTCGTCAGAATAATTTGTGAGAGTAGAATGGGCAGGAGAACAGTCTCCCGCAAGGATTCTATCTAAGGTGCGCTGGCACATGGTGTTTGATGAAGACGTTGTGTTTGTTGAAGACATTGTGTGCTAGCACGTGCGACTTGCGTGTGACTCGTGTGTGACCTTTGTATGTTCAGGTGGAGTTAATTTTCAGGAGCTCAGATGGTATGATAATCTTCAGAGTTCAGTGTGGATTGAAGAGCAGGAATAGTAGTGGCACGAGAGTTTTACTTATACCTGATGCTACGAGATCCGTGTCTTAGCCGAACCATCGAACGACTGGGGCAGAGCACAGCATTATCCAATTGTAGTTATCATGCAATGGTTGACAGGGTCAAATTTTAAAAACCTTGGTTTGCCAGGGCCAACGCATCAATATCGTTACTGATGCCCAAAGATTGCATGCAATCGCCAATTCAATTGCCATGGGAAGGCGAAAGGCTTAATTGATAAACACAATAGATACTGCTGATACACAGGAGAATCTCCATGGTTAAAATTGACTATAAAATTGTTCTGTGACTAAGAGAAACATTGCTCTCGCATTTTCAAACGAATTGTGTTGTTTTGGTAGTTGACGGATCATGAAAACTGGAACATAAAGCAATCTTGGTCCATATATCCGAGCCAGAAGTCCACCAATGCCCAGGTACACGTGTCTCAGTGTAGGAAACAACCGAAAGATGACAGCGGATGATCGAATTTTAGGCGGGCTGGTTGGCTCCTATGCGACGACAGGAAGAAATATTGTAGTCGACCAGGAACGATGTTGTGTTGTATCTCTGGTACAGGAGACCCTTCAGCTGTGACTTCCCCGTGCCAACATCAGAGGCCCCTCTCAACTTTGTAGCAAGGAGCGCCGCTCAAGGTATGCTCGTGGTACTCGCAAGTGTCCTCGTCCTTGAGGAACGCCCTGGGGCATTGTTTCTTGCAACCAGCGCGCAACACGTCTGCCATGCCAACCAGGAGGTCAGTTAAGAACTCATGAGGAAAGTTCCGTTCAGGAATCGACTTGAAGAGCTTATTTGTCCACGCGTTGATGGCGAGATCGAGAGCTAGCTTCCTGTGAGGCGATTTTGCCGAACAATTGAGATAGGCCAACTTTGGGAGACACATGTAGCTTATGTCCAGTTGGATCAACTTCTCGATCATGGCATCGATCAGACTGTCTTTGAAGTTGGTATCTTGGAGGAAGCCGCCAAGTATGTAGCACCTGTCGAGTGAATTCTATTCGCCGTCGACAGTATCGCCGAGACTGTTTCGTGCTTTCGCACCCTCTTCTTTACCGTCCTTTACTGTGCAAATGCGACCAGTGTACAGCCAGTCAATGTAGACCTTGAAATCCATTGGGCTTTGGTCAAGAAGCATGATTGTCGTTGTAGACTTCTCCTTTCCGTCGTTCTTTAGTGCCTTCTTGAAGAAGTTGGAGCTGGCGATCAAACGCGTGTCATGAACGTAGTAAGTGATAGGCTCTTCTTTCCCCACGATGACTGTGATTGGTGCAGAGTCGAATCTAAGTATATCAGCGTCAGCAATTGCCCTATCAAGAAACAGGGGAATGTATACTCAAAAGTCGTGCTGGTTAGGTAGCGGATCTTTTTGCACGCAGAGCCATCGGCGGTAGCTTCAGTGCCGCGTTTCCTCGAAGGGGTTGTGCCGGGCGTTGCCATCGTGTCTGTGGTGTTGACGGATGAAGAGAGGAAGGGAAGCAGGGAATTGGTAACATAAGTAGAGGAAGGTAAGAGCGATTGTTTGCGATGCACAAGAGCAGAAACGCCAAGAGCCAGCCACCAGGATCAGAGGAAGTAAAGGTCAATCGCGAAGCAAGGATGGTGAGGCGAGGCAAGCAAATTAATAGACAAGAAATACAGAACCGCTGCAGCGTCAGAAGCATTAAAAGAAACATCTACGACACCACGACACACCGCGCCCTTACCCTCGCACCCGCAAACCCCGCGGAACCAAGTCTTCCTCCTCCTCTTCACAGTCCTCCACCACCGGACTAGGCGGCGGCGTATCATCCACGCCCTCAAACTCCTCGCCCTCCCTCCCCGCGACCCCAAAAGCGCCATACATACTTCCGCGGCTGGGCTGCGGCAACAGCCGCCCGTGGGGCGCTCCTGCACAACTAGCCCCGCGCTCAGAGTGCTCCTGCGCGATGAGCTGGCGGTACCGGTCGACGCGCTCCTCTACTGTTTCAAGGGGGTCGTGGCCGCGCTGCTTGGGGTTGCGGGTCGGTGCATTGAAGGAGGCGATGGATGTGGGGCGTGAGGCTGAGGTGTAGATTGATGATGGTGGACGGGGCGGGGAGAGCATGGAGTCGTGGCGCGAGGGGGCTCGAGGGAGGGGAGTGAGGGTGTCTTGTGCGACTGGGTGGAGGTGAGTGGAGTTAGCAGAGCGTGTGGCTGAATCTGTGGTTGATTGTGTGGTTGAACGTGGCGTGCAGGGCTGAATCGATGCGCTGGGATCTGAGGGGTGCTCGTGGTTCCAGGCATCGGTGAAGGAGGGTGGGCGTGAGTTGCGAGGGGAGTCCTCGCTGATGATGGGTTTGTCGTCTTGCATCCAGTTTTTGGGGCTGAATGGGGTTGAGAGGTCCACAGCGATGTCTGGCTGGTCGTCAAGGCAGTGACGGGCAGTGACTGGAGGCTCGTAAAGACTGTCTCGTGTGTATCGCGTTGACTGCTTAGACTCTCGAAGGGAGACCTTTGCATCATGCCGCAACATCTTTAACTCCACACCAAGATCGTAAGCCTCCTGAACTGCCTGATCGCCATTAGCATGTTTGCGCATCCAGTACCGCACAAACCGCAGTCCCTTGCTCTTTACTTTGTCTGCACCTTTCTGGCCGCCGCTGCGCGATCGCAGATGGCCATACATACCGGCGAAGAGCGCGAACAATGCATTTTCATCTGAGCCTAGGCGCGCAAGCATACAAGCCGGGCAGCCGTTCTTCTGGTAGGCCCATTTTGCTCCGGTATCGATGGGTGGTTTGCCAGGTGGTGCAGATCCAGCGAGCGTCCACTCAGGGAAGAACATTTCCACGACTGGCTCGAGCTGGCGAACTCGATACTCATCCGCCTCAGAGAGAATGCCAGACATTACGATGGGATATAGAAACCGACCCACCGCAACTTCTAGCTCGAACCTAATCCAGGCCCAAATATCATCCACGAGATGAACATCAAGACCTCTATGAGTGCGACAAAGGAGCCCATGCGAGGATAGAATCGACGACCGAAGCCGGCGTGGAAGGTTTTTGATAGCACCCTGGGTAGCTTTCTCGTACTGAGCATCTTCAAAGTCCATAGATTGAGGATCGTTGCGCAAGACACGTACCATGTTCTTAATGTCTGCGCCATGGAGACGGCGCGTTTCCATTTTGTAGAACATTTCGAGCGTGGTAGTCAAGATATTCTATATGGTGTGTAAGATGTCTGGGCGCGGAACCTTTAGCTTAGATCCGTATTACTCGTGTGTTGGTGGATGAATTTGTGTTTCATCTGCTACATTGCTTTAGGGAACAAACATATACTGATTGTTAGCTGAGGCATTGTGTAGGCTCGATGGAGTGTGTTGTCGTCATTGTGTGTGAACGGCAGGAAGACGCGCATTAACATCATTGTAGACAAAGCCCAGTCTCAGTGCGGTTCGTCCATTATGTTCAATTGGCTGAGACATGTAAACACGAGACATGTTGCTCGTTATTTTATGTCTCGAATAGACGCTCTAGTTCCGATCAGCATGGTTTCATCCAGTTCAATCGCAAAAGATCCACACATGAGCATATACTAAGAACAGATTCGATTGAGTATTGTGATCCAATCGCCCATGCGCCAATCCAGACCTCATAAAACCCATGAAGCGAATGAAGAGTTTCTAGCCATCAAGTAAAATGGGCTAAAAATGCCACGCCGGGCAAGAAAGATGTTGAAGAAATGTTAAACGAAGTAATACAGTTGAAGGCGAAGATTGTGTACCGGAACTATACATTAGGTATCGCAAATGCATGTATGCAGAAAGGCGAGGGAATGCCGCGTTAACGTGAGCTCTCAGCCCGGAGGACGCCAGCTCCTCTGCCGTGCAGATTCTGATTGACTTTGTTTGTCAGGTCTTTGAAGTTTCCTGCCGAGGACGAGATGCTTAGTGCTTTCTTCCGTGAAATGCGTGGTGTCGAGGCGCCCTGCGCCCGCAGACTCTCGTCGCTTGTAGCAGCGTCTGCCAAGACTGCGTTGAGCTCGTTCTCCTTCTCTTGGTCAAACTTTTCCTGCGCAGTGCGACGTGCACGCTCGTACTTTGATGCTGTGTCGCCCTTGTACATGGTCCCGCCAATGCGGTCGAGGTAGACGAAAAAGGGTTGCGAGAAGTTGGTCTTGATGCCCCAACTCTGGTGGTGGATGTCGTGGTAGGCCGCGTTGTTGGGGAAGATGAAGTGGAGTGGGTCGTATGGAAACTCGTAACCGCTGTGATCAAGCACGGTCTTGATGGTTGATCCGGTGAAGAACCACATGGACTGGCGCATTGACATTCCTGTGAGCAGGTATCCAAGGCCGCCGCCCAGTGTGTCGAGAGCGAAGCCCTCGAGTGGGTGGTTGTATAGAGCGCCGTACGCGTAGGGGACGTAGAGGCGGTGGTGGCGTGAGTGGAAGGTCACTGTTGCTGTCAGCTTTCACACTCGCTTTGAGAATGCTGGTGCTTACCGTAGAGCCATTTGTTCATGTGCATCGCGCGGTGCAGCATGTACTCCCAGGCGTCGATGATGACGATGGCAGCCATGAACTGGAGCGCAGGCACGGCGTACCAGTACAGGAAATTGGCTACATTGAGCTCCCACGAAGCGAATGCAGTCAGCCCAGGGTACTGTCCGCCGGCAATGACGGCTGCCAAGGTGGGCTGTGCTGCAGACAGCTTGGAGGCCAGCGCGGTCGGGTCGAATCCAGCGAGAGAGAGGACGAAAGGGACAGCACGCTGGGCGACACGCAGGTTCTGAGCGTACCAGGCCACGTCGTACTCTGCTGTGCCGGTAGTGGGCGCATCGTCGTAGTATGAGAGGCCCAACATGGCGGCCGACTGGATGACCTGCTGTAGAACTACGTCTCGGAACACCTCCCATCGCGTGACATGGTTGCGCTTGAGGACCTCGGCGGGCGTGTGCAGGCGGTACTTGGCGAAGAGGTCGTAGACATCGATTACGTGGAACAGGAGGGAGACGCCCCAGTATGCGATGATTGGCAGGGCTGTCTGGATGGTCGCGTCCGACGCCCAGGAGACGAGCGGCGTGAGCGGCGTGAGCGTGTATTCGGGCAGCGCAGGCAGGCCGTGTGTGGTGACGTTGCTCGCCATGGCGGCGGTGTGGTGTGTTGGCGGGCTATGCAGTGTGTCGGTGAAGGTGCGGTGGTGGTCGCGATGTATGACGGGTGTAGGGCAGAGGGCAATGAAGCTGCGCACTCGGTCGGATGCCGCGGAACAGGGAGATTAGGGGGAAACGGCGTCGCGGGCGGAGCTGGGGCGCCTGGCGGGGCAGTCGATCTACAGGGCTCGAAAGGAGAGGCTTTGGTGGGCAGAGCAGTCGGGGGCCGGTCGTGTGAGAGTGGTGCAGGCGCTGCTGAAAACAGGCGCAGGCCGCATCATGATTCCGTCTCCCGTCCGAATCCCGATGCGCGCAGCACGGCCAGCACTGACTGGCTGTTTCGCCACCAAGCGAGCAAGCGAGCCAACCCTGGCAGCGCAGGCCCCGCTTGGGCTTGTAGTCTCGAAGCGGGCTAGCGGCCGAAAGTGGTATAGCTTTTCAACCCCACCAAAGAATTGCACCCCGAGAGCGTGAAAACAAAAGCTGGCCCTTAGCCTTCACTCCCACACTCACTTTCCACCGCACAAATCTCACAGCCGCCGCCATGATCATTTTCAAGGTGAGTCGACGCCGCTGCTGTGCTGCGCCCGCGTGCGCGCCTACCCCGCCTTTCTCGGGCACCAGCATGGCCCGCCCACGTCAAGCCCCTACTAACACGGGCTTGTAGGATATCCTCACCGACGACGAGATCATCTCCGACTCCTACGACCTGAAGCTGGTTGATGGTGTTGTCTACGAGGCCGACTGCAAGAAGATCAGCGTCGGTGGTGAGACCTTCGGTATGCCGCGCCCCACCAGTCACTGTTGCTCGAATGAGGGGCGCTAACACAGCGCAGACACCGGTGCCAACGCTTCTGCTGAGGAGGCCGAGGAGGGTGCTGAGGATGGCGTCGAGACCAAGATCGACGTCGTTTACTCTTTCCGCCTGAATGAGACCGGTTTCGACAAGAAGGGCTACCTGACCTACCTCAAGGGTGAGTGGTTGTCCTGAGATTAGCGTTTGCACTCTCTAACGGCTTCAGGCTACATGAAGGCCGTCAAGGCCAAGCTCCAGGAGAACGGCTCCTCCGCCGAGGAGATCACAGCTTTTGAGAAGGGTGCTGCCGCTTACGCCAAGAAGATCGTCGCCAACTTCAAGGACTACGAGTTCCTCACTGGCGAGTCCATGAACCCTGATGGCATGATTGTTCTCCTCAACTACCGTGAGGATGGTACCACTCCCTACGTTACCGTCTGGAAGCACGGTCTCAGCGAGATGAAGGTTTAAAGCCTCTCGCGACGGACGTGGAGGAGCGGGGTTGGATTGGTTCATTGATTTACGAATACCTATTGCATGATCGGATATGCGCCATAGTGCGACAAAAAATACGAATCTAGACGACCCGCTGCTATTGCGGCAAGCATTGACAGTCCCAACATGCTTTGAACTGAAGTGAGATGGGAACAACTGACTCTAACCGAAAACCAGCCTCAGAGTGTCACAACCACGATGCGGCCATTCTCTGTGGATTGTCTAGCGTCTGTGAAATCTGCGGCTGCAAAGAGTCCATCGTTGTGTCCGGCGGCTAGAAGCAACATCTCTATTCTCCTTATTTCAGGACGGTCCTAAACCAATCACAAATGTGCAAGACAATGCTTGCTACCTGCAAGACGAGATAATCATGCAGTGCACTCAGCCTATCACGAACGCAACAATTCATCCTTGCTACCAGTACATGTCAGCTGCAACGCTTCGCACAGCCTCCGGCGCTTATGCGGTGAAGTGTTTTAGCACGTGCTCACGCGTCCCCTGCTCTCGCGCGTAGAGCACGTACCTGCAGCCTCAGGCACAGCCTGCTCGTGCACCCCCGCACCCGTCGCCTTCTCCCACCCATTCTTATTTTTTTTTGTTTGTTGGTTCGTTTTGTGACTGTATGGCTTTGCGGTCATGCCGCAGCCGCCCCGCCTAGTTCCACCGAACAATGCTGGCGGTCGTGCGGGTCTTCGAGGAGCCGCTCCCGCCTCGGTACCGGTACCGCCATCGACACCGCGGAAGAACGCAGAGGGGTTCGACGAGCTGCTGCGCTCGCTCAAGAATGACTACCAACTGGAGGAGCTCAAAATCGGAGCTGGATTGAAGTCGCCTGCGCGTAGTAAAACCGTAGCAGATGGAGTCATCCAGAGATTACGGTATTTTTACTATCAAGACGAGTCCACCCTCGATGAAGTACTGTCTACTTTTGCGATATCAGCTAAGCTTCTTGATATTGAAAAAAGGTTGGGTGTATTGGCGGAAATATTGCGAAGGAAGGACCCGCGTGGGGTGCCAGTGTCAAGGTCAGGGACGCCAGTAAGTGCAAGAAACGTGCCGCAAACCAGGCTCAAGACGCCTCAGCCATGTAAGTGCGTTTCTACGAATCATCTCACACAATTGCGTGTGCACAATTTTGTACCCACTAATGTCATTTCCTATTACCCCGCCAAATTGTAACGTACGGTAGTGCCGCTATGCCACCGCTATTTGTAGCTCTCAGTGCTCACCGCTAGCGTCTTCCCTTTCACATCTTGAGACAGCTCTCTCGCCACTTGCACCCTGCGAACCTCGTTAAGATTCTATTGTCCCCAAGCATTTTGATACTAAGAGGTCGCAGCTGTTGAAGACACACCCCGATCGAGAGGTCTGTTCGATAATTACAGAAAAGACGCAGCGTATTCTCGGCGTGCGGATGATATGGACCCTGGGTCACCCACGGACGAAGACGAGGATGACTTTGTGACCCCTCCTCTACCAAGAGAGTCGTCTCGGTCACTGTCACCATCAGTCACCTCGATGTCAGCCAAACGAAGAGTCGAGGCAAGTGCTCACCTCTCCTTGAAGAGCACCACCAGGAAACGACCGTCTGATTGTTCCACCGAAACTGCAAGGTCACAAAAGTTGACGAAAACCTCGGAAGGTGCACAGCCTTTCCACAAGTCACAGGTACCAGCTGCTATCAAGCCTGCCCCGTCGCTGTTCAAAAGACCATCTCTAGACATGGCGCGCTCTTTCTATGCTCCCGTACCCTCTCAGTCGACAGTAAACACCTCATTCAATACAGTGTCGTCCTCTCAGCAGACCCAGCCAGACACTGCGAACACATCCTTCACATCCGATGCCGGCGGTACTGAGATTCATCATCCTTTCATGAAAAGAACCAGTTCAACCACAATTGGATCACTCGATGATCAGGATTTCTTGACTGTCAACGCAAAGCTTCACAGAGAAGCTGCAAAGCTGGAGAGTCGGGTAGAGCCTTCGAGCGTCTCGTCGCAAGGGCGTGATAGCTCGTCAAACTGGGGGTCCTCGCTTCCAGAGGAGGACTTACTGGATGCATCTGCCAGAGTGGAGTCGCTACACACCGTATCCTCAGTACGCCCAAGACGCCTCTCGCAACAGCAACCAGCCCCACAGATAGGAGGCTCACAACCAGTTTTGTCCCCGGTAAAGAATGGGGCTTTCAATAATTCCAAAGCAGCAGCGATGTCTTTACACCAGTCATTTCCTCCACCACAAGGCGCAAGTGCGATGTCGCCCAATAAGTCAGCTCTATCTCCCATAAAACTGACAAACGGCGTGACAACAACTCGGCACCAATCGCGATCTATACGAGAACAGACACCTGTAGAATCACCGTCCAAGATCGGGCATCGCATCCGCGACATTGTAGAACAAGGACTGTTCGTCAGTGAGCCTTCGGTTGACTTGCGAGCGATGCCGTACTTCGCACTCTTTATCTGCCAACGCATTGCCTTGGAACACAAAATCTCGGTAGCAGAGCTCGTACGCAACATGGATGTTGCACAAGCATGTGCTGACCCTGAGGTGTTCTGGCAGTCACTTCGTACACACGACAAGGTCACGCATATCAAGTTCAAGGACCCAGATCGGCTGTGGTCGGCTGCTAAGCGCAGTTTTGATGGCTTCACGTTCAAGGGCCAGATTAACTTGCGCAGCAAACGATCAGGTCCTATCTTTGAGCTCGATCTACACCCGATCTTGCCAGACAAATCTTGTCGCTTTCAACGAAAATTTGGGGCTGACCGTTTCTTGTATTTGAACGTCCCTGAACTTGATGTCAAGGGGTGGGGTGGTGGCACTCAGGAGGATTTGAAGAGCATCCGCGAGCGCTGGAGTAGATGGCTTGATTCCGAACACACCTTCTTGTACCGCAAGTGGAGGGTCTTTCACATTGAACCTTTGAAGAAACCAAAGAAGAAGGGCCGCAGTGCAGTTGTGACGCACAAATTCCGTGTTGTTCTCTTTGCGACGGAAGGATGCGGCATCGCGAGGAGGTGCCCGATTGGAGAAATGCTGAACTGGTTCCTCCCATTCGACCAGAACTCGGAGCAGTCTTTCTGCAAAGCATATGCCCGCTTCGACCTGGGCCTTTCGCGAACAACGCCTACGTTGGTTTTCAAGCCTTCGCAGGTTCACTTCGTTAACGACATCTTAGCGAGCAACGACCGCGAGGCTACTGAGTTTGATGATCCCACTTTGAAGTGGAAGAAAATCCCCAGTCGCCAAGTCATGAACGATGGGTGTTCCGTCATGTCAGTGGGCGCCGCGCTTGAGATCTGGAAGCTGTACAAGAAAGTCAGTGGCGTCACTGGGCCCCTTCCAAGTGCTTTTCAAGGTCGAATTGGAGGCGCAAAGGGGCTTTGGATGATCAGCGACGAGTCTTTCACGAAGGACCCCGAACATCTGGCGATCTGGATCAGGATCAGCGCAAGCCAGCGCAAATTCAAGCCGCATCTAGAAGATCTGTCTGACACCACGTTCGATCGTCTCCGTCTCACGTTCGAGGTGTCCAACTACAGCACTGGACCTGCACATGCAGATCTCCACATCTCCTTCATTCCGATCCTGGCAGACAGAGATGTACCTCGGGACGTCATTGCCGACTACATGAAAGAACGGCTTGATGCTGCCAAGAGCGAGCTACTCGAGAGAGTGAGAGAACCGGTGAAATTCTACGAGTATGTCCACAAGAACGGCTCGAGAACGAGAGAGGGTTCCGAGATGGCGTGGCAAGCGGCTCTACCTCTGGCCTTGGAGGACAAGATCAAGCTATTTCTTGAATCGGGATTTTCGCCTCTCCGCTTGCAGGTCTTGGCCAAAAATTGCCTACGTTTCATCAAGAAGCTGCATCTCCTCCAAGAATCGAAGTTAAAGACCCCAGTCGGGAAAGCAACACATCTTTTTGGCGTGGCAGATCCTTTGGGGGTGTTGAAGCCTGGCGAGATACACGTGCAATTCTCGTCCTCCTTTGTCGACGAGTTGACTGATGAGAAGTATCTGAATCTCAACGGACATAACCTTCTGGTCGCGCGCCAACCTGCTGTTCGGAACTCTGATATACAGAAAGTGCGTGCGGTGATCTGTCCAGAACTCTCTCACCTTGTCGATGTGGTGGTCTTCCCCTCGAAGGGTCAGTTCCCACTGGCAGGAAAGCTGCAGGGTGGCGACTACGATGGTGACATCTTCTGGCTTTGTTGGGAAGACAGGCTTGTGGCACCTTTCCAGAACGCACCCGCGCCAGTCGAGAGTCCAGATCCCGAGCAGTATGGCATCAACGTTAACAGAGATCAGCTAGTCGATCTTGGGGTTAACGTTCACGATGAACCGAGCGTTGACAATTTCTTGCAAAAGTCCTTTGTCTTTCGATCTGCACCATCTTTGCTCGGCATAGTAACAAAATACCTAGAGAAGCAGTCGTATTTGGAAAACAAGATGTCATCCTTCAGGCTAGACCGCTTAGCCGACATGCACGATCTACTTGTCGACGCCGCGAAACAAGGCTACACGTTCACATTGGAAGACTGGTATTTCTATCTTCGGAGCGAATTGAGGTGCAAAGTGCAACTAAAACAGCCGATCTATCAAGACGCCATGGACGCATGCGCAGCTGTTAAGGATTCCGGTGCTGACGTCGACAAGACGAGGGAAAAGAAGTACGAACACAAGGCGGAAAACATTATCGATTATCTCTACTTCGAGGTTGTGCGGGCGCACAACGTTGCTACCATGAAGGAGCTACAGACCGTTCTCTCGTCAGCAACAGAGGCGGACAAAGATCTGCTCTACCCGCGAGAACAACTGGACGCCCTCGAGGATAAAAGCATCAAAGATGAACTCCTCAGGATACAGTACGAGATCTCTCAACTCTATCGCGAATGGAATGCAAACACCCATACGGATGACAAAGGCAAGGGCATCGAGGTCTTCGCCAAGGTCGTCGAGGACCTCTACGCCCGTTTCCAAGCTATCAAGCCCGTCAAAACTGACCACCCCATGATCAAGCTGTGGCTGCACCCGTGGCTGAGACCAGACGTCTGTCTGTGGGACAGGCTTCGGGCGTCCACCTTGTACACGAAGTTCCATGACCGTAAAACTGCGCAGACGTTCGTTTTCCAGATGGCCGGCGACGAACTCGCCAAGATCAAGGCAGAGTCGTTCCCTCGCACGCGATACATTGTTGCAAACATCAGAGCGAACATGAAGCCGAAGCCGATCAGGGCGTTCGAACTAGACGACGATGACGACACGGATGACGACGATGAAGCGAGCGTGCTGGGGCAGAGGACCGCATAAGGTGAGTTTGACGAAGACGACGGTGCCTCTCACATCGACTAATCGTGTTATAGCAGTTGACCTCGCCTTTTGTAACGTATCGCCGTCGATATTTAGACCTGGATGAGCAACTACAAGCAAACCACGCACCTCAACAATTAGTGCCGGAACGCATCACGAGGCCGCACTTCCACTGAAAATCAAAATCAATCAACATCAAACACAGTCGATTCCAGAGACTGGCCAACCACCGAGCCAGTCCGGAGACCACACTGAGCCATTCATACTATATCGCAGACAAGACGGTGAGCAGAACGAGAGAGATAGGAAAGAAGGAAGGAAAGAGGGAAGGACAGACAGCAACAAATTGCAAGTACACAGAGGCGTTGGCATGTTTTTGTTTCATTCCATTGCATAGCTTCAGTAGATCGCATAGCATACTTGTCTACTGATCTGTGTCTGTGATGTACCTGTTCGCACACTCCCTCCCCCAACGAACGGTCGTCAGGAGTGTCCTCACTCATATATCCTACAAGGTTTCTACCCATGGTGGAGCAAGTGAGCCCGCCCATTGGAGTCGCACAACCCACGACAGGGAGTGCGGGATCTCGAAGTCATGTGTTCGGTATTCGATCATTCACATGCTTCTCTCTACCTAATCAGATTTCCACAATTTGACACTGTGCAAGGAGACGCACTGAGACGTGTTTTCGGTTTTGATGTAGCCATGTTGTGTCATCTCGTGGTTGTTAGAACCTTGGAACGTGGTTCTTGAATCATGTGTTTCGAATGCCTGACCCGTCGAGGGCCCTCAATAGAAGGCTCACAGTCTTCTCAAGCTACACTTCATGATTGATGTCAGAGACATGCTTAATGTCAGAGACCTGATACCCATACTATAAAACACTTTCTCCACCTACAGCTTCGTAAGATCGGTCAGTTGAGTCGAGAACCGCACATCGGAGCTAGGATCGGGCGTACCAACTGCATTGAGACAGCTGGGCTCCACTTTCACCACCGCCTCTAGATCGCAAGCCCCACCAGCACGTCGTACGATATGATATGGCTGTTCTGAGTCCGCGCAACCTACACGACACCACGCAGCAGTGCGTCGAGGCCGTTCAGTGATCGGAAGGCTGCCGCGGGACCGGCGACACCAGCGGGACATCGTCCACGTCATTAAAATCGACATCTGCGCATCTCGCCGCGCCTAGACGTTCACACCACAGTTCGCCGAGATGGCGTCCCCGACGAACACGCTCACCATGCCGCCGCGCTTCAACATCGAGCTCGAGCGCACCGACGCCGGCGTGCCGTTCCGCGCGACGCAGTCGCACATCCACCACACATGGGCGCGCACGTTCCACGCGCGCCCGGAGCTCTACATCCGCCCGCAGTCGCTGGAGGAGGTGCAGAAAGTCGTGACGCTCGCGCGCCGCATGCGCCGCCGCGTCGTCACGGTGGGCTGCGGCCACTCGCCGTCGGACCTCACCTGCACGTCGGCGTGGATGGTGAATCTCGACGACTTCAAGGAGGTGCTGGGCGTGGACCCGGAGCGCCGCACCATGACGGTGCAGGCCGGCATCCGCATGCACAGCCTGAACGAGCAGGCGAAGGAGTACGGCCTGACGATGCCGAATCTGGGCAGCATCGACGTGCAGAGTCTTGCGGGCGCGATTGCCACGGCAACGCACGGCAGCTCCATGCAGCATGGCCTGCTGTCCGACCGCGTGCGCAGCCTGCGCATTGTCCTCGCCAACGGCCAGGCGGTGCGCTGCTCTGCCACGCAGTCGCCGGATTTGTTCCGCGCCGCGCTTGTCTCGCTCGGCGGCCTGGGCATCATCGTTGAGATTGAGTTCGAGCTGGTGCCGCACACGGACATCGAGTGGGTGCAGACCATCCGCCCTATCGCGGACGTGCTTGCAGACTGGAACAACGGCCTCTGGACCTCGGACGAGTTTGTGCGCGTCTGGTGGCTGCCCTACATGAAGCGGGCCATCGTCTGGCGCGCCTCCACCACCAAGAAAGAACACGTCAAGCCCCAGTACAACTGGTACGGCGGCAGCGTGGGCTTCCACACCTACCACATCCTGCTCTGGATCAGCCAGTACGTGCCGCGCTTCTTGCCGTGGGTCGAGTGGTTCGTCTTCGGCATGCAGTACGGCTTCAAAGACGGCGCCGTCATCTCCGCCGTCGAGGAGCAACGCACCGGTCTGCTCATGAACTGCCTGTACTCGCAATTCGTCAACGAATGGTCGATCCCGCTGCACCACGGCCCGGAGGCCCTCACCCGCCTCACCGACTGGCTGCACGGCAACGAGGCCGCCGCGGGCATCCCCTTCACCTCCAAGGGCCTGTACGTGCACTCGCCCATCGAAGTCCGCATCGCAAACACCTCGTCCCGCACCTCGCCGCGCCCCTACCTCGACACCAGCTTCCCAGACACCCCCTCGCTGTACCTCAACGCCACGCTCTACCGCCCCTACAACCAGGACCCCCCTTGCCGCGAACGCTACTACCAGGCCTTCGAGCACCTCATGAAGGAATACAACGGCCGCCCCCACTGGGCCAAGAATTTTACCGCCGTCGACCACACATACCTATCCCGCGCGTACGGCGCCGATCTCGACGCCTGGACGCGTGTGCGTAATGAAGTCGACCCCGACGGCATGTTCCTTGGCGCGTGGCACCGGCGCACGCTGCTCCCACCGAAAGCCGAGATGCCCGTGTTCGCGCTCGAGGAGAAGGAGGTGGTGCGGCGGGCGCGGCGCACGGGCGGCGTCGACTGGGTGGGTGAGCAGGCGCGGTGGTGGGACGGCGGGGTGGACGTGTTTGAGACGGCCGAGGTGGATGCGCGCAGCGAGAGCGCCGAGTCATTTGACTTGATGGCGGGCGCGGAGGCGGAGCGCAGCGTGGTGCTCGAGGGGCGGAGGGTCGAGATGGAGAGTGCCAGTTCCGAGGCCGAGACGGCGACGCTGGTCGAGAGTATGAGTGAGTTTGTTGAGGCGGCGGGGACGGGCGGGAAGGAGGGGCTGGAGCCGGTTGTCAGGGAGGGCAGTGATGGGAAGGCGAATTTCGAGAAGATGTAGCTAGGATTGAAAGTGTCTTACTTGATAAGTGTCATTCGATGAAGCGTCACTCGATGAAGCGTCACTCGATGAAGCGTCACTCGATGAAGCGTCACTCGATGAAGCGTCACTCGATGAAGCGTGTCTGTTACTCATTGAAGCGTCTCACTCCATGAAGCGTGCTACTCGATCTAGTACTTGTCACGTATCGCCGCTATCGCTGCTCCCCTACCATCCACCCTTTCGCCCGGCCCCCTCGAACCCGCGCGCAGCGTCGCCGTATACAACGCCGTAGCCAAGCCCCAGCGCCTGACTCCCCGCGTTTCTGGTTCGTGGACGAACAGCTGGGCGTGTGGTGCTCGAGTACGCAATGCGTGGACGCTGTCTCATCGGCTGTATCGCAACCTGGTTAATGTGGATCGTGTTGTGTTGTGCAGGTGCTTGGATTGAATTCATTGCTCGTTCGTTACGCTTCGCTATCATTCGTTACTCCTCGCTATCATATCATATTTTATCCTATCCTATCCCATCCATCCTATCCTATCCTATCCACAAACCCCCCAACACCTCCAACGCCGAACCCAGAACAACGCGCAGTAAAACAACACCTCCACACCCCCAAACCCCCAAACCCCAAACCCAAACTCCCCCTCCCCGTCCCTCCCACGCTTTCTCACGAAGCAACCTCCGCCCCCAACACAGCCCCCCCAACGCCCCCCACGCCCCCCAAGAAAGCCAAAAACAGCGCCAACCCCGTGCTCTCAGCAGCCTCGGCGTACTCGTCCGACACAGCGCCGTCCATCTCCGTCTGGCGCAGGTCCTCTGCGGTCTGGGCGTCGGGCACGTACGAAGCGTCTGCGTTGTCGTTGTCGATGTCGTTGTCGTCGTCAGGCAGCGAGGGCGAAGGCGAGACGCGGGGTGCTGCGTCGGTGGTCGGCTGCGCGGGCGACGCGGGACTGCCTGTGACTTCCTCGACGGCGTTGTCGAAGGCGGCGAGGGCGGAGCGGCGGGTCGAGCGGCGGGTGGAGCGGGCAGGGTCTGGAGACGAGGCGGCCTCGGCGATGGCGGCTTTGTCTGCGGCGGAGGCGCGGGCGCGCTTGCGGGGAGTCGTGGTGGGGATGACGTTTGCGGGGTCGGAGAGGTTGGTGGCGGCGTCGAGGCGGCGGATGAGCGGCTCGAAGAGGCGGTGGTGGTGTGCGGGGGCGAGGAAGGACAGGATCGACGCGTTGAGCAGGGCATCGACGTCGAGGTCGCGGGTGAAGGTCCAGGTCAGCAGCGACAGGGTGGTGAAGAGCACGTCCAGCGAGGTGATGGTCAGGGCGGGGTGCTGCGAGATGGTGCGCAGCTTGCGGGCGAAGATGCCAAAGGCCTGCAGCAGGCGGTTGGTCTGCGAGGTGTCGCGGCCCACGGCGTTGGCGAAGAGGTCCCAGACGGGGTTGGGCGGGGCGGGGACCGAGTCGCGCACGTTGAGGTACAGGACGCGGGCGTAGAAGACGACGGACACGATGGCAATGAAGTGGAAGACGGAGGCGTAGGAGCGGTGGGCGGCGGCCTTGGAGCGGTGGGCGACGCCCAGGCTGACGGGGGTGATTTGCGGGGCGAAGGCGAGCAGCAGCGGCACGAGGACGCGGCCGGCGCGCAGGATGCGGAAGACGTCGCCGTGGGCCAGCAGCTTGGGCAGCTCGTTGAGGGCCAGCAGCGAGGCGACGACGGGGCCCCAGTAGACGACGGGGCGAGGGGTGAAGAGGGCGTCGTCGAGCGGCGTGTCGGCGCTGTGGACGGTCAAGGGCGTGTACAGGACGGTGACGAAGAACAGGCTGAGGGAGTAGGCGAGGCTGCCGTAGGCGCCCAGGACGACAAACGACGCGATGGCCCACGGCGACAGGTTGCGGCGGTGCCCCTCGACGCCGATGAAGACGGCGCTGGCCAGCAGGCCCATGAAGTGCTGGGCCGTGTAGAAGAAGCCCTCGGGGCGCAGGATGGCGACGGCGTCCGACTCGCGCAGCAGGTCGACGTCCTTGATCCAGTCGCCGAGGTGCCAGTTGCCGACGCCGTCGTCGCCCGTGCCGTACCAGCCCTGCCACAGGCTGCCGGGCGTCTTGTGCTGGCCCAGCTCGGCCCACTGCACGTACGACATGACGCGCCAGACGACGGCAAAGGCCGTGACGCTGGCGAGGGAGAGCGCGGCAATAGCCGAGAAGATGCGCGCATGGCGGCGGCGCAGGTCGTTCTGCGTGCGCGTGCGCGTCGACGGCGGCAGGGCTTTGGCGGCGCGGCGCGTGGTGAGCAGGACGTGGGCAGTGAGGCCGGCGACGAGCAACGTCTGGCCGCCGAAGAGCAGGATCGGCGTGTTGTTGCTGCGCGCGGCCGCGTCGGTCTCGACAGGCGCCATGGTGTTGATCTCAGTGCGTTCGGTGTCGCGTGTCGGTGTCGCGGTGTTGTGGAGTCGCAGTGTTGCGGCGTCACGGTATCGGATGTCGCGGTGTCACGGGATCTCAGCGGTCTCAGCAGTCGCGGTGTCGCGGTCGCGGCGTGAGAGTCGAGGGCGCATAGCACAACAAAGGCGGGCATGCGACGCGCTGCATGACGTAGGAGGGGCGCGCATCGCTGGCCGCTAGCCCGCTGCACTCTAGCGGCGATCATCCACGGCACGACCGACTTCACTGTCCACGACCACAACACGCACGCGATGGCGCCCAAGACGTACGGCGACGAGGACCTCGAGCCCGAGGCGCCCTACCACGAGTCGTCCGACGAAGACTTCAACCCTGACACCGCCCCCGCCGACGACGCCGCCAGCTCGTCTGATGAGGACGCACCGGTCGCGCGCAAGGGGAAGCGCAGGGCGCCCGTCGACGACGAACTGGACTCCGGCGATGAGGTCACCATCGAGGCCGCGCGGAAGAAGAGCACGAAGCGCAAGAAGGGCACGCACGATGGCCCGGCGTCCGACGACGAGGCCGGCGGGCTGATCAAGACGCGGGCCCAGCGCGCCGTCGAGAAGAAGGAGACGCGCCCGCTGGCCAGGACCGACGGCGCCACCGTCGACGTCGACGCGCTGTGGGCGCAGATGACCGCCGCGCCCATACGCCCCGCATCGCCAGCACCCCAGCCCACACCCACACACGACGCGCCCGTCGCCCCCGACACCTCCCCCGACGCCGCCCCGCCCGTGGCCCCGCCCGCCGACGCACCCCCCGAGGACGACCTGCTCACCATCACCAAAACCTTCGTCTTCGCCGGCCAGCCCACCACCGAGGAAAAGCAGATCCCGCGCTCCGCCCTCGCCACCCACGCCGCCGACGGCTGGACCCCCGCGCGCCCCGCCGCCGCCCCAGTCAGCACCCCGACCCCCGCCAGCCACACGCGCCGCCCGCCCAAGCGGCCCTCGCGCTTCGACCCCAACCCCACGGGCTACGTGCGCGCCCTGCCGCCCGCCCACCAGCTCGCCTGGCCGCGCCAGACCGCCCGCCCGGATGCCCCGCCGCCCGACGCCCCTGCGCCCGCGCCCGCCCTCAAGCCGACGAAGCTCAATGTCGTGGCCAAGAGCCGCATGGACTGGACGGGCTTCGTCGACAAAGCGGGCATTGCGGATGAGCTGCACGAGCACGGCAAGAGCAAGGAGAATTACATGGACCGGAGGGAGTTTCTGGCGGGTGTTGAGGCGCGGAGGGATGAGGAGGGCCGCAGGGGGCGCGTGGCGAATGCGACGGCGTTGACGTAGGTGGGAGATTGCTTGCGCGTTTGATACCCAATCCATGTTCTGCATTGCGTTCAGGTGTCGGTAATACCAGTCTACTGTTGCATCACATTTGGGTCTATAATCTTGAACAACGCCAAGGAGTCGCGTTAGCGTAGTTTACAGTGGAGAGTGACAATACGCGCAATACGGGCTCCACCTCTACAACCACACCACCGGTCATTGCTGGCGAACTGAGAAGCCGAAGAAGCCGACGTCAGGAGAGGCACGACAGGTGGAGAAGCGTCGCGTGGGCGCCGGGAGACGGGGTCCAGCGGCTTGCCACTGCACACACAGCGAACGCATCGACCGGCTTCCGTGTCAGGACTCTGGATGCGTCCGCCGTTGCGCTGCGTGCTGCGCTACATAAGACGCTCACCGCCCTCCCAGCCTGGCACACACACACCTCCAGCCGTCTGTCCTCTCACCCCACCAACCATGAAGTACCGCGGCGTGGTCTACGACGTTGGCCTCAACTTCAACGACCCCCCCCCCCCCCTCTCCGTCGACCCCTGGAACCCCGCCCTCGCCGCCCACGACATCCACGCCATCGCCCACGCCCTGCACGCAAACGCGCTCCGCATCGAGGGCGAGCCCATCGCGCGCCTCACCGCCGCCACACGTCTCGCCCACGCCCAGGGCCTGAAGGTCTTCGAAACCCGTGGCTCATGCACGCGGACCCCGCGCAAACACTGCCCTACCTCGCCGACGCGGCGCGCGGGATCTCGACATGAGTTTCTCGCTGGTGGAGACGTGGCCCGACGGCGATGAGAGGAGTAGGGCGATGCCGCCGTGGGCGCCCAAGGAGGCGTTTTATCGCGTCGCTGAGTGCTTGAGGAAGATTGCTGAGGACGAGGGAAGTGCGGCGGAGTGGTCGTGACGCGCAGAAACTCATCGTTGGATTGTGGGGACATTGGAGGTTGGAGAATAATAAACACTCCGCAGTGGGTTGGTGAGTGAATCGAATCAGGCGACCGCGAATAGATCGTGCGTCGTGCCATGCGCAGACTCGCTCAGCCAGTGCACCAATTGCGAGACCGTGACGTTGCTGATTGCGAGACCTTGACGTTGCCTTCGTAGACGTGGGCAAGGGAGGGACGCGCAATATTGTCTTGCCGTGTCGATGAAGGCTTCTGGTCGGTCGAGGCCGTGCTGGGTGGTGGGGATACGATACTCTCATACACACAGATACTAGCATACGTTACATAGGTGGCAATTCTCTGAAAGACGCATACTCTCGTCTTAGCAGTACGGTAGGCACTGCCTGTAGGCACGTCCGACGAGCACTGGCCAACTGCACAATATGGCAAAATGGATTCATACTTGGGCTCATGGCGCTCTCTTGTTGGAGTGTATGCACGTCACAGATTTACCGAGTAGTCACATCACATCTCGCAGGTTGTATTCAAGTGTCAAATGTTGGTCGGACGTGCGTACATCACTGTCGAACGCTAATACGCTTTAGGCAGCGACCAGTAAGCCTATCAGATAAAGGCGATGGCTTTTTGCGTCGCCGACTATCACATCACATACTTCGTAGCTGATAGCAGTATCCTGCGAGCACGCGTGGACGCAGCATGCACAGCAGGTGCGGTCTGCATTCCCGCTCCGGATAAGAATGCCATGTGGCCCAATCAAGCTCGCGGCGATCGTGATGCGAGGACCAAGGCGGCATCAATGCTCATGCACGCGCACGGCCGGCGTCGTGTCATGGCCGGGCAAGGCTGAGCTGGGTGTGAATCGGCTGCGGTGTCATGGTCGGGTAAGACTGGGCCGGGTATGAGTCGTGATGCAATAGACGCACACTCGATCAGGTTGCGAATTGATAAGAGTAAAAGTTGCGTTCGTGAGATGGTAGCTGGGAGGACTTTGGTGTCACGGCGTTTAGCAGACGGAGAAGGGTGTTCGCACACGGAGAAGGCTGTTCGCACACGGAGAAGGTTGTTTGCAGACGGAGAAGGTTACCGCAGACTGCTTTGTGACGATGGTGTCAAGTGTCGAGAGTCGGCACTTGCCGTCGACCACGCCCGCAGTGGAGACGTTGCCCACGGCTACGACAGAGGTGCTGAGTCAAGCTGGGCGATTGTCTGGGATAGAGAAGCTTGAAACACAACGTCCGGCGTGTGCCAATCAGGAATTGTTTGTCGTGGAAATTGCCAGATGCAGAAACAAAGCCACGCCGGAGCGTTGAGACTTTGGCATGAGACAGGTAGCGTGGCAGCTCCATATAACGCGGAGAGATCGTCGCCAGGAACGGCAGCTCACACTGTGTGGCACAGGTACACTGTATAGTAAAAGACGCGTCGGATATTGGTCGCGTTAAGACCGCGACAGATCGCCGCGATCAGCAGCTCCTCTTGCTCGTTGCCGTCATCCGAGCCATCGCTAACCTCCTCTCCACTTCACTCTCGCAACTTCATCTCGCTACTATCTCGCTCAATCGCCGCTCACGATCCCCGCTGCGTCGGCGTGTCAGGACTGCCCGCCTGCCCCTCCCAATTTGGCTGCTGGAGGATCCTCGCCGCGCATCGACGGCCGCGTCTGATTCGACGTCGCCGCAGCTGCATCAGCGCCCCTCTCCGGTCAGGGCACGCGGCCAACCGTGCAGTATCAGAACATCCCCCACCTGCACGGCCGCCGTCTAGAGCGGCAGTGCATATCGCCTGCAGCTGCACGCGCATTACTGCCGCCCGCCGCGCCCTTGCTTGCCATGCCTCCTGCGCTCCTCTCCGAGCACAGGTCGAAGCGCCCGTTCCAGCCCGCCATCACCAGCTACTTCTACTCGGCCCCCGACTCTGACACTGACGACGACGACGCGGACTACCACGGCCCTGGCCTGCGCTCCATCCCGCAACCACCACCCCACCCAACCCTCGCCCCACGGCTGCCGGACCACGTCCAATCCTCGCTCCTCAGCGTCGGCATGCGCGTCCGCAAATCCGTGCCGGAGGGCTACAAAACGCCCAAACCACTGGCTCTCCAACCACCGCCCACGCACCTCCAACCACCCTCCGCGTCCGCGCTCCTCCAAACCCCCCACCGCAAGCCGCACACCGCGTACCACGACTCGCCGCTCGCCATCCCGCTCGACCCCGCCGCCCCCTCCCTCCAGCACGCGCGCGAACTGCTCCCCTTCGCCGGACTCCCCAAACCCACCGCGACCAACCCCACCGCGACATACGCCTACGCTGCCCAGCCCGCCCCGGCGCTCTTCCTCGCCCCGCACGCTTTCTCCACGCCGTTCCCCGACGCCGTCCGCGCCGCGGGCAAGCGCTCGTGGGCCGATGCTGCAGCACCGCTGGGCCCGCGCGCCCGCGTCGACGAGGTGCCTGTGAGTCCGCTGTCGGCGGTGCCGCCGCCGCTGCCGGGGAGGGTGGTTGCTGTGCCGCGGCGGCGGAGGAGGGGGGTGGAGGTGCAGGTGGAGGTGGATGAGGAGCGGGGCGACGGGGATGTGGAAATGGAGATTGGGATGGAGAGGGGGAGTGCGGGGTGTGAGGGGTTTGTCGAGGGCCGGGTTGCGGCCGGGTGCGCGAGTGATTTTGAAGAGGCGGATTTTCTGGCCGGCGAGGAGCGGGAGCGCGAGGTTGTCATGGGGGGCGTGTGAGGGGGTGCATGCGCTGCGCTTCCCTCCGCCGCCCGTCTTTTCTCTTCTCTTCGTTTTCGCCTTTTCGTTCTTTTGCTTCGGATCTGTTTTCTGGGTTTTGGTCGTCTGCGCTGCACTCCGCACCAGACTGGTTGGTTCTTTCGGCATCGCTTCACATCGCACTGCATCGCATCGCACTGCATCGCACCGCGGGACTCCCCGCAGGACCCGCCCGGCGTTTTCATATCCACAGCGTTGCGCCGCACAGCACGTAATCGGCTTTCTTGTTTTTCGGGTTCGGGATGGACGGATGGACGGATGGACGAACGAATGGATACCCCGACGATCGCGTGTAGGTATATGGATGGATGGCATGGCATGGTATTCCGTGTGAAGGAAGGGAAAAGGATAATGAGCACATGTTCGTAGTGTAATGGATCAGGCATGACATAAGTACACTGCAGGCGCTGTTCATCGTGTCGTGGTCTCGCTGCCGGCATATACACTATCTCGCAAGCTGTATCTTAATCTGGTCAGTGTGGAACCCCGCCGGCATGCACTGCCTCATCACGGTCCTGATAGTCTTCGGATCTGTCAGCGGAACTGTCATGAGCTTGTCGGTTATTTCTCCAAGGATCAAGCTGTGCGACATAAGCAGTTGTTGCAGCAGGTCACCGTTCAATCATCCTACGTGAGCTGAGGGAAGGTCTAAGCATATAATTAGATAAGATTGATATGGATTGGCCCTATTTAGGAGTAATCATCACTAACTTACTTAGTACCTTACTCTTATCTAAGACTAGAAGTATATATATAAGTGGTTATAACGCCTCTAAGCAGGGAGAGAACTTCATCGATTAACTTGATAACTTCGTTCGATCCAAACAACGGTCATCCCAATTGCTCGTGATCTCTGATTGCTGAGAGGATAAGTTGGATCACTTTTCGAGTGGATCAAGGCATGGTCAGCATGAAGGATCTCACCAACTGAAGCAAGCCAATTGGACGAATGCGCGGGATCAGAGCACAAATGGGTTAGCGTGCACAATTAGATTTGGTATAAGTACTAATCTACTTAGTAGAAACAACGATAGATGAGATTGATCACTCATTCTCGCACCTGATCAGCTGCTCAAGTCTTCCAGCTTTCCACACTGATCAACATCAGTACTCATCCGTAGGCATTCCCAAGGACAAGTCCACAAGATCATCTTCGATGCTGAAGTCAGGATGACATACTTACCAAATGAGCCATGCACAGTTCTCTCGCCCCCGACGGCTCGGCTCTCCAGTGTCCGGATAAGAGCACCATACCGATTACAACAGCGGAAAGGCATATTGGAAGAAGAACACGATTCTACTTCGCATCTCGAGTTCCTTCAAGGACCTCGACGCTGACAGGCGCGTTTCGTGCTGGAAGGTAAAGAGAATTCGAACAGTGGTCACTACTTCACAGACACTGGAAACACTTCCCAATCCCGAACGCGCCGCCATGTTATTCAAAACACAACAATTCAGCCTCGGGTATCGGACGGGGTGGTATCATACCCTAAGTACATAGCTCAGTACCTGATTGCGAATATACCCGAATTGATAAGAGTGAGTGGTGACTTCTAGTCTACGTCACAGCCAGGTCTACAAGAAAATGCGGAGGAAGAGGGGAAGTTCTGGCAGAGGTTGGGGAATAGTGGCTGGAGAAAATCCCGAGCAGAGATGTCCCGGCATCCGCGCACAGAGAGTTTGATTGGGACATTCTTCATGGCCGTCAAGACAGTAATTGTAAGTACCGGTGCCTGCCGATATGTGCTAACCACCTCCTCCTCTGGTATAGTATACTGTCACGAGTTAGGTACTCACGCACCCTAAGTGGCTAGATAGCTATAGGATGTGTGTGTGCAGGGCACAGGCGAGGGCTAGACTCCGTATACAATGGTAATGCAGGGTACCTGCAACGGGTATATATAAAGACTATACTTTTCTATACCTATAGTACTGCTCTACTACGTACCTACCCAGGGAGCCACTTATGAGGTCACAGAACAGTCACAATGGTATTAGTCTTGGGCTAGATAGAGATGTCAAGACCTTAAAGTAGTAACCCGATATAGATGTCACTGCCACCATTTCTGCAAAAGAATCTGTAGAAAACCTATCATTCTTAAATATGACCCACTCTGTCAATTGATCGATTGTTCAATTTCTAACTACCCTGTATTACTTATGCTATAGTAAAAAGTTTCCAACGACGTTTCCAGACCGTTCATTCTGCTTCATTGTCTAAGAGAAGGTGACAACGACATAGCCTCCATTGGGGTTGTACGGGGTGGGTGGGGGCACCTCAGTGACATTCGGGGCAGCGCTGATGAAGTTGGAACCTCCGCCCCCTCCACCCGAGACAGAAAGGCTTAGTGGACTGGCGACACCTAGAAGACCGCCTGGATCTAGGACGGAGAGGGCGTCAAGTAGGCCACCTAGGGTGCCGCCTCCGCCAGCACCAAAGTAACCGCCACCACCTCCGCCAGAGCCAACGGAACCCAAGAGGCCACCGATGGGATTTATACCATCTCCTCCGGCATGTACGTTTCCAGCGGCTCCAGGGCTGGTAAGCAAACCTAGGTCCAGCCCTAAAAGGACCTCACCGCCTGCACCAGCCGCGGTTTGAGTGCCTGGCTGACCTCCTCCTATTTGAAGGAGGCCTAGTTGTAGGACGCCGAGGTCAAAGATAGCACCTTGTCCAACTTCTTCGGCATCGCCCGTGTTCGTGTCGAAGACGGGAACCGGGAGAACGAGGTTGAGGAGCTGGAGAATAGTATTGATAAGACCGACGCCGGCAACGTCCAACAAAAAGTCGCCTTGACCTCCGCCGCCGCCACCGACAGCGATATCCTCGCCACCGACTTGCAAGGCAGAGGCGCCTCCTCCACCAACCGCACCTGTTCCTGCGTCACCGCCCGGGCCGTAGGCGCTGCCACCACCGTTTCCATTGTTCAGTCCGAGGCCACCTGCGATAAGCGAGACGCTTTGGTCCTCGGCGACTGTAAGGGTACCCGATACAATGCCACCATCTCCACCGTCGACGGGATTCGCGGCGATTTGTTGTGTTCCGGCTCCAGCGACTTCGAACGTCAAGAGAGTCGCGCAGGCAGGGACACTGATCGAGGTAGATACGCCTGCACCGAGAGTGGCAGTAATAGACACGGTAGCGTCTGTCGGAGCGAGAACGCATGGAGTTGGAGTCGTAGTAACTTCGACGAATGGTGGATTGGTTCCAGATGCAGAGACCGTAGTGGTGCCTTCAACAGGGCCTTCGGTGAACGAAGTAGAAAGTGTGATGTCGGTATCAGTACACGAGGTTGAAGATGTAGACGTGAACTCGATGGTGTAGGTAATCGTAGTGTATGCCGTGGAAGAGGCGACCAACGTAGTAGGTGCGTTCACCGTGATCGCGCTGGAACCAAATGGTCCCGCCGGGATGACCGTCGCGGACGGGACGTTAGTCGACAGAACGACAGCTTGTCCGTACACAGCTGTCAAGATGTCGGTCTCGGCAACCACTTCGGCAGGGCAAAAGTCGTCCACGGGGGGAATTGCCTGTCTGCGTACGAGTGCAGATGCAGGAAGGGCCAAGCCCAGGGCACCCATAATGACCCTCATGGCTTTCGATGATTGATCCAAGGATTGTCGGTGACAGTGGGTTCTCAGCCAGATGGTGATAGCGTCTGATTTCTCTCTGCACGTATCCCGTCGTCTTAAGTATCGTCGAGTACAGACTTCGGAATGCCTCCTTCACACTCGCCTCGACTGCTTTACAGGTTACAGAGAGATAGTAACATCGGAATGCAAAATGCCTAATGCCAAGACACGATAATTGTCCGCGGTCGGTGGTGCGAGAGGAGGAATTCGAGAGGTCACGCAGCTTGCACTCAACAGAGCAGCTGATTTTACCAAGAATGTGGCACTTTGTTTCGCGCCGTTATGCCATTTCTTGCAACCGGAGAGTGGTAGGATGGCTCTGGTAGTGAACTATCCGGATCGACGGGCATGGGCTACTTGGTAGATGTCGTGCATGTTTTGTTGGCACGTCTATACACTCCATGCTTCTGGTTGCTTCTAGGCTATACTGCAGAGATTACATGAGTGCTATAGCACTGTTTTGCTGAGAACATGCATATCTTGAAAGAGGCTGTCAGGTATGTGCAACCTGGAGTTCGCCAGCATCTTGATAGCAAGGGATACCAAAGACTTGAATTCGACTGATACCAGATCCACTGAAGAGTATCGGAGCTGAAAGGAGGCTCGGATTGTGTCTAGCAAGGGGTGTCGTGATGTGAAGTTGGCTCGCATTGTGTCTAGCGCATTCTCCGAAGGTCGTACTTCGGAAGTTACAGGCTGACAACCTCATCGCCAGTCTGTGCGATATCTCGATGGAACGTAGATGCTTCCGTCCTGCAATGTCGAATCACTACTAGTACCTACCGATTCCACCTTGACTTAAACCCCCAGGCTCCAAGGTCATTTCCATCACCGAGCACTACTTCCAGCATGGGCTTTCACAACATCGTCGGCGCAGCGCTTTTGGGTGCTGCGATCACGCCTCGCCAGCTTGCTCCTCTCCCTACCATTACGACTGAGATCGACTTCCCAGCGACGACCAGCGTTTTTGATGGTACCTTCACGTTCAATGGTCCATTCACGCAAGGTGCATTCGAACCTTTCGACGTGACATTGACCAACTTCGAGGCGATTGTCCCCACGACAGCTCCCAATGGAGTGGTTGAGGACATTACTTACACGATCATTGGAAGCCCCATTGTGTCAGCTGTTGGGCCCACGAACCCCCCAGTCCCTCCACCAAACGGTCCTCTCACGCACGATGTTTACGACAGCATCTACATTGGTTGCTTCGACCCCAACACGTACGGTCCTCTGCTTTCCGGTCCCAGCATCGTAATTGGCACCCAAGAAGAGTGCAAGGGTTTCTGCGACAGCAACCCCGCTGGCCCTTACAGGTACTTCTCGATCAGCCCCATCTCCAACTGTCAATGCGGTCAGATTCTTCTCTACTCCGGTATCCCAAGGGGCCAGTGCACGACGCCGTGTACCGGCAACGTCACCCAAGAGTGTGGTGGCCCTGGTGGCGACACTTCCGTTTGGGAGAGCTACCCTGTAAGTTCTTCTGGAATCCACTGATGGGCTTACGCTTACTTTGACTAGATCTATGACCCTCTTCCTAACTATCCTGACCCATCTGCTCCTGGCGATGGAGTTGACAACTACTGGCCTCACGTCAAGAAGCCCCACCACCCGCGTCCCAAGCCACACAAGCCCTACAAGCCCAGCCCGCCCAAGAAGGAGTACCCTACATACGAGAAGTATCCTACATACGAGAAGTACCCCACAAAGGACGACAAGTATGACACTGGATACCCTACCCATGATTGATCAAGGGATTCTTCCTCTACGTAGGTGTGTGACGGAGTTAATGCAATAGGTAGCTGTGGTTTGAAGGATTTTTAGATAGCGTTGCTCTATAGCCATACAGACAACACCAGGTGTTCAGCAATAATATCACATCCAAGCGAACTGATCAGTGCCCTTCAGAAACAACTTGAATGTGAAGGCTGATGCCACTGGCTCTTCGGATATCTCGACCTGTGACTGTACGTTATCTACAAACATGTATGTGACTATTCCCTCCAGACAAATGTCTGCAGCGGTACGTCGATGCTTTACAAGCTTCGACATTCTCGATTTGACTAGAGCATCCCGAAATTATCCTTGAAGACGGATACAGCGAACACACTCGTAGATTCTGAGCTCTGTCAGCAGGGTCAGGAATAAGGAATCTCTAGAACATCTCTTATCTCAAGCCTTCAGTTGTAGCCTGAACTCTCTGGCTTGAACTTCCTGGCAATCGAAATGGGAACGAGGAACTTGATCCATAATATACAACTGCTTGAGCTGTAGAAGAGTGATACAACGGAGAGATTAAAGAGTTATCTTTGTTGGCATTAAGTAAAGAGATCATTAATGAGCAGAGTGACAGTGTGCCTAGAGTGTTGAGGAGCACCTTTGTCGGAATCTGGGTATGTCAATGGCATGTTCGCTGCGTGAAACTGGAGAAAAGCAATTTCACGCTGGCTAATATAAATATGGGCGTATGCCAATAGAAAAATGACATCGCTTGGTGCGATATAATGTATCGTAGAGGCAGGTCAATATCATAATGAAGTGGAGGTAATATTTCGTGCAGATGCATGTGCTTTCGAAAGTTGAAATGACAACCACGAGTTTGCCGAGTTCGTTTGCATGAGGTCAAAGAACGCTGTAACATGGCATGCAGCAGGACAATGATCACTGGTTCGCCTGATATTCTCATCTATACTTCTAGCATAGCTAGTCACTTCATTGGTCGACAAAGCCACGTCAAGTTGCTGTTGGAGTAACTATGTATACTTTGAAATATTACATGTACAAAGTGACTTCTGCCTGGATACTACAGCTTCAGTGGTATCCATCTGTAGCGTTGGTAGAGGCTCAAAAACCAGTGAATCAGGGTCTGCAAGGGGAATGCATCGTCAATACTCAAATGCAGCTCCTCCAAGCAGTGGAGCAATTTGAACGAGCTAGATCATGGACAAAGGAGCGGGCCTTTGGCAAACTTCGCTCTTTGTCCTGTCAGCCACCAATGATACTTTGCTTTGTCTAATTTATGATCTCACATGCTCAAAGAGACTCTCTTGCTCTAAAGAGCAGCAAAGAATCATTCTTGTTTCATCATAGTATCATGCGACCATGTACCAAGCATCGTACTAAACATTGGCATTGCGATCACTCGGCATATCAATGCAAACTCTCTCCTCGTCGGCTTATCCGTAACACAGGAATTCGAACCCCATTTCCTCACAACTTCTGATTAGCTGGACACGCCTTGTAAACCAGGTTGCAAGTCATCCAGACTTCCAGTCTTCCAAACTAGTACCTCAGACGGTGAAAGATTACAAGAACGCATATACACCAGCATATCGTAGCCCGCGATTTCTCAATACAGACAGGCGTTGCAACCACGATGTTCAGCTTTCGCTGGCTCAGGCCCCCACCCCAAAAGCCATTCTATTACTCGCAAATGAACCCCGAAGAGCGGATTCTGTGGGAGATCATCGTATGTGAATCCCATTATTTTTCCTGCCCGTGCCTGACTGAACCGTATGTTAACCCATGTCAGGGCGAAGAGGAAACGATAAGCTATTTCGAGAAGAGCGGCAAGATCAAGACACGCAAGCTCACGAGACAGGAACGCGCATACAATCAAAAGGTGCTTTTCGATACGCGAGTCGGGCATAGCATTGTCGGAGATGATTGGATGAGAAAGGCGTTGCCCAGTCCGGGGAGAAAGTTGAGGAAGGAAGGAGCGCGCGAGAAGAGTGACGGGTCAGCGAGTAGCAAGGAGAGGGCGGGGCGGCCCGCGGGAGAGTGGGTGAGGGATTGACGGTGTGAGCGGGATATTTGTTGTGCGTACTAATGGATGGCACTAATGGATTGCCTAGTATGGTTGTTGTGGGCGGTTGATGTGGAGATTGATGGGGCGCGAGTCTGCCTTAGGCACGCCGTGAGCATACACGAGGGGCTCCGATGTGCATGTGGATGTCACAATTCTGGATGCAGCACTGAGACTTGGAGCTTATGCTGTTGGATCGTTGATTAGGAATGACATTAATCTAATTCGGGAAATAATTACTAATTCATAAGTCTATAGGGTGTAGTCAAAAGAAGTATCCCACCAAACCCTTGCGCCATGCATACGGACATGGGTATCATGGTAATACGACCGAGTTGTGACACCTGAACGCCATGGCAGGCATGCATGAAGTTCTGCCCTTTTTCCGAAAGATGAACGCTGAATGCACGGGTTTAATTGCCCGAGGAACGTATATTTGTACCGAAATCAAAGCAACGTGCGATGCAGCTCCTTAGACTGCCTGTCGAGCCTGCGATTGACTGCCCCACAGACGACCTTGAGAACTCCTTCGCCTGTCAGCTCGGAATCGTCATCGCCCGTAAATGGGATTGTGTCCACGATATCTCGTAGCTCGTTGTCGCCAGATGCTTCGCGCAGTCCATCGTCAAGTTGTTTCAATGCTTCGCGTGCACCAGCTTCTTTGCCGACCTGAAAGAACTGGATGCCGACTTGCCAGGGTGGTGCATCGAGCTTGTCGAGCTTCTTTGCGCATGCAATGATGGGAGCCTCAACGTCATCTGATGGTTCCCCATCAGTGATGACGATGACGTTAATGGGCTTAGTGGTTTCCGGGTTTCTTTCGTATTGTTGCAGATACGGTTTGAGGATCTTTTGGAGGCGCTGGCCAGTTGGCGTTGCACCACCTGGACGCACGGTCTGGAAGATCTCAATGACGGTGCCAGCTGTAACGACATTTTTGTAGATAGAAGAGTCGGGGTGGTTCAAGAAGTAGATGTCGATGCCGTCAGCGTCGCGTTCTGTGCAAATCGGTGTAATAGTCTCCAGAGCCTTGCCGGTCTCTCGCCACGACCGCCCAGCCATAGAACCAGAGTCATCGATGAGGAATATTGTGTCGAAAGACTTCAAAAACGCAAACTGATCATCCGCAGTGGAAGCTGATCTCGGGGTGTACATAGCGGGCTGCAAATTCTCAGCTGGTCCCGGCGAGTAAGCTGGAGGCGCGTCGCTTTGTGCTCTGAGTTGGTTCATGTTGGCGCTGTCTGAGATGTGTCAGTTGTTTCGATCGATCTGCGTGTTCTCAGTTGAGCTGCTCACTTGGGCGACGCGTTGGAGGGGTTGCTGATGCAAACGAGTTGTCAGCCGATGGAGGGGCAAGACGGGAACCCTGGCTTTTGCTTGAGTGAGCGGCACTCGTGTCAGTGACTTGGTTCGACGACCGCCGCGAGAGCTTTTTCTTGAGACTGCCAAACATTGAAAGGTATGGTGGTTGAATAACTTGAAGCTCGGGTTTGTATGGGTTGTTGTAGATACCAGAGTGGAAACCTTGAGCCATAGGGGTAGGGTAAACAGGCTTATATGTTTACGGCAGGAACAAACGGCACACAACCAAGTACAATAGAAGGAACTATGAGGTAGTTGTGTTCTTGGGCTGGTAGACTAGTAGTGTCTTAGTGAAAATGTAAGACTTAGTACCATGGCTAAGACTTATACTCTTCCGCACTCTGCCCACCCATCGGTGAAGCATCCACCGTTCTGCCTCGTGTCAGCCAAGCGCCGCATCTACCACTTGCGAAATTGCCCCTTGTGGCGATTGATTCTCAGTCCAGAGTGCAGTCTCTGTAATATGGTCTGCCTGTATGAGTTGCTGCCGCTAAGGCCGCGATCGGGTTGGTGGCAAGGCTGAGCCAGCGAGCGAGGCGCAGCAATCGGCACTGGTGCCGCTTTGTCGGGCTGAGCGTAGTCGCAGCTGACCTTTCACCCCCCTCAGTGTTCCACATTTTGCGAACGGTGATCTGCAATAATTGTGGCTGTAACTAGCAAGCGATGAACCATTACACTGCACCAACGAACTCCTGCGAGGTGATCCTTGAAGTCACACAATCGTGCCATCGTTTTTCATATCTTGTGACAAATTTGGTACAGCCAGTCTATGCTCGATGCTCACTCCACCAGAACCATATTAGACTATGTCCTCTTCTAAACGAGTTTCTGATGGTTTTGAGCCCATCTCAAAGGCTCCCACTTGGTAGTCAAATGCTTCCTCAGGCTACACAAGAACCTTAGAAGTGAGACAGCTTAGATCCTCCTAACGCAAACGGCGACCGCCACATCTCAGCCCTACGCCTCCAAGCAAATATAGCCTTAGACAAAGGGCCTGATAACGTCCAAATTCCTCACAAATGAGGCCCTGAAGTCTGCGTTACCGTCTTCCGGTAATCCTTGGGTCCAGGCTAAGGCTCATATTTGACCAGCCAAGCGCAGGACCTCCAACATGTGCATCCGTCCAATTCTTTTCAACAGCCATGAACAGATCCCTGGCGGCTAGATGCCTTCCTAGACAACCCCCAAGCATATTTTGCTGCTTCTTGGCTACAACCGTTCGTGAAGTCGAGAGGTGACGAGGGACTGTCCATAGAACAGGACGTTTCGCTGTACTCCAGGCGTATTCGGCACGGTGACTCGCCCAACATTCCCCGCAGACGCCAATGTCCGAGTTACCGGTACTCAGACTCAGGTGGTCCTGCAACATGTCTAGCAAGGGCATGAGCCGCACTCGAAGCCCGCAATGGGCGTGGTTACTGTCAATCTGGTAGCTGGAAGTCTGGCGCAGCGTCGATAGCAAACGCTCAATGTCGCCCTGGTAATATGTTGGCTCGGTGTTGTCGTAGATCTTGCCCTGCATGCGCAGCGTATCAATCTTGGTGAAAAACCGTATCATTTCCCCCAATTGAAATGAGTCGCACTGTAGCGATGTGTCATAGCCTAGCTTGCACTGCCGGTCTCCAGATGTGTACAATCTGAGGAAATGCGCCTGAAGAGAGTTGATAGTCTCTAGAATGTACTCTCTTCGCTGTATCATCTCGTCTTCTACCCCATTTGGTATATCCCACCATAACGCTTTTGTGTGATCCTCCTCGGTATCGGGTCGCCATTGCACCGAATCGCGCATGATCAAGTGCTTCGTATAACGCGTCACCCATGGCGGGTGGTCGAGAAGTAAACCGATCAGGAGCTTCTGGCGCACACGTTCCTCCGTCAGAGCTGGGCTCGCTCGCCCTTTCGACTTCGCTTCTGTCAACTGCAGATATTTCTTTCTCTGTACATATCCTGCTACACACTGGACAGCATCGAAACGATCGGCAACAATGGCTAAGTTGGCGATGTTCGCGACGGGCGGACTCGGAACGGCAAGGTCAAGGCCATGAATGGCGCGGAGGAAGTCTGCGACAAGGTTACATATTGACGACGCCTTGGAGATGGCAATACGGCCAGCATTGATGATCGGTATCCGCGGTAGGCTCTCTACAGGCGCATCCTCAAGACTTACGTGCCCCGCAAGCTTTAGATCTTTCAGGGCTGCAGCAAGTTTCTGGCCTTCGCTGAAGCGTTCGCTAAGGAGGTTCTCGAAATACCGCGAGTTCTTCTGCAGAGTTTCCGAGTCCACTCGATAGGAGTACCGTTGGCTACCCTCTTCTTGCGACACATCAAGAATAAGGTCGCCACTAGGAGCAATGACTAGAAGAGCCTTTTCGTCCGACATGGCGTAGTTTGTTGATATCTAAACGAATGAGCAAGGCGTACTCTCTCACGGATAGGGCCAGAACATCGTGCAGGTACTGGTAGGCGATACGCGTGTTGGTGTTGAGGCGTGGGAGAATTATCGAACATGGCGTCACAACCCATTCGGTGGGGCGGTGCAGCTTGGTGAACACCTGGACCAATCAAAAGCCGCTATTGATTACAACACAAGGTGGCCGTGGCACACGAGTCCCTGTGAGTATTTACCTAATGTCCGACAGCTAGGTACAAGAGTCAATCCTTCGTCGCTCAAAACTGCTAATTGAGGTGTGAAGAAGGATAAACAATGTAGAGACCCGCTGGTATCAACGTTGCACATGCCTCAATTGGTGCAGATGGCCATGCAAGCATCTCCACTATTAAGCATCTTGACTTGTGGTGTCTCCTTTTACTTCTCTGAACAGTCTAGTCGACGGCAATCGTGCTGAGTCGATTTCGTGATCACAGTCGGTACTGAACTATGCATCGGACTGTTTTTGGACGGGTCTCCTTCTCCGAGTCCGATCTCCACCAGGCACCTTCATGCCCACTTTCGCACCTTCGTGTGCGCTGCGCATCACGCTGCATTCAAAAATGCTGCAATTCGACACAAGTCATCTCGCCTTCTACGCGCAACTGGATTGATTGTCAAAATTGCTCTTTACTATAGGCTTGCGCGATGATCAGCTGTTGTGGCGGTGCTGCGTGCACTGCCGTTTCAGGCGTCTTTTTTTGGGCAGTGCAAGGCACCCATCTATTGACATCCTGACTGCACCTCATCAAATCCCATCGCATACATATCTGCTACCCTGTCTGATCTTCTTACACCCCCTCAAGGTAGCTTTGTGCTGCTGTTCGCATATTGCTACCCTTGGTCGTGCTCCAGCGATCCACCTCGGACTTCGCGTCCTGCGCATGCTGCTGTTCGGACATCTAGGCCACACCCCATCGACCGGACATTGCACGACATCTGCGCGCAGTGTTGAAGGACACATACTGGAGTCCACACAGTCGGAGAATAGCAAAGTACAGTGTACTGGGCCGGACCTGCAGATATTGTCCGAATAAGGACTCCACCTTGCCATCATGGACAAGACTGTACTCAACGTGCAGATCTGGGTCGCGTCAATGATAAGAAGTGCAGAGCCGGGCGAGCTGTTTCTAGGTATTGCCGCCAACACCATTATCTCAATCATCATTCTACTGGTCGACATCTTCTACCGGCTACTCCATCGAGGTTACAAAAAATTACGCACAATGCAGACAAACAACACCAAGCCGTTTCCTTTCGAGGCACTCCCTCAGGAGCTACGTGACATGGTCTACAGAAACCTGCTGGAGGACGTTCACTACCCCTCACCAGCTGCATGTCAGCCTGCATCGTCCCTAAACGGGATGTTCGCGGGTCTCTGGGGGTCTGCCACAGATGTACGGAAAACCGCACAGCTACCGAAGGCCAGCAACTGGATATTGCTTGCAAGCAAACAAATATACGCCGAATACATGGATATGCTCTGCAAGCATGGTGTCTTCCATCTTACGGTGTCCCCCGAAAACTACCAACCCCCCACACAAAATGACCGGATTTGGAACGTTGCCCCATCAACATACAAAAGCATCCGCAAGGCTTCTCTTCAGCTTGTCACTACCAGCGCGATGCTGGGTTGTACTGACCCGCGCAATATGGAATCCTCTTCGTGGGATCTCGCGGCACGTATTCGTTCCGAGCTCAGTCTGCTTGAGTCTTGTACACATCTCACACTTAACGCCAAAGCCATCGGCGACCCACTCTGGAACCCGCTCTGGATTTGGTACCACTCAAGTCAGTCATTCAAGAACATCGGGACATCGCTATCAGATCATTCCACCGGCCCGATGCTGAGCCACATCACGTTCAGCTTGGACACGTGGAGTCCCGGCGAGAACTACCTCGAGAGAGATGGGTCGAATAAGGGAGCTTGGACATGGTATTGCCTGAAGGGTCACGACGTAGGGCTTGATGGGGGACCGGAGCAGACAGTCAGGGACTTTTGCGGGATGCTGTACCGGGAGTGCAAAACTTGTCGTCCGGCGGAAGAGGGTGAAGAAGAGGAAGAATGACTGCCTGATTCCATGCAGTGGATTACAGCACTTCTGCGACGGTCCGAAATCTTATAAATCGTTGGTGTGTAATGCTGCTGGCCAGCCACGAGCTTAGACGTTGCGCCTGCATTGCAGCTATTCTGCGTTTGCCTTAATTGCACCTAGTAAAGATCATTTAACGTCCTCGATTGAAATAGTATTTTCTAGCTATCTGATTCTCTACTTTCCAGCCTCGCTCATCTCCTTCAGCATCGGCTGCGCAGGTATCGTCGCAAACCTACCCATGACCTCCAAATTCTTCTCTTTACTCATCTTCTCATCATCCTTGCCCAGCTGCGCTAATATCCTGAAATAATCGATATAAAACGCCGGTGTGTACGTATTGAAGAACTTGGCCTCCTGTTCAAATGGGTTCGAAAACGTGTGTGGCGCCCGAATGGGAACGGTTATATAGTCGCCGACGTGCGCGTCGATATGCTTGTTGTCCGGCGCGTGGAACCGCACTGTGCCTTGAGTTACGAGAAAGGTTTCGTCGTGCATTTCATGCCAGTGCGCGGGTGGACCACCGGTTTTGGGTGGGAGAGTAAATTCGGCGCTGCCGATACGGTTGTCTGCTGTTGTTGGCCGGTGCTCGAGGTGCGTGGACGGGGCGTACCTGTTCTTGAGCCGTCTTCCATGATGCGGCATATGACGTGCCCTAGCTTGAGGATCTCGCCTTCTTTGGCAGGCACGTAGTTGATGGGTCGGCGCGGCATCTCCATGCTGGCGAGAGCCTGGCGTGCTTCCTCGTCCATAATGAAAGCCTGAATATTATCAATACCTGTGCCTGTGGGTCGAGAAGTGGAAAAGGGAAGGGTAAAGCTGTGTGAGTGAGGGGAATCAAGAGATCTCGCTTCATACTATGCTCGGGCTGCATACTGTAGGCTTATGTACTTAAGCCAGGGTGGAGCTACATGTGCGGAGAGCCGGGTCTTACCAGCGCCCGACTAGCAGCCGAGCACCACACAGAATTGATAGGAAGTAGTCTATCAACAGCTGTTCACTGGTGTCACTTCCCAATGTCCCTTGCAATCAAGTGAATGGAACGAATTGCAGATAATTTCCCTGTTACACTAATCCTGGGCGTACGGTCCTTCAGTCGCTTGTCAGCGAACGCTGGAAGTCGTGAGCTCGTCGATACGGGCAGGTATAGAGCAACAACTCGCTTCCCCTCCGTGGATGCAGTAATGAAAGTTGCGTGGTCGTTTCGAGGGATAGTGAATTGCTGCACAAATGCCCCACATGAGGTCACCAGGCGGCTAGGGCGGGGAAGCGCTACCTTACTTCGGACCCCGGTCCGCTCCTGTGCCTGAATTCTACAACACGCCCTGCTGCCTGTTCTATGTAAACCAGATGCCATTTAGCTTACGAGCTGATGCGAAGCTGATACTTTGTCACGACTGACCATTTAAGCTGCACTTACACAACAAGCCTTGCAGTGCACAGATTGAACACCTTGACGACCGCAATCATCATGGCGAAGAAAATGTTTACTGTTCTCGAGAACAACCCCGAGGTGATCAATCACTTAGCCAAAGCTCTCGGAATGGATGACAGTCTCTCATTCTACGACGTTTACTCTCTCACTGACTCAGACCTGCTCGCCTTTATACCACGTCCCGCATATGCCTTACTCGTCATAATCCCACTTACGCCAACTTGGCATGAAGCTCGAACCACGGAAGACAAGGACAAGGCTGAATACGAGGGAAAGGGCGACAGTGAACCGGTCATCTGGTTCAAGCAAACGATTGGCAACGCTTGTGGTTCGATTGGGCTGGTGCACAGCTTGTTGAATAGCGCTGCCTCGAAGCACATCACACCGGGATCTACGCTTGACCAGATCAGGCAGGAAGCGCTACCGAAGGCTATGATGGAGCGAGCGAAGGTACTGGAGGACTCGGATGCATTCGAGAAAGCTCACGCAGAGGCTGCACAGCTAGGAGACACGGCTGCGCCTGCTTCTGATGAGGAATACGACAAAGGCCAGCACTTCGTCTCGTTTGTCAAGGCAAAAGACGGGCATTTCTGGGAGCTTGAGGGCGGTCGGATGGGGCCACTTGACCGTGGCGCATTGAAGGATGATGAGGATGTGCTCAGCCCTGCAGCGTTAGAAAAGGGTCTTGGGAGGCTGATGATAATCGAGGCTGAGAAGGGCGGGGACTTGAGGTTCTCAGCTATCGTACTCGCCCCAAAGCTAGACTGAGTATCGACACTGGCAATCTTGGGGCCTCGTTCTGCGCGTTCCGTGTTGATCGCGTTTAGGTTGGCTTGTGTTTTTGACAGATCGAGCAGCGGGGAGATTATCTGTGTTTAGTGAGACAGAAGAGAAATGGGGTCAGACTTTGTGCAAAGGTAACGTGAAGTGCAAGAATTGCCTACCAGGTAGCAACGCGAGCCTGGATCTTCTGATGTATTGACCAATTGAAGCCGTGACTCGGATCCCATCTCCAAGCTCTCAGATGCGCTCGACTATAGCACACTCTCTGCATGTGAAATCTGCTGTCACTCACCGTGAAAGTGACTTGCGCCTGACCCCGACTCGTCGATAGGCCTTGGCGTCACATGGGCCTTGGCACCTTGTCATATAAACTGCCTGTGCCCCGCCTTCTTTCTCATCCAACTCCCTTCTTCCTACTCCTAACTTCTCCCATCGTTTTTGCCTTATCTTTGCTATCCCTTCCTGCCTCTCCCCTCGCACCACCCCGATCCTCATCTGGCGCAGCGTTGGTCGCAGGAAGTAGGCCTGCCTTGAGAAGTATATGTCTCAAGCACAGCGTTCGACTTGTGAGTTTCATCATACTCGGCGCTCGAAGGGTGCGCACACAGGACCGATCCAGAAACGCTGTGTGTTGTCGCTTGATCGTCTTCGATCAAGTCGGCGGCCTTTTGGATGGACCGGAAACGCAGTCAGAAGGTGTCACTCCACGATCATTGAGGGTACGCGAAGGCTTGATGCAAGTACTTCGCAGGACAGGCGCTCTCGTCCAACATGAAGGGACCGACTAAGCGCGCCTTCATCAACGCTCGAAGTGTACGAGTTGTACGCATTGCCTTTCACTGGGTCATTCGAGTAACATACATGGCGTTCTTCCATTGTATGAAGGGACCGACTAAGCGCGCCTTCATTAAACGTTGAAGGGACCGACTAAGCGCGCCTTCAGCGACGCTCGAAGTGTACGGTTTGTACGCATTGCCTTGTATCGCATGGCTGTTCGAGTACCATACTTGCAGTGTTTGTCGAGTGCACATATAGGACCGATCCAGAAACGCTGTATGTGGCCGATTGGTCCTTCACAGACCGCTTTGACAGGCTCCCTCATGGACCGCAATTCGGTTGCGCATGTTGTGGCTTCACTTTCCAAACACCAAGGAGAAGCGAGAGCTTGATGCAAGCATTTCGCAGGTAACGGTGAAGCGCATCACGCATACCATCAAACTGTAGCTACTGCAGGAGAAGGCAATCTATAGCCAGTGTCATTGCATGTTCACATGTATGTCACGCAACCATCCTTTTTCGTCATGCGCTGCGTCTCGGTTCGAGGACAGACCTGAAGAAGAAGAAGAGTCTCAAATTGCCCCATTAGCAGTGGCGGCATCAATAACGACTGAAACTATCGAGGCAGAAGCAGAGCAACTTCATAGTGGCCAGTCATATAGCCAACGTAGACATGATGTGACGAGCGTCTGTAGATTGACTCAAGTGCACATTGGTTGTATTGAAATATCAGCTAATCATCCTCATCTTCGTCTTGTTCATTGCTATCGTCGTCATCATCCATGTCCTCGTCCTCGTTTGAATCGCTTTCAGTGCCAACCATCTCTATCTCTGGCGGCCACTCCACGACAACGTCATCCACCATTCCTTTGATGAATACCTTCATTGAATTCCCTGAATATTCTCTCATCGACGTGACTTGCTCTTCCCCATCAATCTCAGCCTTGAATTTCACGAGGAGGTTATCCTGCGAAAGCGCGCCAGCTTTCAACCCAGTGAGCTCGAGCTCAGGTACAAACTCAAGGTCTCTGAAGAATCGCGACCAGATGTTGGGCTTCGTATCGTACGGTCCGGACTGCCCTGACTCGATAGTCATGCGCCAGAGACTGAGGCTCTTGAGGGTTGGTGCGAACTTGCAGAGCACAGCGAGCAGAGTGTCCCTATGCACGTCCAGCTGTCCGAGTTCCAAGATTTTGAGGTGAGGAAAGCTAACAGGCGCTGGTTCTGTCGTTGTAATTCTCGTGGAATGCGGTGGCTCGGGAGCAGAAGGAAGCTCTGCAAGCCACTTCATGAAGTTCATATTGCCAGCGGCTTGAAACTTCTGAAAGTTCAAGCGCAGGTGTGTTAAGTTTTGCGTACAATTCAGGAAATGACCCAGAGACCGGCCGGACCTTGTGCTTATAGGCTGACCACTACTGTAAGTATGATAGATGTCCGTGGAATTGTCGGATAGTCTCAGTGTCAGGAAAAGCGCTTCAAGGTTTTGCAGCACCGACTGAACGAGTGGGAAGGTGAATTCGGGCAGATGAAAAGCGCTGTCTGGAAGTCCTGCAGGCTGGTGGCGCAGAAGAACTTCGAATCTGCGTGGCTTCCGTCCGGCCTTGCCCAAAGCGTACAGGAGGGTAGAAAAGACGTGCGACACGAATCGCGTTTGCAAGCCTGTTCCACGATACGATTCGCGGAGTCGCACACCAGTCTCTTTGTATACTGTAGTAGCGCCCCAGGAAGCCCAGCAAGTGCCATCGCGTTCACGTGGAGCACTGAAATCACGAACATCGACGGTCTCCAGGCTGGTCAGTCCTCTAAAACTGGCGGTCAACATCTCGCGGTCGATGCCGTTCTCCAGCAGCGCTTTCTGGTCAGCATAGCCCTGCATGTACCTGCGAGATATCAACGACTGCTCAAGTAAAGATAGGTGCGTATATACAAACCTAGAGCATGCGTCGGCGTCTCTGAAACGGATTGGAACATCATCATACACGTTGGTGGCGATGATAAGGTGCTTGAGCTTTTTTGATAAGCTAACATGACGAGATATATCCAGCAGTACCTGCAGACTTGGCTGGGTGAGCATGAACTGCTTCTTGACAAAGAACTCATCTGCAAACCACTCGTAGAGAGACTTTTCGGTTTGTTTGCAAGTAAGACGCAAAGCTCCAAGGTCGGAAGTCGAAACGAAAGAGGAGACATGGACCAGCAGCTCCAGAGGCAAAGACAACAGATTCGCCATTGTGATAGCTGCGATGACTTCAGAATGCAATGATGGCAGAGATCGTGCAATGTTTTGTGTCGGACCACACTGTAGGCAGCAGGTGACACCGCGTCTTTCCAGCACACTAGCGCGTCGCGCTTTGCCCAATCCGGGTTGCTGCCTGCTGTGCCTGAACTTAATGCTCGGGAACATTCAGGCCACCCATCGCGTCGAGCTGTGACCTCAAGCTTGGCTCTCACTTGCATAAGAGCCGCACATCTTCAACTGCGTGAAGTCTCATCTCAGTTTGCCTCATTCTCCACGAAACACGACCATGGCCCGCAAAGCTGCTCAGAAACAGGCTCAAGCCGCGCCCCTTGACCGCTGTTCAATCGCTACTTCCGGACGCTTCCCTGGCACAACACAAGCTGCCCTTCAAACACGCATTACAGATCTGGGCGGGACCATTGTCTCAAAAGTCACGTATGACACCACTTTGCTGATTACTACCGACAAAGACTACGAAACCAGGTCAACAAAGGTCGCTGCCGCCAAATCCAACGGAGTCCCCATCGTCAGCATCGATTGGCTTGATGAGACTGAATCATCAAATGTCAAAGCAGATGAAGATCAGTATTCACTGGACGCACCCAAAGCTTCTGCAGGAACTGTAGCGGCGAGCAACGGGAAGAAACGTGCCGCCTCAAAGACCGACTCCCCAGCACCAACTCAAGACGGTTCGCAGTCAAAGAAGCGGAAGACCCTCGAAGAAAACGCCAAGATCAGCGACGTGAAAGTAGGCGATGGCCAGAATGCAAAGTCGAAGAAGATTGTTGTTCCTCTCGACGAGTACTGTCCTTCTCCCTCGTACGAGGTATACATTGACGATGATGGCCTCATCTGGGATGCTTCTCTGAATCAGACAAACGCAACAGCCAACAACAATAAGTACTACAAGGTCCAAGTGAGTTCTTCTGCCTTGACTTTTGCATCTCCCAGACTGATTCATATGCAGCTGCTACGAAGCACAGACAGTTCACGCTTCCAGACATGGACCCGCTGGGGTCGCGTTGGCGAGCCAGGTAAATCGGCCATGCTTGGCAATGGCTCGCTGTCTGATGCAATCACGCAATTTGAGAAGAAGTTCAAGGACAAGTCTGGTCTCAAGTGGGAAGACCGAGGGAACGATCCCAAGAACGGCAAATGTCAGTGAAACACTCACATCCTCGTGTTCATTGCGCACGGCACTTCTCCCTACCTCTACTTTTCAAACATACTCTCTGAGCCTCAAATACTGACCATCTCACAGATGCGTATGTGGAGAAAAACTACAACCCTGACTCCGATGATGAGGATGGCGAGGATGAAGACGCCGCGAACGGTGTCGCGAAAGATAAAAGCAGCCGCCCCGCTGTCGAATCTCAGCTCACTAAACCAGTCCAGAATCTGATTGAGCTCATATTCAACCAGAAATACCAACAAGACGCATTGAACGAGATGAATTACGATGCTGAGAAGATGCCGCTGGGCAAGCTTAGCAAGGGCACTATCAGTCGAGGTTTCCAGGCATTAAAGGACCTGGCCGCTATCATTGACACTTCCGCAACATCCCAGGAGATTGAACAACTCTCAAATCGATACTATTCCCTGATTCCTCACGCTTTCGGACGCAGCCGGCCAATAATCATCAACAACAACGATCTTCTTAAGAGGGAGATTGATTTGCTGGAGAGTCTGTCCGACATGAAGGCAGCTACTGACATGCTCAAAGCTAGTCTCAAAGACGATGGTCACCTGAGCGAACTCGACCGCAAGTTCCAGACCTTGGGGATGGATGAGATGGAGGCGCTCAGCCCTAAGAGCTCCGAGTTCAGTGAGCTGTCCGACTACCTGCAAAGTTCCAAGGGAGCAACGCACAATGTTAGATACACCGTGCAAGACATTTTCCGCATCCAGCGCAAGGGTGAATTTGAGCGATTCAATCAAAGCCCTTTTGCGAAGCTCTCAGGCAATCGTCGGCTACTCTGGCATGGTTCCCGAGTCACCAATTTTGCAGGCATTCTGAGTCAAGGCCTCCGCATTGCACCACCCGAAGCTCCTGCCACCGGTTATATGTTCGGCAAGGGCATCTATCTTGCTGACATGTCAAGCAAGTCAGCCAACTACTGCAACCACTACCAGTCTGGCGGTACTGCATTGTTATTGCTATGCGAAGCAGAGCTGGGAGACCCTATGCATGAGCTCACGAGTGCTTCGTACAACGCTGGTGAAGATGCTAAGGCGAGCGGAAAGTACAGTACTTGGGGCAAGGGTCGGGTAGGCCCAAGCCAGTGGAAAGATGCGGGCTGTGTCCACCCGGCGTTGGCTGGAACTATGATGGTAAGATGTCAATTCGACACTGCTGTAATACAGCAAACACTAACTGTGCTCTAGCCCGATGTCAAGGTCACACCCGGTGATACGAACGTTAGTGGGGCTTACCTCCAGTACAACGAGTACATCACCTATGATGTCGCTCAGGTGCGTCTTCGCTACCTACTTCGCGTCCGTATGTAAGGATTGCGTACGGTGATATTTTCTATGCTCCATTCGGGCTCCTCAACGGCACACCTTCCATTGCGACGTTTCCTCATTCTATTCTCGATCCATCTGCGCAGAGGAAAATCACATGGAGGACCTATGGCAAATCCTCTGTGAACAGTTCCCCTATTAACCCCAAGTTCATCGAAAAGGCGTCTATGAAGGTAGCACCGATACCCCGTGATGATATTTTAGGTGCTTACAATAATCAAAATGTTAGAATCCAAGATCAAGATGCATCTCTCTCGTGACATGAGCCAACAACCTGATACCGTCTCCCTCACACTGTGCATCCAGACCGTGAAGTATGGCTTTGTAGAATAAGTAGTTGCTGACGGTATAGTCCGCAAGCGCAACTCACACGTCCGAAGCACATACCATTGGTTACTGAAAGGGATGGCTCGACCCAACCAGTCTTCAACAGGGCGCCAGCTCTCGCGAGTGAATTCAGTACACTTACATTGACTGAGCAAAAGAAGATGCCTACAAGTAAACAGCGTCGTCTCTTCTTTGACGCATGCTAGATCGGATAGTCATTTTAGCGAACCACTAATACTTCTTCCATGACACTCATTCACGTAATTGACGTGCTTGCTTGAAGTCACAGGTGATCTGGCAGGTTAAGCTGTCTGAATGCATCCACTTCGAATGGGCACAGTACCTCAAGCTCTCACGTAATCGTCCCGCGTCTGATACCTACTCTGAGTCGCGAGTTCTGAAAAGAACGCCATGCAATCTACAATGATCGGACAGTCAGACATAACTTCCCTTTGAAACATCAGAACCTCGCGAGAATATCCTGACCGAGTTTTTTTTTTTTTTGAAGGCTGCTCTTGCAGTCCCGTATACTAACTGGCCACGAGATCAGTGCACTGGTGTTCGGCTTTGCAAATCAGACTTTCTGGCTTCGGCCACCGATTTGGATGGCAGAAATCCTGCGTCCGCGGATTGCCCATTGGCCTTCGCAGGCAGTATGAGGGGCGTACTGGGCATGACGGACGGGTTTCGTCACTTTTATTGCGTCGGGCGCGGCATCTTTGGCAGTCAATTCTGGTTCGGGTAGCACCTGACTTGGAAGACGTGGTCTGTGGGGGCGGCATGTGGCTGGTGGATTGCGGCTGGGGTTGGCGATCGCTACCACGCTAACTCGGCAATCTGCTGCCATATGTGGGGTCGATCTGTCAGTCAAGATTTCACTGTTTGCGTACCTACGCGTGCGGAGTGCATTGGTTGATTTCCTTTGATTCTCTGCCAATACTGGTGACTGGGGTGTACTTCTTGAGAGCTCTGCAATGGCAAGTGCCGCGCGCTTGGCCTAGCAACTGCTGACATCATCGAACCGAGCCCCTTCACTGGTTTTGTTGCGATCTCGACCTTCCAAATGATTGTGCTTCTTCTGCCGAATATAGTGTCACAACTTCTACAGAAGGCGCGTACCTCTCGTTTAAGAGTATGCAGACTTCGGACATGCGTATTTCGTACGGACCCCCCTAATTCTGGGACGGCATTGGCATATCTTGGCTCCCCAGCTTGGCGACTCACATTACGCACCCTCTCCAACTTTCCGGCTCGATGCACATGCTTCCTTGATGTCGGCGATTGCTGCATGATGGCGTCTCATGTCGTAAGCTTTCTCGGCCACAGGCAGGCGCACAGCAGCGTGTCCGTATCCCCTCCGCGGCGTTGTCGCACAGCAAATTGAAGACCTGCTGCGCCTCCCTCTGGACGAGCACCGACCGCACTTGTGAGATGAGACGGCCATTAATTGTAGCAGATACGGCTGCCAAGGTCGGTGTCAAAGACTTGAGCCTTCAACGTTGGCCCACAGTCTTCCTAGTCGAAGGTTCCAAGAGTAATGTGGCTCAGCGCGTTACTTGGCTCAAGACTCAAGGGGTTTCATAACATCACGACTTGCGCATCCATAGGCCTCTAACCTCTGCTCTCCACACCTGTCGTTCACTTCATCCCACGTTCACACTCGGTTCCACTACGTCGCTCGCTCAACCCGCTGCCTGAGGCACGTCCACCTCGCATGTCAAACTTCGAACCCTAAACTCCATTTTTGTGATACCCGGGCAATCCGCAATGAAGCCGTCCACACTTCTATACACGGCGATGGGCCTGCTGTCGCCCATCGCCACCTACGCTATCGAGCTGAACCCTGATGATCCAGGTACGCATCTTGCTGGCCTAGTTAGACTCTACTAAAACGATCAGAATCCATCAAGAGCGCGACTAAGATTGTTGCTGCTGGTATGAGGGATTGGTATACTGGAGACAGAGTCGGCGACACACCTGGAAATTTACCAGACCCTTACTACTGGTGGTTATGTGGCGCCATGTTCGGCTCTTTGATCGACTATTGGTATTACACAGGTGACGACCAATATAATGCTATTACACAACAGGCAATCGTGCACCAAATCGGCCAGCCAAAGGCGTTCATGCCACCAAATCAAACAAGCACGCTTGGAAACGACGATCAAGCATTCTGGGGAATGACGGCCATGTCAGCGGCGGAGAACAAGCTACCAGACGTGGAAGGGGAGATGTCTTGGTTGTCGCTCGCTATCGCCGTCTTCAACACACAGGTCCCGCGATGGAATTCTAGGACATGCGGCGGAGGTCTTAATTGGCAGATCTTCAGTTTCAATAACGGATTTGATTACAAAAACACGATCTCGAACGGCGCATTCTTCAACATCGCGGCAAGGTTGGCGAAATACACGGGCAACAGCACATATGCTGAGTGGGCCGTCAGGGCGTACGAATGGGAGCAAAGCGTCGGACTTATCAGCCCGGACTTCCACTTCTTCGATGGTACCAGTGAACGCCAAAATTGCTCAGAGGTCAACCACCTTCAGTGGACCTACAATGCAGGCATCCACATGTCTGGCGTCGCGGCGTTGTGGAATATGACAGAAGCGGCAGGAGACACCGTAAGCTTGAACGCGAATTTCTCTGCGGTCCCACGTGACTAATTCACTGCAGGCTGCAGCGACGCTTTGGCGTAGCCGCCTACAGGGCATCATCAACGGCACAGACATATTTTATACTGCCGAAGGTGCTCCAAACGTAATGATCGAAATAGCCTGCGAACGGAACGGATTGTGCGATCACGACCAGCGCTCCTTCAAAGCGTACCTATCGCGCTGGATGGGCTTTACCATGCTCACCGCGCCATGGACCCGCGAGTCAATCATGCCTCGACTCCGCACTTCCGCTGTCGCTGCGGCCAAGCAGTGCGGACCTGGCAAGGGCGGATGTGGATTGCGCTGGTGGCGGGGCGGCGTCAACGATGGCGAAGTTGGTGTCGGAGAGCAAATGAGCGCGCTCGAGGTGATGCAGAATCTGCTCGTTGATCAGGTTGCGGGGCCAGTAAGCGAGCAGACTGGTGGCATCAGCAAGAACGATCCTACAGCGGGTAGTGATGCGGGAGGCTTGGTGATCGAGCATGACGCCGTTACCACTGGGGACCGGGCCGGTGCTGGCATCCTAACTGCGCTAGTACTTGCATTCCTATTCGGTGGAGGTTGGTGGTTGATCACTGGAGAGTAGGGCTGTTCCCCTATATCTTTCTCTTTCTTCTTCAATACAGAATTATCCGCGGCGTCCGTCGCGACGAAATTTACACCCTTTTGTCCCCATTTCATTCTTAGTCTCCGTCCGCGGCCTCCTACACGAGCCAGAAGGCCAATCTGCGTTCGTCGGCCGAAAGCTCCGGCCTAGCGTCCGTCTGGAGCAGGCATCACAAGCAGTCAGCCCAGCGCTCTGCCTTGAGTGCACGATCACTACGCGAGCAGTTTGTAAACCGTGTCCCCGCTATTCATAGCACACACCAACGTTCGTATCTGCCAATCGAAATGCTCTCCACTGGTCTCGGCGAGGGACAGCCAATCACATCAGCGACACGAGTGACAAGCTCATATTAGCGCATCGTATCCTCCAACAGTGACCGGTCATTTCGGATCAAGCTTTGTCAAGCTTCTCAGTTGTCGTCAGCTCCAGCATCATACAAGGTCTTGGGGCGAGAAGTGTTGACACACCGTGTAGATCGAGTGTAAGGGTGCGCGCAGGGTGCGTATGCGGGCTCTGGACCAAGAGCATATCTTTTTTAGCTGCCTGGGTGTTGCGTGGAGGAGAGGGGCGGAGTGCTGGGGTAGTCGGCGGTGGGTATACATGTGGGACTCTTATCTGCGTACCTGTCTGCAGCTACCCATCATGAGGCACAGCTTTGACGCCACGGTAGTCACAATCCTCCTGTTCTGCAGATGCTCTGTGACTGCATCTCCCATATCTTTTGAAAGTTCTTATACCACACAGAAACCAACAGTTTCGTCTCCCACGCTTTGCACATCCCTCAAAGACCAGTTCGCCTGCACAAGATTCGAGGCCTCGATCGCGCACCCGGTACCACCTCCATCGTCGCCGCTCGAACAAATCTCCAACGCCGTTGTAAGACCTGACCTACTTCTATCGGACGAAGAACGCCAGATTAGGAGAGTTATGGACGTCAAAGGGCAAGCAAAATCAGCAGAGAAGCTGTGGTTGACACCGGAAATTCAGGTCGTACTGTGGTTCTTACTGCTGTGTTGCTTGATGGAGTTGATAGTGTTCGGGCTGCATCGGTGAGTCGACATGAAGTTCATCATGAAATTTTAGGATTACTGATGGAGTAAGGTGGCGACGGCCTCAGCATGTGGCCAGAGACCAGGGAGGAGTGATCGACAAACCTGAGGGCAGAAGTTTTGAGGAAGTCAGTGAGGACGACGAGGACGACGAGGCAAATATCCCGGTGCTTTGACGGGCAAAACGGCTGATCGATCATCCTTTTCCTGTGTTACTTCCTAGACACGGACAGGAATGCCATAACTCAAGAGAGCAACATTCCTCAATGTTTGTCTAATTTGACCAGACGCGATTAAGTGGCTCGCACGCTGAGGATCGATGCCGTGTAATATCTTATGCGTATAATCACCTATACTATCTTGAATGTGCGTACAGGCAAAGAAGCAATGAGATGTCTTACACATCTCCACTCAAAGTTATCTCGGCCCTTAAGTCGTCGAAAGACCGGCCACTGCATTTCGTACATGTTCCTGTAACACAGTCCTATGCGTTCGTATTCATTCTGCGAAACTGAACGTAGCACAAGGCCTCGCAATTCGAATTTATCTTCCCCGATGTAATCTCCCTGGAATCTTTCCCAGCCCATCCAAGCGACATAAACCGTATCACCGTCTTTGACTGGCCGTGTCCCAGTGGCAAAATCATAGTCTGCTATCATACTTCCGTCTACGCCCCATTCGATGCTCGGTATAGTTGCCTTAGAGCAGGGTTCTTTGGGTTCCAGATAGTGCTCTAATCTGCTATCCGGGGGCAAATATGAATTAATAGTATGGGTAGAGAACCGGCTTTCGAGCAGTATTGCGGCTTTGGAAGCACTTCCAATTTGTGAGGGCCCCAGTGTTTTGTAAATTATGTCGACTATGCGTGTCAAGAAAACCATCGTCTTGGTGTCGTAGCGGATATTTCCTTCCACCGACGCCCATGACCATGTTGGTGCTTTGGAGAGTGGTCTCGGGACATCTCTAAAGTTCAAGACTGACCACATCATGTCCTTCAGTAAGGAACTCCTCCACAGTCCCGCGATGTAGACGTCGTCTGGGCGCACGCGCATGATGCGTTCCACGACAGCAGCAAGTGCAGGCAGGCGGTCGTCGAAGAATGTCAACTGAAGGAGAGTGTAGTCTTCGACAATGGTTTGCCATTCATCCACGCTGTCTTTGATATGAAACTTGAAAGGCGCCTGAGATGGTGTGGTCCAATCGTGGCTCCAATCGCGGCAGTCCTGTGTCCAATCTTTGTCTACATCTCCAGACTCGGACTTGAACATTGAATGGCATTCCCACATCAGCTGGGTAGTAGTGAAGTGGACAAATCTGGTCGATAGACTCCGTTCTTGATAGACCCAGGCGCGATCTAAAAGTGGCCAATTCCCAAAGTTGTTACGAATCACACCGTTCTGAGTGTAACGGTCTTGTTGTCTGTACTGAGCTACATGTAGTGTCGAATGCTCCAATTTTCTTGACCGAAAAGGACTGTTGGGATCAGAGAATAGGCCATCGTTGCTGTCTAAGGATGCTGTTGCAGCAATGGTGATGAACGCATTCTCGTAGATATTGCCCATAGTAGCCGCAGCTTCGGCCCAGTCTTCACTGCTGTCTTGCAAGATACCTGTACATGATAAGCTCTAACATACATGCTGAAAGAGCCGAAAAGCTTACATAGAGCATCGATCCAGAGATGAGAGATATCTAGTCGTAAGCACACCTGTACCGCGTCGCGGAAAGTCTTTGGCAGCTGGGAATACTCAAGCCCCTGCTGATAAGCAGGCAACGAATCCCTTGTCAGCTTTGATGAGACCCCATGTGGGCCCCAACAATGACTCAAACACGCGTACTGTGTTCCAGGTGCCAACTGCTCTCGTAAATAGACTTTGCCAGTCTTGATCTCGAGTAGCCGCTTGGGTACATACTTCTGGGCAGGGATCCGATTGCAGCGTTCGTGAGATTGCGTGCATGTGTCAATCCATCTTTTGAGACACGAAAAGGCTTGTTGAGACGAAGTGTCCCCTGATGGCAAATATCGATACGGAAAAGGATAGCGTGATGAGATATCCGAAGCCAGAGGGATTGCTCCTATTTGATCATGGTCAGAACAGCTTAGACACGCAATCATACGACAGACTGTGTACCGTGTGGCTGGAAAATGAAGAGACATGTGTGATCCTGGGCCGCTGTGCCAGGAGAATTCCAGTTCAGAAATGTTATCTTGGGACTCAAGAGACGTTTCTGAATCCGTTTTCCTCCAATCTGTCGTGAATAATAATTCGATATACGAACTTCAGCTGTGTTCGACAAAGTCCAATCTCCAGATGCCATAGAAAACCCCGAGTACCGGAGCCAGGTTGATATGGCATCTAGGATCAGACTGCAACACTGACGACCTGCTTGTGCCTCTGATCGAAGCTTGTCGACTGTAATCACATGGGTGGTTTGCCCTACTCCCCGTCTGGTGGTAAAAACGGTGTGGTACAAGCGGCAAACATCGTGCCTCATATCTATCCGAGGGTGAACCAGGGACTTAGGTCTTGTATGTGCTAGGTCCTCGTCTGCGCTTGGACTGCAAGCTGTATCTTGAGCACTATGATTGATACTGGTCATATCCCATTCAGATTCCGATTCTATATCGGTGGAATTCGATGGTCCAATTGATTCATCTTCGATAGCATCCGTACTTGGTAACGAATAGGTGTTTGATGTCGAGCGAATCAAGCTCAATTCCGTGACAGCATCCACGCGGGTCTGTTCGCCATCGAGTATGCGTTCAGAACCCCCGCGCGCTGAACGCCGATGATCCCAACGAAATCCCGAAGCCGCCGTTCTCCTCGAAGGTTTTGGCAGCCTGCAGGGAACCGGTAGTCTACACCGTCCCGCTGCGCAGCGTAGCCGCGCCTTTGACGACTCAACCGGCAGTCTGAAATTCGGCTCCGTGCTAGTATTCAACTCGTAGTCCGAGACGTAACTCGATGGCGATAAGTCGACCATTAAGATGAACGGCCGTCAGCCTGGGACGTTGGCAGCGGGGCTCTTCGACGGTGGCTAGGTGATAATTCTGATAATCCCGCCGGCCGTGAGATCTTTCTACGCGTGGGTAGACTACTAGCACCAAACTATAGTATAATATGACATGCTGCACGATGAAAAAAGTTGGATTGCGAATAGTTGTACCAAGTGGTGGGCTGGCGTAGAAGGATGTCAGAAAACGGCAAGTGGGGCCGCGCATCAGGCCACCATACTTCTACTTCGTACACGGGGCTGATCTGGGAGTGTACATACAACCATGTAACATATAGCGTTGAATCTATCCTGTTCCGGAAAATGATTGATACGTATCGAAAGCCATTCAGGAGTTCTGCGTCTTCATTATAATACCGGGATCTACACCAGGCCACGAGCTACTGTAATGAGGAATGCCATTCCCCGGACTTACGGTACAGGCTACACGTGCTCAAAAGTAGGTAGGTAAGTTCGCCGATCACATCTCATTTGGTCGCACCTGGTAGAAGTCTAGAACTCAGGAACAGAACGTGCAGACATGAATCAGCAAGGGAGTCCATCACTAATGCAGAGAGGTGGAAATACTGATCTTCACCACTCACCGCTGGCTGCTAGCTTCATTCCTTTACTATGTGTGACACAGCGCCTTCCGCTCACCGGTGAACTGCACATAGGGGGTGGTTTTGAGTGCTACAGACTAGCTGACTTGGCAGGTAGGTAATGCGAGACTATTGATACTATCATTACAATGAGAACCATGAACTATTATTGAAGTGGAGACATCAAATCAACTGCAAACAGCGATTCCATCCCAAATTATATATACGTGTCGTGTCGTCATCACAGCCAAGCCAACCATTTACTTCTCTCTCGCACTCGCGTTGTCTCTCGCAAGACACGCACGTCCCTAGTAGCTAGCATCTTTCTACACATCGCGCTGCGCGCCAGTCGCACCGGGCAACACCTGGTCCGTCGCCGCGCCATGCTGGTGGTGGTGCCCCATCGGGCCTCCGTCGGTGCCGCCCGTGCCGTCGCCGTAGCGGCCCACGTTCATGGGCAGACCCGTGCGCGGCTCAATGACCGTGCGGTCCTGTGCGAGATCCGACACGGGGTGGGCGCCCCAGACGCCTGAGCGGGTTTGGCTGCACAGAGTCAATATCGGGGAACGCGGGTGACGCGGAGAAAGATGTGGGGAGCTTACCGATCGCCGGAGATCATGTTCGGGTCGCCGATGGGGCCGTCGACGCCGATGTGCTCGCGCTTGCCGCTAATGAAGCCATGCTGTTCGGGAGATTGCTGGGTGCCAGCGAGGCCGGTACCAGGGTGGCCAACGCTGGATGAGGTCGGATCAGTCCGCTTGTCATGCAGCTCGTGGGCGGCAAGACCGCCTGCGCCGAGGGCACCACCACCGATGGCAGCGTCGCGGCCGTAGTGATGATCGTCTCTTGTGCGGTCAGGGAGGGTGGTTGTTTGGCTGCCGGTCAAGCCGGAGGCATGCTGACCAGGAAGAGTGGTCTCGCGAGCACCTGGAGCATAGCCGGTACTGCTTGAAACAGTGTTGGGCTCAGTGCGGTCTTTGGACAGCTCGTGAGCGCCCAGAGCACCTGCACCAAGAGCTCCACCTCCAATGGCAGCATCGCGGCCGTAGTGGTGATCGCCTGTACGGTCAGTATCGGTAGTGGCAGTGCCGATGGGACCATCAACACCAACACGATTGTTGGCGTGCAGAGCTTCACGCGCTGGATGACCCTCCGGGGGCTCTTTACGCAGAAGGTTTCTACCCTTGTAGCCGCTGCCGTGACCAAACTTATCATCGCTGTCGTACTCGGCAAGCCCAGCAGCACCAGCTCCTACACCGCCCGCAACAGCCGCATCGCGGCCAGTGTGATGCTCTGCGGAGCGGCGCTCAGCGGAGTGACGGGGACTAGATTCGGGGCTGCGATCCTTCTTCTCTTTCTTGGACTTATCGCGATGTAGGAAACCCAAGATACCACCGCTCTTTTCTTTCTCCTTCTCGTCATGCTTAGCAGCCTCCTTCTCGTACTTCTTCAAGTCCTTTTCATGTTCCTTGTCAAGCTTGTGAAGATCCTTGTCGTGCTTCTTCTCATAGTCGTGTTGGCGCTTAGCAGCCTCCTTCTCTAGCCTCTCCTGCTCTTTGGGATCAAACTGGGGCTGTGCGCGCTGGCCATATGCATAACCAGCGCCGGCACCAACGATACCAGCACCTCCAGCAAGAGCGGCATCACGGCCGGTATGAGATTGACCAGGCTCGGTGCTGTGGGGGGATTGCTGTCCCTGGTGAGAGACTGTAGGCTGGGAAAGGGAAGATGTGCCAGGCTGAGTAGATGTTACAGGAGCAGAACTGTGGTGACTCTTGTCGTCGTGCTGTGACAGTCCATATCCTATCGCAGTGGCGCCAGCTAGACCGGCGCCAGCACCTAAAGCGGCGTTGCGCGAGCTGTTGTCCTTGGGGCCGAGATCGTTGTTGCCAATCTCAGGGGACTTGTAAGCTTGAGGTGGTTGAGAGTTTGCTGACTGGGCCAACTGTGCCGTAGTGTAAGGCTGTTGGGTCTGGCCAGAAACTGTGCCTTGATGTGCTGGGACACCAGTGCCGGTGGCGCTAGCGAGCGCAGCCACGTCAGGGTTTCGGTAGTTGTACTCAGAGGAGGCAGGAACAGGGTTGGGAGCATGCGCACCGGTAGCGGTAGGGTCATATCGTTGATCTTGCATCGAAGCTCCAGGCTGTGTGCTGCGGTGATCACCATAGGCCTTGGCAGCTTCATAGGCACCATATCCTGCAGCTCCAGTACCTCCAGCGACTGCTGCGTCTCGGCCGTAGTGGTGCTGGCCAGCCTTGTCGTCAACCTTGGGATCAAGACGGTTCAGCGTGTCAGATTGATGGGGGCCGGTTGTAGTGTGATCTTTCTGCTTGGCCGGATCAGGCTGTACACGTGGGTCGACTATATTGGCAATGTTGCTCTTGTGAGGCCCGATGGTCTTTGAGGCGGGATCCTCAGCTGTTGGTCCAACGGTGTGCTGACCAGCAGGCTGATTGCGAGATCCAGCATATGCCAAGCCTCCCGCGGTAGCAGCCCCAGCCCCAGCGAGGCCAGCGTCACGTCCATAATGGTGCTGAGACTGAGGCTGAGACTCACCGTAGCTGCCTGTAGGCTGGTACGCTGAGGTACCTGTGGAGCTGGAAGGCAACTGGTGCGATGCAGAAGTGGTGCCAACTGTGCTCGGATTGGTGGTGCCAGTTGTGTGCCGAGTAGTAGGCAGAGAAGAGGAATCTTGCAATGTGGGGTCGTGGTGTCTATCGCCAGACAAGGCACTGCCCGCCAAGACACCGGCACCAAGGGCACCTCCACCAATAGCAGCGTCACGACCATAATGGTGCTCCCGCTCCTCTGATTTAGGGGGAGGTACAGGCCCAGATGAACTTGAAAGAGACTGAGATGTGGGAGTGGCTGATGCCGCCGAGGGATCGAATCTCTGCTCGTTCAAACGAGACTCACCGCCAGTGACGCGTGGGTCAAGCGCTTTAGAGCTGTAAGGATTCTTTTCATCGTAGAGGTTACCAGTGCCTGAAGCTGGGGTTTCATGTTTGTGGTGCGCAGCCGCACCCAGGCCTGCAGCGCCTACACCACCAGCGATCGCCGCGTTGCGCCCAAGATGGTGGTCAGATCCGTCAGCAGATCTAGGTGTGGGATCTTCCAGAGATCCAGTATGACGAAGATCATGAGACGTTGAAGGGCCAGTTGTAGTAGCTCCGGACGCTGGACCAGTACTCCCAAGAATAGGGCCCGATCGCTCGTTCTCAGGTGTGGCGCTGGGAAACTCGCCTGGAATGTGAGGGCTTGTACCTGACCGGTGAGCGTGAGGACGATAGTCTAAAAGTCCGGTGTGGCGTGTGTGTGGATCACTACCATAAGCCTTTTCGTAGTCTAGTAGCGTACCGGTGTTTATGTGAGGTGTTTCATGAGGAGGTCCATGTCCAGGTTCATTCGAATCATTTAGAGGGCGTGCTCCCGCAGCGTGTAGCGCGTCGGGATGGATATTGTGCTCTCGCACGCTCGAAGTCAAATGAGTGTGTCCTGTAGGCGATGCATTCCGGTCACTGAATGTGCCCACCTGGGGGTCGCGTCCCTCGTTATGATCGCCACGGTTAGCGGCTGCGGTAGCGGCTGCAACGGCAGCGGCGCCAGCGAGACCTTCACGCCCATGGCGATTGTCTCCGGCGAGCGGCTGATGCTCTGTGGTATTCAATCCAGAAACTCCGGGAGCACTGTGGGTATTAGGCATGACGGAACTTTGGTCGTGCTGCGCTGATGTGATCCCTCCAGAGAGGGGAAACGAGCGATCAGTACCGGCAGTGCGATTGGAATCGTACGGCTGCTGAGTGGAGCTGCCATGACCGATACCTGATGAGACTGGATGCGATGATTAGACTATAGCTTTCATTACATGGTGTTATTTGACTACCTACCTGGGATCACGCTCGGCTGCTCGTTTGAGACCTCATTTGCGAGTCCTGAGCTGGTGTTGGTTCCAGTATTGCCTTGACCGACAACCTGATTGCGGTTGAGCTTGTCCTCGAAATTACTGTTGCCGGACAAAGCTGCATGCCCCTGGCCGGCCTGACCTGGTGCGAAGCCGATCACTCCCGACTTGATGCTTGCCTCGCTGTTACCATCGTAGGCGCCACTGCTTACCTGCGGCCGCATACTGTCGCCACGAAGAGTGCTGTCGCCGATTCGGGAATTATCGCCAGACAGGCCAGCTGTGCGAGCGCCACCTATCGGGCCATCAGTACCAACACTGCCGGCATGCCTCTCATCGCCGTGGCCGGTTGCCACGGATGTCGCCCCGACATTGGGTGTGTTGGAGAACTTTGGTGGCTCGCCAGTCGTTGGGGCGGCGTTGCCATGTCCAGTCATCTGGTCGTAGATAGGAGTGTTCCTGCCACTTTGTCAGTGCCAGGTCCCAGTTCAGGCGAGGCAGGTCTTACTGGTGTCCAGTGGTCGCAGACGTGGTTCCAGACGTTGTCGTGGTTGACTGTGCAGCCGTACCAGTCGTGCCCTTGTGGTCGTGAGTGACATCGCCGGCAGTCTCACGATCCTTGTCGTGGCCGTGAGGGTGTCTGCCCGCATTGTTAGCAATTGGTGCCCTACTGAGACAGGGCGGCTTACAGGAGGCTCTTGATCTTCTCCATGGTTGTTCGTGTTTGTGTGATCGCTCCAGGGATTACAAGAAGAGTTCCGCTTCTATTACTTATGAGAGTATCACGAGGTTAGTGTGCGGCTGCAGAACAAGGCACAGCTCTTTCATGTCGAATAACATCATCACATAGCTATAGCTACAAAGTAGCGCCAATGACCTCATAACAACTGGATAGCCTGCGGGAAGCTAGACGGCGGCTCCAATGAGATCGACTGCGATGTGTGTCCCATCCAGAAAGAGCCACGACCAGTCCACTTGCAGCGCATCCAGGCGGCACAGTGTTCCAAAGTGACCTGTCTGAGGCGAGTGTGGAGGGTCAGCCACAGGCAGCCCCGCAAGATCGCTGGGAGTCCTGACGTCTCATCACGATCGGGCTTCCGCTGGCTATATTTCAACTGGTGCAGCGGGGTTGAACACCGGGGACAGCCTTAGCTCTCGACCAGGCTGCAAACAACGAGGGCGACAGGCGGCCATTAATGTGCCATGTCCGCCGTGACGATGTGCCAGCCTTGACCCCTCGCGCGCTGACATCACCGATCACCGACAGGGATGTGGACACTGGTTCTACCCCGCGTAGCAACATACGGCACACGCCCGATGCGAACACGGGCTCCAGGCCGTCTTTGGGGGGTGGGACTGACAGGTGACAGGCGTTTGCAGGAGGGAAGCGTCTGGCGGCAGCAACTGGAAGGAAGCTCGGGGTGCAGTGCTAAGGCGGGCTGCGACTTCCTTGTCAGCGCTATCCACGGCCCTCTGCTCTCTGTTCTTGCACCTGCCGCATGCTCGCTGCCGAGGAATCGCCAACCGTCTCCCGGCCAATCAAACGCGGCGCCTCCCAATTTTGCGCGAATTTATATCGGTGGCGACGTGCCAACGCGCTTACGCCTGAGCGCTCCACCCTCGCGCCGGCGCAGCACGTCGGCCGATGTGCGCCAATCGTCACTGGTCACTCGCCAGCAGCCTGCAGTGCTTTTGCGCTGGCTTCTGGTGCGGCTCTAGAAGACCTGTGCATGCAGGCGTGCGTCGGCGCTGTGTTGAGCGAGCTACCTGCCGGCCGTCGTCGGCGGGCGCTGCAGCGAGCCCGTTATCCATCACTCCGCATCGACGCTGGGCTAGTCGGCGCACACAGACGCTCAAGCTTTGGCGTCTCCGCGTTTTCTTCTAGTCCTGGCGCGCCTTTGCAGGGCAGCGTCTCACTGTGCAGTGTCGGCCATTAAAACTCCGCATCCCCCCAGCGCACGCCTGAGGAGCAGAGTGCCTCCAAACGGTTTCGGACCTGCACTATCACGCCCAGCGCGCCCGCAGGGTCAGGCTCATGAACCGACGACATCGACCCACTCTCCCCCGAGTCTGCCGTTGTTATTAGTAGCTCGGCCCCGGGCACCCGTTTCTCGTCGTCGACTCTCTCACCCATCTCCGCCGACATTCTGACCGTGCTTGGCCGCACTTTCCCTTGCACCACCCGCGCTTTCCTGACATCGCTCTCCGCATCCCCTCCAGACCCTTTTCCCCACCACCACACACACCACCGCCCACCATGCCCGGCGCACTACGAAGCCGCCTCCGCCGCGTCCTCACCGGGCAGGAGGGCGAGGGCGGCATTGCAGGCAAGATGAAGCGCAGCAAGAAAGAGGACCCCTGCGAGCCTGAGAGCGACTTTTACAAGCCTGGCGAGAAGATGCCGCCCATGAAGTACCGCCGCCCCGTCGACCCTGAGCACAAGGAGAAACTCGAGGCCTTTACCTGGAAGAAGGCATGGCGCCGCCGTAGTCACCAGAGCCTGTACTCGCCAATGGGCAGCCGCTTGCCGAGCCGCAAGGGCAGCTTCAGGAGTCGCCGCAGCCGCAGTCGCAGCGTGCACCGCAGTCGCCGCTCCAGCTTCCACAGCGATTACGATCACGACGACGACGACACATGGGTCGACAGCGGCATCGGCGCGAGCATCTCCGACAGCGAGCGACCGGCCAACATCCGCGAGGCCAGTGACGACGAGGGCGACGTTCTTAATGGTGTGTATCTGTCATGCTAATCATCGCGAGCCTCGACTAACTTGCCACAGTCGGCCTCTCCCGCAATCCCACCCAGGACCCTCGCGACACACGGAAAGAGTCGACCGCCGGCCGTCGCCGCTCCAGCTCCATCCACTCGGTACGACCCAGCAGCACACGTCCCGGCACTGGGTCCGACCGCACTCGCCAGAACTCACAGCCCTTCACCCCTGAGGATCTCGAGCTAGCGCTGAAGAAATCGCACCTCGACGCCAAGAAACTCGAAGCCATCCAGCAAAGCGAGGGCTGCACGCCGGGCGACAAGGACGACGACAGCGAATGTTCAAGCTCAAGCCCCTTCGACAACCTGCGCCCCCGCGGTGGATCCATCTTCGTCCCACAGGACTCTGACAGCCCTGGAATGTTCCCTGGATGGAACTTTGTCTCATCCCCCACTAAGGGTGGACCCTCGTACTTCCCACCCAAAGACGGCGGTATTCCCCTCCAATTCGAGCGACGTGAATCTGTCTTTCATTCGAACGAAGAGTCTGTTTTCCAGAGGCAAGGGTCAAACGAAAACGCGCCCCAAGCCGGGCGACGTGGCTCGACGTACGCGCCAGATGAAGAAGAAGACCACGTTCCTGCCCTCGCTGCGCCGCCTGCTGAGCCACCCAAGCGCAAGCCTATTGTCACCTGTCCCAGCGACGAGATCATGAAAATCCTCGCTCGCAAGGACTGAACAACGACACAACATTCACTTCACTTGTCAATATTACTGCATCGATTTTGTGCACCTAGGGTCCGCACACTGCATTTCCGGCGTTGAACGACTTATCGTTTGGAGTTATCAGGCCTCGTGCCACATTTGTTCACGCATTGGGAGGCTGTCATGATAGACTGTTACATGGCCTAGTATTGAATTATCAGACGGGAGAAGCACATGGCTATAGAACCATCGGAAGACAGCATTGGTGCAATCGCACAGTAGCTATCATACTTAGCAGACGCCGCCTCGAGCGCGCAATGACATCGCATCACTTTCAGTCTATGTGCAGCTCTCCATTTCGCGACTATCTCCTCAATCAGAACGTCCCATCACACCCCGCGTCACACCACCGCCCATAATAGCGACCCAACCGGCTTTCCTTATGCGGAAGCGATGCTCGATACGTCAACGCGCGCCTTCTTTAACCACCGCCTTTCCCCCGTCACCGCACCAATCACAACCCATGGCATGTCTGTCCATCAAGCCAAGCACCCCACGCAGGTACACCTCGACATACGCAATCAGCCAAGCATTCCTACCACGTACGACGCCTGTTCAGACTTCGCGTACCCACCGTGTCCACTCGCAAGCATATGCTCCACCGCAGTGATCTACATTGCTTCACTCTGCCTCACTTATGAGTCTCCAATCCCAGCCCAAAATAAACAAGTAAAACGCAATTGCAGAGACGCAGGGTGTTTTCGATTGTTGGATTGTTGGACATGCTGCATACGGAAGGCCCGAATTAGGCGCCGGTTGGATGCGGAGAGGCGTACGTGGTGGAGGTTCTGGGCTGCGACTGGGCTGAGGGGTGCAGTGCCGAGTCTGAGCCAATGGGAGGAGTTCAGGGTCAAGCGTGGAGTGAGGATGGGGGCCACCGGGTGTGGAGATCGGAATTCACCGTACTTCGTACCGGGGGTATCGAGGTTTGCAGTTCGCGGTGTGCGGCTGTCTGAATTAAGGACCGGGTTTCGCAGACGTGTGCGCTGGACCGGCCGGCTGGTCTCTCGGAGCAGTCAGCAGACGGCAAGACTGCAGATATGGATGGAGTTTCAAACATCCACTGTCGCGTTGCATGCTGCGAGCTGCACGCACTGCATCGCAGAGCAGAGCAGCATAATCGAACGATTTCGTGCTGCATTTACGCCCGATCCTCCGCATATGCCTCACCCCGGAGTCTCGTCCCAGCAGACCGTCCGAAGGCACGAGGCCTCCTGGCTGTCGGGGCCGCGTCTTGTGAGTATCTGCGTCGCTGTACGATGATGTGGACTTCCTCCAATCATGCCTCTTGAATATACAGGGGGCAGAAGCTTTTGTATACGACGAACAGCTCGTGTCGGAAATACCGGGAGCGGCTACATCGATACTTGCCTGCCATCTTGCAAGTGGGGGCCTGGTAGCCACCGCCACAGCGCTTCGGTGCTCTGGAAGCTCCGTGTTTCTGGTTGAGGGGAGGAAGGGCGGGGCGTAGACGAGAGATGAGTTGCCACTTTTGGCAGGTTTGGAAAGGTGTTGATTCCAGGGCGACCAGGCGGACGGGATGAACCCGTTTCCTGCTCATGCGCTTTGCACCTACCACGGCGCATTCGTGTTCTGGGTATCTCACACCTCCATGTACATAGCAGAAGTCGCGAAAGGGGAGGATGGGCGACTGCGGAGCTTCTTACAGTCGATTTCGAGATGTGTGGATGGCTGTGTAGGACGAGATGACCGGCCCCTGCACGATAATGGAATGCACAGGAGCTGCTCAACTTGCCTGTTACGGCAGGTTTCGAGCGAACGTCGAACGAAGGACTCGGGACCCATGGAATTCTGACATCAAATCGCCTAGTAAGCTTGAGGCATAGACGCGAGAACGGAGTACAGCGCAAAACAAACTGCCTGTTGCGGCAGTTTTCGCACAACTGTCGATAACATAGCCGGTTCTCTTGTACTCACCCCCTGCGCACCCACACAGTGTCTCCGTGCTTCTGGGCCCACTCCACGAGAATGATATGCACGCGAATTGCCTATTGTAGCAGGTTTTGAATTGCTGTTGATCACGGTTGAGGTAGCACCAGCCCTTAGGGTAGCACCAGCCAGGGTCCACGAGAACGAGAACGAAGAAGGGGCGCGACTTGCCTGTTACGGGAGGTTCTCAGCAGCCGTTGATAATGCTTTGTCGTACTTTGTGGCACCTCCGTGATCGACACCTGTTTGAAACCTGCCGTAATAGGCAGCTTGCGCTGGATTCCATTCTCGTGAAGTGGATGCCAGACGCCGTGCTTAGCTGCGTGGAGAGCAGATGCGCACGGCTTCTTCACGGTCACGCGAGTTACTTATTGCGGTAGGTTCTGTGCAACTGTTGATCACAGCTGGTGATTTTTTGCACTATGTACCTCGCTCTCGACGAACAATCCATGGTGTTTGCGCTCCACGAAGACTGAACGGGCGATTCTTGTTCCTCGTTGTCGATGGGCCACGGAGCGACGCTACGTACTTCGCAGGGGGGCCGATAACTAGAGACTTGAGCATGTAGGGATCCACGGATGTGTCTTTGCTCGAGACTACTGCACCCTGACACGTTCGACTGGCTACTTGACATTTTTGTAGGACCCAAACTACGCTTTCTGTGCCAATAAGCGGTAGAACGACTTCCAGTTCACTCCAACAAGAAAGCGCCTTGGTGAGTCCATGGATCTTTCCTGAATGATGCTAGACTTCGCCAAGAGGCTGGTCAAATGTGCCTGAGATAGATACGGTATGCTGCCATGGCGCAAGAGGGACCGCTTGGATGCGATTGAGTCCATTTCGGTCGTAGGGTGTTAAGAATCGCGTAAAGCGATGGCAGCACATCAGTTCCTAAACCAAAGGAGCAGCTATATACCTGCACATACTCCCACCGACACACCCCCAGCCTCGTCACCGAGCCTCCTCGCGCCCTTCCATCTGACAACGATTCTCCCGGCACAATGACCACGCCACCAATCTCCCTCACCGTCGAGCACTCGACCAAAGCCCTGCTCCGTAGCCGCAAAGGCTCCCAGACCGAAGGCCCCCAGACTACGTAGGTCTCGAAACGCAGGGTACAAATCAAGATATTCAACAGGCCTTGTGTCTACCAAGAAATATCCTCTCGACTTGTTCTACCACCCTGGCATCGAAGACGAGAACTCGGGTTCCTCCACCAGTGCAGCCCCAGTCCCCGCTCACTCGCTTCCAACCCGCCCGCTGACTACCCACCCTCCGATGCGAAACCCCCTGCTCGCGCTCGAACCATGTGGCATTACATCACCGTGAACGGGCAAACGGGGAGCGAGCGGTGGGGACGCTGGGCGCGGGCTTGGAAGCTGGGCGGCGGGGCGCGGGGGGGTCGTTCGAGGTCCGGCCTTATGGCGGCGATGGCGGCGATGGCGGGGATGTCATGGATGGGGGGAAGGGGAAAGAGTTGTAGCGAATGTGGTGAGGAGGTTCGGGGTAGGCTGTGTGGAGGAACAGGGGTGGCTGTTTCAGCGTCAACTTTTGATATCTTGAGAAGTTGTGGATTGCAAGAATTCACTGTCTCATTATTGCAAGGATACTATTTCCCTGTCTTCCTCTTCTTGCTCTTGCTTTTCTTCTCCACGGGCGCAGACACCTCCTTCTTCTTCTCCTGTTCTTGCACTGCCGCCTCAGCTTTCGCTTTGAGGTCCGCAGCGGCCTCGTCGTCGCTGAACCCGTCCCACTCCTCCTCTTCGTCGCCATCTTGCTCTGCCGTCGGAGCAGCGGGTTTGCGCAAATCAGCCACCTCCTCTGCCGTGTGTTCGCCCTGCTCCCCATCCTCACCCTCCCTCACAAATGCAGCAACAAAGAACCCCATCGTCCCCTCCCCAGTTCCCTTATCACACCTCACACACCCCTCCAGCACATCCTCTCTCTCCTTGCCCTCAGCTACACCACCGCCCACCTTCCCATCCACCCACTCACCCCTCCTTTCCCATCCGCGCAGCCCGCTAACCTGCTCCTCGCGGCGCAAGATGCGCCAACCGCGCTCGCGCGCCACGCTCGTGGCGAGTGCCTGCAGCACAACGCCCTCATTCTCCTCGAAGTGGATTGAGCACGTCGAGTAAGTGATTTTGCGCGCGGCGCGGAAGCGCATGGCGTGCGTGAGGATGTGGAGTTGGAAGGAGGAGAGGGCGGCGAGGCGTTCGGCGAGTTTGTCGGTGGCGTCGAGCGGGACTTCTTCGTGAGCCGTGTCGTCGAGATCGAGGGTGAGCTCGGGGTTGGCTTCGGGGGTTTCAGGCGCGGATTTGGTGTCGCGCTTGCGCTTCTTGGATTTGGAACTCTTGGGAGGATCGGCGAGGGTGGCGCTGGGTGAGGGCAGGTGCAGTTTTATGGCGTCGTCGCGGCCGACGATGCCAGTGCCTGAGCAGGAGGGATCGAGGAGGATGGCGCCGACGGACTCGTAGTCTGGAGAGTTTGGCTTGGCGGCGATGAAGTCGCTTGATCCTTTCACGGTGACGATTGAGTCTGCGCCGGCGAGCTTGACCATCTTCTTCAGGATCTCAGTGCGGCCTTTGTCGCGCTCGAAAGCGATGACTTTCCTCTCCCTGCCTGCGTTCTGGCTCGACACGATGGCGGCAGCATGCGTCGTCTTGTTGCCCGGCGCCGCACACCCATCGATCACATCGCCATCGCCCTCCTGAAGGTCGAGGAGGTATGCAGGAAAGCATGACGCTTTGTCCTGGAAGATGATCTCGCCCTTCACATAGCCTGGCGTCTTGGTCAAGTTGATTCTGCTCGGCAGCGCCAGCAAATTTGGAATGTTCGGGTCCTCGAAATAAATCTTCTTGCTCCCTCGCGCGCGTAGGATCTCCCCAATAGTGTCGACCTTCTCATATCCCTTGAACGTGCTATCCATCTGCGCCTGCAGACTGCTCTTTATAGTATTCACCCTGACCCATCGTGGATGCCTGCTCTTCTCGCCCTCCTCGCTGTCGTCAGGGTCGAGGTCGCCGGCGTTGATGGCCTCACGGAAAGCCTCGAGTGTAGGGAATTTATAGCTGATGCGGGCTTTCGTAAATGCAGCGCTGAGGCGCGCTTTGTGCCGTTCGATAGCGAGACGCAGGACATGATCCTTGTGCGCCGCGACGCCGGATTTGCTCAGCAGCAAGTCGTGCGTGAGGAGCAGCGCGAGGACAGGCGTGAGCTGTTAGGTCAGCAGTGCGCAATTGACCTGCTTGTGGGGCAAGACCGCAGTATATCGCAGTCAGATACGGCTCAAGTGTTGAATACTTACTTTTCTCTCCTCCTTCAGCACCGCGCACTTCTCAATCACATCCTTCAACACGCGACTCCACTTCGACGCCTCAGCAACCAGCGCATAGATCTGGCCGGGCTTGCTCTTTAAGTCCTTCTTCTTGAAGATGCGCGCCTTAAACGAACCGCCGATCTTGTCGGGGTTCTCGAGGATCGCCGCGGTTTCGTAGTAGAGCGACATTGAGAGCTGGTCGTTGGCACGGGAACTTTTTTGGTGGGCGCGAGTTTCGCCGCGGGAGTGCCCATGTGGGGCTGCTGTGCAAGGCTGCGAGGCTTTGAACACGATACGAGTCTTGCAATGTGATGGAGTGATTGGAGACAGTGGGATATTATACATGCAGAGTGAGCTATCGAAAAGGTGTCAGGCGTCATTGGTTACTCATTGGCAGTAGCAGGCTGATGGTTGTCTCCTACCTGGTGACAAGTATTTGGCCAGAAAAGGCAAGAAACGGGTCTATTCCATTACCCAGCACATTATAGTGTCGCAATCAGTTGTGAATTAAGAACTCCTTAACCGAGAAATCTGCGAGATACAAAGAAACGAAATGGTATCATTGACAACTTATGAACAGAGAAAAAAACCCACTTTGCGAAGTGAGATCAATGCCGGAACACAAGAAACACCCATCGCAGCATCGGCTCTCAAGCAAGACGCCAGCCCGGCAACATTCCGACGATACACGCTTTTCCTCACTCCCGATAGTTCGTTCGACCCGCCTCCTCGGGAGATGGACCGAACCCACCGCTTCCCTGCAGCTCGTCGTGCACTGGTCCCTGTCATGACGACCCCTGCAGACGCCCAGATTCTCCCGGCACTAACCTCCGGACCCCTTGTACGCCACCTTCCCCCATATACCTTTGTACTGCTGTATCGATGCTGTTGAGCGTGTAGCTGTCGCGTCTTACACGCCACCAATCGACCCGCCATCGTTTCGTCACCAAGCTCTTCTTTGCCACATGTTTCTGTCCATATTCTATTGCTGCGCTATGGCAGTCTGATATTCATGTCCTTTTGCTTCGGGTCCAGACTTTATAGTCGCGTGCTGTGCGAGACTGGACTTAGCAGCTTCCTGCAACTGGGCCTCTGCATGCCCTTCCCGCTCGTGGTCGCGCTCGGGAGGTGAATGGCGACCGGACGCTATCCGTGGATCGTGAAGCGGCGAGTACTGTGAAAGGTGCTGCGGTTGCTGCGGGTGCGGACGGTGCGGGTGGGGTATTTGATGCTGTTGCGGTGGTTGCGGTGGTTGCGATGGTTGCTGCGGCTGCTGCGGCGGCGGGTGAGCGATGGCCTGAGGCTGTGGTGTTGATTGTCCGTTACTGCTTGCTATGTGGCTCGATGCATATCCGTGATGGGGGCTCATCATAGATGGCGGGCTAGCGGTACTTGCTCGGTCGTGACTCTCATGGTCTGATGTGTCGGTATGCATGTTGCTGTTTGTGCCCGACAGATGTGTGAACGCGCCTTGCAGCTCACCCTCTCGGACTTCCTTCCAAGAGCATTTGGCATGCTTCTTGGTACAGCCCATACATGCAGTGAGATTTTTGAGGCAATCCATATGCAGTCTTCGACACCGGTCGCATGGAGGCAGAATGCGTTCGCCCTTGCCAAGGCTCTCCATTCTGTGGACCATCTCGGCCTTGTATGGCCCACCATCATCTTTCTCTACTGGCTGACTTGCACGCTGACTCGCAGCCGGTAGAAGGTTAGACGGTGTGTTTGGAATCGGAACGGGGGAGTTCATCATTGATTGAAGTTCAGCTTCGTTTAGCTGCGGAGGCCTTGCATGGTTGGGCGGTGGTGGCGCTGGGGCCTCGACGGGCTTTGGGGGTGCCCTTGAAGCGTTTGCGACTGGTGTAGATGGGTGAGACACCGGGTGGGGCCCGACGGATGGACGCCTCGCGTCTAGCATGCCATTCACGTTTTGTGACGATGGTCGCCGATCGTTAACAGTATGGAACTTTGAGAGCAACTCGTGACGAGTAGTAGACGAGGAGCCATTACCGTGACCATGGCTGTGACCATGGCTATGGCTATGACCATGGCCATGACTGTTGCCATTAGACTCGCTGGGGCGCGCATTGACAGCAACAAAGCCACCCGGCGAGGGTTGGGAGGGCTGCGGGGGCTGCGAGGGCTGCGATGGCTGCGCTTGGGCCTGAGGCGCGTGACTGGAGCTGCTGCCATTCATGAGCGCTACATTGGAGGGGCTCAGCGGCCGAATAGGGGGAGCGGGGCTCGCGGTCGCTCTGCGGTCCAAGATAGCTTGTTTACGTCCCTTCAGTCTGTGGTTGAGCTGTCGGGTGCGCGCAGCAACTATGCAGGGTCAGTGGACATTGTGTTCAGATCTTCCAGCTCGAACTCACCCTGGTCGGCCAATTGGCAGATCTGGCCCAGGTTCTTCTCCAAGATCTCGATGGTGCCCAGCTCCTTCTCCTCGTCCTCTATGATGGGCTGGGGAGGAATCATCTTCTGTGGGATGCCAGAAGAGATAAGCACGAAATCTTCCTCGCTGATCTGGACGCGGCATTGCTTGGTGTAGAACTGGCAGACACGCACGCCTTCGCTCATCTGGCCCAGCTGGAACTGCTCTGGCTTGTTGCGCGCAAACTCGACCACGTCGAGCCATGTGACGGTCGTACCGTCCTTGCCGTGGCTTTTCAGCACGCGCGGCGGGCCGTCGAAGAGCCGCTCGAAGCGCTTGATGAGGATGGGTCCCAGCGGCCTTGCGCCCAGATTACAGGCCATGGACTCGTGGCGGTCGAGCACGCCCTGGTAGTCGCTAAGCAGCGACAGGATGTTGGGCAGCGTGTCGTCATTGGTGATCAGCGGCAGGTCTGCGTCCAGGTGGCGCACGAGGTAGTTGATCTGGAGGTGGTTGTGGGTCTTGGCAGCCTTTGGGTGTGGCGCGGCCGGGTGCACATTCTCGTGCGAACTGCTCCTCTTGCGCTTGAGATCGGTCGCAGCAGGCTGCGCATGGTGGGGGTGGGCCATGTTGAGGTCGGCGCGGGCGTGCGGGTCGTGGCTGGACATGTTGCGCGCAGAGGGTGGCGGAGAAGGATATAGCACGCAGCGGAGCACGGGTTGGTGCGCGGGTGGAGGCAGCAGGCGGAATGCGTGGGACACGCTAAATGGGCTCTCAGCGGCGGCGGACTCGCTCTACAGCGCCATTGCAGCGTTACAGGTACGAGAGCATCGCGGGGAGGGCAGAGGCTGAGGCAGGACAGGGCAGGGCAGCGCGGTGCGAGTGGAGAGGCTGCGGCGGCAGGTGGACTGTGTAGACTCGGCAGAGAACAAGCACCGGGGGCACGAAAGCCACTCTTCGCAGCTCAGGGTGCCGTCGCCAGCGGCGGGCCACCAAGTCAACCCGTCACGGGAATAAAGCCTAGCGCGACACAGCGGAGCCCCGCAGCCAATGAGCGCTCGGAGGAAGCCAGCTCTGGTCTCGGCTCGATCAGCGCTGGCAGTCGGGAGAAGGGGGTTGGAGACGCCGACGCTCCGAGAGATGCAGGAACAGGACAGAGAACAGCTGGCGGCGTGGCCTCGCAGGTGCACGGGAGTGGTGCGAAGCAGCTGCGAGGGCTTTCGCCATGCCGCGCGCTCGTCCAGCGTGCGCGGTGGAGCCGGGATAGCGTCTGCTGCACGCGTCCGCTTGACGGCGACCAGCCGTGCAGTGGCTGCACCTGTGGCTGTCCGCGGAGACACGTCGTATCAGCGTCGCAGGCGCAGCAAGGAAGGCGCCAGGGCGTGCCATGCACGCCATGCGTGCGACGGGCGGCGTGTCCCTCTCATCTCACCAGCCAACGAACATGAGCAGAAGCGGCCAGGGCACCACGCAGACGAGCAGACACAAGGTCCAGAACTCCAAGACCCCGGGGCGTGACGGCAAAGGCTCGAAAATCGCGCAACGCCCTGCAGGCCCTGGTCGCTGTGCCGCACGTCCGCCGGCGCCGTCCGCCTGTGAGGGGTGGAATTTCCCATCGCTGAGCGTTCCACCCCTGGTGGCTCCCCGGCGCAAGCTCCTCAGCTCATCAGGGTCGGGTTCTGTCATCCGATCACGTGCATGACCTCAGCAAGTGGACGCTAGCTGGAACTTGCCTTGCTGCGCACAGACCGCTACCTCCAACTGCACGTCACTACGCGTTGTTGGTTCAAAGACACGGCCATCTCCATACACACACAGCATGTCTGAACGCGGCGCATTCCGGGGCCGAGGTGGCGGCGGGCGTGGAGATCACCGCGGGGGCAGAGGCGGAGGGAGAGGAGGCGCGCAAGGTGGAAATGCGGCGGGGCAGCAGCAGACTGAGCGTCCGAAGAAAGAGAACATCCTGGACCTGAGCAAGTACATGGACAAGCAGATCACCGTCAAATTCAGCGGCGGCCGCGAAGGTGAGTCAATTGGGTGCAGAGAGCATGCGAGAGGGCAAACAGACCACGACCGCGAGAGAGCGGGTGCTGACAAGTGTGCAGTCATCGGAACGCTAAAGGGCTACGACCAATTGATGAACCTCGTGCTGGACGAGGTCAAGGAGGCCATGACAGGTAAGCGACTACTGAGCCTCCACAACGTGGCCGGGCTAAAGATCATGTAGATGACGAAGGCAACGTACGATACCGCAAGCTCGGCCTCATTGTCGCCCGCGGCACACTTCTTGTCGTCATCTCACCCGTCGACGGCAGCGAAGAGATTGCCAACCCATTCATACAAGAAGAAGAGTGAAAACGGGCCGATCTTGATGGGTTGAGCATACAGCAGGCGCGGTAGCAAGCCGACCGATGGAAGGTTATGCGCTACACACGGCCTTTAAAAGTTGCAGAGGACAGAAAGGAACAAAGCAGATGCAGATGCAGGCTCTCCATGATACCCACGACCATCTCTGGAGCATTTGGCCTGGTGTGATTTGGCAGGGACCCGTTGGCAAATGACAGTCAGTTGTCCAACCACCACAGCCATAACAATAGATGTGAAAAATCAAAAGTAACGAAGCGCCATCTCAACGACACACGATGCCGGCTCTCAGCGAGGCAAGTTGTGCAGATTTGATCTCATGTGTCGTTGTGTTGCAAGTGAAAGAATGAATAGGTGGACATGTCGAGTGAGTGGGCGCGGCTTCCTCTGTATACCTGTGTGCTTTCATTTGTGCCTACCTCATGGCGCACTCAGCCCCAACAAAATCCCTCAATACATTCTGCACCCTCTCACCAGCACATAGCTTCCATTAGCACACAACTATCCCAGACCATGCCGCTCTCCGATCTCGCGGTGTCTTCGCTGCCTGTGATCTCGCCGGTCCCAGATATATCCCGCTACAGCCTGAAACAGATCTCACGCTGGATACGCGACGATCTCGACGTTCGAGTCGCGCGAGAAGGCCCTGACACCCTTCGTCCAGACGACGTGGTCGCGCTGCACGAACTATTCACTGCCTTGCGTCACTTCACGACTATCTCTGTTCGTGACCTCCGGGCGACAGGCATTCATAAAGCCATAAAGGATATTTCTGGCATTGCTACACGCTGGCCGGGGCGTTTGTGCGATGACTGCGACGCGATCGTCAACATCTGGACCATCAAGTTTGGGCCCCTCGACGAGCTTTATCCGTTCTTGTATGGTCGGGGAGGGCGACTTGAAGGTATCGCCAGTGTGTCTGAGCACAATCGTGAGGTGAGACTTACTTGCTGCATTGCTTACACTGGAGATTAACGGTCTTCCAGGCGCTCCTCAAGAGGTGGTCTCAATTTTGTCCCGACAAGATTGATCCCAGGGTATCTCACAGTCGAGGTAGCCTTGGTTTCAGGGCTGGCGAGTAAGTATCTCGCTAGCAATCAATGGCTAATGCTCACAAACAACGTAGCTGGTGGATCAATCCTCTGTTCGCACATCATGCAGGCATCATTGGGCTTGAGTCAGTTGAAGGTGGGACAACTTACGACAAGAATGGCGCCTATGCGCTCGTCTTAAAAAGGGCCAGCGAGGTCGATGCTCGAGATGAGTATGGGTTCACGTACCGCTGTCCGATCAACGACAAAGGCAGGTTTCGATTGACAGCCGCAACCGCCAGGTCTCGTGCACCAATACGAGTGCTTCGAGCCCAGGGTGTCAACAGTGTCTGGGGCCCGAAGGCTGGAATACGGTATGAAGGATTGTAAGCTGTTCCTGGCTATAAGTAGTCCAACATTCTAACTTTATAAAGGTACTCGGTCAAAGGCTGGCGTATTCGTCAAGCTAATCTCAAAGATACGGTCAGTGGTGATTGGGAACATGGGGACATCTTGTATGAGATCTCGCTACAAAGGAACGATTCAGTATCTATGGACGAAGTGACTAAACGACCAACCAACATGGAACTGGACGATTATACGGAATACAAGCGACTGCGGAGGCTTTACCGTGAGGGCAAGCACACAGGACTTGTACTGTCGACGTCACCTCGCATGGCACCGCGTCTGCCACCTATCGACATCTCACCTAGCCCGACCAGTGCGCCGCAGTCGCTACTACGTCTCTCACCGAGCCTTTTACGCAGACCTACGTTCAGATCGCCCGATTTTGACGATATCAGCGTGTCCCGATCATCACTTAACTCGGTCGCAATTTCGATCAGCCACGTCGTCTCTCCTATGACAGTTCCAAGCCCGCAAAGCTCGTTTTTCATGCTGCCGGATGCCATTTCTACCAAAGTCAACAACGGCAGCCTACCAGACTCTTCAAATGACGAGTCTACCAGTACTATTTTAGCTGAGAAGCCAGTCGGGAAGTCCATCGCCAGCAGCACTCGTTCGACCATAGACGACCTCAAGGAGATCATACCGTGGATTGAGTTAGAACCTCAGATATCAACGCCTCTTTCGCCGAGTCCGACAGTAGGAATAAGTCAGCAAAGCACCAGTAAATCTACAGACAGGCTGGAGGCCAAAGCTGCAGCATTGAACCCAGTGAAAACAGTTAGAAGATTGGCGAGAGATTCAGGGCACCAATTCGATCTGGATTTGCAGAGTCGGGAGCTGAGAGAGCAGGACGCAGCAACAAACGGACTAAACCTACGAATCTATCCTGCGAAGCCAATATTCAGCAAGAAGAATGAGGAGGAACAGCAGAAGGCATCAAATTCACTAAATTTACGGCTTTACGCTGCAAAGCCAATATTCAGCAAGATATTGGAAAAGCACAAGCAAGGCTCTACAAACAAGGCAGTCGTTGGAAAGAAGCCAAAGTTCTTCGATGGAGCAGGGTATAGTGCTGACGAGGAAGATGACGACTGCAGGACATCCCCCCCGAAAATCCAACAATCACGCCCCAGTTCTGTGACTCGTACCTCGAGGGTTCATTCTCCGACCCCGATCAAACCACAAGGGCAACCCCGATTCATCAGCTACGGTACTGAAGACATTGAGTTTGCGTCGGATCGCATGTCTCGCACCGGGGCGGTGTCTCCAGCATATAGCTTCAGGTCATCGCCAACGATGAGCCCTAGAGGCCGTCAGAACGCTCGAGAAAGCATTGCACTGGGGAAACTGAAACGGTGGCTGAGCAGATAGGTGGGTTGCATCCTTCGATACGACCCCGTTTTGTTGGGGTTTCGACTTCTATTTTATGTCTACTTCATCAGTTTGTTTGTCGTACTTGTCTGGCTCACCGGAGGCAGAGGAGGCCACTTTCTTACTACTTCCTGTGGATAGGCAGTATTTTGTTCGTAGTCAGCCTCCTTCAGTTTACCTTACCTGGTCCCAGCCTTGTTTTTAGATGTTTCCGCTCGTTAGTTGATCAAACCTGTTCTCGCTGCTTGGCGGAGGTGCCTTGGCTTGCTTTCTGGAACGTCGATAGTCTACCTCATCTGTTCGGCGGTACTCAGCGCGATGCCAGTACAAGCGGGTGAACTATTAGCCTTGTCGCATGGCGTGCTCGTTACACCGGGCTGAATACGGTGATATAGTAGGTAAGCCGTCCAAGAATCGAAGGCTGGACTGCCTTGGCACTGGAGAGTGGGTAGATCTCGAAGGTTGACCGGGGATGTCATGGATCTAGCGGTGGCTGGTAGCCCGCAGGTCTGGCTACTGCTCCACAATACGCAGGTGGGCGGAGGGAGCGTGGAGGAGCGAAGCCATGCATTGGAAGGAGCGCTTCGGCAATCAGACACCGTATGGCCTTGCCGCCTTGGCATTGTTGTCATGGACTGTATTGGGCTGTGAGTGATAGTGTAAGAGGTCGGCATTGTTATCATAAACTACATCAGACCGTGGGGAGTGATAGTGCAAGAGGCCACGATGAAGGAGTACATGACAAGGGTCTAGAGATTAATGTACTGTTAGTTTATACAAACCGTGAGGTATGAGTGAAGTCATCAGTGCCATACCTAGTGCGATGCGTGATGCTGACGCTGCAACCTAGTGCTATCGTTCACGTTCGCACATTCATCGGGGTATTCTGCGCTAGAACACACTGCTTCGTATCATTCCATAAGCGAAAACATCAGTGGAAGCCAGTTCGCCGAACAAAAGTTCTGGAAGGGGGTGTGTAAGCATGGGATAAGCGAAGCGGATGCGCCAAAGCCTGATCTGGAAATTAGCAGTGTTTTCGACCCAATGCAGCTGATTTGGGCACATGGGCCTCATGGCGACCGTCCCAATTTCCGTAAACATGGGGTGCTTCAAAGTAGTCGCCATTGTGTATTTAGAAGACCTTTGCAGCCAAGTGGGACATAAAATGCACTGAGAACTAAATCGGTCCGCCTCCCGCACTGTGACATGAGAATGGTGTTACTCAGTGCACGTTCAAGTTCTTGCTGCTAATCCGCGTTTAGTGCGCCGGCTACGTCATGCATCACGATGCTATAGCTGTGGCTTTCTTGAGCTGACAAACATCTGCGCTCCCACATTGACGAACCTTGTCATTGATTATCAAATGTTTTACAACACACCTCTGCTATAAGCTTGTTATACGTCGTCCAAGATTCGGGCTGCCTCCAGGCAAGCAAAGGCGCGCAATCACCGCGCGAGTGGAGCACACTTGCGAGGGCTGCTTTAGCGAGTGCTGAGTAACCTCCACTTCGAATACAACTCGTGCGTGATCACCTAAGATTAGACACGAACGGCCATATCATTCGTTCATACTGAGAGTGCGGCTCCTTGGATGCATAATTTGCATTTTCTTGTATTACGTCCAATCGGAATTATTGCGTGAACCCAAGCTGCAGATTGGCGCTTTTCCAAGCTAGGAGCATCGCGAAGATGCGTACATGGAATCGCGATGGTGGTGATTCCACACAAGCAATAGTGGAAGCTTCGCACGGGTTCCGCGTCTTGCTCAGTTGTTGTCAATGCTGACCATAGTGGAAACACACCCTTAGTTCACGATCATCACAGTCTCGGTATGGAGGTCATAAGTGAATGTCTTCGCTATGTGATCTTGACTGTAGCAAGTTGGATATTGCAGAGCTCACGACTATTCCCGACTTCTTGCAAATCCCACCATCCTCCATTCAGAACGAAGCTGAAACCTCGTGGCCCCCATTACCCTAATTGTCACTACCACGTTGCCGTCTTGCATGCGGCTCAATTAAGATTCTTACGACAGCATCCCGACGGCATCACCGCGCGGACTCACCGCTGTACTTACGGTATCTGTCCACGGTATCTTGGTCCGGCGCCACAAGCCCTAAATCAGGGTGCATTACACCCCAGTCACTCCACGTGCCCAGCATCCTTCGTGCAGGAGACCTTACTGCCGGGTCGGCCAACTGTCCACTGCACTGGACCAGGTAGAGCTTGGGCCCTCTATAGCATCATACCAAGACGCCACAGTCGAATTGTACGATAGTCAACTGCTTATGGCACCGTAGCCTACTCCTAAGCTTCTATTTCGACTCCCTTGGTCGCAGACGGGCGGCCTTCCTCACAGCAATATCGGGGGCTACAACGGAGGTTTCGAGCAACATAAGAGCAGCACTAATGTCAAGAAGAAACGGCATCAGCCCAACAGCCTCTGAAGCTCCAACACCATCTCAAGAATCACCTCAAAACTCCAACACCCCACAGATCTCTACAGCTCCAAGCACTCGACCCTCAAGAACAGCCTCTCCATCCAACGGGACCAGTTCAGCCAGCGTCCAAGGCACGCCAGAACGATCAAACCAACCGGCAAGCTCACAACCAACTCGAGAACCTTCAGTCGAGCCTCAACAAGCCTCCGCATCGCCAGCTCCTACAACTGCCATCACCAGCCCTCCTTCACAAGAGCCCCAAAACTCAACGACCATGTCTTCTTCCTCTTCCTCAACCCCCAGCAGCACTTCCACTGCTGGTTCCACCTCAGGATCTGGAGGCTACACCCAGCTCCCTTACGCTCCGTTCCCATACCCCATGCCTGCCAACCCTCGCGGTTCGGGTTCCAACAGCGGCAATGGCAAATAGATACTCACTTACGCCGGTCGTACTTGAGCTTCTCGGCATTCTGCATGGACGGCGTTTCGACTTTTAGAAAGGAGGGTATAGAAGGCTTCGATCACTCGTTGGCGCTCGCATTGCATTTCCAAGGCGTTGGATGTATTCATGTTACACTCTCGCTTCTTAGACCTGTTTTCTGTTTTGTTTTGTTGGTTTTCTGGTTGCATTAGAGGTCGTTCGTTGCATTTTCACGGTCGCATTTGGGTTCGCGGTTTATCGCTCGTTATCTCAGCATTGGTGGCGTTGGGGTCTGGTTTTGCTTTTGCTCTTGTACACTCCGCTCGCTAGGTATCAAATAACACACCCCGTCTCTTCTTCTGCTTTTTGCTCCTCTCTCTTGCAGCCCGCTGACTCTCCCAGCCCTCGACCGGGCCCTGACTTTCCGGTTTTCATGTGGGCTAGCTGCATGATCCAGCCATGGAACTATCAGATTAGATCCAGTATCAAAATGCAGGTCAGCACTCGTTAATCTCCACGTCTCCACACGCTGGGTCCTTGGGCCTATTCTTAGACATGCGGTCCATGACTCGCCATGCATGACAAGCCGTGATATGCTCGAGACGGGACAGTTGAACAGCAAAACTTGCGGAAGACTGGAATGGGACATTGATAGTTGGCGATCGTCAGGACGGGGAAAGGTAGGGAAGAAATAAGTAAAGCATCGGAAAGACGGGTTGCGGATCGCACTTGAGATCGATGCTAGAAAATGCGCCATTGATCTTAGACAATTCTTACTTACACTAGGAAAGTACAACGATGCCTAGATGCTGACGAAGTTTTCCGTATGTGTACATTGTCGCCTCGATGCCTTGAAGTGGAAACGTGGATGGGGTTGTAGGTTCCGTGGAAACCTACGGCTAAGTCCGGTCTAGTGATGCATGTCGTAGCCTTCAGACGGAGTTGGGGCTGCTCTGGCGGTGAGTCCTACTACCTCTGAGACTAATCAGTCGCGAAGTATCATCATGGCTGCAAACATGAGTGTATACAAGACAGCAGAAGACAGACGAACACAAACCAAGGATGATGTTGGATCTTACATAAGCGCGCACGTGCTAACGATGACGATCATCGGGCCAACTTCATGCAAGCAACAGCACCCAGCATTACCACGCGACAACACTGCTCTCGTGCCACTGCAACACCGCGCATTCTTTTGTTCTCTTCTTGCGTTCACGTTGTATTGCGCAGTCTCTTTCACACCTCACCTTCAAACAAACTCTAGCTCTGCGAACTCCTAGACTTCCGCCGAAGCCGTTAGACTGCTAGTCTCTCTTGGACCCAACTATCCATCCACATCACATATCAACTACCATGGCGCCTCTACGGTCACAGATTCCGCTCCTGACACTACTCGCAACCACCTCGCTTCTCCCTCTCCAAGCATGGGCTTCGTTCGAATGCAAGGATATGGCCACACAAGGCACCCACTTCAACTTTGAGAAGCTGGGCGGGCCGCACGTGGTGCACTGGAAGGAAGAAGACCTCGAGCACGACATGGAATACAAATACAACTTCACCCTCGACCTCTGCAAGCCGCTCAAGTCGGAGTGCCATAATGGCGCGCGAGTCTGCGGCATGCGAGAGAACGTCGATCTGTCGCAGGAGGGCAACTCGACGATCACACCGATTGACATCGCTGGAACATACACGTCCTACAACGGCCGCACTATCGATGCCAAATACGAATTGCTGCGCAACTCGGCGTCGAACTCGGATTCCGGCCGCGAAGGACTGAGGACTATCCTGCAAGGAGGACGTTTGCCCTTCGACGACAAGAAGAACGGGCTGGATCAGCGTGCCATCATAGAATTTGTGTGTGACAAGGAGCGCACAGGGTTGGAAGGCGATGAGGCGGACGGTGGCAAATCAGGCAGCGACAAGGATGGCGACAAGAAAGACGATAAAGATGACAAGAAAGATGACAAGGACGATAAGAAAGACGAGGATAAGAAAGAGGGAGAGAAACAGATTAGCAGGCGGGACGAGAGCAACAAAGACAAATGCGAGGAAAGCGACTCCAGCCTGCGCTTCTGCGGATACAAGGTCGAGAACCTGGAGAAGGACAAGAAGGCGAGGACGCTGAGACTGGAATGGCGCACCAAGTACGCATGCGAGGACATGCCTGCGGAGAAGCCCTCGAGCTCGGGCTGGGGCTTCTTCGGATGGTTTTTCATCATGTGGGTCTATCGAGTCTTCGCTGAAAGTACCGCGTTGCTAATGGTAATCAGTCTCTTTCTCAGCATCGCAGCCTACCTCATCTTCGGCTCGTGGCTCAACTACAACCGCTACGGCGCTCGAGGGTTAGATTTGCTACCCCATGCCGATACACTTCGCGACATTCCATATATCGCGAAGGACTTTGGGCGTAAGATCTTTCAGACCGTGCAGGGCAGCGGGAGTAGGGGCGGCTATGCTGCTGTCTAAGCGAGGCATTGCGAGCATTACCAGACGCCTCTTGCGAGGTGTCTATCGTTCTGGTTCGGGAGTACGGTATGGCGTTGTAGGATAAGAGGAGGAGCGATTGTTGGGTTGATTTGAATGAAGGTCTATCGTTTCGACGGCACCTGCTTACCTAGACTTGAATGCCGACTTAGCGTTAGTACTTCGTGCAATATGTATACATTCTTTCTCATCATGTTCTCGTCAGCGCGCAAATCCTTGCGCTTCAACGTATCGATTCTGAGCGTGCCGATCTGATGACTTGGACTTTCGAGACAGGTGTCAGTACGCTCCCTTCTCTCATCTCAGCAATATTTCTGCCACCAAACGCAAAAGACAATTTGACGTCTTCCCGTCCGCGACTCCTCTTCTAAGAATAACGGAACACACTCGTCATGTCTTCTCTGCACCTTCAAAACTTCCAGATTTAAAAGGCGGCTCCAATGGGCCATGCTTCTGTCGCTCAGCCTGAAACATGCATGATTTTTCAGAATGACTGAAGCATCGAGTCCAAAGACAATCATGTAAGCCCATGGACTGCCGTCAAGCCCCGTCCCGAAAGTTACCAATGGGCCGTCCACTCTGCACGAGTGAAGAATAGCCGAGCTGCGATACACTCAATTGTCGGTCATCAACTTCTGCTCTGGAATCAAACGCCATTAGAGAACGAGTGCTGTTGTGCCCACTCCCTCTGCGCGTCGAGAAATAAACCTGGAGTCATGGTTGCAGGTCTTTTACTATTGCTACTCGCGGCTCTCGGAAGCCTCGTCGCGGGTTTGCCATGCAAGCTGTCGGACATTGGGCCGATTTGTGCACTGCTCTGTGCGTTAACGATATTGCAATGAAAGTACAGTGGCCAAAGCTTGAGACAATCAGTTTCTGCCATCAGGATGAGTGATTCGACGCGTGTCTTACATCGGCTCTGTCCTGGCTGTCAGTGTACGATGAAAGGCGGAGGGACTATGAGACAACATCTCTTCTTCAAGCTTGCCCTCCAAGTGAGGTACAGCGCAAGACGAAAAAAGTTGGATGTGACATGATTGACTCGAATAACCCCGAAGGGCAGTGTGCAAGAGACATACACTTCGAGATGGATGCCGATGCGAGCTCCAGAGATCAGATTGCCAGATCATGAGCCACTGACGGTCTGAATTGCAGGAGGTCGTGTCCTGAAGCTCACTGACAGTGTGCGACCAGAAGATTGCCCTGGAGAATTACGCGCAAAGCCTTACCCTACTGCCCACTGCAACAATTTGTTGCTGTCTGACGTAAGAGGTAGTATCACCATGCGAGCAGAAGCTGACATGCGTGGGGCAAACGCAAAGATTGCTTGGTGAGCCACTGACGGTCCGGATTACCGGAGGTGTCTTGTCCTGCATTGGCAGTGTGTAACCCAACGCCCATATTTGTACGAGCTTTGTTGGGGGGTTGGATGCCAACATGTGTAGTACAGAGCGAACTCTGATTCCACTTGGCCGAGCACGGTGATCAGTCCGAATGCCCGAGCTTGCTCGAGTGCTGCCGGTCACCATACACGTGCCTTACCCTGCTGCTCTGACGAGCGCAGTATAGCCGCGACCTTCAGTCATTGGGCATGCGACATGAAAGTCGCATGGCAGGCATGCTTCCCGCGACCAAGTACATGAAGAGCGGAAAAGGTGACCTTATGAGACATAAACTTCTCATAGCAGACAGAAAGCCTGCAAACGGCCGAGAAAGAAGGTTGGAAGAAGCGTTGGGGTATAGACAAAGGTGGGAGTGAGGGCAGGTGGGAGGTGAAAAGGTGATCGAGAGATCGAGAGTCGAGTAGAACGCGTGGGCGACGGGCTCTTTATGTGACAGAGAAGAGGTCCGTGTCCCACATCACGTGGATGTAGCTGTCAGTCAGGCGCCAGCCTCGTTATTCACGCATGGTGAAGTGAAGGTCCCCTACATCGACGCGACAAACGGCCACAACCTAACATGATTGGACGCTAAGTCTCTCCGCCCCACTCTCTATTGCTGGAACCTTCAGTACCTTGTCGGGGTTTCTTGCTCTTACTTGCTTCCATCGCAAACGCAAAACTCACCCGAAAACCTTTCTCTACCTTTCGTTGACTCCCATTTCAACCAAGTTGCGTAAGTCGGACCTTCAAGATACTGAGATAATTCTCTAACGCAAGGCATAGACGTTGTAATCATGGATCCAACTGAAGGGCTGAGAAATCAGATTGAGCAGCTAGAAGGGAGGATAGAAGCTGGCACGGCGGCATTCTTCGATCTGAAAGCGCAAAATGACGAGCTAAGACGGAGGCTCTCTCTCTATGAGTGTGGGGACAACTCCAACACTGGCGGCACAACACTACAGTTCAACAGTTGCACCTTTGTCGGTGTTCGCAGCCCGTTCGACCCAGACCCACGAACGCTCCGTCCACCTTCACTGGCTCCTGCACTGCACTTGGATCAGGCCGAAGATGCGCCATCGTCACTAGTCATCACCAACCTTGTTCATCGTTCCAGAAGTACGAACAAGTCTTTAAGAACAAAGCATGTCAAAGAGGGAGTCAACAAAGCCGGCAGGAGCACTAAAAGAAGCCAGAACACGAAGCCCGTCGAATGCACCGGTGATGATCTTGATATCAGACCGCCTCTGTATAGACAGTGGTGTTCTCGAGCGCAGTCTCATGAGTGGTGTGATCGCGTTCGCTGCAGATTTCTCCATGAGGATCAGGTGAAGCGTTTCGAGGCGCTGATTCCAACTCTGTTCTTCGACCCAGCAGAGGCACGCGCGGCAAGTTCCTAGACGCTCATAATTTGAAGGTTTTGCCACTTGGAGCAAAATCAGATTGGTCTGCCGGTCTGATGCAGGTCTTCTATGAATGGGCTTAGAGCGCACTGGGTTGGTAGCTAAGTGCTTGTACAAATAAAATGGTTGATGAGATTCAATGCCATGACTCCTACGCTGAAGTATGCAGCTTGATAACGATGAAGCCATTTACAATCGGTTACAAGGCATTCATAGCCATCTGTCTCGTTTCGGGATGTAGTTTTGTACCGAGGGCCGTGATCGAAGTACTTGGACGGAGTATCGTGCGAGGTATTTGGACGATAGACGAGAGTGTCGGGGATCTGGTAGGTTCCGGGTAGCGGGACAGCGGAGCTTCCATTGTTGAATGGGCCACCTGTCTCACATGCATGACATCTCTACATCTCTTTACATCTCTAAACGGATCTGGAGATGAGTAAGTACGAACCCAGCCATCTGGATGGTGAGAATGAATTAGATGTCGCATTCCATGTTAGCATGTACATCATATGCAGGATGCCATCAAAGCTCTTTGTACGGAGAAACTCGTGGTCATGACAGCGATCAACAGGGCAGTCAGGAAGGATGATGCATCACGCCACTTACAGTGCATTTTGGTTCAGTATGAGCACCGACTGCAGCTCACTCACGAGCTGGAACTAAACGCTAGAGGGACAGGTGGAATTATGCGCAGATCTTATTACAACCTCAAGACCTTTTCGAAAGCATGCAAAGTCAACAAGGCGGGGTCTTGGACTACAAAGCCTGGGGGTCTCTCGTAAAGATGAAAGATGGGATCAACGAGAAGCTTCTGTATATTCGCATCCTTTTTGAAGGCATGTCAGTTTGTTGGTGGTCATGGAGTCGTAGCATGGAAGCAGATAGCTGAAATCAAGTTGACCAGATGAAAGTGAGCGTTGTAATACATAACACATTCCACGGCAATGATCTCGAGAGTTCTCACAATATACCTAGCCCAGGCAAAATTAATGGGGACCTTTCGTATGTTCCACAATGTACTCAGCGCTCGTCACTGCGCCGTCGTCAAGGCAGAGCGAAAACAACTTGGCCAGGGAATAAATAACGAGACAACTTCGAGCCCAGCCGCATTGATGCAGCGTTTCGACATGGTCCGGTACGTTCCATTCCTGGCGGTGATCCTCCACGGTTCTGCGTTTGCCTTGTGCGTGCTCACCGGTTTTCATCAACCAATCAGATCACGTTAGGCAAGCCACCCCATGTTTTATGTTCTCCTTTGCCTGCACGGCTTCGGAAGTTGACACCTTTCGCTGCATGAAGAGATTCAGGTCGTGCATGTGGATGAGTGAGCCGAAGGGCACATGGTGAGGGCTTCTGTATGGCCGGTATGTCGCACAGCCGTATCACGCGGCGCGGGGTCGTCAGGAGAGTGTGGCCGGCTGGATACATAGACGAGATCACGAGAGCTGCATCAACTCTACCGTCGCATTCATCACCGGAAGCAAGATCCATAGCAGGAGGAGTATCGGGGTGTAAATAGAGTTCTGTGACACGACTTGTTGTTGTCTCAGTGCCAGTGGTCCCTGCTGTCTAATCTTTGACCGGTGGAGCCTCTCTTGGCACTAGCGTCCTCAGCGCTCACCGGTCTGCCTTGTGGTGCGCCATAACAACTCTTTGCGCGCCGCTCAACATTTATCACAACTGTTGTTCAAGAGCCCGAACACGTTTGCGCTGGTGCGAAGATGGATGCTTTTGATGGGATGGACCTTGCTGCGAGATTGAGCATGGAGGCGAAAGAGTACTGGGTTCATTTGGACGCTGAAGGGCCGCTCGAGAAGTACCCAGGTAAGCTCGATCAAGATTCTGGCGTACGCTCACTCATAGCCAATTTGTAGCGAAGCAACACGCTCGTCGAGTGCAAGAGAAGCTGGGAATCGACGAGGGATTGATCTATCTTGCCGGTCAGCCAGCAAAGAACAACGAAGATAGTGACATGCCAGCGCCGTTTCGACAACGACGATACTTCTACTATCTCACTGGGTATGTTGCGATTTTGTTGTGGAAGCGAAGTCACTGATGTCTGAAAAGATGCAATGAGCCATCGTGCCACATGACCTACGACATCCAACACGACACTCTGTCACTCTTCATACCTCGAATTGATCCTAGGCGCGTCATCTGGAATGGGCGCGGCTCCACTCTTGCCGAAGCCGTTGAAAGGTACGATATTGACGAAGTCTACTATGTGGATGAGCTTGGTGATGTCATCAAGGACTGGAGTAACTACCATGGCGGGCATGGCAGCGATATTTACCTGCTACACGATGGTCAGCTGCCTCGGATCCCTGGACTCCACGCAATTATCGATTCGGAATCCTTGCAGCCCGCAATGAATGCAGCGCGAATGATTAAGGATGAGCACGAGATTAGCCTCATCCGTAGGGCCAACGACATCAGCTCAGAGGCGCACCAGAAGGTGCTTGCCAACATAGTCAAGTTCAAGAATGAGGCGCAAGTTGAGGGCTTGTTCATGGACGTCTGCATCTCACACCAGGCTAAACAGCAAGCCTACGATCCCATTGCCGCGTCTGGTCCGAATGCAGGAACTCTGCACTACGATGCAAATAACGAGAATTTCGATGACCGCCAACTCATGTGTCTTGATGCTGGCTGCGAATTTGAGCTATATGCCAGCGACATCACCCGTACCTTCCCGCTCACGGAATCGTGGCCAAGCAAGGAGTCGGAGAACATCTACAAATTGGTCGAACGCATGCAGGAGAGCTGTATTGAGCGCCTTGCACCCGGCGTACGGTATCTCGATCTTCACATTTTAGCTCACCAAATCGCAATTGATGGACTCCTAAAGCTTGGAATACTGCACAATGGGACAAGGGAAGAGATTTACGCAGCAGGTACAAGCCGGGCGTTTTTTCCACACGGTCTGGGTCACCACGTTGGTTTGGAGGTGCATGATGTTGGCCAGGCTGAGCTCATGAGCGTCAGAAAGGGCAAAGCTGTGCTCACTCAGGTTTGACATGTTCATCTCGAACCACCGCTTTGAAGCTAATCCAAAATCAGGCCCCTTCGCTGTTTCCGCAGAATTTCCATACCCCAGTTTTCGACCCCTCTCTGTGCCATGCGCCCACAGATGCAAAGAGCAGCCAACTCGAGGAGGGCATGGTAGTCACGGTGGAGCCAGGGATGTAAGTATTTGGATCGGCACCGTTGTAGTACAGAGTTTACTGATATTGTCAGATACTTCTCGAACTACGCCCTGCGACACTTCTACCTCCCATCTCCGATTCATTCGCACTTCATAAACCAAGATCTTCTCCGGCGTTACATGCCCGTCGGTGGTGTCCGAATCGAAGACGACATTCTCATCACCTCGAAAGGCTACGAGAACTTGACCACAGCACCAAAGGGCGATGCAATGTTTGATATCATCAGAGGTCACAGCACAGTCTTGAAGCAAACGCAACAGCCGGTTGCAAATGCACCACTTTTGTTCCGTGCACCCGGATGCCCACGCCAAACTTCGCCTTCTACACTACCATCTATCAGACGCGCTGCAACCATGCCCGATCACATCGTTTCAGATCAGCATAACGGGATCCGTCGCGACCATACATTGAGCTCGAGGCGCTCTATGACTACCGATGAGCGTGTCCGGTACTGGCGCCAATCATGCCAGCGGTCTTCACTACAACATCCACCAGCCAACGCAAAGAAGCCCACAACTATATGTGGGTCACACTCTAGCGATGTGAAACACACCTTCATGGGCGACGATTGTAGTCGCACGCAGCCAATGCCAGGTCTGTTGAACTGTGCAGACTGCGCTATTCTAGTACAGACGCTTAGCAGACTCCGCCAGAATTTAACCCTCTCGAAAGAAAAGTCCACCAAACAGGCATCTCAGCCACAAAATACACCTGCAGATCCTATCTGCAGGGATCGATTGCAGCATACAGCGGACAAAAGACCACATGCAAGGTCCATCGAGTTTGGAGTAGCACAAGATACCGCGGGGATGTGTGCAGACAGACCACAATCGGACATTGATGCCTACAAGTCCTCGTCAACGCCTCAAGCTCAACAAATAAGCACCGATCAAAGTGAGAATAATGCTTCTTACACCGAGTGTGTGCAATCGGCACGACGCTGTACTAGAGCGGAGGCACAAGATGACATCACTATTCTTCACGAACCTCTTGCTCACCCGGAGCCAGAGCAATATTATCGGGGCCATGAGCTTTATGCACCACCGCGCACGGAAGTCGGCCTAAGGGGACAGCAAACTGCTTCACACGCACTGGACCCGTACTTGCATGACAATTCAGGATCATGGCCACAGACTTCCCTGCCTGTTAGGACGCGCATGTCATGGCAGCCGGGACAACGACGAACCAGCAACCACACCGACGATCGTGACTGGATGGCATAGGTCCTCAGCATGATCCGAGAAGTGCATTTATCGTACCATACTTGGATTCTCTTCCAGATTATGAACATAATAATAAATCTCCATAATATTCGAAGTCGCAGCCATCGTTAGATGGCTTTAAGATCTTGTCTCATTCGAATTCTATGATGACTTCAATGCCCACCAACGGGTTGCAGACTCAGTTCTACTTATCTGTGTTCTAGTCGCTTCGCATGTTTGTAATTGGTTTTACGCATGCTCGTAAGGGAGTATCTACTAGAGCTACCGACGGTTTCGGACTGTTTGCGATCCAAGATAAAAACCAAGCACTGTGCCGCACCTAATCATGACAGTGGTGCGCGGTGGATAGTGAACAAATTGTCGAACATAGGGCTCCTTCCCAGCCGCCGTAGTGCTGTACCGAGTAGGACCGGAGTTCCGGTACCACGGCGAGCGGTATTCATCAGAAAAGCGTGACGAGAATGGCTATGCGATAGCTCCTCGTCTCGCGAAAACAGCACTTGGCCGCCCGTGGGCCGGTAATCTGCGCCGTAGAGTTGAGCTGGAGGTAGTGTGTCAAGCCCAGTGAAGTGTATGAGCTTATTAATCCGCAACTGGCTTGTCACTTGAGTCTGTGCTGTTGAAACTGTGTCCGTGGCTTTGAAATTCCCCTTGACGGCTGTCCATGAAGGTGATGGGCATGGCATCACCGAGTCACTTCGAGAGGGTGGATAGAAGAGGAGATGCTCAGTGGCCTCGATGCTCGGGTGCGAGTAAGCTTCCTGAGGAGAACAGGCTGTTTCAATCGATGCGTTCTTAACCTTTGCCGACTCTTTGGTAGTAGTATCTAAGCCATCAGCACTATCAAAGACAACCTTGGAAGCTTCCTGCAAATGTGGACTTACTTTTTCTTCTGCGCTTACTCGTTTTCTTGAGAGGTATGTTCTTCGTGCCGAACGTGTGCGACATACGTGTTTTGCGGGCCATCTCGATGGGACGTTGCGTTGTGTGAGCTGAGTCCCCAATTTGAAGGGCGCGATATCAACGCTGTGCGATCGGAGACAAAGGTCAGTGAATGAAAATGCACAAAGAAGGTGTTCCTTTGTGCGCGACACGTTTCGGCGTAACAGTGGCTTGAACGAGGATTGCCAGAACGTACATATATGGAATATTCCTATTGGTGAATTAGCTGCGGGAATTGGTGCCTCGTTGCAATCCAGGCACACACGCACGGAAGGTCGGTAAACTTTGCGCCGTTTGATGCGACAGGAAAATTTGGCGTTCTTGAGTAGAAGTGTCACTCTCGAAGTGCGACACGGTCATAGCGCGTACGAAAGCAGTGAAAGACACGACACGTGATCTGCCCAATTTCTTCGCGTAATGCCAAAGAACCTCTGCTCGAGGAGCCATTCCATGAATTGGGCAGGTATTGCCTCAATGCTCTACTTGATGAGCACCTAACGACTGTATACGTGAGCCTTTGCGCCCCAGATGTCCTGTTGTGATCGTGATATCTGGCAATACCATTGGATCAGGAGGCTGACATGCTGCTCGCACGGCTTCATTTGTCGCCGCCGCAGCTATGTCAAGAGCATGGTCATGAAAGACAGGGAGATTTGCGGAACGTGCGGGCATAGCCTCGGAATCTGTCCGCACCTGCCGGCTTGGGCCGACCAATCCTAGCCCGCTTATCAACTCCACGTGTGCATCGCACGTGAACGCGACCACCATCATCACAACGCTCATTTGTCGCTGGCGAAGGTTGCTTGAATTTTGTGTAAACATGGGACACAGTAGTGGCAGCGATGCAGTATCGAACTCGTCGCAAAAGAGGCCTGCGCAGGACGCGCCTGAGAGTACGCGACCCAAGCGCGCGAAGTACACGTCTACCGCGTGGTCTGTATGCCTAATGTTGTCGCAATAAGCTCGCTGACGACTGGTAGTAACGAGTGCAAACGCTGTAAGGTCAAATGCATCCAAATCGATGACAATACCGATTGTCAGCGGTGTTCGACCATGAGTATCGCATGTATTGTTATTCCCACCGCCACACAAACCGCAAAAGAGAAAGAAAAGGGTAAGGAAAAGAGCAGCATAGATGAGTAAGTGGTGCCACGCTTGGACTTGGGCACGGCTAATGAATATGCAGCTCTAGTCTCAAGCAGTTGACAGAAGACGTCACTTTCCTTCGCGAGCAATTGACTACTTTGATGGGCACTGTGGCAGTTCTGGCAGAGCGACGAGACAGCCAACTCACAGCTGTTGCTGAGCGTACTCCAGCTTCGCAACAGACAGCTAGTCCAGCTTATACTAATAGCACCTCCCAACGCACGGGGCTTCCACGGCAACCTCAGTTTACAGGACCAACCCGTGCTGCGTTCAGCTTGAATATTGTCGAGTCGTCACTTAATCGCATGGGGATTCCACCTGACGTCCATAATCCAGATGATCACACATCATCAGTATCGTCACGAGAAGCAACACCCGAAATTAAAACAGCATTGGCGCAGAATTTGCTGAAGTCAGGGGTCCAAGGACTATCAGGTATCTCAAACGACGATATAGAACGGCTGCTCCTTATATACCAAGAAGAAGTGGCCAGTGTGCACCCGATCATTGAAACGAAAGATCTCATGGCCGACGCACCACACATCATGGAGCTTGTTCGAAACCCCCAACGACCGGCTGGTTTACGAAACCTTGGCAAGAAGGATATCCACATACTAAGACTTGCAGTCGCTACTGCAATTACTCACGAGATCCTCGGAAAGAACGATCTTTCAGACCGACTTATCTTTGAGATTGAGCAAGACGTTGGCAGGATCTCCAGTGAGACCGAAGTAGAGCTGAAAGACATACAGATAATGGGCATGCTGGTACGCGTTCCTAAAATTTTTAAGTTTTGAGCTGACTGTGTTTTAGAGTTTGTATTTTTGTCATACAGAGGAGGAGCTTTTCGCATGGCGGGCAATTGGCAGAGCCTCTCGCCAGGCACTCGAGATGGGCCTGCATCGCAGACAGAGTCTACTCGATAACTTCAAAGATCCTGAAGAGCGTAAGCTTGCAGTGCAAGTGTTCTGGGTGATATACGAGCTGGACCGACGATGGAGTTTTGGAACCAGTCTGTCCTTCGCTCTAAACGATCGAGACATCGATACTCAACTACCAGAGCCAGGGAAGTCATATCCATATCTCAAGGGCATGATTGCCTATGCCAGATTGTGCTCCAGAGTATGGGAGGCGTTGCCACCATATGGATCTGCGTTGCAAACGATACCAAAAGAAACAGAAGACTATCTCGACTTTATCACCTCTAACTGGCTCCTGTCAATCCCGGAAGAACTACAGTTCAGGCATCCTCGACTTGGCCTTGCCAAGTCGCAACCTCGATTACTGCATCGCCTACGTACCCTACTCTATCTTCGAGGAAATCACATGCGAACGCTGATCCATCGACACCATGTGCTTACACCAGACAATATCAAAGCAGATATGGAGTCCGCCAGGCTAGTCGTTGATGTCGCGAGGGACAGCATCCAGGTATTAGTGCATCTCAACGAGACAAGTGACATCTACGCTCGTCAACAGAGTGTTTACCACTACTACCTTCTAAGTTCACTCGCTGTTCTACTGCTCGCTGTGTGTCATGCACCAAGCATGTTTGCTGAAGCGAGCAGGGAATCATTTGTATCCGCTGTCGAGCTAGTCAAAGGCTTTTCGCGCCACGGTACGGCCAGTCGCAGGCTGTGGAAGAGCATTCGCGGTCTCCTGCCTGTTGTGAAGTCTCTAGGCCCTCAGGTCGATGCTGGTGTTCAGGCGAACAATTCGTCAATCAAGGAGGTAGGCGACCCTGCAACATCGAATAATTTGCCGCCATCTCTTCAACTAGACCGGACTGCGTCTGAAATGCCAAATATGTGGAGCGGCGGAGAGATCAACTTCGATACAGATTTGGGCTCAATGCCAGACATTTTCAACATCGGCGACGAACTCATCGATCTGTATGACGCATTCGGAACTGCTGCAGCCACACAGCCTCTACAACCCGACCTCGCAGTGGACAACTTTGGTGAACAGGGTTTGAGCGTCTGGGAGATTGGAGAGATTTCGCGACACTTCCAAGGACTTCTGTGATAGCACACAAGCGCGAAGGTAGCCTTATGAATCTCTGCATGGACGCCGCTGTCTATGTTGGCAATTTCCACTCTCGGCGCGTTGTGATGAACACATCATAGATTGGTCTGTCGTTCTCCTCACCCTCTCAGACCCCCCCATTTGGACATCGAGAAGTTCGTGCCAACTGAATCAACCCACTCAAGATGCCGGTTTAGTTTTCAAAGCTCCCATCACCTGGGAATCAGTTCCCTGAATCTATCCATCTGCATGCCTTCGTTTGTTGCGCATCAATTATCCCTTCCGCAGAGAGTAAGTCTCAATAGTAGTATATGTTGATTTCGAGAGCTGATGGAGGGCGGAAACGGAGGAGGGGTTCTCAATTTTACAAGTTATCGATACGAAGCAGGGATATTGTGTTGTAAGTGTGTATACGATTCAAGTTGAACAGTCTAGGACATGGTGGAAGAGAGATGAGACGACGCAAATAATTCTCTGGGGTGTGGACAGAGGGTGCAGCCAGTAAAGACTTGCCGGTGTCAGAGTTACCGATGAGCATCACAGGAAAGACAAAGAAAAATGAGAACACTGAATTAGACACAAAGTCTCTGGAAGTCGTCTTCAGTCAATCTCATGTACAGTGCAGGTTTGAGGCTACCAGATCACATGTCAATCAACGATCCCTCTTGATCGGCCATCCTGAAATCGCCCACATGCCTTTCACAATGGTTTCCTCGCCTACACGGCCCCTTAGACTAAGTCGCGACCGCTCGTGCTGAAACCTCCAAATCTCTTGAAAGACGAAGACCAACGTGTCTTTGAATGCATTCGAAGGCTTTCCGGTGTAGCACACTTGACCAATCTTCGTGCAGCACTTCTCTACAACCATGTTCATGATCTCGTGCCTCCTAGTAGGAAGCGGTTGTTGTGGTCCAGAAGTGTGCGCGATACTCTGCGAGATGAGCACTGTGTAGAGATGCAGGAGCGGGAAATGCTGGTCCGACGCTAGATTCGAAGCGTTTGTGATTATGTCCCAGCTGATGTTTTCCTCCGTCAGCCCAAGACAAGCGTTTGCCTTCCAGATAAGTTGAGTTGTTCGTGGGAGATCTGTGAGGTACAGGGGAAGCGTCGTAGCAGCACTGGACACCAAGCGAGCAAGGCGTACGAGTGGGACTGCTAGCCCTTCCGCCCTGTCTGGCCGGTCAAGTGAGTCCCAAGATACTGCAATGAGATTATAGGCATCTGTGAAGGTATCATGCGATTCGTCCCAAGTATGAGTACCGGTTTCAATAAGAGCAGGGAAGATGGCCTTCTTCAAGAAGTCACTGACAGTGAACTTGCCATCTGGCTTGCGTTTCCAAAGACTCCGTATGCCGATCCAAAGCTTCTGCATAAAGGTATGCAGACGATCCAATGGCAGCTCGCAAATCCTATTCCATATTGATGTCGCGTCGAACCTTGGCTGTGGAGTTTCTTCCACTAACAGCACGTGCCTACAAACCGGACAACACGCGTTATTGCCTCGTCCACCCTGTAGCCATTTTGATATGCAACTGTAGCCGAAAGTGTGCGTACAGTTCAGTGTGACTGGCAGATGCGTCGCGCTGAAAGGCTCAGTGCAGATCAAGCATTCTTGTACAGGACGAAGTTGATTCTTGATGAAGTCTTCCATAGATGGGGGCCTGGATGTACGTTGTGGCGGAGTGTGCGCGTTGTGAGGGTGCAAAGACTTCTGGGAGATTGCATATCTGCGGTGCGTGAAAGACAGCTAGTGAATGTTTGCCGGGTGTGAAATGACCAAGCGTTCGTAGCTATCCGTGTAGTTAACGAGAAAGGCAACGAGTTTGTAGAAGCGCTGTTGCTTGCTTGCGTGGCTCCTTTCTTCTGAATTTGATTTCGTCAGCCTGTACGTCGCGCGTCCACATTTCGTTTGAGATGCGATCAATTCGGCGTTATGACCGTGATGCAGGAGTTGTCCGCAAACGCGGAGAAGATGAGACAGTCGCACTTTAGCGCAATCTCGACGTGATCCTGCTCAGACATGACCCGTCGAGCTCCCTTGATGAATATGCGTCGAAACAAAGGCAAGAATACTCCAGGTGCAAGTTGCCACTCGTGGAGACTTCGTAACAAACATCACAGAGCGGAGTCCATATTGCATGACTGTGAGTTTATCGGATGTTCCAGAACGTGCAGTTGCTTCTTACTATTCAGTCGTTCTGAAAAGTCATATGATTATCAGGAGGAACCAGAGAGGATGGTGAAGGAGGTGCGTCGTTAGCTATGTTAGTGATCGAACCCAGGTTGTGCTGAATCACGATCCGTTCGAGCTCCTACTTGCAGTCTACACCGACCACGAACACACCACGTCACATCCACCACTTAATCCTTGCCCATCGCAGTCGGCAAATTTTGTCCGTGTATCCTCGAGGAAGATCAATTCTTCTGTGCCATGATTACAAGAATACAAGTGTGAATTCGACAGTCTCGTCCACACGCCACGTTGAGAGGCTAGATGTTCTTTCGGTCGTTGGCGTTGGGAGTATATGTTACACTCGCTGAATTCTATATTTCTTTAAATTGCTTTATCGGACGTCTGAACTCTGGACGATGGTTCCGAAGACGTCTGCCAGCTCAGCCAGCGCAACCCTGGTCAGCTCCTTGCCATCAACTCCCGGGATATCGCGGTCCCCAATAGCATCTTCCACAAGAATGACCTCGTAGCCCTTCTGCATGGCCTCACGAGCAGTGGTGGAGACACAGACATGTGCCATGTACCCAGTCAGAGCAACCTTCTTAACGCCCCATGACTGCAAAGTGTCGTGGAGAGAGGTTTGTTCGAAAGAGCCCGGAAACTGTTTCCAGATTATTTCTTCGCCGTCCTGTTTACAAATCAACTTCGTCTCTTAATTGACACAAGCCTGGGATCCCACCTTTGCGGCGACATTGCTGAACTCGTTTGCAAGCTCAGTACCGGGGGTGAAGATTGGTGCACCCTCAGGTGTCTGATGCATGACGTGCACGATTTTGCCGCCCGCAGCGCGGTACTTCTCGAGCAGGCTGGCGATGGCTTTCCCGCTTGATTCGGCGTTTGTGACCTTCAGCTGTCCTTGCGCATACTCATTCTGAGCATCAATAATGATCAGGGCAGAGTCTGAGGTTGACGCTGTACCTGGACGAATGCCAAGAAGGTCACGGAATGAAGCGACCATTGCGATTAGAGATGCTGAAATGGAGAGCTGGTATAGTAAGTTGTGCGCCGTGAGGTAAGTATGAATATAGGAATCAAGGTATCAGGATGTGGAAAAGCCTTGCTCAATACCAGGAGTTGCCCCCGGGAGTATACCCCGCTCGGCCCACATTCTGTCGATGATGACGTGCCTGTTGGACTAGTGAAGTCCGGGCTGAGCAGGTGGTGCAGCACTTTGATCGTTGAGCATCACGTCTCGCGATAACTTCAGCGAATCTCAATTTCCGTACGCATGAGGCCTCAAAAAGCCAAGCGACTGGGAAGGATTAGAATGCATGCTACCGAGGGATAAGATTTCGGGGAACCCTGAAAGGCCACGCTCGGTTCGCTCCCCTGCAGACTTGCGCTAGCCTCTTATAAGCTAGTGGCTACTTTTGGCTCCTCGAACTCACTCACTCTCAATATCTACTGCATCCAGGCATGTCAAACCTACCCCTCGGCATTTTGTAGGATCTAAACCATCACTACTGTAGTCAATAAACCGTAGAAAATCCACTAAATACCTCCGTGCGCATACAGTGACGAGACTTTTTGCAGAAGCTGGAGAAGATGCCTGTTCACTCGTGATCTCAGGAGTGTCACCAGTGATGTCTTTTCTCGTGTTCTTCAGGGCACTCGTGATTTGTGAGAGCCAAGCAAGGTTCACTTACTGCTATGTACTGGCCTTCTGGTCAACATTCTTGAGGAACACTGGTTGCAGGACTTCAACAATGGATCACTGACGCTGCTAGCTGGAGTTGAGGAGATATTGTTTGGTGACAAGGCTATAAGAATAGAAGAACCCCCAGTCTGTAGTGTTGTAAACGGCAGAAAGCTCACACAAGCATGATTCAAACAGCTTTTGTCACTGCCTCTACCTCTACCTTCAACAAAAACTGCAGACCAGACTTGGAAACCATGTCGTCTCCCGTGAAGAAAACCTCTCAAAATATGAGCTCCAGGGCAGCGCGCTTCTGGCGTTACAAGACAGCTCGTCGCGATGAGCCTGTCCCTCCTGTCAATTCGCGACTGTTGAGCCTGCCAGCGGAGCTTCTCATCGCCATCATGGAAAACCTGTCCGAATCCAAGGACATCGCAGCACTGCGTCGCACGTGTCGCAAGATCGGTCGCTTTACGGATTCTCAAGCGAACCTGTACCGTCTAGTCACAGTCTCACAACACCCATGGGCTCGGACGCGACTCGAGCTCGTTGCTCTCAATAGGATCCCCAATATTACTGGAGAACTAGTGAAAACTTCGAGCAGGGTTAAGACGCTTGTCTTCGAAGATATACGGATTGTCGCACCGAACACGGACTATCGAGATCTTAGTGATCTTTGGACGCGGCACCAAAATCGCCTTTACAATATGGCGGTAGCAGACTCCATCGGTGTAGCAGCTCAAAATTTCAGCAGACTGGAGACAATCGAGTACGATCCTGGATCCTCGCGCACCATGTGGTCCAGAGACACGCTGGACATGCACTTCCGCGCAATCGCAAGGGAGATCGCGCATACCAGCGATGTTGCCTCCAGGCAACAGGAGTAGTATGACATCGATGAGATCTGCGATGCATCTACATGGAAACATCGATCGGAGTGCATCCTGCCTGTGCACAGAAAAGACACAACTTATGTCTCCAGGGAGATGTTCTGCAAAGTTGTCGAACTTGTCTTGCGCAATCGGTGTGTTGAAGCAAAGCCACTCACTGTCGAGATACGGACCCCCGTCACCAATTTCTTCAATGAGACGATTTGGGATCATGCACGCCAAATTCCCCGAACTCAGTATCCAAACTGGCCATCCAATAATCGCCTCGAAAATCTTGACATTCGATACACTGGCAACAACGCGTACTGTGAGCGATGTTTCAAGAGCGACCTCGGCGTCCTTTGTGGTCGTCTTGGTCGTCACCAATTCGCCAATCTGCGCTCACTCACCCTCGGTGGGAACAAGCTTTTGGGCCGTGAGTTCCTCTGCCTCGACTCGCTTGGGTCGATCGAGTTCATCCCGGATTGGACCAATCTTAGGAAGCTCCGTCTAGAAAACGTGTCTCTAAGTTACAAGACAGTTCGTCTTCTGCGAGCGCAGCGGTTCGACCTGGAGATCCACAATGCAATGTGTCATCACAGCTTTTTCCTGTCGCTCCCCGATAACTCCACTCTAAGATCTGTACAGATATCTGGTATTCTTGTTTGCCAGAGGTGGAGATACCCACTTCACAGGCACGCGAAACGCCTCACGACCTCTCAACACCCAGTGTGGTTGATTGCAAAGCGCTTGTCGGATGTGCAAGCCATTATTCGCGAATGTCATCACCAACCGCACCTGAAACTTGAAGTGCCATGGGTTTCGCAGGCAAAGGTTGAGAAATACATGTTGGAAGGTGGCTTTAGTCCCATGAGCCAGGCCAACATGTGGTCTGATAAATTGCCTATGTACTAATTGGGGACATACGCACCTATGTACTCCTTATTTTTTCAGTTGTCTAGAATGAAATTGTCGTCTTCTGTGTTTGCCTTGTAGAAATATCATGTACGTTAGTAAATGCAGAGTTGACTTTCCATTTGTTTGCCGAAACGTGATTTGTAAGAGCTGCACCCCATTGTGAATTGCAGCTTCACTGAGAGAAGAACTTGCTGGATGACTGCATGTGATGGGTACTCCGCATTGCTGACGACCTCGTCTGCGTATCCTAACACAATGAGGGGACGCACGATCAGCCAATCAGCGACCACTTACTGTAGGCGCAACCGAGTTGTAAGGTTCGGAGTCCGTAGGTCAGCTCCCGCGGCAGGCTCCCGCGGCAAGCAACAGCTTCCCGAAACGGCCAATTGCTCCAATGAATGTCACGTCGACTGCGCGATGATGTGAGACAGCAGCCGCGGGAGCGATGAGTTGGATCTCAGCAGAGAACAACCACAGCATGCGACCAGTCGGTATGTAGCGGCAGACCAGCCGAAGGGTGAGCGGACTTCAGTAGACGTATGGGCGGGTTGTTGTATCCAATTGCGCGGTCGGTTTGTGCAGGGTGCTGTGATACAGATGCGGAGATGCGACGCAGGCCCGGGAAGCAGGAACGAACACCAGCAATGCGCCCAGCTTAAGAAGGCCCATTGATCCCTCTTTCAGAGAACCAGATACAAAAGCTATTCATTCAAGAATCCTGCTCCATAAAACTACCAAGCACGTGATCGATCCTTCATCGCAACAGCCAAGTAACACAAAACTGCCATCATCAGCCGTCAGCTACTGCGACACTCATAAAACCCAAAGACATAACACCTGCCAAGTGTAGTCTTGCCATAAGCCACCACTCCCTACACAATGCCTGCTGCTACACGATCCCTCGAATCCATGGTGCTCCAAGCACACCGAGCAAAGGGCGTTCGCTATCCTACATCGGCACAAAAAGACTGCTTCAAGACCTGGTATTCATATGCACTACGTCAAGGTGAAGCCGGGAAGGCCACCACGACAGTTCTCCAAGACCATGGAAGGCAGCTACGCGAGATGAGAGAAGCAGCGCCGGGAGGCAGGACGTACTTGTAATTATGTAAGTTGTACCAGTATCACTGAGCGCGAGCAATGGACTAATGAATGGATAGTCGATATTGTAAAACACTTAAGGGTGTGTTGGCGTTTACTGGCGGCTGCTTTGACCGACTGTCTTTTGCATAGCGACGAAATGGCATTTAAGTGAACAGGCTGAGTTTATGATACCTCTATGCGCGATGAAATGAATCGAAGTTCGATGTTACTGTTGAAACCCATGAATTTGTTCCATACAAGTGAAGTGATACAGCTCTCTAGGGCACTCGCAGAAGAAAGACGCAGCAGAGCGGACTGTATTTTTCACACGTCATTCGTCGCCAATATTTGGAGGACCCTTTGACGGTTAAATCGTAGGGAGCATGATCACATAGAACATTTGGTTAGTTCCACAGTGTCACAACCGACAAGGTACGAGACCAGACTTGAACTTCGTTCTCTGGTCTCCTGGGGTTATTTATCGGACACTGGGTCAGGCTGCTGTATGCAGTGACCGAAGCATGCATCTGGGAAGCCATAGGAGCGTGCTGGAGACTGCGCGTGTGACAGGCGATTTCTGTTTGAACGCTCAATGATGTGAATCATATCATCCACAAAAATGGATCAGTTGCCCAATACGATACGCACGCGCATCAAGCGGCAATCGTTTGAACTTGCGCCGTCTGACCAAGAATGCCGCGATCACGCCACTACCGCACTATACATACAGTGGCTAAAAGCGGCAAAAAGAAAATGACATACAACAGTGGGGATTCCCCAGTGGTCACCCACCTGAGTACTAATCCACCGGTACGTTGCTTAAATAGGGCTGAGCGAACGGGAAGCCTTGTTTTCAACGTCCTATGGTCGTATGTGAAAGAATTGTTCAATAGTTGGTTAGATAAACTCTAAAAAGCATTTCATCCCCTCGCCAGAGGAGACGGCTACCATGGTGCCAATGCCGCGCATGCAAAAGGAGGCGTTCTTGCTGCGGTCCGAGTGCTTAGCAAGATGCTTTGCCATTAGCGTGGTCTTGTTCTTTGCTGCGGCGTCTTGGACCAATCCAGCTACCTCGCAGTGGTGACACCGAGTGCGGAGCCAGGCGTCCTTGCCCAGGCTTTGGTGTCGCGAGACAGCTTGCCAAGGCTGCCGTCCAAGGATAGCAGGAAGTGCCGAATCGGTTGTGAGTAGACGGGGTTGGGGCGGCTGCGTACTTCCTGGGTGGTACTGGTGGTGCCAACAATGCCGGGCGCATACTTCGGGTCACACCCGTTCATGGTTGTGCCGACGACTTGAAGAAAACGTTTTAGAAAAGTATATACCGCGTCTCTGCACCGACGCCGCACTGCATCAGCAGCAGAACCCCTCTCTACACCCGCAGCCGCTCGCCCAAGCAACCAACACCGCCGAATGATCGAGTCACGCGTCCCCACCTCTCTCCCGTACCATAGCACAATCACCACCGCCCTACAGATGGAACCTCTCAAACCGATCCATAAGCGCCGCCACACGCCCATTACTAACCTTCCTGTACCCCGCCAGCTTCGGCCGCTTGGGCGGCGTGCCCGCGCCTTCGCACTCGGTGCCCCGCTTCTCCGCCCACCGCACCTCCTCGCGGGTTCCCAGATCGCACACGGTGGATATGGCGGAGAAGGACAGTGGCTGGTGGAAGGGGAAGGGGTCTGCGACGGTGGAGCCGGAGAGGCTGCGCGTGCGGTCTGGCGGGGGGCTGTTGTCTGGGGTTGCGAAGGCCCTGGTTTCGCTGGGCTCGATGGAGGGGATGGGGGTGTCGCGCTCGAGTTTCTCGAGGGTTGTGGTAAGGTCGAGGCGGCACTGAGCGAGGGTTAGGAGGGTGGCGAGGAGGAGGGCACAGAGGTGGTGTGTCGTGGTTTGTATGTCTTGCTGGCGTGTGATCTGCAGGAGGTCTTGGTTACTCAGCTTGAGCACTGGCGCTGGATTGTATGTTGTGAGGGCGGTCGAAGAGAGGGATGTATTTCCAGTAGCTCGAGAAGTGCGGGACGATTTGATGGAGTGTTCCATGAAGTGCGATTTTTCTTCAGATTGGACGCTGGCGTGGTACTGCGTCATCGAGGGAGTATCCGATATTGTGTTACGAGTTTTATCCTTGGCCGCTATATCCTTCTCATCCACTGATATGGGACTCTCCTCAAGAGCGCGTGCAGGGGTCTTGAACGCCAAAACACCAGTCTCCAAAGCTCTCGCATCCGAGTGCATTTTCTGCAAACGCACGTTCATTCTTCTCAGTGCCTGCATGACGACCGATGACAAGGCGAATCCATCACGCCGCGACAGATGGTACGGATGCCGAGAAAGGACCATCATAAGCCATTCGCCATCACTAGAGATACCCAGCACGTGTCGATTAATCGGAATCGTATTGAGCATCATCGTGTCTTTGATATGCATCAGCTCCTTGTCAGCGATATCTGCACTCCCGCGATCCAAAATCGGCGTATCCGTCCAAGGCTCGAAGGCGGCGATTGAATTGAAGACCGACTGCAGCAGTTCGTACGGTAGCGAGAGGACCCTCGCGAGCGCAGAACCCTGGGTTGGGATTTCGTTTTCGAGGGACATGTTCACGGCAGCAATGTCAGAATCGTTGAGGAATGCACGAGCGTATTAAACCGATGCTATCGGCACGTAGACGTGCATGACAGGCTGATATTTGGATGACAGCCGTATAAGTGGCGGCTCTTCACATGACGTTGATGATGATATAAGGGTTTTGGGGTCTGGTTGACTAGGCTTAGGTGCATGGGTAGCGCCATTGGTGCGGGTTTGGTCGCGGGAACAAAGGTGAGTGATGGGGTGAGGCTGAGGGCGCGAGGCTAGACTGACTGAAAAGGGCTGTCTGTCTTTTGCGGTTCAGCTGCTTTGGGGTGCGGTTGCGGACGTCGTCTGAGGAAGCGACGCTAAAACCGCGCTAGGCACGGAAGTGGGGACGGCTCTGCACCGCACCCTTCCGTCGTTCATTACTGTACAGTGTCACAATGTTAAGATGATTTTATCGTGAATCGAATTTTTTGAGATGAGCTCTACAGTACATGATGAATTCGTGGTTTCAAGCGATCCTGACCCCCTGCCACGGCCTGAGGCCAACTGCAACCGTGTCTCGCGTCGGAGGTGGAGGGACGAGTCGAAGTCTCAAGCACGTGAATGCGAGGCCAACATCAATCCGCACACCTCGGATCGATCCACGATGAGTCGAAGCCCCAGCGCGCGTGGCAGAAGAGGTAAAGAGTGCTGATGCCATGCAGAAGAGAAAACAGACAGAAAAAAGCGCCTCAACCAATCCAATCCCAGAACCTTTGGACCTGCAAGAACCTCTCGACAAACACCACTAGCCAGCCAGCTTTCCCAGGCGGCGACCAAGTGCACCCATGATCCCGACAGTAGCCTGCATGTTCTTCGCCGTCTCCTCCCTGCAAAGCTCCTTGAACACGCGATACACCTCCTCGGCCACGACCGTACCATCAGCGCTGAACCTGAATTGCGCGAGAAACGTGGCCAGCGACGTCGTACCCAGAACCGTGGTGTGCGGTAGGATCTTGCTCGCGAGCACGGCAGGGGCGGTGCAGGCAACGGGGAGAGGTGGCAGATCCAGCTTCTCGCGCTCGGCGTCGACCAGGGTCAGAAAGGTGGCGGCGAGGGCGGGCTTCGTCGTCGATCCATTGGCCTTGATGTAGAGAGTCGAGAGGAAGGTGAAGAGTGACTCGGTGCCGAGCTTCGTGCGGACGAGTTCTGCGGTCCAGTCTGGGGAGACGATGGGCTGGGGTGGCTCGGAGGCCGGCGATGAGTGCTCGGCAAACTCGTCTTCGGAGCGAGCAGCGCGCACTGGAGAGGTCGCAGGCCATCCTGGAGTTGAGGCAGCGATGGGGCATGGGGACCGGCCGAACGGCGAAGACGTGGCGTTCGTCATCTCGGAGCGGAGAGCGACGAATGACGGAGTCAAGTGCGCAGGCACGGCTGGCTCGTCGTCAGAGTCTAGGTAGCCAAGAGGCTGCAGTCGGCAGCGGTCAACATGATGAGCGAGAGAAGCCCGGTCGCTGGTAGGCTCGACCTGGAAGTGGTTGGTCTCAGCGTCCAGGCAGCCAAGAGACCGAAGTGAATGGTAGGCAGGATGATCAATGTAAGCTGCCAGGTTGATGTTAGGAGAGACCTGGAAGTGGACGGAGAAATCGCCGCCATCATCGCCAAAGACTTCGCTGGCGTCATTGTAGTCCGTCTCGACATCCTCGAGATTCTCGTCAACAGCAGTGAGTTCAGTGTTCGAGTGAACATCAACATCGACCTCGTCAACGTAGATGTCGAACTCGGCCAGGTCGACAGTGGCTGACATGCGAGCATCGGCATCGCGTGCAGCAGTGGCAATAGAAACGCCTATAGCAACGAGCCTAGGCGTGAGCGTATCCGTTGGTAGACCAAGTGCCGCATAGACATCAGGGTAGACTGTAGCGACGGACTCGGCACTGTCGAGAACTAACGTACGGGAGGAGGCAAGACTGAGTTCCAGCAGACTCTCAGCGGCCTGGACATCTTCGGCGGCGATCGCAGTACCTTGAACCACGACCAGACCTGATACCGTGGATAACTGAGTGTCCTCACGCAAGCAGGTGTCCTTTTGCGACACAGCAAGCGCTTGGCCAACAGCCTCCATTGCTGGGAGCGCGAGCGAGTCCACACTCTCCGCTCCCGGACCCTCACACCGCTTCTCCCCACCCAGCACCGGCATCCTAAACAACCCGGGCGCCTTAAGCACTAACCGCTCCCCAGCCACGACCGCCGGCCCATCGAAGTCGAACGCCGCGCAGAAGCCGTCCACAGACCGCAGCGACACTTGATCGCCGCGGTCGAGCAGCACAGTGCTGACGTCCGAGTCTGTGTCGTCGGCACTGTCGTCGTCGCTCTCGGACGCGCTATCGGACTCGTCGGAGAGCGGCGCGTTGCGCGCGGGCGCGTGGAGCGGGATGTGGTGTGCTTTCTTCTTGCTTGCGAGGGCCTTGCGGTAGTTGGGTGCCGCGGTGAGGATGCCGGGGGTGGACTGGGGAGTGCGGATGGGAGTGGTAGTGGTTATATCTATTGGTTGAGTAAGAAGGGTGAGGTACTAGAGTGCAGTGCTCAGTGGACGTACCTCGCGCTGCCTTGCCGGGAGTGGACATGCGGTGGGTGGTCTTGCGGACTAGAGCAGCTGTGGCAGCAACGGGAGGTGGAGACACAACAGCTGGGTGGGTTAGCAATTGCAAGGTATGATGGTGTTGGAGGAGTGGACTTACGGAGCGCAGCTTGCTTCTGAGCGTCCTGCGCGGCCTGGGCAGCGCGGATCCGATCAGCGCGCACTATGGCTTGCTGGCGGAGGAACTTCTTCTGGCGAGATGGCATGGCGAGATGGCATGGCGAGATGGCAGAGGTCGGTGTGAAGTGAGGTTTGTGAAGGGGGGTATTGAGTACGCAGTGAGTGGGTGGTGGTGAATGGAATCAGTGAGCAGATTCTGCGAAAGAAGACTGTAGTAATGGAGTGTGGTGATGGAGAGTCGGTGGGCTGGAGGTCGAGTATATACTGCGAGGGTTGTGCGATACTGGGGGCTGCGTGTTCGCGAGTGAAGCGCGTGAAGTGCAGAACACGTGACGCGCGGTGAGGGTCGCCCTTCACTAACATCACTGAGGGGCTGCAGCCTTGCCGGGCGGTCTGGTAGTGGCAGACAGGCAAATTTTACGCTTAGTTACGCGCCTGCGTCTTCTCGAGGGGTCTGGAGCGCCCGTATGCGATCTCATTCAGGCGAGTTGACGGTACAAAGAACATTGTTCAATGGAACGGGGCTACATACGAAAGGCCTCCAGACATTGTGCTATCTGCACAAAGAAAATGATCCCCCGTATCGAGACTGACCTCTCCCCGCACAGTATCGCCGTCCCGGCTATTGACGTCCGATACCACGAACGTCCGTCCGCCTTCTCCGTGCTTACAGCTGAGACGACGCAGTATCCTTTATCTTATCTGTCTCTGCGGCACCAAGATCACATACATCTATAGCACCCATACCAGCTCCGAGTTTGAGATGTCGAGTCCGCCACCGAGAACATCGCCGATAAGACTGATAATACAGCCTGGAGAGGACGGTACTCGAAGTGATGGACTCGAGGTCGAACAACCGATGATGAAGTGATGTGGTGAGGCGAGACGAGGGGCGTTGCGAGGGTGTCGAGACGACACGTCCTTGTCGTGAATGTCCACGTGGCTTTGCAGTGCTAGAGTATTGCGCTGCTTCCCGTTTTGTCGCCTCGTGTTTTGTTGCGTTGCATCGCGTTGAGATTGGTGCTCTCGTTTTCTTGACCTGGTGTGCTGAGTGATCGGGTGCGGAATAGACGGAGTCCCAGGTTTGAAGACCGAAGGAGTAGCAGCAAATGCCTCGATGAAGCGTGGTTGTAGTTGTGGTCATCCTTCGACTAAATGCGTACTTCAGAGCGGCTTCTGGCGACACACGACTGGAGGCCTTGTTGTAAGCCCCCTCCTGCCCAGACATCCGAACAGCCTAGATGATCTTGAACTGCCGCACGGGCATGTCTGCAACGGACTGGCGCCATAGTCGAAAGTATACATTATCCGTCGGTTTTGCTTTGCGCCGCACCCGCCCGTCAATCCATGGAAGCAGATCCGGCCGCATCTTGTACACGCCGATCCGTTCATGCTCGTCCGGTGAGACTTGTCTGAGTGCCAAGAAAATACAAGTCATGCGACCATAGTCGCGTTGATTACCCATGAATAGAAGCAAGACCTCATCGGTAGTTGGCAAGGTTTCGGGTTCGGTGTCGAAATCATGATCGGGGTGAAAAAGTGAAGATATCCTTCCGAGATGTTTTAACGTTGCCATCTCTGATAAATCACAGACATTTATACCACTCGTATCATCTAGAAGGCCTCGTAAGCAGTGACCCCGGAGCACTATGCTAGCATTAACAACATTGCCCAGCTGTGGAGGTCCGACGTGCGTATATTTCATGTCTTCAACGCTCGCATGCATTACCACATGAGACACAAAATCTACTGCACCAGTCGTGGAAGCCCAAGACCATGTTGGCATATTGATTGCAGGTCGGCATCTCTGTGGCGCCGTCGATAGCCAAAGTAAGTTTTCCAGTAGTGAATCCCTCCATAAGCCTGCTATGTATTTATCGCCAGGGCGAGAGCGCATCCTCCGCTTCACGATGGCTGCGAGGGCTGGGAGCCGATCTTCGACGTACGTTAACTGAAGTGGGGAGTACTTAACGACAATAGCTTGCCAGTCTTGAGTGGCGTTTACAATGGGCATCTTGAACGGTATAGACCTGGTCTGCAAGAACGGTGAGAGCCCTTCGTCGTTCGTCCAATCGTGATCGATATGTCCCGACTCTGACTTCCATGTAGAACAGCATTCCCAGATCATCTGCAGCTCGGCAAAATGCACTATTCTTACAGATAGGCGCCGCTCCTGAAAGACCCAGGCGCGTCGCAAGAGCGGGCAGGTCCCGAAATTATTCATATGATCATCGTCCAGAACCCACACGTGCCGATACTGTGCAACATGCAGGATTGAGCTGCTCATCTGCCTTGGCCAGAAGGCGTTGCCTCTATCAGAGAAGCATCCGCCGTCACTATCCTCAGATGCTGTTGCAGCAATTGTCAAAAGGCCGTTTTCATAAATGTCTGCCATGCTTGCTGCAGCTTGTTCCCAGTCAGTTTTGCTGTCCTGGATGATGCCTGTACTACGTCAACTAATGCTCAGTGTATCTTCCTGGAAGATGTAGACTCACATAAGGCATCAATCCAAATGAACCGGAGTCCAAGGCGTAAACACACTAGTACTGCATCCCGGAATGTTTTAGGTAATGCCGAGATCGATACGCCGTCTCTCATCACTTCGATAGTTGAGCTTTCTAGTTTGAATGACACGCCCTTGGGACCCCAACAATGACTCAGACACACGTATGGGCTTTTCGACTTGAGATCTTCTCTCAGGACAATCTGATGTCCCTCAATCTCAAGCACTCGATTGGGCATGTAGTGTTGGACTGCATCAGAAAGTTCTTTTCGGCACATGGGATGATTGTGCGTACATTCATGGAGCCATCGAGCCAGGCGTTGGGCAGATGCTGAGGAGAATGTGTCACTGGTAATCGGCGGAAGAATAGGGAACTTGTAGATTGACGCAATGTCCGTTTCATGAGGGAGAGAATCTGAGATTAGGATCATTAGCGACATGACAGGGTTCGCAATATGGTCAAAGATGGTACTTAAGCGCACCTTTTGGCTGGAGGAGGCAGATTGAGACCCCGTCAACCATTGCCGACCAGTCTAGATAAATGACTCCACTATGATGAAAGCCACTTGCTATCCTAATCTTGGCATCGTCTAGCCGTAGTCCACGTAATGACAGAGCTTTTCGCGCGAGGCTCTTGTGCCAGGTCTGAATAGCGTCCAGAATTGTTGTACAACATTGACGTCCGGCAGATGCTCCTGAAATAAGCTCTTGGATACTGGTGGGCTCAAGGCCATAAGGCAATTGACAGATTCTGCAAATCTCCTCAAAATCTCGTATCTCCGATTCTTTCTCGTTAGATTCATGTTCGGACGACTCTGAGGCTGATTCTGAAGCAGACAAATTCTCATCACCCTGGCTTTCGTCGTCTTCGTCGTCTTCATCATCTTCATCCGATCCAAAGTAATCACTATCGTGTTCACCGTCTTCAAAGTATGCCTCGTCTCCATAGTCTCCATAAGAGAAATACTTCTTATAAAGCTTGTGCTTTCTGACGTGTTCCAACCACCGCCAAAGCTGCCGAAGACTCTCGCGGTATTTCCGACCCGAGACCCTGGAACGCAGCGCTCGTGGGCTTTGAAGCGCCACCAACTGAGACCGACAAGTGAGCGCTGGTCGTTCCTTCATCACTAGCACAGTGCCAAGGCTGAGCTACAATCCGGGGTCGATGCTGTGTTGGCAGGGTACCGCAGGTTATTGATGGCCTGGAGATTCCGCGGAATCGGGGATAGGAGACCGGAGACCGGAGATCGAGGACCGAAGAGCAGAGAGCAAAGGCCGACAAATGAGGAAAGAAGAAGGAAACAGAAAGAAAGAAAGAAAGAATGAAGACAGCCTGGCCCTGACATGACGTCTTAGGAATCAAGGCTGCGCACCTGCAGAGTGGGGCGTCAGCGTCAGCAATCCTTCAGCCTTGCGCCCGGAGCCTTGCACCATCATATGCGGAGTGCGACCGCAGAGAACCAAAACCTATATCGTCGCAGAGCGTGGTAGGGAGCGTGAGACCTGTGTAGTCCAGCCGCAGCAGTCGAGCAGTCGCGACGAGGTAACGGCGTTTCGAGTCTTCAAGACTTCAAGTCTTCGGATCTTCAAGTCTCGAGTCGAGTGCAGTGAAACGAGGCACTGCGCCGAAGACACGAAAACGAAGGTGTAAGGCTGGAGGCCAGATGAGAGGAGGCGGTGTCATGTTGCGGGGAGGTGTCCGCGGGGTGTAGCTTGTGGTGAGTCTGTGATGCAGGCACAGAGTGTCGAGGGTCTGTGAGAGGGCGCTGAGGTGAGACTGCGCAGGGCATGGAAGAGCGAAGGGCGTAGTACATGTACAAAGCATGGGGAATGCATGTGGAGCGAGGAACGCAGCGTGGAGCGGGAGAAAAGTGTGGAGTGTAGGGGAAAGTGTGGAGTGTAAGGAAAGTGTGGAGCGCGAGGAGAACATAGAGTGCGAGAAAATCGCAGAGCAAGGAAAGAGCGTCCACGACCGACTCCAAGCCCCCCATCGGCCTACCAACCAGAATAAGCACGTGACGCCGCTGTGAAACTGATACTTAGGTATAATACTGCAATAATCATCGCCGCGTACGCATAACCATCAACACATGACCAAACCAGCCAAAGCCACACAAACCACATCATACACTCACTCCTTCCCGCCAACCCTCCTCTCAAAATCGTCCTCGAACCGCGACACATCGACAACCTCGACCCCCTTGCCCAACCCAACCATATCGTCTTTCTCCCACCACCTCCCCCTCGCCCCCTCCCCGTGCCCCGCAGCCTCATCATCCGTATCCACCAACCCGCCCGCGCCCACAACAACAACCACCTGCCCAACCCACCTCCGCACATCAGCGACATACCGGCCCTCGCCCGCCAGCGCGTCAACAGTGTAAACCAGATCCGGCGCAAGGTGGCGCAGCATATGCACATGCCCACCGGGCGTAGCAAACGGGAGCGCCATAGCGGGGTGCTCGACGAGGGCGGCGGCCTGGGCGAGCAGCGAGGCGTGCAGAGGGGTTGAGTGCACGGAGGCCGCGGGCGTGTAGACGGTGGGGTCTACGGGGGTCAGGTCGTCGCGGCCGATGGCCGAGTAGGAGGAGCCGAGGGGCGAGCGGGAGGGGGAGGGCGCGCGCGAGGGCGGGTGCGAGCGTAGGGTCGGGGAGTAGATGAGGATGAAGAGGCGGGTTTGGGAGAAGTCGGTGGGTGGGAGGTGCGAGAGGAGCGTCTGTGGGTGTTAGTGGGAGTATATCAGAGGGATGGGGAGGCGTACGGCGTTCTCGGAGCGGTAGGGGGCGTCGTCGTCGGGCGTGTCGGTTAGGGACTCTGCAGACACGACCACCACGACGGTCTTGCGCTTGGCGGCGGGGTTGCTGGCGCTGCGCGAGGCAACCCGCGGCTGGTCGGCGGCCTGGGCGTCGAGGCTGCGGCGGATGGCGGCCTCCTCGGACCAGCGGCTGTGGTCGCCGTACGCGTCGTCCTTGTCCTCCTCGCGGATGCTGGCGAGCGCGGCGCCGGCGGCGGCCCAGCCCGCGGCCGTCTTCTTGCTGACCGAGTCGAAGACCTGCTGCGGGCTGGGGGTGCGGCGGATGACGCCCTGCACGCGGGCCATCAGGGCGTCCGGGTGCGCGACGCCCTGCGAGAGCCCCGTCGCGTCGCGGTCCAGGGGCGCGTGCGGGCCGCGGGGCGTGCGCTCGTCCTCGCCGTAGCTGAGGTTGTCGTCCTCGGACGACTCGTCTTCGTCGTCGCGGCGCTCCGACCACACCCAGGCGGCGAGCCCGGCGGTCGCGACGGTCACGGTCAGGACCAGGGGCACCCAGTAGCTGTGTCGTTAGCCGGCGCGCATCACGGACGGTGGAGGCGGTACCCAAAGGTCGAGCGCGCGCGCGTCGCGGGCTGGCGGCGGTCATAGCGGTCGTAGTTGAAGGACATGGTGCGCGCTGCTCATGTCGATGTCGACGTCGTCGAGCCGCCGGCGTGTTGTTGTGGCTGGCAGCTGCATGACATGTGCCGAGGCGTGTGCCTGACTCGCGCGCCAACTTTCTGCGGGGTGACTCGAACATTATTATTGCAGTCAGCGTCCACGTCGGAGCACAGTGTCGCTACAGCCACAATTGTCACCACCATGCCGCACGCCACGCTGCCCTCGCCGGGCTTCCAGGCCCTGATCCTGTGCGGGCCGGGCGCGTCCTTCAGCACCTTCACATCAACACCCCGCGACATCCCCAAGGCGCTGCTGCCCATTGCCAACCGGCCCATGGTGTGGTACCCGCTGGAGTGGTGCTACCGCATGGGCGTGACCGACATCACAATCATCACGCCCCCCGAGTCGCTCGACGCCATCGAGGCCGCCATGTCGCAGAACCCCCACCTCACGTCGCTGCCCGCCCCGCGCCCGGAGGTCCTCGCGCCGCGCGACCTCACCCACGAGACGGGCACCGGCGACCTGTTCCGCCTGCCCGAGGTGCAGGCCGCCGTCAAGGGCGACTTCATCGTGCTGCCGTGCGACCTGGTGTGCGAGCTGGACGGCACCGCGCTGGCCGACGCCTGGATGGTCGAGCAGGCCGGCTTCCCGGGCGCCGTCGCCGGCGAGCAGGCCAGCGGCAAGACGGCCTTTGGCGCTGGCGGCGAGCGCGTCGGCCGCAGAGGCGGGCTCGGCGTGTGGTACCAGACCAAGGGCGAGGGCAGCCGCAAGGGCGACGAGACCGACTTCATCGCCACCACGCCGCTCCCCACGCCCATCGTGCCCGCCCCCGTCGGCTCCATCCGCCGCGACATGGCCAACCTCGTCTACTCGGTGCCCACCGACACCCTCAACGACATCACCGACGCCCACAAGGCCCTCCCCATCCGCCACTCGCTCATCCGCAAGCACGCCCGCGTGCGCATGCTCACCACCCACCGCGACGCCCACATCTACTTCTTCCCCTACTGGGTCGCCGAGCTGATCCGCCGCAACCCAACCTTCGAGAACGTCAGCGAGGAGGTGCTGGGCTGGTGGGCCAAGGCCGGCTGGCAGACGGGGCTGGCCGACAAGCTGGGCCTGCGCGACATCCTGCAGGGCAGCGACGACGCCGCGTCCGAGGGCTCGCAGCTGGCCGACGAAGACATCGACGTGTCGCGGTACAGCAGCACCTACGCCGGCGCCCCCGTCGCGGCCCGCGCCCCCACCACCCTCGCCTCGCGCGTCTCCTCCGCCACGGCCCCGACCCTCGCCGCCCCCGCGCCCCTCCCCGTCCCGCCCCTCCTCGCCTACGTCCAGCCCCCCGCCCCCCACGCCCCGCTGATCCGCCGCGTCGACACCGCCCCGCTCCTCCTCGCGACCTCCCTGCGCCTCGCAAAACTCACCCCCGAGGACTCATCGCCCTACGCACACACCCACCGCATCGCGCCCTCGACCGCCGCCTCGCTCCCGCAGCGCTGCCGCATCGACCCGACCTCACTACTCGCCGACAACGTCAGCGTCGCCGAGAAAACGAATATCAAAGAATGCGTCGTCGGCGCCGGGTGCCGCATCGGCGAGGGCGCGCGACTCCTGCGGTGCTTGCTGATGGAGGGCGTGGAGATCGCGGATGGTGTTCAAGTTACTGATTGTGTGCTGGGGCGGCGGTGTCGCGTGGGTAAAGGGGCGGTGCTGAATGCGTGTGAGGTCCAGGACGGGCAGGTTGTGGATGAGGGCACGGAGGGGAGGGGCGAGAAGTTTATGCGGTTTAGTGTTGGGGAGGGGTTTGGGGGGGAGGAGGAGGGGGAGGGTGTGTTGGCGTAGGTGCAGGCCATGCAGAAGGGGGGGAGTGCAGTGGCGTCGAGAATACCCTAGACAAGACAAGACAAACAAAAAGAGATTTTTCGTATGATGCAGGTCGATCCCGTGTTTCTGCGTCCTAGGGCTTCTCGGTGAGATGGAGTACCCGCCCCTCGACACCGTGCTGTGCTTGTTCGCTTCCCACCCGTGCTCACTACCCAGCTTCGTCTCCGCAACGCCTTCAGTCCCCGCAGTATCAGCCACGCGAAACCATGCACTGCTCAGAGAATGCAGAGACCGAGACAGGAGAGCCGTTGTAAGTAACAGAGAACGTAGGCAAAGCGTCCCAGCACCGATATAGGCTGGCCTCGCTGTGCGGTACAGGTGCACTGCCTGGCCACTCCCGCCGTCCCCGGCCCTCCCACGCCGCGCCTCCCGCACAGCCCACACCCCAATCTCAAGCCGTCATTACGCATTCCATCGCATCGACGACCCTCACGCCCCCCGTCCCCCGCTCAACCGCACCCCGCTGCTCCTCACCCGCCTCCAGCGCCCGCTTTTCAATTGCCTCAACAGCGTCGACCACCCCTCCCGCTCCTCCCCCAGCGAGACGAATGGCTCCAGCCTCGTGCAGCGCACACAGCGCATTCGTGACCCACACCCGGCACGAAAACATCTCCCCCGTGCGCACAGACGGCTGATCGCTGCCATCCACACCCCCCAGCGTCTCCTCCAGCAGCACTCTCTTCTCGTCCGCGACCGTGCACAATTTCAGCGCGACGCACAGCCCGATTGAAATAGAGAGGTCTTCGGGCCGGGATTCGACGTGCCAGCTGCCCGTGCGGTTGGTGGCGTGGTGCTGGGTGCCTGTCGTGGCGGTGGTGGGCAGGAAGAGCGACCAGTGGAAGCCCGGGAGCGCGCCGCGCAGGTGGAGGAGGATGTAGAGGGCGATCGCGTCTAGGGTTGGGGGTGGCATGTTTGGGTTGGGGGTGGGAGGCTGTGTGGTGGAGTTGGAGTGTTGGCAGGTTGCGGTACGCTTTCACGTCGGCGGAGTCTGGCCTGGTGCCTGGAGCCTGGGCTGGTGCCTGGTGCCTAATGCCTGAGGGTGGCTCGAGCGATCTGCTGGAAGTCAGCTTCGAGGATTTTGACGGGAGGAGCTATTGGCAATATGAAAGAAAGAACGAGCTCTAAGCCCGAGACTCGACAACACAGGGCTGAAACGGAGGCCTTTAGAGCTACCTGGAGACGAATTGACAAGACGATGCACCGATACGAGAATACAAAACTTTTATTGGGTATCGAAATGAGAAAATGACATATGAAACGGAATCGCCGAGGCCCTCCTCGCTATGCTGGGCCATGGTGGTGTACCACGCCATGCGATATGGAGGGAGGGGGAAAATGAGAGAACGCCTGGGTATGGATGTTGGCTATAAGAAAAGGGTATGAAAAATGAACTCAGTCGCTGTAACTCCTCTTTATGCCGTGATGTATCCCACCATCCGTCTTGAAAATGAACTCGGAAAAGAAACCGCCGCTGTGTGAGTGTGCTGTTTATACACGTGCGAGGGCAGCACGGGTTACTGGAACGTGTCAGTATAAACCCACTGTATACTCGAAGGAGGATGAGTACGGTTGCTTTGCACTTACATGTCAAGCTCAAACCGTAAATCCCGTGTCCGCGATGACTTTCGCGCCACCAGTGCCCTGCTCGATAGGATCACGGTGTTCCTCACCCTCCTCGACCGCCATCTCGCCAATGTCCTTGATGGTCTCGACACCGTTCTTCAGCCGAATCACACCGGCGTCGTGGAGCGCAATGATAGCGTCCTTGACCCACATGACGCAGTTGAACGGCTCACCCGAGTTCGCCTCGCCGCAAGCAACACTACCCAGAGTGGTGCACAGCTTGTCCCAGTCCTGAGGCGCGCAGGGAGCCAACTCGAGCGCGACGCACAGGCTGACAGAGCCGGGGATCTTGCTGGTGGACTTGGTCTCCATCCACCAGCCGCCGGACCGGTTAGTGGCGTGCCACACTTGGCCCAGCGGCTTGCTGGTGGGGACGAAGAGGGACCAGTGAAAGCCGGGGAGGGCGCCGCGCAGGTTCAGAAGGACGTAGATCATGCCGTTCTTCAGCTGGTGGGTGACTTCGCTGCCGGACATGGCGATTGAGCTGGAGATATTGGTGTGGAAGTATTGGAGTGAAGGATCTGGTAGTTTAGAAGCAATGGAGTGAAGAACGGGTTTAAAAGCACAGCGAGACTGAGAGTGCTCCTTCACTCCAAGTGGAGCCTGTTCCCATTGCAAACGGAGCCTGCTTTCTCATTACAATCGGAGCTCGCTCTCTCACTTCAAACGCAGCTTGCTCTTTCAATGCACACGGCCCCTACTCTCTCATTACACATATCGTGGACGCTTCTATTACGTAGGGCATCCTTTTTTAGCGTTGTGGAGTGCATCAGCTCAGCTTTTGCGTGATCTCTGGATATCTAGTTCCACTTCCTGTTTTGGAATTGACTGGTGCCGATATCGATTCAACGTGACAACGGTGAGAGCATATTGGAACGAGTGTATGAATTCATTTCTGAGCTATAAGAGAAATGGCATGTAACCGAATCGAGAATAAGACCTGGGCGATGGACAGAACGTGATAGCGCTTGAGTGACGTGCCTGCGCACGGACTACTTCTTGCGCTACTGCCTTTCATCAACTCTAGGTTCCTCACTCCTCCGCATTGCAACCTAAACCACCAACAACACTATGGGGACTCCGCGGCGGATCTCTGGAAGCGCTGCCGCGCGCCTGTCTTGCGAAGAAGACTCAGCCGAGTTTCAAGCAATTTCACTCATTGCCCAGTCACTTGCACATCCTCAGAGAACGCTTCTCTGCACATTCGTACAGCAAGCTGACGATAAGGAAGTCGCAGCTCGTTTCTTGCTAGATGAGGTTGAACAGAACAACGTTACTCTTTTGGAGCTCCTAGCGGATTGGACTAGCCTGCTGCGGAAAGGTATGTTCTGTGGTTCGCGTTCTCGAATTCACTGCTGAACAATTAGTGCGTCCGATCGTCTGCGAAACTGCCGACACACCACTGAGACAAAGAGTATGGCAGAGAGACAGAGGCAGATGCTGCCTCACGCATGTCCGGAACGGGGAAAAACGCGACGAGGATCCACTTTGCATTCACCCGTTGCCTCCTACTCTCTTTGAAGACGACGACATGGCCCAAGACGTAAGATTTCACGTGCTTGGCATCTAATCTGGCTAACTATCCACAGGGAAAGCTTCACAAACTGCTTGCAATATACATTGGGCAGTCGAAGCTGGAAAGCCTGAAGACGCTCTTAGATCCAGAGTCTCACTCCGATCCTACCGGCCAGCTGATGCTAATGTCGTCGCGAATGTTTGATCACTTCGAGAATGGAAGACTCTCTCTGCAGGCTAAAAGAAACTCCACAAACACTTTGGTCAGTCTGCATTTCACGATCATCAAGCTTTTCTAACATCTCCAGGCTCTCTACCTTCCAAAAAAAAACTTTCTCATTCCGTCTACACAGACTGTCATGTGTCGAAACGTAAAGTTGGAAAACAGGGCCGCGGATTCCACGTCTCTTCCAAGTCCACAGATCATTGAAGTCCATCATTGCTTTGCAAAAGCTTTGGCATGGCTAGAAGTATCTGACTACATGAAACGGGTTCTCCTCGAATCACAGCACAAACCGCCAGCGAAGCGATCATGGTTTCAACGGTGCATGCAACCCGTGTCGTCAGTTCTTCAATCTCTCTGGCCCCAAGCGCCTGCTTTCCTTCGAGCATACACCTACAAGTACCTAGCATCGCTTTCACACCGTCTCTACGCACGCACCGGATCCGACTACGTGTGTCGTTTGCCTTTCAACCTTTACCTGCGAATAGCAGAGGAGAGGTGGGCTCCGCGACATCAGGCAGAGCTCGAATCACTTCGTATCTTGCAGAAATACACAACCATCCCTGCCCCAAGGGGGGTCGATGCAGTCCGTCATAGTGGCTCATCGTACCTCCTGATGACAGGTGTTCCCGGCCGTGGCATTGGACAGATGATAAATTCCATGACCGATAAACAGCTGGATCTTGTCGCTGAAGACCTGAAAGACTATGTCGCCCAACTGCGATGCATTCCCCGCAATACCGCCTCGGAGTTCCGCATCTGCAATCCATTGGGCCGGGGCATCCTCGACTGGTCCATTGGCAATTCACAACGTGAAGAACTGAGATTCCGCACTGTAGACGCCTTCCATCATTACCTTGCACACGACCTCCCCATCCGTACCGGTGACCAGAGGAAAATCGTCACGGATGCGCACAGCAAGAAACACGATTGCTTCTTCACCCACGCCGATCTCAACCTACGAAATATCCTCGTCGATGAAACGGGACGCATCTCGGGAATCGTGGACTGGGAGTGTGCGGGCTGGTACCCCGAGTATTGGGAGTACACCAAGATGCACTTCACTGTGCGATCCACTCTTCGGTGGCTCTACGATGTTGTTAATCCGATATTCCCCCTTTATCGCGAGGAGTTACTCTTCCAAGATATGTCGGCCGGCATGGTTCTATCGTGGTGATTGTTGTCGAGCTACGCGTCCCATTCATGCAGCTTACTCGAGTCTTTTGGTACATCTCAAGCACAAACGTGTGAATTGACAGATTAGCAGAAGAAGACATAATGCGTTTTATAAAGAGAGAGACGATCGATAGCTACACACCACAATTCCTTACTACGCTACCTTAGCTGTGTATGCGAGCTTATGACCGATATAAGCTCACTGATTGTCAATGTAAAAACATGGTCAATACAAATACCTCTTTGCACATCGCCAACATTACCCCTCTTCTCTCTCTTCTCGGCCCCTACCTCCTCCTATCTACCAGGACCCACCTCACCGACCAGGAGTGACAAGCTTTGGTTTCACTGACGAGATCGAGACCTTTCCACCACGTGTTTCCTTTCTGACGGCAATGGTATTATGATTAGCACTCACAGCAGCATCTGCACCGAAAGCATAGTTGACATCATTGCATTCATGGAGTCTATTATACATTAACTCATCAACTCCCCGTCTATCTCTCTTCCCAGGCATCCTCCGTGATGGCTCATAGATTGAACTTTGATAAGCTTAATCGATGGTCAGAGTGCTGGTGCTGGGCTCGGGGGTGGTGGAGGAAGGGGTGGGGGTGGGAGTGATGCTCGCAGACGCGGCGTCGTCGGCGGCGGGGGTGGGGGTGGGGGTAGGGGTGACGGCAGCAGCCTCCTCAGCGGGAGTAACTGAGGCGTCGGCTGCGGGGGTGGGGGGTAACAGCAGCTGCTTCTGAGGGAGTCACTGAAGCATCAGCAGCGGGGGTGGGAGTGACGACTGCGTCCTCGGAAGGAGCAATGACCAGGGGCTCGGGGGTTTGGAAGACGTCGGCTTCCGGTGGGGGGGTCACTGCAGCAGCGTCTGGGGAGGGGGTTACAGCAACGGGTGTGGGGGTGATAGCGGCAGCGTCTTCAGAGGGAGTGACCGAGGCGTCGGCGGCTGGTGTAGGTGTGACGATAGCAGCATCCTCGGAGGGTGTGACTGAGGCGTCAACAGCAGGCGTGGGAGTGACGACTGCAGAGTCCACGGGGGTGACAGAAGCGTCAGGAGTTGCTGAAGGTGTGATGACAGCATCAGACGAAGCAACAACAGGGACACGGGCAGCGCGGACAGCGCCCCAGACGTGGTCAGCATTCTGGCCCTCGTTCTTCGCGTTCTTCATGTAGCAAGACCCCCACACCCAGGACACAACAGCACACTCGGTGTTGGCCTCGCAGGCATCCATGCACTCCTCGAAGGTGGTGGTGGTGGGAACAGCACCGATGTCAGCGCCCCAGTGGTCAACACCACACTCGACCTCAAACTCCTTGTACTTGGCGCCATTGCTGGCTTTGTCAATGCAGGAGAGTGCTTTGGGGACTGCAGGGGTAGGGGTGGCGTCGCTGGAGGGAGTGGCACTTGGGGAAACGTCGGCACTGGGGCTGGGGCTGGGGCTGGCACGGGTTCCGAGGAACTTGGCAGTCCAGACCCAAGACGCGTCAGAGACGGTGCCCAGTGCGGACTTGGGGTAGCAGGCTCCGTAGACGTATCTAAGCAATATCATGTCAGTGGGTACACCTCGACATATCTTAGCAGACAGAACTTACGAGACGTCAACGCACTGCTCATCAGCAGCGCAGTGGTCGATACAAGCGGCGAAGGAGTCGGTGCTGACACCCTTCAAGTCGTTGCCGGCATAGTCCTTGCCGCACATGATCTGGAATTTACCGGCAGATGTGATGTAGGAAGCACCATCGCTGTTGACGCTGCCATCGCAGGTAGGTGGTGGGTTCTTCTTCGCAGTCCAAACAGCAGGGTTACCATCGAGCAGGCTAGACACGGCACCCTTGAGGTAGCAAGGCCCGTCGACCCAAGAAACAGCCTTGCACTCGGGCTCGGAGTCGCAGGCAGCCAAGCAGCCCTCGAAAGAGCCAGGCCACCTCAGGCCGTTCTCGAGATCGCCGCCGTAGTAGTCGCGGCCACAGATGACCTCGAACTGGACGTTCGATGCAAGTTTGGAGACGAACTGGTCACCGGGTTGCTTTCCGACGCAGGAGTTGGCTTCCTGTCGTCGCACGGGGATGACGGCAGCGTTGACTAGAGAGCTAGCGGCCAAGGCAGAGGCCGCAAAGATGACTTTGATAGACATTGTAGGTGGAGATGTCGAAGGACGGTGATTATAAAGCAGAAGGATTGACCTTGAACGAAAGGACGGAGCTCAGACGAGTCCAGAAACAAACAGTGACGTAGAGAAGGAAGGTTGCTGTTGCGTGAAGAGATGGAATTTGGAGATCGACATGCTCGCTTTATAGTCGTGCAGAAAAAGCATGCCACAGCCCATGGCTTGAACTTACCATCCGGCACTTTCGCGCGATGGGCTCACCATCGAAAAAACATCTCGGCCTGAGCGAAGCCCAGCAGCGCCTCAATGAATGGCGTCGAGATAGGGTGGGCCTTGGAGCTAAGCAGTGTAGATAAGGACGGCTAAGGCAGGGTTTTGTATGCCAAGTGACGGCAATTTGAAAGGGTGGTCTCAGGTTGGCAATGTGGCTGCTGGGAAGAGCGCTGTAACGACAGCCACCTAGTTTACCATTGCACGACGGAACACTGTTCGAAAATATACGTCGTTACCCTCAGCGGACATGGACGACTCAGATACATACAGCATGGACCAGCCGTTACCGTTGCCGTTGAACGGTTCTCGCTACGATGATCTCATGATGTTCTGTGCTTGATGAACGAAGTGTAAACAAGCACGATCGACAAGCGGCACTTGCTCTGACAATCGATAATGCGGCGCGCATGCAGGGGCTGGAACGTGGGAGCTCAAATGCGGGTTAGTTGCATGTGTGGCGCAAGAAGGTTTCGATCACGTCTGTCATGGGTGATTGCGGCAGGGCGAGGCTACGACGCTATTATATAAGGAAGATTCGAATTGTAATGAGATGAGGTTTCCTGGGGTTATCTTATCCCGATGGTCAACGGCAATATAGGGATGAGGATCATCATCAGAGGACAATGAGGAGTCTGGCGAGATGCTCTTCGTGATGTTTGCCCCTGACTACGTGGGGTTCGCGCTACACCCTATACGTGCTAGCGCCACGGGTCGCCTCGCCATGCATCCCAGTAGATGATCGTGGTCAGCGCCTCTCTCATCTCCTTCAACCTCACGATGCCATATCCGGACACTGAAATGGGGCTGTGATATTTTTCTTCCTTGGAGAGCTAAACTTGATGCATGCTTTTCAATTGCTTTACGGAACAAAGGCTAGCGCGACGCGGGAGATGAGCAATGTCGCGCGTGCTGCAAGGCTGTGCCGAAGAACGAACCTTCACAGAAATAGTCATGCTGCCAAACCGTCTCCGCGGTGTCCTTGAATCTCAGGCTGCAGCGCTTGGGATGACGCACTGAAGCCTGTTCCCGACAACACGCCAAGCGAACAAGGCCTTATCCGAGGAAAGCACACCAACACTCGTGATCGGATGTAGGTTCTAGTATTTCTCGCCTGGTCAACACTACAAAAACGTGGCTTTAGAAGCCGAGATGCTCACTAACTGAAATTACATTTTCCCCTAGAAAGCAGTATATCTCAACGATACGCTCCGTCAGAGCCATGCTTGCCAGCTACCCAATCGTATGGTATCTCTTCGCGCAGTACAATTACGCCTTTAGCGACTGAACAGCGATTGTTTGAATGTAGAGCTTGCATGGCTCACAATTCTTCCATCCGCCGTGAGATAGATGCGTCTGACGGTAGGCGCAGCTATCAATGAATTGTTCATCAGGCGCACGGGTAGCATCGACCGCATTTGAATCAGTGACGACTGGCTTTAACTCTGACTCTATGAGATCCGATCCCACAATCGTATCTGACTCTGGAGGTGCGGGAGGTGCGGGAGGTGGGGCTTCTTCAACACCTCTTTTCTTCTTCTTTTTCTTTTTGGTCGAAGTGGCTGACATTCCAGCCCAGCCAAAACCCCATGAATCGCTTGTCTCTTTTGTTTGTGGTGATTGGGTAGCTGGTGGCTCTACTATTAACGGTTCTTCCACTGATGGTGCTTCCACTGGCGGTTCCTCTACTGGCCAGACTTCCACTGGCGGTTCCTCTACTGGCCAGACTTCCGCTGACAGTTCTTCTACTGCCGGCTCTTCTACTGGCAGTTCTTCTACTGGCAGTTCTTCTACTGGCAGTTCTTCTACTGGCAGTACTTCTAAGGGTGGTATCTCTAGCCCTTGCTCTGGTAAGCAAACCGTCACTGGCTCCATCTCCTCTGTGTGTGCGGGAGCTGTTTCTAGCACAGCTTGCAATTGCTTTTTACTCTTCTTCTTTTTCTTGCCCAATCCCCAACCGTGGCTGCCCCAAGTATCAAGACTTGCCTCTGGAACAACCTCTACGATCTCTTCTACCACTGCCGGAGGGGAAGATTTCGGAGCATGCCATTCTGACGGCGCGGGCTGCGCTCCGTCAATTGTATCAACACTGGCTTCAGTTTCCACAAGGGACTCGCCGCGAGGGGCGGGAATCGCTGCACGTAGCTCCAAGACACGGCCGTGGTAGACGTTGACTATTCGCTGAGCTAGAAGCTTCGCCAATGTAGCGCTTTCGATCCCCATGAAAAAGTCGGTGGTTGAGAAGATATCATCACTGTCTTTCAGAGCAGCGTCGACTTTGTGCAGCACGAGATCTTGGAGCCAGACAGCATCATTTTCCAGTCTCGACAGATAGTCTTCACTGATAGCCTGTGTAGACTCGATGAGATCCATTTTTTCGCACCATCGCACAATCTCTGCCTTTTCCAATCGTTGTAACGCGACTAGCCCCAGCTTCTTGGCCGCAAGAAACGAGAGAATCGATTTCCTCACTTCGTTCTTCGTACCAAGCGTGTCGGACGCGGCGTCGTCATCTGCAAGTGTCTGATATGCACCAGTATACAAGTAGTGTGTGATGACATGTCCTATTTTTGCGTCGACCTCGGTGAGGTGGATCGTGTCATCGTCGAATTCAGGGCAATGAATGTCGTTCAGGGAGTGAAGAAAAGCCTCAGGAATCCAGTACGACACGGAATCTAGACCAAATCGTAGTGCGACAGGACGACTCGTGTACGGACTGCAGATTGAACCAAGATTAGTACTGTGTAAACCCATCAGTGAAAGTTTACCTACCTATGTGTTGGCCTCATGATGGGGGGTTTTGTTTTCTTCTTGGCCATCTCCAGGCCCAGAGTGTATGTATTGATTGTTTGTGGCTCTCAAGTGAACGCAGCGTGCTTTGGAGATATACACTCTTGCCGTGATGCGTGTTGCTGTGTAGCTTCACGAATGTAGCCCATTGAGCACTGAACACGTCGTTCATGGGCAGCCTCGTGCATATGCGTAGACACGACAGACCGCATGTGGTACGACATACCTGCATGAACCTTGCACGTGCGCGATCTAACCAGGAAAGTCTGGTACTCGCGACGAAAGATGCATGTTGTGTCCTGCACTACGATCGGCATCGACGAAATAACGACTTCGTCGATAGCGCAAGCGACACATCGCAATCGCCGCCCACCAAAATCTTACCTATCTTGGGGAACCGAGAGAAGCACAACCAGTGATGAGACGTTTAGTCTAGCCCACAAACCATGGAGATACGGGTTGGGATAACTGCCAACTGACATTTCCCGGACCGCGCAGGACCAGAACATAATCCCGAGCGTCAAAGAAAGACAGCTCTCTCCATTGGTAGACGTCCCTACTCAATACACTTGAGATTTCCGAATCGGGTAAATGCTGGCCAGTGCTAAGAACGACAGGATCCCACCCCTGCAAGTGCATCTGCAGAAGTGCGGCGTAGCTGTTTGCGGGGGCGTTTGGTCCACATTATGACTGGACGATATCCATCAATGAAAGCAAACTGCAGTACTTCCAGCTGCACATACCATAGATCGTACTATACTGTTGGATAGCTTTCGATGTCAGCGGGCCGCCGACGGGCACAGGCGAGGTGCGAGTGCAAAAGTCGCGCCTGTAAATATGCACGTGTAGAGACGGGCCCTGGTTAAACATTTGTGAGCTCTGACGAGTCAACCACTAGCCATCTGTATGATGGGATTCGCACTAAGAATCGATCAGCCATGTGTCACGACTTCATTGGAGAGGTTGGCCAGCAAGGCCGATGGCACGCATGCGTTAACTCTCAGCATCGAACGTGTCCCAAAGACTATTTCTGTGACTTATGTGCTTTAACTGATGCAACTCTCGAGAAAAGAAAGAGAATAACAAAAACACAAGCGAAATGAGTATCTGCACAACATGCAACCGAACTTTTGGCAGCATAGCAGCGCTCCAACAGCACGAAAAAACGTCATTGAAACATGAGGGAACAGTTCGCTGCGCCGACTGTAATCGTTCCTTCCGCACCGAGAATGCTTTCAAACAGCATCTCGCGGACTCTCCTGCCCATCGACAGTCCTCAGCTAGTGCCATTGCACCTTCACCTACACCTGTTCCCGTTTCCATTCCCGACATATCATCACTATCGATAACTTCTCGTCCCAAGTCCTCGAAAAAGTCAAGTCAACAAAACCGCACAGGGTCACAGAAAACCAGCATCGTGATTCCGATCCAAGATGTACAGAGGAAAGTACCAAGCGACAAAGCTCGTGACGGTACTCTATCTAAAAGTCCGAAAGTACCCATTCCAAAGGAGACAAAGCCTAAACAAACCTTCTATTCGTATCCAGAGCTACACCAGAGTGTTGCGGAGGCCGTCGCACCAGACATATCCTCGACATGGTTCAACGAAAACCACAGAGACAGAGCCTTCAACAATGAATACGCAACCTGTGTCAAGGGCAGGTTCGTCTGCGACAACAAGGCCTGTAGAAAGCACTCATGGGGTAGTGCGGTTGTGGCAATTCTCATCAGAGGATATTCTCGGAATGGTTACAACGTCGTCGTCTTCAGTCAGCGCTGCAAAGCTTGTGACCACCTAGGAGATCTCACTCTGGACAAAGAAACGTACGTAGCGCGGGTGGCATATAGACTCAAAAGGTGGGCTGGCGTGATGGTGGAACCGCCACCTTTTGATAATAAGACAACTCCGGAACACGAGGAGAAGTTTTGTGAGGGCTGTAAGATGGGAATATGTCGACGTGCGGTCGGCGTTAGGTCATATTAGACGCACAGCGCCCGATTTGAGGCCGGTTCTAGGTACCTATCCACGAGCTTTATGCTTGAACAATAGCCTAGTACCACCACAACTCGGATATCATGCTTGACCAGCTCATTTGCAATGTAACCCGCACTTGATCAATCCGAGACAAGCCGTCATACACGTGCAAGGCATCGGACCCTCTCTATCATGCTGCAGTATGTTCGTGACAGACTTACGCACAAGTGCCAGACTGTATCACGTCGAGTCCAAACCCCTGAGATAAATTAATGGAATTACAACTGCGCTTTCAGTCGCTCGCCGTAGGCGCATTCTTCTCACTTCCACACTACATTTCGATGGGAAAATACTGTCGAAGTACGTTTCTAAGTGCGGGTCGGCGAATAGGTTTCGAGAGGAAGGCGTCCATGCCTGAGTCTAAGCATTCTTTCATATTGGCTTGCTGTAGGATTGGGTCAGTCATCAAAGAAGCACATGGCTGCGTGAAAACATACGTCAGTGTATGCAGTCAAGGCCACTATCGGGGCGTTGAATCCTGACTGCCGAATGAGTATCGTTGCTTGTAGGCCATCTAAGTTCGGCATTTGTATGTCCATGAAAACCAGATTGTATGGATCGTGGCGTTGCACACTTTCGTTGACTTTGTCTACCGCGTCTTGTCCGTCTATTGCAACTGTGATATTTTGCAAGCCTTCGAGCTCCAGCATCCTTCTAATGACTTCCTGGTTGGTTTTGTTGTCCTCGGCGACTAAGACCTTGATACCCACATGAGAACCCATCGTGTGCTGTGTCCGACGCTGTCCAGCAGCTACAAGTGGTCGTGTAAGCTCCGAAAACAAAGTAGGGGTGAGAGAATCTCGGCCGAGAGCTGCTGTGCGACCCTCTGGGACAGCATCCAAAGCTGTTGTAACGGGTGACGTCTGTGCGGGACTATCGATTTCGATCGAAGTAGGGCTCAAATGGATTTGTCGGTTCGATTGAGTACTTCTAGGAGACCAGACCGTATGCGATTTCTCAACAGTCTCGCTGGGAACCGGTAATATTAGCATCGGTAAGTCGAAACCTGAGCCTGTCAAACTGCCGGCATGGCTGATCCCGCGTCTGAGCGGGATTGACATGACAAAGGTACTGCCCTGACCGACCTGACTTTTCATTCCCATTGTACCTTTAAGCAAGCTGGCAAGTCGTGCGCAAATGCTTAGACCAAGACCAGCGCCTGAGTACTTTTTGTTCAGGCTGAGATCACCCTGAATGAAAGGTTCAAAGATCTTGCTGTGAAGGTGCTCAGGAATACCAACGCCTGTATCTTGTACCTCAAATTCAAAGGATAACCATTGCTCCGGAATAGGTTTTGTCACAACTCGGCGATGTTCAAGATTTGGTCGAGACAGACTTGTCGAAGAGACTGTGGCGAGATGCGGTGTAAAGGTCGACTCGCTTGCACTCGTTGACCCTCTGAGTCGTGATCTAGGACCGAGCGAGGAGTTGTGTCGAGATGGTATTGAAACATTCCCGCACTTCGAAGTGTCGAGTTCTCCATTGCATCGAATAGTAACAATGACTGTGCCTCCTGCAGAGGTAAACTTGAGACTGTTCGAGACCAGATTGAGGATCACGCGTAATATCAGATGTTCGTCTCCATATAGCAGCACATCTTCGAGTGGCTCCGATCCAAGCGATGTGACCATACTTCTCTTGTGTGCATGCCCCTCTTTGTCTGTTTCTGTAACGTGTGGACTTTCAAACTTGATTGAGAGGGTGTTTCCGGCGGCTTCTGCTTGCTGCCCAAAAATTGCGAGAATCTGAGTGCCGATATCTCTCAATCTAAACTCCTTCTCGTCTAGGCTTGAATGCTGGCCTACTTGAATCTCACTGTCAACCGTCAGCTTTTCGTGGAGACTCGTAGGTCGTGAGATGACATTACCTGAATGTCAAAAGATCGGTCAGCAGATTTGAGAGAAGATCTCCACTTTTGTATATGATTTCGAGCGACTGTTTCAGCCTTGGCGAATTGTCTTCAGACATGCAAACCGCCAGCATGCCCATAATCCCATTAAGTGGAGTCTTTAGCTCATGAGAGATATTTGCAATAAACAAAGTCTTGCTTCTGTTAGCTGCTTCAGCTACTTCCTTGCTCAATTCAAGCTCTGCTGTTCGTTGCTGAACCCTTTCTTCAAGTTCCTCGTATCCCGTCACCAGCTCAACAACCATCTTGTTGAAAGTCTCTGTCAGCTCCGTAAGCTCGTCATGAATCACATGTCGGCCATCTTTAACTTTCGACGGAATAGTGAACTGTCTTCGCTCATCGGCTTCCCGTCTCTGATCATGCTGTATCGCATTCAGCTTCTCGTATTGGCCGACACGGCTGGGTAAATTCTCTTTGAGAAATGATATGCTATCCGAAGCTTCGTTTCCGGGTGCAACCTGGCCTCGCGGCACAGTCCCTTTTGGGAATTGAGGAACTACGGTCGTTCCAGTGGCATCTCGAAGCCGCCGAACAGGTCTGCTGAGATAGTGAGCCGTAGGGAATGTCACTGCAAGCATAGCCGCCATTGTTCCAAAAACGCAGCTGAGAATGACCCTTCGAAGCCGATTAATGGGTGCCCAGATCTCAGCATGTGGCCGCTCTACTACCAGCATCCAATCGACCATGGAGCTATTCACAATGGCGCGACCCATAGATACACCATGGAGCTTCTCGTTACGTGTAGATAGTGCGCTACCAGCGTTGTTATTGTTTCCTGTAGCACTTGAAAAACCATCACGAACGGCGGGATACTGTGCCCAGTCAAAGGGCGGCGCGGTGCCGTATTGGTATACCCTTTGTGCATCCCTAGATCTTCCTGGAGAAAACTGATACTGGACATCATAGTTGTGAGGCGCGTTGGCATTTGGTGTGTGGAACAAATAACTGGGAGGAAAAGTATTGGTTACGTTGTAAGGGCCGATCAAAAGACTGATACCACGAGCACCGAGACCTTCTCTTGAGTCCAAGACTTCGCTGATCAATCTTGCATCAAGCGCGACTGTAAGCCAGCCCATGATTCGGGTGTTCGAGGTTTTGTTCGTAATCGGCATAGTGATCGACAAAAGGGTGAGATGATCGTCAACCTTATATGGGCCTGAAAGAAGGGGTGTAGTTCTGTTGATCGTCCTTCCTTGATATTCAGCTTCATACTGATCTGAAGTGCGATCGATAGCCTGAACGTTGAATTGTGGATACAGTTCAGGTATGAACCCATACAAAGAATCTCCGATATGTGCAGGCTCTCCAGCAGGTGTCTTGTAAGGCAGTGTCGTATTTGTAACGCTAACGGCTGTGCGACTGAACAAGATGGTATTGGTCCCTTCCTTATGGTAAATGCGGGCCTGTACAGCCATGCGACTGTTCGTGTTTCCTGCAAATATAGCGTCGTAATCTTCAGCTGTCCGGTTCCAAAGATCCCAAGTGCTAGATCCCTCTCCGTAATACAGTTCCAAAGCCGCCTGTGGCGACAGGCGCAAGGTAGCCTGTCTTACAAGGATTTGCATGAGGAGAAGGTTTGAGCTCAACTGAGCGGACTTGAGTGATGCACTGAGCATGAGGGCATCAGACCTGGCCATCGATAGAAGTGAGAATTTTTCCACTGACAAGCACCTGAACTCCACTCACCGCACATTCTTCACAAACTTGTGATTTGTATACCATGTCGCAAGCGCAATGACAGTCAAGCCGATGCTGGTGGCGAAAAAGACCAAGCAACCGAGCTGCACACATATCGATATCCGTATGGCTACCATATCTCTTTTTCTGGGCGCTTCATGTGACAGACCGATGTGCTGTTCAGGATTCGTTCCATGAAGACAGAAGGTCAAAGTGCACTCAATCTGGCAGGGGCTTGAAAAGGCAGTCGGTTTGATATGGCATTTGAATACCACGGAATGGAAGCTCAGTTCGACTAGTTCAATCTCCGCGGCAAGCCCTCTAGTAAATTTTGAGACTGTCGCATCGAATTTGTGATGGGTTCGAAGTTGATTGTCGGGCTCTTGCCGCATCTTGTGCAGACATGGCCGCGTGCAACCCCGCCGCAGAAACGGTCTTACAATCAACGACACAAGAGTTGTGGTATTCGCTCGAATTCTTGTGTCAAGCGAACTGTGTATACTCGTTTGTTAATCTGCGAGACAGGCTGCTCGCTATAATAGAGGCTAACCCAAGACAGTATCAAGAAGAAGCAGAACGGTTGCGCATGTCGTCCGGCCGCGGCGTCTGCCCGAGGCTGCGTCAGATACAGAATGAACAAAATGCATGTTTGACTGTGAAATGGGGACACACGGCACATGGGAGCAGCGAAGAGCACGAACGTGAATCACGCAGTCCAATAAGTGGACGGAACGCAGAATTAGTGCCACCGAAAAACGTCGGCCGAGTCTGACCGGGTGGCGCCAGTCAAGCAGACCACCACACAAAGACGAGCCATTCTCCACCGCGCTGATGAAGCATATCATCCCAGAAACCCTGCATTGCTACATACAAGTGCGCTTGCATCTCTACATCTGCTTGGAAGTATGACGTCGCGAACCTCGAAGCCATTGTACAAGGTAACTAGTGCACCACAGTTGCATCCAGTCGACGGTCAATGGCCTCGCAGGCTCTTTCCATCATTCGAAGCAGAAACGCGAGAGAAAGGCCATATTCGGGATCTACCGACCACAAACAGCTGCGAACTTGTGCGGCGCAGCGACGTTGTGGGCGCCAGTTGTCTGTTGACGGGTGGCCAGACAAAAGCTACTACCTAGGTGCCTTCAGTATCACGACTGCTTCATTTATTGTGCACGGAGCAGCGCATGACAGTTGAGAGTATGGCAATTACAGATCAATCTCAATGGATAGACGCCGGTCTTTTCCTCGATTGCGGCAATTCTCTTGAGGCAGAATGCTTCCGAGACAGCAACCGATTTAGGTGGTCATGTCAAAAACAGGGGCGGAAGTTTGCAGCCGAGCACTCGATTAAGGTTAAACGCTAAGAAATCGCTCGTATTCCAGGACCAAAGCATCGCCCCCGGCTACGATAACAGACGGGGCTCGTCTTATCACGTATCGAACATGCCATACGTTGTACCAACAGAGACCGCTGGCCGAAATTAATTCGACCTTTATGACCAGGAAAAAATGCTTAGTCAAAAATGCTTAGTAAAATATGCTTAGTCAGACCAAGCTTTTGGCAAGCGTCTGACTCAAGCTGAGCTTGTTTCCTTTCGGAAACCATTTGTGCGGAGATACCACAGTGAATTCAGAACCAGATGGTATCGACGAGATCACGAACAGTCCAGTGAGATGGTGCACAGCCATGATTACCAGTGTCCATCAGCTGCATGCAGCTCAAAAGGACCACAGGGGCCCAAATGCTACCTCTTCTTGCTATGTATATGGTACTTCGTTCTCTACTCTTACAGAGTTGCGCTCATACACAGCCCGCAGTTTGAATGCGTAGAACAGAAGCTGAGCAGTTCGCGCTTACTCGTTTTCACTCAGGTGCTCTCTTTATATTCAGCCGGTGGACATAGCCCGAAACAAGTGTCTAAATTACAACCCTCTAATTTGACCAATGGATGTTGACCATTAGGCAGAAGGGATGAGTGCGGATAGTTTTTTCGGGCCATAGATTGCAATTTCGTGTCAGTTATAACAAATATCGGTGAATGCTAGAAGGCCGTGTTACATCGACCACGTCGTTAATCATGCTGCACTTAAATACCTAGGTATGCATCAGCTTAGATAGAATTTCAACTGCAAAAATTACCATGCATCATTCACACATCTTGTCTGCGGCGCTTTTGGGTACTACCACAAACGCAGCTACGCTCTATGCAACGCATTATTCTGGCACGATCAATAAATTGAATCTGGATGGAAGTTCGTTGACGCTTGTGAATTCTATCAGCACAGGCAACATATTGCCGAGCTGGATCACTTACGACAACGTTGGTAAGGCACTTTATGTTCCTGACGAGGTCTTCTTCGGCGCATCCTCGGGGACCCTTACTTCTTTCTTTGTTGGCAGTGATGGGACGTTGAAGGATATTGGAAAAGGCCCAACAAAAATGGGTGTTGTGGCAACGACGCTCTATGGCGGTGCCAATGGCACATCTTTCATCGCGAACGCACACTAGTACGTTTCTGAAATCAAGAGGAAATACACCTTTTTGTTAACAATTACAGTCAAACGAGTCAGGTCTCAACATTCAAGCTTCCTCTCACTGGCGCACAGCCCTTTCAGACGTTGCAGTACACCATGAGCGGTCCAGGCAAAATCCCAAGTCGCCAGGAGGCCCCACATCCGCACCATGTCTTCACAGACCCAACAGGCGAATTCTTGGTTGTTACAGATCTTGGGGCAGATATTATCCGCATTAACCGCATCGACCGCAGTTCTGGAAAGCTCACAGAGTGCGGGACTGGCAAACCTACCCCAGGCACAGGACCACGTCACGGAACGTTCTGGGGCTCTGGAGAAAACACCACACTATTTGTTGCCAACGAACTATCTAACTCTGTGTCGGGATGGAAGGTCAACTACCCCCAATCATCTACTGGGTGCTTAACGTTGACCCTGCGTGACACTTTGACCCCGTATCAAGGCAACCTATCTGCGCCAACAGGTACTAAGGTCGGGGAGATACACGTCAAAGATAACTTCGTGTACGTGTCTAACAGGAACGACAAGAAATTCTCTGGAAATGATTCTCTGACGCAATATACCATCGGTTCGGACGGCAAGATCACCTGGACTGCCAATACCAGCAGTTTCGGGACTTATCCAAGGACATTTGACATCAGTAATACAGGAGACTACGTTGCAATCGGTGATCAGACAACAAGCAATGTAGCCATTGTTAGGAGAAACAAATCAACAGGTCGCTTGGGAGATCTGGTCGCAAGTTTGAGGATTGGGGCTGCCGGCACGCCAGAGAGCGAGGATGGATTGAGCGCTGTGGTTTGGACAGAGTAGACATATCAGTTTGAGCAAATATAGATGGTGAAAATGTCCAACAAATCATAACAAACGTGGATGATGAAACACTGTACTGTATCAGGATGTTCTACCGTTCCTCAAAAGCGCTTGAAAGTGTTCTAAAAATTGCTTATTCAAAAGCCGTGAACCGGAATACACAGCGGATGTTTAAGAAAAGTTGATTAGCACTTCCAGGTGCTTACGGATGATCTTGCAGAAAGGGCGGTCTTCGATAGTCGACCCGTTTGTACAAGTGTGACTATTCATCCGAGTATCTAAAAAGTCGCGAAGCATGTCTACCCTGGTAGTCACTTTCCGACATCTAAATCCCGTAAGGCGTGAAGGAAGTTGAGACTGCTGATAATTGTAGCTGTGAGCAAGGGTAACCGAATATTGAAGAAGCACCCTTGTCATGATGTTATGGTTCTTTAGCACAGATGTTGGTGGATCAGACATGGATCATTAATAATTTAGCGATTATTCGCTTCCTATGTAGGAAGTCAGGACTGATAATTGACCATTTCCCCCATCCCTGGAATGCTGATTGCCAACGACCCAAGAACAATCCCCGATACCTTTCGACAGTGACTAACGCTATCTATCTAGGCGACTGCTGAGTTGACATTGACAATGATGCCGGAAGCAGTGCAGAACTTGCCGGTGACGGAGTCGCAAGTCCTGTAGAACTTGTCCGACACACCCTTGACGGTGACGTTGGTGTTGGCGATAGATACCGTCTGGCTCAGAGTGAGCTCTGGTTTTTGTTAGTATCCCATCTTTCCAAAACCCCTACAAGGTCTATACGTACGGTAAAGGTAACCATTGTCACCGTAACCCGCACTCTCGAAGGTGTAGCTGAAAGATTCAGGAGTGCAGGTCAGCTTGTTGATGATCTCGTCGTTGAGCTGGCCCTGGAAGTGGCAGTTGACGGGGATGTTATCGGCGAGCTCGCTGTTGGCGTAGACACCTGAAACGGTCTCGGAGCGATGCACGGTATTGGGGAACGAGGAGGTGATGGTGACGTTCCAGGCACCAAGGTCAGAGCGGGGGATGACGGTGGCGGAGGCAGCGGCGGCCATAGCGGCGATGGTAGCGATTGTGAACTGCATCTTGATTGATGAGGGATTATTAGTGAGTGTTGTAGACGGCGGAAAGCGAGTGATTGAGTGATGGGGTGGTTTTCAACAGAGTGCAGTTATGTAGACCTTATATACAACGACTACTCGTATTCAGCACGACTGATGTCTCTATATTCGCATGGTGTGATGTAGGATAAAGACTATTTTCGGACTGCATATCGTGTAATCCCTCTTCCCTCCTTCCATCCCAGTCGGCGCGGGGACCAAGGGCCGAACTCACAGTCCTCGTACATCTTCACTATTCAAGCAATGACAAAACATTTTGGAATCAGCGCACGTCCAGGAGTGACCCAGTGTGATCCATATAGAACCCACAATGGCTGAGGTTGGAATCGCTGATTTGCTGCAAAACACGCTAGCTACCCGAGCCGGGGTGCCGCTGGCATGGATCCAAGCGTCAAATTCGCCTTCCTGTTCCATAGAAAATCTCCGTTAAAGCCGAAAGAATAAACGCGAAGGGCCGAGAGGCGACCAATTTAAGCATTGGAGAGACGATGGCCAGTCTGCAGCCCCGCAGGCCAAGGACAATTGGACATATCGATGTTGTATCGCAGCCTGTTTTTCGTCAAACGAGGTAGGACTAGGCGATACTGGCAGACCCGCGCCTGCATGGAATTTGTGTGACATTACAAAAACATGGATGTCGATGTGCGTTGCCAACGCATGAAGATTCTCGTATGCCGATCGTATGCTCGTGTCGTGTTGAGAACATTCGAGGGCACGCTCCAGGCCCCATCATTCGCTATTCACAGATGCATGCTTGTGTTGAATGTCTTTACCCAGGGTAGGTACATGGGCAGTGAACTTGAAATCCCGACGGAGTCGCCAGACCTCAATCACGAACAAGGCTGGTTGAACATTTCCTCCAGCCACGTGCGTGAAAGAGCTGATAAATGTGCTCAGTATTGGCTTCAGTCTCAGTTTAGCCCCAAGCAGAAATTCGTGGCTCCGATGACAAAAAAAGCTACCTAGGTATATGAAACCGATATCCTCCGTGTGAAGAATGCAATGACACGGCGAGTGCCCCTGAGGAAGGAAGAATTGCGAGTGCCCTGTTCCACGGCCAGTGATTGGTGCCACCGGATTCAAAACGTGGCATAGTTTGATACATCTGATGAATGTGAACAGTGAAGCGCCGAATTGACTGCTGTAGGAAGGATGTCATAGTATCCATCGCTATCACCATTATTGTGCGCACCTGAAGTCTACACACGTGCTCAAATTTAACGCAATGTACTCAGTTCCTCGGGCTCTGTATTGCCTGGAGTGCGACAGCAGGTATTATGTACTGTGATACCAGCTTCAGTAGACTAGCACCTAGCCATTTTTTATCAGGCACCAGCGTGGCTTTACGAAGTGTGAATTGGCAGAGAGAAGACGTCGAATCAAGCTGGGGCCCCAGGGGTGCCAGTGGCGCCACCGGCGATTGTCGTGTAGACGGCCCGGCCAACCTTCAAGTTTCCTTACCTATGTAAGAGTTTCGCTTCATCATCAATATTCTCATCGCTGTCCAACCTGCACAGCAGCGTACTCTTTGGATCACAACGTTCGCTACGTACCCAGATACTCAGGCTGCAAACTGCTCACGCTTAGAAATACTTCACCTTGTTATACATTTACAGTGTCGAGCATGCTACACACCTCCTAGCCCCGCCACCTCGGCGCGAATTTATGATAGCATTATGACCAAACTAGGCCGCCCCGTGACAGCTCCAACCAGCATTTTGCAAGTCTGCCCGCCATCAGTCATTTGTTTGTTATCAACTCAATATTCTTGGAACAGAAAAAAGCGTGAAATGTTTTACGACGTCGTGCTGTGATACCATTGCTTGGAACTGTCCAAGGGAATATATATCTGCCATGTTGATGGTCCCCTAATACACTTGCCATCAGTTCGCGTGTCTGATGTCCTCAAGTCTTCTCTTTTGTCGGCCCGTGTTATCAAAATTCGACTCGTCCAGCCACAAGTTAAATGCCCTACTCGCCTCAGGCCAGTCCGAATCCAACATCGAAAACCAGGCTGTATCACGATTGCGACCTCGTGCGATCATATGCTGCCTGAAGGTGCCCTCATAAAGAAAGCCGAGACGCTCTGCAGCGCGACGTGATGGATTGTTCAAACTGTTACACTTCCATTCGTATCTTCGGAATCCAAGTTCTTCAAACACGTATCGTGCCAGTAGATACATGGCCTCCGTCGCTGCTGGCGTACGTTGCAGTGCTGGGGTGAACAGAATGCTGCCGACCTCGATCACACGGTTTGGCAAATCCATACGCATCAGCGATGCCATTCCAACCGCTTGTCCGCTCTTACCAGATTCCGCGTTCAGCAAAATCGTGTAGGCCCAAGGATTCGTCACCAACGCTTTTTGTGCCAGTTGTGATTCGAGGGAGGACAATGATTCGGGGTACTCATCGAAAAGGTAATCGAATAGTGACGCGTTGCGAGGATCCTTGACAGAGAGGTATAAGTCTGAGGCGTGTCTTGCGTCCACAGGAACCAGGGTGACCAGTCGGCCCGAGAGCGTGATGCTGTAGCTCGGAGGAGTCGCTGGATGGTCAGGCACCACGGGCCCAAATTTTGAGTTTCCCGTTGGAGTCGCCATATCTGTTTCTTGGATTCCGATTTTGATTTTCAGTGCAAACGAAATCTCGATTGGAGGTTGACATTTCCAGCAGTCAAGTACAACGTACAGACGCAACATGACCTATGGTGGGGCAAATAGCGCTAGCTTGCCCCACTTTCTCTCGCAAAGTACTGCCCTTCTTCGATCTTCATTACAACAGCATCCGAATGATGACTTTCATCGTCACCTAACCGTAGGCGAATGGCACACGCGGCGAGTACTCGGCTTGAGATCATACAACTACCCTATCTTATCGTCAACAAGAGTCCAATTGTCCATCAGTAGGTATCCGGGTCCAGCCACTGTCTGAACAGTCCATTTCTTCTCTCGACCCAAGAGTCGTTCGACTGGATATCCCCATGCTGTTGTTTGCATGCACTAAACCATTCGTCTCTTTGAGGAACTATCTGTTCTCAACCGCTTAACCTGGTACGATCAAGAACTACTTCAGGGGTCAAAACCGTATTTCCCGAGACGGAACTGGACTGTACCTAGTCGCTTTCGATCGAAAAATACTGGTGCCACTGAAGCTAGCAGATAAATTTTAAACGGTCTCCTCCCCAAGATTCTTGTGCTGCGCTTCATGTTGTGCTGTGTAAGTGTATATTCTAGGACATTAGGCAAGGGCTGATCAGGACTGTTAGATCCTTTGAGGTGACCAAGCGCCCGACCAGCACCAATGCCAACAAACGCTGCGAAAGTATTCCGTAGTCCGATCAGATCACAGAAGGTTAGAGACGCGAGTGCAACACAGAATTCTCGGCCGATCAACAGCAGAATGGTCATTTCGAAAAGGAAGGTTGCATCACAGCATCCAATATCTAGTGCTCGTAAGTCATGGAGGGTCGTGTTTCGACATGACTGTGGGGGTTGGCGAGTCAGGTTTGTACGTCGAATCTGAACTTCAGAGCTGTTCAGGAGTGTATGTGCACGATCCCAAAAGCGAGACCGAGGTAGGACGGATGGGTACTAAGCGGTAGGTGGTGCCCAATTGAGTATGGCGTACTGACGGCAGTCCGGCATGAAGTCAGTTTGTAGGCGAAGGGGTTCCAGAGCCCCTGATATTCTTTGCTAACATGACAAGCACACAGGAATGCTGTGGCCAAAGTTGATCATCGTATGATCTTGCACTTGTATCAGTGCATGGTTGCATCAATAGGTATTGCGATGTCAGATGAGCTGACTTCAGACCCCTGTGCGTCAGTATTGCCAAGATACTAGATCACTTGCTACGACGTGGATTCTCCGCACGTGCTAGTGCCATTGCATTGTCATCCAGAACAGGGGTCTCTGTTCCAACAAATTTGACTGATACCAGGAACAAACAAAGGACTTCTTCTTGGTGAGCGAAAGCCTTGTTTACAATTCGTATTCAAGTTTGTAGTGCTCTTGAATCCAATATTAGAGTCTCTATACCCATGATAACCTCATCCTTTGGACGGCCTCGTTGTCACCATTCATATTATAAGCTGTAACATCATGTATTTTATATGTGACGGCAACGTAGGAAGGAGCTCAGAGTGAAGCACTCATGCCTTCAAGTCTTCTTTTGCGAGTCTAAAAAGTGCTATTGGTAAGGCTTCGGTGGTATCCTTGCTACAGGTATATATGGTCTACTTCATGGACTGAATCAATAACTATCTCCTCACACTACTTGTACTGCATGATACCAGTGTCGATGAACAAGTGGGATCTTCTTCATCCAGGTACCAATCGTCTTAACACAAGAATCTCACGTACCCTATATGTATCGTAGAATTCAGACGGTAAGGCGTTCCTCATAGCTCATTGCCGAATCACCGAGCATACGACGCCGAGCCCTGATTTCCAGCTAGCCGATTTCAAGGCATCGAGGATTGAGGACATCTCTACAGCGAAGGCAAAAAATATTTGTTCATCCGGTTTTATCTATAGCTATCTAACTGTGAATTGCTTCTCGCTAAAGAACGACCCAGGTAAGGCTTGTGGCAAACGTCATCAGGGTATGATAAGGAGTAAACGCGCAGATAGTAACCAGAACTTTTATAGTGAGACATCATATCAATAACAGTCTAGGATATCTATTGGAATGCCTAACAGTGGCAGGTCAATGTCTCGAGCCGATCTATCCGACAACGTCTCAAAGCCACAGCGACTCTTGTAGTCAGACCAAATATAACTAAATGTCTACATAAGCCTGCTGTGTCTTCAGAAGATTGATCATCTACTCCAGACACCTGGGTAGTCACCTTGCCTTACTCGTCCCGCACAACTTCATCTACCAGCCTTTTCGAATCACTATGAAGGCCACCAGTATGCTCTACATCGCGATGACAGCTTCAATAGTCTCTTCTGTACCTGCAGATACAGTATTACTGGATTAAGTACAGACTGCCCATCGGAAAGCGACACCTTTGCTGACTGTAGATCAACCCAGTTTTACTGGCAGTTCTTGCCGCAAACCTGCTTCTGAATCAACACATTCCCTCACGATACCCTACTCCTTAGTCTCCTAGTTCCTTTTTGAACATCTGTTGAATGCATAAAGAAATCCATCTAAACGGTCAAACGCTCGATCTTCCAACGCTTCCTGAGTGATGACCACAAATGTAGTAAATCTTGTTTGAATCTTGCACTATTCTTACAGTTAAACCTAATTATGGAGACGAATTGATACTTCAAGGTAGTCTTTGTACGGAAACAACGAAAGTCTTTGCCCAGGTGCCGTCAAAGATTTGGGTATGGCCACACTCGATGGCTGGGAGCTGGACCTCGGCTCGCATGAACCGAGGCGCGTCTACCCCACATTCACTTGCATCTCCGTGTCAACATTCGGGGCTGTCAAGCTCTCCACACGATCCTTTACCGATTGAACGTTTGTGGATACTACGGAGGTGCTGTCGCTGCTAGTTCCTTGTACCACACACTCTATCCATCATGGCACAACCAACGCTCGTCTTCAATTACGACATCTCCTGCCCGTTTGCCTACATCGCCTCAACGCGCGTCAGAGCACTCGCCGAACGCACGAACGCTCGACTCATCTATCGCCCCGTCCTTCTTGGTGCAATCTATCGCGCGACGGCTGCCCCACAAGGTGCAGCAGGGTCAGCCAGCGATGTTTTCAATCCAACCAAGAAGGCTGTAACGGCGCAAGGGATGCAAAGGACCTTAAAGAGGTAACATACCCTCGAAAATCATTCTGACTCCTGCTGACAGCATCAAAAAGATACAAGATCAAGTATAACCCACCACCTCAGCATCCAAGGAAGTCAGTTAACGCTTTGCGACTCTTGTATTGTGTCCCGGATGGTGAAGAGCGCCGAGCCTTAACTGAAAAGCTGTTTGCAGCTTACTGGGTGGAGAACCAAGACGTCACTGATGTCGAAGTACTGTTAGATATTGCCAGAAAAAGTGGCATTGCAAGTGCATCAACACTCGGTGACAGTAGCTTTGCCAATGCACAAGCCAGAAAGGAGCTTGAAACCGCGACTGCCGAAGCGATTGACAGAGGCGCATTCGGCGTACCAGGCTTCTGGATTCCCGATGCTAAATGGACAGATGTGGCCGGTAACACCAAGATAGGTCGCTTCTTTTGGGGCCAAGACCGCATCCATTTTGTTGAAGCCACCCTACTGTCACTCCGCAATAATAGTCAATGGAGTGACCTTCCAGGTCTAGCCACTCTAATGCCTCGCTGTATCTCTTACAGCGGGCAAAGACTGACCCAGAAAGTCAAGCTGGAGTTCTGGTATGATTTCAGCAGTCCATGGGCTTTCCTCGGCTATACTCAGCTCGCAAGATTGAGACGAACGTTTGGCACAAACCTTGAGATTGTCATGAAGCCCTTCTTACTTGGAATTCTGTTCCGTGAGATTGGTGCACCAAATATGCCTATGCTGGCTGTGAGTCCTACCAAATCTGCATGGTCAAAGCAGGATCACGCGGACTGGACAGCTTATTGGAACGCTGTCAGTGTCTCGGAAGGGGCCATCGATAAGCCGATTGCTTTTCACTGGGCAGATGTTTTCCCGATCCGCACACCAACAGTCCTTCGAGTGGCTATCGTGGAACCCTCAACAGTACCTCTGTTATGTGAGTCACATGTTGCAAGTTAAAGCCCCAGTCCTAATGTTACTCTAGATTCGGCGTGTTGGGAGCAGAACGCCAATGTGTCGGATGATAAAGTACTCATCAGTGTGCTTGACAAAGCCGGTTACAATGGGACCGACCTGCTGGAAAAGGCCAATAGTCCTGCTATCAAGGCGAAGCTACGTGAAAATACTGCGGAGGCAAAGGCAGCTGGCATCTGCGGTGTTCCTACGTACCGTGTGTCGCGGCAAAATAACGACGGACAATGGAAATCGTCTGGTGGATTGGTCTGGGGCCAGGATGAGACTAACGTCGTCGAAGATCTCATCGCTGGCTGGGATCCTGAACGGCCATCTGGCGTTGCAGAGCCGCGAAAGGGAATCACTATTGGATCACCATCGGCCAGACTGTGAGGGCTAAGACTCCCAAATCATTTCGACATCCACAGAAGCGGATTATGCACTTAAGAATGTATCTTGGCTCATATGTGCCTGGTTGCTGATAATGCGACTGTCTAAAAGTACCAATCTTCGCGACGGCAAATTCGACTCGCAGTCACCCTGGGGCTCCTTACACAGCTCCGGCGACAGAGTACCCCAGCTACTTTCAAATCCACTCAAGCGAGATCATACACTGAGAAATGGAATAAACTTGGATTCACGTATATCTCGGAGAATGTACCTCAAAACGTTAGGCACTTGGACGCCTTATTCCCCATTATGACTCTGCACTCTTACCCCCTCATTTAAACTGGACGAGCAAGCATAGCTTCACTCTTTCTTTGCGACATGGATAACTTACCGCAGGAGCTGCTCGACCAAATACTGGTCTCTCTTCCAATTCAGGACTTAAAAAATTGCTTACTGGTCTCCCGCAAATGTCGACATGCCGCCGAGCAATACGCATTCAGTTCGGTAACTCTATCACCAGAGAACGCTGAAAACGCTATTGCTCTGTACTCAGGTCACCGTGCTTGCTACCTTCGAGAAGTCAAATTCCAGCCAATCCTATCGAGCCCGGACGATAGTATCAGTTTGGATTCAGCAGGATCGCACTTGTACCGCGAATCGGCTAGTACACTCCGGATTCTCGACCAGGAATACACTCGTCAAATCGCCTTTCTTTTCAGCTTTCTTCGCACTCTTGAGATCAATCGGTCAGAAAATGGAACGTCGAATAACCTGCATCTCACCATATTCCTCCCAGTTTTAGTTATAGACCGAACGGCTCTGCCTTTGCAACGGTGCTTCGTGAGCTGGCGTATCCATCTACTCAATCCCACTTCCTTGCCGTTATTGGATTCGATACAGACCCTGTCGATTGCGACACCGCCGCTGCGATCTTTAACGACAGCTGGAGACGATCAAGGCCTGTACTTATCAGTTCGCAAGCTGGACTATCGTGTACTTCTAGATCTCGCAAGCCGACTGCCAAATTTGACGACGCTGCGATGCCGGATGGGTGCAGATGACTTGTTTGCAAACTCTTTGAGCTCTTGGTATCCAGTAATCTATGATGAACTCCGATACGTTTGCCACGACTGGGTTGGTCCACAGCGGGAAACTCGCGCTGCATTCTCCAAGGCACTCGAAGGAGCAGAATTGAGGTCGTTGAGGCATTTGAATCTCGACTTTCTTTTTCCTCTGGGAAACATTTACGTGAGCGACCAGCGGCTGCAAATGCCTGATTTGGTTGGTGCGCACATGTGCGATCCACTAAGCTCAAGCCTAGGGCTGTTGAGCGATAGTCTTCGCACCATGTGCCTGCGAGGTATATTCGATCTCACGTTGTTTTGGCCATCTGACGGAGATACCCTTGTCTGGCCAAATCTGGAACATCTACATGTCATGTTCTACATGGTGACACCATCCGGTCTGTGGTACTTCGATGGACCAAGGGATTTTCTTGCGGAAGTGGATATAGAAACACATGTCGACACAATCGAGATTGACCTGTACCCACCACTTGAGGACAACCTGAGAGATCGCGAAGAGACCATGGACAGAGATCTCCGCCGGGCTAGATACTTCTTCAACTACCGTATCGAGCCTAACGAAGCGGTTCTGACTCCGTTTCTCACTGCTTTCTCCAAAGCTGCGGGGCGAATGCCGAAGTTGAAAACGTTTGAGCTATGGTCGCCGCTTGTTTGGGATTTGCCAGAATACATTGAATACAGTTGGGACATCTCCTGGGTTGCTGAAGGCACAAGAGATGAATTATGTGATGCAGACATGGCATGGGGAGTAGCTTACGCAAGCCCGGGCGCGAGGATGTTTCCAACTGACTCGTCCATTCCGGTTTCTGCTACCAGGCAATTGTGGTGGAGAACGGCTGGTTGGCGCCCGCAAGAAGATCTGCATCGCTTGTTCCATTGCATTGGAAATGCAGGCGGCGACGAGGAAATCATGGACCAATATGATCCAGGGAAACTGCTTCCAGCACAAGGGCGAAAAGACTTCGAGGCCGCCGCTCAACATCTCTCAAGCCTCCAATAACCTGCGGATGTTGGTATCCTATCTTTCAGCATGCTTACACCGGCGAATCCTAGTTGTGAATTCATCTCATATATAAACACTGTTGGGAGACTAACATAAGGTCACAAGTGGCATATATGCTACGACTTCAGGACATCTAATTGATACCAAGACTGATCCGAGGAAACATAAACTTGAATCAACTTCATGCGTAGGCGCGAGCACTATTCCAGGGGTTATATCCAGTGCGGTTCAATGTCTGAGGACCGCTCGGCGAAATCAACTCTATAGCTCTTCCAAACATGATCGACAGTTCTTCTGGGGTCCGTCGGACTGTCTGTTGCGTTTCCTCCAAATCAACATTCAATACCCATTCGCACACTCCTAAAGCTATATCTTTCGCGTCTTCCTCGTCTTCTTCTTCACTCATGCTTGCATTCGGCTCCCATGTTATGCCAGTGATCCTAGCGAGGCCAGTGCTACTATGACAGCCTTCTGAGTGAAGTCGGTCTGCTTGGATGGAAAGTTGCAAGGATTTTAGGCCAGTCCAGCTTCGGTGCATGTGCACATCAATTTTGCCGTCGGCATCTGGCCCGTCTGTGTAGATGAACCATTTATCTTCTGAAACATGATTGAGGTTGTTTTGTGAGGTTGACATGTACGCGTGGGTCTGAATGTAATCGCCAACTTCAAAAAGACCTGCTTCGATCATCTTTTGTATGGATGCTGTGTCCGACTCAGATGGCAAGAATCCTGCAATAAGAAGCGGGAGCTGGTGTGCGGCAATCGGAATTGACCATTCTGATGTCTTGGGTGCGACAAATGGTTTGATGCTAGGCCAGTCAGAAGGCAGGATGCGTCGATTTGGCGTTGCCCCTCGCTGTCCGTATTCTGTCCAGTGCCGAACAACATCACGGTCCTCGGCACTCAGTCTCGAAAAGTCAGCCATGAGATGCGTATTTCTGGGTTTTGGGGTTTTTGAAGATTTCAAAGCCAGGTATCGAGACTAAGAGACGTAGAAGAGCCGTGAGAACCCCCATGTTGCCTTGCGCATGGCGCCATCTTGACCGGTCTCGCTTGTTTGCACCATATTGAGCCGTTGCCAATATCAGCATTGAATCCTAGCAAGCCAATAAAACCCATGTCGGAAACTAATTCATGATATCTTCTAGTCTGTTCTGCTTAATGTCCCCCTTCTTGCATTTTGCTTGTTCCTTTGTTCATTCATCATACTTGCGACCTGAGCTCACACAAGCGCCAGTATGCCTGTCTGTGTGTACTGTACAGATCTTTCAGCCTTGCATCATCGCATGGCTTTAGCCGATCTGCTGCGAGGAATTTCGCAAGGTTGTAAGGCGTGCTTTTTGCTCAGACAGGCTATCAGGCAGATGCCTAGTACTGAGCAAGAGGCAACGCATCTTGAATGGATCGTTGACAGATCCATGCACATCACTTTGTTCGACAATGAACAACAGCTAGAAGACGCAACAGAGGTATATGTCGGAGCTGGTGAGTCGGTGCAACCTCCGCTTGCCTCATCACTTGACTAACTAGACCTCTAAAGGTTCGTCCTGCTTCTCTAAAGCGATCGGTCCAGGCCGTAGCGTACTAGAACCTGGATGGACACAAGCTCATCAACGTCTTACACAACAATGGCTTAGCGACTGTTCGAGCCATCATCGCATTTGTCCACCCGCAGAGCTTCAATCTTTGCCTACCAGAGTTGTTGACGTTGGTGACTCCGAAAACTCACTGCGTCTGCATATCAGCAACGGGGCACTCGGAAGATACGTCGCGTTGAGCCATTCTTGGGGTGGACACAAGCCAATTGAGACTACCAAAGCGACACTGCAAGATCACTGCGAATCCATAAAATTAGATGCTTCGTCAAAGACTTTCAGCGATGCGGCGCAGGTCTGCCGAGATCTTGGCTTTCAGTATCTATGGATTGACTCTTTATGCATTGTACAAGACGACGGCGAGGACTGGGCTACCGAAGCCGGAAAAATGAGCCACGTTTATCGCAACGCCGCGCTCACCATATCTGCAGAAGGTGCAGCAGACGCCCGGGAAGGACTTTATCCGGTGCAACCGGCTGCTTGTCAATCGCAAACTCAGGTGGAGCTGCAGTACGAGGTTTCTTCTGGGCAGTTAGAGAAAGTATTTGTCCGAACTCGACGACCAGGTTTTCCGAAATCCCGCATTGTGACAAACTTTGCACATGCAAGTGTGTCCGTATCGGAGTCTCGACTCGCAAGCCGCGCATGGGTTTTGCAAGAACGTTTGCTTTCTCCACGAATCTTGCACTTCTACAAAGAAGAACTAGCATGGTCATGTTGCTCTGTCAGCCGCTGCGAGTGCCGTCTTGATGCACGACAGACGGATATGAGCGTTTTTAAGAAGCTCCAAACTCCTGGCCTTCCTCGAGCGAAGCTTTCCAAGGAGCTACATAGACACTGGACGGATCTTGTAGTCGAGTTCACAAACCGGAAGCTGACCAAGATGCGAGATAGGCTACCCGCTATGTCTGGTCTGGCTGGTGTATGCAACGAGATTACGGGAAGCAAGTACTGCGCCGGGCTTTTCCTGGAGGATTTAGCTTATGGCTTACTCTGGATCAGTGACCATGAAGGTAGCGGTGCCCCAATCATTAGAAATGACGAAAGTCCTGATCTTCCCTCGTGGTCCTGGGCGTCGATCACAGGTCCAGTGAAGTATCTTGATCGTCAGCGCAGTCAATTCGAACGCAAGTCCCGTGGGAACACAGTCATACCCACTCTACATGTGATTGGTGCGCATGTAGAACCAAGGGGACCGAACGCCTTTGGTGACGTCTATTACGGATGGGTATGCGTGAAAGCACAGCTGCTACGAGTGACGTTCGACGAAAACATTTGTTACCCATGGGACAGCAAGCTCCGAGCGCTGCTACGTAATCGAGGCTCGCGCAAGTCTCCAGCTGTGATTCCGGATCACCTCAGTCCGAGCGCTTCCATCGATAAGAACAACACCTACCTCCTGCGAGCTGGAAAGTTCATCCTTGGCGGCATGTGGAGCTCTAACGCTAGCGAGAATATATGCCTCATGCTCGAGAAGGTAAATAGGCCTGGCTACTTAGATGCCCCTCTCTTTCGGCGATGTGGCTTTGTACTCAACGCCTTCCCGTCCGACCTTGTGTGGGCGGAGCAATTTGCGCCAACGACATACGTCTTTCTCGTCTAGATCGTGTTAGACAGCGTGGAAATTATATAACGAACGACCATTTTGTGAATGTTGTGCATTCATATCCGAAAAATCAGACGAGTGACCATGGAGTGTAGGCTAAAATGAAGTTAGCCAATGTAGCAATGACAAGTGGTCAAACGGGATTGTCATGTTACAACTGAAACAGTACCCTAGGAAGGAAAGAGCCCGTTGGGCTTATGTTTTTGTGAAGTGCAAAGCACACAATGATTTGACCGTAGACGTTTTGGTTTGTCGTCATTGTTATATCTGATCTATCGACATCGCCAGCCTCTAGCCCCTCGTACGTATGATTCACACCAATACCTAGCCGTAGTTGAACGGGTTCCTGCAGAGCGGACAACTCGAGCTGCCGCTGCTCTTAAACCACTTGAACAAGCAAGCACCATGGAACGCGTTCTTGCACGTGCCACACCTCTTGTCAGGCACCTTCCTATCCGGCCCCACAATGCTATAGCAAATGGCACACTCCGTCTGGCCCTTGAGTGCGCCTTCAACATTTCTCCTCCAGGTCGACAAAGCATCAATAAGTGAGCCGTTGAAGATTGTGATTGCGCCGAGTGAAGTCCTGAGCCACGACTGCCATTTTTGCTCATTTACCGCAACACGGTTCAAGCCCTCGATATGTGCGTTTGATAATGGGAAGGCTGGTGGTAGGCTGATGCGCATCGACATTGTTTGCTCATCCAGCACATAGCTGGCGGTGATCTCGCGGGCGCGTGGCGCAACTCGTACTGCGAATGTGTCGTCTGTCGCAGTACCTGCCCAAGCCGTCACGCTATCTAATGCAGCGGAGATGACGGGTGGCGAGATAAACCTTTCGGTCCAAGGTTCGAGGGCAACAGCGATGGCACGGGATTTGCTAGTCAGAGCGTTGAACCACGACTTCGTCAGAGATGGAGTGTGAAGAAGGGTGAGGTAGTAGAGGTTGGTGAGAAGCCACTGAATGTCCTGCTTTGGAGCCTCAGCGTCAGGAGTGTAGGTTGTAACATCAAGTTTGGACACATCTACAGGCTTGTTGTGCGCGTGGCCAAGGAAATCGAATGTGAAGTCAAGCAGGCCTGGGAGATGCTCGCCTTCCTTGATGTGTTCGATGTAGTCGTTTTTAACTTTGAAAGACTAATGTTGTCAGCCGGATACAGAGGGATAATTTTGTTGTTACTAACTGCATGTTCGAGATGGTCGAAGACAAGCAACCAGCTCAGCAAGTAACCTCTCAAGGGCAACGGAACGCTGCGATCGAAGTTCACATCAGCTAGTGCTGCTACTGTTGGTGCCTCGATGATCAACGAAAGTAATTCTTCTGGCAAGCGAGCCGTGGTCTTCGATAGCGCAGCGTCAATGGAAATCTGTTCCTGCGCGGCAGGTATCTGCTTGTGCAGAATCTCGAAAGCAGTCTGTTGAACAGGTTGCGACTCAACATATAGCAGTGGATAAAGCTCCTCGGCAGAGTCCAGATGCTGTGATGGCACCTTTGCAATCTGACGTGCTAGGACCTCGTTGACCATCTTTAAAGGTTGGTGGAATTCGTCCGGGAAGTGTTGCGAGTGCTTGAGTAGGTTTACCAGCCCTGCGGCAACTGACTGCTCGTTCTCCTTCCATACCTCAACAAGATCGTCGTTGGGATCCTCCTTCTCTGCAAGCCTACGTAGTTGTTCATACAACTTGAGTGAGGCATGTGTAAATGGGATGGGGCTGCTCGCTGCAACTTCAGTAGTCTGCAGCTCACTTGTGTTTGACCAGGCTGTTGAGAGCGCGTTCAAGATGTCAGCCCAATGCTCGCCATACATGTCACTCATCAACGGAAGCAAGGCCGTCAGTGCACGGCAGACCTCTGCTCTGACCTCTACCGAACCATTGGCCGGATCTAGCCATGTCACAACGTGTTTGACGAAGAACACCAGTCGCTGCTTAGCGATGCTCTCTGTGATGCCATCTTGGACAAGGACCGCATTCAGAGTGACGAGCTGGTTCAATCCCTCTTGTGGTTTCTGGACGATATCAAGGCCTGTCAGATCAGCGATGAGCTCGTTGCATAGACGCTCACAAGACTTTGACGCCGCGAGTGGCTCTTCGAATGCAGCCAGATAAGCGAGAAGAGGGAGGACTTGTTTGTTCTTCCTGATAGTTTTGACTGCTTCCTGCACCCGTGCAGTCCATGAGCTCTTCCAGCCGTGGAATGCAATTGCAGTCGATACCATAGAGCTGCAGGCACGGGCAGCATAATAGGCCTCAGTAGAGGTGCTGGTCGGGATCTGGCCAAGCACGTCCTGTGCCCAACTCAACAACGAGTTCTCATCGCTAGAATTCCGCGCTAATGACGAAACAGAACCGCCTTCACCCGTGAGTTCTTGCGCGATGAAAGCGGAAGCATCCGACTTGAAGGACATGGCATCATTCTCAGTGTCGTTATTGTAATCCGTCCAGAAGCCATTGGCTCCAGCAAGACTAACGTTGTCATCAACGAGCTGCACAGTGAGAGCAAGGTTGCGTAAGTAGAGGTCCCGCACTTCGACAGGAGCAATCTGCACCCTGAAGTGTGGAATCCTCGAGATCCTTGCCACGTATTGCGCAATGCGATACGCTGCCGAGTAGCCGTCTGCGTCCCGGCTCATCTTTTTAATATCAGCAGACGTAACGGCTGGCTCCACCAAGTAAGTAGCCCCATTGAGTGTGTTGGCAATGGCAAGTGCAGACTTGGGCACAGATGCCAAGAACGGAGCAAGAGCAGCATTCCAGTCTTCAGCGCTAGGAAACAGATTTGAATTCTCTTCCCATGTCTGGGCAGGCTTCAGAGACTTTTCAGCCAATTCTACCAGTGTCTCCACCGAGACTGAAGACGGCGATGCCTCACGTAACCCCTGATGGATGAGATCGTACATAGAGTTTTGAGTGCCAGCATCAGACGCCAGAATCGTTCGTATAGATGCACTGACTGTAGCTGCACCTTGTGCGGTCTCATCATTGGGGGATTCAGAAGCGCGCAGTAAGGCTTGTAGAAGCTCTCCACCTTTCGGTGTGGCTGCAAACTCTCGTAGCATGGATGGATTCGACTTGACAATCTGACGCAAACCTTGCAATGAGTGAGATGCAAGCTCTGAAATTGACAGTGATTGAGTCAGATATGCAAGAACGTCATCCGTTGTCTCTGGAGCAAGAATCTTGGCTTGGGATTGTAGGATGCGCGCGAACGAGTCCCACTCCGATGAGCCCGCAACAGCTTCGTGCACATTTGACTTGACAAAACTCTGCAGCTCGGCATCAGAGCTAGCCAAGTCGAAGGACGCTGGGATTTTAGATGATGTGAGCAGTGCCTCGAGCGCCTTTGTCTTGACTGTGGAATCATCCGCGTTCAGGACCGTTTTCAGCGAAGCACTCCAGGCGCCCTTGAAAATCGAAGATTCGGAGAAGGAGTACATAATCTCCACGAGATAGGTGGATGATGGCGATAGAATGATCGTTGGTAGGTCATCTTGGATGAACTGTTCAAGTTGCTGTCCAATCGTGCCGCTGATTAAGTCCTTGCTACGAGACAAGAGTGCAGCAATCGTAGCAGCAGCGCCGAATGGTTTTCCGTTCCTGTTCTTCACAACATTCAAGGCTTCCGTGATGATTGCGGTCTCGGCATCTTTGACGGCCTGCGAGAGTCCTGCTTCGATCTTGACCTGGAGAACCTGCTCTTGTAGCATTGCGTAATGCGTACCGTGTTGAAGCACGGCTGTCTGGGATTTCTCAAAATCTTTCGATTGCGCAGGTGCAGACGTTTGAATGTCTTCAATGAGTTTCTGGGCGTACTGTGGCCACTGCTTCGAAAGCGCCATAGTTACACCATCAACCGCCAAGGCTCGAGCGAGAAGATTGCCCGCATTGGATGGTATGTTCCATTGCGATGTTTCTACCGAAGGCCGCAGGTACTGGCTCATGAGGGGTAACACCATCTCCTGCACAAACGCCTCCTGATGATCAGCCGACAGCCGTGCGTTCACCAAAGCTAGGATCTTGAAATATGCAGTGTATGAAGCCTCCTGGCTATATTTGGGCTCGTTCTTGCTTGTGATGCCAGCCTGGAGAGCATTGAGAAGCTCTACCGCATCAGGTGCGTTGTTGGGAAGAATTGATGTTGGTATTGCCTTGATCAGATCAACCAAACGGCTCCAATAGTCCTGAGGACCAAATTGCGAGCCCTTTTTCAGAAACTGTCGTAACCGTCTGTCAACCGATGTCTTGCTTTTGTAATGTTCGGTCCACACGGTCGGGTATGCCGTCGTCAGCTGGATCAGAGCTTCGAGGTAATCGTACGCGGAGCCAGTCTGGTCAGAGTTGAGTGCTACTGAGAGATAAGCCTTGCTGATGGTCTCCAAGTTCGTACTAGCTGCCTGAGACTGCTTCGTCAAGCAAGTCTTCAGCAAACGGTGCAGCGAGCGCCGAATCGAGACGTCTGCATGCGACGCAAAGTCCCATAGTTTCTTATCCCCTAACAAGGTGTCGTAGTCGCCTTGAAACTTCGCCAGTTCCTCCGGTGCCAAGTTGTTCAACAAACTCCCTAGCAGTGCTATACATGCTGAGATAACCCTGCTGTACTTCGCCTGTGCATCATCTGCGCTGACGGTGCGCTCGTCACTGAGGGTAGTGACGCTTTCCTTATCGACTGCGTCGCGGCAGTACTCGAGGACGGGCTGCTGGTAGGCTTTGCGGATGTTCTGGATTTTCTCGGGTGTGACGAAGACCTGGCGCAGTGAGTTCTGTGTTGCTTCAACGACGGCGCGATCGCCGTCGTAAAGGCCGCACAGCCATGCAGCGACGCTCTTTGGCATATGTCGGGCAATGCGCTTGCCGGCGGATGCGGCCATGAGGCCATGGACGGTATGGGACAGCTGCCGAACAGCCTTGGCATTATCTATCGAGGTGCGCGGATACACAGTGATCTGATTGTTTCATTACTATAACGTTCTCCTACACAGCACCGCCTGGCAACACTGACCCATGCTTCCAACACACCCTCCTCAACCGGCTCCTGCAACGCCCCAATGTGTGCCTGCAAATCTTCAAGCGCCTTCGCTTTCGTGGTACTGTCCTTTTTCGACAGGTTTCGGAAATAAACCACGACATTGGGGTCTGTTATTGCAGAGAGGTTGGGCGGCTCTGCGACATAAGAGAGTTGCGACGCGCTGCCTCCGAAGCTCCCACCAAACGCGGGGGTGCTGCCGAACGTCGAAGCAGCACGCGCACTGCTGGCCGAGGCCTTCGCTGCGCGCTTGCTCATGCTGTGCGTGGTATAATATATGTGAACAGAAAAAGAAAAAGAGGGAGCGACGCAGGCAATCACGGCAACCAATAACGATATTGCGAAGTATCGAAAGACGAAGTTTGTGTGAGGCGTGCCCACCAAACGATGACGATTGCTGAAGGGCGGTAGTGGGGACCCTGTTGGCGCTAGTAACGAACATGTGATGGCGCGTTTCGAGATCAGATCCAACGCGCTTTGTCTCTCCCAGACGACTTCATCGCCACGACAGCTTCCGCGCGGGCGGTCGTCAACATGAAGTTCTTCATAGAGTGAGTGCTATCTATTGAACCCCTTGTGTTTCGTTTTGTTCGTCCCTAAATCACTTCCGAGCAAGCCAACTACTTACCCAGGTGATGCCTACCAATCGTAGACATCGCATTGTCATGACCACCTTTACACTTCTGCAGCTCAGCGTAATGCTATCATCTCTCATTTCTTTTACACTCTGGTGGAGTGTCTTCTTCTCAATGACGACACAACTTCGTGCATATGCTCACCTTCCAACAGTAATCTGCCGGTGCTTTTCCCGTACCCCCGGGTCTATCCAGAACAATATGCCTACATGTGCGATCTCAAGCGCACTCTGGATCAGGGCGGGCATTGTGTTCTGGAGATGCCTTCAGGTACAGGTAAAACTGTATCTTTACTTTCCCTCATCATTGCCTATCAACAATTTTACCCGGAGAAGCGAAAGCTCATCTACTGTTCTCGAACCATGTCCGAGATCGAGAAGGCACTAGCTGAGCTGAAAGCTCTAATGAAATACCGTACGCAAGAGCTGGGAAGAGAGGAGGAGTTTCGCGGGCTGGGCCTTACGAGTCGAAAGAACCTCTGTCTGCACCCGAGTGTTAAGCGTGAAAAAAGTGGCAACGTTGTCGATGCAAGATGTCGCAGTCTTACAGCGGGTTTTGTGAAAGAGAAGAAAGAGCGTGGCGAAGATGTCGACCTATGTGTGTATCACGAGAACCTTGACCTTCTCGAGCCACATAACCTCATACCCCCTGGTGTTTTCACGTTCGACGGATTGCTCAAATATGGCGAGCAGCAGAAACAATGCCCTTACTTCACAGCACGTCGAATGATGCCTTTCTGCAACGTCATCATCTACTCATACCACTACTTGCTTGACCCCAAGATCGCCGATCGCGTATCGAAGGAGCTATCGAAAGATTGCATCGTTGTTTTTGACGAAGCTCACAACATCGACAACGTATGTATAGAGTCGCTGAGTATCGATTTGACAGAGGACGTGCTGCGAAAAGCTACCAAAGGAGTGAATAATCTGGACCGAAAGATCACTGAAATGAAAACTACCGACGCCGAAAAGCTGCAAAACGAGTACGCCAAATTAGTTGAAGGGCTGCGCACGGCAGAAGAAGCTCGAACAGAAGACGCTTTTATGGCCAACCCAGCGCTACCTGACGACCTACTCACCGAGGCAGTACCAGGTAACATCCGGCGTGCCGAACACTTCGTCGCCTTCCTGAAACGCTTCATCGAGTATCTCAAGATTCGAATGCGCGTCGTACAAGTTATCTCCGAAACCCCTCCATCCTTCTTGGAATCTCTCAAAAACGCGTCTTTCATCGAACGGAAGCCGCTACGCTTCTGTGCCGAGCGCTTGACTTCGCTTGTACGCACACTCGAGCTTACAAACATTGAAGACTACCAGCCTCTTCAAGACGTTGCAACATTTGCCACCCTCATCGCAACATACGAGACTGGCTTCCTGCTCATCATCGAACCCTTCGAATCGGCGACTGCACAAGTACCCAATCCTGTCCTTCACCTGACCTGCCTCGATGCTGCCATCGCCATCAAGCCCGTCTTCGAACGCTTCTACTCAGTCATCGTCACTTCTGGAACGATGTCCCCATTAGACATGTACCCTCGGATGCTCAACTTCAACACTGTCGTGCAAGAGTCGTTCACAATGACGCTCACGCGCAAGTCTTTTCTTCCTATGATCGTCGATCGTGGCAGCGACCAGAATCAGATTACGTCCGGCTTCGAACATCGAGGCGACATCCAAGTACAACGTAACTTTGGCAATTTGTTAATCGAATTCTGCAAACTTACACCCGACGGCGTTGTCGTTTTCTTCCCCTCTTATCTCTACATGGAGCACATCATCTCCGCCTGGCAGGGTATGGAGATTCTAGATACTGTCTGGAAGTACAAGCTCATCCTCGTTGAAACGCCCGACGCACAGGAAACAGCACTTGCGCTCGAGACCTTCCGCACCGCTTGCAATAATGGCCGTGGCGCCGTCTTGCTTTGTGTCGCACGTGGCAAGGTCTCTGAGGGTATCGATTTTGACCACCATTATGGGCGTACTGTGCTGTGTATGGGCGTTCCCTTCCAATACACCGAGTCCCGCATTCTAAAAGCGCGTCTGGAGTTCTTGCGTGAAACCTACCGTATCAAGGAACAAGATTTCCTCTCCTTCGATGCCATGCGTCACGCCGCCCAATGCCTGGGTCGTGTCATTCGTGGTAAGGACGATTACGGGATCATGGTGTTGGCAGATAAGCGATTCAACAAGAAAATCACTCAGCTGCCAAAGTGGATACAGCAGGGTCTTGATCAAAAGAGTACGAAGCTGAGTGTCGATCAGGCAGTGGGCACCGCAAAGCAGTTCTTGCGCGACATGAGTGTGCCATTGAGCAGGCAGCAAGCGGAGGGTTACTCAAGTTGGGGACCTGAGGAGCTGGCAGCGCACCAGAAGAAGAAGGGTGAGCTCGGTATTAGCGGTACAGATTACACGGCTTTGCGAGCTCTTGAAGGAAGAGCTGCCATTGAGGACATGGATGAAGATGAGTTTGGTGGGGGACTGAAAGAGGATGAATTTGGCGGGCAGGATATGGATGAAGTCATGGCTGACCTATAGATCTCAGGGTAAACAAAAAGACGGCCATCTCCAGCGTTCAGGATGGAGAACTACAACTCGATATCTGTTCATGGGTACGACCGAAATCCGCTCCAAGGCACTGCGAGCGACCCAGGCCTTGCAAGCTTCCCACCCAGCATTGACTTAACACGCGCAAATCCGCTGTCGCCGTCTATCCCACCCACCGCTTGGATAGTCGATAGAGGTCTACCGCAGCCGATGCTTATCACTCATACCATTAGTAAGAGCATTATGTACCAAGCTTTCACTTCTCGAAAATATAGAGCGCAATTCATGAATGACATCATCACGTGTGGTCTTTGCACTTGTCTCTATTAGGAGGGCACCTTCACTCACCTCGCGTGAGCCCCACTTAATCCGCACACTTCAACCTTTTCCCTCTCTCTCCCACACTCTTCCACACATACTCTCTAACAGCTCAGCTGTTACACAATTATACGGTAGGATAGTGCCTACGATACACGACGCAATCACTGATAATGCCAGCGAATATGTCAAGCAGTCACGACCCACCTAGCGCCGAAGTTGTCGAAGCTCCGGACGCCGAAGCTACAACTACCGCCGAAAATACCACTACAGCCGCTGCTGCTACGATCCTATCTGCACCTGACTCACACACGTTGCCTGCGATGCCATTTCGCTTTATGGACCTCCCGCTCGAGCTGCGCCTTTACGTCTACGAAGAGCTTGTTGTCGTCGGCAAGGTGTTCTATACGTCGCGTGAAACACAGCTTTACAGCAGAGCCCGCAGGAAGACCTCCAAGGCATACCGTAAGCCACACTTGGCAATTTTACGTGCATCGAAGGCTATTCACAGAGAGGCCGAGGACGCCTACTTGTCTAAGAACCAGTTCATGCTTCCATTTCAATTTAAGCGTCGACAGCCATTTTGCTCGTATGAAACAGGTGGTTCTCGCAAACTCTTCTCCATGCGAGCGTTCATGGTGATGAAGCATATCAGTATTGAGCTCTGCAGCCATGACAGTTTCCTCGACGCTGAATATACATCTCAATTGTGGCAGGAACAAGAGAGCAGCGATCCGAGATGTTTCGCTCGACTCAACGCTACACAGCGCCTTCTAAGAGCCCACGACGACACCCTAGCCAGGCTTCAGGGCAGTAACGGTTACATGTCTTACGTGTTGAGCAACATGAAATCACTGTCGACTATGGAACTGGATTTTGCTAATGCCTATTGTCCGACAGGATGCTGTCGATTGGGTGCAAGGACTCTCCAAGACGGAATTTGGTTTGAATTGTTTTCTCAACTCAGAAGTATACGGTTCCTTGGTCTACAGTACGAAAATGAGCAAGGTGACCTTATGGCCAGTTGGGTCAAGGAATCACAATTTAGTCGCAAATCGGCACCTCTCCCTTTGGACTCTCCATCTCTCGATGATCTTCACGAGCGACATGAGATCACTTTCACCAACGAAGGAGATCCATGGGAGCAGTGGAAGATCGACAGCGAAACTGTCTAGCCGTCACATCCCAATCTGGCGCCTAATCTTACCTCACACTGCAATCTCATTCGCACTGTGCAGTGGAAGCTCACGACGGAATACAAAACACAGACAATGCAAGAGCAACTCTAGTCCGAGGATACAGCTGTTCAACGGTCTCCAACCTTTCCCTTCGATCCAATGATTATTCAACAGGAGTTCCCATCACAGGTCCGCTGCACAAGCTCCAACTCAAGCCCATGGCTTTTTTTAGACATGGCTTTGAGAAGGAGGACAGACGTCATCTCACGCCGGTCCTCAGCTACGAACAGTCACAAGGTCTCCTTTCCACTATCTGCTAGTTTCCATACAAACCAATGATAAATTCTCAAATCACTGCTCGCCCTCTCCTTGTATGCCCTAACTCGTACCATTAGTGAAACGCCGCGCTTCTAAATACTAACACAGGACATCACCTTTATGGCACCAGGATAACAAGGCTCTTTCTCTAGACCTGCCATTCCACCCATAGGCCTGGAAGTGCGCTCCGAAAGGCTTGCATGTTCAGTCTGCAACAGCACGTGAATGAATGTTGTGTGTATCTTCTTGCTGGCTGCAATTTGCCTCGGTGACTGTGTTTTAAGAGGACTTCAGTGCGGGCTCGAAGGGCAGCGTCACGTATCTTGTCTGGCTGAAGTACGCCAAGAGCGCTGTGTAACGACTGCGCGTGTTTGTGGACGGGCGGGAGCGAGTATGGTTATCAGGAAGATGGAAATGGGGTGTTCGAAGTGCGATAGGCATGCATGTTGAGGGAGAAAACTTGATTGTTGAAAGCTTTATAGAAGAGGAGAAATGCCTGACCGAGATCATTGAACTTCTTGAGGTACAAGGTAACACTGATAGAATCCGCGACACCGACACCGACACCGTCCCTATAGCAATGTAGAACGTAAAAACAAAACATGAGCATGAATAGAAACATCAACACCTAGAGCAAATTGCTCGCAATGCCGTGGCATCGCCTTCGTCAACGATAAACGCCTGCAGATCGTCCACACTATTTACGCGTGTATCCTCCTCACTGCTGCTCTACGTCTCCATCTCCATGAACAGCCATTGCTGGCTGGTAATTTCAGCTTCCATGTCCTCGTCGGCCACGAAGTCCTCAAGTGTTGCCAGCCCGAAGCCGATCCACCCAAGGTCCTTCATCAAAGCCTTGGAGTCGGCGGAGCGGTCTATAGCCACGACGAGGCGGTCGCAGCCGAACTGCTGAACCTCGCAGAGTTCGAGGAGGGCCATGAGGCTAGACGTTGTTAGTGAAGAGTGCGAGGATTGGCGGTGGGGGTAACGTACCCGGCCTTTAGATCCCCCGAGGACTGCATAACTGCCTGATCGAAGAAGACGAACATCGCCTTCTCGTCATGTTGCTCGGCAACGAACCCGCGGAAGCGTATCCCGCCGACGTAGTCCCACATCTCAAGGCAGTCTGTCACGGAGCTCTTGTTACCAGAGCCAACCGCGACTTCCTGCACCGAGCCGGGCGTGCCGTAATCGGTTGTCGTTGCGTTGTTAAACATACCCGTCACTAGCGAGTCCTGCTGGCGCTGATTCCCCTCACCCAGGAAAACAGACCGCAGTGTCTCGCAGAAGAGTCTCTCACACTCGACCGTGATGGTGTATGCTGCCCCCCCTCTGCGCGCCTTACTCTGGAGAGTGTTGCTGGCGGCGAGGGGGGGACTCGAAGGGGGTGATGGTATTCCCTGGAGACAATCAGTACGCCATATCTTTTGCAGCATTGTCAAGGCTGGAGACGACTCACCGAGCTGACCTCAGGCCCACCACTCGACCCCGGCGGCCCCCGTAGTGCTGTAGTGGAAGCCGTGGACCGCCGCGTCGCGGAGGCTCACAGCGTAGCAGGTAGCACGGGTCTCTCCGCTCGACGAGGCGTACGAGCGGACGCTACAATTACTACTACTACTACTGTTTCGTTTCATGGAAAACGCCATTGCTACAGTATTGCCACAGTTACGCTGGGTGCGGAGAGTCGCTACGTGCGGTGAAGGTTTTCTGTTGGAGGTGGTGACTAGTCCGAGGACAGGCGACGTTAGGCGGCGGTGTTGGAGGGTTGGTGTTGCGTGCTGAGGATGGATCGTGACGGAGGTTGATGTGGTGATGCGAAGGAAATGAGGAGAAATCGCGCCTAATCTGTCTCAGGTAAAGCGCAATTGGCGCTACTGCCGCGCTAGAATCTTCGGTCGACGAGTGATGGTTGCAGGCTTGAACACGAGCAAAGACCCATAATCTTTGTCTCTTCAATGGTCGAAGGGATTAGAAGGCAATCCCACAATTCTTGAAAAATCTGCTCAAATATCATTTGGGTGTTGGGTGCGATACATGAAATAATAGCCGATTGAGCGCTGGGCGCTGTCACGTGAACGGCCTGGCGAAGCTGGGCATCATGCATCGACCTCGGAACCACACCAAGCTGTCACCCAACGATACACTGAATAAATAGACTTGATCAATCGATTTACTACACAACTATCCGGAACTCCATTACTTTTCTAGTAGCTTCCTCAGCGTGTCCACGCCTCGCTAGATGATCAGACAGATAGGAAAAGACATGCATGCTCGTGCGAGAAATCCGTCCTCCTCGCACATCTACGCCCAGTATGCAAGTCGGATATCTCAGACAGCGCTTATGCAGGGAAATTCAAAAAGGAGACGTACTTATGCACGCGAGTGGAGCGTAACGGCATTGTACAAGAGGGGGCGGGGCCCGGTTCTAAGCATGCGCGTAAGCGAACGCTTAGTTGACCGAGATACACTTGATGTCAAAGATCAAGTCGGAGTTGGGGGGAATGTCCGGGGGGGCGCCCTTCTTGCCGTAGGCCATGGCGGCGGGGATGGTGAGGCGACGCTCGCCACCAGCAGTCATGCCAGCGACACCGACGTCCCAGCCCTTGATGACCTGGCCGACACCAAGCTTGAAGGCGAAAGGCTTGCCCTTCTTGTTGGCTGTGTTGAAGTCAGTGCGGTTCCGAATGTATCGAGTTCTTCCACTCACAGTCGAAGACCTTGCCGTTCTTCAGCTTGCCGATGTAGCGCATCTCGACACGGTCGCCCTTCTTGGCGGCCTTGCCCTTGCCCTCCTTCTTGTCGTCGACGGTGACACCGCTGACGTTGCGGGGTCCCTTTGCGGCGGGCTTTGCGGCTTCCTTCTTCTCGTCAACCCTGGGCGAGCCAGTGGGGCCCATCTCGAGGTTCTTGGAGAACTGTACCTTCTTCTTATCACTGCTGGGGGTCTCAACCTTCTCAGCCTTCTTTGCGGTCTCCTGGGCGGCGGCGACGGCCTGGCCATCGTTCTTCTTGACCTTCTTGGCAGCCTTCTGCTCACCGTTGGTCGCAGCCTTGCTGATCAGATCATCAAGGCTCTCGGCCTCGGCGGCACGCTTGTTCTTGTTCTTGCCCTTCTTGCCCTCGACGAGCTTAGGGGCCTCCTCCTCAGAATCGACCTCGGTGATGCGGGGGTTCTCAAGACCGTCAAGCTCGTCCTCCTCGGACTCGTCCATCTCGTCGAGGTCGAGCTCATCCTCATCGGGGGAGAGATCGTACTCCTCATCGTACTCGTCCTCCTCATCCTCGTCATCATCCTCGGGGAAAGCAATGTAGTTACCGGTGACGTAAACGTCGTGTGTGCCGTCAACCTGGAGGTAGACCTCCTCGCCCTCGCGGACGGTGATGTCGAGCGGCTGCTGGTAGTTCTACGGTCTGTTAGCGTCCGAAAGATTTTTCGTGTTGGTGCAAAGTAGCATACCCTCTCAGGGTCGAGAGTGCACAGAACGAACTCCTCGACCTCGTCCTCCTCCTCGTCGTCCTCATCCTCGTCGTCAAGGTCGTCCTCATCACTGTCCTCATCGGCAGAGATCTTGTTTTTGCCCTTGCCGTTGACGGCGTCAATCTCCATCTCGTCCTCAGCGAGATCCTGAGCAAGCTTCTTCTTGAGAGCGGCCTGCTTGGCCTTCTTGGACTTGGCCTTATCGCTGGGGCCGCCGTTGGCCTCATCGTCGCTCTCGTCCTCGCTGTCCTCGTCCTCCTCGGGAAGAGCGACACCGCCGGCGCGCAGCTTGGCAATGATGCTCTCGACATCCTCGCCGTCAAAGTCCTCGTCATCCTCCTCGTCATCCTCGTCATCGAGGTCCATGGGCACGCGGATGATCCTCAGAGTTGCGCGAGGAACCTTGTGCTCCTCGTCGATCTGGGGCTCAGCGCTGGGGTCAATGGCGGCCATGGTGATGCGGAACTGGCAGTAATTAGTAGCCGTCATGTACTTATTGAGTGCATGAACATACTGCAGCAGAAGGGTCGACGGCAGCGGGAATGGGCAGGCCGCCAACGGGAATGCGACGCCCGTAGACGCCTGCAGGAACTGCGGAAGGCATCTTGGAGGTTATGTGGTGTTTCTGAATATGCAAAGTCGAAAGGGTGTTCGCAACTAAGAAATATGCGAAGAGTCGAGGTAAAGAGTTGCACAGCCGGGGGATTGGCGGTTGTACGGGAATGAGGTGGAAGAAGTTTCTCAGCGAGTACCATTGAAATAAAAAGTTCGCAGAGAGCTTCACAGCCTTCCTCACCGCCCGCGGTACAATGTGGGTCCGCTAGTGCATCAGTATCGATAGCAACCGCAGTTCTTCAACAAAAAAAGTGCACATGGACCGAGGCTTCGCGATGGAAACGTTGATCCTGTTTAGACTGGTTGGGGCGTCTCAGCGTGTGTTTTTGAGGTCGTTGCCTGCCACAATGTGCTGCCGGCCTCCAGCCGCGAGCCTCGTCGAAACGCCAGCATCTGCAGCTCGCTGCATGTAGTTTTGGCAACGTCAGCGCCATCTTGAATCCCTTGAGATTGTGCAGCAGATGCTTGTGTGCAAAATCCAACAATTGCAACACATTAGATTTCGCTGAACGCTTCTAACAGCAGCACTTTTTGAACTCTATACTCTGTACATCTGCAGGCGCGCGAACGTGATCTCGCGCCAGCGCGAACGCGTCGCACCTTCCCTCAGGCTTCAGCCACCAGCCCCACATGGCAGCACCACCAACACCGTCACACATCGACATGCGTCCTGCACCATGACCACCGCCCCGGCTCTCATGACGCACATGCCCCCGCCCGACTAGTACACTGCGACCATGGGCTCGCGTCTGGAGAAGAACTCGGACTCGGTCCGCAAGCGCATCGCCGCCCACACGTTCAACGGCGAAGATGGCGACGAGTACGGGGCTTCTGCCTTTGGCGGCTTTGGCGAGTACTTCCGGCGCAAGAGAATCAAGCTACAGAACCTCGACGCCGACGTGCGCGCCCTGGCCGGAGACAAACCCCAGATATTCCGCGGCGTCGTCGCCCACGTCAACGGCTACACGCAGCCGTCACTTAACGACCTGCACACACTGATTGTGCAGCACGGCGGCGGCTTCATGCAATACCTCGACGGCAAGACGACCGTCACGCACATCATCGCCAGCAGCCTGACCCCTAAGAAGGTCGTCGAGTTCCGCCAGTACCGCATCGTAAAGCCGGCGTGGGTGGTGGACAGCATCGCAGCCGGCAAACTGCTACCGTGGAACGGCTATCGTGTGGTCGACGATGGCGATACGCAGAAGGTGCTGGGTTTTAGCAACGGGGCTGTCGTCAGCACGGTAAACAACAAACAGAGGGGGTACCGCGACCAGACCGACAACAGTTGGTACACAAGCCAACTGCGTGCAAGTCAGGCCGCACCGCCTTCTGTATCACAGACGCCAAGTGTCTCGCGTTTCTCACGGCAGAATCTGCCTACGCCAGACAACGACGAGATCGAAGACCTGCCGCCTTCGCACCAGCCCGAGGAGCCGTCGAGTGGTGAAGTGCACAAGGCCAAGAACAAAGGGAAAAGTCTCGTGACACCCCCCAAGACAAGTCCAACAATTGCACCTGAGCTGTCTCCGGATGAGTTCGGGAACATTGACGACATCGTCGACGACCTGCATGATAGCCTGTACGCCGATCCTACATCAATCAAGCCCCAGCCACGCAGGAGGAGAAAGTCCACGCCACCACAAGACCGGATCCATGCTGCAGAAGTTGCCGCCAATCCTCGAAAGACAGAACTTACTGCCGAGGAACACAACGCGATCCTTCTGCGTGACCCAAAGATCCGCAAGTCTACTGTGGTCGACCCCAACTTCCTTGAGCAGTACTACCGCGAATCGCGCTTACACCACCTGTCGACATGGAAAGCCGATCTCAAGTCCCAGCTGCAGGCCATGGCTAGTGAGAAGACTGCAACGCAGAAGGCAAGGCAAAAACGCGTTGCTGGGGCACGCCGCTACGTCCTACACATCGATTTCGACAGCTTCTTTGCTGCAGTGAGTTTGAAGAAAAACCCGGAGTTCAAAACCAAGCCGGCTGTCGTTGCCCATGGTCAGGGCAGCGGATCTGAGATTGCAAGTTGCAACTACCCCGCCAGGAAGTACGGCGTCAAGAATGGTATGTGGATGAAGCGCGCTATGGAGCTGTGTCCAGACCTGAAGATCTTGCCTTATGACTTTCCTGCGTATGAGGAAACTAGTCGTGCTTTCTACGACGCGATTCTTACAACCGGTGGTCTCGTTCAAAGCGTCAGTATCGATGAGGCCCTGATCGATGTCTCAAACTTATGTAATGCAATTGGTGGAAGCAACGTCCGGCAAACGAACGAGAGCGTTGTGCATCGTGAGCAAGCCAAAGCTGACGAGATCGCAAAGTCTCTACGAGAGCAAGTGAAGCTTCGAACTGATTGTGACGTCTCTGTTGGCATCGGCGGCAACATCTTGCTTGCAAAGGTTGCGTTGAGAAAGGCAAAACCAGCAGGACAACATCAGATCAAACCGGACGAAGTTTTGGATTTCATCGGCCAACTTCAAGTGCAGGATCTTCCAGGTGTGGCGTGGTCGATCGGTGGGAAGCTCGAAGATGCTGGAGTAAAGCTCGTGAAAGACATTCGCAATCTCACAAAGGAGAGATTGATACAGATACTCGGTCCGAAAACCGGCGAGAAGCTGTACGAGTACTCCCGTGGTATCGATAAACAGGAAGTGGGCGAGCAGGTGATCCGCAAGTCTGTTTCTGCAGAGGTCAACTGGGGTGTTCGATTCGCGACTCAAGCTCAAGCGGAAGAATTCATGGCAAGTCTCTGCGGCGAGCTACAGAAACGCCTTCTGAAAGAGAAAGCCAAAGGAAAGCATTTCACTCTCAAGATAATGCGCCGTGCAGTAGATGCACCCATCGAGCCTCCAAAGCACCTTGGCCACGGGAAGTGCGACACGTTCAACAAAAGTTTGGTGCTCGGCGTTGCCACGAACTCGAAAGAGGCCCTGACCAAAGAGGCCATTGGCATACTTCGTAGCTTTGGGTTTTCTCCTGGTGAGCTGCGAGGTATTGGCGTCCAGATGACAAAGCTTGAGCCGATGCGGACTGCCACAGACGGTGGTGTCGAGGGGTCCCAACGGCGATTGCAATTCAAGATGCCCAACAAGCCCACAATCGCTCGACAAGGCTCAGTTAGCACCATCGGGACACCAGTCAGATCTCGTAGAATACGTGTCGATGTTCCTCCTGCGCCGGAAAGTGGCCGCAAAAGACCAACTCTTGCGCGGCAAGATTCTATCGAGGAGGAGCCATCCAACATTCTTGATGAACTCAAAGACGCTGCCAATATCTATGAGTCTTCGCTACCATTCAGAGCACCAGATCCACCACCCTTCAGCACACACAAAGCATCACCCCCAAGTTTTGTTGACGTAGATCCTATCCAAGATGATCCCGAAACACCACGCAAACCGAAGACCCCCGCAGGTACTGACGACCTTGTGTTCTTCGGTGCTGCCGAACTCAACCACTCGACACCGTCTCGAAAGCCACTCAATGTAATGGGGACGCAATTCCTTATGCCTAGCCAAGTCGACCCCAGGGTCCTTGCCGAGCTGCCCTCAGATATACGCTCCAAGCTGATGCGACAAGGTCGTCAATCTTCACCGACGCCTGCAGGCCGTCAACCCATGCCTACTCAACAAGCGGATTCGCCTGCTGTCAGCGCACCAGGAACACCCTCAACACCATCACGCAGATTCCCATTCGCAGCAACCGCGCTTCCGGCGCAGTCTCAACTAGACCCCGAGATCCTTGCTGCGCTACCTGAAGATGTGAGAGCGGAGATTATGGCACAATACAACGTCCCTGGGCTTTCACAGTTTTCACCCTCTCGTCGACCTCGCGGTATGGACCAAACTATTCTCCCGCAGAGTCCGCGCAAGAATCGAATCATCGGTATCCCAGCTCGCAAGCCAGCACCGACGAAAAGAGGACGCGGTCGTCCCCCGAAAAGCGCCATGCTAGCCCAAGCTGCACAAATGACAACCGTCACGAAAGACGGCAAAACCCTAACCCAAGCCAACTTCATCTCCCTCAAGAATCCCGCACGCACGCGCGGCGAAGACCAACCCGCCCCACCCCCCAACAATGCAGATATAGACCCAGATTTTCTCGCCGCACTGCCCCCAGACATGCGCCGCGAAGTCGTCGCCGAACACAGGGCCGAAAAACTGCGCGCCTTCCGCCTCGCCCTGCAACCCTGTCCTGGCCCCAACGCTCCCGCGCATATCCCTGGCCAAGCTCCAACGCATGTCGCGCCCGCGAAGCAGGTGATCAAAGTCCCCCGCCCTCCAAAGCCGAAGTTCACAAAGAAGAAGATCAGCAAGGAGAAACACTTGCGTTCTGCAATGCGCGACTGGGTCAAGGAATTTGCGGTCGAGGGCCCGCATCCGGAGGACGTGGTTGCGCTGGGAAAGTATGCTGCGCGGATTGTCGGGGAGGAGGGCGATATGCGGAAGGCTGTTGGGGTGGTCAAATGGTTGGCGTATGTTATTAGCGAGCTCGATCCTGACGTGGACGGGACGGAGATTTGGGAGGATGCTGTTGAGCGGGTCAAAGCGAAGGTTAACCGGGCTGCTAAGCAGAGGGGGCTGGGTGTTGTGAATTACGGTTAGGGGTGTGGAGGAGGGGTTGTTGCGGTGCTGGGCGCGTGTTAGGTACAGCATAACATATCCATGCAGACGTTCAAGAAGATAAATTAGTGCTAGATAGCTATCGCATTATAAAGTAACCTTTGCGCCTTTCCACCCCAGCGCCGTTAAAATGCAGTCCCAGAGAGTGTCGGGGTATCGTGTATCGTGTATCGTGTATGTCGTAGAGTAGTGGGTATTCATCCATCCAATCCGCCCTTCATCGTCACTATCGTGCCTCTATAGCGAGTCTCCATGCATCAGCTCATGAACGCTCCACTCACTGCCGTCGAAAGTCCTTATTCCGCCTCCTCCGCCGCGCAAGCTCAGGACTCCACATCCCGCTGAACAAATCCTCGCACTCATCTTCATCCTGCGAATCAAACTGCACCTCCTCGTCCTCCTGCGCATCTCCCTCGTCCTCGACACTTCTACTCGCACCCGCCTCTACCTCCGCATCGGCGTCCTCCCACTCATTCCCATACTTCACCACCCTCCTCGTCTCCAGAATATACTTCCCGACCTTGTACCGCTGCGTCTCCTCCTCGGCATGCACGTATTTCCAGCCCAGCACCGATCCACACGCACGACAACTAATATCGCTGACAGTGTGCGCGCCCGTGACCAGCTGGCGCGCAACCGGCTTATGCGTAAGTGTGTTGGGCAGCTCGGTGGGACGCCACGCGGCGCCGCTTGAGGAGGGTGGCGGGTGGAGGACGGCGTCAGGAGGCGGCGGCGAGACGAGGTAGGCGCGACCGTGGCGGCCGGTGAAGCCTTTGCTTATGATGCAGGAGGTGGGGATGAGGTGTGCGAGGCACTTTGTGCAGCGCAGGTTCGCGGTGGGTGTTGGGGTGAGGAAGGAGGTTGGGGCGGGAGGAGAGGACGAGGGCGAGGTGCTGATGGTGGATGTTGATTGGGTGGAGCTACGGCGCCGGAAGGACATGCTGGGGAGGAGGTAGAGGGGGAAAGGCGTGGTGGGGGAGGAGGGGGCCATGGTGGGTGGTGTGGGTTGGCGCGGTGGGGGTAGGTAGTGTTGTGCGTATGCTGCGATCATACAGTACGTCGTTGGTTGTTGTTAAGCTCAGAAGATGGTCGTGGGTGTTCAAGGCCCTGGGTATCGTATCATTAAGATGTCGTTATGAGTTGGTATCGTTATGCGTAATTAAAGGGTAGTAAATCGTGTAAGTCGGGATCGAGTGTGGTATGCAAGCAACAGCATGTGCTTCTTAATGATCCCTAGAGATAGTGTCTTTGCCGGATGAGCTTAGACTCGGCAACTGAGCGGTCGCATGGAAGGGCCGTCGTGAAGACGTCACGACGCGTTGTCGAAGTATTGGGCTCTCAGTTTGCACTCCGCACTGTAACGTGCCTGAGAGGCGGGCTGGCAACGCAGCGCAAACAGCTCTCCAGGAGGTTTGCGCGGGGTTTGTTGAGCTCGAAGCTCAGACTCAGAAGCCACAGCCTCGTCGGTGCCTGACAGGCGATTGTGAGGTGAGGGAGGACGTGTGACGTCGAGCGATAAGGCGATAAGGGCGCCACAAGCGCAAGAGCCGAAGGAGCGGGGCTGACAGCTGCACCTCGTTCGGCCTGGTTTGTATGTATCACGATCAAAGATGGTTTTCGAGAGTCTAGGAGTCTGGTGTATGAAACAGTGAGTATTTGAAAGAAGGTCCTGCTTAAACCTTATCAGCGTCTGATTCCAGGTCCCCACCAAATCACAGGTAAGAATCTGGTCATGCGACACCCAGGGACCATCATGCACATCACGAGGTGTGTTGGCACTTGCCGGTCGTGTCCGGATTTACTTTAGAGGGCGTTATACCCGTGTCAAAGCTTATTCAGTCCACAGCCTCGTGCTGATTGATTGACTGCTGGCACGAGAGGACAACAGGATCGACAGGTCGGACATCGCCTCTGAACGCACCGCAATGCATTATATGATCGAGCTTGCGAAGTAGATGAGCATCAAAAGCCGGTCATATGTAGTGGTGCGTTCCTGCATGTTCTGAGCAACATGCTGCTCCCTCAGCACCTCCTGCCTTGTAGTTCTTTCCTCACTCCTGCCCAAATCCTCACAGTCTGGCCATGTCGATCCCGTGTGTCGCCCTCCGCTTCTCTCACCATGCTCTACGCATAGCACAGCATCGGTCGTCAGCAGCCGTAGCATCGCACATTACTAACCCGGCAGTATTATATCCGTCGCAAGGATGATGTCCCTCGTCACGACGCGGAAGAGGAAGGACGTCGACTGTGCCAAGTCGAGTTCGATCGAGAAGAACAAAGTCCGTCTGATCGAGCGCACCAATGACGGTCTCGTCGATGGCGCCGGAGACGGTACTTTCAGGCCGCAACGCGGCGTGCGAACTCTCAAAGACATTCGACAAAGGGGCGTCAAGATCCTGTCGATGTTCCGTACGAGAGGTACAGCGTCCCTTGATCACCCCAAATCACCGTTTTCTAATCGCACTTTAGGTTCAGTACTTTATACCAACGCTGCAGTGGCCGGTAAAACCTCTTCGGACTCGGCAAACAATACTCAGCTTGCCGAACCTCCTCGGGATGAAGACATACAGAAACCTCAAAGCCCTCGCGTACCTAATAGCCTCGAAGCCGCTCCTAGACTTACTCTACACCATGCTAGATCTTCGCTCACGCACCTCACCAATGCCGCCGTCTTTGATGGCGAGTCCGAACCTATCACAAGCACTTCCCAATTTCAGCATGCAGTCATACATGCAAGCCGATCCACGCCAAGTCTCTCGCAGCAATTAACCCTCAAGCTTTCGACCGCACTCATGCACAACCCGACTGTCATACATCGACCGAAGCTGAGCTCCAGACCCACTGTGCTGACGTCAGACCTTGATGTTGACCGTTCGAGCGCAACGACATCGTCACCAAAACGCGTGGATGACGTGCCCTCGCTTCCGTCGCAGTCGAGCGGTCCAGAGAGTAGCAATGGACCCTTGAGCCAATCTACTGCACCTACATCGCTCGTCTCTTCTGGCGGACCTGTATCTGCAGAGATCACACGAAGAGCACGCAATGAGTCCGCTCAAGCACCACGGATAAGCTCACACATGGAGCAGCCAATGACTGAACAACGCACAACGCATTGGCTAAAATTCCCGCGTCAAGATGCACCACGTCTGGCCAAGCCATCTGTCGCTACCGTTGAGAAGGCTGCCCTCACTAAGATCTTCTTCGAAACTCACTTCAATCAACTCCTTGGTGCAAAAACTTCGCCTCGATCCATGCGCCGCCGACAATTAGAACGCAAGATATTCGCCATGGCTCTGCCGAACGAACAACGTCAGTACAAAAGGCAAAGATGGTACGTGGCTGAAAGTCAACATCTCCGCCAGACACGTGTAATGAACTCAAAGACCATTGCAAGACGAAATATCAAGGGTGTCCATATCTCCAACTACGATATCGTTCGTGTTCTAGGCAAAGGCAGCTTCGGTGTCGTCCGGCTAGTGCGCGAGAAGAGCGACAACACTGGTGGCGGCTCCGATACTATGAACGATAACAAAGTTCTTCCTTCGCACCTCGCGTTGATAGCTCCGCCATCTGTTCGCAAGGCCAAACAGGTGTATGCCATGAAGGTCATCCGGAAATCTGACATGCTTCGAAATAGTCAGGAGGGTCATCTGAGGGCGGAACGAGATTTCTTGGTCGCTTCCGAGAATTGTCGTTGGGTTGTGCCTTTGGTCGCTTCTTTCCAAGACAACAACAACCTCTACCTCGTCATGGAATACATGATGGGTGGTGACTTTCTAGGCCTCCTTCTGCGAGAGGACATACTCGACGAGAACGTGGCGAAGTAGTACGTCGCTGAGATGATTCTCTGCATTGAAGAGGCACACAAAATGAACTGGATCCACCGTGACATCAAGCCTGACAACTTCCTAATCACTGCTTCTGGACATCTCAAGATCTCCGACTTTGGACTTGCTTTCGATGGACACTGGATGCACAACCAAGCATATTACAACGAGCAGCGCTATGGTCTCATGCAGGACTTGGATCTAGACGTGCAAGGCGATGATCAAGATATCGAGGAAGAGAAGCAACGCAAGGCGGCGCGTATGACGATTGACCGCATCAATGGCAACGCAGCCTCCCGTCAGCCGTACGGAATGAAGCAAAACTCAGCCAATGGCCCCATACTTGACTGGCTGAATCGATCGCAACGACGACAGTTTGCCAAGAGCGTTGTGGGCACCAGCCAGTATATGGCGCCTGAAGTCATCAGAGGAGAGCACTATGACGGACGATGCGACTAGTGGAGCGTCGGCATCATCTTGTATGAGGTGTGTTGTTGAAGTATCTCGACCACTGATGTACAGCTGACAAGATATAGTGTCTGTATGGCTGTACACCATTCTTCCAAGAGAATCGCCAGAAAACAAAAGACCGCATCGTCGTAAGCGAATGTGCCCTCGCCCAACTGTTTTACTGACTTTGAAGGAACACAAACGCTACTTACGATTCCCGAACGAACAGCGCTTTGCGCGTCCGAATTTAGATCGCGTTCCCTTGATGTCTGTGTCTCGGAATGCCATCGAGTTCATGATGAGGTTGCTTGACGATCGACAAGATCGCCTCTCTTGCAAGCGCTATCGTGAGAACGATTGGTTTCTCCGTGATAAGGCGACCGGAGGCAGACGCTACCGAAATATCAAAGCTACCGGGCACATAGTTTATCCAAACGATGCTGAAGACATCAAAGCCCATCCATTTTTCCGCGACGTTCAATGGTCTACACTGCACCTCCAACGACCTCCATTTGTACCGAGAGTGCATGGCGGTCAACCCATCACCAAATACTTTGATGACGAGAACGAGATCATGAGCGCATCGGATCACCTCGACAGCTCCAGCTACGAAGTCGCTCAGGTGGACGGCGCTATCGTGGTAGAGGGTGCCGAGATGTTGGGCGAGCAAGAGTCGACACCCAAGGCTGATCCCATACTACAGCAAGAGATTGGTTCCTCATGTGCCTACGAACAAATTTGTCAAAAGTTCCAGAAGATCAGACGTCGCAAGAAGGAGAAGAAGAGGCCCCGCGACAAAATTCTCCGCGATCCTGAGGTGGGCGGGGTTGTACTTGAGATCCGCAAGAAGGGTGCATTTATTGGGTATACGTACCGCAGGCCGCGGTTTTCGTTGCCCGAGTTGGATGCTGGAGTGTCTTCTGTAAGGTCGCCGCTTGCTCGAGTTGGTGTGGCTGCTGTCAGCTTTTGAGAGATGTCAGTAAGAAGGTAATGGGTAGATATGGTAAGTAATCGTTACTCTCATTGAGCGTCTAATATTGTCATAAATCGCTCCGCTAAACGTCAGTGAATCGCAATGTGCTCCCTCAACGGAGCCGCCACGCCCGCCACTCAGCCCCCTAGACAATCGGCTGATCGACCGACCAACAATGGCAAAACAAGAATCTTCACTTTCTGTGTGTTAGCGAATTATCTGTCAAAATTTCGTTCAGACGTACTTGTTCAGACACTTTCAGTGAGGACGTGAGTGGACTGCCCAGAAGCAGGAGTCGCAGACAGTGATATATCCTCGAAAGATAGTCGCGAGGACGGTATATCGATAGACGACAATTCAAACATCCCAATGCCGCTTTCCTCGTCACTGTGTATCATACTGCTTCTTGGGCTCTGCAACCGCGTAGATCGTCGAAGACAGGCCCGTAGTAAGCGGAACCAGGCAGCGCCCAGAGAGTGTCGAGGGTGTAAGTTCAAGATTGCAACAACTAGACTAAGGACACCGAAGATGCCGAAGGCGATTTGTATCTTAAGGTCTATTTGGGTCGGGGCGTTTGGTTCCCTCATTTGCGGCAATCTGGTTGTGGACGGCTTGATTGGACGATCAGGCTCGGAGGTCAAAATGAATGGTTGAAGAATGTATAGAATGTGACAAGCACTGGGCAGGCTAATCAAGCAAAAGAATATTCCCGATTTGCTTGAGTTCTGGAAAGAAAATACGAAATTGTTCAGCTGTATGGATGCTCGCCAAAATGCATGGTGCTTCTGTAGGTACCCATGCTGAATTACAAACGTGCGCTACACCGCATAAGGCATTTTTCTGGCTGCGCCCCGTCACCCCATAGGCCTGCTCGTGTGGCAAAAATAATCAACAGCGTTCGTGGTAACTATCTCTCTCTTGATTCGCTGACGTTTGGGGAGGGCGCTTAGGGGTACAAACACGTGATCAGTCACGTGATTGATAAGCTCGTCCTTCCCTCTACCGCTTTAGTCAGCCCCCCCCCCCTGCCCATACCTATAGTTTGATGCCCCACCTTTAGACAAACTTCAAGATTTTTGATAGCTATGATTAGTTTTGTTTGATTTAACTACCCAAAATACGAGCACAACTTTTTATTTATTTGACTCATCAAATGAAACAAAACTCAACCCAAATTTTCACAACTGGTAGACACTGAAGAAACGCGCACTGGTAGCTCTCAAGACGGTTCGCTGTGCCAAAATCGTCTTCGGTATATCAGCATGGGCGACAACTCCTCACTGTGCCGCGCAACCCATTTCACCCAGATAGCAGATGCACATAGTACTCTATTCGAGATCATATCTTCATTGACGTATCCTCCTGCAGAAGACTTTTGCTATAGACAACACAACCACCAATGCCCAGTCTTTTCGCACTAAAAACCCCTTTTACAACACACGCTCGCAAGTCGCTGAACCCCAATTCCACAGTTCTTGGAGACGTCTACTGCCCGCCCATCTTCTCATACGTGTTCATCAAGCTGCCGATGAAGGTGGTGATCAGGCGGCTCTGCACGGCGACAATGTCTTCGGGCACCAGCCAGATGGTGGCGCCCATCTTTCGCGCGATACTGATAGCCAGCTTGGCGTTCTGGTAGCTCTCCTCGTCGTTACGGCCGGGAGAGACGAGGTCGTAGTCGACGTATGCGGGCTTCATGCCGGCAAGGACGTCGAGGAGGAACTTGGAGTTCGAGAGCGACGAGTCCTTGAATGAGCGGATCTGGCTGCCCTGTCCGCCCTTGCGGGCCATGTCGTTTGCCCACTTGATCATGTCCGAGTCAGAGATTTCGCGCTTGCCGAGCTTCTGTGCAAGACCCTTGAGCGTGGACACGATGTCCTTGCGCATCAGTTGCCAGACAAGACCAAGAGTGAGTGTGCGCTGGCCATCGGTGATATCGGCACCTTGAATACCGGGGAGGGAGAATTGGACAGACTTTCCGAGTTCGACAGCGTAGTTGGTGTTCTCGAGCGCCTTGAAGCGCATCAGCTCCTGCCCTTCGCGTGGCTTGTTGACGTGACGCCAGTTTACGCTGCCGGGAATGACCTTATCGTAAGCCTGGAGAAGGACAGACCCGTCCTTCAAATCCTCGAAGAAAGACTGTACAACAGGCTTAACGTCCAAGGAATTGAGCCACAGAGTAAAGACGCGAGCCTCACGTTCGCCCTCCGCGTCGAAATCCTCAATCTCGGCCTTCTCTTCCTCAGTGATGGGATCCAAGCAGGGGTGTGTGTTGAACAGGTTGGCAACAAAGGCAAGGTTGAGCTTGGGGTTACCGGCAACAAGCGATGTCGGTGTCAAGAACTTGCGGCAGTCGAGGGCGTCAGCGTTCTGGAGGACTGTTTCCGCGCGTTGCAGCAGGTCGTTCTGCTGTAGTGCCGCGCGAGAACAGGTCTCAGGTGCCAATTGGTTGAGCAGAACGGTGTAGTTCTCGCCGTCCTTGACATCTTTGGAGAAGTTGGTCACACTAAGTACGTTAGCTGGGCGTTTCTCGTGGTGTCTGTGTTACTTACGTTCTGTGCCACTTTGCATTCTTCAGGTGGTAGTTGAACCAGCGCAGCAGAATCTGCTCCGGGGGCAGGCGCAGGAACTGCTCGAGTGTCTCGTCGTCTTCCAGCAGCCTGTACAGCTCGGGGTGCAGCTTGATGTCAATCTTGCCAAGCAGACCTCTCCTGATGACCTGCCAGATCAAACCCAGAATCAGATGCTCGCGCACCTCAATGATGTCCCCACTACCAATGTTGACAACAGAACACCCGATACCCTTCGCCGACTCAATGACAATGTTGTTGTTCTCGGTGAAGTGGAAGTTGTTCAGCTGCTTGATCTTCTTGCCTGGCTTGTTCAGGACACGCTCGTCGATTGTGTCGGGCACACTGTCGTTGATCAGCTTGGACAGGACAAGGCCGTCCTTGCACTGGTCGAACATCTCGAAAGTGTCGGTGGGGAAGGGCAGACGGTCGCCAATGTCCGGGTCGCCGGCAAGGACGGCATTGATGTGGCGTGTGAACTCGGTTCGCTCGTCTTCGTTGATGGTGTGGGTGACATTGGCCGAAGAGCCCTGGACCTGGATGCGACCGCCGCCGCCGCCGATGCTGGGCTTCGAGGCATGCTTGGGGGTCGAGGGCGCGCTGCCGGTAGCGCCGGATACAGCGCGCGGGCGTGTTGGCCCAGTGCTCATGCGCTGCTGGGCCGGCGACGACTGGCGCAGCTTGGAGATGAGGTCTACATAGTCGTCTAGCTCGACGCGCCGCGAGCTGTCGAGCTCGACCTCCTTCAGGGCCTGGCGCACGACATCGTACGGCTGGTGCTCGGTCTGCTGGGTGGCCTTGATGACAGTGGCCTCGTCGAGGTAGCCCTTGTCGTCAATGTCGAGCTTGCGGAAGGCATCCTGCAGACCGAAGATCTCGCCCTGCTCAAACTGCGGGTATTTCCTGCGCGCAATGGCTGTCAGCCGCGGTGGAATCTGGGGGATCAGCGTGGAAAGCTTACCGCTGGAGCTTGATTATATTCATGGTAACGGTGGTATGGGGGTGTGGCCGGCGGAGGGCGCGGAGTGTGGATATAAAGACGGGCGCAGAGGCAAAAGTGACTGCCTGGCTCAGCCTCGTTAAGCGTTGCGCGTTCGACGTGTGTTCTCCTTGTCCTGCTTAGGCTGATGACGACGTGGGGCTGCCAAGCGGGCACGGTTGGGCGGCGAGGGGCAGGTACGACAGTACGCACAGTACGCCGCGCTAACGTCATACGGACTTCTACACAGATGCACAGTGTGGCGGGCTAAAGCAATGCAGCCCTGGGCCAACTGTCAAACCGCGCGCTGCGCAGACACATGCGACCCAGCTCGTCGTGCATTGCATTGGCATGTCTGCGCCGCATGCAGGGTTGCACGTCGCATTGAAGACACACTCCCTCATAGCAGACGCAGGGACATCGCGGCCGCGAGCAAGACGCACTGTCCACCGCTGCCAGCTCACACCGTGGAATCGCCGGCGGAGAAGGGAGATTGGCCTTCACTATTTAATGCTGTCCACGGCACGTCATTGTTCACCACCTCCCTCGCACCTGGCTTGCTTACGAGGAGCCGCACGGTGGCGCCGCACGGTGGCGCCAGGACCTCGACAATCGCGCCCGAACACAGCACGACCTGGTCACACAGCCATCATACCATCACAGCAGGAACGATTGCGTAAAAGAAGAGCTTTTGATTCCCTCGTTGTCATCAGAAGGCCCTCCACCATCGATAGCTCGTCAAAGGTTCATAAGAGTAAACACTAGCCCCTACTCCATCAAACGTAAAGATATTGCTCCGAGTATCCGGTGGCTGCTTGTATGCGCAAATGCAGCCCGCCCGGATCTCTGCCGTTGCAACTAGAAACAATAAGGGGTAGGGGATGCTGCGAGCACGCCTGCTCACCCAAAAGCAAACATCATCATTGCCGTCTTTATATTTCGTTTCCGCTTGGTCGTCGTCGAATCTGGCTGGTGGGTTTCGTCTGAGACAATCATGGGTACAGATGACGAATAAGAGCACCAAGTAGCGCGCTGTCTGAGAATGAGTCTGGAATTACTGGTCATCGAGACAGAGGTGGGGTGTGTGTTGAAGGTCGTGACAGCACGCTATCCAAGTACAATGCTACACCCATAATCGTCGTCGACAAGAACCGAGGTAGAGGTAAGAAAATACAGCACCGTCACCCGCAACACAAAGCCAAAACGTCTAAATGAACGAACGTTTGCTTATGTTGCATGCAGGTCGTATATCGTGAGAATGAAAGTGCAGGTAACTGCCGAACTGGTCGTTAAGGTCGTGAATGCCGAGGTACGAAAGTGTAGACGTGACAAAAAGGAGGAGATGGTTAATAAACAAAAGGAGATGTACTCCCGAAGGGGCACGTTGAAGTTATTGCACGACCCGATGCGAGTCAGGTCGTGCGTGTGGTCGCTCCTGAGAGCGAAGAGCAGCAAGGTCAAGCTGAGTCACCGTCTACGTCGCGGAGATAATGATAATCGGCCACAATGTCTACATGATAGCGCTGTTGCGCTACCTTCGGACATGCTGCGCTTGGACTTGCATGGTGTGAGCACGTTGCAGAGCTGGGTTGGGGTCTTGGGCGTAGGGGCCAACGGCGCCTCCTTCCATCGTTTTCCGCCTCTTGAGGCCACCCATGTCGTCGCCTTGAACGCTGTCAGGGCGGTACGCATCTTGCTCCTCGTCGTCACGGCCGCGCTTGGCAGATCCCAGCCCGTTTGTCGCAGGGTAACCTTGGTTGGCATACTGAGTGGGCCCTGGGTACCCATCGTGAGATGCGTTGCCGTTGGAAGCCGCACGAGGATCGTTGCTCATGACGCTGTAAAGGTTGCTCGATGGCAGGCCCTGGCGCTGAGGTGTAGGGTACCCTGAGCTCCATGCCTGTCCTGTAGTTGTTGTGCGTGGAGTTGCGCGTCCTGATCCGTTCTGGTGCGGGGATCCGGTCATCTCTGGGGACAGTTGCGGGTGATCGGGATGCATTGGTCCCTGCGCTCCGCTGGGGTTGTAGCCATATGCGCTTCTGTTGCCGTTGTAGGGCGCGTTGGAGTGAGTGTATTGGTTGTTCTGCTCATGATCACCTTCACCTCCATTAGGTGCATTGACTTGATCGTTGTTTTGTGACAACGAGTTGTCGGCAGGCTTGACCTCGCCCTCATCGGGGACTTCAGTGATCCTGGATGGAGGTGCCATCTCTGTCTTGGTGTACGGGCCGTCATGGCGGTATCCCATCATGGGTTGACCTTGAGTGGGGTATTGACCAGGCTGCGAAGGAGGGGCAGAATACATTGGCCTGGAACCGTCATAGCTCTGCGCAGACGGGTACGAGATGCCCTGCTGCACAGCACCTGGAGGCGTGCTAGCTGGGGTCGTCGGTACGGAGCGAGCGTTGCTCAACCCCGTGTCAATTGACAACGGTTGATTGCCGGGCGCGTTCTGAACATTGGCGCCACTCCATTCATACGAACTGCCCTGATTACCCATACCCATCATGCTTGATGCACTTGTGGGCGGTGTGGGGAAAGTGTGCGCCCGATCGAGGCCAGGTCGGCCTGCTGAAGGGTGAGGCTGGATGGCATGCGGAGGTTGCGACATAGCCGCACCAATAGGGTTGCTCATCGAATGGTGGTGGTGAAGAGAGGGAGGTTGTGATGTGTTAGGGCCTGTGAGGTATCGCGGAGCAGTCTGCACACTGTCAGATCGAGGACGACCAACAGTGGCCATGGCGGCGCTTCCTACACTTTGCCTGCTCTGGTTTGTAGGGTGGTAGAGGAGGGCTCCGATGTCGTGGACGAAGAGGGGATACAGCTGCTCGGTGATCTTCTCCTTGTTTGCGAACTCAAGTGCGCGGTCGAAAGGAATCCTACACTCTGTTAGTGCACGTCTTTAAATGGGTGCTCAGAGCTTACCAGACACCCTTGAGGTGCATTGGGCCAATCTTAACCACGTGCCTGGTCTTCTCGCTCTTCAAAATGCCGTCTCGCCGACCTCGTGTCATGCCAGCAACGTTGAGGAGTTTAGTCCCGTTGATCATGTGGTTGTCTTCACGACGAGCGACGCAGACACCTTTAGCTTCGACCTGAAAACACAGGCTGCCCTCGTCTTCCCACAGCGTGGCGGTCACCCGTGGTTTCATTCCTGGTGGGGCGACCTGTCCAGTGTGGTCGAATGTATGTGACTGGTAGGTTTGCGGCGCTGGTGCTGGTGCACCTGATGACATTGCTTTGATATGTCAGCGAACTGTGTCACATGAAACGGACGTCTGTACCTACCCGGGAGCTGAATTGCGGAAGGGACCATAGAGCTGTTCATCGATGATGACGCTGGTAATTGGGACGGCACACCGTTCCCGTAACCATACGAGGGGTAGCCTGACGGTGCAGATCCATATTGAGGGCCAGGTTGCAACATCGACGGTTGTTGCGGGTAAGAGTAGTGAGAAAGTCCTGCGGGAGGGCCCGAGGCAGGCGCATGTGCAGTGGCAGCAGACATGTGGGGTGGATGTACGTCGGCGTACGATTGCATCTGGTTCATGCTGGTGTATCCCGCTTGAGGGTAGCCGGGGCTGTTCTGGGTACCGTACGGAGAGCCTTGCTGCGACTGCGCATGCAATGGCTGACCGTCGCGGTTCAGTGCTTGTGGCGTCTGTTCTGGAGAGGGCGTCTTAAACCCAGCGGCCTGGCCGTGCAACGAAGCGGCGTATGAAGTGTTCGAACTCGCAATCGAACCACCACGTGTGGAATCACCTCGAGGCGACGAGTTTGTAGATGAGCCACTAGGGAAGGACGCGTAGGGTTGGATCTGTGGAAGTGCTGGCAGACGCTCGGTGGGTGCAGCAGTCTTGAGCGTGTAGTGCGAGTTGTACCAAGTGTCAACGGGGCCGCGGGCGTGGACCGATGAGATCGATGGCAGCTCCAGCTTTACGGTATTGAGAGTCAGTCGCTTGCGCGCGCAAGATGTTGATGTCGAGAAAGATCCTCGTGAGACTCAAGGACACTATGCACAAGATAGCCGAGTTTGTAGCTTAAGATCTAATGAGCTTTGCTGCGCAGTGTCACCCCGTGCGATTTGTCGCTGACGAGACTTCGCTGTAATATAGCTTGTTCCGCAACGGGCGAAGACCTTCACCGCAAGTCAGTTGTTTGCTTTGACAGGGCTTAGCAGGGTCAGGGTCGGTCAAGAGCGCAAGCCAATAGAACGCGCCTGAACGCGTGCGCAATCAGTGCAAACCAATTGCGCATGGCTGCCTGCACGGCTCTTGGAGGCTGCTCTCCAAATGGTCGCCTCCAGGGTCGGGTGGCTGGTTTGGGCAGAGGTGGACGGGAGGTACTCACAAGTTGATACTGGAGCAGCAGGAGCTATAGTATGCTCAACGGACACGGCTTGAACGCTACAAACAATGCTGTACAGTCAAAAGGCGAGTCGTAACGTCGTTGCAATCGTTAATCGAGAAAACGCAATGCTTTTGGAGTCGTTTAAACACGCTTAATGACGAATTGACGAATACCGGCCTGGAAGAATATCGATAGGGTCCAGAGCAACTAGGAACATCTACTTTCGAGTTGCGTCGTGTTGGGTCGTCGTGGTCGGTCGTTATGTCGTTGCGCTCGTCAATCGCGGGCCGTGCAGTATCGATACTGATGGTTCAACCCAGCAAAAGGAACACTACGCGACTCACGCGTTAGTAGCTGTGGTGCACAGGGAAGACGGACAATGGTTCGACGGGTGCCAACCTCCGCCAGACGGTGTACAGAAACAAAAGCCAGCAGACAGCGTGTTGCTGACTGCGTGGGGAGGGCGGCGGTATTGAGGCGGAGGTGGTTGGGATGGACTTGGGAAGCTAGTCTCGACCGCAACGGACTGCCACCGACCAACCAGACAAAAGAGCGATAGGCGAGGGCACGGGAGATGCTGGTTTGGGGCCGAAACAGATGCATGCGAGGCTTGTACGGAGAGTATTGGGGGGTCTAACGTACCAATGCCTCAACGAACGGACGCTGGGAGCGCAATACTCACGGCGATGCTGGTTGTCTGGCGAGTGTGGAGAAGAGGTAGTTCTCGTCGGCGGTGCTGCAGGATTCTCTGCAGGCTCGACAGCAGGCAGGCCGTAGCTAAGAGGGCTGACCGAGACAGGCGAGCCACGCACGCCCCGCACAACAGTCCGTTCGAGGATGGGCTCTTTTTCGCAGACGGCGTGTCCCTACAATGTCAGTGCGCTATCGACGCCGCTGGCAAGAGGATCCGAGAGCGCTGATGTCGCTGCTCAACGGGACGGCGCGAGTTTGCAGTAACGGCGGCACGAGCACGGGTCTGCAATGGAGACGTCTTGCTGCAGCAATGGCGGCCAGGTGCAGATGCGTCAAGAGCGCGCGCTGTGCTGTAGCTGTACCTAGAGACGGGTGGTGGAGATCTTCTGGGGACGCTCAGCAGAACGCGCCCACGAGCCGCCGCTCGCACACAATCTAAATTCCCTTCGGGCCTGGTGGCAGCCATCGGCGCAAGCCAGGATGGGGTGGCCCGGCCTGCGCTCCCAGCCTGGGCCGAGAAGCAACTGTCCGTGAAGACGACCGTTTCGCGCGCGAGAAGCACAGACGCCCGCCACCGTGCATGCTGACTGGGCTGATCGGCCGTCACAGACGCTGCATGGAGAACAGCCTGGCAGGGACAGGGCTGCCAGGCCTATACCACGACGACTATGCATGCAAGCGAGGCAGCTCCACTCCCAGCCACCTGACGACAGAAGTCAGCATCCGCACGACAAGACAAAGGCACAGCAGATCAGTCGTCGAGCTCCGGCGCCCGGCCTGCCGCGTCAGAGGTCAGAGCCCGCGCCAGACAGGAGGGGTGCAGAAACGGCGGAGCAATTGCTATTCTCGTGGCGCCCGCCAGCAGCACCACCCACCAGCGACGGTTGACCACCTCGCTCAGTGCAGGGGTCTTGCGCCAAACTTAGCGGGCGGCTACTCTTTCAACAGCGTCCCGCGCCCTCAGGCCCCGGCTGCGCCCCCGATAGGAAGCTGATGGCTGGCCCCGTCGCCGCCAGTCAGAGCAGCCGGAGTTTCATGGTGGAGTGCCAGCAAAGTTACCGACATGATAAGAAACGTTTCTTAGTCAGCCGCAGCCGGTGCGTGATGTTGCGGATGCCGGGTGCACGGTCCACTTGCCAAGCGCCAGCAGCATCCTGGCTAGCGATCGAAAGGCCGACCCTGTACACACAACTTGGTCCTTTGCACGCATGGGCGGCCGAGTGCGCTGAGTGGTCCGCCAGCCGCGATGATGTGCACTGTTGATGCGAGTCAAAGTAGCGGAAAGCCTCAGCAGTAGACACCATCGGAACTGGAGCATCCAGAAGTGCTCCACAGAAGCAGACTTCCCGCTGTCGGTCCGCAACGCTCATTCTGAAACGCAGGCTGGACCGCCACCGCACCTGCTCGTCATTGTTTCCGCTTTCATTACGGGCTTTGATGCTTCAGGCAGGCCAGCCTACGGAATCGAGCAACGTGGTCTGGGCATCTCGAGCGGATTCCCCCTCAGGCTAAATGCCCGGGGCCACGATCCAACGACTCTCGCCCAGGGATGGGCTTGAAAGCGTGCGGGAGAGACGGACGGTAGGCCGCGCAGGCCACATCCTCGCAGGGGCGTCACTCAACAAGCTAGCCGTGGTTGGATGGACGTCTTGTCACATTCCTATGACCTGAACACTCTAAAGTAGGCATAGAGAGCGTCTATCGCCTTCTCGCGCGAGGCCAACATTCAACATTGTCAACAAGCTTTTGGGGTGCGAAGCGAGCGACTCCAGAATGAGCATGTGCAACGTGGAGACTCGACAGAGTGCGACGCTCATGTCATGTCAGCGGGGTGGTCAATGAGAAGGCGAGATGAGCCACACTCAGCGCAGCAGGAGCGCCGCGGCACCCCTCGTCTCCACTCGTGCTCACAGCTCGACTCCCACACAGAGTGAATTCGCTCGACAAACGTGCCGTTGGTGCCACCGGCGTGGTATCGATGTGGATGCCATCGTGAATGATAGGGCGACGGCCACTTGCGGTGTGAGTGATGTGTTGTCCGCTAGTCTCCTTCGGCCCAGCTCAGTCACGCCTTCCTGCCTCGATTCTCCAACCGCCACCCGCGCAGAACTCCATCATTGTGTCTCGCTCTCGGGTCCATTGTCCCAACTCCTTGGGCGGGGCGAGACGCTGCTACACAAATCGACCTTTACAGTAAGCTGAAACAATTGCTGCGCTACAATGCACCTGCACCCTGTGCATGCGCTGATGTTCGCCGCAACACCAAGCTCGTGTTTGCCCAAAGCAGACCGTCTCAGACTTGGTCAGAGTGGAATGCAATCGTCACGGGACCCGCAATACCGCGCATTGCGGGACAGGCCGGCTCGGTTTATGCACCTTCCATGCGAACGGTGGGAGGGCAACTGGACCATTTCGTGCCAGCCACATCTGACAGAGAGCACTGTGCCAGCCTGGCCACCTTAGGCGCCAAACCAACTGTTCGCATCTGATTCGACCCCATCCACCACATGGAGTATCCAGTCTCCACACGGTGACGAAATTCTTCGGCCTCGTTCTTTAATCTTTGAGGAGACGTGGCAGCGAATCCTGCCCTTCAATACGTCTGATGTCTACGCCTGTGCTACCAACTGACCACATCCGATGGAGGGAGTGTGCATCGTAGATTGAGCTCCATCAACACTAGGATCAAGATTGAGAATACATGCCCTTACAGCCTGGTGGTACTGTGGCAACCTTGCGGAGCTTGTGGTACCACGAGAGTCGTAAGCGATCCCGTACTGTGTCACCTTGTGGAAGCTGAAGTCTCCACCATCCCTTCAGCAAGGCTCGGTCATACCATCGTCGCGTGGGCCGGTGTCTAGCAAATGCACAGGTCAGAATAAACGTGCAGCGCAGCGCATCCGGCGCGAGGTGGGAGCGGATCGTGGAGAAGGCCCGCGCCCGTCTGTACATGGCTTGGAATCAGCGGGCATGCTGACCACCACCACATTGACACGCAAATTTAAACCATGATTATCAAACCTGGCCTCGCCAAATACAGGATCATGTTGATCGTTCATAGACAGTGTTCCACTTTTGGCATTTATGCCAGCCAATCGCTCAGCGGCGAGGCGATTTTTACGGTATCAGCCATCGCCTCGAGCACAACAATGTTCTCGTGAAGTGGCAACGCATAGGACTGTGCACATCTTGTTCAACACACAGGGAAGACCGCTCTAGAACGGGTGACTACGACCGCCAGCTTTTGCTCTTCGGATGGGCATTACCTACAGCAATGTTCCTGTCGCTATGGTCCGTTCCACCCTTTGGCAGAGACGAACATTCGAACGTCGCTCGTGGATAGCTCTGAGTAGGTAGTTGCAATGCTGGGCCGACGTTCCTGCAGCTCTGAGGCCATCCCGCAGTACGGCTGCGCCTGGCGAGAGATGTGCTTCGATTGGCTAGGTTCGAACTGCACCTACCCGCCTTTGCATATGCATGTGATAAAGGGTATCCCTGCGTGGCGGCCCCTCCTCGCTTCGTCTATCGAGCATGGCCCAGGTGAACTGCTGCAGCACCTTCTTGCATGCAGTTGCACACAACACAACTCTGTCTGTGACATTCCTGTCGCGATCATACGGACTCAGCCATATTGATTCCTCATTGAGTAGTCAGGGACTCCACATCTCAAACTTCAAATCGATATCGATCAGCATTCGTCTTCTTGACTAGGTAACCGATCAGATACAACATTCCGCCAATCACCGTTGGCCACGTCAAAAGCCAGCAGAGCCGTTATCGGGGTCTGGACGGAGCAGCAAGCCATCGCCGCTCCTTGCATCCCGATTAGTGTCGTGGGGTGCTAGATCATCCCGTGATTGGCGGCATGGCCAAGCATGGCTGAACTCACCGGTCGTGCGTGGAGTCAATCCGCCCCACTGCTTGTCATCTCACCTCATGCTCTTGTGTCCGGCTCGCTTGCTGCAGCATTCTCTAGCGCCTTGTGTGTAAACTTCAGATGCTCATCGAAGGCCTCAACAGACTTTGACAATGTAAGTGAGGGGGCAATCAACGCGTTTACCCGCTAAGCCGTGGACGATCCTGGAGAAGATAGACTCCTACACCGCTAGTCTATTCTTGCCTCCCCGTAGCCTCTCAAGAAGAGACGTTCGGTAATATCCAGGGTGTTATGGCGAGCTGGGCTTGTCGCATGGACAGCTTTACCCCACCTCGCACGCGTTGCAATACCTACCTAGCTCCCTTGCTGGAAGCCTGTGGGTATGGGCATTTGAACATGAACCGCCAGTGACTAGAATTGATATCTACATCGTAATGTATAATGAACGTCAGCGATACCCGCTGCAATGCACCGTCCCATAGCGGCCGCAAGCAGGTGGTCCATCTCGCAGCAAGCAGAGCCGCTTGCTATCACGGCGCATTCGCTTCCGCCTCCGCATGCCGCGCACGACATACTTGCGTCTAGCCGATTTTCTGGGGACACACCGCAGTCTGGCATCTTGAAACCTGACACCTCAGATTGTTTGGAGCATTTTTGCTTTAGCAATGCACTGTTAGAGATCGCAGCTCAGGCATGCGCAATACCAGCTCCGTGGTGCTTGCAGAAGCCGTTCCCCTTCTGCTGGCCTGCCGCTTGTGCATTGAACCCAGCGTCCAGACTAACGTATGGATCTCCAGCGACCCGTCTGCAATTGCGGAAAGCGGCCCTTCGCGGCCTCGCAGGATATTAGACAGTGGCGGCGGAGATGATTGTTGGCACAGGCGCATCCCTCCCAAAAGGAAGGTCCTTCATTCTATTTTGCCATAATTTTGTACTGATGTTTTAGGCAAACGATAGCGGTTCTTCATGAGCTCCGACTCGTTCTGATGTTTAGCGCATGTGATGGCTATCAAAGAAACCATAACGGCGGATCAGGTGGCTTGACACCTCGGACGTCGACACAAGGGTGCTTTGATGCTAGAATTGTGCCTCATGTGCAACGGCAACCGAGCTGCCGAAATCTCACCAATAAGTCCGTACCGTGGCTTTCGAAGGCTCACGAATAGCGCCTTCCAGGAACTCGCTTCCTTTCGCAGCCCACCAACGACACCACTACCAACTCTCGTCCTCGCAACGCCATCCCGCAACGCAATGCAATACTCCCGAACCGAATAATCCTTACACTTGGACATCCTCGGCCCACGCGCCATACTCCGTACCAAACGTTAATTGCGCTTATACCCACGCTAGGTCCTAACGTCCAAGCTCTAGCCACTAACACGCATCGACCATGGTCCGCACTCCAACCGCTCCTAACCCGACTCTGGCTTCCGATGCCCTAGGAGTTTGGGGCCCACTCGATCAGATCATATCGAGGGGCCGTGCGGGCCTTGCGCGGCCAACACGGCGCAAAGGCCAGCGGCGTGGAGGCTGAGCAAAGGCCAGTGCGGAGGAGCTGGCGTGCGCGCCGGGTGAGTGCGTCAGTCAGTTGTTGCAGTGAGGCTGGGAAGTCGGCATGGCATGATGGCCAGCATGGAGGGCTGGTCATAGTAGAGCTATGACCGTTGCTGTATGAAAATCTCTGCAGCAGCGGGCCGAGAGAAGCCGCGTCCGGGCGTTGCAGATGGCAGCTGCGAACTATATGCGATGCGATGCAAAGCGATGAATGCGGACATGGCCGAGGGTGCCTGTGTCTGTTGGAACAGGTCAGTGCTGGGGTGGTTTGCCTGCGGTTTGGTTGTGCGATTGAACGGGGCTGTGTTTGGAAAGCTGGGATTGTGTGGGACCTCCAGGATTTCTTTCTGCTATGTGATAGTTCTCATAGTTATGTGCTTAGTGGTTGACTACTATCAAAATTGTCTTCAGCACGAGCTTACTCCCTCAAGGAGAGATCGTTCAGCTTTGTGTGGTGGAGCCTTTGAAATGGAATGAACGACAAGCCAACCTTGCGCAGAATCTCGAACGGAGAATAACGACTCGCTGGCCTGGACAACCGCAGTACTCAAATCAATGCCTGGCGCAATTCTTAGATCTGAAGTACGCATAATGTGTTCATATTGCAATTCCCACTCAACATGCTTCCTCGTAAAGGCCACTGACGACTCGAGTCAACACATTGTCTGTGTCCAATATATTACAGCGAATCCTCACCTATTACTGATGATCTAATACAAGCAACGAACGGTGGTCTTCGAGACAACACTCCAACCTGGGACGCGCAAGCCCAATACCCCCGTCCCAATCTCCAAAGCCACGACGCCTCAGCGATTGCGAAACACCGGCCTCGAGTGTTCCGTTGCACGCCACATTGATCGTCGGTCGATCAACCGGTCGACGACGCAGTCATTCACCTAATACCTGCAGTGCAACATGCGGGCACTACTTTGATCCAATATGGTATGCTGATGGAAGTTGGGCTAGTAGCAAGACATGCTTGTTGCTGTAGTCGATGATTCGCTCCCGCAGAGCGGATGTGGCGTTTCGAGTACAGGGTGGCTAGAGTCCGCTTAGGCTGCTGAGGAACTCCTGGGGGGAGATCAAACTATGCATGTGTAAGCTGAGACATTGCAGTACAGATCTTCAGTGATGCCAAAGAGTTCGAGATGAGGTACGAGAACAGTGGTGGAGGCGTGCAAGTCGAGACTTCCATTAGCTGCTGATCATATAAACCCAAGAAGTAAGTCTTGGTGGTTTCACAGAAAGATTAGAGGATGACTCTACCAAAATAACAGTTTGTATTAGTGCCTGGCTCCAAGACAGATGGCGAGATCTTCGAGTGTCAAGCTTACTTACTCGAGAATTACTCAAGGATTACGCGTAGCTCTTCTAGTCCAGCATTGTGTACACACTGGTCGATTTGTGCTCAGGACGAACATGTCGGATACCACAGTGTTGTGATCGTTGCCAAACTACACGCAGAGCATATATCGAAAGGCACAAGGTGATTGGTTTCTCTGCTATCGGCAGAGCAAGGAGTCTTGGAGATGACCGAACGTTCACTATCACATGGGTAAGTATAGCATAATTCCTTGGTAAGTTCTGTCATTATTCCTTTGCGAAAGCCTCGACATGTCTTAGAGATGGACCTGGATAAAGTTTGTGTCGAGACAGGGTCGAGTATACTTGTCTAATGTATAACAGCACGGGCTGTGCAACATCGGGTACTTACCCCTGCCCTGCGATACAGCTTCTCGATACGTACGTACATGGTCAAGGCCTGTAGTAGCTGATTCAGGGAGTGACAATCTTGGGGACGGGGTAGATCTTGATTCACCGCAGCGATATCAGAGATTCCATCGACATAAGCCTAGTGCTGTGAGAAAGCTCACGGATATTTCGACATGTTCAGGCTGTAAGATATCGCAAGATCGAATCCTTCCCGGAAGTGCAAGCATGAAGGCTGTTATTGTAGGGGTGAAGCAAAAGTTAAGGAAAATATGCGCAAGCATAGAAATACTGATTTGGCAGTATGGCTATGTAACTTCATGGAGCGAAGGACGTTTTGAACGTAGGACGCTCATGGACTTGCAGAGCAGACAAGGTCCGCAATTGAGCAAGTGGGCACGACAATGCCATCCACCTTGGGCAGAAGTTGAACTCAAGAGACCGGCACGAGAGATCCGAGGTGATGAAAATTCATGTCGTTACGAGATGGGGACGTTGAAAGAAGGCACAAACTCGCCGCATTCTAACAGGCGGTGAGCCCCGCACTAGTCAAAGCCGCAAGTGCGCCGCATCCCAACTTCCTCACTCCCATCTTCGCACATTCACCCCTGCAATCCTTACAAGACCGATTTGCACCCCTGTCAAACAGCAAGCAAACGATACAAAATGCCATCTCCCAGCGATATCCTCTCAGACCCAGACATCAACAAGGCCTACGAGGATGTTAGAAGCGATAAATCGGAGACCACGTGGCTCGTTCTCAAGTATGAATCCGCGACCAAAGACAACTTGAAACTGGCTGCCAGCGGGACTGGTGATATCTCCGAGATGACCGAGACCTTGGGTGACGATGAGGCGGCATATGGATACGTGCGTATGAAGCTAGGCAATGATGAGTACTCAGAGCGTGTCAAATTCGCGTTCGTTGTTTGGGCTGGTAAGTATTTCTCGCTTTTTTGTGTATCGAAGGCGATGTATACTTCAGAAAATTCCCGCTTATTGTGGCCACAATCGTGATCTGTTCTGCTGATCGAGATACGGCCGAAGCTGACTGAGCGGGCAGGTCCTAACACGAAGATCATGCGAAAGGCTAAGATGAGCTTTCAGAGTGGGCAAGTCAAGCAGGTCATCCGAACTTATGCTGTGGAGATTCAGACAAGTGACAAGAAAGAGCTGGACATAGACGCCGTCACTATGAAGCTTCGCAAAGCTATGGGCGCGAACTGTGAGATGACCATTTGCTCACGTTGAACTAATGCTGACCTCGGACAGACGATCGACAAGGCTCAAGCTACTAAGTTTTGCCATTGAATACTATTTATTCGCTTTACACTACGTTGCCGAATACGGAATTGAATTCAAGCGAAAGCCGGGACTCGGCATCGGCTCGGATGCCCGTTCAGGTTCATCACGATCATACCAGTAGTATTGTCCTTCAAGGGCTCAATTGGTCCATGCATCACTGAAGAAAGAATTAAACTTAGAAACTAATTAACATCCCGCTATGGTTTGGTTTGGATTGCTGAGCTATTTGAATTCAATACCACGCCAGTTCCTACGATATTTGTTGATTACAATCGTACCGATACATGGCGAACTTTCGTGTCCAGCACGATTAATATTCTTTTCAGCAGCTTCAAGCGGCTCCAATTGCCGTTTGTGCTTTCTGGCTAATGTCCACATAATCTTTGAGCTGAACCCCTGAGCAATCATGAAGGCGACGTGGCAAAATGGCGTGGCAAACTGCACAGCGCGAGACCACCCAGACATGTGGATCCCGTAGAAATACATGGCAACAATAGTCTCGCCAACAGTACCGAGAATAGTCAGGACCATGGCGATATAGCAAAGCCACATATTCATGCGATGCTTCTCGGGCCAGACAGTCCGAGTGATCAGGACTGGGCGAGGCCACAAACCAGCCAGAATGTCGAAGATGCCTAGTTTGAGAGTCAAAGAGAGCCATCTAACGGTGAGTGGGGAACATACCATATGTCATTATCAACACCGTATAAGCTGTGGTGTTCGACTCGACCTGCCAGCGTACATTTCTGGTGACCATGATGGACGCAACAAGGACTGCTCCAAGGTGATGGAGCACACTTACTAGCGCTACATCTGAGCTTATGTACATCAGCTCATGTAAGTACATGCCAATAAATATGGACGTTGCGATGATCGTGATGTCGCCCATTGTCGTTGTCGCCCCCTTAATGAAGGGAGTGCTAAAATCAGCTAGTCCAGTGACGACGGCCAAGTAAGGATACAAAGCAAGCGATATCATGAGAATCTTTGCTGAGATCAAGACATGGTGGTTGACAAAGCGACGCTTCTGACTGGCAGTGAGCCACTCAAATGTGTTCCGGTAGATTATTTTGGGGAAGAGATAGTCCGATGAGAGGCGTGTGGCGATGAAGAACACGATGAGAGTCTATCTTATAAGTTAGCTTAGCTCGACAACGAGCCATTTGAAACTTACAACTGTGGAGAGCAGAAAGCCATGGTGAGAGTAGTTGGAGACCAGGTGATCTGTCAGTTTCTGGATGACATGAGCGCCGGAAGGCAAAGTAAGCTCGGCTATAAATTCGACATCGTGGGAAAGCATCTTAGCCGCTTGTAAGGCAGTATGATAGTGAAATTGCGTCGTGATGAGATGATCAAAGTGCGACTAAACAAGCGTGAAATTATCTTACAACGAGTTAACCAGTCGCACATACCATGACTGAGAATTAAAGAAGGAGAGTATCGAACGCGATCACATTGGTTGTTGGGCACTAGTGCACTCACTCAAGGGTAGCGAGCCAAACCCCCATATCGCCTTCCCAAAGCTACACCTCCAGCAGTGGCCTTCGGACTGACCAAACAGTCTCGCCACTGACTTGCTCAGGAGCCACACATCACAATAGTATCGGAAACATCTAGTTCTGACCAGTCCGAGATTGACGTATCGACAAGAGGTCCAGATATTTCGAAAGCCTTTCACTGCGATACATGAAGCTACACAGCAGAACGTACCGGCTTGGAAAGAAGATGCATCGCGTCCGATTCTTTTCCGGACTTTTCAATAACCTCTTCTAGTATCTGTACTAAATTGGAGAGGACGTTTTCGGTACGATCGATGTCCCTTCAAATTGAACAACAAATCCCATGCCTTCAACCGACGCGATACCTGAGCAATTCTACGCTCGTGACAATAATTGGTGGGAGACAGGGTGGTAGATGACGCTGAATAAGATGATCTAGAGCCCCTGCAGAATTATTCCCACAGTACCGTCAGATTCGGAGTCATTCTTGGAATAAGGGACTTCTGCCACATTAGCGTGCATGGTATGCCTTAGACAGGATGGACTCGTTGTGTGAATGAGTACTCCCTGCGGCACGACATTGACAATAGCAGGGCTGGTGAAAATCTTGGGAATTACCTAGGTACGCTTGCCTTCCAATTTTATGTCATTGCTACTAAACATGACTCGATAGAGACCATACACGTCTTGAACAGCACAAAAGCTTCTGAAGCATTCCCTGCATAATCTTATACTAGCGTTGCAGCAGTTTCGATTAGAGCGTGTGTTGATCACATCTCCCAGCGCTGATACCCGTACTGCCCTTGCCATTCCACAATGTTATGAAGATAGTGTAGTGCCTCCCATTGTATTTAGGTTTTTAAAGAGTCCAAAAGAGACCTTCAATATCAGTGTCCCAATCTTCTGAACCATGAAAGATGACTGGGCTTGCTCACAATCGAATAACTGAGGCTAGCTGCTGCAAAAGTGTGAACGGATCTAGATACCATGTCAGACTTGGGCGTACAGTTCTCACTTGGCGTACTATAGATAGGTGTGTTCAACAACTAAAGCCGGGACTTGCTTTTTCTCGCCTCAACTGTTAGTGTCACACATTTGAAACCCAGTGATACTCAGTTATGCTGATCTTCAGCCCGGATGAGAGAATCCAGATCGGCGCCGCTTTGTATCCACGTCTTGTAACGTGTGTACATGTGCAATCTTCAAAAAGAAATTCTTTAGCTTAATTCCTGTCGCTGCAAGCCTCAGACTGCAACGTTACCAGTTTCTTGAGCCTACGTGCATGTTACATTTCGATGCACCTCTCCAGCCGCATTCTGGCGGTACAGTGCGACTGAGACATTCTCCCGATACCCGAAAAGATCGAGTCTTATGTGATGTCCTGGCGTCTGCTCTAGAAGTTAGACGGCGATTGTACTTAAAGTTCAGGTGCAATATGTTGACGTCAATCCATGAAAGCAACAGTGACATGGAATACATGCAAAGTCTGATCGGCCGCATTCATCATGTTGTCATACTTATCTGTTCCGTCAAAACTCTCATATAAGCCGCTCATGCTTCTTTTTCTGCCGAACGGCTTCTACAAATCCAACCCTTGCATCCTTCAAAACCCTTCCCGTCTAACCTTCCGGAGCATTATGATACATAATCCCACACCACGCATTCAAAAGCCAGGGATCTCCATACCTTTCGCCATCATTCGAAATTCTACACTCAACTGAGTATGCGCTTGTCTGCTTCGGCCGCGATCTAGGTCCAAAAGTCCTTCAGCAAGCCTCATGAACTATGTTGTTCTGGTACCAAAGAAGGCACCTTCAGAGCAGCCCGATATTCGCGGAGAAACCTCCCTGTCCATACCCGTGTCCGTCTCATTGTCTCTGCTCTTGATCGGGTGTCTACGATTTATTTTACGTATGGCTGACCGCTTTATGTGTCCTGATATGGCGAACCCTATCCATCATCTCTCGCTTTTTTTATCTGTCCAAAAAATTCTGACAGGTACTTGGATGTGCCTGTCTGTCTGTCCGTCTCTGCTTCCAACCCGTCAGCATCTCTCCCCATGACACTGATCTCCACGCAAAATCAAGACTGCGAAGTCATGATTCGGGTTGATATTCTTTTGCTCCATAATCTGACACTTTCATTCGTAAAACCAGCTTGAACGGTTCAATGGTCGAAGAAGTCCACCACAGCACTAGAAGTGTCTTACTTCCCTGGTAGCTAAAGCGATACTAGAAGCTATCCTGCTCCTTGCTGCCTCGTCTGCTGGGGCCCGATCGGCGTAGCTTTGTCGTACCTCTCGATTTATTTATCTCTGCACCCTAGATTTTTCCCAATATCCAACCCAGGACGCCGAATAGAACATCACTGCATGGCTAAGAAAAGTGTATCCGAAAATTCATTTGCCGTCTCTCGCGGTTCAAGTCCAAAATGCAACCAGAGTCTTTCGATGCGAGCGAAGAAATAACAGTACTTCTAATGTGAAGTCTGTACCTCCAAGAAACCCCCCTGCTAGTATTGCATGCTGCTTGTATTAGCTCTGCACCACCAGTCGATAAAGAACGCGCCGTTGAGATGCTCGGCGAAGTGCAGAGTACATCTCGGCTGTGTTTCCCAATTGTACTGCGCGGTATCGAAAAGAAGCAACGACTCAAAAATGACTAGGAGCGAGGAGAAAACAGTTTGATGCCAACGTGAAATGGATCTCCCCTCCTCAAAAAAGGTCGCCAATGCAAGTTCTGCAGTACTGCATATCGAGAAGGTAGCCAGATGATTGTTGTGTTGTCCCACCACCGTATACCTCCTAATCACAGATTATGCCAACAGAGCACGGTTGCTAACATCGATCGGGTAAACGCTGGACGGAACACTGTTTACTACTATGTCATCGTGTATTCGTCATTCGTCGGGACTGAAGCCGTCATAAAGCCACCTCTGAAACATGTACAAACCGCGTATCGGTATAACAAAACACTCGCCTAAATCTACAAGTTACTTCCCCCACTCTTCTTGTCAGTGGACAGAAAGGGGAAGATGTGGGCCAGCCCACCCCCTTCTTTCTTCACTGGCGCTAATGCGCGTGGGTCCGCACTATCTGCCGGCTGTGAGTTCGGCTTCTTCTCCAGGCCTGGCTGGTCCGCGATATGGTTGTCCAGCCATTTCTGCTGAGCAGCGCCCAGCTTGAGTGTCTGATCGATGGACTTGGTGAGCTTATCGACCTCGTCTTGTAACTGTTCGTCCCTGGTCCTCGTGCCCTGCGGCTCCTCCTTCTCGGACACGATCTGGCCGTCTTTCGCAGTGCTGGCCCACAGCGATGCGAGTTCATCGGTCCACCCCAGCGCGTCGGCAAGCTCTTTAACGCCAGTGTCGCAGTCCTTGAGGATGAGGACGTCGTCGGGTCGCGAACCGAGCGTCCCGACTCGCTCCATGTTGACCAGGAGTCGTGGGACGGATTCGTTGACTTGATCGGGGAGTGAGGCGAAGGGGTGCACGGAGAGGGAGGTTCCGAGGATAATGCAAAGATCGGCAGTCATTACGAGGTCGATGTTTTCGAAGAACTCGCGGGGAAGCTGTTCGCCGAAGAAGACAATTTTGGGCTTGACGAGACCGTTGCATGTTGTGTCGATGCAGCGTGGAACTGTCTTGTTCTCGATGTGAACGAGCATCTGCTCTTTGGGGTACGACTTCTTGCAGTCAATGCATGCTTGGCTGTGCAGCAATTAGCGGGATGATGACAGTAGATGCACGGCTTACTTACTCTGCGAAACTACCATGTGCTTCGATGATCTTGTCACCGGGCACACCGGCTTCTCGTTCCAGGCAGTCGATGTTCTGTGTGAAGAGCTTCAGCAGTAGACCTTTCTGGTGCAGCAGGGTGATGAATGAGTGTGTGATAGTCGGTCGGAATTTCCCAGGATACAGCTCTTGCGCAAGTGTATAGAACGGAAGAGGGTTCTCGCGGAAGAAGGACAGCTCGAAGACGGCCTCGGGGTGTGGTAGATTTAGGCGCTCCAGGTTGGCGTAGAGTCCTGTCTCTGGCGAGCGGAAGTCAGGAATGCCGGCAGATGTCGAGATACCAGCACCAGTCTATGTATTTGTTAGCAATGATACCACCTTCTTAGTGCAAGCTTACAAGAACAACTATCTTCTTCGCCTTGCCGTCTTCGATGTACTGCGCCAGTGCTTCGGTCGAGCGTGCGCCCAATGTGAATGGCCGCGTGGACGGATCCACCATGGAAGACTCCTCGTTGCCCATCTTGCGGACTCTGCCTGCTTGCCCTCTATTTCTGTTCTTCGGGCGGTTCTTCTCTGCCTTGTCTTTGCGCCGCGGCTGATCCTCCTGAGCCTGCTGGCGATATTCCTGGCGTCGGCGACCTATCTTGGAGTTGCTGAGGGGTAGTGGTGGCTATACGGGTACAGACAAGATATTGGGCCTCTGCGCGACTTGGTATTACTTAGTGTGGAACGTTGAACGGTGGACGTGTCTGCCTTCGTGGAGCTCGAAATAATCTCGAGACTCGAACTCATGGCGGGGCTGCGTCATTGGTGCGCCGAGCCAATGGGAGTGCAAGGAAATGGCAAATCATCAGCGCGATTGATCTCCTTGAACGCGTCGAGTAGATGTAATGGATAGAAGCCGACTTTCTGCAATGAAGCAACACATTGCATGAACATATGAAACGGTGGTGAATGTCAGACATGGCAGTCTTCAAGTACTTGAAGCGCATTGCAGTGTATGACCAGACCAGCGCACACAGCAGGCAAAGAAGACAGTAGGTAATATGGCACTTGCCCCTCGCACGTGTGTACGAGCTCTGTGTATGGAAGAACGGACCGTCCAAGTCTGCGGGGGCGCCATCGTAGTTCTAGTCTGCCTTTGGGCGTTTCGTATGCGCAGGGCCGCTGCCGGACCCACGCGTCATAGACGGGGCATCAGATGCTCGCTGCGAATGAGATGGCCAAACACATTCATGCTAAGGCTCAAACTGCGCGCAACGCCGCTGCTCGATGTTGCGTTCGCGGCCGTCGCGTGTTGCGCGCCAAGCCGGCTAGCTCCGTTTGGCCATTGGAAGTCTTTCGTCGCGCGCTGACGACCATCTCCTGGCCATCACCTCCACCCGGAGCACCCCGACCTGTCTCAACCACCGCGTCTGTATCACTACGCCCACATTCCGGCCTGATACCAACACCAACATGTCTCGCGGAGGCGGTACTACGCTCTATGTCACCGGCTTCGGCCACGGCACCCGCGCGCGCGACCTCGCCTACGAGTTCGAACGGTACGTTCCATAACGCCATCTCCCACCCGAACGTCGAACATATCATCGTCGCGCCGTCCATATCCTCGTCGCGCCCTCTTTCCACCGCATCCGCATCTACGCTGCTTGCCATTTACCTGCGCGTTCCCAACGCGCACGCGCCCAGCCTCGCTCCTTCCCTCGGCGCTCGTGCGCCTGCCAGCCGCACCGCCCTCCTTCGTCGCCGTCCGCACCACATCGACATCAAACATCTCTAACATGCTTCAAGGTACGGTCGCCTGGTCCGCTGCGACATCCCGGCCCCACGCTCGGCTTCGTCTCGTCTGTGAGTATAGTTCCACTTACGCACCCATCGGGCGCTAACAGTCCAGCAGCTTCGCTTTCGTCGAGTACGAGAGCCGCCGCGACGCCGATGACGCTTATCACGAGATGCACAACAAGCGCATCGGCCGCGACGATCTCTTGAAGATCGAGGTATGTTCCTGTGTTTGACCGCAAGAAGCTTGGCTGATGACGTGTAGTGGGCCCGTACACCTCCCTCAGCATCGTGGCGCTTCGACTCAGGTCGCGATCGCCCTCGCAGCGAGCGTGGTGACCGCAGCTCTCGCGGCGACGATCGTGGTGTCCCCGCCCGCGGCGACCGCTCTCCTCGTGGTGATGATCGTGGTGTCCCAGGCCGTGGTGACCGCTCCCCTCGCCGCCGCAGCGTTTCTCCTCGTCGTGAGCGTGGTGGTTCTCCCCGCAAGGACCGCGAGCGCGACTACGAGCGCCGCGACCGTGACAGGTCCAGGAGCCCTGTCGATGGCGACCGCGAGATGAAGGATGTGCGCGACCGTGAGGACGACCGTGGCGACCGCGAGCGTGGCGATCGCGAGCGCGACGAGAGGCGCGAGGGCGAGGCTCGTCCTGCCGTCGAAGAGCGCAAGGGTATGACTTCCGACCAGCAAAGCAGTAACTTTTTCTGATTAACATCCCAGCCGACTCTCCTCCTCCTCCGGCCGCACAAGAAGACCTCGACGTTGCCGAGTAGAGCTAGCAGCTGTCATGCTTTGTATTGGCAGTGCTTGGGCTGTCCGTCCGTCGAATCATCTGTATTGGCGTGTCTTTCACTTTTGAGATGTTTTATGTCTGGGTCCTTAGTAGCGGAAAACAGTCAAGGGCCCTGTCTTCTACTGGTGGTGGTCGAGCTCGCTCGAAGCCATGCACCACATTAATCAATGCGCAGTCGAAAAGTCGGATCGGAGTCTTTCTTTGGCGAGTCGGTACCAACGATATCCTACTCGATACGGTTCGGTTTTGCGTCCAGTCCACCTTCATCGGTCGATCGGTCGGTATCGAAGCGGTCCAACGCGGTCAAATCGGTTTCTGTACACTACACGGTCGATCTCGCTAGCACGAACTTTGCACTTCTCACCACCTCTCGATGTACCCTCGACCCTCGCCCTCGCCCTCGCCCTCGCCCTCGCCCTCATCTCGTCCCGTCCCCGTATCCGATGCCTATCAGCTTCTTACCGTCCCGATGCGAACCCACTTACGGAGGTTTGTATATTCCAGCATGTTATATGTAGCCTCTGACCTACGTGATTGTGACACCCATCTTCGTAGCCATGTGTAAGCCGCAATCCGAACATGTCAAGTACGAACAGAATCCATTGTGTCCATGCCCTGGTTCCAGTCCTTACGGGCCACCTTGTCTATCGCTGCCTATGCTCGTGAACTTGATCGTTGCTCACCGTTGGCAGTGGTGTGCTGTTCATGTAGCTCGCGTCACCTTAATGCTCCGCATACAAGTCATCTGAAGCAAAACCCTGGGACGAATGAGATGTTGAAACTGAAGCTCCAAAGTTACATGGCTACTACACCACATTATTTGTGTTTTAACTCACAAGCATGCGCACTACCTCCGCACCACCATGTAGTGTAGATATCCTTCATGCCTGAATATTAATTTTGTTCTTCTCCTGTTTCCACTTGCACCCCGCGTGTCCGAGATTCGTTCGGACTGCAAAGTAACACTCCTGCGCTCGCTCAATTCGTATTCGATGGTGACGGTGAAGTTGCGGTTGTGCGTCCGAGGAAATAGTCGAGGCGGTGGATGGACGCGGAGCCGGAGTTGGGGTAAGGACTGTAGGTAGTTGATGGGTTGTGAGGACAGTGGAGGCTGTAACGAAGTGATAGATAGCTGTTTGGATGCTGCTCTGCGCTTCTTAACTGGCTCGTGTTAATCGAGTATCTTAGGTTCTTGGTCATGAGTTTAAATCTGTGTTGTATTGGGCGATCTGGTATGTCTTGGGTTCCTGGATAGAGTGCTGGCGGTCTGTTCTTGCTTTGCATTGCTGCGGAGATCGATTGTGTATTTAGACTGTGCAGTAAACTTTAGCATGTGCACGCCACTTATGATCATTGCCTCATGACAGAGTGATTGGTATATGATGAAGAGATGCATTCACATATGTGTGTCAAGGTCTTATCGCATAGACCATCCAACACCCTATGGTGGTCTATAAAAGCGTCTCTTGTCGGAGAACTGCCACGCCAACGTCAAGCTGACTGATAATCGATGGTAGCTGTCCTGTGTCCGAAATTGAACAAGCACCGAACCAGTGGAAGGATGCTTCCACCAACTGAGAACCAGGCTATTCACAGATTGAAATTTGTGGACTAGCAAAGTCTTATCTAGGCAACCTTTGTAAGATTGGCATACCAACCCGCGATAAAGCTGCTTTAGCTCGGCATGACGTATGGAACGACGGCCTGATTCCGTTTTGACGGTATAGAGCACGGAATGCAAACCAAGAATGTTGTTTGCGAATGCAGGTATGTAAGTATAACAACGCAGCCTCACAAAAAAGCGAACACGACGAAACATGCGGCTGAAGATGCAGAGTCAGCATACTTGCTGACGGTTGCTGCAAGTAGGATCGTTTAATTCTTCCTGGACGAGGCTGGCGCCATCATCGTGACAGTGACAACTGTGCACATACTGTGAATTAGTGAGTAGCGGCCTTGTAGACGAAGTTCCACAACCTTCTGAGAATGTGAAGATCATCAATTCACCGCGCACTGCGAGCGTGGTCGCTGAATGATCAGAGGATACTATCTACGGCGATGGCATATAGATAGCAAACAGATCATGTAGCTTTACATGATCATCGGCGAAAAGTGATGTCCTGATGTTGCTGTTCGCCGTGGGTGATCTCGCCACGAACCTAGCAGTACGCACAGAGCGTGGCGCAGTCACTTGACGCGCAGCTGCCGAACGGTTCGTGTAGCAGCTCGCAACAGAGTGGAGATCTCAATTACACCCTGTGTCGCACACTCTGTACTGCCACTTTTCTTTCTCTCTTCAAATCAACAGTGCGATTCTAGCGACACTACTTTCACCAAGCACCTGTTGTGGTTTATACGTAATAGAAGGGAACGCCTTTGACCCCGGGAACCGAGCACCGCCCAGCTTCGCCGCGCCGGCCTGCAGCCACGAGTACGAAACCATCAACTTGCGACTGATCACCCACACACCTTCACTACACTCGTCGTTGTCCCAGAAAACACTCGAAAATGGATCCCAACAAGCAATACGTATGTCCTCACCCTCTCAACACCAGCGCTGCCGACTGCGCTGTTATCCGCGTCCTCTTCCTGCGCCACATGTCTCGGCATCCACCATCACGCATTGCGATTCAAGCCCAACTCACTAACCGCAAAGCAGGGTGCGCCGCCGCAGTATCCTCAGTCACCGCCACCAATCCACCAAGATGCTGGCCCATACAACCAGGGGGGTATGCAGCCATACCAGCAGGGGCCGCCCAGCAGCAATGACTACTACGGCTCGCCCAACCCATACCAACAGGGTCCCGGCTACGGGCCACCTCAGGGCCAATATGGTCCTCCTGGAGGACAGTACGGACAGCCGCAACAACAGATGTATTACCAGCAGGGCCCGCCGCCACCGGGAGGCTACTACCAGGACGACAGGAGACAGGGAGGTGGCGGAAGCGGCGGACTGTTCGCAGGTCTCTGCGCCGGTTTAGCATGCTGCTGCTGCTTGGACTGCTTGTTCTAGGCCTATAAGGCGTCGAGGGAGAGTAGGGATGGGACGAGCGTCGCTCGTACATGCTGCGCCGATGCATTACATACTTAATACTTCGCGCCTGCTGGACGGGTTAATCACTAGTCCTGATGGGCGGGAGAGATGCAGAGGAGAGTGGATACGAGATTTCTTCAGTTTTCGTTTTTGTCTTTCTCTCAGGTTAAGGTTTCTTTTGTAAGGAATATTATGGATCTATTGGGTTCGGTGACCACAGCTGTGCTTGCAACACCATGATAAGTGGCGTGCACCCTTGCTCTGAGTCCAGAACGCGTGCCATCTGGCCATCAGCCGACTGTCTCTCGTGCCCAACGTCGCATTTTCAACCGCGCATACCTGCCCCGCATCTCCACATCACAGCCTCATCTTCATCGCCCATCTTTAGTTGATCATGATAGCTGACGCAGCTCTCCAAACTGCCGCACGCCCCTTCCCAACCTCATGACATCGCTGTCCCTGACAATCGTGCTCATCAATACCTGAATCGTATGGCATGCCCCACAGTCGGAAGGAGCACGCCCCAGCCGCACGGGCTCTCCACTTAGACTTCTACTCCGCTCCATGACGTTCCGAGATCAACGACACCGAAACGAACTGCTGGCTGACACGCGTTGAGATCCACTGACGTGTAATTCTATTTCGAGAAGTTTGTCGTCCGAGGCCATTGAAGCGTACCGGTATAAAGGTCGCGTGAGAACCCAAAGTCGAACAAAATCGGCACGAACAAACAGATAGTAACGCTACTACGAACCCATTACCCATCAACAACATATTTTCAGCCTCACAAACATCAGCACGTTGCTTGTGGCAATCGCTTCCGACCTCTGGTCTATTAAGCCACGAACAAGACTCCCGTGGAACAGAACCACTTGCTAGTTTTCTTTGTCCCACGGCGCACGCACGTCTGCATTCGGAGACACCGTCGGACCTTCCGATCGCAACCGTACTTCTCGCTGCAGGGAAGCGGAGCTTGAGCTCGAAATAGACCTGACTTGCGAGGAACATAAACTCAGCGGTTTCCTAGACGACCTTGAACCATAAACCGATTCACCACATCGTACATCACTATCCGTCACCATCCTCATCGACATCATGAAGATCGCCGCCTACCTCACCATTGTCGCCACTGCCATCCCAACTGTATGGGCTCTCCCTGCAGGCCTCATGGCGAGGCAGTTCACCGTCCCAACTTGTGGTGCGGAGGCATGTCTGGCTTCAACGAACGGCACCTTCGTGTCCCCTGCTGCGTCTAATGGCACTGCTCCCGGCGACTTTGCACGAATCTGTTCTCTTCCCCAGGACGAAGTAAGCCGATATGTACAGACTGTGCAGCCCTGTCTGAACGGAAAAGAGGGCAAGAAGGCCTGCACACCTGGAGCCATATCTCGTAAGTCACCACTCGATATCTCTCGCTAGAAGGGAGACCACTAACAACCATCAGAGTATAAATCCATCCTGGAAACCGAGTGTGCAAAGCCTGCATACGGCAATAAGCAAGTTCAATGGGCCTAAGAGCGTGTCCCTTCCTGTCCAGCGTTTTGCGTCTACGATCACATTTACGATACCACGTTCCTTCAGCATCACAACGGCGTTTGGGCATAGCATTTGCGCATTTACGCACCAGATCATCACGCATGACGTGATCACGCACAACGCATCTACATAATCAATAATGAATACACTCCTTTATGCTCTCATCAATCACACACTGAGAAGATGTGTTGCACGACTTTTTAGCAACGGTAGCGGTGGCTTGTTTGTACAGCACATGCTGGCCGTTTGCTGATTACGGCTCGTTTGTTCGCTTTTTCTCACCTTCACTCTAGACCGTTTACTTATCGCACGGGCCCTGTCGGTACCTTCACAAATTTATTTGGACCTTGAGCATCGCGCTATCGTCTTCTATCTCGGAGTTCGAAGTTTTCTTGTCCATCGAGCCTCTAAGTTCGACGCGCTCTCTCTATGCTATGGCGGCCACCGGAGATCAGCTCCCGGGCTGCATTGTAAGTAAGACTCTTCCCAGCCGACATGCCATGCTGACCTACGAAGATACCCAAACAATGCATGCTCCAAGTACCAGGCTTTCTTCGTGGAGACTCAGGCTGCGGAACTGATCTGGTGTGCATCTGCAACATTGACAATCACTTCGGCACCAATTGCGTCTTCTCTCACGCGTGCTTGCTGAAGGCGTGTACCCAAGAACAGGACCGAAAATGTCTGTGAAATTGTTCCAGCGAGAACTGTTCGAACGAGACTTCAGTCAGAATGACTAACCTTGACAGCCTTCCTGGTGAACTGGTTCGACTCATGTCGTGAGGCTGGCACGTCGGGCGGAGACAACATCCCGCCAGAGTGGGAACCGTATCGCCCGGCCGAAGGAGCAGTTCCGTCAAGAGTAGTACCCAAGCCTATGCCCAGCACACAAGCATCCTCGACACTGGTTGCCACATCGACTGCTGCGGCTGCGACTTCACTGGCTGTACCTTCATTGCTCACCCTGCTCACCACCACCAGCACCACCAGCACTAGCCTCAGCCTCGCACCAACTGCCTCCAGCCGCACTGCTTCCAGCAGTACAAGCGCCAGCTTTGACCTCACACCAGCTACCGCGAGCCGTACTATTCCGTCCAGCCCAGAAGTCACAAGTACGCCAGCGCAACCCATTATCACCACCTCCAAGACTCTGAGCCCTGGCGCAATTGGTGGCATAGTCGCTGGTATTCTCATCCTGGTGCTTCTCTGTGCCGGTTTGGGCTACTTCTACTGGAAGGCAAGCAAGAAAGTCAGAGAGAAGAACAGAGAGGTCGCTATCCTCAACGATCGGATTAGCGGTCATGGATTTCAGAGCTACATTGACGAGCTTCTTGCCGACAGCAACAGCGCAAGTGGTACAGTCTCGCGGGATAATGTATCTGTGTCAGGAACAATGGATGGACTTGCGCCGTCTTCAGCAGCACCTGGAGTGAGAAGCCAGTCGAGCTCGGTGTACAGCACGGATATTGCTAGAGCATTCTGAATATGTTCTTCTTGTGGAGGATGAGACACAACAAAGAGAGTAGAGGCCAATGCACTGTCCAAGGGATGCAAGGACAGAAACGAGAAGGAGGGGGGCCATTCTGCAAAACTTGATGCTTTCCATTAATACATGTCCTTGACACCCTTTTCTGTCACTGCGCCCGGCCTTCTAGACCTGCTACACGTGTTCTCTGTCTGCATTGCAACCGCATGCGCGACATCCCTGCAAGGTCGACACATCGCACCCAGCACCTCAACACATGCCCACCTCGCCGTCTATATAAGTATCACCGCCGAAAGCGCAAGGCTGCCGCAAGGCATTGCGCCCCGCCCCCAGCCGCACACTGAGCCCATGGCGCTCCCCGACCCCACCCATTGGTCCAGCGACAGTAAAGGATCCGTCCGACACCCGCGCCTCACAGCGTGCTGGCCGACCTGTGTCCCAGCGGTTGCCGTTTCGAGACATGCTGCATGGGCGAAACAGGCGTGATTTTCGCGCGTGTGATACGGGCGCTCTCGTGAGTGGCTGCGTCTAAATTGGCGGGGCTGTGTGCTACGTCCTGTTACACGAGTGCGTTTGGGTCGGCGTTTGTTTGCTCGCTGGAAGGAAGATGCACGGATGCTTGGGAGAGGTACCTAGGTAGAAGAAGGCGCTGTATCTGGGGTGGTTTGACACCGTTACTCCTGCTGGAGACTCTTTTTCCGCTACGTGTGTACGTGTATGCGACTTTTTGCGATGCTGCGCCTCTTCTTCGTGTGCTGTGGATTTGTGGGGTTGGTTATGGCACAAATTGGTTGTAGGATGGGATCTCCGCAGCTGAGTCTGCCTTCGTGCATGGTGCGTTCAACAGGAGGGGTCTCGCGTACTTGCTGACAACTTCGCAGGATCAATGTTTCCTCACTGGAGGATGCGGATCGGGATGTCCTTGCCCACAGAACCTGAAAGGCTGGTGCGAGATGAGTGAAGACGGTCCAGATAGCTGGTTCAGTCGGTGGGGAACATGTGTGCTTAAGGATTGTTCAGATGATGGGGACCTTACCAGTGAGACGATGATGATATTATCTTAATTGCGGAAGGACTAATATTAGCAGATTTGATGATGCTCTTCGTAGCGCAGTGCGATGGCACTGTCGGTGGGCCATTGACCAACAACACTGTACCATATCCACTACGGGATTGGGTGCCGATGACCACAGCGACGACTTCTACCGCAGCGGGATCGAGTGCGACTTCATCAATCGCTACTGTGACTGAAGCCACATTGGGTTCTACATCAGTCACTGTAAGCGACAGTAAAGCAACTGCCCTAGACGAGGACATTGCGTCTTCCTCACGCGCAACTAGCACTTCGTCTCCAGCATCTACAACTCAGGGCGACCCGAAGCCAGTTATGAACGTAGCAGCGATTATCGGGGTTGCAGTCGGCGGCACGGTGCTCCTGATTCTGTCAATCGGTCTCGTCGCTTTCCTCCTGCGCCGCCGTAGACGTGGAGAGCCATCACCGTCTGATGCGCCGCCTTACTATAACGCTACTGATAGCCAAGAGAAAGCCCACGATAAGCCCGAGCTTGACGGGCAGGCAATGGCGCATGAGCAACCCAAAATTGGTGCAGGCGAGTCTGTGGTCACACCCGTCCATGTGCCTGTGGAGTATGCTGAGTTGGATAGCGGCAACCCTGTCAGACCTGTCAGTGAGCTTGCCAGTCGGGGTTGAAGATGGGCACATGGCAAAAAGACAGAGTCAATCGCTGGTCACCTATGGCGAAAGGATCCTCCGTCTGGGGCATTGTACAGCTTGGCAACGGGTATAGTGGCTTGTGTATATTACCTGTGTGACTTTGAATCATCTCGCTCGTCTCACAATACGTTGGAGGCTAGACTTACTTTCACTTGCGTGCGTGATCTGTATCGCCGTGCTCAATGAGGCAGTGTTTTGCTCCGCACGGACGGGGTTTGGCATCCTCTTAGTTGTGACTCTTCGTTGCTCATGCCTTCACCACACTCTCCCGTCATGCTGCTCGCAGCCGTTTTTCTTGTTGGCCTTGCGACGGCGGCGCGATACTGCTACGAAGCGCCCACAAAACTTGCTCTTCCCTCTTGCACGGTATGTACTTCGCATGTCTCAAAGCTGTTGCTGACAATATCAGACTGCATGCTTGGGAACTGATACCTCCGTCCTTGATGGTGTCTGTGCAGATAACCTTAAGGGAATTTGCGAGCTAGATGGCGGAGTGGCTTCATTCTTCCGTGTCTATTCGAAGTGCTTGACGCAACACTGTCAGGATCAGACACCTCGTGCCGGTATGCTTGACAGACAAAGGCAACAGAGGTAGTCCTTGGACACTGACAGGTGGCAGACTTCGTACAAGCGTTCCAATACCAGTGCGGTTGGTACGACAGCATCACCGATGTTCAAGCGCGATACTTCGGAGAGTGGCAGATTTACCTTCATCCATCAGACCTCAATCCACAAGTCAGTGTCACGGAATTGTTTGTCAGTCTTGTTGAGATCTAACGGACCACCATAGAGATCGAGCACCGTGACGCAACGAGTGACATCCTTTGTCACCATCACATCCTCCAGCGCCTCAAAGACGGTCTCCACTGTCACCCTTATTGGTGGGCCCACCGCTGTGAGCTCGAAAGTGTCCGCGGAACCCTCGGTCTCAACACTGTCGACTCCACCTACGACTACAAGTGCTAGTGCTCAGACAGTGACTGCTGTGGGCGATGAGACATCCTCGAACGTGCTAGATAACGGAGCCTCCTCGACCTTGCAAATCAGCAGTAGTATTTACACACGCGGCCCTGCCTCTCCAGCACCTGTGCATTACAAGGAAACGGAGTCAGCTCTCAGCGGAACGGCCATCGCCGGTATAGCCGTCGGAAGCACATGTTTTGTCGCCGTCTCATTTGGTGCTATCTTCCTCATCTTGCGTCGACGAAAGCGTAGTCAACCTGGAGGGCCACGCTCTATGTCGCCACCAATCCATGAGCGCGGAGGTGGCAAGGAGCCATATGAGAAGGCGGAGCTTGCCGGACAAGAGGTGGAGCCACGTTCGCCTGAAGCTGTCGTAGACGCACCGGTTGGACGTGTCGAACTGGATGCTGGCTCTCCGGTAAGCCCAGTCTGGGAGCCGGTGCATGTGAGCACGAGCGAGAGGAGGGCAAAGGTTGCGCAAAATTTCTGAGGTGCACTGTCTTTTCGAGGAGTTGCGGAGTTCGCATGTCTACGTGGAACACTCCAGGTTGTGTTCAAAGGGGATTAAGTACTGGCGCGTATCAGCAGTACTCGTACTCTGGGTCAGTTTGGTGATCGTAGCAATCTGCCATCGTGCAAGGCTCCAGAACGCTCTGTCCGTCCCACAAGACTCGAGTGAAGCCCGACGTTAATAACCATGACGGGATCAGAGTGAGGCCAACGGTCGTAAGGGCCTATCGAATTGAACAGCCCTCAGCCAATCGTCACCCGCAGAGCATCTAGCCCACGGAAGAATTGTCGCGTGTCATTGAAGAACGCGCTGACGTCGTTGCGGTGCGGAACGCTCGTATTGAAGCCTCGGCGCCAGGGCGCCCTGAAGCGCATTTGGAAAACCCCATGTTTGCGGCATTGCGGATCGGACGGCTCTCCGGGTACCTGGACATCCATTTAGCGACCAGACGCCATTCTCACTCTAGTATAGCATCGCGCGATCCTTGACGCTTTTTTTTACATCTTCCTGTTGATATATTTCGAACACAGCTTTGCACGCTGTGGACAGCCATCATGTCGAGACAACAATGTACTTCCCGCCCCTGACGTCACATCTGGGCGGCGAGGTCCACTCGAACGCCAAATCGCTTGGCCCGGGCATTTACCTGAATGCCAGCATTGGCACGGATGTTCATCTTGGGTTTGACGGGGAATCATATACACAGCTGACCCTTTGCAAATTGATCGCAGGTTTCCTTGTTCCTCCCCCAGCTCTCAAGAACGCCCGTCAATCATCATGAGTGGTATCGTCCAACCTCTTCTAGGAGGCATTCAGGCCACAGTCTCAGTCATTCTTACTATCACTTTTGGTGTAGCGTTCTCCCAGTTCGGCCTTCTGGACGCAGATGCTGCGAGCAAAATCTCAAAGACCTCCGTGAAGGTCCTGCTGCCGTGCTTGCTCATCAACAACCTCGGCAGCCAGCTAAAACCAGAAACCGCGTACGAATATGTACCCATTATCAGTACGTGCTCATCATTACTGCAATATGTGTAGAGCATCATACTTATTGCGGAATTAGTCTGGGCTATCATCTACAACGTGCTCTCGATCTTTCTAGGTCGCGTGCTGTGCAAAGTGTTCAATCTTCCACGTTGGACCATCCCTGCAATCGCGTTCAACAACACCACGTCTCTCCCCCTTCTTTTGATCGAATCATTGGAGACGGCCGGCGTCCTTGGCCCTTTGGTGGCCAAAGGCGAGGGAACCTCTGAAGCAGTGACACGTGCTCGCACCTATTTCCTGGTCTCTGCTGTTGTCTCGCACGCTCTCACGTTTGGTCTAGGCGGCAGTGAACTCAAGGGTGATGACGAGGATCTTCCTGAAGACACCAAAAATCAGAACCATAACGAGGATGATGCACCACGACAGCGCTACCGCGACGACCCTGAAGCGCAGGAGGACGACGATGACGATGATGATTCTTCTGACTCCGCTCCCGAGACCTCTCTCTTGCCCCACGCGGTTCACCATCGTGCGCGCAGAATCAACAAGCGCACACACACCGTGGTGCACAATTCTATGGAGAAACTCCCTTCGTTCCTTCAGACCGCCATCACGGCAGTTTACAACTTCGTAACACCTCCCTTGGTTGGCGCCATCATCGGTGGAATTATCGGCTTTGCCCCTCCTCTCCACACGCTGTTCTTCGCCGACGGCAACGAGGGTGGTTACTTCAACGCGTGGCTCACTCAAAGTATCAAGAACATAGGCCAGCTTTTCGTTACACTGCAAGTCGTGGTGGTTGGTGTGAAACTTGCGCAGGCATTGCGCAGAGAGAAGCGAGGTGAAGACTGCGGAACACTGAACTGGGTTCCTGTGACAATTGTTGTTGCTGTCAGGTACTTCATCTGGCCTGTGTAAGTGCCTGTTCTACAGAGACGCGCAGAGCCTAGCTAACAATCAACAGCATCAGCGTAGGTTTGGTATACGCTATCGCTGCGAAGACATCCTGGCTACCAGAGAACCCCATGTTGTGGTTCGTCATGATGTTGATGCCTACGGGACCCAGCGCGATGAAGGTCATGGTGCTTGCGGATGTCGCTGGTGCAGAGCAGAAGGACAAGATGGTCATTGCAAAGTTCTTGGCTGTAAGTACAAAATTAGGCTGGCAAATATCCGAGCTAACGTTGTTCTAGGTCATCTACGCTGTCTCGCCACTAATGACGTTGACCGTTATTGGCGGCCTGAAGGCTTGTAGTGCTGCTATGTAGGTGTCAGCAGCGTCTAGGTCGGATCATCATATTGGCATTTGTGTGAGCGCTTTTGTACAACCCAGCGACGTGTTCGACATAGAATACAACTAAACTTGCCATAAAAAGGCTACGCGCTGAATGCGCTTGAGAGCGAGCACGATTGTACGTCGCGAGCCGAGCTTACGTTGCAATGCCATTCGCATGTGGTTGAACAATCATACGCCTCATCACCTCATAAGAATGTTGCTCTGATCTGATCCGAAGTGCTGCGGCCTCTACACTGGTGAGATGAGGGACGATGAGCTACCACAAAGCGACAATGGCGGTACATTCCGATAGGCAGGTATGCACCAAGATCCCAGCAGAGGGAGTGTGCAACCTAGCTCGAGCCTATTGGAGATTCATTCTGTTGCACACTGGGGATAACAATGAATAGTGCGAGAGTTGTACTTGCGATCGGGTGTGAAACCACACAAGCGAGCTTACGTGCATCAGCCTTCAATACCGTACCTTGAAGCAGAGTCCAGGGATGGGAATTCATTTGCCTTGCTGACAGGCAAGGCTGAGGAAGCTAAGCCAGCCATGCTATATACATGAGCGGGTTTGCTTCATATATGTAACTCATATACTCGACTCTTCATCCTTAAACAGAATACTTTTAGCCGTTCCCTGCCTGTTCCAGAGGAAATGTACATACCTGAAAACGTCTCGGAGACAAGCTCGGAGTCTGCCCTCTCGACTGCTTTCGATTCATATCGCGAGTACACAGACTACGTCAGACAGTTTTTGTCTGCAAACACAACTACTGAGTGGGACGAGGAACTTTGGCTAGGACAGCTACCCATCGATGGCCACACGATACAATGGTACCGTCTTTCGAGCCACTCCAAGAACACATCGGCTGGCTTTGAGAACCACGGCACCGATACAGATATGTATAAAAGTACCGGCTCAAAGGAGACTTTCCAAGAACAATTACGAACACCAAAGACGTCGGTGTCCTGGCAGATATTACTTGTTCAGTTCAACTGCGAGTTCCGCCGAGAATTCCTGCTTTACGACGATTGGTATCGCGATTCAATGTTATGGTGCTTTGACATTATCGGTCTAGCTTTGGATCTACCGCTCTGTGTGTGGAACCACTTGAAGGATCGCCTTCAAGGTATGGGCACACCACGTCTAGACACCTTCAGAGTCTCGTGGAATGATGATTGTTCAGCTCTTGATTTGGGCCTGAACACCATGGTGACTTTGAATACCAAAGGTGGAGTCCTGCCTCCTACAGGTATCGCCCTTGACCCAAAACCTATTGGTGACAGAGACTAATCTCGTCCTCGAAGTTGTTGCTTTTCTACCGCTGAACAATCCTGTTCGCATCGGCGATCCAATGAATCAACGATGTGGAAATCCTGTTCGACTCAACCATCCCAAATGGGCACAGTCGATAATCAGCACACCCAGTAAGGCTATGACAAACGAAAAAGCGACATTCTGGCGGCCCGCGAACAATGAGCCTGCTGAATCTCAATATCTTCGTAAGATGATCGCGAGAACTGGCGCACGTTCCAATTCGCCCTCGGTAACAGATGGCGCCTTTGCGTGTTTTGCGGCGCTTCTCGAGTTCCATCTGGGTCATCCGTCGCAGAATATTCCTAAACTTGATTATTCCCAAGACTCAAGAGACAAGGTGTGTCTGAGACACTATCGCTGGCCAGAAGACCCATGGGGAGACACTCGTGTAACCGACGTGCTGGTACCTACACGATCTCTGCTAATGCGATTAAGAGACGAAGTCGACATGAACATCATGATGTCCGAAAAGATCAAGGAATACACCAAGGACCATTTCAAAACGCTCAACGACTATCAGCAGAAGACCTTGCAGGCTCTTGTCGGGCGCTTGAGGCTGCACCTGGTTCATTTGCAACTCACTGAAGCTAATCTAAAGGACCGTCTTTCCGCATATGCCTCAGAGCAAACCACTGAGATGGCAGAACGAAACATTCAGGAGAGCAAGAGAGTGATTCTCTGCAGGTTTTCACAAGCCTACTTACGAGACCTACGTGACTGACTCGTGATGACAGTGACAACCCTAGCTTTTGTGTTCCTGCCAGTCTCCCTGGCATCATCCATTTTTGGGATGGTGAGTACATTTACCTCATCGATTGCATGTCCTCAGTCCTGACTTACTCGCCCAGAATGTTCAACAGATCAATAATACTGGTCATTCGATTTGTGCCTTTGCAACTACAGCATTTGTGCTGTGCATGGGTACTATGACCATCTGGGGCGTGGTTGCCAAACTAGTCTCACTGCGAGAACGCCTCGCGAAAGAGTGGTCTGGAAAAGTTGAGAGGCCAAATTCGAAGATGGACGATTTGGTACTGAACGGGTTCAGTGATCTTTGGTTTAAAGTAGTATATACAGCGAGCGTCATTTATGTGATGTACGTCGACTTGGTTCATCGTTTACGGCGAGCGGGAGTCCCTTCACCTACAGAGGGGCACGCATAGAAGCTTCTGGGTCAGTTTTCACGCTTATTTGTTCCAACCCTTAGTGGGTTTAGTCAAGAGTCATGGGGTCTTATTGTTACATGGTAGACCTCTCTCATTTTCGCATGTGAAACAGTGCGTTTTAGTTTCTACTCACAGTTGCAGCGTTCGAGACTGTTAAAATACACACTGTTCTCAATTATGATTGTTCTTTCAGAGTAGATACAGACTTGAGATCCAACAACATGCACCCCATCTTCTCAATCATACAGTCTCTTCCTCGACACTCTTTCCGGCTCCGCATCCATAGACGCAAAAGCCACATGCCCAACGTCTCCAGAACGATTCACATCCCCAATCCTAACACGCACGTGCTGTAGCGCTCTAGCAGCCTCCAGACCATCAAGATGCGACGGGACCTGGGTCGTGATATACGGGTTATCGCGTGCAGACGTCGACACAAAACCCAGCGTATCAGGCGCCCTAGTAAAGACACCGAGTACTAGTGACGCAACGGCGAACAGCAGCAACGAGATGACAATCGTGATGACTGCAAACCAGATGTTGCACGCATATTGCTCTCCGTCCTGGCGGATGCCCAGGAGTTCGGTCGTGTTCCAGGTGTAATTGAAGCCGGTGGCTTCGAGCTGCTCGACTCGCTGCGTTGTGAGGTTGCCCATCATGATCGTGCTGCCGAGCGCGGATTGCCAGTAGGTGTTGATGGCAACCTGTAGACGGGCGCTCATTTTCTCGGTGGGCAGCTCGGCGACGTTGACCCAGCGCTGTTCAACCCCGGATCGGTCGGTGGATCTGTCCCATCGGAACGTGCTTAGCTCAGGGTCCATCATCCAGTGCTCTACAAGCTCGCTTGACGAGCTGTCTTCCTGCTGGAGGCCTTGATCGGCTCCAGGCAAGTTGGCGCTGATTGTCATGAAAAGAATGGCTGTGGATTCAAAGCTGTTGAACATGGTTTCTGAGTTGCTTGGGAGCCGTCGCATTGCCTTCACTGCACATGAACGTCCCTGGCATGCAACCTAGGACTGCACTACGAGCGGAAAGGCTCGGCAGTTGGCTTCAAAGACACGTCCAGAGACCACCCTGACCAGTGTTCCGTTCTTGAGCCGTTGGTGGCCTTGGGAGGTGATCCATCTCGTCTGGTATTTGAACTGAGTGCTGTTGTTGGCATCGTTCTCGCTCGAGCTGTTTGAGACTAAACTGAGTGAGGGTGTGTGTTGCATAGTGTAATTGACATATTCAGTGAGCGGTTCTAGAGGCCCGCATTCAGTCGACCAATAATGAGAACTCATGGTGAAGGATGTGTTTCCAGTCTCAGGCAGTCCTGCAATCGGGATGCCAATGATGAAGATGTACTCAGGCGTCGATCCTTCTTTAATTTCGGTCCAGGCATCTGTAGGTGCAGAAGATGAATACGATTTAAGCTGGAAAAGATCCGGTATTTTGATGTTTCCAAACTGGTCCATTGGCAGGTTGAGATACTGTCGGGATGTGAGAAGGGCAGTCATGTACAGGGGTGCAAACAATGGCCATGCCGTCTCAGCTATGTCCTTGTTGTAGAGATGCGTTTGCCTAGCATAACCCTCAATTGGAAAGTACTTGACAGTGCTGTTCACCGGCACAAGCAGTGGCTCAGTGGCCAAAAGTCGCAGTGAGGACTGACCACCTACGGGAGATAGCAGCCAGGCTACGAGCAGGGAAAAGCCGAGAAGGTCAACGCGTCGAAACGCGAACTGGCGTTCAAACGTGGAGAATAGCGATTGACAGCCGACCAAGCGCTCTATAGTCTGTTCTGGGTCAATAGTCACACACAGCCACTCCACGATAGTGACTAACCCCGAGAGTTGCAGTCCGCTCTGCTTTAAAAAGTGCAACACGACGGAGCATCTTGCCTAGAATAGCCGCATAGATGATAGGGAAAATTGTTGGCGATAGTAGAGTAATCGCTTTGATGTCCTCCCCGTACTTCGAGATTTCCTGTTTGTTAAGCGAGAGACAAAGACCTGCGATGACTGGTCTGGTCAATATGCGTAGACCTTCCAAGTTTGAAAAGATGATCTTACCCAGGATCAATAACGGGGTCAAGGCAAGGAGAAAATCCATGGGCATTGAAAACCACCAGTGAAACGGCCTTCTAATCAACATTGCACGCTCGGTAGAAGTGCGAGCTTCGCGATCCATTGTCTTAGGTATCGAGCCATCCGCGGTGAGAGTCTGCGATTGTCGGTCGTCCTGCTCCGTCTGTGAGACACTCTCGTATGAGAAGTTGTTAGTGGAGACATAAGCCTGCTTAGGATTCGCAGGAGGTACAGTCGGGTTCATAATTATGTCGGACTCAGAGGGCCCGTTGTCTGCATGTGGTTCTGGCATGATGTAGATAAGATGTTCGAGGCTCAGCCTTGTGTGGTGGCGGAGGTGTGTTGGAGTAACCACCCGATTTTCATCGCCGTATGATTATCTACATGCATATGGAGGCAGGCCTTACAGGCAAGCCAAGGATGCGTTTTGGCCCCCACAATGTGGCAAGGTTTATACTGTAACAAAAGAGGGACAGTTATGATTGGAAATCGACAGGATTGAAAGCAAATGTGCCGTCTTCGTAGCGTGATCACACAACTAGGGCATCGCTGCATGTGTGTGGAGCTTCAAGTTCCGTATGTGGCCAGCAAGCCATTGCAGGGGGAGGGTGCAGGGGTGTCTCGGTAAGTAGCAGCTACAAGCGGGACAGAAAACCCATCCAGCAAGAGCATCGCCAGTGAGCAAAAGTTTTCCCACTTTTGTCGTATTTGAAGGTCTGTTGATGCCATACTGTGTAGTTCTCCTTCAGCAGTGAAGATGGAAGTCGAGTTTCGTGATTTGATGGGCACCTTGAGACGCTGGTGTCGAGAACCTGGGCCAGCCTCCACGGCATATTGGCACAGCCCATCTATAATGAGGCGCACGAGAGGCAACAACGAAGTAACATGAATCGCATCGAGATCAGGATGCAATTGCTTGACCAGTGAAACCCATGCATATGTTGGCGACTGCTAAACACCTACATTGCATCTGACTATCACAGCGGCCTTACGAAGTACTCACTGTCCAAAACTTCGCGGATATCACCCTGATCCTGGATTTGAGCAAGCTCATCAAGGTATTGCTCCGAGGGCGCAGCGTCAAGAGAAAGATCAACCAGGCCATCGGCTGGCGGAGAGAATTGTCGCAGCCGCACACCGCTCTCAGCGAAGATGCGAGCCGTCTGGTCGTCCACGAGGTAGCCTTGGTTGTAGACGACTTCGCTGATGCCAACTTGGGTGATCTTCACACTGCACGTTAAGCAAGGGCAGGTGTTGCAGTATAGGATGGCCGTCTCGCCGATACGATCTCGTCCAGCCTCAAGCAGCGCGTTCTCCTCGGCGTGCAGACATAGGCATGTTGAAAGACCTACGCCGCCTCTTGCTGCGTTGTTACATCGCGGGCCTGTTCATGTCAGTATTTTGCTTTTCTGGGGAACATCATGCTTACAGCCACCCTCATTGCAGTTCGTCATGCCTCTTGGCGTGCCATTGTACCCAGTGCTGATCACTCTCTTCTCTCTTACGACAACGCAGCCGACTCTTCGTTTCATGCAGTTGCTGCGTAGTGCCGCCAGGTCTGCAAGCTGCATAAAGTACTGGTCCCAGCTAGGTCTCAGCCGTGCCTCATCTGTGAGATTGAGCGAGCGAATAGCATTGCGAAGCGAGGCGATGGAAGTAGTCGAGTTTAGCAACTTGAGCTGCGCCCGTTGGAAGAGAGCACTGAGGCCGGTACGCTGGGCGAACAGATGGGCGTCATTGCGCAAGACAAAGTCTTCCAGTGTAGGCGGTGTGAGGTTGTTGGCGGCGCAGCGATTCTTGAAGCGCTGCCATCGCACGCTGACTGGGGCGTCGACGCTGATTAGGAGGAAGAAAGGGCGTCGAAGCAGGGCGTCGACCACCCTGTCGTCCCAGATGTCCGTTGTCACCCATCGCTCTCTCCACCGCAGAGTGACAAAGTCAAGCAACGCATCGACATCGGTGAAGGTGTGCTCGACGTAGGTAGAGGCGGAGGGCGATGGCACGTGGGCGTCAGACGCTGACTTCTCGACGGCGGGCGTGGCAGCGGTGCGGGCTAGACGAAGACGCTTGAAGCCATGCTCCTCAATGAGGTATGAAGCTATCGATGACTTCCCGGCGCAGATTCCTGGGTCGAGTCAGCCGGAGTCCGTTCGGTCCAACAGAGTGCCTGCCTCCACACAGTCCAATAAGCATAATGGCAAAGAAACACGTTATATCACTATGGTAATTCGTTAACACGCCTCAAGACGGTGAATTGAGCGTGCCTCTAGCGCGTTGCGGCTGCAGGCACGCGTTCAGCCGCTGCCCCACTCGTAGCTCAGCCGCGGGGTGTGCTCAGCTGCTCACAGCTCTAAGACAACCACCAGGCCGACGGTGCCTGACAGCCCCCACGTGCACTGCTTTGTAACCCGCATCAGTACCAGTGACTCCCATACTTACCGCCTGAGCTTCTTTGTAAATACATAGTCATATCACACTCCATAGCATCAACAAGAACCCTGCCCAAGCTACCGCCACCATGGCCGCCCTCAAGTTCGCGCCCTGGCAAAGCGATGTCGACGTGCAGTTCTATGCTGCACTTGCGCATATCAAGATCAACCATGACAAGCTCGACGACTCGGCGCGTAAGGTGCTCGGGCTATACGAGACTCGTCCCGCCGACCACTCCTCGCGCTCGATGCGTGTGCAGATACACCCAAATGCACTGACCTCAGACGAGTGCGTTCCCTCCGGCCCAGTATGCGCCAGTGCTGATTAAGGGACCTCTAGCACTCCTCCGAACTACTGCCGCGCTGAGGGTATTATCAAGAACTGCAACACGATCGAGGACTACAAGAACCTCGACCGCGCAGCCATCCTTGACCGATGCGCCCAAACAGTATGCTCGACAAGATTACCACATGTAGCATCTCACTGACGCCTGCAGATATGGGATGCTATCCACGACGGCTCGATCTACGAATGCCCCTCGCTCCTCTCCTCCTTCACAGCCATCATCTTTGCGAACCTCAAGAAATACAAGTTCACCTACCACTTCGGCTTTCCAGCGATCCAGTCCGACCCACCGTGGAAGCAGATCGGTGAGACAAGCAGGCTGAGCCCAGGCGAGACGACACATCTGGTCGACGCAGTGCAGACATTCAAGTACAGCAACGATGTACGACAAAGAGGCTTTTTCATCGCAAAGCGCGTCCGTGGTGGCGATGAGGTCGACGACACGCCAAAGACGCCAGTCACGCCAGTGGAAGAGATAGGCTACAAGTGGGTGGTTGGGAAGCTGGGGGCATACGAGAAAGGCTTCTTCGACGACGTGGACAGCCAGGACCGCTTCATCTGCTTCTCAGATCCGTCGACATACGATGAAAACCCCGGGTGGCCGCTGAGAAACCTGCTTATCCTCATGCGACACCGCTGGCGGCTGAACGACGCGCAGATAATATGCTACCGCGATACACACCTACGGAGAGACCAGTCAAACTCGCTCATTCTGCAGCTACGATCAGATCCCGTCGCCGAGGTGTCCTCGACAGCCACCGAAGGGCCGAGTGCTCGCCCCAACCCACCCAAGCTCCCCAAGGTCACAGGCTGGGAGCGCACGGAAGCTGGCAAGCTGACCTCACGAAATGTCGACCTATCTGAGTACATGGACGAGCGCAAGCTGGCAGACCAGGCCGTCGACCTCAACCTGAAGCTCATCAAATGGCGCATTGCGCCCAACATTGACCTGGACGTGATCAAGAACTGCAAGTGTCTGCTGCTCGGCGCTGGTACACTGGGTTCGTATGTCTCGCGCATACTAATGGGTTGGGGTGTTCGGAAGATCACATTCGTCGACAACGCCAACGTCAGCTTCTCAAACCCTGTCCGCCAACCGCTATTCAACTTCAACGACTGCCTGCAAGGTGGTGCGAAGAAAGCAGAGCGTGCGGCTGCAGCACTCACAGAGATCTACCCTGGAGTTGACGCGCAAGGCCATGTGATGGAAGTCCCTATGCTCGGGCACCCCATCACAGACACCGAGAAGACGAAACAGAACTTCGACAAACTCGAGAAGCTCATCGCCGAACACGACGCCATCTTCCTCCTCATGGACACGCGCGAAAGCAGATGGTTGCCGACCGTCATGGGCAAGTCCGCCGGCAAAATCGTGCTCAACGCTGCCCTCGGCTTCGACACCTTCGTCGTAATGCGGCACGGCCTACGACCAACAGAGAACAGCGACACCAACGGCGAAGTAGAACTAGGCTGCTACTTCTGCAATGACGTTGTCGCCCCCGCCGACGTAAGACCCCAAATATCACCCCTCCCCCACTACGCACCAGCTAACACCCCCAGTCCCTCAGCAACGCAACCCTCGACCAACAATGCACCGTGACCCGCCCAGGCATCGCCCCCCTGGCCTCCTCCCTCCTCGTCGAACTCCTCATCTCGACCCTCCAACACCCGCTCCTGGCGCGCGCCCCTCCTCCCCTACCCCCCAACACCCCCTCCCCTCCCCTCCCAGCCGCGAAACCCTCCCACCCCTCCCTACCCCCCACATTCACAAACCCCCTCGGCTCCACCCCGCACACCCTCCGCGGCTACCTCTCGTCCTTCAGCCACATCCCGCTCGTCGGGCAGCCGTACGACGCGTGTTCGGCGTGCAGCCGCGTGGTGCTGGCGGCGTACGAAGAGGATCCGTGGGCGTTTGTGCAGAGGGCGCTGGGCGAGAGGGGGTGGGTCGAGGAGATGAGTGGGTTGGCGGAGGTGCAGCGGCGGGCGGAGGAGGCGGAGGCGGGGATGGAGTGGGATAGTGAGGAGGAGGGGGGTTTGGACGGGGACGGTGAGCTTTTGTAGGGGGTTGGGGAGAGTGTGGGGGAGGTTTGAGGGCGGAGTGGAGGTTGGGCGTTAAGGGAGTTGGGTGTGATGCTGGGTTTCTTGGAAGCGGGTTAGACGGAGGGATGCTTCACTGATTGCTCGATTGACTGGTTGAACACATGAATTGATTAACATTCCACTACATCGCATGTCATGTCGTTCCGTCGCGTGCTCTGTCAGCGCTGTGGTGTCAATACCATATTGTGCAGCCTGCATAAACCAAGAGGTCCAGATCACGCAATCAAGCCGCAGGTGTGTCATGATGCTCATTACATTAGCTGCACGGCAGCCGTCTATGTGGCTATAATACACAGCCCCCCTTTTCCTTTCTACTCTAGCATTGACGCCTGGTTGGTATACAGCACCTCGACCACGCTGTTCAGCTTCTCGATCGTGCTCAGCGCAGCATCGTACCCCTTGTCGCGCTCAGACTCGTCGTACACGATCAAGCAGCCGGCGCCCTGGTCCAGCACGCCGATGATGACCTTGTCGAGGATCATCTGCGACAGCTTGCGCTCAACCTGGACAGTGTCGAGGCCGACAGTCTTGGCGACGTGGTCGATTTCGACGCGGCTGTAGGGCTCGATGACCTTGATCAGGTTCTGCTCGAGCATGTTGTCGTACAGGCGGCGCAGGTGGCTGGTGATGAAGCGGTCGCTGCCGAGCTCCTGGCGGTACTGGGTGAGGGCGCTTTCATACTCTTCCAGGCTGCGGTTTGTGTGGGCGCGCGCAACAGCTTTCATGGCGTCGAGGCGCTTGCCGGCGTATTTGACGGCGTGCTTGGAGGTCATGAGCGTAGTGACGTCGTCGCCGAGGTTGAGCATGATCTTGCAGAGCAGCATGTACTGCAGCGCTGATGTGGCCTTTTGCTCTTCGTCCTGCGAGTGATAGCCTTCCATGGCCTCGATGAAGTACGAGAAGGATGTGTTGAAATCGCCATCCTCGGCGTGCAGCATGCCGCTCTGCATGTCCAGACCAGCCTGCAGCAGCGGCGGGGTGTATACGGAAGCGGCCGAGGTTCGTGCGGATGTGAGGGCGGCGCGGCCCTTGGGGATGTTGCCGAGAGCGTGGTAGACTCGCGACTCGAGCAGCTGTACCTCAACCAGCACCAGCTTGTCGTCCAGGCGCTTCAGCTCCTTCAGCAGGCTGTTGATGAGCGACAGGGCCTCGTAGTACGACTGCTTGGCCATGTACAGCGAGACGAGGCGGGTCTCGAGGTTCTGGCGCAGGAAGCCTCTCCGCTCCGACACGGCCCACTCTATGCATGACTTTGTGACGGAGATCTGAGTGTCGGTGGTGTTGGGGATGGCGGTAAAAAGGTCGAGCAGCTGGCGGACTGCGTGCGGTTAGCTTGTGTGCAGGGTGACAGTCTGCGGCGCCGTACCCAGCTTCGATGTCTTTGCCTTGGCAAACGACGACAGCACCGAGCGCGCCTGCCTGACCAGCTCGGCCAGGGCATCTGCCTTCTTTTGGTCGCGGTACAGCTCGCCCAGCGATACCAGTGCCGTCTCGTAGTGCTTGATGGCGGCCTCGTTGCTGCCCGGGTCCTGCGAGAGCACGTCCTGGTAGATCTGCTCGGCCTTTGCGGGCTCGGTCTTCGCCAGCGTCTGCGCCTCCTCTATCCGCTTGCCCGTGTCTGCGACAGCCATGCTGGGTGTGTGTGGGTGAGTGTGCGAGGGGGGTGTAGGTGGGCTGCGGCGCGTACGGTGGGTGATGTGGCGGGTTGACAGTGGACAGCTCGACGGAAGCTCGCGTAGGTATCGACATCACTGAGGTGCTGCGTCGGACACTCAGCGCCAAGCCCGGCTGCCGCCACACCGCGCCACACCCCGCCGCCACATGCCACAGCCAATCACGGGCCACTTCACTGCACGGCCAGCCCCATAGCAACGCGCTGTCGAGCCTCACGCCGACTCCACGCCGCCTGCGCAGACAGCGTCAGAGCACGAACGCATCACAGACGGCTGGGCGCCGTGAACCACTGGCACACGCCACGCGTTTCGACGGAGCGCAGGCGCCGGCGACGCTGCTGCTACGGTGACGAGTCGGTGTGTGCTGTGCTGGCAGGCGCGCCGTGGAGCGCCGCGCTGAGCGAATGACGTGCGGCGTTGGCCCGTGTTTGTAAACACAACCGTGCGTAGGTCCAGCGCTACATAGCGACGCTGCGACCGGCCGCGACGCCCAACACATCAACTCTCCCACACTCACGACCTCACGACCCCATATTATACCCCCGCGCTGGACCGCCGAACCACTTCTCGTTCGCCGCACTTGCCCTGCACCTGCACCACTCGAAGCTGGAACGGCCCTGCCCGCCAGCAATCCGCCATACATTCCAATACTACCGATCGCATCTAGTCGCGTCCCGACCTAATGTCCACAATGGAGCGCGAACACTCCCAGGATCGCGAGCTTGTGCGCCACCATGGCTCGTCGTTCTCGTCGACGGACCGGTCGATTCCCATGTAAGTCGCGCCTAAACACTAACACGCACGCGACTGACTTCGCCCAGGTGGGACAGCGCCGACCCTGATCGCGCACCGCCACCACTGCCGCTGAACCCCGGCTCGCCTACACTCACCACTCGTCCCAACACATCAGCCGCGATAATGCGCGCCGCTAAGGCACTGGAAGAGAAGGCCCGGGAGAGTCTGCCCACCAGCTCATATACCACCAACCCAATGCCGTCGCGGTCGCCCGAGCGCTCGCTGGTCAAGGGTAACCAGCATAAGCGCATGCAGTCGTTACAACCCAGCAGCGTCCGCGATCTGCGCAGCTACCTGGACACACACAAATCGTCTGACCGCTCGCCTGGGCGCCCCAACGAACGCCCCCAGACACGAGATGGCTCCCGTTCGCGCGAGCGTGAGAGAGACTACTTTGGCAAGGAGCTGGACCCCAAGTTTGGACAACTTGGCAGCCAGTCGCCGTCATCCACCTACGACTTCACACACACACCCACTATCCGGCCCAGCCATAGGACTATTCTGGGAGAGAACACACCACCACCTTCTGCCACCATGAAGGCGCTGCAGACCATGACCATTCCTCCACACATTCTTGACCCACCGCTCCAGAATATCACCAACTCGTCCATCCTTTCCCCTGCGCCCCCGCAGCCTCTCGACTCTATTTCTACACAGCTGCTCAGCATCACAAATATCGTGTCGAGCCTGCAGAAAGACATGTCCCAGCTGAGTCGCAGGAGCAAAGACAACGCCACAGACCTCATCAGCCTGAAGGAAGCGACCAACAGCCGAGATGAGGACATCCGCCAGTCGCTGAAGGACCTGCTGAGCACTATGGGTGAGAAGCAGAAGGCCGCAGCGGCAGCGGCAGCAGCTGTAGAGGAGGTCCGATCTACGCCGCTGAATCTTCATGACCCTCACATGACACCCACAAAGCAGTTCACATTCCCTCGCATGTCGTCCCCGAACGGGTGGGCAGACGAGAGAATGGGAAGCCCCAACCCGTACTCGGTCGAGGGCGCTGCCAGTGTTGCGATGCTGGAAAAGATTATCCGTGAGATGGTCACCAAAGACGGCCAGGAACGCTTGATTGCAACCTTGCAGGTCATCGTCGACAAGGCCAACGGCGATACTGCGCAAAAGGTCTCCGAGCTTGTCGAGTTCGTCAAGTCAGGATCGGCCACCAACAACCTCGCGCCGCCTGGCTCCGCTTCCTTCCAGCCATCTCCTGGATCCGGTGCGCTCACACGCACGCTCTCAGAAGGGCTCACCCAGGCCCATGCCAGTCCGAAAGCAGCCGACTTTGTCAGCGATGAAATGTTAAACTATCTTCGCAAGATCAAGGACAGTGCCGCTGATAACGGCTGCGTGACGATGGGCACCAAGACCCTTGTTCAAGAATTGCGAGGTGAGGTTTTGGGCATGGGCCGGGAGCTAGCTCGCAAGATTGAAGAGGCAGAACAGTCCAAACCACATGCCGACCCCGAGCACACCACACAGGAAATCAGCGCCATCATCCAAGAGGGCCTTGATGATGTCAAGGAGTACATGGACAAGGTGATGCGCGAACGCAGGCGACAGTCCATGTCTTCAGTGGTCACTCGTGGCACCGTCGATAACAACGAAGTCTACGATGTCGTCAAGCACGCGCTTGCGGAGCGTGGCCTCGACCAATACAGTGCACCGGGCGCACCTCTCGACAAGGAAGCTATTGTGACTGCAATTCGCGAAGCCTACGACAGCGTCGAGATAAAACCTAATGTCGAGATTCAGCAGTTCGGTCTAGAGCGAGACGAGATTCTACAGTGCCTTCGGGAAGGCCTGCAGGATTATAACGGCTCCGGTGCGGTTTCGCGAGAAGAGATTGGAGACATTGTCCAGGAGTCGCTACAGCAGCTGCGTCTGCCTCCTCCCGTCAACGAAGCAACTGAGATGCGAGAAGAGATTCTCATGGCTGTCCGTGACTCCCTTGAAGAACTCAAACCATCTCTTGTTCCCCAGCAGCAGTCTCATGCTGACGGTCTTACTCGCGATGTCATCTTGGATGCCATCAGAGAAGCCCTCTCCACACACGAATTCGGACCACAAGAGGTTGAGATCCCTCAAGAAGCCCTATTCGACGCTGTCAAGGCTGGTCTGGAGGCGTCGCAGCCTGATGTCGATGCCAACAACGAGGTTGTTGTGCAACGAATCCAGTCTCTCGTTGATAGCATGCATTCCGAGTTCAAGGCGTATTCTGCAGCCAATGGACGCGACACTGAGCAAGTCTTGGATGCCATGCACGATGGTCTAGAGAAGCTCGCGGCTGACCTACAGGGTCACTTCGACAAAGCCTCCAATGCAGCTCAGCACGAAGCTATTGTTGATGGCTTCCGCGAAGAGCTCGACAAGCTCCGCGAGGACGTGCAAGGCTATGTTGCCGAGGGGCCTCGCGGAGATCAAGAGTGGAGTCGTGGCGACATGGTTACCTTCATCAAAACCGAACTGGAAAACCTTCATGAGGGCTTAATCGGAAAGCTTTCGAGTTCTTCTGGCGAAAAGGATGAGATTCTCGCTGCTTTGAAGTCAGGCTTTGACGAGATGAACTCACAAGTCGCTTTACGCAACGAAGATGCTGATTCGAACGAAGACATCAACGAGGCCTTGAAGCATGAATTCGATCAACTCAAAGAGGTCATTCTTGGTGACACTACAGGTCACAAGAACGACATTCTGGAGAAGCTGGAAGCCGGATTTGACGGACTGCAAGTCGGTCTACGCGAAGCAACTGCTACTTCGACGCCAAGTGATGATCTCGTGGCCACGATGAAGGCGGAATTCGAAGATCTGCGTGAGAGCATCGCCAGTTCGCTCGTGAAGTCTGGTGGCACCGACAAGGACGATGTCATTGACGCTGTTCGTGAACTCCTTGAAGACCTGCATGCAGCTCAAGACACAGCATCCAAGGAGAATATGACCGTCCTCCAAGCTGACCTTGGAGCATTGAAAGAGTCACTTGGTGGCGCTCTTGTCCCTGCTGGCGATAAGGACAAAGCTGAGGTCTTGGATGCTATCAAGGCCAGTCTCGAGGAGATCAAGACGTCTACTGCATCAACAAGTGTCAACGAGGAGCTTCTTGAAGCGTTCCGTGGAGAACTCGAGCAGATCCGCCAGTCCGACGGCCTTACTCGACAACATGGTCGTGCCGATACCGAGGAAGTGCTAGATGCCGTTCGCCTTGGGCTTGATGATCTGCGGTCGCACCTTGAGAAGAAACTCGATGGCCCTCGAGATAGCTCCTCATCTAGCGAGATCGTTGACGCTTTGAACGATGGCCTTGAGGGTTTACGAACGGACGTCACCAAACTCGTAGGCAAGCCTGTTGACATGACAGTATCCTACGAGATCTTGGACACTCTCAAAGATGGCATTGCTGCTTTGCGTGAGGATGTTGCGCTTCTCAAGGGTAAGGTTCCAGCCTCAGCGCCAGCACCAGAGGTTGAAATCGAAGTCGAAGTCGATGCCGATGCCATCCCTACCGGAAGCGAGATGGTGCTCGCCGAAGCCCCCAAGGATGGACCGATTGGAGATAGAGGAATCGCTGACGAACCGGCTCCTGCGGCGAAGACTGAGGAGGTTAAAGAGACAACGAGCCGCGACATTGTCGCCGATTCTACTCAGCGTGGTGACGTTGACAAGATGGAATTCATCCTTTCGCAGATACACGCCAAGGTTGAGGCTATGGATGCAACTAGGCAGACCGCCACTCCGAGCGCTGAAGCGGCTGTACCTTCTGGTGCAGCTGTCAAGGAAGATCTGGCCTCCATCGAAGGTATGCTGAAGGAAGTACAGGCCGCGGTTTTGGTCCTGCAAGAACGCGCCACCCCACCACCGGTCCTGGAAGGCTTCGCCAAGAAGGAAGACACAGACGCCATCGAGACGCTTGTCGCCAACACCAAAGCCAAGATCGAGGAGCTTGTATTCCCTGACCCCACAACTACCGCCACGAAGGAGCACCTGGAGGACGTCGAGTTGGTCGTGCGAACCACTTCCGACGCTCTGGACGCTCTCGCCAAGAAATTCGAGGAGGAAGGAGCGACCAAGGTTGATGTCACTGTTGTGCAGGTCATTGCCGACGATATTAAGACGGCTCTTGATGAGATGAAGGCGGCGAATCCTGTCGATGAAGCTAACCCGAAAGCCACCAAGGCCGACGTCGATGCAGTCACTCTACTGGTTGACGATCTCAAGGTCAAGCTTGACGACATGAAAATTCCTGACCCTGAGGAGATTCCTTCCAAGGCAGAGATGGAGCAGCTGACTGGTCTCATTCAAGAGTTCCGCGACAGTCACGAGAAGATGAAGGATACTTACGAAGAAGACATCCTGAAGACCGCGAAAAACTTCGATGACCGCCGTGAAGAAGCTGAAACCCTTATTGAGAACATCGCTGAGGTTAAGACTGCTCTGGACACCATGAAGGAGGAGGTCTTGACCAACTTCGCCGAGGGTGGCTCCATCGAAGGCTTGCAGACATCTCTCACCACACTCCAGGAGACCATCGGCGCTAACAATGTTACTGCTGATGTCAAAGAGCTGATGGAGACGTTGATTCGCGAGTTTGAGCGTGCTCATGGCTCTATCGAGGGCCTACAGAACGGCCATGCCGAAAAATCGGCACTTCACCTCGAGAAGCATGATGAAGTCAAGAGCGCCATCGTTGCTGACTTCACCGAGAAGCTGGAGGACAAATTCAACACTTTGATGTCCAAGTACGATGACGCCCAGCTCCTGGCAGATGAGCAAGCTCGAGTCATGAAGGAGAAGTCCGAAGAACAGGAAAAGATCCTCGAGACCACCAAGACCATGGCTGACGAGTTGCGTTTGACCATTGACACGCTTGGTGCCACCATCGCTGGTATGAACGAGCGCTTTGAAGAGCAGCAGACAAAGATGGGTGCCGATACAGCCACGACGTTCGAGAAGCTGGATGGTTCTTTGGAGAAGATTGATGGTGTTGTGGCCAAGTTCGAAGAACAGAAGCTCGAAGACAAGTCAGAGCACTCTCACACCCGCGACGAGGTCAAGAACATCGAGAAGATCTTCCTCGGTCTCCAGGACGAGATCACTGAGCACAATCCTAAATTCATGATGGCACTTCGTGAGATCGAGGCCCTCGTTAAGGCCCACTACGATCACGCGCAAAAGTCCAAGGAGGAAGCCGAAGAGCACACTCGAGCAATCAATGAAGAAGCCAAGGCACGATCCGTGGAGATCCAGAACCACTTTGCGAACCTGCCGAAGCTTCTACCTGCTCCTCCACCAGAGCCCGAGAAGTATGACGACACTCATTTGCAGAATAAGCTTGACAAACTCCTCGGCCATGCCGACGATGCAACTAAGGCGACCGATCAGATGGAGCGTCTCGACGAGATTCGTGTCCAGGTTAGGGCAACAGCTGTCGAGATCAGCGACTTTGTCGCAAAACAAACTCAACTCACCCTTGAAGGTAACGAGTCGAAGGAGCGCGAGGCAGAGGAGCTTGCTCTCCTTGTCGAGCGTCGCTCTGCCCAAAAGGAACAGCTCGAGGCTGACCTCGACAACCTCAAAATGGAGAAGGCCACATACAAGGAGCAACTTCATGCTGAACTGGATGATCTGAAGGCCGAAAAGGAATATGTGCTGCAGGAGTTGAAGGAGGAGAAGGCACGTGTTTTGGTTGAGCTCAAGGAAGAGAAGGATCGTGCAATGCAGGAGCTCAAGGAGGAGAGAGATTCTATGCTTGCCATCGTCGCTTCTCTTCAGGCAGAGCGGGAGAATCTTGGTAGCCAGAAGGTCCGTCTTACTGGTGAGGTATCTTCTCTCCGCACAGCACTCGACATCCGTCGCGAAGAGCTGCACCTGATGGATGCAAAGGCCGACGCGCTTGAACGTCGCATCTTGAACGGCATCATGGACCACTCTCGAGCCCTGTTGATCGCCAAGGGCTCCAAGAGCCCTAGCAAGTCAAAGAAGCGCACGAGTGTCGACGGCGGTGCCGAGCGCTCGCTGCCATCAAACGCTGCCGCGAATGCGATCAACATGGCTCTCAAGCCTCGTCCCGCAATCCGCCGCAGTGCACCCAACAGTTCAGCAGACCGGCGCATTTTCTCTTTGAGTCAAATCAGCGGCAATGCCCCTCCAGCAGCGAAAGCCCAGCTAGCGCCTCCCGCCGCGGCTGTCAGCAGTGCCGGTCTCAAGCGCGCCCACTCTGTTAAGACCAGCCCTCGCAAGTCGTCTTGGAACAGCCGCCCCAGTGCTGTGGTGGCCAACAAGGAGAACGCACCCCTCATCGAGGAGACCGAGCCAGACACAGAGAATCAGGCACCTGCATCAAAAGCTCCTTCAACTATCGCTGAAGATGAGCAAAGCGAGGCGGGTACTGAGCGTCGCTACAGCGTCGCTAGCGAGTCCAACTACACTGAAAGTCACGCAGATGGTGAGACCATAGGCGATGATGGTCGCTCAAACTACGGCAGCGAGTATACCTACGGTTCTGGCTCGTATATGACCGGAAGTGATGTTGAACGTCGCACATCGTATGGCTCGACCGTTGCTCGCTCTACCGTCCCTGCTGAGAGCGCGGTCGACGGCGCCTCGGAGTCTGAGTCTGAAGAGGAAAGCGATGACGAGCGGGCAACTACGGTTGCTGGGTCAGAGGTCTCAGGCATCACAGGATCCGAGGTTTCTGACATCACGGTCTCCCAAGTCTCGGAATTGCCTATGCCCACCGAATCGGCTATCGATCGTGCCGTAGCTGCGGTGGCCGCGGAGATGAAGGAGAACCCCAAAAACTTTACCCCAACCGACTCCGGCCTCGGTACCGAGCCAACTACAGCTATGCTTGAGCACGGTACCCTGGTCGACGCGGACTATTTTCGACGCGCTGCCGAGGAGGACAGCATGCTCGGAAGCACTGTTGGCTGAGCAAGCTCGCCGACGACCTAGACCACTGTTTACGCGAGACTGGTGTCTGCTCTCGCCACCGAAGTTGCTCTCTACAAGATCTTGACTCGCTCGCTAGAGCTTGAGGACATGATCTCGCTGCATGGTTTGAGATTTTGAATCAAGTTTTGGGGGGCTTGAGTTGGTATTGTTGATTGAGAATACTGAGGTGTATGGGTGGGCATCACTGTGACACGTAAGCGATGGGAATGGGTCAGGCGCTGATTGTGATGGTTTGGACTGGGTGGAATGGAATGGATTGGAACGAAACTGGATTTCTGACTTTCGCTTGTTCTTGTACGTATGTAGTCTCACGGCGTTCCTTTTCTGGGTCTTTGGGTAATGGGATGCGATGCGATAAGGAAATACTTTTGGTGTAGACAGGCGAGGGGTGTTAGCTTGCCAGGCAGGCGTAATATACCCACCATTGTTCAATCTCGATCCTTATCTTGGTGATCATAATGTAGGGTCACCATCTCATTCAACAAGCGTGATATGCAGTTATGTTAAAACGTGAAATTTCCATTGATTTTGTCCGTTCATCAAAGGACAACTGAAATGCTATCGCAGGCACGCCGGCCTCAACTTTTAAAACACCTCGAGACGCCATATATGCTACCCTTCTTCCGCACTCTCTCTTCATTCATGTTCTTATCCCCCATCTCTATTTGTGTGTCCCTATCAGCGTTCTACAAGACAGCATTACTACTAGCGCCCGCCTACGCGGACGCCGCGACAGCGCCGTTGGTCTGCGCATTCGCCTTAGCGACGCGCTTGCTCATGAAGTCGAAGAAGGCAAACTGCGAGGCGCTGGAGCCGAACTCGTACACGAAGCGCGAGGCGAGGTACGAGCCGAAGATGGCGCGGAGGTAGTTGTCCGGAACCTGTCTCAATGTTAGCAAGATACTCGTTGTGTTGGAGAACAGTTTACATACCCGCTCGATGATCTTCTCAAGTCCGATCTGCTGCAGCAGCAGCGGCGGCAGGGCCTCGGACAGCACAGACTTGCGGAACGCGACGTTGTGCCACAGGTCCGTGTTCTGCAGCTCCTCGTCGAGCTTGGTGATGGCGTTGGACAGCGTATCGGACAGGATGCTGCGCGGGGTGCCGGTGGCCTGGTGCTCGCGCCAGATGGCCTCGAACTCAAGGCGTGCGTTGTTCTGGATGATTTTCTGCACGCCCGCGACGTAAGCGTTGTAGAAGTCTGGCGCCACGCCCGCGGCGTCGACGCACATGTGCTTCACGAAGGACTCGTCGTCGAAGGAAAGCGAGGCCAGGACTTCGAGAGAGGACGAGGTTACACCGCCCTTGTTGGCGGAAGCGTCCTTGTACAGGATGCAGCCTGCTTTCTCGAGGCGCAGCTTGGCGTCCTGAGTGATGAAGAGGTTGGCACCTTCGACAAGGTAGGGGATGACGCATTTGCCGTCGACAATGAGCTTGTTGGCCGACGACAGGTCGATGGACTCTGGGCGACCACCGCAGGGCACGAAGGTATCGTACTGGATGTCAGTGCGCAGATGGAAGGTGTTGCGGAAGGTTGTGCCGTTGTACACCAGATCGCCGGACGGGAGGCGGACGTTTACGTCGTCGACGAGAACGCGGTAACCCTCCTTGGATAGCTTGGATGCGTCGAAGTTGTTGATCATCTGGCGGTTCTTTGCCAGACGGAGCAGCTCGGCATGGTCGAGACCGTTGGGATCAACAAGCACACCCGAGCCGTCGACGATGGAGACATATTTCTCGTTCGAGAGAAGAATCTCGTTGGAACCGAGATCGCCGTCGGGGCCACCAGTCTGCAGCTTGCGGACCTTGCTCGGGTCGAGGTTGAGCTTGCGGTAAACACCCAGGACGAACTCGCGGACAGACAGTGTGGTCATTCCGTAGCGGTCGTGGGGAATGCCACCAAGCTTGGGGCTCTTGCCAGTGAAGAATGACTTCCACCATGGCGCACCACGAACCCTGGCGTGCTCGGTTGCCCAGTTGACAAGATCGGCAGTGTTCTCATCAGGACCCATGAATAGAATCTCCTCCTTGCCGTGCAGATCGACAATGGGGTCCTTGATTCCGGGACTGCTAGGAGGCAGCAAGAGATCGAGAATACTGTCAATGTACTTCTCGAACGCGCCGGCAGCCTTGTCCTGGTGCTTGAAGTCGAGCAGTACGACACCCTTGGATCCTCCTTCAGGAATATCCTTGTTCTTGCGCTGCTGGGTGTTCGCGAGGTTGTAGTTCTCATCGAACAGTGATCGTGCGTTGATTGAGTAAGCCTCTTGGCTCCTCGACTTGACGATACGGATACCTCCACGAGCAATGTCACGGAAACGGAGATGGAAACCACGGAACTCAGATCCAATGACAAGGAACATGCCGAACAGAGGCTGAGGGTACTCCGAGGGAGGGAGGAAGCTGGGGTTCAAGCGGAAGCTGACCGCGACCTTTGTTGGGGTGTAGAAGTTGGTCTTCAGCACGGAGTTGTTGAAGATGCGGAACGAGTTCATGACCATCTCGTGGTGGTCATTGACGACAGCCTTGTTGATAGTATCGGTCAGCTCCTCGTTGGTCTGCACCCTGTCAATCTGGAGACGCAGATAACTCAGTGTCGGCAAGAAGTCGTCCTCCTGGCCGCGTGTCTGGACGTAGTGGGTGTTGGCAAACGACAGGTACAGAGAGTGCACCAGATCAGGGTATGAGTTGATGATCTCGAGGATGTAGTCCGCGGTGAATGTCTCAGCACGCAACCTGCGCTTCAGCTTGGAGAGCAGTTCGGCATGCGCACTGTTCTCGGGGTCCAAGATGGCCGATAGTGCGGTGTACTCGTTTCCAAGACGGTTGAGGAAGTGCGTGATGAAGACCCAGACGCAGTGTGCGTAGATAGTCTCTTGAAGACTGAGCCTGCCTGTGGCGAACAGAGTCTGAAACTTGTTCTGGGGAATGCAGTAAAGCAGAGAGATCTCCTTGATGATCTGGTGAATCGAGGCTTCGATCGGGGGGTGCTTGGCACCAGCAACTCCAGAAATAGCGTTCAGGTACAAGGACATGACTGTATAGCCGTTGGAGAACTGCTCGACATACTTTCGCGAAGTAGTCAGACCGTAGTAGTGGTACAAATCACTCAGCGCGCTGAACATGCCAAGAGCAGAGCCCTGCTTGTAAGCAATGACGAGACGCTTGTCTCGTGTGCCTTCGATATCGAACCACTCAATAACAGGTCCAGTTCGCTCGACAGCAACCTCGAGCGCCTGCTGGTAAATGGCCTTGGTGTTGGCCGTAGCCTTCTGCAAGAAGCGCTTGTCTCCGACCTTCTCGATATCGGTCTCAGTCTCGCTAGGAGACGGGTTCTCGAACTCGCACTGGTAGATGAAGTAGCATCGCAATTGCTGGTCATCACTGCCAGGAAGCGAGCTTGTCGATCGGAAGCTCTCGACACGGTAGCCTGCGTTGCCCTTCGAGTTGTTGAGGTACTTCGTGTCGATACGCTGCTCGTATCGCGGTCCGTCCAAAACCGAGACACCGGGCCTGCTGGTATCAATGTACACAGCGTGATCATCAGCCTCCTTGTCGAGTCTTATCTCAAGACGCTTGTCGTCGCGGGCATACGCGGCCACCTTGGCAGCGTAGAGCGAGTGGATGTGGTTGACTACAGCCTCGACAGACTCAGTGCTGAAGTACATGTCGTCGATGCCGAGCTCGTTGTAGAACCATTTGACCTCAGACTCCACTAGCTCCGGGGGCAGAAACCCCTTCTCTTCAACGGAGTCCATGACTGCCTCCATCTGGTTCTCTTTCCCCTCGAATACGGGGGCGACATAGCCAGAGCCGCTGGGGGTGGAGGACCCCGAGGGAACCGACAAATGCGTGGACTTTGGTCGCCCTCCGGCCACATTCAGCAGCTTGCTAGCAACCGCTTGGGCGCCGTTCACTGGTGTGGATGCCATGTTGTGTGTATGTGTGTATTGGTGTTGAGTCTGACGGGTACTCGAATGCGAGGAGAGCTCGAATTTGTAGCTTCGATCAGAAGGCCGAGCTATGCAAACACGCGGCGAATAGCTTGCTTGAAACCGCTTGGCTAGAGGTGGGTGACTTGGCGGGGTTGCCAAAGAGTTTGGGCGAGTGTGATGTGCCTCGTGTGGCGTCTGAAGGGCTCAGCGGGGTTTCGCGGGAGGGCCGTAGCTGGAAACTGCTCGCGAGGAGGAACGGAACGTAGAAACGTGCCTGAAATCCGGTCAGCTTGCTGTCTGCTTGCTGTCAATGCAATTGCAGGCCCACGATGGCTGCCCGCGCTCTTTTAAACTCTGTTAAGAGCTGAGCTCGCGAGCACCAGGGGCCACTATTTTTGGCATGACGCAGGAACTAGGTAGCCTTACCTACCTGAAGAGCCGCAGATCCACTCTCACCGAAGTAAACCGAGCAAGAGACCGACGGGAGCGTTGATGCACCCGCGAAGGCAGATAGCGAATACAGCTGCAATTGGCTGATGTTTACCGCTCTTTGCTAAGACAAGTGCTGACCGCGTGTAGCAACTCAGGGCACTCGGGAAGCGTGCCGTTGTATGATGGCTCAGTGCGACACTACTACCTGGTACCACACTGCAGATGGAATTCCAGGGGTCTTGAGAAGATAAGAATGGCAGGGATTGGTTACGATGAAGGAGGTAATGAAGGTAGCCGAAGCCGTGCCTCTCCGCTCATGGCGACTGGCGCCTCTTATACACGGCGCCGTCAGCAAGTCTCGTCAGAGCTGCTGCGCTCGTGGTTCCTGAAAGTCAGCTCGGCTTGCTCGGTCACCAGCGGCTCTTCCCCACAGTCCGCTTACGACTTAGCGTGATCCGCGGCTGCAACTGATCGCAGGGGCTTCACGTAATAGCCAGCGCCGCCTCAAATGACCTGAAAATTTAAAGCCTCACTCGCAGCTTCCACTGCCTTCCAGGCGTGTGTGATTGCGCGATATGGCGCAGCCGGGCGTGTAATTGTGAAATCTCTGCGCCTCTTGCGCGTGCGCGGTGGAGACGCCAACACCCTACCGTTCGCGGCACCCATGCACAGCGTGTGAGTACCATACAACCTGCATGAGCCAGCGGCTCCGTAGTTCACGATGCTTGGCTCCCCAGCCAAATGTGGAGTTTCGAAGGGGTAATGCAAACATGCGATTACCCCTTCGAAACCCGTACGTGTCCCAGTAGCACTGGTCGTGCGCCTGCACGTGGACGCAATCCTGGGAGTCTCATCAGTCATCGCGAAGTCACGATGCCTGCGCCGGGACCAACTCCCGTAGGACGCAGAGCGATCGGAGGCATTCCAGCCGCAGCGCTCCCGTGCTTTCCGGCGCTTCGTGACCTCTGTGCTTTATTTCGAGCAGTGGCGACACACCGCTTGCAAGTCACGATGCACGTTTTGGCGTTGGTAGGGAGGCAGAGGGGTTGGGTGAGTAGATTCAAGGGTCCAGCTCGACATTTGGGCCTCAGGATGCTCGCCACGCACTATGTGACACACTATGAAACCTCAGGAGAACAGTGCGGACAGTCACAAGATGTACTTGGACGACTATCTAATCTTCGTCGCCATCGTACTCGCGGCCGTTGACAGTCAGGGACACTTTGTGGCCTCCACCATGCACCCAATTCTTCTTCTTGCCTGCCTTGCTTATCTTCCTAAGCGCTGCATCCAGGCCTTCATCAAGGTCATCGATCTCCTTTATGAAGTCAAAATCGATGCACAACTTTTCGTTACCCTTCTTAGTGACGGTCCATTGCGTCCTGATAGATACACGGGGCTCTCTAATGGCGCCTGCAGGATACACCGCAGCGATTACAGCAGCGACGCGGCCCAGGTACATGCACCACCATTCCATGCCCTCTGGAAGTAGGCGCACCATCCGCTTGTAAAAGTCCTGCTCAGTCGGGCTTATGGAACCATATCCACCATAGCGTTCGCAGAGCAAGATAGCAAGGAGAGCACGGTCCTCGTGGCTTGCGCCGTGGGCAGTTGAAAAGATGCCCGTTGTTGTACTTCGAAGAGCTGAGCCGCCACGGAGGTCTTTGACTTGTGCCATGTGAGCGAAGACGCCTTGAACAAAAGCCGTAATCAGAGGCATGGTGAAGATGGGTTTGACTCCAGGCGAAGGTGCTGGAATAGCGGAAAACAGCAAGTCAACGAGCTGTTTGATGGAAGGTGGTGCGTAAGGTCCAGTTGCAGTAACAAGTGGACTCTCTGCACGGTACTCGGGCGACATCTCTGCGAAGTGCATGCCCTCGCGAACACCGCCCTGACAGAAGTAGACGTTCGTCAGGGTAGGAAGAGCCTGGGCGAGGCATTCCACGAGGAAAGCAACCGCAGGGACCTGGCTCGCTCGCCTTGCTGAGACCCGGAAGATCTCAGGGGTATCATCTTGCGATACAGCGGCTTTGACGGACATTGTGTCCAGGAAAACATCTGTGGAAGTTCGGAAACCATTGATGATGGGAATGGGGTATGGTTTGATGGCATGCTCCGACATCAACACAAAACCCCAGCCACGAAACCCGCCCCCTGAAAGGTAGAGGTGAAGACCATCACGAGACCGGAGGAGCTCCTCAGGGATGCCGATCTTCTGGACAGCAGCTTTCAGATCACTGGCCACCTCCTTTGCAAAGGCTTGATGTTCCTTGCTCTTTGTCTTGCCTGCAGCTTCAAGTCGTTGGATGAGGGCCGCAGCACCATAGGGCAGGCTCACGCTGCCTGCTGGACTCATCCTAATTTCACCGTTCTCCGTTATAATCCAGGTGAGCTGCGTACTTCCGCCTCCAAGATCCATCATCAAACCGCGTACGTTCTCGTAGGAGCTTGCTACGCCGAGTGCGCCAATCTTGCCTTCTATCTCCTTGGGTAGAAGCTCCACAGTCCAGCCGGTCGCTTCTTTGATGGTAGCACGATATGCCTCAGAATTGACTGCTTTCCGTGTTGCCTCTGTTGCAACTATGCGGATTTGGTCATCAGGCACGCCAAAATCCCGACATGTCGACCTGAAGCGTAGAAGTGACTTTACAACTTGTTTGATAGTATGTTCAGGAATAGGTATAGCCTGGCCATTTTCGTACTGCGCATCGTACAGCGAGATGGCTGCGCGGTCAAGGTACACGGTTGGTAGAATACGCTGAGTAGCTGGCGAGAGATCCGTTATCGAGAATCGAATGCCATTGCTTCCCATATCTACCAGTCCATGGTAGAACTCTGCTCTCTCCGCATGTCTGTAAGCCATGGCGTGCGGTCTGACCCCAGTTTCTCCAGATTTGCAGCGTACCCGTGCCGAACTACGCTAGTCAAGGCCACCGGTGCAGAGAATGGCGTGCAATGGCGCGTTTCCGGACCCTAGTCGCGGCCAAGTCCAACGACGTTTCTATTACCCCCGAGAAATATCGAAACAAGAATAGAGACTGCGCTATGACTCCGAAGAGATCTCGACTTGAGTACTTGCGTTTCCGAACAGTTTCTGTTACCCCCCTTTTTACCTAAAAGATGGCCTTGAAGTGTGTCTGGTGATGCGCCAATATTTGATGCTGAGGAAGTGTGTCTGCGATGACGTTTGGTTTGACTTCTGTGCCTGCAGGTGGAAAACTCTGACGCTAGTCGCGGCGAGCTACGCGAGACTGGGGTCAGGTCGCTGCGGGGTGTACAAATGCTACATGATTGTTGTTCTACCGCTGGATATGAGGCAACAGCGCCATTGCTGTAGCCCTGTCTTGCTAGACAATTTACTAAGAATAAGTCGTTGTCTCAGAAACTGACTACCTCCTACTGCGCCTTGGTTGGCTGAGCAGATCGTGCAGGCTTTAGCATGCGATAACATTCGAGAAGGAATTGGCGCTCGAAGAAGAGAACGTGCAGAGCATAAAGACCAGCCACGGCGCCCATACTGACCAACTCCCCAAGTACACCAAATTTTGCAAGATATCTGAAGCCAGGTCTCATCTTCATCAACGTAGGAATGACGACTGCTGGCGCGAGCGATGTCATTGATGGTAAGATGGCTGACAACTCAAAAGGCGTTCCTTTTTGGTTGAAGAACCTCGTGGTGAACCACGTATTCCAAACGATGCGCAGTGCCATGTTGACTGTGTTTGCAAGCACCACTCCACTGCCACCGAGCTGTAATTGTCCAAGGAAGAACCAGGCGCTGCCAGCAAATGCCGCGAAGAAGAAGCCCATGGAGATTGACTGCACATAAAGTTGTTTGTTGGTTGCAACAGCAGCCACGAACCCTTCTGTGACTCCATTGATGGCAAGGAAGGGTATGTAGTAACAGTACGTAGCGAGAACGTTCGACGCGTTGGTTGCAGACCATTTCTTACCTGCAACAACTGACAAAAGAAGCGGTGCGAGCGTGGGACCTAGAGTAACGGCAAACAATGATACGATCGCGTATAGGCGCAGGATGACGGTCAAGACCTTTGCTGCTTGGGATAGGTTACGCCTCTGCTCCTGCTCCCGCGGACCGTTATCGGTCTTTGTCGCGTCTGACGCTGATTCAGAGCTCGCACACAGCTTTGCGAACATATTGCGGCTACTCTCTTCAATGGGCTGGAATAGCATTCGAGCGATCAGACCTCCATAGTTTGACGCAAGAGCATAGGCGCCCTGGTCGGCAAGGGAAGTATACTTTGTGATCAGAAGTGAATCGCCCTGTGTCAGGATATACTTCAGAGCTGACTGTAAGGTCAAAGACCCTGTGAGCCGGAGGAGAGGTGTCGAGAAGTATCTGAAGACGGTAGAGGTCTCCGTTGTAGATGCGAGCTGGCTCGGGAGAAGCGTAAATTGTTCATTGCGTGCAATTGGCCACATGTTGTAGAGATACACAACCAATAGTCCCAAAGCATAAGCCAGCTGTCCAATGGCGAACGGCAAAACCCCAATGTCGACGCCGAGGCGGCTTGCTAAAATCGCAGATCCGCAAGTCCCAAAGCATCGCAGAAGAGTAGCGGTACTTTCGGCAGAAGCGCGAACTTTGTAAAGTAACTTTTGCTGTACGGCTGAAAACGCTGGTTCAGTCAGAAGCTCGATAACGGTTGCGATGCAGTACAAGCTCAAAGCCTCTGCGAAGTGAGCTACGTTGGGCGTGTCCGATCGAAGCCAGAAGTGTGCAAGGATGTATGTCAGGGGCAGCCCAGTGATGACTGCAAGATAGGCAAGATTGACGACAGCTTGTGTTCCATGCGCCTGACGCTGGAGAGCAACACGAAGACTTTCTCGTGCGAAATATAGCACAGAGATCGAGAAGAGCTCCAGCTGAGCCGAGACTCCAAGAAGCTCTGGAGACAGAAATCTGAGCAAGACTTGATTGACGGCAAATGTAAGGGCCCTCGAGGCAACCTGCAGGAGAATGAGAAAGGTGGCCCCTTTCGCCGAGGCCGACAATATCGACTGCGACATGACTGGTTTGCGGTTGTGCAGGAACAAGAGCAAGGTTCGATATAAGGCCAGATACCGATTAGGGCAACATGATGATTGGTGATTGAACTGATGGTGTTGTACTCAAGAAGAGCCGTGGTTGGAGGTCAGAGGAAGTCGGTGTCCAAAACGGCTAGCGGATTGCCGGATTGCTCTCCGGCTCATGGAAATGTTCCCCATCCCCGGGAGCACGAGCATCAAACACAACCTGACTCTTACCTTTCGCACGGTACACCGCAACATGATGATGTACACGTCTCTTCATACACCTGTTGTCGAAAATGGTGGTTGTCGAATCTTACCTTTTTGCGAAGACTGAGAGGCTTTTGCTGCGTCCTTTGAAGCTAGAAGATGCTGAAGATGTCGTTCTGATGCGCGAAGATCCGGAGGTGATGAAGCACACGTACGTCATGCCTAAAAACTGCCTGTTGTGTGTTGTTCTCATCAGAAGCAGATCCATCCTACCGAGTGACGATCTTGAGAAGACCAAACAATGGATTCAAGGTATTTCGATACCTCTTAGCTTCTGGCTGCTCGTAGAAGCAATCCCGCTAATACGCCCAGGCTGTCACGACACAGAGAACTGCTGGAATTTCGCCGTCGAGCTCCTGTCATCCAGCAAAGCCGATTCTGTGCATGAGACGACCTTGACAGACGACTCCGAAGCCCTTCGCCCACTTACCGACCCGTCACGCGAGTGCATGGCACCACGCGTCATAGGCCTGATAGGTGCTGTGCGGGCTCCAGAAGTTGGATACATGTTCAATGCCGACTACTGGGGCAAGGGCTATGCGACCGAGGCGATGAGAGCTTTCATGCCGCTCTTCTTCGATCATTTCTCCGGTAGAGAGTACGTGAGATACGAACATGCCGAGGCACACACCGATCCAGAGCTTGAAAGCAGCCAGAATGTGCTCAGAAAAGTTGGCTTCGAACTATACGAGCGGAAGGAGAAGGACTTTGAAAACCCTGTACTTGGCTGGAGAGATACTCTAGTATTCAGGATTGCCCGTCCTGAATAGGTGGCTGATGCCTAGTTGCTGGAGTGCCATGAGGCATGGAAGTCCTTCGAGTTGTTTATTTATGTTCCAGGCGTTTATATAGAGCTGGTCTGTTGAGTGCTTTCACGAGCCAGAAAACTTTCGTTAGATTCCCTGCAAACTGTAAAGTGTACCGTAGATTCAAACTATAGTCAGTAACGTCTGCAATACCCTGTTCAGGCTCAAAGGCCCGCAAGCCACTTCCCAATGACCCTCGCGCTTTCCTCGGGCGCCTCTTCTGCCCCGAAATGCCCAATGCCATCACCCAATGCATGATGCTGGACATCCACACCCTCGTTCACCCATTCCCTCCATACATCCGGAAATGTGTAGCGACTGCCAATATACGTCTCACTATAAAGCAAGAATAGCGGAACCCCAATCTTCCTCCCCTCGCTCTGATCCTCTTCCTGTTTCTCAAGATCCGTCGTCGCACCATGCTGATAATCCTCACAAGTAGCCTTAAGCACGTGATCCTGGGCGAAGAACTCCGCGTAGACTTTGGGCGCGTCGTCCGCTCTAAAGACTTGTAGGCCCTTCTCATTCTTTCCAGCCCAGCCCTTCAGCATCTCCTCAAGGAAATTTGCGCGGCCGAAGGCAGTGATCATACGCGTTGCAAGGTCTACGTGAGCGAGGAATGGCCAATGAAAGTAGCCTGTGACATCTTTAGCAGCTTTGACTGGACTAGAGAAATTCTGCCATTGCGTGGAGGTTGGGACCTAGGCGTCTTTGTCAGTCTGTAGGTCATACATCGGAGCAGTGGATCATACAATGTCGATGAGGCAGACACCCTTGATGTCAAAGCCCTCTGCGCCGCTGACGGTGAGACGATGTGATACTCTTGCGCCGCGGTCGTGGCCGATTAACACAATAGGAATGTCGCCAGCTGGAGGTTTGGAAGAGGTGCGTTTGACCTCTGTCCGGAGTGCAGATAGTACGGCGTTTCCAACCGTCAATTTGTCATGCTTCTCAATAGCAGCACTGGCGCCATAACCTGGTAGATCTGGGGCGAAGATAGGAGCATCTTGGGGTAGTAGTGGAATGAAATGACGCCACCTTGTAATGGTGTTAGTAAGCCCATACAATCGTTGGTACTCAGGTGTGATGGTCTTGGGCACATGAGCCCTGAACACCACGACAGGCACTCACATGTATGAGCTCTGCGGGTAGCCATGAATCAGGACGAGAATCGGGTTTTTGTCAGAGACGGTACCCAGGCCGCGACTATAGGAGCACACATGCTCCTTGTTGACAATTGCTTTTGAGAAGCCGAGGCTGTTAAACTTCTCATCTTGGATCTTGTGTGCAGATGTAGTGGCCATATCGTATATACTGTCCTGTGTCAATTGCTAGCCCTTAAAGTGCATGTATCCAAGTGATTATATGCTGAGTGTAGAAAAGTGCTGTGGGGAGAGATACTGCGTCGTTGATGACTCCAGTGTTGTTCGGCTGTTGCATTTGTCAGGACGAGTGACGTAACCCCGCTTTTGGCGAGTGAGATTAGTAGCACGCCTTTCAATCAAAGACAGGAGTATGGCGCGAGAAGCGTGTTGTGATGCTTGATTGGGTACACTAGACCTGAGGTACCGTCAAACAACCATAGCGACATTTACCCTATCCCATTCATGCTTGCAAATGCAACGAATATTGACCCAAAACGCCATCGCTATGCTTTTGACACCATTGCTTTTATTGCTCCTTCGCGAGCACCATCTTCTCTCGTTCAGCCTTACGTCTAACTTGGCCCTTCTTAGTATGTCTCCTCTCATTTTCTTCCTTCCTCTTGATCGCCTTGAGCTCCTCACTCTTGATCTCACCGGCCTTCTTGACTGCCTTGGGTATATGTCTGTGCCTGTTGATGCGCGCAATCTCGGGCATGTGCTTGTATCGCTCTTTAAGAGCCTCATCATACTGTAGCTTCTGTTGTAGAGCGAAAGATTTTACACCCTGTCTGGCAGAGGCCTTGGCTCGCCATAGGCGCACGTTGCCGTCATCTGAACCACTGAGTACGTAGTTGTTATCCGGCGACCAAGCAACAGAGAAAACTCGCTGCATGCGCTTGGTGTGGTAGACGTCGCGGGCGTGTCCCTTCTGGCGCTCCCACAACCGGACCGATCGATCGTAGGAGCCAGTCACGAGCTCCTCTCCGGTTGGGCTGAATTCGACGCTCATGACGGCAGCAACGTGACCCTTCAGGACCTGAAGCGCACGCTTCATGTTTCGCATGTCAAAGATCTAAGACTCGTGAGCTTTCGTCTGTATAAAAACGTCAGTGGAACTTACATAGCAGTTATGGTCTTCGTTTGCAACGGCGAAGTTGTACGCCTCCATGGGATTCCAAGAAATGCAGTTGGAGGCAAAGTTGAGGACAGTCCGGTGGAGTGGAGAACTTGTGCGCATATCATACAGGACGATAGCACGATCAGTTGCGCACGATGCCAGAATCGATGTCTCAACTTGGTTGAAGCTGACATAGTTGATTGTGTCGATAGCTGAGGGCCAAACCAGGTTCTGCACAGGTGCACCTGAGGTACGAGCGGTGTCATATATAGAGACAACATTCGAGGCGGCGGCGAAGGAAGGTAGCGAGCGGTGATGCGTGACAGATGTAAAGGCGGCGTTTCCGTGCCATGTAGCCTTCGGCGGCGACTTGGAGGGTTGAGCGTACGGCTCGAACATTTGTATCTGCTTGTCTGCACCACAGGTGATAAGACGCTTATCGCGCGTCCAGCACATGCCCTTCACCATGTTCTCGTGCGCCTGCGCCTGCCACTTCTCTTCCCTGCTCGTAAAGTCCCATACTTTCACGACGCCGTCACCACTGCCACTGGCGAAACGCTCAAGCGAATTGGGATCCTTGGCGAAGGAGTAGACACCGTCCACATGGCCAGGCTCGAAGTCTCCGAGGAAGGGCTGCGCAAACATGCGCTCGATCTTGGTCGCATTGAGGGCCCTCGTGTACTCGCGTGCGCGTTCGAAGGGATGCTGGTTGGGGTCGAGATTGCGCGTGATCTTCGCGACATTTGATCCGGGGGCCTGCGCCGACGATGTCGACCGGCTGAGGGCTTTGATCTTCATCTTCGCTGTCTTGCTGTAGACTTCGCGAACATGAGCAGCGCGGCCTCGAACTTTTCTGGCAGGGTCGAGGTGGGGCGGCCAATCAACGTTGCGCAGTGGATCGCACCTGCTTTGCGCGGCGCCGGTCGAACGTGCCTCCGGTCGACGAAATCGCTTAGCGCCCACTCTGGCGAAATCAGTTTGGATGCACGCGAACCCAGCCTTTGCTCACTCGACTAACCCACCAGCACCCCCGCCAGCAAGATGAAGTTGTGAGTGCACCCCGAGCCCGACGACGACTGCATGGATGATAGATTGGAATATTGCGAGGACCCTTGGTGTGCCAGGAGAGGATTGCAGGACTGCAATGGATCGATTGGCGCACCATGATCGCAGAACCTTGAATTGCGACTGAGCATTCGCTAACATTTTCTCTACAGCCTCAAGGTCGGACGCGTTGTCGTACGTTGAAACCGCTCGAATTGCCCTACGTCGCAAGTACTCACAGTCCGCTTAGATCATCACCCGCGGTCGCTATGCCGGCAAGAAGTGCGTGATCATCTCGCCCCTCGACAACGGCACCAAGTCGCACCCCTTCCCCCACGCCCTCGTCGCCGGTGTCGAGCGCTACCCCCAGAAGGTCACCCGCCGCATGTCGAAGAACAAGCAGGCCAAGAAGAGCAAGGTCAAGCCTTTCGTCAAGCAGGTCAACTGTACGTGAACGTTGGAAGGAGGCGGACGTACAAGGACAGCGCTGATAGACGCAGACACCCACATCATGCCTACCCGCTACACCATCGAGCTCGAGAACCTCAAGGGCACCCTCACCCAGGACACATTCAAGGAGGTCTCGCAAAGGGAGGACGCCAAGAAGACCGTCAAGAAGGCCTTCGAGGAGCGATACCAGTCCGGCAAGAACAGGTGGTTCTTCACACCGCTGCAGTTCTAGGTTTTCCTTCGGTTACGGCTGGGCGCAGATGGGACATGATTTGACACGTTAGATCCTGCATGAGCATGTCGGGCGATATCATAGGGTGGATCAGGTGCAAAAAGCCTGCCATCCAGGCGTGTACTTCGGCTTGATAATCAAAGCAAGAAAATCCGGCATCGGGGTCATTCACGAGCTCATGAATTGATGTTCCCTACAACTTTCGTTCGTACAATCTTTTGCCGGGTGAGATACTGACAACCTAGACCTCGCATACGAACAGTACATTCGCACCTTAGACATACCTAGCCGTGTGCTTAACTTACTGCAGCAGAGTATCGAGCGATCTGAATGCAACAGGTCATCTTGGTTGCGCTGGCCCATCAGAGTCAGCCCCAATTGATAGTTGCGCAGCCATGACGACAACTCCCAGCGTCATCAAGTATATCTGCCAAGACGACATTGCGTCAAGCACATCTTCAAGACATGAGCATCCTTCACCCAACGGTACGTAAATCATTTCCTTCTTTCCCCGACTGCAATGAAGATACCATGTACCCCTTAACCGTGAGGGCAAATATCAATATTCCAATTGTTCCTGCTGAAATACAACCCCGCCCTGTCTTTGTCATCCACATCAATAAGGTTCACAAACTGACAAGGCACAGAACATCAGTTTGAAATGAGAGTTGTGGCATGACATTTTCGGAAGATGTTGGAGTTACTCCCTTGAAAGGTTTCGCAATCAAGCACGTTCTTGAGGGATTGTAGAAATATAGCAGAAACAAGCTGTCGTCATCATTATACCATCTAAACCTGCTCGAGAATGGATGTACTTCGAACTCAACTACACTGAAAAGAATAACGAAAGGTATCTAACAACTTCAATGATCCACCTCCTCCCACATCAGGCTGCCCTGGCAATCTGAGGCGCACTCGTGATCGGTGATGGTGGAGCATCCCTATCGTATACATGCACCCTCAGCTCTGCTACAAAATCGACCCTAGCTCTCGCGACCCTGCAGATCTTGCAGGAGCAGCTGTATAGCTCGACGACTTCCTCGCCATCCTACTGCTTGACCTCGTCAGCCTTCTTAGCGGCTTGCTGTTTCCCCTTGTTCCAGTACTCCACAGCGAAGTTGAACGCGTCGTGGGCGACCTTCAACTCAGTGCTGATTCCTGCCTTTACCGTCTTGACAAGTCCCTCGGGGCCTTGTGTCTTCTTGTACTCATCCTGGTATGTGCCGAAGACGTAGGTGAGAGGCGAGAAGGCGAGCTCCTTGAGCTTGGTGGTGTCCTCCTTGACGATGGGAACACGCTTCTCGAGCTTTGAGAGAGACGAATCACCAAGCTCATCCGCGCGGGTCAGGTACGGAGAGATGTAGGAGTACGGTGTCTTGAGGTAGGGGTGGAAGGGTGCAACGAACGAGTTGTACGTGTTGTGGAAGAGAGTGAGGGACCTGGCTCCGTAGGGGTTGGACTTGTAGAACTCGACCGAGTCGTGGACGACGGGGTAAGAGTGCAGATGCTGTGATTGTTAGTTGGGATCTCGTGATCAGAAGTGCAAGTTTCAGTGTAGCTTTGCACATGTGGTGTAATCAAGCCGACTGATTGGGCGATTGAGCACGCCAAACGTGTAGCTATGCAGAACTTGCGGGGTAGTACGTACCGAAAGAACTCTCGACTGCGGAGTCTCACCGTTGGTCAAGGGGGCGCTGTCGTTGCTCATATCGCCGTTTGTGGTGGGCTCCTCAGCGTGTGGTGACATTAAGTCTTGTGGTGTTAGATGGTGGTGTGGTGTAAGGTGTGATGAAATCTGCGGCTGTCAGAAAGAAATAAGTTATAGTTCGACGAAGTGGTGTTAGGGGAAGGGTTTCCATTCGCCCCAACATACCTGTTTATACGCGGGCTGCTTGTGGAAGTGCTATGATGTCTGTGCCTGTGCGCTGAAAGCGGCGCTTGGTGTCAGTGAATTTGTTGGTCTGACATGTGAAAGCGGGCTTGCTGGTTTATCGATAAGGAAAGAAGTACCTTCAGCCCTACGAAACTCGCTCTTTCTTTGCAATGCAAATAGCTGACACAGAGGTACCAGTTTAAAGCTTTACAAACTGTGACGACAGAGGTTTAAAGAGTGAGTTACCAACGGTCACTGTGCGTGCAATCCCCTATCAGCACAGGAATGTCGCGACATTGGGTGATACATTGACGCACAAACAGGGCTACCTGGCATGTGAAAGAGGGTTTTAGGACGATAAGGTCTCCGCTACGTCCGCTGGCGCCTCGTCCCGTTGGTAGACCAAGTCCGTCTTTCGATGGTTGGGTAGAAGCTCCAAATGATCCTGCCGGCAGGGTGCACAAATACGGTACGCACTGCCCCGTGTGTGTTCAGGTGAGGCCATCGCCACTGAAGCAAGTGGGCATGCACGCTGGCTAGACTGGTGAAGCGACCGATGGGTCCTGAATCTTTTTGCCATGTCTTACACGTATCGATGATTGTGTGACCTTAGACGCTGCTGCTCAGCAGTCATTCCACTACGCGCCGCCGTCCGGCTTGTTGTAAGCCTCAACAAATCTCTCCCCCGGAGCAGCGGCCCTCGAACTTCACTGGCGCCGCAATCACTTTCCGAGCTATGTATGTATATCCGTTGTAGAACCTTGGAATGATTAGGGATGCGTGGCGCTCATCTCCATACGCGCATCGTGTCGCAATGTCAAGTCCAATTGGTTGGGCACACGTCTTATCAGGGAGGAATTGAGCAATCGCTGGCCGCCTTGGGGCGGTTCGCCAAACCCAGCAGGCGCGTCGACATACTGCATTGCATCGCGTTGTGCATCTCGTCTATGGCTGTTGTTGGGGCGCCTAGAACTCAATTCGAGGTGGTGGAACATGTGAAAGAGGTGTTCCATGTTGATCATGTCGGCACCCGGGTAGCGTGCCGTCGGCGTCCTGCGGATCAAGCTTCGGTGCAGGGCCTTCCAATCCTTACCTCACCTAGGTACCACGACAGAACTCGAGAATCAAAATTGCGGCTCTGGAAGGATGCTTGGCCTCCGAATATAGACCGTGTCCGACTCTGATGAAAAACCCGACAAAGCACCTGATGCTCCTTATCAGATGCTACCGAGCACTCTGCCTCGGTATAAACAAGTCGTTCGACCTCGTAAAACAGCGAACGCATAAGCGATATCTGCATCAGGTACGCACAGCTACAAAGTGACATCACGCTCGTGAAAGACTGGGCGGGTTTCAAGGACGCATTGGATCTGTCGAACGGCTAAGCGAGCCCAACGGGCGTTTATGATCGGCAAATTGTAACGTCGAGAAGGATGCCGAGTACTGTTGTTGACACATGCGATGTCATGTATATGCATGGTGGAGCGGGGTGCTGACTGCAGCGGAATTGTACAGCAGTGAGGAACTGCATGCTAAAGCTCTCCACAGTGAATAGAGACGCTCAAGGATCACAATAAAGGAACCTCCGCGGCGCTGCTGACGAGCTGGAGCCTGCGGTCACTATACTCTTTCTCTCCATGTCATTGCATGGTAAAGCCGCGTATGCATAGTGGGTATACAATCCTTGATATTGACGCAAGAGAGTGAGCTTTCATATGCTGATGTCCAATCATGCTGAAAAGATAAACAGCAATCACCGCGATCATCCTGGGTACTGATATCAACGTTGCACGCCAGCTCAGTGTAGCTCGGCCTTATGGTGTGAGTATGTACTTGACGACAGATATGACATGTGTCAGGAACGCTAGAGCCACCCATACGCCCCATACCGCTAGCCGTTGGAGCCAACGAGGTATTCTTCGTCACTAAAAGCTGCCTACATTGCTCTCTTCGGGGCACAGGTGCATACAGTGCGCCCGTTACAGTGCGTATGCACAACGGGCAGTACATCCGAACCTCCTACCACTATCAGGCAGTCATGCGAGGCAGCCAGTCGTCCAATTTTTTAAGAAGGGGTATATCTAGATTTTTCAATTCCTGCGATCAGCAGGATAACATTGTAGACGATACCAGCATGCAAGCAATCCAACTTAGCAGTCTGCGATGTCGCTCGGAGAAGCGAAAACGCTGAGAATAACTGCAGCGTTCAGGACACCAGGCGGCATTTGCCCTTCGCCCTGGAGGTGAAATGACCTGTCAGTTACAACGGCTTCAATCAAAGACGCTCATAATCAGGCTAATAGACAGGCATCACGCAATGGATAACTAATGCACATCAGTACAGTCCTGGCATTTGCGTTACAAACGCACTAATCTAGATCGCAGAATCTGGTACTGGATTGACCGGTAACGTTACGTCCTAAGAGCTAGTTGCGGTGCTAGATCAGTAAGGATGACGAAGCAGCTCAAGCAGTTTCCGTGGAGATACAGACTGTGATAGGCATAACGTGGCATTTCACTGAACAACTTTGCACCGGCCGCAGATTACCTACAAAGAACGACAATGTAAACGCTATCTCAGGACAGCGATCCGCTACTGTGACTGACATTGTGGAATTTTGTCACACACGATGGTAAAAGACGAAATAAATCATACCATCAAAAATCTTCATATATATTCAGTTCATTAATCATGTATTTGTACAACGTCACGGCAACGCTCATCACCAAACACCGCTAAACAAGACGTGAACGGACACTCACCCAACCACAACTCTAAACTCGCCTCTCTTCGACCTCCTTACCCTAGTCCGCTCATCAACACCGTCTCCCCATCCTGCCGCCATGCATTCCCCCTCCGCCCATCCTCCTACGCCCTCCCATGCCCCCTAGACCTCCGCCCATTCTGTGTCCGCCCATACCTCCGCCAATGCCTCCGCCCGTGTGGTGCACGACATGCGTCGTTCCCCCGCCCCGACCGAAGCGACTTCCACCACTCATAGGCACGCCGGTGCTGTAGCCGCCGCCACGGCGGGACATGCGAGATGGTCCACAGCCCATTTTGTGTGAGTTTGTGTGTATATAGTGGGTGTGTTTTGATATTGGATGTGACGCTTCTCTGTATGCCGAGTCGCGTGAGGTGTCGGTGTTACTGTCGATATAGGTGTCTCGGTATTCTTTTGCTGATTGTCCTGATGAAAGTGTTGGCAGGAGCACAGTGATGGATGTAGACGCGTGGTAACAGTTCAGTATCTGGAGTGTAGCGTTCACGATTTTTGTGTTTGTGAAAGGTAGAATTGATTAGTCTTGAGTTGATGGGACATGCCTGCTCCAGTACATTGTCTCTTTATATACCTATCATCTTCACTCAAGCCTCTCTGCAGTCAAAAGACTTCGACGTCACACAAGATATGACATACGCCAAACGCTGACCCAAGACTCACCAGCGCTCTGCAAACGTTAACAGCATGCTTCCACTGTTATGAAGAGACCCTGCATGGGTAATCGGCTCGGCTAGTATGCCGGACATGCTTGGCCCTGGCAGAACGACGAGACAAGCGACTGTTCCATTGGCTGGAAGATAACATTGTGGCGCAAATCTGTGGCGCACGCATTCAGATGACGTCTGCCCTCGTTCGTTTGGCGCTGTCGACGAGTTCGAGAGCTGGGTCGGTAACGCCAGAAATGACGACGCCTGTTCTGGGCCTGCGGAATCAATGGACGTAGAGTTGCCGGGTACCGTTGAAGGCAAGAAAGCAGGAAAAGCAGGCGTCGTAATTGTAAGAGTAGAGATGACTCCATTGAGTAAGAAACGTCTATGAGGGTATTGTAGCTTTCAGATGTCAAAACGCCGCGCCATGCCTGGTGATGTCAACAATCAAGATCTACAGTCCCTTGCTTTGCTGCTCCTTGAAGACCCGATGTCTGGCTAGCAGTTGTGAGATCATGAAATGAGAAACGTCCTCATCGGCCCAGTATGTTAAATGGCTCGCAATACTCGCAAGGAGAGAAATATCAAATGCCTATAGTCGCTGTCAGCATCCATACGTAGTAGGAAGGGATTCAGAACCTACGCCCTCTTGAATGCTGTAGTCAACTCTCCCGTTACTGTTCAATGCCCGTACTTTCTGCTCTTCCCTCTTCAGCTTTCGGCTCCGCTCTTCGAGGTCCTGCCATTCCAAGTCTTTTTCGACTTGATTCGAATCCTCAGTACTGCTGCTCTTACGCCCTTTCTGGAACCCAGAGTACAAAGTCTCGATCTCCGACTCGATGAGTGTAGGCGGGTGTTCACCGTCTTCGCCGGTGGTAATCTGTTCGTTTCCAAGACGTCGTCTACGCTCTTCAGATATGAACGCAGACACTGGTTCATTGGTGCCTGGAACAGTTGCTACACCTGCTGCCGAGTTTGGAGCGGCAGAAAGAGGTCGCGAAGAACGCTGCCCTGGACCTCCGTCTCCCAGTTCTGTACCACTGATACCTAGGCTGCGGTTGAGCAAACCTGATGCGATACCAGAACCGATGCTTGACCAGAAGTCCGTGACTCCTTGCCCTACACGGGCACCGATGCCTGTTAGGCCTTGTGAGGCTGGGGCGCCAAAAATTCCTTTCTTGGTGTAGGGAAGTGGCTGAGCTTTCAAACCAGCCATGGCAGGAGATATCAAGGGCTCAATTCGGTAGCTGATTGGATCGGATGGATGGAAGATGTTGAATGTTTGCTTGCAAAGAGGCGATGAGGTTGTGATGTCAAAAGCATGGTTGCGTTCGGCTGCCATAGGCGAGAATGGGTCGTCCAGAGGAGTCGCAGGTGTCTCTGGCGGATTGAAAGCGGTCGCGGGTCGAGCGGCTATCGTGCGCCCCTTTAGCATCTGAAAGAGGCCGATTGGTGATCCTAATGCGTAGAAATCCTCAACCTCGAAATCAAGCTTCAGACCCTCTTCGGTAAGGCGACGTTGTTTCCCAGATTTTGTTTTGCTGGCATTGCGCTGGATACAGAGAATGTCGAACATAATTGCCGAACCCAAAGAGTGACCGACCAAGCTGACTCTGCCTTTGAAAGAGGGGTTGCGCTCCTTGAATAAGCGGTAGATACGGTTCAATTCGGCGACAACGATGCGGGATATATGGCCTTTGTAAGCTGGACTCTGGTAGAGCAAGATGTCTAACGCAAGATCAGTCAAGAAGTTGCGCACAGCCGGTACACCATCGACTGTGATGTCCTCAAGGCTAGGGAATTCGTGATCTTCATGGTCGAGATCTCCAAGATCATGCTCCTTCCGATTATGCTTGACACTTTGCATAGGAAAGTCCAGTAGATGACGCCATACAATAGGGATTACCTGAATGCGGCTATTCTTCGTTTCAGAAGTAACCTCCGAATTAAGTGCCTGTAAATCCGGGGCGTTGGCGTAGACAGCCTTGAAAGACTTGCGCATTGTGTTGACATCGTGAATGAAGTTAATAGACTCCATGCGCATACCCAAGCGCTGTCCGATGCCATGTGTTACAAGCAACAAATGCTCAATCTCGCGTCCCTGCTCCTGTTTATCTTGCGTTTTGTAGTCTTCGCGCATCTCTTTCTCCTCTCGTTTGCGCACCTCTTCTTCCTGCTTCTCTTGATAGTCGGGTTGCGATGAAGTCATCAAAGACGACACTTGCCGTTCTAAAGTCCTTCTTCTTGACTCTTGAGGTGATTCTGCTCTCTCGTTGTCTGTCGTCTCGGCGTCAGAGCCATCTCCTGATCCAGAGGTCGTGGTCTTTTCGTTATCAGACCCATACGCCAAATGTTGTGATGGCGTAGTGGGCCGATCGGCCTCTTTCTTGCTCTTGGGGTCTGTGGCGGCATTTGTCTGCTTCTTTTTCTCCTCTGGGTCAGTGTAACCACGAACGTAGCGATAACCAGCATAATGCGCTCCACCTGCAAAACGCTGGTATATCGTGCTTCCCATACGAGCCCACATGTCGTCAGTAAGAAGCCAGGCTGTCGTCGCATCTTGAAACGTCACAATCGAGTTCATGTGGGCACCGAAAAGCCTGTGTGTCCGCGTGGTATCGGTAGGAGCATTTGGTGGTGCCAATTTGTCGCCCGAACTACTACCGTCCTGCTGTTTGGCAGCTTCACTACGAAGGTTTTCAAAGGATCCTCTTGGTGTTACAGGGTTCGAAGTTGAATCGCGGTTGAGTCGTCCGAGCTCCTTGCGATAGTCGTCACTCACGCCAGCACCAAGAGATACAGGCCGGGCACGAGGCTGCGAGATTGACCGCTTCTCCTCTGGCTTTCCGTATCGCCACGGCTTGCATTTGAGATAGCCCTCCTCCAGTTGCATGGCAAGACCTTCGTCCACAGGGTCACCATTGGGGGTGAACCATGTTCCTCGCTTGATATCGTAGACCGGACCAAGCCAGTATGAAGGGGCCAGCTCACGGGTTTCAATTTCGACATCGAACAGATAGTCTTCGTTCACCGGCACTTTTGTAGTTTTCACAGGCTCGTGAGAGGACTGTGCAGGCGTTGCAGGACTCATTAGGTCTTTATTCTGTTCGGCAGCTTCCGCTTCGTCGGTCGTCTTCTGAAAGGCTGTTTCGATGGCTCGAGAATCACCCTTGCTGAAAGGGATCCATTTCTTCGGCTTAGGCAGAGGCTTGTCCGGCGTTATAGCGTGCTCTGAGAAGGGCTTGCGTTTAGGTAGCTTGGACTTGTTAGCGTTGAGCTATGAGACATATTCACGATCCACTTACGTCCACAGCGTGAAACCACTTCACCGCAAGCGGAGGGCAGTCTCGAGGGTACCTCTTCAAGCTCAAGCGGTGCCTCCGATCAACCACATGATCTCCGCCTCGTTGTGTACCTAGCCCACCCGTTGTGGCGTCCTGTTCCTTCTCCTTCTCCTTGCCTTTTGCCTTGTCGGACTCGGTGGTGATCGGTGTAGGCGCACGTGAACCCCACGGCGAGAGGCCAGCGAGGAAGCCTTGCTTCCCCTCTGCAGGACCTGACATCCTGTCAAACTGTGGGGCGGCGCCGCCGTTGGGTAGATAGCTCAGCCAGCCCCTGTGTCGTTGTTGTACAGCTGCACTGAACTGGGGCAGGTACGAGGGCGGTCGATAAACAACGCGAGGGGTAATGCGACGAGCGAACGTGTTGGGCGGTGGGAAAGAGGATTGATATGGAAGTTCTATGTACGAACCTGAACGACAGTCAGCTGCACATTATCTGCATGTGGAGCGTGTTTCAAGCAATGTCATCAATGTGGTACCTGGACATTGCATGCGGCTGCTACGGGAGGATCAGTCGGCGACGCTTGACATCACCGAGGGGCCCTGCCTGCACCTGACAGCTGGCGCGTGGGGCAGCTGCTCCGGCGCAACAACACCGGCCGAATCGCGTTTTGCGCGACAAGATGCTGCTACTGGATGCGCCGTGTATGTATTGCTTGCGAGGCCTCAAATTCGAGAACTGCCTTCTCTCCATTATCCCTGATAGTGTTGTGATCAGGTGACTTTGTCATCCAGAATACGGTTGCCTTCGCCGCCACTGCAACTCTGTCTCATCCTTCGCTTTTCTAAACTCCCTGCCCCTTCTGATACATACGAATGCTCGGTATTCTTGACTTACTGCCATCTGCACCGCACAATGATAGTTACTATTGACGATTACCGCGGTGCCGATTCCGAGGATGGACCTGGGAAAAGCGAGCAAATCAAGGACGAAGACGACGACACCAAGTTCACGGTGTCCATGGCAGGCCATCTCAAATTGAAGCTGCAAGCACTGAACAGTATGCTTATATGCACACCGTCTGATCGACACGACCAGCTCCAGTTCGATGATGTTGCAGCAGGCGTTCCGCCTCGTACATATGTCAACGGCTCGGAGAAAGTGTACTTCTTAGTTAGAGACCTCACGTGGCCCAGCAAGATCCCAGATATTTACATGAATGCCTACAGCGAGGTTGTGCGATCATGTCCTTTCACGAATAGATATATACGCAGACCTTCGAGGAACAGAAAGCTCAGATGCTATGGGCCAACATACACCAGCTTTGCGCCGACATTTTCCAGCATACGAGCCTTGTTGCCTCATATCGATGCTCTATGTAACACTTCGCTCAATGACTTTTTTGAGAAAGCAGATGAAAAAGGTTCGTCCTCAACTCAGTTGGCTTGGACAGTTGGCTTACAAGGTTACAGTAAAACCTTTTCCATTCATGAATCTACCTGCTGAACTACGCCTTCAAGTCTATGACTGTCTCGTTCCCAGCGAGGCTTTTGTACGCGTACGGACAAAGAAATCCCATAGGGTAGACCAGCGGTTCCCAATGTGCCTTAGCATCATGCGAGTCAGTAGGACACTGTGCGAAGAAACTACGAGACACTTCTTCGATAAGCCTTGCCTTCTTATTGAGGCCTGTGAGAGGCCAAGATACCACGAAGACAATCCTTCTTTCTCGGCACATACAGCAATGGATTACGCCGCACTCGTTACAAGCGTGAGTGCCGAAGTCAGGCGCAAGTTCACCCGACTCGAGATCCAAATCGTATTGGGGGTGCCTAGTGTAGAGCAAGAGCTTTCACGTGATAGACTGAGAGATACTCCTTTGCGACAGATATGCTCTGCCCTTCCAAACCTTGAAGTTGTGCTTATTTCATTCCAAAGGAGGGAACAATGTTCGGAGCTGATAAATTACGACCCACCTCCATGGAGAGAAAGGAGAACTTACGTCAACAGCCAGTCGCGTACGCTTGACTGGATTGATGTCCAGCTGCCTGATGAAGGACCTCGAGTTGCGTGGGACTTGATGTACTTTGGGGGTCAGATGGACGATGCCGCACGATTAAGGAGCGCTATCATGTCTGAGCGGATGATGAGGGGTTTGATAGAAAAGGAAGGCAGCCTCGAGCTGGAGCAAAGCACGACTGCGACTCGGGAGGATTTGCAGAGGTGGTCTGCTACGAAAGAACTAGTCCTTGACGCTCTCGGACGTCGATAGCAGTTGCCAGTAGACTCTTGTATCTCATGAAGTAGCGTCTAAGCTTTCTTTCCATTTATTGCGTGTTACAGAAATGATGAATCTAGTTTGCGGGCTAATATTCTGGTTATATTCATGCAGACGTACACATCTTTTAACAAATCAACAGACACATGTAATTCTGCAGGGTGTTCGATTACTATCATAGGGCTTTCCTGTGCTCTTAGAGTTTACAGCTTCGGTTACAACCCTCAGACCGGTGATTGCTACTGCAAAACACTGACGCAAGTCAACTACAGACAGGTTTCTGATGGCAAACGGAGTGCCCAAAGGCCTTCGGAGAATGTCATAGATCTTAGCGTCATCCTCTCGTAATCAAATATTTGTTTGTTGCCAGTTTTGCACTGACAACACTGCCTAATATCTGGTAATTGACCAGTCGTACAGAAGATCCCAGATGGTAAAAAGGCTCGGCTGAATTAGGCCAACGCAATGACTTCGTGGGGTGATGTGGCTAATAGGTGGAGGAGTAATATAAAGCGGCCGATACAGACACGACAGGAGTGGAACGACATGCGCAACACAATTCAACGACGCAGTGTACGTTTTTGACATGATTCTATAGTTCAACTAAGTTCTCAACCTTTCATCAATCTTGAGAATCACCCGGTTTAACATCTGGGTCGATAGGTGAGGTGGCCGAGTTGGTTATGGCGCCAGGTTAAGGTCTTCTCCTTAGCATTGCTTAGCAATAAGCTTCCTGGTCACGAAAGTGGCGCGGGTTCGAGTCCCGTCCTCATCAGCTTCGTTCAACATCGTTTGAGCATTCCAGGATATTTTTTTTTGGTGTTGGTTGGCCAGTGTGCGGTGCAGGACAAGTTTGACGGCTAAGCGAGCCACCCAGACTTTCCAGCACGCTATTTTTTTCGCGAGGAGAGGGATCTAACGTATGCAGTACCGTTTGTGCTTAGATTAAATGTTAGGTCAACGGGGGGTGCCTCTGTTGCGTTCGTTCATGATTCTACACAAGTCTGCAACGCGGATATGATTTGAGTTATTAAGACACCCAATCTTTCACAAATACCATTCTCGTCTGCTATGCTTGGACGAGTACTTTGTTACGTCTCTTTTTGGGCGGCTGTGGGGCCTTGACGTGAATGTGCGACATTGGGTCAGCAACGGCTCGGCGAGAGCAATGGTCCGATTGGTTGGAGCATCTCAACTCAACCAAAGTCTCTATAGTGATGATAGTAGGCGTTCAAGACTCAGTGTACAGTGTGTGTGTTCAGACTGCCCAAAACTGTTCCAGTGCTTCCGATATGCTGATCCGAGCAAGTGCTGCTTGTATTCAGCGAATCTCCGTGTCACTGGATAGCTTCCCACGCTTGCAGGCTGTGGTCAAAGCAGATGTGATCTCAGTCGATTACAGTTGTCCTAGGTTGTCTTAATAACTGACGGGGCCAGATTCGTATAAGTGGATGAGATGTACTCTTCACCCGTGTAGAATCCTTCTAGTGCGACAAGATGTCTCGGTTCGCTCTGTTGTATGCAAAGTACTGCCGTGACTGGTTTCAGCTTCTAACTCATGCACTGTAGTACGATAAAAAATCGACACAACACCACCACATCACCAAACTTGCCAAAACTTTACTAGATCACAATGGAAGAAACTTTGAATATATTGTGTAATTCTTGCACCACATTTTCCGTTATTGTGATGGTCGACAATCATTTTCTGATCGTGGGAGTCCCACCGCCCTAGGCTCATTCACCGCAGGCTAGGCAAGTGGGCCTCGACTGAATCCATCTCAGGCGCCAGACTCCCATTTCACTTCGATCCCGTGGCCCATCGAATTCCCAGCACATTTGTCACTGTTTTGACTGCTACATAATCAATGTAATTCATGCAGTCTTCAACAATTACCACATCAGGCAATTGCCTTCCAGTCGCTTTAGCTCACTTGGGAGAGCGCCAGACTGAAGTTCTCAGTCACTAAATCTGGAGGTACTGTGTTCGATCCACAGAAGCGACACTAGCTTCCGTGCCCAGTTCATGGGATCACGCGAATATCTTTTTTTGAGCTTTTGTCGAAGATTTTGTGTGGAAATCCGGATCATCGATGAAAAGGGGATGGTGGTGGATGTCGATGTGGGGCATGTTGTGACACGTGCTTCGCACGTGCATCATCGCTCTCCCTTTTGATAGTGCTTAATTGCATTTTTGCTTACACGATACGCGTCCGCCATCCGTCGAGAATGCTATCAAGGCAGAATCTGGCGGCTTCCTTCAGGGCAAGACCTGCATTGACCTAGTATATCGAAGCAGGGATATGTGGCTGAGACTTACGACAGAAAACAAGTCAATGGAGCGGGATGCGATGCGATGTGTATTTGCACATACATAATTTCTTGATTTCAATGCGGATTATACTTCGGATGGCATGCTAACATCCCAATTTGAACTCTGCCAATCAACGCCGAACACCAACGTCTAAGTCATGCAATGCGCGTCGCCTACGATCAAGCTGAAGTGATCAGAACTCCATGGCATTGGTCTCCTCTTGTCTCTCACGTTTGAGAGCTGGCTTCTCCTCCTCCATCAAACCGGCAACAAATTTGCGGAAGTAGTCAATGTATGGCTTCAGACTTGTCTTCTCCCAATCCTGAAGCTTCTTCTCACCTTCTTCGCCGTCCCACTCGTCGATCTCTTGCAGGAGTTGTGTGACTGTCGGGACACTCAGGGGATCAAAATCTTCGACCGTCCTTGTGTCGATAGGCACACAAACACGTCCTGTACCAGGATGAATAACGAATGGACTTTTGAGCAAATGGTTCAGCTTCTTGGAGACTTCGGCATCGAGACGCGGGTACGTGTATTCAAGTACGATGTCTTGTTTTGCCTCAAGCAGCTCTTTGCTGGTTTTCGACAGTGCGCCAGACTTGGCTAATGTGTCTATGTCTGCCCATTTGCTCGCACTAGCGCGATTAGGTGCGGAGTCCCACTTCTTTTGTAGCGCAGCGCGCAATGTGGGATCAGGGAGAAGATTAAGGAGATGTGCTGATTTGTCGGACGAGGCCCAGGGATCTTGCTCTGCTAGGATGGATGTCTGGAAATGCTCTTTCAAGATGTTAAGACTACGCTCAAGATGTGGATGCAAGGGACGTCGGACGTTGACCTTCTTTCCGCCTTGGTCGCCCCCCTTCAGAAGTTCAAGATATCCAGCTATTGCGCGACGCTTTTGGTCATCCATGAGACGTGCACGCTTGTCACAGACCCAGGCGTGAGCACCGCGACGTCCGGAGTAGACCCACAGGATGTGGGAGAAGCCGAAGTCTTCTCGCAGCGCAACATCCACAACTTTGATAGCCATCGTGATGAAAGCCCAGCACCTGTGGCAGATAGATGCACCAGTACAACACGTACGGATATCATCGTAATCTGTCATATCGATATCGAATACCAACTCTTTCATGAGTGGCCGGAACGCACTAGCCTTACGGAGTGTCTTGCGATCTCGTGGATTTGTACTGTACATGGGTCCAATTTCGAACCGGGTAGGCAGCATCTGTATGCATTGTTTGCGAAGCATATCAGCGGTGGGGAAGGATTGGTATCGTAGGTACGCCTCGTTGGGAAGTGTGAATGCGAACTCTCGATGGGCAAAGTCGTTCGCGGGGGTCGGGCTGTGGTTCAGCCATTGGAAGAGGTAACGAAAAGGAAAGAGACGTTGGTAGAAGACGCGCATTATCTCGGGGTCGGAAAAAGATGATCGGCTTGTGATCTTGCTGTGATGTGTGAGCGTGGGCTGCTAAGAGGAGCGCGAGTGCGTACATCGGCGCTGACTGAGATGCGTCCTCTTCAGACCTGACTGGCACACTCGATGCAAACTCCCCGTCTGAATCATCGTCGAATAGCTCCTCCAGATTGACTTTCGACTTCTCTGCCGTCGCTGGTGGACTCGGCGCATCCTCCATTGCGGCATCCTGTGTTTCTGGCTCTGGCTTGATATCATCGGCTTGCGACATCTCTTGTGACGACTCACCCGCAGGTGTGGATTCTGGGGATATTGAGTGTGGCATAATTTTTGTAGAAGATTCGGGCATGCGTGCTGTGTTGCTGCACATTCGTCGACGGATCGTGGCTGCTGCTTGTGAGACGCGTCAGAACACTAGCGCGACTTTTCGCGTAAATTGATCTGTCCCATCTCCTTTGGGAAAGCGCTATCATCATCATCCAAACGCGTACCCAGAACCCTTCCAATCACGTCGTACCTCAACCACCCATTGTAACGCAACAGTCTGGGACAATGGCGGCGACGGAAGAGATGGTCGCGGGCGCTGGATGGATTTCTGATGACTCGAGCTTTTACGGTGAGTACAATCACATCTTGCAGCAAGCATCACGTCATTTAGAACCGGCAGCCATCACACCCTGTCAAACATTACACATATTTGATGCAACCAACCACTGCGATCTACTTCAATTTGAATGACTACTGCTCACCGCTCACTATAGTCTTGTGTGACTCACGACGCTGATGATGCATAGGTGACGAAGATGAACAAGAACACCAGCAGTCGCTCAGCAACCAAAACACACCAAAGGCATTCTGGTCGTCCCACAGTAAGGATTTGAATGCTATTATATCGCCGGCAAAGCTCCAGGCCAGCAGGGAAAGCGTCTCAGATGTTGATGCTACGCCGACCAAGAAGGTCATGCCACTTACCACCTCGACACGTGCTAACAGACTCCTCGGTTTATCTGGCCTTGACAGGAAAGCGATGGAAGAAGAACGACTCGGCAGGTTAGACAAGGGAAAACGCAAGCGGGTCCAATCACCAGAAGCAATACCATATCGTGAGATGTTCAATCCTATGGAGGGCCAGCCCTTCTCGTGGCAGCTGGGTGAATCCGCTGAAGCGTTCGTCAAGCGCGTTTCGCCACTCACCACGTCAGCGGCGACGTGCGAGTGGATTTGGGTAGCAAATCCCTATCGTGATCCACGAGACAAGTCTGTGGCTCCTCGAGTTGCTGCATTCAAAGACCGAGGCACAAAGCTGCTTGCCGATTCGTTACAGAAGCGGACCGAGATTGAAGAGAAAGGCCGGATTGGCCCAAGGAGTACTGTCACACGAGCGTGGAACCAGGAGACTAAAACCCTCCAGCAAAGCTTGACCAAGTTGGCAGTTGAGACTGGTGTCTTATCGGGAAAGGTAGGCTTTACCCCCTTTTGAAACGTATTGAGACGAGCTAAGCCCTTATTTCAGTGGATGCTGTTTCCTAAAGCTGAAGAAGTTACACGCACGTGGAGAAGCGTCGTTGAAGCTGTGATAGCCGACCGTCTTGGACCGATGGCTAAGGTAGCTCCCGAGGATGGTAAAGATGAGCGCTTGAGTCAGTTTAAATGCCTCGTTCTCATTTCAGAAACGGAGCTGATTAGTGAACAGTCTGCATCTACACCAAGGACTTTAGAGATGAAGAAGACGTGCTTCGCGTACTTCAGGAGCTCGAGGACATGGATCTCCTCCGTCACGGCCGGAGCATCTACTACAAGTCTGATGCCTTTACATACCTGGACCTGTATTCGGCAAGCGCCAACAAATACGGACTGCAGGCAAGTCTATATGCTAGCCAGAAGATGCTGGCTGCCGCTCGAACAGCTGCGCTGTCTGCGTCCCAGAGCACAGCCTCGCAGCAGGAACGGAAGATACTCAAGAGCTTTTATTAGCTGAAAAGTACGCGTCCCTCCATGCGTGCCGGACATGCATCGCACTTCTCAATTTCACATATTATACGACGCAGCGTACGTAACACGATTTGACCACGGCGATTCCAGAGCTTTATACCATCGAAATCACTGTCTTCTATCGTTTGTTCTTATCATAGCATGCGCGATCGCCCTTAGCATCATGGTTTATTGCATAGGGGGCTTACTTCTGGCAGACCTAGGCATCGCGATAGGGCACGCTATCCAAACTTGTCCTGCATGGAAAGTCCAAGCGGCAGTTGCTTGTGATTATAACAAACGAGCCTGGTATCTTATGTTGCACCCTCCCATTGAACTGCGACAAGTCCGATCGCTTGATCTCAGTTGACAAAACATTCTATTACCCCCCAATGAAGTGGATGCATCGGCGACACTGAACCGTTGTATTAATGAACATGGGTGGTCAGCTCTGATTGGTTGCTTATGAGTACGCTCAGCCAGCCTCACAAGCTAACATCTGCCTTGCTCTAAAGACATCTCTTTGCGGTCAATTGTTCCTCTTCCTAGTTATCTAAGTTGAGGGCCGTTACTGATACCGGCATCAAAGACACCCGAGTTGCACCACAAGCATGGCGTCCACATGCTACCGGTATACCCCGCTATCGTCCACATCATCTCTCCGTCTGCTTCGCCTCAAGAGTCCGCTTAGTGCACAACGTCCAAATGAGCCCATCGAAATCGAGTTGTTCGAGACATCCTTCGAGAATGCACCGACGTTTGAAGCAGTGTCCTATGCATGGGATCACGCAAGCACGTTTACCACTTTGGTTTGCAATGGGCAGCATTTACACGTTTCGCCGGTCGTTTCGGAAATGGTGTTTGCTTTGAGCTGCGTCAGTACGACTGGAGTATTCTGGATTGACGCTGTGTGCATAGACCAGTCGTCTGCGACCGATAAGAATATTCAAGTGCCACGCATGCGACTTATCTTCTCAGAAGCAAGAAAGGTGTGGATCTGGCTCGGCAAAGGATCCTTCGAAAGTACAGTGGCATTCAGATTTCTAATCGAGATGTACTCGTATTCTTGCGGTCAACAGGTAGAGCCCACTAACACTATGCTGGCAAAGAAGTGGTGGAATAGCCTTCGGACGTATCAGGGTAGGGCTTTGCCGAGCACTATTTTGGGGAAGCAACAGCTGACGCTCTCAGATACGATTCGAGAAGCTCGTGGTGTATACGATGCGGTTGACACTGACTTCATAATCGATGTTATACGCTCGCCTTGGTTTCACCGCACTTGGACGATTCAGGAGGTTGCTTTAGCAAGATCCGCCACACTTGTATGTGGAGGCATCACGTTAGAGTGGAGCTCTTTCTTGGATATATTGAAGCGATTGCAACAGTCACTTAGCGATCAGCCAACCCACGGAGTAGGAATGAAGCAACACCTAATCTCTAACCCGGCAACGTTCTTCGACGATATCAGGACCTATAGCACAATGACGGAAGTTGTGCTCCATCACAAGCCCTTGCCTTTATCTCGCGCCCTCGATTTGGTTCGTCACAATCACTCGACTGACCCAAAGGACAAGGTATACGGTCTATTTGGCATCTTCGACTACCTGGAGATAAAGGACCTACCGCAAGTAGATTATACGTGCTCGGTACAGCGACTCTACTATGAGATGACACGAACTATCTTCCGAAATGATGGACAATTACTTGTTCTGTACCTGACCGCCCTACCCTCGCACGTCTCTGATTTGCCAACGTGGATTCCAGACTACAGCAACACCGAGTATATTAGATACATCGACGCCAACGAACACAGAGCTTCGAAAAGATCATGTGCTGAATTCTCGTTCGGCCTCTCCGATCTCTCACTGTCAGTTTCTGGAGTACTACTTGACGAGATCGATTTGCAAGCATCATCTACGTCTATATGTACCCCGGATTTCCGTCAAGGTTTCGCAGCAAGGTCGAACTTGAGCAGCACCAAAGAGCGCTACACAGCAGTCACAGAGCTCATTCGAACACTGCAATCATGGGTTGATGTTAGCAGGAGGGTCGAATGTTATCCCACTGGCGAAGAGCCAAGTACAGCATTTTACAAGATCATGACGCAGCCTCTTCGGTCGGGATCGCAGAATTGGCCGATGCCTACCACTTCAAGGACTACGAAAGACATATTCGAGTGGTGGCTGTCCATTGTAACCACAAACCTCTCGGAAGACCCTTCGCGATTTCATCTCGACATTACCAAGATTGAATCTGACTCCAACTCTGCTGCGATCGTCAATGATTATATCCGACTGTTCGGGTGCTCCCAAGATCCTAGAGATTGGTCTGCTGAGCTCCAAATTCGACTTCTGCTTCGCGCGCGTGATCAGGCCTTGTCAACTCTTCAGCACGACATCTCACTGTTGTCGTACCAGAGAACATTCTTCACGACGAGCGCTGGTTACATGGGTGTAGGACCTCGCTGGGCCCAGCCATCAGACCGCATTGCATTGATCGCTGGCCTACAACTTCCTTTCATCCTCAGAAAGGCTGGAGATAAGTTCAATCTCGTAGGCCCTGCCTATATACATGGGATTATGCAGGGCGAGCGGTGGGATGGGGATTCTGCAGAAAAGATCACTCTTATCTAAGTCTGCAGTTGCAGGAATTACCAGTCTCAGTGCACCCTACCCATTGCCTGCAACGTTTGTCTTCGCGATCGCGCAACTTGCCCCTACGTCAAGCAATCTGAGCTTCTTACCGTAATTCAGCGTATGTACGTTGATGTGGCTTCGAAAAGACCCGCAAGCGCGTCAGCAATCCTTCAAAGGACCGCAGACAAGCGGAGCTAGCCACCTGCACCATGCTGAAGATGTGCGTTGTCATGACAGGTTCGACGCTCGGTTCCTATAGCGGATCGAGGATCGTTTGTCGCATGTCGCCATAGCCTGCAACGGCGCCATGAAGAGTCTTCTGGCAAGTCCGACCAATGCACACTCGCTGGCTTCTGAGACACCGCAGTAAACCACGCGAAGCCGGGCTGACGAGCGCTATAATCGGTCTTGATGCGCAGCACGGTTGCGCTATTGAAACGAAGCATCTCCGGGAACGTGAAATTTGCAAACCATTACTCGATAGCAACAGGGTCCAGCCGTAAGTCGCCGATGACGCGAACCATCTTACAACAAGCGCTCGCGAATGATGACCAACAGCGGACGTGGCCGAACACAACAGTGTTTGAAATTCAAGTTTTCGGTAGATGTTGATGTCGTCGACTGTGAACTCCGGAGGTATGCCTGGTCGGGGCAGGTGTTCTGTTTGCGAGTGCGGGAAGATTCGGTGATAAAATCGACAGCACAGCAGCACTTATGGCCCTCGGTTGGGGAGTAGTGGTCGGCCAGGTCCGACGGTTCTGAGCGTTTCGTGTTGCGCTTAAACCACCAAGCGGCTGTCCCGAGCCTGGCTTCAGTTTCTCTTACTCGATGATATCCTTGACGATCGAGTAACGAGAAACGTGGGTGCAGGCGTGTTGAGAGGTACGCGGGCGACGGTGTGCTAGCCTCTCCGGCATCTTCGGCGCTGGCTCCGGCGAGCCCTTCGGACGGGCAACGATGTTGCTACATGGCAGATGTCAACCAGCAAAAGAATCTCAGATGATGCCTCAGGAGGGCGACAACGAAGTACCTATCCTGGCTCTCCGACATCATGAGGGCTTGGAGCTTTATTAGGAGCATGACGTTGGTCCCGTTGGCCCTGCGCTAGTTCCCTTGACCTTAGCGCCGATCAAGCGATACGACTCCATCCTTATCAGTTACACGGCCGTCTCCGCTGAACAAAGAAGGTGCGCAGGCTGCCTCGCTGGCGGCCACATTGACCATTGTCGAGATTGAACATTGGTTTCTCCTGGTCTTAGACGAATGACCTTCCAAATGGGGCTGGCTTTGAGATTTGTATTGCAGTTTTATCAAACCCGCACGAAGCTACGGTTGAGACCGCGCTGGCCGCGCTTGCGCCGAACAACGGGAGCAGATTCGAGATGCATTGCCAAGAGTGTCGATAGCCCTACGTATCTACCCGAGTACCAATTTTGATCGAGTAAACGAGGCGGTCTGTCGCCGCCAGACTACGCACCCCTGGCGCCATGTCTTTTCCGGGGTTTGTCCACAGATCTCGGATGTCCCTTTGGGTGCATTGATAAGAGACCTGTACCCCAGGTTTAGGCGTTTTTGGTACCGCCGTTAGTATAGCACTCTTTGACCGCTGTATTTGACAGTCTCGACAGTACTTTCAATTCTTTCGAGTAATCCGTTGGACAGTCAGATTCAACACCACCCCTTCTTATCACTGCTTATCGCTGTCTCATACGAGGATCCCACATCCCACCACTGTCTTCCCCGCGTTTGCCGAGGCTGGGGAATTATAATTACACTTGTATCCTCAGTACTGAAGCTACAGCTATCCGCTCGAAAAGCTCTGTCATTTACACACACCTGTCACAATGGCACCACATGCAACCTCGCCCCCACCAGTGGAGCACAGCATACCGGTCCAGCCCATTCAAGTTGTTGCTTCTTCACGAGCAGTAGTTGATGGTCGATTGACTGAAGCTACCATTGTGATATCGCAGAATACTGGCAAAATTACATCCATCTTCCACTCTGTTCTGCCGCAATCAGATTTCCCCGAAGGCACACCATACACCGACTACTCACCCCACATTCTCCTTCCTGGTTTAGTAGATGCTCACGTACATCTCAATGAGCCCGGACGGACAGAATGGGAGGGTTTCTGGACTGGCACCCGTGCCGCTGCCTTTGGTGGTGTGACCACAGTTGTCGACATGCCGCTCAATGCCATCCCGCCGACCACTACTGTTGAGAATCTTAATATCAAGGTTGAAGCGTCACAGGGCAAGTGCTGGGTAGATGTTGGCTTCTACGGTGGCATCATTCCAGGCAACGACAAGGACCTCAAGGGGCTGGTCGATGCAGGTGTACGTGGCTTCAAGGGCTTCTTGTGCGAGAGCGGTGTATGTAATTCCTGGCGACATCCTACTTCAGATTGCTAATCCTCACTAGGTGGAAGAGTTTCCGGCTGTTTCCTCCATCGACATTGAGAAAGCTCTCCTTGAGCTGAAGGACTCAGCCACTACACTGATGTTCCACGCCGAAATGATTCCACCAGTTGCAGACTCTGTTGGTGACGACGTCCAACGCGCGAACCCTCCTCTTGCTCCCAAGGGCCCTCTCACCGCGTATTCCACCTTCCTCGCATCTCGCCCACCAGCCTTCGAGACGTACGCCGTCGCCGAGATCCTCTCTCTTGCACACCTCGCACCTGAGCTACAACTTCACATTGTGCACTTGTCGGCCATGGAAGCCATTCCTATGCTGCGTGAAGCGCGCGCAAAGGGCGTCAAGATCACGGCTGAGACGTGCTTCCACTATCTCGCTCTCGCGGCCGAGCGTATTGAGGAAGGCGACACACGACACAAGTGCTGCCCACCGATCCGCTCGCAGTCGAACCAGGACGCGCTCTGGACAGAGCTCCTCCAGGACCAAGCGGACGGCGTCATCCAGACTGTGGTGTCTGATCACTCACCCTGCACACCAGAGATCAAGCTCCTTCCACCTCACCTCGCACCCAGAAAACACACCACACAGACACTCAACCACAGCGAGGACTGCGAATCGAGCGACGATGGGCCCGAGACGCCAATGCAGGGACCAGAAGAGAAAGGTGACTTTTTCGGTGCGTGGGGTGGCATCTCGAGTGTCGGCCTTGGCCTGCCAATCCTGTGGACAGAGGGTCTGAAGAGAAATGCGGAGTTCAGCGTGGAGGAGATCGTGAGATGGTGCTGTAAGAACACTGCCAAGCAGGTCGGTCTTGAGAAGTCCAAGGGCGATCTTGGTGTCGGATTCGACGCTGACATCGTTGTCTTCGACGAGACTGCCGAGTTCCTGGTAGGTTCACGTCTGCATCAAGTCTGAAAATGGAACCAACGCTAACGTCGTGTAGGTGGAACCAAGTACCATGCTCTTCCGTAACAAGGTCTCGCCGTACGAGAACAAGATGCTCAAGGGCGTCGTGAAGGAGACTTTCCTTCGTGGCCAGAGGATCTTCTCGAGGGAAGAGGGCTTCCAGAAGACCGGGCCCAGTGGAAAGACGTTGCTTGAGCCAAGGAATGCTAGGGTGTAGGAGGGCTGCTGAGCACGAAGTTACATGTCGCAATGAGAATTATGACTGCATAGACGGCGTTCGCATAGAGGTATTTAGCATTGCATAGCGAAAAAGCAACGATGCGAGTGGTTTTGACAGCGAGCTTCGAATCAATAAGGATCAGGCAGATTCTTTATCATTGCCTATCTTTTAGTTGACTAAAAGTTGTCTTCTTGTGGTGCCGATGTGAAGAACACGCTGATACTCAATCTGCGATAGTTCACTGGTACATCCTATCCCCGACGAGCTGAATTGTCTAGAATGCTGGTACGTGTCTGAGACCAACCTGCTACCTATCACCGGGTGTGTCTCCCGTGAACTGAAGCGTTCCTTTGTGCCGCCATGCATGCAGCCATCTGGAGTCGTCGAGTCAACCAGCTTACCCGCTACTCAACACCGAGTCCTCAGCTGAAGCGTGCGCCAGAGCGCGGGGTAGACGCGGCGGTTGCGGCAGTTGTTGAGGGAACACAGCAGAGCTGGCGTGCAGCAACGCGCGTTAGCGCTCACCACGGTTCTCAGGCGGCGTGGCGACAGACTAACAAGCCCTAGCAAAGTTCAAAATCACAGAACATAAAAACAGAGAAGTGTGCAATGGTTTGTGAGTCTTTGATCTGATTGATTCTATATGCCCGACATATGGTGGTGTCTTTTCAGTCCTCCATGATTGCCTTGATGTCGTAACTCGTATCGATCGTGGGGGCGACGCGCTTATTTGGCCTCGTCGAAGACGTAGGTCAAGTGGCAGCGACCGCAGTACTGGCGGTTGTGCATGGCAGCCATGAAGACACCAGCACCGCACTCGGGCTGGGGGCACTCGCGGCGAAGACGCTCGATCTTGCCATCGCCGTCAACCTTGTAGTACTTGAGCACAGCGAGCTTGGTCTTCTTGCGCTTGTGCTTGATCTTCTTGGGGGTGGTGTAGACCTTCTTCTTCCTCTTCTTGCCACCACCACGGAGACGGAGCACCAGGTGGAGAGTGGACTCCTTCTGGATGTTGTAGTCGGAGAGGGTGCGGCCATCCTCGAGCTGCTTGCCGGCGAAGATGAGACGCTGCTGGTCCGGGGGAATGCCCTCCTTATCTGTGCAATTGTTAGGGACGGCGCAGCTTTGGCGACACGATGTGCGACGTACCCTGGATCTTGGACTTCACATTGTCGATGGTGTCCGAAGACTCCACCTCAAGGGTGATGGTCTTGCCCGTGAGGGTCTTTACGAAAATCTGCATGGCGGCCTGCGATTGTACTGTTAGGATCCAATGCTGCAGCGAAGATGTTAAGCGCCCGCATCGTCAAGATAGAGCCCGCATATCGAACGGGGAGCAGGTCCTGCGCCCAGTTCGAAACACAAGCCTGCCTTGGAATGACAACAGCGCATGTAAAAAAGAGATGTGTGCTTACCTAGACAAACGGGTTGTCTTCCTCAGTCGGTGCAGAAGGTTGCTGGGGGAAATTCTATGGATAAGGCGAGACGATTTAGCTCCGAGTGTGGGCTGCTTAGTCAGAGCCGAGCGTGGCTGGTGCGGCGACAAATCCTGGAAGGCGCTATGCAGCTAATTGGGCCCGTGCTGTGGCGCCTGCGTTGCTGGGTAACCGCGGCAGGATGTTTTGTATTGACGGGTTGCCGGAAGCAGGACTAGCCATCGTCATCTCCACCTCGCCGCGCTGATACATCAAACCTCGAGAATCCACACCCCTCGCATCCCATCCCCACAGACTCTAGCGCATCCATCATCTGCCTTTCTCTGGCCGCACACCGCCAGCACCACCGCGCTCTACATCTATCTGCATAGGCTTCGGCCGGTGATACTTACTTGAGGCAGGCTCTGGGAGACTGCACTGTACTGAGGATACCGTAAGGACACCAGCCGCCCGGCGGAGCGCCGCTTGTATTTGCGCGAGGTACGTCTCGACCCTGCTTCCTTGGACGCGATGGACATCGGCTCATCTGCAGCAGTATCGGACACTAAAGGACACCCGTCCTCGGACAACAACGCCGGACTCGACGAGCATCAGTATGCTGTCTACAAATTCACCCCAGGGCATCTCCCGCCGACGAATGCCACACAGGCGTCAGCTTTCGACACCAAATGCATTCGAGATGCCCAGCGTACGACAACACAGCCCTGTCGGTCGGGAACAACGGCGACACAGCCGGTCAGGCATGAGCTTGGATCTTCGAGGTCTCAACCTCGAGCCATTCCAAGCACCCAGCCCTGGTCCCTACGAACAGGAGCATCGTGCCGTGAATTTTACTAACCATCTAGGACAACCATCACAGCAAACTATGCAAGTAGCGCAATCGCACAGCCAGCCCCAGCCGGGCCCCCAGGAGGCCTACCTACACTCCCCAGTACAGTTATCTCCCAGGTGCAGATCACCGCGATCGCCAATATACGTGTCTCGCCCGCACTCACCCCTGTCCCGACCGCAGTCACCTCCTAAGCCTCCAACTGAACAGCAGTTGAAGGACCTTCACGAGCACATCCAGTCTGTGTATGGCTCATGCGGACAGGTTTTCATTAACATTCTCCCCACACCGACGGTTCCGACAGCACCACAAGCTGTTATCCCTGAAAAGCCAGCACACTTGCCCAGCCATCAGTCGTTCGGTATGGCGCCTCACCCGACCAACTTCAACGACGTTGCAGGCATCGATCTTCGACCAACATCACGCGCGATGACTTTCGACTTCGAGAACCCTGATCAAGACAACGGTTACGAATCTTCTGGGTACTACGGCTCAGATGTATCACCATCGCCGCAAGCCTCGCCACGCATGAGGATGGCGCAGCCTTTCCTGCAGGGTATTGCAGAAGACCCTTCTCAGGAGACACCATTGACGCCGTTTTCGCATCAACCTACGCTCCTTCCTGCATTGGACCCGCACAGCCCAACACACGGAATTCCCAACGGCCTACCGCTTCCTGTGAGCCCCTTCGAGGAATCGCCACTTTACACAGACCTTGAATTCGATGCTAGTCTCGAATACACTGGCATCGCCCCCGAAGAAGTCCAGCGATACATTAGCGAGCAAGATTCCAAGACAAACAAGTGGACATGTATGTACCAAGATTGCGGAAAAGTTTTTGGCAGAAGGGAAAATATTCGCTCGCACGTCCAGACACATCTTGGCGACAGGCAATATAAGTGCGGTGGGTGTGGCAAGTGCTTCGTACGACAGCATGACCTCAAGCGTCATGCGAAGATCCACACCGGGAACAAGCCATACAAGTGCCCATGCGGCGCCGGCTTTGCGCGACAAGATGCACTCACTCGGCACCGACAGCGTGGTATGTGCGTTGGTGGGTTCGCTGATGCTGTACGACGACAAGCCAAGCGTGGCAGGCCAAAGAAGCATCGCCCCGAAATGGAGGAGCGTGTAGAGAAGGCCAGCAAGACACGGCGTGCCCTGGTCTCAACAGCCTCATCCGTCTCGGCGAGCTCGCCTGACTCCGACGACGCCCACACGCCATACGAGACATATGAGGCCACTCACACACAAAACTTCAACGATCCAGTAAATGCTTCAACAGATTCATTCAGGTATGTGACGTGCTCTATAGTTCTCCTCGAGTTGATAGATGCTGACTTCGTCTAGTTTTGAGCCGCAGTCAAGTCCATATCATGAAGAGGCTGAGGAGAGTACCTTTACACTTACGACATCGTACGCTGGCGAAGTTGCCTCGATGAACCTCCTCCGACAGCTGTCCGACGGACCAGCACAGACACCTCCCTTAACCCCAGGCGACCAACGCCCACGTTCGCGCGAGTCGGTGCCGGTACCGGTGCCAGTGCAAGACCAGAAGCCGCAATTTCGATCAAGCCCTTTAAAAACTACGGAGTCGCCGTCCCGGTCATCTATTCGGTCGCAGCAATTTACAACACCACCGACATCTCCGATTGCGCCAAAGGACGAGTTAGAGGAGCTCTTCGACCTTCGACCCGAGCCCTCAATGTCGCAGTTCGACCTTGAGATGAAGGCGATGAGCGACTTTACAGCGGTCGACAACAACTCATACGACTTTCTTGACTTCACCTCTGTATAAGTTACCCGAAACCGGCCGATTGAGGGGGACTGTTTGATAATTAAGATCTACGAACGTAATGATTGGCGTTCTTGCAATCTTGGGAAAAGCTTTAGCTGGCGTGTTTTGGACTTGAGCGGGCTCATTTTGTTTTCGCAGCAAACACTGCATGTGTATCTGTTGTTTAAGATTGAATATGTTCTTGGTTCTTGTATTAGGGTCCGCGCAGCTATGCTGTAGCGATGTTGGCGTTTCTAGCTTGTATTTGCCTTCTTTCATTGGAGAGCTTGCGCCGTAAGGTGAGCAGCTCTTTGAACATTCTTTTATATCTTTATTGTAAGCGTATCGCACGAACACATCCTGGCAACTGAACATTGTCGAAGACTGGATTTACTCGCTGCCCTTCTTCAAATTCGCTGTCCACTTCCATTGAGTGCAGTGTCGTTCGTTCTTGCATCCTCTGTTGTCCCACGCTTGACCAAGAAGTGAAAGCAGGCTCGCCATGGCTTTCACTTCTCAGCTCTTCGTATCCGCACATGCTACCTGTAAAATTTGCGGCCGCCTTCAAGTATTTAGAGTCGATAACACAATAACACCACTTACCTCTCAACGGCCTATACAGCGCGAGCCATCGTACTTCCTCCCGCTCGCGCTTTTCTATCGATACCCACACTCGATACGGTAGCTGCAACTGGCAACGACCCGCGCCAACTCGGTTCAATGTCTGCACCACTGGTGCCATCACGTTCGTACACTTTGAACGGGCATACTCACACCCGTTCCCATGGCCTGCTCGGCCTGCTCGATCTTGTCAGACGCAACACCACTCGCATCACTACTCTGACCTCGATCAGTATTGGTGTTATTGCTATGATCGAGGACCCTACCTGCATCCCAAGATTGGATGAACTAGGCATTGGCATAGTCGCGACTGTGTGCGCTGGAGTTGTCATCTATGGTGTTGTGGGGCTGAATCGCAGAGGCGAAAGAATAGGCTGGGATGGAGAGGGCTTTGAGGATGCTTGGGGTTGGGTATGGCGCTGGACATTAGACAAGTTGCCAGGTGCAGGCAAAGACACTGAGGGAGACAAAGGAGAGGCAGATACAACGATGATGTTCGACAAAGACGGCAACTCAGTCTTCGTGCTCGACCAGCCCGAACGATCAAATCTTGCGACACCGATACCGAAGCGTGATTCTGCCCGCGAAAATGCAGCGACGCCGAGTCTCACGCCCACGATCGGCTTGTCGCATAAGGCACTCGATCGCCCTGCTCTGCCCGAATTCAAGGTCCCTTCTATACCGGGTCCACGACCAATGCCTTCCACGCCGTCATCGTGTAGACAAGACCGCGGTTTGACTTCCAGCTTCTCACAGTCCCCAACACTGAGCTATTCGATGGTTCAGCACCAACTAGACCGCACCACACAAAGTCCCGTGAGCTACAACACTCTTCCTGAGATCAACCACGCGTCTGGTCTTCTGGGTCCATCGCCAATGCCCTCGCGTTACGCCATTCCGGAGTGGAAACACTTCACTGGCCAGGGGTTCCACAAACACCACCAGAGGCAGGGTGCTGTAGCCAGGTGGTTGATTTCAGGAAGTAGCAGGAGCTTGGAGGAGACTACGCGCGAGATTGAGCGGATAGATGAGCAGGATGGAGGCAAGGAAGATCTTTCAACAGGGAAGACAGACACGAGGACTGATAGCAAGAAAGTTGGAGAGTGGGCGGGTGGCTTTGATTGAGCCGGTGGCGCGAAATTCTGGCTTGAATGTTCAGGCGATGTAGGAGGCCTGATGCCTGATATATTGTTTCCACCTGTTACCAGGAGATGCAGAATCGTGGCTTCCTATTTCATAGACATTGCCGTTCATCTCAGTGAACACACCGAGTCAGACAGCAACTCCACTCCTTGTCTACTTCTCTACCATGCTCAGAGCCGTTGTGACCTCAGGCTTGCACATCGAATGTTGATCTTCCCTGCTTATCTGTCGAACTGTGTCCACCGTCCTTAGTGTTCGAGTCCCCTCTTTCGCTTCGGCCACGGGTTCGCCAACGCTTGATTCGTTAGAAGTTCACATTGCATCTCCAAGGATCACATTGCGCGCCAGGGCTCTTTGCCCACAGTTTATGTGATTCGTTCCTGAACCGTGACAGACCGTGCTCGTCACCTCTATCAATGATACATTGTCTCAATAGAAAGCTAATATCTCAGATAGCATTCTGCATATGCAGCACTATGTCGGCTCACAACTGCCGGAAGTCATCCATGCCGACAAACACCTGTCACCTAGACGCACTCGTTGAGATACGGCGTACCGGAAATACAATGCTTGTTGCTCTCCCGAGTCCCGAGCATGCAGTACTGAAACAAGATCAGCGATGCAATCACCGCGACGCTGCTTCTTCGGACCGACAAAAGATAGTTCATAAGCATGACTGCCCAAGGTGCGCCTTGAGCGCTTTGCGAGTTGGAATGGGCTGGTGCTGATTCTGTATGTGTATGTTGTAGATTTGATACCAGTACAGTCTGCCAATAAACAACAAATGTGGTCGCGAGAATTGAAGGTGTCGCTGGGGGGAGGGTTCGTGGAGCAGCTTGGTTGATTCCCAACACTGAATGGGGAGCGGACTGCAGTCAGCATTGACAGTCACTCTCTTCTGCAGAGGGACCACCGTGTATCTACCGCATTCTCGTCGTGCCATGTGGATTCAGCTTGATAGATTGATGGACAGTAAAGAAGTCTGAGGAGCGAGTTCTACAGCACGAGAAGTGATTATAGGTACGTTCTGGTAGATTTTAACAGCAATTTTCTACTGCTCCTCTAGTCTCAGATCTTTACAAATAGAGGCAGTCCGGGTATAAGAGAGCATGACGATCTGAGTTGCGCAGCTCTGCCTAGAGCCTTCTCCTTGTTGCGCCTGCACCCGTGCCGTTCACCTTCCTCGTTCCAGCTGCCTTCTTTCCCGGCTTTCCTTCGACCTCGCCCACGACCTTCTCAGCAGTTCCCACGACCTTATCTTTCACCTTCTCCGTGGGAGTACGTCTCTTCTTCACGACCTTGGTCCTTGGTCCGGTGGTGGTAGCTGTGGCTTTGGGTTTCGCGACGCGACCGGTTGTTGTGCGAGGTTTCGAGGTGTTGGCTGTGGTAGTCGTGCGCTTCTTTGGTGCGATAACATTCTCGATCTGCTGCACGATGCGTGGCTTGCTATTGCCGGTGCTGGCACGTGTTGAAGCTGTCATAATGGCAACGGACTAAACTTTTCGTCAAACTACGCGCCTCTAGGTCAGGCGTGTACAGCGGTTGGCACGTGAAGTGTACGCGATCGATCTGGGGCAGTCTGAAAAGAACAGAACGCGACTGGTAACAAGAGGAGGAAGGAAAGTCAAGGCATAAGAAATTCGTATGCGACAAAACACCACAGAAGGTTATCCACGTCACAGATGCCGTGGCAAGAACTTAGGCGTGAAGCTTGAAATGACACGTACGACGCGTGAATGACTGACAGAAAGATTAGAGTTGAATTTACGACTCACACAAAGGGTTGTGTAATGCGGGGGAGTGGAAGTACGAGGCGCGACAGGAGCGAAGTCAACGGTTGTTGTCGACGACGAGGGAAGAGAGATTGCGACGCGAAGGAGGGGGCTTGTAATCTACAATCTGCCCAAGTCTCAAGCGAGACGTGTCTCACAACAACATCTGAAAACAGGTGATCAATGTGGATGATCACATGGGTCAGAAACAGCCGTGACTAGTTGGGCAGCTGAGTGTTGTGTTGTTCCTGGCAAGGCTAGACTGTTCGGCGTGTCAGCCCCAATCTGTGCTGTGACAGCATGTCTAGGTGCGAAGTAAAGATCGACGGGATGATAGGTGGCTCGAGGAACTCTGTACTGCACAATTATGAAGGACCGATCCGCGAGTAAAGCTTTCGAGATCCTTTACATTACGATCAACGGTCACGGCGAAAGGCGAGACCAATGCCTAGTATGTCATAAGCGCCAGAAGTTGGCAACCGAAAGACTCACAACAGGATGCGATGCGATAGTGTTGTTGATCATGCCGATTATCCCAAAGAGATAACCAACGTTCAATTACTCCTATTAACCTCCACGGCGCAAACTGCGCTCAAGCCTCAATGTGCGCGTTGACAACGCACTCAGGCCCCTATGTTGAAGCTCCTATCTTTAACGCCGTGCATGGCCCGCACTGGGTGCACTCTCTATCATATGACTTGGTAAAAGCCTCTGGAAACGAAACTGACATGCAAAGGAAACTTTTGAAGAGGGCTGCTGATCACAGGGGTATATGCCCTTCCCGACGCCGAAACTTGTTGAAAGAAGAATTGCCGCCTTCTTCAAGATATGCATATCATATCGCTAAATCGTTACTTCTTGACTGTGTGGTTGAAGTTGATTCAAACCACTCGTGTGACAAATATTAAATTCGTACATTTAGAGCTTGAGCTCCTTGGGCTTCTCCCAGGTGAAAGACTGGTTGGTGAAGTGACCGTTCTTGGCGGTTGTGTTGTAGATGGGGTTGGTGAGGTTCAGCTCCTTGACAATGACACCAGGGCGGAGATCAAAGTTCTTGTGGATGATCTCGACGAGCTCATCGGAGGACTTGTCTGAGGTGCCGTAGGTCTCAACAAAGAGGGACAGCGGCTCAGAAACACCGATGGCGTAAGAAAGCTGGACCAATGCGCGGCGAGCCAACTTGGCGTTGACGAGCGACTTGGCGATCCAGCGGGCAAGGTAAGCAGCGGAGCGATCGACCTTGGAGTAGTCCTTTCCGGAGAAAGCACCACCACCGTGGGCACCCCAGCCACCGTAGGTGTCGACGATGATCTTACGGCCAGTGAGACCGGCGTCACCCTGGGGTCCACCGATGATGAACAGGCCAGAGGGCTGGATGTGGTACTTGACGTTGTCGTCAAGGTACTTGGCGGGGATGACCTTCTTGATGATCTTCTCCTTGATCTCCTTGCGGAGCTCCTCGGTGGTGATGTCCTCGCTGTGCTGGGCAGAGACAACGACAGTGTCAACACGAAGGGGAATGACGGCACCGCCATCGTGAGCGTACTCAACAGTGACCTGGGTCTTGGTGTCGGGTCGCAGCCAGGGCAGGGAGCCGTCGCGACGGGCCTCGGCCATAGCAGAGTTGAGCTTGTGGGCAAGGATGAGGGTCAAGGGCAGGAGCTCAGGGGTCTCGTCGGTGGCATAGCCGAACATGATACCCTGGTCACCAGCACCGAGCTTCTCAAGAGCCTCCTCGTAGTGGAGACCCTGAGCAATGTCGGGCGACTGCTGCTCGATGGCAACGAGGACGTTGCAGGTCTTGTAGTCGAAGCCCTTGTCAGAGGAGTCGTAACCGATGTCCTTGATGGCACCACGGATGATCTTCTGGTAGTCGAGGTGGGCCTTTGTGGTGATCTCACCGAAGACCATGATCATACCGGTCTTGGTGGCAGTCTCGCAGGCGACCTTGGAGAGCGGGTCCTCCCTGAGGCAGGCATCGAGCACGGCATCGGAGACCTGATCGCTGTGGACGTGTTAGCACGGTGTCCTCTTCGTGTTGTTGGGTGGCTAGTGGGGCGGTCGACAGTGCAGCACGTCATGTACGTATTGTTGTCTGACCCCACCGAGGATAAAGAGGGGTGGGAACATACCAGATCTTGTCGGGGTGGCCCTCACCAACAGACTCGGAGGTGAAGAGGAAGGTGCCCTGAACAATGGTAAGAACGACGCGGGGCTTTCACGGGACAATTGGAAGTACCTTGCTGGGCGGCGCGGTGCCGTTGGGAACAGTCATTGTGATGGATATGAGGAAGCAAAAAGATAGTCTAGGACTTGCGACCGCGTGAAAATGTGCGAAGAGCGAGAGGATGGAGAAAGATTGGGAGGAGGGGCGCGCGACTTTATGAGGTTTGGGAGTCGTTTCCAATCTGCCGAAGTTTTCAACGTGCCCTCCACGAAAGCCTAAGCCGCCCGCCGAGTTCGCACTAGCGGTAGCACACCATTTCACCGCCCCGAGTGGGGAGCTAATGAAATGCGCCGAATTCCCATCTATCACCGCCCTCGCCGGCAGAAGTTCTGACCGACCACGTTCCCCTCGATGCCCCACCAGTCAGTTCCAGCCATCCACCTTTCAGACCGCCTTTGTGGCAGAAAAGTGGCCGTCTTCCGCAGATAGCAACAGGCCGAGCTGGTGACGCAACACCCCGATTGTCACGCAACTACAGCCATGAGTAAGTTTGGCACGCTGGTGATGGTGAGAGACGCACTCGACAAGCATCAATGTAGGGCTATGCTGACGATCTATAGGGCCCAGCCGGCGCAGGCAAATCCACCTTCTGTACCGGCCTCATCCAGCACCTTCAGAACAATAAGCGCCCATGCTTCTACGTGAACCTCGATCCTGCGGCCGAAGACTTCGCCTTTGAACCGGACCTCGACATCAAGGATTTGATCAGTCTAGAAGATGTCATGGAAGAGATGAGCCTCGGCCCCAACGGCGGTCTCATCTACTGCTTCGAGTTCTTGATGGAGAACCTTGATTTCCTGACGGACCCTCTTGAAGAAGTCACTGAAGATTACCTGATCGTATTCGACATGCCCGGACAGATCGAACTCTATACCCACGTACCGATTCTGCCCGGCCTCGTCAAAACCCTTATGAACGGCAGCCTGAACATTCGCATGTGCGCCGCATACCTCCTCGAAGCTACCTTCGTTGTCGATCGACCCAAGTTCTTCTCTGGCACACTATCAGCCATGAGTGCTATGCTTATGCTTGAGATGCCACACATCAACATCCTGAGCAAGATGGACCTCGTCAAGGGTCAGGTAGCAAAGCGCGAGCTGAAGCGCTTTGTGCAGGTTGATGCGGACCTAATTGAGGACGACCCGTCGCGCAGGACGACAGATGAAGAAGACAACAGGAAGTACAGGGACCCCGCGACAACGGAGAGCTTGATGAGCGGCTCAGCATTCCATAAGTTGAACAAGGCTGTTGCGCAGCTGATTGACGACTTCAGCATGGTATCATACCTGAAGCTGGATGTGCAGGACGAGGACAGTCTAGGTGCCGTGTTGAGCTACATCGATGACGCGATCCAATTCCATGAGGCGCAAGAACCTAAAGAGCCTAAGGAGGCTGACATGGAAGAGTAAAATGAAAATTCTGGAAAGCATTTACAAATCAGGCGTTTCGGCACGACACAATTGGGAGCATTAGACGGCGCGCTGGTCATACGGGGGTGGAGGCACGGTGATACGATACCCAAATTCAAACATCAGTTTCAACGCTTCGACTTCTTCATTGAGTTAAACATAACCTAGACACTGCGGATTTCGGTTCCCATCTGACTCCATCTCACAGTACGGCATACGTACTGGCTCAGCCCTGACACCCTTCGCCACCAGCCTTTCCCTCAAGTCACTTAATCTAGGGCTGGCATCAACCTGGCTCCTGTTCTGACCATCCCCATCCTTGGCACCACTCCACAATACCTCAGCAGCAGCAGCCGCGCGAGGCCATAACATAGTATCGAGATTAATCGCATCCGTTTGCTCGCCCCATATATGCACCTCACCACCGATAACCAGATGTTGAAGATGCTCTGGCACCCCCTCATAGGGATCTTTGGAGTAGATGAGCCGCCAGTTGTGGAAGGGTGCGCAGTAATCGATATAAGGCCACGCATCTCTTGACGGGTCTCCTGGCGCGAAATCCAGCCACTGCCCTTTGCCGCAGTCGAGATACCAGAACTTGTAGTTACCCACCAGTGCTTTGTGGCCAGACTCCACAATCTGGAGTACAGCCTCATCGCTCTGCCATGACTGTACGATCACGTCGGATCCAAGTGTCAGGTTCCACGTTAACAGCATCTCTTCCCATACAATAGGCGTTAGTCCAGCTTTTCTGACTCGATCGTGGTTCGCGGATACAAAGGCTTGCATGAGCGGCCGTAGTACCTCTGGATCGCTCGATTTGACAGTGTCATCAAGTGTATATGCCTCGAGGTTCACCTCATCGCCACCAGTGTGAAAGTATGTCGTGAATGGCGCGACTCTCGGCATCAAATCTGCAAAGAGCGTATCCAAGAACTCTCCCACCGCAGTCGAATTCAACTTCAACGTGCCCGAGGGAGGCTCGGCGGCATAAGTTTCCCAATTCGGTTGCTTGTTGTACGCAGCGATGAGTTCGGGCTGCGAGTACCAAATACTGGATGTGTGGCCAGGCATGTCGATTTCAGTGATCAGCTGGACGCCTTGGAGTGCTGCATATCGTTGCAACTCTGCAAAGTCGGCCGCGGTGTAGAGCAAATCTGGCCGATACGCTCCCTTCCGTGCGAGGTCAGGCAGCGAGAGGATTTCCAGAGGCCAGGACTGCGAGTCGGTGGCGTGGAGGTGCAGACGGTTCATCTTAGCATAAGCAACAGCATCGATCTGTCGCTTTATATCGGGCAAAGGGATGAAAGTCCTCGATACGTCCAAGTTGATACCTCGGTGTTCGAATTGCGGTTCGTCCTGTATTTTGACCGGAGCCAGGGGCGTGTAGACGTGTTCTCCATCCGAATGCTGGAAAAAGAGCTGTGTGAAGGTTGTCAAGCCTCGAGCTACACCAATGCTACTATTTGCGGCTATCATTGCAACACCGTCTTCTGTCACCTCAAGTGTGTAGGATTCATCCAAAGATCCCGCTGGTGCTTTTGTAATGTCCGCAGAGTCAGGCCCAAGACGGTGAATATTGACACGACTGATGTAGATCGCTCCCTTTCCCGGAGCAGGCTCGTCCCAACTTCGCGAATGGAACTTCCATGGGTAGAAGCCCTGTTCAAAAATAGTCTTCCAGACCGATCGAAGAGCAAAGTCGATTACATCGTCGCCAGATACTTCTGTCGTGTCTCTTGCGCGATTGTGGTGCTCGAATGGCTCTTTGTAGCGCCTGTGGAGGCTCAATCCATCCACGCCATTATTCTGCGTAGCGGCCTTCGGGTTAGAATTGAACACAGAGAACAAAGGTGATTGATCGGGATGGTGGTTCACATTTCTAGCACCAGCTTCATACCAGTAGAACGTAACATCTTTTGCTATCCAAAGGACAGCATCGCCGTGCTCGTATGATTTGGGGATCGGCCACAAAGCTAAAGAAAAACCTGTGAAATACGGTATCAAGAGAAGGAACTTCATGCTGAAACTATGGATTGGGGGGATTGAGATGTGAGAGAATAGTTAAATAGAGAACACGTCCGTGACAGCCGATCATGCGTGATGCTACAGATGAATCCTGGAATGAACATGGGGTTGAAAATGCTGGAATGAAGCTGGCGCAAGGAAAGTCTATTCTGACATGCAAATTTCGCGTTCGGCTGTAAGTAAGACCAATTTGATACGTCTGAAGAACTATCAGGTTGCTCAACCAGAGTGACAAGGTGTCGATATTGCGGGGTCAATGTGGGGCTGACGGCACGGTCTCCTGATGCATTTTGCGATCTTCGCATTGGCAAGAAATGACAAGTACGACTATAGATGCTGAACAACATCAGTGTTTCGGGTGTACAGAAAACGTGCGTGTGTGACAGATCACGTACGAGTTGATTGAAAAAAAGCTTCGACAGACCAAGAACTCCGATCACGGATCGTGCCTGCCACAACCGTCACTGTGCCACAACGTCAACCAGCTCGGTTGCACCCATCTTCACGCACGAGCCTTCACACATCAACGAAATCACAGGCCGTGCTAAACTCATCCAGCGCAATCGTTCGAATTCCCCAATGGGGACGACCCCTTCCGAGAGTCCGCCAACCCACTAGACTGTCCGATTGGCTCTCGGACGCTGGAAATCCAAGCAGTCCGTTAGCACCTCACCCGCACGAAAGTTAAGCTCTTGCTTCACAAGATCATGCTCCACGCTTTCCCCGCTTTTCACACGCGTTGACAGGGTGTAGCACGAGCAAATGCTGCGTGGGGAAAGTCACCCATGTCATTTTCAGCAAACCTTGCGACTTAAGCACATAGCCTGATACCGAGGTGTGCACATCAAGTGACGAGAAGCGCAAGACCACCTTTGCAAGCCTATGAAAACCGCTGAACTGGTGTTGGCAACTTCGTGATTGGGTGCCGCGGCATGAGAGACATGCCATAGTGCCGGACGACTTATTCGTACAGTGATGTAACAAGTCGCGCGGACGCGAACGAGTGGGCCATAGATGACTAGTGTAGTGCGACACGAGGATGGTGGATACATATATCCAGCCCTTGCACTTGGACTACCTGTGCTTTGATGGACCTGGACGCTGCTAAGTAACAGTGAAATTCAATCTCTCACGAACTACTCAACATGCCTGCTATGGCTGACACGTTGCCTGCTCACCTGTCGACACCATATCTTCTCGGATGTGTGGCCATACTATACATCGGCTACAAAGTCGCTTTGACAATACAGATCAATGCCAGAATCCACAAACTGGGTGCCCGGGCGCCTGTAAGAAAGACGTATGTGCCCATGGGACTGGACATGGCCTATGAAGCCGTTACACACGCGTTAAAAGATAAGAGCTACGAGATGTGGACTCAGATGTTCGAGAAATGGGCTGGTCCCGGTCGGTATACCATCGAGGCTGGTATAGGACAGAGAGTCATCCTGACTGCAGAGCCCGAAAACATTAAAGCTATCCTGGCGACCCAGTTCAAGGACTACGGGAAGGGCGAACAGTTCAGAAAAGACTGGCATGCGTTTCTTGGAAATGGCATCTTTACAACCGACTCGACACTCTGGCACAACTCACGTCAGCTCATCCGGCCCCAATTCATCAAGGACCGCCTCTCAGACATCGAGATTTTCGAAACCCACACGCAAGTACTACTCTCCAAGCTCGGTGGGAGTGAGTCAACCGATATACTGGATATGATGTTTCGCTACACGCTAGACGCAGCAACACACTTCCTCCTCGGTGCCAGTGTGGACTCGCTGCACCACCCGCAGACGAAATTCGCGGACGCTTTCTACAACGCGCAGCGCGTGCAGTCTATCATCGCACGCGTCGGGCCGCTGAACTGGGCTGTTCCCCGGAAACGAATGGGCTTCTACGACAGTATGGCCATCATTGATGAGTTCGTGAGCATGTACATCGACAGAGCGCTCGCTCTATCCACCGAGGAACTCAACGAGAAGAGCAACCACGACTCGGGCTACACCTTTCTCCACGCCATCGCGGGCTACACTCGTGACCGCCAGATGCTGCGCGACCAGATCATCTCAGTACTGCTCGCCGGCCGCGACACGACCGCATGCACCCTTACATGGGTTATCTATCACCTCTCGCTCTCGCCTAGCATCACCGCCAAACTGCGCCAGGAGATCATCGATACTGTCGGCCTGAGCGACACCCCGACCTACCAGCACCTCAAGGATATGAAGTATCTCCAGCACGTCCTGAACGAAACCCTGCGTCTCTACCCCGTCGTTCCCTACAACGTCCGCATGGCTCTCAAAGACACCACGCTGCCCACCGGCGGCGGACCACGCGGCGATCAACCCATCGGCATCCTCGCCGGCACACCAATTGGGTACAGCACGCTCGTAATGCAGCGCCGCGCCGACTTGTATCCCGGCCCCGAAACCGGCTTCGCAGACCCTTCACACTTTGTCCCTGAGTAAGTCTCCCCTCTCGTCATCTCGAACACAAGAAAACAAGCTGACACCCGCAGACGCTGGGACACCTGGACCCCCCGCAGCTGGACGTACATCCCCTTCAACGGCGGGCCGCGCATCTGCATCGGCCAGCAGTTCGCGCTGACGGAGATGGGGTACACGCTTGTGCGCCTGCTGCAGCGCTTCTCGGGGATCGAGAACCTGATGGGCGGTGAGCTGCCTGGGCTGCATGCTGACATCGTGCTGCAGCCAGCGCGCGAGGTCAGGGTGAAGTTTGTGGAGTGAGGGAGCCGACCGGGCGAGGGAGGTGCGTAGGGATGGGACGATGGGATCGCGCGACGACGTCGTGGGAGGTAGCTTCGTGTTGTAAATCAATCTGAGGTTGGTCGTGCGATGGAGATTACTACCCAGGGAGAGAACTAGAAACTAATGCTATCTGCAGCGCACACGCAAAGTAGAGGCAACCCGATCAAAGACTGTTTCGCCAATGCTGAACAAAGCAATGCTGGCAACCTCGTGAATGTCTTTCTCAGCTACAGATAGTGGCGTACTGCCACCATGTGAGTGGGCATCAGGCGCACTGCAACTCTTATAGTAGTGGAGAAACGCATGGTTGACACGATGTGTGTGAAGGACTTGATATTCAAGCAACGTCCAAAGCGGAGAGATATAGTACAAGAAAGATATAGAACGAAGTTCAGCGGTATCCAAATAACCCGTATATTGCGATGCTCGAAGTGAGACGAAAGAAGAAAATTGTCCAACACATTTCGCTGCCACCATGCTTACTCCATGCTCCATGCAGACCCAATCTATGCGCCAAATGCCCGAAGGTCGTGAAATTCTGATCGTCGTAGTTAGTCGTCTAAAAGTCGCCGGCAAAAACGCTGCCACTGCCCACGCTGCCGCCAAGGTCCCAGTAGTTCCTCTGACTGTTCCCGCTCCGCTTGCTCTTCTTCGTGCTCTGGCTTGCACAGCTGGAGTTGCTCCGCAATGTCTTCGGCCTCAGGCTGGCCTGGGGGTTGTAGTGCGTGCGGTACGTTGTGTCCAGCTCCCTACGCTTTGCCTCCCTGAGTTGGCCCGAGGACGACGTCGGGAGCACTCTATCCGTCGTCCTGCTGGCCAAAGGGTGGTTCTGGCGAATCATGGCCGCGCGGCGAGCAGACGCACCCTCGTCGCTCGTATAGGTAGAGGAAGAGGCTCGTCTTGTAGGAGTCGGAGTACGAGATGTGAAGCGTCTTACAAGAAAGTTGAAGATCATCTTGACGTCAAGGTCGCGCTCCCAGTATTCTCGCTCGCGAGCTATATCTTCAGCGACGGCTCGTGCAGTTGTGGCAGGGTCTGGGTGAGACGCGTCCATAGCATCAGCCTCGTCAGGCTCTTCCTCAATACCCCATAATGATGCGTCGCTGTATCCATGTGACGTCTGTTGGTTTGGGAATGTGGCCGCGAATTGGACCGAAACTGGAGAGGGGTCGGAGGGCTGCGAGCTAGTCGGGCCTGAGGATGCGAGATCGGTCGGAACAGGTTGCGTCATACCTGCATATTCAGGCGCGACCTGAGTGCGCTGATATGTGGAGAAAGCGCCTGGGTGTTCGGAAAGTTGGTGTACCAGAACTCCGAGTTCTTGTGCGACACGCTCCAGCACTCGCGTCTGCCAGTCCTCTTCGGGGTAAACTGAGGTATCTGCGAACGCATCTCGTAGAACGCGGTCTGCTGGTGACGTCGACAAGGAACCCCCTGTAGGTGTCATGGCATCCTCAGGTAGACTCTCGCCGAAAATGACAGAAAGTGTATCGTTGTCAAGACCGATAAGATCTCGAATGACGCGAGTGGTAAGACGTTGCCAAAAGGACATGTTTTCTGTGCCTTCATCTGAGCCGTCACTCTGCTCGCTCGTAACTGTATGAGCAACCGAAGACGCAAGGCTTCTGATGTCCTGCCGCGCGGCGTCCCTTTGACTGCGTGTAGATGCAGCCAGACTCATGCGCCGTATCCTTCTAGTCTCTCGTTCAATCTCCTCAAGCACAGCTTTGCTCTGCTCTAACCGCCAGTTCTCTATGCGTTGCCGTCGTTCCTGCTCCTGGGAGATGTCGTCCGTCTCGTCTAGTATTGTGAAGTGTCGCTGCACACTCGACCGCCGCCTCGCAGCGCGTTTGCGTGGAGAGCGTTCGAACTGCCACATGTGCTCCTGCATGGTGGCATCGGGCTGGAAGGAGCCCAGCCCATCGTGATTCGGCAGTACGGTGTCGCCACTCTCCTGTAATCTGCTGGCGGGCAGCCCATGATCGGACGGTTCGTGGAAGGCGTGAAGCCCGTCATCAAGGCTGTCAAGCTCCTCCTCTGTACCAAGGAAGGTGCCGTTGTCGTCATCCTGGTCTGAGCGTGCTGCAGTGTCGAGCGAGCCGAATTCACTGAAGCGCGACAGGCCAGCCGTCCGTGGTGTACGTTCAGTTGAGGTGGTGTGTGTGCGCGCGGTCGTGGAAGGTGCTGCTGGCGAGAAGAGAACCCATTCTTCCGACTCCTCGAGACGTCGCTTCAGCTGCTGGGGGCTGGTTGCGACAACGGCAGCAGGCTCAGGCGCAAGGAAGGATGGTACTCGAGCGGCCTGTGGGCGGTGTTGCTGGGCAAATGCCATCGTTTGGTACACTCAGGGGTATCGTTAAGGGTCGTGGTTGTGGCGATATAGGAAGGCGCTTGTGACGTGTGAGGAGTAAGGCACGCGATGTACGAGCAGGGGCGGAGAGGATGAAGGTAGTTTCTAGGGACGCGGCGGGCGGGTGCACGCCCCTTGGAGCAAACAGTTTCTGTCGTTCTTGTTATGTGTATTTCATGTCTTGCTGCGAGATTCGGAGCCCGTCGAGCGGTGAATTGAGGGGGATCCTTCGGGCGATGATGCGACCACGACGCGCTAAGATTGATCGAGCTACCGGTTTCAGCGGGCTGGGACAACTGGTCAGGCGCAAGTTGCGGTACAACACAGGCGCGAATCGTCCAAGGAATGAAAGGACACGCTGACTATTTTTGTTGGTTTAAGCAAGAGTAGATTCAACAAAGCGCGTAGACAACGCTGGGTGGTGCAACGTGTAGTCGACTGTTGACCTGCTGTTGGGCCCGCAGCTTATCAGCGCCCTATCGCGGTCATTGTGGGACCACTCCCGTCAGACCTGCATCGCCGCACCGCCGACGTGCTTTCCCAATCTGATGGTGAGATGCGCCAATAATTACCAAAGCACCACGAAACTATGTTTACTTGGCTGCGGCGTAGGGTGGAGTTTGCTCGCTGTTTGCTCGCCGTTTCTCGACCGAAACAACAGTCAGGCCATACATCCCCTGCGTGGCTGCTTGGGTGCCTGCACACTGCACAGAGCACTCTCAGTACACGAGACCTGAACACCGAACGGGCCCGAGACCCATAGATGGCCGCTATCTGCCCGTGAGGCCCCGTAGGGCTGAGGGTTGACGTGCAGCTGACATGGCATTTGGTGGGTGGCCGACCGCTTACACAACGACAACGGGCCGGATGCCGTGTAAGTGTTATGCATGATCAGTCAACCGCGCAAGGTGCTCCTCAAGCCTTTCATCAAGGAGATACAACTTTTGCAGCAACTGCCTCCAGAAAACACGCAATCATGATGGTATGTGGCTACGTCAGTGACGATTATGCCACCCTTACGGCCAAGCTCGCCCGCCTAAGTTGCCTCCGCGGCATCACCATGGTGTTTTGACAAACCTCTTCTCAAGATTTTCCCTCCCTGCATGACCGCAGGGTACAGACGGATCGAGATTTTGGTCGTCTGAGACTCTGAGTCAAGCGTCGTGACAACAGCGGTGCTGAACAATATAACAGATATGTGATTGTATGTAGGTATCTTAAATTCCAAACGCAGTAGAAGCAACCACCAACGCCAAACAACTTGAAGTGAGCGTAAGAGTCATGGATATCGTGATGCAACGCTCAAGATGCAGAATCGTACTCAGGCCCAAAGACTTTCTTCGCGTCTTCCTCGTTCATCTGTTCCCCTTCGCCAACGTGTGGATATCTCTTCATCTTCCTCTGGCGATTACTGTCCAGAGTGTCCTTGAGTATGCAATCTCCATTGCCCTGGCAGATCTGCTGCCTGCCCAGGTTCTTGAACCTTGGACCTAACGGTCCGTTTACGTAGTGATATTGACCAAGGAAGCGATACTGTCGAGGATCACTGAGCGGGTAAAACTTGTCGCCCCAGTGTCCAGCGAAGTAGAAGAAGCCGATGGGAGCTTCAGGCGTGAGATTTGACGTCGCGAGGTGGTCGCGCTGGTAGTCATAGGTGTACGAATACATATTCATGGTGGGATCCCAAAGAGGGCCTCGATCGGTGACGTCGTGTAGGATGCCGCCAGGGAGGACGTAGGGATGTGTGCCCGCAGTACCATACATGGCGTGAGTGCCGGTCGCAGAGAATCCAACAGGCTACTCAATGTCAGCGTCGACCAGATTTGCAAACACATTCACGACTTACCCTCTTGCCCATCTTCTCTACGGCGTCCCAAGTGTAGGCTTCTCCAAATGCATGCTCACTGAAAAACACTGCCTTAGGGACGCCGTTATGGAAGCGCACAGTGGTATGCTCCCAGTCTCCAACGTGATTTCCAAAGCGAACGTTAAACACCGTGTTTCCAAGGTTGTAGCTGTAGAAGAAGAACCAGAAAGCATCTACAACACCATCGCCCTTGGGTACGACGACGAGCACTGCAGGCGCGTCGCTGCGGCCACCAACGACCTTCTTCCCTTCGAATCGACGGCGATCTTTCATGAGCTCTGGTTGCCAGATCTCTTCTGACTCAACAAGCTTATCACCTTCCGGTGTGCTGGTTGGTATCAAGCGTCCTGAAGAAGTCGAGTCTGGGCGGATGCCTCCTCTATCTTCGGTGTCTCCCTTCCCTGCGTGCCACCAGGGCTCCTTTCTGTAATCGTTACCGCTTCCATCGTGATGACCTTCTTTACCGTCATCATCGTCCCAATCAGCGCCACTGTCACCGTCACTGGGAGCCTCAGGTATATTGGTACTGCCACCCAGCCACTTTGGCCGATCTTCCACGTTATCGTCACTCTGTAAGTACACAAATCGACCCCATCTGTTCAGCTCATTCAACGACCGAACGTTCGGATGATCGTCGGTGGCTTGAAGTGGGGTGTAGTTGAGGTGGGGGGGTAGTGTGTATCAAATGATCAGTCATGTCGCACGGCCAGAAATTCTCGCCAGAGTACAGATGAATCAATGGAGCGTGATCCAAAACGTATTGCGGAATCTCGACGACCTCTTTTTGGTCATAGTCTTCCGGTAGTATCCTGGCGTCTTCCTTGAAACTGCTCAAGTCTGCCTTATCCGCGCTCTCACCGTCCCGCGGTGTTTGTATCCTGCCCTTGCTGGTCCACCGTGACTTGTCCAGATGTGTTATGCCGCACATACCGAACCAGTCGCACGTCTTCCTTTCCAGCCACGATTCTGATGACGCAACCCATGCTTTCTCCTCCATGCGCTCCGACCATGGTGTGATCTTGTCGAAAAGCACATTCTGGTAGATTTGCGAGAACGAGAAGAGGCCAAGGAATGTACCAGCAGCGGCGATAACGGGTTTCCGACCCTTCATTGAATCGTCGAGTTCCTTTGACAAGCCACCAGCAGGAGCTTGCCCAAGTACTTCTTGGTTTAATGGATGGTCACTTGAAATATCGATGGTCGGTAGATTGTGTTCGTAAAGAGCGTCCAGCGCAGCATCAGGTGTTACGGTCGGGGTCGTGGAAGAGTACGTTGCGATGGAGGGATACGTTGGGATGTCAATGGAAGATACGGAAGACATGGATGACGGCGGGAGCCATGACGGCAGGCGCTCCCCGAGTGGCACCTGCGCGCCGCCATTCTGATAGAACGGGACAATGGGCACTGTCCAGTTAGCACAGCATTCTACATCAAACGGAGAGGTCTAGTAGAAATAGTGCCGAAGTTTCCGGCGCTGACAAAAGTGCAAAGAGGGCTGCCACACTCAGAGGAGAGAGATTGACGTCACTCATGCCTATAATCGATAGTGATAGCCCCACTATGATTAAGCAGTGTGCAAAGAAAGCTGTAGAGGTGGAAGGCGGCGGAAGCTGCGGAGCCAGCAGATGACATGGAGATGTGGATCGGTGTAGGGCTGCCGGACTTGCGCGGAATGCCACTTACTGGTGAGCCTTAGCGTCTCTGTGGTCTCGATCTCTCGAATTTGTTGTACGCTCTATGCCTTACAAGAACAGCGCGATTGGAATGTTGTAGCAGAAAGAGACATGAGTGAGCAATGTGGTTTCAAGTGTCCGGGGCGGCGGCAAGACGTCACAGAGCTGGGGCTGGAGCTAGCAGGGTAGGAGCTGCGGCTCTCCACGGTTTGCATGCCCAGCTGGGCGCCACGAGCTTAAACCCCGCCGTTCGCAAATGTTTGGCCCTGGAACGTGCAAAGTCGCACGAGAGTAAGTGATACTATCGCGCATTCAGGAAAGAGTGCTGATGCTTAACTGTGCCGTCTGAGCACTGCGAATCAAGATCTGATCGCGGAGGGTTGGATGGGCCTCTATGTATACTAGAGAAATATGAGCACATATAGTAGGAAATTTGGAGAGGCTGCGATGGTGTATTTATCTGCTGAATGATGAAGATAATATTCATGATAAGAATTGGTTGTATTTTGTCATGTAGGCGCTATCACCGTTCAAACCCCAGAGCCTAACGGCTATCACAGAGGCGTCCAGTTCAAGCGCCATCAATCTTCGCAATCCGAGTGGAGTTCGATCATCCATGGAGCGCGGACGAGACCTCAAAGAAGACAGCGTGACCCGTTCGTCTATACCCTCACATATTTTGTGTGACTCCCTGTGGCCACGACCGGCCCTGGCTGGCCATGGACAAGCTTCCATATCGTGGCGGTGGTGAACGCCAATGTGCCTCCGACCTTGTCGCACTTGCCCTCGATCTCTATCCAGTCCCCAACCTTCGCTGAGCTCACATACGAGATGTGGATGTCCGTGGACACACCAGCCTTGTCGCGATTGTCCCATGCTGCAATCGCAATGCCACCAACCCAGTCAATGAGTGTAGCAGACACCGACCCGTGGATGCCGCCATGCGTGTTGACATGGTTTTTGGTGAGAAGGAGTCGCGCTCGCACGACACCTTTCGAGGCATGGGTCAGCTGGATGTCGTCGAGCAGGAACTGGTAGATGGGACTGCTAGGCTTCCTGCCCTCCCAAAACTTCTGCACGTGGGCGAGTGTACCGGGGTCGTTGGGAGCCTGCGTGGAAGCCATGGTGCATGAGAATGGTGGGAAATCCGAGCGAGAAAGTAATTTAGCACCGCAGATCAATTCACCAATCGGAGAGGGGTATCGCCGCGCCGATGAAACGACCAGTACCCCAGAAAGGTGCGAGCGAATGAGGCGCCACCCGTGATCTCCTTGCTGACGGGTAGCTCTCCTTACACGTTGCTAGAAAGTCTCGCACGCTGCTGGAAGACTCCGAATAATCACGAGCTCCCATGCATGCGCTCGCGCAACCACCATGAGCGAACCCGTTGTAGCGACCGCAGACGCGCCCAAGACCACCACCGATGAACGCCTCGGAGACGTTGCAGAGCATGTCGCCGCAGATACAACATTCCAGAAACAGGCAGAGCAGCTGCCACCCTTTGACGTGAAGGCACTCACGGATCGCGCCTTGCAGTTCTTGGCAACAGCCAGCAACGAGACGCTTGGTGCGTGTCTCATAGGTCTCGGCGCAGGCACATACTTGATACTTGGCCGAGTCGGTCTGGTGCTTATCGGTGTCGTTGGTGGAGTTGTACTGCATGCAACATGGGAGGGACAGTCGCAGCACGGCGAGGGCACAGGGCTGAAGGGGAAGAATAGCGAAGCCCTGAAACGAGAGCTGGGCGCGCAGGTAGCGAACAGGATTTTGGACTGGCGCGGACAAAAGGACACACAAGACGGCGACAAGGAAGACTCCGACTTGAGCCTGAAGCTATACTCCGGCAGGAACCTCGACTATTCAGAGTTCAAGCCAGAGACAGCCGCCGCGCTCACAGAGTTGACGGATGCTGTCGTCCGGGACTATGTCAAGTATGTCCTCGGTACACTACATAAAAACTCATCTAATGCATTACAGATGGTGGTATTCACCGATTCTGCCTGCCGAAGATGCCTTCCCCAATTCTTGCCGCCAAACCCTCACTGCCTTTATGCTTTCTGTGTCAGCACACCTCTCTCGCAAGCGGCCCGCCGACAACTTCGTCGACTTCGTAACGCGCTCGTCCTCATTCATGATCATCCTTCTGCAAGAGCTGTCAGCGGCCATAATGTCGTCCCCTGGCGATGCACCGAGCGAAGCTGTCGATATTTACCTTAAGAAACAACGAGACAGCACCCTCGCGAGTATCCTTGATACCGAGTACCAGACACAGCAGTTCAGCGTCGCTGCTGAGGATATACTTCAAAACTACCTCGAACACAAGACATACAACTGCATGCCAGCAAGGCTATTCTTACACCAAATCCTTGCCAAAGTCATATTGGAGATGATCGTGGTGAGCTGTTCCAAGCCTGAGTTCATCAACGGCTGGATCGTGTATCTGCTAGAGGACGGCGAGCCCGAGCTCATGAATGCTATTGACGCAGGCGTCGAAGGATCATCCGGGCAGCTGCAAAACGTCAAGGACAACATCGAGAAGACCACGGGCAAGATAATGTCGCCAGAGCGGAGAGAGCACCAAAGAAATGTTAGCAGAGCTCAGGATGCGATGGACGAAGCAATGCACGAAGCCCAGCGTCTGAGTCGAATGATTGCCGAGGAAGATGCAAAGCGCCTGAAGAGCATGGGTGAATCAACCTCATCTTTGACTGATGACCAGTCCGCAAGTACCACACAAGGGATTGTGACCCCAACGTCTTCACAAAGCGAGGCTACCGCTGAAGGCGAGGCGGCAGGCCTGGGTATCTCTGCACTGCCTTCACAGTCATCGCATCAGCTTGCTCAAGCCTCGCCACCACCAGCCTCGCCACCAACAGCTGCTGAGGAGTCGAAGAAGGCGTTCACAAGCTTTGATCAGCTACTGGGCAACAACCCGCCGACCGCTTTACTCGACGACGATGAACGTCCAGTACACACCAGAGTCCCGCCCCTCACTCTTTACAACAGTACAATGTCCATCTTCGACGACAGTATGCCAGGAGAGAAGGCCGTTATAAGAAACAAGCCGAATGTAGAGTATTTGGTCCAGATAGAACCTTCGTCTCACCATCATCCTGGATGGATGACCGCTCGGACATATGCAGAATTCGAAACGCTGCACGAAGTCATCCGTCGCATTGCAGCTATTACCGGCGCAACTGGATTCATCGAGGCTCACGCGCAGCTCCCCGGATGGAAAGGCCACACCAAACCCTCGCTTCGAGGTGAGCTTGAGCGCTATTTGAACGACGCAGTTAAGTACAAATCGCTTGCCGAGAGTGAGGGTATGAAGCGTTTCCTGGAGAAAGAGCTGGGGACTGGTAAGACACCGGGCAGCGGCTTTCCTGGTATCGGTTGGGCGGGGCAGACTTTTGACACCATGGGCAGAGGATTAGGTTCGACCTTTGACGCACTGTCCAAGGCGCCCAAGGAGGTCGCCGGAGGAGGCAAAGCGCTCTTCGGCGGTGTCACTGGTGTTCTAGGCAGCGTTGCACCCTTCGGTGCGAAAAAGAACAGGGATTCTGTCACGAGTACTACCGTCACTAACGCAGCAAGCGCGAGTGGCAGCACCGCAAGCCTCTCGCGCACTTCCACAAATACAAGTGAGCCTCTCAAAACTCGCCACAGCCGGGCCGAGTCTATTGTACCAGAGCTCCCCACACATATCCGTTCAGAGAGCACATTATCGATGGCATCCAAACGCGCGTCGATGGAGTCGCTTCGCAATTCCAACTCCCCGATCATCGACCAGCAGCCTCAGCGAGAGGCTCAGATGGAGCGCCGACCCTCATACAATCCCGATGGCGATGGCAAGCGTTCTGGTCGCTCCTCCCGTTATGGCTCAAGGGCAGGCAGTCGCGCACCGAGCCCCAAGAGAAGTATGGATCTGACCTCTGCCCTAGGCGGCGACCAGATCATGAACCTGCCACCCATGCCGAGCGAAATCGAGGACGACTACAATGTCGCACTATCTCGTGCTTCTCTCGATCCCTTTCATGCTCGTAATGCGTCTCGCACATCGTTGACCGCCTCCACCAATAACGACCCCGTGCCGCCTGTACCTTCCTTACCACGCCGTCCGTCAGCGATCTCCGTGACCACTTCTGCCACGACGTCCCCTTCAAAACCCGTCAGAAAGCCCAGGACGTACAACCCCATCTCCGAGCCCGAAACAACTGTCCTAATTGAGCTCTTCTTCGCCGTAATCAACGAACTATACACCCTCTCCTCCGCCTGGACACTTCGCCGTACCCTTCTGAACGCCGCGAAAACATTCCTCCTGCGGCCCGGAAACCCCCAGCTCGCATCCATTACCGCTCTTTTTCAAACTACCCTCGACTCCAGCACTTCTGATGAGGGCATGGCGCGCCAGCTACGCAAGATGAGGGAGAACGCGCTGCCGACGGAAGAGGAGCTGAAGAAGTGGCCCCAAGAAGCAAGCGAAGAAGAAAAGGAAAAGCTGAGAGTCAAGGCGAGGAGGTTGCTTGTTGAGAGGGGAATGCCGAGCGCTTTGACCAGTGTCATGGGCCAAGCAGCATCTGGCGAGGCTCTAGGTAAGGTATTTGATTGCCTCCAGGAGCCGAGAGTGGCAAGAGGAGTCATGTTTGGATTAGTGTTGCAGGGGCTGAGAGCTGTTACTCAGTAATTGGTACCTGACTTATAACGATGTATGGCTGTACGATTTGAATATATAATGATGAGATATTACACTTCATGCTCTCTGTACAGCTTGAACCAAGGAACTACATAAGCGCTAATAGGGTCAGGTAATGCAGAGAACCACACCCTGGCCGCAAGATCACGAGAAATCCAAAGCTCAACTTCCCGCCAGCTTTGTAACAGCAGGCATCTTCCTGACCCACTGCTTCGCGCCGTCCTCAGCAGAGTCCACCAACCACCGAGCTAGCCGACTTCGGTTCGTATTCATCGTCCAATCCTTCGCGCCCAGTGGTCCAACGTACAGCTTACCCTCCTCTCTGCCTTGCCTCCAGCTCTCCTCTCATCCGGCTCGCCAGGAATAGCCGCAATCCGGAATACCGTCCAGTCTAGGTCTCGCGCCTCATTCTCAAATAGGTCCACGATGTTCATGATGTTCTGGTATATTGACCGTGCAAACAGTTTCATGTACACTAGCACGACAGACTGCATGACCGTCCACGAATCCTCTGGTCTCTGGATGGCAATAGTGCCCATCAAGAAGATCCTAAAAGATTGCTACATTAGTAACAGCGAATAGGATAAGGCAAAAGTTATAATCAACCTTTTAACGCCGCGCTCGCGCATCGCAGGAATCACAGTGTTGCGGAACATGTCCGGGTACATTGTGGGCGCGATGTGAGTGTCCTTGATGTTGGGTCCAAGATGCGAAATAACCGTCGAGCAGCCGTTAAGGGCGGCGGAGAAGGTTTTGAGGTCGTCCATGTCGCCTTTTACAATGGAGAGGAGCGGGTTGCTGGATATTGAGGACGGGATCTTGGAGGGACTACGGGCGTAGGCAACGACACTGTGATTGCGGTGGAGGAGTTCGCGCAGAAGGCAGAGTCCTGCTGGACCGGTGCCGCCGAGGACAAGAATTTTCGAAGGTGACATGATTAAGTATGTAATGCAGAAGTTGAGTATGGGCAAATGAGGTCCTTTTATGTGCTTGAAGTAGGAGTGGAATTCACTCTTGTGCAGCCTGCGCGCGCATTGAGTCCCGCGCGGGTTCTCTAGTCGAGATTTGGATGGGCATCTTGTCGTGTTCCAACCCGGACACTTTTTCGTCCGGATCATGCGGTAACCTCGATTGTGCTTTGCTATTCAGTTATTCCTATCTTGATATTGTTGAGTTAACAGGTGCGTCATGATGATTGACAGGCAGAATAAACGGCGGACTGAGGATGTGAGCCAACTAGACCACACGACAGCAAAGTAGGGAAGATACTGAAAAATTCTATAGAACCCTTGTCGCCTACAATGTAGGTAGCTCTTGGCCAGATCTTAGCTTTAGGTATTACGATGGCTACAAGTTAAGTTGCTCAGCTTGAAGGTCGCTTCTCCGCCGTTTTCCTGGAACATGGGTCGTGCGCAAACCCGCGCGGCCTCTTTCGCGCGCGCAGTACCTCCCACCTCTTCCCGCTTCGCCACAACCGACGAATCCGCCTCTCCCCAAGATGTCGTCAGAGGGCTCGACCGCCTGTTGGACATGCAAGCTTCGGCGCAAGAAGTGTAACAAAAGTCTACCAACATGTCATGACTGCACCTTACTGGAAATCGAGTGCCACTACAGCGCGGACAGACCCACATGGATGGACAACGGGAAGGAGCAACACAAGATGGCTGAAACCGTCAAAATGCAGGTCAAGCGTAATTTAGCGCATCGAGCTCGACGGAACAAGATTCGCATCTTGTCTAAAGAGCTGAATAACAGTTCCACTGAAGCAAGCCCACCAGAGTCTCCAACATTTTCGCTCGTCCCTGAATTGGACAGTAACATAGACGCGCCTTGGGTGTCTCTTTCCACTCCTGCAAGTCATGCCAGCCGTACTGAATCCTTCGATAACACTGATACCGTTCAATCGGAATCGAGTGGTCAAGATATATTCATTCCTCACGAAGCTGAAACAGCAGCCGCTTACAAGCCATCTGACTTCGTGTCAAGCCTCTTAATGTCCTACTTGGACTATGCTTTTCCAGTCTTGTTTCCGTTCTACAAGCCCCCAATCTCCGAGGCTGGCCGCGGCTGGCTGCTCGCCCTCGCTCTGAAGTCTCCTGGGTTTTACCACAACATTATCGGTATGGCCGCATATTTCTTCCACGCCATGCCTACATCGCCAGGTCCTACGCGCGATCTCTGTATGGAACAAGGTCAGATTGAAATGCAGACGCACATGGAAAAAGCTGTTCAAGGTGTTCAGCATAGTCTGGGTCGTGTGACTCGGATGGGCATCCATCATTCACTTGCGGAGAATATTCTTCTGCTGGGGAATATTGTTCAATTGGTCAACTTTGAAGTTGTATTCGCAACCTCTGCGAACTGGCAGATGCACCTGACTGCTGCTGCGAACCTTTTCGACCAGACGCTCAGACACTTTGGTGAAGGATGTCAAGGAGCGACGAAAATGAGCGCCCTCCTTGGCCAACTTCGCGGCGTTATGCCTCCAAACTGTTCCTTCTGGTCTGTTGAACAAGCTGCGTTGCGGTTCTTTGCAGCTACACTCATACACCAAGACGTCATTGCCGGCACCGCTCACGAGAAGACGCCAAATCTACATGTTTACTATGACGAGCTGTTAGCTACACCTCTCAGCCTTGAAGAACAGTCCCATAAATTGCACCTGGAGAATTTTACCGGTTGTCCAAACTGGGTGGTGCGCTCCATTGCGGAGACTTCATCTCTAAAAGAATGGAAAGAGAATGCCAAGAGGGCAGGCAGTCTCGACATCCTAGATCTAGTGCAACGCGCGACCCTTATACAAACGGGTCTTCGTGAAGGCGTCGCAAGGTTAGGCGAGGTCACTGCAGATGCGCTCGTCCAAACACAGGTCCACTCGTACCAGGCTCTTGAATCGATCCTAGCAAGGTCTAACATCACAAAGTACCCAACAGCCACTCTGCCGTCTGTCCATTGCACCATCAGCAAGATTTGGGCTCATGCCGTTGAGGTGTACCTAATCACTGTTCTTTCCGGCTGGCAGCCGAGCAATATCCAGCTCCGTACCCACGTGGCCCAAGCCCTCGAGCATCTGAAAGTCATCGACAATCCAAGCTGGCTCCGCACTCTGGCGTGGCCGTTTTGTATTCTTGGCTGTCTCGCTGCAACTGAACAGGAAGCGGCCTTCATCGATATAGCTAATGCCTCGGGTGGGCTAGCTATGTTCGGCACGTTGCGCGATGCACTGGCGATCATGCAGAAGGTGTGGAGTCTGCGCTGTCAACACAACGCCGATACGTGGGATATCGCGTACTGTCTACGAATCCTTGGGCACAGCGTGTTACTAGTATGATATTTGGTTTCAAAAAGCGTGATATTTTGTGGTTTTGCTTTGCTAAATGTACTGACGGCTTCTTCTGTCGGCCAACTTCTGAATCCCCGAATCTACTTCTGAGCAGCCTTGATGAGATCTGCTGCCTTCTCGGCAACTGCGTACACTGTGGTCATTGTGTGGGTCGCAGGTAGCATCGGGATCACGCTTGCATCCACAATGCGCAGTCCCGAGATTCCGTAAACCTTCAGGTTCTTGTCCACAACAGCACCCTCGTTCCTCTTGCCCATCTTGCAGCTACCAGCGGGATGCCACAGTGTACTCGCGCTGTCCTTGATGTACTTATCAATGTCCGCATCGGAGGTCACGGCCGCACCAGGCACGGCTTCAAAGGGGTTCAGTTCCGTAATAGCGGGCTGGGCATTCAGCTTGCGGCCGAAGCGAATAGCTTCGCGAAGCAGCGCGATATCGAGAGGGTTGCGGAGGAAGCCTGCGTCAGCAATAGGGGCGTCAAAGATGCTCTTCGAAGACGCCTTGACGCTACCGCGCGAGTAGGGGTGCTGCAGGCCGTGGAACGTGACGCCGTCTGCCCAGATAATCTCGAGGAAGGCGGAGTCTTTAGCGAGCAGCTTGGAGTTAAGCGACTTGTACGACGCTGCGTAGCCGGCAACGACTTCGGGAGGAGCGTCAGATGGAAGGGAGGCGGAGGCGGAGGCGGAAACGGCTGCTGCGTGGATGGCCGCGCTGGCGTTGGTGTATGTCGAGACGGGCAGGAAGAGCAGGAAGTCGCCTGTGGGCGAAGTCAGGGGACCACGCTTCTGGGAGTCGTACTGGGCTCGGGCTTCGGCGGCGAATGTGGCATTTGAGGTCAGGATGGTGCTCTGAGTGATGGTGGTGTTGACTAGAGTGTTTGTCAGCTTTCATATCATCCGCTTGGAAAATGATCACGTACGAGCGTTCACGGTCATTACATAGACGTGGTCGTGAAGGTTCTGGCCAACCGCGGGGAGGTCGACCACGGTGGGCACGCCGATGCTCTTGAGAAGCGCGGGGGCACCGATGCCAGACACCTGCAACAGCTGTGGCGTATGAAGAGTTCCAGCGGCGGCAATGACTTCTCGCTTTGCCTTTACAGACTGGACTGCTGCACCTGATGAGGCAGCGAACTGTGCATGACATGTCAGCCTGGATACAACTTGAGAACCATCAATATTCTTACCTCAACACCAGTTGCTTTGACTGTACCACTAGTGCTGGTCAAGATCCGAGTCGCCTGGTGACCGGCGATCAGGTGGAAGTTCTTCCTTGTTGCTGCGGTGTCATAGTAAGCCTCATCAGCGGACGAGCGCTTGTAGTTGGTAGGATCCATATTGTGAGGGCAGATGTAGCCGCCAATGGCACCACCGTTTGCCTGGTCCTTTGCAGTCGGAATCTTGAGGCTGGCAGCGGCTCTGATCAGGTTTTCTGAAATAAATTAGGCACATTGTGACGAAGAGAAGACAATGACGAATAACTTACTTGTCAGAGGCCAGATGAATGCGGAGTAGGTTGAGTGCATGAGACCTTTGTATCCATGTGCACTCTCGTCCCAGGTGATGTTGTACTCCTTCTTGATTGCATCGATGGGTGGGGAAAAGATTTCGTTCTTACTTGTCAGCCGAGATCGAGCACTCATTTTGAACAACTCACCTTCTTGAAGTAGGGAAGCAGAGTCTTCCAGTTCCATCCCTGGTTACCGAGAGTCTCCCACCCATCGTAGTCTGACTTTGAACCGCGATCGAAGACCATGCGGTTCAACTTCGTAGAGCCACCAACAACCTTTCCTTGAGCAATTGCGACACTGCGGCCACCGAGGTACTCGCTGGGCGCATAAGTGGTGTTCCAATCATACTTGGTGCCAACAGCTCCACCAGCAAGCCCAGGAATGGTGACGAAGTCTTCGTTCTGGTCGCTATTCGTTTGTCAGCACTGCGCATGTGCAAATACAAGAGCACTTACAATTGGCCAGCTTCGATGACAAGGACAGTGATAGCTAGCAAACATGAGTGAGTTTTAATATATCAATACCGGCATCAGACATACCAGCTTGCTCAGACAGACGGTTTGCGACTGTCAGCCCTGATGCACCTCCACCAACAATGACGTAGTCATATTCGCTAAGCAGCTGGTCTGCACGAGAGATGAGTTGACCATTGAACAGCGGGTGAGCCAAAGCACTGGACGCGGACAGTGCGAGAGTCCACGACACAAGGCTACACTTTGCCATTGACAGCATCTTGAAGAGCGAGTTGTAGGGATGTCAGTGAAAGACTACAATATTCAGCCGTATTGTCATTGTGCATACATCTCGCCTTCATATAGCTCAGCACTCTATACCGCCGTAATGCATCCGCAGCACGGGGGCTTGCCGCGTCATGCATCTGACCAACCAGCGCCCAGGCCCGTGCCTGCAGGATTCCCGCGATAAAGATCGGCTCTTCTCAGCGTGGGTCCCGTGTATGTAACTCTAGGTTTCCATAGTATCTCAGGATTTGTAAGATTGGGTTCTAAGTCCCGGCAATCTGCCCTCCAACTTCGGCAGATATAGCAGCGTTTGTTGTGAAGACACTGCACACGGAATTGATTGAGCTGAGTTAGGCCCCCGACCCGCAGGTCGCTTAGAGGCTGTAGGATTCAACGAGCCGTGGTCCCGCCTGCATCTTGCATGTATTGGGGCAAGCCGTCTAGATCGTACCTTACGCTGTCTGCGGGTACACAGCCTGAAGTGGAAGCCACTAGTGTAGCTAAGCGAGAGCCGGCGGGCCCTCTTTCACCCTCCAACATGGGGTTGATCAGGATCAGTCGGGATTAGTTCCGGAAACCAGGAACAGTGGAGATGGAGATCAGGGTGACTGAACAAGGGGCTGTAAACATACCGAGCTTTGGCTGTGATGCAAAGGGCTGAATCTAGTGTGGTAAGGGTGTGTGAACGTGAAGGATTCGGGCTCGGACTGTTTGCGGGGCCTGTCAAGGCTGCAGTTGCCCACAGACACCGACAGGGCACCGCTGTCGCTAACATCTTGCTCACGTCGTTCGTACCTGATTTTCCAAAAACCGTAATACCGCCGCTTATGCGTTTGGAGTGTTTACAACTGCCGATGCGATGTTTCGTCGCTGATATATTGCCCCAGGGGCTGTGTGCCGGCGCGGACCCATCGCCCCGAACACCAACACGTGGGAACCAAGACTGACGTAGGATGCCGAGTTGCAACAAGGAACGGTACCCGAGGCTGTCGGTTCTAGCGTCACGTGTAGCGTGGCTTAGTACGAGACTCTGTCAGCAACAACACACATGTTGTCGATCCGTACAACGAACCCACGGCCTGTGTCACGACATGCAGTTGGCGGGTAGAAGGCATACTACTTACAGCTGGGTTATAAAGTTCAATTTAGGTTCAGGCGAACGACCAGGCAAACGGCGATGGCGTTAAATCCCACGAATGTCACGACTCGCGGCATTTTCTGCACAGCGGTATGTCCTTTAAGTTTCGAGGGCATAGGTACTTGGGGGCTGGTAGCCTCAGTCTAGCCGCAGTCACCAGAAGCTTTGCCAATGTTCTACTGAAAGTTTACCCCAGATTTCGCGTCACCTCCTAGTTCGGCCTTTCCGATAAGGTTTTGTCCTCGAACAGGTCTCTTTCAGCGAAACAAGATCCATCGTTTCTTCTAGACAGCCCAAGACCGTCTAGCCATCACAGCACCAACCTCTTGCCCACAGAAGCTGCAATCAATAGACTGGTCGTAGGTGCGGGTCTGTCAAACGGCGCCGATTCGTCAGTGGGAGAGGATCCGGAGCTGTGAGGCTCAACGTGGAGTTGCCTAAAGCAGGTGTGGGTAAAGTTTGCATGGGTACATTTGCACGGGCCCACCTGCACGATAAGCCTGAAGGCCTGCGGCTGAAAATGGCACCCACGTGGTTGACAAGGATGTAACTTTCTGTAGGAACGCTCATCCGAGCACATACTATGATGGATTCGAAGCACGCTTCGAGGAAGAGTAGCGAGAGAATTTTCGATTGCCAGAACAGTACTAGGTTGGCAGCTGCCCAAAGCAGAATAGGTATATGACAGTGCGTAGCCCACAAGTCTTGTCCGGCCTTTACGACTCATAAGAGTAGAAGTTAGGCTCGACGACCGCAGTGCGTTACAGGCCTTATCTTCCTAAGACACAGTCGAGTGTTCTTGTTCCAAAGCGAAATGACTGCCGCCTCGGGTACTGCAGCACTGATCCAATTTCGTCGCCAAAGGTCTTTACTGCTTGCTAGCACGGAACAAATGTATACGCTCTGAGATTATCATCGGTATTTTATTGTCCGAGCTGGGCATCCGCGCAGATACTACTGTACTTGGATTATACGGCGATTGTAAGTGTGCAAACAGCCTCGTGTACTTCCGAACGTCCTGCTTCTTAGGCAGGGTAATATCCGTATTTCGACTTGGAAAAGCGCGAACGGTAATCGCTGGCTCTATATCGGGCCGCGATTCCGTGTCCGCGCGCGCAGATATTGATCTTCGGTCAAAAGCGAGTCATTCCTAGGACTGCAGCAACGACACTGCAATCCTTCGTCAAGCACCGTGTAGCTTCCTTACCTATCCGCAAAGTCGCCCACGGCGGAGCGACGAACATCGAAGTTTTAGAAGTCTAGCTTGTTCTCGTTTCGCTGTGCAGCTCATGTAGACCATGGATCCCTTCAATGTCTGGGTGTGGATGCGATCCCGCGACTTCTAGACTCTGCTCGTTGGCTGGTAGCTCCGCTCTTTCCTTCTCCATGGCCTCCACTCTTGGTATTGCATTGTCATGCAGCTCGGCTTTGTCGAATCGATCCCGCTCTGAGCTCTTCTTGCGGAAGAACCACCATCCCTTCTTCCAGGCACAGGACAATATAGTGACCAAGAAGAGAGCCAGTGCAGCCCCTATTGAAATGCCCGCATAAGCACCTGCTGAAAGATACTTAGGTGAAGGTGGGGTTACATCTTGGCTCGGTGCAGGTGTATATGAGCTGTTGTAAATCGTGATGATGTCTCTTGTTTCTGCGACAACAGCTTGACTGATAGTGAAGTTCATCCGTTCGAAATCCACGATAATGTATATTTCCTGTAGGAAGGCTCGACCAAGGATGTTGATGCCGTTTTGAGATCGCTTCAGGGGAAAGTAGCGAGTTTCTCTAGTAACAAGCGGAGGCGAGAGGATCAAGTCAAATGCAGAGTACGGCAGAGTGTAGTTCCTTGTGCTTCCGCCCTCAAGTTTAGCTCCAACGGTGAACGTAACGGTGGGGCTTTCTCGAAGTAGTTGATCGTGTGTTGTGTCGTTTATGGTGTAGACCTGCAGGTCAGCGTTCCATGACAGTCGGAACGCCTCCTCAAACATCTTACACGCCTCTATGGACATCCATATTTGCGGTAACACCGAGTCGATGACGAATGGTGCTGGCGTCCATGTGCTGCTCGAGGTGTAACCAGATATACTGACAGCTTTGACGTTCACCAACATGGTCGTATTTATGGCATTCGGCATCGTTGCACTCAAGGCAGTTTTTGGATCGACTTGCGAAGCATCATACCCTCCCAGAATCAGGCTTCCCGATTTATTTTCTGCAGTCGTGTCAACACCGATAATACCGTGCACCGGAATAAGGCGCTTACTACCATTTGAACCAGCAGTGTAGCCAAAGCTCAAACTGGAGATTCGGCCATTCTCTGCCAAACCTGACAAGATGGTTAATTTTGTGAGTTGCTGTACCCCGAAAGCGCCAATTGTCAGACCAAAGACAGGTACAAAGAATTCTGGACTCGATATGCAATACACGTAGCTTTCTGGTAGCCCTAGAAACTGCGTCGTATCTGTCCCAAACCAGAACGTATCTAAACCCAATCTGCTCCCAAGCGTTAGATTCGAAGGATCGAAATAGTTCTGCGGGATCTCAAATATTCCCGCGTTCAGCCAGGAGGTTGAGTCACGGTCCCGAAACGTAGTCCTACTTCCACAGGCCTCACGGAGACCTTCTGAAAGTTGTGTCACATTATCACACTCAGTAGGAAGCAGGGTGATTGCCGAGTTGATTCCGGGGACGCCTCGAAAGCTCTGAAGTGGCCTGCCGACCCCAACATAGAATGTAGACCAAGGTCCGTCCAAGCCATCCCTAGAGATTCTTCAGAAATCGTGGCAGAGCCAATGGAATGGAGAAATCTCACCAGCGACCACTAGGATCAATTACCAGAGGCTGGGGCACTTGGCCTTGAGCTAGACAATGCAACACAAGTGAGGCAATGCCAACCAGCATAAAAGGTGCCATGGCCTCCAAAATATTCAGAGGCTTAAAAGTGGCAGGCTCCCAAGGCAAAGGGAAGAACACAGCACATTCAAATACTCGGTGATCAGGCTGACGGACACCACCGACCAACCAGAAGACACTTCTACTGATTGCAACAGCATAAGCTGCAGGACATTGCATGATCCAGCCTCGTGTTGCATTTTCGATAGGCTGTCCCACCAATCATGTTCCGTTTGAAATCGACTCGTGCAAGCGAGCTTCTACTCTCGCTGCTCGGATTCGTGCTTTCCAACCGAGACCAAAAGCGTGCTACAGGGAGTGAACACCATCATGCGTATTCTCATGTGAGGATGTACGAGGGGGAAGGCTGCTATCTCGAGGTCTGAGTATGAGCGAATCAAACGTGTGCATGGTTGAGCGACGTCATGGACACAGACAGACAAGTACTGCGAAACTGACCAGCCAGCCTTGTCTCCCGAAATCATGTCTTTTGGTAACCGTTGCACGTGGTCCAAGACGTCATACTGTACGAAGAAGCTCGTTTCTAAGATCGAATCGTCCTTGTCTCCACCTGCGCTCTGTTCTCTTATTCCTGCTTAACACTTATTCTCACTTTTCGCTCTGGCAATTACTAATACTATAGCAATGTAGGCAGGTAGGCAGACAAACAAGTGAACAAAAAGAGGAGCAAGGCTGTTATCTACATGCATGCCCCGCAGATCTCATCTCCGCGCTTGCATAATCACAACACACAAAGCCAGTCGGAGAAACGGCAAGAATGCAAGAACTTCAGACTCAGGGTACTCGTCATCGTTGCATAGTTTCCATGGAGCCAGAAAGACGTAGAGCAACATGAATCAAATCAGGCCCTTCACTTCCACATCGCGCACTATACGGAATCACTTGACAGACACAAGGCTCTACGTAAATAGCACATTGAGGCTTCATTTTTGAGCTCGGTTTATGTCTGTCAAAAGGTCTTGTTTGAATAATACTATGTTGGAAGCTGACATAATGTCCAAGGTCTGCTATCTGCTAGTGTTCTATCAGGGATACGACAGACAAGCTTAGCTCAACAGCCTTTCACGTTTAACACGCCGATGGCCACAAAGCAGGGTTCAGCAGCATGATATACGGAGTCTCAGGTACCCCACACCCGCGCGCTACGGTTTGCTACCTGAATAGCTGTTTCTCGTCGTCCTGACCCGAGAGTACTCAAGGATATGTATACGTTCCTTGAAGCTGGGACGATGGAGTGGAAGAATCGCCGCATCTCCATGTCAGCACGTAGAAGCACCAACAACACATACCAGCTCTGATCGTCCACTGTCTGCAACAGACTTGAGCGCTCATAGCAGCAGACAAGCAACCGCACCTCCCTGCACGCTGTCAGCAGAAGACAACCCGCCTCCAAGTCGCTCTCAAGAATCTTCTGCAGATGAATAGTCTTTCATATTCTACATTACAACTCTCGTTCCCAAAGACCATAAACACGCCCCCGCAAAAGCAACCCCCTACCACCGCCGCATCCCCCCCTTCCCCCCCGTCCTCTTCTTCCGCTCCACCTCTCTTGCCCACTCATGGAACAAACTCCCATCAAACACGCGCCGCACCTCCTCCTTCCTCAACACCCCGTCCTCGGGCCAAATCATCAGCCACGTCACGCCCCACTCGAACACCGCGCCGCCCCAGCCAATAACATCGCCGACATTGCGCTGCGCCCAGATCATGCGCGCCAGCGCCCTGAGCGACAGCCCTTCCTCGCCCTTGCCCTCGCCCCCGCCCCCCGCGTCGCCGTACTTTGCAAACACGTCCTCGAACGCCTGCGGCCGGAACCGGCCCTGCTGGTCAAACACATCCGAGTCGGACCCGTGCTTGGTGCGGTGCACATTCGCGAGGTTGATGCGGAAGCACGGATCCGGAACCCAGGAGTCGGATGTCGGGAACGCGAAGTTCAGGTGTATGATGAAGAGTGCGATGGCCGAGACGAGCACGCTGAAGCCGAGCGCGCGGAAGCCCGTGTACGTGTCTGACGGCCAGAGGATGCCGTCCGCGTCCCGGTCGAAGAAGGCGCAGTGTTGCTGCAGCACGGTTTGGTGCGCGTACCGCTTCGACCAGGTGTGGGCGGTTGTGCCGTGCGGGTGGGCGTGGGTGGCGGCGATGTTGGCGCGGGCGATGCCTGGAGAGGGGTTAGATGGTTGGGTTGGAATCGGAGGGGGAGGGGGGGTACCTGGGTCCTTGAGCGGCGAGTCCTTGGGCGGGATCCAGGGCAGCTCAGCACGCGTGACGGGGACGTGGTTTACAGCGAGGAGATGTGCGTCGCCATTCGCCAGCCCGTCGTGCGGCGCCGCAAGGCCCTCGGCGCGCCACACCTTCTCGGTCCCGGGCATGTCTCGATCTTCGCCACGAGCAATCATTGTGTGGTAGCCGTCGTCGAAGAAGTCGTTGAAGACGCCGTCAAAGCAGTGGCAACACGCGCCCTCAGAACAGTCCGCGCGCTAACGCGCCCCGCGCCGTCCAGCCAGCCATTACACCATCACAGACGCGGCGTCGTCGGCGTCCGTATCGAGCGCGTCGTCTTCATGCTGACGTCACGACTCTGCGCTCAGCGCTCCGGCGCGCACCTACCCATTGTGCGTAGCGCTGGCATCGAGAAGACGCCACGCGTGCCATGGAACTGCAGCGACGTTTTGTAGCGCCCGCCTGGCTGGCTAGCTGGGGCGCGGGTTCCTAGTCCACCATCGTGGTTGAGATCGTCAGGGCGGCGTAGGGCTGTGTGGAGGCGGGCGCTAGTGGAGCTGCCGACGTGCCGTGTGCCGTATGCCGATATGCCGATGCGCCGATGCGCCGATGACGACCACTTGCTTTGAGTTTGGTTAGTGGTAGGACAGAACTTGAGGGGACACGACGTGACACGACACGACACGACACGACGGACAGAATAAGAAAGGGAAGGGTAACACAGTGCGAGACAAGATGCACATGCAAGCGTAAAGAAGTCGTGAAATGAAGACAGATAGAATACATAATGTATAAAGCAACAAAAGTAAATAGAATACAGTCAAGAAAGAGTACCAAGCCGAAGCCGTCCCCAGACTCAAGGTAATACAGTAGGTAGTAGAAGTAAGGCGTAAGGCATCTCGCTATGCAGTTCTAAGCGGATTTTCATAGCACCAAGTTTTCAAAGCATCAGTCTTCCGGACACTGGCATGCCCCACCGGCCCGCTCACAACCAGTCCCACACGCGTCTGAGCGCGCCCTTCCTCTTCTCGACCCGGCCGTGCGTCTCGTCCGAGACGTGGCGGTGCGGCGGCGCATCAGCAGGCCCATCGAACAGCGCGCCGCGGTGCCGGAACTGGGTGTACAGCGCGTCTTCAGGTGCGGTGCGGCGGGGGAGGCGACGTGCAGCAGCACCACTGTGTAAGGGCGAGCGGCGAGCGTCTCTGGCTAGCGTCTTGGTGCCGTCTGGGGGCCTGCGGCATCCATGAGCACTCTTGTTCACGTGTGGCTCGGACGCGGTGTGGACGATGTGTGGGGCGCATCGCTCAATCACCTGGCAGGCTCCAGCATCTTGGGGCGGTCGCGCTCGCGGTCGCGCTCGCTGCGCAGATCGTCGTGTTCGCTCTCGTCATCGCGGCGACGGCGACGCCCATCGCGGTCGTGGTCGCGGTCGTAGTCGCGGTCATAGTCACGGTCATAGTCGCGGTCGCGGTCGCGGTCGCGGTCGTGGTCACGCTCACGCTCACGCCCATCCTCGTCGTCCCTGCGGCTGCGGTGGCGGCTGCGGTCGCGGTCGCGGCGCTCGCGCTCGTACTCTTCTTCTACTCAAGTCAGTCTCAATGCAGTCACAAAAGATCTCCAACGTACCTCGCTCTTCACGGATCTGCTTGGTCTTGTCCGCGAGCTTCTGGATCTCCTCCTTGGTCAACACTCTCAGCACGATGACACAGTCCATACGCTCCTCAAAGCGCTCCTTCGCACGTTCCAGTGCCTCAGGATTGACGAGCTTGCGGTCGATGCGAGTCCAGCGCGCACCAATCGGAATATCTTTGCCCTTCTGGGCGTCCTTATGTGGGGCGACGCCTTCACGAATGGGCTCTGGGTCTTCGGGGAACTTCGCTGTGGGCTTGCGGAGGATACCCCGGAGAGGCGGCGACTGGTCCTTGCGGGGCACGACGATCTGCACACTCTTGCCGGGGGCATCAGGGTTCAGCTTGTCGACTGACTCCGGCTCTTCAACCAGGCCGCGGTCGTTGTAGCGGGAAAGAGCCTGGGATTGAGACGGAGAGTCGCGGCGGTCGTCTCTACCGCGAGACCTGGACCTAGAACGTTCACGGTCTGCCCGGTCGCGGCGTCGTCGTCGGTCGCGTGCGCCGTCAGAGTCGCTGTCCTGGCGATCAGCAGCCGCACGGCGGCTCTGCTCAGCCTCCTTCTCAGCCTGTGCGAGACGGCGGCGATACTCTTCATCGGGATCGACGGCTGCAGGTGAGGGCTCCTTGCGGCTGCGGTCCGGCTCACGGTCAGCGTAGTGGCGGGGCCTCTCGACCTCGCTTCCCTCAGGAGACGTCTTTCGGGGAGGCTTTGGAGGGGGATTCTCCTCGTTGGGGTACGGACGATCCCGAGAGATTGGTCGTTCCGGCTCTGAGGGGCCTGCATACGCATATGCAGGGGCGGCCACAGGGGGAGCAAGCGGTGGCTGGGACGGCGGGGGTGGAGCAGGCAGGGCCTCGCGGCGCTCAGGCTCACGGCGCTCCTCGGGCTGTCTGCTGCGCCTGTCTTCCCGACGCTCGCGCTCGTCGTACCGATCGTCGCGCCTATCGCGCTCATCATATTCTCTCCGCTTCTGCCTCTCGCGCTCTTCTGATGTCTCACGCTCCTTCTCCTTCTCCTTGGCCTTGCCGTGTGCTGCAGCAATTCCAGCCGCGGCAGACATACCTGCAAGGGCGCCGGCAGCAACAGGAATTGCGCGGCTGTCGCGGGTATCGCGGCTGTCGCGGCTGCTGTCGTGCTTCTGCTCAGTACGGGGGCGTTCAGGGCGGGGTGGCTCGTACGACGGTACTGGCCTCTCCTGGCGGCGGGGCTCCGACGTACGGTTGTCACCGGTGCGGTCCGAGTGGTAGGCAGAGGGTGCGTGCTCGGCCGGCGGTGCCCTCTGTTGCTCGTATGGCGGATAGGCAGGCTGTCGATCGTGTGCATATGGGTCGTGGACAGGTGCCGAGCTGCCTGTAGCAATGCCAAACCCACGAGCGGCCACCTCGCGGTCCTCAAAAGTGCGGTCGTGTGTGGTGTGGCGCTTGCTGTCAGACTCCCTGCTACGGCCATACTCGTCGTACGTGTCTGCTCGACGCGCTGGCTCCTGGTGGACGGCCGCGGTGTGTCGAGTCGAGGACGAGCGGTGCGGGGCAGAGTCAGACGAGCGGTGCGGGGCGGTGTCGGACGAGTAGGCGTCCTGGTAGCGCTCGCGGCGCTCGATTGAGCTGGCCCTGGCTGGGCGGGGGTACGATCCATTGATCTTATCAAAGCCACGTGTCGACGGCGGCGGACCCAGCTCGCGTGTCGCGGCGCGCAGCGGGCGGTCGACGATCATGCTGCTGGGCCGCGAGCCACGCTCGATGCTGCCCGCACGGGGCCGGCGCCAGGCAGGCTCGGTGTCGCGGTACATGCCGGCGGGGTCGGTGTACGAGTAGCCGTTGTCGCCCAAGTCGGCGTGGCGGGCGGGCTTGCTGCTGGACGGGTGGTAGTTGCTGCGGCCGCTGGTGACGGCGCCGTAGCCACTGTCACGATGGCGCGGCGACTCGAGCGTGTCGGTCTCGGCGACCAGCTTGGCGGTGTGGCTGCTGTCGACGCTGTAGATCTTCTTGTGGCTCGTGGTCGACTCCTGGCGCGCGGAGCCGTGGGTGATGTACGTATCGGTGTGGGCGTGGGCGGAGCGCGGGGTCAGCGGGCTGGACGGGCGGTGGTCCTGCGAGTAGGGCGTGCGCAGCGGCAGCGAGGTCAGCGAGGCGACGTGCGGGCGGCCCATGCGGTCGTCGGTGTTGCGGCGCGGGCGCGTCTGCTGGCCGTAGCCGGCGTCGTACTTGGGGGCGGTACGCGAGGCGGCGCTGGGGGCGTAGCTGCCGTACGAGGACGAGTGGTGGTGCGAGGCGCCGGCGAGGCGGTCGGCGCTCGCACGCGGGGCGGCATAGTCGTACGACGAGGCATAGGGGTCGGCGAAGGTGCCGGTCGAGGCGCGGGCGGGGTTGAACTGGCGGCGCGGCGACGCGGCGCGGTGGAAGCGCGACTCCATGCCGCCGGAGAGCGTGATGCTCTTGAGCTGCAGCGTCTGGGCGGCGGGCGCGGTGGTGAGCGAGTTGCGGCGGGCGGGCAGGCTGGGGGCGCTGCCCGAGGAATAAGTGCTGCGGCGCGGGCCCGACGACGACGACGGGCGGGCGTGCGAGGCGAGCGACGTAGGCAGGACGCTGCCCAACATGCTGTCAGCCGGTGAAGCAATGCACGACGCGGGGGAGAGGGCGGCAGGCGGCACCACACAGGACGAGAGCAGAGGAACCACAGGAACCACGGGAACCACACGCAGGGCCGGGGACGTACATGCTGGCGTATATGGGCGCTGCGCGGCGGCGACTACGCGAGTGGGCAGCCCGAAGGCACTCGGCGGCCCAACTGGCCTGTTTGAGCAGCCGGGGCGCGGGCGGCGGGCGGGCGTGCGGCCGTGGTGTTGCAGCAGGGACAGCCTGGGACTGCGGGCTCGCGGCGCCAACTGGGCAAATGAGGCGGGGCGCGGTGATGTCGTGGGCGCGGGTAGCGGCGCTCGGACGGCAACCGAACAGGTTCTCGGGCGGCGGGCGAGGGGCAGAGCGCACAGGGGCAGCGAGGCAGGCGGGCTGGGAACTGGACAGGGCAGGCAAACAGACAGCACAGTCAAAGGCTCGCAGGGTCGCAAGCTCACAGGGTCGCGAGGCCGCGTCGGCAGGCTGCCTAGACTACTGCCGCCCTTTCAACGGGCGAGCATGACCGCGGGCCAGCATGACAGGCGATCGGCGCCATGACATAGCCAGCCCAGCCGGCAGTGCACGCCACCCTGGCCTCCGACGCAGCCTGCCGCTGCCACCCAGTAGTGGCCCAGCGCACATGCCTCTTGAATCTTGCCTAGCGCGCTGGTGCACAGTGTACTGTAGGATCAGAACTAGCACTACGTCCTGCAGTATCAAACTACTGTAGCAGCACTACGTCCTGTAGTATCAGACTAGCACTATACTGCTCAGCAGCATCACAGCTAGCACATGTACTGCAGTATCATCGTACATACATAGCCACCCACCGCCTCCACCGCACCACCTCCTGCTGCTCACCTGCCCGCGCACCAGCTCACCGCGACTCGCCCCGCCAGCTCCTCGCAGCCAGCTCCTCGCAGCCAGCACAACGTCGCCCCACCCGCCGCGCATCGAACCAAACTCACCTCTTCTCTGCGCCCAAGCACCCATTGGGCAGGGTTGATCCTCGCGAGCCCAACCGCCCATTCGGGCCGCACAGCTCCACCGCCGCACACTCGTTTGACATTTGTCCATGCAGCCCGCTGCTGTACGCCGCGCTGGACAGGTAGGTAGACCGTCAGAGATCAGCTCTGGGGCAGACCCGCGCGGCGAGCCTGACACGCTGCCTTGCGTGCGGCGGGGGCAGCAAAAGTGGGCGCCGCCGCGGACGTGGTCTGAGGTCTGACGGCTGCCGTGCGCAAGGAAATGCGCGCCGCTGCTGATCCTGGGTATCGCTGCCATTCATAGTCCGGTATATCGCGTCTTGCTGCTTCGAGCGCCCCGCGCCGGCGCGCGATCTTCGCTTTTTTCCTCGTGTTGCTTGCATCGTGAGGCGGCGTGTTGCCTCTTACGAGTCCCGAGCGTACTGACTAGAAGGTTCTTGCCGGAGTCCGTTTTGGGCGTCTGCTGAGACGGGGGAGCGTGGTGTTTGGGTGTGCACTACAATGTTCTACGGTAGGCACGGCCGCCCTACCACATGGCACATTGCGGGATCCACACCATGCTCATCGCAGCGCTGAATCGCTGATTAACTACTAAATCACTCCGGCCAAGCGCCTGTGGTCTAGTGAGTTGAAATGATTTTCTTCTCTCCTGATGATGGTTTTTGCACGTAGCTGGTCAAGCATGTGGTGTCTACCGATGCTCATCGCAGCCAGGAAACGGCAGAAGACTGCGCACTGAAACACTCCGTCCTTGCGCATGTGGTCTAGCATGGAAATAACACCATTGAAATAACTATTTCTTCTTGCCTGCTGTTGCGTTCCGCCTGGTAGATAGTCACACAGATGGCCGGGGTCATCCAGATGGTCACGTGCCGGGTGCAGTATCCATGCCTCATGCAAATCGATCGATTCAATCTAGCAACTAAATAGCCCTGCTGCTCCGTGCAGTCTCGTCCGCCCGCTGCTCGCTTACGCAGTCTCGACGTGCTCGACGCTCCGCCTGTGCTTCTTGGGCGCGCCGCCGTCAATCTCCTCCGCCTCATCCGCGTAATGCGTGTTCTTAATCTGCTTTGCGCGCGACGTGGCAGGGAACGTGTCCTTGATGCAGCCTGCGATGATGTTGTCTTCGAACAGGAGGTGGATGGACTCGAGCGGCACGCCCTTGGTCTCGGGGACGCAGAAGATCGTGTAGACACCCATGATGATGCAGGACGCTCCAAACAACAAGAAAGTACCGTAGGTAATGTCCGCGAGCATGATAGGAGTGAGTTTGGCAATTACAAAGTTAAACAGCCATTGGGTCATCAGTGCGAGGGCCATGATGAGGGAGCGGACGTGGTTGGGCGCGCACTCGGATGAGAGCACGAACGGGATCGGCCCCCAACCGAACGAGTAGAACACGACGAACAGATACACGCAGATGATGGCGAAGATGGAGTTGCCGTCCAGCGCGCCGCCGGTCGGTGGGTGCACTGCTTGGTTGATGCCGATGTAGAACATGGCGAACGCCTGGCCTGCAGACCCGATCAGGAGCGACCACTATGACATGTCAGCACGTTCAACGGCAATCCAAGTGGGTCCAACATACCTTGCGTCCGAGCTGCTCGGTAAAAGCCATCAGGCCAATGGCTGTGACGACGATTTTGACGATTCCATAGACTCCAGTGGCGAATAGGCCCGCTGAGGGGCCCGTAAGGCCGATCTGCTGGAAGATCTGCGGGGCGTAGTAGTTAATACTGTTCGTGCCCGTCCACTGCTGCCAGAACATGAGGATAACTGCAAAAGAAGAGCGGTAAAACATCTTCCTGCTGGAGCACGCCGACTTGAGCTGTGCAACCATAGGCATCTTCTCGTGGCCGTTGAAATCGGCAATGATGTCGTCCAGCTCCTGGACTACTTCAGCGTCGTCTGTAGGCTTGCCGCGGACATGTGCAAGCGCTGTCGCAGCCTCCGCGATGCGGTTCTTCTCGACGAGCCATCGCGGACTCTCGTTCATGAATACAATGCCGACGAGCAGGATGACGCCGGGCAGCATCTGCAGCGCGAAGGGCACACGCCATTTGGCCGAGTTGTAGCGGTCGGTGATGTCGAGGCTGATGCCGTAGTTGACGAAGAACGACAGACAGATACCGGTGACGTTGAACAGCTGCATGCAACCAACACAGCGACCACGGATCTCCTTGGGCGCGTTCTCGGAAATGTATGTTGGCACCACAGCGGAGATGAGACCCACACCGAAACCGCCAATTACACGTCCGATGTAGAGTTGCGTCAGGCTTGTTGTTCCCAGCGCGCAGAGCGTCTGTATTGTGGAGCCAATCTACGCAACGTTAGCAACCACATCAACAAAGTCTTGAAACCTGAATTCGCTACAAACAGATGTCGATGGCGAGTAAACCAAGCTGGAATCCGTGACAACCTCCACAGGCCTCTTGCCGGTCCGTTCGCCATCACACATTCGTCTGTAGCCAACCCTGCAGGACGAACTTACCAAAAAGATAAGGTCGGCGATGATAAGCGCCCATTTCCGTCCAAACGTATCGCTAACATAAAACGACGTAAGGGCGCCGAAAAAGCAGCCAGCCTGGAGAACAGACACAATGTTGCCCTGCAAATTGGCGAAATCAGGGCTGCCGCGGTCGAGATTGAACGATTCCTGGAACGCATCCATGGTCAGAACACCGCCGATCAAGCCAGTGTCCCATCCGAACAGCTGCACACCCGTCAGCAACGCACGTTCAAGTCGTTGTCGCATCACCCACCATGCCGCCAAATGACGCCACCACAGTCAGAAGATACGCGCGCCGGTGGAGCTTGATGTCGCGCCACACGCCGGGCAGGTCGAGTTTCGCCATGATGAGTACTAGTTTCTTGTCGACTCGGAATCACAGAGCAGGAGTCCAGGCTCGCGAGGAAGCGTGATGTCGACCAGCAAGCCCCCGGCAGCCGCCAACATTTATATCATTATCGCGGCGGCACGCACACGCCGATCCGCTAGAGACCTCCACGGGGCCGGCTGGGAGACGTGGGGAACACTGTGGGGTCGCTCGCGGTGGAGCCGCAACCCTCGGCTGCTGTTCTTCCTCCACTCACACTTGCAAACGCCGACATCGTAAGATGGTGTCTGCGCTTTTTCGTTGGGCGGGTTGGTAATGCAGCAGGGCTTGGCGGCGCAGCGGGCATGCGGCGACTGTGCGCGAAGGAACGTCGGGGGCACAGGCCTTGGGGGCTGGTCAGCGGGTTGCTTGATCGCGTATGGCGTTGCTTGGGCGCCGTGGTGCGTCCATTCGGTGAGAGCGGTGTCGCCTTGGCTTCTTGGCCGCGAACATGGTGAGTTTGCGGCGCTGTTGTTCCGCGGCCTTGGGGGGAGGGTGTCGGGTTTCGCTGCTGCGCTTGACCGGAGACTCGCGCTGGCAGACCCCGACGGAAAAGTTGCTGGCGGTAGATGGTGTTCGAAATCGTCTGCCAGTGATGGCGGGAGATCAGACGCCGACATTGCCGCAAACTGCTGCCGGAAGCTTAAAAAGTTGTCTACTCTCCGCAATCAGTCAAACGCCGACCCCAGATTTCTCTCCACTTCGGCTGGACACACTTGCGGGGACTTTTGTTGGAGATCGGGATATATTTCATTAATCTATATGGTCATGAGATGGAACTCGCTTGCCCTTGCTAAGATATCGGCTTTAGCAAGACCTTACAAGTTTGCCTTGTCTTTCTGCTCCGGCACTTGTGTGATCAGCTTCTCGTGCTTGATTGCCGACGTCAAGTTCTCCAGCACCAGCAGCTCCATGTCGCGCTACGAATGTTAGTCTGTGTCATGTCTCGCTGCCAGTTGCACTAACCTGTGTCTCAAATGTTGCTGTCCCGACGTGGGGCAGTAACACCGCGTTCTCGCACTCTAGCAGCCCTGGATGGATCTTGGGCTCCTCCTCGAACACGTCGAGCCCGGCAGTCCAGACCTTACCGCTCTTCAGCGCATCCACCAATGCTGCCTCGTCGATCAGAGCTCCTCGCGCAGTGTTTACGATTATGACGCCGTCCTTCATCTGGTCGAACTCCGGCTTGCCGATGATGTGCGTAGTCTTGGGATTAAGCGCCAGATTCAGACTCAGCACATCTGAGGTTTTGAGCAGCTCCTCGAATGTGACATAGGCCGCGCCGTTCTCCTCGTTAGGAGGCAGCTGTCTGCGGTTGTGGTACTGGATCTTCATGCCGAATGCCTTCGCGCGCGTTGCGACCGCCGAGCCGATACCGCCCATTCCCAGAATCCCGAGGGTCTTGTTCTTGGGGTCGTGACCGAGGGCAAAGTTGCCGCGCCATTTGCCTTTATTGTGTCAGAAGGATGCTTTCAGCCGAACTGCGAAGTTGACAGACCTTGTCTCACTGCCGTGTAAGAAGAGTGGATGTTGCGGAGCGCACCCAGCATAAGGAAGATGGCAACGTCGGCGGTGGCATCGTTGACCGCAATTGGTGTGCTAGACACCTGAATACCTCTCTTGCTGCACGCCGCTACATCGATATTGTTGTATCCGGCTCCATTGTGGCAGATGAACTTGAGGCTCTTGGGCAGCACCTCCAGGAGTTCCTCGTTGAAGTCTCCGGTCAACGGATTGGAGTCGTTGCTGCGGTACAGAGCGAACACCCCGTCGTACTCGCCGTCCTTGCACCTCTTGATGAACTCTGCGCGATCGCCCTTGGGGTACTCGTGGAGCTTAGATGCGACCTGCGAGATATCCTGCCACTCCTTCCTGGCATGGGCGAGGCCACCGATAAGAAGAGCTGCACGTTCGGGCATTGTGTGAAGACGTGTGGTATAGTAGATGAGATTTGAAGACAAGAAGCAGAGTTCGGAGGGGCAGCAGGAAGTGGAGCAGCTCTGGTCCTCACTACAGCGGCGCTTGTTCCTCTTGTACGCAACTGTTTACCCGGTACAGCTCGGACCGAAATACCGCTTGTTGCGACTTTCTCAACATGGGAACTTTTCGCGCTGATTCAAGAACACTTCTGATTACGGTGCGTCATGTTTGAACCTTGCTCTGATACTTACTGCTCCATTGAGCTCAACGTCTTGTTGTATAGCCCCGCGGATGCGACTTCAAAGCTGCCCCTCCATCACACATTACTTACGTCATATGCACATGCAATTCCGCACAGCTGCACCGAAGTTGAGATGGGGCGATGCTCTGGTCGGGTATCTGAATCGGTGTTTCTTTCAGAGTGCGGTCACTTGTGCTCTGAGAATGTTCATGGCATGAGTAGTGAGTCTCTTCGGCGTTTGATCCACAGTCCTCAATTGCCGAGAGCCTCTCAGTTGCCGACTGAGTACGTAAGAAGGGCTAACCCGAATTGAGGCAATCTTCAGCTCGCCTGAAGTCCGTGCATTTTCAGGCAGACGCTTACATTCTCAGGCAATCGTTGCCTTGCTTCCAGGCAATCGATGCCTTGTGCCTACAGTATAGACACAGTGTAGTGTGGGCAAGCGTCAGACCACAACGTGTGTGGTTTGTGTCGACGACTGCACGCCTTGAAGTCTTCATATTTAACAATATCCGCAGATGCGGTAGAAGTGATTCTAATAAGTATTTACCTTCATCTTTTTACGCGCTTTCCAAGTCGTTCAAACGCACAACAGCAACGCGAAACAAGCGACTGCATATTCATTCTAACGTAAAACCTACACTATGGAGCTCAAGAATATCGCCATACTCGGAGTATGTAGCAAAATCCAGCTGCTGGATCATACCTGACAACAGTAAACGCAGCCAGGAGGCAATGTAGGAGGCGCCATCATCAATGAACTTGCAAAGGACGGACCAAAGTTCAATATCACAGCAATAACACGACCAACTTCGACATACACTCCGGCCGATTGCCCCAACATCGTCCATAAAACGACAGACTACAGCTCCCTATCATCACTCACCGAGGCATTCACCGGCCAAGATGCAATCGTGAACTGCATTACCGGAGGAGCCACCCAATATGAGCCCTCAAAACTCATCATCGACGCCGCCATCGCAGCCGGCGTGAAATTCTACTTCGCCAACGAATTCGTGAGCTACGTCGACAGCCCGCAGTACCGGCGCATGCCCGAAGCCTTCATCGGGTCCAAAGTGCGCATCCGAGCGTCGCTGAGTGAGCTCGCCGCCGCCGGGAAAATCTCCTGGACGAGTCTGAACGGCGGGCCCTTCTTCGACATGTGGCTGATGAAAGGCGTCGCCGGGATCGACATCGCAAACCGCCGCGCGCGCATCTACGGCACAGGCAACAACCCGCTGCTCTGGACGCCGTTGCGTGTCATCGCGCTGGCTGCAGGGAATATGCTGCGGAACCCGGACGCAGTGGCTAATCGCCCTATTTATATATGTCCCCTTGCGGAGGCCGGACTCACCCAGCGGTCTCTACTTGCGACGCTTGAGCGCATGCTAAATACCACGTTCACGGTTGAGCAAGTTGATGTGGCGGAAATCAATAAGAACTCGAGGATTGCGTTAGAGAAGGGGGAGCCTGGCAAGGCTATGAAGGGGTTGGCAATCAGCAACCAGTTTTATGAGGAGGATAGTGGAAACGATTTCAGTCATCTGATTGAGAATGATGTCGTGGGTGTGGATTTGATGACTGTGGAGGATGCGGTGGATGAAGCTATTGCAAAGTGGGGACAGGATTGTCCAGTTGTCGAGAGCATGTATAACGTCAAGGCCTGTGAAGTGTGATCCAACGGTTGTTAGACATATCAATATTTCCATCGGCGAGACACAAGACATTTTACTCGGACTTATGTCTCACAGTACAGTACTATCATAACATTCGCTTCGTGTTACAATCTTGCCTTTTCCTCCTTCGTGAACTCCCGTCGTTCAGGTCCTCCTCGACTTCCATCTCCTGCAAACACGTCCTTCTGCGATTTGTACTCTGTTCTGAACTTCCACTTCTGCGCCAATTCTGCTGGCAGGGAGCGAGTAAACGCCATAGCTGTGTACTTGCCTAGGACTGGCAAGAATTTAAAAGCACTATACTAGGTTAGCGGCGTCTGAGAAAGTAAGGCGCGTCAACTCACTGTCCGCTACCGCCGGTCGCTACGAACAAGTTTGGATGATCCGGGTGGTAGTCCATGATGAAGTCGCCTGTTGGAGTATCATTGTACCAACACACCGCAGTCCTATCAAAACCGCGTTCGGCAATTTCAGGGAACACTTCCCGCAAGCCATCCCTCAATCTCCGCACGCCATCAGCAGGCGCAAAGTTGACTCGTTCACTGCGTGGCGCAGCGATTGGTGATGATGGCTCCTGAGTCTCGCTCCTTGTGTAGCCCCAGCCATGTACTGCGCATTTCAAGAGAGCAGTGTCTTCGTGTGGTGGGAACACAAACCAGCCAGTTTCTGTGTTGATATATATCGGCATGTCTTTCAGACGCACCATCTCCTCGGGCGTCAACTTGATATAGCCTAACACTTGCCCGGTAGCAAGCGTGGAGTTATACATTGGGACAAGCTTATTCGACCATGCGCCAGCTGCAAGAACAAAGTGCTCAGCCTCGACCTTACGGCCGCTAGCTGTTCGTGCAGCCACAATTTCGCCTTGGGCGTCTGTGTCAAAGCCAGTGACAGTTCCGTGGGCACCACTGACAAACGAAATTCCTTTCTCGATGCAAAGATTGCGAAAGTGTAAGACTCCTTTTGCCGCATCAGCCCAGCCAGCGGAGCGATTGCAGTAGCCAAACAAGTCTGGTTGAATCAGGGGTCCAGAGAGCATTGGGAACAAGTCCTTCGTGCTTGAGGCCGAATCTAAGCGTTCGTATGGAAGGTTCTTGTCTGCAAGCTGGGTTATGCACCGATCTATCCACGATCGTGCGCGTAGGTTCTTTGTATTTGCGGCCATAACGAGGGGAGTTTTTTGGAAGATCCCGTTCGATGTATATGTGGAGGTGGCCCATGAGTCAAAGGCTTCTTTCGCAATCAAAGTATATGCTGGATCTCCGTAGTCAAATCGAATAATCCGGGAAATATCAACGCTGGAGCCATCTGGGACCTAGGACGGGTAAGTGTACGCAGGACTAGATGCTGAGGACAAACGTACTGGTGGAACATGACGGTCGAGCACAGTGATGTCCTTGTATCCTTGTTCGCTGAGGGATACTGCCGTCGAAAGGCCAAACACTCCAGCTCCGATGATAACAATCCGATCGTCCAAGGATCTCGACATGATGTTGAGGAGTTTGAAGATAGGTAGTGCCGTACTGAATGGCAAAGTCTGCCCTTATATGCCCTTTAAGCGCCTACATCTTGATTCGTGGATACTACAATTGGATTCGTGGACACGCCTTTCGACGACGATATCGGTCGATATTCGTGACAATCCGACCTGATTGGTCATGATGACGAAAAGTGGAGACGGAGACCGAGCACGTGACCGGCGCATGGCGTCAGGAACACGGAGCTCCGCTCGCATTGCCGTAAGGACGACTGTCCTCGCACCAACATGGCTATCTGTACAGATGTCACACGGCACTCGCCATATCCCAGCAGGCTATCGAGACATGTCTGTGGAAATTGCCGGTCTCAATACCTACCAACTTGAGCTTTGTCAGCATTGTGCTGACGTTTGACGTAGTCGAAAGAAGTCAAAATGCCCTGGGGAGCGGCCGATATGCTCGGTTTGTCAACGACTCAAGCAACCGTGCGTCTATGCGCATAGCGCTGGAACAGCAGTGCGAGATGAGAGTGAAGAGCAAGTTCCACGTCCTGGAGATCACGACGACTTACCCTCAGAACCCAACAGGACTTCGGAGCGTCTGAGTGCAATCGAAGCCCGACTGGAGCAGATAGCAGCATTGGCTCATCAAGCTGATCAGAGCCCGACCGTGACATCTATGCCACATCTCCAGGCTATGAATGATTTACCTCTCTTGGATTTGCCTGCCAACGTAGTGAGCGACGGGATCAAGCTCTATTTCAGATATTATTGCAACCAACCATGCCCGCTCCTGAGCTATCTCTCGCAGGGGGAATCGTCTAAACGGTTTTCTCCTATCGTTCTTACCACGATGCTCGCCTTAACTCTGCGCCGGTCTAGCCATGCATCTGCAGTATCTACGGACAATCTATCACAGCGTTCCTGGGACATGCTTGTCGACGCCTACCGCCGGTACGAATTCGATGAGTCATATTTCCAAGCACTTTGTCTGCTTGCACAAGTTGACCATGCCGAAGGCAGGTCGAACAAAGCCCGGACTCAGGTAGCTCTTGGTCTAAAGCTTGCTCAGGCCCGAGGCTGGTTAAATAAAGTCCATTATGAAGTCGAGCATAGGACTACTCGCTGGCAGCATCAGGAAATAGTCTGGTCATTATTCATGCTGGACCGATGTACGCTCAACCGCGATAATCCCTACTCCACCATTCCCGATACCCTGTATAAGCTTCCGGCATATAAGGGCGGCCCGACTCATCCTGGACAGAGCGGTGAGGTCTACGATGCTACGCTTTCAACATCGCCAGCACAGAGCTTTGTGATCGTAGGTTTATTCGCGCAGATTATGCGCATGTGGGAGCTTGTCATTCAGTACATTGGCGAGAGCTTGACTACTGAGTCTAAACCAATCTGGCATCACAAGTCAACCAGGACCGCGATCCTGACCAGTCTTCTCGAGTTGGAGATACGTTAGTGTGTGCGTGCTGCCACGAGAATCGTCGCTGATGGCTTGTAGCCTCCGAACCACACACGTATGCATCTGTCGGTCCCGTCGATCGCGTCCTCAGTGCCCCCGCTTCCAAACCATACTTTCAGACATGGATGTTTCTTCAGATCACCCACTCCGCTATTAATTGTTGCATGTACGATTTCCCCCGCTTTCACAGGATATTCGCTCATTACGTACAAAAGTAATCATCCCTTCATCATATTCGTCAAAGCACGACAGCACGGATCACGTGTGCCACTCACCTTCCTCCAGAGAGCGCACAAAGACAGTCTCATATACGCATCCTGGATCACGAGGAACCTGACTGATATGGAGACTGCCCGCCTCGACGTGCTGGACCCGTTTCTGGCGTATCTCGTCGGCATAGCAGCAAGCATCCATATCGAGCACAGTCTGAGCTCCAATGCTTCCAGCGCCTCTTCTGCGAGACAGAAGATGGCCACCTGCATGGCCTATCTGACTCGTGTCGCGGGGGTCTGGCCCCAAGTGAAGAAGAGAATCAACGTCTTGGAGGAGTTGCGGTCACGAGTGGGTAGCAGGTCGGCTTTGCATTACGTTGACGACGAATACGATGGCGGTGTGCCCGTGCGAAGCGTACGGCACGTGTCTATGTCAGTCGCGGACGAGCGGTTGATGTGGGCACTGTTCGACGCCTCCAACGATACTATGGCCGACATTTTGCCATCGGCAAACATAAGTACAGGTTCTGCCGCATTGCAGCTCAGCGTTCCCCAACCCTTACCAGATGGCAGCGTCTGTGATGTCGCGAACTCGATGCCGCAGTCTCAAAGTAGCGAAGCCGGTCCTTCACACGACATAGAACACATGCCAACAATCGATCAGGCATCTTTGGATGTGGATCTGACTGCTGACTGGTCACTGCTTGGTGTGCCATGGCTCGCCTATTTCCCACCTGATACAGATCTGCTTGGGTGTCAGTGAATGCTGAAATCACATGTTAGGCGTGGTTGAAAGATATCCATGTCAAGTAGTATTTTGATAAGTGGTACAAGCATTTTTTGCTCTTATTACCACTCTGAGAACGCTACTAGGAGGCTTTGGGTTCAACAGGACTACCCCATCCATGGTCGATGTTACACCATGCCCCTTTTTTTGCTCGTCGAACGGCGAGAATCTCTTGCTTCACAGTCCTGGCCGCCTTCTCTCGACTGATCCACTCAGATACAGCGTGACCTGCTTCATGCGCGTTCAGTTTCCAGCTCACATCGCTCTTGTCCTTATTCTCCCGTAGCCAACGCATCAATTGCACGGGTACCATGCCTGCTGGTATATTTTGCAGCGACTGGACATCCGCAGGTATCCAACCCTGGAAAAAGTTCAAATACGTGATTCGCCGCCACGCATCGTTCCAGTCTGGGCCAGGCGATACTGTATGATATTGCCATTCTTCTGGGTCATGATCTGACCTGGAGACGGAGAGAAGATCATCCGAGCGCCAGCTAAGTGCTTTCAACCAGCTACACCCTTCCAAATCGAGCCATTGTAACGAGTACGTATTGACCGAGAATCGCCGTAGGATATTCGTAGCTTCGTGCCAATCATCGTCGAGGTCAGAGTAGAAGTGAGAACCACCAAGAGACACCGTCGTGACATTCGAGACCATCGAGGTTGTCGCAGCGTTTGGAGTGGTAGACGGCCGTGGCCAGTAGGCAAGCGAGAGATGGGTAATCTTGTTCAGATTCGGTGAGATTTTGAGCAATTCCGGCCATGATGCCCAAGCGCCAGGGCGTGCGAGTGACAATCTGCTGAGATTGGTGAAGTATGGAGTTGCGAGTGCAGCCGCCAAAACAGGTGGAGTATTGTCTGCTTCTTCAGCCTCTTCTTCCCAGGTCTCGGCTAGTTCCACTGCTTTTTCTTTGCCCTTGCTCTGCGCTGTTTCAGTGATCTGCAAGCCCTCCACATTCGGCAGCTGTTGGGCCTGTCTTTTGAGACACTTTCCGACGTCACCGATGGTGAGATCTACACACAATAGCCCTGTGAAATCCAGAAGACGGACTTCATCCCAACTCGAAGTGCCAGTACCTTCTTCATTCTGGAACAACATCCTCAAAGACCTGAGATTCAAGCACGATGTGGCACCATGGGCAGATATGTAGCTCAGCATTGCTTCTCTCAGCGATATGGGTATTGTAGGAAGGTAATGTTGTTCGAATTCGGAGAGTTCCTCCCAGTGCAACGCAAATGTTCGGAGGCAGTGGTGCGCAAGGCTTCGATCAGGTGGCAGACGCTGTAGAACCACTTAGCAATTGCGTTCAGGGGCGCGCGAATCAATCACCTTAGTTTCATCATTCGTCACTCTCGCCAGCATACAGAACGCTGGAGCATTCCTCTCGTCGCCGGATTGCTGCCTCCTCATCTTCCGCACGTGATCTGGTGCATGGCGGCTCGACAAGAGCCAGCTAGTCGGCGCTGCCGGACCTGGTGGTGGCCTTGCACCGCCAATTGCTCTACGTGAACGCAGGCCTGGCTTTGGTTTGGGAGCGTTAATCTCAGGGATGTGCAGTATGCGCCGCAAGTCTGGTGGGACAGTGCGGCTGCTTACTGCCGATGTGAGCTCATCTCTTTGTTCGGGCGTTGCTCGCGGCGTTTGCTCGCGGCGCAGCTGCTGTAGGCGTTGATTTATGGACTGCGGTTCTGAAGGCGTCGAAGACGAAGCTCGTGAGCTTTGCAGCGATGGGTGGACGTAGGTCGGCTTGGCTTGCGTGTAGGCTGGTGCGTGTTTCTTGGGCATGGCCGTGCACCAGGTGGCTCAGTGAACGCTGACTGTTGCTGGGAAGTAGAAGCTGCTGTTAACAACTGATGACCTGGTAAGCGAGCAATGGCTATGAGTCAACTGTCGATGCTCAATGACTGATACTCTGGGCCCGTCGCTTAACTGATGGATACGAGTTGCAGGACAAACAGGAAAAGCGAGTCACAGAATGTGCCGTCAAGAAAAATCGATGTTGAGCTCATATTCGGTGTTGATGTCGAGGTTCAGTATGACGCCACTACAGTCCTGAGAACGCCTGCAGCTTCGCGACGGCCCGCACTTGCTATCTGACACGTGATGTGATCCTACATCTTGTAAATGGTCCACTTGACGATGTTGCAATACATAACGCATCCGAATCACGAACAGTGGAAATAGGTGGGTGTCGTGTTTATCTGAGCGCCCATTCCTTGGCGCCGCATGGGCCTCTTTGTTTCTGTCATTCCAGCTCCTTATCCAGATTGTGACAAGTAGTCGCTCACCCTGGGAACTGCAGCTCAACAATATGTACACAAATATCTGCGTGTGCGTTTACCATTGTTTGCAAGGCCCTCGGTGCCGACTGACACACAGAAGGTGGCCTGTGGTTAGCTGTATCCCCGTGCTGGCCGAACTGAAGCATCACCGATGTTGTCTCGCGTCTATCCGGCGAGGCGGCCAAGCCGACTCCTGATCTTTCCATCCGATTGAACGCCAGCGCCAACCTCGTTGTGGCGTTTCATGCTGCTGGGCCTTCGATAAGGACTAGGGGCTAAACGGCCCGCTGTCACATCATCTCGAATAGGTATTGTCACAGGAATATTTGATTCGCATTCCTCACGCAGCATCTCCACGCGGACATGTACTGGCCTGCCCAGAGAACTACTCACACGGTCAAGAGGCGGCGACATTGCATTTTCGTGCTCCACAGGAATGGGCGGTCACACCGGCTCCAAGGCCCAAGCGGAAGCCACGCAAGCTGAAAGCCCCTGCACATCGCTAAAATTAAACTTACCTACCACTTTCCCCGACGGAGCTTTGATGCGGGAAGGATCAGCGAATGCCTGGCTTCCGTAAAGCCTGGCTCGTGGGTTACGTTGTCATGGATGTTGTTTCTTGTTCTTTTTTCGGCGGTCCTCAATCTCGCTCTCACTTACACTTACATCATGCAATAGCCCTCCTTTCTGTGTTCTGCAGCTCCATCACCCAGCACTACTCCTGATGCTAGCCATGCTTTTGCAGCCTTACTGAGCAACATATCGCCTCCAGTCATTCGCTCACGACCTGTCACGATGCACTTTTCTCCGCGCGCGATTACCGGCATTGCCGTCTTCATCACCGTTGCGATATTATACACGATCAACGCAGTCTCTGCGCGCGACCCTACTTCGTTTTTCTTTAACCCTCGCAAAGGATATGCCGCGAAATACTCCACCATTCGACGCCAGCAGGCCGAGGACTTCCTGCAAGCTTATCACGACACGCCGAGCCACGATGTTATGAAAGCCGGGCCGGAGAGGGACAGGAAGCTCTGTATTGGCATACCTTCCTTCAAGCGCGACGGAGTGGACTATCTGCGAGATACCGTAGGCTCGCTGCTTGAGGGCCTGACAACAGCAGAGCGACAGGAAATATACCTAATAGTGTTTATACCACACTCGAACCCGAACGTACACCCCGACTATAACGCCGCTTGGCTACCTGGACTGGCAGACCAGGTCCTGACATATCAGTTTGGCGACGACCAGATGCAACACATCCGTAATATGGAACGACAGGGCGGCCTATACGTCGAGAAAGCACTATTCGACCACAGGTATCTCCTATCAGCGTGTGCCGAGCAATACACACCTTACATTGCTATGATCGAGGACGACGTCATAGCTATGGATGGGTGGTACCACCGGACGATGGACGCCATCAATCAAGCCGAACAGCACGCTGCGGAGCGCCGCGCAAGGGCGGATTTCCTCTATCTTCGTCTATTCTACACAGAAGAGTTCTTTGGATGGAACGCCGAGGATTGGAGGAGTTACCTATACTACTCTTTGTGGACTGCCAGTGTGCCCACCGCAATTCTGCTTTTCGTGCGCTGCGCCAGACCAACGACAAAACTCTCCCTCACAATCACCACACCGCGCTCCGTCGTCGCGATTTACTCTCTTCTCGCAACCGGTATCCTTATCTATTTCGGGATGGGTCGCAATACTGTACTTCCCATTCCCACCGGCGTGGCTGAGATGGCTGAGTACGGCTGCTGCGCTCAAGGGTTTGTATTTCCGCATTTGAAGGCCCTCGCACTTATCGAATATTACAAAGACCGACGCCTTGGATTTGTGGACGTCCTGACCGAGGATTACGCCAACGAACGAGGAGAACTGCGATACGCCATGACACCGAGTGTATTGCAGCACGTGGGCAAGAAGAGCAGCAAGATCGACGACTATGGGCCACAAAGCAAGTGGGGCAGGAGCGTTGCCGAGAAGATCTGGAGCTTTACATTCGAAAAATTCGATTGGAGGAAGCTAAGGCGGGAACACGAAGAGAGTGCGAGAAGAAAGAGCGAAGCGCAGGCCGAGAGAGAGGCGCGATTTGCCAATCAACAGGCTGGCGTATGAGCCACGCATGCTTGTGTGGACATCATCGAACCACGAACATATCCTCGAGTCCGTTCATGCAATGAAGCACGACGATCCAGCCTTCAAAGATCACACTCAGAGTTTGCACATAGCCCGCCAGCAGCGAGGCAATCAACAAGCCAGAGATGAATCACGCTGGCCACCCCCTACAGGGCATTGTTGGTAAACGCTCCAGCACAATACCATACCGCCACTCGACCCGCAACACAGCAGGATATGAGGCACCTTAGACATCAAAGACTGTTGAATGTCTGTAGGACTCATACCGTGCGACACGGCTCGTGGACGGGGAGCAGTAATGGGGACTCGGAATTAATGGAATGCCAGTAGACGTGTAATGAATAGGTACAGGTAGCAGCAACCTTCCCAGGTTAATGAGTCGTTACGTTGTATTTTGTTCTCTCTGCACCTTGACTTTATTGGGTGATATGGTTCTCTTCGAAGGACTTCTTTCGATACTCTTGCGTACATCCACATCCTGCAGATAGATCTGTTTTGAAGGTCCACGTAACGTTTGGGCAGAGCAGCAAAAGCCGCTTACAGCTCAGATCGATGGGGGACCCGCGACCTCGTAGAAATTATTTCGCGCGCGGGAATGCACAGGCTAGTAGGTAGTTGACGAGTTGGTTGGTGTTGGACGGACTCCGCACAACAGCGCTTGTAACGTGAATAGTATTTATACCAAATGCTCAGAAGCTATGTGGTGTTCCCTCTTTCTCTGGATTTGTGTTGCATTGAATAGCTCTCAGCTCACTTTGCTCCCCAAGCCCAGGTTCCTTAAAACGAAGCCGGACTTTGTCCCCATCACCCATGATGAATGTGCGCCATAGATGTCATCTTCACTAGTCTGCGATGAAATCAAATAGCCCTTTTACAAGCAAAAAAAGTATCAAACATGATCAAAGCTGGCGCGCGGCGGACTGCGATCATTTAGCTGGACGCATCAGGCTATGTCGTGAGATGCAGCAATGGTGAAGCAGCAAATACGCCCACCAAGATGTGCCACACACGCACACATGCATATCCTAACCCGGGTGACTGAAAGGTAGGAGTATGACGCAGTGAACAAAGTTCGTCTCATGACAGCGTGCTGCACTCAAATCATCGGGAACCAAAAAGGTAGTTAGAAGACGAACAACAGCGGTGGTTCCGATATTTGTGTTGACTACCTCAGCTCGCGAACCAAGCTGCCAACCACCAGCCACCCGCCAGCACAGCAAGAAACGCGACCAGCATAGCATTGCCAGTCCTCGTCAGAGCCAGGTAGGACGACGCGCCTACCATGACCTCCCACCGCCTCGCAGCCTCTTGTCGAGATTTCCACGTTGGATTGATAGAGAATGGAGCTTCGACGCTGCTGCCGTGTACCGGAATCGGTGTTTCCTCAACCCGCACGGAGAGCGCAACTGGGCGATGGTCGGATGTTGATTGCACCGGCAGAGCTGTGTATATCTGCGGTTCGAGTTTTGATGATTGGGAGGGCAGATACAATATGCGGTCACACCATGAGGGATAGCGGTGCTTCGCCCATTGCCACTCATCGTCGCTGCTCCGTGACATGGAGTACTTGTAGGTCGGAGGGAAGGTAATTGGTAATTCTTCAAGACCATGGAGGGTGCGGTTGGCTTCCTTCTCTCGCGTAAGTTGATCACAACTGAGCAGCTGGGAGTAATGCTTTGGTGACGACTCGGGGGCCTTCATCGATGGGTAAGCTTCGTAGGCCTTCTCATCAGGCGATGAGTCGTGTGTCCGGTAGTTCAAGTCTCCGAAGAAAAAGACATGGCTTCCCGTGGCAAACAGACCAGTCTCTTCGCTTGGTGCTCGCCGTGAACTTAACAGTGGTCGTTCCTCGCTCAAGCTGTATACTGAATCGTCGCGGTTTCGGAAGACAAGGTTGCGCACGAGGTTCTCCCAGTCCTTGTTTCGAGCCTCCACCTTTTTCTCTGAAGGCGCGAGATGAGCTGCAGCGAAGCTCAAGTTCAGCGTCTCGTCTGAGATTGACGTGGGACAGGAGACGCCAATGCGCATAGCGACTGCGCCCTTGTTGCCCATATTTGAGAACCCAACTCCTGCTCCTGCCGATTGTATCCATTGTATCCGCTGGGTGAAGCTCGGCTTTGCGAAAATCATGAGGGCCGTCATGCCCAGGCTGCGAGTTGCAACATGCTCGAGGCGCTGGCTGCCATGGCTGTGCAGATCCGCTGCAAGCTGGACAGTGGTTGTGATGCGGTCAAAGTAGGGCTTGAGATACGATCCACCCAGAAACGAGTATGCGATGGGCGCGATCTCCTGCAGAGAGATGGCGACGAGGTCTGGCACGGGACCGTCTTTGGGTAGGGCGTCGAAGAAGGAAGGCGCAAGCGATTGCGGGTTGGCGAGTGTGCGTGCACAGTTGAACGTCAGGAGGTAGAGGTCAAACATGGTGAGATGTCAGGCACTCCACGGCTGCTGAACACGCATTGGTCAGCATTACGGTACCGTACGTGCGGTGGAAGTTGCGAGTGGCAGGGATTGGGGGTGGTGACAAGTCGAGGTTCGGCTCGAGACGAGCAGGGGAAAGAACGTGAAGTCGAGAACAAAGCATACTTAGGATTAGGCCGAGGTGTCAGGATAGCTACTTTGGACGTGGTGCAGGTTGCTGTCGGCTGAACTTGCTTGCGATATCGCTGCGCCGCGCCGTTCTGCCACACACACGGGGATCGTGGGATTCGGCACGTCACAGTGCTGAGTTTCCCGTGTGGTTGGATCCTCGCGGGGGGGAGGCCGAGCCAAAGGTTCCACAGGGATCTTGGGGGTGGAGACGGGGTTGCGACGGCGCGCAGGAAAAGAGGGTACTCGAAGCTGTCTGTTGGAAGGAGGTGCGTTTGTGCGATGGATCGTCTCTCCGCCTACGTCATGCTCCTCATCAAAAGAAAGGTGGGAGCTCCAGGCCAAGCTATTGAGAGCTCAAGAACAGCAAAAACAGCATCTTCACGAGCGATTGAACTGCAAAATCATCTTTGCAATCCCATCCCAACTACCACTGTTTGTCGGGTTTTTCGAAGTACGAGTCAAGCTCTTTTTAGCAAGCCGATCGTCTCGACGTGCATGCGAGGACGGGATCTAGAGCTGTGTCAACTAACGGTACCTGAGCACAAGCTGCACGGCTTTAAAAGCAGCAGCTTCTCCCTACGAGTAAAGCCACTTTGATCGTGCACTGGAACTTCACACTCCTCTCTCACCATGTTCAAGTTACAGATCGCTCGCCAGGTCGCCCGTGTGGCTCGAGTGCAACCACGAGCTGCATTCCGCCCAGCAAGGTCTACTGTCCGGCCATTCACAAGCTCTGTGAGCCGTTTCGACAAAAACCCCGAGGAGGATCACGATGCTGGGTCTTCATCTGCGGCAGCCGGAGAGAGCGGAGAGCACGAGGGTCAGTTCGCCCGTACCAGGGACGACATTGTCGTGGAGTACCCCGAGGAGAAAGATCTCCCCCCTTCGCAGCCAGTACAGGGTCGTGGAGGCTTCCATTTCAAGCGCACGCTCGCAACCTTCTCTATGGAAGGCAAGACCGCGATCGTCACTGGTGGCGCTCGAGGGCTAGGCTTGGTCATGGCCCAGGCACTGGTCACCTCCGGCGCCGATGTTGCCATCGTCGACATGAACAAGGAGGAGGCTCAGAGATCAGCCGAGGGACTAATTGACCTGTTCAAGCAGGAAAATGATTCGGGCTACACCAAGTGAGTTGTGTGAGGAGTAGCTACACCGTACCCTGCTAATAATTGTGCAAGGCTGCCCAAGGTCACTGCGCACTACTGCGATGTGTCCAGCCCCGACTCGGTGAACGAGTCGTTCGCTGAAATTGTGAAAGCTCACGGCAAGGTCGACAACCTCGTCACCTCGGCTGGCTTCACCGAGAACTACGATGCGATTTCGTACCCGCACGACCGCATCCAGAAGCTTTGGGGCGTCAATGTTGACGGCACCTACCTGTATGCAGTGGCAGTCGCCAAGCACCTCATGGAGCGCAAGGCGCCTGGCAGCGTGGTTATGATTGGCAGCATGTCTGGCTCCATCGTCAACGTGCCGCAGCCGCAGGCTCCGTACAACGCCGCAAAGGCCGCTGTCAGGCACCTGGCTGCCAGTCTAGCTGTCGAGTGGTCGCAGCACGGCATCCGTGTCAACTGCATCTCGCCCGGGTACATGCTCACCGCGCTGTAAGTACAGATAACCACGCTCCAAGACATCGGCTAACGTGTTGCAGCACCAAGAAGATCCTCGACGACAACCCGGAGCTGCAGAAGCAGTGGACCTCGCTCATTCCTATGGGCAAGATGGGACGTCCCGAGGACCTCATGGGCGCTGTGACGTTCCTATCCAGCGATGCTAGTCTGTATGTGAACGGCGCAGACCTGCGTGTCGATGGAGCATACACTTGCACTTAGTGAGGCAGGGTAGTGCTGGGCGTTGCTGTATGAGGCTGTATGAGATAGAGACGGACGGTGTGAATGATAGCATGGCAACAAGCCACAATGCATGAACCGAGCCTCAATGACGGAGTCTGACTAAGGAGTGGGCCCCTAGCGGGCCGAGGAATGCCTGCAAGTGACCCTGATGAGACACGGCTGCTCTCAGCCCAGCCAAGAACACGATCTCTAGAGCTGATGCCGCGAAGAATGCACCGCTGCTGCACGCAATGAGGCACACACACGCTATTGCTGCTACATAGCCCACACTCGCCCGACCGCCGCGCGTGACCGCCCGCCATGTTTAACATCGGCAATCTGGTGCAGAAGGCCCAGCAATTCATAGAGCCCACGCTCAGCAACATCGCGGCCCCCGCCTCGACCGACCGCCGCCCGTCTAAGGCGACGCTCTTCCGCTTCCAGTTTCGCCTGCCCGACTCGCAGAATCCGCTCCAGGAGATCACCGCCGAGCTCACGCTGCAGCCCCACCACTCGACGAGGGGCACCGGCGACGCCGCGACAGAGGGCGAGCGGGGACAGGGCAACCACTATGTGGGCAAACTGCACCTAAGCGAGCAGTACCTGTGCTTCTCTACGCAGGGGTCCAGCTTCCTCAACACGGCCAGTTCGAGCTCCTCCAGCAGCTTCACGGGGCAGACACACGGGGCGGGCCCTGCCGGCAATGGCTTCACACTGCCCCTGTGCGCGATCCGGAGGGTCGAGCGCCTGCACAGCCAGAGCTACATGTTTGCGCTCGCCATCACCACGTGGAACGGCATTCCAGACTCGAAGACCAAGACACCCGCCGGCCAGAAGCTCACCATTCAGCTGGCCGGGTCGCGGCAGGCCTGCGAGCGCTTTTGCGATGGTCTGAAGAAGGGGCTGAGGGAAGGCGTCAAAAGCGTGGACACGCTGCGCAAGGTGGCCATGACCAGCTACACAGAATACCTGCTCAGCACAGACGAGGAGGGCAAGGCAGCTGCTGGCGATCGCGAGCACCCAGACACGGGTCTTGGGCTGACCTTCAAATACCCCGGCAACGCGCGAAAGCTGAGAGACGCAACCAAGATCCGGCTCTGGCGCGAGTATCTGAGAGGTAGGTGTTGCGAACCCTTGTTTGCGCGCGTCTGACTTGTCTTAGAGAACGGCCGAGGCGCCACACTCGTCCGTCAGCCCACCTTCCACAAGCTCATTCGCGTCGGCCTACCTAATCGATTACGAGGCGAGACTTGGGAGCTTACCTCCGGCTCATTCTTTCTGCGCCTGCAAAACCCGAATCTATACACCGAGACACTAGCAAAGTTTTCGGGGAGAGAGTCCCTGGCGATAGACGAGATCGAGAAGGACTTAAACCGAAGTCTGCCAGAATACCCGGGCTTTCAAGATGAAGCCGGCATTGGCCGGCTGCGAAGAGTCCTGACAGCATACAGCTGGACCAACGAGGAGGTTGGATACTGTCAGGCCATGAACATTGTTGTGGCAGCGCTTTTGATGTTTGTACATTCCTACGTCGCCAAATTGCCGTTTCTGACCAATCCAGTTACGTTTCTGAGTCCCAGGCCTTCTTCTTGCTATCCATACTATGTGATCGCTTACTGCCGGGATACTATTCGCAGACCATGTACGGGACGCTTCTTGACCAGAAAGTCTTCGAGTCGCTCGTCGAAAAGACGATGCCAATTCTGTGGGATCACTTGGTCAAATCCGACGTACAGCTTTCCGTCGTCTCCCTACCTTGGTTCCTTTCGCTATACATCAACTCGATGCCCTTGATCTTCGCTTTCCGCGTCTTGGATGTTTTCTTCCTAGAGGGACCGAAAGTGTTGTTTCAGATCGGTCTTGCCATTCTGCGCATCAACGGAGAGCAGCTGCTTGACGCCGCAGACGACGGTTCATTCATCTCAGTGCTGAAGTCTTACTTCTCCAGACTTGACGAATCTGCACATCCCAAGTCAGAGAACCCTAAGTTACGAGCCGTCACGCGATTCCAGGAGCTGATGGTCGTGGCGTTCAAGGAATTCGCTGGCATCACCCAGAATACCATTTCAGAGCAACGAGCGAAGCACAAAGATGCAGTTCTGGAAAACATCGAGAACTTTGCTAAGCGCACATCTATTCGGAACCTTGGCCCCGAAAGCAAGAAGTTGAGCGTCAACGATCTAGGCTTTCTGTACGACAGGTTCTATGCAGTCTTGTACGAGCGACAACAACGAGCCGAGATCATGCAACAAGAAGCCGACCGAAAAGCGAAGGCCAGTCGAGCCAAGGCCACAGAAATCGTCAGCGGGTTTGCGGGCAGCAACGCCGAAAAGGGACGTGTGGCTGTGGGAGTAAGCCCAACACACATGGATTATGACGGATTCAGGGAGTTCCTCGCTGGTATGTGTTGCTTATCAAAGGAAGAGGCTCCGAGACTGACAACCAACAGGTGTGGCAAAATGGGCCGTCACCGATTCGCCAACATCACCCAAAGAAGCGAATTCTGGGGCGAGTCACTCATATTTCGGCGGCAGCATGAGGAGTCGACCACCCATGTCACCTTGGGGCTCAGGACCAGAACCCGCAGACCACGAATTCCTGAAGAGGCTCTTCAGGCGCTGGGACACGGACATGTCAGATTCACTCTCCTTGCAGAATGTGGTAGCCGGATTCGCTGCGGTCAAGGGGACCAAGGACATCATGTCTAACATCAGCTATTTCTTCGAGCTGTATGACGACGATGGCGATGGCAGAGTGGATCGTGAGGGCATTTTGAGGATATCAGAAGCTCTTCTCTTTCTGTCGCGGAGAGGACTTCACGAATCTGTAAGTCCCTCAGCATCATCGCTTGATATAGGCTCTGAGCCGCCGATGTCACGCGACGAGCAGTTCCTGAGCAGCGTCTCCGCTTTCATCCGGAGGTGCTTCGAGTACGCTGATCCGGATCACGGTTCAAACCAGAACGGTGGAGTGGAGCAGGCAGAAGAAGGCCTGGACAACTTTGCGATTGGAGACGAGGACGAGGACGACCTTATCGACTTTGGTGACGAGCCGGCGACTCCAAAAGCAGAGAAGAGCCCGATGTCGCCAACTCAGTCAACGCACACAGTGGAAGCCGAGACAGGTGAGCGACAAGAGAAGGCCAAGGCAGCGAATCTTGCGTTGGATCCAAACAAGCCTCTGCACATCACATTGCCCACGTTCCGCATGGTCATCCTTGCAGACGAAGTGCTCGAACAGTTCTTCGAAGTCGGCTTCTCAGCCTCTTTCCGTCTTGCCGATGCGCCATTGCCGTCATCAGCATCGAGCTCTTCTAACCTCACTACATTTGCCAATGCAGGCAGACAAATGTCGCACCTAGCAGGCGGCATGGGCGTGGTCGGTGGTGCAGGTGTCGGCGTCGTTCCACCCGGCAAGAGCATCCGAGGCATGCTTGACAACATTGTCAATGACGGCATGCGCGTAGCAGCAGAAGTAAGGCGCAGATACGACGAGGCTCAGAAGGAGCTCGACGCGCAATCCCAGCACGCAAGGGACGATGACGAGGACCATGAGGAAGAAAAGGACGCAGATCTCCTCGAGGGTGCAGAGGCAGCAGATGTGATCTCGACCAAGGAAGAGAACCTCAGCGATCTGCTCTCGCCAGACATAGATAAGGAACTCAAGAGCACAAAGGATCGAAGAGCAAGTGACGCCAGTAGACGTGTGGTCGAGTTTGAGAGCGATAAAGCTTGACGTACGATCGTCTGAGGTATGGCGTTTGGCGTCTTCGCTTTTGGACGCTTGCATCTGGGGCGTACCTAGGGTCACTAACGTTGTATCAATGTCAAATCCCTCCCTCGTTTACTTCCTGTACATCATTCTCTCATTTGCTGCCATTTTGGTCGAATTCCGCACGTGCAGGCTTCAGCCGCCGCTGGCCTTGCCCTGACAGCAGTAATCTCACGTTTGCTGCCTCTTTCGAAGCTACTTACCCCGCATGCGGCTATGTCCCGACCGCGAGGCACTAACTCCAGCCTCATGCCGGTGATACAAGATGCTCGGCTATCTCCTCCTTCATTCAATGTTTTTGCTGTGTGAAGATGCTCAGGACCGTGGTTGCTCGCTCTCCGAGGTTGTTCTCGTCACTGCGTAGCACACGTCGAGGCATTCTCACGAAGGCGTTCCGCGCGGGACCAACCGAGGTACGCTACCGTAGAGCTTCGACCCTGACTCGAGCTCGAGTAGCTAACGACAGCAGCCTCCACTCCTTGAACAGACAGTGCCAGAACATTTTGCTGGCATTGTACGCCAGTTTGGGGACCGCAACGCGTAAGTCTCGCCCTGGCGTTTACTAAAAGCTTAAAACTCATCTTGACCAACAGTGTCATCTCACATCACCAGCGCACAATCCTCACGTACGAGGCTCTCGACCGCGACTCCAATGCGCTCGCCAGGGGCTTGCAGAAGAGAGGAGTGAAGAAGGGGGATCGAGTGGCCGTGTCGCTGGGCAACAATGTCGAATTTGCTACAGTAGGGCCACAGTCCAGAGCAGGCATACCATAATACTGACAGCTGCGCAGACAACCTATGCGCTCTTCAAGCTGGGCGCGATGCTGGTACCATTGAACCCCGCCTTCAATGCTCCTCAAGTACTCTCTGCGCTCAACCATCTCGAAGCCGCCCATCTCATCATTGGCGCCGAAACCAACCTCCCCCGTAAAGAACCACGATCGAACATCGCACTGCTTAGCCATCTCATACCAGATCTGACTGGGTCGAGCCTTCAGTCTGAGCTCGTGCCGTCTCTTCGCAATGTTATCATGGTCGACAACGCGCAGGGGAGGATCGATTGCGCAGTGTACAAGAGCACTACAAAATACGAGCATGTGTTGGAGGATGGCGGTCAGGGCGTAGCTTTGGAAGATCAGGGACTGGACCCGAACGACATCGTCAACATCCAGTTCACTTCTGGGACGACCAGTATGCCCAAAGCTGCCTGTCTGAGCCATCGCAGCATCTTGAACAACGGCAACAGCATCGGCGATAGGATGCTGTTGACAGAAAACGATCGCGTGTGCAGTCCCCCTCCGCTGTTCCAGTAGGTGCTTCTACAGACTTGGTTTGCGCGACCTGACATATATTATAGCTGCTTTGGCTGCATCCTTGGCTACATGGCGACGGCCACCCACGGTTCCTCCATCATCTGGCCTGCCGAGGCTTTCAATCCCCTCGCAACCCTCGAGGCCGTCCGCGAGTACAAGGCTACAGCTTTATACGGCGTACCCACAATGTTCGTCGCAGAGCTCGATCTGCTCGCCCACGGCGCCGTGCCTCGGGATGGGTTCGAACATCTGAGGACTGGCATCGCTGCAGGATCTTCGATACCTGCCGAGTTGATGCGCAAACTGCACAAGCAATTGAACTTGACTGAGCTGACCATCTGCTACGGTATGACCGAGACAAGTCCGGTCAGTTGCATGACCACAACAGACGACCCAATTGAAAAGCGTATCGACAGTGTTGGGCGCCTGCTGCCGCACGTCCAAGCAAAGGTTGTCGACCCGAGCGACTGGTCGCGCACATTGGGTATTGATGAGCGCGGCGAGCTCGCGGTGAGCGGCTACCTACTTATGAAAGGCTACTGGGGCGACGAGAAGAAGACGTCCGAGGTCATGGTTGCCGACGACGACGGCGTCATGTGGATCCATACTGGTGATGAAGCAGCCATGGACGCTGATGGCTACGTTCGCATCACAGGCCGTATCAAGGATCTCATCATCAAGGGCGGCGAGAACATCCACCCCCTCGAGGTCGAGAACTGCCTCTTTGCGCATCCGGCGATTCGCGAGGTCAGCGTGGCAGGCCTGCCAGATGAGCGGTACGGCGAGGTTGTGGCTGCGTTTGTGGTCAAGCATGATGGCGACGAGGGGAACATCACAGCAGAGGAAGTCAGGGGCTGGGTCAGGGAGAAGTTGAGCCATCATCTTGGTAAGTTTCCTCCACTCGAACCGTTGGTACAGTTGAATGCTAATCTTTGCCAGTCCCTAAGTACGTTTTCTTCGTGCAAGACTACCCGAAAACGCCAAGTGGAAAGATTCAAAAGTTCAAACTGAGGGAATCGGCCATCAAGTGGCTGCAGGAAGGGAGAGGGCAGTAGATTCGTCAATCAAATCAATTGGAAAGTAGTACCAATGTCTGCTGTCACAGATATCCCATATATACATGCGAGCCATGTACCGGAGGGCGTCCTCGTCTTGAGATGCATTGGAGCTTACTCCAGCCAACGTTATGTAAGAATAACTGACACACAAGAAACACGCTACAGGGGATCCTCGATGGTATTCTGTATCTGGAAGGAAGGACTGGGCTGTTCACAATGACGAGATTGCAGGTGCATCAGATCGGCCTGCTGCAACCCTCTCCCTCCTCCAGAACTCTAATTCACCATTTACCTTGCAATAAACAGTGTTAGGAGAGCCGCCACATGAGATTCGAACGCGTGTCTTGCTCCATGCACGAAATGAGCATACCCCCACGCGCAACATTGCAGCTGCAGGTGGATCCTATGCGCTCAAATGCATTGTCATAGATGAAAGTAGGTATGCCGGAATCATTACGCGTCACCAAGAACTCGGGATGGGAAGCCGACTCTTTGCGTCTCAGCACGTGTCTTTCACATGCGAAAATAGAGAACCCCTAGTTGCAGAGAAATATATCCTGAAGCAGAAGAGAAGGAACGACGCCGCACGTGCCAAGCAGAGTGCAGGTGGGGCGGTCGTGCCTCATTCCCACGTGCCGTCAGACCTACCATCACCGTCGATATACCACCCCGTTGCGCTACAAGATGCATCCAGTACTCTACGCTATCATAGGCGTTATACTTATCCTCGTGATCGGGCCCGTAAGTCAGAACAAACGCACTTGCACCCTCGCACTCCGCCGCGTCACCACCACGGAAAACACCACCACCCAACCGCACCACCTCCTCACATCCCAAAACATCAACTCTCTCTCCTATCCTTACACCGCCGCATCTCCACTAATCCCCTGCAGGCTATCTTCGCCGACCGCAGCCCCATCCCCGAAACCTCAGGCAACGTGACCAAAGTCGCAGCGCCTGCGGACCTCACCACCCTCCTCGCCTCCTCAAAGTATGTCGTCGTCGACTTCTACGCGGACTGGTGCCCTCCATGCCGCGCCATCGCGCCCATCTTCTCCGCGCTGGCGGACGAGCACGCACTCGCGGGCAAGCTTGCGTTCGCGAAGGTCAATGTGGATCACGTGAAGGGGGTTGCGGCGCAGTATGGGATTTCGGCGATGCCGACGTTTTTGTTTTTTGAGGGCGGGGAGGTCAAGGGGGTGGGGGTGAAGGGGAAGGCGGGTGACGAGGTGGTGGAGATGGTGAGGGGCGCGGATGTGGTGGCGTTGCGGAGGGTGGTGCAGGAGTTGGGGAGGAAGGCGAGGGAGTAGGGTGGTTTGGGAGGTCTGTATTGATGCTGGCAGGGGCTTCGTAGCTTGGAGCTCGAGGTGCGCGTCAGAGCGGCGATGTTTTGGTCGTGGCAACGGTGGATGGGTAGTACAGCGGTGTGCGATCAAGTCATCGTCACTGAAGAATAGTTGCTGAGGTCTCATCACCTCGCGCATCGATCTCGCCGAGCCAATCATTTCATCTGTGGGGAATGTGCAGTAGCGACGTCATTTTTGCTTCTGCAAGAGAAGCAATGGAGTTTGACATGCGAAACGTCGCAAGTGAGGCGGAAGCTTGGTGTTGTGGAGCAAGTCTAGATCAGATCAGCACTGTTGCTACTCATGGTCCCGCAACACCAAAGTCGAAGTACATTTTTTTTCGCGAGAAGATCAGCCAATCATAGTAGAGTCTTGTGCTAAGTCACGACTGCTACACCGCTTGGTGTTGTATCGACGCAGTAACGTGTATCCTTGCCACGAAGTGTTGGTTTACATCCTGAGACCGCTACAGTGACGCTCAACTGGCGACGGACCGTAGCGGTTGATGGTGTGGAAACGGATTGAATTACATCATAGTCCACTGGACCGCATGGACTCTAGCCCAAGATCCGAGAGTACGGCGTGCGTTTGTCTGGTATCTTGGGATCATGCGGTTAATCATACCTACTTGGACGACCACACAGGATGTCTAGCGCGCGACTTTGCTTCAAAGTACTGACATTTCGATATACTGAACCCTAAAACTCCCGTATACACCATAGAAGCCGCATTCAGTTGGAAATCGACAAGTATGTTGCCAGGCCGCAGGTACCCATGACAGAGAGTCATCAAGACACTTGATTCCACGTACAACACACGCATCCTTCGCGTCAAGCTGCCCCCAGCCTGGAAATTCACAGCGTATCGATGAGCCCATTGCAGTTCCCCGAGCGTGATATAAACGGGCCGTATTACTGTCCTGGCATGTTCCTTGCTGGCAGATGCTGGAAGAACACCTTGAAGCCTATAGATCCAAAGGAGTCGAAGAACCATCTAGCTCCTCACGAATTCTGACAACTGTTCGGTCACATTGCCTACTTGTGCATCATGTATTGTGTGCAAGACGTCATGGAGCGGTTTCCCAGTGATCCGAGATTTGTCAGTCTTGTATATGGTAAAGTTTGTGGCCCTTAACATATCAATGACAATCGTGAGGTTGGTGTCGAGGATAGCGGGCCTTACAAGTCTTTTCGGCCAATGAGACGTCTCTGACTGGACAGTTTTCAGCACTGAAAGATGCTATGGAGAGAAAAACAGGGCTTGATGTGGAGGGGGACAATTTGGGGCCATGACTAAGAGGAGGTTGCCAGAACAACAGCTGCAATGTTTTCATGATGTGGTAAAGAGACGACGAATAGACAGTGACGGTACAACAGCCACCTTAGCTAGGACAGTTGAGGAACCGGATGACTTGATGCAGGTGGTCGGTGTTTCTCACGGCTCCAGCCGTGAGTCGCAGCTATACCCGATTGATAGGCTCGGTAGACAGCCGACGCGATGGTTCGAAGGGAGGATGTCTTGCAAGATTAGCATGCACGCGGTAATGGGAATATATCATGTGTATCGTGATAGCTCTTCGTGTAGAGAACATACGGTATTTCACGAACCGTATGCAGAATCACAGGCAGATTTAGAAGGAACGCAACCATCGATGTTCGGAGGTGAAGTATTGTTTGCTTTTGCCGCACGGCGGTCGGGACTTGCGTTCACTGGTGTTGAAACTAGTCTATTCAGCGGTGAGCTACACCCAACGCACAATGACGTCGTGAAGCCTCCCGTTTGCCCTGCATTGTGTGTGCTAAGATTAGTCTACTACTCCAACATGCAAGAAGCTTGACTCGTGAGGATCTGGACGCATGTGGGTAGGTATTAGAGAGTTTTTTTTCGCGTTCGGTTGGCTGTGCTTGAAAAGCTAGGAAACGGTCTCCGAGCATAGATGCATTATTGGCGACTACATTTACAACGGGCATGAGAGAGTCCTGCTGAATCGCATTCGATAATCTGCACTGTGCCGAGTATAGGGATCGACATGTAAGCCATATACCATAGGCACATAAGCTCAAGATATGTTTAGTACCACCCAGAAAGTATTTCCGCTTTGAGCGAGTGCATGTTGAAAGCTCATGCAGGGTGATACAAGGATGCATGTGGCGCCCTGGTGTGAGGGGACTGATGCCAGGACTGTTTCCTGCTTTGAGGAGCGACTTCCTTTTGCGGATGCGGAACTCGGGTTGAAAATCGACTTGGATGGGTGCCGGATTTAGACAACAAACTTACACAGCAACAGCCGGAATTAAAAGTCCGCTGCCCGCTGTTGGCTGACACGTCTGGAACCTACAATGTTTGTCACATGAAGTGAGTTTGATTGGCGCATGTTTCGCCGAACAAGATTCGATGATTGGTAGAATTGCTTCGAGTTGTGTTCGCAATGTCGCTTCGTTGATGAGGTACAGGTTTGGTCCGGTAAAAAACTGCCGCCTGCCCGCCGGGGAAACAGCAGTGATGACCAACACAGCTGCATCATGAAGTCAGAAATCCGGTCACCTCACCTATCAGGCTGTTACAAATTGCCGAACTTCTTCATGGTGCAACACCATATGCGCCCTCATAATGGTTGCTCAATCAAATTCAAGGCTTGCTTCAGCCTTGGCACAGAAGCCGGGACGTCCTAGCTGGCAACGTCATAGCGTCCGGGCACCAAGGAAGTGCCCAGTTTTAACCACATCTTTGGCAAGACTGCTGTTTCTCCGATCCACAGCAAATTCCAAGATCGCTACAGAGGCCCTTCCAGACCCTGGGGTCGTTAACGGTCTCGAAGTGACTAAATTGCCGCGAACCCACTGTTGTGTACGCACCTCGTGGTCGAGATGGCAGTTTCATCTCTTTCCTGTGGGGATAGAGAAAGATCAGGGAAAGATGTGCAATGTTGCGGTCTGGTGCCTCGGGAAATGGTAGGACGCGCACATGATGAGATTGAGGAGCGGAGATATGCATGAGGTGGGCATGTGTTGACGCGGCCAACCTGGCTTCTACCCCAGTCCGGGGTCTCTGAAGTCTCATGCAAGATGTAAGAATGAAGCACGACTGCCGTTTCAGAAGTCAGGCAGTAGCCAGAATTGTGACAGGCAAGTGCGCCGGTCGTGCTGCATTCTTTTGAGAGAAACATCATGCCTGTCAGGATGTCGGTTTCATAGCGCAGGGCAACATTGTTGAAGGCGAAACTCGGAGCAATTGATCACGTGGAAAAGGTGGTTTAAAGATACATCGATTGAATTTGCTTCACACGTAGATCTGGGTGTAGTCCTTCTCGGATCAAATGATTTCCTGTCTGTACATCGTGGCAACTTGTGCTCTTCGATGTCTCAGGTGTTCCTCCTCTATCCTCGCCTATGCACGTTCCTCTCTATCGAAACAAGTGGTATATCATAATTCCAGAAGTAAATCGTTGCGCCGTGTAAATGCCGGTCCAGATGCTGCCCTAAGTAGGGATCAAAGGTGATCCAGAAGAAGATGGTGGTGTTTGAGAACACTCTCGCTAATGTCCAGAATGATCGTATGCAAATCGTAACAAGCCGGTCTCTTGGCGACTACGAGGCTCGTGTGGTAGCGGAGTTTAGCTGCTTGAGCGAAGCGAATGACGATGTCATCGCTGAGTATGCAGCCGTTGGGCTTGTGCTTGCCGAAGAATTTGGAGATGTGCGAGCTTGGATGTTGAGGGTGATGCAGTCACCACATCGGTTGCCATTTGTGTTGCAGCGACCTCGGCATCCGCGTTCGTAGTTGGCGCAGGAGAACATTGTGATTGGTGGGTGGTGGAGTGTTGACTGATTGGTGGTGAAGTGTTGATTGAAGGGTAGTAGGCTTGTTGATGTTGATGGTGGCGTTGATATGTTTGGACTGTATCAATCTCGAAGGGGGACTGTGGAATATATGTGCCCAGGCAGAGTAACACCGACGTTCGATGATGTAGCTTGCGGGAGTCCAAGGGTGCCGGGCGTACTCAGGACGCTTGGCCAGCAAAACAACCTTAATAGATAGCGCGATTTGCGTGGTCGGGCGGAAGTGTGCGGTGGAGACGCCTGAGCCAATCACTGCGTTGCAATGTCGTAACCTCGATGGATCGCAAGAACTGGGCAGCAAAGTGACGAGCGTCTGTGTTCCCAAGAATTGTACTGGTTACTGTTGATGCCGTGAGTTACTGGATATTGATGATCCTCGAGGCTCTCGGTCTTATACCCGTAAACCGTGGCCGAAAAGTCTGAAATGAAGGGGTCCTTATCGACGCCTGAGTCTTCGCGGATGCTCTGCTGGCTCGTGCACCGCATTCAGGGCTTTCCAGGGTCTAACGTGCATCGTGCATGCACCTCGCCCGGCCGTATTCGCACTCACTCACCAGCAATCCATCCCTATTCCCGTCCGTGCCGAAGCTGCTGCAGTACGCATACTGACGAACGAATATATCCGCGTATTCCGGTCTTCTTTGGCGGCTTATGGAGGCTGAGCGGTGATTTCTCACCGGCTTCAAGACGAAATGCGCGCACCAAACACCACACCAATCTGCAGCCACTCGGTCTCCATACATTCAGACCGAGGATGGCATGATCATCCATGATGGTAAGGTCACACTAGCAAGCAAGCGACCGTTAGGTGTGAAGCAGCCTTAGGCAGGCATGCGCGCGCGTCTTGCCTCAGGCTCTAACAAGCGCCCAATCCTACCCAAAGGTCGACAGTCGCTCTAAACAAGCTGCAGGTGTCGTTTGCCGTGCGCTATATCTGACGCGTCTCACCAAGTCGCGATTACGTGCGCTGCGTTCCTGGCTTTCACACAGGTACCGCCAACCAAGAATGAGCCTCACTGTTCAACAGCCGCCTGAAACATCGAGAACATTCAATAAGCGAGTTTGAGCTTTGTCCAGGGCCTTACGAACCTTTGATCTTATCGATGATTAATCGCGCCTAATCGTGCATGCATCTAGTCACACCATAGCAGACTCCACTCCAAGAGCAAGCTAGAATTTAAGGTGTTGTTGCGGCTTAATCTTCCTGAACTCCGCCAGTACGCTCAATGACTGAACCTTCGAGTCTGTCACAAAAGGCAGATTCGTTACTCGCACTTAGCCCTGCCGGAGCTTCCGGCCGCGCCATGCCATACACCCGCGGATAGAGCGCTTTAGGACCATGGCCCACCTTGCAAAGAGTGCGCAATCGCAAAGTCTGGAACCTCATAAACTCGCAACGCGCCATCATACATCATACGAGTCCCACAACTGCCTCACGGGTTGTGGGTCATTGATCAACATGCGGGCGGGCTGATCGATTCTCATGTTTGCGATGCGCTTGGAACATCAAACATGGCTCCAACGTGGAACACAAATGGATGACCACCCTCAGGGATCACGCTGTACTCAGATCTTCTCACTTGAAAGTCTATCTCGGACGTTGACATTCTTGCAAATTGGCTAATGGTGCTCACATTGAACACACTCGAATTCTCGCTCACGCTAGGGTTACATATCAGAGTCATTATACTGACACCGTATCGTAAATCCTCCACCCCTTGAGTACATGCTTATATGATCGTATCGAGAATCGAGCTGCTAATGGCCGAGAGCAGGCTGTTGGTATTGTCACTGTCGCGGATAAACTCCGTGTGATCTTCCCCAGCAGCCATGCACCGGAGACAGCATGGTCATTCAGTAACATCAACTGGTCCATAAAGATATTCCATGGCAGCCACAAGTCTTACTCAGACTTACAACTGCAGCGGCGACATATAAACCTAGCGTTGAGCTTTACTAGCGCTTACAGCAACAGTTTCTGGGAAGATGCACGCCAGCGTTCTACTCGCAACATTCAGCATTTTAAGATACATATGTCCTTTGGAGCGACATTGGCAATTTTGGACTGCTTTAATGACGAGAAACACCCGGAGACTTTGCATGTACACATTGTAAGAATAAAAGCCATGCGAATGTGAGCTTCCTTATAAGGTTGGTTTTATCTTACCTGCATAGAAAGTAATCCCATCATGCACAGTGTGTCAAACCGTCTGTCTATAAGTGAGGAATGGCCCTGATAGACAGCTAAGGTAGACGGCTTGTTCTCGATCCTCTGCCGAACATCACTTGGTCGAATTACTTGAAACAATGCCAAAGGAAATCACGAACACTCCAACGACAAACCTATCAAGTCACTATCTCTCAAGCCTCGCTATGAGATTGAACAGCAAGATCTCAAGCATGCTGAGCGGTCAGCTGCCGTCGTATTGCATAGTAAAGGCTTCTACCTTACTGTCTGGCCAGATGTCTACCCCAAGTATGACAGAAGGATACGATTCAGTTTACATTCGATTTGGTCTACCTTGTAGAGCACCAAGTCGACAGTGGGCTCTCATTTCGCATGTTCGACATCGAGTACGTCTTCAAGGGCGAGGAAAGCGGTGCGACCAAGGACAGGCTGTATTGGGACCACTTCGAGCCGAGTCTCAAAGAGTCACAAAGATTGGAGGTCAAAGCACAGAGATTGCTGGATCAGACGGACTTCTCTCTGGTCAGCGCGGCGCTCTCTCCTACGACGCCCACGGCGCTTTAAACATGCTCAAGTTGAAGCCGCTTCTTGCGAACCTACTCCACTATGGACAGTTGAACGACATCCTTGAGGAACTCGTTTCAAGAGATCCAGAAACTTGGAAGCCGAAAAGGGCCAACGAGGTCTTGTCATGCAATGCGACCTCAACGCGCAGAGAGCACGGGGGAAAAATGTCATGGCTGAGCTGGTTCACCGGCCGATGCTATCAGCCAATGCAAGAGGATTCAGAGGTATTCAGATTGTGGCACTGGCCGATTCTGTCACAAATGCGTAGAGTATGCCAGTGCCCCCGTACAAGGGCGCTGTGGTCAGTGAGTTTAACACAGATACATGGAAGGACGAAGAGGAGAATCTTGTTTTTGCTCCAGCACGGCGAGCAGCAAAGCAGCATTTCGATCTTAAGCCGTAGACTTGGTGAACACAATGAGGATAATGAATCGACTTGCCTAAGCACTCTGGCACGTCTGTGGAAACCAACGGCATTGAGCAAGGTTAACTCTCTTCTGCAAATTTGCTCAATAGGCCGTTTTGGTCGTTTCATTCAACAAAAGCCGTCAATTGCAGTCCTCGGAAGCACCGGTTCTGATCCGAGTCTTCGTGACGGAAGATCGGTCGGCGACTTCGGGCTCCGCGAAGTGGGCTGCGGGGTGGGGTCCACAGCTTCAGGTACGTCACAAGCTCCGCTCGAGAGGTAAGAATTCTTCAATTGTGCATCAACACATCCTCAATTGACTCAACACTTGTTCTTTACTCTCCGTATCGTGAAGATAAATTATTCACTATGGTCTACACAATCATTGTACACCTTTACGCTAAGGCGGATGAGGAGAGCATCTCCAAGCTCAAGGCAAAGCTCGTCGAGGCGAGCGAAGTCTACTCGAAGGATAAGGAAACCCTTTCCTGGTTTGTGATGCAAGATACTGTCGATCCTCGCAAATTCTCCATAGTAGAGCGATATGAGGCCGAGAGCGTGAGTTCAGGCCCGAAACAACTCTTCCAAGCGATCATGGCTGACACTATTCGCAGTCGCAGCAATACCACCTGAACAACCCCTACTGGCAAACTTTTGACCCGTACGTTCTTCCGTTGCTCGATGCGCCAATGGACCTGCGAAGACTCGAGGAGCTGGAGTAATGCTACCACCGCAGGTGTGCATCACTACCCGGATGCCTTCAAGAAGGACAAAACCGCTGCGAACTTGTACAAGGACAAAAACTGAAGAGCTTGATATCATCATACTATGTAAAGAGCAGCGTCTGGTACAAAGATGGACGAGATGACCTCCACGACCTCCACGGCCCAACATGTACTCGAACATGTTTAGCTAGAAGGGTAGTCAGCTATTCCCAGGCTCCTCTTCTTCAGTCACAGATGACAGCATAAACCTGAACTTTCTCATTGCCACAAAGTTGACGTGAAGGCCTCTATGTGAGCTATGTACCTAAGCTGGATGTCCACCTCCTCAACGATGCGAGGTCCAAATCACATAACAACGTCAAATGAGTGACCATAAGTTGGGTTGTCAATGGAGAATCATAAATCATCTGCGACAGAAACCAAAGAGGATAATGTGGAGTAAAACGCTGCTCTCGATATAGCAACCTCTCCTGAAGTTTTCTACCTGCGACTCACAATAACGATTCCCAGAAGCGCGGATGCAAGAAATATTGTCATGAACACAATGGAAATCCACATGCAGTCATGTCGCTCTTTGGCTCTTTCCTCTCGCGCTGTTGTAAGAGCATCGCAAGTCTCGCAGTGCTGATGTGGTGCGAATGGATTGAATGGCACAGAGTGGTCACGCGCCAACTCGATATCAGGTTCTGTCTGCGAGACAGTGGTGTAGCCCGTGGCTGACCCTGAGGGCGGGTGTGCATTGACAGGGTGCTCATCGTTGTCCTTGTCCAGGTGCTCGTCATAGGCTGGCGCTGCCTCGAAAGGAGTGGGTGGTTGGCCCATAACGGGGTTTGCGGCTGCTGAAATGATGATATTGCGGGACATGTTCGTTCGTTCTGTTCCGTGAAATCCACAAGAAACACTGATACATATACTGGTAGCTTGTTGTACCGGTCAGCTGGATGCCTGGCGAGTTGTGTGCCAGCCGTGCCGCGCCAGCCGGGTATAGCCACGATATGGCTCCCATCGCATTCGCTCGCTTACTCTCCTCCTAGCACATGAAGCTGGGCATTGGCTCAATACAGATAAAAACGTTCAAGATGTCAGCTGGTGCTAGTGGGCCTGAATGTGGCGGTGCGATGTGGAGGCTGTGCACTGAGACGACCTTGGGACCGACAGATGCGGCCCACACTCATCTCTGCAGTTCCATGTCACTGGCTCTCGGGCGCAAAAAATATCCTGGTCGCTGCGAATGAGGTTGCAACGACTCGAAGCTGGGTAGCAAGGGCAGGCGCAGGCAGGCTTCCCCGCGCGTTTCCGGTACATGGAGGCGAGGCGCACATGGCACCTCATGCTCTCGGTCCTTACCCCCAAGAATTCCTCGAGACTTGCGAAAAAATATCGAAAAGACTAAAAGTAAATACCGGTAAGGTGACAACATGGGTCGTGTAACATCGTACTGAGGTTTGAGCATATTCGCCTTGCAATTCTACCACCTATAGCTATTCGTGCAGTGTTTCTTTGGTAAATATCGCAACGGCTGGCTCATAAAGTAAGTTCGCCTCATGCAAGGGTCTTGTTCCCGCGATGTATTTACTGGGGTGTTAGACTCAGGACTGATTGCCCCAACGGCACACCAAGCAACAACAAGCTCTCGGCTCTGTCTCGTCTCCGAGGCTTAATCAACAAGACCTAGTCGCTTTACGTGCGCTGCGTAGGGTCTGTCAAATCACGAACAAGAACGCGCATCGATTGCGAGGCAATGCGGGTCGAATTTGGAGACCTTAAGCCTCATGGGGAAGGTGCGAGCTCGTTCCCGACTGCGTCATATCATAGCAGGCAGAATCTCTCGACATCCGAACATCTAATGTCGTATCAGCAGCCAATTAGCCTTGCTCATGTAGACCCACGTAGTTACAGCCGGCGAGTCGTTCCTTTTATCAATGCTTAGCCGGGTACTCTCATCTTCCTCCTTCTTCTCATAGACAAGCGTCAGGCCTCAAGCGCAGTGATGCCGTCACTTGAGAAATCATTCAAATACTCTCATCTGGTCAGTATGCAAAGCGCCAGTCTTTTGATTGTAAACTTCATCATATCACTGTCAAGATGAGGTTCCTCGATCTCTTCAGCGGTTTACTGTGCGTTTCTTCTGCGGCAGCTTTCAAAAAGCCTGCCAAGCCTACTCTTCCAAGGTCCGTGGTTGAGAGAAGTCTGCCTAACCAGCCATTCTCGCATCCTGAAATCCAGAAACGAGCTTCTCATTTCCTGACGGAGAAGACCAAGGGTATGATTGTTCAACATTAGTGTTCGTCAAGACTTACGCTGACTCCGTGTACCAGCTTTTGCTGTTAACGGCACTGGGATTCCAGAGGTTCCTTTCGATATTGGCGAGAGTTATGCTGGTTTGCTTCCAATCTCGGACAGTCCTGATGAGACACGAAAGCTCTTCTTCTGGTTTTTCCCTTCGACAGCTGAACAGACTCCTGAGGATGTCACTATCTGGTGAGGTAACCATTGCTGCATATGCACTAATAATACTAACTATCTTCAGGCTTAATGGCGGTCCTGGATGCTCCTCTCTCTCTGGTCTCTTGACTGAGAATGGTCCTTTTACCTGGATGTCGGGAACGCTTGCACCAGTGCAGAACCCATACTCGTGGACAAATCTTACAAACATGCTGTTTGTAGAACAGCCCATTGGCGTTGGCTATTCCCAAGGAACACCCAACATCACCAACGAGGTTGAGCTTGCCACTGAATTCCGTGGCTTCTACAAGCAGTTTGTAGATACCTTCCAGACTAAGAGCTGGAAGACATACATCACGGGAGAAAGCTACGCTGGCTACTACGTACGTCCATCTAATATTCGAGCTGGATAACACTGACACGCATGCAGGTGCCGTACATTGCCGATGGTTTTATCTCTGCGAACGACAACGAGTACTTCAACCTCGCGGGTATTCAGATTAACGATCCCATCATCGGCGACGAGACCATTCAGCAGCAAGTCGTCATATTGCCATATGTGGAATTCTGGCAGAACTTCCTCTACCTCAACGAGACTTTCCTTGACCAGGTCCGCGATCGCCAAGACTCCTGCAACTACTCATCTTATCTCGACACCTACTTCAAGTTCCCGCCTCCTCAAAAGCCCTTCCCCGTTTTGACCGACCCCTACAGCACCGAAGATGGCGCGTGTGACATGTTCGACACTTTCTATGCTGCCATTCTGGAAGTAAACCCGTGCTTCAACATCTACCACATTTCGTAAGTGAACGGGAAGTTTGACTGAAAGTCTCACGGCTAATAAAATCCAGTGAGACCTGCCCTCATCCATACAGCCAACTCGGTATAGTCAACACCGGGGACTATTCGCCCCCTGGCAGCCAGATCTACTTCAACCGTACGGACGTTAAGAAGGCTCTACACGCCAACGTGGACACCAACTGGCTTCAGTGCACTGATATCAATGTGTTTGGAAACGGTAACGCGAGTAGCTTCGCTTCCGATGCATCGCCGCCCCCTGCCAACAACGGTGTCCTCCAGCGCGTTATCGAGTACACGAACAACACGATCATTGGATCCGGAGACCTTGACATGCTTCTCAGTACCAACGGAACGCTCTTCGCTTTACAGAACATGACCTGGAACGGCGCTCAAGGTCTCTCTGAGTACCCTGCCACCCCGCTCTATGCGCCTTACCACCCTGAATACAACGGTGGTTCGCTCGCCGGCGCCGGCATCCAGGGTGTCTGGACTGCTGAGCGTGGGTTGACATTCTACACTGCTCGCCTTGCTGGCCACGAGCTGCCCGGGTACACTCCTGGCGTCGCATATAGGATGCTCGAAATCCTTCTCGGTAAAGTGGCCAACTTTAGCAGCACCGAGAGCTTCACCACCCAGAACGGCAACTACACTGGCAACGGCACAATTTACAAGTAAAGCTCCGATTCACATATAGATGTTGTTCTAGATACGAACAGTAGAATGCCACCACTTCAAGAAGACTTAGTTTTTGCACGTTGCTGGTCGCTATTTTTAGACCAGGACATTTATCAACATCCACAATTGTGATTCATGTTTGTGATAGTGTTGAGACATTGTCGATATTGACCACTGTTGAAATCGTATGACTTACACCTGCAGATGCGGTGCGTGGGAAGAGGACATCACGTCTCGTGCGATGATTCGCTTCATTGCACTATTTAGTGCGCCACGTGCAAGTACAAGACAGTAGCTTCACAGCTATGGTGTTGTATTCGTGATCAAGAATGCCGCCTTCTACCTGACAGGTCCATATCCACTTATCTCGTGTCACTGTAAGCTTGAAGCTCAGTCTAAGCGAAGAAAGAATATCAGACGTCCAGATCTAACACTTCAACAGGCCAAGTTTAGCGCCATCCTGTGGCATCGAATGAAGTCTTCATGGGGACTTCAGGCAGCCTATTCCTTCCGCCACTGCTGAAAAGTTGGATCGTGCATTCCCATCGTTCCAGGTGGTGATGTGAGCTGTTGGTGTTGGTGTTCCTGGTGTTGGTGTTGATGCTGCTGTGAATCCAATGATGGGTGGGGATACATGTCCCCTACATCTTCAGGGCCAGTGGCGCCGAAAGAATGGCCTGTAGACCACATACTCAGCAAACCATTCAGAGGCATGGCCTCGTCCCAATTGTTAATGAAGGGATTCCCAAATGTGTTGGGCATACGCATGTCATTGAGAGAAATGCTGTCGGTTGTCGCGTAACTATCCAGGGAGAACGAAGTGTTCTGATAGTCCCGACCCGAAGACTGTGGATAGTACTGATGACCAGTTGATTCACTGGAGCCATCGAATACTTTGCCTTGGGCCCAATCTGAGCCGGCGTTCTGATGATTCAATGGTGGCATGAATGAGCTGTGGGATTGCGCATTTGCATCCTCCTCTGCTATACCCTCGAGTAATTCGTGAGCTTTGGATCGAAGAAACGGCGCGACATCGGTTAAGATTCGCTGTAATACAGTATACGCTCGATCTGCACAGGGATCGTTTTGCCCCATTGCATGCAGCCAAACGATGAGCTTCTGTATATCAGAAGTGATTTCGGTATTATCGTCCTTGGTGTGACGACTTTGGTAGCCCACTTCAAGAAGCAAAACGGCAGCGCATTGCATCACTGTTGAGCTTATGTTAGTCTCAGGTCACACTCCGTTACTATGATTTATGTACTTACTTATGTGCACAATATTCCACCACGGGGCTTTCATGTATACAAACTTAGGGTCAGGTCTGTCCGGAAACAACGCTGTCAATGCACGAGCCGAGGCGACGCAAGCTTTGGCCATCTCAGAATTAAAGATGGCAGAAGCATCGCTCTGATTCTTGATACGCCGCTCCGTTCGACATAAGCATGGCCGGGTGATGAGAATTTTTGTGCTCCAATAGTGCATCTGAAGAAGCATATACTCACGCTCAAGTTGCTCACTACCAGGAGCATGGCTTCCATTTAATGCAAGTCTTGACCAGTCTTCAAGGTCTTGAAGCAGATTCTTAATCCTGGTTTGAATCTCCTGTAATGCCGGTGGTCAGCGTAGATCGGTCATACATATTTACCACAAATTTGACATGTGAGAAACACCGTCAAGAATATTAGTTTAGAAAAGGCCCTACCTGCCAAGATTGAACTGCGGTTCGAGGTGCATACAAGCCACTCAGAGCCTTTTGTGTAAGAATTGCAATATTCAGGGTACTGCTGAGATAGTCATCCATGCCTGTAGAGCTACTGGTTCGTAACTTTCCTTCTGGGGGGGGCAGCTGATCTTGATTGGATGATGGCCGTTTGGTGACCGGATGTGATTCTGCCTTAAGTCCTTTCGGCAACGGTACTGTGGAATCTTCAATCGGTATGGTAGGGGGTCGACCGGTGATCGAGCTCACTAAGCATTCTATCGAATGCAGACTCCACCATGTCCTTACCAGTGTCTCTTTCTTACTCGAGTCGGCCCCAGGTACTTCGTTTCGCAGATGCAAGCCGAGTGACATGGCAATTCTGATAGCTATGCCAATCGTGAGCCATGCACGGCTTACATGTCCGATAACCAGGAAATAGAGGGAGAAGACGGCCGTCTACAGCAGAATAGTATCAGCTTGATGCATCAGTCTAAAATACTAACACGACTTACCGCTTGCACCAGAGTCAGGTCGGGTTCTGATGTCAACGCGACAACGTCGTTCATACCAAGAAGGCGAGAAGCTCGAGTCATGTACACAAGATGGTCGCGATCAGGTCCCTGCCATTCATAGCCAATCAAATGAGAATATTTGGCGCCTATTGCGAACACAAGATTTAACAGAGCTCGCCATCTGTCCGGCACACGGAAGACTCGATTCTGCTTCAAAGAGAATGTGAACCTGCGTACTTGATCCTCAAAGCTTGATGGAACGATTGGGAACGAGTTGTGTACTGTGCTCAAGTAGCATTCTAGGAGTCGCTCAGCGATCTCGGGATCAGGAAGCTCATAGGGGTTGACCACAATGTCTAGTTCAATGTTGTCGCTGTCGAGATAAAATGTTGCATCTGTGACGTGTCGGGTCGGTGTAGGGCCACTCTCAAGTCTACGCTGGTGGAGTGCTTCAAATCGTTGGTCGACATCATGTCCGCTGGAGCCCGGGGGCCCGTATGGAAGACCATAAGGCTCCCCCTCTTGGTTCTGCGATTGGCGCTGAACAGAGCGCAGCCACTGCACTTCTGAATTTTGCCCAACGTATCCTGTCTCCCTGGATTCGCGAGTTCGTAACAAGTCTTCGTCTAGATAGTCGAGATCTTCGTTTGACCCCACCGAGGCTGTGACGTGCGCTTCGCCGCTCTTTTCTGCATGATGATCTGCATCTGAGCTTCCACTGACAGAAGTTTTCCGAGCCCGTTTGCCGAGTGATATAAGGGAGGGTGCAGCCGAATTTGCATTTATCATGTCATCTTCTGCCTAAGCACAATTTTGGTTGGAATGACATCTTCGGGCTTAGACTCTAGTTGACTTACAGCATTGATGACATCTTGAAGTTTTTTCTTGTCCTCCTCATTGAGCCGGGTGCTGAGGTCCCTGAAGAGGCAGACAAACGTGTGGTTGAGATCAATCGCTCTACGAACGTTTAGTAATCAACATATGTATAATGAAGTATTTGGACATACTCTTTCAGGCGATCGCGTCGCGCCTGCTCATAGACACAACTAAGGTTGTTGGTCTGACATATGGCACAGCGTGGAACTTCACCAGAACATTTGACCTCTATTGCAAGGTCAGAAAACCTCTCAAAGACTACTGGGCAGGTGCATAGGGCGGTCTTACTTCTCTTGCGACAGTTCTTGCAAGCTCTTGTCCTGTGAGAATAGCATCAGCGCCCGAGAGTCGCTTGGAGGGGTTTGAATCGCCTACACTCGATCCTCGCGGTTCTGAGCCGGATGAGGTTTTGGCGGCGGAGGTGGCCCACGGTCGAGTCTTGCGATGGCTACCTTTCTGTGGATGTTTGCGTACGCCATGTCACAAACAAAGAGTAGGTAGTCGGAGCGCCGCGGAGTCCGCGTGAAGGGCGTGCTGGCGTAGATTACGCATGTAAGGTAAGCACGAATGAGAGTGCCTTTCCGAAATAGAGGGGTAGCTCCTGGCTCACACCGAGAATCGCTGCCCAAGAAACGCAAGGGGTATTACCAACAGCCCAATTAAAACGAGTACGCGACACTGGGATAGATTTCAGCGGTTCGGAGCTTGAATTGTCGTGGTGCGGGGAGCAGAAAGCCCTATTGCTACTGGCTGCAGGGGATGGGAGCTTCGCGACAACGTGAGGCTGCTCAGGAGACCAATCAGCTGCCATGTTTGCGTGGGAGAAATTCCCTGCCAATGAAAGCATGTATGGACTCGGAATTCGTGCCGCACCGACATGCATTGGCCTATACTAACTTAGCACTTAAACTTAGTCGACCTGAACCGCTGTTGGAAATATGTGGGTGGGAAACTGTGATAACTGCTCCACGGTCAGATTTATGAAGCATCTTTTGGATACACACGTGCATTACCTGGACCTGAAGGCTCAAGACGGTCCCGAGATACTGTTGCAAATTAACACGTGACATTCCGATCGATGGACTTCTCTACGACTTAATTGCTACTGTAGGCAAGCTTGAATTTTGGCCAGCAAGGGACGAGCACGTGTATTACTTGAATATCGTAATCACATACATGACCATTTATGTATGTTTTCCAACAACCAAGCTTCTTGAGATGCTTGCCCAATCCGTGGCACTCCAAACATATATGCCGACAGGCGGTATACTGGTTCTATCCGCAGAGTCATTACCCCTGGCCAAGATCCCTCTCCCCTTCGGGAGCAACGCAATCGAATCCTAACAAGCTCTCGTCTACGTTCCTACACGCATAAACAGGTGCCTTGCCGCTAGGTACCTGGACTGTAACGTTTTCCGCTCGAATGTTGCTGCAGCGATCTGGTGCGCTGCAAATCAGAGTTCCAGCCTGTGGGTCGCGCGACTTGGAAGTCGTGCCATACATGTTCTTTATCAGAATATCTTCGATAGTCAAGTTTGCCTGGGATATGTGAGCTATGATTCCATTGTAAAGGTCGAAGATGAAAGGTTAAAGATGAAAGGAAGGCTTACAGGATGCTCGTAGCATAGGCTCTGATTCTTTTGTCCGTAGCATTGCGTGATCGTAATAGCTCGGTCATTGTTCACGTTTCTGAACAGATCGTATGTTACGTTCTTGACCCTGCCTAGTCCACCGCCGCCGTTCAGCAACGTCTGGAAACTGGTTTCGATGCCAGGCCACACCTTGATGCGAGCACCATCGCTGGAATTGGCGAGAGAAACATTGTAGATGTACAGGTTCTCGACGATGTCAGTTACGTTCGCATACTGGCCCAGAGAGCCAACGCTGATGCCATGCGAGCCAGTGCAATCGAGGTTTTGGATAACGACATTGGTGCTGTTGGGTTTGAAGGATACGCAGTCGTCTGTATTCACAATGACCGAGTCTTGGATGACTAATCGATTAGCGCGAAAAGTGTCCCATCCGTCGGAATTGGCTATTTTCGTTTTGTTACGGCTTTCGGCTCTGAGGTCCATGTTGCTTATAAGAATGTCAGAGGAATTGGCGATAATGTTGAACCAGTTCGGTGGGTTCCGCATCCGGATATGCGACATTGTTGCTCCCTCCATACCATCGAAAGCGAAAAGCATTGGCCTTCGTAAACTTTTGTTGGTGAGTGTCTCCAGCCAGTACGCTTCGCCATGTCCATCAATCAGACTTCCTTCCTTGCTCAAATCACCGTAAATATTTACGTCTTTCCCACCCCATTTCCAGAACACAGACTGATTCTGGAAATCGTATTTAAAGCTGTGCTCCGCCCAATGATACACATCGTCATCGAAATGAAGCTCGCCGGTGAGTACAACATCAATATGCTGGAGAAAAGTGAGGTCTAACGGAGACTTTATGTGGTATATGTCGTCTAGGATGATTGTGCCGCCGTTGTTGCATTTTTCGAAGGCTTTGTAGATCGCACGAGCATCGTCACGAGGCTCTTTTTTTCCCGGTTCGACGAAGCAACGGCGTTTGGGATTTCGAGGGGGCGAGTGCGGGAATGCTTTTCCGGTGTCAAATGGTGCCGCTTTTAGGGTTGGTCGCGATGGTAAGGCATGCTGTTGAGGCGTTGCTGTGGCCAGTCCACCGAGACAGCCAACAACGAACAGACTGAGGGGATTGAGCTTCATCTTGAAAGTTTGATTATCTCACAGTTGCAGCTGGAAACTTAGTGACTGTGGGAGCGACCTAAGTATGCTGTGTACTGCAAACAATTTTCTTCCATTCCTTCGTCTATATCTGCTCACTACCGGGTGGCGTGACTGAGTATTGAGCCGCGATACGTGGATGAATAGCTACATGTACAACAGTAAGCAATAAAGAGGTCTTGGACTTGTCTGGTGCAAGTTAAGATCGACGTGCGGTGCTGTTGAATAGGTACCGGTAGGCGGTTCGGTTCCTCCGGGCGTCGGGTTATTGCTAGCCGGCTGGATATTCTGCGCTCATCTGCGCTCGTAGAATCCGGGGAACATGTTGTAGCCCCGCACATTGTGTGCTTCCCCCGCTTGACGACTCACGGCATCCAAAGCAAGTGTACTGATGCCTCTCATGCCACTCTTCAACCAGATCTCGAAGATGTTGATCGCGCCCTGATACTGCTCATGACATTGTGCATACAATGCCACTAAAACGAGTGGTGTGGCCATGCGCATGAACGCAATCGCATTGTGATGAGTGTCAAGATACGTCGCTGCGTCTAGAATGAGTTGAAAGTTGTGCTCCGAATCTGCAGGGTCCACGATGTTGGGACCGCGGATTGCAAGAAGGATCTTGGCTGAACCAAAGTAGGCCATTGTCAGCGCCATGTAACCGTCGCTGAAAGAGTCACTCCCCATGATGGCATCGTGCTGTTTAGTATTATCTCCCCTTTGCTGGCTGTATTCATTCCAAAGATGATCGACCTGGAGCCTCAATGACGGAAAAGCCATTCCATCCTGCCCAATCGCATTAGATGTTGCAGCACCCAAGACATTTAACTTAACGATACAACACATCAACCTCTGAATCAGTGGTGGATTTTTGTACAGCAGTGTGTCATATAATATTTCCTTTGTAGACATCGGGGGGCTGTGGTGACTCGACGCCAGCTGAATGAACACAATCTGTGTTCTGACATGATAGAAGAGTTGGCATAGCACACCATATGCGCACTCTCCTGGTCCGGTGATTTCCAGCAACTTTGCTGCCCCGTAGATATGGACGCGGTATGCGTCGGTGGTGGTAGCCTGCATGGCCTCAAAAAAGCTGAGCAGTACGCTCGTGGAGACTGCATGTATCGTGATATTGTGTTTGGATCCTGACTTCTGCAGCAAAATATGATGTGCACGGAGTGCAGTGCCATACAATTCCGCAGCGTGCTTAGTCATTGATGCATTAGAGCTCATGATGGCGCCGTAGGCGGTCGCTGTTGCTTGCAGGGCGAGGACTAGAGCATCGTCGGAATGCTTCGTAGCTAGATCTGGTAGAAGTTGGAGCCATGTCAATTGATTTTGGATATCCTTCCGCTCGCCATCTACGGTGAAATGCGCCAGGAAGGTTACATAGAAGGCCTTCGTGGTAGTGTCATGTATTGGATCTCGCGCAATGCGATCGACGTGTACTTCTCGTAGCGTGATATGTTGTAATGCTTTTGGCGCACATCGTTTCTTCATGCCTGTTCTAGCGTTGGCTGTCATGTCTACTATCAGCGGCCCTTGAAGTGGTCCCGGGCAGAGTCTCCCATATCGGGAACACATGAGGCAGTGCGGCAGGGTGCCATCGCATTTGATGCGCCTCTTTCGACAGGCTGAACATGCCCTCGTCCTTGCAGGCATCGTATCAATGAACGGTTTGCAGAAGTGGAGACAGGTTGAGCGTGGTGAGGAGATCACGATTAGACAGTGCGCAAACTGCTATGATTGGTCAGCCACACTAGGGTGACCGTTGTCAAGCTTTCAGAAATATGGACCATCGCATTTCGAAATACAATCGTACGTTGCTGAATTATCCAACTACGGGTCAGGGTCGGAAAGTCGTAAAAATGTACTGTAAGAGGAAACTCTCAGTAGCTGTCGACAACTGCATCGCGATCTCGCACCGATTCAGACCTTTCCACGATTCGGCTTCGAGGCACTGCAAATCGATCGGCTTGGGTCCATGGTACTAACACGCGATTGCGCCACCTGGTCAGCATGAGCTAGGTAAAGATCCTCTGAGCCAGGACGTTCGTTCGTCGGAACACTGTCCCGTCTTACAAGTGAAAACTGTACCTATTTTCAGACAGCCCCCCCCCCCCCCCCCCCCCCCGGCTCGTGCCGCAAAGGAAGAACTTGCGGCAATCCTTACATCATTTGCAAAACCGCACACAACCCTACACCTTTCCACAAACGTCATTGCCAGCCTCGTCGCCTTTGCAGATGTCACCTTCCCAATTGGTCAACGTTCTATCAGCCCTGTATCACATACCACCCGCTCGAGGTGCATCGTGCGATCGCGTCGTGTCAGAATAGCATCCTACCTTTCTCTGCGGGTCTCGAACGCTCTACTACTACAATAGGAAAGTTTCCGTAGTGCTGTCGGCGACGGCAGCCTTAATCGAGATCTAGACTGGTGTAGGGCTGAGATATGCAGTGATAGCGACAGGGGTACCGTGGCAAAGTAAGGTAAGAAGCAAGGCAAGCACGACGCGTCAGGCGCATCTGATGAACAGACAGAATGCTATGGTATTGTTTGAACGCCGGCTATCGCACTTGCATGGTGAGGACTAAAAGGACATCTCGTGTCTTTCCCGTCTCCCGTCGTAAATCTACTTCTGCATCCCCTCGACAAAACCCAGTGCGTCTTCGCGATCCACGACATCGATACTACTTGTTTTGTTGGTATACGTTACACCGTAACATCTGTCGGCAACCAAGACCATCTCGGGCCTGAACGTTGTGCAGATGAACTGTCCGCCGCCCTTACCATCAGGACCACCCTGTCCGCTGAGCTTTTGTAACATGTTTGCAACAGCGGTACGGTACTGAGCATCAAGGTTGGCATCGATCTCGTCGAAAAGATAGAATGGCGCAGGATCACATTGTTGAATGGCGAAGATCAGCGCCAGCGCGCAGAGACTCTTTTGTCCACCAGACAGCTGGCCAATTTTCTGCTGCTCGTCATGCTTGGAATTGAAGGAAACAGCGATGCTGACGCTGACGTATTCTTCGATCTTGCTGCTCTTTTTCCTCGCTTGTTGTGTGGGGGCTTCGTCCTCGCTTTCGCCTTCGTCATCTTGGACACCATCTGATCTACGGTTGATGATCAGACGACCTGTACCGATTGGAACAAGCTCCTGGAAGACACTCTTGAAAGCGACGGACACCTGTTTGAAGGTACGTGCAATGGCTTCGTCCTTGCGATGATCAAGCACGTCGATAAGGTTTTCGATCGATTTCCGGGATGAGTCGAGCTCGGTACGGCGGTCTGTAAGGGTTTTGCGTTGTCGTGTGAAATTCTCGTACTGTTCGTATGCTTTCTTATTGACGTGCGCAAATTGCTTTAGTGCTTGGGTAGCCTTGGTGAGTTCCCGACCGATCTACGCATCGTCGTTAGTGGTAATCATTTGAAAAGGCGCAATGCCATCTTACCTTTTCCGAGTTCCACCTACTATACTTGCGGCCAACATCTTCGGGCAGTGTACCGAGTTCCCGTATCTCCTTCCTCACCCTGCTTAGCTGGGCTGTGTAGGAGCTGCGGTCTGCGTCTTTCCTCGTAAGCGACTTCTCCTGCTTCTCCATCGCAGCAGCAAGTGCACGATTGCTCTGTTCTTTCTCATTCCTTGAAGACTCAAGCTGCTCGATCTGAGCCCGAGTCTCGTCGATCTGAGCATCGGTCTCCTCAATCTGCTGGTCAAGATTGGCGATGGTCTTGTTGATGGTGTCCAGCGCCCGCTTTGCCTCTCGCAGGCCTGTAGATTGAGCTACAGAGCCTCCTGCGCCTCCTTGCTGCGCAAGTAAGTCATCGAGGGCGGGTTGCAAGCTCTGACCTAGTTCAAGTTCAGCCTCGATCTTCTGAGTCTCGAGCGTAGTGCGCTCTTGCTTGATCTGCGCATATTGTTTCTTCAGGTCTTTCACTGTGCTTGTTAAAGTAACGAGCATCTGCTCTTCGTCGTTCGACAGTGCCTTTGTAAACTTGGATGCAATTTCAGCCTCCCAATCGCTTTGTTGAGCCCCGAGCAAATTGATGGCCGCTCCGAGGTCTGCAGCAGTTCTCTGCTTGTTCACTAGCGTATCTCGTGCCTCCAGCAAGAGGTTCTGCTTGGCACGAATCTCTTCACGCATTGGCGCGTAACTGGTCTCTCCCCTCCTCTGGTCATTCTGTCGCCTGAGTAGCTCGCTCTGTGCTGCAGTGAGTTGATGTCTGACGGACTCCAGTTCGTCTTCGATATCACGATTCCTCTGCTGTAATTCTTCGAGCTGTACGCGCTTCTCGGCTACAACGCTGAAAGCCTTGATCCTTGATCGTGACGGATCATGGTAACCACCGCGGTATTGTCCCTTCCTGGTAGCATTGTCTCCATCTGGATTGTATGCTCGGACATTATACTGCTTGGCGACACGCTTGCATTCGTCCAGAGTGGGGCATACAACGATCTTGCCGAAGACATGCCTGAACGCGCTCTCAAAGCGGTCATCGTATACAAGTTTTGGGAGCAGAGGCTGCATATTCTCTGTCGCTCTAAGCTGGGCATCTGGTGCGCTGATCCTGTTCAGTGGAATAAATGTCAGACGGCCACCTTTGTCCTTGGTGAGACGGTCCATAATCTTAGATGCCACGGTATCGTCTTCAACAACAACATGGAATAGAGCTGCTTCTGCAGCGCTCTCAGTGACTGACCGGTAGTTATCCGGTACTTCAAGCAACTCAGCGATTGTACCATGAACGCCCTGCAGCCCATCCCTGCGATATCTGCGCAGCGATTCAAGACCGCGACTGGTGCCATGATCTAGAAGACGAGAAAAGGTCTGTTCCGCCACCTGAAGATCTTTCTGTACGTTCCCGAGCTGACTGCTGAGTCTGTTCTGGTCGCGCCAAAGGCTGGTTTGTTTATCGACAATGACCTTCTTCGCATCTTTGGCTTTCTCGAGCTGGGCTGCAAGATCTACAGCTGCATCGCCCTCGTTATCGACCGCTTGTCTCAGCTCGGCAATCTCGCCTTCTAGTCGTTCAATGTCGGCCTGAAGCTCAGTGATCTCTTCGTTAGTCTGCATGAGAACGGCCTTGCGGCGGCTCAACTCGCCGTTCGTCTCGTCAATCTGCGCCCGCAAAGCGGTATCGCGCTCTCGCTTGTTACTGTAATGCGCAGTTCGACCCTGCTTGTCCTGGAGACGTTTGTATTGACCTTCCGCATCAAGCAGTTGTGCTCGAACAGCCTCCTCTTCCAATTGCTTGGCATCGAATTGAGGCAAGAGTTTCTCGAGCTCAGTCTGCCGGGCCTTGAGTTGCTGCTGGAGCGCCTTGACTTTTGCGTCACGCCGGCTTCTGGTCTGCTGAGCAGAAGACTGGCTCTCATTAAGTGCCTTTAGGTCCAACTCAATCTTGGCCTTTTCTAATGTGGCTGCCTTGCGTTCACCCTCGTACTGCATGCGGTCTTGCCTGAGGATGTCGAGGTCACCCGTTCGCTGATTGATTTCAGACTCAAGGCGAGCAATGTCGTCCTCGTTCTGTCGGAACGTTCCCTCGTTATCTTCACGCATCTCGCGGCCGTGGTGTTCCAGGGTATCGATGTGCTCAATCTTGGACTCGAGTTCGGTCTCTTCTCGCGAATGGAGGGTGTACAGTAACGATCTCCGCTCCCTGTCATTCTTGCTCCAGGCTTCCAGCTCCTCTTTCTCGCCCTCCAGTTCGCCAAGACGCTCGTTGATTGACTCGACTACGCTGTCAATGTTGGCGCACTTGCTATCAGTGTCGTTCAACAGCTTCAGACTGTCTGCGCGGCGTGTCTCGTACACGTTGGATCCAGAGATCTCCTTCAGCATTTCGAGGCGGGCCTTGTCCTTCATGTTTGTGAGTGCCGTCACTCGACCCTGCGGGACAATGTAGTATGGGTTCGATCGCGAGAAACCGGCCGATTCGAGGATCAGGACAACTTCGGCCTTTGTAGCGTTCTTTCGATTGACCGAGTATTCGTCCTTCTTCGCGCCAATCGTGCGGCGTAGGTAGAATTCAGGCTTGCCTGTCTGGAAGCGGTCCTCAGTATTGTCGAAGCAGACCTCGACGTATGCCGACATGACGGCCGACCCAGAACCCTCGTGTAGTAACGCCTGGCGTTCCTGACGGTTGAGGAAGTTGTAGTCGTCACCGAGAACGAAGCGCACGGCGGCGAAGAAGTTACTCTTGCCAGAGCCATTGCGACCAACGATGACATTACAGTTGGGCGAGAAGGGCTCGATCTGCATCTGATCCTTGTAGCTGCAGTTCCATCAGCACGGCTATCTATCGGCTTGTGTTGGCAGTCACCTCTTGAAGCCCTGGATGGTGATCTGCTTGATGTAACCCATGGCGGCGGCGGGGCGCGGTCACTGCGACCAGCTTCAGTGCAGTCGTTTTCAATAGAGGCGTAATCTGTACAGTAACGCGATCACGTCGGTATCTTTTAGGACATGGCGGGGCGTGGGCGCGTGTTGGTGCTGGTGTTGCTTGCCCTGCTGCCCACGACGCGCCTGCCACCTGCGCGACGCGCTTTCTTGCCAAGCCATCACCACTAGCGCGATCTGTCTCGTTATCTGTTCGCAGCCACAGCAACCCCGACATGAACAGCGCGCAGCTTGTTCTCTGTCTCACGAGTATTCCAAACGTTCACAAAATCATGACTCTCGCTCAAACACAGGCTTACACAAGCACAACGCGCGTTGTTGCTGGTAGTCCTTCAATGTAATGGCTTCAGGGTAATGAGAAGAAAGGTCATTTCGCTCACGCATATGCTTGTTGATATGTAGTATCAACTGCACTCGTGCTGATGACTTTGGGACATGCGATGTGCTTACAGTGAGCGACAACGTATCTCGGGAGATCCTTGGTCTAGTGCCAAGCCCTGTATTCAGTATGTCGAGTAAGATTGAAGACCGTACAGGACACAACTACCTTGTGCAGGAGATGTGTAGGCTGACATGAAATATAACCTGTTATTGCAGTTGGGAGATATTGTCTTGCATCCGATCGCCATCACCTCTCTGGGTGCTGGCGATCGGGTCTGGTCGATTCTAGTTGATCCATCCACGGACAGCTCGAAGGGGGACCTCGGTCGTACATATCTCAACATGTAACACAGACCACAGACCATTCAGTGGCCGCTCAGCTGCAGCACTCAATGATCGTTGACCTGCGAATCAACGACAGCATTCTGTGCCCTCGATCTGTACCTCTAGTCTACACTCTCTGGTGTGTTGTCAAGATCGATACGCATCCAGCTTCAGCGCCATGGTCTCGACTTGTCTCAGGCGTCTCACAGCCATGCTCTGCAAGCCCCCACTATGGCAGCCCCGCATTTCTCCCTTGGAGTGCGCCTTCCGCCGGGCAAGTGCTTCGGTTGCCTCCAGGAAACTGCCTAACCGGGCAAGATGTGGTAGACTGTCGAAGCCAGGAGATGGCAAATTGCTTTCACGGCCGTGAATTGCATGATGTACCTTTCTGGCCTAAGCATTTCCATACAGGTTTGATGCACGTCGTGTTGGTAACGCAGCTCCTACTGTATGCTCTTCCACGTGCCGTGGGACTTGCGGAAGTGTTGGGAACTCGGGGATCGACGTCTTCTAGCCCTGAGCCGAGGTGAACAGTCTCTAGCCGACGGTGCTTTCTCGCTGCGCTGTTCTGTACCTGGCCTATACTAAAGGACACATGAGTCGCAGTAAGGCTGGGAGGTTGGCTGAGCCCTGAACGGCTCTTTTTCCGGGCGATAACTCCCGCTGATTGGTTGCTGCAGGGAAGTGTACGCCAAGCTACGACAACCACCAACGTCCACACCACCAACAGACCAGGGACTAACAGTCTTTGCATCCCCAGATTTCCCTTCACAGAAAGCCGATGAGTGATTTTGCGAAGGCCTGCTCTGCTTCAGAAGTGGTAGCCGTGGTGAGATATGAGAACAATGATAATACCTCACGAAAGCAAAGGTGCCCAGATGAAGACAACGCTGCAACTGCGAGGTCCACACCTACCCTACAGCAATGAACAACAGTCACCCCTAGCACCACAGTAGTAGTCCTCGAATAGGCGTTCGCACGTGCAAGATACGGCCGCGCTGGATGTTACTGGGTGTGACAACACCGGCTTCCGCTGCCGCAGCGAGCGGCACGCTTACGATAGGTGTGCCGCAAACCAACCTCTCAAATTTCCCAATGTGGCAAGAAGTGAGAAAAGCATTGAAATCAGCATGGAATTTTTCCCCGGGCCCTGGAGCGGGGACCTGAGGCGGTCTGATTGGACACTGTATGAGCTTCAGCATCACCGTGTGTATTTGCGGGTAGGATAGGATGCGAGGCCGTTATCGATCAAGGCCATTACGATGTTGAGTGATTCGGCTTGTTGAGACTGCGATGATGTATGGCGTGTGGAGCACAGCAACTCTATCGTCTTGGCTACAGGTGCCTTTGCAGGTACTTCTCCACTGCAGCGCAGTATCGCGACCACATGACCGCAACCCTCCACTCTCCAAACCGTGTGTGCCTCAGAACGCTACGCATATAATCTCACCTAGCTCACAATCTCCTTCGAAAGGCCCAAACCAATCCACGCAACCGCAGACCGAGCATCCAGCACAGTCCATCCCACTAAACGACAAAACGTGTAGGATAAGATTGGACACAAGACCACTCCTTCCAGCCCAAACAACTCCACCAAAGACAACCCCCTACCCACCACAGTACCACAACAGCACGACGCAGCACAATCAGTACAGCACTGTCTCCATCCCCTGCACCCACGCCAACGCACCCTTCCCACCGTCCTCCGCTCGGCAGTCCGCCAACCCAAAACCAGCCGCACGCCCAACACTATCCAGACCTCAGACCTGACTGCCATTCTAGGTAACATACTACCTGTATCGTATGTTTCAGAGGTGGCTGAGGTTGCCCCCGCGCCTTCACAGAAACACCTGAGGCCGAGGCATCTCGCAGTTGGAGGAACGATGGATTTCAGTGTCTGGAGGAACGAACGTGTGCAGCTCAACAAGAGCAGGATTTGGGTTTCAATGCAGGATGGCTCGTTAGTTCATATTACAGTCTCACTGCAGCAGGAGGGGTATGCGACAAGGTGCGTCGATACAGCAAATAGATCATGCACCTGTAGACGCAACGATAGTCCTATCAATAGCAGCGCTGAACCCGTTTACCACTGCAGTGCGTCCGGGGTATCACGCATCCACGAAAGCACGCAAACAACACAACAAAGACGTTTTGAAAAGTGATACATTGCAGCCTGTGGTATGTTCCGTGCCTCCCAACACATCGCATCCTCGACCGCCGTATACTACATACGAAGAGATTACAACGCTAATAGGCAGTCGCGCCCGCCCAGCCCATGAATCATAGAACCGAACCGTACGCGCCTGCAATATGCAACAGCCCCCCGTACCATCCCGTCTCGTCTTGCAACCTATTTTACAGTCGTTACTTCATGCTCTACGCCTTCGACAACATCTTGATGACCTCCTCCTTCTCGGCTGTGGGCAGCGTACTGAGCAGCGTCAGAACGCCCTTGAGGCCGCCGTCGCGGTCCTTGCGCATCAGGCTTGCAATCTCGAGCGCGATGCCATCGCTCTTGAGCTTCTCGACGCGCTCGTGCACCGTCTTGCGGTTCTCCTCGTACCATGTTGCGACGCTCATATCGTCGTTCTCGAACTGCGGTACCTGGCACCATGCCTGAAGCATCTCAAGCGACCTGGCCCGTGTGATGGCATCGGCCTTTGGCGACTCTTGGCCCGGTGCAGCAGCCGATGCGAGCTTCTTCAGGATGTACTCCTCGTTCAATCTGCGGCGGAGACGCCAGTAGAAGAACCTCCTTGCGTTCTGCCAGCGCAGCGCCTGGCGGATGACACCCTTAGCCTCCATGCGACCCGAACGGTCGTGAAGGTCGGCGAACTGGATGGCAATCTGGCCGTAGATGGGGAGCAGGAGCTCCTCGCGCTTGGTCATCTCGGCCTTGATGGACTGCAGCTGATCCTGGGGTGTTGAGGGGTCGATCAGCTTGCGCTTGAGAGCGCCATAGGTAGGGTCGTTGCGTGCCATGGTCTCGAGCTGGCGTTCACGGCGGTATTTGATACCGACGATACCCTCGGGCTCGAGAACACCACCTCGCGAGTCCTCGTCAGCGTACATCTCCATGTACTGTGGGTTGATGGTGGGGTCAACAACAACCCAAGATCCACCACGAAGCTCGCCGTAGGGGGGAATGTAGACGAAGACGGGCTGCTCATACTTGACGAGAGCATCGACGATGTAAGAACCATACTTGAGGACCTCGTTGTACATGTCGCGCTGGCCACCAGAGAAACCACGCCAGTTAGCAAGGATCATCAAAGGCAGCTGTTCGCCGTGGTTGAAGTCATTGATGGCCTGTGCAGTCTTGAAGGCCGAGTTGGGGTACCAGACACCACCAGCCTCGGAAGCAACCTGTTCAATGGAGTCGGGGTTGGCAGGATCGGCAGGTGTGACGTTCTCAACCGCGCGAGTCTCAACACCGATGACACCAACAGGGATGCCACCAAGGCGCGCGCGACCAACAACGACAGTCTTGGCCCAGCCGCCGAGACTCTCCTCGAAAGAGCCGCGGTCGAACAGGCCAGACTGGAAGCCATCGGCATCCTCCTTTCCGGCGATGAGGTGCCTTACATCGTAGGCAGACTTGTTCGGGGGGTAGAAAGTGACGTCGCGATCCCAGTCATCAGCCGTAGGTGAGATAGGAACGGGGCTACCCTTCTTATCAGGCACGTACGACATCCACTTGACGATCTTGGAAACACCCTCGAAGTCGTCATCAGCAGTCATGTGGGAAACACCGTTCCTGTACATGATTTGGGTGCCACCAAGCTGAAGGTTGGATGTGTAGACCTCGCGACCGAGCAGCTTGTTGATAGCCTGGGCACCAGTAAGGATGATGGGCTGGCCCTCGATCTGGATGGCACGCTGTCCGAGACGGACGAGGTAAGCACCGATACCTGTGTACAATTAGCATCATGCTGTTAAAGTGAGTGAATGTGAGATACATACCAACCGAGCGGCAAGTCACCAAAGTGATGGTGAAGATATCCTCGTAAGCCCTCGAAGTCTCACCGGCAATGAGACCAGAGCCACGAAGCGACTCAACACCAAGACCATCCTCCTGACCAATGACAGTGGTGATCTTGTAGCGTGTCTCGCCTTCTTCGTCCACCTTCTCGCAGATGACATCGTTGCGCTTGCCATCGACGAAGTGCGCGTACTTCTCGGGTGTGAGGTAGAGGTAATCGAAGCCAGCCTCAGGCTTCTCAGCGTCCTTCCAAGCGACCGAGAAGTGGGGTATGAGCTCCTCGGCAAGACCGATACGGGCACCGGAGTTTGCCGAGAGGTAGATTCGCGGGATGCCGAGCTTACGTGCGAGCTCAGAGCACTTGTGGAAGAACTTGTCTTCCTGGGGACCGAACGAACCGATCTTGAAAGTGATGTCGTTGGCAATGATGATGAAGCGGCGGCCACGGGGGTACTCAGGTGTCTTGGCAGTGACAATCCAACCAACCATACCGATGTTGTTGTTGCCAGGATCGCGGTTCACCTCAGCCAGATTGTCATTGTCATCAAGCACCAACTCGAAGTACTCAGCACAGTCACCCTTAGGAGGCTGCATGTCGCGGAGGTGGTGGTGCTTAGCACTTGCTGCGTTCCAGCTGTTCTCGGTGGCCTGACGGAAGAGCTCAGGGAAGTCGTAGACATACTGGGTTCCCATGAGGTGGGCCTTGTACCTCTTGGGCTGGAGAGCGCCCTTGGTGGGGTAGGGGGTGGTGACCGGTTGAAGATGGAGGGCACCAATCTTGGTGGTTCCACCAATGCTGTGGAAGAGCCACTTGCCAGCCTTCTCAGACTTGCGCTCCGCGTACATCTCGACCTGGATAACGTATCCGGAGGTGTTAGTGATGATGACACGGAGAGGGTAGGGAATGCCGGTCTGAGGGTCGGTGACAATGATGCGGATCTCAGCACCAGTGACACGAAGGCGCCAGAGACGGCGGCCGAAGCGCTCCAAGAAGCCACCAATGGCTTCCTCGACCTCCGCAGGGTTGAGCGGGAAGACGTGCGAGAAGTTGATGAAGATGTGGTTCATGTCAGCCTGCGAGGTACCAACGATCTCAAGAGCATCCAGGATATCAGTCATCAACCTGTCGGTCTCGGAGATCATGTACTCGGCAGTAGGAATCTCTTCGCGGAGTCGTCCAGATCGGACGACAGCACGCAAGAAGTAGCGCTTGTCGCTTTCAGCACCCTTGCCAACAGCCTCGTAGATGTGGATGTTGCGGTTCTCCGTGAAGACGGGCTTGATGTTGAACTTTGAGAGTCTCCCAAGCTCAAGCTGGAAGGCAAGAGCAGGCTCAACGTGACGGATGCTGTCATCCTCCTCGTAGAGGGGTCCACGGAAAGTGTAGTAGCCGGGGTAGGTACCGTCCTTGTGGCCGCAGATGAAAGTGAGGCGGCGAATGCGGCGGGCAAGGAGCTCTTCCTTGTACTCCTCGACAACGGGCAAGATTCGCTCGAGAATCTCCTCATCCTGAACGCCTTCAATGTCACGGACAGCAACGTTCAGGACTCCAGTGAGTTCGTCGTTGTTCTGCTTGGGGATATTGGCGCCGCTAGTCGGGGTGCGCTTCAGCGAAAGACCATCCTTCAAACTCATGCCGCCCTTCTTAGAGGCACCAACAGAGGGGAAGATCTCAAGCGCCTTGGCGAGAGCCTCGTCCGCGTCGTCAAGGAACTCGACGGGAACAACAACACCCTTCCTGGTAGGCTCGTTATCGAAGCGAGCGTTCCATGCAGACAAGTCGCTCATGGAGTGGATACGGGGAGGACGCTCAAATCCGGGAGTGCTCGGTGTGCCTGGCTCAGAAGGCTCGACAGCGAGGCCATACTCTGCCTCACCAACCTTGCGCAGTACAAAGTCCCAAGACAAAAGGCACTGCTGCTCGCCCTCGTTGTGGTAGTTGATGTTCTGGAGCTGGTAGGCGCGGTAAGCGCGGCGAGTGTACACCTCCAGAGCGGCGAGTGCGACCCAGGGGTCTTGGTGGACGAAGAATTGGGTCAGGACGTCGAAGACAGTGTACCTGGAATCGACGACCTCCTTGATGACCTCGAAGTTGGGCTCACGGTGATCCCAACCACTCTCGCCGTACCGGGACTCAACGACAGCAGAGCGCAAGATGTGCTCCATCTGCGAGGTACGTTCTTCCAGAGAAGGCATGGCGCACTGGATAAGGACCTCACGGGCCTTCAGCGACACCTTAGCGGTCTGCCTGGACTCGAGCTCTGTAAGCTTCTTGAGAGTACCCTTGAAGTACTTGGCGATGTTGCCAACACCGGGCCTGTTGGGGCGGTAGAGATCGAGGATGGCGATGACAAGGTTGTTCTTTGCGCTAACACGAGTGTGAGACAGAACGGTATGTACGACGCTTGCGATGTTATCGCGGTTCTCGTCACGAAGCTTGAGGATGACCTCCTCATCTCGGGAGTTGCGAGAAGAGAAAAGACGCTCGGTGGCCCAGTACTGCTCGAGGTATGAAAGTACGACGCTGTACTCGTGGGCCTTGAGGCCCTCAGAGTAACGTTTAATGACATCTTGAAGAGGGGCGAGACCAGCCTTCAAGAGCTCAGCATCGCCCTTGGCAACGTTGTCAGCAAGGAACTTGTCGAAAGCCTTGTTGAGCTGCTTGCTAGGGAATTCCAGTTGGCGACTGTGAGCCTTCTCGACAATCTGATCCAGGATAGTGTCCAGCTTCTGCGGCATACGTGCGTGCAGAGCAGAAGCCTGAGCATTCCACTCGCCGTAAGGCAGCTCCGGGTCGCGAAGAACCTCAACAAGCTCTTTGAGTGTGCTCTGCATGATGACCTGATTGTCGAAACCCTGGAGGATGTTCTGAAGCACGGCAGACAGGTAGGCGAGCCTCTGCGGGGGCTTGCTACCCATAACCTGAGGTGTACCCATAACTGGAAGAAGGCCAACGAAGTTCTCGGCCGACTTGACCTTGGACGGGTCGTCGAGAGCGAGAACACCAAGAATGTCACCGGCCTCGAGAGTTGCTCCAGGCTGCTTGATGAAGTTGACGATACCGGCCTCTTGCGCGATCAAGGGCATGTACATCTTCATGACCTCGACCTCGGCGAAGGGCTGGCCCTTGGAGATGTGCGAGCCGTTCTCAACGGTGAACTTGACGAGTTTACCGGGGGAGGGAGTACGGAGCTGGGTAGGGTCGTTTTCCTGCTCGAGGAGGCAGGTCTTTCCGTCTACGGAGAGACGGGTGGCACCGACTTCCTCCTTCCAGTACACGTTGTGCGACTTTCCGCCAAGCAGGATCAGCAGACCGCCGTCAGCAAGCGCTCGCAGGCCGACAGACACCTTGGAACCGTTGATGAAGAGCGTGAAGCTCTCGAGGGTGGACCTTGTCGCGGTGAACTTGTAGCGGAAACCCTCGTAGATGAAGTCGATTGGGAAGACAGTCTTCAGGACATCTTTGGAGGGAACCTGTCCCTTCTCGAGAGAAGTCTTGTACTCGTTGATGCAGTCCTCCGAGGCAACATGGGCCTTGGTGACGGCACCGCAGATAACAGCAATCATGCGGTCTGGTCGCTCAGCAGTCAATTTCTTGGTGATGAGCTCGTCGAGCCAGCCAGTGGTCATGGTGTTGTCCTCGAACGCCGGAGTTTCGAGCAGCTTGATGAGGTACTCGACGGTGGTTCGAAAGTCACCGCGAATGCTCAATTCCTTGAGCGCGACGACCATGTGCTTTCGCGACGCTTGACGGTTTTCACCATAGGCGAAGATGTGACCGAATTGCGAGTCGGAGAAGCTGTGGATACCACCGGCCGAACTCACGGAGAAGTAACCCCAGACGTTGGAGCTACTCCTGAAGTTCAGATCGTGGATAGTACCGCCAGACGGCTTGAAGCCCTCATCGGGGTCCTCAGATGTGATGCGGCAGGCAGTGCAGTGGCCCTTGGCCGCGGGTCGGCGCTGGTTCACGGCGCTGCCGGCAGTCGAGAAGTCGAAGTCGATCTGCGAGCTGGTGTGAGGGTCGGCGCCGTAGAGCAGACGAATGTCGCGGATGCGGTGCAAGGGCAGACCCATGGCGATCTGGAGCTGGGCGGCAGGGAGGTTGACGCCCGTGACCATCTCGGTGGTGGGATGCTCGACCTGCAGACGTGGGTTCAGCTCGAGGAAGTAGAACTTGTCATCGGCGTGCGAGTACAGGTACTCGACGGTACCGGCGGAGACGTAGCCGACCAGGCGGCCCAGAGAGACGGCGGCCTTCTCCATCTCCTGGAAGATCTTGGAGCCGGCCACGGTGACTGGGGCCTCCTCAATGATCTTCTGGTGACGGCGCTGAACGGAGCAGTCACGGCCGAACAGCGAGATATTGTTGCCGTACTGATCGGCCAGCAGCTGAACCTCCAGATGGCGGGCGCTGCCGGCGAGCTTCATGATGAAGATGGGCGAGCCGGGGATCTCCGAGGCAGCGGCCTTGTACAGCTGCTCAAAGTCCTCCTCGCGCTCGACCTTGCGGATGCCCTTGCCGCCGCCGCCCTCAGAGGCCTTGACCATGATGGGGAAGCCAATTTTCTTGGCGGCCACCAGGCCCTCCTCCCACGTCTTGGTGCAGCCCTTCTCGTAGACGTCGTCCTCCACCGTCACGATGCCGGCGTCGTCGACGATGACCTCGTCGACGCCGGTGCCGGACCACGGGATGCAGGGCACCTTGGCGTGCTGCGCGACGATGGTCGACGAGATCTTGTCGCCCAGCGAGCGCATGGCGGAGCCCGGCGGGCCGATGAAGACGATCTTCTTGGGCGAGGCCGCGAGCGACTCGGGCAGCTTGGGGTTCTCGGAGGCGTGGCCCCTGTGCGTGTCAGTGTGGCTCTCTCTCTCTCTCTCTGCGCTCTATTTGGGCTGCTTACCACCCCGCCCACACGGCGTGCACGTTCATGCGCTCGGCCACGTCGACGATCAGCTCGACGTTGGCGTAGTTGTTGTTGTTGGTGCCGCCGGGCACCTCGACGTACTGGTCGGCCATGCGGATGTACTCGGCGTTGGCCTGCAGGTCCTCGGGGGTCGCCATGACGGTGAACTGGATTGCCCGCTCATCGCCGAATGTCTCGTACGCCCACTTGCGCACGCTGCGGATCTCCTTGACGGCCGCAATGCCGTTGTTTGCAATCAGCACGTTTGTGATGACCGTGTGGCCGTCGTTGGCCGCCACAAAGTCCTTGACCTTGCCGGGCGCCGCAGCGCTCAGCTTGTTGCCGCCGATGAAGTGCGGCGCCAGCGTAAACTGGCTCGCATAGCTGCTCGGCGCGCCGTTGGCATCGCCGCCGACGCCGTTGGTTGCAGCGCTCGCCATTGTGGTGGATGTGTGCAATTCGTCCCCTACAGCCGCTGGGAGGTGCGTGTGGGGTGGGCTGGCGCGGGTGTGCTGCTGGGCCGGTGCGGAGTCGGGCAGATTTTGGACTGGACTACCACGACGCAATTGCTAGTCTGCAGATCAACTCGAGCGCGGCTTCTGTGGGAGGCAGAAGCTCGGCAGGGCTGCAAGTGCAAAAACTACAGCAGGCAGGAAGGAAGGAAGGGAGTGGCCGGGGGGAGCGTCCGGACAGAGGAATTAATACGTAGAGCGTGGAGCGTGTGCAGAGTGGAGCCGGGGTACAATTCTCAGTACTCGAGCTGCCAGTGAGACGCTGTGGGTGCCGGGGCCGGGAGGAGCAGCAAGGCAACGACGACGCTGGTACACTACTCGCAGCGAATGCAAGTATACACAAAGATGGGAGGGACGTTACTGTGGGAGGACAGTACGAGGTGGGGGATGGAGAAGCAGAGCAGAGCGCGCAGGGCCGGGAGACGTGTCTCTATTAAATTTTTGTCTGCCAGGCCCGCAAAGCACCGACATGGCCCTGTGGCCCATCACGGAACACCCCAAGCTCATCCCGAGCTGTTGAGCTGAGGCCGGGGCCTTGCCTATCATCCACGAGGCCGAAGCTGGCCTTAGCTCCATCCAGGACCCTCCACCACCGCCAGCGCCCACCACAGGCCCCCTGTCCTCATTCTTCCGGCGGGGGGCACAGACGTCTCGGGCACCGTCAAATGCCCGAGCGAACCTTCGAGCATCGTGGATGCTGCAATTGACTCAAGCCTCGCTGCGCAGGGAGAGCTCCGTGTCCTGGCTGGGGAACTTCGGAGTCGCTCGCCAGGGCGCCAACTGTTGGGAGACCTATGCTCGGAGTTCCTAATTAGTCACTGCTTGCGAGCTCTGCGCGTCACCCAACGCCGCTCCTGACAATCCATACAAAGATGCGGTTGAGCCCTCGCTATCTCTCAGCAGCTGCTCAGTGGCCTCGCGCCTGCCGCTGCTCCGCTCCCAAGCATTCTGCACCCTCCCCCGCATCCTCAACAATGCGCTCCTGCTTGTTATCGTCCGCCCGCGCGCAATGCCTCGCTGTGATCTGTAAACATAGATAGCTGCCTCTGCCCTCTCTGTAGACGTGATGTTGTTCTCTGCCTTCTCGGAGCTGTGTTGCCGTCAGCTTACAGATGAATCGGGCATGTACTGTCGTCGGCGTGCAACCGGCTCTCCTCCCCTGGCCGACCTTTTACGGACTCCGAGGCCTCACCCAATCAGCGCCCGATTTGTCCGCTTCGGAAGTGACCTCAGACGGTCGATAAATGTATGAGTCTGCTATAATTGTACATGACGCCGCGAGTCCCGCGATAACGCGCTGATGTGGTGTCGCAGCTGGCCCCCAGTACGGTACTCGTGGGCGCCGCGTCGAGCCCAAGGGCAGCGTGCAACACGGCCGCCTTCAACAAAACACCAGGTGCTCAACAACACCACATACGTCAGATAAGCAGCAGCTAGTTCCGACCTGCATTCCGAGCGTACCGAAGCAAACACGGGGCAGTGCGCCAGATCCAGGGGTCATGGGTTCGCGGTGGGCGCCGGTACGGTCCGCTGCATGTGCCTTTCACATGTCAGACAAAATCGTACGATTTTTCGCCCTACCCCAGATCTTGGACCGCCGCAACACCACGGTAGGCTATCCTGGATGTTGACTGTGCGCCGAACGGTTCCTGAGCTTATTTCGACGTCTTCAAGCTCGTCGAGATCGCCCTGCACTGCTGACATGCCATTGCAGTGAATGGCCCACGACTGATGCAATGCACACGTGGGCTCTTTGAGCCTTGATCTGCAATCTCGGACCGATACGGCTGAGTACACTCTGTAGATTGACGTCTGATTCAGATGTGTATTAGAGAGCCTTTCGCTCGATGCTGCTCGACGCTGCCTGCGCCGGGGAGGTGGTGGAAGTGCTGCTCGCTCGCTGCCTTCTGGCATGTGAAAGTGGCCCCAACCCAACTGGCTCCACAGCGCAATTACCTACATTGTATCCAAGAGCGTCGGGGACGTCTGTGCTCTTCAACGAGAAGCGTGCTGCTGATGTAATGACTGCAGAATGCCCGTCTACAATATGCAATCAGAGCACGGTCTTTGTCAGCGTCTCTTGCATGCTCAGTGATTTGATGGCTACGTCAGTGAATGCATCAGTGCCTTGCATGATGCCAAAGCAGGCGCGCTAGGTTGGTGCGCTACTTCTCAGATCATCACTGCTCAATTGGTCGTGCTTGCGACTCGGATAGAAAGGTTAAGACGCTGATGTTGACAAAAGAAATGTTATTGGTATCTAATTGATATGTAAGTGCCATGGTCCAGCACATGGCCTGCTCTTCCCTGCAATTGCTCTCTGGATGCTATGCACAAGTCCCACCCATCAAGCATTGCGCCCGACGCTCTAACGCCAAATCCATGCTAGCACCAAGGTGTAAACGCCTCCAGTCTGACACTGACTGCACGCAAGCCTAGTACGTCTCCTCCTCGTAGGTCGACATTTTACGTGGACGCACGGGTGGGCCCATACCCATGCCTCCATCCATGCTCGCGCTTACTCTCCTGGACACGCTCGTCCTCCTAGGTATCGTACTACCCGGTGTTGGGATACCAGTCCTCTCCATGGTCGAACGCCGGCCTATGGGCGTCTTGATTTCGGTTTCTTCGCCATCATCACTGCCTGTGTCGCTTCGCGATAAGTTCTGAGGCCGTCCGTGGCTGTAGTCACTCGGATGCCTATTCAAAGATTGACGGCCAAACTGTCGTCCTTCGTGAAGATGTAGCATCGGAGGAGGGGCCTTTCCTATTCGGCCGCTCATGGATGCTGACGAGTAGTGACCCAGCGGGTTCCTGTTATTGGGTGTGCGTGTGCTTGGAGTGCGTGTTCCCGGTGTTCGCGTGCCAGGTGTGCGCGTCGTGGCACTTCTGGTCACTGGACTAGGTCTGCTTGCTATTTTTGGTAGCTGAGGCGTGGATGACATTGATGCTCGGCTGCTGGGACGGCTGTTGCTTGTATTTGACGGCACGCCAAACGAGAGCCGGCCTCTGCCACTGCCGCTCACCACTTCTCCAACAGAAGAGGCTGAGGTCGATGTCTGTGACGCTCGTTTCCTGACCGAGACTGTCGTAGGTAGGTAGTTACTTGCTGCGCTTGGGCCCCGTGGACTGGCCCGTGGAGGCGTGGCCAAGGGTGCTGGCAGCTTGGAGCGTGCTGAGTGTACTCGCTCCTCGAGTTTCTGCATCTTGCCAATTAGGCCTCGAATCTGGTATAGAGAGCCTGACCTTGGCAGACCAGCGGCCAATGGGGCGTTGCCTCCGATACTGGGTCGAGACGGCCGTTGTCCTGGCACAGCACTGGGCGGGCGCATGACGGATGGCGTGCGTCGAGGAGCAGTTGAACCTGTAGGAGGTAGTCCAGAGACACTGGGCAGACGTGTATGCCGCGGTCGGGCGAACATTCCAGCTCTAGGCGTAGCAGCTGGGTCGCGCGACGCGATGGAGGCTTTTCTAGTAGGCATGGGAGCCATGAACGGGATCGGGCGGATAGCAAGGGGTGCATCGGACAGCGGCGGGGAGGGCGGTGTAGAGTCTGGAAGCAGAGAATCGTTCTGCATGTACGGCGGGGTGGATGCGGCGGTCGGCGAGGACATGTTCGTGTTCGTGGTCGAAGCCTCGGACATGGGCGAGCGTGGCCGCAGCGTCGACGAGTCCTTGGCCAGGTGGTGGGAGACGGTGCGCTGGTGGTGCTTCTCGATGGTGGCCTCTGCCAGGCGCAGCTTCTCCTGCGTGATCTCGGACTCGATCTTCAGGTCAGCAAGCTCATCGCGCAATCGCTGCGTCTCGATGCGCAGACCCTCTCGCTCCCGCTCGCCGATCTTGATCTCCTCCTCCAGCATGACTTCGCGCTCGATCGCCACGTTGTACTTGGTCTCGATATCTTCCAGCGACGACGTCTGGTTGCGTGTCTGGCGCTCGAAGTCGTCGTTCTGCACCTCGACGTCCCGGAGCTTGAGGTGCAGCGTGCGCTGACCATCGCGCAGCACGGTGATCTCCTTCTGCAGGATGTTCTGCGCGCTGTTGGCCTCGGTCTTGCTCTGCTTGTATTTGGTCTGCAGTGCTGGTCAGCTCGCTCCCCATGCTCGCAGCAGGCGGACCGCAGTCGCGTGGGACGCACCTTCCACTCCTCGGCCTCGAAGCCCAAGCGCTCGACCTTCTCCTGCAGCTTGCGCTCGCGCTTCTCGCTCTCCTCGACATCGCGCTCGAGCTCGGCTTCAAGCTCTTTGCTGGACGACTGGAACTCCTGCAGCTCGGCGTCGAGCGTCTCGTAGGCGGTCTTGTAGTAGTCCAGCTCCTCCTGGAGGCTGCCAAACCCGCTGCCGCGGGGCGGCGGCGAGCACGGCGTTTCCGCTCCCACCATGGCGGCAGGACGGGTGGGTCGCCGGCCGCAGGAGGCTCAGGAGAGAGTGCGCAGCGTTGGCTGGGCGGGCGGGTGAAACGGGCGGGCTGGGGCGGCGGCGGAGTGATTGGTGCGCAAAGTACGGTACTGCGCGCGGCGAGGGGTTTGACGTGAGGGCGCTGGCGGGGTCGTGGAGGCTGTCACTGTTCCGTCTGTCTGTCCGGGTGTTGACTGTTTCAGCAGCGAATCGGCGTGTTGTGTTGACAGTCGATCGCGCGCCGTTGCCAGAAGCAAAACTGCCGCCCGCTGGTCCTTGTCGAGCGTCGCAGTAGCCGTGGTGTCCCTGTCCCTGTTCGCGTTAGTAGTCAGTAGTCAGTCGCACCCGGCAGCGAGGCGGGGGGGTGTGTTGGCATGGCCGTCATGTTTGCGAGGGTCGCGCTGTTGTCCCCAGCGCCCGTGCGCCCGCCTGCACGCACGGGGCTGGGCCGGCTGGCAGGCACAGCAAGCGGTGGCTGCGACGTACGGAAACGTTATCGATGTCTCTCTCCGCTCCCCGCCACCTGCATTCGCACGCACCGCGGCGTGCTCACGCACCTGGAGCCTCGAGCCAACGGCCTCCCACGCAGCAGCCTCCCACGCAGGTCGCAGCGCGATACCGCTCTGCAGGACAGCACATCCTTGACGTCAACAGCCTAGGTAGACCGACTTTGGGCGTCACATGCAATTCTGGCTGTTGGGCTGCGCGCCAGGTCATGGGACCCCAAACACATTCGTTGATTCTCGTAAACACGTGCAAATAAAAAATACATCTGGGTATATGTACAGTCTGCTGCCAATCGCTCGCGTCCAATACTACTCCTTCTTACCGTACGCGTCTGCGACGTTCCTTGACTGCTCCTGCGCGTGATTTGCGACCTCCTGGCCCCGCTCCATGAGACTGCCAGACGACGTTCCCGTACTGGCGGCCTGTTGAGCGCTGGCTGTTGCCGAGTCTGCTGCTTGGGTGTACTTGTTGTAGACCTCACTGGCCTGGCCCCGTGCTGTTGACGAGGCCGACTCCACTGACTCGGTCGCTTTTGCGTACGAGCCACTAGCTGCGTCCTGAGCGGTCAAGGTCGCGGACCGTGCTGCATCACTGGCTTGACCTTGCACTGTTGACGACACTGACTGTGCTGTTTCTGTTGCCTTGTTGAAGACCCCGCTGGCTTGCTCTTGCGCAGCCGATGATGCCGTCTGAGCTGTCTCGGCCGCCCTTGCATATGCTCCGCTAGCCTGCTCCTTCCCGGCTTCTGCAAGGCTTGTCGCTTGCTGCGAACCGCTGCGAACTGCTTCTTGTGCATTTGACGTTGCAGTCTGCGCTGCTTCGGCGACTTTGCTGTATGCATCACCCACCTGCTCCTTGCTGCTCTCGTATAAGTTTTGGGCCTGCTCAGATCCCTGTGTCACCACATCCTGAACCTTCTCGGCTGCGTGTCCAGCAACCTCGACGCCCTTCGTGTACGCATCGCCTACGCGCTCCTTGCCGTCCTCGATGCTGTCTGTTGCCATCTGCTTGAGCTCCTCGGAGCTAGGGAACTTCTCCATCGACTTCAAAACTTGATAGTAGAGACTGATGATAACCGAGTGGATTCGCTCCTTCATCAGCATTGTGATACCGTGCGAGAAGAATCCCTTTAGCACTTCTCCACCAAGACCTTGATACAGGCCTGAAAAGCCTTCCGTCTGTGCAATGCGCAAGATGGTAGCGAACACCGTGCGCTGTCGAGCGCGAACAGCCCTCGACTGTAACGGCTTTTTGGCTGTCTCGAACTCTGATGTCTCGCCAGTTGTCTGAGTAGGCTTCTGAGACGAGACCTGGGCGCGCGTCTTGGCCAGCTGGAACGGGTAGGTGATAGTTGAGGCCATAGCTTTGCTCGTAGCCGCGATAAGGAACGTGATACGTGCGCCGGGGTTATCGCGCCTGTCTTTCGGTACCAGCAGGCGTAGCAATACCTTGTGCAGGAGCATAGTGAGGGATGGGTTGAGAGTCAGGATAAGGCTGGCAGAGTAGCCAGACCAGAAGCCCTGCAAACCCTTCTCCTTCCTGATCTCGTATGCAATGTCTCGTGTGCTTGAAGCTGGCGCTCTGCCCGAACTCGGGTCGAGAGCAGTCATGGCTGCTGTCTGCTTCCTAGTCACGATGTTCTGGATAGGCGTCGTGCATAGTTTGGACAAGGCACCGGCAACCACGCCTACGCCGATCTCCTCGAATGCTCCCAAGCTCTTTCGTCCACCATTCGCAGCCAAGCGGCTCTGCCTCACGTACGAGTATGTGAGAAAGAACAGAAAGCTGTCCGTGACGCCCTTGAACACCTCCTGGGGGACGCCGTTGTAGAAAGCTGACAGTCCACCTTCACGCTCATAGATCTTCTCGACAGCATCCAGGATGCCATCGTACCTCGGCCGCTCATTCTCACCTTGGAGCTGTTTCTGCACCTGGAGACGCGCAACGACCAAGTCGAGAGGGTAGGTGATAAGCTTCGAGACGGCCGTTCCTAGAGCGCCAGAGGTTGCGTGGCCGAGGGCTGGCAGGGCGGGACCGAGCGCGCTGGGTTTCGTCGCTTGCTCATGGGTGAGGTGGTACAAGGAGAATGCATCCTGTGCGCATTAGGTGGGCTCTGGAGTCGACGCGATCTTATCATACCAGCTGCGAGTTGTAGATGTACGTGTAGCTGCTCATCTTGGCGGCGCTGTCGATGTCGATAGACCGACCTCAGTCACTCTAGATAAAAGACAAGTTGATCAGAAACATGCGCTTCAGCATGAGAAGCCAAAAACGCGGGGAAAGCTCTCATGATGGCTTTCACGGAGACGGATCCGCTCTGTGACGCCTGGCAAGACGTCATCCTGAAGCGGTTGGCAGCTGAAGCAGCCGAGCCGAGGTGTGGACAAATCACAAAATTGTTGCGCTTGTGAAGACTCGACCACTGCCACCACCGTCACCACCATCTCGCCCCTAGTTAGGCGCTGCGCGAAAGATGTATTTGCGACATCGTACGGACACTACTGGCAGCAGTTGAGTCGCTATGGAAGGCTCGCTGCATTCGTGAGCGTAGGTACGGTGCGTCGCCGCAGAGCTACACCACAACAATGCAACACGCACACGACCGCAGTTGTTCGAGGAAACGACGATAAAAGTAGAACACGGAGCACTCAAAGCAACTGTGAGAGCCTTCTGGCTATGATCACTGTTGAAAGTATCCTCCAATACGGAAGCCGGCCAGCAATTGGGACCTATCGAGACGGACTCATCGAGGAGGAAGTTGCGACTCTCAGCGCTGGCCACATAACAGTACAACACCACCTGCCCTGACCCGAGGCAGTGCACCTGTACCAGAGATGCCATGACGTGACTATCGCCTGCATGACTGGCTGCGCGGCTGGGTGTTCATGCCTCAGGCGTCATTCATATCGTGAGCTCGCTGTCGCATGGCGCCCAGCGCCGCTGCCGTTCGTCAGTCATGAACGCCATCGAGTCAACGAGTATCATGTATAGCTGTTCCAAGTATTCAACAAGGCGATTGCCTTTAGATGGACCTAGTCGTTCATGCTATACGCTTCAGCCAAGTGTTCTCGACGTGCGGAGGCATCATGAAACGACTCCGGATCTAAAACAATAGCCCTGGAATCGCCAACCACGTAGGTCTCCGCCGTCACGCCGTCAATGCTTGCTGTCTTCAATCTGGCTGTTTCAAGCCAAGCCCAGCGATCCTTGTGTTGAAACGTGCGTTTTCCCTCTCATTGAGTGTTCCGCCCATCGCTGGTCACGTTACTTCTCCACCCTCACTGCAATTGAAGGGTCCGAAACACAGAAACGGCTTTGTTTTCGATGTTCCGCTGTCTAATGCCCTCAAACTAGCTTGACGTATTCGTACGATACCAAGCTTTTCCCGCAGGCATATGAAAAGCCAAGGCTTCACTTTGATCGATCTAACATACCGATCAACATCTGCAGGGTACCTGTCAAAATGAGCCCGCCAAGGGTAGACGACAGTGTACAGCTTGGCGATTCAGGTCGTTTCGATCGAGCACTGTGCCTGTATAGAGCTGTGTATAAAGATGGTTGACCAACGCACCTCTACCAGATCATCATCAGCATCAACCACCTCCTTCATTCTCTCTTCTACACATCCTTTCTGGATAAACTTTCTCTTCAGCTTTGTGCTAGCCACGATCTTTGTTCCCATTCTCTCATTTGCTGTGCAAATACATCTTCCATTCACACAGCCAACTCACTCTCTTCAAAAATCCACCCAACAGCAATCATGCGCTTCAGTCTTGCAACCATCGCCACCGCGGCACTCGTTCTCTCGGTCTCCGCCGCTCCTCACAAGGGTCTAGGCAAAGGTCGCAACAGCACAGAGACCGGCGGACGAGGCGGCAAGGGCCGTGGTCGCTACCCTGATGGCGCTTTTTCATCGGGCGCCTTGGCTGCACCCACTGCACTCCCTACCGGTGGTGCTGATCTGAGCGATGTTCCCTTCGAGCTGCCGACTTCTGCGGCCAACAAGTTCGTTGCGATTTCCAGGGCCAAGTCAGACGACTCGAGCTCTTCCGATTCCAGCTCTTCCGACTCTGGATCTTCCGACTCCGGCTCTTCTGATTCCAGCGACTCTTCCAGCGACTCTTCAAGCGACTCTTCCAGCGATGATAAGGACAAGAGCAGCTCTGGCTCTGGTAGCTCTTTAGATGACAAAGATACTTCTTCCGGCTCCGGCTCCGGCTCTTCAGACGACTCCTCTTCGGGCTCTGGCAGCGGTTCCTCAGATGGCAGCTCAGACGACTCTTCCTCAGGCTCGGGTTCTGGCTCTGGCGGCGGCTCATCTGACGACTCCTCTTCAGGCTCTGGTTCCGGCTCTTCAGACGACTCTTCATCAGGTTCCGGTTCCGGTAGCGGCTCTTCAGATGACTCTTCGTCCGGCTCAGGCAGCGGTTCTTCAGGCGACAGCTCGGATGATTCTTCCTCGGGCTCTGGCAGTGGCTCTTCAGGCGGTAGCTCAGATGACTCTTCTTCAGGCTCTGGCTCCGGCTCTGGCAGCGGCTCCGGCTCTGGCTCTGGCTCCGGCTCTGGCTCTGGCTCCGGCTCTGGCTCTGGCTCCGGCTCTGGCAGTGGTTCCTCGGGCGGTTCATCTGGCGGCAGCTCAAACTCAACCACTCCCAGCACACCCAGCAGCGGCGGAGGAGCATCTGGCACTTTTCCCACCGCAGCTGGCGAGTCTACTCTCTCTGCACCCATGGAAGTCACTACCTTCGATGGTGGCATGGTGAAATTCGGTCGTGGCGTGTCCTGCTCCAGCGGCGAAGGTGGCGACAGTGACGCCGTCTTCATTGTTGCCGACGGCGGCTCTCTCTCTAACGTCATCATCGGCGCTGACCAGATCGAAGGCGTCCACTGCGAAGGCGCCTGCACAATCACAAACGTCTGGTGGGAGGCAGTCTGCGAGGACGCTCTGTCCTTCAAGGGTAACGGTGACGGCACAGTCTCCGGTGGCGGTGCGAAGGGCGCCGCCGACAAGGTCATTCAGCACAACGGTGTCGGCACAATCTCCATCTCTGATTTCACCGTCCAGGACTTCGGCAAGCTGTACCGCTCATGCGGCAACTGCAAGACTGTAAGCATTCCCCCTCACTTCACACTCTTAGCAGTTCACTAACAATCTACAGCAAGGTGAGCGTCACGTCAAGATGAGCGGTATCAAGGCCGACGGTGGCTCTGCTGGACTCATCGGCATCAACTCCAACTTCGGCGACACAGCCACCATCACCAACTCCTGCATCACTGGTACCAGCATCATCTGCCAGGAGTTCGAAGGTACTTCGCCCGGTAATGAGCCCAAGAAGATCTCCGACGGTCCCAGCGCGGCTTGTATCTACACTGAGGCCGACATCAATGCCTGCTAAGCGCATTGCGATCTCTATATGTCAATATCCAGGGTGGTCTGGAAGACGTTGAACAGCTAGTGCAAAAGTCAGATCCAAGTGGTCTCCAGGGGAGTTTGAGCGTTGTTGTACATATACCTTCTTCTTCATATCATGAATCGAGCTTCATCCTAAACCACCTTCAATTGCATGCCTGTGACTGCCAACGACAACACGAATCGCAAACTGACCTCTATACATACTTCGCTCATATCCCACCAAGACCCCTCATTAGATCTTTGCGCCGTTCTCCGAAAAAAACCTCAAACCTCGTATCCCCATCACCCCACCACCGCGCCACCGTCGACACCCATGTCGATGCGCTTACATACTATCCTTTGCGCTGCCGCCCACGCACACGTTTCAGCGCGCGAGTGGGCAGCTTCCCGGCCTAACCGCCTCGCCGCGGTGCGATTGGCCAGGCAAGAACCCCCGAAAACGTAGATCCAAACGCGCGCCATAGACCAGCGCAGTCTTCTTTACTGTCCACGTACTGTCGCCTCGCACTACTAAGTACCCTCGCCGGCTGCGGGTGCGATGTGAAAGCTACGAGTTTCACCGCGCTATCGAGATTCGACGATCGTTGTTAGGCTGGAGAAGGGCGTTGTACATACCTGGTATCAAGGGTCACTGGAGATCGCGATGCCGTTCTTGCAGTCGCTGTACCGCGTTCTGATGTTCTGGCGGCTCGAGAAAGGGGATGAGGTTCGTGCAGGCTTCTGCTAGAGGAAGACCGTGAAGCTAATTGTCTAGCAGGCCAGGTATGAGGGCCCTGATCCCGCGTTTTCCAAGTTTGTCTTCTACCAGAGTCTGACGCCGAATGAGGTAAGACACAGTGTTTTTTGAGTCGCTTTGTTTGGTAGTGATGAATTCTGATTTGGAAGCAGAGTATGTCGAGTTTTGGGCGGCCGTCTTTTGAGAGTGGACAGTGTTGATGATGTCAGTACGCGGATCGGTTGGTTCGGTGAGCATTCCTAGGACTGGGTGGGTTCAAGGAGGCAGGGGTGATCGACGAGGGAGGATTTTCGCGAAGACACGAGATTTCTCTATGGTGTTACTTGCGTGATCAGTGGAGATTGGAGTGAAGTTGACTGTCTGAAGTTGAGAGAGCGCATTGGACACACCAAGTCAGAAGTGTCCAACTCTTACCAGATGTGTCAGTTACTATGAATAAACTATGATGAGTGAGTTGGCAGAATGACGCTGTTAGTAGCATCAGTTGTTGATTTCTAGCCGACTCCGATCACGTTAACGATATCCTCTTGACGAACTGTCAATGGAAGAGTGTATGTGAAACGAAACAGCATTGTCTGTTTACCGACGATGAGATCCCCACGCTAAGTGGTACTTGTAGGTAGTTTAGTCTTTGTGACCATGCGAGCTTTCGAAGGTCAAATCTGTGTACAATACTGACATTCAAACGAGACCTTCTATGTAACGACGTTCATCGAGATCAAGCCACGCAGTAGCCGCCCAGCCAACACGCTTGGTACAGTACTAACAAAACAGAAGACTTCATGAAAACTTCACCGAAGGCCCAGACAGTGAGTGTACTCAGAAAGAGCCAGAACATATCCTTGGCATCATGCGAGAAAGTGATTCAACGCGGAGTTGCTAGCCCAGCTTGTGTATTGATCGCAAACAGCTGACACATAAGCTTGCTTGAGCACAAGTTGCGGAAACGTGTCAGTAAGACTTAGGAGTGCTGTCTATCGGCGCGTATGAAGGCGTCTGACAAAGCCCCCATCTTGTGAAATTGAGCCGCGACTATATTATAGGAAACACTCTGTGCCTAAATAGAATGGTGAATACAATCGTCAGGAGTCGGTCCGCTTGAGAAGGCAAGAAAGCAACCGACTTGTACAGTATGTACATACTTCATAAGCGGGAGATTGACAGGCCATTTGCAAGGTTTGGGCCTGAGAGAAGTGGAGCACAGCGTCTCGAGAGACTCCCGGAGTCGGCTGGCATGTCCGAGATTTCCCCCCGTCTTGCCACTGTGAATGCCGAAGCCGCATGCAGCTTTTGATCGCACGCTTGCCTATCTCAAAGCGGCTCGCCTTGTAGCCGAAGAGTCGGTTCTTCACTGCAGAACTTGCAGTGTATGTGCCCATCAACATGGCATCGTGGAGGCAGTTATCTAGACCGACGAACTTGCTAGCGACGACGCCAGTTCCGCGCACGTAAAGCCTTCCGTCTTTGTCTCTCCTGAATCCCAGTGTAACGGGGACACTTGAGTCGAAGATCTTCTTTCACGGTCTCATTTGCCACAATAACGCCACCAGAACTTCGTATGATCAGCAACGTCTGAACCTTACGCAAATGAACCCAGTAATATGGTTGTGAGTGTGTTTTATGCGTGCACATGCGAATCTAAAAAGTGGAGTCATGGAAATCTGTAGGTTCTCGATGACGGTATGATGGCAATGTTCGAACAGGGGCCATGCAGAATCAGCAGTTAGAAACTGCCGTCATCCCTGGCACGAACGCGACCCGTGCTCCACTTGGTGGAGGCACTGGGGCGTAGCGTGCACGTAGCTATCATGACCGTTGCCGTTACCTTGTCGAAGATCGTCCGAGAACGGTCAGAGGATCGTGTTCAAACGAAGTAAATTCTGAAATTGAAGCCTTGTGGGCCTCAACTGAGGAGGTGATGATACCTTGTAGGCATTAAGACGATGGCAGCCTGTGTTGTGGGATTGTATCACTCAGATCCCTTGTATCCGTTTGGTATGGACCATATGCCTGGGTGCCTGGTCATGCCCCTGATGAGTTGGATCTGGAGAAAAGCAAGACTAATAACCTGTTTTAGAACTAGCAAGCTACTGCAAGGGAGTTATAGGCCCCATCTAGCCCTTTGTGTAACGCGAGGGTGCTGCTTCCGTTCAGAACGAACGTGGGCGGCCGCCTTTGACATGCATACCACTGAGGGGTTGCAGGGATCTTCTGTCCGGTCTCAGAAGAGAAGACAAGCAGCGAGAATAGCTTGAGTACAAGCGGATGCGGCAACCACCACCCGTTGCATCGGAGCGTCGTAGTTCGCCTCAAGCTCTCAGTGAACTTGAAAACGGGGGCTACCACTGGTCAGTCTTCTTCGGCATAGTTGACCGACGGTTCTCTGAAGGTAGGCATGTGCGCATTGGTACAGGCTCACCTGGGTGGAGGAGGTGGGAAGGCACGACGACCGCGGTAACTCGACAACCTCTGCTTGTACTTGGCAGACAGATGGCACTAGGTAGTGGGCCGCTCTCCGCGGAGCTATTAGCAAGCGGGCAGCTTCCTAACAGCGGGGGAAGAGTATCCATTGCTCAGCTGATTGGTAGGTGCGACTGCCTGTGGCTCTTCGTGCTAGTCAGCAGGCGAAATCTGTCATCTGGGAGTCTGGAGCGACAGGGTGCAGCAGTAAGCGCCCTGATAGCTGCCAGTGCCAGCCGTGTTGATCGAGAATCGAAACTCGCTTTTACAAGCCTGATTTCCCATTACCGCAGGTGTGAAGATCGGCGATCGGGACAGTACTCTGACGTCAAGCGTGCGCTAATGTGCGCCTGCCCAATCAATACCCCATACTAGTGCGGCCTTCCGGCTATAGCGCGTTGCATGCGAAAGCTCAGGAATTCGATCTCGGGCGCTCTCCCCATTGTCGGATTCCCATGTTCGCCCACCTGGTGAATCTGTACCGATCGCTTTCTCTTAATACCCTCTCTTGCGCTCTGCCTGATCCTTCTACTCCTCTCCTTTGCGCAAATTCTATGCCAATACATACTGGCCTCAGATACACATAGCTCTGCAAACCAACCGCTGTCATCACATAGCTGTTAACCAAACAAGCCACCGCCACTCGATCCAGTCTTTGGAACGCGCTGTCACTGCCACCTCTCACCCACGGTACTTTAGATTTCTTGTGAGACCTGAAATCATTACTGTTGGATCTTCGTCATGATGGAAGTTGAACAGCCCCAGTCCTTCGATTGGGCCAACGACGCCTATGCTGCCTTCAGCGACGCATCAAAACACCAGAACAAATGGAACGCTTTCAGTAGCAGCTCTGCGCCGACAGAAACCAACACAGCATTTACGATACCTCCAGCTCTCTTGACCCATTCAACAGCACGGTTCGGTCAGATCACCCCACCTGAGGAGCGTTCACCAGCAGACTCAATGCGAAATGCTAGACAAGGCTCTATACCAGTAGAGGAGCTATTGAACGAGTCACTCTGGCCCAACAATGACCAACAGTACCTGGAATCGCCCAGACATGATGCTCGGCAACTCGAGTCGCCACCCAACGACAGCGAGCCGTCCTCAAAACGTCGCCGCGTTGTTAGACAATCCATTTCCACTCAGTCCCAGGCCACAGCGAATTTACAACAGGACAATGACGCCACTGCCAATCCTCAGCCTCCTAAGCGCAAGCGTGGGCGACCAAAGTCGCAGCCCCAGATGGTCGAGGCCTTTACCGCTGATGGATTTCCCTTCCAGGTGTCATCTGCTCGCCAGTCACATCTTGAGAAGAATCGAGTTGCTGCACACAAGTGCCGTCAGCGCAAGAAGGAATACATTGGTAGCCTTGAAGGGCGCGCTCGAGAGTTCTCCGCAAAGAACAAAGCGCTGAAGGAGAATGTCAGCATGCTCAGAGAAGAGGTGCTCAGCCTCAAGAACGAAGTACTCCGACATGCTGGGTGTGGCTTCTGGGCAGTCGACGAATACCTCGCACGATGCGCAGGAGACCTGCTTGGCAGAGAGGCTCCCGGGATGTCACAGATGGGCTCAGGACAGTATGATGTCCCTACAATGCAAATGCGACCTCGCGAGAACAGTCACGAGTCTGTACCAAGTATAGGCAGCATGTGCTCTTCCCCCGGTGCGGATGACTTTGGTGGTCTCGAGCTTCTTCAGGAATATGAGGATGACCAGAACATTCAGTAATGATGTTTGTGGTTCTGCTTGATGGCTCAATGCATCTGGTCTTCGGCGTTCTCTCTTGGTAACACTTCATGATACCCCCGGCACAGGTCACATCGAGGACGACTACTTGTGCCTTTTGATTTTACTTCCTGAACCTTCCGTTTACTCGGTGTCACATTCGGACCCGAGCAAAGCAAAAGTATTTCGAAGAAAAAAGCGTTTATTCTATAGCGTGTATGATACGATAGTAGCATAAACTAAGTATAACTGTCATGATCACTTCTTGTGTGCCTTCCGCGCGTTTTCCAACGAGTCGCAACATAATGTGGTCCTGTCAACAGCTACGTCACAGTGCTTAAAGAGTTTGAAGTAATATGCACCAGGTATAGGCAGACTCTTCACAAGAGAGCCCCCCACAGGGCTACCTTGGCCGCTTGAAATTACGATGGAGAAACAGACGTCAGGGTACTCAAGGGTTCCGCATACTGATCGTCCGCAGTTCTCAGTCTCATTACAAGGCACGCGAACCCCGGTGCGGCTGACGAAAAGCCCCACTGATAATTGAGGGGAAGCCGAAGTGGCGATTATCAGAATGGTCGCCGGCGATGTTCGCCGCCACTATACCCCACTGGCTGTGTGGATACCCTCTCGGCGATTTATGTACAGTCATTCGTCTACAGACAATGGATATGCTATACATTACGGCAGTGTAGCGGGATCTGGGATGGTGGCGAGGGTCGTCTTGGTAAGCTGGCAGGCACTTGCATATGGTAGTTGCCTGCGGCTTTGGGCAGATCCGCAGCAGTATTGGGGGCGGTTGTACAGGAACGAGCGAATGTGTTGGCAAGAAACTGGCGAATCAAATCCACGTAGTGACAGCACCGAACTTCGGGTGAGTGGCGCACGCGAACGGCGCGCACGGACTGTACACGATCAACGGTTTCCGCGACAATACAGTAGGATGCCATGTAGATCGTTCGTTCAAGCTGATGTTTTCGTCATTCTGCATGCAGCCCGGCAGAAGCGCGGCAGGGATGTCTGCCGAACTTCAAGATGTTTACCTTCACACGGCGTGCCGCACACGCCGAAGACTTCGCTTACCCAGGTATCACTATCAAACCTAACATGCTAGGCAGCCAACTAATTGTACGGCTCTTATGTAGCTAGGTTTGTGGTGAACTGCACCATTGGCTGCAACCAGAAAGCCAAAGGGGCTTTCCGCTCTGGACAAAGGATGGAATTTACAAGTCCGTAAAGACCAATAGTTCACTACCTGAGTACTAAAGCCCCCGAGCTGGTACGAACGGAGAGATGTCCGCCACCTCACTAACATCTATGCAGCTTCCTCTTTGGGCGTTTGAAGATGTGCTAGCCGGATGCGGTTTCTTTACGATGTCTAGTATGCGTCATTGATCAAATCCCGCACGACATGAACGCGCGTGAGCACGTGTTTCAGGTGCGGGCCTGCCATCCGCGGTGTCGTGCCCAGCGAGTATCGGATGAATACGTGGGGTACATCTGACAGCTTTCAAGGATATAATGAGCTGTTACTTCCGTAGTTGTAGTCAGCAAGCAAGCCCGAAACTGTGGTTGACATCGGACCCGCGTGAGCCACTTGTTGGCTCCTGAATCCACTTGCGTTTCTGGCAGAACCACACAAGTGATGTCCGGAATCGAGTCAAAAAGTGCCAATTCGGAGAGACTCACTTCGAGATCAAGGACTGTGATGCAATCTGAAACCACCGACACTACCAACTCACACCCTTGGCTCTGTTGCTTCTCGATGACCGTCTCGACCACAGCTCGGCGGTTCAATACAAGCCCAATGTATATCCGAATAGTTGGGTAGAGAATGTCACTAACGTTTATTGGAGCAGGATGGTGCTTGTAATCCAATCTTCTCTCAGAGTGGAAACGTCTTATTGGTTCAGTATATCGAGTCCCCGGACACGGGCCCAAGAGATCGAGTGCGTTGGTGGTCGTTATTACCGATGACTGTCGACATTTTGTCGTCCAATGAACTGCATTCTGGAAAGTGCCTGAGCTGCTGTGCGGAGCACAACATACCACTATCGTAGAAAGTAGGCCAATCCTGCCGGTATGACGGTTTGCATCAAACTTGTGCTGGTGACCTACACGCGACCCCAGCGGTCAGCGTGTCTCCGGAAGCCCTTCACCGAGATTATCGAGTCGGGAAATATCAAGCACAAGGAGCGATGTGGCACTCATAATTCAGTCACCGGCGGAAGGTCTTGTATCAAGGCCTAGCCAATTTGCCTGTGATCATCTCAGCCATATGTCCAATCACTTCCACATGTTTCCAGAAGAAGTCATCGGACCCAATCTTACGGACAGGTGCAACAAGATTCCTGGTTATATCTGTAGGTAGTCTAGTACTGACAGCAGATGTCACAACATACGGATGTTGCAGCGATCCGTACATCGACGTGCGTTGTGAATAAGTTGAGGGTAGAGTCAACGGCAGCTTACCTTCAGTGATGACCCCCGCCTCTAAATTTAACACTTCTTTGTGCATTGACCAGGAGAGCATGTGTTAGTTGTGTCTATTATGAGATAACCGGTAGGTCTAAACATATAAAAGGATCCTGTAATCCTTGTTCTGAAGGTCAATCCACCAAAGAATTGATTTATCCGACAGATTCTGCTACACTGCGCTCTCCATCACAACCACTACGGGTGTACCACATTGAGAGAAGGCTTCCCGCAACCAGTCACACACCTGAGCCATGAGCTGATCCGGGCCGGTGTCTCGCGCCTGCTGCATCGAATCTCTGACGAGGGGTCTTGCCTGACGTACGACTAAATTCACGCGCATCAGCCTCTTCAGCTCCAGCAGGCTTTTCATCTGACACCCTAACACAGCCCTATCGACTGACAACCACGCTGTCTCTCTTGAAACAGCGATTCTGGTCCTCCGGTTCGTGTGCCACATACCCGAGCGAGGATCATGCAGCAGATCTTGTGGGAAGAATCCTAAGTTCGGTTTCAGAAGTTCAGCACACCGCTTGATCAAATCCATATAAATACTGCGCCCGTCGTTATCCAATGAAAGATCGGAGAATCTTGGAAAGCAGAGCCGACGAACGGTCCCGTATCCTTGCATGTCCGGAAACGAAGTCAGGTACCTTTCAAAGTAAGCACCCTGCTCCGGACTGCGTATCTCAAAGCACCGGCTGCGTAGATAGTAGAAACCTGCATCTATGCGCGTGGATTTGTTAATGTGGAGGATGTTGTAGGTTAGATCTGCAGTCAAATTGAGGCCGAGAAATGGAGGCAGTGGGTATAGCGAAGTCAGTGTTGAGGGCAGGAGGTAGTGGTAAATGCATTCGCGCAGCTCAGTAGGCAAAGTGGAGAAGATAACTGGTAAATGGGCGGGAGTTTTAGATCGTGCCAGCTTATCACTTTCACTAGGCTTACTCTCGATTGCGGTTTGAGTTGCGACTGAAATCATGGCTACTTGGTAGGTAAGGTAAGATAAGTACACAAATCTATATGAGTAAAGTTCAGAAGAGGTCTGCGCGCTTGACGATAATTCGATGACAGCTCGCAGTCAAAAATCGGGCTTCACTATCGTCTGCACCTTCCGAGCAAATCATGTCAGAAATTACATGGAAGATTTCCAGCAACCATAGTAACCTTTGATGGTATCTGGAAATGTATAACTCATTTTACTATGTAAGCGTTTTGGTCGATTCGATTTCAACAATTTCATGACGCCTTTCTCCAGGCTATCTTATAGTATAGTACTCTCTATTTAGGTTTTTAACCCTCTTGGCTCCCAAACCTCTGTCCGGAGCGCACTTCTCACACCGACTGAGGACACGAACTAAGTTTAGATAACACACTCCAATCCCAGTTTCATCACTCAGGTATTCCAGAGCGTAATCTCCGGTCCAAGATAGTAACACGCTCGATCCATACAAGCATTCTGTTCAATCACAGAGTCAGTCTGTAGTACGTAAATCCGCAGGACATGACGGCGTCAAAAATTATCACGGTGCTTGGGGTGACAAGCTTATAATCGCGAACGTTGGTCACACGAGAGCAGGTGCTTGGCAAGAAAGTCGATAGAAGGGAACGGTAAGCGTGAGACTCAAGAAAAGGATCACATAAATTCAGGCCGCTTTCTGTGGACCCAAGAAGGTTGTAAATCACGTTCGCATTGCACCTAGACACGTCCGACCAGCAGGCACTTGCCCTATCCAAGATCTGACGCATATCCTCCAACCAGAAATTGTCCTTAACGAGATTGATGATTCCTCTTCTTCCCTGATATTGTTTTGTTAAGTGGCTGGTCGGTGGTACGTCAGTTCCCTTCGCAACTGTCTTTACACTTTCCACAAGGCTGGCCTTCCCGACCGCCATCTCGTTGTCTCTTACAGCCCGAACAGAATGTGCAGAGACAATACAGGCCGGATTCGTCTTGCGTTCCTCGAGTAACGCCTATTTCTTTGAGCTTCTTGTGTCGCCGCCGCAGCAGAAGCACGGCAGCAAGTGTAAACAATATCATAAAGATCCCAAAGCCGGTGCTGAGACCATATGCAAGGGTTATTTGTTTTGAACGTCGTATGATGTGTTGCGACGACCTGACCCCACCAGCCCCAACAAGGGCCGGTAAAGCGACCATGTTGCAAGTCGAGAATGAGAGCTTCGGCGCTAGGGAGGACCGAACGTGATGTGTGGCTGTTTGATCAAGCTTCCGGGTTAAAAGTAGACAAAATGCGTGGTGTTGATAGTGTTGTGTTAAGCTTCGACGGTTTCTCGGCTTCGGCTTGTTTGTCTGTTATTATGTACTGCACCCAAGCGCACTTGGCACTTTCGTAGGATTCAGCCCATTTCTTATCGTAGCCAATAAGCCGCATGACAGCTACTGAATAACCTTTGGCCGAGCGAATACATTCTAACAACACTCTACGACCTAACGAGATTGCTGTTGGTCTTTCTTGCCTAATGCTGCGTTCTGCCAAGTAACTTGTTGGATGTGTATGGGTGCAGCAACGTGTTGCGCAAAGATAACCCGCGGCTGCCTTCCCACTCGAGGTTAGTGGGGTAAGCACACTATCACCAATTCAGAAGGTGACGTGAAGAGAACATACTCCCTGACTTGAGGGCTTGCATCAAACTGGCGTCGGCCGCAACGCCTGCTTATAAAACTAAGGCGATCTGCTTACAACACGCCCTCACGCTATGGCATCCCCTTCAGCCAAGCCCCTCGCAAGATTGCAGTTAGGAGTGTACGATAAGCAAAAGACCTTATAAAAGGCATGAGGGGTAAAACACCAAAAAGAAAAAGGACGGAATATACTGTACAATCTACCTGGCAATGACTCCTTGTTCACCGATGGGATCTGGGCTAGTCATTGCCCACATAACACCTGGCAAAATGAGCTGAGATGCACATGCTCACCATATTGCTCATGGGACTGGAAACGGCTTCGGTAAAAGGTGGCTGTATAAGGATTGGAACTTTCCAGAGGTAACGCCTAGGAGGATACCGCACAGGACTCAGGACCACCGCACTACATCCAGACTATTTGATGAAAAGAAGTCCATACCAAGCGCAGGCACTACTCTTATTCAGAAGACTCGTTAACACTGCGCAGCACCTTGGAGCTGGCCCGGCACTTTTCAACAACATTGGCTCAACAAGCAAATCCCAGGGAGACTTCGCTGTCGTGCTTTAAATTATCCAGGAGATATTATAGGTACAACATCTCATCGCCGGGTGCCGATAGTAGACCATCTATAGCCGTTACGATCAAATCCACCTATATCGGCGTCAATATGACTCCACGCAATCGAAAAGTCAAATCACGCTTATGCGATAGACGAGAAGCATGCGAGCGCATATCCTAGAAGGAAACCTCTTATTTTCCATCTCCGATAAAGGGCGTGATGAATTGCACGATGCCAGAGGGGATCGCCATCAAGCGGTGCTCCAGGTATGCATTAACAACGGGATATACGACGGACGGATGACGACGACGCGCAATCTCTACACCGTTGTAATAATGGCTGCACCGCAGTCCGACGAGTATAAACTTCGGCTGTACTGGCTGTTGCACTGGGTATAGTTGCACCGGTGGACAGATTGGTCGTTATGAGACGCCGGGTGAAGTGGAAGTATCTGTGATGAGGCGTTTCCCCGGATTTGGCCTCAAGCTTCAATATGTCACGTGCGTGCTCTTTACCAGCTAACAGAGGCAGCGCAGATCACCTACCATCTAGTTGATATCTCTCAAGAGTAGAGTCCTCGAACCGCTCGAATGGAAGCAGCAAACAAAAGGACAAGTTATTCCCCGACAGAGTTACTGAGTTGGCTCTCTGTCCAGTTTCAAGGTTGTCCATGCACAAGCCTGTGTTGTATCCAATCCGTCGGTGTGCTCGTGGTACAGCCAATTGCTCAAGAGGCGCATGCTTGAGATATAGAAGAGTCGAGATACGGATGGTAAATTTCTCTCTCAGAAGTCGTGCCCAGTGGAGAGCAAACATAGCCCACGCACGATTTTTCGTGAGCGGAATCCACCCGGTGCTAAGAATTAGCGCGAAAGTTTGCTGAACCAGAAAACTCTTCTTTGTTGCGGGTACTGCCGAAGAAGTACCATCGTCGGTCAGCACCTGCCAACTGCCGCATATTTCGCAAGGCCAATTCTCGGGATCTGATCAGAGTGCCTACACAAATCTGCATGTGCCAAGAACAAGGCCCTGAACACCTAGGTATGCTGGAAAGCTAGCTCGACCGCTGAGGATCTTTCAGCCTTGCGATATCTGTAGTGCGTATTGCAAATCTGCTCGTTCGCTCGTTGGCCCAGGCTTTTGTTCTAGAAATGACGTGCTCTTGTTGGTGATGAAGAAATTGCTCCGACCAACGGAACCATGCGCGTCGAATCCGATAAAAAGGTCTCTGTGTAACTGTCACCAACCAGCTACCCTCCCCCGAGCCTCCACTTCCCCACGTTGACTGTTGTCATCCCCGGAGCGCGATGTCGAAGTACGACCAAGATATCGAATATGCGGCCCGTTCCGATGAGTATGTTCCGGACAACAAGCCAATCCTTGAGCCGCAACTTAATGTTGGTGGTCACGGTGCGACCCAGCGCCGGTTACAAAACTACCATGTTACTATGATTGGATTCTGTTCCGGTATTGGAACAGGTCTATTCATCGGAACAGGCTCCGCATACGCGAACGCTGGGCCAGCAGGCCTGTTGCTTGCGTACACAATTGTTGGCAGTGTTCTATGGTGCGTTATGCAGAGCGTTGCTGAGCTCGCCACAGTGGTAAGTGGATTTTCGGCTCTACTTGATGGATGGTACTCACGCGGGTACATAGATCCCCACCGCTGGCTCCTTCCCTCATTTCGCAACTCGCTTTATTGACCCGGCTGTTGGCTTCTCCCTGGCTATTAGTTACGGATACTGCTACACCATATCTATTGCAGCAGAAGCCTCGGCATCAGCCATTCTTGTCGGATACTGGACCGATCTCACTCCTGCCGTGGTCATCACTATCTCTCTGGTTCTCATCCTTGCGATCAACTTGATGAGTGTGCGCTGGTTTGGCGAGTCTGAGGTCATAGCTGGAACGATCAAGGTGGCCTGCTTCCTAGGACTCGTAATAGTATCCATCGTTATCACATCTGGCGGTGCACCCAATGGTCAGACTACTGGATTCCGCTACTGGCACTCTCCTGGAGCCTGGGTCGACTACAATGGTATTACTGGATCCACCGGTCACTTCTTGGGCTTTCTGGCCGCGTTTGTCAACGCGTCGTTCTCGTTCATCGGTGTTGAGGTTGTGGTCATCACAGCAGCCGAGAGTGTGAACCCGCACAAAGCAATCCCCAAGTCTGCCACCAACGTCACATACCGCATCGCACTCTTCTATGTCCTCGGTGCCTTGCTCATCGGCTTGATTGTCGACCCTACAAACCCCGATCTAGTTTCTGGCACTGGAAACTCCAACTCCTCACCTTGGGTTATCGCCATCAAGGAGGCCGGTATTGGTGCTCTTCCTTCAATCGTCAACGCCTGCATTCTTATCTCTGCCTGGTCCGCAGGCAATTCCTATTGCTGGGTCGGATCCCGCATGATCTTGGCCATGACTACGGATCGCCAGTTGCCACAATTCTTCGGGCGCACCTGGAGTAACGGCGTTCCTTGGGTAGCAGTGATCGCTTCCTGGCTTTTTGGCCCTCTTGCCTACCTGAGTCTTGGCAGTGGCGGCGCATCACAAGCCTTCGATTGGCTGATGAGCTTGAGTACCGTGGCTGGATTGATCGCATGGGCAACTTTGTGTTTCTGCTACATTCGGTTCTACGCTGCGATGAAGGCCCAGAAGATCAGCCGAGAGACTCTGCCTTGGAAGAGCCCGTTCCAGCCATTCACAGCCTGGTATGGGTTCGTGGGCGCTACAATAATCACACTGGTCACCGGTTTCCCTGTCTTCTTGAAAGGCAATTGGAGTACAGCCGACTTCATAGCATCATACGTTGGCATTCCCATCTTCATTGTGCCTATCATCATCTGGAAGATAGTCTACAAGACGAAGGTAAGCATTCAAAAGCCCTCAAAGAGATCCTTGGACTGACATTCGGTAGTTCGCGCGTGCAAAGACTATTGATCTTTGGTCTGGACGCCTGCAATGAGCTGAGAATCTGAAATTACCAACGACTTAATAAGTAACAAAAAAGAAAACGAGTCTGAGCAATCGGCACTCGGGTGAACGCTACCTAGAAACCTGCAGACGAAGCTTGTACGGTAAAGCGAAAGCTTAGAAGCAGTAGATGCTTTGGAGCGAGCAAGGTGCATGCGGAGCTACCAATCAAGGCTCGTGAAGCTTCGGCTGTGGCTGGTGTTCGGTCGATAAGATTGGCTACTCGCTGGATTAGGCCTCCTGCGCCACAGCATTTCGGGTCCGAGACTCAACACCACCGTGTCTCGCGCCCGAGAGGTGCTGTGGAAGAGGTCGAGGACCCGAAGTAAGGGATTTTGGGATCGTAAATCTTGCAGATCTCACAGAGTGCCAGTAAATAAATAGGCATATGGGTTCGAGTAAATGCGGCACCAGCACCAAGCACTTCCTCTTTACCTTGTTAACCTTACACCTTTATTACCATGGCCTCCAAAGAAGCCCATACCTCATCTAAGCAGTCGGTCAAGTCCGACCAGCTGGTTGATGCATCTAAATCTGAATCTCAGTCAGCTTCTGTTTCGCATTCTCAATACCCATCAACAAAACGTGTGGCAATCACCATGTCTTCCATCTACATTACCATGTTTCTCATCGCACTTGTGAGTCTATGTTACATCTTCGCTACTCGAAACCATTCTAACACCATCCAACAGGACAAGACCATCCTCGTCCCCGCGATTCCAGTAATCACCAACCACTTTCAGTCTCTGGGTGACATCGGTTGGTATGGCAGCGCGTACATGCTCACGTTATGCGCTTTCCAGCTCTTCTGGGGCCGCATATACACGCTGTCATCGACCTCGTGTCTGCCAAAACCATTCGACTCGCCTAAATCAATCCTCCTTGCAGCCATCACGGTCTTCGAAGTTGGGTCCGCGATCTGTGGCGCAGCTGCCAGCTCCTCAATGTTCATTGCTGGACGCGCTATAGCTGGGCTCGGTAGTGCTGGCATGATGAATGGCGCGATCGTAGTCATGATCGCCATTGTGCCCTTGAAGAAGAGACCGTTGCTTCAAGGCCTGATCGGCGCCGTGTTTGGTATTGCAAGCGTGGTTGGACCTATGCTTGGTGGAGTTTTCACCGAGAAAGCCTCATGGAGATGGTGCTTCTACATCAACCTGCCGCTTGGTGCAGTCGTGGTGGCCATCTTGGTCGTGGTGCTTCGATTGCCGAAGATTGACAGCGAAAGAGCCTCGACCGAGAAAAGATCCGTCGCCCAGATCTTCTCAAGCCTTGACCCTTTTGGCCTTGCGACATTCATACCATCCATCATATGCCTCTTGCTGGCCCTTCAGTGGGGAGGCACAACCTATGATTGGTCCAACTGGCGCATCATCCTGCTTCTCACGCTCTCACCGATTTTACTTGCCGCTTTCTTAGCCACTCAAATTCTTCGACCAAAGACTGCCATCCTTCCAATACGCATCCTTACGCAACGCAGCATAGCCCTGTCCTTCCTCTTCACCTTCTCCAGCCAAGCCGCCATGTTGGTCATAACGTACTACATTCCGCTCTACTTCCAGGCTATTAAGAACTTTTCGCCTCTTGATTCTGGGCTGGCCCTTCTGCCGTTTCTGCTATCTCTCGTAATCGGATCCATTGTTGCCGGCGGCCTGGTTCAGCGCCTTGGCTATCCAGCCCCATTTATGATTGCATCGGCGATTCTCGGTAGCATTGGCGCAGGAGTGATATCAACGTGGCCAGTCGATGTTCATCAGTCAATGTGGATCGGTACCCAAGTTTTATTCGGCTTCGGGGCCGGCATTGGCATGCAGCAACCCACCATTACAGCTCAGATCGTGCTCCCAAAGAAAGATCATCCGACAGGTATAGCACTCATGTTCTTCGGCCAGAATCTAGGTGGTGCCATCTTTGTCAGCGTAGCTCAGAACGTTTTCATCGATGCATTGGCAAGCAAGCTGAGCAGAGTACCCGGACTGCATCTTGACAAAGCAAGCATTGTTCGTTTGGGTGCAACATCAATCAAAACTGCTGTGGCACCGCAAAATCTGGAAATGGTCATTGAAAGCTATCGTGGTGCTCTCCGTAGCGCTTTCTTAGTGGGAACAGGGCTTGTTGCTTTTAGCGCAATCGGTGCGATATTTGTGGAATGGAGAAGCACGAAAGAGAACAAGGGAGAAACAGCAGGCGCTGACAGCACTGAGCAGAAAGTTTAACCATCTGGATGAGAAGTATGGATACCACTAATGTATCGTCTATGTAGTTGCGTTGGTATCAAATGTTATTCTACACTTCAATACACAGTTAAAAAGCAATGTTACGTGCCACCCAGTCCTCAATCTAAACGCGGCTTCTTTACTCGCGGTCGTAGGATCGTCGCCCAATCCTTCCCATCTATCTCCATTTCAGAATCAGGAACGTCTGTCTTACTAGCACGACGTTTGGAACTAGAGTGTTGAGCCGTGTGTTGTGTCATCTTATGCAACAGAGTGATCCAAAGGTAGATATCCTGACATCCACCGACGATGATAAGGCCAGGTTGAGGCCAAGTTGTGTTTTGAGATAGTAATAAATCGACATCGGAATCGACATTTCTCGTAAGAGCATTGTGCAGCTCGGTCAAAATCTCACTGTTCCACTTGTACGCAGCGTTTGCCCAGACACGCGGTCGGAGGCAGAGCAGAGCCAATCCAACCGGTAGTGCAAGCGAGCTGAATAGCGAGCCGATAAGCCCTGCAAATTCCACTTCATCTGCCATCAGTGGGACACGTGGGAGAGTATGGAACAGGCGATCCCGAAATTCAAAACCAAATACTTCCGTCAGAAGGGCTTGTGGGTCCAACGAAGGGGGAGGCGGAGCCCAGGAGCTCAGCAGCGGAAACACATGGCAGAGTCCAGCGTCACGGATGGCTTCAAGCCGGACAGCCTTGTAGCCTGGTCCTTTGATGCATCCGTAGGCTTGATATTCAAGATCGGCTACCCCGACCAGCTGCGCGGCATTGAAAACAAGTACTTCTTCAACCAAGTGCGTATCAATGACCGCTATCCAAGCCTCATGTTTTTGTGCAAGGTAAGTAGCATAGCATAGCACACTGAACATGCTAGCAGCCCAAGATGTGCACAGCGTGAGGGGTTGGGTGCTGCTGCGCAGATGGCTGAATGCCAGCACAGAGAGCTCGGCTTCGGATCTGCTGTAAAACTCTAGCTTCTTACCATCCATCAGTCCATGAGGTACCATCTCATGCTCATTGTTGATGGCGAGATGCTGGCCGCCTCCGCTTAGAGATGTGAACGCGCGGAATAGGTAACGTGGGACTTGCGTCTTTCGGATTGCTTATTGCACCTGTTAATCAAAGTCTCATGTCAGCGTGATCTGCCGCTTACTCTCGAAATACCTGACGCGCTCTGGCGACATTGGGGTGGACTCGTGTTGACTAAGTATCTTTACCATCATGCTTTCTGATGATGTGACCGAAGTTGGCCCCAACTACCTATGTAATATGTAGGCATTATGTCTTAGATCTTCCAAAGGTGCGACACGACTTGTGACGTGTAGAACGATGTTTAAACATGTGAGGGTGTCTTATCTACTCTAAGACACAACAACAATGGGCTTTTGATAGTCTCTGGGTGCCGTAACAATGACTCAACTAGACGTGACATTATGTTTTATGATGATGAGAATGTGAGATTAAAGAGCCTTTGATAATTATGGCAACTAGATCGATAGTGACTCTGACCAAAACGCAGTACTAACACAATGTTGTACCTAACCTAAGGCTTGTCGTGATGAATCAATTTAGGTCAGCCATGAGTTAAATCGCCGATTGGTTCACATGAGAGCGCGTTGGAACAACAAGATAGAAGGCTTGCGGCAAGACGATTTATTATAAGGCCTAGCACACATCTAGAGTTACTCTGATGGACCGATCCTCCAGAACAAATGAACTAAATCAACACAAGAAAACATCTTTGCCTAATGCACCCATCGCGGGAAAGACCTTTGAAGAGAACTAGTTGTTACGCTTGGCAACTGCAGCCTGGCGGCGCTCGACAACGCCGGCACGCTTGGAGTAACCGTAGCCGCTGCCCTGGGTAGGAGCAGGGGAGCTGGGTGTCGGGTAGGCATCGTAAGCAGGTGCGGTGGAGGTGGGCACAGCGGGCACAGTTGAGCTAGAGCAAGGAGTGCTGGTGGCTGGGATAGCCGGGACCGACGAGGTCTTGTCCTCAGAGGGAGGGTACTCGTTTCCGTAAACGGGTGTCGAGGTCGGGTAGCTCTCAGATGTGGTCTGGGTCTCGACCGAGGGCTTTGTGCTGGTGGTGCAGGGAGTGCTGGAGCTCTTCTCTGATTCATAGACGGGGGTCGATGAAGTGGCGGGGTAGGAAGGCGCACTCGAGGTCTCGGGGTAGGAAGGCACGCTGGAGGTCTTGGTGTCAACGGTGGGCACGCTGGAGGTGCTGTAGATCTTCTCAGATTCGTAGACCGGGGTCGACGAAGTGGCTGGGTAAGAGGGCACGCTGGAGGTCTTGGTGTCTACAGTGGGCTTGGTGAGGGTGCTGGAGCAAGGAGTGCTGGAGCTCTTCTCAGTGTCATAGACGGGGGTGGAGGAGGTGCCTGGGTAGGACGGCGCGCTGGAGGTCTCCGGGTACGAGGGGACGCTGGAGGTCTCAGGGTACGAGGGGACGCTGGAGGTCTTGGTGTCGACAGTAGGCACGCTGGATGTGTCTGGGTAGGTGGGTACGCTGGATGTCTCTGGGTACGAAGGCACGCTGGATGTCTTGGTGTCTACAGTGGGCTTGGTGAGGGTGCTGGAGCAAGGAGTGCTGGAGCTCTTCTCAGTGTCATAGACGGGGGTGGAGGAGGTGCCTGGGTAGGACGGCGCGCTGGAGGTCTCGGGGTAAGAGGGGACGCTCGAGGTCTTGGTGTCAACGGTAGGCTTGGACGAGGGCTTGTCGCCATGGGGGTACTCGTTGTCATATACCGGTGTGGAGACGGGGTACTCCTCAGACTTGGTCTTGGTCTCAACCGAGGGCTTGGTCAAGGTGCTGGAGCAGGGGGTGCTGGAGCTCTTCTCAGTGTCATAGACGGGGGTCGCGGAGCTGACCGGGTAAGTAGCGGGGGTACTTGTCGTCAGGCTTGGTGCTTGACTTGTGGACGGAAGGAGTGGTAGCTGGGTACTCAGGCTTGGGCTGAGTCTTGGTGTCCACGGTAGGCTTGGATGAAGGCTTGTCACCGTGGGGGTACTCACCGCCGTGAGGGTACTCGTTGCTGTGGGGGTACTCGTCACCAGAGGTGGGAGTCTTCTTGGGCTCAGAGGGGTAGGTCTTGGTCTGCTTGTACTCGCAAGACGCGGTCTCGCCAGCCTTGGTGATGGTGACGGTCTGCGCATCCTTGTGGTAAACACCGGGCTTGTAAACCGAGATTGTGGGGTAAACAACCTCGGAGTCGTGCTCGTAAACAGTGGTTGTTGGCTTAGCGACCTCGTACTTTCCGGTGGTGGAAACAGTGACAGTGACAGTCTTAACGACAGTGGAAGTGACATCCTTGCCGTCCTTGTCCTTGCCAGTCTCGTATGCGCCATAAGCGCAGGTCTTGACACCGGTCTCCTTGAACTCGGTGGTCACGCCACCATAGGTGACGGGAACACCGGCCTTGGCGGTGGTGGTAGCCTCAGAAGGCTTGGTCATGGTGTAGGAGATGGTCACGTCCTTGGCTGGCTCGGTGTAAACACCGGGCTTCTCGTAGGTCTTGACCTCCGGAGTGGGGGCCTTGTAGGTGGCAACGGTATCGTACTCGGACCACTTTCCATCCTTGTACTCCTTGACCTTGTAAGGTTGCTCATCATCGCAAGACTTGCAGAGGCCGGAACCACCGTAGCCAGGGAGACCGTGAGCGCCGAGATCCTTGTACTTGATCTCGTGAACCTTCTCGTACATCTCGTACCAGACCTTGGTGGAGTTCTTCTTGTCCTCGTAACCGTAGCTTCCGGTGGGGTAAGCATTTCCACCGGCGGGAACAGACGACGTAGTAGGGTAGTGGGTGATGGTGGTCTTGGTCTGGTAGACAGTGATGGGTTTCTCAACCTTGGTCACTGTCACCTTCTTGGAGTTGTAGTCGTTGATCACGGTCGAGACATATTTGTCCTCGCTCCATTCGTCGCAGGACTTGCCATCAGAACCAGCAGCACCACATGTGGGGTAGGCCTGGTACTGAGAAGTAACAGTGACGGGCTCCTTGCCGTAGCCGGGCGTGATGGTGGTGTAGCCGATCTTGGAGCTGGTAGAAGACTTGCTGGGAACAGGGGCCGAGGAGGTCTTGTGCTCCTCTCCGTAGCCAGGGTAGGCTGGAACGGAAGAGGTGTGCTTCACAGCAGGAGTGCTGGAGCTAGCTTGGTTCTCGCCGTAGCCGTCGTAGCCGTAGGCGTCGTAGGCCGCCGCAACACCGGCGAAGATAAGAGCGTAACGCATGTTGATTAGATATTAGATTAACGAATGACTGAGGTAGGATTAAAAAACAAAAAAAAAAGAGTGTGGTCGACGCTCGGATGAGTGCGAGAGAGAGATCGGTCCAAGAATGACTGTGGATGAAGAATCGACACGAGCAAGAGGTGCAGCCTCATATATGCCTCGAAGCCGTGAGCTTGGACACATGTGAATATTGCTACCCCTGACTTCCAACGTTACCTACTACACGCTGGGACTACGACCGCTGGACCTCAGCATGTCCCGCCGGTAAGCTAGAGGGTCCACAATTGGTAGAAGGTTTAATTCCGAGAGACGCATTTAGCAACTTCCCCCCATGTCTACGGCCGATCGCGTTCGTTAGTAGTTAACATTATTTGCGTGTCGTCGTATGCTTGCGATGGTCTTGCCTTCAATTCCCAATCTCTAGCCCGGAGATCATCAATTCGATGCGATGAATCGATCGACGAGACAACGAAAGCTCAAATCTTCTGTCGATAAAGTGCACCATGGCCGTATAGTGATCTCAGGTACCCGCGATGTCACATCGGTATGTTCGACTTAGCGCGGAGGAGTAAGCGGTATGTGGCGTTCTAGCGACGCGTAAAGGCCAAACTGGGTCTCGAACTTCCGAGAACACCGAACGGCCACATCTGATCCGTTAAGCCATACCATATCCAGACGTCATGGCTCGAGGGCGGACAGAATCGATAGCTTCTTGAATACGACGGTCATCAGCAAATGCAAGCCACACTGTCGTGTTGTGCGTTCATGCAACCGCTTATGCCTTTGCTGCTGATGACTGGCTATTACTTGTTTCCTCTCAGCTCAGCTCCATCCCTCCAAGAGACTCGTCCTCGCTTGCTGAGACCTGGTCTGTCTATTCCATGGTTGTGCAAAGCTCATTGGAAGCCAAGATGTTCATTTTCGAACAGGGGACAATTCTTGCCCCACAGAGCCAATGAATTCCCATGAACCACAGATCTATCAGCCAATGTGCTGAGGCTTGGAGAGCGAGACCGACCTGCCGTGTGCTCCATAGTGGGGTCAGTGGATACGAAAGGGGACGCGGAGCCCCTGTGACGCTCGGGTCAGCCCTGCATAAGGGGTGCTATAGCGCGTGCTTTAGCTTGGCGTCAAAGCTTAGTCGGTGCATCGTGGCTGAGACGAACTCCAGCTTTCACATCATCATGGCGGCTCAAGCCTAGGGCATCGACGCATCGCCTCATCTGTATAAGCCTTCTCGACTGTTTGATTAGCTGCAAGGGTGCGGTCCTGGGAAGCCGGTCACTCATAGGCCTGTGATTCAAACAAGAGACGACCCCCAAGAAGCAACGCGAGCTTTCAGCCCTGACTACCCCAGGTGCTGAGCACATCATGTTTGTCATTACAGATAGTGAGCCTGGCGTGGTGTTGAGGCAATGCGTATCGCCATAGACAGTCGATCCACGAAATTATGAACCTCGTACGATGGAATTGCCCCTGAGCCGTAGAGCACAGCGATGCACTAAGAACCGCTCGGAGCATTCCACCGACGTCTAGCCCTTGCCATGGCGCGATGCACCAGACAGAGTCATAGAGATGAACAACACTTATGGCTGAGAGTCGCCCAACTCTCGATGGAGCTCTGCACGACACCCTCCAGTGTATTCAGTTCGACTTCATCCTCGTTCATGCGAGATTATGCCAGCATGAATCAAACGTCATAAACTCTTGAAGAGCCATCATGCGCTGTTGTGCTCTTTGAACGAGTAAGGTAGTATGAGAGCTCATAGAAAGGTGCCCGTGTGTCAATAAGAGACGGCAAGGAATCGTTTGCCAAAACACACATTGTGCAGGCCCAGATTGAACGTCCAGGAGCCTTTAGCGCTTAATGCTCTCCAGAGTTGAGTCATTGGACTCAAGACGACAGTCTGTGTTGATACAGTAGTTTCCTCTGGATCTTGTGTACTGTAGGCTTCGCTGCATGCGGAGTCCGTTCGATACCAATGACTACATGGCGGAGAAGTTGTTGGCCCAGCCCAGCGGGCCAAAGCCTTCAAAGCCAGTGAGCTGGGCATATTCTCGATTGTTTGTCTCCCACTCGAAGAAGTTCTGCAAGTCATCTAGATCAAAAACAGGCTGCTCAACGTCACCGCCTGAAGCATCATGGTTCAGTGCAAGCCCAAGCTGCCCTGGTTGTGTTGCCAAGTCCGCGAGTGTTGCAAGGCTCGATGTTGTTGGATCGTTCGTTGGCGTCGGATAAGCATATTCACTCGCTGTTGACGGAGATTGGCCGCTAACACTAGGTATGGGTGGCAAAATGCTAATTTGTGCGTTTCTTTGCGCCGATTGAATGTCGTTCAAGTTGGGATCGGAAGCTTCGATAGCTTGCTGTACTTCGGTACGGACTTCTGATGGTTCCTGTGGCGCGATGTATGTACTCGCTTGGCCCCGTGCGAGACCGGAACGCACCGTCTCTAGCCAACGTTCCGTGGTGATGTACAGGGGCTCCGCCAAAGGGTACATCAAAGACATCTCTCGCAACGCCTTGTTGTTTTGTTGCACTAATTCCACTGTGCGAGAAATAACGGTTCTTGAGTCCGGCTTCGAGTGGTCCAGAATTCGGGCGATATGGTAAAGCATGATACGATTGCTGTTGTACACGAAGGAAGGCAGAATCGGGTCTGCGAAGTGCTTGATACCATGCTGCAGTACAGTTGCCACCAACACTGACATGAGTTGAGCATGCTCAAAACATATCATCTGTAATCTCGACATAAAAGCTTGCTGTTCGGGCGGAAATTCGTATGGTTGCTGGTTCCGGTAAAGATCTGGTAGGGCAATCCGATGTATGTCGCACAAAACATGGTGATACATGCAGTGGTTGAGGAAAAGAGCCCCTAGCTGATGCGACTCGCGTCGAATGTAGATGTTGTCGGCAGAAAAGTCTAGCCAAGATGGTAGACTTGCTTTCCAGGACTGGACCTCCTCAATTAGTTGTGAGAACTCTGAGCCGGGTTCCCACGGAGGTAGCTCTTCGTTCATGTGTTTGGAAAATCTATTGGATCAGCACCGAATCGACACTCAGTGTGCGAGAGAACTTACCTCAGGACCCGTCGCCATATGCTGACGATACGAACGTAGTATGCTGCCATACCAAGGTTGTCCCTTGGTTTCTCAGGCAGATCGGATTTCGAAATGAAATCCAGGGTTTGGCCTTCCTCGAGTCTTTCGGTTACCACGGGTATCTGTAATAAAAACTGTCGCTCGTTACAGGGTAGCTGTATTTTGATGTCCTTCTCGTTCAAAATGGTCAAATGGTCGACTCCACTGCCTGCCCAGACGTCCAGCATGTAGCAGGCCCACATAAGCCTCCTTTGACATTCTTTCACCGAGGCTTCATTTGGACCTTCTTTCTTGCATAAGATATCTGTGGAGGCCTCGTTGTTCAGCTGCAGCGCATGTGCCATACGTATTACCAAACCAGTAAGTAAAAACGATCCGGCATAGTTGCCAGTTCTAGCTTCTTGGTCGTGAAGAAGTATGAGGACCTTCAGCTTTGTTGTGGAGATGGTACTGTAATCAGCGAAAAACATCTCTTCCGCGATTTTGGCCCATTGCGTGCCAGCGTTTTGTATTAGCTCTTTCGACAATGGCGCAAAAGACTCGCTGTATTCCAAAGCATAGAATCTTGCACCAAGCGCACACATGATGTGTAGTAGGGCTTGGCCTGAAGTATCGGTAAGCTGGCCTTCATCAAGCATCCGCATGAAGGTCGGCTTGTGCTCAAAAGCAAAGACTCGAATTGGCTGAACATTGTTGAAGTAGGCTTCGAGGAGGGTGTGCAGTCGTGCTCTAGGAGGTAGTTCTTGTGCGAACAGCCTACGCACAAATCGATCAGCGATGCCAGTAAAACAGAGAAGATATTACTTACCAGGTCAGCCCGGGCGGGCAATTGACGCTTGCCAGGTCCGTTGGTGTTGAAGAAAAAGCATTCCTCGGTATTTGCTGGGTCTGCGTCGATAAACTCGTCTCTGGACTAGGCACAGCGCTCGAAGTAGTAGACACGATGCTCTGCACCCATGCAGGTTCATTGGTCTCTGCATCGAAAACGCAGGTAGTCAATCGTTGCACACAGCGCGCACAGTTCGGCCTCTCGCCCGAGCATTTGACTTTCGAGTCTCGACAAGACACACAAGAGCGAAAAGTACGTTTGCGCTTGATCCCAAGCGGCTCCAGGACTGCGCTCGATCTCTTGACGCCTGTGCCGAGTGCACCACTTTGTACACAGTTCAACTGCAACCGTTCGCAGTTGAGGCACCCATCCGGTCGCTCATCGCACTTGACCTGCACTCAAATCAGTTCCTGAACTATCGAGCAGACAACAAAGCCTTTCTACAAATCCCAGATGAAATTGAAGATATAGACTCTTCGGCAGATATAATGAGGTGTGACATACCTTTCTGGCTCGACAAGTTGCACAAGCTGATGGTTAGTTAGCCGAAGTTCCCGAACCATGAATCTTGCTGTGTTGTACCATTCACAGGACGTCTACGCTGCTTCTTAGGCGCCGTATCTGGTAATGCAGAAATATCCGCCATTGGCTATGATAGCGTTCGGCTCGTCGCTGAGTAGGAACTGCTTGTTCGCAGGCAAAACATTGGAAGGGTCATCGGCGAGCGTTCGGGCAGTCGCGTCTGGCCTGCTTTTGGTGGGGCGGAAAAAGACCGAATGACGTGATTCGACGCAATCCGCCACGTGATGCTGGTGATAACGCAGTCTGTACGGAACATCGCTTTCGAGAGTCTGGCAGATTTGGGTACTGTAATATGTATGGCAGATACTTGCATTTGCTGTAATACAGAGTCCGAGCGTTTCGTACTTCGTGGATCCCCCTTCTCATAGTACCAACACCTCAGTATCAACACCTCACTGCTCATCTGAATCGCTGCTAGTCAACAGGCTTGAAGAACTTACTCATTGCGTAGTCGTCACCAATACGCCTACTTAGATGATCTCTCTGATATGTCTCGTGAAGGCTTGGACATCGACATGCCAGCCATTGCGAATTCACTTACGAGGCTTGGAGAGCAGTGTCAATCTCGCTAAACGGGCTCTTTTGAGCGACTGGGTTTTGGAGACAGAGCAATGCATTATGATTCATACCCTTGACAGACTAAGTATGGTATCCGACCGAAACTTACATGCCCATAGTTACGACGTATATGTCCCAATTCTCGTTCTTCCCCTCCAATCACGGTCACTCCTATCTTCTTCCATGCACACTGGCAAAAGCCTGTTGAATACACAGGTCGCACGTCATATCTAAACCATATTTTAATAACATCACACATCACACATCACACGCATGTACAAGGCACTATATATGTTAAGCACTTTTACTCAATTCGCGCAGCTGTGCGCTTCCAACCGCGCCAGAACGCCATCTACTATGCTAACCCGGATGCAAACTCCCAATACGGTACATACATCAATCGTGCCAACCATCTCGCTTCTGTCTTGGTATCCTACGCGTCTTCCATTTCAATATCCTCCTCGGCCTTCTCCTCGATCCCGGGCAACACGCCGCCCTTGAGCGGATCAATGACGTGCACGGGAGCGAAGACATCGAATGCGCCTGTGCCGATGCCACCGAGCTTGCCGACGACGATGCGGGCCGAGGGGTTCTTAAGATCGTCCCAGTCGCGCTCGAGCACAGCGTCCTTGAGGAAGCCGACAGTGGTCTCGAAAGACATCTTCATGAACGGACTGACATTGCCCTTTAGACCATTGCGGTTGAAAGGCGTGAAGCCACCGCCCTTGGTCATTGTGTCGGCGATGAGGTTCAAGTGGCGCTGGTCGACGGAGATACCATGACCGCTGAAGACAGCGTGCATTTCGCGTACGATTGTCGCTCTGCAAGCCTCGACACCGTAGAGCTGCAGCATTGCGACGATGTCGTTTGTGAAGACGCGGTTCACGTCAATAATGTCGTGAAATTCGCGAATAGCGAGAAGATTGGATCCGTCGGTAATAACTGCAGGGACATTGATCTTCTTGCCATTCGCGTCCTTGCCTTCCTCCTTAGACACCATCGCGGAATTGATGCCAGGGATGACGTGAATGGTGGCAAATTCGGCGGCGGTCTCCACGTGGTGGAGGACAAGAAGCTTGGGCACTGTGAGGGGGAACTCGAAGGTGATCTCACAATATCCACCCTTCTTGTCATCGAACTTGAAGTCGAAGATGTCGGCGTTCTTGTTGATGATGCGATCCTTGCGGATATCGGAAGCTTCGTCTGTGGGTACGAGGAGCTGCTCGTCGTCCGATGAGTCCTCATCTGGGTTAGGGCTTGTGTCGCGCGAAGGCTTAGCGCCGCTACTATACGCTTCGTCTTCGTCGCTGGTAGCCTCGTCACGATCGAGTGTGTCGTTGAAAGCCTGTTCCTCCTCCTCAGGCTCTTCGTAACCAACACTGTCCTCCCTGCGACCGCGCTGCTTAGCATGTGTGGTATCGCCGTCTCCTTCACCATCATCACTGTCATCATCATCTTGCCCCCCCTCGCGACCAGCACGTTCATCATCAGCCACAACTTCGTCAATAGCGCGGCTTGATTGCCCAACCTGGGGCACTGATGCGTTCGCGGTCGACAAAGACTTGTTGTCCCCCTTCTTCTTCAAGTCTGCGCGCATGATCTTCTGCAGACGGGGACAGAACTTCTGCTCGATCGACTCGACAACATCGCGGACCTTGATGGCGTATTCTTTTGTGTACTCCTCGGCCGGATACAGATCAAGTCGGATCTTGTATGTTCTCGCCTGACTAAACTGTGTACCAGCGCCAGATGACTCGGTAACTGTGACCTCGTTGAGAACAGCGGAGAGTGGCAATCGAGTGATACTCTTCGCAAACTTCTCCTGATGTTCTTTGGGAAGCTCGGGATGGGGGTACATTGTCATGCCAGGTGTGGAGATCTTTGCTGAGGCGGTCATGACGATTTCACGAAGACGTGGAATACCAAGCGTGACGTTCTTAGCCGAGTGACCAGCCAAATGGAAGGTGTTGAGCGTCATTTGCGTCGAAGGTTCACCAATAGACTGACCAGCGACGACACCGACAGCCTCACCAGGCTCAACAAGGGAGCGGAGATACTTAAGGTCGAGCATTTGTTCGAAGCTCTTCTTCAAAATCTCGCCCTCGGGATCCTTTTTCTTGTTCTTGAGCAGCTTGTCTACATTGCTGTCGACATACTATGCAAAGTTAGCCTTTAACTAAGAAGGGCGCATCAGGCAATCACTTACGTCTTTCTTAGCCTGGTAGAACTTTTCAGAAGTACTACCGCTATGACGGCTAGGCGCAAAGACAGCAGTAACAGGGTCTATCGCGCTGACATCCTTCTTTGCCTTCTTGACAGCCTTCTTGTTGTGATCAGCCGCATCTTGGCTGTGTACCTTGCCGAAGGCCTCTTGTGTGTTGAGAGACTGCGCAAGGGAGAGGAAGTTTTGTGCCTGAAACTTGAAGTCGTTGAGATATTTCTGCTTGGTGATGTCGAGACCGTCTTCACCGTACAGGAACTGTACCATACTGCCGTCCGAATCACGTACCGAGGTATCGTACTCGACCTTGAGGCCCTCCATGCCCTTGATGATACAACGCTGGAGGTAACCGGAACGCGATGTCTTGACAGCGGTATCAATGAGACCTTCACGACCAGCCATCATATGGAAGTAGTACTCCTGAGGACGTACACCAGTCAAAAAGCGATTGACAATGTACCCACCAGCACGGACGCTCGTTTCGTACGGCTTGAAGCATGGTAGTGTCTTTCCACTGACCATGACAGGGACACGACGTCCTTCCAAGACCTGCTGACCCAGATTACACGAAATTTGGTTGGCGTTGACCAAACTTCCCTTTGCACCAGAGCCTGTCATGGCCTGCATTTGGTTCTTGGGGAACAACTTGATGAGCTTGTGTGGCAAACACGCCTGTGTGACTGCAGATGAGACCTCCGCTGTAGCACTGTTGGATAGCAGATCTAGACCGTGCTGCTTGCCATCGTCCCGCAAGACACGCTCAAGACGTGTTTGCAGCTCAGTGTTGGATGACTTGATCTTCGTCGAGTCCAAGCTGACATACTTGGAGGCGACCTCAAAACCAACGTTTTCAGCTGCTCTCAGCTTCTCCAGACGTGCCTGGTCTCCCTCGGCAGTCAAGATCAGATCTTCGACACCACAAGAGAAGGCGCGCATATGCAGGAGCTTCGTAAGCATGCGACCAATGATACTGAGAGCGCGGCCAGCGATTGTCTCGCCGTAGGCCTCGTAGATGCCATTGATAAGACCGCCTGCGGCAGGACCGATTTGGCTCTTGTCAATGATACCACATAGTAGCTGGCCATCCTTAACAATGACCTGTTGCTCCTCGCTATTTTCGCCCCAGAGACTGCGGTTCGTCGAAGATTTTGACTCGAGAGTCAGATCCTGGTACTCAGCGGGCTTGATGTTCTTGAGAACGGAGGTGAAAATCTGCTTACCGGTCCACAAGGGCACCGGCTTATAGATGGCAGGCTCAACGGTTTCGAGTCTCCCAGACGTGGTATGACCATCTTCAGGCCGTAGGGCCGCGTACATCAATTGTTGGTACTCCTCGCGCGTAAAGAAAGTGTCCTTATTCGACAACCAAACACCCATGGAAATATGATCTTGAATGAGACCACGCAGCGGCTTTCCTGCTGTCGCTGAGAGATACTGGTGATCGGTGTCGGCGATTGTCATAGCTTCGGCGCGTGCAAGTTCGTTTTGTGGGAAATGCATGTTCATCTCGTCGCCATCGAAATCGGCGTTGTAGGTATTACAATTAGCGTAGTGCATGCGGATTGTCTTCTCGCCGGGTAGAACGCGCGCTCTATGCGCCATCATCGACGGCTTGTGCAGGGTTGGTTGACGATTCATGATGACAACGTCACCGTTGTTCAGATGTCGGTGCACTTTCTTGTTCTTGGAGCCGTTCGAAAATGAGCTTGACGGTGCGAGCAGCTGGTTAGCCAACGCCAATCGCTCTTCGTAATTCTTCTTCTTGAGAGTAACGACCTGGCCGAATTCATTCTCAATCGCCATAGCACCAGGCCATTTGTCGGGACCGTTCAGAACTGCTTCTTTCATATCGTAGAAGTTGTGGTTGGTCACGGGCTCAGGGAAGGTGAGCTTCTTAGCGAAGACTGGGGGTACACCAATCTCGTTTGTCTCGATGTTAGGGTCGGGTGAGATGACCGAACGAGCCGCGAAGTTTACACGCTTTCCCATCATGTTCTTGCGGAAAAGACCCTCCTTTTTCTCAAGATGCTGCTTGATACCGTCGGCGTTTGTGAGACCAGCCTTGCCTTGCACTGGGTTGGCGTCACGATCGATCACAGCATTGACGGCGCCCTGAAGATTCACCCAGGTGTTTTGAAGATCGTCAAAGTTGCGGCGCTTGTATCCTGCTTCGTTCTCTTGACCCTTCATCTCGTTACTGATCTGGCGCATGGAGTCGCAAGCACTCAGAATTCCCTTGTACAGACTGTTCTTGGGCGATTCGGCAATTGAGTCTCCAGTCTTGTCTTCCATCCTGTACCTGTTCGGCGGCACGATGATAGCCTCCATGAAGAACATGTCAGGGCTGACATTGGCTGAACCATACGGGCTGTAGATCAAGCGGAGCATCTCAGCCTCCTGTTCAAATAGCAAAATCATTGCTGCCTTCACTTCTGCTGCTGTAACATACTCCTGTGAGCTATCGGCAGCGTCTGTGGCAGTTCTGGTCTTTTTCGCCGTGTGCGCTTCGGTGGCTGTGAGCGACCCATCATCCATGTCGATATCGATGCCATCGTCAGAGTCCTCCTCGGTCATGTCGGCCAATCCCTCGTCATCGTGAACGGTCTGTTGCTTTGACTTTGCATCTCGTCGCGCGAGAACATCGAGTGGGTTCTGGAGACGTTTCTCAGACTGCGCCATCTGCGCCTTCTCCTTGCCGCTCAGGTTCCTGCGGAAGATCTTGATGCTCTTGTCTTTGCGGTATGTGGGGTTGATGGCCTGGCAGTTTCTGCACTTCTTGCCTGCTACGATAGCAGCGTAAAACTCCTTCAAGACCAGCCGCCTAGCTTCGGCAATGGTGTCGTTCTTCTCCTTCACAGACCGCACCTCATGCTTGGAAATGCCCGCACGCTTCAAGCACCTCTTTACGTAGTTGTTGCGCTGGCCTACAATGTCTTCGTTGTCGTCGTCAGACTCAGACTCGGCAACATCCTGCTTCTTCTTGCCCTTGTTCACGTCGATGAACTCGTGCATCTCGTTGGCCTCCTTGACCAGGCCACATCGGATTAGACGCAACCGCGAAACAAACTCATTGATCTGCACGCGAGCGAGCTTGAGGTTGTGGCAGTAGCCGCACTTGCCTCGCAGCAGGCGCAGCAGCTGGTCCATGAATGTAAGGTGGTATACAGGCACGGGCAGCTCGATGTGCCCGCAGTGGCCGGGGCAGCCGAGCATGGTGGTGAGGCCGCATGTCGAGCATCTGGCGCGGTTAGTCCAGATCGCAGTGCGTGAATGGCAGTGCTCACGGGTTGTCAAGGAACGCGCCGAGGGCGGCATCGTGCAGGCCGCCGGAGACCGGGTGCAGCAGCGAGTCGAAGGTGGTCGGGTTGGTGATGCGCTTCACCGAGAGCGCTCTCACATCCCTTGCAGAGAGGAAGCCGAACTCGACGCCCTCGATGGCCGAGGAAACGGGTTGTGTAGTGTTCATGGTCGCGCCTGCCTGCGAACCCGCGGTCGTCTATTGTACATGCGCCGGTGCAGCAATGCGCGACTTCAGCGATCGGGCGAGGCGAAGCTTGCAATTGCAGCTGCAAAAGATTGTCTCGAAAAAATGCGGGCCCACCCCGCTAGCGTGCACGCGCCAAGAGCGATGCCTGCGCTAGCGACTGAAGTCCGTTACACGCATTCATCGACGCGCATCGAGCTGTGATCGCCCTCATCGTCGCCGGTCGTGCCTGCCTCGAATTCACCGTCACTTCCTCGTCCCGGTCTCCGCAAGACAGCACCAGACCCTGGCCGTACAAGAGTCATCGCCACGTCATTCCCAGAGCGCGTCCATCACCCCCGAGAACTCCGCAATTTCATAAGGAAATCACCGCCTTCAACATGGTCGAGAAGCGCCCCGCCGCTGAGATTGCCGCCGGCGATGCTAAGCGCGCCAAAGGTGCAGATGCCATTGCAGCTGCGAAAGCAAAGGCGGCAGAGATCGCTGCGCGCCTTGCTGCGAGGAAAGCCGGCGCGCCTCCAGCGGCAGCGCCCGCGCCTGCGGCGGCCTCCAGCGACACGCAGGACAGACTGGCCGCTCTGAAGGCGCGTATGGCGGCAATGAAGGCTGATAAAGCTCCTGCCAAACCCGACCCATCAGAGCCTTCTGGACCGCGATTTGCAACGACGCTGGGCAACCGCCGTTCAGAAACACCAATCGTCGACACAAAGTCCAAGCCCGTGGTGCAAAAGGCAAAGGAGACGCAGGATGAAGCATCGTTCAACCCATACTTCGATCCCCACGCTGCCAGCCAGCCAGGTGCGCGGACAAGGGTGTCCAAGCCGTTGCACTTCAACGAGCATGGAAAATACCTCGACCAGGCTTCCAAGCTCCGAGCGCAGGGCCGTCTGGAACAGATCAAGAAGATGCTGGCCAAGCAAGCGCGCCGTGCGGGACTCGATGAGAACAGCGAACGCGGGTTCATGGTCGAGCAGCCGCCAGATATCGAGTGGTGGGATGAGGGCATTCTGAAGGACAAGACATACGACTGCATCGATGACCCTGAGAAGGTCATGATCGACACCGACGATTCCATCATCACACTCTACGTACAACACCCGCCGCTGCTGAAGGCGCCACAAGACAACCGCCTAATCGAGGTCAAACCACTGTATCTCACAACAAAGGAGCAAGCCAAGGCACGCAGGATGCGTCGCAAAGCTGATCATGAAGAGATGCAAGCCAAGATTCGATTGGGCCTTGAACCGCCTCCACCACCCAAAGTCAAGCGTGGAAACATGATGCGTGTCATGGGCGAACAGGCCATTGCCGACCCCACCGCTGTCGAAATGCTTGTCGAACAGCAGATTGCGCAAAGGCAGAACGACCACGAGGCAGCCAACGAAGACCGCAAACTAACCGACGAGCAGCGTCACGCAAAGCTGGAGAGGAACCAAGAGAAGGACGCCCAAAAAGGTCTTTACCTCTGTGTGTTCAAGGTTAATACACTAGCCTACGGCAAGCACAGATACCAGATCGACATGAATGCGAAACAGCACGCGCTGACTGGCCTCACGCTGTTCAACCCTGATCTCAACCTGATCATTGTAGAAGGCGGTCTTCATTCGATTGAAAAGTACAAGAAGTTGTTGCTACAGCGCATCAAATGGTCTGAGAATGCCGAGCCCACAGAAATCCAAATTGAGAAAACAGCAAACGACCCGCAGTGGATGAAGAGCCTCGACGCGAACGGCAACCTCAAAGATCACTCGCAGAACAAATGTACGCTGCTCTTTGAAGGCGAGGTCAAAAACCGCGCGTTCAGGAAATGGGGGTCAAAGATGTGCGAAACGGCGGGTGAGGCACGCGAGATTCTCAGCAGGAGCAAGTTGGACAGTTTGTGGGCCCTCGCAAAGAGTGTAGACTAGGGAAAACAAAGCGTCCCCCAACGGCAGCTGGTGACCTTCGCATTGATTACCCAGGTTATCCCCCGTCCAGAGAGGTCGAGAACGATGTTGTAAGTCTACCTACTCAATCTCCATAGATTTGAAACCGACATATTAATACAACTCTTGTCCGCGCAGCTACAGATGCAAGTAAGTGCCGCCTGCCCATATCGACCTCTTGAACATGTCCAGCCCTCGGAAGCTCGAGTGCGCTGTCGATCTGTCTGGGATATGCATGCATGATGTGAAGTCGTGAGTGACAACACCGCTGCCTTCGCAGCCGCCTTCGTGCAAATATGACAGATACTAAGAGGTAGGTGCATCACAGATCAGCAGCTTACTAAACCCCTCCACCGTGGGTCTTGCTTAAGTCAACAGCAGCTCGCCAAACTTTTGCTCCGCAAAGTAAGGCTGGTAATGCTCTGGCTCGGACGAGTACGGTTGCTAATTTGGCTGCGAGAGTAACCTGGTGAGGCGCCGTGAGTGTACTGTACTGCTGTATCCGCCGGCACCAAACCACCGCCAAACCAATAGCTGCTGCGCGACATAGCAACAAAAAAGGGGGAAAGATTCATTTTGAAACACAGGACTGTAGAGAAAATACTGCTATATAAGAGTCTCTTCTTGCACCTGTAGTTTTGTGTTTATGTGATTGCAGGTAAAGAGCGTCACCTCTCCCCGGTCTACTTCAAGTGAGAGTCCACTGTCGAGGTCAGCACGCGGTCAGCTCTCCATACTCCCAGCTGCCACGAACGGCCTCTCTCTTCTTCACAAACGGTGACATGGCAGGACCACTGCTGATCCATCAGACACGGATGAAGTTGAAAGCGTAAGACAGCGCCAATCAGGAATGTACGAAAGGATCGATCGACCCGGACGCGATATCAAGGTGCTGAATCCAAACATCCAAGAACCTCAGTGCGTTCAACAGCATGGCGTCTTGCTCGTATTAGAGCAGTCTCATGATTTGGGACTCTCGTAGTCCGCACTGTTAGCGAGGATTCGAAGCAAATGCTCTTGAAAAGCCCTGAAGAACTTTTTGCTCTGGCCAGCTTTGTAGACGTTTCTTTCAGAAGAGCAGGTAGATGTCTTGATGGAGCATATTGGCCGCCTGCAAGGCGTGGATGGAGCAGAGAGCCCTGACGTCTTCACGCTCAGCGTTAAAGACAATCAGACACACACAACTACGGTGTGCGGCACATCCAATTCGTGTGGGATCGGGGCTGATTCTCTGCGAATTCGAGATCGTGCAAGAAGGATTCCTTCCTGTTCAGGTAGAAACTCTGGGCGAGATTCAGCACCCGCACGAAGGCCTCGTCACCCTAAAGTATCTATTGGGCCGCGACATCATATCGATGATCATGTCCATGGACCTCGCAACCGACTTCCCCGACCTACAAAACCCGCCTGGTTTCGAAGGCATCCGCGGTATCCTGGTCGTCCCGCTGTGTCTTGGCGGCAACGAGTTCATGGTCTTCCTCCGCGACGCGCAACCCACACTGGTCAAGCGAGCCAGCAAGCGCTCTATATTGACCCTGACCAGCGCGGCAAACAAGGCTGCAGAGCCCATATGCGAAAAGTGGAGCCCGGATGAGATCGAAGTCGCCTCGATCCTGTGCCTGATCTCAGAGAAAGCCAACCAGATACACCGGCTGCAGCAGCGAACCACGCTCCACGGCGACACTATGGCACAGCTGCTCCTCAGCAACGCGGCGCACGAGCTATGCACGCAGCTCAACGCCGTCATCAATTATCTCGAACTTGCGAGGGACTCACTGGGCCCAGATATTAGGTCCTATCTGACTCGGTCGTACGTAGGCTCTAACAGTCTGACTGCTGCAATCAATAAGTTGCTGGGTGCTGACAGGTGAATCGTTAGCCAATGCGAACTGCGTACGAGTGCGAGCCCGTCCTCAGTCTAATACGTCTTGTCACTGCTGCTGCGAGTGCCTCCACTCCCTTGCCCCTGCAGACCACTGGCACCGCAATCATTGCTGTAGCTGAGACAAGCCGCAGAGCCCCAACTTCCAGAGCCGCGCGGCGTGTTGGATTCAGGCGGCTTGGGTCAGCGCAGGGGCGTCATCACAGTCGCGGCAGCCAAGCGCCGGGCGTTCACGCTGGACGTTCACGCTGGATGTTTACACGGCACGCAACACAGCACAGCACAGGTAGTAGTAGTGAACGATGTATTGCTGAACAGCGCAGAGCAGAGCGTGATATCATCCCCCCAACGCCGAGCAATGCAGGCGCGGCCCCGCCCCAAACCAACCGAATCTAAACACAACACCCCCACCCCTCACACATCTACAAATACTTCTTCGGCGCGCCGCCGCGCCTCTTCTTGTACACCAGGTATGCGCCCACCACCATGACCTGCACCGCGAACGCGATCGCGAGCAGACTCATCCAGCCCAGCCCGTGTTGCTGCACCACCGCCTTGACCACGTTCGGGATGTCCTTGTGGTTGTCCTCGAGCCGGCGGTGCATCGCCGCGAGCGCCTGCTTGTAGTCCTTGCTCTCGAGGTCGCGCAGGATCTGGGCGGCGTTGCTGGACGTGGCTTCGGAGAGGCGCACGCTGTGCGACAGGCGCTCGTCGATGGGGCCCAGGCGCGCCAGGAGCGCGTTGTGGAGCTGTTCGGACTGCGCATTGAGGGCCTCGATCGCGGTGTAGATGGACGCGACGTGGTGCGCGATGTCCTGGATACGGTTGTGCAGGTCCTCGAAGCGGTCGTTGTCGGTCTTGACGCTGGTGGCTAGCACGTCCTGGATCCAGGGGGGAATCGACTGCGCCGATGCCATCTTCTTAGGGGGCGAGCTCTGCTGCTGTGCATGTTGTTGCTGCGCAGAGCCCTGGTGCGGCTGGTTCTGGACGGGCTGCTGGTGCTGCTGGTTGCGCGAGTCGACTTGTTGGCCTTTGGGCTCTTCACGGGTGTTGGAGGTTGTGGTCGAGATGATGAGCTTGTGGACCTCGAAGGAATCGGGGTTCTCCGCCGAGGCGGCACTGATACCAAAGTAGTAGTCAGCGGGGAGTTTGACCTGGTGGAGGCAGTTAGCATTTGCTGAGGATATGTCTCCTCGGTTGACGCACCTTGTCGGTCTTGAAACAGGTCTCGTCATCTATAGTGACTTCGAGCAGGCCGTTCTTGTGGTGCAGCTTCAGCTTGCTGAGAAGTCCGCGATTCCTGTATGCGTGGTCGCACTTCCCGAAAGCCAGCTGGTCTGGGTTCGGGTGTGATTTGAAGTCTATCGTCCCGTCGTTCAGGAAACCCCGCACTGAGCCCCCGTGGCCCTCGTACTGATCTATAACAAGCACCAAGCCGTCGAACTTGGGCGTGGTGTACAGGCTGTTTGGCTTCTCGTGCGCTTGGCTCTGCTTGACATACCAGAGCTGCAGGTTTCCACCTCCTCGCTCCATGCCTGTCGCCCGGAAGTCCAGCTCCGCCGTCCACTCGCCAATGTGGTGCATGGGATCGATCGCCCATAGCGCACCGCGCTTGCTACCCGGGTAGGGTGGTGTGAGGATAACGCGGTCAGAGAGGATCTGGGGCTTGTAGTCGTCGACGCCCTGGACGTCGAAATGCGGAATGGCGCGCAGGTCAGGCGAGATGTAGACGCCATCCTTGTGGCCGAAGCTGAGGTTGTCTATGATATGCTGTGCGCGCACTGCGGAGAGTGCCAGGGTGGACCAGGCGAGCGTCTGAAGGGTCCGTGGGGTTATATACATGGCGGCGGCAGTGCTCCTGGGAGCTAATCTTCGCGATTATACTGGCGTGATTGGTTACACAGCACTTCAGTAAAGATAGTCTGAGACCAGTTAGTACGTGTTGCGCGCGTGGCCACCAGCATCAGCACTCACAACAGATGAAAGTAGCTCCGCCCGCGTTGCACGAAGCCGCATGCGACAATCGCAAGGATTAGCAGACCGGTGCTAGGACACAATTGGGTATCTTGAAAGAGACTGTAGACAAACAGACACAGGCCGCCAGCTGGGCAAAAAGCGAATTTAGGATTATCACAAGTGATGTGTATGTTCGCGAGGTTATGGACAGCTGGTGTCTTGGTCTCCGACTGCGACATGGTGGCCCAAGCTCGAGCTGGTTGCAGAGCTGCCGCGGACAGCGAATATATGTTTCAAACACTGGAAACCCGACATTGTTTGGCGCATGGAGCGCGCGTGTGGTGGATCACATCGTAGACCTTGGTCTATTTCAGATGCCAGCTTAGAAGGCCGGTCGTGCAAGCAAGGGCGGCGTTGAGCGTGCCTTCCTCGTCGTAGAGCATGCTCTGGCCAATCGGCGAATCGGCGGCAAACTTTCGACGACTGTCGACTGCATCACCATCCTGACGCCTCATCGCCCACCACGACTCGCCCGCCACAATCCTCCCACTCGCCCTCCGCCCACATCCACAATGGCCGCGCCCGACCCAAAGGAAGCATGGCAGCGCATCCAGAATGAGCTCACTCGCCGCACCTCGCGCTTCGGCGGCGCCGGCGGTGGCCCGCCTAAAGGCACAGCAGGCGGCATCGCGGGCCTTGTGCTGCTCGGCGGCGGTCTCTGGCTGGCCAACAACGCGCTGTTCAACGTCGACGGAGGTCACCGCGCGATCAAGTACACCCGTCTCGGCGGCGTGAAGAAGGAGATCTACAACGAAGGCACGCACTTCAACGTCCCGTGGTTCGAGACACCCATCACCTACGACGTGCGCGCGAAGCCGAGGAACGTCGCCAGCTTGACGGGCACCAAGGACTTGCAGATGGTCAACATTACCTGCAGAGTGCTCAGCAGGCCGCGTGTCGACGCCCTGCCGCAGATCTACCGGACGCTGGGAACAGACTACGACGAGCGCGTGCTGCCGTCCATTGTCAACGAGGTGCTGAAGAGCGTCGTCGCCCAGTTCAATGCCTCGCAGCTCATCACCCAGCGCGAGAACGTCTCGCGCCTGGTCCGCGACAACCTCGTCCGGAGAGCCGCGCGCTTCAACATCATGCTGGATGATGTCTCCCTCACAGTACGCCGTTGCACCACTTCACACAAGCATGCTTACTAACACCACCCAGCACCTCGCCTTCTCGCCCGAATTCACCGCCGCCGTCGAGGCCAAGCAAGTCGCCCAGCAAGAAGCCCAGCGCGCCGCCTTCGTCGTCGACAAGGCCCGGCAAGAGAAGCAGGCCACCGTCGTGCGCGCCCAGGGTGAGGCCCGCTCCGCCGAGCTGATCGGAGACGCCATCAAGAAGAGCAGGACATACGTCGACCTGAGGGAGTTCGAGAACGCCCGCAACATTGCCCAGATCCTGCAGCAGTCGGCCAACAAGGTCTATCTCGACTCGAACGGCCTCGGCCTCAATGTCAGCCAGACGACGAGCGACAAGGAGAAGCGCGCAAAGCAGTGAGCGGGTGTGGTTCAGGGAGCGTGTACTGTATAATTACGAAAAGCGAGAAGCGCGGCTGCAAGCGGGAGGAGGTAGCTTTCCACTCATGTCTAAATACAGCATTCTGAAGACTATCATGTGTTTGTCTTCACGCAAAGAGACTGATGTGAGCAGTGTAAGCACCAGTTTGCTACTTTGATGTCTACACGAGTGAGGTCCGACGAAGTTCTGGATTGCATCACTTTTCCAGACCATCACACATGTCATGATAGGTCCCTTCGCGCTCGGTGACCCCAGCGTCATCGACTTGCTCATACTCGCCACTCTAACTAGTCTACAGAGGAACCTCCCTCTTCCTTCCTGCAGCACAAGACCCTCAAAATCCACGTGCCAGACCTCATCGGCCACGAAACCACTCCGCTGCGACTCCGCACTTCCCAGCCCTCACCAGCAGCCACCATACTCCCCCTTCGCACATCCTGACCGCCGTCCGTCCAACCACTCGCCGTCACGCCGGGGACGAACGCGCTGCTCCGCGCCGAGCGCCGCCGCCGACTCACCGCCTCCGCCAACGCGTCTTCAGGACCGGGTCCCGTACACAGCCCCGGCCACGCCGCCGTCTCCGAGGGCGCGCGCGCATGGTGCCCTGCGGCGGGCGAGAACCGGGACGCAGCGTGGGCGCGCAGCGCGCTGACGGGCGTCTTGCGCGGCTTCTGTTGAAAGAGGGGAAGGTGCGTTGAGCTGCTGGACGGGAGGGGGGTATAGCAGGACGCGAGGAGCTGGAGGGCGATGGCGTGGATGAGGGCATTGAAGGCTTCGGTGCCGGGGAGAGAGTTTGGTGGGGGGCAGTCGGAGTGTTTGAGGCGCGCGAGGAGTTGGCTTACAGTAGGGAGGGTCTGGGGCCTTGTTAGGTGTTGTGCAGATAGGGTACTAGAGGGGGGAAAGACTCGCTTCTTGAGGGTTTGTGCGGCGCGAGACCCAGAATTCGTCGTTTTCGCGGAGTGCGAGCCAGGCGGCGACTTCTTTCATGATGATGGTGTTGGCGGTGTGGCTGTCTGTATTGTCTTCTGTGTCGCTGGAGGAGGAGTCTGCTAATCGCGAGAAGACGTCTTCTTCGCTGTTTTCGCCGAAGAGCCAGTGGAGGTATGGGAATCGAGGTTCGGGGTCGCACAGCTGGTCAGGGAGAACGCTGATGCTGAGTCTGTCTCGTCGATTGCGTCGAGAGCATCGTGAGGATGAGGCCATGGCGTTTGTTGTCAGGGCTGCATCAACGATGCCGGTGGAAACAAGTAGGGTAACGATATAGGTGATGGGAAGATATAGAGGATGCGACACGTGGTCGGGCTCTCGAAGGCTACGTCGGTACGGACGGGGGTGCCGGTTTCCAATTCCGGGAGGTTATGTGCAATCGATGCAGGCGCTATGTTTGTTTGGAAAGCGCGACTCTTGTACGCAATTCTGTCTGCATTGTGATCACACTCCAGGGGGATTGGTTGCACCCTCTGCATCTCGACCTCCATCTCTTGGCTCTTTGCATGTCTGGGCCTGATGCCATCAAGTACCGCTCATCTCAATGTCGTTTCCCTCAGGTTGCATTGCTGCTGGTGCAGTTGCAGCCGCCTCAGCCACCAAACTCGACCCCTCTCCAGACCTGGAAACCGCGAGACGCGTTGAGTCTCCTCTCTTAGCCTTCGCAGCATTCAACTTCGCAAGAAAACTAGATGGCGGCGGTTCTGATACCTTCGCTGACTCTTGTGCGTCCCTCACGGTCTCCTCTGCGGCTGTGGTCTGTCCCTCCGCCTCTTCGACCTTCTCAAACACCTCGTCTCGCGGCCGCAGCCGTCCAACCCTCGCAATCAATTTGGTAGAACTCACAGCCAGCAGATCCACATTCGGCAACGAGCGCAGTGGCCCTTCGGACTCCGCTTCAGGATCCGGCTTCGCGAAGAACATATCCGTGCCAATTGTTGATGCCCATTGCAGACTCAGCAACTGACCATTATACATAACGAGCGGATTCTCAGTATGCAGACCAGTGATCTGAGCTTCTCCCACGATTCCCGGCTCCTGTCCGTTGGCATTTTCAACTGCCGGCGCGTCCTGCTGCTGGCCGCGCTGCGCGTTGAGAGCGCGGAGTCTGCTTTTTAGTAGTGTGGGATGGCCAGTTCGGCGCTCGTTGTCCACGTTCTTCTGGGTTCTGGGGACATTTGACAGGTCGATGGGTATGTAGAAATCTTCAGTCTCGACCTCGTCGTACTCGTATTCCCATTCGTCATCATCCAGAGCAGTCATCGTGCAGGTGATCGAAAGTGAGAAAGAAAGAGGTGTTTGCTTGGAGGTTGTTGCGGATTGGGAAAAGTGTAGTGCGCCAAGACTTCTCAGTATGGTGCTACTCATTGTAGCCACTAAACTGGCTGCTTCCTCGGGGTCTTTTTACAAGATTATATTATTATTACGTCAAACTTTCCCCATCAAATCAATCTCAAGCGTGGCCATTGGTCGCATACCTCCGCTTGGTGTAGTTGGTTTATCACGTTCGACTGTAATAGCTTAATTGTTATCGAAAGGTCCCTAGTTCGATTCTGGGAGCGGAGATATTTTTTGCTTTCTCGCATGCATAAGTCACATTTTTTATCGCAGCTGGGGCATGAAATGGTCTGTATCATCTGTACAACGTTTTGCAACATTCCTTGCTCGCTGGGCTTGAAACACCTTTGAAGAGATTGCATTGTGTGTTTAGTATCTACGTTCTGCCTTCATAGCCTGCTCGAGCAGCTCCTCAGAATCCCATCCATGCCCCCAAGGCGCTGACAGTTGTCGTGACGCCTTCCACGATGACTCCTGGGTTGTGCACCGGTCCACCAAACAGCATGTTGACGTATCCATATGCTGCCCGGTAGTCGTGCATGTCGCTGAAACCTTCGTTGAAGCCGACACCATTGGCGTGTTCCCAGGCCCAGAGCTTGTTTCCAACGTTCCACCACTTGTATGCGAAACAGATGACGAGGAACAGCAGGATGATGATGGACAAACCATGCGCGTAAGAGTGAGCTCTCTTCTTCGCGACTACGTTGATCACAACAGAGCGAGATGAGAACTCAAACGAGCAGGATGCGAGGTATACAAGGAAGGGCCGGGCGATGTAGGAAAGAAAGTCGTTCTTGCCAAATTCCAGGCTGACAACATCCATGCTGGCATCGGAGAATGTAGATATCGAGTCAGGCGTTTTGTATCCATACGTATCAAGAGGGGACATTTCTTGTGAGAACGCCACTGTGGAATTGGACCTTGAGCTTGCTGACTCGGTCTTCTCGTCAGTCTTCTCATCAGTCTTCTCATCAGTCATCTCATCAGTATTCTCGTCAGGCTCTTCGTCTGCCAGCGGCCATTTCTTTGAGAGTTGATCGAGAGCCGAAGTACCGGAAGGCCGAGGAAGGCCGGTGAAGGTGTCAAGTCGGCGATGTCCCGGCACGCTTGCTGCCTTGTGCTCCAGGCGGTTCAAGCGGTGGATAGGCTTCTTAGCGTGCGCGTTCGGGAGGATGAAACTACTGCCTGGGACCGACTTCGGGTGAACGTTAACAGCAGCACGATACGGCACGTTCAAAGAAAGAGGCTGTGCCTTTGGAGCTGCAGGCTCAACGGGTGAATAGTTGAGCATCTCTGTGATGTGGCAAGAGAGCTTCTGCGGTTCAGCGACTGATAGCGAGTTCGTCGCTTTGGCTGGAGAGTAGTCTAGAGGTGTGGAGACGTTTGAGTGTGCAAGAATTTGTGCTTCTGGAACTGCAACGTCAACCGGCGAATAGTTGTGTATCTCTCTGCTGTGTATAGAGAGCTGCTGCGATTCAGCCGGAGCAAATGAGGGTGAGAACGCTGGCTCGACTGGAGCGAAGTCTAAGCCTGTGCGGACAGTCGATACAGTGAGCTTTTGTAGTTGTCGAGGCGCTGGTGCAACTGGTGAATAGTTTAGCATCGCACTGGTGTGCAAAGAGAGCCTCTGTGATGGCGTTGTAGCAGCGGTAGTTGTCGGAACCATAGGTTCGGCTGGAGCGTAATCCAGAGTTGCAAAGACCTTCGATACATCCAGTGGCATGCCCGTGGGTTTTGAAGGCGAGATGGATACCACTGTATGCGTGGACAGATTCAGTTCTGGAGCTTTCGGCTTGGGCGAGATGACAGGTTCGTCGGGAGCACAAACCAGAACCTCGCTGATGTGAGACAGTGCGAGCGATGCACGGCTATCCTGTTCGCGGGGCGTCGTGGCTACAGCACCTCCGATGAACAATGACAAACTGGGCACAGCGACGTCCATAGAAGCGTGATTGATGACTTCAGACTCAGTGGACATGACGATGTCGGAAGAGGTATCGCTAGATGCGTCATACTCATCGCCAAGTTCATCGAACATCGACCTGTGATTGACGGCGGTAACATGAGGGAGTGTAGGCGGGCGGTCAACACTGCTGATGGTTGGCCTAAGCATCCGCTCTTCCATCAATGCATTCTCGAACTGCCTGTTTTCGTGCTCAAGAGTCTCGATACGTGCATCTTTGAGAAAAATTTCACGCTCGTAATTCTCAGTCTGCTGAGTGAACCCGTGAATCTCCTCTTGGAGACTGTAGACTTGACCTTGAAATTGTTCGGTGATCTCGCGTTTGACGATCTCTGCGTCTGCCAATGCATTGCGAGCTTCGATTTCGCTATTCTGCAGGCTCTGCAGCGCCAGCTGTGCTTCTGCAAGACGCTCTTCAAATTGGTTGCGATCGCGGCGGAGATCTTGACCCTTGAACTGTTCGTTTGTAAGATCGAAACGTAAGCCATTGTTGATTTCGCTGAGGTGCGAATATATTTTCTTTTGTCCTTGAAGTTCTTCCTCAAGCATCTTCTTCTCGGCCTCAAACGTCTCAATTTTTCCATTGAGTTCTTCGCATTCATCGGTTAGCATTGTGTTCTCGACGTAGATCCCGATGTTGCCTGCCCTGACGTCGTCCAGCTCCAGTTGCAGCTTGACATTGGTCTCTCTCACAAGGTTAGCCTCGCCACGCTCAGACTCGTAGGCTTTGGCAAGCTCGTTGAAACGGTCTTCCTGGGATCGGAGACAGTTTGCAGCATTCTGCTCAGAGTTGCGAGCTTCCTCACGAGCCTCCTCACGAGCCTCCTCTCTCACCCGTTGGGTCTCTGCGTCAGCTCGAGTCAGAGCGGCGCGCAGCTTCGACTCCCAAGTCTCATCGCTACTGCGTGCGTTTTCGGAAACAGCAAAGATTCTCTCATTGTACTCATACTCGAGTTGCTGCAGTGCGCGCTCACAATCGGCGTGGGCAGCGCTGGTGTCACCGGCGTTGTTTGGCGTGTTGTCCAGGAGACCCTTGCTTGTCTCGGGCTCCGCCTGCAACTTCCCGTTCTTCACCTTCTCCTCAATCCCCGGCTTCTCCGCTTCGCGAGTTTTTACTCTCACATTCTGCGACATGTTGTAAGAGTTGCGGAAGGTGGCAAGTGCCACGCGGGCAACTTTTTCAGCGGCTTCTGCGCGCTTCGTCTCCCTTTGAGCCTCCTGGACTTGAACCTTGGCATCGGATAGCGTTTGCGCTATGCCCTTTGCGTCTTCGAGCTGTCGTATGTTGCGCTGCAGTGCGAATTTCTCACGGTGAAGCGTCGCTATCTCTGTTCGCAAGTTTGCTTCCGTAGAGTTGAATTGAGGGAAGTTCACTCCCGAGAAGGAGAAAGCATTGGTTTCTGACATGATCTGGCGAAGTCAAGTCTGGGCAGACCGGGATAGAACAAAGACTTTGTAACAAGAAAGGCGTTCGAAGGTACTATTTGCAGGTCAAAGGAAGTTTGAGGAGGAAGAGTCATATGCCAGAAAGGTTAGGGGCCGTTTGCTATTGTTCGATGGGTTGAATAGGCAACGCTCGGTGAAGACGGCGCTCTGCTCTCGAGGTGAAGGCAAGCTTTCGCAAGTCCCTAGTCACCAAACACCACCCTCGTTCCTTGAAATAGGCCGCTCGTGTGTACCCTGCTTCTCCAGCCACCGATTGCTCTCGTCTCTTGCATCCATCTTTGCGAGTCTGTTGTCGCCATCGGACACCTAGGCTGACCTGCTACATGGCGCTCTGTGCAATACCAGCATTTGCCCGGCCTTCTTCCCCTCAAATGCCGGTCGTTCCCTTGAATGACTACGGCTTTTTTGACACTGTACACGGGGCCCTGGACCAGAGTATAGCCCGGGGACTCGAATGCATCGACATCGATCTTCTTGAGTATAGATGATTCAGCAGCGCTCCGCCACTGCTTGCCCACATATTGCATGTCTTCGCACACGACTCTGCACACCCGACATAGCTCCGCAATGCGATCGTTCACCCCACACATGTTGAAATATTCTTGGTCCGTAAGCAGTCTTCGCGATTCCGTGTGTCGCTTCCTCATATGTAGCTTCTTGTCGCGTGGCCCGAACTTGGTTTCCGGTACTGGTTGGAATTGATAGGACAAAAGAAGAATACATTGTCGAAGTTCTGCTGGAAGACCCAGAAAACTCGCACTGGGGTGTACTACTCCATGCTCTGTGCTGCGGAAGTCGATGTCGCGAGGCAGGATCCAAAGGCTTGGTGCGCGCTCGTTCTCGAGTTTTTTGCGCGGCGACGGTTTCAGTGACCGCAGAGAAGGCTGACTAAAGATGGAAAACTTCTTGTTTGCAAGCGCGTGCGGCCGTTGTCGCAGCTTCTTCTGATACCTGCGCTTTGCCGATCCAGAGGTGTCGGCCTCGAGATAGCGATGAGGTTTCATGAGTATGCAAGGCCGATGCAAAGCAGAGGATTTGAGTGTGTTTGTAGAACCCTGAGTATCGGCGAGCAAATAAAGTTACCTCTCAACGCTAGCGTTGATGGGTCCATGGTTGAGCACAAAATACTCCAGCCTTTTGATAGGTTAATCACTATAGACCATCTTTTACTGAGGCTGGAGTAATGGTTGTTAGCTACAACATTGAATTAAAGGTAGACCTCATATTACCGTCCTGCATACGCGTCATGAACTTTCAGAGGTTGCCTGCTGCTGTGACATGCTGGACTGACAGACCGACCACCCTGTATCGACCGTTAAACTGTAGTTTCAACACGAGCCCTTCGCTGGTACTGCAGTGGGGTAGAACGTTGACCAGGTCACATCAGTGAGTGAAACGCAGGTTGTGAATACATTAAATCAGATATCAGCAGTTCAGACGGGGTTCTTGACTTCGCCACAATTCGTACTGACACTCACGGCGAGATGTACTTACCTACCATATATTTCCACGATTAGGTTGGGCAAGTACATGTACGCTTTTGACCCTGCGGCTATAGGTTGCGGCTTCCATGACTAACCTTACCGGGCTTGCGACTAATCATACCACGGAGAGTAACGAGTAAGATGCTGGGCAGAACTATTGTTCATGCGGGATATAATACTTCATAACAAAACTCAACGAACAACTTCTCGTGAAGTCTGGAAGGCTCATGAAAGGCTCATGAACAGTATCCTGAATATACGTATGTGTTGGCCACCACATCTTTGGTATATCAATCGGCAAAGGAGTCGCTGCGCCCAAATACTGTTCTGCGCTCCCGGTCAAGGTCCCTATCTCCGACTGCGTACTTTTGCTGTACATTGGGATCGACCAGACGGGCCGTACACTCGTGTGAGAGGATGATCATTGCTTGGTATTGGGGTTGCGGTGCCAGAAAGGGACGGTGTATGAGCCCGTGTAACAGATCTCGATGTCAGGGGACACTTCTCGTCTGGGAGTGTGACTACCTCATCAACAGTCCGTTTTGATCAGCATCTTATCAAATAGTAAGACCGAGAGAAGAGACCGGTGGAATGGTGTTTGGTGTTGCGCAGTCGATCGAGTACCTGATTCAGTTGTTATACCGAGCGCCAATGCTTCGAGGTGTGCTTTACTTGAAGCGCAGCTGCGCAACTTGCCTTGCCGGCTCTGCCCAACCCGGTATTACCGGCGGCCCAAACCCTCTTGATGGACAGAACGTTCGGATCCGTAGCAACTATCGGCATATTTTTGGTTGGATTAGATTTCGCTACGGCTGTTGAACGTAGAATGAAGACACATGACGCAGACCCTGAGTGTCTGGCTGTATTGAAATGAAGTGTGACGGTAGATGCGAACCTACTACGAGCTAGGGAGGATGGCGTTGCACAACAAACATGTCCTACGTACTGCAGCTGCGCGTAATGTACCTTTTGTACACAGCGGCTGTGCGCTCGGTGTCACGTAACCACGTGCCATTGTCGTCGGTGCCTGAAGGAAGAGAGTCGTTGCATGACGGAAGGCCTCATCACCAGGGCAGAAGTCGACTAATTAGGGCCAGCCACGACATGGAGCATGAGAAGTGGAGTCTCAGAATCTGCGGCAGAAGGGAGCGATCCTATAGGTAGCGATTCTAGAGATTTCTGCATCGGCTGTTCGGTTCGAGGATGAAGCCTGCACCGGTGAGAGCAATTGCAGCCTATGGCGACGGCATCTTCTATAAATCTGTCGACGGCTTCCAGGGTCTAGGAGCGATGCAGAAATGCCCAAGAGAGCTCCTTCGGCTCCCACGCCATCGTCCGAGCTCGACTGAAGTCCGCACTGAGGACAGCGTGTTGAAGTTCGCGAGGCGGTGAGCGGTGTCTGACATAAGGTTGCTCAGAGCTAGCCCATTGGGCCTGGCAGATCCGCAGGGCTGGAACACACGCAATGCCTTCGCCGTCTTTGTTGTTGTAGGAACAGACAAAGGCGATCCCAGCACGCCGGTTGTGGTGGTTGAGATGATGCACGGTTTCGGGCGCTGGGAGAAGTATCTGCAACGGACCAAGCCGCCGCTAGCCGCTTCCGCTCTGCAACGAAGGGCAGTCACGACTGTGAGTTTCGACTGGAGCTCGTTCTGAGGTCCAGTGAAGCAGAATCTCATGCTTGTACTAGATATTAAAGGCTGCTAATGGCCGCTGCTGCAGAAGCCTGCCGATCGAAACGTGCTGTCATCAACGGAGGCGTGTCGCGGAATTTTGGTGGGCACCTGCACAGGTTGGTGCCCAACGCGCCACTGCAGTGGCCGGTCCCCACAGTTCTCGCCCACCTGAGCTGCCGCAAAAGCGGTGGTACCCAAACCGCGCGACGCCAGCTCGAGCTGTCCATTGAATGGGTACCTGAGGCCGCTGGCGCGCTGGCTTGTCAGAATAAGTAGATCGGGCGCCTCCGGAAAGGTGCAGTGTTTTCCTGCTCCTTCCTCGCTCTCAGAACGCTGCTCTTTCGCCCGACTCATCGCCGGCTGCTTCACGTTGCCGTTAGACACGATTGCTCCAGCCTTCGCGCCTATTGTCTGCTTGCTGCCCGACCGACTGACGTGCAGCCGCCCGCCGTTGTCGCCTACCGTCTCGTCCAATCGTGACCCCGCCATCGCTGCAACCGGCCTCCCAGACCCCGCTGACTTCGCTCTCGTCGCAAAGAGCCGCACCGTAACAGCGCGCAGAGCAGCTCTCCCCCGTTGCGTGCGATCCAAGCAGTAATCTGAGCGTGCGCAGCTGCAGTGCCGCGCCATCTTGTATACAGCCAGCTTTCCGTCGTGGCCACGACAGCTGCACTTGCACCCCACTAGGACGCTGCAACCTCTGTAGGCCACTGCTCCACGGTATCCCAAAACGGATCGCCGCAGCCGCGCATCACGCCCCCTTCCGAATCCTCCATCACAGGCCAGCTCGCTTGTGTAGGTATATTGGCTCTCACCCCCGCCTGGAACAAGCTTCTGGACATTACCGCCCCACGGAGCAACAGGAATTCTGTCATTGCCATCCGAGCTGACAGCCTTTGGTTCCGGTGCCCCTCCTTGTCCTCTTTGAGCCTGGCCCACCTCGACACTGACATCAGTGTCATCTTCTCTTTACTCTCCCTCTTCTCTCACAACTAAGCCATCATGTCGCGAGCCAACCAGTGGTTCGTCCTCGGCGATGGCATCGCACGAGAGGTCATCACGGCCGACATCCAGCGCTACCTTGGCCCGGATGCGCTTGTCAGGCCTGGCACAGGAAGCGGCGAATACCAGGTTGGACTCACTGCGTGCTATCGACTTCAGCTCGGGACTAACCATCGTACAGGGCCAACCGGGCTACTGGATCACTGCATACCGAACCCTCACATCGGTAAGTCCGACTGGGCAAGTCTCCGTGTAGAGGACAAGGCTGACATGCTGTTCACAGCAAATGATTCAGGATCTGAAGATGGATTCGCAGCGTTGGCAGCAAGAGCGGCAACCAGGCGAGGGACGCGGAGGTAGTCATAGTCCTTATCTTCGTGATACCAAGGTATCAAGAGGATCTGACGCAGTTCTAGCTTACCAAGATTCGCGTACCCACGCTGCGCGCCAGCACTGGGGTCCCTCGAAACCGGTCGAGCACCCCTCGGCCGATGTTTATGACCGCCAGCCTGCGCCCAGGGCAGGTGGTGCCTATACCTCAGCGTCGTACGCACCAAGCGAAGGACACTACACCACTGCGCCGGCCGGTTATAACACACAACCAGGTTACCAGGCTGCTCCATCCTCGGCTGCTCCAAGGACCGCGCCCGCGGACCCGTACTCCGGCTACTCGCAACGTGATCAGGGATACCAGTCTCAGCCTTACGGTTCTTACCCGTCACAGTCTCCAACAGATGCCTACGGCCGACCCTCTGCCGCTCCGACCGCCTATGTGACCCCAAGGTATTTTGGATACACCGACGACAACTTTTTGGTCTATCGCTAAGCCCCAGTAGTTCCACGCCTGCTCCAGGTTACTACATTGCTTCAGATGGTCGTCGTAAGTGCTGATACGTGCATGGGTGCTTTTCATCGCAACACTAACACTAATCTCCTAGAATACCCATTATCGTCGCAGCCACAGCCATCTTCCCGCAGTTCGCAACCTGGTGGATACCGGAAACACTAGGCCGGTGCTTACCTCTGATGACTGCGCAGTAACTGGATGCAGTCCTCCTGTGACTGCCTGGCATCAACTATTGTTCCTCCGTCATTTTCTGTGCCCGGAGATACCCTTCTGTTTCCCGGAGTTCACCTGGATATGATTGTTTTACTACTTTTATGGGCCGTTTCATACCCACAGGAGCCGTTAGGAGTTCATCGATTTCGTCCGAAAATGTCCCGGATAGATGCATGATTTTATGGATGTCATGGACCATCTCGGAAATGTCATAATGCAATCAATCGAAACTTAATGAATCATGGCCGTTTACCAACACCCTTCTGGAGATATCCGTGCGGAGTGCTCTCCCAATCAGGATCATGGTTTCCCCTTCACGGACCTTGTCATCATCTTACCAGATGAGTGTAGGCTTGCGTTACACAGCTGGATCATCCACGCGGATTAGCTTGCAGCTTGAGGCTTTGCTTTGAGCACGAAGATCCAAGGAGTAGTCTCAGCGCTCGCTCTACAATGTTGTTTCTCGGTGTTTCGACCTAGTCGTTTCTGCATGACTGCATACAGGTCCTGGATAGCTTACGTCTTCTTTGAATGTATTCACCTTTCGTAGGAATTTCCTGCACCCAAGCGGTATCTGTCCGGGTGGCTTTATGGCTTCCAATGAAAGCGTGGCATTCAGGGATTGGAGGACCCATATGATACTTAGTTTGTTAATGCTGTTCTCACGTAGGCCTTTCACATGTGCTGGATACATTTTTTCGGACCTTCACGCAATACATGATCAGATTTACAAGCTTTGTTCAGCCGCCATCGCCCTCGCCGCTCGTACGGTCAAGCGGCTTCTATCCCTTCGAATTGATCGTATTTCGTGCTCTGCGCCAGCTATATTTTCTCAACCCGCCCCACGCGACTGACTGACTCGCTAACCCGCTCGAGGCCGTTGATGACAGCCACACGTTCAAGCCTCGCGGTTCGACTGTCCTGGGTAAGAGCTGATTCAGTCGCGGCTTGAAGTTTTCATAACGGAAGGTGGCGAAGCATCAATGCCAAAAGCAACGCGCGACGATGGTACTCTACGCTCACGCCGAGTGTGCACAACACATTTGGATGATTGTTCTCGATTTGATCGGCACGGTCACCAGCCTCGACGATCGGCAGTCTCTCACTACCCATGTCTTAGCGTACACATTTTATGCCGAATTCCGATGTTGCCGCCAACGACAGTGCCGGACAAATCATGCGAGAATGAGGTCATTGTGTGGAAGTTCTCAGATCTTGTACTCAAGGGTCCCATCCCGAACACAATGCTGGTGATGGTAAGATCATACTGAACACGTGACCTCTTCGCACCACGACAATATGAGGCTGTTGTTTACTATGTATGAACGATGCATACGTGGATACACCGTCGGCGTAGATGACGACGATGGGCAGCGATGCAGCGGAAAGCAGGTCCAGATTCATCCTTCGCTCGGCTCGGGCCTTTTGCGACCGCCGAAAGTCCTGCCCAGATAGTTGATCTCAGCCACAGACGAAATCGCAATGTGTCCGTACATCACAGTACAGCAGCGGTCTTCGAATTGACTTTGGCAGTTCTAGAACAGCCTGGTCATTCTACATGCAGAGCCAAGCCCTCAATGGACTTTGTACGATCTTATCTTATCATGGCCTGCGATCAATGCTCTTTGCACTTACCTGAAGTAGTATGTAGGATAACTACGTCACCTATCGTGACCTTATCTGGACTTCCTTGTCGCCTTACAAGACCGTTGCATCTGTTTGGGATAACCTCGGTCCAGCTTTCCATGATCGTGATCATCACCGGTTACACTTTTCCGCTTCGTACGGCTTTCCACCGAACCCCACAAGCATGTAACCCTGAACGGCCGGCGCTCGACCCTTAAAGACATCGTACACCCCGCATCTTCTCCGTAACAAGCAACGGCAGTGTCTTCCGAGGCTTAGTCTTTGATAAACGCATGCCGGCGTCGGCCCCGGACAATTGGCATGCACTGCTCAATTAAAAGATGGAGCGCGCCGCCATGTTGCTGCGATTGCGCGTGCTATTCTTCAATTCATCACGATGGTCGCATTCTCGAGTTTGTGTGCTGCACTGACGTTGTTTGGGCATGGCGCCACGGCGCGGCGAGCTCTCACCAGGCGCAATAATACTGAAAGCTATGCGACAAACATGCTTCACGAATCCATGGATTGGATGGACATGTATTACGATAATGAGAGAGGCTACCTTTTCGACCTAGACTCGGCCGCATTGGTACATGACACCAGATCTAGTGCATGGTATGCAGCGGGCTTGTTGGCGAGAAACGAGGCAGACGACGTCGAGCAGGCGATGCGCGTTGTGACCAACATAATTGACGCGCAGTTTAAGAATGAGAGCCAGCAGTGGTGAGTGTTTACCGATGATGGAAACTAAACAATGGCCAAACGTTCAGCAGCTGACATGCGCCAGGTACGGCGACTACCAGAAGTACCCCGAAGAGCCTACAGTCGGGACTGCACAATACCCAGCCAACATCTACAACTCGTGGGATCCAAATTGGCGTGGTTTCATTGGCACAACGTTTGTTCTCATGCTCGAGGAGTTCCCACATCTTATACCACAAGAGACGCAAGACTACATGATGGAGAGTCTCTTCAACACGACAATCGGTGACAGCTACCGCGTGGGCGGCGTTGACACCGACAACCTGTACCCAGCATACAGCAATCCTTCAATTATGCGAGCCTTCGTATCTGGTTGGGTCGGTCGCAGAACCAACGAGTCGAACATGACTACTGCGGGCGAGGCGTACGCAACTGAAATCATCGATCTGTTCAAGCGCGACAACACGCTTTCGGAGTTTAACTCTGGTACCTATGCAGGTGTTTCGCTTTTCGCGCTTACCCTGTGGGCGAAGTATCTTCCGCAAGACAGTGTGATGGGCCAGTACGGCAGCGAAATGATTAGGTACACCTGGACGTCGCTCGGCGAGCTCTACAATGCCAATCTGAAGAACGTCGCCGGTCCATGGGATCGTAGCTACGGATACGATATGAACAAGTACCTGAGCATTCTTGCGCTGCAGATGTGGACGCTGGTTGGCAAGGACAAGGCGCCCATGAACGCAAAGGTACGTTGAATCCTGCATCATCCATTTGACATCGAGACTAACTGTTTCCATAGCCTTACGCCATGGGTCACAAGAATGACTTTGCTATTTCTCCATTGATCGCCATCCTCGCGCCGTTCCACAACACACTCATCTCCAACGCAACACTCTCGGCGCTCACTACTTTCCCCGGTACTCACACTGTGAAGACGTCCGCTTTTTCGCCTCCCTTTGACACCTACCCGCGTAACATCACTGCTTGGATGAGCGACAACCTGACAATCGGCGCTGAGAGCTTCTCGGAGAACGTCATCGGCGGGCCAGCGAAGAACCCGAGTTCGTTCAACCCTGCCGTTGTCCAGTGGGGAAGAAAAGACGGCAGCGTTGGATGGCTGAGCTTGTACGCGCAGGTGTACGCTCTCAACGCCGAGACTGGCGAGAACTACCTCGAGCTCTCGTACCCGCAAGGCAATGCCACGAGTGGTTTCTCGTTCCTGGTCGGCACGAACAGCTGGGACGGAAAGCGCGATGTTGCTTCCTGGTCTGATGTCGAGGGTATCAAAGTCAACGTCACCGGCTCGGTGAATCAGACCTACACGGTGGCTTACAATGGAGCGAATGGTGGAGCTGGCAAGCCGGTCAACGAGTTCGAGTTCTGGAACTTCACGTATCTGATGCCGCCGGGTTCCACGGAGGTGCCGAGGGTCAGACTCGAGTTTGAACTGGAGTAGATCATCCCGTTGTGGAACATGCATATGAAATAATTGAGAGATTGTATATAGAGAGCTAGCTTAATATTACTACATTATAGTAAACAGCAGGAAACCTAGCTCTTGCCTGGTACGACGGATCGTGCCTGTCCTGGGACTCCATTGTTTGTTTGCAAAGTCTACACCCTTCCCTACTCATAACTGTTTCCTGCCAGCGTGACATCGTCGTAATTTGTGAGAGCTAGCCTGGACAGCCATTCTACCAGTGTACCTGCGCGACTGAAGGAAGACCCACAAGATTCTTGCGTTTTAAATGCACTCATCAGCTTACCAGCATTCAGCATTCAACTGATTTCTGACGCTCTCCTTCCAGACTGCAGATACCTCTTTTCATCTCAATGTTGACATATGAGTCCGTCCGTGAACGATACTACACGCTGCTGGACTTCGGTAAAAACGCCCGATGGGGACTCTACTAATAATATTGTGCCGTGGTAGCTAAAATCTCAATGAGGCGGGATATTATGGACGCAACCGTAGAAAATCTGGAACGTGTATTGACATGCAACGCGTGACCTCATCGAGAGGCATACTCATTACATGCTCAACTGAAGAACAGCTTTTTCTGGCCCTTCTCACCACCACCAGGTCCACCTCCTCTCCCACCTCCTCTACCCACGCCACTCCCACTGCCGGGCGGCCGTCCTCGCCCACGACTCGGTTTCGACGCGCCGTGGGCCTTCGAAGTCGTAAGTGGATTACGCTCTTCGTGTCGCATTTCCTTCGACAAGTCGAGTGCGAAGTGGTAGTCGATATGCTCTGTCTTATCGGCTTTTGGGAGGTGGATGTTGCATCGTGAACAGAAAAAGGTGTCAAGGGTCTTCTGAACCTGTGCTGGAGGGTTCAGGCGAGGCGCTGGTGTGACGGGTGGATCGTGGCGCTGGTGTGTGGGTGGAGAAGGGGAGGACGGTTTCGGTTGCGCTGAGGGTGGGGTGTTCGAGATTTGAGCGTCTTCTTCTGTGTCATGGCGGTCTAGCGTGGGTGTTGATGGGCGGGTGACTTCATCGCTGCGAATTTGGTCGAAGTCGTCCCCGTCGTTATCCTCCACATCATCCTCCGTTTCGTCCTTGGTGGATTCGCTATGTGCTTTCATCAAGACTGCTCGTGCAGCATCGAAGTCTTTCCTCTTGTCGTCTTTCGGTCCAAAGAAGTTGGCAATATTGCCTTTGGTACGTCTCCTCTTCGCTGGGGGCTCTCCTCCACGATCCGAGGACATCATGGCCTTGGCCTGGTCTCCACGCACAAGGAACCCACCGATGCCAGCGTTGTTCTTCGGCCCGTCCTCAAAGCCACCAACGCTCAGTGATAAATTAGCACAAGGCCACGCTCGACCGTCCACAACTACTTGCGCAAGTAGGTTCTTCGCAAGGTCAAAAAGGATAGCTTCTGACAAAGCTTTGCCCTGTGGAATTTGGGCTGACCTACTCCGTGTCTGCGCACCCTGTCGATGATGTAGTATTATGGTCTTTGGTCGCCGCTTGTTCTCCAGTACTCCCTCCTCCACACATCTCGAGAAAATATCTGCAACGAAGATTCGTAGCCATCTTACACCTTGTTCAAAGGAATTGATAGATGGCCTGAATGACTTTGCTGACAGCATGCTCTTGATTTGAGTGCGAGTATTGACTTCGCTGTTGTCTTCGCCTCGTATAATGGAGTATAACCAGCTTCCAGTATCGTCGCCAAGTTTCTTCAATTGATCCAGCGGTTGCTCCACCAGATCCTTGACCAGATCAGTACCAAACATGGCAACAACCTCATCACCCAGCTTACCGCCCAACATCCTGATCTTTGTAAACTTCATGTCTGAAAGAAAATGCTTAATGGCTCGATTACGGATGATAGTCTGTTGGTTAGGCTTCTTGAACCCCGAACCGAGCTTGGCCAGCATTTTGTTGCGGGCAACACCTCCAGAGCACGTGTAATGAAGCGTATCGAATACATGTTTCCGCACATCGCGCACAATCTCTGAGGCTATGACCATGCACACATCGTCCCAGTCTGGATCTTTATCTTCGCCATCCTCCTCACCAGTTTCCACAAGTGCATCAGCCGCCCAGTCCAGCACTGTGGTCGGCACTTTTGGTAACGGTTCTGTTGGATCGTCATACGGAGGTGGACCTCTTAGTATAGGATATCTCTGCAGCAGTATGCTGTGCACTTGAGCGCTCAGATCCATGAAAACCTCGTCGATACTGGCTTTCTCCACACGCTGCTCTTTTTCCGGCAGCGCATCCTTGATACACTTCAAGATCCTCCTGCTCTCCAGCCGATACGAGTCCAAGCTGACTTTGTGTGTTGCCATGTTCGCAAAGGAATCCTCATGATATGCCCATTTCTCGTCACCCTCTTTCCATGTCGCTACATGCTGCATTATAAGCTCTGGACATTGCTTCAGCGCTTCTGTAGATGTTACGTGTCGACTGAGGCCGAATGCGCGGGCCGGGTAGTTTATCGCTATCAACCCTTGCCATTGCTGGACAGCAAGGGGTTTCGAAGGATCGAGGCCGAGGCGGACTGTCTCGCACTGCGCGTAGAAAGCATCAAGATCGACGTGTGCGATGACGCGTAGCGGTGTTTGTGTGCTGTACGACTTGAGTTGGTGGAGTTGCTTGTACGTGAATTTCGATTTGGGGATGCGGCGCGGAGATGTGATCGACAGAGGAGACGAGGCGAAGAACGGCGCCGGCGAGGACATTTTGGTCTTATTTTAAGGCATTCTCGTTCATGCATCCAGTCCTTTCGAGCTCATGTTATTGTTTTGGCGCCATGCGTGTAGCAGGAGGTTCGACGTTGCGGTTGCTGCTTACTATCTGCAGACGCGAGGCGCGTCTTCGCGTGGTCATGCGCGTCATTCACGACGCTTACCCCTCTAGGAGCACTACCAGGCCTGCCCATCTTCTGCTCGAGCTTCATGCTTGAATGTAGCAACACAATAAGCATCGAGATATTTGTTGACTAGCATTGGCCTACTTTAAGCGTTTTTAGGGAATTCGGCGCTCAGACGCTGCAGTTTGTTCAGTAGGTCAATGTCGTCATGATCTTTAGACTAAGATATTGAGTACTCGAGCGATGACTGTACTGTATTGTGCTACATTGCTCGCCCTGCACAGCCGAAACCGGTCTTCTACAGCCCGTTCAACGAATTTACACATTCAGCATGTCTTTCTTCAACACGCTCCTCAGCCCCAAGGTCTTAGTGCCACTCGCAGGCAATGTCGTCGCAGTTGGATCCGCAACATATTACCTGCAATCGAAGATCAACTACAATCTTGAAGAGCAAGAGGCACGTCTGGACGAAATCGAAGGCACATTACGGGGTCACATTGGCCTGATCGAAGACGCGCTGGACAGGATCGAAAAGAAGCCTAACCAAAACCATCAGGAGAAGTTGTACAGTCAAAGAGCAAGAGACGAGAAGAAGGGGAAACAGAAATAGTCTTCGAGCGAAGTTGGGGTCGACTGCACATGGCTTGGTAAAAGTGCGCCGTGTAATCTATGTACGTTGTGGATAGGCACATTTCTGTATGTAACAAGCTAGTATCTTTTAATCTGTAATCTCCCATGCACACTGTTTTGTGTCTATTTACTCAGAAGTAGTATTCACGCCACGGACTGGCGGTAGAGTGCGAATTCGTCATTCACGCTGGCTGCATAGACTGTCGGTATGCTTTGCAGTCACGATCATTGCAGGTTCCATCAAGACAGACGATCCCGCGGCGGAGGGATCAAGACCAATCGCGATTCTCCATTCCAGCGCCCGACCCACCTACAGAGATTTCGATCACGCCCAACCAACCGACCACCTGACCAGATCATGAGTGCCGCGTCTTACCATGGCGAACAGACTCGTAAATGACAGATTCTAGAAATATATATTCCCCGCTGCATCTCTCCTTCATCAAAACAGAAACAACAAGCCCGGCTGGCACAATCGGTAGCGCGTGAGACTCTTAATCTCAAGGTTGAGGGTTCGAGCCCCTCGTCGGGCTTACAGTATTCTTTTTTTGTCTTTGCAGCTTGCCCTCAGCTCTTGTGGCTGTCGAGATATCTGTGGTTGAAATTTTTTACTGGTGGCGGAGCAGTGAGGGCACTAGCACGACTTCGGACTAGCGCCTACGCATCGGCCCCATTCGATCGCCACACCACGCGACGCCCACATGCCTGCTTTGTCCTTGGAGTATCACGTGCTTGTCCATCTATCACATCACTTCAGAACCTTTGGTGCACGCCGTGGACATCTACTGTGTCTTTCCGCGTGGTAGTTGAATGTGAGCATTCCTCAGTCCATTGGAGGGCGCAAGACTTCAATTCCTCTCTGTGCTGCATTAATCAGCCACTTGGCGGTGTTGCAGGATTCACTGCATTATATCGCAACTCAAGGCGTGTATTTCCTCTGGTCAGCTCTGGATATAAGTACTCCGTCGTCGCTGCCTTTTTATCCCGGCAACTCGAAATCCAAGACTCGTCCACGAACGGTGACAAAAGCTCCATAAGCAGTGCGCATTAATGGAAGTCAAACTATATACACGCCTGGGGCGTTCCCACACCCTGCAATCCCACTCCAAGGCTACTCCCTATCCAGCTCCCCCAGCATCTCTCTCGTCGCACTAAGACTCTGACTATCCCCGTAAATCGCCGCGATCAGCGACCCATCGAGCTTCGGAAACTCGCGCTGCAAGATCTCCACATTCTGATCGTGCTCGTCCTTGCGTCCCCGCGCTTCGTAGCTCTGCATGACCTCGATCTGGTGGCTGCGGTCCTGGCCCTGGGGCAGCGCGAGATCGGTCTCGGTGCGCCGTGGGGGCAGGCCGGGCGGGACTTCGTAGTTGTTGTCGTTCAGGCCCTGGTAGTTCTGCGTTTCGGAGTTGAGGGGGGGCACGCGGAACTCGTAGTTGTGGGACGGGTTGGACGGGTTGGATGGCGAGCGCTGGGCGTCGGGGTTGAAGTCAGGTGATTGGTGTTGTGCCCATGGGTCTGCGTCATTGTGGTTGGAGCCTTGGAAGCCGGATTGCCCTTGTCCGAAGCTGTTGCCTGGTGGAGGGTAGTCTGGGGGGGTGTATTGGTTGTGCGATGTTTGGTCTTGGTATGCCGAGTATGGGTTGTGGTTTGAGACGCCATGAGCCTGTGCGGGTGGTGGGCTTTGGTAGCCGCCGCTGCCGGGCGTGGAGCTGTGCTCGTCCTGCCACGGGTTTGTATTGGAGGCCATGTCGCGGGTTTTTGCTTGTGGATGGGTAGAAGCGTAGGGATAGATTCTTGGAGTATTCCCGATCGCGCAGGCGTCCTTGTTTTGTACGCGTCTTGCTGAGGCTGTGTTGTAGTGAGAGGTCTAGAAGCAGGCGCGGGGCATGACGTTGCCTTCTCCACGTGCGATTGCCCCACTACACAGCCACAGCAGCCACATACTCGCGTTACTCGTAACGCTTTACGAAGCTGTCGTTGAGTTGTGGCGAAAGCATGTAGCTTATTGCTTGCATTAAGCATCATGTAGATGTATAGTAGTGTAAAGAGGCGCTTATCGCAGTATTACCCTAATACCAATTCAAACCTTTGTAACCGCGGCTCACCGCTTCAGCTCAGCGAACCGCCTCGATAGCTCGTCTACATCTGGTATTTTCCCTCCAGGACCGTTGTCGCTCGCTGCTGGCTTCTTCTCAGCCGCCTTCTGTACCTTTGCTGCCGCCGCGCCAGGCAGCTTCAACCTCGGCGCAACGTTGTCCGTACTTGGGCTCGGCGGTACGACTCTCAGCGGGCTCTGCGGTCCTACTGTTCTGGGTGGGGTTGCCTTGACCAGCTCTTCCCTCTCACTGTCCTTCTTCCCATCTGCGGTCAGCGAGACCTCTGTGTCTGCTTCTTCTGCCACACCACCACTGGGCTCGTCGTCGTCGGACGACGTCTTAGGCGCACCAAACGGAACGCCATAGAACCGTGCAATCTCGCCTAGGTATGCGTCTACCAGCTCTTCGCTCGGTGTCTTGGCCTCTAGCTTCTTTGCGACACGCTCTGCTACGCCCTCGCCCTCCATCGCCGCAACTGCTACCTCCTTCCCGAACTTCTCCACAAGGAACGCTCGGACTTGATGCAGCTCCTTGATCTCCGTGCGCGGCGCCGCATATATTATGCTTCGCACTGCCTCTTCGAGAGCGGGGTCAAGCGGGATCGGTGTAGACGAGTGCGAGGGGGTTGTCTGGTCGAGGAGCTGGGAGCGCGCGAGGAGCAGCTCACAGTAGAGCTCGAGGATTTCGTGGAGTTCAGTGGTGATGTCGCTGCGGATGATGTTCTCGACGCGTATCCGCGCGGATTGGACCTTGCCGATCTGTGTTGTCTTTAGCTACAGGTGCCTAGTCACGTAGAGCGGAGCGCAAGTGATGCGCGAGGCCATACGTACCTCGATGAGCTGCGCCATCTCGCGTCTTTGCTGTTTTGCTTTCGCCGAGTCCTTTTGCTGCACCATGCGAAGCCGCGAAATCGACAGCTTGAGCTGCACCTTGAGCTTGTTCTGCCCTACATTAACTCGGTCCGTTGACCGTGCTGCCCTGTTTACTCACGACCAGAGACTGAGAGGGTGCCATATTCGCGAGTATGTGAAGGAAAGACGAACGAAATGGTACGGAAGGCTATCACGTTTGGCGTGGGAGATAGCTCTTGGAGCATGGGAGGTGGGATGCGGACATGGCGGGGTTGGCGCCGGGCTGTGCCACACCGCGTCATTGGCCGCTGACACGACGCCCTGAGCATCGACCAAACGAGCAGAGGCTGATGTGGAATCATTTGAATTTGGTATATCGCTAACGCTATGCTGGTCACTCTGAAAACGCCCTGGTGAGAAGCCACTTAGACTGTGGGACAATACATCCAAACGCCATGCTGAGGAATCAGCCCTTGAATCCTACAATGCCTGGATGCCCTTGAAGAAACCATTGGCCTGCAGTGCCTGGTTCTCCTTGACCAGCTCACGCATGCGCTCGACTTGCTGCTTCTTGGTCAGGCCTTGACTCTCAACCTCCTCCTTCCACTTAGCCAGCATCTCCTTGAGCAGCTTGCTTCCCTCTTCAACGTCCTCTTTGCTCGCCTGTACAAACCCTTCCTCGTGCTTTCCTGCAAAATCTTCCAGCTCGTCTGCCTTCCGCTTGGCCATGTTGATGACCTTCTGCGGAAAGCGGACTAGCTCGGCAACGTGGATTCCGAACGACTGGTCTGAGAAGCCGGGCTCGACTTTGTACAGCAGAGTGACTTCTCGCTTCTTTTGAACACCACTTTCTGTCTCCGTGGTGCCTTCGGAGATGTGTGCTACGACATGCAGATTCTCGACTTGTGGGTAGGTATCGGCAAGCGCAGTAAGCTCGTGGAAATGCGTTGCAAACAGCGCAAACGCGCCGATCTCTTTGACGATGTATTCAGAAATGGCCCAAGCGAGACCAAATCCATCGTACGTACTTGTACCGCGACCGAGTTCATCGATAATAATCAAGGACTCTTTCGTCGCAGACTTCAGGATGTTGGCAGTCTCCAACATTTCCGCCATGAACGTCGAGACGCCCTTGATCTGACTATCACTTGCACCCACTCTGGCAAGGATGCAGTCGAAGATGGTGAGCTCTGCTTCTGCTGCTGGGACGAAGCATCCTATCTGTGCCATAAGTGCGATCACGCCGATCTGTCGAATATACGTCGATTTGCCGCCCATGTTGGGACCCGTGATGATCAGAAACTCGCTCTCGTTGCGCAATAAACTGACATCGTTGGTAATGAATGAGATGTCGTCCTGCATTTCCAGACAAGGGTGACGGGCTTCTTTAAGCACAGTGTTGCCCGTACCCCGGGGATGCATGGTTGGCCGCGTGTACGATGTGGGTGCGTGTACCGAAACATGTGCAAAGGCAATTATAACATCGAGATGCGCGAGCACAGCTGCCAACTTCTCAACAACAGGGACGTACGAGGATGCTACTGCTACAACCTCGTTGACGAGTCCGGACTGCGTTCGGTTGTAGTTTTCGGAGAGCTGATCGAACTCTCGACGTTTTTCCAGCAGGGATGGCGTCGTGAAGTAGACGCCATTCTTCTGTGTCGAGATCTCTTGATATTGCTTCTTCTGTCGGATGCAACCCGCTTCGTTTCTCGTCAATCTAAAGCACCATCCGTGAACTTTGTGATTCTCCAGGAACAGCTTCTTCTCAGTATCCTGGTTCAGATCATCGCCAGCCTTCATGTGCTCCGACTCCATCTCGCGCTTGAGTCTATCAAGGCGCTTACGGATCACGCGCAGTGCTTCGTCGAACTCGGGTTTGATGATGAATTCGTGGTTGTCAAGCGCATCGAGATCAACCGTCGTCTCAACCATATCCTGGAGGCCCACGAACGCGGTCGAATACTGTCGCAGTTTTGAGGTATACTCGGCATCAAGAGCGTCTTTGTACTGCTCGTCCATGACGGCGTCGAGTGACTCCAGAAATCCGGGCAACCGAATGACAACTTGATAAGCGCGGACCACGTCTTCCAAATTTGCGGCCTTGCGTTGGAACTTCTTTGCAAGACGATACAAATCGGGTATCGACCGCAAATGCTCTTCCTGCATCGTCTGTCGCAGTTCAGTGTCGTTTACAAACGCCTCAACAAGCTGCTGCCGCCGCTCAATCTCAACAAGATCCATCAGAGGTTGCTTCAGCCACTGCGAGAGCAGCCGGCTTCCAGTTGGGGTTTTGCAGTGGTTGAGTAAGCCGTACAGACTCATGTTCTTCGCTCCATCCCTAGGACCAGGCATCAAGTTGAGCGCCTTCAAGGCTGCGGCGTCAAGCTTCATGTACTGTGTGAGATCGTGCTGATAGAGCTGGTATTGGCCAAGGTTGGACGAGTCAGACATGACGCCAAGGTACTTGATCAGACAGGCTGCCGCACCCATCGCCAATTTGAGATCGGTCTGTGGCAGTGTCCCTGCGGCGGCCTCATCCTTCAGCAGCCGCGGTAGATCCTGCTCGATGTCTTTGGTGCCAAAGTCGGCCGCACCTCGTTCTGCCACAGCACATCCGCAATTGTCGGCTATCGTCCGCAGCTTGTTGAGCTCTACATCCTTCTTATTTCCATCCGCTTGGATCAAACACTCCTTGACACCGAGTTGAATGAGGAGTGATTCAAAGTTCGAATAGAGGTCGTTGTCGAGAAATTCTGTCACACCGAGCTCGCGAACGCTGGCATCAGCAAAGCATACCCCGACGTTACGGGCTTCTGAGGCTTTGGCAGACACCTTGACCGCAAGTATGATCGGCGAGTTCTCGACGTGGCCACCCAGCTCGTCTTCGAGGTCCTGGAGATTGCCCGGTGACGCCTGCTTCGCCACCTTCCAGTCCATTCGTTTCCCTGTTGACTGCCAGATCTCAATGCGTTTGCTCAATCGAAAAAGCGCGTCTCGGAGAAAATTGCGAAAGACCATCGTGGTCATGGTAACGGATTCAAGGCCCGGCTCTCGTCCTAACTTGCGTAGCACAGCTGTGGTTCGGTAGACCTTGAATTATTGTCAGTACATGAAACAGTGCGAGGGAAAGCTCCAAACGTACGCTATTTGCGATGAACTTCGCATCCTCGCCATGAGCACTGTAATAGTCGCCTCGGTCGAATATCCGGACGGTGTCGTCGTTCTTGTCTGGGAGGTTGCGGAAGAACTTGCAGAAACCAGACTCGTCGTCCTCTCGCATTTCCGGTCTGGACGCCATTATGTTGCTGTTCCCTACCGCTTTGACGAGATAGATGGGCGTTCAAAGAGTGTGAAGTCGTGAGTGGTGAAACCGTTGCCGCGGCTGGCACTTCCATTAGTCGGAAGACGCGTCGCGTCGTTGACGCGATTCCGCGCTAGTATACTTTCATCTAAACTCCGTCAGCGATCGAGTGCACCCTTCCTTGAGTTCGTCCATATTCGCCAAAACCGTAGCTCCATCTCGCCACCATCATGCCTACATCATGCTCACACAATAATGTCCTGCTCGCGTACTCAACACATTCACACCGCTGTCCTGCGCCTCAGCTTTTCCACAGGGGTTCCGTTTGCCGACCACAAGCCATTTGCTCCGTCAAATCAGCGAACCATATCCTCCGTTGAGGCTACAGATAGAGTAGAATTTCCTATCCAGGTAAGGAGGTATTCAGTACAATCAGGGGACCCAGGGCCTTCGCCGTCATTGCGTCGGGCTGCAACTGGTAACCCTCTGCGACTTCCAACGAGCCTGTGTACGGCATGCATTGGTGATTTGTGCCGATGCGGTAAACTCGCAGGAAGAAACTTGGTTTGAAAGCCCCCAAGAATTGGCTCGGTCTCGAAAAGAAGCAGTACATTCATTAAATGAGCAGCGGTGAAGCCGCTCCAGGACGAAGAAAAAGACGTATTGCTTCTTCGAACGTAATGCTTAAAGCCCATATATTGGGCCGCTTCTCCTCGATAGCCGTCCCTATCGTCAGGATGTGAATCACACCCAAGCGGGTCTCGGATAGTATGTTGCCTACTTCGAAACATTCAGCAGATTATTGCGGACAATGATTTAAACGCCATCTTCATAACCAGACCGGCTATCTCCACCTACTTGACCAGTGAGCCACGTGCCAGAATGTCACCGACCTCTCGGCCAGTCCTACTGTCACACCAACGGTGACGTGATCCCCTCCGGCAAGCTCGTTCACACCTTTGCCGAGAAGGAGTCCGACCGCAAGCCTCACTAAATCAATGAGGAGTCTGCGATCAACTTCTCCGAGGATGATTACTTCGACTGCAAATACTTCGACCACGAAAATTATACTCCTCGCTATGAAGTTGGCTTCAGTCTTGCATACACTGCGTTCAAGAACTCGTTTAAGAACTGCAATAAGCTTGATACTTTGTACAAATTGCAGATACTGTCTGGCGAGTCTGCCACCGGCGCCCTCGTGATTGGCGGATGCGAGGATCTGTGAGACATCGTTGCTGAGATCAACACTGATATCAACGCGAGCGAGGCTGTTGGTACTGAGGTTACGCAGATGTACGTTAAGTTTCCTGCAGCTGCTAGCGAGACTAAGATCAAATCTGTAGAGACCGAAAAGTCTGGCTTTCAGCTGAGCCGCGGCAGTCTGTCTGTTCCGGATGTCGAGAAACAGAAATGACAATTTGTGCACGGTGGCTACAGTTTCGATGCCGGTACCTTGAGTAGAGACCTGAGGGTCAGCGGTATGTTGACTGTGAAAAACGAAACAGGGACGGCTTTTCCCGGTGATACCTTAACGTGCTCAGTTACCCCTAGGTTCCTCCACCCAATCGCTTTTTGCAGATCCACTGCCTCTCTTACTCTGTACTTGCTTCTTCAACCACAGCCATTCATGTTTGCTTGGCTAGGTTGCATCTTTGAATACATCCGGACCGGTCCGCCTCCTCGCGTCGCAACCCGGAGGAGGATGACGTGGGCAGTCCTTCTTTCATTGTCGCAACCTAGTAGGCATCACGCACCTTCCTCACATGAACCGCACATGTCCAAGTCACAACCACAAACTCTTCGCTCCTGCCTTACGCGTTGCAGCCGCATTCGCACCTCATATAAGTTCCTGCACCTAATGCCACCGAAGCAAGAACAAGGCAGGTCAAGGAAGGTCCCAAGGAGCGATAAGGACGATTAAGCATGGCGATCCGTGCACCTCTCGACGCCGGTAAGGAAGATTTCATGATCGCTACAAGCGCCCGCTCCGGGGTTGCCCGCATTGGGAAGGTATGCACAACTAGCGTGGCGGCAGTACTATGCTTGGAGGCTCTCATTGGCCATACGGTAGCACCGACTCGCATTAAGGAGCGGCGAACAAGGGACTTTCGGCAGGTAGGAAGGAGGAAACAACCCACACCTCGTCGAGACTGCGGACGCCCACAACCGATTCCCGCGGACACCCATAGCCGAAACTAGACTAGACAGTAGACTAGGTCTTTCTTCACGCCTACACCTTTGCTGCACTGACTTGAAACTCGTGCATCACAGCCAGATCTCGATATATTCCTCAACTCTGATCTGTTAACCCTTACCTATATCCTAACTGACCCTGACCCCAAGAATTAAACCCAGCAGACCCTGACTAGCCCCAGGAGCAGAAGGTGACGAATGGACCTGGCAAAGGTTTGGTGTTCCTTACCAAGGCGCCACCTCTCGCTTCTCATTAGTGCTTCTGTAATAGGCTGTGGGCGTCCATAGCAAGATATTGTGGGTGTCCGCAGCCTCGACGCCCGTACCTTTGCTCCGATGGGCTCAGAAGGGAAGATGACCCAAATCAAACAATACACCAACGATGAGGCTTTGGTCCCATGTATATAAGGCGAGGCAAGTCCGACATTCATTCTTAGTCTTCGTTGGTTCTATCACATCCCTTCGTCTTAATTTAAACAGTCAACATGAAGTACGCTCTTGGTGCAGCTCTCGTTCTGCAGAGCACGCTGGCTCTGGGCAACCTTCTGCCCGTTCATCTCAGGGCACCCACACCAGATCACTTTCAGGACATCGTTCGCAACGACACCTACGACTTTGGCTGCAGACCTATCGCTCATCCTTCAGAGGATGGTGCTCACTTCACTCTTCATGCCCTACTGACAGAGGATCAAATTGCGCATCTGACAAAAGAGTACGAGACGGACAGTGAAATCACTATCCACCGCCAGATGGTCAAGAGGCAGGCTTCTGCCCCCATTGGTTCTGGTGACCGCTTCAAGGCTGGCACAGTATCTCCCGTCGGTCTTGGAACTCAAGCAAGTGGCGCCACAATTTCCAGCATCATGAACGTTAACGAAGTAAACTCTGCGTTCAATGCCTTGGTCAAGAACTATGGAGTTGGCTCGGTCACACTCCCGTACAAGACTTTCAACGGCGCTACTTCATACGCCGGATTTGTTGGTGCTGGAACAGACAAGTCAGCATACCGTCTCTACCTCAGTGCTGGTGTACACGCTCGCGAGCGAGGTGGTCCTGATCAGCTCATCTACTGGATCTCCGATCTACTTGCCGCCAACAAAGCAGGCACTGGCCTCACATATGGCAAGAAGACGTACACCAATGCCCAAGTGAAGAGTGTCCTTGCTGCGGGTATCGTCTTCTTCCCTCTTGTGAACCCAGACGGTGTCGCATACGACCAGTCCAGTGGTTCGCTCTGGCGCAAGAACAGGAACACCAAGTCCGGATCCAGTGGATCTTCAATTGGTGTTGACATCAACCGCAATTTCGATTTCCTATGGAACTTCCGCAAGTACTTCTCTGCTAGTACATCGCCTGCTTCTACTTCACCTAGTTCAGAGACATTTTACGGCACTGCTGCTGCGTCGGAATCCGAAACAAAGAACCACGTCTCGATCTACGATTCGTTCCCCAAGGTATTTCTCTCCCCTCGTGGGTTCACAACGATCGCTAATGTAGTCTTAGATCCGATGGTTCATGGATATCCACTCCGCTGCCGGCGACATCCTCTACTCGTGGGGCGACGATGATGTCCAAACCACCACTTCAACTATGAACTTCCTCAACACTGCCTACGACGGCAAGCGTGGTGTAACCGGCGACAGTGCATACAAAGAGTACATCCCCGCAACCGACAACACCAACATCAAGAACGTTGCCGCAAAGACCGTTGCTGCCATGAAGGCTGTTGGTGGTCGTTCATACGTCGCCATTCCTGCCGTTGGTCTCTACGCAACCTCGGGAGCCAGTGATGATTACGCATTCAGTCGCTTCTGGGCCAAGCCGGGTGTCAACAAGGTGTACGGGTACACTATGGAGTTTGGGTACAGCACCAACTTCTACCCGACGGCGAGTGAGTTCAACCAGAACATTCTGGACACGAACGCCGGGTTCATGGACTGGGCCTTGGCCGCGATTTCGGTTGGGTTGAACTAAATATCGGCTGAGGCGTTGGGTGAATGTAGGCGTTGATGTTGTGGATGATACCAAGGTGTACTCTGTAGTGCAGGCGAGATCATCGATATGACCGTACGAAATACATAAAATGTCATCACGAGACTGCTTTCGAGTACGCTTTAAGGCTAGCCTGTCATTGATGTGTGCGTGCTGATATGCTCGTTGACGAATGTACTGACTTGATGCAAGTGTTCAGCATCTAGTGTCCTATAAATCGCTACAAAGAGACGCTAACCTGTCTCTATTTCAAAGGGACTGAAGGTCATCGATGCAAGCTAGACATGTTCAACAGACATACTTAGACGAAAGACAGAACATTGTGTACAATGAGATCGAAGCTCACATTACCATTGATACTACAAACCGGGTCTCGAATCATTGACGCGTATCTTCTTGAGCCACGGCTTACGGAAACAAACTGACCACCGATCCATCTTTACAAGAGAAGACGGAGTACGGTACGCTTGATCCACTTGCCCAATGAACAGAGCGGGTAAGCTTATACAAAGAAGAGCACAAACAGAACGTCGTGACGCTTTTAGCGGTGCATGACTCGAGAAAATGACCGTTTCCAACCTCTGGAGCAACATCATGATGTGCAAGGTAGGTGCAAATCGTGCTCACTTCGTGCGCTTGCGCCCTTGCTTGTCCCAGTCTGACTGCTTGATCTTGTACTTCGGGAGATCTGTCTGGAAGTCGCTGACGATCTGCGGCCTCTCCTTTTTCCAAGGGTACTCGTCGATCTTGTACTGTGGTCCAAAAAAGTACTCCTGTTGGTCTTCATGCAGGAGATTGCACGCTGCGCGGTTGCACTTCCCATTCATTTCGAAAGGACACTCTGTAGCGTAGAGAGGTTTCTTACAGCGAACAGCGGTTGATGATGTGGCCTTTTGATCCGAAATGGTGGGAGCTGATAGATCACGATCGGAACTAGGTGGAGCGGGCGTATCTTTTTGAGGCCCGGAAGCGCCGCGGGGCCGCTTGACCTTTCGTGATGGGCCGTTGCCGGTGCCAGATGTGCTGTACTTGGAGTCAGTAAACGTGTTTGAACAAGTACTAAGAGTATATACCGTTTTGCGGCGAACACAGGATCTGATTGCTGTTTCTCAATGAACAAGTCGCCTGCCTTCGGGATACTCGGTAGTTTAGGAGTAGTGGACGTTGCTGGAATGTTGGACGCAGCTGGGTCGTGTGCAGAGGAGCGGCGCACAGCGGTACCGGGCTCTGGAGCCTTTGTAGCCCTTGCGGTAGAAGCGGCTGGGATGACGGCGATGGTGCTCAGTCGTTCTTGGACATAGATGGACGGCTCTTGCCCTGCGCATAGATCGTCAATCGTTTTCTCACTTCAGATAATGAATCACTTACCAGCTTGCGTGGCGCGTATCTGGACCACTACCGTAGCAGTCGTTGAGTCGCCTTGCTGCTTGACCGTCACGTCAGAGATACGCAACATCTCGAAGGTGAACCCCAAGATGTCTTCGAAGAAGGTAACTTGATCTTGCAGCGAAGGCTTTTCAACCGTGAGCGCCGTGCTGGCATTCAAAGTGCCGGAGATTGTAGGGAGCTCTGCCTCAACAACATCGGGAGGAGAGACCATATCGCCTAGTGTTTCGCCTCGAGTCATCTTCGTGGTTGGTGTAATAAGTCGATTGCGGAAGTAGTGTTCTGGTTTTCGTTGCTGGTGGGGGAGAGTAATGGATGTCTAGACGATATTGGCGCAGAAGACAGTGAGTGAAGTGAAGGCCCAATTGGACCAATTGGGCAATAGTTCGAGACTGACTCAGAGCCGTGGAACCCTGAGATCATACAGGCAGCCAAACGGTGAAGTGAAGGAGGTAGGCAGCACCTGATCAGCCCCAATTGCTCGCTTTCACTCCCGACAATCAGTACCTTGCGACCCAATCATAGCGCGCACGCTAGCGCGGAGGCGCAAGTATATAAACAGCGCTACCCACGCCCCAGCTCCTGTTCTTCAATCGACCCATCAGCTCAACTCAACGCATGGTAGCTACCGCGAGGCGTTACCAGTGCGTGGGTTCCGGCGTCAAGGCGCGTATTTCCCTTCGTTGGTAGGTTCGAAGCACTCACGTTCTTCTTTCCTGGCGCTCTCGGAGTGCTCCCGGGAGTTGCGACCCTGGAGTTGAGCTGTTGACTCTCAGACAATGGCGCGTATATCCCGTTGTTTCGGTTCAGCAGTTGCGAGAATATCCTTCTGCTGACGTGCAGAACTTGTTGGGCAGCTGCCATCGAGTTGCTGCAGCCCTGAGGATAGGTCGATTCCAGACTTTTGTCTGCTGCCGTCAGCGAACCTTAGGCTCTTCTCCGGAAGTGACCTCGGGCGGAGACCAGGCGTTCATCCTGTCGCCTGCTGACTATACGTTCAACTGGACCATGTTCTTCATGCGCGGTAGAGTCAGGTAAGTACCCTCACCATCAAGTCTCCAGACAGATTCACTGACGCGTCGCAGGTCTTGGGCTCTGCTTGTCCGAGAGTGTGTGTCAGGAACGTGGTCGGCCATGGAACGGGTTTGTTGTCTCCAAAGCAGCAGCCTGGCGTCCTCCTTGCGAAGCCATCGCAAGAAGGTGCTGGTTCGAGTCCAGCTTCCGTGGTCGAAACTCCACCTCCCGCCTTGTCTATACAGACCGACCGAAAGGCTCGTGGCTTATGACACATCATCTCTTTGGCGTTCCAGTCCGCAAAGGGTATACTGCTTGGTCTACTCTTGAGCGTGGACATCTCGACAGATGCGGTAACACAAGTCTGTTCGGTTTGTCTTTCGCGATCGAAGAGGTGTGGTGGAACACATCTGCTTTGATTCGCTCTTCACTGGGCGGGTGCATGTCTGCCCACAGTGCGAGAAGGTGTGTTGGTGAGGTTCATGACTGTAATGGTGCATGTCTATCAGCAGTTGTGCTTCGTTAACACTGGGCTGCCTTCTCTTTCGTGGCAATGCTGTGTTGTGCTGGAGCGATCTGGCCGCATGATAAGCTCGGCTTCCCGAAACTGACAAGCCTATTACGCTTTTTCATTGAGACTCCACCTTCACGGAGGAGCTTGAGGAAGGAGGTCGCCTCTGTTGGGGCATTAGCAATCAGAGTCGCTGTTGGTCATTTCGCGGCAGGCTCTTTCTCTCACCTTGTGCTTGCATCAGGACAAGCGCATTACCAGATGTGTCAACACTATGCATCATCTAATGGAGACGCGAAGAGTGCCAGAGAATGATGTGCATTTCAGGAAGTAACATCCGAGAGGCTACGCGAGAAGGTGCACTTTGATAACACCGCTCTTCTTGCCAGTCGCAAACTGTTAGTCAAAGTAAGCGTCTTGTCTACATGGCTCGCACTGATGATCGCTTTTAGAAATTGCATTCTCGTCAAGCTATACAAAGTCACTTGCCGGATCACCGCTCTTGTTCTCGGATGGTGATGTCTTTGAAATCCGCTGGATCAAGGACAGGCTCCCAAGCTCCAAACGAGTAGATACCGAACATTGCTCCTGTGAAAGCACCACCTACTGGAGGCATGATGCAGAGATCCTTGACATCGAATGTAAAGCTCCACTCGGAGGAGCCTTGGACGAGAGTCATGGTGTACGTGGTAGGGGTAGCGCGCGCTGACAACTGCACAGGTGCTAGTGCGTCAAACGTGGAGGCACTAGCAATTGCTGGATATGTGGTGGTCAACTCCCCGACAGCGCCTGTGGGCTTCTTGCAGACAACGGTAGGCACAAGCTTATCATCCTGATTCACGGGCGTGATGCCAATTGAAGCGTAGGAGTACATACTCCACCACACGGTGATGCCTGCTTCATACCCTTTCCGGCTAGGGTGAAATTCGAGTGTCGCAGAGAAAACATCGTGGTAACTCTCCTGTTTCCGCAGCAGGAGGGATGGTGCTTCCGGAGACGAAAGGTCATAACAACCGCCATGGAGACGTAGGTAGCCTGGACGTTCCGTGAATGAGTGGAAAGGTTTAAGTGGAGTATTCTTCTGGTACCACCCAAGCTCGAGAGTGCTGGTGTTGGATTCAAGTGCGGCTTGCCAGCGGATGCCTTCCGGTCTTGACCGCGTCACGACTTGAGCTACCTCCTCGCGGCCTTCGGTTTCAAACTCGATGTTCTTCCCATCGTTGAACACTGGCCAACCATCGATCCATTCCACTTTGACCAGAAATGTCTCACGGCCTGTCATATGTCAGCCTCCGAACGAACATTCGTTAGGACAACTCACCCAATTGTGGTTCGAGATACCCCCCTTGGCTCTTGACGGGCCTCACGCCCAAGAAGACACCCCACCACCGCCCCTTCTCGTCCTCAAAAACATCCGCATGCCCTGTTCTTTGCACTTCCTCCTCAGGCCCATTATACCACAACGGCTTCCCCTGGCTCTCCCACGGCCCAAAGACACCCTTCTCGCTTCTGAACACCCACTCCTGATGCCCTGCCTCCGTTCCCCCCTCAGCAACAAACAAGTAATAGAACCCGTCTTTCTTCATGATATGGCTGCCCTCCGCAACCCCATACTGACTCTGTCGAACACACACAGGCGGCGTCAGCGTCCGCCCCGTCGGCAAATCCACCTCGGACACATGAATCGCGAAGTCCTTCAGCGCACTCGCCGGATCCCGGTCCGCAATCCGCACCGTGGTCGAGAGATAAGTCTTCCCGTCGTCGTCCCAGAAGACGTCCTGATCGAACCCGGGGTTGTCGAAGTACACAGGGTCGCTCCAGGAGCCGTCTGTATCGATGTCGTCGGTCCAGACGTAGAAGCCGCGCGGGAAGATGCGCTCGTCGCTGGTGGGGCGGTAGCGGTGGTACACGCCGTTGAAGAGGTACCAGCGCTTTTCGGCGTGGCGGTAGCGCAGCGTCGAGGCCCAGCTGCCGGCGCCGGGTTCGACGGTGCGCAGGTTGAGTTGCGAGGGCCGGGTAAGGGCGTGACCGATCAGTGCCCAATTTATGATATCGGTGGAGCGGTAGATGGCGCAGCCGGGGAAGTATTCGAAGGTCGATGTGCTTAGGTAGTATGTTGGTTTTCCGCCCGGGGTAGATGGTGGGACCACGCAGGCTGTGGGATCGGGGTTGAAGCCCCGGATGATGGGGTTTTGGAATGTTGGCGCCATGTTGTAGATGGTGTTCAATCGGGCCTTTGCCATACGTCGAGGTATCTATGTAATATTTATATAGACTTACAATACTCGTGTTCATACCGAGGGGTTCGTTTGGAGTTAGCGCGAGGATATTCCACCAATCACAGTAGCCTTTCTCGTTGTTGGCACTTGTGATTGCTCGAACAATGCCTTTGTCAGAAACGGTGGTGAGTTTTGCAAGAAGACACGGAGACTTTGTAGTCTGAACTTCTTCTCATTCGGAGGCATCTTACTTCAACAAGGAAATCGATTGAAGCAATTACACCAGCATTGCAGCTTGACTTGCCCTCAAGGCAAACTAGAACACTTTATGTCACCACATCCAGTAAGTGTCCACTCTCCGGCCCCGTAAACTTCTTCCTCCCCGTGAAGATCCAGAACATCGCACTCAGCAGCATAATCAACCCCGTCGCCGCCGAAGTATAGTTCATGTTCTCGCTGTCGACAGGCGTCGCGCTCGGGAAATTCGAAATGATGCACATGAAAGCCAAAAAAATGAAGCCGATAATGTTCAGCACAATACCGTAGCGTCCGAGCGAGTACGGGCCTTCGAGTCTGGTCTTCTTGCCTGAGAAGTGCGCGATGATGCGGGCGAGCAGCGGCATGGCGTAGGAAAGGTCTGGTTGGGTTAGCTGGGTGTGTGGATGTGAGAGTACGAGAATGCTGCTTACAGAAACCCTGGGTGGCGACGGCAACGATGGTGTTGAAGCCGGTGACAGTGCCAAAGTAGATTGAGTTGAAGGCGATCTGGACTGTGCCCGTCAGGAGCACGGCGTACACCGGGACACTGCGGGACGAGACTTTGCTCAGCAGGTCTGAGAACGGCAGGCCCTGGTCGCGCGCGAAGGCGTACACGGATCGCGAGCCCTCAGCCATGAGCGAGTTTGAAGCTACCAAGCAGATAACAGAGATCATCGACGACAGAGCCGAGGCACCTGCAACGCTGCCAGTGGAGTTGAACATAATTTCGATGACAGGCACGCCTGTTGCAGTGGTTGCAGTAGCGTCGAGGTCGCCGATACAGAAGCTCAAAGCGATGAGCCAGATGAAGCCGGTAATGAAGCCCATGTAGACGGCCATCACGATTGCACGGGGTGCTTGTTTACGAGCGTTCTTGATCTCTTCCGTCATGTGTGCTGGAGCGTCATAGCAGCACATGCCATAAGCGCCTGTTGGTTGTCAGTGAAGTCTTCCTCACATCAGCTCAACTGGAACTCACTTTGGAGAAGGCCAAGGACAACAGCATATGGCGGCGTCCAGCCCGTGAAGTTCTGAAAGTCACTGAAGACAAACGAAGGAGACTGCTTGTGGTCATTGGTGGCGAGAATAGTCGCCAAGCATACCACGAAGGACAACATATTCCAAGCAAGGATAGCTTTGGACAGCTTGTTCAGGATGTGCGGGAAGTAAATGTTCGAGAGCATGGCGATGAACGTGACCAAGTAGGCACACAAAACGGTATGCCAGCGCTCAATCGTGAACCCATAGTTGAGCTGCGCTGTGCCCAAGACGAAGTTCGTTGCGATGAAATTGTTGGTCGCTCCCATGGCAAGAACACCAATGAGCATAAACCATCCGCAGATGTAGCTGAAGCCTCGTGCCCAGCTCGTTGGGGCAAGGATCGCCACCCAGCTGTACTGGCCACCGGCAAGGGGGTACCTGAGAACCATGTTAGTGTAAGCAGTGCCATCAAGGACATGTACACTTACGCACTACACATCTCGGCCATTGAGTATGCGACCGCCAGCGTGAAGATGCATACCGCCAGCCAGCCCCAGATCATGACAGGCGGCCCACCGGTCTCGACACCAATGATAAGCACACCACTCAGCGCCGTCCAGGACGTGACGATACTGAACGAGAACCCAACCATGCCCACAAGCCCAAAGCTGCGCTTCAGCTCTGCATAAGGGTCAGCACCAGCAATCAAACAACCCACAGTCCACATACCCTGGGTGTAACCCAACTGCGCAAGCACAGCATCATCTTCATCGATGACATCCACCTTCTTCTCTGGGTCCGAAGTCGGCGTCGTAGACATGGCAATTGAGTGACTTGCAAAAGCGAAACTATCGGCTCTAGCAACCGTACAAACAGCTCTGCGCGAGCGATTGACTTGCAATTCACGCAATATACATACTCCCAGCGTCGCTCTATCTTCCCGCTGTCATCGCAACGGTCATGCACAGGCGTCTCCAGTGCGTCACTACACATTGATAACAGCCGTCTGCGCCTGTGTCCACGCTGGCTTATCCGCGTTTGTAGCACTTCTTATCAACCTGCGTTGCAGCATCTTGATTGGCTTAGATAGGGCAGGTACTCGGTAGTTAGGCAGTGGCGCGGTACCCCGGTCGTCGGGGGATAATTCCCGGCGCTGGGGTGCTGCATGGGCTGCATGTTGCCGTCCAATCTTGGATCGGAGCATTCCTGCGATCGGGATTTGAGATCATGGTGAAATGCTTGGTGGACTGGTGGGTTTTGCTTTGTACGAGGTGATGGTTGTGCTGCGCGAGGCGGAGATGGGGAGAGAGAAGGGGTCCGTTCAGCGGGCCGTTGCACTTGCCCCACCAAACACCCCCAGCTGGAGCTGAGTTCGCGGCACCATCCGAACAGCAGACAACATGACAAACGGTATTATTTCACTGTGTGCTGCGCGAGATCCGAGTATCGTGGTCTAGTACTATTGTAGTAAATATCGCACACGTTGTGCATACACATGTCTGGGGTCAAGCGAGCTAGTCTATCTCCAATTTCCTTACAACTGCTTACTGTACACATGCGAACCAGAGAACTGATTGAGTATACCGCGGTAGATAGTCACTATTTTCACGGCAAGTAGCATCTTCTGGTATCAGTTGCCAGCCCGAATTTGTACCATTTGCCCACACTCGACATTGTCCCAGCACCATCCCCTGCTACACATCACAATGCCGCAGACAACGCAAATCCCCTCATCCACGCCTTACGCCTGGCCGCACGACTCCACGCTCTCCCCCACAACAACAGCGCTCTTGATAATCGACATGCAACACGACTTCCTCTCCTCCTCAGGCTATCTCGCAACCCTCTCCCCCTCTACAGGAAACCGATTCACACCCCTGATTCCCACTATCTCGCACCTTCTGACCGCCTTCCGCCGCGCCTCCTTCCCGGTGATCCACACGCGCGAGGGCCACGAGGCGTCTCTTGCGACTGTGTCGTCTCGTGAGCTTCACCGCTCTAGGGTATCAGGCGCACAGATTGGTGCGCCGGGACCGTTGGGACGGTTCTTGATCCGTGGGGAGAAGGGACACGATATCATTCCCGAACTTGCGCCTTTGCGAGACGAGGTCGTTATCGACAAGCCGGGACGAGGGGCGTTTGCAAATACTGAGCTCGAAGCTGTGTTGAGGGCGAAGGGGGTAAGGAACCTTGTTGTCTGTGGAGTCACGGCGGATGCATGTGTGAGTACCACGGTGAGAGAGGCAAGCGATCGAGGTTATGATGTGCTAGTCGTAGCAGATGGTGTCGAGAGCATCAACGACGAGTTGAAGAAGTGGAGTCTGGAAGCATTCAAGGTGGAAGGAGGGCTGTTTGGGGTAACAGCTGAAAGTGAAGCTGTACTGGACGCAGTCGCAAGCTGGTATCCTGGCAGAAGCGATGGAAAATAGAGCCAGGATGAGACCGGTAACGCATGATTGCATGCAAAGTGAGCCGTCAAGTGAGCAAAAGTCAAGGCGAACTGCGAGTTGTGATGATATATATTGCATTGACTATAGCCAGCTGCTTGAGACCGAAGCCTCGCCATTGAAGTACCCAAATCCTAAAGAACGCCGAAGACCGATAGCCGTGACCAGATCATATCCATGAGCAATGTGCTGTGACCGTGTGAATCGCCAACGACCTCAGCGAAGGTGAAGGCGCAGCACGCGTCGTGTCAAGAAGGAAAGACGCTTAACCACCGAAACCGTAGAGGGTACGGCCCTGGCGCTTGAGTGCGTAGACAACGTCGAGGGAGGTGACGGTCTTGCGCTTGGCGTGCTCGGTGTAGGTGACGGCATCGCGAATGACGCTCTCAAGGAAGGTCTTCAGGACACCACGGGTCTCTTCGTAGATCACTGCAGCATTGTTAGTTGGGCTTGAGGGCAACGCGAAGGTAAGGGCAGCTTACTGGCAGAAATACGCTTGACACCACCACGACGCGCGAGACGACGGATAGCGGGCTTGGTGATACCCTGGATGTTGTCACGCAAAATCTTGCGGTGACGCTTGGCTCCGCCCTTGCCGAGACCCTTGCCGCCCTTGCCGCCTGAGGAGCGTTAGCATGCTGTATCGCGATGATAGGAAGGTGTCGTGGTGGACTAGTGGTGCAGTGCAGCGCTGTTGTCGCGGCCTGAGGGTGCGCGTTGCTGCGGTGGGGCTGGCGCGTTGAGGCTCAACACCAACGCGACGCTGCAGTGGCGGCGGCGACGGCGACAGCAACAACAGCGATGCACTGCACGACGACGACGAGAGTGGGTAAACGAGGATGTACTTACGTCCAGTCATATTGCTAGAAGGTTAGTTGATAAAGTTGGATGAAGTCTGGTCGTGACTGCTGATGCGCTTGGAAGATGCGCGAGGAACAATACGTGGAGTGCAGGAAGCAGAAGAAAGGGCTGAGCAAAGTGGGCGGACGTCTATTTAAGTAGCGCGCGGCGGGTGGGCGGCTGCCTCAGATCAACCAGGTGCCAAGCTCGGGCGCGCTCTTTGAGAACATCACGCTGAGCGCGACTGCCAAAATCAATCGCCCGGAAAGCGCACAATTCTACCAGCGCTCGTTTTGCAGGAACAGCCGCCTTGAAATCAACTCTGGCGCTAGGGGCACGGGCCAGTTGCAACACCAAATCACACCGCGACACCACGAACACGACTTCGGCGACTGCTGTGGAAATCTGTTTAAGATCACCTGGAACTGCCTTAATAATGTTCAGCAAGTGTCTACGAGTCGTCTGAAGCTGTATACAGGATCTCCGGCGTCGTTGTGAAGGCCATGGTGTCGATGCTTGCATTCTATACGCGTACCGCCGCATGCACGCGTCGTGCCCTGGATCACAACACGACGCATTCACATAGTCACGTAGCGCACCACAGGCGCACATTCGATCGTCTCTGTCAGGTCTTCTGAAGCATGTCTCGTTTTGGAGAGAAGGTTCAGTTACGACGTATGGGTATTATCTAGGACTGGTCGTGCTATTCTCCTTTCATCCACACCGCACTCAGTGGCAACGACGCCCACCCTGACAGCTGCGACATGTGACTCATCCCAGACATCACGTCACTCGGTTGTTTGCCTAGATGAGCTTACAGCTCCAATGCAGTACGCTGTAGGCATCAAGTCGAGTAGCGCTGGAACAGCTTGTTATCGATGCGGCAGATTTCACTTCTCAAGAGCGAGATATTTCTGGCCATCTGGCAGGCGCGACCGGCAGAAGCCCTTGGTCAAGCTGGGTCTCAGGCTATGACCTTTGGTGCTCGGTGACAGGGCGCCCGATGTTCGAGCTGCAAAGATTCTCTAGACTAAACACGTGGAATACTCTTGTGAGATACAAATGAAATTCATAATACCATCAACTATAAGGCCTACAAAGAACCATCGTATCAGACCGTCAGACTGGCAGAAGTGTCTCATCGAGTCTCGAGTCTGTTCCCGGGCCACTCACGTGACTACAGGAAAGCACACGCGGTCTTACTTTACTTCGACTCATCGACCTCCTTGGGCGCATCCTGGTACACCGGCGGAGCCTCGTACGCAGGCAGCTCAGCGTACTCCTGCTTCTCGCAGCTCTCCTCTGCAGCAGCCTCCTCAACATCCTCCTCCAACGCGATCGGCTGGTAGCTCTGACCGCGGAACTTGGCGACCACGATAGCGATGAGGCAGCCGAGCGCCATACCGACGAGGTAGGTGAGTGTGCCAGCGAAGATACCGATGAAGATGGGGACGAGGATGGTGAAGAAAGCGCGGCGGAGGAATCGGTGCATGCGGTGGTGGTGGTCGTGATGGTGGTGGCCATTGTGCTGCATGTGCGGGCGGTGGTGGTGGCCATCGGGGCGGAACCTGTGGGGCGATTTACCCTCCCCGGCCATAGGGTTGTGGTGCCCGTGGGGGCGCGACATGCCGTGAGGGCGGTTGTGACAGCCCGGTCGACCCTTGCCCATGTGCTTCAGGTTCTCGATGCGGTCGGCCATAATGCCCTTCCACTTGCAGATGAGCGGCATGTGCTCACATTCCTTCTGCTGCTCGGCTGGAGTCGCCTCGATGCTCTTCTTAGCTTCGAACGAGGCGATCATGAGTCGGCCGCTCGAGTCCTTGAGAAGGTTGATCGTGATGGATGGTGGGTTCATAGGAGTTGATTCAATCGATGTGATTTGGAACGTCATGGGGAGCAGCTCGACCCCCGCCTCGGACACAGTCTCAGCTGTGTTGAAGTGGAAGGTGTATCCAGTAACGCGAAGGCGCAGGTCATTCTCAGCCTTGGGATCGACCTGTGTGACATAGAATGGCTGCGAAGCGATAGAAAATGTGGGCGGGTATAGTTGAACACCATCTATCTCGAGAGACTCTTCACGAGGACCAACTTCAAAGTCAAGAAGCTACAATTTGTTAGTGACATCTATTTGTGAGGTTCCCATGACGTCCACATGTCTGAGGCTGAAGCTGAGCATCACGCCGGCGACTCGCGGCAAGTGGGCCACCGCTGTGGAGATGATAGACTCACAAATGTGTTGCCCGCGTCCTTTTCCCAGCTGAAGGACTTGTCCTCGAGAGTGGCTACCGCACATCCGGGGCAATCCACAGCAACAGTTCGCTTGAAGGAGTTGATGGCAGCAGTTTCCATAGCGTTGTCGTCCCCGAGCTCGGCTGCCGTCATCGACGGCGGGATGAGCACTGCATTGGCGGCCAGCGCCAGACTTGCGAGAAAACCCAGCTTACTGGGCGACATCATAAAGAGTATGTTTGTCCGGAAAGAAGAGAAGCATGAGGCGGTTGAGGGGTTTGTAGGTTGTGAGGCTCGGACTCAAAGGAAGGCGATGCCTGAGACCTCCGGTGGCTCGTCGACGCCGCGTCATCCAGTCCTGGGCTATCGGGACGTGCGGACTTCCCTCCGCCAAGTGTCGCGTTATTGTTTCATAGCGCTATCCGCGAGCGCTCAATCTGAGAGACAGCGCTGAACTAGACCAGCCTCTGCCCAAGCTAGATTATGGCCTGTGACAGCGGTTGCCGGTTGTTGCTTCCGACGTTGACTCGCGAACGCTCCTTCCCGTCCAAGGATCTTCCGTGACACGTGATGCGCGAACACTGTTCGTGCGATCGTGCGACAACAAACTATCTGTAGCCATGCGCAGCAGCAAAAGACCAGCACGGTCAGATCAAGAGTAATGATGCTACGGAGAACATGCACTTTACGTGGAGGACTGCTGCCATCCGCAGCCTGGAAGACAGGTTTTGCCGTGGTGGGCGTGATCAGGAGTGAGATCTCAGCCTTGCATCTCTCTGCAGTATCTTAAGCAGCGCCTACACGTCCAGCGGGACATCTCACAACTACCGCAATCGATCCATCGGAGCTTTTGTCGTCTGCGATGTGGCTGATAAACGTCGAAACGCGAAAACTCGAGTGCTTCAACGATGAGCGCGACCTTCCCCTCTACGCCATCCTATCTCACACGTGGACCAACACCGAGATCACCATGCAAATGTACAGAGACTTGCCTGAAGACAGGAGTCGCCAATACGGATATATCCAGATCAGTAGGGGCTATGATAAAATCGACAGATCGTGTCAGCAAGCGCGTGCAGACGGCCTGCCATACCTCTGGGTCGATACGTGCTGCATTGACAAGACATCGTCAGCAGAACTGAGTGAAGCTATCAACAGCATGTTCCGATGGTACCAGGGAGCGGTGATATGTTATGTGTACCTGGACGACGTCGCTTTTGGCGACGATACTTGCTACATTGTGCCGCCGATCGAACCCAATCGTTGGCGACCCGTCGACATACTGTCTAGGGGGCAAACCGAACCCCAAGGAGATTATTCATCTGAGGAATATGAATCAGTCATGGCAAGATGGGTCGCCTGTAGACGCATGTCCCAAGGCTTGCTGGCCCCTGAGCTGGTCGAACTCAACAATACGCCCCCCATCGACGGCGAAAAGCTCGCCAAAGCCCGCTGGTTCACACGCGGCTGGACGCTGCAAGAGCTCATTGCACCCAAAGACGTCATCTTCTACGACCAGCGCTGGACACGCATCGGCACCAAACGCAGCCTGAAATTCGACATCTCGCGCATCACCCGCATCCACGAGCTTGTGCTGGGCGGCAAAGTGCGCCTGCGCAGCGTCGACGTCGCGCAGCGCATGACTTGGGCCGCGGGCCGCGCCACATCCAAAGTCGAAGACAAGGCGTATAGCCTGTTTGGCATTTTCGGCGTGCACATGCCGCTGCTGTACGGCGAGGGCACGAAGGCGTTCACGCGGCTGCAGGAAGAGATTCTGAAAGAGAGCGACGATATGAGTCTGTTCGCGTGGCAGCCCGAAGGCGGGGATTTGTCGACAGACCCGGACGTCGTGGCGGCGTGGAGGAACGAGGCGCCGGCGCAGCTGCGTGTGTCGGATCTGGCGCGCGGGGTGTCGATTCTTGCGGAGGATCCGCAACAGTTCTACAAGGGTTCGGCGCTGAGTAGCCGCTTCTTCACGCTTGCGGGTGAACACTCGATGGTGGGCGGGAAGGGGCTTAAGATTGAATTGCCAATATTTAAGATCGCAGATGCACCCGAGGGGCCGCTTCGAGTCGCTGTCATAGAAGGCACAAACTTCTACACCAGTCATCTCTATGGATTAAAGATCGCCCATGGCTTCTTGATGGGCATTGTCCTTGAGAAGTTAAGTGCGGGTCACTATATGCGCCATCCCTTTGCTCCTCTGGTGCAGGTTTCGGCGATTGGTATCAAGGCGACCGACCTGCAGACGATATATATTCGCAAGGACATCAGCCGTTTCAAGTCAGCTCCGTCAACTTCTGGTAAGAATCATCGCACTAGGGAGATCCTCGTCAAGTGGTATGATCCGCGTCTTAATTCTATCAATTAGACTCTAACTTACGGACTACCATCGGTGTCATGTCTGCTGATCACTGCGATGTTTCGAGACTTCTCGGGATGCTGTGCTATCTCGCTTCCTCGATATCGCTTCCCCGATAGCCCATGGTGCTGTTTTGGGTATACTGCTGCACACCTCCGCATTCTCGATTCGCCCACTAACGAATCAGTCTCCATTTTGTACACATCAAACCTGAAGACACAATTCTGATCTTGTCAACGTCTGCTGCCTCGCGTTTATACTCTATCTACTGCCTGCCCTCTCTAGCTCTGCGTTCAATTTACCGTGATTAATAGGGCAACAGTTGTAGTAAGCTTCGCTTCTCCAACAGTCAAAAAGGTCACATCAGGCTACTACAGCAGCATTGCAATATCTTCGTGCCCAAGCAGTAGGGCAAGCTCTCTAGACTGGCTCTTCTTAAGCTTGGTTCGCAAAGAGAACATTCCTACTGACCTATCCGCCCCCCTCAAGAGCAGCATCTCCACTAGCTCTTTCTTTCCAAATGAAATAGCGAAATGCAGCGCGTTCTGCCGACCATATGTCAGGAACAGAGAGTTGGTTGGTGTGTTCCACCGTTCGCTATGCCCCATATAATACTCATCAATCGAAACGCCACTATCAAGCAGATAATCAATAACCTCTACGCGGCCCTTGCTGCCATTGCAATACGCCAGTGCCGCATGCGCCACTACGTCTGTGCCTGCGATCGCCCCGCCATGGCTAACAAGCAGCTTCAGAGTCTCCAGAGAGCCAAACGCTGCTGCGCGGTGCATGGCAGTCTGACCCATTGGACTCGATGCATTGGGCGATGCGCCAAGCGCCAGGCACCATACGACCAAGTCTTGATCTTGAACAACGCACCTGCAGGTACTTCAGGGAATGCTCGCACCGCAGCTATCGTGTCCGCACGTACCCTAGAATCGGTGTAGCGTTCTCGTTCACCGGCTGATCGATCCCCCATCCTCCCTCCAGAAGCAGTGTGAGTGCTGTTCTGCTCCCCGTGCTCTCGGCGGCTTCAAGTGCCGCCCAGACGTCTGGTCGCTCGGGTGTTATACCATGAGCGAGCAGTATGGGCAGCACATCCTCGCGACCGTGTCTGATGGCTGTAGCAAGCGGCTCTGAGGCTTGGAACCATGCCAATGCGTTTGGTTGCACGCGGTGGCCAGCTGGCTGCTGGGGATCACGCCATATGGCCAGGAAGTCCTGGAGTCTGGAGCGAGCAGCCGTAGAGCTGCACAGTTGGCTCAGTTCGCGCACAGCGCGAGTAAGGATCTCGGCGCGGGGGTTGTCTTGAGGATCGTTGTTCTGTGTTGTTTCTGGGGACCCGTCTAGCTCGAGGGGGGGAGGCGGCTCCCATGTCGGCTGAGAGGGGTCGGACGCGAAGGCTTCCTGTGTGGCCATGTTGCGTCGAAGCCTAGACAGGTCTTACCTCAGACGTACACCAGATGAACTATTTGAGGCGATCGTAAGAGTGACAGAAGGCTCTACAAGTGAGTTTTGAGGCTGTTTGGTGGTTTACGGACACCGGCTCTCATGTTCCAGAAAAAGCAGCGGATAAGCGACGTTCAAGCTGACCAACTTCAAGACAGAACTTGTAGCTCTCGACGTCTGGCCTCTGTCTGGTCATCGAACACTAGACGTAGTGAGCACGAGTGAGGTTGCTGTCACGTGGTACTTGTAGTTGTTCTGGAAGCAAAACAATACAAGTTCTGGAGCCGGGTCTCGGCGTCCGGACCTGCTTGCGCTGTAATGTAGGCGGGCCTGTATCTGTATGTATAAAGATACGGTGTAAGAACAGGGGTCATGGCTGGGTGCAGATGAAGTGTGATTCAGGGCCATGGCGTCATCGTGCATAATTTCAAGAACGAGCCATCGACAGCTGGCATGCCATGCACGCAGAGCCACGGTTGCCTCGGAGAACGAGCACAGCACCGAGCACAGCACCGCGCACAGCACACAGCGTGGGGCGCGGCGGAGAATAGTGCACGGTAGCCTGGCGGGTCGCCTCGCAGGCGGGAGAGCAGCAATGGCCAGCAGATCTTGGCCGCGTCGAGGGTGCTCTGGCGGTGGTTGTTAGTCCTCCCGCGACGCTCGGGCGCTGGGACGCTGCTGCTGTTCCTGGCGCCTGACGTGCGGGTCGCTGCTACCGCTTCTGGCGCCTGACGTGCAGGTCGAGCCTGGATGCTGGCGGTGGTTCGCAGAGGTTTCACGATCACATGCGTCTAGGATGCGGCCGACCATCGCTGCGGCACCGATGGGGCGCTGGCCAGCGGTGACGGCGGCGGGGACAGCGGGGGGCCAGCAGCGGTGACAGCGGCTGGTGGAGCTGGTATAGCTGGCTTGCACCGCAGCTCGTCGCAGCGCATCGCAGCTCACCGGTGGCTGGGAGGCAGACAGAGCGCAGCGTGCCTCCACTGCCGTGCGGCAATTGGGCGCGGGCTTGGGCTCAGGCGCGGTGGTGGGCAGGTGGGCTGGGCAGGCAGTGGCTACGTCATGGCAAGGGTTGGGCAGGGGTCCCGCCGCTGGCCTGCGACCAAGTGCCCTGCTGCGAGGCTCCCCACTCGCTGCAGCCACGGCGGGCGGACTGCTCCATCACGTCAGGCGCTCGCAGCCTGCTTGACTCCTGCTTGACGCCCGGCTCTGCCTCGCTCTGCCTCGCCCTGCCTGACGCCGGCCGGTCTCTTCTTATCCCGCCCTCGCCCTCCTCGCTCCTCTGCACCAGCCTGCCCGCCTGCCCGCCCGCCAGTCGCTGCGGCCAGCACCCGCCTGACCCCGCCCGCCCACACCACCGCCGCCATGTCGCGCCGCTACCCGACCGCCGAGCTGTACGAGGAGCGCGAGCGCGACTTCTACCGCAACGGCAACCACAGCAGCCGCAACTACGACGACCTCGACCAGGAGCTGCGCCGCGGGAGCGACCCCCGCCGCAGCGCCCCCGACTTTTTCCGCGACGACCGCCCGACCGCGGGGCCCATGGTGCTGCGGGGCCGCGAGCGTGACGAGGACACCTTCTCGCGCGCCCCTGCCCGCAGCCGCCGCGGGGGCTTCGACGACGACGACGCCATTTCGCTGCGCAGCCGGCCCCCGCCCCCGCCGAGCAGCGTGCGGGAGCGCGATATCGACGACCTCTCGCTCCGCCGCAGCGACACGGGAGGCCGCGGCCGCCGCGAGGTCGAGCGCGAGAAGGAGGAGCTCGACGTGACCATCCGCCGCCGCGAGCAGTCGAGGGGGCCGCCGCCACGTGACCGCTCCATCCCCTTCCGCCGCGGCGACGGCGCCCGCCCGCGCGAGGTCAGCCTCGAGCGCGACGACGTCCGCTTCCGCGAGCGCGACGGCGGCATCGACATCCGCGCCTCGCGCAAGGAGTTCAGCCGCGACGGCCGCGACGTTTCGGCCGAGCGCGGCGCCATCCGCTTCCAGGAGCGCGACGGCAACTTCGACCTGCACGCCTCGCGCCGCGAGTTCAGCCACAACGGCCGCAACCGCAGCGTCGAGCGCGACTCGCTGGTCATCCGCAACCGCGAGCGCTCACTGCCTCCGCCCAGCTCGCGCGGAGAGCTGATCGCCCGTGAGCACGAGGAGTTTGTGGTTCGCCGGCCCCGCGAGCAGTCACGCGGACCCCGCGAGCGTGAAGTCGTCAAGGACGAAATAGTCATTCGTCGCATGGAAGAGCGCTCGCCGTCCCCCGAGCCCCTGCCCCCGCCCCCGCCCCCGCCGCCAGCGCTAGAGCCGGAGATCAGACCTCCTATCATCCAGGAGATCATCACCCACCACAGGCACATCGACCACGGTAGGCTGACCCCAGTGCAGAGATCAATCACGTGATGCTGACCTCCCAGGCGTCGAGAGAGCCCGCTCTCCAACACCTCCCCCACCCCCACCAGCGCCTCCTTCTCCGCCTCGCAACGAGCGCATTGAAATCGAGATCAATCGGAGAGAGTAAGCTCCCACAACTCCACACGCTACAACCACCGCTGATCAGCCCAGAACCAGAAAAGGCGGACGTTCGACCGAGTTTGACGAGCTCGAGATTGAGATCGACCGCAGCCGCGGCCGTGACTTTGAGGTGAGAGCCCGCTCGCCCTCCTTCAGCCCTTCCAGGCGCCGTTATCCTGCCCCTGCCTCCGCCGATTCCCACTTCGAGATTGAAGCCGATTACTACAACCGCAAAGCTTTGGAGCGCGCCTACCCGGGCGAGGCGTGGAACGGTGCCACTACAGATTGGACCATCGTCGACGTTCCGCCAGGCACCAAGCGAGTTCAATTGGACGGAATCGGTGGCGGCGCCCAGGAAATCACTTGGCAGCGATACAACGGCGTCCGCCGTTCAAAGTTCATCAGCGCTGATGATGAACATGTCACTGACTCTCACACTCAGGTAAAATCAAAGAAGAAGGACATGTGGACCGAAGTCACAAAAGACCTGGTGCTCCGCGAAGCTATCGACGGCATGGGCTACAAGTGCGAAGAGACCGAAGACTTCTTCTACGTCATGGAATACCTGCGCTACGTACGTGCATTCTTCAGAGTCGAGCCCTCGCAGCGTGCTAACAGTCGAACAGGAGGATGTGCTCCAGCTCGTGGAAGTTTCCGACGACATCCGTCGGAGGCGAAAGTCGCGTATACGAGAGATTGAAATCGAGCGCGAGGAGATCCGCAGACCGAGCTCTGCCTACGATGATCGATACTACGAGCACGAGGTGTCTTTTGACAGCCGTCGCAGCCGATACCGTTAGACTGCCTTGACTAGACCTCTTTGACTACACCATTTTGAACCGCGACTCGAAGCAAGCGCACTAGCTCGAAGCAGCACTGCATCTGGAACAAGCGGACATCTGTCTCGGCGAGCAGATGACGCACATCGAGCACGATCTGGGGCCAGTGCGGCTGTCTGCAAAAGTCTCAACATGATACCACAACCATCTCGGCGATCGAACACGATGGTCGATAACGAAGACACGGCCACGTTCAGTCCGTTGCGCACTAATGACTATGACGACTATGACCAGCATATCCGGAGCGAGCGAGAACGGACTGATTGTTTTGGGTTTCTTTTATTCTTCGCATCCGTTCGGGTGACACTCTATTCATTGGTTGACTTGATAGGCTGAGGCGCGCAGGGAGGTACATACATCTCGTTTTCCAAATTCAACGTTTCCAAATACTGCAATTGGGCATCTGAGCGAGTCGAATCGGCCATGATTCTCGGACAGTATGACAGCCGTTATTTGTGAGAGGCTGCGCTTTTGATTTATCTCCATTTCCGGCTAGTATTGGCGAGCGCGATGCAAGGACGACTCCCGCCTGACCTCACTCGAAGCCCTTTCCTACAACATCGCTCCCTGCATCGGCCCTGCGCCTGCAAACTGTCATCGCTCCTCCCCCCACTATCATAACCACGTTCCTGCCCATCTATTAATATCCCGCATTCCAACGGCCACTAGCCTGCCTAGCTGAGCTACCAATAAAAGCCGGCGCTTAGCGACACATCCATTCCGTCCCAGGGGTTTCACGTCGCACGCCCGCGCGCCAACCACGCGCAAGACATGGACGATCAGACGAGGCGCCACGGCTCGGACGGGTACGTCCGGGCGATGTTTCACAGAGACGTGAGGGGTGCGGTGGAGCGAGTACTGCACCAGCCCTTGTCTGTGGCGCGGCGGGTCAGCGGGGCCTGATGTATAAGGCTCGATGGGCTGCAGGTGCGGCTTGGTGCCCTGTTGCCCTCTCTTTTTGCGGCAGTGCCTACATATCTGCCGTTTGTGTGCTTCGTCCAAGATGCAGTTTCTCGCCGCGGTTGCGGTCTTCGCCACGGCCTTCGCCGCAGTCGTGCGCGCGCAGAATGCCTCCTCTTCGTTTGTGCCCGCGGCGTCGACGTTCTACCTGCCAGATACAGAAACGCAGTTCTCGGTCAATATCGCGAGTGACTCGCGGGATTTGTATTTCTACTTTGCGAGTCCGGCGTATTCGTGGGTTGGCGTGGGGTTCGGGGCGCAAATGGAGAACAGCTTGATGCTGGTCATGTATCCGGATGGGAACGGCGACAGTACGGAGTGTGCGGCTACGGACTGACGGAAACGGACTGACGGGTGCAGATGTAACGATATCTCCGCGCAGCGGCCGGAAAGGAGGCGAACCGACATTCACCAGCAATGTCGAGATTGAGGTCCTCGATGGTACGAGAGTCGAGGATGGCATGATGATCTTGCACGCGCGCTGCTCCGACTGCCGCGTCTGGCCCAATGGATTTCTCGATGCTACGTCCCGGGCTCAGAACATGATCTACGCGTTTGGCAGCCCCTATGCGCTGCAGTCCTCGTCGCCGTCGGCGGATCTCAAGCGCCACGTGAGATACGGGCACTTCACCATGGACATGACTGCCGCGACCGGCACGGGCGGAGTGCCGCTGAAGAGCAATCTCAGCAACGGCGTGCAGCAACAGGGCAGCATGACGAAAGACACCGACCGCAAGACGCTCGCGCACGCAGTCCTAGGGTGTCTGGTGCTCTTCATCGTCTGGCCTCTCGCCCTCCTCCTCGCCACCTTCCTAAAAAACATCCGCCTCCGTCTCACCCTCTCGATCATCGTCCTCGCCTGCCTCACCACCGTCTACGCGCTCGGAATCTCCTCCTCGGCGCAATACAACCGCGTAAGCACCCCCGTTCGTATCTCCTCCCCCCCCCCATATCTAACGAAAACAGTCCCAATCCTTCACCACCCCGCACCAACTCCTCGCCCTCATCACCCTCGCCCCACTACTCCTCCTCGCGGTCCTCCTCGCCCCCGCCCTCTCCGCACTGCACCCCGCTCACGGCCCCCTTGCGGCCCTCACCCTCGCCCTCCTCCTCGTCACCGGCGGTCTGGGCCTGCACCTCGCAGCGCAAACGCGCGCACTGGTGCTGTCCTACACGGGCCTCGCACTACTGGTGCTGGTCGTGCTAGCGTGCGGGAGCGTCATCGCGCGGCGGCGGGCGCGCGACAGGGGCGCAGCGGAGAGAGCGGAGATGGCGCTGCTGCGGAAGGGGAGCGAGGCGAGTTTCAAGAGTAGTCTGAAGGGGAGCGCGGGGAGTGCGGGGAGCGCGACTAGTCTTAGGGGGTTTCTGGATGAGAGTCGCAGGGAGCCTGGGGTCGGGAGCGGGAGCGGGAGGGCAAGGGCCGGTGTGTATGGTGGCGGGGCGATGCCTGGGCCGCAGTACTTGCTGAATATGCATCCGGGGGTGCCGGTGCATTTCGGGGGGAGGAGTGCGTGAGGAGATGTGGTGAGGTTTTTGCTTGTGGAGTTCAGGGAGGGGGGTGATACCATGGGTTCTTTTTTTTGGACGAGAGTGTGTTCTGTGTGTCAGACGAGAGTCATGTTTGTTTGTTCAGGAAAGGGATTCTATTGTTCGTCATGATACCACGTTTTGCAACATGTGTTGGTTCCGGTCGAGGGCACCTTCTGTACGTTAAGCGGCGATTACGTCAAGACGATTTTTGCTTATTAGGAGAGGGTTTCTGTTATTTGCAGCATCTCTCCTATTCCCTACTTCTTCGTGTTGATACGACGTTTGACTCGCAGAATCCGTAGCTCACATCTCCACACGCTTTACTTGTTGCTTCCCTACCGTTTCCTCACTGTCTAATTCCTGCTCCTTCAGTCCGGCCTTGGGTTCTTTTGAACACGATCGAGTGACCAATGGACGAGGCCAACATCACGTGGTGGTCAGGCATCAGCCACTCGCTCAGCCTCGCTCATCCTTCAAACGGACACACACCAGGATCCTACAACGCATGATTGAGAAGAGAAAACGGCATGTCGTGTTCGAACGATAACGAGGATACTGGTGCAAAGGCGGTATATGTTGCGCACCCGCTGCGCCTCGACAGCAGCAAGAACATCCGGCTCGTCAGCGTGCTGCCACGGATTGCAGGAAACCCACTCAAACCCGACCTTTCGACAGCTGTTGATTTACCACGTTTTATGGTCAACGTTCACACTGTACCTCTCGAGAGCGCTCCACCATACATCGCATTGTCCTATGTATGGGGCCCGCCTGAGCCGTCTCAAGTCATTACTTTAGCAGGGCAGCGTTTCCGCATACGCGAAAATCTTTGGGCCTTCCTGGAACGGGCAAGCCTATATCATAGCCTTGGCTTCCTCTGGATCGATGCTCTGTGTATTGACCAATCGTCGATTCCGGAGCGGAACCACCAGGTTGCCATGATGGGCGACATCTACCGTCGGGCGAAGAAGGTCATCTCGTGGCTTGGCACAGGGCCGCCGGAGCTTGTGGAAGCGGTTAAGAAACTAGGGAATGGAGACGGTACAAAGTCCACCTTTGATCATGTTGTGGTTTTGAGTGATGCGGAATATTGGCGCAGAGCTTGGATCGCACAGGAAGTGGCACTGGCCCAAGAATTGGATATCTGGTGTGGATACGAAAGCATGTCTTCATCATTGCTGAGAAAACGGGTATACAAATACCTCGGTAATCCTCTTGTTACCTGGATGATCTTGCTGTCGGGACCAATGCAAGACAGACCAATGAAAGACATCGACGGGCTGTTGTTCCACCTTTACCCAACCCCTGCGCATTGTGCGGACGTTAGAGATCGGATCTACTCTCTTCTCTCACTTGTGGATCCGGGGCTTCTAGAGAAGCATCCGATAACAGTGGATTATACCAAATCTCCGTATCGGCTGTTCCTAGAATTAACAGATAGAATGAGGCGGCAATTTGCTACGCAACTTCACTCGTTGCGTAAGATGGCAGACTTTGCCGAGCATCTGCAAGAGACACTAGGCTTGCAGAGCGACCCACGTGTCACGAACTGGGTCTCAAAAGGACGACGGGGGCTCTCCATTGGCGAGGATCTGGATGTGAAGCCTCGTTGGCCCCCGGCCCAGCTCTATCTCTACCACTCAGCCCTCGCGCTCAAGAGAAAGGTAGCACTACGTGCCGAGATCGGCTCCAGCAAATACCGACGAACCTGGGATACTGTGCATAGCGCCTCTCGCTAGCAAGTACAACTCTTAACAAATGCCAACACAGCACAGACCGATTCAGACTCCTCTTCTCGTCTAGCAACTTCGGCCTGGTCTTGTGGACAGTCTCCGTGAGCGACAGATGTTGTTGGGCACTCCCAATGCGTTCTCACGAGAAAACAGCCTCGACGACCGCGCGGTGGCTGTTGAACACAACGCAGCACTCACCGTATCAATCTCTTGCGAAAGAAGTCTGCCCCAGCCCGTTGAACCTCGGTGAGAGATAGAGAATGCAGGATAGACAAGACAGGGACGGGGTTCATCTTTCTCGATGACTCTCGCTCTGAGCGTCGACCGAGAAACATTTGTCTCTGTTCGCGACACTGCCGAGTGACTTGCACAATGCAGCTCGGCCCTTGCACAGCATAACGCGGGCTTTTCAAGCTTCTGTCAGACGCAATGAGCTCCTGCCGCAGTATGGCACTCCATAGGCAATAGTATGAGCCTGTCAGCCCGACGTGCCCGGCGCAAGAACTGTCCCAGCTGCCTGCGAGATCCGCAGACTCCCATATTTGAGACACGACAGGCGCCCGAAGGCGTTGGTGTACGGTTTCAGTGTGCTTGTTGGAAATCGGGAGCCGTTGAGCGGGAGGTCGACAGCAGAGCACGGGATTATGTGTCTGGCTGGACCCTTACCAGCAAAAGGGCGGAAAGGACATGTCGACGGTGGGAAATCGGGAGCGTCGAGGCGGTGCTTGCACTATGCAGACTTCTTCCAAAGCACTGCTTTGCACTTCACTTCACGTGTTCTCTCCTTGGCGGGTTCTTGCCCACCATGCCACCCCAACAAACTCACCTTGATGTGCCCTGATGCAAGTACACCCCGTCACGCCCCACTTCCACAGACACTTCTTGCAGATGCGGATCTGAAAGTAGAGTGCTGAGGAGTGTGTCACTGTGCAGCACTGCAGACGATCGATTGCTGAGTGCGAGCACGTCCACGCTTGATCAATTGGCTCTACGCCGTGCGACTTACCGCTGCATGGCATGTTCCTTCGGGGGGAGGGGGTTCGTGCTAATACGGATGCTACGCAGGTGAAGCGGTTGTTCAGGACTGCACGACGAGGGTGTTGAGCTAGCGCAGGGAGTTCGTGCAGGATTCACTGTTTTAGAGAAGTGTGTCTCGGAGAGGTGTGATGTTGAGTTTTCTGGGGAGGAGGTGCAGGGAGTAAAGCAGGTGTTGCTGCCGTGGGAGGTGCAGTAGTGCTGCTGGACGCTTCTGACTTATCAAGTTCGAAGTGCGGGCATACTATGTCACACCCACTCTACAGTCAGACTCTTGGTCATCAACGATAGGTGACCAGCAAACCGTGGAATCGCACCTATAGTACCCGGGTACTGTAACTGAAATCTAGCTCCAGGCGCACTCATGCGGGGTACTATGGCGTGAGCGGGCACCTGCTATAAGCGGGAAACAAGACAAGCGAGATTTTACGGTAGGAAAGATGGTCGGTTCGTCATCGGTGTCTTTGGTGAGTGCATGGTCGACTATCTCTAGCGACATGACGGCTAGTGGCCCGGAGCTCTCTATCTCTGGTCCCCAGCTTCCTGAGGCGGCGTCGCTGATGCGCTAGAGCGTGGTGACGAGCAACAGCATCAGCAAGGGCAGTTGCTGCAGAGTCCAGGCGCTGCACGATAAGTCGGTGAATGAGAGGAAACGTAAGGTGATGTTTGCGCTCGGGACAGATATGAGATGGGCACCTGCCCAAAGCGGTAGGTTCGAAGCAGCGTCGATTAGCTCACTAGACGGGACTCTTACCATTTTGCTTTCGCGGCGTCTGATTGGCGCGCGGGCCTGAAACTCGCTTGGAGTGTTACTTCTGACCAGCATGTTGCTGCACTGAACTGGAAACGAAGCGGCCGCATGAACACCGCCTTGGATGACACAACGCGCGCATCGTGGAGCCTTCAGATTGACTGGCTGCACGCCTTGCTCAATCTTGGCGATACGAACGATCTGTCGTGATGCAAATGAAAGCGTCGATTGCATCAAGATAGGCGTTTCTGTGGGGTCCGCTGGCGGTCCGAGAGCCAGAAAGGGGAGGAGGCAAGCCGCTGTTACGAGGCCTGGACGGAAGAATTGTGCGGCAGCCTGCGAAATCTTCCCAGCCTTTCGTTTCTTGGAGGCGCAGGCAGCGCGAAACACTGCATAGGACAATGGCATTGTTGGAATGATGGGTGCCAGGCTTCATTCTGTGGTTGCGGAGTGCATGTGGAGAAGCGCGGTCTGGAACGGCAGGCACGCCGGTGCGCGGTTTCCAGAACAGGATCCAAAACCACCAGTCGGTCTAGCCATGACGTCTCCACTGCGAATTTGAGCAGGCTGGGGACTGGCAGCGTGTCGGTGACTGTCGGAGCGAGAGTGCTCGATAGGCCGATGCACGCAGACGGCGTGCGCCAGTCGGAGGGCGCAGCGCCGGCCTTGACGACATGTGTCCTCTATATATGCGCGGCAGCGCGTCAGCTCTGGGAAACAATCGGCACTTTATACACGACGGCATGTATGGATGCTAAAGATGGCGACATGGCAACTACGCGGCAGGGTCGAAGTTTCAGCCCGTCCCGCAGCCGCGCAATTCGCTTGGCGTGCGCGAACGGCCGTCAAGGGAGGGCGCGCTGTGCAACGGCACGCAGCGACGAAGCTTTCCGCACAGGCGGTGGTGCCTTGCGTGCAAGCAGGGCCGGCAGATAAGCATTGCTGCGACAGGGGCGGGGGCGGCGGGGGCAGCATCGCCGCGGTGCTGGCTCAACGGCCGCGTCAGAAGGATTGATAGCGAAGGCGAACGCGTGGCGGCGGTCGCGCCTAGCCGGACTCGCCGTAGCTGGCCTCGTATGCGCTGCCAGTGCTGATGCAGACGAGCTGAGCTCAGCAGTGGCCCCTGCGCGCGCCTCCGATACTGGAGCACTGGAGCTGGGGCAGCGAGGGCAGGCACTGGCAGAGTCCCTGGCGCTCGCGGGCTCCCTGTGGTGAGCCAGATACAAACTGGGCGCGGTGCGAGCTGTCAGCGAGGCATGGCTTGGCGGCGGCGGGCCTGCAGGCACGCATGTACGATGGGCGTAGCATCACTAGCGCGGCGGGCGTGTGAAACAACCCCTGCTGCGCGCTGCCCTTGAGAAAAGACCCGACGGCGCACTACGCATGGCCCAACAAAACCCGCGAGGGCTGCGCTTCTGTCTCTGCCGCAGCGTGTCCTTTGTCTCTCCTGTCGCCGTCTCTCCTGTCGCGGCTCCTCCTGTTGCGGTCTCTCCTGTCGCGGTCTGTCCTGTCCGCGAGTGCTTCCCAAAGCGTGCCCCCGACCGCCTCACGCACCGCCGGACTCTCTCGCATTGCCGGAAGCAGCACGCAGCCATTGCGCCAACAGCGCCATCCGATAGCCCTCTTGCAGCCCCGACCGACGGTTCTTGCAGCGTCAACCGACTGTTCTTGCAGCGCAGACCAGACCGCTGCCCACTGCAGATAGCATTCTTGTAGTCGAACCATCACCTCCACCACCCTTGCACCACCACCGCCGCCATGCTCACCTTCAAAAAGGCCCTCGTGCTCTCGCTGGCCTGCCTCACCCTCTTCTTCATGTTCAAGTCGCACCACACCACCAACCGCTCGCCCACCTTCAAGAACGCCCACGACCTGCCCAAGCCCAGCCCGTGGGTGAACCCTAAGGAGGCCGCCGCAAAGGCCGCCGCCGCCGCCAAAACCGCCTCCGCAAAGTCCGACCAGGTCTTCCACAGCCCCGACGTCGCGCCCAAGAAGCCCAAGGAGCAGGTCAGCCTCGACGAGCTGCACGCCCGCCCGCTCAAGCAGCAGCTCGAGTACCAGTTCCCCTACGACGTCGACGCCAAGTTCCCCGCCTACATCTGGCAGACGTGGAAGTACACCCCCGCCCAGGGCGAGTTCAGCGAGTCGTTCCGCGAGGCCGAGGCCAGCTGGTCCATCCACCACCCCAACTTCGTGCACGAGGTCATCACCGACAACGTCGCCGTGCACCTGATCCGCCACCTGTACGCCTCTGTGCCCGAGGTCCTCGAGGCCTACAACGCCCTGCCGCTGCCGGTCCTCAAGGCCGACTTCTTCCGCTACCTGATCCTGCTCGCCCGCGGCGGTATCTACTCGGACATCGACACCTCGGCCCTGAAGAGCGCCGCCGACTGGATCCCTGCCGATGTGCCCTCCACCAGCTACGGCATGGTCATTGGCATCGAGGCCGACCCCGACCGTCCGGATTGGGCCCAGTGGTACTCGCGCCGCATCCAGTTCTGCCAGTGGACCATGCAGGCCAAGCCCGGCCACCCAATTTTGGTCGACGTCGTCGCAAACATCACCCACGAGACGCTCCAACGCAAGGCTGAGGGTAAGCTCACCAAGGACCCCAAGGGCATCATCGAATTCACCGGCCCGGCGCGCTGGACCGACGCCATCTTCGGCTTCTTCAACGACCCCGACTACTTCGACATGAGCACCAGCAAGGGCAACATCACCTGGGAGCACTTCACCGGCATGAAGGCCCCCAAGAAGATCGGCGATGTCATCGTGCTACCCATCACCAGTTTTAGCCCCGGCATCAAGACCATGGGCGCTGGCGAGGACGACGACCCGATGGCCTTTGTGAAACACGCTTTCGAAGGTAAACACTCCATTCCCTGTCATGCACTGTACTGCATGTCTGCTTTTGTGGTTGCGTGCAACGCTACAGCTGTGCGACTGTGCGACCGTCATGGCACGCTTTTATCACGATGACACGACACTGACATATCACAGGTACCTGGAAACCCGAGAGTGAACGCCACATTGGCGAAATCTACAGCTAAGCGGACCACAACGCTTCGGCAATCAATGTGGACGCCGCCACACCGGATGCATTTCCTGTCGCATACCCACAGGTACAGAGCCAGAACACCCCTTGCAGGCAATGGCAACCTGTGGATGCACGAGAAAGAACACAGGTGGGCGACAGCACGTCACAGCCCAGTCTGAATCGGCGGGCATGGGGGTGGACATCAAAAGCCGCGGTTTTGGCAACATGGGTCTATTTTTACTGCACGCTCCGAACACCACTTCAAGCGCTGAAGTCTGAGTTCGAGACGGCCTTATCTTCTTCGGCGTATACGGCATAACCAGGCGCGTCTGGCGTTTCCTGTGTGCGTTTACTTGCACAACCATAGATTATGCGGATTACAGCGAGCGGCGCATAGCGATCAAGACATAGTAATACTTTTTCGATTTTTAATTTCAACTGTACCTGTCTGTGCATACATTGCGTAAGCCCATCGCAGCATTGCCAGGCTGACCTGTCCTCAAGTCTCACCCCGCGCGCCATCGAGGTCGAAGATCGACAATCTGCAGCCCCCACCAAAGAGCTGTTGGCGCTCCGCACCACCAACGCGCGCTAGTCAGGCACCCAACACTCGCTTAGGGCGAACCATCCAGCACTTGATGTCATCGGCCCTTGATCCTTGCCCTTCGCCCTCCTTCCCGTGTCTTGTGTCTTTGACCGGCGATGGGCAATGGTCAGCTCGGTCGCTGCGCGGTGGATTCTGCGGTTGAGCCTCTTGCGAAGCTCTGCGATTGGCTTGACGCACTGTGCTCCGGTGTAGTTGTGAGTTAGCCTCGCAGGGCTGAGCAAGCACATCCTCGTGACAAACTCTGCGTGGAATCTGGGGAATTATATGTACTGGCTCTCTCGCTGCGGGCTGGCCGCACCTCAAGCATTGTCACTTGCACGTGAAACGTAGTCCATACATCATCTCGGTTACAAAGTGTATCTGCAAGTCGATCACATCGGGACCAGCCGCATACGACATTGAACTCGAAAACAGGATCCAGCACAGCCAAGCCTAGGACCAGCATAGCATACATCACGGGCGTTCACGCTAAGTAAGCCGCCAAAACGGACGTCCTCCTAGCCTACCGTCTCCTGTATTCTGAAGACTTCAACGTAATGTCGTCTTACGGGTCAGCCCACTCTGGGCAGATGCATCCAGGCTACCAGCCTCACCTTCAGCAGCAGCGAATGCGCTCACACTCAAACCCACCATACCCAACGACGCCAAATGCAGCACCATACCCGCAACAGCAGCAAACAAGCTACTTTCCTCCTCCACCGGCAGTGCCGTTCCAACCACCACCACCAACATCAAACCCCATCGCCATTCCACCATCCAACCGACAACGATCAACGTCAGACTATGCCTACGGCCACGGCAGTTCACCCGTGCACCCGCACTCAAGCACATATGCAAGTTCTTACCCGACGCAGCACCTGCAACCAATTCCACAACAGCAGCCTATTCCAGAGAACTATCAGTACTCGCCCCAACAGCAGCAAAGTATAGTATCAGGTTCGCCAAGCCAGCAGTACCAGCACCACCGCCGCCGTTCTTCGTCTTCCCACTACGGCCACGACCCCCGCCAAAGCTACGAGTCTGCACACTCCTACCAGTCCGCACATTCGCAGCCCTCGCCGGACTACTACGCAAGGCCTGCACAGAACGGACACGGCACCCATGGCGACTACTACGGCTACCCAAACGACACCACGGGCCACGCACAGAGCCAGATTGCCCACGTGCCGCCAAAAGCATATGGTGACTGGGACAAGCAGGAAGTTACCAAGTACCACAAGAACCAGGACCTCGAGCGCCGACCAACGCTGGGCGGGAGTTTGATGAGCCTGGTTAAGAAGTTTGGGGGGTCGGAGCGGCGTTAGAGACTGGCGGTTGTCGACTGGAAGAATGCATGGGATATGATGGATGTGGAGGGAAGACCGTGAAATGCGATGGAATTGGCATTGCGAGGAGCATATTGGCGCTGGACGCCCGGCGTACGGATTCGATACCCATTTTTCTACTTCTGGTGGTAATGTACAATACGCGCATGATGATGATAATTGTTTATCCAAGATACGCCACACGCCATGTACTGCACTCAAGTACGTCCGAGTTGCCATCCACGCAACTGCAATGCAAGAAAAGAAGAATAAACAACATTAGCACGCAGCTTTCTTGCTCGTGCAGTTGCGCTGAAGTGGAGGCATTCGGTTGTAATTTAGAGGCCTACTGGCTGTGCTCAAGAGCATTTCAATCCTCCAAATGTGCCAAGAAGCAACCCGGATGTGCCTGGGTACGGTGTTCGTTCCTCGAGTCGCTGCGCCACACCCTGTCACTTTACAACAGAGAACACAGCATCAATTGAAGATCAACTCGCAATGTCCTCTGCGCCACCGGCTTTGCAAACAGCAGCCTTGTGGCGCGTACATCTTGTCAGTGTTTGTTGACTCGTGACATTGCAATCGGCTGGTGCTGCCCCGCCGGGACGCACAGCCTTGCGCGCTAACGCCTGCATGTGCTTCGATCACCTTTTAGGCACCGACCGTCTTACTTAGCGGTGCGCCTGACCTGCGAACCATAGAATTTGGCAAATCATAGCGGAGACCCGCTCAGCCCAGCCGAGAAACACCATCCTGTTGCTGCCCAGCATTGGCCGTGTGTGGCTTTGTCGTCATTTCTTCACCCCACTATCGCGGGGCTGAGTCTCACGTTTGCGCCTCTTGACTGCTAAGCCCCTCATCCTTCTCTGGTTGCACCCTGGTTGCCACAGTACCTGCCGAATCCTAAGCTTAGCGAAGACCGTCCCAGAGGCCACATATTTCTGTGATCGCTACCGGGCTTCCGCTTATACTTCTTCCTCCTGTTTACTGAAATATTCAGTAGCGCTTACCTACCATAATCAAGCCTTCCAGTCTATCCTATGGCATACAACCAACAACCCGGCTATGGGCAGCCGCCCTATCAGGGCCGTAAGTCATCACCTGTGGTGGGCTGTGCATCCACCAGCAATCGTCATGCCGCACTTGGCAGTGGTATGAGCAAGTACTAATACCTGCCAGAGCCCTATGGCCAGCAGCCACAATATCAACAAGGACCTCCTCAAGGCTACGGACAACCACCAATGCAGAATCAGCAATATCCACCCCAGGGTCAGTACGGCGCTCCTCCACCACAGCAGCAATGGGGCCAACCGCCGCCTGGGCAGTATGGTGCGCCACCACCTAACCAGTATGGCGGACCACCTCCCCAAGGCCAGTATGGAGCTCCCCCCCAGCAACAGCAATGGGGCCAGCCGCCGCCTTCGCAGGGTCAATATAACCCACCTCCGGGTCCCCCGCCGGGCCAGTACGGCGCACCGCCACAGGGTCAGTATGGCGCACCGCCTCCGCAAGGACAGTATGGAGCACCACCACCACAGCAACAGTACGGCGCGCCTCCGCCACAGCAACAATATGGCGCGCCGCCTGGCCAGTATCAAGCCCCTCCGCCCCAGCAGCAGTACGGCCCTCCAGCACAGCCATCCCTTGGCTACGGACCTCAGCAGACTGCCAACATCGACGTCTCAAGGGATGTCGAAGCCATTCGCAAGGCTATGAAAGGATTCGGCACCGATGAGAAGGCACTGATTGCAATCCTCGCCAAGAAGGACCCCATGCAGATCAACACCATCCGCACACAGTACGATCAAAGACTTATGAGGAATATGGTCAACGATCTCGAGAAAGAGACTAGCAGCTACTTCAAAGAGGGGTTGGTAGAGATCGCCCGGGGTCCTCTGGCTTCAGACTGTCACACTCTCTTCAACGCAATGAAGGGCATGGGCACCAAAGAGGTCATGATTGACGACGTTTTGATTGGTCGCAGCAATGCCGACGTTAATGCCATCAAGCAGGAGTACCAGCGTATTTTCAAGAAGAGCCTAGAAGCTGACCTACGCGGCGACCTCTCCGCTGGGACTGAGCAGATGTACATGATGATCACCTCTGCCCGCCGCGCCGAGGACTCCCACCCCGTCATCCCCCAGGAGATCGAACAGGCTGTCACCGACCTCCAGACCGGCATCGGCAACATGGTCAGCAAGAACGCCGCCCAGGTCTGCCAGATCCTTTCCTCCAAGAACGACGCCCAGCTCCGCGCCATCGCACAGTCGTACCAGCAGCGCTTCCACAAGGACCTGGCCGGCGTGCTCAAGTCGGCGTTCTCGGGCCACATGGAGGACGCCCTCCTGCTCATGCTCGCTCGCGCGCAGAACCGCGCATTGGCCGAGGCGATCAGGCTGGAAGAGAGCATGGCCGGCATGGGCACCAAGGACCAGCTGCTCGTGCAGCGCGTGGTAAGGTGCCACTGGGACCGCAACTTCATGAACGCGGTCAGCGCCGAGTACAAGAAGAAGTTCGGCAAGGACCTGGTCAAGAGGATTGAGGGAGAGACAAGAGGGGATTATGAGAGGCTGATGGTGGCGTGTGTTAAGCCTTAGTGGCAGGTTCGTTTCTGACGAGTAATGGTCGGATGGGGGCGGAGTTTGTAGCAGTATCCACATCTGGGCTGGTGGTGTCTCGTCGAGTAGATACCCATTCAATGTTAATCAATTCATGTTTCCTATGCACGCGGGTATCTTTTCTAGTAATGATTTTCTCCTCGCTACTTCCTAGCTCGTCATTTCACTTGGGGCAATTCCGCTGAATCGTGGATTCTCAACGCCAATTTGTTACCATCGCTACCACTGTGTGCCGGTATCAAACTGCTGCTGATGATGCCGACATCTTCTCTAGACATAGAACGACCCTCCGCAACAAGTGCAACAAACCCAGCCTAACAAGTGTCGCCGACCATCGCACACCGACAAAAGACACACCGGCACCAACAACCCAAACACAACCCACCACCACACTACGCCTCATACCCCGGCAACTCCTCCCCCCTCCCCTCCCCTCCCACCCACATCCCACCACACTCCCTCGCCCCCCTCCCCACAACCCCAACCCCCCGCACCACACCCTCCCCACTCCCCTCCAGCCCTCCACACCCCACCACAACCTCCCACAAAACCTCATACTCCAGCGCCACCCCATACGTCCGAAACCCCGGCGGCACCGTCGTGCTGATCGTGAAGGGGTCGAGCGGCGTTGCGACGCCCGGGGCGAGCGGGAGGCCGGGAAGCGCGTGGCGGCGGGCGAGGAGGGTGAATGTCGAAGGCGAGGTTGATGTTGAAGGTGAGGTTTGGGTCTCGCTGATGGCCAGAGAGGACGAGGGGGGGAGGTGGGTTATGCGGCAGGTAGCGAGGGCGCGGATGCCGAGGAGGTAGACGGGGGAGGGTGTCGCGCAGTGTGTCGCGGCAAGGGACTGCGGGTGCAGCGTGACGAGGATGGAGGCCGGGGCGCCGACGCGGAAGCGCTCTGGGACAGTGAGGGTGAGAACTGGAGACGCCGGCGCTGCGAGCAAGGGAGCAGGCGTGCTGGAGAAGTGTGTCCGGAGGCGGCGGAGCGGGGACGGGGCGAGGCTGCGCTGGGTAGGGTACGAGATGGGGATTGGGAGTGTGGTATGGGCTTGCGGCACGTAGTCTGGCGCACAGGGCGAGAAGCGGAGTTGCTGGATCACTTTGGGGGGTACAGTGGCGTGCGGTGAGGCGCTGGCGAATGTGGCTTCTAGCACGTACTCGATGCGGACGGTGTCGTTGTTCCACCACAGGCTCGGTGGGAGGGGATGTCCGGGCTCGCTTTCGAAGGCGGGGTGCGTGGGATGTGGTACTCGAGGGGCGAGCTCGACGGCGTCTGGGAAGCGGAATTCGAACGGGTATTCGATGCGTCGGGGTGGGCAGTTCTCGCTTGGCATGGCGATTTGCTGGAGGGATTTCGCGTAGCGGAAGAGATCAGTTGATGAGACGTGTTGGACTGTGCCCTCGGATGTACATGTTATGCGGCCGATGAATTGGATGCTGACGCTTTTGGCTTTGATATTGGATTTTAGGTGTACGACACCGCGGATGGGATCATTATCGGTGTAGATGCTGCGAATGGTGGATCGAGAGAAGGCAATTGAAATTAATCCAGTAGGTGTATTCTGACACTCGGGATAATAGTCATTATATAGCTGTGGTTGGGTGATAGGGCTGTAGATGCAGCGAACTGTTGGCCTAGGGCCGTTTTTAGTCGCAGTGGTGGTGATCATGCTAAAATGACAGGGTATCAGTCTCTACATAAGAAACGGCTTTGCCCAAAGTACAGATCAAACTTGCATTTGAAGCTTTCTCACTGGTGATATCAATTACAGGTCACAATACTCCGCTTCAGTCCGACGTCTCCGTAGCCAATGTCGCTGACAAATGCCGGACGTGCTTACATCATCTCTAGATGCCATCGCTCGTGCCAGCGTTTTATAGATTCCTGATTGAGATAAGAGTACCAGACTTTGCGAACGTATGGAGAAGCTCTGGAGCATGTTTGGGAACATACCTAGGTAGGGTGGGGACGTGGAGATGTGAGAGCCTGATGTGATTTCGAGTTTGAAGTCGTCGCGAGCTCTTCAGATGACAGGAGCGGGATAATCGCCATGCCAGGTGCGTGGCGGTTGGGTCGCTTGCATAGAATCCGGGATCTTGCCTCATGCTGTCATAATTCGAGTGCCTGCACTCCGTATTCAGATTCGTTGCCCAGATGCATCGACCCACCTGCGTGACCCGTTCGTAAAAAGAGGTATACACTGAGCTATCGATATATCAACTCACCGTTGAGGATTACTAGAGGGAATAAGACACTAATAAAGCAAAGTCGAATTTGATGTGCCATGCGATCTAGTGCTGTGACTTATTGAGGCTTTAGCCACCGATCACATCCTATCCTCCTATTTGACGCTGGTAATGACTAGGTATTACTACACATGAGGAATGAAGTTTGTCCATTCGACGTTCACATAGGCTGTTGCACTGATGTTTCTCAGTTCTGCAAATGCCTCACCAATCAAATACACTCGCGCGATGCCATAGATAATGGCAAGTGGAGTAATTGCCATTCCCATGGCAGAGGCAACTCAGTGTTTTTACGCTTCACTGTCAATGTTGCTTTTCTTTGCATGTGACGACGGTGTTTCTCGAGACCAGCTCGGTTGAAGAGGTGTAGCCAGATGGTTCGCCAGCGACCAAGCCGAGTCCACGATGCGATGGTCTCGAATATCCAGAAAGCGACTGTGATACCAAACAAAAGCAGCGATGATATTCGCCACAAGATTCGTTCGAGATTCGTTGGAAAGTCGAAGTTCCAACCTGCAACGTGTATGGCAGTAAACAGCAAAGTGGCGAAACAAAGGAGATATTCCTGGATGCCGTATGGATTTGTAGGGAAGCGATCGTTTGGAATTCGTTGTATCGGGCGCTCGGGAGGTATGACTGGCATGTTCATGAAAGGTTGCACGTTCACCGAATACGCAGGGCCATTTTCGTCGACGTGATCCAATGGTGTCAAATCCCAATCTCTGTTTCCAATTATTTCCTCCAGTGTGCTCGATGAGTGGATTTGAATTGGGCTGTGTACATCTGCAGGCTTATGCAGCCAGGCGTACGAGGTCATTAAGGAGCAGACTACGATGGCAAGGGCATTTAACTCGAGTGTTGTGATTGTGAGCTTTTGTGCTGCACGTGCAGCGCATTGGATGATGAGGTAGCTGACCTGGAATGCCGTGATGATCTTGGTGAAAGTATCCTGCTTTGATCTGTCCCAGATCTCGCGCTTGGTTGTCCTTGGATAGTCGACATACTTGTGTTGGACTAGCCAATGCAACTGCGTGGCATTCAACGGAAATGGTTTGGCATCCTTTGCATAAAACACAAAGCCGCCCATATCAGCGAAAAACGCCTGCCTCATATGCCAATCGCCGTGTCCTGAGCCTTGGAATGCTTTGACTGACCATTTCGCTCTACTCCATTGACCGGCGGCGTAAGTAAGGACAAATTCGGGACCCATAATTCCTAGCAACATCCACAACATCCGGCGACCGATTAACTTTAAGTACGTATCATTTGGCGCAGGAAGGTTCAGGCACAACATTGTATAAGTGCTTATTCCGATCGTCAGAAGGGAAGTCCAGATAATATCGAGGGTTCCGCGATAGTTTGGCTGATCGATCCAGGTGGTCACTCGTCTCGATGTCGCATCGTGTTGCTGGCTTGCTTGCAAATTGCAAGCATTTATTGAGGTAGCTATGGCAAGAGATCTATCCCAAGGAAGGAGGAAAACAGCCAGAATGGGAAACAGTGATATGGACAATGGAATCGCCATGCTGACTTCCAGCAATGAGGTGGCACTAGGGTTTCGTCAAGATAGTGTGCCTGTGGATAAAAAAGACAAGCACACATGAGGCTTCCCACGGTATATACTTCAATGTGTTTATGCAGACACTCGGCACCACCAACAAGCGCCAGGATGCACGTGCATATAGCCACATCGTTTCATCCAAGACCACGGACACACCATCGAATGTGCAGAGCGATAAGTATGCTTGGCGGAGCCACCTAGCTCTAGGTATGCTTAGCCAACGGCGTTCATGAAGGATAGGAGGTTGCTTTTGAGTCTTTACGTTTGGTACTTTCTAGTTCAACGGAATATCTAGATCTCTTCAAGGATAAGTGGGAAAGCTAGGTGCGGACAGGCGGGAAGGCTAAATGGCAGTGACGGATCGCCTGCACGAGCCTCATTACGAAATCTGAGAGCTGATTGGTTCACGAAGCGCCAGCCCCTGCAGCTCACCACAAAGCTTCACGCACCCCACGCTTTCCGTATATTGTACACGACCAACGCACTCTGTTCCTACACTCCGTTTCCCCATGTACATCGCCCGCCCGACAGCATCGCAGTTGCTATGTCGTCCGTCACTGCGGTACTAAAGCCCCTCTTCGGCACCTTAGCCGGTATCGTGGGCATATACGCAGCCTTCATCTCTCTTCTCACGATCCCGACCCTGCAAGACCATGTAATCTACTTGCATCGTGTTACACTTACATGGTTTCAAGATGTCAACACACCAGAGCAATGGGGCTTTCTGCGCAACCAAGTCACTCCTTTCCATCTGGAAACACCCGATGGGGAGACGCTACACGCTTGGCACATCCTGCCACTGGAAACCTATCGTCAACATCAGGAAGAGCTTCGCAATGAACCCGCAGGGCTATGTGACGACATCCAGAAACGCCTATCTTTCAAGTTATTGAAAGACGACCCAACGGCACAGCTCGTCGTGTATCTGCATGGCGCAGCAGGCACTTTGGGATCCGGCTGGAGACCACAAAGCTATCGAGCATTATCAGCAGCGTCTACGAATGTCCACGTACTCGTTATAGATTATCGTGGATTTGGGACTAGTACAGGGTGGCCTACAGAGGCTGGTCTTCTCACGGACGCTCTCACCCTGGTCGACTTCGCCACGCAGACTGCAAACATCCCACCTGAGAGGATAGTAGTATTTGCACAGTCGATTGGAACAGCTGTAGCTATATCGCTTACCCACCATCTCGCTACAAAACCAGCTCCTGTACTTTTCGCAGGTGTCGTGCTCGTCGCACCATTTGCAGATGTTGCGTCATTGACCAAGACTTATAAAGTGGCGGGCACAATACCTTTACTATCGCCTATAGCGTTCTTTCCTAAACTGCTCACGCTCCTGAATCAATTCATTGTCAGCAAGTGGCCGTCGAAAGAAAAGCTGGCCGAGGTCATTCGGCACTTGGACTCCACTAAAACCAATGATCGAAGACACAAATACGACATAACACTCATCCACGCAGAGGATGATTATGACATCCCAACAATACACTCAGACGTGTTGTTCTGGCACGGCGTGAACGCGACGCTGGACGCAGCATCGTCAATGACATTCGAGGAGCTGGAAAAGAAGAAATCCAACGAGAGGATTTCATTGGGCGCTGGTGGTTGGGAGATGGACTGGCAAGGTAGAGGTGGTATCATCAGAGAGCTAATTGTTCAGCATGGACTCCATGATCGAATCATGAGCTACCCAGTTGTGAGTCTCGCGGTTGCGCGTGCTTTCCATAGTCAAGACGAAACATGAGAGGTTTATCAATCATCACTTGTTTAGATGGGAAGTACTTATTGCAAGTTCATTTCATGGCACTAGAAGGCTTTTCATTCTAAGTTTCATCCACGTTCTAGGTCAATACTGCACCTTCGCTGACATCTTCCTTCGCGAGACACGTACTCAGGTCCTGTAGCACCACGCCAAATGCTGGACTCGTTACCTACGCAATATCTTCTCCTTCCTTACTAGGATTTACTAAGCAAATCCGATCGGAATTCCTCTCGTCGATTGATGAATCATTCAGTGTTTCGCCCGAACGCAAGTATGCTAATACTAATCAGTGAGAAGAACGCCAGTGATGCCTGGATTGGGATCTTTCTCTTCCTACTAAATCGGTTTACTGACCTAAGACGCTCTACTAAGCCTAATTGAACTCATACTCAGGCATGTATGTCATCACTATCAGGCTTAGTCACGTGGTCTCGCAGCCTATGCTTGACGCCTAGAACTATGGCCGACTGCGCAAGCCCGATATCGGGATCATTCAGCTCTCCTCGAGACCGCCAACATGCACATGTGGCGGTGGACCACGATGCAGATCACTCACTTGGGCTCGCTCAGCTTCCCAGTCTTTCGTAGTAACAGACGTGGAAATGGCCAAGCTGGTTGACACCAAAGTGTCCATCAATTCCATCGTAGTCTGTGCGTCGCTAACTGGTGTTGATACCAGCCGTCAAGTTGAGACGGTACAAGAAGTTGGTAGACATGCTACCTAGGCATTCACTTTGCTCTGATTAACTATCCATGACGCAATGTTCCCAATCGACTACAACACTCAACATCTCTTCATTGATTGTTTCAATGGCGCGAAGACTTAAGTAAACCTGCAGCTTCAGCAGTCTTTGACATCAATGATCTCTTGAAGTGTGGCAGTGTTGATCAGATGCAAATGTGGCAAAAAGGTGTTTCGAAAGAAAAAAACAAGTTGCTTAGATTGTTAACTATCTAGCCAAGTCATAAGACGCGTTGACCAGCTAAGCGCGCATCCGACCGCAATTGGAAACCAAATCCTCCTCAAATGAGTGTGAACCATCCACGCAATAACAGATTCAAGCGCGCTAGCTTCTCAGATTTCGTTTGTGCTGCAGGGTTTGAGTGCCTCCGAGTCCGCAACAAGTTTTCTCCTCAAACGAATAGCGCAAGCAGTGTTGTAAGGCAGACCGGGAGCTGTTTAAACAAACAGTACGGGCTGCTGGAGGGACTGGGTAGCGAAGCAGCTTTGGGACTAGAAGATGAAGATACACTGTTAGCGGTGTTCGACGTGATTGTTGAATCTGATATAGCTGTATCGGTAATGTATGCTGCACAGTCTGAAGTGCGCGACTGATTTCGACGAGGTTGGTGCATGTTGTGGTTGGTGGATAGTGGAGTATGTGTAGAAAGGTTGGATACTTACGGCAGTGCCGCCGCCGTTCTGGGCGTTGTTGCAGCAGATGCTGACCGACTGGCATTGAGTAGTCGCCAGCTTGCAGGTTGTTCCGCTGGATGTTCCACCAGACTTAACATCTCCAACGGTGGGAGAGCAGCAGTAGGGAGATCCGGAGGAGCAGGTGTTCTGTATTCGAATATTGTGTCAGTCACCGTAGCAGCAAGTGAAGTGATTCCAGGGAACTGACCGCTTGGTTGTTGATGACCGGGGGAGCGGGCTTTGGGGGTGGTGCTGGCTTGGCTGGGGGCGCGGGCCTGTTGGGAGCAGCTACAACGCCGACGGCGGTGAGAGCGAAGATAGCGAAGATGCTGGTAAGCTGCATGTTGATGATTGAGATGGTTGGTTGTTGTTGAAGTGATTGTGTGTTAATGAAGTAGTGATTGTTGTGCTGGATGATGGATTCTAGAGAGGTGAAATCACTGCTTCTTATAGAAGTCTCGGATTAGAGCCAGACTTCCTACAGCGGTGGCATAATTCGTTTTGACAAACAGAAACATACATTCAGGCCGCCACAAATCTACCTGAAAAGCCATTACCAGCCTGCCCGAGTCTAGTTTCAGTTCTCGCTCGCGTTCCACAGGCGACGAGACCGGAATGGCGTCTGATGTCCTCGGGCGCTCCTTGTCAGATTCTCGGCTCTCCACTACAGCTGATAGTATTATACGAAGAGGCGTGCTGAAGAGGCGGATAGATCTGGTAGGACTTAGGGACCCGATCAGATCCGGAACACTGTCACTGGCTGCTACACGAAAGATCTGTTGCGACACAACGAAGATACATGCAATTACGACTTGCTTGATTGGTTGAGTTAATGTTTTTAGAGAGGTAAGAAACAGGCGAGAACAACGCTTCAGTCTTTTGGTGTAACGAGCCTTTGGCGTGAAATGTCCTAAGGCATGCAGAGCTGAACTTCTTCGCTCCAGACTCGAGCCTAAGTAAATCCCAACTAGTACGTGCTGATTAGCCTGTGTGAGATTATAGATGCAGTTTTACCAAGCTCTCACGCAGTAATAGATCTCAAGGACAGTGCTACTCATGCCAGCATTGCTGGTAGTACTCAGAGCCCGAACGTTTGAGGCAGAATCTATCATTTTCTCCATTGACTGTGGTCAGTTTTCTGTATCACTGCTCATGACTATTCTTTCCCGGATCTCGGTGGTTGCTCGCTTTGCATAATGCTAACGCACCTTCGTCTTCCGTCGCTACGACGCGGGTAACCGGCACTTGGTACCAGGCTCAGGCTGGTCGAGGTGCGCAACCTCAGCACGCTTTCGGCCTTACCAATGGATCCCTTTGCTACCCCCCCCCCCCGCTAGATCTAAATCTACTGACGGTGAGCTGCTTCGTGTTTGAGCCAGTCACAGCGCAAAATCAGCTTGCCCGAAAAAGCGCCACCCTAGCTGGCTTCAGCTGTAAAGCTACGCAACATGCATACTCAAAAGATTAAACGAGGCTTTGGCATGATGGGGCACCTTGCAGTCTGTCGGCGACGACCCGAAGAGACCAGCCCCATATGGCAAACTGTGGGGAAGGAGCGGAGAAGCCCTCACTGGAGGAGTCCACCTGGCCATGTGCAGGATGAACGTACACCATGTAGTCCCAATCATCATTTTTCAAAAAGCTTCACATAACTAATGTGCATTGTTTCAAGAGAGCATTAGATTCCTCTTCTTTGCCCATGCTGGTTCAAAACCTCGTACAATAAAAGTACCTACCTACACTTCTGTCCCACCTTGTCAGCTCGCCTGTGTATTCAGCTAGCCATTTGGCGACACGTGTGCGCGCCTAGGTAGTGCAGTTAAGTCCTGTTCGGAAGATCCTGTTACTACATTCGTTGTACTGCAGGGATGGCTAAGCTTTACCCGCGGCTCGCTTGGTATGCATAAAAGGTGGAGGATCGTCGAAAAGCGAACGGGCTCGCCGGAGCTAGTACCTGCCATGTGCCTGTGGCAAAAGCAGTGGGTATCCTGGCAATGATCGGCTCAAACAGGTCACTGATACTTCTAGCTTCGTTGCGCTTGTTCTGTCAGCTCTCTTACTATGCTCGCTGGATGTCAGCTCTCGAATGCTCTCCCACCACAACAATGAATGCTAGAATGGTCAATTCAATATTGTGGCTTTCTTTCCTTCGGTATCTCGACCTGATGCCTTACTAAAACAGCTGGTTACCCCTCATCTCACGGAAGTCCAGACTTGAATGCTCTGGATTAGGGAAAGGGCTCTTCTTCAGGTGAAGCAAATGCGACTGTTCTGTCTCTCTCTAACAAGAGAAACTGAGCTACTTAAAGCCTCGAGCCTTGCGGGCTGTTTGAAAGTACCACTCGATTGCACACCGAGACTTTCTACACCAGCTCTTCCATCACTATCAGTCTTCAATCAAATCAAAATGCAGTTCTACCTTTCTGCTCTGTTTCTCTGCCTCCTACCCAGCGTAATCGCAGTCCCCTTTGCGGACCCAGATGCGACCTCTTCCCTCCCCCAGCTTTTTGATCGCGAAGCCACTTCGACTGAGCTCGCAACGCGCGATCCGGCCAAGTCACCCGACAAGAACGGCAATCAGGGAAAGAAGGAAGATTGCCAAAAGCCTATCGCACAGAATCTTTGCACATCAGGCTCGCCATACTGCTGTTCTGGCACGGGTGATCAGCAAGTCTGTGGACCTGCTGGCTCTGTGAGCTGCCAGGCTATGACAATTTGCTGTATCAACACTAATGGAGTGAGTTTCTCCTGAGTCTGGATTGGAGGGTCTACTGGAAAGAATACTGACAGTGAACTTCTAGATGCAAATTTGTGCCGGAGAGATCGATTTCACAGGACCAGTGACGATCAATATCAATTATGGAAAAGTGACGTAATGGTGGCAACGGCGAGACAGAGACTTCAGGTTCTCGATCTGACGTGTATGTAGCTTACAGTACTGCGATGGGTCGTACAGGAATTTTACTTTATATCCGAAAAGCATAGTGCCCCTAGTGACAGCTTCTAATGTGCTTCTAGGCACGTTCATCTGTGCCGTTTGGAGAAGTCGCCATACTCAAGTGGGCTGATATTGTGCGGAGAGGATCAGCATCGAGTTGGTACAAGACGACGGTACCTACAGCTTGCATTGATGCGAATCATAGCTTGACGACCGGCTTCTTTGCCCTTGTAAATTAGTCAAAGTTTGGAACAACGGGGAACAACGGGACCTCGGGAACCAACTAACGGTCGGGGGTTAACCCCATCTGCACATCGAGACATTTTTCAAAGTTCTGTTGATGCCATTCATAGTTTAGTGTCAAACAGCGTAGCATTCCCCACGATCGATGCAGCATGCAGGTTATTCCGAGGCGTACAGCTTGAGCATCCATTCCATGCATGTGGGCCTGCCAATGCGTCTGCGTCTTGCTTTAGGGATGTATCTTGCCAATGTCATGGAGCCACAAGTCTTGGTGCCGCTGAGTCTTAAGCTCACTTGCGTGGCTAGTGCAATGCTTGTTGCTGTCAGTGGCTTCGTAGTACAGTTTGGTACCGAGGGCGACCCTCACAGGAACAGCAAGCTCCACGGTCGGAATAGCATCCGCGCTACTTATGTATCGGTACCAGCAGATTTGTTGCTTTGTTCCGGAAGACAGGAAGACCTGAGGAAGATTCGTAGGCGGAGAGCTTCGGGCCGGACTTTACTGTGAGACATTCGCTGGAAGTTCAACATTTGATTCATTAGCACGTAGTACTGAATTGGACTGAGCTTGGGCTGCAGTCAAGCGTTTCATAGCAGCAGAATTCGCTAACTTTCGTGTGAGACTTTGGCAAATCTGGACTGTATGTACCCCGCCACGTGCTGAAGTCCGAATGCAATGGTGAAGCTGAAAGCAGTATGCTGCGTCTCGAATAGGTTACATCAGCCGTATATGGCCTGGTCGCTACCGGTTCGTAGCGTTACCACCGCTGAGCTAGACGAGCCGAGACGGATGCGGGGTATGTATTAGGTACACACATCATTGCAGCTCATACCTCTTTTTGGTGTCACAGAGCCTGACTCGCCTATCGAACGTCACAACCCGGCAACTAGTTTAGAATACGAGTGTTAATTAAAGCCATAGGGCTTCCTGCACAGCTGAGAAAGCGATTTCCGACCTTCCGTTCTTCGCTAACCCATAATGCCGACACTGTGACGCGGCCCAGGTCGTTTTGGACTGACACTGCATGTGATTTTGTGTATGACAGCTCTGATTTTACGCAAGCCATCGTGGAGTTGAATTGCGGCTACAACGCCGAGGTAACATGCTTTGCCAATGATAAATCTTCCACATCCAACGATGTTCCAGCTCACACGTATGGAAGACAGCAACAAGGTTGGCCTTGCAGGTAGACACAGGCGCGTGGCGCATGCTGACCATGCACTAATTTTTCTCGCTACACAACTCACTGCTAAGCATCTAGGAACTTGATCTCTAGCCGGTATTTCTGTCCGGTCAAAAGGCTTATATCTCTTAGTACCTCTTGGGACAAAGCTTAGCAACGCCGAAGATCGGAAATAAAATCCTCGAACGAATCTTGTAACTCCGGTTGCGCTTGAAAAGTGTGGTCCTCCTCAGAATGCTCCGCTTGGAAAGACTGGATGACCAAATAATTGCTTTTGCTGCTTGGTAAGGCTGAATAGCTTATTCATCAACTCCGAGGCAAAGGAGCTGACAGTATACCAGTCCCCGTGGTCGCTTATTGCCGATCATCTCGTACAATCACCTCGTACAATCATTCTCGTCACTTATGGATCTCTTCCTCTTCCTGCTCTGCTGCTTGGAAGTTGTACAACCTTCATCCACTGTGGCTGTTTCATTGATTTCTTCTTGGCTGTCATCATCTGACAAGATTGACCCTTTGAAGTCGAACCCTCCACAGTTGGGACACGCGAAAACTTCAGCTAGCCATGCGAATGCTCCAGTGCCGCAGATTGCACAGACCATGAGATCCACTTCAGTTGGAATGTTTAGATAGGCGGACATGACTGATTTGATACCACCGTGGTAGGGAACGGCATGCGAGCTTTAGATCTATGGACAGTGACGTGATCGACAACGGTGAAGTGGGGGTTTGCGTCTGCGTGCACGCAAAGTGACAGCATAGAGCATCACTGCTCGCCACGTCGACTTAGGAATCACCACCTTCGTCACCATCCATGTCGTCTGTATCACCGTTGATGTCTTCCATATCCTCATCTTGTCCAGGCCATAGAATTTCCCTTCGTAACAATGCACGGACGTGCATGACAGCGCAGAATATCCAGAGTAAAGTAAGAACGCCTGTCGCCACGGCGCAGACCACCTGTACGCTATTGAGCTCAAGGGCTTCTGCGATTTGAAGAAGCGCAGTGACTAGGCCAACATTCGGGAAGATAAAAGCCCACCAATTAAGGGTGAAGTGTGATTTATTCGCGGAGATGAGTACGCTGACAGTGCTGAGTGCGCTGAACCAGAAGGATACGAGCCACATAAAGACACCAACGAGAATAGCGACAGCTTTGAACACGTCTCCAACCGGGATGCTATCAATACCAAGAAAGCCCTTGGGTATGTGTTTTGGTGCTTGCATACCAAGTGCAACAAAAGTATTGACAGTGTAAGCTGCCGGTCCCACAGCCACGAACATTGCGGGTCTTTTCGGAGGCGCTGGAAGATCACTATTGACAAGACGTGTGACATAGATAGTCAAAAAGAAGTAAGCGACAGTCCAACCAAGGCCTTGGAAAGCAATGCTGCCGATAAAGATTGGAAGGCCGGCCGTTGCAGGTTGATTCTTCAGTATGGCACTCCCAACCACGCCAAGCATCAAAAAAGGATATACCGGCAAGATCCAAGCAGGGAGGGCGTTTGTGACTGGAAGCTTCACACTGTCAAAGATGAAGTGGAACTGCAGGACCGCAACCAGTGCAACGATGACAGCGAAGGTCCAGTAGAGCGTCTCGATGGCCTTCAGAATCCAGTAGTCACACAACGGTACCACGTATAGGTCGGCGCAGTACAAGATGAGCGCAAGACTGACAAAGTAGGCGCCAAAGAAGAAGCTTTCATGAGGGTGGTGAAGGCTTTTAGTCAGGCTGCCGCGGACTGATGTGAATCGATAGATGATGCATCCAGTGAAGGTGATGAATAGTATGACGTTCAAGATGGCGAAGAACCATCCAATTGCATCGTTGCCGGGAATTTTGTAAGTCTGCTGGCCGATCAATGTTGCCAGAGCTCCCGTAGACATCGTCACTTCGAACGAAGACCATGTGAAATGATGGAGGCGTTGACTCCAGGGTATGTTTTGTTTGCCATTGCTATTCTGCGACCGACCGAGTAGGGGTGTGTTTTCAGGCATCTTGCATGCAGACAAAAAACGTTGCCTGGCGAAGAGGTCAACGTGTTAGTGATCATAAACTAAAGGTCATTTTGTATGATGAAGGAAGTGTTGACGTCAACGGATCCCGACTTCCGTGTACCTTCCCTATTCATCGTTAGCACCAACTGATATCGAACTTCACATTAACAGCCATGGAACCAGATCTGAGGTCAACAATGTTTGTATACGATTGGCGAAAGAGCTGCAGGTATACAGTGTTGGTTAAGATTATTTATCACCGCTCAGCCTGAATAGTTCCAAATGTCGCTCTACCCCTTCATCTTTGAGTGACGCAACGACCATGACGTCGCAGTTCGTTATTGGACACGACTACAACAGAGTTGCAACCATGTAAAACATCAATTCTTCCTGTTAAATCTTATCTGTCTCAAGGTGGACATAGTGGCTACCGTCTGCAAGAAAGTCAAATTTGCAGCTGCTCGGCTGTTGAAATATTAAAAAACAGACGAGAATACGGCAAGTAAAACTTGCGCGACGATGACTGCGATGTAATAACATGAATGAGTCCAGCACCTTACGTGAGACGCGTTAATGTATATATCTTAGAATGCGCCTATAACTGAGCCTGTCTAGGACACCGCGAAAGATTTACGACGCAGCAAGACATTTCGCGAACGACCCTGCAAATCGACCCAAGGCCTGGTCCACGAGGACTCTGCCTGCGTACATCCAGCATTGAAGGCCATCGTTCACCCAGCGCAGACCAAAATCCAACGACGCATAGCTTCTTCAACAACATACCCATGACCGAGCTGACCGATATGCCGACGTCTGGAGATTCTGCGCCTGCAAGAGAAGTCGTGCGCAGTGATGAAGTTCAGGATGTTAACTATGCAAAGAACGATCATGTATCACTGCAGAGCCAGCACAGGACCAATTCCATCGAGCAAGTAAAACCGCACCAGCCTCAGCTTACCAAAGTGAATCCAGATCTGACTGCTACACGCCGGTTCATTCCCGTCGTTTGACGAGACGACACTGGAATGTAAGCACCACCACGAACCCTCGAGCGCGAGAACGCGCCTTCAACACTCAGGAAGAAATCATAGTACTTCGTCCGGCAGAGATACGATGCCCGTGATCGCTGCCCAGGAACTGACTGAGCACGTCGCTGGCGGCCGCGCACCTTCTCGTTTTAGTGAGCCTCCTCAAAGTGAATGAGGTGTGGATCGCAAATTGTAGATACCCATCTAAACTGCGATAGCGTGATTAGTGGCGTGGCGAGATGTGGATATTGTTGCGGAGAAGACCATGCGGAGGGATGCTTTGACGATCAGAGTCTCAGTGTAGAGGGATGATGTGGCTACATGCACTGTCACCACGAAACTCTGACATCTTGCTTGGGGCGAAATTCTGCGCACTCGGCCTTTTGAGGCCGTAATTCTTGCTATGTACTGTATGCTGATCTTGCAGTAGCCACAAGGCCCTGCTTAGGTGCGGTGAAAAAGATACAACAGAATGATTAAAACAAAAAGGGTATCCTAAGGTGGTTGCAGCACGGCAAGATGCCGAGAGCAGTTGAAGTAATGTTGTGGATGTGCCGGCTAAGCGGCGCGTTGATCAGTAGCATTGATCACCTGTTCGCATTAGCATCGTTCGGACCCAGTGGAGATCTTGTGGCTAGCAGGCACTCACCGATATCCCCCCCGTCGACTGCCTCGCCTCTCTCTGTACTCCTCTTCATGTTCTTCAATGACTTCGACCACATCGTCATTCGGCACTCTCCGCCGGTCTTCAACGATGATGCTTCTTGTCCGCGGCGGCGGCGGTCCTCTCCTCTCCTCCACTATGACGTGTGAGCGGCCACTCGACTGCCTTGGGCTCCTGCTAACTTCGCGCATCTGCGCATGCGAATTGCGCCGGGACCTGTTTCCATGCGAATTGCGTCTAGGCCTGCGCACTACGATTTCCTCTTCGCCCGCCATGGCAGTTGTCGTGCCGGCTCTGCTGGCATTGGTGAGGGAGTAGAGCAGCCAGACGACGAGCAGGAAGCCTCCGACGCTGCCTAAGACGATGCCGACCACTGTGCCTGGCTCGGGGCCATCTAGGTTGTAGTATGTGGGTATTATTCCCGGCTGTATGGTCATCTGTTGTCGCTTCGAGACTGGTGCTGTGCGAGGCGCCTCAATGTCAATAGCAGGCTTGCGCGGGAGCAGGCTATCGCTGCCATAAGCACGAGGCGCCAGATTGCCCAGCTGCGCTATCGCATTGAGCAATTCAGGTACTGCAGGCATGATGAATGCTGATGAGGAACGACAGGTTCACCAGAGTTTGCGCAATTTGCGCTGGGCGGCGGCGAGATGACGGATGTCGTCGAGTTGCGCGGTCGTCGGGGCAATTAGCCGGTAGGTGACTCCGGGGAAGCCGAGTGATGATGGGGGAGGGGCAGCCGCAACGCCGTGCTCGAGATGAAGGAGCGACAGAAGTTAACAATGAGGTGTCAATTCAGGATGTGCAGGAAAGGGAAACGAAGAGAAAGCAGGGCGACACAAGCGGCGTCAGATTAGGCGCAGCGCTGGACTCACGACGAGACCATGATGCAATTAGCTCCTTCCTAAGAAGAGGCTGGGCCGCGACAGCAAATAATGAGGGGGCTGCGTCTTCGACACGAACCTGCCCAGCGTCTGCCGCGTTCAGTTTAAATATCAGCGCCTTTGAGTGCAGTCTAATGTTGGTGCTATAGGTTGTACGTTCGCAAAGTTACCCGCGTGTATGTTGTTGTGCTTGGATGTTATTGTGGTCGGCGCGTAACAACATCCAGCCTCGCGTACGGTACTTCGTACCTACCTATCTTGTCACCTTGTGGCTGTCCCAGTTCCTGCCGTGCTTGACTTTGCGCCCGGTGCTGCTATCTCTGTGCCAACAATAGTTTTCCACGTCAGCCTGGTCTTTCGGCTTGAGAGTGATGTGGGATCGAGTTGGCATAATGCTTTTCCGGATCCATACGGGCCTAGTCACGTCTACACGTGAGCCCTTCCTTCCGCGGACAGAACCACGACAAGCCTAGGCAAAGTGAAAGGTCCTCGGAGGCGGATGCTCGTGTGGGATTCATCAGACGACAGGCAGTGGAGTTGAGAGTCTGAGTACCTCTATGGCTTAGTCTACCTATGCGCCAGACAGTATACATAGGTGATCATTGACACTGTAGCTCTGCCATCTCCAATCTCAGGGCGTCGTGGTGCGACTGTCACATTCACATCATATATCGATCAGCCCGTCTCTGCAGGACCACGCCTCTGCCTGTATGCACCGAATGAAAATGGGCGTGAGATGAACTGCAGCGATCGCGCGTTCGCGGCAGCCCTGGGTGGCGATGACAAAGCGAACGAACGGATGGTTCTCGAAGATACCGCGCCGTCCCCCGTGAGTTGAGACAATGGTTCTTTTGTCTCGCGCGTAGCAGACATTTGTAAGACTGAGCTGCAGCACAGGCGTGTTTCGTGCCTGAGGCGAGCAAACGAGTGCACGTCCGCCAAGGGCAGGAACGGGGTTTGCCGCCAGCCGCTAAATGTCTGAGGCAAGCGAACAGCCTTCCTCAGGACAACGCTCAGCATATCTATCCACGCGACCACCGCCACACCGTCGACTTCGAACGCACGCATTCACACGTCTCGAATTTGCCTTTTGCGACAGACCCATATAAAGCGCGACAAAGAAACGCGGAAGAGCGCGCCGGCCGACACGCTTTATTCACAAAACTTTCCCTCGCCCCACGAGCGACTCCCCCTCTCCTCCACACACAGCCAACATGGCTGATTTCTCACCCGAATCGCCTCTCGCGGCGCAGCTCCAGCAGGTCGTCCAGCCCAAGCTTGCTGAGAATGGGTGGACCACTGGCGGCGACGACACAACGCTGTTCGAATACATCCTCCTCATGCTGGCCAACGGCAAAGATCAATCACAAGTCGCGGCGGAGCTGTCCAACGATCTTCTTGACCTTGGGCCCGAGAACACAGAAACACAAGAATTCGCACAGTGGTTGTTCGCACAGATCGACGCGCTGCAGCGGCAAGCCGCTGGGGGCGTCGCTCAGGGCGCGCCTTCTGCAGACCAGACCATGGACGGCGGCGCGCCGTCGTTCGTGCCTGGTGGGCAAGACACTGACATGGAGGGCACTTCTGAAGCCCAGGAGGGCATGTACGTCACCTTACCCGCCCTGGTTCTATCGCGACCTCAGCTAATCAAACGCAGCCCCACAGGCCCAAAAGCCATGCGCAACGGTAGCGGTGCGCCATCAACACGCGCTGGACCGCGCGGAGGACGCAACATGCTCAACCAGATGAACAGACAAATGAACCGAAACGACGACCCGTTACATCGCGTCCGTGGCGGCGGCGGTGTTGGCAGGAATAGCCGCGACCCCCCTCGAGGCCCTCGTGGTCAGAATCTCGGTCGCGGAATTGAAGCCATGGCGAACGGAAGAGGCATGAACCAAGTGGGCAACGTCAACGGCGCCCCCGGGCCCATGAACGGAATGAACGGAATGAACGGCATGAACATGGGCGGCATGCCTGGAATGCCAATGCCGGCGCAAAATGCTGGCATGGGCCTCAACCCGCAGCAGCAGATGGCGCTCATGCAGATGTACGAGCAGCAGGCCCAGATGATGCAGCAGATCTTCTCTGGCGCCACGCCCTACGTCAACCCTAATTTCAACAACAACAGAGGAGGTCGTGGCGGGCGAGGCGGGCGAGGCGGGCGCGGTGGCATGCACCAGTCGACCAAGTTTACTAAGAAGGAAGGTCAGGACGATGCCATGGCCGACGGGCCCGCAGGCGAAAACGGCGACGGCATGGAGGTCGAGAACTCAAGGCCCGAGCCGTCATCCACCCTTTGCAAGTTTAATCTGCGATGCACCAACCCAGACTGCCACTTTGTTCACCAGTCGCCGGCGGCTCCCCCCGGCGCCGCTGTCGATATGGAAAGCACATGCGAATTTGGGGCAGCGTGCAAAAACAAGAAGTGCGCAGGAAAGCACCCGTCGCCGGCCAAGCGACAGCAGTTTCAGTCGGAGCAGGAATGCGCGTTCTGGCCGAACTGCCGCGATCCGCTCAACTGCCCGTACAAGCACCCTACAACGCCGCCGTGCCGCAACGGCGCGGACTGCGCAACACCCGACTGCAAGTTCTCGCACAGCTCGATCATGTGCAAGTTCACACCTTGCTTGAACCCGCGTTGCCAGTACAAGCACAGCCCGGGCCAGAAAAAGAACAACACCAACGTGTGGGTGGCGCCGAAGGAGGGCGAGCACGTCAGCGAAAGGAAGTTCATTGACGAGAACCGAGCCGAGGAGTTGATAATCCCTGGACAGGAGAAACAGAATGGCCAGACACAGGCAGCAGAGAGCATGGAGCAGGATGTACCGTTATAGGTATGTTGATGACACGACATGATGAGACAGGGAGTGGTGGCAGTAGGGGGGAAAGTGGACGGCTGCAGGCGTGGGGTAGTAAAAGAGCACATGTACTATAGTTCTGGATAAGGACGGCCGCACCAAGAGGGTGCGGCCTGTGGGAGTCAGCAACTGAGTTTGTTTTCAGCGGCGATTGAGCTGCTCTGTGTCTCTTTACACACGTTCTTTACATGCAACCTTGTGATTCGTGCTAAAGTGCAATTACGGGTACCTGAGTATGTAGTAGGTTTCGTAACGTGGTTCGTGCTGTATAGCGTGTAACTCTGTATATCTGGACGTCTGGATGCATGTCTGATATCTGGATGCATGATGACATGTGCACTGCGCGGGCTGAAGCTCGGACGTTTCTGATTTCCCGAGCAACTTTGTCGATGACGGCGACAGCATGGCCTGCAATTGAGCCTCCCACCGCGCCTGCCACCGCTCCCTACCGCCGGCAATGCTTGTCAGAAGACATGTGCCGCTCCTCGAGTCGACCCTGAGAGCCCGCGGCCTGCGCCCGCTGCTAGCCTCGCAATGCACCCGCCTGCGCTTCTCCACGGCGCCGGCCCACCCTGAGCGCATTGCGGTGCTCGGTGGGGGCATTGCCGGCCTCTCGAGCGCCTACTTTGCGTCCAAGGAGTTCCCCAACAGCCGCATCACCGTCTACGAGAGCGGCGACGAGACGGGCGGCTGGATCCGGAGCAAGCGCGTGCAGGTGCCGGGCGGCGAGGTCAACTTCGAGTCGGGGCCGCGCACGCTGCGCAATGCCACCATCACCGCGCATCTGGTGAGTTGGACACGTGCCCGCCCGCGCGGCCATTGTAATTGTGCAGTGCCGCTGACACGTGCAGGTCGAAGCGCTGGGCCTCGCCGGCGACCTCGTCTTCACCAAGCGCACCGACCCTGGCGCCCTGAACCGCTTCATATACTACCCGGACCGCCTCAACCGTCTGCCTGCCCCCACCGGCATCTCCGCCGCCGATGTCTTTTCATTGTGGCGCAGCGGCATGCTCGAAGGCGCCGTGGGCATGCTCAAAGAGCCTATGCAGCCCAAGCGCTCCGTGTCCGTCAGTGACGAGACCGTTGGCTCCTTCCTGGCGCGCCGCGTGGACGAGAAGCTCGCCAACAACGTCGTCTCCGCTGTCTTCCATGGCATCTACGCCGGAGACATCTGGCAGCTGAGCGCCAAGACACTGCTCGCTATGGCCTGGCAGCTCGAGGACCGCTATGGCACTGCACTCGGTGGCTACTTGCGCATGCAGAGGGAAAGCCCCAGCGGCGAGTTCCAGGCCATCGCTCACCCATACGACGCTGAACTTGCGGCAAGCATACAGAACGAAATTCACATCAGGACCGATATCTATAGAAAGTTCAAAGACGCGAGCGTCTTCAGTTTCAAGGATGGTCTGCAGACCCTTGTGAAAGGGCTGCAAGCTGCCATGAAGAACACTGGCAATATCGATATCAAGCTCAACAGCCCTGTTTCGTCGTTCAAGATGGTTGAAGGGGACGCCCAACAGGTCGAGATCATCGCAGGCGTGAGTCACCCTTCCCCGTCGCAGCACTCATATCTGACCAGATCTAGTCCGACGCCAACAAGACCACCGAAAACTACGACGTCGTCATCTCCACGCTCCGCAACGCAGAGCTCACTCCCTACGTCACCGTCATGACCGTCAACCTCTACTTCGAGAACCCCAACCTACTCACCGCCGAAGGCTTCGGCTATCTGATCCCCCAGTCCATCCCCTTCGAGCAGAACCCCGAGCGCGCTCTCGGCGTCATCTTCGACAGCTCCGCCATCAAGGGCCAGGACACCGCTCCCGGCACGAAACTCACCGTCATGATGGGCGGCCACTGGTGGGACGGCTTCGAAGGCTTCCCCACGGAAGAAGAGGGTCTCCGCATGGCCCGCTCAGTCGTCGGGCGCCACCTCGGAATCTATGACGCGCCTCTCGCGCACCACGTCAACCTCAGCAAAGACTGCATCCCGCAGTACACACTCGGCTACGAAGACCGTTTGAAGGCGTTCGCCTCGTCGCTCCAGGATGAGTTCAAAGGCAGACTGCGCGTTGTAGGCAACCAGTTCAACGGCGTAGGGGTCAACGATTGCATCACCGGCGCGTGGAGCGTGGCAAGGGGTCTTAGGGGCGACGGGTGGAAGAGCAGAGACTGTGGATTGGGCAGGGTGCAGGATAGTAGGCCGTGGCGCGTGCTGAATGCGAAGGACATGGTGTATTCGGACCCGGGTGTGGACGACGAACCCTAAAACTGGTAGAATCAAGAATGTATAAGTACTGTGTCCAGGTGTGTTTTCGAGCTCGCAAAGTTTGCTGCCTTGCGTTTGCTGCATTGCCCGTCGCAATTCGCCTCCCCTGCTGCACTCTTCGCCCAACGAATTCTTTTTCACCATGTGGTCCTGGGATCCTTGTTCGATTGCACTGTGCGTTCTGTTCAGTTTCCACACAATGCCGCATTACGCCAAGCCCAGAACGGGATAATCGACCTGAAGACCTCGTTGGCGAAAGACAGATACTCGCGAGCCCAGCACCGCAACACTGACGAACAATGGAACTACGAAGAGCGCCAGAAGCTCGAGCTTTCAGCTTCCTTCACCTGACGCTACGGCCCTACGTCTACGGTCTGGCAGAACTGGCCAATGTCCTCGACGACAAGATCTAGATGCACATGTACCAGCGAAAGGTACTGCATCAGATGGCAATTGTCGACAGTCTGGACCGCAAGTTGTTCCTGCAGCGCCCCATATACAGGAGGCATCTGAGCCGTGTTCCAGGGATCGGGGGCGGATTCAGGTCGGCGGGGCTGGCGACGAGGTCGAAGGGACTGAATTTGTTGCACGGTGTGTAGACGCTGGTTGCGGCGTGTCGGTCGACCCTTAGGGGGCGAGGGGTGGTTAGCAAGCGGTAGCTGGGCTGGAGTGATTCTGTTGGGCTGAAACGACTTTGGTGTTTTTCTATGGTGTTTGTGTCTGTCTTTGATTTTTCGTGATGGCTTGCTGGGGATACTTGGGGACGAACAATGAAAGCAATCTGAACGATGTTTTCTGCTTGTGTATGGCCTCTTGTAGTCTACTAGCGGCACAACACAGACGCAATCGAGCACTGTAGCTATGGAACGACAGTATATGTATTCATGCATAATAGCAACGGCTGCTCACCAACATACACGTATATAGCTATGATTGCTATGTCGTTATAATGTTGGGTCCGCACGTTGTTGGGGCCGTGACTTTGTCGAGAATACCTAACTCACAATGCTTCACCTACACGACACTGTTACCACATAACCGCCTCAACATGTGTCTTTTACTCAGTGTACTTATTGCTTCCTCCCTCGTCTCATCTGAACTCTCATACGAAACAACCGCAACTCATCTGTCAATAAACTTAACGCTAAGCATGTGGTCTTATCTTTCGCTGGCCGCATTGGCTGTCGCCTTTGTATACAGCGTAGTCAGTGTCTCCGCAGCAGTCTGCGCTACCACTTATGAAAATACATACACCGAAGCTGTCAATACTATCGTCAGCTCTGCCATCCATATGCTGAATAGGATATCCACAACCACTATCTCGTTCTGCCTTAACTTCCTCGAATATAACTTCCTATTGCCCCACTGGATGTCCCACACACTCTTCTGGATGCTCTTAGCCACATACATAACACACCTGCGGTCACCACATACCCTCGAAAACCTGCGGCTCGCAGCTCTCGAAAACCTTCGGCGTGTAGCTCCCGACCTTAGAATTTATTGGGAACCTGTTGAACGGCTGATCGATAACTTACTCAATTACCCAGAGGAATTGGATGAGACGATCGCCGCCCCACAGCAACAGGCCAGGGATCCCGAGGCTCGGCCCCCTCCCCCCGCTCGATGCACGCACGAGGACATAGACGCTGCAACAGCACGGGCTTTGCGTTACAAAAATCGGGCCCAAAAGATTGCCGACGAAAAGACAGCCTTGATCGCAAGTAACAAGAACTTGCAACGCGAACTAGACGACGCTTTGAGAGAGCTATCAACTAAGCCCGGCGTCGTGCAACGAGAAAGACTGAGCCGCGAAAAGGAGGCCGAGATAACTGAAATCCGCCAGCAACACAAAGACAAAAGAGCTAGCATCCGCCAGCAACACAGGGACCATGTGGAACGCATCCAGGAGCAGCACACCGCTGAAGTGGTCCGCATCAATAGGCAACACGCCGCAGAGACTAGTGCCCTCAATAATCATATCGCCAACCTCCAAAACCGAAACCCTCGCACTCAGGCCGCTCCCAACCAAGATGCTGCCAACCAATATGCTCCCAGCCAGCCCGTCCCCGCCTGCACCCATGAGACCACCATCACCGAGATGCAAACCGTCATCGACAAACTCCACCAGGAAAAAGCATCCCATGAGCGCCAGATACAATCTTTCCAAACCGATATTAATGAATTGAGAACCTCAAGAGACAGTCTCCTCCAAGATCAAGCCTCTCAAAAACGCGAAAACGAAGCCCTAAAAACCTCCACCGCGGCCCACGAACACAACACCGGCACCCTAGCCAACGTAAAAGAACTGCTCCACCGCATGGCCACAGACAGCGACATCTACATCCGCCTCAGCGCCACCTTCTTCGTATCCTGCCTCGCCTTCAACGGCGCAGATACGGCCTCCTTCGGCATCGATCTCGAGCGCTTCAAGCACTACTCCACGTGGGCACGTGCGTTCGTGGAGCGCCGCATAGCGCCCGTGATTCCCACGGACGGGTTCCGCGTCGACGGGGCGCGGTTCCCGGTGAGCCAGCGGTGGGGGACGGGCGGGGTGGTGGTGCTTGTCGCGGGCGGCGAGGAGGTGGTTATGGCGGACGCGCCGGGTTCACCGGCAATTGACGACGCGTACTTGAGGCTTCCGGACGAGGTGCCGCGCGTGCACAGGGCGAGAGCGAGCACTGCTGGGTCTGCGGGAGTGGCGAATCAGGCACCGAATACTACTGCAAACAATGCTTGGAACGGTGCGTCGAATCCTGCTGCGAACAATGCTGCGGCATCTGCGCCTCAGGCGAACAATGCATCGGCCTTCCGCAACTACCGAAGCTCCGCCAGGGATGAAGAGGATGAGATGTTGTAGGCGACGCGATGGGTAGTGCGCTGTGGTGGTCAGCGATGTTTTTGATTTGCATACAATGTTGTACACCTCTGTTTTGATAAGATCGTGTTGGATTGTTTCTACGATGGGAATGGGTAGTCTGTTTTTCGAGTAATGAATTTTTTGTATCAAATGTTAAGCACACTGTGACGTTGTGAGTGATTCACTGGACAAGGTTCGGGTAGCGATGACTCGTGAATACGTATCGTTGACTAAAGTCTTGCTTCTTGGTATGGTGGATCGGATTGAGCGTTTCTTACGCAGACGCCTCCCCAGTCGCTTGTCTCTCAGCAACACTGCCGCCTCTCCAGGCCGCCTTCGGATCCTTCTTGTCTTCAACCCTACTTTCCTCCCCTTCTTTTCCCCAACCACCACCGCCTGGGGTGTGAATGATGATGCGCTCACCAGGCTGCATACTTGCGGTGTTCTTTGCACCCAGGTTGATGAAGCGATACTCCACATCCTTTTGTTCGGCATCCTTCACGTTGATCTCCTGAATATCAGCAGTATCCGCATTGGAACCCTCACTAGTCTTCTTAGAATCGCTATTCTTGTCGATGTTCTTGCGGTTCACTTTGCGCGCCCAGATGTTCAGCCCGCACGCAGCCTCGCCACCGCCTTCCATGCCGTAAGGATGGTACACTCTCCTCTCACTCAAGATAGAGACTTGGACAGGAATACGGAATTCGATGTCGCGAATCACGCCTTCGCCACCGATGTGCATGCCCTTTCCGGCACTGCCTTGGCGCAGTGAAAACTCGCGTAGCAGCACGGGGTATCGACGCTCGAAGACTTCGGAGTCGGTGATGCGCGTGTTGGTCATGTGCGTGTGTACACCGTTCGTGCCATTCCAGGTCGGGCCTGCACCTGAGCCACCAGCAATGGTCTCGTAGTAGCCGAATCCCTTTGTCTCCTTCCGAGCGCCGCCGTCTTCACCGCCTGAGAGCCCACCGAAGCCGAATGTCAGATTATTTGTGTCACCCTGAGATGCGGCACATGCTTTGAATGCCTTGAGCACAACGTCTGTGACGCGCTGCGAGGTAAGGACGTTGCCACCAACCACAGCTGCGTTGTCGGACGGCGACAAGAATGACTTCTTGGGAATGAGGACGTGGATAGGCTTCAAGCAGCCCTGGTTCAACGGGATATCTTCGCTTATCAAACAGCGGAGACAGTAGATAATCGCGCTGTAGGTTACAGCTTCAGGTGCGTTAATGTTGCCGTAGACCTCGGGGCCTGTGCCGCTGAAGTCGAAAACGGCCTCGCCCTTTTCAGGATCGATGGTCACTTTGAGCCTGATCGGAGAGCCGTCGTCCATGAACTCTTCAGCAGAGAGATCTTGACCCTCAAAGCGCTTGTAAACTTGCTTCAGCAGTTGGCGCACAGAGGATTCGGCGTTAGCTTGGATGTTGGTCATGTAGAACTTGACTACTTCCTCGCCATAATCAGACATCAACGTGCTGATCAAATTGATGCCTTTTTGGTTTGCTGCGATCTGAGCCTTCAAGTCGTTTAAATTATCACTGAGGCAGCGAGTGCCGGAGCATCCTGGATACTGAGCGGGCTCTACTGAAAGCAACTCAATAATGCGCTCTTCATTGAAGTGACCTTCAGACACAAGCTTTTCGCTCTTGATGGCAGCACCTTCTTGATACAGCTCTTTCGAGGAAGGAGGCATCGAACCAGGTAGGATACCGCCAATATCTGCGTGATGAGCCCGAGAAGCAACATAGAAGATGATGTTGTCGCCGCTGAAAGCAGGTGTGATGACTGTGATGTCTGGTAAATGGGTTCCACCAAACATTGGGTGGTTAGACACGAGAACGTCGCCCTTCTTGAGTTTTCCTTTCCAGATAGCGGCTTGTTTGCGTACGCAAGTCGACATGCTGCCGAGATGTACGGGCAGATGTGGCGCTGTATGGTGTCAGAGAGGCCTTTCGCAACGTTCGTACAACTTACCATTCGCTACAAGTCCGCCATCAGCGTCAAACAACGCACAGGAGTAGTCAAGACGCTCTTTGACGTTTGTCGATACACTCGTCTTTTGCAAGGCGCGGCCCATCTGCTCAGCAATGGCCATGAATCGATGCGCGAAGATACTGAGCATGATCGGATCGACTTCCTTCGTGCTGATCTGCTTTTCCGACCCATCGCTTTCGCCAATGTTGATCACAACGTGTGTGTGAATGACCAGCGCCGCCGCGCCAGGCGTGACAACAATAGTCTGCGTTCCATCCGCAATGATTGCTGGGCCCTTGATGCGGTCGCCAACTTCAAGATCCTCTAATTTGTAGACAGAGGTATCTTGTCGTCCGCCCTCGAAGAAGACCTTGCGCGTGTCATATCGTTTCTCGTCTTTGGATAGATCCTTAGGCAAAATTTCCTTGAGCTGCTGGTCAACAGTCTTCTCAAGACCCTCGAAAGTCTTTCCGATTCCGCGAGCACGCACATCATCGACAATGATATCACGATCGGGTAGGGTAAAACCAAACTCTTGCTCGTGCTGTTTGATGAACGCTTGGCCGAATGCCCAGTCATCACCACCAAAATCCTTTTCAGCTTCTGCCTTCGTTGGCTTCACAATCATGAGAGCAGACTCAGTACCTCGGTAACGGAGATTGAGGTACTCCTCGAAATGTATGCTACCCTCATCAAAGCCTTGGGACCTCAGCGTCTCCGTAGACTTCGCTTTCAAATCTCCCATCTTTTTCTGTAGGTATTGTCGTACCGTGTTGTCGTCCGACCATACTGTTGACTCCGGTTCCTGTCGCTCGTCCACAACATCTGCTAAAGCCATGCCGTATGCTGATAGAACCGAAGAGTACCTGTGAACGAGAATCTGCGTTATGCCTAGAGCTTCAGCGATAGCGACAGCGTGTTGGCCACCGGCTCCTCCAAATGTCGCCAGTCTGTGCTTCGATGTGTCGTGTCCCCGAGCTTCAGTCAAGCTGCGGATTGGGCGCGTCATGGTCTCATTAGCAATCTTGATAAATCCATTGGCAATGTCGTCCAGTGACATCTCTTTCTCCTTGTTTCCCCCTGCTACCTCTTTGTTGATTTGATCAGCGAGCTGTTTAAACAGAATCTCACTAGCGTCTGCATCAAGGCCCTCATCTTCGTTCTTGCCGAAGATCTTGGGAAAAAAGTCAGGTAACAAACGGCCCAAGAACAGGTTGGCATCGGTGATGGTGAGTGGACCACCCTTGCGGTAACATGCTGGACCGGGATGGGCACTAGCAGACTCAGGGCCAACGACAAACAAGCCATTCTTCCAAAACAGTCGCGAGCCTCCTCCTGCCGCCACCGTATTGATATCAAGCTGAGGTGACTGGATTGTAACACCAGCGGTGGTGGTCTCGAAGACGTGGTCGTAGCGTCCCGCGCCGTACCTGCTTACGTCGGTACTCGTACCACCCATGTCGAAGCCAATGACAGGTGTCTTGGTCTCTGGGTCGTAAGAGGTCAGCGCGTACCCGACAACTCCTCCAGCTGGGCCAGACAGGATCGCCTTCAGCCCCGAGAAGATGTCAACATCTACAAGGCCGCCATCAGACTGCATGAACTCGCATCGGGCGCCCTTGGCACCACTTTCACGCTTGACGCTTTCTGAGCCTAGCCCGCCCTCGAAGCCTTTTGAGAAACCGTCAATGTACTTGCGAATGGCAGGGGTGAGGTAAGCATCTGCGCAGGCTGAAGTCGCACGCGGCACAAGTTTGATCATGGGCATCAGGGCGTGGCTCAGACTGACGTGCTCGAAACCAATCTCCTGGGCAATCTTCCCCACCAGAGCTTCGTGGTGAGGGTACGTATAACCGTGCATTAGACACACAGCGATGCTCTTGATGCCGCTATCGAAGACGTCTTTCAGCTGCCTCCTGATAGCATCCTCCTGCGGACGTTGCAAGATACGCACCGTCTCGCCAGACAAGCCTTTGACCAAGTCGGCATCGGCGGCTGCCTCGTCGATAGTCTTGGCGTCTGTCTGGTGGCGCGTTGGGTCCTCAGCGTAATCTTCGAGCGTCACGCGCTCGTCAATCTCGACCACGCGCTTGTACAGCACCTCAGGCTTACGGATGTCCAGAGCAAAGATGTTGGGTCGGCTCTGGTTGCCAATCTCTAGGCAGTCCTTGAAACCCTTAGTTACGACCATAGCCATAGCTTCGCCCTTGCGCTCCAATAGCGCGTTGGTGGCCACGGTGGTGCCCATACGTATGCTCTCGATCTTAGTCGTGTCGAGCGGCTGCCCGCGCGGGATGCTGGCGCCCGTGAAGCGCTCGAGCAACCGGCGGATGCCTTCGAGCGGTGCATCGTCGTAGTTCGCAGGATCGACCGACAACAGCTTGATGACAACGTCGTCTTCCATCTTGCCTGACCCGGGATTGCCCACGCAATCGGTGAAGGTTCCCCCGCGCTGGACTGTCAGTGCTGCTACATTTTGAAAGGCACTCTGTACCTACGTCTATCGCGATGCGGATGCCCCGCTCGCTGTTCTTGACGTCTGCCATGCTGAGCGCCTTGTGCAGCTGTTCGAGTGTCTACGAAGTGGTCGCAGAGCTCACACCAGCAGAACTTCTGGTCTCTATGCAGCACAGAGCATCCAAGTGCGCGCGCAACGGCAGTGATTAGCAATCCACTGCGCGATTCGTCCGAACACGCCTTCGCGCGCGATAGCAGGAGTGGGGTTGGCGTGCCCCGCGTCGCCGCCATCTCGACTCCGTCATTGCTGTGGCGCCAGCTTGAGCCTCGTCACGCCACTACCTACAAGGGAAACTGCTGCAGTGCTGCCATTGCTGCTAGCTACCACAGGTATGACTGGCTACTGTGTATAGCAAACTAGCAGTTTCCCTATAGAACTGCTCCCCCTGATGTCTTCCACACACCTCTAACGCGACCGCCGTTATCGGCGACTCCCTCTAGCCACTGTTCGAACCGAGCACCGCCACCAATTACGTGCACATGGAAACCATCATCTCCTTTGCAGTGACACTCCGGTACTGCAGCATTCTAGCGCTGGAATAAAGAAAGAGTTGGTCAACGGCCCAAGCAATGCAGGCACGCAATACTGTGATCGACAGCTTCGTCACATTTCACAAATTGCGGTGAACATCCCGGCAACCTCGACCCAGCAAGCAGTGACAGCACGATGCGCCATTGTTGCATTACGATGTTTCACGCTTGAACAGATGGTCCAAGGAAGTATCCAAGCTGTAGCCCCTCACCTTCACATGCCCTCGGCCATTTCGCCTTGTCATCCCCTGACAGTCGCCTTCTCGTGGCACGTCGGGACCTTCCTGAAGCGAGCGCCTCTTCCGTTAATCTGGGGAAATCAAGGCTTCCCCGCATTGCTCCAAGAACGCGATGCAAGGACCCGGCATGGCTCATAGCTTGTAACAGGGTTGAGAAGACTACCCGCTATTCAACGTAGGCTTTTGCGACTGGACAACGCTCCCTACCCGTACTGGTCCGGTCTTTCAACCGTCATGTAGTGATCGATAGTCCGTTTATTATAGGGCGTTCAATATGGCTACAGAGGGTTCCCCTCACCACCATCCGGATTCTCGTCGCCTCACCGACAAGCCGAGCTTGAAGTGTCGTCTTGTGACAGTGGTTGTCGATCAGAATCATTGGGAGGAGAAGAGTCGAGTGGAGTAACGTGTCGGACAACAGGCTTCTTTGAGAAACGACAGACAGAGCAAAGCGTAGTCCGACGAGAAATGTTAAAATATATAAGTTGAACGCAATGCAGCGGATAGATCACATCATCAGCATCTCAACTGCACTCGGAACCTATTCACCATACCTTTTGTGACCATGAAGACTTCCACGATTCTCGCCACCATCGCCCTCATGTTCGCCTCCTCTGCCACTGCGCAGACAGCCTGTGACCCAGTCGCCTCCAGAGTCCCAACTTGTGGTGTATGTCAATCCCAAGTCCCCTTGAACCATCACCCAACCTGTCCACTTGCGTTTCAGCCATTCTCACAGTATAACAGGTTCCTTGCATCTCCTCCGCCGCCTCTGCTGCAGGCTGCACTGGCGGTGACTACCGCTGCCGCTGCGCCAGCTCTTCGGTCATTCAGGCCTCGGCTCAAGGCTGCGTCATCAGCAACTGTGGCATTGCTACTGCCCTCCAGGTCCAGGCATCTGGTTCAGCCGTGTGTGCTTGTGTCGCTACTGCTACTGGCAATTTGGTGGAGCCAACTGCTGCTTAGAAGGGCTTGCAGACAGTGCTTATGATAGGGTGGTTGAACTGTGTTACATCTGAACGACACCTAGTCAGAAAACAATAGGAAGCATGAAAACCGTTCTGCACGAGCTGTCAGATTGACGTGAGACCGACAGGAGTATACAAGTGCAACGCGACAGCACCGCTGCGCAACGATGACGAACTTCCTACACCGTGATTTGATGTCGATCTCGCGGGACTTTCCATCGGGAATTGCGGTAGTCCAAGTGTCTGGAAGATATTGATACCTCTGAGTGGTGTGAGGAATATGAGTGTTTATTCCGGTCAACATTAATCATGCCACGCTCGACTACCCCAGCATCAAATATCGTGAATGGCCGGATACCAGTTCGCGAACGGCGGGAATATGCGGAGGCTGGTGGCTATCGCGCGCCAACCCCACCAATCTAGCCAGAGCTGGTTTGGGCCATGACGTCACAGCGCTCCTTCCTTCGCGACATGCCAGCGGCAGCACACGATGCCAGACTTGCGGTCAGCATAGCGGCAGCCATCTCAGTTATGCGCGAAATACGCAGCAATCAAACGCCATCTTTCTCCCGCTCGGGCGATCAATCATGGGGCCCGCGCACGACTCGCTCCGGGCCGAGCGTCATCTGTCTGAACTATACACCTTCTCTTCTCCTCTCCAGTCACAACATCACACGTTTTGCCAGTGTAACCAACTACGTGAGGGTGCATTTGAAGTGCGAGTCATTCCCTCTGGGCGCCTAAACCTTCGTGCTTCGTTGTCTTTTATATATACCCAGCCAGCGCTTTTGTCTCTTGACACCCCGCCGCCGGCGCACCTTAGACCTCCACCTCTTCCCGTGTATCATACATCGTACTCAGTACCACAACTTCTGTTGCGGTCATGAACTACGCATCATGGATCGAAGAAAAGAACCTAAAGGTAAAGGCCCGGCCGGCGGAGAATTTCTGCCTATGATTCAGCCACCCACAGGCGATGCTTACCCCGGTTTCCAGAAAACCTTCATCTGCGCCACCCTGGCGTCGACGCTGGTGGGCACATTCACGGCGTCTATGGGACTATGGGAACGTGTGCATGATCGACGAGAGGCGCACAAGCAGAAAACGCGAGACACGAAGCAGGACGACGACATTAAACAGTTGCGCAATCAGTTCGAAGAGGCGCAAAAGAAGGCCGATAAGAGACAAGAGGAGATTGATCGCCTGAAGAACGGCGGTGGTGAGCGGGGGGGCGGAGGCGGGGGTGGGCGCAGAATCGGATACCGTGATGATTACCGCGACGACGTTGGTGAAAGTTTTGAGAGGAACGGCATGATGATCCAAAGGATGTACGATGACATGTACGGGCGACACGGGAATCGTTTCGCACGTGGCGACGGTACGTCTCAATCTGCCACGCTCGACTAAACAGCATACTGATATTCATCTAGCAATTACCGAGAATCAACTGCAAGCCCAAATCATCAGCCTCCAACAGACTGTCATAACTGTTCTGCAAGACGCTCTGTACAGTGACCGCCAATTGACCCGCGGCGACATGGCAAAATTGGTCGCGGCCTCCAATGCCGCTCGCGAAGGCTCCCTCAAAGCTCTCCAGGACCAACAATTACGCCTTTCGTCAGGCTCCTCGAACCGCTCGCCCTCCCCGCAACGCTCCATCGCCGCCCCGCCCAAACGCTCATCGCAAAGTCTCATCGACACCCCAGACACGCTCTACTGCCGGTACAGCCTCGATCTCCAATACATCCCCAACAAACCACTCGCAGCGTCCATGGCGCCCGGAGGAAGCTGCGTGTGTCCCGCGTGCGGACTCCAGCTCGACGTCACAGGCGAAGACTTCTGGATGATCGGGAAACGAACGCCCATCACTGTCATCGAAGGGGGTTTCGAAACCGACATCATGGAGACGCGCGAGTTCAGGCTCGGGCAGCGGTTCGCAGTGAAATGTCACACGCCCGACGGCGAGTATGCATGCGTCATCTGCAGTAAGAACAGGGACGTGGATGCGATATGCCGCAACGTGGAGAGCTTGGTCAAGCACGTGGGCACGTTTCACGATGTCGATGAGCTAGAGCGCGAAATCGATTTGAGAGAGACGGCGGTGGTTGATAAACGGAGGTTGTCGCTCCCTGCGCCGCCGCGAGAGGGCAGTCCTTTGGTTAGGGAAAGGGATGTTGTTGAGATGAGAGGGTATAGATGATCTTACGAATGTGTGTGACATCGAGCAGGTTCGGATTTTTACGCAATTTCTGGTGTTCCATAGCGTCGGCGTCTGAAGACTGGGTGTTGGTTTTGCTGTCCTGGAGAAGAGCATGGGTGGCTGGAGTCTTTCACTAGTATATACACCATACACGAATGTACGACTTACGGCCTCTTCGCTCCTGTACAAAGCTAGCAGTACCACCTTGTCCAGGCTTATCAAGTCCATACAAGCATTGGATAAGATGTGTTTAACACTCGCAGATATAGCTGGAACTTGCGGTCTCCACGCTTCATCCCCACGAAACATCATGCTTATTGTCACCCGTAATTCACCTACTCTCGTTTCAAGATCTACGCCATTCGACAGTTCCCGATAATTATATGTTGTCTTGGTCCAAATGTGAATCCCGCTGAATGTTTTTCAAATCCATTCCTTGCACCTTGGCGTCAAACCGTCACAGAACAGGTCTGTCATCGACGGAAGGGTATACATGTGAGACTGCCTTTAGGTAGAGCGCTTTACTGCGAGCAGAACGTGTTCTGAGATCTGTAATGACGTTTTTACTTAGGTCAAAACTCCTTTCACCTCATCCAGCTAACACCGGCATTACTAAGGTTCTATCCGCAAATCTTCCTGCGGCGGCCCCGTCCGTTTCCAGTGTCGGAACGGTTCCCCATTATGGACAATAACTGGTGTCAGGAATCAAAGGCGGCTGAATGAGACGGCTGGTGGGGAGGCTCTGCGGGTATTACCCACACAAAGTCTTAGCTATGTGTAATGACAATCTCCCTGCAACATCTCTCAACGTATAGAATGCCTGAGTAGACCTCGGGAACTCATGTATGCGAGTACCTCGGTACCTAACTAAGTACCGAGATACCATTGTTCAAAGAGTGCTCAGGGGAGTTCTGCACGCTCTACCAACGATAGTAATCAAGAAACTGAGCCAAAGCAGGTGTATTGTTGGCTGCATGTAAGCGTTGCTGGAAGAAGTCTTGTCCAGCGCTCTGGGTGGCCTGGCCATGTGCTTTGACAGTGCTAACCCAAAAGAGATTAGTTTGTTATCCACGGGGAGTCTCCACGTCCTCACTTCTCCACACTCCTCCGCTTTCCTCCGCGAAGTGGAAGTAAACGCACAATGTAAAAACTCGAGACGCATATTCCCACACTTGCCTCAGGCTGTGTTTGAGGCAATCCGCAGTCACTGATGAACGTACTACAACAGCTCATTCTAGGTACACGTCCATCGATATGGCGTCCGTCGTTTTTTCATAATTTCCGAGTCTGCAAATCTCAGCCATCCGAATCATTCACGTGTATCCAGGCATCGGTGCCGTTTATGCGATTCAACTATGCTGATCTTGGTAATCCAACCGCCATGTCACGACTCACGTCCGCATAACGTCTTGGAAAAGGCATCCCGAACCATGACCTCTTACTCACACCGACCGCTGATTGGTGGATAGCCCCTTGGTCTGGGGATTTCCTCCACAGTCCGGAGTAATGCAGTCCGGAGCACAAGTATAAGAGGGCCCCCACGGGGCAGCGCAGATTTCCGAGTCTCGAATTTTCTACATTGCACAGCATGTCGCAGGCTGCGGTATCTGCGTGGGCTCTTCGTCGCAAGCTACTGTGGCTCGTCGTCAAACGGCATGCCGCCAGGCTTGGGCGTGCGGTAGAGTGAACATCATGGTAAGCCGATCTGGTTCTCACCCCCAGCCTTTCTCTCCTCCTTATGCTATGCACATCCCCGCTAACAGAGCATGCAGCAAACACGCGACAGTCCCACCACGAGCCCTTCTGGAATTTGCGACCATCACCCCATTTTTCGAACGAGAGACACGTTCTACGGGCCCTCTTCGGCTGCTGGTAACGCCCGAGTTTTGTCCTGAGGACAGAGATTGCACGCGAAACTAGCAGAGGTCGCTCCACCATGGCCCTCTTTTTCGAGACTACGAAGAATTTTCTTCCTGCACCTCGGCATCGTTGTTCCTTGCGCAGGCGGCTGACCACTAGCGATGCAACGTCATGAGGCTCTGCGGGCGCTACTTTGCCGTTCCTCGGTCAAGATCGGCGCTCACAGCCAACCACTGTGAAGTTGCTCCACTGTGACGCACGGCCTGTTGAGGCGATCGTGAGATACTCGGCATACGCATCCCAACAAGACTGTCCGACGGCCGAACCGCAGAGCCTCACGTTGTTGGCCCACCTCGTCACCCGCTTTCAAGGCTGACTCCGCTGCAGCGAGGGCTGTCTGGAGATGGAGTGTTCAAGGAGCTGTGCCCATGGGCCTCCATTAATGGAAAAGCGCGGGGTGTGGAACGTGAGAATCAGGGTATGCTGCCGGCTTCTACTCATGTTGCCCGATCATAAGGCGAGGCAAATTTCTCTGCCGGCCCTGTAGCCGGCCTTGAGACGTCCGTGAGCACAAGCTTCGACAACTTTCAGCATGGAATTACATCATACCGACCCATTGTTTGTGGTCTTCCTCGATCGAGTCGCGATGCTAAGGAGAAAATGAAGCCACGGGTGCAAGGTCGAAATTGACAGCGGGGCTCCACTGAGCAAACCAGACAATAGTCTCCGCCCCATCACGAGACATAAGTTCTCCTCAAAACCCGCATTCCAGCGTCTTTCTCCAGTTCTTCCCCATCAACTCCTCCAGCGATTCGCAGAAGTCACAGGTCTACCTGCACTCTGCAGTTGAATTATTTACAACTATCTTAATATTGGACCCTGTGTCCCACCACACACTCATCATGCGTTTCTTTGGCAACAAAGCAAACGAGGAGATGGCCGAGAAAGGCACCCCTGAGTCTGCGACTCCTGCCGAGACTCCAGCAAGGACTGTGTCCCCCACCAGGAAGGAAGCTGAAATCGAGCCCCAGGGCCGTGTTCCTGCTGTCGCTGTCATCCTCGGCGCAGTTGCCAGTATTGGAGGATTCATGTTCGGTTACGAGTCCGGACAGATCTCTGGTTTCCTCCAGATGTCGGACTTCCTCGAGAGGTTTGGCGAGAACGGCGAGTTCTCTGCCATTCGCCAGGGTACCATTGTCGGTCTCCTCTGGTAAGTCCGAATTATTTAACTATGCTGTTGGCTTATCTGACTTTTTGACAGTATCGGTACCCTGTTCGGTTGCTTGATCTCGGCTCCCCTTGCTGACAAGTTCGGCCGTCGCCCTACTATTTCCGGTTCCGCGTTCTTCTACATTGTTGGTGTGATCATCGAGATTACCAGCGAGCGTGTCTGGGTTCAATTCGCTATGGGTCGCTTCACAGCCGGTCTCGGTATTGGAGCTCTCTCTACCGTCGTCCCCATGTACCAGTCTGAGTCTATCCCCAAGCGTATTCGCGGAGCGACCGTCAGTTCTTACCAGCTGCTCATCACCCTCGGAATTTGGACCGCGTACATGGTCAACTATGGCACATCCAAGGACTACACCAACAATGCTCAGTGGCGCATTCCCAACGGTCTGTCTGCTCTGTGGGCCATCATCTTGGGTAGCACTATCCTCCTCCTCCCCGAGTCCCCTCGCTACGCCTACCGCATGGGTCGCATTGACGAGGCTCGCGCCAACATGGCTCGTCTGAACGGTATCGACCCCAACAGCGCCTTCATCGACAACGAGATCCGCGAAATTGAGGAGAAGCTTTCTGCCGAGAGGGCTGGTGGTGACCACCCATGGCACGAGATCTTTACCGGCCCTCGCATGCTGTACCGCACTCTCCTCGGCATGGTTCTCCAGGCTGGCCAGCAGCTCACGGGTGCCAACTACTTCTTCTACTACGGAACCACCATCTTCAGCGCCACCGGTCTTAAGAACCCTTACGTCACTTCTATCATCCTTGGTACCGTCAACGTGGTGGCTACTATTGGCGGTCTCTGGATTGTCGAGAACGTCGGCCGCCGTATGGCAATGATGTGTGGCGCCGCCTGGATGTTCTTGTGTCTGTTCATCTACTCGTTCGTCGGACACTATGTCTCCAACCCCGACCTCGCCACCGGCCAGCCCGTCCCTACCTCTACTGCGGGCAACGTCATGATCGTCTTCACCTGCCTGTTCATTGTCGGATTCGCGACCACCTGGGGACCTCTCGTCTGGGCTATTGTTGGTGAACTGTACCCTGCTCGTTACCGCGCGACCTGCATGGCTCTCGCTACAGCCGCTAACTGGCTGTTCAACTTCATCATCTCGTTCGTATCGACCCTCGTCACCGACCGCATCGACTACTACTATGGTCTCGTCTTCGGCGTCTCCTGCTTCATCCTCTTCTGGGTTGTCTACTTCTTCATGATCGAGTCCAAGGACCGCTCGCTTGAGGAGATCGACACCATGTACATGCTCCACGTCAACCCCATCACTTCCGCCAAGTGGGACGCGTCCACTCTGCAGAAGGACGGCCTCATCGACACCGATCGTCTTCAGATGGGCCCTGGTGGACGTAGCTGGAGCAAGGCTGAGCAGGCCAACACTCGCGGCGGTATCCTTGAGCCTGCCGAGCGCAATGAGCTCCAGGTTTAGAGTCCGCTTGCAGGTTAATGAACAAGTGCAATTTTGTATGACTTGACATGAGATGAACAGTAATGCCGGTTTATAATATGTATCAATATATTCTTTCTACATCATCACATGTGCAAAAAGCCTCCCTGCAATTGATGTCGCTGAATTTCAATGTCTACAACCGTATCAATGTCTAATCTATGCTTTCTCCGTCGGCCCTTCTTGCTGCTAGAAACTCTTCGCTCGCATAGAAATGTGTCATTTCTTTCCAAGTATTCTCCCACTCTTCCTTCCAAACGCCTCGCTGTACTGCCCAGATCTTCTCATGTACTACCTTCAGTCCCTTCTCACCACCTTCCTTCGGAAAGAAAGCGCCATACTCCCGCTCAAGCATGCCGGGTGGATAAGCCGAGTTGACCCCAAACTGCCAATTCAAGAAAGCCTGCTCCGCCATCTTGACATCGTACTTGTCAAACTTCACATAGTTTTGGACCAACCTTTGATGCTGTCTAGTATTGGGCGTAAACACCATACTCCCAACATTGATATTAGCATCAAAAATCGAGTACGGATCCATCGGCACACCAGCGAAAATATACTGCTCGCAAACAGGCTCACCACCAGGCAAGAAATCATCAAGCTGCATCTTGGACTCGATGCAGCCGCGCACTTTCTTGAGCTCGAACATGTCATCGATCGGCGCAATGGGGAAAGCATCAGCATCGAGGAACAGGATCCGGCTGAAGTCGGTCTCGTTCCACATGTGCAGCTTCGCGAACAGATCTTTCCATCGCTCCAGCACACTCTGGTCCGTCGGCTGCCAGGGGAGAGGCGCGAGTTCGCGGACAACTGCGCCGGCGCCTGCTAGGAGGCGGCGCTGCTCCGGGGATACAAAGTCGCCTACAAAGACTACAAATGGGTACTTTGAGGTTTTGGAGCGTGGCGACCAGAGAATACGGTAGACCAGGGAGTGGATAGCGAGAAAGTAGGGGTCCTCTATCGAAGGGTTGCGGGACGCGAAGAAGGTCGCATAAGCGTAAGATTTAGCGCCATTGGGGTCATAGTTGTGTGGTGAGTGTTTGCTCAGGCTAGTGAAGGTGTCGGCGGGAAGATTGAGATTGAGATCGGCCTGGAAGTCGAAGCCGAGGAGTGAGTCTGACGGAGGATCTGTGCTTTGAGGGACCGGTGTACTGGGCGCTTGCACGAGCTTGTCTGATGCCGATGTGGTCTGCAATGCTAACGCGGTTTTCTCGGTCTGGTCTGATAAATCATGTGTCTGTTGAATCTTTGTCGGGGGGCCGCCATGTAGATTGGCTGGCTCGGGGCTAAGAAATGTAGACCCATGCTGTGTGAAAATGAACCAGAGTCCCGAAAGAAGGAAAGTCGCTGCAAGAATGTGTCGAAGCCGCTTCATGATGTCAAATCACCAGGAACCTTCCTGTGAATGACGAAGCTACGTATGCTTAATGCGACTTAAGGCACTACCCTGGCAATGTCTCCAAACTTGATCGTCAAGACAATAGGGATGTCGTCTTTGGTGTATTGAGTAGCCGACAGAGTGATCGGTGACATGTGAGACCTTTGTGCGAGCCTACGACAGGGGGAACATCCCTGTGAGTGAGAGTCAAATTCAGCCACCTGCACTGATTGAGATTGAAGCGGGTGATGACGGACCTCGTGGTACAAGAACGGCTCCACCTCCGTGTTGAGCGTTGTTGGAGGCCGATCGCCGCTGGTAAGGGTAATGTACCGATAGGTACCCACCTACCCCGCATATTGCCACCCCGGGTGAGACGACAAGCCGCACACCGAAACGAGCCGCTGACCGTACCGTCCATGCAACTTCTTTCGCACCATTGGTTAATGACCTTCACCGCACTTGTTTAGGCTCAGGAGCATGTTTCCTTCTTGGAATTCATAGAAAATTACCATTGCGCAGTGGTACCTAGGTATTGTCAAGAATATGCGTACTGCCTTACGAAAGTTCGTGCTGTTTCCTGCATCCCAATACCACAGCTGTGTAGTATTGAAGGAAATTGCGAGAGACAGAACATTTGACCTTGGCTATCTTTGGTGTCTTCATACCTCGTTCTTACGCCGTGCGTCTGCCTACAAGTTTGTGTCAATTCTCAGCCAACACGCAGGGCAGCAAGTCAATAATTTCCTGCACGCGTTATCACTAAGACTATTGATGTCCCTTGTCACATTTCTTGCCGTGTCACTACAGTGGCTGCGCGCCTTTTGCTCCGAGGTACACGATGACATGACATGTGAAGGCGCGGCACGCGAGCAATTCCATCAAGCACACGCATGAGCGGAACTTTTTGCGGTTCTGACATTTTGATAACCGTAACAAAATGATAGAGGTAATTTTATTGCAGTTCATATGCCTATCTCATCGTCTCGGCGACTCTGGTTGTGGCTCCAAAGTTTGCTTGTAGAGCCACGTGGAAAACTTGACGCTCGGCTCGTCGAAAAGCTTCGTAACAACTTCTGCAGCATAAAATGTGACCGGGATGTTGATGATCTGTACCGCCCAAAATGCCAGCTCAAAGCCCATAGGTCCATTCATAGTCAGCGGAAATAGGCCAACCCAATGAGAAATGTTTTTGTGCCCATCTTTCTTGAAGCCAACTGCAGCGTAAAGTCGATTAGTGAAAACGTGGATGACAATACCATGGACCAGATATAGAGCGAAAGAAATCCGTCCAAGATATTGACAGAAGCGTGTCTCGAAGAAACGCTTAAGCAGTGGTAGTCGTGGGATGGAAGCGACGGTGAATATAGCTGCCCAGGTGAGATAGAACCATTTGAAATCCCACACAGCCTGTGGCTTGAGCTTGAAGAGCCACTTCCATCCAGGTGAGGATGCAAGTAGGTTCTGGTATCCTTCAAGGGACTCGCACGAAGGTACGCCGCCAAGGTACATGGCAACGAGGAAGAGATGGAAGAAGATAAACTCCTTGAATCCTTTCAGTTTGCTCAAGATGCGTGGTTCCTGATCGTTCAAGGACAGTAGATCAAGATCAGATAGCAGCATACCACCCACAAACAGGGCGCCATACCATCCGTCGACAACATATAAAAAGTAGATAATCAGGGCGACTTCGCAACACAGTCTGGCGGTCATTGTACATCGCGAAAGCGCGGAGGATGTGGTATAGACAATGACTGAACCTCTGAATTCTGTAAAAGCATCAGCAGAGGACTTTCCGTGTCATCGAGCTGTTACGAACCCATCGGAATGGACCATAAGTGGCCGTTGTACTTGCTCGTGAATTCGAGTCCGTCTCCGGTGAGGAACACAAAACTATAGTTTTTGAAGGTGTAGTACCAAGTCTTGAACTCTTCGCCCCACGAATCTTTGCGTTCACCAAAGTCCACCCATACATTAGTCCAGTGTCGGGCTACCATCCAGGAGAGGGTAAAACCAATGACCGGTAAGTAAAGACGTAGCCAACGTCGGAACAGCGCAGAGCCAACACTATCTGCTGACGCCATATGTTGACCTTTCTGTATCAACCCTAAAGGTTTGACAGAGAGGACATAGCCAGAGATGACGAAAAATATAGCAACTGCAAAGTGCCCACCAGAGAAGAAATGCCTTACAAATGGAAGCGCTGCGAAATAATGGCGGTGGTTGTAGCCAAATGAGTTTTCGAAGACCGAATTACCATGGATGTCGTGCGACCACAGCTGGTGGTGGTGAAGATAAACCAGGAATGCAGCAAAGCCCCGTAGGCCGTCGAGCCATGCTGTACGCCGTACAAGTTTCTTTGGACTGCTCGGTCGCAGGGCGAGAAACTCTGGACGGACTATGTCGAGGCCCCAATGCGTCGCTCGGAGTGACTTCCACGTGTTGTTGTCCGGTCGGACGTCTTCCAGTGCCCCATGATCCAGCAGCCCTTCAATCTTCGTTGGCATAGTTGTAGTCGAGGTCGACAATGAGCACAGTACTTTTGCAGGCACCCGTTACCCTTAATGCTCATCTCAAGTTCTCGTTGTTCAAGATCTAAGTGAACTCTTTAATTGACGCCGTGCATGCGCTAGGCAATTTGGGAACCCCGATGCGAGAGAGCCTTGCGCAACATGATTTGTGTGCCATATGCTTGATCGTGCATTGCACAATTGCTTCCTGCGCGCTAGAAGGAAGCCCAAAGTAGAATTGAGTAGATGTTGACGACCAATAAGATCTCGGACGGACGAGCCAAACCGAGGTGCCGAGGAGGCACGATCTGAAGTTCAGAATATTGTGAATGTCAAATTCGCGTGATGCGGGGAAGTAGCTAAATTCGGGCCCACCCTGACGGCAAGGCTTACCTAGTAGGCCGTTGACGCCACGAACGACTGGTCAGGTACAACGTCGCTGCACGCGCCTGCCCGGTCACATCCTGAAGCGTGCAAATGGCCCGCGACATAACAGGGCCCACCCATACAAGCTTTAGCTTGATCGCCTTAAATTTCCCACCTGGCCGAAGCAAGCCATCAAGTCTGGAATAATCCAATGACGTTCGGGCGTTCAAAGTATCTTAGTTTACCATCACGGTCTGTGCAATACGAAGACTTCTAGGTCGTCCGGCCTCGGAAGCTGGTGATCATCGTAGCCAAGAAATCCAGAGTGGTAAGGGTTGTGTGGCATGGCGCCTTTTAACGACAGATAGGAGGCGTATATCCTATAATTCTGAAATTGACCACAGTATGCGCACTCTGTCGTCCCATCCGCCTCCACTCAAGCTCCACCTTGACACCAAGATGCATCCGCACTCTCCTATCGCCTCCCACTTCCGAAGCCGGCTTACTACCCAAGTGAGAAGGATCTTGCCTGCCTATGTCCTTGTGGTATTCTTGATCTTGTTTTTCACCAACACTTACTTCTTTACTGCCCCTGTTCGCGCTGCACACAAGTACAGGCGAGAAAGGAAATATCAACAACCAATCCAAGCAGACTTGAGTGTCATCCCTCGGAAAATTTGGCAGACTTGGAAGACCGGTCCTCTAGCTTTCGATCAACGTGACTCAGATTCGGCAAAGACATGGTCGGGGAAGAATCCAGGTTATCGATACGAAGTCCTTACAGACGACAATGCCTTGGCGTACGTTGAATGGCACTACGGGAAACACGGTTTTGACCGGCCGGATATCATCGCGTTATACCAAGATCTGGAAATTACCATCATCAAGGCTGATCTGCTCCGTTATCTCGTCATGTATGCTGAAGGTGGTGTGTACGCTGACATTGATGTCGAGTGCCTCCGACCCATCGACAGGTTCATCCCTGAAAGATATAGTGAACATGACATCGACATGATCATTGGCGTGGAAATTGATGAGCCTGCCTTTATCAACCATGCAATCCTAGGCTCCAAATGCAAGTCGTTCTGTCAATGGACTTTTGCAGCAAAGCCACGGCTGCCAGTCATGATGCGCCTAATCGAGAACATCCAAGAGTGGCTGCACGACCTCTCACGGGAAAAAGGCGTTCCTATCTCGAAACTCCAGTTGGACTTCAACGAGGTCATTAGTGGGACGGGCCCTTCTGCCTTCACAAAAGCGGTCCTTGAGCAGATGACGGCACAAAACCATGGAAAGGAAGTAACTTGGGATCCCTTCCACAACCTGGCTGAGTCGAGACTTCAAAACGGGATTCTTGTCCTCAACGTCGAGGCTTTTGCTGCCGGGCAAGGTCATTCTGACTCAGGCAACCACGATTCAAGAGGCGCACTGGTGAAGCACCATTACCACGCTTCTGGATGGCCGTCCCGCCACCCCCGCCACCAACATGCCATGTATGGCGAGGTCGAACAATGCAACTGGAAGCCGGACTGTGTCGCGGAATGGGTAAGCTAGCCAATGCCTTTGTGTCTTGAAGCGCATCTTTGACCTTGTCCAGGATAAGAATGTTGCCGAGTGGGACACGCTCGGCAAGGAAGAGCAAGAAAAGCGACTGGCAAGTAAGCCAACTCTTGCCTCTCCACCTGCTTGAGCTGCTCGCAGTCCTGTGGTATGCGTGTCAATATACGGTGTCGAGAAGCAGGGAGCTGAAGTGTAGGATGTCTCCAAGCTGCCGAGCACGGTATGACATTATGAGCGTGTTATTGTTGTGAGATCGACGCGCTTTTAACCTTTGCAGACGCGGGCGACCCACGCAGCCCAGAAAGGGATGGCGTGTTCGCCGTATCATGTCTTTACCAAGCGTCGCACACGGAGGGCCTATAGGTCCTGATGTGGTAGATCAAATCTAGAAGGCGCTGGGCATCATTAGAAGAGGCTGTGCGGGAATATCATACCCTGACATCGGAACCGACATCAATATAAACGAATTTACGCAAGAACTGGAAAGCTAGAGGGCTACAATATCTCCCTACGTGTAGCTATTGATGGTCGTGATACACAGGTGACAGTTTCGCGGCAGCGGTGACAAGCCTGCAATGATTCTAAGTCATATTAGCGCACAGTCTGCTCTTCCCCACCTAGCAATAGGCCAGCACGTCACCATTTGGCGATCGCCGTCACTCTTGTCGCCATACTGTACCGTTCTTCTGTGTTTTCATAGGGAGTTAAGAGTCTTGGTGCTGGCGTCCGGCGTGATAAAGGGGCCCAAGGATGCATCGTGGCCATGATGCTGTGTGGCCGTATTCGAATACGGTGCGGGCCGATGCACGCGGATCGTCAGCGATGGAGGGTTGCTTGATGACACCAAGATCTAGGCAGGCCGTGCAGGTTTATTGATGGTTTCATATGTTCTTGCAGGGAAGTCTTGAGGTTGCGCGGGTCGAAACCGAGAGATAGAGGATGCTGGACGAACTCCAGCCTGCAGGTGGTGTGTGTCAAGCTCAAACGGTGGTTCTCAACCAACCAACGAATGATGCAGCACCAGAGACCCACATTCGGCAGCGTAAATCAGCCGACCGCCGGTGTCTAGCCGCTTAGCGAGTGCGAGTGCGAGATACGAAAGCGAAGTACAAGCTACGACAGTAATAACATGGGTGTGGGATGTTAGTTGCTGTTCCTGACAAGCGGTCGATGAGGTTTGATCTTTAAGTACGTGTGATCTTTGGCTCCGTTACATCCAACTACACCTCGTCACTCATTATTTTCATCTGATCCCAAAGCAATATGGCAGGCGCTATTCAAGCCATTGCCGCTAAAGCCAGCGTGGGGAATCTACTCTCAATACGTGGTATTGCGTTTGTGCTCGCTACGCTCGTCTTGTTCCAACTCCTCCAGGGCGCCGCTCGCATCATCTACAATCTGTACTTTCACCCACTCAGCAAGTATCCTGGGCCTAAACTATGGGCGGCCTTTGACGTCGCACGAACTATCGGGCGTATGGGAGGCTACATTGACCTCCAGATTGCCGAAGAACACCGGAAGCACGGCGACGTTGTGAGAATTGGTGTTGACGAGCTATCTTTCGTAGACCCAAATGCCTGGAAGGACATCTACGGACACGGCCATGCCGAGTTGCGAAAGTATTTTCCGCCCAATGCCGTCAACCCGAACCAGATCATCGCCGCAGATTCGGGAAACCACTTCCGTATGCGACGAGCTATGCTGCCAGCTTTTTCCGAAAGGGCGCTTTCCCAACAAGAGCCACTGATCCGCGTGTACCTCGACCTGCTCATACAACGTCTTTCCGAATACGCGGAGTCTGGTCGTCCAGCGGATATGGTACGCTGGTACAATCTCACTACTTTTGATCTGATCGCAGATCTGTGTTTTGGAAGATCCCTTGGTGGCTTGGAGACCGGAGAGTCAAACGGGTGGATCGAGAAAATTGAAAAGATGCTAGAGATTATGCCAGTGATGATGCTAGTCACCAGCTTTCCATTTTTGATGACTATCTTCAATCTGGTATTTGGGAGGAAAATGCAACAGTCACGCAAAGAGCATCAAAATTACGCTGCGTCCCTAGCTATGGGTCGCATCCAGGCGAAGGAACATGCCGACCGCGGCGACTTCATGGATTACATTCTACGCTCTCGGGGCGAGGCTCATGAAGTTACGGACGAAGAGTTGGTGCACAACGCAGATCTCTTTATGGTTGCAGGTTCAGAGACCACAGCAACGGTACTGCTGGGTGTCACTTACTACCTTTTGAAGACTCCTCAGGCTTATAAAAGGGTGACAGAGGAGATTCGTACCGCTTTCGACCGTGCAGAGGACATCAATTTCAAGGAAGCGAGCACACGCTTGCCGTACATGCTGTGCTGCCTGACCGAGGCGATGCGAATTTTTCCATCCATTCCTTTGGCCCTACTGAGAATCACAAATGACGGTCCACCAACACCCATAGCTGGTCACTCTATCCCTGCTGCGGTAAGTTTCTATCACCACATGATAAGCGAGCTTAGTTGCTGACCTCACCAGACCCGTGTTGGTGTGCACCAACTTGGAGCCTATCACTCGCCTTCTAACTTCCACGATGCGCAAACGTTTCATCCCGAGCGCTGGCTACCAGAAGAATACAACAATCCCTCGTCACCCTTCTACAATGATCGGCGCGATGTTCACAAACCGTTCTCTTATGGTCGTCGCGACTGTATCGGACGTAACCTTGCGTACCTTGAAATGCGCCTGATCCTTGCTCTGCTCTTGTGGAACTTCGACTTGACACTCGGCGAGGGTATGGATCAATGGCATATACAGAAGATATTTGGTCTTTGGCAAAAGCCATCACTGCAGATACGTCTTGAAAAGCGCGTCAGAGTTTGAATTCAGCACTGATAGTGTATCTTGCTGGTTACTGTAGCTCTTGGCACTTTACGCCTCGCCATTATTAGCACTGTCATGCAGAAGTTTCATTGTTCACCTAAATGATTACATCGGAAGGTTCGTGAATATGATATTATGTACTGGCTGGAATACTAATCAATCCTCACTTTAAGCGATGGGGGGCTGCCACCCTCATAGTAACGGCTGTTGCTTATAATGACCGTGCAACACGCCTACAGACCTCGAATTGTTTCGGTCTTGAGCACATGATGCTCAAGAAACTTTGACTCTCGAGATCATGCGTCCGTCTAGGGTTGTCGCTTAACAGCTCAGAGCTGCAGCAAATGCAACCGCAAGCACAAAAGTAAAGGACGCCGCAACAGTCGATCCTGCGCCCGTACTTTGGGGACTGCCAGAAGTACTCGAGGCGTTCCCGCTCGTTGTTGTGTTCGGGCTTGAGGACCCAACAGTTTGGTTCGAAAAATCGACAGTACGCCAAAGCAAGCCCTGAACGGCCGATAAAGCATTGAGGACTTCACCAAGGTTACCATCGCCAGCAGTCTTCTCTTCCAAGTTGCTGTTGCTCAAGCTTGACCAACTGAATCCGCATGCAACGTTTTCACCAGTGCCTTCGCAGTTCTGAGCTGCACCTTTAGCGGAGGCATTCAACATAGTGTAGATCGGCTCTGCGACTATAGGGGCAACTTGTGCAGCGCGAGCAAATGAGCGGGTGGCGATGCCTTTGAACGCTCGTTGGTCGACGTCGCACTTTCCATTGTTCTCGCAAGCCACCTCAATAAGCGCACTGTCGTTACCCTGGAAGACTGACGAAGCGTTAACAAATCCGGTGACAATATCTGTCCAGTGCTGCGAGGCGTTCGACTTAGGTGTGTTAGTACAAGCGCTTAAATGGGATCCTGCCAGAACTTACAACTTTATACATGAGCGCAGCGCCCTCTGTAAATTGCGCGTGATTGCTCGACCATTGGATGCGGTTGATACTAGAGCAATTTTCTTTGTCGTTTGTTCCATCAAACACATGGTAATCGGCTGACACAAGGCCGATTTCTGTGGTCCAGTTGTATACCTTGTTGGCCCACTCTGCGTATGTAGCATTGCCAGTCTGATCAGCAAGACGAGCAGCTAGAAGAAACAGTTGGCCATTGGACGCAGAGTTCTTGTAGTTAAAGCCGTTGTTGAAAGTGAAGATTTGCCACTTAAGACCTCCATTACAGCTTTTCGTATCCCAGCGCACTGTTTGGATGTCGAAGACATTCTTCGCGAACTCTATCCAGCTACCGGACGCAGGCGCCGGAATTTGCGCTTCGTGCGCTGACAACGAGGCGAGTGCCCAAGAGCTTTGATCGTCGTTTCCAAGAGTCTTGGTTTGGTTGGGGGGCATGAAGGCTTCGAAATCGCCTAGCTGGTGCTGCAGAGCCTCCGAAATGCGAGAGTTGTACTCAGAATCATTTGTGAGGCCATAGTAATCGATCAGGGTATTGAAGGCCAAGCCAGATTCCCACCAATAGTACGGGTCTGGAAAGAGGCCGGGAATGAGATCTTCTTGGAGGCTGGAGTCGTAAAATGTAACGACACTGCTTGCAAGTGCTTTTGCTGCAGATTTTATGGATTCTTTTATGACTTGTCAGTGCACTGGAAATCGAAGATCTTACAATCCGACTGACCCTGGCTGTCGATGTTCAGGTCGATGGCGGCTGCCTGACCAGCGACGAGGATCAAAGCGATTGACAGAGCGCCCGAGTGCGCCAACATGTTGCAGAGTAAAACGAGTGACTTCACAAGAGACAAATGAGTATTGGCTTTTAAAGACGGTGGGATGTGAGGTCTTTAAGTTGGTGTTGTCGCGAGGCGGTGCAGATCTGGGCAGAGCCGGTCAACCAATCAGATGTCATTTTAAGATGACCAGTAGGACGCCTGACGGTGCTGTTCTTTTGTTGGAACTTCAGGCGACCAGGGGCCCGTATCACCACATCCATCGTAGACCAATTACCCAGTTGACCCGGAATTGAGCCTAAGCATCGCAGCCAGGGCATCTGCTATGTCATGCGCAAAATCAGCATCGTTGATCGCTCTGTTGTCTCTCACAACTCGAATTCCACTGTCTGCCAGCCCGGTTTCGATGACCTGGAACATTGTCGCATCTGCCTGTTCGTCCGCAAAAGGACCATCTGGGGTTGATATCATGCTGATTCCTCCTTTAGGCAACCATACTTGTATCAAGTCCGAATCCTTTGCATGAGCTCTGAGCTTTGATACAATGAGCTCGCCCACCTGAGCAGCTTCTTGCTGTGACGTTCGCATGAGGGTCACAACTGGATTATGTTCGTACAGCTTACGGTCCTTGTAACGCTCCGGAACAGTGTTCAGTGGCCCAAAGTTGGTCATATCTGTTGCGCCCACGGATATTATGTTAGGTATGCCGGCTGCAGCGGCAGCCTCAAGTCGTTTCGGTCCTGCGCTCATGACGCCACCCGTGATGTGGTCGCACAACTCAGTCGTTGTCAGATCAATAACACCATCGATTCGACCTTCGTAAATGAGTCGTTCCATAGCCTTGCCACCATGACCGGTCGCATGGAACACGAATGTGTCAATTGGGTACTTTGACTCGAGATATTTTCGAATTTCATCAACTGCAGGCGTAGTCACACCAAACATCGTGACGCCAATCCTTTTCCGTGTAGTGGTGGTCGCTTGCTGGCTTCTTCGCGAGTGACCCAAAGCCATTGCCGCCATAGCCGTTCCTGCGTTACATAGGATCTCCTTGAGTATTGGGTTTAGGCCAGAAATGTCCACAACTGAATACATGAGCGAAATGTCCGTCTCTCCAATAATTGGGCCGGTATCCCCGCTGGCGATGGTCGAAACAATAAATTTTGGAAATCCGATTGGCAGCGCGTCCCTCATGACAGCAGCTGCTATCGAAGTGCCCCCCGAGCCCCCAACCGCGAGGATGCCATGAATAGAGCTTTCGTCAGAAAGGGATCTCACTACCTTGGTCGCACAGTCCCCTATGATCTTAACAAACTGCCCTCGGTCTTGCTCAGCAATATTTATGCCACCAGCATGTTTTCTCAGCAGAACAGATTGCGATATTGTGATAGACTCGTGGTCGACGGGCCATCGACCTACGTCGATGAGCGTAACTTCGGCATTGGCCTGACGGACGACGTCGCGCAAGAACAAGAGCTCATCAAGTTTGGTGTCGCAAGTCCCAAGAAGAGCGACGCATACCATAGTGCAAGAATAGAAATCTTCTGATATAGCGTTGGGTATGTTTTAGTGGTGGTAGGCGAGGGCATAGCTTCGGACTGCGTGTATGTGCCCGTTCGGACCGTTCCCGTTCCCCGCTGGTGCGTCGCTTGACGTCATCCGGCTGTCTGCACCACTAGTGGCACCATTAGTGGCGCCTCCTCTCCCGAGAGTACTCAGAGTATGAGCAATCAACACCAGTCAGTATCAATATGCCGCCACCAAACAACAGAACGGAGATCCTGGCGAATCTTCGCAAGACTATCGACCATGGTCAACTGATTGTGGGGGCAGGCGCCGGCATCGGCCTCAGCGCAAAGTTCATCGAGCAAGGTGGTGGAGATCTGATCATAATATACAATAGCGGAAGGTATCGTATGGCAGGAAGAGGTTCACTGGCTGGCCTCATGCCTTACGGTAACGCAAACGACGTCGTACTCGAAATGGTGAGCATCCACCAAAAGTCGACCCAGTGCAAGATGTGCAATTACATGACCCGCTAAGCAATCGATTTCAGGCTGGGGAAGTTCTTCCTATCGTCCATAGAACACCGGTACTAGCGGGAGTCTGCGCTACAGATCCCTTTCGGTCTATGGACAAATTCCTGGTTCAACTGAAGGATCTCGGCTTTGCCGGAGTTCAGAATTTCCCCACTGTTGGACTCATCGATGGCAATTTTCGGCAAAACCTTGAGGAGACGGGCATGAGCTACGACGCGGAAGTCGAGATCATACGAAAAGCTCGAGAGATGGACCTCCTGACCACACCATACGTGTTTAATGTCGAAGAGGCGAAAAAGATGGCCAACGCAGGCGCCGACATACTAGTTGCGCACATGGGTCTCACGACGTCTGGAAGCATCGGTGCACAAAGCGGAAAGAGCTTAGATGACTGTGTCAAGCTTATCCAGGATATTAAAGATGCGGCAACGAAGATCAAGCCTGACATCATTATGCTCTGTCATGGAGGTCCTATTGCCACACCACAGGACGCAGAGTATGTTATCGGCAGGACAGACGGTGTGCACGGCTTCTATGGCGCGAGTTCTATGGAACGACTGCCAGTAGAGGAGGCGATCACAAACATCACCAAGACGTTCAAGAGTATAAAACCCAGGGCTAAAACATGAATAACATTCCACCATCCAGAATCAGTGCCTCGGATCCTCTTCATTAAACATTGCATCGTAATCTGACCCGATTGGCACACGAGCATCATGGCATGATCGCATGTCACCTTTCTATCATCTCAGGTGATGCTGCACATCCCATGGGAAAACACTGTCGCATTGCAGTTGCTGTGTGTATACAGCTCGTGTGCTGAAGTTTCATGGTCGTGGTACCCAGCTCTCAAACCCAAGACCTTATGTGCGAACGACCACTGAAGGCTACGCCAATCTTGCCGACCCACTCGCATGTGAGTGATATTCCCTAGTGCCGCTATACTATAAGCAAGCATTTCTCGCCTGCTTTGTGTCAATTTGATGTTAGTGGGCTCGTAGAAAGAAAGTCGATCTTACTTACATCTGAGTGTGCAGGACCTAAGCGCACTACGTATAAGTCTAGAGCGTCAATACTTGATTTGTGCAATTAGTAGCGCGTGTGATGTCGCTAGGTACAAGAACAGAGAATCTAGGTCTGAATGCTAACTTTTCTCGTGCTATCACATGAATGACCAATGATTCCCGCAAACTATTGTACTCCCGCAATGTAGCCTTGAAGGGATTACAAGGTTGGTGGCGCAGCAGAGCGCCTTGTACTGTACTTACTACGTGCTTGCCTTCGATCGACCTGCAGATGCCCGAGGGCCCGAATATTCTTGCCATCACATGTATCTAGTCGAAGTCACCTACCTAGACAAGGCATTCATTCTTTTACTCGCCTCAGGTATTTGAATTCCGTTCCACCACTCCTCCGCGGGGTGGATGTCATTGAAACGAATGGTGTTCGACCAGTGACCGCGGGTCGAGCCGAGTCGCTTAGCGATGAACCGTTGTAATTTGTGAAACCTCTTCTCCAGATCTCTTGACCTCGATACAGATTTTGTAGGCGGGGCCAGGCAAAAGAGGCGAACACGACATAACACATGGGCGAATAATGCACTGCAAAGGGAACATGACTGCTGTCCAACTTGGGTGAGCGTCGCACTATCCTTGCGTTATCCGGTAGTGGCACGCTACCCCGTCGCTGATCATGGCGATTGCGTGCGTGGATGCTCGCTCGGAGTCGCTTCCGAGAAATGTGGCTGGCTTCTCATACCTACACCGGCACCCTGAAACATGGGTCGAGCGGCAGAACACCACCCGAACTTTAAAAGTTGCTTCTGAACGCCACTGCCATCAAGCCCAGCAACTTGCAAAACACTAGACAGTAACCATGCTTCTGCGAAGTTATAGAAGACCTGGAAATGCTTGTTGGGTCTGACAGAGCGTTTGGTACGAATCCGTACAACATCATTATTTCCATTCACTAGCTTTTGAACATTCGATCCATCGATATCGATTGAGGCTCAAGATGAGCAAATCTGCAATGAACGATTTCATGCCTATCATCATAGAAATGATGCGGAACCCGCCTGACCCCAACGAACCCTTACCTTTATCCAATCGTCTCTCAACAGCAATTGGTGTTTCCATTCCGTTCCTTGTATGTCGATAAGCCTTTGCCCATGCTTCGAATGCATGACTTACCGTTGCAGGTACTTAGTCTGATTGCTGTAGGCCTTCGCCTCTACATCAGAGTTGGTGTCGTCCGACGACCAGGATGGGATGATGCCTTCGTTACTCTTGCGGCCGTGTTCAACGTAATGGCACAATCCACGTTTTTAGGAGGTGAGCTGTCATGATTTACAAACGAAACGTCAATGTATGGTACTGACAGTCCCAGGGGTCAAGCATGGCCTCGGTCAACACCTAATATCAATTCTGAGCACTTTGCCCACAACCATGAAATGGTTTTATGTCGCAAACGCCACCTATACCACGACTACCGTCTTCATCAAACTATCCCTGCTCTGCCAATACTTGAGACTGTGGCGCGAGGGTTATCGTCGTCATGTAACGATAGTACTTCTGACCGTTGTCATACTCTGGGGTAGCGTCTTTCAATTCATGGCGTGGTTTCCCTGCTTCCCAGTAAGAGGATTCTGGGATAAAACCATGAGTCCCCCAGCCAAATGCTATGGATTCGGCTACCGTTCATCAGAGGAGACTAAAAATACCCTTTTGGCATTCGCAGGCTCCAACATGTCTCTTGACTTTGTCATCTTCATCGTACCCCTTACAGAATACTTCCGACCCAACCTTAAACGGAAACAAGTGTTGGCATTGTCGGGCCTGTTCACTGTGGGGCTTATGTGAGTGTTGCTCAAGTATACGTTCCGCGCTGACAGGCAGCTGACTCATTGAAGCGTCGTACTGATGGCTATCCTTCGACTGTGGAGTGGCCTTAGGTACAACAACCGTGGTGTGCTGATGTACGACTATACCTATTGGTTCCCCGGCGTTATGATATTTTCGTGTCTCGAAGTCGACTTCGCCATCATCTGTGCTTCAATCCCGATATTCTGGCCTACCATTATGGCTGCGTGGAGCCAGATCACGGTCACCAAGGAAGTGGTCGTGACATCCGAGCCGTGTCATGATGAGACACGCGCAGATGTCCTTGAGTCGCATAGTGGAAGATCTGCGTCATTAAGGAGTCATGACAGTACAGAAGAGCTGGTAGCAGGCAAAAGCATGGAAGGCAGGTCTTTCTATGGGAACCCTCGAGTGGAGACAAGAGGCTTACCGCTTCCTAAACTTCCACACATTACCCGCCTATCGTGGAGTAATATGCCTTAAACTAAAGCTCCAAGTAATGAACAAAGAGACACAATTAGCAAATGTTAAATGTAATATTTTACACGGAAAAGTCAATGTTCAGATAAACCAGAAGTGTATACAAGTCGTGAAGGGTATCGCGGCGTCCGGCGTCCTGATGCGGCAACGTTGAACCAATCACACAGCACTTGAAGCTGATGACTTGTTGTGCTTAACTGTAATTAGCTAGGCGTTTCTGCCCGCCTCTGTCATCGCTGCAGCCTTTCTCAAGGATAGACAGCACCACAGCAACAATGTTGCACGCACCCTGCTGTTCAATCGCAGACAATACACTGCTGATAGACTTATTGCCATGCGTCTTTGCATCCAATGAATTAGATACTAACTAGCATTGTCTGCCTCGCAATGAAACATGACGCCGCCCTTGAGCAGGGTGCAGCTGTACGTCACGCTACTTACGTGCTGCTGAACAATCATAGGGCGAGGAAACCTGGGGTAGCTTGAGACGGATCCGTGAAGAGGAGCACACTTACTCACTCCACTCCACTTCTTTAATCTGCAGACCCTTCACAACATACCACTTTCAACAGTACATCTCGTCCTCCATACCTAGGTACCTCTCAACACACATCATGGCCACCTGCCCAGTCATCGGAACTACCAACAGCGTCCTCCCGCCCAACCACCCGGAGGTCGACCTCAACGTTGACGGTCAGACGGTATGTTCAGCTATCCTGCTTCTCTATTTGTACTAATGCAAACAGTGTCCCGTCGTCGGCGCAACCACCGACCATCACCACAATCTCGACAAGCACCCTAAAATACCTGGCCTTGACAGCACCGAAGCCACCTCCTGCCCTGCTTTAAAGTCCGCCGTCTCGGAGCCTAAGGCTCAAGAGCTCGACGATGCTCTCTGCCCCGTCGTTGGCACTGCGACCACAGTGCTTCCGCCCGACCACCCCGATATGCTGAAGGCTGGGCCGGACGACGTCTGCCCGGTCACCAAGGCGACGGTCGGCCACCACAAGAACAAGGTCGTCACCCACCCCAGCGTGGACGGTGCGGCGAAGGATGCAGTGTGTCCCGTTACAGGGAAGGCTCACTAGAGGCAGCTACAGATGCGATATCAATGCATGGAGCAGATGCTTGCTTGATTACAGTCTGCAGTGCGATATGTATGACAATGCATCAAGTCGCTGACCCATGACGTGCCCCGTTCATCTACCCAACAACGTCGCCATTCCAGCTCTCAGTCCGCTTTTACTTGCGAACCACGCCTCCATCTTCATTCTTCTAACCCAAGGTCTCAACGCTTGATAGTCTGTTCGACGCCGGCCATTGCTATAGCCTTGCGGAGTAGAAGTGGTGTGTTTCTTCTTTGCGTGTCCCCGGTACCTGGGCTTATCTCTTTGTCCTTCAGGCAAAAGAAGAAGACTGTTTTGGGATCGGAGTAGATAAGATAACTGTGACACCAATGAAAGGCGTCGCCCAACTAGCCAAGAGATTCATGGAGTATGCTCGATTCAGGTCGAAGCATGATATCAATTGTGCACGTGCGTAAGGTTTTCGCTGATGTATCGGTAAATAACTAGATTAGCACACCCAACCAACGATTACCCTATCAACTGCACCACAGTTTCTTATGAAAAAGGTCAGAGTGTGAGTAGTTCACATCTTGATGGTGCTTGTGTTTGTGCAGCCCTACCGATTCTCGGCTACTTGAGCACCCTTGACATCACGTGCTTCGGCAACGTGAACGGAGACCCTGGACAAAACATCATCGCGACGGCCTGCAGGCACCGTGTTGACAAATAATGTCGATACAATGCGACCTGACTGGACGGTTTAAACTCGGTCAGGAGGAATGGCGCCTTCAATGTAGCTACCATGGGACTACTGTATACCCCGCTGAACATCCCGGCTACTACCAGGCGGCAGAAAATGGACCGCGAAGCGCCTGTACTCTTTGCACAGGATCAACCCTTACCCTTCAATTCACCTGACTGGTATCCTCAAGATCAAATACGAGGACGAAGTACCTGAGTACTTAGGTTAGGTAGTCGACAGTATGTCGAACGCTCCGATAATAGCATTCGATTACGGTGCGCTCTGTGACTTCTCTCCTTATATACCGGACGCTTATTATTACAGACTTTTCTCCTTACTCACAGAAGATCCGCGCCGCCCTCGCCGTCGCAGGTATCTCCTTCGAGCGTAGCGACCAGCCCCTCGTGCTGCCGCGACCCATTCTCGAGCAACTGGACATCACATACCGCCGCATTCCACTCCTCGCATTCGGCAAGGACATTTATGTTGATTCGTCACTCATCATCGACGAGCTGCAATCCCGTTATAATGCGCTGCCAACTACGCCCGCAGACAAGGCGTTCGAAGTTTTTGGCGTGCAGATCTTTGCCAGTGCGCTAAATGTCATCCCCACAGCTGCCCTCACGCCAGAATTTATAAAGGACCGCCTGACCATTTTCCCTGCTTTGGCAAACCCCAATTATGCTGAACTCAGACCCAGTGGCCTGGCAGAGATAAAGGCGAAATTCAACATCATCGAGAAAGAATTTTTGGGCTCATCGCCGAGTGCATTCATCAGTGGCGAAAAGTTTGGACTCGCAGACCTCCATGCTGGTTGGGCCGTAGGGTGGGCGCTCAAAGCCATTGGCCTTGGCCAGGAACCAGGATTTGGCGAACAAGACTTTCCTAGAATTTACAAGTGGGTAGCAAGTTGGCCGAAGCCTCAGTACACCGATCTGTCTCAAGAGCAGCTTATGGACAAGCTGAAGGATGCAGACTACACTGCAAAGGAGATTGGCGTAAACGAGAAAGACCCTCTGAGCATTCGAGCGGGTACAGACGTCACGGTAGAGAACAGTGATACGGAGGCTGGCGCACATCCACAGAAAGGCAAGCTTGTTGGCACCAACGATAGGGAGACAGTGATCGAGCTGAAAAATGGCATACGCGTCCATTTCCCACGTATAGGATATGTAGTCAAAGAGGCAAAAGCGAGTGGCATGGCATCCCGATTTGGACGGTCATAGAAATATTTCAGCCTAAGTGGTTGGACCTCACGAGCACGTTTGTTGTGCAGTAAAGTTTGTGGATTTGTATAGATCCCTGCTTCTGCTATAGCCATGTCCAGTAACAGGCAACACTAAGCTAGACTTGCGTCAACAACAAGAACTCGATCTCCTGTCCTGCTCCTGCTAAGAGCTCACACTGTGCACGATATGGTTTTTTGCGAAGGTTCTAAAAACGCTGAAGTAATAACATTATCTTTTATGGTCTATCGACTCGAATATCATTATCGTTATGGTCATCAGGCAACTGCATCCGACTCGTAATCAGCTCCACTATCTAAGGAGGAGGGGAGGTGGGCTCAGGGACGCCAGCAGGACAGTGCCAGTGGTCGTCATGGGGGGTGCAGCTCGCAGCCGCAGAGGCAGCAGCGGAAGTAGCGCTGACAGCGGCGGAAGTAACGCTAGCAGCAACAGCAGATGATGCCACTGTGGAGCTGGCGGATGCACTGGCTGAGGAAGCAGAGGCGGCAGGAGCAGTGGTAGAGGAGACCTCGCGGTAGTGACCTGCGCAGCCAATACCAGGTACGGCAACATCATGCGCATATACCTCCAGAGCAAAGTATTGGAGAGTATCTGAGTTCCGAACAGCCTCTGTGGGGTTAGACTCAGCAAGAGCAAGTACACCGGGGTACTCGTCTGCACCTCCATAGTGTTCAACGATACCCTCGCCAACACTGGGAATGTGGAGAAGACGATGGAGAAGATCAGAGCCCCAGTAGAAGTTTGTGGCACCGTTGGCGACGTCGTAACCGAACATGCACATGCCCTCCAAAGGACGGCGAAGTTCGTAAGAGCGGTCGCAGATCACAGTCTCTGAAGATGCATTGACACCGCGCCAGTGGCCAGCCCAGTCTGGAGGCAGATGTTAGTTTCAATGTCAAGGACTGAGGTTTGAAGGGAACGTACTCGACTGAGTGGCGCAGTTCTGGTCGGGATCATCACACCGGAAGAGAACATCCGACTTATCTCCATCGACAATCTTGGTGAACCAACCGATCGGCTCGCCAGTAGGAGCATTTCCAAAATACTTCTGGTAGATGGCTGAAGAGTTGCCCCAGCGGAGGATGTGGTCGCGGGCCTGACGGCAGATGGTGAGGGTCTCGTCAAGACCATTTCGAATGTACTGATGCTGAGTGGCATTGCAGGAAGCGTGAATCGGGTACTGGGTAACGGCACCAGCATTCCAGGCAGTGGAAGTGGGCGCAGCCTCAGCGGGAGCAGTGTGCCGGACAGCAAGAGGAGAGGCAGATACAGTCGCAGCTGCGAGGACGATGAGGGATATGAGGCGAGTCATTTTTGAGTACCTATGAGGATCCAGTAAAGGTAGTGGAGACAAAAACCTTGAGTGCAACGAGAATGCGAACTGGTGTTCGTTTCTGATGGCTGGATGAGTGAGAACCATGCAGGCGGCGCGACGTCTCTTTATACAGTGAGAACTTACTGTCTCTAACCCGTGCCAACTACGCTTGAGGCCTCCTCGGTACTCTTCGACCGAAGTCGCCCTGCTTCTCTCTACCTACCTAGGCATGCCAAGAGCTCGCGGTAAACGCCTCGATGCTGGTTTCTCAGGGCTATGGCCACCACTGAGGTCACTACCTGGTATGTATGTGATCGGCTGTCTTGGCTCGCGGTGCTTTTCGCGTAGTTGCTTGCATGGCTAAGCCATTGCTGCGGGTCCGGAGTGCCTGACTTACGAAGTCAGCAACATGGAGCACCTTGATGGTCTACCAATGGCCGAACTTTTATGCCCATAAGAGACAAAGCACCGGTACAAGTACGGCCTAAGTGTGGATAGCGGTATATATCTTTTGCAGTAGGCATGCGTCCATCGGATAGAATGTGTCACGTTTATTCGCAAGAGAAGAGGTTGAGATTGAAATCCTTCAACGCCGGTGACTTCCAAGGTTAGTCATATTAACACAAAAAGTGCTGCAAAAGGCGTTGCTGATGCTCCATGCATCACGCCGTTAATTATCATGACGTTGAAGTCGGCTCTGCGTTGAAGTCGGCTCTGAAGTTGCCTCTTGCCAGGTAACGTATCAGCACGTGTAGGATAGGAAGTCCTAGACTTTTGGAAGTGACGTGATTTGTGCAGTCCGAGCGTACTTCCGCCGCCCCCACATGCGCATTACCCAGCCCTCACCCGCCAAGTCTGACTTAGATGCACCTCGGGAGCTAAGAGCGAGCCACCTACCCGTTTGCGCCTCAAGCAATGGTTTCGTTAGGTGAAAAAAGCAATTGTCTGGTTCAGGGCTCGGCACCAATCCTACATCTTGTCGAGTTTCCCTGGTAGGTAAGCATGCATTTACCATGGTTCCATTATCGGTCATGTCTTCCTTTCTTAAAGCCCGGTCGCTGCATCTTTATCTGCTTCTGAATAACAAGAGCTTCACACCTCGTTGTTGAACTCTCGATTCGACAGGAAAGTGGACTCCGCTGTACTTGGCAGCCTTGGCCCACTCCATCAGGGTGCTCAAACATCCACACACACGGCGAGTGGAAGATTCTGCATACTTTACCGCTCCAACACGGTACTTCTAAGCCGAACTTTTGCGCCGTGGAACCGTCAGCCGGGTTTTTACGTCGATATAATAAGGTTGCTTATTGCAATTCGAGTCCAAGTGCACTTCATCCGGGTACCGGTTTATGCAAACGCTCAACATGCATACAGTCGGCTGTCTTACCGCCGTTATGGCTCTTGCAACACTAGCCACTGCGCAAACCAACCCGGAGGACTTGGCTTTCCTGACGCCCACGACTGTATCAACTTCAGTTGCACTCACCGGTGTTCAGACCGTCACTGTCACAGCGACCGCGACTGTCACACAGGGTAGCTCTGCGGCGCCTCAAATCACTGCTGTCTCCGATTGCCACGCTCATGGCACCGTTAAGTGAGTTCATATCTGTACATCTTGTCGAAAATAGCATGACACTAACACGCTGCAGCTGGTGCATGGCTGGCACCGAAGAGTACCAAATCTCCGGACCTACTGCTACAGAAGAGTTCCAAGCACAGTACACAGACTGTCATACGCATTCTGCCGAGACGTAAGTACAGCAGTGTTTTGTTGGCGAGACCATGCTAATTGCAAATAAGATTCTGTGTTGATGATGCTGGTGAAGACGTTCAAGTACTCGTTGAATCCGCCGAGGAGGATAGCCACTCTGAGGAGACCACTGAGGAGCCAGCCGGTTCCGGAGAGCACTGTCACTTTCACGCTGGTGTCGAGTAAGTGTTCTGTAAGATCTTCTAACAACCACCAGCTGACCTGTTTTACTTAGACACTGCGTAGGCGGCAGCGGGGAAAAGTCTTGCGATGCAACAAGTCGCGACTACAACATCCCACTGCGCGTCGGGCTGCTCTTCGTCATCCTAGTGACCAGCGCGTTCGGTGTTTTCATGCCGATTTTGACGACTCGATTCAACATCATCTCCCAGACGAACATCATATTCGTCGTACTGAAGCAATTTGGTACCGGAATTGTGTTGTCCACGGCATTTATCCACCTCTTTACCCACGCTGATCTCATGTTCGGCAACGAATGTTTGGGCGAGCTTCAGTATGAGGGAACTACGGCTGCTGTCTTCCTTGCAGGTCTCTTCTTATCCTTCCTCGCAGACTATCTTGGTGCCCGTTTCGTACAATGGCGAGCAAAGAAGCATGTCAGCACCGATAGCGAGATCAGCAATACCCCAACGAACGGTAGTGACAAGGCAGTATCCGCCACAAGCACTCCTGAAAATGACTCCACCCGCAGCCATGACCTAGCTCACGCCCACGGTGCTATCAAAAATACCGCACCTACGGAAGAGATGGTCAACGTTATGAATCTGGAGGCTGGTATCATCTTCCATTCCGTACTGATTGGTATCACCCTTGTGGTCGCCGGCGATTCTTTCTTCGTCACCCTGTTCATTGTTGTCCTCTTCCACCAGATGTTCGAGGGTATCGCGCTCGGCACATGCATTGCGGAATTACCGAAGGCTGCGGCATCGACTCAGAAGAAATGCATCATGGCTGGCACTTTTGCTTTGATCACGCCTATCGGCATGGGGATTGGTATTGGTGTTTTGAACACATTCAACGGAAACGATCCTTCTACCATCGTTGCTATTGGAACACTCGATGCGCTGTCCGCTGGTATCCTTGCTTGGGTTGGTATTGTTGAGATGCTGGCAAAAGACTGGTTGCATGGGCGCATGCTGGACACTGGCTTGATCAGAACGCTCTCAGCGATGTTCGCTTTGATTTGTGGGCTGGTACTAATGAGCGTGCTCGGGAAATGGGCCTGATTAATGAGGGGTCAAGAGATACGAAACGTTATGTTCTCTAGAAGGCGACTTTTAAGTAAGAACTAGCAATAAATGCATCAGTCTACACCCACGAAACCAGAGGCGACATGTCTGAGTGCATCCGTACTCTACGAGTATTTGTACAAGTCGTGTTCCCCTGATAGCACGTCGGATTTACGAGGGGCCGTGACTCAGGACCCTGGCGGGACTCCACTCTCGAGAGGATGCAGATCAGTGAAATTGAAGTTTGGTGTCAATGCACTGTTGAGGAGATCATTCGGACTCCACTGCAGCATGCCACCCTCCCCAAAAGCGAAATCGTTCTCGATCTGTGAGAAGAGATACTGATTGGCTTCATCGGTAGTCCAGGACCATGGAGTCATGCCCGTCTCTGGCTGGTTGTTGCTCATCTGCTGCATCGTCAACATCGCGTCGACATCGGCGGCATCGACCTTATCGCCCTGTTGCGTTAGGGGTGTTGAAGCACGGGTGACGTGTCCGCTGGGTGCTGCCACGCTCGAGATGCCAATATCATCAGCTTCCATGGCCAGTCGTGCAGCTGTCGAGCGATCAAGGTATCGGAAAAAGAGCTGAAGCACCCAATTGGTGACTTCCCAGGTCCTCTGCAGCTCTTGTAGACCCAACAAGCAGAGTTTCGCCCGATGCTCGGCCAGCGTTCGATTTATACCTGAAGATCGTCTGAGATGCGCAACATGTATGCATAGAGTGTTGAACAGGTTCGTAATAACGTGGATTTGCGCATGGCCGATGTTGGCTCGTGGAAGCATATCCTCTACGATGCGAGAGTTGCGAGCAGCAGCTTGTAGAGCAATATTCCCCTCTATGTCGGCACCCCCATCTTCATCGTTAATGAAATTAGATCGATATAGAAGCATCAACAAGTTGTTGTAGGCGAGATGCAGCATGCTAGCTTGGAAGCTAGGATCGTCTCCCGTGTCGACCGACACCTGCATAACCAGCGGAAGCTGTTGCTTCCATTGGTAAAGCTCATCTCGAATAGTGGTACGATCCTCAGGCTTGAGGGTTCGATTCGGCAGGTATCCAGCATCAACGATCCTGCCCAAAAATACAGCAAGCTGAACCATCCCTACGCCATAGTCTTTGTATCGTTCGGCGTCAATTGGCGATGTCGTCTGTAGGTAAGCAAACTCGAAGTCTGAGGTAGAGAGAAGCTCAACATCACAATCTTCGTCACGGATGCGATTGGGAAGGCCGAGAGCGGATCCACATTGTCGCTCGCGGACGTATATAGCCCACCATATTCGCCGTTTGAGTTTGGCAAGTTTCTCATCCGACTCTCCTGTGTAGCGATGGAGAGCTTTGGTCTGGGCTAGACTTGTGGCCACAGAGAGCCAATGGCGGGCGTCTTTTTCCAAAAGTGCGCCCGCGCGCCAAAAGCTCATCAAGAACACGGCTTGAAGAACAAGCAGCTTGTCTGTTTCGTAGGACGCGTCGTAAATATCCTTGGCACGAATGTAGAAAATGTATCGTGCCCTATGGCGGTTTCCCCACCCGAGATTACGTAACGTCAGTTCTTCGCAGTGAATAACACCAATGAAGAGCATGGCCTGTAACAGGAGCGGCGAGATGGTACCCTGACGATGCGTTTCCCATAGATCTGCTTCATCAACGACAGCAAAGTGCGGATGAAACCATTGGAAATATGCCTCGAGGAGGGCAATGCGAACATCGCTCGGAGGAAAGGAGAAGGCGCCCTCAGCTTGGAGCGCTTCCATTCGTTTACGACGTCGCTCTGCCTCCCACTCCGGTACCAGTGCTTCTGCTTTGACAGCATTTGGCACAGCATGACGTAGTCGAGGGCGGTGAGGTGCTGGTACTGGTGTTCCCTCCTCAGTCACGTATCTGAGCGAACTGGACTCGCCTAGAAAGACGGCAGCATCATCTTCAGGTCGACTTGTTTGGGTCTGTGAAAGACCAGGCTGTGAGTCGTGACGCACGCGAGGTGTAGCAAACTGAAAGTCGGTGTTGATGTTCGCGGCCTGATTCTCAGCAGGGCTGTGAAACTTTGTCGAAAGAGACGCAAGTACATGTGACGCAGCAATGTCGTCTTCATGCCGCTCAGGGGTCATGTCGATTCTGACAGTACTAGGGAGGTTAGGTCAGCATCCTGCTGTTATTCATCTGATAATCTGCTGACAAGACACATACTCAACTGCAGTAACACTGTTCTGCTTGCCATTTTCCGCTTTCGGCTTTCGAGGATGTTTGCCGCGCTTTGACTCGCGGGTCTCGCATACGGCGTGTGCTATCTCACAGTTGCGACACGGCTGGCGGTCCGTGACATCGCACTTGACTCGTCGCGCATTGCAGTTGGTGCATGCAAGCCGTGCTCTTTTTCGGGGTCGCTCGTCACCATCCATGACTGAGATGTTGCCGGAAAGCAAGTATGTAGCCGTTTAACCTCAGAGCCTTTGTGGCACTTAGCGGCTCGGCGCGTTTGCGCTGCTTGCGGGCTCTCACGCTGTTGGAAAGGCTGGACAGCGGCACAGGTATCAGCGTTTTATTTGCATGTCACAGCAAGGAGCTTAAAATGTGCCGAAACAGCTCTGGATTTTTCTCCAACATAACGGATTTCCAGGCTTCATTTGATGTATTCGATGTATTGACTTTGTGCTGGGCAAGCCTCGGTTCGAGCTGAGTGCCCGGACTCACATCCCGCTTTTCCAGCAACATCATGCCTAAAGTTGGGAACTGGACAACAACAAGAGCCCGATCTGCACAATACGCGCGGACGTCGCACACGGGTAAAACTGAGACTGGTCTGGACGTTTGCAATGTTACGGCAGGGTACGGCCTTTTAGGGTTGTTGCAATGTTTTGCGTTCGGGTGTTGACGATTGAGTCGGCTATGCAGGTAGCAACGCGTTGCCGACAAGAGCTGTCGCACAACAGCCCATGCAGCCTTGCAATCCATCTCTTGCGCACTCCGATGCACTATCAATTGCAGTATGTTTTACAGGGCGCGTCGCCTGTTTACTGCCTCTACGTACCGGCATGCCTCTGCCGCAGAAGCCAGCGCTGAACTATTTGGTCGATGGGGCAGTGGGAAACCCGTTTCAATCAGAAAGCAGATCCTCGACGCGAACCAAGTTCATTTGCTGAACATCACATTGAACCGCACCCCATCTTCGAACGACCCACCACCAGAAGGCAGCCCTGTACCTGCCGGGCACCATCTCGTGTACTTTACGCCGAGCATCCTCGAAACCGAACTTGGCCTCGACGGTACGGATCGTACTGTCAATCCTCTGACACCATACACGCGACGTATGTGGGCGGGTGGAGAGTTGACATGGACGCAAGACACGAAGGCGCTGCTAAGGGTAGGCCAGGAGGTGCGCGAGACTACAAGACTTGTATCCGCAGAGCCGAAGAAGCTGAAGAATGGTGGGGATATGCTAGTTGTTGGCGTGGAAAAGACTTTTGAGAATGAAACAGGTGTCGCGCTTGTAGACAAAAGAAGCTGGGTCTTCCAAAAGGAAATACCGCCAGAGAGTGCTCTGATACCACCTGCTAAACCCGCGGCAAAGGCCTTGCCATCTGGCGAGCACACCAAAGACTTTTGCCAGTCAGACGTAGCCTTGTTCCGGTTCTCCGCACTGACGTTCAACGGACACAAGATTCACTTCTCGCCAGAGTGGTGCAGGCAAGTTGAAGGGCACAGAACCTGTGTGGTTCATGGACCTCTCAATCTAATTAATATCCTGGACTTCTGGCGGGACACAGCAAAGAGTGGAAGTGCTGAAGCAGTGCCCATGTCAATTTCGTACCGTGCAATGTCCCCTTTGTACATGAGCGAACCGTACCGAATTCTGCTTGGACGAGGCCCTCAGAGTGGCAGCAATGGCGAGTGGAATGCAGACGTTTGGGATAGCTATGGCAAACAGAGCATGAAAGGGACCATCAAAGAGTAGGCAATATTGAACTTTAGAATATCCATTACCATGTTGACCCTTGTGCGGACTGAGAGGCGCGCCAAACGCGTCTCGCTGCTGCATCTTTGATGTGACTACGTCATCGCCTCTCGAGGCTTCCAATCGTTACACTTTCCTTCTTCCCCCAAGACCGGCACGGAATGGCATGTGTTCGTTCCGTCCTCGCCTGGGATTTCTTTTCCCCAACTTTTCGATAGCTCCAGTCTTCAGCACAGACCGGCCAGCGCCTGCTTGCATGCTCCCTTGTGCCTCTGTTTCGCGCGGCGGTACATACTTTGTAGGTCTATGCAGTCTGTGGCCGTAGGCTGTGGCCAGGCAGGCAGCCAAATAAGACTGTCATGGTAGAGTTGAGTGTTTTTGCCACCACTCACCAGCCAGAGCATGCAACATGTCTTCAATGCTTCCGAAGTTCCCATTCGACCCTTCCTGAGAAAAATCAGAGACATCGATGGCTCTTGCGGGCTCATCGGTATCGCAACCAGCTAATCACATCTGACGGCTGCTATTCCGTCTTGTTAAGCTCAGCGCTAGGCTTCGAGACGGGAACACCGAGCCCCGCATCATCTCTTCTTTTCCAGCTCCCGACGTGCCGCGCAGGTCCCCTTCCCGTGCATCTAGTTTTAACCTTACACTTCTTCTGGAACAGTTCCAAGATGGCTTGTCGGGTCTGCGGTCAGCATGTTGAGACAGCGATCGCATGGGATCATTGGAGCTGGTCATCGGCATTCTGTTCGCAACTCAGGGAAACTTTGTTTGCCATTTGAGCTGCCTCTTTCGTAATACTCTGAATCAAACCTAATAGAAGACATACGTTACTTCACATCATCAAGGTCAAGTAGAGTCTGAGCCAATACTAGTCCACATGTTCTAGCAGCATCGATGTTTTCGGGAACCAGCAGCCTCCGCGTCTCAACAACAGTCGGCCCTTTGATATCTTGTCTCGATATGCACAAACGCAGATCGCAGAGTTAGCGTCAAGTCATCAAGGTTTGCATCTCGATTTACAACTATCTCAAGCCCATGGACATAGACCCTTGAGTAGTCGAATGCCTTGACGGCAATCCTCTCAACTCCCTTTCCCGACCTTACTTCCACACTTCAAGCCCTACTTTGGACAGAAATCCAGCAGAGATCGATGGTAGCTGTACTCGTCGCTCGTCGCCACCATGGGCTGGACCTCCGAGTTTAATCCAGATCCAACGTTCACCGCTTGGGGACCTTTTATTCGCGATGGCTACTACATCCAACCAGTCACCTATAGAGCGATAACCGTCGCCAGCTTGGTCTTTGGTCTCGCAAACATATTCGCTATCTCGGCAGCTGTCATCGCGTACAGACAAACGCGAGCATGTCGAAGGCCTTTGAAGAGCGCATACATCTGGATGATATGGCTCGAACTCGCGGCTTCCTTTGTCATTGCAATTCAGTGCTTGCTATACCTCCTCAAGGTCATAAGACCGAGCTTCTGGTTCTACATGTCAATATGTAAGTCACTTGCATCTTTCGTGATCGCATCAGCAATGAGTCTTACAATCATAGTGCTGAACTGGTCTATACAAGTGCAATTACTGCTTCAGATCATCATCAATCGGGTGCGCATCATACTGACGGATAGGAGGAAAGGCCGTCTGCTCATGATAGGAACTGCCGTAGTTGTGACACTGATCAACATCAGTGTATTCGTTGTATGGATTCCTGCGCGCCTCCAAATAAGCACTCGGTAAGCACTGCATGATTCTATTGACTGTATGGTATTGACTGTGTAAGTTGGATCCACGTCAACAACATATGGGACCGAATCGAGAAAGTATTGTATCTACTCATGGACGGATTCCTCAATTTCTACTTCATCCGAGTAGTCAAGGCGAACCTTGTCAGGAATGGCCTCGAGAAGTACAATCGACTTGTACTATTCAATCAGCACATGATCTTCATCTCTTTGCTGATGGATGTCATGATTATTGCTGCCATGTGGATCCCAAACGGTTTTGTGTAAGTCAATTGGTTACCAGTAGGGCTCTACCTATGTGAAAATATTAGAAAGCTGACAATCGCGACTAGATATGCGATCTTCCATCCACTCGCGTACCTCGTAAAGCTGAATATCGAGATGTCCATGGCACATCTGATCAAGAAGATTGCGATGGACAACTCTCGCAACAGCGACTTATGTATTATCTCGAATTCGCACAACAGCGCCTTCAAGTCCACACAAGATTCCGATTCAATACCAGCCACCCGAAAAACGATATCGTTGCTAAAAAGTGTATTTAGCGGCGAGGAGGAACGCCCACCGCTCCTTATGAACGAGATCCTGAAAACAGAAGAGTTCAGGGTACACAGTGGTCCTGTGAAGAAACTAGAGAGTCCATCTGGCCAGACGATTGAGCCCGAGATTCACGATGGGTCGAGTTTCCGCAGTACTACCGATAGCATTGCATGGGTAGATGCGGACTGGATAGGGACGAATGAGGAAGAGCCGGGCACTGCAAGCGCCAGAAGTCAGAAGCCTGCCTCGGTCGTGGACGACGAAGCGCATTTACTTCGACCTGCACCTGCAGTCTTGCGTCCAATTTGAAGAGAAGTACCCACTAGGTTCAACCATCAACAACAAGCCGTTTACTGTGGACAAAGACAGAAAGGATTGGCTGCTCACCTGATCTTCCGTGCATCAATGCGGAGAAGATCCTTGCAAGACTCCCGCCATAGGCCAACACGAAAGTTTCATCTCCGTGCATTGCGGAGGCGGGAAGCATGGGTTTCCCCAGACGCCACCGTGGTATGACACGATTCAGCTGCAGCGCATCTTCACAGCTGTGGGCGTTATTCACTGGGCAGAGCAAAATTCGCCCAAAGCTCGGCGTAATGGTCGCAGGACATCAAGCTAAACTCGAAAGATACCCCAAAAGGTCCACAAGCGACTATCCTCGGCCACTTGTTGTCGTTTTCTGCATCATTGTACCATTGCTCGTGGGCATGCGATGTGCGACAATCTGGATCACGCACACATGCTTGCCGTGCGACCCTGGGAATGTAACCCTACCGTAATGGTTCGACGCCAGCCATTCGATCCCCTGGCCCAATATACGAACCTTACCAACCCTTTACACAAAGACCTAGGCGGACTGCCTTTTGCGGAACACATGTGTCAAAAGTTGCACAGCACCAAGTGATAGTTAGGGGCGCCGCGAATCGTGAATGGGAGCAGAAATCGTCGGCATCAGGCGCCTGCTTCTTTGGGCTGGTAATCTCCGGGGTCGATCTTTGCCATGGAGGCTTTAAGTGCAAGCGATACATAGGGAATCAAGCATATGACAATACGATACCTTGTGACCTTTGTGTATAAACAGCTGCACTGCGCTTGCTTTGCTCTTCTCATTGTCAACCTTTCATCCTCGGTCTTTACACTTCAGTCAACAAAGTCACGATGAGGAACACATTCATTTTCACCACCCTCACAGCTCTTGTAGCTTCTCAGGGCATTGCTGATCTGCCAGTCTGCTCTCTCACATGCCTCACTACTGCAATTGGTGGCCTGGGATGCGGCATCACCGACTTCGCTTGCTCGTGCCAGAAGGCCTCCGAGCTTACGCCAGTTGTAACGCCCTGTGTTCAGACTGATTGCTCCAATCCTGCAGACCAAGCCAAGACGATCGAAGTCCTTGCTGCCATTTGCGCTGTTGCTGGTTTCCCTATCGAGGTGCCCACCCCACCGGCTTCTTCAGCCGCTTCGTCGGTTGCTTCGCCATCTGCATCGTCAGCAGCCGCATCCTCGGCTGCTTCTTCGCCTGCTGCTTCGGCTACACCTACACCTACAGCCTCGTCGGAGGCTCCTATTGAGACGCTGCCATCTGCCACCGATGAGCCAGAGTACCCTGAGTACCCAACTGCCACTGTCACTCCTTCCGAGTATCCAGGTCAGTGCCTCTTTCCCCATTTTGACAACATGACCTAAATTAACCCCTTTAGCTCCCACCCATGCGACTGACGATGTGCCTAACCTCCCATCTTCCTACTCCGCTGTCCCTATCCCGTCGTTCGTAGACACGGCCAGCGCGCCGTATCCTTCAGTTCACACGACTTCGGGGCTGATCATACTCCCTCCTTCCCCAACCGGTAGTTGGATACCATCTGCGTCGGCGCCTAACGGTACTGTCACGGCTACTCACACCTCTAGCCGACTGCCCGAGTTCACTGGTGCAGCTGCAGCTGCTCAGGTACCTTTGATTGCCGCTGGTGTGTTTGGACTGGCTGCCTTCGTTTTGTAATCGTTGTATTAGTAGAGCAGTCAGTGGGGAATTTTGTAACTAATGGTGGAGAAGTTCAGAGTGCCAATCGGTCTATAGATTCGAACGGTGTTGTAATAGATGAAGCTTTTTCGGTGTATCCTACGACCTGATGAGACCCCATGAATTTCTAGAGTCATTGTGATAGGTGCTGAATATCTTGAAGATGCGAAGGGACTGGACTTGAACATGTGGCAAGTTCTACGTACGGAAGCAACACAACAGCACGGTTGGCATCACTGTAATATACACGATCGAAGGCATTTTGTATCGATCGTTCGGGAGTCAGAACACGAAGTAGCGTGCAAATGTGTGTTACGAGTGTTTTCAAGTGATTCACAACTGCTCAGCTGTATCTGACTGTGATTTAAAATCATCGCAACCTCGAGCTTGACGATGAAGGTGTGTCCACATCTTGTATTCCGGCCAACATCTTTGTACCCTCTCAACAATAAGGACCACGATCAGATCCCACGGCCGAGCGTACGCTGTAACAGCTTTCCTAAGCCTGCCAGTTGGGATCCTCAGCCTGGACACGCCTAGCATACTCCTCGTCGCCGGTGGTGTCTTGACCAAGCGCAATGTTGGCCTCCTCGCCCTCAAGACGGATTTGGCCAGTCTCGCGTCTGGTCATGCAGCACGAGTAGAACAAAGTAGACCACATGAAGATCCTTTATGAGGTTAGCATTTGCAGTGTATATCCAAGGACTTACTCGGAGCGATGAAACTTACCAGTTAAAGGTGTTGGTCCAAAGGATGATGGATTGAAAGTTGTTGACCTTCACGCCATTCATCACGAGCCCGTTCTCGTTCCTGCCCAGCTTCTCATTGCCATGAGGAGTAAGGGCGAAACCGACGAAGGCGAAGAAGTACATGACGAAGCCAGCAGTGATCTTCCAGAACTGGTACTTCATGTACTTGTCCTTGGTCAAGATACCCTGTGCCGCAGCCTTCTGCTCCTTGTTGATAAGGATGGAGGTCGTGATGCTTGTGAAGATCAAGCCGTAGAGCAGCGAGAACGTGAATGCCTTGTGCGTGCTCGGTATGACGGCTGCGAGGAAGACATACACGGTTGTCAGGCTAACAACGCCCAGCTGGCACATCTGCAGTCCCCTCAGGCGAGGCGAAGCATCTTGGGGGAAGGCGAGGAGGAACGGCATCTCGAGAGAAGTGGATGAGTACGACAAAAGCGCAGGCCAAAATGTTGCAACGTTTGAGTAGTTGTGTTGGAGTTCCACCACACAGACAGCAAGCTTGGGTGTGGTGTTGAAGTATCTTTATCGTGGGGCTGGCTTGTTCACCGGTCAGCCCTAAGGCATTGAGAGAATCGAGGCCCCCAGTGCGTCAGCTCTAATTTCGGACATTTCCAATACTCTATTCCGCTATTTCTAGGCAGATGGCTGATTTGATAGGCCGAAAGTGCCTTTGCTTTCGCGACCAGCTGTTGGTGGTTTCATGCCTTGTGATGTATTCTTCTCTTGGGGTTGTTGAATTTGCGGGAGATGGAGGGCACGATGTACCAGCGCAGCACGAGGCCTAGACCGGCCGGCAAATTGATGAGTTTGTTTCGGTTCTGAGGTTTCGACGACATGTCGTCCTTCATATGTCCAACACCTAAGGCTACGGGCACGGCCGTGCAAGGCACAGCTTCATACCTAGTCCATTCCTTCATGGTTTTTACGATGTGCGACAGCGCACTACGATGGCTTACCAGTCACGTTTGTATGAGCGTCCTTGTCGATTTGGCGATGTCGGAAGCGTTGACCTGTATCGCGATAGCTGTTTCGGTGGTTGTGCACGGTCGGGCGGCTCGCGAACGACAGCCAGGCGCAATGTCCCGGTGACAGCCTTGAAGCGGCCCATCTCGCCGTGCTGCCTGGTGTTTAGCCCCATCGAGGCTGCGACTGATTCGTGCTCCGCCCTATTGTTGTTTAGGCGCATGCTGTAATTGGCACAATGGCAATGTTCACATGATTTCGCGTTTATGCTTGTTGAGGCGGCGTCTGGCTAGGACGGTTCGGTTCTAGGTTTCAGGCGCCTGCAGGTCGCCGCCAGACAAGCTTCGCGGTTCAGGGGACGATAAAAGCAAGCGTGGCTGTCACATATCAAGCGCCACGCCTCAAGTCTTACCTGCCAGTCACTCCCTCTGCTGTTGTGCGTGCATCTCGTGTTCGACGTCCCTCGTTTATACGTCACGCCCCATCCGCTCTTTAAACCTCAATTCCTTGTGGAGAAATTGTGCAGATCGCCCGCCATGCGTCAATCCATTGCCCTTCTCTCGCTCGCCGCCAGTGCAGCGTGCGCAGCCGATGTGGTGTCGTTTGTCTTCCCTGGAGGTTCGTAGTCACGCGCCCCGCACCGACGCCCCGTCTGACTTGCGCCTTAGGATTTGACGGCACCGCACCCGTCGCGACCATCGAGTCGGCGGGCCCCTCGACGACATCGGCCGTCATGACATGCCCCACGGGCACTCCGGCCGACGAGTGCGGCTTCGCGTCCGGCCTCAACGTCGAGATTATCGGCGGCACCCGCTACCAGGCGTCCATGTCCGCTGGCAGCGTCTACGTGAGCTACGGCTGCGATGGCTACGACTCGGCCGCCCAGACCATGACGTGCACCGCCGAGATGTCGGGCGAGGATGCGCAGACGGCCGTCCTGTCGGGTTCCGACGTAGCCTTCCTGACCGCCACCGTCGTCGCCGGCGCTGAGTTGCTGAGCGGCGGTGCCAGCGCGACCGCCAGTACCAGCGCCCGCGCCTCTGCAGGCGCAAGTGCCAGCACTTCTGCTGCTGCCTCAAGCTCTGCTGCTGCCAGCTCTGGCATGCAGACGAGCGCCTCGGCCTCTGGCACCGCCGCTGCCGGCAGCCAGGCGTCGGGCTCTGCCACATCCACGGCCGGCCCTGCTAGCACCGGTGCTGCTGCAAAGTTCCGCATCGAGGGCGCTGCGCTGCTCGCTCTCGTTGGCGCCGCTGCCGTCAACGTTCTGTAGATGTGCGTAGAGAAGGAGGGCAACCGACAAGCAACATATACCCAGTAGACCCAGCATGCAGAGGCCTTGCGTACATAATGTAATAACAAACATAAAACCCCCCCATCTCAGCTTCGTGATCGTCCTGCCTCACATGTTGAAAACCTCTCTCTCACTTCCTATCTACGGCCGACTAGTTCAATGGTCACGTGCCGTCTGCTGCTCTCCCCTTCAGCCTTATACCTCAAGACCAGTAGGAAGACATGACATCGCCTATTCAAGACACTCTCCAAGAGCATGGCTCACGAGCTGCAGGAGAGAAAATGTTGTTCGATGATACATCTAGACTAATCCGAAAAAGATCAAGTTCGCCCAGAACCCTTGTTTGGTGGGCACCTGTTAGCTTTCACGTGTAGGCTGTCGCCTGTTGTCCACTCATCGTTCCTCAGCACACAGCGCATCATGAATCAAGCACTATAGCCCAAACATGGATGTTACCAGCACTATGAATACCCCGGAGTCATCATCACATGATCCGTCTACGGCGTCCTCCACCGACCATCAAACACAGAAATCTTTTTCGTGTGTCCTGTGCGCTCAACGGAAAGTCAAGTGCGATAGAAAGCCTGGCGGATGCAATAATTGCACCAAGGCACGCGTGCCATGCATCTATAAAGCACCTCCTCCCCCAAGGAGGAGGCGAAAGGGAGTCCGCGACGTGGATACTACTACCCAGCTTCGGATATACGAAGACGCTCTGCGAAATGCTGGGATCGACCCAGTGAGCCTCTTGAAGCAAATGTCCTCATTAGAAGACGACCACGTCGGTCACTCCAGAGCTAGGACTCAGACCAGGACTCAGCCAACGGTCACTTCAAATGAGGAACGCACCGCCACTGATGTTGGCGTTCTTTTGGTGGATCATGGCAAAACAAGATACCTGGAAAATGGTATATGGACAAGCTTGAGAAGCGAATTCCGCGACCTAAAGGAGATATTAGACGAGACCTCAGACGACGAATCATCCGATGGCAACAATGGCAGTGCGCCTGAAGTCTTCTCACCAGATGGATCGCGACTGATATTCGGCAGTCCCATGTCATCAACAGGACTGCGACCTCTTCATCCCCGACCCGTAGAGTCTTTCAGACTGTGGCAAGTCTATCTTGAAAATATCAACCCGCTAATAAAGGTCTTCCATGCGCCCACAGTGCAGCAGATGATTACCGAGGCCAATGGCAACCTGGACCAAATACCACGAAATGTGGAAGCACTTCTTTTTGCAATCTACTGTGTGACCGTAGAGTCTTTGAGCGATGGAGAATGCAAAGCCATCTTGGGAGATAGTAAGAGTGAAACAAGGGAACGGTTCAGATCTGGAGCTCAACACGCTTTGATCAACGCAAGCTTTCTGAAAACTTCAGATCTAATGGTTCTGCAAGCCTTGACCCTGTTCATTGTAAGTAAACACGTCTATTACGCATTACCATAAGATGATGTGCTGATCTGAACCAGCTCTCGCTTCAAGAAATTGACGCTCGCATAGTCTGGATCCTATCTGGAGTCTGTCAAAGGATCGGCCAACGCATCGGCTTACATCGCGATGGCGATAAGCTCAAGCTACCGCCCTTCGAGGCTGAAATACGCAGGCGACTGTGGTGGCAAATCATCATGTTAGAGGGCTTCTCGCAGAAGCTTGCTGGTACAGGCACAGGGGCAAATGCCTCCATCCTTATGGGCGACACCAAGCTCCCGGCCAATTTGAATGACAGCGACCTTTTTACAGGGATGAAAGAACTGCCCAAGGAGTCTGATAGGGCTACTGAGATGATGTTCTTCCTGATTCGGTGCCATGTTGGCAACTTTTTTAAGCGCTTTGAAGCTCCCCAGCCTGTATTCGACGGAGTTTGGACCACTCTGACTACAAAGACTGTCGATGTGAGCACAAAAGAGAGAGCTATAGGAGAGCTGGAACAGCTTTTTGAGCAAAAGTTCCTACGGCACTGCGATTCCTCGATCGTGTGGCACCTGATGTGCTCCCATCTCGCTAAATCTATCATCTTCATGATGCGTTTCATGGCTTATGGTGCAATCTATCAGGGGCAAAAGGGGACCCAAGAACAAAGAGACACTCTCTTCACATTGTCTTTGCAAGTCTGCTCGTCTCAGATCTTGGCATACACCATGAAAGAGATGCAAGGTTATGTGTGGCACGTAAACGTGCACTTTCAGTGGAAGGCTGTTGTTTTCTTGATATCGGAGCTCCGCTATCGTACGTCTGGGCCAGAGGTCGAGCAAGCTTGGAGGAACATACGGCTCACCTACGAATTTCACCCAACGTTCGAAACTGAGCCGAAGCGCGCGCTGCCAATCGCAGTCAATCACTTGACGTTGACGGCTTGGGAGGCATACATCGCCGCCAATGGCATGCCAGATGGCGGTGAGCCATACTTCATCCAGCTTATCCGTAACCGTCAGGCTCGCTCGAAAAAGCCAAATGTCCCCGCCGAACAGCAAAATGCGTCCGTAGTCGACTACACGACTACGTTTACACCGATGCCCGCTCAGGAGCTCGCCACAGATAATGGTGGCACTGATCATCTAGCGGCTTTCCCATGGAATCCAGCGGATCTGAACGCCAGCCTGGGTTTGCCGCCTGTGATGCCGGATCTGGCGCCACTCGAATATCCAGAACAGATGAATTGGTCAACATGGAACGACCTGCTTGTCAACTTCCAAACAACCAACGCCGACGACCATTTGCCAGACATGTCGACATTCAACTTCGAGATGTGAGGTTGCAGTACATATGTGCCGGCGTGTGTGCTTTCGCGGTGTTTGTTGGCTGCTCTTTCACTTCCTAAGCTCGCCGATCTGGGGACAGTCTCCTTCACTCTTTGCGGCGACCGGAAAAACTCTGCCGCCTCGAATGGAGCTAAATCCAGTGGGTGTAGCTTGCAACTTGTCACCTAGACTTTTACAACAATTTCACACTCTGCGTCCACCATGGCGACCACTTCACAGGAGCAGTTACTCGCTTCGTTCAAAGGGTAGGTGACTTCAAGGCCTCCAGAAACCACGCTTGAGCTAAATATCACGCAGTTCCTTGACCTCGGGCGCATACTCAGATATGACTATAACGTGCGGTCAGGATACCTACAAGGTCCACAAAGTCATCGTATGTTGTCGGGCGGGTTTCTTCGCGCGTGCAATCAAGTTCGGTGGCCAGGTGAGCACCTTCAGAGATGACCGGAGGTCTGAGAACTGATGATTGAGAAGGAGACGCAGACAGGAACGATCGATCTTCCAGACGATGATGTTGAGGCAGTTAAATGTCTCATTCACTACCTGTATGAAGGCGAATACAGCCCGGCTTTACCTGCAGATAGTACGAGCGGCGCACTCCATGCTCCTCTGTCGCCTCGCCCGAAGAACTCTCCCGACGGCCGTGTCTACCAGTACGATTTTCCCCACACTTGTAGTTCGTACAGCATTTACTGTGTTACGTGTCACGTTTGTCCCCATCACACATGCAGGGATGGATGTGGTGGATGTGGTTTGAAATGTGTTACTTTTACCTGCAGGGAATGCACCGCCCCACCTCTTCCCCAGCTCAACGGCACTGCAGAACAGCTCCTTCTCCACGCGAAGATGTACGAGATGGGCGACAAATACGACGTCGTGGGCCTCAAAGACCTCGCAAAGGAGAAGTTTGGTCGCGCCTGCAAGCACTTCTGGAGCACTCCAAACTTTGCAGCAGCTGCACACCACGCCTTCTCCACAACAGTCGAGGACGACAAAGGACTGAGGGACATTGTCAGTGCGACGATCTGTGAGCACATTGAGCTGGTGAACGATCCTGGCGTCAGCGTGCTGTTGACACAGTTCAGTGGTCTCGCGTTGGGCATCTTGCAGGCGAAGGTTAAGGAGAACGGTTGGGACAGGGAGAATGGTTGTGACGAGGAGGTCTGAGTTCCTCTGCAAGCCGAGAAGTATACCCGCTACTCATGGCCGTTTGACGGGACTGGTGATACATGCAGATGAGTTCTTTACCCTGCAAGCTGCGATTCTGGCTGGCATTCTACAGACATGCCATGCTCACGAGAAAGCTCACAACCATGTGATTAGCAGCAACACTACAAAATCATATTCATGCGTCCAAAACTACCATGCCTGATATCTACCTCGAGTGCTCTTCCCGAACCCCCGGTCTTCCCATTTATAATCCGCTCGTGTCCGTTCCCGAAGCAACAAGCAAGCACCACAGCACCCATCGATACCGTGTAGCAAGACACAAGAGCAAACGTCCCCACAACCGCGACGCGCCGTCGAACTCACGGTCTACGCAGCGTTGCCGGCACGACACACATCCACAGCCATGCACACCTATGCTACAGCACAAACCCACTCATCCCCGACATCCAACCCGCACAACCCCACAATATTGACGCTCAGCACGCCTTGGATAGCCGAAGGACCGTGCGTTAGCTCCGCGATACAGTACTTAGAGGAGGACATGTGATGCCTCCAGGACTGACCGCTGAGCGTCACTGCATCATCAGTGCTCGAATAGCATGCCGAAATGAGAGCGATTTGCGACGCTGCCTTGACGTTTGAAACGGGGGAGAGTGTCATGACTATGAATCCGCTCACCGTGGCTCACACGGGGGGCCGGCTGGCGGCGCGGGTGGAGATAGCGCGGTGCGCCGGATGGCTCCTGGACTCCACTCAGAGGCATTGATTGGTGGCCTCATTTGCTGATAACAGCCATTGCTGACGCAAGCACTATCTGCGAATGATGTCCTTGATAAGAATAGACGGATGAGGAAGAGAGCTCGGTCAGTGAGCATTCAATCAGCAGCGAAGGACAGCGTGAACGAAGGTACCGAGAAGCAAATACTGTGAGGTGCAGATGTGTGAGCAGGTGAGAAAGATACAGATGCATTGATCTATATAGTATCTCTGTTAATTCTTTATTGAAACAGAGATGGAAAGTCGCAGAAAGTAGCCCAGTGAAATATGCACCCTGCCAAAGCCCAACGCCAAAACGGATCATGTATCATACTATTACGAGGCGGAAGCAAAGCCTATATCCGCTGACTATGCAACAACGCGAAGAGATCAGGCAAAGGCGAAGTGTTTACTCGCGAGCGACACGCTGCTTGAACTCTTCGAACATGTGCTCCATCTCCTCAGCGACGAAGTCCTCAATCTCGGCCTCGAGCTTGGAGAGCTTGCCGCCGACCTGGTGGGCAGTGCGACCAGCAGCAGCCTTGGCCTTCTCGAACTCATCAGCGACCTCCTTCTCGACCTCGGAGACAGAGGGGATGGTGATGGTGTACTCGGTGGGCTCCTTGGAGAGGCCCTTGGTGGACTTGTAGCCACCCTTCTCAACGATCTCGGAGTAGTTGCTGGAGCCACCGCCGTTCCAGGCGAGGACGTTGGCAGTGTTGGAGGGAACATCGGAGAGAGCACCAACGGTACCGACAGCGATGAGGTTAGACTTAAGCTTCTTGGGGGTGATGTCAGCGACAGCGTAGGACGAGTCCTTGGCAGGCTGGAGGGAGAGGTAGTAGGCCAGAAGACCAGCAATGTGGGGCGAGGCCATGGAAGTACCAGAGATGGTGTTGACAGCATGGTCAGAGCCGATCCAAGTGGAAAGGATGTTCAGACCGGGAGCAAAGATGTCGTTGCACTTTCCGTAGTTGGAGAAGTACGCACGCTCGTCGAGAACGGTCGAGGCACCAACGGTGACGGCGTTCTGAGCCGCGGCAGGGGAGTAGTTGCAAGAGTCTGCGTTGTCGTTACCGGCGGCAACGGCAAAGTGAATGCCGGCGTCGACGGCAGCGTTGACAGCAAGGTCGAGTGTGGTCGACTTGCCACCACCAAGGGACATGTTGGCAGCAGAGCCCTTGAAGCCCTTCTTCTTGCCCTTCTTGGCGGCACTGACGGTGTCTGTGTGAGACTGAGCGGCCCACTCAACACCCTTGACGACGTCGGACATGGTGCCAGAGCCGTTGGAGCGGAGGACCTTGACGGCGTAGACGTTGGCCTTCTTGGCTACACCATACTTCTTACCAGCAACAGTGCCGGAGCAGTGGGTGCCGTGACCGTTGCCATCCTCATCAGCGTCGCCGTTGGGGATGGTCTTGCCCCAGTGGGCGCGGCCCTCGAAGTCGGCGTGCTTGTAGTTTGTGCCGGTATCGATGACGTAAACATCGACGCCCTCACCGCCGTCGGCCGAGTACAGGTACTTGTTCCAGGTACCGAAGCTCAGCGAGTCGCGGTGGGAGATACGGGCGAGACCCCAGGGGGCGTTCTTCTCGGTCTCGTAGTCGTCACCGCCAAGGGTGTGGACCTCGGAGTCACGCTCAATGTAGTCGACCTATCAGATGATGACGTTAGCGGGAGTACTAAAGCAGGTACCAAGTACCTAAATGGACTGATCACGTGCTGATAGGGTCCGATTGCGCGTTCGGCTGAGCTGCCTTATCGCCAGGCGCCAGCCATCGCCACGCCAACGCGCAGCTGACCTGGGGAAGCGCGTCCTGAGTCGTGCACTCAACGTTAAGTTCAGGACGCGCAGTTGCACAGGCTGCTGAATGCAGAGCTGGAAACTCTAGCGATGGCTGACGACTGCTGGCTGCAGTGCACTTTCGGCTCAGACGGCCCGAAAGACGCCCTTGGGAGCTCGGGTGAAACGCGGCGTGCAACGAACAAGCTCACGATAGCCGATAAGGGAGAGCTGGAAACTTACGTCAGGGTGCCTGCGGATGGCCTCGATGGTCTCCTCGTCAAAGTGACCCGAGTAGCCGAGGATGCCGCCGGCGATGTTGTATGTGTGCTTGAGGCCCTCGAAGACATCCGAGGAGACAGGGAACTGGGAGCGCTTTCGCAGCTCCATGCGGTCGTCCTGTGCCTTGGTGTGGATGCTCTGGACCCAGTCGTGGTGGTCCTTGGTGTGCTCGTGCTTGACGTGCTTCTTGAAGACAACCATGTAGCTGTCGGCAATCGCCTTGCTCTGTGTTGACGACAGAATGGGGGCAGCGTCGTTGTGGATGGTGCCGACCTGGAGCACAGGCGAGGCCGCAGCCAGCGCGGCCAGCGCCGGGAGAGTGTAGGCGTACTTCATAGTGGAGGTCTCGCGCTGCGAGGCTTGGGGTAGAGAATGAGGGCAGAGAGGGACTGATGCTAGACAAGCGGGAGATGGATGAGTGGATGGGTGTGGAGGGCTGGGCTGGGGATGACTGGAGACGGGCTTGGGGAGCAGATGGAGCTCTACTTATCGCGCCGGGCACATGACGTGCCTCCCAAGCTCGGAGCTACCCCAAACCTGACCAGCCTCACTGGCACTAGCCTATCGCGGCGGTGCAGCAGGCGCTCGCCACGGGAAGCAGTTGTTGCGACATTCGCAGCGACAGCGGCCGACGGTGGCTGAGGTCGCTGTTCGAGTAGCCGCAGTCATCGTAGCCAGCGCTCTGTCGCGGCGAGCTTGACGGCCGCCGTGCACCTGGGCTGCTCGCGTCTGAAGCTCGCGGCGAACCACACAAGGCCGCGGGCGCTAGGCTGGATGCGTGCAGCTGCGCCTCGTGCAGGCCATCAGCAGCACAGCAGCGTCCCGCGTGAGACAGAGGGGCGGCAGCGGCACGCTGAGGGCTGTAGGTAGGCCTGCCCGTGACCAGGCGCTCATTCTTCGGCGTGCCGCGCAGTGCATTCTCGGGGCGGCGTGGACAGCGTGCAGCTAGGCAGCGAGAGCTCGGACCGGCCACCCTGCGTCTGCGTCTGTGTCGTCAGGCGGCGTGGGACGGCCGACGACGACGGTACCGGCGACGGCGACGGCGGCGACGGCAACGTACTACACCGCGCCGTGACTGTAGAGCCGCAGAGCCGTGGTCGAGGCCGTGAGCGCGCCGTGACGGAGCCGTGACACCTGCGCCAGCCGCCGTGGAGCAGCCGTGGGGCCGCTGTGACAATCAGACCGTCAGTCGTGCCTGCCCGCACCGCCACGCACTCTGCTCTGCTCTGCCCACCCGCACCGCTCACCGCACCGGCCGCAGTACTCGAGCCCCAACGACGGGTACCGCCAGGAGAAGACGGCCGCACCGGCCGCAGCGATATGTGCGCCCGCTCCTCGCCGCACCATCCGACCCCCTCCTTCGACACTCGCCATGGCGTCGCGCCCGCACCGCTCCTCGACGGCCGCGTCGCGGGTGCCGCCCATGAACAACCAGATTGCTGAGTTGCGCGCCCTGGCCGATGACCTGCTGCGGGCCGCCGACGCCCCGCCGGCGCCCGACTCGCTGCAGCGCCAGAGCCTCGCCCTGCGCCGCATGCGCCAGCTGCTGATAGACTCGACCGACCAGACGCACACCAAGGACGCCTTCCGCCATGTGCGAGGCTTCGATGTGCTGCTCACCACCCTGCGCGCCCTGGCCGGCTTCTATCGCCCCGCCCTGCCTGCCCCCGACCGCATCGACTTCTTCGACGTCGTCAAGGCCACGCTGGACGTGCTGTCCGACGCCCTCGACGAGCATGCCGGCAACCGCCGCTTCTTCGCCCAGCGTGTCGAGGGCGGCGGCTGGAGTGCCCTCGAGCAGGCCCTGGCCAGCGCCGGTGTGCTGGGCCGCCCGTCGGACGCCCCGCGCGATGATGCTGCCCCGGAGCAGCTGTTCGGCATTCTCTTCGCCTTTGCCCTGGGCGAGGACGCCATGACGCGCATGTTCAGGCACGTGGAGCGGCCACCCGAACTCGCATCTGCAGTGCCTGCAGCGCCTGCAACGCCTACAACGCCCGCCCCCGCCGATACCGACTCCCAGCTCGATGACCCCCCGTCCGATAACCCCCCGCCCGCCGACATCGTCGTCTCCAGCCCGCGCTCCGTCTACGCCGACGACGTCCTCGACCTCGACCCGCTGCGCACCCACCTGCGCCAGCTCTTCAGCGGCAATGAGGTCCTGCAGAACCCCGACATCATGCCCACCATCCTCCGCTTCTGGCGGGGCCTGGCCGGTGAGCAGGCTCCCGCGCCCCGGTCGCAGGCGCTCTCGGCCGCTGTGTTGCTCGCCGTTCTGCACATCACCGAGCTGTCGTCGTACAACAAAGCTGCGTTGCACATCACGGGCGTGCTCAGCTTCATTCTACCGCTGCTCTTCGAGAACAAATGCGCCCGCACCGAGGCCGACTTGCTGCAGCAACTTGCCGACAGCCTGATCGAGTATGGCATCAACGAGCTCGACGATGCCTACTATCTGTTCCGGAAAGCAGCGTCGTCAGAACAAGCCGCCGAGTTCCTCCATCGCGGCATGCAGGCCTCACGAGCGCCCCATTTCATACAGTTCGACCTGTCCCTCCACGGCTTCAGCGCCATCGAGCTGCCAGACCTCGGTCGGCCCTTCCCACCCGTCTCACAAGGCGGCGGTTACACGTTCGCGACGTGGATGCGTGTGGACCAGTACGACCCAAACTGCCACACCACGCTCTTCGGCGCGTACGATGACACCCAGACTTGCTTCCTGATGGCCTATCTGGAAAGGGACACTCGCTGCTTCATCTTGCAGACATACATGGGCCACGCATCCGGCGTCGTCCCCAGCGTACGCTTCAAGAAAGCACCGCGATTTGAACAGGGTCGATGGTACCACATTGCCGTTGTGCATCGACGGGCAAAGGGAATGGGTATGGGCAGCCACAAAGCTTCCATCTTCGTCGACGGTGAATTCACCGAGACCATGAAGGCACATTATCCATCGCACCCCCCAGTGTTGGACAACAGCCAAGACAGCTTTGCCTCAATGTCTTCGAGCACCTCGAAACACCACATCTTGGCCTTCCTGGGTACACCGCGCAACCTTGCCCCCAGGCTTGGGAGGAATGTACTGACATCCAAGCTGTCTATGGCATCATTCCATCTCTTTTCAGAACCCTTGTCAGATGAACTGATTGCCGTCTACCACAAGCTGGGTCCTCGCTACAGCGGTAATTTCCAGGACAGGCTTGGCTCGTTCCAGACGTATCGCACTTCAGCAGAATTGCATGTACACAACGAGATTCTGCATCCTGGGCGAGAGGAGCGCTCTGACATAGTGACTGCGATCCGCTCGAACGCAGGTTATCTTATGCCCGAGTCGAAGATTCTACTAAGCTTCTCCCCCAGTTCGGTGATGGACGATGATGACCGAAACGCTATTGATGAATCTCAGCTAATCAAATCACTCTCAAGAGACTCTGCTAGATCGCTTCACAAGTACACAAGGGCGCACAGCACGCCGATCATCATCAACGCCGCAGTCCCATCAGTCAACGATGCTTTATCGCAAGCTCGTGGCTTTGGTAGGCTATCAGGTAACCCAGTCGTCGTAGTACCCCAGTCTCTCGATGATGCCATTTGGCGCATTGGTGGATGTGCCGCAGTGGGGCTGAAGGTAGTGCAGGCCGCGCAGTCGCTGAAGAGCGTACTACGCGCGGTGAAAATCCTTTTAGAGGCTGTTGAAGGTAATTGGAGAAACTGCGAAGCCATGGAACAGAGCAACGGGTTTGCCATCCTTGCCGAAGTCTTGCGTCAGAAGATTGGATTTGCAATGGGCGGGTTGGTCGTGCGAAATGCATCGTCACTTGATGTAACTCCGGAGCAATGCGAGGACTTCGTCGCACAACTGCTTTCAGTCATCCTTCGCTTCGTTGGATATGACGAACAGCATCCGGAAGAGTCTCTCATTATCAACCCGCTTGCTTACCGAGTGTTGATTGTGGATCTCGAGATCTGGCGCAGAGCGACGTCGTTGAGTACACAAAAGAAGTATTACACGCAGTTTGTGCACTTTGCAAAGGGCAGCAAGCATCATCATTATAATGCCAAACGTTTTCACAGAATCAGTACGTGTGCCACGGTGCCCTCTGAGCTTCACTGACAGCCCTGCAGGAGTTGTAAAGCGCCTGACGGATGCTTTGAAGGGTGAAACCTTTACCTCACAGACATTCCCACTGTTCGTCGAAGCCTTCAAAGCCCTTTTGCACATCAACTTCAATGGCGAAAACGCTCGATCTCTGTCTCTATTCGTCACATATGCCTTGCATGACAGTCGCGCCTCGTACGCTAAACGAACCTTGCGACCAAAAGCGAGCACTTTGCGCCTTCGCAGAGGTACACCTCCCAGCTTGACGCCTACCCTTACGCCTAGATCCGCCAGTCCTTCCTCTGTCGCACCAGAGTCCTTGCCACTGTCTTTGCCAGAGTTGGGTGTAGCCATCTTGAATCTCCTGTCCGAGTTTTTGTGCGACCCTCACAACCCGCATGAGATCGTCCGATTCGCCAAGAACGTCACTGGAAAGTGGCTTCTATACCTGCTCGCAGAGACTGATCAACGCGTTGTTGTACTCGGTGCAAAAATACTCGCTCGCCTACTTGTTACAAATGGAGCAACATATGTCAAGAAATTTGGCGACAAGACTGGTGGCTTTGTTGTCATGAATAACAGGCTTCGGCATTGGTGGAACACACCTGGGATCTGGACAATTTGTTTCGCCATCCTCTTTGATCGCGATGTGGCCACGATCGACTTCGAGCGTGACTTCGATGTGTTCAATCTAGTCGACATCTTCATGACGCATTCGCCGCAAACGAAGTTAAGAATAGCGTATCCTGAGATCTTTCCCGTCATAACAGCCATGCTGGATACTGGACTGCGTGCTATTGTGCGAGATCGCGAAACAGCTCACACAGAGCGAGCAAAGGGCGAAAATGCTGAAGACACCCCGACAAGGGGACGTCGTAGGACAATGTCCCTGAATGCCAAGCAGCCCACAGTCGGTGAGTGGCCTTCACCGTACTTGCGTTTCGGAGCTAATCGAACTAGATACGAGAGCACCGCAATCAGAACGCCTCAACAACTACGCTGTTGTGCTCAACTCTGCCATCCAATTTCTTTCAGAGCTACATGCACGATCTGATGTCTTTCGCGATTACGCGAACACGTCAAACTATGTGCAAGAATTACTATTCGTGTTGTATCCGGTCATTGTAACATCCGATAAAGTTAGCGCAGAAACCGAACTATTGTCCAGAGGTTCGGCACTTACATTTGAAGGTCAAGACGTGGTTATTCAGCCCGTATCTGGTGCCAGCAGCCAACAGACGCCAATCATACGAACTAACAACGTACCCACCGAATCATCTTCAAGTACGCAACGAGTCATCCCTTTTCGAAGAGCGTCCTCCTTCGTCTTAATTTCAGAGAACAAGGTGATGAAAGCAGCAAAGCAAACGTCTCTGAATCCAATACTTTCACCCAGGAACACTGCTCCTGTGGCCATGAAAGTAGGCAGTTCAGTCGTGGAAGCTATGCTTGAAGCCGTCCTAGATGTCTTCAAAGAGCAACTCTTCACTCGGAAAGACTTTCCAGGATTAGGTCTGTTTATGAAGACTCCACCAGGATTTCAGGAGCATCAAGCCTACTTCGAATCGTATATACTACGCCAGATTCTTTCATCAGTCAGGAACTCTCTACAGCTTGATCCAAATCTCCTCCATGAACCTCGAGTCCTCATAAATCTTTCCCGCTTCGTCGGCCACATCTCCGAGGCAGTCTTCGAAGGCTGGTTTCTTCAAGGAGCTGAGCCATTGCTTGATTTTACCGGCTTCTTGCTGGAGTACCTCGAGCGGCCCGACATTGCTGCCATCAAGTCCGTCAGATTGTGCACACAAGCAATACAGACCATGAGAGCAACGTTTCTCAAAGTCTCATTACTCCAACTTGCCGACCCAGATGACTCTGAGGATGGGTTCACGACCACATTAGTCATCGAGAAGATGGTATACTGGCAGCCAATCATCTTGTCCTCGGCGAACACCGATACTTTCTCTTTGAAAATGATATGCTATCTCTTCTACACGAAGCTGTCGTCCGAGTACGAGCCGGTGCGTCTAGCTGCCGCGAACTTCTGGCGATTGCTACTTGTGCAAAAGCCTCAAGAGACCTCTAGCATCCTCGGCAGTGCCATACAGGCAGACAAGAAGAACCTTTATGAAGGTTTTCAGAAACTAGTGGAACTAGACAACGAGACGTTCTTCCAGTGGTTTGACAAGCATAAGGTTGATCTCGATACGTTCTTTTACGGCTCACTGACGAAGGTGTGGGAGGAGTTCGCGCAAGAGCAGAATAAGCGAACTGAGGAAACATCCACAAGGAGGATCAGCAAGCGAAAGGAGAAACTTAAGCAATGGCAGGCAGAGGAGTTGACCTCGGACAATATTTGGAATCACCACGAGCATTCGACAGGGCACTGGAGGTCTAACATACATGCTTCCGAACGCATCAAGCACCAACGAGTATTGCAGGATCAGCAAGATAACGCCACATACCTTCAGACGGTTCTTGCAAAGTTAGATTACCAGCTGAAAGGCCCCTGCGCATTATTCGATAACAGCCCACCCCCGAAGTGGCGCCTCGATGAGACGGAAGGTCGCGATAGAAGACGCATGCGCATCATTCTCGACAACACCAACCGAGACCAGCAATATCAGCCCAAGCGCAAAGATACGGATCCGATGGGGAGGCTAAAGCTCGATACTAATGTCACTACTATCTCCGCTAAAGATGCACTGAGCATAACACCTATTGGCCGTCGCTCTGGCACACCATCTACCATGACCAAAGAAGAATCGCAGCAGGAGGACGGGTTTGAGAGTGAAGAAGATTTTGAGATGGTCGACGCCATGTACGAAGACGATGATGGGTTCGAAGATAAAAACCGCAAGGTCATGCGCAGTCTCAATCGAGGGGATCAAGTGCAATACGTCTGCAATATCTCACGAGTGGTAGGGCTGGAAGCCATTGAAGGCCTGCTCATCGTCGGCAAAGACTGCTTGTACCTGCTTGATGATTTCTTTCAGAGATCAGATGGCGAGATTGTGCGGGTATGGCAAGCGCCCCCGGATGAACGGGATCCATACGTGCAAGTCATCGCTGGTAAGGAAGCAGTTACAAACCGGCGTCCCCCACCAAGAAACCAAGAAGAGTCTGCACGCCACTGGAAGTGGAGCGAAGTCATCAGCATTTCGAAGCGTCGATTTTTGCATCGCGATGTTGCTATCGAGGTATTCTTCGACGATGGTCGAAGCTATCTGCTCACTGCGATTTCAGCCCAAGCACGCAACGACATATACGGACGCGTATTGCAACGCGCCTCGCAGGTTTCAAACCCTGAGAAGCTGGCCAATACCGAGATTGCATGGCGTCTCGACTCATTGCGCAATGTCGAAGAAGCACCACAAACGTTGGGGTCGAGATTCGCGTCTGCCTTCAGCTCAGTCTCGTCACATCCATCAACAAAGAAGTGGCTGAAGGGCGAATTGTCCAATTTTCATTATCTGATGATTGTGAACACGCTCGCTGGACGGACGTTCAATGATCTAACTCAGTACCCCCGTTTTCCCCTGGGTTATCTCAAACTATGAGAGCGAGGAGTTGGATCTGACCGACCCACGTAGCTTCCGTGATTTGAGCAAGCCTATTGGCATCCAGCATCCAAGGCAAGAACAGTCGATACGCGAGCGATTCAACTCATTTGCGGAAATGGGCGACCCAGACCACGCTTTCCACTTTGGCACGCATTACTCCTCGGCAATGACTGTGGCATCGTATCTCATGCGCCTTCAGCCATACAGTGCGGCCTTCTTCCTCATTCAGGGCGGTACATGGGACCACGCCGATCGTATGTTTTACTCGATTCAAAACGCATGGGAATCAGCATCAAACAAGAATATGGCTGATGTGCGAGAGCTTACGCCGGAGTTCTTCTACCTGCCGGATTTCCTGACAAATGTAAACGGATACAACTTTGGTCTTCGTTCCGACGAGTCAAGCATTGATAATGTGCAATTACCCCCCTGGGCAAAGGGCGACCCTGCAATCTTCATTGCCAAACAGCGTGAAGCACTCGAGGCTCCTTACGTTAGCGCGAACCTTCATCGCTGGATCGATCTGATATTCGGCCACAAGCAGCGTGGTGAGGCTGCTGTCGAAGCGGCGAATGTCTTCCATTGGATGACTTACCAAGGTGCTATTGACCTGGACAGCATTACCGACGAGAAAGAGCGTGCTCAGAAGATCAGCGTCATCAATAACTTCGGTCAAACACCAACTCAGGTCTTTCAACGTCCGCACCCGTCCAAAGAGAATGCTGCAAAAGCAACGAAGCTGGACACCGCCGCCGAGAGTCTACATCGCGTACCGGGTACGCTTTTAGACTCACATGACCGCATAGCCTCACTCAACTACATCCCGAAGAGTGATAAACTCCTTTGCTCCGCCCCGTTCCGATACAATCTGCCACCCCACTACAATGTGTACATGGAGTGGGGCTTCACAGATGGATCGGTTCGATTCTACGAATCACAATCGAAACGTCTTATTGGATTGTTCGAGCACTTACACTCTGGACAACTCACAATGTCGCTCTTTGTCGACGGCAGAACGCTTATTACAGCGGGCACAGATTGCACGCTGTCAGTCTGGAACGTCATCCGCGCGGAAAAGGGCCATATTGAGCTTCAGCATGTGACAAGTCTTTTCGGACACAAGTCGCCTGTGACCACACTTGCCGCAAGCCGCGCCTTCTCTGCATTCTTGAGCGCTGATCAGGACGGCAAAGTCTTTCTGTGGGACCTGAACCGCAATGAGTTCGTTCGGGAACTCGACCTTGGAGCGCGACAAAAAAGGTCTAGGACGCCAATCCAAGCTGCACGAATCAATAGCGCGACTGGTCACATCGTCCTCGCTATTGGGCCCCGCTTAATAGTCACAACGTTGAACGGAACAGTGTTGTTGGACGAAGATGTTTGCGACGGTGGCGACGATACTGATGGCATTATCTCCATCGCAGTGTACGAGGGAGTTGGCAACGAATGGTGTGAGCGCGAGCTCATCTTCACTGGTCACAGACGGGGTATTGTGAAGGTTTGTGTCCATTCATGTATCATCCTTCAACGCTAACGCTGACCAGATTTTCCACCTCACTCCCACGCCTAAGATGCCATTCAATGGCGCCAATCTTATGCCTGGTGCACACATTACGCCAGCTCCATCTAAAAGTGCTTGGTCCATTGACCTCGTCAATGTACTTGCTCATGGCGATCCAATGATTGAACGTACTGCTGCGCCAATAACGTGCATACTACCATTGGAGAGGAGTGTGTATACCGGGGATGAGGATGGTAGAGTCGTAAGTGACAATGCCCGGGTATCGATTGTAAGGATATGCTAACACAATAACAGTATGAGTGGGATTGCGTACAACGACAGCATTGAAGACGAGTGATTTTATTGTAGTTGGGCATTGCATGGTCTGGTCTACGGTTGCTTTATTGATGTTGCAATCGGTCTGATAGTGTACCGGAAGTGTATATACGGATAGAGAAAAGACCTCACTTGCCAGATGTGCCAGATGTGCCAGAAGTACGTACACTAGAAGGGCGTTGCTAATAAAGTGCAGATTACTTGCGCCCGGCATCTTGGCTCGTTGCATTTGTGCCCTGCCATTGCGAATAATTACACCCTTGTTGCACGAGATCCGGGGAGGCACTACAAGCACGGAATCAACACACCCAGTCATTCATAGCACAGCAGCCGCCTACACAGATGCACAAGGTCAGGTAGCTATCGCCAAGATAAATGGGAAAACTACACCAAAGCAAGCGGTGAAACAAGTCGAACCATTGCTCATGCTTGGATCACTCCACGGGAAGGTGCGATTGCGGAAAACCAGCAGTAAGAGCGCACACTAAGCGACGAATTTCAGCATAAAGCGAGCGAATCTCACCTTCTCTCCCAAACTAGTCTAAGTAGTGCAGGTAAGATACGATGTAGACAATCCCGCAGCCGCTATGTTAGGGCCGTGGAATACCATGCAGTCGCTAGAGTACTCTCACACCTGACTATCAAGGCTGATAGCACACCAAGTGACTGTTAATATTTCGCATCTCACGAGTTCACAATGTTAAGGACCCTTTCGAGTGACGCTGGTTTGCTGGACCCTTGAACCAAGTATGGGCTTAGGTGAAATATTCGAATCAACATCATCTCTCTTTACTCACTTCTGCTAGGCTTGACAACAAAACACGTCGGAGCAGGTCAAATGAAACTCTGCAGCATCTGTATAATAGCCTCTGCTCAGACTCCACTACGAAAGATCTCGAGTACTCAAAAGTACATCAGGAGTTAGCGAACGTTTGGGTCAGCCGGGACCACCCACGCAGACAGGCACGACTGAAGATGGGCGTTCTTACCTCGAAGCCGCTGCAGCGGGCAGATACACCATTCACAAGCGAACGGAAAAAGCACTTTGAAAGTACGTATCGACAGAACAAAGACTCTGTTTTGTACCATGTATTGATCTGCATTAGAACTTCGACGAGAAAACGTCCCACGATATCTCTTCCGAGCGTGGTCGAGTAAAAGCGGTGGAGGGCCAGAGCGCGTCATAAACAGCAAAACGCAGGTTGTTCCTCGACTGTTCTTACCCGCAAATTCGTATCGCGCGCGGGAGTTCTACGCGCTCACCGAGCGAGAAGCGCTCGATATGGCGACCAGGCATTACACCTATAGCTACGATGTGATCTCCGGATTCAGCTCCTGGTCAGCATCTCTGCATCTCGTATTGTGCTATGCGCAATCAATGGTGGACAGGGGCTTCAGAGACGTCCACGTCTCCGTCATGGACACGCAGGACCTGGACTATGAGGTTCTTGTTTGGCAATGTGCGCATTTGCTCGGCTCTGGACAGCATGAGTTTCTCGCCTACGGGCCTGTGCAAGGACGCGGCTACAGAGCTGTACGATATTCTGTCTTGGTCCTCCAAGGCATCTACGGTCTTCTGCCACAGCTGCAGGACGGATCGTATCGATCGCAGGCTACACTGTTCCAGTTCGGATACGGCATCAGGTCCCAGACTTTCAAGAAAGCAATACAGCCCGTTACTCTCGAGCAGTTGGAAACCGCTGGACGTATAGCTCGTATGTTTGGCCCGCAGATCTTCCCGGTACTCACAGCATTGTTATGTTTGGTGCCTCGCCCCTGGCTTAGATCTCGTTCTGGGATAACTTTCACGCTGCGAGAGCAGATCAAGTGCAGTATCGAACGAGCAGGAGCGCTGCATATCCTAAAAGGTCTGAAGCCTGAGCTCTGGCATAAGTCAGGCTACGTGCAAGCGAAGGATTTCCCCGATGTTCAGCAGTGGATTAGGCTGCAGCGCGTGCTTGTAGAGGAATACGGTCTGCACGAGGCCAACATTGATACGGTTGTAGTGTTTCAAGGCAGATGTCAGCGGTCTCTATACCATGTTGAAGGGGCAATAGAAAATAGCACGTGGGCACTCCGGACTCATTAGGTCCAAAAGGTTCAGCACTCCTTATAAAAACACTTCTTCCTCTTCTTCTTCGACGACTCCTTGGTAATTGTGGTGTTGTTCGCTGGTGCAAGCCGGTGACTTCCGTTTGTGAACACCGACGACCAACACTGTTGACTTGTGCGAGATTTACTGCATATATCTTCTGACCGCTCTTTGGCTTTTGCTTGCGTTTACCCCTGCCTTTCGTTCAGCTTCAACAAACAGGACGGTTCTGACCCAAAAGTTATCGATTTGCAGTGAGCCTCAGTCTCTTCGAGCTCAGAGATACATCATAGTCGGAGTCTGGCACGATAGGTGCAAGCGACTATCCGGATCTCCAATAATGGAATGGAGTGCTACGAGCATCATCCATTCCTATAGCCGAATGCAGGTCAGGTCGGAGCGAAGAGCAACTCGCGAGAAGTTCACGATTGCTGTTGCAGACATGACTACTGAAATTTGTGAACAGGGAGAAGGCTCCAAGAAGACATTCGGACGCACACCATCCAGGTCTAAGGACTAAGAGAATGGAGCCGAGGAGGTTGCGCTCGAACACACGTCGGCTGATCAAGCCTCGTGTGGACTCAAGGACGTCTACGAGTTATACAATAGGTAGCCGGACGAATGGACATCGGTATCTGATATGTAGGTAGCGGAGAATGGAAAGTCGTCCCCGAGGCAAGATGTTTGTGGATTAGGCGGTCAAAGGTTCGACGTTCCAAGAGGATTACGAGTACGAAGGACAAGCGCGTCGGTGGCGCCTTCTTGACAAGCTAAACAGACAGTACACTAACCTCTTTGGGGTCACCTCAAAGCTGTTTCTCGTCGTACCCTACCTCGGAGAACGCTATTAATGTGTGCGTGTGGGTGGGGAAAAAACTGCTATAATGTACAGAAGCCACGTGTAGGTACGTCGATACCGAGAACGGGAGTGCAGGCACCTTGAATCTCTCCCTGGGAAATAAGACCCATGGACGTCTGCATGGTCACTAAGACGATCACAGCGCTATATGACCATTCGCCTGGCCTACGGTCGACATGAAGTACCGAGGGCTTGCACCATTCGAAAAGCCGTTCAGTTCGGGCCTTTCTACCCCAGATCATTTCCGCCGGTCGGCGCGTGACCCTCATCGGCGCGTCGGAAACATCGTCGCCAACATCGATTAGCAGGGAAGCGTTCCCAATTTTGCTCAGCCACCTTCCCGTTCCTGAAAGATATCTGTCGCCTCAGCCGCACGGTCCGGAATGCCAATGCTCTAATTGCAGGAACAATGTTCGTCTGGGTAAATGTGCCCGTGGGGCCCCGCATTGCCCATGATTCAGTTCGGGGTATCCACGTCCGAGCCCGTGTTAATTGCATTGAGGCGAATTTCAAGTCTGCGCGTCAATGAGAAGATAAAATATCTCGCTGCGCGCTGTTGAGTGCCAAGTACGCTCCAACGCTCTTCATCAGTCAACATGGGTGTTTTCAAGCTTATGGGCCTTGCTGCACTTGCCAGCTCAACGCTTGCCGCACCACTCGAGGAACGCGCGAAGCAGCCCAAGAGCTTCTTCAATGAAGTCGGCAACTCGACTTGGGTAATTGGAAACGATGTGTGGAACGTCACACAGAACCTGCAGTATGCCAACAAGCTCTGGTACAAGGGCAAAGACAGAGTCGGGCAGGCGGTTGGACATTATGTGAGCTACAGTATGTCATGTTCGAAGCAATGAAGTCTCGAAAAACTTGATGCTAATAAAAAGCAGACGGCGCTGCTTCCGATCTCAAGTGGCTGTCCGCATCAGTCTTCGACAAGGGTACCGACTGGATCAACATCAAGTTCACCGCTGTCGAGGGTGACTTCCACTGGGTTATCTACGACGGTCTTCACGGATCATACCAGTATTTTGTCAACCGCGCTCTTCCTACACTTGGCGAATTCAGAACGCTGTGGCGCCTGGACAACGTATCTTTCCCGAATGCGCGAACGAACGTCAGGGACGGACCTCTGCCGGCTCTTTCCGAGTACGCCATATCCACAAATGTACAAGATGAGACATGGCAGAAGCCAGACGGAACTTTCTTGACCAAGTATGACTGGAGCAGCAATGTCCGCGACAACGACTTCTACGGCGTCTACGGTGAGGAAGTAGGAAGTTGGTACTTGAACCCTGGAAAGGATTACTTCAACGGCGACCACACGAAGCAGGAGCTCTATGTACGTCTAACATGCTGCTCATTTTGCTTCTTGCTAACATATTAAGGTCCACCGCGAGTCGAGAACCGGTGATGCTGTCCAGCTCAACATGATCCACGGCACACACTTCCAAGCTGTTTCGCGCGATGCCTTTGCAGAAGGTAAGGTCTGGGGCCCATGGTTGTGGTATCTAAACGACGGTTCCAAGGAAGATGCTGCCTCCCGCGCCGTACAGGAGGAAGGAAAGTGGCCCTACAAATGGTACAACGATAAAGCCTACCAGTCGCGTGGCAAAGTCCAAGGTCGTCTCCTCCTCTCCGATGGCCGCCCAGCAGCTGGTGCCGCAGTCTTCCTCGGCGATAACAACAACTCTACCATCTCGACCCTCGACCAGGGTAAGGACTTCTACTACACCGCGTATGCCGACGCAAACGGCAAGTTCTCTTTCAAGGATGTGCGCACAGGCTCCTACGCGCTGCAAGCCTGGGGCAACGGCGGCGCCATCAGCGACGTCATCACAAACTTCACACGGAACGACGTCGAAATCCGCAAAGGTGATACAACAAACCTGAAGGATCTGTCCTGGAAAATCACAGACAAGAGCAAGCGCATCTTCCAGATCGGCGCCTTTGACCGCAAGACCGACGGCTTCGCGCTCGCAGACCCGAATAAGCCGTTCGAGCACGGCCGCATATCCAAGGCGCCAGGCAACCTGACGTATACGGTTGGCAGCAGCACGGACAAGGATTGGTACTTCGGACAGTCTGCGCTGGGGACGTGGAGCGTGGAATTTGCTGCTCCAGGCGCCGCTGCAGCGTCGAAGCTTACTGTGTCGCTTGCTGGGTTTAGTCAGGGCTCGAGTTGCGACATTCTGCTTAACGATGTCAAGATTGGCAACATCACAAGTGCAAGTCTGTTGAACAGCCAGGACACGTACCGCGGTGCGACACGGAGTGGTGAGTGGAGATTGCTGGAGTTTCCGGTCACTGCGGAGACGTTCAGGAACGGAACCAATAAACTGGACATCAAGGTGACCAGGACGACGCAATGGAGGGGGTGGCTGTGGGATAGTCTTGTTCTCGAGAAGAACTAGACAGGACGTATTAGCGCTTAATGTGACAAACATCCGAATGAATAATATCACGACCCAAAAGTGTTCGGTATCAAGCTCTGAAAACAAATAACGTTGCGTTCGTTGGTGTCAAGATCGATTACTCAGAAGTTTGTCTTATCTCAAGCGAGCGACAGGGGTATCTAACATTTCTTCCGTCTCCCACTTCCCAATTCCCCCTGTACAAGTTCGTGCCGTAGGCAATTTACTTCACTTCCATCAATTTCTCGTTTGTAGCCGCCTCCTTAGGCGTATGAGACCCACTGTCAGCGGCCTTCTCACCCTCGACAACTTCAATGTGAGTTCCGTGCCTCTTGTGTCCCTTGCCGCTGAGATCGCGCCACATGCCGCCAAAGTTCCTCGCCAGGCTCATTCTGCCTTCCCACAGCGGGTAGACGCCGACTGCAAGGGTGCTGAACATGAGCCAGATAATACCCACAATAACCCACCCAGCGAAGAAGCTCGGAGAGAAAATGTAGCCTGTGCCGTAAAGCGGCATGGGCCAAAGAACCAGCAGGACGAGGGTCATGACAGCAGTAGTAGTCTTAGCTATTTTGCTCGCCCGCAAAAGCTTCACCTGCTCTGCGGCTTCAGCCTCGGGAGACAGCGCGACATGGCGGCCAACGAGCGCTTCAGGGTCGAGGTGTGCGGCGGCGGCAACGTCGGAGTCGTCGATAAGACGGATATTCTTCATGCTGACCCAGTCATAGCTGTCGACGCCAAAGATAAGGGTCAGCACAGGGATGAAGATGGCAGGTGAAAGGAGTGCAACGACGTTGCCAGCCAACATCGGGTTGTTTGCACCCGAGGTCTCGACGTTGATGACACCGTCGTTGAGTTTGGCGGTGGTGACAAGCCATGCAATAATACTGCAGCACAGACCGAAGATGGGGGAGAGTGTGGCAGCCCAGAAGTTCTGACCTTTCCACATGAGGGTCAAAGTCGCTGGTAGTACAGCAGAGGAGATGATTACACCCATCAATAAGTACAAATAGCCCATGCTGATACCGGCGTAGTGCAGACCTGTAGAGAAGGCGGCCATGACGAGTCCGAAGCCGGCAACGCAAGTGTGCGACGTCCAGACCAGGCGCTTGCCGCTAGCATTGGGGTTGATGTAGGTATTGTAGATATCGTAGGTCAAGATAGAGGATACGGCGATGAGCTGAGCGGAGAAAGCAGAAGTAACGGCCATGAACACAATCAAAAGAGTTGCGACAGCGCCTCCAGATCCAAGAATAGCGGTGGCTGCGTAGGGAAGAGTGAGGCCCGCGCTGATTTCCGCATCAGCCATCGGATTTGGGTAAGTTGGGAAGTACTCGGTCCCCTGGAGAGCCAGAGCAGCGAGGCCCATTGTCGTTGCGCACAGCCAGGGAATGGCGAACCACGAAAGACCTAATCTCGAATTAGCTTACCAACATCTACAGTTGTTCAAAACGGGAGCTCACCTCCGATGATGTATCCGGGCAGTGCATGAACGGGGCTCGCAGCAATAGCCTTGTTGTAGTAGCCGTTATCCATGAAGACAGTACCGAAGTTTCCAATGATGTTGATGACGAAGAAGATAGCTCCATCTTTGCTCCTCATAGTCAAGTAGCTGCCTCCGGCGTTACCTTCAACAGGTGTATGCGATGCGAGATCTGTCAGCGCATCGTACACAGCTCTCGGCGAGCCAAGTCTATCACCAGTTGCGTAAGTCGTGAAGGCAAATATCAGAATGATGACCAGCAGAATGACAGTGTGAACGTAATCAGTGAGGAACGTGGCTTTGATACCACCGAACATTGTGTAGATGACGACACCAAGCGGAAGCAGGAAGCAAGCAGCTGCAGTCGGAACGCCGGTCAACGACGAGACAACGGCCGAGCCACCGGTGAGCAACATGGATGTGACTAGGATGTTGGTGAAGAGGCCGAAGGTGATGTACACGAAATGCGTGGCTGTTCCGTAGCGGGCACGAACTGCCTCAAGGAACGTCTGGTACGCCGTTAGATCAATTGCTGTGGCCAGATCATTGCACTTACGTGAGCGTTAGGAGCTCTTCTCTTCAACTCAATAGCGACAGTTGCGAATAACAGAATCTGTACCGTAGCTCCGGCAGCATACCAAAGCGGACCTGAGACACCTAGGATTTGATCAGCATCGTACATTTTATCATGACCTCGGTATTATACATACCGTACCGAAAAGCGACGCTGCTCGACTGCAACAGAGTTGCAGCCCAAGTCCATGATGAGACGACAGCGCTAGCAACGAGACCGGACTTGACGGTACGACCAGCCGTCGAAAACATTTCCGAGGTTTGCAGTTCATTGTTGTATCGTCTGAGAACCCACGTCGTGAAGACCTGCGCTCGTCAGTGATAATGCTTACTCCTTGTTAGAAAATGTCACATACCATGCCGATAGCAAACAAAAAACCAATGCCAAGGACAATACCATAACCCCAAGCCTGGCCCAAAGGCGAGGCTGAGGGACCAGTAGGTGCGGGACCGCCTGCCATGTTATCTGATGCAGATTGTGTGTCGCGTGAAGCCGTTGGATTCAACGTCGTCCCAGATCGACGGCTCTCATCCTATCTATACACGCGACGATCCACGCCGTCTTCAGCACATGTTACCAAGAAACTCACAGTTATCGCAGCAACTTTCAGGTGCGATGAACGGCATGAAATAGCAGGTCTTGATTGGATGCAGATAGGTTAACGTCAAAACTGAGATATGCACGTCAATGAACCAGACCGGAAAAGAAACGATGCACAAGACCCCAGAAGGTTTGGACAAGCATTGAATAGCTGTGGTTGGCCAGCTTGTTCGCTGCTTCGCGTGCGCTGATAAGCACAGACGGGGTTTGGTGGGCGAAGGCGGGGGTTGTGGGTGGGCGAGTCGCAAGCGAGCATCCGCAGCTATTGCGGACCATGCTGTGGTTGTAAGGCAGGTGGTTTTGGTGAGGTAAACATCAGATAGCTGATAAGGAGTGTTGAACCAACCAATCAGAGTTCAGCTGTGAGCACGTCCGAACTTCGGTGCAGTGCATTTGCGATGCATCTCCACGATGTCAACGAAATGACGAGTTTGTATCGAGTAAATGGACGGCTGGTAGTGCTGAGAGATGCCCACTGTGTTCCCGCCCGCCCTTTTCCCGTTGGTAGTCTGCTGGGACCAAACGATAATACTGTGTGGCGGACGCTTCGCAATCTTAACGCAGCATTGTGCATCGGTACATGGCTCCAGTGCTTCTCATATCCGTCCTCTCGCCAAGAACCTCAGGGGAATATCCACGAGTCTCGCCCTGAGAAACTCAGCACAATTCTTCCCCAAAAAATCCACACTCGTTGTACAACTGACGCCTCGATCCAGATGATCTTTGAGAAGAAAATGGACTGCTCTCAGACCTTGGAATTCGCATCTCTCGATCCTCTTACCATTATACTCGCTAGCCAACAACTGCTTCATGAACTGTGTCGATAGAAGATTTTGCAGCCACGAATACTCGTCCTGATGACGAACCCAGAAGCCCACATTACAGTCTGAGCCCTTGTCGCCCGAACGCGCATGCACGATGCTTCCCAAAGGCGCCCTCACTGTATGACCAAAACTACCAAGGTGTCTGGACGCAACAGTCACGTCTTGCGTGGGCTGATGCTTCGACCAGGTTTTTGTATGAGAAGGTGGCGGGACAATAAATGTCTCGCCAGATGCGAGGTGAACCTTGTGTTCAATAGCGGATTGGGGCAAAAGCGTGACATAGTATTCAAAGACTTCCTTTGGAAAAGCTTGCCGTAGGTCGAGATGCGGCGTTGCGCCTGGATATGCACACATAATTGGGTCGATACAGGGTCGCACAAATTTGGCCGGGGCTAAATTTTCAGCTCTGCGCGATTGTGCAATCACACGAAAGTCGACCGTTGCTGCATTCTGACTTGTAGGATTCTCTTCACATGACCCGATTGTTTGGAAGGTCAGGTTTGTGAAATTTTTGATATGAGCACCCATTTGTACGCGGATGAGTTGCTCCATCATACGCGCCTTGGCGGGTATGTCCAGACCGGTCAAAAACCAGTGCATCTCAGCTTGGTAGATAGGCTTTGCCGTGATGCCCACCTTGGTCGTGGGGGGTGGCGGCGCCCCCATGACGCCTCTCAGAGCGATGCGGTTCTCCGAGATGTATTCGAACGAGATCCTGTCCAGTACCGCAGTTACATCCGAATTGAAATACCAAGGACCTTGAATCTCGTATAGGAACTGAGATGTGAGTGTGTTGATAGACACTTCGCCTCCAGAGCCCTTATTCTTCGTGATGATGACATCTCCCAAATGTGATATCTCAACGATGGGATAGCCTATATTCTCCCAACCAAGGCACTCGAGGTCCTTGAATCCAGTGTAATTGCCGCCCGTGCTGTACGAAGAGCACTCAGACAGGTGTCCTGCCACGAAGGCATTCGCGAGCTTACTGAGATCAGACTGCTGCCACTTGTGCCACCAGTATGCAGCACCAATGAGCGGACTGGCATCGGAAACTCGCCCGCAAAGGACGATATCCGCGCCTTTCTCGAAAGCGTGGGCGATCCCTAGTCCTCCAAGATATGCTTGTGCGTAGATGGGCTCGAACTGCCAATCGTCTAGCTGCTGCCCAGTACAGATGTTCTCGAAAGTCGACTCGCCTCTCTTTTGCGCGTCCAGGAGTTGGGGCAGCACCTCGTCGCCGGAGATCCACGCCACGCTCAAATCCAGGCCTTTCGTCGCAACCATTTTCACTACCGCTTCATGTAGTCTCCTCGTGTCAGATGCGCCTGCGTTCACAGCAACTTTGATGCCATGCTTGGCGATGTGCGGGAGGGCTGGCTCGAGGGCTTCGAGGAAGGTCGGCTCGTATGCTTCCATTTGACCTGCCAATCATTACTAGCCACTCAAGACCTGCGTAGCTCTCGGGTTCGTACCGTTCAGCTTGACGTTAGCACGAGCTGTCATATTGGCCTCGCTCATCCAATCGCCCACTAGAACGTCTATCGGGTCATGTTCGAAATTTGACGCAAGCAAAGTCATGGCATTGCGGCGATCTGTTGTAGAACCGGAGCATCCTGATGCATCTGTTAGTACAATGCAAACATGCACGGAACAGACTGGAGTGCACCTGCAATACGGATTGGTCTCTGTGATGTCATTGTCCTTGTCACGGAGGTCGTTTTATTGCGATGGCCGTCGTATACCTAGTTTCGTGAAGCATGACAGCTTCAACACTGCGTATAGAGTGCATTGCGAGACCTCGGGCGCAGTCGCCAGGTGTGCCTGTCGCGTGCATGCGGAGTCGTGTTGGTTCTGTCAGTTAGGGACCGAGGGGCGGGGAAAAGCCCAAAAGAGATTAGTACGGTTTCTGTCGAGAAGTTGCAGCAACAGCCTGCCATTAGACAATGCACAGTGAGAGGTTGTGTTTAATGCTGGTTCCTCAATTAAGATTATGCTGTCTTTTGAATCAGGATTTTGCTGTCTTTTTAATTAAGATTATGCTATCTTTTCAATTAAGATTATGCTATCTTCATGGTAGTATTGCAACAATATTTACATCTCAATCGCATCTTTGCTCCTTTCGACTGCGGCTCTAAGCCACGTTCGAAGCGCTGATACCGCGTTGGGCAGCTGGCCTGCCCTGAAAACTTGAGCCTCTGATAACACTGCCTCGTCTCGAGCCTGGCATGCCGGCACGTTCGTTACCGGAAATGGAGTTGACTCGTGAGCCATATGCTCCGGGGACGTGGCTTGCTCTCCTGCCGCCATTGTCTTCGCGAGCTCCAGCAAGCTGCTGCGCAAACGGTGACCTCTTTCGCAGAGTAGGACCCTTCCAGTAGATGACATACACTGACACCACGAGTAAAAGAGAGATACAGAAAAGAATTGTGGAGGCATTCGCGAGAGGGTTTGAGCCGATATTTTGGAAGAATGGTGTCGCAGGGAGGGTCAGAACACCAGCGAGGAAGTCGCGCGCCCACCCGTTTCCTCCAGTTGCAGAAGCCGAGTAGGGACCATATGCACAGATCATGTAGTCAATGGTCGCCATGTAAATGGCGTAGTTGGCCACGCCTATGATAGCCGAGGCGATCATGGAGCCTATCCAGTGCAGTGGCGGACCGGTTGATGTCCAAGCGAAGATGATCAACCCGATGGGCAGACATGGGGCGGTGAACAACAACCACCAAAGACGAGCCTCATATTGCGCAATCTCATCGCCAGGGCGTTCCTTGCGGAGTCGCTCGTTGCGCTTGATGGCAGGGAAGAAGGAGAACCATGCCAAGAGATAGCCAATCCCAATAGGCACGAAGGCAAGACCGATTGCAAAAGCTGCGAAGTCCCACTGTGCGTACACAAGAGCATACGACTGCAGGAACATAAAGATGATGGCGTCGGAGAAACCGGAAAGCAGGGACAAGACAAGCACAATAGGCTCAGTCAAAAACATGCGGAATGGTCGAATCCATGTTGTCAAGATTTCATGGGCACTGAAGCGCTCCTTTAATGGCGTAAGCTCGTTGGGTCCCCAGACGTTGACAGGCTTGCCGTTCTTCTCGCCTTCACTTCTGCGTTTCTTCGCGATGCGATCCATCAAAACTGTTGTGCGTGTTTCTGGTACAAGCAAGGCGTGGGCGATCTGAACTGCGCCGCCGAAGATCAATTGAATCCAGATGTTCCACCGCCATGCAAGGAATTGTTCCACAAAGCCACCAACGATTGGACCAAGAACAGAACCGCCGACAGAAGAGAAGACAATGAAGGCGACTGCATACTGCTGGTTATCAGGCTCCCACATATCAGCTACCATGGCCAGAGTGACGGAGCCACCCGCGGTCGAGAGACCACCAAGCGTACGGAAGGCGATGATGGTGGCGTAGTTAGGCGCAATGCCCACAGGAATTTGGAATATGTTGACAAAGAACAGAGAGAGCTGGAGGATAGGCCAGCGGCCGAGCTCTTCGGACCAAGGCGCCCAAAGCTCGCATCCAAACGCGTATGCAACCAGGAAAGCAGCCGCACCAACACGTGCTGCTTGAGCACTGACACCGAACTCTTCCGATATACCACCGACTGCATTGCTGTACAACGATGTGTTGAAGTTCATTGACACTTGGACGAGGAAGACAACGGACAGGATCATCCACTTCCTCCACTCCGGGAATGAGAAGCCGAGCTCGTCATAACAGTCTTCTTCGGTCATCTCGTAGCGGTCATATGTGCCGAACTTCGCGTAGTGAGCACGGTCATCGTCGTGTGTCGTGAGACGCGCTGGATCCTCGTGTTGCTCGTTGCCAAGTTCTGATGAGTCTTTCTTTTCTGTAAGAGTCTGATCGTTGTTGTATACAGTTTCCGGATCGTGAACGTTGGGCTGAACCTCTGCTGCGGAAGCCATGTTGAGTGTGCGTACGCAGGTAGGGTTGTCCACGGATTGTGGCTTAGTTATATATGAAGCTATCTGCAAGCTGTGCAAGGCTGCATAAAACTTGGTGATGTGGGTAGTGGATGTATTCCACGTTCCCCAGATTATTTAAACCGACGTTGCCAGCGGGGTGCGTCGAATTGCGGTAATGGATGTCGAATGGCGGAGCCGAACGGCAGTAGAGTACACCCTTATAAGTGAGAGATGATGCCCTGACTACGGTGCGTCGCTAAGCTTCGCGTTGCAGACTGTCAGACGTCATACCACAGCGTTTTGCTGACCGGCTGTCGCGTTACGCTGGATCGCGGGTGCAAGAGGCTTCCAACTATGACGATCAGCCTCTCACGGCGAGGTGATGCAACGGTAATTGTGGGCCTGACCATACAGGCGGCACGTCGGGATTGCGCCTCCAAAATGGTGCACCTGTGAAGGCAGTCATGTTAAACACGTCATCGATCCTGCAATGGAAATCAGACAGCTGCATCAGGACACAGCGTCAATACCCTCAATCCCGCATATTGTACAGCATTAAGCATAGATGTCCAAGCCATCGGAGTTGTAAGCATTTTGTCTCCCGCCACCAAGCGCGTGTGCCAAGGGCGCCCAAAATCTTAGTGTTGCTCGTCGATCCTTAAGACGCCCCTTACGTCACCCCACCCACAGACCAATGTGCCCACGGGACCCCAGCATCTCACCCACAACCAAAGTTTGCTCTAGTTCCATCTCCTGAACCAATCAAAGATCACCGCACACTTAGTCGTTGCCCAGGTCGGAGGCGATGTCACAGTCTCATGCGGTTGGCTCCCGGTACGAGACTGCAGAGCCGCAATCCCCTCTCTCCACTTCGAAGCCATGCGCGACGCAAGTTTCGCTCGTGCTGTGGAGCTGACCACGTCCATCGCGAGTTCCGGTTTCAGTATCAACGCGCCCACCAGATTCCTCACGCTCGCCCACACAAGCTTTCAAGCGAAACAAAGGCAGGAGCTAGGATGGACTTCTCTCGCCATACAGAAGAAACTTGTACGCAGATGTTCAAGTATCACTCATGTCCACAAGTCCCAGTGCTTAAGTAAGGCCCGGTCAACATTGCCGAACACATGACTCGATGGTCCAGATCAACAACGGCAGCGCGACTGGACGCTCACGCCACATTGAAGATTTTGGGATATGTCATGTGAAGCGTAACAAACGACATTCCCCACAAAATAAGACGATTCTCCAGAGGAGTGTTACTCATGGCGATTGTTGGTAACTTCGGTTCTGCTCTTACAAAAGAATACGGTGGCCTTTGTGCAGGGGATAAGCCACTTGTGTGAGCTGCGGCGACACATGAATCTGGAATAGTTGTACTAGAAATGTAGGTACGAACTCTGGTAGGTACCACTTCAGGCTTCCATCAAATCAGCAGTCAATATCTACCTGGAAACCATCATCAATCCGCTCGACTGCAAACACGGGCTTTGGGTATCTACATTGGATAGGTTAGGCATTCTCCAGACCTTTCTCTATGCCTTACAACATACCAAGTTTTTCACCCCCACTCTGGCACCTTCTATCAGCATCGTACACACTAGATTTACATGGTCACGTGCTACCGTCCCGGTGAGATCGATATTTCGACAAATAAAACGACATCACATCGGAGAGACATGATGAAAGAGATGAATCTAAAGACAGAAAGATGCATTCAAGCGCTTTTGTAAGATTCTAGGTAGGGGTGTATTGGATTTACTTCCACATCTTCCTGATTCTCAGTGCCAAAGCGTTTCACAGCAACGCCCAGGTTCATCACCTGATTCTTGCGCCACCTTGAGACAGGACAAGATTTCCACACTGGGTTTAAAAAACAAAAGACACGAGGCTGATCGCCCATCATCACGTCGCAACTATGGATCACGGACTTCTGCTGGTCTATATTTACATTGCCATTGATACGCCCAAGGATTATAGGTTCGACTCTGCAGACTGATTCAGGAATTTTCCTCGAGACAGTTCCCTCGAGTAAGTTCCAAGACGGGGAACACTTGTGACCCCGAAGCTGGCGCAATTAAGTGCATGCCGAGACAACCGCCAAGGTTGCGCTGCTTATTCCCCGCATACCCCAACCTTGGCAGCAAATGACGATGCCTCGTTTGCTCGAACCGCCGTTCAGAGTGGCAATGATCGTCTACCGGTTGTTGTTACCCTCAAGTCGGTTGCACTGCAGGCTATCGGCTACCAACCTCGATAGTGCGACAGCAGCATGATGGATTCAGCCAAGTCTTGGGCAGCTATTGCTGGAGATCGTCACAATCACTTAAAGGGCCGTGAAACTCGTCCCGTTCTTCGCTGCGTACTTCGGTCTCCTGATTTCGTGGAAACCGTCACATCAGATACACCGGCACAATGGTACTCGATGCGAAAGACTCGATCGATGAGCGACAGTCTGTCGTATACGACGAGAAGGCTCCCTCCTACGAGCATCTTCGCGTCTTCATGAAAGCAGGCCTCGATCAAGAAGATGCTCAGTTTATGCATGCCATCCCGAAAAGCGAACAGGACAAAATCTTTCACAAGGTCGACTGGCGGCTTTGTCCGATGTTGGCAGTCTTGTATCTGATCTCACACTTGGATAGGTAGAGGATCTGATTCAATCAACGACCGCCAGAGCCATGCTGACGTTAAGTAGGGCTAACATCGGCAATGCTAAGATCGAAGGCCTCGAAGCTTCCCTCAACATGACCGGAACCGACTACAACGTTGCTCTCATGATGTTTTTCATCCCCTACGTACTTTTCGAAGTACCATCGAATATCCTCCTTGCGAAGTTCAATCGGCCGTCTTGGTACATGGGTATCTTGGTGCTCTGCTGGGGAAGTATCATGACTCTGATGGGAGTTGTGCAGAATTTTGGTGGTCTTTGTGCAGCCAGATTCTTCTTGGGGCTTTTCGAGGCTGGATTCTTCCCGGGCGCTATCTTTCTTGTCGGACAGTGGTATCCACCAGATCGCACACAGTTCCGCATGGCGCTGTTCTATTGCGCCAGTGCAGCGTCAGGTGCCTTCTCGGGTCTTTTGGCTGCGGTCATCGCCAAAATGAATGGTATGTATCCCGACAGTCTGATTTATGGCATGTGCTTAAGGCTTCAGGGGTTGGTAACTATGAAGGATGGCGCTGGATATTCATCATTGAAGGCCTCGCCACAGTGTTGATGGGTGTTGCGGTCTTCTGGTTGCTCCCTGACTCGCCCGACCACGCAGTGGGACGTTGGCTCTCGGAAGAAGAAGCTCGATTCTTACGCTTGAACAATATAGTAACTCGAGGTATCAAGAAGAAGCGGGGCGTCAACGCTGATGGAAAGAAAGAAGGCATCAAATGGGGTATCTTTGGTCAAGTCGCCAAGGACTGGCAGATCTACCTCCAAGCCATGATTTTCGCCTCTAACGCAGTGCCCAACTACGGCCTGAAATTGTGAGTCCTCAGCCACTCGTCTCTAGTGTCACTTCATTGACAAATTCACAGCACGATGCCGCAGATACTCAAGAATATGGGGTTTACATCGACGAAAGCGCAACTAATGACCGCTCCACCGTACGCCTGTGGCGCCATATCCGCTCTCTTATCGTCTCTGCTTGCAGACAAATTCACCTGGCGAATGCCCTTCATTGCATCAGGCCAGATACTCCTGATCATCGCCTTTGCAATACTCTTCGCCACAGCCGAAAACATTAAAAGCAACGTTGCGCTTTGCTACTTCGCTGTGCATGTTGCCTGCATTGGTGTCTATCCGATTCTTCCTGGGTGCAACGCGTGGACCATCAATAATCTTGCCGGGCCAGAGAAGCGGGCAATCGGCATTGCGACGATGATCTGTATCGGCAATCTAGGTGGCATTGTGGGTAGCTTCATATATCAGGAGAAGGAGAGCCCGAAGTATCCGACTGGATTCGGCACGTCGCTGTCTTTCGCGGCGGCAGGTCTAGTGTGCGCACTCACGCTCGAGTGGATCTTCTGGCGGATCAACAAAAAGAATGGTGGAAAAACTGAGGACGAGTGGAGAGCGATTTACTCTGAAGAACAGCTGGAGAAGATGGGAGATCGAAGTCCCCTTTTCAAGTATCACTTATAATTAGTCTCTATTCCACCGAGAGACGGAACCACGAGATGATCAAGTGTGCGTTAGATGCGACGTCATTCTTAGACTCATCAGGAAATGTCAACATGACTTTGTTCAAGACTGGATGTTGCTATGTGTACAGGGTCGTGCATTATTACTACACCGTTGCCGCCCCATATGAAGAAGCACCGCCTGGCGGTTAGCCAGTCTGAGGACTGGACGGCGTGCAATGAGGCTCAGACGCTCAATGTGCGTATATTGGTAGTGAACTTCATGTAAAACAGTGAATTCATGCACATGTCGAACGATAGTTTGGAAAGACAGCAAGACACACTGTTGGGCAGTGGAGATGACTGAATGTCTGGAAAAGCGAGTTGTAGGACTCAGAACAGAATGTTCGATTGACCTTCCTTGATCACATCAACTTTCATTGATAATGAAACTGTGTCGCCTCCTGAAACTAGACACTGATTGTTCTTCGTGATAGATTGACTGGCAAGTCTAGGCCCTAGGCTCTTTCCCGCCGATTTGATTGCTCTCTCGCGCAATGCTCTGGTTTCCGTCTTTTGGCAGCACCACTCTGCTCTCCGGTCTTCTATTGTCCTGCTCGGCAGCGTACTTTTTTAGAGTATCCATGCTGACGATGTCTAATGCATGGTGATGCGTGCTTTCGAGCTTCACCCTGGGAACATCGTCGATGCCCGCGTCGACAGCCGCTTTCCAGGTGTTTACGTATCCACAAAGACGCATTCCCTCTTTGATACCCGATTTACGCAGGTCGGTACCTTGCTTTTGAGACCAGTCGAGAAATGAGGATGTAAGGTTGAGGGCAAGTGGCATCTCGCTTGAGCACATTCCGGGGCTGTAGCCGGTAACGAGGGTTTTGGAGTTTGCAGAGTGCTGGTGAAGAGGCGCATTGAAGACTGAAAGATGTTATTTATACCCAATCCGTGCTGAAGTTGAAATGAATCCCAAAAGACGATAAACACAAGCAGTACTGAATACCACTGCTTTTTGCGCCGACTTGGAATCGAGAGGAGAGTCTTGACATACCATTCTTCTGCGTCACGTCCATCTTTCCTTGCTCATTCTTTCCTGACATTATGAGAGTTACGTTCGGGTTGGTCCTATATGTTTCAATGCGTCGCTACGTGTAGTTGTTTGGTGCTGATTTTGTACGTGAACGAGGACAGCAATGGCAATAATGGATCTGCAGGTCGACATAGACGACAAGAGAGCTTTCAATTGACTTTGTAGCTTGAGCAATGCGTTTAGCACCTTACCTATTCTTCGCGATGCCAGAGTCACCATGATGCGTTCATGAGCAAGTCCTTGACGTCACCCCAGGGTCTTTGGCGTCAGGTACTGCATGGAATGTCCGTGCTTCCCCAGATACCTAGCCAAGTAGTACGCTTTCAGCCTCACCATACTGCAGGGTCATTTCCGCTCAAAGGGGTATTTGGCCATGCGACACTCGATGCCACCTTGGTGGGCCACTCAACCCCAAGTGTTGCCAGTCCAGATTGGGTAAGGCCAAGAGTGACAAAACTGGGATCTTCAGCTTTACCGTCCGTAGCGAACATCAACTTTCCATAAACGACAGTGATAGTATGCTAGTACACCTTAGGTATTTGTGAGAATCAAGCTAATTCTAGTCTGTTAGGTTGTGGACTCAAGATACGGTTTGAAGCTATTATTGAAGAGCTAAAGCAGTACATTTGCCTTTGCAAATAGAGCCATGCTTCAAAAGACAAAGAAATCGGACCCCAGCTAGATTGAGGGAGATAGTGTCATTCTCATCTCCTAAAATATCCAACGCGCTGTACAGTACCTACCTGACACGTCAGGCTAATACATTGTGCCGGCGCAGCATACACCCATCAAGTCAGAAGCCCTAGGAGAGTGGTGTAGCTGTTCTGGATTGACCAAACTCTCAATAGATACCCTTAAGCTATCAGCGGAGGAATACGCCCACTGTACAATAGCTCAGACGCCGCTAGGGTTTTATGAGAATCACACTTCCTGCCATGCAGCTGCTATTGTTACCCGCAAATGATCCGGTGCTCACTTGGTTGTCTTTTATATCGTGTAGTCAGCTGGTTTGATGTCACTATCAGATGCAAAATACCTGCAGCTCACAGTATGCGACCCCCCCCCCCCCCCCCCCCCCCCCCCCCGTCTCTCTCTCTCTTTTGTGCCCGCCCCCGAAACCTACCACGCGTCTCTACATCACCTTCTCATCTCCACTTCCCCTCTTACCCTGCAGCCCTTTCAGTGGCTCCCTGCACGACGTCCAGCCGTGTTGTCTTACTATCATGTCTCACTCTAGCTCGGCACTGACGGCACTGACGGTATGTCGGTGAATCGGCGCGTCGGAGCGCCGACCTCGACTCAAGAACACGAATCACAAACCACGAACCAACCACGTCGATCCTCTGCCAGTCCTCCATAGAGAGGCGGAGTGCCAGATGCGTCAGTCACTGTGCAATGCAGTGCCCTGATCAGCGCCGCAGCACACCACGTACATGATGCTGATGTGCAGCAGATGTAGATCGTGTTCCCAGTGCAGTACGGGGAGGGGTGCGGGAGGAGGCTTGCCGCGGGAGCCCTCACCCTGCACGTCCAACGGCGCTGCACTGCGTTGCAGCGCGTCACATCGGTAGCGGCGTGCAGACAAGCGGCACGGTATCTTTCTTTGCAGCGCGGTTGCATTGTCATTTGTTATGAGTCGTGACTCGTGGATTATACTTTAGGTTCGTTGGTGGAGCATGGGTGCGTGCTAATCTGTGGTGCATGAACGGGGTGGGGACATCATCTCGCGAAACCATCTGTCTGCCAAGACGAGATCAGAGGGATATATTGTGGGTCATGGGGGTCGTTGGATTCTGTTGGGTGATGTCATGGCACGGTGCTGTACAGGAAGGAGAGAAGACGATAATGTGAATGCTGATGTATTTGGGCATCATAAGGATGCTTTGTATATGTGCAATGCAACGCTCGCTGTGCAATGATGCTCATGCCATGTCTAACGCTGCCACATCGTCCAATTGTTTTAATGTCCGGCAGCGCTCACAGTTGTCTTCCTAACGCGACCAATGCATACCCGTGCCGCTCGATGTGTGAGGCTGAAAACACAGAAAGCCTACCCAGCGAAGTTGGTAAGGCAAAAGAAGGCGCGAAGCTCACGCTACTTAACCGTGCAACTTTTGCCGGATCTCCGCAATGACGTTCTTCACTCGGGGTTCCTTGACCTTGCTTTCGGCACGGCTGACGGCGTCGCCAATCTGCAAGATGTCTCTACCAGCCTCGCAGAAGTCCGGGCCAAGAGATAGCAGCGTTCCAGTGGCTACAAGAGCACGGTACACTGCTTCCGAGTCGGTTGCAGAGTTGAGAAGTTTCGCTAGGTCGTCGAGCAATGACAAGGCGCGGTCGGCATTGTTCTCGGATGTCAAGAGGACCGAGTAATTAATGTATAAGGTGGTGAGCGCAATGATTAGGTTGCGGTTGCTAGATGTGACGAACGGCGAGACTAGAGGATGTATGCCATCGAACTCTGTGCTAGCCAGAAGACGGCCTTTTTCTGTCTGGAGCAGGTTACTGATACAACGGACTGCCATCATTGTGTTGTTCGGTGGTGAGTCTGTGGAGAAGACCCCAGCATCAACCAGACCGCTCACGAGATTCCGCTCTGGTGAAACAAGATGTGCTGCAGGCTCCTCAAGTATGAGAGCCAGACGCAGCAAGTCAAGCGCAGGAAGACGCTTTTCAGCTGGCCACTGCGTGGCTGCCTTCAGGAGTAGATCTACACCTGCAAGCTCGACGTTTTTGCCGATACCCTTCTTCAGAGCATTTACTGTTGTACTCAGCTGCTCCATGTCAGAGGGATTGAACGAGACACCCTTTTGGCCATCGTCAACGAGTGCTTGATTGAACTCTCGCAGCTTCTTAAAGATGACGTCGTGATTGCCTGTCGCAATGGGCAGGTAGTCTTTCTGTGGCAAGATCTTGGGCGCTGCTGGTGTCGGCGGTGGCTGCGGGCGCACCTCGTTGGCATCTCCAGGGCGATAGCGCGATTCCGAGCCCCAAGGATCCGCACCGGGGGCGTTGCTTTGACCCAGCGTAGCGCCTTGTGTGTTTTGTACTATGAAGTTAGCGACTTGGTCGAGGTAAGTCAGAGGCAGCTCGTTGTCCTCAATGAACTTGCGCGCCACCTCGTAGTGGTTTTGGTTGAGGTTGTACGGCAGCTTGAGTGGCGGCTTGCCTTCCTCGATGTCCACGTCGAAAACATAATCGTAGTCTTTGCCGTTGTAAGAGATCTTTCGGCCTCCACTTCCTGCCGAGTCTACTACAGTGCCAATATTGACCCACTCGTTGGCGGCGGCTGACCACTGATACGCCGAGATGTTGCCATTGGTCTCTGCGATCATTTGCACCTGGCCCTCCTTGGTGCCCGAGCGCTGTGTCAGAAACTCTGGCCCAGGGAGCTGCTCCTTGTTGATATTGCCGACTGTCTGCTGTGGTATCGACGAGCCCTTGACGTCGTCATTGAACTGCTCGATTTCGGCGGCGGCGGCGTGGCGAGCGGGGTCGCGGGTGAAGACTCGGGCGAGCTTATCGCTGGCTCCAGTGACGATGTCGCCGTTCTCAGGACAGACAGCGACGGCCCAGACGGAGATGGCGGGATGTGTGATGGTCTGCACGCACTCGTTGTTCTGCCATACGCGCACGGTGCGGTCTTCTCCAGCGCTCACGAGGCCGCCATCTGGCAGGACCGCGAGCGAGTAGATGAAGTTCTCGTGGCCGTGCAGCTCGGCGACCTGGCGGCCTTGCAGGGTCCACAGGCGAATGACGGCATCGTTGCCGGCAGAGGCGAAGTGGGCGCCGGAGGGGTGGTTGGGCGGCAGGCGGCACAGGGCTCGCACGACCTCTGGAGCTTGTATGGACCGCAGCTGCTTGCCCGACGGGTGGAAGAAGCGGATCTGCTTGTCGGCACAGCCGGTGATGATGGTGCTGCTGTCGTAGGCCAGCACGGCCCAGACGGCAGCGCCGTGTTCCCCAAGGACAGTCGACTCGCCCCACTTGCCGACCTCCCACACTCGCGCCTCCATGTCCCAGCCGCCGCTGACAATGTACCGGCCGTCCTGGCTGGCGTCGAGGGCGCTGACGTTGTTGCCGTGGCCGATGAGGAGGGCATCGGCGTTGTCCTCGATGCGCTTGCCGGGCTGGCGCACGTCGATGATCTGGTCCTTGCCGCCGGAGACGACCAGGCCCTCGGGGAACTGCGACGACGGGGGCACGATGGCCAACGAGTTGACAAACTCCTTGCCGTGGGTCTTGAGGATGGTGCTGTCGTAGATGGGGGGCGTCGCGGACTCCAGCTTCCACAGGCGCACCGTGGAGTCGCGCGACGCCGAGACGACCGACGCCGGCGACGGGAAGGCGACGCTGCGGACGTCATCTTCGTGCCCACGCAGCGTGGCGGAGAGCTTGTAGTCGCCCATGGCGGACCGGCGTGCGAGCGAACGTGCGTGTGGGAGGTGCGGTGACGGCGCGGGGCAGCGTCGGCGGCGAATCCAAGACGCCGCAGTGGGCGGGGACGGCGGCCGCTGGATGGAGGGGGAGAAGAGCGGAGGAGCCTGGAGTCTGGAGCCTGCAGGGCCGTTTCACCAGCTTTGCCTGTAGGAGCGCTGGCACAGGAGGTTTGCTGGCACAAAAAGATGTCGCGGAGCGCGGAGCGTGGCCGGTGCCAACGACGTCAACCACCCCCAATCGCTGCTGTCTGCTGTCACCCCCCGGTCCATCTGCCCGCGGCTAGCCCCTCGCCGACCGGGGTGCGCCATCACCACCGCCAACCACCAACACCAAACATCGCGAAGCACCGTGAGACTGGCCGCGTTGAAGAGCGCAATGCGCAATGCGCGATGCGGCTCCTGGCACCCAGTTTCACTTCTGCGTCCCGTTGCGCAATGCCGACCACGTGCCCGCCCTGTCCAATCGGCCACCTCACGGTGCTCCAGCCTCTGGCCTCTGGCACTGCCTGCACCGGGAACCGAAATCTTGGTCTGGTTTCTGTACAGACCCCTTTTGGACGCAGGCTTGCTTGTAGTGCCAACGCCTCTTCGCTTCAGCCGTGTACGACCAGGTACGGGGTACCCAGCCCAGGTCCTGACCGTCTTCCAGCTGTCTAACCGACTTCCCCACGTGAGTAGCTGAGCTCTAGTCGAGCCCTATGAAGCCTGGAAGTCGGTGCTGCCGGCACCTAGTGGCAACCACCGTCAATATCGATTGGGAACCTGCGCATCAAGCTTCTTCCATGGCTATCTTTGATTGTACAAAGGCGTGCAAGCGCTCAGCAGGCGGTGCAGTAGCATGTGATGTGGCCAGCAAGCATGGAAAGCGTGTTCCTGCGTTGTGGGTGTCGCTGCAGCTTCCAAAGCACCGCCCGCAATCACAGTGTGCAAACCTCGTCTGACAGGCGTCGCACCTCTCTGCAAGGGCACTTTCATCTCCACGCTCAACAGTTTTTCAACAAACGCGTTTGAGACACCGTGCCGTGGCTGCAGCTGTTCGCAAAAGCACAGCAGCGCGCGTCCATCTCTTTGGCTGCAAAAGGCGTTGCAGCACGCTTCTGCTCCCGCTGCTGCATCTGGGGCAAACCTCAAACAGGCAGCGATCACCGCTCTCAACTCATCGGTCTGGACCGGCGGTTGCACTGATTCTGTGGTTGGCAGAACGGCTTGTCTTGTCCCTTTCATCGTGGTGCAACGGCTCATGCTGCGAAGCTCCTGTGCCTGCCACCACCCCGCAATCTTTGGAGCAGCGCAGCCTGCCGGCGGACGGCACTCTCGTTTCGCCGATGTTATGGGGTCGACAACAAGCGTCAATGCAGTGAAAACGTGCCACACCGCTCCATAGTCGCGCTGTGATTGAGCATCGTTGTCTAGCAGGCAGAATCTTCGCTGGAACTCAACATACAGTCTACTCCTGAGAGACGCGCCTCGAGAACCAATGCATAACCGAATCTGGCGGATTCGGTTCTTCCTCAGCTTCACTGGTGCAGCAGCTGCTCCTGCACTGCAGCCACAAGCCATCAAGAAGTTCGGGTCTCGAATTTACAAAAAAGCCTATCCCGGCAACCGCGCAGCCCCCTTCCCTGCGCTCTGGGCCCGATTGGGCGCTACTCAGCAACCAAGCCGCATCGCCTTGTTGACCGAGGACCGCGTGTCAGCTTAGCCTTTGGGCTGTCGCCAGAGTGCGTAGGGGGGCCCTGTGACTTGCTTAGCACCAGTAGCATGGCCAGATTGCGGGTCTATGCAACGGCCTCTACGAACGAAATGAATGCGCCCAGCAACAGACGCCGTTTCTTGAGCATACAAGAAGAGGGTGTTCACCCGTTCCTTGGTCTGCTTGGTCCTACTACTTTACAGTATCCCACCTTGAGGCTATACCATCCAGAGTTCATACTCCCACTCGGCTACGCTTGCGGTTCCTACCGGTCCACTTGCCGAAGATCCCTTGATCCTTGGTTACCATCCCTACGGATCTGCACGTCGACATTCACACGCCTACGTAGTGTCGCCAAGATACAAAAGATTTCGAGTCGCGTCCTGTACATCCAAGATCTTATCACTGCAGATCTGACGTTCCACACGACCCCTATTAAATAGGCCTCGAATCCACCCATTGCTGGCATCACTTCACTATCCAACACCATTACTACCACAATCTCAAAATGGATTCCCCGACAGTCGAGCTCCGGTCTGCTCTGGCTTCGTGAGTGCCTCTCTTGAAATTAATGTTCCTTGCTAAGTCTTCTAGACTTTTTGAATGCGGAAAGTACTCAGATCTGACCATTGTCTGTGGTAGCAACAGATACCAAGTACATCGCGCACTTGTGGCAACTCGCTCAACCTTTTTTGAAGGTGCATGCCGTGGTGGCTTCCAAGAATCGGCAACAGGTGTCATCGACCTCACCGAGGACGATGCAGAAGCTGTCGAACATATGGTTCACTGTAGGCACAAGGTTCCTGTAGGACCCTGAGACGACGCTAACCCCCCCTGCAGATTTCTACCATCTGGACTACCTCAACAAGCAAAGTTCGCAGCGATCGACTCGTCCCCAATCTCCAAGCCCAGTGACGTCGCGCTTCACAAAACGCAGTCCACCAAAAAAGCTCAACTTGGCATTTTTAGATGACCCGCTGCTTGCGCAAATGTCTGCTGCGAGTCCGTTGACGCCTCCTGCCGAGGACACTGTATTCCGTCCTATCGATGCCACCCTGAAGCTCCCCGATACGCCAATGGTTGAGCAATTTGCAGACGATTACAATGAGTATGCCACTATGGAGCCAGAGGTTGACGTCGAAAGCGCTCATCTGGTCATCCACGCTAAGGTGTACGCGATTGCAGAGAAGTACGTACCACCTTCGTCATTTACGCCCCTGTTTTTCTTTTCTTGTTCACTGGCTTGTTAGCCGTCGGCAGTGCGCGATCGTATTTCCTGTCTTGCGTTGTGCCGCGTTGCGTAGCACGGCGGAAAGTCTCCGACTCTCCGTGACATGCGTCACCTGCATGGTCAGAGTGCCAATCGAGAGCCGCGCAGTCAGCTACGACCCCGCCACGACGCAACACATGCCCCTTTGCAGAAAGATTGCCCAATCACTTCCCCCCTGATCTCAATTCATCGGCCTGTGTATCTAGAACGGACCGCGTCACCGTGTCACTCTCCTTGACCACTCGCCAATCTTTGTTGAGATGATCGCTGCTAACTTGCATCAAGGTACGGCATTACTGGCCTGAAATCACTGGCACGCACCAAATTCGCCTATCAGATCTCTACCCATCTGAATAGCCCAGAGTTTGCAGACGCCTGCCAAGAGGCGTACGAGACAACGTTTCACACCGATCGTGGCCTGCGGGACGTTATCATTCAAACTTTCCGCGCCAACCCTGATCTGTCCATGCGCGAGGATGTCGAGATGGCGGTCCGCGAGACGCCCGGCCTCGCCTTCGAGTTATTCCGCATGGCCAGCGGCCTCCCAGTGTCATCTTGAAGACCGAGCTTACGAGGCTCGCGGAAGCGAGCACAGCTCCACTCCATTCGACTGTTTAGTCCTGGCAGATCGCGATGACTTAGACCTAATCCAGCTGTGGATTTCTGGTCGAGTATCGTACGTGTCGCCGTCGATATAAACCAGCGACGACCTGAGACCCAGAAGAGCCTTCCCTTGCGGATCTCCAGGCCATGATTGCTCTAAGCTGTATAGCACTCTTCTGCACCGTGCAGATGGGTACTTGCATTTCACGCATCGAACAGGTTCGCAGAATGTTAGGAAAATGACTATGATATTGAAGTTACTCCAGACCACAGGGCAAAACGGGACAAGACAGTGTAGCTTAGATGGGATACCGCTTGTCTGGTCCACCGGCGTGGAGACATGTGCCGCTGCCTTCTGTCACTCCTCCTGAAGAGTTGTGCTCGTGGAGGGCGACGAACAGACTACTCAACGTTGGACATACACGCTCTATTTTCTACGTCTGATTAGCAAGACCTGAATTCGTGGTCTACCGTTGCTGTAGCTGCGCCCGCAACTGTCGTACCTGAGCACAGTGCAATTTGGACATACTCTTAGCTAGAACAATTTGAATGAGCGCTACGTATCTAATATAGTCAAAAAGAATTAAGGGTAGTGTGTATCTTAGCAGACGTCTTGACGTGCTCCAGACAGAACAGATCAGTCTTGTTTATTCGGGGTTGAGCGTGTTCAGCCACCTTTGTTGGTATCGAATGGCCAGTCCCCCACAGCTACCCGATGAGCTTCAATTTGGAGGGGGGCATTTTAATATCTCTTGCCATGCCTTGATAGTCTCATTTGACGCCTGGGTAATTATAAGCTGATGTAAAATTTAGTAACGTACACAGATCCAAGAGCTTAGTATACCTACCCAGTTTAATTTCCTTTTGAGTTGCTCGATCTGCTTTGTGTTTCCGTCACTATATTGTCTCTGAGCTTCCTTGAATTTCTCCTTGCTTTTGCTGCTGTTCAGTCGATGTCCAAGCAAAGCTATCGGGTCTGTTCTGCCGCGCGATTTCCCCCCTTCCGAAGCTTCAGCGATAGGAGCGACGCGCCCATTGTAACTTGAAAGAAGCTCCCAAGGCGAAAGCGCATTACTATTGGCTGCCCCAGAGACTCGTTCCGGAAGCCCGAGATCTTCGTCTACGTTTTGAGTCGTGCCGATCCTAAGCACACGTTAGTGCTCTAATTGTGACCAAGCAACTTGAAAATGCATGCAAGCACAGGTTTTGGGTAGTCATACCAAATCTCCAGTCCTCTGGGCACAAAAACATCGATATTGGCCTTGGCGAGGACCCGTGAGACCGCGCTCTTGCGCCCGTACGCAGAAGCCATGCCAACACCGACCTGGCCAGCTACAACACCCAATACACCGAAGCCAGGGCTACATGATCTGATTAGCCTGAGGTTGAATCACTGACGTACTGGTTCACGACCTGACTTACACAAACCACCCAGCAACACTGGCGACTTTCTGGAACAGCTGGGCCTCCGGGTTAGGGACTATAGCAATGTTGATTGCATCAACGATTTGCTGGAACTCCGTGTTTGATATCCCGTAGTTCTGGAGATCTTTGCTGTATCCCCTCAGGAAGGGAGAGCCTTTGCTGTAGCCAGTTTGTGGCAAGATGAGAGGGCGGAACTCGTAGTGACGGAGCACAGAGGGGTCTGCGTGGGGACTATGATGGCGAGAGGTATCGTTTGCAAGAATTACGCCAGTACTTTGTTCTTGAAGCTGTTCTGGCAAGATGAGACCGGTCTCTTGCTCGACCAAGCATTGTGGGTATGCAGAGTGAGCTTGCTCGATTCTCCGTGGGGCTTCACATTCTGGAAGGATTTGTCGCGGAGGCGATCTGGATTCTTGACTATCGAAGCGTGCTGATTGGACGTTGCCTCTGCTAGAGATACACAGGGCTACTGTCGTCATTTGTCCATCTCTTCTAGGCTTGCCTTTTGTAAGTCCGTTATAACTCTTGCGATTGTCGACAGCTGTTTGGATTGAAGTTTTGAAGGTGCCCAGTATGTGTGACATGATGTCTTCAGGTCTGACGGTTGGGGTCTTTCGAGCAAATCAAATTAATTGAAGGTAGTGTCTTGCGATCGCACTTCTGCTTTTTGTTTGGGTCGGCGGCGGCGGATGTGAAAGAGTTGGGTGCTAACAATTTCAAGGAGATGCCTCGACTTGCAGTCCCCAGAGAAAGTCAGCGGAATATATACTGTCAGGGTATCTATTATCAGAGTTCTTGCAGGCGCAGTTTATTGCATAATTGATTCTCAGGTCTGCATGGTAGGCACGTGCCTTCCCCGGTGTACGCTCCTAAGCCTGGCATGTAAGCGCTAACATGATTTCCGACCTAAGCTCTCGTTCAACTGAAAGAGGAACATCATCACTCCTAGCGCCGAACGTTTATTCAGTCATTCGGAACGACTGATAGTGCCTTCCAGACCAGAATCGGCGAGCCTTGCGAGTACGAAGAAGATGGTTGTGTACCACAAGTGAACCTGCACAAGACATGACCAGGAATCAATGAATGATGTCATTCGCCAGCTATCCGCCGTGTCTCAGAAACAATAACGAAATAAAAACTTCGTCTTCAGAAGTCTTACCTACCATCCCCAGGGTGGTGATTAGGTGTTTGAAAGCATCTGGTTGATTCTCGAGAGGAAAAGATGTTAACAAGCGAAAACTTTATCCTTGCATTTCTCTGAGTGGCTTTCGATACGGCAAAAACAACACAGTGCGTGGGCAACCCAGATCATTCCACTCTACAATGCGATAATAGGCATATTGCCAATGCCTTTCTGGCCACTAAACCAAACAAGTCCTTCGCATAATTACATGTTGGACCGAGTCCTTCCGCCCGCCGCTACAAGCAATCGCTCTGTACTGGGTTCTCATGAACGTGTAGGTTCTCATAAACACATAGGCTCTCAGGAAAAGCTATTGAGTTCTCTCTTCCAACTCCTGCTGAAAAACTTCTGCCTGTTGCAATCACGCGTAGTGGCCATCTCATATGACTCCGCCAGCGTTGAGGTAGAAACTCAAGTGCTGCTTCAACCTCCCTGATGCCTGTATCACCAATATACCAGAAGTGCTGTAGTAACGTAAGGAGGGCGAAATAATGAGCTAATATGACAATGGCCCGCGGTTTGCAAAGTGCAACGAGACGTATGAAGTGATCCGGTATCACTACGGGGAATAGCATGAGGCTCCTAGCAATGGACCCAAATGACTCCTGCCTCTGGACTGATTGCAAAGTATCGCAAATGTACTTGAGTGTCACTGTATATGCATCCCGAGTCTCTGCGTCCCATTCTTCAGGATTGTCTTCGTCTGAGCCAATGGTCGTGTCCTGATGCAAAGCATGCAGAAGATGGCCTAATGGTGATGTCTCCTGGCTGCCGGTTGGTAGATTCGCCTGCCACACAATCGGCGTCGTACGGGCCAACCGAGATGTTTGAGTTGACGGGTCGTCCTTGGACGATTGCCAGGCCATGCCATATAAGTGCCAATGACTCTTTACTATACGAAGCCACTCTATAGGTGGACAGTAAGGCTTCAAACTGCGTGTTGATAGGACCACAAAAGCCATCAATCGCATAGTGTTGGCCGTTATGAAGATACTGTCGATACTGCCGAGACAGACCCGGCTAAGGTCCCTGCGGTGATGTTCGAAGGCAAGCTGCGCGTAAGTCTCATGCTCAATCTCCATAGAAAGGCCTTTGAGGCAGTCTGGAAAGCAGGTGTCAATTTTGTGCTTCGTCTGATAGAGGGACGTGATCGCAAATACGCTGTAGAGAAGAGCTTTCGACTTGAGAGCCATGCGGGGTATGACTTCAACCCAGAGTTCGTGAGATGATGCTTGATCGAAGGGTATGGAGGGCCCCGCTCGGTTAATGTAGAATTGCAGTAAGTGGAGCTCTACTGTATTCCTATCCTCTGAGTGCGCTTGCTTCTCAGGCAACGCGCTGAGGGTATACGCTCCTGCCGGTCGCTTTGAAACGATCCAATTTCGTTCGTATATACAATTCGAATCCTTTCGTCTGCAATTTGAACAGGAGGGTTTTTCTTCGTCGCACTGAAGAGTATTCGAATTAGTCTTGCAGGCATCAAACGGCCTGAAGTCTAGGGGAACGCCTTGCGTCTGCACCCACCTTCACTCTTCGCACTCGGCATGTCGAGCAACCATTGCGCGATTTTCGATGAAACTTCTTGACAAGGCCGGTCTGCACGACGCCGCTGAGATCTAACCCACTGACGAATTGGGTGCGGGGATGTAGTTCTCGAGACATGTCAATTACTCAATTTGCCGTCTCGTTTACACTTTTTGAGATGTGCGAGCTTGTCTTGGAAGAGGGCGCAGAGCTTAAGGCGCTCAAGCTCACAAGGCGAACTACTTATTATCTTTCGGGGGATCTGCGAAGCAGTCTCATTGGCTCGGTATGGTAGTGCTGACAAGCTTTCGTTCCGCCGAAAGGGGTAAGTGTAATACTGCATATGTCAACCTAGGATTACCGATGATCTACATGTCGTTGTGGCTGAGAAGCTTTACTTCGGATTCAAGAAGTGCCGCGTTAATCGTAAGCAGTAGCTCTATCATAGCGTTCTTCTATACGAACGAGCTTACCATCTGTTGTCTCGTAACGGTAGGTCCATCACCAAGGCATAATCTTTCCAGAGTGTGCCGAGCTCGAGCAGAGAGAACAAGTATAAAAGGTGTACAAAGACCCAACAAGACCCATCTCCCAATTGCTAAGTCAAAACAAGATACCCAGCTATCATCTCTTTGCTACAATGATTTACGTCTTGCTGTGTGAGTATTGAACATGCTGTAACCCGGAACGTACTGACATGAGTAGATTCGATCCCCCTAGCGGGTATCACCGTCGCAAGCTACGCACCAAACGTTGTGGATTGCCCTGCTGGTATTCAGCTTGCACGTCCGCCTCAAGGTCTTGCCAAGCAAGAGTTGCAGTGGGTTCGTGGCAGGAAGAAGGTGGCAGCCAATTCTTTCGCCTCCTTTCTCCGCCGTGTCGATCTCGAGGACTTCGACATCGCGACGTATGAGTCAAGTGTTCTCAATGATCCAGTGTCATATATGCCGACCATCGCCTTTGCGAACAGCGGGGGAGGTTGGCGTGCTGCTTACACGGGCGCTGGAGCTATGCGAGCCTTTGACGAAACCTTTGCACCTTCGGTTCAGTACAAGACTGGAGGCCTCTTGCAAAGTATGACATATTACGCAGGTCTTTCGGGTGGTTCTTGGCCGGTCAGTTCCTACGCGTTCCATAATTTCGCCCCCATGGACGATGTGGTGAAAACCTGGAACACCGAAGTCGACCAAGGTTCGTTCGAGAACTTTACGAAGTTTTTCCAAGAAATCGCCCCAAAATATGAAGCTGGCTACAATATCAGTGTGATGGATGTTCTGGCGCGATCGTTCGCCTACCAATTCCTTCCTGGAGCCGATGGCGGTCTGGAAACAACTTGGTCGTCCATCGCGGATTTGAGCAATTTCAAGAACTTCTCCGGGCCAATGCCGCTACTACAGACAAGCAGTATTGAATGTGGAGACCCTTCGGCCTATGGTGTCTTCGAACCGCGATTTACCAACCGAATGTATGAGTGGACACCATTCGAATTTGGGTCTTGGGACAGCGGTTTCACTCCCACAGCCTACGTGGGTAGCTTGCCCCACCAGAATGGCTTTGCTACGAAGTGTGTTGTAGGGCTCGATCGCGCAAGGTACATTTCTCCCTGCACCCACGTCATCTTTCTTATTCCCCTTTTGGTCGAGTTTGTAGCTAACTCACGTAGCTTCGTGATGGGTACAGCTGCCGCAGCATGGAACTACTGGTGGCTATCAGTTAGCTCCAATGGCACCTTGGGCCAGTTCTCGAAACGGGATCCCATCGGACCAGAAGTCTTTCCTGACCGCCATCAGCTGGCCCGTCGTGACAGTCCTTTTGGCATGAATGTGTTCCAAGGAGTCCACAGCGCATTCAATGAGACATTCGGTCTCTCTATACCACAAATCGCCAATCCCTCGATACCTGCAGCGTTCTCGCCGCTGGAAAACCTCACACTTACGGACAACTCAGAAGCCCTCCAGTCTCTCCCACTGAGGTCACTCATCCAGCCGGAGCGCAAGTCCGATTTCATCGTTGCATGGGACGACGACGCAGATGAAGCGCCCTACAAGTGGAACAATGGATCCAACTTGTACTTCACCTCGGTTTGGGCGAATCAGGCTGGACTTCCATTCCCAACAGTCCCCCCGCCGTCAACCTTCCTGGCTCGCAACTATACCCTCAGGCCTACCTTCTTCGGATGCAACACAAGTCTTACAACTACGGGAGACGACCGAAGTCCCATCGTCCTTTACATGACGAATGCTCCCTACAGCTGGTACAGCAACTTCACATGGGGAGATCCTTTCATGTCGCGAGCGACCTTTGAGGGCGTGCTGATCAACAGTTTTGATATCGTCACTCAAGGAAACGGAACCTTGGACGCTGAATGGCCGTCCTGCGTTGCATGCGCAGCTATCGATCGAAGCCTCGCACGAGTTGGGATGAGAAGAAGCGATCAGTGCGAAAAGTGCTTTACCAAGTACTGCTGGGACGGTAGCGTTGAGTCCGAGGATCTCTCTGCCGTATCAAGCAAGGGCAAGACCTTTGATCCAAGCCTTATTCTTAACTCTAGCTACACGTTTGAACTGTGGAATAAGACGCATCCAGTGCTATAAACCTTAAAAAAAACAGCAGAGGGATATTTAGGCAGGAGTAAGATAGAAACTAGAAAATTAAATCAGTAACAAAGGTAGCTATTTGCAATTAGGTCGCCCTCACAAGCTCCAGAATCTCAGACCATCCCGAAATTCCGTAACGATGGGAGTCGTAGTCAAGCCGACATCAGAGCTTTATAGTAAGGGACAGTTTAGGTGTGTTGTTGGCAATCTTGACATGGTTATCTTTTTTTTTCAACTGATTTAAGGGGTATTATAGCTCAAAAATCTGCAACAAACTTGCCACTTTGCTGGTACATCCCAATTGGTTCCATCATGCGTTGACGAACACACTTCAACCTGATGTTTGCTCTCGTCCACGACATATTTCGTCCATCACAATTTGATGACGAGTTTGGATCCCGAGATGGTCTTCGTCCGCAGTCTATCCAGACCGTCAAGAATTCCTTCGAACCCGCCATCTATCATGGTAATAGGCGGCGCTTTGATGGCGTTCGCGAACTCGGGCAGAATCGCATAGAATCTAACAAGGGCATCGCGGTCGCTCGACGAAGCAGGATATGCGGGTCCAATTGGAGGCAACCAGGCGAATGCGCGCCCCAGGAGCTGGAAAGACATGATCGGTTTCACCTCAACGCCCGGAACGCTGATCTTGGTCTCAAGCAGCGTCACGACTTTGCCGCCGTTTTTGCGCATGATCTCTGCACAGAACTGGGTCGACTTGCCCTCTGAGAAGCAGTCGACAGCACGCGTGATATTCGGATACGCGGTCGCGATCTCTCGCGCCACCAGTGGGTCACGGTAGTCGTACACTCGGTCCGCGCCGTACTTCTTGACGAGATCAAAGGAATGCGGTGACGCGGTCGCTACGACGGTCAAGCCCGCTCGCTTCGCCATCTGAATCGTGAACAAACCAACGCTACTAGATCCCGCGTACACGAAAAGCGGCCCCGCAGGCGATGTCTTTCCCCCCGCAGCATCCGGCCAGGGTACGTCGAGGTGGAGGTGCAGCGCCTGCATGGCCGTGGCAGCAGGGATCCCGAACGTCGCGGCTTCCTCGTAGCTCACCCCATCTGGCACCTTCCAGATTAGATCCGCTTCAATCTTGATGTACTCTGCGAAAGAGCCGTCGGTGTCGATGCTGCCCTGCACGAATCCTGCAACCCGGTCTTTGAGGCTCCATGCCTGTGCCGTTTCACCGATCTCTGCGATTTCTCCGGCAAAGTCGCATCCCGCGATTGCTCCTGGCGGCGCGATGAAGTCGACGAATTTGACATCGATAGGATTGAGTGCGACCGCGCGAACGCGGATGAGGACTTCGTTCTTTGCAGGCTTGGGCCGGGGGACGTCTGCGTCGTATAGCCCGACGCCGAACGATTTGCCAGTAAAGAGATTGGCGGAACGAGCGAGGAGACCGCGCTATGTTGCGAGAGCTCGCATGGCTATAGGGTGACCTATGTGGTGTTTTGTGTCTTGGTGAGAGTTAGATATAGTCCGGTGTCGAGTGATTGAGTTTGGTGTGGGTCATAAAGACTGGGTTGTCGCAATAACGAAGAACATCGTTTATCTGCACACAAGACGCGACCATCATATAAGCAACAGAAACGAATAGTAATCGTGGATTTTTTGGTTCGATGATGATTGCGACCATCATATACACAGTAAGCAAGAGGAACGAATAGTAATCGTGGACTTTTTGGTCCGGGTGATGATTGGTACGCAAGCGGACGAGATCTGCGGTGGGGATTGTTAGCGCACTTGCGGTTGCGCCCGGTGGTCTGTGTTGCGTTCGTGCCGTTTTTCACGACGGCACATCTTAGTCGGCAGGCGTGCATACGCCAATTGCGCCACACGAAATATTATAAGACAGGTCCTGTAACAACGACAAACATCAATTCTCAGCTTAAAAATGTTATCTATGTCTTTCCTAGTTCCTGCCTCTTGCTCGCGAACTCTGTCTCATACCGCCCTACTTTAGCAGCTGCTCCAGGGCATCAGCGGGTGTCACCTTCGGAGCTGCCAGTTCCAGGATCTCCCGGCTCGTTGGCACAGTTGGAAGTGGAGAGTTAAATGTCTCGTTCGCTGCATCCTTCATTGTGTCGACAAGGTGCTTGGAATCCGGCGCCGCCGCTGCGAAAGCCTCCAGCATCGACATGTCGCTAAAGACAACTTCGTCGACCTTGGTGCCAATGCGCTGCTCGACCATTGCCACAATCTGTGCCCCTGTGATGGTCTCTGGCCCGTTCAACACGTATCTTGCTTTGTTGTGCTTCGAGCTGTCTTGAGAAAGAAGGAGCTTTGCGGCTGCCGTGCTGACGTCAGTGGGGTCTATCGCACCGACGGGCTTGGTTTCGTTCGCCATGAGCCGGAGCGCATCCTGCTGTCCGCCTGTGCTTTGCACCTTTTTTATGAGCTCCGCAGCGGACGAGAGCCACATTGGCAGAAACACGTTTGGCTGAAGCGATGTCCAGTGCATTGCTGCATAAGCTGGGGTATCAAGCATCGCCTCAATGGCCCAGTGCTGACGCGGATAGTACGTCGGGCAATCTGGGCGCACATTTGAAGCTGTTGTGGAGATCCGTACAACGTATTGCACACCAGCTTTAAGTGCTGCATACAGGAAGGTTGACTCTTCGGCAAACTGAGTAGGTTGATTGTGCGAGGCGATGAACACCCTTTCCACGCCATGCTCGCGCAGCCATTGAGATGAGATCGCAGGCCAGTTGATCTCAACAACTTCGACATTAGCCAACTTCGCGAGCTCGCTGGCTGCGGCACCGGCTGCTGAGCGTGTCTGTGCAATGATACGGTGTCCAGAAAAGCTCGGGCTTGCTTGAATCGTGGTCGAAAGGATCTCTACTACCCCCCGGCCGGTATTGCCTGTTGCGCCGACGACAAGAAACGAGGGAGACATTTTGAAAATAGCTTTTGGATGAAGAAAGCAAACAGGGCGAGAGCTCAGAAAGTGTTGGTGAAGCTGTATCCAAGGGCCTCGCTGCAGCTTAAATTCAAGGATACTGGACCCCGATAGTTGTCTCCGTCCCTCGTCCGACCTAGATTCGTCCGACGCTATAAGCTACCTGCAGTCCAACGCTATAAACTACCTACAGACAGAACGCAAATCCTATCTCCTTGAGGTTGGGCTTTTTTTCATGTCCGCCAATAATCCTGTGCGCGCTGCAAGACTACGGTACCGCATGTTGCCCACAAAGCCGATCAGGACGCTTTCAAGATCGCCAACGAACGGACGCACACGAAAGCAGCTCATTCGCTGCAGCCGTGTCTTAAAAATGAACAGACCAGCGTTTTGGTAGAGTTCGGGAAGAATCCCGTAGCGTGCTTGCGAAGCGAACGCTTACATATGAATCACGCACGAACTTTTGAGCGTGGCAGATGCGCGAAAGATCATAGCAGAGAACATTCTTAAGGGGAAATATTAGCTCCACACGACACGGGTCCGCTTGCCACAGGCCCCGATTCTGATCGAACGAGAACCATCTTCTCTCAACTTCTCACATGCGCAGCTGCGTTGCGGCGTGGAATCCCTGATCACGTCCTCAACACGTGCTGCAGCTTGACGACGCACCGAAGAATGTTGCCAAAGCGTCAAAAGTTGCCACTACAGAAGTGATAAAAATTAGAACCAGTTTATTAATGGCGGACAGCTATATTTAAAGAAACTCTTCGAGAAACATATATACAAAGACAGTAACAGGCTGCTGCAGACTATAGACTTGACCATTAGAGATGACCCTTCTTTAGAAGGTGCAAGCATCAAGAAGATCGACATGCGGCATGCAGCCTGGGCTGCATCTGGCGAGATCACAGCGGAGCAAATTGAAGTTGGAAAGAATGGGACTATGTTTCTTTCACTAGCAAGATATTCCTCCTGTATCCACATCGATACAGCCTCACTCGACTCTTGTCTCAAGTATTTCTCGCTCTCGCAAGACCAGAAAAACGCTTTCTATCTCTCTACGCAGGATCCTGCTCTAGGAATAGCAGCCCACGTCAATGTTGTTTGCACTCCGTATCGGCGTCCGATCAATCAGGATGAAATAGAAGAAGAGGAAGGATAAGATCACTTCAATGATGCCCCGACTTCTATCAAAGTGCATCTTCCTATTGTAACCCCGGAAGTTTATGGTTACGTTGTTGACCTTCACGACATATGGGCGCAAGAAGACACCACTAACACTCAAGCTTGGTGACGTCATCAGCAGTTAGAAGTACCTCCACCCCGTTGCTACGCCACAACAATCCAGACCCTATTCCCCAGCTATCGCGACCTTCTGTACAGTGTTCTGGATCGAGTCCCACGTCACGGCACTGCACCTGCGATTTCCTCTAATCCTTGAAAATGACATCATAAGCTGTGGTGGCTGTGTGTCAGCTGCGGCGCAATCCTCAGCTTCACGAACAGACCGCGCATAACCTCGCAATTGTCGCGACGAAAGTCTAGGTCTTCGTACGATGCAAACATATGATGTCAGACACTCAAAAATAGGCGTGTACCCGCCAATACCGTCGGTGGTGAGAACTCAGCAGTTGAAATGCAGCAAGACAGGGCTACGTGCAGCGTATCGGTCGATGGAATAGATCTAGACCTCCACAACGTGAGAGAACGATGATGAAGGGGAGACGAGGTTTGGAAGAGGCGCAACGTGGAAGACATAAACAATGGACACCGTGCATGTGCACCACCACTACGAAACTACAGCACCGGAAACATAAGCAATTCATCATCAACATCACCAGCGCTACCAAACAAGCCATGCGCATGCACACTTCGCAAAGTATTTCTACAGCTGCATCAGCTTCGAGTTCCAATTCGATAACGATCTCTCCGTCATCGACCCTTCGCGTTTCTCTCACCTTTGCCACGAGGTCTTTTAATTCACCAGGCCACAGGCTTACCCTCCTGCCTAACGGCGTTATCGTCATCTCACCAGCGTCCATCACTAGTACAACGAGGCAACCAGACTTCATCCCGCACCGTCTGACCTTCCCATCTCCTAAATCCAAATCATCAAACGAGAGTCGAGGGGATGAGAAGGAGATGCAACGACATGCCGCACTCATAGCGCACCTCAACGCTGAGCTGAGAGAAAACAGTGCATTTAAGGATAAAGCAGTGAGCGGGTGTAGGAGGGCAAGGAGCGATTATCAGTGAATACGAGAAACGCTGGGCGTGTTCAGCTGTTGTCTTCACGTCTGCCTGTACGCGTTTATATGCAGTAGCTCTAGGATACCCATTTGTGTGATTTTGGTGGTTGTACACTTTGCGTTCGTGGTAGGGATGAAGAGTAATGACGGCTGTGATGACTCCAATGCTTGTATATTGGCAGACAGGGTATATACGATAAGTCATTTGTCCTCCGAGGCGCATCTGTACTCAAAGCGCGTGATCTATATGCGAGGAACACTGGCTATGCAATTATTAACGCTCTCATGTAACATCGGCACAATCATTGTCCTCTGGTACTGAGCCTCAAATATGGTGGATCCTTCGGCTTACACGCTGAATGCCCATTCTGATCCACCTTCGGCACAGTACTCAGCTTCTGCCCATCCTCATTTTCAAGGGCAAAATCGAAACTTGCCAGGAAGTACGCCGTGATAATGTTCTGCTCGAGTTTCGCAAACCGCATGCCGGCGCACGGGTGTCTCGCCACGCCCCAACCCAGCCATCCATGTGGAACTTTCTTATCCTCCTCACGACCTGGAAGATACCGTGCAGGGTCCCAGACCTCAGGATTAGGGTAGATGGAGGGGTCCTGATGAACGTCGGCGGTGGCGTAGGTTACAACTGCGTCGGGTGGAATGACCTCCATGCCGTTGCCCGTGGGAAGCGCGCGACCGCTGATGTTTTTTCGGAAAGCTGTGCCTAGAAGATTGAGTCGAATGGAATCCTTCAGACACAGGTCGACAACCCGGAATTCCGACTCCCACGCCTCGAGGGGCACATCGTCCAGTTGACAACGCAAAGGCTTTGAAGGGTCTTGTGTATATTTTGCAGCCACAGCACGAATCTCTTCGCGGCATTTAGCCATCCACTCGGGAGAAGAAGCAAGGTAGCACAGGACCCACGCCGCATTGATTCCACTGTTGAGCAAGCCCGCAAACAGGGCGCCAACAATAAACTCTATGATCTTGTGTGTTCTATCACCCTGGTCTAGCAGGTACTGTAGCGCGTCGTCATGCTTCTCGTCGCTGGCTGCACGTTTCTTGATGATGTTCTCAATGATCATGTAGAGGCGAGCTCCAGCGTACGTGCGCTTCAAGACAGCAGGCGACGGTAATTTGGGTAGTATGATTGATGTAGCCGTAGAGCTGGCTTCAATGTACTCAAAAAGACCGAGAGTTTCCTCCAACAACTCAGCATTTTCTGCGATCTCGTGAGCACCAAGGAGTCTGATGGTCAGGCGGAACACAAGTCTGTAAACGCTTTCGAAGGGGTTGGTGCGGCCACGTGGGTCATTCTTGATGGCTCTGAGAGCTTCTTGCGTATCGGAGGTAAGCATCGATAGCTTTCGTCGAAACTGGTCATTCTTGAGGAGTGCAGCCAGGCGCCTGCTGAAGTGGTTTGACATATCTTCTTCCGCTCTCTTTTCGGTGTCATACTTGTCCGTTGAAGGGCTTCCACCAAACAGCACTGCGTATCCCTCAGCGAATCCAAGTTCGCGCGACTCGAAGAACAGCTTGCGTCCCTCCTCTCCAGTCAGGGCGACAATGACATTCGTTCCCGCGTGGAAGGAAAAATTGCCTGTCTTCGACTGATCACGCCGCCGGCGATACCAGTCCCAGCGCTCCGTCCAGAATCCCCATGGTCCGGTTACAGGGTAGTTGTCGCTAGCGGCAGCAGGCGCGTTCGCAGGTAATCGGCGAATGAACAATGTGTGAACGACAACGACAAGTAAGACAAGCGATGCGAAAAAAAGCAGCAGTAATGTTGGTGATCTGACCACACAGCCAAAGATGTCAAGGAGAGCCATATCACGATAAGGCAGCTTACAGTGCCAGACCGATGGAGAGGAAGGTCAGTAAAGATCGAAATGAGTACAAGGCCAAGGTGACACAATATAGGTGGCACATGGTCCCAGTGGAAACCTCGGCGGAAACATTTCGTCCCGCACGCACCATTACGCTGTCTCAGTCTGCGCAAGAGCATTGCGTGCCTGCAATTGGCCTGAAGAGTGCTGCCATCATTGTGCCTAGGTAGTAGCGAAGGGGCAGAGGGCGGAATGGAGGCGTTCCGGTTGTGCAACGCGCCGTCAAGTTTTAGGTTCGGAGCATCACAGGCAAAACTTGCCCTGTCATCTCGCCTCTTGTCCACGCGACAAGCCACGTAATGTCGCTCCGACAGCCCTAAGCGGTTGTCATTGGATGTCTTGCACCCCTATAGACCGAGCACGATTCTGGAATCCAGATGTCGGGAAAAGTTGCCTGACTCTAGCACTATTGCGTCCTGGTGGCGCCTAGTTCCGAAGATCAACGTCGCTAAAACATATCGATGATCGCTCGGCTTGCCCTGACTCCGAGACGAAATCGCTCATACTGTGAACTGTGCTGTTCTGCAGCCGTTGTTGAGGTGCGATCAGGACAAGCCTCTGCCTCGGTCTCCTGCCGTGCCCCCTCTACCCAGACCGCATCTACACCAATATCGTTCGTGCACACGGCATTGTACAAGAAAGTCATCTTCCAGGATTTCGGCGCAACTAGACTTGTTTGTGCAGTGTAGCCTCTCGGTGGTTGCCGGGTTGTGTATCGTTCGACATCGTTTTTGCAAGAAGAACCATTGCTGATGTTGGAGTGCGAATCACAGGTCTACAACCGCGAATAACCTTGGAAGCTCTACCTAGGTAGGTATCAGCCGCAGTCACGTCGCTGGCCATGTGCTGCAGGCGTGTAATTCAGACGCCAGAGTGTCAGATTCAAGCAGAGCGTCAGGTGTGGTGCTTGACTCCTGTTGTATGAGCGAGCAAAGTGGATCAATCGGAGAGCCTGGAGGTAGGCGCACAGAAGGCCGAAGTTCTAATCGTTCGACAAACCTGCTGTACTTGCTCCACATGTCGAAAACACAGTCCATTGCGCAGGTCATTTTCACTTCATCCCACCCGCTGCGATGATTGGCTCGCAAGCCGTGAACTAATGGTGCCACACAAACGGGGCACCACAAACTGCACCGCCACAAGCTTTCATTTTGTTTACTAGAACAACAAACTTGTGCCAGAGCTGCCCGTTAACGACTCACACTTAGCCATTGTGCAGCCACTCTAGTTGAGGTCGAAACAAACATCCGGCAAAATCCCAGCTAATCACATTGTACTCATCGATCACTCGGTATCGCCACAGAGAGAAGCTGAGTATTATCATGGAGTCCTCAACTCAGCGGCGTATTGTACCTATCCTCGTTCAAGTGCTTCCGGCAAAAAGGCCAGTCAACGACGCGCAGGCTCAAGTGGCCGCCAGTGCTGCTATTTCTAACGACAATGAAGTCAATCTGATGAGCCTCAGCAACGAGCTTTTACATATCATAGCACTAGCTCTCCGTGGCAGCAGAACCATTCTCGATCTTTCGCTCACCAACAAGCGCCTCCGAGCTATCGCTCAAGATTCCATGTTACGCGAGCTTTGCATCCCAAACAAAGGTATAAGACAAGTCTTGGAAATGCTGGGTGTCAATTCTTCCGATGTTGCAAAGGTTCGTCATCTCATTCTACCACGGCAAGACGACTGCACTAGGACCGACTGCTGTTGCCTACGCTTATCCGACCTTGACACACGCACAGTACGACTGTTGCACGATGCAATCGAACGCAATCCCACCCATGACTTCACTTGGGAACGGATCCAAGATGTGGAGCGTGACTCACATACATGGTACCACAAATACCACAGTCTCCTGCTGGACATCCTGGTTGCACTTCTTCCATCTTTGAAAGAGGTAACAATGTCGCTGCCCCCACGCGAAGATCCTGCTCAAACAACACCCTCAGTCTGGCCATTGACCTACCAACATGCCTCCGTTTCACCGTTCGATGGCATTGTACTTCAAATGATGCAGACAAAACTGCAAGTCCTGACGATTCAGTCTGACGCAAGGTATCAGCAGCATATCATCAAACTGCCTGGATTTCTCAATCTACGGTCGCTGACAATATCAATGGTACATCTCGGGTCACCAAGCAGCATAGATTTCTACAAGCCAGACGTCACGTCGATGGACCTTAAGAAACAAAACTGGCTTCCGTTGACCTTGACAGACCTTCATCTTACATCATGTACGAGATCAACATTCGTCCTCCTTGATATGTTCACCTCTTTTTCGTCCGACTTACTACGATTGAAGCGCATCACGTTGGCGTTCGATATGATCGCGAGCTCAGCCCTCATTCTCTGCGCAATGGAACAGCTGCCGCGATGCACCACCATGACGGCTCTCGGGTGGGTACAAACATTAGCAGACCTGGCTCGTAAAGGGCTCACGGTGAAGCTCTGTGCAGAGACTTCGTCACCTCTGTGTATCAGCGGGCGCAGAGCCACCTTCACCGAGGAACTCCAAGCAATGACAACTTTGTCTTCAGTCGAGGTTACAAGGATTATTCGAGCGGGCATGCAGTTGTCAGTGGCTGTTGCACGGTCCCGTACTGGATCCAGGAGACGATCGTCGCCATTGGAGCGCAGACTGTTCTTACTGCATGGGACAGACTATCCGACACTGTTCTCGAGTCCCACATTCTCCGCTACATACTGGACTGAGGTTACCTTCTTCCATGGTACACGGAAAACCTTTAGGCGCCTCAATCGTCGGAAACAAAGGATTTGAGTCGAATTACGGAGCAACAGAGCCAATCAAATCCAAGAGTGATTGTTGAAAGGCTCCATGAACTTTTTTCCCATTGGGCGTTGCTGGCCTGTAACACAGCATCAATGGCTGCCATGTTGGATATGTTTTGACTGCTTTACACTAAACTATGAAGAAATATCCTTGTGCTATAAGTATGGAGTAGAGTTGTGACCAAGGACTGTCGAGCAGTATGACAACCTTTGGGAGGTACAGGAGGTTGGCTGACTATCGAGAAACGCCAACCACAAACAGCTACATAGACCTGTTTGCCACCCCTCACGATCCGCCTCTTACCTCAAGCGCAGAAGAAATCCTCTGAGCTGTAGTCGGGGCCAGCGCCTGCGAATACGGCTCTCTTGGGATAAGGGCAGAGCAGACTTGTGCGGTTAGCGATGTCGATAGCCTCGAGCGCAACAGGCGCGACCCCATTCTCTACCCACTCGACCAGCGCCTCGAACGATCTCGCAGGGTAGCCGCCCACGCCACCCTGACAGTGACCCAACCCAGGGGCTTCGAAGTAACGAAAGAATTCATGCACATCGGGGTCAACGGCGGTCACAGCGTCGTAGTACTGACGAGAACCACGAAACGTGATGATGCTATCTGCCTGCTCGATTGTCAGCGGGTTGCGTGTGGACAACATTAAGTCGCTTACGAGACCATGAAATGTAAGCATCTTCCCACCGGCCTGTTTAAAATCGTACAGATATGGTGACCTTGTACCAATCATTGAATCGAACTCGACAAAAGCTGTCCGGAAGACTTGTTCGTAGTCTCGCCGAGACAGACTGCTCACGTCGAAGTCACGATCCTTCAAGAACATGCGGATGGCCGTTGTCAACAACGAGTTTCCCTCGCCATTACATGTTCCGTTCGACGAGCAGATAGTTCTTGCAAGCCCGCCCTCCGAGGTAAGATTAGTCTGGTGGCCCATGGTGTGCCAGAGAAACGCCCCGTCTGCTCTCCGAGCACCGTTCCAAGCTGCATCAGCAACAGATGCTGCGGACTTCGTTATCTGACTCGGCGATGATGGCCCACTGCACTTGAGGGGCTCACCAACCGCGGTGTATGGATCGAAGTGACAGTCGTCCTCATTGGAGATGATGCCATCAAGAACTCCATCCAGACCGTCACAAAAATCGATAGCGAGATTTGTCAGGGCATCAATCTCACAGGGATGTGGCGCCTGGTCCATTTCGTTGATGACTTGCTGTGGAAAATGCGCAGCAACGATGAACTCGGTGTGGATCACCGGAGCGATGCCCTGGATGCCATCGAAGATGTCTGGATATCGTTGAGCAAAACCAAGACCTTGGCGCCCTCCTTGCGAGCACCCATCAAAGTATGAGAATCTAGGCAGTTGTCCATAAAAGCTGTTGATGACGCTCTTGGCTGCCAGCGCGGCATCCTTCAGTCCCACGTACATGAAATTCTGCAGCGCCAGCAGATCAGCGTTACCAGGACTCAACAGCCCCCAATGATCTGGGCCCTCAGACGAGGCACCCCCGTTGGTGGTGACTGTGGCGTAGCCGTCTGCAACAACCACCGACATGGTCAGAAAGGAAAACCATTCCAATCCGGCAAACCATCCTCCACCCCCAACCATACGTAACCGTCCGTTCCATTCTGGCTGAATGGGTAACCATACTTGGGATATAAGACTGTCGTTCTGATTGGGATGTGTGTGTGTGAGTGTAACGTTGCAGAAGCTCATGTTTTTGCCAAAGTCATCGTCGCGGAAGAGCTGGTAGTTTCCAGCAAGAGGGTCCAGAGAGAAATTCTGCACCAAGGAGGCTTGAACCGACAAAAACTCGGCACCAAAGATTGTTGGGAGAACAATTGCTTGCGCCGAGCAATTGTTCCAGCCATGAGAGAGCGCCATTGCGTTGTCTTGTGAGACGGTTGTAACTTTGATGACTACCTAGGTAGGAGGGTTGGCGCAAATGATATATCCAAGCAATTCCATTATGTGGTAAGCAGTGACGCATGTAAGATACGGGGGAAGATCCTTTGGTGTGTTTGTAGTACGAGCACCTACATTGCTGCAACAGACCCATACCTAGATTGATCTAGTGTGCTGACGCCGTGCAGGTCACACCACCCAAAGGTAACACGCATCTCTTTTTACACAACCTAGAGACTCTCTCTGAACTCATGTTTAATTCAATGTGCTTATTAGTGTTTTTGTAATCCTGCCCCCGGTTGTGTGGATTTCAAATCGTCTCTTCCTCGATACCCAGGCGAGGTCCATTTCCACGAGTTCGCGGAATATGGTGGCTTCCCGTGAGTACGTCATGAAGTATTGCGCGTGATATAGCCGGGCCTTCCAGCTGACCGTGGTCCGGTGAAGAGTAAGCGTACTTAGGTATGTAGTCCGTGATGGGTCCCGAGGTCGTTGTGTTTGCAACTCGGGCAGTGTTGGCTGTGACAGTCGTAATTACAAGGCTACCCCACTTCGGATGAAGTGTCGCAGCTCCAAAATCCCTGCTCTAGGCAACGAAATCTGTTTTCTTGTGGCTGTTATCGGTATATTTCGCGCAAAGCATCAAACACAATGCCACTACCGAGAAGAATCGCTCAGCGAGAGGGCCTAAAATAGCTCAGTCACCTGCTTCGTATCAACGAACGAAATCGACGAGCATCAGATAAAGACTTCTCGCGCAGATGATTGGGACCGACAGAAAATGAGTCAGTTGAGTGCCTAAAGTCGTGTTGCACAAAGAATTTCCTGACTAGAAGACCAAATACTTATGAAAAGTATCTCAGCGAATGACGAAAGCGTGCCAGCTCTTCAAATGACAAGTCAATATAATTGAGGCTCGTGATATTTGGGACATGATCGAAATGCGCCTAAATTCACGTACATGTTTCTCGAGGTCATCCCTATCGCTGCCTCTCAACAATTTCCATTGATATTTAAGCTGCCCGTCACCTCACCCCCATCAAAGACTAGGGCGCAACACAATGATGACTGCCGATACAATGCGTACAGCAAGCTCGCGAATCTTTCGGTGCGTTTTGACCGCAAGGTGCTACGCAAATCATCAGTATCGTTCCCCATCTGTATTCGGAGATCATGTCGCTTACACCAGCTGGGCAGACAATGTCCCGTACAGATCGTCAACTCTAGGTTGGTCTCTCTCTGGCACTTCTTTACCTGACTCCCTGCCGGCGTTCTCCCATCATGCCACGTAATAGAATCACACTGCTCGTCACTTGACTGAATCTGTAAGGTACTTCCTGTAAAGCCGTCGCCAAAGACGGCGCTTAGATCGTACCACACGAAGCTCTCGTCGATATTGTAGGCAAATATAAGTTGACTGGCATTCGGCGTAGTCAGACCATTCGCGTTTGGAGTAATCTTGAGCGCAATACCCCCAGACATTGGGTCAGAATGGAAGATCTCGCCATAGGTGCTGTCTCTGGGTAGAATTGTTCTGTTGCTGATGTGGCTGCCAACGGACCAAAGGTAGATCGGATGGTCGCACTGATTTGTGATTGTGGCGCGGCCTACAGCGAGAACACAAGTGCTCAGCGAAACAAGCGCAAAGAGGTTAGACAGAAGCATGGTCCGTGCCGGTATGGTTGAAGGACTAGATTTGTTCAGTGACGAGCTGCAGCACCGAAAGTATCAATCTTATACACGCTCAAGCCTTGCTCCCTTCTCATGATCACAACGACTAGCAAATTTAACCTTTTACCTATTTCGTGACTTATGACATCTTGTGTGACCCAACGACAAGTATGAAGGTTGCAAGGCTACTGGCCCGATAGGATCAACAAAGCCGATTGACCATCACATTCAGCCACAAAAGATCACAAGGCCCGAAGAATACTAAGTGGAATTATCTTACTTGCCAACTTGTGTAAGGCTGTCACCTGTTCTGAAAGCACATTGAGTACCTAGGACGTAGGTGAGGTGTACAAATCTGGCGGCCCACATCCAGGACACAGCTCGTGTGTTACTAATGTTGCACATGTAGCATCAAAAGGATGCAAAGAGTCGAATGTGCCTAAGTCACTGGCTGCAGAGAGGAACGTATAGTCAGAGGCATGGTTTGAGGGCCATGTGCTATTTCTGTCTATTTCAAATGTGTTTCAGTCCTCAATTGTCGGTAGGGAATTTTTTTGCTAGAATCCAGAACCGAGCATTTCCATCGACTCTTAGAAAATGCGTACTTCAGCACCTGCTTCCTTCCTCTAAACGAACAAGCTCGACCTCCACCTGCAGACCCCGCTTGATGAAACCTTGCTCAAGATAACTTTGCACCTCCCTGACAACATCAACAGGCCTACCCACCTTGCAGAAGTAGGCTGTCATAGCCGAATCAATGTACTCTAACCGAAGCCTCTGGAGACGACCGCAAGTGAAGACGGCATCTAGCTGATAGCGATGCACTACCTCGCGCAAAGGTAGTAGGATGCGCTCCTTTGCGGCTTCGGGGTTCTTCTGCTCAAGTGCGGCAATCTGGCGCTCAGCCCAGCGCTGGTTTGTCAGCCCCGCTGTGTGGATAGTGAGGCTCAGGTCGCGTAGATTTGGCAGGTTGCGACACATCTGCAGGTACGGGTTGTGATGTCGATTGAGAGCGACACCACTGAACCAGTAGAACTTGGGAAGCTCCATCTTGGTCACCGCGTTATAGATATGAGGCAGAGCCGCAGAACTGAAGATGTTGCCGCTATAGATCACATCGGCGGTCGAGGAAACGACAAATGTGCACTTCGATAAGTACGGAAGGACGTCCTCGTACCACCTGCGGTTACTTGCTGGATCAAAACGAACACCCTTCAAAAATGTAGGGTAGTCAGGGGAAGCGCCGGCGTCCTCGCGTTCAGCGGTGATGTATATGCGTCGAGTGCCTGCAGGAATCTACGTCAGTCGTCACAATCAGGAGTCTGTCAGATGGCCGTCTGACTGATCAAGATAATCTTACCTGCGCCCAACAAAGTTTCTAGAGCTTGTGTTTGCGACTGGGGAGGCGCAAATGTAGGCGCCGAAGCATTCAGCGGAGCTAGACGTGAGCTAGACTGCTCATCGCGCACGAATCAAGGTTACCCTTACCTGACGAGTTTTCGCCAGTGCTCCAGGTGGAGCTCTCAGAGCCGCGCGATATCTGCTGCGAACCACTCATGGCGGGTATTGAGATCAGAGCTTAGTGCCCTCGTGAATGTTAAGAGAAAGAGACAAAAGAGAAGAAGCAGCCTGAAAGATGCTAAGAGCTAAGGTTCCGGGACAGGGACAGGCTTAGTGAAAAATCTTTTATACAACAGTTAGTGCACGCCAAGCACGTTCTCGCGAGTGAAAGAAGGTTTGTCATTGACAAACGAGCATCAACTGTTGTATACGTGACCTATGTTGATCTAATTGTTTGAGCGTGATAACCATAGCTGGTGATGACATCAGACCTCATAATGTGCGCAAAGTGATTACAAAATAAGTAATCCTAGATCCGAGGCGCAGATCCTACGAGCTGGACGGTTCGTGATCTGTCAAGACTCCATCGGATAGGGTTGCTACTGATATTGCTGACACGAAGAACCAACGAGCATACGGGGAAGGATGTGGGCTAATCGTGTGCGATTGCTGATGCAAGGAGCTTTGGAGTAACCCATCTACCGAGCCTAGGGCTCTTCAGTACCTGGTTATCTACGCAACGACTAGATATATGAAACGAATCAGCTTCAGCGGCTCTAGGGAATTTTACTGGAGTCAGAATCTTTTGCATTGAGCAGAGTGAGCTGTCCGATAAATGAAATCCGTAATTCCGATCGCTTGTAGCTGTAAGTGTGCAATCGAAGTGAGACTAGTCGAATGTAGTCGGCGTAAGTGATTCCTGCATTCGAAAGTCTCCGAAATGCAAGCCGTGAAGTATATGTATTTGTGACAGATGTCTAGCATTGAGAGTATCTTGCACTTAGCGCGTGGTGGGCCTCTGAGTGATCGTCTTGTTAGTCAGTGTGCGAACGAACAGCAAAGACTGTAGCAAGACAATCCAGGCCCTCTGAAGTACTTAGGCAGCAACCGCTGAGATCACAAATCGTGGTCCTTGGTAAGCGTACGACTCAGCAATGTGTAAGCGTGGGATGACACAAGCTCGCTGGTCTTTCAAGTCGCTACTTTGTGATGCACGAGGATCCAGGTCACACTTTTATACGATTCGTAAGCAAGCTTCATTTTCACTCAAGATGGAATCGTCAATGATTGCCGAGGAGTAAACCAAAGACCCAGCAAGGCGGCAAAGTACACGGGCAGATTCGCTGACACACGAAAAGGACATACTGCAGAGCAACCGACATTGTGATTGGCTGCGCAGACACGGAAAAATGTGTAATTCGCAAGTGTATCCATATTCAGGAGTCTGAGCAAAATGTGCACTTGTAGGTTTTATTGCGCTGCATCCAATGATGCGAACCAAGGCAGCAGTTCAGTGTTCGAGGCGCAAATGCGACGCCTTGGTGATGAGCACAAAACCGAGGGGATAATGATGATAGATTATTCAGGGTTTCAGTACTCACAAATCAGAGCCGCTGTACAATCATGATAGAATCCAAGGACGATGAAGTCTGGGGTTTGATGTGTCGATGAATACCGTGCGCTGACGTAGGGCTTGGCACGTGGGGCTGAGTTTCGCGACGTGACACCTTGCGAACCCTGGATACGCTTAGACCTCCACACGCTTCAGGCGTGCATTGACCCGCAACTCGGGACACCATGTCGTCTCCTGTATTATCATGTGCACCCTTCGGTCTCCGTGACGATGGATGAGGATTCGGTCCACTTTCGAAATCTGACTTGCCTCTCCTAAGCAGCACGTTGACAACACTCAGCACAGCTCCATCTTACTGTTTGCAGATCTGCAAAGCCTCCCGACGATGGCAATGCTAGAAGTAGACTCCCCGAGAGAGTCGAGTGAAGAAGAAGGCCTTCCATACCTTGACCCAAGTCCGCCGCTAGAAACGACAAAGCCATGGGTGATTATGCTGGTGCTGGCCTTCGTCCTCGTAGCCATTATCGACATGGGCGCTTTCCTCGCCGAAGCCCCTCGAACACGCGTTTACGAAACCAATATCTGCCTCAGCTATTATCGAGAGATAGAACCTTCAGTCATTGGTCCAGACGGAGCAATACCCGAGAAGTTGTGCAAGGTGGACGACATACAGCAAAGGATGGCTATGATCTTCGGCTGGCAAGACATGTTTGATGCAATACCAAGCATTTTTCTGGCGATACCGTTCGGTGTGCTGGCAGACAAAGTAGGAAGGAAGTGGATCTTCACTGCGAGCCTGATGGGCTTACAGTTGAACAGTGCTTGGGTGCTAGGCATTTGTCAGTATTCATCCAAACAATACCGACCAGGGCGATGTTGACGACTTCAGGCTACTTCAAAGATCTGCCACTCGAGCTGACATGGCTTTCTTCAGCCTTTTACTTCATCGGCGGCGGACCCATTGTTGCAGCAGCTATTGGCATCACCATGATATCGGACATTGCGCCACCTGAGAAGCGAACCACCATCTTCTTGTACCTGACTGCTTCGGTTCTCATCGCCGAGATTATAGCGCCAATAATGTCAGCTCGTCTCATGGAGAGTGGAGACTGGTACCCTCTCGTACTCGCACTTATCTTTCAGCAATGTGGGGTACTCCTTGCTGTCTTTTTCCCGGAGACCTTGCACATGCGCGAGCATCCAAAGCACGACGAAAGTGCCGCGAGAGCAAGCCCAGCGACGGCGAGAAACCACGCGTTTAGCCCAGGGCAGCAAATTCGGCATTTCCAGGATGCGTTCCAATTCCTCAAAGGCGACCGGACGTTGGCATTGGTTGTATTCACTTTCATGGCGAACAGACTTGGCCGGCAGGGTATTACTCTACTCGTGCGCTATGCTTCGAAGCGGTACGAATGGGAGATCAAACAAGCGGCATATCTTTTGTCCTTTCGTGCGGCTACGAACTTGGCGGCTGTAGCCATTTTCCTGCCTCTCACTAATCACGTGCTACTAAAGTATGTCAGACTACCAGCACATTGGGCCGACCTGTGGATCGCGCGCGGCTCCATAATTCTCACTGCTATCTCGTTCCTCATTATCGGTCTTGCAGCATATCCAGCTCTTTTAATTGTCGGCCTGCTTGTCTACAATATGGGCACAGGCTACAACGCCGCAATGCGTTCGGTGTCAATACACGTTGTTGGCGGTCAGTCAAGTCCCAATATCGGCAAGTTGATGAGTACCATTGCAATAGTTGAGAGCTTTGGTGCGCTAGTCGCTGGTCCCTTGCTCAATCAACTGTTCCAATGGGGGATGGCTCTCGGCGACGTGTGGCTTGGCCTGCCATTCCTGGCTGGTACGCTTGTATTTGCTGGTCTTTCCTTCGTCACTTTCAAAATTGATGTGAGTGACAGAGAGGCCGAATACATCGAGGTTCAGAGTGACGATGTCGACGAAACGATTGAGTTAGAGGAAAGAGCGAGCACATCCGCTCTCGACCATGAAGTCCTTCATCGATACTCGACATCCCGAGACTCTGTGCATCTCCTACGCTGAAGGCAATTGAAGTAATTTCTTGCAAGAGTGACCCATTCAATATTTGTGAGGGTTAAGCACTTTCTATCTTCATCAAACGCGGCTTCTATCTGGTGCACATGCAACACGGCGCTCTTACTCTGTATGAAAGTAAGTGCGAGTGCGACAACAATCTTAACATCCGCCGCAGTGAGCAGGGCAACGACGAAGGACTTGTTTGGCCACATTACCCACATGCGCAAACTCCAACATCTCGATAGACCTCGGTCATATCTAGTCAGCACCTCTTTAGCAGAGCTTTGCTACGTTGGACTGTTTACCGCTTTGCATCACCGTCGGTTCATTTTAAGCTTCTTCAACGATGCTTGCACGCGCATCCAGCGACGCCGGTATCCGTCTCCGACGATCCAAGTCCACCTCAACTGTCCACCGACACGGCCCACCTACCATCGAGCCCTTGGATCCCGACGTAGCGCAACATCATGCCGTTGCTGCTGCCAGTGCAGCATTCATTCGATCTCAAGCTCAGGACAACACTGCGCGTCGAGCAGACCGAAGCGTTGAGCTCGGCCGCAGCAAGAGCACTGCAAGTCGAAAGTCACTCACGTCGCCAGGCAGCCATTTTCCCCCGAGGGAACTTAGCATTCGGCCTGTACCACCGGGAAAGAGTACGCAGTCGACCAATACTCACCGTAATTCCACATCGTCTGCGCCGCACATGGAGAATCATGCCTTCTTCGACCCGCCCACCAGGGATAGACCGACATCAGCAGCACGTCCCTTATCGAACCAACCCTCGGTCATCTTGAATGAGTTTGGACGTCCTACTTCTCAGCCGAAGTCGCACCGTAACAGCGCAGCACCATCCATCACATCGCAACAAATCAGGAAAGCACGTTCTATGTATTACGCCAGCAGCGTTCAGACTGGGTCACCTATCGCTCGACCTCCAGCCAAGTACCTTGGTGCTTCCCCAACGAGCATGCCCTCTGTTTTGAGTACTGCACCGACCGCTTACGTTCCAAGTAGAGGCATACCTCCCTCTCCGCTTGCATCGCCACATGTGCCTGTAGCCTTGACTTCAGGTGAGACAATCGAGATCGCTCGGGACAACTGTCTGCGAGACTTCCAACAAACGTCGATCAAACACAAGCCATCGCTCTTTCTAGCGCCATTCAAGAAGAGACAGGACAGATCGAAGGACAAGGCCAAACGCCTCTCGTCGATCATCACATCTGTACCATCTGTAGACTGTAACTTCGTGGGAGACACAGCGCTCGACGTCACTGTGAGCGACTTCATGCCACCGCCAGATACAAAGGAGAGACGATCTTTCTCTGGGTCGCTGAAGAAGAAAATCAAAAGAGTATTCAGAAGGACATCCAACAAAACGCCCAGCCTTCCAGTCCAACAGATTGAAGCCAGCCGCGAGTACTTTGTCAGCTCGTCAGCGCCAACTGCAGATAATCATGGCAATATACCAAGCCCTAACGAGGAATTGCTTCAAACGACACGATCTCGAACACCTTCATCTAACGGAGGCCATCTACACCCTATGCGATCAGGGTCACGTAGTAGTAGCAAAGGCAGTACTCACAGTAATCGCAGCCTCCACAGCGAGACCATGCAAACGTCTGCGTCACGGGTTACGAGCTGGGGTACTTCGGCCTCCGGAGAGACGCTCACACAACGCGCAATCAAGCGGTTGACGGTGATACATGAATCAAAAGACAGTATGGGTAGTATCACTGATAGGCTAGCGTCCACTTCCACGAACAGGAAATCGTTGGGTCTCCCAGCGTTCACAGCCTTCGAAGACCCCATGCCGATGCAGAGCCTAGCAGAAGAGGCTTCAACGCCACCTGTTGACCCAAAACGTGTCTTCTCGGCTCTAATGCGTGAGATCGACGCGTCCAAATCTGCCGGAGCTCCGATTGATCTTTCAGATCGCACATCAGGCGCAGAGAGCGATGTGTTCGAGTCGAGCAGAACAAAGGAATTGCACTCAACCACTGAACAGACACACCCCACTGTCAGTGAATGCTGTGAGCAAGAGATCGGCCATGAGCGGGCGAGTTCAGGTCATCGCCGTGGGAATGCAGCTGCGTCAAGAGGTCCGTCTAAGAAAAGCTCAATCAAGTCTTTTGGGCAGGCTATCAGATCCACAATACGCACCGTGACGCCAGGGGAACAACGGCCTGCGCGCCGTCTGGACGGGATGTCAAATACCCAGCCACATGCGGACACGCCATCATCAGGCGCTTCATCAAGGTCTCCAAATGATCAAGAAGATCGTACAGCAATGTTCATGAACTTTCGACTTTCCAAGAAGAAGTGGGTTCTCGCTGCTTATACGACGATATGGCACTCTACAGTGTTAATCCTACTAACGTGCATCAGAAGTGCAACACTTTCCCAAGATACCTCAGTTGTAACTTTCACACCGACCGCGGAGCAAATCGAAATGCGAGTGGCGAAGGCCAAGAATCGATGGCAGACACCTCTAATCGAGAGCACGACACTCCAGTTTCCGCGTGAGACAGATCGACTATACACGGTAGTTGACTTGGCTCACCAGCGATCTCTGGAGAAGGCCGCTGCAACCAGTGAGGAGGCTACGAGCTCACAGTCCCCTGTGTTGCAGCTACCGAAACTCACACAGCTGCCTATGTCTCCTAGTATCTACTCAAGGAACACCGATGGGGCCAGCATCCTTCCTAACGACAGCGTGGTGTCTTTCACAGGCCGTGAAACTATTCCTCAGGGAGGCTCGGCAGTCATCTTGACCAGCCAGTCTGTACGAAGCTATGTCATCGGTACTCCATCCCCAAATCGGCCAAGTTCAACTCATTCCAGTCGTGACTGGAAGGCTTGGCTGTCGCATGAAGTTTCCGGAATCGAGAGCATCAGCCAAGAGGACATCACAATCCGCGGACAATACACAACGTCGTCTCAACAACGCAAATCCGACTTGACTCCAACTGTGCATACCTCGCAAACGGGATGTGACGACACGACAGTCATCGTGCGAGAGTCCTCGGAGACATCGACACCTCGAGTACGTGCGTTTGTACCGAGTATGCTTGATGCAGAGCAGCAAGTGGACAGGTTGCCTGTTTCACAGGATTGTTTGACCCAGATCACGGCGGTGCCAAAAGTAATGCAACCCTCGACTTCGGAAAGTCAAGATACGCGTCAAACGTGCATCCCCGACAAGACCACAACGGAGAAGTCATTATCAGGTCCTGTCACAGTGACTCCTCCCTCATATGCGGGCAAAAGCTGTTTGAAAACACCACCGAGTAGCGAATCTGCTGCATCGCAGCCTCCACTTTGTACGCCTGGCACTTCACGTATGAATGAGCGTTTTCCTTTTCTCGATACTGAAAAGCGATCGAGTAGCAACAACTCAAGTCGGTCACGTAAATCAAAGTCGCCAACTAGCAGTTTCGGATTCTCCCAGAAGTCACCGTTGGAGAATCTTAGGCCCCAGACCATCTACTCGGACATATCTGCTCCCGCGACGGGCTGTGTTACAGCTGTTCCGCCCTCCTTTACCGCGAACAGTGCCGAGACGGCGCAGAAGAGCAAAGAAAATATCACACCGCCGTCGCTAGGTGGCCACAGAAGACCGAACATGGCGCCCCTCGCATTCGTTTCACAACATAAATCACTACAGCCACTTTCGCCATCGAGTTCGCACCGAAGTTGCAACAGTGTGATGGAACACGGTGTAGACGCAGCAACTGAGAACCAATCGAAGCGCGCCTCGAAACCAGCCGACACGGTAGTTGCACGTCCCAGCTTACGCATCACCATACGACCGTTATCACCCGAGAAGCTTTCACGGCGCCCCAGGAGTGCATTTGATCTGCGTAATACACCCTCGCCCCGTCCAGCATCGGAACTCTTTCGCACTACGCTGCCGTCGAAGCCGTCTTCACGTTTATCGGTCCGAGATCCTCACCCAACCCTTGAATCAGAGGCACACATGCACACAACGCCTGAAACGTGCCAGCCCGATGGTAGTGTAACACCTGGTCAACGGATGGCTGAGCGCTTCCTGAAGGAGCGGAAGAGCGCCACAGTACTTGAGCGAGGAGTCAGGAAGAGTGCTGGTAAGCTTGTTAGGGAGGATACACCAGCATTTCTTTGATTTTCCCGGATGCTACTTGCATGTATCTACTACGTGGGGGATGTTGTTTAATGCGCATGGGGTTTTTTGGACAGGAAGTTGTTTTATATGGCACGGCTATGATGGACACAGTGTATCGTATTTTCCATAGCGTGATAAATTAAGGCACACTCTTTTACGACGAACCGGCTCAGACATACCAAGATCGTTTTTGCTATCATCTTCAGCATTTTGAATCAGGGAACGCTAGCCGGGTCGAATATGACGTGGTGAGCCATCCCACTATGTTATCACAACATCCGGGCGCATGCAACATAGGCAGAATGATACGGCTACATGATCATCGCCGTTTCTGCTCACCTCGGCTATCTCAAATCGTGACGGGCCTCTAGTCGTTCGCAGGTGTTATTCGAATGTCCGCTACCTAGTGTATGATGACCTACCATTCCAACACAGAACCACCCACTGTCTATCAATCGAGTCAACCCATTGCGTACAGCCGGGCTGTGCCATACTAGCGCAACAAAACATGCTTTGAACTCCTGTTGCCTATCAGATTAGACTGGCGATATGTTTTTCCAGACCATCGAAGTCTTCCATTCCGCGCTGCCCAGGTATGGCTCTGTGTTTCGCGGCTGTTGCAAGGCGTGAAGTCGTTCGCAATGCTGGCTGCATGCAGTTATCTGCCCATCCACGGAAATCTGCGCCTATACAGCCGACCCTCGAGGACAGCAGTCACCGGTGGATCGTGAATGTGCAATTGGTAAATGACAGATCTCACCGTCGACACCTCCGTGTCGTGCTCACATATTCCGCCCTCCGTCGCTGCTCGTCCCAGTATCGGTCTTGGATACCGTCCACCGATCGAGCAGGATGTCCACGATATCCATCGGCTGGGTGTCAGTGTCGTCGTGCTTCTCCGTGTCCATCTGCTTTTCAAGCTTCGTCCTTCGGCTAGGACTGCTCTCGCGCTGCTTGTCCGTCTTGGTCTGCAGGCTGTATGGACTCTCCCTGTTCCGATCCGTGTACGGCTCCTTCGCACCCTTGCGTCGCTTACTCCTGCCTTCCCGTACGATTATGATAGGCTCGTGAGGGCCAGTCGCGCCTAGCAGCGGGACGCGCTCTGTCGAGCCATCTTGTGGCTGCGGCGTGACTGGGCCGCTGAGAGAATGCGAGCTGCCGTGGCGACTGATGCGGTGGGAGTCGCGCTCCATGTTTCTCTCTCTTCCAACATCGCTCTGCAGTCTGCGCTCGTTATTCCTGGCTTCGCTCTCCCGTCTGCTCTCATCTACGTGCTCGCGTCCAGTCCCGCACTCCGGTATCCACTTCTTTCTCCTCCCGACAACACTCTCTTTCTTATCTTCATAACCGTATCCTTCGTCTATAAACTCCCGTGCACGCTCGCCCCTACGCTGTCGTCGGTGCTGCAAATCCAGGTCCCGTTGGGCCTTGATCTCGGGCTCGCTGCAGCTGTCGCTCTCGTCCCCGTTGTCCCGTCGAGCCTCGCGCTCTTTCTCTGGTCGAGGCTCGCTATTTCGTTGGGACTCACCCTTGTCGCTGAAATAGTCTTCCACAACAGCGCGCACCTGTGTCATAGAATTGCGCCGTGTGCGTTTCCCCGCACTCTGCCTGCCCGGAGGGGTTGGTTCGTCGTGTAAGCGGCTATCAGCGGCGGCGGTGTTGTGGGTGATCTCTAGGCGTCTGCCTTCCATTTCTCTGCCTTCCCATTCCCTCCTTCTCATCCTTTCTCTTTCTCTTTCTCCGCCCCTGTCCCTTTCCTGCATTTCCCTCCTTTCCCTCCTTTCTGCTCTTTCACTGTCCTCTTTCCCCTTCCGCCTAGCCGCAGAATTCGCGGCAGCAGTAGCAGCAGCAGCCGCCGCAAACACACCTTCACTCCTCTTACTCCCCTCCGCCCCGCGTTGCGTCTCAACAACACTCTGCCCATCTTCGTCTCCTGCCCGGGCGAGCGTACCTTTGCGATGCACGAACAGTTCCTCTTCACTATCTCTCTTGTGAAATGCCCGTGTGCTAGGGTGCTGCGTCTTTTGTGACTGCCGGATGAGCGCATCGCTCCCTTCGACCGCAGACATGTCAGCGCTGTAGCCATACCCCCTCACCCTCTGTTCTCCCTTTATATCCCCTTCGTCGTCGTCGCTGTACCCATACTCCGGCATGGCGCTGTCATCACCATGTCCGTGGCCCCTCCCCACTTCCCACCGCACCACCTTAACGGTCTCTTCATCTGTTCTGACGCGGGTCTCCCCTACTCGCGGGGCTAGCGTCGACGTATCGGTTGAAGTATGGGACCTCGAGTATGGATCTCGCGGCGCATGAAGCCGGTCTCGCGCCCCTGTTGTCTGCGGCCGGCGGATCGGAGGTATGCAAATAGGCGACAGGGCGGAGTGTGCCCCAGCCCTGCCATTGCCGTCGTCGTCAGAGCTCCCCAGGTCCCGCGATGACCGGGCTCGGAACGCGCGCGCGTCGTAACTCGCAGTGGACACGGGGATGCCTATCTGTGTCTGCGGGTATGCATGCTTGGAGTACGTAGATGTAGACTGGTAGGGTGGTAAGGGTACATGCGACGGCGTGTCAGTGTATCGGCGCGCATATGCAGGCGCGGGGCGCGACGGAGGTGGAGACTGGCCAGCACGTGTACGCTCGTTAGTCCTCACAGCCCGCTCGCCTCGGCCATCTGCCCTAGAGCCCCCAGGTCGGACAGACGGCCGAAACTCGCGGTATCGCGCCGAGCCAGGCACGAGTGACGGTCCATTGTGACGAGGATACGACGGCCGGGCGTCTTCGCAGTCGCAGCCGGGCACCATGCACTCCCCCACGTTTCTCGCGTCCCTCCGAACGAGCGTGTGCTGTGTTGCGCCTCGTTCGTGGTGCGAGGCGTGTGAGTCGCTGCGGGACAAAGGGCGGGGCGTGGCGGAGGAGGGTTGTGTGCTGTCCCGGCGGACATGAGGCCTCTGTGCTGAGACCTTTAGCTGTGCGTCATCCAAAGGTGCCACATCAATATTCGCCTCGAACTTGCGGCAAAATCGCTGATAAACTTTGTTCATCCTTCTCTTATGGTGATGCTGCACCGTCTGCCCACTTTTAAGCACCTCCTGCATTGCCACGATGCGTTTGAGTAGCTTCTGGACCTGTGCTGCACATGCAGCAAGGTCGGCAAGCGTTAAAGGAGAGGCTTCACTGATTGAATGTGCGTCGTCCGGCGTCATTGCGTCGCTATCAGATGTGTCTGGGCCGAGGTTTGCGAAGAGGTCTATTGCGAGGACATTTTGGTGCACTTGTTCGTTAGCCATGGGGGCTGTGTGCACCGCTGTCGATATGGCGGCGGTGGTTAGACGCGGTGATGGTGGGAAGCGCGGTAACGCGATGTCATCCGCGCAGAGTTTGCGCTCGAGCGCTTTGAGGATCTTGAAGGAGTCTTGCTGCTGTTGGTGGAGTTCGCGGATGTTCTTCTTCTGTTCCTCCAGATACGCAACTTCGACATCTCTGCCGTGACGTTAGCAGAGTCTCCCAACATATGCCGGCACGTACCCCCTAGCTTTGTCTTGTGCCAGCTGCAGCACATGGAAGAGAACCAGAAGGCTGCTCTTCAGCGTCTCCAGCCTCCTACGTAGAAGTTCGACGCGCTGTTCCTTCATCGGCCAGCTGATCTTTGCTCTGAAACCAATGCGCGATCGCCCGTCTTTGCCTGTTTTTCGTGCCTTGTCGACAACCTCAGACAGCTCATTGAACACCTCCTCACACTGCGTGATGAGCGTTCTGGCGTGCTGGACGGCATCCTGGTTCACCAGCCTTTTTGCGCCATCGGCTCCAAGTACCTTGCCCACATTTCCGAGAACATTTGAAGTCACCTCAACGTCGACGGCGATATGTGTGATGTCAGAGTCGGCTCGCGAAGCAGTGTTGATGAAGTTGTACAGCTCAATCGAGAGTTTTGCGCCTGCGCCGCCAATCTGAAGGACGCTGGCGGCAAGCCCCACGACCTCGGCCATTGCGACTCGCGGATGCTTGGTGATGTGGACAGAGGGATGTCAGAAGACAGGCGGGGTAGCTGCATGATATGAATGTGGCTGCAGTGAGGCTGAGTTGGTGTTCAGCCCCCACGAGCAGATCCATGCAAGTCGCCATTCGCAGGTTAGTGCTGCTGACGGTGGAACATACATACTTGGGCCACTCGGCAGTGAGAGAAGTCGAAATGACGGATGCGATTGAGGCAGACTACGCTGTGGGTATATAACCATGTAGACAAACATCCGTACCATGCAGTAAAAACACGCGCGATAAAGGTCAACCAACGTACTTACGCGCCTCGCGCCGGGCTGTTCGCGCCCTTGTTGATGAGGCCGGAGAAGAAGGACATGAGCTTGTCGTTGCTCATGGCGCTGGGGTCGGATGCATCGGGGGTGGATGCTTTCGGCTCGTTGCTGCGGCTGGCCTCGCGGTCTTGCAGGCGCTTCACCATCTCGTCGGCGTTGACATGGATGCCGCCCATGTTGAACTGCACGGGCCCGATGTGCTCCTCGACGATGCCGGAGGTATCTTCGCTGGCTGTCACGGCTGCAGTCCAGTTGCGTGCCGAAGGGTCGGCCTCTTTGCGCGCGGCCTTTTGGGCAGCGTCTTTGTCGTCTTCTTGCCGGAGCTGGTCGAGCACGTGGACTTGCTCGGTGAGGAAGACTTGCGGGTCCATGCTCGTGACCTCGACACCGTTGCCCTGTTTCGACAGGGTCGAGAGAGCAAAGTCGGACTCGGGGTTTCTGATCTCCTTCTCGTAGATGGCGGTCGCGGAGTCGGTGTCGTCGGTGCCATCTGCACTGATCAGAGACGAGTTCTCCAGGACGTGTGCGTCCTCGGCATCGTCGTGGCTGCTGACGGACGGCTGCGCCTGGGGCACGTCGATGTCGACACTCCACTTCTGGCTGACCTCCTCGACCTCGAAGTTGCCGCGCAGGATGCGGATCTTGGCCCACGAGTCCCAGTTGGGCGGCACCAGCACGCGGTCGCGGTCGGTGACGTTGTGGCGCAGCTGGTCCTGCTTTAGCAACGACTTGATGCCCAGGGTGGAGTGCACGAGGGTCTGCAGCGAGCCGGGGGCCGAGGGCATGGTGTAGATGAGGCTGCCGCCGTGCTTGAGCAGGATGGTGCGCAGGTACTGCAGGATGAAGTCGAACTCCTCCTCCTTCCAGCCGCGCTCCTTCTCCAAGGCCTCGATCTTGTCGGCGTTCTGGCACACGACGCAGAGCGGCAGGCCCAGCTCCTCGTCCCACTCGCCGGGGCCGAGCGGGATCTTGACGGAGTCCATGGCGGCGGTGGCGTCGCCGAGGTGGCGCCCCTTGTCCTGCAGCGTGGCAATGTTGTCGTGCAGCACGTCCTTGGAGGCGTCGTCGAGCGACAGGATGAGCGAGCGCAGCACGCGGATCCAGTCGCGCAGCTGGCGGATCCACAGCCAGGGGTGGTTCCAGTCCAGCAGCACGACGACGAGCATGTTGGGGATGGAGCGCGGGGTCAGGTAGGGGCGGATGAGCGGCGTGAAGGCGGGCGACGGCGAGGCGAGCAGGTACAGCGAGAGGCGGGCGAGCGTGTCTGCGAGGGGAGGGTCAGCCAGGGTCAGTATGCATGTGGTGTGTGAATGCAGTGGTATATAGCCGTGTATGGCTCGGTCAGGGTATGCAGTAGTATGTGTGCCGTGTGTATGTAATGGTGAATAGGCGTGTATGGCGCAGCAGTATATGTGCCGTGTGTATGCCGTGGCATATAGCCGTGCATAGCTCGGTCAGGGTATGCGTGCACTCACCCTCGTGATCCGTGTCGAGCACATCCTGGTACGTGTAGCCCAGGGCGAACTGATTGGCGACGGGCGGCTTCTTGCCGCGGTCCTGCTGGCGGCGGCCGCTGGGCCCGTCGGTCGCCACGGCGTCGAGGAAGTCGCGCTGCGTCTCGGGGGTGCCGCCTGGGCTGTTAGCTGCGAGCCTCAAGCTTCACCGCGGCGGGGGCGGCGCACCTAGCACCAGCAGGCTCTTCTCGGGCAGCCGCTTGCCGCTCGACATGTTGTCCAGCATCGGCTTCCATATCTCCTCGCGCTCTGTGTCGCGGCTGGCCGGCCGCTCGTTGCTGGCCGGCGCCCGCGTGGGGAAGCCCGACGTGCGGCGCGCGCTGGCCATTGCGGGCGGACGGGCGGGCGGGGGCGGGGCAGGGCAACAGCAACAGCAACAGACGCGGACGGAGGGCAGGCAGGCAGCGAGGTCGAGGCGGCGGCGCGCAGGCAGGCGGGCAAGGCGGGGGGCGTCGTGTCTGGCGGCGTCGTGTTTGGCGGCGCTGTTGACAGCGCTGGCTGTTTTATTGCAGGGGTCCCGCGCGACCTGCAGCTGCCGCCAAGCACCAAAAAGTCACCTCCAGCACCGCACCACACCGCGCAGTCGCCCGCCCCGACGCCCGCAATGAACTCGGTGCGCGCCATCCAGCAGCTGAACAAGCGCGAGCTCGAGGCCGGCATCAGCCCCGAGGGCTCGTGGCACACCGACTACCGCGACACCGCCTTCGTCTACATTGGCGGCCTCGCCTTCGAGCTGTCCGAGGGTGACATCATCGCCATCGCCTCGCAGTATGGCGAGCCCGTGTGGGTGAAGCTGGCGCGCGACAAGGAGACGGGCAAGTCACGTGGCTTTGCCTGGATCAAGTATGAGGACCAGCGCAGCTGCGACCTGGCCGTCGACAACCTGGGCGGCGCGACTATCCTGGACCGCGTCATCCGCGTCGACCACGCGCGTTACAAGCCGCACGACGACGAGGACATGCGCGACAACACCTACGGCGACGTGGATATGGGCGGCGACGACGACGACAACCGGAGGGGAAGCGAGTCCGACGACGATGACGACCGGCCCATGTTGCCGGAGGAGCTCGAGCTGGAGCGCCTCACCGAGAAGCTGGACCTCGACGATCCTATGCGCGACTCGATGATCAAGCAGCAGCAGGAGAAGGTGGATGCCGCCGTCGCCAAGCTGAAACGCAGGGCGCGCAGGGAGAAGGAGAGGAAGAGCAGGCATCGGCGACACCGCAGAGACGGCTCGAAAGACCGCCATCGAGACCGCGATAGCAAGAGGATCAAGGACGCGGAGCACGACCGCCACGACCGCCGCTCGCGACACAGGGACGACAAGGCGTCGGACGACGACCGCCGCCACAGGAGCTCCAAGCACAGAAGCGTCTCAGAGGACAGAGACAAGCACCGTCGCCGCGACCAAAGCCGAGACCGACGCGACCGCAGTGAGGACCGTCGCCGCGACGAGAGCCCAGATCAACGCGACCGTAGCAGGGACCGTCGCCGCCGCCACAGCTCATCCAGCGAAGACAGGAGATCAAGGTCAAGCCGCTCACCATCTCCATACCGCGAGCGCTGAACGTCACCCCTTAAATCGAGTCTCTTATCAAAGCTGTTGCCGGGGTGCGCGTCGTAGTGTTTGCGACATCGACTGCACCACTTGACCACGGCCCCGCGACTCCAACACCGTTCATACCTGCTGCAGCAGAGCCCGGCAACGCCAGCTTGGCTGCCGACAGATCCCGCGCAAGCACGTGGCGATGAGGAAGCTGTGCATGACCATTCCATTGCGCTGCAAAGGCTGTGCTGATGGTCCAAAAGGCGAGTGTTGAGGCTAGTGGGCATCAGCGAACGAGAGAAGCATGCGTCGATGAAGGGCGCAAGCGATGGGTCACTGTGCAGCGCCGGACTGCGCGGGGTTTGTGGGCCTGTTCAACCTGGAGAGTGTGTAGCGCATGGGCAGAGAATGCAACACATGTATATCAGATACCAGCTGGATGTCGTGCAGAACAATTCATAGCCATCTGCGTACCGTACAGGCACGCCAACAAACCACCCAGCACCTTCGTAGCATTCAAACCAACCTCATCGCAGCTAAGAAGTCGCGGGGCTCCTACTAAACACTAAACATCTCTGCTGGCGCTCACCCTCTGCTAAGAAAGCGTTTTGACAAATTGACAACCGCTCCTGCCTAATCCTGCCTTCCGCCACGTCGTTGGCTGGACGTGCCTGCAGATGCGTGCAGCACCCACCTATGTGTACAACGCCTTGTCTTTGCCTTGCCCCGTACTCGCACATGAATTGATTGTGAGACAAGAGCAGCATGAGCATGCTCGAATCTCACCTCATCGCCCACATATGTATTCGACTGTGACCGAAGCAAAAAAAGACGAGTCGATTCGAGGAAGTTGAACGCCTGTATGCCGCAACGTTGACTGAATTGGCATCGTTTGAACATACGTTCGAGCATGCTGTGTGTTTGCGGGAAGACAATGCTGATGGAACGTGGTCTGGGGCCGAGGCATACAGTACGTCAGCGGTAAGTAGTCACTGTGTTACAAGACTTTGCAGCAGCTAGCTGTTAACAAAACATAACCTACAGACGTATACAAAATATCTCAGCTTTAATATTAGCACTTTATTGTTTAGTCTGGTGTGCTTCACTATTACTTGCAGAGAGGTGCTGCTAGAAGAAGAATATTCAAGGATCTACATTGATTACTTACCACTGCTATATACTGTAGACGCGCGCGGTGACAAAGCATAAGAGAACAAAAGAAAGCATTAAGGAAGGAAGAGGATGCAAAAAAGATGACACGAGCGTCAAAAATGATTCACGCGAGGTTCGAACTCGCGACCTTTCGCGCATCCCAAACATGTATTTGTGAGGCGAACGTGATAACCAACTACACCAGCGAACCTTTGATGAAAGTTTGTAGTTTCAAATAAACTATAATCTACATTGAATTGTGCGATGCTAAAAGGTCCTCTGTGTGACGAAGTTGGGCGCCGCCCCCACGAATACCATGTTTGACATCTGAACTGCATCAATGTAACGCAGTCCTCCACTGCACCTATGCGCGCAGCGCTTTTGCATAATAGCTGCACTTCAAACAGATTTCCCGTCTCGACATATGCACAGTACTACGCTGTAGCCACAGCGTACTGCGACCGCTGATACGACTGACATGCACATCACAACGTCGTAGCCACAGCGAACTGCCACCGCTAATACAACTGCCGCGCACCACCTCGCAAACCGACCGAAGTAAGACCGCAAGATGTGAGATGTGATACGTGACTACCAGCCGTTCCCGTCCTGCTTAGAAGAGCACCATTCACGACACTGCAAGACAAAAGGAGGGTAAGATAGAGAGATGACGGCCCGGTGAGGGGAAGCTCAGATCCTGTGTGCGTGGTTTGCCGGATCGTGAGCAGCACTGAGGAGCCACCCGAGTGGACGCCAGACAGTGTGGTGTGCATTACGGCTTACGCGGGTGCAAACATGCGCACGATGGAGTATAGGTAGGCAGGTATAAAGTCGGATACTGCATGCTTGACGTTGCTGTGAGATGTCTAGCGGCGTTTGGGCAAACAGTGAGATTTCACATACAGTCACCACGCACACTACAAAATACTTGACTGCGCACCGCAAAATATCACCACAGCACACTCAACATGCCTACCCCCCAAGAAACCCTGCCCTGGACCTCATCTCCTCTTATAATAAACGCTCCAATGGCCGGTTTTGCCGGCGCTGCTCTCGCTTCGACTGTTACTCTCGCCGGTGGCATAGGCCTCATAGGCAGCGCCACCAACCTTACCCAGACACGTCAAGAACTGCTCCATGCGCGCACGGCCCTAGCTGATTTCCCCTCACCCTCGCTGCCTATCGGCGTCGGCTTCCTTCTTTTCGCGGTCGAAATGCACATGGCGCTGGAGCTGGTCACTGAGTTTGAGCCTGCGGTGGTGTGGCTATTCGCTGCGAAAGAAGAGAAGGACTACACGACCTGGACGACAGCGCTCCGCGCCGCCGCCCCGCGCACACGCGTCTGGATCCAGCTCAACAGCGTCAGCGCAGCAGTACGCATCGCACTCGCCGCGAAGCCGGACGCCTTGTGTCTGCAGGGCACGGATGCGGGGGGCCACGGCAGCGAGAATGGAGCCGGAATCATCTCGCTGGTGCCGGAGACAGTTGATGCGTTGAGCGAGGCAGGGTGTGGGGACGTAGGGGTATTGGCTTCAGGGGGCATAGTAGACGGGCGGGGTGTTGCGAGCGCGATTGTGCTGGGGGCACAGGGAGTGGTTATGGGGACGCGATTTCTGGCTGCGAGTGAGACGATGGTGAAACCTCAGGTAAGGGCGAGTGTGATGGAGGCGCAGGATGGCGGTGTGGTGACGGCCAGGAGTCAGGTCTTTGATTTGTTAGCAGGACCAAGCATATGGCCGGAGGGGTATGACGGGCGGAGCTTGGCTGTGAGGAGTTATCGGGAGTTTGTACAGGGTGTGGAGTTGGAGGAGATTCAAAAGAGGTATGGCGAGGCGATGAAAGAGGAGCATAGAGGACTGAAGACCGGGCTCGAGGGGCGCGCGGCAATTTGGGCGGGCACTGGTGTTGGTCTGGTGAAAACAATTGAGAGTGCGAAGGACATTGTAGAGGGTGTTCGCAACGATGCAAGGAAGCGGCTGTCTCTGGCCGCGAAGTATTGATGTTGATGCACTAGAGGTACATCTACGCTTCTTGAGGAGTTCTAAACTGAGCCAAGATCAGTCGAAGGCATCACATTAATCGTGCTTTCCGTAAGACTAGTGCCTACTCTACCTGGGTACCCAAATGCTTACACGCTCTTCGAATAGGCGCGGTCCGCAGACTTCTTCAGCATTTAGCCTCTAGGATCGTTATCTGTTCTTCCAAAGTTGTTCACTTGATATGCGAGATATATCCATGCGAGTCAATAACGTGCATGTTTGAGCGCATCTTTTACGCTTCCATGGACTATATACCGCCTAACAAACGCCATCATAATTCCCCTAGAGGCGGCAGTCCACAAAGGCCATGTCTAAGGTCCTCAGGCTCATTGGAGTGCCTTGAATGATTCGAGGTTCAGCGGCAATACAAGTGTTCTCGAAAATATAGATAAACAAAGTGCTGGCCCGAAACGTGGGCTGTTCAGAGCCATCGCGCTCGATTGGATCAGCCGTGCATCAGTACTAAAGAGAAGGAGGCGGAGGTGGAGGCGGAGGTGGAGGCAGAGGTGGATGAGTGATGAGTGAGAACTGTAGCGCCACGTTACTCTGCATGCAATACAATGATGACCAAGAACGGAATCAACTTCAAAATAACGCCAGACTTGCTTGAGTGTGCGTGACAACGTCAGGAACGTACGATGTACAGCGTCAATACAAAGCCTAGCCTATTGTGCTCAAGAGTGTATGTCTGCCTTTCCACACTCCACTGGATCAACTTCTCAGAGTATCAGGATGTCATGACCACGCTGTAGTCTTTGCGTAGCTATCGCGCTATCCTTGATGCCAATGGACGACGTTTTCAGGGACCCCAAGTACCTCCTCTTGTTTCAACAGCCTGAGAGTACGAAATCGCTGAGGTCATGCATTGTCCTTCAGATCCTCTGACGACGATCTCTTGTCGCAAATGCTAAGGCTGTCCAGAAGTAGACATCAAGGATCTGGTCCATCACTATTCATCTCGTCAGGCAATCACCTTTCATAGAGCCAAGGCGATCATCAGCATCAAGTCTGACCGTACTTTGGGCTTCATAAAATATTTTCGCCACCCTCATAAACAAACGGTCTGTTATGTCGACAATATCAACCCCTGGGCACCAAGCCATGGCCCTTCGGCAACGTGTTCGGCAACTCCATGTAACGCTAAGACGCGCTGGATGCGTGGCAGTACAACGAAAGCAGCTTCAGCTCCGCGAGCATGATCTTGCTGTACAGCGCCGTCGTAGCCGCAAGAACGGGGCCTATTCCGCGCTGCTGCAACCTTCAAGGTCAAGGCTCATCACGCTCATGGCTTGTTGGCCGTATCGCAAGAGACTCCTGCTATCAAGAACGAGGCCATCGAGCTACAGTTCAAAGCTACTCATATGCACACTTCGCAAAGCTGGCGCTACTCAAGCTACCTACCTCGGCCCAAGTGTCACTGTTTATGTTGTTGATGGCCTTCAATGCGCTTTCACCTTTAGTGATCGTCAAGATGCTAAAAATTTGCAAGCTGAAAGGGCCGCTCAAGGGACCGAGGGCAGACTAAAGGTCTCCAGCACTGGATATGACACGCTGTCTCCCGGAGCTATGCATAGACTTGACGACGAAGGAATCAATGGTGCTTCGCGACGTTGTCGGTATGGGGAATCACTTCCTCCTACTTCCGGCTTCGTAGCCAATACAGGCTGTGGGATCTCTTAGCCCCGGATCAGTTTTAGCTGTGATTGAGCGTCAAATCCTACTGTTTGCGTTGTCCGTATCACGGCGAGCACATTGTTGTCGTTTTTGATCCATCTCCGCACCTCAGCGGGGTCGAAGCTCTTCGGTGAGCCTTCGGGCCAGCGCGCAACCCAGGTCTTCGGTGTCGGAGGTTTGCAGATCCGCCGTTGGCTGCAGGTAGACCCAGAAGAGACGTGGTACCATATAGACCATGGAGACTGCACTTTCACTGCTCCGCTTGTGCCTGATGACGTAGTCGGTGAGCGCCTCATCGTACCTGAGGCGTTCGTAGCATACGACTGCCTCACGGGGTCAAGATCAGCGAAGGATCAACAACCTCGTGGGGATGTGTGAAGATGTGCGCTCAGCATCGTGAGTCGTGCCGAGAGACGCCAAATGCGTGACCTGACAGATCGTGATACGGCACCTGCTTGTGGGTGGGGCTGGTGTGTGTTTGACATCTATAGGCTAATAGAGACGCGCGCTACAGGTGGATTTGAGGTTTGGCGGTAATCGATGTCATCGCGTGAGCGGTGTGAGCTTCAGAAGTTCGGCGGAAAAGGAACGGGTAGGGACAGTACGTCTTGTCAGAAAACGCCGAACGGGTTTCGGGTGCCCGAAGAGGATCCGAGCACGAGAATGCGCAAACTTGGAAATGATGTGCAGACGTCAGTGCCCCACCGAACATTGCGACTGTTGGAGACATCGTAGGCTGTCGTGAGGCTGTCGGGAAACCCTGGTTGTAGTTTTGTAAGCTAGCGGAATGTAAGCGAGCGGTTGTTTGGTCACGCTTCTGATTCGCCAGCCTTTGGAATAGCGGTGTAAAGCGGTGAAAGCAATGATAATGTCGCCACGAACGGGGACGTGCAAGTCGTACTCTGGTCGAACTGTTGGGATTGGAGATGCCATGCGGAATTATCGTCGCGCTGGGAACAGGTAGCCGAAGATCAGTGCGGAGATGAAGATTTCTGTGTTTGAGACAGGTGCGGGGAGGTATGCTGTGATTGGCATACCTTTTCACTCGCTTGGTCGCATGGATGGGTACGCCAGAATATCAAAAAGGTAAGCTGAGTGTTCTAGCCAGGTCATGCCCTGATCGCCACCATTTTTCGGGCATGTTGAAGAGGAGGTACTGCAGCTTTGTGCATGAGGCAGGTACGCAAGGTTGAAGATTCGAGGTCCAGATCTCAACATCTCCATATCAGAAACGAGCAAGTAGTACAATGTGGTCACAGTGTCTGTCGGGTGTTCCGAACCAGGGGTTCGCCCAGGGACAACGTGACACAGCCTTGAAGCGATAAGGTTCTGACTCAGGTGATGTGAGCCAGGTTAGAACGTGCCATAATCAATACGCTTCTTCCCTGGTGGTGTTGAAGAAACTGGGATGTTGTAAGCTGAGTTCGGAGGCTGATGGCAACGACAGTCATGTGTCGGTAGAGTCTGCCGGAGGGGAATCCTTCTGATAGTCTTCAGCCGCGCTAGCATCCGACAGTCCTCGAGCAGGTGGTCAGAGAGAGCCTTTCTGCAATCTCAGTGGCTGGGCTGCTTCGTTTACGGGCAAAATTAGAGCAACTTGGCTGGCTGCTCATAAAATGGTGGCTGACCATTGGTCAGCCCTTCTGCGACATCCGATCATATGGTAATCTGCCAGGGCAAGCGCCCCCCACACCAGGTCCGGAGTCGGTGTGCTCAGTGATCCTGTATGTAGCTTGCCATGAGTTGCAAATTGTCATGGTGGACTGCGCCCGTGTCATTTGAGACCTCTATCAATTTTCTTGCTTGTCTATGACTGTTCGACAGTCAAGCTGGGCAGTAGTGCCTATGCTCAGGTAGCCATCATATGTCATGCGGCAGAACGGTGCACGCAAGCGAGTTCGTCACCTTCTTGGGGTACGCGCATGCCAGTCGTGATGAGCGTGAATTGCACCTCCGACGGTTCGTCAGCATGCCCACAGCCACAAGCGAGCTGTGTGCGAGCGTTTTGGGTTGGATGACTTCAACCACACTGGTCCAAGCGGAGGGGTGTGAGAATGAGGCTGGGAGGGGCCTTGATCAGATGTCGTGGTGTCGGTGTGTGCCCCGCACTTAGCGCTGGACTGCTAGTGCCGGTCCTTTTTTCCTCCCTTCACGACCTTCACGACTTGTGCTTTTCGGTTGCGCGACTCGCGCTGGCGCAGAGGTTACGGGCGCTTTGTGTGGATCTTCGATCGACATGACCTGCAGCAACGCTCAGTTCTCCGTGCTGCATTGTCTGGTGGCCAGTGCATTTGAGCATGCAGGCTGCAGGTGCGATGCCCCACTAGTCACCCGGCACCCAATGCTGGGCTTTCGCACCACACCCCTTCGGCCCAAATGCCCACTTGACCTGTCATTCCTCTCCCTGCGCCTTGGAATTCCTACCATTTCTGTCGATAGTGAACCAAGCTTTCCGTGCTGATCCGCTAATGTAGGGTATCCTGGACAAAGCTGCATGGTGGTATCTTCGCTCAGCGCTCCAGTATCTATATAGTCCTGCATGAATCCTCCAGATCTACTTCCAACACCCGGTGAGCTTGAGGAGGAATCCAGGACGCGAAGGGTTACCCGATTTCCATCTCAACATTGTTGCCTCTCGACTCGTTACTCCGTTAGGCAAACACCACCACCTCCCACCTGTCTCACTTCCACTACTGCGCCCTCCTGTGACTCCCAACAAGCACATATAAAAAAGCCCGTAGCCCGCTTTTTCAACTGGCGAATTCAAATCAAAAGTCATCACTTATCTCCCGTCTGTTCACTGAGCAGCGATCGCAGACACCCTGCTTTGCCTAGCATTTACCGGCTGTGAGCCGAGTAAAAAAAGGAAAAGGGATCTGAACGCTGCTGTAATAAAATCCGAGTCAAGTCTTACGCCATCACTACCACTCCGCCGTTCTTCACCTTTCCAAACACTCAAAGACATCATATCAACAATGCCGTCATACCTCCGATCTTCCTCAAGGGCTGTCTCGTTCCCTCCTTGCATCAACAGCGTGGACGTGGGGTCTCCTTACGACGCCGGCCTTCCAGACATCGACGATGAGCCTTTTGCTCACTTCCTAACGCCCCTAAACGAAGAGGACGACCCATACGACCCCATGGCGCTGAGTGCAGGCATAGTCGACGGCCCACATACCAGCAAGGCGTCCAAGTTCAGGTCCAACGTAACGAACAAGTGGGCGCGCTACGTCAAGCAAAATCACACGGAGCTGCACACACGGTACCATGTACCTGCGATACCCGAAGAGGATGAAGAGTCCTTTATGGGACTTGACGACGACCGTCTCAACTACATGCCTCAGTCAATCTCTCATACCTCTCCAAGGATCACCATCACTGAACCAACACGAGGCCGCGCTCAGGAACTTGTACAGCGCAAGGAGCGCAACCGACGACAAAAGACATCACGCACGCTCTCCGGCCAACGCCACTCGTGGCGCGAGCCGAGTCCAGAGCTGTTTACCGTGGACGAGTCAGAAGAAGACGAGGTCCTTGTCCGACGGGCAAAGACACGCAAGGCCAAGGATGGTGCAGAACGCCGGAGGTCAGCAACAAGGTCGAAGTCAAGAGCGAGGGCTGATGTGGCAGACCGAGCTAGATTGTAGGCGGAGATGAAGCATTGCATTGGGTGGCGTTTCATTTGATGTTGTTGCATTTGCAGGCGTTCAGTGGCTTTGACCACATCATATATCCAGCATTGGGCGGCGTTTTCGCATTACTTCGGCTTGCTTGGTAGCATAGCTACTTGCATTGGGCGGCGTTAGGGCGTGAGCATTTACACGGCTGCATGATATGAGCAATGAGATGAATGATAGTCGTCAGTATAGACAGTATGAAATTTTGGTTGTCACTCTGAACTGCCCCCACTCTGACTTTCCAGCTGGATTCCTGCGCGAGTCAGTCCTATCCTTAACCCCACACTTGCACTCGCTAACAATGCACACCATACCTAGCGCGAAGTATTGTGACGTCCATCCCAGCGACTGCGCGCCACCTTTGCATATATGCACCGCGCTTGCCGCTGAACATTATCATTATACCACTCGTGAGAACACAGTCGGTATTCGACATCGAGATCTTGCTGAAGGAGCTTCCACTTCCACAGAACAGCCTACGAAGGATCATTAAAAAAACGCAATGCGCAACTGCGCCTGTCGCCGCGTCCCTTGTCACCTGTCACGGCATGTCTCAGCCATTCTGCGCAGGGCTTCCACCACGGATCCTCCCGCCGAGATTTGAGACTTGCAGGCTGATCCTGATCAGCTTCGCCCTCCACCGCGCGTCCAAATACGGCAGTGAGTGATGGTGTGAACGACCGGGCTATTGTTCGGCGCGACTCCGTCACGAGGAGGCGCAGGTGATGAGCGGTTTCAGGTGCATATTGGGCAAGTCAAGCTGGTACCTCCCACATGCAGGGTGGAAAGTTTGAATAGGTAGTGTGTAAGGGAAGGAGGAGCGATGCGAGGCGCCTTGCGTACGCGCGACGCGGGTGTTCGGCATGGTGTGCGTGAACCCGTGAGTTGGAGGCGTGCAGCGTGTGTCATCCTACATCTCGCCCGGCTAAATGCTGCGGAGAGATGGGTTATACTGAGTTCATCGTTGCTATATCTCCTGCGGCCAAGCTGCGCTATCGATCTACTGCGGAGGTACGAGTGCTTTGGGAGTGTGAGCTTCGCCACGGCAAGCCTCGAGACCAAACGTTCTACAAGACAAGTGCATGAAGACTTCCTGTGAGGGCTGCGCCGGTGGAGCTCGTTGCGCTCCACTGTTGTGCGCTGGACAAGTCAATTGCTGTCGAAGCAGATGTACAGCTCATCACCTCTGCCATGTTCATACTTTTGCCCTGCGCCGGTGCGGGCAGGCTTGCCGCTGTCAAAGTCGACGTACGCCATCGTGCATGGCTTCCAAGCAAATCACGGTACTGTAATCCAGGAAACGCTGCGATCTAGTGAGCGCCAGAGCCCAACTGCACAATGCATCTTCCGTCACTTGCAGATGTTTATCTTTGCTATTACAGTTGGTACTCGCATGTCGCAACGTGGCTGCCTTGCATTGTACAGTACATGATAAGCTAGGATATGCAAGGTGTTGCTTGATCCAGCACGCAGATCGTGCTCGACATGTACCTTACTATTGGCGATCGTCTCGGGCGTTGGCTGAGTCTGCTCGACGAGTAACCTTTGACCCCGATGCGAGAGGGTGCAAGTGCGCGTGCACATCGGTTGTGCGCATTCGCAAATGTCCACTTGCAGTCATTTGTCCTCCCTGCCGTCCAGCCAGGTCGTACAGTTCACACATCTCTTCGCCATCTCGCTGATGTACAAATTGCAGTACCTGCACTTCACTTGCCTCTTCACTATATTGTCGCCACTGGTACTGCTATAGGTCACTGCGATGATCCACAAGCTCACCGCTTTGAGCAGAAACCTGAAGATCTCATCGAAGAACTTTCCCCACGCCAGGACCAACGCGCCATCTTCCGACGCTTGCTTCACAGTGTTGTAACCGTTGCTGATCGTACCGTTGTAGTGCGGTCCTCTACGCAGAATAGCGAATTTCTCGTCGAGGTTGCGGCTTAGGAAGGGTAGGAGCGAGATGACGGGAAGAATGATGTCGGACACAAGCGAGTTCGCACAGGCGGTGAATGCTGCAGCAAGGCTGTTGAAATTCAGCCACCATCAATCGCTTCTGGTCGGATAAAATGACTTACATTAGGCCGACAGCTACCTCGAGCACATTGTCGCGCAGAGCAAAGTTGTTGAAGCTGTCCCACAACCTAAATGTATGATTGCGTGCGCCATTCTCCAGCTCTTGGAGCTGGCGCTCTACGTTCACATAAAGACGAGGCATGCTTTGAAAAGTAGTGATAAATAGGATTGATGTTTGAGAAGGAAAAGGTGACGTGTAACGCACGGAGCCGCGCTAGTTGGCGAGCCTCTGAAACAACCTGGGCTCCTACCTTACACTTCACCTCAGACGCTCTCGATCTGTGTCGTGGCATACTCGAAGAAATCGGTATAGACTCGCAAATCTACCTACATCTACACTGCCCAACTCAGGCGTTAAGATGTGAAGCCGTGTCACAAGTTGAACGCTTCCATGACAGCATATATAGGTTTGTAACGTTAACGTGGAGACTTCATGGGCGAGAAGCATTGTCATCGTTCGGATCAAGATAACCATATACTTCATGACAACAACAAGCTCAATCGACGACTACCTTCACCTTCTAGTAAATGGGACTTGGTTCCGGACACGATACGCGCGTCTGCCGACATCTCGGGTACTTTAGTCGAAGCATCCTCGTTTGCAACAACGGGAGGGATCTTGAGTCGGTACACATGCACGTTACATGGCATTACCGACAATACCGCTGGAAGGCCGAAACTATTCTGGCTGCAACCTCACACTCTCCCACCACGCAGGATAAACGGCAGACTAAGGATCCCTAGATATGGGCCAAATATTCCACCACGCAACAATTAAGCAGGGCGAATGCTAAGAATTCTATGGAATGTTTTATACCTACAATGTAGGTAAGACCTAAAAAGGCTTCAGCTAATGCTGCTACAAGAGCTACAAGTTCTATGTTTGAGATGGTCGGCTCGATAGTCGCTTATCCGCCGTTTTCCCTGAAACGTGATAGACACCCTCTACCTCGCCGCACTGTCAGGGAGTATTTGCCGCCACACATCATGCCGCCGCTCAATTACGATATCGAGCCAAAACATCCGACGGTACGTGAGAGATTCAAACTCTGTCGAGCGCCTACTGACCACATCAGGATCAGCGCAACGTGAACCACCCGATGGAACAATTTGTGATGCAATCACGAGCAGGATGAATTTCACAACCTGCAAACGCGCAATCTTAGTAACAGCTGTGGAAGTGTTGGAAAGGAGCCGCAATCACGAATACGCAAGCTTCCTGGCGTTGAGACAAATGCTCCACCGCGCAACTATCGCAATTGTGGAGACCGATGGTGAATCTGGGACGTGCCTTCCCGCTCCTGGCACATTCGTCCTATCAGATTCAAACCATGGGTCGGCGACCCTTCATCTACCGAGAAACTCAGATAGAGGCAACGCATCGAAATTGAACCCATTACTCTTCAGAACGATTGCATCGAATGGAAAGGCGAAGCAAAAGCCGAATGCGGACATCTCCGAATGTAGTGCCATCCATCGCGTGTACAAGCAATGAATGCCACTGATTGCGAACTATCCCAATGACAGTATTCTGGAACGACGAGAAGAGCCGAGCAGCCAAGCGCCCAAGTATAAGTGGGCGTTGCCCAAGAAGCCTTGTGAAATGCTTGTCGGACCACCTGTAGCTTGTTTCTTTTCAGCTGTTTAGAAGCCAAAGCCATGGGTAAGTTGCTCTTTGTATCATCGGCACAAGTTCTCCTAACATCTCTCAGCCACAAATCACGATTCCCAGGAGAAGGACATCGAGTCCGCATCTGCCACCTCACGCTCTACACCAACGGTTGGAGACTACACTGCACCAACAGCAGAGGAAGAAACCACCCTGAGAAAGGTCTCTGGCGGCATCCCGCCAATCGCATATTTGATTTGCGTTGTTGAGCTTGCCGAACGTGCATCATACTATGGCGCGAAAGGTGTTTTCAACAACTTCATGCAGTTTCCTCTACCTAAGGGAGGCAACGGTACAGGCGCTGTGCCAAAGAGCAATCCGAACGGCCATGCCGGTGCACTGTTAGTTAAACCTTGCATCACAAAGTAATACTCCGCTGACCTAAGACAGGAACCAAGGTCTCCAATTTGCATCGGCCATGTCTATCCTCTTCACGTTCTTGTCCTACACTATCCCGATCTTCGGTGCCTGGCTTGCTGATGCTAAGATTGGACGCTTCAAAGGTATCCTTATAGGTGTTCTGATCGGTGGTTTCGCTCACGTCATTATGATTGGTGGTGCTGCTCCTGCTGTGTTGAAGGCTGGGAAGGGCGTCGCACCTTTTCTGATCAGCTTCATTCTGCTTGCCATCGGTGCGGGTATCTTCAAGCCGCTTGTCGCGCCTACGCTCCTTGACCAATATGAGCACCAGAGGCCGTACACTAAGACTCTCAGGAGCGGGGAGAAGGTCATCGTTGACCCAGAGACCACGATTCAGCGCATCCTGCTCGTATTTTATGGCTTCATCAACGTTGGAGCCTTCTTCGCCATCGCCACGACCTACGCAGAAAAGTACCTCGGCTTCTGGATCGCTTTTCTTCTCCCTGGTATCGTCTACTTCTTGCTGCCAATCTTGCTGTTCTTCATGAACAAACGCTTAGTCAAGAAGCCGGCAGTCGGATCAGAGCTTGTCCAATTCTTCAAGATCATCGGAGTTGCCATCAAGGGCAACAAAGGTAAGCTCTGGGGCAAGGGATATTGGGATGCCGCACGACCTTCGACTCTCGCTGCCCAGGGACGTACTGTCACATGGACTGACAAGAACGTTGCTGACGTCTACCGTACACTCGAAGCCTGTCAAATCTTCTTGTACTTCCCTCTCTGGTTTCTAAATGACGGCGGTATTGGTGCCGTCCAGTCCAACCAAGGCGCTGCCATGACCACCAAGGGCGTACCAAATGACCTGCTAAGTCACTTCAATCCGCTGACAATCATCGTGTTCTCGCCGATCCTCAGTCACGGTCTCTATCCTCTCCTGCGACGCTACAACATCAAGTTCGGGCGCATCAACCGCATCACAACCGGCTTCATCATCGCCGCCATCTCTGGGGCCATCGGTGCAATTGTCCAGTGGCGCGTCTACAAGACATCTCCGTGTGGCTACTTCGCATCGGACTGTGACGGGGTCTCGCCCATCACTATCTGGTGGCAGCTCCCTAACGTCATGCTGGGTTCCATCTCAGAGGTCTTTGTCAACATTACTGGCTATGAACTGGCCTACGCTCGCGCCCCTCCAAACATGAGGTCCATTGTCATGGCTCTCTTCTTATTCAACACAGCCTTATCTCAGGCCCTTGCAGAGCTCTTGATCCCCGCTATTAAGGACCCCCATCTTATTGTAAGTGCTCTACGAATAAACCTTACGCTTCGTACTGACCTGTTTCGTAGTGGGTATGGGCCGGGCCTGCTATTGCACTCGTAGCACAGACTGTTATCTTCGTGTGGAGGCACCGCAATATCAACGACGACGAGTTTATGGTATACGAGGATGAAGTGCCAGCCGAGATTGTCCAATCTGTCGACAACGAGAAGAAATAGACGGCTGAAATCACGAAGCTTGGAGCGACGAGATTAACCATCAGACGAATCATCTCGATTCTTCATAGCAAGTCACAACATGAGCTGTAGGAACGGCGCTGCGCAACGACTGCATCCCCCCATCCGGTGTCCATCTATGTACCACTCGCTGACAGCATGCGTTTTCAAGTGATGTTTTGATTGTGTATTGACAAGATCGTAATTCGTTTCTACGTGCTCTGAGTATCCAACTCATGACCTGGTCATAGGCCTTTTATGCATTAACCGGTACCCAAACGCCGTCGCCATGTGTCAAGCAAAGAACAACAACAACCACATCATAGCCCGAAACTGACAGCAACGACCACCGCTATGATCACTGCGAACAGACTTCCCTGTGCTCGAGCCACGCCACCTTGGCTGCTCTCTTTCAAAGGCTCCGTGGTCAAACTTCTCCTACCGGAGATTGATCCCGAAACGCCATTAGCAGCATCCACGCTCGCAATCGCCGGGCCAACGTTAAAGAAATCAACCAGCACCGCCCATGGCGCCTTGCCGTACACAGTCGAGCAGTTGCTCACGCTGGTGCCCAGGCTACCGAAACCGGTCTGCGCATTGGTCGTGTTCGCGTATGTCTCGTTCGGCGACTGGATGCCGAACAGCTGGGTAGAGTACAGAAAGTGGTTCATCAGGAACATGCGGCCGCCGGTGGAAGACGTGGTGAGACCGGTGGGTCGCGAGGGTGTGCATGAGTAGTTGCTGGGGTTTACATTCTCGAAGTTGTTCTCGAAGATGTATGTGAACTCGTCCATCAGGAAGGGGTACTGCGGCGACGTCTGGCTGAGCGAAGCGACGAAGGTCATCAGGCGCGTGCCGTTTCCGATCAGGGCGTCCAGCGTGGGCCATGTTGTGGGAACGCCGGTAGATGGTGGGGTGTAGGCGTACTGGGAGATACCAGAGGAGTTGAACTGGGCGCCTAGATCGGAGCCGGTTGCAGAAGCAGAGTTTACGAGCAAGATGGTGACGACGTCGTTGGTGTTTCTATCCATCCACGTCTTGATTGTCGAAAGCCAAGACTCGAGCGTCCCGGCGTCGAGCAGATCGCACGAGCTATGGCAGAGATGCCACTCGTCTGCGCCGGTTCCATTGTCGCTCTTGTGCACCTGTGCAGACAGTAGTCGTACACCTGCGTCGAGTTGTGTTATTGTGTCGTAGTAGTGATTCCCTGACGTGGAGAAGGATGTGTTCTCGTTACGCAGGAAGGGCGAGTCGTGAGCTCCAAGGTGTGTGATGTTGTTGTACGCTCTCGGGCATAACGATGGCGAGTTGTTGCATGCGTTCTGTGCAGTGGTGGCTGAGAAGAGGAGAGCGGAGGCCGCTATTATACTTCTGAAGAACATCTTGATGCTCAGCGTTCAAAGTGTTTTGGGTGGTGGTACACGAGGCTTCAGGTCAGAAAAGCAATTGTCACAGCGGAGTCCAGAAGCGACAGTGGTTGATTGCAAGTCGTGAAATTTACAAAAACGAAATAGTGAAAACTAGAGACCAGGGCAGCAGTACTATTATACACACAGCGTCGAGGTGTCAGCGTGGCTTCGTATGCGCACCGCAGCCGAATAGTGGAGCCACTCGTCTGGCACACCACACATGCACAGCCCCAGAACCGCGAAGAAGTTTCAGGCGTCGTCAGCTGGGTAGCCGAACGCGACGCGACACGTCCGAAACGGAGAACGTCATGCGTTCTGCTCGTTGCCGTGGCCGGGAACCCGCACCTAAACGCCCCAATGGCGGCGTGTTAGCATCCGGAAGGCTGGACTGTGGATGCAACGTGGTTGGAGTGAGCGTGGTGATGTAAAGTGGTGGAGCCTGAGTGGACCCTGAGGCGGCTGCTGTTTTTAGAGTGGCTGCACACGCTTAGCGCCGATCAGCCTTGTGACAGTGCTGTGGAGGCGTTATAGGCGCAGTGTTGCTTGTGCGCATCAAACAAAGAGGTAGCAATAAAGCTGAGCATCGCCCGGGGCACGGTGTGCTACGTTGGTTTGTGTAAAGGACTGCTCGCTACGTTGATTGATCACGAACAGATTTTCATTGATCGACGTCCCCAGCCCCCAACAGCCTCCGGCTCCACTTCTCCAGGTCGTCGTCAGCACCTGTTCAACGGTCAACCTGCGCTGGCATTGCCAGTCAGCAATTTTCTAGCGTGGCTAAGCCGGGGTTCGCTTTTATGTCAACACGTTCGATACGGAAATTGCGAGCGCTGCCTTGCAACGGACAGCATGAGATATTGCATACGTCTAGCACCAATTCACAAAAGACGAGCTTTCTATTTGGCAGGTCTTGGAAGAGCTGACAATAAAGAGCTCCATAAAGCACAACCCAGAGTTTTTCTCTTGGCAGCCCTACGCGGCTTGTGAACTCCAAGCTTCCTAGTTCCATTACGAGACAACAGATGTATGTCTGCGACAACCTTATTTATTCCGACAAGTCTATTGCAGTTGATGGCACTGGTGATTAGCCAAGCACTCTATGCAAATTGGAAAGCGGTGCAATGATATATTTGATTATGTATCTGTTGACGGGCCGCTGTTTTGACCTGACAGGCATCACTCTTTAATGCGCCAGCGACCGAACGTCGCACGAGCGTGAGGCTTATTACGTTATGAGCCCTTCAATAGCACCTCAGTCTCATCGACTGTCCCGAAAGCCGCATGCCTGCTTTGGCCGTCGGCAACAACGCCAAATCTCACCTTGAGATCAGACAGGTCTTTCACCACGCCGTTTCCACCCCCGAGACTCGCTTCCTTCGCCAGCTGGTTCATCAGGCCATCGCCATGCGTCGTTGTAGACATGATCTGTAGAAAGCCGCCTGATGATGCGGGTGTGCCATTCTGAAAGAGCGCGACAAGACCGGCTATAATGAATGCAAGAGACACAATGAGAGCAGTAGCGTAGGCGACAATCAAGCGGACCTGACTCTTGAGAACGTACGCCGCTTCGTATACAACATAAGCCATCGCAGCATCAACAAAACCTTCTTCGTTGTTGTTCAGCACGGAGATGGTTATATTTCTCATAAGATCCTCAAGACGGGATGCTGAGAGGTCGAAGTAGACATCCGAGTAGAGGCCCGCGTTTCTGTCGTACTCAGAGCTTGCCCATGGGCTGTCTTCGATGATTGTGTTGGTGGTGAAGTAATTCTCAGTGCCTGTTCATGTTAGTTCTGGAAATTTGTACATCTATTGTTATTCTTACCAAACCCAGAGATCGCGCCAGCTAGAGACCGTGTCAGCAGGTCGCTCATTGCGAGCATTTGTGTTCTATGGTAAATCTCAAACAGTTCGGGCATGGAAAAGTTGTGGACTGCTGTTTGATAGATGATGGACGTCTCGGATGGCGCGGCCTTCATGACGTCGTAGAAGAGTGAGCTTTGGTTCAATCCTGACATATTCAACGGCTGCCCCTCGGTAATGTTGAGCGTCACAGCCTGAGCGGAGTCCAAGTACTGTATCTGCGCTGTATAGTTCGCATCCATGGTAGTGCAGCTTATGTTGCGCAGTGTGCCGTTGAATTCGTTTCGATAGCTGAGATCGAACTTAAGCTGACCGTTCGATTCGTACGGTGCTGCCAGAAATTGGGCCAGACTGGCATCCCACGATGAAGGCCTGTTCCCTTCCAGACTCTGGTTGTTGTATGTGTTGAACACCTTCTGCTCGAGATCCAGATTCGGACTGTCATCTTCACAGCGTAGCGTAGGTGCGGCAAAAGTCAATTCGTAGGTGCAATTGTCCCCACAAGAAGACGATGCTGTATCATACGTCCCTTCGCGGATGGTTCGTCGGGCCATTTTAGTGAATATACGATCAGGTCGGCTGCCACAAATAATCAGACTTGAACATAACTCCAATTGAGTTTAGCAGGACGTACTTGTATTCGCCATCCACTCCAACCTCGAACAGTGCGTACGCTAGAAAGTCTGTAGCAGACCCGTTTCCGCGATTCGAAATGTCGAGAGTAAACATGCTCTGAGTATCATGGTAAGTCCTTGGTAGTTGCTGTACCACAAGACTGCCGGGCGGGAAGATGGTGGCAACGGAGATCAGCGGGACAAGTAGGCCGAAAAACCAGAGCACGGGGATGGTCTTGAGGATGCCGAGTTGGTACAAGTTTGAAGAACTGCAGTTCAATGAGAACAGTGCATCTATCGTGGCTATCGACAAGGAACGTCGGCGAAGATACCACCAGAGCAGTTGCGTGAAGGCTGTAGACGCAGAGGTAGCGAGAGCGGTAGCAAAAAGGTGGGCAAAGGTAACGGAAAGGGCATTGTTCCAGCTCTGGGGGATCGTGGATCCAACAGGTTTGTTACGAAGGTAGCGGCAGTAGACGTAGTGGATGATTGCAATCAAAGTCGCAGCCAGAAAGGAGCCAATGATGACCAGAGGTGTCAACCAGCCGATGCAATGTGCAAGTGTTTGCGATGTTTCAACTCGGGGGTTGCTTCTATTCTGATCAGGTTTGCTGTCCTGGGAGATTTGTCGATGCACTTGAACGTCGGGGCCTTTCGACTCTTTTTCAGGTTGATCGTACTGTCCAGACGTTAGGTGATGAATTGCGGACATTTCAGAAGCAGAGTACAGTTTGAAAAGATCATAATGAGCCCTGCTTTAGTGAAGTTTATGTGCGATACAATGTGGGCCAGCCTGGCCGTGTCTGCGCAAGCCATTCGGCATAACTGACGTGGCGAATCAATATCTTGAATCTAAGGCTGCAGGAGGTACTGCTGGACTTGAGGCTATTATTTAGCTGTGCAGCCTTGGGAGCTTTGGTGGCCTATAGCACCATACCCTGTGAATTGTGGATAAAGCCAAGAGCTGAAAGACCGTTGGCTGGATCACATCGACTTCAGCTGTGGCTAGCGGCGGGCCTATCAGGCGCGTGCCACGCGGGATCTCCGCACACATCTCTTTCCGCTCAACGGACCGGAGCGTAGAAGAGCATATCGGGAATGCTCTAGGCTCTTCTCAATTGAGCGAAGGTGATGTTGATGGCTGAGGAGGGAAGGCTCATGCTCGATTTGGCCTCATTGTTTAGCGCGCGATTATGTCATCGAGGGCCTCCGCACGTGCTCAGAACACAGCTACCTATGATCAAGCAAAGACCGTGTGTAGTCTCCATCGGATACAGTGCTGTCTACCGGTACGCTAATCACATACATAATGTCTGTGTATATGGCTTGATACGATTGTCAATGTCCTGCATGTTTAACGACCGTATCGTCCATCGAACCTTCGACAACGATGTCTTGGATAATACTGGCTACTAAACTTATTAGTGCACTGCGAAACTGAAATTGATCCCCTATCATGGCATCATTTTTCGACGAGGCAGACAGGTGACACATTTGGTCACGTGATCATAACCATCAATGTCGTGAATGCGGGACGTTCAGAAACGAGGGTTCCTCGAAGAAAATTTCACGAAAATAGCTCGTAGGAGATCATTAGCATCGGCTTGGCATCTTCCTCTGCTCTTCGGGTCAGATATTATCGTTGTAACTGTCGCACTTTCGGCCCGCAATTGCGTGCTCGAAGTATATCATGAAGCCATTTCTGGACAAGGGTAATAATGACTTGTAAGTCCTTACTCTTCTCCAAGAACTTTACTTCCCAGATATTCTTTCACTTATGTCTAAACCCGATTATGATGCTATCATCGTTGGTGCGGGATTTGGCGGCATCTATCAGCTCTACAGTCTCCGGCAACTAGGTCTCAAGGTCCTTCTTCTGGAGGCAGCCAGTGATATTGGAGGGACATGGTATTGGAACAGGTATCCGGGCGCATCGTCGGACGTACACTCATTCACATACCGATACTCATGGGACAAAGACCTCTTGCAGACATGGCCGTGGAAGAACTCCTACCTCACACAGCCAGAAGTGCAAGCGTATTTGTCCCAGGTTGTTGACAAGCATGATCTGCGTCAACATATCCAACTGAACACCAAATTTCTAGGTGCAAGGTTCGACGAGCAGAACGGTGTGTGGGAAATCCAGAGATCGCAAGGGAAGCCGCTCGCAGCACGTTACCTTCTCACAGCGCTTGGTGCATTGTCCGAGAAGAACTACCCTCGAATTCCCAACTTTGACTCATTCAAGGGCGAGGTCTACCACACGGGAGCATAGCCCGAGCACTACGACTTCCGCAACAAGCGCGTTGGTATAGTCGGCAATGGGTCAACAGGCAGTCAGCTCCTCGTTGCGTTATCCAAAGAAGCCAAGCACGTCACCAGCTTCCAACAAAACCCCCAGTGGAATGTGCCAAACGGCAACAGACCTGTGACTGAAGAGGAAAGAGCAAGCATCAATGAGAATTACTCGCAGATCTGGGACGGCGTGCGCAATTCATCCGTCGCGTTTGGCTTCGCAGAGAGCACCGTCCCGACGTTCAGCGTAGATGCTGAAGAGCGACAGAGAAGGTTCCAAGCTGCCTGGGAGAAGGGGAATGGATTCTACTTCATGTTTGGCGTGTTCTCCGACATAACGACAGACCGAGCCGCCAACGATGAGGCGTGTGCGTTCATCCGGAGCAAAATCGAAGAGACCGTGAAGGACCCAGAGACAGCGCGCAAGTTGATCCCAACGGAGCCGTATGCGCGCCGGCCGATATGCAACAACGGTTACTACGAGACATTCAACAGAGATAATGTCAATCTCGTATCTCTGAAACAAACACCGTTCGCAGAACTCACCCCGAACGGCGCCAGAACAACAGACGGCGAAGAGCACCTTCTCGACGTCTTGATCTTCGCCACGGGCTTCGACGCCGTGACTGGGAGTTATGACGCGCTCTCTATCGTCGGAAAGAACGGAGAATCCCTCAAAAACCACTGGGCCAAGCGCCCATCCTCATACCTCGGATTCTCACTACCCTCGTTCCCAAACCTGTTCACGCTGAGTGGTCCGCACCACCCCTTCACTAATGCCCCGCCCCAGATTGAAGCACAGGTTGAATTCATCACGGACGTGATCAAGCAAGCAGGCGCAAACGGCGTCGTCGAAGCCACGAAGGAGGCAGAAGACTGGTGGACGGATCTGAGTAATAACATTGTTAAGGGGAGCATTTTCCACGAACCGAAGGGCTGGGTCTTCAAAGATAACGTGGAGGGGAAGGAGCACAATACCATCTTATGGTTTGGAGGGCTGAAGGCGTACCGCGAGCATCTGGATGAGGTGAGGAGGAATGGATTCAAGGGGTATGAATTCGCTGGAGCCGGGACGCCATAGTATCAGAAAAACAAACAAGTTCCCCGAATCTGGGAGCCACAACGCGTCACAACTGTTGCGCAGCAATATGATCAAGCGCGCCGGACGAGTCTACAGTGATGGTCACCATCAATTTGTACTCGACACAGGCACAGACCTCCCTGATTCTATCCTATCTTATCGATTAGACCACCGGCACCTCCCCATTCCGGCGCGTCACAACGTCACACGCGCGCCCATCTGTTGAGCAACACAAACCCCAACCGTGCATAACTTCATCCGTAGTACCCAATACAACCCGTCCCCCTTGCCAGACTGCGTCCTTCCATCTCGCATCTCCTCTCATTTCATCTTATCTCAGTTCGCTTCTGTGCACGTGGATATCAGCGTCTTCAGCAGCATCTCACATTTCGTACCGCACATTCACAGCAATTCCAGCGCCTGTGCAACACACGCAGGTCAGAAAATCGCTCTCGATTTCCTGAACTCCATCGATTCGCGACGCGATCACAGGTCGACAGACACAGCTCCATCGCGCAAAGCAGCGCCTCGACCACGCACCCACCATCCAACTTGCCTCCGCACCACCTTCACCCACAAACCCACAGCAGCAGCACTCCGCACAATGGCCACCGCCGCAGAACCCGCAGCAGCGCCACCCCACACAATGGCCACCGCCACACCCGACCTCAAATCCCCGCCCTCCCCGCCCTCAACAACCACCACCCCCGCCGCCAGGCGGCATAACGCTGCGCGCCCCCTCCCCCTCAACCACGCCCTCCAGCCCCACCATCTCCGCGCCGCCGCTCTCCTTCCTCTCCGGCGCCTGGCACGTAACCCACTCGACGCTGCCGATGTGGCGCAAAGCGCGCAACGTGGTGATAACGTACACGCCGATGCCGGCGACGGGGTCGGCCGGCGGCCGCGGGCTGACGAGCGGGACGCACATTGCGGATGTGGTTACGTATCAGCCGCTCGACAAGAGCAGTGCGAAGGTGTCGACGATCAAGGGCGTGGATAAGCCGTTCTTGACGGCGGAGCGCAGGGGTAGCGTGAGCGACACTGCGCCGCCGGCGACGACGGAGGCGGGCGACGAGGTCGCGAGCTTGGGGTACGAGTGGCGTGGCAAGGGGTGGTTGATGATAGCGACGTCACGGTGGGAGATTCTGGGGTGGGGCGTTGAGGAGGGCGGCAACGGGTGGGTGGTCACGTATTTTGCGAAGACAATGTTCACGCCTGCAGGAGTGGATTTCTATTCACGAGGGGGACGACTGAGGGAGGGAACGCTGCGGGAAATAAAGGAGGCGGTGAGTGCGCTTGGGGGGGATGTGGCGAAGCTGGGCCGGGAGCTGTTTGAGGTGGCATTTGATGGGGAGTGAGGATGATGATGTCCGTGGATTATATACCCGAGGTTCATTCTTCATTTGCGTTGTTTTTTCTAGGCGATCTCCTATTCGCTAAGCGGTTTCTTGTCTGCTCAGCGGTTTCTTGTCCATCAAGCGGTCTCTCATATTTCGATACCATCAGTTTCTTGCGATAGCGGCAGCTGTTCAATCGAGCAGATTAAACTCTGAACCTCCGTAGGTTGCCTTCTTCGAACGGGCAGCATGTGCGTATGACCTGGATGGTGGCTGCGCATAAGACCGATACTGACTGTTGATGTCAAGGTCCACTAGCAGCTCTGTGTTGGCGGACATGGACGCAGATGTCTTCCTCGGCGAGGTTTCGATCAGTCTGCCAGGGGTGTTCGGTCCAGCATATGCGACCGGCGTGGCAGCACGCTGGGGCGCGCCATTGCGACGGGACGCTTCAAACGAGGCCTCTTCTTCCCTCCGCCTCTGCAGCAGTCGAGCATCATCTACTTCAGCACCGCCGTTGACGTAAGCGCGCCATCGATCAGACGACCCGGAGGGCGGAGGTGGGTTCGCCGGGGTCTGGAAGGTGGAATCGAGTAGGAGGTTGCGTGATGCTGAGCGCGACGGACGAGAGCGGATCCCTCCGTTCGGAGCTGACTTCAGCATGGATGGCTGACCACCAGCGCGCCGGTCGCAAGTTTGGCACTTGCAGGGTTTCGAACACAGTTCTGCAGAGTGGTCAGTATTGTCAAAGGCTAAGTTTGAACTATACATACCCACGCAGCGATGACCGCAAGGCAGTTCTCTGGCGCACACCAGCATGCAATTGACAAGCTCGTGTTCGAATCTATTTGGCGTCAGCACGGATGCGAGATGTCTAGATAAGAGAGACACTTGCGGGTGGCAATGATAAGGACAAGGGTGATTGCATGACAAGATGCCTTTGCACATGTAGTCACATCCGCCTTGAATGAGCTCCCAATCTTCAGGGACCTCTATCCACATCTTACGCTGATGGTTGATGCATTGCACCGGCATGAAGTAGCCGATGCGACGCTCCTGACCCGTCTCAGATCGGGACTTGGGTACCTTCGTGTCGTGCATAGTTTCGACAACTTCACCCCATGTCCAAGACTCACAAGCAAGAAGTTCGGCGTTTCCGAACAGATAAAACCCGCGCTTTGCACGCGACAGCGCGACACAGACACGGTTGATGTTAGAAAGGAAGCCAATCGAATGTCGATTGTTGGATCGGGCAAGCGATAGTAGAATGATGTCGTTTCTGCATCGGTCAGTACATGTCAAGCAATCAGTAGACTGGCACATACTCTTCTCCTTGGTACGAGTCGACTGTGACTACTTTGATAGGCAACATGCGCAGGTTTGGGTGTTCCCTCAGAGATCCTAGAAGACGCTTGCGCTGGCCATTGTAGAACGTTAGGATTGTAATACCCTCAGGCGCTTCGCCGTTCAGCACCAGGTAATCGGTGAAACCCGCGATAAACTTGGCCTCCTCTGCATTAAAGCAGGACGAGTTGGCGTCTCTCTCTTCTTTCCAGGTATGAGTGAAGTAGTATGAGTTAACGCCACCCATGCCCCGGACTGGGGGTCGGTTATTCGGGTCCTTGACGCTGGGGTGATCCTTTAAGGTGTCGTTGTATATGGTGCGAAGCAGGCGTCGAATCTCAGGAATCATACGGCGTTGCTTGGTGAGCTGGTTGTACTCTATCTGGTTCAAGACTAGCCGCTCGAACAGCGACAAGTTCAGATGGAATGGTGAATCTTCAAATTCCTTGACCTGAGTGTGGGGTCTCAGTTGCTGATGATCACCGACAAGGATGAGATGCTCGAGGGTCGGCAGGCAGGCCACGGTCACGGGCGCCTCCATGGTCTCTGCAGCTTCTTCGACAAGCACGATCCGGGGTCGAAGGGCAGAGAGGAGGGCACGATACTTTGACAAACCGGTTGTAGTCATACCGATGATACGCTGCTTGTTGAGGAGGTTGATGTCCTCTTCCCAAAGGCCGACGCGACGCTGCAGTACAACCTCGTGGTACTGTTTCGAAACGTTGCGCATTTCTGTGAGCATATGTTTCTTCAACTGACGTAACAGATAGTTGTAGATGAGCCCACGACTCTCCCACTCGATCGTCGAGAGGTCTGAAGTGGCATCGAGCAGCTCTCGGATCTTCTGATCCGTCAGAGTTCCGGACCCTTTGCCCCTGTAGTTGTCACTCAGCATCAGTACTTCACCTTTCAAGGCCTCGATGTCGTCTTCATCTTGTACTGATGCCTCAGCTTCGAGCTCTTCCAGCTGCTCAACCTCAAAGTCCTCTTCTTCGTACTCCCAACCGAATTGATCGGGGCCAGGCGGGCGTCGATACTCTGTCAGGGCCTTGCCAAGCCATTCCTGCATCGCGTCTCCGGGAGCGTCCTTGGTATCCAGAATCGACCGATTGTTCGTGTCCAACGACTCTGCCTGATCTTTGGTAAGCAGGCCCGCTCGTTGTAACATGCGATGGTCCAGCGGCCCCTTGCCCATCTCCAGAGGTGCTAGCAAGGCTTGACAAATGACTTTGGCCTTCCTCATGGCAGCTGCCGCCTGTGTCTTTTGACTGTGGGGTCGCTTCTGCTCATTCTCGGTCTTCCGAACCTCGAACAAGGTGCGCTCTTTGATCTCGGGGTCTTTGCTCCTCCCACCAAGTCGGATGAAGTTGGGTTCAAAAGTGCGAGTGTGTCGCAAGATCTGATCGACGGCGTGGTTTGTTTGCGCAGTGATGATTATTGGCGCATCGTCTTTTCTCATGTTGTCGCGGAGTATCTGCACCGCCTTGACGGAGGTGAATGTCTTGCCAGTACCGGGCGGCCCCTGAACAACAGCGACTTTGCGAGTCAGCATGCTCTTCAGTGCTCTCGATTGCGAGCTATCCAGCGAGGTTGAATTAGTCGCAGGCCACTCCTTCAGCACATCGACATTCTGAAAGTTTGACGCCTCTTCCATGCTGACCAGAGTACTGAGATCGACAAAAGGGTTGTTTTTGATGTATTCGGGAGGATCCACGTTCTTCTTCACGTCCACCAGGTGTTCTGAAAGCGGGAATGGCTCTCTCATCATGTGCTGAAGCGCCATGAGAGTGTGGCGACTGGCCTCGAAGAAGCAGTTGCGGCACTCTACCATGATCCATTTCTGGGTGGGATCAATTCTTTGGTCGTAATGAGGAAAGAAGAGGTCAATCTCGGGCGGGGTCTGCTGCAACGCAGTGATGGGCCGAGCGGCGACCGTTGCCAATATACAAGTGGTTTGGAAGGCATCATCAAAAGGCGATAAAGCGACAAGCGTGCCGGTGATGAGTCGCTTGGACTGACGCCAGCTGCTAAATTTAGCAATTGACTGATGAGAAGCGACCACTGTTGACCTTTGAGCAGCGGGGTTGCAAGACTTACCGAATGTACTTCTTTACTCGTGACATATGAAATGCTACACGCGTTGCGAGTCCTTGAGGGCTGTACACTAGGGCTGTGATATACACGGGCTCGTAGATTCCAACACTCTTGTCATACTGGGCTTCATCTTCCCACGGCCTCTTGCGGACCTCAGCAACAGCCTCACGCAGCGGTCGCAGGGCGTCTTCGCGCAGGAGCTCGTACTCGGTGCGCAAGTAGTCTTCTATGTTGTCATAGGGCCCGTCAATCTTCTTTGGTCGAGGATCTTCGTTAGTCTTCATCAACGGCTCAAATGTGTCGAACATGGGCTTGTCGCGCAAGATCTCGTTTGGATGCGGTATCTCAGGCTTGTCAAGCCAAGCCCCAGCACCTTGAACGGGTTTGCGGACAACTTCGAAGTACTTGCGTATATCTTCGTTCGCCCGTGTCGGAATCGCCTCCGGGATGCTGTCATCTGGAAGATGCGAACTGCGGCGGCCTTGGGGCACTGCATTGCCGAAGCGCTCGGTTAAGTGGGCATTATACTCGCCATCTAGTCACTTGTAAGTTCGGTGCATGACAGTGCAGTGGAGACAGGTGGAGGCAATGGAGCAGCGCGAGTTGGGTATTGCAGTCATGGCAGAGCTGACTTGATCAGCGGAAATACTCACCAGACCCAGGACCATTGCCCAGGCTTGTGTACATGTTGGACGATGATCGAGATTGCCCGAACCCGTGCAAGCCTCCTCGCTTGCCACGCTGAGCCGGCCTCCCATTCTTGGGCCTTTTACCCATGCTGATGTGCGAAGAAAGACGTGTGCGAGACGGGAACGGTGAGTGCGATGGTGGATGTGGTAGAAAGAGTGAACAAAATGAATGTGCGAATGAATTTGAGAAGAAAGTAGTGTTGTTTGTGTGAAAGGCAGAGTGGGGAAGCTATTGCGTTTGCTCGCAGACGGAAAGGGAAGACACGCTCGAACTAAGGCTCACTCAGGCAAGCAAACGCAAACGCGTGGCAACACTGCGAGACCAGTGCCAAAACAAACAACGGCCGAGGGTCAGAAATTGCAGTAGCTTAGAGGATGTGTCTGGTATGCCAGAGCGTGCATCCAAGTACGGACTAACTTTGCAGAGGCAGTGAACTGGTGCCTGAGGCCACTGACGCGAAGCTACTAAATGAGGGGGGTGAAGTGCTCCAGCAAACCATGTAAGCACCAGCATGACAGAGCCCTTGTGCTGAGCTGATCCCTAAGTAGGTTCCATTCTGACTCAAAAGAGAGAGAGAGACGTGCACCGCTATGTTTACACTCGGCCGATGATGCTATCAATCCAATCAGTAGGTGCGGTGCAAGAGGAGAGGCGACGGGGGCGTGCAACGATCAAGCGCCCCTCGTAGTGTCTTCACAGCCAACTCGGATCTGTACTCCATCTTAACCGTGCTGTGTTGCGCCTGCAGAACGGTTGGCATGTCAATTGAAGCTCGAGGATTCAGGGTCGTACCCGAAATGGCCTAGCGTGGATTCCAACGTCATACGCCGACGGCAGTGCGCGCCCGGTGCGCCTCGAGCAATTGCACGTCCGCGAGCAGCAGATGCGCGCAAGCTCTCCGGCGCAGCATGAATGAGGACGACTACGATGAGAACGGCGCAAGTGTGTCCCCCGTGCAGCGGTGCGGAGTGTGTGCTGACGTGGTGATTCGCAGGCTCCGCCGAGGATGAGGACGAGCAGGAGGAGAACGACGCCATGGACGTGGACGAGGACGAGGGCGGCGACGACGAGGACGACAACGATGACGAAGACGCGGAGGGCGACAATGACGACGACGACGACGCAGACCAGGACGGCGACGGCGACGGCGACGGCGACGGCGATGACGACCAGGACGAGTCCGCCAGCCCGTCGCAGCGCCGCATGGCCAACGGCAGCGCTGGACCGTCCGACTCGAATCCGCGAGTGACGCGCACCTCGCCCAGCCCGCAGGCTGCGACGGGCGTGCTGGGCGACCTGCCGTTCCGCCCGTCGGTGCGGCAGGAGGCGCTCAACGCGTCCGTGTACGACATCATCCCGACCATCGCCGCGCCGCACAGCACCTCGATCAACGCCATCGCGGCCACGCCCGACATGCGCTGGGTCTTCAGCGGCGGCGCCGACGGCTACATCCGCAAGTTCAACTGGATCGACTCGGCCAACGGCAAGCTGGCGCTGACGGTCGCCCAGCGGCACCCCTTCGTCGACTCGGTCACCAAGGCCGGCGTGCTGCTGTCGTACTGGGAGAATGAGGACAGCGCAGGGTCCGACGTCCCGTCGCCGGTCTACTCGCTCGCCGTGCACCACCAGTCGCTATGGCTGCTGTCGGGTACCGAGTCGGGCGCCATCAACCTGCAGACGGTGCGCCACAACGAGGGCCACCGCGTGCACACGCTCAAGGGCCACACATCGGCCGTGTCAGTGCTGACGCTGGCTGCCGACGAGACGGCCGTGCTGAGCGGCAGCTGGGACAAGTCGATCAACGACTGGGACCTCCACACGGGCCAGGTCAAGCGCCGCTTCGAGACGAGCGGCAGCCAGATCTCCGCCATCGAGCAGCGCCCGACGTCCGCCCTGCCCGTCCCGCAGGATACCGACACAGCCCCGCTCTCCAACGGCACCTTCTCATCAAACAACGCCGCCCGCCCGCGCGTCAACGGCTCCAGCGCCGCCGAGCCTGCGCGCCCCGCCTCCGCCAAAGATGACCCTTCCAACGAGGACGCCCCCGGCTCGCCCGACGACTCACTATTCGGCGACAAGGACTCGCTCTTCGGCGACGGCGCCGACAACAACCCGTCCGCCGCGCTGCCCGGCATGGGCGACGACGACGACGACGAGTTCTCGCGCGCCATCGCCAACGGCATCCAGGCCGCCGAGGACGACACCACCGGCGACATGGATATGATGGACATGGGCGGCCCCGTGCAAGCACCAGACGCCGAACCGACCCAGTCCGCCGATGCCAAATCACCCCCGAAACCAGACACCGCCGACGCCCCGCTCGCCAACGGCCTGCCCCACGCTGAGCACCTGCCCACCATCGTCAAGGACACACCTACCCTCCCGCCCTCCTCCGAATCCACGTTCCTCTCCTCCTCCATCGACGGCTCCCTCTCCATCTGGGACCGCCGCCAGCCATCGCCCGTCGCGCGCCTGCTGCCCCCCCGCGGCACCCCGCCGTGGTGCATGAACGCGTGTTGGAGCCCCGACGGCAACTTCATCTACGCCGGGCGGTACGTCTAAGCTTCCCACATGATGAACTCACGCTAACACAACGTAGCCGCAATGGCACCGTCGACGAATACAGTCTGCACAAGACCCTGTCCGAACCGGCGCGCACCTTCAAGTTCCCGGGTGTTAGTGGCAGCGTGAGCGCTGTGCGCGCCATGCCGAACGGTCGGACGCTGATATGGTATGCCCGCTCCCTGCTTCTTCCCACCCTTCCCCTCTTCAACACCCTTACTCCCCGCTTCCACGCTAACACCCACCCAGCGCCTCCTACGATATCCTCCGCCAATACGACCTCACCCACCCCACCGCCTCGCTCTCGTCACACTCCCTCTTAGACCCGAAACCCACACCCACCACTGCTGCAGCAGCAACACCCTTCCTCATCGTGCCCGGCCACCGCACCGGCGTGATTAGCCAGCTGTACCTGGACCCGACGTGCACTTTCATGATCAGTACGGGCGGGAATCGCGGGTGGGAGGGCGCGACGACGGAGGTTTTGCTCGGTTATGAGATTAGCTATGGGGCGTGAGAGAGATGGGAGATGATACCCGCGGGACTGGCGTTTGGTGTTGGGTTGTTAGGGATAGTTAAGACAGGCTGGGCAGAAGACGGTCTGCAAGGAAGTAGGAGAAAGGCGTTGAGATACGTGCCTTGGCATTCAGGATTATTTACGTGTCCGGGAGACGAACTGATGGTCCTCAGGTGAACTTTACTTTCTTATGTGAGAATGCTAGACTACAACACTGCCTTGAATAATTCCTTGTCTGACAGAGAAAGGGTCGTTTCTCTTGAAGAAAGCTTTGTATACTCGAATGCTGTGTTATAGAGTGCATGTCATCGAATGCGCCCTCCATTCAGCTCAAGACTGCCGTCAGTCCAGTAGATAACGTCTGATTCCATACTGAGAATCACCAACCATACTTCCATCTGTAAACTCATCATCGGAGTCTTCATCGGAAACTTCATGAAAGTCTTCATCCACATCAAATATCTCGTCAGGCGCCCACATACGGTGGACGAAGTCCGCATCAGAAAGTCCAAGGCTTGGTTCGTCGAGGAAGTGGATGTGACTGTCCAACATGCAGGGTATCAGCTTGGGAAAGTCAGTCCTGCCTTTGGTGTGCCATAAGTGATACGTACCTTCTTCAGGAACTGCAGCATCTGATGCTTCCATGTGTAGCGCGGCTCAGTGAAGAACTTGTCGAGGTGCCTGTGGTGGTTATGTACGCCGTCTTTAGCACAGGTGGCTGAGGTATATGTCCAAGATAGATGCATGGTCTTCCCCGCCGATTTGAACGCCTTGTGTACGTCAACAAAAGCCTCAAGAGCTTCTTCGAGGACGTCAATGCGGACATTGCGCTGAGTGAAGGTAATGACGAGTTCCTCGAAGTGTGGATTGTGTACTACCCCCAGTAGCTGATCGAAATGTGACTTGAGTCGGTCCTGTTCGATGTACTTCCTCTCGTACGGTGTATGCTGACAAGTATCACCAGAATGAATCGTACGAGGTCGTCGATATTCATCAACCGCGCAATCAAGGTCTAGGTTGCGGATGTGAGGAGCAGGGTCGAAGCCGGCTCCAAAAGCGTCTTTGTGGACAAGAGACTCAAGTTTGGTCGTTGGACCGTACAAGATCTGCTCTTTGAACCAATCATCACTGTACACCTTTTCAACGATCTCTGAGGCTGCGACTCCGACGTACTCCGGGAGTAGGAAGTGAGGCACTCGAGGTAGGCCATGAAACACTCTTAGGCAGCTGCAGTGTCCGATACTAGGAGGCAATACTGAGCTCACGGCCATGAAGTCATTCTCATATTCCTCCCAAGTATCATCGTCCAAGAGGTAGCTGTACACCATGCTGCGTATCTCCGGAGGAAGGATGCTCTGGATCTGCTCGGCGAACTTACGGTTCCAGGCTTTGCTGTATGGGATGAACGTCGTCTCGATCAATCTAAGATAGTTAGTAGTGAGCTTAGATGTAGGTTTGTTGCGTACTCATGCACCCAGACAGCTCGCTGGCCGCCATTCATCTTGCGCATGGTCTTGAGCTCTACTTTGCGTCGCTTCATACGCCGAAATTCATCGCGAATTGCAAGTTCTCTGCAAGAGATGTAAGTGTACTGCTCAGTAAGTGTGGATGTGGAGACTCACTTCGCAACGAATTTCCCGTTCGTCTTTCTTGCCCTATGCATGTGTCAGTGAGTGCAGAGCCACAGTTCGTCATGACTAGGCCGCACTGCTCAAATTTTGCAAACGCTGCGTTTGCCGTGAGAGTGGCTGCATCTTCTTGCTGTGCAGACATGCTGCAGGCTCGGTTTTTCTGTGAGAGAGTTGAAGATTCCAGGCACGAACGAAAGGCAGCAAGTGAGGCCGCGCTAGCCGTTTTGGTTCAGGTTGGCCACCAGGCTCTTGCCCTATGCAATACAACATGAGCTGACCGATGCTAAAAGCGTAAGGAACTAGGGCCTAGGGGTTACGAGGCTCTAACGTTGCAGAATGGACTGGATGTGAGCCAAGTATTGCACCACGCAACAGTACAGTAGGGAAAACGCGAAAAACCCCAATAGGAAGCTTCTTTACTTACAACAAAAGTAATGCCCAACTAGATAGTAGTTTTAAGAAGCACTAAAATCAGTTGACATGAAGGTCGCTGATCAGCCGCTGTTCTTCCTGAAACCCGAGCGAGGATAACAATCACAGCAAGTGCATTCAGGCATTTTTTGTACCCGATCCACCATTAAAAACTGGCTCCGGTACTGTACAAGAATACGCTACGTTATAGCCCCCGTTCCAACATGTAAAGCCTATTCCATCACTAAGTGTTTACAAATCGGCACACGTGATTCCAAAAACATTGAGACTACCTCCGAAGCCTGTCGTTGCTAAGACGTAAGAAAGTCCCGATTGAGGCTGCGGGGTAATTCGAATGCGGGGATCTTGATCCTACACCTACCGAAAAGATTCGTCGCGGTAACGCATCCCCGAGCTGCCTTCTGAGGTCATATCAGGTCAGTAGCCCGCGCTGTAGCAAATCTTTCTTGCGGCCACGAAGCTTCCCTCACGACCTCTCCGATCTTGACAATGTGGTTAGCGATCGCTACACTGGTGACCTGCTGTAGTCTCGCAGCCTGCGAGGCGGACTACGCACAGTATGTGAACCCTTTTTGGGGTACCGTGGGTTCAATTCCCAACTATACCTTTGGCGGCGGCGCCGTCTTTGTTGGAGCAGCGGTGCCCTTCGGCGTAGTCAAACTGACGATGGATACTTTCGTCAAGAACACCAGCATTGCTGCGCTACAGGGAGGCTATACTCCAAACGGCCTCATTACCGGGTTCTCCATGATGCACGAGTCAGGCACCGGAGGATGCGCCAAATACGGTGTCATTTCGCAGATGCCGCTCACGAATATCGAAGCGCCGGTCAATCTCTTGGATAATCGAACCTACTGGCAAGGAAGGACTGGTGAGGATCAGGCGAGCATTGGCTATTTCAAGACGACTCTGGAGAATGGTGTCACAACTGAGCTGGGTGCGACACGGCATACTGGCTTTTACCAGTACGACTTTCCGATTGACACCAAAAAGCACATTCTCGTCGATGTGTCGCACTATCTGCCCAATGTTGTGGGTGGTTACTGCACGCAGGTGTATCGAGAGGGAGAAATCAAGATATCAGAAGACAGAAAGAGCTACCGAGGCCACGGCACTTATGCGGGTGGCTTCAATGAGGGAGCGCCGTATACTGTTTACTTCTGTGGAGAATTTGAGAATGCCCCTGATGAAGCTGAGGCCTTTGCAGGACGGAACCAGTTCCCGGGTTCCAATTCCATGAATCCAGAGCCGTTGCCATGGCCCACCTTTGCATCGGAGAACATGACTACTCCGCAGGGAAGTCGTGCAGGTGCAGTCTTCACTTGGCAGGGAAACACAACCACTGTTCGATCCAAAGTCGGCATATCTTTCATCTCTGAAGAGAAGGCGTGCAGATTCAGGGACGAAGAGATCGAGTCTTGGGACATGCAAACAGTCGTGCATGCGGCAGTAGAGGAGTGGAACCGTGATGTGCTCAGTAAGGTACAAGTAGACACAGGCGATGAGGCGAACCAAGACCATCTGACCATGCTCTACACCTCACTCTATTATATGCATCTCATTCCATCCAACCGAACAGGCGAGAACCCGCTTTGGGATAGCGAGGAGCCGTATTGGGACGATTTCTACACGTTGTGTAAGCACGACACACGCCCGTCGACACCTCTACTTGCTAATTTGAGAAGGGGACACGTTCCGTAACACCATTAGCCTTGCACACCTGATCCAGACTGAAGCATACGAATCTCAGATCCGCTCGTTGATCGATATCTGGAGACATCAAGGATACATGCCAGATGTGAGACATCAGGTGTTACGAGAGTGAATCCTGCTGACTTGATTCCAGGGTCGTTCTGGCAATGACAACGGCATGGTTCAGGGCGGTAGCAATTCCGACAACGTGCTAGCTGATGCGTACGTAAAGGGACTGCGCGGTGCGATCGACTGGAGCGACGGGTATGCAGCCATGGTGAAGAACGCCGAGGCTCCTACGAACGGGAGTAACAAAGAAGGCCGTGGCGCTGGAAATGACTGGCTGCAGTATGGCTATGTAGGCCAGGCACTGCCTCGAAGCCTCTCCCGAACTGTTGAGTACTCGTTGAACGATTTTGCCTTAAGCCAGGTTGCTCGTGGAGAGAAGCCTGAAGACGTCGAGAAGTACCTTCGAAGGTCTGCTGGGTGGCAGCTACTCTGGGACCCTACAACCTTAACCGTGAACACAACGCCAATTTTCACTGGATTTCTCACACCAAGAGACGGCAATGGGACTTTCAATCAGACAAACTACAATCCAGCAAAGTGCGGTGCTTGTTCGTGGCCATCTATCACCTACGAAGCAACACCGTTCGAGTATTCCTTCACCATCCCGCACGATATGGAAACGCTGATCGAGTTCATGGGCGGGCCAGAGAGCTTCGGGGAACGTCTTGACTACATGTTCTTGCCCAACACCAGCCAAGCCGATCTTGGACCTAATGGTGCCGGAATCAGAACGCTCATGAATATCGGGTAGTTTGGCCTAGGGACAAGCAACGTCTATCAGCTCACTGACAACTGCAGGAATCAACCTGACTTCGCCACGCCGTACTTGTATAACTACCTCAACCAGCAATGGAAAAGCGTCAACCAGTCTCGGACACTGACCAGACAGCGGTACGTTGGCCTTTTCTTCTTGCTGAAAAGCCTTGGATTCCTCTAACATCTATCTCAGTTTCCGCAACACTCCAAATGGCATGCCAGGCAACTCCGATGCAGGATCCCTTAACTCGTGGCTGATCTGGCAGATGCTAGGCCTCTATCCTGTCGTCACTACGCCAGTCTATCTCCTGGAGAGCCCGTGGTTCAAAGACATCAACATGACCATCAATGGCAACCGTACCCTGCGCATAACAGCTAAAGGCCTGAGCGATGGTAGCTACTATGTCCAAGGCGTGAAGATCAACGGCAAGGCTTGGGACAGAAATTGGGTTGAGCATGACGATGTTATGACTGAAGGAGGGACAATCGAATTCGTGCTCGGCAGTGAGCCGAAGGTTTGGGAGACCGGGGAAGTGCCGCCGAGTCCGGGTCATGTTCTGCTATAAGTTAGCGCCCTTGAGTCTGAGAGACGATATGCGATCATCTGTAAGATATATGCACGTCGCCCGGGGGCTATCATATCCGCTGTGATGAGTAGAAGCACCATTGCTCGGTGCATTAGACCTCAGGATCAAGTATTCGCTTGGACATTATCACATGTTCAAGCTCGGTTATTCATCCCTGTTAGTATCAACTCTGGAGATTGCTGAGTAGATTTTCGACCACAGACAGATGTACGTCCGAATGGCGGTTTTCCCTGCTGAATCTGTGGCATCATCTACATCCCGGCTGCTCTGTCGACTCTCGTGTCCAAGATATTGTCTACTTCGAAATCAATCCAATCTCTGTACAGTTGTGTCATGCTGTCGTGTTTGTACGAAGTGGAGCAAGTAAGGAAATACCCGTGGCTGCGGACAGTCTAACCGTCTTAGGCGACGCGTTCCTGGCGCGTCTTATGTCCAAGCCTAACGGCTCCATTAAATTGCCCATACGCGACTTAAATTTAAATCCTGCTGTCGGCCCATTGGCGGAACCTGACCAGAGGTGACTGACCACTACGACGCCAAGCGATCGACAGTGTAAATTGTTGCGCCCACCGGAGCCCACCGGGGCCCATCGGCCTCGTATCGCCCCGGACTCTCTGCCGACCTCCCATCGCACAACCACCTCTCCATTGAAGGACCTACCTAGGTATCGAGTGCATGTTCTGGTCTTCACCTCTTCATTGACACGATGGCACATGTCCCATGCAGTCCATGTGGCTGTGCGAGTCTTGTGTGAACGGGTACTCGACAGCATGAGCATCCGTTGCTGACTACGCAAGGAATCGCCCCACGGGGAGTTCCCGATATTTTGCGGGGCAAGTCCTAATATAAATCCTCGCTCGGACAGGATGCCGATGGAGGATTGATGGAAAGCGAATACGGTATGAGCTGCCATTTCAAGGTTGCTTCCAATGCGCATCATTGCCATTTGCATGTTAAGAGCAAGTCGTGACCAGGTTTTACGACAGAGTCTACTGAGAGCGATGGAGGTTAAAAGGATGGGGGTTCCTACGTGAAATCACTACTGGTTACTTCTCTCCTGTATTCTCCAGCCACATATCTCCCATCAAGATGAGGCGCAACAGTATCTCGGCGCTTGCTCTCTTGCCGCTGGTCTCTCAAGTCCAGGGTGCCCTTGATGGCGACGCTCTAGCGGAGCAGTACTTCGGCAATGATGCACCCTGGTACCGCAACCGCATTCCCTTCTTCGAGAGCAGCGACAAGGACATCACGGATGTCTACTACTACCGCTGGAACATTTTCCGCGCTCACCAGCGTGATCTCGGCGCCAATGGCTTTATTTCTACCGAGTTTCTGGACGACGTGGGTTGGCAAACGAAGCCGTGGGCATCTCTGAACGATGCCACGGTCTTCCATTTGCTCGAAGGCCGCTGGTGCCGCGACCGACGCTTTAAAGAAGACTATGCTACCTTCATCCTGGGCCCGAACAGTAATACCCGACAATTCTCGGAAACCATGGCAGCATCAGTCTACAAGGGCTACCTGGTGGACGGTGTTGCAGCAGATGCTACAGCACGTCTTGGTGCTATGACATCCGTTTACAACGCCTGGCAGGACGCTTTTGATACGTCGAAGGGCCTGTACTACGTAGAGCCAATCCGCGATGCTACAGAATACACCATCTCAAGCATTGATGCCAGCGGTGGTCAAGACGGTTTCTTCGGAGGCAACGCTTTCCGACCGAGCATCAACGCGTATCAGTACGATAACGCGATCTCCATCGCCAAGCTGGCCGAGTTGAGGGGCGGGTCTGCTGATACCGTGACCACTTACAATCAGCGAGCTGCAGACATCAAGAGCCGCGTCCAGAATGATCTTTGGAACTCCACATTCGAGCATTTCACCGACCGATATCAGGTCAACAACCAGTATGTGAAATACTGGGATTTTATCCGCGGCCGCGAGCTCGTCGGATTCGTTCCCTGGGCACACGACCTGCCAGATGACACGCCTGAGTTCGCCGAGGCTTGGAAGCACGCCATTGACACCAACGAGTTTGCAGGACCCCACGGTCTGCGTACTGTCGGCCCCTCGTTCGAGTACTACATGCGTCAGTACCGCTACGTCGAGGAGAACGGCACGCAGCCCGAGTGCCAATGGAACGGTCCCGTCTGGCCCTTCCAGACCACTCAGGTGCTGACAGGTCTTGCGAATTTCCTTGACCACTACCCCAATGGCACCGCTACCGGCGTCATCGGCAAGCCCGACTACACCAGGATCCTGCAGCAGTATGCTAAGCTCCATTACAACCCCGAGCGAGGCAACATCCTGGATCTTGAGGAGGACTACTACCCCGATACCGGCTTCCCGATCGTCGGTCTGAAGCGCTCGCCCCACTACTTCCACTCTGGGTTCGTGGACTCTATCCTGTCTGGTTTCGTTGGCATCCGTCCCAGCGCCGACGATGTCCTCGAAGTCAACCCTGCCGCCGAGGCCTCCGCCATCTCCTACTTCCGCGCTGACGCCATCATCTACCACGGCCATGAGATCGCCGTACAATGGGACGCTGACGGTTCGCACTACGGGTCCGCTGGTCTCAAGGTGGAGGTCGATGGCCAGGAAGTCGCTTCGTCGCCCACCCTTTCCCGCCTGAGTGTCGCGCTCAGCCGCACTGCGCCTCCGGCCATCACCCGCAAGATCGCCAAGTCCATCAAGCTGAGCACCGACACCGCCTTCCCTGCCGGCAGCGCCTCCGTATCCGGCGTCGATGCTGCCTCGCTGTATGGTGCGATCGACGGCCGCATCTGGTTCTTTCCCGAGACCGATGTCGCGAACGGCTGGAGCACGCCCCAGGGCAACGGTACTGAGGTGTGGTTCCAGGTCGACTTCGGCTCGTCTACTGCTGTTAGCAGTGCTGAGATTGCCTTTTTTGCGGACGAGCAGCAGGGCTTCGATGTGCCTACGAGCTATCGCATCCAGGCTGCCAATGGAGACTCGTGGGTCGATGTGTCCGAGTCGAAGTATGCTGTGGCTGTGGCTAATGGAATCACCGAGGCCTCGTGGTCGGAGGCGAATAGCCAGAAGGTGAGGATTGTGTTCACGCCGAAGGATGGGCAGAAGGTCAGGCTGGTCGAGTTCAAGCTCTTCTAGTTATTTGAAGTGTTTATTAAGAATTGAAGTCAATCCAATATTTTGTTTAAGGCTGCCGGTCCTCCAAACTCAAGCGTGACTGGATCTGCATTCAGACCCAGTTCCAGTTGATATCTCGTGCAAAGTTTCCATTCATCTACGTCTTTCACTTCCAAGTGTCAAGTCTGCGATGAAGTACTATCCACAACTAACCAAGCTACTGGCAACCCAGCTCGATGGAAACCTCGTGAAAGAGAGTGCTATCGCAAGCGCTGCCTGAACCTCTATGGCTCATCGGTGCAAGACTTGTACCCATTGATGATGACGCGCGTCTCGCGCTTGAACCTACCCGCCCACTCCGTAAACTCCCTCTCGAGATCCAAGCGATAGTGATCGAGCTCAGCATCAACGTATGGGCGCGTCGCGCATGGCTTCAGGTTACCGTGCTTAGAGAACTTGTAGGGGCTGCCCGAGAGCTCGAGGAACCAGTTGTTGGCGCGCTTGGCGGCGTAGGGGCTGGTATTGGGTAGGTGGACCTGTGTTCGTCAGTGAATGTCATATGTAGTCAGGTGCACGAGTTCTGCACTTACGCGTACGAACTGCGGGACGTTGCAGTATCGGCCTTGGCCGGGGACCTCGTAGCAGTTGGTACCGAGAGGCGTGGAGGTGTAGGCGTAGAGAACTCGGCCAACGATGTTGAGCATGATTTCGCGGATCTTGTCGTTTGCCCACTTGGCTTCTGTCGTACGGAACCATGTGACAGCGCCGGCGATACCCGCAGGCGGCGTCTGAAGGTAGGGCGTTTTGAAGGCCTGCCACTGGATGCTGCCGCAGTATTTACCGTATGGGGAACCACAGACGCGGCCCATGGTGTCAGTGACGACGTTGTGGAGCTCATGGCCTACAACATTGCCGACGTTGACAGGTTGACGGTGACTACCTCCAGTCCAGACCTCCACAGTAGCCCAGCCCTGCCATTCAGTAGATGGATCATAGCCTAGAGCCGAGATGTCGTCGTCGGAGGTGTTGTCTACAGGCGGGTTAGCAAAGCCGAAGCTCCCAATAACAGACAGGTTGCGACCTACTAGGAGGCATGGTGAAGTTGAAGCGCTGCATTTCAACCGTAGGAAGCGGCGGAGCTGCGTTGATGACCGCGGCAAAGCCCAAGGCCAGCCCGCAGGCGAGCGACATGTTGAGGACTTTCATGGCTTGGAAATGCGATTAGAATGCGTGTTAGCAGCACGAAATTTGAAGGTTGGTTCGGAAGAAGTTAGAGTAGAGGTAATGGGGACAGTTCAAGTGAGAACTTATAGCAGTGGGGCTCTGGTGGACAGTGCACCAGTTGAGTGAAGGTGCGGTACGCCATCAGCCAAGATTGCAGGCAAAAAGTGAAAGAGAAAGCTTCTGTAGACCAGTAGATGGCCTTTGGTTCTGTTCTCATAGTTATTAATCAGCTATTGAGCACCAATCCGTGGCAGTTCCCTGAATTCCAAGCTCATGAACGACCTTTGCAGTTGCGAGATATGGTATCTCTCCATCTTCGACATTCAAGCTCCGCGCACTTTGTACCCAAGTCTTCGTACCTCCTCATTTTCACTCGCAATCCAGGTATCCAATAGTGCCTTAAGCCTATCATTCAGCGGTCCAACGGAACTGTCACGCCTCCAGCGCATCATCATATAAGCAGCCAAGTCGACTCGCAGCAGCTCAGGTGTCGTCAGCCACGACAGTCTCGTCTTTGAGATATCTCCGAGATAGATTGCCGATAGCAACGCATTCTGCCTTACCTGAACCCGCTCTTTGATCTGCTGGAGTTTCTCGTGGTACACGGATCCGCTTATCTCGTCGAGAAGGGCGGCCAGTTGCTGCGCATACGCCTTGCATTTCCGCTCGCGATCCTCGTCCAGGACGAAGTCAGGCCGACCGTCGATCGACAGGTCGAGGAGCGCTAATCGCCACAGGAAGACGTCAGGGAGAACAGATGGAATCCGATTCGGGTCGCGCTCCCACTCCCTCGTGCGGATACTGTTGACGTTCGCAATCATCAATTCGAGTGCCGCTTTCCCGTACTCGTTCCACCAGGTTTCCTCGCAGGATCTGTCTCTGTAAATCGAGGACACAAATGGCCCCAGTTGGCCGTACAATGGACCGTCGGTCAACAGCAGCTGTCTGAAGATTGCAAGGAAAGCTGCCTGGTATGCTTGCGCCGTGACAGACGAACTTTTATCTCCAGTCCTGTCTCTATCGAACCTAGAGATTGTGCTGAAAGGTAGCATGTTTGCCAACGGCTGCTTGAAATCAGGTCCATACAGGTCAAGCCACTTTCCGACTTCACTAATGCTCCTCAGAGCTGGGGTGCTCTTGAACGCCTGGTTCAGTGCACGGATTGGCTCTGGCGGGTTGATTCGGAAAGACAGGTAAGCCACGTATTTGTCGAGGACTGTTTTTGGTACGCAGGAAGGCTTCACATCTGAATTTGTTAGGACGTAACTCAGGAGGTAGAATCCCTTCGGAGCCGGTGGTATCGTAGCGTCTCGCGCCGGTGAGTCAGTCGATGCATACTTCTTCAAGAACAGCTTTGTCCATTCGGCTGTCTGCTCTTCGAGGACGCTGAAGATTGGAAATACGATACGCTCCATATACATGTTGAGAAGCTTGCCTTCCTCAAGCTTAGCGAGATGGCGCAGCACGGAGTCCAGCATAGGCGAGTCCTCTTCGACATTTCCAGTCGGAATCTGGATATCAGGTATCGATATGGGTTCTGCGAGTAAGTCTTCGGACGACTGTTGGTCTTGATGACCGCCGTTGTCACTGCCGATTTGTCCATTTGTGTGTTGAGGCACGGCTGTCCGCTCGTTCAGACTGCCAATCAGGGGTATGAAGGTTTCCAGGGTCGACAATACGATGTCCCACAGATCAGGCCGGTTGACGTCCAGCCTGCTCAAAAGACTCTTGAGGATACTGACTCGGACGTCAATATGAGAGATCTTCTGAGAAAGGCCTACGAGAATGTCTAACGAGGCTTTGTCGCTGATGTAGAAAGACCCGTTTAGTATCTGGGCAAGCGACTTCAGTGTTGTAATCTTGACATGAGGCGCCTTTGATATCACTTCATCCTCTGATCCGGTCTCGATTGCAGCCTTCCTCTCAAGCCCCAAAGCGTTCAGCTTTTTCCCGATGGCTTCGGCATACATTGAGATGCACTTCTTGGCGTCTGAAGCCGAGAGGCGGTGAAGTAGACCAGTATTGAACAGCACACGATGCCAGGAGCTGGCGTCTGGCCAATCCATGATAATCCTTAGGACTAGATCGAATGCCATGGCAGGGCTTTCACCTTGAATCAGGCCACGAATGAGCGTGAAAGTTGCTGACTCCAAGGTGGTTACGTTCTTCGTAGAGCTCGAGCCCAATCTCTCAACAAGTGTTGTGGCAACCTTGTGTACCAATGGGAAAGGCGCACATCTTACAATCGTGCATTGTGCAGCGTCCAAAGCCTTCAAATCATCAAGGGCAAGGAACTCCTCGTCCAGATACACGCAAGGAAACCGCACATCGTCTAACGACGGAAAAGGTGTTACCAAGAGTCTTCCAGTCGTGCCATATTTCGCATCCAAGTACAACAGCGCGGCCAACGCAGCAGCTTCCCTTGCTTCGGACTCAAATCCAGGTGGGTGACGACCCCAAATCGATCCATAAGAGCGACCTTCTATACGGACTGATGATGTCTTGAGTTTAGGACAAGGAGACAGCATATTAGGCTTCGAAACTTCGCTTTGCATGCCGAATGTGGCAATATCAACATATGTGGCCGGTCCAAGACTGCGCGTCTTACTTTTAACATCCTCTGGTCGGCCGTCAAGGGGGTTCCATTCTTGAGTCTCCGACGGGTCGTCCGACTCTGGCATCCTCGGCCATCGCACCGGTTCGTTTCTTGGTATTATACCGCCAAGCGCGTTCCTGAAGTGATATGGAATGATCGGGTTCCAATAACTAGAAGCCTCTTCTGCGTTCATTCTTCCCACACTCAGAGGACCAGTGAGATGGTTCCAAACCTCGCTCAGCCTCCTTTTCTTCACTTCTGCTACGCATGACTTGGGAATGTAGAGGTTGATAGCGCAAGTGTAGCTGTCCACAAATTGGCCAATAGCTTGCCGTATAGCTTTGTCAGAGCTCATCGGCTTCAGAGCAGCCTCTGAGTCCATGAAGAGCGTCCCTTTCACTCGCGAGAAGATGTAAGGTAAGACCTCATGAAGTTCTACAGACTGTGCAGTACAGGCTTGAAACAGGGTCCTGCATTCTTCAAACTCACCTGAGAGAAGACTCTGTAGCGGCAACCCGCGCGGCAATGGATCGGGCAGAGTGAGAACCTCGGGATACCTAGCCGGTCTCAACTCCGTCCACAAGTCGTTCCTGGCCTTGGCCAGATTATCGATGAATCGCCACACATCCGTTGCACGGACATCTGAAGTGATGACCGAAAACACGTATTGCCACGATGTAATGAAACCGCAAGTTGACCTGGCATCGAGACGTGTGTACTCCTCGTCGTTCACCAGTCTTTCTGCCCGCAGAAGCATTTCGATTGTGTCTTCCCAGAGGTCTTGGTATAGGTCTTGCCCAGAAACTGTCCCTTTCCTGGTCACTTCCGCTGACAACTCCACGCGTTTCTTAACGATACGAGCGAGTAACCCCAAGGTCTGGCGCCACTCGTGGGAGCGAAAGGAAGGCTCGCGTATCGCTAAGCAAGCGATATCAAGTAGATCGGACAATATTGCGTTGGCTTGTCTGACTCGTGGGCCAAGATCCTGCGGCACCAGAGTTGAACTGCCTTGTACAGAGAATCCAGAGAGCAGGCGACAAGTCTCTGTATAGTACGTCGAGAAGAGCTTTGAGGCTGTCAGCTGATCTCGAATGAACCCTTTGGCCCACTGCACGGTTTTGGAGAGAATCGCGAGGGACCCGCTGGCATGTGCACACGCCCAGACAGAAAGTGCATGCAATGCGCGTGCATCCCTGTTGGAGCTCGTTCTTGTGATCTTCTTGCGCGACTCTATGATATCAATAGCGTAAACCTCTGCTTCCTGTTGCCGCTCATTGCGATTGAGAAGGACGAGATAGTATATGTCTGGGTCTCCATCGTTCGCATCGGAAGTCCGTTTTGTTGCTAGTACAGACCCATAATCACCTTCTTCGACAAGCCCCACGTCGCCTCTAGCACTGCGGAGGCGCTGGAACAGGCCCAGTGCCGCAGAATCTTCAAGACAACTGAGCAGACGCGGGGAGAGTCGATCTTCAGCCTTGGACAGGTCTTGCTCCAAATCGAGATCCAGATTCATGGTTTCTTTGCAGGTCAAGTGCAATAGTGCATATCGTCGTGACTTGGGTACACGGGCGAGGAGCGTTTCGACATCTCTTAAAGAAGGCTTACTGTCGAACACGATCTGGAGCAGGTGCTTGAGGTGGCTTTCGAATAAAGCCGATCGTTTTGACCAACATATTGCTACCATATGCAGTACACCGCCTTTTTCACTGGTAAGGATCTTTCTTGCATCGTGATGCTGCTCGAGGTATTCCATGGTCAAGTTAACAATTTCTTGGGTTCTAGACCAGGTGACACGTGTAGAGCCGGCATGCTTACGACTGGCACACTTACCGATAGCACGCCTGAACAAAGGGAGAATGAGCTTTCTCAAAGCCCATTCCGTCTCTATGTGCTCGGAACGGGTCTTAACAACATCGCGAAGCAGTCGGAGCGCGAACTCCATGGAAGCCGAAAATCCTGGCTCAGAGACTGAATGTGATAAAGGGCTTGTCAACAGCTTCTCAAGACGAATTCGGCATTTCTCCTTGTCCTGCATATCAAGCGTTGGGCGTTCGAATACCGCACGCAAGGCGGCTCTTTCTATGCTGCTCGGATGTTGTTGGAGCAGGTTTTTTTCGTTGACGAACTGCCACTTCCCCTCTTGTTCCTCACTGAGAATCCAATCAGCGAACTCCTGAGTACAGCTTGATACAAGTGCTTGGTAGAATCCGGTCAATGGCCGCAAGTCGTTTGTTTTGGCAGTGGCGTCCGGAAACGCCTTGGGGTGTAAGCCTTTGAACAGCTCAGTCACACGCTCTCGTTTTCTGGTCGTGTCGCCATCTTTTACACAGCGACCAATTGCCTTGCACGCAGCCTTAACCTCGTGTACTGATAGATCGCTGAAGATCTCCAGTAAGCCTGCTGTGCCGCCAAGACCCTCCCAGAGCTTCTCCCAATGTGTAGATTCGAGACCGGTCTTTAGTCGCGCGATTCCAAGGGACCTAATATACAATGACAATTTCTGCTTGAGTGATTGTTCAACGATAGTCGGAGTCTGGCAGACACGGAACCAAGCCTCAAAGGTGGTCGTCAATAGTGACCCGCGCTCAATAGCATCCAGGAGTTCTTGGGTGATTATTTGGTCCGACAATCTCAATTGTAGACTTTTGAACTCCGAGGGTAGCTCGTCCTCAGCCAGGGCTCGAAGGCGATAGGTGTTGATTGATGAATGCATGTTGGCTGCACGTATGGTCAGACGGAAAGAGGCGTGCCTTTTGTACTAGACAAAGCAAATGATATTGAACGATCCTGCCGCACCGGTGAACAGAAAGGGCGGGTTGTCCGAGATTTGAGGCTCAGACTTGTACTATGCTCTATTAGGCAGATGCGAAGGTTGTGACCCTGCTACTCGTTGCTGCTCATAGAATCGAAACACTCGAGGTGATGCTTCTAACAATGATCAGCATTGTTCCTCTACCGATGCTATACGTCAGGGATAGTACAGCGGCCTTGTGAAGGGCGGGGCCAATGTGGAGAAAAGCATCGTATTATCTCGAGATCAACGAACGATGGCGCTAACCCCGCCCTTTTCTGCCCCACTTTCGTGATGACTCCCTACACCAACCAACACGGCGCTCTCATCTTCAACAGTCCAGGCGTCGGATGCAGTCCCTATCAGGTGGCTGTGAATCTATACAGTCACGTGTCATGGAGCTGGATTGCAGGCGGTGTGAAGAACGGCAGCCAGTCATTCAGCCGACGTAATTACGCAAATCTGCCCCTACAAGTGCTGTGAACGTCTACAAGCGGCCGGGAGCAAGAAATAGGAAGTGGCTAAAGCTTGGAACGAATGCAGCTTGTCGCAGTTGTGTTAATAGCATGATGATACAAGTCTATACCCAGCGCCAGTAAAACCAAAGCGGGGCAAAGCAAAGTGCAAAATCTATCAAACGTACATGCCACTGGAGGCGTCCGAAGGCTTTCCTTGTCCACTCGCAGTCTGCACAAGAGGGATGTGTTCAAAGCCGTTTGTCTCCCAGAATGGCTGCTGTTTCTTCCTCCCCCCACCCGTCACCGCGATCGTCAGTCCACACGGATCGATAAACGTCATGAACCACGGCATCTCGTCCTTCCAGCCCGGTCCCTTGAGCTCCGTCTTCCCATCCTGCGCAAGGTAGACATGGTAGTCCTCCGGCAGATAGCGGCGCGGGTGTCGGACGTTCCACAACACAGTGTTCATGAGCATCAGGCTTGCTTCGAAGACCCAGAAGAACCACTCGTAGCGCACGATTGGTGACAAGGACATTGGGTCCCAGTTTGGCCGGGGGTTGGCGGGGACTCGGCTGGTGCCGAAGTGCTCGACGATGCGGTAGATTGTGCGGATCAGGATGAGTGTCATGCTGATGTACATTGTCCACAGGGGGCCTTGCACTTGGCGCGAGGTAATACCAGCCCTCACGCAGCGTCTGTGGAAGACGCCAGAGATGACGCAGAAGATTGAGATGACCCCGAGTTGGCAGATGAGCGAAGCTTTCATCAGGCCGTAGCCGATGTTCTGCCTGCTCTCGCCGGATTCTGGTCTCAAGAGATACGAGACGCCGAGAGCGTTCATGACTTCCACCCCAGCGGAGAGGAGTCCGAAGGTGGTAAGAGTGCGTCCTGGATGGAGTGGCGCGAAATACGGGACGTAGTAAAGAATGCGTCCAAGGACATGGTAGTTGGCCAGCTCGAGAAGTGGAGGGGCGCAGTAGATCAGGAGGTTGCTGGCAACGAACGTCTTGATGTTATCAAAGTTCCAGGCGTCATATATGCGAAGAGCGAAACCAGCTGTGAACATCAGGGCACACATAGGATGCAGGGCGGTGATGCTCCAGGACCTGTACTTGAAGCATTGCCAGACGTGAGCGATGGATGCGGCGAGGAAGCATGCTGCGAAGATTGGAGGTGCGATTTTGGTGGGCGCGTAGAAGTACAGACTACCTTCGACTGGAGTGCCGTCTGCTGCCATGGTGAATGTACTGAAACGTGTTGATGAGAGTGTTACCCATCTAGCGCAACTGTCTGCACTTATATTCACACTCCTGCATAGCGACGGTATTGCTGTGACCTACCCTCCAGAAGCAGATTATCACGAAGTGGTGCGTAGCCAATGGGAAGTATACAGGCTAGTACGGATGAGTATAATTCACTGTCCAAGACTTACGTTGAGGCCTTGCTGGCTATGTCAAGCTTCGTTCACATCGGCGCCGGTGAGGCTTATGCAGACTGCATGTACGGCATCTCGCGCCGCAATGTGGCTGAGATTGTGCCTGTCGATATGTGCAAGAGGTAGGCACAGCCTAAATGATGTCGGTATCTCCGAGATACATCATCTCACGCATCAAGCTATGTGGCAATTCCTTACGTTACCAATCGCCCAGTGAACTTTGACGATGTGGCTGTCTTATTTGCTACTGTGATATTTGGGGAAGATCGCTAGTGGCTAGCAACTACGTCACCGATCCGCTCCTCACCTTTCACTGCGAACCGCCGTGACAATCCATCGCAAGGCTAAGCGGGTCGCACGACAGTAAGATGCAGCCGCATCGCTCATTTGTTGGAGTGAACTTGGCTCGGCTTGACCGAGCGACTGAACGCACGCAGGGTGTTGCTCAGCCCGTCGGCACTAAGCCGAATTCGGAGAATACAACGGCCAAGAAATGAGGCTGCTGACACTGCCAACGACGAGGGCGGAACAGGTCAGCACTGCCAATCGGAGGCGGCTACACTCGACCATCCAAGGCAATAAAGATGCAGAGGAGCACGTACGCACCGTTTAGACTGCCGCCAGGTCACGACCGCCTCGATTCTAGTACACGCCCAGCGATCCCGCCTACAATTGTCCACAAGTGAAGTCATGAAGACCGCCGAAAGCGGAGAAAAGAAAGCGCAGCGTCAATGCTGGGAGTGCCTCAAACGACGCCTGGTATGCGACCATACCCTGCCCCACTGCAAGAAGTGCATCAAGGCTGGCAAGGAGTGCCCAGGATACGACGAGCAGAAACCGCTGCAATGGGTCGAAACCGGGAAGGTGACGTCCAGACGAAGGAAGAAAGATGTTGCGCCGAAAGTGTATGCGGTGCGGCCAAAGAAATCCGAGTCAGTGGTTCCGCCAGTTACTGTTTTGCCTGTTCCCGTCTTTGAGGAGCTCGACACGTTTAACTTCACGGATCCAATTACACAAGATGATAGCCCAACGCTTGAGTGGCCCAACTTCCAAGATGCATTCCTTAGGCCGGACGCGGTTGGAAGCTACAAATCTCAACTCGCAAACCTATTGGTTCAGGAAGAAAATGCAGCATGGTGGCACAGCTTGACTGTAGAAGAGCAGGCGGACCACATCGAAACGATGGCCAGGAAAACCTCGGCGAACTATGCAGTGGCTGACCGAATCATGCGAATTGGCGGCCGGAGGAATCTTGAGGCGATGCTGAAAAGAGGCCATGCACACGAGGCTGCAGCTTTGATGCAGTCCGATCAAGATCCTCTAGAAAAGCTGCGGAGACTGCTGTGGATCATGGAGATGAACCAGCTTCCATCGTATGACTACTTATCAAACGAAACTACTGAAGTGGTGCAGTCAGTCAACTATTGTACGTTTAGTCCCAATGTCCAAGGTTTATACTTACCCGCCAGTCAACACTAGGGTTCTCCCCAACACCAAAGCAGCCGACACTCTAGCACCCAACCCAGCTCTGATACACTTCCCGCTATGGGCCTTGCATGTCTTGCCTCCTGCTATGCACCACACGCTTGTCTGCTTAGGCCTGAATCATTACATTCACTCGTTGCCGCCCGGCTCCAACCGCGCGGTTGTCGCTAGCAATCGATCGAAAGTGTACAAGTATCGAGGCCTTGCTATTCGGGCTCTTAGTGAGAATGTCGCAAAGGAGACCACTCGCAGCAGCGATCTCACGATCAGTAGTATCCTGATGTTCATGTCCATGGAAGTATGTATGTTTCTGAGTCTTCGACGCCGTGAGACTGATTGAATCCAGGTTCAAAATTCAAGCTCTGGAGACTGGCGGTCACATGCCCATGGAATGAAGCGTCTGATAGATATGCGCGGTGGATTTGGGCCCCTCATACTTGAAGCTCCCTACCTGACTTCGGCGCTCGTTATCTTCGTGATGTAAGTGCATCTTGTGTTGGGCGATACTCTGTCTGACCCCTGCAGCATTGTGACGTTTTCCAACAGTCTTGGCCCAGCTGCGAATCAGATCAACATCACCGAGCCGCTCGAGCAGCACATCAAGGAAGTAGAGCAGGTGTACAGCCTGATCTTTCCTTACGTGCTCTGCCCACCAACGCTGTTTGTCGAGGTCATTCGCATCAATCATCTCCGACAGGAGGTTACTGCATCACCCTTTGAGACCCCAGTGCAGCATTCCCTGGACGCACACGACATACTCGCTCGCATCGAGGCCTTTGTACCCGAGGACTGGGCCCAGCCAGGAGAGCACAACGACGACTGGCAGCTGATCGGCTCCATCTACCAGGCGACCATCGCCCTGTTCTGCACCATGTCGCTGGAAGGCATCGGCGCCCTGCCCAGCAGCCTGGAGATGAGCACCATGCGCACGATCCACGCCACGCGCCTGCTCGCGGACCTGAAGACCGCCTCCCACTCCCTGCACCTGGTGAAGTTCTCGCTGTTCCCTCTCGCGGTGCTCGGCGTGGAGGCCGGCTATCACGACCGGCAGAGCACCAGAGTGTGGATCGAGCGGCGGCTGGAGGAGCACAGTGTGCTGCTGGGCACCAGCAGTCCGCTGAAAGCTCAGGCTGTGCTGCGCCGGTACTGGGCGCGCGGGGAACCGGGCTGGGATGAGTGCTTCGACAGTCCGTACGTGTTCATCCTGTGATGCGGTGAGTGGACGATACTGAGAACCACAGACATACCATCCTCATGCCAGCGGGTATTGCTTGATGTGACGCCGGTCGTGACTGGACGCACTTGCCGCATCGCTCTCGCCCGAGCACGCCTGCCCAAGCGACTATCGCCTTGCGTGATCCATCCACGTAGCTGCCTCCCCGACGACTGCGATGGCTGGATGTGTGTGTCGGTGAGGCAGGCATGGTGCTCGTTGGCTTTATCTGCTTTCTGGCGCCCGCTCGTCTCGTCTCTTCCACGAACATCCGCTACCACTAGTATTATCCCACAGCATACCCGCTGCACGCCCGCTGGACAACAAATTATCACGTCGTGACCGACACTGCACGCACACGACTCCCACGAAGCAACACACTGAGCAACACACCGCAAACGACTGTCAGCATGAAGCTCATCAGCCTCCTCGCGATGCTCGGCGCTGCAATGGCGGTCGAGAACGAGTTGATTCCAGTCTGCATAAACCCCAGGGGCTGCGGCCTGTTCTGCGAACAGCCAGACTGTTATGTAGTTTCACGCTACCTATTCGTCTTTTGGCTCAAGATGGGCTGGACCTTCGAGGAAGTAGCCGACGAAGATGCTGCAAATTGCTACATGGAGCTCGTCCCAAACAAGCCTATGGGCAATGTCTCGTCGTTGTTGATTCTCCACGAGCACGTTCCGGGGCTCATGGCGGATTATCACGACCCAACGACCTGGAAGCAGATTTGTGAACTCTCCGATGTTCATGATGACACCCGTACTCGAGACGAGCTCTAGGAAGGAGTGTCAGGTGGCTGCCTGGCGCCCGGAGGTACGTCATATGGACGACGCTGTCTTCATGACTGACGCTTGACAGAGGACTGCCGTTTCGCTCTCGGACAGTGCTGCAGCGGCCTGTGCACGATGGACAAGGGCAACGCAACACTCAGCTGCCTGTGAAGACAGTAAAGGTCTGGCGTAGTCTGGCGCGCTGCATGTTCGTTTGGCCAGTATGTCGCGAGGAGGTGTGCTTTACATGGGTACCTGATCTTCCAGGCTGTTGGGGCCATTCTCTAGCTCGCAGCTCGTCATAGCAATTGACTGGGTATTCTCGTACGTGTTTTACATGGGTGTTCATACAGAGAGGAGTTGACCTCACATGTCCGTCCCTAACGCCGTTGATGCAACATAAATTTTTGTACACTGGACATCACCTCTCCAGCCCCTTCCCCTCCGGGTCCTCATCGCCCTTGGTCTCCTTGACGTCCTTGTACGGCCTGCCCGCATACAGCATATACCCCTTCTCCTCAATCGTGCCGGACTTCTCGTCCGCCTCAGCCCTGCCCTTGCCAAACGCGCCCGTCTCGAGCTGGCCCTGCACGGCAATGGGGCGGTTCCCGCGAAACCGCTTGCGCATATCGATCTGGCCCTTTTTGCACTCGGCATAGCCCTTCTGCAGCTGCAGACACTGCGTCGGGAGCGTGTATTTCAGCGGCGGCCGCAAGCAGTCGCCCGGCGAGTGGCGCTCGACCATGATGCAGTCGCTGTTCTGCAGGCAGAAGGCTAGGGCGGCTCCTGCACAAATTAAACGGTTAGCTGGGAGGTGGAGTGCTGTGGGGGGGGGGGGGGGGGGGGCATACGGATGTCTTTGCAGGATTGCGGCATTGTTGCGCTGCGGAGGGAATGGGTGGTTGTACGCGCCTGCTTTGGAGCCGCACAGCCGCCAAGCCTGCGATTGCGACCCCGGCCTGCAGGCTGCGGTGGAGGCTCGCTTGCGGCGAGCGAGGGGCGCGCGGGCCGCGGGGGTGCGCGCGTGTGTCACATGTTAGGCTAGGCGGCGCACCACGTCACTTCTCCACTGATACGGGGGTTGAGAACGGAATGGCGCGTGTTGGGCGAGTTGGTGCGTTCGAGGACGTCGCTGTGCTGGCATCGCGTGCTGGAGCTTTCTGATACTCGTTTCTGATACTCGCATTGAGATAAAGCAGAGCTGCGCCGCCGCGACTCGACTCGACTCGACTGTCCAGCTCGCCAGGGCCCAGCACCGCCGCAACTCGACTCGATTGTCGACGGCCCACCGCCGCAATGGCGCTCCGCATCCCGTTCCTCGGCCGCCTGCACCTGCGCGAGTATTTTGCGCTGGTGCTGTCGATTCTGCTGATTGCGCTCGAGAGCGTCATCGCCGTCATCACGCTCGCGCTGCCGACCCCGATCATCAACGCCTGCTACCGCATCACCCGCCGCGTCTTCAACCAGCTCTCGTCGCCGTCGTCGCGCCGGTCGCGCGACAGCAAGAAGGATGTGTGGAGCGCGATTGCCAACGCCGGCGACTTCGCCGAGCTGTGCGACATCTACGGCTACTACTGCGAGGAGCACATTGTGCAGACGGGCGACGGCTACCTGCTGGGCCTGCACCGCCTGGGGTGGAAGCGCGGCGAGGAGGGCGCGCGCGTGAACCCGGGGCCGGGCAAGGACGGCCTGCGGAAGAAGGTCGTGTACCTGCACCACGGGCTGATGATGAACAGCGAGGTGTGGGTGTGTCTGACGCAGCGCGAGCGCTGTCTGCCCTTCGAGCTGGTCGAGCGCGGGTATGACGTCTGGCTGGGCAACAACCGCGGCAACAAGTACAGCAAGAAGAACATCCACATGGCCCCCACCGAGCCGCGCTTCTGGAACTTCAGCATGGATCAGTTTGCGTTTCACGACATCCCGGACTCGATTGCGTATATCCTCGAGACGACGCACCAGCCGAGTCTGAGCTATATTGGGTTTAGCCAGGGCACGGCGCAGGCATTTGCGACGCTCAGCATTCACCCTACGCTGAACGAGAAGGTCGATGTGTTTATTGCGCTGGCGCCGGCCATGAGCCCGAAGGGGGTTGCGAGCGGGACTGTGGACTCCTTCGTCAAGGCCAGCCCGGACATTTTGTATCTGGCGTTCGGGCGGAAGGCGATCCTGGCGTCGGCGACCATGTGGCAGTCGATCCTGTACCCGCCCATCTTCGTGCGACTCATCGACACCAGTCTAAAGTTTCTGTTCAACTGGACCGCGGTCAACATCTCCCCCGACCAGAAGCTGGCGAGCTACCCGCATCTGTACTCGTACACGTCGACCAAGAGCGTGGTGCACTGGTTCCAGATCATCCGCAACGGCGTGTTCCAGATGTACGACGACGAGGCCCCCAGCCCCATGACCAACCGCTCCAAGTACTACAAGGTCGCCAAGTTCCCCACCCGCAACATCAAGACGCCCATCGTCCTGGTCTGGGGCGGCTCCGACAGCCTCGTCGACATCAACGTCATGCTCAAGGAGCTCCCGCGCCACACCATCGCCAAGGAGATCCCGCACTACGAGCACCTCGACTTCCTGTGGGCGTCGTCGGTCGACAAGCTCGTCTTCCCGCACGTCTTCGACGCCCTCGACAAACACGCCGCCGCCGCTCCCACCTATAAGCCGGACTCCCTCCGCTCGCCCGTCCACTTCACAAAACCGCTCGCCTCGCCGCGCCAACCCGCCCCCTCTGACCCCAACGCCAGCGACTCCAGCACCGCCACCACGCCCCCCGCGACCAAAGTCTCCCAAATCACCCGCCGCACCGTGCTCTCCGACAACGAAGACACGGAGCCCAGCCCGCGCTCGCGCCTCGCACACCTGACACGCACGCCCACGCCCGCACGCCCCGCATTCCCCTTCACCCCCGCCTCACCACCCTCCACATCGCCCCTTGAAGCGCTCAAAGAGCCGTCCCCCAGCGTGACAAAGGTGCTCGCGCTCTCCCCCGCGCCGTCCCATCTCACCTCGCAAACCGCGTCTTCGCGCCCCGAGGGCTGGTGGTCCAGCGACGACCCCGAACCCGCGAGCACCGAGCCCGAGCCCAGCACCCCCAACCCCGTTAAAACAGCGCGCTCGCGCCGCAGCATGGAGAGTCTGGGCAGTCTGGGGAGTCGCGGGAGTCAGGGTCAGGGGCGGTCGGGGAGGATTGTTGGGGAGCGCGGGATTAGTCTCGGGAGTGCGAAGGCGGTTAGTGCTGTTGTTGCGGGGGAGGGGGTGGGGGAGTCAGGAGGTGGTGGAGGGGGGAAGAGGGTTAGTTGGGGGAGTGGGAGTGAGGAGATGGCGGGGAAGGAGATAGCATCGGCAACGGGAATGGGGACGGGAAAGGACGCGGGGAAGGGGGAGGCAAAGGGGAAGGCCGCGAAGAGGAGGAGTGGGAGTGTGCTGTCCGCGTGAGTTTGAGGGCGGGGTGTGAGTTGGGCTGTGGGCTTTGGGCGTAGACTGTGCTATGCCGTGCGTTTGAGACGCACGCCCTGGTTTTTTTCTTTCTTGTGTGTTGGTTTTTTCTTGAGGGGTTGAAATGTTAGAAGAGGGGTTCTGCGCTCGCGCGTACTGCGTGGTTTGCTTGTTTTGCTAGTTAACAACGGTTGCGTGGTTGGTAGATTGTACGAAGAAGGGGTGTGGTATGGGTGTACACTTGTAATGCGGTCTTGATGACCGCTGCGTGAAATAAAGTCAATGTTTCAGTATATCGGTATGTCAGTATCACTATATCAGTATCAGTATATCAGGGGTATCTACATCCATCTCGTCTCATCTAATTCCGTCACAATCCCGCCCACCTTCTCGTCAAACTCGCGCTTCCACAACGGCATCATCGCGCGCGCCCGCGGATCCTGCACATCCATGTCAAACACCTCGAGCACCACCTCGTGCCGGTCCGCAATGTCCTGCGCCGTGTTGGACCGGAACTGGCGGATCACGCAGCGGTCGAGGTTCCGCAGCTTGTTCGACCGCCGGTCGATGATGTTCTTGACCAGCGACTTGAGCGCCTGCTCCGCCGGCATCGGGTAGTCCGTGTTCAGGTGCATCTCGCGGATGCTGGCCGGCAGCATGTCGCCCAGGCACGGGATGTCGCTGTGGGTCCACGCGGTGGCGCCGGTGGGCGTGAACGCGTCGCGGCCCAGGCGCTGGCCGCTTTCGAGCGGCGGCCCGCAGAACGGGAGAACGTCGACTTCGAGGCGCTGCAGCGCCGTGAACGAGTGGAACGACGACAGCCCGTTGACAATCTCGCCGTGCAGCTCGTCCACCGTGATGGCCAGGTCCAGCAGCGTCTTGCCCAGGTAGTCGGCCAGCATCTGCAGGAACTCGCCCGGGTTCCAGTCGACCTGCAGCCCGTCCCACTTGGTCTGGTGCGAGTACTTGAACGTGGTCACGGCGGGCGTGTGCATGATCAGGACCTCGAGGCCGCGCGCGTCCATGCAGCAGCTGGCCAGCTCGATGCGCGTCAGTGGCGAGTCGACGGCGTACGGCCAGTGGAACGAGATGCCGCCCCAGTCCTCCTCGACGGCCACGCAGCTGACGGCGTACAGGTTGCGGATGCTGTCCAGCACCATGAACGGGTGCAGACACTCCAGCCCGACGCGGATGTCGTAGCCCTCCTCGCTGAACGGCATGATGGTCTCGAGTGCCTGCAGCGCGCGCCCCCGGTTCTGGGACTTGTCGTTCGCAACCGCGACCAGCCGGTCGACAAGCGGCACGAGCACCTCGGCCGCCTCGTGGCGCCGCACCGCGTGCCACCCGTCCGGCAGCTGCAGCGTCCGCAGATTCGGCAGCAGCGCCAGCAGCGCCATCGTCCCGTACAGCGCATCGAGCGCCTGGATCCCCACCGCGCGCCGCTCGTCCCCCATCCCCTCCCACCAGCGACTCTTCCTGCGCTCCCCGCCGAAGCTCGCCCACCACTCCTCCATCACCCCGGTCTCCCTCTCGCTCCACCCCGCACCCTCCAGCGCCCCCCTGAGATACCTTACCGCGCCCGCATCCGCGCCAAACGCCCGCGCAGCCTCCCAGTCCTCATCAGCCCCCTGCCAGCGGTCCCACAGCCCCAGCGCCTCCACATACTCGGCGACAACGGGCTTCTTCGCAATCGCGTGCAGCAGCGCCAGCGCGTCCGTGTGCGCCGCGCCGCGCTCGTCGTCCTGCGCCGGGCCGTGCTGCACGCTGCGCCACCGCCGGCGCATCGCATTGTGCTCTGCGATCTGGGCGCGGGCGCGCGCGTACACGGCGCGGCACGAGAGGACGAGCGCCGGGAGCCCCGTCGGGCCGGCGTAGTCGAGGATGTAGTCGAGGATTTCGGGGGGGAGGTCGAGGAGGCCCATGGCGATGGGGTGGGGGGTGTAGGCGTGCTCGCGTGCGCGGTGTTGGTGTGTTTCGTTGCCCGCCGTGCTGATCGGCGGGGGGCCGCAAATAGATTAGAATATTAATGATTGCCACGCGAGGATGGCGGGGATTTATTCCGTCCGCTGGGGCGTGTGGTGTGTCAGCCCGCTAGCCTGTTTGGGCGTACGGCTGGGACATCGTCGATGCAGGTACCTGGGTACTTCGCACAGCTTGACGCAGAACGCGGTTGAATTGGTGTTCCGGGTTCAGTTGCGCGGCGGTGGCCTTTGTAGTCGATCGTGAAGATGGTGGCTTGGTGGAAGTCGAGAGAGCACCACGCTGGAAGATTAGGCACGGGTTTGCGTTTCCACATGAATCTTAAGTCGTGTTTAAAATAGTCACGCGACACAGGCGACAGATGAAACCTGCAAAATGCAAGGGCTAAACGTGCCAGTGTTCTCGAATAGATAATTCTACTAAAGAACGCCAATCCACAGAGTCGTCAGTTTATCTCGATACACATCGCAGTCGCCAACCCCGTCCACACAACCAAGACAACCAAGACGCACACCACCACATCCCCCGTCTCCCACGCCACCTCACACACCACCCCCAGACCCTCACCCCTCCTCTCCGCGCCCACCCACAATCTCCCCGCCCTCGATCACACACGTCTCCGTCCCAACCAGCACCCGCATACTCGCGACCTCGAACAGAAACTCCTCGTCCGGCTTGACCACATCTTGGTAATACGGATCCTCGTACGCCTTTTGAAAGTCCTCGTATTTCCGCACGTAGAAATCCGCCGTGCCGTCGTAGGACAGCGTGGGCTGGGACGTGAGCTGCTTGTGCGCGGTGGGAGTGTGGTACTGCAGTCGTGAGTTTGTTGGTGGTGGTGGTGGTAGGGGGGCGAGGGGCGGGGCCAGGGGAGGGGAGGTACTTGGGTGTATTTCACCACGCCGTGGCGCTGCAGCCAGGACGCGACAAGGGGCGCGTGGCGGGTGGTCCAGTGGGCGTGGAACTGTTCTTCGGTGAGGTTGCGGTTGCGGTGCGCGAGGACTGTTATGCGGAGGAGGGGTTCTGCGGACATGGCGGTTTGTGGAGTAGGAGGGCGCACTGGGTCACGGAAGAACGATATAGAGCGGACCAGGTTGCAGCGCTTTACGCACCGATGACATCACGACTTCAATGCAGTAGACATCCTGACGGTCCTATTCATGGCATTCAGCTCAGCAGAACCAGCCGCCGTCGACGGGCAGCGCTACGCCCGTGATGAACGAGCTGGCGTCGGAAATCAGGAACTCGACTGTCGCTGGGATCTCCTTCTGGTGCGCCGTCCGGCCCAGCGGGAGGAAGCTGTAGTCCACCTCCTGGCCCAGCATCTCGTAGCTGTTGCGCAGCATCGGCGTGTCCACGGGGCCCCTGCGACGTCAGCGCTGTCACTCGCATGCGCGGCCAACTTACGGGCAGAAGCAGTTGCACCTGATCTTCCGCTTCCCCAGCTCCTTGGCCGCGACCCGCGTCATGCCGATGACGGCGTGCTTGCTGCTCGCGTACGCCAGGTTGTTGGCCGCGCCCATGAGCCCGAGGATGCTGGACGCGTTCACGATGGCGCCGCCCTCGTTGACGTGCGGGATCTGCGCGCGCAGGCAGTTCCGCAGCCCGACGACGTTGACGCTGTAGATGAAGTCCCAGTCGGCGTCGTCGACGCGCTCGATCGGGACCACGTTGCTCTGCTTCCCGATGACGCCCGCGAGATTCGCACACCCGTCGAGCCGGCCGAGCGTGGCCACGGTGTCGGCGATCCAGGCGTCGACGTCCGCGCGCTTGGCCACGTCGACGGTCGCGGTCATGAATTGGGCGCCGGGATATGCTGTTGTGAGCTCGGCGTGCAGCTCTGCCAGGCGCTCGGTCTGGACGTCCGCGAGCGAGAGTTTGGCGCCTTTGCTCGCGAACAGACGGGCGGTCTCCAGGCCCATGCCTGAGGCGGCGCCTGTGATGACGATGACTTTGTCCTTGAGCGACATTGTAGGTAGAGAGTGATGGATTGCGAGCGGCGAGATGATAAGTAGTAGTACCGAGCCCCGCTTGGCTGCGTGGCTATCCTGGATAGCGCGCCATATGCGCTGGAGGAAAGGTCAACTGCTGTATCAGAGACGCAGTCGTGCTAACGGCATTGGATGGCTTCAAGTGACGACGAGCGGTCCAAGACGACCCCACCTCGGCGCTGACCCAGTTTGGACGTCGCAGGAACAACGTGCCGAGCTTGATTAGTTAGTCGATGTGGCTGCCGTGGAGGCCTTGAAACGGTTCCAAGTGGCTTTTATACGTCTCGTCCGCTTTTCTGATGAGGATGGACGTCACTCAGATGTGGAGCCGTGAACGTGCACGGCCTGGTACTAAGTCGTCTCTCACATTGCAGGATAAACGGCGGACTAAGAATGTGAGCTAGATATTCTACAGGATAGTAACGTAGAGAGAATATATAACAACTATGAAACGCTTTTTGCATATAATGTAAGCATTCTTTGACTGGATTCCAGCTTTAAGTACTATAATAGCTGTAAGGTCCATACTGAAGTCGCTTTCCGCCATTTTTTCTGACACTCGAGGTACCAAAGATGCCAGATATGGCCGCTGCTTACTGCTTTAAGTACACGCTGAAGCGATTGAAGCTGTTGATGACTTGGCGATTGTGCAATTTTTAGCTGGTCTACGCGCGTATTGCGATGTAAGAAAATGCAGTCAATAGTGTTCACCTACCTTAAGTCGTCCGTCAAAGGCAGGGAGCTGTCTCTACCAGAAAAGAAAATCAGAATCCTCTTACTTGTCATCGATACATAGATCTCCTAGGTTTAGAGAAGATTCGTTACCTTTGCACTCATCGTGTTGTGACGCAGGGTCCAGTCCACCACGCGACGCGAAGGTACACAAAACACCACCACTGCAATCCGCTGCGTCTTCTCGTCCGATGTCAGATCAAGACAGATATCCGTGCCTACTCTGATCTGCTTAACTGTTGCGCAGTACCTCGCCGGCCAATCTGGAAATGCGCAAGCTCGCGCAAATTTGCACGCAAGGCACTCGACCGGCCACTTGGTACGAGGTACTTGGAGAGTTGGACTCGTTCTGGTTGGCGCTGCTAACGCAAAGCTACCGGATGACTTGCTCGAGCGCGTCTTGCTTTGTGTTGTTTTGTCACGTAGCCTTGGACGTCTGGTCACGTGCGTCCGACTGCATATCATCGAACGCGGTGGAAATGGCGCAGCTTGGACGGGAATAAATGAACTGAGTGATGCTCGTTAATTGCATGAAGTCTGGTGTTCTCTGGACCCCGATAACATGGCGGTCGTCGACCGACCAGCCCCGACAGTGAACACCGGGTTCGCGAGCATCAAATCGATCAACATCGAATTCAAGGACGTCAGCTCTAGGGTCTGGAGCATCAACTACTCCTTGCCTGTATTTTTGGATTTTTCGATATCTCGTCGTCGTCGGTGGTCGACGATAAACGGCTGTGTCCACTACCACTCGTATGCAACATCAAGATATATCGCCTTGCATGAACGGGCGATAATATCTCCCACGGTCTCGAGGGTGTCTGGGCCAGCCACAGTCTCTGTTCGACCAGACCCGCAGCACGTTGGATTGTGGCGCTCGACCCTGCGCCCCCGTCCCACCACCCCACCACACGTCGGATCGAACTTCAAACCCTGGCTACGAAGCTCAAGCCCCCTTGGGAGAACCGCGTGGTCTGCCTCGTCTCATCGCTGCGTCTTGCTGCCGGGCTGGATTGAGCTTGTAACAGCATGTGTTGGCCGGCCCATCAAAACACAAACCCGCATAACTCACGCAAACCGTGCCCCCCCGGTCCCAGGTTTTGATGCTGCAACCCCCCAGCCGCCCGCTGCGCCCGGGCCAAGCGCCGTGTTGCTGTCTGGTCTGGTGTCAGTTTTCGGCCACTCCCAACCCTGAACACCTTTTCCTCTTTATCTTTGTCAATATATAACTTTCTTGTCCTTCTGTTTTCATCAAAAAACGATTTCGCGCCGGTAACTCAGTGGTAGAGTGTAGGATTGCAGCTCAGTGCAGTAAATCCCGAAGTCATGAGTTCGACTCTCATTCGGCGCTTTTTTTTTTTTGCGTTGAAGGTGTCTGTTGGGCGGGCAAACGGCACTCTCACACGAGCTTCACGGAGAGGTGAGAGCGGATGTGTCTGCTGGGATGCTGGTCGCTGCGAATTTTTTATTCTTTCACCTGGTGCGGCCACGACATGGGATTCGACATATTGTAAGTCCATCTGATTTATTGATTTATTCAATACATCTACTGCAGGAACTGCGCAACAAACTGCGCGACCTCAGCCGGCTTCTCGACCATCGGCAAATGGCCCGCGCCATCGACAACCTTCAGCTCCACGCCCTTGCCCAGCTTCTCCGCCATATTCTCCTTCATCGTCTTGGGCAGCACGCCGTCGCCCGCGCCGACCAGAAACGCGCCCTTGCCCTCGTACGCCGCCATCTTGCCGCGGATATCGTACGCGTGCAGCGCGCGCACACCCGCGCGGAAGCCCGCCAGCGAATTCGTCTTGACCAGCTGCTTGACGTGCGCCAGCTTCGGCGCGAGCCCGGCGTCCGCGTAGCTCTCCGCCACGAACCACCGGCGCGTGGTGATCTCCGCGAGCTCCTCGCCGACAACGGCTTCGCCGGATGATACGAGGCCCTCCTTCTCGGCCATCGCGACGCGCTCGTTCCACGCTGCGGCGTTGGTGGGCGGCGCGTATGCGTTCGTGTCGCACCCGATGAAGGACGTGATGCGCTGCGGGTACTCGAGGGCGACGTTGAGGCTCGTGGCGCCGCCCAGCGAGACGCCGACGATGCTGGCGGTCTTTGCGCGCAGGGCGTCAAGCAGCGTGATGACGTCGTCGGCCAGCACGTCGATGGTGACGGGGGTGATGGAGTCGCTGGGCAGCGCGGTGCGGCCGCGAGTGTTGTATCGCAGCACGCGGTACTGCGGCGCCAGGCCGATGAAGTGCTCCACGAAGTCGTCCCAGATGGTGTAGTCGACGAGGATGCTGTTGCTCAGCACGAGCAGCGGCGCGTCCGGGTCGGCGCTGCCCTCGAGGCGGTAGTCGAGGTGCACGCCGTCGGGCGTTGTGATCTTGCTCTCGATGACGGCGCGCTTGGAGGGCGAGGCGTGCGCCGGGTATGTCTTGAACAGCCCGTACTCGCTCTCCGCGGGCACGGCATCCGGCGAGCTGAGCGACGCGAGATCGCGCTGCGCCGCACCGAACGTGTAGTACAGCTCGTACACGCGGCGCTTGCGGTCGGCGACGACGTCGGCGTAGATCTTCTCGCACCACTTCGTCGTCGTCGCGGCCTTGAACTCGGGCCCCGCCAGCCCGTTCTCCGGCGCATACTCATGCAGCGCGAGGAACTCCTTCTGCAGCTTCGGGTTCGCCTCGAGATCCATGTAGCTCGTTACAAAGCGCCTGGTGCGGCGCCACCCAGGAACCTTCTGCAGCAGACCCACGTGCTCGTCCTCGTACCACCGCTTGATCTCGTCCTCCTTGCCCTCGCCGTCCTGCAGCGTGAAGCTCACCGCAATCATGACGTTTTGCACGCCCTCGCCCTCCACCTTCTGCAAGTCCGCGAAGTCAGGCCCAGACCACTCGCCTAGCAAGTCGTACGAGCGGCGGTCAACGAAGATCTGCGCCATGGTGTCTCGCTCGCGCTGTGTCTGCACGGGTGCGCTGCGCAGCCGCTGGTAGGGCTCGCGCGCCAGCCACTCGAGTTCGTCGAAGTCGTAGATGGCCATCCACTCGGGCTTCTCCTTCGAGCCTGGGGCGTCGAGATCGGTGGCGCGGTAGCGAAAGCCATTGTTGCAGAACGGCAGACGCAGGCGGTTGGGGCCGTGTTCATTCTGATACCTGGGTGGGTGAGCAGGTGGAGGCGTAAAGCGGTGTTTGAAAGGCACGAGATGGTGTCTCGAGGTAGATAGGATGCGGCTGCGGACGTCAACTTACCAGTCGTGGAACTTCGCGTCTGCAAGCCCTTCTTTCGGCTGCATCGTCACGTACAGAATGCCTGGGGTGGATTTGGCCGCCATTGTGAGTACGGCGTAGCAACAAGTCGAAGCGTGAGGTATTGCAGTCTCAAATCGCAACACAGATACACGTCCTTCGACAATTCAATCACAAAGGTACTAAGATGTCAGAGAGTGATCCAGGAAACTACTCCAGGAAGCAATCCACGAAGCACGAAACCCAGCCCGAAAACATCTCCGTCGTCACAACCCGAAGGCTCCGGGAGAACGCTTAACGCTCCGATGACATCTGCCGGCGTCCACCCCACCAGCAGCTGGCACCCCCGCCAAACGCGCCGACGCCGGAGCTAAGCAAGCCCGCCATGAGACGGCTGAGGACTGTGCTGGTTCCGATCGGAAGGCTTCGGAATTGAGGCGTGAAACATGTGACGATTTTGGAAATATCCAGGAATGGTAAGAGGAGGACGGTCATGGGTCAAGTTCAGCGTGATTCCATTGTATTCGGTTCGCATTGTGCCTCGCCTGAGCACTGTTCCGCTCTGCTCGCTCTCACTCACTATCAGTATCTCACTACCACCACCCCCTAATCATACCAAATCGCATTCATCCCAAACCCAGGCTCCGGAATCTCCAACCTCGCAACCCGCCCCAGAAACCCGTCCTGCCAGCGGTATATCTCAATCCCGCCCTTCTCATCGTCCGTCAGCGCAACCCACTCGTCGCTCCACGGGCACGGCGACACGGCGTTCGAGTGCCCGCCCGACGTCGGCGTCGGGTTGAGGAACAGCTGCCGCTCGATTGCACCTGAGGGCGCGAGTGAGAACGCCGCGATGTAGCCAGTCAGGTCGAAGGCGTTGGCGCGCGAGGTCGCGAAGAGGTGCTTGCCGGAGTGCGTGATGGTGACGACGTCGGAGCGGTACATGGTGTCTGCGTTGGGGATGCCTGGGGAGTCAGCTACGGTTTTCGTGAGGGAGAGGGGCCGTACCTGGGGGAATCAGGGGGTAGGATTTGTGTGTGTAGACGGGCAGCTTGGTGGTCGGGTCGATCACGTATTCGCACAGCCGGTTGCCGCCCTCCATCAGCGTGTACAGATACTGGCCGCTGGGGTGCATTTCGACCCAGCGCGGGTGGTCCTTGGGCTGTGTCGCCTCGGTGAAGCCCACTGTCTCCATGCGCCCGGCGTCGTCAGTCTTCTTGTGGCACCAGATGCGGTTTGCCCACATGTCGGCGCTGTACAGGTACGTCTCGGTTGGGTCGAAGACCATGCCGTGGATGGCTGTCTTGTCGCAGTATTCGTAGTTTTGGATGTTCTCCTTCATCGCGCCGGACTCATCGACAGAAAAGACATTGCCAAAGCCTGCGTGGTCGTAGAACGGGTTGCAGTACACATTGTACGGGGCTTTCTTTGCGGGAAGGTTGAAGATGGCGCGCGTCTTGGTGTCGGCGTCGTTCGCTCTGGCTGGGGCTGTTAGCTGGGCTGCGGTCTACGGTGCACAACGTACGGTGTCCGCCGATGGGGTGGCTGCCCGTCTGCACGATCTGGTCTGGCGCGTCGACGCGGAAGGAGGTCCATCGCTTCATCGACGAGCCGTAGATGTTCTTGCGTTGGTGCTGCCGCTATCAGCCATTGAGCTCTGCCACATCTTCACAATCCACATACGTCAAACGCCATCCAGCTAATCGGCTCATCATGTGGAATCTCCGTCTTCTTGACCAGCTCCAGCTTCAGCGTCTCGGTGTCGAAGGAGACGGTGATGATGACGCCGGGCTTCACCCACGTGCCACACATCAAGTGGTGTTTCGTCATGCTGGCGGCCGAGGTGTGGAATCTCGCGGTGCGTGTGTGTCTGCCTCCAATGGATCGTGCCAGAGACAGCATTGCCGTCTCCAGATCTCGCAGCCATCAATTCGCGACGCCAAACACCCGCGTCTGGAACCGAGAGAAAGCCGACTTGCACGCCCCACTAAGGCCGGCTCAGTCTTCTTCCACGAGGCTGGCGCTGGGGTATGCCATCAGGGGTGCTTTCGTAAGCAACACTAAACGTTGTTACCCCACCACAACACCAAATCGACTCAGCCATCTTGAAGCCGATGACTTATCACAAATTGAATCGCGTGAGCAGTCTGGGAGCAGCTCCAAATAAAGTGGCAGACCTCCTCCAGTATCTGTATAACCAAAGAATACAGCGATACAATCTTCAATGACAGACGATAGGTGGATGACTAAGCCCCGCTTCTCCAAACAGCGTAACTTTACAGCTCGCAGCCGGCTGAGACATCTTCCACGGCTCTTATGTTTGTAGGCTCTCCCATTGGTCAAACCTTGCTTCGACCACAATGCGGGGCACTTCAACGTCGGCAATCGCTCAGCTGCACGCCATCGTTCGCGTACCAGAGCTTCACCAGCCGGGCGCGCTGCCGCAGCTTCGAGAACCCAGATAGTCGCCTGATGCCCGGCTAGAGGCGCGGATTTTCAATGGTGCTAGTCTGGTTGGCTCGACGCCATATAAGAATGCTCCCCACATTGTGAAGAGTGCCACATACCATCATTCACTTGATATCATTCTTCACATCACAATGGCATCTGCACCCACATACCAGGAGGGCGAGGCGAAGCACCGCTTCGACCCCAACTTCACCGACGCTGTCATCAACGCCATCGGCCCCAAGGTCGACGACCGCACACGCTTCGTCATGAGCTCGCTGATCCGCCACCTGCACGACTTCACCCGCGAGGTCGAGCTGACCAACGAGGAGTGGTTTGAGGGTGTCCGCTTCGTCAACTCCATTGGCAAGACCACAACTGCCTCGAGAAACGAGGCCCACCGCATCTCCGACGTTCTGGGGCTAGAATCGTAAGTTGAACGACATCCGCAAGCAGCACGAGCTAACCCGCTAGGCTGGTCGACGAGATCGCCCACAAGCACATCAACGAGTCCGGCGAGGCGCCCACATCAAGCACAATCCTCGGCCCCTTCTGGTCGCCGCACTCGCCCTTCCGCGAGCTCGGCGAGTCCATCATCACCGACCCGCACCCCGACGGCCAGGTCACGCTGATGCACGGCGTGGTGCGCGACCTCGACACCAAGAAGGGCATCCCCGGCGCCGTCATCGACATCTGGCAGGCCAGCGCCAACGGCAAGTACGACTTCCAGGACCAGGAGAACCAGAAGCCGAACAACCTGCGCGGCAAGTTCACCACCAACGAGAACGGCGAGTACTGGTACTACTGCTACAAGCCGACCGCGTACTCGCTGCCCATGGACGGCGCTGCGGGCCAGCTCTTCAAGACGCTCGACCGCCACCCCTTCCGCCCCGCACACATCCACTTGATGGTCACAGCCGAGAACTTCAAGCCGCTGATTACCCAGCTGTACCCCCGCGACGACCAGTGGGTGCAGAACGACACCGTGTTCGCGGTCAAGGACGATCTGCTGCTCGACTTTGAGCCCAGCAAGGACAGCAAGGCCAAGTTCGACCTCACCTACAACGTCACGCTGGCGCCGTCGGGCGCTAAGACTGGCCGTCTGGAGGGCATTCCGCGTCTGCCGAACGTGTTTGACGAGCAGAGCCGGTTGTAGGCATGTGTTGTTTTGTAAATAGCGTTTAGCGTGTATAAAAGCATTTTCTCGACCACAAACAAAGATACAAGAATGAGCGAATGCATGACAGAACGGCCTGTGATGAGCATGGGAAAACGATTTCCCAGTGCCGACCCCGCTGCCGGTCTTGAGACATATATAATCGCCGTCCCTCGCACTCCAAACTCTCAATGCTCCTTCGCACTCGTACTCTCACACGTCTCGCCACCCGCACTACGACATCCACTCCTCCCACCACCCGCCCCTTCACCGCAACGACCCCAAGCACAATGCGCGTCCCCTACGCCCCCAACACCCCCCAAACCCCCGCCGCCGAACCAGTCTACGCCCGCATATCCGCCCGCCGGCACCCACGCCCGCTGATCCCGCTCGACCTCGCGCTGCTCCACAACCCCGCCGTCGCCGACGGGTGGTCCTCGTTCCTCGGCGCGATCCGCACGCAAACCAGTGTGCCAGCGGGGCTGCGCGAACTCGCGATCAGCCGCGTCGCGGTGCTGAACCAGGCGGGCCACGAGTGGGACGTGCACGCGCGGCTGGCGCTGGGCGCGGGCGTCAGCGAGGCCGCCATGCGCACTGTGTTCGATCTTCCATGTTTAGGTGGCGAGCAGGCTGAGGCTGAAGGCCAGAGGCTGGAGGACTTGTCAGAAGAGCAGCGGGCGGTGCTGCGCTATACCGATGAGATGACGCGCCACATTCGCGTTTCCGAGCCGGCGATGGCGGCGCTGAAGGAGGTGCTGGGTGAGACCCAGGTGGTGGAGCTGACGGCGACGGTGGCGGCGTATAATTGCGTCAGTCGGTTTTTGGTGGCGTTGGATGTGGGGGAGTGTAATGAGGGGGGGTTGAAGCGAGTGGAGGAGTTGGTGGAGGGGAAGGGCCATTGAGGAAGGATATCGGAAGGCGTGAGTAATGACAGGGTTGGGGGTTTTGGATATGGAGGTTTGTCTTGGAATAGGCTGATGTGTGCAGGGCTGCTGCACGAATGCTCTGCTGATTCGGAGCATTGCACAGAACCAGAGCGCCATACAGCAACTGCTCGTCTGACGGCGCTCTTCATATATTCCAGGAAAGAAGTTCCATGCAACTGCTCATTCCCACACCAATTACATCTTCTCACCCTTTCCTGCCCACGCTACCCTGCCCAAAGCTTGGCACCAGGCATATCACAGTGTGTACTGTGTGGCTGTTGGAAGGTCTGCGAGGTAGATACCCATTTCACTAACGGCACTCTTACACCTGGATGCTGCCAAGATCAATAGGGTAAGACTGAAACTATAGTAATCGACTGATTGAGGAGCATTCATGTATGTCGAGTCATTGACCTCGAAATGTGTAAGATGTTTTCTCCGAATGGTAGCCGCTTTGGTAAAGCCGAGCGGTCGCTTTCCGCCTTCCCCATCCGTGCGTCCCCACACGCCTCGGCTCAGCTAAGCCGCTGTTCTCCGCTTGCTGGACTACACAATTTCTCACACGATCCTCACAATCCCTACAACTCTCACACACAATGGCAGCCCTGGTCCCTCGCCTCGCACGCTCGCTCCGCCACGCCCGGATTGCGCCCCTCGGGATCCGCCACGCGTCGACCAAGCACCCCGCCAACTTCACACCACCGTCACAGAGCGACCTTGATGAGCTGCGTGAGAGCGTGCAGGAGTTTGCGCGGCGCGAGATCCCTGAGGAAGTCGCCGCACGCACTGACCGCGACAATGCCTTCCCCAACGACATGTGGCGCAAGTTCGGCGAGGCGGGCTTCCTCGGCATCACAGCAAGTGAGGAGTACGGCGGCCTCGCCATGGGCTACCAGGCCCACTGCGTCGTCATGGAGGAGTTGAGCCGCGCCAGCGGTAGCATCGGACTCAGCTACGCCGCCCACAGCCAGCTGTGCGTCAACCAATTGATGCTCAACGGCAACGAGGAGCAGAAGAAGAAATACCTCCCCGGCCTCATCAGCGGCGAGCGCATCGGCGCCCTCGCCATGAGCGAACACTCGGCCGGCAGCGACGTCGTCAGCATGAAGACCACGGCCGAAAAGGTCGACGGCGGCTACCTCCTCAACGGCACCAAGATGTGGATCACCAACGGCCCAGACGCCCACACCATCGTCGTCTACGCCAAAACAGAGCCCACCGCCGCGTCCAAGGGCATCACCGCCTTCATCCTCGACACCAACAGCCCCGGCTTCAGCGTCGCCGCCAAACTCGACAAACTCGGCATGCGCGGCTCCAACACGGGCGAACTCGTCTTCGACTCCGTCTTCGTCCCCGACGCCAACGTCCTCGGCCCCGTGAACCGCGGCGTGCGCGTGCTAATGGAGGGCCTGGATCTCGAGCGCCTGGTGCTGTCCGCAGGCCCACTGGGGCTGATGCGCGCCGCGCTCGATACCGCGCTGCCGTACACGCACACGCGCACGCAGTTCGGCATCCCGATCGCGCACAACCAGCTCGTCCAGGGCAAGCTCGCAGACATGTACACCAAGTACCGGGCCAGCGCGGCGTTTACATACGCAGTCGCGCGCGCCGTCGACGACGGGTTCGAGGCGCCTGTCGTGCGCACGCAGGACTGCGCCGGCGCGATCCTGTACGCTGCCGAGCGCGCGAGCGAGGTCGCTGCCGACGCCGTGCAGTTGCTCGGCGGCATGGGGTATATGAGCGAGGTCCCCGTGGGGCGGGTGCTGAGGGACGCGAAGTTGTATGAGATCGGGGCGGGGACGAGCGAGGTGCGGCGGATGGTGATTGGGCGCGCGTTTAATAAGGAGTATGCGGCGTCGTAGGGGGAGGGAGGAGATGGGAGAGCATAGCGGATGGTGGGCGGGGAAAGCATGCGGTTCGGAGGGTCAAGCATGGACCTCTGTTATACGTCTACGTACCACCAAAATATTCAAGCGTTTCTACTGCCCTTCTGTCCTGCCTTTCCACCATTCTATTGACGCCGGCAAGATCCCTGGGGTGCTAGCACCATGGCGTAAGTTACAATCATGAGCGAAACAAACCCCAACGAGAACGATGGTATGAACCAGCAGTACCACTTGCTCACCTGCGACACCGAACTCCTCATCCCAGACGAGACTGCTGCGCTCGAAGAAGCACGCAAGAAGCACGCAAGAAGCACGACGAAAACAGGCTCCGCGTAGACAGACTGGAGCAGAAACTGCTGGAACTCAAGGCTGTCTTATGCGGCATTGCTGAGGTTGACACTGCTAAGTATTGAGGCGTTTGTGTGGGCAATTGCGTGAGGCCGGAGAAGCTGGAGGTGTCTGAGGAGGAATAGCATTAGCCTCGACGCGGTGGAGAAGGCTTTCGAGGAGCAAGGCTGGGGGTGTGGATATAGGGACGGTGGGGCGGGGATTGCACTGTGCTGAAGGAGCGTGTATCCTAGGTATCTATCATCCACCCATTTCATGCACCCCTCGTGTCCCTGCACTAACTCTTCCTCCCCAAGCATCGCACCATCATACCCCCCCTCTCCCTCCCCATCCCGCACACCCCCAATCTCACACCCGGACTCCCCCCCCTCCCCCCCGTCGATATACCGACACGTCAGCGCAAACCGCAACTTCCCCTGATGCTCCACCGCATGCTCATAGAACCGCTGCACCTCCTCGCCCTGCATGAGCACGACATCCCCATGCGCGACCCTGAGCACCAGTGCATTGCGCGCAGACCCGCCCGCCTTGAGCCCCAGCTCCGTTGGAATCTGCTTCAGCCGAGCTCTGTACTGCTTCCCCGGCCCGGCGCGCAGCGCGGCTAACTCGGGGCCCAGCGCGGCGCGCGCGGCGTGCGCAACGCAGCCCGGCAGCGGCGGCGCGTCGGTGTAGACGCCCGCGCTGGAGACGCCGAGGTGGTGCTTGGATTTCAGCCGGATGCGCATGGTGCCCGGGGCGCCGAGGGAGAGGGTGGCGATGGTGGGGCCGAGTGCGGATTCGCCGTCGTCGTGGTACGAGATGCGCTGGGTTTCGAAGTAGCCGAGGGCGAGGACCTCGTTGAAGGAGTGGGCGGTGTAGGAGGCGAGGGGGGAGGGGGGCCCGGGCGGGGTTGACGAGGGTGGAGACGAGGGGGGCGAGGCCGCTGCGTCTTCGGGTGGGGGCTCGCGCGCCAGCAGGAACCGCGCGGCCCAGTCGAGTCTGGCGCGCGCCGTGGAGACGGGGTGCGGGTGCGGCGGGAACGGGTGGGACTCGGTGGCCGCGATGAACTTGTACGGCATCCCGTAGTTGACGCAGAAGTGGCGCGTGTAGATCCCGCCCTTGAGCATCGCGCCGTCCATTGCGCGGCGCCGCAGCCCGATGTCTTGCGCCTGCAGCGCCTCGAACATGGCGTCCGGGCCGTGGGGCTCGGCGGCGACGCGCGCGTTGGCGATCATGTGCGTGACGAAGCCGTCGATGCCGGGGAGCGCGTAGCGGTTGATGCGGTAGCCGTGGGCGAAGGAGACGGAGACGGTTACCAGCGGCGAGTGCGTGTCACGCGACGGCGTGTACGCGTTGGAGAGCGGCCAGAGGGGTTCGCGCGTGGAGAGCGCGGGGATGAGGGTGTGTGGAGGCGACTTGGTCCAGCCGCAGGTGCACTCCCAGCCGGTCCAGGACAGCCGCGAGGTGCAGCGGCCACAGCGCGGGCAGACGACGCCGCGGGTGAAGGCCTCGGAAGTGTCTTCGCCGGGGACGGCGTGGGCGGAGGTGGCTGCGTCGGTGGAGGTCAGGGGGTAGGTGTGGTCGTCGTTGGGCCAGGGGGTGTGGGCTTTGAGGAAGCGCGGGTCGTAGGTCAGCGATGCTTCGTCGGGCTCGAAGGGCGTGCTGCCGCGGCGGTAGTCAGACCCAGACGGCAGGATGAGCCAGAAGGAGCCGCAGGTCGGCTGCAGACACATCCAGCCATTGAGATAGATCTGCAGAGACTCGCGCGCACAGGTGCCGCAGGCCTTGCTGACCGGCGGTGGGAGTGAGCCAAGTTCGACAGGATCCTCAGTGTCTTTCGCCTGCCACCACGAATCCTTCTTCGCGTTGAGTTTTTCAAAGCGATAGCGCACGATCTTGCTTTTGCCGCTCTTCTCGGTCCAGATGTGGGTCGGTTTGAAGTGGTCCAAGACGCAGTACTGGTGTGGAGGCTGAGACGGCATGTGCGGGTTGTCAGTCCCTGTGATGATCACAACTGGATTGTAATGATTCATGCAGTTCCTCAGGTTCTGCGAGACTATGCCTTCAACCTGATCTCCAGTGGCCTTCATCTCGCCGGAATTCTTGTCCCTGACTTGGCCGCCGCCGGCTCGTGCGATGACGACATTGCTGTCGGTGTAGTCGCGGGGATGGGCAACTTTGTCAAACATGAAGCCCCTGACGAAGCCACCGGTGGAATGGCAGGCGCCTTGATAGCTGCGGAAGTAGTGCAGAGTCTCGCACAGATCCATTCGCGCATCGGCCCAGACGGACGGCTGGCCAGCCGGCTCTGGCTTTGGCGGGCCGTAAGTGCGATGTGCGAGGAGTTGGTCGGCGATGTCGTGCAGCCCCTGCTTGGTCAGTGTCTGGGTGGATGGAAGCAGCTGGATCGGCGCCTCGTCGATTGTCGTTGCTTGCGATGCATGAATCGACTGCGTGGGCACTGTTGCTGGGAATGTAGCGCTAGGAGCTCCGTCTGAGAAGTTAGTATATTACATTAATGATCCGCGGAGACTTACTGCATGACGGGAACCAAGGCTGCGTGGGCTGTGTCTGCCACGAGATATTTTTTCCAGCATTCTTTTGCGACGTCGAAGCATCAGCTTGTCGAGGAGATGCCTCGGGGGTCAAAGCTGATCTCTGTCGCTGTCTCATCAAAGTACTGGAGTGCTGTCCTGCCAAATTCTTTTCGGTCTGGAGGTGCTCTTGAAGGTGAGCTGTCGTGTGTGAAGTCGCGTCATCATTGTGTGTAGAATGCGAAGAGTACAGCTCCTGACTATCTGCTAATATTGGAGACGACTGCGGTTGTGCACACACTTCCGGGCTGTGGTCTTGGAAGCTGCCAATTCCTGCAACGCTCTGATTCTGTGTACGTTAGTGTCTGCAATCTGGACCGATCCATCTACTGACCTGACTTTGATAGATCTGAGAACCTTTGGAGTCCCCACGCTTCTGTCGATGGCTGAACGACTCTGTCAAGGACATCGACTGGCTGGACTCCTGGTTAGAGCCTACTCTCAAGCGTACAACGCGGCTTTTGCGATTCCTCGTTGCTGACAAGCTCTCATTGCGACTTCCAGCAGACACCACACTTGTTCTGGTTCTCTTTTTGCAGGGCGTCACTTCTTCATTTGACGACTCTTGGTAGCGTTTTGTAGGGAGTCGCTCGCGAGCAGATCTGCGCAGCAATGACTGTGCAATGGTCTGCGTATCGGCTTTGTTCAGCGTTTGCGGAGGTGTAGGCAGCGCCGCAGCTGCCTGATCTCGCTGAGGCGTTTTCTCGCGCTCTGGAGGGCTTGCTTTCACCTCATGAGCATCCAATGGCGGCGATACCTCGTTGACTGGAGCCGCACTTGTTTCCTCGGTGGGCAAATCATGAGACTCATTGATAGTGGCTTTCTTGCTTCCTGTTCTTCTGCGCTTCTGTGGCGGTTCCTGCGATTCCTGCGGTCCTGGCGGCGGAATTGTCTTTCGAGCTGCTGCTCTGCGAGTTCGCTGGGAGGCAGCCGTTCCAAAATCACCAAAGTCAAACCCTGGCGGTGCTAGGAAGCTGCTTCTACGCCGTTTCGCTGGTTGTGAGGTTGCCGCATCTTGTATCTGAGTGACTGTCGTAGGGTTGTCACTCAGGTTGTCCGCTCTTGTCGAGGCTTCGTCTTCTTGCCGTAGAACTGCTGCAAGTAATTGCTGTGCGACTAGAGCAGGTTCCTGCTGTTCGACTGGAGTGGATTCCTGTGTAAGTGAGGTAGTATCGTCACTTGGAGTACCCGCTACCGTCGAGAACGAGTCCTCGTTGGACATATCCGCAATGGCCGAGTCCATGGCCGAGATCTTACACTTCGGGTCCATTCTGAACGTATACCCCGACAACCAACAGAAAGAAAAGTCACCGAGAAATCGGCCCGCGAAGACAATAGGAAGTAGACAAGTGAATAGGACGTGCAGGTTTCGTCTGGGCTGACCGCAAGGCTGAGCACATGAAACGCGACGCAGCTACCAAATCGAGCTGGAAAATTTTCGTACACAGAGGCACTGGAGCCGACAAACCTTGTGTCTACAGGTGAAGGCGCGCTGGTGGAGGGGTGAAGTGAGGTTCTTCGACGCACGAAGGTGGGCGGTCATGACGCGCCGTACCGAAGTACATGTGCTGCAGGTCGTCTGCACACGCACGACACCAGCGATCCATGATGGTGACACCTCGCACACAACATGTCGATGGAGCAACTTCACGATAGTCTAGAGATGATAGATGATGCCAAGCTCGCTCTTGTCGACAACGCGCACCGTTCCGCTCTCGGCGAAAGCTCGCTCCGGCATGACTCAATTAGTATAGCCGGAGCATAGACTAACCGCGTTCGGACGCAGACCTCGGCTACTTACCCCGGATTGTGGAGAAAAGATGGCGTTGGCGTCGGATGCTTGCTGATGCGGTGCTGATGGGCATGGCATCAGCGCCCTAGTCCATCGCCCCATATAAGAAGAGATCCCGGGCACCCTCGGCCGACCTCCAGCATAAATCTCTGGTGAGTCGCGGCGCCATTCCAATTCAATCAGCATCAACTGACATTCGTCGCAGCGCCATGGTCTTCACACCGCCGTCATGGGTCCCGGGCCTCCCGTTCTCCCCGCCCGACTCCGTCCCCATCTGCGACTTCATGCTGGAGGAGCACTACGGCCGGCACCCGCTGGGCTACTCGAACAACCCGTTCACGTGCGGGCTGACGGGCAAGACGTACACGTCGCTGGAGGTGCGCGAGCGCGTCGACTTCCTGGCGCGCGGGCTGGCCGCAGAGCTGGGGTTCCACCCGAACAAAGGGTCCGAGTGGGACAAGGTGATTGGCGTGTTCTCGGTCAACACGCTCGACACGCTGCCGCTGGCGTGGGCGACGCACCGCCTGGGCGGCGTGCAGAGTCCGGCGAACGCGGCGTACAGTGCCGCGGAGCTCGAGTACCAGCTGAAGAACTCGGGTGCCAAGGCGCTGTTCACGTGTGTGCCGCTGCTGGAGACGGCGCGGGAGGCTGCGCGGAATAGCGGGATTCCGGACAACCGGATCTATATTCTGGACTTGGCGAAGGAGTTCACGGGCGGCAAGGGAGCACCGAGTGGGATGAAGACGGTGGATGATTTTATTCGCGAGGGCCAGAAGCTCGAGAAGCTAGAGAAGCTGGATTGGAAGGAAGGGGATGGTGCGAAGAAGGCTGCTTTCCTGTGCTACTCCAGCGGCACATCCGGACTCCCCAAAGGTGTCATGATTTCGCACAGGAACGTGATTGCCAATACCAGTATGTTTGTTCAATGCATCTACTTCGTCACTAACATCTGCAGTGCAAATCGGCGCTTTCGAGAAGCCGTACAGAGACACTATCATCAAGGATGTGCGCAACCAGTCCGACTACACCGAGAACGTGCTCGGCCTGCTTCCCATGTCGCACATCTACGGATTAGTCGTCATCAGCCACGCTTCCGTGTACCGCGGCGACGGCATCATCGTGCTGCCGAAATTCGACTTCCAGATCACACTGCAAGCAATCCAGCAGTACAAGATCAACACGCTCTTCCTCGTGCCCCCGATCATCATCCTCATGACCAAGAACAAGGCGCTGCTGGCCAAGTACGACCTCAGCTCTGTATGGTCGCTGTTCACGGGCGCGGCGCCGCTCGGCAAAGAGACGGCCGAAGACCTGCAGGCCATCTTCCCCAGCTGGAAGATCAGGCAGGGCTACGGGCTCACCGAGACGTGCACAGTCGTCACCTCGACATCGCCCGATGACATCTGGTTCGGCTCGTCGGGGTCGATTCTGCCGGGCATCGAGTGCAAGATCGTCACTCCCGATGGCGACGAGGTCACCGAGTACGACCAGCCGGGCGAGCTGCTCGTCAAGTCGCCGGCGGTCGTGCTGGGGTACCTGAACAACGACAAGGCGAACGCGGAGACGTTCCAGGACGGGTACATGCGCACAGGTGATGAGGCGGTGGTACGGAAGAGCGCCAACGGGCACGAGCACGTGTTCATCGTAGACCGCATCAAGGAGCTGATCAAGGTCAAGGTAGGCTGACGACTCGATTCTCAAAACAAAAACTAACACGTGCAGGGCCACCAAGTCGCGCCCGCAGAGTTGGAAGCTCACCTGCTCACGCACCCGGCGGTCAACGACTGCGCGGTCATCCAGATCCCAGACGACGACGCGGGCGAGGTGCCCAAGGCGTTCGTGGTCAAGTCGCCGTCGGTGGGGCTCGAGGAGAGCGACAGGATGGTGGCGCGCGACATCCAGAAGCACGTGGAGAAGACCAAGGCGCGGTACAAGTGGATCACGGGCGGCGTGGAGTTCATCGACGAGATCCCCAAGTCGCCGTCGGGCAAGATCCTGCGGCGGTTCCTGCGCGACCGCGAGAAGGAGAAGAGGCGGAAGGCGGGCAGCAAGCTGTAGTGTATGTGTACCGTGTATGAGATTTGTAACATGTGCATTGTCAGCCCTACGCTGATTAAGCGAGTGACGTCTTGTCGCGTGGGGTTAGCCCCTCCAGCCGACGTGATGCCGAACAAAAAAGTCGTCGGCGGAAGCGCTGCAGCATTTCTAAGCAGCGCCACGACATAAAACTGCTTGACCGCCGTGGCAGTTCTCCAGACAATCACTGCATAATTCACGCAATGGCGGCGCAACACCCCCACGACGAGCCCGAGATCGACTACCACGACGAAGACAATGTGCTCGACGCAGAGGAGGCCGAGGAGATAGTCGAGGACGACGGCGACGTGCCCATGGACAGCGACGACGAGGGCGACGACGAGCAGATGGAGATCAACCTGCAGAACGACTCGGTCACGCACTTTGACGAGCACAAGGACTCGATCTTCTGCATAGCCCAGCACCCCGTGCACCCCGAGATCATCGCGACCGGCGGCGGCGACGACGTCGGCTACATTGTCGACATCACCGCCACGCCGCACACGACGCAGGCCGGCGAGCGCGAGGGCCTCAAGAGCATCTTCACCCTCGACGGCCACTCCGACTCGATCAACGCCGTCGCCTTCTCGCAGCCCAAGGGCCAGTTCGTCGCCACCGCCGGCCTTGACGGCAAGCTGCGCGTGTGGCAGGGCGTGCCGGACGGCAACAAGTGGAAGTTCCTGGCCGAGGCCAGCGAGGTCGAGGAGATCGCCTGGCTGGCGCCCAACCCCTCGCCCGCACACCCCAACGTCGTCGCCCTCGGCGCCAACGACGGCTCCGTGTGGGTCTACCAGCTGTCCACCGACAAGGGCAACGAGCTGCAGGTCCTACACGCCTTCTACCTGCACACCGAGGCCTGCACCGCCGGCTGCTGGACCCCCGACGGCGCCCTCCTCGCCACCGTCAGCGAGGACTCCAGTCTCTACGTCTGGGACGTCTTCGGCGACGCGGCCTCCCAGGGCCTCATCGAGCCCTCTGCCCAGACCGTCGTCGCCCTGACCGGCCTCGACGAGCGCTTCCTCGTGCAAGGCGGGCTATACAGCATCGCCGTCCCCCCCACAGGCGCGTTCCTCGCCGTCGGCGGCCCAGAGGGCCAGATCCGCATCGTGGGGCTCCCGCGGCTGTCGTCCGAGCCCGGCCCGTCCTCGGGCGGCGCCGGCGCGAAGTCCAAAGCCGGCGGCTCCAAGCAGGCGCCCGCCAAAGGCGCGTCCGCGTCCGCAGGCCAGACGGGCGTCATCCTGGCGTCGCTGCAGGCCGGGTCGGACAACGTCGAGACCTTCTCGTTCACATCCGCGCCGCTGACGCTGATGGCCGCCGGCAACGTGGACGGCAGCATCACGCTCTTCGACACCGCGCACCGGTTCGCCGTGCGCCGCCGCATCGAGGACGCGCACGCCGACGACGAGTCGCCGCAGGCCGTGGTGAAGCTGGAGTTTGTGCGCAAGGAGGGCGCGGGCGGCTGGTTGCTTACGAGCGCCGGGTACGATGGCGTGGTGAGGCGGTGGGATGCGCGGGGCGGGACGACGGCGGCGAATCGCGGGCTGGTGGGCGAGTGGAGGGGGCACAGGGGGGGTGGGGAGGGGGGCGGCGTGCTGGGATTTGTGCAGGGTGGTGGGGAGGTGGTTATCACGGCGGGCGACGACCATGTGGTGTTGGTGTATGATGCGCCGTTGACGCAGTAGTGGGCTGTGAGTGCGCGGCGAGTGAGTAAGCAGTGAGGGAGTGCGTTGGAGCATATTGACATGTACACCGATGCACGGCGAGAATAGATACCAGACAAAAGCGAATTAGATACACGACCCCATCCACCACTCCACCTCCACTTAACCGTGCTCTTCAAGTCTCGCCGAGAAGCTGAGTGCAGCAAGAAGCCGAGTGCAGCGAGAAGCCGAGTGCAGTTTTACTCGTATCCTCGTTCCCAAAGCCAAGGGCTTCCTGTGCTGGGTTCAATGGCAGAAGACCTGTTGCTCGGGGCGCGATGGCAGGATAACAACAACCTTTGCTGGTCATTTTGATATTAGTTCTTCTCAGTCGGAGCATGCCTGGTACGGTCAGCCTTTCCACGACACTTTTGAAGTCGCGACGCGAGCACACCGATATCTAATCAGATGGGTGGGCAAAGGCAATCTATCTATCATGAACAGGCCCGGTCGCGCAAGATTGGAGCCAAGTCGACATAGCTTGCTGCTCCCCACAAAGGAGGGTCCGCCAAGACGGAGTTTTAACTTAAATTGCGTCCGTCCACCAACCGAAACCCTGACCTCTCGTGTCCATTGGGTGGCCAAGAGAAACAGACGCAATACCGTTAGAGTAGTCCTCGGGCAATTACTGCTTGTATGGTCCTTGCAGCTGAAGATTGTGTAAGGGTATACCAATACTAGGAATACGGTGCCAGAGGATCCTACTCCTTGTCATGACTCTGTGCACAGTAGATTGAAGGGTCAGACCGTCGGACGCTCAAGTGCCACGAGTAGGACTGCGCAGGGTCACAAGATGACTTCAGTCTATTCGCCTCGAAATTACCAGGTACTTAAGTATTGAGGACGCTTTCGCTTTGCATGCTCTCTCTCCAACGATTCCTGGCCTCCACCGTCCTCTCATCTCACACATACCGATACCATACGCTTCCGTTGGTCTACCTCCTTCACTATGCGCTTCGAATACAGCCTCGTCGGTGCAGCGGTCTCGGGAGTTGCCCTCGGGCAGACCTTGAACATCCCTACACGAGTCGGATCGATTGTGGCTCTCCCGACCGCCAGCGTGATCTCAGGCTCGAGAGACTTTGGCAACAAGGAGTACGACCGCGGCCGCTCTTGTGCGATTGACGTAGAACCCCAGGGCCCCACTCCTGTCTTCATCCTCGAGGACGGCGCATCAATCAGCAATGTCATCATCGGCCGAAACCAAGTCGACGGCATCCAGTGCAAAGGCGCTTGCACCCTGACCAACGTCTGGTTCAGAGAAGTGTGCGAGAGTATGTTGTCAAGAGATCATCATTTGAATCGCCCGTGACTGACGATGTGTACCAGGCGCCGTCATCGCGCTAGGAAAGGGCGATATCCTCATCAAGGGTACGTGACGAGACTCCCGAACCCCCTCAAGCCCGCTCAACTAACACCGACCCAGGCGGCGGCGCGCAAAAAGCCGCCGACGGCATCGTAAACCACCAGGGCCGCGGCACAGTCACAATCGCCGACTTCACTGCCGTCGACGTGAACAAACTGTACCGCAGCTGCGGCGGCTGCGCCAACAACGGCGGCCCGCGCAACGTCGTCGTGACCAACCTGAAGGCCAGCGGGGGTCGCGACGCTGGTCGGCATCAACTCCAACTTCGGCGATACTGCCAATGTCCAGGGCTCGTGTGGTGTGGGCGTCAAGAAGGTGTGCCAGGAGTACAAGGGCGTGCAGAAGGGCTCTGAGGCGGTGAAGGTCGCGACTACGGCGAACTGCAAGGGGCAGACGAGCTTCTCGGCGTGCTAGATAGGATTAATGGTCTCTCTTCGCTGCCCGCGGGGCTAGCAAAAGTCGTGTGAAATGCTTAGCAAATCGATATCGTCTTTGTGGGAAAAATTCTTGATGGGATTCAATCCCAGACTTTGTTCGCAGGCTATATATCGTGGTGGCATCGCTCCATCCAACAAGCTGCCGCAACACTCTGAACACTGCTTCCCAGGAACAGGGCGAGACTGCTGATAAGACCGCTAAAAGGCGAGGATAAGCGTACTGCTGTAAGTAGTGTGCCCGCCCGAGACGAGTCCATGTGAATATAGCAGTAGCTGGCTTTGACATGCTTTTATCTGCGACAGAGCTGTGCTAGTCTATCATATCAGGACTTGCTATATTGATATTGTACCTGCCATGTTGACCTTCTAACAGTATGTCCGCCTCAATCAAGGGCCGTGGGGTGCGCTATAGTTGTTCCTCGTACGCAGCACAAAACGCAGAACGCGCAAAAGCACGCAAAGGGAATGTAACACACGTCAAAGTCGCCCTCGAAGCACAGAAATAGCAGGCAAAGAGCATGGAAAGAGCAGACGTACAACACCACCACGCATGGAGCGCGGCAAACGAATGACCCGCGCTTCGACAGCGCACACAGAAAGCATGCACACACGCACGAACCAGAGACAGCACACGCGTAGACAGAGCAGCTCAGATGCACAGAACCCAGACGCGAGGTGTTGAAGCCCCGATGTAGCGCACTGTCCGACGGAGCCATGGCTCGCGTGAAGGAAACGGGCGGATCCGAGTCCCAACCAGCGCACCACGGCCAGCAGCGCCCAGCACCAGCACACCGCAGTCCAGGCGGGCCCCCGAGACTGCAGTGCCGACGCTGCCCCCGCGCACCCACCTCATCTTGCCACGCTGATCTCAGTATTCAGCATGCCGCACAGCCGCACCAGCCACAGTCGCAGATCGAGCATCTCGTCGTACCAGCGCGCCGCCAGCGCGCACACCTCCTGATCCCACACCTCGAGGTTCTGCATCACTTTCACGAGCTCGAGATGCGTAATGCTCAGGAGGGCCCGCTTTATGTCGGCCTGGGGCGGAGGTGTTAGGGCGGGGGAGGGAACTCACGTCTGGCACGGCGGCGGCGGGGGGTGCTTGGCTGGCGTCGCTGTGCGTGGTGGCGCCTTGCGTTTCGGCGGCGTGGGGAGGGTGTGGGGATTCGTGGGGTGGAGAGGATGCGGAGTAGGCAGAGTAGATGTGGTCCATGTTGAGTAGATCTAGAGGAAATGGAGTGGGTATAGAGGAGGTGACTGGATATAGAGGATGTGGGGCTGGTGTAGAGTAGGTAGGTGTAGAGTAGGTAGATGTGGGGTACCTGGTAGATGTAAAGAAGATACAGAGTGAAGCCAATCAGAGTGGATGTGAAGGAGCAGCGCGAATTTCTACGAGCAAGACAGAGGTTCTAGCAGGGTTATACATATTCAATGAACTGCTTATGCTTACGCTTTTGCATAAAATAAGAGAGAGCAAGAAAGAGAGAGAATGATCGAGGAGAAGGGGGAGATTCAATGAACTGCTTATGCTTAGCAGAGAGATGGAGATGTGTGAGGGCGCTTATCAGCCTCTACCAGGCGTGCCAAAAGCGTCAGTATCATCTGTCAGGCGTGCCGTAAGCGTTTCCATCAGGTCCATCAGCGGTTCGATATCGAATAGTCAGAAGATATACCAAGGTTCTCAGAGTGCCAATCTTCTTAGTATCCATTTCCCCGCACCCAGCGCTTACAGGCAGCCTCGACTTGGCCCTACCGAGATCTGAGTGGAGGGCTGTTGCTGGTAGCGAGATGGTCTCTTAACGCGAACCAGTGTTCAGTGCGGGGGGACTCGTTAGCGGGACTTCTGACTGGCACATGAAGGCTGGGTAGCGAGGGAGCTAAGCTTTACATAGTTTGAGCTCTTCGCTTCGTCCTTCGCTTCGCCCTTCGCTTCAGCCCTCTGTACAAGTCCTGATTCCACCACCTCATTCGCACGACGTCCAGCATTGCGATGAGCATAAGTATTATGATCTGACCGGTAGACGCACTGCAATCAGCCTCAGAGCTTCGAAAGAATCCGCAGAATCGCAGGATCTGGCCCTTTGATTTGCGTTTCCATGCCCAGTAGCGGCAGTGAAGGTCCAACCGGACCAGCAACTGAACATGAGTCTCCGTTATCAGCACGATTACACTCATGAGTAGTGCAAGCATCCCCCCTTCTCTCGATCTTTCTCTCTCTTTCTTGCTTTCTGTTGTTTTAGGTAAGCGTAAGCATAAGCAGTTCATTGACCCCCCTACTTCTCTTGATCGTTCTCTCTATTTCTTGCTCTCTGTCATTTTATGCAAATGCGTGAGTATAAGCAGTTCAAATCGTATGCATAAGCAGTTTAAAGTGTAAGTGAATGCTCATGAGAACGCCGAGAGAACGCTAGTATGAACACCTACGAGATGGGAACGCTAGAACGCCGCCGAGGAAGAGGCTGCTGGTGTAGGCGAATGCAGATACTGATGCGAATATTCTCGTAGGACAGGTTTCACGTCCACGTCCACATCGACATGACGTCTCGTCACATTCCACCGTTGAACCGACTTCGCACATGGATCAGATAGGCATCCAGCATCGGGCAAGAAGTATTGCAAACATATCAGGGCCTTTTTCGTGCGGTGTATACGCTCTATCTAATGGAGTCACTTACTTCTGTGGCGTACTGACTATGATTAAGATTGTTTGAATCCACAAAAGTGCCAGGTGGGCAGCGCAAACGTGGGTGGAGTACAGAACTCACTGCATACATCGACCCCAGCATACCGATACAAAACCTACTCGTCATCGTCATCCGCCATCATCACATTCGCAATCGCCTTCGCCTCTTCAACATCGTCATCGTCGTAGAACTTCAGACCGTACGACAGCATAAAGACCTCCGAGTTACCGTAATGCGTCTCGATCCACTCGAGCTGTTTCTCAGAGAAGTTGTAGTCGGCCTGGTGGCCTCTAAATTGGCTTTCGTCGTCCGAGAACTCCTCGTCGTCACCGTCACTATCGTAGGTTTCCTCGGCCTCCATCAGCGAGCGCAGAATCGCGCGGCCCTCGGCGCGGTCCTCTTCTTTGTGGATATGCAAGCCGTGGGGGAGGAGGAAGTGATACTCATCGCGCCAGTGCGCCTTCAGAAATGCTTTCTCGACGGCCGTGTACGGTGGTTCTGTGCCAGCGGCGTGGGCAGCTTCTGCGCCGCGGTTGTTGAACTCTATCCATCTACGCTGTTGGGCGGCGTCCCATTCGCAGCTGAGCACGTACATTGTGTCCTTGCGCAGTGCATATGAACCCAGTTTGGGGCCGTCGGGGTGGGTTCGAAGCTTGATGGTGTAGAGCGGTCTGTTGGGGTCGAAGAAAGCGGCGTTCCTGCCCTTGGCGTCTTTGATGGTTCCTGAGCGTCCTGAGAGTATCACGTTGTAGCCATCGGAAAGAATCGGGGCTCCAATCACGTTGCAGATGAAGTCAGGCACGTGCAAGACCTCCTTGAGGTGTAGAGAGTCGTGGGAGGCTACACCGGCCCGTTTGGGCGAGCGTTTGGTGGGGATCTCAACGGTGCCTACCCCTAAGACCGGGAATTGGCCAGGGGTCGTGAAGGGTGAATGGGTGATTGTAGAGGCGAAAGGAGTGTAGGTCTTGAACCAGCCCCGATCTTTTGCGACGCTAGCCAGTGTTAGTGACGAGCTTGTCTGGTCGTATGTACGTACTGGACATTGGAGTTGTTCAGAAAGACCCAGTCTGGACAGACCGGTGCATTGGCACTCGTGTCCATTGCTTGCGGCGTAGGCACGTGTGGGCAATTGTGAAGAGAGAATCTTGGAGGCTTTAATCTGTTGCTGCCCAGCTGCTTCCCGAGGTCGGAAAGTCCCGTTGTTTATGGGTAGCGTCGCCTAACTAGATCTGGTTAGTAGGCGACTGTTGAGTGCAGGTGGGATCAACGACATTCGTACCTGAGAAGCTCGAATTCGCCAACAACAATGCAACCGTGATGTTGTGGTCTTAAGACTGACGTCTAGAAAATAAGTGTTCAGATCTGATGAGTGACGAGAGAGCGTGGACCCAGTCGAAGGCGTGTAGAGCGATATTGGATCGGAGAGAGCAAAAGCAGAGGAGACGCGATTGAAGCAATGAATTGTGAGTCCGAGAGGCTTCTATATGCCTGTTTATCTGACTTACGATGCCTTCTTGGGTTTGACCTGTTGTTTGATGTTTGTTTGCGACCGGTGAGCCTCACCCTAGCTCCTTGTTGCAGCGCATAGTTTGTGTTTGTTCGATGCAGTCTTCGTCAATTAGACCACGGAAAAATGGACACTATTCAACCTACACCAACAAGACTGGCTAGTCATACCATTAGTTCATTGCTAGTATCGATATTCGTTAATTCATTACCATAACCATAATCATGCGCAAATCATAACCACCCAAACCGTCCAAACCACCCATCTACCCTCGCTTCCTATCTACCCGCTCGTTCCTCAAACACTGCCCGCACCCCTCCGCTTTATAACCCTCCTCTTCCTCCGCACCCGCTTTACCTGACAAGCCGGCCCCTGTTCCTCCCCCTGCGCCTGCGCCTTCTCACCCGCATAACCAGCTGGCGCCTCCGTAGTCCCAGGGACCCTCCCCGCCTCAGATTGAGCGACACGATCGTACTTGCCTGGCGCCCACGAGCCATCATCTCCCCCTGTACCTGCAGCACTCTTACCGCCCCACGGAACAACGTAATCATCGGGAGACCCCGGTGTCCCATCCCACTTGCTCCCCGACCCGTCCGTTGTGCCGTCGACCCAGACGATGTCATAGGGCAAGTTGGGGTTTGATTCCAGCGAGGGGTTGCCGGGGAGGGACTGCCAATCCTCTGCCTGAGGGTTGTATGAGGGACGAGGAGGGCGTGGGGTGGGGCGTGAAGGCCTAGGCTTCGGCTTCGGCTTGGGTTTGGTGTTGGGAGTGTATGATGGCCTGGGCTGGGGTTTAGGCTGGGAGTTGTAAGTCGGCTTGGGCTTAGGCTTGGGCTTGGGCTTGGGCTTGGGCGACGAGGGAGCATTAGGCAGCGGCGCGCGCGCAAGCTCCTCTGCCATTCTGTGGACGTGACTCCAGTCCGCGCTGTCTTCGCCCAGACTCCATGCCATCACGCCCCCGAGCTCGTACTTGCGCACGATCTCCTCGAACTTGCGCGAGATTAGATCGGGCGTGTCCCATGTCCAGAAAAGCCCGTTTGCCTTGTCGTAGTAGTACTTTCCACCGGCTGCCTCGTCGACGACGCCACCCGCCGCGGCATTCTGCCACGAGCCCGCGACGTCCGCATCAGTGCACCCCGTGCCGAAAGCGTGTTGGCACGCGCCGGAGCAGTGCTCGGGTGAGGTTCCACAGTTGCCGTACTGTGAGCAGCAGCCTGACGCACACCGTGTGCCCTTCTCGGGGCCGCAGGTGCCGTCATAAGAAACTGTGAGGGCGGAGGCATCAACAGGATTCATGTGGGCAGGCTCAAACGTCCAGGCGCCGCTGGTCAGCAGGTCCTTGCCGGTGATCGGGTCTTCGGCGGGGACGATGGGGCAGCCGAGCGGGGAGGCTGTGCAGTCGCCCGCCGTGGTGAAGTATTTGGCGTAGTAAGCGAAGCCGAGGTTGATCTTGGACGGGGGGGCGCCGATGTCGAGGTAGTTTTTGATTGTGTCGAGGGAACCGGAGAGGGAGGTGTGGTGCGCGGTTACGTTGTCGCGGCGGTTCATGAGGTCGTAGGACATGATGTTAACGTAGTCGACCGAGGGCCAGATCTTGGGGCCTGTGTCGGCGGTGAACCCGATCATGTCACCTGGTTTGGTTAGCATGAGTAGGAGATTCTTTCGGTTTACATACCTTTCTTGCCGGGGACGGCGATGGAGAGGAGCTTGTTGGGGCCGATAGCTGCACGAGTTGCTGCGAGGAGTTTCGGGAACGCTTCAATCTGGTACGTCTTGGCTGAGTTGGCGACCTCCTTGTAGTCAGCACCGTTGCCACCAGGATATTCCCAGTCGATATCTAGACATGTCAGTCAAGTTTCAGAGGATTGCATCTCTACTTACCAACGCCATCAGCACCAGTGTTTGTCAGCATGGTATTCACATCGCTGGCGAACTGTTGGATGGTACTGTCGGACTGAGAGACTGTGTTGAAGCCAGTGTCGTCGCCCCATCCACCGACAGCTAATCTTGTTAGTGTGAGATCAAGATGGTTGAAGGACGAACACACCAATCATGATCTTTGCATCAGGAAATTCTGAGCGAATAGTCGAGATCGGAACCTTAGGCGAGTACCCTGCAGTATTGTTCGCAGCGGCTGGTCGTATTAGTGATGGACATAGTACGACACTGGAGTACCCACCAAAAGCAAGGACAACATGATCGATGCCAGCACGATCTGCAGCGTTGGTTGGTCGAGTAGGGTGCCATCTAACATGATCAGCAGGAGAACAGACTTTAGAAAGCACAACTTACTCATCGGCGTACATCACAAAGCGTGCGCTTGCCGATGTGATGAGTGTGGGCAGTGCCCATGCTGTGAAACGCATATTGCGAGATTTCACAATTCAAGTGTCTAGCAAAATGGTCGAGGGATAGAAACCCTTTGTAGTCCACAGATGTGGTTGCGAGGATCTGACCGACTTGGATAGCGCCCGACCGGCAGAGCAAACACGGTGAGCTGCAGACCACCGGGCCAGAATTTCTTTATACGGATGCCTGCAAGACGCCTGGTCACATCTCCCGTTTCCCCAGTGAAGATGCTTCGCACAAGGGAGCCTAGGACCACCCAGTGCCTTACTTTCCCAATCAGTGCTTAAGGTTACGAGGCAACGTAACGGGGCCGGGCGGGACTGGAATGGGCAGGGGTGGTTGCGTTGACTTCGCGATGCCATCACCTCCCTATGAGGTTTGCTAAGTGGCTTTCTGGTCGCTTCAAGCTGTTCCGGGTAGTTGAGCCCTTCCTGACTCAGATCGAGCTGTGCTGAGCGAGACAGTCGACTGCTGACAGCTGTCATCTGCGCGTGGCGATGAAGTCGGTGGGGCATTGGAATGTCTGCAGATTGCCTTTGTGCGGCCGTGGCTTGGAATGCTTGCTCCTGGATAGGCAACGGGGTACTGACCGCAGACCTGGTGTACTTGAAACAGCGGTAGCCCGGTCAGCAGTGGCAGCGGGAGGGTTTTCAGAAAAGACCTGGCGAACAACGGTGTGCGAGACGGTGAGGTCGGTCTGCTTGCCGACGTCAAGAACGGTACTGTGTCACTCAGCCCATGTCAGTAGCGCCAGACACGGAATCCTCGGAGTACAAAGGCGGGGCAGTATCATTGTCTTCACAATCGGACGTGCAAAGGAGAGAGGACTGTGACGGGTGGGCGGGTTGAGGAGAGGTCGACCCATGTCGAAGAGCATACTGTTGCCGTCTGGTGTGGTACTTGGACCGGAAGGAAGCCGAGCTTGGACTGCATGTCGCATCCACGGTCAGATGCGACCTGTACCATCATGGCTAGATTGGGCGCATACACTGCTGTTGGTGTTGCACGACCCAGACACCGTTTGCTGGTGGACGCCACAGCTGGAAGAGACAAGTACAAAGGGACGAATCAAGCGCTCCGGTAGCATCAATGGGTGTCAGGTTGGTACCGATGCTCAAAGGTGCCACAGCCTCAGAGATCATGGTCGAGGAGGACTGGTGTCAAACGTCGCGTGAACTTGCCTTTCGGTTGTAAGGCTCGTAAAGCGCGTCTCTTGCATCAGCCGTGGCGAGATTCAACTTTGGTGATATTTGTTATCTCTGCGCTCTTACTCAACAGTTGTGATCAATAGATCCTGTTTGCGCTTTTCAACGTCTATCTGTAGGTTCCAGGACCATGGGTGACCAAAACTAGAAAGAACGACAAACATCTCACAAGAACTGGCCTGACAAGCGGTTCTCAAGGTATCGAGAAGACGAATTTTCATCGAAGATGAGGCTGCCAGATCACAAACGTAGCAACGTTCCAGATAGATGACGGCCGCAATCTGCTTGATGAACGTGGAGCTGCGTCGACGCCGAGAGGTCGACGCTATTGTGATGCGACATCGATGACGTCTGCATTGAACCGTGGTCCACTGTCGGCGAGGCTGCTCTCCGCTGAGCGAAAACGACGGTGCTCACATCAACCTGACTGGTACCCAAACAACACCTGGCATCGGCCGTTCAACGGGCAGGCCTGTTGCACGTGAAGCTTGGGCCGGCTAGCCGCGATCGACAGACAAGCTACCCCGGCCTCCCGCCGCCCCCTCGACAGCTCTGACCAACCGCGACGCGTCAGAAAAGGAATGGCTGGGAGCTTCAGCTGCATGAACACGCAACACGGGCTGCTGAGATTGTGTGGGAAATGTCGATTGCGCGCGAACCATATCGACCGCTGCATAAGGACGAATAGCCGGCCAATTGACAGGCTCCACGCGTGTGAAGTGGCCCCGCTGAGCTGATACCTCGCAAGGGTGCAGCAGCTCCCGGCAACTCTGTGGAGTCGAAACTCAGTTGCTGCCATTGCGCCGTGCATAGCGCCCAGATCGTCCGGGCAACAGCCGCGCAGTGCTCAGCACCTGGAATTGCAGCTGCACAGGTGCCTCGGTTGCGCTGCGAGGCGCTGCGAGGGTGCAGTGGGCCTGTGGTGGGCACGAAAAGGGGAGGCTGCGGCGCGCTAAGAGCCGAGAACATAACACGGCTAGGCCGCATGCGGACAGCTTCCCATCGTTCCTTCCACCAGCGCCGGGCTGCCCTGTGAAACCGTCGCCCACAACACGACCCAGCTGACGGCACCTGTCCGCCAATCTACTTGACCCCCTCCGCGCCTCACTGCTCCGTCCCTCCTCCACCTCGCCCCGCTACTGCACCTTCACGTCGCTGCCTATTCCCAGCACTTCATCGCAACCCTCCAAAGGAGCCAAGAAGTTGTTCTTGATTCCTTTCGACCTGTTTTCGAACGGTTCGAAGGGTTTTGAGAATAACGCACCGACTCCGGCAAACTGGATTTTGAAGCACGAGTACGCTGCTACACGTCAATCGAGAGAGGCCGAAACTAACAGCGTAGGTTCCGATCCCCTTCAGTGTCTTCCCGGCTGCGTATCGGAACGCGGTCAGCCAGGAGACCAGCACCAAGGTAGAAGGCGACGTCAAGCTACCTGAGCCCCACGCACACGCACGGGAAGAGCACGAGGAGACGCACGAATCCTTCACCGCCACCGTCCACCAGCACCAGCAGCAGCCGCCGCCGGTCCACGAGACTCACGTCAAGGAGGAGATTCGCATCGTCGAGGAAGAGCGCCGCCGCCCGCAGCCCCCGCCGCAGCGTGAAGAGGTCCATATCCACGAGGAGACGCACTACCGCCAGCCCGAGCGCGCGCAGCACTTTGACCGTCAGTCGCACGCCCAGTACGAGTCGCGCCAGCCCGAGCGGTAAGTCACTTGTTTTGCCTCATCTCAGCTTTTGTTTTGCCCATTGCCAGCGCATTCAGCACGGCCCACCCCCCAGCTCCGGCCCAACCACCCCAGCCCCTGAGCTTGGCCGCTAGCAGCCACGGGCCGGCGCTAAACTCAATTGCATTGTTGTTGTCAGAGCGACACGCACGTCTCCACTTTTCCCTCACCTCCTCTTCCCTGCCCATAGCTGACCTTCCTTCCTCCCAGCTTCCCGCCCCAACCTTCTCACTCCCACACCCACATCGACATCAAGGACAGCACCTACGACAGGCACTTCAACACTGTCCACGGCCCTGCCACCGACTCCGCCCCCACACAGATCGACGTTACCGAGCGTCAGTTCCGTGAACGCACCCGCCCCATTGTTGAGGACTCCCGTTACACGCGCGAGACCTTCACTGCCAAGCACCAGGACACCGTCGACCGACGCTATCCTGAGGTTCGAGTAGAGTCATCTGCCCGTTCCACCGCGCCCCCCTCCAAGCACCACCGCCTTTCTATGGGATATTACGACAACGAAGGTCAATACCATTCGTTCCGTGACGCCGCCCACTCCGCTGCACACAAGGTCGCCCACAAGGTCGCCGAACGCGTAGCCCACCCCATCCACCCCCACCGCCACCACCACCACCACTCCGACTCGTTCGCCGGCGGCAAGTACTCCGACGACAAGGAAGAGATCATCGTCAAGGAGAAGTACTCATCCAGTGCTCCTTCCCACGTCTCTGCCGCTCCCTCGCACGCAGCTCACTCTCACGTGTCTGTCGCATCTGCTCCCGCTCCTTCGCGCGTAGCACACTCCCGCGTCTCGCACTCTCACGTGTCTGCCGCCCCCGCCCCTCTCCCCAGCCGCCCCGTCTCGTCCGGAGCTCCTGTCCAGAGGTCCCGCCCCGCATCCACTCCCTACGTCCCCACTCCTTACGTTCCCGCCGCCCCCGCGACCGCACGCAAGATGGCTTCCGCCAACACCATCACCGTCCCTTGCCACCACATCCGCATCGGCGATCTCCTGATCCTTCAGGGCCGCCCCTGCCAGGTCATCCGCATCACCACCTCGTCGCAGACTGGCCAGCACCGCTACCTCGGTGTTGACCTGTTCACCAAGCAGCTGCACGAGGAGTCCAGCTTCATCTCTAACCCCGCCCCGTCGGTCGTTGTCCAGAACATGCTCGGCCCTGTCTTCAAGCAGTACCGCGTTCTCGACATCCGTGAAGACGGTCGCGTTGTTGCCATGACCGAGACTGGTGACGTTAAGCAGGGTCTCCCTGTCCTTGACCAGAGCGGTCTCGCTTCGCGCCTTGCCGAGTCCTTCGACAACGGCCGCGGCTCCGTCCGTATCCTCGTCATCAACGACGATGGTCTCGAGATGGCTGTCGACTACAAGGTCGTCCACGGCTCCAGGCTGTAAGCGTCGTATGGTTAGTACTCCCTGTCTCTCAATTGAACCAAGCTGACTCTTTAGGCTACATGTATAATGAGGCATTGGAGTTCGTTCCGGTCTTGACTTGTGTTTATAACTCGGTGTTCATTGCTTGGCTGGCGTGCTACCTTGGGCAGGGTTCACTCGCGCCTAAGCAAGTGCTGCTTGGTTCGGGTATGAGCATGATATCTGGCGACATCTGTGGATAATAATGAAATGTGTGTCTCCTACCTAGTCTTGATGCTGTGTCGTGCTTGATCCCACGCCTACCCCGCGTTTCTGTAGCTCTCCCGCACCTGCAGCACGTCCCCTGGCACACACCCCCATGCACTGTCCCGGAGCACAGAGCTCAGGACCTGCGTCTCCCAGCAGATCTCCCAGCAGATCTCCCAGCAGATCTCCCTTGCAGGATCCCGCACGTTACCCACCGCCATGCCGCACTCAGACCACTCTGCGTCTCCCGCCCCCACACACACCTCTGCGCGGACCGACCCCCGTTCCTACATAACACGTCACCAGCCCACGTCCCCACTGCCCCTCTGCTTTGCATCTGCATGTGTGTTTGTATCTGCATATACATATGTATCTGTAGCTGCATTTGTAGTGGCTGGGTTCTTGGGTAATGAATTCGCTGTTGGCCTGCGCGTTTGGGCTGGGCTTGTTGTTTGGCTCTCTCGACTTACGTCTGGTTCTTAACCTTTGCCTTGACCTTGACCTTGATCTTGATCTTGATCTTGATTCTGAAATTAACCTCGACCTTGACCTCGACCTCGATGGCTCCTAGGAATGCGCCGCGAGTTTATGCCGCCTTACTGAGCGGGCGTGCGGACCTCCTTCCCTCCCTCCTTTTCTTCTGGAGACGGTTGAATGCATGTTGGTTCAAGGGCCCGGGGGCGTTGGTGTTGTTGCGGGTGAGTAGCACGCAGGTGCGTTTCGTGCGCAGCAGTGTGGCGCTCGGCCAGCGTTTGCATGTCGAGAGTGTGGACTTGTCGGTTTGTTGGCTGGGGTCGGCGGGTCGGCAAGTTGGCTCCTGGAGGCGTGGGCGCTGTGGTCTCGCAGGCTGGGCTGTGGAGCAAGAGATTTGCTGAGATGGGTGGGTGGTGCTGGGTGTCTGCGGCACGGGCACTGCGGTATTGGTGTCGGGGTGCGTTGGTTGGGTCGTTGATGGTTCGCTAGGGGTGGTGGTCATCGTGTTGTGGTGACGGCGAAATAAAGAATAGCGAGAAGAGCGTTGGAAACGGAGGAGGGGAGTGTACGGAGTGGTGAGGAGAGGAGTCGGTGTCGTTCTTGCTAGAGATGCAGGGCTAACGTCGACTTGGTGGAGATGTCTGCCAGGATGTGCGTTGGATATGCCCGGTGTTGGAGTGTTGTCTTTGGCTACATCAGTTCTTATCTTCTTGTTTTACATTGGTGCGAGGCTTGGGATGACTGTTGTGGGATTTTGATGGAAGGTAAGTCGAAGCACTCCAGGGTAAGTCCAAATACCATTGCCTAACACTAGTACAAATACCTCTGTATCTTACACTACAACCACAGAAACCCCAATCACCCCCTCCAACCGCCTCGTCTGGCCACCCGCTCCAACCATGTCTCGCCACAAGCCACCATCAGACCACTGGAGAATGGGTACGGTCAAGCAATCCATTCACGCCGACGACTACAATCGATCATATCCGCGCCTGCGCAGTTCAGCCCTCACTTGCAGGATTCCGACAACCAAGCCAATGATTCCAACCAGTATACCGATGCCCTCGCCCACGAACTGCAGAACGTTCGGGGGGTCCTGATTGTTTCGAGCGGTATTGAGGTTGGTGGTGTTGAAGGGGAGCAGCGATGGCGTGACGGTGCTGTTGAGCAGGAGCTCTGGAGGGATGGTTTGGGTTGGGTTCGTGGTGTTGAGGTAGTGGAGAATGGTGTTGGAGCCAGGGAGAATGGTGATGTTCGGGGCCATGCTGTTGAGAAAGAGAGGAGGCATGCTGAGAGACGAGAATGGGAAGTATTGAGAGCGTTGAAAGTCGTCTGAAGTGAAGTGGGTTGGAGTTGTTCTGTAACTGATGCTGTGACAGGCAGGTCTTCGATGTCTTATATGTCAAGATGCGCTAGTTCCAAGACTGACAGCCGTTTATAGCACACCGACAGTTTACTAAAATGGCACGCGTGGTCGTTTGTCCATGTGCAGACATTTGATAGCCCTCAGTGAGCTCAGTATCTGAATGGTATTCGGGTGAAAGTGGGCCCTGACGAGGGCTGGTGGCGTCGGACCGTGCCTTCCTCAAGTGAGTCTGTCTAGCCATTGGCTCGCCCTCCGAAGGTGACGATGAAGTGCACGGAGCATATGGGACCTGGAATAAACAGACTGTGACCCACCACCAGTACGACCTGGCTGTGAGCGGTCAGACTGTCAGGGGCTAGCTGGTGTTGAATTTTATGGCTGAGCTACCAGTACGATTCGATTGTGAGTGGTCAGATTGTGCGTGTCATGGTGTTGACGTTCACGGCCAGAGACTAATCCCTGGGAGTTAGACCCGAACTACCAGTGCGATCTGGTCGTGAGTGGTCAGAAATCACGCTGTGCGTTTCAAAGTCCTGGCTGCCGGAACTACGAGTGAGATTTGACTGTGAGTGGTCAGATATACCTGACGGGAAGGCATAGTGCCACGCCCCACTGTGGCTGCCAGCTCTAGTGAGTGTCGTATTTGATTGGTCGATCTCATTTAGGATCGACGGACTAGCTCCGCGCTTCAGTGAGCTTCGCCTTTCATTGGCTGGCCTTCGTGAACACGACAACCAGCCTTGGAACACTCCAACCTACATCAACAACCTCCCCACGCTGATCTAGGTACGATTGTCGTCTCATACATTTCCAAAAACCATGTCTTCAGCTCCCACGCTCGGTCTGAAAACCCCTCTCCCACCTCGCCGAAGGCGAGCACCGCGCAAGCTCAACTACAACAGCTGCGCTTCTTGCAGAAGTGCCAGCGCCAAGGTATTACAGCCTTGTTGCTTTTAAGATCGATAAGTGACGTTGCATAGTGCTTACAAGGCACTTTACCGTGGCCCGGAGAAAAGTGTAGACGATGTACTGAGAAGAACCTGATTTGTTCTGCGCCGGTGCGAAAATCGGAGGAGGATGAAGTAATCCGAGATGCGTACGTCTAACCCCATCCTATCATGAGCACCGTACTTACTCATGGCCAGGATTGCGCTAGCCGGTGTGACATATATCCTTGAGATAGTTGTGAAGGAGCTTGAGAGATTAGGAGACGAGTACTCCGAGCTCTCCTCGATCACTAAAGCACAGACCAAAGCTCGTTTCGAACTGTGCTCTAAAAACTACATGTTGATTAAGGAAGACATTGAGCAAAAAATCACTGACCTGCCATCTACGGTCGAAGATATCGTTCACACCACCCGAGATTCGTGTTATCTTGAAACGCTTGATGGAGACGGAAGTTTCGGACAAGGCGAACACTTGTATGGGATCGTTATGGTATGTATGATCGATTGCAAGACAGCGTTCTGTCCGAGCGCAGTAGCACCGCTTATGCAGGATCGAAAGGGATTTCTGCAGCGTTGTGTCAATATCTCTGGCAAGTACAAGTTTGGGTCAAGTCAGACGCACAGCATTCTCCGGACTTCGCTCTTCCTGCCGAGTGAACTGTTACAGATTCCAGCTGTCTGGAACAGGGTTCGTCACGACACTAGAACAGACTGTCTGGGTCGCTCGGTCTGGTGCATGGCCCACGACGCTGGAGTGCGCATGCCCTGGCCGGTAGAACATCTTGGGGACGTAGACCTACTGGGCCGCTCTGCCTGGTATCTAGCATGCGCTCGACAGGATACCACGTTACTCGATCAGCTTCTGGCGCACTTACCTGTAGCCCGACACATCCCCGGATCCAATTACCCTCCGAAAGATGTCATCCGCGCCGCAGCTTCTTATGGCTACACTGCCGTATTCCAGAGTCTGTACGAAGAAGACTCGGAAAGGTTTTGCGCAAGAATCGGCGCCGTGGTTGATGAGAGAGGCCTCAACAGCCTCCACATTGCAGTGAAAAAGGGACACCGCAGCACGGTTGAGTTCTTGTGTCAGCACCTTCCCTCGCACTTTGTCAACCGCCGGGGCTGCAAGGAGCAACGAACAGCTCTCCATTATGCTGCCATGTACGGCCACGAAGAAGTCGTGCCAAGTCTCATAGACGCCATCAGCAAAGACCGCACCAGCGACCCCCGCGACTCCGACTATCGCTCTGCCTTCTGGTGGGCTGCCTGGGCCGGTAGCGTGGAGGTGCTGAAACTGCTTCAGCAGCACTGGTCGCGGCTGACCACCGCCGGCATCAATGATCGCGATGTGCAGGGACATACCCCGCTAACTACTTCCATCATTAACAATAACGGCAGTCTTGATGTGGCGAGATATCTGCTCAGTCTCAATTCTCCGACGAAGCTCAGGATCGACATCAACCGGCAGAACGACATGGCCTCGCAAACGCCTCTCGATATAGCATACGAGACGCTGAATTCCGGGGACTGTGATGAAGATACAATGACGGCGTTCATCAAGACTCTGGTGGCGCAAGGTGCGTTGACATATCAGGAAATAGAAGAGCGAGAGATGTGGGACGAAGAAGTACTGTCGGGTTCAGAGTGCAGTTCCGAGGTGGACGACGATGAGATGAGACATGAGCAAATGGACGACGAGATGGGGGACTTGATGGATGTCGTGTTCGACTTTGATCTCTTCTTTGCTCAGGTGAGCGTTGGATTTCCACTGCATCTTTCTGTTATACTGACCGCACTCGTAGAATCCCTTCGACCACTCTCCCAATGCTGTTGTTGAGACAGAAGATGACATAGCCGATGTACCAGGGCCGTCCACAGTGACTTCAATGACGGCGGACAGCCATACGTCACAACTGCCAGATCACCGCTCTTGATCAACCTACATCACGAACAATTTTCAATCAGTGGAAAGCCGGAGGAAGCAAGCAACGAGAGTTATTCCCACCCAGCCAGAGCCGTGAGTTCAACTAGATGCCTCCTCGCCGGACGATGAGCACACTTGGCTGCCGTCTCCGGACCCCAGGCTGCATCCGACACGTCCGCCTAGCAGCCTGGCAAACCGCAACGCCAGAAAACGGACTCCTTCGGTTGTAAGCGTAGAATTCCACACACACCAGGCATCCGGATACAAGTCATTCCTGAGTGGCTCCTCGCTCTCCACACATCAGCACGAGAGGCTTGAGAGTGCACTCACGGACGAGCCAGCGCGTTATCGGGAGAAACTCGTTCTGATATGAGAGGCACATTGTCAGTCATTGCAATGAGAAATGCAAAGCAACGCCAACACTGTACTCCCGCTCTAAACTCCTCTGCGTCTCAACGAAATCAGCAGCCGGGTACACTGCATGTCTATCGGCAGTTCCTCGCTCAGGGCCCCGACCGTGTCGGCGCGAGAGGCCCGGTTTTTTGACCAAATAATACATACATATCTGCGACTAGGTCCAGTGCTATCTCCACAGGGCATAGATCTGACCTTCCACACTCAAGAGCAACCCCCCTCTGCAGGCGAGAACCTCCACAAGGGGCAAACAAACACCGCACCCCTCCCTCCATAGTACCATCCCTTTCTCACGGGGAGAAGAGCTGCAAGCAAACACGTAGTTGATCTGCAACTCGACATGACACAGAAAATTGAACACCCCGAGAGCGCACGCCCAGACCGGACGGCGACACACCCCGGACGACGGCGGCGTCTGACGGGACGCGTGGAGTGGCTGCTCTGCCTCACATACACCACACGCGCTCCCCCATATCGGCAGACGGCGTGCAGAGACGCACGAGCGACGGCGAGCAAGGGGGTGTTGATCGAAGGAGGAAGGCGCACAGCGACAGTGAACAAAGCATTATTATTTAAATTTCTCGCGCGACAAGTGTACAAATACCGCCTCTCCCCTTCGTGCACAGTTTACAGGAGGGACGCGGATGTAGTACATGATCGGAGGCTTGCTTCCGTACCTCTTTTAGATAAACAGCGTTTCTGCGAGATAGCAGACATGCACCGGCTATGGCTATCCAACGACGCGCCTCCACGACTCCCATCCAACAGCACTTCCTGCACTAAGCAGGACGTCTCACGCCTTGACGGTGCTCCTCTTCATCCCCTTCTTGCTCTTCTTCTCCCTCTCGCGCTCGAGGAACTTCCGCTGCTCGTCTGCGCTCAGCCGCCCGAGCTTCGCATCGCGCTGCTCCTTCTTCAGCTTGTCGGCCGCGAGCTTGCGCTCCTCGGCCTTCTCCTCCTCGTCCAGCTTGCGGATCTTGGCGATCTGGTCGTCGCGCGTTTGCCGGATGCGGCGCAGGGCTTCGGGGCGGTAGTGCGCGGTCGATGCGAGGTGGTCGGGGAGGCGCAGGAAGGCGGTGAAGATGGGGATGGTGGTGGTGGAGGTGGTGAGTTTGAGGGAGAGGTTGATGCGCTTGCGGGGCTTGGTGTCGTCGAGGCTGGGAGGGTTAGTGGGAGTGTATAAGGGGGTCATAATGGAGGACGTACGTCTTGGGCTGGTCCATGGGCTGGTCGGTGACGACGAGGGCCTCAAAGGCGTCGCCGGCCTCTTCGATGGCCTTGACGAGCTCGGGGGTCAGCAGCGAGTCGGTGACCTCGGCGCTCTCGCTCATGACGGTGGTCCACACGGGCAGCTTGGCGTGGTCGCGGGTGGTGGTCAGCGAGAGGTCGTAGCGGTCGTCGCGCAGGCGCTTCATGATGTCCTTGTGCACAACGGCGAAGACGAAACCGTCGAAAGAGCTGTTGGGGACCTTCTTGGCGTCCGTCTTGCCGTAGACAGGGGCAATCTTGGACTCCTGGCCGTCGAAGACGTACGCGGTGGCCTCGAGGCGCTCCTGCGGGGCAGGCCAGCTGTCGAAGAACAACGGCATCAGGTTCTCGCCAAAGCGCAGGAACGGGTTGAAGCGCTTAGTCAGGGTCAGCTTGAAGTCGACAAAGGCGACGTTCTGGCGGCCGGTGGCGTAGGTGGTGAACTCGTCGGGCTTCTTCTCGCGCAGCACGTTGTCGAGCTTGGAGGCCTCGGACAGGGCGCCCACGAGGTCGTCCTCGCCGACGCCGCTCGCGCCGGCCGCGGGCTTGAGGTAGCCGACCTGCACGAACTCCTGCTGCAGCACCGGCACGTGAGTGACGGCCCACTGGCGGGCCTTGCTGCGGTTGCGGCGGGTGCCCCAGACGTGCACGATGATAATGGCGAGCAGGAACGGCAGGATGTACATCTCCAGCTTGAAGTCTTCGGCCGTCGTGCGCTCCCACACACGATACCACTTGGTGTACGGGCGCCCGGCAATGCCCGTCGCGGCCGCAGGCACCGCCGACGCCGTCAGCGAGGCGTGGTCGACGGGGGCCGGGTCGGGGGCTCCCGCGTAGTCGGCGAAGTCTGCGCGTGTCAGTGAGGTCGCGGGGGGGAATGCGGGCAGGGCGCACCGCCATCGTCAACAGGCGCCGCCACGGGCTTCTGGGCGCCGAAGAGTCCCTTGACAAAGTCGGCCATGGTGTCTGGATGCCTCAATGGATGTCTCCGTGGATGGAGCAGGCGCGGTTGAGGCCAGCGGGAGCTCGACACTCGGTTAAGGTCCCGCGCTAGCACCGATGTGGGGTGCTGATGCTGGAGCTACCCCAAGTGCAGCTGTCTTAGCTGTGTAACCGCAGGACTGCAGGACACTGCAGATGATGCTGGCCGGTCGTCTGGAGCTTGTTCTGACGGCTCATTGCGGTATGAGACTGCAGCAGTGGTCACTAGTAATGACAGATGCAGCAGTTTGATCCAACAATATTGACCCAGCACAATTACATCACACATCGTATGATCACGCAGTCGGCATAATCAGAGTAGTTAGAAATCAGTTTGATAACGTCCGAAATTACCACGATCACGCACGTTCAATCAGACGCAAACAGACAAAGGAACTGATATTGCAGGCTCTATAGTTTGTACATTGACCTGAGTGCTCGCAGCCTTCCGATAACGTCACGCGTCTTCTAGTTCTTGCCGAACCAGGTCTTGTGTCCCTAGAGGGGTCAGTTGCTGGCCGCTACTACACTAGGTTGTACCTACAAGAACCAGGCGGCACATCATGTACATGGAGGCGCTCAGCGAGGTGAACATGAGACCCTTGTAGGCGGGAATCATCCACTTGCCGCGGGCCTGGAGTTCGTCAGCGTCAATCCTGCGGCATGTCCCAAGCTGATGCTGTCTGCGCCCGTCCAGCCAACCAGATCCCCCTCTTTCCAGCTTATCCACGTTTCAAGTCGCACGCACCTTCTCCCAGGTCCTCAGGCCATCGTGCTTCTGGAAGTACGCCTGGTACTTGGGGACGTTGTTCTCGCGGAAAATCCAGCTGCAGGCTGTCAGTACGATGACTGGGGGTATGACTGGCCGTGCCGGGCGGCGTCAATTGGGCGCACGCCGCGTCGCGCAGCTGCAGGGAAGACGTACCCTGCCATTGTGAAGAGTGGAGATGTGTGTGTGCGGTGTCGCGGCGGCAATGGGAGGTTCGGTGCAGTCTGTCGAGTGAGGTTGCGTCGAATGACCGCCAAAGGCAGGCTTGGCATAGATATGATCTAGCCGCATCGGGCCGGCCAGCTACCAGCAACTTTTTGACCGCGAAGCTGCAGACGCGCCCGCGCCAATGGGTCTCCGCCACGCTCCTTTACCTCGAAGTTGATGCCACCGGCCTTGGACAGGCTCCTCGCCAGTCCCTCGGCCCTGAGACTGCTGCGATCCATCGTCACCGCCCCGGACTCACCCGCCCGATGCTGTGCCGCAGCACAGAGACGGACATACGCAAAGCACCATGGCGCCGGGAAGCGCAAATGGCAGCGGTGGAGCGAGCAGCCGGCTGTCCTCCGTGAGCGCGAACAGGCTGCCATCAGGGAGCGCGAACAGGCTGTCATCAGTGAGCAGGAGCAGGCGACCATGGACCAGCATGAGAATGCTCTGAGGAAGCGCGCCGAGACCGCCCCCAAGGTCGCGTCACGACGCATAAAACCCGAGGCCGGATTCGACTTTCTCAACGATATTCTGGGCGACGAAGAGGCAGCTCTGGAGGATGATTACTCTGTCGAGGATCCAGACAAAGAGTGGGCCGCCAGACTCGCCCACCGCGACCGCCTCGATGGGCTGGACGGCATTTTGGCCGTCTGGCAGGCCCGCCGCCGAGAAGGGTACTCGCTCCCAACCGAGAACAGTGCCAATGCCCAGTTCCTCTGGAAGACGTTCGCACGACACCCGCGCCTTGTGCACGACGTCATCGACCACGCAGTCGAGCTGCAGCAGAGGGGTGCCACGTACCCACGCGTGTACAGCGTGATCATGGGCTACTGGTTGGGACGCCAGCCAATTGAGGCGCTAGAGTACCATGACCAAATGCTGGAGAAACTGCACCTGGAGAAGCTGCCACTACGCGAGCTGGCGCAATCCGCCCAGACCTACGGCAACGCGTCGCACGAAGCGCTGTTGGACATCTACCGCGACAGCAATGAGCGCGATCTGTATGATAGTATCGTGCCGCGCCTCGTCAACAGTGGGAACATCGAGATGGCCTATCGATGGCATACCCTCTGCAGTTCTCGCGATGACCTCCCATCTGAGACCTTCGCGGCCATACCCATCATCCAGCTCTTCACCGCGAAAGCTGCCCCCGTGGATCCGAAAATGCGCAAGCGCGAGGATCCCAATATCAACAAACCTCTCATGAAACGGCTGATTGGGCGCGACTCTGCACCTGTGCGCTTCGAGGATGCCTTCACGGCGCGCATGTTCGCCACCAGGACCGTGCAGATTGACTCCATAATCAAGGGACTAACCCTGGTGGGCGTGAACGAGATAGGTCCACAGGCAGTTCTGGCCATGGCCAGTCGGACACAACCCATCACCGACCTTCCTCGCCATTTTGAAGGCCTGCGGGCTGCGGGCATTGCACTGCAGGGCTCTGTCTTCTCTCTCGCGCTGGAGAAGTTTGCCATGGACGGGAAGTGGGATCTCGTGGAAAGCATTATGGAGAGCGACCAGCATCTAGATGTCTACGGCGACGCAGACACGCAGCGCGCTCTCCTGGCTTACTACCTCGACCAGAAAGACGCCATGCAGGCCCAGCGAACCCTCGCCATCCTCTCGCTGTTCCACAACGACCCCGGCCGCGAGTCCTGGAACCTGCTGCTGCAGCTGCGCCTCGCAAGCACCCGGCCCCAGCCCCAGGACATCTTCAGCACCCTACTCGAGATGCGGAGCATCGGTGCCACGCTGTCGAGCGCATCCATTGCCTCCGTCCGCCTCCTGCTGGCCCGCCGCCAGCGCGGCCATCGCCCCCAACCCTCCGCCCACCCCTTCGACGACCTCCGCTTCGTCACCCGCTTCTACGTCACCGCCCTCGAGGCCGGCATGACCCGCATCCCGCCCGAAGCCTGGCACGAAATCATCCGCCGCTTGGGCATGCTGGGGCGGCTGCGCGAACTCAAGCGTCTCCTCCTCTGGCTCCTGTCCTGGTACGCGCCGCTGAGCCCCGAATTCGCCGCGCTCCCGCGCTCCGCCGCCCTCGCCCCCGCCACCGCCGCCATGCGCCGCCTCTACCCCGTCAACACGCACTACTACAACTTCCCGACCACCGTCCCGCAGCAAAACTCCAAGGCCCACCCCATCCGCGTCCTCTTCCCGCCCTCCCTCCAACAAGGCCTCGTCGTCTGGGGCTTCCGCACCCTCCTCCCCGAAGCGCCCCTCGAGCAATCCCTCCTGCGCCCGCCCGCCGCAAAACCGCACCACCGCCCCAGTCTCCTGCAGAAAAACATCCTCACCCGCCTGCGCTGGGACGTCGGCCTCAGGATCCTCGTGCAGCTGCGCGACCTGGGCGTGCACGTGCACCCGCACACCGTCGCCAAGGCGCTGCAAGCCCAGTTCGTAAGCCTCTTTGGATACGGGCGGTCCCGCGTCAAGGCGAACCGCCGGCTGGAGCAGGGGAATGAGATCGAGTACGCGGAGTTCGTGCGCGGCGTCAACGAGGCGTGGGGCCAGCGGCTGTTTACGGAGCCGCGGGAGTTGGCGCGCGGCGTGGGGCGGGAGGCCAGGTGGCATCCGCGGTTCCGGAGGCGGATTGGGGGCGAGGTGAGTGTTGGGCGGGGCACGGCGGGTGGTAGGACGGGCGTTGAGAAGTCGGAGAAGCGCGACTCTGCTGGCACGCACGGTAAACGCGGAAGGTAGGAGGCAAACGCGAGATATGTAAATCACATAATCCCACATCGGCATACAGTCATGGTGTTGACCGGACCCGACTCGATGACAAATCCATCCGCCTCCGTCTCGCAGCACTGGAATACGTACTTTCGTGGTTGTAAATTGAAGCCTCGCAATAAGGCTGGAGGGGTCGCTATTGCCTACATGCTCAAAACACATGTGCACTAGCCTAATGTGGAAAGGCTACGTGCGTGTTTCTGTTCACATCCACTCATTTTGAGACACACGTTGACGGGCTCGCTCGATAAGAGCTGCTGGTTGCAAGGATGAGACGAGGCACGTTTGTGAGGGATTGCGATACATGTCGACCGGTAGGAGCGATGCGCCGGTTGCGTGTGCTGCTTGATCGGGGTGGCCGAATGGAGTGGTGGAACGCAATTGTTCTGATGCTTTGTAGCTGGACGTGTTGCTGAGCACTGTGTAGTCGAAATGTGAGGTAGTCTTTGAAGCGCCCCAGTTGTTAGCAATCTATATAATAGTCCAAAAGTCTTCTGCCTACGTGGTTTCTGGCAACCTTGATCTATCGTGTTTCCCAATCAGTTGCTCGCACTCCACCAGGGCACCCATGAAACTACATCAACTGACTATTCGTCAGGAACTACACAGATACCCAACCTGTATACCCCGCCCACGATTCAGCACTAATACCCGTCATCATCGTGACTCTGAGACGCGCCTGTAGTAACCGGCGTCTGCGCAGTGAATAGATCAGGAGGTGCTGGTGATACTGAAGGTCGCATGCCGCTGGCAAGAGGATAGACAGGACCCGGGGACCCATAGTCTGCCGTATGAGCCATGTAAGACTGCTGAACATGCGGATCCTGTGCGAACGGATGTGTCTGCTGCCCTCCTGGGATCGCCTGGCCGTGGCGAAAAGCGCTCTGCATGGGCGCGGGAGGGTGCGGACTAGGCATCTCGCCCTGCCTAGCTCGGGGCGGAGATGCGAAGGTATTCGACGTACCCGCGTGTGTGTAAGGTGCCGACGGGCCTGCTTGATTGTATGCTGCAAATGGGGCGTGTGCCGACCACGCCGGCTGGCCGCCATACTGCGCATTCTGCGCGAGCGGCACCATGTGCGCGAAGTGATCTGCACGATCACGGTCCATGTACGCGCGCTTCGAATCCGTGCTGCCGATGGTCTCGGCGATGTACATGTCGAATTGCGATGATGCATCCGCGACGGTTTCGAAGTGTGCTACTTTGAGTTCGGAGCGCACGTCTTCGAGCGCCACGTCTGAGTCCCAGCTGCCTGCCAGACCGGTGGATTCCAGGGCTTCGTATTGGGCCATGGCTACGGCAGTCTGGAAGGCGTTGCGGATTTGTCGGCCGTTCCAACGCGTATTCGTCTTCTTGTTCTGCGCGAAGTGGGCGGCAGCGAAGCGCAGGATTGAGGGCTCGTCGGCGGTGACGCGCCCTTTTTGTCGCTTGATGACGCGGTCGAGGTTCATTTTCCATATTGCCGCGGTTTGGTCTTGGTTGAGAGCTGGGTAGTAGAGATGCAGATGGATTCGCGACTTGAAGGCTTCGTCGAACGCGCCGACTCGGTTGGTTGTGAGGATCAGAATGCCTTTGTAGTATTCGAGTACACGAAGAAACACTGGACCTTGTCAGAAATGTTTAGAGTAGGATACATTAGGTTTCGGACTCACCCGAAACAATTGCGTTTCGTTTGAGATCAGTCCTCGTTCTTTGCGCGAGGAATACATCCGCCTCATCTAACAGCAACACACAATCCCAGATTTCAGCTTTGGCGAACGTACTGTTCAGCTCTGATTCAACAGCGGCAGCTGTGACACCCAGATCACCACAGGTTATCGGATAAAGAGGCTTTTTCAGTGACTCCGCAACACATTCTGCAGTCGATGTTTTACCCACACCTGGCGCCCCATGGAGGAGTATGATAAGACCCATACCCTTGCCACGAACCAAATCGATATCTGGATCTTGCAGAGCATTCATCTTGCGTGACTGCTTGTCCATAAAGTGTGTCTTGATCTGAGCCTGGACCATGTGCTTGTGACCGCGAGGTAGCTTCAGATCCGCCCAGCCTTCTTTGCTGACTTGCATCGGATGCAAGCAGTCAAGCGCTAGTATGGCAAATCTACGCCTGTGCAAATCGAATCCCACAACGCGATCGGGAAGGAGCGCGTAATCCATGCGGTCAAAAGCCTGGTAGTCAACAAATAGATCACCAGAAGAGTACTTTTGTGTAGCTAGGAAAGCGTTGCTCGCCACGAGATCGTCCATATCTGCAGCATCTATCCCATCATCCGCGTATATCAAGTCGGCTGTCGTGTCCTTTAGTACTTGATAAGTCTCGTCTTCCCAGACATTGTTCGGGTAGTCTTCCATGAATTCGAGTCCCGAACCACCGCTCGCAGTAGGCATTCCGTGATTCGCGACCCAATGTGAGTTTTCACGTTTCGCTTCTTTGAAGTCTACGATAACAGGACCGTCCACTGGCTTTGATGAAGGTTCCATCTTACACACGAGTCCGCAGGGGTGTCGACACAAGGTATTGCCAACGTAGAGAGAATGGGTAGGTTTTGTGTATTGCACAAATTTCCTGCCCCTGGCCACTAGTTGTTCCTCGATTTCAACAGAGTTCTCTACATAACGAAGAGGGCAAGGATCAAGTACGCCGATCTCTTTCTGACCGTCGAATGGTGAGATTGAAAAAGTGTGGTCGAGGGGTCCAAAGGATGTTCCATCGTAGGAGATGATATGGCACAGAATCTCGAACCTGTTGATTTTGATTGTTGGCGGCCGTAGTCGCTCATCCTCTTGTCCATGGGGCACACCAAGGACAGATCGACCTTTTGATACAGCCAGTATCCTCCAGATGGTAGGCGGCCCTTTTCCAGGCGACGACGTTGAGCCCTCGTCAAGATTCGTCCAGGATACCGCAAGGTCGCCAGGACGATAGAAAAACCAGAGATCATGAAAGTAGATTTTCTTCAAATCACTCGATCGACATCGTTGGTACACAGGCAGAATCTCTACGTCCATGAATTGCACAAGACAGCGTAGGCTCTCAATTTCCGATTGAAATTCTCCGTCTGCTGATTCTTTTACAAGAGGAGTGGCTTGTCTCAGTAACGGCTGATTCTCGCTTGCGGCATTTTCCGCAAGAGCTAGCTGTGGCGTGCTACCATCTGTGGATCTTCTTCTAGACAGGGACTCTCCACTTGATTCGGAGTGTCGCTCCTCAAGGTCTTGTAGCCTTCGTCGTATAGCACTGTCGTGACGAACTAAGAGCTTGTATGGCCGAAGCAATACTGTGCTTTTCTCCATTGAAGACTCTCCCAACTCTCCCAGGAACCCGAGTAGCTTCTTACAATTAATACGGATTCTTTCAGGCATCTCATGGGTTGTTTCAGCCACATTCGAGGACATAGACTTTGGCTGCGGTTCGACAACTTCGTTGGCTGTGAATACCGATGAACCTTCGCCAGAGGTAGCTTTGCTGGCTCGACGCTGAGAGTGCAGCTCTTCCCCACGTCTCTGCCAGTAAAATTTAGCTGGACCCATCAGCACGTCAATTGCGTAGACCCTGCTTTCATTCATGGTTGAATTTTTGAACTGTGTCCAGTTTACGCGATTGAGTTGAGGTATGGTGGCAACATCCCGTGGCCACAGGGGCAACGTTGAGTCGACAACCGAGTTTTGGTCAGGGTCAAGGACTGAGCGATCGCTATCGACATCATCAATTCTGTCAGAGTTTGGCGCTGGGATGTCTGAACTAGAATTGTCTTGTCCAGGGCCGGCGAATCTCTCTTCATTGGGTGGCACTGCTGATGTCGTCTCGAGACGCTGTGACTCTTCTTTTGGGTCGTTGATTATTTTAACATCGTTCCCTGCTTGTTCTGAAAGGCTCAAAGTCTGTTCAAGAGCTTCCAGCTCGGCTCTCAGCTCGGCAATACGAAGCTTCACAGAGCTGTCGGCCATAGGTGATTTGGGAATCTGGTGACTTTCTTCGCAGATTTGAAGATTCCTTGGGGAGAACCTGGATCAGTATCTTTGAGGAAGGCTCGAAATATGAACAAGAACATGTGTGGAGTTGATGAGGCTGTAATGCTGCTACGTGGGGTAATGTTGCTTGACCGGTCGATGACACAGGCGCTAACGCATGCACGTACAGGGGGGTACTCCTCCGGCTGATAACCATTGAGAGTTTGGCCAATATAGAACAGCTACACCCCTCTCCTAGAGCTTTTGACTTGCTGGATGCATGCCGCGCCGGCACGCTGTGTCAGCCCGACGTTTCCATCGATCCCCTGTAAGCGCAGCCTGCCACATATAGCGGAGCCAACAGGCTGACATACCACAACGTCCGCCCGAAAACTTCCATATATAGGACAATCTAACACAGCCAACAAAGCGCAATATGTCGAACTTGACGCAGCAACGACCAGATATCCTGGTCACAGACTGGATCGATCAGTTCGCACCTCAGCAGCACGCAGTCTTCCGAACAAATGGGTTCAACAGCCAACGAGCCAGGGCTCCCCAGCTGCAGCAACAGAGAGCCGGGTAATAGTCAGTGCAGTACTTTGTGCGACATCTTCTTACGTGTTCAGGGCCTTGACGGACGACTTCTGTAACATCGTTCAGCAATTTGAAGATATCCTTCCTAAGCATGCTGGTGGTGGAAGGATCAATATCCGAGCCTCACATTCCTGGGACGAGGTTGTCAGAGCTGCCAAAGATGCCGAGACCGCGTACCTAGCTGAAACCAGAAAGGGGAGTAAAGGAGCAGTGCGAGGATATTTGCGTCGGTTCGGAGACTACTCAGCAACAGCGACCCCATGGACTGGCCTCTTACCGAACGACAAATACTTCAGCGTGCTTTGCGGAGGCTTGAAGATTGTACTGGGTGTACGTGCTTTGTTACAAAATGCGGGTTGTCCGGACACTGTACTGATGTTTTCCAGATTGCGGCCCGGAGAAGCGAGAGACGAATCGAGATATTCGAAGCTTTTGAATTGCTACCGGCGACTATAGAAAAGACACAACGATGTCATGAAATCTTCCCCAAGAACCTGGAGCTGCGCGACAAAGCCTTGACCGTTTACTTGGATCTTTTGACGATGGTTGAAGCCATGATCGCCTGCCTGTTAGATAAGAAACTGTGTGAGTCGTTATCCGATACAGTCTGATTGCACTCAGTAATCTTAGTTTGCAGTGGCCCGAATCAAAGATGGGCTGAGAGGACCTCTTGCTGACGAGGACCTGGACGAGAAGAAAAGACGTTTCCACAAATCAATGGACGCTCTGGAGCAGCAGGTCCACTTCTTACATCTTTCCTCGTCGGCCAAAGCCAATGCAACCATTGCAGAAATGAGCCCAAGCGTCCATAATACCGAAAGGATGGTTTCGTCTATTGACGATACAGCTAAAATCCTGCACCACACCAGCAAAATTGCCCTAATGGAGTTTGAAGAGCTCCGGTCGGATGTGGCCTCCCATGCACAGATGACGCATTCGCTGGCAAAGCAAGTCGGAATGCAGACACAGGCGATCGAGTTGCAGAGTCAATCAAGAAAAAATCTTGCTTCGCTACTCCAAGACCACATCAGCAACATTGAATGTAAGAACAGACTACAATGAAGCGAACTTTGACTGATACAATCAGGGCGCACGACCGAGCTCCAGAGAGCATGGGAAGCAGTCAATCGTAGATTGGACCGTGAAGGATCACAACTTCAGCTGATCTCTCATCTGAGCCACGCTTTGGAGCATGTGAGCCAAGATCTCGGTTTCGCAGTTCAAAGTACACAATTGTGTAGTCCCCCAAGCCAGAGTGCAATGTACTGGGTACTCCAGTCACCTCGTTTCAAGCACTGGCTTCAAGGCCCTCTCCCAGATGTCCTGGGCGTGAGCGGGAGGCTGGAAGATGGCATGGCTCGCTACTCCTCAACAAGTCTACTCTGCGGAATGCTCGTCCAATCCCTTCAAGAGAGCAATGTCGCACATGTGCTTCACTTCTTCTGCGGCCCACACAACTCGAGATTTGACGCTTTCTCGGGTCCAAGAGCGTTAATTCAGAGCTTACTGGCCCAGCTACTGTCTTTACAGCAGTTTGACATTGGTTTCCTTCGGTTCGGACAGTGGGAAGAAGGCCTCAGAGCGAACAACATAAGCACGTATTGCAGCTTGTTTCGTAGGCTCATCGAACAGCTGCCTACTTCGATTATGTTCTGCATCATTGATAGCGTATCTGTCTTCGAGGTTGATTACTGGGCAGATGATCTCCAGATCGTACTCAGAACTCTTCTCGAGACTGTCGCTGATCCGCAGCTGAGTGTACGACTGAAGCTGCTGATCACTTCAGCATCACGGAGCAGGTGCATGGACAGCCTGTTGAATGAAAATGACACGCTACATGTACCGACTGACACCGGCGATCGGCAGCTTCTCAATGGTAGATCCGTACACTCTGAGCTTGCGGACCGTCAATTTTTAACGACATACGGATCGGCTGAACATACAAACTTACCGTACGAGAACCTTTACGATACAGGGTACGAGTAAGACTGCTACTGATTTACGACGAAGTCGGAGATGACAGGGAGCTAGAAAAAGGAACGATATTGACTTGGTCTTTGTCTCGATGTGTAAGAGGGCGCAAGAAACCCAAGAAATCGATTTGCCATGTCTTCACCCTGACCACGGCAGCCGACTACGGGGCTGTTAGCTTCAGCGACGCCAAATCCTTCTCAAAGTTCGTGACCCGCTGGCTATCCTTGCCCAGGTTCTTCACCAGCAGATTCACGGAGAAAGAATACAGCTCGTGGATCTTCCGCTGCGTCTTGCCCGCCTCTTTCTCCGCCTTTAGCAGCGCTTTCTTTGCGTCGCGGACTTTCTTCTCTGCACCTGCCGGCGTGGGTTTCGTCGCACGTAAATCCTTCGCTGCTTTAACCTGCGTCTGCGCGGTGGCGACTTCTGCTTTCTGCTTTGCGAGCGTGGTTTCGAGGGCGGTCTGCTTCTTCTTCTGGTCTGCGGCATGCTTGGCCGCGTCTTTACCAGTCTCGGCCTTCTTGAGCGTGTCCGCGAGCGTCGAGAACTTCTTGATTGCGGCGGCTATTTCGGATTTTGTCTTGGGCAGGCGTGCCGTGGCCCATTTCTTCGCCGCAGTGTCCATGGCTTGGAAGTGCGCCTTCATAAATGCGTCCCATACTGGCACGAGCGCAATCTTGGGCTCATTGTACAGCGCGCCTGCATTGGCGAGTTCGAGCCGGACGTTCTTGTTGATGTTCTTCATGTGGGTGGCTACGCCAGGCGAGTTAAGGTAGTTGTATACACCAAATACCTGAATATGTTAGCAGGAGCCCTGGAATTTCATAGGGAACTCTCATACAAGCCTTAAAGCGCTTAGAAAATCGGCTGATTGCACGGCGCCAGTCATCGCGTCTGCAAGTGCCGAGTCATACACAGCTGCACTCATGGGGTCCTTGAGCGACCACACGCGCATCTTATACGAATTGATTGCCGCCTCGCACAGCACGAAGTCCATTGGATTGGCTGTTGATCCCATGGCTTCGAAAACGAGTCGCATGAGCGAGTCTCGAGGAGGATCAATCCCGAGTTTGTACGGAGGCGGGTTGGGTCGTTTTGCTACTGTGAGTGGACCCGGAACAGGCTTGACGAATTTGTTACGGAAAAAGGCGTCAAGGGTCTTATCGGACTTTGTTGCGTAGACCATGAACATACCAAGCGTTTGAAGCTGGTTGTTACTTGTCAGTGCCGTCACTGTGTGTGCCGAGAGATGGACGTACCTCGATGATGTGCTCAGTAGCGTACTCGGCAGATGGTCTGACCAAAGCAGTGGATTTGGAAACAGCAGTCGTGCCTAGCTTCTTGTCCTTGAAATCGTACACTTCCTTCGGGTTACCCTGGCGCGGGCTGCTATAGAGTTCGCCGCTTGAGGGGTAGCCTAAAGCGCTGAGTGCGAGTGCTCCGCCTGGGAGCTTTGGTGAGCTAAGCCGAGCGCGCTTAGATAAAGCGATGTGGTCATCTTCGAGATTGCTGTAGCGACCATGATAGATAGGTAGGCCTCTCCGAGCCTTGACGCTGGGAGGTGTATCGTCCTCCTGTTGCAAACAAGAGTTTAGCAGATACATACATTTAGATGTCACGGGACGCAATTACCTCGTCTCCACAATCTATGTATATGTCACAAAGATCTGTTGCATCCTCATCGTAAGGTACCGGTAGCTGGGGGAATACCGGGGCTTTCCCGGCAGCTGGAGCAGGCTTTGCAGGCTGTGCGGGCGTTTTGGGGGGCGTTTTCGGGGGCGTCTTTGGAGGAGGTGCTCGGGAATCTAGGAACATTGCTGGCGGGCTAGAACCACTGTCTCTTGCTTGGAGACTTCCTTCCCTATGATCAAGGGCATCAGACCTGGATGATTGTACCACAGGAATGGGCTAACTTACTCTGTCTGGGGAACTGCACTCGTGTAAACGAGTCCTGACGTAAGCAAGAAGAGGAGAGCGCGTTTGTGCAACATGATGATGGTGGTAAATCAAATGAATGGTCAGGGCACTGCCCTATAAAAATTGAACGAACGAGGGAGAAACTTCGACTTGTGAATGTGTATGGTCGAACTGAATCTGGCATGTACCTCGCTATTCATACTGAATAAGAGATCCTTGCAACAGATCTATGTCTCTAATTCCAGCAACGGACTACAATCTCTCGGTCTGGAGTAACCACTTCACCGGAGTCCGGCGTTGTAGCCAATCTGCGAAAGTTAGCTCTGTCTCCCAGGCATACTGTTGCAATTGTGGGAATTGTTGTGCTCCAGGTTTTTGAGTCTCTCTACGGACTTCGGGTGCAGCCCGCATCGTTGACAGGGCATGTCTCTCTGTAGATGCCTAGCCTTCAGGTCGATTGGAGGTGGAGCTTCTTTTCAGATAAATCCATCAGAGTCTCCAAGGTACGATTGTTATATAGCATCGAACAGGTTTTTTAGTATCCATTTGGCTGTAATGACTGTTGCGGCAAACTGTCCAAAATGTGCTGTTTTTAAGGTTGTAGTTTTCAGGTGTTGAAGACCGGATACCGAAGCTCGAACACCGAAAGCCGCGCGAATCTTATCAGTACGTATCAGCACTACGGTTACGACATCATCATCACATCCAGTGTGGTACAGGTGCCTGTGTAATACAAGAGAAAATATTCATCGGCCACGACCCTCCACCAGCCCACAACTCACCATAATCCCTCATCCGCCGCCCCTACAAACCGTCCACAACCCCAGCATGCCCGACATAGACTGCATCCGCGACGCCATCGCAGCCTACCCCGGCGTGAAAGTCGGCTTCACAATTTACAGACTCACCTACGGCGACGACGCGTCGTGGGCGCGCTACATGCACCACCTCAACACGCGCGTGCGGCTCAACCTCGAGGCCGAGGGCGCTGGTGACGTCTTTGCGCATCTTGACTGGGATGTGCAGGAAGACCCTCAGCTGCAGGATGCGGACGAGGATACGGTGCGCGAGTGAGTGCCTGACACTCCACTCTTATGCAGATGGCGATTAATCAGCGCAGACGCTTTAAGACGTACGTGACCCAGCACCCCGATCTCGCATACGGCGGCCCGCGGTTCGAAGCATGCGTTGCCGTTACGCAGGATGATGTGGACGCGGTTCTAGAGGGTCCAGGGCCGGAGGTCTTCACCATTGACGATACGGGGTATGTCACGTTGGTTGCGGTTAGAGAGGAGGATGGGTCGCAGGGTGTGGCGTTTCCGCTGCTGTTTCCTAGGGTGTACTCGCTTATCGACGGGCTGGGGTGGGATCACATCCACGATGAGGACGGTGATATATTTGCCCAGTAAGATAGATAAAGCAATGCAGGTCCACTTGCGTTGATGGAGCCATTCAAGGTGTGCACGTGTCCGCGATGTAATAGTGTAAGATGAGACTAACCGTTTCGGGGTGATGCGATGAGGTATCATCTAACCGAGGCCTTGCTTCATCGTCGTCCGATACAACGGGTAACTACCCCGACCTTCATCAATCGGCACCGATCATGTTATTCGGGCTCACGGCGAAGATGACAGGCTGGTCTTTCCGTACCTTCCTCTTTGATGGCTCGCTCGAAAGGCGAGGCGGGGCAGCTGCATAGCTTCCCTTTCCCCGCGGGGTACATCTAGACCCCTGCCATGCCTACGCCATTGACTACGCGTGTAAATTCAAATCTCTATCGCCCGTTTTCTCCATCAACTGATTTGACATTGACCTAATCTATCTCAAATCCCTTGTCCTCATTCGCAATGTCAGCCGCCCAAGCACTCCGCGAAAAGCAAGCTCCAATTAAAGAGGGCTACCGTACCGACCCATCCTCCGCTATCGTGACCCTGAAATCCACGGGCTCTCTCGACGCGTCCTCAATCACATGCAAACTCTCCACCGGTGCGGCAGTCAAAGAAGCCTCTCGAGTCGCCGGCCTGCACCCCAAAGCCGGCGGTGACGACTTCTCCATCTCGGGTGAATTGTGCTCAGGTGACATGCTACTCGACGCGCTGGTCGCCTGCTCGGGCGTCACGCTCAAAGCCGTTGCGACTGCACTGGGGCTGCCGGTGCAGTCTGGCACGGTGACTGCCGAGGGCGATCTGGACTTCAAGGGCACGATGGGGGTGGATCGGGCGGCGCCGGTAGGCATCACTGGGATTCGGTTGCAGTTCAATATCAAGTTCGGGACGAAGGAGGATGGTTCTGAGGTCAATGAGGATGAACTTGAGAAACTGGGGAAGTTGACGGAGAGGTATTGTGTTGTGCTGCAGACGCTGGTTAAGAAGCCGACGATTGGTGTTGTGATGATCGGGAGTGGGAAGCAGGAAGATGGGGTTGAAAAAGAGATTATGCACGGGAGTAAATATTAAGAGAAGCAGAACGGAATGGTATTGCAGAACTACTTCAAAACGCAGAACAATCCTCTAAACACATGTAATACTCTAAACAGTTGATGACACGCTTTTGGATTTAAAATCCGAGCGTTAGTTATATGACAGAAATGAAGGAGGATGGTTACATACCTAAACAGTCTTCTAAACATGGGTAGTCGTCTAAACAGTCTACAATGCACTTTTGGCTCTAATACATTACTGTTAGATATGAACTAGAGAAGAGACGAAAGATGATGATCACATACTGTGATACCGCCTCAACGCTTTGCGTTGGGCCTCTTGTGTCGGTGATTGTGGGAAGAGGGCCTCTTTTTGGCTTCCATCTTCAGAGGGGATGTGGCGTGAAGGTAGTTGACGATGTGGTTAAGGTATCCAGTCTTCTTGGTTTTCTTGTAGATCTTTCTTGCCTTGAGAAGGTCGAAGAAGACGCTGAAATACATCTTGATGGTGTAGATGTTTGGTAGTCAAAGGGTGATACTGGATTATGTGTGTGATGGGATTTTGATGAGATGAAGTAAAGTAGCATTGAGGAAAATATTTGAAGAGCATTCTGATCTCAAAGATCACAAGTGTACCGCGCTTTTTAAAATTTGTTGTAGCCCTCAGGTTGGTTCTGATTGACCCTGGCAGAATATTTATTAAACAAAACAATATGAGCAAATCAGAGGGCTAACCACGAAACTGTATATACAATTCTACCATAATCTAGCAGCGTGATCTTCCAAATGCGTAGGATATCAACTCTGGTCCTTGGTTGTGCGTTGATCTACAGAATCGCGCACAGTCATTACCAACATATGTCAGTGTGATCTTGCGCAATCTATTGTTCGGCTCTGATGTGATCGGAGAATACGCGCCTTTGAGTGTGATCCTAAATATATTGTTATTTGGTCCCGGTGTGATCTGGGATGCGGCGCCTGCTCAATTCGTCTCACAAATCTTGGGAAGGAGGTAACCAGTACACTGGCCCATAAGAGGGTTGTATTCGCCGAATGGTGAGCGATCACACACCCTTTTCCTATTTGAATCATGTACTCTACTTTATAGAAACAGTGTACAGGCTATGATGTCTCAATGGGGGAGACTTCAATTACAGATTTCATGCAAAACGACACCAGTGCCCTCAAATACCACTTCTACAACCTCAGGTACCAACTACCCGGAGACCATCGTTCCAATTGACCGTTCCCACGCGCAGCCAGGGTATACTTCTGAGATCTCGTCTGGGTTTTCCATTCTGCGTTCATTTTGTCACCGTGCGAGAAAACGTCGAGTTGATTAGGCATTAGGGTCATCTCACAAATGTATCGGGCACTTTCGAATTTTCGTCGCTATACTGGTACGTCCTTTCTTCTATCTCTGAGTCCAATGGGCTAGTGATTACATCCAGCATTTGTTCTGTCAGATAGCGCCTTGAACACTGCTGAATTTGAGGTAAGAGAGAGGAAAGCTGACGTCAGGCATATCAAGAGCTGTCCGTCTTTCAATTGGGCGCAGATGTCTACGCAATTACCAGTGACCAGCAATTTCAGTGTAAGCGTAGTGAGATTCGAACAAAATGACACTCGATCTAGGTACTCGCCGACACAAATGGTTACAGTCAAAGATGGGACACAGCCTCGAGTTAGTTGCCGTCCCCAGCTCCTCATCCCATCAGAACCAATCAGCATAGGCAACAAGCCAGCATGGAAAACCCGGATCCATCATAACCACGTCACGCATCGCACCCACACCGTTCACTCACGTTACGAATCAACCCAGCCCAAGCACCCATCTCGCCTGTGTATCCGGTCAGCAAGCCCTTAGCTCGCTCTTAGCCCACCTGTCAGGACGGCTGAACAACGGGTTTGTGCGCAATGACAGCGCGTATCGCCGGGAGCCACGACGCGAGCGAGCAACGCGATGGCTCCATGGCCTGCGATTGGGCGCGCTGCTGTTGAAGAGAAATGTGTGGGTAGGGAGGTCCACCAGCGACGCTGTTCTGTGGCCGTACCTGCCTGCGCGAGCTGCGCGAGCGCTGCGCCTAGAAGATCAGTGGTGGCGAGAGTGCCGCTCATACAGGCAGGTGATTGCAGCGCTGGCTGTCAGCTGCTTGCTGTAGGCTGCTGTTAGTGCAGTGCCAGGAAATGGGAGATGCTGGTGCCAAGGATGTGCGATGGTGATGAGGCGCTGCTGGAGCTGTGGCTCTTCGCTTGAGCTTGATACTTGCAGTACAGTACATCCAGGTATGAGAAAGTTCACAGCTGCTGCATAAGTTCGCTAGTTCAACGTCTGCAGCATGTCACCTGGCTTGAGGGCTGATGATCATTGCTACGGTTTTGTCTAAACCTAGCAGCTCCTCATAGACCTGAGAAACTTACTGAACTTACTAGTTAAGAGTAAAGACAAAGTTGTGTGTGCTATGACAAGAAGAGCCAGGTTTGCCGTATGTTAGGAGCATACTTACTGATGTACAAGGTTTCGGATGCATAGCTGCGAGACTTTGAAGCTCCGATGAAGCCACGCAGGACTAAAACGTTGAGCTTGGAGCTGGACCAGTCTTCTCTGATTGGCTGGGCCCCTGATTCCAGATATGATAGCCAATCTTTGGCTTCCGAGATCGTACATGAGCCGGAGCATTTATCACGTTTCTAGATCGACCGTACCTGTCCTGAGGCACGCCATTGAACGTGTCGGGCCCATAGCAGCGGGATTGATATGTAAGAAGGTTTAATGGAGGGACCGGTGGTTTCAGCAACACACGCGCGTTGAGACAGTTGTGACACTTGATAGCGTGCTGCTCCGCGTGAGCGTTGGTGTCATTTCGCACCCGCATGGCCAGAAGCAGGTGTTGACAGGTGTGGGTACGAGGATATCGTGCTAATGCTGTTGCTGATGACTACAACGAACGTTACTGGCAATTGCGTAGGCGACAGACCCACGCTTGTACCGCGTTCTTCTTAGATCTTGCCCTGCAAACTAAGCCACTGACAATCACTACTATTAGACTGCTTTAGTGAGATCGTCGCTCACGAAAGGTCGCTAACTAAGAACTTCTGAATTTGAACGGACGAATCCGCAGCTCGATTGATATTGCCAAGTTGCAGCTCCTCATTGTTGAAGGCATTATGGTTGCGACTTCAGGTTGTATTCAACGGTTTGACTTGCGGCTTCCTGCTTCCGCTGGCTGCCAATGACGTGGGTTCTCGGTACCAGCACAGATAATCTTTATATCCGGTGACAAACTGGCGCCACGATGCTGATCTGTGGGCGATCATTCGGAGATGGGCTCGTGACCAACAGTGGCAGACACGGAGAACAGCCCATTGTGTTGATCGTAGTAACGCCTTCGTGGATTGGACCTTACCGGAACTTTCCGCTGAAATCGGGGTCTAGTCCGAGTTGTGGCAATCGGAAGGATTCTGCTGGTATACATACAAGATGTATGAAATTGTATCTGACTTATCGCTGAGTCAGCACCGGAGAAGCACCTCACAATGTCGCGGTTAGTAACGATGGTTCGAAGTCAAGAGGCGCAATTACGATTCATGAGACTACAAGATCATCAAACCGATCTGCACTCCATGGTCAAGAGGAAAGAAGAACCGACTGTGGCCGGTTAAGGCACAGGGTCCATGGCGGCTTTCGCTGATCACCCGCGCGAGCTAATTAGGCCATGTCAGGTTAAGTAGAGCGACTCTACCCGGATAGAGGCAGTGATTTTTTGGGTCGCTAGACGGCATGAAGACCAAGCGAACGCACCGATTCGTGATTGCACGCCACCCAATAATGGACCTTATTCCGATCAGGAACGGATTCCTTAGCTCCAGATCGTAACTTGAGCTGGAATTAGTCAAATATGCAAACATCAATTTGACGGGCTGGTGGCCGTAAGAGGAAGCTGCGTAGGCGGCTTCTTGATTCAGGAAATGACGAACAGGATACCAGCTCATTTGTGTTTTGATGTCCCGCGACTAGATAGACCAACTACTCTTATACGGTGCACGTTCCAGTCAAACGGCAGATACGTTTCGCGCAAGAATAAGGTTCTCGTGGACGGGTTCGGCACGCTCCTCGAACAAACATTTGTAAAATTGAAGGGCGCAGGCATCAATAGAGTGCACTACTTATAGACTGTCCGCGTGCGCACCAGGTTGGTCGTGTTTCATGTCTCGCGGGATATCCCTTTGATATTATCGTGGCTTTGATGGAGCATCTTCCGATTGTTTGGGTGACTGCGCTGTCCACTGTGCACCTTTTGTTCGTCTTCAAGAGCGATCAATTCTGTAAGCGGTGCCCATTTTTGCTTTGCGCAGACAGCCACGGCACCGTTACACGTGGCATGTGGTTGACATCTGTCAGGGCGGAGATCAGAAAAGCACTTTGACATGTACCATGAAGACAATCGCTCACGTCGGCGAAATTCGTGTTTTCTCATATCACTGAACGTTCAGCCGCGTTGAAGAATCCATTGAGCCGTCCACGAGCTCATCGAGATAATGCAGCAGCGGGAGATCGGACGCGTGCTTCGAATGCAACACAAAATGAAAGGTAAAGCAGGGTCTTCCGTTGGCCGCAGCAAAGCGTGCATGGGAGTTTGCGGTGGGAAGCCCGAGGAATTCCGTTATCGTGAATGGACTGTGGCTCCCCGAACCCGCACACAAGTAGCCATAAATGCAACGGGATGCATCTTCAAGCAGGGGTATTTCAGCTCAACGTCTACTCCAAGGGCAGTGACCCGAGAACCAGGTATGCGTTGATGCCGTGAGTGAACTTGAAAGACTTCGACTGGAGGAAAAACGACGCCGCGCATCGATAATGGCAAAGATACGCGCGAGAACCCATGTCTTGTGTCACCTCTCGATGGGTGTCGAAGAAACAGACTCGCGGCCTTTCTGCGTGAACATGTGTTTGCCATCACGACTGCAGGCGCGACAGATGCATACCCTGGTAAGTGTAGTTTTGTTCCACTCCAGTGGCAGAGCGCAAGCCTCGAGCAGGTGTCACCAATGTCACCACGTTCGTTCCCCTGGTTCTCGTCTATTTGGCGCTGTCCGACACCGGGTTCTCCGAAAGATTCAGGTCAATCCACCTGACCTGACCGATTGTATCACTGAGAAGTCGAGGCGGTGACCAATATGATGACTGCGTAGGGCGGTCCTCCGTGTGGCACAACCACAAGATTCGAGCAGCATGTAGACCGACAGGAGGTACATCAGACTGCTGTTTGATAGTCGTTTTTGATGTTAGCGCGCAATAGTCTCGACGCGGCCAGATCTTTACAATAGGGCTAGTGATGAGGCCGTCAAGCGCCTGGCGGGGCGCAAGAATGTCTGAAAACAATAGTGTGAATCATATCATACATGTTTGGGAAGCCGGGTGTGGTGCAGCGTCGAGGCCAGTTGGGGCTGCACCCAGCATGATGGCGTTCGTGGCTTTCATCGTGTACTCATGGGTCCTATGACAACCCAGCACTGCGACTTGCGGTCCGATGTGGGTGGACGGTAAGACGGGAGGCTGTGTGTTGTTCATGCAAGGGTTTTCAAGACGCTGGATCAACGTCATGATGGAGTCGCCAGCAGACACTTGCAACGCGGTACTCGCTGAGCAAAGCCGCGTTGTCGAGTTTCCGGGTCCGGCATTGATGGCGGCGAGGAGCCGGGTTCGACCCGGATTGGACGGAAGCGTGCCCTGAAGCTCATTGGGGTCTAGTCGTGACGCGATGGCAACGCTACATGTACTGACAGCCCCTGGATGATGGCGCAAAAGAACTGGGACTTGGCGACACACAGCGTCCGCCTGGCAAAACAAAGTGACGGACTGTCAGGCGGTCAATTGCTGCGGTAGAACCATGTGGCGGTCCTCAGCGCTTCCACATGGTCGTATCGTACCTTGTACGAGGTCTCGTAGGCACGGTGAACACGCAGCAGCCCGTCCAGGGGATCAATAGCAGCGTGGTTCCAACTTCCGAGGCAGAGGTTTGTGCTGGAGCCAGGATGGTGCAGCCGAAGATGTTCGACAGCGCCCATGATCCTGGCTGCGGCGGGCGGGGCTTGCGTGGGCACACAAACCTGGAGCGGTCAGGACAGACGACGTGAAGACGGCCAGGTGAGCGGCTTGGCGGGCAGGCTGGTATCAAATGCCACACTGTGCGCTGAAGAGTCAGATGCAGGTCCGGCTGGCCTGCCGGATCTGACAGAGGACGGGAGCGGGCGGAAACTCAGAGTCGAGGTTTGATGAAGCGAAACGCACTGCCCTTCACTGAGGGCTGGGCGTTCGTCAAGGTTTCGTAGAATTCAATAGCTGCAACGTCAGAGAGTTTGCTCTGCAGCAGGCCAAACGCGCCTGAGGCCACGCATCCGACAGACTGCTCCCTGGCTCCTGTCCTCGGCCGCCGACAGCGCCGCATGGTGAGCGACGAGCGCAGCGTTTGGTGCGATGTTTGATCGGCCGGCTAGCGGAAAAGATCAGCGCGTCGGGAAGGCGCGACCCTCGATCGAGGAAGGCGCACACACCCCTGCTGCCAATCACGGCCGCCTAACCATCGTCGCACCTCCCGCAAACTGCAACCAGCGTCGTTAGACAGCTGTCAACCGCCCGCGCCCGTAAAAAGGGGCTGAACCCACCCGCGACCAGGTCGAGCGCCGCCGGTCGGTGTTGGCTTGACATCATGGCTGTCGTCGCTGTCGTTGCGGGCGTCGCAGCCCGCCGTTGGCAGCTGTCCTCCACACGTGTGTGCTGTCCTTTTCGTCGAGGCTGACGTACGCAACATCTCTCCGACATGCCATCTGACGCTGTGCTGGTGTGCAGAGGAAGGGCAGTGGCAGACCTGCCTCTCTTTCGCGCATGGGCCGTTTGAGACAGACTCGAGCGCGCGTCAATTCAGCACAGGCCTCTCTGCGCCTGTTCTGTTGGCTCGAAGCAACAGACACCATCGAAAATCATCTGCAATCAATCTCAGTTCGACGGCGGACAGAGGAGCATGTCGTCGACCCGGCTGCTATTTCTGTACCACAATGAACACCCTCTTTTTTGTTGCTGAAACCTCTCTGCTGCAGCCCTAGCTCCTTCTCACACCACGACACAACAGTAGGTATTCCGCTCCTGGCTGCTGGAAAGGCCTCGTTGCACAGCTGTACACGCTCGTCAGCCACCAACCTGGTTTGAGCTTGCGGCAGCTGTCTACCGGGCATGGTGCCATCTACTGAGACCACAAAGATCCATCAGCATGGCTCCAGCGTGCACAGCATGTCACTACCTCGGATTGACCTCCGCTCTGGTCGAGGGTACGGTCGCAGACAGTGTTGTTCACGTTGCGTCTGCCCCTCCGCACTCGCGGAGAGAAGTTCAGGGCAGCCAGCTCCAATCATCCCACTATGCCTGTTCAGCCGTCATCATGGTACCGTGCAACCGGTCCCTGGCACAGCCGGTACAGCTGGTACGGCTGGTACAGCTGTGAGCAATGGGAACTTGGACCACCAGTGTTGGATCAGCAGTCATGGTGATGATGCACGAACTGCTTTTGTTCGAGGATAAATGCTTCCGGCTTGGTCTGCGCCCGCGTTGAGCGAGGAATGCGGAGGACGACCCCATGGTAGGTGCACGCGAGACTAAGGCGAGGCTGCCATGGGTGAACTTTGTTCTGCACAAAGTTGGCAGCAGGAAAGGCTTGAGACGATCGTTTGCAGGCCAGCCACATCTTGGCTTTCGTCCGTGATGGAACGTTGACAGCTTGCTGCGGCGGCCAGTGTGTGGGAGCGTGGATGAGGTAATCCAAAAGCAGCCAGTGAAAGGCACGCGACTAGATAGGCTGCGAACAGAAGCGGCCCCTGCTCGTTTCCATCTCGAGTCAGATGCAGCAAGATCTGCGTCGATTCAAGTCTGGTAAGTAGTGGAGACAAGCGGCGACACTCTAATGGCGCGCCCAGCGTAAGGCCTGCAGCAGATAGCGCGGCTTCACCACCGGCTCGTGCCTCGAGACCTGCGGCGTAGTGGGAGTCCATCTGTTTCCTCTCCCAGCCAAAGCCCGCGTTGTGCACGCTCGGAGAATATAGGCCAAACCTTAACTCGCACCTGTCAGAAGCGCAGACGTCGTGCTAGACGCGCCTGTCTGTCCTCCGCTGGCGCTTGCCAGCATTCCCCTGGACAATTGCCTGGGTGCAAGATCGCGCTGCATGGATGAAGTACGGCCCGTTGCAGTCTTGCTTTGCCCAGAAACGCCTCCTTTGCCGTGGATCTGTTCTTAAACACCTTGCTCCCGTCATCACGACCCTGACCATTCCTGCAACTGCTGCGTGCTTGCGCCGGCTCATCTTCTCCTCCTCAATTGCGACGCCACGACTTGTACACTGACCCAATCGATTATTATTCGCTGTTCTATAATTTGGGCCAGGATTTTCCCAATCATTTTCCATACCAGTATATCTGCGATATATTCGTGGTCGTGTACCCTGCCCTGGACTCTGGCACATTACGTCGTCCATTACCCTTCTGGTCACCACGACCCCTCTAGTTCGTCTTTAGGTACGTAAGTCAACTACCAATTCATGTCCCTGCCTCCTGTACTTCCCATGTTTGGTTCATGCAGGATTTCAACATCATGTTGTCAGTCAATGTGGTTCATGAACCCTGGTTCCAACAACACCGTTCTGACTATCTGGCAGTACTATAAGAGTGCAGCTGTGCAAGCCATGGAATATCTTACCCTCCAAGATATTCCGCAACGCCACTGCAACCCCGTACAATCACACAGAATGGCTTCCCACTCAAGTGAAATGACGGTGGGACACATGGCAGCGGTATGTGATACTTCTTCTGATTCCCCACCTACTTTCACCCCTCAATTATTGCACCCTCCTCATGAACCCCCTCTGTGGTACGGGTACACTTCCCGCATCGACTCGATCGAGTGGAAAGCGCCCCCGGCACTCAGAGAAATCACCCTGCCCGAAATCTCCCGATCTCCTTCCCTGCCCAAATCCACACACCAAACGTCGGGAGGCAACCTCTTTTCTTTTGCACCCAGGAGAATCATGAGCCTTCCTATACGCGGCCATTATTCTTTCCCTCCACCATGCAGCACCACGACCCAAGAACAAGAAACGACCTGCAACGATACTGAGACCACATCACAGAATCATCTCCAACGCAGTTCACCACCCCTCCAACCAGGGGAGCAAAACTTTCCAGGAAAACTCCCATCATTTGATGAGGTAAGTGCTGTTTCGGATCCCACGGCCCACTCCAGCTAACTCCAGCAGTTTGTCCAAACGACAATTGAGAGGACACCACCACACACACCTTCGCGCAGGAATGAGAGCACAGAGAACTCTCCGCGTGTACGCCCACAGTTTGATGACGTGGCCTGGTCCGACACCAAGCGCAGACGTGTTGACACATTGGGTGACATCTATGCTCGCCCATCCAACGCTGCAGAATTCCCACCGGCTGACTCCCGCCGTGCAAGCGCGGCTATCGATCCTGCACTGTATTCTACAGACCCTACTCGCGCTCGACAGCACTCAGCAGGTCCCAGTCACCATCGTCCAAGTTTGCCTTACCCTGCTCCTGCGCCATCACAACATGCGCGGCATCAGTCGCAACCCGTCGCCCAGGGTCACTCATCTTTTCAGCAACCTCCAATGCACGCACATAGGGTAGTCGTACAGAACTCATTTGCACAGCCTCCTCAAGCAGGAATGATGTATGAGCGAAGGCCAAGCTATTATCAGGATCCTCAGATGCAACAGCACGCCTACCAGTACGATGACCGCCGCGAATCAGTTTACTACGCCAACCAGCAGTACGCTGCCCCACCACCCGCAGGATACGAGCACAACTACTATGACGTCCGGTTCCAGCAACACGTTGGGGTTGATCACAACGCCTTCAACCGTAAGCGACGCGGGAACTTGCCAAAGGAAGCCACCAACATCCTGAAAGAATGGTTCAGTGCAAATCGCGCATCGCCCTATCCGACTGAAGACCAGAAGCTTGAGCTTTGCCGAATGACAAACTTATCCCTGAACCAGGTACGTTATCACTCTAGTCTACTTTGGGCACCTGATCGAACGATTGCACCACGTCTGCCATCTTTCAGATGTCTTCGACGTGCTGCAATGCAAAGTGAAATCATGGCTCTTTGTTCCAACCTTCAACTTTGACATGATACTGACGAGACTACAGGTCAGCAACTGGTTCATCAACGCACGCCGTCGCGCCCCACAGAAGGAGCAACGAGAGCGCGAGTCGAACGCCAGCAATGATCAGTAGACATCTCTGGTCGAGCCAAATTCGTTTGCATCGCTGCCTCTGGCAACAGGCCACCATTGTTTTCACTAACCCGCACTGGACTTGCATTCAAGCCGTTGATGTTCCAACGCACAATCATTTCATCATCTATTTTTTCACTAAAGGGCCCTTTCCTACTGCTGCGCGGGTCTTGAATGCGTACTTGCATCACTTGGTGCTCGGGTGGACTCTCTCTCCTTGTCTACTGTACGTAATACCCTGGATACCAAAACGGAGCATCAGAAATTGGGCACGGGCACGGATACACACACCGGGGCCAGGCGTTCCCGGCGTTCCCGCGGTCGCTACACGACGCGGACGATATATTGAATGGATTCAAGACTTAGTATTAATCAACTCGAATCCCTTATCCTTGAGCATTCTGAATCTTAGATTGTGATGTTATCGAGGGATCGTACCACCGAGCGCCGCTCGGCCCTGCATGCACATGCAGCGCAGCCCTGACTGAGCAGAATTCAATATTGCGTTCCTCAGTCCACAAGACAATCTAGCTGATGCGACTCGGTCAGTGCTGCACTCAGCGAAACTATCGTCCAATCCGCCACACCAAGGAGACTTTCGCTGGTGAAACATCCGCACACCGTGGCGCTATGCTCTATGTCCGCCACCGTTCAACGCCCTGCCATCCATGGCTCTACTGGCACCGTCCGCCTCCAGACCTCCGCGCTATTGGATCAGTAATGCAGGCTGTACATCGGCCGGGCTCTGTACAGAGTTCACACTACATCACAGCGACAATGCACTACTGTCAAACGATGATGCGCGCCGGTGACTTCCACTAGCGGCGTGTGAAAGTTTCGGTTGCGAAAGGTTGGGAGTTTAGACTGCGGAAGGAACATTTGGCAGCCGCTGAGGCACGAGACTATCGAACCTTGCAGCAGTTGAAAATACTTATTTTTGAAACAGGTCATGCCAGGGCATGCTTTCGCTCATTTTCGCGGGCTTTTGCGCGCCTTGGCAGCACAACTCGGGGTTGTTTCATGTAGCGTCTGGGTTCAGGGTCGACGGAGTTAATGTATGAGAAACTTGACGCTTAACGGCCGGCGGGTGTCAGCACCATGCCTGCGCGCCGTGTTTTCGAGGCGTCAGGGATAGGAAAGTGACAGCCTTGCGGGAAACGAAACGCATGTGGTGGCGAGACGGTGTTGGTGGTGTTCCAGGATTTGCGATTTCTACACCGGACGGTGCGAATCCCTTCAGCGTGCTCCACTTCCCCGTGGTGGATATGCGGCATAATCGGGGACTGTCATGGCCGTCATGATCTATGCTATGCGATTGACGCCGTCGGGCCTGCAAAAAGAACCTTTTTTTGAAGGGGACGCACGTCAATTGTGGATGTCTCAATAAACCCATGTCTGATCGGCACTAGGTTCTTTCCCCTTCCATCTCATGTCACTTCCAGATTTTGTCCCCACTCCAATTCATTGGACCGTAGCCCAAAATGCAACCTCAACCCCAGTATTTGCCATGAAGCCCCTAGAGTCTACGTGGACGAAGATGATTGTTGTCTGTTCAGGGTGCAAAGTAAGACTCGGTGCGGGGACCGGCCCGGCGTGCAGTGCACTAAGCTCCATGTACCGATGTAGCAAACCCACGAGTCAACGGTTGAGTGCTCACCGGTGCATCCTAGGAGCCATCCTTGTGGGTATCCCAGCGATGACACTGCTGATCACGGTATTGTGACGAGTGAGTGAGGCAGCACAAGTGTTTCGACGAACCCTGAAATCAGTATCTGTCACGCAATGACGCGCAGGGCAAGTATTGGCGGCCTTGCGACGGTAGATCGAGCTTGGAGCGACCGGTGACGATGGCTTTGCAATGGGGTGGTATAGGCCCTTGGGAAGGGATCTAGGCGGGGTGCAGCACCAAGTCTGGGTCCTGGGCCTAGTGAGTGAGCGAGGAAGGAATGACGAGAGGGCGAATTTTCAGTTCCAGCATGCTCAGGGGTAGGGTCCTAGTCGCGTGCTTTCATTTTGCGCATAGTAACACACTTCTGTAGAAGGTCAGCGCAAAGCACTAGTGCTCACGTTATCTTGGGCAATTGTTGCTGATCATATGCAGGAGCATGATGGTCCTACCAGAAGATTCGCTCGCGATGATTGTGGTATGGTGATGGGATCCTGAGTTTGAGTGAAGATCTTGCACTTTGGGGCATCAGCTGCCAGTCTGGTGTGCTGCCGAGATCCCTGGCAGCTCTTTTTGGGACACGAAGCTGTTGACCCAGGTGCTCGAAGCCCTTACTGGCTCAACATCATCAAGGGGTCCACGTTGATTCGCGCAGATCCGCGCTGTGACGCAGACACCTGTCATCACTTGTCCAAATTGGCGTACGTTGCAATCAGCATCTGGTCCGCGATAGTCGTTGACCCGTAGTCAATTTCCGAGCCACGGAACTTCGCAGGCAAGAGACGTGTCTAACAACTTCGTTTGAGGCCGCGGAACCCCACTACCGGTCTTCCATGGTTCTAGTCTTGATAGCAAACCTGGGCACGGCAGGTGCCGGAGCGGCAGATGTCGACATGAGCCATCGAGCTGGATGAGGGGATAAACGTGCGTGTGATAGATGTCATGACTTGCTCGAAACATGACTGCCCAGGCGTGAATAGTGGCAGGGTGCATCTTCGGTCCTTACTTAGGTGGTGATGTATGTGATGAGCTCCGTATAATTAGATATGTATTAGCTGCAATGCAGATGTATGTACGTACAAGGGTATCTCCCAAACGCCGGAATGATGCTATACTTGCGAACGTGACCGCTCAAAGGATGCTCTGCCTACCTTCAACTCAAAAGCGCTAGCTTCACCCCTGGGTTGTGTGCCTCGTACTGCCTTGCCATGTCGTAGACCAGCTCGCCCCATTCGAACTCGCCTCTATGGCTTTTACGCTTGTACGGGCTATGCTTGAACGGCGTCAACCAGTCTAAGATGTTGTCGCCCATCACGTCTTTCCAACCCATCATGAGGCTCGTATACCAGGGATGCTGATGTGGCTTGGTCTGCATGACCACGTATGTCCGTCCCGGGCCACGCTGGATGGTGGTCAGTACCGGCCAGTCATCGTGACTTATTGGCTTCTCTTGTGCAGATGGTGTTGACGGAAGGCTGGTCCTTTCTGACGTGTTGGAGACCAAGAGAGCGATGTTCTGGATGCCACCTCGCTGGACACCTTCCACCGAAGTGTAGTTGATGCAAAGATTCCAGCCAGTCATGCAGGTCATGGTGAACGTGAAGAGGCAGAATAAGAGTCCAACGGCGAGAACCCCGATCCAAGTGCTTGGGCGCGAGCCGGTCTGTGGTGAGTTAGTGTGTGCATATCTGTAGAGACCTCTGCTGCTGACCTTTGATACTCGGTCAGCCAGGAAAGCGGCCGCCACGGTCCACACAAATGCTGTGTATAATGACCCATAACCGACAAAGAGCATGAAGAACTTGTGAGTTGTTTCTGAAATGATACCGCCAGCCCATGGGCAATAATGATCCATCTTCCTTACGCAACGGCCCAATTCTTTGCAGTGATGCGTTCTATCCGGCTTCCAGTTGTGGCACTTGTCGCACCACAACGGCATGCCCTCGTAATCACAAATGTATGCATCGTACTCCTCCATCCAACTTGTTGTAATCTCTTTCTTCTCCAGTGAAGTGTCTCCCAGGGGGACTAGGTCCGGCTTTGACCATATGACCTGGAGAAGGCGCAACCATGGTAGGAGTAGTAGAAGGAGTAGTACAGCGTATACGACAATGAGAGCGATGCCGGTGGCGCGTCGTGGCTGGACGTTGTAGTCCTGGCGCATATCGGCGGGAGGGTCGATCAAGTACTGGACACAAATCTTGTACACAATGACCCAAGTCACATATCCTATTGCGCCCAGTTCGAGGAGAGGCATGATGACGCTTGTCGATTGTCCAATGCGCTGCTCGAGCGCTGACTGGTCGCGCTCGTCTGCGTTTGTCGCGCCCGCTGCCGGGGCTACTGGGGGCGCCATCTGGAGTATTGAAGGACTGCCTCACGAAGAGGAGCTATATTATGGCGAGGAGGCTGCGAGGCATCGTGGCGTGCGCATTTGGCGTTGAGGAGAATGAGAGGCACTTGGCGCCACAGCCACCGCCCCGTACCGTGGGTGCCCTGTCCTCGAGCCGCAATTCGGCCTCGAGTATACGTCACCGCCGATCTGTTGATCATCAACAATCAACACCACAGGAATATCGCAACGTCCTCACATGAATTCAGTAAACCTATCGAAATTGCATAGACGACGTGCTGCTGAGCGAGCTCTTCTTGCCTTGCTCGTTGCTGTGCATTTGCGCGCAATTTGGGCTGACGCGGACACACGGGCCAGCGGTGAGCTGTCACGCGTCACACCCCTCAACACCACCTTAAGCTCAATCATCCGCCTGGTGCTCTTCACCCTCCTTCTACTGATAACTCGGTATCAGAATATCGTAGTTTGAGATGCTGCTAGCGCTTTTACGCTGTACTTCCCCCCTTCTTCCACGCTGTGAAGCAATCGCTGCAGTCGCGGCTCAACTGTAGGAGCTAGCCATATGCCTCACCGGTTCCTCAGCCTTGTGGCCTTAGAGTCTCCTCGTCTTGCTGGAGGTAGGCTGTGCTGGCCTGGGCGATGAGCCGTCTGGTGCAACGAATCACATGGTTTCTCGATTTTTTGACCTGTGCAATAGGTCGAAACAGCACCGCCGCTCTCGAGTCCAGCATGAAGTGAAGCAGAGGAGAGTACGATCTCCGTCCAATCGATAACACTCATTGCTGGCGAGTTTCGTTATAAAAAGTGTATATCCTAATGTGGACATGCAGGCGGGAGGGGTGCATTCACCGCACTTTACACATTGCAACAAAGGCGGAGAAGGCAGACAAGGACGAGGACGTCTTACGTATCTGTAGACGCAGATACAACGAAGGGTGAGTTGCTACCTGTATCAATCGCCAAACCCTACCCACTATTGCTGAGCATCATGCTAATCATGACCAGATGGATGCCCTGCAGCCTAGCCCGGAACTGAGGGTTCACCGCTACAGTCTACGAGCGCTGTTGCTTCAAGAGAACCCAGTCAGCACGATTCAATTGTCTTGTTGATTACGACATAGAACAGGGTCTCCGGGTCCGGTCAGATTGAGAACCCTGGTGTAGATCAATGGCTACTCAGCTCGAACCGGTCTGATTGTTGAATGGCGGCGGCATCAACTCTAAGTCCGGTCAATCAACGAACACTGCCCAAATTCTATCGTTCACCGGCAGAAATGCATAGATCAGGCGTCAAAGCGTTCAGACCGGAGTACTCAGCGCTGTAACGAGCGAACTCATCGCAAAGATCTGGTTTGCATGGCCGAGCATTTCAGCAAACGTGGAGTCGATTAAGGCGGGTACCTGCAGCATCCACGCGCAAGAGGCAGTTTCGCGTCGTGCAGTCGCCCATTCTAGGCCCTGGACCCCGGGCAAAAGGTTCTAGTCGTAGTGCACGCCGAGTATGGCTGCTTTGGTGAGCCCACCACACATGCTTACTCTATAGACCAGCCACATTGACAAACTGCGATGGCTGACACGAGGCTAAATTGACTGCACTGCAACGAGAACTTTATTCTTGTCCATAAAGAGTCTAGGTGAGGCAAAACAGGCAATGTGACCATTAGACCCGCTTCATTCTTGGCTGAGAAGCCAGGCACGGCGGACACAAAAGAACCTTCCGCCATCGGAGCCAGCCCTGCCATGCCCTTCCATGCCCTGCCAGAGGGCTCATCAACCTTACCCGGCAAGCACGTCGTCATCAAGCCCTCCCCAGCTGTCGTCGAGGCCTGGTGCGAGTCGCGCCTGGGTGTGCTCACCGATCCGTACTCGGCTTCACCACGACGTTTGCTCAGAAAACTGAGGGTTGAGTACGCACGTCGTCACCGCCATCTATCGAAAGCTTACCGGAGTCACCGTGGTCCCTCGAGTCCTCGCCGCCCCACAGAGGCCCTACCGCTCTTCACATCAGCACTTATTGGCTTTCACCGTTGCTGCCTCTTCGAAGCTCCGTCATCATGTTAGTCCATTGGATGCTCTATGGGCTCTCTAGTGAGCCATGGTCTTAGTGACAGTGGCTGTGAATTAGTCCTTCCTATGCTATGCGAGTATAACTACATCCTGTGGAAGCAATTGTGAAGATCATCACAACGATTCTCTGCTTCTTAGCTCTAGATTCTTCAATTCACACACAGTTTACTACTCTCGATCCATTTCCACGATGGCGGTACTTTCGAAGATCCTGAATATCCCCACTGAGGTCGGCACAGCAACCATGTACATGATGCAATCCGTTGGAGCCCACGGCTCCTTTGGCAATAAAGACAACAGCAGCATCGACGGGCGTATCGGAACTCCAGATATGTCAGCATCAACGGCCACCGAATTCATGGGCGGCACTTTCTCACCCACTCTGGGTCCGGCAGACATGTTCATCACAAGTACCGGAGGTGGCGTTACCGACAATCATATGGATCATCAGCATGGCAGTGCTCCAAGCGACGGTGATACTGTATGGTACTGTAGCAACTGCGGCGATGGCCCGATAGGCGGCTGGAACAACGTCTGTACTTGCGGCCATGTCATTTGCGGTGGCTGCACCGTCGAGAAAGTTTGATCAATGCTCGAGTTTGATCGACTAGTGGCTCTTACAGCATTGCCACACGGCGCTCCGGATCGATCGCGCAAGCTCAGCATGTGCTCAGCAAGAGAGAGTAGTCATCGAGCAACCCTTCATCGAAGTAGACAGCCCACCTTGCGGACTATTCAGCACATCTGCCACATCAACCACACGATTCGGTCGGGCTTCTACCCTGGTTCTCTTCTTTGTTGTTTGTCCTTCGCTCTTAACTTAGATTTCGGCGTTCGCGTTCGTTTGTTTTCATTGTATTGGTTGGCATTCTGATGGGTTCCCTGTTACATCAGCAGTGAGCATTCACTGGCGCTATTGCTTGTATTTAGAGATACCCACCACCTTCCAATGTATGCACTCTTTACATGCTTTTCATCATTGCAGCAACGAAACCAGCATTCGTGTTCCCATGTGTATGATGGATTAACAGGTGAGGTCGATACAAGGTTGCAAGCCATGCATGCAGCCCACCGCGACACATGGCATCTCAAACGTAAATTTAGCTAAATCACTACACCCTCAAACTCGAGACCTTGGGGGCCCATGTCGACCCTGGAACTTGAATCTTCCGCAGTCACCTCAAGGCGGCAATCCTTGTGCAAATCAGCAGATGGGCAGTGCAGATGAGCCAAGTCGTGCGCGATGACCGGCGTTTGCCTTAGGCACCGGTGTAACACAACGATCACGTTTTTTAGTGGGGCATGGTGGGGCGTTGACCAATTACGATCACCGGGGGTGCCGGTCTGGGTCACCACCTGCCACTCCGTTAGCTGCTTTCCTCCAATCTCCTTCTCGCGCCTGTCCAGTGCAAACTATCAACAACTCAACCCAACACTTGCCTTTTGCCTTCTACTAGTCATTATCGGCTGTTTAGTTGTAGTGCGCACCTGTTCAGGTGTTGAGTTGCGGCCGCTACGCTCTTGCCATTCTCGTAATGAACACCGGACCTACTAGGTAAAACTTGATCTTAAGGCAATGCATGGGACATGGAGGTAGGCACCAGAATCAATGCTCCTTCTCACAATGTAGCATATCCCTCGGCACCTCTTGACCAGGGTACACCCGTACTAATGACGTGGTACCGTGCCTGAGGTCGCCATAAGCTATCTTCAACGCTCGAAATTCGTCCCCCGACGATCTGCAGTACATTTTCATCACTGTGAAGCTACATCATTCGATAGTTGTGTCCTTGATGAAGTCCCTGAGAGTCCGTGTCTTCGTCATCTTTGCTGCTTCGCCTCTTTGGCAACCGAAGTCCCTCGACGCTTCACTTTCGCAGACTGATTGCTCCACCGAAACTGCCTTTGGACTCCGCCCCGACAATGCTAGCTTTATTTCCTCAGTCCTCCAGGTGTGAACTCAGGCAAGAAGAGATATTGGCACAAGAGGTCCTCCAAAATGGAGCATAGATATATACACCATGAACGTCGGTCTTCTCTTAACTACTAGAACATCAACCCATAATCTTCAGACCCCAAACGTCTTTTGAGGCACCTAGCAAACCGCCCATACCACATTTCCACATCCCTTCATCACCATAATGCCGAGCTATTCCAAGATGGCATCCCTCCCCATCGAGGGCTCCAGAGTCCAGCACTACGCCCAAGCCCAGGTCGGCCACCACTTGCCTATGGCTACTCCACCTCTCTCCAACATCTCTGTCATGCATGGCCCACGCAGCTGCGCATCGCACACCAATTGCCTCGCCTCTCGCTTCTCCTCGGCGAATGCTCGGACAAACCAATTCGCTGTTCACGATGATTACGATCAAGACGGCACACCCAGCGACGGGGGTAAGGAATTTATCTGGAACTGCTGTCAATGTGGAGACGGCGGTATGAGCCACTGGAACAGCAACTGTCATTCTTGTGGTCACATACGCTGCAGTAACGGTTGCGGTGTTGAGGAAGTCAGGTAAATGCTTCTTAAGCTAGTACCTGGAGCACCGCAGTTCGGTCTTTCTTTGAGTTGGAATGTCTTTGGAGTTGGTATGAAGAGTCATTTCGGTCCTTTGTTCATAGATCTCCTTGGTTATCCTGCGCTCTTATTTCCTCTCGACTAAGTGGTACACATCTACTAGCGTTAGTCTTCACATTTAGATACCCAACATTTCGCAATAGACGTACTTCTGTTCCTGACTCACATCTTCGTATCTTTCTAGTGTATCCACAGATTTCTCACTATTAAGTTGCAGTCAAGATAGAGTGAGGCCTGACCTGCAGCCACCCCGCCCGTGCCGCTCTAAGGGTGTGGTGGTCTTCTGATAATGCACGACTGAGCGGCCCTCGAAAAGGTCTCAAAGGGGCCAGAAAGCAACTCTGGGGGCTGAGGGAGGGTCAGGAAGACCTGCGACTCGAGGCAGCAGAGATCCTTTGGGCGACGCTAGACCGGGTGTCTCAAAACAGACTAGCGCGCGAATGGCATCAGGCAGCTACCCCAAGCTCCCCAAGCTACCCACATCACCCCAACAGTTGTCGGAGATGCGAGCTCGCAATACGAGAAGTGCTCGATTTCTCGAAAACCATGCAATCGTCACAAACACAGATCCGACGTGCTCCTACACTGTGGCGGTGTAGACGCCGCTGCCCTCCTGGGTGCCCTTCGCCCCGCCACACAGACTCGGAGTCCCTTCGCGTCACAAAACATAGTCCCCCGTGCCCTTTTGCTCCACTTCCAAGACGCCAGTGGATTACTGGTGATGCTGAGCTGAGAAGTTGAAGGTTTGGCTGCTCACCACTTGTTTTGCGCAGCAAAGCGCGCTCAGGTGTAACTGTCTCAAGTGTGCAAGTGGGAGCTTCTTCTAATGTGTTGTTGGAACAAGCAGCGTAAGGTATCGCTAGTGCTCGATATGTCTCGCGGCTGATGCAAGTATGTACGAGGATATGCATACCAAGGCTTGTGCGGCACATCTCCTCGCTTATCGGCACAGAGACGAGAGCGCCGTATGATGCAACCTTTTCCATGTCTCTGGCCGACTGTTTTCTCGTTCTCGACCAAAGACAAGGCCATAGAGCTGTGATGGTCTGGTCAGGCTACGGTTCGCAAAAATGCGCCCCGTTGCCTTGTACAGGGACCCATGCCCCAGAGCTCAAATGCTGCCTCGCACTACATCTTCATCAAGGCAATATAGCAGCTGATATGACTGGCTTCCCCCGTTGCCCGAGTCGGCGCGACTTGTAGTTGTGGCTGTGAAGTGTCCTTCTTGCCCCACTCTAACAGCGGTGACAGGGCCTGTGTCTTTGCACATTTGGACAATTGCGTAGCGATTCATCGAATTTCCCAATTACCCGTCTCAATTGTAGATCCTATTGTGCCTCCGGCCTTGCCATATGGCGTCTTCGGGGCTTCTGGAAGGCTGTTTGCAAGCCATACTTTCCAAAGAAAGCTAGAGCGTGAGGCATACTGTAACCTTGTACCTGGCGATTGCAGTGCAAAAACGGTCTCCTGACAAGCCTTTGAGCCTGGCGTGCTGTACAACGTCATATCCGATTACTTTGCTAAGATTTTGAGTTTGTTACATTCATCACCCGCCATACTAGCAGTGTTCTGGCGCCATCGTCCTCTACAGCTTCGGGCCTTTGCACTGGTCGCATCGTCGTAGATGACAAGGACTCACACAGGCATCCGTCCCAGAGGTTTGGTAAAGGGGCGCGACGGGAAGCCATGAGGGCATGAAGTGTACGATTGAAGAACGTAAACATGAACTTCAGCTGAGTCTAAGTGGGTCCGGGCCAACGAGAGGGCAGAGGGCAAAGGGGCAACTGCAGTGCCACAAGTTTGATGATGAGTTCCACTGTGAGGCATAGAGCTAGGTGGTGACGTCCTTTCTTGGCTATCGTCCCTCTCAAAATGGTATATGGATGCGGTGCTTCGACATGTAGTCGATCATCCAGCTTGCTCTTTTCCAGCTCTTCAAGCCTTTACATACCTTCACACATATCCACATACTCCTTCATACCATCTCAACCGACGCAACGCCCCTCAACCCTCAACACTCTGCCAGGATGAGTACAGTTTGGTACTGCTGCGCATGCGGGAACGGCCCCATGGGCACAAGCAACAACGCTTCCTGCTCAGTGTACAACTGCCAGCATCAGCGATGTCACTACTGCCGCGTAGTACCGCAAGAGTACTTTGCTCTTCATCACCACGGTGTCGATGCCCACGGTCATTCTACTGCACCTCTTGGACACAGCACTCTCAGTGGACACCTTGGCTCTGTCGACTCTCTTGGACACGTCGGATACGCACATATATCCTCCGGTCATGGCCATGGCGAGGCAACGGACAGCGGAGAATATCGATGGACCTGTAGCGACTGCAACGCAGATAATAACTACTACACTGACGCGGGTTGTTGGAGTTGCCAGCATTGGAGATGTGGTTCGTGTACGATATACGAGAACCCAGGACGCAAGTAGTGTCGAAAGTGTGTTGATATTAACGAGAAGTACGATGTGATTGTGTAAGTACCCAACTCATTCTTCCTCGTTGCAATGGATGCTGATTTCGCTAGCTGTGTAGATTGCTCACGCGGTGGAGTCTCGGGCTTTGGAGGGTTCCTACTTGGCGCGTTTTGGTACTCGGCGTTTGGTTTCTTGATATACCCTCACCTTGGTAGCACATCCTTATCCGATCATCTTACTATAGAGCCCATGAGTATCTGAGTGATTGATGCCCAAGTAGCATCGCCAATGTTGCGCCTCGTGATGTTTTCGCGCTGCTCACCCAAAACCCCAGCCCGAGGACAACTGCTTACCCACCATTCTCGAGCTGTCCAGGCGATTTACACGTGAAACAAGTTGACAGACATCAAGCAGCACTGCGCAGCGATATCTTTGTGTCGTTTCAATGGTTGGTGCAGCGTGGTTGTGGCATACTGTGCGACAATAGATGAGTTTTGAGCAGAAAAGTAACGTTCCGCGCGCGCATTGTATGATTCCCGTTTAGCAGGGAAATCGACACTTTTCTCGAAACTTGCCGTATAAGGAAGGTTGAGGGAGAATACGTGCTTGTGATTGGTTCTCAGCCCGCCAGCCAAGCTTTGTGACTTCGATCCCAAGACTTCTCACTCTCACTTTCGACAACGAAGCGACGTCACGATGCGCAATGACGGGCGATAGATAAAGAGGCCCTGTATGTTGATTGTTGTAATGTTTCCAGGGACATCGACCTTTGTACCCCTCTGTCTGTGGCGCCCGGACAGCGCTTTGTTCCAGATTGACACTGCGTGCATGTGAAATTCAACGCCATTCACAGATGGCAAAGCGGTCGAAGTGCCGATACGCGCAGTGAGACGAAACAGTCCGCACTGTGCATGAGCGGATCGTTGGACGGACGATGTGGAGCCCTGGGTCGACCATATGGCCAGCGTCAAAGTCCGGAGGCATTGGGCGGCTACAGTACAAAACCAGGCCCTCAGGCGCGATGTCGATGTTCAACACCACACTCCTTCAAGACTGCTCTTTCAACGTTCATTCTTTGTCTTTGTATTCTATATTCGCTGGCCGACCTTCTTTCTACTTTACTCTCTTTGTGTGCGTTTCAGCCCCATTTTGGCAGTCTTGTCATTCTTGTCACTCATTCTATATCAAGCACGAGTCGCTCTATTCCCAGACTCTCTCTATCCAACACAATCATTTGTTCTAGACAAACCACAATCCTTTCATCATGAAGTCGTTCTCTACTATCACTGTTCTGTTCGCCGCCGGGCTGGCCCCGGCCGCATTGGCTGCGCCTCACCAACACGCTGCGCGTCACTTCCAGGAGGCCGACAAGAAGATCCTCTCCAGCCTTGTCAACCGCGCCGCAACCGGCACCATCGCCCTCGATTCCCATGTCGAGTACTCCTCGTCCATGGGCGTCATCGGGTGCCTCATCAACACCAACCGCATCGCCTACTTCCCCATGACACCCCCCTGCTCCAACCCCTGCATCAAGCTCACCGCACCCAACGGCAACACCATCAACGTTCTGCACATCGATCAGTCGGGCGGCAGCTACGACATCAGCATGGACGCCTACAAGACGCTCAAGTACGGCGCGGACTGGACCTCGATCAACACGCTGCCCGAAGCCAAGTGGGACGGCGTGACGTACGACTACGTGTCGATGGACCAGTGCGCAGACATTCTGCCGAACGGGACGCTACCCGTGATCGCGAAGAGCCCGAACAAGTACGTCGAGTGTGCGGCGTCAGAGCCGCAGTCTTTCTGGGCCACGAACACGCAGTTCTATGATATTGATGATATGAAGTGTCTGCGCGGCGTTATGCAGACGTGTGAGATGGTGCCTCCGAACAACACGCCGACGTGTGCGAATGGCAAGATGGCGGGTATGAGTGGTCAGATGCCGTTGAGTGGTATTGACACCGTGGTTGACATCACGGCAGCTGGTGAGAAGATTCCCGCTGTACGACCTGCTGTTTAGTTGTGAGCAAGCAGCATCTGTTTTCTACCTGTCCTTCATTTCTGCAGCACCACTTCACGCGAGCGTGCATGAATTATTTCCTTGGGTCTTTTACTTTACATCGAGAGAGGAGGCTGCAAAGCTGTACCGCATTTCATCAGAATTCTCGACAAACTACAATGACCTTTACATGGTTCCCCAATGAGTAGCTCTTACGAACATGTATCGTCTGAGATATGTCAATTGATTGTTCTATGTTTCGTGATTATAGCTGGCTCTTGTACAGCTCCCATGGGAAAATCTATTTGCGTGGTATATGTGTAGCCTTGCGAGTATACATTTTCCCATGATCGTATTGCCCAGCAGTGAAATCTCAGTCTTCAGCTAACACATAGTTGCGGTAAAAAGTCTGACTGTCGACGGAGCGAGATGCCGGACTCATGCATCCTCCATTTCATTGTCTTCATCTTGCTCTCCGTTTGGGGGCCATTCCTTTGCGGAGATCAGGCGATCCGGAACCATCTCATAATCTTTCATCGCCGCGACCCATGATTGAGTATCCTCCTTCTTGAATTTAGCTAGGCGACTGACTGGAACGGGAGTTTTCGTGCAATCCAATTCCAGCTTAGACGCGACAAGTATGAAGAAACTCCGAAGCATCATAGGGCCGAGGTCTCCTCCGTCCTTGCGAAGAATGATCAACGAGCCGATGTTGTCTTGCATGGAGATGAACGGGTTGAGATAGGCCGAGAAGCAGTTGTGCATTCGTGACTTCAATCGTCTATCGCGCCAGGCTGGCGCAGGTGCAACTGTCGATATGTGGAGTGGCATACCAAGTCGATCAGCAATAGGTGTGAGAAGTGCAGACTCCTCGCCGAGGGCAGACACTGGTGCGTTGTAATTCTCGAGACTGGGTCGGCAGAGGACTTGCTCGTCGCCCTCGCAGTTCACGCGAACTCCATTGATGCCATTGTAGTTGGGCCGTTCGGTTCCACACTTACGCCAGTTTTCCTGGACCTCTTCGTAATGCAACCTCAGCTCATCGACCATATGACGAAAGTCTAAAGGGCCAAGGTCGACAGGACTAGTTTTGTGTGCTTCATAGTCTGCATGGTGCACCCCCCAAGCCAGAAACGGACCGCGGAGCGTGTCCGCAAGCTCAGCGTCAATTTTAAGGAGACTGTCGTTGGATTTATGCGTTTCCTTGCAGCAGGGGCAGCATTGAGCAGTAGACGGAAGTATGATCGTGATGTAGTGTGGGTCGAGAGGGCGGCCGAGAACGAAATTCTCGCGGAAACTCTTGACCGGAAAGCGACCTTCGGTATCGGAACAGTCAATAGCGATGTTGTGCTTTGCAAGTTCTTCAAGGCTTGGATGGTTGTGGCCGTCGTCGATATGCACCCAGATGAAGCGAGGCTGTGGCTCACCCACTGGGAAGTAGATCATGCTGTGGTGCTCTCTGTCAGGGCGGCCGGCAAAGAAGTCAATGTAGGTCTTGCAGATGAGTCTGTGGATGCGCCAGTCGAGCTTCTGGCAAGCTTTGGAGCAGTATCTGATAGACTTGCAGCCACCACACAGCTGAGTGCTGGGCTCGTCGCACATCGCGCAGAGCGATTGTCCGTTCGCGTCAGCCATGATGACAGGCGATGCAAAGTGGGTAGTCAAGGAAGATCTGTAGTGGATGTAGGAGCAGCAAGGATTGAGGTGGCCGTATTGGTGGGAGTGCGAGTTTTCGCGCAGCCGCAGAGTCCAAGACGCGTCACAATGGTGAAGTGAGGAAGGAGCTATGACGCGTGATCACGCGCACCTTCTTACTATGAGAGAGTCCTGAATCGGCTTATTGCTGACCGATGTGATTTAATATAGACTCTGTTGGTTCTTGTAGTCGGTCTTGACATTGCTAGTTGTACATCTTTCCGTCCTCCGGTGCAGTGACTGGTTGCGACGAGAGCGAGCAATGCTCACGCCCCTCCACTACCTGTCCTGTAACAACGCCCCATTGCACAGGCTTCAGGTGTGGATCGACCTCCTCACTGGGAGGGTGACAAGCAGCGCTTATGATGAAACTATTCGATGCAGCCTGCGGTAGTCCCGTTACAATCTTCCGACTTGCCAAATGGCGAATAGTGATGCACAAGCTCATGAATAGGACGAAGAAGACGAGGAAGCTTGATGCCGAGACACCGCACGCTGATCGTGAGTAAATTTCGAGAAGTTGGCCGTCGACATTGAGGACATCGAGGCGCACCAGGAAAAAGATTTGTGAAAGCAGCCAATGCAAGCCCATTCCCAAGACAAGTAGAGGCAGGGACCAGCGGTATGGAAGCTGAAGGAAATAAGTGTTTCGCTGTTGACCTCTGGGATCGCTGACACGGAGAGCCTTGCGTGTACGGCTCAGATTGTTCCATTCTTCTGTGCCAGTGATAGCTGTGCAGAAGCTGTTTATGTTCATGTAACAGAATGAGAGTAGCAACTGAGGCATATTGGCTAGCCAAGCGTTCTTGAGCGTGGCCCCGGCGGATGTGCTGTCACTGCCAAATGAAAGTGCGCCATCCGACGATGCACCCCAAGTCCATGCAGTTCCGCTTGTTGTCGCAACGAAGCCGATGAAGACCACAATCAAGCTGACAATACTGTGATGCATTAGAAAGTATCAACAACAAGATGTGGATACCGTACGCTAGCAAAGTGAACCTCGCCTGTTCGTTCCTGATCAAAGCAAAGTAGCGAAGTGTACGTGAATGCCATACGTGGTCAGTTGCGGTCTCTGAAAGAAGCCGGTGGTCCCTCAAAACATCTTCAGTACCGCCGTCTGATTGAGGTAATTGACCATGAGGTTTGTTTTCATGGGTGAGCGCTTCGTCTTCCAGCAGACATTTCCCTTCCGTGGTAGGATCCGGATTCGATAGGAATGATGTCGCAGCGTCGCCCAAGGTACAAGGTAACCAGGTAGTTCGATCGATCGGTAATCAGCACGCCCAGCATAATCAATAGCTTCAAAAAATTTGCAGAGATCACTACGATCATGAAATTTAGACTTAGTTGTACTCGACTCCGTGTATGGGAAGGCGCTGCTAGCGCGTGTGCGATGTGTATCGAAACGCCAGGCGTGGCTGAACTACGCTCTGTCCAGGAGAGTCGATTCGATTCTGATATTTTAGAGGCCAGGTTGTATCCAGCGCCGTAAACGAACGAGAAATCTCCTCGCGTGATTGAAATCATTTTCGGTTGCCTCGTTCTGTTGTACGTGGTTGTAACTTCGATTTCATCAAACACGAGTATCAGGTTTGAATAGCTCGACGAGTACATTCCACTAAAAGATGATTTCCATTCTTCGTTGGTAAGCTTGACGTATGATGTATTCGCTGCAAGGGCAGTGTAATTCGACGAATGCATATCTATAGCCGATGAGGAATAGATGTTCCGCACGACGACTTTGAAGATAGTAGCGTTGTAACTGTTGACATCAGCAAAGACTTTAGCGTTATGAAGGAATACTGCGTACAACAAGTGCAGAGGCACGGATGAGAGCCCCAATATGAGACATAGCAATGCACGTTTGCGTGCAATGCGCTTCCAATTCCGCGGACTGAGTAGCCCGATGGCAAGCCAATCTCTCTGGCGATGAGCTGTGTCTACCTCTTGTCTGGTAGGTGAGCTTAGAACTTGCATTGTATAGTTGCTTCCTGCAAGGAGTAGCGAGCTTAAAACGTTGATGAAGACATGGAATATCGTGTTTAACCTCGTGATTTTCGATTCATCGCCAATGAACAATGTTACAATGCCGCTCTCACTGACGTTGTAGCCACCATTTCTGGTGGTACCTACTGCTAGTAGAGCAATATTGCAACATAGAACGAAAAACGACATGCAGCATGCGAGGAGAACACCCATACGCCAGCCATGAAAGCGACTGTTACGTACAAGTTGGATTTGGCGTCTCCGAAGCGAAGCAAAGGGGCCTATAAAGCGATGGCTTCTGGATGTCATGCCCCTTTGGATAGGGGACTTGCTCGCGGAGTTGTCATACATGTCGCCTGGACTATTCTAAGTCAGCCAAGGTCTGTTCGCATCGAAGACATTTAGCGTACAGGGTGCTGGCTGAATTGTTCCCGTTTTTGAGGACAGGGTTGTGGTCAGTAGACTTTGAATAGACGTCTTTCACAGTGTACGTGCCATCGAATTGATGTGCACCATCTCTGAACTCAAAATTGGTCGCATCGGCAGCTTCGCAATGATCTGGCAGGTCAAGTCTAACATCGTGCAGCGGCACGTCTTCTACTGAAGAGAAGAGCAATCTGTTGTTTGACTGGTACGCGGGTGCGGACATTTTTGGTGTCGCGAGGCATGGAGTATGGCTTCCATTTAAGATGAACAAGCGGTAGTCTTTCTAGTCCCTGTTTGTTATCCTTCATTGTTGATCGCCGGATATTTAGTGGGTTGTGTCATCTCACATAAAATTGGGAGGAAGCCTGAAAAGTGGCACACCTGTGCTTCCTGTTGATTGGCGTCCAAGAATGCCAATCCTCCTGGGGTGGTGCAGGGAACGCCGAAGCCGGCACCTTGCTTCCGCGTTAAAAATAGGAGTCTGCTGCGGATCGAACACTTAAGGTGTATAATGAACATACGCAATGATTTTGTGTTTAGCTGTCGCTGAATTTGTAGCGACGCATTGCTACCAGTATTTGAGGTTTGCGACTCATGCGAGCCAAGTGGGAACCGACGAGTGACGGGTTCAGTCAGGCACAGGTCTGGTATTCACATGTACCTCTGCCCAGTGATTGGTTTTTGGACCTCCTTTGCAGTTATCGAGCAATGTGTATACCCACTGCCCGGGCTCTTCTCGATAACACCCCACCTCACCTTCTTCAGATGAGGGTCATGCTCATCACTTGGTGCATGGCATGCAGCACTGATGACCAGACTGCAGGATGCCGCTAGTGGCATCTTCTGCTGCATGCGTCGAGCGCCCACCAGTCCTATAGTACATACCAGTAGAAGTCCAACAAAAGTGAATATCCACAAACTCAAAGTTGATACACCACAGCCAGACTTACTACTTGACACGTCTTCCAAGTTCGCCCTGACAACAAAGAAGCTTTGAGACATCAACCAGTGGAGGAGCCCACTTGTCGTCATCAGTGGCAGTGCCCGCTTCAAAGGAAGCTGTAGAAAGTAGGTACTCCGCTGTTCCCCCTGAGGCATGGTAACCCGGAGGCCTTCCCGGGACGTAGCTAGCTTGTTCCATTCTCGGGCACTCGCCATAGCTGTACAAATTCCATTAAGGATAATGTAGGACCACGAAATCAAGAACTGCGGAAGATTCACTAACAGAGCATCTGTCATAGGCCCCATTTTCGTAGGAATGACAATTCGTGACGAAGTGCCCCATGCGCTGAGGCCACCGGAATGATTAATTTCGAGCAGCAATATGAGGAAAGTGCCAGAAATCAGAATCACGAACCTTTGAAAATTAGTAAGAGATATAACCGAGGGTCGCAGTACTCACATGATGAAATAGAACACATGTCTGTCACGCCCTACAGCACTGAAGTATCGTCGTTCCTTTGGCAACCATACTCCTTGAGCGCGCAGCAAGGACGCCTGCAGCTCTTCTTCCAGAAGGTGGTGATACGAGTCATAGCCAAGCTTGTAAAGAGCCTCATCTTTGCCCAGGTTACAACAACCTAAAGTGATCGGGTCAGGGCGCTTTAAGAAACTGGCTGCAGCATCGCCCAGTGTTACTACGCAATCCGGGTCATTGCGCAAGAGTGCCCAGACCATGAGAGCAAGCTTGAGAGTGTTGAAAAAGATTACGATAAGCATATAGTACAAGCTTAATTGTAACCGACTCGCTGGTTGAGTTTTGACAGCAAAAGCATGCGCAACGTGTGCTGAAATTGGCCAAACTTCAGTTACTAGTGTGCCATTGGTCTTGTTGAGCTGATGCAATTCTGTACGCGGAAAGCCATCATATCTTATCCATTCCCAGGACTCTTTTGTCAAACCCAGCAGGATTTTGTAATCGCACCAGAAAGATTCCGACGCAGGGAATGTTCTGTTTGTCGGCAGTTTAGATGTCTCGTATGCCAGCCTGTCAATGGCGAATATCAAGTTTCCGTGTCCGGATACAGGTTCGATGGAATAGGCATCTCGCCATTGCGTGTTGGTCAGGTTATAATACGTATCGCTGCTGGCATTATAGTGCACGTAATCTTGGGATGTTATATCCACGGCCGCAACTCTGTAGCTATTGTACTCAGACACTTGGAAAATCGCTGAATTGTAGCTGTGCTGATCAGAACACGTCCATCATTCGGATGGGGGCAGATCACTTACAAGAAGTGCAGGGGAATCGACGATACTGCTAGCAATAGGCAGATTGCAGATCGCCGCCAGGTAATACGACGAAGGTTCCGGAAACTGAGCACACCGATATCCAGCCATTGTCCTTTCCGATGTGCGTGGTCAATCTCTTCCCGTGTTGGCGAGTTCAGAACCTGCATAGTGTAATTGCTAGCCGACAGCAAGGTCGTGCTGCAAGCGTTAATCAAGAGATGGACCACCGTACTCCACCGTGAGATGTCGCTGATTGTACCGGTTCCGAGGGTGGATATTCCCTCATGAAAACCACCGTGGGCCACACATCCAACGATGAGAAGGACAATATTGAGACATAAGACGGAAGCTGACATGCAGCTACCTAGGAGTACACCTGTTCGCCACCCGTGAAAGCCACGGCTTAGTAGCCTGGCTTGGAACCTTTTGATAAGGCCTTGGATAAAGACGACCAATGTGTTCAGACTCCAGAATTCAATTGTCGACATTGTTGGTGGCTTTGACGGTGATTGGAGCGGAGCGGTAGGAAGTCTGTCTTGTAACACGAGCGGCACAGTGGACTCTGCTGTTTCTACATCGAGACCATTGCCGGCTGAGCGAAAATTGTCTAAACGATCTTGGACACAGTGAGCTGTGTCAATCGTGTCCAGCTCGATATCTCGATCTCCACCATAGTCGGCGACGTCAAGGTCTTGGGAGTCAAGTCGAAGTTCGATTGGGTTGAGGATAGGTGCGTATTCCTGTGGAGCTTTTGAGGACATTGTTTTCGCGCTGGCTCGAAGTAGCGTTTTAAGAGCGCTGGCAGAAAGAGCTTTCTCTCAGCAGCATGCCGTAGGTACGCCAGTTCTTTTATGGACTTCGACCGACCGCCACCACTCAAGCCAAAGGTACGAAACCGGGCGGAACTGCATGAATGATCCTGGGGTATGGGGGCCGTTATGTACAACACCGACAAGGCTGAAGCTGACATAGACCGAAGTAGATCTTCCATGTTGGCAAAACATGAGAAATAACGCCGTATTCTGTCACTCAAACAAGACAAATTATTGCAAGGTGTCATTAGACAGAACTCTGTCGTGAATCGACGTGTCCCGGTGTGAAAAGGATGAGCTTGAGAAGTGTTCGAGCAACAAGGCTGAAGTGCCACACCAAGGGTCTCCCCACCCAAAACAATCTCGACAAGTGCTGGGCGTAAATGGTATAATCCGATTGGCATGTTCTCTGGTAGAGCTTATTGTTGTGATTGTCACTAGGCCATAAGGCGTGGGTGGATTCGCAGATACAACCATGCATGCTAGATGAGGCTTATGAAGCAGCTGCGGTATGGTCCTAGCATCCGCCACTCAGCGCAGTCCTACAATCAAAAAAGATCAGTAATGCATTGACGGCATCGCCTACCATCGTTTTGTCCGTCAGAAGCGTGGACCTGGATGTGTGTTAACCAGGTGCTTTGCAACGCGCACCGAGGGTACAAGACGCCACAGGCTGTTAGCAGCTGGAGACCTAATGACCGAGCGAGGTATTCATGCTTGTCGCATATAGAGATACAACGAAGATTCGTGAACGAAGTTTGGTGGATGTTTCGCGCGCGCCGTTCGGGCAAGGCCGAGTGCTAGATGAAGCTGTATACAGGTTGAGTCTGGGTTAGTTTTGCTTGAAAGACGGTTGTATCTTCTCAGAAATACAGCACATAAACGTGTCTGTTAGACGCGTCTGTTCTTGAATATTCCCAAACTCTGGACGTGTTCGCTGTGTAGATAGAAAGCTCCAGACCTCATGCAAAGTTCACGTGCAGCCGCGGGAGCGCTAGTGCACGGGCTCACGTCATGCATCGTTGGATCCACGAAGCTTACCCATCTCCAACCTACAACGCCCCATCACTCGCCTTCGCCTTCAACTATCGTGATTGCGCATCGCAAAGTAATATCGATCGACTCCCGCGATGGCTGGTCCCAAATACCAGAACGTTCCCCAGCGCGACTCCTTTGAGGAGTCGTCGCACGCCCAAGCGCCACCCACCTACCAGGCAGAAGACCCTCAGCAGGCGCTCCTTTCAGGAATCCCCCGAAGCGAAAATGATAACTTGCCGGACGATTTCAAGTTTGGTGGTGTGGTAGCTGAGGCGACTATTGACATCCGTATGGCCTTCATCAGGAAGGTGTACGCTATCCTGTAAGCTGCCAACGCGCCGGAACTCCTGGACCAGGGCTAACAACAGCAGGACTGTCCAACTCTTCGTAACCGGCGGTGTCAGCGCGCTCTCCATGACTTCGAATTCCTACCGAAACTGGATCCAGGGTCACCAGTGGATGATGTTTGTGTCGCTCATCGGCACCTTTGTCTTCCTCGGCCTCACCTTTTGGAAGCGCAAGTCGTACCCCATGAACTTGGTCTTCCTTGCTGGTTTCACCGCCACGGAAGCATACTCCGTCTCCGTCATTGTGTCCTTCTACGAGTCCCGCATCGTCCTTACTGCGCTGGCGTTCACACTAGGCATCTTTGTTTTGCTGAGCTTGATCGCCTGCCAGAGCAAGTATGACTTTACACACTGGGCCCCGTATCTCTTTGGCGCTGTCTGGATCGCGATCATGTTCGGCTTCATGGCGGCATTCTTCCCGTACAACAGCAAGGTCGAGCTTGGCTACGGTATTGTCACAGCTTTGATCTTCTCCGGATATATTCTGGTCGATACTCAGTTAATCATGCGCCACTACCACGTTGAGGAGGAGATCGCTGCGGCGATTTCGCTCTACCTCGACATCATCAACCTGTTCCTTGCTATTCTCAGGATCCTGAACTCGCAGCAGAATGATTAAGCTTGCAATGCAACTCGGTTGGCTCTATTGGCGCAAATTGCAAGGCGTTCGGGGTGTTGAAGATATAAATGTAGTGTATCGAGGTTAGAGTACTTGTGTGCTTTTGCTATATCGACAAATTCATAATGCATTAGTACCATGCCAGCGACGAGATCCACAGTTTGCTGTCGTGTCCGAAAACTCAATCACGTCGTTCATGATGGACCAATCACGTCTTCCTCTCTGTATAGCGACCACCTCAGTAGTGCTGTGACATGTTTTGTATAAACGAGGAGCGTGCTTTGTACATGCAGCCTCAGTGGATGCTCCACCCGTGCGCTGGCGGGGTAGGAATGGAGCGTTGCCAATGCATGGGTGCATGATTGGCTGGCGAGCGAGACCCTGCGGAATCTCCGTCGGAAGCCTTGGCACGAGTGAATGAAGGGCACAATCAGGCCAGAACGGTGCACCGCAGCAAGACTCGCAAGGGCTCTGACGGAAAGGTGACAAGCTCCGCCGCGTATGCAGATCGCGACAGCCGCCACCTCCTTTTCCCAACAGTCCACTGGCGAAGGGTCAATTGCTGCTCGTCGGCCCTCCCGCGATCCCCTTGAGCTAGCAAATTCAAGCGAGCGCCGATTCGTACCCCAAAATCTTAGTGTTCTCCACGAGTGCAACAGGCAGCTTGCTCCCGCAACACTTGTCCAGAATTTGCGTAACCTGTTGGTGTTCTGACCACACACACTCGCTCATACGGTGACTTGCGGTATTGGAGACACAATTGTTGTGCAATTGCCAGCCAGGAGAGTGGGATCCGCCGCGCTTGCCTATCACATCACCTCTTGAACCTGGGCCCACACCGCTCCAACCGCCGAAACACCTGGACCATAACCCCCGCCAGCTGTGGACGACGCTGCACTCCCACAGCGGCCACCGAATCCCTTGCTACCCTCGACGACCCAATGCTTGCCCGTTGCTGAGAGCCACGGAGAAACCCAGCGACTCGCTCCAAGCACGCCAATTGCAAGCACCACGCCGCTTCTTGGACCACGTACGCAGTGCCCGCGCAAGACAAACACCCAATTGCACTCGCCCGCGCCCCCGTCGCTTGCTTCAGCAGCCCGCCAGCTTCTGCCCTTTATTTGATCATCCCCTCGCCCTCGAAACGCACACTTTTCGCGTCTGCATATCTGCTTCTCGCCCAGCATGGCCACCGCGACAGCGCCGCAAAACGGCGCCGCCGCCGCAATTGGCGCGCACAAGGCACAGCCCTGCGATCAGAAGACAGCCTCTGCTCCGAAACGCCGGAAGCCCACAGCTAAGAAAGTTGAAGACGAAGGACTGCTGGGAACGCTCTGCGCGCTGATCTGCAATCATCAGATTGGTAGGCTCGCACCATGCCCTGATAGCGCTACAGCTTGCTGATCATCTAATTGCAGGCATCTCAGTCAACCTCCTCTCGCTGCTGTTCCTTACGCACATCTTCTTCCCGCGCGCGCGAGATCGAACCACCAAGTTCTTCCACATGTCATACTACAACCCCGAGACCGGCATGTATACGTGTGGCATCGACGACCTGCCATACGTCGTCTTCTGGACTGTGGTGTTCACAGGCCTTCGGGTCGCGGTCATGGACTACATACTGGACCCATTGGCGAGGCTGGCAGGCATGAAGACAAAGAAGAGCCTTGACAGGTTCAAGGAGCAGGCATGGTTGATTGTCTACTACACCATATCGTGGTCGCTTGGCATGGTATGTTAATCGCGCAGATAGCGCGTATGGCAATCCCGCCGCTAACGCTCAGCAGTACATCATGTATAGCTTTGGCTTTTGGCTCAACCTCCATGACATCTGGGAAGGCTGGCCCTTCCGCGAGGTCGAAGGCGTCTTCAAGTGGTACTACCTTGTGCAATGGGCCTTCTGGATCCAGCAGATCCTTGTTGTCAACATTGAAGAGAAGCGCAAGGACTACGCCCAGATGCTCACACATCACATTTTCACGACCGCGCTGATGTTCCTGTCCTACGGCTACTACCACATGCGCGTCGGTACCGTCATCTTGTGCATCATGGACTTCGTCGACATCATTCTGCCTGTAAGCGCAACGCGGCAATCTCTGAACGGCAGCAGCTAACCTCCTCAGATCGCCAAGCTCCTCAAGTACATGGGCTACACTAACATCTGCGATATCGCATTCGGTGCCTTTGTGCTCTCTTGGATCGTTACCCGCCACGTACTCTACATGATGGTCTGCTGGTCTGTCCACGCCCATGCCCCTCTTCACATCCCAGCCGGCTGCTATTTTCCAAAGGGAGACAGCAGGTCCTTCATCCCCAAGTCCAACGCGACCGAATGGGATCGCTACGGCGGAAACGCGCTCTGGGGCAGTCTCCTCAAAGGATACACCGACCAGAACGGCCCCGTCTGCTGGATCCCAGAGCTCCGCTACTGGTTCCTTGCGCTCCTCCTCACGCTGCAAGTGTTCTGTTTGGTGTGGTTCGGTCTGATTGCGAAGGTTGTGTATAAGGTACTCAAGGGTAACGGTGCGGAGGACGTGCGCTCCGACGACGAGGAAGACGAGGAGGTGCTCGAGGACGAGAAGACGGACACTGTTCTCAACATGGCCACCTCAGGCGCAGAGAGTGGGTTGAGCCACCCGCTGGAAGAAGAAGTCGGCGTTGACGCGCTCACATTTGCCCGTTTGAACGGCGCGAGCCAGAGGCGCCAGGCGAAGCGCGAGTCAAGCAGAGCAAGCGGAATTAGCATACCCGACCACAAGGAGCTGCTTGGGCGCATTGGGTGCGACAAGCCGTCGTAGGGTCAGCGAGTGCCGCAGAGCCTTGCAGTGTTGGGTATTGTCATGGACGGCCCAAAAGTTTGTGGGTCTCACGGCGTTATTGAGGATTGCGGGAGGAGGAATACTTCTCTATCTATTTATACGACTGGATTGGAACGATGGTTATGCATACCCTAGAAGCATATATTGTTCCTCGTTCATCCCCGGACGGCATGCGTTCGTAATCTTCGTGACTGTGCCGGGGCCGCTATGCAGTGAACGCCAGATCCGAGTCCCTAACCCAACACCACCCGTAACACCTGAGAAATGCGAATATCCTGTCTAACACAGCACCCACCCATCACAGTCAACCTCGACAATCGGCCCATCCCGCTTCTAGTCGAGATACCGCTTCCACGCCTCCCGCCACACCGCCCGCTTCCCGGCCTCATCGAACCCGACCACGAACTTCTCCCACCGCGCATCCTGCCCCGCTCCCAACACCACCACCGTGCTCTCATCCAGCCATCCCAGCAGCCCCTTCGTCGGCCGCCCGCCCGGCACCCCCGGGATCCCCGTTTGCTGCGCGCCCGCGCGCGTTGCGTCGCCCATGCTGAACTTGGCGCTGCAGTTCGAGTACGTGTCGCTGAACTGGCGCGGCAGCAGCGGCAGCTTCGCGAGCATCTTCCACTTGTGGTCGTCGGGGGCATCCGGGGACGGGGCCGCGGGCAGGTCGAAGATGTGCAGCGTGGACTTGTCGCTGGTGACGGCGACGCTGGAGCCAGAGGGGCTGAAGGCCAGAGACAGGATGATCGCTGGGTCGACGCCGCGCCGCAGCTCGAACAGTTTCGTGCATGCCGGGATCGACCACAGGCGCACCAATGTGCCGGATTCGCTGGCGCTGGCGAGCGTGCGGCAGTCGCGACTTAGGGCCAGGGCGCGCAGGGGCGCTTCGTGCGCGGGGATGATGGACACGTGGTGGGTTGCGAGGTCGAGGAGTTTGATCTGGCCGGGGGCTCGGCCGGGGAAAGCGAGGGTGGAGGCGGCGAGGTCCGCGAGGCCGAGGGGGTTGGGGGCGGTTTCGTAGTCTGCGATTTTCGCGGGCGGGATGCGCATGTGGTAGATGTTTACGCGGTTGAGCAGGACCACGACGAGGTGCGTTTTGGACAGCCGCACGCGCTGCACGGGCGTGCTGAACTCGAGAGACGTGCTGATGCGTTGTGTGGCGTCGTTCCAGATTTGCACCTCGTATACCATGTCAGTATGCGAGAGCAGGTCCCAGCTGGTCGAGTCTGAGGCGGAGGCGGAGAGACAGACCTTGTTCTGCGGGAACTTGGGCTGTTTGCCGCCGCCGATGAGGGCGAAGTAGCTCGTTTTGTCGAGCATTTCCACGCTGCCGATGCCCCCGCCGATTTCTGCTGGTGTTAGACGGTGTGTGGTGATATGATTTAGGGAAATAGGTACCATGCGCGACTTTCTGCTCGGCCTTCTTGGACCAAAATACTGTGCAAGTCAGTGCGTGATAGAGGTAGTTGTGTTAGGCGCATACTGCGAAAACCAGACTCTAGTGCTACGGAGAAGTAGGAGCTGTCTGCGTTGAAAGAGGCAGATAGGGCGAAAGGCCCTTTGTCCGAGTCCAACACTGGTCGGGTATTCATGGTGTCTCAGATGTATATGGTGATAGTGTGTGATGTGGGGTATCAGATCTGGGGCGGATTGCGTCAAGGCAACGAGCGGTCATGCGACGGCCGGTCAAACGGCGCAATGAGCTTCACGTGGGGGCAAGGCGGCATGCTAGTCGAGCCTCAGTATCGAGTGTTGTTTGCGCCGTGGTTCCGTGACGATGCAGTTGTCATCCAGGGTTCAAGCTACCAGTCCAGCGCCCAAGCTCCATGATCTGCGGGGCTAGTCGAAGAGTGCTGGCCGTGCACGTGACGCTACCTACACCTGACGGCTGATGCAGAAGGTTAATTTCGTCCAATATCGAGGATAATTCCTGCTTGGACCATTTAAGCCAGCTTTTGAATTGTCCACCTTAACCCTTGAGTTCTTGAGCACAAGAGTACACTCACTGTTGTTGACACCTGGCACCAGCGATGGAGTTAACGTGTTCACCAGCCTGACTGCACCTTTATCATTGTCACCTTGGCCGTCCTATCATATCAGGAGACTTTCGCAGTATCTTGAGTTGAAGGTCTTAGAGCATTTAATGACGGCAGATTCTCGATCGTGCAGCCAATAAGTCACACTAAAGACTTCCTGAAACGTGTGTAATGTGTTGCCAACATCTCATTGCCTGACTGTTTGTTGCTGGGGTACATCTTTCCGTAATAGGCCAGCGCGCTGCCAAGCCAGGAGACGACGACCGGGGAGGCGGCCGCTAGCGAGCCCCTTTGCATTGCGCAGGGAGCTGCTGCCAACGTCTCCAAAATATCTCGACGACACCTCCGCAACACCCATTGACTGCCGCGCGCCCGTCTCACCCTTCCGCCTGCAGCAGCCTCGCTCCAGGTCACGACCCCGCAACCACACAACACACGCCAAAATGTCCTCAGTACGGCTCCCCCGACACTACCTTTCCCCATGCGACTCACGATGCCCCCACGATGCCTGCCCCGTCCACGCCGGGCGCTGACTGCAACCACTAACACTGCAACAGATGCTCAACACCAGGAAGAAGAAGAAGAATGTCAAGAAGGGAATCCAGTTCTGCCTGATGGTATGCGGCGCTTCAGGAACCGGTACGGACGCGCCTGCGAAACGCTCTCAGGCCCGCGCTAATTGGAGCCATCAACAGGTCGCACAACATTCGTCAACACCCTCTGCGGCAAGCCCGTCCTCACGCACAAAGAGTCGGACGACCCCAGCACCGCCCACATCGAGGAAGGCGTCAAGATCGAGCCCATCACAGTCGGTGCGTCCACTGCAACAACCAACAAGTCGTGTCAAGAAGAGTGAGCTGACGAATTGCAACAGAACTCGATGAGGAGGGCACACGCATTGTCATGACCATTGTCGACACCCCTGGTTTCGGAGACTCGATCGACAACGAGGCCTGGTAGGCAATGTCCCATCTGCACTGATTGCAACACCAGCTCACATAGGCGCAGCTTCGAACAGATTGAGGGCTACATCGAGCGTCAGTTTGATGACATCCTTGCCGAAGAATCGCGTATTAAGCGTAACCCCCGATTCATCGACAACCGTGTACACGTGCTGCTGTACTTCATCACACCTACCGGCCATGGGTACGTCGCCAACCACCCGTAAGCACGCTCAAACTGACGAGTATAGTCTCCGCGAACTCGACATTGAGCTCATGAAGCGTCTTTCGCCCAAGGCGAACGTTATCCCCGTTATTGGCAAGGCCGATTCGCTGACACCCGCCGAGCTGGCCGAGTCGAAGAAGCTAGTCATGGAGGACATCGAGCACTACCGCATCCCGGTCTACAACTTCCCCTACGACATCGAGGAGGATGATGAGGACACAGTCGAGGAGAACGCAGAGCTCCGTGGACTCATGCCCTTTGCCATGGTCGGATCCGAGGATGTCATCGATATTAACGGTCGACGAGTACGAGCCCGTCAGTATCCGTGGGGTATCGTCGAAGTCGAGAACCCTCGCCACTCAGACTTCCTCGCTGTTCGCAGCGCACTGCTCCACAGCCATTTGGCTGACTTCAAGGAGATCACACACGACTTCCTGTACGAGAACTGGCGTACAGAGAAGCTCAGCAGGAGTGTTGAGGGTGGTGCTGAAGCGTATGTATACTTGCGTCCTTTTCTGATTATTGCTAACGACGTCACAGCGGCTCGTCGATGAACCCAGAGGCTCTTGCCAGCCAGTCTGTCCGCCTCAAGGAGGAGCAGCTGCGACGCGAGGAGGAGAAGCTCCGCGAGATCGAAGTCAAGGTACAGCGCGAGATCAACGAGAAGCGACAAGAACTCTTGGCTCGCGAAAGCCAGCTGAAGGAGATTGAAGCGCGCATGCACAGGGAGCAGAGCGCACACCTAGCAGAGAAGGAGGCGGAGGAGGCATAAGCCAAACCACTCAACAATCATTTGTAATCTTCGGCTTACATCTGGCATCCGGCTTCGCTTTACGAGTCGGGCCGTGTGAGTAGCGCGTTCCCATTCGACACAACATTGGGCGGACCTAAACCTATCTATTGCAGTTCTAGGCGTTTGTAATGAAGGGCGTGCGCACGGCAGCTGCTCGAGATTAAGGTCAGATTAGGGACGTTGGGTTTCTGCTCTTTTTACCCCAGGTAGTGTTGCATGCCGTCTCGACCTGACGCTACTTCTTTTATGTTTCTTCAAGACTTCGATGCTTATTCCCCCGCCTTTTGGTTTTCATGTAGGAGATAGTAATCCACCCTTATAATTACTCGATGGTGAATCCACGTCTGCTGAAGAGTGCAACGCGAGTGCCGTGAACGTGCCTTTGCATCGCTGCAAAGTGACGCAACTCCGTGACTTCCCTGGTTTTCATCACCCACCCACATAGCTCCACGATCATGACGCCGACGTTCTGCAAGTCTTGTGGAACACCTGCGTTACACGATCCACTACGACACCACCCACTCAATCGGCATCGACCGCGGGTTGTCACTGACTGTCAAGGACCAGACGTGGCCCACTGACCCACTGGCTCGTTTCCTCTCCTTCACAGCCAACCAGGTCAGCCAAGGCTCAACGACGCTCGATGACATTGATAACGCACTCTGATGAGTGACATATTGGACCTCCGACTTCTCCCAGCCAACATCGGATTTGGGTTCTCACCGCGGCTGCCGCCGAACGGAACGAAGGATGAGCTGCAGTCAGCACAGTCTTGCTCCAGACCGCAGCTGGAAGATGATCGGCTACCGTTATAGTGCTTGCATGCATACTGCAACCTAGGTATTCTACCTCTTGTAGCCCCGCCACCGGACGAGTTTGGGTTCTTCGCTCGAAACGTGTTTCCCCGACATGGCGTTTCTGCCCAACGCCCATTAAATCTGCTATCGTTGGTGTACGACCCTTGCACACTCGACAGCACGCCGCCTTTTAGAACGAGCGGAGAGCGCAGCGTGTCAAGAGCCGTCCCGTCCCATCATCTCGATGTCGGTTCGCCGAAGCACGACCGCGCACGACTATACAGTATCCAGCAGCCGGGCCGTATGGCCACAGCAACATACAGTGATCCGGGACCTTCGGATAGTCTTGAGTCTTGACACTGGCGGCCAGATGCCCCTCATGGGTGGCATGATGCGATCTACGGCGGGCGAGCAGATGAGGGCAGTTGTGGTGGAGTGCGGCCCCGGTTGATCGCGGTACAGCGCCTGATTCGAGACCACGAAAGCCCTCTCTTGATCTTCACTCATCCAAGACGTCCATGAAGCTCTCCACAGGATTCGGCGCCTCTTAACGACATGTCATATAGCTCTTTCTGCAGCAGTGCCTTGATTCGCTCGTATCGAGGTGTACGTACTCGCTGCGGATCGCAGTTGGGCCGGATTTTCGATGTCGCCGGGCTGTGTCCCGCGGCACCAGCGGCTGAGTTCGAAAGGAAGCTGGATCATTCCACCTCAACACAGTATACACGCAAGTCAACGGACATCAGCGCAGTGTACGGCTCGCACAAGAGTAAGCGATGAAGAAAAGTTACAACCCGCGAACCTTGGTTCGTCGATCGGGTGTTCGGCCGCTGTTGCATGCATCATGCAATCCTTTGTCCCACATTCGACGGCACGACGCCTCGTCATTTTGGACCCTCATCTTTGGAATATCATGATTTATCGCGCTTTGCGCGGTTGCAAAGAAAGATCAAAGCTCGGGCTAGCTACTAAGACCCTTAGACATGGTGGCACCAGCTGCTAAACGTTAGTCCCTGAGCCTTTCAGCACCGCCAGAGGGGAACTCTATTCCGACTGAACAGACCGTCAAAGCCTAGACCTCGTTGCCTGCGTCGCTTCACCCTAGCTGTATGTCACCCTGTGCATCATCACAGCGGATTTCAGCTGGCATGCTATCCTATTCTGGTGCCATGATTCGAGGCTTGCTGCAAGCCAGCCTGGAGGATTCAGGAACCGACAGACTAGGGCGGCACGCTCAGATGGGGAAATCGCAGAGCCTCCTGTTACTCATCTGACCTCCGGCCCAATCACGGGAATACCGTCAAGGCCTGGAAGGGATCCGTCGCGCTGGGTTGGGCCTGCCGTGTAATGCCAGATCTTCGACCTCAGCTCGGTGAGCGGGCTTTGTTCCGCGGCAGTATCGACGCCACGCGTTATCTCACGGTCCCTCACCCTATACGGGATACCTGAATAGACCGCATCATGCGTAGGAATGTCTCGAATTCGAGCCATGATGCAGTGCAGGGATGTTCATTGACTGCAAGCAGTTTTCGCCACATCCACATGCATCGCCTCTGCAGCGGATGCGGGTGGCCGGCAGCCGCATCGCTTCGTCCAATGCAGGGATTCCTGCCCACAACATCTCACAGACAGGCGCTTGGCCTTCATCATCATCCTCAGCAGTCCCTTGAGATCAAGATGTGTCCTTAGTACTCTCCTAAGCTGGATGAAAAGGTGTGCGAGGTAAGCTAGAGTCGCCAATCGGACTGCGCATCGGCTGGAGAGTCGTCGCACCCCTGCACACTACCTCAAGCCACATCCACTTGCCGAAGTTCAACGCTTCTGCGATCACTGCGATACTCCAGCGCGGATGCAGGGGCAGCTGTTCCCCGGCCACTGAACTACTCCTAGCGTGGACCTCAAAGCTCACTCTGGTTCCTGTTTCGAGCCGCCTCCACTAATCCTGCACGCGACTGCGGCGGCAGAGCTAGTAAATGGTCCTCTGACAGTCGTCATCAAGAAGCATTTGCCTATGCGCAGCCAGCCTGGTGCCACAATTACCGTTACCAGTTATGCTTGTGCATCTAGTTCTTACTTTGCGGGGACGGGCTGGCGCCTACTTGTTGCCTGCCCCTGTCGTCGGTACCTTCCTCACCTTTACCTTTGCTTGAAACTACCGGCCGCAACATAAAACTACATTATCACCAAATCGCACCTCCATATTGAGAGTGATCATTACCAGTATTCTCTTCTGCTTCACTTCGACACTACTTCAGCCTCACACCAGCACTAATTCAGCTTGCGCTTTCTTGGCTCCCCTTGTTACACAGCCTCGGCTTTTGGCACTGAACGTCTACGTTTCTTTGCTCTACTCTCATCAGTCATCACATCGTGAGGCATGGACAGACCACAGGTCTCAATACCGCCCGTAAGTATGCTCGAGTTTTGTTGAAAGACGATTCGGACTGACATGTTACTGTAGGCTGCGGACGTGCTTGGCGTAAGTAGAGTCACCACGTTTGATCTCAGGGACTATACTAATCTGTGGTTGCAACGTACAGACACTAGGAACTGGTACGTGTGTTTTTGTCTCCATCTCTCTGCACGTTATCTGACAGTTCTGCAGTGTATGCTTCACCTCCAATCTTGCTGCCGAATTGTCACTAATCATCATGCTTGTCTAGCTGCTGGTGTGTTCAGGTAAGACATTGCGGTTACTTTGCACACTTCGCTTACTGACCATCACAGATCATCCCACAGTACGTATATTCACCGACCCGTCGTACCGTCTTCTCACGCGATTAGAATATGGCATAATTATCGGCGAAAAAGCACCGAAGGCCTGCCTGGCACGATGCTCATTCTCTGGTCAATATGCAAGTTGTCTACATGATTACAACAAGCCCTAGCTGACTCGATTAGGTGGTGTGCCATTCGGCGTTTACGCAATCGTCCAGGTACAGTCATCGATTACGGTGATGACACAGCAGCTGATATCAAGTAGAACTTCAGTTTCGCCCTTCAGTTCCAGCCTCAGGCTTTCGCTGCCCTCACCCTCATCTCATGGGGCCAAACACTCTACTACCACAAGTAGGTTCGACACGCACGATTGTAGTTGGTATTGAGTGCTAACCGTTCGCAGCAAGTGGAAAGCATGGACTGCCACCGTCGCGACGATCCTTCTGGCATTAAGTTTTGGCGTCATGGAAGTGATATTGATCTTCACACTTCAAGTGAGTAACTTCCCTGGCTTTACAAGATCCGTGTCACTGACTCGTAATTTCAGGGCCCTTACGATCGCGGTGTCAAATGGCCGATGATGCTCATGGCGATCTCAGCTACGCTGATCCAGATCGCTGGACTAATACCACCGTACTTCGAGCTCGCCAAACGCAATGGTCGAGTTATTGGAATTGGTATGCACACTACTGGTGAATTCAGGGAGTCCGCTGACATCCGAAGACTTCTGGTTCCTGCTCATCGACTATGCTGGCGCGTTCTTTTCACTCATGGCATTGAGTCCGTTATATCCTTTCTCTAATGACCACCTGACGCTGACTTCTTCTAGTTGCACAGCAATGGTTTGACAGCCTTGGCGGGAGCTTGTACATTGCATGGCATGTTGTTGTCTGAGACCTTGGAACGTAACCTCAGCTAACTGTTACTAGTATGGCACTCGAGACTGGCATCTTCATGTCGCAAGCGATCTGGCTGTGGCGTGTCCGGCACGTCCGGCGAGAAGCAAAGAAGGCAGGCAAGACCTATGACGAATACGTCGCCGAGAACCCCTCGAAGAAGATCCCGCGATCCGAGTCGTCCGAGACAGTTGTCGACGTCGAAGCATGCCACGACACAGAGAGGCATGACAGCTTGGGGGCGGAGTCTCAGCCTTCGTCGAAAGAGGAGCAACACACAGATGCAATCCCCCTATCACATTGGGATAGCTTCGTCCAGAAGTGGAGGACCCTGGTACTCAGGCCGGCTCCTGGTGCCCAGTCATGATCGTTATGTTTGTATGTCCTTTGCTCTATACCCCCTGCAGGTGGACTTTGTGTCCCGTCAGATGGCCTGAGCTCTAATAGTTTGTGTTAAAAGTTTTAACAGCGTGGGTGGATGTTTGTCTTGAAGCCACTTGGCTTGATCAAAAGTCATTGCAGTAAAACCACGAGATCATAATTTCTTTGACAAGCAGTAAAAGTAGATGACCCATGACCAGGGTTTGATGACCATGTTTCATCCAAAGCTCTTGCTTACTTTATGTTTTCTTCCACGTACAGCGTTTGATCGTTTGACTTTACCTATGTTTGTGTTTGTGAATTCACTTAGAATTTCCCAATTCGGCCAGCCTCGGCCCCAGTCATCGCGGGGCAACGTCAGCCGAATTCGACATCTTTGACGCAACTTCACCGGCAAAGTACATCCCTTGGTCAACTGATCCTTCACATTGAATTCTGAAACTAAATGAGCCCGATATAGAAAGTTGGACGTTTTCCGCAACAAAACATTCGAACAACGCCACCAGCCTCCAGGTACTATTTAGCGGTAGCTGTCCACATATTCACAACTACAACAATCACCACCACTGTCCAGCAACTCAACTAAGCACCTATTTTCAGTCATTTCACTTACTCAATCTTCAAACAACCATCATGGCGGCTCACGACAACTCGCCTCTGCCCTCCCCTCCTTTCTTCCTGATACCCAACATCAACAACCTGCGCGATGCCGCCATCTCCCTTTCAACTCCCCACGGCTCTATACGCCAGGGGATTCTCTTCCGCTCCGCCGAAGTCAGCAAACTCGACCGCTCGGGCTGGGACGCCGTGCATGCTGTCGGCGTAGCACACGTCTTTGACCTGCGCTCCAAGCCCGAAGTCGAAAAGGGCTGGGCCGGCATCGTCGCCAAAGTCGACGGCACCGAGGACGTACGACCCAGCTGGCTCGTCGATATGGAAAGCGCGGGTGTCCAGCGCACGTGGGTCCCGGTATTCACGGAGACGGACTACAGCCCCGAGAAGCTCGCAGAGCGCTATCAGAAGTACATGCAAGACAGCGTCGAGGGCTTTGTGGCAGCCTACCGCGGGATCCTGGCCAGCGGCGGCCCAGCGTACAAGCAGATCTTCACGTACCTCGCCAACCTACCGCCGGCATCCGCACAGCAAAACGCCGAAGCACCCGGCGCACACAAGCTGGGCGCCCTGGTCCACTGCACCGCGGGCAAAGACCGCACGGGCGTGTTCTTCGGGCTGCTGTTCGACTTCCTGGGTGTGCCGCGCGCGCACATCGCCGCTGAGTACCAGCTCACCGAGCCCGGGCTAGCTCCTGTCCGCGACGCCGTGGTCGAGCGCTTGCTGCAGTCGCCCGGGTTCCAGAAGTATATGCAGAGCGTTGCGAGCGGTAAGGCGCTGTCTAAGGAGCAGCTCGCGGAGATTGTGCAGAATGGTGATGCGTTGGGTATCCAGACGCAGGACTTTTCGCCCGAGGTTAGGGAGAAGGGACGGCAGGCGGCGCTGAGGATGGTGGGGGCGCGGAAGGAGAGTATTTTGGCTACTCTGGAGATGGTGGATAGGGAGTTTGGGGGCTCGGAGAGGTATATGAGGGAGGTTTGTGGGTTGGGGGATGCGGAGTTGGAGGGATTGAGGAGGGTGTTGGTTGTAGAGCAGTGACTCCCTGGGGCGAGGGCGGCGCTGTAGCGGAGCGTGTGGGGTCTCGTGCTATGAGACTCAGGACATTGACAGTTGCTCACGCTCGGCACAGTGTGGTTGTTTTGCTCAGATAGCAGCCGCTATCTGTTGACCTAGAACGCGCAAGACGTGTATCTGCGTGTACATAGATTAGATTCGATACTTTTTCCTTGTGCGACGCCTCAGTCATCTCTCTACTCCTTCCCCTTTTTTAAACCTCTCCCTGTTACCTTCCTGTCACTCAGAATCTTAGTGTACATATCCCACACGACTCACACTGTCGAACAACATCATTACACAACATCACTTCGCAACATTCCCAAACTTGCTGGTAAACATGTATGTGTGCTGAACACTTACATGTTGGACACTTACTCAGCATACTATAGTGAGAATTACGCATGGTGTCCCAAGGCGCGTCCGACCAGTCAGGGTGTATGTGTTTCGAGAGATCAATTTAGTGGTAGCCCTATAGTTTATGAACCGCGGTAAGAATAGGTTGAATTCTACAGAATACCAGATTATCGGTTGGACGTACCTGCTGTACATACTCAAAAGCCTTGCCTAGATGGGGAGGTGCAGTGGCTCAACAACGGCGGAGCCTCACCCCAACCCCATACCCTGACCAAGAAACTAGCAACTATTTCCGTCTTCTCTTTTCCCAGCATCGTTGCTTCTAAATACAAAACGCGTCAGTTGGGTAACATTCCACTGAAAACGGCTACACGAACGCAGAAGATCATCTGCATATGATCGCGCGCCCTGCGTAGATCAGACTCTTGGCCTTTTGCGTCGCTCGAGCAAAGTCACAGTACATCCCCTACCGAGTTATGCATAGCATCTACGAGTCAAGTGCAACATGCAGTGCAATTGATGTGACACAGTCGCACACCCACAGCCACACACCCCGGAGAACTGGCTCGAAGAAGGCTCAAAATTACTCAACTGCTGGCCAGCCTTGCCGTCTACCGGTGAATGCAGCTCACCGTGCCAAGACAGCACAAGGCTACCAATTGCCTGCTATGACATTGATTGGGTGTGGATGTTCCCTAGATGTCGTACGGACCGCAGGCTTACTTCTTGTGCATGCATTCGACGCATAGCGGAAGTTGGTACGACACACGATCCCATTTACTCAGCTGTGTCCCATTGGGGGTCTTCGAGATATATTTGACGACAAACCGTACACGGAATGGGCATGAGTCTTACCCTTTCTTCTTACACCATGTCTGATTCGTGCCCCCCGAAGATCCTCGACGAGATGCACCAAGCCAACTCTTTGCAGCAGAATCAAACGAAACATCATTTGAAAAAAGTCCTGTTATCATCTGCTTTCATCGTCGTTCCTATGGTGGCTTTCACTATTACTGTTCTTGTCGTACTCTTTTCCAATGTTGTCGATCTCGACTATTGTCCACCCTCTCAGCTCTGCAACCATACGGTCACAGCAGGCATGAACAGTACGGATTATTATGTCGACTTCCCAGTTGGTCGCCTCGCTTTTGTGGCATCTTTGTCATCTACGTTTAGTCTGGCATTGGTCGCGGCTATAATGACAATGTATGGATACGTCGTTGCTAAGCAGGTGTTAAGCTTGCCGGAAGATCTCGGTCAGCAAACCGGATCACCTTCATCTCATGAGATGAGTACACTGATTCGAGTCCTCAATGGGGAAATCATACTATTGTATGATTTGACAGTGCGAGGCTGTCGTCACCTTTTTCGGCGTGACGCAAGAAGGCGTGATAAATCACAGCCGACAAGTCGAATCCTCCGCCTTTGTTGTGTGGTTTTTGTCACCGGCATTTGCACTAGGTCAGGGCTCACACTACATTCATAGCTATTCTAACTTTCACCTAGTGTTTCTATACAGGCTGCCGACACGTACTTACATATCGTTATCGATGCAGTCAGTACAGAACAGCTGAAGCTGACCTCAAACAACGGACTGAATCTCAGCAGACGCTTGGCACCATGGTATTTTGAAGACCCCCGTGATGGAGTGATGAAAAGGTCAATTACCTTCAGCCGCGCTTTTCTCCACAATGGAATGAACGAAGATGCTTATCAAAATGGAACTGGTAGAGTTTGGAAAGCAAACCAAACTTCACTTCTTTATGCATCGGAGGAGGTGGATTCTTACGTGCTTAACTACACAGACCCTGCCGGCATATCGTATGCAATAGTGCAGCCTTCAAACATCGATGAAAGTCTGGACTGGATCGGCACGGGCTACGGAGTATCAACTCAATGCACCGGAGTACCACAGTACAGCTGTCGCACGGAATCGCAGTCGTCGGGTGGGAACGTTATGCACTGCCCTGCAGATGGAGTTTATCCTAACGTTACCATCCTTTCCAAACTGGACAGGGGTCTCAGGACATGGAATTTTGACTGGCATAAAGCATGGACCGAAGCATCGCCCTATGATGATCTGTCACGAGATATTGGGTGGATGATAAAACGAACGCGCGACTCGAGATACCGTTGGGACCAGAACCTGACTCTTCAGGACGGCAATACAATCTTCAGTAATCCCTGGCACTGGTTCGCCAAAGTCACTATTCTGGGGGAGACTTTCGAAATGCCTCAATCATTCATCAATAGTGCGTTAGTGTTGAGGTTCAATGAGTCACTTGAGAATGAAAACAGCCCCTTTATTCTCATGAAATGCAAGACTTCCGGTAAGCTTCTACGACTATATGCGGTATTGAGCTAATCGCGTTGTAGTATACGACACTGTCCACACTGTCGTGAAAGGTCGATTGGTATCACTGAACACAACACTGAGTAATGGCTCAGTAGCGGGTATTGTGTCACAATTGAGCATCGAGGCGGTAGGCACATTAGCCGTAGGCTCCAACTCCGCACTGGCGAGTGTCAACCACAACTACACAACACCGGAAGCTTTCGTCACCACATATGAGCAGTCCATGAGCAAGTCCATGAGCGTGCCCCTCATCACGTACACCGTGCCAGAACAAGCAATCTACGCCCACCGCCGCGTCACCTCGGTCATCACCCGTCTGCCTAAAGTAGCGCTCTGGCTTCTCGTCGTCGCTAACAGCATATTCACTGTCCTCGGCCTGGCCATCGCCGTCATAGCCGCGAAGGCAGCCTCGCCACGTACCCACCAGGCTCAGATCAGACTCAGCACGTCTGGTCTTGCGGCACAGCTCTTTGCATCGCCGCACGCCCGGCGTGAAGCAAAGAATGATGCCGAGTTATTCCAACAGGGGAAGCGGAGCGTCGTGGGCATAGACACCAAGAAGGTTCGCATGCGATCGACGTCTTTGCGAGGAGCGGAGTTCGTCACTGTCGACGCGGTTGTTGATGTTGAAGATCAGAGTGGAGAGGAGACGCTTGGTTTGCGCTCTACGCACACCATATAGCTGACACGCACCTACGACTTCTATACCGTTGCTGATGAAAATCAGTGCTATTGGCAGACGATTATACCCAGAGATGTGCTATTTTGATCACTGCGAGTGTCTGTAAGAACGACAGGAGGCACTGCCATACTTTACCGTGCACACAATTTGATATAGTTTGCAAAGTCACGATAACCTGAATAGATGTGAAATCAACCCCATTTTCTTCCTCTGAAAACAAATGTGAAGATATACTGGTCTGCTCACAGCTTGACCTCGATTAATCCTCACCCTTACCGTCCGTCCTTCGATCCTTTGCTTTCTCCTTGCATATCCACACTTCCTTACTGGAATGACCATCTCTCACAGCTTCCCCTCAAGCGGCACCTCAGCCACCTGATCCAGCCCCTCATACTTCGGCACATCAAACCCATACTTCTCCGCGATCCCTGGCCCCACAAACCGCCCGCCCACAAAATGCCTCCCCTTGAACCACTTCACTAGCGGCTTCGGCGCAGTCAAACTCACCAACGCCGCCGGCATAAACCCCTTGCCAGGCCCCTCCTCCCTGGGCCCCTCCTCAATATCCCACGACGACGGCGCATCCACCGCCAGCACCGGCACCCGCGTCTCCGCCAGCGCCTGCACCACCGCGCCAAACGGCTCCCTCACCTCGCCCTTGAACGAAAATCCAAACACCGCGTCGATCACATGATCCGCGTCTCGCAGCGCCGCAGGGAAGTCCGCCGTGAACGGCACGCGCAGGTCCTCGAGCTGCGTGCGCAGCCGCGCAAATAGCTCACTTTTGCTCTGCTTGGGGTAGTACACGGTCGGGCGGTAGCCGTAGTGGAACAAGTGCCGGGCGGCGACCAGCCCGTCGCCGCCGTTGTTGCCCGGGCCGCAGGCGATCAGGATGCGGCGGCCGGAGCTCAGAGGGTGCAGTTTGAAGAGCGCTTGGGAGATGCTGAGGCCGGCGAGTTCCATTAGTTGGTCGAGTGAGAAGGCGCCGCTGGACATCAGGTCTTGGTCCAGGAGGGCGGCGGTTTTTGCGGATATTGTCTGGGATGGTTAGTTGAGTGGGTTGAAAAGGGGGTAGAGGGTTCTACTCGGAGAGTCATTTTTGGAGCGGGTGGATGTTTGGTTGATAGATGTGTAGTGTTTTGGAGATTGTGTGGTGGGAGGTGCGATTACATCACTGCTCGAGTGAGGACCTGCATGGTCAGGATGCGGAGATGAGGCAGCGAGACATGTGGAACGCAGCGCATTAACAAGATATCTATTTTCTGACATACAAAGACATCAGATTGTCATCCGACCTATGTCTTGCCGAACCCCCGATCTATGTCCGCGTGAAGTAGCCCCCATCACGTGCGCGGCAAAACCCCGGCCCAAAATATCTCGCCCTCAAACGACCGCGACTTCACCCTAGCACCACCGCACTCCATCCCGCCGCCATGGTCCTGCGCATCCGCCTGTCGCGCTTCGGCAAGAAACATGCGCCATTCTACAACATCGTGCTGACGCACGCCCGCACCGCGCGCAACTCGCGGCCCCTCGAGGTTCTCGGCACGTACAACCCGATTCCGCAACCACCGCGACCGGGCGACACCTACGGACGGCCATGGAAGGATATCCAGCTCGATGTGAGCAGGGCGCGGTACTGGGTTGGTGTGGGCGCGCAGCCGAGTGATACCGCGTGGCGGTTGTTGAGCATGGTGAGTGAGGTCTGGAGTTGGTTGAGAGAAGCGTGGGAGCGCGAGCTAGGAACGATGAGGGTTCTGGGGAGGGGATTGAGCTGGCGACGTGGCGCGAGTGGTGGAGAGCAGTGTTGACACGTGCGCAGGTTGGCATTCTCGAGCCGCAGTACCGCATCTCCAAGATCCAGGGCCAGGTCATCAAGGCCGATTCGGCGGCGAAGTCGCTGTTGCCGGAGACACCCGTTACGCCTCCCGCGGAAGCAGAGGTCACGCAGGAGCAGAAGGCCGAGGCGTGAGCGCGTGCATTGGGAGGACCGCCATCTGGCGCCACAGTGGAGGACTACCGCGAATGACGACAGCTGGGTTGGGCAGTGGAATTGGAATGCTAAAAAACGATGATTGAGTTGATCAACGCGAAGAGAGAACGCAGAGGCCGAGAGCAAAAGGTCGCTTGGTCGGACGAAAGATGAAAGACCAATGAGATGCATGAATGGGCGTTATTTGGTATACCACGATGTAGACATTGTATCATATACCTCACACCAGAGGACTTGTACATGCTGTAAGAATAGAAAGCTGCCTCGGGCGAGCTCAATACCAATTCGCCGGGCGTTATTCGTCCAAAACCTCACTGCACATGGCGAGTCCAAGTCTCTCCACCTGCGCAAACGACTCTACCAGGACACCGGTTTCCAAGTGTCTACTCGGTCAACCCCAGCAAGAAAGATGTTCATTTATTTCAGCATACACCCACTCCAACCCAAAGCGGTCAATAAACGGAGACCTAACGCACCTCCTGCATCCGGTTGGCGCGCCTTCCCCCGCAGCCGCGGCAGCGCTTTGCTTCGGGTTTGTTCCGCGCCGCCAACCCCAGCTTTCACGACGCGACGTTCTTGTGTGGTCTTGAGCCGCTGCATAACCGAAATGCGCGGTTGGTGAAATTTGCGACTTGCTACAGCTCCCCGAAGTTCCCGGTGTCCTCAATTGCTGGTGCTCTACTCGTTTGCTGCTTTGTTGTGCTCGGTTATAGCTCAGGTACATGCGCTCGGTAGTCAGGAACTCACAATGACAAGCTAACAGCATACAGCATATTGAAAGCATGGCCTCCAAAGTCCCGTCGCGCGAAGCTCTGACGCTGCTGAAGCACTCCATCCGCCCAGCAGTCGCTCTCCGCTCGCAGGCACAGTCGCGTCTGCTCCCTTCCGCGGGTGCTTCGCTGCGCGCCCAAGCTCCAGCTCATCCGTCACGCCAAACATCACGCAGCACGGCAACATTCACGCACTCTCACCATGCCGACGCCGTGTCTGTCATCCCCACATTGGTGGACACTAGTTCAGCAGACTTCAAGGAGAATAGGCGTGAAATGGAGGAAGTCACCGAAAAGCTGAACGGCCTGCACTCCAAGATTGCACAGGGCGGCCCGCAGAAGGCACGAGACAAGCATCTTCAGCGCGGCAAGATGCTCGTTAGAGATCGCATCACGGCACTGATTGACCCTGGGACACCATTCTTGGAATTGAGCCAAATGGCGGGCTATGATGTCTACGAAGGCGAAGACACGCCGGCGGCTGGCATCGTGACTGGCATTGGAACAGTGAACGGCGTCCAGTGCATGGTTGTTGCGAACGACAGCACGGTCAAGGGCGGCACATACTACCCACTCACTGTCAAGAAGCATCTCCGAGCGCAGACAATTGCGCAGGAGAACAGACTGCCGTGCATTTACCTCGTCGACTCTGGCGGTGCCAACTTGCCTCATCAGGCTGATGTCTTCCCGGATGTCAACCATTTCGGCCGTATCTTCTACAATCAGGCTCGCATGTCGGGCATGGGCATCCCCCAGATCAGTGTTGTGATGGGACCATGCACAGCTGGTGGCGCGTACATCCCCAGCATGAGCGACGAGAGCATCATTGTCGAGAATCAGGGCCATATCTTCCTCGCCGGCCCGCCGCTCGTTAAGGCCGCGACTGGCGAAGTCGTTTCAGCGGAGGACCTGGGAGGTGGCAAGCTGCACAGCGAGGTGTCTGGTGTAACGGATTACCTAGCTGTCGACGACGCCCATGCCCTGGTCCTGGCACGGAGAAGCATTGGCAACCTCAACTGGCACCGCAACCAGACTGTCTCTGTGAAACCAGCTTTCAAAGAGCCACTGTATGACCCAAAGGAGTTGAACGGCATTGTGGGCACGAACCTGCGCAAGCAGATTCCCATTCACGAGGTCATCGCACGCATTGTGGACGGGTCGTCCTTCTCTGAGTTCAAGCCGCTGTATGGCTCAACACTCGTCACGGGCTTTGCGACCATCTACGGACACCCCGTCGGCATTGTGGCCAACAACGGTATCCTCTTCAGCGAGAGCTCGCTCAAGGGCGCGCACTTCGTGCAGCTGTGCGGCAAGCGCCAGATCCCGCTAGTCTTCCTGCAACACATCTCAGGCTTCATGGTCGGGCAGGATGCAGAGAAGGGCGGCATTGCAAAGAACGGCGCCAAGCTCGTCACTGCTGTCAGTTGTGTTGACGTGCCTAAGTTCACCGTCGTTGTTGGTTCGAGCGCCGGCGCTGGCAATTACGGCATGTGGTAAGTTCAATCCCTGCCCCACGTATACATTGACTGACATCACATACAGTGGCCGTGCCTACTCACCACGCCTCCTCTTTACGTGGCCCAACGCAAAGACATCCATCATGGGTGCCGAACAGCTCTCCTCTGTGATGGCGGCAGTCGGCAAGTCGGATCCGGAGCTCAGGAGCCGAATCGAGCACGAGAGTGAGGCGACATTTGGATCGGCAAGGCTGTGGGATGATGGGATCATCCCTCCCGAGCACACGAGGAGGGTGCTGGGTATGGGACTGCAGATGGCATGTGGCGGGCAGAACACAGGCGTCGAGAAGGAGAGCAAGTGGGGCGTCTTCAGAATGTAATTTAGCAGCTCAAACATCGAAATGACATGTACCACCTCATCACTCTATCTATATGATGCGATGTCGTGCGCTCATGCGCGCGCACCGTGGTACAGCGCGCACCGAAGACATCATAGAGCGGCGCCCGAAATAGCTCACGCCTGAGCGCCCTCCCAATCTCCACCCCGGTTTTCCTTTACACTCGGCGCCACTTGGCGCGAAGATCAAGCTTTCCGCCACGCCTGCTGACCTCACAGCACAAGCCCGTTCAAGCCTCTGTGTCGCTGCTTGCGGCCTTTGCAACGCTCGCGACCGCTCGCAGCGCAACTCTTCGCGTCGCGTCGGCGCCAATGGCAGCGCACCGCAACCCCGCTACGGAACTCTTACACTGCTGCTTGTAATAATCGCGCGACTTCGGTAGGCAAGATGCATGCACCGGTCAGCAACGGCGGGACGTCCAATACACCCGCTTTTCCGGCCCACCATTAATCCAACCGCGAGCGCGATGTGAGTGGGCGAGCGGTCGTTCACGCATGCTGACGCATCCGCCGCAGCCAATGGCGCACACTGCACACGAGCGTGCGAGCCGAACACGACCGTGGCTCAGCGGGGGCCTTGAACAGTACGAGGCAGGGTTGCGCGAGTGCGCCTTGGGAGCCCGCTGATGAAAGCAGACCAGGAATGGGAGGCGCGCATGCGGCGCCCGCTTTATGCTGCCTTAGGCGGCGGGTGCCCGCTGCAACGCCTTTACTCCTCTTTCCACCGCCGTTCGTTTTGATCCTGCCTTCTGTACGTCTGTTCGTGATTGAAAGGTTGTGTAACGGAATTCTTGGTCAAGTCGCATGGTTGAGTGGGTATGAGGTTGTTCAGCCCTGCGCGCGCGCTAGCGGCGCTCTGTCTGCTGCCCACGGATCTCGTGCGACCTTATGTTGGCGCCGAAGTGTTGGATCCCAATTCACCTGGTGCGTGGAATTGCAGCGCTGGAGGGTTCAAGTGCTGATACGGACACAGAGTCGATCAAGAATGTGTCGTCGAACATTGCGAAAGAGCTGGTGTCGTACTATGCGACCAAGGATGAGAAGGGCTGGCATGTGCTCGGCGGCTACCCGGGTGTGCTGTATGAGCCGTACTACTGGTGGTTAGCTGGGGCCATGTTCGGGACGCTGCTGGATTACTGGCGGTATACCGGGGACGACCAGTATAACGATATGATGCGCGAGGGCATGATACATCAGTTTGGAGAGCATCTGGATCTGGTGCGCCCCTCTGTGTGTATCTCTATGCGCTGATCTAACACACACAGATGCCTCAGAATCAGTCCAAGAACGAAGGAAACGATGACCAGGTCTTTTGGGCGTTCACCATGATGTCTGCCGCAGAGTACAACTTCCCTGCCCCGCCCGACGACAAGCCCGGCTGGCTCGCCATGGTGCAGTCCGTGTTCAACCAGTTCGTCACGCGCTACACCAAGGAGGTTGCCGACGGCAATTGCGGCGGCGGCATGCGCTGGCAGATCTACCCGTGGCTGAACGGCTGGACGTACAAGAACACGGCCTCCAACGGCGGGCTGTTCCATCTGGGCGCACGCCTCGCCATGTTCACGAAAAACGACTCCTATGCGCTGTGGGCCGAGAAGGCGTACGACTGGATGGACAGCACGGAGCTGATCTGGGACGACGGCACCATCAACGACGGCATGGCCATGACCACCGACCCGCCCTGCAAAGAAGCCGACAAAACCCCCTGGACGTACAACTACGGCATGATCATTGCCGGTGCCGCCTACGTATGCATCTACCTCCCCTCTCTCTCCCCTTACTAACGATCCCAGATGTACAACTACACCAACGGCGCCCCCAAATGGCGCGGAGTCCTGGAACGCCACCTCAACAAATCCGCCATGTTCTTCCCCGAGTACTACCGCGGCATCATGTACGAAGTCTGCGAGCCCAAGATGCTGTGCGACACGGACCAAGAGTCGTTCAAAGCGTACCTCGCGCGCTGGCTGGGCGTGTGCATGCAAATGGCGCCCTGGACCTACGACACCATCATGCCGCGGCTGCACACCTCCGCGGTAGCCGCCGCGCAGACCTGCGTTGGCCCGTCGCTGCACGGCGCGGGCAACTACGCGTGCGGCATGCGCTGGTGGATGGACGGCTTCGACGGCGTGCAGGGCGTTGGGCAGCAGATGACCGCGCTGAATGTTATCAGTGTGCTGAATGTGCAGCGTGTTGATCCACCGTTGTCGAGTAAGACGGGCGGCGAGAGTAAGGGCGATCCGGGGCTGGGGTCGGGGAGCGTGGATGCCGATTTGCCGCTGCTGCATCAGAATGCTATCGGCGCAGGGGATCGGGCGGGCGCAGCGATCTTGACGATTCTGGTCATGGGGTTTGTGTTTGGGGGCGCGTGGTGGTTGTGCGTGGAATGAGTTGGGGGTTGATCTGTATTGAATCCATGATATTTCTTCAAGGTTGCGGTGTTGAGGGGTGAGAGTGCTTGGGTCGATGCTGATATGGATACAGGTCCGATGGCTTAGCAGTGCTGTCATCGCACGCGAGTATGCCCCCCGATACAGCACGAAATCCGCCGTTTAACGTGGCCTACCGGCTCTGCCACGACGTTCATTTCATCCACTGCCTAGCAGTGATCCGTCTATCCGCTACGGCAGCCACGTAGCTGAATAGCACTCCCGCACTGTTCCAGCATCGTTCATCATTCCACTAGAACCGAGCTCGCAGATCCTCGCAGTCTTGACTCTCAACTCTCGATTCTCGATTTCGATTCTCGATCATCATCTCATCTCGAGATGGCGTGTATCTGGCAGACGGTCCATCCTGCAGTCACCTGATTAATCAATCCACTATGTATGGACGGCGATGCCGGTGCGGCAGGCGTGTTGGCACAGGTCCGGCGCGGAAGTCTGTTTAGAGCAGAGTGAGCGGCACGGACGAAAAGCGGACTGTGTCATTTTTGGGTACTATACTGTGTGTGTATCTAACAGCCGTGGCATTGAGCGCCTCGCAAACCGCCACTTCTGCAGTCGCGCCAGATGGAAACCCTGGCAATGAGGAGGAATAGTAGAGAGCAACAGAAACGATCTCGCAGTGTGGATGGACCTACACATGTGGATCTTATACATGTACTTTCCAGCATGTGGCCTTTTGGCGTATACGATTCTCACATTGCTACGACCTAGCTACAACCGATCACCACGCTTGGACACCGAGAGTGTTGAATGCCGAAACCTACTAGTCACATGACTCAGGAACTCCATATACGTTTCTCTCTGTCGACATACAATCCTTTCCCCAATGAACCATCCGAGTCACTTTCGGCTTCCTTGCCTCCTGTGAATAGAGAGGAGGACAGGTATGTACCGACGTATTCGAACCTATCTTTTACTCCATGTTTTGTAGATTTGCGTTCTTCGCTTCTTCCTTCGTGCTTACAGGGAGGGTAATCCTCCGGCTGATAGCTCACGGGTATCCATTGAGAGTTTGGCCAATCTTGAACAGCTGCGACAACCTCTTAGAGCATTCAACTTGCTGGATGCATGCCACGCCGGCGCACTTTAACAGCTCGACGATGCCCCCCTGTACACTACGTGCATCGCTGTTGCCTAATTCGTTTGCCCAGATGCGCTAACGCAGTGTGCAACAAGGCGGGCGACGACGCACCCTCCGAGCACCGTACATGTACACCTCACACAACAACGCACGGCATATGGCGCCTACCTGATTTCGGCTCGTTTTCGAGGTTCTCACTTGGTGTAAGTGCATTGACATACCCCGAAAGGCAGTGCTGATGTGCGTGGGTTTAGCCTCGTAGCCTCAGGTCCGCCTTCTTCGAGCCTGCAACCTAGCCATACCCAAGGTAATATTGTCGCTCTTTAGTGCTTAATCCTGGCAATTCGATTCTTCGATACGGTGGATGAGTCTCTGTGCACGCCTCGGGTGACAATTTCGCTCCAACAAATTTAAGGCTGTAACATGGTTGGGAAACCCTGAACCGGTAAACAAAACGAATTGTTAGCTTTCCTCTGGCGCGGCGGATATTTATACAACGGTCACCTTCCACAACCTTCTCTCTCCGCTGATCCGCATAATCTTCCTCTACCGCTCGCGGCTCAATTTCGAGATACACGCAAGCAACATGACTGCGCCGTACCCCAACTTTGGCGAACCGCTACCAGCAGAGTTTCGGGGCGACCAGGTCAAGAAGCGACGTTGGCTTTCACGCTCTGACGAAGAGATCGCGGAACACATGGACACACGCAACTTGCGTTATCGCAAAGGATGGCCTCAACTTCCACCGCTTCCAGTCGCTGACATCAGAGATGGGGCACGAAACAAGGTGCATAATCCACAAGCCATCATCAACACGGTAGAGACATTATGCCAGGCTCAGAGGATCCAGCCCATCGAAATCTATTTCGCATATCGAGTACCAGAAGTCCAGCAGGAAGATGAGAAGTATCACACACTAGTACTCACCACCGATCTCAGCAAGGACCCTCTTCTTTACTCCCTTATCATCCATATCCGCAAATTTCTGCAGCAAGACTCGCGCCATCAAGAGATATCCATTGAGATAATCGATTACCGCGCTGTACATGGATTGTTCAGTTTTGCTATTCCTCCATCCGAGCTACATTTGATGGAGGTATGGCATCCAGTCTTTGACGCCGCTCTTGAGGAGATTCACAAACGGCAAGAGAAGTGGACAACAGTCGAGATGTTGTATCGCGGCTTGGAAGATGATGCAGCACGCTGCCAGGCAACAGTCGTTATCACATCACCAACTGCCGCAAAAGATGTTTGGATTATGCAAATACTTCCCGATATCCGCAAGCGCCTCCAAGCACTATCTCCATCTCTAGGGGTTGAGCTTCTCTGTGGCTCATCTCTGTACATTAATTCACGGGGAGTGCCGCCTGACGCACAAACATACGAGGCAGATGTGTCGATGGGCTCTTCCATAGGGCAGCAGGCTCTTGAGATGCATTCGGGCACAGCTGGTGGTATGGTGAAATTGTCAGACGGCACGACATGTGCCCTAACCAATCATCATGTTGTGCGTAATGACAGTCTCGATAAATGTAAGTACATGAACTGCTTGTTTATTTCCTTGCGCTGACTACTTGCGATGTAGTGCTCACAAAGAGCTCCGGCGAACATCCATTCTTGAAGGCTGGTAACCCTGCATTTGAACCCAGTAAACATCGGTTTACGTGTCCGTCCAATGAAGACAATGCAGCCTTCATCCAAGATCGTGAGAAGTACGAACAGCAATGGCTGGCTCAAGCGAGAAATCCTGCGGCACCCCGATATCTTGCTTCCACGCGGGCCGAGCTTACGACAGCAAGGACAACGAATCGTTCTTTTGGAACAGTGTATGCCTCTTCAGGTCTGCGGACAGTAAAGTGTGAGAAGCTCTCAAGCAATCCTACCAATGGCAAGGCTGTCCCAGATACTGGCAAGTCTAAATTCCGATTCATGCTCGACTGGAGCCTCTTGGAACTTCATCCCAAGCGCGGCATGGTCAATGTTCTTCCCATGCGGGTGCAGAACAATAACGCCAGGTACAGCACCCTCATGTCGGGGCAGGAATGTGCTCAGTGGACGGTTATGAATAACCCGAAATGCCACATCCTGAGAGATGAAGTAACGGTTGGGAAGTTTGGTCGCACCACGGGTTTCACATACGGAGTGATCAACTCAATTCCAACCATTATCAACCCCAACTCCGAAGGGGGACAGTACAAGAATATCTCAGATACCTATGGCTTCACGGTTGAGGATTGTGGCCACAGCATGTCGTTTGTCGCTCATGGCGGCGCCGCTGTAGGACTTGGAGACTCTGGAAGCATTGTCTTACATGCACCATCCGGTGAATGGCTTGGTCTTCTTTTCGGTGAAACGAGAGCAAAAGCCGCTCTGTTTACGCCCATTGACCTTATCTTTCGGGACATTGAAAAAGTGACTGAACTGAAGGTTGTTGAGCCTGTCTTCAACTGTGGCTAGTAAGTAATTGGTAGGCATCGATACGATTAAACAATACTTACATTGTTAGAAAACATCGAGAAATAGGAGGACATACTCCTGTTGCTAATCCTCGAATGCGTGGAAAGGTGGGAACGTACGCATTCACGGGGTTACGGTAATCCCACCTGCAACGGAAACAGGAGCGTGCCAGAGGATTGATGGTATCCCGAGCGAGTGGTATCCGACTGACACGAGCCGGGAGCAATGGGACAGCAAGGATGGAAAGTTTCGGGTGGAATGCTGAGAAGACACGCATTGGCCGAGGAGCAGGTAATCAAGATCATATGATCGCGCCCTTCTCTGCGGCTGGCCTCATTAAGTGGCTTGCCTCTTTGTAATGACTGGTTTCTGCTACACTTTACCGCAATCAAATCTCCGTCATCGGGGAGCTGAGCTACAGTATCAATTGCAGCCTGATGTCCTGCCACATCATGAAGTACAAGCATTGTTACAGTTGACTAGATTTGACAATGTGTGTTCAACATCTCCTTGCAGGTCTGGGCTGCTTACATTGCAGCGCTCCTAATGGCTTTTGAGGAATTTTATGGCCAACGACAAGTTTTGTGATCTAATGTTCCAGATATACCATCGCCTCATAAAACTCTGAGGCAATGTCACCCAAATCGGCATCAGACCATAGCTACTCAATGCAAGCGGAGAGAAGATCTCGCATAATCCCTGCAAAAAACGTCTTTCCACAAGTCAGGTTGTGGCCTTCGCCGTTGGAACATTTCACGTAATGCATGGAAGCTTGTGAGCAAGGAGAGTTTGAATTGGCGTACAAACCTTGTAGCACATCTCAGGTAAACGAACAAAACCCTTAAACTCCCTAGATATAAGATCAACATCGGAACTTTTCTATCGACATCACTGCTCCCCAGAAGCTCACTGATAACAAGGCGATATAATTTTCCATGGAGCTCTCGTCCTTCGTTCCAAATGACAGCCTCTATGATTTTATTGATAGTGCACGAAAAATAGGGGTATATCGCGAAAAGTCTCACAAAACAGGCCAAGGCCCTCTGCCTGTGGCACAAAAGTCGGACAGCCTCTATAACCTACCAAAGTAACTCAGCACAAGATAATCTGACTGACTCCATTAGGTTTGAGGTAGGAGCCGGAGCGTTCAGGTCGAGTGCAATCGGTGCGTCCTCGTTTGATCGCTCCAAAAAGTCTGTTTAGAAAGAGGTTGCCTAACTCACGAATTTGTAAGAGCGGCATTTATCTCTGCTGCTACAACACTGCAACACGGGACGATACGTAACAAAGCGACCTCTTTTCCAGAGGACTAAGAATAAATTATACAGCCCAATACCTCACCGTACTGCCTCTATTCGCAGATCTAGAGAGTACCAAGGATCACAAACCGTGCCCGCAGTCTACCAGTCACCAACCCGCACCTTCACGCGACCAACGCAGACAAGCCAACCAACACCCAACCTCCGCCACAGCAAGTCTACAGCCACATCGGCAGATCCTCTCAGCCCAGTCTCTAAACCCTACCTTACAAGATACCTACATCTCGAGCCGACCACATCCCAAGCTTCTAAGGCCAACACCAGCCATCGAATGCAGCAGTCCAACCCCATCAGCACGGACACATCGCACTCACAGACTAGACACCCATCCCGCTACGCTACCGCGCCAACATCCCTACCCGTCCCGAGCCCAAGCCGCTGCCAAACCCCTATCCTTCACTGCGCACCTCGAAGCCCCAGCACCATGTTCCACCTTCCCCACCATCTCCCATCACCTCCGTGTATCACCTTCCCAGCACCACCTTCGACCTTCGGCCTTCGACCTTCGACCTTCAACCTTTGACCTTCGAATGTCCACCGTCCACCTTCCACCTCCTAATCCCCACTGTCTAGCACTGCTGTCTTAACCGCCTCAATTGAAGTCTATACCTTGGAACGCATAACTCAACCTCACCACTCAGCCTCATAACCCACAGCCCATAATCCAAAACTCAGAATGGCTGTTTTGAGGCGGTTGAGGTGGTTGCTGCGCGACTTGGTGTGGAGTTGCTGGTAGCCTAGTCTTACTGCTCTTACTACTACTACTCTTACTACTACACTTACCACCAGCTTACTACCTCCGGCTTACTACCAGCTGCAGCCTGTGATAAATTCCAGCAATGTGTGCTACGAGACTTGCTATAATCGCTGCTGTAATCTTTGACTTTGGCGTGTACAAAGAATTTCCTGGCCGCGAAATCCGCAGTAAAATTTACGACGCGCTTCCTGGAGACTTGATATAGGGTTGCTACTAGCTTGCTGGTGCGAGATGTAGGAGAGTGAAAGGGGCTGGTCTATTGTGTGTGTGTGTGGCAGTGCGCAAAAGCACCATGATAACCCTAGAAAGCTGCTACGCAAGAAACATCAACGATGCGCAAGAAACGTCGACAACACGCAAGAAACGTCGACAATGCGCGTGCAAACCGCGACACCCGCTCAAAAAAAGGAAAACTCCTGGCACCCGCAATGCAAAACGCGCCACGCCGTCTACTGTTCCAAACGCAACCCCCCCCCCCCCCCCCCCCCTCTCCTGCGGGCGACTCGCTCAGTGCCCGCCCCCTCCAAACCCAATATTAATCGCCAAACACGTAACCATAACCACAACGCCATACAGCGCCAACCCCAGCGCCGCAGCCCTCAGCAACCCCCTGCGCCTCTCCCTGCCCTCGACACCCTCCCTCGTCGCACCCCCTTCAACACCGAGTCCGAAGTCCTCAGCGTCGTCTTCGTCTTTAACCAGGCGCTGGTGCGCCGCGGACTGCGGGTCCGCGATCTTGTAGTAGAATAGGCCGGGTAGGATGAAGGAGATGGTGGTGGAGCCCGTGGAGCCGACGTAGGCGAGGACCAGGGAGAGCGAGGAGACGGTCATGGCGGTGAGGAAGGAGGCGACGATGAGCGCGGTGGTGACGAGGGCGAAGCGGAGATCGGACATTTCCTGGGCTTTAGGGGTGGATGGGGGCAGCAGCGAGGGGCTAGGCGAGCGTGGGGGGCTGCGGCGCGGGCGCCAGGATGCGCAGGCTGCGATCGAGGCCCGGCACGGGTGGATCTGCAGCGGGTAGGAGAACATGACCAGCACGACGATGGCGAAGCGGCCGATGGTTGCGGGCGCGGCGGTCGGGTACATGGAGACGATGTTACCGGTGATGTTGTCGCCGTAGGACAGGTAGCCGGTGATGCCGGTGAGGATGTACAGGGCGCAGCCGCCGCCGATGGAGGCCAGGATCACGGTGGTGGTGCGGAAGTGCGAGTTGTCGCTGATTTCGTTGAGGATGGAGAACATGTTCTGGTGGCACGTGTAGGCGAAGACAATCACCGGGAAGGCGGCGAGGGCGTTGATGGGGCCGGCCCATTCGAAGACGCGCACGGGGCCGCGCTGGGCGAGGGTGTCGCCTTTGATGTAGTGGGCGACGACGAGGATGACGAGGTAGGCGATGGAGAAGAGGGCGATGATGGAGGTGTATTTGAGGGAGTCGAGGCGGCGCAGGAACGACAGTGGAATGACGATGAGCCTGGGTTGTCAGCGGGAACATGATGGGGAAGTGCTATGCATACATGAACGCGGTGATCCAGAACTGGCGGTCGACCAGGAAGGCAACGTCTTTGGCGCCCGGCGCAAAGCCCACGACGACGCCCGGCATCAGGTCGCCGATGATGATCAGGTAGCTGACGGCCACGCCGAAGCACTTGACGGCGATGGCGGCGTCGAACAGGATCGAGGCGTTCGGGTAGGTGAGCTGCGACAGCGCGGCGAAGGAGGCATGGCCGCGGTCGACATAGCGCGCGCACCGCGTCTGCAGGTACAGGCCGAAGCCCGACGTGAACCCCGCCCAGGCAATCACAAAGATGCCCAGGAAGATGCCCATCTTGGACAGGGCCGAGGGCATGGCGAGCAGGCCGGCGCCGAGGACTGCGGGTCTAGGTGAGCTTGAGCGAGCGTGAGCGAGCTTATCGCAGCATGCGGCGTACTGGTGTTGGCCAGGTTGATAACGCTGGAGATCCACGAGGCGTTCCCATGGTGGCCGGCGTCGTGCTTGCCGCGGCCGCGCCGTCGCCCGCGCAGCGACTCGGTGCTGGCGGACATGGGGTCGTGGTCGGCGATGGCCGAGTAGTTAGCCATGCTCATGGCGGCGTCGCAGAGGCATGCGGTGGGTCGTGGGTGGGATTGTATGTGATGGCGGTAGTGAGCTTGGGATGGGCGGTAATAGTGAGAAATTATACGTTCATCACACGTCGCGACACGGATTGAGTGTTGTGAAGTAACATGTCGTGCTCAGCCCAGTCGCGACGTTGAGGTTGCGGCATCGTCATCCGACCAAGTGGGCCCGGGCACCTGTCGTTCTCACATGCCCAACCCAGACACGCTCCACCATGGACGACTACGACGAGGCGGTGCTGTTCACCTTTGCGCTGCTCGAGTCGCGGCTCGCGCGCCTGGAGTACCTGCTGAGCGGGCCGCGCGCGCCCGAGGGCAAGCCACAGACAGTCGCTGACCGCATCCACCGCATTGAGCAGACGCTGCAGCAGCTGGCGGGCAAGACAGCGCTGCTGGACAACGTGAACGAGCTGTGTACGTGGGCGGGCACGACGTGGAATCACGGGCTAACGGCGGCAGTGACCAAGCATAAAGACGTGCTGATGGCGAAGCCCGAGGAACCCTCGGTCCCGCTCTCGACGCCGCAGAAGGCGCTCCTCGTCGTCGAGCGCGCGACATCCTTTGCGACGACGGCCTCGCAGCTCAAGGCGCTCGACGACCAGCCAGTCCCCGCCACGGCCGGGTTCGTCAAGCTCGCGGCGCTGCGCCCGCGCATTGCAGAGGCAGAGGACCGGCACCTGCAGCAGGCGCTCAAGATTGCGGAGCTGCGCAGACGCACTGGGCTGCTGGTGCAGCGCGACAAGCAGGTGCACTGGGTGGCGGCGGGGCGGGCGTGGGCGGGCTATCAGGAGAGGCTGGTGCGGGGGTACAAGGGGCTGCAGAGGGAGGAGGGGAGATTGAGGGCTGAGCGGGAAGACGGGGAGGGCGAGACGGTGTGAGGTTGTTATGATACCCAAGCAGCGTGGATGATGGAGAGTAGCGACTGTTATGAAGACACAGCGTATATGATCGAGAGCAGCGACTGCTATGAACACACGCAGCGTGTATGATCCAGAATAGCACTGTTATGAACTCAGAGCAGCTGTAATGACCTACATAGCGCTGTCCTGACCTACATGGCGCTGTCATGACACCCAAGCAGCGTGGTAGGTATGTACTATGAACCACAGGATGTATGCTTTTGTGGAGCACGGCATGAGAACTACAACCACAACACTGCGAACCCATGGTCTGCCGTCGCGAACGACAGGCCTGACAGCGGGCCATGACGTCCCCAGCATTGCTTCCTGCCATTGGCACGCCTGAGCCAAACATGCACCCCGAGCCACACAGCACCCCAAGCCAAACATGCACCCGCCGAGGGCGATGACCTCAGAGCCAGGGCGCGACGGTTGAGAGGGCAGTGGCCAGCAACGGCTGGAAGGGCATCCGTGCGGCGGCGTTTCAGCAGCGTTGCAGGCGGCGCGGGAGGCGATCGGGACTGGGCTGCATCCATGTCTCAGCACGTTTCAGTGCTGGGCTGCACACGTGCGGCGTACCTGCAGTGTGCAGCCAGCGCCGATTGATGCCGGCAGGAGTGATGGGCTTTGGGATTGTGATGGTGCTGGGGATGGGCAGGGTTCAGCTCGTCGAGACGTGCAGCGACCCGCCATGTCGTATGCGTTCAGTGGGCCGTTCAGGTGACAGCGCTGCAACGAACGAAGGATCATGGTGGCAGCGCGCAGAGACAGCGCCAGCCAGACGACCACGGCCAGCCACACCAGCGTCGCCCAGATTCGCGCAACATTCCGTTCGCACGCTGGCGGCGGCCGTGCTGGCGGCGCTGGCGGCGGTGGTGCAGGCGCGTCGCCCAAATTAACACGCGCGGCTTCCAGACGGTTGGACAGGCCGGCCTAATCTCCAAGCGGCCGGCCAGCCCTACGCCGCGACGCCAGCGCTGCGCCAATGGCCGCCCGCCAATCCGGCCGTCCTGAAACCGCAGCCAGCTCGCTCTCCTCGTCCGCACCCTCGACGGCCTCGACACCATTCCCTCGCGCCTCACCGACTCTGCCGCGCCGCTGGCCCTCGACGCCCGTGCCTCTGTCTGCCGTGCCACCCGCGCCCACGCAGAGCTTGCGCCCGCATACATAGCAGCCCTCCCGCGGCCTGACGCGCTGCTGGCACGACCGTCGCTGGACTGACGCTCGCCCACGCCCGGCTCCTCTCCCGTCTTCGCTTCTCGCCCGCCGTTCTTCTCCGCCGCCTTCTTCTCCGCCGTCCTCTTCTCCGGCCCGCCCTCGCCCTCGCACATGCCCGTCTTCGGCGCCACCGGCTCGCCCTCTCTGAAAATGGAATCGGGCTACGGCAACGGCTACACCGGCCAGCGCGCCGCCTCCTTCAGCGTCGGCCGCATCATCGGCGACCCCTTCGCCCTGGCCACCATCTCCATTGGCATTGTGAGTGCGCCCGCCGCCTGCACGACCACTACTGACTGCCCAGCTCGCCTGGATCATCGCCTTCGTGGCCAGCATCATCTCCGCCATCCGCGGCGGCTTCCCCAACTTCGCCTGGTGGACCCTGGTCTTCATGTTCTTCTGCATCGCCGGCGTCACCGTCACTGTCGCCTCTGATGCCGAGCGCACATATCACGTTGCAGTGCGTATGCTCACCTATATACCGAGTCCTGGCTGACCCCGCAGATCGTCGGCTTCCTGGCCGCCGGCCTCGTCTTCACCACCTCGTCGGTCAACTCGCTCGTCTACTCGCCCGTCGCGCCCTTCGAGGCCGCCGCCGCCGGCTACATCCTGCTGTCCATGATTGCCGTACGTCTGCCTGCCGCCCTGCAAAACTTGACTAACTCCCCAGATTGTGTGGATCTTCTACTACGGCTCGCAGCCCGCCGCCCGCCACCGCACCTTTGTCGACTCGTACGCCCTGCACAAGGAGACCCCCGGCTCGCGCTCGTCCCGCCCCATCTCCAACGGCTACACCAACCGCCCGCAGACCCACGTCTCCTCGGGCGCCCAGCCGCAGATGTACACGTCCGCCCAGCTCAACGGCTTTGAAACCTCGTCGCCCGTGTCCGGCTACCCCGGCGGCCCCGCCGGCGCCCAGTCGCGCACCAGCGCAGCCCCTGTCTTCGGCGGCGCGGGCCTCCCCGCCCACACCCCCGGTCACGACGAGCCCACCGACCAGGCCATCGAGTACCCGTACCGCGCCAAGGCCATCTACAGCTACGAAGCGAACCCGGACGACGCAAACGAGATTTCCTTCCAGAAACACGACATCCTCGAGGTCTCGGACGTCAGCGGGCGCTGGTGGCAGGCCAAGAAGCCGTCGGGCGAGACGGGCATTGCGCCGAGCAATTACTTGATTCTGCTGTAGTCGGACTTTGCGCGAGGAGACTGGTTCTCCGGAGACGGGTGCTCGGGTTCTCTGGTGTTGGCATGAAGATGAAGAGCGCGTGCAGCGCGGGGACACGGGGCACGTGTGCGCATGTGTGGAGCAGAGCGCCCTAATGACCGCACACGACTTTCCTTACTTAGCTTTGTACACTTCGGCTGGCGGAGCGTGAGGAGCCGCGTCCGCGTTGCGCCATCCGAGGCCCGCCACACGCCATAGCATGTCCTGCTGCGCGGCATCCCCGCGGCATCCCCGCGCGCCGCAAGCCCTGCGCCCGTCCCCAAGATCAAAGGTGTCGGCGCGCCGCGGCGCCCCGGCGTTAGAGTCTTTGGCGTGTCCTGTTCTGTCCTGTCTTGATATACCCGCACCGGCGTGTGCGCGCTGCTCTGCGGCCTTGTTGGCCCGCGTTTTTATATAATTTCTGGAACTTTTTGGATGGTTACTTTCTCTTCTGCGCCTTCATCTGCGTCTTCATCTGCGTCTTGGTCGTGTGCGTGTTGATGAGTTTAATTTTGCGGTGTTGTATTCTGCGTTCAGTCCATCACCCCCACAGGTCTGAGGGGCCCCTCCCAAAAACCCATACACCCTCCTCTAGACAACCGCGGTACGCGCAGCTGGGTCAGCAGGCCGCCGCGGAAACGTGGGCCGGAGGGTGGGGGGCGAAGTGCATGCTGTTTGGGTGTGGTGTTGTTCGGGAGGAGGGGGGATTGGGTGGGGAGGGGGAGGGTTTGATAGTGATTGCGGGATGGGGTTGCAGTGGCAGATGAGTTTACCGTGGGCAGTGGCGTTAGGTTGTTTATTTGGGTGTTTTGTGGCGTACAGGGAGGGATGTTTAGATGTTTGGGTGGGATGGGGACACAACACTGGCTGGGGGCGGTGGGGGGTGGGTACTCATAGTACGTATTTGAGAGTGTTTTTGTCTGTGTGTGCTGGAGTTTATTCGTCCTGGATCTCTTCATCCTGAATCTATTCACCCTGAATCCATTCATCTTGGAACGCTAAGTTTTGTTGAGGTGTACAGTGCACACAGCATAAAGCCCTGAGGCAGAAACGTCTACTGTGTACATGTCCACTTTCCGGAGTAGACCAGGAAAGAGCTCCTCCTTTGCTGTGCCTAATGCTGACTCGCGCATTGCTAGCCTCTTTGGTCTTGATCACCCTTGCTCAGCTCTAATCGCTACACCACAACCACACCTGCATCCATGCACATCGGCTTGATGTTCGACCTTCCGTTGCGCATCGGCGACCGCGGAGCCCCGTCCCGTTCCCTAACGGCACGGCAGGGCAGGCGATCATTGATGTGCGGGCCCGGCGCGGCGTGCATGGCGCGAATCAGCGAGCACGCTCGCGTCGCTGCCTGGAGTGTAAACAAACGAGCAGCGGGCCAGACTATCCAGCCAATGCGCGGCGGCACGAAGCGCGGCTAACCTCGATTGGAACTGATCGAGTGCGCGGATGGTGACGTCGTGGCGCGCGCCAACGGCTCTGGGGCTGCATCCGGGGTCCTCGCTGTCCGGGCTGGGGCATACAAGGAGAACTGCCAGCGCGTGGGAGGCGACTAAGATATACGTCCACGAGCTTTCGTGTGCACGACGTGTTCTGGAACGATTGGCATCGGTTGACACGTGCAAGCGGAGCTGTTCCGTCAACATGGCCGCGCACGACAAGCCCGTGACTACGGTTGCAACACCAGAGAAAGGCGGGAATGAAAAGACTGTTGTTGAGGATGAGGCCGCGAGTAAAGAGGCGCAAGAGAAGGCTGAAAGCGACACCGACGGCGGCAGTCTGAAGGACTACTTCGTACGCCCTCCACACCCACTGACTCCCCTCCGCTCACCCCCCAGCGCGTCTTCACCTACGCCAGCACCGCCGACCGGATCCTCTACGCGCTCGGCTTCCTGGGCGCCATCGCCGCCGGCGCTGCGCTCCCCCTGATGACCCTGATCTTCGGGCAGTCGACCTCGGCCTTCAACAGCCAGGCCACGGGCCAGGACGGCGCCTCGTTCACCCGCGACATCAACAGGTTGGTGCTGTACTTTGTGTATCTGTTCGCCGGCCGCTTCGTCATCGGGTACCTGGGCACGCTGTGTGTTTGCATTGCCGCGGCGCGCACGACGTGCGCCCTGCGGAAAGACTTTCTGGAGAAGCTGCTGCGGCAGGATATTGCGCACTTCGACCGCGCGGGGAGCGGGAGCGCGGCCAGCCAGGTGACGACCAGTAACGCATCTTCCGTCTGTACCTTTTCTGGGCGTGGCGCTGACACGCGCAGATGGCAACCGCATCAACCAGGGCATCGCGGAGAAGCTGTACACGTGCGTGCAGGGCATCTCGCTGTTCTTCTCGGGCTTCATTGTCGCGCTCGCGGTGCAGTGGAAGCTCGCGCTGATCGTGATGAGCATCATCCCGGCGATTTTCCTGATCACGGGGTTCTGCATTGGGCTGGATGCGCCGATTGAGGCGCGCGTGGTGAGTGCAGCGCAGTCTCGCGGTCTTGAAGGGGCTAATCCGCGCAGACCAAGATCTACTCGCAGGCGGGTACGCTGGCGCAGGACGCAATCAGCTCGATCCGCACGATCCATGCGTTTGGCGCGCACCAGAAGATCGTCGACCGGTATGAGACGTACCTCCAGAAGGCGCACAAAGAGGGGAACAAGAAGTCGGTCATCTACGGGGTTTTGTTTTCCGGCCAGACGTTCCTGGTCATGTCGGGCACGGCGCTCGCGTTCTGGCAGGGCTTCCGCATGTTCAAGAGCGGCGAGATTGGCGACGTGGGGACTGTGTTTACTGTCGTGCTGAGCGTGGTTGTGGGCGCGACGGCGACGCTGCTGATCTTCCCGCAGTTCCAGGCGCTCACGAACGCTTCGTCGGCGGCGGGCGAGTTGTTCGCGATCATTGATAGCCCGGCGACGCTCGATCCGCTCTCGGCGGAGGGACTGGCGCCGGCCGACTGTCGAGGCGATATCAAGATTCACGACCTGCGCTTTGCGTATCCCACGCGGCCGACTGCTCAGGTCCTGCGGGGCCTGGACTTGTCTATCCCGGCTGGCAAGACGACCGCTTTGGTAGGACCAAGTGGCTGTGGGAAATCGACTCTCGTAGGTCTCCTGGAGCGATGGTACAGTCCCGCCTCTGGTCAGATCCTGTTCGACGGCCGTGACATCACCGAATACAACACAAAATGGCTGAGGAGCAACATTCGCCTGATCCAGCAAGAGCCGACTCTCTTCCAGGGGACGATCTACGACAACATTGCCAAGGGCCTGATTGGTGACCAGAAGGACCTCCCGAAAGAGACGCAGATGGAGATGATCCATGAAGCGTGCAAGAACAGTAACGCGCACGACTTCATCGACGCACTCCCCGAGGGCTACGAAACGCAGGTGGGCGAGCGCGCGAGCATGCTGAGCGGCGGCCAGCGCCAACGCATTGCGATCGCGCGCAGCATTGTGTCGAATCCCAAAGTCCTCCTGTTCGACGAAGCGACCAGTGCACTCGACCCACGCGCAGAGAAGGTCGTACAGAGCGCCCTTAACCGCGTCTCCATCAACAAAACCACCCTGATCATCGCCCACAAGCTCGCCACCGTCATGGCGGCCGACAACATCATCGTCATGAAGGACGGGCTTGTTTTCGAGCAGGGCACGCACCACGACCTCCTCGAGCGCGATGGGTTGTATGCCGCGATGGTGCGCGCGCAAGATCTGGGCACGAAGGCGAACGACGAGGATCTGCAAAAGCAGCTGCTGGAGACCGAGAACGTCGAGGAGACGCTCAATCGCAAAGCCACGCTCCAGCGGACGCGGTCCCAGTACGACACGCAGGCGCTAGAGCGCGAGGTCGAGCAGCTGGCCGCTGGCACGCTTGGATATTCTCTCGGCAAATGCGTGTGGATCATGCTCAAGGAGAACCTGGATCTGTACTACTGGTACGCGGCCACCATTATCGGGGGGATCATCGGCGGCGGCACGTTCCCGGCACAAGCCATCATCTTCTCGCGCCTCGTTCGCGTCTTCACGCTGCAAGGCGATGAAGCACAGGAACAAGCCAACTTCTGGGCGCTGATGTTTTTCGTGCTGGCGATTGCGAATCTGTTTGCATACTTTACCATCGGCCTGGCCTGCAACGGCATCGGGCAGACCCTGACGCATCGCTACCGCAGGGAGATGATCGAGCGCATGATCAGCTTCGACCAGGACTTCTTCGACCGGCCGGAGAACTCCTCGGGTGCGTTGACGTCGAAGTTGTCGTCTGCACCGACATCGCTGCAAGAGTTGATGTCCGCAAATCTGGGTCTTATGTTCAACATCCTGGTCAACATCACGGGGAGCAGTGTGCTAGGCATAGCCTTTGGCTGGAAGCTGGGACTCACGCTTGTGTTTGGTGGATTGACGATTATTGTTGCGGCTGGGTACTATCGCATCCGCCTCGATCAGAAGCTCGAGGCTGCCACGGAGGAGCAGTTCTCAGGCAGCGCGGGACTGGCGACGGAAGCCGTCACGTCGATTCGGACAGTCAGCATGCTGACTCTCGAGACGTCCGTTATGAAGCAGTATAGCGACACACTCCAGGACATTACGAACAAAGTCATCCGCAACCTCGTCTTCGCGCTCATCCCGTATTCGCTCTCGCAGTCCGCGGACTTTCTGGTCATGGCGCTGGGCTTCTGGTATGGAGCGCAGTTGATCGCGAAGGGCGAGTACGATGTAACGCAGTTCTTCGTCATCTTCATCGCCATCGTGTTCGGCGGGCAGGGCGTCGCTCAGTTCTTCTCATACAGCACATCCATCACCAAAGCAAAGGGCAGCGCAAACTACATCCTGTGGCTGCGAACCGTCAAGCCCAACATCGGCGAATCACCCGAGACCGAGGGCAAAGGGCCTGAATCCGACGGCACCATTGCAATGGAGGACGTCGAGTTCCGGTACAAGCAGCGCAACGCTTCCCGCGTCCTGCGCGGAATCTCCATGAAAATCACGCCTGGCACATTCGCCGCCTTCGTCGGGCCCTCCGGCTGCGGCAAGAGCACCGTCGTCTCGCTCCTCCTGCGCTTCTACGACCCCATCTCCGGCCGCATCACCCTCGACGACCACGACATCTCCCTCATGTCCCCGCAACTCTACCGCCGCTACATGTCGCTCGTGCAGCAAGAACCACCGCTCTACCTCGGCTCCGTGCGCGAGAACATCGCCCTGGGCCTCGCGCACGACCCGTCCGACCAGGAAGTCCACGAAGCGTGCCGCCAAGCCAACGTCCTCGAGTTCGTGGCGTCGCTCCCAGAAGGCCTCAATACGCCGTGTGGCTCCAAGGGGCTGCAGTTCTCCGGTGGCCAGAGACAGCGCATCGCGATCGCGCGCGCACTCATCCGGCAGCCGCGCCTGCTGTTGCTGGACGAGGCGACGTCGGCGCTGGACACGCAGAGCGAGCGCATCGTGCAGAAGGCGCTGGACGAGGCGGCGGTGTCGCGGACGACGATTGCGGTGGCGCATAGACTGTGAGTTCCTGATTTTCGTGCTGTTGCGTGGGAGATATGCTAATGTGATCCAGGAGCACGATTCGACATGCAGATGTCATCTTCGTCATGGAGGATGGCAGGATTGCGGAGATGGGGACGCATGAGGAGTTGCAGCGGCTGAGGGGCAGGTATTTCGCGACGTGTTTGGCGCAGTCGCTGGATCAGGCGTGAGTGCGTTTGTAGAAAGGATGGAGTGGTTGTGCTCGACTCCGCTCTACTGTATACCATTTTAATTAGAGAGATCGCAAAGAGTAACATTCTCGGGTTGAGTATCGCGAGCATGGTGACGCGAACGAGCTGACGGATGAAGATTTGACTGTACAGATGTCAGTTGTGAGTACAGACTTAAATATGCATTCGATACACAAAACCGAAAACAGTTGCGGGATCATACACAGATTATCGCGGTCGCGTGAGGCGGCGCCCAGCACGCGCTCTGATTGGCCCACACCCACCCCCGAGCCATCACTAGCGCGCAAAATCTCGACGCAAATACCTCGCACAGCTCCTTCCTTCACAGTCCCGCACGTCCACTATCGCCCTCTCCACCGCCAAAATGCCCATCTCCAAGAAAGCCAGAGTATGTACCTTCATACCGCCAGTGCTGCGTGTGCGTGTGTACCTAGATGGCGAGCTAACGCCCAACAGGTCCAGCGCGAGCACAAGGCCGCCGAGAAGGCGGGCACGCGTGCGCCCGTCAAGGCGAACGGATTGCCTGTCAAGGCGCCCAAGCCGACGGCTATTGTACGTTTGCACCAGCCAATCTCTCTTGCTTGCAAGCAGCCTTGCGAGCAGCGAGACCTGGAGTATAGAAACACGATCCCGTGCTAACGTGTCCCGTGCCGCAGTGCCAGAACTGCCGCAAGGAGATGGTGACGACCAACAAGCCGCAGATGGAGGCCCACGCCCTGACGCACGACCAAAAGACCTGGACCAAGGAGAAGTGCTTCCCGGGCGAGTTCTAAGCGCTCCGAGTCAATTATCCTGGGGGCCCGGGCGGTGTGTGCGCGGTCTTCTTGCTTTGTCGTTTCTGCTCGATATCACTGCGTTTTAGACTCATGGCAATTTCATCTCGGATTCTTCTGCGTTGCTTTGAGATTGTTTGCGCGATTGTGCCTTGAGGTTTGTTCGTGCGAGCTGAGGAGGTGGCTGCTAACTGGACTCGTTTCTGGCGATGCGGAGTGCAGGGGAAAGCGCGAGGTGAGGCCTTGCAGATGTGCGTGTCTGGTACTCGAGAGTGAATGGCCTCGGTACAGCGTCTCGGCGTCACTTGGAATGTCGAGCGGGGATTCAGCGTCCTTCTCGGGGGATATGGCGCTTGTGTAATCCGCTGGCCAGAATATGGAGTGAAGAAATGCCTAATACTCCAGGCGACGACTCCAAAATATGCAGACGATCAGATACTACATCAGCCCATGAAGTTCAACCGGGCCTTTTCAGGATAAGTTCTATGGCCAGACCTGGGACGGTAAACTTGCGGAGTGTCGGGCTACTTATTCTTTTCGAACACTGGCCATCTCGCACAATCTCGATTTCCATACAGACTTGCCAGACTCCCAGTAGCCATACGGGCGTTGTTAGGCCACGGCAGATTGCAAGCGGTAGCCTTTACACAGCCGGCTTTGGTACTGTAAACTCACAGTAGAATTGTGCTTCCTGCACCGCTCTTGCCAAGGTGTACCTGCAGTGCGGGATATCCCGCAGCATGCTGTTGGCAGTGCTATATACGTACTAGCGAACAAGTTCACCACCGAATGACATCCCTGTCCCTGACTGGCGATGTCGACGAAGAGCATTGACACCTCCGATAATGTTCGGTCGAACCGACAATGTACGATGAAACCGTCAACAGCTGCTGTCTAAGAACTTTGGCGTTAATCCGGTTGTTCTTATCGTCGGACAAGCAATGATCGCCCAACTGCCGCCGAGCCAAATTACCGCCGTCCATGCTGGGTTAGGACTTTCACCATTCGAGCAGCCCGGAAGCCACATGGCCACGGGACTTCTCCATCGGTATACTACGACGCTATCAGCCCTACGCCGTAGCCTAACCCTGCTGACTGGCATCGCTTGCACCGAAAGCCGAAAGATCGTTGTACTAGGTGCTTTGTACATCAACCCCTAGTCGACTGCACAGCCAGGACATCTAATTCAGCAACGTAGCCGCATCTCTCACAAACAAGTCGGTATACTCTTTCTTGCCATCTACAAATGTTTCCAACTTTCTGTATAGATCGTGGATACTCAACGTATCTCAAGTTCCTATATGACTGAACTGGCGTTTTCATATATGTGACTTGAAAGAAGATATGTTCGAAGCTTGAAGGGTCGGAATTGTAACTCCGCGCTAATCTGTTTCTGGTAAACCCTTAGATGTGCAACCCTTAGTTTACCCGGACAGTCCTGGACATACTGCTTTACAAACGAGCTCTGGACTGGCGTCACGGTCAATCGCGGTCATTCAGTAAGTGTTTATGGGCTGACAGCAAAATGTTCATTCCATGGCGAATTGCGTCCATTAATCACAATGTAACAACATCTTGCCCGACGAAAAATCTCAGGTTGCTTGCGCACAAGAGCAGATGTTGGGTATTAGAATGAACAGACCTGGATGCTGTCTTGGTTTGTTGATCATGACGTTCGTGCTTCTCGGGGTCGGTCTCGGTTTCGGCAATACCATTAATCTCAACCAATGCTCTAGTCCTTGGCACGGTGCCAACCCAGAAGTCAGTCTTGTTAGCTTCCATTTCAGTGTCCGATATTCATCGGCTTCAATTTCGTCACTCTGTATATATGTTGGGATTTCGACGATATGTTTGATCATGCTTGGGAACAATTCTCAATTGCCACTTCTGCAAAACATGGCCTCCCGCTGGGCTATTCTTCCAGTCTTTACCTACTTCCTCCAAAGCTCGTTTGCGCAGGCCAACAACTCGATTGTCTCGATCCCGTATGAGCTTACTTACAAGCTGCCGGAATTCAATGGCAGCATCTTCCATTCCTTTGTAAATGGCACACAAACTGCGGATCCAGAAGTAAACAGCCTTTTCAAGTCCGCAACCCAGGTGCCATTCATCTCATTTGACGATGAGTTCCTCGCGCTCCTGGGATCAAACCCGGACCCGGTCCTGATCGAAGAGAGGCAGTCGAACTTTGCCGGCGAAGCTGGTGTCTGGATCAAGGAGCGCAACGAGGTCTGGTACACCACCTGGATCAACGACGGACCCACTCACGTTGAGATTTTGAACCTCACTGATAACACCATCCGAAACCTGACCTCCTCGGAGCCTCTACGAAATCCCAATGGCGGCTTTTACCACAAGGGCCTTATGTACTTCACCTGCCTGCAGGATGCGTCCCGAAACTGGCAAGGCGGAGTTGTGTCCGTCGATCCCGCAACAGGCAAGGTCGAGACCGTATTGAACTCGTACTTTGGACTCCGCTTTGACAGCATCGACGACGTGGCTTGGGTCACACAACCCGGCACCGACAAGGACTACATGTTCATTACCATTCTGCCGTTTGCCGATGGCACCAACTCAAACGACACTCTTCCCCAGGGTCTGTGGCGATGGGATCCGCAGGAAAAGCTCCTTCTACCTGCCATCAGTCGAACTGAGTTTCCCGTTGCAAACGGAGTCCGACCTTCGAGAGATTCGAAGTCACTCTGGGTCACCGATTTCGGCGGTGAAGAACGCAGCAGGATCTGGGGTCTGCCTTCCAAGGTCGGCGCGCCAGCCATCTACAAATACGAGCTCGACGAGAACATGTGGCCCATCAACAAGCGGATCTTCGGGATTACAAGGATGCAGGCTCCGGATGGAATCCGTGTGGACGACAAGGGCAGGGTCTGGACTGGCGAAGGCGAAGGCGTGGTCGTTCGCTCGGCTGCTGGAAAGGTTATTGGCATCTTCAACGCTCAGTTCTTCACCAGGGATCCAGTCAACATTGCTATTGTGCAGTTTGAACTTGCCGGCGACAGATTGATCATCCTTGGCCAGAACAAGCTCTGGTCGATCAAGGTTTCTGAAGTACTGGCCAGTAGTTAGTGGTTAGTTTCGTGAAATTGTTAAGTGATTCTCTGTAAATGATTTGGGCAGTGACGCTGCACCTTCCACAGTACAGTGAATACCTTTGTCGAACGGGCCGTTGGCCCTGACTGTCCGGGTAAGAGCTTGTCCGCCCAGACCCGGCATCGCAACGAGAGCTAATATGAATAGTGTAGCAACGACGTGATTCATATTTCAACAAGTCGTGTGATCAAAAGTAGCTCGTAGATATCCGCTGTTTTGATCGTAGACAACAACAAACGCCTTTTGTCTGCAACAACTCTAACCAAGAAGCATCTAGGCTCCCGTACGAAGTAGACCCGAGGAGGAAGGTGGGTCTAGGCTAGGTAGTTCCGAAAATAGAATGGCCCATAAATGCGCGTAGCCACACGTTAGGCAACGACTTTACACCCGTCCTTTTTAAGCGCGATAGTAAGTGCGTTCCCTGTTCTTCTCCTAGAATCACTTCAGACATTTCAGGATAGGCTCTCTGTCAGACAAGATCTTGGAAAGTAGAAGCGCAGCTACCACAGACCCTGCTGAGTGAAGAATTCTACTTCCATCCAAGCTGAGTTTCGCATCGAGCAGCGTGCCTATTCGCGCACGCCACTACATCTCAGCAAGAGCAATGGAGGTTGAGACAGGCATGTGCTCTATCGACGAGCTCCCGGACGAACTTCTAGTCGCCATCGCGGCTGAGTTCCAGGTCGAGCGCGGATATCTTGTGGACGCGGACGCTGAGGAGGGCCGTCGTAGCAGAAACGCAGTCATCGTTTACAGCCTGCATGCGCTGGCCTTATGCTGTCGGCGGCTCAACGCTATCGCCACTCCCTCCCTGTATCAGTGCATCATACAGACTAAGCGACTCATGCCCTTGCTGATACCGACGCTTCTGCACAATCCCCATCTCGGTCAGCATATTCAGTACATCGAGATTACAGATGATGAGCATGGTAACGCTGAGATGTATACCTGGAAGCTGTTTGAAGGTTTCGACCAGCCTACCCGCGACAAGTACCTCGAGCGTATGAAAAGCGCAAAATGGATTGTTCCTACATGTGACTTTGTGGCAGATGCTACCGTCCAGGCTGAGCAGAACTCGCCCACAAATGGTCTGTCCAGAATCTCCGAATCAACGCTTCGATGGATACAACAGATGATTAAGTCAAAGACCAAAGACAGCCTTGTTGTTCTGCTTTCACTCGCGGATAATCTCCAGGATGTCGCGATTGAAAACAATATCAACCAGGGCTACATGGAAATCCTGGCATTGACCTACTTTGCCAGGCCAGACGCTTTCAGAAGACTCTGGGTCTGTAGCGATTACTACCAAGGGTGCAGGGGCTACAGGCTACAGTACATGTGCTCAGATGCAAAGGGTTCTGGTGGATGCCTCGCCCATTACCTCCTTAGACTTTTTCTGCCCTATCATGTCCGTTGTGAACTTGAGATGTCTTCCGCAATATTAATGGAGGAAGTGTCTTTCACAATGCAGGTTCATCTTGAAAGCCTCATACATACGCATATGGAGCGCTGTACTTCACTAAGAAGTTTCAGCTGCCGATGGTCATGGACGAATAGAATCAGCCCAGATTATGATGTCGAGCTGCCCCAGATCCATCATTCCTTGTCGAAATTCCAGGACAGCCTGACCCGTCTTACCATTGATACCACTGATTTGGCGCCGTGGGGTACGCTCAGCTCGTTCGTACCGGCACTTGGTAGCCTGCGCAGCTTTAAGGTTCTGGCGTTTGTGGAAGTCACTGCTCTTGTGCTCTGGGGTGAAGGCGATTTCTGGGATCAAGGCCCGTTGTCTGAACTTTTGCCTGAGTCTATTGAGCATCTGATCCTCAAGACTGAGTGGGATGAAGACATTGAAGAAAAGTTGGACCAAATGAGCTCGGAATGCACTACCTATCTGCCTAAATTGAAGAAAGTGGAGTGTACTTGGAGGCCTGCATCCGGCTTCATTGCAGATCTGTTGATCGATGCTTGTCGTTTAGCAGGGGTTGATCTCAGACTCAGCGTCGAAGAGTCTCAAGATCTTGAGAGCAAGCACTAGTACCTGAGAGAGCCAGAGAGATATGTTTGGATTCAATGCAATGGGCTCTGCGAAGTTTCGTGTTATTCTGTTTGTACTGTGACCTTGTGCCTGACGCTGCGGCAACGTCAATTCTTATAACACCACTTGGCGCTTCGTTACCTCCAAAGAATAGAATACCAATTCAACAGTCCGATTGTATTCAAACAAACGCGAGCTGGAAGGCATTCTCCAGTGTGCTGTGAGTAGTAAATCAAAGCCTTACTCTACACGGTTCACGCATAATCAACACAGCCCTATATTCACCTCGTGCTAAGTGATTGAGATATATAGGAGGGTTCCGATGATGTCCTGCCGTTTAGAATTGACCGTCAATTACTTTGTTAACGAGAGGATGTTCAAGATGTAACCTTTTCTTTTACAACCCTGCTTCTCGCTTCTTGCTCCAGTGGCATACCGGCACATAGAGTGTTGCGATCTAGCCTCTGGCTACGAGCTCCTAAACAATACTATCCAAAGCGTCAAGCGCCTGATTCAAGATGTAACTATCGTATCCCGGTTGCCCTGACGCATACAACGGATCACTCGCGACCTGCTGGATAGCAGCTTCTTCTGTCATAATCCGTCTCTCGGATCCATGATGACCCCACTGACGTTGGAATGATTCATAAGCCTCATCATATTCACGTTTCAGGGCACCGAGTTTTGCATTTGCATCAGCAAAGAAAGACCTGGAACCCTCTGGTGCGGTGATGTGTTCCCTGTGCTCACTGTGGTTGATCACATGCGTCGTGAATTCTCCAGGGTGATTGAATATCACCGAGCAGCGGGGCGCTGTGCATTGGAATGGCGAGTGGTGTCCGCAGAAGTGCTCTCTTTCTATGGCTGCTATGAGCATGACCACAATCGTGTTCTGAAACCGGAAGTACTGAAGTCTTTTGTGTTTTGAATATTCGTACGCACCCAGGGGCCCACGAAATCTCTTGACCGGTAACAAAATCCTCGGTTCCAGCTCGTTCGGGCCTTCCTTCCACTTGTCGGTGACGTCAGATGTCGTAGTATCCGGGCTTTGGTGCCAGATACTTCTTTCTGCTCGGCGGTCGCGGCGCCCCGATGTCTTGAGCAGAGAAAGTGAGACCTCCGTGTTACGACCACACATGCGAGCGAGCCCTTTGAAGGCTTCGGGTGTCAGGCTACCAAGTGGACGCAAAAAGTTGTTGCATTGAATCATGACCCGGACGATTCGAGGAAAGCACGCGTGCAGTCTTTGCCAGAAGTCGTAGAAGCATTGTTCCACTCGTTCTGCTACTCTTTTTTCATCCTCGAATCCATATTGGAAGTCCCCAAAAGTATCACCCGTGACATGATGGTTCCACAGCCAGTAATCTTCTTCCAGGGAGCTAAACTGGACTTCCAGTTGCTCAACCATCTGTAGAAATTGCATGTCGTATGGTGCATCGCCAGGGAAACAGCCTTTGTGTATCCAGGTTGCATCGATGCAGTACCAAGTATCTGTGCATGAGAAGAACCGCCTATTCGCCTCAGACCGGACGTGCGATGATGTATGCATGAGGCTGAAGAGCGTTTGATTGTCGCAAAAGCTGAGGATTCGAAACTGCAACTCTGTCGGTAGTTGCAGAAATTGCGGAAAGTCGCGTCTCGATGATTGTTTTGCTATTGTCGGACGGACAAAGTGTGAGAAGGGAATATGCAGTTCCCCTTCGTTCGTGCTGCGTACATTCATATCGAGCGGCCTTTCCCATGCATACTTGGGAATTGCTCGATACATGAAGTTGGAAGTGCGCAATGTCCTATGTAGAGATTGGACTTGAGAGATGTGGCCCTTACGATGTGTAATGCGAACCAAGACGACCTCCTCAGGACTGAAGCGTGATCGTGTCAGATCACAGCTTGGGTGTTATAATGCGTTTCGATTCGATTCGATGCTATCAAGGGATGCATTGGATGATGTAGAAACTGTAAGGCTATAGCGTCGTTTGAGGGTACGATAGTTACTGTACGACCCGTTGCTGCCTAACTTAGCCCCGCTTTGTCCCGCGCTTAAACACGAGCGCAACAAGAGAGCACGACCCTTCTCTCTTGTTCTTGCCTGGGTAGTGAGAGTAAGAGATTAACAGAGGATACTCATTCCCGTAGGTCATACCAGTCACGTAGTGTAAGAATACTGTTCATGAGTCTTGAGAGAGAGATGTATTGAAAATGACTAAGCTGATTTAGTATCTAGCGTCTAAAGAGATGTTCTACTGTTGTATCGAAAACTAGGACATTCGGTGTCGATAACCCTTAGGCTGTGTCTCCAAGTTTCTCTGCAAACCAACTGACAAGATGGCTAGCTGTGGGATGACTCCATGTCAAAGTGGGCGGCACCTTAACTTTAAGTGTCTGCTGCAGTTGTCGTCTCAAGGACACGGTCATGACCGAGTCAACTCCTAGATCCGAAAGCGCTGCACGTGAGTCGACCTCTTCGGTCGGCAGCCCAAGTACCGTACCAATGCATGTGCGAATCTTTTCGTCAAGATACGCATTGAGCTCAGGTCCTGCCTTGGGTAGGCCACCAGCACCACCATTAGCTTTACCATCATCATTGAACGAGGAAGACTTCTCGCTGGTCCGTCTCATGACGATGTCGCCCAGAATGGCGGATGGGAGAGGCTCCCCTTCGTCAAGCGCAAGACTCCGCAGAACCACGCCGTGGTCGATGTCATACTTCGCCAAATGAACCCACGCGGCGAATGCCTCGTCACGCGTGACGTCCGTGATTCCCTTGCTCTCGAGTTCGGCGTTGATGAAATCCGTGCTCGCGCCCATGCCCATGCCACGCCAGCTAGTCCATTGGAATGCCACAGCGCCCTTGTCGCCATGTGCGCGACGATATGTGGCAAGAGAGTCAAGGAAGGAATTACCGGCACCGTAAGAAGATTGGCCAGTGAAGCCGACCAGCTGACCACAGGACGAAAACAGGACAAAAAAGTCAACCGATTGTGGTGGGAAGACTTCATGAAGCACCATGCCACCTACCACCTTAGGTGCGAGAACCTTTTTGAAAGCTGCCTGTGTAGTGTCCAAGGCAAGCTCATTTTCAAGGACACCCGCGGCATGAACGATACCTCGGACTGGTGGAAGGCTAAGATCTTCGAGGCGTGCCCGTAAAGCATCAGCCGCACCAGCAACAGAAATGTCCAGAGATAAAATGTAGACAGTCGCGCCCTGAGCTTCAAGTGCGCGGATAGCGGCCACGACAGGCGCGAGCGACGCGTCTGCGGTGTCCCAGGTACTCCTTGGAGGCAGACCACGTCGCGAATTGAGCACAATCCTGCGGGCACCCTGCTCGACCAGAAATCCTGCCACGGCGAGACCTAGTGCTCCTAGACCACCAGTGATCAGATAGGTGCCATCAGGCTTGGGGAGTAGCTGATTCTTGCGTGTTGAAGGGAGGAGAGCGCTTCGCGGCAGGCTGCGTAAGAGTGCAGTGCGGGGGACGCCATCACGTATGCGGATGATGTCAGCTCCCTGAACGTACCGCATCTCTGTCAGTGGAAATACTGTAAGTTCAGTGTCGATCAGGCCTCCAAAGTGTTCCGGATGCTCGCTGGCAAGAACGCGACTAAGTCCAATGAGTGGTCCATGAGCAAGTGCAGTGGGCGTCTCCGTCTCGAGGATGTGAGGTGTAACGACGAAAAGTTTGACGGGAAGGCTGTTGTTCACGACGAACTTGAGGACTTCCAGAGTGCGCCAAGTGTATGTCTCCGATGCTGTTTCAACGTCCGACAAAGAGGAGATCGTTCCAGGAACATATACCACTGCAGTACCCTTCGAAATGGAACTAGAGATGCTGCTCAAGTCTTGAGGGGCAGACAAAAGGGTTGTCTTAACCCTGCTCGGTATACTTTTCGTGTATTGATCGGCTGTCGACTGATCATCGCACACCAGGACAATGTGATCAACGACCAGCGGCTCTTCCGCCAATGTCGCTGGTGGCCATGCAATTCGGTGCACCAGGCTTTCCATGCTTCCACTTGCTCCCGGGGTGCCTTCAATTTCCGAGAAGCGCATCGACGTGAACTTGGCCAAAACCTCGCCGGCGTCGTTGAGCACGCTTACATGCGAGGCCAGATCGGCTCCTGTCGCTTTTTGTACGTATAGCCAGCCAATCTTAGGGGGATTTTGCTTGGTGAAGATGTCCACACGCTCGATCTGAGCAGGCATGCGTAGTCTTGGTTCATCGAAAAAGACCGTCGAACCGACCGACGTTGCGGCATCTAGGATCGGCGCCCAGGAAGATGGATCCCACGGTAATTCACCGTCGACAGCAACGTCTGGGGCGACGTCAACCCGAGCAATCATCTCTGAGGTGTTGCCATAATGCTGGGTTACCGCCCAAGGAAATCCCATAGCCGAAACGCCGACTTTGTCAAGATAGTCAATGGAGAAGTTGTCGGCAAGTTTTGTACCAATACGAGTTTTCACAGCCTCGATGTCCAGATGTAAATCCGAACTAGCGAGCGGCTTCGAGTTCCACTGGGCCGTGGTATGGGTCACCCAGGACGAGGATCCACCAGCATCGCCATTGTCTTGGATCAAGCGCGACACGAGCTTTACTTCGCCAGGGCGGGATATGATCTGGACCGACCGTGGAGCGTTGATGGCAACAGGGGTACGAAGAACAATATTGAAGAGGGCAGACGCGCCAGTGCCCTTGAGGAACGTATTGATGAGACCGGCAGCAGGCACGATTTCCGTTCCATGTAAGGGGTGACTTCCAGGAAATGGCTTACTATCATTGTCAAGCTGTGTTGTGTACACAATCGAGTCGGTACCGGCGATGTCGAGTCTTTGACCCAGCAAAGTATGTTTCTCCACGTCATGCAACTGTGAAGAGCTCACTGGGCCAGACTCGATCTTACGCCACACGGGTCGGTGCTGCCAAGGCGTTTTTGGTACACCTCCGGCCCATGGACCGGGTACAGCGGTTTTCCAGTCGATTTCTACACCCGTACAATGGAGCTGGGCAATAGCGTTCATGATGGATTTCTGGCTGGGCTTATTTCGAAGGACTGTAGGGATCATAGAGAAGTCCTCGATGCCTGCATGCATCAAAGTTTCGCTTATCGAATGAGAGACCAATGGGTGAGAAGATATCTCAAGGAACACGCGGTAGTTGTCTTCTACCGCAGCCTGAACTGCCGAAGTAAGATGAACGGGATTTACCATGTTGTTCACCCAATAGTCTGTTGTCCGTAGGTCTTGACCGCGAGGATCTGCAAGAGATGTAGAGTAAAGCTTGACGTGACCTGCACGTGTCGGCGACAGTGCGCCTTCCAGTACCTTCTTGAAGGGGTCGATGAGGTCGTTCAACGTAGGCGAATGAAACGCGATGTCACTTTTGACAAACATGACCTTAATTGAGCGACTCTTAAAGTCTTCCGCGGCCTTTGCGATGGCCTCGACAGAGCCGGCCACGACGCAAGACGAAGGAGAGGAGTCTATCGCTGCAGCAAGATCGTCTCGGCCTTGGATTTCTGCAGCAATCTCTGCAAAAGGCTTGTTGACAAGGATCATAGCTCCTTTGCCCATGTGCTGGCGGTATAGAACAGAGCGTCTTGTGACGATAATGGTTCCTTCTTCGCGCGTCAAAGTTCCACCGATGACGCTCGCTGCGATCTCGCCGACAGAGTGTCCAATGACAGCTTTGGGATACAGACCACGGTGATTGAGTACGGCACTGATACCGATTTGCATCAAGTAGGTTAGAATCTGAACCTCGTCCGAGGAACCGAAATTTCCCTCTCGAAGCAATGAGATGGGTGATACACCTATCTCTGTCTTGACAATCTCATCAAGGGGTAGGATAGCATTGTAGAAGGCGGGGTTCTTGAGGAGTTCCTTGCCCATCTCAGGCCATTGTGCCCCATGACCCGAGAAGACCCATACCATGTCCTTGTTGATTTCGTTCCCTAGGATACGACCCTGAGTAACGTTGGCGCTTTTCTTGCCGCTACTGATTGTTTCCAGGACTTCAATTGCATGATCATGGCTGTCGACGACGAGTGCCGCTCGAAACTCATGATGATCGCGGCGTGATGCTAGGGTGGAGGCTATGTGTGCAAGACGATGCTCCCGACTAGCATCGGACTCCATCCATTTCTTCAGAGACAACGCTTGAGCAGTCAAACGTTTCTCTTGCGGTCCGGAAATTAGAATCAATGCTGGTTCATCGATCTCGGCTTCGAACAGCGCTGAGTTCGACAGGTCATGGGCGCCAGAGAACTGTTCAATTATGGCATGTGATACTGTGCCGCCGTATCCGTAGGAGCAAACAGCCGCGCGGCGCAGCCCTTCTTCGCTAGGCCATTTGGTGGTTTCTTGAACGACTTGGAGACCAGAGTTTGCCCAGTCAATTTTACTTGTGAGCTTCTCGAGATTAGCTTGAGGAGCTAACATGCCTTTGTGTACGGCCATGACAGCTTTGATGAAACCCATGGTACCAGCACCAGCCTAAATCAAATTGTCAGCTCTAAGCCTTTTAAACAAGAACTTGCAATGTTTCTCATGAGACAGAGGGGAACAGAGAGTCCTATCATCAGCGAAAACGGAGTAGGGAAGAGCAGACAATATATAGAAGAGAGGTCGGGATGCAACTTACCTCTAAGTGACCAATATTGGGTTTCAGACTTCCGATGTAGCATGGCTCACTCTGAATACGATCTTTTCCGTAGACAGTAGCAAGAGCCGACACCTCGGTGGGATCCCCAAGTGGCGTCGACGTCGCATGTGCTTCAATGTATCGGATGCTGGAAGGGTCTACGCCAGCTACTTTCAGCGCTTTTTTGGCCACTGTCTGCTGAGCCATGCCGTTGGGAGCCATTATGCCGGCCGTCTTTCCATCTTGTCCGACCGCAGTTCCCTTGATGACGGCGAGAATATGATCCCCATCTCGAATAGCCTGAGAGATGTTCTTCAGAACCACAGCTCCAACACCTTCGCCACGGCCGTAGCCGTGTGCTGAGTCGTCGAAAGATCTGCATCGGCCTTCTGGTGAGACTGCCCCAGCCTTGTCCAGGACCCGCACCATACCGGGTGCGGACATTGCCTGGACGCCTCCTGCAATAGCTATGCTACTCTCGCCAAGAAGAATTGCTTGTACACCATGATGAACAGATACAAGGCCTGATGCGCAAGCTGCGTCCACGGCCGTAGAGGGTCCAGTGAGATTGAGATGGTATGATATCCGATTTGGTACACCGCAGTACGCTGTCCCGATGCCCATGTTATGTTCAATATTGGGTAGATCTTCGAGAAGCAATCTCGAGTAATCATCTGAGTTGACGCCCCAAAAGACGGCTGTATCGGTTCCAGAAAGACTTTTGGCAGGGATTCCACTGTCTTCTAGGGCTTCGTACGCTACTTCAAGAGAGATCCTTTGCTGAGGGTCTGTCTGCTCTGCTTCTTTAGGTGATATACCAAAAAAGGCACTGTCAAAGTCCTCCAGTCTATCAAGGAAGTATCCTTTCACAGTCGCTTGTTTTAAGACTTTGGGGTTTCGTACGTCGCGACGTTCATACGGTTCCCACCGCATAGGCGGTATATCTCCAGAGAAGTCTCTTTTCTCGAGGAGAGACTTCCATAATTGTTCTGGATCATTGTTACCGCCAGCTACGCGGCAGGCCATGCCAATAACGGCAACATCGCTTCTGGTAGACTGCCACTATCATCAGCAATTTACAGACTGCTAAACCTTCTTTGACTCACAAATTGACTATACTCGGTATTAGGGGTACCGGGTGTTGATGCTTCGCGCTTTGGGGACTTCTCAAATGATGGTATGGACTCATTGGAATCCGATCCCGTACTGTGAGAAGGCATGGTAACTGAATAAGAGCTCCAAGAATATAATATTCTAAGTGTGGACCAGTATATGGTTTGTATCAAAACTATCACTTTGTTCGTTTTGAAGGAGCCTTATATGGTTCCGTTATCAAGCAGAGCATGATCATACTGTTGTAGATACAGCCGTGATCTACAATCTTTTGCTATCGCCCCAATGTTGGGATTCAAACATAGTGCACGCAAGGAGAATTCGGTCAGACCTCGAAGGAGATGGAATCTCAGCATGAGCATTGCCGCTCATTGGCCAGGACACGATTTCTGAGGTTTCACTTGTCAATAAGGAGATAGCGAAATAGCATGGGTATTTCGTGAACATGTTCGGGGAGAACCTCACGATAGACAACGCCGGGGAACACAACAAATCGGTCATGACGCTGCTAGCGGCGGTTACCGCATGCGTTACAAGCCTCATGGTCTTAATTTCAGGGCTGCAGATCTGTACGATCCTGGACGAACCTGCATTACAGCACGTAATCGCGAAGATATCGCAGCTTACAAGGATGTCGCGTATTGCAGGGTGCTTGCAGCTTGCAGGGAGGCACTAACCGAATTCGTGCTCCGATGCCCAAAGGAGCTCTCGAGTAGCATCGACAAATCTGGTTAGTCCGGGTACTCGAACATGACCTCCATTTGCAGGACTATCTCGTCTCAACAGGCTGAATTGGGTATTCCGTAAGACGAAGCCAAAACGAGGCGAGTTCTTATTATAGACTAAGTGACTTTAAAGTGTTGTGAGAGGGTACAGCAGGAGTGGAGATTTGGAGAAAATCATCAAGAAAATTGCAAAGCTGTTGCTGTTGTCGAAATTCTATTGCTCAAGATGGCACCGTTTGTTCCCTACCACTCTAGTGCAGGGCAGTCTACCATAGTCAAGTGCGTCCCCCCCCCCCCCCCCCCCCCCCCCCCCCCCCCCCCAAATTCCGCAGATCTGTGTCTCGACTTGCTGCTGATATCATACAGTTTTGGAGGGCTGCTCACAACCGAGTTTCTTGAACCTCCCCCAGGACGATGCTTTCTTTTTCGCCAAACATACCGCCATAATGTGGAGGGCCCGATTCCTGAGAACCTGAGAAAGCTGATCGATAGCCCACACAGGCCGAAAGGGCCACCCCCTCACTTTCACCAATTCCAAACTGAGTACTTTCGTGTCGAATCGGGCATTATGGGAATTTCCGTCGACGGTAAACAAAGAGTCGTCACTGCAGAAGATGGTGAAGTTTCAGTAAAAGCAGGAAGCATTCACAACTTCTTCATACACCCCACTTCTCCTGAGAAGATGACAGTCTATTTGAGTGCTTCGGATTCAGGCATGGATTTCCAGCTAGATCGTATCTTCTTCGAAAATTGGTATGGCTATTGGCATGATGCTCTTCTGCACGGCGGAGGACTGGATTGGATTCAATTTCTTGCAGTAAGTTTCCAATCGTAATGTGTCATGCCACGAGGCAGAGCTCTCTCTAATTGCCTTTGTAGATACAGGATGGTGGCGATGCTTATACGCCAGCGCCAGCATGGGTACCTTTTCGCCGACAAGTTGGGTATTGGACTTGTGTGGTGATTGGACGATGGATTGGGGGGCTCTTAGGCTACAAGCCTTTCTTTCGCGAGTACACAACCGATTGGGACTTTGCAGTCGCTAAGATGAAAGGTTCGTTCTTCCAAAGACACCTCATTAATGAGGCGTATGTTTCAGAGCGATCATGGGCACGACAAGAGCAATTGGAGGCCTCTTCCAAGCCCGAAAACGCTGAATTTGAGCTTTGGACAACAGACATTGACCCAAGACCGCTCGATCTCGGTCCTGTAGGCTACGAGAAAGGTTCTTGGAACGCAAAGAACGACCTTAAAAAAGATACGGGACTGGTCAAAAGAAAAACTAATGGCGTGAATGGTTTTGCAGCCGAGACATAGATTAGAGACTGGTTGGGAGAAAGCGGACACGAATAGATTTGGTCTCAAAGCCTCATGATCTCTGGATCTTTCGATTTCTTGATGTTATGGTCATATAACTGCATTGGTAGTTGTTGACCTCTGCCATGTCGTGTAGTGCAGAGGCACAGAGCATAACCCTCGATCGAATCACCATGGAAGATCACGGCTCACATCGAGCAGGAACGTGTTTGGGAGAGTTGATGGAGGTTTATTCCATGCTTAGGACGAAGATCTAACGCCAAAGCTTAGTATTCGATTTGGCAGCGCTTGAAGGATCTCAGCCCAACAATATAGATACATCTCTAGCTATAGACGCTGATTGCGACAAGTTCCCAGTCTCACACATGCTGACTTTCGTATTTTTTTGAAATACTTTGCTTCATTGTAAAACACGCTGTGTGTTATCGAGGACGTTGATACCAGATGGAATCCTGCCGGACCCTCCGGTCGAGCTGACAATCCTAGCTGACTCAACTTTGTCGCAAGAGCCAGTCAAGACGTCGATAAGCTCAGACTCCATAATCAGCGGAGGTAGTTGCTTACCAATATTACCGTTTTGGGCCTCGAACTCCGAGACCTAAAGGAGAAATGTGCTTGCTACATCCTAGGTGTCGTTATGTCTCAACTTGTCGCACTCGGAACCCCAAGCTGCAGGGGTGGTCTTACCAGATTGAGTTGTACCGTGAAGAGTTCTGAAAGTGGAATAGAATGCCCGTTCTCAAGTTATTGAATAGTTGGCGTATTTCTAGAAGAAACAGTAAAAAAAACAGCTGATGTATGTGTTGGATGAACTGCATCGCAACACATCATGGAGCTTCTAGCGACTGAGCACCTTATCTTGGCATTAGGGTCTGCGACTACCGCTGCAATAGTGCTATTTCTATGGTCCTGTTTTTCATCCGGTAGCCGTGATCCAAGACTACCGCCCGGTAAGCGCTCATAGCCTTTGTCTTGCAATCGATAACCCTGTTGATATCTCCTGTACAGGACCACCAACAAGCCCGTTGTTCGGTAATGAACTGCAAATCCCAAAGGCGGACGCCCACTTTAAGTGAGTCTTCTACCTCAGGCGCGACTACAAATGTACCTCACCCATCAAGACATGCTCGTACTCACAGATCATTCTAGATTTGGAGAATGGGCCAAACAGTACGGTGGGATCTTCTCGCTTAAGCGATTCAAGAACACGACCATCGTTATTACGGACCGGCGCATGATCAAAGAACTCGTCGACAAGAAGAGCAATGTCTATTCTAATCGACCGCAGTCACTGGTATCTCATCTGATCACAAATTCCGATCACTTGCTCGTAATGCAATACGGCGAAAGATGGCGGCAGCTGCGCAAAGCAGTACATCAGTATTTTATGGAGAGCAAATGTGAAAAAGACCATTGGAAGGTACAAGAAGCAGAAGCAAACCAGATGCTTTATGATTTCTTGACGATGCCAGAGGACCACATGCTTCATCCCAAGCGATACTCAAATAGTATCACCAACTCCTTGGTGTTTGGTATTAGATCAAGGAGTGTACGTGACGAGTACATGGAGAAGTTATTTTACCTCATGGAAAAATGGAGTCTCGTTCTAGAATTGGGCGCTACACCACCAGTAGACGATTTCGCGCTGCTACGATTACTACCTGAACGCATTGTTGGACGGTGGCGGACACCAGCGATCGAGGTCAGGGACCTGATGACTAGTCTTTATAAGACAGTTCTTGACCAGGTCCGTGAGCGTCGTAGTCGCGGCATCAATCGGGGCTCATTCATGGACGGCATTCTCGATGGACTGGGCAAGATGCCTATGGAAGAGAATGAGCTTCAATTCCTGGGCGGCGTTCTTATGGAAGGGGGCTCTGACACATCCTCATCGCTGATCTTGACGATCATCCAGGCATTGACAAAGTTCCCAGCAGTACAAGCTAAGTGAGTGATTCATAACTCTCACGTCACGATCCGCCTGGCAGATACTGTTGCTTACATTCGCTCCAGAGCTCAGGCAGAAATCGACACCCATATTGGGACAGATCGTTCTCCCACTTGGGACGATTTTCCCAAAATGCCCTACATCAATCGTATGATCAAAGAAGCTCATCGATGGCGTCCTGTCAGTCCACTCGGTGTTCCACACGCCGTAGCTGAAGGTTCGAGTGACCACCCACAAACGTATTAGCATGAACAGTCACTAATTAGCTCTTTTCAGACAACTATATCAACGGCATGCTTATCCCCAAGGGATCAACGATAGTCCTAAACGTTTGGGGTATGCATCACGACGAAACACGATGGATCAAACCCGAAGATTTTGAGCCCGATCGCTTCTCAGAGCACGTGGCCCTTGCGCCTGCGTACGCTGCATCAGGCGAATGGGAGAAGCGCGACCATTATGGATATGGCGCTGGCCGCCGAATTTGTCCTGGAATCCATCTTGCAGAGCGAAACTTATTTATTGCGGTCGCGAAGTTGATATGGGCATTTGAATTCACGCAACCCACTGGTTCTGAGAGCGACACCAATCCTGAATCGGGCGCAAGTCAAGGGTTCTTGCACTGTCCAAAGGACTATGGTCTTACGATCAGGCTGAGATCTCCAGACAAGGCCGAGACAATCCGCAAGGAATATGAGCAAGCGCAATCAGTATTCGCAAGATTCGATTGAGCTAGTATCATGCGCTACGACTCGGAATGGTATCTCGGAGCACTTTCGATCAACGCGAAGTAGAATGAACTCTTCTCTTTTTGCCTTCTTTCTTCAGTCGTTGCATTTGAATCGTACGTCCGGTATGAGCTCAGCTATCAATCGCGCATGTTTAGACCTCGGTATTATGTAAATCTTGAGTAATGACATTTTCACAGCGGTGAATGGCTTTTGAATGGACCACGTGTACTTTGACGTTAGACATACTTAGTATTCTCGTATGCGGGCCGGGCATCGAAGCAGTATAATCGAATTGAACATCAAGCACCATGTGCGTTGGTACATGAGTAGAGAAGAGCCAAGTTTCACTTACAACGGTTATACAAGTGGTTAGATAAGGGTGTAGATAAGGGGCGAGGGCTGCCCTCTTGTTTCTACAGTACTACTTGTTCAACCAGACCATATGAAGACTACTTAAGAAGGTCACGAATCAGTCTCAACGTCACAGACTTGGGCTAGAAAATACGTTCGACAGCGAAAATGAAGGGAGGGCAGTCCCCAAAATTCGACGATTGTTACAATTCTGGGGTCCTAGGATCTTCGTTCGCTTACAGAAGGGAGAAGATTTAATGATAGTGATGGGAACAGCCACAGAGTTGACGACTTGCATAAAGATGCCTCGACTGATGCCGATTGATCATGATTATTAGTATCAAACTCTAGTTCGGCTGTTCTTCAGATCTAGATCTGGCTCGGATAAATGCGTTCCTGGTGGGTTCGGACTGGGAGGATTTTCGATTCGGAGTTTCCTGAATCGGCGACACCGATTTGATCGACGCTTTTTCTGGACGGACGGATTAGGACACAAGTCAATCAGTCTATGTGTGGAGAAGATCAACAAAATTGTTTCATCCCAAAAAGGATTTCAAATGGAACCTAACCGCAAATCTTGTTGCTCCTTGAAGAATGTGCAGATAGGCTTGGCATCTAACAAACCATGGGCCTTAAATATCATGGTGAACGGCCGTGGTATGAAGATACGCATTTGCACTTAACAAACAACTGAAGTTATCAACCGCTACAGTATGAGCAAGATTGACGTTCACCATCATTTCTACCCGCAGGAGATGCGGGAAGGTCAGCCACCACTCGATCCCATCAGGATAACATCACATTAATACAATCTGTAGCACTCGAAGAAGCTGGTGGAGATCCCTCCGGATGGTATATCCCCCCTTGGACACTAGAGCTCGACCAAATGATCTGTAAAGACATTGGTGTGTCGAAAACCATACTCTCAGTGACTGCACCGGGCCCTGTCATCAAGAAAGACTATGCAGCTGCTGCAAGACTAGCGAGACAATGCAATACCGCAGCAGCTTCTATCAGAGATAGTCATCCAAATAGCTATGGGTTCTTTGCTAGCGTTCCTTCATTGTTTGATACGGAGCGAGCGATCGAAGAAATACGCTATGCTCTTGATGAGCTGTGCGCAGACGGAGTCACTCTTTTTACCCGATACGGTGAGGGCAACAATTACTTGGGTCATAAAAGTTTTGAACCTATCTGGAAAGAGCTGAGTCGATGCAAGACTGTGGTCTTCGTACACCCGACACATCCACAGGATACAAGCCTGGTCAACAATTTGCTACCGCAGCCTATGTTTGACTACCCGCACGAAACAGGACGTACAGCAATGGATCTGATCACTAGCGGACGCCTCCGACAGCATTCTGGTTGTAAAATCATACTGTCACATGCTGGGGGAACACTCCCGTATCTAATCTATCGCGCGGCGACTATGTTACCATGCATGCCAAATGGGGGCGGAAGAACTCGGGAACAGCTTCTGGATGAGGCCAGAGAGTTCTACTTTGACACGGCACTCAGCTCAGGGGGGCCAACGTTCAAAGCATTGACAGAATTCGCGAAGCCTGGGCACATTTTGTTTGGAAGCGACTTTCCCAATGCACCCCGAGAAGCAATCTTAAGTTTCTCGGCACTTTTCGACGAAAACAAAGACAAAGAAACGGCGATGGGAGTAAGTGCAGCTCAAGCAGCAATTGCAATGCTTGCAAAAGATCAAGGAAGATGAGGGGAGGTAGAGATCTGCGAAGCCGGTCAGTATTGTCACCTTTGTTTCTTCGTGAAAGAGAGTCGTATTACTTGGCAACAGCCTCGAATCTTGAGGATTTTAAGACATTACATTTGAAGTCTCGATAAACGTTGGAATTGACCCGGTCATTTGCATCCGCATGAAATGTAGTGTTACTTACCTAGTGGCATCAAGAGACAATGAGCACTTACTACCTAATGATGTTGTAATGTGACTTTTGCCATGATCATTCTTGATATAACAACTATCAAGGCCATGAGCTATCCCTGTGTAAATTACAAACGTTCTCCTGCGGATCTTGTATGCAAAGATTGTACAAAGTTTTGCTGTGGTGATTGTTTCGGATTTCTACAATAGATAGCTAACCCCCAACGATTCCTATCGTTTGCGCAACACCCTACTTGTCAATTGTATCGTCTGCATCAGTGCTGAGACTTATTTCTTTATTGGCGTGCAAATCTTTCTGTAGCTCTGTAAGCCATCCGTCCAGCCAGTTGTACGCGTCGCTGCCCAGGATCAGTTTCTTGGGTGGCTGTTCCATTCTAGAAACCTCATAGATAGCTTTGGCGCCCTTCGCGGGGATGCCAAGCTGAGCTTTATGAATCGATTCCAAATCTGCCTTGACTTTTGCCATGTCATATGCGGTAGTGTCGGGGTTGGTGTAGGTCATTGAGCGGGTGAAGAAATCGGTCCTAAGTACAAGACAGTATCAGCTTTGCTCATTTGGATCAACTAAGCAGCATCCAAGATTGCCAAAAGTTTGTCATGCATGGGGCCAAAACGTGTAACGATGTGAAGGACTTACCGGAATCCGCCTGGCTCGATGCAGGTAAAATTGATTCCCCACGCAGGATCTACTTCCTGGCTAACAGCCTCTGTAAATCCCTCTATGGCGAACTTGGATGCACTGTACATGGACATCCAAGGGAAGCCAATCCTCCCCCCGATGCTTGTCACTTGCATGATAAGACCTCCCTTAGGCTCCTGCTGACGCATGGCTTTCATGGCTGCTTTGGTGCAAAGCAACAAGCCAGTGAAATTCACATTCATCTGGCGACTGATGTCAGTTTCAGACAGATCCTCAAAAGGACCGCTGAGACCAAAGCCACCATTGTTGATGACAACATCTACGCGTCCAAATTTTGCTATCGCAGCTGTGAGGCTGGAGGTAATAGAGGCCGGATCTTCGAGATCTAGCCTTCCAGCCCCGAAATTTTTCTCGTTGGCGTTCGTGAATTGCAAGGTCGAGGGGTTCCGAGCCGTCGCAAATACGTGATCACCGGCGTCAAGAACGTGCTGCACAAGGCTCGCACCGATGCCAGTGGAAGACCCTGTGATAAAGAAGACTCGCGGCATTGTCAACAAGAAAAGTAAACTGGCGAGAAGGAATTTTGCAGGTATGCTGGTCGGCACACACGATATGTGCTTCTATATATGGCTTGAGGCTGAGATGCCTCGTACTTCAAGACCCCGATGATTGGTAAGGGTTGCCTTTTTGGGATACTCCGCAAAGATATGGGATCTGGTCGTATGTAGCAACGATCGCCGGATCCATATTTCTCGCCCCATAATTCTTATTGTTGTAAGGGGTTGCGGAGTTACTTCTTATTTAGTACCCAGGTTTCGGAATCGCTAAAAGGAACTTAGTGATGTACATCCTTAAACCATGTGTCTCGGAGACAACGGACGCACGATAGAGGGTAGGAGGCAAAGTAGATGCTGCAATTCCGTGGACAGCAGGCAGTCCTATCAAGGGCCGGGCATGGAAGTCTCAATTCGGAGCACTGGAAATCCATAGCAGGGTGTTCACAATGGCGCGGCGGACGCGATGGAAGCCAGATACGAGCTGAGACCATGCATATGGATCACGTTCAACTCGATTGCGACTGTAAGATGAACGCTGCTGGAAATTGGGGTATTGAAGACCAACTTTTACCATTGAAAATCCACTTACTATTTAGTAAAAGGAGGATGCGATACGCCTCGTGGCGACGATACTCAATCACAGGAAGTGGGTCCGTATTCTGTCTGACAAATCACAGCAGGTGACGAGGTAGCAAACGGGAGTCCACAAGAACAAGGTCGTAGGTATGACTGGAAGAAACTTGGATGAGCTTTGTGGCCATTCCACGCATGGCTCCGCAGCTCTAATCACGAATGATCTCTCAGTACATCAAGATGAGGATTTGTCAAGGTTCGTTTAGCTCGGTTTGTGTCAGACCAACACAGATCTCCCAAATAGCCTCACATAATCATACACAATCCAATATTCGGACTTTGATCATTTATGACTAACAATCAAAATGGAGTGCAAATGCGGACTTGTGGCATGGTGATGCCCGAACCCCTAAGAATTGCTTTCTGAAGATGAATGAAAAATAACGCACAAGAGGGTGATGCTTGGGCTCTGTAGGAAGCAGGGTAGTTTGGAGCAGTTGTGCTAACAGTTAGTTGCGCTACAAAGTCACTTAGCCCTCTCCAAAGCGACTGAACACCTCAGTCGTCGCAATTGCAAACTCTTTCGCAATGGTAGATCGGATCTCTTCGCTTCTGACAACCGGATCACATGCATAATCCTTGGCGCAATATAGGAAGCCGTGATGATACCCGTTGACTGGATCGTCATCGAGAGGACCACTACCCCTTTCGAAATTGAAGGCCCATAGAAGCTTCGCGATTCCGACCATCATATTCCGCTCAGCCAAGTGGATGCCGGGACAGATCCTACGGCCCACGCCGTATCCGTAGTGATCACGTTCTCCAAAGCCTCCAGGTACGTATTCAGGGGCAAGGAGTGGATGCTCTGCATACCTCTCTGGTATGAATTTGGACGGGTCGTGCGGTTGTTGTGGGTCCATGTGAATGCCCCACGTGTTGATGACAACTATTGTTCCTTTGGGGAGGAATTTTCCATCTACCCAATCATCTGTATCGCACCATCAGCATGATAAGCTTGAGATCACGAAATCTATACTTAACTTCACCAAGAGCGTGTGGGAAGCAGAGAGGAAGGATAGGTCGCCATCGATGGCCTTCCTTCACAATCATGTTAATGTAAGGTAGGTTCTTCATGTCGTCCCAGACTGGAGAGCGACCGTGACCCACTACTCGGTCAATCTCTGCGTGGGCTTTGCGCTGGATTTCGGGGTTCAGGACAAGAGCTTGAATGATAGCCAGAGTCAAACTCGAACTTGTATCTGAGCCGCCTTCCATTAGAACTCCACCAATGAACTTTAGCTGATGTTGAGACAGTTCATTCTTTCCTTGACTGTCAAGTACTCGGTCCATGAACGAGTCTAGATTTTGGCCGCTCTCGCGACGCTTTTCGACCTGGTGAAGTATGTCCGTATACAGATTCTCCATCTGGCTGCCAATGCCACGGGCTCGTGTAACGTAGTTTCCAAAGAAACGCTCAGGTAGAAGCTTTAGGAACGGGAAGAGATCCACCGGGGGAGTTGCACCTAAGAATCCTCAACATCAGTGGTCTGGCTAGGAAGTAGGGGGTTTGGGTTTTCTGACCCTGTTCCATGATTTGAGACCACTCTTCCATGAGCTTGTACAAACGCTGCATATTGTTGCTCTGTTCGTCGGGTGTGCGAATACCATAGACTAGTAAAAATAAGTATTAGTAGGCCAGCAATGCAAGGGCTTCCGTCATACCAATCGAGTTGGTGATACTATTGCTGTATCGTTTTGGATGTAGCATATGATCTTTTGGCTTCAGGAGATAGTCTCTGACCATCTGGATGGCTTCAGCGTTAACGATATCGAGATGTTGACTGTCTACCATGGACTCCATCAAATGCTGGTGAACTAATCGCCGAAATGTGCGCCATTTGTTCCCATAGTGCATGACTAAGAGATGGTTACCCCTAGTTATGAGCTCGTGAGAGACATATGAGTGAGGTCTGTGGCTGTAAATGGCGCTCTTCCGATCGACAACCTCCTTCACTAGACGACGATCGGTTATTACTGCCATATTGGCGTTGCCAACCTTGAGCATGAACAGTTTCCCATATTTCTTGCTCCACTCAGTAAAACTACAAATATTTAGCTCGATGCGCAGCCGAGTTGAATGGATTAACCTACCGAATGTGTGTATAGGCACCAGGAATCAAATGTGCATTTCCAATGAATGGCAAAGTGGGCGGTCCTTGTAGCAGTCAGCAGTTTAGATCTGAGGTTGTCGCTACGAGATACATACCATTGGGCATATGTGCTGTGCGGTGACCATACACAAATGCATTTCGTATCAGTAGACACAACAGCACTGCCAACACACCGCCAAATAGTAGAACGGGATTTCCCTCCATGATCCAATGGTCTAGATGTCATGAAACTGGTTCTTGGCAATCTAGAAAGTTTTATGCAGACCTGCGGTGTAGCGTGAGGCTTCATTAAGAAGCTGGACTCGCTGAAAACCAGGCTAAGAGACTGAGCTGGGTCGTACGAAAGGAGATGATGATCCAAACAATGCTAGTGTCGTGCTGAATAATAGAGCTATCTATCGAATGCGCGAAAAGCCGGAGCCTATTTGGGAGTCCGGAGTAGACAGACACGTTCATTATCGGAGTCCCAAATAGGCAGAAGCTTTGTACCGTAATCATATCCGTGCGTTGTGGACTCTGAAACAGGAAGCTGAGGGTGGAACCGAACAGATAGATAGAACACACGGAAGGGCCCTTCTAAAATCAAAAATTCTTTGGAAGGTTCATCGTCTAATGGTCGATAATGTAAAGTCTAACTCTATGATGCTCAATTTCAAAAGGAGATCGACAACTTTCAGGCGTAGAGGAAGAGTTCGGGAAGAGAAGGCAGGGGTTTAGGTTTGAAGTTGCTTCGACCTGTCTTGGTATCAACTGGGCTTGTCGTTGCCACCATAGTTCATCATCATCTCAAGATTGAGCAGTTCCTGAGATAGGAAGCTGTCAGGTAAAGTATGAGTCATTTGACCGGAAGGATGTGTGAAAGGGAAAGCTGTATCCAGGCTAGAAGAAGACATAGGACGTGACACGTCGGGTGTCAAGGTTGGGTAGAGATAGTCATCTAGACTCGGCGAGAACATAGGAATTTCGCCTGAGGATGGTATGATTTGCTGAGTCTCAGACCAGGGTTTTGAAGTCGTTTTTGGTGAGCTGCGCGGATCTATGCGGCGCCGATATCTTGCTGTGAGAGAGTCTCCTAGCGACATAAGATAGTTGAGAATACTGACAGCGCTATGAGCCGATGGGAAATAGTTCCCCACATTCTCAAAAAATTGGGTAGCTGCCTGTAGACCTTTACGGGCGGCCGCAGTGAAGGGACATATTGGGTTGCCGATAACAAAACACAAAATGCAGAGAACTGCATTCCATTGAAGCCTAACCAACGGGAGCCATCCTCTCAAGATCTCAGTTCCAGAGAGAGCCTGTAAAATATCCGTTATAGCAAGAGCGTGTGAGAGCGCCTTGAGTCCCATGCGATCGGTGTGGGGCTGGAAGGAAGACGTTTTGAGTGAGATGCGCAGGAAAGGCCGGTGAATTGACAATTGGTTATCATGATATGTCAACTCAAGAATCAGTTGTTGTCTCTGGAGCCAGATCGGGCTCGTAGAGTCCAGGTTCAGGCTCACACGGTCTGTAGACAAGGGTTCGCTGTCGGCGTGTCGGCGAACTTTCAACAACTCGGGTACGGATTTCACCCAGTCATTCATGGCATCGGATTCCTGCTCAAGTGTCATTGCCAGATCCTCGAGCGCAGCGGGTTCGTCATGGATGTCGAAAGATTTCGATCCTTGCCGGATCTTGACAAGCCGCTTTTGAAGATCGCTTGTGATCCCGTGAAATGTTGCTGCAAGCCGGACACGATACATGTGAAAACTCATCCAATTGATCTCAAGGTTGGCGCTTGTTCGTAAGAAAGGACTGCTGATTATGTGTGGATTATTGTCTGCTTTCTCAGGCAGAGAATATGGTACATCTTCCAGACGGACGAGGAACGGGCGATCCAAGGACATAGAGATAGCCATATCCAGTCGGTATAACGTCCAAAATATGCGAGCGTGTTGATCTTGCTGATCGAATGTAGTGCTCACCTGCGACAGAGAGTCGAGGTGAAGAGTGTGTAAGACTCGGACAGCCATACCCAAGGTGTGATACGCGGTATTGAGTAGAGAAGAGTTGTAAAGATAGATGATGCAATAAACAAAAGCTTGGACTGTCGTGATAGATGGAGATTCCAGTTCTTTCGCGAGCAAGGACTGGCTACGAAAGTAATAAGGATAACCAACGCGGGTGACGGGATAATCCTGTAGACGTCCAGAATCATCATGCATGAACGTGCTAGAGTACTGAGTGCAGACAGCCAGAAGACTGTCAACAAGTGCCGAGGGACTGCGGGGCTGATCTTCTGGCGGACTGATCCATAAGCCGTTGTAATGGTGGTGGAAGTCCTCGTATGAGAGCACAGGGTATATTGGGTGGAACGATTCCCAGAGAGGGTACAGAAACAGCTCTTCTTCAGTTCGAGAAAGTGCATGGAGCGTTTCTGAAGGCGTGAACAGGGCTGAATTCGACATTGGTTCGACGACTTGTGGAACAGTGAAATCCAGGCTTGATCTATCGAGGTTTTCGCAAAGATGACGAAGGAGGCGTTTGACCAAATAAGTTAGTGACAGCGGGCTCGGGCCGTCGCGAGCCGGTCCGAATACCTGGTCTCGATCTGCGATTCTTGTGGGGCCCGATTCAGACCGTGGGCTGCTTTCGCGAAATTTATTGGTGTCTGGGGCCTGCGCCTGTGATGCGAGAACTATCGCCGTGTTTCCGTCGCCAGAATTTTCTGGCGACTTCTGCTTCAGCTGGCCTTCGAGCTCTTTGATGCGCTCCTTCAGGCGCTGATTCTTCCTACGGACATGTTAGGCGGGCAGTAGGAGATGATTAGATGACATTGGATATACCTGCTAGCTGCAGGCAGTGAAACACTGACAGCAGCTGTTTTCGAAGAGCTATCACATGATAAACCTCGCTGGCGACACTGTGTGCATGGCAGGTCCTCGTCGCATTTGATTCGGTTCGTGCGACAATAATTGCACGCTCGTGCGACTTGTGCACGTTTCGACTGGGCAGTGGACCTGGACTTTTGTGAACGTATGTCAATAACGTTCATATCGGATGTAAGAGTAGTAAACATCATCATCAGTGTGACTGCAGTACGTGGCGCAAAATATCAGGGCGTGCCTTGGACTTACGTAGATAAGGTTCGCCGACCCGCTTGCCGACCCGCTTAGAGGCTGAGCTCGGACAAGAAGTTCAAACGCCGTCGGAACGTGCTCGGCAGGTACTGTGAGACCAAGTTGTTATTAAAATCATATCAATGGATTGAGAAGGGCCGAGAACGCGCGTACGTGCTGTACCTGCCTAGGTAGGTATGTACCTGGGTTGTATCTTGAATGATTGCGCCTCGCCTCGAGGACTGAAAACGGTGCATGATGAGCCCTCGCCAATCCGTCAGTGTATTTCATACACGAGACCGGGATGAGCCTGTTTCTTGAGACTATCAATGACTACCTTGGCAGTAGCCTATATACTTAGTCACGAATTCATAGTCAGTGGAGCTTTGGATCGATGTACTGGAGTACCCTCGATGCTCTGGAGACGCTATAATTTGAGACGTTTATATTCTCTTCAAGGTACAACCTATGCCTTAATAACAGGTTTATGTTTAACCTAAAAGACCATCATACGGTTGTACCGTCATCACATTGCTCCGCAGTGATGCCTTTCTACGAGAAGGTTGTTGTAGTAGCACAGATTATCTGTAAAGCATTAGCTTGAACGACGTCGAAGTAATCACCAGTGATAGTGCGTGAGATTGCCGAACGGACGGGGCTTTGAGTTGCTGATCTGCGCATCCCGTCAGAATCCTTGAGAATGACGTGAACTGATAGCACGATAAGCAAGTAGCGGACACTGCCGCAGTAGAGTTTACGGTCAGTGTGCTTACCTAGGTAAATCATATCCCGGCACAGCAGTGACGATAGGCTGTGTGCGGCTTAAGTCTCAGCATCACACTTTTATCGGTGCTTGCCGATACGTCCAGAGTATCTCAAGACTGGTACAAGGGTATATAAAATGGCAACCTACCAAGTGGCTGCAGCTTTCGTATGGTAACTACGCGAGATACGCGACCTGCTGCTAGGTATTATTAGCTCAATATTTAGGCACAACTTCCCGAGGCCGCAAAGTGTTCTCATTCGTGGAGAAGAGCAGCGCGCTGCACGTAAACACTTAGACTTGTGGTCTCCGCTGCAGCACATATAGGTATGACCGAACTCTGCACCCTAGCGAACTAGTTTTTAACGGTCACTGACGGATATGCGAGAACTCAACGGGCAGCAAGCAGTAGAATCCGTATCACAAGTTATCTCCAGTCCGCCCTCTCATCGAGTCGTTTGGTTACTTGACACGCTCTTCTTTACAGCACCTACCTAGTCAATGGTCGGGCATCGTAGTCACGAGCTTGTCACGTGCCTTAAGCGAGTGAACTAAACAGGAGGTATGAGGAAGAATTCGCGGGCGAACTGTTTGGCCCACCTCCCAATGATGGCACTCCCTTACGCTATCGTACCCACCCAAAATCCGAATTAGACCTCCGGGTACTACCCTACCTGTCCAAGTACGTTTCTACGATATTCCGCGTGCAGTTGCAAGCGCCAGATGAAACAGGCTCATGCATTGTGAAACGAATTCAGAATAACCCAGTATAAAAAATTGTGAAAGGATCGTCAAGGTCGTGGTGTATGTCGTATCCTGAACACGACTCAGGGAGATAAGAAAGGATCTATCCGAGCTCCCTGCGTTCCGGAGTTCGAAATAGGAAACTCCGAGGCGTGCGACTACGCCAGCCAAGGTTCCACTCCTGATTACCAATCTACAACGATTAGCAATCTATGTCTCGCATGCGAAGGTACTTCTATAGTTGGGTTCTTTTTGCCTGAGTAGTGACTTCATCCATTGGGCGCGCGCATTTCAAACGATATGGCCAACGACAAAGAGAAAAAGAAAGCAGTACCAGTAACCGAATTGGTAGCTAATTTCATCAGTGCATGTCAGACATCGGTGAGGAGTGAAGGAAATACGATCGGATGGAATCATCTTGAGCTTGAAGGGGCTGGCCGTGGCGTAAGATTGTCTTGATCCGGTGCTAAATTCGCTTACTGAATATGTCAAGCATGAGATCGCGCCTACTATCGGTTCTATGTTCCAGCGCTATACGAACATAATTTCGAACTTCCGTCACAAGACACCTACACGCAAGCTACTTCATGACTTCTGCGGTCGGCTTGAGCCAGGCGAACTGTTGATGGTCATCGGGAGACCTGGTAGCGGTTGCACGTCATTCTTGAAGGCCCTTTGCCATCTACACGAAGAGTACATAGGCACGACCGGATCGATTGTGTACAGCGGAAAGCAAGCGGACTTCAAAGCCACCGATGCGCCAGCAGAGACGACCTTCTGTGGTACGCTGTCTCGAAAGTTTACCGGTGAGCAAGGCTGACAACAGTCTTAGCCGAGGATGACATTCATTTCCCAAGCTTGACCGTGAAAGAAACATTGAGGTTAGTACAAAGTGCTGCAAATGGGTTGATGAATGCCCCGAGGTTTTCTTGAGCAAAGTTTCGTCTGACCAAGAAAAAACTCAGCAAACATCCAAGACACGAAGACTGACTACATGAGATGATCGCGCGGTCTTGGCATTAGAGTGCGAGCTTTTGCTAACCCATGCCAGGTTCGCAACCAAATCCAGATTTGGAAATGTCATGTCGAAGAGTGACATTGACGGGACAGTCGTTGTTCTCGCTCAATTGTTCGGCATTGATCACATCCTTGACACTAAAGTGGGAGATCACAAGATTTCGGGCGTTAGCGGTGGCGAAAGGCGACGCGTCTCACTCGCTGAAGCCTTCATAACATGTCCAGAGTAAGTTTCTCGAACCCCTGAAACTCACTGTGAACCTTCTCTAACCCGGAAAAACAGTCTTCTCTGTTATGACAACCCAACCGCAGGTCTAGACTCCTCCACAGCTCTAGAGTTCGTCCAGATGTTACACGAGTATGCTCGTCAGACTAACATGGGTGTTGCCGTAAGCTTGTACCAAGGTAGCGACGAGATGGTTCCTCTATTTGATAAAGCTTTGATCATCAACTCTGGAAGATGCATCTACTACGGACCAATAGGTTCTGCCAAAGCTTACTTTGAGAATCTAGGGTTTGCCTGCCCTCAAATGATGTCGATCACTGACTTCTTGAACTCCATGTCCGCTGAACCGAAAGCGCGACACCTACGTGAAGGTGTTGAGCCTTGGAAGGTGCCTCAAAGTCCTGAAGAGCTCGCACAAGCTTTTCGACAAAGTCAAGAAGGCAAAGAATTGGCTTTGAAGCTCGACAATGCTCTGAACGATGAAGGTCGCGACCAAACCAGTACGAAACAAGTCTCACCAGGCCCTCGATACCCGGTTCCTATCTGGATGCAGATCCTACTTTGCGCACACCGTCAATATCGAATCTTCATAACCGACTACAACTCCTGGATAATTGAAGCAATTTGTATGGTTATGCAGAGTATCATCCTAGGAACGGTTTTCTACGACCTCCCACACTCTTCTCAAAGCCTATACCAAGTTTCATCTGTTGTATTTTATACAATCATGATACCAGGTTTACAATCCATGAGCGAGTTCGGCAACACTTTCGCACAGCGCCCGCTGTTGTTGAAGCACAAAAGATACCGATTCTACCACCCATTATCCTATGGCTATGGGCAAATCATGACGGATATCGTCTGGAAAGTTGTGGCCATTGCTTACAACATACCGATGTATTTCTTGGCTAATCTCCAACGCAAAGCGGACCGCTTCTTTATCTTTTTCCTCATCGCCTACATTTCCCATTTGACTCTCTCCATGTTCTTCCGGTTCATCGCTGTTCTATCGCCGAGCGTCGAGAAGGCTGGATTGCCAGTGGGGTTTTTTCTTACAACGCTGGTCATATATACAGGTTGGTACATTCCACCTCCGCAGATGCAAGTCTGGCTGAAGTGGTTTCGATACCTTAACGTAAGTCATGTTCTCACCCTTTTCTGTTTGGTCATACCTCTGACGGTATCACAGCCAATGTATTATGCCTTTGAGTCACTTATGATCAACGAGGTTGGGTCCCAACAGTACTCTTGTAGTCCCAACGATCTTATACCCCGAGGCCCAGACTTCACCGATGTTGCGAACCAGGCCTGCGCTATTCAAGGCTCTGTGCCCGGAAATGAATTCGTAGAAGGCTCGGCGTATCTTGAAGTGCTCTATGGGTTTGATAATTCTCATCTTTGGCGGAACATCGGAATCAATGCTGGCCTGTTTGTCCTTTTCGCCGTACTCGTAGGGTAAGTGATACCCCTGGATCAGACTTTTAAATTTCGTAGCTAACCCTACACCCAAGACTTGCTATGGAGCTCTTAAAGTCACCAGCTGGCCTTATGGCTACCGTATTCTATCGGCGGACCGAATTCGGGGTCGTTTCAGCCTCTAGTAGCACACAAGACAAGGACGCAGAAGCACAGAACTCAGAAAGTGCGTCCCCCGTAAGGATATCCACTGGCTCCACTGAAAAGGAACACACTTCAGCTAGTCTTGAAAAAGGCCGATCGCTTTCGTGGAGGGATCTTCATCTCACTGTTGATCTTAAAGGCGAGCAGAAGGTATTGCTGAATCACCTTAATGGGTACATTGCACCAAGCTCAATGACGGCGCTAATGGGCGTTTCTGGAGCTGGAAAGGTTCGGTCACCATCCTCACCCAAGGGCATTTCTGACAAATTCACAGACTACTCTTCTCAATACTCTTGCCGGCCGTTCCGATGTTGGAAAGCTCAAAGGTACACTGTACCTGGACGGATCTCCGCTCCCGAAGTCGTTCCACCGGCGTATGGGCTATGTTCAGCAACAAGATGTGCATCTACCCACTCAAACTGTGCGTGAGGCTCTGAGGCTTCCAGCGTACCTACGTCGACCTACCTCAATCCCGTTGGAGGAAAAGAACGCATACGTCGAAGAAGTCATGGAACTACTGGAGATCGAAAACATTGCCGATGCATTGATAGGAGTCCCTGGCGCTGGGCTAAATCTAGAGCAGCGAAAACGTGTATCAGTGGGAATCGAGATGGCTGCTAAGCCTGAAATACTGTTCTTGGATGAGCCAACATCTGGCTTGGATGGTCAATCTGCCATTTCGATCATTCAACTTTTGAAAAAATTGTCCCGGTCTGGCTACACGATTCTCTGCACAATCCATCAGCCTTCGGCCATTCTGATGGATGGATTTGACAACTTGTTACTTCTTGCCAAGGGGGGTAGAGCTGTTTATGAAGGACCCTTGGGAGAACACTGTTCGACTGCGCTCAAATACTTCGCCCAGCATGTCGAGCCTTGCAAGGTACCAGAAGAAAATCCTGCGGAATATCTGCTGTCAACTGTGGGCGCTGGTTCTCGATCTCAAGTCACGATAGACTGGGCCGATATTTGGCTCCAAAGCAAAGAGAAACACGAACGAGAAGAGAAGATGCAAGATAACCCGGAGTCATCTTCAGCGGAAGATTTGCACGAGAATCTATATGCCACAACACTCAACTATCAGTTGCAGGTCATCCTCAAGCGCACCTGGCTTTGGTATTGGCGCGAACCGCAGTACTTTTCTGCGAAGCTCTGGCTGAACCTTTCCAACGGCCTGCTGAACGGGCTGACATATCTGAACATCCCTTCTACCCAGCAAGGCGCCTACAACCGGGTCTTCACCACCTTCATGTCATTCCTCATGGGCCCGCCACTTGGTCTTGCCTTACAACCGCGTTTCTCTGCTTTCCGGGACATCTTCATATATCGGGAGAAAGCCAGTCGATCCTACTCTTGGATCGTGTTCGTCTTGAGCACCATCATCGTCGAGCTGCCCTTTACCTTGATCACGGCGCTGATCTATTGGCTTTTGTGGTATTACCCCGCAGGTCTTCAGCAAGATGCTGCACACGCAGGGTACTCCCTGTTGTGCTACTGGCTACTTCATGTCTTCATCGTCAGTCTTTCATTCCTTATTGTGGCTTGGATGCCGAATCTTAATGCGTCGCTCATGGCCAACGGGTTCTTCTACATGTTTGTCAATACCTTTGCGGGTACTTTGACAGCCAGAGACCTGACCCCAGCTGGCTGGCGCTGGTACTTCGAGGTTTCCCCTCTGTACTACTTGTCTGAAGGCCTGACCACCAACTCTCTGTACGGGACACCAGTACATTGCACGTCTAGCGAGGTCACATTGTTCAATTCTCCAGGAAACACCACCTGCATCGATTTCGCTCGCCCATTCCTGGAGTCTGCGACCGGATATCTTCTCAATCCTGATGATCAAGGCAACTGCGAATACTGTCGGTACGAGTTTGGCCAGGACTACGTAAGTCACCACCACGATACCACGTGTCAAATGAGACTAACAAATCTTGTCAGTACCAACCTTTTGGTTACAACGTTGAGAATCGATACCGTAACGTTGGCATCTTCATTGGGTTCATTGCATTCAATTTCACCGCCGTTATAGTGGGCACCTATCTAACGAAGATCAAGAAATGGAAGCGTAAAACAGGATAGGACCCCTTCAGGGTTATGTTGTATACCTAGATGTATCATAGAATTACTTTTATAGGGAGGACTTAATTTGAGCTTAGTTATGGCTGTTCAGCATCAGCAGTAATGTATCACTACTCCAGGACAACATGAAATGCGAACAAGTTGTCGTATACCTGGGTGTTCTATTCCGGTATCCACACATAATGTGGATGTGTCATGCTTGATACATAGAGGGTTCTTACTGATCAACTAGCATATTCAGTTTATTAAATCTATGCACAAGGGTGAGTGACACCATGGTAGCAGACCAAGGAACTGGGTGAGTTCTGTAGTTCTTAAGTCCCTCCTATACACGCCAATCCCCATCCTCTGACCGTCAGACTGCCTTTCATAATTATAAGCTCTTGTCGTTGCGTAAGTTGCCTTTATTCTCAGCGCCTCACCCCCTGATATTATCCTAGATCACTACCACTTTCGCTCGCTTCGCAAATGTTGAGCAACCTTAGAGCCATGAAAAGCACTCATTCCACGCCTTCTGCACTCTCAACATCCTCACAAACCACGCCACTATCAATCTGGCTCTTCCTGTCCCATAGACCAATCTCTCTCTCATTATAGCAGGAAGATCTCTACTATCTCATCCCAACAAGACTCGTGTCTCTCCTGCGCAACATCAGATTCCCCACCACAAGACCCTCATCCCACTCATATAATTGTTGGCGATTTGTGTAGACCCCTACAACGATCCTTGCAAAAACATCAAGGAACAATGGATGACTGATCCCTGCTTACGGTCATCTCGATACTTACAGGGGACCAATTGCTCGGATCTTGTGTTACATATACACTCCTGATGGCGCTCCGATAGGCCACGATATACCTTGATGGTGCGACATTTAAAATTACATTTCACATAGGATCTTCGAGGAGTATCGTCGTGTTATCGAGTTGGTTGCATAATGCTACCACCGAGTCCTGAAGCGATTTGTGAAGACAAAGGAGCCCTGCACCCTCGAAGTCGAAGCCATTCAGGGAGAACTTCCGAGAACAGCAAAGCGCATTACTATTAAGAGAGAGAAACTGATACTTGTGTCACGGTCGTACAAGTACACTACAGAAGAGTTACTTGAAAATTTAAATTTCTGCTGACCTGGTACTTATAATGGAATGGTCGAACGATGACAGCTATTGTTCTATCTATCCACTCGAGAGAAGAGAGAAAAAACTTATAAACTCAACATCGTGAGGCATCCTGAAGCAGTAGTATGAGGACCTACAGGATTGTATTCTCTCACAAATATGTCGCTGGCAACTTTACACGTTGCGATCTAAAGTGTGGTCGCTCTTGTCAAGGCTAATAGATCCGCATAATGTTCCGCCACATTTGGGATCGGCTACCTAACCACAAGTTAGGTAGATGATGCGAAAGTAAGTAAGCTCTCGTAATTTGGTGTACCGAGGCCCGTCGCAGGATCCCAGCCAGCAACAGCGCTAAATCCTGCTCCAGAGATGACACCGCTGCATCCACCAATCTTGCCGCTCTTGATATCTGTGAACCCGGTACTCGCAGTACTGTACAGCCAGGGGTTGAGAAAGCCGAGGCCCTTCTTTCCAGCAGCAATTCGAGCACTATTCAGAAGCTGAAAGATGCCCGCCGTGGTCGGTGCAGAGCACGATGTACCTGACACGGACTGTGCGGAGCCAGAGGCCACGATGACAAAGTTTGTAGCTTGTGCCGAGATGTCTGGATAGGCGCGACCAGAAGAATTGAAGTAGTTTGTCACGGCGCTGTGGGTGGTGTCGCTTGTGAGCCACTTGTTGACGGTCGCATTCTGGTAGCTCGGACGTCCAAAGATCTCAGAGAATCCACCGCCACCAGACGACCACGCACTCTCGGGAGAGTTACCTGTAGTTCCGCCGACCGTTGTGACCCAGGGGCAACCTGCCGGAAATGCTGTTGTGAATGAGGTTTTGCCGTTCACCTTGCATGAGGTGCCCACTCCAGAGTCGCCCGAAGAGATGAGGATGGAAACACCGCGAGCTCCAAGCTGGGAGAACAGATTGCACACATTTGTTGCATACGAAAGCGGCACAGTAGCTTCGTCGTCGCCGTATGAAATGGAGAGCGTGTTGGGAAGCGAGGCTGCTGGAAGAGCTAGCAGGTAGTTCAAAAATTCGAGATATGGTTCATTGGTGTTGGAACCGCTGCCTAGCCACTGCCCTCGGCCAGCCGTGCTGTAGTAAGTCATTGGTACAGAACTTGCGATGCTACCCGCGTACTGAACATCCAGGTTGGCCTCAATGCCTGCTGGCGATGTCGGGCAAGTGCCACCATTGACCCCTGTGCACGTGAACGACCTTGCTTTGTTATTGAAGTAAGCATAGCTGGAGAGGAAGGTTGTGAAGTCTGCTTTGATAGCGTATTCCTCAAGGAACCCTGCCACACCAAGAAGTCCCACGCTCTCGTTCTTTGCGTTCGCAAAGTTGTACAGATTGGCAAGGCACGTAGGCGTGATACGGGTGCCGGTGCATCCAGTCACAGCCTGAGCTGCTTCAACGCGAAATTCTTCCTTTTCGATAGCATGGTGCTCAGAAACTGTCGATCGCAGCTGCTTGACGCCGAAGTATGTGGTAGGCTGAATCATGTCCAGGTGGCCGACCAGCGCCGAGGGAATGCTATACTCGAGTGTTCGAAGCACACGTGCGTTTGTCTCCTTGTTCACTTTCGAAGTAAGTCAGGTGAGTGCAAAATCGGGATGCAGCTATCTTACCGTAGGTGTGGTATGTAGTTTTCAAAAGGCTTTCAATGGCATCGATACTATCTTCGACAGTAAGATACTCGCCCGTCATGGTCATCTTGGCACCGGGTATCTGGCCCTGAAGCCACTCTTGCACGAGATTTACTGATTCCTCTTTGGGTGCAGTCATCGCTAGTATCTGTTTATGATCAAGATGGTTGCCGTACTGCGGGCTACCTGGTGTTGCAATCTGTGTTCGTTCAGCACACGAGATTGATCATGGCGACAAGTGATACGCTTACGTCCATGGCAAGTTGGTGAAATTTGTCCATGCCTTGGCTCACAAGGTGAATCTTGAGTGTCATGGTGGTGGCATTTCTGTCAAATGTGGCAGGTTCATCGAGAACCCATCCTGGTGGAGCGCCGTCAAGCTTTTCCAACACAACATTGCTAGTCGGCAGTGCATTGGAAACACACAGCAAAGCTGCGAAAGTGACAACTGTAGAGACGTGCATTTTGCAGCAAACGAGAAAGCTACTTAGAAAAGTACAAAGCTTGTCGCTTTCATTTATACACCTTGTTGCTGCAAATCGCACCACAGTCTCTTCCGATAGCTTGTATGAAAGTAGCGGCATGTGAGCATGATCGTTTTAGTACCTGCCTGATGTAGTTGATAAATCGCAAGGATCGCGCATTGTAGATTGCACTCGCGCCGAACGGAGAAGCCGAAAGAGGAAGCTTGCTAAGCTTTGCCAATGCATGAGCAAGCTTTTCAACGGCGATCAATCCGCCCACAACCTTACACGCGCTCGGAGTAGAATCCGCTTGTATGAATGAGGAGGGTTCTTTGTACACGCTGTTCTATGCCCTGGCTGATACAGTCTGGGTATTGGGTCTCGTAATCTGGTGCTGGCGGGGATGAGGCCGAGCGCTTAGTTAAGCCGAGGTCGAGAAAGCGACTGATTAAGACCTGCCGCACCATGGGAACGCAACGCAATATCGGATGTAGTCGTCATCTTTAATGATGTTGCGTAACTTTCTAAGAGTTGACTACAATCCACTACATACGCTGGCTGATGAACCTCCTCCTCCACACTGTAAGCCAACAATGACAATGGGTTATTGTGGAAAGCTAGAAGACTTGAGCAGCTGATCAGGTGCGAGAATGAGTGATCAATTTCATCCATCGTTGTATCTACTGAGTGGGTTGGTACTTATACCAAACTGATCGTGCGCGCTAACCCCTTTGTGTGCTGATCGTGCGTATTCGTCCGATTGGCTGGCGTCAACTGGTGAGATCCTTCACGTTGACCATGCCTTGATCCGCTCAATCAGTGAGCCAACTTATCCTCTCAACAGTTATCATATCAAACGAGGCGCTTTTGTTCGTGGTAGAGAACTCTGTGAACTTCGAAGTTGAGCTCGATGAATAGTTGTCTCTGCAGCTAATAAGGCAGCCGCTTAGCCGCTTCCTACGATCTGTTGAAGTTTCACGAGGCTGGGTGTAATGTAAGCGTTGACTGACCCATGAGCCCCTGTTCATTAATCTTTCGATGATAGTGCGGGTGAGCTGATGGTTGTCTATATCACTAGTCACAATTCATCCGGACGTGTTGAGGGTTGCAGGTACCTTTCTAGGAAACACCTGTGTATCAGACATTTAGTCACATCTCACCGCAACAAATTTAAAGCCGTTACTCGATACTGAAGATCCCGCATTGAAGATAGAATTGGCAGTAAATAGTACTTTTGTATTGAATAAGAAAAATCTACTTTTGTTTCCACAGACTGTTAGAGCATACCAGCAAGGAGAAGATCGAGATCGCTCTACTTTTCATCTAGGAGCCCAAACAATCTTTTGGCGCTGAGCATTGTTTCGCTCTACTCTCCGTCCGCACGAAACACGTCCCGATCAGCTCATACGTCCCATCCCTTCTTCAATACAACAGCAGAGGCACTCGAGATCGCTCTAGAGCAGCTAAGACAACAAGGGCGTGGCGAGTGCCGACATGCAATATCTCGTCTATGGCCCCTTCAATATTCCGGTATTCCCTCGCTTTCTGGATAGCAATGAACGGTGATAGTCGCGACAGGGGATGGAATTCGAGGTCGCACCGGGCATGTTGAGAAACATCGCTTGTTGGGTACAGTCCGAGCATCCAGCTGCAGGCTTCAGACTACTCCTTGTTCGTTAGCGTGTACCCCAGCCGCGGCACAATGAACTTGCACTTCTTCTCGCCCCAGACGTAGAGATTAAACTCGAGATGTCGTACTGATAGTGTTAAGAGTGTCACGAAGACGACGGACGCAGACTGGGCCGTGAAGCACAAGACACCAGGCGTTGATACGAAGAAGGGAAGACAGCTACAAAACAGAGCAGTCCCAAGATATAGTAAAGGATGAGAAACAATCGCATGTTCCTTACTAATGGGGTCAGCGATTACAATCCCAGTCGTGTTTTGCATACTTGAGACCTTGGAATCACGTAAGAAGAAATGAATCATTATATCAAATCCGCGTTGCAGAAAAAGATACACAGTGGGTCTTGGGCTTAATCATTTGTAAATTATAGCAAGAGGACAAACCTCAAATCAATACACATTGAAAGAACAAATATTAGATACAAGAAAGAAATGCGTAACAATACATGAAAGAGCGTAATAGACGGCAGCGTAGTATACATAAACGACAGAAAACAACTGTCAGTGCGATTCTGATTGCGCAATTCCTTAAACAAAAGCCCTGTCGAGATTGTTGATGAAGTTGGCGGGCTTGAAAGGCACATTTGCACTACCAAAATTCGTGTTTGCAAGCGCCCCCTGGGCCGCAGCAGGCATACGGTCCCAATCGCTAATCCAATAGCTCCTGCCAACAGTGTTTGTGAACTGGAGCTCATGGTTGGTCGGGAAGGTAGTAAAGTATTCGACCTTTACATTGTTGCCCTGGCGAATAGGGTTGTTGGTACGTTTGTACGAGCCGTGCCCGGAAGCAGCACCACCGAGGATACGGGGGTTATCGTTGGCAGGGTTGTCAATCCAGACGACGACGTTCTCCCAGTCATGACGGTGGCCACCAGCAACGTTGCCTGCGATAGGCTGGTCTTTAGGGAAGTACCAGGCGTACATGATACCGAACTTGCCTCTGTGCCATGCAGCACGGGCGTAGATCTGGCCTTTGTTGCCGTCGCGGCAGCCGGCGCTGACGTTGCCAGTGTCTTGGAGTCCTCCACTGAAGCTAGAGTTAGTCCATCTCGATGTTTGTTCTGCTTTCTGTTCTTACCTAGTGTTTCCAGCATCATCGACAGCAGTGTACGGCTGGCAGCCATGGGCAATATGGAGCAGAGGAGTGAACATCTGGATTGCACGACCAATCCTTCCACCTTGCAAGCGAGTGGAAATGGGATTGAGAGAATCGTGGTTCACCACAGCGCGAGTCTCAAGGTCTCCAGGGGTAGGAGCGGCGAAGACGCTGGTAGCCAAAGCTACAGAGGACAGGATAGTAGTGAAGCGCATCTTGAAGACAAAGATAGATGATAGAGGAAATCTCAGTGAGGGTGTTTTGAGGATCTGAAAGATGCTGTGCTGGATACCTATGTCAGGGCTGCGACATGTCTTATATATTTTGGAACACCAGCGATTGAACGACGTCGTTCCTCAGTCTTGGCTCAATGAGGTTATACGAGTCGGGACGATTGCGCGGTGGTACTGGTGCTGGTAGCAGTGGAGAGCTATATTGAATCGAAATGTCGCCGTACGAGCTTTACACAATGCAGGGATCCTAGCATAACTCACTGTTGGGTGCAACCTAGTGCTTAAACAAAGAACCACGGATTCGCTTTCGCATATCGAGCAGTCACCGGTAATGCGGAACACGACTACAGGTCTCGTACACTCCGCTGCTCTAATTAATGAGGGAGTGAAGAACTCGTGCTGAGCCTCAAGATGGTTTATTGTTGTTCATGCGCGCAGACTTGCACTAAGCCGAACTGACGGAATTTCTCGATGATGTTCGGGACCTAGCATGGATGGCAAGTTTACCGATCACAACCACAGCGCGATGTATGTTAAGTAGAGCCGAAGTCAGTCTTGGCGATAATGTGCTCAGCCACGCCTAGCCTACCGTGAAGAGCCTCAAGAAAAACACAGTGTGCTAAGCCCGCACGGTTACTACGCTTGTAAGCAGCAGATCTAGCCTTCCATGCCCAACCTGCGGCGAGCATCGTAGGCCTTTATGCTCGCAGACCCGATGGCAAGAGGTTTTTTGTCATCGCGACTTAAGTGCAGGGTTGTGAAAGAGGCCAAGAGCTAGAAGACAGATGACTTAATCTTAGAGACTTATGGTGTAGATACTGGTGCGGTTTTCTTGTGCGCCTTTAGTAGGAAGTGGCGTCCAGAAGAGCCGTCGACTTCTCCAGTGTCTTTTCCCCAGCAAGAAAGACTGTCGCAATTAATTTATGCAAGGAGTATGTGTCAGTCGGCGTTCTTGGATTGACTTGAGCATGTTAACTAGCGCGACATCCTTCTCTAGATGAGGAAGTTGCTCTCCAGTTAGACCGTCTCCATACCGAGGATCTCAAAAACTTAGGTAATTGTGTAAGGTCTCGTCAGCTATCTCCAGGTTGGCCAACTTCGTCTTCGGCTAACAGCATAGGAAGCAAGCGCTCTGCGTACGTCATATGCTCTAATTGCTGGAAGCTGGTCTCTCCTGACATCTTCGCGACGGCCCGGTACTCTGCGATACTCACAAGTGTCGCTGCGACCTCATCTGGGCCGCACGCTGCGCTACGGATTGTACGCAGCCCAGCGTGGTCCCACGTATTCGCACGTCAGAACATCAAACGTAGCCAACACAACTACTACTGCAACCTGCTATCCGAAGCGTTGCCTACCGCAGCACGCATTGGCATCCCATACGCATCATCCGGATTATCACCGACACAGTGGTGGCACCAGAAATGATTGCCCGGGTCATGCGCCTTCTTCACAGCAAGCAACTGCTCGTACGACTTCTGGTCCCAGTACCTCGCCGTCCAGTTGTGCATCACATACGAGCTCTCCGAGAAATAGCTGTTCGGCCCTAGCCGATACAGCGTGTCGTTGGCCTGCTGCGTTGTCAGGGTACGCGCATTCCACAGCATGAGAGCCGAGCGGAAGCCCGGCGAAATGGCCGTGTCACCGGGCTGCGGGCTGCCCAGATTACCCGTCAGCGACGTGTAGAGGTAGTGGAATCCGCAGCGGCGGCCCGTGGAATCTGGCGACGTCGGGTCGGGGTTCTTCAGCGAGGCGACGCATATATCCAGAACGTTCATCATGGTCGAGGCGAACTGTGTTTGCATGGCCTGGCGCGAGACGAAGACCGAGTTCTGAGAGCCCGTGGCTGCGTCCGACGGAGGGTGCGGCTCTGGCAGCGGGTTCGCAGCGGCGAGGCCAAACTTGTCGGGCGGCATGGAGAGGAGGTACTCATAGGCCGACTTGAAGTTGGTCTCCTGCACGCTCTCGGTTTGCAGCACGTCCTTGAGGCCGTCGCGGACCAAAACATACTCTTGCTCTGTCTGCGCACCAGCATAAAAGTACTCAAAGCTGAACTGCCACGTGACACTGCAGAGATCACCCGGCTTGTACAGGGTGGTGTTGATGAAGAAGCCGGGCTGTGTGCTGACTTTTTGGTTGAGCTTCAGCTGCCACGCGCTGAAGCGAGTCCACATGCCGCGCAGCCACTCGTAGCCAAACTTCTGCGAGTCCGGGCAGAAAGTGCCGTTCTGCACCATAGCGACGCGGCTAAGGCCGCCGTCAGGCACAGTGTGGGCGCGGATCGTCATGGAGAGGACCACGCCCCAGACACTGCCGCCGCCGCCGCGTATGGCCCAGAAGAGCTGCGGGTCCTGGCGGCGACTGGCAACCTTTTTGTGGACAACGGGCTGGCCGTAGGCGTCGCGGCCGACCTGCAGCACTTCCAGCTCCAGCAGGTTGTCGACGCCAAGGCCCATGGACGGTGCGAAGGGCCCGTGACCGCCGCCGAGATGGAAGCCCGCCATGCCAACGGTGGAGCACCAGCCTGAGGAAATCACGCGGGCGTGCTCCGCCGAGAAGGCGTGCATCTCGGCAAAGATGGCGCCGGCGCCGAAGCGGAAGGCGCCAGCGGGCGCCAGAGCCGGGTCCTCGTCCCACGTGGGCGTAAAAGTCTTGTCCTTGAGCAGGATGGTCCGGATCAGGATGCCGCCCGTCGGGCACGAGTTGCGACTGAGGTACTCGTGGCCGGTGCCGGCTGTGGCGATGCACAGGCGGTGGTTTGCGGCAAAGCTGAGGGCGGCGGCGACATGGCGCTCATTGAGAGGGAACACAACAATGAAGGGGTTCCAATCGCGGTACTCGTTCTGGTGCAGCGCCGCCTTGCACATGTCCGATACTGTGTTCCACACGGCTGGACCACCGGCCTGGGGGAAGCACGGGCGCTGCATCTCACGCACATCTTCGTAGTAGTAGAGCGCTGCGAGGCCGTTGGGGCTGCTGCCTAGGCCGTAGAAGGACTGATTGTTGATGGCGCCCACTGGTACCGGCGCGGGCTGCGGCTGCGGGTAGCTGCTCCACTGCACGCCGAGCCGGGGCACCGTTGGGTCCAGCGCCTCCTCCAGCTGACGGATGGCCTCGGTGGTGGGCCAGCAGCTGGCGTCCTGGGGCGAGCACCAGGGCTGGCTGTCTTCGAATGTCGCGTTCGTATAGCGAGGCGGTGGTGTCTGCGCTTCATCGGCCGGGTCACACGTGCCGGCGCCGCAGAAGTCGTTGTCGGCGTCGCATGAGTAACGGCAGTGGGCGCTACACGGGTTGCACCGGCCCATGGCCCATTGCGTGCTGTGCAGCGTGTTGTTAGGGCTCGACGCCTCGCAGTCAAGCACAGCATACGAGTACACGGGCTGGTACTGGAATTCGAAGCGACAGGTGGCGACGGTGCCGTTGGTGCCAGCCAGGAGCACCACGCTGGCATCGCCGTCCTTGTGCGACACAGCGTAGCGCTGCACGCCGCGGTCGGGGTAGTTTGGCCACTGCAGCGCCGCCTGGCCATCGGCAGTGAAGTTCCACTGCGCGAGACCCTCTTGGTGGCCGCTGGATACCTGCAGAGAGCGCCACGAACCCAGCAGCGCCATGCTCTCAGGCGCCGACGCATTGCCGGGGGCCACATCCGGAGACACGGCACGGCCCGCTGCCGCAGCCTTGCCGCGGAACATGAGAAAGTTACCGCATCCGGGCGTGTCCATGGCGGCGTAGAAGCTCGCCGGCGCGGGCTGCCCGCTGTGATTGCACGCCAGGAAGCCTGCCTCGAGCCCGCCGACATCCGGCAGACGCTGCACCAGGCAGTCCTCCACGTGCGGCTTGTCGCCGCCGCACCGCAGTGTCAGCTGGCCAAGGCCGGTCTGTTCGTAGGCGCATGTCTGGGGATACGGGCTGTCGGTGGTCACAGTCTGCACGTTGTCGGTGAAGTTCTGCATGAACTCGAACTTGCCCGACCCATCCTGCTCGGCGCCAAACGAGCGCCACGTACCCTCCCAGGGGGACGTGTTGCTGCTGTTCATGAAGGCCGGCATAGTAAAATCCAGCAGATTGACGTCACTGCTACTCCCACTGTTCTCCACGAGCGGCGCGTTACCGGCGTCCAGCGGCACAGTACTGACCAGTTGCGCGGGCACACACGTGTCCCAGTGGTTACCGCACGCAAAGCACTGGTCAACGCAATCGCCTGACATGCGCGGCACGCTCGCCACGCTGGTCTCGGTCCAGCTAACAGTTGCCAGATACGCGCATTGCACGCAGCGGGTGCTAATGAGAGGCTGCAGATTCTGCAGCTGCCTGCGCAGCACCTGGTTTGCGTTGAACTCATTGGCCATGACAAACGCCGTGCGGAAGTAGGCCTCCTGCGGCAGCCGGAACGCTGCACCATCTTGACCAGGGATCACCGCACAGGTGCCATGCTTCATCCACTCAGACAGAATGAAACATTGCACTGTGTTGTTGTACTGTGGGTCTGTCGGCCAAAAGTAGCTCAGCAGGCCATCAAATGTATCGAGGATCGCCTCGTCAAATTCCTCGCCATTCTGGCAGCCGTATGGCTGGTTCTTCGCCCCGCTGCCGTTCTCCGATCCAGGCCACAGGCCGTGCAGCGTCATCTGGGCCGAGTCCGGGGCAAAGTCGTTTTTCTGCATCGCCAGTGTGTAGGCGTCAACGGGCAGCAGCCCGGCCGGCTCGCCCCACGCATTGCACAACGAGAAAGCCGGCGGTTTCTGCTGCAGCTCGCCGCCTCGGCTGCGGGCGGTGCAGTCGTATTTCCACTTGAGGTTGCATGTTTCGGTGTGGAAGTTGAAATCGTTGGAGCGACGCTGCGGGCTTGGGTTTGCGGAGCAGTTGTCGGACCAGCCGGGGCACGAGGCCGCTACTCGGCCAATGAGGGCCAGCACCAGTGCGAGTTGGGCAGGCCTTGTCATATCCGCTTGACGATGCACTGCTGTAGTGATTATTGCAAGTGGAAGCTTCAGAGTAAGGAACTTTGACTCTATTATATGTTCATGTGCTCCAGAATCCACGAACCTGCTTGGTGCTTACTCCATCGCAGCCTCTATTCTACTCAGCTGATATCATCTTTGTCAACGGTGCAACGAGCGGATAACGGTACCTGAGCGGCATCCAGCTGCGGCTGAGCCCGCAATAACTGCAAACGGCCTTTCGCTGTTCTGGCCGGTCCGAGATCCCCACAAGCACCTTCTAGCTGTTGCGGGGAAGTTCGCAAGCAGCTTCTAGCTTTTGCGGGGAACTTCCAAAACCATTGCACGCGGCAACTTCAATCGAGCTGATGTTTAGTAGCAAGTTAAGACAAAGCTTTCCGCCCTTTCAACCTACTCCTCGGCTCCTGCAGCCCCTGACTGATGCCTACTCTCTCCCACTTCTACATTATACGGCTCCGTGTATAATTCTGCTTCAACCATGAACACCGAAAGCCTTGCAGACTACCAGACTATCCCAGGGAAAACGATCCCCAGCTTCCACTGCCGCGTTGGTAGAGACTACAATGATCGTCAGCCTTTGCCGGCAAACACGTACGGGTACCCTGTGCCTGGCGTACAGGGACCTACCTCTACCTCGGTCATGGCCCTTGACTACTTTGTGAGGTATGAAGCAATAAAGCTTTGAGTTTGCAATATCTGTTTCAACTCTGACCTTGATCTTATCTAGTGACGAGACATGGGCAAACATACTGGCCCATGGAGACTTTGATTACATTGTTGTCGGCTCCGGCTTTACAGCTCTAGCATTCATTCAAAAGGCCCTTGAACTCGATCCATACGCGAAGATTCTTTGCTTGGAACGTGGAGGTGAGTGCATGCTTTGACGTTCTCTGGTGGGACACTGTCCCATCAATCACCTTCAGTGCATTATCATAGACTGATTCTTGAATCTGCTACAGGTTTCTGGCTTCCTTCGCACTTCCAGAACCTACCAATTCCGTTCAAAATGGTGCTAGGAGGGCCGTCTGAGACATTCCCCTGGACACTCTCACGCAAAACCTTCGAAACAAAGGAGCTTGGGTACTGCCACGGCTCTTGCCCCTTTTTCGGTGGCCGATCCACATTTTGGTCCGCCTGGAGCCCACGGCCAAGTCTAGACCTTTTACGTGACTTTCCCGAGGCTATGAAAAAGACTGCTGCACAAGAAGATTTTTGGAAGCAGGCCAAGGAGCTGTTGAATGTCACATCCGCAGACAAAATCGATGACGGCATCTTCGGAAGCCTACAGACTGCCATTGATACCATTCTCAAGGACTCGCTCGGCAAAATTCCCACTGCAGACTACGTTGAGTCAGCTCCACTCGCTGTCGGACGACGTAATCCAACCTCCAGTTTGCGATTCAGCAAGTTCTCCACCCCTGGGCCTCTTCTTAGCATCTTGGAACAACAGAGGCAACTGGCAAAGGCCGACAATGGAGCGCCCTTAGAGATTATGACTGACTGCGCCGTGAAAAACATGATCAAAGGTGACGACGATGATTTTGTCCGCGTTATTGAAACCAGCAAGGGTACTTTGTCATGGACTGGCAACAAGACTAAGATCATCCTCTGCGCAGGAGCCATTCCTAACGCCACAATGTTGTTGAACTCTTTCGAGAGCTGCCGTGACACTGTCGGCAAGAGACTGACTGGTCACTACGACACACACATCTCAGCGAGATGCCCGGTCAAGAACATCAAGGGCTGGAAGAAAGAGACCACGCTCAAGATCGCTGCCGCATACCTGGCCGGCAAGGATCCCAAAACTGGCCTCCAGTACCACGTCTCGGTCACGGCGCTGAACAGCCCCAACCCGATAGATGACGCTGAGGACGCGGCTCGCGAATGTCCAGATTATGCTGCTGCTGCGACCTTAGATCAACTCACGGGCTCAGAGGACTACGTTGTGTTTGGTATGAAGCCTTCCTTTCTCACCGAGAACACAAGCTGACCAGGAACTATTTAGTCTGCTCGGCTCTTGGGGAGTTCAACGAGAAGAACACCAAGAACCATGTCACTCTAAACAAAGGTAATGATCCAACTTGCAACGTCACCCTGCAATACACCTTGAGCGACGAAGATGATACCGCTTGGGACGTCATGGATCAGGCAACTTACGACACGATCAAAGAAATGGCAGGCGGCGATGAACACGCGTTGGACATCGACTGGTGGGACGAGAAGAAACATGGCTGGACAAAGACAAAACCAGCAGTCGATACCATTCGGATCCCTGGTGTTGTCCACGAGTCAAGCACTTGTTTCATGGGCCCCAAGGAGATTGGTGGTTCAGTGGATGAGCTGTATCGTCCCCACGGCATCGAAAATGTTTATGTTACTGGAGCTGCCCTTTTCCCTACTGCGGGTAGTTGGAATCCCACGATGACTATGTGTGGATATGCTCAGGACTTGGCTAGGAAGCTGCATGGTATGGATCCTCAAGAGAATGAGCCATAAGAATAACTATGTTCTTGGTGATATGATGTAAGTTGCCCTTGGGGGAAGCTTTTCTCTACCCCCTGTTAGAATAGGTACAAGTAAACGTATAGCTTTGCTCAATTTAGTCATAGGCATGCACATATACATTTGTATATAGCGTGAATAGAAAATAGCTAAAGCTACCTATACACCACTGCCTCGTATGAACCATCCTAGGTGGGATAAGCATATCTACAAACAATAATGGAGGCCCGCGTAGTTGCTACAAGAGGCAGACCGAACTTGATTAATGGATTTAGCTTGGTGCTGCAGGCCAAGCTTGTACTTGTGGGCACTGGCGCTTCGCTCGGGTATCGTACCTCATCTACGATCTAGTACTTGGCAAGGAACTCTTAGTTTGGGAATCACAGACCAATTCCATGCCCCGCTGTATTGTAATGCCGAGCGGGCTCCATGTTGGCGATCGTGATGTGCAGGTCCGTCCCGCACGGGACGCCTCATTCAACATGACCTGATGATCGACAATCGTACGATACTGATTTGGGTTTCCTCCCAGCACGTGGTGTACACTAAGAGCGTGTATTTCATACCATTAATAATGATGGATTCTAGATGTATACGAGTCTGCTCAGTGTACACATCGATGCTCTTCTTATGACTGCTACAGCTGCATTTTAGATCTGTACTCGAATCTGACTGAACTCCACTACCTCGATCGCCGAAGATCCCCATGACCTTTCATTACCTCCCATACGTGAAATCAACCGACTCTTCGACAGTGACTTTCGGTAGTACCGCCCTATCATTGCTTGGAAACTTCACGTAACCTTTGCCCTTCACGAACGTTGCCAGTGGCTCACTCTGTCCCTCTTGCTCTGCCAGCTCCAGGAAATATTTTGCATGAGCGGGCCCAGAAGGATGCCCTGCCTTTCCCTCGGGTGTGCGCTCATCGACATAGTAGAATCGGTAGCCCTTAGAAGCGAAGCTAGGAGTCGCAGCTAGCGTTTGGATCATATACCAAGTGGCAGACTTCCCAATACCAAGCATAAGAAAGATGGGTAGGATCTAAGAACGTAAGATTATCGCGATATTTGGAAATAGATGCACAAAACTTACCAGGGTATTTCCATTATTACCGGTATAGATGAAGGTCTTTTTTGCGTCCTTGGGGAGCTTACTAAACCCGGCCACTGCGGCTTGCGCAGCAGCATATGCGCTTGTGGTGTTGATTGCAAGGTCATTCTGGAACTCTTTAAGCGGCGCCGAGACTGGGTTCTCAGGATCAGGCCCCCTGGACCAGGAGTAAGCTGTTTCAATATGAGCATCTGACAGTAGGAATAAGAAGCCCTGCACGCTGAAAGCCGCTTCTTGAACATGTATAGAATTAAGACTTACGGTTGTAGACCACAACGTTAGGTACTCCCAACTCCTGATGAACCCTCTCGAAGATTGGCCCAATCACGCTTGGATCGCTGAAGTCCGCAGTCAGACACAAATCTGCCTGAGCTTCGATATCGGCTCGAATCGTGCGAGCCACGGCAGCGATCTTGTATCCTTTAGTTTTGAACAGTGATAGTGTAGCCGCTCCAATGTTCGGTCCTGCACCGAGAAAAAGAAGTGTCTTTTGTGCCATGGTAACGATGGTGAATGTTGCGCGCAGCTTCGGTGATCCGGAGCTTTCAAAATTGGTTATGGATGAGGATGGGGGGACAGCGTACCTAAGTACTTATAATGAACATGGCTGAGAGGCATACTCTCTGGTCTGCATGCTTCAACATTCGTAATCAGGTTCGGAATTTCGAGATGGTTCCGATGATACGATCCATCCGTTCTTGGCGAATGGTGCTGCTATAAAGGGAATAGCTTGTTCTTCAGTATCCCTTGGCGAATGGAGAGGCCTCTTACGGTTAGACTGGCAGTTTAGTCGCACCAGTCGCCGTGCTCTCTAATACAGTGAGTTATCGGTGTTGCAGCGGTAAGTGCCTTGGGGTTAACGGAATCAAGCGATGCGAGCGGTAGTGCCAGATAGCTAGGTAAAGCCGTGGAACCGCTAGTGACCAACCAAGAAGTACCTATAAGATAGCCAAAGCAATGTCCGCGTACACGATGCGGCCGTGCTGTCACCACTTGCTAGAGACATATCAACACCCACCGTCAAATGGAGAAGATCTGGTCAGGCCGCTGCACCCATGCCGGTAACGCGGCTAACCAGGAACCGGCGGCAACCCAGACAACGACCAGGAGAAGACCAGTGCCGCAAGCACTTTTAGCCAGTCGAGCCAGGAAGTCCTATTGCCACGAGTGATTGCAAATCAAACACCACACCGAACAGATCATCAAGTAATAACACTATTTGTTTGCTGACATACAATTTACCTCTAAGAAGCGTAATGACTGTACCAGGCTCGCTGTAGTTCTTGACGTTAGAACGAGTTACTCAGGATCTCAACAGAACACAATGATATCTGTAGCATGGTACCTGGCTATACCTACACTCTTGGTGGTTGTATCCCAAGAGCGGCCAACTGGACGGCGATTTGCTGACAGCGCCATATCTGAGCTCGGTACTGGTCTGGTTTGCTTTTGAAGACGTCAATGGCTGTCGTAAAGGTGAAGAAGGTCGACCCCGGACCGTATAATTTCGTCTCTGGTTGCAGACTGTACGTCATGCTGTCACAGATCATTTCTGCTAAATCTGCGACTGACATATCCGTAAGGTGCTCGACCTTCTCTGTATTTTCTCCTCTTTGAGCGACAAGTGCAGCCCCAAGCACATCAAGGTGTGTTTTGACGATTATCATAAAAGCCCAGAAATGCGTTAGGCTGTTCGCAACCAAGAGATTTGGGAACCAGAGATCCCTTGCATCCGATGGCGCGCACATCCTCTGATCGCTCCTTGTCCAGAATAACGCTGACTGAGCTTGTGACCGTTGAGTCAACTCCCAATCTTGGAGGCTCTGCATCGTGATCCTGAAGTCTTGCCAGAGTTGATCGATCACGACCAAGTCAGCCCTTTCTGGAGGTAATCTTATAGCGTCAAATCTTTGTAGTAAGCCTGGGATGTTACCAGCTCGACTGAGCAGCTGCTGCATCATTGTTTGAGTCTGCCAACAGAACGGCTTAGTTATCCAATCTTCTCGACCAAGGAATGTTATTTGTCGATTTAGAATCGAGCTGATCAGCTAAACAGACACCACAACAAATGATTAGCGAGGCAAGGATGGAAAGTGGACGACAGCCTACCAGTAACGGTCTGAAACCAACAAAGAGTGTGCGCAAAATACCATGGCTGAAGGCATCCGGTCCCACACTTTCCACCCAGTCTCCTACTCCCTTCAGGTGTGTCTTCCAGCCAGAACTGGTATTCGGAAGCATAATCTTTGCAGCCATTGTTATAAATACACAGTGATAAGCCGCTCAGAGAGATATACTTACATCGCTCACTGCCAAACACATAATCGCCACACAGTGTTGAATCCGGAAAACACCGTCAGCTTTCTCAAGAGCTTTACTCATTCGGCTCAGCGACGTGCAATACGTCTCAAATGCATGCCTATTGTACACTTTGTCTGTCGGGACGATGCACTGGACAGACGTCGCTAAGGCTTTAATTGCGGAGAAGAGGAAGGCGTCGGTTTCCCTAGTATTTAGAAGAGACGGAAGTGCTTCGACCCATGCCCCACATATCTGATTGTGAGACGGGTTAGACTCTGCGGGATCGCAATTGCTAGCAGGGACGTAATATTGCAAAATGCAATGAACGTCATATCCAAGCCCCTGCTGATCCTGTGATTCGTGTGGCACAGCTCCCAGGCGTAAATCCAGGTAGTGGCCTTGGAAGAGTTGATACATACTGTCGAAATCGGCGGACACTTTCTGTGGATGTTTGAAGGTGGTTTTGCGCCGGTCTCTTAATGTTACCTGCTTGCTTGTTTCGGAAGAGCTTATCACGAAAAGGAATTCCTGCTGGTAGCCGGTACACGAAACTTTCCGGAGAGTACATTGAGAACATGCAGGTACTTTTCCATCGCACTATGATGAGCGGCTATTGTTAGCATATCGTGTGTTTAGAAGTGAACTTCACACTAAAGTCACTCACAGCCAGTTTTCGAGACCTACACTCCTGACACACGTTTTTCCGTTTAGCTCTCATGGATCAACTTCTACACTCGCAAGTCCGTAAATTCGTTAAGACAAAATTAAGCCGTTGTGCTTGTAAAAAAGCGAATTGGTGCTCACCCTGACTAAATCTGTCTGAGAACTAACCTTTTAAAGGGCGTTGATTCGCCAAGGCGCTAAAGCCATTTTCGGCCGGAATAGTGGGGTAAAGGACAACGCCCCAACGTCAGCGGCCGAATTCCGGACCCATGCACGTGTCCGAACACAGGATTAGAACGGCTGTTCGTTCAGTTGAGTCTTCCCTGGCTTCACACAAACCGAGCAGTCTGCCTAGCATGTCGTTAGAAACACAATTGGGTGCTGGGATCGCAGGATATCGAGAAGAGTAGGCAAGTACTTGTGTTCTTACATCATTATTGCTCGGCTTATCTCTCGGCCCTTGCATGACGCGATTAGTAACATAGTTTGCGCTTTACTGCAGTGTCAGGAGATCAACTCGAGGCCCACTATGAAAGTAGCATCCTATGCGTTGTCAACAGCGAAGAAGACGAAAGGTAAGTATAAGGCATTGTTTCAAACATACTCGTTTCTCGTCCATCTAAGGACCCCATTGTCCAAGACTGGGGCAATATCGGACAGGAGGTTAGTCCCCGTCGCTCTGTGAGCGCGTGTTCTGCAAGATATGATACAAAGTGACAGTCAAGAGTGAGATGCAAGGTCACTTGGCCTCGGAGCATCTGGTGAAAGCATCCTTGGATGTGACTCAACGGTCTGTGCCCTCGCCATGAGTATGACTATCCTCGTAATCAGCACCATCTGCATCAGCAGAGTCTCGTCTCCACCTCTTCCAAGCCGCGATTCCCCAGCACACAGTGCTGCTAATGGCCCAGACACTTCCAAGGACGATAGGCACGCCGTATCCCAACATTGCTGCGCTCGTGAGAGTCGCGAAGACGGAGCCAGCTGCGACGCTTCCAATACCAGCTTGAATACCTGCTGCGATGCTACCTATTCATGTGTCAGCTATGCGCGACTAGAGGTGAATGTTCAAGTCCATACCTGCAGCGATACCACCAGCCGTGAATCCAGCAAGTCCTAAGAAAGCAGGTGTGCATGCTACAAGAAGAATAGGAATGATTAGGGCAGCGGCCTCCCATGGATGTAGCTTGATCCACTCCATCGCCGCTTTGATGACTACAGCATTGCCCTGATTCTTAAGCACTTCAACTGCTGTACCCAACGCATCCTCAGCTTGTGTTCTAGCAGCACGAATCGCAATCGTGAAGTGAATGACGGCGACATCAATAGTACTGGGAAGCGCCGAAGTATTGGGTATTGCATCAATTGCGGACAAACTCCTGAGCGAACCCCGGAGGTGACGATTGCGTAATTCGAAAGGATACGAAGCGTTCGAATCGGACACATTAGCGTTGGATCCAAGCCCGTCTTCCATGTTAGATTTGCCTGTGAATCTGGAACTGGAGCTTCGCTACGACCGCGGAGCTATATATACTGTCGTTTGGTTATCTCTTGCTACAGCGCTACTGTTGATGAATCCCGTGAATACACTTTCTATACGTATATTCGTGCTTAGTTGTTGCGAACAAACTGATTGTGTTGTTGTATAATTTGCAGAAGCTATGGAGAAGAATATTGCGTCCAATTGCCACGCCTTGGCGGTGGTACATGATGCGGGGCTCGTGTTACCTTACGCGTAATAGTTTCTCTTCTCACTGACATTATGGCAGATGTGACGGAAGACGGGAGTCTAAAGGACATTGAGAAGTTCAAGTTGTAACTCATCAGTCCCAAGGCTGTGATGTTATAAGTACGACTACGGGAAAGAAGTAATCGCAGACGAGACTGTTGACGGATGGCGCAAAAAGGTTTGGAAGATCGTATTCCTTGATTGGAGGTTACTGGCGATCTAGTCGTTATAATTGGGCGACTCATGTCGGCTCTTATCAAGTATGTTCGGAGGTTGCCGCCTGCGCATGAACGGAGGAGCCCGCATGCGCTCAGCTCGAAGTGTATCCGACTTGATACTTAAACAGCCTTATATGGGGTCTGGAGTTAGTATCTACCTCAGTTTCAATTCTTCATTTTCTGTAGCTCGTTATTTAATCATGAGTTCGTTAGCGACCAACCCATCATACCTCGTATCGACACTTCTCTCCACAGTCGAGGAACGTATCATTCCTCTCACATCACAGGGCGTGTGCTCTGGTTCGAAAGTCTTCGGTGCCGCCATCCTGTCGAACACCAATCTTGCTCCGCTCACTGTCGCTACCAATCATGAATCTCTGTCTCCTCTTCTACACGGCGAGATCAACTGCATTCAGCAGTTTTTCACAGTCGATTTCCCTGATGCAAAGACTCGACCAAATCCACGCGAGGATTGTGTTTTCTTTGCCACACATGAGCCATGTAGCTTATGTCTGAGTGGTATCGCATGGTCTGGCTTCAAAGAAGTGTACTATCTGTTCACCTACGAAGATAGCAGGGACTTATTCAGTATACCACACGATATCGACATTCTGGAACAGGTCTTTCGAGTACGCGTTGATGGCGAGGACGACGAGGCGCTGGACAGACGCCCATTGTATAACCGAGATAACAAGTTCTTTCGTGCAAGGGCTCTGGCAGATATAATCGCTGGTATTAGTGACATCACAGAGAGGGAACAACTTACCAAAAGACTAGATGAGGTCAAGGCGCAATACAAAGGGCTTAGTCAGACGTATCAAAGCGGCAGGCAAGAAGGAACAGAGACTGCAAGTGTTTGGCAATAAGAGTTTGGAAATCAGTCTCGACCAACAGAAATCCACTTTGCAATTGCTGGAAATCTGAATTATCTCCCGTAAAGTCCTCCGCAGTGAGTGGTTGTAACAGAAAACTCAAAAATCTCGTAAAAACACCCGAGAGGCTGAGCGGCACTTGTCGTTCCTCGAAGGAAGAGGTAAAAAGGTCATTTTAGCATTCATCTGGGACATTATCGTCACGACAACTATCGCAACTACAACGTCGAGGGTCATACCCATTGACTTGATACTACGCAACCATGGACATCACCAAGACTTCAACTAGTATACTTCTCGCCCATAATCAAGGATTTCTGCTGTATTAAGCGAGCAAAGGCGCAACATAACCTCTATGCAGCCTGGACTTCCAAGTCTCGAGGCACCAAGGAAAACCAGGGCCTAGATACTGAGCAACACTATGGGCATAATGGAGGGAGATAATCGATGCGTGAAGTCTTGAAGCATACCCTGCTAGCTTGGAGGACAGGATATGAGTTTGATATAGAGGTACTTTGTTGGGTCATGGCTTGACTGCGAATGCACAATCCTGCGCAAGATTTAATATCCACGACTTGATGTTCAAGCATTGTCAACGTTGATTGAACTAAGCTGTGGAACTGTGAGCATTTGTAGGCAGACATGAACTGTGAAGCTGCATCCGTTACAAGTAGCTCGATCCTGATCTTCGTACCCTAATGAGATACTTACTGATAAAGAGCTTCTCTATGGAAACTCTTCATGTAACTACGTGTGTAATGTTAGCTTGAATCTCATACGCGATACGGAGTAGCATGCAGACATGTAGCGAACGTACGTACACTTATCAGGACCCCTAAACTGTCAGCGACGGAACGATTCTTTTCAGAGCGTCTACTGGTGTTGATGGGCGCTATCAGTACTTTCAACCCTTAAAGATGCTCTTTATTCGTGCGATCCGTGTTGTGAGTGGGTAATGTCTGTGGGTCGGATTGTGTAAGTGATGTAAATTTATCGTCAACTCAAGCCGGTGCATACTCTCTTGCATCCAGCCACGGCTCTATAGATTGACATCAGATTCCACTGGAGGCGGTTTTCGAGCGTTTCTGTTCCTTGCGTGTCTACATTGACATGCAGGATGGCGCATAAGGCAAAATTCCTTCTCGGATCTTAAGTCGCAGTCAATGTTTTTCCAGCCATTCATATACACGGTCTGCAATCTCAATGTTGTTCTTTTCCATGAAGAACATATGTCCGTTACCGTGTATACCTTCCTTCCCTAAATCTGCATACTCGACGTCTATACCGACTTGCTGCAAGTACTTGACCGTGCAATAATCGTAAGGTGCATGAAACGATGCCTCTCCGGTGACGACAAGCTCTGGAATCTTCGCTAGATTGGTCAACAGTTTTGCTGGAGACTTTTGCATGATACACTCGTTGTGGTCTGCATCGATTGCGGGCTCGATCACCGTTTCAATATCTTCAGCATGGCTGCCCGCACTAGGCTCGTATCCAATCGATAAGTCGGTCAAGCCGAACGCAAACGCTGGCTCGTTCCCAAATGGCGGACGAAGAGTGAACGGTGGTCCAGACGGTTCGAGTTGTATGATGCCCTTTACCAGATCTGAGCGCATGTCTCCAACTCTCCAACCTGCTCAATCGTCAATTAGATCTGGACGACCTGCGGTTTTAAGATTCACCCACCGTACGCGCCTGCTTGAGAGTGACTGATAATGTAACATTCTCCTACGAGGTCGACTAGATTCGAATAAGCGTGCGCGTTTTGTTCCTCGCCAATGAAGCGGTCAGTCTGAAACTGAAGTTGACTTCTGTAGAAGTTATCAAAGAACAAATCGCCTACACGACCAGTTCCAGGCCATTGTGTGTGAAGCTTAGCTTGCGGCCATTTGTCACCGTTGCTCGCTACGTCGGTGAAGATATCGGAGACAACGTCAGGGGACCCGATTGTTCCAAGGGTTCCCTGGCCGGGATACCAGAATGAACGACCTCGTGCTGGTTGGTCTGACAGATACACTGTATGGCCCTTGGCGACGAAGTAAGATGCCCATCCCGGTCTCCCATCAGGAGTGTCAAGGAAGTTGGTGCCGCTCTGGGCTGCGCCTGCAATAAAAATGATAGGCAAGGGTGGGTCAACGGGACCTGGTATTGGAGAGAGCTTCTCCACGTAGATCTGTTCTATCAGAACCAATGACGTCAAATTGGTAGTACTATCCTACGTGTCTGTTAAAGCGTATCAGCTAGCAAACAATGAACCTACTGTAACATTCGTGTATCGGCCGCCGACATATAGTATCTCACGCTTCGGAACGACGGCTTCCAGACGCGATCTGTTGGTCTGCGTATTACACCCGAGCAGAGTGACTCCAGCCAAGAATGAGAAACAGCGGATGTTCAGCATTGTGAAGGACCTTTGCAGCCAAAAGGAGGGCTCAGCAAGACTGGAGGTTTTGTCTAATTTGCGAATTAAAGTTTAGATCGAACACAGCTGTGTGAATAAAACGTGTTTGGTCTTTGTGGTTGGCAGAGTTGTGTTCGGGGCGATGAGGCACGCCTGGTGCGGGGCAGCCACTCTGCACTTCGGAGTGGGGCCGCTGCTATACCTAGGTATGCAGCATGCCATGCCTGCAGCATTTCGCCTGCATGGTATTTCCCAAATCTAGATAGTCCGAGACTCTCAATACCACTGAGAGAATTTTCGCCGTATGGACTTGCGCAACCACCTTCGGGACTAAAGCTGCCCATTACCTAACCTAGACATTGATATTCAAGTTGGTTCAACTAGAATAATAACAAGATTCGTATGGCGTACCTCTCTACCTCTGTCGCTTGCTTGAACCAGAGGCCTCTGCCGACCACTCAGCAGCTACTCTGCTTAACCTTTTCTTTCTCCCACTCGGCGATACAGGCTACGACGATAAGCTCGCCAGTAAGGGGTAGTCAGTCAAAGAATGCATGCTGGTGCCCGCAATCCCACCTTCCATTGGGGAGTTCCGGCGATTACGATCATCAACGGAAGTCTGACTGCTATGCTTGCAAGACCGTAGACATACAGAAGGTAGGCAACCCACGTATTGATTGTAAAAGCCGTGCTCGCTTTCTGGCCTGAAGAACGACCCGCTCGGCAGTTACTAGCTCCGGCACTCGTCAACACGGCCCATGCATGACGTGCCGTGCGATCTGTGGATCTGGCCTCACGGAAGGATTTGGTCTTGGATACCTTGGCATCGGGGAGATCTCCACATCATCGGTGTATCGTTCCACTTCTCTCCACGTACTCGGGACATCATAGCGCGGCATTGCACCTCTATTGAAACAACCTCAAGATGCAGACTTCTAAGTTGGCTGCAGACTTTCACTTCGACATCCGCCGATCACAGATTTTGTGTTTCCTGGTAGATCGTGTGCATATTCGTGGAAGCCATGTTCCCAAATAGCTGCGATAGTCCGATCCATTGTTCTAGTTCAGAAAGCTTATTGGTGAAAGCCGAAGAAGTGATGCAACAATCTATCCACGATCGAGGGATGACATCCTGTTGCTCATCCTCTTTCAGTGCAACAAGCGCAATGTACACGATTAAGTCTCTCATCAGGGATTCAATAAAATAAGCTCCGCCCTATGCTTACTCTGCATCATCGTAGCGAACCTTGACCCACTGGGCCTTCGTCACTGTCTGCGACGTGTCAGACTCTGACTTGATTGTCGCACTATCATCAGCGTTTATGATGAAGGTAAGAACATGCCCATCATCACCTGCTCGTAAGATGGTTTGCTTGAAGGCCTCGTTCGACCACTCATTAAGCATAGACTTGCTGATCACACTGGTTGCAACTTGTGCGGCTTGCGCCTCAGGAAGTGGATCCGGACTGGGTCCTCTGACGAGGTCTATAGTCTTCCCAATCAAGGCTAAGGCAATCCTATTGAGAGAATCTCTTAACAACATTGCGGAGGTGTTTCGTGTTGTTGTACCAAATTTTCTCTCCCCAGATCGTAGAGTGGACTCTTCTTCGTGGAGAGATGTAAGAAGCCAAAAGTTGCGGCCCGTGACGAATATTCCTGTCTTATACACAGCTTCCAAGGATTCCCTGGTGAGCTCGCCCTGTTGAATGTCTGGCCAGTCGTTTTGACTCTTGAAGGTTTCACTGCCCACATATCTGTGGGCTATGCTCGCGCCGATGATAAAGATGGGTGTGTTGTTTTGGATCTAACAAGGGCAGTACCCTTTGTTGCGCCGATGGCAAAGGATAGGAGGTATATTGTAAGAAGAAACTGGCTTAAGATTGAGGAGCGCATCTCACTGGTGCAGACGTAGACAGATCTGATAATGGAGAGGAGGTACTTGGCTTGACGATGTTACCGAAGCTTGAAGTGTACCGAAAAGAAGTAACACGTCATTGCGGTATACATACTGGAGCCGCTATATGGGGCTGATGCGCCAAGTTGGCCCGCAATGTTTTCTCGGGCACCTCCACACGACGAAGCTGGTTCAGTAGAGTACGATCTGTAAATTAATTTTGACTAGATTGGTTCGAAGATACCTTCTCTTTGTCCAGATATTGTAACACTCTTCGATGGCTTGAAGGATGTAACAAATTCCCTATGCGCTGTTGCTCAATGTTACGTAGTGCGAAGTGATCGTAATGCTAGACCTGGTGGGTCAGTCATACCTAACTGCGTTCATTAGATAATGTGATTTACCTCCTCACGTCTCTGTTACTACTAACTCACGAAAGGGCACACTCAATGTGTCACAATAATTGAAACTATAATCGTTGGGTGGTCGTGATGTTGGCGCACAGAAAGGCCTAAAGCAACACAGAACTACTGGTTCCACGTCCCTGGATACATTAATGAATCTCGATATCATAGATTCTGCAAGTCTGTACTTGTTTAAACGCTTCCCTTGAGTCTTTGGGCCATTGGTACGCCCGGGACCGGTAGTGAAACAAAGTTTCAACGGCAAGCGTTCGACTAGACGATAACAACATGATCAATACCTAAAACCACATGCTCCCTAGTCAGTTGTTAGGCCAGAGAATCATGATGCATGTAACCAGCGCCGTTACTACTGCCCAATACATATCATGAAGTGACACGATACAGTCAAAACAGTTAATCATCAAATTCGTGGCTACTCAATTGCTAGATATCATGCTCGCGTGAAATCCTCTCCACTCCTCTTCGCTCGCGTTTAGCAAGTGTTCAACATGGATGTCAGGGCCGTCTTCTCCGCGCTCGTGATGGTCAGGCTGTACACGCTCTTGACCCGCACCCACATCTTGGCGTATGTGCAGTAGTAGCTTGTTAGCGGGGGCTTCCAGTCCTCGGGACCCTTGTCGCCCTTGGCTTGGTTGACGTTGTCAGTGACAGCGAGGAGCTGCGGGTTGGTCAAGTCGTTGGCAAAGGCCTGGCGGCGTGCAGTGGTCCATGATGCGGCACCGGACTATAATTTGTCAGTACGAGGGGAATTCGTGATAAGGTCGAAGTGTCGAAGTACCTTCCATGCGTTACTCAGGGGGACCATGTGGTCGATATCAACGTCGGCTGCGTCGGTCCAAACGGCTCCATCGTAGGGGCTGGCCCAGCGTCCGGCGGTAGCAGCACAGGCAGAGCTCTGAACGACGCCAGTTCCATCACGGGCGAGGACGACCTCGCGGGTGTTGCAGGCACCTAAAATTGTTAGTTTGACGTTGCCATTGCCATTGCATAAATCGTACCTGACTGTGTGATCCAGTGAGGGAACAGATCACGGGAGTAACCAGTCTGAGGGCCTTGAGCAGCAACGGTGAGACCAGCAAGTTGGGTCTTTGCCGCAGCGGTGGTAGGGACACCCGGAGGCGCACGTGGAACCAAAGGTGCAGGCGCAGCCGCCGCGAGAGTTGCCAGGGCAAATGTAAGAATTGCAGTCTTCATCGTGGATTGGTGATCTGGAGAATGAGGTAGGGAGTCCTATCTTGTCTTCTGGAAGTTGATGATGCTCGCCACTCTTATACTCTTGCCCCCAAGTCATTTACCATTGATCCTCGGACCAGCACAGCGAAGTCGCAGACAAACAACAAGGGCTCCAATCAGCATGCCAATGATAACGATCTTCGGAGCCACGCGCTCCTAGTTACAATGGGTCCTTTGCGGTAGTACACCACACGCACATGCACCAGCGCTTCCGCGAACCCAGAAATGGCAGGTGAAGACCCTGGCCAAGATGGTTCGCCCAGCCCATCTTCTACCGCTTCGGGCGGAATAATCACTGTACCTGATCACCCGCAGCGTGCCTGATACAGCGACGTCGCAACTGCCAGGAAGGGGTTCGGGGCCGACCTAATCTGCATGTCCTGTAAGCTGACAGGGTATTCGGAAGATTACAAGAGTTACGAACAGCGCGCTGTCTGGCGAAGATTTAGGAAGGTTGGGTCCAGGTGCTCTTATCGCGTTATCTCATTGGGTCATTTGCTCTCGGCGTTGTATGCAGATCGTCATTTGATTGGCGCAGTAGATGAAACTTTGAAGCCACGGCGGTTTTGCGGTTCGGGGCGAGGAAGTACGGCATTGCTAGTGGGACTTGAGATAGCGAATAGATAACCAGCACGGCGAAACGTGAGGATGCGGTGTGCCGACGAGGACATGACACAAAGGCGGGCGCGGAGAAATCCTATCAAGCGGGCAGGGCTGAGTGAGCTCGTACCTACCCCGCATTGGCGCATTGGTATGAAATAGGGAATGCCAAGCCGCAAGCATTCACTCCGTCCCACAAGCTTGCCGGGTTGTTTGTGTCTACCGTCAATGTCTTCGAAACCACTTCATCTATATCGACGTAATTCAATGTTCTCAACTCGTCTGTTTGGCCGCATAGCAGAGTCAGCTCTGGTCGCGCGGAGATAAGCACTAGATAGGCTGTTCCAGCCGGAGCTTGCAGTGCCAACCCTTTAGTGCTGCTTTCAATGGTGTCTCACGAAGATGCCGTTTTGAGCATGTCAGGTACGACCCCAGGCTCGGCACTGCCTGAATGTCGCTTGGTACTAGGTTTGTTCGTGCATCTTAGACAAGGGCTTCGCGAATGAGGCAGGCACAATGTAGACGTGGCGCTGCATGCTGGACAAACTGATAGCCTGTCGGCGACCACCGAGTGTTCGATTGCGTTGTTGTTACAAGTGTTTGTACGCGTACAGACGTCTCGCGCATACAGCGTCAAGCATTACTACTCAGCCGCAAAGTCGAAGCTTTTGAAGGCTTTCTTGAACTTGTCAACATCTTGCTCCTCCTGGGGTTGTGTCTGCCCGCAGTCCCTCCAATCGATCCGCTTGTCTAGTCTCAATAGCTTTGCTAGGACCTCTCGACCGAACTGGCTGTGGAAGCGGACTTTGTCGTCAAAGCGCATGACTAAGCTTGTCTGCTTCTCTGTTGGATTCTTTGGATCCCACACAATGACCCTGAAGAAGTCGCTTGTCTCGTCGAACCCATCACCAACATCTTCTTTCGTGAAAGCCGGCCAATGTAAATTCTCAGCCAACGCTTTGAAGGCAGCTTCGACGAGTCCTTTGCGGATGAGATCCGCCGGGACTGGAAGGTATTGCCAATGCGTGTGGGGCAGACTCGATTTGCTTACTTCCCATGTTACAGAGCCGTACTCTTCGCCGGCAGCTGAATTGAGCATGCCGTTCATAGCAACTCGGTACTTTTGCATCTCAGCATAGGTAGCGAGACGTTCCTCCTCTTCCATAGCAGCAAGTGTCGGTTGGTGAGAGAAAGGAATTATCAGCATATGACAGGGGAAGCCGAGCTTGGGGTAGGTTTGTGATGTTGAGAGTGGTCCCCTTGCTGTTGTGACGTACGAGCTGTCGCCAATTGAGGTGACCAAATGGGTCGCAATGTTTTCATTGGCGAGACAGAAGAAGCATTCTGCTGCGGTGAGTGGTCCTCGAGGCTCACCTTTGCGGCGTTTGTGCGATCTTCGGCCACCTCGAGTTCCATCATCGTACACAAGAGCTTGTTCTTGTGGCTCTAACGCAGGACGCTTCTTCTCTGATAAAACAAGAGGACAGGCTGTAGAGCCAGTGGGAGGCGCAACAGGATTACTCGCCTTGGGATCCAATGAGAAAGCATAGATCCACTTTTGTTTGTTAGAGTTGCCATATCGTGCCAGACTGATGAACCGGGTGACTGGGTAGAGGTTATCGGTGTCATCACTGGGCGGATGGAAGAAGGGCTCTCGTTCCCAAAACGAGTTTCCCGACGTTGAAAAATGATACTTCGGTTTCAAGACTATGCCGAGGTCGGCGATGCACTGTTGCGCTGAGGGTGATGCATCTGCACCAAGCTCGACCTTTGAGCGCTTTTGTATTCCTTCCGGCCAGTCGCTGGTCACAAGGATATCCGCCGTTGTTGCTCCACGCAGAACCTTTGCGTCTGTCTCGCCGTAAAATGGCGGGTACCTATCCTTGGACGGACCTGCAATGATGCTGGGGTCCATCTGACCGCCGAGAGCAACAATACGAATTCCTTCGGAGGTCTTCATAGTCGTCCGTTTGCCGAGGAAATGCAAGTTGTGGCACAGCTCATCGTCCGACGACTGCAGTTTCTCGACGACCGCAGGTGGTAGAGCATGGTTGCCAAGAGCAAAGTATGTCGGCAGCGCGACCTCGATCTTGCCATCCACAAGTGACCGCACATCTGGATCGACTACATCACCCGAGCTCTGTGTGCTTGCAAATAAGTTGCCAACAATGAGCGCGAAAGCAAAGTTGTTCTTCGCGTGTAACGCATTTACTTTCTGGAAGACAGCCTGGAACTGCCCGTCTACATCGCCAATGACCACACTAGGTTGACATCAGCTTGGAACGAGGCAATGCCGCGAGACTTACATTTTCGACGCCATCATGATGTGATGATGACAACTTTTGGTGTTTGGAGCTGCCTCCACCTCGGAGGTCCTGCCAAAGTCCGCAAGCTCGAAGCACGGGCCGCCCAAAAAGTGGCAGGCGCTAACGAGAAATTTTGTGGGGCACTCGAGAAAGCAGCAGCCATCAAACGCAGAAGTCGCACCTCACACACACTATGCCAGCAATGTCGCGGGGTACAACTGGCACACCCTCTGCGAAGCCGGGCGCGAGGTCGTCCTCGAAGCCGTCCTCGAAGGTGCGGACGCCCAAACACACCAAAGGCGGCACGGTCTCGTCCCGCAACCACCGGTTCCAGGGCTTCTCGCAGCGCATTGCGAAGCTCAAAATCGAGCCTGTCCGCCGCGGGCGCAGCACCATCATCGACGATGCCGAGCTCGAGAGCACCTTCTCGTACTTCCGAGACTCCTTCTTCGAGTGGAAGGAGCTCTGTCTGGCCGAGAACTTTGTACATTTTTCGCGCAAAGTCTCGCCACTCTGCGATAGCCTTCCCCAGGTGCTCCACCACAGCGATCGCATAGTCGACCTCCTGGTGGAGTTCATAGAGAAGGGCGAGAAGTTCAGTGAAGAGCCGCTGCTGAGCCTGCTCGCACACTTGGCACACGATCTCGGCGAGCAGTTCGAGAAGCATTTTGAAAGGGTTGTCAAGACTGTGGCGCATCTGGCTGCCACGCATGCAGAGATTGAAGTCATTGAGTGGAGCTTCACATGCCTTGCATGGCTGTTCAAGTACCTCTCCCGGCTCTTGGTCCCAGACCTGCGACCAACCTTCGATCTGATCTCGCCTTTGCTGGGACGCGCGCACCAGAAGGCTTTTGTGGCGCGCTTTGCTGCTGAGTCTCTTAGCTTCCTCGTCCGCAAAGCTGGAGCCGGCTATCATCGAGACAAAACACCACTTAAGTTGATTGTGCGACATATTTCTGAGCAGATGAAGGAGCTCCAGGACAACGAGAAGGATCATGAGTTCCAGCAGGGCATTATGTTTCTGCTTGCTGACTCGCTGAAAGGCATCCAACGAGGGACACATTCCAGCGCTACGGCGATATTCCAGGCGCTCTTGACAGAGGCTTACGACGAGGACTACGCGTCTCTCCAGGCTCCGCCGCTCGAAGCAGTGCTGGTTGGCGTCACTACCGCAGTCATCCACCACACCGATAGGGAAAACTTCAAGCCAATCCTTGACGCACTCCTTGCTCAAATTTTGTCAGCAGACACACAGCATGCAGCCTTATCATCTCGATTGTTGTTCATCGTTTGCGGCGTAAGAAAGGGCACCCGGATCGCGGACTGGAAGCCTGTATTTGGCTCTCTCGAGCACATCCTCAGCAGTGCGAAGGCTCCAGCAGATCTTGAGTCTACTGAAGCATGGGACCTTCTTTCTGCGACGACTGTTGTTTTTCAGTACTGCGCCTTAGATGCTGCCATCCCCTACGAAAAGCTCCTCGAAGGGTTCACTAAAGGATCATGGGATGGATACTTCTTGCCGTTTTGCAACATGTTTGCTGAGCTTGGCGCAGAGAGGTTTAAGACTCTTCTACTACCTTACTTCAAGCGGTCGGTCGGCCATTCGATATTTCAATGTTAGTAACGTTGCTAACACTTTCTAGATTTGTTGCACAGAAGGCTCATGAGCATGGACCAGAGCTTTGCATCATCCTCCCTAAATTATACCAGAGCGGTACAATATCCGCTGGTGCTGTGCACGTTTCAGATCGCTGGCAACCTCTCTTAGACAACCCATTCAAAGAGCTCTCGCAAGCACAAATCGATGAGGAGGATCTGGCCAGATCAACATACCACTGCAGCGCGTTGCTGGACGCTCTGGAGATCCTTGCTGTTCCCGAAGACAAGACAAGAAGCATCTGGGAGGAACTCAAACAGTTGCTAGGGACAGCCGTCAAGGTTGATTCAACGGAGAATATCCGCAAGACCGACATCTTTGTTACCGGCCAAGGCTTCCAATACCTGGTTGATAAGACTGTTGACGATCAAACTTTTGCTGTCAGCTTGTGGCCCTTGCTATGCCAATCAACACCAGTATACGCACATTCTCTATTATTCTGGAAAGCGCTACTAGCTTTGATGCAGAAGAAGAAGAGTGTAATACCAACGAGCGGGCCACACATGGATCTTGTCAAGCGTGAACTCATGCGATGCCTGAGCTCGCCGTCGCACGAGCTAAGATTGACCGCCATCTATATTCTGGAAATCATCGCAGGCAAGAACGAGGAGTTGCGCGACATCATCTCTGTTGCGATGATGATTGAGCAGACGCCACTGGATCTCGAGAACCAGCGATCCATCTCAATGCGCATTGGGCAGCTGGCGAAGCTCTATCCTGACGTATGCGGCGATGAATGGGTAGGCGAGGCGCTTCCAACATTCTGCTTCGGTCTACTGCACGTAAGGATGGCATCTGCGTGGGACGATACCTGCGCAGCGTTGAAGGCTATGTGCAACACGAAGGAGGGCGAGGGCTTCGTTTCACAGATCGCATTTCAATGGCTGGGTGAGCCTGAGAGCTTGGAGAACTCTGCCAGCGGAACCACGAAGAACAGCACATCGAAGCGGTATGCAAACGAATTCGAGTGTACGAACGTGTTCCAGCTCCAGGATCGGGTCGCAAACAACCAAGAGCTGTCATACAACATCGGCGATAAGCTTGAGGCTGCGTTCGATGAGAAACACTCGCAGATACCGTTCATTAACGCCTTCAGCAGAACGCAAGCGCTGCGTCTACTGAGTTCGATACCGCAAATTGCCGAAAAGCGCTCGCGACTGCTTGTACCCGTACTGCTAGATTGGGCGCTGGATCTACCCGCTCCTACGATTGACAGCGATGATCTGATGCAAATCGACGCGCCTGAGACATCACAACAGCGCTGGTCCCGGAAAGATCAGAAGGCCATGCTCTCCGTCTTCTCGAAATTCAACAACCCCAGGGTCTTGTACCGGTCCAGTGAGGTTCGCGATGCTCTGCTAGTATTGCTGAGCAACGGCGATGTTGAAATCCAAAAGGCTGCTCTCCAAGCGCTTCTCATGTGGAAAGACCGTTCAGTATCCCCATATCAGGAAGAGCTGCTTGGTCTGCTAGATGATCAGCGATTCCGAGATGAGCTCCCGATTTTTCTCAGCGAAGGCAAGATTCAGGATAGCGACCTTGAAGAAGTTCTCCCCATCATTCTGCGACTGTTGTACGGCAAAGTCATTGCTGGCAAACGAGGACTGGAGTCAAAACGGAAGTCTGTCTTCGTCGGTCTGAAAAACAGGTTTGGCGACAGTGCGATCCATCAGTTCCTGAGCATTGCGTTTGGTCCTCTCAGTGGCGCCTCTGTTCTTCGGGACAACGCACTTGACGAAAGTTTGCTACGCAGTGAGTTGATTGACGCACGGAAGCAGGTCGGTATACTCAACATGCTCGATGACCTGCTCAGCACATTCAAGACAACATTCAACCCATTTATCGTTGATGTCGTAGACCCTGTTATGTACTGCCTTGTCAAGGCATCTCGAGATCTGCAAACGGCTACATCGGCAGAGGAGCAGCCTGCTGACGACGGCCGGAAGCTCCAGGTTTCTCTGCTTCGGACAATTCGTCAACGCGCCTTGCACTCCCTAGCTAGACTTTTCGAGAGTTGTCCGGAGTTTGACTGGTATCCGTATACAGCAGCTATCGTGCAGGAACTGGTTGAACCAAGACTGGAGCAGTTTGCCATCGAGACCGCTCAGTCGATTTCTGGTCTTCTCCGATTGTTTGCTTCATGGTCCAAGGCCACGCTGACAGTCCCTTTCCTGGTCGAGCACAACAAAGAGATCCTGATCAAGACACTCGACATTCTGGATGTTCCTTCGGCTAAGGACGAAGTCAAGCAATTTGTCTTAGATGAGATTCTGCGCAATATCTTCGCTCTCATCACTAATAATAATGAAGATCAATCAGTAGATGAGAAGCTCCGCAGGAACCGTATACATACGGATATTATTCAACCATACTCGAATGCGATTCTCAACCAAGTCGGTGGACTACTCCGGAAGAGCCCCAGCAAAGAAGTGCTTGAGTCGGGAGTTCTGGCCATCGCAGAGCTTGCGCCCCACGTAGTCGGGTCCACAGAGTCTCGTAGCATGATCGAGATCGCCACCTTTCTGATCCGACAACCATCAAAGCGAGTCAGCCCGAGGACAAAGCTTGGTCTTCTGAAGATCCTACACGAGTTCATTCAACGATGCGACACTGCAAGTTTGAGTGAACTCTTTGATGGTATCTACGATGCTGTTTGCCCCATGTTTGCCTTTTTCCAGGACCGAGCTGCTCGCATTGTGCTTTGCGAAGTGATCCAGGACCTTTCAGATACCAGGGAGGAGCTTACAGGCGTTGCAAAACTCTGCCAGGAACTCAATTCCTTCGCCAAGGGACGTGTGGACGAACCCGACTTTGAACGCCGCTCACAGGCTTTCAACCAGATCAACGAGCAGGGGTACCAGTCTTTCTCCCTTATGCAGTGGAAGCCCCTGGTGTACAACATGCTCTACTTTATCAAGGACAACGAAGAGCTGAGCATACGAGTGAATGCGTCGTCGACTCTCCGGCGGTTCATCGAAGTATCGCAAGGCGATGACTTTAAGGAGTTCATCACATCTGCGATCATACCTGGCATACAGCATGGAGTGCGCGAGCCATCTGAGCTTGTCCGGACAGAATTTCTGGCTGTCACGGAACAGTTGGTCAAGGTTCATCGCGACTGGGCGCCAGTAGCCGACTTGTTCGCCCTTGTTTCTGATGATGAGGAGGCTTCGTTCTTTAGTAACATCCTACACATCCAAGGCCATCGAAGATTGAGAGCTCTTCGTCGACTAGCAGCCAACGCTTCACATCTGCAGCCGAAGAACACCTACCACATACTTCTACCACTACTGGAGCACTTCGTTTTCAATAAAGCCGACGATGATAGCGCTGACAACCTTGCTGGAGAGACGATTCGAACGCTTGCCGCTCTGGTCGAATGGCTCGAGTGGCCACAGTTCAGGTCTCTCTTCAAGCGCTACATTGGCTATCTGACAAGCAAGGAAGACATGCAGAAGGCTATCGTGCGTCTTATTGGAGGCCTGATGGATGGTCTCAATCAGGCTGGAAGGAAGAAGGGATACGTGACTGCCTCTCAGCCTGCACCAGAGACTGACGAGGCCGACGAGACTTCCGAAGCGATTGAAGCGCCAGCTGCAGATGTTATGGACATCGACGCGCCTTCTTCCACATTGTCGAAGACACTTCCGCAGCAAGACAAGTTAACGAAGGATCTCGTCAACAATTTTCTACCGGATTTGACAGCGTTCCTGCACAAAAAGGACGAAGCCACCACCAGTCTACGTGTACCTGTAGCCGTGGCACTGACTAAGGTGCTCCTGGTCCTTCCAACCAACGAGATTGAGGGACGACTGCCTGGCGTCCTCCTCGACATCTGCCACATCCTCAAAAGTCGCACACAAGAGAGCCGCGATCAGTCGAGAAAGACCCTCAGTGAGATTGCAGTGCTCACCGGGCCGACTTACATCGGGTTCATTTTGAAGGCTTTGCGGACTGCGCTCCAGCGCGGCTACCAGTTGCACGTGCTGTCATTTACTCTCCACTACATCCTGGTCAATCTTGCCAGTCAGCTGAAGCCTGGCGACCTTGATTACTGCGTTGCTGATATTGTCGACATTGTGATGGATGACACTTTTGGCGTGACCGGTCAAGAGAAGGATGCAGAGGAGTACATCAGCAAGATGAAGGAAGTCAAGAGCAGCAAGAGCTTCGATACCATGGACATCGTCTCTCGATCAAGCACGCCCGCTCATCTTATCAAGTTGGTCAACCCCATCAAGGCTCTGCTCCTGGAACGCATCAATGCAAAGATGGTGCAGAAGATTGACGAGCTGCTGCGTCGCATTGGCTTAGGCATCCTACAAAACCCAACCGTTCATAATAGAGACATTCTCGTGTTCTGTTACGAGCTGATCCAGGAGGTGTACAAGGCCAGTGCGACGACCGACAAGGGCGACAAGACGGATCCCAAGTTGCGACGATTCTTAATCAACAGAAGAGGCGCCGCTAAGTCAGGCGCCCGTCTGTCAACATCGTCCTACATCTACAAGATGACACGGTTCAGCTTGGACATTCTCCGAACCGTGTTGCGTAAGCACGACGATCTCCAAGCACCGCAGAACATGGCCGGTTTCCTACCAATCATTGGCGATTGTATGGTACAAGGACAGGAGGAAGTGCAAGTGTCGGCTGTTCGTCTACTCACAACCATTATCAAGGTACCCATGGATGAGATGGACGCCAACTGCGCTGTGTACGTCGACGAGGCTGTACGAGCAATCAAGGGTGCGCATTCCTCCAACACCGAGTTGGCTCAGGCATCCCTCAAGCTGGTGGCTGCGGTGCTCCGTGAGCGACCCAATGTCCTCATCCGCGAGCGGGATGTTGGCCACTTGATCAAACGCCTGTTGCCCGATCTCGACGAGCTTGACCGACAGGGCGTGAGCTTTGCGTTCCTGAAGGCTGTCATGAGCCGTCACATTGATGTCCCCGAGGTGTACGAAGCCATGGACAAAGTCGCAGAGATGACGGTCACCAATCAAACAAGATCTGCCAGGGACCTTGCCCGAAGCCACTACTTCCAATTTTTGACATCTTACACACAGAGCGAGAAGCGCTTCAAGAAGTCTATGGAGTTCTTGTTGAAGAACTTGCGCTACGAGCACGTCGAAGGCAGGCAGTCCGTCATGGAAGCTTTGGATCTTGTTATCACCAAAGCCCTACCCAGATTCCCGGAGAAGGCGCAGTACGACTATCATGGTATGATGTTTTTGCCGCTGATCAACACTCTTGCGAACGATGATTCGAGCAAGTGCCGAGAACTCGCCAGTCTGCTGGTCAAGCGACTGTTCCAGCATGCAAGCGAGAAGCGGCTGCAGACTTTCACAGCTGATTTGAAGAGCTGGCTCGAGCAAGACGAGAACACAGGCCTGAAGCGCCTTGGCATTCAGTGCTTCGGCTTCTACTTTGAGGAGCTTGATGCCGAAGATGAGCCGAGAGAGCTGTCCTACGTGTTGGAAGGACTCGACTCTACTATCGACGAGTCTCTGGCCCGCCGCGATGAGGACGATTGGGAGCTACTGTACTACTCTCTGACGCTTGTATCGAAGATCTGCAAAAAGTATCAAGACGCCATGCTCTCTGCCGACAAAGAGAGCTTGTGGACAGCAGTCCAGGCCAGTGTCTCGTATCCCCACGCGTGGGTCAAGCTCAAGGCTGCTGAGCTCATGGGCACATACTTTGCCCATCTTGCGATCACTAACAAGGACGTTGGGCTAGGTGCACTCCCCCTCAAGGGATCGGGTGGCCTGCAACTAGCGGAGCAGAACATGATCCAGCTCACCAATGCATCGCTCCGGAACTTGTTCAACTCTGAGGTCTCTGAACAGCTGTGTACACAAACCGTCAAGAACATCGCGTTCCTGGCGAGGTGTCTGGCTGTCAATGGCGCAAAGTGGCAGTGGCACAACGCCGGCGATGATGACGAAGCAGAAGAAGTACCAGAGGCCGACGGCGCAGATGGAGACGCATCCTCGGACGAAGACGCTGATACGAAGAAGACTCCACCAGCAGCCATTCACCGCTTGATGATTCGCCTTTCAGGTCTCATCCGCAGAGAGACCAGCTCTATGAACGCTAAGGCTTCGACTATGAATCTTCTCGAGACAATGGCTGCCAAGTTCCCTCTTGAGCCCTTGTCGTCCTCGCTGCCGCACCTCCTCACAACACTCAACACGCTTGTCGACCCGGCCACGACTATCCCACGCGCCCACACCAACGCCTCGTCTGCATCTCTCAACGAGCCGAACGAATTGTACAAGTCTCTCATCGACAAAGCGCGGGAGATTATGAACGCGTTGCAGAAGCGCATGGGCACGCAGGAGTATCTGAAGGTCATGGGCGATGTACAGAAGGCTGTCCGTGACAGAAGAGATGAGCGACGCAGGAAGAGGAAGGTCGAGGCTGTTGCGGATCCGGAGAAGTGGGGCAGGGAGAAGAAGAGGAGAAACGATGTCAAGAGGGTCAAACGAAAGGAGAAGGGTGCTGAGCACCGGGGGCAGCGGAGGGGCTGGTAGACATGGGTGAGCGGCGTTTGTTGCATTTTCACGGCGTTGAAGGAAAAGTGTAGATGAATTGAATGATACCCATCAGTCACAAGCATTACGGTACAAAAGCGTGTAGAAAACACCGGACTGCGGTGTTTTTGACACTGCAGTCTGGTCATTTTGACCTGAATTTGCGGTGTGTTTTACCTAACGCGGTGTCCTTTACACAGCACAAAGTCCCTTTTAGGTTTAAAACACCGCACTTGTACCTCAGTAAAGCATAGCGGTACTCTTGTATGCAGGTGAGTGGCTGACCGTGGCGCAGTATTGTCATCTCTTTCGGGTTAGTGCGACTGCGTCGGACCGCATGAAACTGCTTCGTGTACACTTCAACTTTAAACAAGCGACTTTCAATTTCCAGACATTATATAGAGTTTTGATTTCTTGCTAGTTAGATGGCGCGTTGATATAGCTTCACTGGGAAAAGAGGGGACTTCCAATGATATAGAAAGAGATAGAAAGCCCGCTCGCAACAGCATCCCCTAAGCACCCCAAGTCCACCACCACCATGGCATCATCGTGGCGCACCCGCAACACCTCGCAACTCGGCACCTACACGACACTCGCTCAGACAGAGGACCCCCACGGCGAAGCACCCCCCGGCGAGCACTCCTCCGGAGACCCCCCTGCCCCCCTCCCCGCCGCCCTCTACATCGGCTCCACCCCCACCCCAGAAGACCTCCTCTTCCTGCCGCGCGTCCCCGACGCCCTGCCCCCCGGCGCCTTCCTCGTCGCCGTCGTAGAACTCTGCGAGCGCTTCGCGTACTACGGCCTCGCCGGCCCGTTGCAGAACTACATCGCCAACGGGCCGCGCGACGCCTCGGGCCTGCCCGGCGCCCTGGGGCTGGGCCAGCGCCGCGCGACGGCCCTGACCAACGCGTTCCAGCTGTGGTGCTATGTCACGCCGCTGCTGGGCGCGGTGGTGGCGGACGCGTGGCTGGGGCGGTACCGCACGATCAAGTACTTCAGCGCGGTGTACATGGCCGGGATTGCGGTGCTGGTCGCGTCGAGTACGCCGTGGAGTGTGCAGCGCGGTTGGGCGCTGCCCGGGCTGGTGGTCGCCATGGGGGTTGTGGGGCTGGGCACGGGGGGGATCAAGAGCAATGTGAGTCCGTTGATTGCGGAGCAGGTGAGGAGTACGAACGCGTTTGTGGAGGTCCGACGGGGGAAGAGGGTGGTCGTCGATCCGGAGGTTACGGTGCAGCGGATTTACATGGTGTTCTATATGTGGTGCGTACGAGAGTTGAGGTATGGCGTGGGGTGTGCTGAACTGACGAGCGCAGTGTCAATGTGGGCTCGGTGTCGGCGATTGCAACGACGATGCTTGAGCTGCATGTGGGGTTCTGGAGCGCGTTTCTGCTGCCGTTCGTCATGTTCTGCGTGGGCTACGCGGTGCTGGTCGCGGGTAAGGACCGCTATGTCATCAAGCCGCCGCAGGGCGGTGTGATTGGGAGCTGCTTCCGGGCGCTGTGGATCGCGGCGCGCAACGGCTTCGACATCGACAAAGCACGGCCGTCGGCACTGCGGCAGCGCGTCTCGTGGGACGACACCTTCATCGACGAGCTGAAGTCGGCGCTGACCGCGTGCAAAATCTTCCTCTTCTTCCCTATCTACTGGGTCGCCTACTCGCAGATGCTGAACAACTTCGTCTCGCAAGGTACGCCCCCCACCCCTACCTAATCGCCCCAACTCACCCCTGCAGCGGGCCAGATGCAGCTCCACGGCCTCCCCAACGATATCCTGCCCAACATCGACCCCATCACCATCATCCTGCTCGTCCCCGTCATGGACCGCCTAATCTACCCCTTCATCCGCACACGCCTCCACCTCGCCTTCACGCCCACAACACGCATAACCCTCGGCTTCCTCACCGCCGCCCTCGCCATGCTCTACGCCGGCGCGCTGCAATCCCACATCTACTCCTCCCCCCCCTGTTTCTCCTCGCCCTTATCCTGCCCCGACGCCCTCACCCCCGGCGCCCCCGCGGCCCCAAACACAGTCCACGTCGCGTGGCAGACCCCCGCGTACGTGCTCGTCGCGCTCAGCGAGATCCTGGCCAGCATCACGGGGTTGGAGGTCGCGTATGCGCGGGCGCCCGCGCAGATGAAGAGTTTCATCATGAGTTTGTTTCTGCTGACGAGCGCGGGCGGGAGCGCGCTGGGCGTGCTGGTGGCGCCGCTGGCGCGGGATCCGTGGCTGGGCTGGGTGTATTGCGGACTCGGGGTTTTGGCGGCGGGGACGGGGGGGTTGTTTTGGTGGACGTTTCGCGGGCTGGAGGAGGAGGAGGCGAAGGGGGTGGTGGAGGAGGGGTTTGAGCTGGAGAGCCGGAGCAGTGTTGGGGAGGAGGATGGGGCGGTGCTGAAGGGCGTGTGAGGCGGGTGGGATGGGGGGTGGAGAGGTGCAGTGGACGCGGTTCTGTGGGAGGCGCTGGTGCACTGCTGCATGGCGGGAACTGGGATGAGTGAGATGAGTGCGCCGCTGTGCATCACTCGTGCTGGTCGGCTACCTGCCACATCCAAACGTTGCGAACAAACACCTCACTCTCCCAATCACCTACGCCAACCATCGGCCTGATTCCGCAATAGACCCATCACAGCCAAGAAAACACCGCATAATAGTCGCCCCCAAGCCGCCGTGCCTCACCAGATAGCCCTACCATATGTTCAAATCCACTCTTGCCTGGATATCGATTCCAAAAATGATTGGACAGAGAGAGAATTGCTACACTGATAACAAGTAGCGACTTACCTCACAACAAATAAGACTAGCCGTGAAACGCCCTCTTCCAGGCTCGGGTACGATTACCGTAAAAAACCAGTGAAATCCGACCTGTACAATAATTACCAACAAACCTGGTTGGTCTTGGAAGAACGGATGAGATCTTTCGGGCTGTGACCCGACACACTGATCCATCAATGGAGATCTGTTTGTGCACCAGTGATGCCAAATTTGTTTTCACAACAGGCTGTACGCAAACCATGTAAGGCTCTTACGTATCAATGGTCTGTCAAGAGTTACCATAACGTCCAGAGTCTATTAGGGCTTAGGTTCTTGAGCAGGAGCTGGAGCAGAAGCAGATCCGTGCCTTCCCTCGTGCGTGAAGATCAATCTGATAGCACTGAGGCCAGGTAGACGAGCAAGGTGCGTACAAACCTACCCTCACACGGCCACCTGCGCGATTGTTTCACAGAGTCTCCAGCACTATGATATAGCCTGCACTGTGGTCTAGGTTATGCGCAGATTCTGCGGGTGTCGCCTTTTTGCTCTGCGGGTGGTGCACTTTGCTCTGCACGGCCCGGCAATGAGACTCAACGTCCCTCCGCATTCGATGGCGGTCGAATGCCGCACGGTGCCTAGCACGGTGCAGTGAAGCTTGTTTCACGCACAAGAGGCTGAAGACAAATGAGACGCTGTTTTGCATGGTTTAGATGGACATGAGCACTTGTGCTGGTTCTGATGTTTGTGGCGGCAGGGGGTGGTTGTGTTTAGTCCGTATATGCAAGTCGACAAGTGTAATGGCATTATCCAGATATGTCTTCGATGAAGGCTAGTAGTATGTGTTGTGTCGATCACGTTGACGTCGGAGTGGTGATGCTGAGAAAGACGTCGGGCCAATCACAACCCGCCATTTCTAATTGTGAAATCGGTCAACCGTTGCTTGGCGGTAGACGAAGCTCCACGACGTCAACGAGCGATTCGCCCCGACAGCAGCACAGCACAATGGCTTCGAAACTGGTGCCCCTTGCCTTCCGCAGCGCCTCGCGCGCCCTGCGAGTCCAGCGCCCCCAATGGCGCGCGTTCAGCGCCTCGCCGGCGGCCCGGAGCGACAACCTCATGGTTGTGAGTAGTTTTGTACATGTCAATTGCTCCGCTGACGCCCGCAGCACCGCGACACGGCGGAGAACAACGCCTCGATCCCGTTCAAGTTCACGGCGCAGAATGAGCAGCTCATCAAGGAGATTGTGTCGCGGTACCCGTCCAACTACAAGAAGGCGGCCGTCATGCCGCTGCTCGATCTCGGCCAGCGCCAGCACGGCTTCACCAGCATCAGCGTCATGAACGAGGTCGCGCGCATCCTCGAGATGCCGCCGATGCGCGTCTACGAGGTCGCCACCTTCTACACAATGTACAACCGCACCCCCGTGGGCAAGTACCACGTCCAGGTGTGCACAACAGTAAGCGCTCCCCGGGACCACCCAGCGGGCCCAACTCACATCTCGTAGACACCCTGCATGCTGCGCAACAGCGACGCGGTGATGAAGGCGTGCGAGGACACGCTCGGCATCCACCACGGACAGACGACCAAGGACGGCAACTTCACCTTCACCGAAGTCGAGTGCCTGGGCGCGTGCGCCAACGCGCCCATGGTGCAGATCAACGACGACTTCTACGAGGACCTGACGTACGAGACGACGCAGTCGCTGCTCAACGCGCTGAAGCACGCCACGTCGGCCACGGGTGCGCAGGCACCCGCCGAGGGGCTTGCGGGCGCGGCCAAGGTGCCGGCGCCGGGGCCGCTGAGCGGACGGCAGAGCTGCGAGCCCGCGGGCGGCTTGACGGCGCTGAACAGCGAGTTCTGGGGCAACGAGAAGCTGAGGACCGACGGAGCGCTGGATTAGCGTGGGGATGTGTGTTTGCTGGAGCTGTTGGTGATGCGTGTAGATTACTGAATACCATTTCTGGATGTACGTGTGGTTTGGATGTACGTGTGGATCAAGATGGACCCTGTTGTTTATATGTGAGACTGGTGGTAGCTGTCTGTGGTGATGGACTCGACCAGTAGACGTCAAGCATTCGCCTGGCAACACACTGCGACTGACATGGCTCTGGCAGACACGATGCAACTGACATGCATCTGACAGCCCCAACATGCATCGTGACCATTCAAAGCGTGACCTCCACAGTGCCACAGCACCACAGCCATCATGTCAGCGGCGGCTCGCTTCCCCGCTCGCACCCACGCCCGCCGCACCACGCCCGCCGCACGCGGCACGCGAGTGTCTAGCGATTGGCCCCGTGTTGTGTCAGCGTGCGGCACCCTGGCCGAGGCCCCAAGTGTTACAGCTTCAGCCAGACGCGATCGCAGACGGCCGCATGCTTCGCTGCATCAGCGTGCAGCCATCTCTCAGCGCGCATGCTCCCGGCGCCGCAGCCCCTGATGCTAGCTCCGCACTCTCGGGCCCAGCTCATCTGATCGCCAAGTGGGCTAGACGAATCAGGCGCGTTGCCGGGGGTCACCATGACTTCAGAGTCGGCCGTCGCGCGCTGGCTCGACGACACCGCCTCGACACGGCCGGCCACGTTGCTGCACCCGGGCGATGAATTCCCGCTCCGCACCTTCAGCAACCCGCCCTCGACCAGCAGCCTCAGCGACGCCGCCACCGACAGCGACGCCGCGCCCCCGCCCACACAGCCGCGCCCGGCCATAGACACCTCGCTCTTCCCGACGGGCGCGCTTGGGATGGAGACGTCGACCCGGCGGCGCTCGTCCTCTCTCACCGGCCCTGCCGCCGCCGCCGCCTCGAGCAGCAAGGAGCGCCGGCACCGCGCGCGTGACGCCCACATTGCCGAGGAGGACAGCTCGGCCTCGGACAGCGGCGAGCACAGCGCGCGCAGGGAGCGCACGAAGCGTATCCGGCGGAGGGATCACAGCGGGCATAGAGATCACAGCACCAGCGACAGCGCCAGCGACGACATGAGCGCCGACGGGCTCGACGATGACGAGGAGACGGGGCTGACCCGCAAGGTGCGCCGCAAGAATGCCCGCCGCAAGCGCCGCAACACGCTGCTCGACAACCGCATCGTGCCCGACGCCCCCATTACCTTCACCAAGGAGGAGAAGGCGCTCGCCGACCAGAGCCTGTACCGCTCGATGCTGGTCAACGCCGTGCTGATCCTGCTGTGGTAAGACCCGCGTGCGATTGAATGCCATCGCCCGCTAACCGTCTAGGTACCTCTTCTCCATATCCATCTCCGTCTACAACAAGTGGATGTTCAAAGTCGAAACGGGCGACGGCGCCGCCACCAACATCTTCCCCTTTCCGCTCTTCACCACGTGTCTGCACATGCTGGTGCAGTTCTCGCTCGCCTCGCTCGTGCTGTTCCTCGTGCCCTCGCTGCGCCCGCGCCACGACGCGCTCAACCCCCACGCGCCCGGCGCCCGTGTCGAGCCCGTCGACCCCAAGAAGCCGCTCATGACCAAGTGGTTCTACTTCTCGCGCATTGGGCCGTGTGGCGCGGCGACGGGCATGGACATTGGCCTGGGCAACACGAGTCTGAAGTTTATTTCCTTGACTTTCTTCAGTGAGTCTTGCAATATCGCTAGCATTGAACACGGCTAACAGCACAGCTATGTGCAAGTCGTCGGCGCTGGGCTTCGTCCTCATCTTTGCCTTTCTATTCCGCCTTGAGCAGCCCTCGTGGCGCCTTGTGCTTATCATTGCTATCATGACCCTCGGCGTCGTCATGATGGTCGCCGGCGAGACGGCCTTCCACGCGCTCGGCTTCATCCTCGTCATGGCCTCGGCCTGCTCGTCGGGCTTCCGCTGGTCGCTGACCCAGATCCTGCTCCTGCGCAACCCCGCCACCGCGAACCCCTTCTCCTCCATCTTCTTCCTCGCGCCCGTCATGTTCACCAGCATCTTTGTGCTCGCGGTGCCCGTCGAGGGCTTTGGCGCGCTCCAAGAGGGGCTGGCCCGGCTCTTCGACCAAAAGGGCACCGCGCTCGGCATCGGCATCCTGATCTTCCCCGGCTGTCTCGCCTTCCTCATGACGTCCTCGGAGTTCGCGCTGCTCAAGCGCACCTCGGTCGTGACGCTCAGCATCTGCGGCATCTTCAAGGAAGTCGTCACCATCACCACCGCAAACCTCGTCTTCAACGACCCCCTCACCCCCATCAACCTCACCGGCCTGGTCGTCACCATCGCCAGCATCGCCCTGTACAACTACATGAAGATCAAGAAGATGCGCGAGGAACACCTCCTCAAGGCCCATCTCGACGCGCACGACGAATACGCCCCCGTCCGCACCGCCGACCCGGACCGCGCGCGCGTCTCACTTAGCTCGCACCGAGGCGCTGCGGCGAGTCTGCAGCTCGCACCGGCCGGCACGGCCGCGCGCAGCGAGTCGCCTGCGCGCGCCAGCCCCGTCAAGCGCCCCGAGGATCTGGATTAGAGGGGCTTGTTGGGATGTTTTGTTGCGGGATTGCGTGCATTACAGGCGTTGGGCTACACGGGCGGGCAATAACCGCCCCGGATACATTATTTTCTTGCGTCGCGAATTGAATGTTCATTGCTGATGTGGTTGCCTGCTGTCGTGAAGTCTAAACTGCTCTCGTGAAGTCTAAACTGCTGTCGTGAGCCATGTCGTGAGCCGCGCACGTGCACCACCTCCACGCCCGCCGTGCAATCAGGGGCCCGCGGCGCCCGCCCCTAGCTCGTCGCCACAAGCGCCGGGCGACGCATTCCCAGAGGCTAACGCAGCGCGTGCCCGTCGCCTGCAGATAACATCACCACCTCGCCGCTCGCCGCGCACCGCCGTGTCCTCGTCGCCCGCGCTGCTGACGCTTCATCGGCGTGCACACCGCGGCCTCGTTTCGCTGTTCTTTTAAGCGCACGGCTCGTTTCAGCGGTATAAGCGCGGCGCTGAGCTCCGCCTGAGGTCGTTGAGAGACTGCTGCTCTGCTAGGCACAACACACACCACACACGCAACGATGCGGCTCACCACCTTATCCCCCGGGCTCGCCGCCCTCGCCCTCCTCAACTTCACCCCCCTCTTCGGGCTCACCCCCCTCGCCACCGCCCAAAACCTCGAAATCCTCACCACCCACGCAGTCCCCTGCGCCCGCCCCTCGCGCCCCGGCGACACGCTCGCCATGCAGTACGCCGGCACACTGACCGACGGCACGCCCTTCGACTCCAACGTCGGCGGCGCGCCGTTCGTGTTCAAGCTGGGCGCCGGGCAAGTGATTAAAGGCTGGGACGAGGGGTTGCGCGGGATGTGTGTCGGGGAGGAGAGAAGGTTGAGGATTCCGCCCGGGATGGCGTATGGCGGGAGGGGGACGGGGGGGATTCCGGGGGAGAGTACGTTGGGTGAGTCTTTTTTTCTTTGAGGGGGGGGATGACGCTGACGGGATGCAGTTTTCGAGACGGTGTTGTTGGAGATTAAGGGTGTGGCGAAGGAGGAGCCGCTGGAGGAGCACAAGGGCGAGATGGATACCGGGAATGAACCTGTGCTGCCTTCGCCTACACCTACACCTGCGGCTACGCCTATAGCTACGCCCACACCCGCGGCTCATGACCAACCCATGCCGCCCCCGCCGGCAGACAAATCAATATCTGCCGCCCTCCCCATCCCGACCACCCCCGACACCGCAGCCGCCGCCGGCAAGCACCCGCTCGATGGCGAAGACGGCAAGGGCGAATGCAACCTGCTCGGCGACTTTGCGCTGCTGGTGCAGGGCGCGCTGGGCCTGCTCGCCGTGTCGTCGCTGGCCGTCAAGCGGCTGCGCGAGCACCCGCGGCGCCCGCTGAAGATCTGGTTCTTCGACGTCAGCAAGCAGGTGTTCGGCTCCGTGCTGCTGCACCTGGCCAACATCCTCATGTCGATGCTGTCGTCGGGCCAGTTCGACGTGGCCGCGCAGACGGCCGCCGCCGCCGCCGCCGCTGCCTCCGACAAGGGCGACGAGCCGAATCCGTGCTCGTTCTACCTGCTCAACCTGGCCATCGATGTACGTCCCCCCCCCCCCTTTGTTATATATACCAGCTAAAGCTAACCCCCCAGACCACCCTCGGCATCCCCATCCTCGTCCTCCTGCTCAACCTCCTCCACCGCGCCTTCCTACACACCCCGCTCGCCAACCCCCCCGAGTCCATCCGCAGCGGCAACTACGGCCACCCGCCGCGCGCCACCTGGTGGCTCAAGCAGTCCTTTATCTACTTCCTCGGCCTCATCGGCATGAAGTTGTGCGTCCTCGTCATCTTCGCCCTGCTGCCCTGGATCGCCTGGGTCGGCGACTGGGCCCTGCGCTGGACCGAGGGCAACACGGCGCTGCAGATCGCGTTCGTCATGTTCGTGTTCCCGCTTGTTATGAATGCGCTGCAGTATTGGATCGTGGATGGGTTTATTAAGGATCCGGCGGGTGCGGAGGCCGGGTATGAGGGTGTTGGGGATGAGGACCGTGATGATGAGGACGATGAGGCGGATGAGGCGTGGCTGGAGCGGCGACGTCGCGAGGTCGGCATCGATGGGGATGAGGTGGAGGGGCCGCTTAAGGAGGCGAATCCGACGGGTGTGCCGGTGCGCAGGCAGTATGATCCGGCGGTTGATGGGGAGGCGAGTAAGTCGCGCACCGATTAGGGCACCGACTAGGGGGGCGTCTACTGGTGTCCTCACACCCAAGGCGGGGTTTGTAGTATTAGACAGAGCAAACTGTATTTCTAGGCGTTTGTCTTGGGGCGGACGCGAGTGGCGTGGTTCGCGGTCCCTTGTTGATGCTCTGTGCTCGATCTCTTCTCAATGCCTTCTGTGCTCGATGCTTTCTATGCTCGCTACTCTCCGTACTCTATGCCTTCTATACTCTCATCCCCCCCTCTCACCCCCATCTTCCTTTTCAACTTTCCCACTTTCCCACTTCTCCCCTTTTCCTCTCTCTCTCTCCCTAGTCCACATTCCCACTTTCTCTCTCTCTCTCTCTCTCTCTCTCTCTTTCCCACTTTCAACGTCGCCCCGAGTCGCACGCAGCACCCACTATGCATCGGCTCGCGGCACAGTGTGCGGCTGTCTTGCTTGAGTGTTGGATGGCTGGGTCTGAGCTGGAATGTCTGCCCTGAGTTGGATGCCTGCGCTTGAGCGTTGAAAGCACCGCACGCATGCTTCCAAAACACCGTGTGCCATGTATGCTGAGCAGGTGTTCTACAACCGCTGTGGTCTGCAACTGCCGTCTCGACAACCGCCGTGGTCTCGTCAACGTACACACTGTGCTGCAGCTGACACTGCACCGGCGCTGGCGGTGGGGATGCGGGACGCGGGACGCGGGACGGGAGTCTGTAGTCGGGAATGTACGTGGGCGCGGGGTGAGGGTGTGCGTGTGTGGATATATGTATATGTGTATATGGATGTATATACGAATATGCATAGATAGACATGAATATATGTGTATAAAACAGTGCATTCCACGCACCCTCTAACCCCCCTTCCCCTCCCCCTTTTTTTTTAAGTCTGCACTGAGAGAAGTCTCACGCCTAGAGTCTCACGCCTGGAGTCTCGCGCCTACCAACTACCACTCACTTCCAACTACCACTCACCACTCACCACTCACGCCCACTCACTCCCAACTACCCCCGCTCCCACTAACACCCCACCCCCGCCTTCTCTGCTCACCAAAAACATCCCCCCCCTCCCCCACCGCCGGACTCCCCGCCGTCGCCGGACTCCCCGCCACAGAGTCCACGCGCGCGTGCATATACGACTGACTCCTCATTTTCGGCGGCATGGGCGGCGGCGCGGGGACCGCAGACGGATTCGCAGGCGCAGTCATGGTCGCAGGCGTGCTGTGCGTCCGTTTCGGCGGCACGGGGGGCTTGGGTTTTGATTTCGCCGCTGTGGAGGCGGAGAGGAGTGCTGCGAGGGCTGCGGCGGAGGAGGGGAGTGCTGGCGCTGGCGCTGGCGCTGGTGGTGGCGGTGGTGGTGGTGCGGATGCTGATGTTGATGCTGCAGCAGGCACAGGCACAGACACAGACACAGGAGGAGGAGGCGCAAACGCAGAGGCCGCGACTGGCGTCGTGGATGCAGACGCCGACGCCGACACTGACGCTGACGCTGACGCTGACCCGGGGTGATTTGACGCCGGCACCGGCGACGGGAAGTCGCTCGAGAAGGAGAAGTCGGATGCGCAGCCCGGTGACTCGGCGGACGCAGGGACGCTCACGGAGAGATCGGGGTGTGCGAGCGGCGGCACGGGGGGGTATGTTGGCAGCGGGGTGGGCGGCGGGGGGGAGGCGGGCGTGTGGGGGGAGTAGGGGGTGAGCGGGGTGTGCGACGTCTGCGGGGAGTGCGACGGATGCGATGTAAGCGGGTTATGCGATGTGAGTGGTGAATGCGTGGCATGCGTGGTATGTGTCTGCGCCGCACCCCTCCCCACCGGCTCGAGCATCTCCCACTCAGGCTCGTCGCCCGCGCCATCCGTCGCGGTTGAGAAATCCGTCCCCGCGACCGAGCCGTCATCCGCTTCCCACGCGCGCCGCCGTGCAAGCCGGGCCTGCAGCTCTGCCTCCGCGGTCGCCTCGTCGGGGACGGGCGTGCCTGCACCCCGCGACGTGCGCATGGCCAGGTCGCGGCGCCACTGCGGCTCTGCGCCGGGCGAGCCCGCGACCGCCGGCTGCGCGACGCGGTAGTCGTGCGGGCTGGCGGCGATGGTGCCGGCGAGGCGGCCCATGGGGGTGAGCGGGGTTCTGAGGGGCGCGGCGACGGGCGGGCGGACGGGCGCCGGGCGCTGCGAGGCGTGGAGTGGCGCGGGGCGGTTGCCGATGCGCAGGTGGCCGTACTCCTGGACGCCGTGGTGGCCGGTGAGCTGGGCTGGGTCGAGGACGGCGGGGCGCGGGGCGGGCTTGGGAGGGGGCGACGGCACGGAGCGTTCAGGTGATGAGGGTGTTTGAGGGGCGGAAGCGCGGTCGCGGGCGCGGGCGAGGGCGCGCTCCATTTCGTCGTTCTGCTGCTTCTGGGCGGCGAGGTCGGCGGCGGCGCGCTGGCGTGCAGCGGCGGCAGCATCTGCGCGGCGGGCGGCTTCCTCGTCGTTGAGCGCTTGGAGTTGTTGCTTCAGGGCGGCGGCGCGCTCGGCCTCGTCCTCCTCCTCCAGCTCGCGGGCCCGGCGGGCGAGGGCGTCGCGCTGGGCGTTGAGGCTGCGCTGGTGCTCGGCCTCGTCGCGCTCGCGCTGGCGGGCGTCTTTGTCGCGCTGGCGCTGCAGCTTGCGCTCGTGCTCCTGCTTGTCCAGCGCGTCCTGCTGGGCCTGGAGGTCGGCGGCCTCCTGCTCACGGCGCTGGGCGTCGGCTTCGCGCTGGCGGCGGGCCGCGTCGCTCACCGCCTGCAGCGCTTCTTCCTGCTCTTTCTTCTCCGCAACTCTCCGCCTCTCCATGGCGGCCGCGCGGCGTTTGGCGTCGGCCTTCTTCTGGCGGGCGGCGCGGTCCTCTTCCTCTTTGGCGAGCAGCGCGCGGTCTTTCTCGAGCCGGGCTTTCTCTGCCTCGTCGGCCCGCTGCATGTCCTCTCTGCGCTTCTTCTCTCTGCGCCTCTCCGCCTCGGCCTCCTCCCGCCGCTTCTGCTCTTTACGCGCCTCACGGTCCCGCTTGTCTTTCTCCGCGGTCCTCAGCGACTCGGCCAGCGCGTCGGCGAGCTCCTGCTCATCGCGGTCCTCTTTCTCTTTCGCGCTGTCTCGCTGGCGGCAGTCGGAGCACTTCCCAGACTTCCTCCGCGTATGGACTTGCGTCCCGCGCTCCTTGTGCTGCCGGCTGTCGGGCTGGCAATGCACACCACTCGCCTCGAAGTATTCGCACTCGCTTGTGTCGATGTGGTCGCGCTTCCTATGGCCGCATTCAAGATGCGTATACGTGAATATGCACATGATGCCTAGCTCGAATTTTGATAGACGCAGCTGTGCAGCTCAGGAAATGCATGGCTGTCCTGTACATAATATATGGGTCTCCAGTGACCAGCTCCAGTGACTGCGGGCTCGCGGTCCAGGGAAGTGGAGCCATGAATGCAGCGTTAGTGTTGCATGTTGTCACGGTTAGTTGCATGCGTGGACAGCAACACCAACGTGTGAATAGCTGGTTGTCCGCCCTGCTCCACTAAAGTGAGGCGCAAGCGCCGGCGGCCCGCTGGGACCAGCACCGAGTCCTGCAAATAAAGCTGCGGATACCGCGCTGCCAACATAGCCTCCCTGACCGCCCTGAGTGGTGTCACGTGCCTCTTACCGTCCCTTTGACGTCTCCAGTCACCCCGGGAGGCTGGGAGTGGGGATCGAGTACTGCCGGTCCTGCTGCTGCGTGTGGCGGACATGCGAGTGGCTGTCGATACCGAGGCGGCCAGCCAGCACCGGCTTGCAGAGATCAGCGGTGATGTATATCGACTCAAGGGGTTGTCGTGTCAAGGTGATGAGTGTCGGCAGCGCTGGTCTCTACCGCAGACCAACAGCAGTACATATCAGCAGTATTCGGCCAGTATATTTCAGCAGGATTCGGCGCATCTACTGCGCTGGCCTGCCATCCTGCTTACAACGAAGCGCTTCGCGTTGCAGTCGAGTTGGCACCAAATGTTGTGGTCATGTCTGCTTAGACCGCCTTGACGGCCGCGTGGTTCGCCGTCCGGGCCCGCTGCGGCCCGTGCCATGCTCGATCGTCCGCCTCAGTGACGACTCCGACTCACAAGCTCCGGGGCTATGTATTGGTGTTAGAAGCCAGCACGGCCGAGGGGTTGGGTTGGGTGTGGCGGGAGCGAGCACGAAATACAGTGCGTGCGAGCGAGGTGCGCGTTGCACATCTTGGGACTACCATGCGTTGTGTAACGCCCAATACGCTCAAGAGTTGGGACGTAGGTCGCGCGGCACAGAAGGACTACATGTTTACCTGCACTTCGCTCGCGGCGCCCTCTCTGCGGCAACAGAGAGTAGCATGCAATGCTGTTCAAGTATCACCTCACTTTCCATAGTCGCTCAGTAAGAGAGGCGCACCACGTCTGTCAAGGAAAAATGTCGAGACGAGGGAGTGGACGTGTGGGCTTTGCAACGTGCATCATCTACAGCACTCTCAATTCCGCAGAGATTACTTGTACCGCCCCACAATCTTCCGCCGCTTCTCAAACGCATCCCCAACCGCACTCCCGCTCCCCCGCGGCCCATCCTCCACGGGCCTCTTGCGGCTCTTCTCCAGACTCCCGCCCTTGGCCTTGCCCTTCTTCTCCGTCAGCCGCTCAATCCGATCAATCCCGGCCCCAATCCCGCGCATCTCCTCGCCGCCAAACCCGCCCGCGCGCCCGCGCTCCTCCTTGCGCAGATCCTTCTTGCTCTTGGGCGCGAGGCGCGTGAAGTTCGCCTCTTCGTAGTCGCGGCGCTCGCGCTCCTCGCGGCGCTCCTTCTCGCTCTTCGTGTGCCGCCCGCCGTGCGTGATGGTGCTGCCGATGGAGGGCTCGGCGAGGGGCGCGGACGAGAGCTCCGTGGCGATGAACTCGTTGAGGGTGGCGGACTGCGCGGGGCGGCGCTCGCGGCGCTCGCGGGCCTCGGTTGTCGGCATCGCGATGGGCGTGATGCGCGGCGGGCGGTAGATGCCGTCTTTTGCGGGGGCGTGGTCGCGCGTGGGCTCCTCGGGGCGGGCGCGTGCGACGGCGGCTTTGTTGGGGGCGTAGGCCATTTCGTCGTCCGAGTCGGCGGTTTGGTGCGAGGCGACGGACGAGGCGTCGCTGTCGTCGGAGGCGTGGGGGCGCGCCTTTGGTTTGGCGGGCTGTGCGGCGCGGCGGGCGGCGTCGTCGGCGCTGCGGATGATCTTGTCGATGTTGTATTTCAGGCGGTTCTCGAGCGGGCGCACGCCCTTCTCCAGGTAGATTCGCAGCTCGACGAGCTTCTGCACGACCTCATCTTGGGGGTGGAGCTGGTCGCTCGCGCCGGAGGAGCGCGCTCGCAGTTTGAGGAGGATCAGGAAGACGAGGTTCTGCAGGTACGAGAGCAGCAGCTCGTTCTTGACATCGAGGAGCGAGATGCCTTCCTTGGGCGGCAGGATGTCGTCCTTGGGCAGGGCCTCGGTGGCGGATTGGATCGAGGTTGTGAGCGTCGCGAGCAGCGACTCCAGCGAATTGTCGACCGCCATTGTGATATGCGTCTGGGAGTTTGAAGTTGTCGTCGCGTCTGCATGTCGACAAAATTTTGGGCTTATCGATAGCGATGCTCCCTGCATGGGTCTAGTCTTGATATGGCCAAGTGTGATCATACCCCTAGCACACCCAGACAACCTTCCGATGCTCATGTTGCTGCTCCAGGAAGACAATGTGCAGTGGCAAGTCGAGGCAGCTCACAATGCTTATGGTTTGCTTCTCAGCTCAAAAATAGGACTTGGAGCATTTGTATGCACAGCTGTTAGCTGATTTTGTACCGCGCTCGGAAGTAAAGACGGCGACGAGGGTGCAGATCTGCTTCACCCTTGCTGTACCTCTGTATCCAAATGATTGTGCTGTCGTCGTGATTGTACGCGACATATTCCCGCCAGACTTGACTCCAGAAACTACATAGTACAACGCGCCAGGATGTGGAGGTGAAGGAGGCAGCACGTGCGCTCGCGTCGCTAGCTCAGAATTCGCGCAGCGCAGCGCGTCACCCCTCCACCCCGCCAGCCCCGCCTTGCTCCAATGGCCGCAGATGTGTCCATGGAGAATGGCACATCCCTGAGCCCGGCCCCCCATGCGGACGACAAACCGCCGGCGACGCCCAATGTGCTCGAGGTCGTGTTCGGCTCGCTGATGATCAAGCCATGGTATCCGTCCTTCTACCCCGAAGAGCTCGTGGGCCGGAAGGTGGAGCGCCTGTACGTGTGCCAGTGGTGCTTCAAGTACTCCAAGGAGCTCACCGGCTTCATCAAGCACCTTGTAAGCTCCCGCGCCCCGTGATGCGCACGGCTGACCGCTGCAGAGGGCCTGTCCGCTGCGCAGCACCGAGCCGCCCGGCACCCACGTCTACACGTCCAACGGCTACTCGCTGTACGAGATCGACGGCGAGAAGAACAAGCTCTACGCGCAGAACCTGTGTCTGTTCGCCAAGCTGTTCCTCGACACAAAGTCGGTCTTCTACGACGTCACAACCTTCCTCTACTACCTTCTCGTCGCGCACAGCCCCGCCCCCGCCATCCCCAACACGCACCTCGACGCCGATGCGCCGCCCGCGCACAACCAGGTCGTCGGCTTCTTCAGCAAGGAGAAGATGAGCTGGGACAACAACAACCTCGCCTGCATCCTGGTCTTCCCGCCGTGGCAGAAGCAGGGCCTGGGCCAGATCCTGATGGGCGCGAGCTACGAGATGAGCAAGCGCGAGGGCCGCATGGGCGGCCCGGAGAAGCGTAAGCCAGCCCCTGCGACGCAACGCGTCTGCTAACAAGCACAGCGCTGTCTGATCTCGGGTACCTCGCGTACGTGCACTACTGGTCGCAGACGCTGGCGCGTGCGCTGCTTGCGGCGCCCGCGAAGAAGACGCTGACGGTCGCGGAGCTCGGGGAGCGGACCTTCATTGTGCCCGACGACATCGTGGCGACGCTGCAGGTCATGGATGTGTTGGAGCACAAGAAGCGGGGCGGCGCCGAGGCGGTGGTGAACAAGGCGAAGGTCAGGGCGTGGGTGGAGAAGCATGGCGTGAGGTTGGAGAGCCCGGTCGATGCTGACGCGTTCACGTTGAGGGAACGTAGCCGCAGCGAGAGCGAGGAGTAGGGAGGTTAGGCGTTTTGTTGAGATACCCCGTTGTTGTTATGGTCAGATATGAGGCAGTCAACCTGCCTGGATAGAGGATGGCTAGGTAAGATACTATAAGTTGCTTTATATCATCGCTTGGCGCTTTGCTGATGTGCCTAGTACGCACTATATGCGCCGGACCTTCTTTTTTGGTGAACATTTACAGGAGCGTCTTCTTATAGTGCTCCACGGTTCTTGCACTCCGTCACTTGAATCCAACCAAGATGATGCTACGGACGACAAAATGCTGCTCGCTGTCTGGTTCAGTTCCTCGCCCGCCGATAGTCCACCGCCTTACGACTCTCATCAAGGCAGCCGCACATGACAAGCAGATATAAAGCAACAACCGCGCAACTCACACACCTCGAACCATCCGATAATCCACCGCCTCACCATCGTCACCAAGGCAACCACGGAGCAAACAAACGCGCGGGACCATATAAAGCCTTGTCCCAAGATGACCATTCTTAGCGGCACAGCCACCGATCCGCAGTTGTGCGGTGCATGCCCCAACGTCGCGACGCGACCTTCAAGTGCGCCGGATGCGACAACATGCCGTACTGCTTTAAGGGCTGTCAGATTGGGGACTCCGACCAACACGCGTTGCTGTGCGACCAGTTCAAGAATTTCTAGGGCCAGCACCAGCACTAAAAGTTGAAAAGAAATTAATTCTTAAACTTCAGTCTAATCTACTAAGATTAATAGGCTATAGAAGTATGTAACTTATATAAATAGGAAACAACTACTTAACAATTACCCTTGCTCTTAAGACAGACAGATCGTGTCTATACTCCTTGTTGCAGACCTCCCCTTCCCTTTGTATTTCCTAACTGTATTTATCCCTAAGGATCACTTTAATAACACTTCTGAGAGTACTTGGAAGTACGATCTTACATACTACCCCCGCTTTACCAAGGATAAGACAACACAACAGCCTAGCACTTTTCTAGCCTTGCACGGCCTGCTATCTTATATCACTGTGCTCCCGTGCTCCTAATGTTATGATCTTTGCGTCTGCTTAATCGCCCTCTAGTTGTAATTTCAGCGACTCCATCATTACCCTTTCTAGCTCTACCAGCACGTACACAGCTTCAGGTAGCAGAACTCAATTCTTAACTTATTTATAAGTAGTAGCGAACAACCTGTAAATCTCGACTCTTCCCCATAATGAAGCCATATACATACCGACCGCTTCTGCCCGCCAAGCACAGTATCCGGCTTGTACAGATCCTCCCGGGACTTCCTGGGACCGAGATTCGTTGCCGAATTATCGACTACACCATCCGCGATGACCGTGTCTCGGGACTCTTCGAGGCACTTTCTTATGTTTGGGGAGAAACCACGGATCCAAAGAGAATCTCTGTTGCGGACGTGGCCAGCACCATAACACAGGACACTGTGGACGGCTACCTTGCCATTACGTCCAATCTGCACGATGCTCTCCAAGAACTCAGAGATCCAGCGTTGCCGAGGACTTTGTGGATCGACGCGGTGTGCATCAATCAGGACGACCTCGAGGAACGTGCAAGCCAGGTCAACTTCATGGCGAAGATTTACTCTCATGCCGGCCAGGTGGTGGTCTGGCTTGGTCTCGCACAGGGTAATTATGAGACGGGGGAGCTATTCGCCGCCATCGAGAACGCGGCTGACGTGCTTCTCGAACCACCCGCTGTTACGAAGTCCGGTGGTAGTGATCGAGATGAGTGGCGCGTTTCTGCTGAAAGGCCTCGTGACCCAAATGAGCACGTTGCAACAGACGAGTTTTTGAACACAGCGCTCGACAGCCTGCTTCGCCTTCCGTGGTTTTCGAGGGTTTGGGTGCTGCAAGAGGCCGCTACTGCACGAGCCTTGGTCGTGAAATGCGGCGCTTTCGAAATGCCAGGCCCGATTTTCACAAACGGTGTGCAGTATCTCCTGAAGATTGACCGGCGCCCTAGCAAAGAGGGTCGGGTACTGAGTGCATCTGTCCTTGAGATGATGACTCGGAACATGTCTGCGCTGGGGCGACCCTTCAGCACACATTTGCTCAACGACGTTGGATGGGGGCAAATCGGCCATGCTCGTCCCCTGAGTGATCTTATCGAGCGGTTCTATCTTCATGGAGCCACCGACCAACGCGATACGATCTTTGCTTTGCTCAACTTATGCAGTCCTGAATCACGCGGTTCCATGCAGCCAGACTACACACTGGCGTGGACTGATATCTGGGCTGCTACTATCAGGCAGATCTTGGGATCTGAAACGATCGTTACATGTCCCACGCAAAAGCAGGCTTGCATGACACTAAACGGCTACGTGTTGGGTAGTATTTCACTATCGGACGGAACTTTCTCGACATCATCGGGTTCCTGGAGAGCGTTTGGATGGAAAGCGACTTGGGCCATCCAGTCCTGGTGTAAAAGCATTCAGGACGGCGATATCGTGTTTCTCGCAGCTGGTGCTGCGGCTCCGAGCGTGATACGGGCTTGCGACGATCACTTCGATGTCATCTTCATAAGCCTACCGCCACCTGTCGCCGCTTGGGGTCAGTTCTTGGGGGGCTCAGGGTTTGGTTGGCAAGATCTGCTTCCGTGTCTAAGGCATGGTTGCAGAAGAGCCAACCTGGTATGGGACTGGAGTCCACATTACCCCAGTTCCTGCATCGGTCATGTTCTGCTACTTGATAACGCTCGTGTAGCAACAAACGCACACCCCGATGAGTTTGCCCGTATGGAAGATTTTATCAACATAATGGCCAGCGTACCAGACTCACTACGAGACATGTTCCCTGATGCGAGGCCGACCACCTTTGCCCATATCCAACAACAGTCTGAGAAGCCTGGGTTCCCTTCCTATCTTGCGACCAAAGTAGAGATACTTAGGATGTTCTCAGCAATCCGCGGATTTCGCTTGTACAAATGGGTATTGGAATTATTCCAGGATCTGCGTTATATGCGCTGGATGATGACCCATCAAACCGGGTCTCAAACGTCTGACGAGGTGATCCTCGACTACTTCAGAAGCGAGGGCTACCCGTACCACACCATGTTCGACCTGATGCCCATCATTGGACTGAAAGCACACCTGCACAAGGGTGGCACGACGACCAATTTGCGCTTCAGTGACGCCTCAAACACAGACCTCGAAACGTACTTCTCAGCGCTACTCAACACCAATCTTGCCGATTACTTCGTCGTGGGAGAGGATCTGTACTATCACCTGCAACCCCGTATGGTGGAGCACGGGTCGATCTTGCAGTCTGGCATCACACAATACATGAGCAAAGCTGTCATCCGTCACAGCGGTACCGCTCCAACTGACATCGGTACTTCCGCTGCATCGCTACTCACACGGCCTTCTATTCAATATGATGGTTCCGAAGACATGACGACTGTCAATTTGAGAGCGTACGCCTTGATATCGGCGTGTCGAGGCAGAGCACCGACTTTGCCATATTCCGAGCTGCAAACGAGCATCCGAAACCCGCGTACACTATACTTCTGCGCTCGTTTGTTCTCCGACCGACTCGCCGACACGCAAACAGCGTACGATATCTTGTCTTCAATACTCAGTCTGGAAGCGGACGCCCCGCCCTTGTCTCTACTGCAGCGAATCATTCACTGCCAAAACGCACGCAGCTTTGAACAGTACACTGATCTCAGATCCTCTCAGGTTGGGTATCATTGGTGCACTCGAGATGGGATTTCTGCTGAGTTGCTATCAAACAGCCAAGACCATCGCGCGGAAAGCTACCAACTTCTGGTCAACTTGATCGTTCTGTGGAACCTGAAGTCTCTGCTGGTGTACATGGAATCGACCGAGATGCTGCAGATTGCGGCTACGACCGTAGACGATAACGTCCTGCCGTTTCTGAAGACCTTGCTGGAATTAGATCCCAGCTTGGATGTTCCCCTGCAGCAATATGGAGAGCTTCTGCTGGCTCAACTTCCTTTCTGTATGGAACTCCCGAACTTGCCGGAAGAAGAAGAGTGCTTCTTGGATGGGGATGGCGACTTAGAGCAAGGCGCTGAGGATTGACTGATAACTCTTAGTCTAGATCTATCCAAGAAAGATAGATCCTGACAAGGTGCATAACTTCAAAACACTATTAACGTACAAAACAGTCTTGCTGTTTATCTTAGCTAAGAAGGATCTATTATACATGGGAACTATAGTATAGTGGGTTACCTACTATACTATAGTCGGCCCAGTACAACCGCACCTTCTGGATGCAGCACCACGACCTGTCATCCCCGCCCCCGCCGAACCAGAGTCTGCGCCCGCTGCTCGGCGCGTGGGCGGCGCGCTGGCGCGGCCCCGTCATCTGCATGGCGCCGACCAAGTACTCGCCGCAGACGGAGTGGTACGACTACGATGAGCAGGACAAGGACAAAGAGCATCCCATCGTGCTGATCCCGTATGATCTCGACACGGCGGCGCTGGCGATGCACGTGGCGTGTCTGCGCTTCGTGGCGCGGTACGAGCACACGGGGCGCGCGTACGCGGTGGAGGCGGAGGGCGTGGGCGACGGGTTCGATCCGCAGTAGGGCGGCGGCGTGGTGCGGGGGGACGGCGGGCACGGGTCTTGGGGGTGTTGCAGCAGCGGAGGATGAGCAGGGGCATAGCAGTCTGTGATTCCAGACTCATAGACAATGTAGACGCACCCAAGCCAGGGCCCCCAAATAATGCAAATCCCGGGTATCCAGAAACTCCCAACGCCAAATTCACACCCCTCCGTCGTTCCGCACAAGCATCTCACGACGACGCTGACGCCGCACCCGACCCGGCCCCCAAGTACTCGACAACCCCCCCACACCGCTCCAGCCGTGCCCGCGTCTCGGGAAGCCCCTGGTTCAGCCGGCCCAGCCCCTCGACCGCACGCGCCCAGTTGCGCTGCACCTCGTCGGCGCGGGGGATGGTGGCGCGGAGCGGGTCTTGTGTATGGGGTGTGTGTGGTGGGTTCTGCGTTTCCATCTCCATCTGGTCCTGCGCGTCCGCCGTAGTATCCAATGTCGGATTCCGCGCTGCATGCACCACTACTTCCTGCGCCGTACTCTCAGCCTCAAACCGCTCCTCCCACGCGCGCGCAGCCTTGCCCGCCGTCGCCCGCCGGTGCGCCGACACCGCCTTGACGAGGCGATCGCGCCGCGCCACATGCTCGGCCAGCCGCGCGCGCAGCCGCTCGTCGAACGGCTCGAACTCCTCCGCCGCCGCTGGTGCTGCACCCCCAGTCTGCACGCCGCTCATCGTCTCCCCCTCCCCTTCGCCCTCAAACCCCCCTCCCCGCGCAGCCTCCACAACCTCAATCCCATTAACAGCGACATTCGCCCGCACGCCGCCCAGCACCCGGTCCACAAACGCGTCGACCAGGACGCCCGTCTGCGCGCGCAGATCGTCTGCGCCGTCGGAGGGTTGCGCGGGGAGGTGCAGGTCGAGCTTCTGGGCTGCGGCGCGGCGGATCAGGGATTCGATGTGGGTTAGGTCGGCGGGGGACTGGAGGTCGATTTTGCGGTGCTCGGAGGACATGTTCGCGGGTGTTGGTGGTGGTGGGGGATGCGGTGTATGGTGTGGTGTGGTGTGGTGTGGTGTGTGGTGGTGTAGCGCGTGCGCGTTTGTGTGTGGGATTTTGCGCGGTGTGGGTGTGTTTGCTGCGCGTGCACGTGCTGCGCGTGGTGGTGTGGTGTGGTGTCTGTGGTGGTTGTTTGTTTTGGTGTTGGGGTTGCGGCGATCAGCGCGGTTGCGCGCGGCTGGCGCGCTAAAGCGAGGCTAATTGTGGGGCTAAGTCATGCACCGAGATGCTGCGGCGTTGTACTCGAGCACGGCATGTGGGTTGTAGTGTGCATGTTCCTGCTTGTATTATGAATACACTTGTAAGAATTCGTATGTTCGTTTGCACATCTGTTTGTAGATTCATCTGTTGGGTTGTTATTCGACATGCTGTATAATTGAACGCAACACACATAAATACCCCCATAACGCCGTACGACCGAACCCTCAGACCGGCGCCTCCATATGTAACGCCCTAAATACACGGTACCCTTAGACTGTATATACGCCTTGACCCTCGTGATGCCTGACCGTCCCAACAACCCATCACGACGACGGGAACATGTTCTTGACCTCCTCGTCCGTCACCACAATATCCTCGACGGGATCCTGGCGGCGCTCGAGGTCGTCGAAGTGGAAATCGGCGTAACTGGGCAGAAACATCTCTGTGCATTGTCAGCCCAGCTCAATGACTCACGCCTCGCAACACATACCCTGGTTCCAGTCAAAACCCTGACTCGCCTTGACACAGGTAATCAAGCGCGGAAACTCGGCGTCTCCGACATTCACAACCGTGTGCTCGGCCTTGGAGAACGACGCCGCTGTCCGCGTTAGCTCGGCTTATCGCTTATCGATACAGCGCCGATAAGAGCTCAGCACCGCGATGGTCAGGTCAACATACACATGAGACTCGGTCTGCGGTTCTTGCCCGGGGTCGATGGGCTCGTTGGCTCGAAGCTCCCGTATGTCGAGCGCTGGTACGACGCTGGGCTCGAGGCGCTGCTGCCGACGGAGCCCGCGTTGGCGCGCTCGAGCGGCTTGTTCTTGCGCGAGGGGATTGCAATTGAGGACGACATGGTGGCAATTTGGATAGGAAATACTACTGTGAAGTGGGCGGCTGCTAAGAGAGTGGTGGTGAGAGGTATCGTGGAGTTGCGTGGTCGAGGTGGGAGTCAAGCTGCGAGGCGGCCAATCGGAGAGCGCGACTGCCTGGCGATCAATGCGCTAGGCAGCGTGCGTGTGACGGGTGCGATGATGCTGGATGATGTTATCTCTTATCGGGAGTGGTATGCAGGTGATCAGAGGGTGCAGATGGTGTACTGTAGGGTTGCGTGCCTGCATCCCTGGCTCAACGGTTATCTTCGTGGGTTGGTGTTGACATGGGACGACACTGACGTAACATGCGGTATGGCCGGAGCCTCGTCATCACCACTGGTGTGATCACGGGACAAAGAGTCTGGCACCAAGCACTCCAACATTCGGTACAAATCACTGTTCCATTGGATTAACCATCATATCGTACATGCCACGCACCCCAACCAACCTAACCCATCGGACCTGCCGAAGCATGCGTTCGACCTCGCACCTCCCAAAGCCACAGAACCCCATAACAAGCGTACAAGCGAGCGAGCGTCTCGAAGCGAAAAACGAAAAAAAACCGAGGACGAAGAACAAGACCAGGCGGGGGGGTCCAACGCTGAGATAAACAGTAACAGTGACAGTGACAATGACAGTGACAGCAGTAGCAGTAGCAGTAGCAGCGACAATTCTACACTATCCATGCCAAGCGCCCCAGCAGTGGACATCTCGCGTCTTGTCGGGGGGTAAGAGCAAGCGCGCGCCCTCGAAACCAGCCTCGCCACTCAGGGTATCCCAACCAGCACCAGCCCAAAACCCAGCAAACTCCGCGGCGCCGTAGGAATAAGTCGTGGGTGAAGATGTAGAGAGACAAGGATTACGTGCGTCGGTAAGAAGGGGCGTCAGACGGCGGTGACAACATAGCAAAAACCGGGGGTATCATAGTGTCTTCGTGGCAGCTCGCGCGACGGGACGAGACGAGTCTACCATCCCTTCTTTCGCGCGAACCGCCTGTTGAGCAGGACCAGCACCTTGGTGACGTTGAACTGCACGTATTCCAGATCAAGGTCTTCCTGGTTGTCCTTCTGCATCTCGAGCAGATCGTCCAGCTTCAGATCCAGTTCCAGGAGCCCGCGGTTGCGGCCCTTGTAGTGTAATGAGATGACAAACGTCCCCGGCAGCGGGCTGGTGAAGTTGAAGTAGATGTTAGCCCGTCTATTCTCCGGCACATTGCTCTTCTGGATGACGCCTTCCTTCTCCAGCTGCTGGTGCGTAAACTTGTACGGCCCCAGCACCTGGTGTTTCTGCTGCTTTCTTGTCTTGCCTTCAGACTGGCTTCGGACGTTGTGCAGGTAGGATTTATACGTCTCCAGTTGGCCGACAAGGTAGTTGTTGTGGTCGCGGATTGTGCGATACACCTCCTCGAGTTTTCGTGTCTCATCAATCGTCTTTTCTTTCATCGATCCCAGGTGGACCAGCTCCTGCTCGACTTCGTCTCGGAGCAGCGAGAAGCCATCGTCTTTGTCGATGACGCCCAGATCTTGCAGCTGGCTCAGCAGCTCCATGCTGCGGATACCCTTCTTGACCATAACCGAGTCGTTCTTGGTTGTTGCGGCAGCCTCGGCAATCCTGTCCAGTCGCAACGGTCTCCGGGTGATGGACGAATTGGGCGGTAGCGAACGCAGAATCATGACAAATGTGCTCTTCGCTTCCATAAAGAAGATCTCTTCTTGGGTGATGTCGAGCGCCGCAGTGAGGTCATCAAGCGGGGTTTCCCACTTGCTGAACAAAGGCAGATTGATAGCTCGGTTCTCTTTGCGCGGAAGTTGAGCCGGTGCTGGCCCAAGCTCCTGGAGAATCACACCAAGATGCGAACTGTCGTCTCTTGCCTGAAGCAAGTCAGTAACCTTGTCCTTGGCGTCGTCCCTTCGCGCAAGCTTCGAGCTTACCAACTCCGTCGCATGCCTCTCCAACAGTTGATGCGTCGCATAGACTTCGTTGAGGGTGATGGATAGTTCAAGATCCCTCTTTGACAACGCCACGTAGTTGTCCATCTCCAATGTCTCGTAGAAGTCCTGCACTTCGCAAAGGTCGAGGAGGAACTTGTTGATGCGGTCCTTGTTCTGGTGAACAAAGGGCTGGAGCTTGGCCATGTACGGCTCCTTTGCATACGACGGCTTATTGGCCAGATTCTGCAGCATCTTCGCAATGTAGGTAAGCGTGCGTTTTGGGTTCTCGGCTGGGGTTGCGTCGATCAGCATGTACGACCGCGGCGTGACAATCGCCGGATTGATGAAGCGGAGGAAGAAGAAGCCACCGATCAGCGTGCAGATTGTCTGGTCTTGCGCATCCGGGTACTTTCGTCGGGACAAGCTGCGAATCTGCTTGCAGATCCAGCGAATGCCGTAAGGCGTCTCCTCGAGGCCTTTGATGATGGTGGAGAGAAAGTTGTTGGCGATCTCCATCAGCATGTTCACACGGGGCGCGATGATCTGCTGCACCGTCTCGTTCTCCGCGGCTTGCTCAGCGGTGACGCCCTTGGGGAGGTTTGCTGGCAGTTGCCCTTGCTCTTCGAGCTCGAGGACCATCTTCTCGTACACTTTGAGCGGGTTGATCTCGAGGTCCAGGTCTTTCAGCTCGATCAGAGAGTTGATGCTGTCCTGCAACACCACCTTGAGATAGCTCTGGCCGGGTCCTCTGCGGGTATATGTGGTCATCATTCGAGACACGGGTGTGTTGGCGCGCAGCAGCGAGCTGTAGTCTGGTGTGTTGTCGAATTGGTACGTGAGCACGGACTGTCGAGGTTAGCGGTTATGTGCCAGCCTGAGGAAGGCTCATACCTGGAACATGGTCAAAAGCAAGTGCTCTTCGCGGCTCTCGTACTGGTTTCCGTAGATTGTGAACATGACAGTCTGGAGCAGCGCGTCAATCTCAGCCATTGAGACCAGTCGGCACAGGTGGGCGATGTGGCGCGGCTCGGACTGGAGCAGGAACAGGAGATTGCCGTATTTCTGCGTCTTCTCGTCGTTGGGGAACGATCCCTCCTGCAGTTCGAGACCATCCTCGAGGTGGCTCGCAACTTCATTTTGCTGTGCAGTGGTCAGTACATGCAGGGGCGATGCCGAGGCTGGCTCATACCTCCTCCAGCGCCATGCGGTTCTGGATCAGCAGCGCGATGCGCGAGTCGAGGTAGCGCACGTCCTTCTCCAGCACGAAGTTCTTCTTCGACTGCGACGAGATCTTCGCCTTCAGCTCGCGCAGGATCTTCTGGGCTGGCACGTGTCAGACACATCAGAGACAGTCAGCGGGCTCGTGCAGGGACATACCTCGGGCAAGCTCGTCTTCAATCTCGAGCTCCTTGTCCTTGGCGGACATGGACAGGTACAGCGCGGTGACGGAGTAGCGCTTCGACTGGCGCACCGAGCGCGAGCCGTCGTGCGACGACATTGTGTTCTGGCGCGAGACGGGCACAAAGGACGAGGTAGTCGACGAGGTCGAGGCCCGCGAGGGGGCGTGCAGCATGGAGACGGCCATGGCGGTGCTGGCGGGGCGACGGCGACGGGAGGTGTGTACTGGGCAGGCTGAGGGCGGTGGCACAAGTCGCGGGGCTCAGCAGCCAGGCGGCGGCACGCAGGCACGTGTGCGACGGTGTGGTCGCAGTGGCTCCGGCGCCGCAGCGGGAGTGGACGACGGCGAGGGCGGGCGCAGGCTCTCTGTGCGCAGTGGAGGATGGAGGAGCGCGCGGGCAGCGGTGGGCACGGCGCGGTCAGGGCGGGCGCGGTGCGGGCTGGCGGTGCAGCGGTGCGACGGCGTCAGCAGGCAACCGGACGGGCGGCGAGCGGATGCGTGGTGCTGGTGGGTGCGGGTGCGGGTGCTGGCAGGGCGCGTGAGGAAGTCGCGACGGCGTGCGGGGACGGCCAGACAATGCGGCGCGGCCTGCGACACGCCAGAACAGCGCGGCTCTGGGCTCTGGCCAACGGGGCGGGGCGAGCAGACGGCCTCAGGACGTGAAGCGCAAGGCGTAGGGACCCAGCGGTGGGCGGGCGGGCAGGAGCAGCGTATGTTTCAGCGCGGCCGCAACGCAGAGCACGCAGAGTGGAGTCGCTGCAGGCGGGAAGTCGCAATGGCACCGAGCTGGGCGCGCGAGAACACTCGATGGCTCAATGCAGCCAACAGCGCGCGTGGATGCAGAACTGGAGATGGGGATGCAGGAGGGGCCGGGATGCCAGGGCAGGGTTCGCATGCATGCTGCGCCCGCCGCCGCTCTGCTGAAACGGTGGTCAGGGTGGTCAGGTGTGCTCCTCTTCAGGGGGCCCTCGAGCCTAACGAGCGGGTCGCGCGCACTGTCACTCGCCGGTGCCTGACTAGCACACGTCAGGACCAGCCTGCCCCGAGCCTGAAAGGCTGAACCTCCACTCTGGCGTTATGGCTGGCGACGCATCAACCACCTGTGCGTGCGAGGGCATGGAATGCAGTCGCGGCCCGCCCCTCGCCCAGCTCTGCAGGAGGACGGCGCCGGAGCCTGCGCTGCCGTCCATTCACTGTGCGCCCGGCCCTATCGCGCCCAGGCGACGACGGCTATCGCAATTCGAGCACTGTATCTTGATAAGCTTCATTGCATTCAATACCGCCACCCGCCTGCCGTCTAGCTACTGCCGCGCATTGCGGTCCAACGCGGTACATTGCCGGGCCATGTGCGCTATACAATATACACTGCCAGCGAGCCATTCACCGAGGACCGCTTGCTGTCCCGGCCCAGCATCAGGCCCAGCATCAGGCCACTTGTCCATCCTCGACAGGCTGCCATTTCCGCACCGCATTCTTGCTCTACCCGCGCTGCACGCACTGCGAGCTGTGGATCCCAGCCCGCTCCCACGACATGGCCAAGCGAACGCCAAGTGGCGAACATGTTCGTATGGAAATCCCTCCTCCGATTACGCCGAACGCCAAAGAGAACCACTAGAGGAACAATGCAGATCTCTCCGTTAGATCGAACGAGATGACGCCATGCAGTCTGTTATCGTAACTCATTAGGTTTGAAAGCGCGTGAATACGAACTCGCCATCTGCCTCGTCCACTCGCAGGTGGCTGGTGCCTGACCCTCAGCTCAGACATTGACTTTATCTGTGCGTGGCGATCATTGCGCCCGTGCCCCGACTCGGCCAGGAATGCTTTTAGTGGGCCCAGCCTGTGCTCAGTGCACAAGAACCGCGAGCACACACATCAACCCGAAATAGCTGCGTGCATTAGCTTCCCTGTCAGAACTCTCAGGACAAACAAGACGAGCCGGGTATCCTCCAAACAGCAGGGTATCCTCTAAACAATCGCTCAAAGCAGCCACAGTCTTGCCGCGATGCGCCGTGCTGTCTATTCGCCCGGGGGATTCAATAGGAAATCCACTCACATGGAAGCCGCGTACATCCACTCGCGGATGCTCATAATTGCCGTCAACTCTGGCGCCGTCGTGACCGTCCTTAGCCCCGCCGCGCTGATAAGCGCGATCACAACCATACGTCCAAGAAAGCTGGGGACGATCGAAAAGGCCACAAACGGCAGCAGGGGCAGCCACATGGCTGTGTGGTGGCTCGCCCCCGCACTTTGATCAACACTTGTGTGCCTTTTCGACGAAAACGTCACTAGATCGGCCTGGCGCTCGAGGAAGCGACTCTCTGCCTCGTGAATAGGCTTGCGCTGCTTCATCCACGCTCGGTACTTTTCAACATCTGAAGACCTGGCAGATGGAAGATGCTTCAAGTCATTGAACGCAGACAATGCCTTGTCTACTTCGGGTCAGCGTGGACCACGATAATTGCCACATGCAGCCTGATGCGGTAAGCACTTACTGTACTGTTTGAGCTTCAAGAAGACTTGGCCTAGCACTTCAATCCTTCGCCGGTGTGCATCATTCCCGAATTGGGTATCCCCGCGTCGGGAGGCAGGGTGGCGGTGGCCCGTTTGGGCACCTGGCGATGCTTCGGCGATCTCTTGATCGAGCTGACGCAGTTCATCCTCGAGCTCGCTGATCTCGTCTTGCAAGTGGAGCAGTACACGGTGGTTCAGTTCCTCGAACTTACGGTATGCAGGTACTACAGCGTCCTCCTTTCTACCTTTCTTGAATTCACTAAGCTTGTGTGCCAGCAGCTCATAGCCGATCAACGTCTCACTGCCGGGACCCTGGACGGAACGCTGAGGGATCATAGCCATGTTGTGCGCGGCCACAGCATGTGGAGCTACAGGAGACTGCATAATATTAGGAGGCGCATGGCTCGCAACAGGCGAAAGTTGCGGATAAGCTGCCGCTGCCCCTGGTGGGTACCCGATGGCCAATGGTGGTGGGAAGGCGGCGGCAGGCGGCCATCCTGATGCTTGGCTTGCTGTCGCACTGAAGTTGGTTGGTGACGCGCCCGAATACATCCGTGGGTCATACGGTACAGCGGGCTGGATATGTGGAGACATGATACCGGGGTAAGGGACGTTGTAGTGCGGCTGAGGGCTCTGTAGCACGTGACCCGGCGCAGGCTGAGGTGCGTGTTGAGGCGGATTTGCCGGATGGCTCCAGTACGACGCGGATTGAGACGGATGCTGCGTATGGTCATCGTCGTACGCGCTCTCATCATCACTGTAGACTTCGCTCTCTTCAGCCGGTTCATCTCCTGGTCCGTGGACGAAGCTGCTCGCATACAATGGCTTTCCTGATGGATTCTGGTAGTGTCCATAGTAGGGCACGCCATGGCTGAGTGATCTCCTTGTTGAAGTTGGAGAAGTCCTCGGAGTGTCATGTGCACCTTCGCCGGCATCTGACGACTTGTCATCAGCACGAGAATCGACGGACGAGGTGACAGATGGAGACGATGCTTCCAGGACGCTCTGTGCATCGAGCTGCGTCTCCCGTCCCCCATCTTCGCTTAGAAACTGGAATACATCGGATTGCGTGGCCTCTGTATCAGCCACCGAGGGTGCTGCAGAACGTCTGCTACGCTTTACCTTGTTGCTCTTTGTTGATTTGTCTTTCCGGCGACGGTCAGACCTCTCTGTGATGGTCGTGTTGCTTTCGCTAGCCGTACTGGGCTGAGTCAAGCCAGAAAATATTGAGGCCAGGGAAGAGTTTGAGTGTTTAGCAAAGCTTCCAGCACGTTTCGAAGAACCCTGCTTTGGACGGACCCGTAAGCGGCTGGAGGTGCTGTCCTCGGAATGGCGACGGCTTGCGGCGAAGTTTCCATGTCTACTGTGCGTGCTCTCATGTACCTCAGGCGCCTGCGCCAGGTTCGGCATGTGCCCGACATCATCATCCTCCTCCCAGTGTGCATCTTCTTCTTCATATATCGGTGCTGGAGCGGCGACTGTGCTGCTCTTCGGTGCTTTCTTCAGGCTTCGGCGACTGCTTTTGGAGATCTTCGATCCTCCGTCATCGGTACCTGCCGAAGAGGGTGCTGCAGAGTGGGCATCGTCGGTGCTTCTGGCACGTGAGGGTCGACGGCGCATTGGGGGTGCTGTACCCTCGAACGGGGCCTCGTTGTCCGCCTACATCTCGCCATACATCGATCAGTATCAAGAGGGCACAGTTGGCTAGGAGCCACCGAGGCGCAGATCATCACCCACCATGCCACGTTGTGCCTGCCGCGTGTGCTGTCTGCCAACGAATGACGCGTTTGCCTCAGTGGATCTGATGCTGTCGACGACGGCTTAGGGCGTGCGCGCCGGCCGTAGCTGGGAGAAGGATATAGACGGTAGTGCAGTGTGCGATTTCTTGCATGCTGAAGCGAGCAGAGTAAACAGTGTGCAACGCAAGCGGGCTGTGAAGGACAAAGCAAGGAAAGCAATCGTGATGTTCGTCTTACACGTCACCGAATAGGCGTCGAGGAGAGCACACAAACAACCAGGCAGGGCAAAGAAATTCGAGCGACGTGCAGCCCTCTAGCCTGTCAGCCAGCACAGCGTGCATCATTGTGCTCGGAGCCCAAGCTTGTGGGTGGTGGAGAGGCGGTGCGGAAGTGTGCGGCTTCGGCCAATCATGTGCCGATGAAGACCGTCAAGCGAATGTGTCGCCTACGCCTTGATAAGCTGCCCCAGACGCGCCGGGAAGCTGTGTCTCTGTCACGAAGCTCCCGTCGCTGGCAACGGCTCTGATTTGAGCTGTTTGTCGCACCGGCGACCTCCGAGCCCCGATCGTGGCACCTGACCACTCCAGCTGCCTTCCACTTCTGGGCATCTAGTACCCATCATGTAAGCAGAGATAGCCGGCGCGAGCAACACTGCCTCAGCCTCAGCTATAAACTTTATGTGCACTTGAATACTAGACTGTTACCTTTGCCGCCTCTTGTGACTTGCTCGCACTCAACTACGAACACGCCTTGATTGCTGAGCTCCGAACCCCACTACTGATTGCTACCCCTCCGACGTCGCTATGGATCCCACCGTCAAGTACCTGCTCTCGCTCGGCGCCATTAGAGATCGTGCCAAGATCGTGGGGCAGGCCGCAAAGGACGGAAATCTCAACCACTTCGACGTCCACGAGGATAAGCTGGATGATGTTGCGGACTTCGTGACTTCGGTCATCAAGGTCTGTTGAACACGCCCATCCACGCTTCCCAAAGCTCACTCTGTCACTAGCGTGACTACGGCCCAGACAAGTTCGACACCATCCCGCCTCACGGCCGCTGGCAGCACTTCGAGGTGGGCGGTGTGCCTCGAATTGCTGAATTGCTGGAGTTGTGGAAGAAAGATGGCTGCGATGACACAGAGCTTACGCGCCGGTTGATTGACCTGTTCTTTGTATCCGTGCTTCTTGATGCCGGCGCAGGTGACCACTGGAAGTATGCCGAGCCCGGAACGGAGCAATCGTACGAGAGAAGTGAGGGTATTGCCGTGGCCAGTCTGTACATGTTCCTTGAAGGCGGTTACACCACTGAGAAGACCGGCATCCCGCTTGTAGATGGTACATGACTTCATTCCCCCCTGCTCGAAACAACTACTGAACCCAATTCAGGCAAGGGCCTGGCTCAATTGACAACCGAAGCCCTCGCCAAAGGTCTGCAAGTCACAGAAAGCAACCCCATGCTCGGCGTCGACTCGCGAGCAAACCTCCTCCGAGGCCTAGGCAACTCGCTCCTCGCTCACCCCGACATCTTCGGCGAAACCGGCCGCCCAGGAAACGCCGTTGGTACGTTGAACTCGCTCCTCTGCGCCCCCGACCCTCACTCACACCCCCCACAGACTACCTCCTGGCCTCCGCAACTACCTCCTCCACTCTCGACATCCTGACCTTCTGGGACCTCCTCCAGACCCTGCTCATCCCCATCTGGCCACAAGACCGCACAACCATCAACGGCTCCCCCATCGGCGACGCCTGGCCGCTGGGCGCCCTCGCCACCCAAACCAACTCCCCCAACGCCGCGGACGGCATCCAGCCCTTCCACAAGCTCACCCAGTGGCTGACCTACTCCCTCATGGTGCCGTTCACGCGCATCCTGGGCAAGACGTGGGCGAACGCGGACGCGCTGACGGCGCTGCCCGAGTACCGCAACGGCGGGCTGTTCGTGGACATGGGGGTGCTGGCGCTGAAGGCGGGGACGCTGGAGGCCGGGCTGGCGGCGTCGGGCGCGGGGCTGCCGTCGTTTGCGGCGGGGGATGATGTCGTGGTTGAGTGGCGCGCGATGACGCTTGTGCTGATTGACAAGCTGTATCCGATGATTTTGGAGCGCATGGGGGGCGCGCAGTTGAGTATGGCGCAGTTGCTGGAGGCGGGGACGTGGAAGTCGGGGAGGGAGGTGGCGGCGAAGTTGAGGCCGGAGACGAAGTCGAGTCCGATTATTATTCAAAGTGATGGGACTGTGTTCTAAAGAGGAAGAGTATATGGCAGTTGCGTTTGAGTGTCGGAAGATGCCAGACATATAGTGAAATCCACAAGCATTTGCCTGCACTCATATTGTAACTGATGACGCTGCGTTCTGAATTCTTCTGAGTGACTTGTTAGACAAGCTGTCTGCGCGGCACTGTCTCATTTTTGTAGCACAGATCTGTACCGGAAGGTTTATAACAAGTCATTTTCGTGTTCAATATTCCACGAGCTCGCTATACCAATTCCGTTGTCTTAGGACGTCAGATATTTGATATGGCATTTGTCATTCTACATGATGGCATCAAAGTGTAGAATTGAAATCCCCCTGACATCTGGATACACAACTCCTTATCACAACGCCGAGTTCAGTCCCGCAAGTAACTTATGTTCTAGCCCAATCGTGTACCTGATCCGTAGTATCCACCTCCTGAGCCGCATTCATCCTCCTCACGAATGCTTCCACCAAGCCGTCGATCTCGGGATCTTGCGCCAAATTGTGCGACAGCTCTATCATCAACGGCAAGTCGATAGACTGCAGCTTCACGCGTTCACTTTTGAGCAAGATCTTGACTATACCCGTATGGCTGCGGCGCAACGCCTGTATCAACGGATGTCCGACAGGCGGGTGACCACGTCTGATGGCTACTCGAGGTGGCGTAAGCTTATAAAGGTTTTGTGGGTTGACGTCAACCTTATGCGCGAGTAACTTTCTCATAGTTGATGTGTACTTGTACTGTACAGCAACTGAAAATGGAGTATTGCCAGACTGATCATGAACGTTGACATTGACGCGACTAAGCTGGAGTAGCGCTTCTGTCAACTTCATATTTTCTTTGGCAACAGCTGCTCCGAGTGGCGTCAGACCCTTCCTATCGCTTGCATTGAGGTCAATATCACTAGACGATAGTAGTATCTCCATTGTTGACGTGTGTATCTGCTTCGCAGCAGCTACAAGTGGTGTTTGCCCGTATACATCCTGTGCATTAATGTCTGCCATTCCGGTCTTGAGCAGCAATCTTGCTATTGAGCTGTGGTTGTTCAAAACAGCTAGATGTAGTGGTGTCTGGCCCCGGTGATTTCTCGAGTTGACAAATACGTCTTGTCGGTCAAGCAGCATTTGTGCAACGTTTTCGTTGCCTTGTTTTGCTGCCAAACCTAGAGCTGTATTTCCAGACGAGGCAAACTGTTCATCGACTATACCGCGAGTTAGGAGGTGTTCAACTATGCCTGCGTTACCGCTTTGAGCTGCCCATGCTAGTGGTGAAAGTATGGTTCCCTGCTTCGTGAGGTCGTTCAGAGTTTCGATGCTCGTCTGGTCAGTATCCAACAACAGACCCCACCCTTTATAGGCAGGTAGGCGATGTCTCACGTGTTTTTTCATTCTCCAGGGACGATCAAGAAACTCGATCTTTGAAAATTGATGTCTGACCAAAAAATCTGTCTCGCCTGTCGATTCGCCGAACGCAACGGCGATGATGTCGTAGCGCAGCTCGTCCAGACGATCGAATGTGGCAAAGTAATGTGGCAAGTCCCATTCAGGCAAGCAACTTGAAGAGATCCCCACATCCTGTAGTCTTAGCAAGAAGGCTATAGTGATATGAATCAGTTCTTGCAAAGTCTTGGTGTAGTCAGGATTTGGGGCGTGTGCGCCGTGTGCGTTTGAGCAGATGCCGAGCAGCGCATACACCATGTCCCTAGGGTCAGATGCCTTACTACTTTGGAATTTGCGCAGTAGAGTCTCCAGGTCTTGGTTTACTAACCACCAGGAGAATTTGCGGGAGGGCCCTGGCATTATGTCCAGCACGGCCTGACATCGTTCTAGTGGTCGAATCTTCAATACTTCTGGGAAAAGTGCAAAGACACGCGCAGAAACTGATTCTGTACCGCAAGCAACCCTTGCTGATCGTGCTTTGACCACTTCTTGTATGATCCAGATTCTTTCAAACCAATCTCTAAACAGTAAAGTCATAAAATCGGCTCGATATATGACTTCATCAACCCAGGTGTCCTTCTGCACCTGTAGCAGTACGTTCGACCACAAAAACTGCCAGCGCTCGTCACTTGGCTGCCAATTATTGCAAGGATGATTGAGCATCTCATTTCCGAACAGTTGCATGAGGTGGAAGGCACGGTTCGTTTCCACGGTAGCTGTGCCTAACCAAAAGATGACTTGTCTAGCTCGTTCGTAGATAGATGCCATCTGTCGTACCTGATGGCCTCTCTCTTTGTAGTCGTCTTGATTGATGCATAGAGCGTCGATCCACAGAAAGCGGTCTTCGTGCTCGAGACGCAAGTGCTCGAGAACTTCAGACAGATTCTTGGTAATGTGCATCACCTGGCCGTTGACTTTGATATTGCATGGCTTGGCAAGGTCTCCCCATGTGTATGACAGAGCCTCGTATTCCATACCATCGTTGTCGTCGCCGACATAGGCATGCAGGAGCTCGCACTCTGTCGGACCCTCATCTCCTCTACAGAGTCGGATGAGACGAAAGGATCGGCTCTCGAGGTCTAGCTCTTCGTACACGAACGTATTGGTCATGGCGATGACAAACCAGCCGTACCCTTTAGTTCACCGCCGACGAGTGGTGTTGCATATAAGAAGCACAGAAATCTAGTTTGCAGCCCTGAATTCTATGTTAGCTACGATCTCTCACTAAGCGCCTCTGAAGCCGCCTATACGTACCCGAAGCCGGTAGCAAAGTCACCATAAAGCTACAGCAGAGGTAACACACGTAACCGAGATGCTATATGACTTCGAGATTTCGCACAAAGTGGTTACAAGGCCAGGTCGACAGGAGGGAAGGCTCGTCTTATAACATGCGCTGGCTGAGCGGTGCGCTCTTGCCCAACCAGTAGCGACACAGCCGACGCACCTCGCTCTTGCGCTGCGAGGCTGAGCACATGTCAGTTGCAACCCTGCACCATTGTTGGCCGAGTGCGAAGTCCTTTGAAAGTAGATCTCTATCCTGTATCTGGAAGGTCATCTTAGTGAGGGCGCGGGTCTGCGATTAAGTACTGGCAACATCATGTTTGAACTTCATTTGTGATATTCGTGTTTCGAGATTTGTTCCTGGTGATACTGTTGGACGTATCCGCAAGTATTCTGGAGATTGCCTGCATTCCTGCCATCACGACAGCCTTCATTCTGGTGCCTACTGTCCGTGCACTAAGAGATTAAATGTGTTCTTACAACCCCCCCGAAGTTGCAAGCAGACGTGCAAGTCATTTGGTTGCTAGCTCGCCTTTGCTGCATCCTTCGTTCGAGGCTTTCTTAGCCGCCTTTGCGAGGCGTGGCTGTAGCCTTCTTCTGGAAGTGACGCTCGAGGATCTTCTTCACCTGGATCACGCTCTGTTCCTTGCCAGCTGGCGCCCGGACACTGTCCAATGTGTATGGAGGCTGCACAAGGACCGCGTCGTTAACGACGATCTGGTCATTTGCCCATCTTGTTGGGAGCCTGTAATCATGTAGTCAGCGCATGGTTCGAACCGGCTGCGGGTGCCGAAACAACGTACGTCCTAGCGAGATAGTCGAATATCTCCTGAGCGTCTCCGCTAACGCCTTTGCCCTTCTGCGCATCCTTCTTCTTCATTTCGCGGATTGTCTGTTCCTCTCGTGCCATCAACGCTGCCATGTCGACCTTCGCAATGCTTGGGATTGCGCCATCGAACCCAGCGGCGGGCTCTCGCGCTCGTTCACCGAGGCCAATGATCTCGAAAGATAGTATGTGTGCGAAGGGGATGATGTGGTAGTCGCCGGGCTGGGAGGAGAGCGAGGCGGAGGGGTTTGGCGGCGCAGGAGCTGTGTTGATGGCGATAGCGTTCGTGGTGTTGCAGGCCGTGAAGAGAGTGCCTTCGAGGACGTTGTTATTGGGCGCGCATGTGATCTTGATGCTATGCACTGTCAGTCCTGTTGCGATAGTTCAATCACGCACTGAAGCTATATCGCTCAAGCAAGGGGAGCGTACCGTGACCCTACGGCCTTGTATAAGTTCGAATCGGCATCACCAACATCCTTGCTGGCAACTCCGCCAGCCTTCAGGTTGGGCGTCGCAACCTTTCCTACCATACTCTGGCGTTTGCTGTCTGCCATGATTGTTTCCGAAAGCTCCACCAATCCTCCTGGGTCCCTCGCGACTGCTGTGCGCCGGGATGATGGGTCGCAGCCCCACCGTGTGTTCCGCACAGTCAACCACGGAGTTGCTTGTTAAAGCACAGACAGTTCAGGCTCCAAAGAGCGAGCAATGCGCAAAAGGAAACGCAAAGGAGCGACAAGAAGAAGACGGCACTGGTGTGCACGCAAGCAAGCACAGAGGTGGAGTGCAAGCGCGGGGACCTGCAGCGCGTGCCGGTGTTTGTGTTCCTGGTGCGCTTTGGCGGCCGTTACCCTGCCAAGGCTGGGACAACATCCAATGTTGCACGAGCACGGGGTCAGTCTCTAACTCAGCGTAATGTTTGTCATTGCAGAGTGTCAGGTAATTGGCACGGCAAGAGATGGTGGTGTCATACACGCAAATCGATTTCATTCTGGATTCGAGCTGTCATTTACATCGTATCCATCGTTTTCATGCCCAAATCGCAAGCAGCGCCGTGCTTTCCTCTATCACTCCTGGTATAGTTATCAAATTAAGCGTTGTAAGTAGAGGCAGAGATGTTTCCACCCCTTCCTGTCCAGTTGACGTGGATGTCCTGGCCCTCCTTGTATGTCTCGTTGGCGTATTCGGGCTTGATGCGGAAGGTGTGGGCACCGAAGTAATCACGCTGTGCCTGCAACAGGTTGGCGGGCAGGTCCTTGGCGCGGTAACCGTCGTAGAAGCTGAGAGCGGTGCTGAAAGCGGGTGTGGGGATACCCCAGAGAGCACCCTTGGAAACGGTGTCTCTCCAGCCGGACTGAGCCTTGTGGATGGCCTTGTTGAAGAAGTCGTCGAAGAGCAGGTTCTCGAGGTCGGGGTTGGCACGGTAGGCCTTGGTGATGTCCTTCAAGAAGACAGAGCGGATGATGCATCCACCACGCCACATGAGGGCAATCTCGGGCTTGTTGAGCTTCCAGCCGTACTCCTTGGCGGCGTTCTGGATCAGCATGAAACCCTGAGCATACGAGATGATCTTGGAGGCGTAAAGGGCCTGCTCGAGGTTGTCGATGAACTCCTGCTTGTCGCCAGTGAAGTTGGGGCTGGGTCCCTGGAGGAGACCAGCCGCGCGGCCACGCTCAGACTTGAGCGAGGACAAGCAGCGGGCAAAGACGGCCTCTCCGATGAGAGTGACGGGCATGCCAAGGTCAAGAGCGTTGATGGCAGTCCACTTGCCGGTACCCTTCTGGCCAGCAGAGTCCATGATCTTCTCGACAATGGCGACACCATCGTCGTCGTTCTTGTACATGATATCGCGGGTGATTTCGATCAGGAAAGAGTCAAGGACACCAGTGTTCCACTTTGTGAAAACATCACCAATCTCCTTGTTGCTAAGGCCGAGACCGCGCTTCATGATGTCGTAGGCCTCGCAAATCAGCTGCATGTCACCGTACTCGATACCATTGTGGACCATCTTGACGTAGTGACCAGCACCCTCGTCACCGACCCACTGGCAGCAGGCCTCGCCGTCAGACTTGGCGGAGATGGACTGGAGGACGTCCTATTATCGCGTTAAATATGTTCTCTGCAAATTTGGCACCTCTCCTACCTTGATGTAAGGCCAGGCCTCCTCGTTACCACCGGGCATGATGGAGGGGCCGTAGCGGGCACCCTCCTCACCACCGGAGACACCGGAACCGACGAAGCGGATACCCTTCGAGGCGAGGTACTTGGTACGGCGGTTTGTGTCGGGGTAGTGAGAGTTACCACCGTCGATGATGATGTCACCCTCCTCGATGCCACCCTCGGTCAGGAGGAGCTCGATGAAGTCGTCAACAGGCTTTCCAGCCATGACGAGGAGCATCATGCGGCGGGGCTTCTTGAGCTTGGCGCAGAACTCCTTGATGGAGTGAGCACCGACAATGGACTTGCCCTTAGCCTCTGTTCGTCGTCAGTGTCAAGCTCGGTCTCTCAATTGCGCGTCGGCCTTACCATCGGCCAAGAAACGGTCAACCTTAGCGACGCTACAGGTGTGTCAGTTTCCGCTCGTATGCAGTGTCGAAGAGCTTCCTACGTTCGGTTGAAAGCAACAACGGTGAAACCATGGTCAGCACTGCTCGCTGTTAGCTGTTGAGGTAGATGACTGAGCTGTGCAATGCTTACGCGTTGAGGATCAGGTTCTGACCCATGACCTGGACGGCATTTGTGAGCAGCTATTCTCCATGCTTTCCCTAGAGAGCACTTACGGCCAAACCGATCAAACCGAAGTCACCGACGGCCTCAGACATGATTGCAATCTGGGTGTTGTGAAGGTGATGTGTGTAGTGAGGGTTGTCTGAAGACTGATTGCGGGGTAAAGCTGCAACGACCTGGCGCGCAACGATTCAAAGCAATTGAGGGTAGATGAAGGACAAGTGGTGAGATGTGGTGGGGGTTGTTTGGAATAAGTAGATTCTGCGTCTCCGAGCCGGAAGCAAGTGGAACTGGATGTGGTAGCGCACTGGCGGCGTGGGGTGGGGCGGACGTGATGTCAACTGGGCGATGTGCCTGCAAGAATAGCATGGCTTCGGCCGCGGCCATTGCACCGACGTTTCGACACAAACATCGTATCAAGGCTTAATTTCGCCGTCTGTTATTTGTGCAACTATTCCTCCGGCACCCATCCGCGGAAAAAGCTCTGGCAGTCTTCTGATACACAGTGCTGTTGGTGCCGTTGTTGCCCCTCCATCTATCTCAGCCCTAAGAACAGCCAACGGAAAGAGGGGCATCACCGGACAGGGGTTGTTGAACAGCCACTAAGTCCGCCGATGGCTGGCCGTTAATACTCAGAGATGGCTGCACGGTTGCAGCATCGATGATCACACGTCACCACGCGTATGTAAGATTCAATCAACGGTGCATGCTGCGTAGCAGCTTGAGCGTGTTTCCAGTACCTGGCGTGGATTCTGGGGCAGGTGCGGCCGGCGACAAACAGTCACGTGAACTGTTATTGCCAAGTCCTGGCTACCGTTTGACACCACAGAGCTCAACAAATCAGTGAGACAACGCAGACCGGTCGTAATTACTCATTGCCATCGCGCCCGGCCCGCCATCCCACTCTACATCGCTCAAAGGCCGACGGGACCTGGACCGGGCGTTGCACCGTGGTGGCCCGGATGCGTTAGGAAAGACTCATCAGCCTGCATCCTTAGTCAGCACCGCTTCTGCAACTCAGCCTCATTAGAAGTCTGCGCAACAAGTGCGGCATTAACCACAACAAGAGACCCACACCCTTTCACCAGCCTTCGCACACCCCACGGTCCAAGCGCTTGGCTCCCCACAGCTGCTGAGCGAGCATCCGCCGCACGTCACCAACCCTAAGTAAGCCTTGCTTTGCGCGTGACAGGCCCTCGAAATAATCGCCGTCTTCACAAACCCTTCCCGGCCGGCAGTCGACACAGCAGCTTCACTGAGTCGCGCAACCTATCAAACCGTCCAACTAGATCGTTTGCTCGCCTTTCACGTATTCACCATGGCAAACAATAACCTGCTGCCACACCACTCTCTTCCTGCGCGACCGCCTCCATCGACATACTCGGCGCCGCCCTCACGATCAGGCAATGTAGGCGCAAACCCACAGGCAAACTCGCCGATGTTTGCTGGATTCACACCTCGCTCGGTGGTAGCGCACGCGCCGCCACAGGTGTCTGCTGGACCAACTATGTATCCGCAAGCAACTGTGAGCGCTCCTTATCAAGCTCCCGCTTACCAGTCGAGCAATGCTTACAACAGCTATGCGTATCCAGCGTATGCCGCTGCTGCACCAGCTGCGTCATTCCCACCAACTGCCTCAATGAATCGTGGTGCGAGTGGCACATATGACCCTGAAGAAGAGGCGCGCATAGCTGAGTGGAACAGCGCGTACAGCAGAGATGACGCGAACGCTAGGAAGAGTGGTATTCCTAATACCGGCCTGGCTCAGCCCTCAACAGACACCGAGAAAGGAGCTCCTGACGGCAAGAAGAAGACCGTCGTTCGAGAGGGCGGCGGCAAGAACTGGGAGGACGAGACTTTGCTTGAGTGGAACCCACTGCACCCGCGACTCTTCATTGGCAACCTTGCCGGCGAAGTTACAGACGATTCGCTTCTGAAGGCCTTCTCAAAATACCCTTCCCTGTCTAAAGCCCGCGTTGTGCGCGACAAGCGCTCTACGAAGAGCAAGAGCTACGGCTTCGTCAGCTTCTCCGACACCGACGACTACTTCCGCGCCGCCAAAGAGATGAACGGCAAGTACATCGGCAGCCACCCCGTACTGATCAAGCGAGCAACTTCCGAGGTCAAGGCGGTTACGAAGAAAGAGGACAAGCACGGCAAACACGGCCAGAACGGCAAGTTCAACAAGAACAAGAACGGTGGCGGGAATAAGCCGAATACGGTCACCGCTGCCCCGGCGATGACGGCTACGCTGCCGTTCATCCCGCGAGGCGTGCAGAAGAAGGGCAAGCAGAGCGGCCCCCGAGTTCTCGGATGAGCTGCGAGCTTCGCGTGGAGGACGTTCTTACTATAAATTGGGAAAATACGCTCAGGAGGCCTGACCAAGCTACTGCTTCGAGGCATGCGAGTCTAGCAAGATTGCCGTGGCGAGGACTAACAGAGACAGAGCAAGGCTGCGTTGCGGCGCCAGCAGGAGTTCGTGATTCGTCGTGACCGGGAGGTCTGTGATGCGCAAGTTATGGAGAGAATTTGTTGTAAGTATAAGTCGGGATAGACTAGAGAGGGTTCGGCGCATCCTAATATTATCCAGTGAAATAAAACTACTTCTCAAACAATATGAGTATTTCGCATTCACAAACTAGTTCGTGGAGGAACGTGAGTCTGGCCAACGCGATGATTCGACATTGCGAAGGACGCCAGAGAGTAGGAAAAACAGATCAAAAGAACCACCAATGAATGTGTACCAGAATTTTGCACTGCCTAACAAGTACATTATCGTCCCCATCTATACTCGTACCAACCGAGCGCCCACAGTGCATTGAATCGCACATAACCAAGATCAACACTCCGTCCCAAAGGGTATCGTCCACGGCCCGTACGCCAACCGAAAATGCTAGACTCCGTCCCATGCAGCATACAAAACAAGAGCCAAGGCCACAAAGCATGGCCCGTAGTCCAAATAGCGCAGCGCGAAACGCAACGCGCAAAGCACAAAGCCGACGCCGCAAAGCGCAACCGCGCCGCGCCAGCGTCCCAACGCTCACATATCCCCCAAGTTCAGCACGTCGTCCAGCGCGCCGTCCAAATCCGCTACATCGCCCACACTCCCGCCGTTCCAGTGCGCCATCTCATCGTCCCCATCGATCTGCATCCGATCCGTGTCGCCCGCAGTCTTGAAATCCACCGTGATGCCCTCGCCCAGCCACCTCGCCAGCCCACTCTTGTCCTGCCCCACACCATTAACAATACCATTCGGCCTGTCCCGCTTCTTCTGCGGCGCGGGATACACGTCCTCGATGCCCGGTACATCAAGGAACGAGGCGTTGATGATGTTGCCCGCGATGATGGGCGCCTGGCCCAGATATCCGTCGCCGAGCTGCAGCGCGAGGCGCAGGTCCTCCATGCAAAGCAGTTTGCGCTTGCGGCGCTCCTCCTGCTCGACGGGCAGGTCGCCTTTGGCGTCGCGGGTCAGCTCGCCGCGGTCGGCCAGAGCTTCTTCTTTCTCGACGCGCTTCTTGAAGGCCCCGGTGCGCACGTAGCCGTCGCCATTGGTGGCGACTTTGCCGAGGAAGGAGACTAGGGCTTCTTTGATGAAGGTCTCGGTCGCGAGGTTCATGAGGTCGGGGCAGTCGGGGCTGTGGCCCTGGGGGAGCCCGAATTCGTAGCATGAGGGGAGGAGGCGCGCGGATATGGAGGAGGCGGTAGGGAATTCGTGGGTTTCGCTGAATAGGGGCGCAGTGTAGCGCTTTCGAATCTCGATGTCCCAGTCTGCAATGTACGGTCAGTGCCATAGACTTGCGCAACGAATGGCCAGGGAGTTGTCCAGGAAACGTGGACGTAGGACAGAGAGTGCTGACTTACTCGTCTTGTAACCGCCCGCTGGGCCCACTGGACCAACCTCCGGCTGTTTCCCTCTCTTCATCTCAATCAGCTCGTTTACGGGGCCTAATGCGCCGGCCGCTGCTCCGTCCTGCCCTCCCACAGACACAGTCTCTGCCGCAGGTATAGTCTTCAGCCTCTTCCTCTCCCTCCTTGACAATTGCATAACCTCATATTTCAGTCTCTTCTCGCTCTCATCCCCTTGCCCCTTGACTGTACTGCTTGATGGCTTGTCTGTACTCGACACCCAGCTGGCGATACCAGCCTCAGGCACGTCGCGCCATATGTTCGCGTAGATCGCGGCGACCAGCGTATTGTGTGCATGCTCTAGTGCAAGAGTATTGAGTATCTTGCCCAGCTTGAAGCTCAATTCCTCCTGATTGAGGTTGCCGAGGAGGAATTGCGTCAAACTTGTCTTATAAGTTGTCCAATCGGTATCGTTTATTGCGCCTTTTACGGCCGAATAAAGGGGCTCGACATCGATACGTGGTCTGCGTTCGGCAGTAGACTTCTTGAGCGTAAGAGGAGGGTCGAGGTCGGGGATGCTGGAGAAGGGCAGAGTGCCTGTATTAGACATATCCGTGTCATTTGGCTGGATTGTCGCCATCTTGGCGTTGATTGAAAAGTTGGGTGCGCGCAATGGCTGGCGATGTCGTCGTTGTTGCAGTCAGGGACGTGTTTGCGGGCCGAGAGCGCGTGATGCCTGCGGAGAGCTGGTGGTCGCGAGTGGAGAGCCCAAGCGTGCGCAGTTGTGAGAGCAGGGGCTGCACGAGCTATGAGGGCTCCAAACGGATCGCGAAAGCTACCTGGTTAGCCTGATGATGAAGACCAGGCACATAGACGATGATGTGGGCGTGCGCTGATGAAAACGATGTGGTAGGCGCAGGGCAAGGTTGCATCGACGGAGGTTGCGGAGTTGCTGCCAAGCTCCGGGGAAGGAACACCACTTGGTGTTTGAGCATCACCCTCTTGGGTATAGGGACATGGGTATTCGCAACATTGGTAGCGAAGGTTGAATGTAACCATGCTAGCGAAGACTGAATTCAGCAATTTCACTATGAATTTCAATTCATTATGCAGCTTTAAACTTCATTGTTAGTCAGTAAAGGGCTCCATGAATCCGAAAACGTCGCTATGCATTTCAAATATGTTCGAGCATCATCAACTCCACACTACGCAGGAGATCCTGCTTTTCTACACCTATTTTACGTCTCGTCTACGAGTCGTCTGCAAATACATCGCCCAGCTCCACCTTCCCAACACTCCAAATCTCCCTCTCATCCTCGACCTCATCACTACTCAATCCCAATCCGCCAGAGCCACCCTCGGCCTCCTTCTTCTCCCTAGCCTGGGTGGCCAGCCTCAGCGCAATCCTCTTGAAGTACTCGTTCATGCTTCTCTGCTGCGCAGGTGGCAAGGTCTTGCCCTTGTCCGCCATGTACTTGTCAAACACAGCACCTTCTTCCTCGACGACAGAGAAGATAGTCAAGAACGCTGCTTCAGCGGACAACTTGACAGGGATCACAGGGTCTCGAACCGAGGCAAAGACAATGGGTGTCATGAGCGGGATGTGTGGGCGCACAAGATCGTTGTGCTCGCGGGCAACGGTGCGCAGTACGACAAGTGCAAGGCGTCTGGTGTCGACGGGGTGGCCAGGCTCGACCACTGGAGCAAGGGCTTCGAAGATGGGCTTAGTGTGCTCGAAGGTCTTGTTTGTCTGTTCGCTGAGAAGGTATTTGCCGGCTGCCAACACGCAGTTGTCTGAGATGACTGGCTGGCTGTGGGCGATACCTTGGCAAATAACGTGCAGAGTGTCGTCGGCGGAGTTCTCGGTGAGTGCTCCCGGAGCATCGAGTAGAATGGCGTTCAGTGCGAGCACTGATGCCTTGGTGAAGTGAGTTGTGAGCACACGGGTCTTGATCAGGCTGGCAGCGCTTTCCTCTGGGAGACAACTGATCAGAGCACCCAAGAGGCGGGCGTTGGTGATTGCCATGGAGTCTGGTATTGTGTTAGCCACGTTCCTGTCAATGTGTTGGATATATAACTTACCATCTGAGTCGTCAAGATCGTTGTCAATGAGACCCAGAATAGCGTTCCTGCTAGCCTCACTCATGTTCTTGCCGGCCTTGCTGACAACCTCGAACAACGCCTTCAACATAGCCAGCTTAACAGCCTCATCGCTAGTCTTAGATCCAGTTACAAGCTCGGCGATAAGTGGATCCACCCTGGGGGTTAGTTTGATCAGCGTACCCAACGCCTTGGCTGCACGCGCTCGCAGAAGATCTGAGGATGTGTCGGCGAGGGACTTGGCAAATGTGCGCTGCAGCTGGGGCAAGAACGGCTTGAGGAAGGTCGGAATCTTCTCAAGTAAGTTGTTGAGAGTAAGCAAGATAGCTGACTTGACTTCTGTCGAACGTTCCGTGACCACACGAATAAGGGGACCGGTGATTTGTGTGACGAACGGCTGCAGAGATTTGGCATCGGTACGGTCAATGATATCGGAGATTGCCAAAGCAGCTTGTGTGCGCTGATCGACCGATCCGTTCATGAGACCTTGCAGGAAGATTGGCAAGATAGCACTGATGCCCTTGGGCAGCGAGAAACCAGCCAAGTTGGCGCCAGCGACACCAACTTGCGACAAGGTTTGACGAGTGGAGATAACAAGCGATTCCATCTCTTCCTTACGCAAGCGCTTTGAAGTGAGTGTGCTGAGAGCTGTCCATGCTGCCTTAACAACTTCCTTGTCACTATCGTCGAAGGAGACAAGCAGAGCTCGGATGAGATCAGGATAATACCTGGAGAAGTCGACATCAGTTTCGGCGAAGAACTTGGCCAAATGCATGTCCGCGCGAGTACGTCTACGCTCGTCGTTGTGCTTGGACAGAGTCAACATCACACTCATGGCCGTGTTAAGACCATCGTACTCATCGACAGACAGCAGGACCTTATCGAAGGATGATTCGAGCTCAGACTTGAGACCCTCGTCCCTGGAGGCGATGATGTTGTCCATGATGGTGTTGAGGATATTAGGCAACCTCCTTGTCATAGCAGAGCTTGCAACTTCAGCCAGTGAGGCAATAGCGCGGGCATTGAAGCCGGACATTGGTGAGGTGAGAAGGGTAGGTAGAAGGTTGGGCAGAATGATGTTGGATCTTGCTTGATCTGTGAGGAGCGTCAGGAGAGCCGACAATGCGTTCTGTGCGTCGTCCTCGCTGCGCAGCAGATTGAGCAGGTAAGGCAAGACATGGTCCACGGCCTTCTTGCCAAAGATCTGCTGCAGTGCATCGAAAGCCTCGGCGGCGGCATCTCGTACGTCTTCGTCGGAGTCGACCAGTGCAGTTCTGACGACCTGGATCAGCGTCTTTTCGTAGTCCTCCAGCTGCTCTGGTGTAGCAGCGGAGATGAGCTCGCGAAGCGCTATGCAAATGCCTTGCTTGGCATCTGTATCGGTCGTGTGCAATCCTTCCTCGAGAGTAGGGAGCAGAGTCGCCAACACGCCGTCGCCAGACTTGCGCATGAGTTCTCCAAGAGCATTTCCAGCAATGAGCTTCTGCTCCATATTGGAGCTGGCCAAACGACGAATGATGAATTGGGTGAGCGTAGGGATAAGCTCGCGCAGGATACGTGGAGAAGCCACCAGCGCCTTCCAGACATTGATGGAAGCCGTGCGGACAAGACCAGATGTATCGCAACGGCAGATGTAGAGAGCAGAGAGGACCCTGTTGCGCTTCTCTTCCCCAAGGACTTCGAGGAGCGATTGGCCAGCTTCCTTGGCGCCTTCTTCGACGTCCTCGTCTTCCTTTCCGCTGATACCGGTAAGGTTGAACAGCAGATCACCAACCAGCTCGACAGAGCTGAGACGGATGCGATGGCTATCGTCTGAGAGACCCCTCTCCAACTCGGGCAGGAGCAGATCAATGGCCTTCGTGGCGAAGTTCTTGACCAAGAGGCGACCAGCACGCAGAGCGGTCTCGCGAATGGACTCAACTTCGTCCGCCAGTCCACCAAGGATAGGAGGAATGATCTTGCTGAGATAGTTCGCGAAACTGTTTCCGAAACAGGCTGGCAAGTAAATGAACAGAGACATGAAGCCTTCTCGTACAGACGCTTTGCTGCTGGAAACGTTCTGCAGAATGCTGGGCAGAGTTTCCTCGAGACGTCCAGTACCAAGACCAGCAAGAACCTCGGACAGAGCCTGAGCCGAACCCAAGCGGTCGCCAGCTCCAGTGTCTGATTTGAGAGTGGACATGAGGCTGGGAATAAGGTCAGGCAGCGCATCCTCTCCAAGCTTCTCCATAAGCGAACCAAGAGCTTTCGACGCAGTAGCTCGTGTGGTGGGCACCGGGTCGACGATGGCGACACGGAGACCAGCGACGAGAATTGGCAAGTGAGCGATGAGATCTTTGCGATCTGTAAGATACGCCAGACTGCCAATGATTTGGGCAGATTTGCGCTTGGTCATAGAGCGATCGCCTAGGCCACGCTCGAGAATGCGGACAACGAGCGCCAAAGATGGAGCATCGAGGAAATGAGCGAACTGAATCTTGATGAGCGAGTCAAGGGCATCGTCAGTGTACTTGGTCGGGTCACTGAGTGCCTTGAGTAAGATGTCAACAACGAGCTTGATCTCCGGGTTGCTGATGACCTCTCCGAAGCGCTTCAAGCTACGGTTAGCCGACGATCTGACTTCTTTATGAGAGTCCGTCAACACAGTTGTCAGAGGAGGGATGATGTCTGGCAGACTCAGAGCGAGCTGGTTTGGATCGAGGTAGGCCATGGCACCGAGAGAATCGCAAGCACCCTTCTTACTGCGCCATTGCTGTTCGTCGAGACCATCCAAGAGAATGGGCAAGATCTGTTTGACACCGTATGAAGAGAGGGTAGAGAAGCAGGTCTTGGCTGCGTCTAAGCAAGCATCACGGACGTCTGTGGTGGTGTCGCCAAAGCCAACAAGCAGCTGTGGGACAAGCTGGATGACATATGGCTCGAACAGACGCCCAAGAATGAGCGACATAAGCTCGTAAGCCAAGAAAGCGCCTTGCCGGGCGTTTGGATCTTTCTTGTTCTCAACAGCACCGTTGAGAGTGGACATGATACGGTGCTCTCTGAGGACACCGAGACCCTTGCCGCGAACAATACCAGCGAGACCGTAGGCAGCACCACGACGCGCGGCATATTTCTTGGATTGAAGCAACTGCTCAATCATTTGATCGACGTAAGCAGAGGTCTCCTGCTGGGAGGTACGGATCAAAGACGGCAGGCACTGCGCTACGGCATATTGCACACTCTCAGATGGCACACTAAGAGTGGTGAGTAGCCTTTGCACAACCTTTGGTACACGCTTGTCTCCTGCCTCCAGATGGCGACCCAGCGCACCGTAGAGAATGATGACAGCCTCATTCACTTGGTCGTATTCTGCTGATTTGCGATCAGGACTCTCGAGCGCATTCTCAAACAACTCCATGAGTTGTTCAACCTTTGATTTGGCCTGGCTGGTGATGATTGTGGTCGCAGCCTCAATCATCTGGGCACGGACTGCAGCACTCCTGTCACCGAGGGGTCCATTGTAGACCATGAAGGTGAGGAAGTCTGACAGGCCATCGGGCTTGAAGCCGGACGTCATCTCCTTGTAGGCAAGCGCGATACCATCTCTAGCTTCCCATGGATCCCGAGTATCGTTCTTGCGCGGCATGCCGTACTCGTCGCGCTCTGGAAGACGTTCTTTGGCCATCTCGACATATGTCTCCTGAAGTTTTTGAAGCAAGCCATCGAAAGCTTCTGGGAATTTAATAACGACTTCACCGATAGCACGGGCAGCTGATCGCCGAAGCTGTTTATCAAGAGACTCGAGATAAGGCAGCATCTTTACACCAGCGTCAGCACTTAAAACCAGCTCGTTCTCGCTCCAGATTGTCTGAGCAAGCTCGACGTTTTCTTCGTCATCATCATGAGTCGCAATGAAGATCTCTTCGCTGAACTTGAGATCGTTTGTGTCGAGCTCTGCGTCAATAGCCTGCAGCGTTGCTGTACGCACTGCAGCCTCAGGTACGATGGTTCCTCGAAGCAGTGCACCCAACTCGTCGTTGGTGATGTTAGGAGCCAGACCTCGGGCAAAGTCTGAAAGACAGTCCTTGATCACTTTGTAGTGCTGCTGGTAGCTTTGCATCGACCATACCAATGTCTCGAGTATGTCTTTGCGTGGTAGCCGGGTATCTGTGCCTACATATGTGTTAGCGAAGTAACAGGGATGAAGCGCTTGACATACATGAGTTTGAATGGAATGACAAAAACTCAAATGCCAGGATAAGCTGCTCATCGGCTTCTTCAGGTAATTCCTTGCCAATGCCGCCTTTCTCAAGCACAAGGAAGATGAGTGGCAGGCAGTATGCGACAGAGACAGGGTCGAGAGGACGCTGTTCGCTGAGGAAACGAAGTCGATATAGTACTCGTGTAATAAGATCTACGATTATTAGTTACGTGACCTCCGGGATCAGTGATCGTCTTACCTCCAAGAGGCTCTCCCTCATACTCCTCAGAGAGTTGGATTGAGCCGATGGTTCGCAGTGTCGCAACACCAACGAATGGTCGAATGGGTCCGAGACGTGTTGAGACGCGATGCGAGCATGCAATAAATGTTGTAGCTGGTCGGTCGCCAAGTAGCAGGCCGGCGCCAGCGCGAATGGAATGAATGAGAAGATCAACAGCAGCGCCCATCCATTGCTCTGCCTCTGTAGGAGGACCTGTAGCAAGGCTCTGAATGATGCCTACTCCACGTCTCATCTTGAGTTCTGTTGTAGCCACCTCTGACCTGATGGCAGACTCCTTGGCTAGCTGAGCCTTGACCTTCGCCTGCTCCTCAGAGGTGAGCTTCTTGGGTTTGGCGCCCTGCTTCTGTGCAAGTTGCGAACGCAAATCCTCCTCCCATTTGAGAGTGTCGTAATCCTTGGTGTTCTTGTCAATTGTAACGGGCGCCTTCTTGGACAGTACATCTACGTATGCTGTCCCTTCTGGTGTTCTGAAAATAGCTGCTTCTTGTGGACCGACTGACTCAAGTTGCTTAGGATCGAGATCGTCGCTAAACTGCTTCACTATGGCCGGTAAAGCCGTCTCAGGCGCTACGAAAGCCAGGTCGGTGTAGGCACTGTATGCTGCCAAGCTAATACTTGGAAACTGTTCGTTGTCCTTGTTCTGTAATGTGATTAGCAAGATCCAAAATTTAATGACGAAAAACCAACCTCTGTAGCCTCATTGATCACCGAGATGCAATCTTGCAGGGTTTCCTTGACAAGCTGACCAGGATCAACTCCCATGCGAAGGGAAGTATCGATCCAAGATGTCCTTGGGACCAGCTCGGCTCTTGCCAGCACTAGCAAGTTGATGGCCTGCCGGCGTAGCTGCTCTTGAGCAAGGTTGCGTCCAAGCCTCTTCACGACATCAGACGGTAAGCAAATACATCCAAGGACTGCTCCGAGCTCAGCGGAACCGTTCTTCGATGCGAACGCAGCACTATCCTTGTCTTCACGTTCGCTAGACCTGTACCATGACCATAGACCCTGGATAATGATCTCGCTGATCTTCTCTGTCCGTTCTTCGAGATAGGTCTGTGTCAGCACTTGCCTGGCGGCAGACTTGGCTCGTGAAGATACACCTTGTCCGGCAATGAAGAAAATGAAAGACTGCGCCCATGCGTCTTGTACCTCTGTGGATGTAGAGTCCTCGATAACGAAGGGAGCTATAGCCCTCAGCGCGCGCAATGCGACCACGATGTCGTCTTCAGTGGACAGCTTAGTGTACACCTTGGTGTTGAGTAGGAATGAGGGCTTCGGCTGGCTCACGAGCGATTGCGAGAGTACGTCGGACTTTTTGTAAACAGCAGCAAGTTTCTCATCCTTGGTGTCGCGGATTTTCAGAAGAAGCGCAGTAACGTAGTGACCGACGGTGACCAGACCACTTTGCGTTGCAGGGAGTGGATTCGCATTGACTTCCTGCCAGATCTCAACAAGCTTTGGCAACGTGTTTTGACAGAAGGCCAGAATGTCTGCTTGTGCGTACTGAGCTTCTGTGAGGTCCCACCAGATATCTGCTGCGCGAATAGCCCAAAGACGGCGGACTGGAACTCGCTTGTCTGCCATGCCCTTGATGAAGGCATCTGTGACAGTCTTGTCCAGAGCGACCCCGTTAGCCAGTCCAAACGTGAGATGCTTAGTCATGGCAGATACTTCAGCCACTACGGCGGGCTCACCGGGCTCCTTTAGAGCTACGGGGGCAATGCCAGCAGGGATCTTTTGCGACAGAGCGGTAGACTCTGCGAAGGCTGATAGCATCTGCGCGTGTATGACTTTTTGATCGACTCCAGACACTTTGCCCTGCTTCAAGGGATTCAGCACTTCGTCTACGACTTTGCTAATGACCGCCTCGCTTTGTGATCTGGTAGCTAGCGCGGTAAAGGTTCGCAGTGTTCCAGCACGGATCGTAGGGTTGGTTGATTTGACATTGGATAGCAACGGCTTCAGCAAGTTGCTGAGCAAGACATCTGAGAGGTCAATTGAGTCTGGAAGAGCCAGAACCATGGGCGAAATGATGTCGTTCAGTACGACTTCTGGTGCGCGCAAAAGAGCCTTTTCGATAGTCGGCACGATCTCCTTGCGTACTTCTTCTAGGGTGGCGAATGTGTCGAAGAAATCATGGAGCGCGTTCGATACGTGGTCAGGTAGCTGGGTCCTCGAGCCCACGATCTCACGCACGTAGTAAGCGTAGTAGTCCTGCTTGTGCTGCTCGAATCGCGGCTTGACGTCCGACAAGCGCGACGACACCCCAGCGATAACTCCCAGAAACACAGCGTTGCCAGCCGTGGACGCGGTGCCCTTCGCGGTAAGGGTCGCCACGAGCTTGTCGAGCGCATCCTGTCCAATCTCTTTCGAGCCCAGAATAGCACGCAGGGCGCGCCGTGTGACAACCAGCGCGGAGTGCGAGATGCGGGTAGCTCGACGGTCACTGCCTGCACCCACACATGTCTCCAAAACACGCGCATCTGCCAGCGCCAGATCCAGGCCGAATTTTGACCATCTTGCTGGCTGCTTGGCAAACTGCAGAAGCAGCACCGAGCACCACTCTACCAGCACAAATGCATTGACGTGTGCAATGCCCTTCTTGAGACACTCCTGGTTCAGGAATTTGACAAAAGGCGGCAGGACGAGGTCGCCGTGTGGGCCGTTTATAAGCGACTTGAGGACAGCGTCGACGGCGCGCCGCGATTCTCGATCGTCGTAGAGGGGATAGGTTTCGAAGAGGGTTGCTAAAACAGCCTGCAAGTCGGCAGGAACGAGAGCTGTACGTCATTCATTGTCAGTATCGCGTCTCTTGAGACCGTCCTGATGCCACCTACACTCGTCTGCCACCTGGTGCTCGAGCCGCCCCAGACTCTCAATTCGCACTTTCGTAGAGCTTGTCACAAGACCTCGGCGCAGGACCTCGCGGTCGATGGCCTGTGGTCTAGCCTCCCCATTCACAGCCATGTCGTCTCTGCCACATGGGACAGCAGCAGTGCAATGCGGGGTTGTTGGCGGGGTGTTTGTTGCGTTCGCAAAAGTTCAGATGCACGTCGGCGAATCGCGCGGCCCGGCTCGACTCATTCTATGACATCGTGAGTGGAGCGCCCTTCTCAAGGTACTCCACTTCGATAGCAGCCCTCTGCACCTGCGCTGCACCTGGACCTCTCTGCGCCGCCCTACATGCGTCCCATCAGCATCTGCGCCCCGTCCAATCTTGATCTCGCCAAAGATCAAGCCCCGATTTACTCTATACGGAAGCCCGCCTGAGGTTCTGCCGTTTTTGGACGTTTCACCTGTCAAACAAATTCTGAACCCATACACCACCGCCAGCGATGGCCAAGAAGAAGAAGCCAGCCGGCAACCCTGCACGTGGCTTTGCCACCACTTCTATTGCCAGCAAGCCCAAAGTCGAAAAAGAGAAACCTGCCGTTGAAGCCGCAGTCACAGAAACCGTGCCTACGTCTTCCAAGGAATATCCCAGTGTCTCTCTCGCAGCTACCCCAGCTGCCAAGCAAGAGGAGCCTTCTCAGCAGGAAGTTACCCCAGAGGAGCTAGAGGCTCAGCTCGAGCGCGATGAACTGCAGCTGCTTGTCGAGAAGCACGCCGCCAAGGTGCGGCGAGAGTCTCGGCGGCAAGTTACCAAGTTTGAGACAGACCGAAGAGTTCTTCGTGCACAGTCTCATCATATGGTTGTCCATGAGTGGCTTCCGAACGAAGTTTTGGAAACTATCATATCGCTAGCCCAGACCGAATCCAATGACTCGAATCGCAGGCAGGGACAACAGCAGTCTTTGCTCAAGGTGATGTCCGAAGAGGATGCAATGTCGAAGCTATGGACTCTCAACTTGACCTTGCGCGATCTAGGCTTCTCTCATGAGCAGATCGAGCCGGTTTTGAGATGGATATGCTCAGATGCCGGCGGCATTGATGTTGCATCGCCCGTCTGGGGCCTCCAAGAAGCGCTAGAATGGCTTGCACTGGATCAATGCGAAGGGCATTCTTTTTCTTATGATGAACCAAAGCCAAAGCAGTCCGCTATTTCCACTCCAGACATATCACGCCCTGGTAGGTGACAAAGCTCTTTGATGCAATGAATTGTTTATTCGCACGCACGATGTAGTGCATCAAACATGCGTCGTTGGCTTACACTAACACGGGTCAGCTTCACCCCTTCCGGAAACTCAAGCAGCGAATACAACCTCTACCAATGGGTTAGATAAAGCGCCAAGTAAAGCGCCAACACCAGATGGTCCGACACCAGCGAAACCAGATTACGATGATGTTCAGGTCAGCGACATCGACAGCGACATCGACTTAGACGAACTCGTGCCGACCTACCTGAGGATCAAGGGCAAGCTTTACGAGATTGATCCTGAGCTTGTTGAGGTCAATCCACGCAAGAAAGGCTCCAAGGGCAAGAAGGGGACGCCGGCGAAACCGGTGCAATCGCCCAAAGTGCGGAAACTACTATCTCAGCTGCAACAACTCGAATCTGATACTCTTTTTGATGATCGCGAAGCAAGCGCACGATGGCCCGCGAGGCGAAACGAAATTGCTCTACAGCAGGCTGCAAAGAGACAGCAAGAGCTGTCTCAAACAAGCACACCAAATGGCCAAAAAGAAGAGACTACGCCAGCCGCTCCTGCTCCCAAAGTGGAAGCACCCTCATCAATCAATGGCGGAGATGCCGACGACATCATGGCTGAGGCAGATATGCTAGGCGATATGTTCTCTGCGATCCCCGATGAGCCAGTAGCCAACAACACTCCGACTGAAGCTATTGAAGCCGGTAACATAACACTACGAGACTTTGGAAAACAGGCCGGCATAAGTCCCCGACGTTGCCTCGAAGAAGCAGTGCGCTCGAGAGATCCGGGGGCGCGAGTTGCATACAAACTGATTTCGCCAACTACATATCGATGCCGTCACTCAGTGACAATCACGTGGTCCAAGGAGCTGGAGGTCGAATACGATACTGACATAACCGGTGTCAACAGCTTATTGAGAGGCATCCAGGCTGCTTTTGAAGCTACCACAGTTGCCGCGATCAGTACCGATCAGAGTGAAGGCTTCATCTCTACTGCTGCCTTGTTCTCAATTTCTGCTGCATCGACCAAGGAAGAGAAGGTATACCTTCGCCTCCCTCCGAACTGGAGAGATGTGTACCGCGAACTCCTCGAACATCGCAAGGACCGCATTGACGCAGATGACCGTGAAGCTATCAAATACTATCGATCTATTGTCCAGGACCAAATAGAAACCGAAGAGTCTGACGGCGTTGTTCTTACCAACAGATGGAAGTCTCGCAACCAGGGTGGAACAAGTTCCAGCCCTTCCAATTCAGGTTACAGTACTCCTGTTGCTGAAAACCAGAGCTTCCGCAGTCTTTGGTCACAAAAAGCAGCAACGCCATCGTATCAACACATGCTCGTCGGCAGAATGAACCTTCCAGTGTACGGGTATAGGGACTCCATTTTATCGACCATCGACAAGGCCCAAGTCACAATCATCTGTGGCGAGACAGGTTGCGGAAAGAGCACGCAGATCCCGTCCTTCATCCTGGAGCACCAGCTTTCCCAAGGTAAAGCCTGCAAAGTTTACTGTACGGAGCCGAGGCGAATCTCAGCCATCTCGCTCGCACAACGTGTCAGTGAGGAGCTTGGAGAGGGTCCGAAGGACCTTGGATCAATGCGATCTCTTGTTGGATATGCTATCCGGCTTGAGTCAAAAACGTCTGCTCAGACAAGGCTCGTCTACGCCACTGTTGGAGTTGTGTTACGCATGCTGGAAGGACCTAAAGGCCTCGGTGAAATTACGCATCTTGTCATTGATGAGGTTCACGAACGCAGGTAAGTCGGCTATGACTTTCTACGCAAACCATACTGACTTTGAGTAGTATTGATACCGACTTTCTCCTCATCATCCTTCGAACACTTATGGACCGTCGCCCCGAGCTCAAGGTTATTCTTATGAGTGCGACCGTAGATGCAGCTCGCTTTTCAAGATATCTCAACGATGCCCCCATTCTGAACGTCCCTGGACGAACGTTTCCAGTCCAAACACAATACCTGGAAGACGCCATTGAATTGACACACTATGCAGGCTCCGCTGAAGATACTCGGAAGAATGGCAACGCCAGCGGCGACGATGACGACGAGATCACGTCCGAGAAGTCTGGTATCCCCAGCAAACTTCCTGGATACAGCGCAGCTACCCGCAATGTGCTTTCAACCTACGACGAATACGCTATTGACTATGACCTAATCGTACGGCTGATCGAGTCTGTAGCGTACGATCCACAGCTCAGCCGATACAGCAAGGCTGTTCTTGTCTTCCTTCCCGGTATCGCTGAAATCCGGCAACTCAACGACATGCTTACTGGCCATCAATCATTCGGATCGAACTGGCTGATCTATCCACTTCACTCTACAATATCGAGCGAAGATCAACAGGCTGCCTTCCAGCTCCCGCCGCCCGGTGTACGAAAGATTGTAATTGCGACCAATATTGCAGAAACTGGGGTGACCATTCCAGACATCACGTGTGTCATCGACACTGGCAAACACAAGGAAATGCGGTTCGACGAACGTCGTCAACTATCACGTCTGACACAATCCTTCATTGCGCGCGCAAACGCAAAGCAGCGACGCGGTCGTGCTGGTCGTGTGCAGGAAGGACTGTGCTTCCACCTATTTACAAAGTATCGCCACGACAATCTCATGATGGACCAACAAACGCCTGAAATGCTACGACTATCATTGCAGGATCTTGTCATGCGTACTAAGATATGTAAGCTTGGCGATATTGAGACTACGTTGTCAGAAGCTCTGGACCCACCTTCTTCTAAGAACATCCGGCGAGCTATCGATGCGCTGATAGAGGTTGATGCACTCACATCGAGTGAAGAACTTACTCCTCTCGGTCGTCAGATTGCAAAGCTGCCTCTGGATGCACATCTTGGCAAGTTGGTGCTGCTTGCTAGTATGTTCGGCTGTGTGGATGTCGCCATCACAATTGCCGCGATCCTGTCGTCCAAGTCGCCTTTCCTCACACCATTCGGCGCAAAACAACGCGCTGACATAGCACGCCTCTCCTTCAAGACCGGCGACTCAGACCTCCTCACTACCTACAACGCCTACAATGCCTGGCGTTCAGTCTGCACTACGGCCGGTCGCTCGGAGATGCAATTTTGCCACAAAAACTTCCTATCACCTCAAAACCTTGGCAATATAGAGGATCTCAAAGCACAGCTCCTCTCCTCCCTTGTCGACACAGGCTTCGTCCAGATGAGTCCCGACGAGCGCCGCATACTGAGCCGCTACCGCTCGACAACAAGGCACCGCACCTTCGTCGTCGTGCCCGCACAATACGACACACACTCCTCCAACGACCTCCTCGTCAACTCCGTCATCGCAACAGCCTTCTACCCTAAGCTGCTCACCCGCGAAGGCAAAGGCTGGCGCAACATCAGCAACAACCAGACCGTCAGCCTGGCCCCCACAAGCGTCAACAAGGGCACCAACACCGCCAAATTCCTGTCCTACTACCACATCATGCAGTCGAGCAACAAATTCTACAACGCACACTCGACCTCAATCGCGCATCCGCTGCCCATGGTGCTCATGGTCGCCGCCGATATGGACTTCAAGCTGCACGCCGGCGTGGTCAGTTTCCCGGGCAACGCGGTGCGGTTCGCGGTGCGCGAGTGGCGGGCCGCTGTCGCGCTCAAGGTGCTGCGGCGCAGGGTCAAGGAGATTCTGGCTGCAAGCTGGAAGAATCCAGGCAGAGTGTTAGGGGAGCGGGAGAGGGAATGGTTGGGAATTTTCGAGAGGGTGTTTGAAGAGCGGTGGGAGAAGGATGAGAGGATTCGTGAGAGGGCGGGGGGAAAGGCGAAGTGAGAGGTTGGTGTGATAGACAAGGCCGCCTGGGGGCTTGAGAATCGCATGCATGGACACAGATACTATGGTTGCAGCCAATGCAATTATGTTTCTAGCAGTGTGTACGTGCGCTACAACCCATTTCGACCTTATCTGCAGCTTCAAAGCTGTCTCTTGCTGTGATACTTCGACAAATTACCCAAAACGTTCACGCGGCTAGCTGACCTGCGCCGGCCGGGCGTAAGCCTTCTAAGGTTAGACACATGACAGGGATGGAGATGTGTGGTTCATCTTAGCGCTACCTGTGTGCTGTCTCTCTCGATCCTAGCAAATTATACTTGTGGCACATTGCCCACTCATCATTGCTACACACGGGCAAACACACATGCCCTTGCAAGAAGCCAATTTTAGCGTGCAAATTTGCCGCGCTCTCTGCAGTCCTAGAAATGAACGAAGACGTCAATTGTAGGTATGTAATCAGACTCGAATTAGGGTAAGCTTGTTGCTGGCCCGTTCACCGTTAATAGAGCCTTCTTATTAGGCACATTTATGTACATCGAAGAAGTTTAGCCTTTTCACATACAAAATCAAGCTTGTTTTCCCCAAGGGCGTTGTATGATCATAGCAAAATTATTTTCTTTCACAAAAGAAATCGCAAATGTTTAGAACTCTGATCTACTGCGGTTGATTGAACTAAAACGCTTGAGTATGGGCCTGCATCTCTTAGCACTATAGAAACCAGCGCAGCAAAATATCAAACAAGACGCTGCAGTAAGAGATGCTCTAAGTTATCTCCATGGACCATTCCTATCTCCAGGACAGGGTGTTCGTGTTCGAAAGGAAAAGTTTCTCCATAGTAGATTCGCGAGTGTTCTGGCAGACCCTCGTCAGTTCTCGAATTGACATGAACAGGTTTTTTGTCAAATTTCTCCCACGACAAGGGCTCTGGAGAGCTACTAGAGGTGTATATGATACCCCAGTCCTGTAGCGTTGTGGTTTCAAGAGCTCCGCGCGTTCCAAGGGGTTGAATAAGTCTGTTAAATGATGGTTAGAACAACGACTGTTGAAGCTGGCACAAATCACAAATTGGCTTACAAGCATTGGCTATAGAATCTCCTATTAGTGATGACCACGAAGCAAATCTGATACCATTGCTGATCTGTAAATTTTGTGGGGCATGAATGAGTACGGGGTCGGGTTGAGTCCAGATTGCGTCTTTCAACGGCGTCTACCCACAACGTACTGAATACCTAAGATACACGTAAGTTCATGACATACATAGGGGAGTTGCTGTACAATACCCTTCCCGCTCTGTAGAACAGGTCCTGCTCTGGGGTTGCAATTGGTGCGTATTCTGAGGCGTTAGAAAGATGGTCCAAAGGAGATACTGATTTGACTAACTTGGATTGAAGTGTCCGATGTAGTTCTGACAAAATTGAATCCATGGGCAGCGTATAGAAGTGGTGTTTGAGATTTGTAAAATTGGCTTGGAATCACGATCAAGCCATCTTTGATCACTGTACGAATTTAGTGACTGAACCAAGAACCGTGATAAGAGTCGTGCTTACGAATGAAACCGCCATCGTCGGTTTGCCTGTTTCGCTAACTCCACATCAGGACCTTGACCGGCTGGAACCGGCTCTGACCAAATGGCTTCGATTAGATCGTCGTTTGTACCGAAACCTAGGTAGAAATATCGCTGCAGTTCAAATGACCATTGCCACGGCGAGTAAGTTATGTCTTGCGTGCGAATTGGACTCAAATCAGCCAGGAATGGATGATCGGCTGTGTGTCCAATATCGCATTGAAGCAGCTCTGAGTCATTCCATGTCTGTTGTCCGGTAAGGACCAATCCGAGAGGCTCTTTTGCAGCGGAACCTTGAGCACTATCGCACCGTGATGGATACAGATAGCCACTAACAAATTCAATTTTAGCAGGAACTGAGCCGGACTTGTAGTCATGTGGTTCAGGCAGGATGGCTTCTGGAGCTGACACACAATGTGAAAGAGGATCCAACGAAATTGACGCTTGATACACGCTCGGCAAAGAGGTACTTCCAACTTGGCTTTCAGCATCCAGACTAGTGCCAGGACGAGAACGGTTCTCAAAATCGTTGGGCCATGTCGAGGTGAGATCGTCAAGAAGAATCTTATCCTCATCACCAAAGCGATGCAGAGATGATGGCCGAGACCACGCAATGTCGTCCTCACTTTGTTCTCTGAAGCCATGATTCCCAAAGATGATCGAATCGCGCTCGTTTGTGGTGAGTTTTGTAGAACAAGGCACAAGGGCAGCTTCTTGGACTGTCTGGTTCACTTCTGCCATGTCGACTGACCATCGCTCAAACGCCAAGGTTTCCCATCCGGACATGTCAAGCTCAAGCGCATCTATGTATTCGAGGGTCTGCTGCAGAATGCTGAAGTACTGCATACGGTCCATTGAATTCTGTTTCAGACAGTCGAGTAGCCAATCACGAATTTGTTGCACGGCTGGAACTTGCTCAGGTCGGTGAGAAACATCGCCTTCAGAGTGTGCGCGAGAAACTGCTCCAGAAATTGCAGATAAACTATCAATATCAGGCGATGGCTCCGTAAAGCATCGCGGGCCTGTGGGTATGGCATTTGGAAGGGACATATATCGTCCCTTGAGGTGTTGTAGTCTTACTTCGCATTTGGCTAGTCGAGTGAGGATGTCGTCGAAAGAGAGTACAGCCACAGATGTATCGATGTCTACCAAATCAGCTTCATCAATACTGAGAGTGTTAGCGTCAAACAGAGTAGCTATCACATTCCGTGCGTCCTTGAAACAGTCTAACAATCGCTGATGTTCCGCCTCTTCGATCTGGTACTGGAGAATTGTCGATGGTGGTAATGGGTCCTCCGAAACGACCAGACTTCCATCAACTTTCGGTGTATAAATCCCGATTCCGTCTTCTGTCTCCTCCGGGAGAAGTTGGGAAAGGTCGTACTGGTACAGGTCATTTTCGAGTTCCATAAACTCCCACTCCTGAGCGCCCAAGTTCTCCTCGACCTCGGTGATATCTTCTTCGAGTGATCCCAATCTGTTTCGACCTTCGTCGACGGCCGAGAACGCCAGGTTAAGTTCGGTCGGAAAAGGTGAGTCGATACGGTTGTAATGTTGACGCAAAAGGGTCATCAGTCTGACTTCCGCGTTGGCTGTCTGGTCACGCTGTTCCCGGACTCGTTTCCACCCCTGCACCAGCTTTTGGCGATCAACGAGCACACGTTCTCTGCTCTGCGCGAGATCCTCCTGTCGAGTTGACAATTGTTCCAGCTCCCTTCGCAGTCGTAGCACCAGTTCTTCTATTGGAGATGGGGCCCCGGCAGACACCGGTCTGAGATGACGACGATTTGACTTATGAGAGGCGAGCATCCCTCCAAACTTTGCTTCGTTTTCGCAAGGCTGCTACTGTAGGTGGTGGTCCGTTGTCGCTGCCGACGTCTTTCTGCGGAAGGAAGGCACCATCAATACAAAGACCGCCACAAAGGGTAACCCAAGGAATAAGAGTATGCAGTTTGATGCAGGAGGCCAATACGTGTTGTGAATCAGCAGGTGTAAGAAATAGAACGAGCTAGTCGTGTTGCTGGGGTCGAGACAGGGGTCTCCTGAAGCGAATCTGAGAGGAATGACGACCTTCGGAAACGCGTAGGGCAGCCATATATGCACACGCACAGCAACAAAGCGCTCAGCTGGCAAATGAACAACAAGCAATCTTAGCCTTGTGGGCGCTATCGGGTAAGCAGCCCGCTACTGCTTCGTCCCGGCTGTGCGGGTGGTGCGACGGCACGGAACGTCATTCTCCCTTCCAACATTGGTGCAACTTGGCGCATTTCATCGACCAATTGTTGTTGAGCTGCCCTGCCACCAGGTCATACGTCCATCGCTTGCTCCGCAACAACAATCAAGCTGCGTCTACGTTAGTGTAGCTAAGGTGGGGGAACCTTGGAAGCTATCAAGAGCACATGTCAATCACAGGCCACACTTGCCGCCCATCGCAGAGCCGCATCAAGGATTAGGATAAAGTGACCGAACTGTTCCAAGGAGAATGGCTCACAGCAACCACAAGGATGTCGAGCTCATCCAAACCGTGGTCTGAGTGGGTATGGAGTGAGCCACACAGAAGTTACTATCGAACAAGACACGATGCACATGGCAAGCTCCTTTCTCGACACGTTTCAGCTTACAGCTAATCTGTATCTAGGAGCTGTTGAATATGACTGGTCCCAAGCACAAAGTTCTCAGGGGCAGCAGCAGGCTGTACCTCAAACTAACGCTAGTACAACCGTCGATTTTGCACAACCGGCTGAGTATGTACAGTTTATGGTATGTGCATTGCAATGAACCGATGGACTGACTGTGCTTGAGTTCTCGTCAAAGAACTGACTCGTTCCATCCGTCAGTCCAAGCTCCCCCTGCAGTGGAGATGGCAGAAGCAGGTGAGCATATAGTGCCTCAGAGGAACGAATCCAAGCCAACCAATAACAGCTCCTGCCACCTTTGAAGGTTATCGAGGAACACCGCACTTGGGTTGGTACGATCGATTAGATCAGCGTGAGTCACATACGGTACGAAACGTTGTCGCCAACTGCTCACAGCATTAGGTTATCGTGTGAGGGAGAGAGCAGAAGCTCACAGATTCTTCAAGACCGGCCGTGTCTTTGCAATGCTGTGGTCAGAAGCTGCTAGTGAAAATCTGGCCCGTAATGGCACTGAAACCACTGGCATCACTATATGCAGATTCGGTCAGAGTGTATATTCTCAGATCCGCCGTTTTGTAGTTGTCAGAGTCAACAGGGACCGGCATTTCGTGTATGCGCTGTAAGCATGGGTTATCTTTCAACCAGTCCGTATCGGCTTCTAACACAAGCTAGCGCGATCTCCACGTATGGTGGCCGAGGGGCTATGAAGAATGGTTGTGACCCTTCAGAGCACACTATTGTACATCTCAACAATGTGGAACCATACTGGCTCCCAGGGGAGGTCAATAGGGGCATGACCAAGGATCCAATATCGATCGAACCAGTTGAACAAAACGAAGAGATGGACCCGAGATCTCGTCTCAGATGTGGCAAAATCTATTCTATCGAGTGGAATGTGAAATTAAGAGACATTGGGATGGTTTCAAGTCATGACAAGACAAAGCTGATGCGATACTACAAGGAGGGGCAAGAAAAAGGATTCGACTACGACGAGGAGCTGGATCTCTATCCCCAGCCTGTGGCACCGGGTTATCCTCAAACCGATCGTGGCTATTATGGGTACCAATAGCGAGTGGATCGACCGCAGTGCTGTACTGGTGTGCATACGTTAATTATCTCTCACTTCCACGTTTCGAAAGTCCGTTTAAATTGCTACCAGGACTATACTCTCACATGGTTACAGTGAAAGAACGAGCTCAATTTTCTATCGTTTTTTTACGACCAATATACGCTACATAGCTCTTTAATACGTCTCAAAACACTCAACTTGTAAGGTCAAAGTAATAAGCACCTCACTTGTTAATTTATCCCACCCTCTATAAAGACGCTCTCTAGAACTACAATTTTGATAGGCCAAACTACTGGCTGTAGATTCAGCATAGATACAAACAAGGAATCCGGCTAGCCTGTATTTACATTACAGCTGTGAATGCAATTTACTTTTTGTGCTGCAGTTCGCGGGCTGTGCATGTAGGCAACATTTCAATTAGTGTTTCGGTATTGCAGCTGCTTCTGCGGAACTCAATCAAGGATTTACTTCAAAACGCGAACAACGGGGGTAGAAGCTCAATTGGGTCTACATGGGGGTTCAAGCCTCCAAGACAACCGTCTCATTCCATACGATGTCCTGTACGAAGATAGTAGTGCAGCCGTAAGTCAAAGCTTGCTCTATACCCGAACGATGCCGGGGCTACACTCAGGCTGGGTTCGTGCCTTCATCCCTGTCGCCAACCTGTCCGGGAGTGCATCCAGCGAATCATGCCTTTCAGCGAGACATGTAATTTACCCTCCAGGGTTCACCGAACATATCAGCGTGAGCTTACCGTTTACGGCAAGGTGCTGCATGCACTGCAGCTCACGGGCTGATGATAGCGATGCCCATTCCAGCAGGCGAGTAAGGCAAACATCCTGGTCTGGCATCAGCGTAGTGCATGTACCACGCGCTAGGTGACGCGTGAGGCGTTTGATTGGTGCGAGCGCATAGCTCGTACATAGAACAAAGCACAGTTTGCCTTCTGGGCCAGGCAAGGGCTCATCAATATTGCCGGGAATGGTCATGTACGGCTACTGTACACATTGACTGGCACGGGACACGACACCGCGTCTGATATTACAGTTTCCGAAGGGCCAAAAAGGAGCCTTATCGGATGATTATGACTCTTACAGTATCTTGATCGAATGACAGCACACCAATAGGACGAGCAGAACTGCGAAGGCCGTGGACGCTTGTTCGCTAAACGAACGCTAAACGCTGACGCGGTGATGCAGCTGACCCCACTTTCCCGTCCCACAACGGCCCGAACCTACCTACGAAAGATCCACCATGTCGCTCCCGGGCCAACACTACAGCCGAACAGACTGCTTCTTGAGCCGCATGACTATTACCTATGTACGTTGCAAACCAAAGAATGATTTTGCCGCGGGTTGCGACAGGTCGCATAAGCTCGTGCACCATGCATCATGCTTGTTCTTGCGCCCTCGGGGTCTGAACAGTCAGGCTGCATTTATGACGCTAGCACAGCTACCTCGTGATTGGAACCAACACTTACAGTGAATGGAAAACGCCTGGATCGACACGTCAGCGGAGCTACCAATTCACACGTATCTCAAACTTGCAGTATCGAAACATGTGCTCTGACTTAATCAATTTGACGCTTATTTGTGTCTGACGTGGCTTCGTCCAAGATTGGCTCTTGAGCCGCCACTGTAACTTGCGGCATGTGTTCAGAAGCAGAAGGGCGAGAGTGTTTAATCCTTGGTTGATGAAGCTACCTGTCGAGAATATAGAACGATGCCCGGCACCTTCAGTCAGTATTGTAGTAACATGCAAATTCGATTTGGGGACCATATATCTGTTGCACCATGCGGGAGTGTGGGTGTCAATGAGGATCCACAAGTACTAGTTCCAGGGACGACCACTTTGATATCTGACTTGGATAGGATTTGCATCTGTTAGTGTACAACTAACTATACTGCAGCATGTAGAGTCCTTGTCTTTCTCTTTCCTCTTCTTCCTTCCCATATATATAACCATGTACCTACCTGAAGCATTCACAAGCCTTCTTGTCAAGTACAGGACTTGCGTACCTAGTGACCCAGGCATACCATACGACTGCTATTCTTGTAAAGAAATGACCCCGACAAGACACACAAATTGAGAAGTCATCTCTGCTCGGCCGTATGATCTATTGTGTTGCCATTATAGAATGGGTAGGACGCTTCTACATTGTGATGAGCATGGAATGGCCATCACTCAGGCTTTAACCAGGCAGCAAGAGAACTTGTATCTGTCTGCTTAGACGTCCCCAGGTTGACCCCATTCATCGAGGTGTAAGTCGCTCCTGGATACCTTCAACTGCGCGTTCACTTCCGCTTTCCGTGCTCCAATATTCCGTAATCAAATCCCTCCAACTTTCTGTGTTGATGTCCACACCAGCCTGCCTGAGGAAATCTGCATAAAGAGTCCTTTGTATAGCGTTCTCTTCAAGATGTTGCAGGATATATCGCTGTACGCGAATTCCTGTAGAGTCATTTTCGATCGAGTGGTGTGTAGGATCCAAAGGGTGTGCTACTGATCCATAATTGTTATGCGGTGATGTCTCGACAGAACTAATGACAAGTGCCGATGTGGGATCGTCTGAGATACTCTTCAAACGTAGCAGTTCAGCTCTCCGAACTATTATCTTCTGGATCAGTTCGGAGCTATATTGATCCAATGAGGAGGTAGCCGACTGTTCAGACCCTGCGACATCAGTTCCTTCGCAGTCCACATCATGAAATGCGGCTCGTTCTGCCTGTTGCAATCTCAATCTATCAAACTCAGATTCGAGCTCCTTAAGCTCGGCGGTGATTGTAGCTCTTGTCTGATCAGACTTCGACGCTACTTGCTGGTTTGTGATTTTAGCTACTATCGGTGTAATAGGAAAACCAGCAGTAGTTCCCAGTTTCATAGGTGGGGATGGGGGTGGTGGTGGAGCGGGACGTGCCACTGTCGGATAATACATGGGGGCTGCTGGTGGTGGTGGGGGTGGCCGTGCAGGACTAAACAAATCTTCCAGTTCGACTTGATAGAACTTGGCCTCTTGGTCCATGAACTTCCATTCCTCGCCGGTCACCTCTCTCTCTTCCTGCAGATGATCATCTTCCCACACACCCAAGGTACTACGCAATGCTTCAACTTTTCCATACGCTTCCCAAATGGCGATAGGTCGCTGACTTTGGTTTGCAGCATGGGTGTACTCTCTCAACAGGTTCATCAAGATAACTTCCGAATCCCCAACCTCGACTCTCTTGTTCCTTAAACGTGTACGAGAAGAACGCAGCATTTCCCGTTTGACAAGGAGTCTTTCTCTCGACATTTTCAGAGTTTCCTGTCTTTGGGCGAGCTCTTTTACACGATCAGGTAAGCTGGCGCCTTCCATCTGCGTGTGGTACGTCCTCGGATTCAACGAATATGGGAGTAGCCCCGCAAAAGGAAGCTCCTGCAATTTGACTGGGCTTTTTGGAACAGTAATTTGGCATGTCTGTTGACCTTCCAATGTTGTAGCTGGCCGCATCAAGTTCTGGCGGCCGAGCGTGCAGCCGATCGATTGGCAAAGCGTGGAATCTCGCGCGAGGAAGGTGAAGTTAACAAGAACCAAAATCCTGGATCGGCTGAAGCTCTAGTGGTTAGAAAGGTTCGTGTGAAGGAAAAAACCATGAGTTGACCTGCTGTGCGAGTCGAGCTGACGATCGTGTGGCGCATTCCGGACCGGTGAGCTGCGTGGATGCCCAGCCCCTTCCCCACCAGACCAACCGGGCTCTTGCTGCCTTACGCAGAAGAGCTTTGAACGCTTTACTATATGATCAAATATCCCTACAAGAGCCTCTCGCGCACTTAAACCTTTTTATCCCTTTCGATACACGTGAACGCGAGATTTTAGACTTATCGCACGACGGTAGTGCTGTCGCGGTCCAGCATGCAGTCATCCTGGACGTGGAGTGCAGAGCATGACGACTACTACTTTCTCGTGTACGATACAGCTGGTAAACACCATCTTGCAATCAAGTAAAACTTGCGAAGAACAGAAAGCTGACGGTTTCAGGACAACCGAACTACATTTGGGCAAAACAGCGAACAGCCGGTTCCGCTTGTTGCACCCAAGAGAGCTTCAGCGAAATTCAAACAGTAGTCGACCCTGGGAACTCGACAGACCTCGATCCAAAACCAGCTGATAGTGGTGAGGATAGAATGGTACGCCGATGCTCGTATATGCTGATCAGATACCGCGTAGTGCCTTTTGAGGTTCGACAACGGCAACCAAACTTCATCGCGGGGAATCCAGAAGCAGGCTGGTATGATGCACTAGATTCTTGTATGTTAATGAACGCATTAGAAGGCCTAATGCTTAACGCCTATAGCGTATCGTATGCGGACTGGGAAAGAATCTCGAGAGTTCTTCAAATTGGGCAGGGTCTTTTCGATGTTGTACACCGAAACAGCATCTGGAACCGAAAGACTTGACCCAAACGATGACGCATTCACTATTGTTCGCTTTGGATCCATGGCGCATACCCAGATCAGAAGGTTTGTAGTCGTCAATGTTCGAAGGAACTTCGTGCACGCTTGGTAAGTCAATGCCGAAGTGTGACATTTCACTGCTAAGATTCTAGTGCTATCTCAACATACAGGAACCAGGGAACATTTAAAAGAGGCTGCGATCCAAGTGAGCATGCTCTTGTCTACAATCAAGGTGTAGACCCTGCAACATGCTACTTTGTCGGCGAAGTTGAACGAGGACTAACTAAAGAGCCAATTCAGGTTGTTGCAGCAGATTCTACAACCTTTTTAACCAGGGAATCGCGTATCCGCTTTGGTAAAATCTACTCAATTGAGTGGAACGTTAGAGTGAAAGACATTGGAAGAGTAGTCGATGAAGACTTGTCGACACTAGTTGCACATCACAATGCAGAGACTTTGAAGTGGGATGCAGGGTTCTAGAGAACTGAGGCAGGAAGGGGGGGTATTCTTTCCAGGTGTACGGTTTTAATCACTGTTTACCAATTTTCGTGAGTTCTTCTCAACCTAAGAGGCTCAATAAATGGCCGCAACAGTCTCCGGCGGATAATCTTCTCCGCGCATCAACTCACGACTGCCAAATCTTTGTTGACACATTTTGGCTCTTTCCGGTCTTTCTTGCCGCAGGCTCTACCGACCTCGGGAGTCTACTTTAGTTGGAAAGAACAAATGTGTGCGTAAGACGACCAAAACACTAGTATTGGCGTGGAAATCACGGCTAGATCAGGCCTCAGCGGAGGTAGTGCATCATGCAGCCACTGTCACAGCCTTGCACATACACGCAACCCACCTCATCTACCCCGCTGCTTGATAGATCTTACCATTCCACGTCACTAGGTCAACGTCAAAGCCAGAACATCCGCAACAATAAATTTGTACGACTACCCCTAGTTCCAGCCCCTTGGAATTTGAATTGCACTATTTACCTGAATACCGGTTGAAGAATGTTTCAGGAAGCGCTAAGATTCCTTCAGGACACGATAAGCTCAGCCTGGCCGCGATGGCCGCCCCTCCACGTCGGCCGTTCCGCATATTTCGCAAAGGCGACGACCTCGATATAGACCATCTCGATGAGCTTCCTTTCATCCACGTCAGTCTATTAGGACACGGTCACAGTGGCACAGTAGAAAAAGTCAGGGACAATAATACTGGTGAATTGTTCGCCAGGAAGACAATCACTATACCTGCGAGTAGAAGAGTGAGATCTGAGAGATCGGATACCTTTCACAACGAAGTCCGAACAATACGAAAGCTCAGTCAACATCGGCATATAATCGAGGTGTTCGCGACGTACATAACGGAGGAGCATTTTGGGCTGATCCTCCGGCCTGTTGCGGAAGAAGGCGATCTTTCAAAATTTCTGGATAGATACTGGAAGCTTCGTCAAATATCAGCTCAATCAGAAGCGGATGATAGGCGCTTAGTTCACATGAGTGGCATACTGAAGCAGGCTTTTGGGTGCCTAGCTAGTGGCCTGGTGTTCATGCATACATCTGGTATTAGACACAAGGACATCAAGCCCCACAACATCTTGATCCACAAAGGAGCAGTCGTCTACACCGATTTTGGTTACTCGCTAGATACCAGCATGTTCAGCAAAAGTATGTCTGATGGGAAAGGTCACCTGACAAGGATGTATTCTGCCCCCGAGGGCCTCGAACAAGAGGGAAGGAACAAATACTCGGATATATTTTCTTTAGGTTGCGTATATCTAGAGCTTCTCTCAGCTCTTCGCGACGAGCCCGCCTTGTGTCCTGAAGGTTCAGATCTCTCAGCCCAGAAAGACCGCATATTTGCCGCCAGCATGGACGAGATACACACGTGCCTGGCCGATCTTCACCTTCCAGAAGGGCTGGAGTTTCTCTCTAGCATCATTGTACTGATGACAGGTGCCCATTGGAAGCATCGTCCAACTTCCGAGGTGGTTGTACAGCATTTCGCTGACAGAACAGACTTCTCTTGTGCACAATGTTGCACCAGAGTGCCACCTCGGCTGCGTGGTGAAGATCAATGGCAGTGGAGTGAGCCCTTTAAAGACTACTACATTGCCTCGTGCGATGAATCAGGTAATACATCCGCCCTTGTGTTTCTTTAAGGCAGGTCACTCATTGACAAAGGACAAACTCGGTACGAGTGGATGAGCAGATCATCTGATACTCCACAACATAGCTTATATGTGCCACGGACTGAAGAAATACCCACTGCCTCGTCAAAATTGCTACAAGCGCCCTATGCAAGTAAGTCGCTTGCACCAAGTTCATCGTAGAGTGAGGATCTCATTCTGGGTCAGCTTCCACGGTTGGCGGTGCTCAAGCTCATGATCATGGTCAGTCAAATATTGTAATTAGGTATTATATACGCCCACCTAACGAGTTACAGAATTTCGTAGTAGAGATGGTCCTGACGCTCGAACCTTTTGGGTGCTCGGTAGAGTCTTCAGAATGAAGAAATGGAGAGTCAACGTTCAGACTCAAGCTCGCGACGACACCTCTTCGCTGCAGACTTCCAGTGAAAAAGTCCAATCTGCAGTGCAGTGCTTTGTCGTAGTAAAAGTCAACCAAACTTATGTTCAGACCTGGTTCGTATTTGTTTGTGGATCAAGCTTGGACGGCCTGCTAACACATCTAGCCTTATCACAACGTATAAAAAAAAGGGCACACTTGGCCTTGATTGCGATCCTTCCAAACACACGATTGTCTTCTCGTCTGGTATCGATTCCCAGACCTGTTATCTGGATGGCGAGCGCGAGCGCGGTTTGGTAAAACACCCTATCGAGGTTGCACTGATTGAACGGACGACCAAGCTTCCACGACAGTCGCGAATCAGCTTGGTTAGCACGGTGGCTGTCAATTTTGGTGATCAAGTGAAGGATATTGGTATGGTGATACCGGAGCATCGGGAGTTACTTCGCCAATATTGGAGCGAAGAGAGAGAGGATTTCGATGATGAAGTCTGAGCCTAAGGCTTTTGTCACAAGACCTACTTGTAATATAGTGACATGTGACTGCAGGTATACTTCATAGAGGCAACGAATCTCAGAAGCTGAATCCATGTCATCACGATTTCAGGTCAGCTTTGTAGAATCGGGATATTCTACAACCCGTAGATCTGTGGTTGTATCTGCTCCGACGAGAAAAGAATTCGTTTACGCATGGTTGGTTGGATCTTTGTCTGCAAAAAGTCATGCGTACTGACCTAATCAGTGGCATCTCGACGTATTCTGGTCGCGCTACGCTAAAGAATGGCTGTAGTCCTGAAGACCATGCTATGGTATACTTCAGTGGCACATCACCAGTCTGTTCGCTGCATGAAAGGCAGCGTGGACTGCCAGCTGATGCCATCGAAGTTTGTCCCGCCGAAAGCGGAATGACTATGAATTCAGAGTCTCGCATCAATTTCGGCAAGACCGTTGCTATCGAAAGGAACATCAAAGTTAAAGATATTGGTCAGGTTGTCAGCGAGGACATGAGCGTGCTTGTGAGCTTCTGGAAGGCCGCAAACTTCGGTGATGATAATTGAGCTCTGTCGCCCAGATACGTTTTTTTAATAGGTCCGTTTACGTTTTTGCTTCAGCAGTACCTGTTGCTTAGCTTGTGTTCCATATCCGGTCATCGTTACATTCCAGGTACTATTGGCCGATGTGACCTTCCCGATGACCGAGTCTTTCACTTTGCAGGATACAGTAACGTAGGGGAAAGACTAAAACATCCTGCAGGACGCTTTGTTACCTACAACGTAGGTGATGCGTATTTGAATTTTAGCTTCAAGAGTTTTGATACCTACAAGTTCTGTGTTAAACTTAGTCGGCTCGAAGGTTGCTGATCCACCGTCTCTCTTCGAAATGAGAGTGAGTGTTTGCGAGCTGTGCCCTGCAAGCATTGGTTTGCGGCAGACGATCCGATCAGAACGAGGAGATCGATCGGTCTTCTCGTGAGAAGTGATCGTGGGTGCAAAGCTCTCGTCGCCGCAGTGTTCGTCAAGTGCATTGAGTAGCGTCTGTCGGAGATCAAATATCTTATCTGAATCCCATATATGGATACCCAATCAGTTGATCGTACTGTGATTGTCGAAGCGTAGATACTTACCTCATCAGCGAGCTCGGGGCACGGATCCTCGATCTCGTTGACTGAAGTGCTAATTCCGTCTTCATATTGGTGGAACTGGTCGTTCAGTACGATGTCATCATCTAGACTCCACGTGCCGTCGTACTCGTCGTCGTCGTCGCTACTGGAGATATCGCCCTTGTCCTCGAAGTCCATGGCCAAGTCAATTTCCGCCTGCGCAGACTGCTTCCCTTTGCCTTTGTTGATGTCTTTACCCTTCTTGGGGGTCACTGTTGTGAGGTCACTGTTGTTATTGAGTCTGGGGGAGCTGCGAGTTCTCTTTGCTGCCCCTGCAGCTAGCTCTGCAGCTCGCTTGATGGCCATTTCAATTATTGTGTTGAGCGGGAGATCGGATAATGTAGGGTAACAGATTTGAGTCTGCCTTTCAAACAGCTCGTACTGCTTACCAAATTGCGGCAGTTTAGGAAGGCCCCTTCTGCCGTCACAAGCTTGCAACTGAGGGAAGGCGCGCATTGCAGGTGTGAGAGTCCTCCCAGGTATAAAAAACTGCAGACTGTGATATGCAATATGCACTTCTTTCCCACGAGCCCAGTGAGGCTTGCAGGTGACCTGCAACCTCACACCACACCCGATTTCACTCCGCCTCAAGCGGCTCTGCGTCCTCCTCGTGGTCGTCTCCGTACTGTAGAACATTGCCACCGGCACGCTTGCGCTTGCCCAACAGCGCAGTTTTCTTGAGTACCGGGACATCATCTTTCGTGCCCCACTGGGCTGCCTGATGGTGCCCCAGAGCCAGGAATAAACCACGAATCTGATCATTGGCTTCATTGCGACTGCCTCTGTTCGCAAAGCGGCTTGCTGCTTCGCGGACCTTCACGTTGTGGTGAAATACTGCGCTGTAGTACGCTAGCTCCTGGGGGATAACAACAAGCTGCAGGAGGATGTCGCAAGTCACAACGAAACGTTTTCGCCACATGTTCGCATGTTCACCCAGTGTCTCCGTATAAGGTCAAGGCCTCGCAACCTTACTGAGTACCCGAGTTCCGTACTGATTTGTATGCACCAAAGTGTGTTTACCAAACACGACTAAACCAGCGCAACTTTCTCGGAGGATATGAGAAAATTGGAGGATGCGTTTGCAATTCTTCTTGGAGGTATTCGTTGTATGCAGCTGTTATAGCAGGAAGGAAATAGTCCATAAAATCAGGCAGCAACGGAGTCTCCCAAACAGGACCCTAACCCTAACGGCCTCTGGACAGAGTTGCAGACTCATAGCAGAAAACTTCACGAAAGTTTTGATATACTTGAACGTAGGAGCTTCTGCTGGCGAGGAGCTGTCTGTTTCAGGTGATGAGAAGGCTGTTGGTTGCGAGAGTACAAATTCGTAAAAGGCGTTTGCGAGGGTGCTGATCAGGTATCCGTCTCCTTTGAAGGGTGAGGTGGCGCCGGGTTCTACAATATCGATGGCGATTTGTGCCACGAGGGCGATGATGGTAGTCTGGAGGGATCGCATGATAGTGGACAGATGACGAGCTTTGTCTGACGACACACCGGTAGGCATGGTGTGGTGGAGGGGCTCGGTGCGAATCTTGCTTGATGTGAAATAATATGGCGCCTGTGCAATGCGAACTTGCGCGAGTATGCGGCTGGCAATGTGCAACGGCCTTCCGCCGAGGTGTTGCATGACGAAAGTGCTATATTCAAGGTCGAGGTATTGGTTCTTGAGCATGTCCGGGTACATGATGGCGACGTGAACGAAAGTGATGGAGCCTGGATCACCTGTGGCTTTTACGAGAGGCTCATGCTAGACGTTGATGTCATCTACCAAATAACCGTAGATAGCGTTCCGGATCTCGGCCGGGAGGTGACGATGGATGTAGCGTGCGGTGCTGGCGGAATAGTGGCTGGTCTCATTAACCGGGTTGTAGTGCTTGAAGATGGTAGGATCCATGATTGAGTAATGGATGTAGTGCGATTAGCGGTGGTAAGGAAGAGTGCGGAAGCGAGGAAGGTGGATCATATGGCCACGCGATGCCAAGGCACTAACTGATGTCACGTGAAAAGGAAGCAAGTGAAGGTAGAGGTGAGTGAAGGTAGAGGTGAGGAAGGCATATAACGGATGAAAGCAACTAGGTCCACACAGTAGCTCATTTAGATCAATAGACTGAGACGTACAGAAGCAAGAGAACCTCTTCGCATAAAAGTAAATGGTTTGTCATTTGCAAGACACTGAACCCTGACGTATATCAGGCAAATTCTGTCCGCCTCAGAGACTGCCTTCCATCCTCTTCAAACGCTCAAACAGCTGTACGAACGCAGCTGGCTCTTGAGCTCCGCTAATCTCGAAGCTGTCGTTGATGGTGAAGTTCGGTACTCCACTGATGTTCTGCTCACGTGCATTCTGCACCTCCTTATCAACCTCAGCTCCACCTTTCCCGTTGTCCAACCACTCCTTAATCTCCTTCTCTTCAAGACCAGCTTTCACACCGCTTTCAATCAACATTTCACGCGCTGTAATGTCCTTTTCATTCTCGAAGTACCCGGCAAAAAGCTCCTCGACAACGCGCGTCTGCATCTTCGGTCCTTTGGTCTTGCCAAGCTGGATAAGACGATGTGAGTCGCGGGTGTTTCCCGTCCTGCCACCAAACTTGAATGATATGCCCTCGTCTTTGCCAATCTTAGCGAGCATCTGTTGCATGGTTGCTACACGCTCCTGCCCAAACTTTTTGACGTATACTTCTTGCTTGTCAACGCTTTTGCCGGCATCTGGGTTCAGGTAGAACGGATGCCATGTTGTCGAGAAAGTGTCGCCAGACTCTGGGTGCTTCTGCTTGTATGCCGCTATGGCCTTGTCAAGGCGCTGCTTTCCAACATAACACCATGCTATGAAGACGTTAGTGTGTGACTTTTGTGCAATTGTGTCCGAGATACGTACGGCAGACTGTATCTGACACGATGTTGATGTTGAAATTTGTCATTCTGCTCAAGCTCTGTCTGAATGCCACGATGAATATATTCTAGGTCTGTCAACCGCGTCGAGCACCCGCCAATGCGCAGCATTGTTGCTCTTTATACTTCGTCCGACATGTGTCCGCGGTGCTGACAAATTTGTGCGGGCGGAACGCCGCCACTTCCGTGCTTCATCATCAAACCTCATCGCCAGCTTTATCCAATGCCAAACGCTGCGATCTGGCTCGCACACCTAGCAAAGACAATGATGGTGAAGTATCTGCGTAGGTTGTAATGCATGCCGACGACTAAGCGAGCTCACTTGTGCGAGATGCATAATTCTTCTTGCATACGTCAACATCCTAGACAAGGGTATGCGCCGCTCGGGTACCAAGTCCGATTGCAGTCTCAAGAGCTAATCTACATAGTATGCAGGATGCAGCAAATACTGGCTCAAGAGGCTCGGCTGGCGTAGACTACTGGGGCCGGATCACATTCGGGAATACCTCCAGGGCAGTTGTGATACGTCTACAGATATAAATGTCTAGACCAAGTCAACACACATTGCTAGTCGACTGTTCCTTTCTTTTTCGTTTGACATGAGCAAAATTCTCCTCCTCGGCGCCACAGGCTATGTCGGTGGCACTATACTGTCCCAGCTACTGGGCAGCACCGAAACCAGCCTACGCTCGTTGAATATTGACCTCCTAGTCCGACATGAGCATCAAGCCGAAAAGCTGCGCAGTATCTATGGCGAACGCATCCAAACTATTCCCTGGGTTGGCCTGGACGACATTCAGTTCACTGAACAGACCGCAACTCGTTACGATGTCATCATAAACGCTAGCTCTGGCTTCTTCACAGCCGGTGCGAAAGCTCTTGTCGATGGGCTTGCGCGCCGCGTTCAAGCAGGTCAGCCCGTCCCCTGGCTGCTCCATATCTCTGGATGCACAAACTTGGTCGATCTATCCAAGCCGCCATTCGAATGGAACGATGAACAGGACGGTCAGGCCATCTTCGACTACCTGAAGTCTCTTGATCTGCAGACACCATACCCACAGCGAACGACAGAGATTACAGTGCTGGAAACCGCAAGCCAGAAAGGCGTGCAAGCCATCAGTCTGCAGGCTCCTTGCATCTTTGGCGAAGGCTCAGGGCTGTTCAATCAGCAAGGCTTAGTGATTCCTTTGATCCTTCGATACGCTGTGCAGCATGGCTACGGCTTTAAATTGAATGACGAGGCTAACTTCGACTGGGTATGCTTGATCATGCCGCTTGAACGATGTACTGCATGCTGACCTTCCTTAGGTTCATGTCGCTGATCTGGCCAATTACTTCATTCTCCTGGTTCGTACCATCATCGAACGCCCAGATCGCGGCGTTGGCTACATCCCATCAGGAAAGCAGGGCATACTTTTCCCTACCGTTGGCCGAACCCTCATCACAGAGATCAACCAAAAGGCATTGGACGTTGCCTTCGAAGCAGGTGTCCTGCCCCGGGAGGATACTCCTCAACACAAAGAAATCCGCCTTGCGCCGTTGCAGGAAATCGCAGATAAGCTCACCGCTGGCTTCTGCGATGTTGCGGCGCGCGGATGGGGCGGTCAAAAGGCGGTCAAGGGCACAATAGGAGGTAACCTTCTAGGATGGAAGCCGACGAGACTGCAACAGGCGTGGGACCAGGACTTCCGTGATGAGTTGATTGCGTTGAGCGAGGGCCGCCGGGGCATCACCATAGCTAACTGCATTGGCGGCGATGTCAGCGAACCCTGAACTTGCTCTGGAAAAATCTTCTCTGTCCCGCGGCATATTCAGTGCCATACCTAGCGATATACTGGTTATTCCTTCTGCTGTTGAAGATCGTACCGGTGTTAGGTCTGGCGAGGGGTCCTTCATTGTCTCGACGCATCTCAAGCCAGTTTTGCACAATCCTCCCTCGGATGAGGCCCCGTTTCTAGAAATTCTTACATACGCAGTGGGTCTTCTCTTATGCAACGGTCGCGGATCGTGCCTTCGTTCGGCACGGCTGTCCCGCTTCCCCCCGCCATCAGTGGTCTGATGTGGATACTACACATGAACAGCCCATGTATACTCACCTATCGAGACAACGGTACCGTACCTATATTCATGAGATTGTAGTTGCATACTCACAGGAATCCGGGGATTTACACAGCACCAAGCTTATTTTGAGACCCCTACGAAGTATGTGTGCCCACCACGGCCTGGAGCCGCAACTGTGCCGCAAGTGGGTCACGTATCAAACCTATATGTCGGGTCGCATAACATGCTTGCACGTACCCCAAATACATCAATCACACTGCTTCCGTGGGAACGGTAATTTAGGTTTCCACATCGTTCTGCAACATCGGCACTGACTAAGAATTTTCCAGAGCTGCAGTCAAAGTGGACGCCTTGGGCAAGCATGCTCGAACCACAATCCCTCACCCCGTGACCGACCTCTGTTGAAGACCGTGTAGCAGACACATCTGTTTTGACATTTAACAGGTGAGCTCGGGAGTGCTGTCTGGATAGTCCGGAATCGGTTCGGTGTCACGATGTTAGACCCGAGAGCACTGCACGATGGGACCAAACAAGTCTCTACCTTTGCTGTTGCCATACCTTTCATCCTAGTTACGACCTTGGTCATGATACTTCGGCTTCATGTACGATTACGCCTCCTGCAGGGTGGGTTAGGTATAGACGATTGTAGGTATCGTCCGCTTGCTGTGAGGATATCAATTCTGACAAGAACAGGCTTGCTCCTCATCGGGTACATATTCACGATCGCACTCTCCATAGCCACGATGATCTGTGGATGGTATGGAGTAGGCACTCATTGTAGGCAAACTAACAGCGACCGGTCTGAGATACTGACGATGAATACAGTCAGAGACATACCTACCGAAAATATGACACCACTACTCAAGTCAAATTACTCGACTCGTCTGCTGTACACCATCGCTCTTGGCTTCGTTAAATCTAGCATTCTTGTCTTCTATATGCGGCTCGATCATCGCAAATTCACCAGATTGGCCGTTTGGTTCCTTCTGGCCTTCGTAGTAGCGTTGTCTATCACAACCTTCTTCTTTCTCGCATTTGTATGCGTTCCGCCATCCTTGTTCTGGGACTTGGTAGGACAAGCGGCAGCGCCAGAAAAATGCTTGGACCAGTCAACACAGCAGATGTTTTTCAATCTGAATGGGATATGCAACATCATACAAGATATCAGTATATACCTGCTTCCAATTCCGATGCTGTGGAATCTTCAAATGCCGCTGCGTCAGAAGCTGGCTCTTGGGGCGCTTTTCAGCGTTGGACTTATCGCTGTCGCAGGCAAGTTGCTGGATCCTATCTTGCATCCACTGTACCACTGACAATAACCTAAACAGCTAGCTGCGTACGCTTCTACTACGTCCTTTTCCTTGCCAACGAAGCCGATATCTGGTATTACATGGCCGACTCCCTCAACTGGTGCAACATCGAGATCTACGCTGGTAAGTCAATCCCCAACGACCAAAGTTCTTAGATCACCGCTGATATATCATGATTCTAGCGATTATCTGTAGCTCTGCGTCGACCTTCAAGGCCTTGCTCAAGACCTACCTACCCAGATTTTGGGGTTCTTCGCAAAGGAGCGCTCCTGAAGACGCCGACCACAGCTACGATCGGTCGGATAACGGGCGTTTTTCGATGAAACCGCATGGCACGTCCTCGTCAACCAAGTCGCACAGCAATAGGAAATATGGAGTCACGGATCTGACAAATATCGAAAATGAGAGCGAGGAGGCCATTGTGACGAATGCGAACGCACAAGTACGTGTGAGCCGACGGAAATAGTTGGGTGTATCATGCGATGTTGGTTGAGACGAGGTCGAATGAAAATGCAACTGTTGACCAGCTACTCCTGGGAGCTATCGTGACTCTCAAGAGCCCAGAGATACTGAATTTGAAGCTCGTGAATTCGAGGGACGGTGTGACTGGGCGCGCATGATTGCTAGAGAAGCCCAAAGGTAAACAACGTTTGAAAGGTAACGGCCGACACTTGCAAATGAGAAATGCGGTGGTGGCGAATGATCCCTCTGGATTGCAGCCACTGAAAGCAAATTGACGCCGGTCTTTGCGTTGTCCCAGAAAAGCGCTCTAGATTTAGACTTAGGCGGTTCTCGTACTGTGCCATGAATAGCCTTGGCAGCATATCGAATGAGGGGTTGTCAATTGTATCCGCCTGCATCAACCGAATGTGTCTGGACAATACAGTGATGAAGTGACACTTGAAGACAGGGTTCTCTCTCTTTCTCGTTCTCGGGTGGACATTATCCTTCGAACATGGCACTATCTGATGTGTGCGGTGAGCCACCAGACCCCCAGTCGCTGCCTCTGACCTTTGAGTATTGTAAGAGCGATTGCACTCCATCCAAACGGTGATGTCGTAATGAGACAGTAAATGCCAGTCTGGTTCTGGTCTATTCGTTTCTCGTGCGATTGTCGCTACAATATGTTACAGATTTTGATAGTGTACAGGGTATCGTTATGCCGGCCAGCAGCCGAAGTATAGATCTGTCATCTCACTCCTTTGGTGTTGATGTGGAGGACTGGTTCTTGTCCGTCAATCGTTCGTCGCCTGTAGGAGAGGCATCCGTGTGAAATTGTGCTGAACGTGGTGTAGAGGAGCCATCGTCCCAGAACTCGACATCGCCTTCAGCGCTCAAAGAGCCGCGCTTCACGAGGCCACCCTTCTCCTTCATCAGATCTTCAATCGTGACGGATTTATCCGAGAAGATCTATCAGGGATTAGCGACAGATCCAGTACGCCTTCCGATGTAACCTACCTTCAAATGATCGCTGATCAGATGCCTGTTTTTGCAGCCAGGACATGAAATCAAGATAGTCCCTTTGTGATAGCCTTGCTTGGACAATCGGTGTGATGAACGAGTCTCGCACACCTTGCATGTGAAAGTGAGCTCGTATGAAGGGACTTGGTCGCGGTCAAGTCGTGTTTCAGGCGCCTGAGTGGTTGTATTATTTTGTGGCGGTGTCGAGGCACCCGACTCAAAGCGTGCTGTGGAAGGAAGTCGCGACCGAGGAAGAATGGCTGAGGGGCGTGTAAGGGCTGACGTTCGCGGTGTGTGGATCAGGCGCTTTGAGGCTGCTGGAATGTGTTCAGCAGGGCGTGCCCATGCTGCTCGAGGCGCAGTTGTACGGGCGCAAGAGCGCAACAAAGACATGGACGAGCGCATGACTGTTAAGGCAAGAATTGTTTCGAATCTAGTGAGAGCGATCGGACAAGAAGCAGTAAAGTGTTTTACGTGAATGGAGCTTGACTGGCAGGTGCGGACAAAACGTTCTCCACCGAGGCACCGAACGCCAAGCGAACGTCGTCACTGCCTGCATGCGGGCACCACGGGCATCCCCACCGGACCGCATGCTGTGAACACTGACACCACACTCTCGCACCGCCTTGTCGTTCACTGCTGTTACCGTCTCTGTCTCGTCTGTCTCTTCGCTCCTGCACTGGAAAGCAGCGCGCACGTTACCTACGCCACTAGACCCTCCGCACGCCACTCGGACGCCTCCACGCTCAGCAGCGAGCGTTGGCGTACTTTTGAACAGCGCAGCAAAGTGCAAGCACAGCTCTCAACCATAGCTCTCAAGCACGCGCGATAACACCCATCCTACGGCAAACATGATTGCTGGACGTGGCAGGCAACGCATTCGACCCCCGCGTAGGGTACGTCACCTTCACTTCACCTCATCACCACAGCTATATACTGCGCTTTCAGCCGTGCCTATCTGCTTTAGACAACATTACTAACGATGGTGCGAATGCAGGGTCTGCACGGTGACGAGATCGACTTCGATAATACATGGGCAATAATCGAGGCTGCCTTCCGCGAAATTCACACAAAAAATGCTTCGAGGCTATCGTACGAAGAGCTCTATCGCCATGCCTATCGGATCGTCCTGAAGAAGAAAGGCGAAGATCTGTACCGAAACGTTCACGACTTCGAGCGGAAGTGGCTGAGTAGCGAAGTGCGCGCCGCCATTCAGCAGTTGCTATCCCCCAATCTCCTTGTGAATGCGCAGAGTTTGGGTGGCACAACTGCCAATGAGCGACGGGTTGCGGGCGAGAAGTTCCTAAAGGGTTTGAAGCAGGCATGGGGAGACCACCAGGTCTGTATGAGCATGCTGGCAGATGTGCTCATGTACATGGTAAGTCGCCGCAACACAGTAAATCTCGTCTTTTCATTGAGACTGACTGCTTCAGGACCGTGTCTACTGTACAGACCACCGCCGACCGTCGATTTTCAATGCCGCTATGGTCCTGTTCCGCGACGAGATCCTGCGTTCACCCGTCTCCGATCACGATGCGCGGCTTCTGCTCGGCCTGGTGAACCACGTTATCCTTGACCAAATACAAATGGAGCGCGACGGCGACGTCATCGACAAACATCTCATCAAATCCTGCGTGTGGATGCTTGAAGGGCTGCACGACGATGAGACTGAGGCGGAAGAACAGCGACTGTACAACGTATCTTTCGAACGAGAGTACCTGGATACTAGCAGAGACTTCTACAAGAGCGAGTCAGAGCGGCTATTGCGCGAGTCCGACGCTGGCGCTTACTGCAGATACGCTCGAAGGAGAATTTACGAGGAAGACGAACGGTGCAAACAGACTCTTCTGGATAGCACAGGGCCGAAAATCCAGAAGGTCGTTGAAGACGAGCTTATCAAGAACCGGATACACGAACTGGTAGAGATGGAGAGCGGAGTACGGTACATGGTCGACAACGACAGGATAGAAGAGCTCAACCTCGTATATGATCTCAACCGGCGAGTCGATGAGAAGAAGTCGGAACTCACACGAGCGATCCAAAAACGAATCGTTGACTCAGGTACCGATGTGAACAACGACGCCATTGCTGCATCGCAAGCTTTACCTCCTGCTCCCGCACCTGTAGCCGATCCTGCGGACAAGAACAAGAAGGTCGTGCAAGAAAAAAGCATCAACCAGCAAACGGTGGCCGCTATCAAATGGGTTGAGGACGTTCTCATGCTAAAGGATAAATTTGACCGCATTTGGAGAGATTCATTCGAGGCTGATGCTCTTCTGCAGCAAGCAGTCACCAGGAGTTTTGCTGAATTCATCAATTCGCCGACATTTCCAAGATCTTCCGAATATATCTCGCTCTTCATTGACGAGAACATGAAAAAGGGCATTAAGGGCAAGACCGAGATGGAAATCGATGCTGTCCTCGAGAAGGCCATCATTTTGCTACGATACGTGCAGGACAAGGATTTGTTCGAGCGCTATTACAAGAAGCACTTGTGCAGACGGTTGTTAATGAACAAGTCTATCAGCAACGAAGTCGAGAAGCAGATGATCTCGAAGATGAAGATTGAGCTTGGCAATAATTTTACTTTGAAGCTGGAGGCCATGTTCAAGGACATGACTATCTCCGAAGAGCTCACTGCAGGCTTCAAGAAGCATGTCGAAGGTCTCGGCGAAAAGGACCCAAAACGTATCGATCTGAACATCAACGTGCTTACCAGCATGACGTGGTCGCTCGAGACTATCAGTGGTACAGCCGACGACGGAGAAGGTCGTCCACGATGCAACTTTCCCACTGCGGTGGAAAAAGTCAAGCGTGGATTCGAGAAGTACTACAACGAGAAACATTCCGGGAGACAGCTCACTTGGCTTGCCAACATGGGGTCGGCGGACATCCGGGCTACCTTTAAGAAAGTGCAGCAGAAGGATGGGTCGTTCAAGGAGCGCCGCCACGAGCTCAACGTACCAACCTATGGCATGGTCATTTTATTGCTGTTCAACGACTTGCCAGCAGATCAGCACTTGACCTTCGAAGAGATTCAAGCGCAGACAAACATCCCAGCACCGGACCTTATCAGAAACTTGCAGTCTCTCGCTGTTGCGCCCAAAACACGTATCTTGATCAAGGATCCCATGTCCAAGGATGTGAAGCCAACTGACAAGTTCTTCTTCAACGAAGGCTTTAATGGCAAGTTTGTCAAGATCAAGGTCGGTGTGATCAGCAGCGGCAACAAGGTTGAGAGCGATCGAGAGCGACGAGAGACGGAGAAGAAGAACGATGACTCGCGACAGTTCTGTGTCGAGGCTGCCGTTGTCCGAATTATGAAGTACGTGGTTTTCGGTCTTTATTGCCCCACTCCTGCTAACAATGTCACAGGCAACGTAAAGAGCTTTCTCATCAACAGCTTATCCTTGAAACACTCAGCCAGTTGGCTGGTCAATTCAAGCCTGAAGTCAACATGGTGAAGAAGCGTATAGAGTCGCTCATCGAACGCGAGTACCTCGAGCGCATCGACGGAGCAAAACTAGACTCATATCGATACCTCGCATAGGCTGCGGCAATTTGGCGTTGTACAATAGGCGTTCGGAGAGCTTTACATTTGGGCAGATTCCCCTGGTGATGCATAGCATGGCGTAAGGAAGATCTACGACCTGGGTCAGACACAGGCGTCTACGGTTCAAACGGACGCATAGCATCAAGTCTCAAAGTCTGGGTTTATCAGATTAAAATACATGCAAGTCAAACACTCAGACTCTCGCCTCTTCCCTCCCTTTCAACCACGTGTAGGGGCCGTGAACTAGATCTGCCAGAGCACGACCGGGTGTTGCATGTCACTGGCGGGTGTTTCAAACCGAACACCGACAGAACACGCCGCTACGTTCACAATGAAACGAACTACGTGGAGATGGAAGCTCATGGTAACAAATAGCGTCAAACGGCTTAGACCGTGACCACGTTTTGCATGTCGTAGACATCATAATCAGAAATGAAAGCGTGATGAAGCACGTGAGCTCGACTGGACAATATGGCCTAGACAGCTTGTAATAGTCCAGGACCTGTGTTGGTACGTATCCAGGGCGCCGACTCTGGCGTTCCACAAGCATGCGCATCTAGAACTGATCCTCATGACTACATGCTGGTCACGACATTGTGATCTGCCTCCGATCGATCTCAATGATCTCTTTAAATCAGCCTCTCAGCAATATGACTCTTACAAGTGCTTTACTTTACTTGGAGCACCTGGGAAGCCCAACATCGTCCCTATGTAATCTTGAGTCAAGCAATCAGTCATCTTGGTGTTGGGAAATGAAAACTGGTTCGATGCTGCAACAGCGCACATTTTGCACAAGCTCTGCATAACACTAATGCATGATCAAAGTCAGGATTAATCGCTTATCGATAGCTACATTTTCTGTCTGCAGCGCCTCCCGATTGGCTCAAACATTCGACTCAAGGTATTGGTCAACCAATCAAACACAAGTCTCTGTAAAGATGTCATAAGAATTGTGGAAATCACACACACCGAGAGCGAGGGAGTTGTGGGGAGACAATTCTCGAGCGCAAATCTGAGGTGTGTGTGGGGATGCAGCAAGATCGCAACGGCGCACCTTGGGCGTCATGCTTGTGGATCTTGATGACGTTGGAGATGCAGCCGGGAGGCCCACAGACGCTGAGGAGCCGGTCCGAGACCTGGCACTCGCGTTGTTGTCAGTGCTGTGGGTTGCTCAACTTACGAGAGTACAAAGAACGTCGGAGATCGTGCAAGGAGCATTGAGAATAGAAGTGCCTGCAGCGACATCGCTGAAAAGGGGCGGTCTTGCAGAACTCGCCTGGTCAAACACGCGACTCCCAACACGTGGAACCGTGCGACCACGCTGCGGGAATTAGAGTGCCACCCTTAACGTATTGTGTTGCTTGCAGGTTCTCTTACCAGCGCTCTTTGTCATTAGACAAGGAAACAAAGGCAGTGATCGGAATCTTGCGACACGAGTTAAGCAGGAACAATGCTCAGCTACGAGCGGCATCCCCCAGCTGTGCACAGTAAGATCTCGTATTCACATGTCCCACGGTCCTCGGCGTCGGTGCGCCTTCCTCTTCAGTGCATATAGCTGCAAGGGGCGAGAACATAGCAGCCACGTTGCGCAGCCTCGCCTCAGCTTCTTTGAACTTGACTTGATGCCTTCAACAAACGACTGCTTCACAATGAAACTGCTAGAGATGCACCGGGGTGCACAATCGCGCTCATTAAATTCCCGAGTCGATCCCACAAAGGAAATGAACAGGTCGCGGGGGTCGCCAAGCGAACGCGGCCAGCACCAACATCCCAGTCGAGCAAACGCAACGAAAGAGGGACAACATGCCTGTCGCCTGTGTGGAACGACATGCAGTGGATCGATAGCGCAACATGGAGCGGCTGAGATCGACTGAATGGGTTGAGTACTCAAATCCCACGGGCAAGGCCCTGAGCAGTAACCAGAATGGTATTCGCATTTAAAGATCAACAGCTCAATCTGGAGGATGTGCGCGTGTGTGTCGCTCGTTGTTGTTGGCCTCATCCCCTGGCGGCTGTTCCTGACGGGTATGCGGGTTCCTGAGTGGTTGAAACGGCGGCGCTCGACGGCGTCAGCGCCACCGCGGTTTGCTGAACAAGTCAAGCTTTTGTCACGCCGATCAGTGACTAGCATCGTTCGTCCTCTTACAGGTGAGCGGCCGATGTCTTGTGCGCAACGCCGTCTCTCACTGGCTGCAGGTTCATTTCCACGACATGGCCTCCTTGATGCTCACCCTGGCCGGCAGCCGCCAGCTCGATCCCTAGTGCAACCAGGATTGGAAAAGTTTGTTGCGATGGCGCTCACTGCCGCTGCGTGAAAGCCTTCCAGACCTTGCCCTAGCCATGGGGTCCCGCTCTCTCCGTTTTTGTATATGAATTGAAGCCGCCCCGTACCCCCATCTCACCCACAACGTCCCAAACTTCCACCAGAGCTGTCGCTGTCTTTCCCTACGAGCATTCGCTCCCCACGTTCTTTCGAACACCACAGTCACTCCTGCTTCGCCTCAGCCCTGGTCGGCTCGTTCCCTGCGCTCTCCACAAAGTCGCCTGTCCAATTCTACCAAACTAAGATACCCACATCAACATGTCTGCCATGACCAAGCTCAGCCTTTTGGCCCTTATCGGCGCTGCCGCCGCTCACCCTTCCTACGGTGGTCACTCCAAGTTCCACTCTAAGCCCGCCGCTGGCACTGGAAAGCCGTACCCTACTGGTGGCTGGTCTGGCAACTACAACAGCACCCAGGTTCCCGCCGGTACTGCTTCCTACGAGGAGGGCAAGACTTCCACCATCGATATCACTACCACCTCTACCAGGACCATCACCTCTACCATCTACGGCACCCCTGCTCAGTCTGCCGTCGTTGAGAACGTCTCTTCCAAGCCTGCTGGCGAACAGTGCGGTCCTGCCACCGTGACTGTCACTGCTACTGACAAGTACACCGTCACCGTCACCCCTGGTGTCTCCTCCGCCTACTCCACCGGTGTTGTTACCTCCTCCATCGCCCTGCCTTCTTCCAAGGCTGGCGAGTACGAGGCTTCCAGCTACATCGTTGTCTCCTCCACCCCTGCTGCTGAGAAGCCCTCTTCTTCCAAGCCTGCCGTTGCTACTTCCTCCAAGGTTGAGGAGTACGAGGCCCCCACCCCCTCTGCTTCCGTCCCTGCCATCACCTCGGTCGCCGAGAGCGCCTACAGCACCGCAGTCCCCTCCTCCACCGCTGCGGCATCTTCTTCCGCTGCCCCTAAGCCTTCCGGCGCTCCCACATACACCGGAACCAAGCGTGGTCTTGCTTACAACGACGGCGAGCTCTGCGCTTCCTTCGGCTCCAACTTCGGTTTCGCCTACAACTGGGCTCAGACCGAGAGCAAGGATGTCGGTGCTCCCTTCATCCCCATGATGCACAAGCTTTCCGACTCCACCGCCGAGGCTTGGTTGGCCAACGTCGAGAAGGCTGTCAAGGCCGGCTCCAAGGCTGTCATGGGTTTCAACGAGCCCGATCACGTTGACCAGGCCAACATGAGCCCCGAGGTCGCCTGCTCTGCCTGGAAGGAGTACATGAACCCCATTGCCGCGTCTTATCCCGATGTCACCATTCTTGGTCCCTCGGTCACCAACGGAGGTGCTCCCATGGGTCTCGGTAAGTTTACAAACACTCCTAACTATGCTAGTTGACTAATTCGTTCTGTTAGACTGGCTCACTCGCTTCCACGACGGCTGCCCCGACGCCATCGTCCACGCGACCAACATCCATTTCTACGACATCTACGAGGAGGCCACCTTCGACCGCTTCAAGGCCCAGGTTGAGAAGGCCGCTGCTGACTACGGCAAGCCTGTCTGGATCACCGAGTTCGGTCTCAACCCCGGGTCCGCCTCTGAGGAGCAGGCTGCGACCTTCCTCAAGAAGGCTATGGACTTCTGCGATTCTTCAAGTGTCGTAGAAGGGTACTCATGGTTCATGGTCGGCACTGGTGAGAACCAGCTCAACACTGCCAGCGGTCTTTCCACCCTTGGACAGGTCTACGCCGGCTCCTCGTAGAGGGCGGCATGAGACGATAGGGCGTTTCATGGGTTTATTGTAAACGGACGATATACCCATGCAGTATCGGGTTATGTTTATTTCTTAATTTCTTTTGTCTAACTTATTTGAAAGGGGGCTTGGTGTAGCGAATTTGAACAGGGAGGATGAATGCAAACAAACAACAATCCCTCGATCTGCAGTATTATGTCGCGTGATGCGTGAAAGTAGCACATAAGGCTGATCGATAGTCTGAATGCGCGTAGTTAACACTCAGGCGACTAGGTAGTCTGGATGTGCGCAGCCAACACTAAGGCGAATAGGCAGTCCAAAGCTCCTTCCTCATCAAACGTACCACATATCGAGCGCTGGGCGCCTACCTATACCAACGCTAAGAGTTACCAAGCCGACTAAGACTATTCGACATCGTCCCGAAAGTCTGTCTCCAATTACTCCTATTAACGAGTCAAGCGTCATCACGGTCACACCCTTACCGCGGCAACATGCCCTACGGTGACTCGCATGCCCAGTAACATACCGCTCCGTACTCATCACGCGCACACTACTTTGCTACGGCAGGACTACCAATCACGTCGCGATAATGTCATAGGCAGTGCAGAGAACTCCTGAACAGTACACCATCAGCAAGCAAACAATATGGCCAACCCTGGCAGGCTTAACGCGCACGCCTATCTCGATGGGCAGAAGGAGGCGGCGCGTAGGCGTCTTGTGCGTCAGTAGCCCTTGCTATCGATGTATTATCCTTTGCTGTTCGATTCAGGTACAATTCAGACACGAAGGCCGCGCCAAGTTCGACAAGCAGGAGCAACTTCTCCAGTTTCTCGCAGCCCAAGGTATCCATGTTACGGGTAGTCATCTTCTCTCACCTCGCAGGATAAACGGCGGATTAAGGATATGAGCCAGATGTTCTACTACGCGACAGTGAAGTAGTAAGTACACACAAAAACTCCACAGAATACGTTTATACCTACAACATAAGTAATGCTTGATTAAATTTTACCTTCAAGTGATATAATAGCTACAAGTTCTGTATAAAAGTTGGTCAGCTTGAAGGTCACTTATCCGCCGTTTTTCCTGAAAATTGAGGGTTAACCATGCCATAGCAGGATTCTGGTAGGTTTGGAGACTTCCAAGGTTTGTTGGCTGTTCGCAACTGATAGAAACGCACAGCTTTGTACTGAACATAGGCGCACGCAACCCTCTGAACGTCACGTCGACAAGTACACCGTCATGGACACGGAGCCGATGGACGATGGTGCATATGCCACTCAACGCGCCTGAGTGAGCGCCTTCCTACACGGCGGGTTCATTGACCAGGCGCGTAGTTCAAGCGGTTGATATTAGCCAGCTCCAAAGCGACACCGCAAGGAGTTCACCAGCTACTATGACAGCTAGCCCAAGAGCCATGTGCACCCTAACTTGGGTCTCTAATCTTGTGGGCAATTGATAAGACAAAGAAAGAAATCTGCATTCCACACTTCTGTCTGACTGTGAGTGTATCATCTCTTGGCCTTCACCGTGTGAAGCCTTGACAAAGTGGGGCTCACTTACCGTTTCGAGTCCATGTGCAAACGCTCACAGATATTTACAGGCTCGCGTACCCTTCTTTCTTACTACCCTCGACCTCTCAACCCAGTCAACACGCGGCAATACTGAGATGATCGCACCACCAGCTTGGAAGTACTGCCTTGTCCTAACAGACTCCATGCAAGACCTCTTAATATCTATGTCTTTTGCTAGAGCTGGATACGCACAGCTTCTATAGCAGTTACACCTGCGTGTAGCTATTCTGCTCACTAAAGCTACGCTCTGACAACTTTCAACATTCCAGGATTCAAGCCATGTCTTTCTTGTGTGAGGACCCATCTGCCCTTAGATTAAACCTCCTCTCAACTTTCAGAGGCTGCGATATCAGGAAACTAGACTTGTCGCGAGCGATCCAGAGAGTGGATATCCACAGAACCCTCAGGACGAACCACTGTCGAGCGCAGAGACTGCAATGGAACGTGCCCGCAGAATTGTCGCACATGAAGGTTACGTTGATGATCGACACGTTGAAGAGGTTACGGGCGGGGCAGGAACTGACATAGGGTCAGCGGGTTGTCGCCTGTTTGCCAACGTACAGTCGGACGTCCTTGGTCAGATATACGGTGTCGGCTCATGGCTACTGAAGCACGTTCGAGGCAAATGGGCTACCATTGAATTTGATGTTAGTTCGCTCTCAGACTACCACTGATCAGAAACTGACAACTGCAGATCATGGTCCACAATTTGGTGATCTACTCCAAGATCTACCAATTCCCCGTACCCGATGAAACGGCCGACAAAATCCTCATCCGTCTCGCAAACGCTCAAGCCTGCCTTGCAGAAGCCGATTAACTAAAGGGACAATTGCGCGAGAACAACTAGACTTCCTCCAGGAAGTAGCTGCCAGCCCGCCTCGTTGCGCGATTGCAAACCTCGATATCATACAGACTGTAGATGCTGCTAGAGCAGCTCTCAAACCGCGATTCACTGACCTCGACACCGCCCACCGCCTCCGAGTATGGGGCTTTGCCGGTACTTAAGCAGACCCAGCAATGGGACAGACCAATTCGTGTTCAATGGCCGGCAATGCAGCGATGAGTACAAGTACCGCCTAATCCTAGCAGCAACCATACAAGACCTCTAGACGTCTGTGTCTTTTGCCAGATCGAGATACGCACAGCCGAGATGGTAGTAACACCTACTTGCGGCTATCCTGCTCACCATAGTTGCGCTCTGAACTACTTCCATCATTTCAGGTTTCAAGCCAGGAGAGTGGCTTTATTGCCCTGATCCGCACTGCTTTGAGAAACTCCGGCCACCACCCGTCGGGGCACGGTACACATCCATCGAGCCTCCAGCGGACGGCGCAACGTGTTGGTGTGACCCGAAGGAGGATTCTCCACCTCTCTATGGCAAGATGATTGAGGTCGCTTGCTCCGGCAGGCACAAGTTCTGTCCTGGCTGCCTGTTCGAATGGGCTCATACACGACTGGGAAATACTATCAGAGACTACGAGGAGACACAGAATCCCGAACACTACCAGAACGTACTCTGCCCACACTGCAGACAGTCTATCGACTCGATGGTCCTTTTGCAGCTAGAGTCGACTCCACACGAATGCCATTGTACGCAGGATAGCAGTGACAACGACGACGACTTAGACGGTATTGAGGCCAGGGCTACTTCAGATCCACACGAGGCCCGGCTTCTGAAGCTCATACAAAAGAATCACAGTTTGAGACCGTCACTCGACGACTTGGTTGCGGTAGCGAAGGACGTGATTGGTGAACAGGCACCTTTGTTTTGTCGAGATCAAGTACGAGTTCCGCTCGGCACAACGACAGGCACAGAGCTACTATGTACGTACCAATCACATCGTGACAACGTTGTAGGCAGTGCTGACAGGTCAGCTTCCGAGATATCGTACAGCCACTGCATTTCAATCTAGTTGCTTGGGCGTCAGCCCGGGCGTCCAATCACAACAACCCATACCAGCGGCTAGCCATGATGCTCAGCCTTGCGCGCGGCGATCGAACTTCAACGCCTCCTACACATGTATAGGTACATGTGTACTTATAGTCCTGCAGTCAGGTTGCACGCCAACCTCTAAACACCATACGACACTACAAGCTCATCGACGCAACAACCCCGCGTCTTATCTCTTTGTTCGAAGACGTCACTCGCAATGGATATCGCAGGTCTCGAGTCTCTCGCCGGCGGCCGCACAGGCGGGCATCCGTACAGCGGTCCAGATGGGGAGGCGCGGTTCGCCAAGATGAAAGCGAATGTCGTGCGAGAGTGGGAGGAGGAGCAGAGTAAGTTCTCACTGGTCTGTAGCGAGTGAGATGGGCTGACGAGGGTAGGGAAGAAGAAAGCGGAAGAGGCGGCGGCGTTGGAAAAGGAGAGGGTTCGGAAAGAGTCTGGGGTTTCTGAGGTGGAAGAGAAGAAGAGCAAGGTAGGGAGGCTAAAGACAAAGCTATTCGGACAGTGAGCGAGTGTGAGGAGTTCGAGGTGCGGCTACCTTTTGTCACTGTCTCTGCATTTCGGTAGGTGTGCAAGGTGGATCTGCTTGCATCCAATCTCCTCCTTTTATTACAGTGTTTTCCTCTCCATACGATCGATATTTTTGGCTGGCCTCAAGCTCAAATTTCCTCAGTACCCGAAAAACGTACTAGATACTTTGTCGATGAGTATCGCGTGGGATTTCGGAGAGTGATCAAACTTTTCATCAATGGTATTGACATTAAGCCATAGAAGACTTCTCGATGATGCCTGCTACACAAAGTGAAAGGTAAGTGATGGTAGTTCGCTGTGCGGCTCCAAATTTGGATAACACAGACACGTGCTTCACTCGCCATCTACGGCGGTGATACCGTTTGTCAAAGCCATCAAGTGAAAACTACGTTCAGCTATATGACCAGGTCTCGCTTTCACCTTGATGCGAACGCTTAGCGTGTTTGCTAGCGTGACTGTCTTGTTTGCCTCAAGGTCCCCACTCGATTACCTTCCCACTCACCTGCCTTTCTCCTCACTTCCACTTCAGAGCGATATCAATCCGCGCCTTGGCGGTCCTCAGGATGGCGAGCTCCCCAACGTTGTTATCCCTTCCACCGGAAATACGCAACCGCATCTATGAGTTCGCACTTACGCCAGATCGGGGAGCACTTTACCACGTTTACAACCAAGCATCCTCTGGGAAGAAGTCGTTCTTTTTTGAGCCCAGCTCTCCAGAGCCCGTCGATTTTTCGCCTGCCTTGGACGCTCAAGCTGAGTTCAACCAGCTGAAGTACGTGAACCGCCAGCTCTACTCCGAAACGGCCGCAGTGGAGTTGGAGTACTGTCGCAACCTGTTCTTCGACTATAAAGTTTCACGCGAACGTGCTCAGGGTGCTCAGGTCGTCAGCTTCCTAAAGTCGGTGTCGCCAACAATACGTGCCCGGCTATGCACGATCTGTATTCGAGATTTTGACGATGCTTCTCCGGTAAATCGTCAGTTCCATGACAGCGCGACGACCATGTCAAATCTCGACTATTTCTGCTGCCAACATCCAAATCTTAGTATTCGCTACGAGATAACCGGGTGGGTGATACGATCGACAGGTATGGGATACTTAGAGGGCTTCCTGGATGGCCTTTATTGGTCCTCTACCTTGCGTAACGAAACCTTCAGCAACACACCTTTCTCGGCCCGAATCGTTGCAATCGCAATGTTTCTGGGCCGCGACATCTCTGGCACCTATACCATTTCGGCTCGTACTCCCAGAGAATGGAAGGTGGAACTCAAGGCCAAAAATCTGCGCTTCTTCCCTGTGGCAATCGGCAGTGATGGAAAGCGATTGTCTACTCTCCCAAAAGTATGGCGTCCTGTGATCCCCTGGGCGCGTCACGAGACCGAGGCCATACACGCCCAGATGGAGCAGTGGTACAATGTTGGGCTTTGAGCGCCCTATCTAGAAAATCCCAGAGTATGGAAGAGGGTCCGAAGATTCATGGAAGCTGACGGAAAGATCTGGAACAGTGTTTGTGATATTTGCGTACAAGGTGGCATGGCTAGGAGTTTTCCTTCGTTCAGAGTGCGAAGCTCATGCGTTTGTCACAGTAATCAAAGTCAATACATACCCAGGAAAATAATGTCCACCCTTCAAGTTTATGTGCGTGATCAAGTCGTGTCTTCTCAAGCGCTGTCTCAGTACTAAAAGATCGCTACAGCGTTAGGCGGGCTTGCTACACCATGGGGTACCTAATCGCTCGTTAGCATATCTCATTTCGAAGTCCATCTCCAGAGTCAGACTCACCTTCAGTGGCACGCTACTAACAAAACATGTCCACCTTCCCAGCTCCTCTGCCTTCTCACACAACCGCTCCAAATCCCACATCTCGCCGATCATAACACCCCACCCACCAAGCAGCCACTGGTGCACAAGACCGCCGCCTTGCATATCACCTTCCCATTCTTCGCCCTTCCAGATGCCGCCGGGCTTGTTGTGGTCGCCTACGAGAGGCGCCATCTCAAAGGACGGCGCATCGCTGTACACGTCAGTACTCCACTCGCACGCAAATAGAACAGAACAGTCATAGCTCAGCAGAAGAAGAAACGTACCCAGCAACAGCTACAAACCCACTCTCCCAGATCCACCGCAGCGTTTCCTTCGTGCTCTCCACGCCCGCAAACGCCGGCGGCTTCTCCGCCAACTCCTTCCTCCCCTCCTCACTCAGCTTGCCATACTGCTCGGTGAACCCCGACCGGACCAGCAGCAGGTCCCCGTCGCGCGGCTGCACACCGGTCTGCTCGAGCATGGCCTTCAGCTCCGTCGCCGTAATCGCATGGCTGGACAACGCATTCGCCTGCTCCTTCCCCGCCTTCTGCAAGAACCGCGGGTAATCCAGAATCACCGCGCGCGCCGTGATGCCGCCGGAGTGCGCAATACGGTCGATCCCGATGATCCCCGTGGACTCGATGTCGGCCTGCGTGCGCCCCCCGTAGTAGCGGGCGGCCTGCTGGTATCCGTAGTGGCGGAAGCCGTCCCACTGGGAGGACGACTGGGTGTTGATGTCGAGGTGGTCGTCGTTGACAGTGCGGCGGGTGCCGTCCGGGTGCTTGCGGTTTTCCATGCGCCAGCCGAAGGGCGGGCGGTTGAAGGACGGGTGCGACGGCAGGTTGAGGGACCAGTCGAGGGAGATGCGCTCGCCGGTCTGGATTTCGAGGGCGGCGGCGCGCACGGTCGAGGGCGTTATCATGTTGAGCGCGCCCAGCTCGTCGTCGAAGCCGTACAGGCCCCATGCGTTGCCTGGAGGCCCTTCCTTGTCCAGAGGGAGGTCTTCGAAGGGGGGTCTGGTTCGTTGCTCCATGATTTCGGGTCGAAGATGTGAATCTGGCAATTCCGGTGTTCAATCAAGGCTAAAGCTGGCAACAGAGTCCTTCCAAAAGTCGGTAAGGAAACGAGTTGACGTCTTCGTAAGACGGGCTTTTGTATACGTATCGAGTTGCAGATCGTAAGGCTAGCCACTGGCGTCCATGAGGTTGGTGGGGTAGCGGGGTAATAACATGCATTATCCGGCAAGAGCTGGTATCATCGGTTGGTGATGTGCCGAATCGAGTGAGTAGCATAATGTTCCATGGTCATGATCATTATGTGATTAGCGCTTTATATACAAGTAGGTCATCTCGGCGTTTGCAACATCACCAACGTTTCCTAGAAGTCAGGACCCATGCCAACCCCTCTTGAGCTCGTGTTTTTCAAATGCGCACCGCTTCCCTTAAATAGACTCTGCCAAATGAAAGCCTCACTCAAAAGCAGTTCAATGTCCTTCTCGGTCCATTGCTTCGTCGGCAGTGATTGCAAGAACATCATGACTTCCTGAAAGTCCATCTTACGTAGCTGGTCAGACCACTTGACGAGGAATGCTGCGCACACATAAAGATGAAAGGATGAGAAACCGTCTTCTTCAGCCTATAACATGTCAGTACCGCAGTGCAAGGGTGGGCGGTAGCTCACTCACCAGATACGTGTCCCACATCCTGATAGTATTCTTGACAGAAATCTCGCGCATTAACAGACAGTTCATCCACCGAAAACTGAACTGTATGAATTCGACGCCTTCATTCTGCAGATGTTTTGCCAGACCATCGTCAATACGCGTGGTGAGATCTCGTAAGCTCGCTACTTGTCGCTGGATTCCTGGCTGATGGGCGATGTAATTGTCTTGTATTCCGTCGAGAAGCTTTGTCAAGCACCAAAAGGAGTCAGCTTCGACCGCATCAAGGACTTGTTTGGGCAGCTGCCCAGGGTCCATTCCAAATTCGATATCAGGATCTGAGATATAAGCACCAAGAAAAACTTGCCAGAACGGCGTGACAAGATCGTTGATACCCTGCACGTAGCCGGAAGCGGGATGCCGTATCGCCCAGACGTAGAGAATCCTTTCCAATGATCTTTGCGTCGCCTCATAGCTGTAGAGCTCGAGATGAGGGTTCGTACGCGGTACATCGATGCTGATCTGATGCCAGATAGCTTCGTCCAGGCCCCGTCCACGCCCTCGAATGGTCGATGGATAGGAAGAGGCGCCTGCCATGCCAGCCGCAACGGCGCCAGAGCTACCGGACGTACCCTTCTCGAAGGCTTGACGAACGCCTTCGAGGTATTCTTTCCTTTTGCGCTCTAATGTCGCTACTCTTCGTTCGCTACTTGTAGGCAGGTAGCCTAACAAAACCTGCCACGTCATTGCCCGCACCTCTGAGGGCACCCCTGACCACGCTGAGTCGCGCAAATCTGACAGTGATATTGTGCTTGCCTGCAATATCCTCTTGAATTTGTTTATTCGGGTGATTCGAGCCGAGTGTTCTTCGATTTGCTTCGCGGTCGCATTGGGGGCCACGGACGGATGCTCGATAAGATGCATGGAGTTCGCTGGGTCGCGCAGTATCTCCTGATACTGCGGTCTGAGTATTTTGCCTTCGATCTTCTTGGCTGTGGGGTAGCTAGGGATGCCTCGCTCTTCAGCAATGTCACCGCTGTCTATGCTTCGCCATGCCGTTGAACCTGCAGACCCAAGCCCGTTTCTGGTGTGGGCGTAGGTCCCTCCTAGGTCTTTATCCCTCGATGGGTCTTTCCGCCGCCCCTTTCTTCGCGCATTGGCTATGCTGGGGAGACCAAACTCGTCTTCATCGTCCTCGAACATGATGTCGCCATCGTCTTCGCTGGCGCCCCAATCATTGTTGGACTGCCGCAGAAAGCTACTGTATGTCTCGCGATTAGGTCGTGGCGAGATGTTGCTACTTGTTCGGTGCGGCGCAGCGCTAGACTCGCGACTATGGCCAGCTGATGGTGGCGTGCGAGGGCGAGAACTGGTGCTGGAGACGTTTCTGTCCAGGTCAGCTGACATTCGGCGCACTGTCCACGGACTGCATACAGAGCATTGAAGTTGAGTATGTCGGCATGCGAGTAGGATGCGCCGATAACCTTCTTGCTTTGTGTCGATGCGCTCGACGTGTTGGAGGTGGTGCGCCAGAAGGGAGAGTTTGAACTGCGCGCATCACGTCAGCGATTTCGACAGTGCGCGATGAAGCATGCTTAACTCACGCAGAGCGGTCTGTTGGCAGCAAAACGACATGTTAGCTACCCTCGATGCTATGACGCCTGCGGCCAAGTGGAAGTGCACGAACCGACCTGGACCATTTCCTACCATAAAACGTGTCAGCATCGGTACCAGAAACACTAAATGCGACTGCTGTCCATGCATACCTGTTGTTGCTTCTTCATCCTGGCTGCACTGGCTGCACTGGCTGCAGTGTGCGCATATGTCTCGTATGGGGCATCCCCGCCTGGTCTGCGCGTGAGGTCCAACTCCGAGCTAGAGAGGCACGTCCCCGACTCTCTTGCCCATTGTCGGAAGGGCGCTAGTGCTAGCGTGACTTCACGCTTTGCGATCTGACTACTCGGCCTCGAGCGACAGCTCTGCGGCCATCATCTGCTCTCACCGCGCCTTCAATTTCCTTTCGCCCATCTCCGCACTGACCGGCGCCAGTAAAGGGTGCCTGCGACGCGACTTCTTCCCATCTTTCCATTGCACCAACTCACGCCTCACCAGCACCATGGCTGATTACCAGGAGGAAGACCTTTTCGACGATCTGTAGGTCTCGTTCTACGCGAATATTTGCCAGTCTCGCCTCGATGGCCTACTAACCTTGGTTCAGCTACGACGACGAGCCTGCGTCCAAGGCAGCTCCCGCAGCAGCACCACCGCTGAAGGCCGAACCAGAAGTACAGCTCGAGCAGCAGGGCGCCCCGCCGCAAGAAACATCACAGGATGCTGCGTTTGCGCCCCAAGAGCCTGCCGCTGGTGGCGAGGACACGAACATGGGCGGAGCTGCGTACAACAACGGAGGTAACCAGTCGTACGACAACGCCCAGCACAACGACGACGACTACGGTCCTATCAATGTGAAGGAGGATGGGTAAGTCTCGCATCTGATTTTATGTTCACAATCAGGCGCATCATAAGGTATAAGGGGCTCCTCAAAAGGCCTACGAACATCACATCCAGTGATCTCCAGGTCTAACAAGCTGGAGCATGTGTCTTGAGACCGATGGTCCTAGGCTGTAAGAGGCTCGGTAGAACTCTGCATGGAATTCGCGAGAGTCATGCAAGCTGTGTTGCGGACATGTCGGGCACAAGCCGCGTCTTCACCAAGATTGCTTGAAGTTTGGCATCGCGGTGGAAGAGGCACGGACTTGCACGCCAGAAGCTTGCGATTCAAGCGTCCTTGAGGAGGCTGGCAACAACGCCGCAGTCATGAGTTTTGGGAATGAGCTGGAATGTGGATAGTCGACGGCTATGCTATACTCAGACCCCCCATCAGTACGCCTTACGCGAGGACTATCGCAGCTTGCCGGAAAGTTTTGGCAGCGCCTCTTTTCGATAAATACCTAGGTACTTGATAGCGCGTACCAACCACGCAAGCTGAGGATAGTCCGTCGAGCTGCGCGATGTTCTGTTCCAGACATCACCAGTCGACTCCGTAGCAGAACACAGACGCTTCATCCGAACACACTGTGCCTATTACAGGACAGACTGCCTCTACTTGCTGCACGCGTGGTGGAGAATCAGTATTTGGAATGCACTCCGTCATGGTCTGATTGGGCATACGCCACGAATTCGACATGCTGGACATGGTGCGGCGCGGACACCACCCTCGCTTAACGACCCTCGCATCTGCAGTATTCCGCGATTGGTCTTTGACCAACCTGCCCTGCCGGTGTTGTGTGCGAGAAGGACCAAGTGTTACCGCATCAAAGACCGAGGCGTCAGGCCGCAACGTCATGACGACTACAATCGACACCGTTCAATCTGGAACACTAGCGGCGAATAATTCAACCGCCTGTCATCGACACATGTATGCACCCTTGCACAACTGGATCAGCACCATCAGGAGGGACTCTGCTCGCTGAACGTCAATATGGCCGCTGTGCAAACCACATGAGAGTCTTGCGTAAACCACATAGGAGGCATGCGTCGTTCCTGGTCTCTGATTGCAAGGCTCACTTGGCCTTGCTGCGAACCGAACTCAGCTTGATGCGACAACTATAGTTCCAATAATGAGGCAACTGGGTTCAACGACGACGTGCACTGGCAACACCGGTGTCTGCTTAACCCTCGCAAGGAGCCTAAGAGCCTATGATGCGCCCGATGTCCTGTTGACGAACATTTTCTAACTGAGGTTGATGTACAAGACATCATGCTGACAAGGTGGCAGTAAAATGTTCATTGGAGGTTTAAACTGGGAAACAACAGAGGGTACGCAATCTTTCGTTCTCTCAAAGCGCATCATGCTTTACTCCCACAGCACTCCCGAAGAAGTGCACTGACGCCACATAGACTCTCTCAAGAACTACTTTACCCAGTTTGGTGAGGTCAGCGAATGTACTGTCATGCGTGACTCCGCGACCGGCCGCTCGCGAGGCTTTGGCTTCCTGACTTTCAGAGATCCTAAATGCGTCAACACCGTCATGGTCAAGGAGCACTATCTCGACGGCAAGATTGTACGTACGCTCACATCAACAGGGGCAACGAATTAACGGTATAACAGATTGATCCTAAGCGGGCTATTCCCAGAGAAGAACAGGAGCGAACCAGCAAGATCTTTGTTGGCGGTGTCAGCCAGGAAGCAACTGAAGAGGACTTCACAAATTTCTTCAAGCAATTCGGTCGCGTTGTTGACGCCACCCTCATGATGGACAAGGAGACAGGCAGGCCTCGTGGTTTCGGCTTTGTCACCTTCGACGGCGACGCAGCAGTAGACGCAACCCTAAAGCAGCCCCTTCAGATTCTCGGCAAGCCGATTGAAGTCAAGCGCGCCCAACCTCGAGGCAACATGAGGGATGGTGAGGACGACAAAAAGTTTGGTCGCAACAATAAGTTCGGCAATCGTGATGGAGGTAATAATGGAGGCTATGATAACCAGAACAACCAGCAACAACAAGGCGGCAATGCCGGCATGACGCCTGCTATGATGGCTCAATACTGGCAGCGAATGCAGCAGTACTTCCAGCAGATGCAGCAACAGCTCGCTGGTGGCGGTGGCGGTGGCATGCCGGGTGCTATGGGCGGCATGGGTGGAATGAACCCAATGCAAATGCAGCAGATGCAACAGATGCAGGGTATGATGGGCGGCGGCATGAATCGCGGCAACGGCAGCCCGAACCCACAGAACATGGGCGGCGGCATGAACCCGATGCAAATGCAACAAATGCAGCAGATGCAGCAAATGCAGGCACAGCAGCAGATGATGCCACAAGGCGGCGGCGGCTTCAACGGCGGCAATGAACAAGGTATGGACGGCGGATCTCGACCAGCGTACACAGCTCAAGAACAACTAGCCTTCGAACAACAAAAATACGAGCAACAACAGGCCCGACGCCAGCAGCAGTCAGGTGGATATGGAGGCCAGGGAGGACCCACGAGTTGGGAAGGCATGTACGACGATGCCCCTCAGCCCTCCATCCCATCTGGCCCTGCTGGCGGCCGCGGAGGCTTCAAGCACCAAAACAACAACCGCCAGCGTCAAGGCTCCTCACAGCCCCCGACCGGTCCCAGCGCTGCACCTATAAATGCGCCCACGGGCCCTAAGAATGCCGGAAAACCTGGTGCGAATTACAGGGGCGGTGGTAGAAGCAACAACTTCCGACACCAGCCCTATGGCGGTGGTCGCGGATAGAGCCCGCAAGTCAGTCCTCAAAGATGCTCCCTTTCCTTTGATGACGATGTGAGTCCTTCTGCACGTCGTATGCAATTCCTTCACTGGATGCTTGAATATCAGCGGCGACACCAGTATCTTGACCGAGAACGCTATCGGTATCTGTCTTGTTTTCGATACGGGTGGGCTTAGGAGCGCCTTCGATGCATGCGCAAGTACATGCATTCTCCAGCAAGAGACATCGACTCGACCTCCTCCCTGTCTTGATGACTATCATTCAAGTTTGAGGACCCTCCTGTTCGCACCCAGCTCTACTTCCTTCTGCGACCTGTCTTTATTACCATGTTCTTCGGCGTTGGCTTCAGGGATACCTGTAGGGTTCACTCAAAAAGATTAATTCAAACGCCACATATACAAATCATGGTGGCTCGACAGGGTGGGAATTGTGCTTTGTTTGTGTAGGATATTGGTAATCACAATGCGAAATGGTCATTTTACGTCACTCCAAGCCGTGCATGGTGCTGTGCCATTTTGCGCTCTCGGCTGCTGAGCACAATGGCACAGACTGATTTCAAGTTACTCTGTTCAGTCCAACACGTAGTGTACCAGGAGTGTCGCGACGACACTCATTCCCAAGATCGCGTTCGATGGGCAGGATGATAGAACGTCTACCTGACATACGCACCTGCCATCCTGTGGGACGCTAGGGGCAACTATGCCCCTTCGTAGCCCTATCTTCATGTGAGTATCCATGCTGGAAAATGTGAGCTACATCGTGCAACAGAGCACTATGACGGCCAACTTCTTCGAAGCAAAGATGAAGACATATGCGCCTCGACTATGCAGGTTTCACTTCAAACTCCGATGCGATGGCGTTCCGTGCTGCTTAAGGCGTCAGTGAAAGCAAAACGCTGGCGGACTCCGTCCTTCTGCGGTAAAGTCCGTCCACCACCCTCGAATAATCCCCACCTTCACTGCCTTCCAATTTTTCGTAACATAAAAACACTCGAATACCGTCTTGGTTCTTCCGATCGGGTTTACCAGTGACGCCTCTTGCTCACTCACACAGACTCATCATGGTCAAACTTACTCTACTCACCATAGTCCTCGCTGTGGTTTCAACCTGCCTAGCCAAGCTCCCTACCCACAAAATTCGCGGTGTGAACCTCGGATCCCTCTTCATCATCGAACCGTGGATGTCCAGCAACACTTGGAAGTCTATGGGCTGCGGCGATACCAAATCAGAATGGGACTGCGTTGCATCTCTTGGGCAAGAGAAAGCAGATGCCGCGTTTCAGAAGCACTGGAACACCTTCATTACCGCCAGTGACTTCGAAAAGATGAAGGCCTACGGGCTCAACACCGTCCGCATCCCCATCGGCCACTGGTTCGTCGAAGAGACCATCGATCCCGGCGAGAACTGGCCCCGCGGCGGTATGAAATATCTCGACGCCGTCGCCGCCCTCGCAGCTTCGCACAACATCAGCGTGATCTTGGATCTCCACGGCGCCCCAGGCGCGCAGGTCCCAAACAACGCCTTCACCGGCCGCGTAAGCCACACCAATTCACATTGAACACCCACACTGACACCCCAAAGACAACCGAACCCGCTGCTTTCTACTCCCCCCATAACTACGCCCGCGCATACACCTTCCTCCGCAACATAACAACCCGCATCCACACCCTCCCCGCCTACAAAACCACAATCATGCTCGAACTCCTCAACGAGCCTGCCCCCGCCCACCCCAGCCTGGCAACCACCTTCTACCCCACCGCGTACGCCGTAATCCGCGCCGCGGAAGCCTCCCTCGGCGTCCCGAGCCACCGCGCCCTGGCGCTGCAGATGATGGACTCGACCTGGGGCGCCGGCAACCCGCGACAGGCGATGCCGCACGACGCATTCGGCCTCGCGTTCGACAACCACCGCTACCTGACCTACTCCCCGACCCCGGCGGAGAAGGACGCGTACCTGCGCGCCTCGTGTGGTGACTCGTTTGCGTCGCAGGGCGAGACGCCGCTCGTGATCGGGGAGTGGAGTCTCGCTATCAAGCAGGAGAAGGAGTGGAGCGATGAGTTCTCGCCGCTCAGAAAGGAGAATCAGGAGTGGTATCGGCAGTGGTGGGGAGCGCAGGTGCAGGCGTATGAGAGGCAGAAGGGATGGGTGTTTTGGAGCTGGAAGACGGAGCTGGGTGGTGATTGGCGGTGGAGTTATTCGGCGGCGGTGGAGGCGGGTATCATTCCTAAGGATCTTGGGAAGGCGAAGGACCTTGCAAAGTGCTGAGTGAGATCAGAACAACGAAGTGCTTAGTGAGATTAGAACAAGAGATATTAGAGAAGACAGATTAAGAAAGGCGATAAAGTTGAAAGTCATGTACATCGTTCTTGTGCATTATCCATGGAGCTGTGGCTCGTTTTACGTATTTACACATCATCATCGTCAACCATTAATCCACTGAAGGAGCTATCTATCTAAGGTTTGTACGAAATCCCACCTTTCAAGTGCGGGTATTGCGTGAACTAAACACAGACCTTGATCTTGAACCTCAAATACCCAGACGCCAACGCTATAATGCCAAAAGCTAAACCAAGAAGGGACCAGGCCATGAAAAACTTAATGGCCTCCTAACACCAGAAGCTTCCTGCTGCGGTCATGACGATGAGGGTGAAATAATACAGTGGACTGGTCATGACGTTGTCCACAAGTCCCGAAGCACTGTTGGCCTTCGGAACAGGAGGGGCGGACTCAGCAGCGTTGTTCTCCAGCGCTCGGCCGGTACTGGCCATAGCAGTAGTGGGCTGTGCAGCAGCCGCAGAGGCAGGAAGCTGGGTGACAGGAGCTTGCGTGGTGCCGGCGTAAGAGGTGTAAACGGTGGTGAAGCCGCGGTCGTCGTAGCCAGTCCAGACCACAGGCTTAGAATCGCCAGATGAAGCCGACTGCGAAGCTGCAGGCGATGCCGTAGAAGAAGCGAGAGGGGATTGCTGTAGATCGCTGTTAGTAAATGTTAAGGCCATTGTAGGATGCACACTGAGCTTACTGACAGGAGCTGAGCTGGGTGGAATGACTTTGCCTGAATCAGAGACAGTCCACCCGCTCGGAAGCCCGGGGTAGTTGCCAAAAGTAGGCTCAGGAGTCGGCGAGTTTGTACCGGGGACCCAGGGGTACACACTCGGTCGCTCGTAGTCCGACGAGGTCCTGGAAGGAGTAAATGGCAGAGGAGCGCCACTCGCAGTAGCGGTGATCTGAGGCGAGTCGCTGTTGATAGGCTTGTCACCCCCTGAGTAGATCACACCGCCGTTGGACTTGATCGACCTCCATGTTCCGGTGGTATCGCCATAGCTGTACTGGGACCCGGTAGAGTAGTCCTGAACCCTGAGAGACTTCACTGTCATGGTAAAGGGACCCTTTGAGTAGTCAGTGGGACCTCTGGCCCACTCAATTGTACCAGCAGCGTTGCTTGCGTCACCACCGGCCCAGGAACCGAACTTGATCTGCATGGGTGTCTGGGGATACTGGTTCTCAGCATTGGCAGGCTCGAGAGTGCGAACAGTCTGGCCATCGATCTGCCAGACGATCTGCTCCGGCGTCCATTCGATGCTGTACGTCTTGAAACCAGACTGGCTACCAGCGTCTGCGTGGAACGCACCACGGTTGTACGAGGTCGTTTGGCCCTTGCCAAAGAAGTTGGTCTGAACCTCATCCGGATCCGCACCGAGCCACTCCCAATCAATCTCGTCGAGGGTGTCAGACTGCATGACAAAGCTGCTGACTATGCCAGCACCGGGTGCCGCCTTCAAAACCACGTCGACTTTACCGAACATGATGTACCACTTCGATGTGAGTTGGGGAGCATCACCAGACTTGGAGATAGTGAACGAGACGCCATCTTTGCCGTATGTGGGGTTCGACTGGGGTGTGAAGCTGTCAGACTCCGAGGTCAGATCGATGTTGACGGTGCGAGCCAGTGCGGAGTCGGGCGGGCAGTCTGTTCGCACTGTAGGGTTACAGTTTGTGTATGTTTGCGCGACCGAAGGAGCAACGAGGCACGCTGCGGATGCGAGAGCCGCAAGAGCTCTTATAGTGGAGCGCATGATGGATGTGTGGAGCGAGAGATCAACGAGCGATACTAACGAAGGTCGTCGCGTTCTGGGTGTAGCACAGATGTATCGAGCAAACAATAAAGTTGTCGAAATAGCGAGTGTGTGCTGCGAACTGTGTGAGTAAAAGTATAGTGTAAGGTTTGTATTGACGCTGTTCAGCGGTTGAGAGGTGGAGAGTGAATGGTGTAATGCTTGTGACAGGCCCTGCAGCCCGGCAGATATATGCTGACAAGATTGCTGCCAGCCATCTGCAAGTGTCACCTACGTGTTAGTCGATAATCAAGGCCCTAAAGCGCGTCAACCGGTCTGGCGCATGGATGTTACAAAATGACGAGGCTGGCGCAGTCACCGCGGATACGGTCACGGTGGCTGGGAAACCAACCTCTTCAATCGCTCCTACCAACTTCTGGTAGGAGCTGGCCAGGAACACGCAAACGAACAGCAGGAGCAGAGTATGACGCCATTGCGATTTGGATAGCACGTATGCCCGTCAGCGCTGTAGGTAGTCCATTTAATATGATTTAATATGTGTAAAGTATTGAAAGTTGGGCGTGGTGGTGGGGGCACGGTGGCGCCATAGCTGAAGAGTGCCAGCCACACCCGGACCCCTCAACACCATAAAGTCCATCCAGACCGCGACGAGGCTAAAATTGGACACTGCCGCACCTGCATACGATTTGCATACGATTTGCCTCTAGATCGTCAATAGCGTCATCTGTCGATGAGACCCTGCATACATCGTCTTTGAAGGATTCTACCTCCCTTATTCAGCAGTTCTGAGTCACGAGGGCGCTACAATTTGTCGTCCGGTTACGAGGTCTCAACGCCAGGAACATCGAGGTAACATCACGCGGCCATGTCTCTCACAAACGCAACACCGCTAGACATTGCTCAGTCGGCTAGGGAAGGGTCAAGAGCACTTGCCGTCTTGAAGACCGAGGAGCGCAATGCCGCATTGACTGCAATCCACAAGGCGCTAGCAGATGGCAAGGAGGAGGTGCTAGCAGCCAATGCTGCGGATCTCGAGGCCGCAAACAAGGCCGCGGCTGGCGGAACGCTTAGCGCTAGTTTGGTGAAGAGGTTGGATCTGGGGAAACCGGGGAAGTATGAGGATATGCTGCAGGGCATTCTCGATGTGGTAGAGCTGGAAGATCCCAGTATGTGCCATCCAATCCTGCACCGTCCTGTGTTATATCTTCAAGTTATGAACTGACACAATGCAGTCAACAAGACTACAGCAAAGACTTTGCTCGATGATAACCTCACTCTCTCCCGGATCACATGCCCGATTGGAGTCCTCCTGATCATCTTTGAGGCTCGCCCCGAGGTCATCGCCAACATCTCCGCGCTGGCCATCAAGTCTGGAAACGCAGCGATTCTGAAGGGTGGACGTGAATCCAGCAACAGCTTTGCAGCCATTGCATCCATCATCTCCAAGGCCCTCGCAACCACAGCCGTTCCTTCCAGCTGCCTGCAGCTCGTCCAGACTCACGATGTCATTGCTGATCTCCTCAAATTGGACACCTATATCGACCTTTGCATCCCTCGCGGCGGCAACAAGCTTGTTCGCTATGTAAAGGACTCAACATCCATCCCGGTTCTAGGTCACGCAGACGGCATATGCTCGATCTACCTGACAAACGACTATCCCGCCGACAAGGCCGTCAAGATCATCGTTGATGCTAAATGCTCATACCCAGCTGGCTGCAACGCGACCGAGCAGCTTATCGTCGAGGAGTCTGCCCTCAGCACCACCCTCCCAGTCGTCGCCGACGCTCTCCTCAAGAAAGGCGTATCGCTCCGCTGCGACCCCACCTCCCTCGCCGCGCTCCAGAGCAAGCTCGACTCCCACTCCTCCGCTCTCCTGCAGTCTGCCGGCCCCGAAGACTTTGATACCGAGTTCCTCGACTACACCATCGCCATCAAAGCAGTCCCCTCCGTCGCCGAAGCCATCTCGCACATCAACGCCCACGGCTCACATCACACAGACGCGATTCTCACCAACGACGACTTCATCGCACGCTCGTTCCTCGCTGCCGTCGACTCCTCGTCCGTGTACTGGAACACCTCAACCCGCATGGCCGACGGCCAGCGCTACGGCTTCGGCACCGAAGTCGGCATCTCGACGAACAAGATCCACTCGCGCGGCCCCGTAGGCCTGGAGGGACTGTGCATCTACAAGTGGGTGCTTGTGGGCGACGCGCAGGTCAGCACCGAGTACGGCGCGGGCGGCAAGCAGTGGAAGCACCAGAAGCTCGCGGCGGGCGACGAGGAGAGCGTAGCCCAGAACGACGAGGAGCGGGAGCTGCTGAGGAAGTTCCGCGCCAGCAAGGCGTAGTAGCAGAGCGTTGGAGAAGCGGGGCCGAGCCACTATACTGTACTGTACTGTACTGCACGTGTTGCTGTAGACTACCTCCACCCTCCGCAAACAAAACGTTTACATGCTACACACCCACCACCCGTGCTCTTCTCCAGTCTACACTCACCCCCCAAACACGTGTCCAGGTACTATACCCCTCCCACCACCACCGCAATCTCCCCTCCCCATCACACCACCTTCAATCCCCACCTCATCTCATCTCACCCCCCTCCCCAGCCGACCAGCTCCACTTCCACTCCCACCCTCCACCCCACCCCAGCACCGCAATCTCCCACCGCACACCCCTCCCCGATCTCCCGCCGCAAAACCGCCCGCCGCGATCGCCGTCCGCTCATCTCGGCGGGCCCGCTGGAGGTACGCGTCTGCGGGTTTCACGTGGGGGCTAGGTAGGGCTTGGGCGAGGGTGTGGGATGTGCATACACAGTGCATGGGTTAGTGGATTGCTTACCATGAAGGGAAGAGTGTTTGGTCAAGAGTGTTTGTGTTTGGATCAGAGGGGTTTGAAATATATTCAGAGATGCATGATCAAGGGTACTGGGCCACGAGTGTCTAATCAAGGGTGTTTGAACAGCGTGTTTTGGGTTCTGGATTGAGGCTGTTTGGGGTCTTGGATCAAGGCTGGCGGACTGGGATGCTTGATCGGGGCTGTTTGGTCAAGGCTGTTGGGTCAGGGCTGTATGGTCAGGGCCGTTTGGTCGGGCCCGTTTGGCGCAAGGGGCTCGTGCGACTGCACAGGGCCCGGATCGACGGTGTGGGTGACGTCGCAAAGCTTGAAATTACCGGGACGCGGAAACTGTGGGGCGTGGTGTTTGGGTGGGGCGGGTGTAGATTGGGACCGGTGTGAGATGTTGGTTGGCGGCGACGTAGGGCCAGATGACAGGTGTGCAAAGACGTGGCTTGGATGGCGTGTTGGGGTGAGGGTGTGGAGGTGATACAATGTCTATTGCGATGCTTTGAGAGCGTGCCTGCTGTAGCACATGGCTCAGCAGACACTCAATGCCGCACATGCTTGCTATCTACCCAAGGACACTCGCATACGATGCGAACGCCTGCCTGTTCCAAAACCCCAGATGCTGCTATGTGGTATCCCGTAATGTCCCAAAATCATGTGCGCTCGTCAAAATCTAAGCCTGCAGGCCGTCTAGTCCTGCTTGTTCAAAGAGTTGTCGCCGACCTTCTTGAAGATCTGGGCACCGTCCTGGAGGCGGCGCTCCTCGTTCTTGCGGCCGTTGACAAAGTCGGGGTAGTTGAGTGTCAGCTCAACAGCACCGTTGACAATGGCGTCAACGGCCTCCACACCCAACATGAACGAGTGGTCCTGGTTACCGACCTCGTAACGCCACGAACCGAAGCGACCACGCGAGTAGATGCCCTTGTCCTGAAGCGCGGGGAGCAGCTTCGTCAGGACACCCTCACGCTCCAGCGACGGGGTGGGGTAACCGTGGTCGAAGCGGCGGTGGTAGGTGGAAACGATCTCGTCCTCGGGCTTGATCATCTCAGTGTTGATGAGGCCCTGGATGCAGTCCTTGAGCATGTTCTCCTGATCAACAGGCTTCATGCTGGACTCGGAAACCTCCAACATGATTGACCAGTATGGGCCCTCCTGGGGCTCGGTGGACTTGGGCTTGGAGCCGTCGGCAAGCTGCTGTGTAGCCAGCTTGACGTCCTTCTGAGGCTGGTTGTAGGGCGAGTAGTTAGAGAAGATGGTGGCGCGGTAGAAGGGGCAGTCATCCTCGGGGAAGTACAACCAGCACTTGTCGCCAATGCGCTCGGGTCGCTCACCGCGAAGACCGACGCCAATGACGTGGGTGCTGGAGTAGAACAAGCCCTTGCTGAGAGCCTGGAGCTCCTTGTCGCCCATGGTGTCGACGAGCGCGTCAACAGCCATGGTGTTGATGAGCTTGTTGTACTTGACAACACGGCCATCCTTGAGTGTGACGCGCTTGTCATCGGCCTCGACCTTTGTGACTGTGCTGTTCTCGCCGTAGCTGGTCTTCTCCTTGGGGAGTGTGTTTGCGACGGCGATCCAGATGCCACCGGTTCCGTCCCTGGCGGGGAACTTGAAGGTGGCGTTGGGGCCCCAGTTTCCTGCGGTCTTGTTGTGGATGATGTTGTTGATGACACCCTTAACGTTGGGCGCGGCCACACGCTCACCGAGCCATTGGCACTGCATCTTGGTGGTGGGCACGGCCCAGACCTTGTAGTTGTAGGGCCTCATGAAGAGGTCGGCAATGCCGACACCCATCTGTCGCAGAATCCACTCGTCGAAGTCCTTGGGCTTTGTGATGGCCACGCGGGCCTCGAGGGCGGCGTCAATCAGACCATCGACACACTTGGCCTGGTCGTCCTTGTTCAACATGGACAGGTTGTTCTGGAAGGGGTACGGGACCCACTGCTCCTTGCAGCGAACGTAGGAGATACGCTGGTGGGTGAACCAGTCGTCCTCGCGGGGGAGGGCCTCGTCGATAACATCGTCGAAGTACTTGTAGTGGGAGAAGATGACATGGCCACCGACGTCGTAGAGCTGCCGCAGCGTTAGAACCATACACCCAGAAGCCAATTGAGAGGGGGTGCACTCACGAAGCCCTCGGGCGTGGTGTCAGTAGAGGCCAGACCTCCGGGGGTCTCGTTGGAGTCGACAATCAGCCATGAGGGACCGTCCTGGTGCTGTTAGCATTGCCCCGCCACAGCGTGGTTCGTGGACGTACAATCTGGTGGAGGCGCTTTGCGGCTCCCAGGCCGGTAGGACCAGCACCGATGACGAGCACGTCGACGTTGCTGGGCGCTGTCAGTTCAACTCGCGGTGGCGGGACGGCATGCGGGGCGGTGAGCGTACATTTCCTCCTTGGTGGAACCCATCTTGCCTTGCAGAATTTCCTGGAAACTAGGGACTCTTTTCAGTGTTTGGCGGGCGTAGTTCAACATTCACTCGGCACTCGAGCAGGACTTGAGGCAGTTAACAGACGGCAGGTGGAGCAGTGCCAGCGTCTGGGCGGCGTGTGAAATATAGCTCTCGAGCACACAAGCGCGCCAAGCACGTCGATTGGAGGTTGAGAGCCACTGGTGGGGCGGGCCCAGTGCAGGGGGGCCAGCCGACCTGGCGCGGGCAAGTCAAGCACTGAGTGACTGAGCACGCACTGAACATCTGCATCTGCACCCGCCAGAAAAGGGGCATTGCACACCGGTCGTCTCCTCCAGACAGGCCTGCGTGGGCGCACTGATTGGCTGCCGACACTCGCTGCTGGGGCTGTCTCGAGTGTCTTGAGCGCTGTCCAGCGCGTTGAGGGCGTTGTGGCCGCTGTGTCGCCGCCCCGTGCAGGTTCCCTTGGGCGCGGGCCAGATGAAGCAACGGTGAAGCTTTGCGTCTCAGGCACAGTGCAGCACGCAGTAGCAGGACGCGCATCGTGTTCGTGCTGGTCGTGCAACCCTGCGTCTGCGGCGGCGACCTGCACACGACATGCATGGCCCCTATTGCGGCGCGGGAGGCTCTGCGGTAGCTGTTGCAAGACGCAGACACGACGTGGCCCCTGCAATCAGCGAGACTGTCTACCGAATCTATGCGAGGGAGCACCTGTTGCAGCGTTGCCAGGCTTGACCCGCTCTGGCAACGGCTCCCTCTCGAAATCTCACGCAAATGCAGATAGACGGGTGCTATTTCGGGGCCGGGGCATTTCGCCGCATGACGCTGCGATCGAAGCAGACCTGCACTGCAGACCCGCCGCGACGCGTACTCGTCGACGGTGGTGGTGCTGGGCACAGGGCCCTACGCGAGCCAGCCATGAGTCGCCCGCGGGTGCACCGAAGCAAAGCACAGCCAGATTGGCCGTCCGCTTGCGGGAACTGCTTGCGCGTACACGACGAGCAGTCCGCAGATCTGTTTCACGTCGCCTCTGGCGCGCTCGCAGCCGTGCGGCGGCCGTCCATCGTCATCTGCTCAGCGCGCTGCCCTGGCTGCACCGCGCTTCTCGAAGCAGACTTTGCTGGGCAACGGCGCATCCCTACTCTAACTGAGTCTAACGTACCCGACGCCCCTGTGCGGCGCCCAGGGCCATGCTGATTTCCGCTCCGCTCCCTCCCCTAGCGTGCCTGGCCCGGTGCTTTCACACGTCCCAACAGTCGGCCACTGGCCACTGGGGCGTTGCATTCGCTGCATGCGCTGCTTAGTGATCCCGTGTGGTGTCTGCGCGTTTATATCCAGCCTCCTCCCGTGCGCGGCGACGCATACACAAGCAGACACAACTCTTCAGTGTAGCCTGTGTAACGCCTTGTGCATCGTGCCTCCTCTTTGCGGCGAGACCCTTCCACGCTCCCACAGCAGATCGCCCCGATTGCTCGCCGGCCTTGACGTTCGCAGCGCAGTGACCACCTTCTTTTGACCTCGATTTACGACTGCGCTCGACGACACCTCTCCTCAGCCCTCACTCCTTCAACACCACCGCCCATCATGTCTCAAGACGAGAAGGTCCGCTCCTCGGTCGACGCAGCCCGCGACACCGCCCTGCCTGTGCTGCCCACCATCAACCCCGATGCTCCCACGCCCAAGCCAAACGCGCCCGCCTCCTTTCACCCGGCCGTCTATGTTGCGTATGTCGCCACACGCTGCTCCTGAGAGCACTCGCTGACGCCGCGCAGAGTCTGGATCACCCTCAGTTCGAGCACAATCGTTTTCAACAAGTACATTCTGGACACGGCAAAGTTCCGTACGTTGCAGCGCCGCGCCGTGGGAGCAACTGCTGACTCTGCCAGACTTTCCCATCTTCCTCACAACATGGCATCTGATCTTCGCGACCGTCATGACGCAGATCCTCGCGCGCTTCACCACCATCCTCGACTCGAGAAAGAAGGTGCCCATGACGGGCAAGGTCTACCTGCGCGCCATCGTGCCAATTGGCCTCTTCTTCAGCCTGAGCTTGATCTGCGGTAACCAGGCATACCTGTACCTCAGCGTCGCTTTCATCCAGATGCTTAAGGTGCGTCTATCCACTTGCCGCGATCTGGCCATACGCTAACCTGGACAGGCCACTACTCCTGTTGCTGTCCTGCTCGCAACCTGGGGCATGGGAATTGCGCCCGTCAACCTCAAGGTTCTCGGCAACGTCTCCTTCATTGTCGTCGGTGTTGTCATTGCGTCCTTTGGCGAGCTCCAATTCGTCATGGTCGGCTTCCTCTTCCAGGTCGCCGGTATCGTCTTCGAGGCCACCCGTCTGGTCATGGTGGAGCGCATTCTGAGCTCCAAGGAGTTCAAGATGGATCCCCTTGTCTCGCTCTACTACTACGCCCCTGCCTGCGCCGTCATGAACTCTCTCGTTCTGATCTTCACCGAGCTGCCCACTCTCACCATGAGCGATATCCACCGCGTCGGTGGCCTTACCCTCCTCGCGAACGCTGGCGTTGCTTTCCTTCTCAACGTCTCCGTCGTCTTCCTGGTACGTTGAAAACACCTACCTCATCTTTGCAACACTAACAGAATGCAGATTGGCAAGACCTCGTCCCTCGTCCTCACCCTCTCCGGTGTACTAAAGGACATCCTCCTCGTTTTCGCGTCCATGTTCCTCTTCCGTGACCCCGTTACCCTGATCCAGGCTTTCGGTTACAGCATCGCGCTCGGTGGTCTTATCTATTACAAGCTCGGAGGAGAGAAGCTGAAGGAGGCTCTCAGCGCCGGCAGCATGAAGTGGGCAGAGTTTGGCCAGACCCGCCCAGCGCTCCGCAAGCTGATGGTCCTCGGTGGCGTCGTCGTCTCGATGTTCTTCATCTTGGGCAGCCTTGGTCCGCGCTACGCCCCTGATCAGACTGGCAAGCTCTACAACGGTGTCCAGAGCGGTATTGGTCACGTTCTCGGCGAGAAGGGCGCGTAAGCGTCGGATACCCAAAAGCGGATGTTCAGGATATACACCACATCTGGTTACACTTCTTCAATGTTTTTCTACCCTATATTCGGAGTGGTTTGGGATGACTTGGGTTCTGGTGTCTGAAGGCATAGACAAGCGGGCTCTTGTGGGCTCGGTGTATGAGACAGCGATTTCGACTTGCTTTTTCAATTCTCGTTTCTGAGTTCAACCGCATGACACGGAGCAACGAGGCGGATCGATGAGAACATTATGCCGTATATACATAGACTTCGCAGTGCATTGCCTGTGAAGGGTCGGATCAAGTTTATATCTTGAGCTACGTAATGGTAATGGACTGTGAAGACCACGTAATCTCGCTTGAACGTGCCTAAAATGTGCGATTGTTTCTCTTATTAGAGACCAATCCTGTGAAACGTCCAAGCGTGTTCATCAACCCTGTTGTGTAGACTTCTTATACAGATCACAATGTTGCTACGTATCATTGGAAAAACTCGATTGTCTAAGAAGCAGTTTTCTAGTATCAAGGCAGCATACACACTTCATAATAGCCCTTCGACCTACTTCCCCATACCAGTGAGATACTCCTCCCACCCCTTCTCCAACAACGCGCCATCCTTCCTGAGCACCTCCTTCTCATTCCCCTCCATCCACACCCGCAGCCTCTCCCTCACCACCTCATCACTCGCGCCCAAAATCCTCACTGCCAACAGCGCCGCATTCGTACTATTGTTGATCCCCACCGTCGCCACCGGCTCGCCCCGCGGCATCTGCGTCATGCTCACCAGGCTGTCCCAGCCGTCCATATGCGTCGCCTTGACGGGGAGTCCAATTACCGGCAGCGTAGTCCACGACGCGCACATGCCCGGCAAGTGGGCCGCGCCGCCCGCAGCGCCGATGATAACGCGCACGCTGGTGCTCGCCGCCGCCTTGCTGAACTCGCGCAGCCAGTCCGGCGTGCGGTGCGCAGACGTGATGCGCACCGTGAACGGGATGTCCAGCGTCGAGAGGATCTGCAGCCCGGCTTTGAGCACGGGCAGGTCCGAGTCCGAGCCCATTATCACGGCGACGAGGGGCGCGGGGGCTGCGGGGGAGGCTGGGGTCGCGGGTGCGGGTTTGCCTTTTTGCGCATCGACGAAGTCTACCAGCGGTTGGATCGCGAGTTCGGCTTCGCGCAGCGTGGGGCGGGTGAGCGTCAGGTGGCCCATCTTGCGCCCTGGGCGCGAGGCGCCTTTGCCGTAGAGGTGGATTGAGGCATCGGAGTTCTCGAGCGCGAACTGGGCGACCTTCTTGTCGGAGTCTGGGGAGGCGGCGCCGAGGATGTTGAGCATGATGGCGGGTTCCTTGAGGCGGAGCTGGTAGGGCTTGATAGGGATGTCGAGGATGGCGCGGAGGTGAGCGTCGTACTGAGAGATGGGGCAGGCCTCGATGGTGTAGTGGCCTGAGTTGTGTGGGCGCGGGGCGATCTCGTTGATCAGGAGGGAGTCGTCCTTGAGGAGGAACATTTCGACGCCGAAGACGCCCTTGCCTTCAAATGCGGCGATGGCCTTTTTGGCGAGATCTTGGGCGCGCTGCGAGGTGGCCGGGGAGACGTTGCGGGGAGGCGTGTATGTGAGCTTACAGATGCTGTCCTCGTGGACCGTCTCAACGGTAGGGAAGGACAGGACGCCATCCTTCGTCTTGACCACCATAACAGCCAGCTCCATGCTGAAGTCGGCCCACTTCTCCGCGTACAACGGACGGCCGCCGAGCGTCTTGATTGCCGCATCGAAGTCTGCCTCGCTCTTGACTACAAAGTTGCCCTTGCCATCGTACGCTTCCGTCTTGCTCTTAAGCATGTACGGGTAGCCATAAGTAAGTCCAACCTGTTTCAGGCCCTCTACTCCTTTCCCTTCAAGATCAATGCTTTCAGCGACGTCGACGCCATACTGCTTGAGGTGCAGTTTCTGTGCGTACTTGTCTTTGATGGTGCGCAGTGTCTTCCAGCTTGGCTCGACTGTGACTTGCCCCGCTACCTCCTCAAGCATTTGCGTATCAACGTGCTCGATTTCCACGGTGACTACGTCACACTTTTGAGCCAGCTCTTTAACCTTGGCCGCATCTTTGAAGGAGCCCTCAAGGTGGCCATCGTGTGCGGATATCTGCTTTGCTGGGGAGTTTGCGACGTCCAGAACGTTCACTTGGATGTTGAGTCTGTTCGCAGCCTCAATGAGCATGCGACCGAGCTGGCCACCGCCGAGCACGCCCACCTTCCGTTGATCAGCCATTGGAATTATACTGTAATTATGGGTGTTGGTGAGTCGTCGAGGTAGTCAAGGTGATATGACTGCTTTAGGTAAGTACGCGAATCGGGGTAAAGGTCGGAGGATAGGGCGGCTGGTTCAATGTGGGGTGCTCAAGAAAATTTAGTTCGTGGATTCTTCAACGATCATGCAATTGGTTAGAGGCCATGCAATAATTTTCGTTGCCAGTGAGGGCTTTCGGTCCTATGAGAGGCCTCACTAACGTCAGATTTGATGGTATTGTGCACGCTGTACGAGCACCGAGTAATTGAAAAGCTAACATCATGCATTCACTGCAGAGGGTATAAATTCATGAGAAAATACCATGAGCCTCGAGTGCTCATTGGCTTGCGTCCATTGCATATACGGACATTGAGTATCTTTTTGTGAACCAGTCGAGGGCTCATGCCAGCCGTGATGCACGCTTCGTAAATCAATTCCCATGACCGTGACCACGCCAGCAACCCAGAGAAATCGTTCCGCTTCAAGCTTAAGCAATCGCTTAGACCTTGAAACCCCTGGACCTTCTGCGACCACGAGCGCGCTCGAACTTGCGGCCCTTGGACTCGATGTAGGGCTTCTTGTTGGTGTGGGGACCGAAGCCGAAGTGCTTGAACGCCTCACGGGAGTTCTTGGGTCCACGGAGGAGGACGGTGTTGGCACCAGTGGGGAAACGGGTGGCAACCTCGTCGATGGTGAGAACCTCACCACCGGCCTTCTCGATGCGAGCGCGGGCCGAGGCGGTGAAGCGCATGGCAGCGACAGAGAGCTTGGGGAGCTCGACGAGGCGGTTGTCGTCAGTGACGGTGCCGACAATGACGATGGTCTTTCCCTCGTTGGTCTTCGCGTTGGCCTTGTTGGAGGCGGTCGCGACAATCTTGGAGAGGGAGACAGGGGGGCGGTTGACCTTGGACATCATAAGACGGCGGAGGACAACCTTGTTGAAGGGCGCATCGGTGCGGCCTGCGTCGCTGTTAGCCCGCCGATTCCAACTCGCGTGCGCTCTGCTTTTCGAGGTTGTACTTACGGGCAAGGAACTTGTACAGACGAACCAACAACTTAACGTAGGGGTTGGTCGACTTAGGGACCTCTGTATACTCGTCAACTTCCGCTCTGGTCGAATTTCATGTTGCGTCCAAAGGACAGCTTCGCCAGCGCATTGCTGCGCCGACTCGACGGGGGTTCACATACTGCGGTGCCCGTCTCGAACATGATGGCGGTCGAGATCGATTCCCATCTTGACTGATTTTGCTCGTGGTGTTGGGAGCTGTGGGTTAGTAGCGACGATGGAAACTTCGAAGCGTGCGAATTTCGAGATTCGAAGAGTGTGGGCTTAGCCGGTGCTTGGCGGCGCCTAGCGCTGAATGCACGTGATCGTTGCCCACGTCGCTGCTCCACTTTGCCGGAACAATGTCAGCCTCAGCAATTCGAACACGATCTCTCAATATGTTGTGGAAGCCTGACAGGTTGGTTGGGAACCTCTTCCCGCTCTTCAGCGCAGCCAGAGAGTGACATTCAAACACATCGGAGCGGTCGATTCAACGAGTGCCAGTCTCCTTGGGCAGACGACCACATGCAAGCGAGCAAAAGTCTGCAAACGTCACAATAGACAGGAGACAGCTAACTGGTGATGGGATTTGTGCAAAACATGACAGGCGTTGAGCCATGGCAAATAATTCTATTCACTGCAGCTAATCTAGACCTCCTGGCCGGACGTAGTGGTTACATTCGAGCCACTGTTGGTCATAAACCGAGATGCACAGATCGTTGTGGTCGTTCTTGACCTCAACCCCTTCAACTACAGGACACCCTTTTCAACAGCGGCAGCTTCAAAAAGCTCACTTCAAATTCTCCAAGTTCCTCTGCAATGTGTCCCAGTTCGTTCCTGGCCCCGCATTGAACATGAGCCGGACATCCGGGTTCGCCCTCCTGCAGACATTCACCGCGTTCTCAAACAGCTCCGTCTGAGTTGGAATAAGCCGCAGGCCTGAACCGAGGATGATGCCGTCGAATTTCTCAGAACGGAGTTTGTTGTCTAGCCACTGTAGGCCACCTGCAGTATCGGCGTCGTCGATCTGGTAGGAAGTGACATCGACACCCGCTTCGCGGATGCGTTGCTCGTCGAGGTCGATGGCAGATTGGATCTGCTGGGGCGTGCCGTATAGCTCGCGAAAGTAGGCCGGGATGTCGGCGTGGACAGTCAAGCCAGTGACGATGATCTTGAGATCCTTGGTGGAAATAGCTGACATTGTGTTCGTTGTGTGTGTTGTACAACTTGGTACTGTAGGTGAGGACGGATATGTTGATGCTTGGACCGGCCACTTGCTGATTCTATATATCTGTCTACTTTGCATTAGTTACACCCCGCTTTCGCCGCCGTTGGAATAGCGAGTGCTCGGTCATTCGGACTTCGTAGTTAAGCTTGATCCACTCCACTGTCAAGTTATAAACCACGGTTCGTTCTCAGAGCTAGGATTTGGTAATCTACGTGGGTCAGTCTTACGGCGCCTGATCCAGATCGACTGCTTGGTCACACTAGGCACGTCAGCTCTCGGAACTCCACCACTGCGCCAAGCCCTCATAATCTCCACCTCACTTCTAGACAATTTGCAAATACTATTCTGATACACTGTCAGCGCTGGCGAGTTCTATTGTAGTATGATCTGCGCTTATAGTACACATGAAGCATAGGTAGTCCTGCACCTGACCGTTTCTACCTCCGATTCCGCAACCAGCAACGACCGCCACCACCACCACCTAGGTATCACCCTATGTACTTTCCGCCACAAAAGATGCATATATCGCAGGCCTGAAAAAGCACGCTGGCAAGTGTGACTTCAGACTCTGCTTCAGCCTCTTCTCTAGAATCCTGTGCCTGCACGAATTCTTCACTTAGGACTGGTGTGCTGCAAATACCACAGTACTTGGTGATGCCAGGCGCCTGTATAGCTATGAAACTGACACCACACCGCGGGAATTCGTGACCATTAGCGCAAGCAGCGGTAGTAAGATCTGTGAAGGGTATGGGTGCAGAGCAGAAGTCGCAGTGATCAGTCGCAATGGCCGTGCCCTCGAGTCTTGGCCTGGCCTTGATTTCGGTTTGGTTGGTCGAACTCGATGCAGCCCCCTCCGACGTATGTTCCGTATCCATAGCATCGTCATCCAGCATGGCAGCTGACTGCTCCGCTTCGTGTTGTTCCACGGTCTCGGGTTCTGCGTCTCCAAAGAGAAAGAGATTATCGATCAAGGCAACCAGCCGCTGATGGTGCATAAGGATCTCCTGGCTGAACGCCGTTCGCAATAAAGCGGAAGGTAGTTTCTGCAGCATCGTAGCGAGCCGGTAAGAAATGAGAGTTCTTGCGAGCTCATTGGAGGCAGTGTCGTTGACAGCATGAGATACCAATATGCTGTATCGGTCTCTTAAATTATTCTCCTCGAATATCGCACAAGTCTTGAAATTTGTGACGTGGTCTTCCAGGTCGGTCGGCGCGGTTGCAAGGACATCATTTCCAGATGCCTTCAGAGGCTTGTAGGCCAGCAACAACTTGCCAACAGCTTCCTCTGCGAATGCAGGCATCTGATCGGCGTCTTCGACAGTGTTCTCTGCCAGCTTTTTTAATGTAAAGAGGACACCTTCTGCAGTCGTGTTCCGAGATGGGAAGCTCTCACGAATCTTGCCGTACTGTCGTAGTGTGCTAAGCGCGATTGTTCCACGCCGATCTGCTGGCGGGCCATACTCGATCGAGTCAGAGGGGTGCAGACTGTTACACGCAGCGATGAAGTCTCCTAGCGGTGAGGATGTGAGACCCCACACTTTTGTCTTGCTGTGCCCTTTTAAATCGTTTTTGACACTGAAAAGAACCATACTATTCTCAATTTTTTCTTTCCAGTTGGGAATCTTGACACTTGTCAAGCCACTCGACAATTTCGCCACAACAGCAGTCGGGGATTGTACGGTTGACAGCAGTGAGCTGAAGTGCAGATGGGGCGAGGGCTGTTTTTCATAGTCCCAAGCTACACCCGACACCTGGTCCCAACGACCATCGAGATCGTGCTCGGCTTTGTCTACGATCGATGCATCGTTAACTGAGATAGTCAAATAGACCAGCCCTGAATTTGTGAATATTGCCAACGTAGCTTGACACTCATTGTCAAGCTTTGGGCACCAGGACATAGGGCCACTGTATCGTAGACTTATGCCTGGATATGTGACTTCAGCTTCCAGCTTGAACTCATCTTTTCTCCAGGTGACCAGTCGTCCTCTGACCTCTTCATTGGTTGCGTAGACGACAACAGATCGATAGGAATCGCCTTGTGCGACCCAAGGACTCCAGGCAATATGTGAAATAAATCTCTGCTGCTTCATCAAGTCGCCGAAGAATAAGGGGTCGGTAAATTTGGATTCCTCTCTCGGCTCAAGCGCCATGTGAGTGAACACAGTTGCCTTCCAGCTTTGCGATGAACCGAGGGTAGAAGTTGGCGAGTCTACAGACAAAAACAAAAGCTGGTTGTCATCATTTGCTACGGTGATGAATTGTCGACCGTACGATGTCTGTGTTCCCATTGTGTTGGTTGCATGAGGTAGAGCTGGCGCCCATGCAAATGATCGGACGCGAGTTCTGAGACGCATCTGTTCCTCGGCGTCGGAGGAAACATGACTGGTTTGCATAGTCTCGATTTCAGAGAAATAATCAATGAGCGCGTGATTGACCAGAAGCCTCCTGTTCCAGCTCGACTCGTCTTGAAGCTTGCCTTCAGCTGACCACATTGAGAGCACCAAGTTCGAGGTGAGCACTGCGAGAGCACACCGCCGATGCTTTGCAAGGCCAGGCGGTGACCAGGCTATGGCAACAGGCACACTCGGCGATATCTCTTCGCCGACTGAATAGTTCGACAACGGTGCAGGGTCCTTGACTGGTAGCTCGTCGCTCGAGAACCAAGGGACCTGGAGTGGAACATGCTGCCACTGTGGAACGTCGTTGTCTCGCTCGTAAGACACGGTATTTGGAAACTAAACTACTGTCAGTGATTGTCGATCGCTGTTTGGTCTCAAAAGCTCACCAGTAGTTCAACTCGTTCGTCAGAAGCTAACGCAATTATGTTGTCCTGCGACCAATCGAGCGCCTCAACACATGATGGCCAGCACCTCAGCTCTGTCACGTCCGCCATGATTGTTGGTATTGGTCTGTTGTCGAAGCGTTTGTGCTGGATTTGATCATGGCATCAGACGCAAGCAATGAAGTGCCTTTGCACGTGATGTTTGAATTAGCATGTGACTTTGCCTGGATATCACCGCAGCATATCAAGTTTCAAATCCTGGCGTAAAATGGCACTTAGGTCAAATGCGTTCACTTCGGCTGAAGCGACGAGTCGGGAGAACACAGCTCGAATCCAGGGTCCAATCTCGCGCCTTTCCCATTCGACACTAGCGACACCTTATCGATAGGTCGGCATTGGAAAATTCACTTTTTCTCTCATCGCTCCCAGCCACTGTCCCGATTTTTCCAGATATTCAAGATGGGGAAACGATCAATCTCCGAGGTCGGCGATGCGGAGCTGTCCAGAAAGAAGAGCAAGAAGGACAAATCCGAAAAGTCGAAGAGGAAGGACGTTGCGGACGCTGTCGAGACGAATGGCGATAGTGTAGAGGTCTCTGAGGCCCAGCGCAAGGCAGCAAAGAAGGCAAAGAAAGAAGCAAAGGAGGCCAAAAAAGCAAAGAACATCGAATCTGCCCCTGCGACAGAAGACGAGGATGTGGCAAAGGCAGCCAGGAAGGCAGCGCGCAAGGCGGAGAAGAAGGCGGCCAAGGAAGCAACGAGCGCTACCACAACAGCGCCTACCTCGGTCGCGACATCAGCAGTCGCCTCTCGAGTCGAATCCTCCGCTACAAGCCCCGAGCCCTCTACAGATGGCGAATACCAGGAGGACAAGGAGCTGTCGCAGCTCCCTCAGTCCGAAATCGACGCCTTCCTCACCAAGCACGCTGTTACGATCGACGACCCGAAGCCAGGAAAGTTCCGCCCAATCATAAACTTCAAGTATCTGCCCATCAAGAACGAGGCGTTTGCCAAGTTCACAACACCAACCCCTATCCAGGCAGCAGTATGGCCCTCGCTGCTTTCGGGACGGGATGCAATCGGTGTGGCGGAGACAGGATCTGGCAAAACGCTGGCATTCGGTGTACCTTGTGTACGCTACATCCAGTCCCTGCCAAAGAACAGGCGCAAGGGCGTGAAGGCCGTTATTGTTTCGCCCACTCGCGAGTTAGCAGTGCAGATTCACGATCAACTGGTCACCCTTGCTGGTCCTGTTGGACTTGGAGTTGTCTGTGTATATGGAGGTGTACCCAAGCCTCCTCAGATCGCAGCTCTCCGCACAGCTTCAATCGTTGTGGCAACACCCGGTCGCCTTAACGACCTCGTTGGCGAGGGCACTTGCGACCTCAGCAACGCCGACTACGTTGTGCTTGACGAAGCCGACCGAATGCTTGATAAGGGTTTCGAGGAGCCCATCCGTCAAATCATCACACAGTGCCCCAAGAAGCGGCAGACCCTCATGTTCACGGCGACCTGGCCTCCGTCGGTGCGTGAGCTAGCGTCCACCTTCATGGTCTCACCAGTCAAGATCACGATTGGTGACAATGTTTCCGGCGAGCTTCGCGCCAACATCCGCATTAAGCAACAGGTTGAGGTCCTCGACCCTCGGGACAAGGAGCAGCGCCTGATCCAGCTTCTTAGGCAATACCAATCTGGCAAAAACAAGGATGATCGTATCCTAGTTTTCTGCTTGTACAAGAAGGAGGCCACGCGTATTGAGCAATTCATCCACAGATCAGGCTTCAGGGTCGGCGGCATCCACGGCGATCTGAGCCAGGACAAGCGTACTGCTGCATTGGCGGCATTCAAGGAGGGCAAGGTTCCGCTGCTCGTAGCTACTGACGTGGCTGCGCGTGGTCTGGATATCCCAGCTGTAAAGGTCGTCATCAATGTGACTTTCCCCTTGACGGCTGAAGACTACGTTCATCGAATTGGTCGAACGGGTCGTGCCGGTCAAGATGGTCTTGCGATTACGTTCTTCACCGACCACGACAAGGGCCTATCTGGATCGTAAGCTTATCCTAGTGCAAATCTACGTTCGTACACTAACATCAAGTAGTCTCATTAATGTCCTCAAGGCAGCCAATCAACCCGTACCGGAAGAGTTGATGAAGTTTGGCACTACGGTGAAGAAGAAGGGTCATGAGGCCTACGGAGCGTTCTACAAGGACACTGGCGACATGAAGGCAGCGACGAAGATTACATTTGATTAGGCGTCTGAGGTCACCTTGCAGCTTGCCGTACACATCTCGTTTGCCAGTCGGCGATGCAAGTGTTTAGCTGCATTGCCCTGCAGCTCCAAGCGGGGATTGGTTTAGCATTTCCTAGCGGAGGCGTTTCGGCACACCTCAAAAGTCCCGAGTAAGACCGCACTATTGTGATTAGAAGGAGTCTATTGTGGGTTACAGAGCATCAAATTTCTACTGCTTGCGTCAGGATCACCCCATTTTTTAAATGTGAGGTCTGTGTCACCTCAAATAAACGCCGTTCATACTGTCTCTGGGTCGCCGTGAAAACATGAGCATCTTGAACGCCAACTGTTCAGCCACCAAGGCTCTGGGGCTGGCCATTCCAAATCCACGTGCCTAGCGTTCCCACACCTTTGGTAGCAGGAACGCACCAAAGATTGCACCACAAACTCTCCACCTTCCTGCACCCTCTAGCAGTTCGTCACCGCTCCCATTTGATGGCCTTACCACCTTTACCTGGCTTTAGGCACGCCTTGGTCGCAGTCTATCGTCACTAAATTGCGTTAACAGGTCATCGGTGACAGCCTGACCACGCCATTCCCGCTGCCAAGCAGTCCCACGCGAAATTGTCGTGCATTTACACGCCGTGGGTGGCATGGGCGCAGTCTCTGACGCTTCTGCTAAGGGGACCTCGGGGAAGCGTGTGGGTTCGCAGAGTGCCGCAGGGTTTCCAGTGCGATTTTGATTGGACGCTGCTGTACTTCCGGATGAGGTCGCCGACTACCACATCGCCGACTGCTGACTGTATGGCCTGTGAACACGAAACCGCGAATCCTTCATTCTGCGTCCGAACGGCGAGGGTAGACGGGCCTAATATATATCTTTCTACATAGACGCAACGTATGCAAGAAAAAGTTTTTTTTTAATTCTACGCTCTCGCTCGGTTCACTTCTCCCTTTCCTTCCACACTGTGACGACGCGGCTTTGAAGTGGACGCTGGCGATTCCCTGAAATAGTCCTTCTGGCCGCGCAAAAACAAAGGGCTTCAACCGAGTGGCTTGACCTGGCCCGCGACTGTCTGCAGTCTTCGTCTCAGGTCTTCCATTCATTCTTGCACGGTACAACTTGCATCACCGCGCTGTCACATCTGCTTCTCTCCATATCCGAAAACACGGGCTCGCCAACATGTGCAAGAAGGCAGCATGCGACACATGCAGTACGTCGCTTAACTCCGCTATCTCCCCTTAGCCTATTCACCGACCACTCACTCCGTCATGCCCGTACTAACACTACCCCCTTAGACAAGACCACTTGGTGGGGCTGTGGCAAGCACGTCTCCGGCGTCATGAACCACGTTCCTACAAGTGAATGGTGCACATGCATGCCGCGCGTGACGGTCGACGAGAAAACATATCCTCCTATGGGCACGCTTGCGGCTGCGTGACTAGATGGGGAATGTGGTTCCCTTGGGTCATCGAGGGAGAAGTATCTCTTCTCGATGATCCAGGGCATGAACGGTGGACCACATCCAAATCACCCGAAACCAAAGCCGGCAGCAAAGACATGACATCAGGGGAAGGCGAAGGACGGCGACGGACTGGTAGGGGAGCACCAGGAGCATAACAAAGAGAGAGCCGGACCCACGAAGGGGAGGGACCATATCAGTAGACAAGTGGTACGGAGGGAGCAGTTGATTATGAGCACATCACGGCGTTTTTACAGAGTGTGGGCAACGCATAGCGTACCTCGATGGCGTTTTCTTGCATTCGAAGGTTTTAACCTTCTCGAACTATCGAGCATTGATCGCAGTGGAATTGACAGCGAGAACATCGCTCCAGCATCATCATCATTTCAATATGACAATACATCTACTTCGAGCTTATCGTCCAGACTTGAACAAGTTGAACAAGCAAATAACGCCGTGCTGACCATGACCAGACCCAAGGTATCATATCGCATAACTCATAACAGACAACACAGAAACCGTGATGCACAAACTCTACCCTGATGCCTGTACAACCTTAAATCCCTCAGATAACATCTTCTGAATATCCTCGTCTTTGTGCTGGAGGAAGCCTAACGTATACTCGACATCTCGCCATTGCCGCTCGCTCTCAGCACGAGGCAGGCGGGCAGCGAGTTTATTAGCAAGCTGCTTGGCTTGCTTTTCCTACTCAAGGTTAGTAACGTATACACACTGTTGTCGGAAGTGGCTGATGGGCTTACCTTCTCGATGTACCCAGCAAGGTACTTGATGATGCGTTTGAAGGCATCTTCACTGAGCCCGTTATCAGCACTGAGGGTGCTGAACATGTCGACAAATTGATTGTAGATGGCATTGTCTTTTGTAGACAATTCGCTGAAAAACTGGCGTGCCATCTCTGCGATCTTCTTGTCCCTATCCTCAATACACTTGGCCATCTCGGCGAGCTGACCCTTGACCTTGACCTGTCCAGCCAGAATGAGGAAAGTCAACGTCTGGAGGCAGGTGCGTTTGACACTCTGATCGTTATCATCGAGTCGGCGGTACAGGAATTCAGTGTCTTGCTCGACTAGGTGATTGAAGCATACAGCCATGTCACCAAGGGCAATGACAAGGTTGCTTCGAACGATGGCATCTTGACTACGCTCAAGAATATTGAGCAAAAGGTCGAGGTTACTTTCGCAGTACTCCTGGCTAACGCACATGAGCTTCCCTAAACATAGCGCAGCTTGAGCCTGTAATGTTGGGTGGTTGTAAGAGATATTGTTGGCGCAAATTTCCGACACCAGGGGGCCAAAGTTGGCGAGAAGAGACTGTGGGCCAAATAATAGTTCTCGCTCGCGTACATGAGCAATGGCATCGGTGAAGTCATCCTCGTTGGTACCCGCCATGAGATCAAGATCATCTGCTTCAGGGTCGGGAGCAGGCGTCGGATCCTTAAGCGCGCCTCTCTTGCGCCCCTTCTTCATAGGTGTAGGCTCCGGCGCTAGAGATTTTCGAGGCGCCGTTTTCTTATCCTTCTCTTTCTCAGCCTTTCGACGCTTGAACTCCAACTCGCAGAGTTCGAGATGGACAATCTGTTTGATGGCAACGTGTCCGACAATGAATAGAAGCTGCGACAATGCTAGTGCCGAGTTCTGTTTCTTCGGATTCGGAACCTCGTTGACAGGCGCGTCAGGCATCTCTTCGCCACCATCCACATCCATAGGCTCAAAGTCGTCGCTTTTCTGACCCGAGCTTGTGTTTGGCCGGGAGGGCGCCTTTGGAGCGAACACGCGTTTTGCCACTTGTCTGATGATCTCTGAACAGAGCACATCAGGATGCTTGGACAGTACATAGATCGCACTGATTGCTTGATCTGCGACTCCGAACCATTCCTTGTTGTCAGACTCCATCTCGCACATTGCAGCCAACCTTATCAAGACAGCGTGATCGTTCGGCAGCTTAACGGACGGAGCGGGAGCTTCACCAGCCTGCAACTTTCCGGATGCAGCACTGATTCTTCGCAGAGCGACGCATGTGTAGCGAGCAAGCCCGAAATCGCGACGACCGAGTTTTCCCAAACCAATCTTCAGGCATGCTTCCATCTCTTGCACAATTATGTCGGGCGATGAGAGCGCCAACATGCCAAGTACGATGATGGCACCTCGACGCTGCCTTACGGATATGTCCTTCTTTTGGTATCCGTATATGCCCCACAGCTTCTCAATGACTAGGCTGTTAACCAGGCCTTGCTTCATCATAGTGCTGAGGAGTTGTTCAAGGGATATGAGATCCGCCGGAGTTGTGTCGAAGGTCAGACTAATCATACCTCGGGTGATGTAATTAGCGGCCTGGTTCGCGTCACAACCTGGAGGCGCATTGAAGAACAAGTCCTTGTAGCAGTCGATGAGGTGTGCTTGAACGCCTTTGCCTTCGTCGCTGTTGCCTTTGGTCCAGATAAGTCGAAGCATCCTCTTAATACCAAGCCTGGCATTTGCAATCTTGTATGCATCGATTTTGGTGAAGAAATCCATCGCTTCGATGACCTCACTCTTGTTCTTCGAAGAAAGCAGCTGCATCACCTGCTCGGCCGCGTCATTGATGACTTCGATGAACCTCAGAGCTTGTCTAACAAAGGAGCGAACCTTGTTGAACTTTTCAAGTTCTTGGACAGTCTCGCGGTCCTTCGCTACCTTTGCAGCTGCAGCATTGTGCTCTTCCGCACTCATCTCGCCTGGATCCTTTGCGACACCAACATCTGCTTGAGTTGCGTCGATCAGCATTGATTCATCGATCTCGCCTGGTGTCCGCTCCTGAAGCTCTTCTGCCGGAGGTTTCAGCGCCGCGATACTCGCCTCGATGCTCTCAAGCCCCTGTTCCCAGATTTCAGTTGACAACAGACCACCATACATATCCGCAAAGAGATGCGTCTCAACGAGTTTCGATAGCAGCTTTATGGCGTTTCGTCGTACGTTGCTACTCTTGTCCTTCAAGCTTTGTTCGGCGTAGTCTGCAGCCATCTGCCGGCGCTTGCGCGCTTGTTTCGAGCTCATATGTGGCAGATCGCAAAGCTTGACGTAGACCTGCATAACTCGGCAACGGCAGTAGGGATTAATATCCAAGAACCGCTGCTCAAGAACCTCAAAAAAAATGTCCATATTCCTCTTGTGGGCATCGCTGCGATCGTCCTGGCTCAACTTGCTGAGCATGTTGATAATATTGCCGCATACCTCGATCATAGCGCATCGCAGAGTGTACGCCTCACTGTCTAACAAGTTGTTGAGCAGCGCTCCTTGCCTGACGATGAGGTTCGGTAGCAGCTCAGAAATCTTGATTAGAAATATCGAGACTGACTTGGGGCCCTTCAAGTCTGTGGCGCTGTACTCCTTGGTACTAATATCCTTGAGAACATCTTCAGCCAATTGAGAGTAATCGTAAGCGTCGGCCAGGGTATGGAGGAACTCGGCCATAGGCTCAGAAAGGTGTTCGAAATACGTGAGGCACTGGTTAATCGATGTTTGGGCAGTGTATGCGTGACCATGATGCTTTACAGCAATACAGAGCACCCTGAAGCAGTGATTCCGGATGGCGGTATTCTTAACCCTGGCTTCGTTCTCCAGAATGTGGTACACTGGCTTTGTGAAAAGGCCAATAAAGGTGTCTCGCTCTGACGTCGTGACGAATATGCGGCCCAGTTTCAGTTTCAACACTTTGCTCACGCGATCGAGCGCCGTCTCGAGTTGTGCCGCTGCGTCCCAAGTCCCGTCCTTGCTACTTCCCGTCTTTGACTTTCCTGTCTTGCCCCTCCCTCGTGCTGCTGGCGCCGAGGCCGACTTCTCCAGCGCTCTTGTTTCGACTGCAGATATGGTCCATCGTAACAAGAAGGCGTACATTTCCAGAATGGTCTTGTGGTGTGGGATCGCATCTTGCTCTTCAGCTTCGAGATCGACGTGTACGATGTCGGCTTGTGCAGAGAGTGCAGAAACAAGCAAGTCGAGGATCTTGCCTAGAGCGGTCGGGGGTATTTGCGAAGAATTTCTGTAAAAGAGGCATGTCAGTCAATGATCTGTCACCACTTTGCGTGGAAAGGCGGGGCAGCTGGACTCACTTGAGCAGGAATTGGATGGTGTCAAAAACAGAACTGTATGTGATCGCATCTGGGTTCTCCGCCACTGCATCAACCACAGGGTTCAGCTCGCTATTGATCAAGGACAGCGATGATAGCGCTTCTGGATCCTCTTCACACTCCTGCAGTGCTTGCGGCGCTTCCGTGGTTGGGATGGTTGAGGGATCGCTGTCAAACAGCTTGATCGCCTCATTGATGTCGAAATCGACGCGCGCCTCCATGTTGCGCAGAGTCGCGTGAAGAGAAAGAAAGGAAAGCACAAAAGAATAAGAAGTGGCGACACGGCGTTGTGGCAGACCGAGTGTTGTTGCGAACAAACGGACGATGCGGGCTGCTAGTCGGAAGGCACGCTAGGGGTGTTGTGTTTATTTCTTGCCGCATTTGGTTGGCGGTCTCTGTCGCGTCTTTTAAACAATGACCGAGCCAATGCTCTCACACACGCAAATCACAACACATCCGTCTGCCAACACCCACCATGGCGAAGGCTCGTGTGTCACTGCAACGCCAGGCAGAGCAGATTGATGTGCACGAGGATGAACAGAAAGAAGAGGAAGTCAACTCCGAACTGGGCGAAAGCATGGATCCCCTCGATGAAAGCAGGCACACAGTCGACAGTAGTGATGAAGAAGTTGAAGATGCTGTCGCCGATGACATGGCACGGTTCGAAGAGACATTTGCGGGTATCACTAAGAGGTTTCGATTGATTAATCGTATTGGTGAAGGTGAGTTTACAGGCATTGGCCTGCCATATGCACGGTCACATGTTGGGGCTCACAACGTCAACAGGCACGTTCTCAACCGTATATAAGGCTGAAGATCTGGAGTACGACAAATACGACAACGATTGGGATATTGAAGAGCGCGAGAACAAGAAGTGGCCATCGTCAGAACATCGCAAACGACAAAAACGACCACATTATGTTGCCATCAAGAAGATCTATGTCACAAGCAGCCCGATCCGTATTTTTAACGAGCTCGAACTGCTCTACGATCTCAGAGACTCGGACTCGGTTTGTCCTCTTATCACTGCCTTCCGTCATCTGGACCAGGTCGTTGCTGTACTACCTTACTTCCAGCATCGCGACTTTCGCGATTACTACCGAGATATGAAGATATCTGAGATGCGTCTGTACTTCCGGAGTATGATCACAGCACTTCGAGCGGTACATCAGAAGAAGATCATCCACCGCGATGTCAAACCAACCAATTTTCTGTATAACCCGGTTCTGCAGCGTGGAGTCCTCGTCGACTTTGGATTGGCGGAGCGCGAGGGCACAGACTGGCACCAATGTGCATGTCATTTGTCGGATGAGGATCGCCGTCACAGAACAACTCACAGCGTATATGCACAGACTCAGTCCTCGGGTCCCAACTCCTCCAGCTACCCGAAGAACGACACACGAAACAGCCGCCGAGCCAATCGGGCAGGCACTCGCGGCTTCCGTGCTCCTGAGGTGCTCTTGAAATGTACACAACAGACTTGCTCCATTGACATGTGGAGCGTGGGAGTCATCTTGCTGACCATGTTATCTCGTCGCTTTCCGTTCTTCCACAGCGCGGACGATATTGACGCATTGCTCGAGATCGGTACCATTTTCGGTCGCAAGAAAATGAGGGAGACATCATTGCTACATGGTCAGGTCTTCGAAACCAACATTCCCAGTTACAGCGAGAGTGGGCACAGCCTAGAAAAGATTATCCTCTGGTGCACAGGAAGGACTGGTGACAAGACTGCGCCGAAGAAAGAGCTAGCAGATGACGAGAAAGAGGCTACGCAATTCCTCTACCGCCTCATGGAGTGCAATCCAGCCAAACGCATTACTGCTGATGAGGCCCTCCGGCACCCATTCCTTGCGAAAGTCCAAGAGGACACTGAAGTGGAAGACGATATGGACGACCTCGTCGAAGAGTAGAACGATGGACATTAATGAGGAATGCACTCACGATATGATCAAAGAACAGGAGGCGTTTGGACACGGCATTGATCGCTTAAAGCATAAAGTTTGGAGTTTTTGGCCATCTAGGGACGGCAACCTGATGAAACATTGCGATACCCTCATCCTTGTATACTACGAGCTGCTCATTGCATTGCTCAAGACGATAATACAAATACAAGGAATACGAACTCCCAGATCGTGCAAGTGCTAGGTTATGGTACAATAACGCTCGTCTTATCTTCTGCAGAAAATACAGGATATCATACACCATCACTTCTCGCGTCTCCGGATTCACACAACCTGCTTCTTCGCGTTCGCAGCCCTCTCTGCAGCATGTCTCTCCGTACGGTTCTTGATCTTCTCTGCCTTCCTCCTGTCGCGCTTGGTCTCTCTCTGACCTCCCTGCCCTGCGTGTGCCTGGTTTCCGCCCTTTGCCGCTCGTGTCTTCTCCATCTCCTGATGTAATCGTAGCTTCTCTACAGCCTCTTCAAGCGTGGGGATCTTGACACGCTGCGTCATCGCCTCATGCAGCCTCATCTTGCTCACCTTTCTCCCCCGGTCTGCCGAGCGGACATCCTTCATCAATCGCTCTTGCACCCTCAGCTTATCCAGCTCCTCTGCATTCAGCACTTTCGGTCTGTTCTCCACAGGTTCGCCGAACGGCGCAATGATCGCGGTGACAACGTGACGAATCGTCGAGCTTGTGCGGTGGCCTGAAGTGATACGGACAACGTCTCCTTCGACAAGGGAGTTGTTCGGGTCCGACACGGTGTAGTGCTTGTGCGAGGGGAAGTGCTTGCGGAATAGCTTGTTCCATTCCTGGCCAGCAATGCGGACTTTGACTGCGCGCGACATCTTTCCGGCGGATACGACGACGCCGACCTTTTGCGAGGTTATGTATTTTTGCACCAGAGGCGCGGCTGTGATGGCCTCGGTCACTGCTTTTGTTGCCATGGTGGGTGTGTGAGGTTTGAGAGCGCACAAAGATGTTCGTTGCGCTCGGCGCTGTCGATATGGCGACCTGAGCTGTGGAGAAGGGCAGACGGCAACTCAATGCGTCTTTGCTTGTATAGTCGAAGGGTTGGAATCGCCGATACGCTGACGCTGCCGCAATCGATGCACGGAGATGCTGGGCCTCTCCGCAAAAGTTCGACGCGCAGTCGGGCGCGCCAAGCATTCCTCCGATTGGCTGTCGTCTAACTGCCAGATATCCAAAGCTCCAGCGATTACATCTTCGAGTTTCACTTCGCTCTTGTCTTTCACGCTGACTGTTGCTTGCGCTGGCTTTGTTGCGGCAGTAGGTTCCTGAGATTCATGTAGCTTCTTTGATCTCTAGTCATCCCTACCTTTTCTCCTCGAAACGCTTCAACATTTCAGCGTACCACTACGGGTGCTACAGATAGGACAAGATGTTCATACGGATAGCGCAATTGGCGCTCCTCCTGTGCTTTGCACTGCTGGTTCTCGGTGCAGAAGACTACTACAAAGTATGTCGAGTATTCTCTTAAGAGTGCGCCTAAATTCAAGTTGCGCCCAGTCACTGACCACTTCTGTTATAGCTGCTAGGTCTGAAGAAAGATGCCTCCGAGCGCGAGATTAAGAAGGCGTACCGTACCTTGAGCAAGAAGTTTCACCCAGACAAGAACCCGTATGTCGAACGATCTACTTACCTCCCCCACCCCGTCCCTTGAGCTTCACTGACACAATTCAGTGGAGATGAAACCGCTGGTGAGAAGTTTGTCGCAGTGGCCGAAGCCTACGATGTCCTCAGCGTCGAGGAGACACGCAAAATCTACGATCAATACGGCCACGAGGGCATCGAGCAACATAAGAAGGGCAACGGCCCGGGTCAGCGTCACGATCCCTTTGACCTCTTCTCACGTTTCTTCGGCGGCTCAGGTCACTTCGGACACCAAGGCGGAGAGCGACGAGGACCTAATATGGAAGTCCGCGTTGCCATCCCCCTACGCGATTTCTACAACGGGCGCAAGACGGAATTCACGATTGAGAAGCAGGCTATCTGTTCTGCTTGCGAAGGCTCGGGATCTGCAGATGGACATGTCGAAACATGCGGTACCTGCGGTGGACGCGGAGCAGTCATCAGGAGACAGCAGCTCGCACCAGGGCTCTTCCAGCAGGTTCAGATGCAATGCGATGCCTGCCACGGCAAGGGCAAGACGATCAAACACCCATGCTCTGTCTGTCACGGCAGTAGGGTAGTCCGCGAGTCCGAAACCCACGAACTGGACATCGAGAAGGGCATGCCCAAGGGTGTGCGCATTACTTACGAGAACGAAGCCGATGAGAGTCCAGACTACGTAGCCGGAGATCTAATCGTACACCTCGTGGAGATGGACCCAGCACTCGGTGAACAGGACCACGAACGTACCGATGGCACCTTCTTCCGCCGCAGAGGCCCGGATCTATTCTGGCGCGAGGTACTGTCGTTGAGAGAGGCCTGGATGGGTGACTGGACACGCAATGTCACGCACCTGGACGGACACGTCGTCAAGCTATCTCGCAAGCGTGGCGAAGTTGTACAACCGAACATGATTGAGATCCTCAAAGAGGAGGGTATGCCCGTGTGGCACCAACAGCTGGAGAACAACGATGGGCTTCAGTACGGTAACCTGCATGTCGAGTACGTTGTCGTGCTACCAGACCAGATGGAGAAGGGCATGGAGAAGGACTTTCATGCCGTGTGGGACAAGTACAGGAAGAAGAGTGGTGTGGTTCTTGACCATGCACTTAACAGGCCGGAAGGTGACATCAAGATGCCGGAAGCGGATGGCCATGATGAGTTATAGAGTATGCGAGACGACTTTTTGCATGATATGGATACCCGCAGGTGGATTGGAGTCGTGGAGTTAGTCCGTGAACAGTACTGTCGATGCGAACAACGAGTAGATCTGCAATGTATAGAGCGAACAAATTCAGCAAGTATCTCCCAACCTTGGCTTTTCTCACTAAGCAGACCCCGCGCCGTCGGTTCATTTCTCAAGCTGACTTGTGCCCACTTGAGTTTTGGAGATGGGCGCGCCTCATAGATGAACCGAGGTCACACTTCGGCCCAATTGTAAGTTTGATCTGCCCTACCCAGACTCCTGTACTCCCTAATAATAGAACGTGGTGCATTGTAGAGAACTCTAATTTTGATGTTAATCTAAACTTGAATTTGAGTCTTGACTCCAAGCCTACATGTGAACTTGGTGTATTTATTCTGTCAAGAAACACGCTACAAACATACTCGCAAGTCGATCGGGTCTTGTCATACTTAGGTAGACTACTAGTGTACTCCAAACTTACTGATGATAGGTCGAATTGCAACCTGTAAATGAGGCTCTACAACTGTCTCGGAACTTGCGTGCCGATCCATGTCCTTGGCTAACTCCACACCCTCACCTGCAGGCAGCACCCACGAGCATGACTCCCGTCCCCACATTGCAAAGCTGCGAAGCTCCACCAACGATCACCATGGCGATCACACCCAGCCTCGCGTATTCTATGTCTATGTTCGTATCTAGTCTCAGGCAACATCGATACACATCGTCATTTCCCAAGTCGTTTGTTTGCTACTTCCTGCGTCACAGGTGCACCTCCTCTTCTGTTTGCTTTTCCGTTCTGCGTACCTAGGCACTCCGAAACTCTATAATAGATGGTAAACGTCCAACAACCAGGCTTCACCAATTCTCTAGCGTAGCCATGAGCAGCCTCAAGCGTTCGAGATCGGACCCACCGCCGCCTATCACTGTGGAAGACACGGCGACTGGCGAGCCGCCGCAACCGTCGCTATCGCCTACTGCAGGTAACTAAGCAGCCAATAGAAGTCGAGGCTCCGACTAACTAGCAAGCAGAGCGAGCCAAGACCTTCGATGTACGGTCGGGTTCTGCTCTCGAGGACTCGGAATCAGATGCTCGTCATCGTCAAGGTGGTCCCGGACACAAACGCAAGCATAGTCCGAACCTCCAGTGGCACGAACAATGGACCGACGAAAGCTGGCAACATGGTCGCGTCCTGATGATAGACTATATTGGAAAGAGACATAGTCCAGAGGGCAAGAGAAAGGTGGTCAGTCAGGAATTTCGTGATGTGGGCAGCCTGCGTAGGTTTTACTCGAAGAAAGACCGCTCGCAGCAGGCACTCAGGGTCATCCACGTACAGAACGCGCCTTGGGCCGTGCGCTTTCTATTAGGCAAGTTTAATATCGATGGAAAACATGACCTACTTGGAACGACCTTCAGCAGATGGGCACAGCACGAACGACCAATGGTACGAAACAATAAACCAGTACCTAATGGGAGGACGTTCCGGGCTCAGCACGATCCTTGGAGAGGCATAAGCCGTGCTGCATTCAGCTGTGACTACCTGAAGCACTATCCAAAAGGAAAGGTGCAAAATGCCAAAACTGGGACCAAAATGATGGAGCTCAACGGCTATGACACGGACGAGATGCCTTCTCATGCCTACGACGCCCTTGTGCAGCGTCTCTCGGTCTACATACAGCTGAGTTCCTCCACGCCTGGATCAGCAACCGATCCCGACATACCCAATCCCTACAACGAGGAAGACTTCGAGGACTACCAGCGCTTGAAAAAGTCTTACGGCGATGTCAACGCGAACGAGCACAGGGAGAAGTATATACCCAAACTCAACACCTTGGACAATGGCAGTACCATTATCGTCTTCGAGTCATCACAGTCTGGCGATGTTAAGGACACGCTAATCGGCGCTCGACAAGAGGTGGAATCTCGCTGGCGTCGTCTCACTTTTTATCTTTCGCGTGCGGAAGCCTCTTCTAACGAGACCTTGACAGTGCAGTGCACAGATTACATTCTGAAAGACATCTTCCAGGCTCTAGCTTACAATTGGACCCGTTTCTTCGCAGCTTGCGAGACCCACGTGGGCATCCTCGAAGACAAGATATATGACAATCCTGCCGATGAGTCCCGCGACCAAGAGCTTTGGAGCAACAGTGCCCTGTGGCTGAAGGTGGAGCGTTTGGTTTGGAAACACCGCGACATGGTCGACGACATGCGTGGCTACCTTCAAGAGCTTGCGTCTGGTGACCCTAAAGACCAGGAATGGTTGGGAAGCGCACCCTCAGAGTTTGAACGCCTCACGAACCAATGCGAGCGCGACCTTATCAATCCTACAAAAGATCTCGCGGACTTGATGTACAAGAGCGTAGGTATCCGGGATGCCCGGCATTCTCTGCAGCTTGGCCTGTCTATGTGGCGCCTTAGTTGGATTACCTTTATCTTCTTGCCATTGACTTTCATGTGTGGCTTCTTCGGTATGAATGTCGACACTTTTGAGGGCAATCCTAGCATCAAATGGTTTTTCATCACTGCTATTCCAGTCCTGGTCGTGGTCCTCGTCTTGTGGTACGGAGTTAAGCACTCACTCTCAACACAACGGCAAAACCCACTCCGTAGAGGAGTCTACGAGTCCTTGTACCAGAACTTGGCGAACGACTATCCGCACTTGTGGACGAGCCGTGGGCCCAAATCTGACATCACTATGGTTGGTACGTTCGGGCTGCTCAAATGGCGACTAATCACACGGTGGTTTGGCAGCGAGAAGCTGCACAAGACGGGCGACTACAATCCTGCAGTCGACGAATTCAGCTCCTGGTCGCGCATCAAGCGATACCTCGTTAGCCGTTGGCTGCCTGAGCTTCGTATCGTACTCGCAGACACGCTACCCCAGAGCCAACGATTAAACGACGACCAGTCTAGGAGTATATCAAGCTCAGGAAATGACATAGGCGCCATCGCCGAGCTGATGACAATCGCTACGCCTATTGCAATGGCTGAGACCGAGCCTGTCGCTGCAAGCAAGTTGCAAAGTCGCCTGCAAGCAACCCGGCTCAAGAGTCTGAGCCCGGCAAGAAGCAGAACAAGCAGTGATGGAAGTAACAGTGAGGTCATGATTGATGAGCGGGGTGTTAGTGAAGACGAACGGAGCGGCGACGAGGATAGAGACGGGGACCGAGGCAGGTGGGATAGGAGGCAGCAACTAGACGTTCCGTTTCCTATGGGGAAGTCGATGTGAGTATGCTGCTGCGGCCTGGAAAAAGTACGTGGGAGACATGTGTGTTGAGTGGCGTCTTGGGGCCATATGAGCTATTGATGACAACTATGGACTACAGGTTCACGAATAACGCCTCCAAAAGATCCCTAGAAATAATGCTATAGGGTGGGGAAAAAATGTTCGCCAATTTGCGCATTGCCCCAAATCCGAGCCTAGGGACAAATTCTGTGCCCTCGAAGATTATCCAGACCTAGAACAAGAACCCGATCCTCAATCACGACCTTCGACGCTCAAGAGCGTCCTTAGCGGTATCTCTAAACGAGAAGCCGTTGAAGAGCCAGTCGTTGGAGTGCCTTCCACGCCACGGATCGCCACCGGTCGCCGTCCTCCCACTATCTTGGAGACTTGGTCGCGGTGCTTTGGCAGGAGCTTGGCTTGGTGTAGGTTGCGAGACGTGACGGGTGTGCTGGGGTCGTGCTGTGGAGAGTTGTTCGGGCGGCAGAATCATTGATGTCTTTGTATCTGCTCGGGACCGGCTTCTTGAACGCTCGCGCAAGCGTTCGGTAATGGCGCCGAAGAATGCGCGTGATGATGGTGACACTGGGGCAGATTGAGGAGACATCTGGCCGGTTGATTCTGTGGATTTCTGGGAATCGACTGTGGATGTGCGGATTGGTGGTGTTGGTTGGAAGTTTGATTGGTCGTGTGATGACATGCTTGCTGTTTCGTAGCTAAATGACGATGCAGTGTGTGTACAGTACGATTGAAGCGATGAAGTTTGGTGAGATCGTGTCAATATGCGATGGCAATGTGCTGCTTATGAATACCAATTGAAGATGCGGCTCAAAGGGATGGATTTCAAGCGAGATATCTACAATACACGACGGTCACGACCTACCACCTTTTGCTGCAAGTTCGCGAGTTGCATGGCTAGCGGCATCGTCGTTCGAATGGGGGTGTCGGTGACCAACTTTCTCCACCCGAACACCACAGCCAATCACCGCCCTCAACGCCCCGACAGAATGCCTAATCTGTCGACCGTCCTGTCGTTCGCACCAAAATCTCACCGACTCTGACATGCGGACCGACGGTCTGGAGTGGGTCCACGAACTGCAACCGACCGACAACGCACAGAGCCCAGAGTTCATTCCTGATCAAGACTTGATTGCGATGTAGGGCAAGCCAATCAACGCGCCGCCGGTGAACAGCTGCCTTGAAACCAAGGTTTTTGTGTCACCCGCTTGCGACTCCAGCACTTGGTTGCACCCGCTGGTCTTGAGTAGGTACTCGGAAAAGACCGATCGTACGACTCCGACCAGTGTACATTGATTTCGTTTCAAACAGTGACGATTTGCCATTTCGGTTTGTTCTGTGCGGACGCATTCCACGCCGCTGCGCAATGTTGGAGATCGCGGGCCTTCGTTTCATGTGAGGGCAAAGATCATGCGTACCTCTTGCCAGATTGGTGTTGCGGCCAGAGCGCAGAAGACAACGGCGGTTCCGTGGTCATGCAGGCAAACTAACGCGCCATTCAGTGCCGCGCATACATAGTGCCGTACCATTTGACTGTTCCGGCGGTTGTGGTAAATGCGTTCTACTGTGGTATCAGGCGTAGGTAATGTGGGTGGAGACCGGGGACCAGGGAGTCGCCGATCCTGACCAACCTTTCAAATGTGTGAGTTAAGCGAATAGATATTGTTCAAAATAGAAATTCTATCACCAACTACTCTGTGCAGAACTGTAATTTTGGGGATGGGTAGTCTTTGCTTGTTAGTCACTCCAAGACCCACCTACGTTATTTATGCCAGTATTGTGATCGCACCCTACAGTATTGCAGACGCCGTCCCCAGTTGTTCAAATGTCTATGAATAGTGCTGTAGAATTTTCTCGGCGACAAAAGAAATGCATCCGTCGTTCTCTCTGCTTGGATGGGCCAAAAGGGTAGTTGGATCCATCACTCTACAACAGCAAAAAGTACGGTATTTTCCAATTCAATCATAAGAAGGATGATGCATCCTCCGGGAGTCGAACCCGGGCCAATTGCTTGGAAGGCAATTATCCTACCGTTGGACCAAGAATGCTTGATGCGAATTCGGCCAATAGTTGAATATATATACTAGAGTTGTAAACATTCATGGCTGCATTTGTCAACCATCGCCGGACCTCATCTTTCTTGATACGATCATTTTGAATGGTAGTCTCTCGCTATTTTGCTCACGCGAGTCATGAATCCATCTTTTCAAAGTATTGAACCTCAGAATACCTACCAAGATACACGGCTAAAAAATATATCAGTCCAGTAGCCCATCCTCATTCAGTCAAAACTCCTATTAAATCTTTTACCTCATGTACATACAGAGCAGACAATAGTCCATCATACATCTGGCACGGGGTGACAAATGGCAAGTCTCACGATCAAAGAACACCAACAAAAACGAGGAAGACGGCGTGTGGCTATCTCAGTATACTGTTATATTATACGTCAGATACGATCCCGTCTTTTACTCGACTGACACTATCTTGTTGGGGCAAGAATGTAATGACATTGTTGTAACTCCGCCATAACATAATTCAAACGCTAGGGATGTTTTCAGTAGAAATAGCAGCAAAACAGTGACTCTGATTGCGGAGCAGGCTCTTGAATTTAAGATGCAGCGTCAAGGTTCGGGACCTTGCCTACTTCCTGGCTTTCTCCTGCGGCCCCAATGTCTCTATTCTCTCCTTCGACCTTAACAGCATCGCCCTCCTCGCTTCCACCTCCATACTGGACTCCCTCTCTCTCTTGGAGCTGATACACAACCATCCCATTGAGCGCATGTGGATGCATCTCGAAGTCACTCATCTTCACCATGTTTCTCTCTCCTAGCCACTTGCTCCCGAGCTCATTGCACTCCGCCAGCTTGGCCTTCTTTTCTTCGCTCTGCGCAAACGCCCCGTAGTCGTCCAAAATCTCGTTGCCTACATACAGTACGGGATCCTTGCCTGCAAGGAATATGGGCAGGAGGATGTACCAATCCACGAAGGGACTGAATACAAAAGTTTGAGGCGTGATATGCGTGGCGATGTCATCTTCACAGACGTGAATGGATAGGAGGGAGAGAAACTCCTGGTCGAGGGGGGTGAATGCAGGTTCTTGGGCGTAGAGTGTTACCTCTCGAGACTTCCCAGCTGCTGGCTGTTAGTTTCCATACTAACTGCGCGTACAGAGGATGAGGGAGGCCTACAATGCGAAACGACGGACTTAAACAGGACGAGCTGCCACATAGCTCTGTGCCTGTGCTCCCAGTCACGGCTGAAGCTGCCAATGCCAATGCACACAGCATTTTCCACAGCCCCTTTGGTCTTCGCCAACACGCTCTCGAGATGCTGCGCGCACGATGTAGTGTTCCATTTCTCGGTGCGGTTGTGGAAGTCCTGAAGCAGCTTCTCAGCCGTCAGACCTTGCACCAGGTCTGTGGGCATTGAGCCTGCGTGTGCATTGTTTCTGCCTGCTTTGCCTTTCTTCTTGCCATTGCTGACAGAGAGGTTTGATAATCCGTGGGTAATTACTGTCCAGCCATCGTCTGTGTCGACTTGTTGCCGCTTCACGCGTCCGCGGCCGCCCATGTTCGAGGTACTAGAGCTTGGTCCTTAGGAGTGGCAATCATTGTCGACGAGTCATGTCGATTCAAGACATAGCTGTCATCGATTACTCGTGTGTGGTCTTTGGTCGGCGGCGACTGTCAAGCGCAAGAATATTTGGAGAATGTTGGGTGGGGCGATGACAACGTGGGGCAGATCTGGCTCAATAACTGTGGGGCGTATCGACAACTCGATCCCTGACATGAATCCCATGTTGAGTTGCTGGTTCCTCGCCGCGGGCCTGGGCAAAAAGGCTCTGCGCCACGAGCCTTTCCTGTTCCTACAAAGTCTTTCTCAGTAGTTGCGGCAGTTCAACGGGGCAACTGTTCTAGTTCATTATTGGGTGCTAGAGACGGCCAGTAGTGCATCAAGTAGATTTCAGTAATGTTGTCTTACTCGTTTTCAGAGAAAAATATGTTTCATTAAGTATAATCGTGGGCATGGTGATCATGCTGAGCAGATGCTCCAAGCGTGTTATGTCCAGAAGGACGTTGCTGCACAAGTTCTGAGGCAAACGCGTCTAGAACATCTGCCTATTCCTCATCTCAACGGGCAAGAACACCATTACCAAAGCGGAAAGCCAGATTCCACCTGCTCCAAGCCAGAGAATACCAGAGCTAGCGTTGGCCAGCATTTGTGCGCCTGCGTACGGCGCAACAATACCTGCAATACGACCCAAACAGGATAGCATACCACTAACACTGCCGCGGTATTCAGTGTCGAAGAGCTCGGGCGCAGAGGCATAGAGGACAGCGTTGAAGTACTAGTTTGCTTCGTTAGTAATTGTTCTCGAACATCCCGTAGCACCACTTACAGTTTGCATGATGTACTCAAGTGCATTGAGACCAACGTAGCCAGCAGTGTTCTTAACCTGCGTGTACATGGCCATCGCCAGACCTTGACAGATAGCAGAGAAAACCAGTGACCATTTCCTGCCCAGGAGCGGCATCTGCACAGAGAGTAAAGCAAGCCCAGCGCCAATAATTCCAGGAGAATAGATGATGAGGTACTGCTGGTAGGTTTCGATGACGGTACCGCGACCATCGTTTACGTTGTTGCGCAACAAGATGATGGGCAAGAAACTGCCCGCCAAATTGAAGGACCAGTAGTCTCCCATGTACGCAATGCCGAGCAGGACAAAGATAAAGCAAGATAGCCTGTTGGTAAAGATGCCCTTGAGGCGACGAAGTTCTTTTCCAAAGCCCTTGACAACCCGCTTGTTCTTCTCTGTTCGCGTTAAGTTGGTAGGCACATCTTCCGGCACAACACCATCCATAGCATCGATTGCAGCAAAATGCTCGACGGTCAAAGTTGGCGGTGGCGCCCTGTTGAATTTGGCAATCTTGTGCAGAACCTCGATAGCTTCGGCTTCTCTACCTCTGGCGAGCAGAAACTTGGGCGACTCGTGGAAGGTGAAGACAAAGAAGCGGAGGAAGAAGATGACCAGAGTCACGACGCCAAGTATGATGAGGTTGTAACGCCATCCCATGTTGCTATCAACTGAGCAGCATGGCTCTCCATCCGGGACGGCTCTGCAGGACTCCAGAAGGGGCTCGCATCGCCATTTAGCGGTGGTACCCAAAGCGACAGCAGATGCGAAAACGACACCGATCGGCTGCCACATGGAGAGGAGGGCGACAAAGTAGCGGCGCTTCTGGGGCAAGAACTCGAGGGCAATGGTGGCATCGATAGGGATATTACCTCCAAGACCAAGAGAAGCGAGAAAGTAGATACCGCAAATGGCAGCATAATTGTACTTGGGAGCGGCCTATGATTTTGTTAGAAATGCCACACCGATCTCTTAACGCGGGTCCTTACCAAGAGAAGCCCAAAAATTGAAGTGATCAAACAAGTCAGGTTGAAGGCCCACTTCCTGCCAATGATGTCGACTGCAAGACCGAAACCGAGCGCACCAATAGCGAGACCGGCATTGGCGCAGGTGAAGATGATACCAGTGTCGCTGTCAGCAACACCCATCTCCTGGTAAATTGCGGTAGACGCAAGACCAACACCCTGCGACCAGGCGAGATCCAGGAAGTAACCGAAACCACAGAGAAACCAGATGCAGATCTGATATCTGCCCAGACCAAACTTGTCGAGTTCAACATTGATGAGAGCAGCCTTCTTTTCGAAAGTGTTCATAGGCTTTGCCGCGGTTCCGCGAAGGATCGCGCCTATCGACAGATCCTCAGAGGAAGCTGCCTCTACGTCATTGTAGATGGGGACCTGAACACCGCCATCAGGGTGAGAGAGTGAGCCCTTCTTCTCGTCCTCGTGGACAAATTCGTTAGAGTTGTGAGAAACCATTGTGAGTGACCTTCGATGCAAGGGAGGACGGCACAACAATGGGTTGGAGTAAGTCGCGTGTTTGGTTACGCAGGACCGCACGGCTGGGTATTATACCTAGCCGTGCCCACTATGAGCACAACGGTTTGCTAGCACTGTCAGCCTACCGCGGAGCTCACACGTTCGGATCTACGCGACAGTAGCTGCGATCTCATGGGGGGTGTTGGTTAGGCTGTCGGTACTAAATCCCATAGCTCACACCCAAGACGGCAAGCGCGTTGCTGATTGGTCGACGCATAATCGTGACGACAGTGAATAACCCACGTTACGCAGATTCGACAGGCTTTGTCTGTTCGAAAGCAGTCGGCTTGACCGTGATGTGGCGTTAGAAGAGTTTGCACGAATTTAGAACGATTACGGCACTAGTTAGACTGAATTCAATGTCCCCTCGGTGAAAGGCGCATACAGAAGGAATGCAATAGACAGTGACGGGAACGGTCGTGCCACTGGATACGCACCTGCTATTGCATGGCAGTCGGCTTTCTAATCCTTCGTCTTTGGCCTAGTCGGTAAGTACTAAAAGATCACATGTTGTATACTTCTCAGCTGTGGCTGGCGTAGGTTCATATACCGAGTTAACATTATGGTGACGATACCACGGGTACACGGCTACGCAGCGCAAACTTAGATTCTCTACCTGTCAACGTTCTGGCAACTCATTAAAATCTTTGTTTGCCAGCGTCCGGAGTCAGCTACACCGCCCTATCCGCCCGAAAATGCGGGAACCCGAACCCTTGTTATCGCGTGCAGTGATCCTCCCGTGCCATGTACGTGATGCGCCACACCGTTAAAAGCGGATAATGTTGGTTACTAAGGGTTCGAACGCCTACATTGGTCAGGCTCATGCAACACATGTTGCGGGAATAAGGTAAGAGCTGTATCCTGCAACGGGCTTTGTGATCAGATCACCTTTTTGGCCCACTTCGTGTTGTCTTCGAAGATGCTGTCCTGGCCTGGCTAGCTGCAGTAGGTGCATCGAATGTCCTTGTGGCTCGTTTCTTCGTGGGCTGCGCAGAAGCTTCCACCTGGTCGTTTTCCTCTACTTTCCGCTTGCGAGTTGTGTTGGTTTGAGCATGACTCTTGCTTATCGTCTGGCTGCCTTCGGCACGTTTCCGTGACGCATGTGTACCAGCCTCCTCATCAGGAGGTGTTGGCGGTCTGTTGATGTCGTTGGTGGTGGTTGAAGTTGGAGCATCTGCGGATGACTCGGTACCGCTGTTTCGCTGCTGCGCTACCCAAGAGAGAAGGTTCGCTTCTGCCTCCGGATCTTCCTCGTCATTTTCGTCGCCCTGGTTGAGCATAGCATCTGCCATTTCACCTGCTATATCGTCTCCAGCATCCTTACCAGTGGCCATTCTCATGGCGAAGTCTAACAACTGCTGTGGATCCATGCCGCTCAGAGGACCACCAGCTTCAGCTAGTCGGCTCTGTAGTGCAGCCATCAACGCCGCTGGGTCAATATCCATCTCATCTTCGTGTGCGCCTTCGTCTTCCTCGTCCAGTGCTGAAGGAGGAGATGCGGCTTCTGCGACGCTGGCAACCTCTGCTACATGTTGCTGTTCTCTCGCAGCTTGCACAGTTGGTGACTGAGGTGGTGAACCCCTCGCCCACTGCGGGGTGTCTTTGAGCACCTTCCTCCAATCCTGAAGCACTGTGTATGGCTGGGCACCCTCGTCCAGAAGCTTGGGCTGTGGTTCTCGATCGGCCTGTGAGCGCCAGACGATAGGTGACATGCCCAACGCTACTACCTCTGTCTCTCCTAACACCCGTTGCCTCTTCTTGCTGTGGCTTGGCCTAACGTGCCGCTTCCTCTTTCCACCTATGTTTGTGCCTTTTGCATCGTGCGCCTGAAAGATAGCGTCGTCGTAGCCATCCGAGGCATACTCGAGGTCGTTGAAATAATCGAATCTGTCCCAATCCTCGGCAGCATCTTCGTCCGCATATGTGGTAGGCGGCGGCGATGCTACAGCGTGCTCTGCCAAGTCGTCGGCTGCGATAAACTCCTCCTCGATGTAGAACCACTCCTCTCCATAGTCGGAGTAGTCATCGCCGTATTCGCTCATGATCGACTTCGTGCAGCGGGCTGCATGCGGTGCGTAGGTTGTGTCGCACTGAAGATGTGTATGCAAGGCGCCGGCGCGGTCGATACAAGTCGGTTTGATGGATGCAAAGCCCCGTAGTCGTTTGTGATAGTTGGTCTCGAGTGGAGGTCTTGGTGTCAAGGGGTTGTAGGGAGGATGACTGAGGTGACCGCGTGCAAAACACTGTCACAACAGGGTCCAGTCGCAACTCACGTCCACCTCGCACCGTCGTCATCGTGCGCCCACTAGTCCGCGCAAGCAGCTGCCGCCTCCAGCAAGCACACGTGTGCCATCACTTCCAGCTTGCAATACCCTTTCTCTGGTTTTTTACCCAATCGGGCAGTTACCTTCCTCTGGGAGCGCGTTGCAACTTCAACCTCGCGCTAGGCTGTCTCGGTTGATCGGTTCCCTGCGGGTTAAGTTGCTGCCGCGGCATTACCCCAGCTTTCTGAACGGCCTTGTCCCGCACATGCACAACAATGTTCTTTTGTAGCTTCTAATCCTACTCAATCTTCTCTTCACAGCTCCTCGCAACTCTCACCGTGACCATGCGTGCCCTTCGAAAATCTACTCATCTCTCACGCCAGCTCGTAGCTGCCAATGGCACGCGCTTCAACTCCACAACCGCGCCGGCTGCCAGAGCGCTGACCTCCGTCCTGATTGCCAATCGTGGAGAGATCGCACTGTACGGTCATGTAAAAATGTCCAAATTCCTCGCTAACGTGACCCAGCCGTGTTGGCCGCACAGCTTCGGAGTATGGCGTGCGAACGACTACTCTCTATACCGATCCAGATGCTCGTTCACAGCACGCTCTTAGCTCACCCTTCGCTGTCAACCTCGGCGATCCTTCTGCATATCTGGATGGAGACAGGATAATCCAGATCGCAAAAGACCAAGGCTGCCAGGGAATACACCCAGGCTATGGATTTGTATGACCATCAACACATCAAGCACTCTGCGACAGGTTGCTGACAAGGTGCAGTTAAGTGAAAACCCCCACTTTGCGAAGAAATGCACGGAGGCTGGTATAACCTTCATTGGGCCACCAGCTTCAGCGATCGAAGCCATGGGCAGTAAAAGGTGTGCATTGCGCTATGGCAAAACTTCAACGCAGCTGACAAGCTCTCAGTGAATCGAAGAACATCATGACAAAGGCTGGTGTCCCTTGCGTCCCAGGCTACCACGGTAGCAATCAAGACCCCGATTACCTGAAGAAAGAGGCAGCAGGAATTGGCTACCCTGTTCTGCTCAAGGCGGTCAAGGGTGGTGGTGGCAAAGGAATGCGAATTGTCAACACAGAGCAAGAGTTCTTCGATCAGTTATCTTCGGCTAAGGGAGAAGCCCGCAACTCTTTTGGAGATGAAGTGATGCTGGTCGAGAAGTATATCACAACTCCACGCCACATTGAGGTACAGGTATTCGCAGACAGGCATGGGAACTGTGTCGCGCTGGGCGAGCGTGATTGCAGTATCCAGAGGCGGCATCAGAAAATTTTGGAGGAGTCTCCTGCTCCACATCTACCGGAAGAGATTCGTCAGGATCTTTGGGAGAAGGCTAGACAAGCTGCTCTTGCCGTCGGCTACGAAGGTGCTGGCACAGTCGAATTCATCTTCGACAATGACACTGGCGAATTCTTCTTCATGGAGATGAACACCCGTTTGCAGGTCGAACACCCTGTCACTGAGATGGTTACAGGCACAGATCTGGTACACTGGCAGCTCATTGTCGCAGAAGGCGGTCGTCTGCCCTTGACACAGCAAGAGATTGAAGCGAGGATCAAGGAACGCGGTCATGCCATTGAGGCACGCATTTACGCTGAGAACCCTGACATGAACTTCATCCCCGACTCTGGGCTTCTCCTCCACCTTCGTACACCCACGCCGACACCTACAGTGCGAATAGACTCTGGATTTGTCGCTGGTGATGAAGTTTCTTCACACTACGATCCTATGATCTCGAAACTCATCGTTCAAGGACCCACCAGAGAGGCTGCGATCCAGAAGCTCCGGACAGCACTGGAGCAATACGAGGTTGCTGGCCCCATTACCAATATTGAGTTCATCAAAAAGATGTGTGTCAGTCCAGACTTCATCGCCGGTGAGGTCGAGACAGGTTACATCCAAAAGCACCATGCTGAGCTCTTCACGCCTGTTCCTCCCGCACCAGAAGTCTTTGCGCAAGCTGCTCTTGGCCTCGCTCTCCAGGAAATCTCCTCGAGGAGGTCAGACCCTTTCTCTGGCCCGCCCATCTCCGCTGCTGGCTTCGGTCTCGGCTTCCAACAACGCAAGTTTGATTTGGTAGAAACATCCGCTGACGGCAAAGGCGATGTCACAAGCACACCCGTTACCATCGTGCAAACTGCGCCATCTAAATTCGACGTTACTGTAGGCTCTGAAACGTACGATAACGTAACGAGCACATTCAGCCCAACAAGCAACACACTCACAACGTACTATCCCCACACACGTCTCTCCACAACATTTGTCCGCGATGAAGACCGCCTCACCTTATTCCAGCAAGGCAAGCAGTACCGTCTGCAGCTTGCAATGCCCAAGTGGGCAGAGAAAGCCCTTGGTATTAAGGATGTCACAAACAGTGTGTTGGCACCCATGCCGTGTAAAGTGCTGAGAGTAGAGATCGAGGAGGGACAAGAAGTGAAGAAGGACCAACCGCTTGTGATCATCGAGAGTATGAAGATGGAAACCGTAATCAGGAGTCCAATGGACGGTGTCGTCAAGAGAATTGTCCACGGAAAGGGAGTAAGTGACATATCTTTCACAATAGAGATGGAAGCTAACATTTGTTTCAGGATCTCTGCAAGGCAGGTACAGCACTGGTGGAATTTGAGGATGTTGAGAGTACCTCGTAATGGGAACGACACTAGTAAAATTACAGACGATAGATTCACTCGGTCACAAAATGAAGACACCAATTTTGCTCTGCATACCATCTGCTAAATCTCTTTACTAAATCTCTCTTTTATTTGCGAAGTCTCTACGCGAAGTACTATGCAAGACTGACTAGATACATCACCTATGACACGGTATGATCCCAACAGCGCATACCATCGTTATGCATACAGAAGCGAACAGATGTCACACACACACATACACACATGATCTCGTGAATAGGTGCACGTTCAGAGTTCTCATGATGAGGTCCTGGTATACCTGCAATTTCAATTGTTTGATCTCGCAGGTATTTCACTTGTACTTGTAGGTACCCAACAATGAAGTAAATTTTTGTCCAACACCTTGTCGCCATCTTTTCGTCAACGCAGGTACTACGCCTAACGCAGACCTTCTGCGATGAACAATACAAACAGCTGTCATGCAGAGCGCGAACACAGCAAGAAAGCAAGGTGAGGGCTGTCCGATCTTCAGTTACCGCTTGACAGTATCAGATCAGCCATGATATGTTAACGTTACCTGCATTTGGTCTCCTCTGGACTCCAGCAACATACAAGAGGCTGAAGTAAGGTCAAATTCGACAATGTTGGCACGGTCTGATTCACTGAATGGAATGAATATGCAAGTAAAGGACATGCATAAAATCAGTTTTGTACTCGCCCCCGATCGCACCTGACAACTATGTGAACAACTGTTTGAGCTTGACCCAAGTCTAGAGACATGCTACATGGAGATATTCTTAGACTCAATATCGTATATTCCATCCCACACGTTTGATCATCTCAGGCCTGGGTGAGCACTTCTGGTAAGTACTACCGCATGACTGCCTCAACAACCTCTTGACGCCAGCCTGCACTGGCAAACCATGCAGCGGAATAATTGCAGGAGCGTAATATCTAAACAGTAGTAGCACAGCACGACATCAACACACAATAGACCAAAGTATCACAGTGAAACTATTCACTGTCGATATCAGCAGCATGGCTAAATTATCAATGACTACCGCGTTACGTACGTCGCCCCAGCCTTAGGGACCACTGTGATTGTCACAACACTTCACATTCAACAAGTCTCCAACGCCTTTCCAATTTGTCCACACGCAGTGTCTAAACGATCCTCAGGCGAACACTCCAATACTCCAATCTGGGCATTTTCGCCAGCGTCGTGCGTGAGCGAAGCGGACTCTTTGATCTTAAGTAGGGCCAGAAATCAAGTGCGTTCGCGTATCCAAGTGTGTGCTATCATAATAGCCATGTCTGACTCGGACGGTGTGCGGTCGTTGCCTGAGCCTCACTGGGTATGTGAAAACACGTCCAGAGAGATCTCCATGCTTTGCTACTCCAGGTCATGACATTATCCGACAATCCAGAGGGCGAACTAGATCATCTGTGATCGATACCAGCACAATGAAGGGGGATCCATCGAGACCCCCATCTCACTCACTTGTCCACATGGACACATCTCCAACTCACCAGTCCGAACTTGCAACTTCCAACTTCCAACTTTCTATCCTATCTCGCAGGGTCACCGCAGCTCGCACGTCCCGGTCCTCACCGGACAGATAATCCCGTACGTATACCACCCACATCGTACCACTTTCCAGACAACGCTCATATCCCACGTCTTACATCCTAAATGCGAGACGTTTCAACACCGCTATTGTTCTAGGCGTCATCTCCACAGACCCACTGTGTACGCTGCTAGTAGTCTGCTACATAGTTGTGCAAACTCAATGTGCGCGGAGGATGCAAGCCCGGGGAGATCTGGCGAGCTGCACCCTGCAAGTGCACTACCCGTTCGGCGTGTTTAAGATCTTGATCTTTGTTTTGGACAGCCAGGCCCGCACTTGCGCGCAACAGGGAGCACCAGGGCCGCAGCGGTGCTGGGAACCGCGCATCGCTATCTGATCGGTGGGCTGGGCGCACGCATCAGGAGTTGCTTGCGCGGAAATGGCCGCATGGACGCCGCCGGCAGTTCGGTGTCTTCTGGGGCGCTGGCCTTGCGCGCTGGCCTGGCTCCTGCGCGTACGGCGCTGTGCGTGTCGCGAGTTTCCGTCCAATCGCTGCCCGCCGTGGCTGCAGTGAGCAGCGCTGCGTCCATCCGCTGTGATGACAGGCATCTGGGCACGTTTTGGCAATGACAGGCCGCGGCCCGGCAACGTCCGCCTGCATCCCTGTTGGCCGTGTCCAAGGCCGAACTGGTCCACGTCGAGCTTGCTTTTTAGAGTTTACGGTGGCGCGCGATATCGTGCGGGGCAAACGCTTGTTGCGATCGTTCGAACGGCGGTTGGGCGGCTGGTTAGTATGCGTTCACGGCCAGCGTCACGAACAAACTCTCCTGGTTGGTCGATGCACAACCAATGAGAATGATGTTGGGACTACATACTTCAGTCCAAGTGAATTCACTTAGGTAGGCAATGGAGTATACGAGGGTAAGAGTTAAACCGAGAAGCAGATCAGGTGGAGCCCTGGCACGGCTCCTGCTCGATGCAATGCACTAAAACAGCAACAGAGAAAGGCACGCTCCATCTGGGTCTCCAATGAGTTAGCAGTGCCTATCACTGATGACATTTGGTTTCGGAAGCAAGTACCCATGTAACCCGCCTTCCCAAAGCCTATCTCGGGCTGATCTCAAGTCCCGGCGCACGCGAGAAGTTCGATTTGTGCAACCATCGTGCCTAAAATATACAGGGCCGAACAACTCGTGTCACGCTCGTGCACAGCATGTACAACGACGTACACAACGTGTCCACGAGACTCTACACTTCGGCCCTTACAGAACGCGGGTGCGACCCTCCTTCACTATCTTGTCTTTGTTCCTGTTTTCAGACCAGCATGACCCAGCTTGTCACTTGTCAAGCCTGTCAGCCCCGCACCAGTTGTATCTAGGATCCCATCTATTAAGAGTCTGCACTGAGAAGTAGGCCGACGACGATAGTTTTTCAATGGAGGCGGTCAGGAGTAGGAAAGACACGATTGGCCAGTGGATCCCCAATCTGTCGCGCCGTGCCGCTTCGTTACCGGTCATTGGCTGTACAGTATCCCGAAGGATTGTGTAGTGAAAGAGGACCAAGTCTAGATTTGAAATTATAGAGATTGCGTGATATGAGGCCGCTGCATCTGGGTACGTGCTCCGGGAGCTGATACACCCGTTTCGTAAAAATTGTGCGGCCGATGCTATCAGGTCATGCTCGCGAGACCACACAGGATGGTCGTCGTCGCTCTTGCTGTGGTAAAATTGCATGCATGTCGCGTTTGAGTGGGCAAATCGTGTAATCTAAGTGCATGTATGTATTTATGGCCGATCAAACAAGACCGGCCTACCGAATGATAGCGAACACGAAATTATCATCTAGCAAGAAACGATCGGGAATACACCGACTCCTCCAATGACTCGCTTGGAATGCACAACCATCCACCTTCGTGAAGATTACATGCTAGTCGTCAAGCTTCCGTAGTCGCAGTCCAACGCCGATGTAGAACAGAATAGACATATCTTAGAGTGCTTGCAAGGAATCGTTACTTGCGGACAGGGTATCTAATGCCGATGTAAGGGTACGTAAATGTGCCCGAGAGCTTGAGAATCGAGAAGGAAAAGCAAGATAACCTGAAACATCAGGCAGTATCCTGAGACACTTTGTCGGACAGTCTTCAAGAACAAGGATTTGTCCTGAAGGCAATGCGTCGAGTGTCAAAAGCGGCAGCCTTCCCCGGTCGTTCTGTAGGGGGTCCCTGTTCAGTGCCGGAAAGGTGGGGCCCGCAACGGCTGTCCGTGACCAGGGCTTGGATCCTGGCCGTTGAGCGGAAAGCTCTTAAGGAGAGCCATCGCGCCTCGATTTCTTGTTTCGCTCGATTCTGTCATTCCACCTGCGCTTTCCGACACGGGTCTCAAAATGTGGCGCTACTTGGGTCACGTCTTGGCCTTGGCCCATCATGCTGCTTCGCATCTTATTGCGATAGGCATCGACTGTCCATGAGGTTAGTCTCAACAACATTCTATGCTTGCGACAGGTACTTACGAGATTTTTGCAGAAACAATGTCCTGCCTGCGAAGACACGACTCTGGCTCCAGCTCATGCGATAGCCAAGGTCGTTCAATGTAATCTCCTTCGAGCGCTTCACCCTCGTAAGACGCGGCTTCGGTACACGTGTCTCACCATCGAGAGAAGGCACGATGACCGTGGTTGAGCCAGACAACGGAAAGCTTGGATCACTCTCAAGATCTGGCTCGTCTGCAAAGACCTTGCTGCCTCGCGGGCTCGCTGGTGGCGAGGTCATCTGCATGGCGAAGTAACTGCGAGGGAACACAGAATTGGACTTGCGGTAAGAGTCTGGCATCTCCTCCATCTTAACGGTGTCAAGAGTGACTCGAACACGAACTCGAGTGCCTCGCTGTGCGTCATCCACTAAGATGAACTTACGACGCTTCGACTCGGGTAAGTCGCCGAACATAGCTAGCTTTCTCTCCTCCTCATCCTGCTCCTGCTGCTTTGATGTGGAAACACCAGTCGCGTGCGGTGGCGGAGGATACTTCATATCCTCGTGATTGGGCGGCAGACCGCTCGAGGCCGCCACTGATTCACCCGAAGGGAATGTGGGGTAGAAGTTCTGCGTTTGCCGAACGTCGGTCGGAGACTGTGTCCCGTTCGGGGCTTGATGGTGATGTGTGTGCGCCTCCGAATATTCATTGCCTGTGAACAAAGAGAAATTAGCTCGCACGTCCCATGAAATGTGATCGTCCCCGCCTTCTGCGCTAAACCAACAATGTGTGCATCGGTGTGATGCGGGGTGTATACAAGCATTGCGTACAGGCATAGAGGGTAGCTACTCCGAAGGGGTATTACATCAAGGAGTGTGTAATATACATGCAGTGCAGAAAGGACAGAGGTATCATTTAACATCCAACAATTGCGCTTAACACATCAACTCATCTGGTGAAACATACCGCTAACATCATCCGGTCCTCCCTGTGGTCCTCCTGGATGATCGTGGTGGTGGTGCATCTGTGGGGCACCCATGCCCATGTTCGATTGGCGAGGCGGTGCTGCCAAAGCTGCCGAGTTGGGTACACCGGGTGCTCCTGGGCCACCTGGACCAGCCATGTGGGCACCGTGTGTGTTAGACTGAGCCTTTCGTGTGGTCATCTTCGCCATTCTCCTGACGCGGCGACTCCTCAGTCGAGGATCTTGGTTGCTGTTTCGCCAGCTGTCGACTGCACGTTGAATGAGTCCGCGCTTGCCCCTCAAGCAGGGGTTCAGTTGTGCCAATGCCCAACCGACCGTGTTGCACTCAGTCTCGTAGTGGAGACGGTTGCCCTTGTATGAATCCTTCGCGCAGCATGCGCGAGGATAGACACAGTTCTCCGTCTTAAAATCCGCGGGAAGCTCTTCGACATTGATCGACTCTACGTCACATCGAATGGTATACTCCATCTTCACGCGATCGCGTGAGTACTCAAAGGCAATCCACTGAACACCGTTCTGATCCTGTCGTACGACAAGTGGTGTTGTCGCCGGAATAGGGCCAGGCGCAGCGTTGGGGTTGACGCCAGGACCTGCAGGCGGTCCCTGGTGCATGTTTGGCGTACCAACCGGAGGTGCCTGAGGCTGCTGCTGTGGCGGGCCGAGACCTGATGGTGGGCGCTGCAGCGGTGTCTGCGACAAAGGCGGCTTTGGGCTTCCAGTCATACCTGGGGTACGTGGGTGAGGCTGGTGGGGGTGCTGCATATGCTGGCCTTGCTGGTGTGACATCAAAAGAGGGTTTGATGCCATGGGTTGTTGTGGAGCTGAGGATGGGTGCTGGCTGTAAGGTGATTGTTGAGGCACAGGTGCAGAAGCGTACGGTGTGTAGTACATTGACTGAGGCATCTGGCTTGGTGGCTGGCCGTAAATGGGCCTTCCATGCTGGTCGTGCTGTGGTGACTGAACAGATGCAGGAGAGTTAGACTGAGGTGTGTGATACGAGATCGGAGGGAACCCCGACCGGTTCATGGTTGCGGCAGCCATGAGCTCAGGTGTTTCTGTGGCATGTTAGAATTGGTTGGGGCTTGTTTACTGGGCGGCGGTGAAACGCAGAGACGCGTTTACGCGCTCGTTGGACGCGTTTTTGCACGCGCGCGGGGATCATAACACATACCTGAAGACGAGTAGTTACTCGGCGCACTGTTGGTGCTGTAAGGACTAGGGTGCGCCTGATAGTAAGGGACCTCTTGCTGTTGCTGCTGCTGCTGCTGCTGTTGCTGCGGCGGCGGCGGCGGACCTTGGATCTGCTGCACGTAGGGCGACTGGTGAGGTGGAGGGCCTTGAGCCTGGGAGGGATGAGGGGAAGGGTAGTGTCCCTGAGCTGGGCTCTGGTTTGGCGGTGGCTGGTGGGGGGAGCTGGGGTGCGGCTGGTGATGGTGTTGCTGGACCTGTCCAGGTCTAGGGTGTTGCGGGTGCTGAGGATGTTGTGGATGTTGCGGGTGCTGCGGGTGCTGTGGATGGTGAGGATGATGGTTTGGCGGCGGCAGGCCCTGGGCCGAGTGGGGGTGATGCTGTTAGGCGGACGCGGTCAGCAACAGTGCGTAGGAAAATAAATGTAGAGGGTATAGGCAGGCTGTGATGCAGCAACAAACAGACGAGGGGTGCAAGGTGCAAGACAATGAAGCGCAAGCTCAAGGCCGGGGTGCGGGGCAGGGCACAGTGATGTGCGCGCGATGTGCAAGGCGGCAATGATCTCTAGGCGAGGAGCAGGGTCTGGAAAGAGACAGGAAGGTAGGGTTTAGTTATAGGACAGGAAGGGCAGGCTAGCAGTGTGCGCGGCGACGTTGACAACACAGAGGGCGGTGGGAGCGGAGGTCAAGCTGGCCGCAGGGATCCCGCTGCGTCGCGCTGAGTGACAAGACGCGGCGGAGAGAAAGCAGCGCGACGAGGCGCCCAGCAGAGGTGCGACAGGGTTGACAGGGGGTGGTGGTCGGGGAACTTGGGTCGCAGCCCTGCTACGGTGTGTACCAGGGCCACTTGGCGGGGGGAGGGCATACCATGTAGGCTGAGGGCGCGCAAGCTGGGTTGTGCTGGGAGCGCTGGCGGGGGGGGTGCAAGCGTGTGGCCGCGGCGTGCAGAGGCTGCTGCAGGCTGCAAAAGGAACGAGGATGAAGCCAACAGCGTGACAGCGACGGATTACCGTGGGCGCGCGAAAGCTCAAACTCCAACGGTCGAGGGTGCCAGTGCAGAAGGGCCGATGTTGGGGTGCGGCGAAGCGAGTGTATGCGAGAAGGAGAGGGCAGGGAAGCAGAGTCGACTCACCATCTTCTGCGACGCTACAGGCGCCGGGTCTTCCTTATACCTCCGGGCCCTATCTGGGGCATGCGACAGCGACATGTTGATTCTGGTTGCGCGCTGGAGGTCGAAGGATGCCGGGAAGGCTGGTCTGAGCGCCGGCCGACGAGGGTCAGAGCAAGTGCAGTAGCGCTGGCCTGCAATTTCACGCGCAGCAGCAGAGGCCGGGCAGGGAGCGCAGCAGAGCAGAACGCCGAGATGGCCGTGAAATAAACGTAAACGGGCTCAAACCGCTAATGCACGGTCGGCCGTGGTGCTGTTTTGAGCGCGCCAGCCCGCGGATGCGTGTGCGCCGGGATCAGGGATCGCCGGTGAATACACGACGACGTTGTGCAGGCAGCCTGCGAACTGGCTGAAGCCTTCGACGCCGGGCAGCAAGCAGCGACGGCTGGCGCAGCCGAGGGCGGTGAGCGCGGTGCACGCGACGACGACTCGCTGCGCTCCAGGGCTGCCTCACTGTTCGCGTTCGCGTTCACGTCCACGATCGCCGCACGTCGAGCCAGCACTTGGCGCTGCTCTCGCGCCCGCGGCAGTTGCAGCAGCCCAGCAGGCCCCAGCGGACGGCAGCAGGTTCCCTCCGCAGCAGGCCCGTCTCTGCAAGCACCTGCCGCTGTTCGTCGACGGCCTCGCCCCGCGACCTATATCAGCGCTGTTATAGATGCAGCGCGCCCTCGACCTGCTTATGCGTCTCCAATTTCGCCCCTGCAGCAGTTACTATCTTTTGCACGCACACGCCCCAGCCTGCGCACCGCTCGCCGCTGATACGCGTCACTCTACATGTGGCGTAATATCTGTCGAGTCTCTAGTGCACCGTTTGGCAGTTGCACCAGAGCCAGCGGCCCACCGCCGCTGCCCCTATTGGCTGACGCCGCCGGTGAGTTAAGTTGAGTTGGCGCCCAAAACGGCGACGCTACCAGCTTCTTAACGTTGCCCAGCAGGCCTCTATTGGCCGAGGCACGCCCGCTCCGGATCGCCCACGCGATGCAACGAGCGGAAATGGCTCTCGGGAGACGGGATGGCAGCAGCCTGCCAGCACCACGCTCGTCCACCACCATCTGATCGGCCCTGGCACTCGTGAGATCGCGGGGCCATGTTGCCGAAACATCCCAGAGCAGCACCACGATCCTCCAGGGGCGCTCTCACGGGTCTGTGTTTATGCGTCGGGCCCATGCGTGTCGCTGCTGCTTGGGACGGCAATCCGAGTAAGATTGCTGCTTCATGCTGAAATCGGTTTCCACGAACAGCAACGCGAATCACCACTTGCCCACTCGTCACTGTGAATCAGCACTGCAGCAGCGTCGGGCCCTGAGAGCGTAGAAGAATTATCTCGGTGCCATTGCCTCACCTGCTTCGGTCGCAATCGCAGATTGCGCTGCCGCCCCGCCTCGAGGCTTTCTCATGCCGTCTTCTGCTCGTCCTCTGATGGAACATGATCCGCAAAATCTGACACACGACACGCGGCCCATCCATGGACCGAACTCTTCAAAACTTTGGTTGACGGGCTTCGAGAAGAACATGTAACAGCCACGTCGAGGGCGCCATGTAGACACACACTGCTCCCTGTCTGCGATCGTGACATGGGACCTTGACCTGTCCAAACTGTAATGTTCCGAGCGAGTCGTTCGCAGCGGGGCGCGCGCGGAGAAACCCTGAGGGCAGTGCTGGCCTGGCTGGTCGACCAGGGAGATAGAACCCTAAATCAACGCCAGCCGTTCTGACAGCCTCCAGCCTAAGCAACACACTTTCTGCTCAACGGCCGCCCCGTTCCCTCAAACCTTATGCTTATTGTCACTATGCCCACCAGACCCCAAAATTACACGCCTCTATCCACAATCTTGTACCTGAGGATTTTCTGCTGTGGGTGTTCAGCAGTATGACCACCGTCAGCCACGCTCTTGATCCGAGTAGCACGGTCTCTGACGAGCTGCAGGTCGATCAAACGCAGCTCTGCATCGACCTACTGTTCACAGCAATCCAACGTCCAACATGCAGCGCCGTGCAGGTCGATGGTTGTTCAGATACAGATTAGCGGCGACGTGCATAACGATATCAGTCAGCTGTGGTGTCTTGTTCAGGCCTTTCTGCCGCGGGACATCTGTCAAGAGCTGTCACCCACCCGTGCAAGGTCATCTGGTCACCGAGGCCGATATAGTTAGCGACGGCCCGCTGCTTCTACCGTTCAATAAGGCAGGTAAATCTCAAACTAGCCACTTTGACAGTCGCGACTACACACACACAGCCTGGTGGCTTGCGTATCGAGAAAGTGATTAGAGTTGTTGCATCGTCGAGTTTGATCTCATCGCTCAAACCGCTGGTCTTTAGCGGCAAACAGGGATAAGCTGCTTGAACAACGGCCGACGATCGCAGACAGGGCAAGGGTGCGGCGCTATCACCCATGCATCCCGAGTCGTCCCGCAGCCATGCCTGCAAAGATTACGTCGCGAATACGAGTTTTCACCGCATGTCCAGATTTGACCCAAGTTGCAGACATTCATGATGGTTGATTGAATCGATGGGTCTACAACTGGAGCTGACATGAAAAAAAAACTTCGACCAGAAAACAGATCACGGATTGATGCGCTTGATTGGCTGCGGTAACGGAGCGTCGCATTGCCCTGAGTCGCGCATGAAAGATCGGAGATCAATCGGCAGTGGTCGTGACAGCCAGCTAACCATTAGTGCAGTAGCAATGATCTTGGCTCTACAACTATTTCGAGAATGATAACGCTGTACCAGACAAAGTCACTTGATCTTTCACCGCGAAATTCTTTTCAACCATACATTTCAAGTACCGCTGCTTCCGGCCCCCATCCATTCTCTAAATTGCACAACGAGTCAGCAAGCTGTAGAACCCAGGCTGTGGCTTTGCTTTGAGGATCGCCCCAGGCACCCTCGACCTTGCTTCCCGCAAACCTCGAGGGTATCTGCGCCTGTTGTTTGGTGGCATCACATGCCCAAGCTTTGGTGGGCTTGCGCAAGGTGGCTGGCATGTGGATCAGCTGTAGTTCCTGACGGGGCTGATGATCCGAACACGAGCGCAAGGATATGCACCTTGATCGCACTTGCGAAATGTCACGGCGCCACCTGTCTCACGATTCGGGCTCGACTCTCTTGAGAGTGCTCCTCATTTGCTTTGAAATCGTACACTGCGCAACCGAGCCCTCTTCTCAACGTTATTGCATAAGCGTGGATCCTGACAGGCGACCAGAGATCCCGTGATTGGCTGAACACGAGACCTGCTCTTTGCCGGCTTCTGTTTCGATACAAGGGTCGTGCCACCCCAGACAGCATCGGCCCACGCAACAAGGATATCCCAGCCCCAGGAGGGGCATACAACACACAAGACTCGATTCGACGCCTCTGATTCGAGCGGGCAATTGGAGGACATGGGCTGATTTTGGCAGCTCATCTCTGCTGGATGAACTCTCCATGATGTCAGCATCCTGTGCAGCCTGGAGACAAAGCCGCCGAGCCGTCCTCCTCAATCCCCGAGGTTCCAGGCCCTGCTCCACGCTTCACTCTTGTTAAGCTTGAACTCAAGTCTGCGCGGATCTCGGACACGATGTTGCTCTGTTCGAGCGCTGTTTGTCGATCATTATGCCTTGCTCATCCGAACGCGACGCTCATCGGTTTCGTATCTGGGTCTGTTGCACTGCAAAAAGCAAACAATCGATGTAACCGTTTGACTAAGCAGACCCATAGTCCTGCACCCAGGCACGTCCGAGTTGCCAGCAACGCAACTGCAATGTAGGAGATGAAGAATTAACAACATTGGCGGCAGCTTTCTTATTGGTGCAGTTGCGCTCAACTGGAGGCATTCAGCTGTGATTTGGAAGCCTCTTGGCCGTGCTAAAGGATACTTGAATCCTTCAAAACTGCCAAGAAGCAACTCGGACGTGTCTGGGTGCAGTATTCGAGCTCCATCTTGGCAGTGGTGCATTGACTACATCAGTAATACTACACAACGACCGAAAGACGTCCTGTTACTTGAAGTTATGATGCAATGAGCCTGTGCAGGATCAACTCAAAGCTCAAAATAAGCTATCACACCACCTTCATATTATCTGAATTTTGCCCGTGTGCATTCTTACAATCATGGCATGGCAACCAAGGTGCTAACTTCCTGTTAGTACCGTGCAGTACCAGTCTATCTGTTGGGCATCAGTGCACATCACTTCCCCTTCAAGTCCGCTCCCATCGACATCTGATTCGTGACATCACCCAGCGTTTAGTTCTTGGGAATGAAGCGTGCTGGCTTGTCTGAGAGAAAGTACGGCTGTCATGCTCCAAGGTCTTCATGGAATCATTCGTAAGCTGTCGCTGTGAATAGAATCGCTGATCTTTCTAGCGCCGATCAGGTTTCTTGCTAACACAATCATATTGAGATGACATGCAAGCCCAGCCATGTCATGTGCATCAAAGTAGTCGTTTACTGCCCTGACTCGGACCTCGCGCAGAGAGCAGAACGGTGACAATGCAACGTCTTCAAGGCTGGAGCGCTTGGACCCGCTAACCGGATGATTAGCTCAAGTGTGGTCGATCAGAAGTGCATGAAGCAAATCACACTACATCATGATGCTAACACCACCCCGGCGACTGCATTTAAGGCATACGTACTATCTTACTGTGGCTTACCCTTCATCGCCTTAAAGACAGACCATCAGCGTCCTCATCTCGTGATCTTTGACCGCACTGTCCTCTGTGCACGTTTCGCCATCTTAGCGGGCTTCTAGCGGGCTTCTAGCGGGCTTCCACGGGCAGCCCTGCAAGGTGCTCGCCCATGCCTTCATCTCGCTACATGCGGGATGGAATGATCACTCAGGCCATCCAGATACGATTCATAATTCCTCGATGTGGTAGACGCTATGTAGTTTTGGTACCCGGCGCGCGCATGTCGCGCAAGCACAGAGCTCCATTGCATCATTGTTGAAGCTCGCTCCATCCTTCGCGCACACTTTGATTCCGGCGCCAAATGCCGAACTGATGATCTTCTCCAAACGTAAAGGCCTTCAGTATCCACACCAGCAAAGCACAGCTCACATGTCCTTATGTACGCTAGCATAACTGCTACAGTTGTCGTTTGCGAAACACGTCGTGTGTATCCCTTTCACGGCATGTTCCACGTCCAGAGCGTTGGACTCGATGAGCAACGAAAGCGGACCCTCCCCACGCGCCTGTGTACAGCTGTGTCACCGCCTCGCCCATTTCGTATGTTTCGCAACATCTCCCCAAATCTGGTACCGAGTCGGCAGTGGTGATTGAGTGGCTGTATACGACACTAGTCGTCCGGTCAAACGCTGCACGCTTCTTGACGTTCCAACACACCGCTTCTGGAATCCGACTAGACAAAAGGCGGTGTTGCCATACACCGCGACTTGCGCCCAAATAGCGGATACCTACCGGTAGACCCAAGTGCCGGCCGTTGCTTGAAACGCTGACAGGTGTTCGAGAATGTTTTAGCGTCGCGGTTTCAGAGGGCTGAACGTCGCCCTGAATTGCATGCCAAACGTCGCTCGTAGGCTCAGACAAGCATCCACATTGTCGTCCCTACAAGACCGGGTTTCCTGGAGCCGCTGTCAAGGTCGATTCGTGTAACGCGCAACGTCTGAGCAGGTGCTGCCTATCTACTTGGTGCGTTGAGTCAGTCTATCGCGTACATACTTCCATTTCGTTGCTGCGCAAGGTACACCTGGTATAGTGGGCGTGCAGAAAGAACTTCCTGAGGACCCACTGGATCTGATGCGACTGAGAGGTCGAGCGTGATCAAACTTGGAACGCATAACCTTGGGCAAAGTTTCGAACTGCACCTACCTATCCACAGATCGCGTCGCGTGCACTATGTCAACCTTCCAATTCTCAGTCTCTGGTTCTAGGTCGATCCTGATGCCCGAGCTGACTTTCATCGGCTTTCTTGCCATGAAGTTGTGAGTATGACGATATGATCTTGACGAGGCCGCAATCGCTGCCCAACGTCCCATAGACACTAACGCAACGCTCTGGTTGGCATTGAGTTCTATACAGCGCTACTACTATCACATTTCTGAAGCTCGCTTACGAGATCCAGATATTGGCCGGCATGATCCATGCAGCTCCGGTTTCCTTCCTCGGGAGTGACATTCACTATCTCCAATACCTTCCCTCTCTCTATTGCCAATAGCCGTCCTCCGATAAACCGCACATGTTGAGCTCAGCATGAGGAAGGTGCAAGCAAAATGCACCTGTACACAGCAACTTAAAAGCAATTTCCTCAGCTGCCACCCCTGCACACTGTGAGACAACCGGGGATATCCTGCCCAGCACCGCGGCCAACTCACCTCATCTACCCAACCCCGCACGCCCACGCCTCACTTCCGACGGGCGCGTCTGCGAAAGACTCTGTGTCCCGGTTTTCTGCCCTGTCTCCGTTCAGTGTGCTCTGGCCAGCCGGAATCCTTCCGGGCGTGGATCGGATCTGAGCTGCCGCAGGCCCAATTGGTGGATAGGCAACACGCTCAGGGTGAGTTGACGCGTCGATTTGTGGGCACCGGAGTCATCAATCTGGGACTGGCGCCAGGCGGTTCCAGGGCTGCAGCCACTCGCGGGCGCTCGTGCTGTGGACGCGCTGCCGTGCTCTCGAGGTTGGACTGCCGCCGGGTTCCAGACAAATGCGCGTCGGACCATTTGTGCGTCGAGGGGTGGGGATGGGTTCCGCGAGAGGCTGGCGTTTCAGTTGGAGATGGTGGTGGGTGGGTTGACGACGGTTATTCGTCGGGTGTGCTGCAGCTGGTTCTTCTCGATGACTGACCCACTGCCAGCTCTATTCTGGGACTCCGATTAGATTGCGATTATCTCTGGTTCGTAGGCGATCTGTAGGATGCTGCTCAAACCCACGCAAAGTCCTCCTGAGCCCACCTGCGAACCTAATTACAACTGAACAGGCTCGGAGTCATCAGCCGATATCGATGACGAGTATCTGGTGGGACTCGAGGTGTATCTCAGGGTTACAGCACTCAACTACGTCGACCAACGGTGGCGAGTAGTATCAGTGAAGCGCAATATACCTTCTGAAGTCACACACAGTCTCCACACCTCTCCATAACCTTCCACGTGAAACAGTGGGCCATGCGGCTCGGCCAAACCCAGGCTTTACACCTGGTCATGCCATCGTCTCCCTCGGGGCAAGTCAAGCGCGCACATCCAGCATCGTCGACTCCCTCGCTACCGACCAGCAGCCCCTGGGAAGTGGATGCAGCAAGTGGATGCAGCAAGTGGGTAGCAGGAAGGGGGAAGCAGAAACTGGGAAGCAAGTGGGTAGGCCGCCGATTCAGCTCCACCCCGATGCCCCTCTGAAGTCCGATATGCTCAAGTCTTGTGCAGACTCGCGTTGTGTATGAGCTCCATGACACACAAGTCCCCCACCGTATTGCCTTCGTCCCAACATGTCCACAGTGCAATCTACCTGAGTCGATTGAGCAGCCCTGGTCGTACAAGAAATAAGTTGGCAGTCTCGACCGTGTGCTTCGAAGCGGTGCCTGCGTTCTGCAGCCGACGTTGTAGCACTGCGTTGTAGCATGTCACTGCGCTGTAGCATGTCACTGCGCTGCCACAGAACAGAACCGACGCGACTCAACGATGCTGTCGAATTGCTGTAATCACACCACCGCGGCGCGAGAGTCGGGCGTGCACAGTGCCAGTGACGGTTCCAGCACGATGGCATCGGGGGACCCCACGATATCGTGAAGATCTCGCAAAGCGACCCTGGGCTCTGCCCGAGCGTGCCAATACGCCGTGGGAGAGCAGTCGAGAAACTCCCCTTGCGCGTAGCGGTGTCGTCGATCAGGGGCGTTGTCGTCGCATAGGCCTCGCGTTCTGTTCTTCATCACCGGGGTGGCTGGAGTGGACTGGTGTCAGTCAGTGATGAGTGTTGCGTGCGATTGATGAGGGGAGGGGGGAGTCACTGCTCGACGCTTGGGCGGGCGATCATACACTGAGGTGGTGAGAGCTGCTGGCATGATGTCTGGATAGCAGAGCACTCTACTGACGAAGAGACCACTCCACTGACGAAGAGACGTTTCTCACCACCACTGAACTCGAACTTCAACGCTCACACGCGCACCGCGACACCGTGCCACCAAAGCACAGCTTGCTTCGATCTCCCGTCTAGAAGGCGTGCAGCAGAACAGGAAGCACCCGGGTCACCGCCTTCCCACGCCGTCGCATACCAAACAGCCGTCCCCAGCCGAACGCGCACTCAGCTCGCAAACGCACCCACAGCCGCCTCCTCGACCTTCTCGCCGCCAGGCACAAGCCTAACACCCTCCTCCTCCCCCTCCCCACCCTTCTCCCCCTCCCCACCCTCTCCCTTCCCACCCTCCCCCTCCCGGGCCAAAACCGCATCCCTAACCAACCTCAACCCCTCCACCGCAAACCTAACCATATTCCCCTCCCTTCCCTTCTCGCCAGTCTCAACCTCCCTCTCCACGCCCCCACCCTCCCAACAAACCGCCAACGCCACATACCCCGGCGTCCTGTTCCTGCTCTCCCCGCCCGTAGGCCCCGCCGTCCCGCTCTCGGCAACCGCATACGTAGCCCCGAGCTTCTCGCGCGCGGACGCGGCGAGCTTGCGCACGACGGCGGGGGTCGGGCCCGTGTAGGATGCCGTGTCGGCGGGCGACCAGCCGACGAACGCGGTGCGCGAGGCGAGGGTGTAGAGGGTTAGGCCGCCGGCGTAGAAGGCGGAGGCGCCGGGGAGGGCGAGGAGGGAGGCGGAGATGAGGCCGCCTGCTGCCTGGGGGAATTGGTTAGGACGCGTACAGGATCGGGGGGTGTGAAGGGGGGAGGCGGACTGTTTCGGCGACGCAGAGGGTGGCGTTGTGTTTTTTGAGGAGGGTTGCGACTTCCTGAGCGATTTCGCGGAGTTCGGGGGGTGGGAAGGCCATGGTGGGGACGGGTGGTGGGATGGAGGCGGTGAGGAGTGCGAGACGATGGTGTGCTGTGCTGTGGCGTGTTGGGCAATGGGATTGCATATGAGGATGGGAATGGGGATTGGTGATGTTCTGTATGGAAGCTCCGGAGCAGTCGTGACGACATGTGGGGTAGCTCCACGACCCCGTTGAAGCTAAACCGCCCCTCTAGTTCGCAGCCCGGTACACTCGACACAAAGGCATTAGTGACGCGCAGAACAACCACGCGGTTGAACGGGGTATATTCACTACCACCCCCCTTTTCCCTAGCCTGACAGCCCCAAAGCGCGGAGTTTCTCGCACACCAACCTTAACACGAAACACCGAGATAAGACACAGAACCTCCATTCCCGATTGCAAGCCTAAGGATAAATATAAATGATAGATAGCCACCAGTAACTGTAGAGCGCAAAGATAACCGCCCTCGCTGCACTGCCAAGAAGCGAGCTACAAACGCCTTGTATACCCAAAAATGCCATCCGAAAACCGCCGGACAACCCATTGTGAGCTCTGGCGGCGGTGCCACAATAGGGCAGTGCAAATCAGTGTAGTGATGTGATGGTACAGGGCCGAAGCTGGCCTGCTGTGGCAGAACAAGGGTGTGGATTAGGTAGGGTGGACGGGCAAAAGCGCGTGTCGTGGTCCTCGTGAGCCAAAGTGTTGCTACTTTCCAATAGAGTCTGGTGTGACTCCCTCATGACGGTGCCATGTCCACCATCGCTGCCTGCTCAAATTGCTCGAGACGCTTCAATTTCGCGGCAAGTTCGGTGAGGATGTCGCCCATGGGGCCGGCCTGCTGCACCAGTGGTACTGAGCCGATGGGGCGCATCATGTGTCGGAGGGCTAGAGTAGTAGCACATGACTAAGTAACTGTTAGTCGTATCCTTATTGTAATATAAGTGAAACATACCTCAATTCTCGAGATCTGATGCTCAACAAAGTTGATCAAGAATCGATCCGTGATCTCTCCTCCCCTGGTCTTCATGCGCTCAAGCAGTGCTGTTTCAGGTGCCTTAAGCTCTGAGCTGTCCGGATTCTCGAGAGTACTGCACAACATCTCCAACCTTAGGCTTAGGTTCCAGAGATCCCACACATCTTGCGTATCGATTGTGAGCTGGCTGCCTGGCATCTTCTGACCAACAGAAGCTTCCTGGGTGGGTGGTGCTGCCTGCTGCTCAAGTTGGCTCTGTACAATGAGACGGCTGGCGAGCGAGTGTGGGTACATCAAGTAGATGTATTCTGGATTCTCGAGTCCTTTGAGGCGGCGTTCACCAAGGTCCTTAACTTCGAAGCCCTGGCTGCTCAAATTTCGTAGTTCCTGTCTGATGAGCTGGCTGTAGAGATCGTCGCCGTACGCTTCTTCAGAACCGGTGGAGTTGCTACGATCACCTTCAATGTGCGTTTCAAGCAGTCGTTGAATCTCAGCGATGAAATCGGAGGAAACCGTTATTTGTCCTCCATCGGCCACGGAAGAGATACGCGACGCTCGATTGACCATGGGGCCAAAGTAGTCCATACGTTTGGTGACTGGATCGACTTCACACACGGGTCGACCCCAGTGAATTCCCATGCGAACAGAGAGACCACGGAAGATGACGTTTCCATCGGCGTCAACTACCTCTTGCCCGTTGACACTGCTGAGGATTTCCTGTGGCCACTGCACTTCCAGGAGCTGGCTTTGAACTGTGAAGCACCAGAGCAACGCCGAGGTGACGGTCCGGAACGCGACCATAAACGCGTCACCTTCAGTCTTGACCTCGTACCCACCAATGATGCGTAATTGTCGACGCATGAGTTCGTTGTGCATCTTGATGGCAGACCTCATAGCGATGGGGTAAGTTTCCCAGAGTAAAGTCGAGCTCTTGATGTCGGTGAACACCAAACTGACTTCACCCGTTGGTGCATCCACCTCCTGGTCGAGTCTCGCAAGCTTCGAATCGTTGACCATATTCCTCGCCCTCTTGCCTGGCCTGCGATTGACGAAATCGTCTGACGAGCCAGTAGGTCCCATGGACATGCTGTGCGTGCGGAAACGGGCGCGTTGTTTACTCTTCAGGTCGCTGACTCCAAGTAGCATGACGTGGATCTTGTTGGTCGCACCGAACGCGATTGCAAGATCTCGAAGCTTTTGAGCAGCCCGCATGAGATCATTGCGTTCAGACCGTGCTACATCGACAGCAAAATCGGGAGTGAGGTACTCCCAGAGCTCTCGAGAGGCAACCAGAATCATCTCATCCGTATCGCCTAATGTGAGATTGACGATGTGTGGCGAAGCAATGACAGAGGGAGACATCTGTACATAGCCAAAAGCTCGTGATACCTCGAGCACGTCGTTCAGTTTACCTTGACGCGAGACGAAGCCACCAGCTTCTCTGATTCTTGCCCGCTCACTAGGCTCGGCCGGATCGTGTTTTCGCGTGAGGATCTTGTGTCCGCCCTCTGACCGGATCAGTAGCGCTTGCGCATCACCGACGTTGGACATATAGAGCTCCATCTCTTTCAGATACATGACTGTTGCCACGCAACCAGAGGTCAAGTCATCGTCCCCAAGCTCAGGCACAGCACCCCGTGGTTGTGTTGGCGGCGTGTAGGCGTTCTTGTCCAAGGACTGGGAGGCAGCCGTAGCCAACTCCTTGTTGAGCACCAAGTATGTACGTCGTAATGCATCGACCGGAGTTTCGTCCGCTCGTAAGCGATCCAGCTCATCGGCAAATCGGTCCTTGAAGTTGTCGTACAAGAACTTGGCAATCTTAGATCCTCCACCAGCAAGGGGCTGAGCATCAAACAGGCCCAACACTTGCTCGTCGTCGTGACTGCGGAAGCGAGGTACGACCATATCCATAGTGGAAATATGTTCTGTCCTGCCCAAGCTGTCCGCCATACCGTAAGCCATGGAACCTACGGCAGACCCTGCTGTTCGCACTCTCCGGTCTTCTGTCTGTTCGGGGACTGATGGGATCATCATGGTGACATCCATCAGACCCAGGACTCGTAGGCTAACGAGTGCCGTGAAATCTGTCAAGTCACGACCCTCGCGCATAGCGGCTCCACTCCCACTATACGAGCCGCTGGGTTTGATCTCCAGTCGCTTGTTGCCTGAAAGATTGAGATAGCGTAGCTTGTGGTTCCAATTCCAGTTCCAGTCGTAAGGCCAATTGGACACATTGTACTTTAACTGATTGCTGGCAACATCCAAAACAGCGAGCTGCGCAACTTTACCAAGCTCGGCAGGAAGCACTTGGAACTTGTTGTTGTTGATGTGGAGCACTTTGAGTGAGCCAACTTCTTCCAGATCCTCTGATGGTAGCGAAGTCAGGTCATTGCCAGAAAGGTAGAGCTCAGCAAGATGCTGCCATCTCCTGATAGTCCGTGTAGGAACATCGTAGATGAGGTTATAGGACATGTTGACAATTCGCAGCTCAGGCAGCAGGCAAAGCTCGTCAAAAACGTTGTCCTCCAGCCTGTTGTCAGCCAAGAAAAGGTGGCGCAGAGAGCCAGCAAAGGTCGTGACCATTCTACTAGAGAGGCTGGAATCTTTACGGGTCATCGGTGTTATCGTGCCCTCGGTTGTTGTGCGCGATGCTGCGGATGGCTTGCGTGCTGTGCTCGTAGTGTTGAAAGACGCCATCGATCCCTTTCGGGTCGTAGATGCCGGCGAGGTTCCTGCACTCAGATAACTGCCTGAAGCCTGACTAGGGCGTCGATTCTGAAAATCTTCTAATTTACCGAGCTCTTCGTAGCTGGGGCTCGATCCAACGCTTGGCGTCGCTATCGAGTGCGATCCGTCCAGTTGTGTGCCGCTGTTGGCTTCTGCTGGAGGTGCTGTGCCCGGCTTTGGGAAAGCGTCGAGGACGTTGGAGGATACGTTCAGCGTCTCCAATCGTCGTGCGAACCAAATCTCTGGAGGTAACCGCCCAAGATTATTCTCTCGCACATCCAGATAACGCAGCTCTACAAGACGCCCAATCTCAGCTGGCAGTTCATCCAAAGAATTCCGCGCAACACTCAGATGCTCCAACCTGTACAGTCTGCCGATATTGTTCGAAAGAGATGTGAAATGGTTCTTGTCCAGGATGAGTTTTGTGAGCCCAGTGAGCTTCTGGAACAGATCCTCGGGCAACTGGGCCAGCTTTGCAGACGCAAGGTTGAGCACACTCAAGGATGGCACCGGTCCGCTCAAACCAAACCGCGTCACAGGATTGTGATTCATATGTAGAACACGAATCTTGGGGAAGAATCCTTCGAAGGCGGAAATCGAGTTGTGTCCAATCATGAGGAACTCTAGGCGCGGCAGTTGCGACATGACGTCCATACTGTCAAGTGCGTTGAAGCGCACATCCACTTCGCGTAGGTTGACCAGGTTACTGAGTGTCGGAGGGAAGCTGCCAGATAACTTGTTATTGGTAGCCCACAACCTCTCTAAGCAGGTCAATTGGCCTATTCTAGGAAGACTAGATATCGAGTTGAAGCTGATGTCGAGATCAACAAGCGTACGCACTTCGCAGAGGAAATCAGGAAATTCCGTTAGAGAGTTCGAGCTAAGGTTCAGGCTTCGAAGAGCACGGTACTGCCCAAAGTAGGATGGTAGTGAGGTTAGTCCATTGTTCGACAATCGAAGGCCTTGCAGGCTCTGTAGCTTTTGTAGCTCCGCCTTTTCAAGCGTCTGTAGGCAATTGTTGGAGATGTCGAGCATGGTAAGTCGGCTCGCCATGCTCAGACTGGGTGGCAGTCTCCTAGCATCGTTGCTGGTGTACTTGATCTCTCTAAGGTTTGTACAAGCTTGGATGAAATCTTTTGGCACGTCGAGGGACAAGTTGCGAGAAAGGTTTAGGGAAATAATCTCAGTGGCCTTTTGGTAGAGCGTGATGGGGATGGTGATGAGATTCTTGCCTTGGAGGTCGATATGGCTGAACTTTTGCATTTGCTTAAAACCTGGGTCCCTCTCGAGACTTGAGAATCCGCTCATCTTGGCCGGTAAGAATGTGAATCTGCAGAGGTAGCTGTTGTCTTCTCGCCCAACATCCTCTAGACGGTCCAGTTCCGAGTATCCAGCTTGCTCCAAAAGCCGTTTCTGGATGAGGAGGGGTCTCTCGTTAGAATCCAGCTGTCGCGAGGTGTCATGTTTTCGCATCACGATGTGGTAGTTATCCAGCTCGTCTTGGAGTACAGTCTTCTTGCCCAGTATCAGCACGATCTCGGCGACAGTGGTATTAAGCGTAGCGGACAAGGTGGCAAATGTAGAATCGGCCCTGAATATGCGCAAGCAGTATGTCTTGGTGTCGTTCTGCTCTTTCGCTGCTACCTCGGGTTCGTCGATCGACTGTTCGCGCACTTCATCGTGTCGTTTAACAGCCCAGGAGTCTGGTGCATCCCACGTGTCGTCCTTTGGCCCCGGCTCGTCCTCACCAGTCAGAGTGGTGTGTTGTACTTCACCGGTCGGGGGGGTCATTGGGGGCTTTTGCGGGTTTACAATGCCACTCATGTCGTCCAGCTTCGTGTCTAGGAACCACATAGCTTCGTTGCCTGTGGTATCTGCTTTGGCTTCGTTTGGATCCTTTCCTTTTGGTTCGGGAAAGGTCATTTGACGCTTGTCTGAAGACTTGTTGAACGGCAGCCGTCTGTGCTCCTTTTTGTTGTCTTTGACAACGTTGCTCGGACCCTTCAACTGCTCGAACGTGGATTTCTTCCTTGATATGAAAGAAGGGTTGTTTGGATCCACACGTGCGGACGGCGGTCCGTTCATGGATGGGGCAAGAGAGATCTGTGACGTCCCGGCCGGCATGTTCTTGAGATTCTCCGCTGCTGGATCTGTCTTGTCCTTTCCACGCAAGCGCGCGAAGAATCGACCGGGGCCTTTGCTGGTGCTGGGTGACTGTGACTGTTGAGCTGCAGACTGTATTGTCATCTCCGAGTACGTGCTTGGAGTTGGACTCGATGCGCGCGGTATCAGACTCGTCTTCGAAGCGAATGCAGAGTTCAGTGCTGATTGCTGTGGCTGATTCCGTCGCTGGTTGTAAGATTCTTCGCGACTTGTGGCAGGCCGCAGAGGATACGGAGCGCTGATATCGCCTCGGCTGTCAGGCGCGGTCTTGTTCTCTTCTTTGCTACGGTGATGTCGATGCCCGGGCAACCTCGAGGTAATCTTGTGTGTGCGGTGACCTGACTTGGTGGATGTTTGCTCTGACGATCGCCGGCGTCCGTTCTCTGTCAAAGAGGGGGGGGCATCCTAGGATTGTTAGTGAGTTGAATGCGGAAGGTGAATGCGAAAGGGGCGTTTGCCACGACGTGCGTAGGGTTATCAAGGTGAATGCCGCGACTGGTTGTGCGTGCTGAGAGCGAAAACGTACCTGGGGTGCCTGGAATTCCCAAGGCGTGACTTCCGAAGAGGGCTGCGGTGTCCGTGGGCGCGAGCTGGTGGGGGAAGTAGGCCTCGAGCCGTAAGTGCCACCGCCGTAGGCGTTCCCCAACGAGTTGCCACGATTGCGAGGTGCATGCAACGACTGTGTTTCTGCCGCCTGCGACCTCCCGTTCAAGGTCGGGTCCGAGTTCTGGCGACCTTCTCCGGGAAAGTCTTCGCCAAACACGTTCTGCAGCTTCTTGTGGAATCCGCGACTGAAGCTCGACTTGGAGCCGGTGCTGCTGACGGTCATGGCGCTGGCGACGGACGGGCGGCGGTCGTCCTTGGGGAAGCCCATGGCGTCTTCCTGGACATTGACGCCCACGGCAGCGAAGCCGGGCGACAGCTGGGCGGCGTCGTCGTTGTCCGAGTCGTTGAAGAAGCTGTTCCAGACGCTGTTCGCCATGTTGGTGCCACCATTGGGGCCCGACGCCCACGGGGGATTGGCTTGTGCGCTCGACGCGGTCGGCGGGTTGCGCGAGATGGACGGGACGCGGCCGCCCGAGGTCTGCAGCACGGCGAGGTCCTTGCGATAGTCACGGAAGTCGTTGCTGACGGGGCCGTCCCAGGCTGGGGCGCGGCGGGGCTGGTGCTGCGGGTCTTTGGGGGGAGGGGCGGGAGGCACGGTGGTGGGCGAGATCTCGGGCTCCTTTTCGATGCTGCATCCAAGCGTCAGCAAGGCTCGTGGGCGGGCGATGGGCAGGCGACGGGCAGGCGATGGGCGGGCGCGGCGGCGGCGATGCGCGTCTGGCAGTGAGACAGCAGGGCAGCGGCCGAGACATGCGTCGCCAATGGCTGCGAGTCACGGCCGTGGTGCGTCTCGCGCGCAGCCCGATCACAGCCAACCCGCTCCCCGCGCGAGCACGGCCGACGCCGGGCGCGCGGCGCAGGTCGCAGGCCACAGGCGCAGGGCGGCGGCAGGGCGACGCGGCAGAGGCGATACGTACGATGCATTCAGGTCCTTGGACGTCTTCACCGAGACGGGGGTGCCGCGCAGGGAGCCATGGCGTCCGTATGGCCGCACCGTGTCGCTGGTGCGCGCGCTCCACGAGCTGTCGGCGCTGCCCTGGCGGTTGGCGCCCGACTCGTTCCTTGTCATGGCCGCGGCGGGGGCGGCGGTGTTGGCGGACGCGACGCGCCGGCGGGGCGGGCGATGCGGAATGGGCGGGCGCTGCTGGGTCGTCGGTCGGCCGTCGTCGAGGGCTGCGTGCGCCGGGGGCTTAGGACGGCTGCTTCATCGAGGCAGGGCGCCGCGGCCGATGCACCTGGGGCTGGCCGGACGGGCGCAGGACGGACACAGCACAGGGCGCGGCAGCGGGCAGCGGCGGGCAGAGGGCGGGCAGCGGCGGCGGTTGCAGACAGACGCAGAGACAGCTGCGCGGCGCAAAGTCGTGTTCGACGTTCGACGACGGGAGCTGCGCTGTCGGCGGCCAGGCTCCACTCCAGCCGGCCTGCGGATCGAAGCGCGCCACCGTACCCGGGGGCCCTCGCCGCCGACCAGCATCCTCGCTCGGCTCCCGCCTGGAACAGCAGCCCCTCCACGGCCTCCCCACGTCGACACTGTCTCTGGACACTGTCTCTGCGCACCGTCACGCCCGCCGCCCGCCGCTTGCTCCCTCCTCGCTGGCGTGCCTGGCGCTTCCATTGGCCATTGGCAGCCAGCCCCGCCGCGTCGCACGTTTGGAGCTGCGACGTGCACTGCAAACCTCCCCCGCTCTGCGCACAGCCATTGTGGCGTCCCCCCGCCGTGGTCTGCGCGCTGCCCAAAGCAGAGTTAGCACACTGGCGCCAACCACTGCTGCCCGTCCTGTCTCGCTGTCTTGCCCGCTCTGCGCGACACGCAAGACAGCGGGCGACATGGTTACGAGCTGGGGCACTGCACGCCTGCCCACTCCACTCCACTCCGTGTCAGATCAGCCTCCAATGTGAAGTCGCTTATTCAGTGTCCCTCTTGCGTGCGCCTCGTGTTCGTTTCATCGCGCCCGTGACTAAGCACCTGCACATGCGTGCAGCCATCATCCATGCCGTCACTGCGAGGCACCGTGGCAATATGGCAAGCACCGGCTCAGGCTCCACGGCCTGCCGAGACCATGACACTACCACTCGGCTGCACATTCGAATCGAGTTTCCTTGTCTGCTCCATATCGCATTCTCGCGCCCACATGGCAGTGCTACACATATCCACCATCGAACCTTCCATCCCCCACTTCTAGCTGCATTAGGTATCAACCATTGTTGTGTCTCAAGTACATATCCGGCATAATCTTACATCCACATCTTCCCAGCCACTGATCTCAGTCACACGACGCTGGCAGGGCCCAGTCTACTAAGACTCCGTCTCCTAAGACTGACCACCGCCCCCTCCTCCTCCCAGTGCACGCAGTATGTCTTGCAGAGATTGAGCACCCGCTTGACCGCCGCCCTGCTGCGCATTTGCATTCGGCGCTGGGGCCGCATTCTGCGGATACTGCCACTGCTGTGGGTATCCGTACTGGGCCTGAGGTTGAGGCGGGGGTGGTGCTGGTGCCTGCACCGGTTGCACGTATTGCTGAGGCTGAGGTGGGTGCTGCGCTTGAGCTTGCCCTCCCTGCTGGCTCATGGCCCCAACCACTTGGAACCACTGTGCCCATGCAGCCCAGTTGGCTTGCTGGTTGGGTGGTGCCTGTGCCTGTGCCTGTGCCTGTGCCTGTGCAGGGGGTTGCGGGAACTGTGTAGGGGCCGCGTACGCTGCCGGCGCTACGGGTGGTGGAGCTGGAGAATATGTAGGTACCGGCGCTGCTGGCTGTGCAAATTGAGTTGGCCAACCGGCACTGCTGTTGTTTGCATAAGAATTAGCATTCGATGGGCCAGTAGGTACAGGAGATGCATGCTGCTGCTGCTGCTTGGGCTGTTGCTGTTGCTTAGGCTGCTGCTGCTGTTGATGTTGTTGATGTTGCTGATGCTGCTGCTGTCGCTGTTGTTGCTGCTGTTGCTGCTGCTTTTGCGGTTGTTGCTGTGATTGCTGCGCCTGTTGTTGCTGGTTCTGCTGCCTTTCATGTGCCTCGCGTTCGCGCTTCTCCCGCTGTCGCTGCTTTCGGTTCTTGTTCTTGCTCTTCGCTGGCGGAGAATGCTGTGGCTGACTGGACTGCTGGCGCTCTTGCTGTCGAGCCGGTGAAGCTGAAGTAGCAGCTCGGTTATCTGGTCGCGGCACGCTCATCTGACGGTTGTCCTGCTGCTGGTTCTGAGCTCGTCCTCTGTCAGCTTGCTTGTTGCCACCACGTCCACCACGGTCGCCGCCTCCTCTATCACCCCTTCCACCGTGTGCGTCTCCTCTACCTCCTCGTCCGCCGCTGAAATCGCCACGTCCGCCGCCAAAGTCACCACGACCGCCAAAGTTTCCTCGCCCACGGAAGCCACGACCGCGATCGCCCCAACCCCCGCGACCCCGCATCATTCCTCTGCGAACATGGCTGCGGTCCTCAATTGGAGCACCTTGCCCAACGATTTCCTCAAAGTGACTTGGTCGAGCCAATGGCTTATACATACCCAGGTCCTCGTCCTCGTCATCGCTGTACTTGAGTCCGCCACCTTGATATTCGTTGGCCGACGAGAAGTAAGAAACAGGCTTGTTAACATGACCTCTTGGTCCAGTGGGTATGGGTTTCGGCTCTGGTTCTGGTTCTGGCTCGTTCTTTGCTTCTTGTCGGGCCTTCTTGGCCTGCTTCTGCTGTCGCTTGAACTCAGCCTCAGCCTCGTCGTCTGAAAATTCGACGTCGTTCGTTTCTTCGTCGTGAAGGTTCGATGCGTCGGTGTGCTTCTGCTTGCGCAAAGGTTCGGTGAAGACGAAGGTCGAGTGTGCGTCAACGTAGTAGATCGTGGTGTCTTTGGTGATGCCTAGAGCTGTGATCTCAGTGGGATCGTTGAAGCCAACAGAATACCTGGGCTCTTCAATACGGCCGATTTGTTCAGAGACTTGTCCAATAATGGTGAAGTCTCGAAGGCAGAGTGCAGATCCAGACTCAAGTACCTGGTAGTCGCCAGAGGTGCTGGCCTTAACGAGCACGAGATTGTCGACAATGTTCTCAATCTTGCCTAGTTCTGTGATCTGCGTCTCGTTGTCGACCTTGATGTCTGGTTTCTCGTACTTCTCTTCAACCTCGTTCAGGGTCTTCACTTTGGCCTTGCCAGAGGCGCCACCTTCGTCAGCAGACTCTGCCATCAGCAGACGGACCATCTCCTCAGGGTCCAGGAGCTCTCCATCGTCTGCCTCATCGTCAGAGCTGTCGTCTGAGCTCGACGAGTCTGAAGACGAATCCGAGGCTTCTGAGTCGAGCTGCCATTCTGCCTCCTTGTTATCCCTGTTGGCTTCACCAAGGCGTAGGAACTCGGCTTTGCTCTCGTCTGCTGTCGGCTCTTGAGCCTGACTAGCAGGTGCAGCGGTAGCAGGCTCCTGCGCGGTTGGTGCGTCGACAGCTGGGGCGGAGTCTGTCACGGTCGCTGTGGCATCGAAGACGGACGAGGTAGTGGTAGTAGTTGCAGGAGCATCTTGCGCAGGTGTCAGGGACGCGGCATGCAGAGGACGCGACGGCTTACCGTGCTGTGGAGCCTCGTCCGGGGCCTGCAGCTGATTGGCCACAGGCGGCTCGACTGCGCTGGTATCGTGGTTCAAGGCCTCCTCGTCTATGAGCTCGCCGTCGCCATGTACCGCCGTGCTCATAACAGTGTCTGCGTCGATCTGTATGGGTGGCTGTGTGACAGTGGAGTCGCCCAGGGAGCCGAGTCCTGGCAACGAGAAGCTCGATGGAGCAGGCGCCGTCGCAGTGAGCGACGCTGAGGTACCATCATGAGGAACAGACTGCGCGGCAGCCTTGACAGGGGTAGTGTCGTAAAAGTCGTCGTCCAAATCATCCACGGGCGAGCCTGGCGCATCAAAGGAGGATACTCCAGAGAAAGGAGCGTCCGCCTCCAGCCGCGCCCTCTTAGCCGGCGGTTCCTGAGAATCAGACATCGCTGTATTCTCTACAGACTTTGAAAGCACGCGTTGTTCGCTGCTGTGGCAGTAACTGCGGTTTGCACCCGGCTGCTTAATGCGTGCGGTGATATGTTCTGGTGAGCGTAGAAACGTTGCCATTTTTGACCTGATGCGATCCACGCAAGCGCGGCCTTGGCGGTGCCCCCTTGCTAGCGCCACCGCCTTAGATCGGTCGGTGACGGCATCTGCGGCAAGGGTAGCTCTTCCACTGCTCAGCAATGATCTGAGAAGCCATTGAGACTTTATTCTGGCAGCTAGGTGTTATTCAGTTTCGCAGGTACATGGACCTTCTTATTGCGCGTCAGACGGCTACCTTGGAGCCGTTCGTTCTTGCCCCGTGGACTGTGTAACTGACCACTAGTCCCAGATTCGACACGATGGCAACCCCAACATCGAAACAAGGGGCGCCCGTTGCGTCCAGGTCATCTGTGCGTGCCCAAAAGTCGCCTCACGAGATCGAGCCTATCGTTGCCTTCTACATCTTCGCTGCCGCCAATGTTTTAGCTGCCTTTTTCGCACCAATTCAAGACTGCGATGAAGTCTTCAACTACTGGGAGCCTACGCACTATCTGAACCATGACTACGGATTGCAGACGTGGGAGTACTCTCCTGAGTATGCTATCCGCAGTTGGACATACGCTGGCATACATGCGGTCATCATCAAGTTCGGTATGATGCCCCTTCGATTCTTTGGGTTTGCACGGACAAGGACTGCAGAGTTCTACTTTCTACGCACCTTCCTGGCAGTCATTTGTTCCATATGCCAGACGCGCCTCTATTCTGTGGCTGCAAAGACTTTCAACCCGCGCGTCGCACTATTCTTCATATTCGCAATGGTTTCTAGCCCAGGCATGTACCATGCTGCACCAGCATATTTGCCCTCAAGCTTTGCTATGTATATGACGATGCTGGGCTTTTCCGCGTTCATGGACTGGAGTGGCGGTATTAGAACCGCCCAAGGATTGATGTGGTTCGGCATAGCAACAGTATTGGGATGGCCCTTCGCCGGAGCTCTCGTGCTTCCCTTCGTCGCGGAAGAGGTGTTCCTGGCAATCATTACTGGCCAGGGAACGGAGTGCGTCACAAGGCTCGCTGACGGCTTCACTCGATCGCTTGTGATTTTGGTGAGACCCTTGTCACTCAGACTGGAACCTTCACTGATCTCTCTCAGGCAGTGCAAATGGCCATCGAGACTTTCTTCTACAAGACAGTCACTTGTGTACCGTGGAATATCGTTATGTACAATGTGTTCAGCGGGGGAAGCAGAGGCCCTGACATCTATGGTGTTGAGCCATGGCACTTCTATGTCCGCAATCTGGCCCTGAACTTCAACATATGGTTCTTCTTGGCGCTTGCAGCACTACCTTTGCTCCTCGTTCAGCATCTTCTGCTACAAAAATCGGTCTCCAAGCAAACGTTGTTGCGTAGCGTCGTCTTCGTCAGCCCCTTCTATCTTTGGCTCGGCATTTTCACACTTCAGCCTCACAAAGAGGAGCGCTTCATGTATCCCGCATACCCTGCCCTGGCACTAAATGCTGCCATCGCACTACACGTCTTGCTTGCGAATTTAGGGTCGACCGATCCTACCCGTCTGGTCAGCAAAATCCCACCACAGGTAAAGCTCGCTATGGTTAGTATTCCACTGTTGCTTGCCTTCGATGTGGGCGTTCTTCGAACTATCGGCACTCTTACGGCATACCCGGCACCCTTGAAGATATACAAGCCTCTCCACCAAGCTGGAGTCAGTAAACCTGGAGATAACGTGTGTCTTGGCAAGGAGTGGTACCGATTTCCCTCGTCATACCTGCTACCCGATCGTGTTCGGCCCAAGTTCATCAAAAGCGAATTCTCAGGACTGCTACCGGGTGAATTCAGCGAAGCAAATGCAGGCGGGTTTGGTTTGTATCCTGGCACATGGCTCATACCTTCTGGTATGAACGATGAGAACATCGAGGACCCAGCCAAATACGTATGTTTGCACAAAATCCTGTGCGTACCAAACTGACACAACGCAGACAAGTATCGAACATTGCAAATTTCTCGTGGACTCTAGCCTTCCAGGCGTGGCGCCAACATCCCTCGAACCGGACTACATCGCAGATACAGAGCACTGGGACATGTTGAAGTGCGAACCGTTCCTCGATGTCTCACGAACACACTTTGTAGGCCGCTTGTTATGGGTACCAGATCTTCCGTTTGTGCCGGAGCAATACCGCCGTAAGTGGGGGCAGTACTGTCTGTTGCAACGTAAAGACCCCGACACAATCAAAGTCGCATGATCTGAAGGTTCGGAACCTAGATTGAGAAACGGATCGGCAGATCTGATTTCATAGGTTGAATCAAAAGCACGGCAGGGGTCCATGACGGATAGCCTATGCCAGAGCATAGTGTCCCGTGATCCTCTTGGCCATATGAGAGGAAGGAGAGCTACAGGAGCTGCATAAGTAGATTTTGAGCCTATGGTAGCGATCACAGCGCCTTGATATGGACCCACATAGCAACCGACGCTAACCAGGTGGGGTAGTGCGGTCCCCGTTCTGTCCAGATAAACAGGCATTGACGACGACTGGGGCGTTCCCACAGATTATGGGGTCAATCAAGAACGTTATCGCCATGTACAAATACACGAAGCCATGCAAGATAATCAGAATTATGTCATGCGGTACTAACGTACGCTGTTTCCTATGAAAGCCGCAGGCACCCACCACCACTATTTATATACACGTACGTTTTGAAGGCTTCTGGCCGTCTGATCAGACAGGTTCAAGAATTCGGAGATGTCTGTATTATTGAGGCGAAGTCAGACGCATATGGGGCGACTTACGGAGGGTTTCCAACACCAGTGCCATACAACTCTCGCAAGCGTCCAAACAACACTGCAAAATCAAACTATTCGGCCGAAGCTGACCCTGTATGCTGGACTTGCCATTTTGACAATTGTCTGGTTCGGTGTTACACTCGCAGTCCGACTGCGTACCCAAAGGCGCCAACTTGACACACCCCCAAGGACCCCCGATCTTGAGAAACGCTCACCATTCAAAGCAGCAGAACGAAGTCCCGGAGGTATTTACCCTCAGCAGTCTTTATATACGTGATCACCTGACCTTCCCAGCATGGCCTCCATCTTCCTTCCGGCGTCCAGTAGCCACGCCCTATCCTTCCTGGTCTCTGGATTCAACCAAACCGCTCCCTTACCGCCCATTCCGCTACGGCCCTAAATACAACGTAACTATGGGTCTCCGCACCATGCAATGGGACGACTGGATTGAGCTTGATAATGAGTACCTCAAGTACCACTCCCTGAAAGCCACACGGATTGCCGAGCGCGGAGAGAAGTGCTGCAAAACAGCGCCTGAGGCATGGGATGCAGCACTCGAGCTACTCGAAGAGCTTTGCGCGTACCTTCCCGAGAGATACCCAACGCTGTTCGAGCGACTAGACGGCAAAGGAGAGGGCGTGAAGAATCTAGCCACAGGCGAGACAATCAACATCCAGGAGCGACTCGAAGTCGACAAGGAAGACCCCATGCAAATCTGCGCCCGTCTCATCCAGGACGACCTAGCCATCATGATCGAGGTGCGCACCCCCCAGCCATGCCCTCGATCTCCTCGCTAACCCCACTCACAGCGCCCAGACGGCCAGTACTACCTCCTCGCAGGCACCATCCTGCTCGCAGGCTTCTGGCGCCTGGAAGACAAATTCGGCATGCCGCTGTCCGAGATCCACACCTCGGGCGACGTGCCCCAGTACAAGGAGAAACTGGAGCGCGGCATGCTGAACATGTTCAAGCGCCTGCAGCCCGAGAAACCGGTGCTGAGGAATAATTACTTCATCCAGGTCGACGACAATCTCGCGTGGAGTGCAAGTCTGGGCAGCGAGGACGCCGAGGGGATTAATTGGGCGAGTGCGGGTAAGGTTCAGGGAGTGGAACATGTGCACTTTCGCAGTGAGAGACAGAGCTTGAGAAGGTATGTGGAGAGTTGATGTTTATGCGTGGATTTGAGTCTCGGTGTTAACGGAAAGCAGACTCCCACGCTCGGGCGGTATCGTGTTCACGATTCGGACGTACTTTCATCCAATCGCGGACATCTGCCAGGAGCCGTATGTCCCGGGCAGACTGGCCAGTGCGATGCGGAGCTGGGGTGATGATGTTAGTCACTACAAGGGCAAGGCGCAGTATGCAGATGCAGTGTTGGGGTATCTCGATGCAATGCACCAGAAGCAAGTAGAAGCTGGTTTGGACCTAGAGAAGGAGGACGAGGTCCGAGCATACCCTTACTGAAGACTATGACTACTTCTATTGGTAAGCGTGTCCCTCGGCAGGACGATCTGCCAACAGCGAAGTAAATGCGCAGTGTCGTACGATCTGGCCATCTTTCACCTCTGCAAAATTCCCACTCACGTCTCCCCACTGTACAGCCTGCAGCCACGGATCTGCCTCGTATCGCTTCAGATGACACGCCGCACTGATGACAACGCTCATCGACATCTCACCCATTCCTGTACTGAGCCGGCGGAGCCCAGCCATGCAGGTTGTGATCACCATCATGACGATGTTTACTGCAATGAGTGCTATCATTCCAGCAGCGTTGTAGCCCAACCGAACCATTTGATCATTTGGGTCGACTTGTCCATCCCTCATGCCATCGAATCGCGCCATGAAAAGACTCTGGGAGCACAGATAATGCAGCGCTGCACTGAATGCCATAAGTGGCAAAGCATAACCTGCTGGCAGCGTGAGGAAACGACTGCTACGCTGTTGACCATACGGGCGTTCACTGATCCTAAGACCCTTCTTGGAGGTTGTCAGCCGCTCGAATTCCTGTGCTATCAAAAGTTTGCTCCAGATGTTGGTGTAAAACACGTAGAGCAGGGAGAAACCCAGTTGCGGAATATTGGCCGTGAGGATCGTAGGTATGATTACTGAGGATTTGGGATCGTCGTATCTCAGGTTGGCAAGGGACTGGATGTTCGCTCCTCCGAAGCCACCGTCGAATGCATTGCCGTTTGCTTCAGCGATGGCCCAGTAGAGAGTGCCGCTGACGATTATTGCATAGGCTGCTGATATGCCCACGGTAGAGAAGAATTCTGTCGTGTTGGCGCCTGTCCACCATCGGGGGCGAGTATTGGTGTAAACCTGCGGAGCATAAGGAAATGTGATAGTCTCCTTCTGTGCGGGACCTATCAGCCATCGACGCCGACTTTTGTTGATGGCGTGAGGCATATCCAATGCTGGAAATCCGTGCTTACGGATCTGAGCTGAGGACACGAGACACATGTCTTTGGTAATCGGATCGCTTTTCTTGAGAAACGATGTGACGGCGTCACCCAAAGTGCGCAGAAATTCGCCATCCGGGTGGGTGAAGACGAGAACTGCAATCGCCGCTACTTTGATGGCGCTGAAAACGACAACAGCAAGCATAGTGTAGGCGTTGAACTGCAAGTGGCAGAGCTCCGGCGCGATTCGGGCGTAGCAATGGTCTACAGGATGACCATAGACCGTCCAATTCTGAGCATTCCAATCCTTCGGCTCGACATACTTGCGCGCGTAGTTTCTACTACAGCGATCGGTATTCTTATAGTTGCTCGCAACCAGCTGGTCGTGACACACCCAGTGGAATGGATCCTGATTTGTATCCATCCTGTCCTCACTCAGAGAGCGCTGGGGATAGCGTGTCCACAGCACTGGAGCATCGGTCTGAACGGTCTTAGAAACTACAAGCACATCGCTATAGCTTTTCATGAAGCCGTCGATGAAGTTGTGGAAGCAATCTTGGCCTGACAGCTTCCAATATGCATGAGCTCCGCTGGCTCGTGCATAATCAAGGGCTCGTTCATCTGACAGATCGATTCTCTTATCGGGATCGCGTACGTCGTCAAGGAAGTTCGCTACCATAGTGTCATTCTTAATATCCCAGGAGCAATCAGCACCATTGCAAAGAGGACGACCCTGGGGCCACTGGAATTGTTCGGTCGGAAAGCGTAGTGCTGGCGAAGAGTTCTCCGGCGTGACTTGGAACGCCGTGTTATTCAGGAAGTCTTGGCTTACGACCGCGACTGCGTACTGGTAAGTCTCCGTGGTTGTGAAGAAGACGGCATTGTACCTGTACATCTGTCAGTGGATTTGCAAGGCTATGTTAGAAAAGCTTACACCAGATGAAGAGGAAGACTTGTAAACGCGAGCACGCCCCATATAGCTACGTGCATCCTACTCACGTAGGCCAAGTTCCTCCAACTTTGTGTTCCTATCTCGAGCCATTTACCCTTTGTGTGAGCTTTGTCTACTTCTTTTCTCGTTGGCGACGTCGTCCCCTGCATCGCATAGGTTGAGGCACCAAGGATCAACGTTGAGATAACGTTCAGTCCGACCTTTATTGCCATCTCAATTCTGCCGATCTCCGTGCAACTAGATTTGCGAATGATACCGGGAGCATGTGTGCTGTTGAACTCGAAGAACAACCAAAGGAAGACTGAAACATTGACGAGCAGAGCTGCTAGACTGAACATGAACGCGCGGAGCAAACCAGCACGCCATCCAGCCAAGAAGTTGTTATTGATGAAAGAGACTATGCCTGTCCCCAGACTACGGCGCTCAAGATCCTCAAGTCGTTCCACCCATGTCTTTCGGTGAGTGATGGTGTATCTCGGATAGCTAGGGCCTCTACCCATGGATTCTGTGTCTGTGTGAAGGAGCTCAAACTCGCCTTTGCAATGGATTTCTGTGTTGCCCTTCACGTCGAAATCAGCCTGGGAGGGGTGAGCTGGTAAGATGATGTCATGTTGCTCTCCTGGGTCTTGGTGTGGTGAGCGCTTATAGCGCTGCGGCAGCCGCATGATACTCGACACGGCTCTCGCTAGCGTTCTCCAGCCGTGCAGAACAGACACAATGCTCAATCCTCAGGCGGTGGAAGGAACTAGAGGCAAATTTTTGATTCCATTGAAGAGAGAAGAAATGATCAAAAGTTCTGGCGCGAGGGAAAGGGGTTTGGGTTGTGATTGAAATTGCAAACCTGTGCCACAAGCGACTGGAGGCTTAAGTAAGTAGGATCGAAAACACGTCGGCGTTGTCTCTAATTGGTAGACTTGTGGCTTTTCGAGCCTATCTGTAAGCTTATTGGCCGTATTGACACGAAGGTGAATCCTTCAGAAGTGCCAAGCGGCGGCTCATACGCGCCTGTTGTCAGTAGGCGCCTAGTACCATCCCATTGGTACACGTCGACAACGTTGACGCCAGACAAATCATAGCGCATCCAGCGAAGTCTTGCAGGGACTACTCGCGGTAATGCATTCGCCAGACATGGGCCGCAGCCGCGATTACAGCGTGAGTCCTGCAGGTAGTCGCTAATTAAGCGCACGCTTCGCCCATAGAGTCTTTGCGGGTGTAGAGATCCAATTGAGATGTTTCATAACCCTGAAGTCAAAGGCCCGAGTCGTCCTGAAAGCAGAGTAGATGCCTGTCTCCATTCGCGGCTGATGTGGGCCTCCAATACGGCGGTGAGTACGGGGAGGTTGGCTTGCACAGCCGCACGTGCATTGCAAGGGCTTTGAAGCTAGAACATGATTAACTATGGAATGTTTCGTCTCTTTTTGTTCTAGATACTCACTGACAATGTGTTGTGGTTGTAGAAGACTTCGTGTCGTCCCCGCAGGATGCACTAGCGTTAGGCTTGTACCACACTTTCCACTCACATCCTATCATCTCGTTCCTTCTCATCAAAATGCCATGTCACAAATATCCTAATGGGCTCTTCCTTCCTGCACTGCAACGACACTGTAAGTGCAAGCTTGTATTCCTGATTCGTGGCTTGCATCAGGTACGACGAGAAAGATCTGGCCAATACTCGTTAAGTAGAAAGCCCTGCGATGATGTACTGTATATATACGAGTGTCTCCGACGACCATTTTGCGAGCTTTGAGGATCCAGAGCAGTAAAGAAATATGTCTGCAATTCGTCTGCGTCATCCACCTAGTCAGACACACAGAATAAGCGGTACTATCGTCCCTAATGACTATTGCTACTCTTCCGCGGTAACTTATTCAGTATGTAAAATAGCTCGTTAGCGACGCTCAGATGCAGTAGAGACAGCTTAGGTCGTTCAGTCGCTTCATCGCAGTCGTAAATCCCGCGTTCTCTTACCTATGAACGCCCATGGTAGCGATAGAGCGGGCAGCCACGCCAAAAGAGTTGGGAAAACGTAGACGAAAAAGCCGGACCGGGCTCGATAAAGCGATATGTCAGGAGTGTTTTACCTTCTTCTGGGGTAAGGAACGTGACAACACGAATACTATGGTTTCATTTCATGATGTTGTCACAAGCACTGCATATCCTCCCCTTACGCGATTGCTTACGGCGGAAGATAAAGCCTGACTGCCACTTGATGTACCTTAGCCTCACTGCCATTGCAATCTTGAGTAATAAAGTATCCGTCGGTGTCGCGACTTCCTGTTTTGTTTGTTTGGTTAGTCATAATGTAAACACAGGGTCCCTTCATTTCCACAACTGGACCTTGTCGAAACACTCTCACCGTACACCCAACAACGCTCCACTCACTGCACGCGGAATCTTTGAACGCCCAAAAAGGCTAGTAACATGGCCGCCGATGACCAGTCACAGGTGCCCAGCGAGATCGTATGCGACTCGCTGGCGAAGACAGAGCCCATGTCCTCACCTCCACCTTTGATCGCAGATGCGCCCAAGGCGATCAACCATGGGGAAACCAATGGCCAGCAGAGCGATGCTGATTCCCTTCGTAGTGAGTCAATGCCTATTGTTATACATTACTTCTCTCACTTGGGTACAGGTGAACTGCAACTGTCCTTCTTGGAATACTCCACGCTCGAGGATCGTTTCAAGAAACTTCAGCGTCAGCACAGCGAGCTCCAAGACCTAGCCTCCGCATACATCGAGGTCATTGGAGGCTTCTCTTCTACAGGCGGCTCGATGGTATCCATCGACCAGCTGCAGGCAGAGGCTGGTCGTGAGGGCCTGAGAACAAAAGCCATCGAGGCCGACATGTTCAGATCGCTCGTCGGAGAAGCGGGTGGGTTGTCGGCCTTGATGTCCCAGACGAACACGATGAAAATGCTTGTTGACAACGTAGGGGGACCTCGAGAGCTCGAGCAGTTTGTCTCGGATCTTCGCACGATTCGAGACGTACTGTGTGATTTCAAGGGCTCTCAAGGTCTCGTCGGGTTCGCTTCGGAAATTGGAGATCTGCTCAGAAGCAAGCACATCTATGCTGAGCTTCAGTCTGAGGTACTGGGACCTGAGGGTCTAAAAGTCAGGGCTGCCAAGTACGAGAAGCTCGTTCAGGCTTTCAACGATGTACAGAACGCCACATCATCCAAGCGATCATTTGCCGGCACTGACACCATGAACCCAGCCCGAGCTCGCATGATCTTATCCACGCCTCTCGAGGCTGACCCGGACCGTGATTTGTATGAGGCACCACTGGCAGTAACAAAGCGAAACAATAAAACCGGATCGAACAACACCCCATTGGGAGCCTCTCAGATACAGCCTGTGCTGAAACGGAAGGGGCTTGATAACAGTGCACCAGGCATTCCGGCGAAGCGCCCTCAAATCGACCTCGGACAGGCCTCGGCCCTTATACGGGCCTCTCTACCTGCTACCACCAATAAATCTACGAGACGAGACTCGAGTCAGTCGATTGTGAGTAACAGCCGAGCTGTGCCTTCAGCGCTCCGGGCGGGTCGGGCTATGAGTACAAGCAATGTATTGGGAGCCGGAGATTCTCGGCCTCAAGTACAGACAACTACAGCTTTACTCAAGTTGCCCGACTGGATGCGCTCGGATGTTGGCTTTGGAGATGTAGGACTGACTTCCACGCCTGGAATGCCTAGGTTTTCGTCCATGCCACCAAGTCAAGACAACTATACGAGATCAGGCTCCGTCTGCTTTTCTGCAGGTATTCCGAACAAGACACCGTCTTTCTCAATGCGTCAGCCTCAAGGAATGCAAACAGTATTGCAGGCGACAGCAGCAACTCGGCCCGAGTCTCGCCACCGACTGACTGTACGCGAAGACTACCTTATACACGAAGTTGCATGCTGGGTGGGCGCATCGGATGCCTCTGTATCCTGGGAGGGTTGTGGTGCTTCCTTGAAGAGAAGCGTTCAAATCCCCAGTGATCTGCTCGCAACTTTTGCCGAAGAACTCTTCAGGCACATTCCAACGGCGAAGCATAGTATGTATGAGACGATGGCACCTAACCAGTCCACATGTGTTCTTAGGTAAGCAAGCACTTGCAAAGCAGAGGTATCCACTGACATTCGTAAAGTTTCCTAGTCGATGGCCACATACCCTCCGGTTTGGCAGAGGAGCGGACCGCATGCAGACTATGCACACACCACCGCAGACCCTGTGCTCTCTTGCAGGATGTCAGCGGTGTGCGAACGATTATCTTCCTGCCGCTTCGCCAACATCTTCGGGAGGGCGTGAAGTGGGTTGGAAAGGGATATTGGATGCGGGAGATGCACACGGAGTAACGAGTAGTGCATTGAATACACCAGCAGCCTCCAGGGAGCTCGTGCGATCGCTTACGAATACCTCAGTATCGACGCGCATCACCGAAAGTCAAGGAGTCCTCAACCTGCGCTGAGAGCTGGATTATGTAATATATCCGAGTACAGCTTAGGTGAGTAGGTGTATGAAAAAGATCTGGCCGTCTGGTCGTTAATCATTGTCCTCGTTACGTAGAACTGCGTTGCAGCAAACACCATGACAGCTCGTCCATGGTCGCTCCAACCTCACATGATAATACCTGCTTCCTCTATCCGATGCATGTCGGGCATTCCCGGGTCCAACTCATGACCATACCCACCCTCTGGTCGTTTCAGTGCTGTCCCCTCTTTCAGGTACAATATCAGCCTATATGCAGCGTTACCGTTGAGGTAATAGCGATGTAGTTTCTTGCTCCTTAGGAAGCCCAAGCGCTCATAAAGCTTCAAGCTCGCGGTGTTCGTGATCTCTGTCTCCAGAACGATCTCGTCTGCGTCCCGGGCGGCCATGGCGTCAATGGCCATGCTAACCAGTTTTGAGGCGATGCCCTTCCCGCGATAGGATTCCTGAACGGCGAGCATGGCGATGTAACCGCGGTAGGTGCCGGAGCGATGGGGCTCAAGCTTGGATATGATGACGCCTATGAGGTTGGAGTCTTTATCGAGTGTCTGACAAGTTATAAGCGAGAGCCTCTATGATCATCGAGGGTGACATACCATGAAGCATAGATCGCCCCATTGGTACAGAAAGTAGCGGTACACATAGATGCTGTAGGGCTCGGAAAGGTCCTTGCCGATCAGCTGGCGTATGGAGGGCAGATACTGCTCCTCCTGCGTGCCCTCGTACTGGGCATATGACAGGTCAGTCGTCTCTGGAGTCGCGCCAGGTTCTCTCTCAGCCATAACGCGCAGCACACACGGGCAAGCAATGGGACGTCAGAGTGTTCGGGTTCCGAGTCGGAACGGCAGAGCGCAGCGGACTCCGTCGACCCTCCAAGCGGTAGCGTAGCGGCCTCGGTGCAACACGATTGGCTGAATGCGTTGGGCTTGAAAGACGCCGATCACATGCATATGTACCGGCGCCCTCGGAAGCTTGGAGCTTGCATGTGCTAGAGTTTTGTTTTCTGCACAACCGTCTCCCAGCGCAGACCCTGAGAAGCACGCCGCGAGCTTATCACCATGTCTTTTCTGAGACGTCGCTTTGGCGGCGGCGGCGATACGTCACCAGAGCTCTCCCGCGAACCCTCGCCTGCACCAGATGCCTCCGGACGACCATCAAATTTGCGCGTCATCACCGCCGAGCAACTGCATACGCTACAGAAAGGCAAGGGAAAGCATGGCAAGAGAAAGAACTTCTGGGTGTTCGGCCTGGGCGGCGTGTTCGGCCTGGTGATTGCAGCCTTTTTTGCAGGCAACAACGATCTCTTCGATTTGAAGAGCATAGAGGGCATGAATCTGGAGACCCTGATGGAAGCTCTGCCTGCCAACTTTGTGACAAGCGCACAGCAGCTGCAGGTACGCACATGTCGCACGTTAGTTGGACGAGCGCTGATTGACCAAGTTCTCCGTGTAGAAACAAGAGCGCGATGCCGTCAACTACGATTCCTTTGCTATAGGCATGCACGCGCGCGAGCAGGGCATTCGCGCCCAGCACCCGGTCATCATGATCCCCGGCGTTATCTCGACTGGCCTCGAGTCGTGGAGCACAGAGGAGGGCGCAAGGCAGTACTTCCGGAAGCGACTATGGGGCTCGTGGACTATGATGCGCGCCCTGGTTCTCGATAAGCCTGGGTGGAAGAGGCATATCATGCTTGATAAGGACACCGGTCTCGATCCGCCAGGCGTGAAGCTGCGAGCAGCACAAGGGTTCGATGCGGCCGATTTCTTCATCACAGGCTACTGGATCTGGAACAAAATCCTCGAGAACCTCGCCACCATTGGCTACGATCCCAGCAATGCCTTTACCGCTGCTTACGACTGGCGCATGACATACATGAATTATGAGATCCGCGACCAGTACTTCACTCGTCTCAAGTCACACATCGAAGTAGCCAATGTCGTCTCTGACAGGAAGGCTGTCTTGCTCTCCCACAGTATGGGCTCGCAGGTGCTGTACTACTTCCTTCACTGGGTCGAAGCAGAGGGGTACGGTAACGGCGGAAAAGACTGGGTCGAGAAGCACATTGACAGTTGGATCAACATCTCTGGCTGTATGTTGGGCGCTTTGAAAGACATGCCTGCGGTCCTTAGCGGGGAGATGAAGGATACAGCGCAACTCAACGCGTTTGCTGTCTACGGCCTCGAGCGCTTCCTGTCCCGCTACGAGCGCGCTGAGATCTTCCGCGCCATGCCTGGCCTATCCTCCATGCTTCCCTTGGGCGGTAATGCGGTTTGGGGCGATCACACCGGCGCGCCGGACGACGCACCGGGTCAGAATGTTTCCTATGGAAATTTCATCCGCTTTCGCGACCTCAACAACACAACTCCTTTGACCTCACAAAACCTGACAGTCGAAGATTCTCTACCCTTCCTCTTCAAGAACAGTGAGCCCTGGTTCAAGACCATGATCCAGAGCTCCTACTCCCATGGCGTGGCCCATACCGCCAAAGTTGTCGAGGACAACCAGCACATCCCGGCCAAGTGGATCAACCCGTTGGAGACGCGCCTTCCGCTTGCCCCCAGCTTGAAGATATACTGCTTCTACGGCATCGGAAAGGAGACGGAGCGCGCATACTACTACCGCAGTGATGAGGATCCGCTGTCTGGGCTCAACGTCACACTAGATACTGGATACACTGCGGCTTCGAACGGTGAGCCAACAGGTGGCGGTGGAAATGGAGGAGTCGACCACGGCGTGGTGATGGGCGAAGGCGATGGAACTGTCAATCTGCTAAGCTCCGGGTATATGTGTGCCAAGGGGTGGAAGATGAAGCGATACAACCCTGCAGGTGTGCAGGTCAAGACATTCGAGATGAAGCACGAGCCTGATAGGTTCAGCCCTAGGGGCGGGCCCAATACTGGTGAGTCTGCAGATTGCGCAGAGTGCGATCGTGTGCTAATAAGAAACAGCGGATCATGTGGATATTCTTGGACGGTCGTCACTGAACGATCTCATCCTGCAGGTTGCTGGTGGGCGCGGCGAACTGATCAACCAGACGATCCACTCGAACATCCTGGAGTACGCCGAGAAGGTCAAGATTTACGAGGAAGAGGAAGGAGGCTGGTTCGGCCAGTGATGTCGTTCTTTGGTAGGTATGTTTCGTGGCGTTGCGGCAAGACGGTGGACTGGGAGGTAGACTCATTTCCAAGATATCCTATCACATGTCTTCTAATTAACGCTCTAATTATATTCAGTTGAAGAGTTGCGACACTCTATTCCATACACGGTCCAAAATCATCAGAACAGGAGTGGGAATCTCATGTGCTTGTCGCGTGGTGTAGTACCGCTTCAACGGACGAGCCGTTTGCCGTCCAGATCACCCTCATGACTGCCGCATGCAGCAGCTCACCGATGTGTGGCCATGCAGAAATCCCACGTCAAAGAGCCCAGGCATGGTAACGTCGCGTGCTGATATACTTGGCAATCGGATGCTTTTACCGACACGTGATTTCGGAATGCCACTTCGGGCATCGATCTTCACCCGCCCAGTGGACAAGCCCCGTCCAAGAGCCGCAAAGCCAAGGCAGCACCACCACCGTCATCGACCGTTCCTTCAACAATCCGTAAGCGCCAATTCTGCACTCTGGACCACTCCCATTGGCCCTCATGCGGCTGAACCATCAGGCCCTCCGCGAATGCAGGCCCTTGACCTCTCACCGCACGCTAACGCCCGCCCTCACACTCCGCCGCCAAGTACATGCTACATCCCGCCCAGCAAAGCCAACAGCCTACAAGGATCCACTATGACATCTGCTGAGAGTGCTTTCCCACGCCGTTTTGCGACGTCCTCCGCTTGGCATGGACACCCCGATGCCTGATCTCACGTACGGTTACATGTGCCAACGCCAGTGCTTTGTGTGGAGAAAGCGCCCATGAAGTCGCTGAGCGCCACGGGATTTGGGCGGAGAAAAGCTGGGGCGCCGGACCCACGTATATAAGCAGCTGCACTCTACTCCCCAGCCCTCTGTGTATCTCTTGATCTGATCTGCTCCCGTGTCCATAATGGCGAAACAAAACCCCGACATCGAGGCTACCGACCCGGACGTCTCGCTGTCTGGCAACAGCAGCAAGTCCGATCTCAACTCGGCCTACCACACCGAGCATGCCGCCCCCGCGGGCTACCAGTCTCACACCGCCCGCCAGGCCTCCGTCGCGGCGAAGCTGCGGAACCCCCTTGCGGGGCTCTCGGAGCAGCAAGTCATTGCTGACGTCGACGCGTGGTGTGTCGAGAAGGGCCTTGTCGAGCACCAGGATGCGTTCCGCAAGGGCGCGCTGATCGCGCGCATGGGCCAGCGCGACGACGGGTACGAGTACGTCGGGCAGCTGAGCGAAGAGGAAAAGGCCATCTTCCGGAAAGAGCAGGCAAGCCGCTGGTCGCAGCCGTTCATGCTGTACTTTCTCGTAGTGCTGTGCGCAGGCTCCGCGATTGTGCAGGGCATGGACCAGACTGCTGTGAATGGCGCGCAGCTGTTCTACTTCACTGAATTCGGCATCACGGACGTCTGGCTCCAGGGTCTGCTCAACGGTGCGCCGTATTTGTGCTCGGCGCTCATCGGGTGCTGGAGCAATGCGCCGCTGAACTACTACTTTGGTCGTCGTGGAACGATTTTCATCTCCTGCATCATCTCGTTCATCACTGGCATCTGGATGGCTGCAGCGAACAAGTAAGTTATGGAAACCGTGGGTGGGTGCAATATCCTGACGTCTTCTAGCTGGATCAACCTTCTGTTCGCGCGATTTGCACTGGGTTTCGCCGTGGGTGCGAAGTCTTCCACTACGCCTGTCTACGCTGCCGAATCGGCACCGAAGAACATCAGAGGCGCACTGACTATGGTGAGTTCACAAGACAACGAGTACTACCAGACTCCATCTAACTCATGGAAAGATGTGGCAAATGTGGACTGCCTTCGGCATCATGTTGGGGTTTGTCGTCTCCGTCGCCTTCCAGCACACCACCGTCCTCGGCGAAGGCTCCCAGTGGCGCTGGATGCTGGCCAGCACCTCGATTCCCCCGCTCATCGTGTGTCTGCAGGTGTACTTCTGCCCGGAGGTAAGTCGGCTCTCACACCCCCCGCATCACACATCTAACCCCTGCTAGTCGCCCCGATGGTACATGGAGAAGGGCAAATTCGATAAAGCCTTCGACGCCCTGTGCCGCTTGCGCAATCACAAGATCCAGGCCACGCGCGACATGTACTACGCGTACAAGCTGCTTGAAGTCGAACAGGCCGAGCGTGCGGGCAGGTCGCTGTGGAAGGAGTTCTTCACCGTGCGCCGCAACCGCCGCGCCGCGCAGTCGTCCTTCTTCGTCATGTTCATGCAGCAGTTCTGCGGTGTACGTGTGCCCTGACCGCTACCCTGAAACTCAGCTAACAACCCTCCCAGGTCAACGTTATCGCATACTACTCCTCCTCCATCTTCGAACAAGCCGGCTTCTCCCGCTCCGAGGCCCTGCTCACCAGCATGGGCACCGGCATAACCAACTTCCTCTTCGCGATCCCGGCCATCTACACAATCGACACCTTCGGCCGGCGCAACCTGCTGCTCACCACCTTCCCGCTGATGGGCCTGTGCCTGCTGTGGTGCGGACTCTCCTTCTTCCTCCCCCAAGAACTCGTCGACGGCGAACTGCGCCCCACAACGCAACGCCTGGGCTCCATCGCGGCCGCAATCTACACCTTCATGGCCGTGTACTCGCCCGGCGAGGGCCCCGTGCCGTTTACGTACAGCGCCGAGGCGTTCCCGCTGCACCTGCGCGACATCGGCATGTCGTTCGCGACCGCGACGTGCTGGGGCTTCAACTTCATCCTGTCGCTGACGTGGCCCGCGCTCGTCGAGGCGTTTACCCCGCAGGGCGCGTTTGGCTGGTACGCTGCCTGGAACTTCTTCGGCTGGGTCTACTGCTACTTCCTGCTCCCCGAGACCAAGAATCTGACGCTCGAGGAGCTGGATACCGTGTTTGCGGTCGGGAATCGCGAGTTCGCGGGGTACTATACGAAGAAGCTGCCGTGGTATTTGAAGAAGAATGTGCTGAGGGCAGATGTCGAGCCGTTTCCGCAGCTGTTTGATCTGAACGATGATCCGATTCCAGAGGGTGCGGTCAGGGGCGGGACAAGTACGCTGTTTGGCGAGAAGGCGCCCGTAGATGGGGGCGCTGTGGATGGTATTGTGAGGTAAGAGGGGATTGAGGAGTGAAGAGTAATATGGTTGCTTCGCGGTCAGAGTGTGTAGTTTCAAGTCTGTGAGGGATGATGTGAAATGAGCTAGATACCCATCGTTATGGAACAAATTCTTAATCCACCCTTAATGAAAACACTAGACAACAACTCTGCAGTGACATGAAGGATTGAATTGAATTCTTGCATTCGAAGCCGTAGCCAAATGTTGAATCCACGTTGATGTGTGGAAGCGCTCTAATGCAACGCTCTATCAAAACCCAGCTATAACGCCAATGCAATGCACCAAACTCCATCGCTACCCAAGTATTCACACTAGTGACTGATGTACTGGAACACCGCGCTAACCTCATTACAGCCCTCAGCCGTCTCCTGTCTGAGCAGAAGATCCTGTATCTTGCCCAGCGGCCCCGACGCTCCATCATTGACGAAATGGTTCCACGTACTCGTATCACCGTACAGCATAGCCGGGGCCTTAATAACCTGGCGGCCATCCTCCTTGCGACAGCGCTTGCACTTGAACGTGTCGTGCGTGTCGCTCGTAGTCGTGTCTCGGTACTGGAACAGCTCGCGTAGCGAATCGAGACTGAAGTGACGCTCGACATCCTCTGCCGAGTCGACGACACAAGACGAGAGCGACTGCTTGTGCGACTGGCGCTGGAAGATCTTCTCCTCAATCGTGCCAGTCGTCATGAACCGGTAGACGAAGCAGTCCTTCTTCTGCCCGTCACGCCACACACGTGCAAGGGCTTGCTGGTCGGCAGCAGGGTTCCAGTCCGGGTCGAATAACACGAGTCGGTTCGCGCCAATGAGGTTGAGACCACAGCCTCCCGCCTTGGAAGACAGGAGGAAGACAAATTCGGAACCCTCGGGGTCGTTAAACTTGTCCACTAGCTTTTGACGTTTGCTGACGTTCATTGTGCCATCAAGTCGAAGACTTCCGTAACCGCGAGAGCGACAGAGTGCGGCAAATACGTCAAGAGTCTGTGTGTAGTTGGAAATGAGGACGATCTTGTCGTTCGTTTCGGCGCGGATGCGCGCGAGCATACGATCGAGCACAAGCATCTTGCCAGAATACCAGACCTTGACATCGCGGTCCCGTCCTCGAGCATCCTTAGGGACAAAGTCTGCCGGAAGCTTGTCCTCACAGCCGGGGATGTCTGATGGAAGGTCGAGAAGGTCAGGGTGGTTGCAGAGCTTCTTCAACATACCAATAGCCTTGAGAGGCTGCGAAGCCTTGCCCCTCAGCAACATCTTGATCTCAGGCGATTGGAGGAAGTGGTTGTAGAGATCCTTCTGAGCAGGCGCAAGGTTGCAGAATACGACATGTTCGTACTTGACGGGCAAGTACTTGGAGAGAATGTCGTTGGTACGACGGATGATGAATTTGTTGACCAGCGTCAGAAGCTCCTTGAGGCACTCGTTACCCTTCTTCTGATCTTCATCTGTGCCATCGGCGTCGCGGCCTCTCAGGATGGGAATCTCAAACTTCTTACGGAACTCCATTCGCGTACCAAGGTAGTTGGGGTTTGCGAAATTGAGCAACGCAAAGTATTCAGACAAATCGTTCTGGATGGGCGTGCCTGAGAGAATGACACGTCGCTGCACATTCAATCCGTTCAACGCTGTAAATGTCTGGCTTTCTCCGTTCTTCAATCGATGCCCTTCGTCACAGAGCAGCAAGCCGATCGGGGTCTGGCCGAACTCGTCGGCGTAAAGGCGAAGCGTTTCGTACGAGACGATAAGAACGGGTCGAACCACAGCACGGCCAGATGCGATGGACCACTGGCGAATTTGTGAGATGAGCTCCTCCTTTGTGGCTTTGCCGTCGATGGCGAAAGGATTAATAGCATCTGGACCTAACCATTTCACCAACTCGTTTGCCCAATTTCTTACCAGACTGGAAGGACAAGCAATTACACACTTCTGAATCGTGGGTTTCCCAGCGTCGGGGGACTGCTTGAGCAGCGTCCACATGAGAGCAATGCATTGCAGTGTCTTGCCGAGGCCCATTTCATCAGCCATGATACATCCATTCGCGTTTGGGTCGATCAAGCCAGTCGTAGCTCGATACAAGAATTTCACACCTTCGACTTGATGCGGACGCAAGACCTTGGCTAACCGTGGGTCGATTACGACTGGCACTCGTGGTCGCTCCTCGTCGACCTTCTTCTTTAACCCGAGAATCTCGGCGAGACTCTTGTGCACTACCGGCGTGTCCATCTCTTTCCTTTCCTCCTGGCTCATCTTCGGAATCACCTCTTCCTTCGGAGCAGGCTTGTCGTCGACGGTAGGATCATACAAGACAATAGCAAACTCCCCACTCGGATCGTGCAGTGGCCGTGCAACAAACACAGCGCCTAGCCGCATACCCAGAAGTGGCGCTGGTCGATTGGCATTGTATGATGTTGTGTCTTTGACTAGCATAGGAACAGTGAACCTTGCTCTGAACGCTGTTTCCTTATCCTTTGCTTTGAACACTGGAAATCGATTGATATCGCGGGTGGCAAGCGCTAACCGATCATCATTGGAATATGGCTTGTCGACCTCGTTCTCGCCATCGGCGCCAGCATAATCGACCTTCCGTCTTTTCCTTGTAGGCTTCTCCGATAATCGTGTCGATGTTGCAGCCCCGGGGCACTTGAAGGGTCTGTGCAGGCGTTCTGTGGATTGCGGTGTAGTGCCGTACAGACGCACTACAGGCTTCGCGGGGGTGCATTCGCCCGTCTTGAGAGCTTTGGGACGTTGCCTGTTTGTGGTTAGTTTTCCATTGAATCGTCGCTGTCGCAGAATACGTACATTGTGGAATTAAATCGCAAAGATAAAGAGTAACAGATGCTGTGTAAAAATGTTGACTGGCGCGGGCGAGTGGCGGCAGGCGCCAGTCGCGACGCGTTCTCTTGGCATCGCGCTATCACGTGGTTGGCGGTGATGCTGATGCATTGTCCCGGGTCGACACTTTTGTATCGTAGTAAAGACGGAGGAGACCCGGAAAACCACCAATTGCTTCCAAGTGTGAAAGAAGTGTGCGTTAAAGCTCACAGCTACTTTGACATCAACCCGGCAAAACTTTTCTCCACCCTGTATCGCGGACCAGCATCATTGACAGCATAGCACCCCATCACCACCAAACACAATGGCGAAGAAAGCGATATCAAAAGACCAAATCGTCAAGCTGATAGTCGGCGCGGGCCAGGCGTCCCCCTCGCCGCCCGTCGGTCCCGCGCTGGGAAGTAAAGGAGTGAAGAGCATGGATTTCTGCAAAGTCGGTCCCCTCGCGCACCCACGCCTGCGCGCCTCCACTCACACGCACAGGAATTCAACGCGCGCACCGCGCACTACAACCCAGGCACCCCGATCCCCGCGCGCATCACCGTGCGCCCGGACCGCTCGTTCCACTTCCAGCTGCGCACGCCGCCCACCGCGACACTGCTGCTCTCCGCCGCGGGCGTCGCGCCCACGAAGAGCAAGATCCGCGGCGCGGGCAATGTACCGGGTCCGCTGAATAATCACGATGGGCAGAAGGGCAAGACCAGCGCGAACAGTCCGACGGTCGGGAATGCGGTGCTGGGCACGATTGGGACGGTCAGCTTGAAGCATGTGTATGAGATTGCGAAGATCAAGCACAGCGAGACGAGGTTATCGGGATTGAGTCTGGAAGGGATTGCGAGGAGTGTTGTGGGGCAGGCGGCGAGCTTGGGGGTTGTGGTTGTGCCGTAGAGGGACGGTGTTGATGTGTACGATCATGGATGTAATGCGGCGTAAAGACTTCTAGGGCAGATTTTCTACGCGTGTCTGTATATCATTAGAGATGAAGGCAGCCTGCCATGTACGCAGTATGTACGCGACGTATAAATCTGCAGCTGATAGATTTGCGGTATCTGAATCGAACCGTTGGCCTGAGGCAAGTTCTTGAATGATTGAACTGCTCGATTTCGTCTAGTTTGTGATCAAAGCCATCGAGGTGGATTCTTACCTATACTCCGAATATAGCACATTTCAGATTGAGCTAAGTTTGATACAAAGATAATTATAGTCCTACAGTATCTTGTCCAATCGCGAACGATGCGCGAATGACTCGTAAGTAGCTCCCTCAACGAGGAGCCATTTAGAAGGTCATTGATTATGAACAGTGATCCGTGACCGACTTGGGACGGGAGTTATATCTGTCCTCCAGGGACTATGAGAACCCGTAAACTCCACCTTGCTCCTGAAACTTCAATTGGTGGTCCCGGAGATCAGCCCAAAGTCTCAGCTCCGTCTCTTCGTCGATGTTGGCATTCGGATCGCTCGCCTCGGGACTAGCCCGTTCCAGCTTATTGAGGATTTCGAGGAACTTGTATAGGTATTCCTGATGCTGCTGAGCGACGCTGCCTTGCCTCTCTGTCGGTACTTCTAATAATGTACTCGCGATTGAGCGGATCTTTTGAGTCTGTGCAAAACGTTAGCTACGATCATCGGCACTGAAGGGAATATATAATCTCTTGAGCGAGAAGTAGACTTACGAATGAATCACCGTTCGGTTCCATATTGACCATATCGATACTGCCGAGTACCACCAGCAGGTCCTTGACGACAGCTTCACGCTCATCGGCCATGATCTTTTCGAGGGCTTCAGCCTCTGTCAAAGAACTGGGTACAAACCTGTCCAATCCAGTCGACAACACGCTTGGGGAGCTATGGACATTACTTTGCGCTTTGGCCTTGGCCTTCTCCTGAAGGGAGAAATACTTCTCCACGAGGTAGGAGCGTGTAGCTAGGTGACTAGCATACACGTTGGCCTTTTGGATTTCGTAACGTCGCACGTCCGGTGTCCCAGCAGCAAAGGTATTTGAGATAGGGTCACGCATGCTGTCGAAGTCTGGCAGAGGCGGGAAATACTGCTGCTTTGGCTGTGCAAGGTTCTCCTGCGCATCCTTAGACTGAACCTTCAGTACATCTGGAAGATTATCAAGGATCTGCCTGCAGCGATGCAAACCTTGTTCGAGTATGCGCTGCTGACGATCCCAATCGAACACCTCGTCCATGCCAAACGCCATTTCAGCGGTGGAGAGTGAGGAGTACGATAGGAAAATGCGTATGTTGACATTGAAGCCGGTGATCAGCGGGACAACGCCGGGCTGCTGGGTCTGTATCTCATCAGGGAAGATGTGGATATCATCCACTTCAACAGGCAACGGCGGCAGAGGTTCTGTTGAAGTAGCAGGCGCAATTGTCAGCTCGCCGAACGATGCACCAAGCTGCTGTATTGTCCTACTCGATGGTCAGAAAACGTGAATGACGTCACATGCATTTTGAACATACCGCACGCCCACAAAGACAGTCCAAAACACCCTTCGCCCAATCTGCTCAGTGATGTAATCCAACTTGAAGTCGCGTGTGCCATCATGGTTCGGCCCGTTGGAGCCCCATGCACTTGGTACGGCTCCGAGATGTGTGTAGCCCTGTTCCTGGGCCTTGTGCAGGCCGAGCGAGCGAATGATGGTCAGACACTCGGCGAAGTAGAGGCGCAGCTGACGCCATTGGAACACATAGGCGCCGGTCAGACCCAGGAAGTAGCTCGTGCAGGCATCATACACATTCAAGCCAGGGCGGTCCAGATAGCCGGGACCTCGCGCCTGGGCACAGACTTCGCGGCACTTGTCCACCAGCGACAGATGCGAAGGGTAATCGTGGCGCGTCTGCGTCTTGAGGTGTAGACGGGGCTTCCGTGGAAACGACGAGACGAGGGCGGCGATCATGGAGGCCAGCAGAGCGAGGAATGACGGATTCGAGTAGTCCTCGCGGCGCGCCCAGGCTTCGCGAAACGAAGGCTCATGGGGGAAGGGGCATAGCGGGTGGATGTACGTGAAGAAGTCGTCGATCAGCGAGTTCATGGTGCTGAGAGGGCATATGGACTCGGCAGAGAGTTGGGTGGGGTTGGACGACTGCAGCTGGGCCAGGGCATGGGCAGCATTGGTGGGCGACTGCGGCGACTGATGGGCCACGGTAGGGCTTGTATCCTCTAGACGGCGCTTCTTGATGGCTTCAGCGTGGCGGTTGGGCGGCCCCCGTCGCCTGCTGGGGCGCTCGAAAGTGCATGGAATCTCCAGGGCCGAGCAAGCGCGACACGGCGGCCCCGACTCGTCGCATTTGACTTTGCGGATGCTGCACGAGTCGCACGCCTTGCGCAGGCGGTTCGGCTTGTTGCTCTGCTGCTGTTGTTGCTGCTGCTGTGGCTGCTGCGGCTGCTGCATGGGCGGTATCGGCGCCTGCCCGGGCGGCGGACGCGGATCGGTCAGGGCATGGTTCGCGTGGAGGGCCTGGGCCTGCAGCACCTCGTTGATGTTCTCGAGTTTAGGGTAGCCGGCCTCGGGCGGCGCTGGGTAGGGCACGACGCGCGGCGGCTGGCCGTCGAGCAGCTGTGCATTGGGGTGCTGTGGGTAGATCGGCGCGTAAGGATGAGGGGCGTCCTGATCTGGAGGAGCTGGGTACGAGCTCATGGCGGTGGATGCGTCGCGACTGATCCGACGTTTACCCTCACGCGCGTCAGCGAGAGGCGTTAGCTCAGACACTCGCCTGGATCAAACGGCAGCCACGCACGCAGGAACGGCAAAGATAACGACTCCAATCTAGTGCTTGGCCTGCTCCACTCGACTTCCAGGGTTCTACCCGCGCACTCCGATAGATATGGGTTCTGTGTGGTCGTAGGAAAGGTCTGCGGACAGCATCGAGTGCCCAGCGCGTGCATGGACGCATGCGGAGGCACGCTTAAGATCGACGTGGATGAGTAATAATTCCCCGGGTCCTGTGCGTCAAGGTTACGACCGCACTACTCCGCATCATCTCGAATTGCAGAAGCATTAGAAGCAACAATACAGTCGTGCATGTGACGGCCACAATCAAGCGCCGGCTCCTTCCCTGTCTGCCCGACTGTGTCACAAAGCATCAGGCTTTCCCCTTCTGGCTCTTCGCGGCATCCCACCGCCGTCCTTCCTCCTTCAGCTTCTCATCATCGGCTCTTGCAAGCTCAACGTGCGGTATCATGAACCAAGCCGCGACGAATGCCAGCGCGTTTAGCGCTGCCCCCACAATGAAGATTATCCTAAACCCCCGCTGGTAGGCTCCTGACAGCGCCAGTCTTAACGTTTCGGTGCGCGTGTCACCAGCCGTCTCGCTGAACCTTTCTGGGGAATCGAGCAATAACTGTATCTCTGATCTCGACAGCCCATATGGTGTGAGCGTTCTACGGACAGCGTTGTTGATAATCGTCCCAGCCACGGCCAGACCAATCGTACCTCCGAGATTGCGTATGAAATTACGGAAAGACGTGACGATTGCCATATGCTTCCGTTCAACGCCGGCTTGCACTGCGATCAGTGACGGTTGCAGCGTGTTGCCCAGCCCAAGACCCGCGAGCAAGCCGTACCCAATCTGCTTTCCTAACGAGGGGCTGTCCAGCGTGGAAAGCAGACCCAGGCCAATCGCCCACACTGCCCAGCCTACAAGGAGACACTCTCTGTAACGGCCCGTTCTGTGTACAACGAGACCAGACAACGTGCTAAACAGAGCTGTCGACTAATTAGCACATGAGAAACTAAGACTGTAGCAGTTTACTTACTCTGCGTGAGCGTTATAGGCAACAGGAGTGCTCCCGCTTTAACAGCTGAATACCCATACACGAGCTGGTAGAATGTCGGAATATAGAAGACCTGGACCAGGAAGTTCCAACCGTTGACAAACATCGTCACCATAGCCCCGTTCACCAATTTCGAAGTGAAGATGTCCACTAGCATCGTCAGCTACTATCAAAAACGGACATTGCAGACCTACTTGTTACAAGCGGTACCTTCGTGCCTTTCCATTGCCACAGTAAGAAACAGAGCATAATGACGACGCCCAAAACCAAGGTCGCAATGACATGGGCAGATGCCCAGGCGTATTCGCCGCCAGCCCACGTCAACGCAAGCTACGACAATCAGTAAGGACAGCGTGATAATGGGACAGACCTTACCACAAGCAACGCAGACCCAGATAATGACAGAAAGACTCCAAAAAAGTCGATTGCAGCGAGTTTACTGGAGGTATTAGTCATGCCCCTGCACGGCCGCATGTACTCACTGTCTCCAATTACCATGCACTTTTTTCAAAGGCATGAACAAGAAAACGCAGGCAGTAGTGACCACACAGAGAAACAAATTCATGCGGAAAATCCATCTCCTACATTCCAGTCAGTACAGACTCGTACAAATCACTGGGAAGAGCCTACCAAGATCCACGGCTTTGAGAGGCGATTGCACCACCAACTATAGGCCCAATGCCATTCGCTAGAGCAACAACAGATCCCTACATAGTGAGCTTCTGTCTCTCACAAATAATCGTTACGTCTTACAAGTATGCCCTGGTACTTCCCTCTCTCACGCAAAGGCACAATGTCACTGACAATAAGTTGCGCCACCGTCATCAAGCCCCTAGAATCATCAGAACAAACTCACACAACCTAACGCCTCTATAGCTTACCCGCCCCCCACGCCCGTAAACGCCCGAAACACAATGAGCTGCAGCGACGACGTCGCCAAAGACGCCGCCAGCGACCCAAAGAAGAAAATACAGATACCAGCCACCAGCAGCACCTTGCGCGACCAGATGTCAGACAGGCGCCCGTACAGCAGCTGGAACGACGTCGAGGTCAAAAAGTACGCGCCGGCTATCCAGGCGCTTTCTGAGCTTGCGTCCAGGTCTCGGCTGACGATTGTCAGGCTGGCGGCGAGCGTGGTCTGGTCCATTAGTGCGAGGAGATCGACGCTGGCGCAGGCGAGGAAGATCTGGTCAGGTTGTTAGTGGGGAATGAGGGGGGTACTGCGGTCTGGCGCACGGTGATGATGGTTTTGACTGGGACGTAGTGGGTCTGCTCGTTGAATGCTGGAGGGTCGTTTTGCGACTCGCTGGTGACGGAGGGATGCTCGCTTTTGACTGGGGCAGGAGGCTCGATCTCTGGATCTTGCACCATGGTTGGAGGGTCGGTTTTCATTGTGGCCATTGCTGACGGTTCCAGTGCGATGAGAAGTGAGACGAATGAGGTGACGGAAATAGAGGGCATGCGGAGATATACAAAGAATGTGACATGATGGAACACTAGATCTAGACGCGGTAGCGGACGTACAGCCGCACGGCAGTCCTAAAAGCGGTGTGGTAAGTTCCACTAAAGGCACCAGAATCTTGTCTTGCTGACCTGTCAGTCTTCCGGCGTGCATGCTTCAACGGCCGTTGGAATCACCGGCCGGCTACCGAATCAGAGACCAGATGGCAGATTCAGCTTGCCGAGCAAAATGGACGGCTCTGAAGGTTGCAATTGCTTGCTACGAGCTTCTACGCCGTCACGTCGTCCCGCTATTGCATGCATCGAAGTCAACATGGTATCTCGGCGTCAAGGTACTCTTACGCATTGCGGCAGCTGTAGCTCTGAGCCAAGCTTGAAATGAAGCTTGGGGCCAAGAGCGTGGCTGGTACCTTGATGATCGAGTAGTGGAAGATCCCATGTCGTGACGGAGTTGTCACCAGGCGTCATCGAGCACTTGTTATAGTGAGCGGCTGGAATATACTTCCAACGTCTTTCCGAGTAACTTCTGGTGCTGCTGCAGTAAAATCTCTGACCAGAGATACATACAAGTAACGAGACAGGCGAGGAAGGAGTCGTAAGCTTGCTTCACAGGGGTCGATCCGTTAACCTAAACAGCACTAGTGTATTCGGCTTTGGCAGACAACAATGTGCTCAATGCCTTGTAACCACCAGAACAACATCACTCCCTCCAATAAGTTCATTCCGGAGGTAGCCTCGAGGAGGAAGTTACGTGCATTGCCGATCTCTACATCAAACAGGACCTTCTCAAAGGGGTGGTCGACCTCCGAAGTTTGCTCTACACGTATGGGTGCACGAATGGAGTGACATCCGATGAGCACCTAGAGTGCCGCCAGCTGCCCGTCTATCACGAGATTTCGCTTCACCATGAGATCATCTGTCTTGGTATCCAGCACAATGTGGAATTGCCGCAAGTCACCACCTATACGCATGACAAAACAGTGAATTATCAATCCCGGGCCTATCAGAGATCCCGCTCCAGCGCCACCCATAGACTTTAGTCGTGACCATGCGTCTTCGACGATACTTGACGCAATTAAGATGATGTGCAGAGCCAAGGGATGAATGATAAAATGAGAGCGTACCTCGCCTGCCGTAAAGCAGAAACAACCATTGTAATCACGCCCATTGTCTCATCTCGACCCCATGGCTGAACGAAACCACCTGAACGCCTATTCAGGCCCCAATTCTATGCGGGACTACTTCGATCCGGACTGTCAGCCTATGCTCCCTCTTGTTGAGATTCCACGATCTCTTAACCCATACTATGACGATGGCGTGAGGATACACGCGAAGATGATGTCCATGCATCCTGCAAACAATGTCAAGATCATGCCAGGTAGGCCAAAACCACACCGAGAATTGTCAGGTTGTAATTGTTACATGCTGACGAATGCCGCAGCACTGAACATGTTGGCACAAGAGGTCGACCCAGCCAAGTCAAAGACTGTCATCGAATACAGCTCCGGCTCCACTGTCATCTCTCTGGCGCTCGCTTCGCGCATCAATCATGGTATACAAGACATACGCGCTTTTCTGAGCAACAAGACTTCACCAGCAAAACTCAGACTGATGCAATTCTTCGGCCTTAACGTGTACGAGCACACACTCTCGTTTCTGAATCAAACACTCGACTGATACCTAGATAGGACACTGTTCGGCGGACCATCGCAGCCAGAGCCGCTCGACGAACGTGGTGGAATTCATCGAGCCAGAGTATTCGCTCAGCAGGATCCGTCGGTTCTGAATGCAAACCAGTACGAGAACGATGCAGTAAGTCCTGGATTACATCGTCAAGTATCGTCTAACCATGAGTTTCTTAGAACTGGCAATCCCATGTGAGGTGGACTGGCCCACAAATCCATGAACAGCTTCCCCATATCAATGTCATCTGTGCAGGCATGGGTACATCAGGCACAAGCACCGGTCTTGGACAGTACTTCAAGCACGCCAAACCTTCCGTGACGAGACTGGGGTACGTTATCGCCACAACATCTGGAGGCACTGCTGATACATAGACACAGCGTCTGCACTGCAGCCGGCGACCGAGTGCCCGGCCCACGCTCGCTCGCGCTTCTCAGCCCCGTGGAGTTCCCCTGGCGCGACTCCGTCGACGCGATCGAGGAAGTCGGCTCTGTGGACGCGTTCGGCATGTCGCTGAAGCTATGCCGCGAGGGCCTGATTTGCGGGCCATCGTCAGGTTTCAACTTGCAAGGTACCTGGTCTACTCCTGCATACTGTACTCGAACCGCAACTAAACCCTCCAGGACTGCTCACTCATCTCGGTAAGCGCAAAGCCGCAGGCACTCTCGGAGAACTCGCTGGCCCGTATGGGATCATCAACTGCGCCTTCATCTGCTGCGATCTGCCCTACCAATACGTAGACGAGTATTTCGACAAGCTGGGCAGCGCGCCCTTTCCGCCTATCCACAATGAAGTACGCCCCCCCCTTCTGAACCCCCCTTCTAAACCCCCCCTCTAACCACTCACCCAGAACCTCGCCGCCGTCGACTCGCACCGCTACGACGCATCCTGGGAACTCACCCCTTCCACCGCCCTCACCCAATTCGCCGACACCCACCCCACCCCCGGCGCCACCCTCCTCGACCTGCGCAAACCCGCCGACTTCGCCGCCTCCCACGTCCCAGGCGCCTACAACCTCCCCTTACGAAGCGCAGACCGCAGCACGCCGTCCCCCTTCGCCGACGCCGCCGTGCTGGACGCCCAGTGGCGCGAGCTCAGCGCCGCGTTCACGCCGGACCGCATCGGCGCGCATGAGCTGGCCGGCCGCGAGGTGTTTGTGGTGTGCTACGCGGGGGACACGGGGCGGGTTGCGACGAGTGTGTTGCGGGCGCGGGGGATCAGGGCGTTTAGTGTGCGGGGCGGGCATGCGGCGGTGGGGAGGGAGGTGCCGGGGCTGAGGATGAGTGGGGTGGGGAGGGGGTTGCGGAAGCAGGATTGGCTTGGGGAGGAGGGGATGGGGAAGGGGTTGAGGGTGGATTCTGTGAGTGAGGTCGTTGTTGGGCCGCCGTGAGTGGAGGTGGCGAATGGCCTTGGACTTCTGCGTCTTGGGTGAAGCTGAAATGGCTTCGAACGGTGATGACACGCAACACTCATCGATGTCATATGTGTAATCAGCAAAATTGAAGGATAGTGGCAGATGCATATTGCATTGACGGCTTGAAGTATGTACAGATCGAATATCTACAGCGAACTCATCTCTCGCCTCGTCTCCCCGCATAATCCATCTAGCAGGTGAACAGCGCAGGGCCGGGGACGGTGTAAGTCTGGGCCTTGTACGAGTCGTATGTGATACCGGGGTCAGTGGCCTTGTACGCACCGGGGAAGCTGACGAGACCAGAAGGCGTCTTGCTGCCGCCACCGGAGACCTTGACTTGATGGCAGCCGGGGTAGAACTGTGCGCCAGGGTACGAGTAGGCGGAGTGCAGGGCGATGATCTCGTGGCGCACAAGGTAGTTGCCGGAGGGAATGCACTTGGGAACCGTGTAGGACACGACGCCACCAGCCTTCATGGTGACTGTGGCGCCCCAGGTGTTGGAGGTGCCTTGGCGACCTTCCTGCTGGACCTTGAACCAGACGGCGCTGCGGGATGTTAGTGGTAGGTATGTGGATGGGAGGGGAAGGGCACGTACGCGCTACCGGGCATGTAGTTGTTGCAGCCGGCGTCGGGGCACTTGGCCATGTAGGTTACGGTGGGACCGACGTGGCTCTCGGGCCAGATGGTCCAGTAGAGGTCGACCTTGGAGCCGGCGGCGACATCAGCGTGAAGCGCAGCAGGCTTCGAGCCGACGATACCACCCTCGGTGTAACCGCCGCACTGGATATCGGCGGAAGTCACGTCCTGGACCGGGCCATTGCCCTGGATCTCACGGGATATGCGCTGAGGGGCCGGGCTCATGTAAGGGTCCTGGTAAGGCTGGTAGAAGGTGAACTCCTTGTTGCCAATGGTGGCGTTGTTGACGTAGCCGTGGCCGGCGACGGCGGTGGCGAACGCAAGAGCAGCAGCAATGTACTTCATTGTGAAAGGTTGGATAAATCTACGGTCCTGCGTATGAGAATGGAAGCGACTGAAGAAGCGAGTGAATATAAGCTGGGGAGGCTTAAAAAGAAACGAATGTATGTGGTTCCGGTGCTGAGTGACCTGGATATCCGGAATAGATTGCGCGAGGCTGTCATTATATAGTACTCATACCTTATTTCAGGACTTCAATTAACGCCATGTACGACGCTGCCATGGAATTCTAGATGGGAAATGCCTGCTGGAGATCATGAAGGACAGCGCGTAGATTGGGCGAAACGCGCTAACAGCGGGTTTTCCCTGTTCCCTCCACAGTCGTGGAGGCGTCTGAACACAGCTCCGGGGCAAAAGAAGCTGTAAGCACTTGAACATGCAGTGGTGCTAATCTGGATCCTGGTAGCGACACTGAGTCGAACAGCTGCCACCTGTGTGAGGTCGAGAACAGGTGGGAACGTTGGTGACAGCGGCCAAGATTGAAACATGATGGAGTCGTGAAACAGAACCTATATCGCGGAAGGGGCATTTCCGGTCATCTCATTGGTGGCTAGCTTCAAACGCTTGGCAGATGTATCAGCTCGTAGATCCCACGTGACCTTATGTGCCGTTGACGGGGTTCATTGCCGGAGAATAGATTGGCTTCATATTGGGTGCTGTCTCGTGTGCTTAGACGGAGTGCCGACCATGACAGCAGTGATTGATATAGATCACGAGTATACAATGCTGCTGTCTGATACCTGGGAAAATGCGGGTCGCAATTCAACCTCGTCGGCGAGTGCGGGGCTTGATTGATTGCACTGTATAAAGTCTCAGCCAAGGTGGGAGTCACAAGCCTAGGGGTTTCCATGGACTAACAATTAGGTCCGAGAAGAGATGGATTGAGTGAGACGTGGTGGGCGAGGGAGGGTTGTAATATAAGTTGTTCTGCTCGTGGCGCAGGTGGATGAAAGCACGCAAATCCGCTCAAATATGCTTGCGAGAAACGTCGTCTCGGTATTCTGATACTTCGATGGAGATAGGGTGGATTGATCGTGGTAGGGTCTCTTGGCGATGATTCCAGCGTGTGCTTTGTATCACTACGCAGTGGGCTCTGCCTCGAACCTCCTTGCTCCCTCAGGAATTGGCACAACCGCGCTTCTGCAGAAAATGTGAATCCCTCCAGTCCAGTTCAGGTTTTCGATCAGGCCAGCCTTGATGGATACCACGTCTGGAGTTCCCTTCTCCAGGATACGCATGTGCATGATGCGACTCCCACAGGCTTTGCAGAAAAAGCATCGCTTTGTTCGCCCACTGTCACACAACTGATCATAGTGAGTGACGAATTCGCTTTCCGGCAGTCGGAAGAACGGGAAGACGGCAGAGGTGCCGAAGGCGCTCGCGGACTGCTTGCGACAATCGATACAGTGACAGTGAAAAAGCCTCAACGGAGCCGGAGTAGGTGTGGTGCACCTGAAGGAGCCACAGGCACAAGAGACGTCCATCTTGAATCGAACTGGTGCGGAAACAACAGGATCAGACTTAAGGAGGGGTGATGTTCTTATGTGTGTTGGTCAGCACGGGCGGCCTTGCGTTCGTCAATACGGTTGTCACTTGTGTCATACGTGACGATCATCCAGGATGTGAGATGGCTACGATAGGAAACACTGGATGATGCCTGCAAACAAGGAATGATCGAGATGCCGACTGATGGCAGGCGTGGGTCTGAATCGTGACGGAGCTATCGTGCTGCGGCTCGAAGCTTCTCGCGGAAGTGCCCCACTTGATCTCACATCCCACCTCACCCCGCGCAGTCCTCCAAACATTGTTGCAGCCTCAATCAGCTCCACATAGCAACACACACACCAAGTCCCGTAGATACTCCAGGATGGTAATCAACTACAGCAAGTGGGTATGTATCTGGAAGTCAGCCTGTCTTTCGATGTTTACTGACATGCATAGGACGCTCTCGAGCTCTCCGATGACAGCGATATCGAAGTGCACCCAAATGTCGACAAGAAGTCGTTCATTCGCGCCAAGCAAGCTCAGATTCACCAGGAGCGCGACCACAGAAAACACCAGATCAAGACGCTGAAGTACGAGCGCATAATAAACGATGGCCTTACCGCACGCATTGCCCGCCTGCTCACAGCGTTGAAGTCGCACAAGGACAAGCTTGCAGAGGGCGCCAACGAGGATCAGCTGGTGTTCCAGGCAATGATGGAGAGTATGTTGGACATGAAGGAGAACGCACCACCGCCACCTCCAGAAGGTGTACACGAGCACATCAAGGACAAGCCTACGTACCCGCAGATGATGGCGAGCATGGTGGACATTGTAAAGAAGGAGATCGACGCAAGCAGCAGTACAGATTCGCGATACGACCAATTCATTGTAGGGCTAGACAAGGAGAAGGGGCGAGTCGAGGATCTTCAGAGGCAGCTACTCGCGAAGCTGGCAGAGCTGGAGAAGGAGGAGAAGAGGCACATTACAAGTGACGATCTTACTGAGGGCTTTAGCTACTCGGCAGTCAAGAAGGAGGATCAGAAGAAGGCCGCAGCCTCGTCATCGAAAACAGAAACAGTCGAGCTCCTTAACGCACCCAAGCGCCCCGAGGCCACGCGCACCGACACAGCCGACTCTGGCGCAGACGCGGACATTGAAGAAGGCACCGCTGTTGGCGACGACGATATCGAAGCGTCCCCACTCGCAAAGAAGTTTGGCGCGATCAAAGTAGGCGACTGGTACGCCTGCTTGCAGTTTTTGATGCAGCACTCGGAGATCCTCAAAGAGTCCGAAACCGACGGCCTCCTCGTCGAAGCCTTCAACTCTGAGCTCGACGGTAAGCCTAAACACGCCCGCCAGTGCGTGCACCAGGGTCTGCTCTTGCAGTACTGCCGCCAACTTGGCGGGCGCCAGGGCGTCGAGCTCTTCTTCAAGCGCATCCAGAGCCGCGACCACCAAGCAAGCAAGATGTTCAACGACGACGTCGACCAGACCTACTACCGCATCAAGACTCGCGCAGCCGAGATCCTCAAGGAGCGCGAGGAGAACCCCGAGGGCGCCGGTGTCGAGCAGATCCAGCTCCACGCTGTCGACCCCGGTACCACCATCAACATCCAGGTCCCTCCTGCGACGTCCACCGCCGAGGACCCGCGCGAGCGCGATATCGAAATCATGGCCCGCGGCATCTTCGAGACGTTCCCGCCGGGGCTGCAGCGCGCGCTGGAGACGGGCAAGCTGGACGAGATCAACAAGGTGCTGGCGAAGATGAGCGTCGACGAGGCTGAGGAGGTTGTGGAGAAGCTGGGCGAGGGCGGCATGCTGAGCGTCGAGCAGGGCGTGATTGATGCGACGACTGAGGAGGGCCAGCGGACGTTCGAGGAGATCGAGAGGAGTAGGAAAATGCCGGGGGACAAGGTCGAGGCGACGACGGACCCGGATACAGGGGACCCTGCGTAGACGCGGGTGATGAATGCGCGAAGACATGGTTTTAGCACAGGCATGGCGTCTCCTATCGATGTTCATTGTACAATATCAAGATAATGGTATCTACGAAGCACGTACGACACAACTTCGTACCCTTCAGAACGATTCTGTGTTGCGCCTCTTACACTTGCAACAGCTTGCCCCCCATCGATCACGACGCAAACCCAGTCGTAGCTCCACAATCCTTCACCCCTAGATCAAATTCCCTAGCGAATTATCGATCCCCTCCATATCCCCATCGCCCGCAAACGCCGCATACTCGTCCTCCACCTGGTTGCTCATCTTCCGCTTCTTGACCCCCGCCTCATACGCATGCTGCCCGTACCCCGCGCCATCGAACCCAGGCCTCGCATGCTGCAGACTCCGCAGCAGATCCTGCGCCACATTGGGTGCGCCCAGCGTCGTCGCAAAGTCCGGCAGCGACGACGCATTGCCCGGCGCCGGCGCCGTCTCAGGCACCACGGGATGCGCAACCGGCTCGGGCAGCACGTCGTCGCCGATATCCGGAACGGGGTCGAAGCCGTGCGGCGAGCCGACGGGCGTGAAGCTCTCCATGGGCGGGGGCGTGAACTGCTCGACGTCGGGGCGGTGCTGGTCGGCGGGCGGGGTGGACGCGACGGGGAGCGGCGCGGCGGAGATGCGGTTTGTTTCTATGGCGGAGAGGCCCTGCAGGATGGCGTCTTCGACCTGGCGCTTGCGGGACTCGATGGCGTCTTTGCGCGTTTTGAGGTCCGCGGCTTGGGCGGTGTCGGCGTCGAGCTTGGCTTTGTTGGTTGCGAGGAGGGTTTCCAGACCCGCGATTAGGGCGTGCCGGGCTTTGATGCTCTCTGCGACTGCGCCTTCGGCTACGGCGAGTTTCTTGACGAGGGTTGATAGACCGGCGGCGTGGACGGGCGCAGAGGGGATGGTGTAGTTGGAGTTGGTGACTTTTTCGTATTCCTGGTTCGCAGTCGCAACTGTTGGTTTTGTTGTGAGGTCTGCCTTTTCAACTGATGTTGCCAAAGGAGCGACTGGCTTGAGCTCGGCCGGCACTGAAGAGCTCGAGAACAGACTTCCACCGAGGGCAGGTTTGCGACCGAGAGATTTGGACGAGTCGACGTCGTTCATGGCCTTCTCGATGCTCTGTTGAGCGGCCTGGTTGAAGATCTGTCGCTGTCTCCAGACCTCCACAACTCTTCTGATCTTGTTCTGGATCTCGTGCGGTGACCCTTTGTAGGCGACTGTTGTGGCTTCGGCGATGATGGGTTCGTAGGCTCTGAGAAACTCCTCTTTCTTGCGCATCTTTGAGGTCTGAGTGATTTCTGTTCAAGTATAAGCTTGACTACTCTAGCTTGTTGGCTTTCGATAGCTTACCATTGGCAAGGTAGATGAGAACCAGCTTCTTGTTTGGTGGTGATTCCTTCATGCGCTGCAGCCACACTGCTGCAATGCGCTCGGCGTGTCGTCTGTACAGCCATAGGTTAGCAAGGGTTCGCAAGTGGCGGTCATGCGGTTCGAGTTTGCGTGCACAATCCAAGTAGGCGAACTGCTTGTTCACGCCATATTCCCAACTAAGACGTCTGTATAGAGGGGATGCTTTACCTGTGAAAAAGGATCCACTGGCCGACTGTGGAAATGGAATCTTGTGTCTCATTGAGCGACGACAGCTTCGCCTTCAGACTGTCCTCCGTAAAGGCCATGCTGAAAGTATCACGCGTTGACAACAATAACTACTGCAGACAGGCGCTCACGCGAGCAACTTCACGAACAGGATGCTTTGATGATAGCGTGTGCCGAATAAGAGCTTAGGTGCACCTTTCCAGCCTGCAATAACTGCCTGTGTTTGCTGCACAAAGACCTTGATGACGTGTAGAGGATGGATTTGATGGAAGCTGGAGGTGAAGCTGCGGGCGCTAACGACATGTTCGGCGATACGTGTCCGGGCCTCCGCGACTGCCAAACGCCAAGGGTCTCCTCCTATGCGGTCAGTGAGCGCAACTATCGGGCAGCGACGTAAACAATCAATTGCTGTCTTCCCCACCTTTCATCGTCCCCTTCATATCGCATACTCACATTCAACATGGCGGATCGTTTCCCTTCATTAGACGAGTTCGACGCTGGTAGGCTCCACTATTAACCCAAGACGAGCTCCATGATGCTAAACCACGACAGGTCAGAGCGAAGCCCGCGGCGATGCTACCAACTTCGAAGCTATCGGCGATGATGCCGGCGACGACTTCCTCTCCCGTGAGCGCGCAATGCTCGGCGACGATGCGGATCTGTTTACGTCTGAGAACGACAAGCTGGCAACAGTCGAGGACGGCGACGACGACCTGCTTGGCGGTGACTTTGGCGGCCAGACCAATGCCGATTCACAGGAGATGAGCGGCTTTGAGAGCTCTTTCCCAGCGATCGACACACCCAACCAGGTAAGCACGCGCTGCAGAACCACACTCGATGCGCTCGGCATGTGAAGACAGCTGGCAGCATTAGAGGAGGGTCCTCGGCCACCACTATACCTCAGGCAGCACGATTCTGACTGCAGTAGCACATGGCCCCAGGCGGCACATTCACAGGGTCCTCGCTTCCCTTCCTCCCCGGCCAGCCCACGCCCTCGTTCACACCCCAAAGGTCTAGCTCGCCAGAGCCCGACGTCATCCGCGAATGGCGCGAACGCCGCGACCTGCAGATCCAGCACCGTGACGAGGTGTCCGCTGAGCGCAAGGCCAAGACCATTCAAGAGGCCCAGCAGAACATCGACGACTTCTACGAGAACTACAACAACAAGAAGGAGAAGGAGATCGCCAAGACACGGAAAGAGGCCGAGGAGTTCCTTGCCAACCGCGACGACACAACTGCCGGAGGAACAAGCTGGGAGCGCATTGCTAAGCTGGTCGATCTGAGCGGCAAGGGCACAAAGGGCGGAGCGTCGGGCAGCGAGAAGGCGCGCTTCAGGGAACTGCTGCTCGCCCTGAAGAAGGACGAGAAGGCCCCTGGTGCGACTGGGTATTAGACGGCTGACAGGTCGCGCGACGGGTGCGAAAAGAGACGCTACATGATGATCATTTCGGGGACGGTTTACGCATGACTTTGGCAAGTCCGGGATACCTGGATGCGGCTTGGAGTTCATGGATGGGGGGCTAGGCTACCTCGCACAACTATGTTAATACCTCATTCCTCGATTTCATGGTCTGGCTGTGGTTCACGATATGCACTGATCATTCCCAATCTTGATTTCAGGATTCCATCTAATGTTTATCACGACAGCTTTACAAGTGTCCATATCCCCTCCAACTTCAATCACTGCGCGTGTGACATGTATCAAGAAACACTGCTTCTTGTGCTTGTTGCCGGTTAACCTAGAAGTGGATCAGTCTCCATATGCATTTAGCTGAAGATGTCTGCGATATCCTGAGCCACTGACTGACATCGGGCACTAAGGCAAATCACAACACGACACTTGTGCACCCTAAGTCCGCATCAGAATCACTCTCCACATCACAGAATCCCAAAGACGGCAGATAGCTAAGAGGGTATAGTATTGATGAAACCAGCCAGCCGCGACAGCGCTCGACCTGAGCTAAGAGATCATATAACTCCGTCGCGCGGGGCTCGCAGATGCTACTTCATAACAGTCGTGAAAGGGGACAAGGGATATCAGTCTAATGCAAAGGAGGGACAACCGGCTCGGCAGATGACGATCACGACTCGGCCTCCTTGGTGCGGATGGGCAGTTCCTGTTTGAATTCCTGCTGCGCCTCCGCAGCAGCTGCGGGGTCTGACTCTGTGTCTTTTACGGGGACGGAGGATTCCTGCTCGGCGGGCGCCGCGGCGTTGGGGGCCTCGGTTTGCGGCGTGTTGAAGCGCACTTTGCGGTCGGCGGTTTCGGAGATCCTCCTAAGTTCCTTCACGAACGACTCGCCCCACCAGGCGCTGGTGTACTTTCGGACGTACTTGGACAGCTTCTGGTAGTTGAGGTTGCGCTGCTCGTCGCCCATGGTGACGGCGTCGTGGATGGAGTCGGCCAGTTCCTCGGTATTCCAGGGGTTGACGATCAGACTGCCGTTCAGACTCTGTGCGGCACCGGTGAACTCGGACAAGATCATGACTCCGTGGCGCTTCTCCTGCGTGGCGATGTACTCGTAGGACACCAGGTTCATACCATCTCTTGTCGAGGAAACAAGGCAGACGTCAGAGACTGAGTAAAGAGCGATGAGCTCGTCGAAAGAGACCGACTTGTGCATGAAGTGAATGGGCATGAACTCGATAGTGCCGAACTTGCCGTTGATGCGTCCGACAAGCTCGTTGACAACGGCGCGGAGGTTTTGGTACTCTTCGACATCTTGTCGGGAGGGCACTGCAACTTGTACGAGGACGACCTTGCCAATCCATTCGGGGTGCTCGGTCAGGAAGACCTCAAGAGCGTGCAGCTTCTGAGGTACACCCTTGATGTAATCCAGGCGATCGACACCAACGATGAGCTTGACGCCCTGGAATTTCTTCTCGAGAGCTGCGATGCGCTCCTGGACCTTGGGCTTTTGAAGGCCCTCGTCAAACTTCTCAGGATCAATGCCGATGGGGAAAGCGCCGACGGTGACAACCTTGCCCTGGAACTCAACACCGTTCGGTGTCGTTGCAAGACCCCTGCTTCTGTTAGTTCACATGGTGGGTTCTTCTGAGGTGCTGACTTACAGAATGCGCGAGCAACTGCTGAGGAAGTGACGAGCGTAATCGTATGTGTGGAAGCCGATCAAGTCACAGTGAAGTACGCCGAGCAGGATCTCGTTACGGACTGGCAATATACGGTAGATCTCGGAAGAGGGGAAGGGTGTGTGTAGGAAGAAGCCAATCTTGACGTTCTTCTTTGTGTTACCAATCTCCTCGCGCAGCATGGCAGGCATAAGCATGAGGTGGTAGTCGTGGACCCAGACCATATCGTTATCCTGGACATCCTTGGCAACAGCTTTCGCGAAGAGGCGGTTGGCCTCTGTGTAGCCCTCCCATGCCGACTCGTCGAATGTGATCTCACCGGGGTGGTAGTGGAAGAGCGGCCACATGATAGCGTCTGCGAGGTATGGTCAGTCTCGTAAATCCAGAGGCCTTATATATAGATATACTGACTTGAGAATCCGTTGTAGTGACGGTCTGCAAGCTCATCGTCAAGCATAATGGGCACGGCATCGTACTCGGTCTTGAGCTGATCCTTGAGTTGTGTGACCTCGTCCTCGGGGACTTCCAGACCAGGCCAACCATACCACTGGAAGGTGGTCGTCTTTGAGAGTCCACTCAAACCACTGACCAGTCCTCCGGAGGACATCGACATCTCGTACTTGCCCTCATCTGCACGCTTGATGGTGATAGGCAGACGGTTGGAGACAAGGAGCAGACGGCCCTCATTCTGCTTCTCGCTCGCCCGTCTTGTGGGTGTGTCCGACGACATATTTGCAAACGATATATATGGCGGTCGAGGTGAGGTAGGGTGTAGGTAAGTGGGCGCGGAGTATTGGAAGTGCGTTCACCAAGAGGGCGCGCACGATGTCGAGCTGTCAACGGAAGCGCGGCGCAAACAGATGTTGGGCAACTGTCTATCGCAGGATTTAAGAATGCAGGTCACAGGAAAAAGAGAGATTTCCGTGAGGTGCGAGAGTGACGAAAGGATGATTTTGGTTGTAACAAGGACCCGCACGATACAGGAAGTGGGTTCCAGCAGAATCGACGATTCGCCAGAAGAAGAACAACCAAGGCAGAGCGCAAAACCCGCTACAGTCGGAGGTGGAAACACGGCTAGGTGTCCTAATCTGGGAGAAGCTCAGGCTCAGTGGCTTGCAGTAAGTGGTGAGGGGCAACGATTATTTTGCGGATTGTTGATGCAGCAGCGCAAACTCGCAAATAGCTGTGACGTCGGTCGAGCTCCCCGCTGTGGCTCCAGGCCAAGTAGTCTCACATGGGGCGGTGAGGCGGGCCAGATGAGCCAGTCCGCGCTTTCTATTTGCCCACGGTTATTGCACAGGCCCATGGCAAAGCAAAAATTGGGCACAAGTACATGAATTGTGAATGCGGAATGGCATTCGGCCCTGCTATGCGTGGTGGCCGCGCACTTTGCGATGCACGCAATTGGGCGATCCCCGCGGCGCTAGGGTGAAGCTGTTGGGCGTTCCTGCCTTAAGCTCCCGAGCAGATGGGCGCTAACCACCATCATTGCTGCGCGTCAGTCGCGTCGAAGGCAAACATCACTCGACGTCGCTGCAGTCACGCGCAAAATGTCTGATACTGAGCAACCTTCGGAAGCAGCTGTTCTGGAAAAACTCAAGGACATTGTCATTTCGCTGCACAAAGCAGGCAACGCCGATGAGTTGACTGTCAAGCGCGTGCGGACACGCGCAGAGGAAGCTCTTGGCCTTCCTGCGGGTCTTCTGAAAAGCTCTGATTGGAAACAAAGGAGCCAAGATGCAATCATAGGCGCAGTCGTGAGTGCATACGTTCAGATTTAGAAGCAACATGTCTAAGAATATCGTAGGACAAATACTGCGGTGATGAACCTGAGCCCGAGCCAGTGAAGTCAAAGCCCGCGCCAAAAGTCTCGAAACCCAAGGCGCCCGCGAAGAAACCTGAACCCAAAGCTGGAGACAAGCAAGGCGCGAAACGGAAGGCGGCAGCTCCTAAGAAACAGCCGCAGAAGCGAAGGAAGACCACATCTTCTGAGGATGAGCTGTCAGAGGAGCTCTCTGAGGCTGAGAGCGAACCGGCGACAAAGCCAGCTCGGAGAGCGAAGAATGTGGTGGAGGATTCGGGAGAAGAGGAGACGACACCAAAGAAACCCTCAAAGAGGGCGAAGCCAGTTGTGGAAGACGAAGACGACAGCGACGCCGAGCCTGTGACAACACCAGCAAAGAAGAAGACATCAGTTCCGGCAGACAAGGGCGATGTCTCGGAGAGCGAGCTGTCGAGTCTGCTTGACGACTCGCCTGCTAAGAACAAGCGGCAGAAGAAAGCACCAGCTGCGAAGAAGAAGGAACCGGCCAAACCGAGAGCGAAGGCCGCGAGTAAAGCGACCGACGATCCAGACCAGGCCGAGATCAAGCGCCTTCAAAGCTGGCTTGTCAAGTGCGGCATTCGCAAGGTCTGGTCGAAGGAGCTCGCCAAATGCGACACACCGAAAGACAAGATCCGACACCTCAAGGGACTGCTGTCAGATGTTGGAATGGAGGGCAGATTTTCTGACGAGAAGGCGGCCGCGATCAAGGAGAAGCGCGAGTTCGCGAAGGATCTCGAGGCAATCCAACAAGGCGAAGCCTCATGGGGCACGACCGAAGACACTGGCGGCAGGCCAAGACGGAGAGCTGCTGCTAGACCAGTACCTGTTCAGAAAATTGAGTTCAGCGATGACGATGAGGAGAGCGAGCAAAACAACGACGATGGGGACGAGTCCAGCGACAACCCCGATGACGATGATGAAGATGATGACCAGGGCGCGTCGGACGACGATGGGGGCGATGACAGCGGTGCAGACGACTCGGAGTAGATATTCATCGCTGGGCTTCTTTCAGATCGGACGAGGTTACTACGGTATTACAATCGGCATTCTTGAATTGGACAGACACGTGTCGCTAGGTTCCTGGTTCAATTAGGAAAGTCGATGAAATTTTACAACCCTTTGTCGACTTTGATGCTAAATACCCTTGCTGACGCTCCAACATTCGACAACATCGCTGCTTCACAAATTCACATCTAGGAGACACCATACCTGGCTTCAGCTTATCAGCTCTTATTCCTGCAGTGAGTTGTTACCGCAGCGATGTGTCCTCGGCAATTTCCGGTCTTGTCAGGTCTCCTAATGACATCGTGGTCAATGCCTAGCTTGCCGTGATTACGTATATTAAGATAGCCTGGAACAGTGAAGGCAGCCTTATACTTGTGAGTTCCTACTCTAACTGATATGGAAAATCGTGTATGACCTACACTTCTGGAACTCATGAAGCAATTTCCTTACGAGTACGAGCGTTTTAGGTCATTTTCCTAACCTCATTGCAGACTGGCCTGGAAGGCTTCGAGCTAGGTGTTGTGGATATGCAGAGAAATACTCTTGTCTAAATAGGCTGTATCTTCAACCAGTGGGGGTGGGGTATCAGGTCCAGTCTTGGTGTAGACCGGCACTGGAAATATCTGACCGCAACCTAGGCGAGCACTGTTTCTTCGCACGCATGAATCCAGTAGAGTATGCAAGTTCATGACCTTCGGTCTTGACTTTTTCCCCTCAATGCTATCCAGAGGTGTGAGTCGAAGACTAAGAATCTGCTTGCTTATGCGTCCAGGTCCTCCACATGTCCTGCCCACCGGCACTAGGGTCGAAAGTGTGACAGTAATCCGCAAGTTTCGCCGTTCATTCATTGCAATAAGCGCAGCTTATACGCAAGCCTTATTCGTTCTATCCTTTGCCTCACAGTTTCCCTGGGTCGTTACGTCACAAAAGTGAAGTGAAAGTACCGTTTGAGGCTTGGCAGCAGCAGCCGCAAATACAAATACCTTCCACGCCCTTCCAATTCCCACACTATCGAAACAACAATTTCAGCTCAACACTCTACTGCCATCACGTCGAAAAGTCTTCTCACAGGCAGGCATGTCTGCAGAGCCTTCGGCGGCAGGCGACATGTCTACAGAGCCTTCTGCGCCTGGCGCAATGTCTGACATTCCGGCAGAATACACTGGGCCACTTCGTATCCTCGACCTGCCATCTGAGCTACTTAGTAGCATCTGTTCTCACCTCGACGGCAAGGACCTGCTTAACGTTCGACGCGCCTGTCGATCACTCAACCAAAATTCTATGTCTTTCTTTGATCCATTCTTCTTTTCTCACCTGGAAGCCATCATTCACCTTTTGAGTCTTTCGGTCCTCCTGGAGATTGCAAAGCATCCACGGTTGTCCAAGTATGTCACGCAGGTCACTCTGTGTGGCAAGTGGACATGCAACGAATCTCTCTCCCCCAGCGACCAGGCACACAATGATCTCCATGACGGCAATTCCAAATCAAGCCAATATCGGAGGACATTGCAAGATGTGCTTCAGGCTCTTCCGAATCTAACCAGAATCAACGTTTGCTCGGACTCAGAATTGAAATCTAAAGCGAATTCGCCACCATCTCTCTCTTGTGGACTGGCTGGCTTACAGAAATCGTCGGGTTTCAATTTTCGTTTCGGTCTTGATCATGATTTTGAACGCTGTAGTCTGGTGTTTCGGATTGTGCTGCCTCTGCTCACTAAACTGGACCCCGAAGGATTGATTAGGCTTCACGTCGTGTTGAGTGCACGGCCGGCATATCCCAAAGTGCTCAACCCGCTGGAGTTGAGCGCGGCGACGTGGACAAACGCTATCAAAAAGAGGGCCGTGACCATCAAAGTTCATGGGCACATTGAACCCTGGTGGGTTGGACGATTTTTACACACTGCGACCAACATTCATGACGTCGAACTATGGGGTCTCGGCCGCGTAACCAATGATGACTATCCATTCAGATTCCTGAAGTCTCTCAGTTTGACTGGTATCTTGTCGTGGTCCGATCTCAGACGTATATCTCTCCGAGATATGATCTTGGATCACGACTGCTTTACTGCGTTACTTCGCACCCACCAACGAACCCTCGGAGCAGTGCAGCTCGATAGTATCGGCATTCACCTCGGTACTTGGCGTGAGTCCATCGAAATCCTCTCCACGATGCCAAATATACATGTCCTTCAGGTCAACAACCTTCTGGAGCAAGACGATCACTCAGGGCTATCCAACGATCCACACTTCCTGGAGGTAGTGAGATGGGGTGCACTCGATTATGCAGGTGCTTTCAAGATCCAAGGGACGTCGAAGGAAGATAACTTCACTATTCAGAACTCGCTTTGTGTTCTTCTTAGTGATTACCGGACATTCCCTCTATACCCCACTGGGATGCCGGTCATTTCTCAGGCCTGGATAGAATATCACCATCAGGTGGACTTTCGAAAAGCCACTGCGGCTGCAGCGAATTTGGTGGTACACAATGAAGGCTCAGACTGTTCAGATGACAATTAAGGAGACCATTTTCTCATCAACAAAGCACCCGGACTGACGGCACGATGGTGGCAAGTGCATTAGAACTGGCTCTGGAGGAATCATAGGCTCAAAGAGAGGACCTAGCAACTATTGAACCCCGATTTTTGGGCGGTTCATGAAACTTCTTCCTTTTTTCAAGGCGCAAATGACGCCGATACAGCTGATCTGCTACGGAAGAACCGAAAAATCGTTAGATATAGCTTCACTGAAGGAATTCTCCGTATGAAAATTGACCGAATTCAGTACTCACTGCGACGTCTCCCAAGCACCGTCGTAATCATTCGTTATTGTTCAGTTGTGTGGTCACGTCGTCTTTCCACTCTCTCCCACACATGTCGAACACACGCACCCAGAGAACTTCCTCCACTTAGGTAACGAACCTGGCAATGCAAGTAGATGATGTAGTGCTAAGAAGTAAGCACGGGTAAATACACGCTCCATCAATCCCACTCGTGACTCCTGTCTACTGCCCCAACAACCCCGCCCGCACAAACTCCACATCCGCCGCAGTCCCACAAACCAACCCGCCCCTCTCATCCGTATCCCGCACCGCCGTATCCAACACCCGCGACCCATCCCGCGCATCCAGCGCCGCCCCGCCCGCACACTCCACCACCAGCGCCACCGGCGCAACCTCGTACAGCCGCCGCAGCTTCGCCGGACTCTGCCCCGTCACCGGCGACATGTACACCCCGTGCCCCTTGACAAACGCATGCACCACGTCCGGCACCAGCCCGCCGCTGTACCGCAGCGTGTACTTCTGCTTGACAAAGTGATTCACGAGCGCCAAGTACCGCGGGTCCTCGGCCGCAGCACGCAAGTTCGCGGGCGCGAAGTAGCGCGTCTTGGGCGCGGAGTCGAGGGTCACGCTGGGGCGGACGACGTCGACAGCGCCGTCGTCCGAGACGCGGACTTCGAAGGCGGTTCCGGGTGTGTCCGGCAAGCGCAGGGCGACGATGGCGGTGGTGCGCGGCCCCAGGACGCCCAGGATCGAAGCGACGAGGCTGGTGCGCGGCGGCGTGGAGGATGATAGTGCGCTGCGGCCGTCCCAGATGCCGATGATGGTGCCGACGGACCAGTTGGGGCCGATGATGCTGCTGCCGTCTAGGGGGTCGAAGGCGATGGTGTACTGTTCTTCGCTTTGCTGGGTGCCTTGGTACGCGGGCTTTTCGATGGGGTCTTCTTCGCTGCTGGCGGTAGTGATGGAGGGTACTTTTGCAATGGCATCGCGGATCAGGTTTTCGGCGAGCACATCGACGTTGAGTTGGTCGTCGCCGAAGTGGTTGGCGTTGCCGGCGAGCGAGACAGATGTGGATCGCAGTGCTTGAGCGATGCTAGGGAGGGTTTGAAGGAGCGAGGGGATTACTTGTTGGGCTAGAGCGGTGCGGTTGGGGTGGCCTGAGATGAGGGATTGGAGATGGACATCTAGAGGTGTAGATTGAGACATGGTGAAGGAGGAATGTGATTGATGTGTCCAGGCAGATGAAAGGTTGTAGTGCTTGTCTAACTCAGATTTTATATCTGTTGATAATTGGATATAAGAAACATTGACTATGCAGAAGAGTTGGCGTCATAGTGGGGTATCGATAAGGGCTTTACTAGCGTGTGAGGGTGGATACTCCGTTCAGCCTCATCAGCCTTACCATTAAACACTTGTGGTAGTACTTATAGCATCTTCGACAAGGCCAATTTGAAACTCAAATATGAGTGGACTTAGTTTGGAGGAAGTCTGCATTCATGATAACCATCCTGCTTTCCGGCAACGCAGCTGAGAAGAGCTATACTACCTAAGTGTGCAGCAGAAGGTGGTGCTCTTCACGACGTACCTCCTCATGTCTGTGCACACTCGCCGTCAGGTACATGGAATCACCCCAGAAGGACTACATCTATTGTCAGCCATGTCTCTACAAAATTCACACTTCGCTTACCCTGCCACTGCCAGTCTTTCATAACCCCTAACCAATGCAGATTCCCACGCACCGTATAATCGATCGAACCCGATCGTGTAATAGTATCAACACCCTTCTTAAACGCCGCAGAAATCGGAAACGAATTGACCTTGCGGACCGGCATTCTCGCCGGACCCACAGCGGGACAGCCTCCCGAGCTGGGCGACCCGTCCCCGGATGCAGTCCCGTAGGCTGCATTGTGCGTCGGGCTGATGGCCTCGCCCTGAACGAGGTCTTCAGGCGCGCGCGACAGGCCACGCGCGTGCCAGTAATCGTCGCGGCGTTTCCAGACTTCTTCTGTAATTTCTAGGGCTCGCTCCACGATGCCGGTCACTAGCCGCTTGGACATGGCTTTCCATCGGTCGCGCACGAAGTCCCGGTCCTCGGCTTCTACGGAGTCGTTACCGGCTATGATGAGGGGGAGAATGTGGACGATGATTGTGGGCGAGGAGAGGGGGATGGTTGCGAGGTAGACCAAGATTTTCTGCGCGAGTTCCCCATAAGAGGTCTGGTTTGGAAGTTCAGGAACAGTCTGGTAGAGAAGACTCAGTGTCGACCAGCGGTAGGCTTCAGCGGTCTGGATGGCGTCCGTCATCAATTGCGAGTGGTCTTCGACGGTCTCGAGATCGACGGGTGGCGCCCAGTCCTCAATGATGCGCTTCAGCTCGAGCGCCTGTGAGATAATCGCGGGCGAGTTGCGATACGCGTTCCTGACCCTGACCTTGCACAACAGATCTGCGACGCGTCTCATGATCGGGAAAAACGAGGTGCAGTACCCCATCAGAGGATCCAGTTTCGAAGTGCTGAAGTCCAGACGGCCGACAGTAGCAGCCACCAGACTCTCAGGGACTGGTGGGCACAGGTCTAGGCATGTGAATCTGGCGATTACATCCATGTATGTCCAGGTGTTGTACAGAAACTCGAGGCGCGCTTCTTCTTGCTGTGTGTAAGCACCAGAAATCCGATTCTCCAGCATCTGTTGCAACAATATGCCTGCACCCGTAATGTGTGTCATGCCAGTGGTTGCAGATTCGCTGTCCCAGGTTTCGGCGAACCCCAAAGCTAGTGTTGCTGCCAGTGCTGCGTCCAAGGGAATCTCGCTCTTGTTGATGCCCTCCGAGAGCAGGTGCGCGCTAGTGTGCAGATGCCGTTGGCCATCAGTGCGTAGCTGAGGCTGCGCCTTGCTGGTATGGAAGCAGGTCAAGGCTGCGAGAGCGTGGTACAGCGCCGGATATTGCCGTGCCATTGGCCAAATGACAGTCTTCCAGGGATTCTTCTCAGAGTCTTCTTCAATTGACAGGTTGTGACATGTGGTCTTGAGGAACAGCATGTCTATCTTTTCTCTCTCATTCGCTGAAACTTGAGGATTTACTGCGTCATCCTCGACAGATTCGCCGAGAGAAAGCCCCAGTTCCGCTGGCATGATCGGTGTTGTAGATAACGAGTTGACATAGTCCTCCAGAAAGTAGTTGATGTTCCAAAACGGAGGCCCGTAGTCATGTGTGTATGATTGCGCGTTGACTTCAGCCGAGAGTTGGCCAAGGTCTTGTAATGGGAAATCCGGATTCAGAACATTATCGGGTTGTAAGAACGGTGGTGAGGTGTGAAGACCGACCTCTAGCAGCTCCAAAGACTGGGGAGTCGGCAGGCTCCGAGATGTCAGCATCTCAGGATCAAGAAAGGTGAGGTCCATCATGCCCTCGGAATGCGATGGACCGGATGCTGTCTGAAGTTGAAACTCATCTGCACCACCAGGGTCAATGATGGGTATGGCGGCGATATCGCCAATCTGTGACTTCCTAGATCCCCCACTGGCTGTCCTCGGTCGGCTCGCTGGAAATGTGTACTGTCTTGGACTCTTGACGATAGCGCTGTTCTTCTTCGGCTCTCTTGCGGTTTTAAACCTGACATCCATCCTGTAGCCACCGCATTCTATGCGGCGACGCGCACATTGATTACATGCTGGCTTCGTCTCGTCGCACTTCACCCTCCGGGACTTGCACGTCACGCATCCTGTAACATCAAGGAGTCAGTTGTTGTTGGTGTGGCAACTAAAGCGCAAACTCGGCTTTCAAAGAACAGACGAAGACGAACATGCCATTGCGACTCTTCGAGAACTTGTGCCTCGAGTCTTCAGCACGGCCGGGTACCTTCGGTAAGCTTGTCCGACGCGGTTGTTGTTCGTACTCGACCTCGGTTGGTGAAGGTACCATAACGATTAGGTGGTAAAGGCAAAGCCTGTAGCGAAAAGGAAGGGCTTTCCGGGGGCGTGCTGTATAAGGGAGCGGCAAGGACTGCAATGCTCAATCTTGGTGTTATCTCTACTGCTAGTTGCGAGACCCCGCATCCGAGAACGGCAAACCAAACCAGGCCCACGTGATGTCTCGTGGCAGTCGGGTACATCGCCGTCGCATCCTCTAACATCGCTAGACCTCTGATACATAGAAGTATGCTTGAGGCATTCTGTAAATGCGGTCGTTGTATGTTCGTGTAGCCGGCAAAGGATTCCACACCTAATTCTGTAGTGCAGATCCAATCAGGGGTGCACGCTAACACGCGCAGAGCTCCCGCTTTTCCAGAGCTTGTCTAGACTCCCATTGCGGCAGCACCATCTTCCGGTATTATCGCGCACTGTATCTTGGCAGTAAGCGTTCGAGAAGTCGGTCTAATGTTGTTACCTGGATCTTGGGAGACCCGATCGGAGCAAGAACGATCCGGCGGTTGAAGGCGCCGCCACACCGCTGGAACCGTCACGTCACTGTCGCTCATTGGGAGGCGGCCGTTAACGCCATAGCCGTTGACATCTTTCTTACAACAACGCCCGATGGTCGGGCAAAGTCGTTGCTCGTCGCAAATATGCCAGGGATAGTTTCCGACATGACACTGTCAGCACTCCGCGGTCTAGGTGGATACGAGCCAAGCCGTTTTTGTTGCAAGCGACGCAGTCAGATAGGTTTGCGCACCAATCAGAATGCGCTGCGAGCGAGAACGAGCTCTTCTCTAACCGATACGGCCAACGCGGCAAGGACCAACCCAAGCGGATGAAAGACGGGTGCCTACGATTCATCATAGTGTAGGATTGAAAAGCAGTGCTGCCCCAGGACGGTTTCCGGGTTTCGCTATTTACAGAGCCTGTCACTTCCATCTCATCCCAGGATCCGCGACCCCGGTCCATCTTGACTGCGACCCTGTCCATCTTGATCGCGACCAATCGCCACGATGGTCTCCACACGTCTCTCTACACTCGCCATACTGGCCGGTCTTACAGCCCTTGCCCTTGCAGCAGAAGATAGACCTCGTGGAAACTTCAGGCAGTGCACCGAAGTCACACCTCAGTGCCCTGCCATCGCATCAACATACGGCTACTACCCCATCCTAAGCGTCAACGCCTTCCTCCTTGCCCTCTTCGCCCTCTGCTGCCTGAGCTCCCTAGTTGTCGGCATCTGGACAAAAACATGGACCTACACCATCGCACTGGCCGGAGGAACACTGCTTGAAACCGCCGGCTACGGCGGCCGCATCCTCATGAACGGCAACCCGTGGAGCGACTCCGGCTTCCGCCTGCAAATCGTCTGCTTGATCCTGGGCCCCTCGCTGATCGCCGCCGCCATCTACCTCACCCTCAAGCACTTTGTGCTGTACTGCGGCCCGCAGTATTCGCCGCTCAAACCGCGCCTGTACCCCTGGGTCTTCATCGGCTGCGACATTGGGTCGATCGTGCTGCAGGCGTGCGGCGGCGGCATCGCCGCGTCCGGCGGGAACACCAACATCAAGCTGCTCAACGCGGGCAACAACCTCATCATCGCGGGTATCGCGTTCCAGGTCGCCACCATGGCGGGGTGTGGGGTGCTTGTGCTGGTGTACATCTGGAACTACCGCAAGGGCAGAGCTGTGAAGGGCCAGGTGCACGAGAAGAGCGCGTACCAGCTCGGCAAAGACCAGGGTACCGTGTCGCTCGGGAAGATCAAGCTGTTCGCTGCTGTTGTGTGTTTGGCGTACGCCACCGTGCTTATCCGCTGCATCTACCGGTTGCCGGAGATGGCGGGCGGTTGGGGTAACCCGCTGATGCGCAACGAGAAGGAGTTTTTGCTGCTCGATGGCATGTGAGTCACCCTATCTTTCTCGAAGTGTCTTTGGGGTTCGCGTTGCTGACAATAGTAGGATGATTGGTATTGCGTGCACTGGCCTTACCGTGTGCCATCCGGGCTTCTTCTTCCCGCCATTCGCGGCGTTCCGGGGTGGTAAGAGGAGGACTGATTCCGAGTCGACGTAGGCGCTTGATCGAGATAGACACTTGCACTAGATACTAGGGGCAACGCTTTTGTGGCCTTTCAGTGCTTGCTTAATTATAGACACCGTTGCCCGTCGTGGTTGGCGGTACCTACCAGTCTAACATCTTTTCATGATAGGTAGATGAGCATGTGTAATCCTTTTCTAATCAAATTCATACCTTCTCTTCTCCTTCACCGAAACAGACCCCTGGTAGCACCGCTCCATCCACGCATCAGCCACGCCTCACCCCCGCTATTCCCACTGCACAAAACCCACAAACACTCCACTCCTCATATCAACCATACCAGCACGGACCTTGCAACACCACCTACCCTTCCCATAACGTGAAAGCAGAATGAGCTGAACTGCGCCAGCCTCTGGATAGTCCTCACGCAACAATTACAGAAGAAAACATAGGATTACCCCCAGAACTTATAGTGCCTTTAGGTTGACGTCTGCTCGCACACTGCTCGCTCGTGTCGCTCAAGCCTCATCGACCCCTTCTGGTGCGACGTCACTGTCCCAACAAGACTGGCCTCTGTGGCCAACGGTGTTTTTGGGAAGTGCTTGTGCGTGTGAATTGAAATTTGAGATGCGTTTTCGAAGCCAGTCTGAGTCGTGGGCAGCGTACTCAGAACGCGCACACTGCGAATCCAAGCACGACAACGCTGCGCGCCACGCTTTCGCTACTCGGAAACCTTACTTATTAAGCCTACAAACAGCCTACAAACATCGTAGCAGTTAACCAGTCCGATTGTACACACGCGCTACACTTGGTCACTCGCCGCACTCTGCCCTACTCCCCACCCTCCTCCTCCTCCCCATCGTCCCACTCATGCCACACCACAGGCGTAATATCCTGGCCCCCCACCGCCGTCCCACCAAACTCCAAATACCCCGCGGCCCCCGAATACGGAATGCGTGCGATCTCCTCCCACTCGCCCATGACCCACACGCTCTGCATCCCCATGATCATGTGCTGCAGGACATGGCAGTGCAGCATCCAGCACCCGGGCTCTGTGACGCGCAAGCGCCAGCAGCGCCAGCCCGAGGGCTCTTCGGACGCGGTCTTGGCCGCGTAGCGGTACAGGTTCGTCGTGTCTCTGAGCACAGGACTGTAGTTTGCGAGCCGCGCTTCGTTGGCGGCTGCGTCGTATGTGCCGTTGCCGGCGCCGCAGTCGTAGTAGTGCGCGCCGTGCAGGTGGAACGGGTGGTAGTCGACGCCGCCGTTTGCATTCACAGAGGATCCCGTGTTTTCGAGCACGATCTCGAGGACTTCGCCGAGTTTGGCGGGCCAGGCGAGCGAGAGCGGGTCCCAGCCGCCGTTGGCGAGGGCCGCGGTGTAGTTCGGCATCGCGGCGGGGCCGTTCTTGTAGATGTCTACGAGGTAGGGGGGCGCGGCGTAGGATTTGTCTTCGGTCCAGTTGAGCCCCTCGAGTTGCCAGATGATGGTGGATTGCTGCAGTTGCTGGTTGGTGATGTGGACGCGGCGGGTTACTTCAGAGGCGAGGGGAAAGGCGTTGGGGACGAGGGGCTCGAGGGCGTATTCGAGGAAGTCGTAGGTGTTGTTGGGAAGCTGCAGGGGGGTGATGTGCGAGGTGCTGGTTATGCTCGGGGCTGCATTCGAGTAGCGTAAGACGCCGAAGCCGGTGTATGTAGCAGGACGGTCTTTGGTTTCGAATTGGATGGCCCAGTCGCTCTTTCCATTCTCACCACTAATCTCCTCTGTGGGCTTGGTGGTTAGGAGCACGTCAAAGCGCTGGCCGGACGTGATCTGCATGTGCCCGACAGGATAAGGCTTCGTGTAATGTCCATCAGCGGCAATCACATGCATATCTGCATGCCCCTCGATGCCAAAAGAGACCATACTGATCGCCGTTGCTCCCACGAATCGCAGCCTGTACTTCTTGCAGGGCTCGACGTCGATGACTGGCAGTGCACAGCCCTCACGGCCAGCGCTATTTGCAATACCCACTCCATTTAGAAGAACTGCATTTACCTCTCCGCTCCACACGAACGGTGTGGCTGTCAGCCCATGCTCGATGACGTGATCGGATTGGTTGTAGTAATCCTGCAGAAAGATTACGCGTTCCTCATCGTACGCGTAGGGAGGAGCTGCAGCATCTTCGACAATCAGCGGTCCCGATGCAGTCATGGCCTGGAATCCGACGTGTGAGTGGTAGAAGTAGGTCCCGGAGTCTTCCAGCTCAGGGTGAATCTCGTAGTCGAAGCAGTGGTGTGGCGCAATGGGCCACTGCGTGACTGGCGAGCCGTCGCTGAAGGGAGCAGTGCGTTGGGTGAGACCGTGCCAGTGCTGGGGATGTTAATAATATAACCGACATGTATGGAGAGATTTCTACCATCGTAGTGTTGTACGCGTCCATGTCGTTGCAGACTCGCACCCAGCTCGTCTTGCCGGGTGGAAGGCGAAGCTCCGGGCCTGGCGACGTGCCGTTCACCAGGACCGACATGCGGTGTTGGCATGCCACAGTATGATTTTCATACGTGACGCGAAGATAGAAATCCGGCGTAAAGGACTCATCGTGAACATGGAGGCGGGAAGCATTCACTGTACTGGCCACAGAAAACGCCAGCAGCAACACAGAGAGAAAAGACGACAACATCTTGAAAGAAATTACCTGATGTGCACATCTGGCGATCTCCCTCTTCTAGGTTATATACGTTGTTTGCATCGGTCCTTTCTAGAGTTCTCACCCGCCCCGCCGCCGCATCCGAATGGAGGCTGACAGGTAGCACCAACATAAGCCGACGTTTCTGAACATAGCACAAGCACCGATCATAAACCGACTTGCACAATCGCTTGCTGCAGTTGTGCCTATTTGTGTCGCTGCAGATCTTGTATTGCGATTCACCTGCTTGGGTTCTGCACTGAGCACATCTGGTACCCTGCATTGCGTTGGGCATAGTGTTTCGATGCGCGGGTGGTACACTCGAGCGCACAATCTCCGCAATAAAACCTTGTTGGGTGTTGTTGTGGTAGGCAGATCCCGCGGCCCGAATAGCGGCAGTCGGTTTTTGACTTCGTATATCGCCGTGGATCGCGCATCTAGTGAACGTCGCCACACTTCTCCCCGCAGCGGCTGGAGATCGTTAGTTGGAGCATGTTCCCCAGAATTCTACGCCTGGAGGCTTGCGGGGTAGTATAGCTCAGCATCGGCGTCTCGCCGATCGGATGTCGGGGGCCTCTGTGAAGTCTAGTCTCGCTCGCGCTTCAACTGCACCGTCTCGAAGAACGGATTCTCGCTCTCCACCTCTTCCCCCTGCGCCACCATCGTCCGCTCCGTATCCCACTTGTACAGCCCCCCCTTCTCCGCTACCTTGAGCGCCATCCCGCGATCCTCCCCACTCATCGTGCACACCCACCTGTGCACCCTCCAGTCCCCCCTCTGACACTCCGCCGAGCAGTACGCCGCAGTGCCGCACCTCCCACAGCGGTCCAGCGGCTTCGCCGCACCCGCCGCGCCACACGCCGTGCACTTGCTCAGATCGAGTGCTGCATACAGCAGCAGCGGCGCCATCGCAATCCCGTCGCCGAAGATGTCCATCGGCGCATACTCGACATGGAACGAGTGCTTGACCCCCTTTGCCGCGTCCCAGCACCTACTCTTGATTGCATCCTGGACCCAGCGCTCGCCGAGCCTATCAACCAGCTCCGCGGCCTTGACGTCGCGCTCGCCCAGCATGCTCTCGCGCGTATTCGGCACCCAGGCGCCGCGCACAACGCTGTCGTTAGAATGCAGAGCGACGTTGTACGTCAGCATGACGGCCCAGTTCTCGCCCGCGGCGTCGAGCGTGCCGAACGTGACTTGGTTCCCCACGCGGCCGATCTCTAGCTTCTTCGCTGCGGCGTCGGGCGTGGGCCCAGGCACCGTGCACGTCCATGTCAGGCTGAACCAGGCATCCAGGTCCAGGAAGGCTTGCAGGGCGGCGGGGCTCCAGCGGTACAGCACGGTGGCTATGCCGTGCGGGACTGATGGCGGCGTGGAAATGCCCGTGTTGAAAGAGTTTTCCTTGTAGATGCTGAGCGGGTGGCCGTCTAGTTTAAGGGGAACATTCGGGTAGTCTGGCAGCCTGAGGTCAGGCAGCGCGTCGAAATGCAAGATCATGTTTGTGTTTGTGAGTTGGTGTAGTTGAGAGGAACGTAAAGATATGTGGGTGAGTGGGGCGATCGCCAGCGCATGATTGGCCGGCGTTTCGAGACCTCACTCGATGCACTACCCAGGCACTTCGCAAGCCCGCCATGCCTTGAGGTTCTGGCTGCACAAGACAACACATGGTGTGTGCTACATGCCACGAGCAATATGGTCCCCCGCAATCACCGCCACGCAGAGCCACCGCAAAGCACAACGTCACCTGAAACGCGACCCCTGCACCGGTACACCACGCGGCACGCCCCGCCGTCAGCGCCCCGACACCTCGGGTACCAGTGCCCGACCATCTCCAGCGACCCCAAGGTTCTTCCTCTCTGTCTGCCCCAAGTCCCAGATCCTCCGTACCACTTCCTCCATACCACTGACGCGGTCCATGACGCCGTGACTGCTCCGCGACAGCGGGTCCTAGAGTCGAGGTAGTAGTCGAGACGTACCACGGGTGCAGGGCTCTGGCCTTTGTACCCCGCTCGAGCGCCCCGCGCTACTTGCTGTGGGAGAGTCTGGTGCTTTGGTTGCGTGCGGTCGCTGTAAAGAGCTAGCAAGTAGAGGTGCGTGCGAGTATTTGAGTATGTGTGTGTGAGTGAAGGGGGGTGGTGAGTCGCCATGCTGACGTAGGGGCGGATCAGCGTATTCCGTAAGCACAAGGCGATGGAGCCCGAGCATGTCTGCGAGATTGTCAAACGAGGCCCACGAACACACGGAGCACGCAGTCAACAACGCAGTTGGAAAAAACGTATCGATTTAGATATCAAACATTAAGTAAGTACGACGGCCTAGATATATACACCGCGCCCACCGCTCAACCACCCCTCTCTACGAGGAGATCTCGACAATCGCGGGTCCGGCAAGAATCGTGTCGTCAGTCGCCGCAGTGTTGCAGCTCGTCAGCACAACGTAGCTCTGCCCGGCAAAGCCCTCGGGGACAACAACCTCATACCCGCCGTCGACCGACTTAGCCTCGACGAAGGTCGGCCCGGTGACAGCGATGAACGCCGCGTACACGGTGCCCTCGACCTTGTACCCGGTGGTGCCGAGCAGCACAGTGGATCCGCTCTTGATCATCATGTCGCTGCTGGACGCCGACAGGCTGGGGAACGCCTTGACGGGCAGCGCGGGGTTCTCGGCGGGGCAGCCAGTGATGAAGCCCGCGGCGAGCGTGTACACCTCGTTGTAGGACAGCGGGGCGTCGAACGGCTGCGCGAACGGCGCCTGCTTGATCGTGTTGCGGATGTACGCGCTGTGGCGCGCCTCGACGGTCAGGATCGAGCCCGCGGCCGTCAGGTACGTCTTGGACATGATGTCTGCGGCGGCGCCGAGGTACGCGCTAACGCCGACGCCCTCGAGCACCGACGCGGTCGCCAGGAACGACTGCACGGAGGTGACCCCAAAGGCGTAGGTGCACTCCTTGACGGGGACGGCGCCGGCGGCGGACAGCGCGCCGGACAGGAAAGAGACGTGGGTTGCTTCGTCCGAGGCGATGGTCTTGATGCGGCCATACACCTCAGCGTCGAAGCCGGCGGCGGAGAAGTCGGCCTCGGTGAAGTTGGCGAGGCCCTGGCGGTAGAAGGTGTTCTCGAGGTGCTCGAGGGTGAGGGCGTAGTTGAGGATGACATCGTCGGTGGGGCCGTCGGCGCGCTTGGTGGGCGCGGCAGAGGCGGCGGCGGCCAGGGCAGCAATGGCGAAGTTGGTCTTCATTGTAATGGAAGTATGGGGGATGGAAGATGGGGTGTGAAGGGGAAGGTGGAGGAGATGTGAGTTGGGATGATATCAGCATCAACAAGGACGCAGCCTTACTTATACCACAATCCTCACCCTCAACTGCACGGCGACTTCTCCTTCGCGCCCGTCGTCATGTCCACCCCGCCCCTTACCACTACAGGCAACGACCTACAGCATCGCGGTACAGCTCCCATCCGGCGCAGCCCAGAAATTTCGAGCATCGCGCTGCATTCAGCCCAAGTCCTACGTAGCTAGGCCGCTGCTCCCAAAAGAGGAATTTGTAATGCCCCAGCGCCCAATCGGGCACAGCCCAGCATCGTCCGCCCCAAAGCAGGCAACCCTCAAGTCTGTGAGCCGTCCCCCGCAAAACCGCGTCCCCAGCGCCGGAACCCTCGCTTCCGAGCAAAAAAGTGTAGACGCCTGTGCAGTGACGTCGGGGACTAGGCCAGGAGCACGCGGCGTGTGATTGGGCGGCTGTTTTGAATCGGGGCTGGCGCGGAATGCTAGGCTGCTTGCGGACTGACGGGCTGCGTGGAACGTGAGGGTTCCGAGCGAAGTTGTACTACTGGCGGCACTTGCCTTGGGCATCGCAGCTCGCGAGCGCAATGATTTGCAAAGCTGGTGTGGTCGCACGGGATGGCTGGCGGGAGGGCGAGGTGCCGGAGATGGACGGCCTTGTTTGAACGCAGCGGGCCATGACTTGTGTTCGAATCTTGCGGCGAGATGGCGAGTGGATGCTTTGGGTCGACCTGGGCATTCTTGTGACCAGGTAGAGTTTGAGAAGGGGCGTTGTGGTATATTACAAGTCCGCCTCTTGTTCGTTTTCTGAAAGCGCTCGTCGACATCTCAGTCTCAGTCTCAAGTCTCTCGTTACACACCATCTCAGACCATCATCTTAAACCACCATCTCAACAAGCCTCCCTTTCTCCCACCATGAAGTCCCTCTCCATCATCGCCGCCGCCGTCCTCGCTGCAGGCGTCACCGCGTAAGTCCCCCCAATACCCTTGCTCAACCCCCCCTAACCTCCCCCAGCCAATCCCCCTCCATCACCACCACCATCACCGCGCACGCCGGCTGCCCCACGGGCCCCGCCGCCGACGTGATGGTGACCCGCAGCAACGCACCGGTGCCCAGCTGCGCGGCCGGCAACGGCACCAAGCCGTCCATCGTGACGATGCCGGGCTACGGGCCGCCGGCGGGCAACGCCACGGCGACGGGCAGCATGGCGCCGCAGTTCACGGGCGCGGCGGGCAGGACGGTGGTGTCGGGTGTGCTGGGGGTGGTTGCGGGGTGTGCGGTGTGGATGTTGTAGGTGGATGAACGCCGGGGGTTAGTCCGCGTGTCGGGGGAGGAGTAATACCAGGAGATATCCTTGCTGTACATAGCGCGCGTTGTATGTGCTGTTTTGGTCGTTGCAGGTGGCGCTCGGGTCGCTACGTGCAAGTAATACTATGCCTTTGTCATGAATCCCTTAGGATGCCGGCTGTTCTCTTCTCTTGCTACCCTACTATCACGCCACCCTACGGTCGTCCCACCAAACACCGCCTTGCCCTGCGGTACCCTGCCCTGCGGTGCTCTACCCTGCGCCGCTCAGCCCTGCGCCGCTCAGCCCTGCATCGCCATGCATGGCCCTGCATCACCACGCGGATACACGACATAGCCGCCACTGCGAGCCGCGCGGGGGGTGGGGGTGCAGTGTGTGCTACGATCGAAGACGGAACGGGCGGCGCGCGGGGAGTGTTGCCGTGCGTGCGGTGTACCGTACTGCCTTTTACTGTATTGCCTGTACGCCCTGACTTGCGGTTGACGCTTCTCCTCACCGCGCCTCCTCCCTAACGAATCCCGAGCCAGATCCTTTGTGCCGCGGGAGCCACGCATCACTGGAACGCAGCGCGCGGGCTAAGAAAAACTATACATGCTCGCATTTGTGTTTGTATGCTCTTGCTATATGCACCGACAGCGCCAATATCTACACATCCATGTCCGGGTCCATCTCGGAACCGCTTTGCTGCACACACCGCACTCATTCACAGAATATACCTGGTTGCGCCGACCGCGCGCCTTTGTCTTTGTCTTCGCCTTCGCCTTCGCCTTTATGTTCGCCTTCGCCTTCGTCTTCGCCTTCATCTGCCTCATCGCATCGCATCGCATATCGTACCAAACGCCTCGAAACGCCTTCACGCAAGAACCAGCCATGCAAGTGTATCCGCTCCCAAAAAACCGCAGATGCCCAGAAACCAGTCAGCAAGGGGGACAGAAACCGCAAACGCGCAACTAAGGGGGAAGCGCCGCCCAACGCCGAGCCGTCATGCAGAGCCCGGAGGCGGGGCTCTCATTAAAGTGTCGCTAAATATCGATTGTCGAAGCGGGAAGCAAGGAGATTACGCGAAAGACGGCAGCGCGGCGCCGCCGCAGTCCGGGATCTTGAGGCCCGGCTTGAGGTTGCGGTTCACGTCCATCAGGCCCCATTTGTCTTCCCACTCCTTGCCCTTTTCGTTGTAGCGGATTTTCCAGGGCTCGTCGAAGGCGGAGAACCTGGTTGTGTTAGTCGTGTACATATAAATGAGGTTGTCTTAGAAGGGTGGATGATCATCACGGCAGTACTCACCAGAAGTACTCGGTCTGGTTCTTCAGACTCGGGCAGATCCAGTCCTCCATGAAGAGGTTCATCTCGTCAATACCAGCGACCGATCCCCCGGTGCACGAGGCGGCGCCGCCGCAGTTTGTGCCGCCGCCCGATGGCCAGCCAACCTCGGCAATGACCTGCTTGATGTTGTTGTCGTTGGCGGTCAGGGCGACGTCGTTTTGCTGCCAGAAGGTCCACGTCCAGGCCGCGGCGTCCTCGACGGAAGTACCCGAGAAGAAGGGGTGCACGTTGGACATGACGACGTCGACCTTGGTGGCCATGTCGGCGGTCCAGTTGTCGCCGAGATCGGCCATGGCGACGGGCAGGTCGCACTTGTGGCTGGTGATGTTCTGGCGGAAGTTGGTGATCTGGGTGAGCAGCTGGGCGACGGTCAGATCCTCGCGGTACAGAACCTCATTACCGATGATGATACCCTTGAAGTAGTCGCAGCCGTACTCGTCGAGGATGTCCCAGGTCTGGGCGATCTGGCGGTTGTTGGTGGAGTTGTTGTCGTCCAGCCACACGCCGAGCCAGATCTTCATGTCGGACAGCTCCAGACGCTGGATGGCGTGGATGACCATCTGGGTCTGGTTGCAGTCGGTTCCGTAGAGCCTGATGGAGTTGGTCAGCTGTGACATGACGGCGACGTCGCGGGTGATGTTGTTCTGCGAGGGCGCCACGGTCAGGCAGTCCGGGCGCTGCGAGTTCAGCGGGGTGTAGTCCATGCCGGGGAAGACCTTGTGCAGGTTGGCGTTGTTCATCAGGGCCTTGATCTCGCTGGAGTCCTTGTTGAGGTCGTCCTTGTTGTCGGAGGCGACGTCGCCGGCGCTGACAGAGCCGTGCTGGCCGTCGTGGCCGCTGCCGCCGTTCCTGTTGAGCAGGGCGCCGAGGACGCCGCCGAGGATGGCGCCGATGACGATAAAGGCAATGATTGAGATGGCGATCCACATGCGCTTCTTGCGCTTGGCGTGGTCGCGCTTTAACCACTCGGACTTTTCGGCGAGCAGCTCAGAGTGGCCGCCGATGTGGCTCCCGCTGCCGTTGGCACTCCCCCCGTTGATGTTCGAGACGGCAAAGGCAGCGGCGCCACCAGCAGCGCCGGCGCCCGCAACACCGCCGGCAATGGACGACCCCGGCGAGCCGTTGCGGCTGCCGTCGCGCGAGACGCCAAAGCCCGGCACGAACGAGCGGCGCTTCTGCTGCGGCGTCTCGGGCCCCATGCCCCAGTCGTCGTCGTCGGCGAGGTCGTTCGGGTTGATCTCGGCCATGGCGTGGGCGTTGCTCATCGGGGCGGTGCTGTAGCGGTTGTAGGGGTTGTCGGTGAAGGGGGCCGGGTGGGCCGAGTTCATGCTGTGCAGCGAGTGGTTGCTCGAGTACATGCCGGCGCCGGCCAGCGGGACCTGCGAGCCGTAGGAGCGGTTCGAGTACATGGAGCGCGGCGGCAGCCCGCTGTCGTAGGGGTACTGGTCGTGGAAGGGCGTAGAGCTGGGGCTGCGGCTGGGCACGCCGAGCGGGCGCGGGTCGCTGCCGGGCGTCGACAGGTCCGAGTAATTGTTGGGGTCGTGCTGGAACGACGGGCGCGACGGGAAGTGCTGGCTGTCGGCGTGGGCTCCCACGGGCACGCGGTGGACGGGCGGCGGCGGGGCGTCGTCAAGGCCGTCGGCGGGCGAGCCGGGCTGCGCCAGGAAGGGCGTCTCGGACTGCGAGTGAGCCATGGGCGCGGCGGAGGAGAGCGAGCGTCAGCGAGTGCGGCGAGGCAGCGAGCGTGGGTGCAGCGAGCAGCGAGGCGGCTGAGGCAATGGCGCCGCCGGTGGGTCGCACGCAAGCGGGCGCTGGGCGGCGGGCGGTCCGAGTGGGAGCGAGCGTTCGCAGCGGGCACAAGCGGCGGGCGAGGGCGATGGCGAGGGTGATGGCGATGGGAGGCGGGCTGCGGCGGCGGAGAGCAGCAGACGGGTGTGGACGACGCCTGCAGCTTTTCCAGGTTGCAGGTTGCAGGTTGCAGCGCCCAGCGGAGAGGCTGGTTGGTCTCTTGGAAGCGGCACTGCCCCTGCGCGCTATTGCCGCTTCGGTCGCCGCCATCGTCATGCTAAACCTCGCAGATAGCAGGGCCTCTGCGCACGGCCGCCCACCACCGGCGTGCGCTGAGCCTGCTATCGCTGCTCGCCAAGAGCGCTGCTGAGTCTGCCTGTCTGTCCGTCCTCGCGCTACGCCGCTCCGGGTCGCGCGGCACACGCCCGCTGCGAACTCACGCACGGCGCGCCTGCTGCAAGGCCCCAACCGCAGGCCTCAACCGCAATCTCTCGTATCTATCGAATGTCTACTCGCGACGACGACCCGCCCGTCGAGGGAGACGGGCGTGTTGCACTGATCCTGATTGCCGTCGTGATGCTGCTGCCACTAACACCCCGAGTCCTCAGCAGCCCCAACCCCCAATACGAACGACACGAACCAATACCGCCACAGCAGCGTCGTAACCATGCAGCGATCGCTGGTCTCGCGCCAGCCAGCTGCAACGTCTCGCCGTTGCTGTGTCGCCGTGCCGATCGGCGCGTGAAACACACCCCGACACCGACCGGGACAAGACAGTGTAACTGTCGCACGCCCTCATAGCACTTGAATCCCTCACCAGTCGCCACTTGCCCATTGCTCACTCCCAACACTCCAGACCAACAATTCATAACTCTAACCCACCCCTGCCACTCCGTCGCCAACTTTGCCTGCTTGTTGTCGTGGACGCGTGTGCTGGCCGCCGCTGCCGTGACAACCTGACTCCAGCTGCCACACACCCGTTGCCAAGACACGGCCGGCACACGAGAGAATTGCCGAATCAGGTTTGTGCGCGCCTTGCCTGATACAGCGCCGGCTGGTTTTCTGCGACATCAACAATACGGTTGTTGACTGACATGGTCGTTGTGGAGTGTGGACGGCGTTGTAGTACTTGTAAGGTGAGTCTGGGTAGATGCGACGTCTTTAGAGTTGCGTGGCACGCTGTGCAGGGTGAGGTCAGGTAGGTCAGGTAGGTCCGTGACAAGCAAATACAGTTCAGCGACATTGACGCAATTGAACTCTCGCCAGACCGATGGACCTTAATAAACCCCTCTACCTTGCAATTGCAATACAGCGCTGCACGCATTTCAAACCCTCCGTCAGTCCACGCCTCATCTCCCGTTACAGATGCCATCGATCCAATCCAATCCAATCCAACCCTATTCAAAGAACAACCAACAAACCACCTCAAACACATGAACTAAAGACAAACACAAAGAATCCCCCGCCCCCTCCCCACCCCCACAGTCTCCCGCCCAAGTGTATGGCAGCCTTACCCACTGTACCCACTTCTCCTCCACGCACGCGTTCCCCACACATCCCCACTTCAATGCCTCTAACCCAACAGCCCAAGTCTAAGATCAGCGCAGTGTTGCTGTTTTTCTGGTGGTTGATGTGCGGTCTGCGTCGTCTGGTGTGCAGTGGTTGACATCCGGCATCTAGCGTGCGGCTTTGGCGTTTGATATCTGGAATCTGGAATCTGGAATCTGGAGTCGGGAATCTGGAATCTGGAGTCGGGAATCTGGAATCTAGTATGTAGTCTCCAGTATGCAGTCTCCAGTCTCCAGTCTCCAGTCTCCAGAATCTGGAATCTGGAGTCTGGAACCCAACACACAGCATACACCATCCCTATCCCCTCGCAGTCCCAGCCGTTAAACGATGATCATGGGTAATCTATCTACTGTGGACGGGGATAGCTGCAGAGGAAGGCGAAGACGAAGACAAAGGCGAAGACGAAGACAAAGGCGAAGACGAAGATGAAGACTAAGACTAAGATGAAGATATAGAAAGCGCAGTACAGAAGACTAATGTACTGTGTACTGTACATACTTCTGCGCGGTTATCTTGTCTTCTTGTATAAAACATCTTGCGTCTTTACCCCCTGGCTCCTGGCTTCTGGCTTCTGGTCTAAAGCCCTAGCTTCGGCACTGCAGCTTTGAGCTTCAGTCTGTAGTTCCTGACTTATAGTTTGTAGTCCCTGGCTTCTAGTCTGTGGTTCCTGGCTTCTATTCTATAGTCCCTAACTTATAATCTACAGTTCCTGGCTCCAGTCTACAGTTCCTGGCTCCAGTCTACAGTTCCTAGCCGGTGTTTTAGGGCAGGGCCTGAATTACAGCCCGCACAGTCCTGCAGCATTCCCAGGCGCTCAAATTCTCCCCTACTCTACAGTCACCACACACGCCAGCCACACACTCAACCCACAACAACCGCAGCCTCCACGCTACAACCCCCCAAGAAACCCCAGCATCTCCTCAACAACCCTCTCGGGCTGCTCCTGCTGCGGCCAATGCCCCGCGCCCTCGACATACCTCACGCCCCTAAACTCCGCACAAGCACCCTGCAACCCCTCCAGCACCCCCGGCTCCTGGAAATTGCCCCAGTCACTACGGCCCGAGATGAATATAGTCGGACACTCAATCCGCCGCCCGACAAACACCTCGAGATCGCGTTTCCGCGCGGGGTCCGTCGTGGTGCGGTACCAGTTCAGCGCGCCCTGGAAGCCCGTGCGCGACCACTCTTGCACGTAGACGGCGAGGTCGGCGTCGCTCATCCAGCGCGTCGTGGCGGAGGCGTCCTCCGAGGCCATCAGGGCGGCGATGGCGGATGGCATGGTGGCGGAAAGTGGCATGATGTAGTAGTGCGGCATGCGGGCGAGTTCGGGCGCGCTCCAGGCGGCGAGCGGGGCGGGCGTGTTGGCGCGGTAGGCCGCGGATTTGACGTGCAGGTAGCCGCGCAGGAAGGCGGGGAGGCCTTGGGGCGGGTGGGCCCAGTCGGCGGCGGCGGCGGGGGTGCTGTTGTACCACTTGTAGTGTTTCCGCGGGGGGTCGAGGGCGGCGAGGGCCGCGTGGATGTCCGCGGGGGCCGGGGGCAGGGCGGCGCCGTTGCGGGTGTTGAAGGGCAGGGCTGTGGGGGGTTTGAACGGGTGGCTCATCATGATGCAGCTGCGGAACAGGTCGGGGCGGAGCAGCGCGCACAGGCTGGCGGTGACGGCGCCGAAGTCGTGGCCGGCGATGCAGTGGACGGCGCGGTAGCCGAGGGCGCACACGAGGGCCACGACGTCGCGCACGGCGCTGGTCAGGGTGAATTGCGACATGTCGACGCTGTCGAAGGGCGACGTGTCCCAGCCTGTGGTGCGGCCGTAGCCGCGCTGGTCGAAGGCGACGACGTAGTAGCCGGCGTCGGCGAGGGGGACCATGATCTTCCGCCAGGAGAAGGCGAGCTCGGGGTATCCATGGGTGAGGATGATCAGGGGCCGGTCGCGCTGGGGAGTGTGTCCAGCTTCGAGGATGTGGAAGGTGAGGCCGTTGGACGGGCAGTGGACGTAGTTCTCGGTCACACCTGGAGGCAGTGGCAGGGGGGGAAGATCAGACATGTCGGTGTTGATGTGTATGGTCAAGTAATATTCTGCCAACTAATGTCTGTTCAGCTTTGTTTAATTCGTGTATTCTGGCATCAATTCACTTTACACGTAGATCAATCACGTTCGGTCACGATCTGAGGATGGATGCGGGGGTGACGTGCGTCGGCTATGTATCCGCCCGCGTCGAAAAGCTTAAAACGATGTTCAAGCAATTACTGGGGCATCTTACAGCCTCGTGCGGTGCACACTGTTCCACGGCGTGTGGGCGGAGCAGGACTGCATTGTGGCGCTGGCGGCTAGGACACCAAGTGCACGTTGTCAACAGGCGACTAGACACGTACAAATAATGTGCTTCTGCATCCTACTAACGCTCAACAACAAATAATTGTCAGAGCGACGGCGCGGTGAAGCGTGCCTGGAAAACTGGATCTGAGGTGAATCGGGCTACGTCATGACAGCTAGCGAGCCCACTCGAGGCGCCGGCGTCTGGCAGATCGTGCGGGTCGCTGTGGTTCGCTGCAGCTGCACATCAGGTCCGTGTGTCCGCCGGCGGTGCGTCCAGGCTGTTTAGTCAACAGCGAGGCCTTGCAGACATGGCACGGGGACGCCTGACATGTGTGCGCCGTGGTGTGGGAGACGTGGAAGATGCTTGGGAGACGTGGAAGATGCTTGGGAGACGTGGAAGATGCTTGGGAGACGTGGAAGATGCTTGGGAGACGTGGAAGATGTTTGGGAGGGCGTGGAAGATGCTTGGGTGTTTCGCTGCAGGGCCCTGTCGGGCAGGCAAACGCTGGCAAACGCTGGCACGGGCACTGAATCGAGAACACGCGTGTTTGGCTAAGGCGATGCGCTGTTTGAGCGTGTTTCCGCCGTCGCCGCAGGCCATCACTGCTGTGGTCGACGAGCCAAGGCTCACGGCCCTCCGCTCTAGACGACTCGCGGTGACGATCAAAGCACCTCGCGCCGCATTCTGCCAACTAAATAGACAACCGGCCCTCCACATTCTTTGCACCCCTACCGTCTCTCGATTCTTGCGCGCCCATCCCGACGGTGCGCTGGCCGACGTCTCTTTGTGCACCGCGCATACGTCACCGATTCCCCGGCTCGAATTGACCCCGGCATCCCGTGGGCACACGATGCAGTGCAGTCGTCTCGATAATTTCTAATCAGCCACGGCCATGTTCTCCCGCCGCCGGAGGGCTGCCTCCAACCCAGTAGGCGCTGTTGTGTGCTGGCCATGCGCAATGCTAACAGCGACAGCCCCAGCGATCCGCGCCCAGCGCATCCGCCTCGCTCGCGGCCACCAAGGCCTTTGCGCGCAACCAAGAGTCGGACGCGACCCTCTCCAACGCCGCCGCCGCCGCCGCCCTGCGCTCGCACACGTCGAGCCCGACGCCCGTCGGCGAGCTGGTCACCAAGCGCATGGTGCGCCGCGGCTCGACGTCGTCGCAAGGAGGCAGTCCGCGCCCGCCGGGCCTGCAGCGCCAGTCCAGCTCGGGCTCCATGACAGAGCGCTCGTTCCGCAACCCCTCGCCCAGCGGCCCCGTGCCGCCCGTGCCCGCCGTGCCGCAGCCCGCCAGCAACGTCCACCGCCGCGCCTCCAGCCTCGAGCCCGTCAGCCGCGGCGGCTCGCCGACCCAGCGCGGCGGCGGCAGAGGCGCAGCGCCGGCGAACCGCATACAGCGCGTGGGCAGTCCGCTGGCCCAGGTGTCCGAGGAGGCCCGCGACCCGCGCCAGTCGGTCAACTTCTCGCGCCCCATGTCGCCCGCCCTGCCCGCCGCCAGCGCGCCCGCGACCAGCCACGGGTGGTTCGCCGGGCCCGTCGTGAACCAGGAGGCCGTCCAGCGCATGGCCTCGACCTCGCCCCCAAAGTCTGCGGCGCCCCCGAGCAACACCTACCTCGCCAACACGGCCCAGGCGGTGCAGAACGCCGCCAGCCGCCCCGTGTCCACCCACTACGTGCAGCACGGCCAGGAGGGCGCGCGGCTGTCCAGCGGCAGCATGCGCGCAAAGCCCGCGGGCACCGCCGTGCAGTCGCGGTCCTTTCTGCCCCCCAGGACCCAGTCGCCGCGGCCCGTCGACCCCAAGTCGCCCGATGCCGTCTACGACCCCTCGACGCGGACCTTCATCCATAAACAGGACGCCATGACCATCCACCGCGAGCAGCACGAGCAGCCCGAAGAGCCGCAGCACTACCTCACACAGCACCTCCAGTCGGCGCCCCTGCAGGCCGGCCGCGGCCGCACGCCCAGCCCGCTGCGGTACTCGGTGCAGCCCGAGCAGTCGCCTCCTCGTGCAGTGCAGCCGCCTCGCGCAGCGCAGTCGCCTCCTCGCGCAGCGCAACCACTCCTACCCGAGCCCGTGGCCGAGACGCAGCGATTCGAAGAACTCCCAGCCACTCCACCCACGCAGCCACGACAGGAGATCGAAAACACCGCCAGGCCCCGTATCGAGCCAGTCAGCTTCATCCCCGTCGAAATTGGCCAGCCCGCTGAGAGCCAGCTGTCGCCGCAGTTCGCAGCGAACCAGGACAGCTCGTATCCACGCATCGACACAACGCCCAAGCCAGCGTCCAACGAGCCTGTGGCGCGAATCCGCGACAACGTCCGCACCGAGAGACAAGCCTCTCTCAGCCCAGCCCGCCACGCCACTTTTGCGCCAAACGCGAGCGTACTCACTGGCCTCAAGCACGAGCCGCTGCAGCGCTCTATATCACCCGCCAAATCTGCCTTGAAGTCGTCGCCGTCCGTCTCCCGGCGCAGCAACTCCCCTCTGGGGCCAGTCTACAACAAGACGGCCTCCGTGAGTGGAGCGTCCGACACTGCCTCTGAGAGCGGCTACGGGAAGAAAAAGAAGACCGTCCGCGTCAGTTTCGAGCAGGAGCCCACCATCGCAGGCCATTCCGCGTACGGCGACATGGACACGCCCGTCTCGCCCGCAGGCCCTACACCCTCCAAGCCCGTCCCAGCCGTTCGCGACGAGTTTGAGGATTTCATGCAGCCCCGCCCCGCCCTGCCCTCGTTTGGCAGCGTCCGCGACACAGCCCGGCCCCGCGACGAAGAGGATACGCCCGAGAAGGTCACCGAGACCGTGTCGACACCCATGTCAGCATCCGTGGCGTCCGTGGGAGAGCCCGTGGATGCTTCGTCCGACCTTGGCCTCGGCCACATTGTTGCTCAAGATTTCGCGGCCAAAAACGCGGCCGTCAGCGACCCGCTGCCGCCGCACGTCACGTCGGTCGAGGGCAGTGGTTATGTCTCCGACTCGAACTATTCGTCGGATGACGAGTCGAGTGTGACCAAACACGCCGATCCGGTGTCGGCCGCGCAGTCGCAGGTCTTGCCTGATCCTGAGCCCAAGTCTCTTACAAAACCGACGGCAGAGCATGTTGCAGTACCGGCAGAGCCTGTTACACTACCAGCCGAGCAGCCCTCTACACTACCAGCACCTGATACCCTGCCAGCGCCTGATACACTACCAGCAAACACTTCTACACTACCAGCACCTGCTACACTACCAGCAATCTCGGAACAGGTTGTTGAAGTGCCCAACATTGCCGTCCTCCCAGCGACGCCCAGTCCGTACCTGCACCCTGAGCCAACATTCCAAACCTTGTCGGCACCCGGTGGCTGGACCGACGATGAGGACATACAGCCTGCCACAACCACATACCCGCCTGTGACATTCGCGCCGATCGAGACGCCCGCTACGATGAAGCAGCAGTTCAACGAGCCACCCAGAACCCCCAGAACCGACGATGACATCTCCGACGACAGCAGCGTGTACAGCGACGCCTACGAGGACATCTCCGAGGACCAGGGCGGCTTCGGCAGTATTAACGCGATTGTCGAAAGCCCGGTGATCGGTTCGAGTCCCGGGCTGTTGGGTTCCAAATGGGCCGACAGCAGCGTCACCGACAGTCCCATGCCGCAGCCCAAGGGCGATGTCTCGTCGCTCGCCAAGGACCAGCTGGACACCTCCACAAGCGACTGGGAGGCTGCGCGCGCGCACTGGAGCGGCGTCAACCGGCCCAGAGACCACGCTGACCCGCAGATGCCCACGCAGGCACAGAGCAATGCTGCTCGTGTGTTGCAGGCTCCTGTGCAGGAAGCGGAGCTTCGAACGCGCACGGCGCCGCAGACTGCGACAAAGGCTGTTGAGACTCCGCGGGTATCCATGTCGGAGGCACCGCGAGCATCCATGTCGGAGGCACCGCGAGTATCCATGTCAGAGGCACCAACGAGGACATCGATATCGTCGCCTGCGCAGACACCAAACAAGCCCCTCAAGTCTGCTCTCAAGAAGACCACGCCATCGCCAGCACCCGCTCCGGCACGCGCGCAAGCGCCCAGCTCGGGTGTGCCGCAGATGAGAACAAGCATGCGCGGTGCTGCACCCAGGGATGGATCCTCGGGCTCACATATGCGAACCACAATGCGTGGCAACGCAAGCCCCGGACCACGAGCTGCACCTCAGATGCGCGCAAGCATGCGTGGAGACGCACCGACAAACAACATGGCGCTTGCCGCGTCTCGCCAGAGCGCGCCCGACACCAAGCCGAGGGGTGCGCTGCAGAAGAAGCACATCCCAGCTGCTGTGGCTGCCCGACCACAGAGTCTGCCGGCTTCGAAGGCCCCAGTGCCGACTTACGACAGCGACTCCGACGCGTCAGCAAGCAGCTTCCAGCGCAGCCGCGCCCGGCGAGCGGGTGGCGGGGGCTTTGCCAGAACGTCCATGAGAGGCCCGCCCGCAGGACCTACCATGAGAGCTTCCGCGCCCGCCCCAGCCCAGGTCCGATCGATCTCGCCGCCCAAACCGGCTCAGAACCTCCGCCAGTCCATGCGGCCATCGTCGCCCGAGCCTGTGAAGTCGTCGAGGTTCAGCATCAGGTCGCTGTCGCCCGCAGGCCGCTTCCGCAAGAAGCCAAAGGACGAGCCTCCCCCGCCGATGCCGCAGCCAGCTGCATCCGTCAAGCCCGTTGCATTCGTCAAGGCGCCCAAGGAGAGGGCAGCTCCCGCCAAGACCAGCACGTTCAAGAGCCGCTTTGCCGACTCCAGCGACGAAGACGAAGACCGCCCCAGCCGCTTCCGCAGCCGCTTCGCCGACTCCGACTCGGACCCCGAGCCCTACGAGCTGCCCCCCGGCCTGACCCCCGTGCGCGGCATCCCCCGCAAGGCCGGCGAAGAAGACGGCGACTCGACAGACCTCGAGGAGGAGGTCGAGCAGACCCGTCCGGCGGTCCCGGTCCCGGCGGTCACCAACGGCCACACCAACGGCGCCCAGGGCGCTCTCCTAGCCACCGGCTCGCTACGTGACAGCAAGCACGCCCCCTCCCCCGCCAAAGAGAAACGCGGCTTCTTCGGCCTAGGCAAGAAGAAAAAGACGCCAACGACACCCACCCCCGCGCCCACCCCCGCACACCCACACCCCGCCCCCGACTCCCCCTCCGACATCCCCGCGCCCCCGCCGCTCCGCCCCCGCTCCCCCGCCGGCCCACTGACCCCCATCGGCGAAGCCGACGACGACGACAAGCAACTCGCCCCGGCCTCGCCCCCCGTCAAAGCATCTCCCCGCTCCCCCAAACTCCAGCGCCGCACGACGCCCGACTGGCCGCTCGCGACGCCGCCGCCCATCGACGCCGCCACGCGGCCCATGAGCGCGGATGGCGCGCCCAAGCGTCCGCGGTTCGGGACCAGGGGGAGTGGGGTGTCGACTGCTACTGCACCTGCGACGGGGACGGCGGCGGCGATAGGGACGGGTTCAGTGGGGGGTGTTGGAGCGGTGCTCGATGCGCAGGGTAGGAGTGTGAGCTACGGGCGCTCTGGGCGGAAGAAGAAGTTCCAGGGGCTGAGGCGCGTGTTTGGTATTAATGACTGATGTCCGTCTGCGGTCCTGGGTCTGGGTCTGGCTTTGGGTCTGGGTCTGACTCTGGCGCGCTGGCGGGCGATGGCGAGGGCGAGTCACGATACCCCGTTCTTTTCCCGCACACACACGCGCGTTTCCGCGCTCGTCCGCTCTCTCATTTTCTTATCTCTTTGCTCTTTTTTTTTTCTGCTGGTGGGAGATACCATATACACAGCGCGAGTGCGTTTGCTACAAGGCACGGGAGGAGACTGATATGCGCCGTGCATGGAGCGCGATGTGGGATGATGAAGTGCATGCAGCGAGGGGGGTGGAGTGAGGGGGGTGGAGGGAAGCGGAGGTAGAGTAGCTAGAGACCCGTGCGGTGGAGGCGGGTATGTAATTTCTAATCTGGAATGATACCACACGCGTGGATTGGTGGTGTGGTGTGGTGTGGTGTCTACAAGTCGAGTACGGCGGTAGAAGAGAGTTGTTGCATTCGCATGCGAGCGATGACAGCCTCATGCAAAGGATCAACAATGGTTTGAACAGCTTGTAGTTATAGCAGTACATCTATTATGTTGGCCTTGTCCTACGGAAAGCGTGCTGATAGCTCGCCCCTTCTCTGCGTCGAGATCTTGACTAACCGCCTGGAAACATCCGCGCTGCTACACTGCAGCTCGGTTACCTGAGCGTCCCCTTTGCAATACTTTGCCTGGTCGTTAGAATGCGTCTCCAGCTCGCCTCCGATGTACCGGACGCTCCCTTGCGATACTTCGTCTGATCGTCTGAATAAAGGGGTGTGTTCTACGCGATACTTTGTCTGATCGTCAGAATGCGTCTTTACCTCCCCTACCAGAAGGCAGGTTAGCTAGCATTTTGCGAACGTCATTTTGCAGAGTTCACCTGCTACAAGGACCTCACGAGTTGGAGTTGCAGGCAATCCAATCATATCTCTCGTCACGGAACCGCGACACGCCAGCCATGCACAAGGCCAATGTTGACGACCAGACCAAGTATTGCAAGGAGAAGAACGCCCAGGGAGCTTGAGTCTTCAAAAGCACGACTTGAGGTTACCTTTGAATTGCTCGTGGGGCTTGTGTGGTGCCCTGTTTGCTGATGGGTATATGCTTCAGATAATTGGGTGTTAGTCGCAGCTGTAGACCTGTGGTCAGAACTTCCACTTAAAGTGTATGAAACAATGGCTGGGAACTAAGAGCACTGGCTGTCCAACATGCCGTACGGCCTAGGAGAAGCGTACCTCAAAAACTTTGACGCACACACTTGACCAACTCAACATTAGGGACGATGGACGTGTATTAGGGCGGGCGAATTTTGTATTACGATTACTATCTGCACCCGTCTGCACCGCGTGCTCTGCTCAGCTCCGTCCCGTTTCTTTCCTCCCCTGTCCCGTTTTTCCTCCTCTGTGCCGTCCCGTCTTTCCTCCTGTGCTGTCCTCTACACTCTACGCGGCTGTCACGCTCACGGCGTCGAGCAGGAAATAGGCCACCGCATCCGAGGCGCCGGTGCACGTAGCCTGGAACTTGAGGTCGACGGAGGTGGCCGCGGGCTTGAAGGTCGCCGCGTACGCGTAGTACGTGAGATCTTCGGTGCCGGTGCCCTTTCCGTCTTCGTTGTTGAACTTTGTGATGTCTTGGGTGAAGACGCGGACAGCGTTTGCATAGGCCGAGATGGTGCAGGTAATGCTGCCGGTCTTGCTGTACGGCATGAGGTAGAAGTTGAGCGAGTAGGATTTGGTGCTGTCGAGGGCCTTGCTGAGTTTCTGCGTCAGGCTGTAGTCGGTGCCCGTCTTCATGTTGTACACACTGCGGGTTTGTCAGCGGGCATGGTATAATATAGCGGTGAGAGAACTTGCATGTAGTCGCTTCCGCATTTCGCGGCTGGCTGGTACTCTACGAGATAGACGTTGGCGTTTGACGGGGTCCAGGAATCTATAGTCCCTCGAGAGCCACTGTTTGTTTCGAAGCTGGGGTTGGAGACCAGATTGGAAGCGCTGTTGATGGCATCACACGATAAAGCGGGTGGCGTTGGTGTAGTATTGGGCACGACGGAGACAGCTAGTTTGGATTAGCGTAGTGATTGACGGTTCCGCTCGAACTTACCGTTGACGTTGTCACTGATGGTGCCGGGATTCTTGGTGCCCTTGAGGTAGCATGGACCAGGCTTACTGCCTCCAACGAAGGAAGCAGCGACACACTGTGCGTTGGCCGCACACGCTACCGTACAGGCTTTGAGGCTCTCGGCGGTTTGGATACCGATGTCACCTCCGTAGAAATCAGTTCCACATGACAGCTTGAAAGTTCGAGACCCGTCGCTGTATGTGCAGCCGTTGTTCGCGGGGCAGGTAAAGCTTGCAGGGCATGTCGAATCAGTGGGAGCCGGAGTAGTCGAAGCCCCACGGTTTGTGACAATAATGCCAACCACATTTGCACTGGTGATGTCAGTCATAGAACTGTACTGGGATCCGAGGGCCTACTTTGGTAGCCCGGGCTTGAGAGTGCTCTTCAGATAACAGTTCTGACTCACGAAGCTCGCGGCAACACAACCAGCGGTGGCAGCGCAAGCATTGATGCAGCCAGCCAACGTTGTAGTCTGCGATCGTCAGACCTCGTCAAGGATATTATCGACTTCAAATTACTTCTGCCCGTTGCAAGTCTCCTCCAAAGTAGTCAACACCACAGTTGACTTGGAGAGTCGCTCCATTGCTCGTCTGGGAACACTTGTCGTCGGTTGGGCACACAGGTGCAGCCGGGCAGGTGCCCACTGCTCGAAGAGCAAGCACTGAGGCTTGGAGGATTGCGGGGATCATTCTGGAGGACGTTTTGAGACAATCGAAGCTCAGATTGACGTGGTCAGCGAGAGATGCTGGGTATCCTCAGTGTCCCGAACTGCTTATATAGAATTCCGGAGAGTCTTCCAATCATACCTTGACCAGTAGCATTAGTGAATCTAAAGCCTCTACCACCGCAAATACTACTTGGAGCAAGCCACGGTATGCTTCGCTAGGAGGAGCTAAAGAAGCAGAATCAGAAGCTCTTGACATGGTCGCTCATCTGAGCTGCAACAAACCACGGATACGCTGAGTTCGGTCTGCATCCTGACGTCAGATGCGTATGTTTGAAACCACTGTTTCTGGGGAGTCTGTTAGCAGCAGCGTAGAAGCTGATGACGACGATACTTCTGGACCGTGATTGAAGTGGTGGGGTACTCGGTCTCGACGCGGCAGGCTCTGTGCGATTACGATAACGTCGCGTCACCATCTCCTTCTATGCACTCTTGATGCTTCCATGCTGAGCTTCAGCATATCGATACTGGTGACCTTGTGGGACAACTGTGGGGCAAGCTCAGGCTATCGACCGAAGAGCTACGCGGGGTCAACCAGGGAGAACCGGGGCAACTTCGACCAACTGTGTCTTGTCGAGAAGCTATATGAGTTGCTGTGACTCTCTGTAGGCCGTTGGTAGGACTTTGTTGTGTCACCCTGCGGCTTGCCTTTTCAATATCCGTCCTCTTGCTTCAACTTGGAAGCGTTTGGAATTAAAAATCTAGTGCTTCTGCGTGTACATTTTGATGGATTGATCGGAGTCCGAATATGTCATATATGCGACTAGACGACTGTTTTGCGGGGTTGCATGAGGTGTACCATTGCAACGACGGCTCAACAGGTGACCGGAAGACAACCCGAAGAAACCGCGCACTGCTACGAGGAACTCTGCGGTAGCTGACACTGTCTTGTTGTACCCTCTGGAGGAATTGATCATCAGCAACAGGTGTGCTCGTTGCTTTGGTGCAGGAGAGTGCTGTCGGAGTCTGTCGAAGTCGAGATTTGATTCGTGTTGTGATGGCGTCACTGGTGGATCCCACCTTCCTTCTCCAGCAAGCACCCCGCCATCAGTAGGGCGCAGGGCGTGGGGCAAAGGACAGCAGTGCAGCATGCTCTGCGCGCCTTTTGAGTGAACAACAACACATCTTGAAAAGAGCTGGTCTTCGAAAGCCTGCTGTGCTAAACACTACAACAATGTCGGCCGCATTCGACATCTCGACAGCTCGAGAGCGCTTCCCCGCACTGCAGCAGGATCAAGTGTTCCTCGACAATGCTGGAGGGAGCCAAGCACTGGGGACTGTAATCGACTCGTAAGTCGATATTGATTGACGGAGAATACCGTGCTAACGAGGTGCTAGTATCACTCAGTACCTGTCCAAGACCAATGTTCAGCTGGGTGCTTCGTACCACACTGGCACACAGTCGAACACGAAATATGAGGAGGGTTATCAAGCCGCTGCGAAGTATATCAATGCAGGCCGCGATGAGATTGGTATGCTCAGGATGCACATGGGATGCCCCTGCTAACCGCTTGTAGTGCTAGGGGCCTCGACGACCCAACTGTTCATGAATTTGTCCAGCGCCTTGATTCTCAATGAAGGCGACGAGATAATCCTGTCCAAAATGGAGCATGAGACAAACGTAAAGCCGTGGTTATTCATGGCTGACCGCCTCAAGCTCAAAGTGACGTGGTGGCATTCAGATAAGCCGGAGCTGAAGCTGACTGCAGAGAACCTGAAGCCGTTGCTGTCTCCGAAAGTTAAGTTCGTGGCCTGCACACACGTCTCAAACGTGCTTGGCTCGATCCACGATGTGAAAGCGATTGCAGATGCCGTGCATGAGGTGGGTGCGCTGTTCTGTGTGGACGGTGTGAGCTTCGCGCCCCACAGGAGAGTCGATGTCAAGGCATTTGGCGTTGACTTCTACGCATTCTCATGGTACAAGGTTCGTAAGCTCGCCATTTATCTGCTCATACCCGCTCAACAGCACAGGTATATGGCCCCCACATCGCTGTACTGTACGCGAGCAATGCCGCTCAAAAGCATGTCAAGCCATTGGCTCACTTCTTCAACCCTACCAAGACACTCGAAGATAAGCTTGGTTTTGCGGGATCCAACTATGAAGGAGTCCAGGCAATTCCTGAGATCGTGAAGTATCTCGAGGGTTCCGATAAAGCGATCACTGAGCACGAGGGCAAGCTCCAGAAGATCCTGCTAGATTTCCTGAACTCGCGAGACGACATTACTGTTCTTGGGTCAACATCTGCCGATTCCAAGGAGCGAGTGCCGACAGTTTCGTTTGCCGTAGAGGGGATCAGCCCCAAGCAGATTGTGGTGGAAGCCGAGAAGATCTCGAACTTTGGCTTCAGATGGGGTCACTTCTACTCGAAGCGGCTGTGCGATGAGATTTTGAAGCTCGGTCCGGAGGGGGTGACCAGAGTCTCGATGGTGCACTACAACACTGAAGCGGAGATCCATGGTCTAGTCGATGTGCTGAAGAAGGTACTGCCGTAGTTTACAAATATACCTTCACCTCCAATGCTGGCTGACAAAGAGTCAGGCAGCCGTCAGAGATGACATAAGCTGATCTCCGTGTGTAAGCGGTCACCTTAGTTTCGTTGTTGCAGTTGATCCACACTGAGTCTTCGGTGCCTAACGGAACGGAAGGTTTCCCTCGGCCCGATCCGCGGGGTGCGACTTCACATAAGAACAGAGATCATCCAACTGCACGACCAAAGTCAAAGTTTAGCACCAACACACCAAATCCAATCAATCGTCTTGATCAAAATGGCTCCCTTCAAAGTCGCCGTGTACCTCTACCCCGCAGCAGATATCCTCGACTTCAGCGGCCCAGTCGAGATCTACAGCATGCGTCCGGCCTCTGGTGATGCCATTTTCGAGGTCAAAACATTCGGGCACCACGAGCGTATCACGTCGGAAAGTGGGACCATGGTCTATGTGCCCAACGGAACATTTGAGCAGCTCGAGGCCGATCTCCAGGACTACGACGTGCTCGTCATTCCAGGTGCGCAGTTCGAAGTGTTTGACAAACTACTGCCATCCAAAGAGGGTAAGGAGCTCACGGCACTCCTCCGCAAGTTCACGAGTCTGCCGCCTCGACAGGAAGCCGGCACGCGCATCCTGCAATCTGTCTGCACTGGGACCTTTATCCTTGCGGCCTCGGGTGTGCTAGCTGGTCGGACCATCACCACGCACCATATGGGGTTCGAAGAGTTGAAGAAATGGGCTGATTATGCGGCGGGTGGCGATTCGAAGGTCAACATAGTGAGGAAAAGATGGGTCGATGCAGGCACCACGGAGGCCAAAGTACGGATCATCAACGGGGCGGGCGTCAGCTCTGGTATAGATACTAGTCTGTGGATTTACGAGCAACTCGCAGGCAAGGAGCCAGCGGACTTTGTGGCCGAAATCGCTGAGTTTGAGCGCAGGGGAGAGGCCTGGGGCTTGTAGAGTCAGCGTTAGAAATGGAAAGCTGTGTGCTGATCACACGATCTTCGATTGCCAATGCTGTCGTAGTGCTTCAAGAATCGCTCGACAGAGCACCTGTGTCTGTGCCGGCAGAATCGGCCGCTGCTAACCACAAGCACGCCTAGTGGTGTGGGTCTTTGAGTAAACTAACGCGCGACCGCAACGGCCCGCGCTCGCACTCGCACTCGAACCGCACCTCACAGCGAACCAGAAGCCGGGCGTACGGAATTCACCACCAATATCTGCAATATGCCCCGACTAGGGTCTAAGAAGTCCCGGCATGGGTGCAAACAGTGCAAGGCAAGACGTGTAAAGGTGTGTATCGTGCAAAGCTAGCACACCTGTATACGTGAAGTCGCTGACCCCTTTATAGTGCGATGAGAATCGGCCGTGTGGCGCATGCGCCAAATACCGCGTCGAATGTAGTCTACTGGAGGGCTCGCTATCAGAGCGGGCGGATGTGTCACGAACGCCATCAGCTGGCTCGCCAAATGGCGACACGATGGACACTTCCACTACGGCCTCCGCGTCGCCACCGGCTGCATCGGCAACACCATCACTAACGTTCAATCACCACTATGATCATCTTCTGACATGCCCAGAAGCAACCTCTGGGGGCTGGATGCCAGACTTGGAGCTCATGCACCATTACACGGCACATGCTTACATGACCATGCCCGGGCCGGAGATGTCGAAGCAGATCTGGGGTTATGCCGTGCCGCAGGAAGGCTTCAAGCACCCATACCTCATGCACAGCATCCTGTCATTCTCGGCAAATCATCTTGCGTATATCAATATACCACGAGCGCAACATTATCGTATGCTCGCTTCAACACACCAAACAGCGGCCCTGACTGGCCTGAACAGAGCGCTTGCAGATCTCGGACCAGCAAACTGTCATGCTCTGTTCGCCTCAGCATCATTGACCATCATGAATGCCTTTGCAGACACTCAAACGCACTCGCGGGAGGCACTTGTGGACATCTTTCAGCTTCTCCGGGGCATGTCCTTTGTCCTCAACACAGCTGTACCGTGGATTGAGAACGGGCCATTTGCTGCCATCGTTCGGTCAGCCAATGGTGACAGCAAGCCAACAGCACTACTGTCCTCGTTCCTCGTCGAGGTCCAAGCGGCTGGGTGTCCGGACCCGAACGAGTCGCCTGAGAGCCAGGCCAGCCGTATCAAGGCGGCAGATGAGCTGCGGGAAGCGCTGCAGTACAGCATCGAAACATCGGGCCACGCAGCTCTACGGGCGGCGATGACTTGGCCGACGAAAATCACTGCAGAAATCCTGGAAGTGATCAAGGAGGGTTCAGACGCCAAAGTGCTTGACTTGATGAGGTTGTACTGCCGGCTCCTCGAGCTTGCCAGCATCGAGTGCTGGTTCCTCACGGGGTGGAGGGGCATCTCATCGCGGATCTGAATTTGGAGACGGAGCTACCAAAACGCAAGACGAGTAATCACGCATGGCAAACGTTCAATTCTCGGTGCACGCGCCGACCACGGCGTCCATGTTGGACTGTTCAAGTCAAGCTGAAGTCACGGCGATGGTGCAGGTCGGGCCGATGCTCAAGAGTGGCTGCTCGCCGAGGCAGCGGTGCGGGGCCGACGCAGGATCAAAAGCCGAGCAGCCCGGCGTCGGACGGCTTTTGAGACGACGACCTCCCACGAACTGCGGATCAACGATGCGGGATGGACCTGACTTCCCCACCGCAATCCGCGCCTGACGCGCCGCACAGGGCCAGCATCCACGAGGATGACTCGGCCAAGGCCAAACGGGCCCACCAGGCCTGCCTGAACTGTCGCAAGCGGAAGAGCCGGTGCCTGCTGTGAGTGCCCGCGGCCTTGTGCGCACAGCGCAGCACTGACAGACGGCGGCCAGCGACGAGCAGGGCACCATCCCGTGCCTGCGATGCAAGCGCGACAACCTCGAGTGCGTGCTGGGCGGCAGTAACCGCGGCGGCCGGCGCGTGCGCAAGAAGCGCATCGACTCGGACGCAGCAGGCCCCGGCCTCCCCTCGCTGGCAGCCACGGGGCCCGACGACGGCAGCTTCCACTCGCTCGGGAATCTGGGGACGTGGTCGCACGACGCGTCGCACGACGCTGCCGCCGCCCAGCAGTACGGCGAGCACCCCCACGCCGCCGGCTCCGACTCGTCCAACACGGACGAGCTGGCCTTCAACAACCTGCAGAACCCCTCGGACGCCCTGGGCATCCTGGCCCAGGTCGCCGGCGAGACGAGCTCCAACGAAGAGAGCAACGCCGCCATCAACAGCAGCAGTGCAGGCGCGGCGGCGGTCGTGGCCGGGCCTCTGGCCATGCATGCGCCGCCGCTGTCCTTCTCGTACCCGCTGCTCGACCGCGGCGTGCTGACGGTGCACTCGCTGTGCCAGCTGCTGGTGCGCTATCAGCAGAACTACCACCCCTTCTACCCGCTGGCCCCCGTGCACGCCTTCGACACGGCGCGCATGTCCGACATGGTCCGCAAGGAGCCGCACCTGCTCACTGCGATCCTGCTCATCGCCTCGAAGGACCTCGTAAACGAGCCGCACATCTACGAGGCATGCACCGAGCACATGAAGGCCCTCGTTGCCAACCTCGCCGCCGGGGGCGACGCGGGCATTGAGGCTGTCGAAGCGCTGCTCTTGCTGGCCGAGTGGGCGCCCTACACGCAGCTGGGCTCGGCCAAAGTAGGCAAGGGCGAGGAAGACAAGGAGTCGTGGATGCACGTGGGCATCGCCCTGCGCATCGCCTACTTCCTCGCCCTCGACAAGTACTCGTTCCGCTTCGTCGACAAAGACAAGGATTCGCAGCAGCACAATCGCAAGCGTCTGATATGGACTGCTGCCTACGTTTCCGATCGGCACATCAGCATCCGCATCGGGAAGGCGTTCTGGAGCCGTGGCCCTGGGCCGCTCACCACCCTCCGCCGTGAAGACTACCCTAGCCTGATACCTACAAGCCCCAACATTGAGGACTATGCGTCGATCTTCCAAGCAAATCTTGAGCTCACCCAGCTCTTCTCTAACGTGCATGATACCCTGTACAGTAATCCTGGCGCGTCCTTCCGCTCCAACATGAGCGGCAGCTACATAAAGTTCATTGATGATTTCCGTTCTGCCATATACGGCTGGAAGAGCGTGTGGGGCACACTGACCTGCTCTCCACCACTGAAAGCATGCCTCCTCATGTCCTATGACTACCTGCGCCTCTACACGAATGCATTTGCCTTCCAAGCCACCGTTCTCCGCGCGCTTCCCTCCGCCAGCAACTCCTCCGAACCTCAGTCCTCGTCGACCAACCTCGGACCCCAAGCTCCGCAACGCGTTTTCGTGAACAACGTCGGCGCTGTTGGCGACGCCCGCTTCATCTATGAAGGTCTAGATGCCGCAAAAGCCATCCTGACCACCGTCAACAACTTCGTCTCCCCCGAGACCAGCCTCCGCTTCATGCCCCTGCGGTACTTTCTCTACCTCGTGCACGCCGGTGTCTTCCTCTACCGCGCGCGCTGCACTGGCGTCATCTCCGGCGACGAGGACCGCGCGATACGAAATATGATCCAGGAAACCATCTCACGCATGCAGCGCAGCGCCGTCGGCGTCGAAGCCGGCATCCAGCACCCCGGCTCGCGCTACTCGCAGCTCCTAAAACTGCTCTGGGCCAAAGTCCCGCGCAAGGACAAGAGCAGCCGCTCCGCGTTCCGCCACCCGGGCACCAGCGTCGCCAGCAACGCCGTCGACCACAACGGCTTCCCCGTGCCCCCGCCCACGGGCACCACCGCCCAGAGCCCGCGCACCAGCTCCGTCGGCACCGGCGAGAGCCCCGCGCTCACAGAGCAGATGGGCGACTTCGGCTGGACCGATCTCAGCGCCGTCAGCGACTTTGCGATGCACGGCAACAACGGCATCCCCGCCGACGAAAGCGCCCTGTGGAATGGGTTTCTGCCGCTGGATCTGGGGTGGAGCGCGAATGGGTTTAGTCTCGATGGCGTGGGGTGGGAGGGCGGAAATGATCTCGGGATGTTGTTTTGAGGCCGGAAAAACGGGGGTCTAGGCAATGGGAAAAGGGGTGGGGAAAAGCGTAATAGGATGTGGAGTCAGTGTAATCCAACCATGCGTCAAGAAAGCAAGCACCATGTAAAAATAATTCTATACAACACCCTCAAATGACACTTTTTTGTTCAGGCTGCTTTCTGCGGCGAGCTTCAGTTATTCGTTTTTGATACAGAACTTGTAGCTGTTATAACACCTAAAGCTAGAATTCAGCTGGGCACTACCTGTATTATAGGCAAGAAAGTATCATGTAGAGGTTCTGCGCATTCTCCCTACGTTGCTGTCGCGAGTAGAATATCCGCCTCGTGGCCTTGCTGTGCAGTCTGCCGTTTATCCTGCAGCATAAGAGGCCACCCTGCCAAGAGCGTAAGGATGCGTCAGGATTACTATACAGGGTCTCGTGCACGTTAGAGAAGAGCTAGGTAAGCTTAAAGGTAGCTTAAAAGAACAAGGCATAGTCTTCTTTATTAGGCAACTTAGGGATTAAGCTAGGGTCGTCTTTACGGCAGATGTGTATAGGTTGGTTAATGCTCTTTGCGGAGTCGGTTTGGTTTGCTAGAGCTGTGGATTCCCTTTATTAGGTACTGAAGCGATTGATACTTTTCGCTGAACCAAAATGACTCTGCGACAACATACTAACTAGCTACAATAATGACTAAAGCTAAAACTCGGTTCAGGCTTCCCAGTCGTCTATGATCCGCCCCTTGACCCGGAGTCTATATGCTTCCACTGGGTGTTGCTCCAGACACTTCGCCACCGTGTTTGAGTGTGGAACTTATCATCAGATGTGCTGCCGCTGGGCACTGCGAGATCAGAGACACCCAGGGGCAATTAATTGGCTGTTCGATACCTGCTTGCAGACGCGGATGCCGCTGGTAAGGTTCTCCGTATTGCACACCCGGAGTCAGTTGATCTGCTCAGGATATAACAGACAGTGTTTAGTAGGTACCACCAGGCCATGTCAGGCTGGAATCGTAACAAAATGTACTGTTGTGTCAAGTCTAATCTTGTGTCAGATCTACTCGTATATCCTAGGTATACCACACCTAAAAAAAGAAGTAGAGGTGGTGTTCCCACCTCCTGCAATTATTCGGTAGAGCTGTTAGGGGGAAGGAAGCACGCTATAACATTTACTCTAGAGTACAGCGTGCTTACAATACTGTAGGAGCTTTCTTGCTTAGGCTAGAGGTGTGTGAAAGATACCTAGTTCTAGGCTGCGTTTGCGACATACTAGGAACCGCAGGAGGAGAGTGCCGTTTCGTAACCAACAGCCTGCTCATTCCTTTCTCTGACACAACCTCTACACACGTCTATGATACTATACCACGCCTAACACCGAGATTTCTACGTCTCAGCCTTGAAAAACATCAAAAGTTGACATGGATCAGACACCACTCTTCGCACAAGCCAGCAGCACACCCGACTCCACTGCATGCACCACCACGCCCTACATCTCTTCAACCCTTCAAAGTCCCCCGTCACGTCTCCGCGCTACACACTACCGTCCAACACGTCTAACACGCTCTGTAGATAAGCAACCACCCAGCTCCCAGGCGCAAAGACCACACACCGCCACCCTACGCCGTCTGGCCCGTCTGGGGTACTGTGCTAGCGCGCCTCTCCCGCCATGCAGGGTGGTCTGGCTGCGTCTGCGGGCGAGGGCTCCTGGGCTGGCTATTTGCTAGGGGGGTGTAAGGGTGGCGAGGTGGAGCGAGGGCTGGGTCTTGGGGTCTTGGGGTCTTGTGTTTGCGTTTGGAGGCGAGGTTGTAGACAAGGTGATTGGGTGGTGGGGAGAGCGGGAGAGTTGGGGATGCTTGGGTGCGGTCTGGCTAGGGGTGGGAGTGGCTGCTGCGCAGTGTGATGATCACTTGAGGTTTGAGGGTGGTGAGGTCTTGGTGACGCAGGGGTTGGTCACTTGCCACAATGTGGTGGACTGTATAGAGATGGGTGCACAGGTGAATAGGACGGGTCGTTTTGTGGGCAAATAGTAGAGAGTATGAGATTGATACTTCACCTGAGTGGAATGCTTCATACCTTATGAGAACAGAGGTGTAATCCAGACCTTTTTCTTTCTCGTTATTACGACCAAAAGAACAAATGCGCAGGAAATGAAAGGCATCAGTAGCAACAAAAGAGATTAGACGATCTGCTCGTCTGATCGGGCGGTAACAATTGAGCCATAGTGCCCATCTCCGAATGTGTGCAGTGCAGTACATACTCTACAAATGATTTGTAGATCAATTGATCGGGAACCGATGATAGGCGTAATGTAGACCAAGTAACGTCCAGAGTGGGACAATGGTGCTTGATACCTACATGAAGATCTTGTGAATCTTCATTCGTAGGTTGAAATCGTGATTTTCGATCGATTGACGACTTAAACGAAGTGGAAGCCGCCGCCGGACTAGAGACTGGTGTTACTGATCTGTGTTGATCACTCGAAAGAACGCCACACGAAGTATCAGCCATCAACATGTGACCATCTGGACGCTATGGTGAAGTCTCGTAAATCGTGAAACTGTAACATGAAGGGATTCAATATTGTAGTGGAGACGAGGCTGGAGCGCCTTGTCAGGCGGACTGTATCGAATGTGTTCAATTAATCGTGTTGAGGGACGCTCCTTACCTAAGGCTAAGTGTAGTCCGTAGCCAAGACCGCAACAGCCCCTCAAATCGCCATCTTCGAATCCCATTAAGTCTCAACGCCCCACCACCAACCGACTGCGCGGCAAGCTCTAGATCCCACCCTAAACACCTTAACACGTGAGCTTATGCGCTTGCCAAGGTATGCTTGCAGTTATGCACGGCCTGATCTTTAGCGCACCGACAAACCTCCCGCTGGTTGCATCGCAACCAATTGAAACAGACCTACATTTGCCGGACTTGCACCAACACGTCACGAATACTCACTCTTCATGCACAGAATATCGCTAGAAGCCCGCTAGAAGCTCTCGTTGAGGCCCTCAAGCTCAAGCCTGAGCTCACGAGCATTCTCTGGAGACCCCGCGGAGGGGCAGCTGGAAGCTCTGGGGTCGGCGAGTGTTGGGGTAGCACGAAGTGCTCTTGTGATATCGTAGTTCTAGCAATACAACAGGGATACTCAATTTGTATGTGCGCGAACCAAGAACAGATACCGCTGCTACGCACAAGCTTTGCGGATTGCGAGGATTGCAGTCGAACGTCGTCAGTGCGCCTATTCCCGACAGACAGCTCCCAAGAGTGCCGTATTGCGAGCCAAGTCTCTTCCTCACTGTTGGATCTCATATCATCATGGTTGGGAAAGCCACAGATACAGCTGGTCATAATCCCTCAGACTATAGCAAGCCGACTTGATAATACCGAATCAGACTCGCACCTGACGGGGCCACCAACGCCCATAATCGACTGACCATCTTCATAACCCATGTCGTTGTCTGTTCCAAGCGTCGTAAGCCAAGAGGCCTATGCTAGGCTCGACTGCCGAGCGGAGAATTAGCGCAACGAGACCTCCCTAGGCCTTTTGCGGTAGTACACCTCGCCTCCTGGCCAATGCCCGCCACCAAGCCTCGCCTTGCAGTGCTTGTATACGTCTTGGGGGTTTGCTGTCATGAAAATCAGATCCATATGCATGTGCCCACTGAGATCACGCAGATCTGGGCGGGAGGGGCAAATTTCTAAGTTTTGATCCACGATCTACCCACGAAACACGGAGTCCCCGCGCTTCGCGCAGAACCTGCTCCATTTCGTGGGTCCACTATACTGGCCAACTCCGTGGGGTTGTGTCGTGGAGATTGTTGTGGAGCCCCAGCTCTCTGGACTCGTTCACCTTGAGGCTCAACAACGCGAGTGGGGCGACCTGGGGACAGACGCATGCACTACCTTAGCTCGATGAGATCTTTATTTAATTGGCTACTTCTGTGCTTCAGCCGCGAAGTCGGCTGCACTCTCGGGGGCAAACTTGTGTGCTAAGGGACACTACTCCGGTGCTTGTCCAACCAGAGCCTTTCTCCACCGAAAATTTGCGGATACTGGGGTATCGTCGACGGATCATCGCAGTAGTGTCAGGCTCTAGTTCCCCTCTAGACCTGCATTGCGGCGGTGTTCAACCAGCGCCAGCCCAGGATCGTTGGCTCGTCAAGTTGGAGTCTGGACGGCACCAGCCATGTCGCGATGCACATCGCGTGCAAGCTGGGAGAAGATATATATCCAGTCGAGTATGCCCTCGTTGAATATCATCAGCTTCAAGCTTTTCCAGCTTCTTCAGCATCTGAGCATTGCTTCATAGATCTGCTTAGCTCCTGTCTACCTTCGCACCTCACAACTACTTTTCCACATCAAAACCTTTCCACCCCACAACTACCTTTCCACAATGGTTCTCGGACTCGGTGGCTCTCAGGAGCCCACTTTGGACCAGGTCCACGAGCAGCAAGCTCGTCGTCCGTCCACTGTCGAGGTCATCAACGAGGATGTCCGCCGCAAGAGTGTTGACAACCGCGTCGTCACTGGTGCTTCTCAGTTGACTACCAGGCAATCCATCATTCCCGTTGCTTTGGTCACACTCCTCTTCTTCCTCTGGGGTTTCGCCTACGGTCTTCTCGATGTCCTCAACGCTCGCTTCCAGGTTGCGTTGAGCATCTCTCAGGGACAGTCATCTGGTCTCCAAGCCGCCTACTTTGGTGCCTACTTCATTGGTCCTCTGACATACTCTGGTTGGTTCCTTCGCAAATTCGGTTACCGCTACACCTTCATGCTCGGTCTGGGCATCTACTGCGTCGGCGCCCTCATGTTCTGGCCCTCCGCTGTCAAGCGAAGCTTCGGTGGCTTCTGCGGCTCCATGTTTATTGTTGGCTCTGGATTGTCCACTCTGGAGACCTCCGCCAACCCTTACATTGCCGTTTGCGGTCCTCCCAAGTGGGCTGAGTTCCGTCTCGAGCTTTCTCAGTCTTTCCAGGCTGTTGGCTCCGTTGTCGCACCTGTATTGGCTTCATTTGTGATTTTCAAGAACGTCGGTACAGACGGTAAGAGCTTGGAAGCCGTCCAGTATGTGTATCTTGGTATTGCGGTGTTCGTGGGAATTTTGGCGGTGGTGTTTTACTTCGCTCCCATCCCCGAGATCACCGACTCCGACATGGCCGACCAGGCTGAAATGATGACCTCTGCTACTGGATACGTCGATAAGCCTCTTCGCAAGCAGTACACACTCTTCTTTGGTGTTGCGGCTCAGTTTTGCTACGTTGGCGCTCAAGTCGGTATCGCCTCCTTCTTCATCAACTTCTTCACGCAGGCACACCCCAACCTCACACTCACCGAGGCTCACCACCAGGGCGCCAACTACTATGCTATTGCGCAGGCTCTCTTCGCCGTTGGTCGTTTCAGCGCTGCCGGCTTCATGTACGTTGGCATCAAGCCCCGTATGGTCTTGCTCGTCTACCAGACCGCCATCATGATCTTCCTCGCTGCCGCCATTGGTGTCAACACTGGTAACCCTAACTGGGGCGGAATTGCCATCCTCATGGTTGTTCTCTTCTTCGAATCTTGCATTTTCCCTATCATCTTCGCATTGGTAAGCATTCATCACTGTCCTCACACCTCGAATCATGTCACTAACTTCGGCACAGACTCTTCGTGGCCTTGGTCGTCACACCAAGCGTGGAGCTTCCTTCCTGGTCGCCTCCGTCTCTGGCGGCGCCATCGTTCCCGTCATCCTTGGCAATGTCGCCGACCGCATCGGCACCCAGCGCGCCATGGTCGTTCCCCTGGCTTTCTTCCTCATCGCCTGGGCCTACCCCATCTACCTCAACATCTACAAGGCCAAGGAGCTCGACGCCTACACCGAGTCCAAGGTCGGTACCGCTGAGGAGGGCACCGTCGACTTCGACTCCATTGTCGCCACCAAGGATCTTGAGGCTGGTCGCTACGAGAAGGCATAGATATCTTCTACTATTTGATTTCCAGGAGTTTGTGGCACGGATTGGGATGATACATGGAATGGCTTGTATGGGATTGTATATGGCCCTGCGAAAGACTCCTGATAGCCGGATGGAGCCTTGTATATAGACCGGCTTTGCATATACGCTCTCCATACCCCATGATTACACGATTACGAATGAGAATGTCTTTTCTAAAACCTTCTGCCTTATTTTGCATCATTTCGAGTCCCTCTTCTTATTTGATGATCAACTCACGAATTTTGGCCCAACATTAGGTACTGAGCATTGAAGTCAAAGCAGCCAAGTGCGAAGAAGCCGGCCATGACACGACCCGAAATACTCACTCTATTTGACAACATAGGGACGAACAAGGAATCAGATGGATCGGAGGAATTGGACGCTTGTTGGCGACTAGCGTCACGATGAGCCGCTAGCATATTTCCAGCGAGGAATGTCGGGCAACGATACTTGAGCCCACTACAAGTCTCTACCTAGTGATTCAATATATCAGCCCCCTCACAAACATTACCACAATGTTAGCACACACTTTTATTATGATATGTTCAGAGAGGGAGTGTCGATCTGTCGTCACTTGTGCCCGGGGTCCAGAATTCATTGATGAATCCTATTCCAGCACTCTCGCCAACTCTTGTTCAAGCGCCCAAAGACCATACAATTCGTGTATATAACACAAATACCAAACACAGGTATCAGACAAAAATGTATAATTAGAGAGCTACAAACGATCAATGTCTAGGCTAAAGACGACTCTTCTAACCCGTCTGTCTACACGTATCCCCCAACGCCATAAACGCCTTCTACACTAAATCAATGGTAACGATGCGATCTAAAATCAAAAACATACTAAGAGACCATACAGTGACACATAGAAGCCTGATACCTGGACAACAGATCATCGCGCGCCTATGCGCCAAAACAAAGAGACCCCTAAAAGAGCAAGAATAAAAAGCAAGACCGGAGAATGAAAAGAGGAGATGGCGTTACATCTAACGCTGAATACCACAAATGGGGCAGAAATCAGCAGTCAGATCCGAGTTCGCGGCGCCGCAGTTCTCGCATATCCATGAGCCGGGCGCTGGGGACCCCGCTGGAGCTTGAGTAGCGTGTCCCATAGCGGACTGTAGCCACGCACCGGACTGCTTGGTCCCTTTGTTGCAGATGGGGCACTGATCGTACCAATCCATGTTCCAGGAGTAGCACTCGCTGCATTGCCACATGTCTGTGGGCGGGGGGTTGGCGGCGCACTGGTTTTGGGAGGGCTGGTGACACATGGTTGGTGGTGGATGGGGTGAAGGTGTAGTTGGTGTTTTTGGGTTGTCGTGTGGAGGTTTGTTTCCTGGGACTGGACGGTTGTGTTGTTCCAATGGTGTATAAGAGATGTTTGAGCAGCAGAGTGGGTAGAGAGTAATCGAGGGATGGTGCTTGGTTGTTTGAAATGGTTTGAAGGTTGTTGTTCAGTGTTGTGAGCGTGACTGAAGTGATGTTCGTGTGATACTGGTGGTTGATCGATGCTGAAGTTGTTGATGATGATATGAAAGGAGAGAAGCAAGACGACTTATACTCCGACAGCAAGATAGTGAAGCAAAGAAAGTGTCACAGTCAACAACGTAGACAACACTCATTATGCCCTGATCCCTGGTGTTGACCCTGATGTTGACCCTACCAGAGGGGCGCGCAACAGTGCCCTTCCAGCTCGAAGGTCCTCTCCAGCTATCCTGGTGAGCATCGTGACTTCTCCAGACGGTGAAGCTCTAGCAAAGCTTCATCCCTTGGATGGTCTGCATCCTGTCATTGCCCACGCAGGGGTTGCGTTGATGTCGGGGTCGCCGTCATAGCGCCGCTGTTGTCGAGGACCATAGTGACTCCGAGGGCCATGTGATGGCTGTAGTGCAGGCGAATAGTGCACGGAGCGGAATTGCAACTTCAGCCCTACGGCATGCATCTACTGTATGTTTGCACGGACCAGCCTCATTGTGCCCACGATGCAAAGCCACAGCCACACCGCAAGACACGGAGTGACGCAGTGTCGAAGACCCCTGTACTTTATGAGAGAAGGCGACGGATCGGACCGAAGCCACGTATAACACCATTCTTATACTCATGTTAGTGACGACTGTCGTCTTTGCCCTTCTCTTAGTGTACTTCATCGTAACTGGGAAACCGGAAGAATTCCTTTAGCATGAGAACGTGCTCGAGCAAGGATTAACAAGCTGGAATAGTTTCATTCTGTTTGCTTGGTCTCTAATACTGAAATGAGCTGTATCGATAGTTTGGTGAACCTACTAATCGTCCCTTACCTGCCACAGGCTCATAGGCCTGTCTGCCGCGCGGAAAGGGCGTCACTTAATGTTACACAAGATGAAGTGCCCACCAGGCCAGGCTGTACAGAGCCCTTGACAAGGCTACCACTTTTCCCATATCCGAAAAGGGTTACTACCATCGTCATTGTGGTGAGCGCCTCGTTTGCCTGCTCATGTCCGCCTTCTCGCATAGCGTCAACCGCAAAGAAGCGGTGGCGAGCATCGTGGTCACGTTGTGCTCAGAGGGCGAACGAGGGACCTGCCCAGTACTGTCAGCAATGCATGGTCCTTGAACAGTAGGTTCGTCTACGGAATCGGTTGCCGACAGACGTTCAGACAACGACGTGACTAGCGCGCAACCCGTCCACCCCTCTTTCCGCATCGAGCAACCCGAAAACCGAGGTCCTGCGCAACACTCACACCCAATTATTTTGCCGTGGTTCAACAATCCAACTTGATGACGCGGGGCCCCAGACTTCCCCCCAGACGTTTCCTTCACACGACCCACATGTTATCCACTTGCTCGCTAAGCATCGTATCTTTGTGTGCTTCTCGCGAATCAAGACCGCCTTGTCATTAGCGATCCACCGTGGCGCTGTCTGGGCGTGCGTCAACGGCAAAGCAAGTGGCTTGGATAACGGTGTCGGGTATGGGTAGGCGACGACGTCAGTACATAATTGTTGCTGTTGGAGACAACAGCGCGTGCTGGAGATGCAAGAAGGCGTGGATATTGACGGTAAAAGAACAGCAAACGTGAGCCGAGGACATTCCGTGAGTCTGGGAAATGCATGCTTTAGTGCCGACATGGGAGAGATGCACATGGCTCCGTGATGAGCAAGGTACATTTAGACGACGCGACTGCAAGCGTGAACGCATTCAAGAAAGATCGACATCGGCTGTTCACCGATGCCGGCTTAGTTTGACGTCGTTGTATACAATACTGCCCTTCCGTCCCGTTGCTGTCTTGTCCCAGTGCCTGCTCTCTTCTCCACCATCCGATAGCCACCATGTCGGAGAAGCCCTCCCACGAGCGCATTTCGCGCGATATAGACGAATCGCCAGTACGCAAGACATCTGTCTCACGCTCCATAACTGGGCATGGCGATAAGGGCAAGAGCAAGGCAGATGAAATTGCGCGCATCGACAAGCTGGCGACCGCACCTGGCGTTACGGCGGAGACGTTCGCGCATCTGGACGAAAAGAAGATACTGCGCAAGATGGACTTGCATCTCATTCCCATGCTCGCTCTTCTGTATCTCCTGAGTTTCCTTGACCGCGGAAACATTGGCAATGCGAAAATCGAGGGTCTGGTGGAGACACTGGGTATGACTGGCGCGCAGTACAATTGGTGTCTGACCGCATTCTTCTTCACGTATGTCTTCGTTTAACCCTGAGGGCCCTGAACACCCCAGCTAACGGGTGTCAAGATATGCCGCCTTCGAAGTGCCCAGCAATCTTCTTTTGAAGAAATTGAGGCCGTCCGTCTGGCTGCCGACTATCATGGTGGCCTGGGGTATCGTCATGACGTTGATGGGTATTGTCAAGAACTACGAAGGGCTGCTGATCGCGCGTATCTTCCTTGGAATTACAGAGGCCGGCCTATTCCCAGGGTTCGTCTCCCATACGCATCGTTCATGTGATCATTGCTAATCGAGTAGCGTCGCGTACTACATTACGATGTGGTATTGTCGCCACGAAGCACAGTTCCGACAGGCGCTCTTCTTCAGCGCAGCGTCTGTCGCCGGAGCGTTCTCAGGTCTTCTGGCATTTGGAATCGCCCATATGGATGGCGTTGGAGGATTAGAGGGCTGGAGGTGAGTTGATTCGGTTCACTGGTTGAGTGATGGCTGACACTGTGTAGATGGATCTTCATTCTTGAGGGTATCCTGACTGTCCTCGTCGCTATTCTCGCCTTCTTCACGTTGTACGACTTTCCGGAGACAGCTGGCTTTTTGACTGAGGAAGAGCGGGCGTTCGTCGTGTTCAGACTCAAATACCAGGGTGCATCGAATGAGACAATCAATGGCCAGCGTGTCGCGCAGGACGATACGTTTCAGTGGAAGTTTGTCAAGTCTGCATTCTTGGATTGGCAGATATGGACCAACATTTGGGTCTACTGGGGTACGTACTCGATTGCCCTTACGTTGTCCAAGAGGCACGTGCAAAGTGCTGCTCTTCTCCACGAATCGACGAGCTTTCTGAGGCTGCGCCTCAAGATCGAACGAAGCATGTCAAGTGGCAAACAATGCGACTCTCAGATCTCTGAACAGCAGGTGTAGGCTGTTAGAGAAACTCTTCTATATCGAACTGACAAAACGCAGGTATCGTCTGCCCCTTGTACGGCATATCGCTCTTTTTACCCTCGATCATCCGCGGTCTGGGCTACACATCTTCGACTGCACAGCTCTTGACTGTGCCAATCTACATCACCGCCTCTGTCCTCGCGATCGCGGTAGCTTGGTGGAGTGATCGCGTCGGCAAGCGTCACCCCTTCATCCTCGTTTGCCTTTGCATCATGGCCGTTGGCTTCATCATGTGTGTTTCAAGCGGAACTCCTGGTGTAATCTACGCAGGTGTATTCATTGCGACATGCGCTCTCTATCCTGCGTTCCCAGGAAACATCACCTGGCTATCAAACAGTGAGTCTTGCCCTACTTTGACCAGACCCGAACTTTCGATGCTGACACAATGTCAGATCTTGCTGGATCTACAAAGCGCGCTACAGGCCAGGCCATTCAAATCGCTGTTGGCAACCTTGCAGGAGCCATGGCCTCCAACTTTTATCGCACGGAAGACGCCCCTCGATATGTCCTTGGACATGCTCTGGAACTTGGGTTCATCGGAGCAGGTATAATCGGCCTTCTTGTATTGGTGTTCAATTACAAGAGGATCAACGCGAAACGGGAACGTCAGCTGGCGGAGGGTGCGCACAACGGGTATACTCCCGAGGAGCTCGGCGAGCTTGGTGATCGTGCTATGACGTTCAAGTATGTCTTGTAAACGGCTGTGTCAGATGCTGGATTCTGCACATTAGATGCAGATACCCACGAAATGAGAAATTTGCTCAGTAGTCTTGTATGCCAGTTTCGCCCGTCAGGACCTTCTCTTTCCCTTCGCCGTCCGAATCAAAGTCAGATTCCATGCTGTCGAAATATGCATCCTGAATGTCTCGCTCCTTCTCATCATCATACTTGTCGTTCGCGTCTACAGTCTTGTAATCGAAGTCGTCGTCCGCGCCGCTCAAGAAGCGCTGTGTCATCTCATCCATCCACCAGGTCTTGCCCTCTTCTTTTGTCATCGGCACATCGTCCTTGTCCTCTTCCATAATCTGACCTTGTGGCCCTCGAGTGTATACGAAGAGCGACTTCGGATCGGTGTGAGCGAGGGCGTCTTTCTTGGCTTCGGCGCGCCACAAGTCGGTCGACATCTGGCCTGAAAAGCCCTTACGCTGTCCTTCTGCCTCGCGTTCTCTGGCAGTTTGGAAGCGGCGAATGAGTCGGTCGTAGAGCAATGGGTCGACAAGTTCGAGGGAGGAGTCGTCGAAGTATTCGGGGTGAACTTCTAGATAGCGCTTTCGGCGGTTTTTCGCGACAAGACTTTGTGCCTTTCCCTCCTGCTTTTGGCGCATCTGGTCGCGTGCGAAGACTTCGTCTGCGTCTGCTGCATCATCCGCATCCATAGGCAGAATCTTGCTGCTGTCGGCGGCATCCTGCGCGCTCGCGGGTCGTAGAGGTTGTGGTGCCATTGTCGGAATGCCGGTCATGTATGGCATTATCTGCAGGTTGTTCGGGCCAGGGTGTAAGCTTACTGACTTGTGCAGTGGAGAACGAACGTCCATCTAGAAAGTGTGTCTCGATAGGCAATGACGCCACACGTCGCGCTACGCCACACGTGCAGCTAGCGTCGAACGTGCCTCGGGCCCCGAACCACTCGAGGATGTTTCATCCGTGCATCAATCATCTGAAACATCTCGCTAGACCAGGTGTCCTTCCATCCCCTTCAATTCCTAGACGGTCATCCTTCCTCGTCCCTGCCTTGTCTCCTTCGCGTTGTGTATATTACGCTGCATTGTTTCTCCCGCAGGCCGAATATACTCACGGATGCACGGTCCGTCAGGAAGTCGCCTAATAACCATCTGTTCTTTGTGCATACTTTTTCTTACTCCATAACTTGAACATAACATACACCTTGGACATCTAAGAAAGAGCTGGATTTTACGTCTTAGAACCATGTCAACGAGACAGAAGAGGCAAAGTAAGCCTAAGGCTTCAGTGCCAGCAGCGCCGCCAACACCCACAACACCATTGGATGCAGAGCGTCAGCCTCAGTATCTTCCAGCGTCAGCCCTTCTTAAGAATGTGACTCGCGCGCTGGCCCTAATTCTCATCGCTGGAGTGGCATCTCCGGTATCGCAACTCAACCTTTCACCTGTCTTTGGGTCAATTCCAGCATCATTGCATCACCAGCAAGCAATGACATTGACGGCCCTAGGAGGACTCGGCGTCCGGCGATTGCTGAAGGGCTATCTATCTGTGGATGTCTCTGCATGGGTCACCGTTTTGGCGTACTGGATACCCCTTATTCAGTGCTATCTGTTCCCACACAGCACTCAACTTGGCATTGACTATGGTCCTTTGATTGTCGAGTCACTCACGTACTTTCCTTTACTGTTCCTCTCTATGTACGCTGTTTCAGACCTGCTGGACACGGTCGACTTCTCTCGATGGGATTTGCCTTCTGCGCTCGGCGATGCAATCCTACCAATGTCTTCCTATATTGGCGTGTCATTCATCGCTAGAATCTTTGGCGGACTGCTTCCTACTGTCATTGGACAGCACGTATATTTGACGCGCGTTGGCTTTCAGATGCTGCTTGCATCAGCGTCTGCTTTCATCACCCCTTCGAAACTTCTGTTCCTGGCCTTTCCAGCAATTCTGCACACGCTCTGGATCAACCCTCACAACCCAGCAGACCAGGCTTTCCAGTCGGCGAATTCGACTCTTGTAGCCACTCACAACTACACGATCCTCGCTCGCCAGGAGTCGCTGACTGGCTACGTGTCCGTGGTCGAGAACTACGCGGATAACGCTTTCCGCCTGATGCGTTGCGACCACTCTCTCCTCGGTGGAGAATGGCTCGTCACACCCGAGTCATACAAGAAGGGCCAACGCCAGAAGGAGAGTATCTTTGCTGTCTTCGTCCTTCTTGAAGCCGTTCGTCTGGTCGAGAACCCAGAGCTTGAACCCATCGGATCCATCCCCCGCGCGTTGGATGTCAAGCCCACACCAGAATCCGAGAAGTCTGCCCTCGTCATCGGTCTCGGTATCGGCACAGCGCCCAATGCTTTGATCAAACACGGGCTCAACACAACCATTGTGGAGCTCGATCCCGTTGTCCATAAATACGCAACAGAGTTCTTCGGCCTTTCGCCAGAGCACACAGCCGTCATCTCCGACGCCGTCCGTTACGTCGCAGACACATCAGTCTCCGCCCCGAAATCTTACGACTACATCATCCATGACGTCTTCACCGGCGGCGCTGAACCCGTGTACCTGTTCACCACTGAGTTCATGCAAGGCCTGCACGCCTTGCTGAAAGACGACGGCGTCGTGGCCATCAACTATGCCGGTGACCTGACGCTCGGCTCCACCAAGCTCGTGCTGAACACCATCCACGCCGTGTTCCCTGCCTGCCGTCTCTTCCGCGACACGGCCGCGCCCGATGACCATAAGGAAGGCGACAGCGATTTCATTAACATGGTGATTTTCTGCGTCAAGAACGACCTTGGTATGGGAAAGAAGGCTATTGGGTTCCGCAAGGCCACGCAAAAAGACTTCCTCGGCAGCCTTGCGCGCAGGAATTTCTTGCAGCCGAGGGAGGAGTTAGAAGTCAAGTATGAGTATACCGAAGGTGCAGAGGTCATGGGCAGGGCTGACGTCGCTGAGCTGGAAGCGTATCATGAGGAGGGTGCTGTGAGTCACTGGAAGATTATGAGGTCGGTGTTGCCAGCTGGTGTTTGGGAGATGTGGTAGATGGGAAAGCTGTGAGGGGCTTTACGCCCCTCGAATCTTGTTGTAAAGCTCAAGATGTTCAAAGTGTTCTAATTACAGACCTCTTGGTCCACTTGGACCAACAATGAGGTGTTTCGTGAGCACTACTTGTCGGCATAATCAACATGTTTTCAGACTCGTTGACGAATGTGATCTGGACGATGTCATAGGACACTCTCTGGGGCGCAGGCTCGGACTTTTGTAATGAAGTGCATGTTGGTGCAAATGTAAAGACAATACTGCGTTGGAATTACTTGGCTCTAAGGAAACAAGTTGGAATCTCTCAAGACAGTGATTATCGACTTACACCTTCCTGCACTTACATCCCGAACTAGAGGATGATAGCAGCCGGCACGATGAGCTGAACACACCGCCTACGGTCCATCTCCTTCTTCAACATCAACAAGCACGTCGCAACAACCACATCCTCTTCGACACCCATCTTCCCACCTACATCCTCGCCCAGCTGTAGCTCACCCCCGTTCCCAGCGCTACAGCTCTTACTCCCCAACGTCCTCGTCTCATCATTCCGAATCAGCTGCGCCGCTCTCACTCCCTGCACACTAAGCAGAAGCGCAGTCCCCGTCGCACCTCCTGAACCAAACCCCTTCTCCCTCTTGTACCGCCACTCGCACGTGCGCCCATCCGGGAGCATGAAGATATGGTTCCTGCTGGTCCACTTGGACAGCGTCTTGATCTCGCACCCCTCACGATCCAGTCTTTGCAGTACGGGGTCTCTGCCCGGGCCAAAAAAGTACTCGGTCCCGATCAAGCGATTCTCCTCGGCGTCGGTAAGTGTGCAAGTCCCTGAGCAGCTTTGTGCGCGCGTCGATGTGTACAGTAGAGTACCGTCTGGTTTGGTGACTGAGATAGAGCGCTCGCTGGTTGAGATGAAGGGGCGCACGATGCCGATTCCTCTGGCGTTGATGAGGAGTGTTTTGGTGAGTGTGAAGGGCGGGGTGGAGACGGCGAGGTTAGTGTCGCTGGCGATGGAGACGGTGTCTGCAATTATGAGGTCTTTTCTTTCTTCCTCAGAGAGTGTGGAGATGTCGAGTGGTGCTTCTTCTCTGGTGGTGGTAGTTGTACTCATGGTGGGTGGAAGGAGGCGAGGTTTGAGGGGATGAATATAAGTCTCCGTTGTTAACTACGTAAAACTGAGACTGAGCGTCGCTTCATAAGTAGAGAATATTTCACCAGACTCGGTAAATTTCTTGAAGACTCGTTCTCGCATTTTTCGTATACTGGTCTTCATAGGCGTTCTCGTGGTGGTAAGGCTGAGTCGTGGAGGCTGAGCGCGATGCGTGATGTAGCCAGGCATTGTTCATTCTGCCTTACCATAACCGCTATCCAGTTAGTGCTGACATGTCGTGATAGTGTTGAATTAGTGCTGCCGCTGCTCGTCTTTTTGGCTGCGAGGTGCTGATGTGAACTATTGCAATGTTCCTTCCCAAATGGAAGAACGTACGGATTTCATACAAACCTCCAATAAGAGACATGGTTCTGGAGCGCAGGCGTCAGCAGTGATGGTGTATCCACGTGCTTTCGCCCCACAGTCCTATCCTTATAGCATGACCAGTAGTACATCGAAGGAAGAGATACATTTCGCGACAATCATTTATTGACTGTAATCAAGTTCAATCGGCAATCGTGTAACGCAATCATAGGAATCCGTAAATTCTGTCTGAAGACTTTCTTAGGAGAGTATGTGCTTGGACAAAAACTGACTCGTGCAGAACTGCAAGTGACTTGTCGATTCTCTACTCGCTGTTCAGAGCGTGCAATGAAACTCAAGATACACAAGCTACGCAGTTTCGAATTGATTGTGCAACAGACACTACCCCTTCTTCAGTAGCGCGAGATGCCCGCCAGCTGTCACCGTATCACCCGGCTTCACCAACAGCTTCTCGACTCGTAGCTTGGCGCCATCTGCTACTGCCGCGTCTGGGGTCTTTACCGCGATCTCGAGCTTCATGGCCTCGAGAATGGCAATCTGCATTGTTAGTTCGTGCTCGCAGTCAAAGTGCTGAGATGACTTACAATACTCCCTTCTCCGACTGTATCGCCCTCCTTTATTTCTACTTTCCATACGTTGGCATCTACTGGCGCTTCAACGGAAATGATGCTCGGATCGTCCAGAAGCTTTTCGACAGTAGATTCATCGACTTGGTTTTCAGCCTTCTCTTTCTGCCAGCGCTCAAACGATTCGTTTTCAGCTTTTGTCATCTCTTCTTGAGCTTCTGCTTGCTTTGCGCGTATTTGTTTGACCTCCTCAGTAGTTTCTTGTAGCAGCTTGTTGTGATCTGCCATGCTGAACTCAACGTCATCATACTCAAATACGAACTTGCCGGCTCTGAATTTCCCAAGCAGGTCATCAAGCTCCTGTTCGCTGACTTGGTAGTAAGTGAGAATGTCAAAGTCTCTGAAGATCCAGGGCTTATTGAAGCCAGGTTTCTGTGAGTAGTAATCAAAGCAGGGCACTGTCCGCCCAGTCATCTGGTACCCTCCTGGCGAATCAACGGGGTAGATTGACATGCAACTTCCCGCCCAACCGACCGTTCCTTCCGGTGTGAATACGCGCGAAGGGTTCATCTTCGGTGCATTCATGCGTTGTCGAGGATCGACTGGCAGAGATACCGTATTACCGCAGAAGAAGCCTACAACGACTGCCATGAATTGACCGTTCAGATAGATGTCTTTCAACTGCTGAGAAGTGAAAGCATTGTTCTTCGCAACGAAGGAGAGGTTGTCAGGGAGGTATGGGGCGTGAGGACGCTGGTTGGTCATGTAGCGCTGAGTGGCTTCGTCCTGGAGCTTCGATTCGAAGCTGATCGGGAGTTTGAAGACTCTTGTGGGAACTTTGGTCGATCGTAGATCGCCGAGTCCTTCCTCGATCTCCTGTAGATGCGACACAAGCTCGCTCCGAGGTAGCTTGGCGCCATCGTAGTAGACCAGAAGCGTTGTGCAACAGCCAACTGTGTTGTAGAGATTACCCTTAACCTTTTCAGGTGTTTCCGAAGAGCGTAATGCATTCTCAAGCGCTGTGACACGACATCTATGGTTAAGATCGAAGGACTCGTTACCGTACTCGACAAGGAGATGATCATCCCCACCCTATACGACTGTTAGTCTGATTGAGAGCAACTTCATTGCATCTTTATTACCTGGCGATACCGCACTTGAGGAGTGTCGTTTGTTGCTGCCTTCTCCCAGATGACTGCTTTCCCGATCTCACATTGATGGAAATCAACGTGCCCATGGAGGATGTCGATAGCATCAAAATTGCTCTTGCTCTTAACGGCTCTCTCGATCGAATCTAGGAAGTCGTCGTTGCGTTTCCTCTTCCTGAGAGCATCTTCTAAGCCGATCCTAACATACTTCAGTGTATTACCAGCCTTGAGCTGTCCGAGCTTCCACCAGTCAGCCCGAACAATAGTTGTACTGCTTGTGAAACCACCAAAGTTGGGACAGTCAACAGGAAAGATACATGGATCGTCGCCCGTCCAGTTCAGTGTGCCGAGAGGATACCCGTATTCAACCAAGTTGCTGGGATGCGCGCCACCCTCGCCACCGTCAGATCTCGCCCACTTCGGCACAGGTCCAATGAGTCTGATTCCACTACGAGATGCATTGTGAGAGACCTTCCACTTTGTATCGTAGATCATTTTGATGTCTTCTGGCGCAAAATAGCCTTCGTCGTGTGGCCCCACCATTGCTGAGATTTCCCAGTCCATTTTGTAACTCAGACGCAGACGTTCTGGGATTGTCACAGTCTCGATATCGGTGGGCAAGTCTGCCCTGATCTGAAGTAAATCTCCAGGCGCCAATTGTCGACCTTGATACCCGCCAATTGCCACCAAGGGAGAGGTCGACTTGGAACCAAAGTAGTCAGCCACTGATGGCAAGCCACCGTAAATAGCGAGGTAGGAACGGCACCCTCCCGCAGTAGTTTTCCCGATCTTGAGTGTTTGTCCAGCTCCAATCTTGACATTAGTCCACATTGGGAACTCGTCTCCGTCCAGCGTCATGTCCATAGGAGCACCACAGAGTGCTACAATAGCAGGCCCGACAAATCGAAGTTCGGGTCCACTTAATGTAATCTCTAGACCTTCAGTACCGCGCGCGTTACCAACGAGCATGTTCGCGATTTGGAAAGACATCACATCCATAGGTCCCGAATGTGGTATGCCCTTACCAACTGTTGGTCGTCCTGGAAGATCTTGAATGAGGGTGTAGGCGCCAGCTGAGATTACATCAATCGCATGTGGAGCGAACTTGAAATTTTCCAGAAAGCTGGTCATTGTGTTGCCAGAGGTAAATCTGGAGTCATCCAGTATCTGTACAAGAAATTCCAGGTTGGTCGGAGGTCCTGATAATGAAGAACCCGTCAAGAGCTCTCTCATGCGCAGAATCGTCTCGCTTCGAGACTGCGAATGAGCCATTGCCTTCGCTATCAAAGGATCTATGCATGATTAACTCTAATCAAGCCTGCGGTCTTGTCCTACGTACCGTAGTTGGGTGTAATGCGTGACCCAGTGAAGACCCACGTATCGACACGGCTGCCGGGCACATCTTTCCACTCCACTTTTTGAAGTAGACCTGGTGACGGTGCATAGTCTCGCAAAGGGTTTTCCGCGTAGATCCGAGCCTCAATCGCTGCACCGGATGGCTTTGACGGCTGCATCTGCTTGAGAGTTGACCCTTCTATGCCACCCTTGCCGGCAAGCTGAGCGTCTGCTTGCCTTAGCATCAAATCCACTAGGTCGATGTTGTAGCAGAGCTCGGTTATGCCGTGCTCAACCTGAAGCCGTGTGTTCATCTCCAGAAAGAAGAAGTCGCCTCTTTGGTCGTCTACAAGAAATTCTACCGTCCCTGCGCTACCATACTTGATGGATTCTGACAGTCGCACGGCAGCGTCCCCAAGCTTTTGTCGCAGTTCAGGGTGTCTCTCGACAAATGGACTGGGACATTCTTCAATAACTTTCTGGTGCCGTCTCTGAATCGAGCATTCTCTCTCGCCGAAGTGAACAGCTTGGCCCAACCCGTTGCCAAAGACTTGTACTTCAATGTGGTGGCTAGCTGGAAAGTACTTCTCGATAAATACGCCAGGGTTTTTGAAAAGCGTCTGCCCGCGGGACTGAACCATTTTGAAGCCCTCACGTACTTCCTCGGTCGTGTTGCAAGTGACAAGGCCCATCCCGCCACCACCGCCTGTTGCCTTTAGCATGACAGGAAAACCTATTCGTTCGGCTTCTCTTGCAGCATCTTCCTCATCCTTGACGAGACCTTTGGTACCTGGAACGACGGGCACATCGGCTTTAGAAGCTAGGTCTCTGGCTGTGTGTTTGACACCAAATGCTTCAATCGCCTCTGGTGAGGGCCCAACCCAGACGAGGCCAGCCTCGCTCACTTGTCGTGCGAAAGGTGCATTCTCAGAAAGGAATCCGTATCCGGGGATGATGGCATCTGCACCCTTCTCTTTCGCAATCTTCAAAATGACTTCTTCATCTGTATAAGCAGTTGCATTGCTACCAGGTAGAAGCACGGCATCGTCGGCATCTCGGACATGGCTGGACGCTGCGTCTGCTTCTGAGTAGATTGCAATGGTCTTCACACCTAATTTCTTCGCGGTCCTACAGATTCGGACCGCAATCTCTCCACGGTTGACAATTAGCACAGTCTGCAACTTCTCCATTGCTTGATGTCTACTTGAAAGCGACTGTCTCAATGCACGTATTTGATAGCCATCGACCCCGCGCCCGCTTCCGCCTTGTCCGCTATCTCACGAGTCCACCATGCCGGCAGTGACATGAGCGCGGTCCCTAATGCAGTTGGTACCTTGGGCCGTTCGTGCGCCATTTATGGTAGCTCGATGCGATGCTGTACTGCGGTTGGTGACGGTTGAACGCGTCGACGTCATTAGAGCGCGGATGAGAAGAGGGGTTCTGTGATAACACCCGTAGAAACAGACGCTGGACCCACGACGCTACGGCCATAGCACGGTAATACGACATGGATCAGCGCTTTGGGCGGATGAAACATCGCGAGAAATTATGAGATTACCTTTCAAACAAGACACTCACGATGCCGGCCAGCAAACATCCTGTAAAAATCAACGTTGATCTGGGCGAAGGGTACGGCAACTTCAAGTGCGGTCCAGATGAAGAGCTGATCCCATTGATTGACTACGCCAATGTGGCGTGCGGCTTCCACGCTGGGTAGGTCCAACTCATTCTCAGTAGAATGAGTTCCTCCTGGCTGACGAGATCAGCGACCCTTTAATCATGCAACAAACTGTGCGTGAGTGCAAGAAGAACTCAATCGCAGTCGGAGCACATCCTGGCCTGCCTGACATCCAAGGATTTGGCAGAAGGGAAATAAAGATGTCGCCCGAAGAGCTAACGGCGATGACGCGATATCAAGTGGGTGCGCTCAAGGCTTTCCTGGACGCCGAGGGCATGCCATTGAATCACGTCAAGCCGCATGGAGTGCTCTATGGCATGATGTATAGAGATAAGGAAGTCTGCAGGGCAGTATACGAGGGCGTCCCTAAGGGAACGACCGTATTTGGCCTCGCAGGCACTTTACACGAAGAGGTGGCGAAAGAAATGGGTCTGCCGTTCGTTGCGGAGCTATACGGTGACGTTAAGTATAGTAAGGATGGAACGTTGGTCATTGACAGAAAGAAGAAGTAAGTGTGTACTTGGCAAACATCTATGCCCCTGATTTAACAAGTTTCAGACCCTGGAAACCCGAGGAAGCTCAAGCACATATCAAGAGCCAGGTCGAGCATGGATCTGTGACAGCGGTCACGGGCGAACTGGTGCAATTACCGATCGGCGACCATCAGGTGTCGCTCTGTTGCCATTCGGATTCGCCGGGTGCAGTTGAAATCGTCACGGCAGCACGCCAGATCATCGATCAGTTCAACACGAAGCATTTCTCGTAGTCACGATGCATTAGAGAACCGAAATAGTCGTTGCTGACGTTCTTTATCGATAAATCGCTCGGTCAGCTCGGAAAATGCGAGCTGGCATCTAATTTTAGAGACCCGAGGTATGGACCAACCTGTGGCGCACCACCGCAACTAGCTCAATCATCTCTGGTTCTCGTATGCACAAAGTTGACTCGTGCTGAAAGAAAAGTGGACAGCAAATTTTGTATATATGGCAAACTACGATCCCCTACTCATGCAGCACACAGATCGAACACAATTCAAATACAATTCAGCATGTTTTGCTTTCGCCGTTTCGTACCTATTTGGACCGTGGTCGCCGTGATCACGCTGCTATTCTTCATCACTCACATCCGCCCGGAACATCATTATCCTCTGGAAGAAGCTGCGTACTATCGATCCGTTGATACGCTCTTTGCATCAGAGAAAGAAGCACTGCTAGAATGGACAAGGTCCACTAAGCAACTCGAACTCAACTGGGAGCCTGTTGGCCCAACAGTAAAGTGAAAATGTCTCGGGACACAGAGACATCACCAGACTGCACCGGAATCAAACTCCGAGAGACGAAAGGAACCGACCATGTAGCCGAACCGGCCTGATGACAGAGCGATGTATCGCATACTACCGCAACATCCATACCACAGCCAACGCAGAGCCTCCCATAACCTTCGCGAAGCGCACCGCGACCTTCTAGCACCACCAACTAGGCCCCAATCGACCACAAACGGCCGGTCCTGTTGCCTATTTCGGCAACCCAACTCCGCAGCATCGAAGACAGCACTATATCGGAGAATACTCAAACGCACGCCATGTGTGCCATCGCAAGGAAAGATGCGCAGCACAGCGGGCAGCAAGCGACGAATGCCCACGGTCGCAAGTTGGCGGTTCATCAGATCAGGCACCGTTTGCGGAAGGACCAGCGCTTGGCTGCGCTATGGAAGCGAGCTGACGCGTCGGAGCTGGACCCGCAGCGCGCTGGGCGGCGCGCGGTGCTGGGAAAGTGGCGGGGAATAAGGCGTACCTGGCGATCGGCGTCGAGGTACGAGGCCGTAGGTTTCGCAGAGAAACGGGGATGGGAGAGAGTTTGAGTAGTGGGGATGGGATTGCATTGTCGATCTCTGGAATCTGACTCGGAATATACGTTTTATCCCATTTTGTGAATCGTTCGTGCCTGCCACGTCCATATGTTATTCACCGTGCGAGTGCCACGACTGTGTGTGTCAAATGAGTGCGTGCCCGAGTCGATACTAAATCTCTGGATTGGTAGATTTTACTTATGACTGGTTGTGATTGGGTATTTCTAGTCGCGACATAGTCCTGTATGGGAGACCACTCGCTCTTACGTGTATTTTGTGTGCATAATCGACTTCTGCAAAGTCTGAGGTTATCAATTCTCGTCATCACTCTTCCTCAGTATCCGAGTACTCATCGCGTTTCCTCACATGCCGTTCAATAATTCTCAGCAACTGATCGATCTGATACGGCTTAGTGACAACGTCATTGAAACCGCACTGTCTCATCTCTTCCACCTGCTCGAGGCGCGCATTTCCCGTAATCGCAATCATGGGGATATAGTGAGTAAGCAAATGTTCTTGCTGGAGCTGCCGTACACGGCGCGCACAGGTCTTGCCGTCCATAATCGGCATCTCGATATCACATAGGACGATGTCAATTGTTGGGACAATATCGCTGTCTTTCTTAGTGTGCACAGGGTTCCAGGTGGAGCTTGCTATGAATGCAAGTGCTTCCTCGCCGTTGTTTGCGGTGGTTGTGTCGTATCCATGTTTCGTGATGAGTTTGCATAACAGGCGTTGGTTGATCAGATTGTCTTCAACGACGAGAACGTTTACCCGTGAAGACGGTGGCAAAGGTGTCTCGACCCCGGGAGAGTATTGATCCAGCGGCTGGGCTTGTTGCATTGCTGGCGAGGTCATGGTTCTGTGCAGCTCGTGGCCAGCCATAAATTTGTCGAGTGGCGTGATTGGTAGCTCCTTTTCTTCGCTCCGACGGACTTTGACGTAGAATTCGAATGTGCTCCCGAATCCAGCTTGTGATCTGAGACCTATGCGTCCACCATGCAGCTCAGCAAGGTTGCGCGAGATGTAAAGACCTAGACCGGATCCACCGAACTGGGTATGCGTACGAGGTGAAGCCTGCGCAAACTTCTTGAACAAGTTACTAGCCTCCTCTGGGGTCATTCCTAAACCACTGTCTTTAACGGAGAAAGACAAGTAAATGACCTCGCCCTGTCCCCATTCTGGTCGGTTGGTGGGGTCCTGATGCTGATCGCCTGAGATCACGTACTCAGTGCTCAGGGGCTTGTTCGCTGGCTCTTCCAAATGTGCATTGAGCGTCATCTCGAGATCCCGCTTCTTCCCTTTTTTTGTAAACTTGATGGCGTTCGATAAGAGATTGATGACAATCTGTGTTACTCTATTGGGGTCGATCATGATACCCTTGAGATCCAGACGATTGTAGCCCTCGGCAACCATGAAATTTGTATTCATGCCCGATGCTCTTATCTCAGGGGCAAATAGCCCGATAATCTCCCTAAACATCCTGATGGGGTTTGTGCTTTCTGGGTAGATCTGAAGAAGCCTCGCGTCTAGCTTCGATAACGTCAAGATATCGTCAACAATCCGTTTTTGGTGGTTGGCGCAGTATGTAATTGTGATCGCTAGATCAAGAGACTCGCTCAACGCTTCGGCTTGTCTTCGATCATTCTTACAATTGTCTAGCTCGAATTTGATGTTCTCCGTGAGTTCGTAGGCGCACTGGAATATGGCATTAAGAGGGTTTCCTTGAACGAGATCAGCGGAGTGGCAGCATGATTTGCTCGAAGTACATACTCATCTCGTGCGACGTCACGTCCAAGAAGTTTTCTTGCTGTCGCTTCTGTTCTATCGCCTCGGAAAGTTGCGCAGACTGCATCTTTTCCGCCCATTTAACAGACGATATGTCGGTGATACAGCCCAAAGTTCCTTTGAGCCTACCATCATCAGAGTACTCTGGCTGAAGAATACCCAGCGCGTATGTCCGATCTAGCATCACTTTCGCACCATCGCCTTTGGAGGCCCATGGCTTTTTGAACTGAGCTTCAAATGTGAGTGGCCCCTCGTGTCTCGAGTCGGTGTAACTTTTCCACGTTGCAAGCATATTTGCAACACCGTCCGGGTGAACCATTTCCATCCAAGCTTTTGGCTCAGCAAGTGTCTCTTTGGATATCCCGCATATTTCCTCGAAGGCCGTGTTACAGAAGGTCAAAACATCTTCGGAGTTGAACATGTACACCCCAACAGGCGCATCTTGTGCAAATCGCCAAAATCTCCTGTCCAGTTCAGATGCGAGCTGTTTTCTGTGAGTCTCTTGCTCTTTGATAATACCCTTGGCTACATTGATTCCGTTCTCGATCTGCCTTGTTAGCAGCCGTAGAAAGGATCGGTAATCTTCATCAAACTTTCTCAGCGGACCGGTCCCGATGACCATGACAGCGGCTATGCTGTCCTCGACGAAGCACTTCAATGGATGTATGACGATTTCCCGAGAGGGTTGCGCACCATGGTCCTCCAGCTGCTTCAGGGTGGTCTGACTCAAGCTGTCATCAAATATCGATAGAGTAATCAGCTCACGAGTTGTGCAGGCGTCAAGAAGGGCGCGATGAAGACCAAAGTCCACCGTACCGAGATCGCCCGTTTTTGCTGCACCCCTAACCTCCTTACTCATGCCTGCGGTAGCTTCCAGCACAAATTCCAGTGTGTCATCTTTAGCCTGCGTACTATAGATGGCTGCGAACTGAATGTCACTTGTGTGTTTGTCAAGTACGGCAGCTGCAGCTGCACACAGATCGTGCGTCGTGTACATCGTCGCTACTGCCTGGTTGGTGTCGGCCAAGATCTGTATTCTCCGTTCGGATACAATCTGTCTCGTTCTTTCAATAATGCGTGTGGTATAGCCTACTACGAAGCCATCTGCATCAAGGATAGGTGCCAGCAGAAAGCTGAAGAAACACTCTTGCGAGATACCGTCACGCACAAGGATCCGTCGCTGTTTCTCTTGCTCGACGTACTGACCAGTTCTCTTCATTTCATCAAACATCCGATGATACTCTGGCCACTGTGGAAAATTTTCTTTGAGAGGTCGGCCCATCGCACGTGGATGCTTATCTCCGACGATGCCTGAATAAGCTTGATTATAGAGTAGGGTGCACTCATCTCCCCAAACTATGTTGATCGGGTCCGAAGTTGCCAGAGCGAGCTCGCATGTGTGTCGAAGCGCAACCGGCCACTCGTCAACTGGGCCAACTGGTGAAGACGCCCAATCATACTGTCGCATCCATTCGAGATACGCGAGGTCACACAAGTGGCCATTGGGTTTCACGGCTCCCAACAGGAGCTTTTGGCCATTTGTCTTGGCAAGGGAGGCAGAGGCATTGGAAGTCGCGGGCGTGTGTGGGACTGATGCTTCGATGCTAGCAGCAGCATTCGTCAAGTGCACCACCTGTGAAGACCCGGTGCCTTCACTCTTGTTCGGGCCATAATGTTCTTCTGTTGATACGGCTATGAGCCATTTGCTGCCGACAATCGTGACTGCCCAAATGATGCCACAGAATGAAGCAATGTAGGTGTTCCGGCCTGTCTGAGAAGGTCTGCCGAGAGCAATCAGATCCGAATCATCCGGGCGTTGCAATCGCTCAACAACCTCCGTGTGGAGAGGCCCCAGTCTTGACAATGCAGGATTGGTGTGCGCAAAGATCGAGTGTTGCTCTGCCCCCTGCAACGTGTGGTCTGTATGCGAAAGGTGCGCTACAAACGTCGGCTGCGCATTCGAATCCAGATATTCCAGGAGAAGCGTAAGCGGGGCTTCGGCCATGATTGGTGTAAAATCCAAGAGAAGATGCCATAATCTGTTTCGCTGATAGTCAAGAGCCTATGTCGACCCTCCTTTTTCGTTGCTTAATGTCATGATGCGTATTGGAGAGTAGAATGAGAGTATTCACTATAACACTCTAGGAGCAGTAGCGATTTGCATAGAGCGGCGAGTTTCATGCGACGGAACATTGCTCGCTACACGTAATCTGCATTTTGCGCTAGTTCAGTCTAACGAGCCGGCCTAGGCTAGCAAAGATATGGGTGGCACACCTGTGCTGTCTCTTTGTTGTGGAGACGATGGCATTGCTGATGGCAGGAGGTCGACGATCGAACACCTTCAGTTGCTCTCTGACCATGAGAAAAGAAGGACTACTATGGGTCAGCGCCGCCAATCACCTGTGGCATTCTATGATTGGACGTCATCTTTCTCATAACAACAATGCAAGGGCACGTGAACTTTCCAGGCGCAATCCACGCGCTTTGCGCTTTACGCGTTGCGTTTTGCTGTAGCTGTTAACCGGTCACAACATCGGCACCCGGCCCAGTGGCGAGGACCCAGTGTTGTTAAGATGCACAATCCGATCTCGTCCACGGGAGGGCCCGCGCAGGTTCAGGATTCGATTTCCCAAACTGCTCACAGAGTCCGTGCTGGACTGAAGTCGTTGCGAGTGCACGATCATGCACAAGAAGGTCAGATGTCCCGATGTCACGGTCAGTGAATATCTTCTTCTCGACTTGCTCGGCATTTGTATTCGGTAGCGGAATTCAGCTCTACCGTACCAGTACTGTACACATTACCCCCCTCGCGTGCGGAAAGAGCGACCCTGCCAAGGCGAGCGGTACATTTCGGAGCACTTTTTGCTGAGCACCGATCATTCACCGAGTGAGCTACCCCACAATCCGCCGTCTTTAAGTGCACCTTGGGACTCGATTGACAGTGTTGTATCCAGTCTCTTTTTGACAGCGATTGCGATTGTCAAGTCGGTTTTCCATAATGTCTTCACCCTTCGCGACGAAGTACGTCACCGGCGTTTACCTGCCCTCGGCTGTCTTGCTGATTGGAACCGCTGCGTTCAAAAGCGAATGGATTCCATACGCTCTTGCTTTGACAGCCATCTTGACCGGTGCTGTCATTTTCAGCAGCCAGGGTACGTCCAGCGAGCCTCAATCAATCGAAATTGTTACTGACAGCACCAGGTGGTGGACGCAAAGTGTTGAAGCCTGATGTTTTCCAAGAGTTTGAGCTTGGGGAGAAGACTGTCCTCTCCCACAACACAGCCATGTAAGTCTACCACTCCGCTCTAGCTTTCCTGACTCTGACGCGCGCAGTTACCGCTTCAAGCTCCCCAAGGAGAGCGACATCCTCGGTCTGCCTATCGGTCAGCACATTTCTCTTGCCGCCACCATTGAAGGCCAGCCCAAGGAAGTTGTTCGCTCGTACACCCCCACCTCCTCCGACAACGATAAGGGCTTCTTCGATCTCCTGATCAAGGCCTACCCCACCGGCAACATCTCGAAGTATGTCGCAAACCTCAAGATCGGTGACAAGATGAAGGTTAGGGGCCCCAAGGGCGCCATGGTCTACACCCCCAACATGGTCAGGCACTTCGGTATGATTGCAGGTGGAACCGGCATCACACCCATGCTGCAGGTCATCAAGGCCATCCACCGCGGCCGCGCCACCGGCGACAAGACCGAGGTCGACCTCATCTTCGCAAACGTCAACCCCGACGACATCCTGCTCAAGGATGACCTCGATGCGCTTGCCGCCCGGGACCCCAAGTTCCGCGTACACTACGTCCTGAACAACCCACCTGAGGGCTGGACCGGTGGCGTTGGCTTCGTCACCGCGGACTTGATCAAGGAGAAGCTTCCTGCGCCGGCCAGCGACGTCAAGGTTCTGCTCTGCGGGCCCCCACCCATGATCGCCGCGATGAAGAAGGCGACCGAGAGTCTGGGCTTCACCAAGGCTAAGCCCGTTAGCAAGCTCGAAGACCAGGTCTTCTGCTTCTAAATGGGTCATGAGGAAGTCTGTATGGACTCGAATTGTGGGGGGACGGGCGCAAGTATAGACATGTACACCTTGCCTGTGTAAATATTCAACACTTAAGCGTTCGCGCAAGCGAATCTAGTCTGAAAAGTAATGTCACGTACCTATTCTGAACCCAACCTTTCCAATCCTAGTCAAAACAGACACAATATTAGCAAGGAAGGATAGTCACACATCTATTGAGGGGGAAAAGTGAGTCTAAACGCTCAATTCGCTATCTAATGCACCATGTCTAATGTGACCGACATTTATATAATCCACTCTACTGCTTGGCGCCGTGCACGAACAGCCTCTCGCCAGTAGTCTTCTGGAACTGCTTCTCGCCGGGCTCACCCGCGCGGCCACCAAAGACCAGCTGGGACCTGAGCTTCCACTCGAGAGGGACGCTCCAGTGCTCAGCAGCCTTCTGGTCGATGATGGGGTTGTAGTGCTGCAGGTTTGCGCCGAAGCCCTCGGCCTCGAGCGCCACCCACAGCGCGTACTGGTGCATGGCGTTGGTGTGCTCGGACCAGTCGCCGAAGTGGTGGGCGTAGAGGGGGAAGGCCTTGCGCAGGTTCTCGACGGGCTCGGGGGCTTCGTAGAAGAGAATCTAAGGGGGTGTTAGTTGACGTGGCGCTGGGTGGCAGGGTCGGTATGCGAGGCTTGCGAGGCTGCGCGAGGGCGGGGCTTGCATCATATGTGCATGTGGGGCCTGGCAGCAAGATTGTGGGGCTGCGACGCTCTCCCACATCGTGCATTGCGCTGCGCGCAAAGACCCTAACAGAAGAAGAAACTGGCGCGACTTACGGTTCCGTACGCGGCCCTGAAGCCGTTGATCTTCTGCTTGGTGCCGTCAAACTTGTCCTCGGGGGTGAGGGGCTTGAGGACCTCAATCACGTAGTCCCAGAATTGCTCGTGGTCCTTGTTAAGCAGGACAACGAGGCGAGTGGACTGGGAGTTGAATGAGGAAGGGACGTGGAGAAGAGCCTGCTCAACAAGCTCTGTAATCTTGGAGTCGGAGATAGGTGCCTCCTTGTTGAGCTGGTAGTATGTGCGGCGCTCCTTGATGGCCTCGAGGACCGACTTGGTGAGCTGGGAAGAAGCCATGGCTGGAGCTGTAGTAGAAAAGGAGCTTGAGGGTATCAAAGAAGAGGCTGAAGATGCAAGAGAGGGTCTGGAGTGTAGAACAGAAGACGGAGCAGCCACAGTGCTTTTGTAGTTTGAACTGGCCCCGCGCACCACTCTTCTAGCAATATTTCGAAGAACTTGCGCCATTGAGCCCGAGTCTGGAAGCGGTGTAGTAGTCGCCGGAGTCCCACGTAAAACCTGTACCGGCACTTGAATGTGGGGGGTCAATTGCTGCAGAAAGAGTGCCAGAAGTACGCCAAAGACCAGGCCTGTTAGCAGCGATCGGGCGGCGATGGACATGGATGACGTGATAGACGGCAAAACTTAACAGCGAGCGCGACAAAAGCTGATGTAACGCATGGACATTTGACTCCGGAACAGTCGCGCCGACTGCGTGTCTCCTGAGTTTAGCATTGCGAGCATTTGTTGATTCAAAATGCTTAGCAAGCGGTTGCTAAGGAGAAGCTCGTGGGGCGGCTGCCCGGGACTGTGCAACATCCGTGCTTACCTAGCGGATGTGGATGTACTGTGTAAGCTGCGCGGGCTCCTTCCGCAATCCACGCTTGCAACCTTATACTTACATGCAACGACACACCTGTTAAATGCTACACCCCTTTTCGTCAGAGACAATGTTTCTTTGGACATTGTTACCTCTAGTTTGAAGCCTTCTTCCCTCAAGTCTGAGATGATGAGAAGTTGGAATGCCCACATTCTTAGGAGGAGCTAGTTTGGACTGTGATCTACGATCACCTGTATACAGTCGATGAAGCTCAAATAATCCTTGAAGCAGCCTGTGGCGCCGCCATAAGGGCTGAGCAGTCAACATAAGTTCCTACTCTGTAGGATATGTCTGTCAGTCATTACTGCAAGCCGTGGTCCTGGCATACGGGACGGGTAAGCCTCCAGCTGTTATTGTAAGTTGTGAGGCGACGAGTTTGGTACTCGCTCGGCCAGGGTGGCCCCGCTGGACGTATACATTGCTGGAAGGTGTGCCATCCACGAAGATGATGGAATCGTGGTACAAATCGAAATCCAAGCTGGTAGCGATTGAGATATTGCGGGGCTTATGAACTGGGACGGCACAGTACATCGAGCCTTTTGAGATAGCGATGTTAAGTCCGCCAATAACCAGGGAAATAGCCCGTTTCTACGTGTTTGCAAATCAGTCCAGCCAATATGTTCTAAGAAGGCATCAGAGTGTCAGGTATTATGCTTGAGTTGGATATGCTGCATTTGTACCGCCTTTCTTAAGTAATCAGCCTTGTGAAGCTTGGGCGCCCCGCAATGGCAGCTGCCGTCAGGTCCAGCCCTCACCCCTCACAGAGTACCGGCATGGCCTCCTGTGCTCTGTGCTCTTGCGCTCTTGATAATCGATATCGCACATTTCGGGATTGGCGACATCGTGGAAAGGCGTTCAAGATCGATAAGACGCGGCTCGGCATGGTCAGCCTGAAATTCGTTGCGCGGCCTCCCTGGTTTATTCCGAACAGTCGTATGCCGCGAGGACGAAGAGTTCACGACTGGGAGAGCGCATTCCGAGTCAGATTCTATACCGTCGCAATACATCTGTGACTTATATAAAGTGGGGAATGCATGTCTCGCTATCTACCCAGCTGTCCTCCTCCGTCCTTCCTCAACCCCACATCTAGCTCCCCTCAACCTATCACCCACAATCGCAACATGAAGCACGAACGCGCAACGCTCCCCTCAACTACTTCGAGTAACTCTTTCTGGCACAGCGAGCCTAACGAGTTCTTGATCGGACACCGTACTACCGAAGAGCTTCCCGCCAAAGCTGATATCGTCATCGTTGGAAGCGGTATAACTGGGACATCGGCTGCTAGGTATCTCGCCGAAGACAAGAGGGCCAAAGGCAAAAGCATCGTACTTCTCGAAGCCAGAGAAGCATGCTGGGGAGCTACCGGCAGAGTGAGTCGGGATATTTCATCGATGACTCGATAGACCAACGAGCGACTTGAATTCCTATTGCATTGAATATCATGCGGAGATACAACGCTAAAGATGACTGGCTGATCATATCCTCAGAATGGTGGCCACTGTCAACCCCTACTCTTCGACCGTAGCGCCGAGGTGGCTGCGTTCGAAATGAAGAACGTTCACGCAGTTCGCTCGTATATCAAAAAGAACAACGTCCCTTGTGAATGGCGGGACGTGTCTGGATGCCGCTCCTTCTGGACAGAGGACGTGATGAGCGAGGCCGAGAAGGAGCTTGCGCGTCTTGAAAAAGTGGCTCCGGAGTTGAGGAGTTTGGTAACCATCATCCGTGACAAGGAGGAGCTGAAGAAGCATCGAGTCTCCCCTGAAGCGGTAGGAGCGACACTCAGCCAGGGCGCTGCGAGTCTGTGGCCTTACAAGTTGGTCGCATTTACCCTGGAGCAACTTGTCAAAGCGGGACAACTCAATCTACAGACCACAACTCCAGTCAATGAGATCACATCCGCGGATGGTAAGCATACGTTACATACCAACCGCGGCACTATCAGCGCGAAGAACGTCATTCTTGCTACCAACGGCTACACGTCAGCCCTTCTTCCTCATTTCGCTGATCTCATCGTTCCCGTCCGCGGTGAGATGTCAGCCCTCCTGCCTCCCAAAGGAAACACGATTCTCCCCGACTCGCATGGTATGGTAGCGGCTTTAGGTCAACCGGCTAGCAATGACGACTACCTCATTCAAAGGCCGTTTGAAGGTGTACCAAACCCCCGCGGACATCTCATGTTTGGCGGCGGCCGCGGAGCGGGTCACCTCCCTGCCATTGGTGTATCAGACGATAGCATCATCGATGAAGACTCAGCAGCATATCTCCGCAGCGCACTTCTAAAGGTCCTCGAGCTTGACGGACAGACAGAAGGTCTGACTGAGCTTAAGGCAGCTGGTCAATGGACAGGCATCATGGGCTACAGTATGTGTCCTTTCTACCTCTCATCCGTGCTTCTGCTGATACGTCATAGGTCGTGATGACCACCCTTGGGTTGGTAAGGTGCCAGACCGGGACGGGCTGTGGCTTTCTGGCGGATACACAGGACACGGTATGCCAAACACAACACTTTGCGGCAAAGCAGTTGTGGATATGCTACTTGGAGAAGAGGAAGGCCACGAACTCAACACCCTTCAAACACAGATGGTCCAGAGTGGCGACATTCCAAGCAGCTATATCTTGACTAAGGAGAGGATCAAGCAAGCTAGAACGCTACTTACCGTTCAACAACAGGATGAGCAAGGCGTTCGCTTGAGTGGTATAGTTTAGACATGGTATGCAAAGAGATCGATACATGCCAATTCATTCGTGATCCGTCATACAACACTCAGACTTTGAAGTCTCTTTGCAGTTTCACGCCCTTCCACGTCTGGGAGCGAGTCAGCTTATATTCTCGTTGTACAGCATTTACGGCGGTCTGCCAAGTGCGCCCTATGGGCATCCCCGCCAAAGCTGACTAATACCAAGGCCTACCTCTATTCACACTAGGTCGGGCGGGACATTCCAAGGTCTCTAGATACAGTCATAAACCTCACTGTACCGAGTGTCACATTTGACAGACCTGCACCATCTAACCTTTCTGAACACCTTCATTGAGAGTACTTCCGTTGTACCCATACGCAAACTAGACACCGTTTATCATGTCCGCTCCTAAATTGCCAAAGAACTTTGGTGTCGTACTGTTCCCGGGTTTCCAACTGCTCGACGTTTGTGGTCCTCTGGATGCCCTCAATGTGCTCTCAAACTCACACACTATCAATCTGTCCATCATCGCCGCGACCCGAGACCCCGTAGGAACGCAACACGCCCTGCAGGACCAACAGGGCTCGAGCTTCGACCAGCGTATTGTACCTACGCACACTTTCAACGATGCTCCCAAGGATCTAGAGGTCCTGATTATCCCCGGTGGCTTGGGTAACAGAATCGATGACAACATGAAGCCGGTGGTTGAGTACCTGTCTTCGCTAGGCTTGGACTCTGCATCACCGAAGCATCTGAGGGGTGATATCAAATGGATCTTGACAGTGTGTACTGGGAGTGAGATCCTAGCTAGAACTGGTGCTCTGGATGGCAGGAGGGCAACGACTAACAAGAGGGCTTTCAACCAGGTATACATTTAAATATGCATCCTATAGGCTTTTGAGTACTAACGGGATGCTTCAGGTCAAAGAGAAACACCCCAACGTAAACTGGGTGGCCAAGGCGAGATGGGCAGTGGACGGAGAATTCTGGACAAGCTCCGGCATCTCTGCAGGTATCGACCTGACCTTTGCTTGGATGAGCGAGGTGTTCGGAGAAGAGACCGCGTCGTACGTTGCTGATCGAAGCGAATACGAAAGGAACACCGACCCAGATAATGATCGGTACGCAGAGCGATGGGGTGCTGTTTAGGTTGGTGGAATCATGCCACCACTGCCAGCTCAACACTTGAACCAATGCAGATTTTTTGTTGTCCGTCGATTCAGGACACTGCTTAATGAAGTAACTAGATGTATTTAAAATTCCTGATTTGCTGACTGATGTCCGAAGTACGACCCTTTTGGTTTCTCATGGTCAGTGTTCATACGAAGTCCGACGCGCAGTCCAATGTCCTTCAAGAACACCAAATCAACTCAAGATTAACGGAAAATGAGTAATCGACAGCTTTGGCTGAACTCCATGACGAATCTGGGATAAAGTGTCGAAGCTCCTTCGATTTTTCTTCCACCACAACAATCTACATTCACTCTTCAGCATCAACAACATCAACAAAATCAACAAAATCAACAAAATCAACAAAATCAACAAAATCAACAAAATCAACAAAATCAACAAAATCAACAAAATCAACAAAATCAACAAAATCAACAAAATCAACAAAATCGACGAAATCGACATGGCACCAATCAAGGACTCAATCGTTGCAATTGTTCTACTCTTCGTCGCAACAGCTGTCGCTGCACCGTTTCCAGGCGCTTCTACCAATGCAAACGATCCCTCCTGCGCACCCGGAGGAAACTTCGACTTGAAATCGTTCAACCTGCAGCTGCCCACTGGTAGCGCCGGCAAAGTTGACCAAATCACTGGCTCCAAGCTCTCCGGATGTGATGGCTGGTCATCATCAAAATACTTTTACACCTCTCCGTCCGGTGCCTTGGTTATGAAAGTGCCTTCGCGCTCTGAATGCGTAACCACGCCGAACAGCAAGCACTGCCGTACCGAGCTGCGAGAAGCCTCACCAAGGTCTTGGGACCCCAAGAAGAATGTGAATCTTCTGAAAGCAAAACTGTCGGTGCCCAAGCCAGACAACTCAAAGTACGGCACCGTGGTTGGGCAGGTGAAGGTCGACGACAGCATCTCAAAGAAACCCGTAGCGGAGCTGTTCTACAATCGCTCCGGCACATTGACCATCGGTGTTTCCCAGATTCCGGATGTCAGCAGCCTCAAGATGACTGAAGTGGGGCGTGTCGACGTGGGCAAGACTTTTCAATATGAACTGAGGTACGAAGGAGGTAAGCTCAGCCTGCAGATCGACGGTGGAGAGAAGAAGATCATGAGCATTGGGAAGCTGAGTAGCCCAAAGAGCTACTTCAAGGTCGGCAATTACAACCAAGGAAGCGAGCCGAGCGAGGTGGTTTTCTACGACATTAAGGTCACGCATGGCTGAGGTCCATTGTTATGGTGAGGAGAATAATCGCTCTGGTAGCGATCAGGTTGTTTTTGTAAGATATATTGATGTTCGCACGTTGTTCCGTAGTCAAACTTGTTATACTCTAGCCATCTGAGCAAATGTTGTAGAAGATGTTTGCATATCAAAGAGCCCAGTGTCTGCGCGTTTGTCTGAACCGAGTCCAGCGTGGATATAACGACGTATTGGTGACTGTCAAGCTGAGAGACACTTACCGGGAGACTTCTTCCTGCATCTGAACTTTATCAGTGATAGGTACTCTATGTCGATTCGAATGTTGTGCTCCTCGTGTCACCTCGATCCGTCCTCTGCCAGTTCGGCGCTTTGAACCCATTTAATCATTCTCGCATGTAATCTCATCGTAACTAATCTGTCTTACTGACCCGACAAAGCTTTGGAGAATAGACGGTCAGACAACCCTGACCGCAACCGGCCGTTGTGACTGTCGCATGCGCTTGGCAGTCTGTTAGTAAGTGAAGGACGATGGATGACGTAATGCTCGGTCATCAGCCGCAGCTTCCGCAACGCTGTCGCATATAGATGTGACACTGTTGGATACTCCTGCCGTGAACTAATATAGCCAATTGCCCTCAAGCAGAGATGTCTGGGTCATACACCGATGATACTAGCGCGGGGGAGCGCGGTGCATTCCAGCTACGTCCTCGCCAGGACCCAGGTGAGGGCTCAGAGCCCAAGAAAGAGAGCGTTGAAGACGACACGGTCAATCCGAAGAATCAGAGGCTGGCTTCTGGAAGCGGAAATGGACCGACAGATAGACGATCTGCGACAGGGTACATGCCGATTGAAGACTATGGACTAATTGGGAACTTGAGGACGTGTGCTATGGTCGCCACAGATGGTGGGCTCGACTACATGTGTTGGCCCAACTTCGACTCACCTTCAGTGTTTTGTCGGATCTTGGACAAGGACAAAGGCGGCCACTTTACTATACATCCGAACCACGAAGACCTCTGTACAACAAAACAACACTATTTGCCCGGAAGCAATGTCCTCCAAACCCGCTATCTGCAAGAGGAGGGTGTGATGAATGTAGTGGATTTCCTGCCGCGACCGAATGATAAGAGCATGGACGCGCAGTACCATACTCAAGTTCTTGCCAGTAAACATACCGGAGAAGTACCCGAACGAACAGATTTGAGAAAATGGTTGGTACGCAGAGTCGAGTGCATGCGTGGAGAGATCGACGTGAATGTTGAGGTTCGTCCAGCCTTCAGTAAGTTCATGAAAGTTCGTTCTTTTATGCTCCGCTAATTACCCTGTAGACTATGCACAAGATGAGCATACGACCGAGATTCTCAACTACGGCGCCCAGGGAGAGCATGATCAGAGAGTTGTGTTTAAGTCGAAGAATTTGTCCCTGCAGCTGAACACAACCATCGATTGTGGCGAAGACGATACAGCTTGTCCCAGGATCGTTTTCGTGAAAACACCGGGATCTGAGCTTGGAAGTGCAGTCACCACTAACTTCCGCTTGTCTGAGGGCCAAGCGGTTTCATTCATCTTGAGAGATGCTGATGATCATACCCCGGATCACATTGATACTGATCTGGTAGATAAGCTGCAAATGGACACTGTCAAATTCTGGAACAGATGGATTGGCGCTTCGAAGTATAATGGCCGCTGGGATGGTGTCGTGAACAGGAGTCTTCTAATACTCAAGATGCTCATCTTCGAACCCACGGGTGCCATTATTGCTGCGCCAACTTTCTCATTGCCAGAGGACTTTGGAGGTAAGATTCCGGCTCAAATGTTGTAAGTTCACTGGCTGACTACGAACACAGGTACACGTCAGTGGGATTATCGTTTCAGTTGGGTGCGGGACTCATCATTCACAATCTACATCTTCCTCCGTATGGGCTACAGCTATGAGGCAGAGGCTTACTCAGGCTTCATGTTCCAGCGTATTGACGAGGCTAAGGAACGTAAGATGAATGGCCTACCTATCATGTTCACAATCAAAGGGGAAACAGATATTCCGGAGATCGAACTCGGCCATTTGGAAGGCTACCGGGCTAGCAAACCGGTCCGGATTGGCAACGGCGCAGCGTTCCACGTACAGCTCGATATATATGGAGAGTTGATGGATGGCATCTACCTTCTCAATCGGTTCGGGAAGCCTGTTACCTACGACCAGTGGCTGCGTGTACGGGAGATTGCAGACTATGTCTGCGGAGTGTGGAAGGAAACAGACATGTCAATCTGGGAGGTTCGCGGCCAGAAGCAGAACTTCGTGTACAGCAAGATTCAGATGTGGGTTGCTATTGACAGAGCCCTGCGCCTTGCAGACAAACGGGGCTTCCCCTGCCCCCACCGCCAAGAGTGGTACAAAGTACGCGATGAGATTTGCGAAGAGGTTATGGACAAAGGATACAACAAGGAGCTTGAATGCTTCATTCAGAGTTATGAAGCTGACGACGTTCTGGATTCGGCTGTGCTGATAGCGCCACTCGTTTTCTTCATTGCACCTACGGATCCTCGATTCCTGAAGACTTTGGATCGTATCTTGAAAGCGCCAGAGAAGGGCGGCCTTACAAGCACAGGCCTCGTCTACCGGTACAATACCCTAAAGAGCGACGATGGCGTTGGTGGCCGAGAGGGTGCCTTTTCAATGTGCACGTTCTGGCTCGTTGAAGCTCTTACACGGGTAAGTACAGTAGGCTTTTGGCTATAACCACTAACGTGAAGCAGGCGGGCGCCTATGATGACAAATATCTGAGGAAGTGAGTACTCGTGTTCTTCGAGCATACTGCAACTGACGCAAAAAAGGGCTGTCGACATATTCGAAAACATGCTGAGCTTCGGTAATCACCTGCATATATTTTCCGAAGAGATTGCGCGCTCTGGCGAACAGCTTGGAAACACTCCGCAGGCTTTCAGTCACTTGGCCTTGATTTCGGCAGCTTTCAACTTAGACAAAACGCTGGCAACGCAACACAGACGGTAGATTCGTCATGCTTTTGTTGCAAAATCTGAACATGAATTTACCTGACGTGGATGTGTCACATGTGGTGATCCAGACAAAGCCAGGCGATCATCTAGCTGCAAGCAGCGGGCCGCGGGGGCGCCACGATCGTGTCTGGCAGGGCGACCCCCTGAGCTAACTGGCTGTTCGTTGTCCCCATAGCGCGCCCGCCACATTCTAGGCAAGTGTCCAGCCAAATGTGTTGGAAAACCTGCAGCAAGGGCGTCATTGTGCGGCTCCCGACATAGACTCATCCTAACCTAGAATCCTGCATTCCGCATCAAATTTACCACTTCCCGTTCGCAACAGCACTCCCGTCTTGCCACTCCTGTTGCGCATTGTCAACCAGCATACCTCACAAACCTACCCTCTGCACAAGCGCCTTCAAAATGTCCGACTCAGAGACCAGCAGCGTCTCCAACATGTCCATGCCACCCACATCGCTCAACGGCTGCCTCGTCCGCGACTTTGGGTACCAGACAACATCAGCACGCTATCACGGCGACCACTCGCCCCAGAACAATCCTGATCACATCATCGACTACGACACGCCCGAGCACTACGAGCGCGCGATGGAGAATGCCAGGAAGAGCCATGCCATCTACATGGGCCAGGTGCCCGAGAAGAAGGGAATCAAGCGCGAAGGCTGGACGAGGTTCATTCCCCGCAAGGACATGCTTCCCAAGAAGGGAAAGTGGATGCCCTGGTAGAAAGAACGATTTTCGAGCCGGCAGGTGCGAACCGTGACGCCCTTTCGGCCCGCCGCTTCTGACAGGCGGCGCGACACACGACTCTCGGGCAAATCTGCAGAGACCCGCGAGACCCGACGGTTCTCGACGTACACACTACGCGTTGCGACGCGCGCGTTTCTGTGGACCGCCCGGTGCGAGGCACCCACTTCCGAGTCTCCACCTCCACAGCGTCTGAAACCTCTGTTGCGCGCTGCCAGCCGTCGGCACGCATATCGACCACCAACGCCGCCACTGCTGTTGTACTGCATACCCACTGTTTTCTAGCGTTTGATCTTTCGCGCAACTTCGCGTGTGTTCTGGACCATCTTGTTTGTTATATATACCCGGTCCATCCATTCACCAGATACCCGGATCTTTCTTCCCATTTGTACTTCGTGGAGCGTGTGCGATAGATAGCTGTAATGATAATGCCTGCATCTTGATCACCAAATACACCACGTTGTGAAACCGCAGACATGAGGTGGTGCCAAAGTGCTTTAGATTGGGTATGTACAATAGCTGACATTTGTCTTATATGTGGTCTTATATGTAGTCTTCTCCATCTATGGCTTCTCCGCCTGATCTCCCTTGTCTGTTGCGTCGTCCTTGTCCGTGAACATCGTCTCCTGCGCACTCCACAACTCACTGTACAATCCGTCTCTATCAATAAGCTCCTGGTGCGTACCCTGCTCCGCCACCCCGCCCGCCTTCAGCACAATGATAACATCGGAGTCGTAGATGGTGCGCAGCCGGTGTGCAATAAAGACCGAAGTGCGTTTCTTCTCGCGCACGAGCGAATTGATGTGTGTTAGAAGGGCTTGCTCGGTGTGCGTATCGAGTGCGGATGTCTGCCACATGTTAGTAAAAGCGTTTCAGTGGAGATATAAAAAGGGGAGAAACGTACTGCTTCGTCGAAGAACAGGAGTGGTGGGTCTTTCAGTATGAGCCGTGACACAGCAAGCCGCTGTTTCTCGCCGCCGCTGATCATCAGACCGCGCTCGCCCACCATGGTATCGTATCCGTCTGGGAACGCGGCGATGGTGTCGTGCACGTGCGCGCGTTTGGCAGCCTGGATGATTTGGTCCTGGCTCGCTTCCATGTTGCCGTATTTGATGTTGTGGCCGATGGTGTTGTTGAACAGCGGAGTGTCCTGGGGAACGACGCCGATGGCCTTGCGCAAGCTCTCGAGCGACACGTCGCGGATATCCTGGCCATCGATTGTGATGCGGCCCTCCTGGACATCGTAGTAGCGGAAGAGCAAACGCAGGATCGTAGACTTGCCGCAGCCGGACGGGCCGACGACTGCGATCTTCTTGCCGGCGGGGATGGTGAGGGTCAGGTTCTTGAGGATGGGTCGGTCGGGACGGTAGCCGAAGGAAACGTTCTCGAATCTGATCTCGCCCTTGGTGAGGGTGAGTGGTTGGGCGCCCGGCTTGTCTTCCACGGCAACGTTGGTCTTTTGTAGGCTGAAAAGGGTGTCCATGTCCAACAGGGACTGGCGTAGCTCACGGTACATGGAGCCGAGGAAGTTCAAGGGAACAGAGAGCTGGAAGACAAGTTGATTCACCATGACGAGGTCGCCAACGGTCATGGTTCCGGTCGCGACGCCATTGCAGGCAAGATACATCATGGCTGTCAGCGCCGATGAGAAGATGACGTTCTGTCCAGAATTGAGAAGAGCGAGAGAGGTGGCAACCTTGATCGAGGCCTTTTCATACGCTGTAAGAGCGGCGTTGTAGCGGCCGACTTCGTACTTCTCGTTGTTGAAGTACTTGACAGCTTCATAGTTGATCAAGGAGTCGACGGCGACAGTTGCCGCCCTGTTGTCAGCGGCATTAGCCTGCTTCCTGAACTTGGTGCGCCACGATGTAGTCAAGATGGTGAATGCTGCATATGTCGCCATTGTGGCGCTCGTAATGAGGGCGAATTGCCAGCCATATTGGTACGTCTTGGAACAATCAGCAGATGTTTTGACAGTCGACACGACCTATTGCTTACCAAGATGCCGCAAACCAAGGATATCTCCAAAGCTGTGGGGAGTATGTGGAACACCATGGATGACAGTAAGAAGCTGATGGCTTTAGTGCCACGGTCAATGGCTCTTGTCAGTCCTCCAGTTTGTCTCGTCAAGTGGAAGTTCAGATCCAATCTCAGCAGGTGCTCATAGACACTGCAAGCTACCTTGCGAATGGCCTTCTGTGCTACACTAGCAAACACAGCATTACGAAGTTCCTGGGACACAGTTGCACCGATCCTGGTTAAGCCGTCTACTCGCTTTAGTCTTGCTTGTGGCAGAATGAATTGGTATTGCTTGGTGTAGCTTACAGGCCATGATCATGGAGCCTGCAACGGTAGTCGCAGTGCCTCCAACAGCAGCAAAGTCTATGTTCATGGAGTCCACAATACTCTTAAAGTAGAAGGGCACCTGCACGTTGAGCAGTTTGGCACTCAAGAGCAATGCTACACTCAATCCAACTCTGAATCGAGTTCCATAGTTGTCTTTCGGCCAAAGATACTTGGTCATCTCCTTTATAATGGTCCAGTCTGCCTTGCGCTGTTCCTTGTTGCTCAAGTTCCTTTCACCAAGCAGTGGATCAATGGCCTTCTCTACCTTCGCTTTCGTTATGGCTTTGGCAGAGTCTTCGGTGGGTTTGGCAGCTTTGGCGGCCTGCAAGGCTTGCTGTGAGTCTGGCGCGGGCCGCTGGCCGTGAACATCTTTCCTGTGCAGCGGCGAGGAGGTGAAGACGCGGGTGGAGTGGTAAAGTGGGTGCGGGCGCAAGAGCAGGCTCAAGCTCGAGGGCTGAAGGCCCGGCCGGCTGGCGGCACGGGCAAGCGGTGGTATCAGCATGGCGAGCTTCACATGTTCGGGTCGCGGAGCTTCAGGTATGAGGATAAGAGCTCTAGCAAGCCCCAATGGTGTGCACGGAGAGCACAGTGATGGTGGGATGCCTCGGCCATCTTGCGTGCTTGAGCACCGGGAAGTCTAGCTTGCCCGCGTGTTTGCAGCGTTTGATTCGACGTCGCCCTCAGCCCTACCGGTATGCGCTGCAGGCCGCAGCTCCAAGCTATTGCTTCGCACGTCCAACACCGATTGCACGCACGCCAATTGACAGGCACAGCCATGCTCCGCTCGGCTGCCTCGCCCTGGAGAAGTGTCGCACACCGCGCCGGTGCTGCGACCGCGCGAAGACGATGCATCAACATTTCCGCGACGCACACGTCCACCGAGCCTGCACTCGACCAGCGCACAAACGTCGATGCTGCGGCAACACCAGTGGTCTCGCCTGGTATGCACTGATAACACGGTCTGGCGCATATAGTTGCTGACCATTGCTAGATGCACATTTCGAGGTCATCGGCACGCCCTTCTCCCTCCTCTCCGTCTCCCTCTCCGCGTCGCAAACCCTCTTCACCCGCCGTGGCACCCTGATCGGTTTGAACGGCAAGTCGGAAAACACCTTATCGACCCTCTCCTTCCTCGAGCCGTTTAGGCGCGCGCCCGTCGGCATTCCCTTCCTCTACCAGAAGATCTCCTCCACCACCCCAGTCACAGCATTGGTCTCCACCAAGTCGCCGATATCTAGTATTGTCACAGTCAACCTTGATGGCAGGCAAGACTGGGTCATCAGCCAGAGGCAGGCGCTGCTGGCCTGGACAGGCCACACCCTCAGCTTGAAGCCTCAGTACAACGTGAAGCTGGGGCTGGCGCATTGGGGCAACACATACATCACCGGACGTGGTCTGCTCGCGCTCGCTGGGAGTGGGCAGATTTACCAGGTGCAGTTGAAGGCTGGCGAGAGCTATGTTGCGCATCCAGCGTAAGTCATATTTTGGAAGAATTCCTGGTCTCCTGTAAACTCACACAATCCAGCAACGTTGTCGCATACACAGCATCAGCGACACCGCCAATGCCTTTCCGATTCAAGTCGTCAAACTTCCGCCTCCAGGTCCCTGATCTTGGGTTCGGGTCTTTTGTGCAGAACGCCAAGTTCTTCAGAATCATGAGCCAAACAACAACATGGCGTGCCCTCTCAAGAACGTGGTATACTCTCAAGACCTGGATGCGGCGATCAATCTGGGGAGATAGGGTATGTCATGTCTACTCTGACACAGTTACGTTGTGCTGACAATGTTCAAGTTATTCCTCCGCTTCGAGGGGCCAACAACAATGCTGCTTCAGTCTCGTGCCTCGCGCATCAGCGACGTCCTGACATTGAAGGATGTCGACGAGATCGCCGAGAGCCAGCCTGGCGCTGTACAGGATGCCGTGGACCGCAAAATCAAGGAGGAGATCAAGCAGATTGGTGCAGGTACCACCGCACCCGGAGCTCAGGAGAGCTCTGTTGGTACCGTGAAGTACGCAACAGTCAGGAGTGGAAAAGCTTCTTTTGAAGGCCCCAGTACACCCGCATCATAGGGTGCTTTGTACAATATGTAAAGCATTTTGGCACTTTCTTGATGGTGCAGCAGCATTCGACGGGCGAAAGGTTTATGTCTGCGTATTCGGTCTCAGTGTCGCCGTTGTTGTGGCACAAACATCCTCATCTGGAGTTCCTACTACCAGATGACTTGCTTCAAATTGAATCCTGGAAATGAGCATCCAGGGCCTTGAAATTGCAATAAGCAGCTCTTCTGGGCCTACGTCATCCCGCCAACTTGCAGATCCCCCAGCCTTCGTTGCACTCCAACACCAGAAGAAGCAGTGTACAACTGCCGATCACATCACCTCTCCCACGAGATAGCATTCACATTGTTCGCTCTAATCTCCAATTGATACCCCCACCATATCCCACCACCCACCCCTCCCCCCGTACACCCCCCACAATGTGCATCATGCGAACCTACGAAACCCGCGGCCCCGGCGTCCTCGACCCGCCACCGCGCCGGGGAAACTACACCTCGCACCCGCCCGCCGGCGTGATGCGCCTGCCGCGCGAATGGCGGCGCTCGGCCTCGTACAGCGACGAGGGGCGGTATGTGGTGGAGCACCACCACCGGTTCGTAGCACTGTGATCGTAGCCTGTGTGGTTGGCATGCTGATGGGTCGCAGACGGTCGCAGCCACTTGCTGTCGAGTACTATGAGGAGCCGCGGGCGAGTAGGCGTAGCGTGAGTCGCTCGAGGCGGGTGAGCGATGTGCGGAGGAGTGATGTGCGGAGAAGCGACTTGGAGTTTCGCGAGCCGAGGCGGAGTACGGGGCATGTTGATGAGAGGGTGGTGAGGAGGGAGGTTAGCCGGACGCGGTACTGAGAGGCGGCGGCGCTGTTTGTTTGCATGTGGTGTGAAGGTGCGAGCATGGTCTGTTTGAAGCGAACATAGAGCGCATAATTTTTGGTTTGATTAGACAGTACAGTCGTATATTTGCATTGGATTTATAGAGGTATCAAGTGGGCTATGCTCTGCTGCTAGGAACACCAGAGAGCTGCCATTCCTAGCCTGTATGCTAAACACCGTACTCCTGACAAGTCAAGTTGATGTGGCCAGCTGACCAACTGCCGCCCGCTCCATTTTGTAACACAATCTGCAATGCGCCTCCAGTGAGAAAGAAACAGTAGTGCCCGGTATCAGGCTGAGGCTAGAGCCAGGTCGATGGCAAGAAGGGTAGTAATACATGGACGCTTCCGCGCGCCGAAGGAGCTGCTCACTGTGGATGCTCCATCTTAGGTTGCTGCTGCATAGGGTTTTGGCCCCAGTTCTGCTGCAGACCTGCGCTGTTGGGCGGTTGTGATGTATTCGAGTTCATCCGTTGTGGGCCGCCAGGCGACTGCCTTGCTGCAGGCTGGCCGCCCTTCCACCCGGGGAAAAGGCCTTGCAGTCTGAGATATAGCTTGCCAAGCTCCTCGTGTGTTGTGGGCGCGGACATTATCGCAGGCCCAGGTTGTACGGGCTGTCCTGGCTTGGGCACCTTCTCGGCATTCTGTGCCAGATAAGAGAGGTTGGCTTGTAGGCGACGGACATAGCTGGTGAGTCAGCAAAGGGGCAAAAATCGCGACAACAAAAGCACTCACTCGATGTACTCTTTGGATGGCTGTTGTTTGCCCTCCTCGGCCACTCCTATTTGGCCGCCCTTGCCCTGAGTCTGGAGGCTGGTAGCCTCGTTGATGAGTATGCTGTTGATCTCAAGGAGAACCGCGACGCGCTCGTGGGCTTTCGCCGGCGTGACGGGCGACACAGGCGACTGTGGCACAGCCTTGATGGGCGTTTGCGCCTGCGCAGGCTCACTCTTGACCTGAGATGAGAGGTTGAAGTTCATGGGCTGCTGCTGACCGTTGGACGACGGCAGGGTGGAGGGCGACTGCTGCGGCTGAGGTGTGGCATAAGGCTGGCCTTGGTTACTCAGGGCCGGCGAGGCGGTCTGGCGGTTCTGGGCGAACTGCTGATGGGCCGGCGACGGCAGCGCCTGTGAGTAAGGCGCGCCCGAATACGGGTTGTGCTGCTGCTGCTGCTGCTGCTGTTGCTGCTGCTGCTGCTGTTGCGCTGCTCCACGGCGGTCAGCGTGCTGATAAGCAGACCAAACATCGAGCCGCAAGGCGCAAGCCGCAGGCCTCAAGCCAGGCCCGGGTCAGGGCACGTCAGGGCAGACGCGAGCGCGAGCGCGACACAAGGTCACAAACGGCAGGCGCGTACCGCTGCTGGCGGCGACGGGACGTCATTGCGTATTGAGTGCTGACATACCTCGTGCTTGGTGAAGCTGGCCCTGGGACATGGCAGCTCCAGGCTGCATCATGGCGCCACTGTGCATGCTGTTAGGGAACGAGGCGCCTTGGCCGCCATTGGGGAGACCGCCGTAGGAGAACGCGTTGTTTGATTGCGCGAACCGAGCTTGTGGATCCGAGTTGAAGAACTGATTCTGCGGGGAATGTGTCGTAGTTTGGCCAAGGTGGGCGGCAGAGGTGGAGAACCCAGCAAAGGTGGAAGGATATTGGCTAGATTGGAAATCCATCGGACACACTGCGACTCATTGGGTCGCACAGCTGCGTTTAGATTGGATTTGTGGTGAAAGAGATAACGTGCGGTGAGAGGGACGTCCGGCGCTCGCAGATTTGCGCGCGCGCCACCCTCGGCTGTGCGCAGGCCGCACCTTCAGCATCTTGAATAGCAACATCACGGTCGCCGCTCGCGGTTTTCAGCGCATCGCATCGTGGGAACGGCAGCAGGACTGAGAGTAGCCTCACCGGCGCATTACCGCGGAGACAACCGGCAACATGTCTTGTCACGGTCGATTCCACGCACATCAGCTTTGACCACCAACCCTACAATGATCCCTGTCATTCAGATGATCCACCTTTGACATGCTTCCAGATCCGATCCTACGGTCCGTCGCTCACTGGCTGCCTGCCGTTGCTACCAGTCACTAGCCTGTGCCCTTCGAGACAATCGACGGCCAGCTGCATCAAGGACAGCCGATTTTTGGCCAGTGGCTGCGTGCCCCCACAGAGGTCGAAAAGATCTCAAGCGGGCGTGACGTCTCCGCTGCCGTGTGACTGCCTTACTGGTAATCCTTCCAAGCGTGTAAGCGAGCTCCAGCTCATCACGCGGGTGCTGCTACGGGCATTGACGCAAAAGGGCCCGTTGGTCCAGCCAAGGCTCGCGGTTACTGCGTACTAGCGGATGTGGCTGCAGGAACCTGGGACATCAACCTGGAAACTTCCCTTCTAGGCTCGATGCGAGAGGGACGGCGTAATGATCCGCGCCGGGCCTGAGGGCATGGTTGCAAATGCAATCTAGGTAAATTGACTTACGAAGCGATGCTGGCGCCGAACAGTACAACTCTACGCTGTGGCATGATATTGCTGGTTAAGACGGTGTTTACTGCCCCTTTCGGGCCTGCTCTCACAGAAAGTTTGGAGTGCAATGCAATGTTCAAAGAAAGGACAAACGTCAGCCGCGATTTTGATCGGTGAGGGTATGTAGGTTCGGGTCTACTAATCATCCGAAAGCAGTCTCATTTCACATGATCGTATTAGTAGCTTGACTTCAGGGCGCCACCTTATCACTGCGTGTTGCTTCTGCTCCCGAGTCGAGCCCTTGTGCCCGAAACTGCTCTGTTGCTATACCATTGAGGTACTAGCAGTCTCAGGATGTACGTCTTTGTCAACGTCGACTCTAATGGAAGGTTTCTGGCAGACTGAAATATACATTCCTTTCCTGCCCGTGAAGCTTTCTACACCGTCTTGTATGTCTACTTGGCCACATGCTCAGTTCCGCGTGACAGGAAGCACGCTACCATACGACTATTTGTATAGTCTACCACGAATTCAGACATGCAGGTGAGTCTCAAAAGTGACTAAAAGGTTGACAACAATATACGCCTCAGGGAAGCGCACGGCTCGAGGTAAGAACTGTGAAGCGTATTGCGCAAGATCTACAGCATGGGGCATGAATGGAAAGAAACAATCGCTTTGATACATTCACGTTGCGCACACACTCTCTGTATTGTGAAGACATAGTCTGAGGTTGTGGGTTGAAAAGTCAGTGAGGCTGCATCTTCATCCAACTGATGTCTCTTTCAGAAGAGTGACAACCTGACCGCGCACAAATTTTTTAGAGCACTTCGGAGTTCGGCGAGAGTCGCAGATATATTAGATGTCTCTGTAAGCAAACTTCCGTGTCCTCCAACTCGGTGTCAGATTTGAGCTGTGCTCAGAGACACCGTCGATACTCAAATATCATTAAGTAATAGGGATGACCACGCGGGAAGGAAAGTCTGCGAGTAAGAAGTGTGCGTGGAATTTCCCACGTCTTCAAAGGCATTCGGGTCTATTAAGAGCTTTGATAGAGTTTTAAGTGACTTGCAGCCATACGGTATTCCGTTAGAGATAACGCAACGACAAGTGCGGATACAGTAATTGCGGAACGATGAAATTAAAGATAAGGGTATAGCTTTGAAAGCGGAGAGGGTGTTTCCCTGCCCTGAAGTTGGGGTATCATGATGAAGAACTCCAACGAAAACGCCGTTGAACCTGTTGTCGTCCTTGCAGTGTCAGACTAAGCTGAAAGAAATGTCGCTGGTCATCAGTCAAAACTGAATCGCTGGTCATCAGTCAAAACTGAATAACGTTAGTAAAGTCGTTATGATCTGTTATCATGCAAGTACGTACACCTTTGACATGATCAATGGTCTTCCACTGCGGCCAGCTCTCGCTTGAACTTGGCTCTTGACCACAGTGAACCACTCAAGTAAGCAGCCACTTGCTCGTCACAAATTTTCTGCAAACAAGCATCTGACTCTTTTGCTCTCAACCCCCTTAGCGTATCATGAGTAGGACTTACTCTCCTTCTCAATATTCGTCTTGGCTGAGGTTCTGGTGTGAGTATTGGTGTGTACCATACGGTCGATGGAGATGTGCATGTCAACTCCAGCGAACGCCTTTGGCAGTAAGGTGAAGTTGGCGCTGAGCTCAAAGGTGTCGACATTGATGAGACCGAAGAGGATGTGCTGCGCCGCGATGACTGGAGAGAAGACGTTCGTGATATGTTTGCTGAGGAGACAGAAGGTATATAGATCGGCGATTGCGGTTCCACCACTGCATAAGCTGCGCAAGTCGGAGGCAGCACTGTTGGTCTGCTGAAGAGAGGTTTAGGCACAAGTTCCACCTCAATATCGAAGGCATCTCCGTACGGTAACGGTGGAAGTGGTTTGTCGTAGAAGTGATTTGTTGGTGCGCGACATACAGTTCTGATACCCAGGTTGGAACCCATGGTGTACTGAATTCGTATATTCTTCTTGGAAACCAAACCTAATAAAGATTGGCGATCACGTACTCTTGTTAATTGTGCATGTAACACAGCATGCATGAAAGCTCAGACAAACCTACAGACAAACCTCGTCGCGTGGGCGCATAATGGGCTATAAACAAAGAGGCGGGTCGCCTGCCACCGACGACTGCAACATCCAATGTACAAACAAGTCAGTGGACCTATTTGCTCACCGTGCAGCAACTGGAAGTTCAAGTGGAGCAGAAACAGATCCCTTATTGGGTGCCATGACAAAGTTGGTTGTCAGTAAAAAGCTGGCTGGGACGAAGAGTGTGGCAGTGGCTGGCATCCTGCTGGGATCGCCTGCCCTGCATCACAAGCCGCTCATCAGGGTCTGGAGAACAGCACGATAAGATTCGTTCACATGATGAACTGGCGGGTTTTTGCGACGCGTGATCACCGTTGGGCGTAGAGAAGCTTATGGCTGAAGATGAGTGAGCGTTCGTGGTGGTGTGCAGGAATCCAGCTGCAGACCGCCCAATGTTGGAGCCGACGGCTGCTTCCCGAAATTACGGGCACGTTGTTTGCCCTTCATGATCGCGAGCAACAGTGCCATTGCAAACCGTTGAAGAGCTTCCTTGCTTCATGACGTTCGTCATAATTGCTATGACTTTGTTTCTGTGATACGTCATAAGCAGTGGCTTGCGCACAAGTGGTGGGGCAGGGCCTTGTCTGGAAAGTGGGCTTCAGGTCTCGACCTAGGTAACTCTGGGACACATATGAAAATTGATGAATCCAGGATTGTCTTCTTAAAGAAGTAGAAAAGCTACGCTACGCAAAGTCAATGATCAGAAGTGCTTCTATCCCGCCTGTTCTGTAACGCGAGAGGCATGCAACAGCAGAGCATTAGAGCAGTAGCTTCGAAATCAGTTGTCCTTTTCTCAGTTGTCACAAATGAACTCGACATTTAATTTTTCAGATAACTCGTTCAAGCGTCCACCCATTCGCAGTCAATATTAGTTCGTACGCAACCAGAAACCGAACCATCCTTCAAGTATGTCGTGATATTACAATCATGTATCTTTCCCTATCCGTCAAAACCGTATGCAGTCAAACCGTGACTGCGTCATGCTGCCCAACCATGTAAATGCCAATGAAAAAAAAAGGTGAACGCCTGGTATCGTCTGTACAGTATGCAAGTAGTCATGCGTGAACATTAATCCAGCTCCCCAGGAAACCCTGTCCTCCGTCCCAGCTCCCCCAGGTTACTAAGGGGGATGCCGAAGTCATCTTCCTCCCACTCATCTTCTTCACCACTGGACTCCCAGGAGCCGGGTATATTATTAGTTCGTCGAACACGATAAGTGGAAAAGCGAAAGCCTTTGGAAATGCTTGCTGCTATGCGCAGCATGAGCGACACAAGGTGCTGCGGAGGACCAAGAACAATCTCGCAGGTCTTGCGGACCAGAGCGGTGGCGAATTTCTGATCTGGCTTTTGCCGGGTAGGAAAGCACAAGTTCTGCGGCTGAGGCATTGGAGAAAACGCTCGTCGCGGTGAGGCGCCTGTAAGCTTTCTCATGCGGATCATGTCAGGCGGCGTAGGCACATCCAACGAAGGTTGACCAAGACTGTCTTCATCCGAGTCACTCACCAGTGGAGGGGTGTGAGGTGCAGATGAGGGACGTACGTCGATCAACGGCGTTGTGATCGGCTGTAGTGGTGCGACAGATGCCAAAGCAGCGGACTTTTCGGCGTGATCTGTAGATGTAGCTCGAACAGTGAGCTCTGAAAGGTCACGGCGATGCCTAGCTCGACCCCTCGTATTGTCCTGCTTTGGTAGGCTGGTCGCCCAAGGGTTGAGTATCTCAACCTCAGCATCCAAAAAGGGTGGCGAAGGACTTCGGCGAGCTGTGTGGAACGAGTAGAAGGAGTCTGTACTTGACAATAGACTAGCAGCATCCGTGGAGGGCTTACGCTCGGTCACTACTGGCCGAGTACTAATCTCCTGCACATTGTTTTTCTCTTCATGCTTCGATATTTCTGGGATGCAGCCCATCATGGACACTGATGACAAAGACCTGTCTCTTGTTGCATGTATCGGTGCAGTGACTGAACGTGGGCTTTGAAACAGCTGTGCGCGTTCAGCTACTGACAGCCTCCGTGGGGCTTTTGGTGGCGGTGTATTCTCAAAGACGGTGCCAGGTGTTTCGGGAATAGGTACGTCACTGGCATCAGTGTGAATACTGGACCGATCGTCTTCTTCGTAAGAGGATGTGTTGGCTGATTCAGAACCTTCTTGCAAAGGTGTCGAGGGCCGCGGCCCGTCCTCGGGCATCCACGTCTTGTCCAAGATCCACTTCTTTGCTTTTTGTGTCGGCCTTTGAGAAGGGCGTTTGCGCGGAGGCGTCTTCGGGCGTTCGGGCAGATCAGCTTCGAAACTTCGTGTGAATGGACACTGGGTCTTTTCGTACTGCAAGACCTGGCTTAGCACTGACTTGAATTGCTCGATCTTGGCCTTGTCCTCATCCGTGTCAAAGGGTAGCTCCATGCGATAGTACGAGTCTTGTCTGATTCTAAGTACAAAGACTGACTGTCCGTCTACACACCAGCATTGTGATCGAGGGAAGATGGTGTGCAAGAGGTTGCCAGAGTTCAGGAAGGACACATTGGATGCTGTCACGCGGTAGATGCGCAGGACACCTGTGATCTCGTGTTAGTTGGGAATACGCTCATCATAACATGACGACATACCAACAGCAAGAGTTCGCTCAGTGGGTGTTTTCCAAGCGACATGATTTCCTCCGCTGGTAGCCGAAACGCCTGCAGATGCAAAGGAGACGATCCTTGAGTGCGGACAGACGACCAGCGTCTCTATACCGTCGGCGCTATTCGTTGATGCTGCGGCTGGTGCTGGGCTACTTCTTAATCGAGCAGGTACTGTGAATGAGCGGCGTCCATGGTGCAGCGGAGGCGGCGCGTGTTCTGGAGTTCTCGAGGGAGCCAGCGGGGAGGACATGGTAGTTGCTCATGCATGCATTTCGTTTTCGTTGTGTCGTGCTACGTGTCGCTCGTACAGCACAAGCAGCTATGCAAGCGTCGTACGTGTCTTCCTGTTGTGTTATTTTGTGTTGTTGGCGCTCGAGTCGTTAGGTTGAAGCGGCGTGCCTTGCTCTTCGAACGCTTGGCGCGAGGTATGAGTTTCACGGGATCCACTGCGATTCAGATGTCAATCACAGAAATGACGGGGTCCACACAGGCGATCACCGTTAAGTTAGCCTTTCGGAGCCGAAGTTAGTTACAAGCAACGCGCCGAACGTTTCTATGTCAACAGTCAAAATGCAGACCCATAGCTCTAGTCTGCCTGGACCCTGAGCTGACTGCGTCTTGCCCGGAAGGGGCGGGTACGTCATTGCGCTGCAGCTCCACTGGTTCGCACACTGTGCTCTAGAACGAGTTTGCTTTGCTGTCCTCACCAGTAACATCAACTCACTGAGAGCTCACATCAGCCAAGAATGTCGAACTTCGACCCCAATGCGATCTTGCGTGGTGCGCAATTGACGCTAGTTGGAGGTATGAGGCACTCACAAACAGCGTTGCTGCTTGCAGTATTGACATGTGCTACAGTAAATCGTGCACTCCAAAATCCAGGTCTCTTCACCTCTGACCACTACCGTCAAGCAGCAATCGCTGTAGCTGCTGGAGTCGCTATTCGAATCCTCGTATCAATACCTGTATGTGTAACCCGCGTCTCGAGCACCCCGATGGACACACAGCCGAGAGTTTGGCCCAAACAGACCGCAGGCACTCTCTGTTCCACTCTTCAACTCCTCAAGACAGTCACTATTCCCCTTATCTCTATATCTGTCTACCGAGTATGGTCACTGACAAAGCTTCCACTAGATTGTTGGCGTCAGGATACTACTATGGATCGTCTCTCTGTTCATAGACAGGAACAATGTCACTTGGGACGATAGCGTGATAGATGGACTGCACTTCCTTGAGCATACCGTTCTCCAAGTGCCTTTTTTTCTCATGACCATGATGCGCTATGTCACACCAACCTTGGATCGAATGTAGGTAACAACCCCTCGTATGACGTCTGGTATGCTTACACCATGGTCAGGTTCATGGATTCCCTTCAATGGGTCGACCACACTTATGTGCAGAAGCACAAGTCTGAAGATCCGCACAATCTTCGGGCAATGTACGCGCAGAACCTCGAGCAATACCCCACCCACGCGCCAAAGGACCCGAACGAGAAGAAGAAATCGATAAAAGATACTGTGATATTGATGGCTGTCAAGCAAGGCCGGAAAGCTGGCATCTCATTGGCTGTGTTGGCATTGTCATACCTACCGTATGTTGGCCAGTTTGTGCTGCCTGCTGCCAGTTTCTACACCTTCAACAAGGCAGTAGGGACCCAGCCTGCGATTGCTATCTTCGCAGGCTCTCTTCTGCTGCCACGACGATACTTGGTTTCTTTCTTGCAGGCCTACTTCTCATCTCGTACGCTCATGCGTGAATTGGTATGTTGTATCCCCGCTTTGCTTCAATTGGCCGACATTAACCATTCTTTCAGCTGGAGCCATATTTTGCGCGCGTTCGCTACAACAAGGAGCAAAAGAAACTGTGGTTCAAGGATCGCGCCGGTGTCCTGTTTGGCTTTGGCCTTGGATTCTACGTCTTCGTCAAGATTCCGCTCGTTGGTGTCCTGATCTATGGCTTGGCCGAAGCATCGACTGCATATTTGATCACAAAGATCACTGAGCCACCTCTACCACCAAACGAGGCTGAGAAGTTCAAAGAGGACTCACTTCACTGGAAAAACAAACACGAATTCCTAGAGTTGCCATGGCAGCACATGGATGCATACAACGTCAGCATGCACAAGCCTGGCTTCAAGTCGGATGTTCGCCAGACACCGCGAAAGACATTCAGCTAGACATTCTCTGTTACCAAAAAGGAAGCTGCTTAGGACGAAGCTCGCTTGGAACCGAGCTTGCTATTACTGTAGTGCCCCGGCCAATCGCCAGGAGGCAGTGACAGGAGCCCGTATTGGGCGCTTGAGGCGTCGCTGTGACAAGCGCGTCGACTATTGAACCCTTAGCTGCCGCTGTATGACGATGACATGGGAATTGGAGGACGTGGCTTAACCCCGTCAACTCCACCTGCGGGGCAAGCTTCTTGCCAGAAGCAGTACTTAGCTCAGTACAGCTGTTCTACCCGACGATACGTAAACATTCCCTATCAGCTATCACCAAGCTTATCAAGCTCCTTGTACACGGAGCAGCTGAGCCGCCCGAGTCCGGTTCCCGTCTCCTCGGAACGGGTACGGTATCGAGATAGCAATTGATGAATGTAACTACCCCGCGCCCATGATTGTTATAGCCGTTATACCCCTCTGAACGTGAATTTGGTCCTCGCACCCACTCATTGCTTCAATCTATCTATTCACGCTTCCAATCATCGCCTACTAAGCTTCTCTAATCATTGTCATGGGTAAACAAGGGCTCAGGTACGCTGCCAAGGTTGACCTCGATCAGCCAGCAGCTGAGCAGAATGTTCTCCACGTACGAACCCTTAGTATCTCGCAAGACTCCCTCCTTTATTAACAGATTTATAGAACCGGTGGCACCCCGACAGTAAAGTTCCACTCCTCTGTTCCAATGGTGCCCCTCCTGACATGCCGTAGTCCCTTCAATCGGAACTATCAAGAACAACGAAGTCGTCAAGATCGAATGCGTGGACTGGACAGGCGGTCAAATTGGCAACAATGATAGTGCTGATGACATGCGCGACGTTGACCTCACCAAGATCCATTATCTCACTGGACCATTTGACATCGAGACAGCGGAGCCAGGTGACGTCCTAGTATTAGAGATCCAGGATGTTCAGCCCTTGGATGAGCAGCCTTGGGGCTTCACAGGTGTCTTCGCTAAGGAGAACGGAGGCGGCTTCCTGGACGAAATCTATCCTGAACCGTGAGTTACTGTTCTCGCTGTTTCCCGCTCGTCCGGTGTCGGCGCGTATCACTAACACCACTCCAGTGCAAAAGCCATCTGGGACTTTGAAGGCATCTTCTGCTCCTCGCGACACATCCCCGGCGTCCGCTTTGCCGGGTTAATCCACCCTGGTATCCTGGGCTGCGCGCCCTCCGCGGAGATCCTCGAGACTTGGAATAAGCGCGAGGGCGAGCTGATCGAAGCCTGCGCAACCACGCACAACCGCGTTGTTGCCGAGCCGCCGCAGCCCAAGAATGTGCACGCCGGCTCTGCTGATAAGGACTTGAAGGAGAAGGTGGGCAAGGAAGGCGCGAGGACGATCCCCGGACGCCCCGAACATGGCGGCAACTGTGATATCAAGAACCTCTCACGCGGTTCTAAGGTGTTTCTCCCTGTTCATGTGAAAGGGGCAAAGTTCAGCGTGGGCGATCTGCACTTTTCGCAAGGAGACGGTGAGTGCGCATAGTGGGCCAAGCTGAACGGCGCTGACATCCTCCAGGAGAGATCTCTTTCTGCGGTGCGATTGAGATGGCAGGTGTCATCACGATCAAGTTCTCTGTCATGAAGGGCGGCATCAAGCAGCTGGACATGAAGAGCCCCATCTACATCCCCGGACCCGTAGAGCCACAGTTTGGGCCGGGAAGGTACATTTACTTCGAAGGCTTCTCGGTCGATGAGCATGGCAAGCAGCACTACCTGGACACGACGATTGCATATCGACAGACAAGTCTGCGGGTGATCGAGTATCTGAGACGATATGGTAAGTCACTAATTTCCTGACCTGATATCTCATCGAAGGTATCGCAGACATTGACTCGGTCGCAGGTTACAACGACTACCAGATCTACCTTTTGCTCTCTTGCGCTCCAGTTCAGGGCCATGTGGCTGGCATTGTTGACATTCCCAACGCATGTACGACTATGGGCCTGCCAATGGACATCTTTGACTTCGACATCTCGCCGCACATCCCGGCTGAGAAGCGAGATCTGGGGTCTTGTGCATTTGCAAGCAAATAGAGAACCGTGGCTGCTCTTGATATAATGAGATCCGCCAATTGCTCAGTCTACACTTCGCAGGGGGTCTCCCTCTTTAGTCATTTCCAAGAAGTGGTATGCTCGTAAAGTAGTCAAACTGCCTGCAACGACAGCAGGTGCTTATATGATTTCTAAAGCTTGCTCAAGACAACGCCAAGCTTACGTGACATTTGACAAATATGTACGATTGAGCATACTGCAATATGTGGTTGGTACGCAGCGCTGTCGTTTTGGAGAGCTGTTCAGGGGCGGGGCGGAAGCACTCAAGCGCTCAAATACTTATCGGACGCAAACCATCGCAAAAAACTAGATAGTGTCGGAGAAGTAGCCTCTTTGAAATGGTGGAATTGGTCAGTGCAGACATGAACAACACTAAGCTATAGAGATCGCTTTCGTTGACTCGACTGCAACGTTCATCCTGGCGAAAACATCGGCATACGTGCATGCCGAATGATAATCCAGATATTGATCAGGATTTTGACTCACGGTAGAGCTTCAAACTCAATGAGAAATGTAGAGGAATTATCTCGAGAGAAATTTAATTGTTATTTGACTAATCACAAAGCAATCCCAGGGAAGAGACAGCCCTTCAGTCTGCTTCTCCGCATCATCCAACTTATTGATGTGTCGAAAGGCGGAAAGCCAATTATGATCCAGCGTCACAATGGAAGAATCACAAGACCTTGTCTACAGCGGAGACTAGTGTACGGTCAGTGAGACTCTGCGAAGGGAGTTTCAGACATACCGTTCAAACCAGTGTTATCAGGCTCAACGTGCGCCTCCTTGACAGCACCGTTTTCGATGACAAGGGCATAACGCTTGGAGCGGTCACCGCCAAAGATGGATGCAGCATCAAAGGAAAGGTCAAGACCCTTGGTAAAGGCCAGGCTGGGGTCTGCGAGAAATCGAATCTAGTAATGTAAGCACATTGTTACGGAAACAAGGATGCCGCGTTGACTTACACCGCTCGAACCCGTTGGGTCCAGCGTCTTTCCCCATGCCTTCATGCTATGCCAAGTCAGTGACAAGAACTTAATGTCTAGCATACGAGGCGATAGTAACACAGGCCAAGACATATGCTTGTGTGGTAACGCCACAAGTACCACGAAGGCGTCTCATGCTGCAAGTGATAGTCACGTTTGCATCAAATTGAGAGCAACGGGTGGCACCCTCATCCGAGACAGTCTCAGCAGTCGAGGGATATTGAGCCTAATTGCACGAACTAAGCAGCTGCTCGAGCTCACTTACACAAAGCTGTCGTTGACAGAAACAACAAAGACCTTGCCAGCATCTTTGAGTTTAGCAGAGTTGATGTACCCGGGAATATGGGTCTCTGAGCAGGCAGGCGAGTACGCGGCTGGAACTCCTGTTCACGACAGTTGATTAGTCAAAGCAAAAACGAGACTGCATTTATGGTGGAGGATTCAGTGGCTTACCAATGACGAGACCTTTACCGGTTTTCAGCTCGTCGGCGAGGTTGACCTTGTTGCCAGGCGAATTTTCCATCAACTCGACATTGGGAAGCTTGTCTCCCACCTTGACAAAAGCAGGGGCCGTTGCATGGAAAAGGCGGCGGCCGGCGACGGGACGCACTAGAGACAATTGTCGGGCAGCGAACATGATAGGTAGGTATATCAGATGGGGGCTTGATTGCAGATGGGGGCTTGATCACGGAGGTTTGGTACCGGTGGGCCGTACGGATTGTCAATGTCGTTGGCGGCAGCTCTGCAGATTGTCAAGGTGGGATCGGCCAAAAAGCTCAGGCAGCCACGTCTCTTAGTTTGGTGGAGGTTAACTTGGTCCAAGCGCTGCGCTGTACAAAGTAAGGGCATTCAACGCTGCTCTTGTGTTTCCCGCTGCACCTGTCACTAGGAGCGCGAAACTAGGAGCGACAGCCCCGCGGAGCAGATGAGGCTTACAGGAGCTCGCTGATAGTGCGTCTGGCAGCGTAGAAGCCGATGCAGGCTGCCTTCTAGCTAGTTTGCTTTTAATGCGGATCGTCGCGCAGCGGCGTTGGCTGAATCGTCATAGCCTGTGCCAAGGCCTACGGTACAGCAACTCGCCGACAGAAGACGATCAGACGGAAGACGATCAGACAGCTGGAAGCGTGAATGGCATACTTTGGCAGCGCGACCCTGTACCGATACATTTCGGCGTGTGGCAGCTGGCACTCGTCGTTGGGCGTTACCCTCATCTCCTGCCAGGTGCAATTTGGGTGTTCCAACCCAAAGCCCTCGAAAGTACCCTGGTCAATACTGCGCTCGGCGCGCTAGCGGCACTGCAGCGCGCATTCCTGTTTAGCACTGCTAACCTGCTTTAGGGCGATTCCTAGTGTCAAAGAGCCCGCTCTAAGATGCCGCGAGCCCTGCCCGTCAGTCTTTTACACTCAAAGGTCCAGATCCCCCATCGACCTCTTGTTCCCCATCGCCTAACTGCAGGCTCGCCCATGCTGCGGCATTACGACATTCGGACGCCCGATTCTTGTGCCCCAGCTTTTGACATATTTCTGTACCCAGCGTGAGCCTCACGCGCCCACAGCATCGCGATCGCCTTGAGACTCCCTATCAGCTGCAGATCTGAGGCATTGGGGATTTAGTCGCCCCAAGCCTCGACGCGCAAGTGCTCTTGCACTTTCCAACCGGAAATAGATTCTTGGAGGATCTGCTCCTGATCAAATAGCCATATATATTGGACCCAACGCTTTGCGCGTAACATAGCAGCCATGGATTCAAACAGCGCCGGAGGCTCCGGTTCGAGCAACTCCAGCGACTTTGTACGTTCGTAATCGCGAAGCTCCGTTTACCCAATGCTGATTAAGGTCGCAGGTTCGCAAGCTTTACAAGTATGTCAACGCCAGATGAGTTGGACCAATGCACGCTAACGCGCGCAAGGATGCTGGAAAATCCCAGCGACGAAAGCGTAGTCAGATGGGGGAACGACGGTGACAGTTTCGTCGTGCTTGAAGTACGTTGATGCGGCCCGATCAGCCCAAGAAGGAACTACTAACATCCCCAGAACGAGAAATTCACCAAACACATCCTTCCCAAGCACTTCAAGCACAGCAACTTCGCCAGTTTCGTTCGCCAGCTCAACAAATATGATTTCCACAAAGTGCGACACAACAACGAAGAGAACGGTCAATCACAGTATGGCCCTGGTGTTAGTGTTCTGGATGACTTTTGACAGTCGCCCACGCTAACAACTTGCAGGCGTGGGAATTTAAGCACCCCGACTTTAAGATGAACAACAAGGACGCACTCGACAATATTCGCAGAAAAGCTCCCGCGCCGCGCAAGCCCAACCAGACGAGCGCGGATGAAATCGGCCTGCCTTCACAACAGATGGACATGGTCAGCGGACAGTTGATGGCAACCCAGGCTCAACTGCACACTCTGGAGCAACGATACAACGAACTCAGCATCCATCACTCAATGCTGTTGCAGGAAGTTATTGGCCTTCAGAAGACCGTTGTCAACCATGAGCATGTCATGCAAAACGTAATGACGTTCTTGCACGGGGTGGATTCCCAACAGCGGCGCAATAGCAAGCTGCTGTTCAACGGATCAGCAGCACAGAACGGAAACGCCGAGCCCCAGGCACAAGCCAACGACGACGATCACCCAGCCTCTCCGCTACAGCACGCTTCTAAGCTTCTCAGCGAAACCAATGCCGACGTAATGTTGAACCCCAGGAACCTGGAGCACATGAATGAGATCACCATGAGGATGAACGGTACGCTGACAACACCACCACCGGACCTACTACGTGGTAGCACTAGACCTACCAGCCGCGGACCACCCTCGGCCACGTCAACCGGCTCGATGCGTCTTGACAACCTCGACAATCTCGTCTATCCTGTTGGCCAGAACAATGGAATCGACCCAATGTACAGCGAGCACATCAACAACATTCCATACGCAATGCCACCCAAGGCGCCGGAAACGAGTGAGGCCAAACCCGTAGAAGTCAGGAAGAAAGGCCAGTTTGCAGACCCTGGATGGATTCGTCCGCCGCAGATTTTGCTGGTTGAAGATGACCCCACGTGCCGTCGCATCGGAAGCAAGTTCCTTTATGCTTTCCATTGCGCCATTGACAGCGCTGTAAGTGTGATCATGATACATGGTATAATCTTGTAGCTAACATTGTGTAGCTTGATGGACTTGAAGCTGTTAACAAGATGAACGCTGGGTCCAAGTACGATTTGGTGCTGATGGATATTATCATGCCAAACTTGGACGGTGTCTCGGCCTGCCATTTGATCCGACAGTTCGACACGACGCCGATTATCGCCATGACATCGAACATCAGAAGTGACGACATCTCCATGTACTTCCAGCACGGCATGAACGATGTACTACCGAAGCCATTCACGAAAGAGGGTCTACTCCACATGCTTGAGAAACACCTGGTCCATCTGAAGAAGGCGTCGCCGCACGGTGAGGCGATGCCGGCACCTCAACCCGTACAAGTACCCAGGCAGCTTATGCTCAAAGAGGAGGACTCGCCGGCCAAATCGCCTGCAACCGTCAGCAACTGGAACTCGCCGAACCAGCTGCCAGGCGTTTCGCCCGTCGGAAGTAATATGCCGGACGAGTACGCACAAGGCCTGCAGGTTCAGCCGCCGCATCATCCGGTTCCTTACGGTGTCAACCCTATGCAACCGGGCATAGGATATGGCGCCTCGGCTCAGATATCGATGCAAGCAAGACAACAGCAGCAACAACTTCCCCCGGGAGGTCATCGAAGGCAAATTTCCGACATATCGGGAGGCGACGATATGACCAACCCTGCCAAGCGACAGCAGATGTTCCCACCGCAATTGCCACCGCAAATGCCACCACAAATGAACCCCATGCAGCCGAGACCGCGATGAAAGCCTCAAAAGGAGAGCAATTGCGGATCCCACTCGTGGCCGAACTTCCAAGTCTTAAAATGTGTTGACGCTCCGCATGCGAAGGGCTCACTGCGGGCGGACAGTCATTTGAAGAAGTGTAGTAGGATAGTATGGAAAAGCAAGAAATCCCGGACCCCGGACGCTCTATGAGTTGGAAATCAAACCAACAGCGCAGAGGTTTGGAAGGGTCTTCGCGGGCCGATAGGCAAATTTGCTTTTTGTTAGGAGGGAGTTCAAGGACCAGGCATTGTCCAATTGGCAGTTCGTCAGGAGGCAAACGCTCCTTGGTGAGACACGGGTATACTTTCATCGACAGGCCCAGGCCTGTGACCGATGAAGACCCTTTTCGATAGAAGAATCAAACACCAAATACAGCATACATACCTATGATGCCGCGATGTTGTAAGATATATTCTGCGTTGTAAGTCGTGTCAATGTATCAAAGGGATCGCACCTGGGCGCCAAGCGAACAACCAATGGTAATTTGAGCATCACAATCTCGTTGCCAGTCGTAGATCACGTTTAACGCGTACTCAATGTTGACAGGGATTATGACGCGTCCCGGGGGAGTGTCGTTGCAATAAGCATTGAAGGCAGTGTTCTAGATCCTCACGTCCGCCCTCGTGGGACGCGCCTCGAACTGCGGGAAGACGCAGCGCAACCTGACCCCACAGAACGCTAAACACATGGGTTTCCCAGGATTTCATGCGACCCTTGTACGATTCGTATGAGTCAGCGATCGCTCCGCGGCCTGACAGTTTTGAAGCAAGCCGTAAACTTTTTGGCGTATCGATAACACTGCGGGGCGTGACTCCGCCAACCTTTTGCCAACCTTAACCAGAATTGCGACCGCAGACTACTCACGAATAACGCCACACAATTGACGATGCCGCCAAAGGGAAAGAAGGCCCAAGATAAGGGCAAAGCCGGCGAGGAGGAGCGCGAAGACCCCCTACAGGCAGTAGTACGTAGCAGTGCATGCAAGCAGGTGTACATTGCTAACAACGTAGATTCTTGCGGATCCCTTCGAGACACGCTTCAGCCCTTTCACACTTGAACGACCGAGGGTCAGGTCCCTCCCTGGGTTTATTGCGCATCATACTGACGAGTACGTAGTGTCTGTTGCCCCTCGCAAACACCCCGCTCATCGAGTACACATTCGAGTTCCTCGCCAATGCCGGAGTCGAAGAAATCTTTGTGTACTGCGGCGCCCACAGGCAACAAGTCGAGGAGTACATCAGTCGCTCCAAATGGTCCGCGCAGTCGTCCCCGTTCTCTAGGCTGGAGCTCATCCAGTCGACGTCGCACTCAATAGGCGACGCGATGCGCGACCTGGACAGCAGGAGCTTGCTCGTCGGCGACTTCCTCTTGGTCTACGGAGATGTCGTCAGTAACCTGCCGCTGGAGGGCGCCCTCGCTGCACACAGAGCGAGGAGAGTGAAGGACAAGAACGCCATCATGACAATGGTGTTGCGCGAGGCAGGCACAACACACCGGACCAAGGCTCGAGGGGCGAGCCCAGTGTTTGTTATCGATCCTGAAAAGGACAGGTGCCTGCACTTCGAGCAGATGCCAAACCGCGATCAAACACACTTCCTGTCCATAGACCCTGAGCTGCTTTCAGGCCACCAGGAGCTTGAGATTCGACAGGACCTCATTGATTGCGGCATTGACATCTGCACACCAGATGTCCTTGCCCTATGGAGCGACAACTTCGATTTTCAAGCCCCAAGGAAAGGTTTCCTACACAGTGTGCTCAAGGACTACGAACTGAACGGCAAGACATTCCACACGCACATCATCTCCGATCACTACGCGGCCCGAGTCCGGAACCTTCACGCATACGATTCGGTCAGCAAAGATATTGTATCGCGCTGGGCATACCCGCTGTGCCCTGACAGCAATCTGGTACAAGGACAGTCATACCGGCTCGGAAAAGGCAATATCTACAAAGAGGAGGGCGTGATTCTGGCGCGCGACTGCGTCATCAACTCAAAAACAGTCATCGGACGGAGCACTAGCGTTGGAGACGGCAGCGTGATCACAAACAGCATAATAGGGCGACATTGCCAGATTGGTCGGAATGTGAAGATCGATGGCGCATATCTGTGGGACTACGCAAGTGTCGGAGACGGAAGTGTCATCAAGAAGTCAGTCATCGCGAACGAGGCGTCTATTGGGAGGAACTGCGTCATCGAAGAGGGAGCGCTCATCTCGTATGGCGTGGCTATCGGCGAGGGCAAGACTATCCGTGGAGAGCACAGGATCACACGTGCCAAGCGGAGAAGGGAGAACGATCAGGAGCTTGTCAGGGGCGAGCCAGATGCTGAGGTAGTCGGGAAAGGAGGAGATGGTTTTGAATTCCATGACTCAGACGAGGATGATGAAGATGAGATCGTCGACAGTCTCATCTCTTCCGGCCCACGTACGTACCAACGCAGCACATTCATGCTTTAGCGGCTAACAACAACAGTGTACAACCTCGCCAATTTGTCCCTGGAATCGATCTCCACCCTGAACTCGGACTCGGAGGCCGATGATTACGAGATACGACATGACAGATCGACAACAAGCAGCTTTTTGTCCGTCGGCTCTCAAGACAGCCAGCATGCTGCGAACTTCGATCACGATGCTTCTGCCAGTATTTACGACTCACTCGTCGAAGGCCACGAGTCCGCCAACATCCAACTTGAGCTCACGGCTCTGCGCATGAGTACAAATGCCTCCGATCACCAAGTCCGCCGCGCAGTCGCAACTTCCTTCGTCAAGCGTGTTCATCAGCTCATCAACTCTGGCGATTCCACTAAGATTGCTGTCGCGAGTGTGTTTGGGCAACACAAAGAGCTGATCGACCGCGCGATTTTCGATAAGAACCAGTCCGACAAGGCAGACCAGGTCGATTTCATGCTGTTGCTTCAAGCCGAACTATGCGGCAAGGAGAGCGGTGATGCTATCCTCCTTAGCACCGCGACGAAGCTGGTCGAGCTGGATTCTATCGAAGAGGAGGGGATCATCCAATGGTGGGAGGACGACAAGAGCAGCGAGAACGAGGACATGACGAAGGTGAGGGTGAAGACAAAGTCTCTGATTGATTTCCTGCAGCAGGAGAGTGAGAGTGAGAGTGAAGAAGACAGTGAAGAAGATGAGGATTCTGAGTAGACAGGCTTGCAAATAGACCGCATTCTCCACCTTTGTCGATCCTCGAGTGTTCTGCGTACCTTGAGGCTGTACTTAGTAGAGCAATTCCAATCAGATCAAAGATCGTTAGGATGTCCCTTGCAGTATACCACGTTCAAGCGGTACGTGCATGTGATTTCGAGACATGCGGCAGCAACGTGACCAGTAGCAGGGCCCCGCAAGTCGACCCCTGGAGACGATTCCTAAACTGCCGAGCTTTGAATAATTTGATTAACCTACGTGAAGGTAGTAAGGCCTATAGCACTGATCTATGCTGCAAGAAAAATGCAAAATAGGCCGCCACAACAGCTCTGAGGCAACTGCGGCGAACAAATTCATTGCAGCCTTCGCCGCTTCCGAATTCGGGGTCTGTGCGCGGCGACGCCAGGGTGCCCGCATCCACCCACCCCAACTACGCGCCTCTCGAGCCGTCCGCCGAATCTTGTGACATAGCAAACCGCTGACCAATACTTGGGGACCGTGAATACTTTCAGTTGCTTGACTGCCTCCTCGGCGCCTCCTTGTGTCACCAACGAGCGCTTATCACCACTCACCACTTCCACCGTTAGCCTGGTTCCGTCATCCGGCGGGACAGGCTCATATTACACCACGACGCCGCCGACTGTCAACAAGCGGAAGGCTTCTGAGGCAGACATCACACTCAGCCCTTCCGAAGAGCCTCGCAAAAAGACTCTGAGGTCTCCAGAACCACCATTTATCGCCAACCTACCTGCTACGCCCGCCACAAACGCCTCCGGCACGATGGACTCCGATGATGACTTCAACAGCTCTATGAGCGGGGAAGACTTTGAGGATCAGGACAGCGATATGGGCATCGAAGACGGTATGTGCCCGTTCAACCGACGGCGGGGCTTGTAGGCTGACAGACGATCGTAGACTCCGACTTCGACATGGACCAGGACGACGTTGGGTTTGAGACACAGGATAAGGATATCAAGCCTACGAGACAGGCTCACGAGGTCGACTTCAAGGTGTTCGATCCTGCACAGATACAAGCACAACAGGACGGGCAAATCGATGAGCTATCGAGCATACTGTCGCAACCACCAGAGGCATCCGCAATACTTCTTCGATACATGCGCTGGAATAAGGAACGTCTGATCGAGCAATACATGGAAAAGCCGGAGGAGATATTGGAGAATGCAGGGCTCGGACAGGATGCTCAGACCAACCCTCCGAAGCTACAGCAGATCAAGGGCTTTTGCTGCGACATCTGCTGCGACGACAGCCCGGACATGAGCACCTTTGCGATGAAGTGCGGGCACCGATTCTGCGTAGAGTGCTACAAGCAGTATCTCTCGACCAAGATCCAAGACGAAGGCGAGGCTGCGAGGATAAGATGTCCCGGTGAGGGCTGTACCCGCATTGTCGATACAAAGTCTCTGGATCTCTTGGTTTCCACAGATCTCCACGATAGGTGCGTCATACAGACATGACCAGTCAAGCCACCGCTAACACGGACAGATACCACACGCTCCTCACACGAACGTACGTTGACGATAAAGAGAACCTCAAGTGGTGCCCCGCACCCGACTGTAAATACGCTGTACAGTGCGGTGTGAAGAGCAAGGACCTTAACAAGATCGTGCCAACCGTTCACTGCGACTGCGGACACATGTTCTGCTTTGGATGCACCTTGACCGATCACCAGCCAGCGGCCTGCTCCTTGGTAAAGAAGTGGCTGAAGAAGTGCGAAGATGACAGTGAGACTGCCAACTGGATATCGGCCAACACGAAGGAATGCCCGAAATGCGTCTCGACTATAGAAAAGAACGGAGGCTGTAACCACATGACGTGCAGGAAGTGTCGACACGAATTCTGCTGGATGTGTATGGGTGTATGGTCAGAGCACGGTACCAGCTGGTACAACTGCAACCGCTACGAGGAGAAGAGCGGCTCGGACGCGAGAGACGCACAAGCCAAGAGCAGGCAATCGCTTGAGCGATACCTGCACTACTACAACCGATACGCCAACCACGAACAATCGGCGAAGCTTGACAAGGACATCTACCTGAAGACCGAGAAGAAGATGCAACAGTTGCAGAACTCCACAGGCATGTCGTGGATCGAAGTTCAGTTCCTGGACCAGGCGTCACAAGCGCTTCAGCAGTGCCGACAAGTTCTGAAGTGGACGTACGCGTTCGCGTACTACTTGGCAAGGAACAATCTGACAGAGATTTTCGAAGACAACCAGAAGGATCTAGAGATGGCGGTAGAGAACCTCAGTGAGATGTTCGAGAAGCCAATCGACCAGTTACAGGGGCTCAAGGTTGAGATGATGGATAAGACGTCATACTGCACAAAACGACGCATCATCTTGCTGAACGATACGGCCGATAATCTCAAGCAAGGTACGTAGACCGAGGCTCCGCCCAGGCTGCAGCGAGTTGCGGCGCTGACGTGGTGGATATTGCGGTATTGAGACAGCTGTACTGACACCCAACAGGCAACTGGGAATTCATCGTATCGCTCACCTGAGCACTAAACCGGACTTCACAATTCAGTGCCATCACGCGTTGAAATCCTCACAGCCGTGTTCGAGGCTGAAATGATCATATGCATCGCTGCGCCGACGCTATGCTGGCCTCTGGGACTGCGAGGTGGCTCGCTCGGTCCAGAACACTTACACATACATTGCATTTTTTGGTTGAATTGGGAGTACAGGGAGGCATAGTGGCACTGTCAGGCGTTATGGATGGCGACAACATTTAGCGACCAGGCATTTTCGGGACACGAGAGAGTTGAAGCAAACGACTCTGCTGCACTAGGCATGTGGATTGTCGGGTTCGTGCCAGGCTGTTGGGCTTACATAGCTGATACAAGGATTCATTTCATTGCTCAACAGTGTGCATGCATCCACCAAGCGCCATCTCGATTGATTGTTGACACACACACACACACACACACACACACACACCCAGCACTCGCTGATAGCCTCCACCCCGCACCTGCCCGCCTCACACCACAACCCAATCCCACACCAACAACCTTCCCAAAGCAAACCCTCTCCTCGCATGCATCCCCCCATCCAAGCCAGTAAATGATGTCACTCCCACGCCCCCCGGCCCACCGCCCACCCGCACGCCTAGCCGAACCTTATCCGCCTCCGGGCCCCCTCCGCATCGGCCTCAACGACCCGATCCTGCGTGCAGGACCCTGCGCGTGCGACGCGACGCGAGGTCGCACAGCTGCGGGGCAGGGCACACGCGCGCCTCGGGAGCAGCAGCGTGTGGTGCGCGCACGGCGGCGCTGAGTCGCCGGGTGCTGAGTCGCCGGGTGCTGAGTCGCCGGGTGCTGAGTCGCCGGGTGCTACTCGGGAGCGGCTTTGCGGGTAAGGCTGCGGGAGGGCGGGGGGTATTAATATCTAGAGGGCTGTCGGGGTGGGTGCGTGTAGCGTCTTTTGAGTCTTGTTCTTCGGTATGGCTTCTGCGAATGCACGTGTCAACGGTGTGAACGGTGTTAATGGGACTGTGAATGGCAATGGGGTGGCTCCGGGCGCGGTGCGCGAGTGCGATGTGCTCATTGTCGGGGCGGGGCTGTCGGGGATCAGCACGCTGCACCGCGTGCGGAAGCTTGGGATGCGGGTGCACGTCTTCGAGGCTGGTAGGTTGACGTGTTGTGTGTTTTGGGTTGTGTGCTGACGCATCTAGCGGCTGACTTTGGCGGCGTGTGGTATTGGAACAGGTGAGTTGAGAACCTTACGGCACTGGAGATCGATCGCTAAGGGAGAAAGGTATCCTGGTGCGCGCGTCGACTCGGAGACGCCGTTCTATCAGCTCAGTATCCCCGAAGCATATAAGGATTGGAATTTTTCGAAGCGTTTCCCGGATCATAACGAGCTGAGGGAGTATGTTGCGCATCTCGACAAGGCACTTGACCTGCGGAAGGATGTGACGTTCAATTCGAAGGTCAACAGCTGTACCTGGGACAAGGAGTCCTCGCATTGGACTATCACGACCGAGAATGGGCTGACGGCGAGGGCCCAATTTCTGGTTATGGCGACTGGACTCCTCCACAGGCCCCACCTGCCGTCATGGGAGGCCCAGGAAACGTTCAAGGGCTCGATCTATCACTCGTGTAACTGGCCGCGAAAGTCGGACCTCACAGGGAAGAAGGTCGCCGTCATCGGCGCGGGCGCAACAGCAGTGCAGATCGTGCAGGAGCTCGGTAAGCAGGCCTCGCACCTCGTCAACCTTGTGCGGCGCCCGTCGCACTGCCTGCCCATGGGCCAGCGCACCTGGACCCCCGAGGAGCAGCGCTCGTGGAAAGCCTTCTACCCGATGCTCTTCAAGACGGGGCGTGCCAGCCGCACAGGATTCCCACTCGACCGGCCGAACAACACGACGCGCGTGCAAGACGTCAGCGCGGCGGAGCGCGAGGCGCACTTCGAGACGACCTGGGCGGCAGGCGCGTTCCACTTCAGCATGATGAACTACAGCAACGTCGTGACCGACAAAGAAGCGAACCGCATCGTGTACGAGTTCTGGCGCAACAAGGTCCGACAGCGCTTGACAGACCCGAAGAAGCAGGCGCTCATGTGTCCAGATGCGTCGACGTACTTCTTCAACACGAAGCGCACGCCGCTGGAGCACGATTACTACGACGTGCTGAACCAGCCGAACATCGAGGTCGTGGATCTGAACGCGCACCCAATTGCTGCCTTCACGGAGAACGGGATGCGTCTTGAGGGCGAGGATGGCGAGAGAGAGTTCGATGTCGTCGTGTGCGCGACAGGCTTTGATTCCTTTACTGGGAGTCTGTGCAACATGGGGCTGAAGAACAAGGACGGCGTGGACATGAAGGACGTGTGGAAGGAGGGCGTGCGAACGTACATGGGCATCATGATGAACGGATTCCCGAACGCGTTCATGGTGTACTCCCCGCAGGCGCCTACTGCGCTTTCCAACGGGCCGACCATCATCGGTGAGTGTTTCTCAGTGAAGGGGTCTGTAGGCGATCTCGTCGCTAACACGGAGTAGAGTGCCAGTCGGACATGATCGTCGAGACCATTGCGGCGCTGCGGAAAGAAGGCAAGACGAGTATTGAGCCTACGAAAGAGGCCGAGGAAGAGTGGAAGAACAACATGAACGCAATGGTCGAGCACACGCTCTTTCCATACACGAATAGTTGGTGGAACACGTCGAACGTCCCTGGGAAGAAGGCAGAGAATCAGTCGTACATTCTGGGTGTTCACTCGTATGAGCAGGAGTGTCGCGAGAGGCTCGAGAAGTGGCAGGGCTTTGAGATTGCTGCGGCGTAGGTGGATGGCGGTATCTAGACGTTGGTCACACCCACGTAGACGGTTTGGTTTGGAGCGACATGAGACGAAAGGGGAAGGAAACGGAATGTATTGGATATCTTTGAACTTTTGACGAAACGCCTCCTGATGCCGTGCAGCCGTGCAGCCGTGAACGCCGTGTTATGCAATGGCCCAGTGAGTTTACAAGGCCTCGAGCTCGAAGTCGTCCACCTTGTCGCGGTACTTCATGATGTTGCGCTTGATCTTGGACGAGTCGACCCAGGTGACGAAGTCCTCCATGTTTCTAGGATGGTCAGCATGTATGCAGGTATTCATCACGGCACACTCACCTTGTCACTAGGTAGGCCGGATCGGTGATGACGGTGGTGCCGACGCGCACGTGGCCCTGCTCGATCATCTTGATGGCGCTCGTCAGGTGCTCGCTCATGCGCAGGCGGGCCATGACGACGGGCAGGCGGCGCCGGGCGAAGGCGCTGACGGTGACCTTGTGCTCAATGTCGCTCAGCTTGCCGCGGCCGCCGCCGCCGGTGCCCAGGATGCCCATGTCGAACAGCTTCTCGAGCAGCTGATCCTCCTGCTTGCGGCGGAACGGGTCGGCGGGGTCGAGGTTCGAGATGCGGTGGGCGAGCTGGCGCAGCGAGCCGCACAGCTGGTTGTACTTGCGGTAGTCGTCGCGGCCCTGGATGGCGTAGCGGCGCATGACGAGCGTCTCGCGGTGGTCATTGTCGGACTTGTACGTGTTGAAGTCGACCTTGCGCAGCAGCTTCTGCTCATGGTGCTTGAGTTTGCGCGTCATGGCGGCGGCGTGGCTGGGTGCAGTGCGTGCGGTGGTGGTCGCTCTGCCGCGGACTTCAGATTCAAAAAGTCGGCGGGCAGCGGCGCTAGACTGGCGCTAGACTGGCGCTAGACTAGCGCTGCCGTCATGGCCCCTCCGCGGGCCCTGAGATGCTGCGAAACTTTTGAGTCAAGGTGTGGGCGCGGTGACTCTTGCGCGGCGCTGCTTCTTCACAGTCACCGTACACGATACTGTACACCACACACACGCCATGCCGACCGTCCACCTGCTCGACTACGTTGCCGGCAACGTCCGCTCGCTCGTCAATGCCATCGAGAAGGTTGGCTACACAGTCGTGTGGGTCAAGTCGCCCGCCGACGTGCCCGCCGCAGATGTACGCCCCCATGCGCGCACCGCCAATTGACCCGCGCTGATGCAGACGCCGCGTAGAAACTCATCATCCCTGGTGTTGGCCACTTCGGCCACTGCATGAGCGAGCTCGCCGCCGCCGGCTACGTCGAGCCCGTCCGCGCCCACATCCGCGCCGGCAAGCCGTTCATGGGGATATGCGTCGGCATGCAGGCCCTGTTTGAGCGTTCGGAGGAGGACAGCAGTGTCGAGGGTCTCGGCATCGTCCCCGCGAGCCTGCGCAAGTTCGACGACGCCGACAAGAGCGTGCCGCACATTGGCTGGAACAGCGCCAACACCTCGCGCCCCGGCGACGTCACCGACGAGTCGCTCTTCGGGCTGCGGCCGACGTCCAAGTACTACTACGTCCACTCCTACGCCGTGCCCTACGAGGAGGGCAAGCTCGAGAAGGCCGGCTGGCAGGTCGCCACGGCGCGCTACGGCGGCGAGGAGTTCATCGGCGCAGTGGCCAAGGACAACATCATGGCGACGCAGTTCCACCCCGAGAAGAGCGGTGCCGCCGGCCTGCGCGTGCTCAGGGCCTTCCTGGACGGGCAGAGGTCGCAGAAGCTGCCAGAGGTGCCGTCGGCCGCCGACACAAAGGAGGGTCTGACACGGCGCGTCATCGCGTGTCTGGACGTGCGGACAAACGACCAGGGCGATCTGGTCGTCACAAAGGGTGACCAGTACGACGTCCGAGAAAAAGACGGCAACGCTGGAGTGCGCAACCTCGGCAAGCCCGTCGAGATGGCTAAGAAGTACTACGAGCAGGGCGCCGACGAGGTCACCTTCCTCAACATCACCTCCTTCCGCAATTGCCCCGTCGCCGACACACCCATGCTCGAGATCCTGCGCCAAACTAGCGAGACCGTGTTCGTGCCTCTGACCATTGGCGGCGGCATCCGCGACACCGTCGACACAGACGGCTCCAAGATCTCCGCCCTCGACATCGCAACCATGTACTTCAAGTCGGGCGCCGACAAAGTCAGCATCGGCTCCGACGCCGTCACAGCCGCAGAAGAGTACTACGCCCGCGGCAAGAAGCTCGCCGGCACCACAGCCATCGAGACCATTTCGTCCGCCTACGGCAACCAGGCCGTCGTCATCAGCGTCGACCCCAAGCGCATCTACGTCGCCTCGCCCGACGCCACCCCGCACCACACCATCCAGACCGCCACGCCCGGCCCCAACGGCGAGCAGTACTGCTGGTACCAGTGCACCATCAAGGGCGGCCGCGAGGGCCGCGACTTCGACGTGCGCCAGCTGGTCCAGGCCGTCGAGGCCATGGGCGCCGGCGAGATCCTGCTCAACTGCATCGACAAGGACGGCAGCAACAGCGGCTTCGACCTCGAGCTGATCGACGACGTCAAGGCCGCCATCAAGATCCCGGTCATCGCGAGCAGTGGCGCCGGCAACCCGGGTCACTTCGACGAGGTGTTTGCGAAGACGCGCACAGATGCGGCGCTGGGCGCGGGCATGGTGAGTTGCTGTGAGGATAATTGTGTTGGGGCGTTTGCTAATGCATGTAGTTCCACCGCGGCGAGTATACCGTCAAGGACGTCAAGGACTTCCTGCAAGATAAGGGGCAGGTGGTGCGGGCGTTCGAGGCCGAGATGTAGGGGGTTATTCGTACATAGATTTAGAGAGGGGTATAGTAGAGAAAAGTCAATATACCTGGAGTTGGGCTTGGCCCGTCGATCAAGCACCGCGCTCCCAAGAGTCTGAACGTGAAACCCGTTGTCTCAAGACACCACCCTCACTCCTCGTCATCCTCCTCCTCGCTCTCGACCTTCTTCTTAGCCGCAGCCTTCCTCTTCGGCGCAGCTCTCTTCGGCTTTACATCCTCCTCCGCATCCACATCCTCCGTCTTCAACTCCACATCCTCTTTCTTCTTCCGCACCGCCTTCGGCTTAGCATCCTTCTCCTTCTTCCGCTCCACCTGCCCGCCAACCCTCTCCCTCTCGCCCACCCCCTCCTCAAACAAACCCTTCTCCAGCTCCAAAAACTCCTCGCTCTCAACATCCATCCCCACCAGCCGCTCCAGCATCTTGATCTCGCGCGCCCACACCCCCTTGTCCTCGACCTTCTTCCCACTCGCGTCCACCCGCTCCGCAGGCGTCTCCAACACCATCGGCAGCCCGTGCATCCGCGCGTCGTTGACCAGGTTGTGGAACGCGCGGAGCCCCAGGTACCCCGTGCCCAGGCGCGCGTGCAGGTCGCGGTAGCTCGCCAGCGGCGCCTTGGAGTCGTTGACGTGCAGCGCGCGCAGATAGTGCAGGCCGATGGTGTCGTCGAACTGCTGCAGCACCGCGGCGTAGCTGGCGGGCGAGCGCAGGTCGTAGCCCGCGGCGAACACGTGGCACGTGTCGAGGCACACGCCGACGCGGGATTTGTCGTGCACGAGCGCGATGATGGCCGCCAGGTCCTCGAACGTGCCGCCGATCGTGTTGCCCTGCGATGCCATGGTTTCGAGGACCGTGATGACGGCGCCCGTGGCAGGGTCGGCGTGGGCTTGGTTCAGGTTCGCGGCGATCAGGCGGATGCCTTCCTCGCGGGTTGTGGCGTTGGCGTTGCCCGGGTGGAAGTTGTACAACTTGATGCCGAGGGTGTGGCAGCGAACGAGGTCGTTTTGGAAGCAGTCGTAGGCTTGTTTTTTGCGCTCGGCGTCCGGGTGCGCGAGGTTGACGAGGTAAGAGCCGTGGGGGAGGCAGGAGTGCGCAACGTCGATGTTGTGGGCTTTGCAGCCGTCGATAAAGAGCGTGGCGTGTGCTGGGTCCATATCCGGGTTCTCCCACTTGCGCTGGTTCTTCATGAACATGGCGAATGCATTGGCACTGCTGGGGTTAGTCGGGTTGGTATAAGGAGGAGCGTGAACATACCCTATGTGCAATACATTATTAATGGCATTATGAACCCCTAACCGGCGGTCGCCAGGGCCGCGTTAGTCTGTGTTCTCTTGTGTTGTTTGGGGTGAGGGTGAATAGAACTAACCTCCAGCGACACTGACGTGGGCGCCAATGCGAAGTTTGGTGTCGACAGTGCGCTCTTCAAGCGGTGCCTCTGGCTCCTTGCTCTTCTTCGCACGGGGGGCCCTCTTCTTGACGGTCTTCTCGACTACAGTTACAGTCTTGTTTGCACTCTCATCCTCGTCTGCACTTTCTTCGTACTTCACTTTGCTGGCGGCAGCACGCTTCTTGCGAGGTGTCTCAGCTGCTACCTCTTCGTCCTCCTTGACCTCTGCAGGAGCTTTCTTGGTGCGCTTTGTGGGTTTCGCTGTAGTCGTGACGATGGGTTCGGCTTTGCGCTTCTTGCCATTGGCCGCAGCCTTGACAGCCTCGGGAGCTGTCACTTCCTCTGGGGCCGGAGACAGGGAAGAGTCTGAGTCTTCGGCGATCTTCTTTGCCATTGTCAATGTATTCGGTAAGTGAGTTTGTGTCGCGGGCGTGGCAAAAGTATGTATGGAAGCGGGTCTGGTGAGGTGAGGTGGTAGGTTGAAGTGAGAGGCAGCTAGGCGACAAACGGACTGGTGAAAGTGAGAGCTGTGCAAAGTGAAGGTCGTCGGCCGAAGCGAAGCTTGCCACAGTTGTAGATTTGACAGAGCTTTAGTAGCTAGAGGAAGACTTCTGCTTTGAGAACGTTGCACGGATGGGAAACGAGCGTCGAAGTCGGTGCAGGAAGTGAATGGAAGGTGCTCGGCGCGTACTCGAGACAGTGATGACAATCCAAGATGCGCGAAAGTCAGCAAAGAGCGAGGTGTCGACAATGACTTCAACAAAACATTACTCTGCATAAATTGAGTCTTCATACAGATGAGCAGACTCTGGTTGTCCAGATTTTGATGCAGGAACGGACCGCGACTCGGTCAAACGTCACCCGCGTGGCATTCGCGAAAGCACGTGTGGATCTCCCCGCGGATTGGACCCTTTTGGCCTGTCTTTATCGATAAGACAACACCAAAAATTATTGCACCATCCCACCAACACGACGCCTAACGTTCACACAGCTCGACGTCCTACACAACTGCAATTCCCACGATGCCAAAGGACAAGCGAAAGCACGCCTCCGGCGCTGGCGACGCCACGCCGTACTCCAAGCCCTCCGCCAAACAATCCGCCGCGCACTCGATATTCAAGATGGACAAAGACCTCGGTCAGCATTTGCTCAAAAACCCCGGTGTGGCAGCTGCAATCGTACAAAAAGCGCATCTCAAACAATCCGATCACGTCCTCGAAGTCGGTCCCGGAACAGGAAACTTGACGGTCCTGATCCTCAAGGCTGCGAAGGCTGTTACAGCTGTGGAAATGGATCCTCGAATGGCTGCTGAGTTGACAAAGCGTGTACAAGGTACACCGGAGGGAAAGCGACTGAAGGTCATGCTCGGCGATGTGATCAAGACGGAGCTCCCTCGCTTCGACGTCTGCATATCCAACACGCCCTACCAGATTTCGTCGCCCCTCGTCTTCAAGCTGTTGAGCTTGCCACACCCACCCAGAAGCTGCATTCTCATGTTTCAGCGTGAATTCGCCATGCGTCTGTTCGCCAAACCAGGCGAGAAGCTGTACTCCCGTCTCTCAGTCAACGTGCAGATGTGGTCCAAGGTCTCGCACATTATGAAAGTCGGGCGTAACAACTTCAACCCGCCGCCACTGGTCGAGTCCAACGTTGTGCGCATCGAGCCGAAGAACCCGCGCCCCCAGATCGCATACGAAGAGTGGGACGGCCTCCTGCGCATCGCATTCGTACGCAAGAACCGCACGCTGCGCGCCGCCTTCCTCGGCACCACCGCCGTCCTGGAGCTCCTCACGCAGAACTACCGTCTTTTCTGCGCCCAGAACAACATTGAGATCGACGACACGCCGCTCGACGCCGACGAGATGGCCGCAGAACCCGATACCATGGACATCGACGACGACGACTTCAAGGGCTTCTCCGACCCCGACGAGCCGGACGATGAGCTGCCCGATTTCTTCAGGCAGCTGCAGTCCGAGTCGCGGAAGAAGCACGAGAAGGGCATGCACCGCAAGAAGAAGGGGCGTCTCAGCGAGCTGGTGCGCGAGAAGGTGCGCAAGGTCCTCGAGGACGATACCAAGCTCGCCGACAAGCGACCGAGGTTGTGCGACGAGGGCGACTTTTTGAAATTGTTGTATTCGTTCAACCAGGAGGGCATCCACTTCAGCTAGATGGCGGTATCAGATGAGAAGAGCATTTGCATGGCGTTCTTGGGGTGGGCATGAGTGTTGGCGTCGGGGTATACCAAAAAGCATGGCGTTGTATGTACAATCTTCAATTACGAGGATGGATCTGGTTTGCACTCTGTCACAGAGCTGCATAATACTGTTGCCACACGATATTGTCAAGTCTTGCGTGTTCAATGCGATGACAGTTGAAACGTTAGTTGATCTTCTTCTACTCCGTGCTAACCATTCTGCAACCTCAATTTACCTAGGTTTAGCTTCTAGTCTACACTGATCGTGTCATACTTATCACAGCTTCTCGCAATCACATGATCAAGAAAGTGCCTGTCCATATTTCTCCATCTGTAGCCTGTGCTGTTCGCTCCGGTTTGGTAATTGGCCGATACCCTTCGCAACTCCCGTTCTGATTCGCAGTTCTCGGCTCGTATAGTTCGTGATTGGACGGTTGAGGCGAGAAGTCCTGTGCGGTGTCAATACCTTAGCTGCAACGGCTTCAGAAGACCCGTTCACATTGGTCTTTGTCTGCTGAGCAACGTCGGTTTGAAGTTGTGCAAGCTTGGTTCCTTGATTTGTTGCAGACATCCTAAGAACGGTGACAGCAGAAAGGTACAGGTGTATATGTGATTCTGAAGAATGATGGCAGTGTTTGTATTTTGAGTTACTTGAAATGTGCGATCCCAGTACTGTACAATCCAGCCTCAGATTGTCTCGGCCTGGCCCTAAGAGTATCCCGCAGTCTTTCATGGCAGAGTTAGCTGCGATTTCGGAACCTCGCTTCCACGGCACCTCGATCAGATAGTTCCACTGTGGAGATGTGGACCCACGCAAGTGGCGGATCGATATGTGATGGTTTACACTCTAGAATGTAATCGATGGAACACTACGTGAGTCAGGGCGCATGGCGCGCCTAAGACGCGGCACGTCCATGGTGAAGTGAGGAACGACGAGGTTAAGTCAACGCCCACTGGCGCTCGAAGTCATACGAGGGCGGCTCGGTGAGACCGAATGCTCCATGAAACGCAAAATTAAAGGCTCTATCTAGAGAAGGATCTTGCATGAATAGGCATCAACCGTCAGTCATGCATGAACCAAGCAGCTATTCGAATGCCAAGCAGTGCGTGGTGTACGCGTACAGCGTTGAACTAAATTTGATGACCTATAGACTGGCATCAGGCTTTGTTCAATGCTTGGACGGAATCCTTCGTTTGATGTTTGGACTAGGTCAATGGTGGAAAATCGGTACGCGATTCGGAGCGGTTGACGAGTTGCATATGCAAGTTGAACACTCACGCACCCGGATCACAAACGAAGGGGACTGGAAGGAGGATCGGTGAGAATTGCTGTGATTACCACATAGTGACCGGGTGGTACGTTTCCACAAGCGAGGACGCGGGGCAATGCGGGCCACTTAGAAGGACAACTGTAGAGTTGTACCTATTATTGTACGCGGCTCATGCAGTGGCTGTCACAAAGCTTGAGTTCTCAAGCTTCTGCAGGAACCATGCCGCTGTGCTCGGAACAGTTGGATCCCGACAGATAGGATCGCGCATTATGCAGATTGACGATTGACAAACCAGGCCACGCAGGGCCGAAGGGGAAGAAGTAAACGACCGTAGGATCTAGACCGGAGGACTTCGCTGTCGTTCTACACAACTGGCGGGCAGCGTGATACATTTACAAGAAAGCTTCCTTGACGATCCAATGCACAGCGACAGGCAAGATACTTGTGCATTACGATATTGGCGAGTGATAATGCCTCGAGTGAGTCCCAATAAGGCTGTACAGCGAAGCTAAACTGTTTATTCGGTGATATAAAGCCTTCTACACCTCTGGGCACCGAACCTAAGTCTATCAATAGGTTGCGCGCTTGCCGAGAAGGAGCCGTAATTAGGTCGCTATAAATATCAAGGCGATGTGATTGATATCAACTTAGACTACGCTGTCATATACTGTGGACGTGCTGGTCATCAAGCAGGTGCCAGCTGATCCCATAGAACAGGAGCAGGGTTATTCCAACGCTGTGATAAGTCAACGTATTTTTCGACCACCGCTGTAGCTGCTGGCATATGCTGGCGACAGTGAAAATAAGTAAGTGTGCATTTGCTAGACCTGGAGTAGAAGATAGCCACGGAGGTAGCCATGCAGGGATATCGCGATTGGAGAAGTGCTCCGAGATATGACAGGCCGCGATAGCCGTTGGGTATGCCAGCTTGCAAGCTTCTGAGCTTGAGGTATTAGGGCGCTCCGGGTAACGCTTTGAAGAGCAGGCCAGCCAATGAACCGCCGGGTGGGAGTTGAAATTTGGTACGGACAAGACGGACAGTGGACCGTTATAGCAAGCTAGTCAGCGGAAGGGTCCGATCCAATAACTGCCAGGGGCAGAAGGTCGAGAACATTGCAGCTATCCAGAAGGGTGTTGACGCTCAAAAGGCGGTTGAGTTGGTCAGGAGCTAGTTTTGAGAACGGGAAAGCGTGAATGATCACGTGTCGTTCGACGGGTCGGCACAGCAGCCGCTTCCCTGCCGTCTCATAACGACGCTTTTCATTATCATGTGAGATCACCTCTAGACGTGCTCAAAGTCTTGCAATTTGTTCCTCGCTGTCTGCGGTGGACGTTTCGGCGTCAATTCTTGTCTTGGCATTGCCGCTTTCCCGTTCAGGAGTCATGCTGCGAACATGTGATCTCTGAACATCTTCAGGTGGGACTCTGCACTCCGAACTCCAGCATCGGTGTCCAGGGCCAGCCCTACACGCTTGGACTCCGAGCTAAGCTTTACCCGTCGTTAGGACCCTGTCCGTTAGCCACAACGGGAGGGGCCATCGTTCCTGGGTAGTGCATCATACCTACAAGTCGCATACTCGTTGACACCTCTGCCGTCTTGTTGTCGCCGAACTGTAGTTCCGACCGAAAGCTTCGTCCGTGTTGTAGCTTTGATTGGCAAGATGGTCGGAGTGCCTAAGGTACGTATGCTACAAGCAATAAAGTCGGCCCCCCTGGCTGACCCCAGCGAAATAGTCCACAGGGTGTCTGATATGTAGGAAGCGAAAGATCAGTAAGTGTGTTATTCTGTCTGTGAAACAACGAGACTAACTTTGGGTAGAGTGCGGTACGACATGTGCTACAACGGATCAGCAGATGCTCATGGCCATTTTCTAATAGCACTCAAGACGAAACCTGGCCAACATGCCTCAACTGTCAGAAGAACAGTAAATGCTGTCCGGGTCCTCCGGCACGACATACTTTCAAGGACCTCGGACCTAGCCTTATCTCAGGTGTGAATAGTGTACAAGCTGCCAAAGGCCAAGCGGTCGTACCAGGTACACTCATTGGTTCTTGTAGAAACCAGACATTGATAGTGCGACAGATCACAATCGGCGATATTTGACCCAGGTTCACCAAACTGCTTTCGCAGACGGCTCAACATCACACAAGTTCAGGATATCGCCACAAAGAGACACACCCCATCAAAGAAAACTCGCAGGGCGATCAGCTTCGACGCGCTCAGCAAGCCTCAGCCGATCTCGTTCTCCTCGATTGCCTTTACTTCGACAGCCATCACCATCTCAACAACATGAGCTCTCTCGTGCCCTGATAGCTGCAACAAGTGCGGGTTGCATAGGGCTCCAGATGTCTCTCTTCGGTCCTTTCATTCAAGAAGTTCCAGCTAGGATTGGTCATAGTCCGGCTCTCGATGCTGCAGTGGCTGTACTCATCAACACTCACGCCTCTCTCATGTACAAAAAGACCTTGAATGATATCGCCAGCATCAATCTGTATCTACGAGCGATTAAGATGCTGCAAAACTGTCTGGACGACTCTCAAGAAGGAATGTCCACGAACACGCTTTGCGCTTCTGTTCTCCTCGGGCTTGTTGAAGTACGTTGTACCCTACCGTCGTCAGCCTTCTTAAAATTGACCTATCTGTTAGGCATTAGCGGGACCTCGAAAGGGGAATCGGTACCTGGCTCATGTCGGCGGGGCGGGTCGGCTTATGGAGCTCCAAGGTCCCAGACAATTCGACGATCCTTTTGCAAAGGACATACTACGATTCAACAGAGGTGGCATTGTAAGTGCTTGATTTTGTTCATTCACCGACATGTTGCTCATGACTTTCAGATTGTTTCTGCTTGTTACGAACGAGAGCCATGCTTTCTTGCTGCGCCGGAGTGGCGAGATGTTGCCTTCGATCACAGTGGACTCGGCTTCGACGAACGACTACACACTGATCTCCTCCGGGCTTTTGCGCAGCTACCAGCCATACTCAAAGACTTGAAACAGCTGAACACCGACTGCATCACGTTTGAAAACACAGCTAAAAGTACGCGTAATGATTCGTGCGTCGATCCCAATCTTGATCTTCAATTCGACCTCGAGCTTAGTCGTAGTCCACCTACCACCTGCCCTTCGCTCGATTACTCAGTTGACAGTTTCGACAATATCGAGTTTCCGTCAGAACTACGCAATGAGGGGTTGCCCAATGGCGGCGTGCCTCTGGCTTACATATCCGCGCGCGAAGATGTGCTCTGCAAGGTTCAGAACCTGAGAAGCACGTTCTGTGCGTTGGGTATCAATATGAATGCCAAGTTCAACAATGGCACAACAGTCACCGAACTGCCCAGTGTTGAAGAGGGCAATCCCATAGCGACTGCCTATCACTTCAGTAGCTGGCGCGACAATGTCGGATACAACAGCTTCTGGGCGCTCTGTATCATGGTGAACGAGTATCTGATAAAGCTGCTTCCGCCCTCTGATCCTATCATTGGCATTCTTGAGGCAGAAAGCCGATCTCTAGCACTTGAGATCTGCAAGACATGGGAAGAAGCATGGGCAACGAAACCGATTGGCGCGCTACACACATCGTTCAGCTTCGTCATGGCATACGAATACGTCACTCCCAGAATACAAGAATGGATCTTGAAAGGGCTAAATGCGTTACTGGATTACCAACGTGTAGACGCTGCAGCCTTCCAATGGACCGATGAAGTGATTAGGATGATGAGTGGGAAGCTTACTGGTGACGGTCAGAGCACCCTCTTCTCTAATGTGAGTGTCATGAAAGAAGCGCAGTAGCCACGCTCACGACACTCTAGACCCTTGTTGGGTGTTGATGATTTTTATAGATGGACAGGAATGGAAAAGAGGCGCCCGGAGTCACTTGAGCTTACATCAGTGTCTGGCAGTCACTGACAACCGATCGTTTTATGACAAATACCCAATATAGACTGTAAGAATTATTCGCTACTTGTACATCGTCACTTCGTAAAAGCAGGTTCGTCTCCAGCTTCCAATTTGAAACGCGCTGGGACAATACCGATATTCGCCAACACTGAACCTACTACTTTCCGTACTCAATCCCACATCTCTTCCGGCATTCATAACTGCCCCTCACTGCGCCAGTACCAACATCTGGAATACCTTTGCCCATCTTTGCAGAGTCGAAGTTCTGGTCGCCAAATGCAGCCTGCTTCATCATATCAGGAAAAGCCCAGACACCGTTGAGAGCATTAAGCGTTCCACTGTCATCGCTGTTCAGCGCACTCAGAAGAAGAGCCGGCTCGCAGCCTGCGGTCTGTTAGCACACGTCCAAATACTGGCTGTGGAGGACCCACCATTGTTCTGCATCGTATGCAAGCTGCCTTGAGGAAATATTGTCGCGCGGAAAGGTAAAATGTCCACCTTCACCGGACGTACGCCGTTCTCGTTGACCATCCAACTCGTTGTGTTTCCCGTAATCGCGATCACGAGGTTGTGTGCGCGCTGATGGAAGTGCGGCGGTAGCATGCTGCAAGGTCCAAGCTTCAGTAGAGCATAGCTGATGCCGAGGCCTGTGAGTGCTGGGAAGGTGGCAGCGTCGGCGGTGATGACGGATCCAACTTGATCGTTGAAGTCTTGGTGGTTGAAGAAGTCGTAGTACCAATCAGTGTCCTTGGCAAGGATCACATGTCGGTCATAGTTGGTTGCTGCCATCTTGAGCATGGCATTTAGATTTGGGTTGAGCGATTTGGCAGCGCTTGTCGAGGTTATGAGGGAGAGGAGAGAAGTGAGAAGAACAACAGGTGTGTACATCGTGTTGTAGCTTCGAGATGAAGGTTGGAATCGGAGAAGATCAAGAGTGGTCTTTAAACCCACTGTGGGAGCTTGTGTTGCTCTGGTAGAACTCGGTATCTTTGTACTACAAGCACGAAGTGTGTAGCGAGAGACAATCTTGTATTCAGATGAGCAAGAATCTTGACATGCAGGTGATCGTTTGACAATGGGAAGATCAATTGCGCTGTGTATCCGTTGCGAGAGAGCGGTATATATAATCGCTTCCAAGCGCAAGGCTGCCAACATGCTCTACGCAAAGCATCAACATGGCTGCTGACCGCCCCCTCCAGTCTGTCGTAATCTTTTCAGCCACTGTTACTCTGCCATGGAGGGGCGCCCCTGGAACAATGGCCACTCATTGCGCGCCTTCGAACAGACAAGATGCTCTGTACGCAAGCTGCAGCAACCGGCTTTCTTCCGCTTTTTCAGACTTCCCGTGGTTGGACATCTATATAGACTTAGAAACAATACAGGAAGATCTGAATCGAGATCAGAAGTAATATTACGGTCTGACCCACTGCCGATGCTTGTTAGGTACCTAAGTACCTTGACCCGTCTCACATCCTCCGAACCCGGTCAGCGGGCCGATTGTGGTAGCTGCAACACTAACCGTGCGCACAGAAGAACTGGTTTCATGAAATGCGTGTCGAGTCCATGCTGATTGATGGGCTGAAGATCTCAACCGAGGCAAGACTGGCGATGTGAGGCATGCACGAACCCGCGTATCCCTAGTGTTGGTTACAAGCGCGTGATTGACATCGAGCAATCACGAGTCCAGAAATTTCAAGCAATCGGCTGGCCAATTTAAAGGGTGGTGTTGTACATGAAAGAATCCGGGGACTGTTAAGGTTAGAGTCAACAGGGGCGTTCATGAAGGGGGTAAGAGACAGAGTGAAGATTAGAGGCACTGTACCTAGCTGGTGCTAAAGTTGGATCTACGACATCGAGCCCTAACACCCCTGTTGTGAGCACGTTGGTACGTTGCATTGCACAGCTGCCTGGATGTGGTTGTCGCAATGCGTGACACTGAGTGGTGGTTCCTGTGGACGCATGCGTTCTGTCACGGGCGCCGTTACGGCTTGGCCAACGGATATTCGTTCACGTGAAGACCTTGAAAGTGGAACGTCGACTCTGGGACACACAGCGGTAGGTGACACGATGGGTAGTTATGGCGCTTGCCAATCGCGTTGTGGCGTCGTTGCATCGACCGTTCCTGCTCGGTCGCCTCGTGCGCCACTTCATTGGAAATCATTTGTCTTAACACATTAGTCCATCCCTTGACGTTCAGCAAACGCAAGTAGTTGTATGGCAGAATCTTGTGTACCTGTTTTACCTCGTTTCTGTCACATCAGGCGAATGCGTCTGAAGGCAAACGTGTGATTGTGCTTGAGATCCTGAACGTTGCCCCGTACGCTCCTGGATCGAGACGTATTAGCATCTGCTTCAGGTAGATCTAGACAATGACGACTTATTGATGGGTGGTACATTGTGCGGTGCTATTAGGAGTTGTTGCCATTGTCAATTTATTCCCATCATAAGCGCACCTCGAGGTTCCCATGAAAATCACAGTCTCCTCGAATCACTCAAAAGCCCATTAAACAGGTGTCCAACTGCGTGGGCCTTGCGAACGCTTACTGGTGGCCATTGTAAGCGGTGTTGCGGGCCATCAAGAGTTCTCCATGACTACGTCTTGCCGGCCCCCATTTCTGCTTCGAAGCAGATAAGACATGACGCCCCATAGACCCCTCATGGCTTCGGAGCGATCATCCACGTTGAATAAATCAAACCATCGCGTCTTGTCAAGCTTAGGTGAGCACCAATCAGGGTCCGATGGCTGAGTCTCTGGCAGCTTGCCATTCGTGAGGTATTCAACGTATGCTGAATGCACGTGTAGCTTCAACAAGCGGATGTGGTGGTTCAATGATGAGACCATGAAGACCTGTGCACATGTAAGCAGGGTGTGAGTCCTTGTGCGATATGGGTAAACGGCGTACATCGTCCCACTCTGCATCTGATTCTTTGCCAATCGCTTCATAGATCACTTTGGGATCCCAGAGAGGGTTCCCTGGTTTGACGATTTTCCACACTTGCACTGGTGTTGGCCGTCGCCGTGGTCGTGATCCATCAGCGTTTCTCTGCAGAGATTTCTCCTGGGCACTGGGCGTAGTTTCGGTGCCGTTTGCCTCGCTGGATGCTACGCCATCTTCGACTTCGCCTCCCGGGCCGCCTCCCCAACGCTCTTTCGTAGCCCACCACTTTCCATCTCCAGCGACACGTTCGACTGTACCTTCCCTGACACGCTCTTGAGCTAGCAGCAACAGGCCTCCAAGTTCACGGATGGCATCCAAGTTTGACTCTGCGTCTAGATTGCCAGAAGCTCCGAAACTCACGTCTGGACGACACTGAATACCTAGCACAGGCCCTTCCATCCAGCCCTGCCGTGCTTTCATCCGATCTTGGGGTCCGCGCCATGCCACAGAGCTCATGCGTATCGGAAAACGCACGTGCTGCAGGACCAGAACAGGGGGCCGCCTGTGCTGGGAAAGTGTAACTCCAAAGGCCCATGCAATGGGCTCGACAAAAGCCCGGACACATTCAATTCGATACTGATCAGGCATCTCTGAACCATTACCGATACGATACCCTCGGTACGAGCCTTGGGACATGTCAACCGGCTTACCTTGAGGTTCCGTGTTGATTGTGTTTCGAAACCTAGATGGTGCAATTCTGGCAGGCAGTACCCTGCTCGGGGCGATTGATACTGTTTGAGCAGCAGTGCCGGTAGATCCTCCGAACCCGTTCGCGTTGACAGGTTGATCCAATGTTTGGTCACACACCGCTTCTGTCTTTGCTTTCTTACGAGGCTCGCCCTCCGTTGGGGAACCAAACCCACTTCCCATCTTTGCAATCCAATCGGGTTTAGTTTCAGCATGTGTTTCTTGATCGTTGCTCCTGTTGTTCTCATTGGAGAGAGAGTCCTTCTCAGCAGCTGTACTGTCTGTCTCCGGATCCGGAGTACGATACTCGTCTAGAGAGTTATCCCAATAATACGCCATATTATCGAGACCCTCCCAGAATTTTCGAAAATGCGCTAATCGCAGTGGTGCTTGACCCCCAGTGGCTTTCCGTGTCAGCGTCGAGAATGCGTCATCATTGTTGAAGAGCAACTCTCGAGCGCGGACGTAGAATTCTTTGCGATCCGGAACCCTTCTACCATTACTGAGGAGGGTGACAACAGGCTCTCCAGTTGACGGCTCTTGCTGATCTGGTGCATTCAGCCACATGGCAGGTGGCATGTGTACTGTCGCATCGTGGGGCAGCGACGATAAAAGCGTTTCGAAATCACACTCGGGTTGGAATGTGACATTGAGCTGCGCCAGAGTCTCCTTAGTGACGTCGGATGGTTTCCTCAAGCCGAGAAGCTGTTTGGTGATCCCTGTCACATTGGCCCTACTCCAGGATGCTGGCGGGGATTCTGTCGAGGGTATGGGTGGATCGAGCGCCGGGAAGGTCGCAGGTATCGGTCTTGCTGGAGGAGGCCGGTCCTTTTGCGTGTCATGCTGCCCCGCAAGAAGGTGCCCTGGACAGCCTTACATCAGCGATACTGTGACCTGTGCACCCGTCCCTCAAACGAAACGCGTGTGATGCTGAGGGGAAGAAACGAAACGTGACCACAACGCGTAGATTGCAACCTTCGCCTGACGCATTGTTGAGAGAAGCCGCAAGCCGCTCCCAGAACTATCCGGAGATGAGTATCTTGGATTCGAGAATGCCTTCGTGGCATATAGTATGAAGGCGACAAAGCTCGCGATAATGACGTATGGTAAGGTACGCGCGACGATGACGCCAAAGGAATCGCGACAGGTACGTACCGCTGAAGTTGAACATGGTCGTGCAAGAGCACCGTGAATCCTAGATGCCAGCAAGGATAGATTCGGGCTGCTAAAGTGAGGCTGTTGCAATGGTTGATTGTGTCTTCTCGGTGCTTGTCGACCCCAGATGGCAGGTGCGTTCGGTTGCCATTTCTGCGTGCATGCAGCTGTGTCTCCACAACACCCCAGGAGATTCGCACAACGAAGCTGATCAGCACTCAAACCACATTGTATCAAGAAAACTGGCCCTGTTACCCATTGACAGATGTCATGTCATCGCTAGCATGCGCGCATCTTGTCGGCCAAGGCTCTCTATAGCCTCTATTGTAACGGGCTTTGCGGGGAGTTGGCACGACGAGTTTGCTCGTTGATCTTCAAGCGATACCATTCGGAGTACCCGGAGAACCGAGACGCCCTGCCTACCTCAAGAAGCTTCGGCGGAGCTGCAGGATGGGTCCGTCCGTCACGTGGGCGGGTGGTTCGCAAGTCGCCATGCAGCCCCTCTTCCTTTCAACACCACCACCTACCTCCGGGTGTTGGCCTCCGAACCGCGACACTATTTCACGATAGTGTCGGTGCGACATCTTCACGGCCTGGGTGGCTAGCTGAGACGACCCTGGCGCCAATGTGGATGACGACGAGGCCTGTAGCGCTTCAGCTTTGTTATAGTCGCTGCTTGAGCGGTATCTGAAGCTGCCCGCGTTTCAGGAAGACCCAGGCGCACCACCATGTGCCAACGGGCGAAAGTGCTCCGACATGCGTTCGAACGACTACTGTCAACCTCTCTGTGAATCCAATTTCCAACATTGCCAGCGGCAAATTCTCTTCTCCTTGTTAATATGCTGAAAGCGTCGACGGCGCTTACATCTCTTCATCTCCGTCTGTTTCTCTGAGCCCTGGCAGGCGTTTCTTTCATGCCTGCGCCGCCTGCATGGCCTCTCCCCAAGAGTCGATCACGACGGTGAGCGGGAGACGATGTACTCGCTCCCGTGCCCGTACAGCGGCTACCTCAACCTCAACATCCACACCAGCAGCAGCGCCAACAGTGGCCGCTCCAACCGAACCGAGCACTACTTCCACGGCCGCAGCAGCCCCAACACAACAGACGGCTGCTGGTCCTCCAGGGCCCCAAGAACCGCCACTGCAGCCGTCGCCTCCATCGTCGGGGCCGCCTTCATCGTCACCGCCGCCTCCATCATTGCCGCCCCCATCGCCGCCACCTCCATCGTCGCCCGCACCCCCAGTATCGACCCCTCCCGTGGAAGCATCGGCCGCTGTGCCGGTGCCGGTGCCTACATCGCAAGTAGCAGTATCTTCGGCAGCAGGTACGGGTAACGCAGTTCTCATATCGCTTGCGCCGACTTCTTTGCCTGCAGTCCCCGAGCCCGCAGCACCAGCACCAGCACAAGAGACAACAAGTCCCGTAGCTCCTTCACAGCCTAGCGAACCACCTGTTCTCCCTTCACAAGTTGCTGCCGCTCCTGCACCTCCTCCTGCAAGCATAGCACCAACAAGCTCTGACACAGTCGAAACAGCATTACCTTCATCACCGTCGCCATTGCCACCGGCGTCGCCATCGCCATCGACCATTGCACTCCCCGTTGCGCAACCATCGGTGACAGGGTCGGCTGGAGTCAGAAATCCAACGTCTGTTCCTGCAGTCCCCGAGGTCGATCAGACCGCCACATCTTTGCAAACACCGTCGTTGATCACTTCTGTTGCAGAGTTGCTCTCACAGACAAGGTCTGCTAACTTAGGCAATCCTACACGCGACCCGGTGGGCGTTATTGGACCAGAGCAGGGCTCTCATAGTGGTGGAGTTGGACACAGTGGGGAGGGCCATTCCTCGCATAGTGGTAGTGACCCCAATATTGGTGGTATTGTTGGCGGCGTTGTCGGTGGATTTGTCGCCCTGGCTCTCTTGAGCGCTCTTCTCTTCTTTTGCCTGAGACGGCGCAAGTCGAGAGAAAACAACTGGAATGAGAAGAGCGAGGAGTCATCCAGCTTTATGTCGACACTGAAAGCTGTACCAGCAGGCTTTGGGGTGTTCATCGCGAGACTCCGGAACGAGAAGACAGGACCCCTGGACAACCCTTACCAACGACATCAGCCACGTTCCAGCGTTGGGTCCGTGTATTCGACTGCATCCAATGGGCATAGCAGATCCCTTAGTGAGCTACAGGGACAGTCTGCTGCAGGCGGTGCCTTCGTTCGCCGCATGTCAAGTAGGAAGAGCGACCGCAACCTATTGCGCAAAAAGACAAGCAGTGTGTCTTCGCAAAACCCCTTCATGGGGATCAGCGAGGAGCCAGTCCGGGCCAACAACATCGGTCAAGATCCTTTCGCAGACCAGGTACCCGACACGCCTAGGAATCTCCGCATCTCCAATCCCGACAAAATCGATGACCTGGCTGGTGGACTCATCGCACCACAGCCCGCAGCAACGCCTCGTGTAACTCGCGACCCCTTTGCGTCGCTCATCGATGAGATCGACGGTGCACCTGACTGGCTGCGAGATTCCAAAATGACAGCCAGCTCTGCCTCAAATCACCGACGCACGCAGAGCACCGCGTCAGCATTGAACTCCCACCCTCCCTCCTCGGTATACAGCAGGGACCCCTTTGCCGACCCGTCACCCATCCCACCACTCCCCTTCGCCACACCACAACCGCAACCGCCCACGAGCACCTACTCCGCGTTCCCCTCCGTCCGCGAGTCCAACTTCGTCTTTTTCGGGGAGCCCGGCCCCAGCCGCCCCGGCACTAATGTCTTCACCCCCGGCCTGCCCAGCAACCCCGGCGCCAGCCGCCCGGGCACCGCCGCCTTCTACGCGCCCATCGCCACGCCCCTGGCCACCAGCACGAGCCGCATGGACCGGCAGTCGGATCCGTTCGATCTCGACAGGCCCGAGGTGCTCAGCTTCAAGGGCATCATGAACCAGATGCGCGACAGCATTGCGCGCACGGCGACGGTCAAGAGCCGCCGCACCAGCAGCATCGGGGGCTGGTTCGGCAAGGACGCTGCGCCGGGCGCGCTGACGGGCGCGAGTGTGCGGCGGTGACGCTGACGACGCGTTGCGCGTGGTATTGAAGCAGGGAGGAGAGGGGAGGGGAGAAAAAAGCACTTGATGTGCCCACCACGCGTGGTTGTCACGATGGCAGGAAGCGTTCCGTTGGTCCCATCGTCGCGGTAATTGACTTACTTTCCTTTTCACATGCGTATCCGCAGTATTATGTCGCATTATTGGCATCGCATTGCATATGTTGTTGTATAACGTCTATATCCCCATGAGTACCTGGAAGAGAATGAGCACGCTACGTGCACTGCTGTAAGATAGGGCCACCTCTCGTTTGGCCAGAATGAGCGATGATGAAAAATCGAGATTGAATGATGGACCATAATCTTTCCTCTAATTCCTCGAGTGAAATTAGCTGTAGTGGGTCACGATTCGTACATCAAGTGTATGTGTATCGTGCATGCTTTCATTCATTCATGTCATTTAGTGCTCTCTGACAGCTCGCTATTTGGGCAGCCAATGTAGATTCTGCACTTGACTGTCTTCCTGCACTCGTCCCCAGCCTCGTCTAGACCAACTCACTGGTGACGTTCGAGAACTCGCCCTTGTTCAGCTTTGTGTCCCAGAAGATGGGGTTCGTGTCGTTGAAGCCGTGCTTGACCCATCCGTCCTCCTTGACGTGGTACAGGTTGATGAAACCACCAGAGTATGCGTCGCGGTGGGTGGCAGCCAGGATACTCCTCTTTCCGAGCTCCAGCGCCTCGGCGTCCTCGAGATCGTACTTGTACTCTGCATCGAGCACACCGTAGGCGAATGTCTGACCGGAACCGACACAGAACAGGTTGCCGGCGAGGCGGGTACCGTCGCTGTCAATGTAGTAGAGCGCGGGGCCTTCTTGCGGGGTCACGCCAGCACACATGGTACCCTAAAAAGGTGTCAGAAGAGCAGCCAACCAGACGGGTGAAACAAAAACCAAGGGAAACGCACCATGCTCAGTCCCATGCCCTTGTAGGAGTAGACCAAGTTGGACAGGATCTTGGATGCTGCAGCGACGGAGATGCGGCGCTTGTGTCGGAGCTCGTGGAGACGGCATTGCATGCCCAAGTATGCTAGCCAGTATTGGCAGTCCTGTTCCGTGTCAAAATAGCGTTCTAGATGTGCAGAGCTGCTTGCTTACGGCAGCGCCACCGGCCATGGTCCCCAGTAAACAGCTGTTGATCTCGATGACCTTCTTCACTGTCTGACTTGCTATCCAGTTGCCGGCCGTTGCTCGCGAGTCGGTCGCTACGATGATGCCGCCCTTGAACCGGAAGGCGAGGGTTGTGGTACCGTGGGCAATCTTGATAGGGCAGTTGGGGTTGGAGTAGTCGTCTGTCATCGCGCGGAGCCATGATTGTGCCTGGTCCGTCAGCATGTTTGTAGTTACGCAGGAGGCGGGTGCTGTACCTGGGCGACTGGTGGCAGGGCAAACTTGAGAGACAGCTCCGGCGCGCCGCTGTACAGCTCGAGCTGCTGCTGCTCGGTCTGGCCCTCGTCCGCATCGATGGGGCGGCTGTACTGCGCCACTAACGAGTCCATGGTTGCGGCGCTGGTGGTTTGAAGAGCTGAGGGTGAGTGACGCGGCGGTGATGGTCAGCAGAGTCGATTGTGGCGGGAAAGCGGGCGTGAGGTTGATGTCGCGGTGCTGGAGCTCCGGCGACCTAGCTCGTTGATGCAACTGCCAAGCCAAACCGCCGCAACGACGCGGCGGTTGCTGCCTTCCCACATGGACACTACATCGACTACATCGACTACATCAACTCGACATCAACCAAGTGCTACAAACTAGCCATGTATCTGCGTCGACTACCGTGACTGTGACTCGTTCTGCACCGGTGTATTAGACGTCCAAGCTGCTATATGTCCAGGCTGTACCAAAGCCTTAGTATGCGTCAGGCCGAGGGAGACTGCTGCACGCCAGGCTGACTTCTTTTCAATCATTTACGCAAATCAAACAGGTCTGAATCTGCCATGTTGCTACTTTTAGGGTGCGTTGAGCAGACCAGAAGCACTCCATGGCGACGTCAACATCATCACATGGCCCATGAGACCGCTGGTCATCCAAGACACAACCACCACCCACGCGCCACTCCTCCACCCTCACCAGCCTCCGTCATCCGCCCAAATCCTCGAACTTATGTTCGCCTTCCCGAGCTGCAGGCACCAGCAACAATCATGCAGGCACAAATGCTTGCCACCCTGTCTCATCCAGCTTGACTGCGGGAGCGCTATGCTTGTGCGTGTGCCTCACACTCCCGCATATGACGCCGACGAGTGATGCAGAAAGTGGGTGTATAACCATCCGTTGAACGCCATCATGGCTGCAGGCAAGAGCAGGATTTGGAGGACTCGTCTTCTGACCCTCTGTCATTAAGTATCGAGCGCCCCTCGCATCTGCACGCTTTCAAATGTCTCGCCAGCATAACCACTCTTCTCATCCGTACCGGGTGCTTCCACCGTCCTACTCATACAGTCCGGCCTTCTCCTCCTCAAGCTACCATCGCGCAGCACCACCAGCAAGACTCAAACCGCTTCCCTCGCGCTTCGACTACCCCAGCCACACCCCCCGCAACCATGTGCTGGATAACCCTCACCCCGACCAAAAACAAGCGAAAATCGACGTCCTCAGACTGCTCCTCTGCGGACATCGTGCGCGTCCACCATAGCCCCAAGCCGCGCCTCAGCGACATCAGCATCTCGCTGCCCAGCACCGTCGCATCCACAGACCATCACCACCACCACCACCACCCGGACGCTCTGCACCTGCACCACCCGCATCTCCCCGCGCACCTGCACCCCCACGCGCCCCTGCCCCACGGCCTGCTGCAGCACCACCACCGGCACCCGCACCTCCACCCCATCCACCCGCTGCACCTGCACCCTCTCGCGCCCCTGCACGGCGCGGGCAAGAAGATCCGGATCGAGGCGCCGCGCCGCGCGGCCCCGCCGCCGCCGCCCTCATCATCATCTTCTTCCTCGTCTTCATCAGACGCCGCCGCGCCCTGTGCGCCCGCAGAGCCGGTGTACCGCACGCAGATTGTCGAGCCGGCGGCCGTGCGCGCGACGACGCGGAGCGCGCTGCGCGAGGTGCGTGTGCGCGGGGGCGTGCGGCGGGTGGGCGGGTACGACGTCGCGGGGCGCAGTGTGCCGTGGGACTGGGACTGCGTGAGCAGTACGGTGGGGAGCAGTGTGCGGGGCGGTGGCGGGGGGCGGAAGGGGCGGCGCAAGAAGGGCGCGGGAGGGGGGCTGCGGTATCCGCCGTTTGGGGGCCTGGAGCGGTGGCTGTAGCAGAGCGATGTAGGGACACGGGACAGGACGGGACAGGACGGAAAGGGACGGGGCACGCGGGGCGGTGGTGGTAGTATGTCTCCTTGATGGCAGTGATGTGCTCATAGCTTACTTTCTACATTTCCCGCGCAAAACGACAAAAAAACAAAAGTACCACGGCTCTTCAGAGCCGGCAAGTGCACCCCCCAAGCCTTCGCCCTCGCCCTCGCAGCGCAGAAACAGAAGCATAAGCAGAAGTAGAAGCAAGCATACGCAGAACCCACAAAATATGACCAAGACGGAAACGCCGCCCTACCCCACAACCCAAAAGACTGTGAACCATGTGCAAAGGAAAGTAAGACGCCGGTGCAATATACACTATCCCAGTGCATGGGTATAAGCAACCAGACTACAAACCCGGAAAAGTGCGCCTATGCATACCCCCCGAAACGCCTAAGAAAGCAAAGAGTACGCGAAGAAAACAGAAGACCTGGGGCGCGGGCGAGCCTCACACGCCGGCCTGGGCGCGCGTGGGCGTGAGTTGCGGCGGCGGGTGCGACGGCGACGCGGCCGAGGTCTCGCCGCGACTGCGCCTGCGGAGCCCGTGCTCCTCGGCTTGCAGCTGCTTGATGAGGTCGCGGCTGGCCTGGTCGAGGTTGGGGTCGATGAAGTCGAGGTTGATGCCCATGCCGAGCGTCATGGCCATACTCAGGCCCTGCTCGAGCTTGACACTGTCTTTGCTGTCGCGGCGCCGGCCGCCGGGGGTGGTCTTGGGCGTGCGGCTGCTGCGCTGGGCAGACTTGTGGGTCGAGGATGGCACAGTGCGTTGAGGTGCGGTAGGTGTGACAGGAGCAATGAAGTCGGAGCCGGTTGTGAACAAGTTGTGGATGGTGGTAGGCGAGGTTGGTGATGGAGCTCGCACGTGGCGAGGCGATACTGGGGAGGATATCGGGCGAACTGCATCGTGTTGTGCTGGAGGGTAAGGCATATAGCCGTTCATCCGGCGGCGACTGTTCCCCTGCTGCCTTGGCTCGAGATACGGCAGTGGCCCTGGGGTGAGCGGCTCAACACTAGGCCCTTGACCGTTTGTTGTCGGGTACTGGACACCATCCATTGGTTCGTGACTACCACGCTGCTGCTCGATGGAGGACATGATCATGTCGCCTGTCTGTGAGTAAGAGGGCGGCATGCTAGTTGAAGGGTACTCATCGTGGGAGTATCCCTGGAGTGCTGGGTCGATAGGCATAGGCTCGTCATCTGGCCCGAGTGCTTGCTGAGCGGAGTACGCGATGTCTTGAAGTAAAGAGCCACCCATGTTGAATTGGGAATGACGCGGATGATGCCCGTTGCTGAACCCGCCTTCGTCAATGGAAGACTCCTGCTTCACCCTCTTAGACATCGTAGTCGTATCGTCTTCGCTGACACGTCGTCGTTTTGCTGCAGAGCCACGAGGCACAGGAACTTCATTTGCCTTGATGGGATCGACGTTGCCGTATTCGTCGTGTATGCAACGGCGCTTGCTCTTGCGACAATCGGCACATGCTTTGACTCGACCAGACTTCAAAGCGTAAGGGTCGCCATTCACGTCAGCCATGATGGGTCCACCATTCACAGGACCAGCCGCAGTGGCCGTGTGACCATCGACGATGGAGTGGTCGCTCAGACGGCGTTTGACAGAGATACCGTACGAGCCAGAGAGGTCAATGGTGTGCATGCCAGGCTTTGAAGAGTCTACAAGCTCGTCCTTGTGCTTGCATCTGATCCGTCTCTTCCGGCAGGCATCGCAAGCAACACGCTTCGGGCCCAGCTGAGATGTCTTCGGGGTGGTAATGTGAGGATTGTTCGCGCTGGGACGGAGAAACCCGGTCATGGGAGCAGCAGAAGAGGGCGTAACAGGTTCGGCCATAGCGTTGGTGTCGACCATATAATTGGGGTCAAATTGGACTGGTGGCGATGCGTCGTATGTCTGGACAGATTCTGGTAGTCTGTCCAAGTGCATCTCCGGAAACTCATGTTGGGGCTCTTGTTCAACCTGCTTCATCGGAGAAACCGTCGATCGTTTCTCGTCTACCTCAACTAGTACGGACAGTGGGATATCAGAGATAGCCCAAGCTGGAATGGTTTCGTTGCCACGCTTCCACGCGATGAACATGGCGAAGTGGCGTTCTAGGACAACTGGATCGCCATGACCCTTCGGTATCGATTTTGTGACTGCGTTGCGTGTCCTTTGCGGCATCTCGATCTTGTCCAGCGATATCATGACAGTCCTGTGGATGTAATTCAACACATCCGTGAGTCCTTCGAGTTCGTGTTTGGGGTAGTACCGTCTGTTGTAGTTCGCCGGGCCAAGATGCGAGTTGTGGCCGAACTTGTCGGGCTCGCAATATATGGGTATGTCGCGCTGGAACTGCTCGCCTCTCTGCAGAAGCTCCTGCACTGCGTTGGGGACTGGATCCTCTTCGAGATATTTGATGACTGTCAACCACATGATCTTCTGGAAGAACGGGTAACGGAACATCTGAGCCACTTTGGTACTCTTCTCGACTTCCAGGACCTGAAACTGCATGCCGTAATGTATGCGAGTCAGGAAGTTGCCACCAATGACCAGGCTGTCCTCTGGTGTCCAGACGGCATGGATCCAGCCGGATGGAATCAACATAGTATCTCCAGGATAAAGATCCACGCGATAGCACTCCTTGACTTGCTTGCCAAGCCAGTCGTGGCCTTGATTGGGCGAGAGGCACCAATCTTCGTACTTCTTCATGTTCTGTTTCGTTGGTGGAATGAAGAAGAAGACTTTCTTGCCCTTCACGATGTGGTAGTAGACTGACGAACCACCAAAGTCGATGTGGAAATCTGTGAAGCAGTCCGCGACGGACATCAGACAGTAGAACTGCACAGGCGGCGGCGCAAACTTGTCGTCTTCGCGCCACACAGAGTCTTGCAGGTCCATATCTCGCACAACCTGTGGCCGCTGAATCAGCTTGCCTAGCCGGCTTCGCGAGACTTCCAGGCTGATGACATTCCGCACCGGCTTTTCGCCTTGTTGCTCGTAGTAGTCTGCCCACTTTGACATGGTCCACTTTTTGGCCTCGCCCTCTTGCGCCTTGACGTCGATGACTGGCACCGTCTCGTTCGGTCCATATAGCTCAGCAACGCGACGAACGGTCAGACCTTGTGGTATGACCATGCCCAGCTTGTCTTGTCCGTCGTCGGCGATCGTTTCGTATTCGAAGATGTCATCTGCTTCGTCGTGCGCCGACTGGGGCTGTTCGCTGGATGTGGCGGATTCAGGAGCTGAGTCGGACGTCGACCAAGGGCGAGGATTGAAGGCGCCGGGTATGAGGATGGGCTCGCGGAAGCCGTTGCTCTTCTCCATGTAGTCGGCCGAGACCAGCTCAGGCGGCATGCGTGCGAATGTTTCGGGCGTGAACGTGAGGTCTCCGTTCTTGAAAGCGGCGATGTAGTGGTGCTCGGGATTGTCGTCGGATGTTCTCAGGAGGCCCTGGTTCAAGCCGGCGTAATCAACGGTAGTGTGAGCTCTGACAGATTTGCGAACCTCTGGGTCAGGTCAGACTTAGTACTCCAAAATGCGTCGGTAGACCTACTCGTTGTTTGACCGAATTTGGGTCTACACGGCTCGCAGTAGAACTTATTCACGTCTCGTACCTCGCGCTCGCTGTTGAACCCAGCGCACGCATAGTGGTACCACTCCTTGCAACCATCGCATCCGATCCACTGCTCGCCGTCACCAACTTTGACCTCCGAGTCGGACGACTTGCACGAGGCGCATATGAGGTCTGGCTCGGCGACCTGCTGGGCTTTGGGCCGCCGAATCGTTTCGACGGCCGGTGGTGCTGTGGTGAGCAGCGTCTGGAGTGGAGCAGACCGGGCGCGCACAGCTGCAGAAGGTATATCAGTGGTCGGCAATGCTAAAAAAGAACTCGAGAAGGAGCGGCGACGCGCGCCGAATGGCTGGTCATAAGGCGGCGTGATGGTGGTGGACGACGCGCCAGACGCGCTTGCGGTCGCGGAGACGCCATTGCTCAGCGGCGATGGAGCGCGATCAGCGGCGCCCTTGGAGCTAGTTGAAGACGCGCTCTTGGATTTGGGTGCGGCCTTCTTCCTCCTGCTGCTGGAGGGGGTGTTGCGGGGGCCGCGCGGCTTGCCCTTGGGCCAGCCCTGGTGCTTTTTCGGCTTTGCGTCTTCTGAGGTGGCAGTGTTGGACATTGGAGGTGGAGGGTGCGCGGCGGAGCTGTCTTCCGGCGGTGTGCGTGTCTGGACGGCGGGCGCAGGCAATGTAACGTGGGCGGGAAGCGAGGGCGGGTCTGGGACGTGCGCGACGTCAGAGGGACGGGGCAGCGGCGCATGGTGGACCGCGTGCTGCGCAGCCACGGCGTGCGGACTCACCGGGACGGGCAGGTGCTGTGCGAGGTGGGGAGAGGGCAGCGGGGGGTATTGCTGTGGATAGGGCGGGGCGACCTGCGAGACGCTCAACCGCTTGGCCGTCGAGGGCGGCGTCTGGGCGGTGTGGGCCGAGACCTGGAAGAAGTCGAGCAGCAGCTGAGCGTCAGACAAGCGTTTGTCAGGGTTGTGCTCCTGCTTGGGGTGGGGCGCGGCGTCCTGGTACATGCGCATGCCCGTGTCCACCATGTGCTCGACGTTGTAGGCCCAGCCCGGGTTGTGGCTCGTGGCGGGCCGCGAGTGCTGCAGGCCGTACGTGGGCGACGAGGCGCTGTAGAACTCGGAGCGCGCGCGCTTGGACGGGCGCTCGTCGTACGTGTAGGCGGGGAAGGCGAGGGCCGGGGCGCGGTCGGCGTGCGGCTGGGCGAGGGCGCGGGACGCGGGCGAGGGTGCAGCGTACGAGGCGCGGCGCGCGTGGTCGACGTGCGGCGGGCTGGCGTGCTGCGAGGCAACGGCAGCGTCGGCGAGGGCTGCGATGGGCGAGCCCGGGGCCCAGGCGTGGGCCGGGTGTGGCTGCGGCGGAGGCTGCGGCAGCGGTGGGAGCGCGCGCGTCGCCGGCGGCAGAGCCTGCTGGGCGGCGCTGTGGACAGCACTGTGGGCGCTCGCAGGGCCGGCGGCGGGCGCGGCGCGGCCATTGGGGTGTCGGCGCGGTGCAGCGGCGTCGTCTTCGAGGCCCGCGGGGTCTGCTGCAGCAATGGGCGCGGCTGGCGGCAGCACGGGCGACAGCGGCTCAAACGGCGGCGGCGGCGGGGTCGCAGGGCGCGCCGCAGGCAGCGGGTGCTGCGCCTTGAAGCAGGTTATACGGCGCATGGCGGATGGCGGCGCGGCGGGTATGGGCGTCGTCGCGGAGGTGAGGGCTCGGGCCAGCGTCTCGGGGCGGCGCAGCTACGGGGCGGCGCGGTGCGGGAGAGCTGGGCGGGCGGGCGCGGGCATGTCCTGCGGCGAAGCAGCTCGGGCGCAGGGCGAGCGCGGCACGGCGTGGGCGCGGGGCGGTGGGTGGTGGGCGTGCTGGTGGTAGAAAGAGGCAGAGGGTTTGTGGGGGAGGGAGTGCTCGCGCGAAGGCCGCCGAGCGCAGCAATCACCCAACGGTCCCGGCGGAGAGATGCGGCAGGGCGCGGCGGTCGCAGTGCACGGCGGACAGCTTGCGCAGGAGGCAGGCAGGCAGGGTGCGGCAGCAGAGAGCGGCGGCCGTGGTTGCGCTGGGGGGTGAGCTGCCGGCGTGAGGCCCTCATTCGCTGCCGCAGTCGTCTCCGACTGGGTGCTCCTCACGGCCACCGCCGGCCGCGCTGCGCTCCAGCTCCAGTGCGCGACCATCGCAGCGCTGCAGCTCTCGAGCCACTGCGTTGCTCCTCGCTGCTCTGTGCCCACTGCTCTGTGCCCACTGCTCTGTGCTCTGCTGCACCGCCGCAGCCACTGCGCCGCGTCTTCATCTCCGCGACCTCCCCGGCTGCTCATCTCAGTCCACGCGCCTTCCCGAGTTAGTCACGTGACTTCTTGGCCTTGCGCCTCATCTGCTACCCGCGCTGGTCTTACTACTCGTCCACCCCACGCCGCTCTTCCGACCGTGCACCCATACGCCCTCTCGAACACTCCACCACAGTCGCCAAAGTATGAGTCGCGGTGGAAAACTTGCCCCCGAAGTCAATCGGTGAGTCCGCCGCACGCCATGGCTGCTCGGCCAGCCTTTCGCCGTCGCATGCATGCGGCCTGTCCACACGACCTCCGCTAACTTCCGTTTCCATGTAGAGCTCTCTTCGTAAAGAACCTGAGGTCAGTCGCCCGTGCACCGTCGAGGTGCGCCATTACGGAGCCTCCACTGACTGTCGCAGCTTCAACGTCACTCCAGAGGAGCTTTTCGACCTCTTTGGCAAGTTCGGCCCGGTGCGGTATGTCGCCTGCTCTGCCTGCTAGGCCGCTCCCACTGCGCTCACCTTACTGATCAGTCGCCAGCCAAATCCGCCAGGGCATCGCCAACAACACCAAGGGCACTGCATTCGTTGTCTATGAGGACGTAATGGACGCAAAGTCGGCTTGCGACAAGCTGAACGGCTTCAACTTCCAGAACCGTTACCTCGTCGGTACGACCCCTCGTGCGCTCTCTCGACGTGTGCGGAAACTAACACGCGCAGTATTATACCACCAGCCAGACAAGATGATCAAGGCCGCAAATGATCTCGCCGAGCGCCAGGAGAACTTAGAAAAGCTCAAGCAGCAACACGGTATCGATTAGCATGAGGAGAGGCCCCAGGAAACGGTGAACTCGCGAGAGCGAATTAGTAATAAATATCCTGCGGGCCTCAAGACTGATAGCGTACACTCGAAGCATTCATCCGACGGCGGCGGCGACCACCCACGGTCGTCTACGACAAGTTCGGCACGTACGAAGCGCTCCACATCCATTTCGAAGGACGCCTCGACACCGCCCGGCCGCGACCGCGACTGGTACGGCGTCAAGCTGTCCATCAAGGGGCTCTGGAAATCAGTTATTAGGGTTGGCGTTTAAGGAGGTCATGACACGTTTACGAACGACACATGCATGGGTGAACTATGGTTTCGCGTCTTTTAACAGCTGGGATGGCTTTTTCACGCATTTCAATCTGCCCCGTTCGAGGCTGCATCCACACATATAGCAGATAGCCGACAGGCTTTGAGCGATCGATTCGCGAATACCATCCAGTTCTCTTTGGACGTGGCGTGCCAGTCGAGCATGAATGTGCCGTGCTGTGTTGTACTGCGCTGTACTGTGGTTTGCTGTGCTGTGCTCCCCCTCCCCACCGCATGACAGGTTCCCACACGCCCAGCACAGCCGCGGGCCAGGGTTGTTCCATGGAAGATCGTCAGCTGACCTACGCTTCTGGGGAACGTCTTCCGAGGACTCCGCGCAGGCACGACGACACGCCCCACGATAACACCGAGGTGCGGACTACATACGTAGCTTGCAATGACGATATGCCTGTCAACAGTGGGACCCACGACCGAGCACGCAGCAGTCATGTCAAGTCATGTGTCAATGCAGTGTATTGTATTCCGCTGCTCCGCCATGCAAAGGGGAGAGAGTTGGCAATCGTCGCCATGCTGTGCTCGCTATGCCAGTTTTATACAACCCTGACCCGCCCGCCTTCCCAGGGCCGAAGATGAGATGGTCGCGAAAGAAAAAAAGTTCCCAGCCAGAGATGTGTGCGATGATATGGTACAAATCCGCTCAAATGAAAACGCCTTACATGTCCCAACACTCGGACAAGTGTTCCCTTACCCAGTCCTAACCAGTGTCCGTGTGCATATCTATCCTTGTGAATCATAAACAATGAGCGTGAACGCCGACTGCGTTCCGGGGGCGCCGTTTTCCTGTCCTTGCGCCGGTTTGATACTGCCTTCCTTCTAGCACGAGTCGTCGCACTCGTACAGTGTGCAGTGGTGGTGACTGGGCTCCAACACCTCCAGCAGCGTGTCGAAGATTGCACCGTCGTCCTCGTCTTCGTCTTCGTCGAGCCGTCGTCGGCGCGCAGTCGGCGTTCTGTCGCCGTCCGACTGCGACGCGTCGTTCTCCGAGTCGAAGCCGCTGTCGTCACCAGAGAAGCTGACCATCTCTGCAGCGCCGGCGTCGGCATCAGACTCGGACGACGACGAGACACTCACTTCATCGCCGTCTGTGACGCCGTGCCAGCTCTGCTCGCCATCGTCGTCGTCGTCAGCGTCCTCGCCATCATCATTCTCCTCGGCACTGTCGTCATCAGGCTCTGTATCTCCTCCCTGGTTGTAGCCGCCAAATGCTGGGCCGCCAAGAAATGGTCCCGATGCCGGTGTGGCATATGCAAAGGCGGCAGGGTTGCTGGTGCGGGTCACAGACCGTTGACTGGGGCGGCTGGTGACATCTGAGCTTGACCTTGGCAGAGCAGGGTGTGTGAAGTGAGGGGATGGTGGCTCTCGTGAGCGTCGAGGAGTAGGGTTCCAGATCGTGACGGGTCCCATCTCCGGGGCAGGTACCTCTTCACGTGGTGACGATGAGCCTGTAATGCGTCGGCGCTTTAGTCGAGCTAATGGTACGCCCAGATCCTCCATATGCAGTGGTTGTGAAGCCGGGTGCTTGGAAGGAGAGACTAGACGGCGTTTCGACGAGCCAGGGGCTTCAAGAACCGAAGTGGATGCAGTGCGACCAAGAGACCTAGGTCGCTGTGGCTGGAACAAACTCAGAGGCGAGAGTGGCCGCTGTTGCCTGTTCTTCAGGATCGAGCTGGGAGTGAGAGAACGACGCCATTGTCGGTCAGCCGGGCGCATTGAAAGCTCGAGTGATTGATGGCTGCTAAACGAGGATTGCACACTGATCGGGGGCGCATCGTATGCGGCATTGAATTGCCAGCAGGCCTCCTTTGCGTCTGCTTCTGGCACAGGCGGGCCCTGCTCATCGGTACCTTCCATGTTCTCATCCTTGCCCGGCTGGTGACGAGGTAGCTGTCGCAGCTCTTGCCACGTCCATGAGCTGCCCATCTCGTCGCTGCGTTGCACGTATGCCTCACGCTGTGTGACATAGAGCCTCCTCTTCCCGCCCGACACTCGCATGACCACACCAGCAGCGAGAAACTGTGCCGACCACAGCGCCGAGCTGGACATCTCACTTGGAGTAAGAAATCGAAGCTTGGATTCTTTCATGACCTTGCGCAGTGGGATGAAGGCGGCTCTCAGGGCAGGATGTGTGGCAACCATCTGGTCTTCATCCCGGTCGGTGAACTGCAACCACTCCATGACGTCGCTGAATGCGTGAGATAACGTGGCCTGGATATCCCGAGCATTGGCGCTGTGCAAGGTGACATTGCGAACAAATCCGCGACTGAAGAGGCGCTTGTAGACAAGATTGTTAGCTCCACTGGCCTTGGGATACAACCAGTCGTCCGTCGACCCTGAGGCCCAGTCGCTGATGGCTTGGCTACTCCATCCGCTTTCGGTGTCACTGAATATGCCTCTGGCACCAGGATGGGGGCTCGAGTCGGTGTCGCGCAGGCTCTGCAGGACCTGGGCTGGTTTCTGATTCCTGGCTTGTGTCCACTCCTCGGAGTCCTGGGTAATCTTGGAAGAATCATGCATTGGCTGGTCAGGTGAGAACCAGATGCCGCGCAGGTCACGGCCCCAAGGCAGCAGCACAACCTCTACCTCCCAAGGATTGAGCGTAGTAGGGACGGCGGCGGATTCAAGAACCTCTAGTCGGTCCTTGATTTCGCCGAGCTCAGCTTCTTTGTTCTTGCGGTCCATAGCAGCGAGGACGAGCGCTGATGTGGTTGTGGACTGCATAGAACAGCTGGAGTTGAATGAGCCTGTGCCGTTGTCAATACGACGTCTGCTATATGAGACGCTGCTGCCGTCAGCATCAAGAGCTTGATGCATCTTTTCATGCTCGTCCATGCGATATTCAATAGTGACGAGCCTGTCATCATACATCTCAAGAGTTTGGTGGAGATCTTCTGGCTGAACGTAGTTAAACGATCCGCCTTCGAGTACCTCCAAACGGTGACCCAGTTCTCTCATAGTCTTGGCCACATTCGGGATAGAAATGAGGAGATTGTGCAATGGAGCAAGGTAAGACACCAACTTCTGGAGGTCTTGAGGTGAAGCGGCCCGTAGGACATTCTGAAGCTGCTCTTCTTGTTGTATCGAAGGTGACCTGAGGTGATAACCGTGTACAGAGGCAGCGTCGGTGAGCTTGTTAGGCGGGCTGAGCGGTCCTGGCTTACTCGAAGTCAGTCGAGACAGCGTGTCAATCAGCTTCTTTCCTTGCTGCACGGCGTTGTCAACAGCACCAAGATCGGGCGTGCCACGAACGCTAGGCGTCGCGACCTCGGTCACACTCTGTAGGAATTCGTGCGGGTCGAGCGTGTTTGGGATCGTATCACCAGCGACATCAAGCACGTTGCGGTTGAAGTCCTTGATCTGCTCAAAGGGACCGCGGAGGTCGCTGAGAAGCCTAATCGAGTCGGCTGGCACAGAGTTATCCCTGGTAGAAGACCGCTCTGGTTCGCTGAAAGCTTTCTGGAGTGGTGGTGGCACATTGTCATCGGCGATGGTCGGGGAGGCAGACTGCTGACGGTTAATACTTCGCATACTTTCCATGTTCAACATTGAAAGACCGAGCCCTGCAAGACTTCCGCGAGGCTGGTTCGCAGCAGGCCGAGCTTCGTCGTTAGCCGCTGGGCGCCGGTCATTGGAGAGCAAGCACATAGAGGGGAGTCCAGGCAGGCCAGACGAGCTGAGCTGCGAAGGAGTGTCCCGACTATGCAACAAGCGACCGGGTCCATTGGCCTCAGAAGCGGCTGATTGCTGGGGTCGCTGGCTATCGCCATGAAACGACTTTTGTATCCGCTCGTCGTTGTTACTCTGAGCTTCGTCTACATTCACTTGCTGCCCCAAGTGCTTGGTGCCCATTTGCATAGCAGGAGTCGGCTGCTCCGGCGCGCGCGGCGTTCTTAAGTGGAAACAGGCATGATGTCCACAGACACACCACGGCACGCGCTCACTCGTAGGGCGGTGTAGGGTGCTACCGTCATGGATTTCGGCACTGCTCTTGTCCCAAAACTGATCACATCCACAGGGGCCAACGGAGGCATCGCGGTAATTGCAAGGGCCGTTGGGAAGAGCGCGTCGAGGAGGGGGGTCCCGTTCGGTAGCTGGGCGGTAGAAGATGCGTTGCGTGCGAACCGTGTCTGGCTCTGCGAACCCCGCCATGAATGCCAGCAATTGGGCATCCCGCGAAGGGAGCGCGCGAGTCTAGTATTGGGACATGATTGCGCAGGACCTATGTAAAGAGCTGCCATGGCATTAGCAGCGCGCTGTACATTTTCTGGCGGGGCCGAGCGCGTACCGAGAAAGTTGCGGGCAGGAGACGAAGGAAAGAAGTTCCTTCGGGGGGAGCACCAGGCTTTATAGGTTCGATGCCTGACGATCGAGCCTTATCGCGGACACGGGTGCGCGGTTTTGAGTGGGCCGGGAGGGTAGGGTGGGGAAGGAACGGCGCAGAGTGACTTTCTGCTCGCATGCATGCCAGCCATAACGGCGAGCGCTCAGCCCAAGACAGCGGACGGGCGGTCCCCTGTGCAAACTATCGTCGCGGTCTGATAGGCTAGCCGGCGCTAGAACATGGGGAAGGCGCGGCTGCGCTAGGCTGCACTGAGCCGGCCTTGGATTACGAACTCAATTGTCTGCCAGATTGCGGAGGCGTTCACGCGCTTGCCTGCTTTTTCAATAAATGTGCACGTACAGCCTGCGACATGCTGCAGAAGGCGATTGCACGGAAGCAATCGCCATGTTCTTCCGTGGAGGCAGCAGCCCAGACGCGGCCAGCAGTGCATTCGCGCGACAAGTAACTTTTACCTTGCTCTGCGCGAGGCCGCTCATTGGGCACTATTCGCAGGACCATGCTGCTTGCGCAGGCGGGACCGGGATGCGCGTCCCAGACAGATCTTGGCCTGACATTTGGCGAATACATGCCAGGCAGCGAGACTACGTGACCTGCTGTCGCAATCGTCTATAAGATGGTGTGCAGACGTAAGCCTTGCGTGCGCGTAGAGCGTGCGTGATGAGCACAGATGAAGAGGGTGCAAGACGTGAGGGATCGCGACCGTTGCGCGACGTGCCTGAGCTGTTCCAGTGTAACATTATTGTGGACACAGAAGCCGTGCGACACCCATGGAGTCGCACACAGCGGCAGGAAGGCAAGAGCGAACGTCATAGCTGGGCCGATTGTGCTGACCGCTAACATTGCGCAGGTGTATTCGTTGAGAAGCTCATCACACTGCCGGCCTCTTGTTTCACGTTCATATTGGTTTTTCCCTACTCCCAGGCCACTTTTGGATAGCTTTGCTGCTCTGAGTAGCTACATAGGCTACCTACGTCTAATCCTTACCAACATTAGCTCCTCACCACATGCAGCATTGCTCCTTCAATTTACGATCGGAGGCTAGCATGACCGCGTACTGCAGCCATCAGGACCAACCCACATAATTAGCACTGCCCTCGATAGGTTGCGTGGCAAGGCCTTATCATCCTTCCCCTTCGACACAGCATGTATCTCGGTCACGAAAGCGTCAGCATGTGAACATGTGCCGTACACGCTGGCACCAAGAAAGGGAACGGTTCATGCACCCTCAGATTTATATAACCGGTGCTTGATCATGGACAGCTAGCTAATTTGTTCCCGTCCACGCGCCCTCTTCGTCTCCTCTACTTGAGTTTCTTCCCTGGGTGACATGGGTTGTGTCCTCCTTACAAAAGTAGTGAATCGAATTCGAAACGGTCGCTACTTAAAAGAGCATCTCGTGTCAGAGGACGCTACGATGTCGCTACAGAGTGTCGGCTTTGATACGTCGAGAAGGGTGCTATTGCTCGAACAAGCTGGCCCGTTTTTATATGCTTGGTGAACCCCAACTGCGGCCGTGAAGGTGGTATCCTTGGAGGGCGTCAGTATCGTTGCAGGAGTAGAGGATCGCATATATGCGCAGGAAGATGTGTGATGAAGTGTTTTTATTGTTGTTGATAATGGTGTGGTGCTGGGTCAGACTCATTCACCTTCGCCATCAGCCTCAGCAAGCGTCTCGACCGTGATACACTCTATGCAAGTCTCAAACCATTCTCCTCAGGCTTGAACCATTCTCTCAACAAATCCTGGAGGATACCGTTCGCACCCTGCTTCGCCTCATCGCTGGTCTTTCCTTGGCACTCAATATAGAGCTTGATCTTCGGCTCGGTACCACTACCCCTAACCGTAAACACCGCACCGTCGTCCAGCTCGCAGGTGATCATCTGGGCAGTGGGATCTACGGGTAGATCAGGCGTGTGGTCATTGCTCTTTGAGTCATAGCCTAGCGTCAGATCCCTCCAGCGCACGATCCTGCGGGGTCCGATGGTGGTGGGGTGCGGGTTGCCCAGTGCGCGGATGGCCGTGAACACTGCTGTTGTGACTGTTGGCGAGGGGGACACAAGATACGTATTGGCGTCCTCGAAGTAGCCGAGATACTCGTAAAGTTCTTGTAGCTTGGTGTAAGGCGTCAGGCCCTTCTCAGACCACTGCGAGGCGGCGGTCAGAAAGACGGCTGCAGCACTGATGGAGTCCTTGTCGTGGACCGTCTGGGGGATCATGTAGCCGAGTGCTTCCTCGAACGCGTATGCGACGTTGTAGCCTTGCTTGTCAAGGTCACGTGCTACGTTCCCAAGCCATTTGAAGCCTGTCAATGTTTCTGTGAAGTGGAAACCCTCCTTCTTTGCCAACGCAGCCAGTGATCTAGAGCTTACTGTAGAAGCCAACATAGCGAGCTTCTCGCGAGGTTTCGAGGATGGGTACTGTTCAAAGATATAGTGGCCAAGCAGTAGCCCAAGCTGGTTGCCAGTGAATATGTGCCAACGGTCACCGACCTTCTCGGCCGCAGCAAGTCGGTCAGCATCTGGATCACTGGCGAGGATCAGATTCGCTGATGCGGCATCAGCTGTCTGAATAGCTAAGTCTAATGCTCCCTTCTCTTCTGGGTTAGGGAACTTGACTGTAGGAAAATCGGGATCTGGCTGTGCCTGTGCTTCTACAACAGTCATTTGCGACGCAACTCCCAGAATTTCAGCGCAGTTCTGCATGGCTGACAGTCCAACGCCGTGCATTGGTGTATATACGAACTTGAGATCCGGGCTTAGCGTAATGGCATGCTCTGGCTGCGCGGCGCATAGAACGGCTCTACGATATTGGTCTCTGACCAAATGGAGGGAGCCCTCTACCATGAGGCTCGGCTCATCTATGATGGACGTGTCCCAGGTAACCGGCTTGAGATTCTCCAGAATGGCTTGCGCAATTCCAGTATCGTGTGGCGGGATAATCTGGCAGCCATTGGACCAGTATACCTTGTATCCATTGTCTTTGGCAGGATTGTGGCTTGCGGTGACCATCACGCCAGCGGCGGCGCCCAGCTCTCGTACTCCAAAAGGTACCAACGGAGTGTGCGATGGGGTCTCGTACCACCAGACTTTGATGCCTTTAGCCACAAAAGCGGCCGCTGTGAGTTTCGCAAACTTCTCCGAGTTGTGTCTGGCATCGCGACCTATCACTACACCTCGCTTCTTGACGTTCTCTTCGGACTTCAGGAGATATGCTGCTAGTCCTTGGGATGCTTGGATGACCGTGAGAGAGTTCATGCAGGCAAAGCCGGCTTGCATGGGACCTCGTAGACCAGCAGTACCAAAAGCAATTCGATTCCGGAGTCGCAACTCCAGTTCGGTCGTGTTCCCATGATGCAGCAGCTCGTAGATCTCGTCTCTTGTAGTCTTGTCCTCATCAAGCTCCAACCATTCCTTGGCCAGCTCTTTGATATCCTTCGCCATGGTGATAGAATTTGTTGATTGCGAAGATGTTTGGGAACAGAGGGAAAGAAAGGTATCGAGTGCTTATTAGCGCCCTTGGCTGGTGGCTATGACCAAACGGTTGCAGTTCTTGCAAATCTGGTGATGGCGGAGGTGGCCGGGCTCAGACGGAAGGGACACTGAGGTCAGCACCTGCCCTATTCTGCAGCAATAACTCAACTTTCACCTCACTAATGTGCAGCTCGATCGTGTTTTCCGAGAACGTACGATGCAATACTAATCACTGGAAGCAATGCGGTGCTCATGCCCTCAGTGTTATAAGAGGTGAGCGCTGAGTGGTCGAAAACGGCCGTCTCCACGTGGGGCACTCCGCCACGACGCTGTGCCCTGCAACTCTCAACAGTGGTTCGACTTGATCACCCTATCCTCGCCCTTTCTCGCGTGAATTCAAGGTATTTTCAAACTGAAGCTTCTCTTCACATTCGCTCGGAGCATGTTTTGAACTCCCGATTCATTTTTGCCTTCCTGCACATTTCGACTCGCACTTTTAGCTTTTGTGTAGCTCCGCCCCTTCCCGCGTCGCAACAATGGACGCGCAAGCACAGAGGAAGGCCAAAGTCTTCAGTCGTAGGGAGATTGAAGGACAGATTGCCAATGGCAAAGCTATCGTCATTGTAGACAACAAGGTCTTGAATGTGGGAGCTTGGATGCCATACCACCCAGGTGGTGATAAAGCTATGTGCCATATGATAGGAAGGGATGCCACCGACGAGGTTACTAGGTGAGTAGGAGCTCTGCGTTCCACCACCACTGCTAATAATCAATACAGGTTCCATTCCTCTCAGACACTCGAGCTTATGAAGCGCTACCAAATCGGCCGCATCGAAGGACGCTGGACGAACTTCCTACCGCCGATCCAGGGTGGAAAGTTCAGGACACAAGCGGAGCTCGAAAAGCTCTCGGAAGAAGAATATTTGGATTCGTGTTCTTCCTCAGACCATGAGACTGCCAGTTCTTCATCATCCGCCAGTCAAAGTCCAATTTTTGAGCCGGCAGACAAGGCATCCTCGGTACGCCAACGAAATGCAGCCAACATCGCACGCGCTTCTTCGTCTTCGTCCATTTCCTCGATCGGGGAAGAAGATATGGCAAAAGCCCCGAGGATGTCTGTCCTTGACAGACGCACGCAGCAGGAGCTAGACTTCGACAAGGCGAAATATCCCTCGACGGACGCAGAAACACAGGACAAGATCACCCAGAAGTACCGCGATCTGCAGGAGGAGATCCAAGCACGCGGACTGTACAACTGCAACTACACCTCATACGGTATCGAGTGTCTGCGTTACGGGACGTTCATTGCGCTGTTCCTCTATGCTCTTTACTCGGGCTGGTACATCACAAGTGCGATTCCGCTCGCTTGCGTCTGGCACCAACTCACTTTTACGGTCCATGATGCTGGTCACATGGGCATCACACACGACTTCACGACCGACACGACCATTGCCATGTTTATTGCCTCCTACATGGGCGGCTTGAGTGCGTGCTGGTGGAAGTTCAACCACAACGTCCACCACCTGGTTACGAATGATCCTGAGCACGACCCCGATATCCAGTACATCCCCATCTTTGCAGTCACCCACCGCTTTCTGCAAAGTCTCACCACGACGTACTACGAGAGGGTGATGGAGTACGATGCAGTTGCCAAAGTTCTGGTGCGCATTCAGCACTACACATATTACCCTATTATGATGTTTGCACGTTTCAACCTCTACCGGTTGTCGTTGGAGTACCTTGTGTGTGGGAAGGGCCCGACGAGGGGACCCGCGTGGTGGCACCGCTACTTCGAGATGGTTGGCATGACGGTTTTCTGGACCTGGTACGGCTACGGTGTCGTCTACAAGACCATGCCAGACAACTTCAGCCGGTTCTGGTTCGTGCTCATCAGCCATGCTCTCACATCGCCCTTGCACGTGCAAATCACACTGTCACATTTCGCGATGAGTACTGCAGACCTCGGCATCCACGAGTCCTTTGCCCAGAAGATGCTGCGCACGACCATGGACGTCGACTGCCCGCAGTGGCTGGATTTCTTCCATGGCGGACTCCAGTTTCAGGCTATCCACCACCTGTACCCCAGGATCCCTCGGCACAATCTGAGGGAGACGCAGAAGCTAGTGCAGCAGTTTTGCGACGAGGTGGATATTCCGTACGCGCTGTATGGATTTGTGGACGGCAACAAGCAGGTCATTGGCAAGCTGGCAGACGTGGCAAGGCAGGCAGCCATTTTGGCCGAGTGCCAGAGGACGCTTGCAGCAGAGGGCGATTACGGGATGCACTAGGCGGCTGAGGCAGATTCAAGTAGATGATTGCAAACACAGGTGCTCGCTGTTTTCCCGTCTGCGGTGACGTCTCAGCGCGCCCGGATGATGCGGCCAAATGAATTCTGGGCCCTGGTCCTCTTTGCGTGCAGCACTGCGCGTGGGAGGGTGACACGTGTTGCGCTGGTGGCGCGGGCGGAGCGTTGCTTCTGCACAGACGGGAGCAGGCCACGCCTAGCCAGCAGCCCTATCAGATGCGGCAGGCCTGTGCCGGAGCAGGTTGCAGACTGTCGTCGCAGGTCGCAGGCCGCAGCTCGCAGCCGCGGCGGTGCGAGCCAGGGCTGCGCTGCAGTGGCTGCACCGCCCGTTCGCACGGCTGAGGCAGTCAGCCGCGACGCAGCGTCAGCCGGCAGGCGCCCCAGGTGCTATGTATGTTGCGTGGATGAGGTGAGGCGGGTGGTGCCTTGTCGCGCTGTTTCCGGACCGCCAACGCATCCGTCTCGGTTCCTGGTAAGCGGTGCTGCGAGCCACTCGCTGCTCGGCGGCGCGCACATCCAGTCTTACACATCACCCCCCCAATCCCTCCCTCGCTGCCAAATGCACCTGTCCTCGCCGCGCCACGGACCCTCTGCTGCGATAGCAAATTTGGCCGTCCAACGGGCGACTGCCGCGTGCTGGCGAGTGTCATTTCAGCGCTGACCGCCATTGCTCGGTTACCGTGCGACTGCGTGCCTCGACTTGACCCGGACACCCAGTGCACCCAGCGCGCGCAGCATGACAACGCTGCTCCGAGCGCGCCTGTCACCTGAAGTAAACGATCCGCAGCCGACATGACCTCGCCCGCTGCTGCTTCGCTGGACGCGCCGTTCCAGAGCATCACAGGCGCGGAAGAAGTTGCTGAGCCGGCGTCGTCATCGTCCACCACGCCGACGCCCACCACGGCCGCCTCGACGCGCGACAGCTCGACGTCCAGCCAAGCCTCGGTCGTGCATGCCCCGCCGCCTGGCGTGCAGAGCAGCCCCGCGACCCAGCTGCCCTCGATGCGCCGCCAATCCCTCGCGCGCGACCGCTCGCTGAATGCGTCCGCGTCGCCGTCGCCCGCCAACTCAGCCCTCAATTCGCGCGATGCCTCGCCCGCCCGCAGCCAGCGCCCGTCCAATCCGCCGCCAGGCCCCAGTGCCCGCTCGCAGTCGCAGCTGCGCTCGCGCAAGAGCAGCGCCGACGTGAGTCCCAGCCGCGCGCCCGCCACCAGCTCGCCCGGCCTGTCTGCCGCCGCCATCCAGCGCGCCCTCTCGTCCGCCAGCATCCCGCAGCTGCCGCCCACCGTCGCCGCCGACGTCGCCCGGGCCCCTCGCCCGCTCAAGTCGCCCTCGGCCGCCGTCTCCGGCGACAGCACGCCCCACTGGCCCGTCTCGCCGCGCATCAAGTCGCCGCCGCCGCCCGACGCCCGCTCGCACTCGCGCTCGCGCCGCAACTCGCTCCGCACCCAGGCCAAGAAGCCCGACCTTGCCTCGACGCCCTCGATCGTCGTGCAGCACTCGTCGCCGTCGCCCGCGCCCGTCGCCCGCGTGCCCGTCAAGGAGGACGTTGCCACGCCCGGCGAGGAGGACATGCCTGTCATGAGCATGAAGGCCCCGTCCCGCGGCGCGAGCGGCGCCGCGCCCAAGCTGGAGACCGTGCAGGAGTCCAGTCTGCCTGCAACACCGGGCTTTGACGGCGTGGAGCCGCATAGGTAAGCTTTCCCCGCAATGCCCCACTCTTTGTCATGGCGACGCACGATGCGGCTGCGCACGGAGCGAAAAACTATGCCCAGCCACCCGTGCTAACGGCTATCGCAGCTTCGCGCCCACAGCAACCACCTCCACAGCATCGACAACACCCAGGAAGGCCGACGAAGATCGAAATGACGTCAGCTCGTCAAAAGTTACCGAAGACCTCAGCAGCCGACCAATCATGTACGCCAACACCGGCAGCGGCAGCGACAGCGGCACCAAGAATGGCGGCAAGGGCAAGATGCAGGAGCAACGGTCGTCGTCCACCCACCGGGTGAGCAGCCACGTCTCCACCAAACCCTCGTTGACGTCGCTGTCGTCCCGCGCCCGCGACCCACCCCTGCGCAACATGACGGTCGAGACCGAAACTGTCCCGTCGATAGCACAGGCCACCATCAGCAACCAGGATCGCTCCGTGTCAGGCCGTGTCGACGGCAGTCTGCGATTGAAACCCAGCAACGAGACAATACGGCCCAAGAAAGAGAGGCGGCCCCCGAAGCGAAAGGCGCCGTCAATACACTCCGGCACCGGTAGGTCTTCGCAGCTCCCCTATCACTACCAAATCCCCAGCAGGCCCGGCATGGTGCGTTCGAACACTGCGTCTTCGTACGGGAGTCAGATGTCACTCCGCTCCTACGACGACCGGCGATCGATAGCGACCATGTCACCGCCTGCCAGCCCAGAGATGACCGTGTCTGCTTATGCTCCGTCGTTCAGCTATTTTTACTCCAATACTAACTCAACTTCCCGCAAAGCTTCATCAAAAGCAGATGTCTTTGAACAGAAGGTCGCCAGCGCTGTCGACGAAGCCAACTCTTCCGACTCGGATGCTACTTTCATTTACGAGTCCAACCCACCTGAACAACAACAACCTCATCGCAGCCGGGGCGGTCACCATTCAAGGACACCAAGCATGACGTCGATTGCGAGTCTCGCTGATCCACGCCTTGCCATCCGCAACGAGCATAAGAACCCCGGCAAGAAGAGCAGCATGAAGTTCACGAACCCTTACACCAACCCGAACCTGGACCTCGACGGCCTGGAGCGTGGTGAGGGCACAATACGATTGGGATCTGGTCGCGCTGGCACAGGCAGCCACCACCACCACATCGGAAGACATGGACAAGGCCGTGGCGCTCTCGGGCACATCTTACTCAGCGACGACGCTGCTTCAATGTCACAAGGCTCACGTGGCCGCGGCCCATCTTCCCGACACCCATCGCAGCCGAACAGTCCTCGATTCCACAATTTCTCCATTCAGAACGGTATCGTCGCTAGCAACCACAAGTATGGGGAGTTGTCAACATACGACATCGATGCGGGCATTGTGGCTGACGACGAACGCACGCCGCTCATCCCATCAGCCCGAAGCCCTCGCATTCGGACACCACGCCGCAGAGACAGCGTAACGTTCAGCAGCCTTCAACGCCAACTAGATCGCAGACAGCGTAACGAAGGAGGATGGTGTCGTCGATTTGCCGGATGCCTAGTTCTGTCCATTCTGCTACTAGTTGTTATCTTCAGCTCCGTGGGGCTGGTGTTTGCAACTACTAAGCCTCTCGACAATGTCAACATTCGCCAGATCCGGAATGTGGTTGCTAGCCAAGAAGAGTTGATCTTGGATTTGGTCGTCGATGCTATAAATCCAAACATCATCGGCGTCACAATTACCGACATGGACGTCAGCATCTTCGCGAAAAGCAAGCACGTTGGCTCAGACCAGTGGTGGCACCAACACGGCAACGGTCCGAAACACAACAATGAGGAGGACTGGCAGAATATTGACGTCGACGTCGCTGAAGCATCCGGCAAAACGCGCGACGGCGTAGACGAAGGCACGGATCCTATCGCAGATCCAGACGTTGGCGAGCCTCGTACCATGTTGCTTGGCCGCATCGACCACTTTGACTCTCCTCTCAATTTTGATGGCTCATACTGGCATCGACATAATGCTACGTCGGTCGGCGAAATTCGCCTGACACACCCTGGGAGCAAAACCGAGGCTGGCGGAACAGAAAGATGGGAAGAAGTCTCGAAATATCCCTTCCAATTGCTTGTGCGTGGTAATTTCAAGTACCAGCTCCCACTCAGTACACGAGAACTCAAAGTCATAGTCGGCGCGGACTACCATTATGATCCGGACGCCGAGAAGAGGAGGTTGGTAGAGGCCGGTGCGAAAAGAAGGAGCCTCATGCAGACTACAAGTGCTGCCCCACCCATGTCACCGGGAAGATACGACCGCAGAACGAATCCCGTCACTCTTTATCGGTAGAAGTTGCATACCCACGTTGTACACCATCACATCAGCACCAGAACTCTTGAGGGGCCGCAGCCATTTGCGGTTCCAGATATCACGGCCGAAAGACATCAGATACCCTCATACAAATGAGTTCACGACCCATAGACTTACAATATCCGGACAGCGTTCCGCCCCATCCGCGAACCTGGCCGCATGATCGTCCTCACTTTACGGCGTCACAGCCCAACGATTTCCTTGTGCTCTGCTTTGCTCTGCATTTAGTCACGTCGGCCTTTTGGAAGGTCGGCTGCATGTATACGCTTTGGGTGCATCCGCAATGCGCACGGATCTAATGCGTTTCAGCGAAGGTGTTTGTAATTGTTGGACACTGGTCATTCTCTACCTTTTCAAGAGATGGTCAAGCTGCTTTTTTGATCTTCTCCCCATGTGAGCGTTATTTAGCGACACTACGTTTTTGTACCAACCCCTTTCAAACATTGAGCGATTGCATCGTAGGAAAAGAATTGGAATTTGCCGCGCTCATGGTTGAGCTGCGCATCACTGCTTGCACGTTTGTTCGCTATTCTGGTGTGATTATGTCAACTAACACTCCGTACAGGGTGGTTATTCCTCCGGTTGATAGCTCACGGGTAACCATCGAAAGTTTGGCCAATCCACAACAGCTGCGACACCCTCCTAGAGCTTTTGACTTGCTAGATGCATGCCGCGCCGGCACACTGTATCAGCCCGATGTGTGACCCTCCTGTACTAGCTACGCCACTCCGCACGCCGGCCCAAATGCTCCGATCAGGAAACTACCGTACTTTACACGGACTTACTTTGTCTCTAATATAGTTCACGCATGTGGCTCATGCGGGGTGCTTAGAGTTTGTCCAGTTCAGGAAAAAGATGATCAGAGTTATCCCGGTGAGGCACTCTCGGTGCATCTACCTCCACTCGTGTACCTTGGCAAGATCAGCGCTACCTTCTATATTACAGGCTCCCTGATCCCGGCACATTGGCTTGCTAGGCCGGTAGAACTGCGCAACTCTTGATACCAGGTGTTCTCACAATGCGCCTTCGTCAACTTCTTTCTCCAGCAGTGTGGGCCTTGATAGCTACCAAAACACAAGCATGCACCACAGACGATGACTGCAGTCTGAACGGCCTTTGCCTTCCAAACACTGGCGCAAATACAACCTCTGTCTGTCAGTGCGACCCTGGCTGGTTTGGCTCTGACTGTGGGCGTGTTGACCTCGCGCCTGCCACCAGATACACAGGCTTCAACAATACCAAATATAGCGCACCGGATCACTACAGCAACCGTGGCAACTCGTCCTGGGGTGGCCAAATTGTGCAGGATCAAGGCGACCCAAAGCTCTTCCACTTGATCTACGACCAGTTTGGGCATGGGTGCGGGCTCAGCGGGTGGCGGCCGATGAGCTTCATTGCAAGGGCTGAGAGCACAAGTGGGCCGCAAGGACCGTACATGTGGAAGCAGAATGTCACTGGAAGCTTCAGACACAACGCGTATGTCTACTGGAGCCCAGCGGACGAGAAGTATCTGCTTTGGAGTATTGGCGTAGACGTGCCGGATCCCAAGCAATGTGGTGGCATCAACAAGTATGTCGACTCTCCTGTGCAGCATTGAGTGCCGACATCAGACACTAACTCTGTCGCAAAGAGCGCAGTGGCCAAACAACATCTCCGTTTCCGCAGCACCAACAATCCAGGGGCCTTGGAGCCCGTTCAAGATCCTCGTAAACGGAACGAACCCAGCTCCAGCACCCCTGTGGACCTCCGACGACCCCACAAGCGAAACCGTCCTCGTGGCCGAAGATCTGAAAATCTTTACCGCGCCTTCCTACAACGGCCCGTACAAGCAGATCTTCACCGCCCCGTGGAATACCTCCGACTACTCGCCCACCTGGGCCGAAGATCCCTTCGTCTGGCGCGACAAGCGCGGCAACTGGCACGCCCTCGCCCACTGGATGGTCGACATCTCTGAATTTGGACGTAAATATCCACGCGTTGGCGCGCACATGTTCGCGCGCAACCTCACAGGCCCATGGACGTTCAAGCTGCAGGAGGCGTTTAACTCGACCGTGAGCTTCACCGATGGGAGCGTCGAGACGTTCAATCGTAGGGAAAGGGCGAAGCTGTTTTTTAGTGATGATGGAGAGGTTACGCCGTTGTATATGGTCAATGGCGTGCAGAGGCTGGGGAGTACGACGGAGAGTTATACGTTGATACAACCGGTGGGCACGGCGTGGAGGGAGTATGAGAAGGGACTGGGGTTTTGAAACGTGGTACATTGTCTGTACATTGTTTAGGGCCGATCAAGCCATCTCTCGTAGTACATGAAAAGTGGACTGTACTCGTTAAATCCTCCGCAAGTGCTTCTGTATACCTAGCCCGTGATCGCTAGATAAGGAATCCCTTCCTCATGAATCTGTGCGCCCACTAGTTCTTATAAAGGTGGGGCACTACATCCTGACATCTTACGAGCTTGTGGAGGGTCTACATCACCTTCTCCATCGGCTATATTGCGAAGTACCTCCAATCCAAGTCTTCGGGCCGAAGAAAACACCACGATCTTCATGAGCGGGACGCCAGAGAAACCCCATGATCTACGCCAGCAGCGCCATAGCGCGGCATCGACAGAGCCACAGTCTCGTGATCTGTTTCTCGTAGATCCTCTGGCCGAGAAACGCTCCAAAGCCATCGATCGAGCCCTCGAGCAAGATGCGAAGGTTCGCGAAAGACAGTTCAACGTGCTACCGCTTGGTGCATTCTCCATGAGAGACGTAGTCAAGCAACTGAAAAGCTGTAGTAACACTGGCCTGACAGAGGCAGAGCTGATGGATTACCGCTACAACATTCACCAATGTGTCATTGCCTGCACTAAAGCGCTGGTGGGCGTGGTAAAGAATTCTGAAATCCAGCTGGAAGAAGACGTCAGCGATCGCTACGGCTTTCTATGCGATTTCATCACGCTCCCCCATGTCGATGAAGCACTCAACGAAGAGGCCGGTCACGCCATCGATGCCTTGTGGAAGAACCCCTCTGTCAGCGCCGCCTTCCACTCCAGCGCCAAGTACGACCTGAAAGACTCCTCCGCATAGTCAGTCACCAACACCCAGCCCAACGCAGCACTAGACTCACCCCCCCCCCCCAGCTTCTTCCACGCCATCCGCAGAATCGCCGCCCCGGACTACATCCCCACAGAAGCCGACATCGTGCAGTCCCACAAGGGCATCCAGGGCGTCTGCTCGCACCGCATCCTCGCCCACGGCTCAACCATCAACCTCATCGACGTCGGCACCCAGCGCTCCGAGCGCCGCAAGTGGATGCACCACTTTGACGCCATCACGGCGATCCTCTTCGTCGCCGACCTCGCCTGCTACGACCAGGCGCCCTCCGGCACCAACGCACTGGCAGCGCAGATCGGATTGTTCGACAGCGTAATCAACAACAAGGCGTTTGCGAACACCATCTTCATCCTGTTTCTGAGTAACGTCAGCGTGTTCCGGGCGAAGCTCCGCAGTTCCCCTCTTGCAGACCACTTTCCGGATTTCAAGGGCGGTGAGGGCGGTGAGGATGGGGAGCTGGCGGGTGAGTATGTGCTGCGGCGCTTTTCGGGGGTGAATCGCGGGGGGCGCAAGTTGTATTCGTATCTGGTGGATCCTAACGTGGCCTCGAATATAGAGCTCGTGGTGGCTGCGATTAAGGACAGTGTGCATTGAGTATATTGATTGGATGGTAATGTTGCTTGACATGTTTGGTCTGCGGCTGTGTCCGATCAGGGCGTCTCGACTCCTCGGGCTTGGTCTCGGATGTCTTTTCAGGGAGTATATTACGAGGGTGGTATTTAGGCTACGACTATTGATGGAACACTTCTCACCAAAACTAGTTTGCTGGGACATTGTGAATGAAAATAAATCGAGATACTTGCGTATCGGATCATATGTGTCGTATATACCTGGAGGAGAACTAGCCTCTACATTGTAATGGTAGTGAGGGTCACTTATGACTCGAGTTGTAACGTGGTTAATGAGTGGCAATATCGTATAAATAATGTAACCGCTGGACCAGAAGCTCAGCCATCATTGACGACTTCTTTCTCTACGTCTGTTCGAGACATCTCTCTCCCCCTCAGCATCGAAGCAATATCCTCAAACCCGCACTTTTGTGCCAATGCAACGCTACTGATTACTTCCCAGTCTGTCTTCCACGTAGACTGCGCGCCAATCCCAGCATCCGCCCCACTGTCAAGCAACAACTCTATCAAATCTCTCTTGCCCCCGATAATAGCGAAGTGTAGCGCAGTCATTCTTCCATAATACATATAATCACCTGACGTGTTACCCTTGTACGTGTCAATATAGCACGCATCAAGCAACGCTCCTCGCTCAATCAGATACTTGGAAACCTCCAGTCGGTCCAGTATCTCTGGTCCGCCTGGGGTGTCGATGTACGCGAGGGCTGCGTGGGGCAGTAGATTCGTGCCCGCGACCACAGCGCCACGGTCTACGAGCAGTTTGATCATGGCGAAGGGCGCATAGCCTACTGCGCGCTGCATTGTGGTGTGGCCGGACTCCGCTTTGGAGTCTGGTTCGGCGCCCAAAGCGAGACAGGCGTCGACGAAGTCAGGGTGTTGCAGTACCAGGCTTGGAGGTGTTAGCGAGGAGCAGGTCAGAGCGTGGTGTTAGTGTTGCATGAGGACGTACCTGATGGCTGGGGGGCAGTGGCTGTTGAGCGGCCGGTTGATGTCCCAGACCGACTCGAACAAGGCTCTGAGAGGAGTGAAGTCGCGCCTTTGTTTCGCAGTATGGACGGCGAGCGACATGACACTGTCTTGAATGTCTACATTGAACGATAGTAGCATCTTGAGCACTTTATCCCAGTGTTTCAAGATTACAACGACCATTAAATGGCTATCGTTTAGTATTTCCAGGGCAGCGGGCTGAAGAATGCTCGGATTCGATGGCTCTCTCCAAGGTTCTAGGAGTTGCTGCATAGTTTGGAACGGTTCCTCACAGTCCTCAACAGTCCGTAGCTTGTATGCCAAATCGATGATATCCTTGACAGATCCTGAGGGCTTACTAGCCATCTTCTCTTGTTGTCTGTGGAGGTTTCCACTCCTGTATGATGGGGCGGGCGCTGGAGAATCTCAAGAGGAGAAAGAACCGAAATGAAGGAAATTCTGCCTGTCCAAGTTTTGTATGTGTTGTGGTCAGAATGCTGCCGGGGTCACTCACTTATAAGATATTAGGTATCCATGAGCTAGCCCATTCTGTACTAGCTCTTGGCTGTCGAGGGGGAGGCACAGCATTTGATGGCAGGTATGTCTCATACCGGAGTCCGAACGATAAAGGACCGATTTTGGCGCGTGAGTGCTAGTAGTTGCAGCGAAGAAAACATCTATTAATGAACGTACAGTACGGTGTCAATTAAAGTGAAGAAACTCTTCCACAAATTACGCCAAACACAAAGGTCGTTTAGAGATACCAGATCTTTACTTAAGGTAGACTATAGTGCAAACGAGCTACTGCTTTATGATCCCTTCTACCTCATACGGTAGAAGGTGGATCTGTGCCGTAAATGTGCATTCGGATTTAGACTTGAAGCTGCAACATCTTTGGAGGCACAGGTATCAACCCGCCTACTGGTAAGTGATGGAGTTCCGCTGCCCAGTACCATCTCCGCATCCTAGGCGTTGATTTGGTCAGTTTGGTGATATTTCACCTCTCTCTAAATGCTATGAAATGCTCATACACGGTTAACGTTACTGTTGCCCACAACCTTATCCTTCTACTTCAGTTGCTGGCAATTGAACACCCGTCTCCCAAGTCCACTTGAACAGAAACTCTACTTACTCTCTTCTTCCTTTCTTCCAAAACCATCATGCGTTTCCTCAACATCACCACTGCCATGATCCTGGCTCTCGGAACAGTGAACTGTCTCACTATCCCAGAAACCACGTAAGATCCCAACATATGTGGACGAGGGCACAGTCCTGACAGAAACAGCTCACCTGGCTTGATTCCAACAATCTTCAGACGCGCTCCACCGAAATGTCCAGCCGGAGACAAATCTTGTCAGGTCGGAGCCTGCCCCAAGATGAAGACTGTCTTGCAATCAAAGCCGCCAGCAGCTTGTCCACTTCCAAAAAAGAAGCCAACAACCAGAACCCAGCGGGCTCTTGAAATCACCTCAGACTTATTGAATCGCGCAGTAAAGGGAGGAACGAAGCCGAAAAAGCCTGTCCTACCTGCGTGCTCGCCAACACCGACGCCAAAGCCGACACCCAACAAGCCTACCAAGCCTACCAAGCCCTCAAAACCAAAACCTTGCACTGGAAAGAAGTGCAAGCGTGAGCACTCAGAGCACGATCTAGACAACACTTTCGTCAAACGTGCGAAGAAGATAATCGAGATGGACGATGCCAAAGTCTATAGCTGGCGCCCCAACGATGAGATTGAGACGAGGTACATCAGCGTTTGTTCGGTTCTAGTAGTCTACAACAGGAATAAGGTGGAAATGGCACACATACCACAAGCACGGGAGATAGGGATTCGCTTCACGCCAGGCGAAGATGTTATTAGGGACCTTACGAGCAGGCTTGCTGCTGCTTTTGGGAGCATGTCCGGTGCGACTGCTCTGTTCCTTCATCACTACACCTTGGACGATGAGCGCGTTCAGCAGATCAGCGATTGGGCCAGAGCACAGGGTGCCACTCCAAAGATCGAGACTTTCGAAGGAACGATCCCAGGTAGTGGCGTTTTCAATATCCGGCGCTTCGACGATGCCTGGCCTCCTTATTACGGTCTTCCCCTCTAAGTGGCAATGAGAGGTTCGGGCTGAGCCTGTTTAACGGGAACTTGCTGAGTACGTGGGTTGCAAGTCGTGAACACTCGGCCTTACACGACGCCTTTGGAATAGATTTAGGAGCACATTATTCGAACTCAAACCGAGTATGGGCTCTCATGTTTCAGGGAAAACAGCGGATAAGCAACCTTCAAGTTGAGCGGCTTTGACATGAACTTGTAGCTGTTATGGTACCTAAAGCTAGCGTTAACAAAAGCAATATAGAACTTGTAGCTGTTATAATACCTAAAGCTAACATTAGAAAAGTATTACCTATATTGTAGGCAGAAAAGTATTCTACATGATCTTCTTGTATTTTCCGTACTTTGCTGTAGTAGAGTGGAACACTTAGCTCACACCCTTACACAGTTGTCCGCCATTTGTCCTGCAACGTAAGAGTCGGGACACACTACCTCCATATGATCGATGGCGACTTGGTGACGCTACTGCATCTAGACCAGCTACTCGACACTTTTGTAGGATCCAAACCTTTCTTGTCACAGCCCAGAAGCCAGTTTCTTTCAAGTGAACGGTCTGACGTGTCTGTGTGCAGTATATGCCCGTTCAATTTCTGTGTAGACGACGACGGTGCTGTGTGCAATCGCCGCTTGAGGGTGTTGGTGTACAATGGACTGGAACTCGGACAAAGAATGTGAGTCAAATGCTGCGTCGTGAGGGTAGTCTTTCCCATATAGGTCAGTCATATACAAACCCTAAAATCTCGAATGCTTTCTGATGCGAACGTATTCTTTCCCACTCGGCTCGTCGTGCGGCGTGAGGAGCACTAAGACGTTGTCTCATATCTTGCGTCATCCTCGTCATGCGTATACCCAACTATTTCTCCAGACTACAGCATTGGTAGACACTACCAAACGTGCCCTGACTCAATTCACTACCTGTAATTCAGTCTGGTCCCTTTAGTAACTCAACGCTACTAAAGCATTATTTGAGAAGATCTCTGAGAATATGTGGTATACAGTCCAAGTTAATATAATCAAAGCAATCTCGTGCCTCTTCATACGTCTTCGTTTTTGTGTTGACGTGCAGTGGTACACGTGCATACTTTCCACGTTTGACGATATCTTCACAGAGCTAGCAAGCAGCGATAGCACCCGGGGCGTTCTCGTCCTTGGCTTCGATGGGCCCATAGCGTTGCTTGTCCACGGCCGACTTATGCACCCCACCAGCCTAGAAAGATGGCGTATCCGAAGTGCGGAGCCGCCGCGACAGCTTGGAGCTGATGCCGTGAGATGCGGGTAGCCAAAAGAACCCTTTTAGCCGCACAGCACGGTATCATTTCGGTAGATACCCACTACCAGGTCTGCGGTTACATGCACGAGCGACCATCGAACAAGACACGGTACCTCCTCCAAAGTGTTGATGGTGGTGGTGATTTGCTGCGTCTGTGATCGTATCAGAACAGCTGGTGCAGACGTCGGCGCCAGCTGACTTGAGGCTGAAAAGGGGCACCAGGCGACGAGCGCCATCACCATTTACTGGCCCTGTGCACCCATGGCGTCCTTGCTTTGTTGGCAAATGGTGTGCGCGGGACCGTGTTGCAATTAATGTGACGTGAAATAGACCGAGACACAACAAGGTGCCTCTATCAGTGCGTCCGGTAGCTCACGAATGGCAGCTGCCAAATACGGAGAACCGTTGTCAAGGCGTGCTGGGCTACTGCAGCGTCGCGAAAGACCGGGCGGGACCTCTACGTCAAGGGAACATGGGCCTTTCGTTCGGCTCGCTGCGCTAGCATTTTGGGGTTCGGTCATCATCAAAACTCCACTTCGCCGGAGATCATAGCTTCAGACGCCGCCCTCGCCCATTGCGCCGTGACCTGTTGCTCACAACACACCGAATCGACTGCCACTGAGTTGCCTTACATGGCCGATCCATTCGACGCATAACAACAGCTCCTGCTTTCGTAGAAGCGCCAGCCTGTCAATTGCGCCGCTGCAGCTACCGATGAGCTCGACATCGGTCTCCACCTCACTCTCCTGCTCCCGGTGAACGTGCAGCCACTCGAGTTACGGAGTACATCTCTACACACATTGCCTTTTTGGTTGTGAGTACCGACGACTCAAGACTTGCACATTACCTCAACAATGGCTGTTGCGCCAGCTCAGCCAGGGACGGGCGCAAACGTACGTCAACAAACCCAGTACAGCTGGCAAGCCTAAACTCACATTGCAATCGTAGCCCCTCAGCGTACCGAACCCCACAAAACTCGACAAACTAAGGGAAGCCGTTGCGCAACCGGTCGTTGCGTCCTTCATCGCTGGAGGAGTTGCTGGCGCTGTTTCTCGAACCGTCGTTTCGCCCCTCGAGCGCCTCAAGATCCTGTTCCAAATTCAAAGCGTTGGCCGCGAAGAATACAAAATGTCAGTGCCAAAAGCGCTGGCAAAGATGTGGAGGGAGGAGGGCTGGAGAGGCTTCATGGCTGGCAATGGAACTAACTGCATACGAATTGTTCCCTACTCCGCTGTGCAGTTCAGCGCATACAACGTCTACAAGAGGGTGAGTAACTCCTTTTCGCCACTTCGTTTTGTTCGTCTGGGATTTGAGTTGCTGGACAAGCTCTGCTGCGAGTTGCGTTTGGGCGGGTGGTCATGGCCGTGCACGTGAAGGTGCAGAGTCGTACAGCAATGGAGGGACGCATTGTTCGAGACTTTCAGGATGTCAACACACGCAGCGGGTACATACCGACTGCGATCTCATATCTGACAACTTCAGTTCTTCGAGAGCGAACCAGGCGCCCCACTAGGCGCATACCAGCGGCTACTCTGCGGTGGCCTTGCTGGCGTCACATCCGTATCCTTCACATACCCACTCGATATCGTGCGCACCAGATTGTCCATCCAGTCCGCGTCGTTCTCCAGTCTCCAGAAGGAAGAAGGCAAGAAATTGCCAGGCATGTGGACGCTCTTGGTGGGCATGTACAAGACAGAAGGTGGACTCCCCGCACTTTATCGAGGCATTCTTCCCACCGTGGCTGGAGTGGCCCCATACGTCGGCTTGAACTTCATGGTGTACGAGCTGGCACGCACACAATTCACGCCCGAAGGCCAAAAAGATCCCAGCGCGATTGGCAAGCTGGGAGCGGGTGCTGTTTCCGGCGCCGTAGCGCAGACCATCACATATCCATTCGACGTGCTGCGACGACGCTTCCAGATCAACACCATGAGCGGCATGGGATACAAATACGCAGGCATCGGCGACGCGATAAAACAGATCGTCATGACAGAGGGTCTCCGAGGACTGTACAAGGGCATCGTGCCAAACCTGCTCAAGGTCGCGCCCAGCATGGCAAGCAGCTGGCTCAGCTTTGAGATGACGCGAGACGCGCTCATGGGATCGTGGAACAACGGCTTCTTATAGAGCGCATCATGATTGGCTTCCATGCCAGCACCAATCTCCAGCAAGGACTAGAAAGAGACAACGATACAGTACAACGCACAAGGACTGCATTGCACTGCTGCATGGGGGGGGGGGGGGGGTATATAGGGCTTTGGTCTCGAGACTTCACAGCGATGGCGTCGGCGTTCTGCTGGTATCTAGCACACAACCAGTCCCTCCTTCATTGTCATTCCAGGTAGACGGGAAGAGGCGGCTTGTACCAATATAGTCAGGCAGGTCGAGACGGCGAGCACAGCACATGCAAAGCAAATACTCAAACTGATTCAATCATGAAAGGGCTCAACGTGCATCGGTAGATGTACGTCGGCGTAGATCCGTCTTTGTGATCCAGAATCAGATCGTGTGCACGCGTACGTCAGAGTCTGGTTCTGCGCTTCCCCACAACCTTGCCGGAAGTGGCGTGATGCTCAGCTCACACCAGCGTGTGCTACAGATCCAGATTGCGCCGAATCTCGTTGATATAAGATCCCACGCTGCTCCTGGACGGACCGAGTCGCACCCTTCTTGTCACATGCAGCAGCGTAGTCATCATGGTACTCTCCTCTGTGACATTATAAGCACTAACGACTTGGTCAGGTCGACACATTGGCACATGTCGCTTCTTTTCATCTTTTTATTCATAGTCTGTTGTTTACACTAGCCAGCTCCAATCCGTGATATCTCAGTCTCGAGCCAGCCACAATTTTACAAACGCCGAAGCTGTCCTAGCGGAGTTGAGAAGCGAAAGGCGTGATGGTGGTAGCACGCAAGGTAGAGTTTTCAATATAGCTCCACGTCCCAGTCGTTCCAAAATTTCATCTCCACGTCATGTTCCCCCCGTCTCCTGGTATCAATATCATTCTCAATTTCGGGTCTCCTTCATCCCATGTCTACGCGGTAGCGGAGACAGTCTCAACCTCGACCTTGGGCAGCGGCGCAGACTTGCCACCGAGGTCTGTTGCACGGGCATTGGGGTTCTTGGTGTAGTAATTCGAGATGGCGGACTTGATTGCGTCTTCTGCGAGCATGGAACAGTGAACTGTAGAGTCAGTAAGGTATCCAGCACATTCGAGAGTAGAAACTTACGCTTGACAGGCGGCAGGCACAACTCCTTTGCAATCTCGGTGTTTTTGATCCTCGCGGCATCCTCCAATGTCATACCCCGGACAAGCTCTGTCAGGTAGCTCGAGCTTGCGATCGCACTACCACAGCCGAATGTCTTGAACTTGACGTCGCTGATGGTGTTGTTGTTGGGGTCGACGCGGATCTGCAGCTTCATGACGTCGCCACATGCGGGCGCGCCGACAAGACCGGTACCAACGTCCGTGTCGGTCTTTGACATGGAGCCAACATTGCGGGGACGGCTGTAGTGGTCGAGCAGTGCTGCGGATGTTAGCTGGTTGTTCTGGCAAATTGCGCGCCAGTGATGGGTGGAGTGCGACTCGGAATCGTCTCCGACGACCCTTGCCACTCCTACTCCATCGCCGTCACTGCGCAAAGATGCGACTTATCTTTCTCGTGGTATTGCCGCCTGCCGGCTGCTGATACTGTGGGTGCTGCTGTGCGGAGGGGCGAGGCGATGCTGGGTCTGGCGGCGGTTGCGAGCACTCGGCCGGCCTGGGCGGGAACTGCTGCTGCTACTCTCCTGAACATGGTGGAAGAGTGTATGTGTATGGTTGCGAAGTTTTTTGGGTTATTGCAATCGATTGAGTGCAATACAGGGTCGAAGGGTTGAAGCGTGGGTGTAGGTGGTGGTCGTGTAATGAGTGACGAGGGTCAAGGGAAAAGATGTCACTTATCGCCTCTGCGAGTCTCGGCGATGTAATCCAAGCTTGGACGCAACCCCACACCATCCGTCGGAGAAACGATCAGTTCACCGAGCGGCGAGCGCGATCTCCGGGCTTCGTCTTATCAGATGAACCACGATTGTCATCACATGCACAATCAGATCGAGCACCGAGCGCACAGCTGGCTTCAGATGAATATTGTAATTTTGTATCTTGACGTCTTAAGACTGCTTCATGCCCCCATCATCACTCTCGGTAATGTCCCTTTTTCGATGTGGCAGGTTCAAACGCACCAATCGCAATCAACTCCGCACCCGCTATGCTAGCTCCATCAATGCACCTAGACTGCCCGTCTTACAAACGCCTGAAGAAATACACATATGCAAACTTCTTCATCTCATCGATATCGGCAGCCTTAGCTACCTTCTCGTCATTGAAAAGAACCCAAGCAGTGTCTTGCACGTCAGGCTGCTGCTTGCGGACAAACGCAACGTAGTGCCCCGCATGGATAGAGCTACCCTTGTGGCACACAATAGACTGTAGCTGGAAGTTAGCAGGTAGCTTGTCGCTTCCTGCCTGTAGCTTCTCCTGTGATTCGGCAGGTGCCTGTTCATGTCAGTTTGTAGTAAGATGTGTCGACGACATAGACTTACCCCTGCACTTGCGTCGTCACCAAAGTCTCCGGCGGCCTCGGGATGACTGAACAGCCACTCAACAGCACGCTCCATATCTCCTCCAGTCTCCTTGAGTGCTTGCCGAGCCTGTGGAGCATTGAAACCCATGCCGCTGAGCATTTCGATCTTCTCGGGGTCGACTGCACTTGGAGCACCACTGCTGGACTTGTCTGCGCCAGCGTTGAAGTCGACAGGGTCGTCGATGTCAGGGTCTTCCATGTGAGCGAAGAGCCAGTTCGAAGCGGCTTCTGCGTCCTCGTTGCCAGTAGCATGTAGCGCCTTCTCACATCGCACACGAGGAAAGCCCATGGCTTCAAGCATCGACAATGCAGCCTCGTTTGGCGTCCACTTGGCGGAGCTGCCAGAGTCTGCGTCGTCAGGAAGCACTTCTTCGCCATCCTGTAGACCGCGTGATTTGTATGCGTCGAATGGCATCGCTTCGTCATTGACAATGACCGGAACGTCTTGTTTCGTGGGCACCCAGTTGACGATCTCGAAGCGGCGAGCGTTGACAGCCAAAACGGAGGGGAATGTCTTGAACATACTTCTCTTCGTGAAGCCATCTTTGCTGCCGCAAGCACCACATGTGAGCTCAACTACCTCTTCGGCCGTAAAGATGTCAAGACATTCCTTCAGTGTGACAGACTCGAACTCTTCCTTCTCCTTCTCCTTGCCTTGACCGTCAGTAGCGTCCATCTGCGCATCTTTCGGCACTCTACGAATCGGCACAGGAATCGATATGTTCTCCTGCTCGTCAGATCGATAGCGTACTCGTTTGCAGCCGATGCACTGTAAACGCTGCTCCATGACGAATCTGAAAGCATCGACGGGGTCCTTGAAAGGTGCGACATGCTGGGACCGCGAGATAAGCTTAAGCAAATGGAGTAGCAGCTCAAATGCGTCTTGCTGTCGCATTGTGGAAAATTCTGCATGTCCTCGTCCGATCAAATGCTTCAGCATAGCCGGTGCCAACCCACGCTGGTGTGGAGCCTCGGGTGTATCCTCGGTGACAACGACATCGCTATCTGGCTTCGAGTATCGACCAGAGATCAATCCGTCAGCGATTTTACGAAGCTGAGTTTCCAGATCCTCGGCAGGGAGCGCCGCATCCGGTGGTCCTTGCTCAGGAAGGTAGTATCGATCTCTAAACTCTGGTATCGCAAACAACGCTTGCAGTGTGCTGTTAAGGTAACAACTGTTGCCCAGGTTCTTCAGTCCAGTGAAGTCCGAGCCGAACAAAGGCTTCAGCTCTTTGCCATCCTCTGTCGTCATGGAAAACTCCCATCGCAAATTCTGCTCGACTTGCATCTCCGTTAAGCTCTTCTCTGTCTTCACTCGGTCCTTGATGTTGATGCCCCAGTGTGCCAGGTGGTCCGGAAGCTCGGGGTCGATTCGCTCTTCGTCGCAGGCGTAACAGTAAATGTCTGCAGTTCCGTCTGCAGTCAGAGAACCCAGCTTGACAGCAACGGGATGGCCTGTCGTCTTCGTATGTCCTACACCGTGCGAGTTGCCACCGACGCCACCAAATTGCTGTCGCCCACAGCCAAGGTTGCCACAAGTCAGGCAAAGCCATAGATTCTCGTTGAGATCACACTCGGAACAATGTCCGAGAGCCCCAGACTCAATCTGCCTCGCATCCTGCTGTTCAAGGCACAGTGTATGCTCGCAGGCAGTCATCTCTTGCTCCCATGCCTTCACTTCCTCCTGCCTAGCAAAGGTGTTCGCTTTTAGGACAGCCTCCACAAGCCCTGGGAGCTTTCCAGAGCTCTTGTCTACCTCATCAACGTTGCATTCGTAGCACTTGACCGTGGTGGTGGTGTCGTAGCGGTCGGTTTCGGTCTCGGCGGCGATGGAGAGCTTCGTGATCTTCGCTGGGGGTTCGTCACGTGAAACCTGTTTGCGAGTGCGCTTAATGTTCAGCACGAGAGGGTGGTTTGCGCCCGAGATGTGGATGAGGGAGTGGCCTCGGTCGGCTGTACAACCACCGTTGAAGCAGTATAAGCACACGTCGAGACCGGTGGGGTCGTCCTGGCCACACGTCAGCTTGAACAAGTACAACACTTCGGGGATACTCACGATCGAATCGAAGCACTGCGTGCAATCCTCGCGATATACAGACTGGTTAGGACCAGGCGAGCGGAGCTCTGTAAACATGTAAATACCGCTGCAGCGGGGCGAAAAGCAACGCGGGGTATTACCTGGCGCATTTACGTGCACACACGCCATGTTTCGTATTGTGATTCTAGAGTTGGGAGAGTACAAATGTTATGGAGAGGCCAAAAGAAGAGAAGGCCGGAGGCAAAAGAGGCAAGAGCAAGAGCAAACACGCTGTGGCGTGCCTGCAGTTGGTCCCTGGATCGGCATGACGGAGCTCCGTCATAGCTCCATCAAGTGTGGGGCAACAGCCTCCCCCTCGCGCTGTGGGAAAGACACCCGACCATCTGACTACGCTGCATACATAGTCTCAAAATTGCCATTATCTCTTGCAAGAGAACGTGACCATTGCCTAGCCCATCCTATTGTGGTTAAGCCAAAAATACATTTTGAAGAATTCCCATGATTTAGGCTATGGTACATTCGTCGCCTCGCAATATGTACAAGGCCGAATATATTTGACATCCTATCATTGTCATCACTTTATCGTAGAAGCAAGCCAATAGTATGCAGATTCAAGCTTGACGCTGTTTGAGGGTTCGAAAGGCTACGCCTGACGCCACGCGTGTCTAACTATACAACATGGAGTATCTATAGACAACATATCAAGATGTCGGGTTCAAGAAATAAGATCGACAATGACTGAATACTTCCAGACAGGCGCAAGCGATGGCCACATAAACAAAGCCAAGCCTCGGAAGCCTCCACACTACAGCTGGGACCATGTTTAACGCCCCCTCACACAACTGTATGGTCCCTACCTCATCTGCAAGACCCAAATTTGTGCAACAGAGCAATAATGTTGGTGTTTGCATCCAGTTGTGAGGACCCCCCAAGTAGCATCGACAGCACTAGCCAGTACATCGACAATGACAGTCATTGTCCTCGCCTTCCACGTATCCCGTGTTCGTTAACGGCGCTACTTAGTCGACCTTGATCGACCGGTAAATCCTGAGCGTGAAGAGCCAGCTGGCGAAGAAGCCAATCGTACCTGCCATTCATGTTAGCACTAGACTCTGTACAAAATGAGCATTTGACTTACCAGTCAGCACAAACACCAACAAGCTCAGTAGCGCCGAGTAGCCCAGATACACAACTCCGCTCGTCCAGCTCAAGAAGCTGACATCTTTGACCCAGTAGAGTAAACAGCTGGCAAAGACATAGAACGCGCTCGCTCCTGCAGTGAAGAAGCTGCGCCACTGCCAATGATAGTTCTCGGCACATAACAGGAAGTAGATCATCAACACCGTAACCGCAGCGGACGTAATGATCATGAGTCCAAAACAGATGAACAGGAAACCAAACATATAGTAAACTTTGCTAAACCAAATGGAGTTCATGATGAAGTAGAGCTCAACAAAGATGGCGCCAAAGGGAAGGATACCCGCAAGTGCCATTGAGGGAATCGGTCGTAGATAGCCGCCGGAAGGAGGGATCTGACGGGGGATCTGGTTTGTGCGGACGGGTGGCTCAATAGCAGCTTGCTTGAAACCTAGCCAAGATCCCGCGAAGCTGAGAGGAACCGAGATGACGAACCAGATCACTACAATGACGAGCATCGTAGTAAAAGGAACAGCGCCCGACGCGCCACGGCCCCAGACGAAGAGATTGAGCAGGAAGAATGTTGCGAAGACTACAACCGGGAGGGCGAATGGTGTGTAGAAGAAGCACAGCTTCCACTTCTCGCCATGGAAGAACTTGTAAGTTCGCGAGGAGACGTAGCCGCCAATGATGCCGAAGAGAGTATAGAAGATGATGATAACGGTTCCGAGAGCGCCACGGTTGCTGGGAGACAGGAACCCGAGCAGAGCGAACACAATGGTCAGCGCTGTCATGGCGAAAAGCTGGGCTCCGTTGCCGAGTAAGACTGACAGGAACAAAGGGTTCTTTGGTGGTCTGAAGACATCGCCATGAACCAGCTTCCACCCTGAGTCTTCTGCTACACCGTCCTCCACGTCATTGTCCAGACCGAAGTCGTCAAGAGCAAATTGATCCAGACGGTTGTACCTTGCGATATCCTTCCTGAGCGTGCGAACCAGGATCGTGCTGACCATGCCGACGAGGAACACAACAATGACAGCGGAATTGATTAGAGAGAACCAATGAATCTTCGGGTCATAGACGTGGAGGTACTTGTCCCAGCGTGTCGCAAACGGTGTCGGGCTAAGGCGCCAGTAAACACTGTAGGTGAAATCGACCTTATCGCCCTTGTCCTCATTCAGGATGATTGGAGTCTGCGCGCTCTGGCATTCGGATTGTTTTGGGTCCTTCATTGAGTAAGGGTCCACCAGCACACCTACGACCCGGAAGTTGTTCGGTCCTGCCTCGTGGTAGTCGATAACGATATCGTAGTGGTTGTTGAAGATCGGGTTCTCTCCATCCAGCAGTCCAAGCGCAAAACCAGGACTGTAGAAGGGCAGGTCGGAGTTGGGGTCTTTCAATAACTGCGCAGCCGGCAACCCGTCTATCAGCCAATTCAAATCATACCCTTGCTTGATCTTATTGTTCACGAATACGGCGTCTTTCGAATCGTACTCCTGCGGCCCACACAGCGCCTTGCACGTCTCATTTATCCCCATCTTGAGCTCAAACGGGCTGTCTTGTATGCGGTCACCGAACAATATGCTGCCCAAGCTCTCCCTGACGAATTTCGGTCCATCTTTTGGTCGACAAAAGTGGAAAGGCTCGTGATAGTAATCGAACGAGAACACAGATCGTAGTTTGGGGTCGTTTTGCGAGTCGGCGGGTGTTAGGCGGTTGACGAACAGCGGTACTGTGTCTCCTTCTTTGTAGGACGTTGGCGCAGTTCCTGGGAAGTAGAATCCGGCGACCGGTGTTGGCGCAAGCGCTAACAATGATGCTAGGACTGCGCCAGATGCTGATATGTCGAGTCTCCGCATCGGGGTTTGTAGTTTGTGGTGGCGGACAGGTGGGGATACGCGCAGAGTGTTGCTGCGATACGTTGCCTTCAGCACAGCCACGAGGTGGCCGCGGAGACGGATGGACGTGCGTCGACTGCAGGCGAATGATGATATACAACTTGTGCAAGAACAATCACTACAATTACACGTTGTTGTCGCGCAGCATGGAGTGCGAACTGGTGGAGGCTTGCCAAAGCAATGATGTTGGCCACAAGCTACCTGTCCCAAGCTCTACGTGACACACGCCTGGAATTACGCGTCATGATGCCAAGGTAGGCCACCCGCCACGATATCCCTGGATTTCGGCACAGCGCGTGGGAGGCCCTCTTTTACGAGCAACTCTCGCATTGACGAGTACGTATGCAAGCAGTTCACAGTCACGTCTCGCGGCTGCATGGATGATGCTGAACGAGCAGCCCAATGTCATTTTCACCTTGACGGTTAGCCAACACAAGACTGAATTTGGATATCCATGTATTGCACAGTTAAACCAATGCAGCAAGTCATATCTACATCAGTCATGTCGAAACCTGCGCCTAAGCGAACAGACTTCCACCTCATGCAGCATGCCTAATAGATGCATGCCAAGAAATCCCACGACGCAATGTGGTATCGAAGAAGTCACGAACAAGAAATAACAATAGCACTGCCGCCTATACCAGCCCGTCGTAGAGAGACAGTGCTGATACGATCGTCTCGTCACGCTTGGAGCCCTCTTTAAACTCGGCCATGTCTAAGCTGCCGTTCTCGTCTTTGTCCATCATTCGGAAGATCTTGCGGACGCGCTTCTCTGGAGTGTCTTCGTCTTCGGGGAGCTTAACCATGGAGCCGACCTACGATCGTCAGTACAGAGATCGGAGCAGATTGGGCTTGACATACCATCTTGTATATGGCCTCTACAATTGCTAGCATCTCCTCGTAGCTGATCTTGCCGTCTCCGTCGATGTCGTACAGCTGAAAGGCCCAGTCAAGCTTGTCCTCCATCTTTCCCCGACTTGTAACGCTTAGCGCGCAGATGAACTCCTTGAAGTCGATAGTACCGGATTTGTCTGCGTCGAAGACATTAAATACATAATCTGCAAACGATGATGGGTCCCCGAACGGGAAGAACTGTTTATAGATCTTCTGGAACTCTTCCTTAGTAAGCATGCCGGATGGGCAGTCCTTGAGGAAACCTGTGTTGCTTCAGCGATCGCACGACCGAAGTTGTAGCGCCCTGCATACCCTTGTACCATTGCTGCAATTCTTTCTTGTCGAAATGGGTTGCCTTCTGCAGATCGGCCAGCTCCTGCTGCGAGAGCTTACTCTGGCTGTAGTAACATACAATCAGCTTTTGGTTCTCTATCTTAACATGCTCCACAAAGCTCCGCAAAGACAGCTCTTTCCATAGCCCGTTGACGGCATTTGTAAGCGCAACGTGTTGGACAGCCTTGTAGTGCGCATAGGCCGGATCGGAAGGGTTCGGTATCTCCACATGATGTTGACGCGCAAACTTGAGCGGCGGATGGTGCCGCTCAAGAAGAGGTATCTTGGGCGAGCTGGTTGGCGTCTGGTGCACCGACATATCGTAGGCCGGGGAGAGTTGCGAGGCTTGTACTCGGTGTTGCGGGCGACAGGCTTCGTGCAGTTCTCGGTGGGGCCTAGGTATGACCGCCTGTTGCGTTTGTGTGTGTGAAGTCCATGGCGAAGGTCGATGGGTCGTCTCGTGTGATTATTTTGACGTGCCGGCCATATCCAGGTGGAGGGAAGGCGTCGCTCGGAGCTGAAGTGGCACACGCAAACGCCCCGCGCTGTGAAACATGAAGAGAAATACAACTTACGATTTACCCATGTTGAAGAAAGACGTCTAAGGGAGCGTCGCGAAGCACAGGAGGCGTGTGGAGGAGGACGACGAGAGTTCGCAGGCAGAAGTCAGGCGCCGCAGCAGAAGCGTGCGGGTTAGCTGTCGTGGCGGGGCGCTGAACCGCGGGCGCAATCGATTGGTATGGCGGGGTTCAGGGCAGCTGGGCGAGGCGCAGCAGCAAGCGCTCAGGAACAGGTACGGTTGCTGATGCGAATTTTAGGTCACAGGGACGTGAAGATCTGAGGATGCTATCAAGGGCAGTTGGTGAACGATATATGTGGTGGTGACGAATGAGCGGCGCCAAATATAGACTTGAATCCAGCGTCGTTCCAGCTCTCGACTGTGTCCGAGCACCAGCACCCCACCGGACAGCCAACGCCCTGTCCAATGACCTGTGGCAACCGCTGCTAAAGGAGCTCGACACGCATGGACGCGCAAGGATACGCAACAGCTCACTGCTGGACTGTGACACCCCCAAGGCACCTCGGCCACCCAGCTGGCGGCATCTAGCGCTCGCTGCGTTTTATCCGTAGCCCTACGCTGCACGCTGCACGCTGCCCACGCGACTTTTAGCTGCGCGCAATTTGCCGTGCCGCAGTTGTGCATTTCGCTGGCATACACAGTCAGTCACGTGCCTTACATCGCAGTCGCCCAGAGCCTTGCACCGTAAAGCTTGCAGACCCTAGTACGCGCTTGTTTGTACCGCGGAACGCGCTTCGCAAACCATGGACGACATCTTGCAGGCGCAGTTCGACCGCGTAGAGCAGGCCTTGGGCACCTTGGTTGACTCCATCGCGTCATACAACCCGAATCCTCAGGCAGCAATCGACCTTGTTGCCGCCGACGACGGGCTCAGTCATGGTCTTGACCAGCGTAGGACTACACACCGTGCCTTAAGAATACACGGCTGATGAGTAACAGTCGCCAGGCACCAGGCAAATCATGCACGCCTGCACGCCCTTCGTACGGAAGCTGATACGTTAGAAGAGCAGCTCAAATCGTCTGTAGCAGCTTTGGCGGGCTTGCGCAAAGAGCTCTCTGAGACGCCGGCGACGATATTTCCTGACAATTCACGCCATGTGCCATTCGATGAGCTGCTCCAATACGCAAAGAGCATCTCTAAATACACCGTCCCACCAACCTTCCGCGAACGTGTACCTGATGCGAACAGCGCTACGAGTAAAGACAAGGAAGCCGATGAAGCTTCGGCCAGCGCACCAGCGACAAACGGCTTGAGCACGCCCACGACCGCAACAGCTCCCGTCGATCCATCCAAAGACAGCACAGAAGCACAAAAGGATGACGAAGAGACAGGCGCGGCAGTGCCGGAAATAACCGCAGAGGAGGAAGAATGGCTGAAGAAGCTCAAGGATGGTGGTTTTGCATGGTATCCCTGGCCAGACAGTGATAAAATCCGACGGGGCAACCTCTGGAAACTCTACCACTACCGCGAACAGGGTCGCAATCTAGACGACTTCAACATTGAGGCATACGAGGAAGAGGAGAGGAAGAAATTCTCGGATGACGTGCCGCCTCAGGCGCCAGAGGAAGTACAGCCAGAGCCGCAGCTCCTGGATCAAAGGCCTCAGCAGCAGCCGCCGGCTCAAGCTGTCCCGGCGGCTCCAGCGAGAGCTGGGTTCACACTGTTTGATGACATGGAGTCAGACGATGAATGATGGCGGACGATCAAGTGTCATATGTTGATTTCATGGTTACAGCTATGCAACTTACAATCAAGTAGAATTAGCTCACACCGGATCGTTGAACATGCGTGCCGTTGACGCAAGTGAAATTTTGGGTTCCTTCGTGTTGACTACAGCACTTCACATGAACAGTTAAAGTGAGAACCACGCAGAGCGTAGCGACAGGGAACGTGTGAGCCGAAATATGTACTTTGACTGAGTATCTAATCTAAACAAATGGAACGCTGTGCTCGAGGAAGCCAAACCAAATAACTGTTGTAGGGGTCATCAACATCGTGAACGCTCGGTGAGCCTATCATACACGCTGGCTCATGCCATGGTATGCGGGGGCTTCGTGCTGATCGATGTATGCATGCGGCTGTTCTCTATTCGACCTCCAGGCTGGGTTCTTGGCAATGATAATGATGGTGATGTATGCCAAACCGCGGAAGATGCTCGACATCCATGCCATGGCCACGTAACTATCCCCTCTAAGACCAATGGACGACACCTGGAGCGAGTCCATGATAATATTGAGCAAGCTATTGCCGAATAGTAACGCAATCAAGACTGCAATCCATGCAACAAAGGACTGTTGGTATGTTAGTTGATGTGATATTCAGATTGCTTGGGATACTTACATTACTCGCACTGTTTCTCTTCTTGAGGGACCGTGCTGCAGCTATCGATAGAGCGCCAGAGGCCAAAATGCTAATGAGGAACACAGCAGAGAACGCTAGTGTCACATATAGAGGAGACATAGGTGAAATAGAGATGTAACCCCGGAAATAGGCTCTACTGAAATGCCAATAGAGGTAGGCCACTAGGACGACAGAAGAGAGGAGGAGACTGCCTAGAACGAAGAGGTCGATCCCTAAGGCAATTCTAAGTGATGATGGGTTGTGGCCCAGTTGTTTGCGCAGCATAGTGTTGAGAGTGTAGATGACAACAAACAGCAACAAGAACGTGTTGATGCCGGAAAACACATTGATTGCGATGTTTGTGTCGTAAATGCGCCTGATATCGACGGATATCTCGCATGCTAGGAGAGTGGCCGAAATGAATGCAAGGGCTTGTTCGCTTGTGTTTGTCAGCTCTATGTTCGATAGTGACCACTTCTATGTAGTAAGGAAAGCCATTGACAGCAATCAAGCCATAGGCCCTAACAAGCGTTCAAAGAGAAAACAGACGTTCGTATATATGTCTGAATGATCTGTGGTTCCGAAGGGCCTCGAGAGTGTAGAGAGCTCGCGAGATTGCAGATTCATCACCTGATCCCCTTCTATTATGCAAGTAGAGAGTTGTACTTACATAAACATAAACAGCAAGGCCAACATGTAAGGTATGCCGATGAGGTGTTTGCCAGGCCCAGTCTTCCGGCGAACAACGCATAGCGCGATCACTGTACCGAGATACAATGCGAGCATGACCACCATGCAGGCGTACATTGCGTAATCTGATTTGTTGTAGTAGCCATAATCAGACTGGAAACACCTCGACGCGGAGTCGCCAGAGTTTCTTGCCATATTAGTCGTGTTGGGAGAAGTTGACACAGTCTTGCTGGATGGTCGAGTAGCAGTGCTGTAAGATAAGCTGTAGACGAGGTAGCAGATCACCCGGTAGATTTATACACAAGATGAAATGCGCTCTTGCACTGCCCACTTGCTGCCACAGCCTTGACATGCCTCCTAGTTCAATATAGTTTTACGAATGACGAGAAGACCGATGAGGGGCCTAACCGCCAAGCTGAGAGGAGGCTTGACAACAACTCTCAGATGTTCTACGCGATCTCATAGGACTGCGAGAGGACTTTCAAGACTGTGGAGGGCGCCTGATAGTTGCATATACGATATTTCCACAACATGATGTGGTCGTGACACGTTCCGTACATGTGCCAATGCGCTGTACGGGATTGGCGAAGTCTGCTTAGATCCATCGCTTTGGTGTTTACCACGCCGAGCGAGGCTGTGCAGCGCGAAACCGGTCACTGAACAGGAAGCAGAGGTCAAAGCCACCACCGGGCAGACTGCTCCCAACATCTGCCCGGTGAACTATTGCCGCACCTGTTGCCAGCACATGCCAGACTGCATGTGGCTTGAGACGGGGAGGAGTAGTCACGCAGGGACTTGCACTTGCCCTCTCCAACATAACTTGCAATGACCAGAATTCCCGCACACTGGAGTACAATTCGAATTTAGTGAAGAGGGTACTAGCAGCAGGCCCGGCAACAAATTGCCGGGCACAGGTTGGATGAGGTCAGGTGTTGGCAACAGTTTCGGCAACATTTTGCCGGGTACATACCCAACGGCACGTGACTGAACATGGTTAGCAACCTTTAGAAGAGCATGAAAGTAGAGCAGTACAACTTACTACTTGTACAATTCGAGATAATGAAGAGAGTAGAACTGTTCCGAAGATGGCACTCTAGTGCTTTTAACATCTACCCGATGGTTGATTACCTCATCCAACCTGTGCCTAATGAGTGATTGCCGCTGCCACCATGCAGGCACCATCATTACATCATCGTCAAGGGCGGAGTACCGAACCTCCGAACCACCACCTCACGGTCCTTCTCGTTTGGTCCGCGGGCCTCAGCGGATACAGAATCGCGTGAGCTGTACAAAGATTAAGTTTCGCCCATAGCATTGTATCCTTTTGCCGGTTTTTGTAAGCACATAATGCTCGATGTTGCCGTCACACGAATCCGCGTGCAGAACGACTCGCGTCCAAGCTCCTTAACACATATGACGACTGCCTGAAGCTCAAACATTACACACCTCCGCAACCTTCTGAGAGCGGTTTATACACCAGACAATGCCGAATATCGAATCCGAACGCCGACCCTCGGTCACAGCGCACGCGCTCGATGGTCTCGCACATGTACCGCGGATCAACAGGGAGGGTTCATGGACACCAGAGGGTTCATCTGACATGGACGTTGATGGTGCCACCCAACTGAGAGTCTCCACGAATAAGGCTGCCGCCGGCAATCGAAGTGGGAATACAACCGCGATACCGTCTGACGGTAGCGAGGACGGGGCGTACGATGGCAAGGGAGATGAGAACAAGTACAAGGTGAAGAGGAAAAGCATTCAGGTTTTGATCGATGATTCGGGCAAGAAGACCCAGCATAGTCTCACGGCTGAGGACTTCCGCGAGATCATGCATTCGGGTATGCAGAAGGAGGTGGAGAAGCTTAGCGGAAAGTCCAAGGCCAGACTTCGAGACTTGGTCTTCACCCGCCAATTCACGACATTCGATCGTCAGAACCCAAGCGCCTCGCAGTCGCCGTTCCATGGTTTCTTCACGTTATTCTGGATTGCCATGGCACTTCTGCTCACACGTATCGCAGCTTGGAACTATAAAGAGGAGGGTTCCATCTTTGGAAAGGCGGAGATATTACACTTGATGGTAGATCGCGACCTGTTCGTACTCTTGGCAACAGATGCAGCCATGTGCTGCGCAACCAGCTTTGGTTTCTTTTTGCAGAAAGCCATTGCGGCGGGGGTACTTATCGTGGAATGGCTCCGGGTGGATCATTCAGTCCGTATGGCAGCTGTTCTTCACGGGATTTGTTATATTCTGGACTTTCTGGAGAGAATGGCCTTGGACGCACACAGTCTTCGTTGTTCTGCACGTCTTTGTTCTGCTGATGAAGCAGCATGCCTACTCATTTTACAACGGTTATCGTAAGTCTATCCCTTCTCTCTACCAGCCAGTGATTGACTATGTACTAGTATCGCGCGTGTATCGTAGACGCAATCTTTTAGAGCAGAAGATCCAACAGCTGGACGGCATAGACGCACATGAAGGGCCTTCGCCTACCTCGCCAAGTGCAGGGATATTGGCGGCCAGTGGCGTGGACAAACCAAACAAAAATGGCCTGACACACCGGGGGAGTCGTGGCCCAAAGTATTCGACCGACTTCTCAACGGAGGAGTCGCAGATTGCATCTATCGGTCACGCGATTGAGGATGGTGAGCCCCTTGACGCAGAGCAGATTCAAGCGTTTCATCGTATCCTCACGACCGAGATTACCATATTGAACGACGAGCTTCGCGGCAAATGCACAACGACCGACAACATGTACCCAAACAACCTATCGCTACTTAACTTCGTTGAGTGGACCTGCTTACCTACCCTGGTCTACGATCTCGAGTACCCTCGCCAGGAAAAGATCAACTGGTGGTATGTTGCCGAGAAAACGGCTGCTACATTGGGCGTCATCTGGGTCATGATCGTTGTGTCGCAAGCGTATATCTACCCTGTTGTCGTCGAGACCACACGACAGAAAGAGGCAGGCATGTCGCTTGATGAGCGCTGGAAGGAGTTCCCATGGGTAGTCAGCGATATGTTGTTTCCTATGCTGCTCGAACAACTCCTTTCATGGTATGTGATCTGGGAGTGCCTTCTCAATGTCTTGGCCGAAATCACACGGTTCGCCGACCGCGGATTCTACGGCGCTTGGTGGAACAGTGTAAGTTTTGACCAGTATGCGCGCGACTGGAACAGACCAGTGCACAACTTCCTGCTGCGCCATGTCTATCACTCGTCGATATCGTTCTTTCATTTATCCAAGATGCAGGCGACCTTCTTCACTTTCCTCCTCAGCGCCATCGTCCATGAGGTGCTCATGTTCTGCATCTTCCACAAGGTGAGAGGGTACCTCTTCACGTTTCAGTTGACGCAACTTCCTCTTGCTGCGTTCATGAAGACCAGTTGGATGAAAGAGAAGCACACGCTAGGCAATGTGATCTTCTGGTTTGGTCTCTTCATTGGACCCAGTGTGATCACAAGTCTGTATCTGATAGTGTAACGTAGCTTGCTGTAGTCGAATAATCTTCAATCAAGTCATTACCACCACAGCGCCTTATGATCTGTGAAGCCTTCCATGTTAGCGTTATGGCTTGTCGGAGTTGCATGGTGTTTAAGGACCGGATTACTTCCTCAGACACGGTATGTAACAATGCTTGCGTGAGGCTACTATATAGGAGGCTCGGACTTGATGTCCACTGATTTAGCAACATTAGAGCCATCGTTGATGAGGCACTCGTTTGGTCGAAAATGTCCCACTCGGAACCATTTTGCCGTTGAATTGCTGTTCTTTACATGGGTATATCATCTGTCTGCTCATTCTCCGACCGCTTTCGCACCGCTCATTCGAATGACCTGCCCTTGCATGCTCCCTCCACTATCTTTCTTCCACCCAAGAACATCATCGCTGTTTTTGCCCTTGATTACCATAAACGGAGCTGGAAACCCGTTCTGCGCCGCACCACCAGGCCGTCTCGCACCTGAGATAGCGAGTCGTCCTGATGCATGGTCGATGTAACCAGCGACAAACCCCTGCGTTATGAGAGCTGCGCAGATGCACTCGGCTTCGGCCGCATTCACCTCGTGATTGTACGGCTCGATCCCTTCGAGACCCGCAAAGTCCGGATCAACGTATGACGACTTCGAAACTGAGGCGTGGTCCTGGAACAGGTGGCCAAAATTACGATGTCCAGGTATGGCACCCTGCTGTGCCATCGCTGGATTCTTGATCTTCGCCCGTGCTTCGAGGTGAGCAAATGCCACTCGAACAGCATTAAGGTCGAGGACAGCGGCCTTGCTCGTGTTCATCCCGCCTTCTTGGCCGCCTTCCTGCCCAGTCTTTCTGTATATTGCCCGGAACAACGACCGCCAGACCAGGACTTCGCAATAGTTACCGATCTGGTAAAAGATCCGGAACTTCATCAGCCAACCTGCAGTCGAGCTGGAGAGATCTGGATTTGTAATGCGGCGGAACTGTTCGAGGTTACCAGACTTGATGGCTTTTGCTATTGGACTGAAGATTTCTTTCAGGCCTTGCGCTTCGGGCAATAGATAGATGTGTTCTGTGGGCAGCCGGCCAATGATCAGGTTGGACGCGATCAGGTAGATGAGTATATGCCGTCGTTGCTTGATAAATTGTGGCGATTTCGAACTGAGGTCGTATGCATGATCCAGTACCAGCTGTGCCGCATAGAAATTCGTGTTGGCGAAATGATAGCGGCCAAGGTAGTAGAGGTACGTAACCTGCTCTGGCTTTGGGTACATGTGTAACGGTGGCGATGAATTGGTAATGTTTCGGAAGATCGTTTCGCAGCTCTCCGGCTTGTCGGCTTGGAAGAGAATCTTTAAGCAAATGTTTGCCATCTTGTAAATTCCTAGCTTCTTGTCCTGTGTGCCCACACGATCGTTCAAGCATTGAGTAAAGGCAACCCGAACGACGTTAGCCGCCTTTTCTGATAATGACTCTCGAGAACCCTCATCGGTAGAAGTGAGGAGGTGCTGAATGAGCTCCGGGTGTTTGTCCAACCCTAATGCGACTCGAGAGAATACTCTTGCGTAGTTGACAATTGTCGGTAGAATCAAGACGCCCTTTATTGGGTGTGTCAGTGCGCTGTTGGCCTGTCTTATGGATATTAGCACTCCGTACATGAACCAGTTCACTTGCTACTTACTCTTGCAAGTCTTTGAGCCCTTGATAAGTGTGCAACAAATTGGCCAAATCCATGTCTCTCAGGAAGGTCATCCATCCAACAAGAAACGTGACCATTGCATTCCAGCCTTGCACCGGCTTCCCCTGCTCGTCTTCATACTCAGCTGTCTCTGTGACGACTCTCCGCACTAGCTGATCGAGTCGGCTTTCAGAGTTGTGTGCATTTTGCGGGTAGCTGGTCTGAAGCGACTGCACAAGGTCCTGGTAGATCGGCGGAAAGGGAGGCTCAAGCAGAACGATGGACGCGAGCTCTGCAGCATTACGCGTACGTATCGCATTGTTGACTGCTGTGCAAAGCTGTGTCTCAACGCCGTTACTTTTCTGAGAAGAGAACATGTTTGCGTGCTTGAGGTCACGACACCTCGCACCCGGAACGCGTCCAGTATCTTAGCGTCCTCGCTTGTGGTCGCTCATCCCTGCTGTAAAAGCGGGCCATGTGACGGAGACCTTCAGTGTAGATCTGCACAACTTGCGTAAGTACATAGACATATAGAGGACTACATTGCCTTTTTACTTCACACTATATATTGTTGTCTTTAGAGCTGCCAATCTCTAAGCTCTAGCATAGTTAAGCTGTTTTTTGCACAGGATCACTTGTATTCTCGAAGCTGTTGCACTGTTTAAGGAGATAGAACCCAGAAACCAATGTCGCATGTCATGCGCCTTGGTGATCTACTAAAGTTGGCGCGAGATTGACAGCACAGATCTAGACAGGTTTTGACTGAGGATATTATCACAAATACTGGCCAAAACTTTATCCAATCACTAGCATTAACCAGCAAGTGATCTCGGGCGTTGTGGCGGAGTGGTTATCGCGCAAGACTAGAAATCTTGTTCCTTCGGGAGCGTAGGTTCGAATCCTGCCAACGTCGCGTTTTTTGCCTCCGTACGTGCTACAAGTGCAATGCGTCTATCTGTCTGTCTTTTTGCGCGTGAAAAAACTTGGGTTCGTCAGCCAGATGACCAGTGCAACTGACTCATGAAAATGGTACTTTAGATTACTACATCTCTATAATTCTATCACAGCACGTTCAGTAACTAGTGACCGCTTCTCGTGTGTGAGCTCAGTGATCTGGCCACGAGCGACATGCAAGTGCTGAGCCTGCTGATTAGCAGCCAGAACACCCATTGCTATTCTGGCGGACGAGACGTAGTTGGTCTGCGTCAGTGTTTTGTTCCAAGTGGTGAGGGACTCGCACGCGCCGACTGACTGTCTGTTGGAGTCCACCAGCTGTCTCGTCGAGCCTATCAATTGGGCTATCGTAGATGTGACGAGAGTATCTTTCAGGGATTGACTGCGGCTCGCATCGGCGAGGCTTTTGTTTACGTCGACGAGCGTGGCGATGGTGATTGCGGCTACGATATCCTCTTGCTGCCGTGGTTGACTAGCAGTCTTGATGAGCTCCATTCTCTTCATCACCTCCGCCAGTTCGGTCTTCATCATTTATCCCATACCAGTCTGCAGCACGATCTGTGCCGCCAATCCCTCCTGTCGCAGTCGATTGGCACTCTCATGCATCCTCTTAATTGTGTCCGCCATTTGAGTATGAAGGCCAGTTACTTGTGTAGTTATCTCGGTCTGAATGTCATCTACCCGTGTAGCCAGTTTTTCAACTCGGGTAGACATCTCTTCGTCTCGTATGCGGATGGCTGCACCGAGAGGCTTGATCTTCTTCGTCCACAGACTGTTGATACCGATGATCAAACCCCTCGACAGGTCGCAAGTCTCATCTCTGGTGGCCTGGACAGTGCTGGTTAAACGATCTCACTCGTCTATGGGTGGCGCTTTCGAGGAACTGATCACGCACAGCGAGTATCTCCTCTCGCGCCGGATCGCGAGCGTCTCGGAGATCTGTGCGAATATCGTTCATAGAACTGCCGATACTATCGAAGCCAGTAGCGGAGGCGTCGGTGTGCTTCTCCACAGTGCTCCTGATGTCTGAAAGGGAGCCTTTGACCTGATCAATGTCGCACTGGAATGTACTCAGGGTGCTGTCAGTGGCTCGGACTTGATCACCGATCTTCTCAGTCTCAACTCGAACCGAGGGTATTTTGGTGTGTATAGAAGCTTCGAGACCACCAAATTTGGGTACAGATGACGCGTTCATGTCTCGAACATTTGTTTCGACTGCATTGAACCTCTCGGTGGAAATGGTGCAGTGAGCATCTGACGTCTCCAACTTTCCGACCGAGATAGTGAGCTGTGCTGCAGTTGCCTCAGCATTCGAAACTGCTTCTGTGCGAAACTCCGCCATGAGCGTCTTGGTACTTATCACCAACGATGTGGCGGTTGTCAAATTCCCCTGGACGTCGTCGAGTTTCGTGCTGACTCGGTAATGTGCCAGTAGTAGAGGCGGCAATAATGTGTGGGAGATGGGGGAGTGAGAGAAGGGCATCATCGACAGAACGAGGAAGACAATAAAACGCTAGCGCCTGCCACGAACTAGAAGAGAAGTCGCAAGCGAGCGTCGACTGCGACGCGAGCCGAACATGGTGTATGGGAAGGAGCGCATGAGCTCACCTGGAACCTCAAAGCAAGTTCAAATATCCTCTTATTGATCAAAAGCTTCAGCTCCCTATGAGATCGTGCAGATGACCTTGCCCTTAGTCTTGTTCTCCTCTATCAAACGGTGCGCATCCTGAATCTGCTCCCACGGAAGCACCTTTTCGATGAACAGCTTGAAAGAACCGTCCTTGAACTTCGGTAGTGCATGCTCAACCAGTTGATCCCTCAACTTGCCCTGGTAATCCTCATCCCTGCTCCGCAAGCTGCTGCCCACAAACGTGCACCTCTTCAAGATGAACGCACTGATGTCTGTTCCCTCAGGGACCTGCGTGCCGCCCATAAAGCCAAGATTGACAATTACGCCATCTTTAGCCACCGCCTTGAGGTTATTCTGGAAGTAGCTTGCGCCAATGAAATCAATGATGATGTCTACGCCCTTGCCATCCGTGGCTTTGAGAACCTCGTCGGCCCAGTTCTGCGTCGTGGTATTGAATGCAGCTGTTGCGCCGAGCTCTTTGACCGCAAAGTCGCACTTCTCGTCCTGGCGGGCGGTCGCGTAGACTGCAGATGCGCCGTCCGCTTTCGAAAGCTGGATTCCAGCGATCGAGACAGACGAGGCTGCGGCGTGCCAGAGAATGGACTTGCCGGCTGCGTATTTGCCTACTAGGTACATAGCCTGAGTTGCGGTGATCCATGTCTACCAGAGGTCAGCACTCAGGTTTACTCTGGGCTTGGGAAAGGCTGTACCTCAGGGATGCCAGCACACTGCTCCCATGTTAACTCCTTTGGCTTCCTGACCAGCATGTGTGTCGATACGGCAATGTACTCTGCGTAGGCGCCGCCGTACGCGAGTCCAAAGACCTCATCTCCCTCCTTGAAGTTCTCCTTGCCGCCACCTTCGGCACCCAACTCTGCGATCGTTCCTGAGAATTCTACACCGAGAACTTTAGAAGCACCAGGTGGCACAGGGTATCTGCCTTCACGTTGGAGCAGATCCATGCGGTTTAACCCGAACGCCTTGATCTTGACGAGGGCTTGCGACTTGCCGAGCTCGGGCCTGGGGACATCGGCAATGTGAAGGGCCTCGATTGAACCCTTGCCGTTCTTAATATCTAGGAATTGTTAAAAGGCGTTCTCACATGATAGAACATTAGTCTACATGCCTACTGCCTTCATCGTGTTGCTCATCTTGTACGGTTTAGATGCGGAATCAATGGACAAGGAGGTCGTATTGAACGATACTTGTACAGGCAGAAATGCGTGCTAATTGTTAGGCCTGAGCTCTAGCAGGAAAGAAGATCTGTAAGCTTGACGTAAATGTATTTTCCGAGGCAGTTCCGGCGTCATCGGAACGATTGGTAATGACGTTGGTGGGGCACTTTCGAGAGCGGGGCAACGCGTCAAGCGGATGCTTTCAAGCGACTACGTACTCAGGTAGAAACATTCACAGAGGCGCTCCGACATGTATAAAATTGGTAGAATACCGGGCTGCATATTATACCCCATTTTAACGTTGCTACAGAATCGTACCCTTTTTGTGTGGAAATTGAACAACAACAGCGCTTAGTTTACGAACAGACTGCCGCTGTTGTCGTCGATGTCGTATTGCTTAATGAGTTGTGCCAGTTTATTGGCTTCCTGGGCGTAGTTGAGAGGGTTGATGCTCATCACCTGATAACGGGGCCTAGGGAATTAGCAGCTATCTTACAAACACATGGAATGAGACTTACTTGGGCTGATCCTGATATGTCTCCATCTTAGCCCGGAGCCTAAAGTTAAACGTCTTGCAAGTAGCTTCCTGCATGATGTTCAGGAAGTTCCCCGCGGTGTTGTTCTCCTCGTCTGCTTCCTTGATCTTCATTGCTTCGTTGGCGGACATTCCAACAACGATTTGTCCGACATCATCGAAGCAGTTCAGCCACAGAGTACCAGTGTGATCTGCAACATTGACGCTCAGTACGTAGCGGTATGTTGGCTCAGGGAACGATGTCTGGCACTTCTCACACCACCAAGAGCCAGGGTTCTCTTCAATCACCTTCTTGTTGCATCCTGGCGTCGAGCACGCCGGGTAAGCAATAGTTGTGTTTTTCACGTATAACACGGAAGCTCGCAGGTTCAGATAGGTTGGCTGATCTTGAAGGTAGCTTTCCTCCTCAAGAATCTGAGAGATGAGCTTGGTCTCATTCTTTGAACCTCCAGAAGATGAAGCCATGTTCTGATGAGTAGAGAAGGTAGCGTTCTGACCAACAGCGTTGAACCAGCCTCGCAGTTTGTGTGCCTCGTCGATATCAGGGTCTAGCATCATTGAGCCAGAACTCAACAGACTCAGGCTTCGGCCACCAAAGTCAGAGACCTTGACACCTTTGAAGGCAACAATCGACTCCAACGGTGCCTCGAAACCCTCTGCTGTCTTGCCCCAGATAGTAAGACGCACTGAGGTTTGACTGTCATCGGCGAGTGTCAGTTCTCGCTTGGAGAAGTCTTTGTTCGTGTTCTTGGATGTGATCGTGGACACTTCACCAACCTCCTTCAGCACACCGATGGTGTCGATAGTCGTATCCTTGTCCACGGAGTTGAGGTCACCGATCTTGGTAAAGTTGAATCGAATCTGAGGCTTGTTGTCCTGGTCTTCTGCCTTCTCAACCTCGGTGTCACGTTCGAATTGCAGCTCGTAGTCGTTTGGCAGATTCGAGTACTGTTTCTTCGCAAGTGTGACTCGACAAGGTGCGGAGATGTAGTACACCACACCTTCCTCGAAGATGGGGTACAGCCTTTCAGCAACCTCCGTGAAAGCTGTCGCACGGATCTCGCCAGTGTCATCCAGCAAGTTCACACTAAATAGCTTGCCGGTGCCCTTTGCGTTGTGCCACTCCTTCATTTCGCCCTTGTGTGTGCACCGAGCTCGAATAGTCCACTTGTGAGCATATGGCGAAAGGGACTCGATCGGGTAGAGGTGCGGGTGTGTGGATGTGCTGGGGTTGCTCTGGTGGACGGGGAGCGCCCTCTGCTGTTGCTGGGGCGCAGGAGCTGGCTTGTTGCCGTAGAAGTTGTTGCCCGAGATAGCATCAGGCTGTTGCTTGGGTTTCGAGTCGAGGGCCTCGGGCTGGCCGATCTTTTCGAGCTCGCCGTACTGTGAAAGAACATCGAGCTCCATGATGATCAAAATGCTGTGTACGAGTCAGCTGTGTTGCAACGATCGTGACTCGACCATGCATACTTCTTGTCTTTGACCTGCTGCGGGTTGTATTTGAGTAGTCGGACTATCGATCCTTTCTTGAGCTTGCCAGAGGTGACGATCTCATTTGCAGCTACAAGCGATTAGTTCTGCTCCAGAATGCGGATGTAGGTGCAGGACATACTGGTCGCAATCATCGTCTGTATGAAGTTGCGAACATCACTCAGCACAACACGGAAGCGCTGTATCGCGTTTGCCTCGCCCGCCTTGGGCTCCATAGTCTTGATCTGCACGCATTGCAGGACGGGGTGCTCCACGAAGCAGCCGCTGGGCTCGAAAATGCTCCTACCAGAGTTCAGTATTTGCTAGCGCAATGTCTAGACTTTACATACCTGATGGCACCCTGTGTGATTGCCTGTTCTGCCATGTTGGATGATGTGCAGTTCGGACAGTTATGGTGGTGTTGTGTCGAGGTGGCGGCACAATGAAGTTCCAGGACGCGTCGAGCGCGTTCGCGTTAAGTGGACGCTAGTGATCTGTAGGCACCAACCCCGCCACAACCAAGCGGAGACCCACTTCTATGCATACGTAACTGGCTCAATTGGACCCTCGCTCACAGCCATAGACCTCACACTACATTACATCACACAACAACACCATGGCTGACATTGAAGTTGCAACACGAGCACCTGAGAGCGATGCACAGGAGGCATCGACTGCGCAGACTGCAGGTCAGACGGAAGGAGCTCCGCAGAGCCTCTTCCTGGGCGATACTCCTGCGCAGACAGGGCCAACTATGGGCGTAAGTTCGGTTCAGCGACCAACAGGCAGCACTGACCGAATGATCAGGAGCACTGCACTACAGACCGGCCAACTCCTGCTGGTGAAGTGCCTACGGGAGAAGTCACAAAACTTGGCGGTGTCGAGTGCTACATCACGAAACCCTCCGACTACCCTCATGCTCCCTCGAAGCTTCTCCTACTGCTTACTGGTGGCACTGGAATCAAGTCCACGAACAACCAGCTCCAAGCCGACAAATATGCCTCGGAAGGCTACCTCGTGGTCATGCCCGACCAGTTCGACGGCGAGCCGGCTACGAGCACAGTCACCATGGACGAAGTTACGGAGAAGACATCGTGGCTTGACACCATCAAGCTGAGAGCAGCTGAGGGAATCAAGGCATTCACAATTGATATGTGGCTTGCGAGACACACACCAGAGAAGGTCCTACCGATCTTGCACAAGGTCGTCGAGGGCGCCAAGGAGGAGTTCGCAGATGCAGTCGCAAACGGAGGCGGCGTGTACGGCGTGGGATACTGCTTTGGCGCCAAATACGTCCTCATGTTGGCTGGTGAGCTCCCCGACACAGTTGCTTGGGGACAGGCACCTGCAGAAGATGAGGAACAGGGCGCAGCGAAGAAGGCGCCAGTCCTGAAGGCAGGCGCTGTCGCACACGGAACGATGGTCTCGAAAGAGGACCTCGAAGCTGTACGGTCTCCTGTTTACATTGCTGCTGTCAAGGACGACCCGCTGTTCCCAGAGGACGAGGTTCTTACACCTGGCCGGCGGGCAATGGAGACCAACAAAGTAGAACACGAGGTCAAGGTCTATGAAGGGGTGCCACACGGCTTTGCGGTGTACGGAGATTACGAAGACTCGAAGATCAAGCACGAGCAATCACAGGCCTTCGGGGAGATGTTGTCGTGGATACAAGGCCACTAAACGTCCGGATGATCTGCACACCTGACAAGCAGGGATCCCCTCAGTTTCACGCGCGGCGTCGAAAGGCTGGACTTTTCTGTCGATTCGTAGTGTAATGATACCACTTCTTATGATCTACGGTATAAGATTGCCCGCGGCATTTTGACATTGCTGCTCACGGGCCTCCGCACCAGCGCAGGGTCAGCCTCACTGTTTGGGCGCGCGCGTTCGCTTTTCGTATAGTCGTGACCGCTCTTTCGCGAGTCGGCAAGCGTTGCTCCTACAACACAACATTGTCTCTTCCTCAAATAAGCTCTACGTCACCGGTTCCGCTCCCAACAGCCCATTTTCTCACTGCACTCCACCGGACTACCCATACGTCGCCTCTCTTCATTTCGAGGCGGCGGTCTGTGCCTTCTATGAACACAGTCCCGATATCGCTAAGTGCTCGTACAAACACGGCCTTGTCTTCGTCGGGCTTGTCCACCATGCTAATGCCACCTGTTGTGTCGTCTAGCCGCTGCAGTGATGCTGGGAATTGTGACAGAAATGACGCAGAGTAGTGTTGCGACAGTAGCGCCTGGTGCGATGTGAGGTACTGCAGTTCGGATGGGGAGAGAAGCGGTCGCATGGTATCGAGGGAGGCAGTGTGTTGCGCGCGAATGTGGAGCGGGTGTTGGTCGATCTACCCATTGCTGGTCAGCACATGCACGATCCTGAGCAACGCCTTCGAGGGAACGTACCTTCTTGAGTCTTGCCCTCAAAAAGCTCCTGACCAGGAACTTGAATCGCTCAAGTTCTGTTTGAATGACTATAAGCTTGAAATTTGTCTTTGGGTCCATATTTCCCGTCTGGTCTTCCACAAGCTCAATCTGCCTACGCCATTAGGACCTCTTCGCAACAACCACTCCACCGTTTCCATGTCCTGTATCAAGGACAGCAACATACCTGCCGTCTAATCCGCTCTAGCACTCTGTCCATCAGCTCCTCTGGCCAGCTGAGAATCTCAGGCGCTGTGCGCTCTGCAACCCATACTCTCGTCAACTCCTGCAGGTCTCTTGATTCCTGAGGCGTTGAGTCGACTGCGACTTCGGCGAGGAGATCGTCAATATCCATGGTCGTACGACACGGAAGCTGTGTGCGCCCGACCGCGGGTAGGCGTTCGACAGGGGAGGAAGTGCAGTACTGCGAGACAAAGCAAGACGATGTGTACCCTCGAGGTGTCAAATGCGTGTGGGACGTTGGGTGGAGTGTCAGAGAATGGTTAAAAGATACCGCGGCTGCAGGTACAAGACCGGATAGAGTTCGTGATCGCGTCTCACATGCTGCAGCGTTCACGGAAAGTGGGGCAGTCACATCGCTAGCGTGTTTAAAGCGCGTCGCGTCCGATTGGCTTGCAGTTTCAAGGTCAGGGCGCTCGCAGCTGTCAAGTCTCACGAAAGTATTGACAGCAAAAGCTTAGACTGGTTCGTGTCACAAGCAGGTACGATGCATTTAAGGTACTGTTTCATTTCCCTAGTTTCTACATGCAGTTTCTAGCCGGTATCATCTCTCTGCCGCATTACGACGAAGGACCCATCGATTACCTCCTCAAGTCTTGGCCACAGGCTTACCATCACCAACCCCAGCCTGGGAAGATCAAAAGACGTACGAATAAGTACACAATCGAATGGAATAAGAGCCTCAATAGGTTAAAGCGAAGCAAAGACCCTCAGTTGCGCCAATGTGCGACAAATGCTGGAATGCTTTCAGTCTGATGTAGTGGAGCCAATCTGGTATGGAGAGGGTGTCGAAGAATGGAAGAAGACCAGTTGGGGATAGGAGAGGATGTCGAGCTGACGATGTGTGGAGGTACATAGACCGGTTTATTTGGTTTCGTAATGTTTCTGAGATTGTGTCGTTGGATTGATGCTTTGATCTGCTCCACGGGGCCATGAAAATCCGTATGAGGATGGTAGTGACAAAGGAAATAATGAGACTGTGAGGCAGTGGTCTAATGCTGCCGTAAACAAGAATGATGTCCGAGCCTGCGGCCACGCGACATTGGGTATAAAATGCAGGAGCAACGGGAGTGGCGCAAGCCCAAAATGTAGAGACTGCTCGCAGTCGGTGTTGTGTTGTTCCCGCTGTCTGGAAGTCCAAATTGATGCAGAGAAAGAGCCAAATGGCAAATCGCTAGAACGCCTCGAGATGGAAATGAGTAAATGATCAAAACGCCGATGCTGTGGAATACCGAAGCAGCAAGTAATGGGAACGCCGTGGATCCAGTTCGCCGTGAATTAGAGCATGTCGTATACAAATCGTCGGCTTCGCGTGCGCTCAGTAGGAGGCCATGCGACGCGAAGCACCTATTCGCCCAACGGGTGAGTCGTCGCCGAGCATGAAGATGTTGCCGCCACTCTTGGACCGACTGAGAGACGTGGGGCTGTCTTCCATCTGGCAAGAGTGTTGGCCAATCGCGAACGTATGGGCACGGTTCAGCTTCGAGCGTTGTCGGAGCTTGTTAAGGCCACGTTCGCAGGATTGCTCGTGCTCCTTAGCATCCATACGAAGATAGTTCTGTGGGAAGCAACGAGTCGAGTTAGAGTGGTAGAAAGAACTATAGCCACCGTCAAGGATGTAGACCTCGGGATAGTGCAGTGCAGGGTAGCGGTGCGCATTCTCCTTGCGGTCTTGAGAGCGCACGAACTTGGCCCTGGGTTTATTAGAACAAGAGCGGAGTAGATGCACAGTGCGCGGACTTACATGAGAGGCGCGCGGTGCGCGGAGTATTCACAGTGCAGGATGAGAAGCGTGTTAGTGTTGGCTGGCGCGGAGAAGAGACGCTCAGCCAATTGCTCTTTGTCACAGAAGTTCAATGCGCCTTCAATGTGTCCTCCGTTGTACTCGTACTCGAAGCGGCAATCAATGATGGCTGTCTCGTCATACATGTGCTCGTAGGTACCGTCAAGCACTTGGATGAGTGTTTCATGGGTGATACGAGGAAGGCTCTCGGGCTCAGTGGGTGTGAAATGAGGCAGCTTGAGCGAAGGGCAGTCCTCTGTATCCATCACAGACGACAGACCACTGGGTGAATCAGACTCGTCACTATCGTTCTTCGCGTTCATCACGTCGCCAGGATGCTCAAACATGCTCAGTGATCTCCTCATCTTACTAGGGCGAGGACGGCTGTGAGCGGCACTTTGTTTCCTAATGGCAGCAAGGGGTGAGCCATTGTTGCGGGACTGTATGTTTGAGCCGAAGGGAAATGGCTTAATCTTAGATGACGCGAAGAGTGATCCATTGGAGATGGGGCGACGTTCTCGGGGGGGTGAAGGGGCAAAGCACTCGTCAAGACTGGGTGATGATGTGTTGCCAATGTTCTCAAAGCCGTCACGGTCACAGCCAGCGCCAAACCTGAAAGGCTGCTGTTCCTGCTGCTTGAAGGAAACAGTGTTGGTCGAGAAGTTCTTCGTGCGTGAGAGAGATGGTCGGAGAAGGATGGACTTCTTACGACTGCGACGCGTCAGTAAAGGCTTGAGTGGTTCACGCAGATTGTACGTACTCAGCAGCAGAGCTTGGGCGAGGAATGTCTAGCTCATTAGCAGGCTGCTCGCAGGGAGAGAGCATGTCGTCGTCGTCGTCGTCGTTGTTGCTGGGCATCACCTCTGGAGAGGGCGACGGCAGTGTGATGTAGCTGTTGTAGGGCGCCTTGTGCGGCAGCGGCGAGATGTCCATGGAGTCGGGCACGAAGCAGGGCGAGGAGTCGGGGATTGGCGGCGTGGTCACGCCTTCCCATCTGACTGGAGGGGTTGTTACGCCTTCGGCTGCTTGGTTAGAGGTCAGCCTATATTCGCGCCGACAACAAAGCACAGCGTGGCTTACTGTGAGCATCGACCTGCTGGAACAAAGCCGACGTAAAGAGGGAACGACGGGGGGTGGCGAGCTGGGGGCTAACAAAGGAATTAGCAGGGTGGACAATGGGCGGATTGCATATGCAAGGGTGGGCCGTACCTCTGGTCGACATGCAGATTCGACGACATGTCAGCGGCCAGGCTTGCCGTCGGCGACGATCCCCTCATTGGCTGGATGGCGAAGTACGAGTTGTCCATGCCTCCCTTCCTCATGCTCATGTCGCGGAAGTTGAAGCTCTTCTGGCCCAGCGGGTGGGCGGCAAACAATGGCTTTGATTGTGGCAGGTCGCGGCGATAGCCCCACGGGCCGGGAATGGCGGCGGGCGGGCACATGGCGGCCAGCGGCGACGACATCTCCATGGCGGCGATGGGCGGCGGTGTGCGGTGCGGCGGCGGCGGTGCAGTCGAGGTGCAGCGAGCGTGGGCGGCGGGCGGAGGTGCTGCGGGCGGGCTCTCAGCTCACTGGCGGCGAGGGACGGTGGTAGGGTTGGCGGCGGGGAGAGCCGTGGAGCATATAAGACAGGAAAGCTAATTCCAATCTGAAGATGCTCGCGGTAAACAGCCTCGCAGTCGGACGCTAATATACACAGAGATGCTGGTCGCGGAGGGCTAGGCGGACATGGAGCTCGCTATCGGCGGGTCGGTAGCGGCGAGTCGATGGCGGTGGTGGCAGCGGCTTCCCAACGAGTTACCCCAGTGCAGTGAGCGTCGAGCTTCTTCTAGTCAATACTCATCAGTGCCGGTGCCAGCTGTCGAAGGGAGGGAATGGCCTTCTTGGGTGCGAGAAGGGTGAAGAAAAGAGAGGCAGGGCAAGGTCACCCAGCTGGATTTGAGGTTGCCGAGCCTACGCTTCCACAGCAACGACCAAGCTGCAGTGGAGGTGGTCCAGCACGGCGGCCAGTGCGCGCGTTGGCGAGGCATAAGCGCTGCACGGAGGCCTCACCACTAGCAGGCCTGCTGCACACGGCCCTGGCAGCAGCGGGACGAGGATGGGGCAGTTTGCTCTTTCGGTACTGCTGCTGCTGCAGCGCCGCTGATCCGCGGCGTTTCATTGACGCTGCCCGCAACCGCAATCACGATCACGCTGCAGCTAACGCGCCTTGCGTCTGCGGCTGCCGGCGAACCTGTGTTTACGACGCGCTCTGCGGCAGTGCAGCGCGGCGAAGGATGCTGTGGCATTGCCATGGCAGGCAGCGCGCAGTTGCGCTGCTCACGGGCGAGGCCAGCGCCATGCAGCCCGCCGGAGCTGGCTGAGGCACCTGCACACCATATCTCCCTCGTCGCGTTACCTTGACAGCACGCTGGCACGGATCCCGCCCCGACCAGCATTATGCCGGCAAGCCCTGAAAATTGCGTGAAACCAGCAGTTCGCTCTCCGCTTAACTGCTGCACCGGCCTCTGTCCAAGCAGTATCTGCGCCGACGGCCCTCGTGTGAGGCGTCGCGAGGAGCCACAGTGCCCTTCTAGCCGTCACCTGCGTCACGTAGAGACGGTTTCCCATGGAGACGCCTCCGGTCGACCCAACATTGCACCGAACAGCTTACCTATTACCACCGCAAGGCCTAGCCGCGGATCGCCCCCAGTCGAGTGCTAACCTTGTAGGAGTCTCTGCTTGCATCCTGACACGGTAGGCCGGCGTCAGTGTGGTCAGCTCTCACGAGTCTTTCGTCATCGCACCAGGGACGGTGACTTGGCGCTGCTCTGCCAGGGAAACAGCCTCGAAGCCGCTGGCCAGCTGCTCGTTGTGAGTGGCCAGGACACGGCGCCCTGGAGTAGCTTTAGGCGATGGCCCAGGTCTGATAGGGCAGGCGGCTCAATTTCGCTGGCCCCGTTGGTACAGGGAACCGACGTCGCAGCACCTCCGTTTTGTGCTGCGCGGCCCGTGAACTCCTCGATATTACAAGCTTTTTACCATATGTGGATGCATTAAACTGGCTTCGTCCGAGCTCCGCTGGTGGCAGAACCGTCTCTTAGTGCGTGCTCGAGATCGAGCTGCCAGGAGGCATCGCGATTACGATACCCCTTCAACGTCATTCTCTTAAGGCTGAGTTCGATGAGCACGATGATCCGATTTCCCAGTTTGCTAGTCTTGCACTTCTTGTTTTGTCTCCTGAGACAACACATCAACAGCGTCGCTCATCTCTGCTACAAAAAACAATCGCTTCCCGGACATGGGTTCGGACAGGCCGGTGGAGGCTGTCGCCATAGCAGCTGAACTTAGGAAGGGTCGTTCGAGAACACGGGCGTTCCCAATCCCCCGAGCAAACCGCGTGCACAAAGCCTTCACAACGGGTACCATCATCATTTCGGGTTGGACCCCACCACCGGTGACCCCTCTTCTGTGGACCTGAGAGGCTGAGAGGCCAATTGCGGCGCTTGCGAAAAGCGCTATCAAACAGTCGCGTGTCGTCTCCCGGTGGACGCGACAGGCGATTAGACACAAATAACCTAAACCGGCACACAAATGGGCATCGCGCGCGCAGTCTCGTGACTAAGAGCATGGGTTTTTCACTCAACCCCAGACCTGCGGGAGGGTCTCTGCGTCTCAGGACCCTGAATTTTTTCTGCACTGTGACAGCCAGTTTGAGCACAGTATTCGTCAGACGTAAGCATCAGGCCGACTGCATCCGATGTTCGTGCATGAAGACTCGTCACGCTCGTGGAGTCGGCAAAGCTTCAAGCCTCCAAAGAGAACAGATTTGCACGCAAGTGTTACGTCCGTCGCTGGAGATCTCTAGCTATAGACGCATGGCCGGAAAAGAAAACTCAATGGAGGTGGACCTGAGTCGATCTCGGTTGAGGCGTTACCGTTGTCCCATGCAACTATCGCCAGTCTCGCAGGCCCCCTTGGCGGCGCCTCAAAACGTGCGATTGTCAGCCCAACTAATCTATCTCGAGCACCTCCAGGGTCCATGAGGATTCTGGCGCAGCTGAGCGGGAAGGTGTACGGTCTCACCGGACTGCGTCAGGGTGACTGTGGGGTTGGGAGGGGTGCTGTTGCTTCATATAGCGAGGCTTCGCTCTATGGAGACTGACGCTGTGTTGGGCGTATGGAACACTGCGAATTAGCACACAGCACACAATTGTGCTCGAGTTGTGCTTGAAGGAGTGCTCTCGAGCTTCATTTAACATGCGGGTTATATTTAGTGGGCGGTTATAGGTAAGCATATCACTCCTGGACGGTAGGGAGTAATCAGCTGCTCTTGAAGTCTTCAAAAGACCAGTATATCACACAAGCACTCCGGAGCTCTAGTTTTCCTTCGATGTTGATTCAGCAGACAAATTCTGCATCTCATCAAGAGCTCTATACGGCCAAAGTCACGCGGCTTTCGTCGTGCCGAACAAGGCTTCGCCACAGTATTTATTCTGCACAGTGGTGGATACCTTGGAAAAACTGCAGGAGCTTCCAGAGCAACGCGAAAGTAACGCGAGAGCTCCATCACTCAGGCTTGACCGATTGCAGGGGAGCATCCACCTGAACCATTGCTGTGGTACGCTTGAGCAAACGTGGTTGCCAGGCGCGGTGCGGGGTGCCAAGCCACGGATTCATATTCCGCCGTGATTGAGCTAGCACTCATTCAGCGAGCGGTGAAAGCTACAATTCTGGCAGAACTTTTCGTTCGTGAACTTTTCGTGACAAGCGTGATCGAGCTTAGTCCCATCAAATCAACCAGGAAGAGAACCAAAATGGGTGTTAAGAACCGCAAGAGAGAGCGTGATACTGTGCAGGCCGAAAATGTTGAAGAGGCTCCCGCGAAACGCCGCAAACAACTCAATGAAGAACACCTGAAGCTGTCGAAGCTTTACGAGGACCTAGCAGCAGAATCAGACGAAGTACGCTTTGAAGCTGCCAAACAGCTCATTGTCAGGTTCTCACCCGAGAGCAAACCAGCTGCGAAAGAGGTGGAAACTGCGTTGACACGCTTGATAAAGGGTCTTTGCAGTCAGAGGAAAGCGGCAAGAGTCGGTTTCTCGCTCACACTGACCGAACTGCTGCGTCAAGTATTTGGTGGTGACAAGATTGACGGTCTGGATCATGATGTCCCGTCAATCATCAAAATGGTTGATGAGAAGACCGAGGTCGAGGGAAATGTTCCTGGACGAGTATGAGTGACTTCCCTTGCGCTGAGCTTAGAGGGCTGACTATCACAGGCCCGACGAGACCATCTGATCGGTAAACTTTTCGGATACAAAGCTATTATGCAATCTACAATAGTCATTGAACCGGAACTTTCCATGGAATGCTGGAACCAGCTTCTGGACCACATCTATGGAATGGCACGCGACATACCATGGCTACGCGAAGAATGTGGGTTAGTTCTCGTTGAAGCAGTGAAGAGTCTGAAGGCTCAGCCACAGTTCGAACAGTGCGCAGAGGAGGCAATCAAACGTCTAACTCCATTCAAACTTGTCAGTACGCCACAAGGCGTCGCGGTGTGGCTTACAGTGCGGACAAACTACGAGAAGATTTTACCAGAGGGCGTTTGGCATCAAAAAGATCCTCTTTCTAAGAAGGAGCGATCGCGGTTAGCAAAGCTTATGAAGGAAGATTTTCATGTCGATTCTGAGAACGCCAAAGACGGAACTATCAAATCTGCTGCTGCAAACCCAAACCCTACCTTTGCCTGGAATCTGGTCTTTGGCGAAATACTGCGGCGAGATGAGGAGAGCAAGGGTAGCGCGAAAGAGCCATCCAAACCCGAATTTCCTCAGCTGTGGATCGACATTGTAGACAGTATGTTCACCGCGCAATAAGTATTAAAGTTAAGACTGACTCGACCAGACAATTTGTTTTCGACCACCTCCTCTCATGAAAGAAAGTCGTGGGGCTTCAAACTATTCAGCAACATGATTTCTCAGGTACCTGCGTGGGCCGTTCCCGCCTTGTTCAGTCCAAATCTTATGAGGACTGTCGTTAATCAGAGCAAGAAAGACGATAGGTTCCTTCACACAGCGGCACTCGCAGCTCTCAGGTCTGTACAGTCGAGGGTTGAAAGGGACAGCAACGCTGCCTTCCCCGTCGTTGTTGCGCTCACCACAAAACATGGTAGCGTTGATTTTGACAGGGCTACAAAAACCAAGACGCTCGAGCAAGTTCTTCTCTCGGCTGATGATAGTGCACTCAAGAAGATCGTCCGACACCTGAAGTCCATTATCCTTCGGCCCGACACCGAGGAGCAGAATGTTGCAGACAGTCGTCGACAGGTCATCGCTGATCTCCTCATTAACACAATAAAGCAGTTCAAGCGCTATGATGAACTATCTGAAGATACTCTCGATGGCGACAACTGGCTTCGGGGTATCGTTGAACTGCTGGTGGAGCAAGCATATTTCACCCCTTCAAAAGACGTGAAGACCAGCAAGGTACCTCTTCCTCCAATCAGCGAAGCCAGCAGGACAATGTTCCAAGAGCGTCTTTCCTCGAGTCTCACGAAGTTGCTTGGTGTCGAGGTTGGCACCAAGTCTTATTTCGCCTCGATGATCATAAACATTGTTCGGGCTAAGAACGCATCTACCAAGACGCTTGAGTCGATTTTCAAGGCGGAACCGAATGTCATGGAAACAGTCCAGAAAGCATTCGAGACTCTTGATAAGATCTCCAAAAAGGTAGACAAAACATTCACAACAATCTCTGACCAGCACAGCTAATACAAGCATAACAGGGATCAATTGCTGGCAACAAAATGGCGGCAGAGGGTTTCATACTTCTCTATGCGTTGACATTGCTGCAAGTCTACAACGGTGACGGTGATGCCATCATGATGCTCGACGATCTTGATGCGTCTCGCAAGGCTATGGCAAAAGACAAGAACTCTGGCGAAGGCTCAGATGCATTTGTCGAGATTGTTTTATCCTTCCTCGGCAACCCACGCACCCTATTTCGCAAGATTGGTGAAGAGGTCTTCTCTATCTTCGCATCTGAGATTGGCTCAGAGGGTTTACAGTCGCTTGCCGAGATCCTGGACACGGAGGAGAACCTTGAAGGACAGAAAGAGTTGTTTAACCAAGGTGACGACGACACTGAACATGACAAGTCTGACGATGACTCTGGCGATGCTTCGGAGATGGACTCAGACGTCGAAATGGTAGATTCGGATGTTGAGCTGGTTAATGGTGATGGTGACTCAGAGGACGAGTCTTCTGGGTCTGATTCCTCGGACACTGACAGCAACGACAGCGATGATGAAGATGAAGAAGATGATGCAGAGTTGACGCAGTTTAACAACCTCCTTCAGATGACACTCGGAACAGCAAAAGCTGATATGGACGGTGACGACGATTCCGACGATTCCGACATGGATGATGAGCAGATGATGGCCTTGGATCCTCAACTTAGCAAAATCTTCAAGCAGCGAAGCCAAGTCACAAGCAAGAAGAAGGACAGAGAAGATGCAAAGCAGAACGTCGTCCAGTTCAAATCGAGAGTCCTCGATCTACTGGCGATATATCTGGAGAAGCAGTACTCAAACGCACTCACACTGGAGGTCCTTCTGCCCATACTACGCCGCACACGTGCGAGTGCAAATAAGCAGTTGGCCGAGAAGAGCAGCAAGTTGCTCAAGACATACTTCGATACCCGCTCGAAGCACAAGGCTCCTCTGCCAAAGCCAGAAGCGATTGAGACAGTGTGGGCAACACTGAAGGGTATTCACGAGGAAGCGAAGAATGGCGGTGGCGCCAAAGCTCACGCCGATGTGTGCAGTAGCGCTAGCTTGCACGTGGTCAAGGTACTTGTGGGCCTCGATAAAGCGAACTACTCCGGTGTTGTGGATGTGTATGCGGAGACACAGAAGCAGTGGTTTGCGGACAAAAAGTCGCCTCTCCAGCCAACACTGTTCACGCAATTCCAGAACTGGTCGATGAACGCCCAGAAGCAGAGCAAGTAGTAACATAGACGTATGCGATACCATCTATTGCCAACATCCGCAAACGCGTCATCACGCCCCTCGTTCAGTGTCTTAACAGCTGCGTGTGACTTACATATTGATAGCGAGAATCTTGCCTGCGCGTAGCTAGTTTAACGGCAAGTCCTGCGCCTTGTACATGTATTACTCCAGTACAGCAAAGTAATATCGGCTGCAGTAGCGCATAGCGCGGTCGTACCCGCAGATCTGAACCTTGATACTACACCTTCTAGAACTAGTCTGGCTTTGTCTTTATACCACGTACGTCTCGTGAGAGGCCATCTTTGGTCCGGACATACCCCACAATCTTTGATTCTGCACGCCACGTGGATAGGTAGCCCGCGTGTCAGACCACGAGGGCACTTCTCAGGTCCGTCTCCAAAGCGGTAATTAGCTATCCAACCAACCACGACACGGAGGTACGGTTTTCATGAGACGTGGAGATGCATACCAGGACTGTCAAACTGTGTGGTTCTTCCGGCGCTTCTTCGACCGTCACTGGCGCCAATTTGCAATTTCCAAGGTTTCATTATTCTAAGTAAACTCCTCTCGGAATGCAGGACGTTCGTTTGATATCAGATGCAGCATGAAAGGTACTGCAGCCGATGGAACGAGAACTATGTCTCCAGGTGATTTGCAGTGGCTGAGGGCGCTGCTAGCGTCCTGAATACTTCAACATTCTCATGATCAACAGATGACTCTGATGCAGGTCCACTGCTGATCGTCTTATAGTCAAATTGGTCGTACCTGACTGTGGGTGCTATACACATGGTGTTCCGTGCTAAGACGGCGATGTCCTGCTCTTTAGCCGTGTTAGCGACTTACAGCCAATATGGGTTTAGATGCAGGACTACTCGCTTCCCTACCTTGATTCGACGGGTCGCATGGACAAGCAGAGTGGCGCTTTTGTGCCCTGTGCTTCATGCAAACTGTTCGGTAAGCATCAAAAGGCTCCAGCCATCAGCGCACGGCTGTCACCGCCATTAGGACCCTGATTGTCTTTCATGGCTGGGAAGGGATTGGAGGCTTTCAATTGCCACCTTGGCAAGGTCTTGTTGGAGCCCTGGAGTCGAATCCGCTGACACCCTGGCACGATTATCTGGCGCCAGTTTGAGTGTCTGAGCCGAGTTGTGGAGGCATCTGCGCCCCAGCCCGTCCCCGCATTCGAGCCACCCTCATCTCGCGTTGACAGTTCAGTCGCCCTGAGGCTAAGGGAGGCGAAATCTCAGAGCAATATATTTGCGGGAGGGCGGCTGCCTATGCTCACTACTGCCTGCTGTACGAGTTTACATTCTGACAGCTTTTCAAACACAAAGAAACACACTTCACACCGCGTTCCGACTTTGATCTTGGACGTTTGTGTCGATATCGTGGCTGCGCGCTTGTCCACACCAGAAGACTCGATTGCAGCTTCCTTCGGCCGTTCCACCAATCATGGCCGAACTCACGCCTTCTCCAGACATTAGTCCCGTGTCAGCAGCAACCACCAATGGTCTCTTCCCGCGAGACTCCTTTTGTCTTAATCTTTCCACTTTACCGGACGCGAGCGGCTTCATGCTCAAGTCTGCACTTCGATCTCCTCACCTCCTCGAGTCTCCGAATGGCCTTTTTTTTGGTGGTGGTGGTCTGAATTCATACCGAAAGCGGCCCCGCAACATGTCTCAGTCATCTGGTACCGATCGTGAGATGTCCACAAACGGAACACCGCCCGCAACGAATCAGGGAGGATCCTCCGCACCCACAAGCATCAATTCCAACGGCACCAGCGATCAACGGTCTTCGAATAAGAAGCGTCCCAGTACTGACACAATCGACTATCCAAGGCGACGTGCTACTATCGCGGTACTACAACTCATCTCCTTGTACCTAGTACCAGCTGACAAGCGTAGTGTGAAATATGTCGGTCCAGGAAATCGCGTTGCGACGGTACGAGACCAAAGTGCAGGCTTTGTACAGAACTCAACGCAGAATGCATCTACAGGGAACCAGGTATCAAGCTGGACGCTGGCGATAAACTGATCTTGGAACATCTCAATCGCATTGAAGGTCTTCTGCAGACCAGTCTCACCAGCACTTTCTCGTTAGCCACTCACTCACCAACAATAAGCAACGCCACAAGTGAGGACTACCTCGGACGCAGCAACGGCCATCTGTCCAGCCTGGGCATGGTACAGCCAATCAACGGCATCGGTACGTGGACCAATCATCCCTCCAACATATCGACCATGCCAAAGACGCATAACACTGCGGCTTTGAACCTGTTGTCCTCCCCTATGATTCGAGAGCTGGTTTCTCGTCCATACGACCCAAAGATCCTACTTCAGCTGGAGATGAGCCGGGAGCCGGTCAACCTTGGTACGTCACGGGGATTGGATCTTTCCAACACAGGCCCGTATGTCCAGGCATATTTCGAGCGAGTAAACGTCTTTTATGCCTGCGTAAACCCATACAACTGGAGCAGCTACTACCAAACCGCGCTTGCACACGGCTTTCGCGGAGGGCCGGAGAGCTGCATAGTACTCCTCGTGCTTGCACTTGGCCACGCTGGTAGCACCGGAAGCATAACGTTGCATAACCCCGAGAAGGATCCTCCTGGTTTGCCGTACTTTGCTGCAGCATGGGATCTGCTTCCTAGCGTAATGACGAGGAACAACATGGTTGCTGCGCAGTGTCAGATCCTGGCCGCTGCCTACCTGGTGTATCTGGTCCGACCTGTGGAAGCATGGAACGTTCTATCAGGAGCTAGCATGAAGCTGCAACTTCTTCTGAGCGCCCCCGGAAGAGTATCGCCAGCCGAAGAAGAGCTAGGCCGGAGGGTGTATTGGAACGCAGTGATGATTGAAAGGTAAGCTAGCCAGCCTTTGCATTTTCGTTTACTGACAATCATGGCAGCGACCTTCTCGCCGAGCTCGACTTGCCACACTCCGGCATCTCGCAATTTGAAGAAGGGTTCTCATTGCCTACCGGCTTTGAAGACATGGGTACTGAAGCGGTGGGCCGAGATGAGTTGTGGTATTTCCTTGCCGAAATTGCCCTCCGAAGACTCCTCAACCGGGTGAGCTCGATGCTCTACATCCGTACCACACCATATTCGAAAGGACCTGCCGCCACGTCGATCGCCCAGTTGGATCCCCTTGTGGTGGAATTGGACTTCCAACTGAATCAGTGGTATGCTGGCTTGCCGCCTGCGATGCAGTTCCCGCTTGACCGGGTGCCCCTGCAAAACCCGGTACAGACTGTACTAAGGTTACGGTACTTTGCCTGCCGGACAATTATCTTCCGACCATACGTACTGCTTGTCTTGCAGGACGAGAGTCTTGCATTGGATTCTAGCGTACAGGACAATTGCCACAAGTGCTTGGAGGCATGTGTACGCCAACTTGAGTACATTACTGCGCACCATGCAGGCCATCTACCGTACCTATTCCAAGGCGCGCTATCGTAAGTCCCTTTCTCCATGATACTATCCCACGTTATGCTAACATGTCTACAGTATCGTCTCGCAGACTCTTCTCATTATGGGCGCGACCATGACCCAATCATTGTCACAGCTCCTACCTCCGCCAGCGACCATGGACGATATCATCAACAACGTTGTGCTAGAGATAGATCGTTATGCACATCTTGCTCCCAGTATACGACTCTCTGCCGAGCTTGTCCGTGAAGCAGAGGGAAAGCGGCAGATGTGGCTTCGCACCGCTGGACTCAAATTCGACTCTTGACAGACGGACCTTGGCGACAAGACACCCACATACTACCACGATCCACCGTACGACAAACTCTGACCTGAGCTAATCGCTCAGTCAGTCTTACGTGTTCAGGACGTTGTCCGGCTCAGATCGTCATGCAGACGACTCGACAGCACAGTTGAAATCTAGAAGCCTGACGTCGCTCCACGCATGCAACATGCAAAGTTATCACATTCGCAGTAATGCAGGGGACGATGCATGGAACATTCTCTTCCACAGGGGTTTCTTCACTAGGTACCTGGCGGGCAATATGCTCGCTGGTAATGTGATGAAAAGTACCGCCGGGTAATAGAACGTCGTACCACTGCCACAGGCTATCAAGTATGGCACTAGTCGTACAACAGCAAGAGAAGCTCAAGTGGCAGCAGTTTCACGAAACACATTTTCAGTGTGTACAAGAATGATACTGCGACAGGTGGTACACCGATTGGCAAATGAAGTCAACTTTGTGCATAGTGGCGGAACCGCAATACTCGAGTAAAGAGCCTCGACGCAGTGTAACGATATATCCGAACATATACTGATAAAAATGGATACTCTGTACTCTGCACAATGCATAATCAAACTTTGAAACCCCGCTGTCTTTTCTGCAGTAATCTGACCGCGTCTTCTGCCTGGTACAGTAGCCCCTCCATCAGCCCCATCTACTGCCACGCAACACAGCCTTTTGCCTCAGCGCAGAACTCAGGTCAGATCAATATCTATAAATTGCAACAAAGCTTATCTGCATCGCCCAGCATGGTCAACAGGCTTCAGGGATGGTGCGTATGCACCCCATATTATCGACTTCGATTTATCCGGATCCACATGCCGGGGTCGTGTGCAAAGCCGATCCTGGGCCGGCACAAAGTGCCACTGAGGAGCGCAGAAAGCGCGTGTGTGTAGCCGAGCGTATCGCCGAGGCACAGCCAGCTGTGGAATTAGAGTAGGGTCGCGTGGTGCGCGAGCCTGAGATAGATGCTTTATGGCGGGCACCAGGTCGCGTGGTGCGAAGCACCTAAGGATTCTATGATGTCCGAGTGGGTATTGAATGTTGCATTGAGCTCGATTCGGTACTTCAAAGTCACAGTAGTCTCATGTGACCACTGCAGTCTTCTCGCCGTCCGCTGAAGCCTGTTGCTCTTTGACCGGTCTCTCGCGATCAGCCCTTGCCGTCATGGCCCAGGGTGGCTCTCCATCGTCATCAAACTCGGCCCACTGGAAGAACGAGCATCCGTCTTGTCCCGGGATGTAGTTTGTGTGGCACATCCACATGTACCGGCCCCGAGACTCTTTCTTCCTTGTAGCGCAGCGCAGCACAGTGGATACGCCGCATTTACACTTGGGCGTGTACCGCGGGTGCAGGCTGTCCTTGTAGAACCGGTAGGTGATATTGAGCCGCTTGTTCTTTGCCAAAGGGTGCGGGTCAATAGCTTGTGCAGGGGCAATGGAGTGTTTCCATTCTTCCTGCATCTCGGCATGCATGATCAGTAGCGAATTGTGCGGCAAGTGAATGGAGATCTGCCCTTGGGCGTCTGCTAGAGAGCCGTCGTCTTTGCGGTACTTGTCGTCTTCGGCATGGATCTTGCGGACGCGGAATTCGCGCGCGACTCCAAGGCTCAGGCTGCCGATGACAGCGCGTGGGCCAATATACGTCAATTGGTCGGCGTGGTAGCCAACATGCTCCTGTGGGCCGTCGTAGCAGTTTACGAATGCTGTGTTGGCTTTCCAGGGCTGGTGAGATTGGTATTTTAGCTTCTCGCCGTTGGGATAGAAGTCTCGGATCCGACGTTGTATTTCGCGGTTGACTGCTTCTTCGACCTGGGGGGCTGCGTTGAGCATCTCTGGTAGAGTTTGCTGGACACTCTGCGAGATATAAGTATAATCCAATATTTAAGGTGGCTTCCTATCCTACCTCGATTTTGCGACCATCATAGATGTACTCTGTCTTCTGCTCCTCGGCTTCGGCAAAAGAATTGACGTAGAAGCAGAACGTATGAGGGCTGGTCACCACGCGATCGAACAGCTTGAACTCGAGACTCTGATACGTTGGCGTCTCCTCGAGCAGTTGCTTTAATAACGAAGTTGCTTGCTGGGGCGGCAGAAAGTTATGGATGATGGAGCATGGTGTATTCTGCTCGATGTCTTCGGGACTGAACAGGAAGAGGGTCTTGCCTTTCTTGACCAAAGGCTTTTTTGAAAGTCCACTATCATCGGGATTTAAACGAAAACATGATAGTGACGATTGATATCCAGTAGCAGCGTTCGCACTTCGTTTTCTTGGAGATGCAAGTGTGCTCTGTGTGAGGCAAGTAGATGCTTTCTCGACAGACCCATCCGAAGCCAGCAATGCCTCAAGTAACGTTGCCTCGTCGGCAACCGGGTGCAGTGAAGCCAATATAGCCAATTTGAAATCTGTAGATTCTTCTTCCTGTTCTGGTGTTGAGACGTGCTGAAAAGCTGTAGACAGTGGCGGTGCGGGCTTTTGCGGTGCTTCAACCCGCTTCCTCTTTCTCAACACGAAGGCGTCCATGTTCTGTTGTGGTCAAATTGGTCCTGCACATGTTTGTGATGACCAGCCAGAAGTAGCTGAATCACCTCAAAAGACGCGCCACTGCCATCGCGTTGTCACGTGCGCAATTAGATCGGCGGGCAACCCCGCTAGATCTCAGCCTCGGCCGTTCTTCACTGGTCATCCCAACCATGTTGCCATACACCAACAGCTTGAGACTTGTGCGAGCGACGATGCTCGACACATTCCTCGTAGTACACGACATATAATACGCAGGAATTTGCCAGTTGGCGTTAGTTTTCAAATCAACAGCACCATGTTGGAGTTCCGGACACAGGGTTTCAACGGCTACAGCGTCAAGTACTCGCCATTCTTCGATTCGCGCATAGCAGTCGCCAGCTCGTCGAACTTCGGGCTTGTGGGGAATGGCAGGCTATACATCCTCGGCCTGACGCAAAACGGAATCGTAGCAGAAAAGTGGTATGTCCACATTCACATGCTCCTTCATCGTCGCATGTATTAATAGCTGCACAGGTTCGACACACAAGACTCGCTCTTCGACTCGACCTGGTCCGAGGCGCATGAATCGCAGATCCTTACCGCGGGCGGCGACGGCTCCGTGAAGCTCTTCGACATTAACGTCGACCAGTTCCCGATCCAGTCGTGGACCGAGCACGCGCGCGAAGTCTTCAGCGTGCACTGGAATCTCGTGTCGAAGGATACGTTCCTCTCCTCGTCGTGGGATGGCACAATCAAGATCTGGAACCCCAATCACAACGCCAGCATCACCACGCTACCGACACACAGCTGCACGTACTCGGCGCAGTTCAGCCCGCATGCGCCCAGCATCGTGAGCAGTGTGAGCAGCGATAGCCATTTGCGCGTGTTCGACCTCAGGACCCCGGCCAGCGCGAGTAACCACCTTACGATGAGCGTGCCGATACACACGCCGCCGAAGCCACGGATGGGTGCTGCAGCTTCAGTGGGCGTACCGCCGAGTGAAGCCTTGACGCACGACTGGAACAAGTACCGAGACAGTATTGTAGCGACGGCGGGCGTGGACCGCCTGATACGGACGTTTGACATACGGATGGCTGCTGCTGGGCCAATTGCAGTGCTACCTGGACATGAGTACGCTGTGCGGAGATTGACGTGGAGCCCACACTTGTCAGATATATTGCTCAGTGCAAGTTACGATATGACTTGTCGTGTATGGACGGATGGGAGCGCGATGGGCGCAGGGACAATGAAGCAGGAGAACATGTTAGAAGACCCTATGGTGTTTGGAGGCGGGAGAGAAATGGGCAGGATGGGGCGGCATACAGAATTCGTCACAGGTGTAGACTGGTGTCTGTTTGGAGCTGAGGGGTGGTGCGCCAGCACAGGGTGGGATGAGAAAGTCATGGTCTGGGACGCCAGGGCGATCATGCGGTAATGAAAATATCGTGAGTGGACTTTGCATGTACTTCTGCCGCTGGAAGGGATATCCGAACACCGGAATTTCGCGCTCCTACATTACCCGCTGCTTCTTATAGTCGAAGTCGAACCCGTGCTTCCTGTGCACTGCTTTCACAAAGCCAAGTGCCTTCTCGAAAACCTCTAGCCTTTCCTTCTCCATGATCAACGAAGGCACTACACAGTCAGTATAGTTTCAAAGTTCGGGGACTAGATACTCACACTCAATAAACCCATGAAACCCCTTCTCCACGACCATGACATCCACCGCCCCATCACCCCTCTCCGTCCTTTCCCTGTCAAGCCTCTCAACAAGCACCGTCTGCTCATGCAGAAGAATATCGATCCCTGCACACACAAACAGCAAATCCTCGGGCAAATCCTCACTGCCAGCAAGAACAGGATGACACCTCGCATCCCCACTATTCCCCTCCCTCTCCGTCCCCGCATACGCATCAAACAGCGGCTCGAGAACCGCCAACGGATTCCGCGCCGGAAACCCCTCAGGCCGCACTTTATCCCGCGGCCTCAGCCTCAAATCCACAGGGACGCAGAACCCAAGCCACGCCTTGGCCGCGCCAGCCGGCAAGCCCTGACACGCCCCCAGCGCCAGCGCGCCGCCCGCAGAACTGCCCCCCAACGTCAGCAAGCCCGAGTCTGCGCCCAACACCGCGGCGTTCGCAACGGCGTGGCGCACAATGTCGTCCGCGTCGTCGTGTGCTGCGGGATACACGTGCCGCGGCGCCAGCCGGTACGAGCCGCTCACGACGACGGCGCCGGTGCGCTGCGCCAGCAGTGCGCACCAGCGGACGTTCTGCTCGGGGCCGCCGCCGACGAAGCCGCCGCCGTGGAAGTCGATGTGCAGCGGGCGCGGGGCGGTGTCGGGTGGAAGGCGAGGCGGCTGGAAGACGAGGCAGCGCTTTGGGCCGCTGCGGGTAGGGATGTAGGTCACGGTGTAGGAGGTGGTGAAGAGGAAGGTGGAGCAGGTTAGGGAGAAGGCAAGAACGTTGATGGGTTGGAGAAGGAGGAGGCGCCATCGATGGGTGAATGGGAGACTGGAGAAGAGGGCATCGGTTGTGGGTTGCAGGATGCGTGGGAAGATCGATAGCTTTGCTAAGAGGTGCGTGAGGGCCATGGTGGTGAAGTTACACTTGTGAGCGTCTTACACGCGCAAGATTCGAGTCGACGTGTGAAGTGCTCTGTCGCATTGTATTTATCCCGGCTGTTAAAGACGTTCTCTCCGATGTCAGTGGTGCTTCTACCCAATGCGAGATACGATGTGGCTGCTGACCTCGGTCGGTGCTTGCCAATCCGTGGCGCTGTCAGGTAGTGCGACTGGCCGATGTTGACAGGGGCGATCGTGGACACGCCAAATGGTAAGAGCGTTGTGGGAAAGAAAACCATAAACTATAATCAAAGCGCTGAATTATATTCTATCTTATGCTTGGCATCTCGTGGGTATCGTAAGCTCATTCATGCTTTCGTGTCTTGAGTCGTTATGAAGTAGGAATGGAAAAAAAGATTAGAAAACAATGGGCAGATAAAGGCGCACTACCTGAACAAAGACTGTAAGACCTGCTCCAACTTGTCCGCTGCTGGATCATCATCATTTCTGCGTCCCTTATCGTCGAAGCGTGGGGGAAGTTCAATTGTGGAATCCGTGTCCGATCCTGGTGATTCAGTGCGTCGGTGTCGTTTGCGATCACGACCCGAGCCTTGAGAGCCGTTGGATCGCTCGTCCGTGTGGCGTCGTCTGTGATCCCTATCACGATCTCTGTCTTGGTCGGCACCACGTCTTTCCTCATCAGAATCACTACTGTCTCTACGCTCACGATGTCGGTCTCTGTTCTCGGTGCTGCGCTCAGGCGAAGGGTTAGGTGATATCTCTTGTTCTTGCGGATTAAGATCGAACTTCACTCCTTTCTCTCGTGTGTTCACTGGACTAGGTGCAAGTGTCGGTGATTCTTTGCGAGCATTGCTTAGACCTGGGCCACCATTAGTATATTCGTCAGAAGCGTGGGCAGGCTGAAACCCACCACGCGTAGAAACAGGAGTAACGTGCTCGGTGCCAGAGTTCTTTGGGACTGGAGCACTCACATTCTCGTCTCCGCGACGTGCTTGGTAGAATTGGTTCTGGTCCGGGCGAACGTAAGGATTTCCTGGATGCATGTCCTCGTGAACATAGCCTGCTGGAGGTGGTGGTGGGCCGTAATCATTGTGTGGTGGGTAGTCGGCCGGGTTGTAGGGTGCATATGGGGCGTTTTGGAGATTGCCAGTAACAGGAGCTGTTGGCGGGGGAGGAAAGTAGTTGGTCTCCGGGAAAAAACGAGAATCGTTGGGGTGTGCGGTCGATTGACCTGGGCTGTAGCGGCCAGGACTGTAGCGTCCGCCTGGACTATAGCTGTCTTGACTATAGGCAGACTCGTCTTCATCTGTCAATCTGTGAGTAATGTGATGCAAGGCGGGAGAAAGTAGATACTTACGTCGTCGATCTCGCTCCTTCTCAGCCTTCTTGCGATCGCGCCTCTTTGCTGCTTCATGAGCGGCTAATCCAGCAACACCAGCGACCGCGGCGGTCTCCGCAACCTTTCGTGTGCGACTCTTGCTTCGACTTCGGCTACCGCGTCGATTGTCCGAAGAGGACGAGGAACCGCGTCGTCGTCTACTGCGTGCACCGCGCGACCGGCTCCGTTCACGGTCGGTATAGATTGGATCACCACCGTACTCTACTAGCACAGGGTCACTCTTTGTGCTTCTAGGTCGACTGGAGCTGCGCCCAGTGAGGCGGGAGAGCACCGACCTTGATCTTGAGCGCGATCTCGACTTGGACCGCGAGAGCGCCCTAGCCTCCTTCTTAGCCTTGTGCCTCTCGTACAGTCCAGTGACTGCTGCGCCGGCAACACCGGCGGCAGCGATGGGTGCGCCCTGGCGCACGCGGCTAGGCGAGCGCTTGCCCTTGCGTTTTCGAGATTTGCTCCGGTTGCGTGAGACAAGGCCGGCAACAGCAGCACTGGCGAGACCGACAGATGCTGCCCGCCTATTGCGGTGCTCAGGATCAAGGTGCTTACTCGTGCTACGAGACCTGCCACGGCCAGTCTCTTCGATAACAGTCACAGACCTGGACCTACTTCGGCCGTGTCTAGAACCCCCCTTCCGCCTTCGGGACCTACTCCGATGTTCTTCGACTACAGTGGTAACGGGGACGTTCTTTTCCTTGTTTCGCTTGCCTACAGCGTACGCAGCAAGACCGACACCTGCGAGAGCTGCAAGTGTGCCGACCTCTCGCACGCGGGACTTGCTGCGGTGGCGACTCTTGCTTCTGTGCTTCCGGCGTCTTCCTCGGTCTGAGGAGAGGGATCGAGACCGGTCGCGGTTGTTGTAGCGGTCGAGCGCCACGGCGCTGACGGCACCAAGCGTCCCGTAGCCCAGGGCGTTGCCAATGCTGCCTCCGGCCTCTTCGCCCTTTCTCTTGCGGTGATGTCTGAGCATCTGGCCTGCGGCAACTCCGGCAAGTGCTCCTGCAGCGGCGCTGCGTTTGCCGTGTGGACTGCCGTCGCGCTCCCAGGTGTCTTTCTCCTTGTGAACGTAGACAGCGTCGTCGTCACTGTAGTATTCCCGACCGCCGTGGCGGTCGTGGTACTCGCGCTCGTCGAAGTAGCGCTCTTCTCTGCGGCCGCCCCGGTCGACTTCCTTGATGCGGCGCTCGTAGTAGTAGTCTTCGTCAACGCGGGGCCTGGCAACCTGTCTGTCTTCGTAGACCTCTGAACGCTCGATGAGCTCGTAGGCGGGCTCCTGGATGCGCTCGCGGATGATGATGGGCTGCGGCACTTCCTCCCGGATGATGATGGGCTGCTGGGCGGGCGGGGCCTCGTTGCGGATGATGATGGGCTGGGGAGCGGGCGGCGGGGGCGGCTCGGGGCGGAAGAACTCGGTGGAGCGCGAGTAGCGCTCGAGGTCGTACGGCTGGTAGTCGCGCTGCTGCTCCTGCAGGTCACGCTCATACTCGCGGGAGATGCGGATCTCGCGTGCGCTGGAGCGGACGGGCGACGGCGAGCGGTCGATCTCGCGCTCGATGCGGTACTCGCGGACCTCGCGGCGCGGCGGCGACGGCGAGCGGTCGACATAGCGGTACTCGCGGACCTCGCTGCGGACCTCGCTGCGGGTGGGCGGCGGGTCGTTGCGCTCCACGACGTACTCCTTGCGCACCTCGCGGTGCTCCTCGTAGTCGTCGCGGGGCCGGTGCACGAGGCGCATCTCCTGCTCGTACGTGTCGCCGGCCAGGTCGTACTCGGGCACCTTGTAGCGCCGCACGGTGGTGTAGCTGCGCGGGGCGCCCTGGGACTGCGTGTCCCAGTCGCGCTCGCGCTCGCGCTCAGTGCGCTTGTAGATGGCCGACATGGCGGGCGCGGGGTGGGGGCCGGGACGCGGGGCAGCGTCGCAGAGGCGCGGGTGCTGTGTGCGCGGGCGGGAGCGGCAGCGGCAGCGGCAGCAGTGGCAGCAGTGACAGCGAATCCGCTATGATGTCGCGGTGCAGGCTCGTCGGAGCCAGCGTCCGGGCGAATCTGGGGCCGGGCGGCGGGCGGAGTCGAGCGGGAGCGCGCAGTGGTGGTGCCGATCGCAGGCGGCAGGATTGGCGAGCGTGTTGATCAGCGCGCTCACGGGTATGGGGATGCACAGTGAGCGGTGGAATGGCGGTGCGGCGGTGAGAAATAGGTGACGGGCAGGAGGGCTGGGCGCCAGCGAGCCCACAGCAGGCCGCGATCAGGCGCACCTTGGAAGAGGGCCGTCAAGGGTCTGTTGATTCGATGACGTATGCAGGTGCGCGCTCTGAACTTGGAAGTCGCGACTGCCCATGCTCGACACGCCGCTCCACGAACTGCTTCTATATCTGACAGGACGGCGCCGGTCGCTAAGCTGTGCGTGCCGCCCGTCTGCAACGTGGCGCAGGTTTGACGCTTCTGGGAGGCACCGCGAGCCCTCACCGCGCTGCTGCGGCCAATGTGACTCGTGAGGGGGCGTCTGCAGGAGCCCGCGGGAGCCCTGGCCGCCGCCTTCATGCGAACTGTCCGCTTAATCCGCATCACACGCCTACCACCTTGGTGCCGCACGAGCTCACCGGACGTCACTTGCCCACAGCACGAATCTGCTCGCATAGCCCTCTACACGGTGTAAGAAACCCGACTCCATTGGGCACCATGATCGCCTACTTGCGGCTGATGGACGACTGCCTCATCATGTGCGCGAGCGAACACTGCCAGTGCTGCCTGATGCCCTGTGATATGCACCTTCGCACCATCATGAAGAGCGCCTTTGAGCGCCTCTCTTGACATGTCTCGAATCTGCAGAAAGTCTAGCACACGTCACGCATTCAAGTCTAGCTACTGTAGAGCCTGTGCCCAACGCTGCCTTGTGGCAGGTGAGAAGAAGTGTCAAACTAACTTTGGTACCATATCCATGGTACATTCTCGCTCTAGGCCATACAGGATACGACCACTGTCTACTTGGGTTCCCCCTGGACGTCTGCGCTGACAGATCTCCGGTGAAGCAGATAACCTTGAGGAGGCATTTTTTATCACGAATGACGAACCGATTGGGTGGGTTTCGGGTGCCCTCACCGGACGAGAAGCTACGGGTGAGGCTCGGCGGATGGGAGCAGCCGGTGCCGTTCGTATCAGCGTTTCCTGTCAGCGATGAGCTTGAAGATGCATGGTCAGGCGCCTATTGGAACAGCGATAGGGGGACGTCAGAGACGCATACGGAGCACTGCCCAACGAGATCCAGATGCTCGTTCTAGTGTACGATATATCTTGCTTTCTACATACAGTACGATATCAAATCTGCAGGCGAACTCAGACAAACAAAGCAATGACGCCTGCAAGACCACCAACAGCTCCAAGAACTACCTGAGCCGTCTTCATAGCAGCAGCTGTAGACTGCGATGTGGTAGCTGCTGCCCGTGTAGTCCCTGTCACTGCCGTGTTGATCCTTGGGCGATCATCGCTCGACGTAGAACTCGCACCAGGCCTCGAGGTTTGGATAGCAGCGGTCGAATCATCATCACCATCCCGAGATGACGACAAGCCACTGATGCTGGTCGACCGCGCTGTCCCCGATACACTGCCAGCCCCAGCTGTCGGTGTTGCAACGACCTGAACCCTCGTGCTTGAGGAGCCGCATACATAGTTACTCACTGAGCCCTCATCAACCTCGCCCCACATGGTCATACACACGCCTGCTGTAGACGCGGTGCAGGCTAACGCGAAGTCGTCGTTCGCGCAAGCTGAATTAGAGAGGCAGGAGCTGATGGATGCTGAGCCCACACAGGTAGTGAAAAGCTCACAATCCGAGCGACTGGAGCCAGTACAGCAGCCGAACCAGGAAATAGTATCATCGTAGAGACAGGTTCCAATCGAGCAAGACACTGGAGCCTCTAGCATGGATATCAGTATGGAATTCAGAAATTATTTGCAGAGAATACACACCGCTGTCTCCGTTGAGATAGCCACACATTCCATTGTCTCTCTGTTGCCTACGGAATAGCTCAGGCAAAGATGGAGGCCCCCCTGTAGGTCTAGGTGAGCGGCCATTCAGATTGGCCTCGCCCACTGCAGTCGGAGCTGGCCCGGGAAATACAATCGCGAAGGTAGTTTGGCAGAAAGCCAGCAAAGCTATGGTTGATGAAGCGAGCATGATGTATGAGTATTCTTTGGCAGTTGGAGTTTGGACACGGATTGGATCTTGCGATTGCACGGTTTCTCAGCTGCGGCAGGCGTACGAACTTATAGTTATCCTGCTCTGCAGGAAGTGGGACTTGTGCAGCGCAGTCGATATCGCGACGCCCAGGATGGCTGAGAGCCGAATCCACAGGAAGAGGCCTCATCCCCCACCCGTCAGGATGATCCTGCTTGTTAGAGGATGACAGGTCCATATCAGGGGGAAGGATAGCTTTCAGAGACTTGGCAGGAAATCTGATAGGAGGCCATGTCATTCGCGGCGTGCTTGCTTGATCAAAAAAGTTGATTATAAGCGAATAATACGAAGCACGAGGTTTCCGACGGTGGTACTGCGGCTCAGCGCCACACAGGCCAGAAATTCAACCGCCGAAAGAAGCTTTGAACGAAAAATTTGAAGTCTTTACGAGAATGTGGCCAAGGCGAAAGTTTCACTACCAGTGGTGTACCATTCATGTGCAGATTCACAGTCGCAACAGTATATCTCAGGAGTACAGATCGATATTTGTAACAGGGTGAGTCCCCTGAAAGGCCGTTCAGCCTCAGAGAGTATGCGGCTGCCCTTTCTTTATTCGGTTTGGGCGGTGCATGAGCTGAAGACCGTTCGTGGAAGACAGCGGCAATCGAAATGGACGATGTTACTGTGATGTCGCTCACCAATGGTAACGTCAAATTAGGACTAGACGTGCTAGAATGCATGAGAGCTTTGCGGCACCAGAGTAGTTGTGTGTATGCCTGGAGGGGAGGTTAGAGGTTATGGGGACGTCAGAGCAGGGGTTGACGATCCGGAGGCAAGTGCAGCCGCGGCAATCCCAAAAGTCTAGGAGCTATGATGCTTGCTTCTTGGACCACACTTTCTTCATGCTTTCACGACGAATCTTCCGTCAGCTCACTGACAGCTTTTTGCTAGAGTCAGGGCCTCCTACAAGACCATTCTGCCTTGCGGCCAGATGCACTTCATGTACGCCTCGCAGTTCAAATGCGCCACGCGGTCACCGCGCATCCTCCTCCTCTACAAGATGGAAAACGCGCCAGGGAAACGATCACTTCGCCCGTGAGGCTCGTGTGCAGGGGCTGAAGAGTCGGGCCGCTTTCAAACTGCTAGAGGTATTCAGGTACCGTCATTATATAGAATCAATGCTGATGCAATGTAGTTGAATGAGAAGCACAAGCTCTTCAAGCCTGGACAGACTGTCGTGGATCTTGTACGCTTGCGCCGTGTAACTGGATGTCTTTGCTGACACAGCAAAGGGCTTTGCACCGGGATCATGGTCCCAGGTCGCTGTCAATCGCACAACGCCTGATGGACGCGTGATAGGCATTGATCTGATTCCTGCGCAGCCCCCACGAGGTGTATCCACAATACAAGGCAACTTCTTGTCCACGGAGATTCAAGAAGAGGTTCGAGCATACGTCCGAGATCCCCTTTTGGGTCGGCCGCGCAAACAAACCATATCAGAAGAACCGGATGGCTTCACCGAGGAGCAGGCGGACGAGATGGAGCGAGGGTACATTGACATCGAGAGGCAAGCTCATATGGAAGGCCTCGAGATCGAGTCAACCAGCCAGCCTCCGGAAGGGCCAGAGAGCGTGCTAGACGCCAAGGTCTCTCAAAAAGAACGGGATGCGCGCGACGGACGAGTTGTCGATGTAGTGCTCAGTGACATGTCAGAACCCTGGGATCAAGTTGCCGGCTTCTACAAAAAGAGCCTTAGTGACCCATACTTTAGGTTGATGAACACCAGCGGCAATGCCTTCAGAGATCATGCAGGCAGTATGGTAAGTAAACGTTTCTATATACTTCATGTGCAGGACGTCGCTGACTTTCAAGGATCTGTGTATGGCTGCATTGACATTTGCGTTCGACACAGTGAAGACCGGAGGCCACTTTCTGTGCAAGTTCTATCAAGGACCCGAGGAGAAGGCGTTCGAGACAAAGCTGAAGCGATTGTTTGCCAAGGTATCACGCGAGAAGCCTGAGTCCTCGCGCAGTGTACGTTTTCTGGAAGCCTCGCAAATGTGTACTTAACGATTTGGCAGGCATCAAAAGAGGCATACTTCGTGGCGCTGCGACGCAAGGAAGCGCCATCGAGAGAGGAGGTCTTCCGGGAATGAGTTCGGTCGCGAACTATTATGTATGAATAGTCCAGTATTGTTTTCATGACACCTGAGTGATCTTGCAATGTTGACATGCATCGACTATTCGCGCTTGATCCGTGCGCTGCTTGGCGGCAAGTCGCGATGCGCTCGTCGAACGCGCCAAAGATCCATCCCCAGCGTCCTGAGCCTCGCGTCCGCCCACCACGTATCTGGACAATCTGAGCCACGCGGTATCGTTGTCGCGTCACACTGATCAAAATGTACGGCATGAATCAGGCGTACAATGCTGGCGGCGGCGACCCCAGCGCGCAGGTGCCGAATCACCTTGTGAGTGCACCCGCAGCTGATCCGGGGAAGCTTGACAGCGACTGACAACGCAGCTCGCCCACGTCCATCTAGTGTCTTCGTACAGGTTCCCTGTCCTGCCGCAGCTACGACCGGAGCAGGCGGTCGAGTATCTCATGAAAGGACCGCAGATCGTGCGCGATACATCACCCGTCGCCTGGACATACTTCGCATCACCACCGCAAGATGGCACCGTCATTCTCACATGGCAACCGCCGAGGATGGCAACGCACTTTGCCTCTGATGGCATGGTTTGGGCAGATCCGGAGCAGGCCTTCGACATGCCCGTCCGCGGCTACGTACGCGCCCTTGAAGCTTACGCCTACTCACAGCGTGACTGACTCTTCGCAGACGCTTCAAGTGTTTGTCCATAACACGGGCTACCACTATCCCCACGAGCCGTTTGCCATGCATTCTCGATATCGCTACAGGCTCACCGCAGGGCCAGGCTCCATTGACCCGAATCTGTGGCTGGTGCACTACAAGCCTGCAGACCAGCAACACCGACTGGCTGCAGGACAGATTCCCGTATCACGAGAAGTCCAGGCTACGCTGCAAATGCGTGCGCAGCTTCAGGCCGCCGGGCCTCTCATGCGCAAGGAGTTCATGCTGCACGACGCGTCCAATTGGCCGAAAGTCGAGTTTGGACAGCAAGCAGCGATGCGACAGCAACAGCAGCCGTACTATAACCCCATGCAGCCGGGACGACCTTATGTAGCGCAACCCCCTCCGGCAAAGCGCATGCGCGGCGCCGCTCCCGCGCAAGCCCGCCCTACAATCGCCGGAGCAGCTCTTCCGGACACGTCGCTAGAAGACGAGGAAAATGCTACACAAGACGCCTTTGATTTCCTAACACCCCGCGAGATCAGCTTGTCGAGATACAAGCAGCATCACGAGTGGATGGAGGAGGTCTTTTCGTCGCCTTACGCCATGGGCAGTATTGCGCCCATTGATCTAGGCTTGGGCCTTATGGGCGAGCTTGCTCCCCTGACAGCTGGCATTTTGGATGTTGCGGGCGCCGAGAACCCGGACACTGCCAAGGACAAATACAAAATCAAAGACTATTACAGGATGAATCCCGAGCACATGAAAGACTTCGAAAAGCGTGTGGCCGAATACACGAAGAGCGAACAGGCCGAGATCGACAAAATGAAGGCTGACCACACGCGCAAAATGGCACAATTGAAGCGCACAAGAACTTACATCAAGGCCGAGCGCAGGCTGCGGGACCTCTCGCGCCCAGCATTGAATGAGGAGGAAGACTCGGACCCTTCGGAAAGCGTTGTGCAAGACCTCGAGAAGTCTTTGGGAGTCACGTTCAACGCGAAGAAATCGGTGGTATGCGTGGACAAGGGGGCTTTCGTTGAGAGGCAGCCATCTCCGCCGCAGAAAGCGCAAGTCAACGGCAATGGAGCACATTTGAATTCCAATGGCGCCTCGAACGGGTCCACCAACGATGGTGCATCTGATTTCGACAACACAGCAGCGTCCCTCCTTGACCAGTACGGAACTGGGTCTTTAGAGGGCACACCCGGCAACATCTCGATGCCTCACATGTCGCAACCTCCCAGTCAGTCGCAATCGGCGGTCGGTACGCCTAGTCTACTGACTGGAAACACTGTCCAGCAGCAGTCATTCGATCAACAGATCCCGCAACTTGATACAGAGACCGGTGATGATCTTCTCGATCTTGACGTTGAAATGTCTGGTATGACAAATGCGGACGAGAAGGCAGCGGACGACTGGGTCGTAGTGGACCAGCAAGGGGGCAATACACAACAATCGCTTGGCAACCCTCAGCCAGCAACCCACAATAACGACACAACATCGAACGACCAGAACACACTAGGCCAGTCTACCGTCGATAACGACACAGGCAGCATGTTCGACAGTGTTCCCGACTTCACAAACTTTGAAGGTATTGATTCTGCTGGTGACGCTTTAGCGGATTTCGGGCATGACGATAACATGGGTCTTGGTGACCTTGTGGACGACTCGGCGTTCGGTGACGCCTTCCATGAAGAGATGGGGGGTGACGAGGACAACGCCTGAGTCTTGTTAGTGTCATCGAAGCGAGGTGTGCTATGTGATCCGAATGATCGGTTGCTTTGGTTTTGCGTAAATTGGCGATCTGAGAAACGGAGTATCACTATGGGAGTACGATGGCTCTGTTGAGCCTTCGGTGTCCTTTGAAGTTTGTATAAGTACAAGGATCACAACTGTGAGGTTCTAGATAAGCGCAGTGCTTGCGTTATCAGACTTGTCTACGACAATCGCTACCGACTGTGATTTGACTGCACACTAACGTTCCCGAATCATGTTGTCGGATCTCAGCACAGCACTTAGACGCACCTGTCTTGCAGTGCAATTAGATTCTGGTTCAGATCGATGTCGCACAATCACAGAGGCTGAACGAGCCGTCTTGGTGTAACTGTATGGACCAATCAAGGATCTGCACCTCGCTCGAGGCTAAAGCTTCATTCATTGCACAACCTCGTTCCTGCCCATTGCCAGCCACGACTTTGACAATGTCGATACACATAGCCAGCCCTAGACTCATCGATACTGCCAGACAAGACTATCGTCGTCGCCGGGTACACAGTGTCGCACAACTGCGACCTCTCGCAAGCGATACATCGTGGCTTCGCCCAGATAGTCACGTTCCACACATATGCTTTCTGTATTAGGAACTCGCGCATGCAAGACGTCTCCTCCACGATGCACCCTGTGAGAAAGAGCATGTCAACGTCCAATCACTGCAAGTGCGCGCCGACAGCTCCTCCGTCTTCTGACCCTGGTTGAGTCCGTGGTGGAGAAGGGTCCAGTCATTCCAACCCAGCCAACTAAGAAATCGATCAAAGCGATGGCAAGCAATCGCGACCGCGTCGCGCCCACAGACCACGGCCCCTTCGAGAGCGAACTGCCTGTGTTCATTTCGCGTTTGGGGTCGCTGCGACGCCTGCGGTGACACAAGTTGTGATGATGTGCGCTATGAAGCTATCGCATTTGGGACCCGATAGTCTGTTACTTCAGAATCTCAAAGCCCCATGTGGCACATATGACACGTTCACACAATGTGTGATCTCCTCTTTCGAACGATAGTGCATAGGGCAGCTGCCCTTTCCCTGGCCCTGCATCACGTCTTGTCACCACGAAGCTTCTTGTATAGCCTTCTTGACCATTGGCATCGGACTGACTGCATTGCAATTCGGCTTCAAGAGCCTCTGGTGAGATCATTATGGCTGCCACTATATTGACTCGGGCATTTCAACTGCTGCTCATCGTCGGGCTGTTCTGTTCAACAACACACTCCGAGATCGTCCGGACACATCGAAGGCGGCATGCTGTAACAAACCTCCGTCATGTTCACTCTCACATACGGCGTCAAGGCTCCAACACTGGCATTTATCCGGTGCTGGGTGTTCTCGGTCTCGGCCTAAACAACACCGCCCCTCGACTGGAAATTCGCGAACTGCAGCGGAACCAAGATCTCTTCAACCTTTATCTACTTGGACTTCAGCACTGGCAAGAGACCAACCAGGACGACAAGTTTTCTTACTTTCAGGTTGCCGGTATGCTGTGCCTCCAACGAGTCTTTGACGGGTAAGAGCATGGACTGACTGAGATCAGGGATCCATGGCCGACCGTTCATACCTTGGGACGATGTACCTGGACGTCCGCAGCCTTCTCAAGGCTACAAAGAAGGGTACTGTCACCACAGTAGCAACCTTTTCCCTACTTGGCACCGACCCTTCCTTGCTCTGGTCGAGGTGAGTCGCGGAGTACGGGTACTGATCGGCAATTAGCTCACTACAATAGGAACGCATATACTTTCACGCCCGGGAAGTTGTTGCTGGCTTCCCTGAAGGGGGGCTGAAATCACGCATGGTCGCTGCTTTGCCAGCACTTAGATTGCCATTTTGGGACGCAGCTGCCGTACCTCCAATTGGTACCGGGTCATACCCCTGTAAGTGCGTGTGTTTTTAACGAAAGAACATAGAATCTGACTGGAGATGACAGGGAGTGTACAGCGGAGTACAATCGAGGTTGAGCTTCCAGATGGAACAGGGTCGATCAAGAAGACGATACCTAATCCTCTGTACTCGTATAGTTTCCACCCGCTTCCTGCTAAAGATCTATTTGTGAGTTATAGAACGTGGCGACTATGTCACATGCTGAACTTCAAAGGGCAAACTACCATGGACACATTGGCAGACAACAGTCCGTTACCCCACGGATCGATATGCAAATGCGCATAGTCAGGATTCGAAAATCGCTTCGGAACTCGATCTCAACCTAGTCAATCTCCGGCAACGAACGTACCAGATGTTTGCGATGCAAAGAGACTACCACAACATCAGTAACAACATGGTCACTAACGGTGGTGTCCTGGATAGCCTTGAATCCGTGCACGATACGATCCACAACACAGTAGGCAGCTCAGGACCAGGACACATGACGAATGCCGCGTACTCGGCCTTCGATCCAGTCTTCTGGTTACTGCATACGAATATCGATCGCATGACTGCCATTTGGCAGGCTCTCAATCCCGATAGCTGGGTGACAAACCATTCCAATCCCATGGCAACGTTCACGTCAGACGCTGGTGCATATGCCGACGAGGACACCCCTCTACATCCTTTCCATCGCAACCATGCCGGTGACTTCTGGACATCGGCAAGTGTTCGAGATCACACTATTTTTGGATATACATATCCAGAGCTTCTTGGTCTCTCAGACCACGATACTCTTGTGCGGAGAATCAATCAATTATATGGCGAAGGTGCAACGTCGCAGTTCTCGTGGAAGCTGGGTGATCCTATTCCTCGGCCAGCCTCAGGTGTCGGATATACGCTCAATGAGCGCGGATCAATCAGCATGAGCAGCCCTCAGACAGGCAAATACCATTACCAGTACTTTGCCAACATCAAGGTTCAGAAATCTGGCTCAGAAGGCGGCTACAAGATCTTTGTCTTCGTAGGACCGACGAGCGCGGCGACCACTGGCTCCACCTACGATGCAACCGTCTGGATGCGGGACCCAAGTTTCGTCGGCTTTACTGGATTCCAAACCACAAATAGTCACGGAGATGGATATACAGGCGATCCAAATGCAGTGGGCGATGCCAACGGGGTCGTCGCGATGACGATAGCGCTCGAAAATCTCCTTCGGACAGGAGAGTTGACGAGTTTCGACGAGGAAGCCGTGGGAGAATATCTACATGAGAACATGAGCTGGAGAATTACAACAGTATGTACAAGCCCCCTTTCTAGCGCTTGATTGGGACTGACGACCACCTAGGCTGACCACCGTATCATCGCACCGGAAGATACGCCTGGATTCCAGATTGACGTATCGTATGCGAAGATCAAACCGCCTACACCTGATTCGTTTCCTGAGATGCAGGGCGGTGGTTACAAACAACTGTTGCGAGCCACCAGTGGAAAGTCAGGAGGTGCTCAGGGTGATTGATAGTCGGTATGAGCCAGCGATGTGTAAGCTACAGCTGTGTTTGAGCTCTCTCGGCGTTTATCGGGTTCCAGCCTTATTATGTGATGTCCTTCTGAGTAGCATAGTGAGGATCATTTTGACATTTCGTTCGTTCTAGAAGCTTATGGCAAGAATGCATTGAGCACTTCAATCCCTATGCTTGCTTCCGATCATCACCGCACCGCTCCGCATACCGACGGTCCGATGGCCTCACCGTTTCGTGACAGATCGCCGAACGCGTGTCTTGAAACGTGAAGTTGTACAGTTGGGAGGCGATGCTCATGTTGTGTTCCGATAAACCTCACCAAAAACAACTGCACCCGACATCAAGCCGTCAGTCGTGGACCTCATCAGTATTAATATAGATGGGATATGTTGTGCACAGAAACGATGTAGAAGGCAAGGTCGCAGCGCAGAATCGCAATGCAGAACACAGCCACATCCCTTGCACGTTCGACGGCAAACGCGGCGCTAGTAGCTCAAAAATAGAAAGGGTCACAGAAAGACAGGTGCGCTATCGAAATCTCCGTGGGTAGCGGGACCATAAGCGGATTGTTTGCAATCAGGTGAAGCGCTAGAGCTGCCGAGTACGATGAGTGCGTACTGCGTTGGGCATGGGGCATATCTTTGTGCAGCTCGCAGATATCGATTCGTGGGCATGCAGTGAACCTCGAAAACCATCTCAGAAACCAACAACAGGAATTGAGCGCAAAGGTACAGATCAGGGCATCGGGCCGCGATGCCATCATGCCTACGTCGGCGGGAGGCGATCGCAAATGGCAGCTGCAGGCAGCCCGGGCCCGAGATTTGGAGCGACAGCGTTGCCAAGTGGGACGGCTAGCTGCTGTCACCAGAGCTCGCGCCACCCCGCGCCCAGCGAATCCATTCCCTTGTTTGTCCGCAAGGCTTCGCCAACGAATTGCCATGGACTGATCACTACCGTTACGAGCTGCCTCATGACGTGCGCTGACCGGCTGCCTTTGAGCGAACGGCGCGGCATGGCGTGCAGCCGACCTGCGGGTACGAAGCCATGGGGACATATCCACCCTCGTATCCCCAGGCCGCGCCTTCCAATTTCTGTTTGTTTTGTCTTGTCTGCCTTAGGGTTCTTCCTTGTGAGCAGTCAGAGACCCGTGCCAATACTGTGGAGACTCTGTTTGATCTCCTGGTGCTGCGCAAATCCGCATCTCCCGCCTCGCCACCTATCTTCGATCTGGACGCCTGCTATTGTCGCGCGGGCCGCTCCATGAGCCGCTTGACCCTTTCACTTGACTGCGTCAATTAGCGACTCGCGCTTCCCATATCAATCGTCCCACCCTGTGATCGGTCTTGCCTCTAAACGACAATGGAGCAAGTACGACCTCAGCCTGCGGCTGCACCCGGCCGCCGCATTTCGATATTTACAGAAGTTGGCCTGATCGACGAGCACACGATCAGCACAAAACGCAGTCCGGCACCGATCCTCATCACCGAGCACGCTTTGAGGCAACAGCGGCCTTCCAGGACAGTTAGATTTCGCAGCAGGAACAGTGTATTTGGTGGAAATGATGGTATTGATGAGATCGACGATGAGAGTGATTGGGAGTCGGCAGATGAGGCAGAGGACGACGAGGCGAGCCCAGTAACCTCGACAAACCCAATCACGCATATGATCTCGAATTCGAAGCTCTACCGTGCAGGACTATTCGCCATCGTGTTGGCGCTTATGCTGCCGGTTGTCCAGATGATCTCAATTACGCCGCTCGGCGTGCACGGAAGCTCTATCCCACAAGGCAGCATCACATCTGTAGCAGAGCGATCGACACTTGTGGAGAGGGCGGACTCGCAAACCGACGTGTGCAAGCGTTGGAGCGGTCAGAGCGCCATTGTTAACGGTACCTTGTACATGTATGGTTACCGCACAACCACCGACGCGCAGCAGAGTTCAAACACATGGAGTGAGTTGTCTGTCCTTCTTACCAGATTAGCCTACTGACATTACACAGCAAACGATTTTCTGACCCTGGATCTGACCAAGTCATGGCAAATCTCCAGCCCTTCCTTGACCGGCATGCCTCAACCTAGCGGCCCGCCCGCCCTCTCTCTCGGCTACCTCTATTCCTCGCACAACTCCCTTTGGCTCTACGGTGGGCAATACTCGGACTCTCCTGCGGCTAAGCCGGGGCCAAACTCCATTTGGGAATACAGCATTGGCAGCAAATCGTGGATCGAGCATGCGGACCCAAAGAGCTCAGCTGGTACCAACGCTGAAGGTGACGGACAAAGCATACAGCGAGCTGCCGAGGGTGCTGGTTTTGGAGTTACTGCGTTGGGCAGAGGATGGTACTTCGGTGGACATCTGGACGACTTCACGACCGAAGGTTGGAGCAACCAGATTGCTCGCGTATACCTGAAGAGTCTTCTTGAGATCACGTTCCCTGGACACAGCAACGACGCCGTCGAGAGCCTCAAAGATGGCAAGAAGGCTGACAAGGAACCTGTCTACAGGAACATCACTTCTGGTGGCATTCAAGATACTGGCTCGTTCCCAGAGCGGGCTGATGGAATCTTGACTTATGTTCCTGGTTTCGGTACCGAGGGTCTCTTGGTCGGGTTTACTGGTGGTGATAACGATACTTTCGTAAGTGGTGATCGCACAAGAGCCACGGTCACACTAACAAGTTGCAGGCACAAATGAACGTCATCGATGTTTACGACATTGCTGAATCGAAGTGGTACAAGCAAAGCACATCCGGACGGATGCCACCCTACCGCGTCAACCCGTGTGCCGTCGTCGGAGCTGCACTAGAGTAAGTTTGTTCTGGTCGTAGGCTTTTGTGGCTTGTACTGACTTTCTCCAGCGGTTCATCCTACAACATCTACATGTTCGGCGGCCAGAACCTGCAACCGTATGGCAACCAGACTCAAAAGGACGACATGTGGATATTGTCCGTTCCGTCGTTTACCTGGATCGAAGTTGATCAAGGCACCCAAGCTGTCCCTCCCGCTCGTGCTGGCCACACTTGTCATGTGTGGGACGGTCAGATGATTGTGATTGGAGGTTACGTTGGACAAGAACTTTCATGTGACAGTCCAGGCATATACGTCTTCAACATGACTAGCCTGTCATGGAGCGACCAGTTCACATCACTCACAGCAGGGAAGGCGACTCAGGATTACACTGGTGAGGGCAGCATTGGTAACCCACTCGCCCAGCAAGCCAACCAACGTGGCTTCAATGCCAGCGCTGGTGTTGAAGGCTCGTACGGCTATCAGATCCCGAAGGCTGTCCAGGAAGTTATTGGGGGCGATGGCCTTGGCGGTGCAACACTCACCGCACCTGTGCAGACGCCTACTGCTGGACCTCTTGCGACTGGTAGAGCGATGACATACACTATCACTGGACCCGATGGCGCCTCCTACACTGAGATTGTCGCTTCGAGCGGCTCAACGAACGGCGACTCCGGACCCAATATTGCCGCTATTGTTGCTGGCGTAGTTGCAGGTGTCTTTGCGGTCATCGCCGTCTACTTCGCATTCTGCGCCTGGATCTACCGCAAGCAAGTTGCCATCTGGAAACAGCACGCCGCGATGGTTACAGCAGCTGCAGAGAAGCGCGACACGACCTTCACCAGCAGCAAGATCTCGAGCGAGCGCGCCCCGGGCACGATGGCTGGTAGCACCACTGGTGGTATTACAGCAGGCAGTTTCGACATCCGGCGTGGAAGCGGGGAGCACACTAGCTATGCCGGTGCGGGAGCAAATTGGGAAAGAAGAAGCAGCGTCGGAAGCGTGACCGAAGACCTGTTAGACGGGCAAGAGCCGAGTTTCTGGGGTACGAAGGGTGTGTTACTCAACCCCAGAAGAAGTTTGCGCGTCATAAATAGGGACTGAGGAGATGCGTTTGTGCTATCATACCCCGGAATGTTTTTGTTTTTGTTTGTTCGTTCGGTCCAAGTAAACCCGGGCAAAGGATTTGCTGGTGGACTCGAATATGAGGGCTATATACGTCGTATACACGAGCGACCTAGTAATGATAATGATCAAAAGTATAACCCTATATTCATATTACCTGGCATACTTCGCAAGCTAAAGCCCTCGAGCTTTCAAATGCGTTCCCATCACCGTTATGCAGACCACTTCTCATGCCCATCGTGGAAGAAGCATGTCTCTGCGTGTCTCAGAGTATGTTGAATTCATGTGGGATATTCACTGCGTCCATGAGGCCTCGCTCGTGTATGATTTCTGGTCTTAGATGAGATGTGAACATACCCACCAAGAAGCAGTCTATATGAGAGAAGGCTTCTGTCTGTGTGAGAGTGCCAGTTTCCCAGACATTGTTGCCATTCGTGCACTGCTTCGACTCCAGGTACAATCTGTAACGAGGCCATCGCATACCCATAATGCCCAATGAGATCCCCCGAGCAGGAAGCTCAGCTCACACGTAGACATCCAACCACTCTCCTAATCCAAACCTCGTAACCCGACGGTTTATTAAGACCCGTGTCCGATGCACCTTAGCTCGCCAACGAGTAAAACCCACATTCAGTTCACAGGCACATCCGTGTCGACCACGAACGGCGCATCGAACGCAACACCGCCCCCCACCTCAGAAGCCGCGCCGCGCACCGCCGATGGCGAGCACACCACCGAACCCATGCGGCTCGCGATCTGCTCCGGCACGCTGACAATGATGCTGTGTCGCGACGAGTTGGTAGTGCCGAGCCGGGCGCCGCAGGCGTCGCCCTCGTGGAACTCGCACACGGATCCCTTGTTCTGGTAGATGGTGCGCACGTTGCCGTCGACGGGCCCGACGATGTCGGCGCAGTGCGTTGTCGCGGTGACTTTGAAGCAGGGCCCCGTGCTGATGTCAGTGGCGCAGAGGAGCGCGTCGCCGGCCGGGGAGGTGGGCGAAGGTCGCTTCGGAGAGTGCGAGATGGTGTTGGGCACGGAGTTGGTGTGGGGGGGAGTTGCGGCTGGTGCGGTGGGCGCGTTCATGTTGGGTTCCCTGGAGTCGAGAGCGCCGACCGCTGCTCCCCTGTTGTAATCGACACAGTGGACGCCTGTGATGATGGCCGAATAGTTGCTGGGCATGTTGCTCGTCCAGTCCTCCTTTGAACCGAAGTTGCTGGCGCCGAACACGCGATACGAGAGGACGCAACTGTCGCCAGTATAGAACTCACACACTATGTTCGTTGACAGAGTCCACGACTTCAAGTTGTTACGGAAGGGAGCCCTGAGCGCAAAGCATGTGAACTGAGCCGGAAACTCGAGGCAGTGACCGTAAGCATTTGGTTCGGTGCAGAGACGCACGTGGAATCTAGAGTGTGACTCAGTCTGGAATCTGAGCGGGGACGAATCTGTTGCGGTGACGACCATTGTGTCCGTCGCCTCAACCTTTGCGCCTGGGATGCAGATAAGGCCAGTCAGTACGGGCGACCACTTGAGGCTGATATCGACGGAGTGTTCACTCCTGCCAGAATCGACCGTGAAGGCAGTGTTGTTGCACTCATTGTCCTGAAAGTAGGAGCACAAGCTGCCCCGGCTCTGGACGATAGACTGGACATTGTAGCGAACTGGGGATCGCAGTTGCTGGCAGTTCATGTGAGCGTTGACTTCGACGCAAGTACTCTGACCACGACGACCGGTGCAGAGACGCACTTTGCCAAGCTCGAGCGAGGCATCAGTGGTAACGTCGGCGGCGGCCGCGGGAGACGCATCATTTCCAGAGGTTGGGGCCGCAAACGAGAGGGCGAAAAGACCGATGAGGCCGGTAAGGAGATAGCGGATGCGCATACTGCGTTTTGCGATCAACAAACGAGTCCAACTAGAGAGCCAATTGAAGAGAGACGTGCTCTTGTGTATCTAACTTGCCTTGGATTAGACTTTGAGCAATGATCGGCTTGTAGGTAAGGGTCGAAGTAATTGTGAGGGGTGAAGGGATCAGTCATGATGGAAACACTCACATATAGACGAGGAAAAGATGGCGGTGTAGCTGCTTGTGCAAGGTGAGAGCGAAGGTACGAGAAAATAGCGAGCAGTGGAGAATGATGTATCTTCTTTGTATCCGCTCGTGTCTAGGAGCTGCAAGTACGTATGTATAACTCGTTGTGTTGGGTAAGCGAAGGGGTGGTGCCGTGAAGGTTGCGGATGCAGAGGAAAGACAGGCGTTGTGAAATGACGAAGATATCAAGACCCGGGCTAGAGTGAAGGTAACGGCGTGGTCGCGGCAGATCGGTGTCATGCATGTGCAAGGCGGTAGAGAAGTGCCCACGATGATTGTACAAATGATCTATGCGCTTCTCTGTTGTCTTTCACTTTCTGATTATTCGTTTTGTACAAGTATCTTACGGGTCGAGATCGCGGTTGATGTTGTACTGCTTGTACCCAAAACCGTCCATCGCGACCCAATGACCGACTGCCTCCATCTTTTCCCACACGTCGGGATATCGCTCTTTGATATAGGCCTCGACCTTTCTTTGTTTGTCCAGGTTGATCGTTGTGTTGTACCAATTGCTGAGACTGCATGGATTATTAGCAGATGTCATGACTGTCGCCCGTCACGCATAGACTTACATGTCAAAGTCTGGCTTATAACCATACTCCTCCTCGACTGTCTCAATAAGCGCCAACGCCTCATCGTGCAACCAGTTGCGTGCAATGGCCGATTGGTAGGCGATGAACAGCTTCTTATCAATATCGACTTCTTGCTCCTTCAATCGTGCCCAAATCGACTTCGCGTGCTGGTCGCCCCAATTTATACCTTCACATGCGCGGAACGCGATAGGAATGCTGTTGTATGAAGGACCTTCCTCAGATTCGCAGATTTCTCTCCATATTTCCAAGGCTTTCTTGTTGTTGCCGCAAGTCGCATGAGCAAGCATTAGTGCATTGCGAAGCTTCGTGTCTATGTTGATCTTGTAGTCGAGCTTGAGCTGGTTGTTGACGAGTTCCAGGGATTCGGCGTCTGTGCACCGAGCGAAACCTGTGAATGCAGCAATGTAAACATCGCGATTTGCTTGATGGAATTCCCCAGTGTGATTACGCATATGAAAGTAGACGTGGCAAGCCATGTCTGAGCGTTTGCGTGCGAAGAACTCGTTCATCAATTGCATCCGATTTGCACGCGATGTTTCCGGAAAGGTGTTCCGTAGTATCTGGTAAGCATCCCACGCATCTGCTGTACTATTCTCCCTGTCCAGTATGAATTCGCGAAGTGCTTTGCCGATGACTGCTCGCTGGTCTGGTGAGTACTGAAAAGCATGTACCTGAAGCAAGTCCATGGCATCGTGGATCTCAACGCGGCGAAGGTGCAGAATGCAGAGCTTGGCAACGGTTTCCGGAGCAAACTGGGCTTTCCGTTCATGCAAGTCATCTACAATTGCCATGATGTCATCATAATAGTGGTGCTTCGACTCGCACAAGACTTGAATGAGCTCGTTGATAGCCGCAATGCTCGCTTCCGAGCCCCTGAGATCGCCCTGCAGGTTGAAGTATGCGGCTCTTGCACCATCAATATCCTTTACAGATAGACGATACTGCATCTGCATCGTGTAGGTGTTCTCATCGGGCAATATCCCTCGCTTTTCTCCCATAGTGATATAGCGCTCGGCGGAGTATGGATCCCGTTTTGACATAGCAAACTCGACCAAAAGATTGATGGTATCAATGTCTGGGTAGATAGGAGACTCTGTCCCTTCGGTACGGCGGATCATTACGTTCATCATCCGTTCGACTTCATCTGCGCCCTTTCCTAGAGCTGCTGACCAAAGAAAAATGGCGTCCCATCCGCTCTTGTCGGGCACCTTCCCTTTGGTAAGACCAGCGACTACTTCTTGACCAAATGTCAAGTCGCCTTCAAGAGCGCAAGCCTTGAGCAAGGCAGAATAGATAGACTTGTGCTTCTCTGCAGCCAGCTCGCCTGGTTTTAGATGCTTAACAGTAGGTCGCGAGTACCACAGCTTCGCGTCGTCTAGCTGCCGCCGTTCAGAGAAGAGGGGCACAATAATTTGCTGCGCAATATCTGTGAGTGGCACTGCACTATTGTTGAATAGTTCTGTAACTTTTGCCATCTCATCACGGTTGTTCTCGCGTGCGATGCCTACCAGAACGTTGTTCCAGACAGTGCGAACAACCGTCTGTCTCGATTCTGGCGTACTAGAATAGTCGTCATAATACTTCGTGGCGATCTCTTTCGCCTCCGAAGCCGCACCAAACAAACACAGCAGCTTTACAAGCATTGGCCTCATAACCAAGTCCAGTTCTTCCTCTTTCGTCAACTTCACTTTTTTGGCTTGCTCCTCTGACATGTCGGCCGCGGTCTCAGTGTATTCCATCTCCATGATCTGGTCGATCAAAGCCGTGCCGAATTCGACGTGTGGCTGTCCTCCGGTCGCAGGACGTTTTGTACCCCTCATGAGCAGGTCGACGATCCACAGTAACCTCTCCTTTGTAAACCATTGCTCTCCGCTCTCTTTGGAAGACGCTAAAAGATATTTGAAGGTGTCATATGCTAATTGAATGTGGAAGTTTTCAAATGGTCCCTTCTTGGTTTCGAAAAAGTTGTCGAAAGCCTCTGCGAGGTCCTTATCTTTCGGGGGCCTTGCAGACGTCCTCTGGGCATGCTTGAGCTCGCTCATGGTTTGGAGTCCAACAGGGATATCCATTTTCTTGATCTTGCGCTGTGTCTTAAAAATTCCACCAAAAAAGGTCCTCCGTTGCGACTGGGGAAGCGCTCGAGCGCCATGATGGATGATGATGGACGGTCGCAAAGCTCTCTGGCGGCAGCCTCGGTACACAAGAGGCTCGTTGGCGATGATATTGCGAAAGACGACGCGGGTCAAATGGGAGGGCATTGCGGCGGCGGGTATCGCAGACTCGAGGCAGGATTTCGGACCGGCAATTGACGGGTGGTGGGTGTGTAACTTAAGCGCGAACGACGGCCATGAGTCGGGAAACGATGAAACACTGCTGGCCACGAGGAAGATGAGACGAAAACGCGTTGCAGACGGCAGTGAAGACGAGAGGGGAAGCTTCCCTGCATGGCCAACGTCAGTACATAAACTTTAGTTGTCGTTAGCGCCGCTGCCAAGCAACGTGCATCTCGAAAATGCGGAGGAGCCACTGCATGCGACAGCAAGCACAGCAATACGCGTCAACATGTCGTTAACACGGATCGCATTCCGGGCGCCGGTAGCCTTCCCCAAGACTGGCCTGCGATGTTTCTCGTCGGGGCCTCAGAGGCAGGGTGCGCTCCAATCTTCTCCGCCGTCACCTCCGAACCTCGTACTGAAGCCCTGCAGATGATGCAATCCTCTCCATCCTCAGCGACCTGAAAACTCCCGCCAGCCAGCAGCAGCCTGGAGGTTCTCTGGCCACCCGATTCGCCCGCGATGCCGGTCTCGATCGCCCTTCACAGACGCGCGAGATGTTGGAGTCGGAGCGGAGCGCCACTTTCCAGCGCCAGATCTACCGCAAGTGGCAGGCTGGTGACGTCTACGCGCCGCACGACTTGAGCGGCGCCGAGCAGAAGAAGTGGAAGTATGGCCGCAACAAGCCCCAGAGCGATGCGTTCGACGTCCTGGGCATCAACCCGGTGAACGAGTACAAGGTGGGTGCATTGGCAAGGTATATGGACGTCAGAGACTGACGCGCGTAGAACTTCACAATCATGTCCGAGTACATGACCGAGATGGGGCGGATAAAGCACTCGAAGGACACTGGTCTGCGGCCGAAGAACCAGAGGAAGATCGCAAAGGCTATACGAAGAGCAATTGGCCTCGGCCTGATGCCCAGTGTGCACAGGCATCCATTGGTTCTGAAGAAGAGCTCCCCGACGAAGTTCTTGTAGGAGGTGAATTGCTGTATGATATGGCGTACTCGTGACATGTACACTCGGGTGTAAGCATAGCAGAAGGCGTTCGAAGACATGCGCCAATATATTGATCAAGGGCCACTGGCCTGATTTACGGATCTCATCGAACATATCGTGTGTTGCTACATTATGTACATTTCCGCCACAGGCCCAGTAACTCCAGCTAACTGTACAAGAACTTCAAAGAGTATGTATATGGTGATATGTGCGTGAGCTCAGCTCACTTTGTTTCCGCCGCCGCACCAGCAGCGCCCGTCACCCTCCCTCTCCACGTGCACAACGACGTCCATGTTCCTGCCCTTCAAGAACTGAATGGTGCGTTCGCGCACATCCTCAAGATCTGCGGCCTGAGAGGCGATCACATGGATGACACCAAGAATTCGTTGCTTTCCGGAAGCGTGACTGTGGTCGTGGTCATGGTCATGATCATGGCCGTGGTTATGGTCATGATGATCGTGGTGGTCGTGAGTGTGTGCGTGGGACTGGGTATGTGCATGGTCATGTCCTGAGTGCGTGTGCTTATGGTCATTTCCGTGCCCGTGATCGTGATCGTGATCATGGCCGCTACCACAACCCTCATGTTCATGCTCTTTCGCGTGTACCTCGGCGTGGGCGGCACCCTCGTCTTCAAGCCAAAACTTGGGCACCGTGTAGCCGACAACACCTCGTAGCGAACTGAGTTCCTGTAGTGTGTTGCGCACACCATACTCTGCGTCGGTCGGAAGCGATAGCATCAGGCGCATGCCTGCACTCTTGACAAGCGGGATTGCAGACAAGAAAATGAGGATGGCGATGATGCATGATGCGATGGGATCCCAGCCAGACCAGCCGTAGTACTTGGTGAGTAAGGTGGAGATGATGACGGCAACAGAGCCAAGAGCATCGGCGAGAATATGCAAGAAGATGCCCTGCATGTTCTCGTTGTCATGGGAGTGGCCATGTCCATGATCGTGATCTCCATGATCATGTGAATGTCCGTGTCCATGGTGTGCATGTCCAAAGGCTGTGAGACCTACGATATTGACGAGGAAGCCAAGAATGCTGACAATCAGAAGTTCATTCAGCCGCTGAAGCTCGTGTCCTTCCCATAGGCGTTCGAAGGCGTCGAAGATGATCTCTACACTGACAAGTCTAGACTGTGTTAGAAGACATCCAGTGTGCCGATTGCAGCATCTACTTACAGAAGAAAGACACCATTGGCAAAACCAGACAAGGTGTCAACCTTGCCATAGCCGTAAGGGAATCGGGCATTGGGACGCCATTTGCTCATGACTGCTGCTGCCAGTCCCACAGCGAGGCCAGCACAATCAAAAAGCATGTGGATGCTATCGGTGAGCAAGCCCAAAGAACCACTGACGAAGCCATAGAAAAACTGAACCACCATAAAGCTGAGGTTGAGAACGCCAAAGTACGCAATTCGTCGTGAGTCCCTCTCGATCATGATGCTGTGGAGAATGGAGCCTGGTGTCGTCCGCGCGATGAGAAATTCGGAGATTCTCGACGGATTTGCATGTAGGTGATGTTCATGTTTGTGATCGTGCGAATGGTCTGCATGTGAATGATCATGAGTATGCGAGTGCGCGTGAGACGCACGAGTGTCCCAAGCAACACCGCAAGCGTAGAGTATGTAAGACAATCCGGTAAAGATGACGTGGTACCATTCGGGCCAAGACTGCCATCCGGTGAATGTAGTGACCATGAGGCCGCTGAGGTGCAGTCCTATGTACTGATGACTCCGTAGGGCTGCAGGAATTGAGAAAAACACAAGCGCCGTTGCTGATGCGACCGATAAAGCTGTGAAGATGATGGCGTGTTGCGAGAACAATGACGCGGAGGACGTTAAAAACAGGGACAGGAGGGTAACAACCATTAGAATGACACCGGAGACGCAGGTCAACAATGTGTCTTCTGGTGTCTTGACGAGAGGCGAAGTTGGCTTCGGCAAAGAAGTCCGTGTGGCCTCTTTGCTTATGTATGAATTCTGGCTCTGATTTCCGGTGATCAGAGACCAGCCAGCTGTAGGTAGAGGTGGAGGTGCCGCGAAGATGGATGTGAAGAGAGCACCATAGCCAAGTAGGGCACATACTGGGTGGCCCCAGATGGCAAGATCAATGATGGTCCCTAGAACCAAGACGGCCAAGGTTGTTCTTCGAGTGCGCAGGGTTCTCTTCAGGTCATCTCCGCGGGTATGTTTGCCCGGTCTGTGGTCTGTGGCACCAAGTCCTGCCGCGATAGCAGTCACCAGCACCAGTGCTGTCTTTGCGCCGCCTATCTGCATGGTGGCATAGAAAGGCAGCAAGATGCCGGCGACATTGCTGAGAGTCTGCCTGAGACTAGCAACATCCCGCAACGCAGCAACTATGCCCCTCGAGCTCTCTGCCTTTCGCCGATCGAGTGGCTGGTCTAGACTTGATCGAACTCTCGCTATCAATCCGACCACTAACAACGTGGTCGACGTGAGAAAGAGGACATCCAAGATGTGTGTGCTGCTAGCGGCGGTTTTGGCGGCGATCGCTGGCTCATTGTCGACTAGAGCTTCCGAGAGGGTCGAAGGCAGCTTCCTTGCTGCACTTGGATAGGCTATAGAGGCGAACAGCCACGGTAGCGGGAGGAGCAGCGCTGTGAGTGCTTCGGGGAGGCTCAACAATGATCTGTAAACATGTCAGTCGGAGTCTACTCTGCATACATAATAGACTGCTCTTACGAAGGTGGAGGCACAGGCGCAGACTCCTGCACTGGCGGAAACATGCCGTACTTGGCTGCTGCCGCGTTCTTCCTCGGCGTCTGAGGCGGATTGCCGTTGGTCCGGCCGTTCGCAAACGAGGTCAGGCTGTGCGTGGAACCATTCGAGTTGGTGTGGGCGTGTGAGTGGGAATGGCTATGCCCGTGGCTGTGGCTGTGGCTATGGCCATGGTTGTGGTTGTGATTGTGCGCATTGGCGTTGTACTCGACGTATGGCGAGCGCACGGCGCCATACAGCTGTCCGCTCATGTTTGGTCGTTGGTGCTGGTGTGCAGGCGTGGCCTTGTCCCCTTCGTTTACAGGCGACAGAGCCTTGGTGCGTCCGCTGCGGATCGGCGAGGGTGCAGTGAAGTAGTGCGACTGCGATTGCGAGCGCCCATGGCCGTGAGCATGTGAGGTGGGCGCAACGGGCAGGGCATACGTCGACGCCATCACTAGCACCGCGTGCGGGAGTCCGTTCTCGCGGTGTCTTGACTCGGCCTCGGTGCTGCTCGCAAAGGGCCGTCTGGGGTCCGTATCGCTGCTGTCTGCGCAGACGACAAAGCAATTAGGGCATGTATAAGCAGAAGCGGTGCTCAAACCGGTGGGGCGTTGCGACAACAGCAACGTAATGGGGTTTTGGAGGCGCCTCTATCTGTTTCGATAACGACGCCGCGTCCATCTTCTCAGGGGCCTAGTTCACAACCTTTGACGTGCATCCTACGCGCCTTCCCTATTGGTGCTGCCCCGGTAGGCGCCACGAGCCGGGATGCAGGGCGGAGATCTTTAAGCGAGGCGCGGGCTGCAACGTGATCGTCTGCTTCACCGTTACAGGCCAGACGTCGCCACACCAAAACCGGCCATGTTCGAGTCGCTGCTCACCGAGAGGTTTAGCAATGGCTTTGACGTTGTTTTGGCCATCGCGTTGCTTCTGTCGACCATCTTCACTATCATCTTGTTGACCCTGCCGTCGCAGTATGACCCGTACTTGGACAGGCCACTCAAGGCGGTGGACGAGGAGGGCAACAAGGTCAAAGTGAAAGGGAAAGATGGTAGCGATTCGATTGATTTCAAACCAGGGAGGACGGTGCAGATAATCGTCTTAGGAGACATTGGACGCTCACCCCGCATGCAGTATCATGCTTTGAGCATTGCCAAACACGGCGGAAGGGTGTTTCTGATCGGCTATCAGGGTATGAATTTCATAGAAAAGCTCCGAATCTATATTCTAACAGTTTTTGTAGAGTCGGAAGTGCACCCGGATATTGTCTCCAATCCGTTAATCGAGGTTGTGGCACTGGTGCCAGCACCTTCTTACCTCCGTTCCAGCAGCAAACTGCTGTTTCCTATTCTGGCACCATTGAAAGTACTATGGCAGGTCAGAAGTCTATACCGCGCTCTCTGCTACCGCACACAGCCTGGACGATGGATGCTTGTACAGAACCCTCCTTCGATACCTACCCTGGCTGTGGCGAGTCTAGTATGCTTCATTCGGAACACGCAGTTAGTGATCGACTGGCACAACTTTGGCTACTCGATCCTCGCACTCAAACTCGGTAATAGCCATCCGCTTGTCAACATCTCCGCTTTATACGAGAGACTGTTCGCAAAGGCAGCTAAACACCACTTCACCGTTACCCGCGCAATGGCACGTGTACTTAAAGACTCGTATGGTGTCACCGCTCAAACCTTACATGACCGTCCAGGCCCGATGTTTCGACCCATTGACTCTTTAGAACGACACGCCTTTCTTTCTCGACTGCCAGATACCGCGCAATTTGCGCAAGATCTTACGAGTCCAACCAAAACACCATGGAAGCTAATCGTAAGCTCGACATCCTGGACTGCAGATGAAGACTTTTCTATTCTACTTGACGCTCTGTGTGCCTATTCAGCACAGGTCACTGCAAATCCTGGGCTGCCGAACATCTTGGCCATCATCACCGGCAAGGGTCCGCAGAAGGAACACTATCTCGCCAAGATCCGCGTTTTAAACCAAGAGAAGAAACTGTCAAATGTCGTCATAAAGACAGCATGGCTTACGTCTGAAGACTACGCAACGCTTCTTGCTGCCGCTGACCTGGGCGTGTCGCTGCACACATCTTCGTCTGGCGTCGACTTGCCCATGAAAGTTGTCGACATGTTTGGTGCAGGATTGCCCGTCGTAGGGTGGGGCAAGTTTGAGGCCTGGCCTGAGCTAGTCAGAGAAGATGTCAATGGGAAAGGGTTCGAGAGCTCCCAGCAGCTGGCGGAGCAGCTCTTGAGCTTGTTCGGTGAAAAGGTGAACTTGTTGGAGACATTGAAGAAGGGCGCGCTCGAGGAGAGTAAAAACAGATGGGATGAAGAATGGGATCGCGTTGGTGGAAGGATGTTTAGGTTGGTCGATTGATGGTCAAGGCATCATAGAAACTCTCTGCTCGTGACTTAGCTATGCATTGGGGCCGCCATGTTCTGATAGCTACAATAGTGTTAGCGCGCTGCACCAAAATCTCACCTCCGTGGACGTGCAAGTCTCTATCTTGACCACACAACAACAATCTCGCTACTTAATACATAACTTCTACTCAGCACAGACTGTTACTATGGCGAGTTTTAGGGCCGTGAAGAGATGGATAACTTCATGGGTTGTAACGACTATCATGTGACGTTAGGTCCAGCCTATCTCCGCGCCGCACGTATCTCCGCACCGCACGGACGATGCATTTTGTCGTCCGGACCATGACCGTGGCGTCTGAACAGCAGTTCGGTCTAATCATGATGATTCGGACGCGTTTTTCGGACCATTGAAGGCTGAGAGGGCACAGTAGTAATGGCGTCAATCATCTATAAGGAGCGTTGCGCCGCGCTTCCCTAGGTCTCATCCCGCATACAAATTGCATACCTGCCCATCGCCAGATCTAGAGCCATCTCCGCTAATCGCTTCGATATAATAACATACAGCTCATCAATCCGAGCAACGCACCTCCACCAGCCATCACCAATATGGGCAACCAACTGTCTCAGATGTTTCCGCCCAAGCCGGCATTCACAGAGGCAAATTTTCCTTCTGGCTCCTTAAAAGACAAGGTCTTCATCGTGACTGGCGCCTCAGCTGGCGTCGGTAAAGAGCTCGCACGCCTACTGTACTCTCTCCATGGCACCGTCTACCTCGCAGCACGCTCCAAGGAACGCACCGATGCCGTCATCTCCTGGATCCGCGAGACCCACCCGGACTCTCAAGGCCGACTGGAGTTCCTGTACGTCGAGCTCGCGGACCTGGAAAGCATCAAGCCTGCCGCCGAGCAGTTCCTGAGCAAGGAGAAGCGACTCGATGTCCTGTTCAACAACGCAGGCGTCATGGTTCCACCACAGGGCTCGACGACGAAGCAGGGGTACGAAGTGCAGCTCGGCACGAACTGCTTGGGGCACTACGCATTCACCAAGCTACTGACACCGCTGCTGATCCAAACCGCCAAGAGCAGCGAGGCAGGCAGCGTGCGCGTGATCTGGGTGTCGTCGAGTGCCGTCATGAACGCGCCGAAAGGGGGAGTGGACATGGCGAATTTAACTTACGCGCAGGACAAGTTTGCGTTCCAGAAGTACGCCATCAGCAAGGCCGGGAATGTTCTGCATGCGCTGCAGTTCCGCAATCTGTACGAGAAGGACGGCATTACCAGTGTCAGCTTAAACCCTGGGAATCTATCCTCGGATCTCACACGCCACGCTGGATTGCTCGGCGTACTTATTGTTAAGCTCCTCACGTACCCAGCTGTGAATGGAGCATATACAGAGTTCTTTGCAGGTCTGTCGCCAGAAGTCAAGGACTTGAAGCAGAACGAGTGGGGTAAGAGCATGCTCAAACCGATATATTGTTGACCGGATGCTAATAAGCGTACAGTGATCCCCTTTGGACGTATCTCTCCTCTGCGAACCGACTTGGCAGAAGCAGGGCACAATGGTGGGAGGGCCGAGGAGTTCTGGGCGTGGAGTGACGATCAGGTCAAGTCGTACTTGTGACGAGCGTGATATTTCTTGTACGTGATTTTTTAGTAATTTTCGTAGCGGAAGGGTCTACAAAGCCTCTGTGGCTCCAAGGACCCATAATTGATCGTAGCATGGTTATAATGCCAGACAGATCTGCAGGCCGACATCTGTGTGTCACAGTGTAGTGTACTCAAGGCTCGCAGTGCATGCTGCCAAGTTCCAGCACAGATCGACCACGTCTTTTGATCCTAACTACAGTTCTTTGCATAGCAAGCTATAATTTCTCACAACAGGACGCTGCCCGTTGACGCCGCCACGCTGTCGATGTATCCCAGGGCCAGAATCCTTGTGATGCAGACAGACAGTCCTCCTGGTCTATCTGATTGCTTGCGTCTCACGTGAACGAACTAGGACGCTCGAATTTCCTGTTTGCGTAAGTACACCCTCGACTTTGAGGGCCACAGAATACATTCTAGGGTCTCACAATCACCCACTGAAAGCGGTGTGCTGCGCTGAGCCCTCGACACGGCACATTCCGAGTATATCGGTCCTACTACTGAATGTCCCATTGTGATCAAGCATCTAACAACGGGTCGGGCATCAAGATGCGGGCTGGACTGCCGGTAACGAGCGCGTAGCGCACTTCAGATACCGTGTACTAGTTCGCGCGTGTCTGCAAGTGTACCAAAACTCTGTCAGTTGCGCAATCGCCACTTTTGTTGGTGCATACGAAGTACAAAAGAGGGTGTTGTGCTTGAGTCGAGGCAATGTTAGCCAACAGAAGGCCAAATCGTCGGCGTGGTGGGCGCTCGTCGCAGCACCCTTGTTATGCCGCCTCACAGCCACCCTGATTCGAGGTGGTATCCTGACAATCTTCTGTGCCAATGTCTGCTTTGGGCAGCTGCAATGTGACAAGATCTTTTACGGTGATGCAGCTGCAACAGGGCGGCCAATTGGTGGATAATGATCGACGTGATGTAACCGATGGCGGCAGATGAGCCTCATCTCACTTGAAATTGGCAATCTTGCACACAGTAAGAAGAAGCTGTATCTTCGTCGCCATTACCCTTGTTGTTAACAGCCGCAATTCAAGGCTGATACCTGCCACTAGCCGACCCGAGTTGACGTACATAGTGAGGTGTTCCAAGCCAGATGTGGAGGGCAATCCTGCTCAGCTCGCGTGAGAAGTGACCAACGGGCTGTCGGCGGAAGTCCGGTATCGTTCCGCCGAGACGGGGCGAAAGTCAAAATCCAGCCCGTCAGTTCTTGATGCTGCGACTAAGGTTTGGTTTTGCGCTGTGAATGGCTTGTAAGCAACAGGGCTGCCTGCCGTTACGGGCGGAAATGCGGGAGGCTGGTCACGGGCGCAAAGGTGTAGTTGCAAGTTGGCCGCGCACAATGGACGAGACAGGGAGCGAGATGAGAGGAGTGCAGCGCATTCGCGACAATGCTGGACAGGGCGGACAGGGTTGGGACAGCCCCACGAACGCACATGTTCCTGGAGCATGCAGCGGCCAGCCACTGGGCGCTGGGGGCGCAGGCAGCCGAGGAAAACAAAGCCGGTCGCACTCTTGGTTCGCAGCGCATGGACCCCCGTCCAAGTGTGACAGGCTTGCCGCTGACTGGTGAATTGCATCTGATGGCGTTCGCTGGGCGATGAATGACAGGTCCGCGAGTTCAACCGTCGCTCTTCCTCCTGCCGCTTCGTACTCATAATTAAGGATGTCGCATTGTGCACCCGTCGCCTGGTGATGCATCACCCACGTTTCGGTTCCCGCTGACGGAGATCTCGCCGCGGACTGCTGCGCGCTGAAAGGGCATGGGGAAGGATGGCGGTACTGCAACCAAAGGCCTACCCAGGTTCCCCTGCCGCTGGAGCTGGGCAGCGTGATCTGCTCGCCGGCGCAGAAAACACTCTGACGGCACCACGACGCGCTGACGACCAGCGCCGCCTGCGACGCGTGAAGGACTCCAAAGAGCAGTTGAAGAGCAGGACGCGGGCACGCGGCACGAGCAACGGCACCATCGACACGGCGACGAGCAACTCGACTGCGGCCGGACGGTCCTACACCGTCGCCAACGTGCACAACGGCGTGATCTACCTGAGGTGAGTGCGGTGAAGGAGAAGGTGCAGTGTGTTGTTGGTGTTGGTGTTGGTGTTGCTGGCGTTGTGCTGTGCCGGCTGTGGTAGTAGTAGTAGTAGCAGTAGTGGCGGTGGTGGTGGTGGTGGTGCTTGGTCGACCGGGGGGCCAACACCACCGGCTGCAGAAGCACGCCGCCGGGACGGGCACATGCCCGCGAGGCAGGCGCAACACCATGCACCCGGCCGGCCAGCGCGCACTGCGCCGATCCCCGCAGACTCAAGCTGACCCCCGCCAGGCCCGTCGTGCGCGCAGGCAACCAGCGCAACCGCCCCCAGCCCGACCCGTTCGTCTTCCCGCCGTCGACGCCCCCGGACAGCGCCACGCTCGACTCGACGCTGCGGCCTACGAGCAATGAATGGGAGCAAAGCCTCTACGGCTCGAGGACCCCGCGCTCCGAACCCACGCCGCCGCTGCCGCTGCCGCTGGACCTGACCACAGAGCATGCCGCGCGACCGCCGCCGCACGCCGACCAGCCCTTCACCGCACGCACTGCTGCACGCGCCGCCGCCCACCCGCGCTCGCACTCGTTCTCGACCGTCGACGACCACACCGTCACGTCGGCCACCACCGAGCCCGGCACCTTCAAGGTCGTCATCGAACGGCCTCCGTTTGGCGGCCGGCCCAGGACCGCCGACACGTCCTCGCTGCCGCTGCTGCAGGTGCCCATCCCGCACTACCGCCTGGGCACGCCGCGCTTCAGCACCAAGGGCACCGCCGATCTGCGCAGCTCCGTCTACACGCGCACCTCTGCCACCGACGACTTCAGGAGCTCTCTGCTGACGCCCCAGCGCGCGGGCTCGCACTCGTTCCTGTCGTCGCGCCCCCAGTCCGACGCCTTCTCGCCTGTGCCCGCCAGATATCGCGCCACTATGGACCGCCCGCCGCTCCCCGCCTCCGCACCGTCTTCCTCCCGAGTCTCCCAATCCCCCATTGGACCGCGGCTATTCGACGCCCTGACAGTCAATCCCGACGACAGAGCCGTGGTGCGATTTTCACCGTCTGGCGATATCCTTGCAGCCACTCCTTCACGCCTCGTGGCCCACATCACCTCTCCAAGCTTCCTGGACTACGAACTCCTCTCCGACTTTTTCCTTACTTTTCGCGCCTTCTTGTGTACCAGGGACCTAGTCGCATATCTTATATCACGACTTAGATGGGCGGTGGACAGGCAGGATGACTTTGGTCGCATTGTCCGCGTGCGGACATTCGTGGCTCTTCGTCATTGGATCTTAAACTACTTCGTGGACGACTTCGTGCCGTGCTACAACCTGCGGACGTACTTTTGTCAGCTGGTCAACGACCTCTACCGAGACCTCAAGGCCCGCGCCGATGGAGGTGCTGGCGACGTAAAGATTGTTGGCGAGCTCAAAAAGTGCTGGAAAAGGACATGTGTCATGTACTGGGAGACTGAAGATGGCTTAAGCAAGGACTTTGCTGACGAAGAGCTGCTTCCTGGTGGCTTGGTTGACTTGCCGACAACACACGAAGAGCCAGAGATTCTAGCGATCGAATCACCGGCCCCGCGGCAAGCAGATCGCGACACGAAAGAGACCATGGGATCGAATCCGAGCGACCAATTCGCCAGCCGGCACATGGACTGGGCGCAGAGATCTCGCCACACCCCTCAGAATTCCTTGAGCTCACCGTACGTATCCTCGAATGAAGGTGGGACCGTTCAGGTCCCACTTTCGCCCGGGAGCGAGGGGAGCATGCACATCTTATCTTGCTCTCTCCCACGACGTGGTTTCTTGAAAAGCGAGCAAGCCATGAACTTGCCTCTCTACCCTCACCCAGTACCTCATCCTCCCACGGCGCCTGCCCGTTTGGCGGCAAGCCCAGCGTCAAACAAGAACGTCCGTCAATCTCACTCACACAAGCGTAGCGGCAGTTTCTCTGACGCTTTAAGGGACAGCAGGGCTCCGCTCTCTATTCCCAAGAATGCTTCAGTGGACGTAACCATATCCGCAGTGACGAGTATGCCTGGCAGCCTCGTGCGTGGTGGACTGTTCCAGCCAAGCTCGCCGTACATCAAGCTCAAAGGCACCAGTCTACGCCATACCCGGACCCGCAGTGAAACAGATGGCGACGATCTATACGCCGACGACGTACAGCTCCGCCCAGGTCATGCAAACAGTCCGGGAATGAAGAAAATCTTCGGTAGTATGCGCCGCGCCTTGAGCATCAAACAGTCGCCTCACGGAAGCCCTCAACTAGGAGCGCATGCGCAACAGCGAATGGCACCGTCGGTACGATCTTCTAACCCAGGAACCATGACCACATTGTCAGCAGGGGTTCGCAAACAACGCACAGTTAGAACAAAGCCAGAAGTGAGGATCGACGCCTTGGCCATGAAGGTTGGTGAGAGCTTCAGGGAGGCCGTCGAAGAGCAGTTGAGAGACGAAAATCAGCGACGGGAGAGCAGCATTGAACCTCCTGATCTAGGTGGCTTCGAGTTTGAATTTGAGAACCGAAAGACTTCATCTGCCAACGAGAACCCAAAGAAAGAGAAAGAACCAGATTCTCGGGTGTACAGCAACATCACCACTGGCAGCAAGTCAATCCTGATCATTGACGACACTGGGCCGCCCCCGTTGCCGGTGATGTCAGGAGCTTTACCCCCTGCGGCATTGGAAGAGACGGCTCCTCCAAGTACCCCACCGAAGGGTCACCAACGAAATCCATCGATTGCTCAACGACTTGCTGAGGGCGATATGGTAGTTGTGCGCCACTCTGACCTGTACAAGGATCCTACTCCAAAAGTCTCAATCGAAGAGCGTCGCTCATCCCTTCCATCTGTGCAACAGCCGCGTCTACAAAGGCGATCTGTGTCTGAGGGCAGGGAGCAGATGCACTCATTCAAGTGGCGAGGCTCTATGCGGAAGTCTATAGCTCGATCTTCGTTGCGTCGACATGCCTCATACAACAGCATTCTGAGTGGCCGTCAAGGCCCCGAGAGTATAGCCACATTCATGACTATGTCATCAGACAACGATCCATTCTTCCTCGAGAAACAGTCACCTCAACCCAGCGGCCCAGGTCGCATGCTTCGCAGGAAGCCAGGGGGCGATCTGCGCGCCGCTGGCAACGTCCAAGATCTTGAGATGACTCCTCGTCCGCACTCCACTGGCTCAGTCTCTAACCGCACTCATTCTATTGCAAACTCTGTCATCCTGCGATCAGACCGCTACGCTACTCCTGAGCCAGCGACGAACCAACCAGCCGAAACAGTCGATGCGACAGTAAATGCAAAGAAGCCGATATCACTCGTTGATACTCATTCGTCGCAACCTAACTTAAGACCTTCTTTCGAGGCAGAAGTCGCGAAGCTTGCAGCATTACCGGATGATACAGACGACGAGGGCGGAGTGGAGGCAGCGCTGATGAAGCTCGAAGGCCGATACGAAAAGAAGTCTCCGGGTGAATCATCAATACGGACTTCTGTCGTTCAACCGGACGTATACCGGCCTACTGGAGCCCCTGCAAATCTCTTCATTCCGCCATATAAACCCAAACAGTCAGAGGACCATGGTGAGACTGATGGCAGCCTTCACCGACCACTTGCGACTCCTGGCGCCGAAGGCCAAGAAATGTTCCATCTGTCCGGAGAGAAATTTAATGGTCGTGTACCTCCTGTTGTGAGCACTGCTGCAGAGTCAGAGGACTCTTACTCCTCGGTACCGCTCCTTGACCGCGGTCTCAGCGATGTTTTGATGAACGGCCGTACGCAGACTTTCGATACTATGCGATCGTCGGCTAAGCCATCTCCCCTACAGCTTGCTGAAAATCCACTCGCGCAGGCAACAGCGGCTGCGAGCAAGCCTTCCTCTACAAGCTCGTCAGTGGAGTATGTTGTAGAAACAGACAGCATGAGAAGGATTCCAAATGGCGGCACTGTTCCATCGTCCTCAGTTGCTCGTCAGTCATTCCTTCTTGACGAAGACGAGGACTTAAGCGATCTAGCCTCGACAACGACCGGTGCCAGGTCGGATGAGATGTCACAAGGCGTCCGTAGCTTCTTCGAGGATGAGCCCGCGGTGATGAACCATACCACAGACAGTCTGCCCACACACCCAATGCGACATCCTCCTACACCACCCACTACGGCAGATCGTCTCAAAGAGGCTGTGCCATCAACAACATGGAATAGAGGCTTACCAACACCTGGCCTGACGCCCACGGCTTCTCGACCAGATCAGTTCAGTCAAAATATTTCTGACCAACACACCAAGCTACAACCGGCACCATACATCAGACAACCGCCCATGGCAGCACATCTTCCATTCATTATGGCCTATGATGCTGAGCTACTTGCCCAGCAGTTTACGGTTGTGGAGAAAGACGCCTTGGACGAGATCGACTGGAAGGAACTCATCGAACTCCGCTGGAAACAGTCGTCGCCACAAATCCGCGACTGGGTTCAGTACCTCCGTACACAGGAAGCGCGCGGTGTCGATGTTGTTATTGCTCGTTTCAACCTAGTGGTCAAGTGGGCTGTGTCTCAGTGTGTCCTTACAGAGAACATCGAGGAACGAGCTTGTTGCATCGTTAAACTCATTCACATCGCCTCACACGCTCGAAAAATCAGGAACTACGCCACCATGTACCAGATCGCCATCGCGCTTATATCCAACGACGTCTCCCGGCTTCACAAGACATGGGCGCTTGTTCCCCAAGCTGAGAAGCAGACGATGAAAGAGCTGGAAGCGCTTGTCCAACCACTACGAAATTTCCACAATCTTCGCCTGGAAATGGAGACGGCTACAGTAGAAGACGGCTGCATTCCATTCATTGGAATCTATACGCGGGATCTGATCTACAACGCCCAGAAGCCAGCCTTCATCGATGCACCGCCTGTAGACGGCGAACGACTCGTGAACTTCGAACGACATCACACAGCAGCCACAATCGTCAAGAACCTCCTGCGTCTCCTCGAAGCAAGCTCCAAATATAACTTCAGTGTCGATCCTGACCTGATCAGCAAGTGTCTCTGGTTGGCTGCGCTGAGTGATGATGAGATTGCCAAGCGCAGCCGCCAATGTGAATAAGTCTCATAACACATACCATTTCCTACGGTCCAAATATTTCCTTGTCAATACCCATCGGATTTACTCTTTCGTCCGACACGAGTCACGACCCGCATCTGCAGACATCTACTGCACATACACACCTATTATTGTTTTTTCTCCATCCACTATTAGATCTAACGGCTCCCGCTTGAAGATAATACATGGCTCAGCAGCAATTCCCTATGTGGCACTCGAGGTGCATGTACAAAGGCATCTATACAGCCTAGGAAGCATTGAATATGACGATGCTGCATGTGTAGCGTTTCCTTGTTGCCATTTGTAGAAGACAAGATTGTTGTCAAGACGCTCTAACGATACAAATAATTCCGGTCAATAACCACCATATCAGACCCGCCGCTCATCAAGAGCTAAGCAAGCGATTTTCTCAATTTGTTACAAGCACTGACAGAATCGTGCATCCCTTCTCGTTACCATCCTTGTGATTCACACCGCCCTCCATATCGCCAACACCCAGACTCGCACCTTCCTTAATGAGCACTTTGCGCGTCTGCCTCCCCCAGCTCCTACAATCCATCACCGCTCCTGAGCAAAAAGCAATGCACCGTCCCATCGTACCCACCCATCTCTGCATCTCGACGGAACGGCGAGCGCTCATTATGTACAACCGAGGCACAGTCGCGAAGACCCACATCCACGTTGTCGCGTGATCGAGCCGGCTTCTCTGGCCAGATTGTTATACGACCACGGATTGCGCTCGGATTAACGACGCCAGGGGCAGCGCGGCAGGATTCGACGGATGAACTCGGCACCGGGTGTGCGGCACTCTCCGCGGAAGGAATTCGATGGGTGGCGTGAGCAGCATGGGGAGGGAACATTGGGATCGATCGTGGGTTCGACGATCGCGGAGGCGCGGGATCGGATGGGTAGGCGCCGCATTTGTACTGTGTATGTATGTCTGTCGTTGTGTACGTACCTATGTATGTGTGAATGCTACATGCTGATGTACATCTGTGTCTGCAGGGCTCTACCGTGTACCTGCCCGTCGTCTGTTCAAACACCGAACCTCTCCTCCCCACGTCGAACCAAGCGGATGGGGATACTCGTGCCTCTGAGCTGCAGCGTGATGATGCTAGCAACCTTGGTCCTGAGTACTGAGTCTGCTCTGTCCACCGCCTTTTGATACACCTCCGCTCGCGCCTTCCTGTCCATCGCCGCCACCTCTTCGTCTGACGCCCATTCTTCCACCGCGAGCTCGACACTGAACTGCGAGAAGACGGCTGCGAGGACGGCCAGAATCTCAACCTGTGCGAAGCGCCGCCCTATACAAGACCGGAAGCCGTCGCTGAAGGGAATATAAGAGCCTTTTACAGGCTTGAAGAGCGAGGCGGAGGTATCCTCGCCCGAGGGACCGCGGAGGTCTTCGTCATCGTAGCCGATGTCGATGAAGCTGTCCTCGAGTTTGGAAGCGGATAGCCAGCGCTCGGGGCGGAACGTGTTGACATCGCTTGCAGAAGTGACGGCTGTGCTTGTAGCACTTGAGGGTGCCGGCCAGTACTTTGGATTGCGGTGGATCGCTGAATTAAGGAATACGTGTGTGCCTCCTGGCATTGTGTATGTCTTGTCGCCCATGGTGAAGTTCTGCGGTCGTCCCGGTGCAGTAGATTTTGGAATATTAACGATCGGCTGTAACAGGCGCAACGTCTCATTCATGACTGCGGCGGCCATGCCGCTGAAAAGCTTCGGGAAGTGCTCTTCGTAGACCCATTGTTCGACTGGCTTCCCTTGGAATACCTTGTCGACGTCTTGCTGTAGCCTCTTCTGTGACTCGCGATGCATGGCAAGGAAAATGAGAGAGAAGTGAAGTGTGTTTGCAGTAGTCTCGTGACCAGCGAGCATCAGCACAAAGGCATTGCCCAAGATGTCGCTCTTTCGAACATCCGTTTTCCCCTCTGTGATTCCGCTTCCACGAATGAGGGCGTCGAACAGGTCCATACCGGCGTTGTTGGTGTCACCAGATGCAACCTGCTGCTTCTTCCTCTCGTACAGCTCATCCATGTACTGTCCCCATTCGGTGACGGCGGCGCCGACAGTACGATGAACCTTGACAGGAGAGAAAGGCAGATACTTTGGAGGTATTATTTGGGTCCACATGATGTTGTGAAGCAGTTCGCTGATAGCTTCGCGGTAGGTCATGTTATGACCCGCTGACTTTTCGGAGCCAACTAGCATTGACTTGGACTCACCACTCTCAGCAGACGTTGTTCTGTTCTTCTCCTCGTGAGGCCACTTGACGCGAACGTCGAAGCCTGCTGAGCTAATTACGAAGAGTGCGAAGCTCATTGTTGCTACAGCTGGATTCTGTACCGTTTCGTTTCCTTGCCCATCTGGTCCAGTCCAAAGTCCAATAAGTGATTTTGCATGGTGAAGCGACTCTTTGAATACCAATTCGTTGTTCTTTTCACCGAAACTCGGTGCAGTTAGCTTTCGGTGCATACGCCAGTCTAGACCTTCGGTGGAGACGAGGTTCTTGCCATAGATATCAAGAGCGCCATACATCTCGAGAGGCTTAGGAAAGTCATTTCTTCTAGCTGTGATTTGTGCTACAGTTTCAGCATCGGCAACGAATGCTGTAAGCTGAGTTGCTGAGGCGATAATAAAGACATCGCCGCCAATCTTTTCGAACGGTGCATAGCCCTTTCGGTAACCCCACTCTGGGTCCAGCAGGCTGTTACAGGTCAATCTCTATCGCGAGGCTTTAGTGCACAGTACCTACTCAAACCAGGCCCCTCGCCACGAAGCAGGCAAAATCACTTCCAGGACTGGGATCCAAATATAGAAGGTAGCAAGCCAGAAAATACTGAAGACGTTCCATGGTATTACAACGACGGGTAGCCCTGAGCTCTTTGCAAGCGCTATATTGGTCTGCCACTGTCTGTACAGGACGGAGCCTTTGTACAGCGCGATCGCTGCGAGAGCGCCGCAGACCAGGGTGAAGAGCATGGTGCGAAGCGAATATGTGGAGCAGGCGAAAGAGCAGAAACTAAACAAGGTGACTGAAGAGTATGCGATGCATTGAAATGGAAGACGTAGATGTGGTCTTGCGCGCGGGTAGCTGCTACCCGTTGCGAAAGTTGTGACGTCTAGATACCAATCGCGGTCGAGCCTGCCTCATTAGCGTTTCATGAGGTATCACGTCGTTCAGAAGCACCATGAGCATTGTTCTACTTGTTTCTCGTGGTCGCTAGAGCAGCTCGACCCTTCAGTGTGTTTTGGAGCACTCGAGCGGCCTTTGTAATCAAGACATGAAGTCGTGGTTTGCATCCTTCGTTCCACCGTGCATGCAGGCATTGGCTGAACTAGGGTTAGATGCTCTTGGCGGATCCATCGCAAGGGTATCCCTCGATGTGTCTATGTATACACATGGACGGTGAGCATCTACCTGAAGCGATGGCTACACCGATACACAGATCTGCGGTGCCCTAGTTCTTGCAGTGTCACATGGCATTCAAAGTCGGATTCGGAAGCACTTGCTGCCAGTTCACCGCTGCACCGCTCAACATTCGGCAAATATGCACGCAACTGTCCGGAATTTCCACTTCTGGCATCCGTGCTTCGCCAAGCCTCCCTCCGTGCAGCCTCATTGCATCTCATAGGATATGGAGACGACAGGGCAAACCATCAATTTTGGAAATTTGACACGGCTTTGCCACGGACATCAGGTATCGAAGCATGCATCGAATCGCTGCAGCTACCTTGCTTGCCACCAAGGGTGTCTTTGTCATGGAAAGTAGACTTGACTCAGTTGATTGTCGCCTCTCGCAATCGCAATCGGTCATAGAGAAGCTTGCACGCTCTGCTCACCGACTTGACGGCGACTGTGTGCCATGCTATACTTGACTCGCCCAGTGTCACAACCCAGAAGGGGACAGCGACTTGCGGTCCCTGACAAATGTCAACTGTTGTCGAGGCGCTGCTGCATGTGGTGGTGTTGGCATCCACGTGGACTCGCCTCGCTTTCCCGCCATCGTGAGGCAAGGGACGAAAATCCTTGTGCAATGCTATTAGGAAGCGCACCCCAAGCAATCACAGTCAAGCGGAAACAAGCTCAAGGAATCTGAGTCGCAGTGTTTCGAGCAGACGGCACCCGTCATGCGTCCGGTCAGCGACGATGTTCGGCAAAAGACGGCTTGTGCTAACATTCGGGCCGCTTGCCTCTTCAGTGAAGGTGATGGCAGCTGACCTCTTCGTCACCGGCACTTGCGCAACTTTCTCGGCCTCAACGCTATCTCGGCTCCTATCATGCGTTGCTGGCGTTGCACGGCAGCGAGAAGGACGCGATTTTGGGAGCGACGTCCCGGTCGACGGCTCCAGCAGGCACGATGTGAAGTTGCTGGCGGTTGTTCCTGGATCCTGACGCCATTCTGGCGGTCGCAGGACGGGGCGCGCTAAAAGCCGAGTGGATATTGAGATGTCCTGAAACTAGCGAAGTGGGCGGCACGTCTCCGGACCTGCCTCTCCAGACTCGTGGAAGCCAAGTAGTTTGACAGGCGTCAATTGAGCACATGGACGGTGGATGGGCGGACGTAAGTCCGCCGGGCGCTGGAGCCCAAACGCAGATCTCGGGCAGCAGATACGAAGGATCAAACGCTCAGGTTGCTGCAATCTGATGCCTCGCGAGTGGACGGAACAAACCGACTCTCAAGTGCGGGCACAACGGCCGTGAAAGGCGGTGTCGTGCGGCGATGAAGAGTGTGTGTGCCCCTGTCTGTCCAGACAGGAACCGACAGCGACTAGGCGACGCTCGGAGGCTTGACCAGCCACCAGCGGCGCATCACTTCCACAAGACCTTCTCGAAAGCCGCGATGTCGCAGCTCGGTGGAGCAGCTAGGTTCTGCTAGTGACGGTAGTCAAATTCCAGGGCGTGCCCAGCGCGCTCGGATCGTCTCCCTCGCCGCTGCACTGCTGCAGCGAAGCGCAGCGCAACGCAGCGTAGCGCAGCAACAGGCGGTGGCCGTGCAGACTCTCGGGCAATATGTGAGCGCTTTACTGCTCCCTACGGTAGCGTGCTGCTGTCGCTGCGTGCGCTGCTGCTGGCGCTCCACGAGGGCGGTCGTGCGGAGAAGCGCGCATGCCGCCGCCAGAGCGAGGCCAGCGCAATGCCACGGCGGTGGTTGCAGGTCACGTTGCTCAGCTGGCCCTACTGCGGCAATATGGAGCAGCAGGAACAGCAGCACGCAGCAATCGGCCAGACCGCCCGCTGCTGGCGTCTGCGGGGACGACGTTTGCCGTCTGCAACGGCGCCGTGAAGGATCATGGCGGGCGAGTGCAGCCCATGTGTGCGTCGCGAGGACTCCTCTGTCATCTCAAGATGGCATCTTGCACGGCGCGCAGGCGGGCACCCGTCCAACCCAGGGGCCTGGATTGAGTTGCCTGGCTGCGCAGCCTCTCTGGCACAAGCGAGCTGCACGTCGCAGCACGGCGGCCGCTGAGTCGCCGCCGCCGCCCACTACTCGCCCGTCGCCTTGTGTCGCTCAAGGCAGATTGCTCCACCCAGCCCGGCCTCTCGTGCGCCTGCCGTGCGCGGTGCTGCGGTGCTGCAGCGCTGCCCTCTATCAAAACCCAGCGTGTCGACGACGCGCCATCCTCGCCCTCCCTTGCCCATCCCCTTGTGCCCAAGGCCGCGCCAGGAGCCTTCCCGCGCGCCGGCTTGTTCGGCTTGCTCTGTTTGATAGTCTAAATTTTCCTTTTCACCAGGCCCCGCGCCTAGCTGACGCCCCCGTCCGGTGCCCATAGCTGCTGCCCCGGCCACTGCGTTCGCACGGCCCGTCTTCGCTGCTAGCGCCACTCCTGCCAGCCAGCGACAAACGTCGACGCATAGACTGTCCGCGACTCACCACCACTGGCTCTTTTCCTGCTTTGGACAGGTGCCTCCAGGTCCATGGTAAGAAGCCTTCGCGCAGTGCTGGGTTTTCCTCGCGCGGCTTGAGCCAGAGCTCCCGTCCTGCATCGCACCTCCGAGCACCTGCCCTGCGACGCTCTCCAAACTCTTCTCTTATCCCTCCGCCGATGACGCGGATTGGCTTGAAGTCCGCACTCCCTCCAGCCAGTCATCTTCTGGCGCACTGGCGAATTAGTCTTCTTCGTGTCCCTGCGACTGCCGAGGCCACGCTCTCCACCAGCTGCCCCCCGCCGACCTTGTTGGGCTGCTACCGTTTGGACCTGGCAGCTTCCGTAGTCGTAGTCAGGTACTCGTTACATAGCCGCATGGCCTGAGCGGATCGCGTCTGGCATATGTAAGGATGGCTGATCCTGACGCGCCCGCCCAAAAGAGGCCCCGTTTGGACTCTGTCAATCCTCCTGCATACAATCATAACGGCCACGGCTTCCCACCCCCTCCTCCACCGCCGCACCCCCAACCCACTCGCCATCTGTCCCATCCCACTCCGGCCCACGCTGCTCCCTCTCCCACCTCCCGCCACTATCCTGCTCACGGCCTGCCCCATCCGTCTCATTCCTATCCCACCCCAGGCCAAGGACACGCCCCCGGACCGCAACCCTCACCGTCACTGCCACCCACTGATATACGCGCCTATTCGGACCCACGGACCATCCCTTCACCTAGTCAGCGCCTTCATGGCGCCGGCGGTCCTCCTCCGGTAAACATCTCGCAGGACAACATCTCCACCTACCGTGCGCCCCCCACACCACAGTCTGCTCCTGTTCCAGACCCGCAGAGCACCAGATCCAGCATCAGTGTTGACGTCAAACCTCAACCGCCACCTATGGATCATGGCGGCCACCAAAGTCCATGGGGGATGAATCCCGAGCATCGCCCTAACGGCAGCATGTCCAACGGCTACAGCCATTCTATAAGCCCTACTCACCACGGCAACGGACAGCCTTTTCACCCGCCGCCTCCGCCGTCTGCTTCTCAGTATGACCAGAGCTCATACCCGCCAGGCCCCTACATGGGCCAGTATGCGAGTTCAGCCGGACAGCCAATACGTCGCAAGCAGGTTCGCGCCACGCAGGCTTGTAATCACTGTCGAACGCGAAAGCAGAAGTGTGACGAGGCCCGACCATGTCAGTTCTGCAAAGAGAACAATTTCGATTGTCAGTACAAGGATGTACCACCTCCGAAGTATGTGGCAGTCCCTCGTTTAATTGGCGATTGCTAACGGTTCGCAGACAAGATCGGAGCATGATGCAGCTACAGGACAGCGTGAACGACATCGGTGAAGTACTGAAGAATCTCGTGGGAGAGTTCACTTCGTGGAGACAAAGCGTTGAAACCAGACTCCCTCTAGCTCAAACACCCAACCAACTTTCGAACATAGCCTCGCCAGAAGCAGGATTCGCCGTACCTGGTAGGGACCAGAACATGTCCAGATTCCCAACACCAGCCCAGGGAAGGAACCAGATGCGCCGTATTAGCAACATGAAGACAGAGTCGCCCAACATCCCGCACTCGCAGATGTCCCCAACGGCTGGGCAGGCCATGACTCCGATCAAACAGGAGTCCATGTTCGCTCCGCCTCAGCAGCCAGCAACACCAGCTGACAGCGTTCGAAGCGAGCATAGTGGCGGGACAGGGCTGCCTCCCAAGGAGAAGAGCGGGTTGCAGAGTGACCACACTACACCAGCACACAAGCTCTTCGAAGAATGGCAGTCGATGACACACTTCTGCCGGAACGTGGACTACATTGAGAAATTGATCGAGGGCGGTCACGACGTCTCAGAATATCCAATGCTGCTCGAACAAGATCGAGGCCTGCTCCGCGTTTGGGGAGTTGGTGAGGGTCAAGACCTCAACGATGGAGCCCAGGGCCCAGGAAGCCCTGACAGTGGTGGCGACGCCGATGCTTCCTCTCCGGCCCCTGGAAAGGAAGGCCTCTGGGGCTACCCGCCTGCCGATACCTCTAGCCCAGGAACTGCTCCCGGCGAAATCCCCAGTAGTCATCCTAGGCAAGAAAACGACGGTGGCCTCGGACCAGACGGCAGACCTGACTTCCGTCAGCACGTCTTATGGGAGCTGTACGACTCTTACATCGAGAACATCCACAAGTTACACCCTTTCATGAACGCCAGTAAACTCAGGAGGATGATCAAAGAGTTCAGCGAGCAGTACAGCCCGGACATTGGCACCAAATATGCCGGATCGCCAGCCGCGAACGCATTGGCGAACCAGCAACTCAGCCAGAGCCTGAAGCGCAAGCGATCTGGTAGTGCCTACGGAGAACCCTGCTCAGCCAGGGGCGCAATCGAACGATCCCTCCGGAATGCACTTGTTCTTCTTGTCCTTGCGCTGGGCAAGGTCTGTGCTCATCACGAACCACTTCCTTCGCCTCAGAACGACAGAATGTCGCACACAAATGGCGGCTGGGGCGTTCACGCTAACGGCAGCTTCAATAGCGATAATTCTGACGATAATCGACCACGCAATGTTGACGTTCTTCCCGGCATGGGTTACTTCGCCTACGCGACCGACATTCTCGGGAACCAACAGGGCGGCAACACGGTTGCACACGCACAGGCCATGATCCTAGCCGCGTTGTATCTAAGCCAGTTTGCTCGAGTCTTGGAGAGCTGGAGCTGGATTAACAATGCTTGTCGTGTTGTTCTCGTACTTATCAAGGCAGATTACCAGAAACTCGACCGTAACTGGTGCTTGGAGAACAAAGCGTCTTTGCCACCAAAGGAACGGTATAGGCTCAATCTGGTCATGTGTGTCTACTGGACATGCCTCCAGCTTGAGTCGGATATTCTAGCTGAGATGAGCACACTCCCGCCCAGCCGGATTTCGGACTTTCAGAGCGAAATTGCGTATCCAGATGGTGTTTACGAATCCGTTCCGATAGAATCTGGAACTAATGTTGAGGAGAAGATGTTCGCCGATCCACAGACCCAGGAAGGCTCCATGCTCATGTACTCGAGTCAGATTTGGCTCCGAGTCATCCTAAACGAGGCGCACAATATGCTGTATGGCAGGAGTAAGTAGCACCCGCAAGGCCACTTATTGAGCATGGCACTGACATTGTCTAGACGCTCGACGCAGCTTCGATACTCATAACATCAAAGAGGTCGCACATCGTGCCATTGCGCATGTGCGTATCCTGGAAGATTGGAGACGAGTCCTGCCGCCTACGCTGGCTTGGAACGATGAAGATCCACCAGCTACTGACATCAACGTGGCACGTTTACGTGCTAAGTACTACGGATCCATTTACGTGATCTTGCGGCCATATCTGCGCATCGCAAATCACTTCATCGACTTCCCTCCCACAGGCGCAAGCACAGCAAGGGCCTCTCACCACAACTCTCCTGTACCAGCCTCCGGTTCTTCATCAAACAGAAATGTACATCTACTGGTGGATCTATCGGATGACCAAAGAAGTATCATTGGGGTTGCAGTCAAATGCATCAACGCCGCTATCCAGAGTACGATTGCTTTCGACCGTGTTGGCGCCACCACAGGGAGCAAGTATGTGAAGTTTGATGCAAATGCCCGAACTCGCCGACTGGTAGTCACCAACATATTCGGTACAATGCATGCGTAAGTCACAAGTCAAATATGAAACAATGTCCAGGAAACTAACAAAACTCAGTCAATTTGGAAACATGCTTGTCCTTTGCGCAGTCTTCAAATCCCAGCTGTGCAGGTATCTGCCAAGAGACACACAGCTTACGAAGCAAAATCTGACCCTACTCATGGACCGAACCTGTAAGGTTCTCAGCGAGATTGCACCGAATTCTCCAATCCTGGAAATGGATCTCAAGATCTTGCGCAACGTCCGGAAACAATTGGATCTGTACCCATGATCGCCACACCGTGCGACACGCCTCGAGCGGAACTTCAATTTGTTTGGATATACCCCATTTGGGCGGAGAGCATTTTCGATAGCCGCCACAGCGTAGCGTGCATTTACTGTACACATTTCATCATTTTGCATTTACTTTGGCGTAAAGCATCTGGCATTTTTCTCATGTTCAAGCATCGGAAACACATATCGGGCGGACTAGCGCTGAAGCTTTTGCGTATACCTCATACCACTATCATCGTCACGAGCGGATTACGGGTGGACTCTTTTTGCTTTTGCGTGGCCTACCCATGTCCCGGACTAGTTTGAAGTACGAGGACGGGCTGACTTGGACCAAGTTGTTTAGAAAGTTTGGAGAGATGTCGCTGTCTCGAACCGGAAATGCCGTTTGATCTCGGCTTTGCAATTCATCTTGCTCTGCGTCAGCGCACCTATCCGGTGTTAGCGCCGTCTTGGTCTTATTACTAACGGCCGTTTTTCGGTGCGTCTCTTAGATACGTCTGAAATGATATAGATGGTTGGCTACGAACGCCATGCCGTGTAGGAGCTCACGCCCCTTACAGCTGAACTTAATACAAGCACAAACTTTTAGGTTTTTCTATTCAGTATCTCAAGTAATGCACAGTTCCGTTACAGCGCTATTGGCCGCAATCCTGCGTCAGCCCGCTGTCAGTACACGAGGCGTAAGATGCGCGCGTGCATGTCAACTCAACACACTTTAACGTTCTTAGTTGCGGCAGTTGCAACATGCGGTACCGCCCGCTCATTCGCTCAGCATTGCGGCCACGCGCAGACTCTCGTTCAGCCAGCGTGAACTCAAATGTCAATTGTCTACAGTACTTCTCGATAAGGTCGGGCTACTGCGCGAATCATTCCACTCTTTACCGAAAACAGCCATGCCGCAGGCCCAGACACCGCAGTCCGAGCATAATTGTTAACGTCGCAGCCCAACCTTCGATCACCCAAATAGGTAAATTACCTGTATATCGCCCTGCACTAGATTGTCCCTTGACGCCCCGCACAATTATCCGTTCCAGGCGCGGTAGCCCAGTGTGTCTCGCCGGGACTAGGATGAGCGAACCATGGGTAGTGCCGTCTGAACACTTCGACCTCCAGTTCGACCGCTGCTGGCCGCAAAGTTCACAAATGACGTGTTTTGTTCATGACTAGGTAGGTACAGGCGCGTAAGGCTGAAACGAAGACTTGGTGCTCTTCCAACGAATCACAGAATTGACAGGTACATGTCGGGCCGTCAAGACTGCAGTGCGTCGAGAACCGGCAAGATCCTGCGATGCTATGTTGATCAGGGGAGGGCTCTTCCGCAAAATTAAACGCACTCAAGCGCAACAGATGATTCCAGTCCTCATTGATCGCCCTGAGCCCCGCTGTGACCGACAGTAGCAGCATGAGGAGTGGAGACAGCGTAGATCACTCGCATACGGGCTCCAAGAGATCGGGTCCCAATGAGGACGGTCCTCGGTATCTTTCGTGATCACTGATCTAATGTCCTACAGCACACGGCTCAAGAGGTGTTAGTAAGTAGCCGCATGTTAGATCCTGAGACCGTCTATCCTGACCTGCATTCTGATCCGATATCTGAGCTGACTTCTGAGCTGACATCTGAGCTGACATCTGGGCTGTTTTCTGGGCTGACAACCACTGCAAGATAGTATGCCCTAGGTATGTCGAGGGACCTGACACGCAATTCTGAACCGTGTCGAAGTTGCAACACGAGGTGTTGTCAAATCAAAGACAAGGGTGCAAACTCCGCATTTTCATTCGACTTATGCGTCCTAATTCAGCCCCTCAGCCCACTTTACATTGTCATTTCATGACCAGTCTGCCGTTGCAGAACTCACGGGGCTTCCTTTTCCACAAACCATTTACTGACCAGAGTCGGTATTCCGCGGTAACAAGACCAGGGTTAGAATAGATACTGACAAGTGCTAGCGAAAGACAGGCTGTTCAATGGCACCGGTTGACGATCCCGGAGGATTGCTAACTAAATACCTCGCTGCTCGCTGCAGCCGTTGGACCTTGTCATGCACGTGTATCAATTATTCTGGGACAGATACAATGACGATAACGAAGGAGCAAGTAACTTCCACTCGGCGATGCAGGTTTCAAGAGCGTTCTGCGATCTTTCAGCTTAGTTGGCCCTGTTCAGACGTATGATAACCATGCGGCAGCGACATCTCCGGAGTTCCGCGAATGATGCGCATCAGAAATTCACAATAGGCTTCGAACATGCATGCAGCAAGAGCAAGGTTGATTACAGCATTCTTATCGTGTGCGGGGAGCACCTGCCTCACTTTACTCCGCTCCACGTGCTGCCTCATCAAGGAGATGGACCCCACCGACACCAAGCATCATATGACCATACAGGATCTTGGAACTTCTCCGCCTTACAGCCTTGCGCAGCGAACGACGCTTTGGGCGATGCGCATTGCAATAATTTCAATGGATACCGGAACGACACACGCTGGCCAATCATCCATGCTCTTGCTCAACTCCATGTCACCAATCCGGACACAAAAGCAAGTTTCTATACGCTTATATTACGAAAACGATTATCTGGCATGCAGTGAGGAATCCTCCCGGCACTCGCCTCCAATGCCGTCGTCTGAAGACCCATCCTCACCGATCAGAGACACGGGAGGGCCCATTAGCCACACCGGTTGCGCCTTCTAAGCGAAAGCAGGTATGAAACATACCTGATTGACACTGTGCAGAAGAAGAGACCGAGTAAGTAATCGTGAGACGGCGTGCCTCGAATGTCGGTGACATGATTCACGTACCTACGATGGCGGGCTACAGGAGGACATGCGGCACAGGACACGACTTGCGTTTGGAGATGATGCTTTCCGCGTTGGGTTGATATTCCTATTCCTACAGCAGCAGGTAAGATGTGAGAGAGATATGGGCCGCACCGCAGCGTATGATGTCTTTTTTTACAGGGTGCACAGCGTTGGGCACATCTCAAGGTTGTGGTATTCGAATTGCGTAATGTTACGACCAAAGTGCGGATCCTGACTTCCACGACTCCATTGCTGATCTTCCTGCGACGTTGCACTTCCGACGTGCACCTGGCACCGGATCGGGTGCATGCAACACGCAGCGTGGATTCGAATAAACGACATGCTGATGCACGCGCATCATGTGCCGAGAAGTGCGTTCGCACGCAAGAGCCGGGTCAACAATCAGGGCGAGTATGTGTGGCATGCCGTCTTCGTATGACTTCGGGCAGCCTCATCCTGTTCTGTCCGCGTGGAGTTTCAGTAGCATCCACCGATTGTTCGCTTAGAGTGTTTCGATGCAGCCGACCAATCAACGGGCGCCATGCACGTGCAGTCGGATCACGCAGCATCTCCGCTACCAGCAAAACGGTCGATCTCTAATCAGGACCCTTGTGGGTGGATGCATCATCTCCACGGTGCCTAATGTGGCGTCGGCTGTTCTTCGTCGTCGGACCATGCTCTGTATACGCAACCAAGATTCCGATGCATTGTGCAGCATGAATAGAAGCCCAACGGTGCGCGCGAGCGAGCCCAACCCCTGTTGTTGCGGCCAGGATTAGCATCACTTTTTGTGCCGTGCTGCTGACACGCGGAAGGAAGGTGCTACCGAATCATGATTTCGGCCCTCGCGCTTGTCGGCATCCGATTTCCCTGCCAGATGAGTAACACGGCGAGGGTCGGTGTTTGTCGCCGGATCCGGACCATGGCGGTTAATGCAAGAGCCGTTCGGAGGTCCGCAGCAACGCCCTGAAGTTAATCGACAATACGAACCACGCCGCAGAAGCCCGAGCGCTTAAAGACTGTCCAAACGGAAGCGATCGATCTGTCGCATAGCGACCGTTTGATCGGTGCTATGCATAGAGCTGAAAGCAAGGTATGTGCTTGCGTACGTCTGTCTTACGTAACGATGGCGACTCGGATGTATTGGACCGACAGCAGGAGTACGAGCAGGTGCAGGAGGAATTCCACATGTGCATTGCAGTATGTTTGGAAGAGACAAGACTTGAATGTAGAAATACACAAAACGCAGTGACTTTTAGCAAACACTGGACTACCATTGTGAGCGAGAGCAATGCATCTTCTGTCTTGTAGCATGGTGAAGATGTCGTGAATTTCTGACAGAGCTTGACGAGGCCAAAGCCTCCACTCACCATCAATGTCCCTCAGTCAGACTTATCACTGCCATCAAAACAAGCTTCATATTCACTCGACTGGAGACTCGGTGAGGTCAGGAGTATTGGCCATCAGGCTGGCAGCACTGTGGTAGTGCTACGCAAACGCTCAATTCATTCACTCGTAACTGGTATATGCAAATCCATCTCATCCCTCGTTTCTAATCACGCCCGCATTCGTCCTGATATCGAACTCGACCCATCGGCTCCGCCCTTCTCTGCCTTTGCTGCCTCGACTTGCGTCGATGGGCCCGGGGTTCATGACGGTGCAGCCGCAGTACTTGACTACAAAGGCCGGGGCCTCGCTGTCGGCGAGCACGAGACTAGTAGGCAGCGGATATAAGCCGAGGGCGTGGGCAAAGTCCCAGTGGAGCGGCCTTGCGGACAGTGGGAAGGGACTCAGATGTGATTGTGAGAGAATGGTCCGTGTCAGCGCCCTTGCGGTTTGTGTTTCCGCATCGATAGGTGGTTCTTGATGGGGTTGTACAGTCTGTGGCGCAGGGAGGTCAATGTCCATGGCCTCGTTTACATCGTGCTCGGGCGCAAAGGGCATTTCGTCCTCCTCTTCCGCCTGCGGTTTAGGGAAGCGTATCGAAGTCCGGTGCAGTCGGCCAGCGAGGTCATCGCGCAGAATGGCCATTTCGCCCTTGACCCCGAACCACGACAGTCGCGACGGGTTGGATGTCCACAGAACTTCGCCTTCCTTCCCCTTGGCCCGTCCCCCGCCCCAAACTTCTCGATTTGCTTCCGCCACAGCGCGGCGTAGTCTGTTTGTGAATAGTGCCGGGACTGGTTTGCGAGGGATTGGTGTTGCGGCGCCGGCGGAGAAGGCGCTGGGCCAGGCGTCGTTGTCGCCGGGGACAAAGACGAGGGACGTGTGTGCGATGAGAGACTGGAACTCTGAGAGCACAGATGCAAGGGCGTCAAAGTGTTCTTTGTACTCTATGCTCCCTGCGCCAGGCACAGCGGCGAGCGTGGCCTTGGAGGAGAAGTTGCCGATGAGGACAACAGCCAGTGGATAGACTGGGTTTGAGTTGGCTTGGGAGGGGGAGTATGTGCGGAGGAGAGTGCGGAGGGCGCTGAGAGTGGACGGGGTATCAAGATGCAGGTCTGAGGCGATGACGATGTTGTGTGAAGCAGTGGAGGTGAGCAGATTGGCTGCTATGCGGTTCATGCGCGATCCTGTGGCGCGTTGCGAACCAAGGCCGAGGAAGTCGGTCCAGCCAAAGGCTGGGCCTTGCAGACTGCTCTTGTCGATTTCGTCAGTCCCGCCCAGGGTCGCTGTTCGGCGCTCGCATGGAGGGTGGCCGACAGAGAAGGCGAGGAACCGGCCGCCTATTGTGCCGCCGATGCCTCCTGTGCCTCCCAGATTGGACGAGGCGGCGCCGTGGTCTTCTTCGTAGCTGCCGTCAACGAGGACGATCATGCCAGGGGCAAAGTATGCGCCGTTCTCCGGTATCGGGCGTGCGTGCTGAATGTCTAGTACGATTGTGCCGGTGAGGTCTGAGAGGGACAGTGCTCCGGTGGGCGAGACGACGAGCATGCCCAGGAGCAGGTGGGCGCTCCCCGTGCGTCCCAGCAGATTGGCAATGGGCGTGATGGTGTTTGGCTGCGACGTGGCGACGGAGGCAGTGCGGCTGAGGGCGGCTGAGCGGGCGGCGCTGAAGGTCGGGGCCTGGAAGGTCTCGTTGCGCAGGATGCGCTGGTGCACGATGTGGTAGCGCTGGCGGAAGAGGTCGGTCTTGTGGGCCGGACTGGGGAAGAGCGACGGGGCAGAGGCAGATCTGGGCAGGTCAGCAGGGCGTCGGCGACAGACAGGCGGCAGGCGCAGGCGGCAGCGGCTCACTTCTCAAAATGCCGCTGGGCGGCGTTGTACAGCAGGCGCGGCTGCTCGAAGGCGCCCGTGACGGCGAGCCACTCGCGCGGGTCCTGGAGCAGGTCGGCGTCGTCGTCGTGGTCGTCGACGTCCAGGCGCGACAGGCCGAAGCTCGCGGCGGCGTCGGGCGCGGGGCGAGACGGCAGGGCGCTCTGGTCGGGGCCCGCGTGGAAGCTGGGCGGGCGGCCGAGGGTCGAGCCCGGGGCAACGCGGCCGCCGTCCATGGCGCCCTCTAGGGCGCGCAGGATGCCCTTGAGGGTGTCGGCGTCGCCGTCGACAATGACCGGGCCGCCGCACTTCTTCCAGCTCTTGGCGGCCTCGTCCAGCACCTTCTCGGCGAGGCCCTCCTCGCGCCATCCCGCGCCGCAGTGCTTGCCGATGAAGGCGGCGAGGGCCTGCAGCGCCGACGACGTGAGCGTCAGGCTGTGCTTCTTGGTGAAGGTGCGGAAGGCGAGCGGCCGCAGCGTCGCGGGTGGCAGCAGGACGGGCAGCACCGTCGGCTTGGCTCGGGGGGCCAGCGCAGGCGGGGCGCGGATTGGGGCGGTCCTGCGCGGGTGCACGGGGTGGACGGGCGTGCCGAACGCGGGCGACGACGAGGGGATCGGGTTGGCGGGCAGCGGCGGGGGCATTGGGCTTGCAGGCGCCGCCGCGGGCTTGTCTGGTCGCCGTGCCGTCGCCATGAGTAGTGGCGGTGGCGGCGGTGGTGGTTGTGGTGGTCGAGGTGGTCGTGGTGGTCGCGAGTGTTGCCGCGGCTGCATGTCCGCTTCGGGGCGTAATGGGATCGGACGCGTCGACGCGACGCGTCCCGCTAGTGCAGCCCGCCGCGGAAGACTCGACAGTCGACACACAGCGACAGCACCGCAGCACAGCACCACCGCGGTATCGCACCAGCGCGCTTCAGCTACACCCACCCCCAGCACCGCCGCACCGCCGCACCACCGCACCACCAGCATGGCCGCGCCCACCACCACCCCGCCCGCCACCGTCGCGACCGATCCGCCCCAAGACGCCGACGAGCTGCCCAAGACGCCCGAGAAGCTCGCCGAGCTCACCCAGGCCGCCGCGCTGCAGTACTCGCTCAAGAACTTCGCCGCCGCCGCCGACCACTACGCCGACGCCGTCGAGATCCAGGCCGCCCTCAACGGCGAGATGGCCCCCGAGAACGCCGAGTTGCTCTTCTACTACGGCCGCGCCCTGTACAAGGTCGCCGTCGCCAAGAGCGACGTGCTCGGCAGCAAGGGCGCCCAGGAGGATCAGAAGAAGAAGAAGGCCAAGAAGCGCGTCGAGCAAGACGCCGCCGCGCCCGCCAGCGCTGCAGACACACACTCCGCCGCCGCCGCCACAGCCCCCAAGCCGGCGTCGGCCTACTTCCAGCTCACCGGCGACGAGAACTGGGACGACTCCGACGATGACGACGACGACGAAGCCGACGCCGAGCAGGACGACGACGACGACGACGACTTTGGCAATGCCTACGAGACCTTCGAGCTGGCCCGCGTCCTCTACCAGAAGCAGCTCGACGCCCCGTCCGCCGCCTCGACAGACAAGGGCAAAGGCCCCGCGACACTATCTGCCGCCCAGCGCGCCATCACAGAGAAGATCGCAGACTGTCACGGTTTCCTCGTCGACATCTCCCTAGAGAACGAGCGCTTCCACGACGCCGTGGCCGACGCCCGCTCGGCCCTTGCCCTCCAAGAACAGCTGAACCCCTTCGAGCACGAGAACGTCACCGAATCGCACTACTCGCTTTCCCTTGCCCTAGAGTTTGCCTCAGTGAGCAAAATCAGAGAGGACCAGGCTGGCGCCGAGCGTCAGCAAGAACCAAACGCTGCCGCAGACGACGACAAGGACGGCATCAACTGGGACCTCCGCAATGAGGCCGCAAAGCACACCGAGCTCGCCATTCAGTCGCTGCAAGCCCGCCTGAAGAAAGAAGCCGCCGCCCTCGCCGGCGCCGCCCTCACCGCCGCCCAGAAAAAAGACAAGGCCGCCATCATCGCAGACAAAAAGGGCATGCTGGAGGAGCTGCAGGGCCGCCTAAAGGACCTCAAGCTCGACCCTACCAAGCAGGATTACGACTCCATTGACCCGTCTGTTGTCCAGGGCCTGTTTGGTAGCCTGCTCGGCGCCGACAAGCAGAAGCAGCAGGAGCTGCTCAAGCAGGCCAGCGCAACCGCAAATGACGTCAGCCAGGTCGTGCGGAAAAAGGCAAAGCCTGCGCCCCCTGCTGCTGCTGCTGCTGCCCCGAAGCCCGCTGCCCCGGGGCAGGCGAGCGGCAAGAGGAAGCTTGCCGTTGAAGACGACTCTGCTGCGAATGGAAAGCGGAGCAAGACCCAAGAGCCTGCGTGAATAAGTACAAACCCGAGTGGTTTGAAACCCGAGTGATTGGAAACCAAAGTGATTTGAAAACTGATTGATTGGAAGATCAAGTGGTTGGAAAATGCTGCGAGGGAATGAAGAAATGAAAGCGGTGCTCTGGGCTCCGTTGCCTGCATTTTGTTGATTTTCAGTGCTTGGCCTGCGTAGATACCTCAACACAAGCACGTCGTTAGGACGGCAATCAATCGATGCCGCATATCCATGTCTATGTCTACCCGGTCACTATACATCTGACGTATGAAACGTCCATGACAAACTCCCTCCTGCATTTGCATCTACAACTCATCCCGCGTCCTCTCCTCGTCCTTCTCCCGCTTCTCCCTCACCTGCTCTTCAGCCTGCACGTCCACAACCTCGCCCTGCTTCTCCTCGCCCCGCGTACGCTGGGCCAGCCCTGCAATCTCGTCGTCGTACACCGTCCACTCGGGGATCTGTCGCTTCGCCCGGTCCAGCTTGGGTTCTTTCGTCTGCGGATTGTTGCACAAATCGATCGTCTTAGCCGTCGCCAGGTCCGCGTCCGCGCACCACGTCTCGCACCACAGCCACTCCTGTGGCAGCGAATGGATCGGAAGGTTGAACTGCATGTTGTTGGGCAGATCCTGATCGAGGTTGCTCAGACTGTTCGGGTCGGCCGACAGGCTGTGGTATTGTTGCCGCAGCCGGTCACCGGCCGCCATCTTGCGGAACCGGTTCAGGTCGACCACGTACAGCGCCGAGATGTGGTACGGCTTGCCGCGGAGAAAGTTGGCCCAGTAGCCTGTCTTCCAGAACCGGAACCCTTCCATTTCTGTGCGCGAGTCGCCCATTGGCGTGAACCCATACGGCGCTCCCTGCAAATCGTGCGTCACGAGCTCGAACATGTCGGTGCGCACAATCTGATCCGCGTCGACGAAGATGACCTTGTCGAGGTCGAGAGGGAAGAGCACGTCCAGGAAAAGAATCTTGTAGCCCCAGATCTCGCGCTGCTTTTCCGACTGCTGCCGCAGCCAGTGCGGCCATTTGTATGTCACCAGTTCATACTCGAACCCATACTCTGCAGCCAAGTGAGGCAAAAAGTGCTTGAATGAAGGCGAGAGGAATTGTTCGATAAACCAAAACTTGACGCTATGGTCAGTATGCTTCATGACTGAGAGCATCATGATGCTCAACATGCGTTCGTAGAGGTGCCCAGACGCCACCGAGAAGATGTTAATATCTGCCTGAGTCTTTGCAGGTTTCGCCCCAGCCAGAAGCTCAGCGCCCTTCTTGAAGACCTTTTCGCTGTTGAAATTGAGCCCAATCTTGCCTAGCAGTTTGTTCACCTTCTCCGTGCCCTTTGTCGCAAGCTCAGACACAACCGATTGTTCATCTGCGAGGATGTCGGCTTCTTCTTGCCCTGGCTTACGAGACAGTCGGGGGAATAGAGTTGTACCCTGAAAGCTCATGAGGACAAGCTCATTTGACTCATCGTTAGGTTGCACCGCCCAGCCTTTGGCTCCGGCGCTGTCGAGAGAGAAGATCTCCTGTGATTTGCCCTTCTTCAACTGGATGCTGTAGAATCCAGGGTTTGCCTTAAACTGGAAGTAACCAAGATTGGCCATGATAATGGTATCGGCAGAGTGTGGGTCCTTTTCGGTAGACAGCACGACCTCGGCGCCGCGGGGTGGCTGACCGCCATTGGTAGTATCGCGTGAATGCCCTTCGATGAGAATACTCTCCAGTCCATAGACTGCGTCAATGTCGGTATCGGCAGGTAATGAACTCAGCTTGATGTTGTCAAGATCATGGATCGACTCTTCGGGGGCAACAAGCCAGGATGGCGGGACGTCCATACCCAAGTTCAGAAGAGCTTTCCTTGGGATCCCCTTGAACTGAGCCTTAAAATGATCAACTGATCCATCAGCATTGAATCGTGGTTTGGAGCCGAGCAAATATCTGTAGAATCGCTTCACAGGGAGCTCCTGTAACATTTGCTTTGGATTCAAGAAGAGCTGGAGGTAGGTACCGTCCATCTCACTGAGCGTATTCAAGATTGGGATCCATCTCTGTGCTTGCTCAGTTGCAGGGTCGATAGACGCAACGATTTGGAAGATCGCGCTCTCCTTGGTTCCCTTGACGATAGCAGTGTACTCAGCGGTCCATTTACTGTACGCACTTGTCCTCAGAGTCGATGCTGTCTCGAAGATACCATCGGGAACATCAGAGACGGTGGAAAGGGCTACGAGAGACTGGATTTTAGCTACATCGAATGGTGTAGCAATCTTCGACGTCAGCTGCAGATCCTCGAGAGCGCTGCTCAGAGGTTCGATGCGCTTAGTTGCCTCATAAGAAACAAGCATATCAATATCTGCACTGGAGAAGACTTTGTCCTCGGGGATAGGTCCCACGAAGCGTCCGTTGATTAGCACAGCGAGCTGGCCAGGTTTCAGCTCCAGTTCCTCATACAGGGGCCCAGCAAGTGTGCGCAGACGTGTAGACCTTGGAGGCGTTGGAGCCTTGGCCACCTCCCTGTCCAGGAGCTCCAGAAGTGTCTTGGTGTCAAGCTGGCGTTTGTTCTTGATGAAGGCATCCAGGATTTCTTCGGAGACACCTGACTGGTCTGCATTTGAATTCTGCATGATGACAATTTCCACGTTCGTATTGGTTTGGCGGTATTGTGCCATGGACTTGAGCAGAGCTAGGCCGGACTCAGTGTCGAAATCACCAAATACAGTCAAATGTGCCCAATCACGCTTATTGGCAGACTCGGCAGCTACGATACGAGGATATCTCATAAAGATCTCACCGTACTTCTCCTCGAACTCAGCCATGTTAACGAGTTTGATCTCTTTCTCGTTCTCTGGAACGATGAGCGGGTTTCGCTTGGCTGCAGCCTGGAGCAGGAACTGCTGTGGTACCCAACTATCTTCTTTCAGATCGCCCTCGTACACAGCTTTCTGAATCTGACGAAGATCCACACTGATCCGTTGACTAAGTTCTGACAGCCAATTGTCGCCTTGCGCAACCGGCACGCCGTTTACGATTGCTGGGGCATTTGGACTGTTCATTGCGAGGCGTTCGAGGTAGTGCTTGGCTTTCTCAACGCGCTCGCCAAGGGTCTCCGATGCGAGAATCTCCTCGAACTCGAGCGTTTCACGGTCCTTCCGGAGTGTGGCCGTCTTAATGGCGATTTCGAAGCTAGCCTTATCTGGTCCCGCCAGTTTCTTTGTATCCATCGCTGTCAATAGGTACTTGGTAGCCGAAGAGAGACCGTACGTGTGCTGCAGGTAGTATACCACCTTTGCTTGTTCCTCAGCACTAGGGGTCCGAGTCTGCGGTACAAGTCCCCATCGCAACGGAATGCCACGTCTGATAAGGCCAATGACTGTCTCGATTACATTGGAGACGTGATCGGGATCAGTGAAGTCGATGGGCAAGATCGCGTTGTGAATGTCGCGTCGGACGTTGGGCAACTGGCCAGGATACGTCCTCTGTAGCAGAGCTCGGAGCTCAGTGGGCCAGCTCTGATAGCGAGAGTCCTTCTCGACGTCATTCATCCAGACAATGACTTTGCCTCCTTCAGCTTCATCCCTGAAGTCGTACCGCTGAGGCTCTTCACCACTCTGGCCCTGTGCAATGGCGGAGTGTGACAAAAGTCGAATGGCGTCTGGACCCGACAGTCCCTGGCTTCTGATGCCGTTGATCAGCATCCGTTCTCGCCGCAGATGGGCGAGGAGGGCAAAGGGATTCACATCTCTTGCAGGGATTTGCACGCCGTTGATCCAGATAATGTTGTGCCCTGTAGTCAGGAGAAGTTCGCGGTTATTGTAGTGCTCAGTGAGGAAGTTCGAGGTCGCGTTGGTCGCAGCGATGGTCGTGGTGTACTTTGGAAAATCGCGTACCAGCTTCAGAAGCGTGTTCATTGGCTGATCACTTTGCAGCACGAAGCTTGCAGCCTTCTCAGCGAGGTCAGGCACATCGTCTTTTGCCAGCGGCTTCAGGTCTGCAGCCTGTTCGTCCAGTTCGGTCCCGAGCGGTTTCTGGTCTGCCGTGTCACTCTGTACTGCCTGTCTATCATCGATGACAATATAGTCCGTTCTCTTCAACTGTAGGGCGACACCGTAGCCGTTGACGACCAACGGTGTCTTGGGGCCCTTCAGGGAGGGTTTATGTCTGACCCGGTAGGATGTCTTCCCTTCTTTCGCAGTCCTGCTCACAGTCTTATGGAACTTCTTAAACCGCGGGGCGGTAATATCGGCGTACACAATGGTAGGCAGGGCCGAACTGTTTCCCAGGATACGATCGAATGGTAACTCGTTCGTGCGCTCGTTTCGAATGCTGCCTGCTGGCTCGCCATCGTCTATGTGTGGTGTGCAGTATTGTTGGCCATTGAGAGAGACCCATAGCTGGCAGTTCTTGCCCTGTTCGGATTCCAGAGACGGCTCGACCGATGTCTTGTAGAATTGGTAGTGTGCTTCTATGCGCGGCGCCGCCGAACGTACAGAAAGGGCGAGGTTGAAAGAGGCGAGGGTCTCGGCGTCAGTGATGTGGCCGTCTGTCTGTAATATATCGATGAACTTGTCGTACAATTGCTTCTCTGTGTCGAGCTCGTCGAGCCAGCCTTCAGAGATGCGATCGAGGAGGGGGAAGTATGCGGTCGCGTTCTCTTCCGCTGCAGTTTCTCTTTGTGTCGTCAGCGAGGCTCGGAGACGAACGTTACAAATAGCCTACAGGAGCTCGACCAAGTAAGGGGCTGGGTTAAATGCAGCCTGTAGAGCAACGTTGATGCTCGAATCTGCAAGAGCGCCGATGCGGCTGAATGCGCTCAACGCGACGAGTGCCCTTGCACTCAGCAAAGAGGCTGGAGTGCGCATCTCGCCGAACCCGGAACGTAGCTTCCTGAAAGCTTCCTACAGCTTCCCTCGAGGTTGTGGAAGATGTAGTCAAGGGAAAGCGAAAGATGTGTAGTATCAGGAAGTTGTTGCAACGTGTAGCATTCCGTTTCGGGATGACTCTACGCGAGAGCAACGTTTTGGAGCCGTGCAACTACCAGAGTCGACACAGTAATCAGAGCCTTGACCGCTCGTACTGAAGACAAAAAGAAGCCGTGCTTGAGGAACGGTTGCTACGCAATGCTTCAACTGGGAGGTGTCCCAAAAAGTGACGCTAGTGCAGACCCTTGAATGACCTCCGCGAATCTCCACCGCTCCGCAATCCCACAAGTTTCCCATCGCAGAATTTCCCGTCATCTGTAGCCGGCCGACATACTGATTGCCAGGGCGCCCGACGCTATCCAGTCACAGCTTGCAGGCCTGTAGACTTGTCATTTTGTTTTGACAGTAGGGCGTCGACAAAGCGACGGACCCGCTGCATCCATCTAGCGCTAGCAACGTCATGCTCGCTGAGGCGCGCGGCAGAACGCTTATAAGTCAACACTGTAGCTCCATCTTATATTCCAAGTGACAGGTCAATCGTCAGCTGCACCAACTCCTGATCCTTGCCAACTCTGTTATCCCGTAACCAACGTCTTGACCATGTCGCGGGCCTCAACGTCCATTGAGTTGCAAAGCTACCCCGAAACCACGCAGGCTATCACGCATCAGCCCAGCGTTTTTCAGAAAGGCAGTGATCCACTATTATTGGCTACAGACCCTCAGAATGCCGTCTCAGCCGAAGTGCTGGGAAAGCCAGACAACAAGACAACGGCAATCGTCATGCTAACGGTAGTATTTGTGACCATGACTAGCTCAATGCTTAGTGGTGTTGTCGCAGTGGCGCTACCATCGATTGCAAAGGAATTGAAGTTGGGCCCTGATATACTTCTATGGTATGGACGCCGTTCTGGAGTACATATACTTGGTGTTAATCCGCTGCAGGCCCATCTCAATCTACGCTCTCACTTGCGGTTGTACCCTGCTCTTGTTCGGCTCCATCGCAGACGTCGTTGGCTCCAGACCCATGTATCTGATCGGGTGCTTTCTCCAGGCTGGATTTACGCTCGCCTGTGGTCTAGCGGAAACTAGCACCCAGATAATTGTGTTCCGTGGCTTTGCCGGAATCGCCATATCATTCTGTCTCCCTTCAGCGGTGAGCATCATTACCAGTACCTTCCCACAGGGCAAGAGCAGGAACATTGCATTTGCCTCAATGGGGGGAGGCCAGCCAATTGGATTCAGCATCGGGCTGGTGCTTGGTGGTGTTTTTGCTGAGACTATTGGGTGGCGGTGGGCATTTCACATCTCAGCCATCATCAACAGTGTCGTTTTTGCGGTAGCTGCAGTAGGGCTGCCCAAAGTTCCGAACGAACAAGAAGGTGTCTGGTCTCGCCTGAAGAACGACATCGACTGGATTGGTATTTCAATTGGAAGTGCGGCCATAGCACTTCTATCCTTCTGCTTCAGGTGAGCCTCCACATGACTGCCTGTTACCTGATATTGACAGTCCCTAGCGTGATAGCAAAGCAAACCGAAAAAATCAAGGAAGCGGAAACGCTATCCACTCTTGTCCTCGGCGTTGCCCTAATCCCCTCCTTCATCCTCTGGGTCGGGCGACAGGAAAAGCTTGGTCGCCCAGCGGTAATCCCCAACTCTCTTTGGCGCAATCGTATATTCAGTGTGATCTGCGCCGGTGTCTTCATCATCTGGGGTACCTTCAATGCCGTGGAAACATTCCAGACACTGTACTTCCAGGATGTTCAAGAGATCTCGCCTATCCAAACAAGTCTGCGGTTTCTACCGACGCCTATCGGTGGTGCACTGTCGAACGTAGTCATGGGCCTCGTCGCGCACCGAGTCCGTGCTGACTTGGCCTGTCTGATTGGCGTCGGTTTGACCAGTATCGGCTCGCTACTCATGTGTGTCATCCAGCCGGAGTGGACGTATTGGGCCTGTGCTTTCCCGGCTGTCTTTCTCAATCCCGTTGGTGCAGATGTCCTCTTCACTATATCGAATCTGGTCATTACGGCTGTCTTCCCAGCACGCGATCAAGCACTTGCGGGGAGTGTGTTCAATACCGTTGCTCAGATCGGCAAGAGCGTGGGTCTTGCCACAGGTGCTGTCATTGCAGCAAGCGTCACCCAACACTCGAAGAATCCAGACAAGGAAAGTCCGACCGCACTGATGGAAGGTTATCGCGCTGCTTTCTGGTATGTGTTTGCACTGAGTTGTGGCACAGGAGTTCTGTTTGCGTGGGGATTACGGGGCATTGGAAAGGTTGGCATGAAGAGAGACTAGATTACCAGAGCCGTGCCTTGTCATCCTTATCTTGTTTGGACCCATGCAGAACAATATTTCCTGTAGAAATAGGAATGTTGTGTGCAAGTCGACTGTGGTCTGGCATCAGTAGCGCACTTCACAGGCACTGATCAGTGTGAAAATTATCACGGCAGAACGATGAGACAGCAATTTGACTGTCCTTCACATCCAGATCTTCAACAACTTCCCTTATATGTGTTCGCATGCTATCTAATTGTTGGAAGCCGAGACTTAGAATGATTTCACCAGTGTCAAAACGATGTCGTTCACCCCAGTCTCCCCACTCTTCCCATCATCTAGCACCAGAGAGCAGTTTTCAAAGCCGATCTTCTTGTAGAAGCTTTTCCCTGTTGTATTCCATCGGACCATGTCGAGGTGTATTCCAGGCGCACCCTCGCGTTTCACTGCATCAAAGAGTTGATTGATGAGGATTGATCCCCAACCTTTCCTCTGGAACTCAGGCAAAATATCGATGTGCATATGCGCCGGATATTTCGCCAGTTCTTTCGGCCATGCTTGTAAGCCACTGCATTCAGCGTTGTGTACTGCCTGTCTGAAGCCTCTGGTCTCTTCCTTCTCCATCAAAGGATCTTCAGTCTGCACACCGGGCTTAGGAACTTGCTCAAGGTCTACTGTGGGAACAAACTCCTCGCGCCATTTCTCTGCAAACTTTGATGTGTCGGCTGTTCCAATACAATAGCCAACGGCGCGTCCATTACCATCGTCGAGCACAAAGCAAGTAGCGGATGCTAGGTATACATAGACTCTATACCAGAGATAAGAGCCGATCGTACGTGTTGGCTCCCAATCCAGCTTTGGTTCGATTGTGGCGAAGAACTCCAGATCGATGAGCATGAAGCAATCAAAGTTATCTTCCGTCTTAACTTACAACGTGAAGGCCATTCTCGAAGTCTCGAGTTGGATCATAGCGTCGCACAAAGGGCACTGACATGTTGCCGAAACAATTTTGGATACCAACGATGGTTTATTCTGCATTTTGCTGAGTTGCTGGCTACTTTAAGACCTCAACGCGATTAGGTAGGGCACTCGGGCCGGAAGCCGGGCGGCCTGTTTCTTGTCCACGGCGGAGAGCGGGGTCGCCATTGGCGCCATTCGTAACTGAATGGATACTTAGAATCGCGATGGAGGGTCCCGGAACACAGAAGTAGCCAGCCTGTATCAGGAATCAACTCAACGTATATACAATGCGGATGTGCGAATTGACGGCCGTAACACATACAGACTAACTCGGATATGGCCTAGATGATCTGCTTCATTACGTTGCAATCGTCAGGTACCTGTGACGGGGCTCGTCAGAAGCATCGAATGTCTTGCGAGGTTGTGCACAGTGTAGTATCAATGTATAATCTCCTCAAATAATGACACAAGGCGTATGCACACGGGTATATTATGGATAAGGTAGCACAACACCTCATGGAGGAGTACACTGGCCCTTACCGGGATACTCATCATGAATTCGCCAGATCCCTCGACACCTCCCGTCGCAATGGTACTAGCTATAAGGGAATCAGCTAGATTTCCAAACGATCTGGGGTGTTCACATTGGGCTGGATATACCGTCGTGGACCTCAACGCGCCAACTGTCAATAGAAATAACATGTAGATGACCCGCATCTTAAATAGATCCAAACACAATATGACACGAGAGAGATTGGAAGAATGGACCATGACAACCATGTGCCTACAAGCAACTTGCTTATTTCTATTCGAATACTCGCCTCCGTGCGGGTATTGTAGTCAATTGGGGCCTAAAATCGGACGCTGGCTGCAGGAATGGAGGCCTTAGACTCTGTTTGAAAGAATTGCCCGGCGGATCTGTTAGAGTCAGGGGTCACATCGCGTTGAAGTGGCTCTCAATCCTGTTGTATGCCAACTTGGACTTGATTAATGGGTCACATCCTCAAGCCCAAATCCTAGCCGGAGGAGTTGCACCTGATATTTCGACTGACGTTGTCACCAAGACTTCGCAGTCCAAGGTTCTCATCATGGTCACGAACACCGTGGAATGAGAGACATAAGGCGAAGATCACTTCGGCTCTGAATGCCTATTGCTTTGATAGCGTGTGCATTTGATGCTATGCTCGGGTTATTTGATCGTGTCCAAAGTCCGCTTACTTCGCCCAGCCTGCAAGTGCATCTGGCTATAAAGCATTGGCGAACGTTTCTGCAGTAGACTGTGGCCGCTCTGTTCGCACAGAGTGCAACTCTGACGACGTAAGGAATTTGTGGTTTGAGATCGGGCCTTGACTGGACGCTCTAGCCGTTCTAAGCATTGTAAACAAGCTTTGACGGCGCCAGTGTATGACATCATAGAACGGCGCAGCCACAACACAAGCCGCTACGTGAAACTTGCTGGGGTCGACGTGGTGACAAAACACGTCTGCGCCGCTCACGATCGACTTTTCAGGTTATCTCGTCAGTCGCTCGTTCTCCGTCTTCACCTTTGACTGTGCCTGCCATTGACGCAGTACGGTCGATCAATTCCCGTATCCGCACGGCATCAGCACACGTTTATACTCGATCACCCCTGACAGCACGAGCATAACAACATGGCGGCCCTAAAAATCTCGCAGCGCACCGTCCTACTGAGCGCGACTCTGGGTCTTGCACACGCTTTCACCTTACCGGAGCCTACGGCTGTGCCTGCGCAAGTCGAAGTTCTGGAGCCCGTTGTAACTCCCGCGGCGATTCGCTTCGACGACAGGTATAGCTATGTGGAGAGACGAAACATCCTAGACGACATCAAGAGTGGTGTTGAAGGCGTAGCCAAGTCTTGGGGTAGCGTCCTCGGGACAGATTTGCCTTCATTCTTCACAGATGGTAAGCTTTCCGCGTTGCGCTAACAAAGCTTGTGTTGACCAGAGTAGGCATCCCAGGTTGGTTCGAAAATCTTCCCACAGGTACCAACGTTATGTCAAGCTTGGGTATTGGCGACAACGATCTCGCTGCGATACCCACTCAGGTTCTCAACGTCCCGCCCTACGCCAACTGGACAGATCAGGGTTGGAACGTTCGCTTCCATGGCAATGTCTACAAGATCCCCAACATTTCTCAGTCAAAGATTGATGATCTCGCCAACGTCTTTCTTATCGACACCAGCGTAGAAGAGCTGCCGGATGACCAGAAGGCCAATGCACGTAACCTAACAAGGTCTATCTTCATTGTTCAACAAGGCGACGAGAATGTCACAATGACACTCGAGCCAGCGCCAATGCAGGGCGGTGACGGTGAGCCCGGAGGCGGCAACGCTATCACTGCGCCTGGAGGAAATCAGACCGTCACTCTGCCTTACGAGACCACCGATCAAGGAGACTTTGACGTCTTTGTACAAATTCAGAGCAACGGTCTACTCAATGGCAACGAGACCGAGAACGTGCAGCGCCTTAATGTCCACACGAATGGCACAAACACTGGCAATGCCACTGCCTTCCTCGTCCCTCCTACAGGCATCACCTTCATCTCGGATATCGACGACATCCTCCGAGTGACCAAGATCTACGATCCCAAAGAAGGCCTCCTGAACTCCTTTGCTCGTAACTTTACGCAATGGATGAACATGCCTGACATCTACCGCAATTGGTCGCAGACTCTGCCAAACAGCACGCACTTCCACTACCTGACCACCACACCTGAGCAAGCCACCCGCAACTACATGGACTTCATCTACAAGACCTACCCCGGCGGCTCGTTCGACACCCGGCCCCTGAACTTCTCCGACGTGAGCGCGACCCTTTCCATCCGAAAATACCTCCTCGAGAAAGTCTTCGCCACATTTCCCCAGCGAAAATTCGTCCTTATCGCGGACACATCCAACTCAGACGTCATGAGCGACTATCCCCAACTCGCGCACGATTTCCCCAACCAAGTCCAATGCATTTTCCTGCGCAACACATCGGCCACCGACAGCGACGACTGGTTCCCATACAACACCGAGGGTTTCAAGGGCCTGAACAACCGCAGTTACATGTTCTTCCACGTGCCTGATGATCTCCGGGGCCTGGACATTGCTAATGGCCAGTGCTTGAACGAGTCGATCCCGCAGAATGTCACTTTCTCGCGACAGGCTGAGATTCTCGGCATCCATGGTGCCGGGAGCAAGGTTGGTGGCAGCGCTACCATCAGCTTCGTGGTGGCGCTGGTCGCTGCTATGTTTTTGACGCTTTAGGATGATTGTTTCTTCTTGACGGCAAGGATGATTGTACATGATTAGTGTTTGAATTGAACGATAGCCCGGCTTCTACTTTACGTTTTCAACGGCGTCCTCAGCTATGACTGGCGTTTCCATCACATATTAGCGAATAAATACACATCAATTTGATCAACGTACTCTGTGAACAAGTTTTCACTGCCATGGCGAGCGTACATGTTATACTCATGGCTAAATGAGAGTGCGTCATCTAATGATCACCAGCTGCCGTCCAATGTAGCGCCGACCGAGTCGTATTACGTGGCAGTGCTCAAAGTAAGAAAACGCATTCGAGTCATTCGTCAAGTACACAGCCCTTGGGTATAATGCTTCATCGTGAAACTCAACCGCTTCCCCTAGCTTTACTCAATGGAGCCCACTCCAGCAAGTCCGTCGTTGTTCCCACAAGCCGCCGATGTGGCAGCGCTAACCTCTAATCAGAGTCATCGCTACTTGGCGGATCCTCTGTCGGTGGCCTACTCGAATGACTCAACGAAAAATCAAGCACATCGCTCTTCACACCCGCGTCCACAAACTTTCTCAGGCACCACCCAATCTGCACGGCTGTGCTCCTTTCGTTACCCAGTGGATCTGTCTGTCGTCCTTTTACAAAGATGAACTGGTTCTCGCTGTCTTCGCGGTCGTATACGCGGTCCGATGCACCAAAAGCAATGACAGCCAACTTTGAGCTCCGGTCTTGGAGTTTGGCGTATCTAGTGCCGTTTTCAAAAGCTTGCTGGGCGAGTCCAGCGAGGAGGTGCTCATAGATCTTGCGGGGCAGTTTACTAGATGCAGGCCGCGTTGTTGGCCACGTAGTAACGTTGAGGGTTACAAGGCTGGGCAGATCGCCGAGACAGTTCTGGAATAGCGTCAGTACACACTGCAGAGGAATGGTAGATGAAGAAATATACTTCAAAGTTGATGAAGCTGTCGCTCTTGGGGCGGACGACGCTCACGTGTGGAAACGCCAATGAGAGCTGCTCAAGTAATGTGCAGTCTTTGCAGATTGATGAGAAGGATGCATAGTCGTAGACCAGCTCATCATCGCACTCATCAGGCGCCCTCGAAGCATGTACACTGAGCTGCTTGAGAGACTTTCCGTGCCTCACAATACCGGCCGATGCGGGTAAGCTGTTCACCTTTGAGTAGTCCAGTGTGAGTACTTTGATACCAGCTACAAGGCACAAAAAGCCGTCCAGGGCTCCCAACCCATCGTTTTCGCCGTTGTCGGTGAATTTGACCTCGAGAGTCTCCAACTTTTGTGGCAACTTGGTGCTCTTGCTCAGCTCGGCGAAAAGAGCATCAGTGCCAGTACAGCTAAAGACCCTAATGCTGTTTACGGTGCGAAAGTCGATGATTTTGCAGTACGTATCTGCGGCATAGCGCAGGCCTAGCTTCTGCAGGGTGATCTCTTTGAGGGCGAGGGGGGTGCACTTGGAGAAAGGCTGCATATGGCTGAACATGGTAGAGGTGATCAAGCCAGGCCCAGTGGACGAGTCGTTCAATTCTCGGTCTGGTATGGGCACATCGCTGTCCTCGAAACTCGCATGTATGGTGATCTTGTCGAGATTGGAGGTGTGTTTTAGAAGAAAATGGCAGTAGTCGAGGACCTCTCGAGAGTCTGGGTAAAGGCCAATCTTGCGAACATTAGTAAGCTGCTCGTTGAGGCCGGGTATCTTCTGCAGTTCTTCCAAGACGTTTCTATCGAGGGCAATGCTCTCCGCCCACTTCAGGCGCTTCTGCTTCTTGTACAGCAGCACCAGGTTGTCGGCGGAGAAGGGCGACCACGGGTGCCACGAGAACTTGTCGAGAATGTTTTCGGGGAGCAGCTCCAGGATCATGCGCACGGCGAAGTTGGCCTGGTGGATCTGATTGCACTTGTCAAGCACGTCGGTGAGGTACAGATCGAGCTTGCGGATGTGCTGCAGGCCGATGTTCTTGGGGTTGAGGAAGGCGCCGAGGCGCGTGTCCTTGCTGGAGCCGACATCGATGGTGACGTCGCGGTAGAGGCGGCGGACGGTGATGTCGCGCAGCTGCTTGGATGTGAGACACAGACTCTGGAGGTCGGTGGGACGGGTGATCTGCAACGTGCTTAGCGGGGCGCCCGAGAGACACAGGCTGCGTGGTGCTACTTGCGTGGTCGACCACCAGCGTCTTGAGATCCGTGGGCAGCTTCGTGAAGTCCGGGCTGGGGATTTGCGGAGACATGGCCGTGCGGCGTCGTGGGGGCCTGGAGCAGTCTGCGGTTGCGGCGGCGGCCCGGCGGTGCTTGTTTATGTGGAGAGGGCGGGCGGAGGGCCGTGGGCGTCGCGAGCGTCTCGCGGCTGTGGGCGTGGCTGCTGCCTGGTGACGGGGCGATGCTCGGCCTGACCGGTCGCAGTGGGGACAGAGGGAGAGACGGCGTGGGCGAGCGCTGCAGCAACCGCCTCCAGCCTCACTGCTCACGTCCGCCGTCCCCGCCGCGAAGCTGGCAAGCTCGCCGCGCGCCACGCCCAGCGCACAGCCACACGGCGCCTCCGCTCGCTCACGCTCGGCGCATCACGTGAGCCACCGTCTCGCCCACAGGTGTGTACAGAATCGCATACATGGGCGCGCATGGCACAGCACATGCAAGAGCGCCTCATGTGTACAGAGTTGAATACATAAACGTGCATGGCACAGTACATGCAAGAGTGCCCTGTGCAGGCCACGAACCAGAACCCAGTGACCCAGTGACCAAACATGTCCCCCAAAGAACGCCAAATGCCAAACACCACGCTATGCAGGCAAATCAGATGCTGTCAAACGCACGTCCCCCCTCCACTGCGCACGCTCATGCCTCCTCGTCGCTGCTGTCGAATCCCGCCAGAAGCTCGGCCTCGAGCGCGTCGTCGTTGTCCGCCTGCAGATCTGGCGCAACCCCGTTCTCTTCAGGACCTTGCTTCAGCTCCTCTGCCGGCAGCGCCTCTACCCCTGTTGCTTCCGGTGTCGGTAGACCTGACGACTTTTCCGCCGTGACGACATTTGCCAGTGATGTCACGCGCTCCATGGTTCGCTTCTTCCGCCGCTGCAGGCGGGATGTGCTTGTCACACTGCTGTCGCTCTCGTATGCCTCGCTGCCGTCAGTCGTGTTGCCGTTGGTACGCTTTCGTTTCTTGTGCTTCCGGCTCGAGGTCGACGCCGTGCTATCATCGGACCGCTCGCTGTCCGAGTCCGACCCATGTGAGCCGTCTGTGTCGTCGCCCTCCATGAACTCGGCTAATTCATTATCCACCGAGTCCCAGTTGTCAGCCGTCAAGTTGAGCGTTACTGGCGAATCCACGAGCCCATCTGCCTCCTCTCCACCCGAACCCTCAAGGCTGTCATCATGGAAGGGCGACGCCCCGCGCTCAGCTGGATCGACCTTGATGAGGTAGGGTGTCTCGTCAACACGCTCCCATCTTGAGCAGCTCTGGAACATCCACTCGGGATTGACTATCTTAATCTTCTCATAGCGTGCGGCTTTCTTAACCTTGGTGGTCTTCAGGTCAGGGTTGGCAATGACGTGCGTTGTTCGCCGGTCCACGTTGGTCGACACTTCGGCGCCAAAGCTCTTGATCCAAAGCGCGTAATCAGTTCTGGTGTCGTTAGCGTTAAGTAGTAGGTAGCGAAGCAACACTTACGTCTGAACGTCAACGCCGAGTGGTATGATGCCAGAAAACACCACGACCGTGTTGTCAAGCACTTGCTTTTTCATCGCCGGCATCAACTCTGCGACATCGGGGATAGAGTCAATAGGGCGCTTCTTCGGGCTCCTCTCGCCCTTGAGCGCAGCCACCCGTCCTGCCGGCCCGACTGCCTTTGCTGTCCTGTACTCGTCGTAAAAGGCCGCATGCACTCGGTTGAGGTTATTTTCAATGACATCTAGGCCTCGATCATCATTATGCAGGATGCTGTGTCGGTGTTTGGGGGGGTCGACATGTTGTGAATCGCCGTTCGCAGCGTCATGCTCTTCGCTCGTCTCTACTTCTGCCTCTGCTTCTGCTTCTGCTTCTGCCTCGGCCTCGGCCTCGGCCTCCTCGTCTGCTTTGTCCTGCATGAGCTGTTGTTGCAGCAGAGGCCGCTCTGTTTGTTGTGCAACAATCACTCTTTCTTGCTCCTTGGTCTGCTCGTCTAGCGTTTCTGGAGATGCCATAGACAACAGCTGTTGTTCGAGTGCTTCACCAACGCCGTTGATGCCCTCTGCTGGCGTGGCTGCAGTAGGCTTGCCGAGACCAGGGGCGGCGACGGGAGCAGCTTCGGGCTTGACGGGCGACGCTGCAAGAGGTTTAGATTGGGTGACGAGCTCCTGCTGTTTGGGCAGAAAGCTTGCATTTATGTCGCCGGCGCCCGGGAAGAAATTGAAGACGGGGACGCGCACGAGGTGGGGGCTGTACTGCCACACGTCTGCCCTGTCGTCGATGATGACTACCATGGATGTGTTGTGATAGAAGAGGCGCTGCAGGCTCTTGAGCTTGTCCGTGTAGTTCTCGTCGCGGCTGAGGATGCGGTCGCCAAAGTACTTGCGCTCGGGGTCAATGATTTGGCACACTGCTTGGGCGTATGCGCGAGTGGCCATGGTGTAGACGTGCATCTCGTACTTGGTCGACACGCGGTCGAAGAAGGCCTGCAGTCCGGGGCGCTTCTTGACGTAATACCAGTTGGCGGCCACGTTGGACACGGTGTCGTCGGCGAGCTGGAAGCCCTCGACGTCCTTGACGGCGTCGTGGTTGGGATTGTCGGGGTCGGCCTTCCACTCGGCGATGGTGCGCTCGCAGGTGGTGTGGATGACAGTCTGGTCGAGGTCGACGATGAGCGTCAGCTTGGACGAGTCCAGCAGGCGCTTCTTGGTCTCCTCCTCGCCGCGCAGGGCCTCGTCGTGGCTGACGAGCAGGGCGACGTTGTCGTGGGTCATATTGACGGTGGCGCGGTCCGTGTTGCTGCGCAGGGTGAGATGGTCGATCTGGGTCATGTCCTGGCCGCACTCGGCGCAGAGGCCGCCGAACTGGATCTCGTGGGTGCATGGCTCCTCGATGTCGACGATGGCGGTGCTGCACACAGGTTAGCGGGCGCGCAGGCAGGGGCGGGGCTGGCGGACCCGGGGCGCGCGACGACGGCGCCGGCGCGGATGTACCAGCGCGCGATGCGGCCGTCGGTGCTGGCGGCGAAGTGCGTGGTCAGCGTCTTCTTGCGCGTCTTCTCCTCTCCCCACTTGTTCGTCTCGGTCACGGTGCTCTCGTACGTGTACGTGAACAGGCGCTCGGAGCGCTGGACGCCGTCATCGGGCTTCTTCAGCAGCTCGAGCACCGTGATGGGATAGTGCAGCCCCGGGGGCGATGAGATCTTCATGCCGCGTCGAGGCGATGCATGCGCTCGAGCGGGCGGGCGGGGGCGGCGTGCTGCGGGTGTTGGGGGGCGGCGCGTCGCGCAGGCTGTCGCATTCGGGCGGGCGGCGCAGGCGCGAGCTGGCGACGCTGGAGCTGGCGGCGCGGGCCTCGCAGACTTGCAGGCTCGCAGGCTCGCAGGCAATGGGCGCCGGGGGGCAGCGCGCGAGGGACGGCGGTGCAGGTGCAGGTGCAGGTGCAGGCAGAGCAGTGCGCGGCGGTGCGGAGCCGTGGCGTCGAGCAGGGGTGTGGCGCGTGTGTGTCGAAGGCCGTTCGTGGTCGCAAAGGCAGCTGGAGCTCCCCAAGGAGGGGCTTGGAGCTTGTTTAAATGCGTCGTCGACCGTGTTAGCAGCTTGGCGCGTGCACGACGCCAGTCGACGCAGCATCAGACAAAGGCCTGCCTCCGTCGCCCACGCCTGCACACGCCCGCACGCGCCTGCACCGCCGCCGCCGCCTGCCTGTCCGCTGCCGTGGGGAGGGGGGGCATTGTCTGCGACACTGCCTGGCTCGGTTTAGGGCTAGGGCTGCCGGAGCGAGCTCTGGTGCAGTGACACGTGCACACGTGCGCAGGCCCGTTGTTTGCAGCTCGCGCACCGTCACGCCTCGCCGTCAGACAGCAGGCAGCCGTCGGGCATTACAATCATCTAATTACGCGCCTAGCTCGCTGTGTCGTCAGCGGTTGTGTCTATCGTGCATCCCTCTCCCCAGCTCCTCAAACGCCATGCTGCCAGAAAAAATAAGCCCTGCCGCTGAACCCTCAGTCTCTGCTCGCAGACTCTGATATGCGCCTCTGTGCGCCCCTAAGCACCATGCTCCCCAGCACCAGCGAGCCTCCTCCTGTCCGAGAAGCGTCCTGAGTCATTCCCGCGACGGCACGCTGCGCCTCGAAAGGACCGACGTCGACCTCCTCCGCATCTTCGACCATCGTCCAGTCATCTTCAAACTCGTCTGTGTGGTCGTCGCCGTCCTGCTTGGCGTGCTTGTTGATGAGTGTGCGGGCGCGATCGAGCTCGCGATAAATCGTCTGGATCGCAACCTGCGCGCCATTGTCCTGCCTCGAGTCAGTGCATGTCGCGGTGAGAGTTGACTTCCGTCGCGTACCTTGCGGATCTTCTGGCCCAGCACCTTTGCCTTGACAATCATGCGCTGACTGTTAGTCACCTCCCACAGCGCTCGACTGAACACACTCGTGTTGACCTTTTTGAGCCACACACCAACACCGAGATCTTCAACACGCTGGGCGAAGAAGTACTGGTCTCCGAAGAAAGGCTTGATGATTGTTGGAATGCCCGCTCGCAGGCTTGCCCCCGTCGTGCCAGACCCACCGTGATGCACTGCAGCATCCATCTGCTTAAACAGCCAATCGTGCGGCGCAGCCTGGATTTGGAAAACTTCGGCTGGGAGAGGGATCTCGGGTTTGGATGCATCCTTCGTCTCCAAACGATCTGACCAGCCCTTTGATAAGACACAACGCACATCTGCCTTAAGGACCGAGTCAACCACCGTCTTCGTCAGAGCCGCAGGGTCATCGATAACGATAGATCCAAATCCAATGTAAACGAGCTTTTTGTCGTCCTTGCGAGCCTGCTCGATGAAGGCTTTCAGATCAGCAGGCGGCTCGTACATGTCAGCCTCATCTAAGAACCAGTAACCAGTAACGCGGATCCAGTCCGGCCAGTCGAGTGGCGGAGGGACCACGTGAGGGCTGAAGTTGTACAAGAACGGACGAGAATTCGCCTGCATCTTAGCTTGCGATGTGTTCTGCAGGCCCAATTCACGGCGGCGCCACTTGTTAATCTGTCCGGATATGGCCGTCCAGAAGATTGCATCGAACGTGATGTAAGTGATGCTGTTGTAGCCTCCTCCCATCTTCTTTTCCAAGACCGAGAAAGCATGTGGGTAAGCTCGAGTTCGTGTCCACGGCATAGTGAAAGCGCGGAAGTATGGGATCTCGAGCGACTCTGCAATATGGATGCCGGCCATCGCACTGGGACTCTCGATCAGCACATCGGCACCCTGGCACGCCCGCCATGCAGAGCTGCAGACATCGTCGAGCCAGCCGCGGAATTTGGAGTTTGCTTCCTTCATAAACCCGTACGTAAACATGCCGTGCTCGACACAGATCCGCATAAGCTCGGCCGGGTTTCCGTCAACAGGCGCAAAGTCGATGCCATGCCCTCGGACCCATGGTTCGAACTCTGCGTGCGTTGCTATTCGCGGTTTGTGGCCTTCCTTCAAAAGCTCTTTGCACAGCGCGATATAAGGCTGTACGTCCCCACGAGACCCAATAGTAAGGCAAACAACCGTGAGAGATTCTGCTGGCTTGAAATCGACAAACGAAGCCAGTGGATCATCAAAAATAAGTGGAATGCGCTCCTGATCAGCGGCGCGTACGATGTTGGAGGCGACGGCTCGTGGATCTTGAGCAGTATCCTGACGCGCTTGCTGGAGAAGATCGTGCTCTGCTTTGGCCGCCTCGTCGTCGCTGTCAATGCCCGAGGAAGACGAGTCTCTGTCTTCCAGATATTTGGCATTCTCCAGTATGCGAAGTACAGTAATGGCGCATTCGTCGCGGTACTCAGCTTTCGAGAATTCGAAAAACAATTCTTCATGTCCTCGAATGACAATGGCAAGACCGTGGTAGCCAATCCTAAAGCCCTTCTCCTTGTTGACGTTCTCTATATCTTTCAGAGGTAAGATGATCTTCGTCTTCGATGTAGGCATCAGGCTGCGGAAACAAAAGTATTTTCCGCTGATATAGATCTTGCCGTAATTTGGCAACACTCGCTGTAGTGATGCGAAAAAGGACGAATGTAATATCTCCGTCTCGGGAAAAGCGAAATGCTCCCTGAAGTTTTCAGCGGCTTTGACGGCGTCTTCATCGTCCTCAAACCCATGCACTTGATCCCCAGTCTCGAGCCCTTCGGCTGTGTTGTAGTGTTTGCGCCCTCCAGCCAACATTCCAGAAACCTTTTCATAGTAGCCCATGGACTCGGTGGCAAGCAAGTTACCCATCTTCTTCGATCGATTGCGAAGGAACCCCGCAAGGCCTGTGGCTTTGTTGAGTGGAAAGGATGCGATATCTTGAAGCGCTGACGAGGAGCCAGACAACCGTGGTTGAGCGAGACCGGCTTCCACATCATCTTCCGTCGTCTCAGGTGTGAGAGCCGCCGCCTTCGCGTTGCTGTCACTCTTCAGATGTTGCACTGGTTTTAGTGGCTGCCTTCCTCGCCCTGATGAACGTGTTGTATCCTGTGAATAACGCGCTAAAGGGCCTGATTGATCAGAGGTAGTAAAAGGTAACTGGGTCACAGGAGCTCGGAAGACGTCTGACCGGTTCAGGATCTGAGATGCAGATGCATCGCTCTCGTCTATAGACTGTATCGCGGCGGAGGACTCAGTATCGCGCTCGAGTGAAGTTGTCGCCGATTCTGTGTCTGTGATCCTGGGTGAAAGTGGTGAACTATCACCAGGGCGGCTTGTCGTTTGCAAGTCGTAGCGATTTCTGCTAAAACTACGTTGCAGCTCGTGACTTGGACGGCGAAACATACGGTTAGCATCCATGCTGCGCCGCGCGTCCCGGCTCTTTCGGTGTGCGTCCACACTGGATCGAGCAGATACATCACTGATACTCGACCTTCCAGCATGTGGTGTTAGTAGAGATGAAAGAGTGGCACGGACCGGCTCAGCGATCGGCGGGTTGCTTGTTGACTTCGCCTGAGCCTTTGTTGGAGTAGCTGGACTGACAACATCAGCATTGTCACGAGATTCCGCCGCCTGGTGGTGCTCATTATCGTTGACCATGATCCTCAGAACGTTGAGTGCATCCTGTCCATTATTGAAGAACGAGAAAAAGTACTATGCACTGTTAGCAAGGCCTATTCTACAACAAAGTGACCAGCACATACCTCGTCGATTGCGAATGTTTCGTCATTGTCGATCACTCTGACCTTGACGGTGTTTGCAAAGTCAAGTATAGCGCTCTCTTCAATCTCGAGCACATTTTGAATCGGGAGCGAGATCTTTACACTGTTTCCTTCGTTGTGCGTCCGGAAAATGACTTTCTGGATGGATTTGACCCATTCCTTCGCACTCGCAGCACTGTCCGCCTTGAATTGAATCGTGCGTTGGTCAGTGGTGACAGTGAATATAGTTTCTTCTTCGTGTTTCTGTTTGCTATCGAGAATCCCGGCGGATATGGCGTACTGTAGATTGATGCGGTTGCGTGGGAAGTAAAGTTCGGCGGGGTTGGTATAGTAGGACAGAACATCGCCTCTTAGTATGAACCAATATCTGTTGTACTTGGACCGACCGCGTTTGAACAGGTAACCTGTCTTGCTGACATCGTGCTGTAAAGGGTCAGTATATGCCGTAGAGATGTACTCGAAGGCTTACATGTTTCTTCGATATGTATGCATAGAAGCAGATATGTTTCTGAGTGATGTACATGTATCCTTGCAACAGGATACTCTGAAGCAACCAGCAGGGGTACTCGGAAATGATCTCCTCTACCTCTTCAAGCTGGAAAATTTGCTGTATTCGCTGTGCAAGAGTGGCAGGTCCTGAGCTCTTGATTGTCGCTGCCGAGCTTCCGTGTCTGCTTCTTCTTCCTGAGCTCTTTGCCTTCTCGATTTGTATGTCTTCGTCCGCAGTCGGTTTGGTTTTGATCTTCGACAATCGTTCGGTCGGGGTTGTGGAGGAAGACCCAAGCGGCGGCGGCGGTGGCCGCGGAGCTAGAAGCTGAGAGGATGACATCTCGTCCATAGGTTGGCCCTCTGGCCTAGCATCTGCCCTATTTCTCAATCTGGGCAAGGAGCGCAACAGCTTGTGATCGGATAGCACCCTGCGGTGCTGCCTAGATTGCCGATTCCGGTCATCCTGCAGCTCTTCTGGTGCCCTGTTAAAGTCGTTCGCAGAGCTTAGGCGGCTTAATCGCGCGGCGCCATCTAAGCTGTGCAAGGGCTGGCGCCTCTTGCCCTCTTGGTCGCTGTCACCCGAGTCCACCTCCTGCATGGTTGCGAGATCGGTCTGCGACTGCTGTCCCGCACGAGCAATCATGGAGAAGATGGACTGGTTCATCGACACGGTGTCGTTCCTCTTCGGCGCCGTCACATCATCCTCTGCGTCGTCTCCATCCTTGAAGCGTTCTGGTACATCGAGCGATAATCTGTTCTCCGATGCCCTCCGTTTCTTCGACAACCTGCGGCCAGATCTGACCCTCCCTCGGTCCTGCGACGACATCTTGGATGGTAGGCGCGGCCACGCGGTCGGGGGCGCGAAGGTCGTTGGGGTGAGGTGTTGCTGCTGTGCCGATCAAAGGGATTTGTACGTGCAACGGGACGAATGGTGTGGGTTCGTTGCAGTTGGGATGCTCACTGCTACGGGCAGCTCCTTGGGGAAATCGTCACATATTGAACGAGTACATCGATGGACTGATACGCTGACAACCCGCATGACGAGCCTGGAGCTGCACGCACGACGATTAGCGCCAACATCCGGCGCCATGCACCAGATGACTGGTCGCTAGACCGGGCACCTGCCTAGGCAACACCACTCAACAATCCTTCTTCAGGAGCATTGCCCCCGCTATGCCTGTCTCTTCGAGACATTCACGAATCGCACACGAATGGTCAAGCGTGACCGAGCTGTTGAGGCTTAGACATGCCATACGTCACCTGCGAGCGACTCGTCAGTATCGATAACAAATCACGCTACCAAGTACCTAAGGGCATACTCATAGCTCATGTGTCACCTTGAGTCAAAAGCGTCGTGGGAAGTACCTTCGCCGGGGACGCGCTATATGCTCGATTCGCTGATACATGAGCCCAGCAGTCTATGCAGACAGAAACAACGCAATTCATTAATGTTGTATACAATATGTAGACCGGGCATTGCTACATGTAGTTGAATAGTTCCGGATTCCTCCTAACTCCAAACGCATCCCAACATCATCGACAACCACTCATTTGGCCTTGGCGAGACCGACAGCTGAGTTACCAACATCGTAAACAGAATACCACCTCCTAAGGAAGGCGTCACCAAGAATAGCAAGAGGTCCTACGGGCTCGGGGAAGTCCATGCCGAAGAAGGCAGAGATACAAGATCCCTGAACCTCGAGGATGTAGTCGTAAGCACCGATGGTAAAGTTGTGGCCAGTCAACGTGAAAGTGAGGTCGGGCAAACTATCACGCTTGTTGCACTCAACGGTGTACTGGCCGTTGTATGACTTCTTAGCACCGATCTCCTTGTTCAGAAGCTCGGCGATGGTGGAAGGAAGGGCGATAAGAGATGTGCCGGTGTCCAGGATGACACCTGTGTTGCTCATCTCTGCAGTCTCTTTTCCGAAAGTGATGGCGTCAAGGTCAACCTCCCAGTAAGCCTTACGCCTCAGAGGAAGCTTGATAAGCTTGCCGCTGTAGTGGCTCTCATCGATGCCTCCGAAGGTGGCAACGGACTCCTGACCTTCATTGGTGTCGCCGAGGTAGAAGGCGAAAACGGGCTCGTCCAACAAACCTTGGTCAAGCATGTTGTAGAAGGGAGGAACGATCTTGTTGACAGAGATGGTGTCATAGCCAAGTCCCATGATACCATCAAAACGGCCAAAGGCAAAGGCAAGGCCGGGCTCAGAGGTGGCCTCGGCGAAGTCCTGGTGCTTGACCTTGAGGTCACCGATCTGGAACACGTCGTTGGAGACGAAGCCGCTAAGCTCACCAGATCCATAGCGAATCTCGAACGAGGTGCCGTTCTTCTTGTAAGTCGAGGATGCTGACGAGTCGTACTTGGTGTGGAGGTAGCAGGCGATGGAGTTGCACTCTGATGATGGTACCCAGAGGTTGGAGCTTCCGGTGTCGAGAACAACCTTGAAGTCTTGCGGGGGAGTGCCGAGAGAGATCTCAGAGAAATCTGGTTAGGTCAGTCACTGATGAAACCTATGAGTGAGATGCGATGAGATCGGAACGTACACTGGGCATTCAGAAAGTTGCTGACGGGGACTGGGTGCGAGCCATCGGCGACGTAGGGTGCCTTGAACATCTGCTCGGCGTGGGCTTCAGGCTTGATGCCCATGTACTTTTGGCCGAGCGCCTTTGCGTGCTCCTGAATGTTTGCGTATTTCTGGACATTGTCAGCTCGTATCGCCACCGCGAGGCAGTGACTTACCAGCTGCTCCGAAAGAGGCACCTTCTGGAGCTTCATCTTGTGCACGCCGGCAACGGCAGGCGACGCCAGGGCGCCCGCAGCAAGGAGAATAGCCGTCTTCATGATGGCAATAAACGATCTGTGTTGATGATAGACTGCACTTGAGCAATGCAGGTGGAGTGGATGATGAAGGGTTGCGATGAGCGGGCGGTTATGGTTACCTGGGGAGGCTGGGGCAGCCTAGCGGCAGGAGCTATCGCAGTGTCGTCACCTGCTCACTCATGCACGTGCGCTCCGCGCCAGTTCCTGCATATGATGAAACTCTGGGTGGCTGGCCCACTCCCCAGAGGCATGCTAACGGGAAGTGCTAATGGGCACGTCTGTAAGAGATTAACGGGCGTACCAATAAGAGAATAATGGGCAAGCCAGCAGGACTCGCTGTCCAATCAGCTGCCTGAGATCAGGCCTTTCTCTTCTGGGAACAACCTCCATGACGCACCTACAGGCAGTCTAAGTTAAGGTGGTCACCTATACGAAGAAATCAGGGTCTATTTAGGTAAATATTACGAGGATTTTAAAGACTTTCCTTGAATCTAAAGCTGACGACTGATTTTGAAGTTCTAGCAAAGAGGGTCTACTTGGGACATGATTCAAAGCCGTTTGGTGGTCAAGACCTCATTGGTTGCGCATTAGTCCCTTGTTGGTACACCCGTTCACGTATGCCACTTCCTTCCAGACGTTTTCGGCACCGCAGAGCTTAGATCCCTGCATTCCCTGTTCCGGCCCTGGAGATACCCACAAACGTCCGCTTTGATCCTCACAGAACTCACTCAGGTCCGTTAACCACATGTGTATCCGTTGACGTCGTTCTTACAAACTTGTTACGTTCTCTTGTCAAGTGACCTCTTGTAGTCTCACATGGAGCTGCTGACGATCTCGAGACTGCACTGTACTTTGGTTGCTCCGGTCTCCAGAAGACGCAGTGCTGTATTACGCAGAAGTCAATTTGCATCGCCATCTACAGTATTTCAAGGTTGGTTCGAATGAGGCCCGTCTAGCTGCGCAGTCCCTGCAGAAGCTCGGTTGACACAACACGTTTTGTTACTTGCGAGCTGACATGTACATGCAAACGCTCCAGAAGCTCACGTGAATAATCTGCGAGTACAAATCCAATAAAGCAGTTAAATTCGGTGTGTGATTCTACTCTTGTTGTGTCGTGCCTCATACCGCAGCGTTCGGTTCATCCGTGTACCGAGGCGCGTTCGGTTGCTCTGCCTGCTCTCGTCGCGCGGTTTCTAGGTCGGCTGCCCACAACGCAGAGCTGACAGCGGCTGTCAGGAGGAACAACATGCCAAGAGGCGGGACCAACTGTAACAACAGATAGATGGTACCATACCTAAGAGGTTGTCAGTAGGATGCAGGGTGCTTCATCTGACTTAACGTACCATGTATACTGCCACCTCAACTTGCCCACGAACTTTTCTCTTTGCTTACGGTCAAATTCCAGGAGCTGAAAGTACCGCCAGTGCTGGAAGGGCCCCGCGCGATATCCAGTAAGAAAGAGGAACATTGGTACTCCTACATACGGCACGAAATTGAGGGGCAGCAGTATAATGAACTCAGCAATCTGGCGGAAGGAGAAAGGCGCATAGACCGAGGTCTTTGTTGGCTTTCCAAGGCGGCGAACGGGGCTGTCCAGGTTGTCCTCTGACACCGGACGGTGCTGGCGTATAAGGTCTTCATAACCTTTATGAATCATAACCGCATCGAAGATGTCCACTTGAGTTTCGTCCACCAAGAAAGATTCAAACAAAATAGCCACCACAGCTGCACCCTCACCAAGGACTAGAAATGTGCCATTCACCCATGCACTGCCACCCTTGTGGAATATCGAAAGGAACGCCACTTGTGGCAGATAGGTCCAGAAGAACAGGTTCAGCAAGACGAATGTACTGAGCAGAAAGGCAGGCAAAAGACGAGTCTTGAGCATCGGATAGAGATACGGGTGCGTGATGAAGAACAAGATGCCCTGTTGCCTATCAGCTCAATCTCACCATGTTTAGGAAGAGTGGATGGATACCTTTGGCAGATACAATACAGCGATCATGTTATCCCATGCTGGGCGAATGACAACCCTCGGTACGTTGGCAAGAGCAGACTGCCGCGGTCGTTGAGGCATGTTGGTGATGTTTGGTCAGGCTTGGTGGCTGTTTCTGTACGTCGCTTGTAAGTCTCAATGACGCACTAGCGTATCTGACCTTGTCAAGTGCAGCATGTGACAGATGTACCGGCGAGACCCTCAGTAGACGTCCAGAACAGTTTTCAGACTCGAGGATAGTCTACGGCTATTCAAAAGCCTTTTGCGTGTAGTGTGAAAATAATTACTATGATCAGATGCTCTATCCTAAAGGCTTCGACTTCTCTATTCTCTGTCTTTCCATTACTTTGAGGACATCGTCAGCATTGTTGGCGTCTCCTTTCCTCCTTTTTGGTGCTCGCTTCCTCTTCTTCGCTGCCTTTGGCCCATCACCGTCATCGTCGTCGTCGCCACCAGCGCCGAGTCCCTTCCATTCGCTGAATTTGACTCTCTCTCCGTCTTGCTCCATCTCATCAGCATCATCGAAGCGCGACTCGCCAAAGCCCAAGTCTATGTCTTCCATGTCCCGATCTGATGCTGCAAGAGCGGCGGCACGTTTCTTGAGACGAGCTTCCTCAGAATCCGCGTCGGCAGAGGATAGATTCTGTAGAAGCATTGATTTTTCATCAAGATTTCGCACCTTGGCCAGAGCAGCACGGACGGTAGCATCCGCAGAGGAAACATTAGGGGTGGTGTTAGAAGCGTTATTCTGAAGATTCCCGGAGTTGAAGTAATCTCTTTTCACACTTCGAAGAGGCTGGCTGGACTTCGGTGTTTCCACTGCGAGACCTGGTTCAGGTATCCCGGAAGCTGCAGGATCAAGTTTCAATATTGCAGACTCTTTCTCGATGATAGTGTCTGCGGCAGCTTCTCCCGCTTGATCTAAGTCTTCGTCGTCGTCGTCGTCGTCATCACCGAGGCTCGCAAGAGGGTTGTAACTCGACCCGGCCCCTGCGAATATATCCTCATCCTCTGACTCTTCTTGCTTCTTTGGTTCTGGCAGGTTGTGCATGTTTATTGGCTTCGTTACATCGTCCAGATCATGCCGCATTTCGGGGACCAGCTGTTCCTCAACCTTCTGCTTCCTGACTTTCCTCTTCTCCTTCCCGTCGGGCCCTCTGATAATCAAGACCTCGCGGCCCTTTTCGTCAATCTCAATCCTCGATTGCTCGCCCTGAGAGGTGACTTTTCGAAAACCGGGACCTAATGTTGGGAATCTTCTCTCGTGCTCTGCTTCTGCTGCTTTCGCTGCGTCCTCGCGTTGTCGCTTCAGCTCTGCCAGTATGTCCGCTCGTGTCCGTTTCGCGCCTGCGACTGGCGGTGGCGGTGCTAGCATCCTTTCGCCCTTCTTCTCAACCTTCTCGCGACTGACGGGGCCAACATCTGCATCAGCTAGCTCGTCAAAGGCATCCTCGAAGTCTTCACCAGCTTCCCCCTCTTCGTCCACTTTGGCCGATGGAGTCTGATCGCCGCCCAAAACGTCCTCGCCCCGCCGCACTCGCTCAAGCAGTCTCCTGTCTAGTCCCTTGACTAGATGTGTCATGCTGACATCGCCGCCTGTGATTTCCGACACAAGCTTCTCAAATGTCTCGCGGTCGATTTGTCCGAGCTTCATCGCTTCGTCGAGGTTTTTGATGCGTTTGGCGATCTCGTTGTCTTCCTCGCTGACCCGTTCTTTCGTTCGATCGGTGTAGCCATCGGCAAGCCGGGTGCCTTTGGGTGCTGAAGCGCGGGGCTTCTTCTGTGGATTCGCTTTCGCATTACGCTCTGCCAGTTGGCGAGCAAAGTCTGCCTGCACTGTGCCTCTGCCTACCTGGCGCCTGTAGCCGTGTTAGGACGGAGAGTTGCGGTTCTTTCTTGGAGCCAGTTCTTACGGTGTCATGGGGATGCTTGAATGCTTGCGTGCACCGAGTGCGCCACCAGGCGTGCGCGAGGCCGGTGATGCACTCTGCTTACTCCCATCCTGCTGCTTGGGCTGGTCGCTGAGCAGCAGTCGGCGAAACTGGGAGTTGTTCATTTTCCCTGAGAGCAGATGATCGCAGTGGTGCATAGCGCGGAAAAGCTGCCGACACCACCGAAGCGGCGTTCCTCTAGCGTGTCTGCACTCCGCGCTTTCCCCGCACGCGTCACTCAGGGCTGCTCACGGGTGCCACAGCTGTTCACTGCGAACAATCGGGCGAGAGGTTGAGTGACAATGTCATGGCTTAGTTCGCCTGCGCTGTGTTCTCAACTACAATCCTAATGTACTCATGTGCATGAGTGACATATCGCCCTTCTCGCAGTGTAACGTGAAGGCACATCACCCATCCCAGCCATGTGGGAATGCCCATGCAGATCAGTGGTGCATCCACCTTCACCTAGCATCTTACACCGAACTCGCCCGCCTGTTCTCCGCCCCTCGTCCCTGGGTATATAACGTTGACACCCGGCTACTTCCTCCGTCTCCTGTATATTTCCAATCAACTGCTTCCGAGCACAACAACACTTTTGGCAATAGCCAAATATGTTCAAGCTTTTGCTAGCGGCGGCACTCGCTGCTGCATGTGCTTGCTACGCCGCCCCAAACGGGACCAACTCCAACGCCACATTCACGAACCCGATTCTCGACGCTGTGGGTGCCGATCCGTAAGCGTTCTTCCCATACATCACGATTCCCAAGTTGACAATCTTTAGCTGGGTCTTTCGCCATGAAGACTACTACTACATGACCTACACTAACAACGAAGACATCACTCTACAGCGCAGCAAAGTCCTCACTGATTGGAACAATGCTGAATCTAAGCTGCTTTTCAAGCCGCCTGCAGGCATGAACTACTCCACGGATCTATGGGCACCCGAACTTCACAATCTCAACGGCAATTGGTATGTTATCTTCACTGCAGACCCACGTTTCGACTCTCCCCCTCCCGAGACCGAGATGTGGTGCGAGTACAATTGCCCAGCTGTCAACCATCGCATGTACGTGGTTGAGGGCATCGGTTCTGATCCCTGGACCGCCTCCTACACCTACAAGGGCGAGCTCAACACGTACAACCAGTTCGCCATAGATGGCACCTACTTTCAGCACAATAATCAGCTATATCACATCTACTCGTGCTGGTTTCGCCAGTACGATGGGTGGCCAGCCAACCTTTGTATCACCAAGCTATCCGACCCATGGACAGTGTCTTCGCCGTTTACGGAACGTCAGATCATCTCGGTGCCAGAGTATGCCTGGGAGAAGACTCCGTTTGGACGCGCGGGCAACGATCGTCTTTCCTCTAATGAGGCTCCCCAGCAACTCATTAACCCCAGCACACAGCAGAACTTCCTTATTTATAGCGCCGCTCGTTCGGACAACCGAAACTACTGTCTTGCACAGTTGGAGCTCATCGGCGACGACCCGATGAATCCAGGCGATTGGCGCAAGCACCCTTACCCTGTCTTTTATCAAAATCCAAGCGAGGAGTCATATGGCGTCGGGCATGCGAGTTTCACCACTAGCCCTGATGGAACAGAGAATTGGATTGTCTATCATGGCATGCGCGACCCGGCGAATGGCTGGGGCGCAAGGACGATACGCGCACAGACATTCACGTGGAATGATGATGGGACCCCGAACTTTCCTAGACCTGGATATGGCCCGTATAAGGCCCCTAGCGGGCAGTAGACTCCTCCCGGGCGATTCATACATCTGAGGGCATTTTGGCTTCGGTCTAAGGTATGGATATTGGGGGTTTTATGTCGCTACACAGTGTGTGGATAGCTGTTTAGCTGCACTTGAATAGACATGTGCCAATTTGGTCAAGAGAGGTCGTCTTGGTCAGTCCTGCACCTTGGTAACTTAGCCCTGATTCGCGTATGAAATTTGAAAGTGCGTACTATTGGGAATACGTACTTATGTCTTATCTTCTCTGTATGATACCTTTAATACCATGGCAGGGGAAGAGCTATGAGGAGCAGAGGGCCACGTTGATCCTTTGTGCATGTGATACATGGTGGCTAGCTGGAGGTCCCACAGGTGAAGCAGTACATCTGTATATCACACCCGATGCAATTTTACTGGACGCGTTTCAGTTCCATGTATGTGCTTGTAGTAGTACGTCAGTTATTATTGAACTATCAAAGAGAGTGATGCAATAGGATCTCATACTTCCAAAAACGTCGAGCAGGTGTAGATGTTAATCAAAAGGCCAACACATCCTCATAGAAAAATACAGCACAACAACGTGGGACCTCAATCGTCCTAAAACCCGTAGACATGATGAACAGACTCACATGCAAATACTGACAAACTTAGATGTAGTCAGATATGCCGAAGAAGGACATTGCAATATGATGTCATCACACGGAGGTCGATAGTGTCGAGGCACTCAAGCAACAGAACGACAGCTACACATCGCGATAAGTGGACATGCATGATGCATCAGCACCATCAATCTCAGCTGGAGCATCTGTATAAAACCATAAAGTGAATTGTTATATACCGAAGATGTCATCATGTATCAAGAAGGCATACCAGTCAGACTGACAGAGATGTCGGAACAAAATCACCAAAGATATGCCAAAAGAAAGGTCAAGAAGACAGGAGATACGCCATAGCTCTCAGACCACGACAGGAGCCATCAAACAGCGCTCTTCCCCCCTCCCAATCGTCGAAGTCTACTCTTTTCAACTGCCTCATCGACCTTCTTCTGCCTCCACGTGCAGTTTTCTGCAAAATCACATATTCTGCACTTGAACGCGTCTTCGATTGCCACTCCCTTGGCTTCTCTTGTTCCCTTCCACCATGCCATCTCATCCTCAAGGTAGTCTTCAAGGACGTTTGCCTCGTACATGATAAGCTCGTTGCCAATGATGTCACCTGTTTTGGAATAGCGAAACTCAGCACAAAGAACGTAAGAAAGGCTTGCTGGAGGGATTGCAAGTTGCAGCTCTGTGATGAGCAAAGACCACAACGAGAGCAGGTTTGGGAACCGAGCGGCTTCATTCTCGAAACCAACGTCGCCAATCTCGTGTAGAAATATCTCTGTGAAGGACTGTAGTGGATCCAAGTCGTAGCGGGCGAAGATGGTCTCGGCATCTACGGTATTGAGAGACAGAGACTCGAGAAGCTTGTGGTACAACATAAGTTGCATCCTTGTCGGTCGCAGTGATGCACCGGTTGGTTTTGAGCGCACACCACGTGTCTTTACATCGGCGATGTAGATTTGCTGTATTGGTTCGACACCATCTGCCCATGCGCTGCTGTTGATGTCCGCACCTGAAGCCCTAGCAAAAGCTTCCGCAATACGAAGCTGATTGGTAGGTAGCTGTACTGTGCCACCGCTCTGCTGTGCTCTCGTCCGTTCAACATGTTCCTCGAACTCAGGATCAGGACATTCGTAAGAGACCTCGTCAATAACGCCGTTCACGACTTGATCTTCGACGACACCCCAAACCTCCAGTTCCCTTGTTAGGCCAGTCTCACGCAGACATCGCAGCCCCGATATCGTGTTCCAGATCCGTAAACCAAACCGGTCCTCTTTAGTTTGTACCTGCACTGGTACAGTTGTATGTACCTCGTCTTCGAGCTTTTGGTGGATCTTCGACCCGGTGCGCATGGCTTGCGTCCGAGGCTTGCGCCCGAACTTGGACAAAGTGTAGTAGTATTGTAACTCGCACCATGCTGGTGAGACAAGGTCGGTGACAGAGAGTGGCTTCTTGGGCTTTGTGCGAAAGCGCTCGATGGGCGGACGCGAATCAACATCTGCAGCCTCGTGGGAGGAAACGATATGTGGAGTGCTTGTGATAGAGCTCACACTGTGAATTGTAGTTCCGCCTGATTGAGACGATGATTGTGAGGATTTAAGCGGGACTAATCGCTGTTAGTTGTCAGTCTATCAGTTCGTGCGGCTGGTGGGCTGAGAGCAACGCACCACTCCATGCCCGACGCGACCTTTCGTCATACTCGACTTCCAGCATCTCGCGGGTTGGAGAACTTTGGATGCGTCTGCGTGAATCGATGGCCTCATGATTGCGCCGGTGGCTCTTCGCCACGCGTAAGTCATACGGCTTGGGCAGTACGCCAAGATCGTTTGATTCTTCATCTGCTGCCTCGCGCTGTTCGAACTCAATGCTTGGAAGCACAATGCTCTTCTCCACGGATCTGGGAAGCTGTTGGACGAGCGAGTCGAGAGTGTTTGCGAGAATTGTATCTTCATCGACCTCGGTCGCGTCGAACTCTGAGCCGTAGTCGCTCACGGAAGCAAAAGCGTCAGGGTCGATCTCGACCTCGGAGCCATAACAGCTTGAAGCGCGCGTCACCGGTACAGATGATGCAGACATGTTGCCATTACCATGACGGCGTGCCGAGGTGCTGTGAGTTGGGTGGCAACAAGCGCGAGACGCGACATCCGAGGCGCGCTTCGCGTGAGGTCATGGATATCGGGTGCTCGAATATCCTTATCGAACGTGCACAACAAACATCGTCAGACTTTGCGTCGAACGCTCGATACTGCACCATACATTGAAAATAGTCATTGCGCTCTACGTGTTTTATGCTATGTTGAAAGTCAACTGCCCATCCGATGCAAATCAAGCATGAAGACTAAATACAAGCGGTACCTCCACATAACCTGCCCCATGCCTGAATCATGACGACCACATTACGCATCAGTCAAACAACACGATAGGAATGTCCCTTCCGATTTCCCAGATCCCACTCTCTCGCGCAGCATACAACGGCGTGCTCTCGATATCGACTAATGTGCAGACACGAGAGGTATACCCTCTTTGAAATCAGACATGTCGTCAGCGCGCTGATGCTTGCCGTTCCATTGCACTATGCCGTTCTTGTCAATACCATAGTTGCCTCCAGTCTGCCATCTGTTCCCGCTCTCAGTGGGTCTATTCCAGATGCCCTCCTCTTTGCCTAGCTTGTTCAAGTTGCTCAAGCCAGCGGGTGAGAGAACGTGATAGAAACTGGAGATGCCGAGGCCGTATGCGGCGTACGCTTCTCGTTCGGCATCTATGACAATCTGCAGATTGGGCTGGGTGTTCTTGGATGTATCGGGCAGCGCGGCAAGCCAATGGTCGGTCGATTCTTGGTCGCTGTGTGAGACGGCAATGAAGTGTATGTTGGGATTCGTAGCAGCTGCATCGCGCATGTTGAGGAATGTCTTCTCTGCAACTGTTTGATGTTAGTAGATTGTACGCAATCAGACATGTGGTCTGGTTTGGCTTACAGGGACAGCCACAGTGCCTGAGGAACGCGATGATCGTGGGCTTCCCATCCTTGGGGACTGTGAGCTTCGGTGTTGAAGGCGCCTTCTGCCCCACTGCTGGAGGCTCAGCGGTTTTGACATAAGATGGACTCATCCACGACCAGAACTCTTGCTGCCAGGTCATCTTGGGAGTGTGAGGACTTGTTATTCGATTGACGATAGTAGGCCAGAGGCTGTAGCAGTACTCGCACGCGCAGTCATGGCGCGACAACTGCCTTTGTATCATTCATGGCCATGGTTGTGGTAGCGGGCGCGCGGAGAGCGTGACTGCGGGGTGATCGGGTCCAGCCTCCAAAGACTCTCAGTGGTGCACCATCTACACGAAGCGGCTGACAGATAGCTATCCAAATAGCCTATGCAATACCTAGTTCGGCGATTTACCACATTGCAGCCAAGATGCGCCTAACACATGGAAGGGGACGCGTCGCGTGAATGCCAATGGGATGCTGATGGGAGAGACCCGCGACAGAAATGTTAATTAGAACACAAGTCAATCATCGCGCAATCACCAAGCAAGACAGCGTCTTTGAAGTTTGAACGATTGATTCATCAATCGTCAGTGAACCATTCACTGATTAGCTGGATATACTACATGCTCAGCACCGCTCAAGTGCCCCCATAAACCCGAGTTGAAGACCGTGACCATGATTCCGTGAAAACGCCCAAAGAAAGTAACCAAATATCCGTCGCCGACCAAGAGGTTGTCATGAGGCCGACGTCAAGAAGTGACGAGCTTAACCACGCTCACCACGGAGACGACGGGCGAGCTGAATGTCCTTCGACTCTGTTGTCTGTTAGTGGGTGACCGTGTGCAAAAGATTCGAGAACACGTACGGATGGTGACACGCTTGGCGTGGATGGCGCAGAGGTTGGTGTCCTCGAAGAGAGAGACGAGGTAGGCCTCGACGGACTCCTGCAGAGCACCGATGGCGGAGGACTGGAAGCGGAGGTCCGACTTGAAGTCCTGAGCGATCTCACGAACAAGGCGCTGGAAGGGCAGCTTGCGGATGAGAAGCTCGGTGGACTTCTGGTAACGACGGATCTCACGAAGAGCGACGGTACCAGGCTTGTAGCGGTGAGGCTTCTTGACACCACCGGTTGATGGTGCGGACTTGCGGGCAGCCTTGGAAGCGAGCTGCTTGCGGGGAGCCTTGCCACCAGTGGACTTACCTGCATGAAGTGTTAGCTATGCGTTGCAAAGTGCGAAGTATTATGTGAAGGCAGTGCGCAAAGGCAGCCAAGTCGGTGCGTGCAGCGCGATGGTGGCGGCAGTAGACAGGCTGCGGCAGCAACACCAGCGCGCTGCAAGCGATGCGATGTGTGTAGGAAGTACTTACGGGCGGTCTGCTTAGTGCGGGCCATGACTGTTGATGTGGGTTGTGTTGATGAAGATGATTGTTGAGGCTGAGGAGTGGAGCTGGTGTGGTGGATGAGAGAGGGAGGAGGCGGGCGGGCGAGGTTAATAAGTGCACGGGGGGCGGGCGGCTGCCTGGAAAATCAACTCAGAAGGCGCGCTGGAAAGCGGCGCAAGAACATCAACGCTGTTTTGCAGCGGGAACAGCAACTTCGAAACTCACAAGTAAGAGCGAGTTGCAGTGATTGGCTCGCTAAGGCGCTCTCCCGATTAGGAAGGGGCACGGTCGTTGATCTCGAAAGCGCGCCCGTGCGCAGTGGTTGATCTGGGCCGGCAGGCGTCAGGCGTGTGTGATCCAGCGACCGCAGTGCACGACCCGCCTTGTCCTCTTAAGCACCGGACGCCCCCAGCTTCATACACTATTCTCATCCAGTCAACTGCATCTCCTCTCCAGCTTCAGCCCGCTTCAATCACCTTACCCAACTTCCAACAACTCCCCCACACATCAACATGACTGGACGTAAGTCTTCCTCCCCAGCACGACGCGTCTCTTCACGATCGCGTCTTGCACGCCCGTCTCAATCATGTACTGACGCGTCTCTCAGGCGGCAAAGGTGGCAAGGGTCTCGGCAAGGGCGGAGCCAAGCGTCACCGCAAGATCTTGCGTGACAACATCCAGGGTATTACCAAGCCCGCTATCCGCCGTCTCGCACGTCGTGGTGGTGTCAAGCGTATCTCAGCCAGTATGTATCTCGCCCAGTCTCGCACATTGCAAAGCTAATTGCCTCCAGTGATCTACGAGGAGACCCGTGGTGTTCTGAAGACTTTCCTTGAGGGTGTGATTCGTGATGCTGTCACATACACTGAGCACGCCAAGCGCAAGACTGTCACTTCTCTCGACGTTGTTTATGCCCTTAAGCGTCAAGGCCGCACCCTTTACGGTTTCGGTGGTTAAGCGCATTTCTTTCACGGTTTTCATATCACGACTTCTGCCGGCCTCATCGGTCCTCGGTCGGTTTCGGTGCTTGGGTGGATGGTCACAATGCCTTGTATAGTAGGCTACGGAGTTTACGGTCACATCAGTGGGATTGAGTGCTTTTACATGGAATGATACCATAATTCTTCACACCGTGTGCGTTTTGCCTGACATGTTTGCTCTGTTTGAAAGTATTGTACACAGTACGCGTCTGTTGTGATGCTAGTTGAACGCGGTGGTCATAGCGGTTGTGGGTCGGCGCTGAGATGCTTGATTGGCTTTGTGTCAGGGTTAATCCACCCTCTGCGCCTCACCGCTGCCATGTAAGATCGTGATACCAGAGCAAAATGGTTTGACCATGCGCACTTCGTCGCTGTGGCAGACTTACGGTATCCCGCGCGGACCTTCCACCGTTGGGAAGGCTCCTTTGTCTGCAGCGGCTGCTGCATTAGGCAATTTTGTGCGTGGTCAAACACGGCTTCCTCTGCAGACCAACATTGAAATGTCCGAGTGTGACTCGCTGCATCTTCCCTCCGTTCTCTTTCACTCTACTTTATCGCTGGCATTGTCGCTTTTCCGGTCGCATGCTACATTTCCGTCCACACTCGTACTTCTGACGTTATCCGTTGGTGAAGCCCCTCATGGCGTCGTCATATCGTCCAGTACAAGATGATCTTTCATCGCCAACCCCACTACCCAAAACATCTCCAATATCAATCTCTGGTGTCACTATGGCTATCGACCCAACACCTCGTGCTCTGTTCTTCGATGTCTTCGGTACCTGTGTCGACTGGCGCACCACTGTTGTAGGCGAACTACAAGCCCAAGCTCACGCTGCGCTCAATTCGGCTACTGCATCTCTAGCTTCCCGTGTCAGACTCACAGCATCTGATATGACTGCACAGCATTGGGGCGAATTCGCTCAGCAGTGGAGAGATAGCTATAAGAGTTTCACGCGGAAGCTCGCCACTGATCCAGCTGTTCCATGGAAGTCAGTCGATGAACACCATCTCGAATCACTGAGCGAGCTGGTCATCCACTGGCAAATTACTGGCTTGTGGGACGATGAGCAATTGCGCGCCATCAGCTTGATATGGCATCGACTGGAGCCCTGGGTTGATTCTGCGACGGGCGTCTCGATGTTGAACAGACTCTTCTGTACGTGCGACTTGAACAGAGACGTCATACACTAACATTGTAGATACGTGCACGCTGTCAAATGGTAATCTCAGTCTCCTCGGAGACCTTCGCACATACAGTACCATCCCTTTCACACACCTATTCTCGGCAGAGCTCTTCGGCACTTATAAGCCTTCTCCGCGCGTATATCTTGGAGCTGCTGAGAAGCTTCAACTGGCGCCGGGTCAGTGTGCTATGGTGGCTGCGCATCTGAATGATCTTAGGGCTGCAAAAGACAACGGTCTGAAGACTATATACGTCGAACGCCCTGGTGAGGAGGACTGGAGCAAGGATCAGGTTGAGAAGGCGCGTCGAGAGGGCTGGGTCGATTTATGGGTTACCTTTGGTAATGGAAGCAATGGTTTCATCACGGTGGCTGAGCATTTGGGTATCGAGCCGAATGCCACAGAGCAAGCTAGAAGACTCAGTGCATCGGCACCCGTTGGTGGCTCGTAGTATTTGTCGGATCATGGGCAACATTGTATCTAGGACTATCAACAATAATTTAAGCAAACATAATATGAATTATCGGATTTTTGTTGACTGCTACACACTAATGTGAGTCGAATGATGGCGTGTCCTCTTGTGGATATGTGTTTATCCCGCAGTGCTTTGGTGGAAAGTGCGAGTACATTACTCGGATTAGTACCTGTATCGAACTTCAATGAAAAATGTTCCCAAATGCACCATGGACGAAAACCCATCCAAACCCATATATTCTAATAAGTAAGCCCTGTCCTATCAGGCACCAGGGTTTTAAACATATCGAGCAAGCTTGGGCTGAACAACTTATCCACAGGTGGATGCATTGAGTGCAAATCACGTGACATACGATACTCTCCCAATAATAATGATATTTGCCGAGGTCACGCACCTATGCTACTGTTACACAAAAATCAACATAGAAATGCATTCATGATATGTATTGAGTGAGAGCAAACCCACGCCTTGCGATGGTATTCCTGCCTACTCCATGTCCGAGCAACTTGAACATACCTGCCTCCTGCGAAGCTGCAGCTTACATACATACAACCATTGATACCTTACATCAGTATGAAACCATCGATAACCCACCGACGTTAAACAAGGAGCACGATGTATACTTTTGTAATTATGATATGTGAGGGCAACAAGCCCGCATCGCAAGCAACCAGACTAAGCAAGCGCTCCCCGCATCGCGCCCGCACCGCGCTAGTAGCTCCAGACACCACGTCCTCGGCACCGTCATCAGGTCCCTTTGGACCGAGAATTAGCAATAAGATTGACATAAGCCAGGTCTTGTCCTCTTCATGGTCTGTCACCCGGACTCCCTTGCGTATGATTTCGTACTTGAATTGATCAGTTTTATCACAAATAACAGATCAACTGCGTCTTGCCGAGGTTATCATCCGGCCAATACCAGCCCTGGCCATCCGCCATAGCATACACACTCGTTTCCGTCAGCCCACCTTCAGAAGTGCAGGAAACTGGAACACATGCTACAAACCAGAGAGATATTGGCGTACACACTCTCATCTACAGCAGATATCAGTAGGCTATAAGACGCACGTAACCATGCTTCAACAGCACATCCAAGACAATGTGTACGCTGCGTCTATGCGAGATCCGGAAAGGTTCTGGATGCGACAAGGAAAGGATTTATTCTGGCACAAGGAACCTACACAGGCGTTCCAAAAGACCACCCGAACGCTCAAGAAGAGTAACATTAAGCACATTTCATGGGATTGGTACGCAGACGGGGAGATATCCACGACCTTCAACTGCGTGGACAGACATGTAGCGAACGGAAGAGGCGATAACGTCGCCATATATTGGGACAGTCCAGTCGCGAGCACCAAAGAACAATACACATACAAACAGTTGCTGGAAGAAGTCGAAACCCTGGCTGGTGTGCTCCGAGAAGAGGGAGTCAAGAGAGGTGATGTTGTTCTTATTTATATGCCAATGATCCCGGCAGCAATATTCGCCATGCTTGCGATTGCCCGGCTAGGTGCCATCCACTCTGTGGTCTTCGGTGGCTTCTCTCCTGCGGCACTAGCCCAACGTATCGAAGCGAGTCGCCCCGTGGCAATCATGACAGCTTCATGCGGCTTAGAAGGATCGAAGAAGCCCACTGGTTACAAGAGCATGATTGAAGAGGCGATTCAAAAAAGCAAAATCAAACCATCCAAGACCATTGTCTGGCAGAGAGACCAGTTGAGATGGGACCCTGTGATAAAAGAGAACGGGCAAAGGAACTGGCAGCGTCTCGTTAAGAGCGCCAGAAATAGAGGGCTGAAAGCTGATGCTGTTCCTGTCAAAAGTGGAGATGGTTTATACATCATCTACACAAGTGGCACTACCGGTCTGCCCAAAGGCGTTGTTCGCTCAGCAGGCGGACACGCAGTTGGTCTAAATTTTTCGATGAAATACCTCTTTGGAGTACATGGTCCAGGCGATGTTCAATTTACAGCGTCTGATATCGGCTGGGTCGTGGGCCATTCCTACATTGTCTATGCGCCCTTGCTTGTTGGCGCTTCCACCGTGCTTTTCGAAGGTAAGCCTGTGGGTACTCCCGACGCAAGCACATTCTGGCGAATCATTCAAGACTATAGGGTAACCACCATGTTCACGGCTCCGACAGCATTGCGTGCGATAAGACGCGAGGATGGAGGGAATGACTTCTTCGAGAAGCAATATGGTGAAAAGGGTGCACTGAAGTCTTTACGAGCATTGTTCCTAGCTGGTGAAAGGAGCGAGCCAAGCATCATAAAAATGTACCAGACGCTTTTGTCCAAGCATTGCGCACCCGGTGCCATAGTCGTCGACAACTGGTGGTCGTCGGAATCTGGATCGCCAATATCTGGCATCGCGCTCAGTGCCTCTGCTGGACTCGACTTAGCCTCTTCGGAAAGACCAAAGCCTCTTCCAATTAATCCCGGTTCCGCCGGCAAAGCGATGCCTGGGTTCGATGTACGTGTCGTCGATGACTCCGGCCAGGAAGTGAAGAAAGGAGAGATGGGGAACATCGTTATGGGCATACCTCTAGCGCCGACTGCATTCACAACGTTGTGGGAGGACGAGGAGCGCTTTTACAAAGGATACATGAAGAGATTCAATGGGAAGTGGATCGACACTGGTAGGTGATACCGGCGCGGCATTGTGGCCCAGGACTAACAGCATGGCAGGCGATGCGGGCATGATTGACGAAGAAGGCTACATTTCCATCATGTCTCGAGCAGATGATGTTATCAACGTAGCTGCTCATAGGTTTAGTACCGGCGCCATCGAACAAGCCATCACGACTCATCCTTCTATCGCTGAAGCAGCGGTGGTAGGCATCCCCGATGCCTTGAAGGGCCACCTGCCATTTGCGTTCGTTACACTTGCCACGCATCAACATCCAGAACCCGCCGTCCCTGACGACTCGTTGCTCTCTGAAGTGCAGAAGCTTGTCCGTGAGCAGATCGGTGCTATTGCATCTCTTGGCGGCATCATACAGGGCAAAGCTATGATCCCGAAGACAAGAAGCGGTAAGACATTGAGGCGTGTCCTGCGGGAGTTACTCGATAATGCAACGCACGGCGACTTTGATAAGGAGGTCAACGTACCGAGCACGATCGAAGATCGTGAGGCTGTGAACGTAGCAAGAGCAAAGATCAGAGAGTACTTTGAAGTGAAAGGGAAGGATCTGCATAAATCGACTGAGACCAGAGCGAAGTTGTGATTCAGGCAATTCATGCTTGTTGCAGTGTTTTGTCAGACCGATTCTTTCAAGCAAGTATGAACTAAACGCAAAGCATTCCAATTTTGAATGGGACTTGACTTCACGGAGCAACATGTCTTTCCCAGCTTTTCTGCTCTTCTACCGTACGACGTTAATGGGGCTTTCTGTTGACCTATGGCGTGGTCAGCGTCCAACGTGACACTGATGGTGCACAGAAACAAAGTCGCAGGTGAGGCTGGCTCGTATTGGCCCGGTTGGCTGCCGTGTCAAACTGCTCTGAACGGTGTCAGATCGCAACGGCCCGTTCCCGGCGTCAATGGTCAGGTGCACATGTGCACTATATAGAGCCTCCAAACGATGACGAATCGTTGTTGCATACATGTGAGTTGTGAGATTAAGCTTAAGCCTTGAGACTCTGTCGCACCCTTTTGGCTGTCTGCTGGTGTTATGGCCACCCCGCGTCCGCAAGGCTAAACGCTCACGTGCTTGTCGGTTGCTGCGGGCGCTGCATGCCGTGCCGGAGACAATGCTCTCGAGCATGGCTCGGCATAACCACGTGTGAAATGTGACTAGTGGCAGGGTTCCATCGAGCTGGGCCGCCTGGTGGTTCGACCGGTCCAGGAGCACCCCAGCATGGCAATCAATGTGGCGAGCAGACTGTCAATCTGTAGACGATGGCTGTTCAGGGTTCGGCCCAACAACGCGACCCCCAGAGGGTTTGTCACCAATGGGCACGGCATAGTCTTGCCTGAGGCGTCGTCATACGCGGCTAGTCGGAGATGCCTGGATTCGGCCAACAAACGCGTGCCGGACGGTGTATCCGTTGGATGCAACCTTGGAAGCGTGCAGTCGGCTCGGGTCAGCTCATCCAAGGGCCGACAGCGCTGTCGCGGGGAGGGAAAGACTTCCGCGATACACGATCCCTTGGCGGCTCCGAGGTTATGAAACTCTGGCTGGTGACAGTTTTGATGGAGAGTTTTGTGCGACCCTGCTTTAGTCCCTGTCGGGCCACCGTACCTGCAGTGACGTCTCACACTGAAGACGTGGCGGACTGATTCAACCACACATGCAGCTGCGAGCCGCTTCTGAGCGCTTCTTCGCAGATTCAGGCACGCGAGGGGCAGCAATAAAGCAGCAACGATAGGATTGGACGAGGCCCACAGCTACAACTACTGCGCGTAGCCGAATGCACGACGGCTTCTGCACCGCGAGCCAGCACTGGAGCGCTCTGTCGGGACAGCAGCGCCATCCGCGTCGTCCTCTTGTCGTGTTGTCTTGTCGTGTCGCGGCTCAGGTAGCGATGCAGCATTGTGGAGCACACGCAGCAATGCTGGGGGCCGACCGGTACATAGGTACCTCGAGCATCTGCATCCAGCATCTGCAAAGCACCTAGGTAGCATCCAGGATACACGGCACATGCTGGAGCCAGTAGTGCGCTGCAGTGTGCGCTGCAGTGCACGTGTTAGCACGCCAGTTCACACAGGTTGCCGCTTGCGTCCAGGATCGGTGGTTCGGTGCTGCGAGCGCAGCAGCGGCCAGAGCCAGCGGCCAGAGCCAGCGGCCAGAGCCAGCGGCCAGAGCCAGCAGAGCGCCCGCGCGCAGCACGCAGGCAGCACGCAGGCAGCACGCAGAGCAGCTGGCCCGCGGAAGTGAGGTGGCACAGGGCAGCGTCACGTCCTGGGCCCTGGAGCACGGCGTCGCTGCACGCCTGCGCGCACCGAGGGCCGCACGGCGGGCGGCCGAGGGCGCGGCACGGTGCTGGCCCCTGGGTGCCTTCCAGGTTGGGTGTTGTGCTCGCAGGCGCGCCTGGTGCAGCGAGTCGAGCGCCGGCGGGCGGCCAGCACACGGCAGCCAACAGCCAACAGCCAGCAGTAGCAGCAGCAGCAACCAGGCGTCGCTGCAGGGCCTGGAGAGGACTAGCTCGCGGTTGCAACTGAGGTTTTGCGGTTCGCCCAACCTCAACTGCACTGGCGCTGGCAGCTGCTATAACCCCCGGCTGCCCGTTTGTGCCCAGCATCGCCTTTCTTTTGACCTCACCCAGCCCGCCGCGCCACCGTGCCCGCTGCCCGCGCCCGCCAGCAGCCCCCCCACGCCGCCCGCGTCGATGCAACACAGCTCCGCCAGCGCCTGCACCGCCGTTGTTGCTGCTCTGTTGATAGACGATAGACGATAGCCGCCGATAGTCGATAGTCGATAGTCGGTAGCCAGCCCTCACGTGGGACTCGGAGCCAGCGAGAACCCTGACTTGCACCTTGACCGCCCGCCCGATCCTCGCCCTCGCATCCACAACACGGCCGCACCCAGCTCGCTGCCCTGCCTGTGCCTGCCTGTGCCTGCCTGCCCACTGCTGCCGTGCACTCCTGCCGGACTGCGCACGCCGCTCCCTCGCCTGCCGTCCACCGCGCGCCCTGCCCGCCATCGCAGCCACGCAGCCACGCCCCCGCTCGCTTCTGCAGCCATTTCTGCGCCGACATTTGCTGCACAGTCCACCTCCCGCCTGCGACGTCCGCAGCCCAGCCCTGTGCAACCCTGTGTTCCGCCGCCTCCGATCGATTCTGAACACGCTGCAGCCGTCCGCGACACGCGCACCCGTGCCCCCTGTGTCCTCCTGTGCCTGCGTGTGAGTTGGGAACCCGCGCCTCGTCTCGTCTCGACACACGACTGCAGCCCTCGCTGCCCATCCCCAACGGGCATCCACCGCTGCCTCATTGCTGGTCACCTGCAAGAGTGCTCTCACAAGACGACTTTTGCGACGCCGTGGCTGAGAGCCTCCACGCGCCGCTTACCCGAGTCTCCGGCGCCTTAACTGCCTCTTAACCCCCAGTCAGCCACTCACCAGTCCTCACATCAACTCCTCACCGCTCCAGTCAAGATGGCGGGGAAAATGACTCTGTACAAGCTGGTGGTGCTGGGCGACGGAGGCGTTGGCAAGACGGCCCTGACCATCCAGGTATGCCCCCCCTTTGCAGTCGCTTCAAGTGTCTCACGCCATGCTAACGGCTCTCCTAGCTCTGCCTCAATCACTTTGTGGAAACATATGACCCTACGATCGAGGATTCGTACCGCAAGCAGGTACAAATCGACGGCCAGTCTTGCATGCTCGAAGTTCTCGACACAGCCGGCCAGGAGGAATACATTGCACTGCGAGACCAGTGGATACGCGATGGCGAGGGATTTGTCCTTGTCTACAGCATCTCATCACGGTCTTCATTCGCGCGCATACAACGTTTCCACAGTCAGATCCAACGCGTCAAGGAGACGGCCATGGCTGGCTCACCTACCTACCCTGGCTCTCCTATCAGCGCATCGGCCCCTATTTTCGGACAGGCACCTGTTATGCTCGTTGGCAACAAATGCGATCGGGTCACGGAGCGCGAGGTATCTACACAAGAGGGCCAAGCTCTGGCAAAGGACTTGGGTTGCGACTTTGTTGAAGCATCGGCCAAGAATTGCGTAAACGTCGAGAAGGCCTTTTTCGATGTTGTGAGGCAGCTTCGCCGACAACGACACCAGGGTTCTGGCCGCCATTCGGACAGAAGCGAGAAGACGGGCAGAGCACGTGTGCCCGGCAACGATCGCAATCGAGGAAACGGTGGTGATCGCGGAGCTAACAGTGGCCGGACTACCAAGCGCAAGGATAAGCCCAAGTGTGTTATATTGTGAGCATTGGCCTCGAGAGCCACCGAGACTTGAGCATTTGGAATTACAGCACAACATAACGAGCCACGACACATATCTCGTAACCGCCACTATTACCCCCCATAGAACGCCATCTTCATATGGCGTCGGCATAGGAGCGGCGTTTAGCACTGCACGCATCATTTGTCTCCCACTGTTTGGATTTGCATGAGACCCACGGCGTTTTGGAGTGTCATGAACACCTTTTGAAATATCCGCGTTTTTGTGCGGATTGCGACTACATACGGCCATGATCTTGTACGACATTGCACTGCTGAATCAGTTATTTCTGTCACGGACACTGTACGGAGACCTCGCTAGCCATTCGAGGTATATCAAGATGGGTCGGCGCTGAGCCTTTGGGATCATTTGAGGAAAAGAAAAAGCACTGGTGTTCCCATAAGGATTGGTTTTGCTCTCACGGCACGAGATACCTCTAAATTCACTATTGACCTGGATTCCTTACCTCTTTCTCGAGTCTCAATCTGCGTCACAATGTTGCCAATCCCACGTGTGAGCCACGCCAGGTAGCTTTGACGCGTTAACCGAGCCCTCTCTAGGACGACTCCGATCGAATGGTTCTTGTGGATGCTCTTCCCCGCACAGCAGCAATTCCGAATCCAATGCGAATCAGGAGTAAATCGCTGGAATGTTAGCTATAGGAATTAGTGTGCTTATTAGGCTGTAGCTAATAGAGACAGACGAGAGCGACCTGTAATCACAACGTAGAATTAGGCCGGCTTTGCTTTCATATCCAGTGCGTACATTGGTATAGAAGTAGTCCGCCAATTGGGAGGCAGCGCAAATCCGCACGGCTAAGTAAAGGTGACACATCAATTTAAAGGCCAAACACCGCCTCAGGCCGTACTTGTGCAGCCCACGGCAGTTTTTGTAATGTTTGCTGAATCTAAGTAGACAGTTCTGATTGGATAGAATCGACTTGGACATCTAGGGAAGACGCGTCTTCCCTGATGTTTCGACGTCACCTCTCACTTTTACACCAGATGTCACATTTCGATCTGTATCAGCTTCTTGGCTCCGCACGATCCTCTATTATCAGCTCGTTGTACCTCTAGAGATACAGTTGGCAGGTTGTGCATCGTGTATGTAAGGGCTCATTGGAGCCAGGTTTCAGTAGGACAATTACCTTTATATGCTTGCTGCTTCAAAAAGTGGCTAAAACTATCTTAAGGATGCCAACTAGCATTCACTTCAAAACAATGATATAAGTTCTAGTGTGTTACTAATCGTTTACGTTGGTGTGTGTTATAACGGTCTTCCAAGGTAGAATTTTGCTACCTCTGCCACTTACTTTGCAATGAGGCTACATCGTGCTTTGATTTCGAGCCCTTTTATTGCTGCTTTTTGCCAATTATCAAGATATTTTATCAAGTGCCGCATGCCCTCACCCCAAGGTAACGCTCTGGCACTCTTTACCTACTCACTCTCACTCTGCTCTTTGCCTCGAGTCGCTCCACCAAGGGTGTTGCTGCCATCACAGACACCTAAGGCGGAATATCAGGTCGCTCGCTTAACTACCTCGCCGGCTCAATGTTCTTTGACGTCTCTAGTGGCCTTGATTACAGGGGAGTCCAAAGTTTTGTGCGCCTTTTGGATGATGCTCACGATGTGACTGCACAGTATGTCGAGCTGATATGCTGCGTTCAGGACAAGACCAGTCTGGGAAGTGGGGAGACTAACAACGTCTTTGGGAAATCCGTGGTGGGCGTTGCTGGAGGTCAGAGATCTGAATGACTGGAAAGTTCTCTAGGGTAGCGGTAGTGATTTTGTAAGCATCCAAGGCAACAAGAGTAGTTTATGCGTATAGCGTGTACTGATGTGTCCAAGAGTCAAATTAATCGATGTCGAAAACACTGACACATCTAGGCATACGAGATATTGAGGCTTTGTTAGACACCGTATTGGATAACAGATAATAGATGGGCGACGAGCTGTTTCCTACTCTGTACATGATTGTGGGTACCCTGAAGTGCTCCTTACTTAAATTTAATTGAGAATCTTGGAAGCCAAGAAACTTAAGATCATCTTAATTAAGAACCAAAACAAAGGACCGAGTTCAGCCACGTTTACAAATCATGTCTTCTAATATCTGCACCCAGACTATATCCGTGATGTTTACGAAACACGTCTTTTGAAGTTTGCACATAATATCTTATAGCATGGAATGTATATCGGACTCACGAACGCACACTGTACGTGCGTATCTACCTAGTAGCTACTACGTGACAAGACGCAGTTGGCAAACAGTTGAGTCTTCCACGGCTTGATCAATAACAGGAATGCCTTGATCTTTTAGCATCTACCGATTAGCTTCTACTACGTTACCTGAGTTGATAGCATTATTCTGTGAATGGATAACAGGGCTGACCAACGAAGGAATAATCCTCATCTACCGGCTAATCGCGACACTCTGTTCTACAGCTCACGCACTCTTCCGTGACCCGCAACTCGACCTCGCCGGACAGCACCGGAACCATTGAATCTCCAATCTCCGGCTGTTTCGCGCAGCACACATCGTACAATCCAACTGAGTTGCGCTTAGGGTACTGATATTGTCGGGCCGTCTACGTGAAGGCCGAAGTCCGAGGGCGAAATGCTGGGCTTTTAGGTACCGAGTAGCTGAGTGGCTGTGCAGTAGAGCGGACGGGTGGATGCATGTATGCGCATTATAGACTATATGAGATAAACATAGTGCCACGGGTTTTCTCTAGTGCCACTACTCTCTGAAACAGGGCGGCGTATAGTATCCTACTACTGTAATTACACTCTCGTGCCCCGCTTGGTTGTGCGTCGGCCTAGTCGATAATCCATGTGGATCATTGGTTCCAACAGAAGCTAGGTAGAGGAACGATAGATGTCCGGACCCATTCTACTCCCCTACTACAGATGACATTTGTACCACCCATAGATACCACCCCTTTCTACTCCTTGAAAGTTATCAAAGAAGACGCACTGTATCTCGTTCCGGTCGTATCGACTTATGCCTATATACCTAGGTACTTGCGATCAAAGCTCTATCCTCGAGTGTCATCGCCTTTCTCCTGCCTTGTTTCATCCTTGCTCAGATGCCCTTGTCACGATCACTGCCATCTTTTTTGCTTTCTGCGCCGCGCCTGCCAAGAACAAAACTGAGATCGTTACGACAGTACTCGCATAATGGTGACGAGCGCCCGTTTTGGAAGTAGGTAAGAAACTAGGACCTAAGTAAGCTATCAGGACACATGGACGCACCTACCGCCTACCATCATGTGCAGCGTTCATCGAGTGAGTGTCACTATCGCGTTGTACTTCAACAAACGACGCCTAGCATAGAGAGACAAAATCGTGTAAAAACAACTGCAATGCAGTGTTATTAACACCGCGTTGTCATGTGTTTTACATGGAAAATTGTAGCTTTAGGTAAAAACCACAGAGCAGGGTTTAAAGCACCAAAGAAAGTTCCACTCTGTGTAAAGATCACTAGATGTGTACCTTAGTGCGGGTTGTTGAGCGTGGCTGTCAACATAATCATGAACTCGCAGCGGACTATAACGTAGGGGCTCGGGCACTAGTACGACCAGCTGATCTAATGTACGTGGCTGTGGTAAGCCTAGCTATTTTTTTCAGTAATACAGAGGCGTCTCGTTTTCTCTATCAGCTAACGCTGGTAGAGGGGTATGAAGATGGCCTTACATGGGAGTTGACAACCTTGGATTGTAACGCACGTTATACTCTGACGCCCTTAGGTTATATAATTTTTGACGTATTTTGTAGATTAGTCTTTTTTACAACATGCTCGTTAAGATTCTTTCCTTGTCTATCTACTAGATAGTTTGTACGAGCAGCAGCTAAGTAACCCTATGATTGTTAGCGATTGGTGCAGACCTCTACATTACAACCTATAAGTAAACATCTATTCCACAATTATAGGTCTGCATATTCTTACAAGCACTAATATCTCCTTTATAACATAGCTAGGATATAGATTTATTAGCTATACTATTTCATTAGTAGTAGACTGCGCTCTCTCTAAATATTCAGCAAGTAAGTAAAGTCTCTAGCAGCGGCTTGCACAGTTTAGATTACTTCACTTCGAAAACTTCGAAAACTTCAAAGAATAGAAGGTATTTAATTTCGATCCATGTCTAGCAACCAACCGATTAGTAATTTCTCTGCAACTACTCTGCAGTTTCCTGATCGCTCTACTTGTGCTTGCGTAAAAAGTAATCATGCCAGCGTTTGTCCATTTTGCGCAAGCGATTACTGATCCTTTGTTCGGCGCAGTGACACCGCGTCCTGGATCGATACTAATGCCAATCTTTTGGCGTCTTCCAAGATATCCACATCTGCCAGGCGCGCTTAACATCCCGTGCAGATTCCAGCTGTTTATTTTGTTATATATACATAAGAGATTACTGAACCATCGTTAACACGGATGAGTCGAACTTGGCATAAAAACCATTGACTGAGATGTGAATATATATTCTCACCCCTGCATTGCGTCGACTTGAAATTACCCATTGCTTGTCTGTTCAATATGTGGCAACTACTATTCCTACCCATATGTAAGTAGATGTGTTTGGCTACACGCCTTACAACCAAGCTGATTATAATAATTTACAGTTGTTCGGCAAGTTCTTGCTGTAGCCACTTCTTCACTGCACGGTGAACAGAAGTACGCCAACAATGCAGGTATTGCCATTCACTACCGAAAGTACGCCCATTCCGATCCAGCCGCACCGTATCTGCTTTTTCAACACGGCTTTCCAGACCAAGAGACGACCTGGAACGACTACCAGATCCCAACCTTTTCGCGCCATTACAACATTCTCACTCCCACTCTCCGCGGGTTTCCCCCAAGCAATATCCCATTGGATGTTGGTAACTACACTGCAACAGCCTACGCAAACGACATGCTCGCCATCCTCAACCAAGAAAACGTTACAAATGTAGCCCTCATTGGCCACGACTTTGGTGGTGGTTTAGTACAAAGCTTCACACAGGCCTTCTCCGATAGAGTCAGCGCGATGATCATCTTGAACGCGCCGATTTTCCCTACCTTTGTGCCGCTTCTCTCCTACGACGCCGAGGCACAAGAGTACGCACGCTACACAATACCGTACTATAGCTACGTTCCTGGTCAGCCCAAAAATATCTCTTCCATTGTCCAGCCCATTCGCGACCTATCGTACCGGCGCAAGATCGCAAAGTATCTCGATCGCTCGCCCATCTTCGGCATGCTCAACTTCTACAAAAACAACTACCCCGGGCCCACATACGGCCAGAATCTCACCGCTGCCCTGAATATCACAAAGGAGAACTGGACCCAGCGCGTTCCTACCATGGTGGTCTGGGGTGAGGAAGATGAATACTTTAGTCCCAAAACTATTGATGGGTTACAGGGCTGGTTCGAATTTGGGGTCCGGCTTGTTACTGTTCCAAAGGCAGGCCATTGGCCATTCAGAGACCAGTGGAAGAGGGTGAATAAGGAGATCGACAGCTTTCTAAAGACTGCTGGCACGGCTGAGAAAGATCTCATTTAGGGTGAATGCCACGAAGACTGAGCTTTTCTGGATGTATGGAGGCAAGTGCCTGGTTAATCCGAAAGTGCTGAATTAAGGGCACGTGGTGTGGACGAGATTGATAGGGAGTTTGTGGGTGAATGCTACGGTCTGCGTTGTTGCTATACTTCGAGAGTCAAGTCTGAAAACATGTTGGAATGATGTCTCAGGATGCTTCTTAGAAAATCAGTAGTTACAGGCTGGGATAGTTCAATCCACTCTGCAAGATCAAAATGTATATATGTTGTACGTCCAAATCTGCGTCAAATATCCATTCGTTTTGATGAAAAATCCATTTTTTCCCTTGAGCTGTGTCTCAAAAACATCTGGGCTTGCTTTCCGTACGCACTGCTGATGATAGCGAATAGTTAAGCCATCCGTCCCTCCATCGCGGTCGATAATGTGGATCATAGCATGACCACCGGCGCCTGTAATGATGTACGAATAGGTGTTGTTGATCAAGGTTCTCACTTCATCAATACCGGTGATTGTTCCGTACCAGTGTCTTAAGATGACCCCTTCTGCAGCTTAAGTAAAGATTTTCTCCACCTGTAATTGCTTCATGATAAGGTAAGTGCGGTCGATGAAATCAACTGTTGAGCTGCGCTTTTCCGTTGTAAGAATGGAATGGCTATGGGGCTTAACAGGGGCAATTGAGATGATTTGGAGAAACGGGCTTCTTCGTAGGTAGGTGTTACCCAGGCAGGCAGCTGAGTCTCTAGACTTTACATCGGTGACAGGGCTGATTAGTGATCAATCTGGACCTGCGTGTCCGAATTTGCCGGTCATCGGGCACACGGAATGTTCTTGTGCGAAGTCAGCTGCGATTGTTTATTCAGGACGGTGAGGGAGTGCGACTTTGCGGAGCGCACTGGTGGATCAAATGAGGGCAGGGGAATTATGTGATGTGTGGTCCAACACAGATCATTCGCTGTTTGCATGAAGGGAATTTGGAGGTGCGAAGAGAGGGGTCTAAGATGGATCATCTGGTCTGAGGTCTTGGACTGGGGTAAAGGGAAGGTTCCGATTCGAGCTTGATGGCTAAGGAAATGTGATGAGTCTTGCTTAGTCTTGTCGTCGTCAACGTTATGAGAACATCGGATAGATACAATAGCCTCAACGCACGGAGAGTCTTGTTACGGGCGTAAAAAATGCGCACTGGCCAAATCATAGTGTACAATCGTGTGGTTCGGCGTGGTGTAAGCCCGTAGTGGATCAAGCAGCAACAGCCGATGTGTGTCAGAAGCAGAAATGTACAGTGCAGATCACGAAAGGAACCCTGATGATTACAAAATTCTTCTCTAAAACGAGTTATCCGGAGGAACTTTCATACGTCAACGATCAGCGATCGTGCTGAGGATGCTAGGATGCGTGGTCTCCGTGTGGAGACCAGCATCATCGCACGATACGAGGCAGGTTGTAAAGGATCATTCATAAGGAGCTATAAACAGCCTTGTCCTACGACTCATATAACGATTAGAATATCTACGGTTGAGATTAGCACTCGAGATGACTTTTGTGCTGTCTGCTAGTATCGCTTGTGGTGGCATTAGTGTTTATTTTGTACGATTCTTGGGCAATTCTACAGCTACAGCTAAAGTTTCGCAGATTTGTATAATTCTATATCGTCTGTTCTTGCACCCTTTATCCGCGCATCCTGGACCATTCCTTGGCAAGTGTACGTCGTGGTATGCGGCATACCATTCGTACAAGGGCACTATCCACACCGACATCTTAAGGTGTCATGAGTTATACGGTAAGATCTCGCCTTATTACTACTGTGTGTTCTAACACATAGAAGGAGATGTTGTACGCTACAGACCGAACGGCTTGCTATTTAATAATGCTGAAGGTCTGCAAGGTCAGCAAGCAATCAATATAGTTACAGTCGCTCGCTGCTTACTAGACTAGATATCTACGCCAGTCCCTCAAAAGTGGTCAAGTCAGAAGGGTATTTGTCCATGCGACGAGATGACGCAGTCAGTATATTGAACGCCTTTAACAGGGAGGAGCATGCACCTAGGCGAAAGCTGCTCAGTCGGGCGTTCTCCACAGCTGCGCTGGGAGACTATGTACCGATGATCTACAAGACCGCGAAAATCTTCACGGACTCCATACTTAGTGTCACGGATGGCGTCGAGACGAACGGCGAATGGGGCGACGTGCGAGACATCGGTACTTTAAGTATGTGTGCATGTTGGAGAAGTATTTCCCACAAGATATCTGACTGGATCAGGTTCATACTTCACTTTTGACGTTATGTCGCACGTTGTTTTCTACAGTCCGCAGAACCTCATCACAAAGACACATGGTCGCTCCATTGTGCACGGAATTGACAGTTCCACGATTATAGCCGGACTTGCACTTGAGCAGCCCTTGTTAGCGCGTTCTCGACTATTGACGAGGATTCTGCTTCCTGGTCATTCTAACAATGCGCGAGCTTTCTACGAGTCTACACGACAGTTTGCAGCTGAGAGGATTGCCCTTGAGGAGCAGCAACATGTCGATGATATCTTCGGAAGCTTACTACGCACCGGTAGCAAACGCCTTTCTCTTTTTGATCTTACTGCTGATGCATTGACAATGATCATAGCAGGTACGGAAGTCTTGATGATCCTTGCGGATCATATTATGCAGTCTATACTGATGGTTCTAGGCACTGATACGTCCTCTGTCGCAATATCCGCATTCTTCTACTACACCTCACACTATCTTAATTCGTATTCGCGCGTAGTCACTGAGGTTCGATCCAAGTTCACCAGCGCTGATGACATACAACCTGGTGCTGCGCTAACTTCTTGCGTGTACCTACGCGCCTGTATTGACGAAGCCATGCGTCTTGCACCGCCCGTCGCTGCACCCCTATGGCGCTCGACAATTTCGGCAGACACGATTGATGGCGTTCCACTGCCTGCCGGCACTGACGTAGCAACAAGCATCTACTCCATTCAGCGCTCGCCTGCTCTTTTCTCCGACCCTGAAACGTTTGTGCCAGAGCGCTGGCTTCCAGAGTACGCCAGTAGCATTCCGCTCGAGCTATCGAAGAAAGCATTCCACCCCTTCTCGTTGGGAAGCCGAGGCTGTATTGGCAAGAATCTCGCATACATGGAGCTAACGACTGTGCTCGCGCAGATTGCGTATCGCGCAGATTGGAGACTTGCACTTGATCCAGATGGCAAGGTAGATTACAAGCTAGCGGCGCATTTTACAAGTGTAAAGAGCGGGCCAATGTTACGCTTTAAGGTGCGTAGCAAGCAAATTTAGATAGCTAGGAATAGTAAAGAATATTGTAAACAGCGTATAATAGAAGAGTGTTAAGTAGCTATAGCACTTCTTAATATATACTCTCTACTTACATAAGTTCTAATAATAAAGTAGAAAATTATATAAAAAATAGTATACTTTTAATAACTAAATTATATTAATAACAGTCTATTATAATTTATTAATAAAGTATTAAAAATAGAGGTATATTATAAAAAATCTAATAAAATTAGCTAAAGCTCTTTCTCTATAGTATAGAAATTATTATATACTTATAATAGTAGAGTATATTCTAAAGATACTAATAATATAGTAGAGTGTTAGTTACCTAATAGAAGGCCTAGCGCTCTATTAGAATAAGATATAAGGAGTAGGCTATTATAATTGCCCTTTTATAACTAACTAGATTATAAGAATTAACTACTAAAATCTCGAATCTTATAAACAAGATACTACCTAACTTAAACAACCTCTAACTTAGTCCTAACTTACCCCTATTACTATTTCTTATCTATCTATAGCTAACTAAGACTTGTAGGTATAAAAGGTAGGCTTGTAGCAGTCTTAGGATAGATAGTTTTTAAGTATTCTTTATATAAGACCTATAGGAATAAGATTCTCTCTAGTTATTAACTTTCCTAGTGCTCCTATATACCTTTATAGTAGAATTAGAACTATATTAGAGGATCTTATTACCTATATTATTATATTATACTTAAAAACTTGTCCTAGCTAGTAACAGCCTATTATAAACCTTAGAAGGGGCACAGCAGAAGATAAGAGATAGAAGGATTAATAACACTTAGGACAGCCTAGAGGTCTTTAAGAAGGTTAGCATTTATAACTAATAATAACATAACCCCTTCTATTCTAAAACCTTAGTAGAATACTACTATAGAATATATTATATATTATTCTAAGAATCCTATAATATTCTAAGGTGTCCTAATATTAGCATATTATAGAATATTAGAATAACTATAGAATATCTTTAAGTATATAATAAGTAGGAATATAACCCTTATAGTTTATGTTTAACCTAAGTATTAATCTATAATATTAGATCTTAACCTAACCTTTAAGCTAGATAGTCTACTCTATACTACTTATTATTACCCTTACTCTTTAGATAGATAGATTATATCTATACTCCTTAGTGCAAACTCCTTCTTTAGATTCTCTAATAGTATTTATCCCTAAGAACTAATTAAATAGTGCTTATAAGCTTTGCTTAAAGTATAACCTTAATATTTTAAATAACGTACCCCACAGGCGAGCGGATCAACGGGCGAGCGAATCACTTTTGCCAAGCCCCCACCAAAACTTGACCTATTATAGCCCAAAACACTACACTTTGGTCCTGCACAGTACAGTACAGGCTAGAATATCATTTAGAGACCTCTTCTATATTAATCTTGCACGTTTGCGCGTTGTGTCCTGTCTGATTGCACCTTCTATAGCGCTGTTAGGTTAGCTTGCCCTCTTAAGTGCGCACCTGCTTCTTTGCCCTCTTCCTATCACTACGCGCCCTAAACTCCTTTAGAGCTGCTAGCTGCTGCCTATCTTTAACTATTAGGGTCCCTTCCTTCTAAACTCGCTTTCTTTTATGTGATTTTTGTTGCATAGCAGCCTTATTAGCTGCTTAAAGCTCCTTAATTTCCTGTTAAGCTAAAACCAGCTTATAGGATAAGATTGCTCCCCCCTTTGCGTAGTGCTTAAGCGCGCTTAGAACAGAATTTAGTAAGCTGCCCTGCTGCCTCTTATACTTCTCTTAAATTAGAGTTAATTGCAACCTAAATTCTAGGGTGTTGCTAGGGGTTTGCAACTGCCAGGGTATGTTGTTAGTAGGGAGTAGTGGTGATAGAGTCCGAAGCTTTACATTAAGGGCTGATATGACCCGTTCTAGGTTAAAGGGGACTAATCTAGCACCTTGAAACCCTCCTTAGATATTGCTAGAGGTAAACACCGCATTATAGGCTGCTTTAAAGCATGGCAGGAACTTAGTCTTTATAATGTGGCTAATTTAGTTGCGCATAAGCAATTTGGCTTAGCGCCTGTATGCTGTCTTTAAAGGGGCAAAATAGCCTATATTAAGTGGCTGCAGAAGGTGCGATAAGTGCAGAGGCATATATAGAGTAATAATCTTATTATCCTTGCAGTATTTCTAGAATTAGAGCGATTTGTGGCTCTTGTAGCTGTTAATAACTAGCAGTTAGTGGGTACTAGCAGTACGCTCCTTTATATGCGCGTCAAAGTGCTTTAACTACTTAAAACCAAGCTTATTAGTAGTCTAGCCGTTACTAGAGACTGTAATAACCTAATCCTAGGGCAGGTCTTCCTCCTTATACCAGCTGGAGAGGTGGTGGCGCGCCTTGAAGATAACAAAGGGTGGAATGGCCCATCCTTTGGCATTGATACCCTGTATGACTGTTGTCCACTCCTGGTTGCCTGGCTAGACTGCCTTTGGCCTTCCTCGTCTCTCTAAAGCTGTACCAACTGCTCCCTAGGAGATCTGGCCTATTATAAAGCCTGTCTTGTTAAAGTTATATGTGTTGTCATCTAGGATACTATACTTAGCTTTTGTGTTTTACACTAGGGAAAACTAGCCCTGCATAACCCTAGAATCCTTGCAGAGGGCTTGCTTATAGTTATACCTGCGATTAAACTTTACTTTAAGCTCTGGTTAACGCTTTACAAACATACTAGGCTAGTTTGTGCTAATAGGGCCTAGATTGCGCTCTGCGCGCAGAGAATTAGCTATTGCAGCTACATCTGCCAGCTAAGGGCTAAATCCTTGCTTGTCTAGCTTAAGTATGTAATTAACAATTACCTGCTTCTCTAGATTATCTAGCCCTTGTGAGTTAGGCATAGTATTGCCTTGTAAAGGTTGTCTAGTAAGTTAATAGCTTAGTATAGCTTAAGGAATGTTATAGATAGCTGCAGCGCGTTGCTGTGAGAGTTTTGCGTCTTGTTTAAGAGCTTGAAGCGCAAGCTGTATTTAAGCTTCCTTTAACGCGTTAAGATTAGGTTGTTGTTGAGGCATTAGTATATAGAGGATACTTTGGTGGGGGCTTGGCAAAAGTGATTCGCTCGCCTGTTGATCCGCTCGCCCGTGGGGTACGTTACCCTTAAGATATCTACTACTTTAGGAAACTAAACTACCCTAAGTAGCTCTAATAAGCCTCTACTAGTATATAAATCTACTCTTATAGGTAATACTATTACTATAGCAAAGCCTAATCTCTATAAGGGAGACTATAACAAGCTTAATAAATAGCTTCTTTAATAGAACTTATTCTTTACCTTTTAGAGATAGAATATGCCTAAAGTGCAATATATAACACTTATAGCTAGTTATATACATAACTAGGCCTTAAAGTAGATTAAGCTATTCCTTTAACAATATACTACTAGAGAAGCACCTAATAAAGTTAATAAGTAGATATATAATATAGATAAATTTAAAGATTATATTAAGACTATCTTTAGAGTTATTAATAAACCCTCTATTATAAGGTGCAAGATTTAACATATCTAGCAGTATAGGTCTACTATAGACTATACTACTAATTTCTAATAACTTATAGCTAATACTAACTAGGATAATACTATTATAATCGCTCTTTTATAACTAACTAGATGCTAACACCTAGCAAATACTAACATGCTTAGCATAATATTATATAGGCTATCCTATATAGCGCAGTTTTATTATAAGTTATATAATAAGCTTACCCCTTAGCAGTTAAGCTAAAGTAGGTCTTATATAGAGCTTACGCAGCTTATATTAAGCCTAGTAAGCTACTATACTCTCTATAGTATATAGCAAGTAGGAACATAACCCTTATAGTTTATATTTAACCTAAGTATTAATCTATAATATTAGATCTTAACCTAACCTTCAAGCTAGACAGTCTACTCTATACTACTTATTATTACCCCTTGCCCTTAAAATAGACAGATTATATCTATACTCCTTAGTGCAAGACCCCTTTTAGTTTCCCTAATAGTATTTATCCCTAAGAACTAATTAAATAGTGCTTATAAGCTTTGCTTAAAGTATAACCTTAATATTTTAAACACCCTTAAGATGTCTATTACCTTAGGAAACTAAGCTACCCCTAGCTTAACGTCTAATAATATAGATATAACTAATAATAGTGCTGCCTGCATAGGTAACATTATAGTTAATAAACCTAATCTCTACTATAGCAAACACAATAAGCTTAATAATTAGCTTATACAATAGGACTTGTTCTTCTTATTCTAAGGTAAATATATTAAAGAGATTAAAAGGGTTATACTTGTTAGCAGTTATATGCATAGCACAGCATTTAAATAAATTAAACCCTTTATATAATAGTATAATATAGGCAAGGCCCTAGATAAAGTAGATGCCTAGATAAAGAACTTTAATACTTTTAAGGAATAAATTAAACCTATGTTTAGCATATTTAATAAAGTCTCTAGCATAAGACGTAAGATCTAGCATATTATATAAACCAAGTTAGCTGCTAACTATGCTATAGAGTTCTAATAACTTACTGCACACACTAACTAGGACAACACTATACTTTTAACTATATTTAAGCAAGAACTTAAGCTAAAGATTAAGAAGGAGCTAATACGCACTAGCACTAGCACTAACACCTTTAATATATTAGTTAACACTATAATTAATATTAATATTAAACTATATAAGCTATAGTTAGAATTGTAAGATAACCTCTAAGCGCAGGCTACTAATTCCGCACTATATACCTTTAGGAACTAATAGAAAAATAACCTCTAACAAGGATAGCATAGTAGATGTTACTAGTTTAATATGTTATAACAAGTCTATACTAGAACTAATATAGGATACTATAGCACCAAAGCTATAGACCTCTCTAATATTAATAAAGGGCCTAAATAGTAGAATATTAAGAATAAGGGTAGTTCTAGAACTAATAAGCTACTAATAACTTATTATAGCTATAGTAAAGCAGGCTACTTTACTAGAGACTATTATAGCAAGAATAAGGTTATGCAATAGCTTAATATATTATCTAGCA